GTGGAAACGCACGGATTGCTCCCGACCAGCCACTTCGGCGCCCGAAAGCAGCGATCCGCAGAGCAAGCACTGGTGCTCCTGCAGGAGCAGATCTACGCAGCCTGGCGCGGCCGTCGAGTATTGAGCCTGATCAGTTTCGATGTGAAAGGTGCCTACAACGGAGTGTGCAAAGAACGACTGCTCCAGAGGATGAAAGCGCGAGGCATACCAGATGACTTGCTCCGGTGGGTCGAGGCATTCTGCTCAGAGCGAACGGCCACCATCCAGATCAACGGGCAGCTTTCTGAGGCCCGAAGATTGCCCCAAGCTGGCCTGCCTCAGGGCTCACCCCTATCTCCGATCCTATTCCTTTTCTTCAACGCAGACCTCGTGCAAAGACAGATCGACAGCCAAGGAGGAGCGGTCGCTTTTGTGGATGATTTTACCGCATGGGTGACCGGGCCAACCGCGCAGAGTAACCGGCAAGGAATCGAGGCAATTATCAATGAGGCGCTCGATTGGGAAAGGAGAAGTGGAGCAACTTTTGAAGCGGAAAAGACAGCTATCATACACTTTGCTCCCAAGATGCGTAAATCGGACCATGAGTCGTTTATCATCAAGGGACAGACGGTGGTACCCAAAGAGCACGTCAAGATCCTGGGTGTCTTGATGGACACGAGACTGAAATACAAGGAACATATGGCGAGGGCCGCGTCCAAGGGCCTGGAGGCAGCGATGGAGCTTCGGCGACTTCGCGGCCTTTCCCCAGCAACGGCGCGGCAGTTATTTACATCGACGGTGGCGCCAGTTGTGGACTACGCCTCCAATGTCTGGATGCACGCGTGTAAGGACAAGGCCATGGGGCCGATCAATCGAGTCCAAAGAGTTGGAGCACAAGCCATTGTGGGGACATTCCTCACGGTCGCGACCAGCGTAGCGGAGGCGGAGGCCCACATTGCCACCGCGCGGAACCGATTCTGGAGACGGGCCGTGAAAATGTGGACGGACATGCATACCCTTCCTGAAACAAACCCGCTCCGCAGAGGTACAGACCGGATCAGAAAGTTCAGACGATATCATCGCTCGCCGCTGTACCAAGTGGCAGATGCGCTTAGGCACATCGACATGGAGACACTGGAAACAATTGACCCGTTCACGTTGGCCCCATGGGACGAACGCGTACAGACCAATATTGACGGACAACATGAACCCCAGACTGAAGCGGGCGGGTTGATGCAGATCGCGGTCAGCAGCTCGGCACGGAACGAGCTGGTGGGATTTGGAGTCGCAATCGAGAAACAGCCACCTCGAAATCGAAAATTGAAGCTCAAAACGTTTGCTATCACATTGGGCGCGAGGGCAGAGCAGAACCCGTTCTCTGCGGAGCTGGCAGCCATGGCACACGTGTTGAAAATGATAGTGGGAATCAAGGACTACAGGACTACGTTGCTCACAAGCAACAAGGCGGCGGTGCTCACGCTAAGAAACCCCCGACGACCGTCTGGCCAGGAGTTTGTTTGTCAGATGTACAAGTTGATGAGAAGGTTGCGGAGGAATGGAAACCGCATCGAGTTCCACTGGATCCCTACTACCGACGACAACAAGCTGTTAGGTCTGGCTAAAGAACAGGCCAGAACTGCAACTCAAGAAGATGCTCTCCCACAAGAACACGTCTCGAGGATGAAGTCGACAACATTGAACATCGCACGGTCCCAAGCAGTCCCCAGCAGTGAGCTACCAGAGAACATAGGAAGACACGCAAAACGAGTAGATGCCGCACTGCCAGGCAAACACACCCGGCAGTTGTATGATCGCCTCACGTGGAAAGAAGCGAGCGTACTGGCCCAGCTCCGAACCGGCATGGCTAGGCTCAATGGGTATCTCAATCAAATTAATGTAGCAGAGACGGATCAATGCGATTGCGGACAAGCAAGAGAGACCGTGGAGCACTTCCTCTTCCGATGTCGGAAGTGGATGGCGCACCGGACGGAAATGTTACAATGCACGCAGACTCACCGAGGAAACATATCTTTCTTCCTGGGCGGAAAACAGCCTTCTGATGATCAGAAGTGGACGCCAAACCTAGAGGCAGTACAGGCCTCCATACGTTTCGCCATTGCGACGGGCCGACTCGAGGCCACTTGAACATATCGACTAACATAACCCCCACCCCTTCTTCCGACCCTACTTACCCACCACCTCGTGCTACACATGGTAGACGCGCTTCAACTGCCGAAGATAGGATGTTGAACACTTGGAGAAGCACCTTCAAGCCAGCCTACTAACCCACTTACTAACCCACGAGAAACTCGCTGCGATACTGCGTTCTGGAAATGTTATATGTTATAAGGTTTTATGTATGGGCTTTCAGGAGACACAGCATACACAGATGGACATGTACAGTAGATCAGTGATAGTTGCCCTTTCGGCTCAGCCGCCGGGCGTTAATGAATTGTTTGTTTGTTTGTTTGTACCACTAGTCGGCCCATGAAGTCGGATTTCTCAGCCTGTACGAGGCGTGGGCTACGAACCTGGAGTCTCTGTTACTCCAGAGCCAATGAGAGACGCAATGACGACCAGAGGAAACGAGTCCGCCATGTTGCGGCCTGCCTCCACCGCAATTCTAGCGACCTCGAGGCCCCTTTGGCACACAGGAACGATTTAAAAACCATCCGACGATAACGGTTACAGCCTCTCATGCCGTCACCCCAAGGGGAGTTCACAGAGCCTCTCAGAGGTGCGGATCGAAGTCGAGCAGGACACCTGTGGGGTAGAATTGGATTTGTGGGATTAGGGCTAAGGTGTATCGCCACCGGCTGCTGGCTCCCTACCTCGAATCGGAGGATACTTTGGTTAGTGGATGGAAAGATTATACGCTGCAGGCTTGGGTGTATAAAGGGACCATCTGCAAGACATGGTCGGCCTAGAGAACGAGAGGATACTAGGTATCAGGAAGCAAGAAATCACGCCAACTTGTGGACTGAGGTATACTATGGCAACGATGGCTAGGAAGAAGGTTGGCGCGTCGCCATCGGCTGCCGACTAGAGATCCTTACAACACTGTCAGTATAGCCCGAGAGGACGGATGCGCATGTCGGTTCACAAGAAGCAGGAAGGTTGTTATGCCGTGACCCTAAGGGGACTTAGCAGAGCTGCAACTTGGCCTGGAGGGTGGGCTTAAGGAGCAAACGGGTATATGAGTGTGGGGGAAGGTTTTTGTCTCGGCTGGAACCCCAAAGGCTAAAATCTTGAAGGCAAAAGGATCTATGGACATCTAGGAATGAGAGTACTAGTGAGCTGGATAAGGAGCTGGGAAAGCATGGGGGGGAATTTGCCCATCTCTCCGTTGTATTGGCTTAAAAGAACAGACTAGATCTTAGTATACCAATGCAATATTATATCTGCAAGGACTACAGGACTACGTTGCTCACAAGCAACAAGGCGGCGGTGCTCACGCTAAGAAACTCCCGACGACAGTCTGGCCAGGAGTTTGTTTGTCAGATGTACAAGTTGATGAGAAGGTTGCGGAGGAATGGAAACCGCATCGAGTTCCACTGGATCCCTACTACCGACGACAACAAGCTGTTAGGTCTGGCTAAAGAACAGGCCAGAACTGCAACTCAAGAAGATGCTCTCCCACAAGAACACGTCTCGAGGATGAAGTCGACAACATTGAACATCGCACGGTCCCAAGCAGTCCCCAGCAGTGAGCTACCAGAGAACATAGGAAGACACGCAAAACGAGTAGATGCCGCACTGCCAGGCAAACACACCCGGCAGTTGTATGATCGCCTCACGTGGAAAGAAGCGAGCGTACTGGCCCAGCTCCGAACCGGCATGGCTAGGCTCAATGGGTATCTCAATCAAATTAATGTAGCAGAGACGGATCAATGCGATTGCGGACAAGCAAGAGAGACCGTGGAGCACTTCCTCTTCCGATGTCGGAAGTGGATGGCGCACCGGACGGAAATGTTACAATGCACGCAGACTCACCGAGGAAACATATCTTTCTTCCTGGGCGGAAAACAGCCTTCTGATGATCAGAAGTGGACGCCAAACCTAGAGGCAGTACAGGCCTCCATACGTTTCGCCATTGCGACTCGAGGCCACTTGAACATATCGACCAACATAACCCCCACCCCTTCTTCCGACCCTACTTACCCACCACCTCGTGCTACACATGGTAGACGCGCTTCAACTGCCGAAGATAGGATGTTGAACACTTGGAGAAGCGCCTTCAAGCCAGCCTACTAACCCACTTACTAACCCACGAGAAACTCGCTGCGATACTGCTTTCTGGAAATGTTATATGTTCTAAGGTTTTATGTATGGGCTTTCAGGAGACACAGCATACACAGATGGACATGTACAGTAGATTAGTGATAGTTGCCCTTTCGGCTCAGCCGCCGGGCGTTAATGAATTGTTTGTTTGTTTGTACCACTAGTCAGCACCCGCCGTCTTAGACGGCTGGGCCTTTTCTCAGAGCTCTAATAGAAATAAATAACGACAAGCATGGCTCATTTACTTTTATTTTTATTTATTCATTTTTATTTATTTTTTATTTTATTTTTTTTAAAAGAAATCAAAATATCCGTGTCTTCCAGTAGCCCCCCATCGCACAGGCAACATCACCATAAAGGTAAACCTGATGAAAAGTAGTGGCGAAGATTTTGAATTAGCTTAATATTAAGCCTTGCCTATTGAATTGGAAATGGACTAAGTAAAAAATGCATGAGGCATTGTGCAGCAATGCAGCTACCGGATACAGAGGGGAATCGTTGACAGATTGCCTGCTCAAATATCTCAATGTTTGCTAGGTTCGCATCGAATCTTCCGGTCCAGGCGTCAGGTTCCAGACTCTTAGTAATTTATGCTACAGGTAACAATTGCCTGGCTAGGTACAAAACGTTATCTTTACGCGCTATCTACATTTATCATGTGACTAGGGGTTGAAAGATGATCTCTCTGTCCTCGGCATGAGAGGCGATACCGGTCGCTATTGGAACACATTCGCTGGAACATGATATCCTCTTATTCAATCCAGAAAGCTTTCACCAACCAGATCGCACTACAAGAGGAGCCAATACTGGTTTTGAAGAGGATTGACTATTTCTGCACGCTAGACTCTGAGGCACAGAGTGGGGATTTAGATGGGGGCGATATGCCAAAGGTACCGGCCTCCTTGGAAAGTACACATCGCTCCAAAATCCCTGCTTAAGTGTCAAATACCGAGGCAGGTCAGCAAATTCAAGCATCTGAAGCAGTTGACGACCTGGATCTCCAATTCAAGGCCCTGTCGTTCCACACTTCCATGTATGCCCTTGGAAATCGACTGCTCATCCAGAGGCTGAAGGATTTTGCAAGGTTCAAGCGTGGAAGTGCTAAAAAATAATTCAGATTCCAACGCATCTCTGCATGCTATTCCTTAAATATACGACTCAACCCCGTAAAGTGATCGAGGTCTGCGAAAGTTGATTGTGAACGGCACAATGTGTCTCCTCCCTGTATGGAGAACTATTGATGACATAGGCCATGCCGAATTTCCTGAAAGTATCTTACAAAGTGTCCCACAGTCCTCCTCTTACTTACTGATCGCAATGATGAACAGGCGGGGGAAGCCTAAAAAAGCAACTGCAACTACAATAACGACAGCTTCACGGTAATTTGAAGACCAGGAGCCGATCGCGCCTGCTCGACTGTTCGTCCAGGTGATCCTTCAAAAAAGCTATAATATTAGTCAAGTCCGATGTATTGCATACTACGCAAGGTGGTCGTTGGAAGATTCCTTGCGCCTTGCATCCTCGGCTGAGACCTTAAGATCCCTGGTTCTGACACATCAATACATTCTGGACCAGTCGAAGCCCAGTCCAGGACACAAGTGGAGCAATGTAGGACACGTGCATTCCTCACTTGCATTCCTGAACCACATTCTTTGCGATCTTAGCGTTACAGACATCGCGATTTTACGCTGCAGTCTCTCCGGGAGGTCATACGCAAGCTGCCCTAGAATGGAGATGCAAACCGACAGATCGATCAAAGGAAGAGCAGATCGCAGTTTTAACTCCTCTCATAACAATAATGGGTCGGGACAGACACAAGTGCTAGGTCGCCGAGAACGGAAATCACCTCGAATGGCTTATTCAGCGCGGAAGTATCCGAGTCACCCATGGATCTGAGCTGAACAATCGGCTGAGGAATAATCTCTTGTGTTCTTATGTTATTATGTTTTTCAAGTGCGAATTTGAAGGTCTCTAGTCCGGGAATACCTTCCGTTAGGTAACTACAACAATGAACTTGTACACTGCATCCATCGAACTTCCAGCTGAAATCAAAGCTAACACATATTATGCCAATCAAGTCTTCAAGCCAAACAGGCCCCGTCAAGAGATTAGATCTTGATTCTTCACATTCCTCGAGGGTTCTACACGTGGCGATCTTGTGGCGTGCCAATTTACCGCAAACGGCAGAGATTGATCTTGTACGATTTCACCAGATCACCAGTACAATTATTTCAACTGGTCATATATGCAGTTTGTCAGAATCAGTTGGCATTAAGATAGCAATCGATTACCCGTCCGAATCTACAGGTTGTAGAAATTTATTTGTAGCTTGGTGGATAGCACTATCCCCATTTCATTATACCGGGGAGCTCCTGCCCTGATCAACGTGACTGCAGTTGCGACACCAACACCAACACGAAACCGAACTTGATTCGAACAAAGCCTTTCTCCAGACAGTCTCCATATCTTATCTCCAGGATCTACTGTGACCTGCCCCATTTATCTTCGTTGCCGACGTCATCTGAGCTCTACCAAGATCCAACTCTGTGAGATGAAAAACCTGTCAGACTCTGAATCCCCACAACAACACTAACAAATGACCGGAGTGAGCTAGATTATTGTCACCCAAGCCCAGTTGAAAGGCATTGTCCCATTTATCAACCCCAGACCCCCGCAATCCCTGGTCCCACTCCTGTCTGTTTTCGGCCATACCCTGCCTATACCGGAAGCTGTAAGAAAGCTGTCAACAGACCGATAAGCTGCGTCAAGGAAAGATCTTCAAACAAACATTCCAATGTATGTGATGTCTCTCATCCAAAGCCTTCATCATTTCCGTTCCCAGGGCATGAACTGCATTCGGTCACTATGCGGCGCAATTATCGACATGGAATTTACTTATAGCAGCCATTCACCATGCTCTTTGACACAATTCTTATTTCATCTCATTCCTGAAGTTCAGCCACTGAATTTCAAATTAACATTGCCAAAGGAAGCTCAGCATGTCGCTCTCGAAGAAGACCCTTGTGGTGGCCCTTCTGGCTGCACTGGGTCAAGCCTCCAAGCTTGGCCACGCCTCCAAACTTACCAAGGCCCAGAAGCAAGTGTAAGTCGTGACAGTCCAGATTTAGCATGGCGATCTTCCCTTGCTAACCTTCCTTTAGGAGCCCTCTTTTTGGTTACGGTACCGATACAAAGGTTCGTGGTGTCAACCTTGGTGGCTGGTTGGTTTTGGAACCTTGGATTACTCCTTCTATCTTCGATGACGCTGGAGATGCTGCCGTCGACGAATGGTCTCTCTGCACCGTTCTCGGTACAGATCAGTGCCGCACTGTGCTGGCAAAGCACTGGAGCTCCTTCATCACTGAGGATGACTTCAAGCAGATCGCCTCCACGGGTATGAACCATGTTCGAATTCCTGTCGGCTACTGGGCTCTGGAGCACTTGGATGGTGACCCATATGTCGATGGCCAGCTGGAGTACCTTGACCGTGGAGTCACCTGGGCCCGTGCTGCTGGCCTTAAGGTCATGGTTGACCTTCACGGCGGTAAGTCAATCGGACTCACTTGGGGAAAGTAGATGCTGACATTGTGAAAGCCCCTGGATCCCAGAACGGATTCGACAACAGTGGCAAGCGAGGCTCGATTGGATGGCAACAAAATGCCAACAATGTGGTGAACACCAAGTCTGCTCTAAGGGCACTGACTACGCGCTATGCCAATGATACCGATGTTGTTACCGCTATTGAGGCTCTCAACGAGCCCAGCATTCCCGGTGGCGTCAACGAAGACGGCCTGAAGCAATACTACTATGACGCCTGGGGCATTGCACGTGAGGTTAGCCAGGAAACCACTGTTGTTCTTCACGATGGCTTCCAGCCAACAGAATCCTGGAATGGATTCATGAGCGAGTCTACTGGTGTTTGGTATGTCATGATGGACACCCACCACTACGAAGTTTTTGATACCAGCCTGCTCGCTATGGATGTCAAGGCCCACGCCAGCAATGTCTGCGGCTTTGTTGAGCAACACGTCAAGACGAGTGACAAGTGGACCATCGTTGGTGAATGGACTGGCGCCATGACCGATTGTGCTAAGTACTTGAACGGAAAGGGTGTTGGCGCTCGCTATGACGGAACTTACCAGGGTAGCACCAACATTAGTAGCTGCGCTGGCAAGTCTACTGGAACTGTGGCTGCTCTGCCCCAGAGCGACCGTAACAACATTCGCCAGTTTATCGAAGCTCAGCTTGACGCCTTTGAGAAGGGAGCCGGCTGGCTTTACTGGACCTGGACGACTGAGGGGGCTCCTGAGTGGGATATGAAGCAGCAGCTTGCTGAAGGAGTCTTCCCTAACCCTGTCACCAGCCGCCAGTTCCCTAGCCAGTGCTAGTGGTAAACATGTCTTTGATCCGTCTTCATTATTCTTTCTTTTAGCTTGGGGGATATTTTGTTGCTTCGTTTTCATACACGGTGTTTGTTTTCTTCAATTGGCTGCTGGAATTGGGACTTGCATTAAGCAAGCTAATCAGCCTAAGGTGTTTTGGTGTATTTTTAGGATTCAACCGGATTGACTGGTCTTTTTCATCAATTGATTAATTTTTCTTATAAATTGTGCAAGTTATCATTGAGTCAGCGTCTGCCATACGCCGACAGAAGTATTACCTTTTGACCTAGACTAGAAGAGGGAATCGATGCATTTGTGGATAAGATTGAAACCATGAATTGTATAGATTGGGTATGTTGTAAAGAAACTCGGAGAACATAGACGTCAATGCAATTCTCAATGACATAATGTTGTATGCAATAATGCAATGGTGCATGAAACAAAATATAACAAAATGTAATCAAAAGAGCACATCAAGCATCAGAATCAAAGCAGTCCCAAGGCACCAAAAGCCGACACAACCTCACCATCGACATTGACCAACCACTCCTCTTGGAAGCGCTGAGCACCACCGCAGGCAAGAATAACCTGCTCCAGACGTTGGCGTACAAAGTCGCGGATCGGGAACCGGTGAATCGCATCCGTAGATTGCCATTCAGCACGGCGAATGTTCTCAGGCGTCTCGACCTCCTCCGAGTTCTCCGGGTTCGCAGTCTCAGAACCCTTAGGCGCGTTCCAGTAGACTAGGTAATCGGCATTCGGATCCGAGCCACCCTCCGATAACTCAGTGATGATATCAGTCCACATAGTGAGGTAAGATTGAAGGTGATTAAGAATGAATGGGGGAGGAGGTGCAGGGCCAGAGGGATTAGTAGAAGGGCCCTGAAGAGCGAGGAGCTGGGTAAGAGCGAGAGCATGCAACTTCTTCTGGTTCACACTGCCGATATTATCGTAGTGAGAGAACCACTCCGTAAGAATCCAGCCGAGACACTGTTCTTCCGTGGAGTTTGTGGCGGCTGCGACGGCAGAGGCGAAGATGGTAGGGTTGCCCAGGGCGAGGCGGGCGAGGACGGATAGGTAGTCTGTTTCGATGACGCCGACTACGTTTGAGGATTTGCGGTTCGGGCCGGAGGTCTGGCTCGCTTCGTAGGCGGAGTAAAGGCCCTCGAGAAGAGATGGGAGGAATGAGGTCTCGAGGAGGGAGCGCGAGATTATGCTGTAGGTAGCCTCGCTGCCGCCATCGACGGTTTCGGCTCCGCGGATCATCATCTCGACGAGGCGGGGTACGACACCTGTGCGCATCTTTGTTGTATAGGAAAGTGTTTCTTTCAGGGAGGTTAATAGGGAGTCTCGAACTCCGTCGCGGAGGACCTCTTGAGGGGCGAGGAAGATGTATGATTCGACAATGCTAAGAGCCTGGGGGGTGCTGTCAGTTCCTTGCTCGATGATGGGGAAGATGGCGGGCATGAGGGCGAGGATCTCCGGGGAGGCGGGTGAGGGTGTCTGCATGATGATTGCGGCCCACAGCTCCAATGCCTCATCCAAAAGGTACATAAAAGTTTCCTTTAAATCAGAATATGTTAGAATGGCTCCACTTCGCCCGATTGAAGGGCATTCCCTGGAACTACTCACGGATTCGGGGTTGACAGATCCTTGGATTAGAGGGAGAATGAGCGAGTGGTATCGTGCAGACTCCTGCTTAAGCGAATGGATCAATGATGAAAGCAGGTTGAGAATGGCTTGTTTCATCAGATGTTCATCCCCAGACTCTTCCCACAGCGGTGGAAGCAGTGAAAGAATTGCGTCCGAGAAGGGGGCGATCTATAATCCTTGTTAGGGCTGCAATCATACGAGTACACAGGGGACTTACATGGCTTTCCATCTTCACCACCACTACTCGCACTGTCTCCACCAGGCCCATTTTGGTTTCAGAAACTTCGACCTCCTGGACCAGAGACATAAGACTTCCCAAAATAGAGGGAGCGTATGGAACGAAGGCCGCGGAGGTGAACTCGAAGGGCTCAATGATATTTCTGAGCTGTCGACCAGCAGTAATGCGGACCACCAGATCATTCAACGGATCATCCTTGTTCAGCAAATGCTGGAAGACCTGGTAAATAGCATCGATGTTGAGTTTCTCATACTGGATTGGCACCCATTGACCAAGTACCATGGGGATTCGCCTTCTCAGAAGCCTGTACTCCGGATCCTGAATTTGGACCTCTGGTACAATAGTCGTTTCAAGGAATTTGTTGAAATCCAAACGCTGCTCAAGACTGGCTGCAGCTAAACCAATGGCGGAATACAACGAGTCCTTAAGGATCACATTGCGGTTATCGGTCCCTAGACGTGGTTAGAGGGCTATTCTCTCGAGACCTTGTAAACGACTTACGTGCGAATGAATGAAACACGTCCAACAACCTATCAATAAGCAAGTCCTTGAAATGGATGACAAGGTCAAGGAGCAGCTTCTCAGAGCATGAGCGGATGGAAAACTCCCAAGCCTCACTGCTAGTTTCTTCGCGCTTCTCCCATTGCTCGGGCTCCGCTTCCCATTCCTCAAAATCAACATTGCGGAACCTGAAGAATTGCGTGACAAGCAACTCCATAGTGTCCAATACAAATTTATCAGTGAATAGTTCCGTCTTAATTCGCTCGACAGCCAGCTTTCTCTCCTCCTTATCTTCCGGAGTCTGATACTTGAAAGTGTGCACTGGATTGAAAGCCATCTTCGCGCAAGCTCTGATCAAAAGCAAAGCTCTGAGGCCCGTCTTCTCGGGTAAGGATTGCCCTTCGGCCTCAGCATCCGCTCCAAGACTGACATACACTTCACTAAGATTTTGAAGTAAGGTCCAGTAGGTATTCACAAGTTCAATGCTGTGTGCAAAGTGGGCAAATGATGCCGCATGGGTCTTGGCCATTTCCACGTGGAGCTTAGAAAGCTGTAAGATATGCTTCTGTATGCCTATTTCGACGGGCTCTGGCAGCTTGCCAGACTCGCGCACGAAGGAAAGGAATTTCACAAACTGGTTATATGACAATGTCCAGAAGTTTTGTACCTCTTGATCACGACCCGGATGTTCGAATCCGGCAATAATGAGGCGTCGGAGAACCTTCAAGGAAACCAAACTTTGTTCGATCGCATCCAGCAATGATGCTTCATCGCCACCGCCGTGCTCCAAGATGGATACCCAAGTGTTGACTTTATCCACATAGATGCTCCCCAATACATGGAACAGCTCTGGTGAAACAGACTGAAGCTGGACTCGGGTTCTTTGTAGGCGCGCGGTAGACAGTTCTTTGATGATTTGCAGGAGGATAAGGAGGGTCCGGGGAAGTTGGATGGGGTTTGCACCGGGCTGAGTTGAGGATCGCAGGAAGGTAATCACCGTCGTAATCGCATCCGGCCTATAACAGTTAATATTAAGACCGCAATATAGATTGGCGAGGACCGTACCAGTCATGAGGAAATTCATAGCGGAGAATCTTGGCGATCATCAAGGCGTTCTGGAGGGCGAGCGGGCGTTCAGGTTCAGCGATTCCTGCCTGCATAGCAGTTGTCTTAATCTTGGCCTTTTCCTCGTTTGATATCGCGCTTCCATGGGTGTCAGTGAATTTCATTCGGGCTATTCCTTGGGGAGCTCGTTGGGGGACGCACTTGGTTGCCGTCTTTCGCCAGTACTTGTCGATTCCGTTTTTTAGCTGGATGATTGCGAGGTATCGAACTTCAGTCGGTAAGGAATGATCGCAGAAGACATCCTATGTACGGTTTAGTCAGTTTTACAGCAGATCATGTAATCGGTCTCAAGGTTGATAATACTTGAAGGATGGAATGGTAGGATCCCTGTTTCTGCCAGTTCTGCAACTGTGCTGTACCTGTCTTAACCTGCTGCTGACTTGAGCTAGCAGCCATTGCCAAAGTGTTGACAACATTCTGGTATCCCAATGGGCTTGCCTCGCCAGGCACCTCGATCGGCTGGGACATGTTTGTGGTCGGGTCAAAGTTGATCGAAAAGATCTACGCCAGCTGAACAGCACCAAGGGCACGGGAGGTTATAGAGGTTCAGTAGGTCAGCGATTGCCCATATAGAGAGTCACTGGGTGACCTTGAATGACGTGTTGATCAAGCGAACATTCACGTCTACAATTAAACTTGCCCGCCATCCCCTCATCCACCGCCTTGGGCGGTGAAGCGAGGGGAGACAGTCACCGGTTCGATCCACCGCGAGTCCATTCCTCATTTCCATCACTCAATTATGATTATACATTGCCTTCACATTCGAGATGCTTTTTGCCTTCTATTTTTGTTTCTTTTCTTAATCAATACGCTATTGAATAGGAAAAGCCCTATGTATGAGCCCTACTTTCCAATTTGGGACTGCCAAATAGTGTTTTATAGTGGAGACCACGAAGTCACCAGGTTTCGTCGATACCATACCTCCAACTTCTTTTTTCAGGGAGTTAAGTTCCAGGTCACCGGTGGTGTAACTACAATATGCCATTATTATCCATTTTTTTCTTTTGAGAAACAGCCCTGGAGGTGAATTATGTATATATTATATAATCTCCATAATGCAGCCACCATCCAAGTATATGGCACCTGGGCAGATGTCTCAAAGAAAGGACTGGCCAATGAGACTAAAAACCCCACCGCTGAGCAGTTCATAGGACTCTGGAGCTTCTTTTATTACTTCCAATGATTATGCTTGATTTCAAGAATTGTTCGTAGACATGTGCAGGATGCGTTGGACCTGCAGGATATGAAGCAGCGCGGAATTTATGGAGCCAGTGAAGTGGAGACCAGGGGGCTCAAAAGATGTTTGAGAATCATGGATTCGAAGACTAATTCTCACAATGGGTCCCATGGTGGAATTGAGGTATCTAATATCACTTTTGGCCCCCACGAATAGAGCATTGGTACATGTGTAAGCTCAAGTGATCGACAAGGACTGAGCACTTCAAGTCACTACTACCTTGTTACCCCTCAATCTGACTTACGTTTTCTTTTTTCCCAACCTTTCTGTATGAACTTACTTGGATTTACCAACAAAAAATGGCCGAAACTATCAAAGAATTGCAGCCGATTGAGACACGGCTGTTCATTAACGGCGAGGTAAATTTGAGCAAAGAAAAGACATCAGGACGCCTTACTTACACCCTCCCAAGTTCCGAAACTCTTCAAACGGCAAGACATTTGACATCATATATCCATACACGAAAGATGTCGTTGCAAAAGGTATGATTTACCCCATCCAACACTCGAGCAGATACTAAAAAATAACCTACAACCTACAGTCCAAGAGGCAGACGTCAGCGATGTCAACGACGCCGTAGAAGCCGCCGAAGCAGCATTCCCCGCCTGGAGAGACCTTGGCGTGGAGAAGCGCGGGGAATACCTACGCAAACTCTCCGACCTCATACAAGAGGCCGTGCCCGTATTGGCTAAGCTCGAAACTCTCAGCACTGGCCGCCCAATCTCCTTCTTCCCCGATGGGTTGATGGCTGCAGAACAGTTCAGATATTTTGCCGACCATGCCTGGACCGTCCAGGGTACGGCTAGTACCAACACCCCTGGTACCTTCAAGATGACTGTCAAAGAGCCCTTTGGCGTGGCCGGATTGATTATCCCCTGGAACTTCCCCTTGGTTAATTTTGCTGGAAAGTCGGCACCTGCTTTGGCTGCTGGTAATACTGTGGTGTTGAAGAGTAGCGAGAAGGCCCCGTTAACTGTGAGTCTTCCGACGGTCTGATATGCAGGATGAAAAAGATCTCTAATGTCGTTTTTCATAGTCGCTCTACATCGCCAAATTAATCGAGAAGGTCGGGTTTCCACCAGGCGTCATCAACGTTCTCTCCGGTTACGGCTCCCCAGTAGGCTCAACTATCGCCGAGCACATGAAAGTCCGCGTAATCAGTTTCACCGGGTCCTCGCTCACGGGCCAGAAGATTCACGCTGCGGCGGCAAAGTCTAACTTGAAGCACGTCCACGTGGAACTGGGCGGTAAGACGCCCGCTATTATCTTAGAGGACGCAGACCTCCAATCTGCTGCCGCGCAGACCATGTTCGGCATCCAGTTCAACAGCGGACAGGTGTGCGTTGCTAACTCGCGTATCTACGTGCACGAGTCTATCAAGGAGAAATTCACAGAGCAATTCAAGGCGATGTTCGCTAGTGTCAAGATGGGTGATCCGCTCGACCCAACTACGCAGCATGGTCCGCAGATTGATTATTTGCAGTATGATCGCATAAAGCAGTATCTCGCTCTTGGTGAGAAAGAAGGTAAGCTGACGCTGGGTGGGGATGCGAACGATGGTTTCTTTGTGAAGCCGACTGTCTTTGAAGAGTTGGCAGAGGATTCGAGGGTTATGAAGGAGGAGATATTTGGTCCTGTTGTGGCTATCCAGACTTTCAAGACGGAGGAAGAGGTCATTAAGAAGGCCAACGATACTGAATTTGGTCTATATGCGTCGGTCTTTACTAAGGACCTTGACCGTGCGATTCGTTTTTCCAAGGCTTTGCAAGCGGGTACTGTTGGAGTCAATTGCACTGCCCCCAGCAATACAAAGGATACTGCATTTGGTGGCTATAAGATGAGTGGTACTGGACGGGAGGGTTTCTTATACAGCATTGAGAACTTCCTCCAGACAAAGACTATTCTGATCAAGTCGGGATAGTCAATGAGACTCATGAAAATTTAAGACTACTTGAGACAATTCATAAATTAATGGTTCATTTAAGTCATCGCTAGTTATTAAGAATTTTTGACTCTTGACGATAGTGGTTCATAGAAGATCGAATAAAGACCCATGTCATCTCACGAGATAAATTCTATTGTTGAAACCTTTTTGTTGACTCTGACTGAATTAGGTGTCAGCATCTCAGAAGTCTGTAGGCAGCAAAACTAACCAGCCTGGCGAGCCAGGGCGCAGAACACCGAGACAGATAAAAGAAATGGCCTACAGGAAGTAGACAAAGGCGGCCACCAGGGCTCCAGTGAAAGCCACCGAGCTGGGAAGAGCTGCAACGGCAGCACCAGATTTGGAGTCATTGGGCTTGGAAGAAGTCATGGTAATCTCCTTACCGTCCAGCTGGCGACTGGCGGTGACATTGAGGTTATAGCCGGATTTTCCATCCCAGGGGAAAGGGTAAGTGTAATTGTAAGTAGGCTTGGTGCCGTTGAAAGTCGTTTTGACAATGTCCAAGACGCCATGGCCGGCTGAACAATTGCCCTCGGTGGTGGGGTTGGGCCAGACAGGTGAAAACTTGGAGTATGTGTTGTCGGAGAAGGGTCCAGGGTATGTATCATTGAGACCTAGACCAGAGATGGTGACATTGTAGTTGACATAGCCAGTCTTGTTGGCAACAAGCTCGAAGATATTGGCTCCACAGTCCCAGCGGCCGAGGGAGGGAAGTTGCCAGTTGGCAGAAATAGTAGCAATGGTGGAGTAATGGGTGTAGAATGTGTCATCCTTTGTTCCCTTGAGATTTTTAGGAATACCACCGCCGATTAGAACAATGAAGATGCGGTTGGTCTTGTTGTAAGTCTTGTCCTCGTCGTAGGTCAGGAGGATGACGGTGTTCTTCATGAAGTGGGTGTTGTTCAGCAGAGGCTCCATCCATTTCTTCTCCCACGAGGCCCCGAAGGTAACGTTGGTGTCGTGCGCGTCATTGGTCATATTTGGAGTGATGAACGCCCACTGTGGAAGCTTCTGATTCTTCAGATCATTATCAAACTCTGTGAAGTTCTTTATCTGACGGAGACGAGTGTCATTCGAAACAACAGAGTCATAAAGGACCAGCGGATTGTGCTTGCGCACATATTCAGGGTTGTAGGTCTGTTGGTTCGAGTAGTTATAACCCTGGAAGCCAGGGTATGGCAGATGTTCCTACACCATTGTTAGCTGGGAAGCAGGAAGCGGGAAGCGGGAGACAGTGTTCCTTACCTGGTACTCGCCCCAGGAGATAGACTTGGTGTCTAGCAAGTCAGCAACGGTTGAAACATTGGCAGGGGTCTGCTTGAAATTATTGTTGTCCATGCCAAAGGTGTCGCCACCAGCTGCAGCGCAGTAGTTGGGCTCCGAAGGGTGAGCAACAGCGTAGAAATTAGTACTGAATACAAATATTAACGAAGGAAAGGGTCAAGAGCTGGCGTCTTTACTTACAGCAAAATGCCCTGCTTAGCGAAGAACTCCTGGCTGCCATCTGCCTCGGAGTCCTCGTAGTCCTGTGTTGGGTATTAGCCATGAGCATTTCCCGGGGGTCTTAAGGCATCACTCACAATGTTCTCCAGCCAGACCTGATAGAAGTGGTCAAAAACAAGACCCTTGACGTCGGAAATGGGGGCCGCTGGCAAAATGGTCGCCTGGGCTTTCATAAAGTCAGACATAGCAGGCTCCGACGTGGTGGCCACGCTGGCGAGAGCCAACGAGACCGTAGCCAACAGGGTCAGGAAGATCAGTTTCATTGTCAGCAATGTTTCTTGAACGTGATTATTGTGTTGGAGGCCGCGGTAGAGTAGAATGAAAGGTTGAAAGAGGAAGAAAGAAAGTAAGATGAAGGAAGTCAACAACTTTATTAGGGAGCACAACAGATTGCATCTGACAACATTTGAGTAAATATCCGAAACTTTTGTCTGGCTCTCAAAGTGACAACACAATCTATGATGCTGCAGATACAAGTAAAAGTACCTCCAGGATAGTATCCTTTACACAATTCGGATTTGTTTTGATGAAGTTGAATACAGTGATCGAACAACCGTCATACAAGGCAAGCGGTTGAAGCAAGGGTTCTGATTGGTTCATCTTGGAATGACCCGAGCCAAGACAGCGGAATCGCATGGCATTGCGATCATGTGACCTTTGGTGAAGCATCATCAATGAAGTTAGATTTTCTTGTCATATTGCTCAATTAATTCATAACTTTATTCCCACTCGGAAATGGGGGAGCCTTAAGTCACACAATTACCTGCCATTCGGACATTTGCCGATCCTATGGAACAATCGGGTCCGCATTTTCGTCAGGAACTGTATTCCACGGAGATAGTTTTATCTTGCAGATCTATGCATTTAACAACAAGACCTGCCTTAGTGGTGAGGTAGCAGATATTAATTATCACGATTGATCAAGATAAGCTTTGTAACAGCCTCTCTGCTCCAATATTAGATCATATTCCCAAAACGGCGTCATGTAGATAGAAGATGGCTTATACGTACTAGAATACTGCACATGTGTGGTTGGGATTGCGTAGGAGACGGGAGACTGGGTAGGTGAATGCGCGGCGGAAAGCCTCTAGTATCACTATGTAGTAAATTTCTGCATGCTTGGCACGGCTAATGAAAGCTTAAAGGCCGAATGCGATCGTATTCGGGTGACGATCATTGTGTACCCCTTCCGAGTCCGAGATCTCTTTTTGTTAGGCTCCCATTTAAAATTGTGCTCATGTTTTACGATGAAGAGGAGTCTAATAGGATGTTTCAAGTCAATTCCAAGAAAGAATACCGTTGAACTCACATGTGCAGTAATTACCTTCGACCTTGTCAATGATGTCCCCATTGAAAAATATTGTATTGCCATTTTCCCAGCTCCAGGGAATCTTCTTGTTACTGAGTGCAAAACTAGCTATATATGTTGTAAATTTGACATTTGATCACACAAACAAACATAAATTAGTCCACTATGTATAAAACTATCTTAGTATCTACTCTCTTTTGCCATCAAGAGCTAGAGCAGCCGACCGACGGGATCCAAGTGAGGACCTGTCATCATCGCTAGGCTGAGTTGTAGTATGAGATCCCTGCGCCATTCTCGATGCTGTGATTGCACGAATATAAGCATCGTCTTGGCCCAAGGCGATATTGAGGTCTGTATCACACACTGTGACAACACATGAATCATTAGTAATGGGCTCCTCCAAGCTTCCAAAGGTCAGAACTTTACCTTCATCGAAATCTGGAGACTTCTTATTGCTATCCACATTCTCCTTCTCTTCGACATTCCAAACCTCACGTTTCCCTTCCGGGCGCCCCTTCAAGGCTCGCACTCCATATGATGCCGTCTCGCTCATATACCACACCGCTGACATACGCGTTAGTATAAAGAACGTACTAAACATCAAAGTCCATCAATACTGAGAAGACCGGAGATCAACTCACTCTTGAAGGGCAACATCGCAATTTTCCCACAAGCGACCGCCGACCCAAAGCCTACGTTCCTCGCTACCTTCAAAGCCATGCCCGTTTTGGCTCCTGATTGCTCCAACTTTGAGGCCGTCGTCACGGGTAAATGATTGTGAGCCTGGAACAATCAGTCATCATGAATCTGGTCGTGCATAGATTATGCAAGTTGAGCCATGTCAGGCTAGGCCTCTTACCTCGCGTTTCTTATGCGCATCTGCGATGTGTGAGACGGTTGGTTTGATAATAGCTTTAATCAAACTTTTGGACACGCCTTTGGCGTCAACAAAGAAGGTGCTCTTGAATTCTTCGATGGGCTCGGGTGCTTCATTTAGAGCAGTGTGGAAAGGTCTCTCATCCCTGTTGAGATTGGTTAGCTCATTCCCCGAAGTCTAAACAAGAAAATACTTACGGTCCCACAGGCCCGCCTCCTCTTGTTGATAGGACCACCTCCTCAGTATCAACTTTTCTTTTAATCGATGGCTTCAATTGCATGCGATAAACTACGGGCTCCGTCTCGGTATCACTGCATCGGACCTTTTCCCATTGTAAGTGGCGATGGAATGAATTAACGGCACTTACAGTGCCATTCTCCCTCTGAATTTGCTGGCCTAGCCTTGAAGTGACTTGCTTAACATCAGGCCGTAAGCAATACCGGAAGGCTTCGACAATTTTTTCGCTAGATAGAGCTTTCTCCCGGAGGGGAGATGGACCCAGGCCTGCGTTGTAGATTGTTGATGCCCAGAACGGTTGGCTGTAGATTGTTAGCGCTAAATTTAGAACTTGGAGCCACTTTTGACAGACAGACTGAGACCAATAAAGATAGAAAACTTACTCTCGAAGGACTGGTAGTGATAGCATTGGTTTCCCATATCTGACACCCTGTTTAATGGTTGTGATGTCGCCACTGGTCAACAACACGGCAATCTTGGAAATGATCCATTCTATAGTGAGATATGTAAGTTTTCATTGTTCTTAATCTTTTCCAGAGGGTTGTAGATTTCAATGAACTCACCATTTGGAACACCATCTAGCACAAAGATCTTCGGCGATGTAAGAATCTGAATGTCCTTTCCAAACCTACTTGGCAGAAGGAAATAGATTCCATATTTCTCTGAGGCTTCGAAGAGATATTGGACCAATCTAGCCGGTTCGTTCAACTGGGTGATATCCAGTAAGACCAAGACAGGTTCCACTGCGGATTTGAGGAATACTTTCAATTCTTCCGAGGGGGTATAGAAAGATGGGCTTTCTACGGTGGGGTAGCCTGAGATATCTAGAAATTCATTTTAGCAACCAAGGCAATCAAGTCAGGGAGTCTCTTCACATACCAATGGTCTCGTCCCAGTCCTCTGGTTTTGGAAGCAACCCCGCGGACCACAGATAAGTGTGAGGAATCTTGAGGTCCCTCATAATATTTGCTCCATCGAACAGAGGCATTTGCGGTAACCCTAGAACTGCTTGTCGGAAATGATCGACGACATAATAGACCCTGGAGCCATGTCAGTATCGACTTTCATATAGCCAGACGGCGATAGGTATGAACGCTTCTTACTCATGCCAGACCGATTCGCCAACAAGCAGATATGAAAGATAATTTTGAAGCTGATAATCAATCTCACTCCCCGTCTCGATATGTGCTAGCGGATGTACGAATCGTCTCGTTGGTGTCCAGGGGCTGTTAGAGAATATATGGAGTGGGATGGAAAGCATCTCAGCACAATGGACGTGGGCATGTGCAAGGGGCGTTGCAATGATGGCATCCGCGACGAATGGTTTGTTATCGTGTGAACCGGGCTGGACACAGGCATTCCAACATTCCTTGAGTGTGTTTAGAAGAAGTTTACTATTCTTCAGGACCTCGGGTCTGCTATGACTGCTAAGCTCGGGCATAAAACCTGAATCTTTTGTCTATTTAATGTTAGCTATTCAACTCTCTAACTGTAATGCGTACAAACGGTGATTTTACCGCAATAGGATGCTCTGGGTCGCTGCTGATTGAGAAAAATTCCAATCCGGCTCGAAGGACGAACGATTGGAAAAGCGAATGTGTAGCGACTCTAACTCGATGCCCATGTTTTTGGAGCTCCTGGCCAACCAAGATGATGGATTTGATCTCATCTATGGAGTGATTATGTATTAGCTATGCACGCACCAAGGCCCTTGGCGGTGATGTGTTCTTACCTCTGCTTCCCACGAGCATCAGAATAATATCAAGTGGGATTTCGGGGGTCTCAACTGAGATCCTAGCAGCACAATCAGTGCTTCTGACAGGTGAATTTGGGCCGGGATTGATGGCCGGAATATCGATAACTTGTGGTCGTTGAGTGGGTAGTGAAAATGATTGGATTAGCGCAGATGTGCGAGCCCCGGCGCTTAAATCTATGCTAAAACGACCGATATCTTTTTGGGGGGTTATGTTAGTAAACAAACTCTGGAAATAGACCCTTCATCTTGAATACCTTCGATTAGAATAGAGTCCCGCCAGGAATTCCTGGTGGTTGGTGGTAATAACAGTTGGTCTTCGTTAAAGACAGAGTTGTATGCCGGCGGCGGCTCGTCAATGATCGACTCTTCATTCGTCTCATCGAAAATCCCCTCTTCAAGGTGTGTGTATTCGTGTTTGGAAGACATGATGAATGTTGGGGAGGGATAAAACAGCGAAAACAGATTCACTATAAATATGCGCGAGAGACGATCTGTTAGGCAGCGTTGTTTTTATTTTTGCATCTCCGGAAAATATTTTAAAAGAAATGATTGAAGAAAATGATTGACCACTGGGGACTTTTCAATAATAAATCCACTATAACCTTATTTGATCATGTGGGGATTTCAGAACCTAAACGTCTCGGATTGAATGCGAAACCCGAATGCGACGCAACTTTACTCGTATTCGGGTTCGGAAACCGATAAAGATACTGAGATCTTCAACTGGATACCGAAATTAGCTAGCTTTAAGATTGATCCTTAAACCCTGAAGATTATTTTGAATTGCTACAGCATGAATATCTATGCTGCCTAGAAGTAGACCGAGATTTTGAACGTCTAGGAAATGGTCTATTTAATTCGTGACCGTCCGCTTCTTTCTTGTTAACAAGATCGAGTCCATAGTTGGAAACTTTGGAGAAACATTAATCATTTTCAAGATGTCAAAATCCACCTTCATTCTTTACAATTACACACCTACACTTGTGGGTGCAGTATTGCTTGCCGCACTTTTCTTCTTATCGACTGCTTTCCACCTCTACCAACGGATCAGAAGCCATTCAAAATACTTCAACCCATTTATTGTTGGAGGAATATGTTAGTGTATTATATTCATATCAATCAGCTCCCTGGCTAATTTCAATCCCAGTCCAAATTATCGGTTATATCGCTCGTGCCGCCGCCCATTTCAACACAACATCAACCATCCTCTACGCAATGCAGTCCCTCTTTATTCTGTTGGCGCCAATTCTCTACGCGGCGTCTATTTATATGGTTCTTGGAAGAATTATCACTTTCCTTCATGGCGAACATCTAAGCTACGTGCCTGTCCATCTTATGACAAAAGTCTTTGTCGGTGGTGATATTCTCTCCTTCATCCTCCAGGGAGCAGGTAAGCGTTTCATAGCTGCAACCTTGAAAACCTCTAAGTCTTACCAAATCCTCTCCTAGGTGGTGGTATTACGACCAACGGGTCTACAAAGACTGTCATGGTCGGCCAGTGGGTTATTGTCGGAGGCCTCTGCGTCCAACTTCTTTTCTTCTGTGCCTTTGTCTTATCATCTGCCCTTTTCCATATCAGGATTTTCGCATCACCAACCGAGAAGTCTGCACGGACAATGCACCTTTGGAGTTCCATCTGGCCCAGAGATTGGAGAGGGCTTCTTTTTGCATGCTACGCTGTCAGTGTATTGATTTTGATCCGATCCGTTTATCGACTTGTCGAGTTTGCTCAAGGAAACAGTGGCTATGTCATTAACCATGAGGTTTTTTTGTACGTTTTTGATGCTGCCATGATGTTCATGGTTATGGCGATTATGAACGTCTTCCACCCATCTGTTGTTTTGAAAAGTGACAAATCTACCAACTCGAGGGAAACCGACAGCTCCATTGAAGCCAACAACTCCCATGAGCTCAAGGGAGCTTCCACAGGAGGTGAAAGAATCATGAATTGAGTTGGCATTACATGAATAGTTGGGAGTATTTTTTGGGACCATTTATCTACATGTACCTGAATTCTGCTATAGATTTTGACTGTTTTTCCCTGTATCGTCTTTACTTTACTTTTAAATAGTATTGGAATTTTACATGAATACATAGATTAAGTTGTTTCTTTTTTATATGATTGCTATTATTATAGCTTTAGTCAGGAGTATGTACAGGACCATAATTCTTATTGGGAAGTGTTTAGTGGATGGACTCAGTGCACAGGGAAGGGTTCAAGGGGTACAAATTGGAGATAAGCTCCACTCCACAGATAGGCTAAGCAATACCTGTCGCTTGCAAATCAATATAGCGTAGATCACTTCTATCGTCTTTGCTGCTGTTTCCTTTTCACTCTGGATCTTAGTGAGTGCGCCCCTATGTTTCTAGGAGAGCGTGGGGGCGACCTCCGAGTGATCTTGAAGTGTTTCCCCTACTAGTTCCATTTTGTTTTAGGTCCTATTAAGCTTATCCTTTTTTATCCATATCCCAATACTAAAAATATTGTTCTGTGTGCTTCTTAGGTTTCATACTCGGTTATCATTTCCCATCTGGTCAGTTTACGTGACAGGTATTTTGAAATTAGATTTCTGTGAAGAACCTTGAGGTGGAAAGAGGATAGAGACGAAATTTAATCAAGCAATGTATACAAGCTAGAGAGAAGGTGGTAAAGAAACGATAAAATCTTATTAATTGATTGCTATAATTCCTTATCTATTCCAAATTTCCTCCAAATTCCCTCTATGCCACCTGCCTATACATGAGCTCCGCATCATCCATCTTGCTGTGTCCAGAAACAACTTGGCTTGGGTGGAAAATCAGGAAAGTGAGCATGACCACGATCATCAGAGAAGTGTCAAAGATATAAGCAAAGTACTCGTGGCTTTGCAAAAAGCCAGTTGATCCTTGAATGTACTCAATCACTCGGTAAAGACAACGAATTATGATCAAAGCACTTGCAAAGTACAGAGTACACATGTACCGTTGCCAGTCAACTGAAGTGCCCATAGCTGATGTGGTGGGGTTTCTGTCCATCCGCTTGTGGAAGACGATCGAAACGACCACGAAAAAGCCAAAGAAGATCATTTGGACGAACAAACCAACGATGATAACGTTTTCGCCAAGCTTTAACTTGCTGGCTGATTTGGCTCCTGACATCAATGCGCCTCCTGTATATGATGTTTAGCACATTTACATAAAGTTTGCGGAAGGGGAAATGCTTACCTGTACTCTGGACAAAGAATGCCAGGACATCACCGCATACAAAGATTTTTGTTAATCTTGATGCGCGAATGAGAGACCTCGAGTCTCCGTCCGTCAGACGAATGATTCGACCAAGTATCATATAGATCGATGCCGAAAACAGAGAAGGGCCGAGTAGAATAAAGAGACTTTGTAAAGCGTATGGCATGGTCGCGTAATTTGGGGCTTCGTGGGCGTTGACTGCTCGTGCCGCATATCCAATTGCTTCAAAGAAACCACCAATAATGAAAGTTATGAAAAATTGTGTCTTGTGCTTCCAAGCCAAAAATATGTGGCCGAGGTTTATAGCGATGAAGAGGAGCAGACAAATGATTGCAGCTGCCAGCGAAGGTGTATAGTTGTAAAGAATGTAATCAGACATCTTGAATGACAAGACCGGAGTTGCGACAGACTGAATGAGGAGTATAAAGAGTGAATTAGAAAAAAAGACGATAGGAAAAAGATGCATGTGGCTGGATCATAAGCACATTATCGTGTTGTTTATATTCATGATTTAGCGCCAGAAGGCTATCAAAAACTAGCTTTGCGTCAGGCAGCCACAATAAGTTTCTATTTGCGGAGCTTGAAGTTTCTTTAAAATTTAAGAAGTGGCTATATAGTTCGGGTGAGGAATTACAGTCAGAAAAAGCCGAATACGAAACCGACGACCCACTCCGCACACTCAGCAAAGCTTGTAATTCGTAGAAATTAGGTAAAACAGTGCATCTACGTTTTAAATACTCTGCTTGGCGGTATCAAAGTATTCAATTTGGAGTCAATTATCCATTACAAACGATGGAATAATCTTTACGGTTCAAAATAACGGTTTCCGTCGCATAGTTGATTGTAGGGCATGCGGGTAGAACCGACTACTTAGCATCCACTTCTTCAAAGCTGTAGGTCCAAAGTAATTGGCACCAGCAGAGAGGCACCTTAAGATTAGTCTGTAGGCACCCGCATTGTTTTTAAGCCATTAACAGCCATGGTTTCAAAAAGAAAAGAGAAAGAGGCGAAGGAAAATCCACATCGATCTGTTCTTGCCCGTGCATGAGGCTATGAGTTTATAAGGCCATAATCCAACCAAAATCCAGCATATATCTCAATACACACACTATGCTCAGTAACCTTGCTATAATTCTTATCGTGCTCGTGTGTGCCCTCACGTCTGTCTCACTTGCAGCAGGCATCTTTGGTGTCGTCACCCCTTCCGAAGCTACTTTGTATTCGCCAAGCATGCAACAACAACGATATATGCGACAAGTCAGATTCCTACACGTCAATCTCCTACTGCAAGAGAACAGTCTCCGATCAGGGAATGTTTCGAGGTAAATTCTGGCCTCTGCTAAAGTCTTTCTATCTTGTTCTGACTATCCAGATGACATTGGATCTTGAAAGACAGTCAGTGCAGGATAGTGAGAGTGAGATGTGAATCAAAAACTGTTTTCTCAAAATGAGAGTAAGGAAGATTTATGAAGAGGCTTCTTGAAATAAGTGAGTTTTATGCTGATCAATAGTCGCAGAACAATTATCCTTCAATTCCTTTGAAGTCTTGAACTGATCCTTACTAGAGTGAAACGATGCTCTTCCAAGATTGCTCTTTACAAAGCCTAGATTCATGGTAGACGCTTTACAGTGGAAAGCTGTGTTTAACCTCTCTTGAAACTTATTAGATAGATATTGATATGAATTGGAATATATGTACAATACTCTAAATTTTCTTGGGTCCTAGGTCAACCTTACGGAACCCAACCCAATTGCTCCATGGGCCATTGTAGCCAGCAGCGGTGCTCCTCGTCCAGGCAATGGTATATACTTCGTATCATATGATGGCTCAAGCCTTGCATCCACCAGGCCCATTCAAGGTAGTGAGTGATCACGCAGAAATATGAGAAAATGACCAGAGCTTCGGGCTTTCGTTGCCGAAGCAGATTTAAATATTCGTCGGATATCTGTAAGAGCCAGACAAATACATCAGCCGTCTGGCAGTTCTCAAAGCCATCTTCTTCCACAGATGCGAATGATTTGCTCATGTCATGTATGGCGTCAAAGTAGCAATTAAGTTCTTCCGTATTCGGCACGTTGTCCCTGAGAAGTTGTCGCAAATCATTCAAGTAGGTCAAGTTTGAAGTCGATCTGGCGTTCCGGGCACGACTTCTCGAATTTCCATTCTTGAAAATTGGCGAGAGGACTCCGGTTTTGATGGTATCTTCTGCTGCTGCAATGATGGAGCGGGTACCACGGAATAAGGATAACCACTCAATATCCCGATCGCCGATCATCCAGAATTCATGTGTCACTCGAGGTTTTGCACAGGAGATGATACATGCAATGGATGAAAACAGATAAATTGCACTAGCATTTTCCTTGTTCATAGTTGGGATGATAGCGGAGACCATCTGCAGGGCCTGGCTGTGGTGAAACTCGGCCTGTGTGACATAGTGTGCATGAAGCTCGGGCCTCAGATAAGCCAGGTGCAGGGCTGATAAGGCAAGGATGCCATGAAGAAGAAATGGAAAAGAGAATCCAAACTGGGGAACTCTGATTCGCCATACTGTTTGGAGCACCGGAAGGCGAGAAATCGTGTAGCATGTGGATGTTGAGTAATGGTGAAGCAGCTCCATTTCTGAGATTCCCATTGCCATTCCCATGTCAGCAGATTGACCGTATGCACTAGCATTACTGTTTGAGCCAATGGTGTTGGCCGCAACGGATGGCGAGTTATCCGCATGTAGAGACTCCGCCGATGGTGGAGTAGACATAGGGGTCGCCCTTCTGCTGATTACCTCCTTGGAGTACAGACAATCAATCGCATGGTTGGTGCAATTTCGGCAGTGTGGTCTGGTTTCATCACACTTTAATATCACCATAGGCAATATTAATATAGGTTCCAAAAATCGCAAAGCCTAGCTATTTCATGGAAGGAGCTTGCCTACCTTGACCTTACGTGCTTTGCAACGCTGACAGCCATTCCTAGATTTGGTATGCGCTCGTCGAGCTGTCGGACGCTCCATTATGGAATCCAATTTTTGGTAAGCGCAGGCCTTACCTCCGGTAAAAGCGCATCTGACCCGAAAAATTGGTTGATTAAGTTTCTCGCAAGCGGCGAAAATGAAGAATATGGGGGGACGGTGGGGTCTTGGCCTGATTTTGGGAATTTAATGCCTGAGGCATATAACCTCCTAGTCATTGAGTGAAAGAAATTAATTGCAAGAACATCATTCCTAGTAGCTTCAATCTTAAAGACAGCAGAGCCGATAGAAAAACTAAAATCCGTTACGTACTATAAGTCCGCAACTTAGGCAGCAATATTAGTCCAAGTAACCTCCCTAATTCAGTTTTGTAGCGCCATACAACCCAATAATAGCCCCAGTCAAGGGAAACAGAGCTCTCACTAAGTTCAATTTCGACCACTTCCTGAAAAGTTCAGGAATTTCAGCATCTTCTTTCGCCCGTTTCACCTTCTCCTGCTCCCCCACAACCATCCCCTTCATTCCTTCCGCAGCAGCAGCATCATCCCGTGTCGCAATCGCCGTCAACCGGGCATTCGTCCTCTTCATTGCCGTCAATGTCCAAACGGCTAATCCCATTGTTGCGACAATAGCCGTCATGTAACACCCAGTCCAGCTGCCACCCACTATACCCGACTCTGGCACAGCTGTGTTTCTTAATGCCCAGGCAAGATACCCATTCGCGACCGAAGAAACTACGGAAATCACGGGAAAGGTCATCTTTCCCCGTTCATATGTGTTGAGCCATTGGTGTGTGAGGTGTGGGACTGGGGTGCCCGGGACTTGCTGCGAAGGAATGGTGACTGAGGCCGGTTGACGAGCTGGAAGGGTGAGAGTGGGGATGGTTAATATGGAGAGAGTCATCACACCACCTGACAGGTATCAAAGTCAGCGCTTAACCAAGGTTTTCATCCCTAGGTGAGCTTACCTGCTGCGACGCCGCAGCCGAGCGTGCTGATCATTTGGGCCACGAAGATATCTGTACCCATCTTACTAACTGGATGTGGATGCTTCTCAGGAGATATGAGGTTAAGTTTTCTCTGAAGATTAAAGGAACTCAGTTGAAAATTTGGTCCCATGTGTCGAGTCTTATTTGATATGTGGTCGATGACGTTACTACCCTGGATCAATACGGGTACATCTATTGATCCAATAATGCCCAGGTATCAACACATGTGCCGTCCATCAATTGGAAGATTTGGAGAAATCTGCCTGAGGCTTTTTAAATGAAAAAAGATATCAATTTGTACAGGTAAATATCCTTATGTATAAAAGTATTACAGCATACCTGGGTAACCTGGGATATCTACATGTATCAAGATATATGTGAGGCCTGGTTGAAACCTCGGAATATATATTTACCCAACATTTGGAATGAATGGAATGTTCATGTTTCAAATTTTGAAAACGTGAAGATTTTGCTGGGTATTCTTATTTTGCTGGGTATTCTTATTTTCAATGGCCCTACATTTTCCTACGATAAACTCGGTACTCCCCGCAAAGGATCATCAGCCGAGCGGGAGCGAGGGAAGAGGCCCAACTCCGAGATCTGAAATGCGCGAGCAATGAATGGTGAGTGCGGGGCGAGTCGGACTGAAGTGCGAACCCCACATGAAACAGTACCTCCTCCTGTCCCCAACGTTCTTGCTTCTTTTTGTTCTCTCATCAAACATTTAGAATCTAAATCATGGAGTCAGAATCTACCAGATCGGAGCCGAAATACATCAATTTCCCTTGTTTGCCTCCAGACGCCAAACACCCGGATGGCTCCCCCGCACTCAACCGGTGGTCTTCAGCGATCACTAAGGGTCATGATTTCCCGGGCGCAAGGGTTTGTTCAAGTCTTATTGGGAAATTTGAATGGTTACTAATGTCCTACAGGCTATGCTTTTCGCTGCTGGTGTCCCAGACAAAGAGGCAATGGCCAAGGCGCCGCATGTGGGCATTGCGTCCGTTTGGTGGGAGGGCAATCCATGCAATATGCATTTGATGGACTTGGGGAAAACAGTCAAGAAGGCCGTAGTGGAAAAGGGTATGCTTGGGTGGCAGTATAACACAATCGGTGTCTCCGATGCGATTACTATGGGAAATGACGGTAAGCGTGGGAGCTATCAGTGAAAAATTAATAACATCAACTGACAGCAAATTGTCTTCAAGGCATGAGATTCTCGCTCCAGACTAGAGAAATCATCGCAGATAGCGTGGAAACCGTTACCTGTGCTCAGGCTCACGATGCCTGTATCGCTATTCCCGGATGCGACAAGAACATGCCCGGTGTCGTCATGGCCATGGCGCGCCACAACCGCCCATCTATCATGATCTATGGCGGTACCATCAATATCGGATACTCGGAATGCCTCCGGAAGCCCATTAACGTATCAACTTGCTTCGAGGCAGCTGGTGCGTACGCATATGATACTCTCAGTCAGCCCGACGACGGCGGTGATAACAGCAAGACCAAGGATGAGATTATGGATGACCTTGAGAAGCACGCTTGTCCTAGTGCAGGTGCATGTGGTGGTATGTTTACGGCGAACACCATGGCCACTGCTATTGAGTCCATGGGTCTGTCTTTGCCAGGCTCATCATCCACGCCGGCTTCATCTCCCTCCAAAATGCGCGAGTGTGTGCGTGTTGCTGATGCTATCAAGATCTGCATGGAGAAAAATATCCGACCGCGCGATTTGCTCACCAAGCGCGCTTTCGATAATGCATTGGTGATGACCATGGCGCTAGGTGGTAGTACCAACGGCGTGCTCCACTTCCTGGCCATGGCCCGCACAGCGGATGTTGACCTGACACTGGATGACATCCAGCGCGTCAGCGACAAGATTCCCTTCATCGCTGACCTGTCACCCAGTGGAAAGTACTATATGGCTGACCTATACGAGATCGGCGGTATTCCGTCTGTGCAGAAGCTGCTGATCGCAGCTGGTCTATTGGATGGCGACATCCCCACGGTGACTGGCAAAACTCTCGCCGAGAATGTAGCATCTTGGCCCTCGCTTCCACAGGACCAGACTCTGATTCGCCCTTTGTCGAATCCCATCAAGGCGACCGGTCATCTCCAGATTTTGCGCGGCAATCTCGCTCCTGGTGGTGCGGTCGCTAAGATTACCGGGAAGGAGGGTCTCCGGTTTACAGGGAAAGCCCGCGTCTTCAACAAGGAGCACGAGCTTAACGACGCCCTTAACGAGCATCGTATTCCTCGTGGCGAAAACTTGGTTTTGATTGTTCGTTATGAAGGTCCCAAGGGTGGACCTGGTATGCCGGAACAACTCAAGGCTAGCGCGGCACTCATGGGTGCGAAATTGAACAACATTGCACTTATTACCGATGGACGTTATTCCGGTGCTAGTCACGGGTTCATTGTTGGTCATATTACCCCTGAGGCTGCTGTTGGTGGTCCCATTGGACTTGTTAAGGATGGAGATGTGATCACTATTGACGCTAATACTAATGAATTGACCATGGCCGTGTCTGATGAAGAGCTCCAGGAGCGTCGTCGACAGTGGACTCCACCTGTACCGCAGATTACTCGGGGTGTGTTGGCCAAGTATGCACGCTTGGTGGGCGATGCCTCACATGGTGCTATGACGGATCTATTCTAAGTTTGAATAAGAATAACGAATTGATCTTGAAATACAAAAGTTCCCTCATCCACGTCGCAACGCCATTACGCAATAATTAGCGATCTTCAGTCCTCAAAATCAAGATTTACTGTGTAAAGGGGTTGAACTTTATGAGCGGGCAACAAATCGGCAGGCATGGCGGAGATGTTAAGCTAGACTTGTGGCCCCGATGGCCAGTCTGGTTGGCTACTGGATGATCCACAAGTCCAATTGATCTACACGTCCCATTCGCCTCGCCTTGAATAAGCAAAAGAAAGCTAGTTATGTTTCGGCCCAGACGGAAGCGGGTAATAGGGGGTTGGACAACTTGGTATCAACCGCATTGGTGGTGAATATGAGGAACCACTCGGATATGCCATACAGCACCCGACATCGCCAAGAAGCCTTCCATTGGTTTGATTAAGCATTTTTGAAAACCATTTATTAACCCTTTTTAAATTCCACGGGCGTCATGGGCGTGCAAACCATCACGGTATGGACTAAGGAATGCAGTAGGAAGATGAGATGACGCAGTAATACACCGCCACTTTGTACGGGTGTTGACATATCCCTTTATTCGAAGCCGCGCAAATAAAAGTAGGAGCCGCACACAAATACTAATAGATACCCATATTCAAGCCATGCAGGGATGTGGATCCCCTATAGAGATAGTTCGATCTTAGTATAACTAATTCCGGGCTTTTATGTCAGATCCAGATAATGTTTACCATATTGTCCAATCAGTCTCCATCGTGGCTTGAATTTACGCATTAGTTTGGGACTTCCTTATGTACATATGGGTTTTACTCCATAACTCCATGGTTCTATTCCTTCTAGAAGAAGCCGTAGTTCCCCTATTCGTTCCTTCCTTGGTTATTTTGGATTCACCGCCACCGATGTCAAGTGGATCCAAGTTGAGTCACGTTCCCCATTCTTTCTTTTGACTGGACGAGTCTAATTGCTTTTTTTCCCTTTCTTCAAACACTTGTTCAACGTTGGCGATCGCACTCATTTAATTGGTGTCGCACTGCGGGTTTCTGGGTTCCGAAACATCCGTATCCAAAGAGGTACTGCTGTGTCGTCGCGTGGTCTGATTGTGAGATCCCCGAGGGTCCAGAACCTTGGGGAGACCTATCTACGACTCCTTACTGGGATTTCTGATACGTATAAACCCGACCAGGCGCCATGGGGAACAATGACTCGCCCAACAAGCTTATCAAGTTCTTTGAATCCCTGTCCTCCGAGTCCTCCGAATCCTCCAATCGATCACGCCTTGGGGCATTCGTACAGCTGTGCAGTTCGGCCCGTGTAGCGGCCCAACAGGCCTCTCTCTCTTCTGTCGCAAACTCCCTTCGCAAACTCTACCGCAATGACAGCGTGAACTGGGGCCAACTTGTGTTTCTCATGACCTGTGTGATCACCATGGCTGGCTGCGGTATTTTTTCCTCCCTCAGGCGGCGCTCGCCAGCCAAAAAACCTCGATCGCAACGGTCCACCATGCGCAAAACTTTGACCAAGTCATCTTCGAAGACACTTACCTCGTCGGATGATGATTATGAAGATGAGGATTATGATAGCAATGGGTCGCTGCGTCATGCTACCCTCCCATCTCGCGCGACCGACGAGCACGCATCTCAGCCTGAGAAAAATACATCCGATGGTAAGTCAAAATCTCTTCCCGTCGCCAAGGTTGCGCCTAACGAGAACCCAGCTTTCAAAACAGACCCTGGTATTCTGAAGAAGTTCACTTCTTATCGAAAGTATACCACCTCCGTGGCAACTTATCCCGAAATTCGAACTTTCTTTTGTCGACACCCGCACCTGGACCGTCTTCCGAGCAAACCTTCCCCAATCCCTTTACTTGTGTTTGTGCACGGCCTCGGCGGATCGCTCGCACAATTCCACCATCTTCTCACTAGTCTTTCGAATGTCGGATCTTGCTTTGGCATTGATCTGCCTGGCTGCGGCCTGTCGAAGTTTGAGCCAAGTAACTGGGATGCATACACCGTGGAAGCCCTGGCGGAGTTGCTAGCAGTCGCTATTGAGCAACAACGGGACCCTGATCAAGACGTGATTCTGGTGGGTCACAGTCTGGGATGCTCTTTGTCTGCACTCCTCGCTTCGTCCACCTCGCCTATTGAAACCTCTCTAAGGGAACATATCATTGGATTGGTCGCTGTGTGTCCTCGAGCGTCTCCTCCGTCTCCTCATGAGACCGCAATTGCACGTCGCCTTCTTCGCATCCCTGGTCCGATCTTTGATCTGTGGCGTTACTGGGATCGACGCGGCGGTATCCAGAGTGCCAGTGTTATGAGAATGGTCGGCAGTGATGCCGATGCGGAGACAAGAGACCTTCAGGTGCGCTTCAACAAGCAAAGCCGGACTCCCGTGTGGCGCCGGATGGCGTGGGGCTCCCTTCCGACTTATAAAGGCGATGAAGCCATTGGGGGCATGCCAGGCGAGAAAGTATGGGCTGGTGTCCATATGCCAATTCTACTGGTGGCAGGAGAGGCAGATGCAGTGACGAAACCGGAGGAAATTAAGAAGCTTTTGAAATATTTTGGCAGCGCTTCAGCCCATACTGCAATCGACACCACGGGAAGCAGCACCATCCCAGACGCTTCACGAGTCCAAGACCAAGTGTCTTCACCGCCAAACAGCTGTTCTCATGTTGTCCAGGTGGTGATTGACAATGAAAAGCCAACCAAGTCCACCTCAGGCAGCCCGCTCAAGAGACTGGTTAAGTCAGCCATCCTGCCGGCTCCTGCATCACATGCTCTTCTCTACGACCGGGCCACATACCGCACTTTGGCTGGCATCATCCAGGGATTTTTGGCCTCAAACATCGACAAGCGCCTAGGGCTGGGATGGCAATTACAACAAATGAACACTTCAGGCAAATGGGACGTGAAGAACCTCGCCAAATGGCAGAAGGTTGCCCCAGTCTCAGCGCCAATTGCGAATACTTTCCGGGCGATGAAGATGCTGCGGGAGGTGGACGAACATCACAACCCAGTCAAGTTCTCTGCGGAGTATCGCGACCAGATTTATGCTGTCATCGACATCAGCCATGAGAGCCCTGTCTACAGCCCGTCGCAAATGGAAAGAGGCGGGATTCGTTATTGTAAACATCCTACCGTCTCGAAGCTCCCTCCGACTCCCGACGAGACTCGAGATTTTATCGCTCTGGTTGACCGCTTGCAGAAGGACATTGACGATCAGATGGAAAAGCGAGATGATCCATCACTGCCGCGTCCACTAATTGGCGTTCACTGCCACTATGGGTACAATCGGACTGGCTTCCTCATCGTGTGCTACTTGATCGAGCAACTGGACTATCCTGTCAAAGATGCAGTGGCTGAATTCAACCGGTGCAGACCCCCTGGCATTCGACATGATCACTTCATTGATGAGCTCCATGCTCGATATGCGGGAATCAAGAGAGTTCCCACTCTGTAATTTTTAGATTTTCTTGGGTTACATGGCGTTTTGATTAGAATCCGACGGGGAGAGTCAAATCGCGAAGGGTTCTTGCGTTTTTGTTCTTTTATTAAACTTCTTCATGAGAAACGAACCAGCAGATATGTGTTAATAGGAAATAAACGATTAATGAATGTCAATTACTACAGCTTTATTTTTTGTAATTCCATTTCAGTATATTATCCTAAAAGTTTACTGTAACGTTTTTCACGGGCGAGCGGCACACACCCCCAAACAACATTAGTAAATGCGATATTTACTACCCTAATATCTCAACAACAGCAATCAGAATATATTCCTGTATTGGCCGATAGACACGGATAAGGATTATCAGAAGTTTGTATCACTTGAAATGAACCAAACTCTTGTCTCATTACGATACAGAAAATTACATCGTCCAACTGATGAGATATATACATACCAGTCATCAAGTCATAAAATGCTCGAAACTCATTAACATTGAGGGATCTAGATGTCACTTTGAGAGAACTCAGCTTGAAGGAAAAGCTTCTACAGGCCACTGTCGTTGAGATAATGAGTTATAAGTTATCGCATTTAATATGGTGTTTGAGGGTGTGCCACTCGCCCGTGTGCGCCGCTCGCCCGCGAAATACTAGTACTTGGGATTCTAGATGTATGTTCCCGATGGGATTAATGAAGTATAATCATTGGGTTAGTAATCATGTTTCTGCCTTGGTGCCTTCCAAAGGATCAAGTCATGTGATATCAGGTGACAGTTGCCTGAGGTGCACACTTAGGGTACGGCTAAACCCAAACAGGCTAAGCGAACCAACCACACAGACGGCAGCGCAACCCAACCGGGGCAAGAGTTTGTGTGTCTCGAAATTTTGGACTCTTCGACTTCGACCCTGCCCACCTCGACTTCCCGCCCTACGACTCTCTCAACCCCTACGCCCTCAACAAGTCGCCAAAATGGGTGGTGTTACCGTTCGCGATGTGGACGTAAGTGTCCTCACTGATCTATCCGATCAGCCCCTCGTCCACCAGGTCTTCGCCGTGCATATGTGTCTGGGTTCGTTTCTGGAGGTCTCGGTTCATCAAAAGGAGGCTATTCGCAGCGGCAGCAGGCATATCGTCTGGAAATAACGGATCGGATATGAATGGATGGTCTCCTGATGGGAGAAGGGGGTGGCATTGAAGTTCCATGTGTGCGTAACGTGGGCTGAATGTTGATCTTATGGATTAGCATTCGCGTTCTACAACGGATGCATCGGATTCAATGGCCATACGAGCACGATAAAACTCTGCTTCTGCGACAAGAGGAGGATTCTGAACGAGCTGCTACCGGAAACGAACTCAACAAATATGCACATTTGCGCCTTCACCAAGACCAGATAACTCGGTTAATCCACGACGCTAACATATTATTTTTCTCTACTACAGGCGCAGAAGTTCATTGCTGCCTACTCTGCTTTCCTGAAGCGTCAGGGAAAGCTCCCCATCCCCGGCTGGGTCGACACTGTCAAGACCTCCGCCTCCAACGAGCTCCCCCCAGGACGCTGACTGGTACGATCGACCTACCTCCCAACAACATCAGGGTGCAGTGAAATTAACTTGATTTTTAAAGGTTCTACATCCGCGCCGCCGCTGTCGCCCGTCACATCTACATGCGCAAGACTGTCGGTGTCGGCCGTCTCCGCAAGGTCCACGGTTCTACCAAGAACCGCGGTTCCCGTCCCGCTCACCACGTTGACGCCTCCGGTTCCGTTGACCGCAAGGCTCTCCAGGCTCTTGAGAAGATCGGTGTCCTCGAGGTCGATGAGGACAAGGGTGGCCGCCGCATCACCCAGTCCGGCCAGCGTGATCTTGACCGTATTGCCAAGACCACCGTTGACGAGGAGGAGTCTGATGAGGAATAAACATGTCACCCAGGGCTTAATGTGTTTCGGGGGTCGTTTTGAGTTTGCTTAAATGCTTAGCAGGGCAAAAATGAGATGACATCAAAAAAAATCGGAGCTTGGTCCCGGCGATTCTTGTTTACGTTTCCTTTCTGTTATTTCCCATCCACACTTCAACCTTTTTTATCATGACCAGACGGGGCTAGCGGAGAAGATGGGTGTTTATGCATGAGGACATTCCTGAGAGCATTGAGCGAGAGAGAAGAGGACGAGACAGGGCAATCCAGCTTCCATTTTGATCTGGCACGAATACGTGCCAGGCGGATGGGAGTTTCTTTTTCCTTCTACATATTTTGATCTCCCTCACCTCTTTGACCCGACCAACCCAACGGCGTCTCTGATCCTGTTTTCTCTCGTGGTCTCCTGGAAATAAAGAGCATGTCTGACTACACGTTAAAACGTTCACTCTGCTGTGGTAGTTCGTAGCATCTGGTCTGTAAATATCGGAGTACTGATATACATTAGGGCATCCACCTAAGCAGTAAATTCAATGGAACAGATGGGAGCACATCACTGGAGGTTGGACCCTGAAAACTAGCGGAGCAAGTACCGACGATCAACGTCCCGTTCATCCGTTCTGGTCTGTGCTTGAGGAATATTTCTACATGCGCCAAGTACTCTTTACATCATGAATTGCAAAAGCACCTTAGTCTCCGAGTTCTGTCAATTAACGATAATAAACATATTACACATCTTGAAGCCCTTTCGATTCAACATTTGAATCTCATCTACGTAGGATACGACTTCGGCGGGACTTTGGGAGCGGGAACATATATACTTTCAAGGTTCTCGGCTATCACTCTTGCAGATCATAGCCCTGCAACACATGTGCTTGGCTCAACCACATGTACAGCCAGCATCTCGGCAAACAACATTTTCCAAGAACCGAAGCAATGCTCCGATTCAAGCAATTATGGAGTCGAATCTGATCTGCAATTGATGTTCCTTGGTACTTCCTTTGTGGTTCTTCCGCATCCTCTCGAACCTTGGAACATTTATGTTGCCGACCCCCGCAACCTTCCAAAAAGATGCTGAATTTTAGGACAACTTAAATTTATGCCTAGCTGACGTTATAGTTCAAACCATTGAATGAACCTTGCATGTAAATTTGAAACATGTTGAACCATGCATGCGTGTGATTCGAGTTCTCTAAGACAGGCCTTCTATGGAAACGAGATCATTATATAAATTTATTATACATTTGAAGAACCTGGAGACATAAGAAATATTTAAATGAAAGGACAGATCACAAGCTTACTGAGGCTTGCGATTCTTATAATGAGACATTTCCACCCATCCCTCTGGGTCACCATTGCCGTTCAGAACCGTGTGAGGTGTCTCAGGCTCATCCTCTTCGAATCGAGATAACGAATCACTGGAAGATGAAGAAGATCCCACAGGCTCAGCGGAAGCCGTCACACCCTTGGTAGACGAAATCGAAATAGTAGTCGTGATCATGGGTGCTTCACCGTGCGGGTTCATTGTTCCTCGTACCGTCGACCCATACTGATTATACTGATAGTTGTTCTGCGGACCAGAGCTTCCATGGGACTTGATGAACTTGGTCGTGAAGGGACGGAATAGAGGCCACACGGGTGGAATGGACATTGAAATGAGGACGACCCATTCTTCGACTTCACCCCAGCGGAATAGAGTGCCAACACCATCTGTTTTCATTAGAATGAGATTTGCATTGGTGGGTAGGTTCGTGCTTACATGAAGGGTCATCACTTAGAATGAATTTCGCTGCCCATGTTCGGACGATGGCTGCGGCTCCGGCGAACACACCGACGCCCATGAGGAAACTTAAACCCCATTTGAGTTTGCGATCGATGTGAAGTGGGGCGAGCATGGTAACGGGGATGATGGCGAGGTAGAAATCGGAGACTGCGGCTACTGCACCGACGAAGTAGGTGTAGTGGACAGCGTTCTTGTGGTTGCATAGATCCTGTCGTAAAGGGTCCCATAGTGCTTTTGGTGGGCTGCATTGTAACCAGGCGAGAAGGATTTGGGGAATATTGACAACGATATTGAATACGGCGAGAGCGACAAGACTTTGACGAATTCTGCGGTCTTGAGATACAGTCAGTAAGATCTTCAAGATAAGAGTGGGCCCGAATGGATACGCACTGCCTTGTGCATTCATCTCAATCAAAAACGCGCATACTGCAACCTTTCCGATTGGGATTGCCATGTTGAAGAAGAACACCGTTATCCATGTAAATAGTAAATAGTTGCCCAGTTGCCCAGTTTCCTTGACAACTTCGATCTTATTTCCGAGTCCATGGAGAATAGATATAACACCGAACGTTTGTGTGATAGCAGTGATAAACTACTGGAGTTTAGTATACGGAGTATGCATCAGTAGAAATGTGATAGAGATCATACCCAAGCCACAAGAGACCAGATCAAAGCTGTAGTACCGAATTTGTTCACTCGAAGTCTCACATAGACACGCATGGCCATAAATATGGTTGCAGTTGCCCCAAGGCCTAAGCCCAGGTGTAAATCAGTTGGTCCGCGCCCTCCATACGCAGGGTAATGATCGTGAAGCCCCATGATGGGTATAGGTAAAAAGATCGAAAAGATCGAAAAGATCCAAAAGATCAAGAACCGGGGTATTTGGTCATTTTCAGGGCGCTCGCATAGATGGCAGGCAAAAAAAAGCCGAACCCCGGTTGCGATCGGATCGCGTCCAACGTCCGCAATGGGAGGGAAAAGAGTGGAGCAAGACAAGAGATCCAAAGGCTTGGGTGGCGATTGGAAGCCTATAGATCGATCAAGTGGATCCGGAGCCCGGCGTCGCCTACGGAGATCCAAAGTATTGGGCCACGATTCTCTGGAAAAGCCGAGTTTATGCTTTTTTTCTCATCTCTTCTGACTTAGATCTCAGCCCCAAATTTTGCCATAACCATTCAATCTCGTCTGCCGCGTCAGTTTTCCGTACTTTTGTCCTTATTGTTCTAAATTGTGGAAGTTACAAGCGGCGTCACCTAAGCGAAGTACCAGGAAAGGACAATGGCCGCGGCTAGTGAATGCCCTATCAGCCACAAAAGAATTGTGTGGAGAACGAATCCGGTGTAGTTCATGATACAAGTATGCAATGACATCTCAGAGCCGGGTCTCCGCAATAAACTCTCGCCAGGTTCTACCACATTTCACGTGGATACCGGCGCACTTACCTGAAACGAGCCCGTGCGCCGTCTGGTTCTCGGCCGGAGCATTCGCCGAATTCGAATACGTACATTCAAATATATTAATTGCCGACATCAAAAAAAAACCGCAGCTGACACCATCCCCACTAAATAAAAAATAGATTTCTCGAGGGCCTCGCCATTTATGCAGAGAGCCTCACGTCATTAGTACAGTAAAGAGCCACTATAATTACCCAGAGAGCAACTCTTAAGCGATGATCTATTCATTGTGGATTTGTCGCCCTGGCATGTACCAGAGCATTTATGTAATACAGTATAGCATTACCATGGAATCGGGTGCACCATGTGGTTAATGTTCCTGGGCGCTTAATGAAATATGTTCCCTGCAGCCGGAGTACATGTGGCTTAGTTTCAATTTTATTACCCTACATTAGTGTAAATTATCTGACCACCGGTAATTTCCGTAACTGTCCACCTCATCTCACACCCTATAAAGCCAACCATTTGTTCCCAGACTCCAAAAAGTATCCCCTCAATATTTGAATATGAGCAAAGAAAAAATAAAAAGATACTCCGATAGGGGGAATCGAACCCCCGGCTGTCGTGTGAGAGACGACGATGTTAGCCACTACACCATATCGGATTGTTATTAAATAAAGATTTAAATTTGGCTACTGAATCTAAAAGCCATCATATTGTGTCAAAAACTTCATGGCCGCCGGCTGCACAGCCGCCCCGAAGGCATCTGAGCCTAGCCTCTTACGTATGGTCTAGTGCATGATATTTTCATGGCTGTCGTCGCACCTGCAGGCGTCATCATATTTATCTGCGCTGCGCGCGATGATGCTGCAGAAGTCACAATGCATCGCATGGAATTGCACGCGTCAGGAAAGTGTACTTTACTGGCTTTCTTGGCGTGGGAAAATTATTACTGCTTTCGCTGCAAACTAGTTCAAGTCAGTTGTTTTAGAATTGGGAGGTAAATGTTCAGCAACAGGGTTTGACGATGCGGATTTTGAACAAGCCACAGGAAGGTGTGTGATAAGTGCCCTTATACACAATTAGTAGATTTTCTTCAGTACTAAGCGTATTATTCTCGAAAACCAGAGTCATTTACAAAGGCATTGATTGCCGCAGTGATAGCCCTTGAAGCTCAAGACTTCGCTGGTACGGTGTTACCAGCTGTTACGTAGGAAGAAAGAAGGGCACTGAGCCATGATATAATGGGTAATGAGACTGGATGAAGTAAGAGGTCGGAAGGACCAGGGCTAGAACTAGACCTCGCCAAATGGGCGGGTTGGGTTTCGACCCTTGACCCAAAACCCGCCAAGAGATTAAAATACACGTAACATATACCTGATTACATCACTCTATATCTGGTATTGGTTGTATTTCAACAGTAATACTGTAATATACAGGTAAATGGGTTCTTGGCGGGTTCGCGGGTATTCCTTCGGGTACCCAAAAAAGCAATATGGCGAGGTCTAGCTAGAACTAAGATATCGGTCACGTGCTGGCTCATGATGGGTCACGTGTTGTAACATACGGGTATGTAATGCAGCATATCAAATACGAATAATACACTTTAACACATCTCTGACCTGATGATCCCTACGAATAGCAGTCGGGATTTTTGTGCGACTTGCACTCAAGCTGGCTTTTTTGTGATTTATGTCGCTAAATCGACCCCCACATCTCCAAGTGTGCTGCCAACAGCCGTTGCTTCCCCTATCCACTGGGTTATCTTTTTCAAGTTTGGGATTCGAGACGAAAAAGTACTTAACAAGACTTCAATCTGCTCTCATAGTCAAATATCCGGTCATCCACATAGTCAGGGAGTAAACATATAGATTTTGATAGAAAGCTAATGGTCAAATATTGGTCCCAGAGATCTTAAGCTTTTAAGCCAAAAAGAAAAGAAAGAGAAAAATAAAAAGCTGAATTATTCTACCCCAAGCCATCAATAGCTTTGGTTCGCTTCATGAGACATGAATTGTTCAACAAAGCCTATCATCTTCATAAATCTCATTGCTTTCCATTACGCCCTCTTCAGAACCATACTCATTTGGAATATCTTCATCGTTTTCTCCACGGAGGACATAGTCGCTAGTACTAAATCCCTCCCCACGGTGCGATTGCGCTCTCCATCTCGACCCTTCCTGGCCTGTGAAATGAGCTAAAGCATCATAGGTTCTCCCAGGCGCAAAAGAACGGGAAGCTCCTGGGCGAGCACCTCTTTGAGGTTTACTTTGGCGAATAATCTCACGATCAACCGACCGTGTAGGCGACGGTGTCGATAGTGGATTACTCTATCGGGCCTCTTCATTTCTCAGTGAACTGGTTCGGCTAGTCCCTCTGCGATGCGCTGAGCCTCGTGGAGTATGCACGTAATCATGGCGCTCGAACCTGCGTGATCGAGGGCGATAAATCGGACTTTCATTCCAATGACTTGGGTCATGCTCATCAGCACGCAAACCCCAGGTAGAAGCCGCCTGCGCTTCTGGTTCCCCGATTGCTTCGGTCAGGTACTGATCAAATCGCTTGACTGTATTAGCTACTAGCTGGAAGTGTCGCCAATCAAGCTCCAGATTCGTTGTGTTGCCACTATTCTGCTCTAGTTCATCCGTATTTTTTTCGTCTCAGATTTTACACAAAGGGCTTCCACTGCTCCTCACACCACTCCCAAAATTGTGTCGGATATCCAAGTCCCCCATCCTCGGTCGAAGCCATCGCCCTGATGATATCTCGTCGTGGGCAATCCTCATCCGGTCGGATCCTCCCCCAGGGAATAACATAGGCACCATTCTTCTCAAGGGTGATCTCAGTTGATAAACCAGCGTACAGCTCAGTATACGCCCCAAACTTAGCCTCATGAAGCAACGGGCTAATGAAAAACATAGCAACTACCCCAGTCCCTGCATAGGAGCCCGCATTTAGATTGCCCGGGTTCTGCACCACGCTCACAATACTATCTTGCTCAAGTTGGGATCGTCGGGCCAACTCCCGTCCCAGCATCCAGGTTCCTACCTTCGAGACAGCATAGTTACGAGTGCGATCTTTGGTTCCCTTGTCTAACATAGCGAAATCAATCCCGTTTGCTGGTGAGGCGCCCTCCGCTAAAAAGCTAGAGGTCCACACTACACGAACAGATCCACGAGGTGTCTCAGGCGCTCCTGCGGCTGCCCGTAGCTGCGGTCGTATGAGCTCAGTGAATAGTAAAGTCGCGATACAGTGCATCCCCACTATCGCCTCGAATCCCTGGGCTGTTTTCGCACCGGCTTCTACCAGGTTCGCTCCAGTTCCCGCGTTGTTCCAGAGAACATCGAGCCTTGATTCTTGTTGAGCGAAGGTAGTAGCCGCCCCCTTGACTGATTCTAAGTCGTTGAGGTCGAGATAAAGGAATTTAATCGTGCCGGGCACCTTCGGCGTGGGTTGAGCCTTCATAATGGATTGAATTGCGGTTTCAGCACGCTCCTAGTAGGGAAGTGTGTTAGCTTATTGGTGGGGTCCAGAGCTTAGAGGGCTAAGATTGGTTTGGGGGATTTGTTACTTACCTTAGATCTGGATGCCATATAGATAGTGGCCCCGGAGGCATATAGGATCTTGCATAATTCAAACCCAACGCCGGCATTACCTCCTGTCACAATAAAAACCCGACCCTGCTGTAGAGGCAATTCTTTCTCAGTAAACGCCGCCTTAGGCGGGAACCACTGGGTGCGAAGATTGCGGAGAGAGATGAGCGCCATGATCGGATAAGTGTATTTCTGATGAGTAAAGTAAAAAGAAAACAAAAGCTCGATGATAAGGTAAAGGTAACCTTAATTGTTGAACCTACGGGCGGCGACGTTAAAGAACGCAATTGATCACTTTCTTCCATACGGTATTGTGTTTTCCCTTAAAGCAGAGATCTTAATACTAATTCCATAGAATAAGTCTGCGTGACTATGTCTGTCTCGACGATTTATGTAGATTCTCGGCCCCCGCGGGTGGGGTTGATCTGTTCTTTGTCACCCCTGCACGCTCAGCCTGGTCGCTGACACTGCATACCGCTGCCGAATCAGTGGCTTCCACTTGCAGGGATCATCCGGAGATGAGACCTCCGTCCGGCCGATAACCTGACCAGGTACACGGCTGTTCCCCCGACTCGGGAACTCACTTTTCTTTTGTTTTCAAATAGAACCCACCAGTTGTCATCTATGAATGATAAATGTGAATGATCGCGTGAAACCACCACCTCGTCTCTAGAAACTGGCAGTAATTTTCTCGCGCCCTCTGCCCTACGCATTTACCAAGCTAGAAAAGCCTTCCTTACTAATAATCTTCCGAATAACGAAATAGAACGGATTACGTAGCATATTGGAATGAAGTAAAAGGAGAAAGAAAAAGACTCATATGTGTTTAAAAACCACGCGATTATTGACAAATTCCCGTCTCTCCTCGTCTGTACCTAAGTAGCTTTATGAACTAGTCACTTTTGCTACGATCTTCTCGCAAAGAGCGATAAGCGACGAAGCGTTCAGAATATCTAAGGTAGTTACTAAAGCCCCAAGCTCGGCCCGAAGCCAGTTTCGCACTTCCACAGCAGCTAGGGAATCATTTCCGTAAACAGATAGAGGTCGTCCGGTATCGATGGGATCTGAGAGCCGAAGGACTCTCACAAAGCACTGATTGACTACCTCCACAGTCGCTGCAAGCTGCACTGCGTGATCCGGGGATTTGGATCGAAGCAGCAGCAGCAGCAATGCCTGAACGTCTTTCGAACCACCCGAGCCGCCCTCTCCACCGCCGGCCGCTGTGCGCCCACTGGTGGTGAAGAGACTGGCAAATCGGGCGTCATGCAACAACCGCGAGTTCTCGGGTTGAGGTACCGGGATATTAGTGATCACTTGCGTGTTGGAGAGTATTGATAGCGCATCCGGCTGTTGCTGCAAAATTGAAACATAGAGGATGCGACGCAAAAGACCCTCATCAATACCCACCCAGATGCTGGTGTCCAGCTTCTGCTGCATGCCATCTCTTTCATGGATGTAACCCACATCTTCAATCACTCCGAGGTTGACAGCACAGACCGGTCGGTCTAGGCGATGGCGGTAGCGAAGGAGTGACCTAATTGAATGGTAAAAAGAGTAACAGCTATTAAGTATGTCGGAAATATGTCGGTTGGCCCCTAACACGCTCTCCCTAAAAATGCGTAAGTTGTAGCTAGCTGGGTGATCATTACTCTAATGATGAAGAAGCGACCAGGGTACGTGGTTTACTTATTAATATTATTGTAGATTGCAAACAGCTTCGGAGACATATGCCACTCCGCTCGGATAGATTGGTAATTTCCCCTATGATGATCATTTGATAGTATGTTATATTGTAGACCTAAAAGCAAACATATAACGAACTTTCGGAAGATTAACGAAGGAACGAACGGTCGCGCAAGACATTATAGACGACCGTCTGTCTCAAGAACGCAACCTAATCGCATTCACTTCCCAGCGACTTCATTTTTGACTCTTCGCATGTTTATCAACATCCACATTCCATAATATCAATTTGATCACAAGGCCCTAGCCCGACCGGACAGCATGCCGCCTAATGAACTTGAGCCAGCCTTTCTTGGATTGGAATCACCCTGTGAAGAACATACAATCGACCAAGATCCTGAGAAAGGAGTCGAGCAGGAGCTACCCTCAGATGAGCTTCCTGAGGATTCAGGGACACAGGGTCGGGAAATTCGGGGCATTCGCTGGCTCGTGATCTGTGTTTCGCTTTACATCACTTGTTTCCTGTACGGACTCGATACGACGATCGCTGCCGATGTTCAAGGCCCTGTTATCGCAGCATTTGGTCAGGTCGATCAATTCTCCTGGATTGGAGCCGGTTTTCCATTGGGCTCAGTATGCGTCATTCTCTTGCTCGGTACCCTTTTCAACACTTTCAACATGAAATGGGTCTACATTTCGACCGTGATACTCTTTGAGGTGGGCTCCGCTGTCTGTGGTGCTGCTCCAAACATGAACGCCCTAATTGTTGGCCGTGTCATCGCCGGTGCTGGGGGCAGTGGTATTTACCTCGGATCACTACAATATTTTGCTGCCATGACCGTGGAGAGGGAGCGTGGCCTTTATATGTCTCTCATCGCTGTCTTCTGGGGGCTCGGATGTGTTTTGGGGCCTCTTATCGGTGGCGCATTTGCCGTGTCCTCAGCAACCTGGCGCTGGGCTTTTTATATCAATCTGGTCATCGGTGCTATCTCTGGTCCAGCCTTTATTCTATGCCTCCCACCTATCTGTCTTATGCAAAGCGTCAGCATACGAGATAGGCTAGCTTCCATTGACTTTGTCGGCTTCGTCCTTGGGTCAGGGGTCTGGGTCAGCTTTCTCCTCGCGTTCACAATGCCCGGGGGCCAATGGGCATGGAAAGACGGACGTACAATTGCCACGTTCGTTGTATTTGGTATGGTTTTGGTTATTTATGCCTTGCAGCAATATTTTGCTATCTTTACCACCCCCAGTCAACGCGCATTCCCCGGACATTTGCTGCGAGATCGTACGCAAGTGCTCCTATACGTCGTGACAGCGGCTGGAACGACGTCGGTATTTGTCGTGGTCTACTACCTTCCCATCTACTTCCAATTTGTGAATAATGACGGAGCCCTTATGGCGGCCGTGCGTCTGTTACCTTTTCTCGTCATCGCCGTCGTGTTCAATCTTATCTCGGGGTCGCTTCTCCACTTTATTAAGTTCTACAAAGGCATCTTTCTCATCGCCAGTGTATTTTTGCTAGTCGGCGGTGGTCCCTTGGTGGCTTATTTAAAACCCAGCACAGCGACGGCCACTGTCTATGGCTTGTCAATTCTAGCTGCAGTTGGCAGCGGTCTGTCTATGGTGACTGGCTATACAGTTTCAACGTTGACTACAAAGCCGGAGGACATGAGCGCTGGACTGAAGATGCAAAATATTTCCCAAATTGGTGGCCAGGTTATCGCACTCGCCATCGCGGGACAGATTTACCGTTCGCGAGCCATTACCAACCTGAACTCTGCTCTTTCCGGTCACGGATACTCGTCCCAAGAAATTTGGAGCGCGGTGGCCGGTGCTCAAAGCACGCTGTTTGAGAAGCTGGAGGGTGGAATACGGGATAAAGCAGTCGAGGCTATTTCGCAGGCGATGCAGATGACTTTTGTACTGGTTCCTGTTGCCGGAGGCGTCATGTTCATTGCGGCAATGTTCATGAAGTGGGAGAAGCTTTTCGGACATTCTGTTGCTGTGGGTGGTTAAGCGAGGTAGTCGGGGAAAGTTCTATATAAGAATGCTGTAACAACATACAGTATCTAAGGCAACTCCAAGGCAACTCCAAGGCAACTCCAAGGCAACTAAACCTCATATAAGTTGATAGTGAAGCGGGGAACTGTCTGCTAACCAGCACGCCACTGCGAACCAACCCGCTCTTGAATCTAGTTCGGTCACGGACTAACGGCTTAAAGCCTGACTAAGCACCGAGATTGAGAGATATTAGATAAAGTATTCCTAGGAGCATGTAGCATAGAGTAGTCATACTGATTGGGTGATCAAATAGCGGAAAATCAAAAATACCAATGTTTCAGCAACAGTAATTTACAAATTTACAAATTCTAAGATATAACTTAGTCTAATATCAGTAAGCGTCCAATATGAGTTAGCCAATCAGACATCTTCCCATCTATATGCGACTAATCCGACGACATGTAGTATACTATGTCCATTTATTGGAAAGTCAAGGCTAGAGAGAGGAAAGAAAGGAAGAAAGGGAAGAGTAGTACTCGTATATACCTCTCCCGACAATGACGATAACCAGGTTCACTTGAATTGCGATCATCTATACTCCCAGGGACTTTCAACTATACGATATCATGTGACTATGACGCGGGCTAATTCTATTGGCTGTTCCCGCGACCATCAGAACCGTAAACCAAATTCATACGAGCCACGAAATGATGATTCATAATTCCTGTCGATCTCGTGATTTTAATTCCCTTTATTATTGCTGGCATACCGACCAGCTGACAAAGTTTGTGCAATGTGCCCGTATCCTGAATGATAATAGCTATCATATTTCACCTTCACGAGAGATGATTGGGGCTCCTGGTGACTTTGCTCACTTGCTGAGAAGTATGGGAGTAATGGTAGCCGGTAACTCAACGCCATGGTTACGAACAGCAAATCGAGCGATAGTCGCGGTCGGCCTATCACTAAGCACCAGTTGCCTCGCAATGCGGATTTATACTAAGGCGGCAATAATGAAGAAATTCTGGTGGGATGATGGTGCGTGATTTCTGTTCCGACTTCATGGTGAGGTATTAACCCGCGGCTAGTATGCATTATTGGAGCCTGGGTAAGGCTGACGTTCAAAATTGCACTAAATTGAAATAACTCAATCTCATAACAAAGATGTTATCTGTTGGCACCCAAGCAACCATATTGTGTAAGCCTTGTTTCCATGAAATGCAAATTAACGGATAGCTAACCGGAACTCCTTCATTAGACGGCTATGCTAGTGGTGGTATCGGATACCATATAGTTGATCTGTCTCTGCCAACTATCAAAATATTGCTGAAGGTATCGATCCTATGCCTCGCTCTACTATCAATTTTGAGGAGCTAATCTTGGACCTGTTACTGCGGAAGGTCGTCTTAGCGGCAGCAATTATTTACATTCCCTGCCTTGCATTTGCAAAATTGGCATTGCTTATGCTGTACTTCAGGCTACTCAACACAATACAAGCCTGGAGGAACACTATCTACATCCTCGCCTTTATCATCTCTGCGTATAGTATAGCCCTACCTCTGAGTCTTATGTTTGCATGCAGCCCTATCCAAAAAGGTTGGGACATTACAATTACCTGGGGCTCTTGCATCAACAGACCAGCCTTGTATCTCGCAACAGCTATCACAAATACTATCAGCGACTTGGTTCTAATATCTATCCCCGTTTGGGTGGTACGGGGACTCCGGATGCGTCTCTTACCCAAGTTAGGAGTGATATTTATGCTTGGTATCGGGTGCCTGTAAGTACTTCCTATTGTCTATCCTGGATCGAAAAAAGTAAGCTGTGGAAAAATGTAGGATCTTATGCTAATATGAGACTCTTTCAAGAACCATCGTCACGAGTATCCTACGATTGGCAACTCTATGGCCTTTGGTAACATCACCAGACTTATCTTACAAAATCGCTCTAGCCAGCATATTCATGTAAGTTATCAAGATTTTTCTATCTTCACAGAGAGGAATAACGAAAATTAACATCTTACATAGCAACATCGAAGCCAATTTCATCATCATATGTGGTTCTCTTCCCTACCTCCGTCAATTCGCGCGCTATTATTCAGCGAACCCATTTCCTGGCTCTTGGATCTTCAAATACATACACAAGTCCTCTTCACAATCCACGTCAGATAGGACATGTCAAGAGGCGTGATTAGTCAATTTAAATCACATATAGCGTCCTAATTTGACGACAGTGAAACACTCCTGATCCTTCAATTTATTGATATGAAAGTCTGCACGTATATTGAGAAGCCAGCTTTCTTGAACGGGTTGAACTAGTATAAATATCAATGCACATAATATTTGCTTGTCATCCCTACTTCGAGCAGCATATCCCACTACTGTTCATGTGGGCCATATTGAGGTGGAATTTTAGGCCAGTGATCTATACCATCCAAGATTGCAAGCCTTGGGAAAGAAATTAGCAAATGTCATTCATGAGGGAATTCTAGGATTCATCGCTTACCCCATTCCACCGGTCAAATGAGGATCGATATGGCAGTGCAGCAAGAAGGCCTATCAGGTTAGTAATGCGAGCTAAATAATATGCAAGGAAGTTCTTCATACCCCTGGATTTTTTACTACAAGAAAACGGTGTTAGCTGTAAATCCTAGAGTCACATTATCTTCCAGGCAGCTTGGAATACATACCATGATAGCGAACAGCCAGCCAGCTTTGACCCTGGTAAGCTGGAAGCGTTGTAAATGTATCTAAAAGTTAGATAACTTAGTATCAGAGCTGTGAATATTCTAGCTATTAGTTCACTTACCTCTCATTGGAGGATTAATCAGGTTGAAACTTTCTGGAACAGCCTTTGAAGCCTCTGCCACCGAAGTCCAATTGAAGGCGCCGGTGCCGGAACCCTACAAGTCAAGATAAGTATCCAAGTTGCATTAGAATTGGATGCTGTTGGTATCAGACTCACGAGAACATATACCCGATTAGAATGCTTATGAAGAGGGTGACTGGGTTGGAGTGTAGATTTCTCTCCCGACATATCAAAAATAATGTCGACCCAGGTATTGTTCTTTGTAGAAATAACCAAGGGGCTCTTGGATGCGGCCACGGGATCCCACAAAAATGGCTTCGTTGCCTCCAAGGCCAAAGAAAATGAGTGATTCCCGTTTAGGGACCATTCCCAAGCGTGCTGAATACGACCAGCAGTGAGGATGTAGGTCTCATCTGGGTTTGCCTTTGGCTGACTTGGGGAAAGCATTTGAATTTTGGTTTCATCGAATGAGATAACATCTTTGCTCGTGCTGACACCGCCGTAGTTGATCGATGGAGTTGACTTGACAGAGGGATCTCCGTTCAAGTACGAAAGACTGGCAAAGCCTGCAATTTTTTGATTGAATCCTGAGTTTGCCACGGTGATTGGATAGTTGCCGGGTAACTGGTTCAGCTTAATTAAGCAAGAATATCGGCCGCCGTTGTTGATTGTCAGTGCCTGCACGGCGCTCAGTCAGTAAAGTCTAATAAGAAATTGTTGAGCTAGTCAAAACATAACATACGTCAACCTTGGTGGGCTTTATGTATAGTCCATCAATTTCATAAACCCAAAGAGAATGATTGTTGATCGAAACTTTCGAAGAGTTTTATTAGTGGTCATTCGGAGACGTGGGTAAGAGCAGAAACAAACCGATCAAAGCTGAAATTGACGCAGACCCAATGAAATTGAGACTTGCCCATCCATTCAGTGGATCGACATTGATAATCTCTTCGGTGGCATTTGTAGCGGTGCATTCGTCAAACAAATATGGTGGCACGTCACTAAAGTGGTGTGGAAAATCTGTTTGTGCGTAGGTGTTTGACAAGGGAAGGCAGCTTCAATTACCAGTCAGTGACTCTGATCGTATATCAACTCCTCTATTACTTGGGTACACCGTGTACTTTTCCTTTCCCCCTCCTTCTCCTTTCACATCCCTTTGAGATAGGTTGGGAGATATGGTAGGAGACAGGGTAGGTAACTGGTGTAGGAGGCATAGTAGAAAATTCTTTGCTCTAGGTGCCGCGCAAAAATGCGTAGTTCCATAAGATCGGCTTACCCTTTGGCTGTATAATTTTTCCCTTGAAGCACTGATTTTATATAGGCCGGAACCATATCAGTCAATGCCCCAGGATTTCTGCAATTGACTTTTCCCTTTCCGTTGATCAAAATAGAATCCGCACATCTTGAACTCGTTAGATTCAACGTGATCATAATGCCTCACATGCACTTACAGGGGATCGATATCGGCCTTGATTGAAATATCTCGTAGCTTTTCCGAGCTTTGGTGGAACCAGTCAGAGAGCATGACCAAGATGGGGGATCTGATAGCGTTGTATATCTGAACTTGGTGCAAAGTATCATTGGTAATCGTGCCGGCCAAGTTCTCAGCAATTTCTCGAGGTCTAACAAAAATAGGGCCATAAAAGCCATCCATGATCTGCCCAGCAGAATGGGAGTGATACCTTCATATGATTAGTTGATCTTAATTTGAGTCCGATCTTGAGGACATACCAATATGTTCCATGTTGCTGAACTTTGAATGCGTAAAAAAATCTTCCCCCGGGAGGAATCAGCTTTTGGGACACTCCTGGCACGCCATCAGACCATGGACTTCCGAGCTGTCTAGTCCTCTTTTAGTGATGAGATGGGCATATCCAGGAAAGTGCTGTCTTACTCAATACCGTGATAGTGTATTGTTGTGTTAAAAGGCATGAAGTTATTCACAGTCACTTCAACATTATCCCCCTCATCCAAAATGAGTGGAGGACCAGGAAATTGGCCATTGATCAAGGTTTGTTGACGTTTCACTCCATCCGCCGCCCAAGATCCCCACGTGGCATTGAGCTCGAATCGCTTCGTTTGTGGAATCCAGCCTGCAGCTGAGGAACCTTCGGGAAGATGAACAGCAAGACTAGCACTGAGTCCAAAAAGGGACAGCAATGCAACTGGCTTCATCTCTGCTTTCTTACCGAGAAAATTTGTTTACAAAAGTTCTAATCAGGGGGAGAAAGTTCTATTAAATCTACACACATAACGTGCCTTGCAAGAATCCAGGGGCACTTATCCGATGAATCCATTCCTATATGTCAATAGTTCCAAAACCCTTAAAGAAGCGGTCAACCGGCAAATCGCGGTTGTGGCTGCCCTAAGGCTGCACTAGTCAGGGGGACTGTGATTTATCCATTTGTGCATCATCTTACCAGGGCCAGGAACATCAAATAGGTTCCTCCAAAATTATCCATATTTACTTATCGGACCCACTTTCCTTTGCAGATCCCTCGAAGTATCCTTGAGGCCCCGGCGATCGGTGTTCGGCATTACGGAAGTGGTGCATGAGTCCAGGTCTCTTTAGAGATGCAAGGGGTAACGTTGAGTCATGTATTTACCCGGCTTAGTTCCCCAGGAGCTCACGGAGGCACATGGCAAGCCCTTGTGTCCTCAGATAATTCACTAACCAACGTCACAAGTACACTCGGAAGGTTCCAGCAACTGATTCACACCTGGGCAAACCCATAGGATGGGTTCATCTATTTTGATGCCAACAAGTGCTTTCGTCGTTTGGGACGCATGAACTAATTAGTCTTGGAGCTGTGATTTGCCGAGAAGGGTGATTGAGCTGATATTAGAGAGAGGATAAGCTATGAATGGTCTAAGCCTGAACGGGACGAGAGCGCTGGGTCGGGGTCATGTGACCAGGGAGCTCCAGCCATTAATAAGTGGATGACTGATCAATCACCTGATTGGTCTTTGTTTTGGCATTTCGCTTTTCCGTAGTTAGCAGGTCCTGTACGGAGTACTTGGTCATTCTATCACCCCAACGTACCCGCTATCTTCTATTCTGGTTTAGCTCGCGGCGATGTCCGCTAAGGACTGTCCCTGCATACTACGTGATGAACACATGGTTTCCTCGTACAAGCTTCATTGAGCAGTATGAGTACTTAGTTGGGCATCAACGGAATTTCTTTTTCATTTCTGTGAGATAAAGGGAGATATAAGAAAAGCACTTGAATGAAAAGTTTTTAGCTCGGCATAAATGACTAGATTTTTTGGGGAAAGGCTGGATCAGCCATCGGTTCTAACCGTAAATAGATTGGCAAGATGATTCCTGGACCAGTCTATTGATTTACAAGGTTTCGCCTTTGATGTCAACGCCACCCAATTCCCTCGATCACTTAATCTATATATTCTCTCTGCACTTTTGATTTAGTTTCTTAGAACGTCCATTCATTTGACCCGCTTTGCCTGTGTTCTTTCTAGGTTATACGAGCATGGGTCAATCTCGGTCCTGGTCCAGGTCTCTGATCCTGTTCGCACTCTTTCAAAGAGGACTGGGCGGCATCATCAACAAAATCCCACCGAAGACTCCGGCTGCCTCTACGTCTCTAACTACTCTCACCTCAATCGTCTCTGAGACTGTTACAAGCACGATCACCAGTATCATTCCAGTCACTACTACCCAGGCTACATGTACCCCTGGGACTGCTCTTACCGTTTTAAATCCCGTCAATACTGTGTGGTTTAGTAAAAATTACTACTGGCAGGAGCAGACTTCGTCCGTCTCACTTGCCGGCACCGAATATGTGATTTATCCTGCCGGAGGCCCCGAACTGTGTGCTATAGAGTGCAATGTCATGAGGGATTGTGTAGGCATCAACTACAATGGTCTTGTTCATGTATGCACGATGTTGAATACCGTCACGGCAACGTTTGCCGTCAGCAGCACGAGCTTTGCAGTGATTGAAAAATTCACCACCAACCCGTGTCTTACTACTCAAGTCGAATCTTCTACTCAGCTATCAACTGCAACAACGGTGGTTGAATATACGACGACCGTCATCTCGACTGTTACTATTTCCACCAGCAGCGCGTCTTCATACGCCGTTGCTACAAGCACAGTGCCCTCTTCCACTGCCACGACCCCTACTGCTTCAACATGCGTCGTTTCCGCAATTCCAACGAGTACCACCTGTGTTGATGGATACTATCGAGATGATAGCTACTATTATCAAGTCATCTGCGAGGATACTGATTCAGGCTATGCGGGATTTGCCATCCCCAATTCTCCCCAGGATGACATATGGGCCTGTATCCAGGTCTGTACGGAGTACGCAGATCTGTGTGTTGGAACCTTTTGGTATGAAGGAATGTGCTACTCTCCAAGCTCGTATCTCAATTATCATTACGATTATGATCCCAATGATCCGTATGACAATGTGATTCAATACATTGCTATGCGGTTAGATGGCAATCCTTGCTCAGCATCGAGCACCAGCGCCGTCCCAACCTCTTCAGCTATCGCCTCTTCCGCAGCTGCTGCATCAACCCCTTCTCTCACGTCCACCAAGGTTGTGTCTTCTTTCACCATCGTGACACCAAGCTCTGTCGCTGTAGCATCCTCAGCTTCATTGTTGCAAAGTTCATCCGCTCCTCTTACCAGAAGCTCTCCCAGTCCAACACCGTCTCGTTCTGTTCCGTCTTCCTCCATTTCATTCTCGACAGTGGCTGTATCTGTCCCCGAACACAGTTCGTCTGTGCCTGCGTCTGTACACTCAGCTTCTGTGCGCGTATCCTCTATTCCTATGCACTCATCTTCCGTACACTCGTCATCTGTGCCCGCCTCTGCACCTGCGTCCTCTGCACCTGAGTCTTCTGCACCCGTGTCATCTTCGCCTGCTCAGTCCTCCACCTCAACTACAGATACCATTGCGTTCGAGACTGGGCAGACTTCCATGCAAACCACTGCACCTGCTCCGTCTCAGTTCACCACGTCAACAGTCTTCAGTACTGAAGTATACACTGTGACTGCCTGTCCTCCGTCGGTTACAGACTGTCCCGCATCAGCAAAGACCACTTATTACACTACCAAAACCGTTGCTGCCTACACCACTATCTGCCCTATCACCGCCGCAGAGTCTGAGACTGGTGCCGCACCCACAAGCTTAATTGGAACCACCGGACACCCTGAAAGCTTCACTACATCTACAATTTACACCACCCAAGTATATCCTACCGAAGTATGCCCCTCGTCAATGAAAAACTGTGCCGAATCACAAAAGACTACATCACTGGTTACTGATATCGTGACTGTCTACACCACCATCTGTCCTATCACCGCTGATAAGTCCGAGATTGGGGCTGCACCCACAAGCTTGATCAAACCGACTGGACAACCTGAAAGCTTCACTACCTCTACAGTTTACACCACCCAGTTGTATCCTACTACTGTCTGCCCCTCATCAATCGCTAATTGCGCTAAATCCCAAAAGATTACATCAGTGGCCACTGAGACTGTAGTAGCATATGTGACAGTCTGCCCTGTTTCCGACGCGGAGACTGCCTCGGCTGCTTTCACTGAGGCCCTTTCTCCCGGCCAAGAATCTACCGCCACCCTTACAACTGTTACTTATATCACAAAGCCCATCACTATGACTACAGATTATAAGACGGTTCATGGCACATCAACTTTCGAGACAACAGCAACCTACCTCAGCAGCATGATCATCCCAGTGACCACGACAGTTGTTGTCGTGGATACCGAAACAATCAGCGCTTCGAAGGAAACTCCCAACTCTCAAACCAGTGGATCTGGCGCTGGCGCTGAATCCTACTATTCCTCAGTGACGATCCCTTCCACAACCGCCGCATCATCTTCGGCATTCGTTTATTCAGCTACTGGGGCCGTTCAGAATGGCTCATCCGCGACTTTCAGCTCCTCATCTGGCACATCTGCTACTACTTCCCTATACACTGGTAGTGCATCCAAGACGACTATTTGAAGCTCAGTCTCTCTCTTCGTCTTGACTGTCACTGGTTTCTTTGCTCTGTAATATTCATACAGTGCCAACTACATGTTTTCGGATTTGTGAGGGCGAGTTTTCTTCTTGGTCATGTAGTAAATAATTAACATTTATGAATAATATAATTTTTGGCGCTCAAAGTCTCGTGCTAAGCTGGTAATAATATTATACTTGACAACACACTGAGGGAGTTTGGAAAAAGAAAAGGTCGAAAATGAGGCTGGTTACAAATATTAAAATCACCATGGTAGTGATGCGATGATATTTTCTGTATGTGGTATCTATCCTGGAGTAGGCGTGAATGACAAAAATTTGAATATCTGAAGAGATCGGTAGTCTCTTAGTGGTTCAGGTAAGATCAGAACCTTCCCGTTCGATGCACAAAACCGTTGGAATAGCAATCAATAGGCTACCAGTAGTTAGACCCCAGTTCATAGCGAATTGAGTCATGGCACTGATTCCCTCAGCATTTATTCTCCAAGCCATCGCACCACCTGCTGGCTTCAATGCTGAATATGCTCCAACAATGACGGCATTTACCACAGGATCGCGAGAGCGAGCTCCCATAATCCAGTAGCAGAATGACTGCCAGAACGAATCATAAGCGCCATAGAAGAAATAGAGAAACATAGGTCCGAGATATTCACTTCCGGCTTTGTAATCGATATCCTGCTTTAACCCTTGTTTTAATCGCAGGTTATCCCAGACTTGGAAACTATAACCCCCTCCCCAGATCGCCATCCCGGTGACAAATAGTATACTCCAGCCAATCTTGGCCCGCGTGCGGCGATTGAAAATTTGAAGGTCCAGGATGGAACCCATCAGAAGCCCGCCCACCATTTGTGCGATCCAGTAGAGGGCGCCATTAAGAGCGCGTGTGCGGAGGTTGAATGTCATGCCATTGACAGCATTCTGTTGATAGGAGTAAAACACATTTGCGGTGTAGAACATGGGATAAAGACACATGTTTTTCCAGTTGAAAACAATTTGCAAGGTCTCCACTGCAGTTCTCTTGAGGTTCGTCCAATTGATAGCCTTGGAGTCCTGATTGATACGATTGCCGTGATAGTGGTCCGAAAGATGTTCCGTTGAACAGATAAACACCGATAAAAGCCACCCGAAGAGCATGACAACAATGTAAGCCACATAAGTCGAGTCTGTCACGGTGCCAGATTTGGAGTGGTAGTTAAGACCAAAACTGGCCAGCGAGCCAATGGTTGCGCCGAGGTTGAATATGACCCAGAAAATCCCGATGGCTCTACCACGCGTGTTATCGTTCGTATAGGTAACCATGATGGTTCCTTGCGCGACCCAAAAGAAGGCCGCTCCTAGACCTAGGATCGCTCCAGCGGCGATCACAAAAGGGCTGCCATTTGTGGTGCGGTCGGAATTCAATAGTGCTCCGGCATAGAGAGCGTAGGTCCACCCGCCAATGAGAAGAGACAAGCGCGGTCCCAGATATTTGTAAAAGGAGCCCAAAAGCAAGGCAGCTCCCGCTGTGCATGCATGGGTTGCGACGTTTGAATTGGCGGAAGTTGTACTGTCGACTTGGCCCGACCCTCCCATTCCGGTGAGGGCATTATACATGCCAGGGTTGCAAAAGGCAATGAACGAGACGAGGACGATTTGAAACCATGGTTCATGGCGGATTCTGGTAAAAATATTTTGGTGTTTAGGTGGGTGAAGGTCGGGATCATGAGCGGAAACGCTCTCTTGTGCCTCCTTGGTGGCCATGGGGATGGAAGTACAGCTCGAGATGAATTTCTGTTAAAATGACCTAGGTGAGTATATATAGACATGGAAAGCGTGACCATCCACAATCTGGAGTGTTTTGGACAAGCGGATCTCGGCACACCGAGATCCGCTCTCACGGAAGTGACCGAGACGCAGAAACCCACTTAGACGTATTGTTGATTTTAATTCTACATAAGAGCATCGCTTAAAAGCTCGGTTGCACTCCTGGCAGGTTTTGGTGAAAGCCACATTTTACTTACGCCATGACGCCTTCAGATTGCGTACAACTGGATCAGCTTCAGACTGAGGAGCGCAGTGACACACACTCAATCGATTCTTTAGATACTTTGGAGCTCTGCATTGAGTTTAATCATGAGGAGTCGCGAGTGTCTACCGCTGTGGCGTGCTGTGTTCCGGAAATTGCATCGTTTGTCGACGACTTAGTGCCTCGGCTTCGCACAGGTGGAAGATTAATCTTCGTGGGAGCTGGTAACAGCGGTCGAGTCGCGATGATGGAATGTACTGAGATCCCGGTCACATTTTCAACTTATGAGGGGCAATTTATTGCTCTTGTGGCAGGGGGTGAAAAAACCGCAGCGAAAGCACAGGAGGGAGCGGAGGATGTCGCAGAAGATGGGATTGCGCAGCTCGAAGCTTTCAACCTTACTATCAACGATACTGTTCTCGGTATTTCAGCATCGGGCCGGACACCCTTTGTTCTTGGAGCTCTCAAATTCGCGATTCAAGCCGGGGCATTGACGGCAAGCATCACGAACACATCACCATCCTCGATTGGTGGCCTGGGAATCAAACATTCACTGGTTGCCCTGGTGGGCCCAGAATTTATCGCAGGAAGTACTCGACTCAAGGCTGGGACTGCTGCCAAGCAAATCCTGAACATGATCAGTACTTGTTCAATGATGAAGCTTGGGAAGACATATAGAGGCCTGATGATTGACCTTCGAGTTGGAAATTACAAGCTTCAAGCTCGAGGTCGAAGAATCCTGCGTCAGGTCTGCAAAGATATTCTGGAAATTCATTCAGAAAGAGGACTTGTCCTTCCACCTCAGATCCTACAAAACTTTCATCAAATACAAAACGACGATGCAGCAAACATTTTGATTGGTAGATGCGATGGAAGCGTGAAACTTGCCTGTGCTGTGGCTTTTACGAATCTTTCTCCAATTGAAGCAAATATTCAGCTTTACAAACTCGATGGTAACTTCCAGGCCTTTGTTGCAAACCATATAATTCCGACTTATATTCATGACAACAATGCTTCACTTGAAGCAGATGGCGATGATCAAGAATATTTTCTAGCTATCGATGGAGGGGGGACCAAATGCGCCGTATCGATTGCCACCAAGTTTGGTATTGTCTCTCGTGGCTATGCCGGGGCCTGCAACTTCAATACTGTGGCTACAGAGGAGCTCATGAGTCAAATCAAAAAAGCCACGATAGAAGCTGTGAAGCTTTTACCGCAGAGGCCACATTATAACCTCAGGAATGTCCCGCGATTCAGCAAAGTATGGGCCGGAATCGCAGGCGTGCATCATGCCGAGCGGTTGAACATTCTCATCAATGGTCTTGAAAAGGCCTTCGGCGTTTCTATTGAGAATGATACGCTTCGGTTGACAAGTGACAGTGCACTCCTTGGCGCATGCATCGAGGTTGATGCTTCTATCCAAACAGGCATCAGTCTCATATCAGGAACAGGTTCCGTGGCAACTGCTTTCAAGAAGGACAGCAACGGCCATGTCGTCGAAGTCCGGCGAGCAGGCGGATGGGGCCATCTCATTGGAGACGATGGAAGTGCATTTCATATTGGGAAACAAGCTTTACAAGCCCTGTTGACAAGCAATGAGATCAGCGAAGCTGTTGATAGGAGCTGTTTGAGTGAAATGGAGCGGGAGATCTTGACTCACCTCGGTTGCACGAATGCCGTGTTGTCTCGTCTTCTTTATTCGGGAAAGAACCCGAAGAAAGAAATCAGTGGCCTAGCAAAGATTGTGACAAAACTTGCGTTCCGCAGCGAAAATCCTGATCTGCAGGCTCTTGATATTTTGAATTCAGCAGCTCGCTCGCTAGCTCGGCTCATTCAGCCGCTTATCATTTCCTGCCCTCCAACCAGCAGCGTGTTGATTCTTTCTGGGGCATTAATGGGCCTGTCAAAATTTCGATCATTGATTCATGAGCAGCTTTCTCTGGCTAATATTCCTTCTTTTAAAGAAATGATTTTTATAGAGAGTGCATCCGACTCTGGTGCAGAGCTTCTGGCTACACAAGCGGCCTAGTGATTTTATACTTGATTCTTTTCAGGAGTGGAATTGGTATAGAAAGCTAATAAATTTAACAAATCAATTTACACATAAACAACGCAAGCATTTCGATTGGCCCATGACTCTCAAAGCTGATAGCAAAGCCCGAGGCCTCCAATGTCAGGTGACAGCCAAAGATTGTCATGATGCCTTTCGTTTCTTCCTCAATTCCCTCCTGTCTCTTTGATAAACCAGTCCAATGTTTCTGTTATCTCTGGAAAGATATATGCGGGGTACCGAGATCCGACGGTGCTCCGGAGTTCGACCTCTCCACTTATCATACGCAGATAACACCATCGTGTGCTAGGATTGCGCCACATGCTGCTCGGCAGTTGAAAGTACCTGAATGCCTGAATATTCTGATTTTTGTGATGACTTTTCGCATCCTCAAACCAGTTGGACATTAAATTTACACTGATATTCACATGGCGTCCGCGTCATATGACCCGAGTGTCGAACAAGCCCGACTTTCAAGCTGTCAAACGTGTCGCAAGCGCAAAGTTCGTCACGTTCGCGATATCCTTTAGTGGATTCCTAACAGATTTTGAATAGGTAAAATGCGACCGCACACCAGGTAGATGCCAAAGATGTCGTCGATTTGGTGCAGAATGTTTTTATCAGCCTGATTCGATGTCTTCTGCGTCAGACATACACACAGCCAACGCCAGGACGCAGGCAGGACTACAGCGCAAACGCACTTGGCGCTCCTGCGTTCAATGTAAACGAGCCAAGGCAAAGTGCTCTGGAGGCACTGGCTGTTTTCGTTGTACCCAAAAAGCTTTGGAGTGTTCTTACGAAATAGATGGTATTCCACGGACCCTGATTGATCTCGACTCAGGGTTTCGCGATGTTCCCACCTGGCTCATGGCGGCCGATTTGCCGGCAGGAGAAGAGTTGACCAAGCTCGTTGAAGTATACTTTGATCGTATCCACACTGTACGATGCTTAGGGTTTTTGCACGTACCAACTTTCATGGAGCAGTTGCAAAGTTCTGATAAATCATATTTTGAAGGATCTGGACTCCTTCATATTATGTGCGCTTTGGCCGCACCATTTGTCTACGGCGATATGTGTAATGAAAACAATCCTGAGCTGAAGTTTTACGAGGCAGGGAAAGGCTGGGCAGATACTGCACTGCAGTGTTCATTCCGAAATTTTGGTAACCCCAAAATGGAATGCTTGGCCACCGAGGTCTTGCTTCACGAATATTACTTGCGTACCGGAGAATATACCAAAGCATTCGTCATCTCCGGAAAAATTGCCAGGGGCGTGCAGGTCCTTCAATTGAACGTGGAATATGACGAAGCTGATCATCGAAAAGCACGGCTGTCTACTTCCTTCAAGGAAAGCAGGAGAAGGCTTATGTGGGCTTGCTATTTGCTGGATGCTTTTATTGAGTGTGGTATTGATCAGCTTCGCCTAATCTCGGTGGAGGATATCCATATCCAACTACCATGTCCCGAAGACTTATTCGTTAGAGGTACATCTTGCGTGACGGGAATGCTCCAGCCCCGAAATTTGAATCCTGATATGCATGCGCATTTTGAAAATACTGTCGACATGCGAGCATTGTATATTCGAGCAATCAGGCTTCGTGCAAAGATCCTAAAGTACGTGAAAGAGTTAGAAGGTGACGTACCATGGCAGTATGACGGTCAGTCCCAGTTCCCCCGCCTCAATGCGGAGCTTCAGATTCTTGAAGAATCAATTCCAGATGAATTGAAAATGACTGCCGCGAACAAGTATCTGTACAAAGCATCCGGGCGACTTAATCTCTTCTTTGGTCTTCACATTTTGCTCTCCCAAACGTCCAATGATTTATATCGTATCTGCGTCTCACAGCTGGTGTACCCCGATACCTCGACAAGATGGATTCGGGAACATGCACCCAAAGAGTTCCTCAAGAATTGTCACCGCATTTGCTTGGAAAAAGCGGTACATATTGCGAGCCTTCTGAAGGACTTATGGGTCTGTCACAAGCCCAGTCTAATTGATACATCCTATGCCAATCACGTCCAAATCTGCAGTAGTGTGATGGTGACTACTCTTATCTCGTGGATCGATGCTGCGCCTTTGCTTCCTCAATTTGAATATGAGGATTATCGTCAAATGCTGCGAGATAATCTGATTATTTTGCAGTACTTGCAAACGTACCTTAATGTGGATGCATACTACCAGTCCGCTAAAGAAGCCCTGAAACGGTTTAACAAGCTTTTTACAAGGGAGGCTGCACCACAAAACCACCCTCCACCAAAAGATCGCATGGTCAATGACCAAATGGCAACACACTCGCAGTCCTCCCTTGAGTACATTCTGAACCCTTTGGGAACCTATCCTTTGGCTCGAAAGCAAACGCAACACCAACCCATATTCAACAATCCTGGGAATGGAGACTGCATAGTTGGTGACCCACTCAATATTATGACGGAGCACCCAATCAGAATTGGTGATCATAGCCTTGATATGGATGACTCAGTCTCTAATGGTCCTTTTGAATGGGGGTCAGAGACTCTGATGTTTGATTCCGCAGGGTATCCCACTTTCTTAGACCAACTTACGGGGTTGGGATCTGGAAACATGGAATGGAATGAGTGGTCGAAAGTGTAGATCCTGTATACAGCACTCCTAATTTCAACACTTTCCATGGCTCTGATCCCAATCTGATCATGCGAAAGAGATAGATATGAAGCCATTACCACTCCTAGTTCCTAGTGCTGAAATCAGTCTGTTTGAATGGATTTTATCCTCAGTTCCTGCTGTTGTGTTAGATTGCCTAAGGCATAATTTCTTGATGCCGATTCTCGTCGAAATCGCTGAATGATCGTGATAATGGCGAATATGAGGTGATAAGCAATAGGACCCCTGATTTGAAAGCCGAGATCCGGTCATCAAGCGGATCTCGGTCAAGCCCCATTGGGATCATTATAAAGTACCGTGGCGTGTGAGGTTGATAGATTGATGAATGAAGCTTGAAGAACCACATTCTGTTATATATAATCATAGTCAAGCCAACCTTGGAAGATTGCAAAGTTCTGTTTACTTCTCAACATTTGAGCCTTCCAACATGAAGAGACTTTTTCAACAGACAGTGGGCTTAGCGATTGCCTGTTCAACTTTCGCTGCATCATTCCACGTTTTCGACAATACAGCCTACACAAACACGTCAATTGGCTACGGAACAACGAACATCAATTGGATTCCAGCATACGTTTGCAACCCTCTCACCGAGGACGGAGTTTTACCATCAGCCGATGTATGGAAAGCCATTGTCCTCGAATGGAATGTCTATCCAAGTTACCCACTGGTCCTCGACTGCGAGGATCTCTATTTCACGTCTACTTCAACCGCAGATCTTCACTTGGAGATGATGTCCACCCTACAAACCTGGGCAGCAGATGTCATCCCTTCAGGCCAGATCATTGGCTGGTACGGGCTCTCCGGCAACACCATATCTAGTCTATATGATCACTATCGTAGCCTGATCGCAAATTACACCAGTCACGCGTTTTTCCCATCGGCCTACACTTTCAGCGACAGCATTTCCACCTGGAATACTTCGCTGACGTCTGTTCTCAAAATAATCAACACCATCGATGATTCTTTGCCGGTTTGGCCATATACATGGCCACAGTATCATGGAAACTATTCTTTTATCCCATCAATCCTCTGGGAGAATGAATTGAATTACTTGGCAGCAAATAGTGGTGTGGATGGGTTTGTTATTTGGGGTGGCAAAAACCATGCCGTATGCAATGATACTTGTCAAAGTACCGCTGGTCAACAGCCTTGGCTAAATGTGACTCGCACCTATTTGGAAAATTTGTATGGAATTTACAGCGGTGATGCAAAAGTTGAAGGGGCTCAAATTTTTGGTGGGGTTTAATTTTCTCTCCCGAAGAAACATCAATGGGTCATACATATCAGGAGAGAGTGGTCTTATTCTTCAGTCGTTCCTGCAGTTTGGTACGAGAGGCTTTCCTACCTAGGTTTAATACTATATCTCTAACTCAGTCCCCTACCCGGTACCTACCCAGTTTTTTAATTTTATATTCTTTCCTACTTGATTAGTCAGATAATTATAGGGTTCTCCAAACTCATATAGCGGAATGGAGCAAAAAGAAAAGTCGGGGGCTATGGGTTGCGAACTTATGTCCAAAAAGTCCGCAGTGTACTTAAGTAACAGAGAGGTTGATAGAGGTTGATTGTATCAAGATTGTTTGCTACTAATACTACCATCTATGTGCTCCATATCTACGCCTCATATATTTCAGGTAGTATAGTAGCTCAACGACAGATTCAAAGCCTGACACTGAAGCACCTCATCCAACTCAACCATTTCTGATGGCCACTGCAACCTCCTCAACATATACCTCCCCTCCCGAAACTTTTCCCAAGACCCCGTCCTCTCAACCTCCTTAGTTGTATTAACATATCCCCTAGCCTTCAGAAATCCCAAATCAGGAGTCGGGTCCGCAGAGCGAGCAAAACTCGCCCACGAATCAAGCACATACTGCTCGAATGGCAAGTCGAAGTCATCTCGTAGCGGTAGTCCCACACGTAAGATATTGCCGAAAACATAATACAGCTCTCCGGAGTGACATTTGAAATACTCCATGCTTGGGTCGCCGTTCGGGAATTCTGCTGTGATGGGTGCTTGGCATAATGGGGGATTCGGGGACCAGCCTGGCATTTGGTAGGTGCGGTTGAATTCGTAGAAGAATATTGAGGGGAAAATATTGTTTTGTACGCCTGCGTAGGCAGTTGCTTGGTCGATGCAGCGGAACACGCCGTCTGTGGATATTCGGGCGGAGGTATTGAAGATGTTGAGTGTATGATTTGCTCCTGATGGGATGGGGAAGAATGAGCTAGGGATGTTTGAGGGGAGGTCTGATGCTTCGAGGAATTTTTGCAGCGTTTCGTTCTCTGATGGGTAAGCTATGAATGCTGCTCCGTCGTCTCTTGTTGTACCGAGTAGTAATGGGACGTTGGCTGTAGTTTCGGGATTCGTTAATCCTAGCTCTGGGGCTTGGAGGTATTCGCCATCGACGACTAGGTACCTCGCACTGGCAGTGAGATTAATAATCTCCAAAGCAGAGAGATTTCGTAGACAGTCGATCCTGGAGCTGGCATTTGTGCAATTTGTTTGGCTCAGGATATCATTCCCGACGATTTCCATCTCCTCGGCGATGCTGTAGTACTCGGAGTACGTTGTTCCATATCCCACACCTCCAAGGTTGCTTAACATGACAGCACTAGCAAACTTTCCGCGCGACTTTGGGGAGGCTAGTAGCGCTCGAACCGACCCTGCGCCAGCAGACTGTCCAAAGATAGTCACTCGCTCTGGGTCACCGCCGAAATCTCGAATATTCTGTTGTACCCATTCAAGGGCAATTATCTGATCCGCCAATCCGTAATTCCCATTTGTATTCCCATCATCCAGGGCCAGGAATCCCAAATTTCCGAGACGGTAGTTTATGGTGACTACCACGACATCACCTCTTGACGCTAAATTTCCCCCATCGACAGTAGGATCACTTCCTGTTCCTGTCTGAAAGGCACCTCCGTGGATCCAAAACATGACTGGCTTCAGATTTTCTTTTGCTGTGCTTGTGGATTTGGGAAGGTACGGCGTCCAGATGTTTAAAAAGAAACAGTCCTCTGCTCCACTGGAACCCTGTGGACATTCGGATCCGTAGTCGAGGGCGGAAACCTCTTTGCCAGATCCTTCGTATAGTTTTGAATACGTCCAGCGCTTAGGTTGTGAAGCAAATCGGATTCCGAGGAAGCGGAAACTCACTCGATCACGAAATCTAGAATTATGTCAGGAAAGCTCAGCGATTACTAGACAACACTTTACCCTGTGAGATATTCATTATTAGAATGAACAGAGATCTGCCAAATCGCGCTGGTGTCCTGAGTTTCAGAATTGGAGTACCGGGCACTTTGAGTACAGAGGGCTGGCAAGTAGGTGTTGGCAGAAGCTTTCTGGACTTTTCCATCAACGTTGATGGTCGAGGGGGCGTTCTGAACAGGAGAAATCCAATAATTTTGGCTGGTGCCATATTTTCCCTGGAAATTGAGATATTTCAAAGCATTCTTAATATCTGACACCCTGTTTGATATGATGAGAGTCTCGCCAAGGCTATGACAGGTGGATATGGCTTTTTGTAAGGGCATTGGATCTAGAAGCAGAACTCCTGATCCAGCCAAGGTACTGTTCCCTTCTGTGGGTAACCATTAGTCAAAATCATACACTTTTGTGGGGAAGGTGGCATTACTTACCTAGGAGATCATTATGAATGAGGATTGAGATGTCCGAGTCTATCGAGCTCGGACTCAACACGGCATCTACAGTAGCTGCCAGGAACAGAAAGATACTGATACGCATTTGTGAAGTGTATTCTTTGACTATTAGTTTTGATCGCTATGGAGTCCCCAATCTTGTTTATAAACTTCTTTGGCAAAGCAGTCAGGGTAATTAGACAGCATGTTCCAACCCCAGACCACCCCGCGCCGGAAGAATAGCTACCACCAAGAGCCTAAGCATGGCATTCATCCGCGGTCGAAAAAGTCAATTTGTTATTCTGGATTAGCGTATTATCGACACTTGAGAGGGACTGAAGATCATGGGTATATTCGCATAGGGACATCCAACCACTCTGTGTGTCTTCCTTGGCTAAAAGGGTCTAGTATACATTAGCTCAGCATCTGCAATAAGTTTGAGCCGGTAATCAGGCATTCTGGGCCTGGAAGAGTGGACTAAATTAGCCACCATTTTATCCAGTTATAGAAAAACGATAGTTGGTTGTCAGACTCCGCCAGGACTTTCTGGAAGTCCTGGAGGTCATAGCAATGTCACCCTGACCAAGCCACAGCAAGTCACAACATCCCCCTTTCCCCTCTCCGCACTTCCCTATATTAACAGTGCCAAAAATCAGGCGTCTGATCAAAATTTCCTCTCACATAGATATAAGGCTCGCATTGATACCTACACTTCGATTTCGATGGGTCCCTGTAAAAAAATGTTCATACTCACGGATATGAGGTCGGACATGACGCCAAATTGTGATCCGTCTCACTTGGGCATGAAAACAGTGGGAATATGTATTACCGGTCTTTTGCGGGGTCTAGGTGGCGTGGAGTATTCTGTTACAATCTGTAAAAAAAAAACCATGCAGGAATTGGCTCATTCTGAGACGAGGGACGGCTGATTCCTCTGGGATCGGGTGCCTGGATAGCCGGGATGCAGTTGTGGGGAACAATAAGGATCTGAGGGAGGGATGTAGCGGGTTGTCTAGTACAGAAGCTCAAATCCGTGCCCAATTACACAGTGGATCTTCAATTGGATCGCTGGATTTCAAATTATGAAAATCCCTCAGATGAACACTAATGCCAAGTGATCAACTTGCTTCCATCGTAATCCACCTGGTTTTTGAGTTGTACATGCGTTTTCGCGGGGTCTGACAAGTACTAGTATGCGAATCAGCGCATGACCAATGTCAAGTCGTAACAACTTTGCTTGCCGATTTCGCAAACCTAGCAACCAGATTTCGGACTGGAAGCCGAAGTATACTATTGTACAGTATGCCCCTCGATTCGTTATCCGAACCCCACGACGGCTACCCCCACTAACAACCGAAATCAAGGAAGTGCGTCATTCCACAAGGCTCCATAAGAGATAACCATAATAAAAATAGACCATGTTCAAATGTGAAAACAAGCTGTACTGTACAACCTGTCCTACAAGAGTAAGCCGGCATTCCCTCGGACTGTTTCGGTTAACCGGGCATACCACCGGAACAGTCACCGGAAAAATGCTGCATAGCACTGCCAGGGCTAATCAAAGTTAAAGGCATAAAGATGCGCGTGATTAGAATTCCCATTGGCAGCGCTAAGGGCGCATTGAGGGACACGCGTCGGGATTTTTGATTTTCTGTGGAGGTACTTTCCGTAGGGGGCGAGAACGAGAAACTCCATTTGCTTTGGCCCTTGGCCTACGGGGCTTGATGCCTTAGGGCACGGGGCACCCGAGTACACTTCAACCAAGTATTAGATACTGATATGACGTCAGGTAACAGGAGAGTCAACGAGTCCAGATGGCCATGAAAGCCCCGTGAAAGTGGAGTGTGCGATGGGGCAATAGTTTGGCGGGGTTGTTGGCCGGTTTCAATTTTTAAAAATTGGTGGATTGTGGGATTGAGGGTTGAATTGAAAAGTTAGACGATCGTACCAAATACGTGAGGATTTGGTGTTCAATTGGTATCTACTGATTGAACCACGTGCCGGAAGGCAGGCTTATCAGTTGCGCCTGCCAAAAGTGACTTTGGGATTTATATGCTGGTTGCGGGTACAACATGTATGGGGTTACAGTCCGATAAGACCGTGAGGGGTCAAGCGATCTCGGATGACCTGGTAGTCACTTGGACCCCCTGCTCATGAGAGATTTAGATGATTATGTATGTGGTGATATATTGAATGATCTGATCTGATCAAGGATTTTTAAGAACATATTCAAATAATTTTCTAATATGAATTTACCATGATACAATCAATAAAAAAGAGTATAACTTACATAGTAGAAGTCCGGAACCAACCGGGGCCTAAGTAGATCCACGAGGCGCCAATCAGTCAACCCACGCGCTGCGCCTGGACAGCACCTGCGGAGTCCCATACTTTCCATTTCCATGTAAGAGGGGCATATTGACTCAACAAAGTCGCACAAATAACTAATTCCCCCCCCTTGGATTTCAACTTCTTTACTCAAATCCGTTTTCTTTGTTGGTAGATTCGATCGTGGTGATTTATCTCCTTTGTCGCGAAATACGCCCCCTTACCGCGTCGCATCCTCACCCAATTTCCCGCTACGTGGAAGCAGCTTCGCGTACCTGCGTGTGTTAGTGCGTAACCACAACTCTTTGTTTCTTTGAGAGGTAAGTTTGCCCCTATCTTCTGCAAGACGCATCAGGAAAGAGAAGACCCTGTCGCCACTGAATCTACCAACCCAATCCCATGGCGCCGTTGCTGTCGCATTGTTTGGAACGGCCCGATCTGACTCATACGTAGTATATGCCCTGCGCGCGCTCTCTTCACCCTCCAAATCCCATCATCCATCATGGCTTTCCAGTCTACCTCCAGCATCGCTATGGCTCTTGCTGGCAAGACCGCTTCTGTTGATATCCCTCAGCCTCGTGCTGGCCTGACTGGCAAGTCCCAGTCACGCCCTGGACAGCCGGCCATGCTCCCTACGCCACCCAACTCCATCTCCCCCAACCTCCGCCCACAAGGCTTCAAACACCGCCCTGTTCTCTCCCCAGGCTCGCCGCTGTCCACCGTACCCCAGCTGGACTCCGATATCGACCTGGAAGACGCAGTCGAGCATGCAAACATCCAGGATCGCCCGCAGCCTACCCTCGACAGCGTAGGCGACATCACTCCCCTCATGCTGGCCAAATACCACCTGCCCGAGATCCTCCTGCAGCAAGGCCCGCTGGCTATCCGCCATGTCATGGGCTACCTGACCACGTCGGTGCCCGGGTTCTCGCGCATCTCACCCGCGAAAGCGCGTCGACTAGTCGTGGCCGCCTTAGAGGGTCGAGGAAACGGAGAAGCAGGCAACATGGATGGCGACGTCGTGTTTGAGAAGATCGGCTGGGGACGCTGGGATGCGCGTCGACGTGGCGAGCCCGCGCGCGACCGCTTCAACGCGACATCGCCTCCGTCCAGCGTAGCGGGATCCTTCCAGCAGCGTGGACTGCACATCGAGGGGTCCTCAGCCTGGGAAAGCCGTCGCGGCAGCCATGGTGATTATGACGCTAGAATGGGTCGTAATTCGATCGCGTTTTCGTTCGCGGAGGATTATGGGGCGCGGGAGTACGAAGATCTCGACATGCTCGAGCATGAGGCGGATAAGATGTCACTGGATGGAGATCGCGAGTACTGTTCTTCCTCTGAGGTAATGGATGACCTTCCTGCCGATGAGTGGAATGAAGGCGATGTCACCGATGAAGAAGACTGGGCGCAGATTGGAGCGGATGCACTGCGTGCTCGGTCGATGACTGGCGGCGGTGGGTTTGTGCAAAATGTGACGGCGCGAGCAAAACCTCTTCCTGGAATATTCGGCCCCACTGCATCCACTATGGCCAGGTCCACTCCACACAACTTTGACAACCAGGAACGCGCTGCGGTAGAGGCGCTTCTCCGTTTGGGCTCAATGTGAAGCTCTACTTCATGAGCGTTTCCACTCACTTTCGTTTTGGGATACCCAAGGTCATCATGGCTGGTCCGGATCACTTTGACTTCTGTTTATCACAAAAATGAGGCTTCTTTGCTGAAACGCTTGCAACATGACGCCGATGGTGGGATACCAGGCGTGGGAGTTTTTTTTTCTTTTTTTCTAACGGATTCCGGCGTTACCTGTTTTGCAACCAGATGGTCATGCCCAATAGTTCACGAACTGTACCGAATACCCCTCCATCTGGGCCTTGTCCTTTTCCTGGCCTTGCATTACAACTTTGTGGGCATTTTTCTTTTCTTTTTTTGCATCGAGTCTCGGGCTTCAACCTTTCCTGTGGATTCGCTTTCATTACTACTCTAATATTTGAACTCTCCATTTTTCTTTTGTTTGGATATTTCCGGACTCCATATCGATTACTCTCAGTTTGTCAAATATCTCTAACCAAATCCACGGGAATGTGCAGTGTCGGTCGTCTTGGCTGATTTGTACTGGCTTACGCACTTCTCTTGGTTTCTGGTTTTTGGCTTCTGTTGTGGTTGTGCTTTCAGTCATCTTTACTGATTTCACTGATAGCGTTGGTTCCGGCTCTATTCTGGTTTTGGGCACTGAGACAGGGTGGTGGATAGTGGGATTATGGATTCTTGTTTGGAAATCAACCAGCAAGTGTATAGCACCTGGTTTAGATAGTTGTAAGAGTCCAGACTAGTTAGCGACTCTGCAGATATTCATATGAATCAAATAAGACTGGTCTCATCAACATGAACCAAGTCAATACAAATAACATTCCAAATTCTCATAAGTACTGGTGTGAGGAGACCCAGTCCCTAATATGTACCAATATCATCACAAGTCACATTCCATGGGAAACGGTCATATTAGTACGAGCCTAACAGTAGTTACAGAATACACACTCCTTTAACTCTCTCTCATTTTGATCTTGACGGGGTGCTCGCTACTCTCCGAGGGCGACCTTCGGTCGTGGTGGGTTTTCGCTTAGTGTGTCCGATTCGTACGTCGTCAGAGCGTACTGCCATCGAGCGTTCCCCTCTTAAGTACCTAGTAGATATACCCCTATTAACTTCACGCACACGCATTTTTTCCCAAGTTGAGCGTCCCAATTCAAGAAACAACTCTGAACAAACGCAAAATCTCGCTACATTTGAATCCTGACAGGATAACATGACTAGACAGGTAAGCAAGCGATTTGACCTGTATGACTAAGCTACAGAAAGCCAGTGACTCAGATCAGATGGCCCCAGGATCTCTTCGAGGTGCAATTTCTGTTGAAATCTTTCTAGTTTTCTACCAAAACTGTGGAATCTTTATTGTTATTGGTACTATTATCTATTGTGTACGTGCATGCTTCATAAACTTGTTCAACCGAGACCCAAGAGGCCATAGAATAAGCTCACATATACTAATCGCCAGAATTCGACAACAGTTGCACCCGAGCTCTTTATTACAAACATTGAAGATTTCGAACGAAAGCTCGACCATGGCCTCCCCGTCGACATGGGCAACCACAAGATCAATCCAAGTCTCACTCTTGTCCCATGGCCATGCCAACGGGCCAATCGTACAACAGCAACAAGAAGCACGTTATCAGAAAACTATACATCACGATATTCGACACTTGCCGAATCCACCACGCCATCTCCGAGCCAAAGCAACCGGCCTATCAAGGCGACTCCAGAAAGAGTTCATCCCACATAAAAGTGTCGAGGCGTTGACAAGGCTCAAGGAAAGTCTAGACAAGGACGACATGAAAAGAGGGACAGGTACAAGTATCTTGGAGATGATGAGAACTAGTCACTACCAAGGTACATATATAGAAAGCTTCAAGTTCCCTGTATCCATGTCCCAGAATATCCCAGAACAAAAACAGACAGAGAACATTTCAATCAGACCAAAGCATAACCCCGAAATAAAACCGCCTAACGAAATCAAAGCAGTAATTCGGACAAAACCTATCTCCCATGCGCATCATTAATCCGCTTCCAAACTTCCGCCTCTACCTCTGCCAACTTTTCGCCCGCACTCTGCATCCACCCCTTTGCTGTATTCATAAGACCAGGCTCATCATCAGGGAAGATGCTGTCAGCTCCACCTCCACTGCTGCTACCATAGTGCGTAGGAAGTCCTTGTGTCCGCGAGGCTCCCATTGAAGATTCGGGGTACACCGCTGAGTACGGGGATGAGGTGGAGTTTGGAATGGAGCCATGCGATCCTGATGGATGGCGCTGGTAGGCATATGAATTCGTAAACGTTTGAGTTGCGCCAGGTTGAGGCGCTGGGGGCGAGACCATTTCGCCTGCTTTGGGGGGTGGGGGGACTGAGGGGCCTGTGGATGTTGTTCCTGTAGGAGTTGGGAGTGCGCCTGGTTGGGGTGCTGGAGGAGATTGAGAGGTTGTGGAGGCGATCTTTGTGGTTGGTGTTGCGGTGAGGTTGCCTAGTTGCGGAGCTGCTGTTGGAGTTGGCAGGCTCGCTACAGCGGCAGGCTGGGGAGGTTCATGTGCCGTTGCGTATACAGGGGAGTATGAGGGTGCTGTGGCTGTAGCTGTAGCTGAGGTCGTTGCAGGCTGAGGAGCTGTTGTGATAGAGGATTCGATTGCGGTGGCGGGTTCGGGCTGGGGGTTCGCTGCAGTGGTTTCTTCTTTCTTGTTTGAATTCAGAGGCGCAGAATTGTACGTTGGGATGCCCGAAGTACCGGACATTTTGACGAGCAGCTTTAGTCTGTGGATATAGTTGTTGAAGGAAAGAGGTGAGGGGGCTTGAAGAGAGCTCTAGCTGCCGCCCGAGACGTCATGCGCTTTTCACTGTGGGGCGTGTATGGCTTGCGGTGGAGTTCGAGAACCCTTGAAAATAATTGAGAGATACAAACAGCTGTTGAATTCCAACAATTTGAGAGCTTCGAATGATGATTCACTCAAACAATCTGACGCGATATTTGTCTGCCTGATGGTAGGGACACGTCGCATATGCAAACGTAAAAAGTTTCACAATTGAGACAGTCTCAGTGCTCACAATTCCTCAGGGGAAATGAAGAAAATCTTTGCCTATTGTTAGCAAGGCAATGCCAAGAGCAAAATTATTGGAAATTTACGGTGAATTTCAGGGACAGGGATTTACGAAGGCCAGATACGTTGAAAAAATACAGATTTTGAAAGAAAAGAAAAAGAGCTTGCAGGCAGTAAAGTACATCGGGTCCAAAAAGGAAGAATCACACCATATCCATGCTCAAGATCCCCCGGAACCCATTTCTTGACGCATCTATCTTTTGCCGTTGCCACAACCTCAGCTTCCCGCGCCCAGTGATTACACTGGGGGCAGGGAAGACATCCCCGACTCCAGTATAACTACAAGGTGATTAAATAACCGCTTTTAAGGGCGAGTTATCTATTTGAACTGCTTTCCGAAGAGGATGAGCTGGACCTGGTCGTAGATGGACAGGACACCAGCACCGGCAACACCACGCAGGATGTTGGCACCAGCACCCTTGAAGAGAGACTTAACACCCTCAGCGGCGATGATCTGGCGGGCAGCATCCATGGAGGACTTGTACTTGACGGCCTCACCGGAGGTCATCATCATGCGACGACGGACAGTGTCCAGAGGGTAGGAAGCAACACCAGCACCAGTGGTAACAGTCCAGCCGAGCAGGAAGGAAGCGAGGAAAGAGCCCTCAAGAGGACCAACCAGGAGAACGGGCTTGATGGAGTCGTACATTCCGAAGTACAGACCACGGTAGACAACAATTCCGAGAACGGAGGGACCGAAACCACGGTAGAGACCGGCAATACCGTCGGAGGCGAGGGTCTTGCGGTAGACATCCACGAGACCGTTGAACTGGCGCTCACCACCGGAGGCGGACTTGGCGTCGTTGGCCAGACGGGTACGGGCGTAGTCAAGGGAGTAGACGAAGAGGAGGGAAGTGGCACCGGCAGCACCACCGGAGGCGAGGTTACCCATCATCCACTTGCCGTATCCATCACGCTCCTTCTTGTAGGCGAACATGGACTTGTAGGTGTCACGGAAAGCGAAGTTCAGGGCCTGGGTGGGGAAGTAACGGATGACGTTGGCGGTGTTACCACGCCACAGGGAGACCATACCCTCCTGGGCAGCAGTGCGCTTGAAGCAGTCGACAATGCCGTTGTACTTGCGGTCAAGACGGCCAGCCTTGAGCATCTCATCCTATAACGGAAGTATCGGGTTAATGACTGATGCATACTTGGCATACTTTTCGACCACTATGGATCAACGGAAAAAATTTTCATTCATCTCTAGGGTCAAAACAATCAGGTCTGGCAATCAATGCCAGTCCCTCGATTGTGAGACTTCAGATTCGAATTCATGATTCTCGTTGTCAATCCATGGCGATCGATGAATTGTTATGAAAGGTGTAACCAACCTGGTTCTGGATGAGCAGCTTGATGCGCTCGATGGGGGCAGCAGCGGTCTTGGAGACAGCAGCGGAGACACCACCCACTGCATATTCAGTTAGTATCAGTTATGAAGCATAAGGGCCGAGATGCGTAATCGATTCTCGGCCGGTATGAAAAATGTGAAATGAACACATACTCATGAAGTCGACAACGAAGCCCTGGAAAAAATTTTCATTAGCAAGGAACTCTTGATTTGGATGATGTGCACTGAGAAAGCCGGTTTGCTGAACCCCAGGCTGGCATCTTTGAATTGACTCCGGGATGAAAATCCCAAGATATCGATTCAAGACGCGTGCGAGGACCAGGCCAGGTCACCAGAGCAGCAGGGTAAGAAACTTACGGGCATGCCGAAAACGGACTTATCTTGAACGTCACCACCAGCCATTGTGAAGGTTGTGCAAAGAAATAGATGCTACAACAAAAAAAAAGAGAGGAGATGGAGAAGGGAGAAGGAATCGGGAATTGGAAGGGAAGAAAAAGAAGAGAACAGCGCAGGGGGCGGAAGGGAGAAAAATACTGCCGTACACGGGCAGAAGCGACACGCAGCACACTAACACCCAATCAGGAATTTATTACGGTAATTCCCTGTATTGGATGGCCACATTGCCGATATCTCCCGATCGGCCTGAAAAAAAAAATCTCTGCATTATGTAGTTTTGGTTACCAACGAGCCCCCTAGGGATCAGGATACAATCGGAATAAAAAGGAATCATCAACAGATATCTAATGCTATCCTCGATGTGATTCACTTCTTTTATCTTGTCGTTTTAAATGCCTTTGTGAAGCCTGATATACTCCTATCGACATCTTCCGGAGGACGTAGCCCGAGCAACGGCAAGAGTCCAAGCACCCGGTGGACCGTTATGTTTGGGTACGAGCGTATCTTTCCCCATCGACTGGTCCACTCACAACCGGGGCAACTCCTTTTTCCCTGGCCCGAGTATCCGATGGAGGCGACCCGACCTTACTTGCCACCCTGTAAAACATTGTACCCTTAGTCAGTTCTTTGGTCCTGGGGAAATTGGGAATCCACTGTCGATGATTAGTTCTAGAGCCTTGATGAGAATACTCTAAAATCAGAAACATGAAAATGAATGCCCAAGTGGAGAGTATGTAGTACCTAAAGATAACCACCGGGCCGAGCGGTCAAGGTTATACCAGGAGATCAAGGAATTTCTTTGAAATCTGAAGAGATATTGAAATCTCGGGCTTTCTCAATAAGAATCTCTACACAAAATATTCCGTATACTCGGTAGTAGGTTCTATTAATCGGAGCCCCTCGATAGAGGAATCAAAATTTTCATCCAATGTATCAATATGAGCCATTTTTCCATGCTAGTTTTATGTACCTGGTACAAGGTTTAAAGTGGAGGTGAGCCGCATGTGCAATGTACCCAGACAAAGCCAGGTACGGACGCCAATAATACGGACCCACTTGCTGGGATCCGGGAACTACGGATATCCTATCTAAATGTACGATGCATATCACAAATTTTACATATGCAGCTTATTAGTGATTGTTTTCATAGAGCTCGATATTACTAGTACCTAGGTAGTGTGTCTATAGATTTCTTGATTGAGCCTTGGAAACTCAGAGCTCTAAAAAGCTGTTGTGCAGGCAGCGCTACGCCTGGTCGCAAGACGATTTGCTTTTTTAGGACTCGGAGAAAAGCCTGCCGGAATGAATGGACTGGTCCAATAATATTCTTGATACCTCATGGTAAGGGGTAACAATAATAATATAGCCCTACATACGTTTCTGAAGTTAACACTCATGTGCAGTGTCGATTTCTGCAGCGTATGTACATTTACATATATATAGTATGTGTGCATGCATGCCAATGCTCCAGATGTCAAGGATAAATATCCACACCTCGATGCAGGTGACTCCAACCTATGAACACCACCTCGAATACATACCTAGTAGGTAGACTTAGTGTTGGTTGGAACCTTCAAAAATATGCAGTTGGAAGTAGACCATGAACTTGAATTTTGGAATGTAATATACTATCAAGTTGAAACTCCATACCCCGTTCGTACATAATAGCTATAGACAATAAAGATCTTTTTGATACTTAGTGTTTCTTGGACCGCTTGCGCTTCTTGCGACCATCACTCTCACGAATGTCGACCTTCATGTCATCACCTGCCTCGTCATTCATGGTCTCCTTAACCCTCGGCCCAAGGTCGAAAACGGGACCTTCCTCATCTCCGAAAGTGTCCTTGCGCCACTGGCGAAGGCGCGCCTTCTTGCCGAGCTTTCTTTGATCCTTTGCTTTCTTCTCCTCATCACGGAAGGAGGCTAGCTTCTTCAGACCAGCGAATTGATTGAGCTGGGTATCGTCGGCCATGAGGATATCCCGCGCCGTCAAACCAAAGCTCTGGGGCGAAGTCTCACGGTAACGGAACTTGGTCGCATTCTTCTTGGTCGCTCCAGGAAGCATGGTGATGTCCAAGTCCAGATTGCGGTTGACCGCCTCGTCGATGCGCATACGTTCCTTACGGGCTTCCCGTTTCTGATCGCGCTTGTCTTGCGTTTTGCTCTTCTTGGAGACAGGAGCCTCATCCTCGCCGTCATCATCATTATCCTCATCCAGTTCCAAGGTGGGTTGATCTTCGTCATCCTTGTAGTCCGGAATCAGATCAGTGATATCGAGATCATCGTCCCACTCAGGCTTCTTGGGATGCTTCTTGTCGCTGGAAGCACCTTCAGCATAGTAGTCTGTACCGAATCGTTGCTCCATCTCCTTTTCCCACTCCTTGTCGTCCCAGGCACCATCGAGGAAGCGCATCCAGTCATCATCGGTGAGTTCTGATGCTCTGAATCCAGCCACTTCCTTGATTTGCTGGATTTTCTTCTGCATCTCCTCGGTCTTGAGCTTACGCAACCGGTTCTTATCAGCCTCACGCTGCTTTGCTTCCTCCTCCTTGCGCTGGCGTTCAGCCTCTCTGATCTTCTTGCGAGAGCTCTTCTCTTCTCTTCGGGCCGATTGTTTGTTGGTTGCATCACGAGCGTGAGTGACCAGCGCCTCATTGAGCTTGCTGGGATCCTCAAAACGGAAGTTGTATGCCTCTTCAAGGACATCGGCCCGGTCGACATCATCATCATCATCGGAATCGAAGGGGTGGAGTTCCTGTCGACCTTCGGGGACCCATGCTCGGGCGGACAGGAAATTGGAGAGGAAAGTCTCTGGGTCCTTGTCGGCACCTTCAATGTCCAGCTTGATCTCTGACTTTTCAGCCTTCTCAGCTGGCTCCGGGACAGACTTGCGGACCAGGAAGTCATCAGCATCATCCATCTCATCATCTGAAGCATGCATCTCCTTAACAATTGCATCCTTGAGCTCTGCTTGTTCTTGGGCAAAGGTCTTGGGAGCATCGTCTTCTCCGGCGGAACCCCCACTCAGCAGGTTTTTGCGATGGTAGTCGTGCAATGTCATGGGCTTTTCCTTCTTCTCCTTGGGTGTCGCGTTGGCCTCGTCTTCGTCAAACTTTGAGTAGAACGTAACGTTGCTATCGTAGACGCGGGGGTCCTTGTTTCGGATAGCGTTCAAAGTGTCCATGATCTCTGCATCGAGCGCCTCAGTCGCGAGCTCTCCAATGTCATCCTCGTCTTCATCTGTGGAGGAGTCATCGTCCTCCGGTTCTTCGTAGTAGCCGCGGCGATTGCTTAATCCATTCTTGCCGAACTTCTCTTCCACTGAAATGGAGGCGCAAGTTAGTTAAGTTTCTCAAAACAACTCATAATTCAGTCCAAACAACATACACTTTGCAACTTCCTCACGCTTCTTATTGTACTCGAACCGTTTGGCGTAGTCTTCGTTGATCTTGAAGCCAGCCTCTGGTGACTTGCTAATGGGCACACCACCAGCATCATCCCCAGAGTCACTATCATCATCAAGGAGCTTCCGCATTTTCTTTGAAGGGGGCTCCATTTTGGTAAAGTGTAGGATCTTTACAATCTATCTCAACTTTTCTGTTTCGCGGCAAGACTCGATTGGCAGAAAAAAAACCACATACCGCCCAGCGCAAGCCCACCTGCATCGGCGCCTGATTGACACCTTAAATAATAAGGCACCAAACACTTCTCCAGCTTCCGTCGACTGACGTAGCCAATTAGATCATCTCATCGCGAGGCTTCAAATCCGCTGACCTGCAAGTGGGTAGCTCTCCCCCGGCTTCCTGCATCTCCTCGTTTACTAGACTCGATTTCATTGTGAGCAGAGCGCAACTTTTTTGATTTTGTACTTCCCCGTGTTTTAATTTGCTGGCGTCAAGTACATGTTAGGAGACATGCACTAGATGTCGACTCAATCGCAGACCCCATTACCCCAGGTCGGGAAGCTCGTGAGCGTAGTGTGAGTTCCGGATGTGCCCCTGTCCTCTGTGAAATTGCCAATTCTAACTCGCGTTGATGAATATAGTCCCGTCGGTCTGAAAGAAGCTGCCCTCGACTCGCCAACCTTCCGCGCTACTACTCTCCACTTCTGCGACCAGATCGACTTTATCGAGAAATGGCTGGACGGATATGCTAGAGCCGCGACAAAACTCTCCTCTGAGGTACTGACTCTGGAGAGTGTTGTCAGCGGCTTCCTATCCTATTCCACTCACCCCCTGGTGGTCTCTGAGGCTATCGTTGACCATGATTACACCCTGCTCGCGATGCGGAGGAATGGGGAGAGCTCGAAAGATCTGTGGCATGGTTTGGTGACAACGATCAAGAAAATGGAGTCATTGATCGCCGAGCCGATTAGAGTCTTCATTCAGGAAGATCTCCGACAATTCAAGGTATGCATTGTCAACTTTACTACCCCGTGTGTTTACCCGTACGTTGACGGCGGCTAACTGGGCACTTCGCATAGGATACTCGTCGCGCCCTTGAACAAGCTCAAAAACACTTCGACTATCAGCACGCACGATACGCCTCACAATCGAAGTCAAAAGATACATCCACACTCAGGGAGGAAGCATTCCAGCTTCACGAGGCTCGCAAGGCGTACCTGAGGGCCTCCATGGACTTCTCTGTTCAGGGGCCCCAACTCCGAAATGCCCTTGATCGACTTCTGGTTCGGGTGTCCTTTGACCAATGGCGAGAGGTGCGAGGCTTTCACAATAACAACACCGCGACCTTTTCCAAGTGGGCGCATGAAATGGACCGTATCAAAGGATGGATTCACGAGATGGAAGGAAGTGATAGGTCTTCCAAACGAGAGCTCCTTTCAACAAGAAAGTATATCGAAGAAGCCGCTGAACTTGCCGCAAGACCCTCCCGGGAATTGGAGGATTATTCGATCTCCACTGTACCTTATCTTGGCTCTCGTCCCCTCTCATCACTTAACATGAGCAAGGAAGCCAAGCCAGAAAAACAAGGCTGGTTAAACCTGCGAACTCTCTCTGGCAAACCCACTCGTACTGTTTGGGTGAGGCGGTGGGCCTTTTTGAAACATGGTATATTTGGATGTCTTGTCCAAGGAGCTCGCACTGGCGGCGTGGAAGAAAGTGAACGGATCGGCGTGCTACTTTGCAGTGTTCGTCCTGCCTTCCAGGAAGAGCGACGGTTCTGCTTCCAAGTGAAGACTAAGAATAGCAGCATCATCCTGCAAGCTGAAACCCAAAATGAGCTGATGGACTGGATTGGAGCCTTCGAGGCTGCTAAACAAAAAGCTCTCGACAACCCAAGTAGCACCGATCTGTCTGTATCCGGAAAGATGACCGTGCAGGACCCTGCCTTTGCAATCTCGCAGCCTCCTGCTCCTGAGTTTACCGCGGATGCAAACGATTCTCTCACGCCGCATCCGAATGACGACTCAAACTCTACAGATCGTAGTGCAACTCTGCCAGTTCCAGATCGAGATGGTATTGCGTTTAGAGCTAGCACGGAGCTGGGCACTCGGCGACTCACAGGTCATGATCCTGAAGGCTCTACGAGAGCACACATCATCCAGAAATTGGACCTTCATCGCAAGTCCAACAATGGTGCACCGGCATCACCCTCTATTCCAGGCCCGGCGGGTGGTATCGCTAGTCTCATTTCAGCCAGTCATAATATTCTTCCTTATAATGGCTCCAACTTTGTCAATGCGAGAGACGGAGATGGAACTCGGGGTCGGAGTATGAGCGTCCTAGAGGAGCCTGGGGCATTAAGCCTTGCCCCTCCAACTCTGGCGAATCCACCCGCGCCAACAAGTATGAGCAAGGCCGCAGTTGTTGTGAGTAGCGAAAGAGGCATCGGGCTGGGACGTTTGGATAATACGGGTGGTATGCCTAGTGGTATGATGGCAAACCTTTGGGGAAGTTCGAATTGGGGCTTCATCAATAAGCTTGAGCGAGAACAGCCCCGAAAAGCTAATGGAGAGCATCCCGCATCCCCGATGAGTGATTCCTCAAACCGAACAATTATTGCTCAACCCGATCTCCCAACAACGTCACAAGATACCCAATCATCGTCTGGCCCCCGCCACAGGCAGACTGTGAGTCTCGATGGAGAAGCTGCGGCTAAAATCCACCAAGCCGCCCGGAGTGCAGTCAAGCAAACCGCGCAGACCCAATATCCAGCTGTATATCCCCAACAACTCAGGATTCAAGACGCTCAGTTCCGGTTGCTTTTCCCCGATGTCAAGAAGGAAGAAGCGCTGGTTCTGGTTTTCAGGGCGACCTGGAGTCCTAATGACCAGCAGGAATTCCCCGGTAGGGCCTATGTAACAACCAGAAACATTTATTTCTACAGTCACAATTTTGGACTTGTTTTGACCACAAATATCGGTCTAGACAGCATCAAAGAAGTCACGGCTGCTACCGGAAGAGATTGCGATTTCCTTTTCCTGCATACAATTCCCCCTCTCGGAAGCGACACGCCTGGCCGGATCACCGTCAAGACATTCCTCGAGCCGCTAAGGCTTCTTCAGAAACGTTTGAACTTTTTAATCCAAGGGTCAATTGCTGTGGAACAACTGAGTCTCGAAGAACTTCTAAAGGAGCTGATCAGAATGGATAGTGGAACTGCAAAGAGAACGTCAAGCGTAGACAGCTGGGAGGATGTTGAATCCGACGCTAGACATGAGGGTCGTGATCTATCGATGGCAAACAACCTCCGTGCCCCCATTTACGTCGATAAGGATCTTGATCTAGATCGAGGTCTGAGTGGCCGAGGGCGAGATATCCCCAAATTCAGACTTCCAACCCAGCCTGTGGAATACGTTCCCCAAGGGGATCTTCTCCTCACGACCGAGAAAGCGCTAGATGTCAGTCCGAAGGCATTGTTCCATATTCTCTTTGGAGACAAGAGTGCCGTATGGCAGTTATTGCTCCATGAAAGACAAGCAAAAGGCAAGCCGTGTTTATACCATCCCGTTTGCTAAATCACCATGCTGACTTATTATGAAGACATCAAACAAGGCCCTTGGACTAGCAATGAATCACGACATCTCAGGCGAGACTTTTCATACAAGATCGCCACGACAGATATTTTCGGTAAAGTCTTCTACCTTTGATGCCCCAGGAATGTGCTAATAAAAATGCTCTATAGGAAACACCCATGATAACACTATTTCCGATTACCAGATCATCGATGTGCTCAACGATCATTTATGCTATGTCATTACCGATAAGCGAACTCCATGGCACCTTCCATTCCGACGAAACTTCAGACTCGTCAGCAAAGTTGTCATCACGTTCGTTGGAAAATCTAAGAGCAAGCTTGCTGTCTACACCAAAGTCGAGTGGCTCAAGTCCCCCTACGGTCTAAGAAGTAAGCCATTATTTCCTGTTAAGAGCGTTTCAAGTGCTAATGATTGCTACCAGATATGATCGAGAAACGAGCACATAACGACCTTGAAGAGGATGCCTTGGACCTGGTCGATCTAGTGAGCGATCAGGTACGACGATTGGGCGCACACAGTCGTACCAAGAAGGCTATAACTATCTTTGGCCATGTTGGACGCCAGAGCAACGATTCTTATTTCAATGGTGTTGGAGCAAATTTGAAAATTGAACCGCGGAGGCCCCGAGTCCAGCGTACCTTGCCCCAGCTTATCACCGAGACAACATTGTCCTTCTTGGAAAGTACCATTTCACTGTTTATGATGTGGACTATTGGTGCTGTTCGCTGGGCATGGAAGACCGTGAGTGCACAGAAAATCATTATGGTGCTGTTGATCACTAGCGCACTCATGAATGGGTTCTATTCTTCTCGAGATACTTGGGATTGGTGGCATGAGCGACACGCAAGGAACTTCATGGCCAAGCTTGGCGTGCAACCTGATATGGTTATGAGCAAAGCCATCTACATTCGAGACATCGACGAGGCGATTGGGAACTCGACGATGTGGGCTCATACTGGGAATGCAAGCAGCTGCTTTGGAGCATTCCATGAGCAAACCCTTCGGCATGCGGAGCTCCCCTTATCCCTCAGCACCTCGGGGACCCGAGACGCAGTGGCCAAAAGCGCAACAAAACGGTTTCAGCAGACTCGTGAACGGCTTGGAGCCTATCGACACAATCTTTTGGTGGGACTGCGCGTGTTAAACGGTATCGAGAAGGAGGTCATCCAGACTGAATGGGAGCGCTGGCTTGGTGAAGAGCTTCGACGTTGTCGTCAGGTGGAGATTCTTCTTGGTGGTGATGGTGACGAGGGCGAGACAGACGCGCAAGCCCGGCGCATATTCGCCGAAAACGCTGACAGTGTGAAGCAATGGTATGACAAATATTGCACCAGCTGTCGACTGGAGAAAGAGCAGGTTCAAAAGAACGAGCACGAAAACTTGCTGCTCTGAGCCTGTTCTCTGGACTTGTCTTGATGAGTGTTGTATGTTTTTGAGATATGGTTGCCTTTCGTTTTTCATGCTCTTTTCACGCAAACACTATACCCGGTGACCCATGTATGTGCCCTGCATAATTCCGGCGTACATATGATGCCGATCCTTCGCTTCTAGCAGATAATTGTGAGCCAATAATGTTCCAACCAATGGACGAAAGACAGTTGAAGATACATACCATTTTAAGTCCAATGAGTCATGCCAAAGATGCAATCGATATTCTAGTTTTGCCGAGGCTTCACCTCTCCCTCCTGCACAACATAGTACACCACTGTCCCTTCTCCACCCATACCCTTATCCACCATCGCCAGCAGCAATCGCTGAGCGCCCCATTCCTTGGTAGCCATAGCTTCTTCTCTTTTTTCATAATAGTCATCCAGCTTCTGCGCCTTCTCAGCGTCCACCTTCGGCGTCTCTCGTTCTTCCCCATCCTCGACAATCTGAATTCCTCCCATAGCATCAAACGCAGACGCAATGCGCCGCAAACTCCATGACTGACCCTGTGCAGTGGGAATCACAAAAAGGCGCTCCGGTCGGAGATCATCTTCGCGAAGACCCTTCCCAAGCATGTAGAGCTGCTCGTCGGGGTGGGTATAAACTCGGTGCGGGGGAACACCCGAGATCAAGGGCGGCACACCGGAGTCTTCACTTGAGGAGCTAGAAGCCGAGACTTTCGCATGTTGTGAAGCAGTGGTATCATGAATTTGTAGAGATGTCCATAAATGTTGATGTTGGAGGTTGTGAAGGACTTGGATCGTCGTTGCGGAAAAAGGGTTTCCCGATGCAGAGGCCGAGACAATGAGCTTTGTGAGGGCTGATGACTCTAGAGTCGAGGCGTCTGGATTTGGAGATGTCATATTTGGTAATTGGGTGAGCTTTAAATTGAAGACTCTTGTTTCGATTTTAGGTCGCAAGCTTGAATTCGTCAGAAAAAAGTTGTGCAGAAATGGAGGAGCTGTGCTCACCGCCTACTAGACCCGACAATGATGATCTACCGCTTTCCTCAATGAGAAGGTCGTTGTACGGACAAGTTTAGGAACAAGTTGGTTGATTGATCTTCTACTGATTTTTGTGCTTCCAAATTTGAAATTGACGACATTGACGGAACCAAGGTCCCTTTATGTTCCAACCCCATTTGATCGCGTTTAATTACAGTGGGGCCCCCTGCCCTGGCGATCACTGATTGCTGCCGGCCCGATAAGATGCGAGTGAACTAAGAACACATGGCATCATCTTTTTTTCTCTTCAAGCTCCACTTCAGGGTCCGAGGAATAACTCCTGAGTAATACTCTTGATACTCAAGCCCGGGTTCACACCGTTATATTCCGATTTTGTTCAACCTGTCTTTTTAGTCCTATACACCCCGAACACGCTGCAATGGGCCGACAAAAGCAAACAACACCGCTCCAGCGTACTCCGTCGCAGTTGATGCGAAATGAGGTTGAAGCGAGAGAGAAGCATACAAATGGGAGTGCAAGTGTCTCTTCAATTGTACAAGAAAGTGCCCCCGCAAAGGTCGCGGCAGCAGTGGAAACTGTCACGGAGACCCCGGGTCTGATGCAATTGTTCATTTGCGTCCTCGGTATATATGCGGCATTGTACGTTTATCTACAAACATATGGCCCGCAAATCAGTTGAAACTAACTTTGAAAAAGCCTCTCATGGGGTGTTTTACAAGAGGCAATCACCACAACCACTTACTCTGTCAGCCCGACAGCCGCCAATCCGTCACCTGCACCCGAACGATTTACATACTCATTAGTCCTAAACACCATCCAGTCCTCGTTTGCCGCTATCACCGGCTTCACATACCTCCTATTCTCCACGCCAAAAGGCCAGAAGGTTCCTCCGATTTTCCCTACCCGTCAAATCCTCTTCCCCTTACTCCTGGTCAGCATCTCTTCGTCACTTGCCTCGCCCTTCGGGTACGCCAGTCTGGCGCATATCGATTACCTCACCTTTATCCTCGCCAAATCATGCAAACTCCTCCCGGTCATGCTCCTGCATTTGACCATCTTCCGCAAGAAATATCCTCTGTATAAGTATGGTGTTGTTCTTATGGTCACTTTGGGCGTGGCCACATTCACCCTGCACCACCCTGGCACGAGCAAGAAGGTGGCTGCAGCCGCAGAATCAGGCTCAGGATCGTCTACTTGGGGCATATTCCTGTTGTCAATCAACCTCCTTCTCGACGGCTTGACAAACACGACTCAGGACCATGTGTTCAGCTCCCCGCAGCGGTACACCCGCTTCACCGGGCCCCAGATGATGGTTGCACAAAATGTGTTGTCGACCCTCCTCACCGCCGCGTACCTCCTGATCATGCCACACCTTTCCCAAAGCGGTGTTCTGCATAATTTGCTCCCTTTCCCGATCCCACCATCTACTGAGACAGAGCTGTGGTCTGCGATCTCATTCCTGCAGCGTCACCCCGAGGCCCTGAAGAATGTTCTTAGCTTTGCTGCGTGTGGTGCTATTGGGCAACTGTTCATCTTCCATACCCTGTCGAACTTTTCGTCTTTGCTTCTTGTCACCGTGACGGTTACTCGTAAGATGCTTACCATGCTTCTGAGCGTATTCTGGTTTGGACACTCCCTGTCCGCTGGACAGTGGCTTGGAATTTCCTTGGTGTTCGGTGGTATTGGAGCAGAGGCTGTGGTGCAAAGACAGGAGAAGAAGGCTAAGGAACGGGCAAAGGCTGAAGCTGCCAAGAAGTCGCAGTAGGGTATATGTACTCTGTAGTTTTGTTTTTATTATGGCGTGCACTTTATTCAAGGACCTTCAGAGTTCGATAGAAAGATTCAATATATCAAGTGGATCAACATATGAAAGAATCTAACACTGAATTAATCAATACGAATAAATTGTCATTCATAGTTCATAATTGAGGTATCAACCCGGTTATGTTCAATAGCTTATCTTCGTCCCTCCACCATGATAATATGATACCCATGGCCCGACTTCACCTCGACATACTTAGGATTACCAGTAGTACTAGGCTCCAATTCATAAGCCGCCTTCTCAAAGGCAGCATCCAAACTTCCACGAACCTTCCAACCTAGCGAACCACCTACATAAATTAGCCAACAGACCACTACAAATAGAACAAGTTCAACATACCTTGCCTAGCCTTGTCCTCTGAAAATTCGCGCGCAACCTCATCAAACTTGACTCCATTACGCAGCTTCTCCAACGCCTCTTCTTTCTTGGAGTGTTTTTCACACTAAGAGAAGAAGAAAGAAGTATTAGACTCGATCTTTCTCGTAGATAAGTTGTCATACCAGAATGTGTCGCGCGTTGATCGCTGTCGCGGCCTTCATTTTCCCCTTGCCGTCGTCCCCAGCATCCTTGCCTTTGCCCTTTGCAGGCTTAGCTTTGGCGTTGTTCTTAGGTGCCATGGTGGATGTTTGGGGTTGTTAGATCTTTTGGTCAATGGAGAGATTCAAATGTTGGTGGGGTTGGTGCCTGAGGCATGTTTGTCGTGACGTGGGGGAATACACAGCTACAATCATGTGGAGGTACAGATATCATCAGATAATGGCGACCATATGTTATTATGCCTGGTTATATATATAGATATCCTGTACTGTCTACCTAAGTATCTAATCATTCCGTGTTCATTCGCTCTGAACTGGAGAATTTAGCAGGACTTAGACCGCTATACAGCTTGAGCACAATATATATTACCTACTTTGGTGTGTATTGGACATCTCGAAGGTGCACGCAAACACTTGAAGTGTCCTTCGAAATTTAAACTTCATTCCAAGGTTTGAAGATCTAAAGCTTTCTTCATCCATCGATAATGCTCAATCCGGATGATGTGTGTATACATAAGTTTAATAATGTACATAGGGTGCACAGCGCTCTACTCCAATTTCAAGCTTAAAAGATAAAAGCTGGTGGCAGGGGAAGTTGATCAGGCCGAGCCTAGTAAGCTTCAAAGCTTTCAGCTCTCTACTGAGTTCATGGCGGATCATATCGTGTGGCTGCAAGGGAGGGGTCTCGACAAATCCATAGCTTATTGAGGATTAAGCTGGGACAAGCTATAAGAAGCTGAAAGTCATTGAAAGGTTGGAGAATGATCGATCCCGCTTTGTTACATGACCTGCATATAGGTACTTCTTTCAAGGATAAAGCTAGATAGAAAATAATAAACTCTGAATGGGTATTGTTCTGCAGATTCAACCTCGATAAGAGGCGAAAGCTGAATGGTCGCATCGGCGATCGCCACTAGTGGAGTTCCAAGTTACTTTTGGCTGCGTCCGGAATGATGAAGGTCCGTGCTGTTTGCCCGCAGACGGTCGGTTTAAATGCTTGAAAATACTTTTTGATTTTAATGGGAAGTAACAGAATAAATAGAAGAATGTTTAATTGATGATCTAAAACAGAAGAATCTGAAGTGTCATGCAAATGTTCAAAGTAATTCGACTCACTCCACCAAAGGGAAGTGGCCAAGTCCCCTAAACCAAGCAACTTCCCACCCCCCCATTCTCTTTTCCTTTCCCGTTTTCCCTTCTTTCCTTTCTTTCCCCCCAATCTTCCCTCAAATCCTTACCCGATCTTGAATTCCTACCCCCTTATCGTCCTTTGGTTCTTTTCTTGTCCGGTATAATTCTCAATAATTATATAATACCGCCACACATCCACCTCCACACCCCCTAATTTCCAGAAATCGATCACTGAGGAGCAGGTCTACCCGCGTCTCACTACAGCGTCTGCTTTGGCTGGCGTTGCCAACTCCCCCGGGACCCGGTCGCGTACCTCCCAAAATGACGAGCGGAATTCTCACACATCGAGTGCTATCGCTATGAGTGATGTCGAGGCTGTCTCACTACCCACTACCCTGGATGTTGGTGCAAATACGCTGGCGGCCGTGAAGGCAGACGCCCCGGGATCCCCTAGGAAGTCGACTTCACCTCCACGACACGCCAGTTTGGCATCAAATCTGGGGGTACTAGAGGATGATGAACAGGGACCTCCAAGTCCCAAGGCCGACTCGGAGGCGGAAACTATAATTCAATCCGGACGAGAGTCGCTATCCCCCGAAAAGAAACGAAAGCACATTTGCCATGATCCCATACGCCAGGCCATCGACAGAGTCGACGGGGTCGACGCCATTCAGCGAAAGAAACCGCGTATCAATGGTGAAGGGAGGCATTCGGTCTCCCGGTCGCCCAGTCCCTCGGAGCGTGCTGGATCGCCCCCGTCGGTCGTCAAGATCGAGAAATTCGAAGATCCTTTGTCTGTACCACGAAACGTGTTGGATGACGCCTGTGTGAACCAGGACAAGCCGCGAATCTACCGCAAGAGGAGCTTCAGTGATAGCGTAGACGAAAAAGGCGAGCGTCGCCGTGGCTCGCACGTTGATCTTAAACATGCCAATCATCTTCACCTTCCCCATCCCCAAAATACCCGCTCTGTCTCCCCGTCTCGCCCCTCGCATCAACGCTCCGCATCGGGCTCTCAAATCCACTCTAAGAAAAAGGCCCCTACCCCTCACCTTACTGGTTTCCAGCGACAAACCTCGGAAGACCGCCAGTCCACATCGTCATCGGCGAGTGGTTCTCCGTTACCAAGTGCTCACTTGCGCCGGCTGGGCTCCGGGGTGGGTGCTTCGGCCTCCCCCGCGAAACAAATGGGACCAAAGAAGCTTCGCGACAAGAGTGGTCGGACTCCACTCGCCAGAGCATGCGCCGATCGCAAGCACGATCAAGTGGTCATGCGCTTTGGTGAACGCCCGGAAGATCTGGATGTCGCCGATAATGCCGGAAATACGCCTTTGCAGATTGCTTCCCTCAATGGAGAGGCTTCGATTGTCAAGTTCTTGCTGGATTCAGGTTGTGATATAAATGTTAAAAACCTTGAAAAGGACACCCCTTTGATCGACGCGGTGGAAAATGGTCATGTGGAAGTGGTTAAATACTTGCTCGAAGCAGGCGCAAATCCTCGGACCGTCAACGCCTCTGGAGAAGAACCATACGAATTAGTATCAACCGATTTGAACGACGACGAGTATGAAGAGATCAAGAAGGCGCTTGCAGATGCAAAGGCCAATGCACGGCCGGGCCGTCGATCGGAAGAGCGATTCGGTTCAGATAGCAAAGCTCCATCGTCTCGACGAGCATCTGCTGCTAGTCAATCGCGAAGTCCCCCACCGTTGGGTAGTGCCGCCGCTGGTCGTCGCAAGACTGGCCGGAGCGAAGCGACAAGAAATGATCTGTTATGGACACAGCCGACCCCGGAGAATCTCATGAATTTTGCTGCTAAGGGCGATGAGATGGGGGTGGTGAGCATTTTAAATGTTCTGCAGAAAGCGGACAATGCATCCTTGATTGCTGCTGCGAAAGGGGGGCACCATGACGTATTATCGCTCATGTATGCGATGGGAAATGCAGAAGCTGATCCAAATCCTCTACGCGGTGCGGGGCTCAAGCAAGGCTACAACACGCCGATGCTAGCTGCGATAGGCAGAGGCAACACCAGTGTTATCAACCTCATTCTCAGCCAACCAGGCTTCAATCCTACCCGCCGTTTATTTGAAGACCGAACCTATTTCGAGCTTGCTCGATCTCGCCAAGGTGAGAACTGGGAAGACGAATACGACATTCTCAAAGCAGCCTACGAGAAATATCCAGGAAGCAACAAAGGCCGCAAAGCTGTCTCCTCACCCCGCCAATCGCGCAAGGAGAAGGAGGAGAAACGATCCGCCCGAAGAGATTCATCCTCCCCCGTGGCCCGCCCAAAGAAGCCCACCGATAGTCCCACCCGCAAACCTCGCCCTCAAAAGGACATGGACTCGCTGAAGGAGATAAAGGAGATTAAGGAGAAGCGACGCGAGAAGGAACGAACTGGGCTGATCAGCGCTCGTGCCAAGCTGAATCGTGACGCGAATGAGAAGGCGCTTGCATCTGACCCTGACTCAACCCAACCCGATTCCGCGAAACAGAGACCCTCAGTCTCAGCGCGCAAGGACAGCGAGTCTAGTGGTGCGATTCGGACCGATGAAATCCGCAAACGCCGACTCATTGCCGGCCGACGCCCCCAGGAGCGTGATCGCCGCCCTAGTCTCTTTTCATCTGATTCTCTCTCTGGTCGCGAAGAAACCCCCAAGTCGCGCAATGATGCTGCACCCGATACCAACACCACCCTTAAGCGCATCCGAACCGAAGCCTCCCCCGAAAGATCTCGCTCACGAGGTGCAGACGGCGACCGGCTTTCACCCGAGTCTCGAAAACAGAAGAAACGACGTGTCCTGGCTGATGACAAGTTACCGAATATTCCTAACGGTCAGCATCGCAAACCCGAGGATACAGCTGACGCCGAAAAGGCCAAACATCGCCGACCTCAAGAGGATGGAAACGAAGGCCCCGTTCGTAGACCTCTCGAGACTAAGAAGCCAGAGCCTGTCTCGAAACCTGTCAAGGAAGATTCTACTCGCAAGAATGGCGGTGTAAAGTCTGAGCCATCTGAGCCAGCCGACAAACCTGCGGTGGATGTTTCTGTCGAGGAGAAACGGGCTGAACTTGAGGCTGAGAAACGGCGTCAAATTGAGGCTAAAAAGGCCGAAGAAGAGCGCCTTGCCGAAGAAAAGCGTCTTGCGGAAGAAGCCGAGCGTGAACGCCTCGCCCAGGAAGAAGCAGATCGAGCTGCCAAAGCTGCGCAAACTGCACGCGAAAAGGCCGAGGAGGATGAGCGCAAACACAAGGAAGCCGAACAACGCCGAGCCAAACAAGCTGAAGATGAACGACAGAAGCGGCTTGAACAGGAGCGAGCTCGCATTATGAAGATGCGCCGTGACCAGGAGCTTCAGGAGCAACGTCGCCGTGATGCTCTTCCTGGTCGTCTTCGTATCTCTGCGAATCTGGTTGGCTCCAATGACCGTTATAGCAAAAACCGCGACTGGCTTCAGAAATTCACTCCTCTGGTTACCGTGCTCACTCGGCAGCTTGAACCTACTTGTGCTGTGGATGTGGCGGACGAAAGATGGATTCCGAACTACTTGGTTGCGCCTTTGCTCGCTACTAACGACCTTCAATTGTCGCAGTATGCTAGCTGGGAGAAACGCAAGGCCACTCCGACGCAGCGTATCAATCTCTGGCGATGCACTCGTCGACACTTGGTTCACACAGATGACCCCAAGTACCGCAATGCATCGTTTGGAGATATTATGCAGCTAGATTCGGAGACGGAGCCCAAGTATTTCGGAATGGAACATGTGTTCTGGATCAGGGTATGTCCCCTATTCTATCTATCGGGTTTGTAACATTTTCGCTGACTTGACCAGCTTTCTGATTTCATGGACCTCGTCCCCCATATCCCTCATCTGAATGGACTCAGACTCGACGACTTCCTCACAATGCACATCGATCCAGAGCCTTCGGCTGCATCTACTACTTCTCAACTCAACGGTCACACCCCGACATCCTTTGCTGAAACCAACGGCAACGTGTTACCGAACGGTCATGGCTATCCCCGGGCCGGTACATATTTCTAGTCTTTTCTAGCCTTTTGCAGTTGTTTGCAGCGTCTTCGCTATCAAGGTTATGGCGCGATTGCAGAATTCCAGCGAGGTGTACAGGTCGGATTCTGGTTGTACGATTATGATACCTTTTGCGTTCATGTAACGAATTCTTTTCTAGCCCAGTATAGTATTGACCCTTAATGGCCAAACTTTGCTGGAAACACACTTGCTTCCAATTGTAGTGCAATTGAAACCTTGAAACTCAGGCATGAAAGTATTCAACGCCAGTCAAAACCGGACAGGCGGTGTAATGACCACGTGACTTCGAAGGGCGGGGCGTGACATAAGCGTAGGGCACACAGAGCGAAAATCGAAATTGAACCCGAAAAATTCCCCGTGCTCGAACCAACCCATATCCACAACACAAAATACCTCTTTGAGGATCTTCCGACATTTCAGAACATACCCGCTACCCAACAACCACAGTAGCAATCAAAATGGTACGTCCGAAACCAAGATTGACCCCGTCAGTGGTGCAGGCAACTTGAACAATGTGAATGGATACGCCATTGAGAACGAACGAACTGCGCTGTCGCCGACTGCACAACCCCGCCGTCGACCAACAGATTCTGTCGCCAATTCTCAAACCGCATATCCAAACCCATTGCTCAATCGTTACCACTGTCAACACATTGTGTGCGACTCCTCACTAACAGTTGTCCTTCAGTCGGACGGAGAAGAGACCCAGTCCAACCCCCCCGTTGCCGCCGATGAGGTCGAGGTTTCCGCTGACGCTGGCTCCGGCCAGATGTCTGTCCTCGATGCTCTGAAGGGTGTCCTCCGCATCTCCCTCATCCACGATGGTCTTGCCCGTGGTCTCCGTGAGGCCGCCAAGGCTCTCGACCGCCGTGAGGCTCACATGTGTGTCCTCAACGAGGGCTGCGAGGAGGATGCTTACAAGAAGCTCGTCGTCGCTCTGTGCTCCGAGCACAAGATCCCCCTGATCAAGGTTCCCGATGGAAAGATGCTCGGCGAGTGGGTCGGTCTCTGTATGTACCACTGATATGAGATCCTCGCTTGGACTTTTCCCTAATATTGTTTCCAGGCACTCTTGACCGTGAGGGTAACGCCCGCAAGGTCGTTAACTGCTCTTGCGTCGTCGTCAAGGACTGGGGTGAGGAGTCCCAGGAGCGCTCCGTCCTCCTTAACTACTTCCAGACCGAGCAGTAAATTAGTCCCTCAAAAAAAGGCTAGTGCTGTGGCAACGGTCTAGGGGTGAGACGATTCGGATTCTCGAGGATTCAAGAGATGGTTATGAAGGATACACTTGGTTCGGTTTGGATTTCGCTTTGGGATCTGAGATTGGCCGGCTTTCTGGTGTAATGGACGGGCCCTGTATATTCTGATCTACCGCTTCATCTTTTGATTCCTGCCATAATGGTCTGTACTATGCCCCGTTTGCTCGGGTGTGTGGTACTGTGGTTTCTGAACGTCTTAACAATGGACAAAAATCAACACGATGTGTGATGACACAATTTTTCTTGCTCGTAGGCTTACATCATAGCACACCCTGTCTCAGATCTGCATTAAACTTAACCGAACAAATCCCTTCGAAAGGCTTTACTCGAACCCAGGCGGCATTACTCCAATCCACGATTCAAGTATCAACAAAATACATGCAGCTTCGCCCAGCCATATTGGCAATCCAAATTATGTGGGCTGCCTCCACATGGCAGCATTCGATGACATGGGCCTCGCCAAATTCCCTCGACTGACAGCTACCAAAGAGTCTGATCTTTATGGAGCTGCCGGGCGGGTTCCATCATACGTGGATTGGGTACTTTTCAGCATATGGGGACACTATTGAATGATTGTTTCATGCTGATGCTTTGCAAACTTCATCAATCCTTTGAAGTCTATAATGCTGAATCCTCGCCCATAGACTAAAGTGTATAGTAGGCGTTGAGATAAACTCGGGAACTGGTTCGTCACAGTTGGTGTAGAATCTTTGGGTCTGATGTAATTGTCTAATTATGGTTTCTGTGGCAAGTGATAAAACGTCAGTGAAAGTAAATCATTCTAATTATCACCCGCCTTGGTGCTTTATACGGAGTATAGGATCTTCGATCAATAATGAATCTTGACTAAGCCCAACTAGGTAATAACGCCCCGAGTGGTCAAATGATGGATAACGTAATCCACCTCGCCTCGGTATCAGAAGCATCAAACCTTGGATTTAACAGGAAAAAGTCAACCTGCCAGCTGTTTTTTGAGGTTTCTCATGTGAATAAAGCGTATAGAGACCAGTCGGCATTTTCGCCTATTGAGATGCCTTGATCTTGCATTCCGTCGGTGGCTTCCATTTATTAACTAAACTACGGCACTAGCCCTAAAAAGGTATGGAGACAACCTAAGACGCCCTAGAGCCATTTAGGGGGGATCCTGCCTCAACATCATCCCACTTTCCAGAAAGATATGATGAAAGTAAAACTAGCGATGGAGAGAAGTGATCGGCATACACCTCGGTTCCTCACGATCCTTTTGTTGCCTGGATGACCCACCTTCCCATGTGTTCCCAGGGTTCGAGATAAATATAAGGATTACCGCACTCCGCGGGGTGAAAGGACATCCTTCATACCAATCCCACATCGCTACCAAAATGGGCGTCTCCATGCCGATGCGTAACCCCAAGGACTCCATGACGTCTACCTGGCGTTCCTGGGATCGCTCAAAGTGGTCATTCAGCCACTGGCTTCTCGAGATCTTAAACGTGCACCACGTCGAGCTAGACCAAGACGTCCCTGTTCATCAAAAAACAGATAAGGTTCCCTATGCACCAGAGCTACAGTTCCATCGCTGGGTCCTCATACACACTGCCATTCCACTCGTCCTCCACCAACTCTATATCAGCTGCTTCGGCTACCCTTCAGTATATCTGGTCTTCATCTTTTATAGCCTAGCTCTGGAGCTCATTGCCGTACACGAAACCCACGTTCTACGCCGTGTTGGTCACAAGATCGGCTTCTTCGATGGAGACAAGCACGCTCGCGATGGTGTCCCAGACGTTGGCGTCGAAAAAACAGCCCAGACCCTCCTATCCGTCATCGCGCTCCGGCCAATGCTCACCACATTCCTCACCTATCGCGCCGATGAAGGCCCTTCCTCTATAAGATGGGGATGGCTCATCTTTGAGACCGGCATGTATGCACTCGTCCTCGACTTCTGGTATTACATCTTCCATCGCTCCGCGCACGAGACGGAGCACCTTTGGCAATATCACCGAACACACCACCTGACTAAGCACCCCAATCCTCTGTTGACCGCATATGCGGACACGGTGCAGGAGTTTGTTGATATTGTTGGTACACCGTTCATCACGTACTCTACCTTGAAGCTGATGGGATTTCCGATGGGCTTCTATGAGTGGTGGGTGTGTCAGCAGTATGTTGTGTTCACGGAGGTTCTGGGTCACAGTGGTCTGCGTATGATTGCTACTGCGGTGAATCCGTGGACCTGGTTGTTACGTTTGTGTGATATGGAACTTGTTATAGAGGACCATGATCTTCATCATCGCAAGGGTTGGAAGAATAGCCATAATTATGGCAAACAGACTCGGGTTTGGGATAGGTTGTTTAATACGTCCATTCCTCGGATAGAGGGACACCGGGATAATATTGACTATGTCAATACGGCGGAGATACCTTTGTTGTGATAGTTCTGGTGTTTCTTAGTACTAGAGGCTTCACTAAGCCCCGCCATTTTAGAAACAGACAAAGTTTGAGATCGATCAATGGAAAATGAATTTCGCGAATCATAAGTCAAGCCATGAAAATCCGAAACACCTAGCACTTACTATAGAGGACTAGACTACTATCGCTTAATCTTTAATTCTTATAATGTACCGCCCTAATATACTAACAATGCGGGTTGGAGGCAAAGGCGGCAAAGGCGGCGGAGAACCAGAAAGCTGCAGACGATCGATGAGAAGAATACCTAGGATGTTATCACTATGAAAGAAGCTGTCTTACCATTGAACAGAATTTAATCCTAGCTGTGAGTTAAAACATAAAGTAATTGTCAAGCCCGTTTCACCGTGAGAATGGAATTAATACCGGTTGAGTGGAATTGATTAACAATATGACATTAAAATTGTTACAGTGTGGCCTGCCAGAGAGTGTAATCTAAAGAAGTCAGGTATTTGTTCGTTGTGCATACCCAGTCCTCAGTGATTCTGAAATTGTTCTTCAAGTATTTTGACTGCTCGAATTCGAGCTCAAGCCCCGGTTAAGCAAGGTCTCAGCAAGATTGTCTAAACCCGCACCCCAGAAATCTATGTGTAATTAGATGTAATATAAACAATGATTGGGAATTGCTCCTTGTAACCCCAAAATGACTTTTTTTGAATTTATGATCTTTGTGGATCATAGAATCCTCATGCTTCTACGCGCACAGGGAATGATTATTTATAGAGTAAGATAGGAGTAGAGTCTATAGACAACTTCTAGTCTAATGCGACCAGGTTGCAAGATGTAAAACGTATGAACCAAACAGTCAACACATCGATCAAGTAATTTAGACTTTCTCAGAGGAAGGTGCTTTCTTTCGAACGTCTTTCCAACCCATACCAAAAGAGATGATGAACATGAGCACTCCCATCCCAGCAGTCATGTAGAAAACATAATCAATACTCTTTGCGTACGCTATCAAGACACCAGGAAGATCTTCACTCGATACAACGGATCTGAAGCCAGTAGCACCGGCAGCAATTATAGCTGTCATATCGGCATTAGGTGCATCTTTCGGCAGTAAAGACCGAAGGCCGGCATCGAAAATCACGTTTGATATAGTGAGAAAGACGGCACCTGAAAGTGTCTGAGTGAACATGAGAACCGCCATGCCGACCGATATTTGGCTAGGTTGAAGGCTGTTTTGGATGGCAATGATGGGCTGCAGATTGAGAAGTTAGTTACTCACTGAGGTAGATAATCAAGTCGCGAGATTTTTACCGTTTGAAACCCAAATCCTCGGCCAGCTCCAGTAATAATTCCAAACCCGACCCATTTGGCGACGGATGTGTAGGGGGTCAATGACGAAAAAAGTCCTGCACCGATAGCACTGAGTATGCCGCAAGCTACGGCCCAAGGAAGATAGTATCCTAGCTTTCCGACTGCTTTTGGTCAGTACCAAATTAGGTGTGAGTAAAAAAGGGTGCCTTACTAAGAATCCCCGAGGTCACTGCGCATGCGACCTGTGTCAACATTATAGGTAGCAGAGAGACACCGCTCATGATAGGGGAGTCATTTCTGACAGCCTGGAAGTAAATGGGTAGATAGTAGGACATGGAAAGGACGGTCCCGAAAAGACCAATCATGAAAATGCAGCTTGTCCATATCTTCCTCTGGGTAATCATAGACAGAGGAATCATGGCCTTGTCTCCTTGACGGTACTCCCAGAGGAGGAAGACGATGAATGTACCAGCTGATCCACAAAAAAGTCCGATCACTCTCGAACTTCCCCATGGATAGCTACCCGCACCATACTCAAGTGCGAGGAGAAGTTGAACAGCTGCGGGAGAAAAAAGGACGAAACCAATTAGGTCAAGCTCATGGAGAATGGTCTTGGCTGCTGATTTAATTGGTGGCTTAGGGAATTGATCAGGAATATCGATGAAGATCATGGCGAATGCGACGACAGCACCAACAGGAAGATTGAGGTAGAAACCTAAAAAGGTGTTAGATGTATCACTTAGGGCAGATTGGAAACACGTACACCACCTCCACGAAGCCTTTTCAGTAAAAGCACCACCAATCAGTGGCCCAGAGATAAGACCAAATTGGCAAACTATGAACTGTCAGAAATTTCCAAACATAGCTCCTGGGATGCACTAACAGCCCATCATCATGCCAATTAACTCTATGACCAATTAGCAAATGCTTGTAGCAGAAAAAGGCGAAAGGCATACTTGGAGACTTGTGAAGTGGAACACACGATGATATGATCGTCAAACCACCGTTCATCATGCCGGAGCTTCCCATACCTGCTACCGCACGAGCGATGATGAGCATCATGGAAGAGGTTGCAATACCACAGAGCAGCGAGCCAAGCTCAAACACGAAGAAGAACCCCAAAAAGGTCCACTAGATTCTGTTAGCACCTCACGGCGGGTTTCATGACAGAATATTGAAATTTTTGTTTTATTGTTTTTACCTTAGAGTTGAAATTGGTATAGACTTTTCCTGTCAAGGGCTGCAAGCAAGCACTGAAGAATAGGTTTTAGTTTGACACCAACGCCAAGACAAAGGGACTTGACACACCTTGCAATCTGATAAGAACTACCATACCACCCCACATCTCCAAGGGAGTGGAAATGGGTGGTAATTGTCGGGATTGCCTGTATGGAGTTAGAAGCTCCCCCAGTTGGATGGAACGGAATCGGAACCCACAGTGACAATGATTGACATATCAAGGAGCATCAAAAAGTTAACCAGGGTGACAGAACCCACCACCAGGGCAAGTTTGGTGCCGGTGAGATATTTGTCTTCATCTTTGATATCTTCTACAACCACTAGACTATCCTTTGGAGGATCGTTTGTTGAATGGCGTGGTGACGAAGCGGAAATCGAAGCTGAAGCGACTTCCTTGTTGAATTCCAGACTTGTGGGGTGAGTGGATAACCCCGAATCTCCAGGAGTGGGGACTTGTGTCTCCATCTTTGTTGATGTCAGTACATTTCGGTTCGACCGGGGGAACCTAACGAGCTTATATGTGACCTAACATCTATTAGTAAAGCTCCGGATGAGACGTAAAAGAGCAGGTGCTTTTAGGCAGAAATGTGCAATCTTTTGTTTTCCAACAGATCCTGCAGTTAATATGTCCATCATGGGTCAGAGCCCGATTTCCCTTAAATCCGAATCCCGAACCCCGATAGGCACAGGTATAGGTGGATTGAATGACCCCCCACAATATCCATGTACATGTATGTCTCCAATTCCAGAGACTGTCAGATGTCATACAAAAGTACTGACTGAAAAACATGTCGAAAATTATTCTTATCTTTGTTCAACATCAGAAGTAAACAAGTACTAGATATCAACAAGTACAAACAACAACCTTAGAGACTGGAGATGACCAATCCATTCTTACGTAAGCGAACAGTCCTCCCGGGGTCGTGATCCGTGCACCACGGATTTTACCTACCACACCACGTTACATAAGCTACCCTCTTACATAATTAAGAGATATCGGGAATCCTCGGACTAAAGTCATGTGATAGTCAACGTCCGATATCAAATTATAAGTACAGGAGTAAATCAAATTCTCCGCAAAGGGCAACTTCTGATAGTATGCCCTATTTCTCCACACCCTGAGCACTTACTAGGGGCCTTAGGCCTCTTTATATCCGATATTTCCGTGATTTCCTCTGATCTTTTTCTCTTTTTTTCCTCCTTTTTTGGCTGTAGATAGACCCGAGGTGGTAGAATTGAGAGATATTCAGCTGTGGGTGGTCGAGTAACCCAAAAAGGATCAATTTTGTCGAGTCCTATTGGCTGATTAACCTTCAATAACTCACGGATCATATGCTTACAGGGTAGACCCATTGAATTAGTAAAATAATGGGTGCAAATGCCTATTGGCCCCTTTTCTAGGGCTAATTGCCGTTGATTATTGATTTTCTGCAAAGCATGTGGGGAGAGATGGGACCGAAGGTGGCTAAAAAGCGGAATCATGGTGAATTTCGGTATTTTAGTCTGGATTTCGGCTGTTTCTTTGCGGATTTCATCTAATTGGCCATTAATAACAGCATCAATAGCACTAAAAACAGTAATAAAATCGTTATTTGAGCCATGAAGATGGGACTTAAGCCTTGCATGAATACCCTCAGACCGTGAGCTTGCAGAATTACCAAAATGGGTAATATTCGGAGTATAACAGCGGACGAATTTCTGTTTATAGATTAGCCATATTCTTTCGAGATAAAGGATCAGATTAGGGTAGTTAAACTTAGTTTTAAGGTTATATAACCTTAATTTATATTCCTCTGATATATTAGATGAATAAAGGTCTCTCCATATCTTCATAAACTCTGTGAATTCTGTGTTTTTTGGGTCGTCTTGGGGCTGATTTGCTGTTTTTTGGCAAATAAATTCACGTGCTTTAGTAAAAACAGCTTTTTCAATATGCCAAATACACAGTAAATGGCTAATATTAGGAAAAAGCTCTTCAATTGCCCCAATAAGTGCTAAAGCTCTGTCAGTAATCAATACTGAATTATTAGATAAATGGATAAAATCCGAGAATAAGGTTTGTAGGGCCCACTTATAGCCTTCTTCACTCTCATTTCGCATAAAACAAGTAGCAAATAAGAAGGTCTGGTTAGTCGGAGTTATGCCAATAACCTCTAAAAGAGGCATACCGTACTTATTAGTCTTATAAGTGCAATCAAGGACAAAAACCCTATAGTATTTATTAGCAAGATCAATAGATTTAGGGTTAGCAAGCGCTAAAAACTCGATTTTATCATCAGATGATAAAGATAATCTATACTTATATCCTTTAATTTGCAAATTTTGGAGAAAATACTCCATTTCTCCCTGATATCCATACCTATCTCGGAGTAATTTTGCTTTTTGGTTATATATATCACGTGAGATTATCGGTTGATCTGTAGATAAACGGAGCAATTTGATCATATCTCTAGGGGCAGAATTGATCTGATTCAGGTCTTTAATCTTATCAATTTGAGTAGAATTAAGCTTCCGAGCTTGGTGGAACACTATTGGATCGTCAGCAGGGTGATTATGGGATGAATTACGTACCTGGAGCTCCCATTTGCCTGTTTTATTACTTGCATATAGCCTAAAGGGGCAATTTTGACGTTTTGAGCTTGTTTCCCGAGGATTTAGGCCTGTAATTGGCCTATCAATCGGCCGAAAAGGTATGCCTGATTTGACACATTGGATTGAAAGGTTCGCGTAAGCATATTGACCCTTGCCAGAATTACTGCTTTTTATAGCAGTACAATAGCCCTGAGAGAGGGCATGCTTCCGGACGGATTCGATTAATTCATCTCGAGTAGCATATGAAGCTTCAGGGGGTGGAAGAAGGTCTAAATTGGGTTATTATCAGTTATAAAAGATCAGGGAAAAGGATATACCCTACTTCCGTGAGCAGATAAGGTAGAATTGGTAGCCATTTTTGTGGTATTTTAGGGCAAATTAGGGCAGATTATGGTAGATAGAGTGATCAGGCCAAGGTAGATGGTAAAAAAAAGGGTAGAATAGAGTAAATTATCGTTTATCTACCCAAATCTGGTTACTATAGTGATGAAAATTTGATATCGGACGTTGGATAGCACGTGATTTTCTTCCGAGGATTCCCGATATCTCTTAATTATGTAAGAGGGTAGCTTATGTAACGTGGTGTGGTAGGTAAAATCCGTGGTGCACGGATCACGACCCGTCCTCCCGTCTTGGACGGAATTCAGACATGAAACCTCCGAATCCCGTTTCTTCTCTTCTTCTAGGCACCGACCGCACTAAATTTTTTATTTCTCCGTGCTCGGATTCTCTCCAAATTTATTCTTGAATCCCTATTCATATTCAATCTACCGCTATCCTTAATCTGCGGCTTAATCGTGGCGATACCGCCGGATCTCGGGATGGAAACTAGCCCAAGCCAAAGTGGGACCCCGGCGCCCTATGGAAGGGCTTGTTCCAACTGCTCTAGGGCGAAAAGTAAATGCATTTTACTCGTGGGAAGAGGTTGTGAAAGGTGAGTGTAGTGTTCACAGGCTCTTGAGAGTAGAGGCTCACCATGCGTAGATGTCAAAGACTGAAGAAAGATTGTCGACCGTCGCCAACGGTACGAAAGCGAATTAGTCGCTCGTCCACTTCTAAAACAGCGCAGCTAGAGGCAAAGCTTGATAGTATCGTTTCTTTGCTGCAAACTACTGGCTCGAATCCCGGCCTCGCGGTAGACTGGGATTCAAGCGCCTCGGGGTCAAAGCAACCGTCTCCGTTCAATTTTCGTGGTGCTGACATGCCATCCCCGGCACAAACAGCGTCTTCACCAAATACTGCTTCCATAGTGGATGCCTGCACCGCACTGCAAATATCTCCTGAGATTGCTGAGAAGACAATCAATGACTTTCGTAAACAAAATTTGAAGATGCTTCCTTTTCTTCATATTCCTCCTCATGTCACCTCACAGCAACTCCGCAACGATAAGCCATTTCTATGGCTATGCATCATGGCTGTTTGTACACCAGGAGAGAGTAAAAGAAACTCGCTTTTCGCCAAAGTAACCGATCTTTTTCACCAAGAACTTATCCTCGGGAGCTCTCCAAGCATGGATATTCTCCTCGGGACCATGACATATGTTTCCTGGTGAGTGGCAGAAGCAAACCATTCTTATGAATGCTAATATCCGGCTTCTAGGACAACCTTTACCAAGAGACCATTCCTCAACTTCTATGCCCACATGGTTATGGGCCTCATCTGCGACATGGGGATCAATAAGGCTGTTCCAAAAGACTTATCAGCTATGCAGGCTTTCAAATGCGCAGTTGGTTGGCAACAACATATTAATACAATAAGAACCTTGGAAGAACGAAGAGTTGTGCTAGGATGCTTTCTAATCACATCCAGGTAAGTCATCCATCACTTCTTTCTTTGATGCTGGCTAATATGAATTCGATGTAGCGTTGCATTGGCTCTGAACCGGATCGACGCCTTGAGATGGAGCCCACATATGGAAGAAAGTTTAACTGTTTTGATAGACTCAAAAGAATGCCCGGAGGATGAAATTTTGGTCAACCTGGTCAAGATTCAATTGGTAGTAGACAAGGTATATCAAGCTCGGCGCGACGGTGATGACCAGTTAATATCGCGCTTTTACATCAAATCATTCCAAGCTCAACTTGATGTTGTTCGAAAACAAATTCCCGCACACTTGCAACAAAATGGTGAGGAGATATGACTTAGAAAATCGTTCCAAATCTCGCTGACCACACGAACAGAAAACATTTTGATGCATGTGTTCACCGCAGAGCTTATCATTCATGAGTGGGCCATTCAAGCCCCTGCTGATCCACAATCCCCCGAGCTATACCGACTCGAAAGTCTTTGTGCCGCTCTTCACGCAACGAAGAACTGGTTGGACGTTTGGCTGTCAGTTTCCCCACTTGTGTACCTGGGCATGCCTTTCACAACATTTTTCCAATTCTCACGGGTCATCGTGAGCCTGTTCAAACTATCCACACTGGATGATCCCGGCTGGGATAAGACCATGGTGCGGAATACGGCAAATATCCTCGATTACCTTGATCGAACAGGTTATAATATGAAAAGGTGCATTGATAACACCATGTCCCCAGATGACGCGGACTGGTCTGTTCTTGAAAAGGGGATCAAAATGGTCCAATCAATAAAGCAAGGGTGGGAGCCAAAGCTTATGGAGGTTTGGTACCCGAGCTTGCCTTCTACTGGTCTCAATGGTGACGAATTTGTTCCACCTGCCCCTGATCTCGCCATGTTACCTATCGATGGTCTTGATGATGCATGGATGATGCAGATATTTGGTTCCTTATGATGTTCTTCTTTATCATTTGGCGTTTTCCGGGGTTCCAAAATGGATGGATGACTGGTTTCAGGTATGGCTCCTCTTTGAAAGTCCACCCTATGTATTTAATAACCGATCAACTCGATCAAATCATCCCCTAATGCCGAGAATTGTCCTTCTTGAAGTAAGTTGATAATCTTGAACCCATTGACCTCGCTGTGCGTCGACCGAGCTGCCTTGACTTGGTGATAGGTCTAGAGTGTCTTGGAGTTTCAATTGCCCAATCAATGCTCCGATGAGTTGACCGCAAACCTTGGAGGTTCGCTCACAACACCGAGCACGAAGACATAGACCTTGATATAGAGGGAAAATGACTTCGGGTATCTGACCAGTAACAAGCAACAAATTGATATCTAGCTAATGATTGTTGATCACGGATCAGCATACACTTATGGAACTGCAATTCGTAATTTATTTAACACTTTGGAAACCTCCACTTGAGATCTTCATTGATCATCATCCAGCTCGAATCTTGGGAAGTATTCACCTAAGCTCAGTCAAATCTCAAGGACTGGATTTTCTCCACAGCATCTTCCTGCACTTCTCGTACAATATTTTCCGCACTAGCAACATTATGAATCAATCCAACAGATGCGCCTGCATACGTCGCAAGCCTGCCATCTGGCCCCCATCCGTCATCACCGGCCTTCAAAGCATCATCATGAAGACTCTTCAGCTCATCAAAGGGAGTGCCTTCCTGGTACTCCACGAAAGACTTGTTGATAATAGTCCTTGGACTGTACGCAGTCGGCCACCCAAACGTACCCCGGAGATGGTTATACAGCAGCGTTCGCGTCGTGTTCACAGCCCCATCTGACGCACGCACGACCTCATTTTGGTATCCCCGACTAATGCGCGCTTCCTCGGCAGCTAGGAACCGAGTCCCCATAGCTACACCCGAAGCACCTAGACATAATGCCGCTGCCACCCCGCGACCATCAGCAATCCCTCCTGCTGCTACCAGGGGAATTTGGCTGCTCGCAACAGCGTCCGCTACCTCGGGAAACAGTGACATGATTCCCATACCATCGTTCGCCCGACCGTGGCCTCCTGACTCGGCTCCTTGCACGACAATAACATCTGGCTTCTGAGATATCTGCAGAAGCTGCTTCGCTTCGCCTAAAGTACCGATCTGGATCCAGATCTGGGTTTGGGGAGATACTTGGCGGATCTGGCGCGACCACTCCTCGTACTCTTTTGCACTTTCTTTGGGGGCATATAACCAAGCTGCACATGGATTGTATTTCTCAACCGCGGTAATGGCGTCGTTCAGATCGTCTCCCCAGAGCTGGAAGCCGACTCCAACCGGTAGGAGTGGTAAAGTGTTGAGTATTGGCGATGAGACGCCTGTTTGGAGTAGAGCAGATGCTTCTTCAAGGTCAATGCTAATATCTTTGGTTTTGATACCAGGCCCGATAAATCCTAAGCCACCGGCGCGTGAGACAGCGACTGCCAATGTTGGGCCGGACATTACACGCATCGGCGCGCTGATGATAAAGGGGTTTAATGCCCATGGGTAGCGCGATAGTAATTTTGCACTCATGTTGGTTGAATCTCTGGAAGTATGGGAAGTAGTCAGCTCGCCAGTACGTGAAGGATTGAGGGAAAGTACCGATGTTTCTCGATGAAGTCATTCACGTTCATTCACCGCAACCCCTTGTATGACGCTTGGATATTGGTGATGTTCCTTACCAACGCAGATAATTTTTAAAAAGAAATCTAGGCACATTTAATATGAAAGTGTAGCAAGGATAAATTTGACAATATTCTTGACAATTTTCGCTGAGAAAATCACGTTTTTTTTACATCGTTGTTCTTGTACCGTTGGCTCCCCCAACCCCCCCCCGCTCCCGCAATATCCGCTTCACCCACTTCTTCCACACTCCACATCAACGCCACCACCATGCAGTTTCTGAAGCGGAAACGGACTCGAAGGGCCTGTAGCCCCTGCAGGGAGCGAAAAAGAAAGTGTGATGGGCTCGAACCTTGCTCCACTTGTTCTGAATGGGGCTATGTGTGCCACTATGAAATCCTACAACGAAAGCCTCACTCTACTAAGTCCCCAACGCCTAATTCTCTCCGTGAACTTCAGTCCTCTCCACAGACTACTGCAGGGTCAAGGACTGTTGACATAAATCAATCGGGGCTGGTCCGTCGCTTGGAGGCCAACTCCGGGGCCGCTTGTAAGTCTTTTGACAGCTTTCCTAATTGATCACATCAGCTGATATCTTCTGTAAGTCATGAGAAAGCTTGGGTTGAAGATCGATCCAGCAAAAGCGCCAAAGCTTAACCTTTTTGGTTGGAATGTTGGCTCCCGGAAATTGTCTTCTACAGCTCTCCCGAATTTGCTGAACCAGGCTCTATCGGTCGTTGATATTACCTCGCTTGAGCACACAAAAGCTTTGGCACAGGTCTATTTTGATAAAGTGGATCCGTGCTATGGGTTCATTGACCGTCACGAGTTCTTTAGAAGACTAGAAGCACGTTGGATATCACCACTGGGACCCGATGTCTACGATAGCGTTCTCTCTGGAGTTGCTGCAATTGGTTGCCTCTTCTCGCAAAAAAATGCAACAGTCTCAGAATTGCACTTTGTTCGAACGGCTAATAGCTGTCTGGATACGCATCACCTGAGTGGTCCTCCATCTGTCGATCTCATAACTGGATGGGTACTGAAGTCCATTTATCTTCGCTTAACAGACTCACCATACTCGACTTGGATAGCCAGCTCAACTCTTATGCACCTACTCGAGGCTGCAGGACTTCATCCCGAAACAACTGAAAGCTCAGTTCTTCCACCGAGTGCTCAATGTGATCCCGACCTTCAAAGACGACTGGTGGGCGTTGCACACCACTTGAATGTCTGGACTTCATTTGACCTCGGTATGTCGCGAGTATCGTTCCAAAAGAACGACCTACCGTCCCCCCCATCATCTAAGCCCGGCGACTACACCGACGAAGTTCTAGGCCTTTTGCCAATTTCCCTTAGTTTAGATCCAGGGAAGCCAACAGACGAAACCGATCTCAATTCAACTCTGGCTAAGCTTCTGGACGGGAAGCACACACAACCTCCCTCCATTCTCGCGCAATGCAACCTCGCCCTTTGTATTCTTCGACGTATCCATACCCAGAACATGGATATCACCGCAAGTCTTGCAGACCGAGTATTGATCCTCTTGAAGAAGGGACTTGGTTGCGCTAGTAGTATGGTATTAGATTGTTCTCCCTGGCATCAAGTAGCGAATGTCCCCTTTCAAATCATCTGTGTTCTCCTCACAATGGATACCCGATCATCGCTGGCCATGCTTCCCGAGGCAATGCGGACTCTGAGTTCGGTGGCCTCTGCCTACGACACGGCAGTTTTGGCAGAAGCTTACAGCACAGCATGTTTACTGGTTCTATTGCATCAAAAACGCAGGAAAGACGATATCGCGACGTTAGGAGAAGCGCTCAATGTTCATCAACAGGGGAGACCGGAGTCTCCACTGCAGTTCAGCCCCAATTCTGAGGAGTTTTCATGGCTAGGGGCGCTTGTCGCTGATCTGCCTGGATTGCAACGCGGTGACCTTGATCAATTTTTGAATTCAGATATGATGGATCCGTCGTCAATTTTGGGCGATTCCATCTAGTGGATGGAATTACGTTCCTTCATGTCGATCAGCTAAATTCTAAATTCGAATACCACTTACGTGTTTCTTATGCGGGTTCATACAGTGGGTAAGCAGTGGCGCTGTAGACTGTTATTTGTAGACATTTTTTCTCGGATGTAGCTTTGGTTTGGTTTACTGTTCACGGAGTGACGAACGCGTACAATCCGCACTGCGGCTCTTGCGGGATTTGCGGATAATAGATGGTTGAACCCGCAAAACATCCGTAATAGCCGTACATCTAAGATGACACATTTAGTGCAATACTTGATATTAAAAAGACTTGATCACTGGGATTTCTAGGCTCATCCTTGTCCTGTGAGCCTCTTTGCCTTTCAGTGTGTGCAACCCAAAAAGTGCCCGGAATAGAAAACCAAGTGTCACGACCAAACAACATGAACGAGAAGCTTCCTTTAGAACTAGAGAAAGCATATCCTCCGCCTCCCAATTCCGAAAGCTATGTCGTTGATTTCGACGGGCCTCATGACCCAGAACATCCCTACAATTGGAGACTTTCTACCAAGTATGTCTATCCTACCAGATTATCTTACCAGACCCCAGATGTGCAATCCACTGACAATATGGTCGAAATCGTAGGCTTTTTTTCTCTATCCTGGTCTGCTCAGGAACATTAATCGCTTCATTAAACAGCGCCATCTTTGCTCCGGGTATCGACAATGCCAGCGCAGAATTCAACGTCAGCTCCGAAGTCGGATCACTTGGAACATCCCTCTACGTCTTCGGCTTCGCATGCGGACCCATGATCTGGGCTCCCGCCTCTGAGCTACGAGGACGAAAATGGCCCTTGACCATTGCCATGCTTGGCGAAGGTATCTTCACAATCGGATCGGCCGTCTCCAAAGATATACAGACGTTGATCATATGTCGCTTCTTCGCTGGTATGTGTGGTGCAAGTCAACTCACCGTTGTCCCTGGTGTTCTCGCAGATGTCTTCGACAATACATACCGTGGAATGGCTATCTCGCTGTATGCATTAACTGTCTTTGTCGGCCCGTTTACTGCGCCCTTTATTGGGGGGTTTATCACAACGAGCTATCTAGGCTGGAGATGGACCCTTTATCTGCCGGCCATTCTAAGCTTTTCTAATGGTACCATTTCATTTCTCTTTCTGGGTGAAACCTATGCTCCGTGTCTGCTTGTGGCGAAGGCGGCTCGTCTCCGTCGAGATACTGGCAACTGGGCGATTCATGCGAGGCACGAGAAGATCGAAGTGGACTTTATGCAGCTTGTAGAAAAGTATTTGACCCGGCCGATGAAGATGCTAATTACTGAGCCGGTTATTCTTCTTGTTTCTCTCTACATGTCTTTTATCTACGGGTTGGTTTATGCGCTGCTCGAGGCATATCCGTATGTCTTTCAACATACATATGGCATGAGGATCGGGATTGATGGACTCCCTTTTATTGGCTTGATCATAGGCCAGGTGTTGGCTTGCACTTTCATTGTTTCCCAGCAGGGCAAATATGCACAAATGCTGGCCGAGAACAAGAATGTTCCCGTACCAGAATGGCGACTCTCTCCCACCATACTTGGGGCTCCAGTGTTCACTATTGGAATATTCTGGTCAGTATCCTTCTGCTTTGTCGATTTGTACTCACGCCTTTCAGGTTTGGTTGGACGGGCTTCACCTCTGCAATCCATTGGGCCGTTCCCACTGCAGCGGGGGTATTTATTGGGTTCGGGGTTCTTTGCGTCTTTCTCCCATGCTTCAACTACCTTGTCGACTCTTATATTTCGCTGTAAGTGATGATTCTTTTCTTTGAAGATTCTGGAAAATTAACATGCAATAGAGCTGCGTCTACTGTTGCCGCCAACATTATCCTCCGTTCATCCGTCGCTTCAGGATTTCCACTATTCACCAAGCAAATGTTTGAAAATATGGGGATACAGTGGGCTTTGACATTACTTGGATGCCTGGCCGCGGTCATGATCCCGATCCCTCTTGTATTCAGGGCCTATGGACCCCTACTCCGAGGGAAGAGTAAGCTTCTTCAACAATTGTAAAGATTTTCTTTAATGTATTGCATAACTGTATATAACCGAGGGATCAAAATCAAATACGAGTATATAGACTAATAAACCACTCCTGCCTTTGATCTCAACTTTGCACCGTAGTACCAGATAATCAATGGAGCCGGTAGCCCAACAAATAAACCAATCAATCCAATTGTTGTATTTCCCCAGCCATACCCGAGCTTTTCATACATAGTCGGCGCAAAAAGTGGGAACACAAAGGCCGTGATGCTCCTCATGAACTGGCTGGCAGCACCTGAGCTCCCCGTGTGCTCCGGGTACGCTTCCATCACATAGGCCTGTAACGGCATGCTGGTAATTTGCATTCCAAGCATGGTGATAAACGCACCGATATCAACAATAATCCAATGCAAGCGATAATGAGCTGCCCAGCCGTATAGGAACAAACCTAAAGGACCAAGAAGAGCCCCTGGAAAAATAGAAGGTATTCGGAGCTCAGGACTGTGCTCTCCATTCGCACGGGTTTTGAGTCGGTGGTATAGGCTGTCCATGAGCTTAGCACAGACTTGACTACCGGCAATTTCACCAAAGGCAACTGCGATGTAGTGCAATCCGCTGATCTCGATAGATTCGTTGTATTGCTTAGTCCATAGATCAGAGAAGGTGGACAGGACAATATATAAGATGCCATAGTAGAATGCAGAGATGAGCGAGGCAATTTGAATGATAGGGTGGAAGGCCAAAAGCCGGAGTGGGCGAGATAGTGCTCTTCCCAGGACTTTGACAGGTGATCTGTTCGCGTTAAAACGCTCATCTACAGTGTAGTATCGCGAGTCCCCGGTTTCTTTTCGAAGGCGCTCCGCTCGACGTCGTAGGATTATCGGTTCGTATGTCTCATGGAAGGAAGTGAATGAGACCAAGATCATCACGCATTGGAAAATTGATGTCGACCAGAACATCCATCGCCAAGTGGTGCGCTCGGCCATAAAACCTCCAATAATGGGACCTAGAGCTAGCATTAGCAAACTGGAAAGTGTATCACGAAGCCAATGTATACGTACCGACAGCTGCTCCCAGCAGGGGAATAAGCAGATAAACACCCAGAGACTTACCACGCTGCTCTGGTCGCCACACATCCCCCAGAACACCACTCGCCAGCGCATAAATAGCACTAGCACCAAGTCCAGCGAAGAATCTCGACGCAATTAGAATCCCCTTGCTATTCGCAAACCCACACGCAACGTTCCACACTAAGAACCATAGGCTAGAGGCGTGCAGAATCGGCTTGCGACCATACACTTCCGAAAGGGGCCCAATAGCCAGAGGACCAAACGCAGTGGCCAAGAGGTAGATTGACAGAGCCATGGCTGATTCAGCAGAACTCATATCGAATTCCTTGGCTATTGTCGATAATGCTGGGGCCATAATGGTGGATACCATTATACGGTTGAAGCCTGTCGCAGAGAGCACGTCCGTGACAGCCCATTTGCGACCTGTGCGCCAGTCTTTGGGATTTTCTGCATCGAAAGGCTCCGCAAATGCTACTAGGAATGGATCCTCTTTCTTGCTGGGAAGGCTGATTGGGGCCAGTTCGAGGTCTGCGGGGCCCATGGTCGCAATGGCGTCGAGGTTGGATCCAGAGTCTTTTGATCCCATATTGCTTTGAACAGGAAGTGAGACTTGCTTTTTGTAAACACAGTACTTGAGGTATCTTAAAGTATAAATATGAACCAATTGGACTAAGAACGGAAACAGTAAACCCGGAGATCACCTATCAGTAGCTCGGGGATCGGGTCGGATCCGACCGCAGGTCCCGAAGCCCCGAAAATCCGAGTGCGAGGCTGATGTTTACTTTGATTCAAACATTGAAGATCAAGAAAAAGATTCAAAATGACAGTAAACTACCTCTAGACTCAGGCACAGTGGCTTTGAAGTGAAAGAGCAAGATGATTGGGCCAGCTACACCTGCATTAACCACCAACAAGAACGCGTTTTGCAGCCTCCAAGGCTTTAGCCTCCTTTTCTCACCACCTCAAGTGCTACCCCTCATTTTTATGTAATAATTATTCTCTGCCCTACAGTATACAACTCGGCTTCTTTAAACATCGAGTTCAAGAAAAGCCTTTGATAAATCGAAAGCCTTGCAGCGCCATGGATGCCCTGTCCGGCGTAGCAAGTGTTATCGGCGTCATTCAGCTAGCGGGGAGTGTCATAGAAATCTGCGGGGGCTATTTGAGAAACGTGAAAAATGCGAAAGATGATATCCTTCGCTTGCAACAGGATGTCATTAGTCTGTCGGAAATACTCAGCACACTTCACGACCTTCTCCGCGGGCTAGATGGTCCCAAACTCACAACCACGCAAAACCTATCCCACAACCTTATGGGCTGCGAATCTGCTTTGACCAATTTGAAAGAGAAGTTGAGTGTGCAGTCCACCCAGAACCCGATGAGAAGATGGGGACTTCGAGCACTGAAATGGCCTTTGAAGCGCTCCGAGGTCGACGACGCTGCCCATCAGATTGAGAGATATAAGACATTGTTCAGTCTAGCTTTAGATATCGATCAGATGTTTGTTGCATAAAAGAGAAGGTTGATGATATGGCTAATTTTTACTCTAGGAAAGCGACTGATTTGATTGATCAGAAAATTGATTTGGGTAGACCGAGGATCGCGAAAGGGGCAGAATTCGATTCCTACGACAATGACCATATTGATTGCCTCCCTGGAACCCAGACCGAACTACTTCAAGGGATTGAGGACTGGGCAAGCTCATCAGATGGAAAGTGCATATTCTGGTTACGTGTAATGGCAGGAACCGGAAACTCTACGATCTCCCGGACCGCTGCGCGTCGACTGAAGGTCAAGAATGCCCTCGACGCAAGCTTCTTCTTCAAAAGAGGCGAAGGGGATCGAGGTAACGCAAAGTGTCTTTTTCCAACTCTGATAGATCAACTGGTAAGGACCAATCCTCGGTTCGTGCCTGCGGTCCGAGAAGCAGTTGAAGACGACCCCAATATTTCCAATAAGGTGCTTCGAGAACAATTTGAAAAATTGATTCTCAAGCCACTTTTGACAATCCAGCTGAAACAGGTCATATCTACAGTGGTTATTATTGATGCACTAGACGAGTGCGATAAGGAAGATGATATTAGAGCAATTCTTCAGCTTTTACCTCAAGTCCGAGAAGCCAAATCGGTTCAGCTCCGATTCTTATTGACCAGCCGACCAGAATCAGGAATCCGACGAGGCTTTCAAGGCATCGCTGAGAATCATCAAGACCTGATACTTCATGAAATCCCTCAGCCAGTGATTGAACACGACATCATGTTATATCTCCAATATCAATTATCGATGATAAGGGAAGAGCGATCGCTTCCCTCGAGTTGGCCTGGAGATGAAGCCATCAATATTCTGGCTGAAGGAGCAGTACCGCTGTTTATCTCAGCTGCAACCATATGTCGATTTATCGGTGACGAGAATTGGAACCCAGAAGTCCGGCTTCAAGTAATCCTTGCGGACCAAGCCAACTATGTCTCTAAAATGGACAGCACATACATGCCAGTTCTGAACCAACTGCTTGCTGGTCAAGATGAATGGGAGTCACAGCAACTGGCTCGGGAATTTAAGGAAATAGTTGGAGTGATCATTCTTCTTGCTGCTCCCCTCACGGTGCATGCACTTTCTCGGCTACTTGACCTGGAAGAAGCAACTGTCAACAATCGATTAAACCGGCTTCACTCAGTCCTCGATATTCCAGCCAATGTGGGCGTACCAGTGCGGCTTCTACATTTGTCATTCCGCGATTTTCTTCTAGATCATAAGAAGAAGAACAGTCCATTTTGGGTGGATGAGAAAGAGAATCATCAAAAGATCGCGACTCATTCCCTAGTGCTAATGCAGAAAAGCCTAAGAAGGAATATCTGCAATTTATCATTTGAAGGCATAACCCGCCAGGAGATCACCCAACAGACCATTGATCAATATCTGCCACCAGAATTGCAATATGCATGCCGCAATTGGACCCAGCATTTGAAAAAAAGTCAAGATTCGACTAAGCTTGATAAGACTTTGAGATTTCTCAATCAGCACTTTCTCCAATGGATGGAAGTATTGAGCATTCTTGGTATGGTCTCTGAGGTTATTGAAGCAATCAACAGACTACAATCTGGTATAAAGGTCAGTTATGAAATGATAACTGCATAGGCCAAATGCTGAACCTTACAGGATGATGGACTCCCTCAACTCGCTGCATTTCGCAACGATGCGAGAAGATTTATTCTTCAAATCGGCAGATTGCTGAGGCTGCACCACTTCGGATCTACTGTTCAGGGCTTATATTTGCTCCATTACAGCCAATTGTACGAGGGGCGAATACTGCAAATATGCCTGGTTGGATAGAACGACTGCCACGGGTTGATAGTCAGTGGAGTGCGTTGCAGCAGACGTTGGAGGGGCATAACGCACCAGTCAACGCAGTGGTTTTCTCTCCTGATGGGAAACTACTGGCGTCAGCTTCCGATGATATCATGCTCAGGGAAACAGCAACAGGAGCGCTGCAGCAGACGCTAGGTCATAGTGGTCAAGTCATTTCAGTAGCCTTCTCTCCTGACGGGCGACTGCTAGCGTCAGTGTCATTTCCCTTGGAATACTTGGAAAAGAAGACAATCAATCTTTGGGAGACAGCGACTGGCGTGCTCAAGCACAGAATAAAAGTGAATGAAGACGCTCAATTGATGGTCTTCTCTTCTGATAGGCGAATTTCGGTATCGGCCTCGGATAAAACTATCAAGCTCTGGGAGACGGCAATTGGCACACTACAGCACACGATAGAAGCGCGCGAAGACGATGTCCAGTCAGTTGCCATCTCTCCTAATGAGCTAGTGCTGACGTCGGCTTCATGGGCTATTGAGCTCTGGACGCAAGAGTTTACACTCTACAGGCATGATAGTTTCATTAACTCAATTGCAATTGCCTTATCTCCTAATGGACAACTGCTGGCGTCAGCTTCCCATGATCATAAGATCAGACTCTGGGAGACAGCGACTGGTGCGCTACAGCCCACGTTAAAAAGGCCTAGGGCAGGAGGTCACTTAGTGGCCTTCTCTCCTGATGGGAAACTACTGGCGTCGGCTTCTTTGAATGGTACTGTTGGGCTCTGGGAGACAGCAACGGGCGTGCTGCAGCAGACACTAGAAGGGCATAGTGAAGAAGTTAATTCAGTGGCCTTCTCTCCTGATGGGCAACTACTGGCGTCGGCTTCCCGGGATCATACTATCAAGATCTAGGAAATTATAAGAGAAACAGATATACCACAGAAAACACGAGAAGAGCATAGGGAAAGAGTTGAATCAGTGGCCTTCTCTCCTGATGGGCAACTACTGGCGTCAGCTTCCTGGGATTATACTGTTAAGCTCTGGGAAGCGGCAACAGGAGCGCTGCAGCGGACGCTAGGTCATAGTGGCGTGGTTAATTTAGTAGCCTTCTCTCCTGACGGGCGACTGCTAGCGTTGGAGTCACTTTCCTTGGAAAAGAAAATAATTAATATTTGGGAGACAGCGACTGGCATGCTGCAGCAGACGCTCAAAACCACAGGCATTTTTGAATATCTTCGATTCTCGAAGAGCCGCCGATGTCTCGAGACAAATATGGGATCATATGATATTCTACCCTTCTACGAAGTATCTGCAGACCAGCTTGCTCAAACTAGCATTCAAATCCTTGATCAGTGGGTGAATATATCTGGAAAAGATGTCTTATGGCTTCCTCCTGATTACCGACCAATATGTTCAGCATTCAAAGATGGTATAGTGGCTTTTGGACACGGGTCTGGGGGGATAACAGTGCTTGGATTTCATACATAGCTATAACCTTGAAAGACTTCTTCCTACCTGATAGGTACTCTCTTCTAGTTTGTAATCTCTAGAACATGTATATAGAAATGATCATTCAGTTACTCAATCTGTGCTCAGTATGTCGCTACATAGTCCGCCTGGGCCTCTAACTCAATCTAATCCGAGTTACCATCATAGAAACTATTCGCCGTCCACCCATTCACAGCCGAATAATCAGCTAAAGGCGAAGTTCCATGCAAAACCTCATAATGCCTCCTAGCCCCACACTCCCTTAATTTAGTAGAATTAGCATGAACACACCGATCCTGCAAGATAGCCGCAATCTGCCGTCCCGCATCCCGTCCCTCAAACCAGGCACCCTGCAAGAAGCCAAAGTACGTCGGACTAGTCGCCTCACCCGCAAACCAGAGTCGATCCGTATTCGCTCGTAGGTTCTCGTGCATCTCGAGAGTTGTTCCTGGGGGCCAATTGGAGTAGCTACCGCGGGCCCAAGGCTCGGTGCTCCAGCGCGGGTAGAGGAAGGCTGTTGGGTCAGGAATTGTTTTTTCAGGAAACATCTTGCGGAGAACGTCCATTATTTCACGTTTGGTTTGTTCGTCTGATTGGCGCTCTGCTCGCCAGGAGAACTCGTTTGTAACGGTCACGAAGAGGATGTTGGAGTCTGGGAGGAATTGTGGCATTGAGAGGGATTGGAAGACAGGATACCAGCCTCGGAGGCCGGGGTCGGCGTAGAGGAAATATTGGGTATTTGTTGGCCAAAATGTTTCATTAAATTGCATGAAAATCTTGGTATAGGTGCCCATTGTGAATTTTTGAATAGCTGTTTGTTTCCATTCCGGGAGGCTGGGGGTGAATTTGACTTCATCGCTTTGCAGGACGCCCAAGGAGAAGGTGCAAATGGCGTAGGCGGCTGAGATACAGCTACCATCTTTGTTGTGGATGGTGACTCCATCATCTGAGTATGAGATCTCCGTGATTTGCGTATTGAGGTGCAGCCGTGGATCATTTGGCTTGAGGAACGTAGCAGCTTCTCCCTTGATGATAGTGTTGAACCCGCGCTGATCAGTTACGAAGTTATCGTGATCACTGAAAACGTTCTCGGTCAGATTATCACCAGCACAGCCGAAAACAAGAGAGCTCTCCAGTGTGTTGAAATTATCCTCAAAGTCTGACAGGACAGAAGATAGAATATTAGCAAGCGTCAGGCAAGTCAAAATCAGAAGAAGGCTTACCCCATTTCCACCAGTCAACCGCTTGCGCCTCCATATCATGTTTACCAGGGCTCCAACCAGCCAGTGCCAGGCCAGATTGAGCTGTCTGGTCTTGGAGATTATTCTTCAGGATCTCGCCAGCCTTCATATTGGCAATACTGTAGGCGTTATCATATTCAGTCAGCAGGTGGCTATAGTCCGCGTACCCATTTTCATTGTACGTCGAAATATTGTCATAGTCGGAGTAATAAGTCTTCAAATGATATTTCTGCGCCTATTGAACCGATTAGTCAATGAACAACAGACTTGCAGGTCTTCCTATACGCACCAGAGTCCAGATCGGATTTTGAGGACCACCTGGGTTCCCGAGGCCTTGTACCTATGGAAAATGGTCATTATTGAAGATCATAATTGGATGAAGCTCGACATACCCAATTCGCTCCCATCTCAATGGTATACGGTTTTCCGGTGTGCGGGTTCTTGCCAAATGGTTCGTGCCAAGCTCGGCCTCCAATTGTATCCCGATACTCAATAATAGTAAAATCATGAACCGAGGCATTAGACAATGTTTGCTGTTGTCTGTCAGTCATTGACAGATCCAGATTCTGTATGATCAAATCATGGTCCATGGGAATAACTTACAGCCGCCGTGATACCGGCAATTCCACCTCCCCTTCGGATATTTAGCTTCGAACCAGATTTCAAGCAAGTAGTGCTTACAGAATAGCAACAGTGGTCTTCTTGCAAGTCCCTTGATCTCTTGGTTGTTGTGGCACATGGGCAGCAGCTGGAATGGAGCAACTGGCCAAAGCCGCCAAGACGGAGAGATAATGTAAATGCATGACACTGAAGAAAAGATGATGCTTTTTGGATGCAATTGAGGGGTGTGGACCTCGTAAATAAATACTCTAGCACAGCGTGCCGTATGCACTATTCATGCTGTGAGATGTGACAACATATGCGATTACTTCATCTCATAGGTTTCTATGATCGACAGGGCCATGTAACCTCTACTAGATCCGCATGTTGCAGGATCGGGCAAGTCCAGGCGGAGCAGGCTTGTCCATGCAATGATCATCACTGTGATGTCTCAGTAAGTGTATCATTTAAGCAATTTCTATCTCTTCCCCGCATCCCCAAATTAAAAAGATACTGTGGTTCTCTTTACGTGTATTTTGATCCTAGCTGACGCGTGAGTAACTGTAAGCGAGACAAGGATGTAAGAATTGCTATCTTGTCGTGGTCAATTTCTGAAAAAGAAAGAAGAGATGCGGTTTTTTCATGAATTGATCGAAGAAGATCAAAGTGTCCGTTAAATGTATTGCTTGTAAATCAAAATGCAACACCTTCTGCTATGCAAAATTAATCATATGAAATGATATCCCAAATTGTTCAAACGCTAAAGTAAAAAGCAAATTTGGCCTTAGTCTCAGGTGACCGGGGTCGGAGGATCATTTGGCACCGATACACAGAAACGCCACAGACTAGAGGGAATGCGGCTGGAAATTGTTTAACAATGTTGTACTGACTCGGCTCCAGCTACCGGAAAGAATAAGACGGACGGCTCATCGTGACGGTCTGTGGTTTCAATGAAAGTTGTTGATAGGGAGAGCTTCCAGGGTCATAGTATAGACCCTCGATATGGCCATCTTCTCGGTTGAGCGAGATGTAATAGAAGCCAGATATAGTGAGTCCTTGACGAGAATCTGTTGGGGTGATGAAGCATCGTTCTAGTGCGCGTCAGTATGGTATTCATAGACATTCGGGGCATCTTGTGACTTACCCTTCCATCGCATCAAGATCCAACCTTGCGCTAGTTTCTCGGTAATCCATGTACGACTAACAAGATTTTTGGCTATGTCGGCATCTGGCAGGTCTTTGAATGGTTGAAGCTCTCGCCAATAGGTAGTGTCAGTATCGGCATCTGCTTTGAAATTCTTTGTCTCCAGTGTATGTTTGTTGAAATCAATTATTTCTCCTTCCAAGAAAGTCACAATATGCGCATCTTGGGTTGGTGAAGTCTTGTCGGGAATGTTATAGGCCTCCATTGTACCGGACAGAGTCATTTCGCTGTAATTAATATTGTGGATGGTGACCTTGACGGGCCAATTTTCGTCGCGGTTGTTGGCTAAATATCGTCGTCCACTGGCTGTGGAGACACTGATCCTAGCGGTGCTATCACTTCCATTGACAATAACAGGCTCGCTGGACACGACCGAGCAGCCGGCATTGGCAGCCCTTTGACAACCAGTAAAAACAACGCCAGGTTGGAGCCAAGAACAGGCCGCTGGCGGGAGGATGCTGTTTATGTCAAGGATGAAATCGCTAGAGAAGTTCTCTGGTGACAGAAAACCTCTTGCGTGAGCCGAGCTGATACTCTCCTCGACGGAATTGGAATAGCGTAGATGATCCAGATAGTTGATTGTATCCTTCAGAAGCGAATCTGCAGGGGTTCCAGAATATAACTGCCGGTGTGCGACAGCCCGGGCACGCAAGTCACTGTGGGTGAGTATTCGATGGGATTCACCTCGGTTTGCGGGTCGGTATCGGTATGCCCGAGATGAGGAACCCACTCCCGCTCGCTCGGTCTCTTCCGAATCGTCGTTGGAGCGGTTATATCTGTCCAGGAGGTAACTTTCTAGCGTGCGCGTTCGCGATAACCGGGGTTGTCGCCTCGCCGACTGCAACAGGGCCTCCATTGTTGAGATCGTTTGAGTCCGATGTCCTTCGGATGTATCCTCTCTGTCGCCTGCGCCGATGGGTGGTGTGGGACCAGTCGGTTCATGTCGCCGGGGTCGACTTGATGACGTACTGCGGTCTGAGATGGCATGGAGAAAAGGCTGAATCTGATCGTCTTCTGATTCACCGGCACGAGCGTCCTCATCCTCGTCGTCTGAACCGGGCGCCCAGCCGTATAGCGATCGGGAATTTGATCGGCGGTCCTCGTAGGTGGGCCTATTCGCAGAGGTGGAATCTTGTGGACGTAGAACGATAGGGAGGCGACGGATAATTTGGACTGGTGGGCGCATGTTGGGCTCATTCACCTCCATGGGATCCTCGTCGTCCTCCATCGGCTGCGGATAAGGTGGTGGGTACCGACGATGACGATGCCGGCTTAGGGGCGGTAATGAGGGATTATGCAGTAGAGAGCGAGACCGAAGGAAGTTTACATTATCGTCATGGGCGTTGTCGCTCTCCACGGGGGTGGATGGATCGAAATTCGAGTCACGTTGCGACGGGCCAGGCGCAGGAGTCGTGGGAGACACGGTTGGAGTGCCGTGCTAAAATATCCAGGGTTAGCGCCCAAGTCGCAATATCAGGGTATATAACACAAGTCAGGGGCAGAGTGTGGGATGTTGGATTCCGAGAAACATACTGATGCCGAGTTGGGAGGCGGCATCTCCTGGGCCGGAATCCGCAGTAAGGGAGTCTGTTAGGACAGACGAGATGAAGGTACAACGAATATAAAGTAGAACTAAGGTCAAGTGCGATCAAGTAAGGAATTATCAAAGCAGGAGTTTGCGCAAGTCATCAAATGTGGAGAAGCGCAGTGAATGACGTTTGGTTCTTTTCTGCCGCAACACAATCTTGTCTTGCCACCGACTTCAAATGTTCCCCCCCTGGAATGGTTTTCCTCAGGTCATCGGACTTTAAGGCTACTTTCCTTTATTTATTTGTTGTTTGAAGTTAAACTGATCGACGCGAAATCAAACTAACGACGCCACATCTGTCAGCCAATATTAAGCACAATATGAACAAGACTTATTGTTCATCGTTCCACTTTGAATAACACTAATATAGCAAACTCTGAATCAAATGTAAGTATCTCAAGTCTCTAGTATCAACATCAGTCGGAATGTATTTGAATGACATCCTTCCCAATATTCGCGATAGAGATCGACTTACTCTTATACTATTAGTACCAACGAGGTCCAGATACCCAACGCCAAGATAATGCAAGTACCCACTCTAACCTAGACTTACAGGGGTATACTGGACATAAATGTGACTGGAATAACCATTTGAAGAGCTATTTATCTGATCTGCATTGACAATTAAGCTAGACTGTAATGTTTCAAGGCACTCAAGTATCAATTATAGGTATAAGTATTGTATAATCCATGGATGTCCATACTCTATATTTAAATATTCCAAGTTTCTAGGCAGGCACGCGGTCACTCAGTATACGTCGACACTAGCACTTGAGTGCAGTGTTACCTTCAGTCTATCATTTTCAAAATCTATACTTTATGTACTTCAATATGTATCTAATCAATATGGATCTGGTAATCCATCCGAGAACTTATTTTGCACGATTCGCATTGCAGTCGTCAGCCAACTGCACGCATTGCAGAATCAGATTCCAAAATGCCTCGAGGTCAACGCCTCTGGGGATAGCCACACCAGCTCCCACAACTGGGACAGCCAGAGAACGACCCAGCTGGCCTGTAATAGACACATCTTGGCTGTGAAGGCCATCAGTGACGATACTGACAGCGAATCTCTCACCTCCCTTGTCATCAAATTTGATCACTTGCTCTGGGTGTTTCTGAGCGAAATTTGGGTTGAGGTTCGACAACAGCACTGCTACCGCGAGAGGATCATGTAGCGGCGGCCCAGTAGACAAGCCAAAGACTTTATCATAAGTTCCAGCAAAGAATATCAGTAGAGCATGTAAAATTTGACGAATAATGGTGGGCTCGTCAGAGGGGTCTTTGGCGCCATGCAAGATCCGGGTTTGAACATCTGACGAGGCAAGTACTTGATGAGTCAAATCCAAACTCATAATGGCCGTTTTTGCTGCCAGTGCAGGGTTACTGAAGATTGCCTCGGATGATTCGGGATCGCACTGTAAGGTCTGAATTAGCATGCGCCCTCTTGTACTGGAACGGTCAACGAACATAAATGTTAAATTCTGCCCAGGGGGTTACATTGCCAATACGCGACTCTTCCCCTGGCAATCTACTCATAGGAGCATCTGTGAATCCATTACCGATAGCGCCTCCCATGATACTCAGACCAGCGATATGCTCCACAACTTCCGGGAATGTTGCAAATAGCAGGGCAACATTGGTCAAAGTACCAGTGGCGACAACCCATGGAGTACCCTTCGGTTGAGCCAGGAGTGCATCTCGCATAGCTAAAATGGGGTTCTTGTCCGTAATGGGTGCCACAGAGGCCTTGGGAAGAAGGTCTGTTCCATCTAGGCCCGATTCACCTATCGAACAATGTTAACATTACATAAAACCTACGTCGTCGTCAAAGTTGAGCTTACCATGAATATCAGGAGCATGAAGGGCGGGTCGTGAGAAAGGCTTGCTGCTTCCTGGATACACAGGAACTTCGGGTCGACCGATAGCTTCCAGGACGCTCCCGGCATTTGCGGTAGTCTTTGCCAAGGAAGCATTGCCATGAATGGTTGTAATTCCAAGTAGATTCAATGCAGGGTGTAAAGCAGCAATTAGAATTGCAAACGCATCCTAATAATAGACGGTCAGTCTCTTTCTAGCAGTCGATAAGAACAAATGGGCAAGACTAACATCGTGGCCTGGTAAGAGTTAATTTGGTAAATTCTTAAGGATCTGGGAATCATCAACATACCAGGATCGCAGTCAAGCCACAATGGGGTCCGTTCTACATTGATCGTCATTGTCAAGAGCTTAGGGGAGTTGAAAATGAGTCAAAGGGGGCCTTGGAGTCGGGCTCAGTCGGGGTAACAACAGTCTCCCCGCATCTTGATAAGCTATCTTCAGCCCTAAGCCCTAACTTCCATATATGGAACCTCCAATTCATTGACTTCGCGGTGAACGCGATGAACTTATCGCTTTGTTTTCATGCATAAGGGTTGAACCCTTGGATTTCTATGATCTTCCCCAAAACAACCTCTGTCAAATCCTGTGCATCTGCGATGCCATGACAGACCCTTTCCGCCCCGGTTTGCAACCGGTCTCTCAACTCAAGGCTGGACCGACAACGTCCAGCTCCAGGTGTACCGCATTACCTTCCCCGATCCAACCGCCCTTTACACGTCCCTCATCTCGACTTAGAACATCAAGGGCCTCTCAGCGAGAGGAATTATTAGATGCTGGGGGCGAAAAAGCCACTCTTGCGCTGATTCGACGCGTGCTCTGTCCGCAAGCAAGCCATGGCGCCTCTCCGCAGCCTCCGGAAGAGCTGTTACCTCCCCTCACGACCTCCAATGACGTTGACCGTCAACTTTACGCGATTTTAGCCATTATAATGAAGGAGTTTGTCTACTCGTGGTACTCGAAGATCACACCTGATCAGACATTCGTGAATGAGGTGCTACACGTCATTGCACATTGCACCCGTGCTTTGGAACAGAGAATCCGGAAAATCGACGCTGCACAGTTGATCCTGGATGAGATTCCAGCGCTCGTGGAAGCACATTTTATTTGTAAGACCCGACTGTCTTAGTGTTTTCGGAGATACCAAAGGCGATTTCTAACTCAACGGCCACTTTTCATAGCCTACAGATTAGCCAAGCAACAGTCACATCTATCTGGCTTGCCAACTTCACATAGAGCACTCTACCATGAGCTGAACCCCCATCCTGGGTTAACACCAGTTCCCGATTTTGCAGATCCTGATACAATCACCGCACAGTCTGAGAATGAGGCTGTGTATCGCCAGCTACTAGTCCATGGCACTTTGGCGATTTTGTTACCCACAGAAGATCTGGAAAATGGCAGTCTTCGCACACTAGTCGGAGACATCCTGGCAGACTTGATCCTGGGCAAAGCAGTGGGGGACAGAATATGTGAAGGAGTGTTCCTCTATGAAGTCATCACTAAGCTCACCGAGACAATGAGACATCGTAAAAGCCCCGAGAAAGAAGGCTCCAAGAGCAATGTTTCCACTAATCGACTAGAGAAATTTGGTCTGCTTTCGACCAACGAGCCTGCCAACCCGCAATCAGCCAGCCAATCCCAGGCCACAGTCTGGCTATGGAACGTTCTTCAAAGCATCTATGTTGGTTACGTTGCCTTGTGTTTCATTGTGACGGGTCTGTTCCGCGTCGCGTCGAATCCAGGGCCAGAATCCTCGCACAGAGCCGGTGTTTCATTTCCCTCTGCAACGCCAGTGTCCCCAAAAGAGGACATCGAGTCCTTACTGTCAAACAATATCACCAATAAGCGCCCGGTTCTCGACTATCGAGCGATTTCAATGGTTTCGCAGTTACTTAAAATGTCCCAAAGAATGCCGTGGCTTTCCGGGCTCGTTTCCCTTATTCAGCACCTGATCCTAGCGGGACCAGGTCGGATTGGTGACACGGACGGAGTCATTGACAGGTGAGTCTATATCCATCCGAAGCATTTTCTTGACTTTCCTTGTTTTATCCCTCCGGACTCGGGCCTTCCGAGACCGCATGAACTCTCGACTGTGGAGATACCACGATCTCCGAACCGCGATCTACGAGGGTCAAGTGTCACTCGCGCGAGTCATGGTGGGATGAGAAAGCGTCCTGCTCGCATGCAGTTTTGATCACTTGATCCCGTAAGAATGGAGACAAACACTCGTACGAAACAGAGATGGTAATATACGGGGATGCTTACTGGCTGGTACGGTAATTACCAGTCTTGCTGACGGAGCGATTCTGATTTCTGATTGGTCAGTGTGGCCTGGTCCGAGCACTCGATTGGCGTTGCAGGGTTCCTCTTCTGGCTCTTCTTTCCCATATCCACCCTGCGTCTCATTTTCTTGTCGTGATAGCGCCGGGGCCCGGCCCTTACCGTGCCGCTTTCCCTCTGGATGAACCATTTGTTGTCAAATTCTGGATTTCTTCGAAGCATTCTTCAGAGAGGGAAAAAACAAACAAACGGGAAAATGCAGAAAGAAAAGAAAGAAGATAAAGGGACTCTCTGGCTGCCGAAAGACAGTTCAAACTTTACTTCGGCTGGACGGGGCAATGTGCATGCGCGGGCAAGAAATCGTCTGATGCCGATCCCCATCGGCTGGGCGATGAATGACCATGCCCCTTTGAGAACCTGCATGAAAAAGACCGTCGCTGAGGCTAGTGAATTTCTTTCCTTGGGTCCAATCAGCAAAATTCCTGGTAGCGAGAATTTGAATTCGCAATCTGACCGAAAGAGGCGCATGAAGCCCGCAGGTTGCCAGGGCCAGGCACGCTTCCGGGATCTTACCCGCTGAAAAGAGAGGGGAAAGGGGCTAGGCAAAAAAGCATGAAGCCAAGCCATGAGAAAATTAAAAAAAGAAGTGATGAGGTCCCGCATTTCGCCTTGTTTTTTTCTTTTCGTTTTCTTACTTGCTGGTCCCGAGGCCTTCTGGGAGTGACATCCCTGGTTACACCAGATAACTGGCCCAAGCTCCCAGCTCACACTAAGCCGATCATGCTCCGCCTTCCCAACCCCACTTCGAAATCAAGTCGATTGGGGGTTGAGCGCAAGCTCTCTTAGTGGGACTCGAGATAGAGAGAGAGGGGAACATGACCGCGGGTTAACGTCCCGAAGCTCCACAGTCGAGAGTCACAAAGAAAAGAGGGATTTTCAGCTTCACTTTGCTTTTTTGTCCCCATAATTCATTATTTGAGATCTTTGGCTGACTCCACCCTCTCTAGATTCCTCCGGGAAACCATTGACGAATACGTCCTGCCCCCCACTTTGTTGCCCAACCTTCTTCTCGCAACGAGGACCGCTCTTTTCCCGGCCAATGCCCGTCCAGTATTTCCAGCGGTGGCCGCTGCGAGTAGTACTGGTGCCCCGGCTTCGACTCCACAGGTGTCCGTGCCCGCCCTAACGCCTAGCGTGAAAGCTCTCACCACGGTTCCAGCTCCTCAGATACCCATTACAGAAAGAGCCACAGCTCCTGCGTCGGTGACTGGTACCGAGGCAGTTGGTAAAGGTAGTACCGGCAGTAGCAGCAACCATGTTACTAGTGTGAACAACGTTGGTACTCCCAGTAGCGGTGGCGTCAATGATCAGCTGCTCGCAGCAGTATCAGGATCTACTCCATCGACGGCAGAGGCGACCTCTACAAACTCACCAACCGGATCGGAGATAAAAACTTCGCCCTCTGAAACGGAGATCGCCGCTACCAAGCGGCGATGTGCAGCTAGTCTCCTGGCTTTCATTCCGCGCAATGTCGCACGAACTTACTTCGGCGTTCCGGCTCCCAGACGTGATCGTACCTGCGGCGCCACCACTGGGAGTTCGTCCTCCCTGACCACCCCTCCGTCCCCACCCGTATCGGCCGACGAGTGCGGTGGGGACCAGACCCGATCGTCGTCCCGGTCGAAGCGAACGTCACCGCTCCCAAACGACCCAGCGTCTACCCTGTCAGAGCCAAGTGGCGATTCAATTGCCGCTGGCAAATCCCGCACAGACATGGATGACGAGGTCGAGATGACACTGGAAGACTTGCTCCTCTTACAGTCCATCGAGACAGATCTACTGGATCCTTTCTCAGATGACTACTGTAACAAACATCTCGTCTATGCCATCATCGAGACTGTCTTAGCTAAGATCCTCCCGGAACTAGCTGAGAGCAGTGTCGGTGATCTAATGGAGAGACGCGGCATTGTCCCCGTGCCCGTTGGGTTCTAAATGTCTACATTCCAGTTACGATAGATCTCACTTTCCGTTCCTGCATGATACATAACTTTCTTTCTGGCGATATACTTTAATGAGACACGTTACAAGCTTTTGTTTTTTATTACTCTCAGTTTATCACACGTAGAGGATAGATTTTAAATTGAATGTAAGACATTGCAGGGGCAGTGTATGATATAATATGTCAGGTTTCGAGTTGAAAAGGCAGGAGAGCAGTCTATACTCATCCTGCCTCTTATACACGAAAAGCAAAGTAAAGAGAAAGAAAAGATCAAGAAAAAGGGATTAATCTGACAACCGGCTAAGACCATATATCAGATCCAGCTTCTTTCCGCGTGAGCGGGCTCAGTTTAGAAAAATAAAAGTACCGAAGAAATCGATCCAAAAATGAAAATTAAAGAGAGTAAGAAATAGAATAAAAAATCCAGCAAAAGTGCTAGAGAAATAAGAGAAAGAAAAGGAAGGAAAAAGAAGATAATAGAACAAAATCAAAGAAAAGGGTATGGGTATGGGGAAACAAACAAAAACCATGAAAGACCATGAAAGATAAGAGAAAAAGAAAAAAAAAACCGAACAAGAAACAAGAAATCTCAAACTCCACAATGGCCCAAATCCAAGGTCTCGTCTTCAGACCCTCCATGTAGTTTACCTTCACCGGAAAACCCAGCCATATCCCATGTAACATGAAAGAGCCAAGACGAGCAAATCTCGTCGATTCCGGGCGTCATATGCGTGTGTACCGGCGCCGAATTCAATCCAATTCAAATCCAAATCCAAACCGCATTCAAAGCAAGTGTCGAGGTCGCCCTCTGGTTTGTGTATTTCTGGATCTTTTGGGGTGTTCCAGTATTCGCCGAGTTCCAGGTTTCGGCGTGGAATGGAATACAGATGTAATGAAAGAGAAGGAAGTGAATAAAAGCAAAGCAAAGCGAAAAGGGACAAGAACCGGAAAATGATCAATAACCAAAATCAGAAACAATAGTAGCCGCCCATAGAAGCAAAAAGGGAATAAGCATATCAAATCAGATCATATCGGACGGGGGAATCATTTAGTGCATAAAGGAATGAGGGTATGAGTAGTTGGCAGATGCGATGCGAGAACGGAAAAGAATGCATGACTTTCAAGGGACCATACCAGGCCAGGCCAGGCCAGGGCAGGACAGGGCGTGGGTCAACCGAGATTGTGAATACTTCGTTTCTTGCTCACGCGAGGACCATCATCATGCTCGTCAATTCGAGGAAGACCACCCAAGAAAGAATATGCCTGACCCTTGGCCAGTTCAAGACGCTCCATCAGCTTGCCGATAGTCACGAACTCCTGCGCCGTTGCCGTAAGGCCGGACGGCTGGTGTTGGAGGTAATTCATTACAATCTCCAGAGCCTGACGGGCTTCGTCTTGTGTCGGAGACCCTGGTGCACTGTCAGGCGATACAGCGGCGGACTTGGAGACAACGGGAGGTGGTTGCATAGAGTTCGTTTTGATCTCGGGGTCGCTGCGATTGCGCTTGATCAGTTTCTGCGGGTCGGTTCCCTTGATTGCGTTGCGCGCTTCTTCGTCGCCGAATTCTAGGGGAGACTCGAGGATGGCGACTTGGCTGGATTTTCGCGAGTCTGACTTTTCGATCGAGTGGTCTGCGGTTATCAGGGTAGGGTCGATTGGGAGGGGGAATGTCGAACTGCGGGGTCTGTTGTTGTTACCCGAATATGGGAGACGGGATTGACTGGTAGGTGTAAAGGGACTGTCTGAGACCAAGGTTGAGCTGGGGCTGATCATTTCGGTAGAGTTGGTGTCCAGGGAGGTGGTGCTTTTTGAATGACCATGATAGCCTCCAATTAGTTCGGGGACAGTATCGAATTCCCTTTTGACCCGGTCCGGGCTCTGGCCAGGAGAGATTGGCGAGCCGAAAATATTTGTCGGAGAAACAGGAGAAAGACGCCTAGGACTCTGGATGGTAGATCCGTTGGAGAAGTTGGTGTTAATTCGAGTAGGGCTGCTAGACCCGCTTCGTCGGGCATCAGAACCCTTGCGTGACGTAGCACCCAACAGATTGTTCTTCTGCTTGAATTTTTCCAGCCATGCGGGCGTGAGTACCTTATCTTTACCCTCGGGGCATCCGCAGGTACTGGCGAAAAAGAGAGCTTTCTCCTGAATCATCTCATCGTTGATTGGGTAACCCCCGCGTTGATAGTTCCTTGCCCAGTTTGATAGGGCCTTTTCAATGTCAGGAACCCGACCCTTGGCCCGTTTGATAGGCGATCGGCTTCCATCATTAGGGCTCAAGTACTTCTCTTTCTGTCGCAATACTTTGGATACAGTACTAAGATGTGTTAGAATGAATTATATCACTGTTTTAAACCCATGCCGGTACCTTCTTTCGACCCCAAATAATGCTGTGACGAATGTCAGCCGAATTGGCCCCCACATCTCTAATTCAATATAATTGACATCTTACCTCCAATATCAGTCTGCTTGGCAGTCTTATGTTCTTCATGGTATAAACACATCTGCCGACGGTCTTCATCGGTCAGAGTCCGTCGCGGAGTGGCCCCTCCAGTAGACGATTTCCGAATTGGAGGCATAGGCGCAGAAGGAGATACTGAAATAGGTGTGGGAACTGGGGGAAGTCCATTTTCATGGAAAGTCGAATGGTGTGTAAGCATGCTGGGCCAGGCATGCGACGGCATCGGGAGCGGCATGGAAGTGTAGGGTGGCGGCAGGTTCATGCCGTATCCATCCACCGCCATAATAGGCGAAGGACCATACTCGAACCCACTATATTCAGGCATCGGAGGAGAATGTTGTGGTGAGGTAAATGTTCCCAGATCTACCCACGGTGAATGCGGAAATTCCCCTTCTGGCGCATGGGGTTCCGATTCCATGGTGGGTGATTCCTCCATTGACATTAACCAATGTAGATTCTTGAAACTTCGAGATAATCCTGCTGATAGGTTCCAGCAGGATCAAAGAAATAAAACAAAAGAAAATACAATTCAATTCCCAGAGAGAACAATGTGGCTAGAGGTGAGACAATGGGAGATAATGCATGTTCCACATACAACGGCAGACCCAATCCGTATCAGATCGAAGGCAAAGACCAAGACTTTCTGATAAGGAAAATGAGGATGTTAAATTGCCGCGCGAGAAAGAGGTTCTCTTCAGAAGCAATCTTGTCACCTAATAAAGAGAAAGGGCGCGAAAAGAGATTATACATGCAGGAGGGGGGGAGGGAGGGATAAAGATGCATGCGGGTAAGGCAATGGACGGAGTTAAAAGGAAACCAGTAACTCAGAAGACTTTACGCGTGGATCAGACAGAGAGTGAATCTCGATTGCAACTGGTACGAGAAGGGCACAAGAGTCCGGAGAAATCCATGATAACCTTCTGCCCCGAGAAGAATACCACCGATCTAGTAGATGATTGGTTGATACCACAAAAAAGCCATTCGGACTAGGAAAAGAAAAAGACCCAAAATGGCTAAAGGGAAATTCCGTTGAGTGAGAAATTGCTAAAATACCCCTGTAAAATGGTGAGGGGAACGGCTGGTTGGTCCAAAGCCATATAATGGGCTGTAACCCTAGTGGTGTACCTGGTTACGGTATTACTGTGTATAGGTATTGTAGTATATAAGCAAACGCGGGAACTCCGATATTTCTACATATATGAGTCTTTTATTTCCAGGTCCAGGTCCTTGTTCATTTCCTTTTTCTGTATTTCTTTTTTTTTGTGCTCTGTTACCTCATTTTTACTAAAATCTCTCTCTCTCCCTGCACTGGGGAATGGTGTACATACTAGTTCCTCCTTCGGGTACCCAATCCCAATATTACCACCTTACAAGAAGCAATCCATGGTTCAGTTGTATTTTTTCATTTTTCACCCGTTTTCTGTCGGATCCTTCAGCTGGACCGTTGTCGGTGAAACTATACCAGTCAAAGGCAGATCACCCGTACAAAGCTGATGCCATCCGAGCCATCTATTGATTTGCTACTGGATAGTGGATTGATAAACCAAACCTAAAGCCCATATGATCTCCGTGTATTCCTTGGGTCAGGATGAATTGCGGCGGTGCTCGTTTCATCCCATTTATTTGATAAACGGAAACCTCCCAACGGTCTATTTACCAAAGCGGCCAACAAGAGTGTCGCATCCCAGTTTTTGGTCTACACCATGTGATATAGTCAGGGGCACGGAGCTTCGCCTCGGTCAAGACGAAGGTTACGAATGAAAAGGCCGAAGTTATGATCTCTCTTATGACTGGACCAACCCCAAATGTGTAAATGGTGTGAGGGGAAAGAATCGGGGTAGCAGAAGGAAAGCAAATCCCTAGATTGGATTTGAGCAACGATGGATCTGTGAAGGACGTGCCGATCTCTGGTCTTTTTTCTATTTTTCTGGCATTTTTCCTTTTCGCTTCATTTTCATTTCTGACAAGGATGACACGGCAAATGGCCAAATGAGGAGCAGCATGGAGGGAACGAATCCCCCCATTCGCTTGTGCACAATACGAAGTCGATACAAGGGCCGAACTTGGTGGCTGAGGCTGGCCCTATCACAGGGCTTACATGACTTCTCGGCGAAGAGAGGGGAACTCCCCAATGATGCGATCGTGCCTTTTTTGGCGCTAAACTCTCAGCTTTCCTCTCCACTTCCACGCACGACCCACAGCGGTCCTCTCCGGCCCGGGAACCTTCAGTACAGAATGTGCGGATAGATAGGATCGTCTAACAGCTTTTTGCACGGATCTTCAATTACGAGAATGTTAAAGCCTATGGGATTCGTATGGAATTACTTTTCCCCGCTTGTTCGAAAGCCCACGAGGCAATCAATGTAAAATTGGACTGGAAATTTCAATATTTACTTGCAATCTTTGGGGATGTCTAGTCAACAATGTTCAAGAGAGAAAAATGACAAATAATAAGTTTGTTGAATTTACCGGAGACGACTTATTCGTTCCAAATGATCAATCATTTCTGCTGATTACCGAGTTTTTTTTGATTCCATTTTAATTCTTTATTATGTATTTATTGAATTATTTTGTCTTTTACTTTGCACCAGTAGGATCATTTCTGACTGGGAATTTCTTTTTACCTGGAAATTCTTTTTCCATTTTTTCCTTGCTTTTTCCTAATCCTGCCATTATTGGGGGGAAAACATGGATCTGACGGGACTTGAAATTCTCATTTCGGAGCAGAAGAAGAAACGAGTCTAGGCCAGTCAGAATTAGAATTCTATGTTGTATTCCCATGCGATAAGAGATCCACCGTTGGACTCAGGAACAGACTGCTCGGGGAACACAAGGTCAGGATGCATGAAACGACAAGGATTAGAACAGGGTTGATGGTTGACTCGAGTCAGGTACCGATTAACTGTATACTCCGTTAAACTACTTCGGCCGGAACCCGCACCTTTCAATGGCGATCGTTTTCATGTTCGCCAAAGCAAGCATGGTGGAGTTTGAGAAGACGAACCAGCCCTACTTTGATCATAACCTGACATAATTGTATGATTGGATATTAATTGAGTAATTAAGTAATGAACCTGTATCCTTTCAACTCCGGGGAAACCTTCGGATTACAGACCTAATGCAATGCAATGCAACGGCGATGGATCCTTGGAAGCGAGTCCACAAACCTGGCATTGGGAGTATTCCGGTCACCTGATGGGGACTGTCAGCTTGGTAAATATTTATAATGGCCGGTATGATGTCCTTTAGGTGAATCCTGCCGATCTTGCATCTACGATGAACAGCCCGTGTGGTCTGGGCTGGTATCGAGATCGGCGATTTCAGACTCCACTAGGGCCAAGTCCCTCCGCAATTCATACGGACCCAAATGGGCTCATACTGGGCCCTTATTGGGTACATCCAAAAGACCTCATCATACACCTGCCGTACCATCTATATCCTTGTACTCCGAGGGTCACCGGGTGAACCGGGAGTTTGATCAGATAAATATCATTAATACAACCAGGGATTCACCGCTTGTTGAGCATGAACCTGGACCTGGACCTGGACTTCGCAGATCCTCCAAGTCAGTACTTTTGATGATCCAAGGTTTGGTTCTTGGTTCTTCGATACTAACCTTTTGACATATCATTTTTGCTTTTCTCCACCCCCTCTCGTAATTTCTGACTAAAGCCTATCGGATCTCCTTCTGTCGGGGTGCTTTACCCGTAGATTGCGGGTTTACGCATTCCCTTCCCGAATTGACCAGCTTCCATGATCACCGTTGCCGAATTAGCACGGCCACGATGTGGGTATGGGTCAGTGCACGGGGTCGCGGCCCTCAATGTAAGTAATTGTCTTCCGGGGCGAAGCTACCAAGTCCCGGAGCTTTGACCTAAGCTGACCTTGACTCGTGGTGGATCGGCAAAAAGGGGGAAAACCGGGGTTTGTCCTGGGCCTGGGATTATGTGTGCAGGACGGCAGAGATTTACGATAAGGAGTATATACCAGTGGCATCATTGGCTGTAAGCGAGAAAATATTTGGAAAAAAGCAGAGAAAAACATGCAAGGTCGCATATTGTCTCCATGAAGGGTAATTGTGGCTTGGATTTATTTTTAATTGATTATTGTAGGATGATTGTCAATATTAAGTGGGACGATCTTTCAAAAGCAAAGCAACGTCAAGACTGAATTGCTTGGGTCAAGGCGCCGCCACGAGTGTACATGATCTAAGTTATGCAAATGGGTTGGTCTAAGACCTCGATCTAGAACTTTTATGTATTTTTCTTCGGGACTGAGAAAAATGAACTTTCCATCAATGGGTAATCATAACAATATGGACCGGTCGCTTCAAAGGCCAGATGAAATAACAAAATAACAGAGACATGGCGCCCCGCCAAGACCGTCAACAAGACTCTTCTCGTGCGACCCCTGACCCTTGGACTGGACTTCAACTTGATGCCCTCGTGGGTTCAGGTCACGCTACGACATACCCTGGGAGATTGAAAATCGCAATAAGCAAGCATGCATCGCTCACAGCCCAGTAATCAATCTCCACTCTCAAGGTCTTAACAAAACTCTTCGAGGCCTTATTCGACGGGCCCGGTTGTCCGTGCGAGAGCGATTCTCGCGATCCAACCACACTTAGGTTCCGTGGCGTCTTACAGGGAAGATGGCTGCAGTCCAGAAGCCCGTACCTGTCATCATGGGAGATACAAGGGTAGGGTATTTTCTGGTACAGCCCAATCTGCCAAACTTCCCCCAGCATGTTTTGGACCGACTCGTCGCCTCGCCCAGCGGACGGTGATGGTCGAGCATTGGATAAATTCCATTACCGCTTAACAATAGACACTAGAGCCACGTCGTCAGCATTGTCTCACTTCGGGCTTTTAGTCGGTAAAAAATACGCACCAATATCCTCGTCAGCCAGCTCGTGCGAAAGACCAACACGCTGGGGCTGGTGCTTTACGGACTTGCCGTACACAATGGCAAGCTTGAATTGATCCTTGATCGTGCGGTGAATTTGATTACACTGCGTAGATCGTTAGTAAACCACACCAAATAACACCTCCAGGATTCCTTACGAAGTCTTCCACCGTGCATGAACCAGCACGGAGGACAACGGGCGCTGAGTAATCAGGCTGCTTGCCCTTAGGCTTGGTGTAGATTCTGCGCAGGTTGAGCTTTTCCCACATCATCTCCAGCAATTCGTCGACGTTCCAGCCGTGCTCGGAACTGATGGGGACAGCGTTAGGGATACGGTACAGAAGATCCAATTCCTCAATGGAAATGGCATCAATCTTGTTGAGCGCATAAACAACGGGAATGTAGCTTCGGCTCTTGGCTTCCAACACATCAATCAAATCATCGATAGTCGCATCGCATCGGATGGCGATATCGGCGGAAGTGATCTTGTACTCGCTCATGACGGCTTTAATTTCCTGTTTCTTGGTTAAAGAACTGCTCCTGGCTACAAACCGGAGAAAAACTCACCTCAGGGGTAATGTTGGTCAGGGGAACAGTGCTGGTGATCGCAATACCTCCCTTCTCCTTCTTCTTGAAGTTAATGTTGGGGGGCGACTTGTTGATCCGGATACCAAAGCCCTCCAATTCATTCTCGATGACCCGCTTGTCAACCAAAGGCTTGTTCACATCGAGAACAATGAAGATAAGATGACAGGTCTTCGCCACAGCAATGACCTGGCGACCACGACCCTTGCCGTCTTTGGCACCCTGAATAATACCGGGAAGATCGAGAATCTGAATTTTGGCACCATTGTACATGACCTGTCCAGGCACAGTCGTAAGGGTCGTGAACTCGTAAGCGGCAGCTGACAGCGAATCAGTATCCCCTATGAACGTTGACGCGTTATGGTTCAAAACGTACCTTCGGAGTGCTGGCCAGTGAGTCTGCTCATCAGAGTACTCTTTCCGACGGAGGGGAAACCAATGAAACCACTATATGATCTGTGAGCAAACCCCGTGCATTCGACTCCCATTCCGTTTTCATGACACTTACACACTAGCAACACCAGTGCGAGCAACATCGAAACCGGCTAACAGTCCAGATTAGCGATTGGTCTAGTATAGACTGTCCGCATGATGCGACTTACCACCACCGCCACCACCACCACCAGTTGGGGTCAAAAGCTCTCGCTTCAGCTTAGCAAGCTTAGCCTTCAATTGTCCTGCGCTGATTGTCAACCTTGTCCTTTGTCGTGATCCATCTCGCTCGTTCGTTCATCGATGTCTCGTACCCAAGTGGTAAGAAGTGTTCTTGTTCTTCTGAGTCCGAGCCATCTCGGACTCAACCTCCTTGATCTATACCACGAACAACCCCGTTAGCAGTGTCTTGTGCGCAAGTATTCGAGTCCCGCACTAACCTTTTCAATTGTGGTCGACATTTTGGCGGCTAAATATCACAGCAGGCACAGGGTGAAAATGAAAAAGGATAGTGCTAGTTTATACCGCACAGATGGCTCTTTCCTCAGAGTAGGTTCTCTCTGCGAAAAAAGCGAACTCGTAAGTTGTGGCGAATAAAGTGCACCAAGGGTTGCGGAGCACAATCTTTGAATTTTAGTCAGGGCGGGGTGCAGGCCTGAGGCATGAAAAGTGGGAAATTATGTCATAGACTGCCTGATATTTTGGGCAAGATAAATTATTGCCTCAGGCCGCTATCGCTTATCGACTGCAGGAACCAAAATTGTGGCAAGTAACTTTGTCAAATAGGGTTCAAGCTCTTATTTATAATTTTGGTGATTAAAATCTCATTTTCTTTTGTTTTGCTCGTGAGCATGTTTTTGTCCCAGTTTACACAGTAAAGAAAGCACTGGGACGACTGAAGCGGCCATTCCTAGCTCAATGCCAGACTCCGATAACGGTTCCTTTTGACCTTTCCCAAGAAACCACAACGCTGCAGTCTCACAACATTCCCATTTCGAAATCGATTTCTCGATCATGCCGTTCCTCAAGAATGGGTCTGAGACCCCTTCCGAATCCGAGGAAAACTTGAATGCATTTGAAAAGCTCGTGCATGACCTCAGTGCGGCTCTAGGTCCGAGCTCCGGTCTTGACTCGGATGATGTCGATCCCAAGAATATCGAACTGCTCATGGAGAAATACGTTTCCAACTCAGATGAGTGGAAAGATTGTGCTCTAGGAGATGGCAGCAGATCTTACACGCGAAACTTGATCGATGAGGGAAATGGCAAGAGCAATTTAGTGAGTTAATATTGATGCATAAACCCTGCATGAACACGCTTTACACATAAATATCCGTACATATTCCACGTGATCGTACTAACAATACCTAGCTGATTCTTGTTTGGAGCCCAGGAAAGGGAAGTGCAATTCACGACCACGCCAATGCACACTGTGTCATGAAGGTAATGTTGCGGCGTTGTCACTTCCGAGTAATGCCGAGCTCGCTGACCGGTTGACAGATTCTCAGAGGAAACCTACAGGAGACACTTTACTCCTGGCCTGATCAAGAGAAGATAAAGCATGGAGAGACATCTGCGCCAATTATTACTCGACAAACCGTTTATGGAGAAAACGATGTCACCTATATGTCTGACAAGGTTTGTCATTGTGCTCAATGGTCCATCAGGCTGGCCAAAGATGCTAATTGGCATGAAGCTTGGTCTTCATAGAATGTCAAACCCGGACCCGGTTAGCTTCGCTGTTTCGCTTCATCGTGAGTCCTTTCTCCTGTGAACAATGATCGTCCACTCATACATCCAGTTTACACACCACCCAACGCGGCTAAAGAGGGCTTTTGCATCTACGACGACAAAACCGGCAAAGCAAGTCACATCAAGAAGACTCACTACTATTCTGTTCGTGGTAAACGCCTTGACTACAGACAGCTGTAGGAACATCTTTAGTCCCTTTCCTGGGGGGCGGGACCTAGGAAGATTTGCTGTACTTCCAGCCATGATTTTGAGAGCGTTGCTTATTATTATGCTATAACGAATCAATGATCGACTATTATTTTTTAATTCTTTTCAATTACCCCCTTAAGGCGCATGATCTTGGACAAGTTCCCGAGGCTGCACCCAAGGATCATCATCGAGGCATGCTGCGTAGTGAATGTTCAGCAACCTATGAAGTGCGCCTGTTCAAAATCACAAAGGTTTACGTATAGTAAATTATATGTATCAGAAATATATGCTTGATTAACCAGTAATCTATATAAGCTCCACTCTATAGAGCCCAAGCTATGCAAAAAAAAATGCTGTATATGCAAATGCAAAATCGTAATAACATGGAAAATAATAAAACAGCCCACATCGAACTTAAGAATCAGTGTTCTTGCAGGTAAAGCTGGAACTGTCAGTGCTATCGTGGATAGCAGTGCCAGAAGCGTACAGGCCAAGGCCACAAAGCGCCGCACCAAAGATAGTAATAGCCACATTCAGCACAAACAGCGCAATCTTACGCTTAGTAGCGAACCAAGAACCGCGGTTCAAGTGCAGCCAGTAGATACCGCTAAGACCGTAGCTGAACCAACTAGCGAACAGCGCACTGATCAAGCTGTTCAAGTCACTGAAGACGGGGATAGCCTCGGCGATGATCCAGGCAACAACCCAGCAGGAAACACCGAGACCGATCCAGATTCCGATAGACTTCCAGCTGTTCTCGTGGATGAGGCCGGACTTCGAGCAGAGGCGGAAGTAGATGTACTTCAGACCGATGTGGCCGTTGACCACACCGGCGCCGACGATGGTGGGAATGGCGATTCCGTAGGCGACCTTCTTCATGAGGGGGCCGGCGGCACTGAGAGCGGGCGAGGGAACCTCGCTACCGACGTAGTAGTAGATGACGACACCGGCTGTGAGGTAAAGGCAGATTTCAAAGCCCTGGAGCATGAAGAGGGACTTCTTAAAGTCCTGGGGAGTCTCCATCTCGGCGATCAGACCGAAGAAAGCGACGTGGGCGCAGTAGGCGAAGACGATGTTGGAGACGGCTTGGAAGGCTGTGTAAAGGTTTGTGGTGGTGGTGATTTCGAAAACACGGCCTGGGTGTTCCTCAACACCGACGGAGATCATGGTGATCATGACGGCGCTGAAGATACTGATGAATGAGGCGAATGAGATCCAGGTCATGCCCTTCATAGTACGGGGGATCGACAGCACGAGGGAGATGAGCATGCCAACGAGGGCAAAGACAATGGAGCAGGTTCCGTGGTTGGTGATGGTGTTCATCATGACGCGGAAGGTGAGGATATGGCTGCCCATGACGAAGATGCAGAATAGGAATTGTCCACCACCGAAGAGCTCGCGGCCAAAGCGGCCCAGAAGAATCTCGCCGGCATCTCCCAGGTTCTGGATATGAGGGTATCGCTCACGCATGAGACCAATGTTGTATCCGGTGTAGGTAGCAAGGAGACCGAGACCGATGATCAAGATGACACCACTATCAAAGGATATGTTAGTTTCTGATTGCAGACCAATCATGGATGGAAATGTTACTCACGGAACCAGACCAAGTGTAGCCACAGCATTAGGCAGTGACAGGACACCCAATGAGACAGACTCGCAAATCATGAGAAGACCACATTGCCTATAGGCCAAATTAGTAATTGTCCAAAATCGACGAAGTATAAGTAATACGTACCACCACTTCAGAGTCTTATATTTGATCTCAGCATACTCCTCATTACCAAAGGCATCCGAGACTTCTCCATGCTTCATAGCATGGATATCATCCTCCAAATCAGACATATACTTCTGCTCAGTACCAATCTTGTCATTTTGATACGCGGGAGGCTGGATGTTGACGGACTCCATGTTGAACAAGCGATATAGATTCCTGGGGTCAACAAGGAAATGAATATGGGGAAAGAGTTAAAGACCACGCGAAATAGCATTCCATTAATAAAAGGCCCCCGGTTAGAGTTTGGACTACCCCATGCCGATTTTGCCCCGTTGGGGGCAAATATTGGAGTCGGAACCATCGAAGACCCGCAGAACATTCCATGCAGGCAGTTGGTTGGTTGCAACGACTTGACATCGGGCCGAGAATCGGTCGGTTCACCAATCAAAGCGGAATTTATCTAATTTGACTAATAAAGTTTTCTGCACGTATGATCATAACCATAACCCTGCGCGGTTCACAGCCGCGCTATGCAGGTACACCAATCTGATATTCCCTGGAAGCAAAGAGGCAAAATGATTATAGGATGTTCAATTGAATTAATCTTTTTCCATGAATGTTAAAATCTAACAGAGTTTTTTTGTTTTTTTTTTGTTTCTGTCTCTTTTCGTCTTTTGCACGTTTTCTCGAAGTCCTCCCTATCTCATCTTCGGTGTGGCAATGGCCTCTTGGCCTCGGACATCCCCCGGTGAAACGGCCGTAACCTTCGGACTTGGACTCCATCACCCCGAAGAATCCCCATTCCACGCGTCAGATTGCACTTGTGCATTTCATATCTCCACGTTCATGTTCCCATTGCATAATTATCTATTTGCCCCCAAGATCTAAGATAAGATCTAAGATTCAACCCCATTCAAATTTTCACTCGATAACAAAACAAGGATCATTCGGTATTATTAATCATGCAAGGTTTGCGAGGCAAAAACAAACAAAGTTTTATACGAATGGAAGTTTGAAGTCCTCGCGTGGCTGAGATATACTCCCATGGCTGAGATTTACTCCCATGGCTGAGGTTACTCCCATGGTTGTGGCTGACCTAGATCGACCACCAGATTTTCTCTCACCGGTTCACCCGACATCTCGATGTTTTAGGTTATCACATTATGTAGGACGGAGATAAGCATATTTCTTAAATACGCCCATCGCAATATTCTATTGGTTATCCCTACGCTTTCGAGCTTCCTGGACTGTGGCGAATCCACTCGGCTTGCGTCTCTACCGCATTAGGAAGGTCAGTAATGACTCGGTGGGTCTCGGATGTCGGTTGCATTGCACGAAGAAGTTTGGGACACACGCGTAGCTCTCAGTGCTGATAGTCGCGATCTCAACAATTGTATGGGTCTCTGTTGAAGATGATGTCGGATAGATTTTCCCTATCGCTTGGAATGACAGGTGGGGCCAGAGAGGCATATGGAGAACACGGTTCAATTGAAGCGTACCTATGGATGGATGTATGCAAATGCAATGTACAAAGTGCGATTAAACGCGTCAAAATAAGTATCTGTGACAGAAAGGGGAAATTTGAAAGCCTCGGTACGTAGATGTCCAGCGAAATTAATAACCTATCGGGCATGCATATTCAGACCAGTAAGAAATCGAAAAGAATTGAACGGAAATGAAAGTTGGAAACGGTATGCACGACCCAAGTACGTGTCCAGTACTTGGGTTTGGAAGACTAGGGCCCGAGTTCCCGAATTCAACGAGATTCAGATAGCTTCCTAAACAAGAGCTCCGGATCCTCTAAGGCTGCGGATTGTCGACGACGGAGTTCTTCGAGCCGCTCCTGGGGATTCTGTAAATCGCCACAATAAGTACGTTGCCCGGAGGATTTGAGAGAACGCATCAACCGTGACACCCACCCATTCCTCTTGGTCCGGAACCCCCTCTGCAGTAGGGAGGGTGGATGTATCATCGCCGTCACTTTCCAGACCCCGGACACGATGGATTGGCGCCGGGGTCACCGGGAGACTGGGCCGTTCGATTTCCGTGGGGAAATCGGTTAGCTTCATGCTTGGTCGCCGCCCAGATGTGATAGTTGTGGCTGAAGAAGATGAGAACTGGCTTGTGCTCATACTGGTACTTCTACTATGGCTTGAGCCTTCCTGCGCAGAGCCGGATATTACCTGAGGCTTTCCACGGCGAGCCTGTTGAAGAGAATCCATGTAACGCTGAATATCCGGGTGTTCATCCCAGGCATTGGAACGAGAATATTGTTCGTAGGTCTCTGCGGAAGGCTGGTATGGCTCATATACTGGTTGGGGTGAGAGGGTTTGTGATTGTGGCGGCGATTGAGGACGTTCAATAGAAGGAGGCTCGTTGTGTGGCTGGGGTAAAGACGGCTGAGGTTCTGGAGATGGAGTACGAGGAGCAGCCGGCTCTGTAAAAACTCTGGTTGGCCTGGGCGCGTGATTCTCCCAAGGGAAGATCTTCGTAACCCTTTCGGGCTCGGGCTTCGACTCAGGAACTTGGTAATACATATTCTTGGGGGCTTCAGGATACGATGGAGGGGGTTGAAACAGGGTGGTGTCCTGGGACATGGTGTATGTCTTTTGCTCCAGACTAATACCCTCGGGCCGAGTGTTGAGTGGCGGTGGTTCTCTATTCGGTGTGAGCTGATCCTCTTCCGATCAATGACTGATAACCAAATTGCATGTCTTACCGTGAGGCATCCCATTCTGCCTTTGGTGCTTGGAAATGTGGAACTTCAGGCTCCGGCGAAGAGGCTGTTTGCCAATGCTCCACAACTGGTGGGGGTGCTACAGGTTGGGGTTGGTGTATGTGGCTTTCTCCTTGATCGGATGGCTGGTGGTGCTGGTGTTGGTGTTGGTGGTCGTGTTGTTGACCATGCTGGTGATGATGCTGCTCGTGCTGCTTTTGTTGGACTTCAGGCTGTGCTTTGTGAGACTCCTGGTGCACATGAACCATCGGCGCGGGGGCATATTGAAGGGGTGGTATAAATGTCGAATATTGTTCTTCTCCGCGAACATACTGCGGGACAGCACTCAATACTGGAACCTGGGTGGCAATTGAATCCTGAGTCGCTACATGGTGATCCTGGTGTGGCTGTGCGTAATGCCCCTGCACCGACTCGGATGATTCCAAAGCTGGCACACTTTGATCCTCACCATGGAAATGTTGAGGTTCAGACCGTTGTTCATAACGAGTCGGAAATGATTCTGACTGGTCTGCTAAACGGGCCGTCAGGGGGTGACTTGAAGCTTGTGAGGCCTGGGTAGTGCTTCTTGGTAACGAGTAGGAGACCTGGTTTCTGTTAGTCAAGCTCCTCATCTAAATCACAGTACTCACAAAAGGAGAATGGTAATGTCTATCGTACACCGACCACCATTTGTTCAAAAGCTGGTTATATGGCGACTCCAGCGGGACAACCTGTCTGGGCATGTTCCACGGCTTTTGCGAACCAATGAAATGGATGAGGCTGATGGTACTCTGAAAATGCTTGTATGCAGGGATGTACTGATAGTTCGCACTGGGCGTGCAGTTATACGTGAAGCTCAGCCTATGCCAGTCCCGGAAGTGCATATTCAACAATCCCTGGTCAGCTCCATCAAAGCTAATGCCCCGCTCTGCCAGCGCCTTCAGAGAGAAATAGTCCTGCATATTAGGGCGGAGAACCATGAGCCCACTATTGAAACAATCAGGCCAGCCTACATCGGGAGCAGCGGCAAAGTTCACATCCAGGGAGAATAGCTCGTCCGGTGCACGAAGAGCCACGACGTCGCAATCGATGTAGATGATCCTTTCGTACTGTGTCAGGCGCCAGAGCTCGATTTTTGTGAATGTCGCAATCAGATCCGGTCGGTCCATAAGCCATAAGTTTGCGGGTGTGCCATTCACTATCGAATGAACCGGGATGAGCTCGTCATAAACTGTCTAAGGCACAGACATGTCAATTCAAATCGAACCGGAATGGTGAGGATGAGCACATACCCGAAGCTCATCAATCGTCTCTGACCGGAGTGCACTCGGTGTAAAGAGCGCAACCAGCTTAGCTGTCGTGCCATTGTCGCGCAGGGAATGCGCCAGTACCATAGCTCCTAGATGACGTTCAGGTCAGTATACAAGCGTTCGAGGCAAATGACCATGACAACTTACCTGGCAAGTAGTTATCGCTCAGCAAGAGCTGTAGATCAAGGTTAGCTTCTTTGATATTTTCTTCTTCTTTCAATACATCAGACAAAAGGGGGCGACGTCACTGACCGTGCAATAAACGCTCTCCTGTTCGGCAGCCATTTCGACAAGCTTGCCTCAACGCGACTCAACTTGAAGATAGGCGCGTGCAATGGTGAGGAGGACCAAAATAGAAGGTCCGTTAGCCCACAGTTATATTTATCGTGACTTGTTGTTTCCAACGAGAGTTCGGACTGGTCCTCAACAAGCAGCAGAGACTGTGGTACCTGACCCGGACACAGCTTCGAGAAAAAACGAAAACAACTTGCTCTCACAAGCGCTGCAGCATCCTGTCGGGGAAGTCGTGCGAGGTGAATCTCAGTTGAAGTGACAATCAAGGGGCAAAAGCTTCAAGAGCTTGAGAGAAAAGAAATCTGGAGAAAAGAGGGGAAATTGAAACAAGTTACAGAACAGTCGATCGAGGGGAAAAGTGGATTTGGCTTCGGGTGAATCCACTGGCTGACACGGATGATCCGAGCTTTTGGACCTTTAGCACCCGCGTTCAGTACTAGCTCCACTCAAGTTACATTGATTTTACTTGGATCAATTTGCTGGATTTAGTGGATTTTACATAACATTGGGATGTCTTGCATAAATATGGGGAGCCATGACAACTAATAGTTAAGTTAATTTCTCATTTGGGGTTCTGTTGGGTTGGTTGCCAGGGGGTCAAGCGGGACGCCACCAAGTACTAGGGGCTGCGTGGTGATACAAAAGCTCCGGTCAACGGTCGTGATATCTATATGAATCATGGCTAAATGGTGAATCAGTTACCTAGGGAGATTATTTCCAATTATCTCCGGGCAATGACTTCCGCGTTGAACTTATTCAAAGCATCGCCGATGTCGCCTTGCTCGCCCTCAATGGCCCATTGCACGGCCTTGGTTAGAGCCACACGACTCTCTAGCTCAATGGGAGTGAAGTGACCCGACTCTGGAAGCAGGACAATCTGGCTGTCCTTGGGGATGAAATCGACCATACCATCCAGACAGATGGCAGGGTGGAGCGCAATGTCTTTCTTGCCCCAGAACACGGTCGAGGGAGCCTTGAGAGCTCCCGGGGCTCCTTGTGGTTCTTTACCGCCTGCTAGATTATCCAACGTAGCCAGGGTCTCAAGAGATTTCTTCCACTTGCTACGCTCCGCACCGTCCCGGTAGTAGCCAGCGAGGTTCATCACATTGGCAAAGTTAGAGTCGAAGCGAACAGTGGTCGGGTATGTCTCCTGGTCGGCTGTCTGGGTCTTAGACTCTGCCAGAGAAGGACCCATGCTACTAGCCATGGAGTTTGCCAGATCTTCAGTACTAGCCTTCGCTTTACCGTGCGAGCCGATGTGGATCATCTTCATCAATGAATGATTGCCGCCCGTCAGGAAATAACGGGCAAGGGGAATGGGCAGCTGCATAACAAATATGTATCCTGACATCTTGAGTTGATATCTCACGGGCGCCAATGTCTGCCATGCCTGACGCAACGGCGCGCGAGCATTGAGTGGGGATTTCCATGCATCCTTCAACATCTTGCGTGCGGCAGAAATCATACGGCCGATGTTCGATTGAACCAGGCTCGGCTGAGCGGAGATTTAGTTCAGGTTATGAAACAGTCAACATAGGCTTGGTGGTGACTTACTAATGGGCCATTGCTCAGAAGATAACGATCAGCCAGCGATGGAGCTTCAGTTGCGAGTCTCATCGCGATAACGCAGCCCCAATCATGGGCGACGATGATCGTTCTCCTCTTACTCTTTTCCGCACCTTGGTCGATACCATATTGAATTCGCAGATTGATAATAAGCTGCGCCATATTCTCTAGAATGTTCGTCCCGTTGTATTTTTCCACAGCTTGGGAGCCACCATAGCCAGGCATGTCAATGGCTACCAGTGTAGCAGATGCCTGCAGAGCAGGGTTGCTGGCAATGTGCCGCCACACGGCCCAGCTATCTGGAAAGCCATGAATAAAGATCACTAACGGCTTGCTGGATGCCAGCACTTCCTTCGAGTTAGGGACATCATTGCTGAGGAAATGGAACTTGAAGCCGGTAGAAAGGGTTAGGAAATGATGGGAGAGTCCAGCATAATCCTTAGACAGATTCCACAGACGGTCATGGGCTGGACTACATTAGCACATTACAGTAGTGCATTGTGGATAGTGACGGTCCATACCAAGGTGGAGCTCTAACTGATCCTTTTCTGTAGGCTTTTTGAAAAAGAGGCCTAATCGAACCGTCAGAAGGCCGTACAAGACCATGGATATAAAGCCATAGGTCCAGACGACAGTCTTGACGGTCGCTTTGAAGAGGAAGCTTGCCATTTTGAAGCGATGATCAATTGTCTATAGAAGAGATTTGGATTTTTGACGCGGAAAGTCCCGCAGCTTTATCAAAGACAAAGAGCTCCCTGAACCTCGGCCGGATCCATTAATCAGCCACTGAAGTTAACTAAGTCTCCACAAGGACCCATAAAATCCACTTGATTGACTCAGATTCGTAGACTTGACGCTAGTTCTTTCAAGCCGTTAGTGTCTTACATTCTAGTTCCCATTACCATAATCTTGGAACAGTATACAATTCGCTATAAGAGTGCTTTTCTAGCATTTTGTTGAAATACAGAATATCCGCCTCAGTGGATCGGATCCTTCGTCCCAGGAAACGCCAAGTCCATCTTCACATGCAGTCAAGTACATAAAAATAAGTGTATCAGGCGGGGGGGAAAGCCCCCGAGTGGAAAGAAACAGAGAAGCAAATATTATGAGTCAAACAACATCAAAAAGGGTATTAACACATGATAAGGGGTAGCGACATGACGAAAGAAAAGGGGGGGAATAACATCTAGAACATTGAAGACAACAAGGAAAGGGCCGTTATCTCGTCGAGTTCCCGCGCGAGGCTGTCTCAATTCAGCGCGCGCGACTGGGTGGAAAATTAGGGTACGTATATACAGAGGCGATGTCATAGGGGAAGGCTGGAGGATGCTATGCAGTTCACAGCGAGAATCCGAGTCGCTCTCGGTTGTCGTCCACGAGACGGCCGTATCTAAGGTTAAAATTAGTCAAGTTTGGCGGAAACAATATAAACATAACTTACTCTAGGAGCAAACGGAAGAACCAGACCTCCAGGTCCTCATTTCGCAACACTTTCTGGGCCCAATCCTGGCCCTGAGCTGCGATTCTAGGTGCTGTTTTCTTGCCATCTTCTTCTGACACGAAGTATCGCATGGTTTCTGTGTACTCATTGCCCTTCAGGCTAAGGGGCGCGTAGTGAACCCAGGGCTTAAGCCATTCATCGTGCCACTCACGGAAAATGGCGATCTTGTAGACAAAGCTGTTGCTGTGGAGGAACGCATAGAATCGCCCACTAAATGCATTTCCATCCACATCAACAAGGAACTTGTGTGCCCATGCATCCTGCTGACCAGCTGCCGGGACCACTTCAAAGTATTCCTCCTGGGCATGGCAGTCGTCCGGGTCACACTGGCCAATGAAGGTAAATTTGACATCGAATGAGTCCCGGAACTGCTCCTGCTTTACCTCCTGCGTGGCCCACAGATTATCCTGCTGGCGTGCGAGAATCTTGGTTGTGCCGAGGGAGTTGACATTGTCAACAAATTGCTGACGGTGCTGGCGGCGCCAACCGCCTGCACGCGAAAATCCACCAGTTGTAGATCCACGCCAGTACATTCGATCCGTTTTGGCTTCCCAGATGAAATCCTTGTCTTGCTCGTATGGCACCTTGTCGGCCCAGTACCAGGGGCTGGGGTAAAGGATATCCTGGAAGCTGGAGATCTTGCTCTGCGAAAATATGGGGAACAGGTCGTGGACAACATCAAAGGCATTCGGACGGTCGAAGAATCCGTAGGTGTACCTCAGAGACGGGGTGAAGCAGATATCAGAGAAGGCAGTAGTGTTGTAAATAAAGCCCAGTTCGCCGTACGCATACGGGTCACCATTATCAGGTGCTGCGTCATCAAGAGATCGTGCAGGGCTATCGACGGGGCAGGAGATACGCGAGTTGGTCCATGTAGGCTGATGGGCGAAACGGTTGAAACGAGTCGTGCGCACCTCGTCGATGCGATCTCCCTTGTTCAAATCGCTAGCGCGTGGCGACCACACGTTGGTCGGAGTGTTGCTCTGGAAAGCGGCGGGAATCACATAGTCTGTAGCAGTCTGGACAAGACGTTGGAGATCATCTCCCGGGATCACCACGCGAGGCTCATCGTGTGTATTGAAAACCAGATCCATGTCGGGAAGGTATTTTACAAAGCTAGCCATCATTCCAGCTGTGGCATCGCGCTGCCATTTTCGGCCATCGCCGCCGCCCTCGGTCAAAGTCACCTTGCCATCGCGGATGAGGACACCTATCACTGCATTATCAAACCCGAGGGTCTCACGGGCGCGCTCGCGGATGGTTGCCGGCTTCAGGGCCCAGAACGGAAGCAATGAGTGGTAGATCGAATCGAATTCATCAACCAACTGCACGCCCTTGGCTTGGGCGAACTGGAACCACTTGTCGAAGTTGGGTGGCGGGTGCATTTTGTACCGACGCTTGTACTCCTCAACGGCCTGAGCCAGGGTGGCGGATTGGCGCGACTGCATGTGGGAAAATGTTTGCTCGGCATTGTCGACAAGTTTCGAGATTGGATGAATCCTCTCGGGGGTGTAGGAAGTCTGGCCAGCATGAAGTTGAGGGTGCTTGATCGGTTCCGGGGGAGGCAGGTCTACTACTACCGGCTGGGGGGTTGTTTGTGGAGGTCGGAGGTAAACGAGAGAGAAGCACGCGAGCAAGACGACCGCGAGCAAGATGATCACACGTTGGGGTCGCATCCTGCCATCTGGAGAAGGCATGAAGAAGGGCAATTGCCGGAGTGGAGGGAGGGGGGGGGGGGGGGAATTTCGAAGAAAAAGGGTCTAGGGAGAGGGATCCATATGGAGTTCAGGCGGGCTCTGGCCAAATCTTTGGGCCAAGTTGCGATTTAATGGGTCCAAAGATGCCAAGCCGCTTGACATAATTGTCCACGTACTACCACCAACTAACTTACGCGCAAGCTTTTTTAACCTACTACGTTGAAACTCATATTGTAACATATTGTGTACACTTATTAATAGAATCTGGTTTATGTCGAAGAATGTACGCTTCGATACTCATTGCATTGCAGATAACATCAAGGCTTTTTCAAGGAATGCATTCAAGTACGTCAATTGGATCAGCAAAGATATGACATTACCATGGACTGACCTCGCTATGCAGCATGTGCAACCTGCCTTCAATCTTTATAAGTCACATAGTAAGTTATGCACAATCTAGTGCTCTCCAAAACTATACTCGACCTCCCCACCGCACAGCCGCCCAAGAACCTACTCCGTTCATCAAAAATGCACCCAACGACTGAACCATATACTTCTGTGCTTGGGCAACATGGAAGTACGCCGCACCACATAGCAAAGCAACCAAGGAGACATGGACCAGATAGAAAACCCGTCGTCGGTCCTGTATAGATCCAGCTGCACCTGCTGCCCCCCTTCGGGTAGTAACACGAGGTCGGGCAAAGAAGAACAATGCGACCGCCCCAGATAGGGCTAGGAGACCACACTGAACATCGAAGTCACGCACCCGCTTCGCTAAAAGTATGCCAAACTCCGGATGGCTATTCTGCACAAAGAACAGCAGGTAAAGCGAGGCATGACCGAAAAGCAAAGGCGAGATAACCACACGACCAAAGAGCCGGTGGTACGGGGTAAGAGTACCCTGAGGAATAGAAGTGATGAACGAAAATACCGATGCCGCAGAAGGCTTAGAGATTGATATGTATGCTGCGGGCGACATCAAAACCTGCAAGGGAATCTGGGAGAGAGCGACATGGCCCAGCGCTTTGGTCAAGTGGAGATAATCTGCAGGGGTGAGCTATTGTTGACAAGGCTTGTACAAGCGAACAAATAGGGTGGAAGGATAAACAAATGAAACATACCATCGCCGCTATTCCATACACAAAGACCAAATAGCCATGATAGCCAAAGACCGCATATGGCATACTGTCGTCGGGTTTCAAGCCACCCCGCGACCAGGGGCCGGTCCCACCATGAGACAGGTCCTCGGGGTGATTTAACCCCCTTTTCTGTTTGAGATGATGTCTTCCAGGTTTGATATACGACTCGGAGGATCAGCATGAGTATCACGACAGACCATTGCGCGAAGGCGCCTCGGATGTCCAGAAGTTCCCTGCGATGGAGCTTCTCATCTTCAGAAAGCGTGATAAAATGCCATGGCCAAAATGATTCCATCTTGGAGCTCGAATTGTAGTCGTTATTGGGGTATAAATTGATTGTAAACCTCTAGACCGAGGGTTATAAACTGCCTCTTTATGTGCGCCGTATAAGATAGAGAAGCCACTGACTCCGACTTTGTGACTTCAGCAGGACATGAACATGCTGACTTGAACTTCCAGCGTGCGAGCTGAAATTTTTATTTTTGGCGATTGATAGGGTAATGCAAACACTTCTAGGTTGCCTCTGTTGGATGAATTGACCAGGTGTCATTGACTTGACGTGTGCAACGAGTCTGGGGCGTCTATGGCCCCGCTGACAAATGATGCAATTTGACTCGTCCGTCACCCTCAAGTGCCACCTCTAGCTTCTAATGGATTATCGGATCAGCCCGGCATGAAATTAATACTGTCGTCGTTGCTTTTATGACTACCTCAGACCGGCATAGACCGTTATGTATGGATCAAAAAACCTCTACATTTAAAGTAAAACGCCGTCAAGACATCTCATCCCACAAAGCTGGCTATTCTCTAAGCTGACAGGATGCCCAAGCCCAGGAACCATAATGGTTTTTGCGTTGTTTCTTTGCGCACTGGGAAAAGCTCTCGGATGAAAGTAAATTTGCATGGGAAGCCACGATTTCCCTAGTAGAATCCTCAAGGAGATGTCTGCATGGCCTCCTCCGGATCACCACCCGCAGTAGTGGCGAAGTATCGGACATCAACATCATCATCTTCCTGAAGCTTGGCCAGACTGGGCATAACCTTTTGCTGGATAAGCTCTTGGCTGTGAGGCGAAGGAGTGATGGTCTCTTCCGACTTCTCTACCTCGACTAGGGTCTTGTCCGCTGGAAGGCGGCGCAAGGTTTCAATAAGAACAGCATAAGACTTGGCAACGTTGAACCGAATGTTAGGGATCTCGTCTGCCACCAGTCGGTCCAGGATGGGAAGAATGGAGGTTTCGATAATGTCAAGAGTGACAACGGGGGCAAGGGTCTATACGGATTAGCACGAGCTAAAAGCAGGTGGCAGGTGTAGGGTGTAAAACTCACAGAAATAGCAAAGCATGTTGTCATTCGGTAAAGGTAGTTGGGGTGCTGTCCCATGGCGACCACCTTGGGAATAATAGACTCCTTGGACCACTCCACACCAAAAACTTCTGTAAGTTTCTTCAAGTTCTGGGTAGCGGCCTCTCGGATCGAGAAGACTGTGTCACCTAGCCAACCCATGCACAGATCGCTCAACTGCTCATCAAAGAACTTGACTCCCAATTGGCTCGCAAGAAGAGGAATATATTCGATGATGGCAAGACGAACACGCCATTGCTTATCCTCAGCCAGCTGAACAATGGCGGGGAGCAGGGATTGGGAGAGAAGATCAATGCCAATAACTAGAATGAGGTTAGATCAAGCTTTAAACAGGGCATTCACAGTTCAGCCATTACCTTTGTTAACCTGCTCGAGCTTGGAAATGATGTGAAGGCGAACATCGGGGAAGTCGTCCTTGAGCATCGAAAGGAACATAGGGAGCAGGTGAGCAATGGTCCTAAGTTCGTATTAGCAATTGATGACCATCCAGAGTGGGGGCGAAACGAACTCCTCTTTCCCAAGGATAGGTGCAAGACCGCTGATCTGAGTGCCCAGCGAAGCCCGGACATGTTGAGATTGATCCGAAACAAGGTCCTCTACGCTGGTCATGATCTCGTTAAGCAGGGTGTCGCGGTCAATCAAGCTGCAGAAGCCTAGTCGAAATATTAGTGACTGTCAAAGTGAAGACAAATACAAACAACATACCAGGAATTTGGCCAGCGACCGCCGTGCGGACCTCAGCCTCGGTATCCTTCAGAAGCTTAACGAACGCGGGTACCATATCGCGTGTGATAACTTCTTCGTGTACTGCTTTGGCGATCTAGAAAACATCAGTACCGAGTTCAGAAATCCTCTCGTGTCACAACAGGCACAAACCTTCTCGTATCTATCGGCGACCATGTATCGGACCCTCCAGCTCTTATCCTCAAACAAATTCCGCAGCGAAGTCAGCAACACTCCGTGGCTGGGCTGCTGTTCCTTGGGGATTTCCTCTGCGATCGCGATGAGGATGTCGACAGTCAGCAAACGAACGCTGTCCTGATCGTCGCTCGCCAGATATTGGAAGAGGGGTATCATTTCATCGATAACGACGGGAGTCTGCATCTCCTTGACGAACTTGGCCAAGTTGTTCGCCGCTTGCCGCCGCACCATGGGGGTCTCATCATGTACCAGGGCCCCGAAATGCTGTCGGAGGCTCTGCTGCGTTGCTGCAGTGGCTTTCTTGTATGGTGTGCAGTACAGGCCGGTTGCTGAGACCTTGGAGGTGAACCAGTCGGCTTTGGAGAGGTGGAGGACCAGGGGGACAAAGTGTTCTTCAACTTGGCTCTCAGACAACTGCTCACACACTTTGTTGAGAGATTCGACAGCCTGCATGAACAATCAGCAACTTATCGAAGCAGCCCTTAGATGTTTTCGACCGACCTTTTCCCGAACCAAAGGCTCCTCAATCGCCGCGAGATTCTCCAGCGGAGACAAGAGCACGTGCGCGTGTTCCGGTCCTCCAACATACTCTGTGAAGTTACCCAGCTCTTCGCTCAGCGCGGTCAATACCTCGTCTTCGTCTTCCACGGAGTCTAGAGACAATTTCTGTTAGGCGCATCCAAGATGGGCAGGGGTCGCTAAGTGGAAACCAACCGTCCAGGAATGGAATGAGCTCCTCCCGGGTTCTCTCGGGACCCAGAGCCAGAGCAATGGTAGATAGGCGGTGGATGGCATTGAGACGGAGGAGGACATCATCGTGCTACGAGATTGAGATGTGAGCTTTGATAGATCAGACTCACCCCTCCACCGGGGGGAGGGGGAAAGCATGGAGATCATCCTTGGCATACCTTCAGCTCATCAATGAGCACCGCGATAGGGTAAAGCTCATCGTTCTCGTTTTGGCCCTCCATCACGGATATCGGTGTAGATTGTGTATTAGGTGGCGTGTCGGGGAGTCGGGGCGGGAGGTCCCAGTCCTGAGAGCAGGGTTGATATCGGGGGCGGGTTGGTTCGACCCAGCGAAGTAGAAATTAATGGTGATCAAAGGAATTATGACGGCATGAACTCAAGACACTGGCGAGTCCAAAGAGGTTAGGTTTGACGCGGGGTGGATCAAAAATAGGTAGGGGAGAGTGGTAGTTGGAGAGAGAACGGCCGGAGCGAGGTTTCGTGGGGTTTTGGGCCGCAGACCACCAGTTTGGATTGGAGTGAAGCAGCTAATAATCAAGGAAAATGCGGAAGAAAAAGGACACAACTGACAATTGAAGATTGGTACCACTATAACACCTAAAAGTAGTTCTGCAAATGTGTTGAATTCTTAACGGAATAATTGGACGTTTTTCTCTTTCCTCTTTTTTTTTCCTAGAATGTTTTCCCTCTTGATTCCCTTGAGCTTTCAGCGATGAAATAATTGCGGCTGGTGGTAATTCACATACCAGATTGCACGGGCCAACTGTCAATATGAGGTCAGATTTTATGAAATTATGACAATACCATACCATTCGTAACAAAAGAGGGGAGTTGTGGCGGTGGTGGCTTACGTGTAGAATTTCTATCTCGGAGTCACATCATTATCATAATCTCTCCTCGCTAAGTATTCCCCTTGGACAGAATTGGTACGTTACTCCTGCATTTGTGGAGAAGGGATGACTTTATTGTCTGAAATATCTGTATATATTCCCGGCTAACATATGGCTTTTCTCACCTGCCAGATTTGTGTCGCATCGCATAGCGAACTTCCCCCGCCATGCCCACTATCTCGGTCGACAAGGCCGCCCTCTTCAAGGAGCTGGGCCGAGAGTATGTTATTCTGTCTGGAGATGCCACTTGAAATGACATGTCTAACCTGATCCTTTGCAACTCTTTAGATACACCACGGAGGAATTCGATGAGTTGTGCTTCGAGTTTGGTGAGTCAATCATATTGATAAACTCTTGCGGGGCATTGCGCTGACCGGACCCCCTAGGTATTGAACTTGACGAAGACGTATGGCCTTTTTAGATTTCTCCTTACATTGGGAATATGCGACTAAGAATTTACAGACCACCAACTCCGACCGACCCATCGTCAACGGCGTGCAGGAGCCCCCGCAGCTTAAGATTGAAATCCCCGCCAACCGGTATGTCCGGTCCTACCAGAGCATATTGACGAGGAGACTAAGACGGGTTACAGTTATGATTTGCTGTGCTTTGAAGGCATCCAATTGATGCTCAATATCTTCCTCGGCCGGAAACCCTTGCCTGAGTACAAGTTGGTTCCGCCGCCGAGCGGCCAGCTCCAGGAGATTATCGTCAAGGAAGAGGTGGGCATTGTAGATGACGCTTGCCAATCACCAACTAACCAAACTGCGATAGACTACCAAGATTCGTCCCTACGTCTCCGGTGCTATCCTACGAAACATCAAGTTCGACGCGGCTCGCTACGAGTCCTTCATCGCTCTCCAGGACAAGCTTCACCAGAACCTTGCCCGTCAACGAACTCTCGTCTCAATCGGTACCCATGATTTGGATACCGTGCAAGGTCCCTTCACCTACGAGGCTCTTCCTCCCAAGGACATCAAGTTCGCCCCGTTGAACCAGACCCAGGAGATGAACGGCGAGGAAATGATGAACTTCTACGAGGTATGGCAGATTTGAATCATGTGGCGATTTCCCAAATGCTCATTCACTTGCGAAACAGAAACACCAACAGCTTGGCAAGTTCCTGCACATTATCCGCGACTCTCCCGTCTACCCCGTCATCTTTGATTCAAAGCGCACCGTCTGCTCCCTGCCTCCCATTATCAACGGAGACCACTCCAAAATTTCTGTGAACACCACCAATGTCTTCATTGAGATCACCGCACTTGATCGGACGAAGCTCGAGATCGTGAACCGCATGATGGTCACCATGTTCTCTCAATACACCTCGGAGCCGTTCACGTAAGTGAAATTTCCCATAGGATTTAATGGATATACACTGATTTCATGTACAGTATCGAGCCCATTAAGATTGTCTCGGAGCACAACAACGAGACCCGCATCACACCTGACCTTTCTCCTCGCACTGCCGAGGCAGAGGTTTCTTACATCAACCAATGCTGTGGCTTGAATCTCACCGCGGAGGACATCAGCACTCGTCTGTCCAAGATGGCCTTCCGGGCTAAGCCTTCTGCCACCAAGCCAGACATTGTCGAGGTTGAGATCCCCCCGACCCGTGCCGACGTTCTTCACCAGTGCGACATCATGGAGGATGTCGCCATCGCCTACGGCTTCAACAACCTCCCCCGCTCGTTCCCCAGCAAGTCTGGCACTGTCGCCCAGCCCCTCCCCGTGAACAAGCTGACTGACATTATCCGCATGGAGGCTGCTATGGCCGGCTGGTCCGAGGTCCTCCCATTGATCCTGTGTTCGCAAGATGAGAACTTCGCCTGGTTGAACCGCAAAGACGACGGCCAGACTGCCGTCAAGCTGGCCAATCCCAAGACTCAGGAGTTCCAGATTGTCCGCACCAGTCTGCTTCCTGGTCTCCTCAAGACTATTCGAGAGAACAAGAGTCACAGTGTGCCCATGAAGGTCTTTGAGGTCAGTGATGTCGCCTTCAAGGACATGACACTAGAGCGCAAGAGCCGCAACGAGCGACACTTTGCCGCTGCATGGTACGGAAAGACTAGCGGTTTCGAGGTTGTACACGGTCTTTTGGATCGTATCATGGCCATGATGAGAAGTGCCTTTATCATTGCCGAGGAGGGTCTCGATAACCCTGCTTCTGGTGCCGCGCAGTACTGGATCGAGGAGCTGGAAGGTAAGCTATGACAGTCCATTATTTTACCCACTAAGAAGCTGACTTATGCCTTAGACCCGACCTACTTTACCGGCCACGCCGCAACCATCCACGCCCGCATTGGTGACAAGGAACACGTCATTGGTACCTTTGGTATCCTTCACCCCACTGTTTTGGAGAAGTACGAGCTTAAGTACCCCGTCAGCACCTTGGAGATCAACATCGAGCCTTTCCTGTAGGCTGAAAATAGCTATACCTTGAAGACTGACGCAGATGATGACATGATGAGGAGTGCTCTTATTTTTGATACGCCCTGTTTCGATTAGAGCTATACAGATGCCAAAATAAAATCAAATTTTATGTCAAATCTTTAAACTTAACTCGACCTGGCCTGATCATCTTCTAAATCCGATTTCCTCAATACGTCACGTTTATGTTATTCATGTGGTGGTTATACTATAGCGCTTTACACTTGACACCAGAAAAGATGGGCACGGGCAGAAATTGAATGTTCCTGTATTGTCTTCACAATCTTCGTTACCACTTGATTTTCCATGAATGCATCATCCAGCACCTCGGGATCGCTCTCGATAGCGGTCCAATTGCCCCCATCCTCAATATTTTGGTATTGTCCGTCTCTTTCTACGGTTCTCTCCCCATGATGCTGTTGAGCAAGATCCCCATGCTCCTTTTGAGTGCCTTATGCGCGGCGTCATACGTGTCTGCCGCAACCAATGTGGAGCAAAGTATCAGCGCCATGAACACCTAAGCCGACAAGATCGGAGCCGCGGAAAGTTCCCTGAACAACTACAACGGAGGCATCCCGGCCATCCTCGGCGTTGCCCAATTCCTCATGATTGCGCAAACCGCTGCTCGAACGGTCCGCGAAAATCTTACCAAGGGAAACACCATGACACCTGAGGAAGAAGCTCGCTACTCCGAGTCCTATGATCATTAGTTTTCGTACTTCTTGATGCCATTCAGTCGGCCAAGAGAAAAGTGCGTTTAACTGAGCAATGTCCTGTTAGCGGGTGCTTCTGACGCGATATGTGTGCAGGCTCCTCTTTTTAAGAAGTCGGGCTCAGGTACAGCAGCCCGTACATATCTGCACAAGCTACACAATGAGAATAGACTCTTGGAAGGTCAAGTCAAGGTCAAGGTCCCTGAAGAGACCTTTCGCAAGATCCAGTCCTCTTTCAGCAAGATCAGCGCTGGATTTGATCAGGCAGATCGTGCATTCCAATGATCGGCTTGCGGGCCGAATCGAGGGGCTTAAGTGTGGCTACATACATGTAGCACCACTAAGGAAGAAGTAAGGGATGGGTTCCTCAGCATTACAGTACAATGATTAGGTCCACATGCTTTTCTGAAGCTTCATAGACGGTGTGCTTTATCGAAAGCCACTTTTATTATTTCAAATGCCATGAAGTACCAAGCATGTCCTGTTCTTCGGTGAGGTTCCTCGCAGCTGTGGCAGTTTCTAGAGATTTATTATCGAAAGTGACGAGGATTCTCGAGATTTGGTGGTAGCTTGAGTGTGGGTCTATAACTTAAACCTACCTGGAACGTTGACCGCAGGCCTACGCCAAGCTTGAGCAGCACTTGAGAATTTTCTTACTACGGGGAATGTAACTTTCGGAGAGATCTTTGATTCAACACTATAGAAGAACGATAGAAAGTTTTATTGTAGGGCGTTATTATACTATTGTTACCGCATATATAGGCAGGCAGTTGTAGGACGACATCAGTCTGATGCCACAGGAACAAAAAATGAGCCAACGGAGCAGAGGAAAGCTGTATGGCGAGGAAAGAAGAAGAGGAGAGAGAAAATTCTGGGGTATTTATGATCCAGGGAGAGACTATGAAGGAAATGGCTTTAAATTGGAGGACGTGACTGCTCAGGTGGACGTAACAGTCGTCAATATCATTTCAACTTAAACCCCAAACACGACATTTCCTCGCAAACAACATTATATAAAATGCATGGCTACCGTACTGCTAAACTCGTATGTGCAATAACTCTTAGATTCTTGCAGAAAGCTCAATGGAAACAAAAGTCCAGTATTAGAAGCAGTCGAGGTCTACCTCATATATATTCACGAGGAGGAATTCAGGAATTCGAGACACTCAAAACAATTAGTAAAAAACCCTGGCTTTACCAACAAAAGGCAAAGTGGATATTATTTCAAGGCCTGGACTATCAATCATTATTCAAAATTGTGACATGTAAGAAACGGTGCGGTGCATGATGCTCTTAATAAACTAGCATTTATACATAAGGCACCTGGATATAAATGTGACAGACTTGCAAGAGAGTTAGTCATTTCATAAAGCTACGATTGGCAAGACGTGGTTTTCGAAGTATAGAAACAATAGACTATTACGTCAAGGGATTCTGTCGAATGCAAAAATTCTTGAATCTTCATGTAATTTTGATTGCGTGAGGTAGAGAGTATGAGGTTGGGTTAGGAGAGGAAGAAAGAAAAGGAATAGCCAGGATTAATGAGGAAATAACATTTACTCCTGGGCGTAAGCCTCAGCACCACCCTCTGCCTCAGCAGCCTGCTGCTCGGCCAGGCGCTGCTGCTCAGCGAGCTGCTGGGCGGCAACAGCCTTGGCACCGTAGTCCTGGCTCATGGGCTGGAGGACGGGCTGCTCCTCCTTGGGCTCAATGATGGTGACAGAGTCGGGGAGGGTCTTCTGGGGACCAGACTTGCCCTCGGGGTCGGAGCCGCGCATGATCTTGACCTTGATACCAAGGACACCCTGGCGGAGGAGGACGTGACGAGTGGCGTGGTCAATGAACTCCTTGGCGGGCTGACCGGAGTGGATCATGAAACCATCCTGTTGATTCAAATTAGTAACATATTCCCATGGCATGGAGTTCTTCGAAGAGGCGCATTTGCGAGGGAAAAACCGCGCGTTGGATTCAACACAATCTGATCGGTCGAAAGCCCAAACCCAACACGCAGCATTTCCTTTGTATATCCTCTCGTTATCGATGTAGACGTACAGTGAACTTCATGGACTTGGCACGGGCAGCGCGGAGCTTTCCGGACACAACAACCTCACAACCCTTAGCACCGCTCTCCATGATGAAGCGGAGGACACCGTAACAGGCACGACGGACGGCAAGACCGTTCAGGAGCTTGTAGCGGAGGGACTCGCACTGAGCGACAGCGGAGAGACCGCGGTTCTGGACCTTGGCGGCATAGAGGGAGACGGAGTTCTCGGGGAACTTGAAACGCTTCTGGATGAGGGAGGTGAGCTCGCGGATGCGGCGACCCTGCTCACCGAGGACCTCCTGGGTGTGGGTGGCACGGACAACTGTAGGAAAGAGCATCCGTTAGCATTGGATCCCATTTTCGACTGAAATATGCCCCCAAAGTTGTGATCTTTAAATTTTTCAATGTCGCCAATTCCCGATGTTCCGTGCTCTTGCAGATCTCTCAAATTCCATCCAGTATCCATCACACAGTAGGGAAAATCGAAGGGCGAACGTACTGATGTCGGTGACGGTGGGAGTAACACGGACTTCGACACCGGAGTAACCCTCCTCAGCCAACTCGCGCTGGAAGAACTCGTTCAACTCGGCGTAGAAGACACCGTCGGCGACGAACTTCCGACGCTTGGAAATAGCTCCCTGGACAGCGGCCATATTTGCGTTCCTGGTTGGTGGAATTGGGGTTGTCGACGAGGTGGAGGGCGTGGTCGAGGTCGAGAGTTGGTCGCTCGGTTGCGAGTTTCAATTAGTGGGGATTTTTTGGGCGTAGGGCTTCCATTACCCCTTTAGGCTAGGGCTCAACCCTCGCTTACCTTTACAGCACAGAGTATAGCACATATTAGGTCTAGCGTAGACACCTTATCCAACGGGTGTCAAGTTCATTACAAATTCAGGCACGAAGGCATCGATGACGTAAATGTTCAATGCTCATAGAATCAGAGGAAAACAGACACCATTTGCGTCCTGTATCTTGAAAATATGACTTCTCAATGATTATCGATATCTCTCACTGGGTATGCTTGAATGTTCCATAACTCTTCCGCAAGTAAATAAAATCTTAGATGTCCAACCCTTCTTATTGCATCTCGACTTCCATTTCTTTCTTCTGGTTTGCCTCTCCTTTGGGTCCAGATTGGCTGTTTTTGAGGATTGCAAGGCTGGATATTCCTGAGGTAACTGCTGCTAATCCCGAAGCTGCAACGTTGGAAACATTAGCGCCAGATGTTTCAGTAGCCGCCGTTTCCTGTGCGGTCTCAACGGCAGTCAAGACAGGAGTCCTGTTTGCACCAGGGCTACCAGAGCCACTCGTCGTCGATGCATCAAAAGTTCGGGGGGCATTCATTTCTGTATCTGCTCGACCGAATGACTCGGCCCACCAGCGTGTTTCACTTGGACGAGGGAAGAGCAGCCGTTCTTTGCCACGCTTATGATCGTCCACTTCGGGATCATACTGTGGGTTGATGAATTGTTCTCTCCGGGCCAGGAACCAATCCCACACGCTGCGCGTCCGCTCTTTGGCTTTTGTATCCATCCGCTCTTTCTCACTGTTGAACAAAAATGTTCCAAATTGACAAGAATATAGATGATATAGCAGGCGGCGGAGGAAGCGCTCGTTAAATTCAAAGCGGGTTGGGTATTGGTGCAACAGCTGGTATGTTGCATCAAGGAACTGATGGAAAACAGGGCTTGTTTCTTTCACTTTGGTAACTTCCTTCTCGGACACAACAGAACGTGGAGCTGGGCTGGGTTTTTTGTTTGGCGTATCAGAATCATAACTCAGCATCTCCCCTTCGGACTCTTGTAACGAGTCACGGCTGTTGTTGTCTCGGCCAAAGAAGCCTTTGGCGCTACGGAGGGCATTCTCAAGGGCCAGCCCTGCACCGCTGCTTTCAAATCCACGGTTGTTGTCACCACCGATTCTCTCATTTTCAATCTGGAACCATTTTTCACTGTTCAAATGGCCAGACCGATGCCGGAACATGTGTCCGAATGAAAGCCAGTCTTTCTCCACCAGAACCATGAATCCTTCTAAGGTGCGGAAGTATGGGTCTAGGCAGACCTGGCTGAGGGCACTGAGTTGGCTTGTTCTGTCCCATCCATCGGAGCAGTGAATCAAGACATGGGAATGCTGGAGGCCAACTTGACGGGTGATTACCTTCGCCCCCTCCAAAATGCCAGCAATATGCTTCAACCACCCGCTTCGGGCCAGTTGGTCCCGGTTAGGACCAAGGGGAGTGACGTCGGTGTCTTTCAGGGCATCGACAACCTTGTTCAAAGAATCACGCATAACATGGATGTTGTCAATGCCAAGATACACTTTGGTGGCAAACTTGTAGTTGTCCATGTTCTCAGATCCCATCCCAACGGCTTGCATTGCAAGTGCATTCACTGTGGGTCGCGCGTCAACGATGAGGTTTTGTTGCTGGGCACCATATATCAAGCGCTGATCTTCAGGGTCTGCACGAGCAGCAGCCAGCATATCATTTTTGATCTCCTCGGCATTTGATAGGTCAGGGCCTGTGTCATTCCACTCCGAGCTACCATTGCTGGAATCTGATTGTTCGTTCTCTAGAGTGGAGTGAGCAAAGCTAGCCAAAGGTCGTTCTGATCGAGAAGTTGAGAAGATAGTGGCAAGTAGCTTTTCATCCTGGATGCTGCGATTCTGGCGTACACCAACAAGGGGTTGCGAACTTCTAGTAATGGTGCAGTTGTTCACTGGGTGGAAGTATGTGAGTGCGGGGATTCTGGCTCTGGAACGGTATCGGCTGGCATAATTGATTGTATTGTCGGATATAGATGAGGGTACAGCAATCAGCGCGGGGTATGTAGGAGAGAACTGAGACTTTGTTAGCAAATTTAGCAGTTCCTCCTCGGCAAAGCACATACACCATAGTCAGTATTAATGTCGGATATTCGCCAACCAGAGTTCTCCTTTAAGATACCCTGACGCGTCCACTCTTTCCGGGGATTGTATAACTCCCACCCATTGAACTCCTTCTCTACAGGCGGCGGCTGGTAGGTAAAAGCGTAGAGCTTATCCAGCCGACCAGACTTGCATGTCCATTGTTTGATGCTTTCAAATACCTCACGTGCCTTGTGTTCGTTGGTAAAGTAGAAGCAGACAAACGTAAAATCACGGCAGCGAAGACGGATAGAAGATAGTTGGCGGGAGGCCGCGGGAACTAGTCGCAGGGTACCGAAAGCAATGATTGGATAGGTAATCCAAAGCTCTTTTGGTCTGACCGTCACACCCTTGGCCTGGTCGTCACTGGAGAGGGGCGGGAAATGTGAAAAGATAAGGTGGTGAGGGGTTAAGTGAAGGGTGCCGTCAACTTGGTCACCGCGGCGAGCCAAGGTTACATTGTCAACCTTCAACATGAACAGCAGTGAGTTAGGTGTTAAGGTAATAATTGTATGTAGTGGGAACTGACCTTAGCAATCTGTGTTCTGTCCATGCCGGGAGCGGTGAATCCACTATACACACATGATCTTCATAATGGAGGGGATCAACAGCTCTAGACAGTAAGCACCACACGCTGGTTGGTGATGCTGGGGGGTGTGAAGATGTTAGCGTCAGAAACGCGATGTGTTTTCTAGGATTGAAGTCGCAAATGAAAACGAAAAGCGTGTCGGGCAGGGACAGCCGATGGTTGGGGAGGAAGAGTTACACATTAAGGTGAGGCCTCGGGTCCCCGACACCCGGTGGGGCTGAAATCTCCGGGGGTTCAGTCACGTTCTATCCAACACCACTATTATATTTCCAAGCGTAGAATAACACTTTGAATTTCTACTATTCTACATATTACGTCTGCACCTGGTGTATACATTAGATAATAGGTATTAGACGTTTTCACATCATTCTGATAATTTGAAGATTGTACATCTCGAGTGCCCTAAATCAATATGGCCTGAATGTGTAATACAATGCAGAAGATATACCTCAAGCTTCGATACTATGTATATTTGAGGATCTGGGTCTAACTTCTGGGCATTCCATTCTGCTTTGATGCGATCATTCCCAGATTGAAGCTCTCGTGGTTCTATTCTGTTGATGCGAATTCCCAGCTGCGTAGATCCTCTCGCACATCGAATTCAGACAGCTCATGCTCAGCATTCCGGCTCTTCCAGCTTTGTCCTTTCCCGTCATATAGATGATAATCAAGGTCCCTGCCCTTCTGTGAAGTGCCAAGGGTGGAAAGAGAGTCTGGAGTCTTCCCACTGCCGTGTGAGTGGTTGCTGGTAGAGCTCTTGGGCCGCCGTTCAAAGCTGGGGGAAAGCCCTTTCCCTGAGCGGGTCTGTCGTTCAGCTGCTTCCACACTGAGAAAGGCACTTGTATGGCTTTCTCCTGTTTCGGAGGCATTATGGGCATCATTGTTCCAGCAGGAACTTCCAGCGAATAGTTCCTCAATCAGCTTGTCAGCTGGTAAGTCGCATGCTCGGGACATCCATGACGCGGCCAGGGTGCGCCGGTACATGTCTTGCATATCTGCCACCTCATTTGATTTGGTGTTCATTGACGGTAGGTGACCTGGTTCGTCTGAGTCCCCTGGCTCCGCAGCATGCACGACCCGAGCAATGCCCCCAAATACGGTGGCGGATTTCAAAGGTGGCCTGGTCACATTAGCGTTTAGAAAATAATAGCTCATTGCGGAAGACACACGTTGTGAAGTTGTGATCTCCCTCTTGTTGGTGCATAGCAATGCCAATCTTGACTGTGCTGTTGACTTTACTGTCAAACATCAGGTATCTCCTGACCACGCCTTCATCGTCGTCGGCCTTGTCCACATATTCTGAAAGGTTGAGCTTGATTTTTCCGAGCACATTCTTTTCATTGGATGGCGAAGAGTGAAACTCTTGAATGACTTCGAAGTTGATATCACACTCCTGCAGCATAGAATTCCTGTCGATGGTGATCCTCACAAGAGACTTCTTCTCATAGTTCCAGGACGCACGGTGGTCCGCAAGAGGCGCCTTCTCGGTGTGACCCTGGCTTTCTGTGGCACCGCTTGATGATGGAAGACGCCATTTTACCCACGCAGTGCCATTTCCTAAGGGAACATTGTTGATGTCAATGATCTCGTGGCATGTCAGTATAAGGACGCGTAAAGTTGAAACAGATGAAAATACCCTCAAAACAAGTTCAAACCGGGGCTAAAGGTACGTGTCAGTCTGTGCTTGGCACTTGCTCTAAGTGAAGCTTCCAAAGACTTACCCTTCTGTTCTTCGGGACTATATTCCACAACATGGTCAGTTTGTCTCTTCATAACACATCAAATAAGTGGAGGAAGGAATTCAAAAGGAAAACCAACCGAAGGCCTGCATAATTGCTCAATGTATGCAAACAAGCCCAAAGCACCCTATTGGTGAGATGATGTTCCAGTTGGAGACCTTATCGCCCAAAGCCGGCGACAAGGATGCAGCAGCGTCCACTTAGGACCTGCCTAAGATTGTGAGCTTAATAATATTGGAAGGATCCTATGAACTCATGAACTTTGGGCATCTGGAAGTCCATGGAGATCTGCTCCCCCGCATACGTCGTCGATAAAGGCGGTAAGAAGATGTTCGTGGCAGAATTTCCAGGGCCGCGGAAGCTTGGCCGCCTGCTTCTACTTCGCACCCTTCCTACCCCACGCAAGAGACTGCGGCTAACTTTTCCCGAAAATTCTCCCAATTGTGATAACATCATCTTTCGACTATGCTTGAAACGGAAGATTCTCTTCTTTCTCCACCATCTGAGGCTGTCTCCACTGTTCCGCTTGATGCATCCCTACGCACCACTCCAATCCACCCCGATCTTCCTGAAATCCAAGTACCAGGAGAACCACTTCCAGCCTATCGCTATCATCCAGTCACTTGTCAGCCAATTGATGAGCAAGATGTGAAAGCCGAGCTGGAACAGCTGCGTCAAGAATTCCCAACTCGTGAGAAAGCCTTGAGAGCGCAAGAACAGGCCGCTAAGGAAGTGAAAAGAAAAATCGAGGAAACTGAGAAGAAGAGAGAACAAGTCCAGAGAGCAATGGACAAGAAAATCAAAGAGCGGGATACAGAGCTTAAAGTTGTTTCCAAATACCACCAAGCGAAGGCTGCCGACATACCATCTTGAAGCAGGCAACCCGGACACACTTTACCAGCTACGTTTTCGACAATTGCAAAGCCAACCAGGGGGTCATAAATGAGAAGACGACGCCGATTTGGGTCAAAAGCCACGGCTCTGCTCTAATGGGATCATATATGCTTGCGCATATCGAGATCGACATTCGACCCATACCTAGTCCCATAGACCCAGCCTTGAAGGTCCTCTGCTACTCCAGCCTGGAAAAGGCCATGGCTCTTCAAAAACTCCCCTCCCCCGGAATGGAGTCGAAAATTTGCCTTACGGGCCATGCGCGGCATTCGAAGTAATCCGGAATTGACTTCGATCATTCTCGCAGCAATGGCCATCAATGATCATCATTCATAGGGAAAAATTCTAAATTGGACAATTACCATACATGAAGTGCCAGTGCTTGATCTCTTCACCTTCGTGTACAGGCATTAATGTCATTTTTATGACATTCCTCCAAAAAAGGGTGCGCAACCCAGACCAGTGGAGAAATGCCAGTTATCTCAAGATGAATTCTGCATGTACACCCGTTGCTAGATCACACCTGGTTTCGAATCAAGCACAACTCTGATTCCACTACTTTCTTTAATTTACCCCAATCGCATCTGATATACCTACCATTTTGACTAAATTTCAAGATTTCGCCCAACACGTTCAGATGGACGTACATGTCGCAATACTTCTTTCCATTATTAAGCTGTGTTAGACGTGCTTAGACATTATTCATCAGTCACTGTGAATGGCACGTTCTTAATCCCCCAGCCCTACATCTTACAGCGAATTCAACAACTCTGTGACCAGAGGGAGAATCTAGAAATTGAGTTGGCAAGCATCCTAATCATATCAGATAATTGACTTACATCGGCAGCATCCTCAATCAACAGTTGTGTCTCGTTGATAAACTTCTTGGTGAGAAGATCGTCCGCATTGTTGAGCAATCCGCCAACCTGGCCCAGAAGCTTGGGCGTGATAACAGGTGCAATACCATCAATCAACACAGCAGTCTTGTCGACGAAATCGGGGTTAAGTAGTGTTGTACCGTTACCCAGCAACCGAGACACATTTTGCAACAGCCCTGGTGTCAGAACTGGCCCAAGCATATTCAGAAGATTGATCAGCTCCTTAGTAGTCTTCTCGGTCAGGAGGCTCTTTGCATTCAAGAGCAGCGCGTTCACTTCCTTGAGAAGATCGGGGGTGATGTATGGCGCGACTGTGCCAATCAGTCCCTTGGTCTCGTTGACGAAGTCGGGCGACAGTAGCTTGTTGCCGTTAGAGAGCAAGGAGTTAACTTCCTTTAAGAGCTCGGGAGTAATGACTGGCGCCACAGTGCCGATCAATGACTTGGTCTCTTCAATGAAGTCAGGCGAAAGCAAATCATTGCCGTTCGACAGTAGGGAGTTCACCTCCTTCAGTAACTCGGAGGTAATGACCGGTGCCACAAATCCAATCAACGACTTGGTCTCGTCGACAAACTGGGGAGTGAGAAGGTTGTTACCGTTGCTTAACAAGCTGTTGACTTCTTGAAGCAGCTCTGGTTTGATGACTGGCGCGACTGTGGAGATCAACTTCTGCAGTTCGGACGTGGTTTCTGGAGTCAGAAGTTTGTTGGCATTATCGAGCAGACTGCTGGCTTCCTTCAGAAGCTGGGGCGAGAGTTCAGGAAGCAGTTGCTTAAGATTCTGAACCACTTCGGGCGTCAGGAGATCGCTAGCACTGTCCAGCAGTCTCTCCAGCTTATTTATAAGGCTGCTTGTGAGAAGTCCAGAAGCAGTGTTGATCAGATTCTTGGTGTTTGTGGTTGTCTGGTCATCAAGCAACCAAGCAACATGATGGAAGAACGACTCAATATCTTCTAGCAAAGTCGGAGAGAGAAGACCCTTCAAGCCATCCATGAAACTGCCGAAGTCACTCCAGGAACTGAGCAGGGTAGTATTGTCCTCATCACCGTTATACGTGCTCGTGCTGCTTGCAGCAGTGCCGGTTTGGGTCACAGTTTCAGTCTCCGTGGTGGGTGTACCGGAAGGCTTTGATCCAGGTGTCTTTGTGTTCTGAGCAGTCTGCGCACCAGCGTCAGAGGCAGAAGGAGCAGTGTTGCTGACGCTCACAGGGTCATTGTTGGTCCCAACAGAACTGGTGCCAGCAAGGCAAAGGACACTTGGGTAAGGTGTGTGTTGCGATGGCGCGGTACTTGGGCTGTCGGTAGTCTCGTTGGTGTTCTCTTCTCGGTTCCCAGCTCCGGAGGGACTAGCTGTGGCAGCAGCGTCGGTTGTTTCTGTGTACGCCGATGGAGTAGGGGCAGTGTTGGCGGCAGCATGAGAATTGGCGATAGCGGGAGCGTCCGATACAGCATCAGCATTATCGTTCTGATGGGCGATAGACTGTGTCTCAGCATCTGCCTGGATTTCCGGCGATGTCTGGTTGGCAAGTCCAGTTAGGGCTGTGTTCGACAACACAAGAGTTTATTGCTGAGAAACGCATCTTGAGCAGCTGCTTCTACTCCTAGGATACTGGTCGGTAGTAACTCGCACAGTATCAATCAGTCTCATCGTGCATGGAGATCCTTCGCCCCTTTTCTGCTTTCTTTCCCCAGATCTACTTCATGGCTTGAGCCGAGGACGTCAATACTCCACATGTGAGTTGATCGGGCTCTATATGTGCCGTGTTTCTCTCTGATGTCAGTTCTGAGAGTGTTTGGACCCTTTCTAGCGGGCTAAAAACCTATTTTGTCCAGGGAATTATGGATCTATAGTTCGTGATGGGTCTCAGGGTCTTGGGACGGGACAATGAAGATCGGAGATGCCCATGTACATGGAAATCGGCATGTAACCATAGCTTTAGTCTGTAAGATTCTGTCCTTCGCTTAGCACAAGCAGCCAGGGGTTCGGGGCCTTTGAGCTGCTGATCTTGGTTTGGGTCTGTGCCAAAGCGCATTATTTCGTATAATCTTATCTTTCGAATATAGGGACATTCCATCGTAAGAAGATCGGCTCATGTACAAAGGCACAGGCATACGGACTCCGGTACTCTTAAATTTCAATTCGTTTGAATACCTTCCACCAGATCATGATCTAAATTCAAGGACTCCATAGTCGGGTGGCGGCATGATGGAATCTGGTCTAACCCAAAGCTAGTTACTTTATGCGGTGGACCCTGCATAAAATCCAGGTCCCAAAGGGAAGGATGTAATACCTATAGCGGAACATGAATTCTCTACGGAGTAGATATCGTTTTGTTCCACAGTGGGTCTGCGCTAGTGTAATGACGATCGACATCGCAGGTTCGCGTAAAGAAAAGTCGGGGTTCATTTATAGCCGATGCCCGGAAGACATTCTGGACAATTATTCGAAAATTCCATATGATATAACAGAATGAACATCAACTATCTGTCTCTATGTGTTCGGGTGGGCCTGATATATGAAGCCATCTCATCAAGGTTCCAAGGTGCGAGGGCCGATCACTGTCTCTTACCTACTACTTTTATCACAATTCGAGTCACAGCAAACATGTACTTAGCTTTCATGAGGAACAGCCGTCAAAGTTCAGTTGAACCGCATTCGGTACAACAGACTATTGGGAAGTACAAAACCTCAACGGGGACTTTTCCAAAAGTAATTTGGTCGAGTAAAAAATGGTTCCTGGGGGCTCAGGAAGTTTACACAGATAGATACAACCTGTTTTTTGCTATTCTACCTAGTTTGCCACTTTCCTTAGGTATTGAATTGCCTCTCGCTAATCATATCTGCGATTACCCTGGATTCGGATGGTATAGTGGGACTCACTGGTACTCGGTATGGGACAGGAAGAGCTTTAATTGTGGTTTATTTCTTCAATAGCAAAACAGGACGTATATGTCGTCACACGCATAGACGAGGTTCGGGTAAACGTGCATGTGGAGGACTTATCTGAATACGGTTTTCAGCTTCGTCATTCTTCGTTAGCTACTACGTATTCGTCTGGATTGAGCGAGTGAGAGTATATCACTTGAATCATCTCGGGTAGAATATCAAAGTATGACGGCATCTTGTAAATAGAAGGAAATCATGAAACTTGAATGGATGGTTGGAATGAAATGACAAGCAAAATGCGAGTCTTGTCCATATCCTGCTATCTGTGATTGGTGAACTTCTTAAGTTCTGTATGCTAGATAATAGGAAGTATTTTGGGGGATCTGAAGAAGACATTCAGGGATAATGAAACTGCATTATACAGTAAGAAAGAAACAGGTAGCCCAAAGGATGTATATGCAGTTTGAGCAAGAGCATCAACTGATCCTGAAAGAGACGAATGGTGAATTTCTAGAGTGAGGCAATGAGAAGTTATTTTGACATCATGAGCTATTTACAGTCATTTACTATAGAATAGTATCACTTCAAAATGAGGCGTGAATAATAATTATGTACGGAGTACTAAGGCCGTTGTGGGTGGGTGCCTAAGAACCATTAGTTGAGCAAAATTTGAGAGATCCAAAACAATTCTTCACGGCATTTTCTAAGCTCTACTGAAGTACCTATGGATCTACTATTGACTTACGTGGTTTCAGATAGAAAGGTGGGTCACAGCCTCCAATATAGCCGCCCTAGGGGTTATATGTCGTAACCCAAGCGCTTCATCAAACATTTAACTTTGACTTAACTCCAGATGATCACTCAAACAATTCAAATATGTTACAATCAGCGGGGAAGATTATTTCCAAAAAAAAAAAAAAACGTCTGTTCTTAGTCCAGTTTTTATAAAGTATAAGATTTACCAACTCTCGTTGTCATGTTTGGAAAGGAAGATTCGGATCATGTCAACCCGACTTGATCCGAAAGAAACCATCAAACTCTCACTAAATGGTACGGATCTTTGATAACTCTCGAGTAAAGGATGAGATCACAAGGAGAAGGAATTCCAGTCTCATAACATATCGAGTTGAAGATATTGATGACGCGATGGCGTTGTTCTAGACCACTCGAATACTCCAGATGGCAAATTCCCTTCTGGTACATTTACATGAAAGGTCAAGGGTTCTGGAAACCAGCAGCTATGGAGTTAAGACCTTTATCCATATAGAGCGATCCTTGCAGTTCGTCACATATCCCATGCAAGACACTCCTCCACATGTCACACAAGCTATGCCAGCCATGTAAGAATCTACATCAAAGCGATCTATCACACGCGTTCAGGCCGTTTATGCAGTAAGTAACCCGTTGAGTTTAGTGCGAGGCATAAAACTTGATATCCTCCCGTGCTGTAAATTTGCTACCTATGGATGTGACTTCAAGTAATAATTACATGACTCGCCGAAAGTACAGTTGAAACATATCAATATCGAACTATTCCAAGATTTTTATCAGTTTCTTCAATGAGTTGGGCATCACTCCGAATGCTCTCTGACTATATTTGCCGGTACAGAAAAGACGGCTTGGTTTCAAAACTGCTATCGTTGGCCGGGCCATGAGTCATAGTATATAGACTATTGAATCTCACCCGACTGTCCTTCCGAGGAAACTATCTAGCCTGGTCTATAGTCAATAGTACTGAATGGCGTATAGTCTAGGCCTCCAGGGTCCAAGGTGCGACTAGGCCATGTGCATCAGCGTGGTTTGAGAAACAAGCATTTCAACTTACTGGATTGAAACGAAGACAATCTGGATTCAAACATTTGATGAAATTTGTGACTCGCTGCTATGCAAAGTGGCTATGATTATTGTCAGTTATGGGTTGGATGAATGCCAACAGTATAAGGCACCGCCACAGTTCCGTATAGCCGGTGGCGAGTGACGTGGCGCAGTGGCAGTGCAGATCAACAAACTCCTATTTTAAGAAAACAAAACACCAAACACCGCCATATCCGAGATTTGCAGCAAAAGCAGGGAAATTTCATGAGCAACCGACTCCATAGCCGATGATATCCATCCGGCACAGAGTATCCCGTACAGAATGATCAAGTGGTCCATGGAGAGCATACGTTGGAAATATGTACCCCCCTTGCGATATTCAAGACCACATGACCGAAATCGTATGCCGCCAGGCTCCAGGGTTCTTAGATTGTCGAGCGCTGATTGAACGGGAGAAGCCTCATGGCTGCATGGAAGGAGGGTAGTTGCTGTAGAATGAGATCACAATCATGTGGTCCTCACACAAGAGTGCTGAAGAACCAACAAAACCGGTATTGTTACCGCTTTGGAAGCCAGGCGCCTCTAAAGTCAATGACCGGTCATGTATCAGCCCAATCGCAGATCGGAACAGGGATCTCAGCTGGTAGTGCAGCGGCCGGGCTCGGTCATGACCGACGAATCCGAGACCAGAAGCGGCCCAAGACCAACTTGCCCCACGTCTGCTCGACCCTCCATCAGCTGAGGTGGTCCACCATTCGACTCATCTCAAAAGACTCGAGAAAAATTCCATTGTTACCTCCTTTATTTTGGGTTGCAAATTTACTTTTCCCCTTTGGACTAATTCTAGTATTGATATATGAAACATGGGAAGTTGAGGGGGAACGTGGGAGAGATATGTGCGATCTGAGCTAGAGATCATTCTGGTTAGGGTTTGTGGAGTAATAATTAGCGGCATAGGGAAGCGCTCAAGGAGTTCAGTTCCATGGTTACTTCTTGATTTTGTCCACATAAACTTCCCCATCGCACAGTTATTTTTGGGAGATTCCATGAGAATGAATATCCTAGCCCTCAGCTGGGTGTATGTGAATTATCGTAGAATGCAAGCCGAAAGGCTATCCTCTTTGGATTCCTGGTCTTTTTTTTATGTATTTTTTTATGGGCTTCTGGACTCGGGAGATTTTCTCGTACAGTGTTTCGCAGTGCGGATCATCGGGGCTTAGCCTTTGCAGTTTGGGGCATCTTGCAGATGGCTCTGACCAAATGGACGTGCAACGCGTAGACCGTGAGACTGGGAAATCCTGTGCGATTCAGTATCAAAGTTTGGTAATTTTACTTCTCAACAGTTCTATAATCAAGTTGATTCGATTCGAACTTGAAATAACTGATTAGTTTCATGCAGCATATCTTTGCCACCTGCAACTCCGTTTGGATGCAGATCGGGGAGTCCGTGTGGTTCCATTACTTGTATCATATACCGACTCCATTAGGCTGCATACAGCAAAAAAGCCCTAGCCTTAATGCACTTCTATATAGAGAATTTAAATCTCCACTAGACTTCCGTTATGGATCCCGCCCCTCCGATTTTCTTCTTATGTGGTAATCGTCCATCCTTTTTTTTCTTTCTATAAACATTCACCCTTTACGTTCCCTTCAATATTTCTATTTCATTCCTTTTACTTTCAACCGCGCATTCGCCCGCACTTTAATAGTAACGCAACCTTTTATTTGCCAGGAAACTTGCAGATGCGATCGATCTAAAGCGAGTCCTCCACACGTTACCCCGTCATAGTCACGGATCCAGATTCAGATCCAGCTCAACAAACCTCGTGTTTACTGTGTGGGCGAATGTCGCCTTGATGATTTTGGTCTTTGATTATCTTTTACATTCTTTTATATTCCTTGTCAACGCCGGTCGTATCCTTCGCACAGAGTCATAATGCCAACAATCTTACTGCCATCATCAGCCGCCGCTTTTGCGCCGCGATCCTCCCCGAATGTGGTGTTGAATACCAAGGTGGCACCATGGTTGACGGCTACTTTGAAACGAGTCAATCGTGTCAAGCGTCCTTTGAATAATGTCACCCAACACACCCGGTGCCTGACGGAGACTTTGTCATCAAAGAATGCGATTTGGACCCTGTGTTCCATGATGTTCACCAAGGCCCCCGAGGCGGAGCTGCGGAAGGACGAGAATCCACTTGTGGAAGGTCTATTCAATTATCAGATGATCCACATTGAGGCCTACGTCGTTCACGTCGACATGGTCTCCCGGAACGAGGTCGCATTCAAACTAACCCCGGAGACGATTGAAGCCCTGGTGGATTATCATCAAGACGTCTACTCGGTGGATGCGGCCGCCAACACGTGGGACTGGTCCGGAAAGCAGAGCCAGCTGAAGAAGTTACAGGAGGAGTTTGTCCAAGCTGCTAACAGATTCGTGTACCGTACTGATGCCGAAGCCCTGGAGGGACTAGAGGAAGATGGTGCCGGAGACCTAATGTGTGGGCGAGGCGAAGACGCCAAGCAGGCCATCGCGAATCTATTCGTGCCCCTGCTACCACCTCCACCACGGGTGGTGGATGTGATGCGCGCCGTCCCTCTCCTGCCTAGTTCGACCGGCCCGGAAGCCTGGTGGCACCCCATCCCACCGTCCGCGCAACTCGAGTCGTGGAAAGTACTGCCGCCCAGTCCAACCCCGGCCAACACGGATGATTCTAATCCGAATCTTTGGGCCAGTCTCAGTTTCAGTGATGCGCAGCTGCCATCACCGACCCCGTCCTACTGCCAGCCGTACACCACCGCCCCGTACCCGTACGACATGGTATCGACTTCGGCCGCCTTCGCGCCCCTCCCGCTCCCGAGTACGCTCGTGCAACCTTGCAGTACCATGGCGAACATGACAGGCTTCGGCTGGGGAGACTTCGCTCCGCTGCCCTACGGCATGACTATCTAATAGGGCCTCCCATTACGCTTCGGCTCGATGGTGTACTTCCCTCTCTCCTTCCTATCGGTGACACCTGCGCGAGCCCCCGGGTCGCCACGCCTGATTTCCCCTGAACGTAGATCGTTCAAGTCAGACCTCCCTCGTGCGACCTCGGACTTATCCGACAATCCTTGTAGGATCCTACAGGATCGCATCCCAACTTCTGAATAATTGGCATTCTTGACGGCGTTCTTCGAACTGTGTGCATCTGTGATACTCCCCCTCGTTGCCATTGCATAACCAGAATAATCCTTTTGGCATCTGCGTTTTGTACCTGAATTTCTTGCGTTTCTGTTAATCAGCCAGCGTCAGCGTTTTTACTTTTGCAGCTTTCTTTTTTTGCATCGAGAAGCGGCGGGTCGGCTCTTGTGTGTTATTTTCTCTTTTCACCATGTCCCATATATATGTCATGAAGACCAGGAAGCCTCGCGGCAACGGGATATGAATTCGGATGTGGAATTGTCCACTTATGTCTTTTTATTGGCGCGGCTCGATGGTGATCAGCGGAGCTGCATCGTTGACTGGATTGACGTTTGTTATTCTGTTCGGTTCCCATCGAAGACACTCCTTTCTAGTACTGGATACTGGACCGGCAACCTGCTCTTGATTGGGACGGTTGGAGGACATGTCTACGCGTCAGGGTGTTTCCAGCATTTGACATGCTGGATCCGTTCACCCCTTCTTTTCTCGCTTGTCGTGGTCTATGGTGTTCTTGATCAAGCGAAGAGAAAACCGGACCCTGTCTTCGCCTTAGTTAGGCCCGAGTGTTTGCCTGTGGCGAACAACGGGCGCGAAAGGATGTGAATGGATTTAAACCTTCTAGGTCTGTGACCTGAAGTATTCTATATCCTGCCTTTGCGACAGCCTAGCAGGTCCGGTGTTCAATTTTCTTCGATCTCACCATCATATCACCATGGCTCGCACTCTATTGGGGGTAACCCCTATATCATCCAGGCTGGGCTTTTAGCATTACTGGATTAAGTCGGATGTCAGGAGTTCAGTCACTGGTGATCGAGCTTTTTCATTTTTTCCTGACACCGAGATTGGGATGCCGGTTTTCATTCCTTTGTCACGTCTGAGAGGCAAGACCTCCCACGCTGGCTGTCTCTTCTCTTGTCTTTCATGTCAATCTGTTACCTAAACCCCAATTTGTATGTATCTTTTAGAGTAAATTCTTTGAAAGGTGCATACTACCACAAAAGCGCGGTTCCTTTTGCGCTCTTTTAGTAAGATACTTGGATCTTGGTAAATTAGACTGTAGATTATTGAATCAAAATAAGAGACACATTTGATCTGATTTCAAGCGGAACAAATTCCGGTATTCTGTGTCGAGAACACGAAACTAATTAAAGTAGGTATCTTGTAAATTGTGCTCCACTTGATCCCCGCGTGTATGACGTCAGCAATACCGAACAGGCAACGGCTATCAAGGCCGTAACAGTTCTCACCCTCCGGATTGATTCCTGACACAGTGGCCAAATAATGTCACATCGTTGTTGAATTGGCACTTTTGTTGAAATTGAGAATCTTCGGTCGTGGCTTACATCTTGTCAGAACCTGCACATTCCCATCCCTCCGGTGCATTTGTCAGTTGCATTTGGTTGTCCATTTCCTTGCATTGATTGACGACCTCCGAGCACCAAAGCTCTGACTGAAGACAAATAAAACCCTCCTTGGAAAACAGTATGTATTCTTCTTATTTCACAGCTGGGCGACGTGTTCCAGATACCTACGTGTCTCCACGTCTAGCCCCAGCATCAGGCGATTAGCTCCTGGCTTGCAGATCTTTCGCACGCGCAACTGACACTTCGATGAAATATCCAGTTCCATAGCATCCTTATCCCTCATATCTATCAATCCGGACAACCCGAACCTCTTCCTCCATGGCCACCTTACACGATGCGCTCCAATGTCTCAAGCCGACGTCATGGGATGCCGTCCCCCAAGACCCCGATGAACTCCGCGACTATATCCGCGATATCTTCCGTCACGGTCGTTTGGTAGCGGAGTCACTTCCAGACCCTCCACCTTACGGGAACGAAGAAAACAATGATTCGGCACCATCATCCACTCCCCACGTCATTCCGTCATCGGCCCGAGTCGGAGAGACAGACCCGGACATCCTGCTTCTACAAAAGCAATGGGGCAAGCCAATCAAGATGGGTGGCCCGAAAGATAATCCTCTCGGTGTGCACGTATGGAAGCTCTCCGCCCATGACGGAGGGGGTTCGTGGTTCGGAAGACGAAGCGTGCACGAGGGTATGTCATTTACACGATGGCAGGAGAAGATGTCATCAGAGTACGATGAGACCTTGAAGGTGAACATGAAGAAGATTGAGAAGGGTCAAACACCCGACAAGAGCATCCGTGGTATTGGAGCGGAGCGAAAGGTCGAGGTAGTGGAGGTGAAGGATGAGGATGGCTCGGTGATTGCACATATTACCGTGTATCATGTTTCGGCACAGTTTCCGAAGCCTACAGCCCCGCGAGACTTTGTGACTATGATGATCACATCGGATGCTGGCTTGCGGATTGGTGGGACGAAGCAACCCGGGCGGAGTTGGATGATGATCTCTAAGCCTTGCGATCACCCTGATATACCGCATAGACATGGTTTTACTAGAGGCGAGTACGAGTCCGTTGAGCTTATACGTGAAATACCCAGGAAGGGTAGCTACAGCAGTAGCAGTAGCTCCTCCAGTGCGAAGAGTGTGACGAGTGCGAAGAAGAGTGACAATGAAACTACGGATAGCTCATCACAAGAGACCGATCCCGAATCAAACCCAGTTGAGTGGATCATGGTCACGAGGAGTGACCCAGGTGGCAGCATTCCACGGTGGATGGTGGATAAAGGCACCCCTAAAAGCGTGGGGGCAGATGCTGCCAAATTTGTCGATTGGGCTATTCAAAAAGACAAGCCCACAAAACGAGAGAAGGATCTACCAGGAGATAACGGTGTTGATAATCCCAAATCTCAAGGACCCAGGAACGAAGCCGACTACGATGATGACGGAAGCCAGTCTGACTCGGACTCAGACTCAGATCTCACAGACTCTGATGTTCATTCCCACCACGGACTAATCGCAAGTGTCACCGGCTTGGTCAACTCTGGGTTGGAAAGATATGCACCAGCAGTCTTTGACTACATCCCGCACCAACGCCAACCGTCCCGATCAGTCCCGGGCGCATTTGGTGATGACGAAACCGATGAAGCCGAAATCCGCAGCTCCAAGTCTTCCGGCACGAAAGCCGACGACGCCCTTTCAACTACGTCAAAGGAAATTGAACAATCCTCGATAACGTCAGGCCGCTCGAAAGCAGTGTCATCAGTAGTTGATGAGGTGGTGCATAGCAGCATCCCGCCGGTCGAATTAATGGAAATGACTAAGAACGGCAAACTCACTTCCCACGAGAAAGAACTTGCCAAGCTGGCTCTTCGCAAGCACGAAATCGAACTCAAACTCGACAAAATCCGCCTCGAGCTGGAGAATACCCACACGACTTCACAAAGCGGGCTCTTGACTCCCAAGGGCATCAACAATGACATAGATAGTGATACTAGCATGATGCTCAAACGTGCAACGGAGAACAGATCCGCAACGCCAAATAGCATTTCACAGCAAAGCCAGCGACAAAGCACTAGCAGTGAGGGCAAGGAACCGGTACAAACGCAGACTCCTACGCCTGAACCTCCGGCGTACTTAAACATGCACAAAGCGGCTGCGCACCTTCTAAATGAGGAAGCCAAGCTTCATAAGCAGCTGCGCAAGGTTGAGGCTAGTCAGCTGAAGGTTGCTTCGAAGATTGAAGCTCGGCAGCGGAAAGAAGCTGAGCGTTCGGAGAAAAAAGACGCCGAACGCTCGGAGAAGTCTAAGTCTCGGTCGGAGAAGCATAAGTCTCGATCTGAGGTTGAGAGTTTGCGGCTGGAAGTGAAGGACTTGAAAAAGGAGGTGAGCAGTTTACGTGCGGAGCGCCAGAAATGGGTTGATATTGTTGCTGCTTTGCAAGCCGAGAACACGAAATTGGTTGCGAAGAATGCGGTGGAAGACGGTACCTAATGGTCTGAGGTATACTTGGGACTTTTGATCATTTGTACATCACGTCAGATCTCTTCAGTTTCTGTTTATAGCGATGGAGTTTGATCAAAGCGGGCTCCAAAAATATTTGGGTACCAAGCATTCGGTTCATCATAAATTCTGCCAATTTAAGGCTGTAAACACAAATTTACTACACTCTGTAACATTCATTGTCTCATAAATTGAACTTTATTGTCTAATCCAGGATTTCGTCCTAATTCATGATCGAAAAGCATGCGCCACGGCAAAAGTCCATTGAGAAATTCCGCATATACAGATGGTCAGAGTTCCTAAAGAATCCGCGGATAGCCAGTAGGGGTGACATATCAGATGGGATACCTGGACCCTGATCACAGCTGTTATGGGCTTGAATGGCCCGCAATTCTCCAAAGTCGAGGCTTCCTTCACATAGTAACGGTATCCAAGCAGGCGAGGCCGAGTCTGCATTGATGGATCGTCATAATTAATGCGCAGGTCCCCAGTGAACAATTCATTTGCGAGGTATATTGAACAGTGGTATTGTGGTATTTGAATCGGGTATCATTTCAAGCCTCTAGGCGCATTCGCGAGCACTGAACATGTGCTTCCACAGTAGCTCTCAATCGAAGTGAGAACTGCAAGGCGGGTATCAGGTAACGGATATTTGGCATTGGGTATCGTAAAAAGTCATCTCAAACTTGTTACTCCTGCGTCTAGAATCCAGCAAAAAAGATCAGTAATCTGCTCCCATCTTCAAGGATAATCAAACGAGGCGCGTACCTCTGGAGGGTTTCCAGCGCCTCTGGCCATCTTTTCTAGCATAATAATTCGAGTCTTCTCTTTGGATTCACCCATTCCAACGGACATGTAAGAAAGAAGAGGGTTGTGACCGACGTAAGAGGCGCAGCTGTCACGGATGATGTTGGAGGTCCATTCGTACTTTGTGGTATCGGCGTGGCCAGTACCGATATAGCGGGCCTGGAGCGCCTCGAGGTTCTGGAGAGTGCGAAGTTTGTCGGCCATTTTGAATTGTGGAGGCTGTCTGGGGTTGTCGAGAGTGTAATGGGATTGTGAAGTTTGGAGGTTGAGATAAGTCATAAGGTCATGTGACCTTATATCGAAATCACGGTTTAGCCCACATCGTACGTTTTGAGCTCAAGGTGGTTCGGTCGGTTTGGTCGCATACTCTACGGGGTACATCTTGCCTTTCGCATATATGAGCATGTCTGAGTTAGCGCCGGAGGTGTCATTGCCGTCGCGGATAGCTTCTTTGGTACATGCTCATTTCGATGCATTGCCCACAAAGTGTAAACCAACTATTTTTCCCGATGGCTCTAAGGAGTGGATCCCGATGACCGGAATTGTAGCTGTCAAGGGTATGTGGTTTTTGGAAATCCAGAAGATGGTCTTGAAATAACAAGTCCTTCATCATAGGTCAAAATACATCTTCTGAAAGTCTTCATTGCATAACGGTCACGTAGGTTTACTTCCCGATCATATTTTTCATGATACTAACTGGTATATAGGAGTGGCGCAAAATGTTTATCAGCATCTCATATTCCAAGGTGTCGAGGTCTCGTTCTTCATGATTGCCATGCGGAGATTTTATCCATCCGTGCTTTCAACTACTGGCTCTTGACGGAATGTCATGGCTTAATGGCCGAGGAGCAGCTTGAGAATACCAAACCTTCTCCATCGCCATTCATTCGGAGAAGAGAATTACAATATGACTGCAACGATTCATCAACTGCGTCCATAGATTGGCCACCTTATGAGATTCAGCCCGATGTCAAACTATACATGTATTGCACCTGTGCTCCATGTGGCGATGGAAGCATGGAGCTATGCATGGCCGCTCAAGAAGATGCAACGCCATGGGAAGTGGTGCGGGAGACCCATCATACCTCAGGGGCACAGGAAGGACCTGCTACAATGGAGAACAGTCTCCTTGACGGCCGAGCTCATTTCTCCCTTCTGGGCGTTGTACGTCGCAAACCAGCACGCACAGACGCGGAGTCGACGCGCAGCAAATCCTGCTCGGACAAGCTCGCATTGAAGCAGGTTTCTTCATTAATATCCTGGCAGACTAGTCAGCTGGTTGCTCCAACACAGAATGCCTACCTGGCGGGACTTGTTCTTCCTGAAGACGAAATTAGTCAAATCGCGTGTGATAGGGCTTTTGGAGAGAATGGTCGAATGAAGGCTTTACGAGGACGCTCCTGGCCGTCTGGTACCCCAGGTCGAATCGGGTACCAATTCCATCCGTTCCAGATTCTGTCTGTGCCTGCCGAGGAAGTTCAGGCACTTTGGACGTTTGCGAAACCAAAATCGATTATTGCGGAATCGACAGACACTGTGGTCACTCCAAAAAAGAGTAAGCCGGGCAATGTCAGCGCGGTGTGGACCTTAGCTCCATCACATTCGCATACTTGCGCAGCGCTATCGGATACCGGCAGCAAGCAATTGCCCTCGCTCTTTAAATCCAGGACTGGCTTATATGAAAGCATTATTGGAGGGGTGAAGCAGGGTAACAAGCCATCCTCGCCTATTCCACGGGGTGCTTCAGCACTGTCTCGGGCGAAACTTTGGGCTCTCGCTTCAGACGCCATCAAACGAGGAGAACAGCAGATGAGTACGACCGCTGAGGCCCTTCCAGAAACATCCTTGCAAGAAAATTCAAATACCCACACGTATAAAAACATGAAGGAAGCTCGAAATAAGGTATCATGCCCCCTTCATATTCGTGAGGAAGCCATACGAGACGCTAGAGAGTCTCTGAAAGGATGGATACGAAACTTGGGAGATGAGAGCTGGGGACTAGATGTTTTGGTAGATCCTAAGAAGCGAAAACGCTGATGGTCACGGACCCTGGATATATAACGAGAATTATATTTCTAAAATTAATTGGCTTGGGTCAAAGACAGTCGTTTTGACTGTCTTTGTTCCAGCCCATGAGACATCACATTAAAAGGTTTTGTACAGAAGATGATTTTTTCAGAGACAATACACCAAGTCTATCAAGCCTGCCCATAATTAGTTTTGAGATAAGAAGAAACTCAAGAGATGACCCTTTAGTAAATGCCCGGAATGATTCGGCTGCGGACAAGCGAAGTATAACGCTTCCAGTCGGCACCATACTTCCTCTCGCACTTCTCCTCATCACGCATCTCACGATGAATCAACAGGACCGCAAAGTAGAGCATGTAGAAGTAAGTGAAGATCATTCCCCAGCCGCGAATCTCGGGGGTCTGCACAGCCTGCTTTTCCAGGTGACCACTTGCTGGGTTGATGGTCTCAATGATGGCATAGCCCGCAATACCAGTGGGCAGGCAGTAGGCCCACGACATGACCCAGTCACCCAGATAGTTGATATGCCGGGCAAGACCCCACCAACCGGAAGTCATCAGCTTCGATCCACTGGCGGTCTCGATGAATTTAATGTGCTTCACGCGGGGGTCATTAGGGTCAGTGCGGAATCGGTTCTTCTGGTTGTTGGCACCACGGAAGATTGAGTACCCTACGGCAGTAACACCCACGACAATCGCCATGCCAGACCAACCCAACTGGAGAGGGAAAACGGCAAGGTAGCGGCTCTGGATGCTATAAACGTGTGGGACCCAGACCACATCGCCAAAGGAGAGCATGAAGCCGAACCCATCCATAATCACATCCATAGTAGTCATGATGGCTGGCTCCATGTACAGGGAATCCAAGATGTAGAATGCCTGGAAGATGGTGACCAAGATGATCGAGTCGGTGACGTAGCCATAGGTGCGGTACTGGTGAGCTACGTTGGACAGGTTCAGGATAGTCCATCCAAGCAGACCTGGGCGCATCTCCATGAACACCTTGATGTCGATGGTGCGTGATTCCTCGCTGATAAATGGAATGGGCAAACGGATTCGGGGGTTAAGTTCGCGACCAATAAAGAAGTCATAAAGCACATTTCCTGTGTGGCCACCTGGAGCCAGTTCGCGCGAGTCGGGGTTGGCGCTACCGGGCTCGGGAACCGAAAAACTCTTCAGGTAGACAAAAAGAGCAACGACTGAGGAGATCAGAAGATTGGCGGTAATGACCTTCACGTAGTTGTCCCACAGGAAAGTCCACACCACGAAATCAGGTCCGTGCATATAGGTACCTGAGGCCAAACCTCCAAGGATAATGAGGGCAGAGGGGAATGCTGTTTCCGATAACTATTGTTAGCCTTCTATGTAATCATCAGGGGCAGCTCTGATCTTGCCATACCATTGAATTTGTACTTGTGTCTTCCTCCGCATGCCAATGGAACACCCTCCGCAATTTGACCAGGCAGGGAAATCTGCAAGAACAGGCTGAACGCGTAGTAACTCAGGGTCCACAGTGTCACCTCAGTATCGTAAAGGCCCGCAATGCCTTCCTTGGGCCACCCCACTTCACGTTTCAATTGATCGATAGACAGGGTTGATGGACGAAGCAATGAGGGTGCAGGACACCCAGACACGTCATTGCAGACGAAGGTGAAGACATAGACCAGTATCGGGAGACCAAAGACGATTCCGAAGGCACCTAGACTATATGAAATATGTCAATTTGAGCTCTCGCGATTATCAAGGAGTACCTACGGTCCACCAAATTCATAGCCACGCTTCTCAGGGACAGGCTGGCCTTGCGGCTTTGAGGACTTAGGAGCTTTTTTGGGAGCCATGTAAACTTTAATAGATCAAGAATGAATTGATCTACTGACAATGTTGTGGGAACAACGAATAAATAGGCGCGGATTAACAATGCGGTCCAAGTTTCCCGTACGATGTCGGATCCCGTGCTCCGGTTTCTCCGCAACCGCCAAGCAGTTGAAACCTGTGCTACGTAAGCGTGTTTCCTTTCTCCAAAACACCTACGCCTTTCATCCTTTCTACCCACAGAGCTGGACTCATCATCCTTTGAATAGACACTCCTTTTATCTGCAGGTCTTAGACTTGCCCTCCTATCAATCATGAAATTGACTAACTCCGCTCACTATTCTCTTCTCTTCTTATCATCCATTCTCGGACTTTCCTGCGCCGCAGGCTCCTCTCACTTGAACGATGAATCCACATGTGTGGCGCACTCGCCAACAAGTGGCCTCTATTACGATCTCAATTCAATCTCAGTATCCCCACCGCAAATGAAGAACGGCAAGAAAATATCGCAGGAGGATCGGGATGAAAGTTGGCTTGCCAAGGGGCATGACTACCCCGCAAACTTCACGCTGAATATATGCGCGCCAGTGATCGAGAACTTCACAGATGTGGTGGGCGTGCCATCTTCGCGATGGCAGAATATTAGCGCGTTCTACGAACAGCATGGAAAGATATATTCCTTAGGGTATGTTGATCCCTTGTCTGGTTCAAAAGTGTATCGCATACTGACTGTAATGTGTTCTTGATAGTGAACAAGCCTCTGATCCCTTTTTCCGTGGTCGCAAACTTGTTCTCAATTATACGAACGGCTCCCCATGTCCCGATGAGCTCAATGGCGCTTCTTTAAATGCGTCCCTCCGAACTAAGTCCACCCTGATGTCCTTCCTCTGTGACCGCGACGCTCCAGCAAACCAGGCAACTGCATCATTTGTCGGTACCATGGACTCTTGCGCCTACTACTTCGAGATTCGCAGTTCCGCTGCATGTGGTGGAATTGCCGTGGATCCCAACTCCGGCGGAATGGGGCCGGCTGGCGTATTCGGTGTCATGTAAGCTTCACTCCGAACTCTCCAATTGTCGAGCTTGAACAACCTAACATTTGAGTTTCTAGCATGCTCATCGCCGTTGCCGCCTATTTCATTGGTGGTTGTGCTTATCAAAGGACCGTCATGCACCAGCGTGGCTGGCGCCAATGCCCCAACTTCAGCTTGTGGGCTGGAATGCTTGACTTCATTAAGGTATGTCTCTTAGCTTTGGTTCCCTGTCGGTCTCGGAGGGTCAGATATAGCAATGTGGCCTCGCACCAGCACAAAAACTCCAGCCTGGCTGGATTGCCTGTTTCGCGTTTGGATTAAACATGTCCAGCTGGTCTGGAGCTCGATCGGATCAAGAAGAGTGCCTATATTTGATTGTTGAATTTCCTTCATCGGAGAGCCGGTCTCTTCGATGAATTCCTATCTATCGTCCTTCGCACGTCTCGTTTTTGCTGATCGGCTTCTCTCCTTTCTGCGTTGACCGCAGCATGTACTCTTCACGAGGTTGAAGCCAACGATATACATCACATGTTCCGACATTTTTTATATTCAAGTCTTCTGCCCGAGGGATGAACGTTGCATGCATCATAGATAGTCGCCGCTCCAGGTAGTTGATTCATTGAGCACCACTATTGCTTCATATCTATGACCAGAGACTCGATTTTTATGCTATTTCAGCAGACTATCATGCTAATAATGTCTCCTGAAACAGGACATGTTCATCATCTCCTTCTCATCAATTGGCAACTGCCTTCGTTTGAGACGTTCGCCGTCGAATGGTGGCTATGCACGTGCTAGCTCTGACGACCGTGGCGGTTTCATTGGTGCTATTGGTGGTCGGGGACGTGGCTCGGGTGGCCGTGGTGATGTGGACGCAGAGAATCGTCTGATAGATCAACTGGATGAGGAGTGGGACGACTAGATTTACCATCTTAGATAAATCCCTGCCCTCAATGTTATTTTGCTGGAAGAACCTTTGCACTCATGTTCAATAACCTTAGAAATTGAATTTTCTGAACATAATAAATGTTTGATGCCCATTCTCCACAAGCCGTATGTCCCTAGCGTCCTCATTCCAAATGTTTCTAGCACCCCAAGAGCTTGCTAAGGTTCCCATTGTCTCGCGTGCAAATTTTTGTGGCGCTTGAGTGGCTTCCAAGAATAAGTACACATACATATACCAGCCAAATCTTGAAATGATTTTGAAGTTGTTGATTGAGAATCATGCACATACTCAGGTGGTCATTCATCTATATGTATCTGTCGATATATATATCACGTACCTCAATAATTACACCACATACAATATGATTATTTTCTGATAATTGATTAATTCTTTAAACCATAGAGAATAATCCTGCAAAGGTTATGTCTAGGATAGTAGCCAAGAACACTTAAGGTAAATTTTCATCTTAACCTATGAATGAACAGAAATGAATTGGCTAACGCAATGAAATATGGTTATCGACTTTGGAAGAATGAATCTTAATTTATATAGCATTAAATCTACGTCTCTTACATGAACCAGCATCATTGGTCTAGTGGTAGAATTCGTCGTTGCCATCGACGAGGCCCGTGTTCGATTCACGGATGATGCACTCTTCTTTTTTGTCTTTTTGTTATTGGCTCCACCGGATTACGTTTGGTGGGGGTTTCGTTGGCTTCTCTTCCTTGCCCAGGTTGGGTTGTTTTATCAGATAACCCGTGACAACTTTTTTTTATCGGTTGATATAACAGTTACCTAGTTAGGGAATTGAAAGCTCACGAGTAGAATTCAGTAGAGCCTAGACCACTACAGGATGAATGTAGGTACATGCATAGGTCAAGAATATGTACACCCGGAGATTTAAAGAACAAGCCGGGTAAAATAACGGAAAAACACCAGTCATTGACCCAGACCCAAATACAAATCCTTCCATTATAAACGATATTAAACACCACGTCTCGGTCGTTGAAAGGCCGAAGCCATACACATCTGGTTCAGTTACCCGTGCCGCGGGGCTTGTCCCATATCTGGCCCGCCTAGGCCGAGATCATAGGCACTCAGCGGCAGATCGCCCGCTCCTCCTCCAAAGTGAGGAACACCGGGGACATTTGCAGATCCACTTCCGGCACCGGGGATAGGGATCGGGGCAGATCCCGGTGGAGGCTGTGGGTTCCTAGCAGGCGGAGGACTTGGGTGGGCGCTGCCTAACGGGTCGAGATTGAATGGTAGGAACCATGCGCTGGGTTGATAGAATTCACCGGTTCCGGAGGGCGCGCCTGGGTCGAGTTGCCCGGTGAAGAGGGACTGTTCGGTGGGCTGTGGATCAACCCCGTTAACAGGGGCTGGAGGCATGAAGTTTGTGGGATCGAATTCGGAAAATGAGCCGTAGACGAATTGTCGGTCAAGTTGGTGCAACTGATCCTGCGGAATGTTGAAGTCAAATTGACTGAATGACATGGACCGATTTGGTGGGTACATGGATGGCTGAGGGAATTGGTTTGCTGGAATATTTCCAATGGTTACGTCCATTTGTGATGGGGAAGTTTGATCCACGCTTGAATGGTCGGACAGTTTGCTATTCTTGCGAGAACGTCCTTTTCTAGGAAGTGCGGGTTGTGGCGTTGGTGATAGGCTGGCGAAGAAATCTTCGACGCTTTGAAGGTCCGGCTTCTGGCCCATAACAGCATCTTCACCCGTCTCTTTATGCCGAGTATCCGGATCCTCCCAGTGTAGCCTTGAGACACCATGAGGGTATTTGGAAAACCAATCGCCATATTGGAACATCGGCGCTAATGAATTGCCATTTTGTGTGGCTACAGATCCCTTGATGGCTACATCGGCGAACTGTCGATACCGGTCTTTGGCACTTTCCACCATATAGTGAAACATTCCCCAATACTTCTTCATCTTGTTAAGATATCGATAAGTATGTCGAAGATTCTCCTTGGAACGAGCCTCGAGTTGCACGTTCTTCGAAAATATTCCCCAGATATGAACAGTACTAGCTGTGTACGCACAGTAGCCAGCGAAAGGAACCGTGAGCGGATAGGCCGAAGCCCGATCAAAAAGTACAGAAATGTGATGAGCGGCCTCGACTGCCGCCCGGCCCGCATTGCTAAGGAATGGTTTCGGCATGTCTTTGGGTGGTCGGCCTCCCGGGGATAGAGGAATTGCGAACTGGTTGAGGAACAACATGTTCTGGTGTATAATGATGTGGAGGAACAAGAATTGGTTTGCTATCTTCTCAGCAGCATGGATCTGAAGATTCTCATAGGTGAAAGTGAGAGACCCGGGAAGTGAAGCAGAAAACTCCTCAATTTGCCGTTTCAGTAGCATGTAACCGGATTCCGGATGCCAAAGGGGATGCGTATCTTTTCTCTTTCCGCCGAGATTTAAGTAGTCAACAAGACGACCCCAGATGACGATGGCACGAATAATGTACGCCGACACTCCCATGTTATCTTTGGCGTTGGACAATTGACCGGAGTCTTCAGGCGTGGGATTCAGAATATCCCCATCCAGGTCTTCCGTAGGACCTGGTATCTCCATCTGAAAGTGGGTTTCCTTGATGGGTAGTTGAATATGTAGGAATTTCTCATTTCCAATCGGTGGTCGCTGACTCCCCGAGGAGTTGTATCGATCCATCAAATAACATGCCCACATGGTTCGTCGTCGGATCTCCCTGTCCGTGAAGCTTAATTGCGAATTGCCGTTGCCTTGTCCTAGTAACGGATCGCTTTCGAGCTCTTGGTGAAGTTGCAGAGCATATGCCATTCGCAATGCCTGCCCTCCAAATGACCAACTTCGTCCACCATGACATGTACCAAACTCGTGAAGCCCCAGGAGCAGGAATACGGTTAGGATCGTGATGTTGGGTTCGTCGTGTCGGCTGAGAGCAATAGCCGCAGCCGGATTGGCCCAGTTCTCGCCGCGTAGGAAGGGGGGTTCTGAATTGAGCTGTGGATGCGTTGAAAATCGAGCCGAGACCGCACAGACCGCAAGAATCAAGACTGGGGGAACAGTGCCAGCTTTGAGCCTTCGCATGAAGCTTGGCTTGTGTAGGAGTAGATATGATTGTCCATAGACACAGTCAAAGAAAACCTCGGCTAGGTGCTCCTGTATCTCCAACGAAGGCAAGAATTCCGCCCCCTCGGTCAAAAGTCCGGACCCATCCGAGGACTTGGGCTCGCGGTTCATCGGGAGGGTCTCATGTGGCGGACGACGTTCTTCCCGAGTCCATCCATCCATTTCCGTAGCAAAGGCCTCGTCTGCGCTCCGTTTCTTATCTTGCTTCGAAAGCTGCCCCTGCGCCCTGGGTTTGACCACAGATCTGCCGATCGAGGCCATGTCTCTGGCCTCATCCTTGGGAATCGTCTTGATGACGCGATCTTCCATCCTCTTTAATCGCTTATCTAACATGGCCATATAATCCGTGCGCGGGGCAGCTTTTCTTGTGGTAACTTTATAAACGCAGGGGATCCTGGAGCGCGTGCAGTGCTTGCACGCGGGCTTCTCGCCCGAGCATCGTATCTTCTTGCGGCGACATGCGATACAGGCCAGCGGTAATCGCTTCCGCTCTTTTCCTGCCTTAGTTTTCATTTCGGTCCACATGGGGGGTCTGCCGTCTTTTGCTGAATTTGTGGCACCGCCTGTATCGTCTCGGGTAGTGGCATCCAAGTGGCTGTCTAGCGCACCATCGGGACCAGTCGCGGGGTCAGCTGTCTGTGTGCTGCCTGGGTCGCGGGAGCTTGCATGGCTTTGGGTATCAAAATCGTCGAGAAACGCTGCAGGGTCCTCCTGGCCTAGGCCTAAAGCAAAGCCAGCGCCAGGGGTTTTCAATGGCGAATCCGCGGAGTCGGGATGGATCATGACGGGTGCGGGTACCCCAGGACCCAGACCCGAAGCATCATTCGGCGTAAAGAGAAGAGAGGGGAGAAATAGAAGGCGACCCTAGCCAGAGGCGCTGGGAAGGCCAAAAGAAATAAAAAGGATAAGATCCGTTTGGATAGAAAGTGGGTGTCGGGGGTAGAAGAAGAGAAGAAAGGAATATGGGGAAAGGTTCAGCGGCGACTGGCGGCTTGGCACTGAGTTTCCCACTGGGCAGCGCTTCAATCAATATCACGAGCTCAGACGCCGATTTTTCCCTCGACTTTCTTTTTCTTGCCTGGAATAAAACCACCAATGAACATGCCTCAATTGTCAGCCACAAAAGGATTTTTGAAATTCACAGAACCTGCGACAGAGAGAAGCAAGGAAAAAAGAGAACTTCAGGACCCACAGACTTAGGTTACATGCTACGCCCGGACTTGGTAATCGTCCCAGTATAAGTTGACTATTGAGCTTAGCTTGAGATCTACATCAATAATCAGGGTCTTTTTATATACCAAAATTATATACCAGACTTGAATGGTACTTGAACGCGTATACTTCCAAAGGTTGTTTATTGCGGTGGTCCACCTCGGCCCGAACAGATTTTGGGTCAAATGCATAAACATAAGTATACAGCTAAAACTAAAATTCATTACAGTTGATACAATATCATATAATGATATAGGCCATTCAAATATAAATATACTCGTTCGTCATCTGCTGTTAGAGCCCCGCGCTTGTTTCATTGACATCCACTCCCATTCCTATGAGGCTTTAGGACGTCCCACGCGACCACGAGGGCTCGCTTGTTCCAACGCGTTGAGGATTTCTCCCCCAAGAGAGTAGATATTATAGGAAGGGAAGACAATCCATAGGCCACTAATGGAATCATCGTTAGTCAAATTCTCGCACAAATATGACCCGGTACTCACTTCGGAATCATCCACATCGCAATCAAAGTTAGAGCATCATTGTGGCCAACATTATCAAAGCCGGAGAAAAATTCATTCAGCCCTATATGAATTAGACTGATTCGGCGCATTGAGATATATCGTATTGTCCAAGAACCAGGGCAAGGGCAAGCTTACAGTAAAGAACGGTTTTGCTGAGAGTCATAACCGATGCAGTATACGCGACCATGAGCGCGATCGCGCCAGTTTGCCCAGCTACCACTTTGTCACCAGTCAGCAACCAGACTAGGCCTTTCTTCAGCTTCGGCGCGCCGTGGTTACTCGTGACAGTGGCACCGTGGCGGTACACAATCCATAGATAGTACAGATAACCCAGGGTCTCGATAATGTTCATGACTGTTTGCGCGGCGGTGAAACCATTGCGCGCATTGAATGCGGGCCAGCCATAAATATAGTCGATCTGGCCGTATAGCGCGTACGGTGTCCAGACGGGGGAGTGCAAGCGACCTCCAGGCATACTATGTGGTCGCAACAGTACATAGCCGGCATCCCATATGACGAGAGGTACAGAGAAGACAAGCCAGACGGTCAGGGCGACCGATGGTGTATGGACCCATTTGCGCGCATTGCCGGTAGTAGTGGGCGCAGGTGAGGACTTGGCCAGTTCTTTTGCGGCTTGCGTGGGTGAGGGAAATTCCTTGGGGTGATGTCGCGTGGACACCATGGTGATATGTGACGGAACTTGCGATAATGGGACGAAATGGCAAGTGTGTATACAGTCGCGCGATCGCGAGCAATGAGTGTTGATAAAAGTCCGTGCGATTTGAGGGCGTTCGTAGGAAAATAGGGTACTTAGTTTGTTTTAGCGCTAGGAGAAATACGAAATACTGGGGAATTCCACAGTTCGCCGCGACTGACGTCCAGTGACGTCGTTGTTTCCCGAGATGTTCGTTTGCGGGCAAAGGGTGCAGCACAGCACGTTTTAGGTCAGGATTTGACTTCCGAACTATTGGGACTTGAGCTTTTCTTCAAAATGATGTTCTGCTAGCATACTTTAGTACTATCCCTGATCTTTACCCCACGATAGGGCTCGTGCATTCCGGGGTTGACCCAATCGGTTGAATTTACCCCTTTCTAGAATTTGATTGAGATCCCTGCTCATTTAGACCCAGAGATCAGACTTCAAGTTCTTGGCAACTTGTGGAATAATTCGGACAGAAAGACTAGGATTAAGACAAGGATCTGATTGGATCAGCTTTACTTTAGTGGCCTGAAGTCTCGGGCGTCAAAATCCTAAAGCAGCTTAGTCGATTTTTAACTCTTTGAGATCACAAGATTGTTCTACATTTCACATCCTGCAATCATCTCAATAATGGACACAGATAACCAAAAGGTCGGTTACCATTCCTTCTGATCTACTGAGTTGAGTCTTACTTCGGTCAAGAACTTGGATCGGTTAGCCCGTGTGCGTGAAAATCAGCGCAACAGCCGTGCGAGAAAGCAAGAGTATATTCGAGACCTCGAACAACGACTGGCAGGCTACAAAGAACAGACGCAGAAAAAAGATATAGAGCATCGATTGGCTATCCAAAAAGTGGAATCGGAGAATCGAAACCTCAGAACCCTGCTAGGCTCATTAGGAGTGTCTGCGGACCTGATCCAGCAGTATGTCAGTTTGGCCGGACAAGGAACTGTGATGCATCACAAAGTCGCAATACCTCCAACCCCGTGCCCAAAGAAAGAATTAGCTTCTATGCCAAGTTGCAGTGAGGTCGACGCACGAGCATCTTCACCCCCCAGTACTTCGGAGATACTGCCATCAAAGGATCAATCCTTATCACAGCCGGAGCAATCAACCCCGTCTCTATGCTGCCCAGCCGGGCAAACAGCTTTAGATCGATGGTCATCTGAAGAAGACGTACTGAACACAACACTTTGCGCCATCGCAGAGGATCTCATCGTTCAGTACAACACACGAGGTACCGATATAGAAGAGCTTCGGCAGAGGCTCTGGTCTGGTTTTACAAAAGGACGACCGGGCGATGGTTGCCGCGTTCAAAACAACATCCTATTTCAAGTACTAGATGAGATCAGCAATGGTATCTGACCCTGATCAATTGTGAAGTTATCGCGACTCACAAACTTGACTACTGCTATCATGCTACTGTTCGTATTTTCTATCGAATGGTATAGTATATAAACCTCTACTAGAGGTCAATAGTTGCGACTGGGGCCTGATCACTGTCAACATCTGACTTCGAAGGTTTGCGATCGCCACGGTAATTAAGGAAATAAATCAAATCAAGCACAGACAACCTGTCATGTTCACTCCAGTTCCCACCTTATTCTAAGTAATCTTTACTTCATGGTTCCAAAATTTTAGTCGGCATCAACAAGAACAGCCCGGGTGGTCTAGTGGTATGATTCGCGCTTAGGGCAGCAACTCTAAGCACTCCTGCGCGAGGTCCCGTGTTCGATCCACGGCTCGGGCCTGTTATCTTTTTGTCGTTTTTTTTTTTGGTTGTCTTTTGCGGGTAGCTGTGTGCAGCAAGTGGGGTGAGTGAAAGTGGAGCTTCAGTGTCCATCTAGAAATGTGGCTGAGCTATTACTTCAATAATTTGCCGTGAGATGCTGAATTAGCCAAACATATTTTTTGTTGGAGGGATCTAGGTATCTAAGCAGCGTTGAAGGGGTTGGTTGAAGTAGTGAAGGATGCGGGAAGACTGACACGACATCTGAATATGTTATCCACTCCGGGCTCTAGAATTAAGCAGTGATACTCAAAATTTGAAGTAATGTAGGTGATGAATTAATTTAAATACTCTTGTTCATTGATTGTAAAGTCGCGTCTGCGATAGTATTCAACTCACGACTTTCCAGGTTTGCTGTAGGCACCGCAAAGGGCACGCGCGGGTTGGATTTAGATAGCCCCAAATTTATCTATATTCAAAGGACAAAGGTTACAATTAAACTGAAGAATCAGTGAAGTATCATATCACGATGTGATGGATATTTATCCAGATGTCTGCTTTCATTGATCTTGACCAATGGATCTCTCAAGTGCTATAAAAGCTATCGATTGGCCGCAGTTTAAATTAAAGATCAGTTTCAGGGGGGCGATTTTTCCTTCTTTGCCCAGGTGCTCACTGGGGCCTTTAAATAATAAAGCGTAATAAAATTTCGAGGCACCGAAGATTACCTGTGATGAAGGTAAAGATATTCATTCGTCGATATAGACTCTGGTACGATATATTGAATGAATGATCTTGCAATTGAGTAGAAAATTTGGTCTCATGTATGCAACATTTCGACCACGTTTTGAACAGAAACTCGGAGCAATTACGTGATTAAAACCGTAGACTCCTCACATTAGACTGACATCCCCACAGTATGCACTCCACAAAAGTGCGACCCCGTCACAAGAAGAAAATTGGGGTTTCTCCACCTTGACCGAACAGGGATCCGTACATGTTTCGGCCCGGAGAAGTGCCGACGGGATAAGGAAATGATCCTCCGAAAGATAGAAGCCCAACAGGAAGGAACATAAATAAATAGATGAATAGACGAATAGCGGCAATGCGAAAGATTGCGACTTGCCTATGTAAAGCTGGAGCTAATTACGTCGGGTTGTCAATACATCCGGAGCAACTGCTTGACAAGGCGTGAGTAGATGTCAAGTGAGACACCGGTGAACGGAAATGTCTGAGCCGAAGTAAATGGAAGTAAAACCCCTCAGCGGGGATTGTCGGTAGTAAGCCGTAAAGATGCACTAGACCGGCAAGTTGACTCGGTATAGAAAAAGAGATCGCTCCAGCCCGACACAGTCGCGGACTTGGGAACAGAAGGCCGGGATCGGATTACTTCATAGCGCAATACCAAGAGAAAATACCAGAATTTCCATCATTTACTTGATAATTCATGATCGAATAATAGATTAACTAACTCAATTCCCCGCCTAAATATCTCCCGGGGCAGACCTGGGGTCTGGGCCCCCGCATTAACAAACCCCGGCCCCAGTCTCCACAGTCACAGATTTGATTGCAAGAATGAGAGAAATAAACTTCTTTGCTATGTGTAGTAAAAAGTCCCGTGAGCCTAACATATTGGACAATAATACATGAAGTATGAGGATAATATAGAATTGGCACGCATAATCGAATCAAGATCTCACCCATGGATGGATTGTGGGGTAACCGGCGTGTGTATATGATAGAAATGCCTTCTTGCGAGGCTTACCCGTAATGACCTCCTCTATTTGGCAATTCGAGCGATGATCGGGAATCACAGAAAGCTTCCCCGGCGGGGCCGGGTAAACTTCAATCTGAAAGGAGTTTCCTGTTATAGTTAGCGGAGAGCTTTTGTTTAACAGGAATGTAACGGAGAATTATCCCGCTGTCAAATCACGAAGAACATTCCTAGATGTCAATTGAGGCGGGGAATTAGCGGAGTTCAAAACGCCAAGGAGTGGCATGGTAGTCACGGGATGCCCGAGGTTTAGGCGACGAGTGCCCGACCCCCGGTAGAATCGGCAAATCTTTGACCAGACGTTCCTAGATCTTGAAATCTTGGAATTGGAAAGAATTACAAAACCACATCTGCAACTTGATTAGTCATGCTGTACAAAGGGATTATGTTAACCCCTTGAACCAATGCAGGGACCATACTTGACCCTCTCCTCGCTTTTCCAGCCACTGGCATTACTTTCTCCCTTTCCCAGGGACAACAAATGCTGGAAGGTAACGCGAATGTCTAATAAGAAACCAAAAAAAAACAAAACATCGCATTTGCAGCCCCTGGTACTTCCTGTACTCAGACTCAGAATCCCACTATTTGTCGATCCTTACTGGTTTCTCCACACTTCCAAGCTTCCCCGTCTTGGAATCCTAGTGGAGTAACTACGCCATATTCCCTGTAAACAATCCACACTTTAGTATTTAAATAGCCTCCCCCTCATCTCCGGATGAAGTGGTTTCTAGCAATCTCGTCGGCCTTCCCCTTGACGATTCAGTACTCCGACTACTTTGGGTTGAGTCTGCCGTACTCCTTTACACCAGCCATGAAGTTTGGGTTGCTGGAAGCAGGTCTTTTGGGCGCTGCCTCGGTGGCTAGTGCTAAGGTTAGTTTGTCAAATAGTTTGTATGATGCGCTTCAGACTTGAAGGCTAATTACAATCCGCGATAGGAATTGGCGTATTCCCCTCCTTACTATCCCTCCCCATGGATGACCGGTCAAGGCGAGTGGGCTGAGGCTCACAGACGCGCTGTTGAATTTGTCTCAAACTTGACATTGGCCGAGAAGGTCAATTTGACTACTGGTGCTGGGTATGTTGCAAACACAAGTATGTGATATTCCAGACTAACTGAAATAGATGGGAGCAGGAACGATGCGTCGGAGAAACTGGAGGCATTCCAAGGTAAGATCATAAAGTCAATCGCGACACCGAAACAACGATAATTGACGAAGTCGTAAAGACTAGGAATGTGGGGAATGTGCATGCAAGACTCGCCCCTGGGAATTCGTGACAGTATGTGTGGCTACTTGTATGAACAGGGAACTTCAAAAACTGACCCCCTATCGAACAGGCGATTACAACTCGGGTTTCTCCGCTGGTATCAATGTTGCCGCTACTTTCGATAAGAGACTGGCCTACGCTCGTGGCATGGCTATGGGCGAGGAACATAGAGATAAGGGCGTGGATGTCCAACTGGGACCTGTGGCTGGTCCTTTGGGCAAGAACCCCGACGGTGGTCGTGTCTGGGAGGGCTTCTCTCCTGACCCTGTTCTCACTGGTGTGATGATGGCTGAAACTATCAAGGGAATGCAAGATGCTGGTATCATTGCTTGTGCCAAGCACTATATTGGAAATGAACAGGAGCATTTCCGCCAGGCTGGCGAGGCCCAGGGGTACGGGTATAATATCACTGAAAGTGTGAGCGCGAACATCGACGATACCACGATGCATGAGCTTTACCTCTGGCCCTTTGTCGATGCTGTGCGTGCTGGTGTGGGATCTATTATGTGCTCCTACAACCAAATTAACAACAGCTATGGTTGCTCCAACAGTTATACCTTGAACAAGCTGCTCAAAGGTGAGCTTGGATTCCAGGGTTTCGTCATGAGTGATTGGGGTGCCCACCACAGTGGTGTCGGTGATGCCCTTGCTGGTCTGGATATGTCGATGCCTGGTGATGTTATTCTGGGAAGTCCCTACTCGTTCTGGGGTACTAACCTGACCATCTCCGTGCTGAACGGTACTATCCCCGAATGGCGCATTGACGACATGGCAACTCGTATCATGGCGGCGTACTACAAGGTTGGTCGCGACCGCTACCGTACTCCTCCCAACTTCAGCTCCTGGACTCGTGATGAGTACGGCTACGAGCACTTCATAGTGAGCGAGAACTGGGTCAAGCTCAATGAGCGTGTCAATGTGCAGCGTGACCACGCCAACGTCATTCGTAAGATTGGCGCAGACAGCACTGTGCTCCTGAAGAACAATGGTGGTCTGCCATTGACTCACCAGGAGCGATTCGTCGCAATCCTAGGTGAGGACGCGGGCTCCAATCCCTACGGTGCTAACGGTTGCTCTGACCGTGGTTGCGATAATGGTACTCTGGCTATGGGCTGGGGCAGTGGAACGGCCAACTTCCCTTACCTCATTACCCCGGAGCAAGCCATTCAGAATGAAATTCTGAATTACGGTAACGGCCAGACCAACGTGTTCGCTGTGACCGACAACGGGCTTCTTGACCAGATTGCCGAAACCGCTGCCCAGTCAAGGTGAGTACTTTTATAATCATGTGTCATATAGCTGCTAATTTTTTTTTCTTCTTAGTGTTGCTCTGGTCTTCGTCAACGCCGACTCCGGCGAGGGCTACATCAACGTTGATGGCAATGAGGGTGACCGCAAGAACATGACCCTTTGGAAGAACGGCGAAGCAGTCATCAAAGCCGCTTCGGAGAACTGTAACAACACTATCGTCATCATGCACACCCCCAGTGCCGTCTTTGTTAATGACTGGTACTTGAACCCCAACATCACTGCTATCCTCTGGGCCGGTCTGCCTGGTCAAGAGAGCGGCCGAAGCTTGGTGGATATCCTCTACGGCCGCGTCAACCCTGGAGCCAAGACTCCCTTCACCTGGGGAAAGACTCGCAGCGACTATGGTCCATCAATCCTCACCGAGCCCAACAACGGCATCGGAGCCCCCCAGACCGATTTCACCGATGGTGTATTCATTGATTACCGTCGATTTGACAAAGAAGATGTGGAGCCAATCTATGAGTTCGGCTTTGGTATGAGCTACACCGACTTCGCCTTCTCCGACCTGGAGGTCAAGGCTTTGAGAGCCGATAAGTACGTCAAGACCACTGGATGGACCAAGCGTGCCCCAGTACTGGGCAAGGTTGGCCCAGTCTCAGACTACTTGTTCCCCAAAAGCATCAAGCGTGTCACACAGTACCTCTACCCCTGGTTGAACTCCACCAACCTGAAAGAGTCATCTGGGGACCCCTACTACGGCGAGAAGACCGAGAAATACGTCCCTGCCGGCGCTACTAACGGATCCGCTCAACCCCTTCTACCCGCTAGCGGTAGCAGTGGCGGTAACTCAGGTCTCTTTGAGGACTTGATCCAGGTCACTGCTACCATCACCAACACCGGCTCCTTGACCGGTGACGAGGTTCCCCAACTCGTGAGTTACCCCAACGCAACAATATTACCTGTATGGAAATTAACAATTTTTTTAGTATGTATCTCTTGGTGGTCCGAATGATCCACCCAAGGTCCTGCGTGCTTTCGACCGTGTCACTATCGCTCCCGGCCAGAAGATTCAGTGGACCACTACTCTGACTCGTCGTGATCTTTCCAGCTGGGACGTTGCAGCTCAGAACTGGGTTGTTACTGATACACCCAAGACGGTGTATGTTGGCAACTCGTCTCGCAAGCTGCCTCTCTCGGCCAAGTTGCCTTCGGTTCAGTAATGGCATTGCAACTTTTAGACATCGGGGATGAAGATCAGATTCAGAAGTCTGCTTCTTGACTTGTATAGACAGAAATACTGCTTTTTGCATATAGTTTTAATGACACATTCTCTTTTGAACTAAACATAGCAAAGGGCCCATATGTTTTAATCTCAACCTGTTCGTAGACGTGGACGAAGAGGAAAAAAACCGTTCTCGAGAGATGAAGCATAACTACATGAAGTTTGATGGACTTGAGCTGTGGGTCTGCACTCAATGGCAAAGATCGTTCTATGTCAGCCATGAATTGTCTTACATCGTCATAGCTCGATCCATCGGAAATTTTGCAACCGTCGTTGTTTGGGCGATTTGTCAAGGAACCCAATGCATATTTTCCATATAGAGAGCATACACAAAAAGACAAATCATCTTAAAGATACAGCCTGACCATTTGTTCGAGCTATTCGTATATTTGCAAGATCATTAGCAAATGCATGCTGGAGTAATCACAAACAGTTCTATCCTCAACAATGATCCTAAATACAGACTCGTCGAATTCATCTTGATTGCCCCTTTCATCACATTTCTTGTATGTCAATTGTAAATTTTGGTGTTTCTCATCTTCGCCATAGATCCAATAGAGCATTGACTGAGGAGAGGAACACGATATACAATCATTGGCAAATGCCGACGCGCGTAGATTCCCACGGCCCATCAATGACGGGAAGGGGGGACGGCGACAAAATACATATGCCAAGGATTCACGAATATGCAGTTGTTGCTCCTTCGAGTGATATCCACTTGACTGACCAAAGAGGCACGTGTCGGAAAGCGAGGTACCCGTGCAGGATGACAGCCTAGCAAGCATGATAATTTATTCATTGCTCGAGGTCTTCAGAAGCGGGGCTATAGCACGATTGAAGATTGGTTGTTGTTGGCATTGTCCGAGCTGGGCAGCATTCCAAGAAGTCGAGAATTCGAAGTTGTGGAGCGGCATTTTCGGGCAGTGTCGGCTATCGCTCAACAGGCGAGGTGTAAAGCCCCATTTTGTCTGTTCAAATTCTATGTGCTCATACCGTACTCCCGGAGATGTTCACGGTAGGACTTTTGTGAGTGTCATCCGACCCAGAGCAAGAATAGAACTTCTCCAGAGCTCCCGATGAGTCATTTTTCCCCGGACCGACAGTCATGGCAGCCTTAGCCTGCTTCTTGGCTGCCTTTTCTTCTTGCCTCAAAATCTTGTGGGTGCGCGACAGATTCCGAGTCCAGATACCAGAGGTAAGGTAGATGGTCATGCACAGGAACTCTGGGAGCACCCCAAAGATTGACACGATTGTAATCCCGCCTTGGTCAAAGATGTGGTAAACATAGCCGCAGTAGGTGACATAGACGACACGGAACCCAACTAGAGGCCAAGCGGCTGTGGCAGCGTATAATAGCTTCACAGTTGTTAGTTCAAGTCAATGCTCAAATCCAGGGGCACTATGTAACGTACGACTTTTTCGTCAGGAAGCCTGTTCTTATGGCATTTAGAAGACCAACTTCCCACGATCATAGCACCCGTATAGACCCAGCCGAGAAGCCAGATAATGAGACCGGCTTTTAAGAGAATGAGCTCCGTCAGACCCTTCAACGCCAACGAGATACCCACAATGATTATGACCTGGGCAAAGATCGAGCCCCAAGCACCCGCAAATAGCGGGAGTTCCTTACGAATCGAAAAGTTTCTAAATACAGGTCAGACACCCCAATCAGTCGTAGGACTTCATATTACCCACGCTTCATTCAGGAATCCCTGACACACTAGTGAAAATGGCGAGAGACCAACCCCGTTCACCACAAGTGGGATAAGGATATCGGGTATGCCGGTTGTCGTGATCGACTTGAAGGCGACGGCATTGGCGGCAATGCGCAAAGCGTTCCAAACAAGCGTATTCAGCCAGGGACCAAAACCCTGCCGGCCATGTATATAAAAACAGTAACAGACTGGAAGTATTGAAATCCCGAAGAAGACCAAATTGGCTAACTCGAGAGCCTCGATCGGAGGGTAGGCCATGATGTGCACTTGACGATGAATCGATTAGGTTTGTGGGCAGGTCAATCAATCGTGATCAAAAGGCGTGGTTCTCGGGACGGAAACAAAATGATCGATTGAGTATGTAGGGATTGCCATGATTTTATCTGATAAATCCTTCTGCAAAGGGGTAAGTTATGGGATTTTCACCCTTGGATCCCCCAACTATCATTTACGGGACGATCATCAAGGCCGAAGTCTAGGAAGTAAAATCCTTGCCTCGCATGACTACTGGTTGAGGGGAAGCAAGGGAGTACAGGGGAACGATTAGCCTCAGTCGACCAGTCGGGTGAAAGTCGTGGCTAAATAGGGGGACGAAGACGGAATTCCCATTTATTTCCCTCCCATCACTGTAGCACACCTCAGAACATACAAAGCTAGATGTCCCATGTTCCCAGGGTTGATTGAGACCTTTATTTGATAGTGCTGCCCCCGAAATTCGCCCTTCTTACCCTGTCAAAATGCCTCTTTTCGACTGCTTCGGCGTGGACTGAATGACATCCCGAACTTGCGATAATTTCATCTAATTGGATTGGTCACAATAGAAGTTCTCACTATCGCCAAGGGTAAACAAACCCGAGTGGCGTTTTCGTGAGATTCCTGGCAGTTTCGTGACTCCTCATGATAAACTCTCTGCTGTGTTTGGTGGAGCGGACAGGGTTGCAGTTGAAATTCTATCACCTTCAGATGTAACAGAAGCGCTCTCAGTAATAAGACTGAGAGGCCAGACCATGGTCCATTTCCACTCATCGGGTATAATACTGTCAATTCCACGCACCTCCCGCTCAGGAATTCCTCGAAGCCACCAGACATTCTCTACCCTTTGATCAACGCAAACAAATATGCCACAATAACTAGAGCGCGATGGCGTTTCTTCACGACGAGCTCGCCAAACCTCCGAGGGACCATGGGTGGAAATCCTATGAATATTTTGCGGAGAACCCAAGGAGATGTGTCGGGGGTTGAGGCTGTATAAAGGCACTCCAGATAATCAATGCTCTCTGAATATGCTCTTTGGGTCTTTTCATCGATGTCTTCTTCGTCCCAACGATACTCAAGGATAAACTGGAATGGATTTGTAGGTCCTTTGAATTTACTCAATCCCCCGTGAAAGAGAACCGGCTCTGCCGATAACAAAGGGTTGAGCTTGGAGTTTGATTGATTAAGCTGATGAGGGACGGTCCTGAGGATTGTTCGAATACCTCGTGCCACGGACAGCCACATTATTGGAGGCTCATAGGAATCCAAGGGAGGTTCCGATCGAAGGAACAAAGTGTACAGTGAGAGCAAGACTGCATTCATGCAGACCGCCTCGCTAATATTTCCATCCAGATCTGCCGTTATTGGACGATGTTGCTGGACGGCGAAATCAATATAGGCATGTTGAATTGACCGTAGGGAATTTGCCTCATCTGGAAACAATGTGGCGCGGTGTGCAGCTGCCAATGCAAGTAATGTATGAAGAAGTGGCTCATACTCAAATGCCATTTCAGGGACAGCAAGACTCCACATCTCGTGAACAGCTGGCACGGCAGCTGAGTTCATGGTCGCTGCAGTGGCCGTCACCCAATGATGCATAAGACGTAATTGGAGGACAGGTAGCCCTTTATTGGGAGGCACGTCGGGCTCAGATTTGCCAGCCCTATGCCCTCGAGTATTCGATGCGGATTGGCTGGGATCGTACACACGAGTTGCCAACGAGGGATGTTCGCATGGTATGCTGTGTCGGTTGCAATGACTGCATTTCGGACGCTGTTCATTACACTAGTCGAATATAAGCCTCTACTTGGTGAAACCCAAAGTACTCCGTACCTTGACCTTCCTTGATTTACATCGAAGGCAGCCATTGGTAGATTTTCGGTGACTGAGGCGTGGGGGCATCGTATGAACAGACTTATAGGGCTATGCAATAAGATGATCGAAAGGGTCACGTCGGTTTCGGGACTAATGCTGAATTGGAGGCGTCGCTGATTAAGCAGTGGGGTTGGGGCGAGAACCATTCAGCCAATGTTATCATTGGATGCTTTTCTCGGTTTCGGTTTCTTCTATCAAATTAGGTAAAGAACACAAATATGGTTTCCGTAGTGGAGACTTTCTCAGCCTGAATAGTAGATCATCCTATTGCGACACAAAGAAATCCCGTTCATTGCCGAGCACCGCCATCATTGCGCAGTATTATCGCACTCGATCATTGCCACATTTGATATGGTCAGATCTGCTAATAATTATAAAGATGTCATTCATCGTTAGACTTGCACCCTGTTCACACCAACGGCATACACACAATTATCAACCCTTCAAACTTCATATTTGTATCAACCATGGGTATCTTAAGGACAGCTCTGGTCGGAACCGCAGCCTACCAGATTGGCAAGAAGTGAGTAATACTGTTCAGTTCAGCTTCTACAGTTTAACTGTCCTTACCTCTAACTTTTGTGATAGGGCATTCAAGGATGAAGAAAAGAAAGAATGCAAGCAGTCCAACTTGACCTCGCCGCAGCCCTATTACCATCCTGAGTACCCACCGCAGTACCAGTATGGACAGCCTCCATATGGCCAGCCTCCATATGGCCAGAATCCATATGACCAGAATCCATATGGCCAGAATCCATACGGCCAGAATCCATACGGCCAGAATCCATCCGGTGCACCGCAGTACCCCCAGGGCTATGGCAACAACCACCAAGGATACCCACCCCAGCAGTCTAATCAGCAGTACAGCCGAGGTACGGAGGACTTCGTGAGCAATGGAGGCCCAAGATCAATGAAAGCTTCTCCTCCTTCCTACCAGCCCAATCCTGCTTATCATCAAAGCAATGAGAAGTCTCCTGTCCACTCCCAAGGCCAGGAAAATTACTCCCATGGACGACCAAACTAGCGGCTCTTTCACTGTAACGGGATTTCTGATATTTTTGACTACATTCACATTTATATAGAATGAGGAGGTTTCGCCTATATTCGGATGATACTGTCGCATTTATCTTCAATGTTTGACTTTGCCAAGATTGTTACCTTTCCTTTTTCAGAAATTGACATCCATTCCTCATGCCTGGAACAGTGAGTTCACAAAATTGAAGGAGATAGAAACTTCAGCCGAGAAGAATATAAAACTCGTTCATTCTTATTCATCCTCAAAATGTGTACTAAGTCTCCAAGTCCAATGCAATGACTCTTTGCCCACCAGCCAAGAAGGCTGCTTATTTCGTATATGCATGTAAGCTGTCAGATCAACGACAAACTAGAGTTAGGCTTATAACCAACAGCCAAGCTTCACTGTATATACCCCGGGCCGCCCAGAGTCACAGACCACGCCTCATATTCTGCAAGTTTTGACCTATAAACGGCAGTCGCAAGAGTGATGGGCTCCAATGCCCTCTGATATTGTTGGTTTTTTTCAAACGGAGAGGGCACTTGAGTTCCTCTTAGCTGTGGCAACGAAGCAGCTGATATGTTGCACAGCACCCGAGCGTCCGTATTCGGAGGGAAAGGAGACCGACAGGCTTTGGCCGAACACTGCTATTCCACAAAAGTTGACTGCCTTTTCGTCAGCCAATCAATGACCAGACTGCAGGTGCGTGACTGCCGGGGTAACTCTAAATGGAAATATTGAAGACTCGCTCCTGGTGCTATCAAGCTGGCGAACTCATCGTGGTGAGCTACTTTGCTTGGTGAAGCCCATTTTGCGGGACGGCGGCCCATGATGACCCACCATACTCCATAAAACGCGCCACCGTCTAAGGAGTGGAGTGATCGCTTCGGAATCACAGGAGAACGTCGAGTGCAGGGATTAACCATGTGGAAGAAATGGTGGGAAAAGTATCTGCTCGGTCGTTCCGATAAAAATAATTTCTTCAGGGGCTTTTCTCAGACTCGAACTGGTTTCGCTCTATGCACAGACTTTCTTATGATGACCTCCATATGCAATCGCAATCGTAAAGACGAGGAACCTGATCGCTCGTATCATCGGAATTCGTCGCCCAATCATTGGCTGAAGAGCATACCCACGGGCGATGCGAGCCGAGATGAACCCCACAAAGTGCATCCACCAGTGCTGCAGCTGAAGAAGAAAAAAGCAAAATGTGGGGGCGCTGAAAGCCTTAGCGTCAACATGGTCCAGAAAGAAAGTTCATGATTGGTAAATCTAGGGGAGCTTGGCCCGCGTCAGCTCCATAAGTTCATGCTGATGATATGAAAGTGGATAATGTCGGGCGATGGTTGGCCTTAGTGTAAGCAAAAGGCCCCCAGCCCTGAATGGCGCAAAAATAATGGCGTATAAGTATGCAACTGTGGGGTCCTTCGACCCTGTTGGATTTTGCTTCAGATTCTTCCCCTACCTCCGATCAAGCCTTAGACGAACCTATTTATAATATTATCTCGCCATGGATCTGGCCAACGTCGAGTACATCCCCGGCGAGGACTATATTCTCCGTCAACGAAAAGACGCCCAGCACGCCGCCATCCGAAAACGTATCATCATTTGCTGCGACGGTACCTGGCAGTCTGCCGTCTCAGGCCGGAAGAACGTTCCCTCCAATGTCACCCGTCTATGTCGGGCCCTAAATCACATCGGTACGGACGAGAAGGGCGACCAGTGGCAGCAGGTCGTCTGGTATGATTCAGGGGTTGGCACGAGCCCAAGTACATTCGAGGATGCCGTGGAGGGTGCGTTTGGAGAGGGCGTGGAGCAGAATGTCATCGAGGCGTACAACTTCTGCGTCTTAAATTACAAGCCGGGCGACAAGATCATGTGTTTTGGTTTCTCTCGTGGAGCGTACACCGCACGCACGATCGCCGGATTGATCTCGGATATTGGAATTTGTCACAAGGGTAACCTGAACAAGTTCCCCGATCTCTGGGCCATGTATAAGAAAGTCAAACACGGGAAGCGCTTCGATCGGAGTGATCTTTGGTTTGATTGGACGTGGGGAAAGGCGGATGAACACCAAGGGGCTGGTACCAAGGATGACCGGACGTTCGTATATAAACAGGTTCCTGAGGGTGATTGGGCACAGGAAGGATCCAAGGAGATTGAAGTTGTTGGAGTCTTCGACACTGTCGGTGCTATAGGCATGCCCCAGGTTTTGGGTATGAAATTGCCATCGGCAGGAAAGAACGGCTGGCACAATGTTGGATTGTCGCCGAGTAAGTTACCTTCTCTCATCTCTGCTCTCAACGCGATCTCAAAATGACCCGCTGACGTGAACTTTTAGACATCAAATATGCTTATCATGCCCTGGCATTGGATGAGCACCGTCAGTCATTCTCCCCGTCGGTGTGGTACCTGCCAAACAAAAAAGCCACACCCGAGGAAGTGAAAGCCAGAAAGGACGAGGAAGAAGCGGCGAAGAAGAAGTACTGGGTAACTTTGCAAGAAGCCAAGGATCTGAAAGCAGGAGGCAACGCTACCGATGAAGAAGTCAATGCCGCCGCTCGCAGGGTCAACGACGCTGCCCGAGCCTGGAACAAGGCATCTCGGAGGCGAGTCAAGTTTGAGAACCGACTAGGAGAACACTCTAAATTGAAGCAAGTGTGGTTCCCCGGATACCACGTCAACATTGGCGGAGGAAACTCCGATACATTGAATAATGTTGGTGATATGGAGGAAATGTCCAGCATCACCTTTTCCTGGATGCTCGATCAAATCAAAGCGCATCTTTCGATTGACGAGAGATTTATCGTTGGAGAACACAATGCTCGCGAGAAATATCTCCAAGAGATCAATCAAGCTTTCACTGCCCGGGAGGCCGCAGAGCATCAAAGGACACAGTCTTTGAAAGGTTGGATCTACCACGCTGCCAAAACAACCGCTTCGGTTATCCTTCATCCTCTGCGCTCCGGTATTGAGCCAGCCTACAGGAAACTCCGCGCCTACGGCTGGGGAACCGGTGAGCTGATCGACAGCTTCACATCCATGTATTGGCTCAATGGAAAGAAATGGCGTACCCCAGGACAATACGGCACCAAAGATGGACAATATCTAGGCGAAACATTCGAATTCATTCACCCTGTCGTGAACTTTCGAGTGGAGCATATGAAGGAACAAAACAGAAAGAACAACAAGGTCCCACTTTATAAGCCCGGCATGCCTGGTAGCAGATATGAGCGCCGGAAGGTGGAAGACGCTGAAGGAAATGTGAGATACGAATACTACATGGGTGACTTATCAAAGCCCATACCGGAGTGGAGGCTGGGTGGAATGGACTCCTATGAGCGGTTGGCTATTACTGGAGAGGCGGCGTATGCCTATGCTGACAAACTGGATGAAGAACTGCGGACTGGCTTTCGAACAGAGCGCTGTGAATTTGGATCCGACGAGATACAGTACTGTCTCAAGCCTGTGATTGTGCAAAAGGCCGACGGATTACTTGCCTTAGAGACACCCGATGAGGCTTGGGGAGAACAATCTCAGTTGACGGCTTTTGATGGCGAAACCCAGCGCAAGAAGTCTCTCACCGAGACTGGTGCATCGAATCCATTCGAGATGGAAAATAGCAAGCTGGACGCAAACCTCATCTCCATTTCGCAGGCTGTCAGCTCTGTCTATTAAATTGTATGTTACTGATCGAACTTATTCATGAAAAGAATACGTTTCAACAGGACTTGAAGAAAGGAAAATATAAAAGCAATCTATAAAAGATATGTACCTAGGTATACAAGATTTTCTGGACCAAATTGCACGAACAATCCTTTTCAATACATTCCACGGTAAAAATATGAATTTGTCTGCTTAGCGTCTCCGTATCATCATTTGATCATGAACATTCCCATGTTATTTATATTATATGCATCTTTCAAAGATCCACAGAGTTATACCGGCCGTTGACCATACACTATGTGTACTTTCGAGTACAAATGACAAGAAAGATCTTTCAATTCGAACCGCACCCCCGCCAACAAGCCTTCGACCTCCACACGGTTCCACCCTAGTACGCGAGTGAACAGCGCAACGCAGTATGGTGGCATGGCTTCAAGCATGTTGAGTTGGTGATATCGCCCGAGCTCCTTCATTTTGGGGTCCCTAGGCCAAGGACTCTGGGGGAGCTATTTCAAGTCAATGATCAAGTTCTGGTCAATGTAAGGCAAATCTTACCTTGTATACGTCCTCGCGGACATTGACAAATCCAGTATTTTCAAACCGCTCCTTCCATGTACTGACTGAATCCATGTCCTTTCCGAAGCTTTTTGATGCAGCGTGTAAATTCTTCACACTCTCTACCATACATGTGGCTTTCAGGTGGGTACCGTCATCTGAGTGTGTATTCACTTCCATTGAGGCCATTTCAAACCACCCATTTGGAGTCAAATTATCGAATGCCTGTTTGAATAGCTTGTCATGATTGCGGATGGCTCCCTCGAGTTCGCGTCCATGGATGTAGTCAAATGGGTGGCTGTAAGACCATGGTTCTTCGAAGTCATCAATTTGAAAGCGACAGTTTAGTGGTACCCTGATCTTGTCAGCTATATGTTACCATACGGGGTTTCTGAGGTTTATGGACCATGATGGTTGAATGGGGCTGAGATCGATTCCTGTCGGGGTTTAGTTTCCGTTTATGAACATTAACGGCAATTCAGACATACCGACAACATCAGAACCTGGATTTTCGCTTCTTGGTATCAGTACTGGTAGCTGGTCATCATCTTTGAGTGACTTACTCCGCAAAGTCAATTGCCCATATCCCCGTGCCTGTGCCAAGATCAAGCACCCTTTTGGGGTTTCGGATCGGAGCACTGTACAATTCGCCTTTCAGTAACATTAGATATATATGATGGCTCTGCTCGATCGTCAATATATGTAATGGTAGATTCGAGTCACATATGCAGTGGGTACCGACCAGATCAAGTCGATCTTGCTCCTGCTCATCATTTGGCTATATCCATGTAAAGTTAGATTGGGAATTTGAAAAAGGGGGTCCACAATGGTCACAAACAAGAACGTATTCCCCCTCATGGTAGGAATGATATCTGCGACCGTTCTAAATACTCAGCGAATGGCCCAGATGGAGGAATTGATAGATGTACCTCATATCTATTGCTATCAGCAAACTGCGGGGTAACCAGATGTCCATTTCTGTTCCGGGAATCAAACATACTGATAATTCAGAGCACTCGAGGTGATGCTTTGAGACGAGCTCCTCTCTCTTGAAATATCATCAGCAAGAGATGCATCTCCATGACCATGGTACTTACGTGTCGGAGTATGCCGAATCACTGGCCGATGACTGTGCATTGTTAGTTAAAACGTTCTATTCAAGCAACAATCTGCAGGCGACTTACATCCGGCTCGATGATCTCAGACTCCTGCGCCATGGGGTACATAATTGACATTCCCCTGGGAATTGTCCAAGCGAGGGGGGAAGCAAGAAAATCCTCGAGATGTTTGCAGGAGTGAAGAAATGACCCAACCGCGATCCCTCACAGCCACACCGACTTCCGTCTTATGATCCCACGACAGCAGGAAGTGACCCGGAGTGTCGGGCCCTACACCATCCACTCGATGTATCATAACAAACCAGGTGGTCCCCTTTTATCACGCTAAACACGAGAAGGAAAAGAAAAAAAACCACCAACGGTACCAGCCGTGCGGGTCAGGCTCACAAAATTGGTAAAATTGAAAAGGGGGCCACTTCCGACCAATCATCATTGCATTCCGTTTCATGATTACCAAATGAAACATATTCGGCGCTAAGCTTTTTTTATATATCTACCGAGTACAGAGTTCACATTTTCATAGAGCCTTGAAGATGTACGGAGTATTCTGTACACGCTTTTACTACATCATGAATTCCAGGAAATCTGGGACATCCCAGCCTCGTCTTGGCATACGGTATTGGTCGCATAAGCGGACATTTGGATGGAAATGCGAACCCGACAATCTGGGTCATGACCACTAAAAGCGGAGATAAATACCGCTCAAATTCGGACTTTTCATGCATTCGCTCGTCGTTTCTGATTTGGCTTTTTGGTTCGCGCAAAGCCCATGGGCCGCATACGAGTCACAACGTGGATGCTCGATGGCCTAACACATGGTTGTGCAAATATCATACTTCATATATAATCACGTGGGTATTCTATGGAATATTTCTATATTTCTGTCATCTTTCTCGCAGTTTGATTGGATCAGCCAGAATTAATAACGTGCTTAGTTGCATGTTGATGTACTAAGCAGTTGGTATAATTGGGAAATTCTCACCACGCATCGCTTGATAAGCCACAGATTTCTTGCAGAATACAGTACAAGCTGTGGAGGTGGACCCGCCTTGTTTGCTATGGCAAGAATAGTACTGTTTTCATCCACTTCACAGCCTTGCCTTCCCCGTTCCCCCCGTTCCCCCCGTGCCCCCCGTTCCCGAGTCATACGCTTGTTGGTTTGGCTTGGAATTAAGGTTGTTCTTCCAACATTGAAAAATGACTATTGTGAGCTAAATTGCTCTTAAATTTCTAGAATTTATTTTCCCCAATCTCCCGCATCAGACCTGCTCATACATTACTAGGCGAAGCCAAAGCTCACGCTAACTACTAGTGAGCATGTGCTAGGTGTGATAAATATTCCACTCTGCACATGAGAAGGATAGCCTCATGCAGGTCGCATGGCAGGGGATTTACTCCTGCTGTGAGTTTTCTCCTGACTTTGGATTACATTCAGCCAATCTCAATTATATGAATCCTTTTCATAACTGCTTGATTAGGATAATTTACCTTTTGGTAGAACTAATAACCTTGATGCCTCAGGCACCCAGTGTTTCTGCCTCGGCCGGCGAAATTGATGTCATCCTCCACTTGTCATGGCAATTTACCTTTCCCTGTTTATCGTGACCTTGGATCTCTCAATTCCACAAGACATGAAATACGACTGAACTATCCTCTCTCATACATCTCTAAATCTACCACACAACCTCATCTGGCCCTGGGAGGCTTCCTCGACTTAGGCTTCAAACAACAACCATGGCCACACCCGCCCGACCTCCCCCCTCCCCGATCGTTCTCTTTATATACCCCGCGACCTTGCTATTAGGCTCACTGTTTTCGACCATCTCACCAACTGCACAATCCACAAGAAGATTGGAAGCGCCGTCCACCCAGCCTGCAGGAGCTCTGGCACCCTCTCTGGCCGCCGACCTACACCTGTCTCAGAGTCCAGTCAACTACTTTGCGCGGAAGAACAACATCTTCAACATCTATTTCGTGAAGATCGGCTGGTTATGGACAACACTTGCTTTCGCTTCGCTCATCCTCGCACAACCGGCCTTCCGCTCTACCTCACAACAAACGCGAATCCGCCGTACCCTCCAAGCAATATCTCGCTACGCACTTGCGACAACAGTATGGTATGTGATGACACAGTGGTTCTTCGGCCCAGCCATCATTGATCGCAGCTTTGTGTACACGGGCGGGAAGTGTCAAGAGATCCTCAAACAGGCAGGAGAGGCGAGGTCGAATTTGACTCCTTCTACTCAGCTGGAGACGGTTTTCTCGGCTGCTGCCTGTAAATCGGCGGGTGGGATATGGGGCGGTGGTCATGATATTAGTGGTCATGTTTTTATGCTGGTCTTGACTACGGCGCTTTTGGCATTCGAGGCTAATGGCGTTGGAGCCTTCTCGCTCGGTTCGCGTGCTGAGGGAGATGGTTCGCGTGAGCGAAAGGGGAGTGACCCAAGTGATGTCCGAGGTGATCAGGATGATGGATCTGGGCTAGCAAGGACATGGTCGCTGCGTTTCGTTTGGGGCGTGGTGGGCTTGGGTTGGTGGATGCTTTTCATGACTGCAATATGGTTCCATACATGGACGGAGAAGGTGACTTTCTACCCGCAGTACTTGGCTCTAGACCTTATACTAACTATCTCTTTCACAGTGGTCTGGCTTGTTAATTGCATTGAGCACTGTATATGCCATTTACATACTTCCGAGGAAGCTAGCACCCTGGAGGGATATTGTCGGTGTACCAGGGGCATAGTCCCAACTAGAATTTCCGGCTTTTCTTATTATGTTTCAAAGATGTATTTATTGCATTGATTCGGGCGCAGTCTGGGTTCACGAAACTGTGAAATGATTATTAGAAAGAATCGGAGTGTACTGATAGATATCTGCCAATGTCATCTGAAGTGGTAGAGACTAATCTCTTTCTGTTATGTCTGCAGTGCATGAGGCTCAGGGCCTAGATACCCTGCACAGAATGCTTGATAGCATAGAAGGGTTAGCAAGAGCATCATCGGTTACTGGATTGAAGGACCATACCACCTGGATTCAACGCCGACGCATACATCACTCGAGTGATAGGTCGCAGGTCTTCTGGAGTTGAATTGTCGGATATGGAGAGTTCCATGTATGGATCCCACGCGGTGATGATTGTATCAGCCCAAGTCTTGAGGTCAACAGCCCGTTCCTTGTCAGTGGTCTGCTGCGACTGACAGGAGCATCCCATACAGGTTCCGAACTCCCTGAAGGCCAAGCGATACTTGATGTTACGCGTAAGATATTGGTCGATCTCGAATAGATTATCTATCACGGTAAGTAAGAATCAGCGTGGATGTTCAACATTTAGGGGTAAACGTCTTACACATCTGCTCAAAGCATCTGTTCGCCAGATTTGAGGCCCACTTCTCTTTCTCAGAAAACCAATGCGCAGTCCACAAAGTCATGCCCAAGTCCAAAGTATCACTGGAAACAAAATGCTCTCCCTTTCGCTCCATGACTCGCTTGTAATCATCGATCTCCTGCGCTAAAACTTCCCCATCACCTGCTTTTGCAGCTGTGGCCTGGAGTATGCGGAAGACAACGAAGCCATCAATGGGATCTAGATTCCCCTCAGAGGAGACCAGTGGTGATGATAGATCCATGGACATCTTCCACATCATACGTGGGTATGGCACTGACCGATCCACGAAGAACTTCGGATGGATTGCGCGTGCCAGATTCACAGCTTGACGGTTGTATTCCATATCACCGGAGGCCATAGCCATTCGATTCAGTGCAAACATCCACACAGTTAGATAATGATGATACTGCCCATCACAATCAGATCCACGCTCATTTGCCTTGCCAATTCGCAACCCCCCGCCGAGAGGATTCGACTCTGTTGCTTCGGGTAATCGTGACAACCCATCTCTTGTACGACCCAGTACATCATGGACAGTCTCAATCAGCCGGCGAGCTAGCTGGAGGTATCGATCGTCGGAAACGCTGGCTCCGCCCGCGCGACAGTACTCATGGTGCATAGTCAACAGGTTTATGACGCCGAATGCATCAGTCCATAGGTATCGGCCGCGGTGACCCCCTGATTTCAAAGGAGGGTTCCAGTTTCCAGGTTCTTCTATAAGGCTGAAGCTGCCGTACACTGATTCCATGGCTTGCTGGAAGCGATCCAGTCGTGGAGAGGGACTACTGATTGGGAGAGCCATATTCGCGATGCCTGCTCCGAGGGGAGAAGATCGCGTTGTCGCGCGAATGATGAAACCCGAAATAAGTCTAGAGATGCGGTGTGGCAAATACCGCCTAGTCTGGAATATAATCATAAAAATGTCTTGCAGTCGGTAAGAGACCGTTTGTTCAGGATCATTGGGTCGGGTTGGTGAAGTCATCATTACTGGCCAGTTACCCGGGAGTGATCTCATGGAATGGACCGCCTCGGAGAACAACTACTTAGTTCACTTTGTATAGACGCGCATGGATGAGAATTAAGTATGTTCAGCTTATTCAAAAAATCCAACTAGCCTCGGCATATCCATCTATGCGCTTGAGATCGTTCTGGCGGTCACCAACACCCATGTCACAGCTACAAGTACTATTCAATCGGGCTATAGAGCCTCTCCCGGCGATTACGGACAAGAGCTTCGCAACTCACTTCGACATTTATGCTGATCGGCAACTCATTCTTCTAGGCGATAGTAGCCATGGCACTTCCGAGTTTTACCATGCACGAGCTGAGATTACCAAGAGATACATAAAGGAACACGGCTTCACCATGGTTGCCGTGGAAGCCGATTGGCCCGATGCCGAAGCTATTGACCGATATGTGCGCATGCGAGTCGGTCCTCGGGCGCAGATCGGTGGCACGGCAAATGGATTCGAGCCTTTCAAGCGCTTCCCGACGTGGATGTGGCGTAACCGCGAGATGCAGGATCTCGTGGAATGGATGCACGACTGGAACAAAGACTTACCACCAAGCAAGCGCGTCGGCTTCTACGGCCTCGATCTATACAGCATGGGAACGTCAATACAAGCTGTGATTGACTATCTTGACGGCGTGGACCCAGAAGCGGGCAAGGAAGCACGAAGACGTTATGGATGCCTTGCGCAATGGACGGAGGATCCAACGGAATATGGCCTGGCTTCGTTGCGCGGATTGAAAGACTGCGAGAGCGAGGTGCTGATGATCCTGCGTGGTCTCTTGGAGAAACGACTTCAGTATATCGGAGAAGATCCCGAAGGTCGCGACGAATATCATAGTGGGAGTGAGAATGCTTATCTTGTGCGTGATGCAGAGAAATACTATAGGGCGATGTATTGGAGTGAAGCTAGTTCGTGGAATTTGAGAGACACCCACATGTTCAATACGTTATTACGTCTCCTACAGCATCGTCCTCCGCCAGCAAACAAGGCTATTGTATGGGCTCATAATTCGCATGTTGGAGATGCTCGCTGCACCAGCATGGGTATTCGTCGCAGTGAGATCAACATTGGCCAACTGTGCAGAGAGCATTTTGGTCGAGGTAATGTTGCTATTATTGGCTGTGGTACTCACACGGGCACTGTCGCTGCAGCTCATGAATGGGACGACGATATGCATATCATGGACGTTCGTCCTTCGAGAGAAGACAGCTGGGAGATAATAGCTCACGACACTGGTGTGCCGAGCTTTCTGCTTGACCTCCGACGAGATCATCTTGATCCTATCCTTCGAGCTGCTCTTGCCAGAGAAAGCCGTCTCCAGCGTTTTATCGGTGTGATTTATCGACCTGGCACTGAAAGAGCCTCTCATTATTCCCATGCGATTCTCCATATGCAGTTTGATGGATACGTTTGGTTCGATAAAACCGAGGCCGTGAGGCCGTTGGAGATTATTCAGCCCAAGACAGCTCTTGGGAAAGAGGAAACCTATCCTTTTGGGCTTTAAATTACGTTTCTCATTCATTCAATATTATTACTTTCAGACTCCCCGTAGTAAAGTGGATTTACGATGTATGTATTAGAATGGTGATCAGGTCCTCTGTGTACATGATATTTGATTCATCGAGGTTAACTCAACCTTTCCTTCACCTTCTCCTTCTCTTCCTCCTTTACCTTTCTCTATCAACAACACGAGATATTTGTTTTTCATCCTTTCCAGATCAACTCAGTCAGTGGCTTCAATCCCCTCAGCTTGTTTTCTGTCCTTTCAAGCCCCACGCAGTCATCCGCCTGAGTCCCTTCAGCCACTGTCCTTCAAGAGTATGTTCTCTTTCCCTCCTCACACCGACTTCTGTCAACTTCCGAAAGTCAATAATGACTCGGTTCATCTATAGAAACACTCCAAATTATCGGGTAATACACAACAGAGTCTGCCAGATGAAAGGTGTCAGCGACCATGATATCGCTCTACAGCTGTATCTTGAAGAAATTGCGGAGTTTGAAGAAAAACAAAAAGGGAAACAAACTCAGAGGAACCAGACAGATCATGCCTTTGCTCTGGAGTGTATGAAAGCTGAGCTGTTGACATTCCAAACTGCCGACGAGGACAGAAATCTGGTCCTGAGTACGTTGACAGCCGTTACTAGAGATAGCGATATCCTTGCCTCGATTGTACGCGACGAACGCATTGCAGCAAGAGACCACCAGTACGCCCTGGCCCTGGCCCGTGGTGAAGAACCGAGGGATCTCGAGCCACCGGCAAAGCGCAACGAGGGTACGATTGCCCTTGCCATGGAAGATCTTACCAAACGCATGAGGCTTAAGGACCAGGAAGACAACGGAGAAGGCCCTTCAAGCTTCATTTCTTCAACCAAAGAGATCAAAGGGAAATGCATGTCTTGCCTTGAAAACCGCGATGACATCAAATTTTCTGGGAAATGTCATCACAAATTCTGTCATGATTGCACTCGACAATTGATCCTAATGACAATCAAAAACGAATCATTATACCCTGCCCGTTGTTGCGGCCAAGTTTTGCCGCCCATGGTTCTTCTCTCCGTTTTGAGCTACAGGGAGCTTCAAAAATACAGTGACAAGGGACTCGAATATTCCACACATAACCGAGTTTACTGTGCCGACCCGAAATGCTCTGAGTTTATTCCCCCATTCGCCATTGATGGGGAGAATGGCCTCTGCCTCAAATGTTATCAGCACACACATCTACCATGTCGCTCGTTAGCTCACCCTGGCGTTGAGTGTCCAACCAACAGCCAATACCGGCAAGTTCTGGCCCTGGCAGACGCCAAAAAATGGAGAGAATGCGCCAAGTGCAAGAACATGATTGAGCTTGGGCTGGGATGTAACCATATTATTTGCATGTATGTCAATCCCCCCCTCTGCCTTCGATAGGGAACTCGGTAAGCTAACAACCATGTCATTAGCTGTGGACACGAATTCTGTTACGTTTGTGGAACTCCCTGGACAACTCCGAAGACATGCAATTGCGCCTTGTGGAGTGAAGCACAGCTTTTGGCTGCGACGAACCGACACGTGGAGAACGAGGTCGCTCCTGGCGCAAATGAGAATGTTCGTCGGATTGCCTTCGACCAGATCCATAATCAGCTTCGCGACCATGAAGAAGTCGGCTGCGACCATTTCAGAAACTCCCAGTGGACTTGGATTTGCAAAGGGAAGCTACAGTGTGAGATCTGCTACTGTTATCTCCCCGATTACGTTTTCAAATGTACGAACTGTCGACTGCGGGTATGCTATCGCTGCAGGAGACATGGACTGTGATCTACCTGACGCCCTGCAAATGTGCCATCCATCCAAGTGAAATGAATTCGACAACATTGCTTTCCTCATTTTACCTACGACTTTAAAATTCTTGCACGTTTAGGGGAGATACACATCTTACTTCTTGTAATGCATAGGCTAAGCTTGAAAGCTACCTACGCTCTACCTGCTTTCCGTACATTAATAATGACTGTATCACCGTATCGAGAGCTTAGCATATGACGAGTAAAGTTTGTTTAGACTCAAGAAATGGAAAAACCAAAAGCAATTCAATCCTTACGATATTCGTAGTCCATTCCATTTTTTGTTCAACCACTTCGACACTCTCGTAACAACGCCAATCTCTAGCCCCCTGGTATTCTTCTCGCTTCATTGGTAACTAGTATCTCAACAAAATCAACGCCGTAGATTAACACGAGTTGCTTGAATCAAATCAAGGCTTGCAATATTCTCGATAAAGAAGGAGAAAGAAAGAGAGGGATCTACTAGCTAAGAAATGCATGCACTGAAACAAATGGAGATGGCCACCTGACCCCATACTCCAGTAAAGTACAGATGCGACCAAGCCGCCCATGATCCCATTGGCCAATCTAGTAAGCTCGCTGGAGGTTCGTGTAGGTGGGGTCATGCTGGACGGGCCGTTCCTGCCACCATGGAGCTGGTCCCAAAATAAGACAGAATCTCCGTAGGCCTCGGGTAAGCAGAGGCGGAGCACACCACTAGTCGGGATCCGACTCAGCCAACAGATTCTGTATTCGTCGCTAATGGGCTGGAGCCATCGGAATCAAGCGGGGGATGGAGACTAGCGTGCTGCAAGTTGGAAACAGGTGTTGTGGGGGCCGTTTTACGTAGATTTTCCGTACTCACTTTGACCAACTTATGGAAGGTTTCGATGCTAGCAGTGAAATTCATATTGATGGAAGTACCGACATCCAAAGTCTCCCTCTCTCTCTCTCTCTCTCTCTCTCTCTTCTCTCAATTTTCCGCATTGCGTCAACCGGGAAAAGAAAGACGGCAGCCACCGTATCCTACATGCATACCAAGAAGTGAGAATGTTCCCCCTTAGTATCGGTTTACTGGCTTTATCTGATTTTTACCGACTAGCTTCGAGCTAGAAATGCACACCCTGGGAGCCGTCTTTTCACTGCCCCAAAAGCCCCTGTCATGTCTCCACAAACATGGCTTCTTGTCCAGATAAGAAGACCGAGGAGCTGGGCTCTAATTATGGAACACACTAGCCTGGACATTGTGTTCGTTTAAAATCGATGTCTTCTCCCTTCAGCGTCGGGCATCGCCTCGTGAGGATCCCTTGTTCTTCATGCTTTGGCACCGCCACGTGATTCACAAAATGTTAGTCTCTCTATTAATAGGAATACTTTGTTTATTTCCTCCATCAGGCGTCGCAACGGCCCTCGCGCCCGGAAATGTCGCTCTACGAACTCGAAATGCTCCCGGAACGACTGATGGGGACACTATCAGTACACTGGGGCGTGCTCTTCATAAGGCAACGCTGCAGTCTCGCAATAATGTTTACTCAATGAACAGAACTTCTCTCGCCAAAAGCTGGAACGGTGCCACTCTGTTTATCTTCAGTGAAAGGTAAGCTTTCATGGACGCGAGCTTGGCCACAAAATTATTGAGAGGTTTTCAATTATAGCACCGAGACTGCAGCAATAGAAATCACATGCTCTACCTGTTACGTGAATGGCTCGGTTAACGGTGACTTGAGCCTTACAGGGGGTTTCAACTTCACTGAAACCATTGATGAGATTGGAGATGATATCTTGAATGTCACAGACACAGCGATTCATCAGCTGGAAGATTATGTCGAAACAGCCGCCAAAGATATCGCAGAAGATATTGCCACTCTCAAAATTGAAGCTATTCCATCTTGGCCAACCCTCGATCTAGACTTGAATTTGGATAACCTGACTGCTCTCCCAGGCGCTCAGATCCACTTTGAGTTTGACAACTTGGAGTTGTATCTAGATCTTGACATAAAACTATCAGCAGGGGCCACCTATACGCTCAACTTATTTACGTCTGAAACTGCTGCTGGATTCTCAGTCCCAGGACTTGATGTAGGAGCAGTCATTAGCGTGGACTTGATCCTCATCGCTGATCCTGAGATCGATATTGGAAGCGGCATTCATATCAAACTTGAAGATGGGCTTGGATTTGACTTGGAGATGTTCAGTTCGAACGTTTCGAGTATTTCTGTGTAAGTACTACGTTCTAAAATCCTTGGAATGTCTCTGACTCAAGATAGCCCGGGTGGTATTTACGAGTTTCTGCCGGTCACCATTACCGGCGAAGGCTCTATACAAGCCCTTCTAAGCCTGAAGGCGAGTCTGGGTGTAAATATACAAACCAAGAGCCTGGATGCATTTAGCTTCAGTGCAGGTGTCGAGGCGGATATTTTTACTTATGTCGCTGATTTTCTGTTACAAGTCAACGGTTCCACAGCGGCAGATGATAGTGACTGCGAGTTAGCTGCCGTTGCAGAATATACGATGGCTGTCGGAGCAGCAGCTGGCGCGACAGTAGCAGTCGATACCTACTCCTGGGGTCCATCGCCAAATACCACCGTGGCCGTCTGGTACACGACTTTGGCTAGCGTCTGCGCAACATCCAAGACATCATCAGCTACATCTGCTATGATCACCCCTCGAGCCGAGATCGAGGCACGAGAAGATGTCTCCACCACAACTATGACATCGAAAGAGTCATATACCATCGTCAATTGCCTCTCCTCGGGGCTAATCAATTGTCCCGTGAATTTGCAAAACACCACCTCTTATAAGCGGACCGTGACATCGGACGTCACCGTTCAGTCGGGATCTTCAGCGACGTTTCCTGTTAACACATATGCCTCTGTCACAAGCGTGATTCCATTTGGAACGAATGTGCGGAGTCTGCTTGCCACATCGGGATCTCCCACATCATACATTCCGACATCCACATCTAGCACATCAGGAAACAGCAAAAGTGTTATTGATGGTACGACCGACGGAACTAGTAACAAGCTTATCATCGGGCTGAGTGTTGGCTTGGGAGTTCCATTCCTCGCAGCATTGGCCCTAGGACTTGGGTAAGATAATACTTCTTTGTGATGATCGTATCATAACTGACTCGTCTGATTCGTTGTAGCTTATATTTCATCAAGCGCAAGAAGTATGCTCTTGTTGCTCCCCAAGCAGAGGCAATCACCGAGTACTCTCCGTCTATGTCTTACGATTTTCCTAGCCCACCTGACACGCCTGGCAATATGAAAAAAAAGACTCGGGTATTTACAACCGAGACTTAATGTGAGGCTATACGATATGAATGATGAAGCGTCTAATTTATGATACTTGTTTGAGATTCGCTCGATGAAATTCAAAGAATGGGCTCTTTTCCTTGAAGATCAATGACTCTAATAGCGTCCCTGCATCCCTCTCTGCAAAAAGAAGCCATTTCCTAATTTGGCGGCATGTGCCACTGATCACCAACACGAAAACCTTCTGGAAACGGATCCGTTGCATCCAAAACAATCTGTTTGAAACTAGTAATCCAAGCCCGACCTTTGACAGTAGGCAGGACAGCAGAGTACTTCCCCACCTTTGCCGTGCCACGAATCCGAGAGATAAATTCTGTCCCCAGAATACCCCGATGTTTGAAAGTCTCCCCCTCCTTAATATGCCCTCGAGCATGTAGAACTGCTAGCCGGGCACACGTTCCAGTTCCACAGGGACTGCGATCAAAACGTCCTGGGGAGACTACCACGGCATTGACAGCAGCCTTGCATCCCTCTTCTGTCTTTAAGGGTTCTGTGAATGCAAGTACACTAAACCCCGTTATACCAGCATTCTCGGGATGAACAGGAGTGTAAACTACTTCAACGGCTCGCTTGATCCGCTCTGCGACCTCCACTAGCCTTTGTGATTTTTGGTTCTCGACCCGTAAGCCCAGGGACGCGGCATCAACCAGAACATACATCATGCCTCCATAGGCGATATCGACAGTCACATCCCCGAGTCCCGGAACAGGAACTTTAAAGTCGAGTTCGAGGACAAAGGATGGCACGTTGTTGAATTCGACGGTTTTGCACTTCCCTGCTTCACACTCTGCGGTGACTGTCACCAGTCCGGCGGCGGTATCTAAAGCAATCTCGGTAATGGGCTCCTTCATGGGAATCATGCCAGTTTCCAACACAACGGTCGTGGTGCAAATGATATTGGATCCGGACATGGGTGCATATTCCTCGCTTTCCATGATCAGGAATCCGGCATCAGCTCCTGGATCGCAGGGAGGAAGAACTAGGTTCGTGTTCATTGATGCTCGGCCTCGTGGTTCATTGAGGAGGAGTTGGCGCAAGTGGTCTTTTTTGGTGGACATGTGGACGAGCTTTTCTTGCATTGTTTTTCCAGGGACGTCAAGAACGCCGCCGGTGATGACATCTCCCACTTCGCCTTCTGCATGACAGCCGACGACGGTAAGTGAGCGTGAAAATGGCATGACTGTGGTAAAAGGTGAAGTTTATCAATGCTGAGATTCAAACTGGACTTGTGCTGGAGAATGGCACATTAAATACTTCAATGATTCGAGCCCGGTCTACTTCTGTTCTTTGGCTTCTGCACATGTTCATTTTGGTAATGGACTATAAACAAACCGCGCGCGTGTTTATCACGTATCATAACATTGCTTTTTCCATGATTTTCAAAGAATTGATCCTTGCTGGCGCTGTTAGCGCGATAAATCGGCACTTTCATTTCTCCTCAATTCAAATAATCTGGAGATTCGAAGACCTGTCTGCATAACTGCTGAGGCTGATCAGTACTCTTCAGTGATCTTCACTTGGAAATGCCACGAAAAACAACCAGGAAAACTACCCCGCACAGACTTCATCTCAAAGTCATCTTGGTCAGGTGAGTGTGGTTCATGACGGGGTCACATGAGCTAACTCTCTTTTCTTTTGGCAAATCTGCAACTCCTGCAGGAGAGAATCCTTTCCTGCAGCTGTGGGGTTTGTGGAACTCTGTACTTTCATTCCCGATCACGTGGTCGGTTCTGTCAAGCGGGGGCAAGAGAGTCAAGAGTGCCCAATATCATGGAATTCGGCTAAATTTGTCATGGGGAGTTCTGTTTCCTGGAACCATCCGAGCAGTACCTCAACGTGACTGTAATGTGTTTGTTTGGTTGATATGGGGGCTCGATCTCGCTTCGGGTGTTTGTCCTGTCGGCGTCGGAAGAAGAAATGTGATGAACGGAAACCGACATGCACAGCGTGTTTGCGCAATAGTCTTGGCTGCTTGTGGCCAGACTCAAGTCCACAGGAAAGATTGACGTTGCGACTACAGGCACTGTACACAAGAAATGAATTGGACGCGCGGGCCTTCGTCTTCGGTGAACATCCCAATTTCCCGACTAGGTCCATCCCCTTGTGTCCGCCCCATTTCGCTCTTCCTGGATCAATCTCGCCAGTGGCTGGAACTTGGAGACTTCTTGATCATTACCTGAAGGATACAGCCAATCGGTTGGCATGTTTGCAGGACAGCAAGAACCCGTTCCTGCATACCCTTCTCCCGGCTGCTCTTAATGATGAGCTTCTACTGAATTCAATTCTGGCCTTATCTGGTGTCCATATGTTGCAGCGACTTCCTCAATTAGATCGAGAGATTCAGATATTGACCTGGTCAAATTACAATCGGGCATTGAAGCAGCTTAGAGTGGCCTTATCGACGGATTTCAGTGTGGGGACTAGTGTAGATGCAGCTTGGCGTGCTTTGCTAGTTGTCTTAGTATTCTATCTATTAGAGGTAGGTCTGGACTCTACAATTTTGGGCCAATTGAAAACTATGCTTACATTTTATTTAGGCGACCAGAGGTACTGACCACAAAGCTATGCAACAACACCTCGATGGTGCGCACTATTTGATGGCCTATATCATACGCTCCCCCAAATCAAGCCAGCCTAGCATCGTATCGCTAGCGACTGAGCTATATGTGTACAATTCTTCTCTTGCATCGTTCACCACCAATTGCCCACCAACACCGCTTCCTATCCATACAAGCCCTTTCAAATCGGATGGTGTAATGTGCGGTTGCGCTCATGAGCTTTTCACCTACATACCCAAGGTTTCCGCTCTTATGTGGGAGTTTGCGTCCCATGACTCGAAGTTGCCTAGAAATGACCTTAACTTGCAGTACCATGCGTTGAGGGCTCAAATCAAAAACTGGAAGCCATATAGCGAACAGTCAGGCATGGTTCTTTGCGCAGAGCTGTATCAACAGAGCCTTCTACTCTTGTTGGATTTTCAATTCTCTGGCAATGGGTCGCAAATCAATATTGAGAATGCCTTTCAAAATCTCGAGTTCCTCCTTGCTCGCTTTCCTCCAACCTCACCTATGGCTACCACCGCTACTTGGCCTCTTTTTGTATTTGGCATAATCGCCCACAATGACCACCACAAAACGTTGATTCAATCATACTTACAATGCTCATTAAAAGAGTTTGGAATGGGCGTCATGTCAACAGCGCTTAGTCATTTAGAAGAAGTTTGGAAGGAGTCTAACCAGAATATGGTCACTAGGTTCTTTTCGAACCAAAACAATGTAATATTGATTTGCTAAACCTTGGCATTATCAGCATGGGAAGCAACACGTTCGATCGGTAGTTTTTCCGTAGCGCTCTTCAAAGGTAACAAGATTGGCGGGTTCCCTCACCCAATTGGGAAGCCAAACACGCCCGAGGGGATATTGGTGTGATGTGTGACTGGAGGCTTTCCGCTGCGCATTTCGCCCGCCTAGAACACCAATGTTTCTACTATACCATTTACCAACCCTGTCTCCCATATCTCCTGACTCTCAACAGTTGAGGTCTCCAAATTACATATAACGAACTGAAAAGAAGAAAAGAGAAGTCGAAGAATATAGATTCGAATGTCTTAAAAGTCCACCGTGTACCCAGGTAAAAGAGGGCCATCTGTGGGGCGAAAAACAAAGATAGCAAAGCTAGCTGGTGGCGTAAGATGATCGAATTGATTGGACCAAGTAAACGAACTGTTTCCTCTGGATCCGGCAAGTTATGTGCGGGGTAGAACGGCAAGGAGGCGATAACCCGGCCCGATCACCTGAAGCCGTTGAAACGAGTGATAAGGCGCATTCCTTTCCCAGAAAGATTTTGTATTCAAATTCATTCTCTGAATTCAGAAAAATGCCCCGCACAAGTGAGTCCGTTTTGCGAAGGGAAAAGAACCCTAATCGTTGTAAGCCCAAATCTAAAGGAGGCTGTCAGAAATGCAAGGAACGGCGAGTAAGTTGAGGTGTGGATACTGCGCGTTTCCACATCAGCCCGGCACTAACTTTCTTTTGTAAAGCGTAGGTGCGATGAATCTAGACCCAGTTGTCGAGAGTGTCTGAAAAAGGGCTTTGTATGTCCTGGATATCAGAAAAAGCCTCTGGAATGGCGATATGTTTTCCAGGATCAAGGCGAGGATCAGGAACAAGTCCAATTCGACTCCCCACCAATAGTTGGGCCATCGGTACAAGATACCTGTGAGAGTATAGAGAGTGAGGTGAAAGCTACCCATAGCAGACATCTACAAGAACTCTGGGATGAGGCGAGCTCAACCAACTTGGACCAACTTCCTGAAGTTGACACATCCATCGATATCCGATCCAGACTGAATGATGTGGCCGTTGTCAAAACATCACAATCAGATAGCTTAGCAAGTCTCCATCAACGATTGGCCAACACAACAATACCCTCCTTTTTGATCCACATGCCAGCCATTCTGGTCCAATACTATTTTGACTTTGTCTGCAAAGCCTGGTCCTCCTTTGACTCGCCATTGAATCCATTCCGACTTATTGTCAGTCGTCTTTGGAGTCAAAATGCGGCTATCTACTATGCCATTCAGAGCATGGCGGCAGCCTCGCTTGCAAATGATTTCCCAAGTATGAGAGCGATTGGAATCCAAACACAACAGCAAGCAATTGCATGTCTTCGGAACAATCCCCGAATAGGCTCTCTGCATCGAGATGATCATGACGATGAGTATTTTCTGGCCCTTCTCATGATCGGGTTAACAACAGCTTGGCACAACGCCGCCGACTTGGGATTGGAATATTTGAAAGAAGCAAAGGACTACCTCGTGAATCAGCAACAAATGTGTCAGAATCCTGAATCGACTTTTGCGAAACAGTACCCTCTTTTCCAGCAATGCCTGCTTTATTGGAACATGATGGCCGCCTTTGTGGCGGAGGACTCGCTGCTTCTGAATGAAGAGAAGGTCCTGGAAAGACCCGATACAGAGATGTCAGTCTACTTGGTGGACGGTCAAGCCCTTCCCCACCCATGGACAGGGCCACTTTCTAAATCAATCAGCCTCTTCTACCAGACTGCTAAATTGATTCGAGCTGCTCGGATCTCCTATCGGACCCGCAGCGACAATCTGGACTTGGCAAATATTGACTTCAACTTTCTTGTTGAGGAGATTCATCAACATGAAACTGCCGAGCGACTCGAAGAGGAAATTTTGTTTACGGGAATTTCTTCCTACTGTGGCCCGGTCGACATCGGCGACACAGACACACCCCCAACCCACTTCATAACTCTAGCAGAGACATATCGCTGTACTGCCCTACTCCAAATCTACCACGTCTTCCCCGACATTCTAGATGAGCGGCTCCAATGCGAAAGCTTACCCGAACAAGAACCTTCAGTTCTCTTCTCTCTTCTCTTCGGGGTAAATTCCACATTGCCTTCGGCGGAGGAGGCTCGTCGAGTCTTAGCTCTCCATATCGTATCGCTTCTTGATCAAATCCCTCCCTCGTCCGGAACTAGATGTATGCACCCCGTAGTTCTGACCTGCATTTCGAGCGATCTTGGGTTTTCCAATCAGTCTCTTTTCGGTTCTGCGGCGAATGCAATAGCTTCTTTGAGCGCTTTAGACGTGGAGATTGCTCAGGCTCGGCGAAAGGTCAGCATGTGGTTCTCGGAACTTACTTTGATTCTTCCAAAACTGCGGTTGCAGCGCATGTCTCGCATTGTGCACGAAACTTGGAGTAGAGCGGATGCTGGAGTTGGTGAATACTGGTTGGACACAATGCTTGAACACAACCTTGAGACCATGATGGGATAATAGTATGTAGTAATCATCATTTTCTATTTAGGTTTTCATATGACCACTGAAAAAGGGGTTCAAACTTGTTTGGAAGTAGAGTTTGAGTCATTTGTAAGTGATGTAGAACTGTAAAAATGAAATAAAATGATCATAGTCATATGTATCCAGTCAAAGGGTTCTCCAATTTCATAGTTAAGGATTAAATTTTCATATGTTCGAATCATATACTCTCTGTATTTAGCGGAAAAGAAAGAAAAGAGAAGTGGAAAGAGACCGGAAAACGGAAAAGTCGGGGGCTAGGGTTTTCGAACTTACGTTCAAGTAAGTGATAGATGGAGATAGGTCTTTTAATACTTACAATCAACCTTCCTAAACCGGCGATTCACTTGCCGCTTTCTGAGCCTGAGCGCCATCATATAGCGGCGGTGGCCCAGATATGAAAGGCCCCACCGTCTATATACGGACGTTGAATGGCTAGAGAGTTTCCCGTCTTTGCGGGGAAGCTTTTGAAAGCTTATCGATAGGGAATCATATCGTTTACATTTCTACATGAGGCTGATACTTTTACGTTGCTCCATCCTTATCTGAATCGACCCATAGAATCCTCGGAAGATGACCTTTCTTGGACTAGCCTAGCCGCGGTGCATTAGCGTAGCCGCAAGCTCCGACTCAGTAGAGCCTGGACGGAGAGAAGTTAGGGCAACAAACTTGGGATTTGAGTCTTCGGTCAAGATAGTATGACATCTTGGATTTGGACAATCGTCATCGAAAATGGCGTTTTAGAGGACAGATAAACTATATTCGGAAACATGATAATGACTTCTCTTATCTAGATGCATACCTAATCTTTCTAATCATCCTTGAGCTCGAGTACAATTGTATGAAGCTACTTTCGCAATGTGAGTCTATTGATAAGGCATTTATCCATGCTAACACTGAAAGTGGAAAATTCGTACACTGGAGTGTTTCAAATTAAACATCTTTGATAAAGGAATGATATGAGATTGTAGCTCTGCATTAATTCATTTGATATGATGAAATCATTTTCATATCGCAGGTATTAAGGATAGCTTCAAAGTACCGCATTATGGAATTAGTTAATATGTCGGGAAACACTTGCAGGCACAAGATCCAGGGAAGAATGAGACCCTATTGAGCGGAGATGACCAATTGATTCATATTTAGTGGAGATGATCTTACCTTTCTTGGCAATGCATTCCCTAGAGTGGTTCAGCTGATAACTAACTCTCATCCTGATTTCAAAGTCTCGGCGCTTCTCCGCACCCGGCGTCATCATCTCTACTCCAATAAAACAAATTTGATAGCCAATTACCCCACGTTTCATGTCCTTAATGCCGATCATGCGACAATAAGGCTAACACGAAAAATACCAGGCTCTATAAGGATTACCCGTAACACTTATCATGAATTGTCAATTGTGATTCGCTACACTCAATGGTTAGATACGCCAGACGTAGTCTCTCCATGACCAACGTCTCAATCAGTTTGGAGCAGCAATACATAAGGGGTCTGTGTTCTTCTCCATCCTTCTTTTTCTTCAGTTTTCATTCATTCATCTACCAAGTCTTGTGGCCTTCAATATGGCGACCACACCAGAAGCCCACCAATCTCCTCCTTCGCCAAGTCATCCTCCATCATATGAGAAAGACGCCAAGTATGATGTCGATCTTGAACAATCTGACCCGATCGAGGCAAATGGTCTCTTAGAAGCCCTGGGATATGAGCCTGAGCTCACAAGGAATCGATCAACCCTCCAGGTGGCTTTCATGTCTTTCGTTCTCGCATCCATTCCATACGGATTATCCACAACATTCATTTACCCGCTCTACGGTGGAGGTCCCGTAAATATCATCTGGGGATGGTTGATGGTATCAGCCATCATCTTGTGCGTTGGAGCCTCTCTCGGTGAAATTACTTCAGTCTACCCAACTGCCGGCGGTGTCTACTACCAAACATTCATGCTCTCCTCACCCGCTTATCGAAGGATCTTTGCCTGGATTTGCGGGTGGTCCTACGTGGTAGGCAATGTTATGATTACACTCGCTGTGAACTTTGGATCCTCCCAGTTCATAGTCGCCTGCGTCAATGTTTTCGAGTCATCGCCGGGCGTTGGAGTCCTTGCAGGAGAAACATATCAAATCTTCCTTATATTTCTTGCTATAACCTTGCTGTGCAATGCTGTTTCGGCATTCGGTAATAAGTGGCTTCCTCATCTTGACGTATGTTGGTCCCATACAACCATTGAAATCATTCACTCACACTGTGCTCTAGACATTTGCCATATTCTGGACCCTCGCCGGTGTCTTGGCTACTGTGATTTGTGTCTTGGTCATTGCTAAGAATGGCAGACATGACGGTGAGTATGTGTTTACCAAATTTGAGCCCCAGTCGGGGTGGCCGGTTGGTTGGTCATTCTGTGTTGGTCTCTTGCAAGCTGCTTATGCGACTTCTTCGACTGGAATGGTCATATCGTATGTCAACCCTTTCAATTACTTCTAAATCCTCTCTTCTTGTGGTTATCGCAGACTCACATCTTACAGAATGTGCGAGGAAGTTCAAGAGCCATCCCGTCAAGTCCCCAGGGCCCTTGTCGGCACGATCATTCTCAACACACTCGCCGGTCTCCTGTTCCTGATTCCCTTGGTCTTTGTGCTCCCCGACTCGAAAGAGCTTATTGCACTCCAGTCTGGTCAGCCCGTTCCCACTATAATCAAGTCCGCTATTGGCAATTCAGCGGGCACGTTCCTTCTACTGCTTCCGCTCGCTGTTCTCGCTTTACTATGTGGTATTGGGTGCACCACAGCTGTATCGCGATCTATATGGGCATTTGCAAGAGATGGGGCCATTCCCTATTCCCCAAAATGGAAAGAAGTGAATAAAACCCTGGGTGTTCCTTTCAATGCTATGATGCTGGGTATGGTTATCGAGATCGCCCTTGCACTTATCTACTTTGGATCGACCACTGCATTCAATGCTTTCTCTGGAGTTGGTGTTATCACTCTAACCGTGAGTTATGCTTGTCCGATTGCAGTCTCCTTTATTGGAGGACGGCAGCAAATCAAAAACGGAAATTTCGACCTAGGGAAACTCGGAGTGTTTTGCAATGTTGTGGCACTAGGTGGGTCGAGATTTTTCTTCTTGGAACCGCTCTTACTGACCTCATTCTAGCCTGGAGCATTCTGGTTGTGCCTCTGTTCTGCATGCCGTCATACATACCCGTCACAGCAGAGACTGTCAACTATGCACCAGTGGTCTTTGTCGCCTTTATCATTATGGCTACCGCTTGGTACTGGGCCTGGGGACGAAAGAAGTATGTTGGACCACCGACTGTTGACGATGCGGTAATTGATATCCGCCTTGATGGGTCTTGATACACCAGTGATCAGGAGAAAGTGTAAGAGATGTATCTCAAATGGCGCTATATCTGTCTTATAAGAATCGTAACAATTGTTTTCTTGACTATTCAAATATTTCGTTCCACCTGGTTCCGGATAAATCCGACAATTTGGTCAAATCCTTCGGGCTCTGCAATCCAATGACCATCCCCCTCAGCACCAGTGAATTCATTCCACTCTGTTTGGAGGCCAAGACCTCGAAGGACCCTAAATGCTTGGCGGCCTAGTTCTACAGGGACTCAGCTGTCATCAGAGCCATGGCTCAGAAACGCTGCAGTCGATAACACGGATAAGTCGGTATTCTCATTGATCTGCGGCGTGATGGGGCCAGCAATGACATCCAAAAATAACCGAGACGCTTGGCGTTGTTTGCTAGAAACATCCAACATGCTAGGAATATTTGTAGACCCTAGAATAAGATCCTCTACTTGTCCAGCAAAAGGCAAAGATCCACAGAAGCCCAAAATCCCACCAAGTGGACCTTGAAACCTTCCTGGGGCGCAAAACAATGTCCATAGGGTAGTCGCCATACCCTGGCTGATGCCCCCGAGATAAACACGACGAGGATCCCCACCGACTTGTTCAATCTCACGGTCTAATAATTCCAGGATATAAAGCACTGATTCTCTGAGGCCGTCCACTTGCAGTTCTTGTTTTTCTCCGATATCAGTAAGGGAGTATGCATCAAACCAAGACGGCATATCTCCTTCGAATCTTGCACTCCATCGTTCACCGGAACTGGGAAAGACCCAGCGAAAATTTGGTAGGCTGTCTGGCAAGTTTCTGCCCTGTGAAGTCACGGAGGAAAATAGTTCTTCGGCAAATTCTGGGCCATCGCTTCCCCTGCCATGAAGTAAAATCGCCGTGTGGGTGTGCAAGCTTCGAGGGAGTTGGGTGTGAAGATCGGGGAACTGCATGTTGGCGCTAAGGTCAAAATATAATCAATATTCTCGGCATTTTGTGGCAAGTCTGGCTTTGAATGTCCAATGCTTTGGGAGTAGGTAGAGTTTGAGCCGCTTGTCGGTGAAGGCTGCGGTCTAGGCGCCTAATCACGGGACAACTGCCTGGCTGATGACAGCGCAAAGTCGACAATTGACTGTTAGTTGGAAAGATTCTAATTCAATCACTGCTACTGAACTTGGATACCATGAAAACAGCGGATTGTAATCCATCGCATCTCAGCTGTTGTGGTTGATGATTAGTCATGTGACGTCAAGCGCGTTTGTTTACATTTTGGACTCGCTTCGACCTAAACTTCAACAGAACATTCACCTGTCCAATCGCCTTTCCCACCCCAATCCACACATCTTCTTCGAGATTGAATTCGAATTCAATTAAGCTTTATCCGAAACCACATACATCTTTTCAAGCCATGGCGGTTCGGCGTTCCGCCCGCCTGCGTTCCCAGGGAACTCCCGATGTGCGTGTCCTAGCAACGCCCGGCAAGAGGGGCTTGCAACGTCACTGTGATTAAAGATGATTCAGACTAACCAACGACTCTTCCATTAGAGCGATGAATCTAGTCCTCACCCGACCGTGATTACTCAACTTTCATCTGTTGAGGAACAGGATGAGAGGCCAAGCAACCAGCCTGCCGTCCGCACACCGGTCACCAAGAAGACCACTCAGAAACGGACTTTCACAAACTCGCAGCAGAAGCCTAAGGAGGCAAGAACCCCCACTAGCACATCCGCTGCTCGCCCATCTACGCAAGAGATGCACCCTAGCAAGGCACACCAAAGCACTACAAAGAAAGTAGATTCAGGCCTAATCCTCGGCTTCAATCCCATCAAGAGAGATGCGGCTGGGAACATCTTGAAGGATGGCATAGTTGAAAACACACCCTCCAAGACCAAGCTCTCACCTGCAGGTACCCAGTTTGGCACACCTGGCTATGAATTCAAATTTGGACAAGAGGCGGAGCTCAGCAATGACGCCCAGCAACTGATGGAAAAAATTCGCCAGGAAGCCAGAGAGGCCAGGGCCAAAATGGGGCCGATCAAACCAGAGGAACGGGATCATGCGACTCAGGCCGAACGTAAAATCGCAAAGCCAAGGGGTCAGGCGGGACGATTTAGCGACGTGCACATGTCCGAATTCAGGAAAATGGACTCGATTGCCAATCACCCTTCCTCTTTCCGGGCTACTCCGGGTCGCTTCCAGCCTGTGACAAAGTCACTGAAACGGAAAAAGTCCAAAGCTCAGCTGGACGAACCCGAAACTCAACCAGAATCGCCATCTCGATCCTCCTCGGCAAAGCCATCGGCCGTGCCCATTCCTACTGTCACTGCTAAGCGCGCAAAGCACAACGCCGGGGATGATACAGCAGCCAGACGTGCAGATGCTGAAGTAGTTGAAAAGAAGGAAGACGCTGCACCGAAGCCTGCTGCCAAGCTCGCTGGCCCTCGACCTCGCGCCATCCGCAGTTCTTTGATGACTCCGACTCGGTCCTCCATGGCACGCTCTACATCGATTACCATGAGCCTCAAGGCCCCCAAAACATCATTGATTCCTTCTTTGGCACGCTCCCCTTCTACCCAGGCTTTAGCATCTCCGCGCACCCCTCGGACTGATTTCAACCCGCGCTTCAAGACCAACCTGCCCAGTTTTAGCAATCTCAAGTCTATCCTCCGCAGACGCCAGCCATTGTTCTCCCGTAACCCTGCGAAGATAGCTGCTGGTACCCATGTCGCTCCCCCTGACTTCAATCACGACTTGCTCTTCGGCAAAAATGACCAAAGTGACGCCGCCCCGACTCCGTCGCCGAAGAAGCACGTTGAATTCACCCCTAGCGTCAAGTCTCGCCATGAGTTTACTGAGGCCTCTCCCAGCCGGTCCAGGATCCCCACTACTCCGTCCCGATCAAACCTGTCCAAGATCGTCTACCCAACTCTCCCCGCTCTTACTCCTGAGCATAAATCAACTACTGAGGAGACCAGCACTACTCCCACCCACTCACCCTCTGTTCGTCATGTTCGCAACTCAGATAATGGTGACTTGGAACCTGTATGGCCTGAGCTCCCCGTCGTGGCCCACGGAGTTTCCCATGGACTCAGCAACAAAAAGAGACGCCGGGACGATGTTGACGATGACGATCTTCCTAATGCTGAAAATTCCGAAAATGTGCCACCCGCTGACACCCAGTCCGACGAGCGTGGAGCGAAGAGAATGAAGGCGAACCCGCCTACCCCCAGCCCCGTCAAATCACGTCCTATGAAGACTCCCAATCGGTCTGTCTCCTCCATTCGTTTCGGTACCCCGACCAGTACGAAGCAGAAGCGTCCAGGTATGCTCAGTCTGAGTCGTCTGAACATGCTGGCCAAGCCAAAGGGACGTGCTTAAATGCTGTTCTCATTAAACAGACGCCTGGCGCCTTTTACCAGTAGTCGATTTCTGATGAACCTCGTTTCCGTGCACAACACCATGTCGACTCAAACTTTAATACTCGATCTTCAACTTGGTCACTGCTAATTGCCTCGTTTCCTGGCGTTGACAATCCCTTTTACTTTTGACTTTCTACCTTGTATCTTCTTTTTCATGCCCCCCATGGCTTCGACTTCTTTTCTTCATGGGTGTCTTGTCTCTTTCCATTCTCTCCGCTTCACATACTTTGTGTCTCTGTGTGGTTCATCTTGGCGCTACGGTATGCATTTACGTTTTGCTTAACCGGGAAATATTCAGTCTAGGCGTGATGGTGGTGTTTCTATCTTTTGTTTCTTCTTTTTCTTTTCGTTTGGCAGGTTCCCCCTTCCTTTCTCTGCAAGAAGCTGCCTCTCTTGTTTGTCTTTGGGACCGAATCGCCTATGAACTTGCTCTAGTCTTGTTTGACTATTGATTTTTGAACTTTCAAGTTGAGTTACTAGGCTTTCGGTAACTAGAAAGGACATGTTATGTATGGGTACGGTGCTTCTTTGCCATGTTGCCTGCTTCGGGCCTATGTATGACATAATGACTTCACAAAATTCCTTTCGAAATTGTTTGACTTTTCTCCTAATTCCAAGAAGTTGTCTCGTAAAAAAGTTCCCTGTGTTGTTGAGGGCGTCGTGGCTCCTTCACATAATAATTTCTCAATGACCATGCCTATGCGTGCTCTTTCAGCTACGATCACCTATTTTTACGGGCGTTAGGCAGATAGTGAAGCATAAGGAACGTGTCATCTCTTTGTACTCCGTACATGCCAGAGTTAATCGGTCATGGGGAAAATTCAAGCTAAAAATACAGGGAAGTGTTGGAAGAAGAAACGAGTGCAGAGTTGAAGCAGCAAACCACCCAAGAGCCGGAAAATGAAAAGGATTAATTATCGCGAATACATGAAACACCCCTTAGGGGCCAGATAGAAGCATAGACGTGCGTGAGGCATGATATGAGATTCGTGGTTGCAGAGAAATGGAGGTTTGATATGCAGAGAGACGGTCGAGGGGTATCATCGTGATAGGAGGAAGAACGAGAAGAGCCGCTTTATCAGTTCTTCATCGTAGCCAGGAATGAATCCAGGTTGTACTCTTCTTGGTATTGGCGGTCATCCCAGAGCTCACCCAGATCATCCATCCAGCCCTTTTTGCCCTTCTCCTTGACTTCACCATCTATGTCGACCATATCGATTTCATTGCCAGTTTGGTCGCCCGGCTTCTCGGCTGTTTCGGCTGTCTCGCCTAGACTGAACAAATCTAGAAGTTGATCCGTGTCCATTGTGCCAAGACCAGCGTTTTGTTGATTGACCACTGTAGAGGCGACGTCGATCTTGAATCGTTGTAGGCTAAAGAATTGCATTAGTAAGGAAATGGTAGCATGGATTGGACGAAAACTTACTTCAAGATCTTCTCCTCTAAAGTGCCTCTCGTGATCAAGCGGTACACGTTGACAACCTTCTTCTGTCCGATACGATGGGCGCGATCCATGGCCTGGATATCTTTCTGTGGATTCCAGTCATGCTCGACGAAAATAACAGTGTCTGCTCCTGTGAGGTTGAGACCCAGACCACCAACACTGGTGGTCAGCAGTAAGACATCGTAGCTAGGGTCGGTGTTGAAACGGTTGACGATGTCTTGACGCTTGGTGGCTTCCACACCACCATCCAGGCGGAGGTATTGGACAGATGGCAGCAATTTCTTCAGGACATCATTTTGCACAATGTCTAACATCTCCTTCATCTGACAAAAGACGAGAGCTCGATGTGGGCTGACATAGCTTGCGCCAGTGTCAAGCTCACCCTCGGCTGGAGTGTCGAGACCAATGCCGCAGTCAACCAACAGGTCGCGAAGTGCACTGAGCTTCGGTGCATGTGCCACATCTCTGATATTCGACCGCTTAGCAGCCAAGTAGCTCTGGACTTCGTTGTACTGCTTGTGCCCATCTTTAACCACCAGGGCAGGTGAGTTGCACAGGCGGCGCATATACTGTAGGGCTTGGAAAATGTGCTCCTTGTCAGAGCGATCAGTGCTGCCAACCTTGTCTTGTAACTCCTTCTGTTCCTTCTTTGAGAAGTCCTCAAAAAGCTTCTTTTGAAGCTCGCTGGGGTCACAATAGTAGTTCTGAATGATCTTGGGAGGCAGATCATTCAAGACCTCTTCCTTCAGACGACGGAGGAGGAAAGGCAACACTTGCTTATGCAAGGCTTCAATTGCCAAAGCACCGGCTTCTTGTTCTTTCGATGAGGATTTGCTGAATCGGCTCGCAGCAATTGGCTTTGCAAATCGGTCCAAGAAGACCTTCTCCGTGCCAAGGAAACCAGGCATCAAGAAATCGAAGAGTGACCATAGCTCAAGCACATTGTTCTGAATCGGCGTACCAGAGAGGATCAGGCGATGATTACTCATTAGCCGCTTAGCAGAAATCGTGATCTTGGCCTTCGGGTTCTTGATGAGGTGGCCCTCATCAAGCACACAGTAATTCCAGTTGATTTTGTTAAGGATTTCATTATCGTTCCGGCAGACATCGTAGGAGGTAACGACCACGTCTGCTGTGCCTAGCTGAGCCTGAAGCCTCGATCGCTCTGCCGGAGGACCGACATAGGCAATACAGTTGAGGAATTGGGCGTACTGCTTGACTTCCTGCTGCCAATGACCAGAAAGTGATGGTGGGCAAATGATTAAGGAGGGGAGCTTGCGAGAATCAGGAGATTGGCTTTTGGCAAATTCCTCCGCCCGCATGTGGTGGTCACTCGCAACAATGCAAATCGTTTGAAGAGTCTTTCCAAGACCCATGTCATCGCAGAGAATGCCGTGGAGGTTATAACGGTTGAGGAAAGCAAGCCAGTTAATACCGTCCTGTTGGTATGGGCGGAGCTCGGCTTTGATTGCAACAGGAATCTCGAATGGCTCCACCTTGCGCACGTCCAGCATTTGGGACATGAATTTTCTCTCTCGGTCGCGACCTCTGAGCAGCTCCTCGGAGAAACCAGGCGGGTCGGGGATACCAGCTTCCAGCGGCACGAGTTTGACCAAAGTAGCAAATGAAGTGGTTGCTAGCAGTCGAACATCGTTGTCGGAGTCGCTCATACGTCCGAGAACAGGAACGACCAGGAAGATGACGTAGGGGAGGATCCTATCTTCCATCACATGTATAAGGTGATAAATGCACTCGATAGCACCCTGCCGGTGGTGGACATCCAAAGCGTGGTTGATTGTGGGGAGCACCTTTTCCACTAACATCGTCATAGCTTCCACGGTAATGACGCTGCAGATTGTAGCAAAGCACTTCGCTGCTGCATAGCGGATCACTGATAAAGGGCATTGTAAAGCTTTGGCAATAATAGGCATGAGACCAATGACCCAGGGATGTAAGCCAGAATCAAATTTGGGCAGAAGGGCACGAAGTGTGGATAGACCATCAACAACCTCCTGTCCAAGCGTTGTCTCGGGTTTGGTGATGTCTTCAGGCAGCTCGCCCGCCAAGGCATCATTCAAAGGTTTTTCGACCAAGGCAGCAAGGTTTGGCACCTTTTCGAGAAGTTCAGCGCCAAACTTAACAGCCAATTGCTCCAAAGCCTCCTTGGCACCACGGCGCATGATACGAGCCTCTCTAGCCTCGCGCTCGAATTTGGCAGCATCGGGGTGGTCTCGTCGATCCTCTTCCTTGCGCAAAGACAAGATTGACTTCTCCAACTGGGCATTGTGCTGGAACTCGGGAGTCTCAGATGTATCCACGCAGCAGTATTTGACGAGGTTTCCAATGATTTTGTCGACTGGTCCACGTTTTGTTGCTGCTGTGTAATGCTCGATAAGGCTTGCCACCGCAGTTGCTGAGCGTTGCTGAAGCTCAACATTATCCTCCTTCTTGATACTGTCCATCATACCCTTAATGATATGACCAGGGCGTTTGGGAATATCTCGAAGAGCAACCAATGCACCCGCAGCGGCTGCAGGGACACGCATGTCACGTTGCTCCTTGATTCCACGAGCCTCGTCAACAGCAGATTGAGCCGTTGCACGGGTATCGTTCAAGACCTGAGTGGCAGTGATTCTCTGCGCAGGTGTCAGGCTCTTCTTGAGGCGTTCAAAGTCGGCACCCACAATCTTCTCGGCATCAGCAAGAGAGAATGCATTGGGACCGGCTTCAGGGTCGCCTTGAACAACAACAGCCAATGTCGGTAGCCGGGAGGTCGGGACATGTGCGTGATCTCGGAAAGTATTCAGCAGGGAATGGCATTGAGCACGAGCGACATGCAGGTAGCAGGAGATGTCTGAATACCAAGATGGACGTTCTTCTTCAACAACCGGACGAAGCTTATCTGTGAGAGATGAGGCGTACTTGCTCTCTGGTCCAGTAAATCGGGCATACTCCTCTATGACCATGGCAGAGGAGAGCTGGGAGGTTGAGGCTGAGGCATTGAGGCCATCCAAAATCGGCGACCAGAAACTCGGGAGCTCGTGCTTGTCCCAGACAGAAAGCAACTCGCCTAACGCCCTTGAAGCATAGATCTTGGATCGCAGCATTGTGTCAGCGCCGACGAGATCTATGTCGCCAGACAACATGTGCCCATCCACGTTGTGAGTTGATGGGGGTGGGGCTGCTTCTTTTTTCTCAGACTTGCGTCTACGGCCAGGCTTGGCCGGCTCTGTACCACCAGACGTAGCAGGGGGTGAAACTTTTGCGGGGGGTGGGGCGGCAATAGCGAAGGGAACGCCAGATGGCTTGATGAAGAGACACGCGTTCAACGGGATGGGGTAACGAGGAACACCGAATGGACCAAGGGTAAGGGAAATAAGGGGTTCAATGGAGTTTGACAGCTCGGTCTCGGGTTTGAAGTGGCCATGATTCTCAACAGCTTTGAGCAGCTCTGACCAAACTTGAAGTGATAGTTTGAGAACCTCCTCGTTGCGCTCCACGAGCAGATTCTGGAAAATCAAGCGCAGCGCCTTGCCGTCCACCCAGTCTGTGCTGCCTTTTCCTTCCAGTCTCAAGAAGGTCATCAAGGCCCGAAGAACCGCTGAGCGAACACTTGTGATTGTATGCCGCAAGAAAGGATAAAGACGAGGGACCAGCTTGCCAAATGAAGCCTCCGGGTCGTCCGCTGCGTTGGCTTTCATCGCATCCAGGACTTGAGTAAATGTACACAGCTTGGCGAGAAGATCCATCACGGAACCTGTGCTGGCACTGAGATCGTCTTGCAGGTTGGAAAGGCAATCCCAAACAATGTTCATCAGAGGCCCCAGAGTACCACCCCGTGACGTGACAAACTCTTCCGCAATGGGAACAAGTGTTGCGGCGCTTACAGCGCGCACGTCATCATCGAAGTCGGCAAGACCTTTCATGACAGCCTCAAGGACCCCATCCATCATGGCAGAGTCCTTGACAAGCAGATCCTTGCGAATTGCAACCAAGTAACGTAAACCAATCATACCACCATGACAAACCTCCCACACAGGGCGATCCAGACCGAGATCAGTCTGCATAATGATTCGGTAAAGGGCTCGGTAAACATGTCGAACAGACTTGGGGCTTAGGTGGGACAAAAGGGCACCCAGGGTCTGGCCCACGGTTTCTCGAATCGGAGCGACCACGTTGTCGGAGATGTAGTCACCAAACCGATCGAGCATGAGCACACAGAGCAACCGGCAAGCAAGGTCGTCGAGCCATTGACGGTTCAGTGAATCATTCTCTGCCCGAGTCTTGCCCTCCATCCGACCGGCTGCCGGACCTTGGACCCTAATGACCTCACGTAGAGCCATGGCTGCACCATGGCGAACCTCCCAGTTCTGATCAAAGATATCCATGGTCAAAAATTCACACATGCATTCTAGGGGCCACCCTGAACCCTGGTCCACGATTTCAGGCTGGAGGACTGATCGCTCAGGTGCGATTGGCCCTTTGAATTCCGCAACAATCTTGGATTCGTCGTCTTCGGCGGATCGTTCCAAAGAAAAGTAGTCGGGTTTACTTTCTCCATTCTGGTCATCTCCATTCTCGGCCTTGACAGGATGAGGGGTGGTTGGTGTTACAATGTTCTCTGATGTTCGACGGGAGGACAAATCCACCACGCGGACTTTGTTGGCTCCCATCTTGGCATTTTGTTTGTTCTTTCGCTTCAGTTGGTTCAATTGGCGCTTGCTGAGACCCGACTCTTCTTGTTTGGCGTCTGGTGACGATGGCCGCCGAGAAGGTAAATCCGGGATGCTGTTGATTCGAGATAGTGAAGCCACATTGGACTCTCGCTTCGGGGCTGGTGTTGCCAATTTGGGAACCATCTCAGCTGTATCAAGTAGTTCATCTTCGATGTACTCCCCATCAAGGCCGAGGCGGCCTGTCAGTGTCTTTTTCTGATGTTTGAGGCGTGTCGCGGGATCCATTGACGCTAGAGAGTACTCATACTCTTTTCCAGCACTACCGAGCAGCCTCTTGCCGTACTTTAGGATGGATCCGATGTCCATGGTGTCGAGTTGAAGAAACGTGGATGGAGCATCCTCCGATTTGACCTCGGATTTGATCTCCACATCATCATCTTCAGCTGCGGATTTGATCTGCATGCCATCATCTTCATTGGGGTCGTAAACTTCTGCATTGCTAACAATCAGGCCGATCGCTCGAGCAGCAGCAGTTCTTGTATCCCAGGACTTAGATCGGAGATATGGCAGAATTCTGCCAAGGAGATTGAAGAGCTCATCTGGATGTTGTTTTTGAACATCCCCCAATTGCTGGGCTGCTGTATTCCGGATCAACTGAGTGCTTCCAGTCTCGAGTAGACTGTGAAAGTAATGTCAGTTCAGGGAGCGCTCACTCTAATTATACCTTTTGTAAGTATACTGAGGAAAGAACTCACGTGACCAGGCGGTCAAGGCTGTAGTGGAGTTAGTATCATGTGACTGACGCGTCATAATTGGTCCAAGGAACTTACCGGGAAGTCATGGCGGGCCGTCACTCTGATGCCGAGTGAGCAGCACCGCCGGAAGTAATGGGAGAAAACAGAGAAAAGGGATAGTGAAGATATGCGTGACTGTAAAAGTGTGTAATACCCTGGAAAACTGAGAAATGAAAAAAGCAAGAACGCCCAACACCAAAGCCGGGTGGAGATGACTCAGCAGGGAGGATTAGATTCAGTACACAAAGAGCGAGATTCGAGGTCACGCAGCCGGGTTTATATCATTGGGGGGCTCTTGCTCTGTCGCGCCGGTCCATGTTTGGGTGTGTTAAGCTAGTCCTATTTAGGATTAGCGGTGGTTGGGCCTCCACTCCCGGGTTTGTGCGGGTCACGTGGTCGACGCGTTCGATCAGAGATTTAATCTATGGGAAATATCTCAAATTTGAATGAGATGCCGATTCTTCCTTGCACTTCTCTTTCCGTTGATTTATACATAATATCATGAATTATATTAGCTAGGTATAACGCCTTCTTTCATGTTATAGACAATGCCAAGACATGCCAGATGGCCTTGAGGAGCATCGAGGATTCCCCTAATCATCATAAGGGATCAACCGGGTATGTGATCCTTCAATTACAGTTATTTAATGTCTTGCTTAAATAAATCAAATGAATGAAAACCTTCGATTGCTTGATCGGTATTTTTTACCATACGATTGGTGGGGGTTAGACTGCTATTATATCCTACCAATGGACAAGCACAGATTGCAAATCTGCGGGAACTATATATCCACCACTAGACCAATAAAACTATTATACATCTACCAGTTGACCCCGACATTATGTCTTGACGATATCTCTACGCATGAATTTGAATTCTATAGCAATTGAATGAGTGGAATTTCTCAATTGGAAATTCTTATGGCCTCAAATTACTAGATTAAAGTTTCCCCAAGCTCTATTCAAGTTATACAACATGTCCAGGTGGGGTGCCACGGCTGTCTGAGCCTGATCTGGTGACATCCATGGAGGTATCATCTACACAAAGCTATCTAGGCATAACCATTGGCCTAGGAATTATGTAGCTAGATTGTATGCTCATTCTTACTTGGTCTATTTATATTCAGTTATATTCTAGGTAGCCGAGACCCTACTTACGCTGCACTGCCAAGCCCATATCAAATAGGACAAAACTATCTATAACGATATACTTCATAGAACCGGAGTATCATTGCAAGAACGAGGCCGACTGGCCTCTAAAATTGAGCATTTCTATACAGTCACAGGCACCCGGCAAATGTTCCGGGGCAGAAACAAGGAATCACACGCATCAAAGAAAAAGAAACATCGCGCCCTTGGGTTTGCCTTCACGGCCAACTTCACAGTTGCGAAATCACAGAAGTCGCCTCCTCTTCCTTCCCAAGCAGACCTAAACTGCGGATCTGCTCTGCCTTGGGGGCATTCTCACGAGGGTGGGCAGCCTCGGCCTTGCGGAAGGCAACTTGCATCTTCATTGTGCGCAGGGCCTATCACCAGAAACAAAGGTCAGTCATGTCTTGATCATTCCCAAGCCATCCATCTTGTAATCCAACACTTTGCTCTCAAAATTTATCAACACGTACCTCTTTGCGGTGGTGGAGGCACTCGTAGTAGTCGTCCAGAGCTGGGGTGCACTTCTTCTTTCCAGTCTCACCCTCGCCAGAGTTCACAACGTAGCATCCGAGAACCTCTTGCCAGAAGGGATAGCAGCGGCCGGGACCTAGACCGAGTCATAGCTCGTTAGCTTGGGGATTCGTGCGGAGGGGATGGGTCTGCGCAAGATGTGATGATGCCGGTAATGTCGCCGCGGGCGGACCACACACTCGGAGAAAGGGCCAGCAAAGCACATACCGCCGTTGAGACCGTATCCAGAAGCCATTTTTAAGAGTCGATGAGAGGAATTGGCAGGGTGAAGACAGAGAGACCGCAGAGAAGGTGGTGAGATGTTCACGGATGCGACGCTTTCCCTTTCGTTTCCGACTTGGCCCGTGCGCTCCGCCGTACATGAGTTACCCGCATCGTCAAGCTACGTATGTCGCTACTAAATCACAGGACTACTTTACACCTCCCCTCAGTCGCCATGACTCTGGAAGGGTTATCTGATGCCCACGCGATCCTGCTTGCAACTCACCTTTGCGCTGGTGGAAGCGTGACTGAGCTTCCCTATCTGCAAGCGCAATACCCCCATTGTTTCCCATTGGAACGCCTCCTACGTATCATCTTGACATACCTACCCGAAAGCATAGAACCCTCCCATTATGTTCCAGTGCTGCAAGAGCTTACTGGAACCCCCGATCGTACATACCAAGACCGAGAGATTGATACTTCTGCCGTCAAGAATTTGACCGAGTCGGAAGCGAGACAGCGCGTGCGGAAGCTCCGTCTACGACCTCTGAAGCGGGACGAAGAAGAAGAGGAAGTGGAATCGTGTGACCCTTTGACTAGATTCATTATTCATCGCGCATACTTGATTGATATCGAAACTGCGCTCCAACCGCTCATTCTCAACCTGATTCTTCCCTTCTACGAACAGCAGCCAGTGATTCGAGCATGGCTGATCTCAAGCCTCTTACCGGCACTCCGACTCAATTACGAATATTATCCGAACCGCGACGAGGCATTGTCATTGGAGACCTTGGAATTGTTGGATGATCAGACCGCAGTCAATGTTCTGTTGTCCATTGCTGGTCCAGAGAGGAACGATATGGATTTGGTCAACAACTTGAGGGGATTAATTGGCCCCTGGCTTTATGGAAGCAATCGATCAAAACGGCGGAGGTTGAATGAAGCAGCCGAACATAACTCGATAACATTCGTCGAGGGAGCACCAAAGCCAAAGTCTACTGAGCTGGCTGGTTGGGAATATGTGAACGAATGGCTATTGTCACGAAGTCTAGTGGACACTGACAGTGTGGTAAATGCTTTTGTCAACTGGAATGGTCCCGAGGATGTTGATCTGGGTGGTTATGACGAGAATGGCGCTCAGATCCCATCAGATACTGCGAAGACGTTGCTGAGTCGGTATGGCCAGTCCGGCCTGTCCGTGGTATACGCTCAGGCAGATTCTTCCGAGAGGGCACTTGAAGGATCATTCAAAGTTCTATCGCGGGTCTCTCAGCTTCTCAATCTCGAAGAATTTTCATATCATTCCACCGAGACTGCCCTCCCATCGGTGGATTTTGATGCTGAGTTGATCTCATCGACTACGCGGGTTTCTTTATTGCAAAACGCTCTACTCAGGCCACAAAACCCACTGACAACGCCATCGCCATCTTCGGTATCATTTGCTAGTGCCTTGCTCCTGTCTCTACGTATATTGACCAACCTTGGCCATGTGATTCCCTCACGGGTTGCTGCAAACATGTGCCTTCATAGCAGTGAAGATATGCAAATGGCAGAGCTGCAAAGCGTGGTAGTATCTACGGTGAAACAACCTCGATCAAAGGAAGATTGGCAAGTAGCTCGGCAGCATCTACTCTGGCTTCGAGACTGGCAAGCAGAGCATTCCGACAATGGCTGGGATGAGCCAACCACCCACCACGGCCTGTTTTGGAGAATATCACGCGACAAAGTTGAAATGGAGATTCTGAAGGCCTTGCTTGGAGCAAAAGGTATGGATTCAATCATTCTTCTACCTGGCTCATTCTGACATTTCTAGAACATCAATTGGCTGTCGATCTATATACACGAGACTCATCGCCACTGAAGTCCACTCAAGTGGAAGCAACCGTGGTGGAGACAATTTTCACGACCTATGATAACGCAAGCAATGGAAACCGGACCCGTGGAGCCATGAAGAGAGCTTACGATATGTAAGAATTGACCACCCGGCTAACATTCGGTCACCATCTAATTATTTCATTAGCTTGCAAGCATTCCAGCCGCATTTCCCTGACTCGGCCTCGTTAAAGCAAATTAGTGCTCTGATAGCAGCAACCCATGCTCTATCATTCTACTCATTGAAGTTACAATACGGGGTCCCATTTCAGCCAGTCAGCATCCGGGCCCACCATGATCCTCTCTCACTGCTTGAGAAAGTGCTCGAACAAAATGACAAAAGCTACACAAAGCTGGACGACCTCCTCTACATTGGCCGGAACCTAGTCGCGGCAGGCTTGCCAACCTCAACAGAATTAGGATTTCAAGCACAAGACCAAGAACAACTCTCAGAAGCCCTCATCGCAGCAGAACGCCGGATCACCTCCCTCGCCATCGCCTCTGCCCTAACTTCCAACGATTTCGGCACAGCATACAGCTACGTCCTCACCCGCCTCACACCCCCATCTAACCTTAACACTGCATCCCCCCTTCTCACAACCTCCTCCACACCAGACGACATCTCCTGGCGCGCAGTCTACAATGCAGGCCGTTTCCGTTCCACAACACCCAACCCCTCCACCCCACTCACATCCCAAATAAATCACCTCTCCCAACGCATGGAACTACTTTCCCTAGCCCTAGTCCTAACCCCAACACCCGACCCACTCCCCGAAATTCTTGGTGCCTGGCGCCGCTGCGACGAGGAAATGTCCTCCCTTCGTGCCCGCGAACAATCCGAGGAAGACGTTTGGGACGCCAAGGGCGACAGCCTGTCTACTGTACCGGGTGGCTTTGGGCCTTCGGATTCAGAGCGCGACGCATTTGATACCGCGCAACAGCGTGCCGCGAGACGGGCTCGCGCTCGGGCTGCGATGCCGCAGTCACATCCACATGAGGCGCCTATGGGCTTGTTCGAGGTCGCGAGGGGGGCTGCGATGGCGTTGCGTAAGAATGCATTCCCGTTGCATGGTGCTGCCTCTTCAGTTTCGGCTTCAGGTTCGACAGCGGCTAGAGCTAAGGCTAGGGCTGAGGTTGAAGGGGATGAGCATTCGGAGCAAGGCGATCGTGTCCGCAAGAGAGATATGGTTAGTAATATGGTTACTGGAGGATTGGCAAGTGGTATTGGATGGGTTTTGGGCGCTGAGCCGGTGAATCGGTAGTCCTGAGGTTCAAGATTTTTGGCCACAAGTAGTTTTGTACTTTGGCATCATGATAGCGATGATAACATTAGCGATGTTTTGCTTTGAAGAGACGGACTCATCAATACTGATATACTTGATATTCTACCACCATTCACCATCTAGTAGGAGGTTTTTGTCTAGCATTCTTACGACTAAAATTTGATGCATATAAGACTAAGGCCTAAAAATGCAACGGTATTATGTACCTAAGTATGTGCGTGGATTGTTTCCAATGCATTGCACATACTCCAAGTCGGCCAGTACAAGAGACCCCAAGGAAAATAGAAAGCCTGGAACAGGGGCGATGCTATACCCAAAGAGAAAACAGAAACAGTAAAAGCAAGCAATATATGATGATGGCCAGTATGTCCAAGCTCGATAGTGTCATGAAGGTTCAGGAGAAGGAAGGCGAAGATAGGGTAAAGCAAAGGAGAGGCGGGCTAAGCACATCGAGGAATAGGGGGCTCAGGTGATGCATTGAAAAATCGTAGGTATCGGGCTGTAAAGGATTGTACGTGGTTGAGCAAAGCCGGAAGGAATTTCACGTCGTGTCACGTCGATTTCGCTGGGAGATGAAAGCAATGACAGGGTATGGTATGAGAACAGATATATAAGAAAAAAAAAGACGGCGAGCTTCACCCTAGTTCCGGCCCGGGACGAAGCATCATGATCAAATGGACGCCGACTGTAAACAGAGAACAATGGGTGTCGTAATGGGGTCGTGTTTGAGTCTTGTTGACAGCCAGGTCAATCCTTAGGGTCCAGCCACTCACGCTCAACAAATCGAGACCTCCATGGAAACAACATGCAGGATGGATAAGGACCGGGCGAATGACTTTTGGTGTTTTAATTCTTCCAGTCCCACACTTGCGTGATGAAGTTTGCCATGTTGACCTTCTTGTTCTTCATATCCTGCACCCAAGGATGTTCCAGCATCCGCCAAGGAGTTGCTCGTCGAGGAGGTTCTTTCTCAAGACTAATGATTGGGTTAGAAAAGATCAAAGCAGAAAGCGATTCGCAGCACATACCAGCATTCAATAAAGTACTTGAAGTTATCCGACCACTTAATCCGATTCTCCGGTTCATCCTTCAGTTTGGGGATGGGCTGGCGGACAATGTAGGTAAGGAGGTCTATTAATCCGGCGCGGGGTTGCATCTCCGTGCCATCAGCAGGGAAAGGGAATCGGTGCTGCGCGACTTCCAGCAAAGTCACACCCAAAGACCAAACATCAGAGGTGATGGTGTATGATTGGCCAGTGATACGTTCTGGAGCCATGTAGTAGGAAGTGCCAATGAAAGTGTTGGCGTCGCCTTTGGTACCGAACTCGCCACTGACACCGAAATCGCAGAGCTTAACCTGGCCATTTCGGCACAGGAGGATGTTAGATGGTTTGATATCTAGGTAAGGAATCAGCATGTTTCAAGTAAGCCTGCAGCTGTAAAAATCATACCTCGATGGATAATCTTGCGGCTATGCAAGTAGGTCAATCCATTGAGCACACCCTCCGCAACCTTGCCAAGTACCTTCTCTCCTGTGCGCCCACCAAGCTTCTTCACCTCCTTGTAGATACTGTCAAGACTACCACCTTCACAAAATTCCATAGCAATGGAGATTGTACCAGATGTCTTGTCCATAAAGGCACCATAGTAGCGACAGATATGCTCCGATGCACAGTCCTTGTTGAAGTTGAGTTCGCGAACAATCTGTTTCTTAACATCGGGGTTGGGGTCGGTAGTGATAATCTAACACGATGAAAAGTTAGTCATTGATGACACAAGGTAGAGACGGTAAGCGAACACACCTTCAATGCAAAGATAGTCTTGCCATCCTTGAGTTTACAGCGAGTGACAGCACCACCGGCACCTTCACCCAGGCTACCCAGCTCAATGATCTTCTTTTGTTCGCTGGCCGCGTGCCAGCCCTTATCATCCAAGTCTTCGACATCGAGCGGGCGACCCTTCTCCATACTCAACCGATCCAGGTCGAAGGAAAGGGCACTCACGCCATTTTCACCTTCCAGGTGAGCGCTACCTTCCCCATCAAATGAGCTGATTGCCGATGAGGGATCGGAGCCGCCAGACTCGCGAGGACCCCTCGAGACATCGGCCGTTGAAATCGAGGAATTAGCGGAGATCGGATTACTGCCTCGACCATTCCCATTCAACATCGGCTGGCCATTCACACCAAGTCCACCGGTGGACAGTGCTAGTGAAGGCGGACCTGGTCGACCGTTGGCTGTGCGGTTGACGGGCTGCGGGGCATTCGGGTTGATCATAGGAGTGGCCAGGCGGAGAGCCGGGCGGGAGGGGGCCGGTTGAGGTTGCGAAGGAGCTACCATTGCTGGGACCCCATTGCCATTGACGGGTTTAGCGTTAGGCGATGGAGGGATGCCCAGTGTGAGCTTCGGGGCTCTGGGAGTGGCATCACGATTGCTAGGGACCGGGGTCCGAAGGAGCGGCACGGACGACATAGCGAGATTGTTCTGCCTATCGCCAGGCAAGAACAACTCGTTCGGGTCAGCCAGGGTAGCCACAGTGATGATGGACTGAATCCCTGGAAAGACAGTAGCGAGCGTTGGTAAGATAGAAGAGGGTGGACACGTAAACGAGCGGAATGTGCAGGGGAAGAGAGGGGAAAGCAGGTGACTCGGGGCGAAATGCGCGATGGGGAAAAAACGTTTGGGTTCCACCAAACCAGCTAAAGAACAAGCCAAATATTTAGGAGAATAATTGGAGCTTAACCAAAAGATTCCTAAGACTTTCTCTCAAATGAATATTAATAGACAGCAACACAGCCGCCGAGTGGGACAGGGCGACGACAAGATCGGGTCCTACGTACAGTGGGGCTGTTTCAGAAGAGCGCTTGCAACTGAAACAGGGCGATCATAGGCAAATGACAAGGAAATGAAGTCAGTAGCTATCTAGTCAGTAACTAGTAGTATACAATAGATTTTTTTTTTTTTAACAGAGTTTGCACTTTGTGAATTCTTATAAAGAACCATGGATCGGATGAACCAGGTACTGTATTTTGCGCTACTGCATCAACTTGCATTGTGATGCTGTAGCCTGTGCCCCAATCACACCAAATCACTTACCCCCTCTCTTCCCTCTCAGATTCATAGATATTGCAAACTTATGTACAACTGGATGTGAATGGCTATATGTGGACTGAGTATAACTTTCCTATCTACTGGTACAGAGTAGGCAGCCACTTTTATCATCACAGTAGACGTCAGCATAGCCACGTGACCGATCCACATATATAGTTCCAACTTCAGAACTTCCTCTCATGGTTTTCATCATCACCATCACCATCATTAGGGTAACTCAGGTATTTTAAACTCCAAATGGAACCCATAAGCACCCCGTCCAATCTCTGGTTGAAATATGAAAGTTCCTGTTTGAGCCCAACCTTGAAACCTTTGAAGAGAGATACGATACGACTGAAGTTATTCGCTATGGCTCTGAAATTGTATTAAAGACAATGATGTTTCTCATTCACAATTCCTCAAATTGCTTGCCTTATTCAGGCCGTAGGCGCCAGCAGCTTGACTATGGACTCAAGTCCGTTTTCCGCCGCTAAAGAAAGTGACGTCTCTCCGCTGGAATTCTGAGAGTTGGGACTGATACATCGGCAAGAAGCAGCTTGACAACAGCCTCATATCCAAACTCTACGTCACAAAATTGGGGTGTCTGACCATCTAAATTTTTGGAGTCTGGACAGACTGATATTCCAAGAAGCAGATTGACTGCTATTTTGTGCCCGTTTCGTGCCGCTAAACACAATGGCGTATCCTCAAGGCTCTGGGTCTTAAGGTTATCCCCTGTCTCGATAAGAAATTTGACCATTGCTTCGTGGTCATTCTTTGCTGTCCACAACAGTGGGGTCTCCCCAGTGGAATTGTTAGATTCGGGGTTAGCACCTTCTGCCAGTAGTAGCTCTTCTTTTATTCTCTACGATTTTCCTTTGTTGCCGTTATCGATTGAAGGCCGTTACCCTTAGAAGCTGACACGGACCTTGGAGGACTGCCGTTGCGTATGAAGATGACACTGAGCCCAGATCGTGATGATCCAATCTCTTAGCTCGACATCCCCGAAGTATGGGAACAAGACTGGCAATTTTGCTGGGCTTATAATATGGGGAGGCTCTTTGCAGTCCTAGTTACAGCTTATAATAACCCAAATACTGCACGGGTAGCTTTTCTAATTGTAATAAGTGGAATATGTAAGTCTACCTACTGTAAAAACACTAAAAGCCTGAGCGACTGGAATTTATGCGAAATGAGCAAACATGACAGTCCTTAATCAGGTAGATAATGTGTTGATGACTCCCATCGCCACTAGATTGAAAATGATTGGGCATGAGAGCACATACCTCAGCCTCACTTCTCAACCCCGCTGCTCCCAAACTTTGCATTCAGTAACTACATACCCAAGTATTGTGGACCACTACGGACTTCCATATTTAATTTTCTTGAATATAACAACAACTTGCGGCAAGGGAGGCGGTATATAGTTATACGAAAATGTCCGTGGGGTTTGGCTTCTCTGTTGGAGACTTTATAGCAGCCCTTCAGCTTATGGGCACTGTTATCGACGCCCTGCGCGAATCTTCCGAGGCGAACTCATCGATACGATCGGTGATTAATGAACTTTACGCACTGGAATCAGCACTATTGCACGTTAAGCGTCTAGATACTGGCATCAATCAGATTAGTCTGACTGCACTGCGAGAAGCTGCATCACAATGTCAGCTCACAATTACCGAGTTTTATAGGAAGATCCAGAAGTACCAAGTCCATCTACAACAAGGTGGAACGAACTCCAGCATAAATGACACATGGATGAAAATCAAGTGGACGATATGTAAAAAGGATGATGTGGACAAATTTCGTGCCGAGATCAGGGCCCATACATCCACCATTCAAATTTTGTTGTTTACTGTGCAAATGGAAATGATGACAGCCCAGACTCAAACGCATATCGTACAGCGCGAAGGGCTCGCCAGCCGGATTCAGGACTTCTCATGCAAAGTCATGGGTCAGTTGAGTACGATCACCAGGGACCTAGCAGAGAGCATTCAGCAAGGGAAAGCGCTCATTGATTCAAGTGCTCAAGTCGTTCAAATCAATCTGCGTATCTTTCAGATCGTGCATGATATCCACTTGGCCATTCTCAAGATTCCGGGACAGATTCAAAGACAACAACCAATTTATCTCACTGATCCCTTGAATAGAGAAAGTCCATTTCACCTAGAGTTTGTGAGGTCACCCGAGGCGCTACTGGCCGTGCTCAAGAGCAACCTCAGAAGCTCAGGGTGTGGTCCAGCTATGATCGATCGAGGTGAATTTGCCATCGAAGAATTGGGGACACAGAATCCGATTGACCTCAGAGGGCCATGGGAGGATTGTTTCTATCCCGGACAGAGAGTTGTCATGAGCATGATCTTCAAGCAGCAGCAAAGGCAGCCCAGCACTACATGCCCTCGATGTCACACAGGGCACCAAGAGTTAGCTGAAAAAGATATCACCTGGTAAGCTGGAAGTTATGCCTTTGACGTCCTGATATTAACTCTGATAGCATCACCTGTGGCACTGTCTTTCGTCGCATTAAGGAGGTTATTGAAAATGCAATAGCACCCAATATTGCTGACTACACCCATGTGAGAGAACCCCTGGAGAATACATCAAAGGACCTCCAAAAGTTCCGGCGCATCCAGGTCATTACTATATCAAATACTCAAAAATCACGCGAGCGTTCTTGGAAAGAAAACGAAAATATGACAGTCACCATGAAAGGAATGACAATTGGGTATACCGAGGAAAGCCTCGCTGGCAAGTCCATCACCATTCGCACGGGCGATCGAGGAGCTGTGCATTTTAATATTACTGATGGCTCCACACTTCGGCGCAAGGCATACTCTCAGGGGTCCTCCTACTCTGATCATACGCATACGGACAACTCTGGCCGTCAACTGCTGGAGGATGGACGACGTGCTGTAAGCGAACGAGATGATCGACGGTTCGAAATGTCTGTTCATCAGTCTAGGCCCCGATCAAGCAGGTCTGGGGGTTACAGCAGAAGATATTGGGTCTAAAATCACTCTCATGTTCGCATTGTATAGCATATTGTCCACTACTTTAGTTTTTTCCATTTTTAATTAATTGTTCTGGCGATAAATTTCTCCCAAACTGGCGTTACGCTCCTCTTCATACTATCGGGCCCTTTTTTTAGACCAATATTTAGTGACAACGACTTTTCTGGTGCGCAACTCATCTTAAATGAAGAAAGCCACCTTTCCATGATACAGGCCCAATTTTGCTGATAGGTGGTCGCAAAGCGCCTCGACTATTAGCGGCGTGACCGTTAGTTTGCGACCTATGCAAGTTATGGTTAGTGACGAGCTCTTTCTCCATATGATGTATACGATGCAGCTTCTGAAGTAGAAGCGTTGGAGCTATATTTCCAGCTTAACGTAGGATGTGCGCATAAGAGCTAGGAAAGAAGAAAGGGTAAGAGTGGTATTATAGCTACGTATAGAAGTTTCACGTAAGTCACACCAAGGTAGGTCCCGCCGCGTTATGGAAAATACAATCTCTAGTTTTCTTCGACATGAACACTATATCTGGATTCTCGAAGATTGTAACGGTAGAGGGAATCTGATTTCGAATACTATGAAGATGCCTGAGGTAGCTTGATTGAGAATAATGTCATCACCACAGTAGGTCAAACTGAGGTTTACCACGGTACACTTGAGACATGTCATCGGAGCCAAGAAATAAAATTTGCTTATTTTTAGTGATTCAGTTATTCCGAGTGACCACTACTCGGTATATTCCGACCTTCTAGTACACCTGTGACTGAGCCTGTGGCAAGGTAAGAGTTCCAAGGTTTCGGACGACGAACCGATTAAAGTCAATTCGAAGACGATCGCGGGGATATCATCTCTTAATCCAAGATGAACTCCACTCGGAAGTCGAATGTACAGCCACAAGGAAGCAAATTTCTCTACAAAGCCACGGGCGCAAGGGAAGCCACACTGGTCCTGGCCTGAAAAGCCCTTGCAGATTGGCTCTGCCCAGATGTAACATAGGAGTATTGACCATTGATGTCATGCGGCTTCTTTCCGTGTCTTGCTCTGACGCGAGGCTTGGCGGTTCGAATCAAGGGACACTTTATGGAGGCATGGCTAGCACGGTTGCTGAGCAGTGAATCGTGAAAAACGAGGGATAGAGGATGGTGGGCTGGTGGGCTGGAGACAACTGCGAAGAGGTTAATGCACTGTCAATAATATCAAAACATGCAGCAATATCCAGCGTGTCTTGCAGAATAATACATATGACATGTGCCGAGAGCGTCAAGCAAAAGCCGAGTCACAATCTGAACGCGTGGACAATACCAGTGGGTTCAGTTGCTCATCATGATCATCGGTGATGGATGCGAATTCATCCCGTATGACGCGTTGCTGCTGATCAAAGTTCGAGAATGACCTAGAAAAGGGATCCTGTCAGTAATAGATACAACAGCAATTGAAAACACTTGCAACTGACAAGCGACAACAAAGGGAGACTGCGATTCACTGCTAATTCTTTAACCGGCTAGGAATTTTCAGGCAGTAGACCCTCATGACTCCGTACCTGACCTGCAACCCACTTTCATCTCCTTTCATACACAGGCACCCAGATACTCGACAGTCAATTCAGTAATGGATCACACAGGTTAACATACAGAGAAGTACTGATCTTGGAAATTTCACGCCACCAAGGCTTTTATAGAACGGAGTAGCCCCGATGCAATTGAGCAGGGTGGATGGAAGAGCACCGGACCCACCACATTCGTAAGTGACAAAGATCAAGATATTATTTTTGAGCCCCGTAGTGATTACATGACTTTTGGCACGTGCCCCTTTCTTTCTCCTTTCTCATACAATCATTAATGCACGGCAAGTACGGAATATGTACATCGCGTGGTCTGTGCCAGGATTGATAACAAATTGTGGGAGTTGAGATCCACTAGATGCGATGATTCTCTGCTGAATGCTACTTCCCCCTTTTTTCAAGCCGGACGGTCCAATGGTTCGGCAATCTAAACATAGAACAAGATATGGAATAGGCAGTCGTGAAAATCGGTATCAGTCAAGGATAATGGAAGTTTTAGTAAGATCGAGGCCCGCTAAATTTTTAGAGATATGTTGGAAAGGGGGCGGAAACAATCCAGTGAGATTCATCCAAAATCAATAGTTATGGAATGTGGAGTCTGGGGCCGCCACGAGGTCATTGAGCTTTCTTTGAACCACATGCCCCTATCATGGAACTTGACCGAGTATTGAACTTTAGGAACGAAGACATGACCATAGACCATAATTAGAACAAATGAGTCTACGGAGTACAGGGAGTTCATTCGTCTCGACTCGAGCGCCTAGAAGGGCTGCTGATCCTCATTGCGCACAGATTCCAGTGTAAGCCCCGAGATCCGTACTCGAACTGGGCAAGGGGATTTACCCATTTTGAGTTAAGGAAACGATGCGCTACTGTCAGGAACAATCACGCGGTCTCTTGAATCGGCAGGTGCCATTCGTAGAGCTTAGGCTTCAAGCCACCACATTAGAGCGGTACGATGCAAAACCTCCAGGTCTAAGGCCCCAAGCCTCAATTAAATTCCCCCGCTTTATCTTTTTCCAAACAAGTCAAGCACTTGGGGCTTGCCAGACTAAGCCATTCAGGGAGGGTGGTCACAGCGCTGAGACTAGGCCCGCAAGCGGAGACACATCCGAGTTCTGCTTTTTCGCTTATTCAAATCGAGGACATGGGGATAATAGCAAAAGTGTCTGGATCGCGGGTTGCATCAGAGTCTGCAGTGTTCCATTGAGATCCACTTTGGACAAAGACCGAGACGGTCTAGGATCGAGTCAACAAGAATCCATTAACTGCAATGAGACGCACAAAATATGGTCTTAAGCATCCAGATGACCAAAGAAGTCAGCGCGTACGGAGTACCTTAATATTGATTATTGGGGAAGATTGATTCTCATTGAACCTTGTGCCGTCATCCCGTAAAGCGCTGAGGGAAATACATCCACGGCTTGTTCAGGGGTAAAGTGGATCTTCCAAACCAGGAAAGTGTGGATCGGCGGACGGCCTGAAACCGCTAAAAAACGGGTTCATTTCCTTTGTCACATATTTTCATAGTGCAATTAAACGTGCGGAGTACATTTCAGAGAAATGAAACAGATAGTAGTGGTTTTACGAAAAGCGAAACAACAACAGGAAGATGTACTGCGTTACTCGAAGTAAGGAAGTTGTCTTGGGGTAACCCACTGCGATCGTCGTAGTTCCCACTAATACTCATTAGCGGCGCAAGTAAATTACTGAAACTGTTACAGTGAAACTGGTCTTTGCTCCCACGCGCCTCTTCTGTCCAATCAGTTGACAACATTGAAGGTTCAACCTTTCGGGCGGTGCAAAAGCCCCCCCGTACCGAGTACTTTGAACTTGCGGTGTGGATATAGTGTAGATTAAGTAACTTCTACCATTCTACCATGACGACTCCATAATGACAACTAACTGTACTGACTTCTGGTAATCAGCAAGTAAAACACCGTAACCGTATGCAGGTACACAGAGCCAAGAAGCTTCCCCTTTTTTTTAATTGTTTATTTTTTTTTTAGGGGCGACTACTGATGAGGTGTTGATCTCCGGCTAATCTCCCTGTTCATACAAAGGGCCCTCAGATCCCCCCATCAGTCCCTTCTTTTTCTTCTCCAAGTACATCTTCGTTGCCTACGCATTCAGTCACTCTCTAGACTTCGGTCATCCACTCTTTCAAACTCAAACCACTACATTCTTTCTAAGCTCCACGCTTCTATAATCACCTTTACGGTCTTACTTCTCACAAATTCAAAATGCGTTTCACCATTGCTACCGTTGCCTTCTTCGCCGGCCTGGCTGCCGCTATGCCCAACGGCGCTGACACCACCGTCTACGAGACTGACGAGGTTACCATCATCTCCTGCGCTCCTACCGTCACCAACTGCCCCGCCAACTCTGGTGTCGCTACCTCCGTCCCCGCTGCTGTGACCACTGCCACTGTTCCCAACGGTGTTGGCGCTAACTCCTCCCCCGCTCCCTCCAGCGGTGGTGCTGCTCCCTCCGGCCCGGCTGCCTCTGCTCCCGCTCCCTCGGTTGCTCCCACCTGGACCACCTCCGTCCCCGCTGTTGCCCCCAGCGCTCCCGCTGGTAACGGTGGCTCCCCCGCCGGCGGTGCTTCCCAGTCTTACACCGTGATCGCTCACACCACCTGCGTGCCTACTGTCATCTACTCCACCGTCCCCGTCCCCGTCGGTACCTCCCCCGTCACTGCTGGCTCCGGTGGCTCTGCTCCCCACGCCTCCGGCACCCCCGTTGCTAGGTAAGCTTATATCCATATCTGATATAAAAACAACACTAACATCCATCTAGCGGTGCCGCTGCTGCCTCCGCCTCTGGCTCCGCCGCTGCCTCTGCCACCCCTGTCTACAGCGGTGCTGGTGCCGTCTCTGGCTCCATTGGCTTCGCCGGTCTCGCCGCCGTCGCTGCCTTCATCCTGGCTTAAATGACTCCATCCTGATGGTTGCTATCTCTCTAACTCCACTTCGTGGAATTAGCGTGTAGTTTAATCCAAAACGGTATGGTACGGGAGTGGAGAAGATTTCTTTGTGATTTAAATAGGCTCTGGTGATTTACCTGGCCGAAGTCTTGTACTTGATTCTGATTGGATATGCTCTATCCCCTTGCTATTTTTCTTGATATACATATTTCCTCTTCTTGGGCTTCCTGGATAGCTTCGAAAGTTGTGTGAAGCGCTTGGTGGCTTGAGCACGACCTTAATGTAAACCATGACTGCTTTCACCATTTCCTCGCTTTCCAGCGTTCCCGTAAACCTTTTCGAATGTACCCATACCACTTTGCTATTTTATTTCCCTTGTAATCTAGATGCGTGAATGTGAATCCATGTCTCTATCCTCGTCTCCATCTTTGGTCATTTAGTTTTAGTCCACCTGGGCAGAGATATACAGATCAATACCTTTGTATCACAGGCATTTGTACAGGCCAATGGGTACATAAATATGTTCCTTAATGTGCATAGAGTCCTCTGGAGCTCTGAACACCTACCGGGGCATGAGTGTTAGAAGCCATATCAGAACATGAGAGGTAAACTGTGAAGTAGTCGATGGAGATTATCAAAAAAAACTTTATCGAGGGAGAAATCTTATACAAAATATACAGGAGTTCCGCTTACCGGGTACCCGGGTCTAGAGAGCTATATCCGTATATCTGTGGAATGTGCTGGTCATCTCTCAACATCGAAGCTCCTATTGGTGTCATATTGATAGGATTCGCGCAGTATACCCGATTCGGACCTAATGTTGGTCCCCGCAGCTTGAGACAAGCTAGTTTCCATATGTGCCCACAGCCTACCTTTCGGCCCCCACAGTTCCATCCAAGCGTCTGGAGGTCATACAAGTGCCGAACCCAATCGACTTTACCAACGGTAGCCCCATCGATGCCTGATTATGGATATATGAGGTCATGGTGGCACAAAAGCAAATATCTGGGCTAAATTTGCTTTCAAGTTTGGGAGAGATCCAGGGTTGTTGGGTCACGTGTGAACCGTAACTATGACAGATGGGGCGTGGAAGGAAGGCTAATGTTCCTAGTTTCTTCCTTGGAACTTTCTTTGTCTGCGTGGCTTGCGTGTTTGAAAAAAAGGTGCGAGTTGTACCTATGATCTGTAATTGTGACAATTTGTACAAATGCATGTATAAACAAGAATGTATCTTGTCATTAATGCGATATAGATTATCCTAGGATTTGAGTTGATTCTGTGAGTATAGTGGAGAATCGATAATAAAAACATCGTTTATTGACCAGCTGCATATATCTATACGAAGGATTGAAGTTCCGTTGCATTGGTGTTTATAAACATTGACGGAGCCGCCGATGAAGTCGGGGATGAGCGGAAATATTATAGGTCTCAGGCCATCTGATTGGTGAACCAAAAATAGGTGACTCCACTTCTCTCATTTCAGTGGCCAACTACCCTTCCATGCGAGATTGATGCTTACTTCCTCATACTGTAATTATGCGCAATTCCGATGTACGAAATATGATCCTCTAGCTCTTTGGCGAGACGTTCCACTCATCGGAGGTTTCGATTCTTGGTACCGGAAGGAATTCCAGACCAACAACAGTGTTAGATATCTCACTTTATCAAGATCAACAGCAGCCCCCTACGACCATGCTAATCAATGGGGCTAGGGACTCCAGAAAAAACGGACCCGCAGAATTCCAAGTGTTCCATGATTTCATGGCGTCTCTTGTGGAATTGAACTAGCACGCACCAAGGATCGGGGCTAGTGAATCGCATTTCCAAATCTCCACCACCGATACCATCAAACTATCTAGTCAAAACAGTTTAGATGTTGGATAACGGTTGGGGCCCAAGGCTGACTACGGCGCTACATTCAACTTTTTGATCCATATCGGCAACAACAACATTTTATATAGGATCTCACGTTTGTCATGTGGCGATGAGTCCGTGCCCCTACGCGGCCTTTCGAACAAAGGATTCTAATGATTCCTAATTTCCTTCGGGAGAGGGGTTCTTAGGGTCAGGGCCCGCTTAGCCACACTTAAAGGACAAAATGTTAGCCCCAGACAGGAAATGTTCCGAATCAACTAATCCCTCTAAAGAAATCACCCACCCCCCGATTGAAAAATCATAGCTTCATCTTTGGAGAAGCCGCATAATTCGAGTGGTGTATATCTCGGAACTTTTGCCGGCAACACGCCCGGGCCGAGTTTCATTTCAGGGTCTAAGTTCCATGATCTAACGTTACATTTTCCATACGACCTCCTTCCCACTACCTTTTATCTTCACCTGTGTCTATCAGCGTCACAAGAAGTTTAGTACGAGGGTACATATACTACATCCAAAGCGCCTGATTTGTACAGCATGCCCTTTTGTGCTCTCCTCCAGAGATGCCCACTGGGTATTCAAAAGTATCTGGCCCGTCCCGGTCCTCCTATGATGGACTTGTCGTCACTGGACGGCCCGCCTATCTTTGATACAAGGAACGCCATTTCATCAGGCCCAATCGACTTCTCGTCCTTGGATGGGGGTCCCGTCATCGCCGACCCGGTAATCTTTCTGCCCCCAAACCCTACCGTCTCTTGTATCCATGAGGAGCCGCCCACTCCGCAGACCGATGCCCAATATCATTTACTTTCGAAACCTCTTCCCCCAAGACCCTCTACAGATTCGTCATGGCAACGGGCCAGGGTCGTCAGACGGACATCCAATGCTGACGACGATGCAACCAATGCCCTCGGACGTGCCCCCGTCCGACGACGACAAGCGAGCCCTAGCGAGGATATATCTCTGGTAGATGAGTACAACCATGATCGCTCACGCCCGGCCATTCAAGTCTTGACAAACCCGGCCGCTTCTCAACCTAGACGATCTCACAGCTGTGATCCTCTTGTCTGGTTGGAAGAAGAAGGTCTATGGGAGATACCTAGTCGGTGGCCGTCACGCACAACGGTCCCATCCCAACACAGTCAACGCAGTCGCCGTCGATCATCTGTATCCACCGTCTTCAGTGCCATACCTGATGGATGGCCTATACACATGCATCATGGATGGCCACCACATCAATTTGACACCGTTCGTGTCCATATTGACAGTGCTTTAGGCGAATTACCCCCTTCCTATGACAGTCACGCTTTTAGTCCCACTTATGTGATGCGAATGCAAGATGGGCCGTTGGCAGGATGGAGCGCTGTCTCGCGTCGCGTGACCAATGTATCGGCTAATTGACGCCACCAATGGGTCCATTTGTTTTTGCGATCAAGAACTGGACATCCCAACCGAAATCTCAAAAGTGAACTGGTTCTACATGGAGCACATTACTATAGAATGCCTGGGCGTTGAGGCACCGATTTGATACCCCCTCGTTTCCCCACTGGCTGACCGGGTCTACCGGGGACGATCTTTTTTGATTCTTGATTTTTGATTTTTGATTTTTTGATCTTTTTCTGCGGGTAGTTTCCTACAACTATGGCGTTCCATATATACCTATATATATGCCGCCAAGATAATTGAATATATGATTGACAACCACTCTGTTGGAAAATCCCCTCTTTTTTTCCGTACTTCTGTCTTATGAGGGGCAAATGCATACCCCCTGGTCCAAGTGTTGCCATTTGCAAACGGCATTTTGGATCCACATCCTCCACCGCTCGTTATACTTTCGTTATGTATGGCGCTTACATGGGCAAAACAACTAGGGATATTTAAATTCGAGGCTGGGGTAGATGATCAATTCTGACCGAAGCTTCTCGAATCTATAATTTCTATCACATTGGTCCACGATGCAAGTGTCATGCGGCCGGGGAGGGATTTTAGTGACTGACATGTCTCCAGTCCTCTCGCGCTAACACAGACCAGTAGCTCTCCAGCCTCTGTATTTATTTTTTTGGAGTCCACCAGTAATCATCAGAAGAAAAACAAGTAGAGGAGATATAAGTGAAAACGGTTCGATTTTTTTCCCTTTCTTTTCCCTTTCTTCTACCCGAGACACCTTTCCTACAGTCCTTTCCCAGACCAAGTCTAAATTGACAATTTTCAACCCCCTGAAGCAATGTGGACTCGACTATGATAAAAGAACAAAGTTGATCTATAATTTTTTTTGGCAGCGGAGAGAACCGTGGTTTGAAAACAACTTGAACCAGTTGAAAAGACCTTTTTCTATCCATTCCGATTCGGCGCTTCTACCGCCTTCGTCGTCCTTCGATTCCAGGAAAAAAGAAAAATCCTCCCAACCCAAATGGTCCAACTCGCCCATATCTTCAAAAAGGACAAGGTCAAGGAGAAAGAGAAAGAAGATCTCTCCCCCAAAATTCCCAAAACTTCAAAATCCAAGAAATCCAAGGACGAATCCGATAGTCCAATTTCGTCACCACGAACTTCCTTCTCCACATCCACCAAATCTCATCCCGCTAAATCCCCCTCCAAGTCTTCCTCCAAATCGCCCACCAAGAACCGATTCCACAGTCGGTCTTCTTCTACATCCACTCCGGCCCCGCCATTCAAATTCGGAGCCCGGTCTTCTAAAGACCAGGAATCTCATCCTCTTAACCTACCTCCCGACGAGCTGCGTCGTCGCCTGTCCGCTATGGCGGCCTCTCGGGATGATCAGCGAAGCTCCATGGACATTGATCCTCAGGAAGCCCAGCAGAACGGTGTGAATACTCAAGAACGCAGTCCGACCCCTCCTCCGCACCGCTCAAACTCGGACGCCGGCGAGGCCGACTCGTTCAAGTTGGCCGGTAACAAATTTTTCAAAGATGGCAATTACGCTCGTGCCATTGAAGAGTACAACAAGGGTATGCCTGCCCCTCACTGGAGCCTTTGATACGTCCGCTTTCATCTTATCCCTGTTCAATGGACTAGATCACACGTGAAACAATGGTTTGCTAAAGCTTATTTTCTTCTGCTACAGCCATCGAGATTAACCCCAACTCGTCCGCCTACCTGTCTAACCGCGCTGCGGCTTACATGTCCGCTAAGCAATTCCTGAACGCCCTCGAGGACATTGAGCGAGCAAACGAGCTCGACCCTACCAATGCGAAGATCGTGCACCGATGGGCTAAGATCCTGACAAGCCTGGGTCGTCCCGCCGAGGCCCTCGAGGTGTTGTCCCGAGTGGACCCGCCCGCGACTGCGACCGACCGCGCCCCCGCTGAGAAGATGTTGAAATTCGTCCGCCAGGCCGAGGAAACTCTTGCCGAGGACCGTGGTGGCTCGATGGCGATTTTCTGCCTTGACCAGGCCCGCCAGGGTCTCGGACTGGGCGTGAAGGAGCCTCGCAAGTGGACTCTGCTGACCGCCGAGGCGCAGCTGAAGATGAACAACAGTAACTCGCTGGGTAAGGCGCAGGATCTGGCCATCGGACTGCTGCGGGAGAACAGCCAGGATCCTGATGCGATGATGATTCGTGCGCGGGCATTCTACGCCTCCGGCGAGACGGACCAGGCGCTGAAGCTGTTGAAGATGTGTCTTGGGCTGGACCCGGATATGAAGGCCGCAATCAAGCTGCTGCGCATGGTGCAGAAGTTGAGCCGAACAAAGGAAGAGGGTAATGCTGCTTTCAAGGCTAAGGATTACCGTCGTGCCATTGACCTCTGGAGTCAGGCTTTGGAGGTGGATCCTACCAACAAGGATATGAACTCGAAGATCCTGCAGAACCGTGCCCAGGCTTATATCAACCTGAAGGAGTATGACACTGCTATCCAAGACTGCACTGAGGCTCTGCGTTTGGATCCTGATTACCTCAAAGCCCTGAAGATGCGTGCCAAGGCTTACGGTGGCGCGGAGCAGTGGGAAGAGGCTGCTCGTGACTACAAGAGTGTTGCTGAGAAGAACCCATCCGAGAAGGGTATCCAAGAAGATATTCGTCGGGCCGAGTTTGAGCTGAAGAAGTCTCAGCGCAAGGACTACTACAAGATCTTGGGGGTCGGCAAGGATGCCAGTGAGACCGAGATCAAGAAGGCCTACCGCAAGTTGGCTATCCAATACCACCCGGATAAGAATCGTGATGGCGAGCTTGGCGATGAGAAGTTCAAGGAGATTGGTGAGGCCTACGAGACTTTGATGGACTCTCAGTAAGTGTTGATTCCTACCATCATATCTATCCACACTAACAACCAATCTAGGAAGCGTGCTGCTTATGACAATGGTGACGACCTGATGGACCCAGCTGATATGTTCGGCGGCATGGGAGGCATGGGCGGTATGGGTGGTATGGGCGGAATGGGAGGTATGGGCGGCATGAACGGCTCCCATATCAACATTGACCCGAACATCCTCTTCAACATGATGAACGGCGGTGGCGGTGGCGGCTTTGCCTCTGCCGGCGGCCACCCATTCGGTGGTCAATCTCGTGGTGGTGGATTCCCTGGCGGTTTCTCCTTCTAGAGAATGTGAACCTCCATCCCTATACGACACCCCTCCAATTTCAATTCCAATACAATTCCAATCCAGGCCCAGGGATAACATTCAAGGCTTCTCCAGAACCGTGGGAATGTTCAATGTTATACCAAGATGGTCCTATTCAACTTGATCTCCCCCACGCTTGGAGATACGTTCGCACCGATACCGATCGGCTGCAGCTGGATGCCGCTATATCCACGATTTTACATTTTTTTATTGGACGAGAAGACGATATCCTGTTGTTGACGAAAATGCGTGAATCGCCTCATTTCTCGCCATCTACTTTGACGCTTCCCGAAGCAAAATGATTCCCAACGATAGACACCTTGCCTTTTTTCTAGTTCTTACCTGTTTTCCTTTCATATGTTTTCTATTTTCCATCTTCCATTTTCCATTCTCCCTTTTTACGTCTGCCATCTTGAGCTGAGCTGAGCCGTGTTTGTGTACATGAGTGCTGGAAGGAAATGAATAAATGACCGCGGTGCATTCTGGACTGACCGTTCACCGGGATATGCGATACATCAAACATCATTCGTGGAGTTTTGTTCTGACTTTACTTTTTTCTCCTGGTTGGTGTTGATAAATGAATTGAGGATTATGGCATTTCTTGACCTGGGTAGACTTTGAGACTACAAGAAAGCTTCAGAGTTTCCTTTGCTTGAGAGAACACTTGAACACCTAAAAGATTCAATATGTAAGCTGGTAGGTAGACTTCAGTATCAGCAAACTCATTGATTGAATACTTCCACGAATAAAATATAGAACGTAAGACATCACTGATTTACTTCGACAATCTGCTATATACGTCCCCAATACCTCACATCGACGTGCTGGTCAACTGTACTATTAGAAACAACATAAAGCATAAAGCGTCAAACAAAAATGGTAGGGGGGAATCTCAAAAAAGTTGGTGGTGGCCAAAAGCGAATGAATGTACCAGAGAAGAGTATGCAGCAAACTCCGCCGCTAATGAGAAATGAAAGGGCAGGGATAACGGCGTAAAAGAAGAAACAAGAGAACCAATCGCTAAATGGGGAAACATGTCCAGATGCCTGACTGCCCAATTGCAGAGAAAAAACAAAATAGATTCCGGTCTTAGACGTAGCCAAGACCTCCGAGAATGCTTTTGCAATCTGGGATTGATAGAGCAGTGACGCCCAGATTTCGGACGAGAGCTCCAGCACGAAGACGCTGGAGGCCGATAGCAACCTTCCAAGCCTCAGTGTCCTGTAGCACGAAAACGTAGCGCTTCCCCTCCTGATCACGGATACTGGCGCGGAGAACGTGAAGACCGCGGAATTCGGACTGAGGAGCGCGAGCGTCGTTGACTCCACTGGCCGTGGCGCTGCGAGCGAAGCATGCACTTGGGGATGCTAGACGGCAGGTATTCTTGCAGACTTTGAGAAGGTTTACAAGGAAGGCATCGGATTCTTCATTCGTAGGCACTGAATGGGCACCACCGCCGCGACGGAAGGAGAAGGGGTTGCTGGAGCCAGGTTTGGCGGGTGGGGCACCCATTTGGGGACACCAGACCTCAGTGAGTTTGAGAGTCCAGGCTTTCACGTCCCATTCGCGTTGTCCGACTCCTCTAAGGTCGTCGTCGACGAAGAGTCCCTCGGTGGTGATTCGGAGCACGAGTCCGTCTGTTACCATGCCCTGGCCTGAGACGAGTTGGGAAACTGGGGTTTTCATGAAAGCGTTGTTGAATTGATAAACTCCTTGGATCACGATCTTGTCAGGATCCTTGGTGGAGTATGCACTGCGGGTTGATGGTGGAGGTGTTGTCCGAGCTGTCGATTGAGATGGGGCATATGATGATTCAGAATAAGCAGAGCCAGAGCCAGATGCGCCGCCATATGGCCGGCGTGGACGATCGTAGGGACGAAATGAATATGCATCATCTTCCTCCACGGTCGTCCTGGCAGTTGGAAAGGGCGGTTGTTTCTTGGGGGAAGGAGTCCGAGGAGCACTGGTAGCGCTGGCAGGACTAGCAGGTTTTTTGTTCGCTGCTTTCTCTTTGGCCTCTTGGGCCTTCTTCTCAGCATATCTCTTTGCCGCGGCTTCTTTGAGGGCAGCGAATTTGGCCATGGCCTCTTTCTGAGCTGCAGCCTTAGCAGCTGCTTCTTTCTCGGCGGCCTCTTTGGCAGCCTTTTCCTTTGCCTCTCTCGCCAAGCGGTCGGTCGTCGCCTTTGCTTCGGCAGCGAGCCTTTCAGCCTCAGCCTTGGCTTCAGCAGCTTCTTTTTCATGCTTTGCACGAGCCTCGGCGACCTCTTTCTCCAAGCGTTCGCGAGCTTCTTTCTCAGCAGCTGCCTTGGCATCTGCCATCTCTCGTTCAAGCTGCTCTCGACGCTCCTTCAACTCTTTCTCCATGGCTTCGCGCTCCGCTGCCCTTTGCTTCTCCTTGGCTTCTTGATCTCGCTTACGCTTGAATTCATCCATCCTTCGGCGCAATTCCTCTTTACGCTTGGCCTCTTCGCGTTCGCGCTCCTTTTCGGCCTTCTGTTTCTCTCTTTCCCTCTCCTCCCTCTCCTTCTCTTTTTGTCTTTCTCTTTCTCTTTCTCTTTCCTTCTCCTTTTCCCTTTCTCTCTCTTCCCTCTCCCTCTCCCGCTCCTTTTCTCTTTCTCTCTCCTTCCTTTCCTTCTCCCTCTCCTGCTCCCGCTCTCTTTCCCTTTCCCTTTCCCTCTCTCTTTCTCGTTCTTTCTCCTTTTCCTTCTCTGCTTCCGGATTCGGAGGAGAATTGGCATTAGTTTTGTTCTGATTACCGTACTGGTTGCCCGGATTTGGTCCTCCAGGATTTCCATGTTGCTGCCGTTGTTGTCCCGATCCGTTATACTGCTGCTGTCCCGGTCCACCCCCATAGTTCTGCTGTCCATTGCCCTGGTTGGCATTAGATTGGCTGTTCGTATTTGGCCCACCAGTGCCAGGACCAGGACCAGCTCCCGAGAAGCCTCCCTTTCCACCAAAGAAGCCATCCATCTTGGACTGCGACAATCCAGCCAACCACCCAGCAATGCCTACTCCCAAAGCCACAACAATCATTGCCATAGTGCTATGGCCAGTGCCATTTGAGGAGACAGCAGCAATGTACCACGTTTTGACTGCCGGTGAGATCAGGGACCAGGCAATGACCAATAGCATTGTACTTGCGGCGCCTGCGAAGAAGCTGTTGCGGTTTGTCTGCAAGGAGGGAAGATATAGGAAACCGGAACCGGAGGAGTGCGGGGGAATGACAAAGATATCGTAGTTCCCTGTCGGCAAGTCGGAAGATCTGCGGTATTCGCCTTCGGTGGTATGAGGGTTTTCACCATGCGGCGGCGGAGGAGGCGGTGGCCCATCCATGACGGGAGTTGTGCTTCAATATATAGTTGCGAGCGATCGAAAATTGCGCCTGGTTCGGATGATCGAAGCAAAGTAGATGTCCAAGATCTACTAACACTGCGCCGTTTCGTGTTACCCCGCTTATAGCAACCCAGTTCGTCTCGATTGAAATGACCTGGTTAGTCCTTAGACGGACAGGTTCTCAGCGCAAATGTGAGTCGATGGCCAGATCATGTTCGTTAAGAAAGTAGATCTGCACTGAGGCCCTAGGCCGCTCAGTGCGCGGGATGCCGTGTCAGATGGGAGGGGGTTTTGAAAGCAAGGTATATACAAAGAACTAAAAAAATGATGATTTCAGGGTCCAGCCGGATGGAGAAATCAAGGAAGGATATGGAGGGTCACAAGAAGAGGAAGAGTGTGTTGCTATGGGGGGACGGTTTGTTTAGGAGAAAGTGGGAGCCGCTAACGATCGGCGGCTCCATGCAGTAAAGACGTGGCCATCACACATAACAGAAACAAGGGCGCATCTGTCCCGATGTCACATTGATGGTTTATTGAAAGCTTTCTTGACGGGAAATCTGATATCTTTTCCACCCCTTGAAATGTTGAATTCTTCATAGGCCACGCGATGGAGTATCGGCCATTCAGTGGATGGAATGGACCCTGTAGTACGGCATCTAGGGATACCAGTTCAAGTCTGGGCCTTGCTTAATTTACTAGTATTTATTTCAACCTCGACTTGTTGGCGTTTAGATACTTCATCATAGACCGTCAATAGTGTCATAATATTCCATTTGTATATATTGTCCTTCGTGAATCTATTTTCAAAGTACAAATCGATGGCTTAAAAGTGTTTGTTTTGGTTTTCCCATATCGGGAATAGCGTCTACTGATTACCTCAGTATGTATTCAAGCCTCAGGCAGATAATGCGCCACTCCCAGTCTACGGGCCGAGTCTACGGGTCAAGTCTAAGTGACTTCTCCCTACTAAAGCCCATTTTGCCTAGATGAAATTGACAATATCAATGTGTTGTCATTCTTCAAGATTGAATATATTGAATATCAAATAATAAAAGAGTCTATATGCGAATGAACCTACATCTCTTGACTTCGAATGTTCACTAGGGGCGGAACCTTGAAAGGCTCCCGAAGTCGGGGTTGACTGGAAACCGTGTCGACTTTGCGGTCAAGCGTTGGGGCACTAATAGTCCGTTCTAGTGGGGCCATGACGGACTCCAGGTTCAGCTTCAGTAGAAGAATTTGACAAAATCAAAAATAAAATAGAATTCTCAGACTAGAACCATGAATCTGGCAGGCAGCAATTATACATGCAGATATAGAAGTTGTACCGTATTTGACTGAAGAGATAATCAGCCACCGCATCACGTCCCCAAGAGCGGAGGAATGCCCCATGATCTGGCCAGGCGGTGCGGAACCCTGATCAGGTCGATTCATTTCAAGTCACGGTACCTAATATATCAATACCATTTAATGAAAAGAAGGCAAGAGGAGGAAGAGTATTTCAAACAACATGTCATACTAGTTAGTTCTAAACTATCGAACTGCACTTTATAGTTGGTGCAAACCGTAAGGAGACAGGAACCGCAACGTGACCCGCAGCCGATGATTGGATCGTAATCCCCGACTTTCCAACTCCCCTTCTTTGCATAATCTCTACGTCTAACGTTGCAAAGAGGCTCTGTGTTTTGGCTTTTCACTTGCTCGTGGTAGTCAGGTACTGCCCCCTTTTCCCTCTTCTTTCCCCCGCCAACTTGTCCACTTGGCCCCCAGGCACCGTCTATCCCGCCCCGTCTCCTATGCGTCAATAGTTCGAACGTCCTCATCTATCCTCCTGCCCTTCAAGGGCAATCTCCCCCCGACACCATGTCCTCCTTTCAATCTCCCTCCCAGCCCTACCAGGGAAATGCGGCGCCATCTCGCCAATTCGCCTCGTACAACCCGGTCGCCGCTGCAGCTCCCGCGGGGACTTTCCTCCCCGGTACCAAAGTCCAGGTGGGTAGTCACCGCGTCGTGGTGGAGAAGTATCTCTCCGAGGGTGGCTTTGCTCATGTCTACGTCGTGCGACCGCCGAAACCGATCAATGGTGCGGAGACTGCAGTCCTGAAGCGGGTCGCTGTGCCTGACAAGGCGGCGCTGGCAAACATGCGCACCGAGGTGGAGACTATGAAGAAGCTCAAGGGCCACCGGCATATCGTGAAATATATTGATTCGCATGCTAATCAACTGCGCGGGGGCGGGTATGAGGTGTTCTTGCTTATGGAGTACTGCGGGGGTGGCGGTCTGATTGACTTCATGAATACCCGCCTGCAGAATCGGTTGACAGAGCCTGAGATCATCAAAATCTTCTCCGATGTGGCCGAGGGTGTGGCCTGCATGCACTATCTCAAGCCGCCCCTGCTCCATCGCGATCTCAAGGTGGAGAACGTGCTGATCTCGCGCACGGCGGGCGCACCCACCTATAAACTGTGCGACTTTGGATCCTCGGCCCCCCCGAGGCCTGCAGCGACGTCTGCTGCGGAGGGTCGATTGATTGAGGATGATGTGCAGCGACACACGACTCTTCAGTATCGAAGCCCGGAGATGATTGATGTCTACCGGAAGCAGCCAATTGATGAGAAAAGTGATATCTGGGCCCTTGGCGTGTTCCTGTACAAATTATGCTACTATACGACGCCTTTCGAGGAAGTTGGCCAAATGGCTATTCTCAACGCTACGTTCAAATACCCCGCATACCCCCAGTTTTCAGACCGGTTAAAGCTTTTAATCGGTGAGTTTGATCTTTCAGCGCTGCAGGGTTCATGACTGATGTAAACAGCATCGATGCTCAAGGAGCTTCCTGAGAAGCGCCCGAATATCTACGAAGTGGTAAAGGAAGTGTGTAAGATGCAAGGAAAAGAAATTCCTATCCGAGATGTGCGTTCTATTAATGTTTATCATCCTGGTCAAACTACTGATATCTCTAGATATACTCCAACCGATCTATCTCCGACGCACGGAAACACCAGGTCTTGCCTCCCACGCCTGTAGAGGCCCCTGCAGTGGGTGCCAAATTTACGCCTCCTATGCAAGAAACACAGATCATCCCAGAGATTGCGCCTATGCGACGAGGTCGGCCTGGCAAGCCCGAGTCCCAACGTGACTCTGCTAAGCCGAGTCCTTCCCCATACCGCGGTTCTACCAGTACATCTGACCCGTTCGCGGCTTTAGATGGAGGTTCCCGGGGGAAGATGACAGCAGACGAATTGTCCAAGCGATTTCCCTCATTGGAACAGTTTGATATCCTGCACGAAACGGGTGACAAATTCGACTTTGAGCCTGCCAAGGAGTCTAAAAACGAGGGCGAGGATCTCTCACAGAGACTTACCAATGCTTTGGCCGATGATGCTTTTGCTCGGCAATCTTCGCCCGAACGACAGGAACCGACCAGTCGGCAATCACAGACATCGCCCGTCCGAGCACCCAAGCTTCAAGAAGTCCCCATTCGGCAATCAGTCCCATTATACCAACCGACTCCTACGCGACCTGCAATGGTTTCAACGGGTACAATGACCTCACCTGCTCAGACGCCTCGTCTACCAGATGCGAAGCTGTCTAGCCGCCCAATTTACCGATTTCCTCCCTCAGAGGAGCAACGATCTGCGAGCCAGCCATGGTCCCAAGATGACCAGAAGGCCTCGTCGCCTCCTTCAAATTTGAGACCTGAGTCCAGCCCACGATTATCATCTGACCGACTTTCTCATCAGTCCAACTCCGCACGTCCTTCTATGGAACTGCGACGACCTACGACGCTAGATGTGAATGCACCTGCGGGTCGCTCGAGGTCTGCAGTTGGTAAAGGTCGTCCTGTTTCAGTGCAAGCCTCGGCGCGATACGACCTGCCGCACGATCACGAGGCTTCACGCTCCTCCTTGGATCTCTCACGCTATGAGGGTGGTGCGCCAATTCGCCCCGTTCGTACGGAATCGGATCGAGACTATGACCAGCCCAATATATCGTCGGATATGGACTACCTACGGGTCAAAGAGGAGGAAGAGAGCAATCGGAAGCGTGAGAAGCGTGCCAGCACTGGGGCCAAACACAGTAAGCGTAGCAGCTTGTCTACACTATCCTTTTCTGGAGGCAAGAATTTGTTCGCAGGTCGGTTTGGTGATGCGTTCCGCCGTTTCGAGAGCAGCAACCCAGACAAGCCTACGACTCCATCAGCTGAAGAGTTCCCTCAGCAAGCAATTATCAGCAGCTCAGAAAATCTGGAGTCTCCTACCGAGGGGTTTTCTCCATACCAAGATGATCCCCTGGATGACTTGGAACGCGAGGACATCTCCCCTGAGATGCGCCGTGAGCTAGAACGCCGTCGTCTCTCCCAGGAGGAGAAGCGGGTGGCCAATGCCGCAGCTGAATATCGGCGCCGGGTCGCCGAAGACGGAAGCGGTAGAGCTGGCACCGATGGACGGTCTCGTGTGATTCAAAACAGAGTCCAGACATTGCTCAGTGAGACCCAGAAGCCGGTTGTTCCGAAGTCCGCCACTGGCTATGGGAAATACACCGATACCCCTGCTTTGCAGGCAAAGCAGGATAGTGAGCAATCCTCGAACACTGGCACACTGCCCATCTCCAAAACCCCTGGTCCAGCTTTCAGCCGGCTTGAAGCAGTTGTTTCAGCTCCGCCAGATCGCCGGAAGGGAGCCAGTGCCCCTGCAGGACTCCCACAATCTACTACTTCATCTTCTACTCCACGCCCCACGACGTCGCGCCCAGCTGCGCCACCCAAGCCAAAAAACCTGCGTGTTGGTACTCAGGAGAGCTCCCGACCAGGAACCAGTGCCAGCCAAGACCGCAGCCCATCTTTCCAGCAGTCGACGGGACCGGGCGGGGAAGACTGGGAAGCCAATTTCAGCCGGCGTTTCCCTAGCCTGTCTGGAATAGAAATGGAGACAGAGATTGAGATCCCCAAGTTCCCGAAGCTGCGGACCCGGGAAGTGTAAAGAGATGTCGATAGATGTGATTTTAGTGTGCACTTTTAGCGTGTTCTGCTCGCATGGGCGCGTCTTGACGGGACGGTATGATCTTGTGGTGATGCATATATAGACAAGTGACATATTGGAAACTATCAGACTATGGAGAGTTCTAGGAATTTCGCTCTGAGTATGGAGGAAATGAATAAATCATGTCTTGACCTTCAGTTGACTTCTCGCTCTACAACTTCTTACACTGCGTATCGCGATAAAGCCTTCTTATCAATCTCACTTCACACCGCCTTCTCCACCTCCGGGAAACTTCCTTACGAGCACCAAAACAGCAACTGAATTCTATAAATACATTATCGTCATGGCTCCAGTCACGCTGAAGACGATCGATGGTAAGTGAAGCCACGAAATTGACAGCCAAACGGTGCTAAAAAGCAGCCACAGCCGACCTCAAGGAAGCAATCCAACACCTCTTCGAAATCCAATCCGCCGTGCACGGCTATCTAGGCCCAGAAACCCAACAAGAGCTAGTGCGCAAGATGTAAGTGCAGCTTCTTTAAAGCCGGCCGAACATGAACAATAGAAAGCCCCAAACTGACAATCTCCTAGCAAAAACCTCACCATCACCCTCTCCACCCTCTCCAGCCACACTCAAGAAACAGACCAGACAGACGGCCAATCCAATGACCCATCTAACCCCTCACTTGCCAGTATCCAACTTCCCCCCGAGATCATCGACTACGTGGATGCCGCACGCAACCCAGACATCTACACCCGTGAATTCGTCGAGCTGGTGCAGCGCGGAAACCAAGATCTAAAGGGAAAGCGCGAGGCATTCGCCGGGTTCCGGGACGTGTTAGCCCGCGAGATGCGCAGTGCCATGCCCGAGTGCCGCGGCGAAGTGGACCGCGTGGTTATTGCGACGGGGGGTAGTGTCGACCGCGATGGATCTGGAGCTGGGGCTGGAGCCGCTCAGGGACAATAGGACACAATACTACATGTGATGATCGAATCGGGACGAGCTTGCATCCGTCACTCCTTGCTTAGGGCCTTTGCGACGGTACGCCTTACAGATATTACAGCAAGCAGCTGCTGCAGTTACAGCCGCAGCCAAAAATCGATTGCTGGATATGGATCGCTACGTTGACCGCGTCGCATTCGGTCTCTTGGCTCCCGTCACCCAAAGAAGCAAACACAAACACGGGCTGTGCTTGGCGATGGGGTCGATTGCTTGATCTCATTATAATTTCAGGTCCGCGATAACGGCCCCCGAAGCTTGATGGTCTGAAAATAGACCCAGGGGACTGGCTGGTCAAAGACTGATCTCGGTATCATACTACCGAGTACATCGCGCAGCACTGGAAGATGGATACTATGACGATCTCGGAGATTTGAGCTTGGACATGAATCGCAGTGGCAAAGTCTTGAACGGGTAAGTCGGTGCGCGGTCGGGGGATAACGGCTATTGTTGCCCTGTGCCACTGTTCTCTGGAGTTAAAGTTCTGGGATTTCTTTCATCTCCGGTGCTTGCCGACTAGAGAAAATGATGCTTTGTTTCAGACCGGAACACAGGATTTTCCCCTGGAGCTGTGGAGGTCAATGCAACCTAACCTATCCTCACCGAGTCGATTGTTCTAATCAGGCGGCTCTATAGCCGAATTCCACATAAATCAACCAATGAGAATTGAGAATTATCCTTGTTCGTTATATACGTGTACGGTGAAGTCAGTCCATTGCGCGATGTGGGGGTTAGACCGCTTGTTGCCCCGGTTTTTGCCCCAGTATTCGATCCCCATACTGGCTACTATCTATACAAAGTATGTAGTTCCTGAAATAAATCGTGAATGAGTTACCGATCTAGATTACTGAAGGAAGTGGAATTTCCGTAAAATGGCGAGATCTGCGGCTTTTTCCTGATCCTTGCGCTATGTATTTACTTTAGTTCACGCCACGCATACGCATTGCCGGGGTTGAAATTCGAGGTATTGCAGGTATTGAAGGTATTGAACGTATCGATGAAGTCACAACTAAGACATTCAAGTCGGGTAATTTCTATACTTTGTTTAAATGGTCCTCAAAGTCTAGTTATAAGGTACATATCAAGTAAACTGTTTACTTAATTATTTACTTGATGAGTGAATCTCAAATCAATAAGATATGTAAAGAATACAAATCTATATCTGCAGGGATCAAAATCTTGCCTGAAGGTCCACATTGACCTCTTTCATGACTAGCCTAAAGCAAGCCCCCCCCCGCAAACCTGCGCCCCCAAGCCTTTCTTTCTCCCCACAGATCTTTCTCAGATTCGTCTCTCTCCATGTCTCGTTACAGAATGCACCCTCCCTAACATACCTCCGTCATGGCCAATATAACTGCCGCCGGTGATGGCATCACTGGCGGCTATAGGGGCAGCTCACTGGGTATGCAAATCACCATCGCGACTCTCGCCGGCGTCACTTGGTATAATGCATTCGAGCTTGTCACCCTTCTTTTCGTGACCTTTGCACAATATCGCGGTCTATACTTCTGGAGTTTACTTATTTCATCGTCCCTTGGTCTAATACCATACTCTCTGGGCTTCCTAATGAAGTTCTTCGACCTTACATCCGCAACCTGGTTGCCTGTCACTTTGCTTACCATCGGATGGTGGTGCATGGTAACTGGCCAATCGATTGTTTTATACTCACGCCTTCATTTGGTCATATCCAATCAACGGGTCCTACGGCGCGTCTTGGCTATGATTGTGATTGATGCCATCGCGCTGCATATCCCAACTACCGTCCTAACATACGGTACCAATCTGGCCGACCCCAACAGTCCCTATATTCGTGGTTATAATGTGATGGAAAAAATACAGATGACTGGCTTCTGTCTTCAAGAGTTTGTTATCTCGGGCTTGTACATTTGGGAAACGGTGCGCATGTTACGTCTCGATCCGGATCGCACCAAGCGCAAGATCCAGTGGCAGCTTCTCATTATCAACACTATCATCATCATTCTGGACTTGGGGTTACTGGTTGCCGAATACATGAACTACTATATCATGGAAACTATGCTTAAGGGGTGCGTGTACAGCATCAAGCTGAAGCTCGAGTTCGCCGTCCTGGGTAAACTCGTCCACCTTGTCCACAACCACATCTGGAAACCTGAGTCCTTCTCCGGGCCCGAAAATCTCCCCGACTTTGTCGATGCAACGCGCGTTCCCTCCGATGTCACTCACGCCGCTCCCACATTAAACATCCGGACTCCAGACTGGATGGATGCCGACGATATCTCCATCGCTATGTTTGAGCATTGCCCACCTACCAATTCCTCTGATGCTTCTGGCGAAACCCACCCCGTACACCCCACCGATTTTACGAATCCTTTTGTTCGATATCAGCGACACTCTTCTCGGTTATCTGAGAAGCCTCGGAAACCAGGGTAAGAGGCTTCGACCCGAAACCTTTTTTGTTATCTTTACGAATCACGACTTATGAATGAGATACCCTCCCTTGTTCTTGAGACTGGTGACATCCCATCAACCTACCACCTTCGAAGTATGGCTGCGATGAGGGTTATCCCCATCCGCGCTGCTTCTCGGACTCGGCGTCCGGGCCTCCATTCTGCTTCGATATGTTCTGGTACAAACTAGATGAGGTTGAGCATGGAGTAAATACTCGCTGAAGGGTTGCTTAGAATTCAGATATCTTGGTTTTTTATTTACGCAAATGATACCTACTTAGCGTCTGGAACTTTACGGAGTCCTCTTTCCCTTTGGATTCTGATTATGCCATGTTATGTTATGACCGGTTCAATGTCAGGCTAAAATTCAAATAGCTTAATGAAAACCTGACTTGTGTAGGTTTCCCCAGGTTTAATGACGTGAATGGCGGAGAAATGTCGGAAGCCATAAACCTTCAATCTTTCCCCACAATCCAACAATCCGGGGATCTTCACTTTGCGGCAAGTCAATTCCGTTGCTACGTCACATGGCCTGGATAAATATTTCATAATCACGCGCCTGCTCTTCTCATACCAATCGCACATCATTGCAAACATGAAGACTGGGCCGAACCTCTCCCTACTAATTATAACGGCAACTACCGTGGGTGTAGTAAGTGGTGGACTTGATAGCCCACCGCCTCATCTTCACTCTCGCTCCGCACCATGCACCAATACAGCTTCAACGCTATCTCTAAGTGATCCGCCCTACAATAACTACTTCTACTCCGACTGCAACGTCGCTGCTCAGGCGGTAGTCACCAGTCCTCTGTCCGATAGCAATCTATCTACCATCAGTCCACGTCTAATAATCGCCTGGCCGGCGGGTAACAGTGGTATATGTACCTTCTTCGCACCCCAAAATGGAGTGAATGGGACTCTATCCATTGAACTAGTGAACTCAACAATCGGCCAGCCACTCGCGCCGGTCTACATTGCTTCGGAGAGCAACTACCCCAGTGTGGGTGTGCAAGGGATCATACGCTTTAACTCCTCTGCCATCCTCTCACTGCCTATTCTTGGTAGTATTCGGACAATCCGCGACTTTGTAGAGGGTCCCAGTATCCTCTACCCCGAGATTCAGGATGCTATCATGTATAGCTCGAACAGTGTCGGGAGGAGCGCCTCGGTTCATCGCCTATGGCTCGATAATGTCACCACGACGAGCATATTCTTCGCTCCTTGGGTCAATGGCAGCATCAAAAACAATGCAAGTGTCACGGTTGTAGACCGCACACTGGAATTTCAGGCGGGCGAGTATCTATTCGCAGCAGAGATGAACTATCCACAACTAGCGTCATTGAAGCCAGAGGCTGTTCTCAATAATCAGTCGACGGCACTTACCACCAAAATGCCAGATCAGACCACGGCATTGTCTTTCCTGTCATACTCGGAAAAACTACTTGCAGGTGCTTGGCGATTCCTCACATACTTCGGGCGTGACTCGATGATTTCTGCGCTGCTTTTGGAGCCAGTCCTTAGCACTGGGAATGGGACTGCGATGGAGGCTGTTCTGGGAGCTGTGTTGGAGCGTGTTAATCGGAGTGATGGTAGTGTTTGTCATGAAGAGACTATAGGGTGAGTTCTTCAACTATACATCGATAATGTCTACTAATTCTGCAGCGATTATGCGACTTGGACCAATTTACAAGACAATATTACTAGTAGCGCTATGCTTTGTACTTATCAAATGGTTTGTTCTGCTTTTCCTTTGAAGCTTATATGCTACATGTGACTACTTGGAGTAGCTCTGACGATGGTATAGATCGATCCGGACTACTATCTGCCAGTCTTGATGCAGCGATATTTTCTGAACAATCCAGCTGGCGAAAAGCGCGCTTCAGCATTCTTCGGGTGAGTCTTGACCCATTGATTGGAAGGCCAGATCTAAATTGGAACTTTATAGCACAAAAGCAGGATCTATTAATGCAGCGAACCAAAATCTTACTTGGGGCCAGCTAGCCCTCATAAACGCCGAGCGTATCATGCGTCTTACAAGTCCCTTTGCGCAAAACCAAACAAGAGAAAATCTTATTCATCTCAAAGAAGGTCAAATTGTTGGCCAGTGGCGCGATAGCGAGTTCGGTATGTTCCCCTTCCCACTTCGCCAAACCAAGACTAAATTATCCCAAGGTATCGGAGGAGGCCGCATCCCCTTCGACGTAAACACAGCGCTTGCCCCAGCAGCACTCCGCTCCATAGCAGCTCTCTCTCGAAAAGGAATCTACCCCCAAAATTGGAGCTCGGTAGCAGACCAAAACGCCCAAATCTGGGAAGACAAAACCCTACAATTCTTTAACGTGACAATCCCCCGATCCCAAGCTCAAAGTCTCCTCAAATCCTACAAGGAAACTTCTTCCTTCAATGGCTCAGACCAAACTTCCTCTATTGATAAGGATCTCACATTCTACTCCATCTCTCTAGACGGTTACAACAATCTCTCCAGTGTAAAAGTCATGCACTCAGACGACTGTTTCAGACACTACCTCCTAAACACAACAGATGATACCCAACTCACCTCGTTCTTGAATTCCTCCGCGACTAATATCCAGCGCACCTTCCCAGCAGGCCTAATGACTGATGTTGGAATGTTGATTGCGAACCCGGCATTCGGTGGTGAGGATGTTTATGCGCAGAACTGGACGACGGGCGCATATCATGGAACAGTTGTGTGGTCGTGGCAGTTAGCTATGATGGCAAAGGGGCTTGAGTTGCAGCTGGGGCGGTGTCAGGTTTTTGCGAATTTTTCGTCTGCGGCGAGAAATGTGAGGAGGGATGTGGTGCCGGAGTTTTGTACAGATGATTACGTTTATGGGAATGTTAAGGCTGCGTATAATGCGCTTTGGGATTCTATTGAGCGGAATAAGGATCAGCTTTCGACGGAGATGTGGTCATGGGTTTATCGGGATGGGACGTTCCAGTTGGCGCAGTTGGTGGACTTGCCGGCGCCGCCTGGGGTTGGGGGCCAGACTGGTAGGTTCAATTTATTTGGTTTGGCTGATGTCATGCTGATTTTATGTAGAATCAGATATCCGGCAGCTTTGGTCGCTAGCTTTCTTGGCTGTTTCGAGGAATGGAGACTATCACTAAGTAATGGGGGTAAATATGGCAATATGGGGGCTTTCGGAATAAGAGCTAGGGTATGCCATTGGTTACTCAAATCAGGACAATTTGTATTGGAACGGCCGACTATGCAATGACGCAATGACAAGAATGTTAACTCCAAGCAGGAGAACGTGTTTATGTAGTTATTGAAAGAATGATTGCTACGAGGATGGCGTACATGGAATAGACAGATACCCTCCGATAATGACTCTGGAAAAATATAGTGAGAACCACACAAACTCACAGATTCAAGTTCGCTACAGCTCAAACTTCCGATATCCTTCGACCAGGCCATCAGTCAACTTGGTCACAGTTGCCCAGGCGGGGGCATACTGCCTCACCTCGTCAAGGGCAGGTATAAGGCCGGGGCTGTTATTGTCACTCCATATACAGGAAACACGTCCTGTGATGGGAGCCGACTCAGCGATAAGTGTGGTGTCTTCGTTCTTGGAGAAATCAACATCCACAGTCCACTTGTTCTCCCAATCACGGCTCCAGAGACGAACTTCATGGATGCCATCTTGAGATGGGTGGAGGAATCGCTTGTCGGGCGCAGAGCCACCGACGACGTTGAAATTTGTGATGGGGTGGCCATCCATCGTGATGCGACAGGAGCGGGTATTCTGGCCTGAGATCTCAAAGCGCACGGAGGAATGTCCGGTAGACTCTGTGGTGAAGGAGACCCAGTCCGAGGATGGAGAGGAGACATTACCACTTGAAACGACGTGCGGCTCAGGGCCAGTCCAAGAGCACTGTGTACGGCTTAGAGCCTCCTTCCAAACGCAATCCGTTTGACCTCCTGCGCTGGGAAGACCTCGGACGACGTCTTCCACGAAGGGAAGCGCGCCAGTCAGATAGGTGGTTGTATTTCCTTGGTCTAAGTCGACTTGCTGTGAGAAATACACTTTCATGCGGTTGGCATCTGAGAATGGGAATGCGACAAGATTGTAGATGAGGGTTCCAAGTAATACAAAGAACAAGAAGATTGGGATGTGGTAGGTATAGCGGTGGATAAATGGCAGCATCGGCATGAATAGCACAGTTGTCAGAATGGCGATAGACATGTAGACAAACAGCGAGGGATTGCCATCCTGACCCGTTTGGTGAAGAGCGCTGGTCAGAAAAAGGCTGAGTGGGGCGACCAGAGTCAGAATGATAGGAACTGTGAGAAGCAACTGCAGGATCCAGGTCCAGCGAGGCAGCGAGGCACTCCAGGTTTGTTCGTGTCTATAAACATTGGGATCATACTCCCCTTCCTCCACTTCCTCGTCAGTGTGGCCAGCGACGTTGACGTAGTTGGCGAATGTAGTTCGCTGCTGACTACGGAGCAGGGAGGTAGATTCCGTCGCTGCCTCAACCTCATCTTCGTCCTGGTTCTCGTCACCAGATAAAGCACCAAAGCCGCTGGGTCGCCGAGAGCCCTGAGTCGAGCAACCGATGTATTCTGTCTTTGTAGGAAGAGAGAAGAGCTCAAGGTAGGAAATCCAAGTTGCCAGGAAGGTGCCTGCAAAGTAGAAAAGCATAAAGTAGCCACCAGCGAGCCCACGTTCGTTTTCATAGATAGTAGCAATGACCAAGAAAGCCCAGCTCAAAACGAAAATCCAGGTCCAGGTGTACACACGGTGGAATGCCGATGGCCGCGAAAAGTCGGCAACGCAGGACACAAACCATGCCAAGAAAACCCAGGCAGAAATCATCATACTCCACACGGCGTAAGTACTACTATGCACAATGAAGGGATTGATCTTGGTGACCAAATAGGCCAATCCCACGGTAACACCAGTGGGGATAGCAAAAATAAACGGAAACCGGAAGAAGCCTCGTAGCCCTCGAAGCGATATTGTCTCGTCGCTGATATCCACCCGTGCGAATGAGCGGAAAAGATACATCTTATCAGCCTTGGACAAAGCAATGCTAGTGACTAGGAGCGTCAAGGGCGCCACGATCAGCAGAGTCACCGACAACGCGAAAAGCGTATGCACACGGAAAACGGCAAATGCACTGCCGAAGAGATCAAACCAGACGGCATCGGTACCTGTCCCGCTCGGAACAAGCCCGTCGTCCTTATCCTGGCCATCGAATCGGTCACTCGAGTCCGAGACGAGACTTTGGGTCGAGGCAACGGCAGCAGAGATCATGTGCCACAACGAATCCATATTGGTATGGCGCGCATCATCCTGGTCAGTGTGGTACCGGGCTCGGGGTTCATAAAAGGCGATATCAAGTCCCCGGAGACCCAGCATACCCTGAAGGACCACATAGTCTGTCTGACTGCGAACAACTCCCGACTCAAACCCGTTAGCACTCAGCACCGATCCGAAGGGAGACTTCGACTTCGCATATGCCTGCGTGACCTCCAGGTCCGAACTTCGAAACAACGTAGCACGGCCACCAGCACCCGCCCCCTCAAGGTTGACGAATGTATGCGCAAACTTGGCCATCGGGTGCTGGCTGTACGCGCGTGCTCCGTTCAAATAGTCCTCCTCACCGTTGTTAAACATCACCACCAGTCCGCGGCGCGGTGCATGTTCAGGAGTTAGGAAGTACCGCACAAGCTGGAGACAAGTGACAACGCCAACACCGTCATCTGTGGCGCCGTATCCAGTCGAAACACTGTCATAGTGCGCATTGACGAGCACACCACCCTTTCCTGTGGGGGCTTTACCGGGGACCTCCCACCAGTTCTCCTGCTTATCTTCCCAGCCACGGATATAGACGAGAATATTTGTCCCTTCAAAGTAGACACCAGTTTGGCCGTCGATACTGGTCAGATTGGAGGTCAGATCGTCGAACACGAAGACTTCTGGTGTGGTCTTGTTCGCGGCTGCGGCTGCCGCGACAGATGACGAGTGGATCCCGTCAATGCGTTCAAGCAGCCAAGATCTGACTATGTCGTTGCGGTGAGAATTGTACGGATGGAAGCCGCCGGTAAGAGTCTGCAGATCAGACCATGCTTCGGTCAGGTCCAGGCCCTTAGGGCTCGTTCGGGGTGCGGCCGGAACATTTTCGTGAATGACGATCACGGGGATAAGCAGAGCCAAATACACCACGGTTAGAATGATCGTCACCGGCCCTGGCGTAAAGGCCAGTGGATTTTTGGCCTTTGGGAAAGCCATGGGGTGTGCACCAATTGGCGTTTACGAGGTTGAAGTTGGAGCAAGGATGCGGGGAGGGAAAGCTCGGGGTTGCCGTCGAATTAAGGCACCGATAATGCCAATCTACTCCGTACTTGCTATCTACACACACACCTATATCTACATCTACAACAATCTACAACGGCCGACTAAAAAGGACCAAAACATAGATTGTATCACACAAATGTGAAATAATCCAGAATTAGAAAAGTTGTTCCAGTTCGCTAACAGAATATGCATTTCCAAGTAGACACAATGATGGGTAGAGGGTAATAATCTTCGCTCATATGGATAGAAATGACCTGTATTCCGTCCTGACTCTTGGGCTCATTATGCGAAAGGCCAGTCTGAAGAGACGGAACCAACAGGGAGAGAGAAAAAAAACACTGGAAGAGATTGATAAAGGGCCTCCTTATGTAATAGATGGGACGAACAAGAAGAGAAGTTGGGTATCGTATCAATCATGGAAGAGTTTCAACATCGATGTAATCTTCGTCGTTGATGCCTGTAGCATCCATTAGGCCAGTCATCTGCCCCGCATCTTCGTCCAACTCGTCATCGTCATCGTACATTGTGGCTTCGGTTTCATCTCTGTTCAAGAAGTTCCGAAGCTGGGATACACCTTCCCCACTGAACACACAGAATACGTCTCTCTGCTGTTGCGTAAACTCTGGTGGGGCTTCTCGGCAGAATTTAGTGAGTGCCGGGTTCAAGAACTCTGGGACTCCCGTTAGACTCAAATGGGTGAGTCGTGGACACTGATTAATTAAAGGCCGAATGGACTGAAGGAGGAAATGTCAGCTTAAAATCTCCAAACAGGGTCACAATAGAACTTACATTCATGCTAAGCCCAGTGCAGTAGCTAAGGTGGACACGCTCCAGGTTACTGATCGCCGGACTGTTTCGACGGTTTGCAAAAGCCCTGATACTCAAATCCGTGATAGACTGGCATTTGACCAGACCAATACGTCGTAGTTTGGGTAGACTAGCCAACTCTTGCACACTGGTGTCGGTCAGGCGGTTACAGCAAGCCAAATCGATGTATCGGATACGGTTGCAAGCCCTGATGAGCTGCATGACCGCAGCATCGGTAATATTGGAGCAATGACCTAGGTGCACGTAGTGTAGGTTTTTGCCCAGCTTACAAATGGCTTGTACTGAGCGATCTGTGATAAAGCGACACTTGGCCAGCACCAGATTTCGTAGACGTGGCGCAGCACTAATAATGCGCTCCACAGCATCGTCTTTCACTTCCTCACATGCCGTGAGATCCAGAATCCTTAGGCTTTCAAACGTTCTGCCTTCCGGAAGGTTAAGGAATGCCGAGTCATTAATCTCAATACAGTGTGCGAGGCGCAGTTCTCGGAGGTGACGGAGGGTGGTTATGAGAGCCGTTACAGATGGACTGGTCACAAGTTTGCAGTCATGGAGATCAATCTCCAGGATGGCGGGGCAGTTCTCTGCAAAGGACAGAATAGACCGATCGGTGACATTATCAATGCCGTTGAGCTTTAGCCTTTTAATCTGTCGACAATTTTGTGATACGATGAGAAGCGAGTCGTCGGTCACCTTGTTGCAGCCGGTGATATTGAGGCCCTGCAAACGCGGGCAGTTTCTTGAAACCGCATAGAGGGTGTGGTCGGTTAGGTGTCGCAAGTCGGAGACATCCAGTGCCTGCAGGTGCCGGTTGCCCTCTACCAAATCTGAAACACCCTTATCGGAGAGTTTGGAGCAGTTGGTCAAAGTCAGTCGCTCGATGCGCTTGCACTGAGTGAAGGGGACGACTGTGCCATCGCTGACATCAGGCGCCAAAGCGGACAGGTTGAGTCGCTTGATAAGGTCGGCGTAAGTGAAAAGACTCTCTGGATTCCCCACAGAAGCCGTCACGCTCTTCAACTTATCCCAGTTACCACATGCTGGTCGATGCCATAGGATGCCGACAGAGTTGGCAGCCCAACTACGGCAGACTAGCATGCAGTTCAGCATGTCCGCTTGGGTCACCAGCTTGGAAAATATTGCGATCAGGATCTCCGGAGGAAGGTGGCCGATCGGGGGCACTGGAGCAGATCGGTTGGTCTGCACGTGGAGATCGCGAAAATTGGCAACTCCAATCGAGGATTGTGAATCGTTGGCCTGGGCCATGAAGAAGTCCGTGTCGTCATCTGCGGCGCGTTCCGGTGACGTTGAGGAGGAGGTTTCGGAGGGTGCTTCGCTCGGTAATCGAGCAGCAGGTCGTTGGCGGGGCATTTTGATAGCGTATATGGGTGGGTTGGGGAGGGGGGTTAAGAGTCGAGGGTTCAATAAGAGGTGTCTTGGGATCGTCGCAGGGCTAGGGTCTCATCACTCTGCAAATGATGACTGCATGGGCGGTGTGCGTGTGTCTAGACTCGGAGGTCACAGTAAAGAAGCCGGACGGCTAGTGCTTTCTAAGCCAATAGTTGAGGATCGCCTGTTTCAGTCTTTGTTGCCACAGGAGGTTGATAGGGTTTGTTCTCTGAATCGGTAACCCGATGGGGCGAGGAAGGCGATGATGGTGTGTGGGATCCGCAACGCTTAGTTGCAGGAAAGGTAGTGGCGTTCGGGAACAGCTAGAACAAAGAGCAATAATGCATCACCTGCAGGTATTACCCCCCTGGTTTGAAGATCGCTTGAATGCAAGGTGTAAAGGGGAGAGGTAAATGGAGGGGGAAGAGGCAATGGGGCCGATTCGTGGAGTGAATGCCAAGCCACTTTCTTATCGATGATAAGATGGTCCAGGGTTTAGTTTTAAGGCTGGCAGATTTGGATATAAATGAGGGGAAATTGGGTATTTGAAGGGAAAATATCAAACAATATAGAAACTTTCTACCGTCACTCACTTTTCTGCTACAGTCACTCCCCTTTCTCCAAATTGGAAACCGACGAAATGTCAAAAGTTCCACCCGTTCATCGTATAAATATTTTGCTGCTACTTTTATAGCAACCTATGACTACTTTATTAAATATCTCCTACTCAGTCTTCTACTCAGTCTCCTACTCGGTATCCTATCTAGTATTCTACCTTCTTTTATATCATATTGATCTAACGGTTAAAGGTCTCCCTAAATTTTTGAATAGCGAAATAGAAAAGAAAGAGGGAAAAAAGGGAAGAGAAGAAAGATGAAGTGGAAGGCGAAGGGGAAAAAGTAAAAATCTAGTAGAGGTTTCGGACATATGTCTAAAAAGTCTATGGTATACATATACCCAAGTAATAGAGGAGTAGATAGAGAGGGGTGGTGATATCCTCCCTTATGTTAAGCTCTATGTTCTAGATCAGGTTGGGGTTGGGTAGGTAGACTAGAAAATCCAAGGTTGGAAGGTGCCGGCGAAGGTGGTGTGGACTTGATGTATTGGAAAAATGAAAATCATTTTACTGATTTTCTAAAGAAGTGACGGTAGCAGAAAAGGGAGTGACGGTAGAAAGTCTCATCATATAAATGACCATCATCTTTAATGTCACAAGTCGCTTGATGTAATCTCGTGCAGCTGATTCCCGCTTGCTAATCCGGATTTGTTATCTTCGATGAAATCATGATTTTAAACATGAATCTATTCAGAAACTATCTATACTGATCTATATTAAGATGGAAACTTAGAAATCTCCATGAGCTGATCAGTTACTGCCTTGCTGAGTCCCTTTCACCCATTCTCGCAACACATTTTTGCGAATTTTGCCTGTACTGGTCTTGGGTAACTCGGCCACCACTACCACTTCCCTTGGAATCATGAATTTGCTAATATCACTGGAGTTGCGAGCCCAGCTAATCACATCTTGACCTTGCAAGTTCTTTCCTGGTTTTACCGTAATAAATGCCTGCGGTCGTTCGCCCCAGTGACTATCCGGGACAGAGACCACACCCGCCTCAAGGATATCTGGATGGGTGACCAGCATGGATTCAAGAGCAACAGAGGATATATTTTCACCACCTATTTCATGTTAATTCTTGGACTGGGGGCTATTCTCTATGAGTGGGTACTGACCACTGATAATAATATCCTTAGCACGATCGAGAATTTGAACGGCACCGTCTGGGTGCCACACAGCCAGATCTCCGGAGTGTAGAACACCACCAGCAAACAATTTCCGGGTGGCCTCAGAGTCCTTGTAATAACCGCGAGCACAGATATTGCCCAGGAACACGATCTCGCCGATCTCTTTGCCATCTCGCTGGACATCGATGATCGTTCCCTCGGGCACGTCAGTTTTAATCACCCGTACCGGAAGACTAGTGATAAAACCATGGCCCTGGCGCGCCATTTTCTGATATTTCTCTTTCAAAGGGATGTTGTCCCATTGTGGCAGGTAATATCCTTTGGTGATCGGTCCGTAAGTCTCAGTCATCCCATAAACGTGGACTGGGTGGAGGTTGAGGTCCGTCATTTGCTCAAAAAGATGCGCCGTTGGAGGGCTGGCAGCTACTGTGACACGCACAGAATGAGATAATTTTTCTGCTTCTTCAGCATTGCAGAGAAGTGTGTTGACAGTCGGTGCGGCATTGAAATGAGTGATTTTCTCCTCCTTCAACAGTCTCCAAATCTCCGGGTAGTCGATCTTGCGGAGACAGCAGTGGGTTCCACGAACAGCAGTCACAGCCCATGGGAATGTCCATCCTATGAAGCAAATTAGTACTCAACCCTAAATTCTGACGGGTAAACGAACCCATCGCGTGGAACATGGGTAGTGTCCACAAATATTTAGCCCTGCCATTATGGAAATTAAGACCTGACTCGACCACGTTCGCCAATGTTGCCAGGTAGCAGCCCCGATGAGTGAACTCAACTCCCTTGGGCCGCGCAGTTGTTCCACTGGTATACGCAAGTGCAATCACGGAGTCTTCATCAACAGCCTGGCTCTCCAGTCCCTCCCATCCACGCTGTTCGGTTTCTTGATCGTATTTCCAGCCCTCCTGGATAGCATTGCCAAAGGCCCCATTCCCAGTCACCTCCCAGGGCTCACTAAATTCATCATCATCCACAAGAAACGGAACATTGGGATGTTGCAATCGATAAGTTGCAAGCAACGGTTCAAATTCCTTATCCACGATGATCATGTCCACATCTCCATGATCAAAAATATAAGCTATATCATCTTCCTTTAGGCGATAATTGACAGCTATGTGTTTCGAATGAATTAGCTTTCCCTTTTGATAAATAGACCAGGCACGAGTTCTTACCAACATTTACGCCGCCCGCAGCCGCAATTGCAAAAATTGACTCCAGGAAGGCTGGGGTGTTGGGGGAGAGGATCCCGATTCTTCGGAATTCGTGTTTCTTGAGATAGTACGCCAGACCACAAGCCCGAGCAGCAGTCTCTTTGTAGGTTCGTCGGAGAACCTGTTTATCGACCGTCACATGGTAGACTGCTTCTGCCTGCAATTGATCATATTAGTGATGTCACCTTCAAAGTTCGGATAGGCATTGATTGGCCCGAAGGTCGATGAGTTGACCCCTTACATTAGGTTCGATAGCCGCAGCCCTGGGAAGGAAAAATGTCGGCGAGAGGGAATGACGATTGAAATTATGTTCAAACGGAGCCGAGGTTGTCGGCGTCATATGAGCAAGCAGGCTCGAGAGCCGAGATTTGATACCAGACATTCCGTTGGAAAGTATGAACGTAGTTTAGGGGAAACTCTTTCCTTGTCACACGTAAAATTGCAGGGACGAAGAAATGTGGGTGATCAGTTAAAAGGTAAGGAACAACTTAGTGTTGGAGAAATGCGGGGAAGCGAGAGCCCTGAAAAGATGGATTTAGTCAGGAACCTCGGGGGACTTCTCCAATTACTCGTACATCCCCTTCTAACCCGATTGAGAATTCACAAATGATCCGTCTGAATTACTATTGTATAAAGAGTAGCCTACCCTTGTAACGTCAAGTGTATTTAAGATAGTAATGTACCTACTGGGGTAGCTATCCTTTTAGTTACTATGTAGCGTCTTAAGAAATCGAGGTAGTGTGTACTCAAATCGAAGTGATACATGCATGTAAGATTCAAGGTGCCCAATTTGGTTAGAGGAAGTACATGAGTATGATTTGGAAAGCACCTGGGGTAATTAGGTCCCTTTAATAATGCTAACCTAGTGTTATGCGGGCCGGGCTTCGGGAACTAAGGTTCTATGGGATCCACGGGGACCACACAAGCACCCGATCTTCGAGTCGCTGAATGATTTCATAGAATTAATTAGAACTTTCATCAATTAAATTGAATTTCCATGTTGAAATCCATAGAGCATTCTACGATTCCTTATTACGGCCTAGGTAGTCATGACTGGTGGCTAGGCTTACCCTGTAGCAATGACAGATCGAGTTGGTCTGGTGTATTGAAAGTAGGCGCATTGGGCTTTTGGTCAAAAGAAGGTGAGATCTTTGGAAGTCTAATTCCCAGCCGGAGATAGGACAGCCTGCGTAGCGTATCCAGGGAAAGAAGATAGCGATATACCAAAGGCGGACCAGATAGTGATAGTAGTAATGAACCTGCATCATCATAAGATCATGTTGAACTTTGTAATTTTGGATTAAACCGCCACGGCGCGAGACAACAGCCAGCTATTTTGAACAACCTTTCATCCCGCGACTCCGTTTTTTCTGCTTTTGAAAATTCCGAGGGAACTCAGTCCCCCAAGTCTGGATAATGGTACATCACAAACAAATGTGGCTTTTCATTGAAACAGACGAGGGAATAAGCCCATAAGAACAAGGTCGAACCGGCTTGCCGTTCAAGTTTCGCTGAAATAAAACCGTCCACGATCCGAACCCAGACCCGTCACTCAAGACACAACAACCGGCCGCACATAATATGGTATCTAGTAGCCAAACTGAGCAAGCTGGGTCTTGATCTTGCTGTCCACGTTCGCACCCGACTCGGCCTTGGCGAGGCTGCGGCGAGCGGCCTTCTTGCGCTCGTAGTAGGCGTTGCTCTTGACCTTGCGGCGCTCCTCGAGTCTGTAATAGAAGAATAAAACATGTTAGCGATACATAATGTGGCGGAGGATCGATATAAACCCAATTCAGGGTTTTGGATACGCACCTGGCGACAACGTCCTGGTACTTCCAGCCAACCTCGTGGCTGAGACGGCCAACGGTGCAGTACTTGCGACCGGGGCGCAGACGCAGGATACGGAGAGCCTGGGGAACGACAACGCGCTTCTTCTTGTCGTAGGGAGGGGGAACACCCTCGAAGACCTTAAGGCGCTCCATGGCGGCGGCACCGCGGGCGGTCTTGTGGGGAATCATGCCGCGGACAGCCTTGTAGAAGATGCGGGAAGGAGCACGGAAGTGGAAGGGACCACCGCGAGTGGGGTTGAAACGAGTCATCTTGCGGAGGTAGGCGTGGTACTTCACTGTTGGTCGAAATTTGCGTCAGCGTTTTGTTCGAGGCCAGATCCAGCATGGTTGTCCGAGTCCATGTCCTTTCGTGTGTTCCCTTCTCCTCTGCCTTCCCTTTCCCTTTATTTTGAAGCACACTTTGTTGGACCTGGACTGGCTGGACACCATAGCGATATAAGGTGGAGATTTGAACGTACACTTCGCGCGGAAGAACTCGCCGGAGATGTTGAGGGCCTCACATCTCACAACGACGATCTTCTGGCCGTTAAGCAGCTGCTTGGCAACAGTGCTGGCCAGGCGACCAAGGAGGTGTCCCTTGCCGTCGATGACGACCTATTCAAGATCATTCAAGTCAGCGATTTAACGATTCGAGACGGGTTGGATTCCATGCAGCAGCAAGTGGCGCAAATCGAGTGTATGGAATGAAGAACGCACCACTGAATCGAAGGTGGACATCCTGCTCTGTCACCGTGTGTATGGGTTGGATGGTTGTCGGCGGTTGTTGTCGTTGGAGTCAAAGGCACGCACACAACGAAGTCGGATGGATCGCAGGCGAGGAGGCTCGCTTACCTCGAGAGACTACTGTGTGTGGACTAGCCGTGAGGGCGGTAGCCCTAATCGTGGCCAATTATATCCCACTATATATTATGTAAGACCCATCAGGCTGACTAAGTATACTTACTTGCCCCGAATTTTGTGTGCCAATGGCCATCGACCTTTAGGGCTTGGATTTAGGGCTGATTGTTCTGTGTTCTGGAAACCTCGTTGATCAAAGATGGTGGCAATGGTTCGACTTCCTTGGTCCATTTTACGGAACTAGATTCAGGTACTACAGGGCAGTTTATGTAGATTGTTTCCTGTTTTCCGGATTTGTATCACTCGCAGTATATTGTTGAGTGTTAAATCTCGAATATATGCTGATGTGCCAGATTCAATTATTCAAGTTGTCTTTATCGTATTACGTATCATTTCAATGTTATCATCAGCCATAGTCAATGTGATCACTGAAAGACTGGGTCCGATGACTAATCTTCACCCTGCATCACCAACCTAGAGGAGTGTTTTTCTGCTTTGTCAAAAGTGAATCCATGTATCTACGCCCTACGAACTGTTTCAGTTCAGCCCATTCGTCTGCGCTCCAAGCGCCCTCACTGGACGGCATGAGCCGACCTGCATGTCTTTGACTGAAATTGTTTGTCGACCTCACCAGAACTTTGGAAACAAAGAAAAGCCATGCTTCGCAAAACACGTTTCGTCTGCATATCTGATACCCATGGTTATACGCCCTCGGAGGCAGGGTTCAAGCTCCCGGCTGGTGATGTACTTATACATGCCGGCGACCTGACAAACAAAGGAAGCTTGACCGAGATGCGCCGGACAATGGATTGGATATCCAAGGCCAACTTTGAAATGAAGATAGTTGTGGCGGGTCAGTTCATTATTCTTGGCTATAAATGAAACACGCTGCCCAATGATTCTGTGTTGAATTGCCCACCTCGATCTTGATCTTTTTTCGCTTATGTGCAGACCACTATAGCAACTTGCGCGGTCTGTTTGATCCCTAATCAATGAATCTCTTAGGAAACCACGATATCACACTGGATCCCGAGTTCTATGCGAGACATGGACAAGAGTTCCACAGCCCACAGCTCGAAGATCCAAGCCAATGCCTCGACACCGTTACGAGTGCAGCGCCCTCTGTCATTTACCTCCGGCATCAAGCCGCTGTCATCAACTTAACTCGCAAAGACGGACCAAGTACCACATTCAAAGTCTTCGGGTCCCCATACTCGCAATTTGAAGGAAACTGGGCATTCGGGTATAATAATGGCAAGGATGCAACAGCACTTTGGAACCAAATCCCCTCAGATAGCGATGTTATCGTGACCCATACGCCACCACGCTCTCACTGCGACCAGAAGCCGACAGGCAGGAATATCGGGTGCGATGCCCTTCGCCAGGCACTGAGCCGCATCAGGCCGCCGTTAGCCATTTGCGGCCATGTGCATGAAGGCCGGGGCTACGAGCGTGTCTGTTGGCAGAAGCCGATGTCACTTTCGGGCACGCTTATTGAGTCAGACAGCGGTGATATCACTCGGGGGATCTTGCCGCCGCCGGGCAACAAGAAACAAGCTCTGATTGACTTGACAGGCAAACTTGGAGAGCGCCTGGATAACGATGGATTTCCATCCTTAATTTCTCATTCGCAACTGAATCTGAGTTCTGCGACCAAGGCGTCGATGTCACCATCCTCTTTCGGGTCATCTGCCGGAGAGCTGGAGCTCCATAATTCAAACAAGAGCAAGGTCCCAGTCTCGAGCGCGGATATCCAAGGGTATGATATGAAGCCGACCTATGGTGACACCTTGCGAACGCTTAGAAGGGAGACATGCATTGTCAACGCCGCTATCTTGGCTACGAGCTGGCCGCACTGGGGAGGCAAGCGGTTCAATGCACCGATAATAGTGGACCTGGAGCTCCCAGTGCGACAGAACTACGCGTCGATGCCATTTGAGTGATTTACATCTGACCTAACTAATCCCATGCCTTGCTTTTGTCTCCCCAAGGTTATCCGCCCAGTTCCACGTCTTCGTTGGACAGGGCACCCTTTTCCCGACGTCCTCCAACTTGACCGGTGCACGGCAAGGGTGCTTCCCATGCATGGTGGCTTGCGTCGATTCAGTTGTTTCTCACTGCCATGCATGATCCCCGGGGAGCTTTGGCCTCGTCAGCAGCTATAAGTGGGCGCTTTGATGCATGCCTGCTCAGGGATTTGTTGGATGATACGCAGAGCAACCATAATGATGTAGCCTTGCACCGATGTCCTCGACAAAGGTTGGTGGTCGACCCGCAGTACTGGCTAGTGGATCCGAGTGATGCGACCGGGGCTTTGATGATCCTTCAAAAACCAACTTTCCCTATAGCTGCGTAAAGTGATACGATACAAGCAAACAAAGCCATGGCAATCCTTCGAATAAAGCAACAAGGCTTCTTTAACCACTTGTCCGATGCCCCATTTCTTAGCCCCCAAAAAGCCAATCCACTGGGCAGCCTTGAAAATTGACATCCCCGCATGTCAATCTCTCCATCTGACATATCGCGCTCCACAAAAAATGGCGCATCCAGTCAAGCAATGATATTAACCCAGTCATCTGCAATAATTACCTCTCAAACTCAAAGTTGGTTCTGGAACCCGAATCACATCCGCAAGCGCTTCCTCGCGCACTGGGAGTGGAACAGGGAAAAATGCACACAAACCAACCCTCGGGCCGCCCACCATCTTTGACACGGATGTGACCATGCGAGGCCGATCAGAGATCTTCTTCAGAAAATGATTTCCTTTCACGGTATATCACCTTCTGCATTATCTCTAGCGGTTTTCAGGTAAAATAATGACTGGTCAAGCCAACTATTCCGACTGCAATGAAACAAAGAGCGATTTAGTGATGACGTTTGCGTGGCAGGCTTGGTTTCCCTCCTTATCGCTCTGAGGTGCATGTGTCAGGAGCGTGAAACATCTGTTCTATCAGGCCCAGTCCCTACATCCGAGGTGGAGAGAAAGCCATTCTCTTACCTGTATGGACAATTTCATAGATGCAACATATTATGGGTAACCGCCTCGGACCGGCCAATGGTGAATTCACCGGCCCTATTCCATGGGGGGCCTTTAAGGTTGAAACCCTGTGTCTCGGCAATCGGGACTCCTGGTACAACCAGAACAAACACTTTGGCTGGAACCGGAGGATTTAGGATTGCCAGGGGGCGTTGGATCAAAACTCGTTGAGCGGGTTTCTGCAGCACTGATCACATTCCAGTCAAATGACTTAAGGAGAACTGGTGATCAATCTATCCTATTTCACATTGAGATTGGATTCGTATAGACTAACCAATCCAGCTGATTTTATGGGTGGGAATCGACCGGGTCCGATGACACCGGTGTACTCCAGGGCTGTATGGTGGACCCAGATGATCGTTTAGAAGATCGGAGTTACGAAGGCTGAAGCGGGAGTTCAGCGAGAACTAGGCATACCCATTTATCCAGACTGGGTATGTATCTCGTCAGCTAACATAGAGCTGTACAGTCAGATGTGTGTAGAGGTTTCTATATATAGGACCTTCTTCAACGTGGTCCAGAATAGCGGGCTACCTGCCCACGCGGAAAAACCAGGCACGCAAGGCGTCAGGGCTATGGCCTGCCACCTGGTGAGATCTGTGGGGTCATCCTGGTTCGGTTCAATTACGAAATACTGTACTGGATTACGAACGGTCCGCACGAGGCGCTATCTGGACACCGAATTCGGGTTTGAGAGCAGAAAGTAAAAGAATTTAAATAATAAAGCGCAGTGATTGACTGATAGCGAATCATTGACCACCAAACGAAGAGGGGCGAAACTAGACGACTTTGTATGGTATGCGGGGTTTTTCTATTGATCGCCCCACTGATGCGTAACTCACCATATTCCGTCTAGCGTAAAAATTACTAGATTTGTTTCGAGAAAGAAGTGAGGCTGTTGTCTGATTGGTGGATATGGGAAAATTCAGAGAAAGGGCGCACAAGCCAAAGAAAAGGGACCGTCATCTTTACTGAATCTACTAGGTAGGTGTTTGATTTGTTTAGGAAGATAAAAACTGATATAAAAAGTGATCAACCCACGTTGGGCATCGGGACATCAGAGTGAGGCGGTTTTAAGGGGAAAGAGAAAAGAGAAAGTCTCCACGCCACCCTGAACAAGTGGCGGAGAAAGCGGGAATGTTTCCCTAACAAAAACTTGAACTTGAATTTTCGCCCCTGAAGTACCTGGTACTTAAGTTTTTCTGCCCTTGACGACATTACTATATGCTGATTTAAGCACAGGCTTCTGGAATATTGAAGAACCTGGCTTTTAACTGGTTCTAATACTCATTTAAATCATTTGAAATCCAAACAATTTTCCACCCTGGAACCATCTTGATCGTCCCACTCCATTCTGGATGAGTGGATTCTTGCCCGATCAACGTCAACGTTAAGTTGGCTGCATTCCTCCACCGCCTCTTTCCCCCCCTCTTTCGATTCACCTACATCTACTCTATCCACCCCCCTCTTTCAATTCCCTCGGGTCATTGCCGATGATCACCTACTTGATACCATCAACATGTCACAACTTGAACCAGATCCATATAAGGTGTTGGGCTTGCCCAAGGAAGCCACTCTTTCCGAAATTCGGGCCGCCCATCGCAAACGAGTATTGAAGTGTCACCCCGATAAGATCCTAGATCAGGCTCTACGAGATGTCGCCCAGCAGGAATTCCAAGAGGTACAGGCTGCCTACGAACTCCTCTCCGATCCAACCCGCCGACTTCGCTACGATCAGAAGATAAGACTGGCCGATCTGAGACGTGAGAAACGACGGACTGAGGAGGAGGATATAGCGGCACGTGGCATGGCTGCCGCGCGAGAGATGCGCGAGGGTCACATTGTGGAGGAGCGCGTGCCGTTTGACACTTTCTTTGAAGAACCACGATTCAGCGAGGAGCCCCGATCATACTCTCGGAAGACCGATGAGTTTGGGAAACGACCCAAAGCAAAGGAAGAGAAGAAGAAGACTAAAGTGCCAATGAGCAGCGAACGTGCTGCCAAGGAATCTCGCGATACTACTAAGGCCTCTCATTCCGAGCGACAACGACGCCGGGACAAAGAACGCCGGGGTCAACAATCAGACAAGTACGAATCATTCGGTCCGTTTGTAGTGTCCGACGCTTCCTCCTCCAGTGAATCTGAGGCATACGATCCAAAACCATCTCGTCGGTCTCGAGAGTCTCGCTCTCGGCCTACAGAGGCGTCTTCACGACGTCGCGATCAGGATGACTATGACGAGCACCCATACTACACGGGCAAGCTTAGCCAGGCCGAGGAACACATTGAACGTGCCAAATATGATGCTTCTCGACGCCGGATGTCTCCACAGCGATCCCGTGGTTACGAGTCCGCTGAACCAGAGTCCGCCCCCCGCCGCTCGGGACGGTCCTCCCGGCCAAACCCAATTCGCTCATCCTCGCGCCACAACTCTTCCTATGAGGACCTAGAGCCCCGCTACGATTCTGGCAAGCCGCCCAAGATACCGACTGCGACAACAGTTCCGGGCCCCAAAACATCTCTTCGTCCAACATTCTTCGGTGGAGTCCGCTCCGCCACCGCCTCGGCATACACTCGACCTAAGCGGGATTCCTCCCGAAGTCGAACTGACGATGTTCTCAACAAGATGGTCAACGAGCCTATCCCGCAAAGATCGTCCAAGCTACGTGATAAATACGATTCGGGCTACTCAAGTCCCAACACCCCCGAACTCGCACCCAAAGGTTCCCCGAAGGTTACTGCTCGATACAAGATCGAGGAACCTATCATCGTTGAACCCTCGAAGTCCTCCAGGTATCGCACTCTTTCGCCCGAAAGGGAAAGAGAGCGTACACCTCGTGTTGCTCCTCCCAGGCGGGCACAGACCTTCCAGTCTTACTCTACCGACTCAAGTCCTCGCATCGAGATCCGCTCCGTGCGACCCTCCCGAACCCACACAGTTGAATACGCCCCACACATCCGAAGTGAAGACGTAAAATACACCCGGGAGATCCGACCGAGCGAGGTCAACATGTCTCCTGGCCATGGCTATTATTACACCGAGCATGTCCGCTCACGCCGACCCTCAGCAGCTGTGTAAATGCATCCCGCCATTCACGCCCTTGACGACCGCGTGCTATTTGCCATTTTCATTTTATACATTGTTTTCTACGCATTTATGACCCACGATTCATATGACTCCTCTCTCTCCCCTTCTTGTTTATACTTGAGCTGTCTTTGGCAGTTCCTTACTACGGAAACTTCTGGCTTGCAGCCATCGCGCCAGCCGCGAACATGGATGTTTCCAATTTCAATGGACCTCAGGGCCCATGCATGAGCATTGGGATGGCTTCAGTTTCGGTTTCGGTTTCGGGTTCGAGATCTGCGTGATCTGCCCCGATGGGGCTCGGTTTCTTTTGGCGCAATGGGGAGGGGATTATTCGGTGTTATAATCTCATCTATATCAACATAACATACTCATCTAAGTGGCGCTTTATCTGTTCACATGTCTTTTCTTTGTTGCTTTACTGTCACTGTTTATTTGGGGATCTTTCTCTCTCCCGGGCTCCGATGTCTAGATACCCGTGGATACTCATTGGGAAATCCTTATGAAATTATGTGATATGTAATATGAATCGCATATTTGGTTCTCTGGATATATGTTTGGCTTTTTTATACTCTTCACAAATGTAGAGCAAAATGTCTTGCTATTCTTCAAGTCTGTTAGTTCAGTGTTTAGCAGTCTGCTTTCTCTGTCAAATATCTTTGCTTTACAATATACCATTAGATTGATAGTCTTAAATTGATAGATAGACTACAATTGACATAGGAACAATGCCTCCGAACCTTGAAAGTTCCTATATATTCAAAGTCTCAACGTTACATGTAGAGGTAGAAAATTCAAAAACAGGTGTTATCACACTATTGCAGCTACAGTATATACAATTCAAATAACCAGGTACCCTGGTGACTTAATAAGCCAGTTCAGATCTGAAGGGCATCCACGCTGGACAGCACAGTCAATGTCCAATCGATAAATACTTCAACCTGTCGTTCCCACCATACTATGTGCAAACAAGATTATCGCGCCGCGTCCGAGGTATTGATCTCAGCAGCAGGAAGGAAACAAAAATCTTAAACCAAGACATAGAATACACACATCTGTAAATAGAATATTAGAAACGGTATCCAAATGAAATTACACGATTCAAGCAAAACTTACCATGGAAAGACCCAGAATCATTGAGAACCAGAAGAAGACGTTCTGAGGGAAATCAGTATAGTGAACCAATGAGAGCCACGAGGCAATTACTTACGTTAAGAACAGTCCGGCCTCTGAAAAAGCGAGACTTCTGGATAGCAACGATGGGCAACTGCAGCATCATGGCCATAAAACCATATCCACGAAGCTTCTTGGTGATGCAACTCATGACCAATTCGTGGAAAACAGCGCTCACCAAGAAGGTGATGAGCATGGCGATGGGCTGGGAGAAGTTGGATCGAGCGGGGAAGTAGACGTGACGGAAGAGGAAGTGGTGGACAGGGACGTTCCATTCTCGGGAAAATTCGAGCCTGTAAAATTCCAGATGTTCGTTAGATATCAATATAATGAGAAGTCGGGAGGTAGAATTCACCAGTCACAGGAGTTCCACCAGTCTGAGTAGAAGTGTCGGTCCGCGAACTGAGTAAGTTCTGCGAATGCACCTAGAACGTATTCGAAGATGACAAGGAACACCAAAAGGAAGGTGATCATAAAGGGGAATAGGAGCATACTGATTGTCTCAGCTAATACAAGAGCCTTATCCGCAAGATTCGGGTATGATTGAAGCTGGGTACTGGCTTCACTCAAGACTGGCACAATGAACTCTTCACTAGTAAGAGTAAGGAGGAAGATACAGCCAAACACAGCAGCTGTCTTGTATGCGATCTCTGACCAGCGGCGCTCTTTGCGGCGTGGGTACTCGAGCTCATAGCAGAGGGTTGGGCAGAAGAGGAAGTCTACATAGTTCCCAATATGAAGGTTCTGGGGATAGGAGATATTGCCCAGTGGGGAGGTCAATTCCGTAGCTAGGTCTTCACGCAGACGGTCCACGGGCTCCTCGGTACCCGGGTCCTCGTCGAGAAATTGCTTCACAGACGGGCGACGGCGTTGGGGTTCCGGGTAGTGAACTGCCTTAGGCAAGCTAGGGGCGACATCGCCTGCCTTGTCTAGGTCTGCAAGACGACGCTCGGTGGTACTGAGATGACCATTGTAGAAGGCGTATGAGTGCAGCTTCATGAGAATGGTCAAGACATGAAGGGTGAAGAAGACCTGGGCGGTCCAAGTCCAAATGCGCATAAACGGCCAGCTATTAATGATATGTTAGCTGCCAGCCAAGTAGATTATCAGCCATAATTCAGGACTCCAACCCACTTTATCCAAACAGCTAGCCACACTGCCTCGGCGATGCTCTGCACAATCATGCCTCCACGAGCCCACTGCATCCAACGCGGGCCACGACGGTACAGCCGGTGCAACGGCAGGACCAGACTCGAGCTCATAACCATGGCGAGATCGCTCAAGCCCAGCTCCCATACATTGGCACTCAGCAAGCTCCACACCCGCACTCGCAACGGGTACCCGGTATCCTTAATATTGCGCAGTACGGTAGTGACGACCATGATGACGAGCGAGATCCAGAAGAGGACAAAGAACCCGCGAAAGTTATGGTAGTCGCTGTCCGGATCAAAGTGAGACACGCGCGGTACGTAGTCAATGGTATAAAAGAGGCGGTTCCGAGCGCGCACCTGCTTGCGGGCCGTTGAGATTGAATGCACCGAGGGAGGAGCATCGTCAGGGATGGGGGTGGAGCGACCACTGTGAATCAGAACCAATTGTTAGCCATTGTACCCAACCGTCGAAGGCAAAGGAAATCATCAAGCGTGTATACCTTGCATCTAGGCCTAGCTGAGAAGCTGGTGGGGTGAGGCTCACGTCCGACTTCTCGGACTGGAGGGGAACGGCGCGCGGCCGCAGCAGCGAAGAGGAAGCATGGGAGACGGCGCTGGACATCCTGGGAGGAGGGCGCAATTGCGGAAGTATATAGGGGATTTCACATTGACCACATCCAGCATAGGAGGTGGAAATCTGTTTGTTTTGTTTGGTGGAGAATTATGTCGAACCGGAGAGTCGGAGAAAGGGACCAAGCCACTACGTCAACGGTCAGCCTTAAATATTTTAAGAACAAATGCCCCCTTATGTGGGGGTTGGGGTTTTAACAGGAGTTAGGGGCATTGATACTGTAGAGAGTAAGAGTATCTTATATGCAGGAAATCAAATTAAATTCTCAAAAATAGAATAGAACGTTTGTGTAGATTTTGATCCGGCCCCATTGCTTCCAAATGTTATCAATCTACGTAATAGGCTCCCTTATTTTCTTCCAAGTTCAGATGACATACACTTCTTTGCCCCAACAGAAACAGGTTAACTGACCGTTCTTGAGAATGTAATTCTACACCTGTATCAGGCAGAAGAATTATAAAAGGATTATTATGGAGTATTTACTATGTACTAACTTCAACCTATCATCAACAGTTGAACATCCCTAGATAATGACACCTGATGAATCAGGTTTTATGCAAGGAACCAATGTCTTATGTAATAATCCAGGCTTTAACTACTATGCCTCAGGCCACAAGATGAGATAATCTTCCACTAAGCCATATTAAGCCTAGTGCAGCTTGTGGATGCCAAGAAGCCAGGTCAACCCAAGACGACCCCAACACGCATAATAAAGTCCAGACCCTGACCCCCTCAGAGTATTGCAAACCAAATAAGCTGCATTTTGCCCTGACACCCTATCTTGCTGGGACTTTTCTGATTCCCTGCCTTGCTTCCATTGCTCTACTTACATCCCCTGGAACCCCGTCCGGGGGTTGAACTCGCATCATGGCTTCTCGTGAGTGGCCCGCCGCCCCTCCTCCCCTGAAGATGCGACTAACCCACCACTCCAAACAGTCAAGCAATTTATTCGCAATGTCCGATCTGCCAAGACCATTGCAGATGAGCGAGCCGTGATTCAGAAAGAGAGTGCGGCCATTCGTGCTTCATTTCGAGAGGAGAGTCATGACTCGAACGTCCGGTTAGCTACACCGCACCCCCATTTGCCGCATATCGAAGTCTAATATCTAACAGGAGGAACAATGTGGCCAAATTGCTCTATCTTTTCACATTGGGAGAGCGCACTCACTTCGGTCAGATCGAATGTCTGAAATTACTCGCGTCACACCGGTTCGCCGACAAGCGTCTGGGCTACCTGGGGACCATGTTGTTGTTGGACGAGAACCAGGAGGTCCTGACTCTGGTCACCAACTCATTGAAGAAGTATGTGTGAGATGCGGTTTCTGTAGCTTCATTGCTGACTCTGCGCAGTGATCTCAATCACTCGAACCAGTATATCGTTGGCCTCGCCCTCTGCGCCCTCGGAAACATTGCCTCTGTCGAGATGTCTCGTGACCTCTTTCCCGAAGTCGAATCCCTGATGTCGACCGCCAACCCATATATTCGTCGGAAAGCCGCCATTTGCGCTATGCGGATATGTCGCAAGGTTCCTGATTTATACGAACATTTCTTAGAGAAGGCCAAGACGCTGCTAGGAGACCGTAACCACGGCGTCCTGCTTTGCGGGTTGACTTTTGCAACCGATTTGTGCGAAGCGGAAGAGGAAGAAGAGGGCCCGGAGGGCGTGATTGAGACGTTCCGACCTCTCGCCGGGGGGCTGGTGCGCGCTCTAAAGGGACTGACTACATCGGGATACGCTCCGGAGCACGACGTATCTGGAATCACAGATCCGTTCCTGCAGGTTAAGATCCTTCGATTCCTCCGAGTCTTGGCTCGTGGCGATGCGGCTACCAGTGAACTGATCAACGATATCTTGGCACAAGTGGCAACCAACACCGACTCCTCGAAGAACGTGGGCAATGCCATCTTATATGAAGCGGTGCTCACCATCTTGGATATTGAAGCTGACTCCGGATTGAGGGTGTTGGGTGTCAACATCCTTGGTAAATTCTTGTCAAACAAGGACAACAACATCCGTTATGTTGCATTGAACACTCTGAACAAGGTCGTAGCGATTGAACCGAATGCGGTACAAAGACATCGCAACACCATCTTGGAGTGTCTGCGGGATCCTGATATCAGCATTCGCCGGCGAGCGCTCGATCTCAGCTTTATGTTGATCAACGAGGACAATGTGCGGGTGCTCGTTCGGGAGCTGCTAGCTTTCCTGGAGGTGGCTGACAACGAATTCAAGCCGGTGATGACATCGCAGATTGGTATCGCTGCGGATCGATTTGCTCCAAACAAGCGCTGGCACATGGATACCATTCTCCGGGTTCTCAAGCTGGCTGGGAACTACGTCAAGGAGCAAATCCTGTCGTCATTCCTCCGTCTCATCGCGACCACACCAGAGCTGCAGACTTATGCCGTGCAAAAATTGTATTCCTCCTTGAAGGAAGATATCTCACAAGAAGGATTGACTCTGGCGGCAACATGGACGATTGGTGAATACGCTGATAGTCTGCTGCAGGGTGGTCAGTATGAGGAAGAAGAACTGGTCAAGGAAGTGCGCGAGAGTGATATCGTGGACTTGTTCACCAACATTCTTAACAGCACATACGCCAACCAAATTGTCGTCGAGTACATCACTACTGCATGCATGAAATTGACAGTGCGCATGTCTGATCCGTCCCAGATCGAGCGTCTGCGCCGCTTCCTCACTAGCCGCACAGCTGACTTGAGTGTCGAAATCCAACAACGTGCGGTTGAATACACCAACTTGTTTGGTTATGACCAGATCCGTCGCGGTGTATTAGAGCGGATGCCCGCACCTGAGATCCGTGAGGAGCAGCGCGTTCTCGGTGCTCCCACCAAGAAACGTCAGAGCAAGGTTCTTCGTAGCAAGCCCACCAAGGTGTCTAAGCCCGCTGATCACGACCTGCTTCTTGATCTGGTGGGTGGCTCCGACGCACCTGTGACCAGCCCATCATCGAATGGAGGCAACACCGCCGATCTGCTGGCAGATATCCTTGGCGGCGACTCGGGCTTGTCATCGCCTGCTCCTGCCCCTGTCCAAAACACAAGTAGCCACAGCTCTATTATGGACATGTTCGGCTCAACCGGCGCCTCCCCATCCCCTCAGCCAGCACAGCAACAGTCGGCTTCATTGGACCTTCTGGGTGGTGGCATGGGAGCGTCCGCCCCCTCGCCATCTGTCTCACCGGCACCCGTTACCGCCTCAACCCCTGCCCACACCGCGCTTAACAAGAATGGCCTGGTACTCACCCTGCAAGTTCAACGGAGCGGCCCCAACGCCCAGATTCTTGCTCGATTCCGCAACGAGTCTAACTTCGAGCGTTTCACGAATGTCGGCCTGCAAGCTGCCGTGCCAAAGAGCCAGCGTCTGCAACTAAGTGCTATCAGTAAAGCTGATCTTGAAGCCGGCGAAGATGCTACCCAGACAATGCGTGTCACGGCACTGAATGGGGTATGTTTAGATCAATACTCCTTCGCTTTCTACATACTAATACCTTTTTCATCTAGGCCTTGCCACCTAAGCTCCGCCTCCGTCTCCGTGTCACATCTGCTCAGGACACAGCCGCTCCAGTTACTGATCAAGTAGACTGGTCCGAACCGTGATCGACACATAAAATCGACCTTTCTTTTCTTTCCCGCTCTTGATCGGAGAATGGGGAATTTATTTCAATTTCGAAAAGTCTTCTGGCGGATGAAATATTTAATTTTCCATGAGCAGCCCCAATCCCAGTTCCATACACATCGTCCCATGCCCCCTATTTAGACATCCTATTCCTCGTCTGCTCTGCTTCCTCTTTCTCAAAGCACCTGGGGCATATTCTTGTACATAGATGATAGCAATGCAAGGCTAGGAGTGAGGATATCCTCCAGGATTCACCACATCCATCACTAATGGTCATTGTTCTATAGTTGCATAATCCAGGGAATTGACCATCGAATGATAAGTAACTCGTATTCCGGATAGGAATTTCCTACGCGGTTAAGGGATATCTACGACCTGTACCTCTATTCTGTTCAAAATGTTACCAACATAGTATACACGAAAGAGGGCGAACCGTCTACGAACCAAGTGATCCAAATTTGTAACATTGTGTCATTGCTATACTAGTGTCTAGGTATAGTATAACTTGATAAGCTTCGACCAATAAAAGGCCCCGAGAAAGAAGGTCCACACCAAAAGATTATATCAATGGAGAAGAGTATTCGATGCAAAACAATCGGGGAAAAAAAATCAAAAAGGACAGCTATATATTGCCCTGGACGGAGTAACAAGAAGTAAGCACGAGTCCAGTACTAGTTAAACGCCAACACAGCAGCTTGCGTAAATGATCGTATCGAGATAATCAAAAATATCTCAGTCTCCAACTATAACTGCACACTGACCTGCAATGCAGCAGCAATTGCCAAGATGAAGGTATAGTCGTGAGGAAGTAGAACCCGAGGCTTGAGTCCGGCACTATAAAGAGATATGTAATGGACTCTACATATGCTCAATTGGGTCCTCCGGGAGCAAGTCCTCGTGTTCTCTCGGCCCACGGGGAAGGCAGGCCTTGAGCGGGGGACGGATGATGTCGTTGAAGAGGAAAGTGCCGTAAACAAGGAACCCAAAGCCGACGACCTGGAGCCATTTGAAGGTCTCCCAGCCAAGTCCCAAAGAGACAATCCAGATGAACAGAGTCCGGCAAGTGTCAATGGTGCTGCGGGATGTGGCCGAGACGGTACGGGTCACAGAGAGACCGAAAAAGTTGAATCCACTGAAGAATGTGTTAGTCACCCGGAAGTTGAGTTATGAAAATGGGAGTAGTTGCATACCCAATGCTGACCATAATCATCATACTGGACACGGCCACAGCACGGTTGTTCATGATCTGGTGCCAACCTTCTTTCATGTCGAAATAGCCGTACTGTCCTGCCGCAGTGCGTCCAACCAACAGGTACATAATACACATGCCGATAAATGTCACGGAGAAGCCAAAAATACCCTCCCATCCAACAACCTCGATAGGATCCATGGCGTAGTTTTCCAGAATCCATTCCTCTAGCACGAATTGCGAGGCCGTAAAGATTTGTCCTCCGGCAATCAGCAGCACTCCGATGATAGCTTTCACCGCCTCTGGGGCTCCTGCGACCGCTGATGAAGAGCTACCGTCATCCTGCGCGAGATCATGGCCCGGGTCACCGCTGAAGAGGGCACCGGAAAGGCCGACGAGCGCAACACCAAGAACGACAATGAACAGTGCACTCCACTGGTACAAGTACAGCTTCCGCCGAAGGAAAATAACACTGAAAAGTCCGACGAAAAGTACGAGAGTGCCTCGAGTCATCTGGTAAATACTCGCGGCAACGAAGAGCAAGCCCACGTTCATAAGAGTAGTTCCTGCAATATCACAGCAGGACGGGGCTGCCAGAAGAGATATCTTCCATCCACGCAGCGGAATACGGTCGTCATCCCCCGTAATAGATTTGTGCGAGTTTCTGCGCTCCATGCCACCCTCGTCGATGGTGTGCTCATCGTCATCCAGACCACCGTCCTCACCACGGATGGGACGATAGCCGCCAGCCAAGAGAGGAGACTGGTCGCGGGACAAGCGGGGGCCAATGAATCGCCGATAGAGAATTGATAATCCGAGAACAAACCAGCAGCCCATCTCACCGACAAACATCTGCGCTCTATTCGAAAACAGTCATGAGCAATCAGGTCTGGGTCGTTGATGCAAGGAACAAGATACACTTACGTCTGGATTACTGGCTGCTCAAACATCTTCCGATCATTCGGATTGGGGGAGTCGCAGTTTCGAACACATTGCATGTCCTAAGAATCATGCTGTTAGCTGCGCTCAACCTTCTGCGGAGCTTGATTACGAAAAGCACACCTGGTATTTATTGAGAATTGTGTTGCAAACCCCGGTCACGAGCATCATCGTGACCAGGAATGGGATTAAAGTGCGACTCGTCATGTTGCCACCAAGATATTGTGGAATGGGGGCGATGAGAAGAGTTGGAGTTAGGAGGTTTGAACAAAGCGGAGTTGGTGATCGGGGCCGATAAGGATCAGCTGATAAGCTGACGTTATGGAAAGTGGAGACGGCTTTGTCCGTGTCACGTGTGATCGACAAGATATCGGGATCGACAGTGCATCCTAACCTCAGATCTACAGGAATGTTTATGATGGTTTTGGTCGAATAAAAGAAGAAGTTATCATATGTATCAAAGTTCGAATACAAAATGATATTTTTGAATTCAATGTTGCTATGGTATCATAGGAATCCAACAACGGATATCGGCGCTAACTAGAAATATTAAGTAAAAAATGTAAAAGAATCAAACGGCGGCAATAACAACACTTCCGTTCTCCATATTGATGTCATTTTGTGGTTCCCCTTTCGCCCAGTCAAACAAACGCCCGTTCGGCCCCGGCGGGAAGTGAACATTGGTTGGATACTCCGAGTCAGGAGGCAACTTCAACCAGGCCTTGGCAGCCTCGATTGATGGTTCATCCCATGCTTCGAACCAAGTATCATCACCATCAAAATCTTTGTGGTCATCCTTGGGGGTCATCGTTGCTAGCGCATTATCCAGCGAATCGGGAGTATCATCAGATTGTTCGCGGGAGAGCATATCCGTATTCACGAATTCCTCCATGGGATCGTAGCCGTGAGCCAAGCGTCGGCATTCTGAGAAAATAGGTCCGAAAGTATCATGGATCTTTTCAAGGTTCATCGGCGCATTCGCCCATGGGTCTTCGGTCTCGAGATCATCCAAGGTGCGCTTTCTAGCCTGCTTCCCAGGGGATAGAAGCTTTGAACTCTCGACCGCTGCCTGGTAGGATGCCAGCTGCCGGGCAGATGCGGCTGAATCAGCTTGCTTGCCGGGAGAAGGCTTTCCATTTTGATTCGCCGGAGTAGCAGGAGTCAAGCCCAGACCGATGTCAAGGCTGTCGATGTAGTACTGCAGAGGGTTTTCGATACCCTCCTCATTCTCGGGCTGATGACTCTCTTCAACGTGCTTATTCAAAGCTGCTTGGGTTGGGAATCCGAGGAAATGCTGTTGGCAATCGACGACGCTACATTTGAAGGTGCCGGCCAAAGCAGCAGCCTGGGTCTTTGCGTTCGCCATGGCTGCCTGGTGGGTCGCCGCAGCAACAGAGGCAGGATTGGGTTGCACAGGTGAGGCACTCGCGGCACCAGCGTGAGACTGCTTTCTCTTCTTGGGCGGAGGAAGTTTCAGCTTCTCCGGTGCAAGACCACCTGGACCATACGCGTGGGGCACACCCTGTGGGGACGGCGCTCCGAATGGCGCGGGGGCGACAGCTGCACCGGACTGGTTGGAGGCACGTCGAGCGTGTTGGAGAGCTTCTTCTTGTTGTTGCTGTAACTGTTCAAGGTTGGTCGCATTTAGCGCGGTCGTGCTTGTGGCCTGCGGAGCAGGCGCAGGGGCGCCGTTGGGCCGTTGCTGGTTCATACGAAGAATCATCACCTGGAACAACTTTCGAATGAACAGAATAGCACCAGTCAGATAATCTTGAGTGATAGTAAAGTTGTCATTGAGGACCCAATCCGGTGTGTTCTTGAACTGCCGCATGATTTGAACACGCATGGCAAGAAGATTCCTGGCGTTCTTCTCCTGGCCCTGCATCTTCGCAAACCCGTGGGTCATCAAAATATCAAGCCGCCCGAGGATATCCAAGGAGTCCATGAGCAGCTGAGACATGACCGCCTTTTGTTCTGGAGAAGTCACAACAGGTTGAGTAGGCGGAGCGCTCTTGGCGATTTCCATGTAAACGCTTAGAATCTCCGGCTTGAGGTGAGTTCTCCAGTTCTCTTCTGCAGCGGCCCGACTGATGATAGGTCCACGAAGGAAGTTCTGCTGTTGCTTCCGCATGTGACCTTCGACTTGCATTCGCTGGTGAGGAGTCATCGAGTGAAGCTGCTCATGAGATGGCGGAGGACCTGGCCGAGCTACAGGGGGCGCAGCGGCAGCAACGGCAGGCTGATGAGACATTTGGGGTGTAGTTGAAGCCTGGGCTTCTCCAGTCTCATCCATTTTAATTTTGCTCTTCTGGCCCTGTTTGGCGGCTGCAGCTTTGGCGTTCTTTGCCGGAGCCCCGGGTTGAGCCTTTGCATTTGATTGTTGCTGATCGGTGGTTGCCGGTGGTTGCGGAACTGCATTTAGGTTCAATTGGGCAGCGGCATTCTGGGGTACAGAAACAGGAGGCTGTTGCATAAGCTGATTCGGCTGTCCAGGGGACATGTTCGCTCCATTTGCGTTCATTTCTTGTCGGGCGCGAGCGGCCTGCGCGGCAGCCTGCTGTAACATCTGCCTATGGCGGTGTTGGATGAGGTCACGGATCTGTTCATCGGTAATATTATTGCCATTTGGACCCATCCTTTGACGAGCCATGTGGATATCCCCAGGGGTTAGCGGTCGCATCTGAGGCATCTGGGGCTGAGGCTGTCCGTTGGTGAGGTTTTGCCCATTTGGCATTTGACCTGGCTGTCCTTGGGGCTGTGATAAAATGCCCTGGTTCTGGTTATTGGGAACTCCGGCCCTATTAGCTAAAACCGAACCGAAGTGGAGTTTTTGCAGCATCATGAGCTTGGATAAATCAACGCCGTTGGACGCCTGTGGATTCGCAGTGACCCACTGCTTGAGCTGCCCCCAAGTTCTGATCTGCCTGGGTACCTGGGAAGCACTGTGGTTGTGATTAATGAGGTTTGGCGGGAAAGCTGTACGATCCATTTCCTTGACCTGCTCGGGAGTCATTTCCAAAGCATTGCCCTGCTGTTGCTGCAAGATATGAAGTTTGTAAAGCTCTTGTTGGCGTTGCTGCTGCTGCATACGTTGCTGGGGCGTCAGGCCTTGACCTGGAATCTGCTGAGGCGGAGCTGATCCGGCAGGATTCATGCCCTGTGGCATACTCATCGAATTCCTGATTCGACCATTACCGGGCATTTGGCCATTGAAGATCGCTTGACCTTGAGCGCCTTGCGATACTGCCTGCTGAAGAGAGCCGGGTTGCTGACCACCGTTGCGAGCGATGTTATTGGCCATGGCATTTCGTCGTTGGGTGACAAAGAACTGTTGAAGCTGCTCATTGGTCATTTGGGCGAGTTGATCCTGGACGGCCTGCGGGAGGGTGGCGGGAATCTGCGGTCGACCTTGCATGTTGGGTTGACCCGTGTTTGGTGGGCGTGAAGGAGGTCGAGGCTGGCCAGGTGCCTGTACGGGTGACATCTGACCAGGAGCCATTGGTTGATTCAACATTGGCATAGCCGGGCTAGACTGGGGCATATGCGTCTGTGTCTGGGGGTTTGCTTGTCCATTATGGCCTGATAGAGCAAGCTGGGCTTTCTGGGCAGCGGCGCGTGCCTGGGCTTGAGCCTGGGCTTGTGACTGCTGAGCTTGGAATGCCATCCGGTCTTGGGGAACATTGGAACTACCCTGGAAGTTTTTCTGACCAAAGAGCTGCGGGTTCATGCCCTGGCCAGTCTGACCCATCTGCTGTGGAAACATGTTTTGCTGGGGCTGGTTAGGGAAAGGTTGTTGATTCATTTGTGATGAGCTTGCAGGGACCACTAGTTGCCCAGCCTCCTGTGAGCGCAGACCATCTGCCTGCTGACCTTGGATGTTTTCCACGTTGCCAATGAAATTGGAGTCGATGCTTTGGCCGGGGCTTCCAGAGAAGCCTGAGTTGCGCTGGAGGTTCATCATATTCTGTAGCATTTGACGTTGATTCATCATTGGATCTCCCATCATGGCGCCGTTAGGATCCATGCCGGGGTTATTCGCACGACCCATTTCCATGCGCGCGCGGCGGTGACGGCGTAGTTGGTTCAGAGCTTGCGAGCGGAAGAAATATGTCATCGGGTCCATGTTCTTGCGAGCGAGGTACGTTCGCTGCTCGACACTCATGTTGGAGAGGTTCATCTTGATCTTCTCCATGTCTTCGGGGCCTGTCTTGGCCAGCATTTGGCTGGCCAGGCGAGAGACATGCTCGAGGTCTTGCGGGGAGAGGTTGTTCAGGTCGTCGTGGAGGGGGCCGCTGCTGGTAGGACGCTGTTGTGCACGTTGTTGTGGAAGCATGCCGGACTGTTGTGGCTGGCGCTGTTGCATGGTTGCCTGCTGGTTTGGATCGTTCATCCCCATGGGCATCTGCTGTTGGCCTGGGATTGGGGACGACTGCATGCCTCGAATCATCTGTTGTGGGAAAGCGGCCTGGAGGGCAAGCTGGGGCATCATGCCATTTTGCATGACAGCAGCTTGTCTCTGACGGGTATCTTTGATATGGGAAAGCTTTTCATTACATTCGCGATCGTAGTCGCCCTAGGGACCATCATCTCAAGTCAGTTATTGCGTCCGATGGAAGGGATGAAAAGGGTCAAGGATGGGACGAGCGCACTCTTTCATTAGCTTGTATGAATGCTTTTTGTTCAAAACTAAGAGCGGCCTGCGCAGCGGCAGAGATATCAATACGAGGCTGGATGAGGCGGAGAGAGGTGATCCTAGACAATCAAGGTCAGCTGGGCGGAAATTCGACCGAGGGGTCCGTTGCTCGTACATTTGCCAGATATTCATCATACGGGTCTTGTTCGTGATTTCAGCCTTCCATCCGCTGAAAGGACCTTGATTCTGCAAAACCTGGGCGACATGGCTCATGATAATGCCCTGGATTTGCTGGTTGTCTTTCGGCGGCTGCATTCCGGGCTTGCCACCAACCATGCCCCCGCCGCCGGGGGCATTGGGGAATTGATTGGGATTCATGTCGAGAGCCCCATCAATGGGGAATCTGTGAGTAATCCGCGGGGAGATTTGGCGACCAGCATTCGCCAAGGTTGGAAGGCGGGATGCGACAGTGTCAGAAGGGAGTTTGGCGGTGATGGAGCGGTGCAGGGACGGGAGATCGTATTAAGGTCGCAGATCGGCCGAAATATGGAAAATCAACCCGCAAGTCAAAAACGCGAGGGGAAAAAACAAATGAAAAAAAGAGAAAAAAAAAAGGATGACACAACGGTGGGTGGAACCGTGATAAGTCTCGATGATCAGGGAGGGTGGGGATGGAAATTCAAATGGTCCAAACGGAGGACACTAGTGGAGAGAAGAGCGACGAGCAACCAGCGCGGCGGGAAAGCAAGGCGTTCGGGCAGCAGCGTCAATTGGACCCAATTCGCTGACAAAAGCCTGAATTTGGCTTGGAGCGAATGAGAGTGACGGACGCAATCGTAGGGTTGATGCGATCCGTGACAGGGATGCTGCAGCTGGCAAAGTTGCACCAGGTTCTACAGAACAAGACGGAATGAATTGGGGGAGTGACGAAAGGGCGAAAATGAGGAGGAGGAAAATCTCTCGAGATTGAACCCTCGAGAAAATGGATGAGAGGAAAAGATCGGAACAGAAGAAGGTCACCCGGAGATGTTTTCGCGCACAGGCTTTCGAAAGTTTCAAAAATGTGCGAAGGGAGGGGTGTAGGAAAGAAGGTTGAGAAAGAAGAAAAAAAAAATTGAAGAAGTAGTCGAGATCGAAGTTAATGAAAGTAGGAAAGTGAATTTAATATCCTCAACCAAACAGGAAATCATAGACTTGCGATGTCCAAGCACTTGAAGTCAGACGATTTCCTGCCGTGACTAAGACGGATTATCTGTATTTACGAGAATACAACTGGATCAATTGATATATATTAGCAGATGTTTCAAATATTCGTGACAATGAATATTTGAAGCCTTTGAGGTATTTCAAGTATTTCAAGTATTGATCTTAATCTCTCCCCTCATTCTACGTCGTCATTGTGGATCTTGTCTTACGGCCGGGGGGAGGAGCCTTGTATAAGTTAAGTACCAATGATCTCTGCTTACATAACCGTTTTAGTATAGAACTAACTATAACTTATCTCAAGCCTGTCGAAAGAGCTTCAGTCAGTATTTTGCCCATTCTAGCACTCCTTGTCTCAAATGCTTAGAGTAACATGCAATATCTCTGATTTCATCAAAGTGTATTTGCCATTCCAGGAACCAGAGATGACCGACCCCAGGCAAAGTGGATAGTTGCATGAATAGTTGCATGGAACTATACAGATAGATCTAAATGAGAAATCATAATTTTCAATCATAATAATATTCTCAGCCATGTATTAATAATTTACAGATATTGTATCTTATATCATAGACCTTCTATATCCTCTGTAATGGATTTTTCGAAAGCGGATTGAGATCGACAAAAGCGTCCCCTGGATCGTAAGTAAATACTCCACCGGGCGCCCTGGCAGCCGCGCACCACCAAGTCACTGGTACCGTGCGCCCGCTTAAGTCAGCAATTGGAAACTCCCCTGGAAACGTCAACCTTGGACTTCGTAGATCTTCATCTTTTAACAACGCAATGAGTGGCTAAATCTTCCATTTCTTTTTTTTTCTTGGCTTCTTCTTTGAATTTTACAAAATCATGTTCTCTGTCTCCGTATCGCCCGTCTCTGTGGGCTCCAATGTCTTCTTCGCCTTGGCACTCTTCGCCATTTCCGTCCTCATCCTGTTGCTCTTGCGCCGCTTCCTGACCCTCCGCGCCACACCAGCATATCTTCTAGTCCCCATATTTTTGGCACTAGCTCTCCCCGCTAGTGTAGTGCTTCTTGTTCCGATTGACTTGGCATCCAGTTCACGCGATGGTACTGGGCCCAAGGCCATCTGGTTACCCGATCGGGTAGTGCTGGTGTGCTGGCGCATCGCATACTGGCTCATCTTCATGTTGACCTGGTACACTCCGTTCTGATCTCTGGAATTTTTTTGTCTTATTACTCACACATACTAGGGCAATCCTTCCTCTACTAGGCGAATATGTCGACTCCGGATACCGCGAACCCAAAGCCCGCATCCTCTACTCACTCCGCATGAACGCCCGATACCAATTGATCGTCCTGTCCTGTGCGGTGGTGGGCCTAATTTATATCTCGTTTTCCATTGGCTTCGACTTCAAAGCTATCAAAGGTCTTGTCATGGCACTGGCGTATATGTGGGGTCTGGTGTTGGCCATCTACCTCATGGGCCACGGCTTGGTCACCATTCCCCGGAATCTAATCCGCAATGGAAATGTGAGCGGTCGCCTGCGTCGGATCCAAGCTCATGCGCCCAAGGTCCATGATCGTTTGATGGATGCTGTGAATGAGCTGGAAAGTCTCAATTCGCAAGTCGCTCAGCTCCAACAGCGCAAAACCGGGACCGCCCGCGATTTCCAGGAGTGGATTGAGGATCTCTCTGGAGGTTCTGGGTCGGCTGATGTGCGAGTCCCAATCCTCGAAACCCCAGAGTCCTCGAGTACAATCCCCTCCGTGATCACAGAGCGATACCTGGCCGACCTGACCCGACGCCTGCAGCGCTCCCGGCACATGAAGGCTCGATTTGTGGATGAGTGGGACCGGTTGGTTCAACTCGCCGCCGACCTCCAGGCTATCATCAATTCCGCCGCCTCCAAGAAACTGGAGTTTGGCCCCGCACCCCGCCGTTCGTCCTGCTTCCCTCGAGCCAAGTTTTTGAATCCGTACATGCGCCATCAACTATACTCTAATGTTATTCCGTCGGTCCGAATGGTCTTTGGGGCCTTCTTTTCCGTGGCATCGGTCTGTATCGTGTGGTCTGAGCTGATCAAGTCTGTGGCTCCCCAGCTGTCCATCGTGAGCTTGACTGTGATGCCCAGCTTGACAGAAGCCAAGCCTCTTGGATTTGGCAAACAGCTCGTCACTTCGGCTTGGCTCTTATATATGTGCGCTGCTGCTCTAGTGGGTGTCAGCGATGTCAAGGTCTGGGGCAACCGAGCCCTGGTGCGTCGGAACACATACGGCGAGAGTGCGTGCTGGTACGCCAGTCTGGTCGCCCGTCTCACGGTGCCTATCGCCTACAACTTCTTGACCTTTTTGCCAAAAGACTTTCGTCGGAAAACGACTTTCTACGACTTCTTAGGCAGTCTCATCAACCTCACCCCACTTGGTAAAGGCTTTGATTTCATCTTCCCAATTTTGATTCTTCTGCCCATCTGCGCAACACTGTTCAACCTCTATGGCCGTGTTAAGAAGATCTTCGGTTTTGGTCTTGCTGAGGAAGATGATATTCATGATATGGAAAACAACCCTTCTGGTTACGGAATGGGGGGCTGGCGTGAAGGCCGTGATCTCATTGAGCGCGAGCTGAATGGGTTTGGCTCACTGGCCGTTTCTTCCCGAGGAACTCGCTCCACCTGGGCAGCAGACCGTGATGACGAGAGCGACTCTCGTGGCTCTTCACGACTGCGAGTCCCTGCTGCTGAGGGCTCTCGCTCTCCTCGAACTACCCACCGGCCTGTCACCGCACCCACGATCGTCGATGGAGAAGAGGAGGAAGAGGAGAACTTTTTCCAATCTTTTGCCCACCGCGTTCGCAATACATTCGAGACTACTAATACTCCCCAGTGGTTTCAGGGTGAACCATTCCGTCTACCCCGTTGGATGTCCGGGGACAACAACACGACGACGGAAGAGGACGGCGTTACCCGATTATTTGGTGGCCGTGCGGTGCCTGGCCGTCTCCGTCTTGGCTAGAGCTCTTTTCTCCTTGCATAATATGGCGTTTGGGCTTGGGTTTCATCTTTACTGCTGGACAGTGTAATATAGAGTTTTCCGGTTTGTACATATCATTTTCCTTTGTATTCAGGAACGTCACCGTTCGATGGCCATGAACAATATACAATTACGACTGAAACCACCAATTATTTCCCTCGTACGTCCCGTCTTGGCTCTTCATTCATATCAACAATAGCCGTCTGTAGCCATTTGACGTAATGTAGCTATCGACCAGCCTAAAGTGTGTCTTGATTGACAATCCTATCTCGGTCTCAAAGTTGGACCACAACCAGAGAATGTAAATAGGATAAAAGCAAGCCTCCAATCCAACGTAATCCATCCTCAATCATTTCTGTCAAGCTCCTCGAGAACATACAGATCCTCTCTAGCCGATCGAAGCTCCGCCCCGACCCCATTCCATATCCGCAATCTCGTTCCCTCATGTTCACAATAAGGCATTGCAGTTGCCTGCCAAATCCGATTGATATAGTTCCCTCCCCCCTTGACCCCTGGCTCCCCCCGACCTTGGACCTCAGGGTTTGGCCCAAAATCAGTACTGGTAGCCGCATTAACAATGGCAAAACTACCCTGTTTTGAGGAAATGGATAGATAACCAGCCAATAATCCAAATATCGTCTCCTTCCATGATCCTTGATTGTTTCCTGAGAAATTCCAGATCCCAGAGTTGACGTATCCGGGATGGACACCGTTGATCGTGATATGTCTATATTTCTCACTTGAAAGAAGGCGGCGGTGCATTTCAGAGATCCAAATTTGGTAATACAATTTGTTGTTCTCATATGGACCTCGTTCTTTGGGTATGGGAAGGCTTTCCTTTTCGAACTCCAGTTTTCCGAAAAAATGTAGGTTGGATGTAGTGCAGATGATGCGAGGCTCGGCACTTCTGGCAAGGGAATCCAGGATCCGGAATGTAAGAAGCGTGTGAGATAAGAAGTTGACCTGTATAATCATCGTCAGCGCCATCTTACAAGTCCATCAACGTAAACCAAACATACCTGATGCACGATCTGAAATCCATCCTTGGTCAACCCCTGCTCATCCGAGTTAAAAGGCGCCATTCCGGCATTGTTGCATAGAATATCCAACGCCCGGCCTGTAGAAAGCCATCTTTGCGCAAATTGATCAACGCTAGCCAGGTTTGCCATGTCAATGGGCCACCACTCGATCGTTGATGAATGGCCCGAAGAGGTGGCCAAGTCCATGCAATGTTCTACTGCTGCGGAGGGGTGAGTTTCCCATTTCGGAGGCTCGCGACAAGCCATGATTATATTGGCACCCCATTCTGAGAATGTCTTTGCAGTCTCGAACCCTATCCCGTTGTTTGCGCCGGTAATGATTACCCACTTTCCGCGCATGTCTTTGGGAGGGACATCTTTCTCGGTCAGTGTGCTTGTGTTTACTCCTTTCAGGCTCTGGATAATACACCACCCGCGCAAATACCAAGAGTGGGGTGGTTCCGGAGTGGATGTTGTGCCCATGGTTCCTGGTAGAGATTTGTAGGTTGGTGGGCTTATTGGTAAGTGTAACTTTCTCGTCAGGAAGGGGAGTTGTTAGATCGCCGCCCCACAAGAGCTGGTTGGTCGCACGGGGTGGGGGCTGACATCTGATCTTTGCACCCTGCTTACCTCTTTCGGAGTAATTCTTTTATCGTAGGGATTCTGCAGCTGTGACCTATCATGTTAGGCAATTGAGCACGGACTCGAATGTACCAGTACGATCATGTAACTAATAGAGTTGATATAGGAACCTCGGGCTTAGACGGAAATAAGCATCGGATTGTTGAAAGCAGAATCCGTTCGATGCAGTAGGTGAAACTCCTTCGGACTTCGGATTCAAAGTCCGTTTCGTTATAAAGTCAATGAGCTGACACTGAGATATGAGTAGAATATTTATCAACATCTGAATAAATAGAAGAAATATGATTCCATGACACTTTCATCATGATCTTGTAGTCGTCACAGTATCAAGCCCGCAGTACTTGACCAGAACTCCTGTCCTGCAATGTCCGAGACGAGATCTTCTACTTTGGATAGGCCTCCTGTAGATTTATCCGAAACTTGGCAGAACCATTCGCTAGAAAAGCAAGAGGGCGCCGAGATCAGTACCTCTAGTGATGGAGAGCCCAAGCGACAATATCCTTCGGACCTTGCGGTTACGCTTATCCTGATATCAGTCACTCTGGCCTATTTCCTATTCTTCCTTGACCTTGCCGTCATTTCCACCGCCACCCCGGCCATTACTTCTCAATTTGACTCCTTGGTAGACGTCGGTTGGTAAGTCCCTATCCTTTTGTCTGGACCACAACTGCTGGTCGCTCTTTTGTGATATGCTGATCCATTTTGGCCAGGTATGGCGGCGCCTACCAGCTGGGAAGCGCAGCATTTCAGCCCTTGAGCGGCAAAATCTATACTCGGTTCTCTATCAAGGTAGGTCTTGAGTCAAATCATGGCTCATGCATCGTGATCACACAGAAAGCAAACGCTCATAAGCTCAATATATAGTGGACCTTTCTTGTCTTCTTCGTAATCTTCGAAGTCGGATCTGCCATATGCGGAGCAGCTCATTCATCGGCCATGTTCATCATCGGCCGCGTTATCGCGGGTATTGGGTCTGCTGGAGTGGCCAATGGCGCGGTGACAAGCATTTCCGCCGTTCTTCCAACGCAGAGACAGGCACTTTTCATGGGACTCAACATGGGAATGGGCCAGGTGGGCCTTGCGACGGGGCCCATCATCGGAGGCGCGTTCACCACGAATGTGTCCTGGCGATGGTGTATCATATTCCATTTCCTACATTGGATATATACAGAAGACTGACGGTTCTTGTGTTAGGTTTCTATATCAACCTCCCTTTGGGCGCTACTGTCGGTGGATTCCTTCTCTTTAACTCAATCCCAGAACCGAAACAGAAGGACCCGCCTCTGCAGATTCTGACCTCTGCCATAAAGGAGCTAGATCTTCCTGGATTCATGCTTGTTTGCCCCGCGGTCGTCATGTTCCTCTTGGGCCTCCAGTTTGGTGGTAATCAATATGCTTGGGACAGTGCAGTTGTCATAGGCTTGCTAGTCGGTGCTACTGCTACCTTTGCTGTCTTCCTTTTCTGGGAGTGGCATCAAGGGGACAATGCCATGGTGCCACTTGCCATGCTTAAACACCAAGTTATTTGGTCGGCCGCAATGACGATGTTCTTCAGCTTGTCCAGTGTTCTTGTGGCTGATTTCTACATTGCGATTTATTTCCAAGCAATCCACGATGACACGCCCCTGATGAGTGGTGTTCAAATGCTCCCAGTTACCCTCGGTATCGTTCTGTTTACCATGGTCTCAGGCACCCTGAGTGAGTGTTTCTAGTCACGCATGACCTTCGGCCTCCCATTAAATACTTTACCCAATAATCTTCGCCGATGCTGAACAGTTTCCATTCTGGGCTACTATCTCCCATTCCTTCTTGCCGGGGGTGCGATACTATCAATTGGCTACGGGCTCTTATCGACATTGAGTCCTACGACTCCAACTGCAAAATGGATTGGGTACCAAGTTCTCTACGGTGTCGGAAGCGGTTGCACAACTGCAGCAGTAAGTCCAATTGCTGTCGAAAAACAGCCCCATCAGCTGATATGACACTTTCAATTAGCCCTACATCGCTATACAAAGCCTCGTAGCCCCGGAGCAGATTCCCCTTGCCATGGGCATCATCATCTTCTGGCAAAACATTGGCGCTGCCACTTCTCTGATCGCTGCAAACGCCATCTTTAGTAACAGCCTTCGTTCAGAGCTTCATAACCGCACTGCGCAAATTAGCGTTTCTCCGGACACTATCATCAATGCCGGGGTCCGCTCTATACGTAACCTGGTGTCTGGCTCCGAATTAACCGCCGTGCTTGCCGCCTACGCCAAAAGCTTCGACAAGGTCATGTACCTCGGTATTGCTGTCAGCATTGCCGTCCTGGTTTTTTCTCCAGGACTTGGATGGAAGGACATACGGAAGGTCAAGGCGCTTCAGGTCATCACTGACAAGCTTTCTAGCAGCGGTGATAAAGATTCTGATGTGATTGGTTAAAACTAGCGTTTTTAGTGAGCAATCGACTAGGGATGGCTATTGATATTTCCTTCAAAGCATCATCTACGGTCGATTCGGCTGCGTATCTTTGTCGTTTTCCTTCTGTCAACTCTTGTGCTACCTCATAAGCTGGTAATTCCACAGTCTTTTGTTGGAAAAGTTACCTATATTTGATTTACCTTGTCTAGACTGTTTACAACTTTTGTTATTATTCGTACCTATCTGAGAAAATTACGCTTATGTGACAATGAGTGACAGTTATATGCACAGTGCTGTCAAGGAGTTGCAGTAAAAGGGTATGTTGCAAATATTTGAAAACATATAACCGATATCCTCTCAAACCTGCCCTTGTTACCCAGGCAACATTGAATACATCTTGAATATTAGGTTTCTTAATCACTCCGCTAAAGCGTCATGACAAGTTTCTTTCCCGAAACACCCTTTCTCTGGAGATGGAGAGCGTCTTGAATCTTGTCCAGTCCCTTGCCAACAACATAAGGAGGAGGGGCCGGTACAATACCACCCTTTTCAAGTGCCTGTGGCAGAAAATCCTTGTAAACATGAGAGACGACGCTGTCAGGGTCCACTAGGCTGTCGACAAGGACGAATTTGGCTTCGACCCCAGTCCTCATACGCGTCGCGGTCGTTTTGAGCATTCCGCCCATCATCTCCATCATGTAAGTGCCCTTTCCAACAAATGTCGGAAGCTTCTCGGCCGGTATGATGGCTCCAGCCACGGCGATGAATTTTCGGGTGTGGAAAGAATCATGTTTCTTCATAACCGCAGTGCATGCCTTGACAAAACCATCGCCAATCGCGTAGGCACCGATCAGCTCCTGGTCGTTCAAAGCACTAAGGAGGTCCTTGACTAACTTTTTGCTCTTTTAGTCGAAAATTTGAGTAGCGCCAAGACTCTTAACATAGTCAAAGTTCTTGGGAGACGACGATGACAAGACTTGATAGCCAGCGGCCACGGCAAGCTGTACAGCGTTGCTACCAACACTTGAAGCGCCACCAGTGACGATGATAGTGCGCAGTAACCCTGACTTGCCCATAACTTTCGCGGGTACTGGGATCTTAGGCATGTCGAGACCCAGATAGTCGGGGTGGAAGAGGCCATACGCCGCGGTGCCAAGACCCAGTCCCAGGACACAGGCCTGTTCATCGGTGATATTGGGTGGAATTGGTGTTACCAGGTTCTGTCGCATTACTTTATAGAGCTGAAAAGCCCCCTCGGCCGGGCAGTTGACCTCTTTCGCAATGGCTGCAGCACTTCCACAGACTCGATCACCCACGTGGAAACGCTCCACATCGGGGCCAACCTCAACGACTTCACCCGCAACATCGGTGCCGAAGATGAAGGTATACTTGATATAACCGGCAGGCGCTGGGCCAATGTACTGCAGGACCCAGTCGAAAGGATTAATGGCCACAGCTGAGTTTTTGATTACGACCTGACCCGAGCCGGGGCGGGTGTAGGGCGCGTCGCCGACTTTGAATGGCAGGACTTTCTTTGCGGGGATCCAAGCCGCCTGATTCGGTGGTGCCATATCTATACGAAAGGAAAAGAGGGTAAAATGAAGCACTAATTACGCATGATGGGTGTAGGAGGGAGACGAAGTAAAAAGACTAAAGACTTGAAGCAGGTAGGGTCATATTCCCATGTATTACCATAGTTGAAATCTCCCTCCAAAATTCGGAGGCTCCTAGGTGAGCTGTGTAGAACCGGAATTCGTACGGTATTCAGAGAACCGAAGTCCGGTCGAAGTCCGGTTGAAGTGCGTTCAAGGCGTTACACGTAGTAAATCGAATCTTTGTTCGCGATCTTTCCATATTCAATTGTAATCTACGGCTAGCTCCCTCCTGTTAAATTTCAAGATCGGATGATAATGTACGCAAATTGTATACACTAGCAAACAACACTAGTAGAATGTCGCGGGCCCTAGTACATTCTCAAACCATTGGTCATTCCTCAAATCCATAGAATGCATCCAACCCATCTGATCTAGATCAAGGATATGGCCACTATAATCTTCGCTCTGAGAAAGCCCGGTGTCACCATTCTGCATCTGAAAAGACATGTTCCAGTGATAGTCAGCCCACACTCGACATCTGGATAAAAGTTTGGATAGAAACTTCAATAGATGGTCACTGCACTGGAGTTCTGGCTCCTCACTGTTCAAATCGAGCTTGTTAAGCATTGAATCCATCGTCGATATGAGGTCAACTCTGTTTCGCACCGCTTGGAAATCCCAATCTGGGTCTTTGAGTGTTGAAAGATATTTCAAGAGTGTGATACTCAGAATCATCTGTGACCAAAAGTGAAAAGGTTGGCCAACGAGCTTTGAGGATGGGATTCTATAGAAGTCGTCCAGCCATGATTTGAAGTTCTCGACGGACTGCCATAGACAATGGAGGCGTTCAAATCCCAGTAGAATCCCGCCGTCACCCCTTCTTCCAGCTAGATCTAGAGGCGCATCTTGACTGATTGGATACGCTAGCTGATTGATGTATAGTTCGACATATTGTGCATGTGTGTTGAGAATATCTGCATTTCAAGTCCGGGGTTCACCCCAGGTCAAGGTATTAGCTTGCCATCTCATAGTGAAGGTGAATTGCAACATTGTTCACCCTTACTTACCAATCTGTTGAAGATCTGCACGAAATGAAGATCATAACTCATGTAGCTGCCTTAGTAAAGATTTCAGATATAATTTGCGAGGAGCTGAGTCCGCAGAGGCTATTCCTGTGCGAGCACAAGCTGTCTCGTTCTGCTGCCGGACATCGTCGGCTTTCTGTTTCAATAGTTGCAAGCGTACTTGAGCGACAAAGAATTCATGGCGCATGCCTTGCTTATTGTGATGAATTGAAGCGCGTCTTCCATCTGTGGAGTCCATCGGATAGAATCCTGACGCCCAAGATTTGACGAAACACTACAGAGTGATATGTTAGTGTGGTTTGCTCCATGGATTTACCAGAGTAATTAAGTTTGGTAGAAGATAGGGAAGGCCATGCACACTTCGAGCTCAAAACAAAACATGCCAGTATCGCTCGCTGCCTTTCCAATAAGTCATAGTGTGTTTCATCGCGAGGAATGTGACCCTCTTCATCCCTCCCCTGGGTAATAGTCATCATGATTTGTACATCTGGCGAGGATGGCTTGAACAATCGCAGATCGTATATCATTGAGATTCCGAGCATCATGAGATGAGATACCAGATCTGCCCTGCCAAGAAATACGTCGGCACTCCATGCTAGATAGGTGAGTAACCCAAGCAGCAGGTCGATACTTGAATCTACTTTGATCAAAGCAGATGTGAAAAGAAGACGCTTAAATTCCTCAGATTGAATCAATCTTTCCTGTGTCGAGAAAGTACTAACGGTGTGAATAGCTTGGAGTAAGAATGGCCTGTTTTGACGGAGATACCAGCTCGTCATGTCTGGGGTAAGATTGAGAAAAGGGAAAGATGGCAGCATGCGAGATCGGAAGAAATCCAGCCGCTCGTCTGGTTGATTTGCCGATGGAACAGAAGGTGGCAGAGAACGAGGATTGGACAGAAACAGCGGATTTGAATTTGGTAATACTGTGGCAATCGAGTTTGTCGAAAATGCAGGCCCCTCATTGAAGCCCAGACTCGTGCTCGTGGGGGTTATCAGAGCGCCGTTTGAAAAAGAGGCGGATGATGAAGTTCTGTCTGCGTGGAGGGAATGATTTTGTGGAATGTTTATTGAAGATCCAGAACTAACTGAGTTACCGATAAAAGCTGTTATTGTAGATAGCAAGCTTTCCATCTTATCCTCTAGACGAGCGATACGAGTATCGGACACATCGGCTTGGTTTGTCGAAGTGGTACGCCTGCGAAACGACTCTGATACCTCACACCTTTTTCCAAGGCGGACACATCTAGGAAATAATGAGCTAAGTGTCAAATATTGTCACGCATTATATATCATCAAGCTATCGCAATTGTCGCCTGCAGTACGCACACACCGGCACTTTGCTTTGTAGCATGGGGTGCAAGCCTGGCCATGAGTGTTGGTTGGGCTGAGACCAGGCTTTGATCTCTCCATAGTCACAGTGGTAGGTCCTGCCATGCTGGATGCTCAAGATATCTTAGTCGATTGTAGGCTGTAACTCAGTAGGGTGGAGGACCAGTTGACCTCTTTGTTCTGCTTACTATGGGACCATATTTTCACCGCCCGCCCCTGAATGGACTAGTGGTTTCAATTCTCTGGGATTTAATGATTTATGTTATGAAAGTTTTTGTGACTTTTGAAATAAATATTGTTTTCTGTACTCGGTAAAAAGCAAGGTTATGCTAGTGGTTGATTTGAGTGTAGGAGCCGGGGTCTGACATCTAAGCATATAATGCCAAGTTTGAAGTAGTACTACATCAAGAAGCCTTCGTGGTCTAGTTGGTTATGACGTTGGTCTCATATCACTTTCACATATGACTTTCCTGTTAACAGGATAGCAATCCGAAGGTCTCCAGTTCGATCCTGGACGAGGGCATTCTTCTTTTTATCTTTTCCATTTTTTTCTTTTTTCTTTTTCCTTCGTCTCTTTCTTTTTAAAGTCTAATCTTTTTTCTTTTTTATATATTTCTTCTCATATGTACCCCAAAAGGAGTCTCGGAATTATAGTAATCGTAGTATGAAGTTCCAAGGTTCGTGAGGCGGCCGTAACCGTAAACCTAAGATATATACTAAAAGCATTTAGCTGCGCGACATCTTTAGAAAATCATAGTAGTATGTACTATACTATACTATTTACCTGCCACCCAGAACTGGTTCTCTCAAGTCCTATTATATCTCCTAGTACCTTCTTTCTTATGTATTGTATTAGTTAAATAGTCTTAGCACCGACCCCCCCAACACCCCCATATCACAAGTAACCGGAAAGAAGAAAAGAGAAGTGAAAGGAGAATGGAGAAATGAAACGTGCAGCGCAATCCAAAAAATCCATAGTGTACCTAAGTAATACAGGGGTTGATAGAATCTAATGTACTGCGTACTACAAACCGGGTACCACATTATGCGGCATGGAAACATTCTTTGCAAATTTGGAGGTAGAACAAATATTTTGTCTACCACATCTATGTACAATATCCATAACTCATAGTATGCCTAGCCCTAGAGGTGCCCATGTTGTCAATTCAGACTAAATCACAGCATCGCATCCCAGTTCGGCATAACCGTAAACTTGCCGGAAAGTTGTCCCATTGACCAAGCCTGGTGTCGCGTATCATCCTTCGGTGGCTGCCCTGCCTCCTCTGGATCTGGAGAAGAGACAATCAGCGCCTCCTGCACGAAGTCCACTGCTGCAGCACGATCGAGCTCGAAGCTTATGCCACCCCAATCCATTATCACACGACCGGATTTGTGAACATTCAGCTTGCCCACACGCCCGGCGGGTAAGGACCAATTTGTCGCGGCGGTGATCAGTTTCGACTTTCCGGTTGATCCTGCTCCACTTTCACCTGCAAATTGGACATCTTCGCCTTCATTCTCGGATTTGACTTGGGGTTCGGGACGGGTGGTCTCCTGCACAGGGGTATCTGTTGAGCCTGGGATGCATAGGTTGGGTGTCATAGGTGGGAATTGCATAAGGAATAGGTGTCCGAGAAGGTGCTGGTTGGCTAATTTTTCGACTGGCGGCTCTGGATCGTCTGTCGCGTCCTCACCCGGGGTAGTCTCTGGTACGGTCTGGGGCTCCTCTGATTCTGGCTCGGGTTCGGGTTCGGGTTCTTGGTGAGTGAGGAGATCTCGAACATGCTCGAGATCATCCAGATGGCGGTCGTATTCGTCAATCTCCTCCTTGGTGCGAAGGAGCTCCCGCGGGTCTCGTTTGGGCGCCGGTGGAGCGACTTCCTTCTTCTTGGGTTCTGCTGATTGGGGATCCGATGTCTTTCGGCGCACGCGATACCTCTGTCTGGGCAACAGCCCATCATCCTCAGCAGGTAAGTCCTCCATTGGTGTATCGGCATCGTCTGTTGGTTCGTCCTTCACACGAGGCCCCTCATCAAGAGTCTCCGGAGGAGTTGGTCTGTCGTCCACAGCCTCAGCAGCCTCCTGCTGAGCCTGCTGCAGAATCTCCGCTGCCTTGCTTGAGCTTGACTCCATATTGACGGCAACCGCCCTTTCCTCATGCTCATGTCGAGTAACCCGAACAGGACGCAACCCCTTCTCCCGACGACCTCGCATGGGCATCTTGCCCTTACCGTCTTCCGCAATCTCGTCATCCTCGTCACTCTCAATGTTGATCTGGTCGATGCTCATTCGCAGCTCATCATCTGACGAATCGTCCTCCCGCTCCCGAGACCCTCCACTGATTCCAAATCGTGCTCGACCACGTCCAAAACCACCACCACGACCTCTGAATGCACCCCCAAATGAGCCACTGCCACCGGCGCCACCACGGCCACGGAAATTTCCTCTGCCCCCACGATTCCCACGGCCACGCTGGATAGCAGCCGCGTCTCTCAAGCGGTCATTGAGTCGTTCTTGTTCAATTTTTTCCATAGCCTCACGCTCTTCCTTACTCCTTCGTTGAACGGCCTTTGGTCGGAATTTCATTGGCTTTGGGGTAGGGTCCCCGCCTAGTACTGAGGGCGAGCGTGTTGCTGGTGTGATACTGCCGCCTGCTGGAGCTCGTTTCTTCAGTGACTGTAGTCGTTGTACAGAGGGTCGGCCAGAAGCACCTGGAGCGGCGGCGATTTGAGCTGGTCCATTTTGTGTAGAGTCTGAGTCTTCTGGTTTTGCGGCTGTTCGTCTGGCGGCTGCTTTTGGAGGCATGGTGGTTGGTTGTTGCGCAAGGAGCGCTGTGCCGTAAAAGTTTTGAGATATAGGGCAAGTCAGATTCTTAGCATAAAGCAGGTGGTATTGGAGCAAGAAATTGAGGTCGGAAAGTGATTTTGAAAGATAGACAGCAGGGTCGTAGTGTCACTATGCGGGCAAAAAGTTGAGCTTGACAAAAAAGTTGCGGGGCCCTACACCGCTTTGTATGTCACGTGACCAAAGATCTGATTTTGGAGCGACAGGGAGGCTTCGGCATCGAAATCAGTATCTAAAGCCTATATAATTACAGTTACATTTGGGGAGAGAGATATTCAGACAGAATTGATTCCCAAACTACCCATGCGAACAAACAAAATCCATAGCATCTTCTCTAGCCTGTGCTAGCCCTTCATCAGAAGTATATATATCTTCCCGCTCCAAGATCCGCTCGAAGCATACAACACCAAAAACACCAACACTAGCAAGGACAAACAGGCAGCCACTGACTTGAAAAGAGTGAATGGGAAAGATGGAAACATTCGCGAGCACTAAGACGCCGACAGAAAATCAACCCGCTGGACTTTGTATAGCTCGGGATCGGGACAGAATGAGTGTAAGATTGTGGTGGGTAGAGTGTAGAAAGGAGCGTTGAATCTCTCGTGAGTGAGGGAGAGAAGTTAAAGGAAGGTGGAGGAGAGGTCGGTGGAAAATGAAGGTGAGAGATCGCGGAGACAACGTAATTGACAGATGCTTAACGCTTCCGCTTCTTGTTCTTATCAGCCATGGCGGCGGCGACGAGAGGCGTACCCGGCATCAAAGGATATTCAAGAGGCTCAGGTGACTCGGAGGTTTTCTTGACGGGAACACCCATGTGGCGCCCATAACGGCCCTTGCGTCCATTGCCCTCGTCTTCACTGAGACAGCCTTCAATCCCGATGCCGGCGTCCTTGCAACGGCCACATGGGCGTTGGCGATCACAGCCCTTCTTGCTCTTTCGGCACCGCTGACAGCGAGGCTTTGTGGAAAGATCTTCCTCATCAGCTCCAAGTTGATGTTGGAAGTTAACTGACCCTCCCGACACCTTGCGTGATGAACTCGGGCTAAGAGGGGGAATAGGCGCACTTGATTTGTCAGAGGGCTTGCGCGGGGCAGAGAGCGCGCTCTTGACCTTTGGTTTTTGCGCTGGCTTTTGACTGCGAGGTCTGATGGACGTAGGGCGACTCTTGGGCTTCTTCGCCTTGGGGGCAAACTCTTTATACAAGGTGTCATCTTCGACCTCGCTTTTGATGCCGTCTTCAAGACCATCTGAGCTATGTTCACTGCTGTCTGCGCTGGGAAGAATGTCATCAAGGCCCTTATGATGACGCTTGATAGCACCGGGAGGAAGCATCGGGCTCGATTCAAGTCTGCGACGAGCCGGCAAGTCGTCTTCCTCTTCGCTAAAGTCCTCGCCCTCACTGGTGGCACCAGTCGATGACGCGGCATCGGCAGCACCACTGAAGGCATCATCTAGCGTCGATGCTGATGTACGGCCATGGGAGAAATTGGAAGCATCGCCCAGGCGGATCAATTGCATTGCGACATCCTCATCAGAGATGCAACTTGCGATGGTCGGGTCTGGTGTGGGCAAGATGCCAGCACCGCTCGCCCGAGGAGCTGAGTTGCTGAACGGTATACGGTTTCCATGGTCAGGGACTACGGGCGTCGCATAGACTGTACTTTTCCCTGAGTGCACACCGTATTCACTGTGGCCATAGCTTTGGGGCGATGGTAGTGCCTGGTGGTAGTTATATGGGCGGTGGGTAGGACGAGCAAAAGGTGAACCGGCACCTTCTTGACCGATTGATCGACGTTGGGGAGAGATAGAGGAGGTCGATGTAGTGAGAGGGACTTGAGGAGGGACAAAGAGGGGAAGTTCCTTCGAGATGGAGAGGTTAGAATCGAAGACTTAAAAAATCAAAAATCCAAGTAGTCATATTGTGATACTCACCGAGCTGTCAAACTTTGGGCGTTTGCGACGACCATCCTGCAGTATATTTTCCATACTTATTTCTGAGCTAGCAAATGCATCGCCCCGAGATCTGCGACTATAGCTATCCTCGCTGTCGCTCATCGCTTCATCATCAGGGAAGCCAGCATGACTTGAGCCACGGCTTTTGTTCCCACAACGGGAACCCTGCTTGTGGTGAGAAGCGCTGCGCAGGCTTCGGTTAGATGGAGATGTGCTGCGCTTCCTAGCAATGCGAGAGGAAGGCCGCGACGGCTGATCCAACACTGGCGCAACACCATCCATCCCAAATGGCTCGCCCAGACTGGGTCGCTTGCGCTCGACAGAAAACCCGCCATAGAAGTGGTCGGCGTATGTGGAAATGGGAATGACTCGCACATAAACAGTCATGTTATTCTTCAGGTTTTCATACCTTGCGATGAGGGTGGTCCCATGTTCATCTTCGAAGCTCACCCCACTGGCGGTGCCATCGTAGATGCCATAGAAATTTTTGACCGTCGTCACAATCGAATCCGTTGTATCATGCGGATATATTTGAACGCGCATGGGAATACGAGCCCGTACCTTGGAGTTCTCGTCCAGTAGCAGCTCAAAAGCGACGTTCTTGGGCACGGGGCTTTTGAGCGACAAGTCTCGAGCGCCGTCAACCGACGGCAGCTCTGCTAGGACAGGGTACCCTTCATGCGGAAGCGATTGCATGATGGACATGTCCATTATTCAAGGTCCTCTGCTGCTATGGCGATGACTGCATCAACCCACTGTTTGTACGATGGAGGAGGGAGCGGTTTTGACGGGATCCATGATCGGGGCACAGAGGAAGGGTTCTAGTGAAGAGGGAGGGGAAGAGGATCCATCGAACCTACCACAATTAAAGGATCCGAAAAGGTTGGCAGGGGGATGTACCACCCCCGGGTTGTCGATGGGAAAGGAAAAGGGTTTGACGCAGGGCTTTTCGATGGGGAGGAGGGGGAACTTGGGTGTCGCAACCGAGAAAGACCCGGAAGAGGCAGCGTGGGATCACCTAGGACAAAATCCAACATCAATGTCAGTACAATGCCCTCCTAGAGGTTCGAATTCGATGTGAAGATGGTATTTCTCTTTGGAAGATGAAAGGATGAACGTTGCCTAGCCGAGTCCGGCCGACCTTGGGGGAGGAGACGACGAGAGCAGATTCGGATGAGGATGGAGAGCAGCGTAGACATACCTAGTATAGACACAAATGGCTCCAACAGGATCGCAGAAGCCTATGAATGTCCACTACCAAGTGAGATGGTGAGCGATGGGTGTCGGTCGAGGGTTGTGGGTGGAGGTGTGGATTGTCGTTCGTTCGTTCTACGAAGCGCTTTGGGGGGGGGGGTGGGCTATGTCAGCGGTGACCCAGTAGCCGAGATGAGGCTAGGGAACCTCAACGACAAGAAAGATGGACAATACCCAGAACTGAAGAAATAAACAACAGGGGATGTGTGTGTGTGTTGTCGAATGGGAAGAAAGTTGAGTGGATGCGTACGATGGTTTCACCTAAAGCGAGAAAACGGCCTACTTGGGTCGGTGACATGGCGATTTGCGCTTCCGCCCAAGCTTCGCTCATCACATTCCATGTTTACAAGCTAAAAAGTTGAAAAGGCTCGAGGAAAAGTACTATTAGATATATTTATATACTGTAATCCTCTTATGTTAATACAAATATGTCCCTCGATCACCCATATTGGTCCTTTCGCAATGCGCACTGCTGTCGCAAGCCGTGGTGCTATTGCGCCGAGCATCCTGTCTAACCACCCGAAGCTTTGATAGGAACTAGACTCGGTCTACTTGAGTGAGTATTTACTACCGCTGATTTATTACTCAGAGGAAGAGTGTACTGGTCGGCCACACGTGCACAGGGCACCTTGTCGGAAACAGCATCTTTCTTTCTTGGGAACTTCAGCCCGAATGAGATTCAACATATCGCAACCAATAAACGGTCTAAAAGGGCCCAGTATGTCGCAGTAGGCCCCAATGACACTGATGGACAGGGTACGCTTGTCGCACATTGAAGACCTGGCGCTCATGCGATTTTCTAGGATCTTTGTCGCATTGCCCATCTGAGTATCATTAGAGACTACAAATTTCAATGCGATCAACCCGGCGCCCTGAAACCCGACAGGAATCTCTCATGCGCGGGGAGTTCCAGATGATGGCGTTTCTAGGCAAATGGCTGATCGCGGGCAGCCCCCAAAGCACCGAAGCTCCAAGCATAAAGACCAGATAACAAATCCTTCGGAGACACAATCGCATGACCGTTCTTCGTCACGGTGTATTTCGCATGATCTGCGCCGGGTGAGTTTACCCCTCCTCGGAACCTACGTAAGAATAGAAAAGGGATGGGGGGGTTACAGAGCATTCTCCCTCGAACCTTGCAGGACGAGAGGCAAAATGGGTTGAGAATCTAAAGCTAACAGGGTCCTCGAGTGTAAGGGCGCGTCCCCCAGGGACAGGATCTCCATAGAAAGAAGCCATTTTTACAGTCATATTGACGTGTCTGAGAGCAAGAACCATAAAGGGAAATGAGTGGCCCAGAATAACTGATGGGAACGTGCACTACGAAAAAGATTACCCAGACCGTACAAAGAGATTACATTTGACGGGATTGTTAGGACCAGTCAGAAGGCGGAAAACCGAATTGAGGCGAGGACCCCCGCACACTTTTAGTATTTCCGGAGCGGGTCACAACGATGCCCAACTTTGTCGCAATGATGAGCGAGTTCGGATGCGATTCGGCTGATCTAGAAAGTGCCAACCGTTTACCGCTCGATCCGGTCCTGGCAAAGCGGTGTGGATCACGTGGGTCCGCGTAACTAGCGCGTTTAAGAGGCTTGCTCGGTGGAATTGGCGATTGTGCCTCCACCAACCAAATGGAAATATTGAAGATTAGCTTTATTATATCCTAGAGGTAGTTGGAAAAGCCAGACAATACGGAATACAATTTTACTCGAGGAATGGAGCTGTTACAGCGAAAAATATAAAAATGAGGGACACCGGGAAGACGTGACGGTGATACCATGACGTAACTGATAAGCTGATAAGAACTCTTGGCCCCCAGCGGAAGATGCAAACTATGCAAACACCTGTTGATCAAACAAATCAAATCGTTTCAGTTCTGTATTGTCATGTACTGTCATACCATGTGGACACACCACTGCTCAGCATTCTGTGAGCATCATATAATCAGCCAGTGAGCACCCCTTTAATTGAAGTATATCCGCTGACTTGCGAAACATGTAAAAATTGAATTGATGATGAACTGAGCAAAAGTCTATTTTCCAAGAATAGATCATTTATTGTGGTTGAAAATAGACTAGAATAAACATTAGTCGCCGCGGTTTCCAATTGTAACACGGTTGCATGGGCGTTACCGTTGTTCCTGCACAGACTTCCGACTGTTTGTTTTGCTTGGCGTGACCGCTCATGCAGACCCGCAGCCCTTCTCTTCTCAACTCAGCAAAACATAAACAATTCCTTTAACCACCTCCCTCCTCAACTATTAACGTGTTCTCTTGTGCTGACACCACGCTGGGACCTTCTTAACAATGGATGCGAAAGTATGTGTTCTCTTATTCTTTCACAATCGCCTTTTCCTCCACGTTTCACGTGCTTAGATGGCTCGACTTGTCCTCGACTGTATCAAGGGACTAGGTCGATCCATTTAGTTCCACCAGTTCTTTGTTGATCACATGAACCATGACATAGCTAACCAGATAAACAGCCTCACCGAATTCGCGTCCGTGGCGACGAGAATGTGCCTCCCTCACTCCATAACAACAAAACAATCCATCAGCGCAACAAGTCCATGTCGGCACTGAACGCCACCCAGGGCATGAAGAATGGTACTCGAAGGGCCTTCGGGGACGTGAACCCGAACAAGGACATCTCTCGCGCTAGTCGTGATGACTCTGCCCTTGTGGGAAAGCTTGCTGTACAAGTTTCAGAGAAGCCTGCACTTTCACAGGCTGCCCAGCGCACCGTGTCCGTGTCTAGCTCCAAAAGCTTGCTCAATGTCACTACTAAGCCCATCAACCCAGCTGGAAAGGCTCAACCTACCAAATTAGTCAAGCGAAACAATCCCGTGTTCCGCGACAACCTCGAGCCCGTTGTTGAGAAGGATCCCCTTACTACCCGTTCAGTTCGGCGGAGTGAACCCTCTGAAAAACAAACAGCTTCCAAGGAGATTCAGAAATTCGACAAGAAGGAAGCTCCCACTATTTCCGCAGATGATTCAATGGCTGTCTTGCAGGCAAGTCGTGCCTCAGACTCGACCGAGTCGGATACTACCATCTCCGACACTGAGGATTCCAAGGCTGCTCCCTCTACATCGCTTAAGGTATCAGCTCCAATGGTCTCCGAGCCTGAAGAGCACTGGGAAGAGGAGGATAGCCTGACCGCGCCTTCGACCTTGCGAGCGGACAACACTACAGGTGGTACTACCACTGTGATTTATCCCAAATTCACCGCGAGCACGAAGCGCCAGATCTTGCAAGCTAGACAAATAGTCGAAGCTGCACGCACGGAGGAAGATATTTTGGAGGATTTTTATGATACTAGCATGGTTGCTGAGTACAACTCTGAGATCTTCCTTCACCTTCGTCAAAAAGAGGTACCTGTTTATTGCATTATTAATTGACCATGACTGTCGCTGACTCTTCTCAAGGTATCGATGCTTCCAATTGCTGATTACATGGCCAACCAGGCCGAGATTCAATGGTCCATGCGCGCTGTTTTAATGGACTGGCTCGTACAGGTGCATTTCCGCTTTGCTTTACTCCCGGAAACTCTGTACCTCTGCGTCAATTACATTGACCGATTCCTGTCAAACAAGATCGTCTCCTTAGGCAAGCTGCAGCTAGTAGGTGCCACTGCATTGTTCATTGCAGCCAAGTACGAAGAGATCACTGCGCCCTCGGTCCAAGAGATCGTCTACATGGTCGACGGGGGCTACACTGTTGATGAGATCTTGAAGGCCGAGCGCTTTATGCTCAACATCCTGGAGTTCGAATTGGGATGGCCCGGTCCAATGAGCTTCCTTCGTCGTATCAGCAAAGCAGATGATTATGACCTAGAGACTCGCACTGTTGCCAAGTACTTCATTGAGCTCACAATTATGGATGAGCGTTTCGTTTGCACTCCTCCTAGCTTCGCCGCAGCTGGGGCCCACTGCCTCGCTCGACTGATGCTCCGGAAAGGATGCTGGGTATGTTCATCGCCCGTTCCTTGACTTGTTTTGTTGCTAATAGCTTTGATAGACTTCGGCGCACGCATACTATGCCGGGTACACCTACGTGCAATTGCTGCCTGTTATCACAAACATGCTAGACTGCTGCGAGAACCAGCAAAGCCACCACCAGGCGATCTATGAGAAATACCTTGACCGTAGATTCAAGCGTGCCTCACTCTTTGTGGAGAATGAGGTCCGGGCTTCATTCACCCTACCAGCCGCTACTCCCTTCAATGACCCTGCACGCCTGACAGGTGATGCAAACTACTAACCCCCTGTTTTCGAAAATTTGCAAGCTGAAAGTGCTTCAAGCTTGCTTCCCGCAAATACCCCACGTTCGCTATCGCGTTTCTCATTTCATGCTTTCTCAGAATCAGGCTTCGGTGTGGATCGGGTACCGGCAGGCGTTTATTTGATTAATCATGGAGGTCTCATTTTCCGTTCTTTACTTAATGACATCGGGATGACTTGAAGCCATTGCTCTGGACGGAGTTTTACGGTCGGAAGGCGTTGTCTGCTTCTCTTTCGGCGTCACCTCATCCTTTTTCTTTCTTCATCATTTTCTTCTCACGATACATACCTTTTTGATTGTTCTGCTCACGAGAGTTTCGCATTTTCTTTTACCCTTTTCTGCCCTGTGGAATTGTCTCATTGCGTTTCCCTTAATGATGATCCTTTCCTTTACCGTCTGTGCTTGTGTTTAGTCGCCTTGTACACCGAGCCACGTACAGTTCCTTCCTTTTTCATTTGCATATATTCCTACACAGATATTGCATATGGAAATAGTTTTAGGACAATCAAGTATGGCTGCAGTCTCTTTTGCTCTTTGGTAATGATGTAGTTCGTTCATTACTTAGGGCTAGTATGGAGAGTGGTCTCCGACTACCCGTTCGTGGTAAAGCTGTGTATATCACCAGTAAATCTCCCGTTTATCATCTATCTCGTTTATCATCTATGCTATACAGATCACTGGTCTAGCCCATTAAACTCAATTAACCTTTTGACAGCTTCGATCACCCGATCTCCCGCCCCACCATCCGAACCTTGAGCCGGGCTATCAATCCGCGCAGCAAGAGCCTCATCCAACATTGTGCGCAACCGTGAAACAAGCACACCGATCCTCGCCCAACCACGAAGTCGGAGCCAGCCGTCCACGACGAGTCCACGGCCCATGGTATCGAGGGTAATGGAGCCGCAGAAGAGGAGTAAAGAGTATGCGTTGAAAGCTGCGACAGTTAAAATAGGGTTCGACAACAAAGAAGATAAAATGAAGGATACTTACGAGTTAGATCGCGGATGAAAACCTTGCTCGTTGCCATCTTCGTGAAATAGCTCAAATACGCCGCAGAACTAGGATAACCATGTGCTGAGAACAGGATCGAGCTTGGATGAATGAAAACTCGCCCGTTTTCTTGGTTAAAGTACTTGATTGTCCGAGCATCCGGATCAACCTCAACAGTACCAGTGACCGAGCTAGCAAATTTCTTATCCGGGAATGAAATCTGCGCAACCTGTGGCTGGAAGGCACCTGCGATGAGCGCGCGGATGAGGTTTCGGTTGGACGCATTGCGGTTCCACGCATTGGGTCCATCCGCGTAGTCCACTGGAAGAAGACCGGCGTCCTTGAGGGATGTGACGAATTGAGCTCGGTTGGACGAGATATCACGGAGAGTCTGGTGGGATAAGAAGTTTGCACCGCACCACGACTGTGATTGCCAATGGCCCTGAGTGCGGACACGCTCGGACCAGGATTGATAGGCTGATAGATCTGTAAGAAGGTCTCCGTCACCCGGACGAGAGAATGTGGCTTTTGCGGCGTCGGCTTCGTCGCGTTTTTCACGCGGGGACACGAACGGGCTTTTGACTGTTAGGATGGCAGCGACTGTGAGGCAGGGTTCCATGCAGCCGAAGATGGAGCCATAGATCATAAGCTTGGCACAGCGGAGATCTGCTGGGATCATAGAAAGATACCTGCCCAGTGCGGTGAGACGGTCGTGATCGAGGGCTCCGACCCGGTGTAGGAAGTTGAGAGCACCCTCGACAGCGATGCTTTCTGGAGGTGTGATTGTGTTGGCTAGGAAGGTGGCGACATCGTCGATACCCTTCATGGATTTCACAGACAGGCATAGCTGTTCGAGGGGAACACGGCGGATTTCCGGGTCTGGTCGCTGAGCCATGTTGGACTCGGCTTTGCGGGTGTATAGTTTATAGCAAGTTCCTGCACGGACACGACCTGCACGACCACGGCGCTGTTTACAAGCTGCCTGCGATGCCCAGACCTCTTGGAGTCGAACCATGTTGTCCTTAGGATCGTAGCTTGTTTCTTTGACCCGGCCGGTGTCGATGACAGCGACAACATCCTCGATGGTGATGGATGTTTCTGCCACATTGGTGGCCGCAATGACCTTTCTCTTGCCCCTGGGTGGACTTTGGAACACACGGCGCTGCTCCGCTGGAAGCAAAGATGCATGCAACGGTAGTGGGTGCATATTAGGAAGTCTCTTGATAGCTGTTAGGCATCGTTCAATCTCCATGGTTCCCGGCAGGAAAATCAAGATTCCTCCTGGGTGGTCTCCCAATTCAGCATCAATGAATTGCACGGTAGATGCGATCAAGTCATAGTTGATGCCCATTCCAACACTGCGCAAGGTTTTACCCAGTGATCCTTCGTCCCGTGGGGGTTCTGGGTCCTCCTCGTCCATTTCATTGAGCTCAGGGGCGAATCCAGTATACCGAATGACATCATCCAAATAGTAATCTTCAACCGGGAAGGTTCTTCCAGGAATGTTTACGAGACCGACTGATTTCGGTCCGCCAAAGTAGTTCATGAAGATATTTGCGTCTAGCGTGGCACTCATGAGAATAACCTTTAGATCTTTGCGGTGTCGCAGAACATCCCGCAGCAGGGCGAGAAGGAAGTCAGTGTCGAGACTTCGCTCGTGCACTTCATCGACTACCACATGCGAGACGTCCGCCAAAGAACTAGCGACATTCCCGTCGGCATTGCCACCGGATTGGATACGGCGGAGCAAAACACCAGTCGTCACAAATGTGATCTTTGTTGCGCCCTGCTTGGCCTTTGATTCGCCGCGGATCACATATCCTACCTCGTCACCGACGGTTGAGCACCGCTCATCACTCACTCGATCAGCAAGACCCAAAGCTGAGATACGGCGGGGCTGCGTGCAAATGATGTTCGCAGCACCTCCCAAGCCTCGCTGAATCATATCATCAAGGATGAATTGTACAGACTGTGTACTTTTACCACTGCCCGTTTCACCAGAGATGATGGTAACCTGATGCGAATTGACAGCTTCAATAATGGCATATTGGGTGTTCCAGGCAGGTAGTGACTGTCTCTTACGAGTCATTGTCACCTGTGCAGCGCTGTCCTGCTTGCCTTCCCAGGCTTCCAGCATTGCGATGCTGGCGGGTGAGTTGGCTTTCCAGTCAATGCCTCGGCGCTGTTTGCGAGAGCTGCGAACAGGAATCTCGTGGGTGTCCACGGCTGGTGAAGCCGTTACCGCAGAAATCTCACGTAACCTGCCTGGGTTCTCCATAATCTCAGGTAGGTTCACTTCTAACCAATCCATAATGTTGAAGATCATAGATTCGCCAGAGAATTTCTCCTCAGCATACTGCACTGCTCGGCGAATGGCGCTGAGCCGAATATAAGCCGGGACCCCTTTAGCTTGAATAGATATAACTGGAGCGACTGAAGGATAGTGTGAAGACGGCTCCTGGAAACGGAACGAAGTGTTCTCTGGAATCTCAGGGGCCTCGCTTTTGATTTCACAGACCCTGGGTGAAATACGGGTGTAGCGCTCCCCAAAAATTGCTTCAAGGGTATCTTGTTCTTCGGCCCATGCTTCTGGATTTCCCTTTGGAATTGAAGCAGATGCAAACTCAGATCCATGAGCCAATGTGCTTTGTAGATACTCTGCGGCTGCTAGCTCATCGCCATCCTTCCCATCGAGGACCTGTGAGCACAGATCTGCAGGATAGCCAATAGAAGCAAGGCGCTTGATCTTCGCTTCTCGTGCGAGGTCCCCAGCTGCAAGACTGACACCGGCTGAGTATCCCTCGGGCAAACACCATCGAGGAAGATCGTCTTCAGGCACGTAGACCAAAAGCCATTCTAGAACTTCCTCTCGATCTTTGCACTCTACTACAGCCTCCTCAACGTGGCTTCGACGGAATCCGAGTTTCGAGAACTCCTCGACGGCAGCCTTCCTCTCATTCTCTGAAACCTTAACCCCATATGCGTTCCATGTTGCGTGCTGGCGTAGAAGCCCTTCGATCTCGCGTCGGATCCGAGTACCCATTTCCACTTTGGGTGCCTGCGACCAAATCCGTTTGCTCTTGGCATCACCGCCTCCAAGGCCAAGGTCCGTGGAAGAAACCTTCTCCTTTGCTTGCGCCTTTGCACGTTCAGCCCTCTTCTTTTCCAGATCCGCGGCCGCACTCTCCCGTTCCTGCTTGGCCAAGAATGGATCCGCTTCGTACAGCCAGCCTTTGCCTTCACGAGTTTCTGCCAACTTAATTTCAGCAAAGTCCTCCTTCCAAAGCTTTTTGTATTTTGGCGGCATCATCATATGAATGTTGCGCATATTGCACACACGAAAAAGCGCCCACGCTGCAGCGAAATGACGAGCCTCAAGCGCCGTCGCTTGCGCCGCTAGTTCTTTATGTGACGGGGGTAATTTCATCGGAGGTAAAACGGTCAATTCGCGAGTCTTTGGGTCCACTCGTTTCATCGTCACGGCAGATACATGGCCATTTGAGGTATTGATCTATCGAGCGCAATTGGCAGTGCATTAGTATCGGATTAGACCCGCTGTCTGAAGATTAAGATTAGGAGTGATATACCATGCTATACTCTGGCTTCTCCCATTTTTGCTTTTGACAATGCTCCGAAAGCATATTGACGGGTAATTTGCCTGTCCATGATGCGCCGCCGATAACCTCCTTCACACTTGGTTTTTTGGGCTCTTCGGGCGCGACGGGCTTTTTGTCTTTGAGCTCTGCCGCAGCCTTAGCCTGTTTAGTGCCAGGCTTGGGCCCTCCAGGGTTACTGGGTTTCTTTTTTGGAGGCATTGTCTGCTTATCGTCAATAGTCAAAAAGTGCAATTCACGAATTCATTCTTGGGATGGGATTGTCCCGCACTAGACCGCTTTGAGCTTTTTGCGGGGAGCTTTCTTCCTAGTTATTTGAGGACTTCCCTTGTATCATTCTCTCTGTGCACTCAATTTCCTACTTCGCACAATCATCTTCCAAAGCTGTCATTCGAAATGTCTGGGTCAGATCAGAGTATTGATCCCGTAAAAGATCAGGCCAAAGAGCAGGCCAGCAGCACTGCGGAGAAGAGAAACGCCTGTGAGATGGCCGTACACCGACGAACCAGTGAGTTAAACCACTAACTACTACCTTCTAGTTACAGAGCTTCTTTCGGCCAAAAAGAAGCAGCCCAAGCCAACGACTGAAAGTTCCCGAACAAAACATACACCTCGGTCCGAGAATCCCTTCAGAACGGGGCGTGACGGTCTCGGAGCCTACATCGCGAAGCCCGAAACCTACCCCTCCAGCGTGGTAGTCAATCACAATGAAGACTTCGTCGCAATTCATGATATGTTCCCGAAATCATCATTGCATCTACTTCTCCTACCTCGCGATCCAACAAAAACTCACCTCCACCCCTTCCATGCCTTTGAAGATGCCGAATTTCTCGTCAAGGTCCGGACAGAGGTCCACAAGTTGCGCGCTCATGCCGCAGCAGAACTGAGACGGAAATACGGTAAGGACTCTGCACAGGAGCAAGTTAGACAGGCTGCTCTCATTGCCGAGCCACCGCCAGACGAGCTGCCTGCAGGTCGGGACTGGGAGAAGGAGATTATGTGTGGAGTGCATGCTGTACCTTCCATGAATCATCTACATGTGCATGTTATCGCCGTGGATAGGCATAGCGATCGACTCAAGCACCGGAAGCACTACAATAGCTTTGCGACCCCGTTCTTCGTGCCCATTGAAGACTTTCCGCTGGCTGAAGATGATGTGCGACGGCATCCTACACAAGAAGGGTATCTAAAGCGAGATTTTATCTGTTGGCGGTGCGGGAAGGAGTTTGGCAACAAGTTCACACAGCTGAAGGAGCATCTAGAACGGGAATTTCAGGAATGGAAAAGATTGTGAACCCGACAAGGGAGCTGCGCAGACAAAGCTCGTCTTGCGACAGAAAGCAGCCAGATTTCATATTTGTATTCAACCGCTCTCCCACGACCATCCAAACTGGCCGCCTCGGGGAGAGGATTATTGGGTTTGCCAACTTCGTCAATTGTACATGCTCCGGTATAGAAAGTGGGTTGCTAGGGTTGCATACATCTTCCAGCATGCGCATCCAGAATCCGCACTTTCTTTAATACCTGATTCCCGAGAAGAATCCTAATGATTCTTCACGCCTCCTTTCTGGCCCTTCTCTCCATCACTGCCGGCCTTATCATATATTCAAATTTACGAACGAGCCTTGGACTTGCCAGCACCCTTCACCTTGCGCGCCTCGGGGCGAGCAATGTGGTGGGAGGGGATCCAGTCGGCGTTGTAGGTGGTAGCGGAGGAAACGGCAGGGTTGGAGGTCTCCTCAGCGGTGGCGGACTCGGTGCGCTTGGCAGGGGTACGCTTCTCGGTAGACTTGCCGCTCTTGCGCTTCTGGGGGAAGTAGGGGGCAACCCACACGGTGTAGAAGAAGTAGACAACACCAACGAAGCAAGCCAGGAGGAAAAAGTAGAGGAAGATACTAAAAGTGGATTGGGTCAACCGATTAGACTCGTAAAAGAGTTTGGGGGGAGGGGGGGTTTACATCTGGGGGTCAAAGATGCTAGTCTCAGGCTCCACCACGCTCACAGTGCCATTGAAGGCCTGGACGCTGAAGAACTTGCCCTCGCTGTCAGACAGGATGGCAGCGATGTTCAGACGGACATCCTGGGGGTGCATCTCGGTAGCGAAGCTGTAGCTAACGCTCTCCTTGGAATTGGCAGGAATTTCGAGACCGTAACGCGTGGCAGTCAGGTTACGGATCGCCTTGCTCTCCTCCTCCACAGTCCACAGGCTACCACCAACGAAGTTGACGGTGATAGGGTTAGGCTCTTCATTAGTGAAAGCGATGAGCGCCTGGGTAGGGTGACCGTTGACGAGCTTCACACCGAAAATCTCAGAGGAGGGGAAAGATGCCTCCGCAGTGACAGCGAAGGTACGGTCCTCCTCGGCCTTCTCAGCATCCTATCACAGACAATGTTTAGCCAATTGATCATTTCTCTACCTCCTTGGTTTTCCTCAGAGTCATTGCGAAAAACGGAATTGAATGTAGACTTACAGCAGCGAAGCCGGTGCCAACAAAAGCCTGAAGAGAGAGAAGAGCCAGGGAGAGGAAACCAAAGCGAGTCATGTTGGGAGTTGAAAGGAAGTGATGAGAGAGAAGGGTAAAGGGTGATCACACGTTGCAATTAGGGAAACAGTTCAGGTCCACTTACCCGGGGAAGCTGACTCAGCCAGTTCTCTTGTCCATTTTCAAGATTTTTTTGCAATTGGATTCCAGTTGAGAAGAACAATCAAGAACAAGTAGATTGAAAAGACAAAAAAGGGGTTAATTCTCATTTACCTCATTCTCTTTTTGTGGAAGTCTTATTCTAGTCCACTCACAAGGGACAAAAGGGAGAGAACTTGTTCGTCGCGTTGATCGCGCAAAGCTTGCCTTTTTTTTAACTTTATCTGTTCCCTTGATCTTTCCAAACCTTCAATCCTATCTTTTCAACCCATTTCAACCAACGCCATAATTTTCATCATGGATTCTTCACCATACCTGGATCGCTATCGTCAGATCGGTGCGCTTGATCAACAGAAGAACCAGCTTATTGAGGTATTCCTATTTGATCCCTTCGTTTCCTTACGACTGAGGCTAATGCGCTCCCTCATAGGAACTCCTGCAAAGAGTCACCGATCTCGAAAACTCCTTCCAGCGCGAGAAATTGGACCATGAACGCGAGACGCGTTTCAACCGGGATATCCAGCTGCATGAAATGGAACTCATGCAACAGATATCTCAGATCAAGACTATAATGGTGGGCGACTCTGTCAATCGATCTCTTTGAGCCTTGCGCTGATGGGGACATTTCCTACAGGACCGAGAACCGTTCGTTGTGGTACTCCTCGATGGCGAAGCTATAATTTTCAAGGATGATTTTTTGCAGTTGGGTGAAGAGGGTGGCCGAAATGCTGCCCAACAGTTTTACACGGCCATGCACACATATCTGTCGAAAAACCTCCCCAGTGTGAATGTGCCTAAGATAATACTGAAACTCTACCTCAATGTGAAGGGATTTTCAGAGACCTGTGTCCGAAGCGGGATCCTCGCGGATCCTGCGACGGTCCATGAATTCATTCGCGGGTTCAATGAGACCATGTCATGCTCGGAGATTATTGACATTGGCTCCGGCAAGAACAGGGCCAATGATAAAATTCAAGGTTCGTGGAGAGAAAATGGTTGCGCTTCCTGTGGAGACCCACGAGCTAATCATTTACCGTTATCTTCCTTGCAGAAATGTTCCAGGTCTTCCTTTACAACTGTCATTGCCACCAGGTCTTCGTTGGTTGCGCCTCAAATATCGAATACGCCCAGTTCCTCGAAGAGACGTTGAACGATGGAGATCTTACCGGCCGTGTGTCGCTCGTGGAGGGGGTGACATTTGACAAAGAACTGGATGCGGTGAAGGGGTCATTTCGGACTGCCAAGTTCCCGGATGTCTTGCGTTCATCCAAGGTGGCACCCATTTATGTGGCCCCTTGGAAGAGCAGCTTGCCTTCTCGATCCTTACTCACCCCATCGCCGTCCCAGCAACTACAAAACCCTCCGCCCTTGTCCCGCACTTCCACCAACACAAGTGCTTCGGGCCTGGGCGCACATCTGGCAGCGACAATTCCGAATACAAGCAACGAAACCCCCGACTTCCAGGTTGTTCGCTCCAAGGGATCTGGATCGACACCTGTCAAGGCGGTGGAACGAAACAAATACGGCCAGCGAGTGGACCGTTTAGATTTCAAGAGCATCCCTCGGGATGATCTGAATCGGTTGAAAAAGCTCAAGCTGTGCAATTATTACTTCCTCCTTGGGGAATGCCCCAACGAGGAGAACTGTTATCATGATCATGACCGCAAATTGACCCGCCAAGAACTTCATATTCTGTCCGCCATCGCGCGCATGACCCCTTGTCGCTTTGGACTGGAATGTGATGACCCAGAATGCATTTACGGCCACCGGTGCCCGCAGAGTGAACCAGGCAAAAAGACCTGCTTCCGAGGCGATAGTTGTCGCTTTGAGCCCGTGGCTCACGGGATTGACACCAATATTGTCAAAGTGACCAAGATTTAAAGTCCAATATTTTGATTGGTTTCTGAATCATAGTTTCCTGTCTCAGATTATTGTGTTTTCTCTTCTATCCCTTTTTCTCTCTTATCTTTTATTATTATTATCTTTTCTCTTTTTAGGGTTATTTGGGACCTTTGGTTTCGGGGTTATCAATTCGGTGCCGTCAAAGAGATGGAAACACTCATGGTAGATTGGGGGTTTCTCTTTTGGAGTTGACAGGCTCTGCCAGGCGCACGGAATGGGCTTGATTGTCATTGGATTTTACCACTTATTACCTTCCCATCGAAAATGGGTTCTACACGGTGTGGATGTGATGATTCGAACCATCTATATCTGCTCCCCAACGTGCTGCCTTCAATGATAAATTGTATTAGTATGAATAAATCTTTTTACAAAATATATTCAACATTGATACAGTTCAAGTCCCGAAAGGTTCTATGTCTTTATTAAGCGCACTGATAGTTGTTACAGATAGTCATATTCCATCGATCATTGTTCATGAATCGTGGTACCATACAACGAAAACCGTCTCTCCCATCCATAACACTCCTCCTCGATACAGGGCTGTCCGTCGATTACCATAGCATTTGAATCTCGGGAATGGATACATGGAACCCCATATTCCTTAACACAACACATTATAGGTAAACCTACAATTCCCACCGGTGGTGTCCAAGGGTGACCCTGAACCCCATTCGCCCCCCCTTTACTCTTCTGCTCCGCAAGATTTCCCCAGAGGAGAAAGAGCTTCTCTCTCAGCTGAGATAGTCGCCGAGAATCGCGACGGAGGCTGCGTATACCACAATTAGCGAGTTCAAACCTTGCGACGTGGATGTGGAGAAACTGGGAACTTACTCGGTAGGATCCAGGCAAAGTAGATGGACAGCTTCTGCGCCAGAGACAAAGATCTTCATCGGTTCTCGGAGTTGGTCTTTCAAAGTTACCGGTTCAACACTCTCTACTAGAAGACAGAAACGCCAGTCCCATGCCATATGTTGTTTTTTATCCACAATAGATTTCACTGGGACTTGCACTGCAAAGTCTGCAAGATCTGGTGGGAAGAAGTCGATGACCCGGGCAAGAATACTGTAGGCAACGTTTTGAAATGGTGCTTTGTAGCTGATCCCACCCGGGAGAGGTATAATATGCGTTTCAGCTTCCAACACCTTATCCACAGAGCGTGATGGAACCCCAAATTCGCGTATCTTGACAGAGGGGTTCCGTACCGTCCGCGAGGTTGCTGATAGCCCTTTCTGGCCTTCTTCCTTGCTTTGGTTTTTTTCAGATTCTTGGTTCTTTTGTTTTTTTTTCTTCTGTTTGCTTTCCGCTTTTGGCTTTCCGTGGATTTCCCAATATGCTTTCCGACGTGCCATGAGCTCTTTTGCCTCTTCATTGTAGTCACTCGAGATGAGGCGGATATGGACCTTGTCGGGAAACTTTTTGTCTTGGTGGACGGCACCTTCGAGACTACCGTTGCTGCTAGTTTTGATACGGACATATGAAAGAAGCACCATGTCACCTGGCTTGACTTTCTCCTGGCAATATTTAGCATGCGGGTCCCACAGCGTTATTTGCATGGTCAATTGTCCCCAGGGTCCGGGCCAATTATCTTGGTGGCGTGCTAGGTAGCCGTTGGGATCGCCTTCAGTGCCTGTCTCGCCATCTTTCCGATAATCAACCAGACATTCGTTGGCGGTATAGTCAGTAATCCAAATGGTACTCTTGTTAGGCTCATAGTTATGATCTTTGACCACCTGGCCAACGAGTTGGGTAAAACGATTGATCTCGACGTCTTTTATCAAAGTCATTGGCAGATATGCATTCTTGCGGTTGAGTACGGCAGCCTGAATGACATGGAATCCTTTTTGCGACGGATCGGTCCGCCAGGTGTTACTTTGCACCTGTGGTGTGTGCTTATCTAGGAGCTCAATTGCGCGCCTTTTTTCCTCTGGTGTCGGATAGAAAGTATCGGGCCCTGTAGTAATAACCGGGCCCTTGCTGAGATCTTCATGGTTTCGGAATATAGCCCAAGAGACCCTTTGGTTTTGGGAAGCAATACCCGTTGCTCTCTCTTGATAGTAACTGATCTGGATCACGAAAGTCAGCATAGTCGTCTATATGATATTGATAGACCTATGTCCATCTTCCAAAGCCTTACTCGAATGCGTCGAAGCAAGACTACATCGCCTATCTGAACATGTGGCAACTTGCTTTCGTTATCATTGAAGTACTTGATTTTCAGACTATTTTTCCAGGCTGGTGTTTCAAATTCAGAATCTTTGATTTCAAAACCAACACACCATGAAGAACCCGCACTGCGCCAGGCGTCCTTCTTGTCAACCACCATGCCGATGACGCCGTTGATAAACCCGCGAGCGGCACATGCAGCGGCGATACTCTCCACGGGGTCAGCCATGATGTGTTTGGATCCACGCAGCCAATCTCTCAACAGAAATTTGAGTCGAAGTTACCGGTGTAAGCAAAGGCTGAAGATAAGATGGTGGTTGGTCAATGAAGCAAGATCTGTCATGGGACTATTGGACATCAAGGGCCCCCAAAGTTCAGCTGAGAAAATCCAAATGGATACAATAACAAAGACAATTCTTTCATATGATCTAGATAATTCGTTTCAGAATGTGTTGTCCATACAAAGAAAAAAAAAAGTAGAATTTGATGGAGTTTCGAACAGCTGGGGGGAAGCTGTCACATGATCCCTTCCCCTCCTTGCACACACGAATCCTTTCTTTCTCTTCTCCTTCCCCCACTCTCTTTCTCCATCCTCCCCATCAACGGCGCGCCCTCCATCTACCTTTTCTTCTTAAATCAACTCATTCCCGTGGCGCGCTTCATTTTTCGCAATTAAATCCACCCAACATGGCGGAACGTTATATTCCTGAGCACCGCCGGACGCAGTTCAAGGCCAGAAACCAGTTCCGCCCCGATGAGCTCCGCCGCCGCCGTGAGGAACAGCAGGTGGAGATTCGCAAGCAGAAGCGTGAGGAGAACATGGCCAAGCGACGAGGTGTTCAAACAAGTGATGGCGGTATTGGTATCGGTGGTGGCATGGCTGCCGCCACTGAGAGTGACGATGAGGCCAGTGCTATTGAGAGCGAGGTAAGCTCAGTTTTTTTTTTCTCTATTCTTCACTCTTTCTTCCGGGTACACCCAAACTATGGTATTAGCGATTGTATACCACGGTTTCTTCACTAGTTACAACGTTTTTCACCCTTTGTTTTTGTTATGCGATCATCAACCATGGATTTTTTTTTCACCGCCCTGTTGCCATGGGGCCGACCCCTCCAACACGGGCCATTACTATGCGCAACCCCACTATAAAAATCTCAACCACAACGGGAAGCAAAAATAGAAGCTAACTTGATGAATTTTTATAGCTCAATGTCGAGCTCCCCCTGATGGTGAAGGGTGTCTTCTCCGATCAGGTTGAAGAACAGATTCAGGCTACCACCAAGTTCCGCAAATTGCTGTCCAAGGAGCGCAACCCTCCCATCGAGCGCGTTATCGAGACCGGAGTGGTCAGCCGCTTCGTTGAATTCCTCCGCTCCCCTCACACTCTGGTTCAGTTTGAGTCTGCCTGGGCCCTGACCAACATTGCTTCTGGTTCCGCCCAGCAGACCCAGGTTGTCATCGAGGCCGGTGCTGTGCCGATCTTCGTTGAGCTCCTGAGCAGCCCTGAGCCCGATGTTCGCGAGCAGGCCGTGTGGGCTCTTGGCAACATTGCTGGTGACAGCCCTCACTGCCGTGACTTCGTCCTGGGAGCCGGTGCTCTGCGCCCCCTCCTGAACCTCATCAACGATGGCCGCAAGCTGAGCATGCTCCGCAACGCTACCTGGACTCTGAGCAACTTCTGTCGTGGCAAGACCCCTCAGCCTGACTGGAACACCGTAAGTCTTCATCTTTGGTTTATTCATTGTTACTGTCTCTAACATTAGACTAGATTGCCCCTGCTCTCCCCGTCCTTGCCAAGCTCATCTACATGCTAGATGATGAGGTTCTGATCGATGCTTGCTGGGCCATCTCTTACCTTTCCGATGGTGCCAACGACAAGATCCAGGCCGTTATTGAGGCTGGTATCCCCCGCCGCCTGGTGGAGCTCCTCATGCACGCCTCCACCTCTGTCCAGACTCCTGCCCTCCGCTCCGTGGGCAACATTGTCACAGGTGATGATGTTCAGACTCAGGTCATCATTAACTGCGGCTCTCTTCCCGCTCTTCTGTCTCTCCTGAGCTCCACCAAGGATGGTATTCGTAAGGAGGCTTGCTGGACTATCTCCAACGTCACTGCTGGCAACTCCACCCAAATCCAGTCTGTCATTGACGCTGGCATCATTGCTCCGTTGATCAACCTGCTTGCCAACGGTGACTTCAAGACTCGCAAGGAGGCCTGCTGGGCCATCTCCAACGCCACCTCCGGTGGTCTCCAGAAGCCTGATCAGATCCGCTACCTTGTTTCACAAGGTTGCATCAAGCCCCTCTGTGACCTTCTGGCTTGCCCCGACAACAAGATCATCCAGGTTGCTCTCGATGGTTTGGAGAACATCCTGAAGGTCGGCGATATGGACAAGGAGGCCGGTCAGGGTGATGCTCACGTCAACCGCTACGCTCTCTTCATTGAGGAGGCTGGTGGTATGGAGAAGATCCACGATTGCCAAAACAACGCCAACGAGGAGATCTACATGAAGGCCTACAACATCATCGAGAAGTACTTCTCTGATGAGGACGAGGCTGCCGGTGACATTGACGAGTTAGCTCCCCAGCAAACCCAGACTGGCTTCACCCTCGGCACCGGTCAGCAGCCCGCTGGTGGATTCAACTTCGCCAACGGTGGTGACTCGATGGACATGTAAAGAAGTGGTATTTATCTTCCACCAATCACTTCTTCAACCTTGCCATCGTTGCTTTACGGTGGTGGGTTTTCTTACCTCCCTCTTTTTTTCTTGGGCTCCTTTTCACTTTTCCCATTCGACATTTCCTCCTCCCCATTTTGTGATTCACGATAAACAAGATTCACCATCATGTAACCCCTATCCCCCCTTTGTTTAGCATCCTCATACACAGGCGTATTTGTTTGCAGGATCGGTTCTTTTTTTTTATGTTAATGTCATCCTCTCACCCTACATCTCGATCTTCTTGTGTTTCTTGTGGGAGGTCTTGGTCCCCTACAAGAGACACTCGCTCGCTGGCATCAGGGGCGTGTCTGTCAGTGATCTTACATTGGAGATGTTGTTGCCTGCAATGATATAATCCGGTGATGAACAATATCACTGATAGTTCCCAACCAACCCACGTTTCCTGTCTATGGTTGTCGATTATGCTACAATTTCTACGTATCGATCGCAGTTTGCCAGAAACAAAAGCCAATTCTTTATTCAACCTACGTGTACTTCCTATCATCGTAAATCAAGGTATTGGTCACTACTCTTGCATATGAAGTTATTGCGGAGTCTGCGGTGTGGAACTTGAAGTCCAAGCCATATGTACCTGTCTCCTATCGAACTTAGTTGTCTGTGAGGTCTAGCTCCTGAATAGCTTCAGTCCCTCGTGTCAAGTTACAGTCATCAAGTCCTCAGCCGCACCGACAATTTTTCGGCTTACCCTACTTGTCCCAACCGGATCATCACCTTTAAGCTACCTTTCAACTCAAATCCACAACGCCACGTACGAGCGAGGCATGAGTTCGGCTTTATCATAAACCAAATTTACGACTAAAGATCATATTCCGGTTGTAAGAGAGGTGGAGTATGGGATTGGCTGGACATTAGAGAATTGATGTCACGACTGCAGATTCCTCTAGTGGGAGGGGTAAGTATGTAACTCTTGTGAGTTCAGCTGCCTATCAGAAGCCTCAAGACGATTTTATGACCGCGTAGTGGTGGTACTATATTGATTTGATAGCTTCAGCAGAAAGCAGAAGTAGACTGGCCGAAGCCCAAAGATGAATCCAATTGGCATGTCGATCAAATCAAGTCAACCACTTGATGCTAGAGTATGAACCTTTCCAGATCCTTGGAAACCCCCTCAGCGTACCCGAATGAAAATGCCAATAGAAGCAAAGGAAAGTTCGTCATAGACATATTGGACTGGTGGGTATTAAAGAGCGTGCGTCGTCCTCATTGGACGGTATTGTCTTGGGCCTAGCTAGACAAATACAGACAGTAACACGATCAAGAAGCCATTATTATCTCATCATGGGGGCCGATATTCCCTACGACACGATGGCCAAAAACCTAGAGGTCAGTCGATTGACTGGGCAGTTTGGCCCTAATTTTGCCTTCTTTGCCTGATGTGAACTTTTAAATAGGAAACCCTCAAAGGCGCGCGCAATGAGTCAGCACTGGCCGACTGGATGTACCGCAAGCCTGTTAATCAAGTACAGAAGCAGTACAGAAGCATAGCATTTACTCCGTACAAAAGTAGAAACAGTAAGAGATAACAAATCCTCGTAGCATACACAGCAGCCAGCCCTTATCCTTCCAGCAAGCATAAGCACAAAATTTTAGACATCGAATGTGAATGTTGAAAAGAACAGGTCCAACGACCCATAAACATAATAGTGATCGAGCTTAATCACCCATGACCTCATCCTCATCCGGTTCAGGTGTGCCATTATTCAACTCTTCCTCATCATTCTCATGATCAATGTCTTCCTCGACAAGTTCACGAGCACGCAGGTCTTCTTCGTCATCCTCTTCCGCGGGGTCAGCGTGGTCACTATCTTCATCGTCGATCCGCTCGGTGGACTTGAAGTCTTTGCCTCCGGTGCCACCGGGTGTCTGGCCCTCAGCTGCTGTCTTAGCAGGTTGTTTACCCTTGCTGCGGGGTGCGCTGCGAGGCTTGCGCTCTTCCATGTAGGACAAGACCTCGCGGTAATTCGGACCAAGTGAGTTCTTGTTCCGAAGCAAGCGCTTCTTCCATGTACCACGTTTTGAGCCAGAGGCATCGACGACCCGGCCGATGATAGCCAAGACGATCTTGCCGGTCAATTCGCATAAGCGCTGCTCGGCAATAATGCTGGCACGAAGACGCTCGTTAGCCACTGTTTCGTCTTCAGAGTCGTCGCCCTCTTCATCATCCTCAGATTCGTCATCGGATTCCGGTTCGTCGTCTTCGGCGAGCTCAAGATTCTTGCCGGATTTCTTGGCAAAAGTGCGCTCGGCAATGGCGTGAACCTTGGTGATGAGAGCCTGGGCCTCTGGTGAGGTTTCATGTACCAGGCCTTGAGTCTGGAAAATGATATCTTCGTCGTTGCCAATGCCTTGGCCTATGTTGCGGAGTGTGCTGAATAGTGTTTGGAGGTCGAGGTATGTAGTAGTGGCCATAAAGCGTACATCATCAAGTCCAGGACGGTTCTCAATAATCTGGAGAAGAGATGATGCGAAGGTCTCACGACTTTTTGTAAGCGCTTCAAAGTACGATGTGTTGAAAGATGCATTGCCCTCATTCAGGGCGGATGATAGAGCCTGTACTTTCCACATAAAGTAAAACAACAATGTCTTAATGCTTCGAGTCACCAGTTCGGTTTCTGTTCTGGCAATATCTTCATCGTCATCTTGTTCACGGACGCCACGTAAGGTGAGGTGAATCAGGGTATTGAATGGAGCTTCAAGATGATCTTTTTTAGACTTCGAATGCGAGGTTGGCACTGTTTCCAGAATCGCTGTACTGTCCGTGATACCAGCAAGGTTCGAAATGCGCGTCACAGTGTTGGTGAGTTCAGTTAAAGTAGGGTCAGCAATGGAGCTATTGTTTCGAACATCCTTCTTGCGAGACAAGGCACCAAGGGTCTCCACCAGGTCATCCCACAGCTCCTGCACCTTGCCTTCAACTGCATCTCGCATCTCCTCGGAGCTTTTCGCATGCAGCAAAGCCACGCTAGCTTCCGCCAAGACATCTTGATCTGAGTGGGTCAGGAATTGCCGGTTAATGTCTGTAAGCAAGGAAGAATACGCGGTGGCATCCTTCTGAAGATCTTGAATGGTATCGAGGTCTACCAGATGCTCCAGTCGTAGAACAGCGGATGCAGCTTCTGGGGAGGAGCCAAATTTGTTGAGAAGTTGTGGGATTATTTGAGCGAGATTGTGAGATATCTCTTCCTGGAGCTCAGGAATCTTGGCCGTTAGCGCCTTGACCTTTCTTCCCCGTTTGTCAATGTCGGATTTGGTAATTTCAAGTACCCGGATTTTGACAGCAGCACATAGAACTTCAAGCAAAATTGATTCTAGTCCCTCCTGCATCTTGTACAGATTGCGAACAACTCCTGTGGTATCATCCTCGGACGGGTCATCAACAATTTGAGAATGATCATACAGCAGATACCCAGCCAGAGACTGCCATTGGGAGAGCTCCTCCATGTGAGGGTAGATGGCTTCAGTTGCCAAAACAAATCGTGAATCCGCTGGGGCTCCCGAAAGGACGACTCGGGAGGTAATCAGAACCTCGGATTTTTCACCTTCCTGTGCATCATAGGTCTGGAATAGATCCGCCAGGCACTTAAACTTGATCCACGAACGCTTGGGTGACTCGTAATCGTCCTCATCATCATCAGGGAACATCTCATTCAGCTCCTCTTCCACCTCTTCTGTAAGAGACTCGACCGAATCTTGGACATTGACAACAAAGAACTGACCCGCAGTCTTCCGGATTCGAGGGTCAACATCAAAAACTAACCGACCAACAGAGTCGATATCGTCCGGCTCAAGCAATCCTCCATCTCGAAGATGAATAAGCAGTTGGACAGCAGCGATACGCACAGTAATCTCGGTATCCTGAACAGCAATCTCAACAATTCGTTGACGGAAACGCTCGGTAAAGGAATGAAGAACACCGATGTTATCCTTGTTTTCATAGAGAGGAATTAGTTGCGACAGGGCGATCAGCCGAGTAGTCGGAGTGACATCGGCAAGAGTCCATCCGATATATCGCAGGTATTGACCCTCAAAGAAGTACTCCCGATATGTGCGAATCCATCCACCCATGGCTGCAATACACTCGGCACGGATATTTCCGTCGATGTCGCGGTAACGGTGGACAAATACAGTGTCAAATCCGTCCTGCAATAGCTCGTCCAGTTGCTGCGCCTTTGCTTCCCCTTCCGAGATAGCCTTTTGGATGGCTTCGACCCTGCCCTTGTTCACAGACTTCTTTTTCTTCTCACTTTCAACTTGTTTACGAGAAGTCGACAAGGTCGTTGTAACCTCTCGCGCGATATCACACAAGGCGTTCATTATTGCCAGAGAAATGACGGTTGCCGTATGCCGAAATGGACGACAGCCGGCAGTTGACATAGAGGAAAGCCAAATTTGGATGTTCTCCATGAGGGACTCATCAGTGTACAAAAGCGAGGAATGGTGGAAAGTGTGAATGAGGGCAACTGTGAACTCCTCGAGCACGGGTTGGAAAGCCCCATACTTCTTTGCTCGAGAGATCAGCGGGTAGTCAGTGAACCCTTCCGCCTGGTAGAGGGCCTGCAAATCTTTGATTCGATTTGGGGCATGGTCCACATCCTCCACCTCTTCTGTACTGATCTCCAGATCAGCTCCGGTGCATCTGAGCACGAAGTTGATTAGGTCCCGAATTGCTGCTCCATTGTCGTGCTGGTATAGTTTTAGGAACTGCGCCGCTACAGTGTCGGCGTTGTTGCTCTTGCCAAAGACCTCAGCTATATCTATTTGTGAGATAGAACTTTGCAAGATTTGAAAGTCTCAACTTACCATAGAGTCCATGCTCGCCTGCCGCTAAGCTAGGTCGCACCTTGGGCTGCTTGCGAGGACGCGAGGCCGGGAGTTTGCCATTGAGGGCGGGCCGGAAGGCGAGTTGTCTTCCCACCCCGTTGCCTGCAACCTTTGGTTTCTTTGAAGCGTGTGATGTTCTCTTTGGCATGTTTTTCTTAGGGGCGGACTTGCGAGCGGCGCGTTGTTTTGCTTTTCGCTCCTCCTCGTCAGTATCATCGTCGATCGCATCGTCGCTCTCCGACTCTGAAGACAGGTTTTCATCATCCTCGGCGCCTTGCGCGTCCCCGCGCTTTCGTTTGCCACTGCCATTTATTTCAGAAGAGTGTGTGCTTTGCGAAAATATGTCTGGTCGCCGCGACACTCGACCAGATTTGCGCCGGTCCTGCGCGGGAGTGGACGACAGACCGCTAGGGCTGTCCACCTCCATGATGACTTAGGGTTTGTGTATAAAAGGTCTCGCGACTGTGGATACTAGGTAAAATTGTAAGTTCGGGGGATTTCCAATGGGAGGATGGTAGGGAAGCGCCGTACGTCAGGTCAACACGCGCTCCGTGGGACGCGCCGTGCAACGGCAGCAAACAAGATCGGACAAATTGACTAGGGAAGGAAAAATCCAGACCCAAGCGGATGTGATCAAATGGACAATTAAAGAGTCCAATCAATGCCCCATAAATATGTAGCAAGAAAGGGAGAAAAAAAAGGAAGGGCGCGATGAAGCAAAAGAGCGGGGGATCTGGAACAAAGTGTAAAGGAGGTTGACGCGCCTTGGGTTGACTGTTTGAATGCTTATTCATTTTGGATCATATAATTAATTTGATGACTGTTTTTCATAATTCAGGCAAGATGGCCGAGTTGGTCCAAGGCGTACGGTTCAGGTTCACCTGATCCAGATTTCCGTATCTCGTTTTCGGGGCGTGGGTTCAAATCCCACTCTTGTCAATTCTTTTTGTCATTTTGCTTTTGCCATCTAACAAAATAATCACTTGGGCATGCATGAAGAGTCTAATCCAAGATTTGGATCTATACAACCCTGGAATGTCCGAAAGTCTGTTGTTTGAACGCCGGAAATTACCCATTGTACCATGGAGTAGTGATGTGTACCGTTATAAGCGTATATACCCTCCACTTAGACTAATAAAGCCCTAATATTGAAGGGTTGTCATATTCGAAAACAAGAAAATTAGGCATTCTATTTTTCGCTCCCATTGGAGTGGCTATTCTCTGTGTTATTGGTCTTGCCATTCTCATGAAATTCATCGGAAATGCGCAGAGGAGTAGATGTTTTTGGTACAGAAGCGTGTTGGCTTGACAGCTAATGTTATTGCCAGCATAAGGAAACTCAAAACATCCGGTCTTTCCTCTTCTGCTGGCACTTTCTTGCACAAGCTTCCCGTTGAGGAACTTCCAGCTGGAGTCCATTGCCATAAGATCTATACCGGGCCCTTTCCTGAATTTTATTAAACGTGCTGCTCATCAGCCCGGTCTTGGTATTTGCCTGTACCCAGATTGAACCGAACTCCCGAGGTCGACAATTATATTGTGTTTTCTTCTTGACCCTCCTGAGTTAACGCAGCCCTCTTCGCAAAATTTTTTTTATGTCCGAAGTCATTTCTGCCCTTGCTTGGATTGGTCGAATCCAGACTTGTATGCATTCTAAGGTTGTCGGACGAATTCTCCACCTCGGTAGTACCCACGTGAAATCATACTACATGTACAGGTAGAGAATTCAGTGCTAATGACATATTCCCAAGGTTATATGTATACCCGTCGTCCACCTGGCAACAGTGGGCCACTTAGTTCCACAGTCAATTTCTCAGATCTTTTGAAAATCTATACGAACTAACGGATACATATTTTGGAGCAAAACAAATGGAAGAGGTGTTTGGAATTTCACTTTTCAAGGTTCTCAATTCACATTGACTTTACCTTTAACCCCCTTAGAGGAGTTGTCTTTACCCCATTTTTGGTGGCTGTGGATCGGACCTCGGGAGGACTTGGCGGATCGGTAGGATCGCCAGGGCTAGACAGGATCTTCCAGGTGAGCTGCGCTATTTAATTTTAGGGATCTCAAGAAAAAGGAGGAGTCAGCTGTAGCCAAGCATAATATTAGGACGCCAACCATCTAGACATTCTAATAGTTTCAGAGAGAATGAATGTTATGTGGTCCCTGATGTAGTTAGTTAAGTAGGTTATTGCACAATAGTGGCGCCTGAATCTACAGGCAATAAATTACATAAATGCCCCTCTTTGCCATATCACGGGATCGGTGATCAACATCAGTCATTGGTTGAATCACATCACGTGGTACTCAGGCCAGACGGACTATGGGGAAAAGTGTGTCATAGAAACTCCTCGAGGCATCCACTTCTTCCAAACCATTGTCTTCCGGTCTGACGGAGCCAAGGAAAATTGATGCACGAGAAGTCAGCAGGGACCCCGCTTGACACATAGTCCTAAGAGCAAAGCCACCCAGACCTTACGTGGGTTCCGCCATTGACTAATAGATGCCATCATCATCCGGGCTAAAATTATATACCCAGTCACGTCCCAAGATTCCGGGGTAGAAAAATTCTACACCTCTGCAACACATCATGCAGCTTGCATATCCTTGCATCACCCAGATACCTTACTGATTTCGACATTTATACGCCCTTGGCACATTCCTTAACTTGCCGCCTCGAGATAAAAACCTCCACTCCACCCCTAAAAACTCGAATCCTAGACTTCAATCTCTTCTCCCAAGGTTTCGTCACATCACAAACCGCCATTATGCGACAACCAACAATGCCTATCCGCTCGCCCTTTGAGTCTTCCATTGCGAAGCCGGGCCAGGGCAACGTCGTCCTCTCTCTCCTTCCGCCGAACAACCCCACCCTCACCACCCTCACCTACAAATACCCATTAAAGCTGGTCCCACGTGCACCAGGGTTCATCCCGGAGCCTGACCCGGCTGCACTATCAGACAAGTGCCCGTCAATGCCTGTCCACCTCTACCTCCTTACATATGGCGGCGGCCTTTTACCGGGTGACCATATTGAAGTGTCGATCAAGCTTGATCCCCGCACAAGAATGGTCGTGACCACCCCGCAAGGCAGCACCAAGATCTTCAAAACTGATTCCAGCCCCAAATCAAATTTTAACGTCATCAAAGGCCACCGCAAGAAGTTGCCCGCCAACGAAAGCATTTCAGACATGAGCCAGCAATCATTAGATGTGAAGATTGGCCGCCAGGCTGCTATTTGCTACCTCCCTGACCCCTCTGTACCATACAAGGACAGCCGCTATGCCCAGGTCCAATCCTTCACCGTTGACGCCACGGCGAAGGGTGATCAGCGTAGCAGTCTTTGTGTCCTAGATTGGGTAACACAGGGCCGCACATCGCGTGGTGAGAACTGGAACTTCCGGTACTGGAAGGGCCGCAACGAAGTCTGGGCTACAGACGAGAAAACTGGCAAGACTAGACTCTTGCTACGTGACTCCGTCATCCTAGACGACGAGTCTGAAGCTATAGATGCCGATGACGACGAGGATCTGGATTCAACCAATGTGAGCGGAGTAAACAGCCATACTGTCCACGCAGAAACTCCACCGCCTCAAGCTGGTCTTGTGCCATTGAATATCATCCGAGAACGGACACGGCCGCATGGTGTTGTGGGCACGTTGATTCTATCCGGCCCCGTCTTCGACTCCGTCGGTGCCTACTTCATGCACCAATTCACATCACAGCCGCGGATCGGCAGCCGAAATTGGGCTTCTGATTCGTCGGCACCGGAACCCTCGCTGAGCACCAATGATGACGTTACTTGGACAGCTGCACGCGTGCGCGCTGGTTTCGTGTTGGTTAAGTTTGGTGCCAAGGACTTTGAAACAGCCAAGGTCTGGCTTGGCGGTTTGCTCCGTGAAGAAGGCAGTATTGCACGCGAATTCGGCGAAGAGGCACTCTTCTGTCTTTGAGCGTTCTATAACTTTTGTCCCAAGTTTCATGTGCGAAAAATATTTTACCGATGATACCCCCAGAGCCTTCCCTTGTGAGGTTCTTTACATTCTGGGCCTCATTGGTCCCCACCTTTTTGATATTCTTGTACTGCTTTTTCAGCCATGCATGCGATTGAGTCATTTGGAGGCAGTCGCCTGAGTCGAGGCACATGAGGTGCATTACCAAAATTAGGTAGCGATGGGATGAATAAATAGTATAACTGCATTGCAGTCTTCTCAATTATGGACACTCAAGTTCTTGACTGTAATTAATTCCCAAGGGAATATTTATAGAAGATGCATAGCAACGAAAGTCTATTTAACAAGAATAAGGAAAAGGTATCTTAGAAAATCACCCCAACGCCCGTAACAAAACGCAAATAGACGATAAGATCATCAATCATCTATGCCAATCCCCAGACCTACCACCACCAATCGAAGATCCTAATCTTCCAATCACCTTTAGTAGCCCCAACCAAATCATCCACATTTAAAATATCAACACCCTCCTGCACAAGAATCCGCCAGATATGATTGCGCAAACTCCACGGCCAACTAGGTAGCCCCCAGTACCGCACTTTAAGACCATGCTGGTGCGCAATCCTCACATGGGTGCGAATCAAGTCGATCTGATGTTGCGAGAAATGAAACGGCCAGGGAAAGCCAATGGCAGCTTTGAAATCCACCGAAGCGTAATAGCTATTCGTAGAATTGAACGTATTCGCTGTTATAACATCTGGCATACCGGACAAGCCTTGGCCAAGACCCGTAGCTCCCTGGGCAGATAAGGATACCTTTCCGTCCGAATTGCTGGCATCAACCAGCTTGTCTAGCGGTGCATCAAAGAATACATCCCGGTACGTGGAGTTCGCAATGGTCAGATTAAAGGGCGTGTTGCCTGTTCCCACGACGGTAATAGGTCCCGGGACGACCTCATGCCCATTGAAATGTGTGAGATATCCCCTTTCTCGTAGCGGAGCTAACTGATCCATGACAGCAGGCCATGTCGCAGCGCCATCGGTTTTGAAGTCAATAAGAAAGATCAGTGTCTGTTCAGGGTCTGTATCGAAAACGCCATGCGGGGGCTGGCTAACAAAGCGCTGGAACGGGGTAATCGGGTTCTGATTCTCGAGGAGACGAACGAGCGGGTCAACATACATTGACCGCAGGGTGCGGCGCGATGTCAAGGATGAAGTGGTGTGTCCGACGTAGAGCTCGTTATCGAAGAGCCAGACGTCTGCCTCAACGCCAATGCAGCCTGCCTGTAGTGCGGAATAGAGAGGAACGCGGCGCCAGTAGTCATTGTGAGAGTGGCAGCCGAATGGAATGATCTCGCGCGAGATATCAGTGGGCCAGCGGGTGATGTCTGCGTCGATCTGGTCGCCAGTGCGAACCCAGTTGGGAGCTACTCGGTCATATTCGTCGGGGAAGAATGAGAGAACGATACCACAGGCGAGAGAAATAAATTGGATAATGCCTCTGGAACGATGGGTTATGGTCAGCTAATTAGATGTGGCTGGTTGGTCCAGGTCCAGATCGGGGCAAATTGGATCGGACCGAATTGAAATGATGGTCCGGGAGTTGCAACATACAGCATGACGAAGAATATGAGTAGCGCACGCGAAGAGTAGTACCAGTAGAGAGAGCGACACGATCGCTTTTTGTGCTTTAAATCATCTGATAGCAAGCGTATTTCCTCCTCGTCGTCTCCGTTGTTCCGGCGCGGTGAGAATGAAGGAATCCAGTCCAGCGTCTGACGCCACCGATTGGTACGCCCCACTTCACCTTGGGGAAAAGAGCGCACTTGTATGTTCGAATTGTTCACATCATCAAAATTCGGAGAATCTGTATAGGCTTCGTAGGGAACCTCTAGCATACTGTCGGAGGATTCACGGGCTTGTCCGCCTTGGGATCGGAATGTGACCGCCATTGCCGCGGGGAGAGATGAGACCGGGAGGTTGACAAGGGGAAAATTGAAGCTTCATTGGAGTTATGTATTTAATCCTGGTGCCTGTCATTTCTTCAAACCACACATTTGAATAAACCTTAGGGTAACCAAAGCTGGAGGCGGAACTCCAATGGGTCAAACCATGATGCGGAGATCAGGCAATTGATTGGACGGAGATAGTGGGACAAATGCACCTCAGAATACAGTCAGCCAACAAGAATTCGTCTTACTAGCCACCATCAGGTACATTAGACCGACGGCTATTTAATCCAGAATATCCAGATGGTTCAAAATACATCATGTGGAAGGTATAAACTAGGAAAATATCGGCAGATCTGCTATTTGGCGCTTTATATACAACGAATGCTATGATCCCAAACACCCACGGGTTCCACATAAACACAAGAGACCCTTTCTTTTTTTGTTGCAGGAAACAGAAAGACAAAACAAGATTCAGTACACCCTACTCTTGAAGAGACTTGACGTAGGCCGCAGCCCGCGCCTTGATGTCCTCGACAATCTTCTCGTTTCCATTTGCAGAAGCCAGCGTTTCCTCGTAAGCAAGCCACTTCTTGAACAGGAACTTGGCCTGCTTAGGCTTGAGCTTCTTGCTCGCGTCCACGCTAATGACACCCTTCTTGTTTTGGAGGCCAAGCACGCGCTCGAACAGACGACGGACTTGCTCCGCATCACCAGCACTGATTTCCAGATCCAATAGTACGTTCCACAGGTCAATGCGCTTAGGGAACGACGACAGAAGACCCTCGAATACGGTACGGCCGCGCTCCGAATCACCATTGGGTGACCGGAATTCCAGCTGCGCAAATTTGGAGGTGGTTTCCACGTGTGTGTGCGCGGGGAGCGACTGCAGAGCACGTCCGAGAAGACCGCGGCCACGATCGGGGGCGTTCAGGGTATCGAAGAGGAAGGTGGCGTAGTTGAGGAAGAACTTGGGAGACTGGTTCGAAATCTTCTTCTTCATGGCGGTTCGGAAAAGGTCGTCCGCTTTCTGTAGGGAATGATTAGTGCCAAGCTATAGATTTTTATTAGGGAATGGGAAACATACCTCGTTCTTTCCGGACTGAATGTAGATGCTGATCATGCGCTCGTAGATCTCTTGGGGGTCGTTGAACTGGCATGCACGCTTGAACACCTCCTCGAGGCTATCGTCGTCACCATATGTGTTTTCCATGTTCAACAAAGCCACCCAGATGTTCAGCTTCTCAGAATCCTGACCCATAGTGATGGTGCGGAGCGCACGTTCGGCAATAGTGCGAGCCTTTTCAACCTCACCCAGCTCCAGCTGGAATGCCATGTACTGCAGCCACAGAAGCGAAGAGTCGGACTCACCAAGGAGAAGACGCTCGTAGTCAGCAACGGACTGTGGGCCGTTGGCATCCAAGTCGCCGGTGCGGTCAATCTGGATCTCAGCCTTGCGGTTCTTCTTCTTCTTCTTCTTAGAGCCTTCATCGTCGCTGTCGGTGTTTGCGGCCTCGGTTGCGTCCTGGGCGTTGCCGCTCCAGTCGAAACCAGAAGTACCAAGCCCGCCAACCTTGGAGGGCTTGGTACCGGACATGGCGACATCCTCATCACTGTCAATCTCATCATCCTCATCCTCATCATCATCCTCCTCGCTATCATCTTCCACATCAACACCTCCCATGGAGACATCATCATCATCGCTGGCATCTTCAAGCTCGACACCGCCAGCATCGTCACTCATATCCTCGTCTTCACTCTCCTCATCCTGGAAGTGGGAGGCCTTGAGAGAGAAGGAGACCTTTCCTTGCTCGCTATCGATCTTGATAACCTTGGCCTTGACAACATCGCCTGCATCATACAGTTTGCGAGCATCTTCCACACGCTTGTCGGCCATTTCACTACGGTGACAGAGACCACTGACGTTCTTAGATCCATCGACAACAACGAAAGCACCGAACTCCTCAACCTTGCGGACCTTGCCAGTGACAATCTGGCCAACCTTGAGGTCTTGCAGGGTGATCAAAGCCTTGAAGTTGGGGTCCAAGACAGACTCCTTCAAGCTGATCTGCAGTTTACCTTGCTCGGCATCTGCCACGATAACACGGCCCTTAACAAGCTGGTCCATCTGGAAGGCATCCTTCCATTCCTTGAGGTAAGAATCGGAGAGATCAGAGACACGAACGTAGGCAGTGACATCATGACCAACAGCCACAAAGAGGCCAGAGTCAGCAACGCGCTTGACAAAACCGCGAACGATATCGTTGGGCTTGAGGTCCTTGATAGAAGAGATTTCACGATCCTGAACGGGGAGAGAAGAGCTCATGACCTTAGAGGGACGAAGAGACAGGTAGATCTTCTTGTGTACCTTGTCGACAGCAACAACACATGCCCGCAGAACCTCGTTCTTTTGGTGCGCGGTGGGATTGGCCTTGGAGTAATCATCGGCCAGGTCCAGCATATCCACGGCACCAACAAGCGCATTATTGAGCTGCATGATCACCTGCTTCTCAGTCACCTTGGTAACACGACCAGGCAAGATCATGCCGACCGAGATGTCGTTGAAGGAAAGCTTATCAATGCCCTGCTTAGCAGAAAGATCCAAATGACCCTTGTCGGCGTTGACAGCCGTGACTTGGACCTTCAGTGCGGATCCAATGGGGAAGTTCTTCTCAACATCTGTCAGAAGAGACAAGTCGTCAGATGCATCCATGAAACGGAGTCTGCCGCGAACATTGGGGGACAGGTTGATCCAGAGGCTGTCTTCGGCAACGTTGTTGACAAAGCCCATCCAGGATGATCCGACCTTGACATTCTCCATGTTCAATGGCTCGGGGTTGGCAGCCTTGAGGAAGCTTGGCTTAAGAGAGAGCTCGAAAACCGGGTACTTGCCGCTGCGGTGGGAGATAGGAAGGAACTTGTGGTTGCGAGCATCGTGGACACCCAGGATTCTGGCAGAGAGATCCTGCTTGGCCTTGAAGAATCGGAGGGGTTGCTTGCGATCCTTAAGATCCTCCCACTTGTCGTAAACCTCAGACACGTCAATACGGCCCTGGATGTGATCTGCAAGCTGGACATTGAGCTGGGTATGCTTGATGGAGACAACCTTGCACTTAACAAGCCTGCCAAAGGTGAGGTCAGAAATGGTCTTGATAGTCTCATCGACTGGGTTCACCAGGGCGATTTCTGGCTGGTTGAGAGTCTTGGTCTTCTTCATATTCTCTGTGGTCTCGGCAGACTTTTGGCTCAAAATGAAGCGCTGGACGTCACTTTCAACAGAGTGAACTGTCACAGTGATGGTCTGGCCCTTGGAAACACCGAATTCCACCTGAGAAAGGTTGGCATCTTCGATCAAACGCTTGGGGACAAGACCGGTCAGGCCACCCAGGAATTCGACGAACAACCCAGCAGGAGTGATGTTACGGACAAAACCGGTAACGGCTGTGCGCTCCTTAAGGTCAGTGAATTTACTGGGCATAGACTTTTGCTTGGAGGCCTTCTTCAGGCTGGCTCTGGCAGTGACTCGAATAAGGCGATGAGCGCGCTTAATATCGAGAACCATAAGATCGTTCAGCTTCTGGCCGACACGAATCTTCGACAAAGTAGAGCTCTGCTTAGACGGAGAGCCATCAATAATGTGCTGCACGTCCAGACGAGCCACAAGTCCTGATTCGTCAAGCTTGAGGAGAAGATCATCGTTGGTCTTCTCGAAAACAGTTCCAGCGACGAGCAGACCAGGGTGAATATCTTCAAAGGCCTTGCGGTACTTATCAGTAAAAGTAGACGGGTCCTTGCAAGAGACTGCAAGTCTACCCTGGGATGCATCCACACTAAGAGCGTGGACATTGACAACCTGACCCAGCTTGAAATGCTGAGTGGGGTCCTTGATGTAGGCCTCACTCATTTCAGAGACAGGAAGGAAACCACGGATTGTGCCATAGAACTGAACAACGGCACCGTGGGCCTGGATGTTGACAATGGTTCCGGGAGACTGAGCACCAGCCAGGATATCCTTGTAATCTTTCCAAATGGCGGATTCACTGTTCAACAAACTCTTCTTCAGTGTCAATCGAATTTGACGCTTCTCCAGGTTGACGGACAAGATTCTCGCAGAGATCTTCATGCCCTCCCTAAACTTCTTCTCTGGGTGCTGGAGTTGAGAGTCCGCAAAGTGCATGGACGGAACAAGACCAGAAATACCATCTGCAAGGCCAACAATCAAACCATCCATACCGGTAGGTCCGATCAAGATCTTGTCAACCTTTCCTTTAACAATGGCACCGACGGTGACATCCTCGAGGCGGAGGAAGGGTTGCTCAATGACGGTCTTCTCAAAAGAGAGGAGGTAAAGATTGTCCACAGTATTGTAACCGACAATTCGGGCTTCGTGAGTGGCACCGACCTGGAATGCACCTTCGTCATTCGAGATTGACTCGACTTTTCCATCTGAGAGTCTTGAGATGTGGACGAATCCAATGTGCTTGGTTTCGCCAATCTGGACGTACACACCCATACCGGGATCGACCTTGATAACCTTGGCCTCGGGGACAATTGCGGAGATAGCAGGTGCGTCGGGAGACGAACCAGGACCGTAGGACTCGGAGGAGAGTTTGAGAACATGGTCTAGGATAGAAAAGCCAACCTTGAAAGGTTCAGCAGACGGGAAAGTTGAGATAATGCGACCCTTGATCTTGGCTCCCATCTTGTACTTCCGCACCAGGTCAACCTTTCCATCATTGGCGCCGGATTGAACCAGGTCAACAGTTGCATCAAGCATGCCCATGATCTTTCCCATGAGGCCATTCTCAGTGACCTCAGTAAGAAGAATCTCAGCAGCGACACCGGGGAGGAAGGTGCCGATTGTGGGGGCTGCACTGAGGAAGTGGGACTTCTTGATAGAAGCGGCGGACTGAAGGTTGGTAGAAAGCTTGATAACGTTGCCGCTGGAGTTCTTGCCAGTGACCATACACAGGTAGACTGATCCTTCCTTAATACTGTGGTAATCAACGCGAGGGTCGACTTCCTTTGAGGACATGAAACCCTTCAGGTCTGCGCCCTCAATGCCAAGGTCCATTACCAGACCGTGGTCTTCCACACTGACAACAGAGGCCTGAACAGCCGACTCAACCACCAAGTCAGATGTGGAGAGGCCGGTGTTGGCTTGTCTGGGATCAATTGAAAGCTCGATACGCTTCTTGCTGCGAACGCCAGCCTCGGTAGCCTCGGTGCCGGTGGAAACGACATAGGTACGGAGATACTGGCCGATGTAGAAGTAGTCTTTGAGGTCGATAGAGTCTTCATCTGAGCTGTCCTCGTCATCGCTTCCCTCGTCATTGAGCAGCTTCTCAATCTTATCATCGAGAACCTTCGAGACGGAGGTGAGAGGAACGAAGCCAACAAGGTTGTTCGGTAGAGAAACTGAAATTTCGTGGGCGTTGATGCTTGTTATTTGACCGAGGATCATGGATCCAGCCACAACGTGCTGTAAAAGTTAGTTATACAACCCAGGCTAATTTGTAAGGATAGGACCTGAATACCTTAAAGCTGAGGGACTCAATGCGAACACCCTTCTCCGACTTTTCCGTATCATCAGACTTCTTGCCCTTGGTCTTCTTCTTGCGCGACTTCTTGGCGGGGGTTGTGGTTTCTCCGTCTTCCATCTCATCGTCTTCATCCTCATCGTCGTTTTCGTCGTCCAATTGGCGGGTGGGTTTCTTGGGTCCCTTAGATCCCTTTTGCTCGAATAAGACATCCTTGGTAGCTTGGATCTGAATTTGTTTGCGCTCCAATGGGGTCAAAACACTAGCACCACCACGAGGGAAAGAAGGCTCATCATCACGGAGGACAGAGAGCTCCGAAGCCTTCGGGGCGGTATCCTTGGGCTTCTGATCTTTGTACTCCTCTGCACCAACCTTGGCGCGTTTCTGAGGTTGACGGGTAGCTGTTTCTTCGGGGGCGTTCCCCTTGCGCTTTATCGGCGCCATTGTTGTGAGGCAAGACCGAATTGTAAACGGTTGAGGAATCTCGCTGTATCGCAAAGGAAAAAAAATCGAAAAATCCGATTCTGCGCGGCAGAATTATTAGCGGTGAGCGGGAGTGGGGACCGCCTTTTTTACAAGACAAAGACCGGAACTCGAACTATGTAAATACAGTAAATAGTAAATAATGTACATATTTACCCTCGATTTTAGCATAGATGATCAAGACAATGTTTTCAAAGCCGGATTTGATTATTGATTCTCATTGACTTTTAATTGTTTAGGTGCATATATCGTTCTATATTCACATGTCAAGTTGGAACAGCGTATTGCGTATAGTTTCATAAAGCGTGTGGTACAGAAAGAATGGGAATAAAAGTTTTCTTTCAGATGACTTTGATGTAAAGAACCCAATAATCAAAAGCGTAACATTTTTGTCAAATCCGCCTAAATAGGTATAATGACGATGCTCCAGGTGTCAAAATTCGCGCTCCGCGTCACGTCCAGTGCGCGCAACACGACCCGCTTCCATCTTACCCCCTTGGGCCGAATCTTTTCACCACCCAAATGCCTCCCGCCTCTTCAATTCTACTTTCTACCGCCCATGCACACAATGGTTCGGGTTTCTGGTCTTCCTGAAGTACCTCAATCGGAACCTATTTTACCTACTTCGCATCGAGAATATTACTACCCTCAAATTCCATCCTCCCCACCTTCTGTCGCATCCGATCTAGGCAGTGGACGAAAACTTCGAAAGCCGCCCACTGTCACACCGCGGTCTTTTAGACGCTTCTTCACCCCACGATCTCTGCTAAACAGTGGAAGTAATGCAAGTGTAAAGACAAGTCGCCAGGCCCTGCGGGTGTTGAATTCGCCGGCCGTCAACCGCCTCGGTCCCGCTTTTACTCGATCGTCCGATGGCCGTCCTAGAAGCCCGTTTGATGGATTACCAGAAGAGACATTCCGCACACCAAGCCGGAAGCGAAAACACTCTTTTTCGTCGGTTGCTTCCCCGCTGCAATCGTCCCCATTGAAAAAAGTCCGTGTGCGATCTCCAGGCAACGAAGCCGAACAGAGGACAACAATCCGTGATATTGATGTGACCCGGGGACGCTATGATGAACCTACTTCACCAAGCCCGCCGAAACGCCGACCTGTCTCGCCGGTCACCCGCTCGCGAGCCTTACAGACATCTGGATCTTTGTTCATGCGATCACTGCGGGGGGGTCGCGCCAATCGACTCACTATCCGTTCAACAGCTGGCGCAGGTTTGTTTCCCGCAGATATCATCCAATGAACTTCAGCTTATATTATTGACAGGATGGCAAGATCTCACGTCGGACTTCCATACACGACCAGAAGACCGCTACTCATGTGCTAGTTATGCCAATGAGGGACAGTTGGCACTTCCATTTTGCAATGCTGCCTGTAATAGTAAGCATCTTACCCCTTCTTTAGATGGCTCAAGTAATTTCTAACCTTTGACAAGCAAACTCACTGGTAGCTGTGGGTGATGAAGAGGGTGGTATTCGATTGCTTGATTCGTCTAAAGACGATGAGCGAGGATTCTCTAGTGCATATCTTGGATTTCGTCCTCATATGAACTCGATTATGGACATGGAGTTCTCATCCGATGACATGTTGCTAGCTACAGCCTCTGGAGACCAAACATCTTTAATTATCGACATGACGACACAACGGCCAATTCACTGCCTGTCCAACCACGTGTCGTCGGTAAAGCGAGTCCAATTCCAGCCCGGCGCCAACAATAAAGTCCTCGCCACATGCAGCCGCGATGGCAACGTCAACATCTGGGATCTTCGCTGCAAAGGGGTTGAACGTCCTGCACTACAGGTTCGATGCTCTCTGGAATCGGAAGCCGAAAGCCCATCCGCACCAGCTCGCCCCAAGATGACCTATCCTCAGGTTCTGAATACTATTCATGGTGCGCATGCGTATACCACACCCCAAAAGCCAGCCATGGACAAGATCGAGCCGCCTTCCTTCGGCCGTTCAGATATTACCGTCACCTCTTTGGCCTTTCTTCCCCTTGGTCAAGAAAATCTTTTCGTCACCGCATCCGAGGCAAGCGCGAGTGTTCGCCTTTGGGACTTGCGAACTGCTCACAATAACCGCCGTGGTCGACCTGTTCTCCCATTATCCACGACCCGGGAGCCTGATAGCCATGTCAAGTACCGCCGCTTTGGCCTTACTTCAATGGCATTCGGAGGCGACGGTGCAAGGCTATACACACTCTGTCGAGATGGCACTGTTTACGCATACTCGACTTCCCACCTGGTGCTTGGACACGCACCGGAGCTTTCTCTCAATAATGACCGTCCCCGACGCTCTGGCGGCTCCGACAAAGAAGGCCTTGGACCTTTGTATGGATTCCGTCACCCTCGTCTCCAGGTTTCTTCGTTCTACGTCAAACTCGCAGTGCGCAAAGCGGTCAATGACCGCCAAGAAATGCTGGCAGTAGGTAGCAGTGATCATTGCCCACTACTCTTCCCCACCGATGAACGATTCCTCCAGCCCCCCGTCAAGACCTACCCCGAGGATGATCTTCCTCGCGGTACATCTCTGTTCACCACCCGATCGGGACTTCGACGTACCAACTCCGGACTTGGTTTATCTGGGCGCCTAGAGGATACCATTCCTATCCACCAATCTGGCACTCCTCTTGTCGAAGGCCATCAGAAAGAAGTTACTGGAGTGTCATGGACTGTTGATGGTGAGCTCATTACCGTCAGCGACGATTACAGTGCTCGATGCTGGCGTGAAGGTCCCGAAGCTCGCGAACTTCGCAACAATGGGGATACCGAGGGTCGACGGTGGCAATGCGGCTGGGCTTCTACGACAGACTCATATGATGACGAAGATGAATGATTTCTGTGCAGGGCTTCTTTCGACATTTCATGCTTGTTTCACATTTTCACGGCGTTAATTTTACGATTACCTTTTGCATATCCCTGGCGCTTGGCAGGTGCATTTTATCTGTTAGCGAACATACCCGTCTGCATTTTTGTTGCATTTATCGGGGGTTCTTGTTGGTCTGTTGTCTGGATTTTGTGTTGATCGTGAGGATTTGGTAATCATTACGGATACAAGTGTTTCCATCTCAGAACCGTCATTTCCTGACTTCCATGGCATACAATTTAATTAATTAACTGATGTAAATGCCATATTTCAACAAGCCATCCGAAGCTGTAAAACCTTCTCCATAGGTGAGGTTACGATAAGAGATGGATTAGCTGATAAGCTGACCCGAAAAAAAAGTTCCGCAGCCTCCAACCTTCAACCTCCAACCCTCCACACTCCACAGCAATCATGCCTCATAAGCACAAGAGACGCGAGCGAGATGCTTCGTACGTATTACTCTAAAATTTCTCTAAACGCTTGATCTAATAACGCTACCTAATCCAGGCAATTCGATCTCCCACCTTCCATGATCGCCAAGCCACTTCCTGTGCGCGAACAGCAACCCAAAACTAAGAACGGCAAGAAACCCCAGCAGAAACAGGCCGATGGCAAAAAGCCATCAGGCCCAGCAACCAGTCGCCGCAAGGGTGCAAAGGAGGATGACACCCCGAAAGCCTTCCAGCGCCTGATGCAATTCAGAACAACCGGCCGACGGGCGCCCTCGGGTCTAGAAACCGGCGAGAAAAAAGAGAACAAGAAGCGCAAGCGCGAGGAAGCAGCAGATACCACGAAAGGACCTCAGAAGAAACATGCCACCACACTCTCCGAACAAGCTGCGTCCAGTGGTGCCGATGCCAAGAAGGCCATGCCGAAGATTCTACCAGGCGAGAAGCTAGCAGATTTCGCGGCGCGCGTTGATCGTGCGATGCCGCTTTCGGCGATTACCAAGTCGGCTCAATCTGGTGCGCCTGGGATTCGGACTCACAAGATTACGAAGCATGAGAAGCATCTCCGTCGGTTGCAAGAGGGGTGGCGGAAGGAAGATGCGCGGATCAAGGAGAAGGAGCAGGCTGAGCGAGAGGAGAGGGAATTTGAGATGGGTGATCAGCTAGAGCTGTTGAATCAGTGGGAGCAGGAGATGCGGGGTGGCAAGGCTAAGAAGAAGAATCTTGTGAAAAAGAAGAAGGGCGGTGATGATGCTGGGAGTGATGATGATGATCCCGATCCTTGGGCGAAGCTGAAGAAGCGGGATAAGGAGCGGAAGGCTAATCCGTTTGAGGTTGCTCAGGCGCCACCTACTTTGGCGAAACCAAGGGAGATCTTCAAGGTTCGTGGTGGTGCCAAGGTGGACGTTGCCAATATTCCCAATGCCGTGGGAAGCTTGAGGCGACGAGAGGAGTTGGCTGGAGAGAGAAGGAATATTGTGGAAGAGTACCGTCGCTTGATGGCCGAGAGACGTGGAGGATGAAGTAGATGAACCTGTCAATTTCGTATAAAATAACCCCTGTTGACCTTGCTGCACATGAGATGCCATTTCAATATTGCCATTACTGCTAGAAGGGCTTGAAATAACACATCGATCTATTATTCCACCCCGAAGAGCTTTAATTTACCATCTTGTAAGAACAAAATTATATGCAGCCGCAGTGGAATCACTCAATCCACTTGCGATTTCATTTCTATGTAACATTCAATTACTGCCTTTTTTTGTTTCGTAGGAACACCGTGATAGTCAACGCCATATCGGAATCTAGTGGCCGTGGCCGTCATCCTGCGGCTGCTCGGGGTCCAGCTTGATGATTGTGTCAATACGCATAATGGCAATGCAAGCCTCAACAGCAGACTTGAGCTGCTTAATCTTGCTCATGCTAGGCTCCAAAACACCAGCTTTGAGGGTGTCGTGGACGCGTCCCTTAGCCAGGTCAAGACCGTAGTTGCGGTATGTCTTCTTCTTAGCGATGGCCTTCTCTTCCTCGTTGGCGTCACCGTCCTGCACACGCTGTGACAGGGCGTGGCGAACACGGAGCTGGGCCACCAGCTCGGAGGAGTCCTTGGCAGCGTTCACAGCCAGGGTCTTGGGAATAACGAGCAGAGACTGGGCAAACTCGCCAATGGCAAGTTGCTCGCGAGAGCCCTAGAAACATTGTTAGAATGAGTAACAAAAGAGATATAACAACACATACCACTGTGACGGCAAACTCCTCGAGGTAGATGTGGAGAGCCGTTTCAACGGCACCACCACCAGGCACAATGCTGCCGCTCTCCAGAGTGCGCTTAATAGCGCAGAGAGTGTCGTGAACAGAGCGCTCCATCTCATCCAAGCTGAACTCGTTAGCACCGCGGAGGATGATAGAGGCAGAGGAGTGGACCTTGGTGCCCTTGACCAAGATGCACTCATCATCCGAAATACGCTCCTGCACAACCTCCTCTGCGGTACCGAGGTTGGAAGCCTCGAACTTCTCATCACCGTTCAGGTCAGACAAGGAGCTGACTAGGGTAGCACCGGTAGCCTTGGCAATGCGGCGAAGATCCTCCTTCTTGCAGCGGCGAACGGCCATAGCTCCCTTCTCAACGAACAGCTTCAGAACCATATCATCGATACCCTTGGTTGTGAGAACGACATTGGCACCCGACTTCAAAATCATATCAACGCGCTCCAGAACAATGCCGGCCTCACGCTCACGAATCTTCTCCAACTGATCAGGGTCATCCACTGTGATTTGAACACCCAGCTTCATGCGCTCCTTCTGCAAGTTCATGTCCAAACACGCGATCTTGGCGTCTGTGACACGGGTAGTCATGGCCTGGGAGGCAACAGTGCAGTTCAGGGCATAACCGTTGACGAGAACAGACTCAGTAACACTCTTTCCGTGAGCCTTGAGCAGGTTCACGGCCTTGACAGGGTACTTGACCTCGCCTCTCTGGTTTGTCGACTTCACCTGCAGCATAGCGTCCACACACATGTTCGCAAAGAAATCCGAATCGGAACCAATGATCTTACTGGACATAGAGGTCTTCGCAATGCTGATCAAGCTGTCTCTGCCCAGGTTCTCCACATTTGTTGAAATGTTCTCGTTCATGTACTTCACTGCCTCCCGAAGCGCAAGGCGGTATCCGTTGATAATTGTGGTAGGGTGTATCCGGTTCTTCATCAACTCGTTTCCTCTCCGCAGAAGCTCGGAAGCAATCAGGACGACGGAAGTAGTTCCATCTCCAACCTAGAGTACGTCAGTAATGAGGCTTCGAGATATCCGATAGATGTAGAGCCCGTACCTCCTTATCCTGCTGCTGGGCGAGGTCGACAAGGATCTTGCCTGCAGGGTGCTCAATGTCAAGTAGGGACAGAATGGTAGCGCCATCGTTCGTCACAGTCACATCCTATATCATAGAGAGCAATGTTAAAAGCTGCCACACAGCTCTGCGGGGAAGTTTGATGTTCCATACCCCTATGTCGTCCACCATCATCTTGTCCAACCCGGAGGGACCGAAAGAGCTCTTGATGACATTTGAGATAGCCTGAGTCGCGAGAACTGCAAAAATTTGGTCAGTACAATTGTTTGAATTGAGAGACACCATCCAACATACCATTCTGCTCCCGAACATCAGCACCGGTGATTTTCTGACCACCCAAGACTGTGTGCGAGATCCGTTAGTCAAGTTCAGCTTGCATATTCGAGAACCTAAAGTACTGACAGAGAGTGTCCGCATTCCGCGGAGCCTGGAAGATTCCTGCCATGGCTAATTCAAGGAATTAATAGAGCAAAGTGGGATGGCGAAGCTCTCTTGTCGGAGACGGGGGGTTTTGGTTGAGTTGACGCTAAAAGTTCTGCCGAAGCGGTGTCGATGATACATCCCACTTTCAGATTTAGAGTCATACTTATTTTGTGCTTTCTTCTTCTACTTGCGCATTCAACTGTTGTTCTTTTTTGGAATTCCTTGCCAGGTGTTCATTTCCAATCATCATGGCCGACCAAACCCCCAGCGATGCTGCCGCCCCGGGCGCTGCTGCCACTCAAACCCTGCCTGATCGCACCCAACCCCCCGCCGATAACGCGAATGAGTCTAAGAATGCTGCCAAGAAGGCCGCAAAGGCCGCTAAGCTGGCTGCCGACAAGGCCGCGAAAGCTGCAAACAAGGGAAATGCCAAGCAGGAGCCTAAGAAGGCCCCCAAGAAGAAGGTTGAGGGTGCTGCTTTGATCGGAATTGATGTCTCGAAGGAGGAGGATTTCCCTACATGGTACTCTCAGGTTCTCACTAAAGGTGACATGCTTGACTACTATGATGTGTCTGGGTGCTTTATTCTGAAGGTATATCTAACATGATTCGCTCTTTTGTGTGCCATTGCTAATGTATGTGCGCATTAGCCTGCTTCGTACTTTATCTGGGAGGAAATCCAACAATACTTCAACACCCGTATCAAGAAGATGGGTGTCAAGAACTGCTCTTTCCCGCTCTTTGTGTCTGAGGATGTGCTGCAGCGTGAGAAGGATCACATTGAGGGATTTGCTGCTGAGGTCGCCTGGGTCACCCATGCGTAAGGACTCTAATCTCTGTCAATTGTGGCTAATTTGGATATCTAACTTGATTATTTTAGTGGATCTACCCCTCTTGAAAAGAAGATTGCCATTCGTCCTACCTCGGAGACTGTTATGTACCCCTACTACGCCAAGTGGATTCGCAGTCACCGTGACTTGCCCCTGCGCCTGAACCAGTGGAACTCCGTTGTGCGTTGGGAGTTCAAGAACCCCCAGCCTTTCCTGCGAACCCGTGAGTTCTTGTGGCAGGAGGGTCACACCGCTCACTTAACTGAGGCCGCCGCCCGGGAGGAGGTTCTTCAGATTCTTGACTGGTACGCCGATATTTACTCTGAGCTCCTCGCTGTCCCTGTCGTTAAGGGCCAGAAGACCGAGCGTGAGAAGTTCGCCGGAGGTCTCTACACCACCACAGTTGAGGGCTACATCCCCGCTACTGGTCGTGGTATCCAGGGTGGTACTTCCCACGGCCTGGGCCAGAACTTCAGTAAGATGTTCAACATTACCGTGGAGGACCCCTCTGCCAAGCCTGACGAGAAGAAGCCTGCCCTCAATGTCTGGCAGAACTCTTGGGGTCTGTCGACCCGTACCCTGGGTGTCATGGTTATGATCCACAGTGATGACAAGGGACTTGTTCTCCCCCTCGCATCGCTGAGACCCAGGTCATCATCGTCCCCGTTGGTATCACCGCCAAGACCACCGACGAGGAGCGCGAGAAGCTCAACGCCGAGGTTGACGGTCTTGTTGCCGTCCTGACTGCTGCCGGTATCCGCGCTGAGAGCGATAAGCGCACCGAGTACTCCCCTGGCTGGAAGTTCAACCAGTACGAGCTCCGCGGTGTTCCTTTGCGCCTGGAGTTTGGCCCTGGCGAGTCTGCCGGCCACTTCGTTACTACCTCTCGCCGTGACATTCCTGGAAAGGATGGCAAGGGCTCTATCCCCATTCCTGAGCTGGCCACTGCCGTCCCTGCTCTCCTGGACACCATCCACAAGGATCTCTACACTCGTGCCGATGCCGTTTTCTCTGCTCACCGCAAGCAGATCACTAACTGGGACGACTTTGTTCCTGAGCTGAACCAGAAGAACCTGCTCATCGTCCCCTCGTGCCTGACTGAGGAGTGTGAGGACCAGATCAAGGAGATGAGCGCCCGCAAGGCCGAGGAGGATTCTGGCGAGGCCGAGGACTCCAAGGCTCCCAGCATGGGTGCCAAGTCCCTGTGCATTCCCTTCGAGCAGCCCGCCGAAGAGCTTGGTGCCTGTATCAACCCCAAGTGCAAGAACCCCGCCCAGAAGTGGTGCATGTTCGGCCGTAAGTTTCTTCACCCTCATCAAATCTACACAGTCACTAACCGCATATGCAGGCTCTTACTAAACGGATAAACCCGAATGCGAGGACTCTTCTCCACCTTTCAGTAGGGCGAGATAGTCACCGTTTCTCATTACGGTCCGTTTGGGACCACCAAGAAAAAAACCCTAAAATCTTTTATACATATCTTCGCGGGTTCGATGTATCCATATGGTACGCGATTTATGGCATTGTGGAGTTGAGACCGGGGTTGGAATGAGCTATGAGAAGGAATGAGTGATGTTTTCATATTTTCTTACCAATCAATAAAAAAATTTAAAATCAAAACAAGTCGTAGCGCTCATATTCATATGAAGTAATATGAATATTAATAAGCAGAACTATCACTCGGCATCGAAAGAACGTCGGTGGTGCTCAGACTCGTCGATCATCGATTGCTCCTATATTGAAATACAAGAGAAATAGTCCTACTCCACTGGTTTCGTGTCGAGCTGACAGTACATGTCAATTATGATACAAGTTTGCATAAATTATTGGAAACTCCTGCAACAGGGAGATCAAGGAAGAGCCACCTATGGATATAATGTACAAGATGAAGTGTGGGACAGGAACGCCATCCAGACGATGCACCGGACGACAAAAGATAAGTAAAGTTTGAGCCACGTTTGATGGCAGTAGATGACGGGAAACAGGAAAGAGTGCAAAGATGGACTAGGGTTAATGTAGGATTAGGGTGAGAGTCAAGAAATAGGGAGATAATAGGATGAAACCCAGGGAGAGGGCATGGACGAGATAGTTGTAGATGTAGGTGTGCAGTCATGCAGAGGAAAAGAATAAAAAGAATGAAGCTTATGATATCCAGATCAACCACTTCGAAGGGATTTTAAAATCGCTAGAAACAGAAGCCAAAGAGACCATGTAGCTTTTGGAGGTATCGTGCAAAATCATTATCGTGCGAGGGAGAACAAAACAGACTTTCCTTTCGTGGGGAGGGACGGCCAAAGACTGCACTAGTAAGTTTCGACAGAGCGAGTTCCACGAAGTTGCATCCTCGCACGGGACAGCGGGGACAGGCTGTTTTCGCAGAAAGGCTGGGTTGGGCGGGCGCGACGGAGACGCTGCGGCCAGTTCATAAGGGTTTGGGCATCGGTAGCTGTGGCCCCGTCGATCACATAGCGGACGTTGTTCTCATCAACCCCTTCGATCTGCACTCGAGGAGTCGGGGCGTCGATACTAGGAAGGTGAATGATGTCGTCATCGCTGTCCTCAATTGACATGCTACTTCTGCTATCCTTGGAAGGCGTGGAGTGCGCCTGCATGCAGTGGACGGTTCCGAGTGGGTTGGAGGTTGGGGTGGCGGAACGGGTGGTTGTGGCTGTGATGTTGGGGGTGGAGGCAGCATGGATCTTAGGTCCAGTTTTGTCTTTTCCAGCCCGGCTCAAGACGTCCATGTAAGTGAGCTGATCTCCAGATGCAGTCTGGGGTACTTTGCTCTTCTTGGATTTTTGGATATCAGCGAGAAGACCCGCCGATGGAGCTGGGGCATCAGTGTGTCTGCGTCGAGTAGGAGGTCCGGAGACCTTGCGGAGAAGGCGGTCGTATCCCTTTGAGGGTACGCTTGTAGAGATACTGCGACTGGATTCGGTGTTTCTCTTGTGTTTCTTAAGCGAGCTCTTCCGGATGATCTTCGAGAATTGACCTGCCGAAGCACTGCGGTTCAATGCTGGGTGTGTAGGTTGGGCAAATGAGTCTGCATCTGACGGCGTGAATAGGGGACCAGCCGGAGCAGGGACAGGCACACGTTTAAAAGCATCGTGGGAGTTGATTTCGCGAACTATTGCATCTTGTAAAGATTCATAGGTCGGATGAGGACTTAGGGCTTGGGTAGACATGTAAGCCTTGTTGAATAGTTCCATCATCTCTGAGGCCTTGAATCGCGGTGAGGATGCAGCAGAAGTCGGTGTTTGCACCGGCAGTGGACTGTTCATGACTTCTGCAATGCTTGGCGCTCGCTTCATACCACCAGTGGAGGGTGTTGGAGGCTGAACAGCGCGATGACCAATCTTCGACCGGCCCTTTGAAGCCAACTGAGTGTTGATCGACAGATCTCGTACATTCCGCCTTGACGAACCTGAGGAAGGAGGCGGAGAAACACTTCTTAGACCCAAAGACGAGCTTCGAGCCGTTGGGGCAGGATGTTGGAGGACAGACAGCGGTGTCTTTGGCTTACTGCCATTGTCTTTATTGGCATCATCACCCTCGCCTATTGGAGGGGGCAAAGTTGGACTGTCTGGCAACGGAGTATTGCTCCATCGCCTGCCTTGTTTGTAGGCAGGTGGAACACCTAAGCGTGGAATGACCGGAGGCCGAGCCTCTTCGTCTGCAGAATCGTCCGCCTCGGCAGACAAGCTCGGTGCTGACCTTCGCAGACGAATATTATTGCTAGAATCTTTGCCCTGCGAAGCGGCATCTTCCGGCGAAGAGCGATTGCGCAAGTCTCCATCCGATGTCCAATTGGGTTTCCTCGGACTGCGTCTTTGTGCATCAGGACTTAATTTGCGCACTCTCCCAGGCGCAGGAGGGGAAGACCGGGAACTCAGTGCAGATAATGAACGACTTGGGCCGGAATATTTGGCAATATTCCTATCGGCGACATCTTCCTGGTATAGTGCAGACAATATTCGAGAGTTTGCTATTCCGCTGCGGTGTTGGATCCGAAGAAACCGGGTCATGTTCCTTTCCGCAACATCTTCATTGTATGGACTGGCCGGCGGCGAGATAGGAGGAGGGCTAGGCTCCTGGCGATAGCCAGAATTGGCAAGAGCTTCCATCAAATCAATATGCCGAGAATTTGATGGTCTCGGCGGTGGACGACCCGGCACATTGGGTGACAACGAACATTGAGAAGATAACGGCCTCGGACCAAGATGCTGGTGAAGATCTTCGAATTGTTTTTCAATCTGCTCAAAGTGATGAGAGACATCTAGGGACCGTCCTACTTTAAGAACGGGAGAGGGAAGGGCCGGCGAGGGAGGAGCCGGGTATAGGTGACTTTGATTGAGATTAGACTCGCCGAAAGAGAATTCATCTGGCGCATGTTCGGGACTGGTTGATGGCCGTGACAAATTCTGATTTGGAAAGAGCTTCAAGCCAACCATTTTGAAATTGACCAGCTCGTGGTCTCATGCGCAAAAACGTTTGCTCGGAGCCTGGGGGTGCACAGGCGGCCAGGAAAAAAAAAGTGACGTCGGGGGAGAAAGTATCCCCAAAACTAACAATTGGAATGGCTAGAGCAAGGGCCGTCATAAACAATCCAGCCAGTATACGGAGTCATGACAGCATTAGACTGTCAAGAATGAGAGACCGACATACGGTGCTAAATGCATCCCAGGTAAGCATGATGGGAAAGGGAGAAAGGAGGGAAAGTCGAGGCAGCTCTGTACTCCGTAGTGCAGCGGAGACTTGCCTTGTCAAGCAGCACTCGTGCAGATCCAACACTCTTTGAGATTCTGGATCAGGGGGAGATTGTGACCCGGCCGTCTCCATGATCGAGCACAGATGGGGCCAGATGCGTGACAGTTTCAACGCTAAGAAATTAAGAGTGCTCCATTTGCCGTGTCTTACTTTTTTGACACACGAACGGCTTTCTAAATTGGCCTTGGGTAAACTCAAATTGCCAATTGCCCGTGTCCGATCTCAATGTTTGATTGTTTCTGCAGCTTGTTAGGATTTTTCCTAGTCTCGTACTAGTTGGCAGGATTTTAGTGTCGATAGCTGGGTCAACTGGGTCAGCATATGCAGCTAGTAAAGCCTTACTCCGGAGAAAACGTCCAGTGTGCATCTGTGTTGTCCATTGGACGGATACTACTTTGCAAATGACCCTCTCCTAGTCAGGGGGATCCACAATGTATGACAGGAATGCTTCAAATGTTGGGATAGAAACCCCCTCAACGGGTAGAGATGGAAAGGTTTGCTATCTTCCCTCGGAAACAGGCCGCATCAGCGGCAGGCGCAGCCTCGATCTATGCCAATGGGCGTTCGTGGAAACGGGATGAAATGCCAAAAAAAAAGAGCCAAGTTGAAAGGACCGAGGGAAGTGGACAAGAGGAAAGCATGAGATGGAGTCTCCAATTTCCCTGTGGATGATGATTGGTGTGACGATGTGATCGTCAAGCAGCAGAAGTGGGTCCATGTTCTTAGCGGCATGAGCCCGCGAACCGAGTTCAAATTTAATTTTGGAATTGCTTGGACTGTTCCGATTGATCAAAGCTTGCAGCACGAGGGCGTTGGGGGGATCCAGAATCGTGACTAACAAAGAAAAGCAGGAAAATAGTCCAAAATTGAGATTCGATCTAGTCGTGATTTGGAATGACAAAGGAAATCTCGATCCGATTCATCCTCAGGGGTAAACAAACACCAACTCCGCAGTCGGAGGGGTAAAACCTTCCGGTTTCCCCCCAATTTCATGTTTATTTTTCCTATATCATATAGTTAACCATTTTGAATGAGAAAAGTCAAACATTTGAATGTCAAAGTCTGATTCTAATAGATCATACATTGATTTCTTTTTAGCTCCACCAAATCTCACTAAATCTCATCTCGTGCGATCGATCGATTCCGATTTCGATACCGATGTCGCCAGTCCATGAGTCAGCAGATGGTTCACCTTGTATACAACTCTCACCAATGCTAACTTCTATGTTGATCGCAGTGCAGTCGATCGGTGAAGTTATTTGACACGTACCAGGGTAGGAATATACAAATAAAATAAAACTAAAATCAATATCAACAAGATGAGTCCATCCATTCAACAACCTATAGAACATTCGAATGTTTCAAGGTTTCAAAGCAAGATATGTACATCCAAGTGCCCATATATTCAACGATGACATTAGCCTTGGAACAATTGCTTTCCAAAGTTGAAAGCTCGAGTACATACAGACATATTTAGATACGATGAACAGGGAGTAACATGATTTTGGAACTTTCTGTATCTTTTAAATTGTCCAGCATTTCGGCGGGACCCGATGAACAAGCTTTCGACTGTCGACTTTCCTTCTACATGTAGTTACCTCGTGTCTACCAAAGTAGGACTATGCGTGAAGATCTTCAACGGAACCGTGGTTGAGGTGTGGTCTCATGTTTCACACTTTACCAGGAATGGTCCGTCTGAACCTTAAGAACACGTGATCATCGTTAACCCTCAAAAGTAAATATGCCAGTAGGCAGCAAAAATGGACTAATAGACTTCACAACGTGGGGGGATGCATTTCTGTCTAACAATGTAATGAATGCAAACAAAATCCCAGAACTCATCATTGTTTTTGGAACAGAAACAAAAACTCACAATTCCAGGCTGGCCACGTGTGAAAGCAGGGATACGTGAACATTCATGTAATACATAGAGCCATAATAAAGAGTGCATCACCTTAACAGCAGAAAGCCATGGTAGCTTCCAGTCTCGTGCATCTGAGATTGAAGCAAAAACCTCATGAAGCACCCTAGCTGTCTTTTTGGACACGTCAAAATACCTGTCGTCCTTGGTCACGTAAAAATGAAATGCATAACACAAGAATGACATAATGCTGAACCACGCAACAAACACAACAGAAACATGTTTGAAGCTCAATCTACAGCTCAACAGCCATGGCATGGCCAGGCCCATCGTCGTCCGCACCAGGGAAGTCATCATCTTCTTGATCCATAGAGTGTCCTTCGTCATCCGAAGGGGCCTCGCCAGAATCATCTTCATCAGATTCTTTGGTATCAGAGGAGGCGCCGGTAGGAAGCTGCAATTGGTTCATGTACTTGCGCACACGGTAGTAGCGGTATTGAGCCGCAGGGACAGTGATACCGTAGGCTCGGGCAATCGCAGCCCAGTCGAACTAGAAACACGTGTACGTATTAGAAAAAATCCAGTAAGAGCGTAGACAATGGGGCGGTGAGGGAATAAAGAAAGAAGTTCCATTATAAAAGTGAAGACTTACGTCACCTCCCTTGTTGAGCAGGCATATCCAGATGAGAATCATCTTGGTCTCGAGGGTGTTGGCCCTGGCGGCGGCCCTGGCGGGTTTGTTGGTGGAATTAACGGGCGTGTTTTTCACAACCCTGTTAGCAGTCTGCTTAGAAGGGCCGGCCTTTGGGGCAGCGGGCTTCTTGGATGTGACCATTGTCAACTTTGCGGAGGAAAGGGCAGAATGAATTGGGGAGAAGAAGAAAGCGGAGCTGAAAAGTTTGGTATGGATAGATTTGAGAGCAAGAATGTCACTGTCAAAGCACTTGGGTCAGAGCCGCTTCTTCTTAAGTGAATCGCAAGTAACTAGATATATGGAAGGAAAGAAAAGTAAGCTCACGAATCCTCAGCTTTTATAGTCGAGGATTTCATAAATATCGATAAATCAGGCATATGAATGTCTTCCGATGTTTCACATAGTGTTATTGTGTCTGCAGAAAGCTAGGAAAATGCATTTGGATAAAGTACATAGCTAAATGCGGAAATTTGCGATATCAGGATGCCAGGGCACTTGAATCTAGGCCCGAAGCTTAAGCCTCGTCCATAAACTCGTCTTGAAGGTCTTCCTTCGAGAGCTTCTGCATAGTTTCGATCTCAATAGCTATCTTCTTGTCCTTCGGAAGCTTTTTCTTGGTGGGCGATTGGACAGGTGACTGGGCAGACGAGTCGTCACTATCCATCTCGGAGCTCAGGTATTTACGCAGCTCATAAAAAATGCTCTGAGTGCAGCTCTTAGACAGGTTGACCTTCTTGGCCACAGCGTTGTAGTCGATCTAAAGATAAAGTTATCAGTTGATTCATCTCCACAGAGCACAGTAGATGGGAAGTATCATTTGGCATACTCACCGACGAGCTCGGGGAATTTTTCATAATAGATTCAAGACAGGCCCAGAGGAAAATAACATCCTTTTGGGAGTACTGTCGTTTCTTCGGGTCTTCCCATCTTTTTCCCCGGGACTTGGTAACTTTGGGTGAGTCAGCCATGGCGGAAGATCAAGATCCAAAAGATTCAAAGTTAGCAGAGTCAAAAAGACCCAAGGATGTGAGATGGAATACCAGTGTTCAACTTGGGATATGTGGTTTGAAGATTGGAGAGGGGATGTGGATTCGAGGATCTAGTGAAGGAATGAGTGAATATACGAAAGGGAGCAGAGCTTTAATACCAAGGAAAATGAAAATCGCGAAACGACTAAGCGGAGTACTGATTTTTGTATAGTGCAAATTATAAGTCCTATTTCCAAAAACTGGAAATTATAGAGGCAAACTGGAGCTGTAATTGTTATTAGCGAACTGGACTTCCAATTGTATGGACCGATAGATGATCCCGTGCTGAACCTCTGCCTAGATGAAGTTAGAGAACGACCTCAAGTCCATTTGCAATGAACCTGAGGTGCTACGAAAAGGAATCACAGAAGATCAAGGAATTCAAGAAATAATAGATACAATTGTGCATGAGCGTCATGCTATTGACTTCAAAAAGGTCGAACGTGGCCTTTCAAATGCCATGAAGCCCAGGCGGCTAGGCATCTCTGCATAATTGATGAATGTCTGCACAGCCGACTATTCTAGTCTTTCTACGCAGAAAGAATCCCCTCACGGACCTAGCACCTAGTCCGCAGCAGAAGTCACTCGCTGGCTATTTTTGTGAGTTTTCTTCGGGTTTGGGTCATCTTCCTCCTCTTGAGAGTCATTGATCTGCGTCCGTGCCCTCTTCCGTGCAGGGGTCTTTGGTGACAGATCATTCTGCTCTGCAGCAGAACCACTGGTGCTGCTAGTACAATCTTGCATATGTTTTTTCAGACGGCAGAAGCGGCTAATTGCCGCATTTTTGGTGATGCCAAGATTGACAGCAACTGTGACATAGTCTGTCTAGAAGAATGATATCAGTGGGATTTGTTTGATATGTGATGTGAATGTGAATGTGAAAGTGCAAGTGCAAGTGAAAGTGAAAGTGTTACGAGTCAATAAACAGTGAAGTAGTGAAATCATGAGACACAGATTGTGTTCAGCCATTGTGGACTCACCTGGTTCGCTGGGTTGCTGGTATAGCACTCCCAAAGAAAGCGCAAATGATGCTCAGTAGCCTTAAGAGCACCACTTGGTCGTGAAAATAACTTCGCAGGTTTTTCTGGTAGAGAGGCATCACCTTTGGTGGGTTGAGTAGCCGACATATTTGCGTTTCAAGAGATTTGAGGCTATGTTGATGTTGGAAAAGTCTTGTGAAACGAGTGCTGACCGACATTTGTACTTTGAACAGGCTAGGAGAATAAGATTCTCGAAGATAGAAGGACTGTAGTGGTGTAGACTCCGCGGTTAAAGGGGATGAGAAGTCCAATAATCAAGATATGACTAAAGGAGACGGAGTTACAAAGTTCTGATACTGGAAAAGAAAAAAAAAATTTCAATTCACTAAAGCTTCATGAGCACGCATGATTCTTCTAGATACATGCAGTATAGATCAAAAGAAAAGGACAAAGGCACAAATGAACAAAGAAGCAAGCAGCAAAGCAAAAAGAGTATCAACCATCATTTCATCCATAATAGATGACGATGGCATGTGTGATGCCAACCATACCACCTGCCCATTTTCATTGTGGAGATGAAGAGCTCTAGGCCTTCTAATTCCCCTCCTTATCCTCCTTATCCTCCTCATGGGTGGCCTCGAGGCTGGTAGCAGGCTCCCAGCGCTTCAGGATGCGGGTCCAGCGCTTGCTGGCTGCATTTCTGGTGCATCCCAGGTTGTTGGCCACAGTGTCCCATTTGATCTTATCATCTTCAATCAGCACGGGAAGTTTGAAATTTGAAGTGAATTGATAGACCTACTGCGGACTTGGGCAGGCTCTGGATCACTTGCATGAGAAATTCGATGTCTTTCTCGATGATTCTGGCAGCGGCCTCAGAAATGGGCTTCTCGGACTTAATCGCACTGGCGGCGTTCTTGGGAGCCATTTTGACTTTATGTTTGTGTTAGACGTAGATAAAGGGAGCAACGAGATCAAGGTACGTACCGAATGGAGAAAGTTGTCGGTTTTGTAAGCTGAATGGCGTTGAGGTGAGGCGAGAAAATGTATCTGGAGGGGAAGATAGGAGGTTCAGATGGGAAGGAGAAGGGGAGGAAACACACAATCTGCGCGAGAGGACGTCGCGGTCATCGTGTTCACAACTCCCAGATCAGTTCAACACGTAAATCCAACTCTGTGGTAGCTCGTGGTATACCATCCCTATTATGATTGTGCCTCCAGTATTATGTACTCTTTCAGCACACCCACCAGCTTTAGATAGTGAGCCTTAGACAAAGAAATTCAGATTCAGATTTCATTTCTTCATTAATTGTACTTAAGTTTTTATTGAGATTGCATTGCCTGCATGGCAGATTCGCGAAGAGCATCACCAAGAACAGAGTGTGCCCCTCTCGCTGCGTCAACAGCACCATCTATTAAAGCCTCATGCGCAGTCCGCTCATCTCCTTTACCCAGTGCAGCCTTGGAGCTATCTCCCTTGAGCCAAAGCTCAGTAATCTCATCCCGACCCGGCATGTAAGCCACAACACAAGCGGACAAGATAGAATGATGTTCAGCTGGATCCGTATCCAGCATCAACTTGGGAGAAACAACAGAAGACTCGCTAGAATCATCTGAAACCAGCGCAGCAACACCACCAGCAACAAGGTCCAAGCAATCAATGCGGGCATCAGCAACAGCCGCCGATGCAGCAGTAATACAACCCGCCAAAACATTCATCATACCCCACGAAGCATCGTGCGAATCCGGGGCATCGGCCCACCAGCGATCATCCTCAGCCTCTAGGATGGTAATGGTAATATCAAGACCAGATTTGGGCCAGCGCTCGGCAATAATTGCGCCTCGCAGGGCTGTTTCGAGATGAACGCCGAGATCCCGCTCGGTTGCATCGCGGATATGTCCCTTTCTCTTACGGGCCGCAAAGGGCGCGTACTTGACATGTGTGGTGAGGACAAGATTGGGGGAGAAAGGCACAGATCTAGGCAGTGGCTTGGGGCCATGGACTGTGCAGGCGAGCTTCAAAGCTGAGGAAGGCGGGATCAAAGATTTGGGGTCAGAGCGTGCGGCAGCAAGAGAGGCGGAGGGTTGGAATTCGAGATATGAAGAGCCAGAGGCTGAGGGGATGAGACCCGTCTTCAGGACTGGAATTGGGAGGTTCTGTTAGCCTTGATCGATTGCGATAGAAGCTTGGTGTTCATACAGATTTTCCGGAGCTCGTTTGGTTGACGCTCACGGCGGGCTCGATGAGTCGCGCTGCTTGATTCATGATTTGATGCGAATACCGCTGGGCGAGTGCCCCCTGGTGGGCCATTAACTCTGCGTCGGTCATTCATTTTCAAGTTGGATGAGAGGAAGCTCTGATATTGCGGCGTTGAGAGACTAGAAACGGAAATCTTAGTGTTTGCGGTGTTTGCATGGCGCCCCACTCTGGGTTTTCCTTTTTCTTCGATTTCGAAACTTTTTTCTTTTCTCTTTCCTTCACACACCTCAACTTGGCTTTTCTCAACAGAATTCCTTCTAATGCGAAGGTTTTTTTTCTCTCTTGAGGAGATGCAGAGTTGAGGATGTGTTCAGTCTAATATCGTGAGTCATTGTTCCCCAAATCTTGATACCCTCCAACCCCCTGTCTTTATGATGAAATCTACCCAAATATCTGTTCGACGACAAAAAATGGGTCATGAACAAAACATGCATCACCATCTGATTGACACCCCTTTACCCTCAATTTCATTCTCAATCAATTCAATCCTTGTTGGCTTGAAGCTTACAATGATTCAGACAGGATTCTTATAGCTGGTCACCGACTTCGCTTGTCCCTCGCCGCCTTGTTTTTTAAGCTAATAGGTAAGCTCCTTGATTTTTTTACCCCTCTTTTTATGCTCCACTTTTCGTGATGAGAAACCATTTTTCAGTTCTGCTTCTGCAAAAACTTTGAAGATAATAAAAATACTTACCAAAAACTCCTGATCGTGTTATACACTCTTGTCTTTGTACCTTGATGTCCTTGACGAACAAAGCACTGACAATTCCAAGTTACCATCTAGGTCATCCCAATCATACTCTCTCTTCTCTAGACTGCATAAAAGGTACGAAGAAGAGTTTTTCTCATATACCCATTTCCCTGTATATGATGACACCTAGTCAATCCATTCAACGATCTCTTTTGAGAACCGACCCTCGGGTACGTAACCTCACTGGGCAGCGGCACAATGCAGTTCACGATCCATTGTCTATGCGACTCCCTTATACTGGACCTTTTATGACTGTACTTCGGTACGGATATAATCGGGAGGAAGGTTGTGGAGCACCGGGTAGACTTGGGTGAAGTCGTCTTCTGGTGCCAAAGTCCGGTGTGTGTTGTCTATGCTTGACTTGTGTTGGACTTGATGGTTGGGCTGTCCGTCCGTCTTGGATGGCAGTTACGGCTTGACGGGCCAGCAGGGTATGGGATGAGTTAAGACGGCTGTCTGATTATATTTTGCTATTTTGCAATTATCTCTTGTGCTTCTTGTGCGATTGATGCTGACGACTTGTCCGCAGATTTTACCTAGCTTCAATAAAATAATCTATAATCTAAATGAAAACATCATGAATCATCAGAATTAAGTTTTGAACCAGACAGTAGTTTGAATTGAAGTTATGTATGTGTAAAGTAGCAAGAACACGGAAGTAAAGGTAAGCAGCCCACCCCATCATCTCCCGCGTTTCACAGGCAGCAAAATCAAAACACCTCCCCCGTCTAAAACAACCATGGGAATCTCATTGGAAAGGTCGGAAATCAAGTAAACGTAGATCCTTTTTGTATTTTCGTTTCTGGGCAAAGACAGCATTAGAAAACTGTGAGCCCTTTATATAATCATCATCTATCGACTTGATGTGCACTGCGTAGGAATTGGCCGTTTTTAAGGAGAAGATCCCGGCGAAACTTCTCCCCCCTTGACGTCGACTGGCGTCGATCTGCCATTTGATCGGGTCATGCTATAGGGAGCCTGAACAATGGTTAGGAGAAAGGTCCTTGCCAGAAAGAGCAGAGTACTTACAAGAACCTTCTTAGCGTTACATATCCGCCAGGCCAGATTCAATACATTGCCATCGGCCTTAACAACCTCAGGTGCTAATTCAACACCGAACCTGTGAGAGAAAGGATGGTTAAAAAAGAATTCTAAGAAGACTCAGGGTACACTCACATCTGCTGGACAGCGAACACAACTCGCTTGGCAAACTTGCCATCTCTTTCCACAAGGCTTCCAAACTGCTCATCGACAGTCTCGGGCGCAACTTCAGGGTCGCGATCGAAGCAGTTGCGAACGACAGGGAGGAGAGCTTTCTCAACGGCGCGCTGAACAATACCACCCGCTTCGAAAGTGTCGACTTCATCAAAGTGAGGGATTCGGATCTCAAATGGTCGGGAAATAGACATGACATTGTGCACGCCATTATGGTGGTAACGCACTTCAAAGGCACCCTGTGTCCAGAATAGCTTGTCACCCGAAAAGACGATCTCTCCGGATGCAAGCTCGTGGCCGTCACGACCCTTCTGGTCGGAAGACTTGATGACCACGTCACTAGTGAGAATGCCTCTTTCACATGTCAGGTTGTCGTAGGAGCCCTCGTTGGTCGCGATCCAACGGCCCTGCGACGAAACACGGGTAACCTCTCGGGAAGTGTTGTCCGTGACCCGATAGAGGCCAATCCAGTCCTTTTTGCTGTGGTTGAGCGGCGCAGTCCACTTGACCTTGATCGGGGCGCCGTATTCCAAAGTCAGGTTCTGATCACCACGGCGGTCTAAAGGCATGCGCGCATTGTCTCCCTCACGGCCCTGGTCTTCTGGAGACTTGGCATCCGTTCCCTCGACCGACAATGAATAGTCACGGAGATCGTATCCAGCCAGATCAGCATCAATCCGAGAAATGGTGATGCGAGCCGGGTACTTTTGGAACAGAGCGCTGGTATCTTTGACGAATGTGTTAACTCCAGCAGCAAGCTTTGGGCGAGCATTGTCGAGAAGCTCCTCAATAAACTCAAAGGAGTCATCGAACATTTTGTCCACACTGCCATGCAGCTGCTTGAGTGACGGAGGGAGGGATTTCTTCAGGTTCTTGACCACACCACCATCTTGGCGCAAGCTTCGGCCGTAAAGCTTCTGCATATGGGGCCGCTCCACGAATTGAATAAAACCCAGACTCAGGATGTGACTCACCAGAGCCAGGAAAGTAATTGCTCCGCTGCTTGTGATGAGAACGGCACCCCAAACGCCAGCCAGACCTAGTACACGCTCAGGGTTGTTGAGGAAGCGGTATATCCCGTTGTAGGTCAACTTGGGGGATTCGTCGAAGAAGAAGTCGCCGAAGAACCAGCCGAATTCTCCGAGCGAGTCATAAATGCTGATCGAGGTCCAGAGTTGCAGACTGATCAAGCCGGCACCGAGGACGTGGCGGAAGAGCACCAGGCCGTAGTTCCAGTCGCTTGGGAAGGTGTACATCTTCCACACCGCAGCGATAAAGCTAGCGTAGCACATGATCATACTAAGGTGATACGTGCCCTTCCACTGGTTCCAAGCCTCCTGTGGCGTCTCACCAAATTTGAGGAAGTGCCTCGTCCACGCTTTGTCCCTGGATTGGTTGTTGAGGAGATGCCCGATGCCTAGAGAATACCATACACGCCACACAAGAGCATTGACCACGAAGAAGAATTGGTACATCGGGGTCGAGGGGCTCAAAGCCGTCACTGCGAATACAAGTAGCTGAACAAGAATAATCGACGAATCCGTGGTTCTAAAGAGATCCAAGTTGCTCAAGCCCAGCATGTTGTGGACCGAGGGCGGAGGTTTGGCGGAGTACGAAGAAGTCGCATTGGGGGGTAGTTCCTCAGACGGAGTTGGTGCATTCGGAGTTGTCGCAAGCGGAGTTGTCGCAGTCGGAGTTGGCGCTGATGGGGAGTCTGGAAACATAGGCAGGCTGGTGGTCGAATCCGCGACGGAACGCTTCCGAGGCGGAGGCGGGTTATAGGTCTTGTCGATATGGGGATTCTCGACAAACACCAAGAAGGCGAATTGAGCTGCATGGGCAATGATAGAGATGAACAACACTTTATAGCTTGCGGCCATCAGGGAGATACCGTAGTAGCCCGCATAGCCGACCGAGTACATGGGATGCGGAGCCATCTCGAAGACTCCGTCAAAGGTCAGCTCTTGGTCAATGAGGTAGAAGAAATCACCCCAGTACCAGGCATAATCCTTCACTACTCGATGAGCGTCTAATTTGACCCAGAGGTTGAACAGCACCAGCACAATGCCGGCGGCCCAACGTAGGACAGTCATGACTACGCTTTCATCGGTAGGACGGTGACCACAGGCTATCGCAAAGAGGCAGTAGGAGGTGAAGTCGCACATCAAGATCACGTCCACTAGACGGCGGAAGACGAGCCAGGTGTTGTATTCAATAGGTGCAGTTTCGAAGGAATAGTCGTGGGGGATCTTAGTCTCCATTTCCCGCTTAATCCAATTGTATAGAATAGGGTGCGGGTTCTTTCCCGTAGCTGGATTGACGAAAATCTTTGTCTTCTCTGCCCACCGAATCATGGTTCTGTGGTGCGACTGGTTGTGCAGCAGCCATCCAATCCCCGCATTGTAACCCGCCCGCCAGAAGAGGTACACAACAGCGAAGACTGGAATTCTAGCACTCGCTGGAAGAACCCAAAGCAAGCCAATATGGGCTGCCAATAGACCGAGAACCACCAAATCCGACAAATTCTTCGGCTCGGACGGGGACAGGAGCTGCGAAACCATGTCATGGGTTTGGGGCACGGTGAACACTGTCAAAACGCGATCGACCGGATTAGCGGGGGAGCTCCACATGGGAACGAGTGAAGGGCATATTCGCGACAGAGGACCACCCCAGGATCAAGCGTTGTCGCTTGGTATTAAGTGAAGCCAAGATATGAGTTTCAAACATACCAGTTCCATCAGGCGTGCGGCCAAAGGTCTTCTTATCCTTGCCGTCCATATCCTTGTTCTCCAACTCAGCATGAGCAGCCAAAGCATCGCGACCTCCAGTTGAATCAAGGTGCGATACATTTCTCTCCCTTAGCCCACCAGGCTGCAGGGCGCCTGTTGAATGGCCCTGATCCATGATGAAGTTTTGGTAAAGGAAATTGTTGGGAATTCGAGGAAGTGGAAGTGTGACTTCAGCATGTGACAGTGGGACCTCCCGATTTGTTGATCCTGTTTGCAGTATTTGTATTAGTTTACCAACAACGTTTTCTCTTCAAATTCTTCAACTGTTTTCCCCTTCAGAGTAAATCATGGGATTATTTAAGGATGTTAAAAGGAAATTTACTAAATTTCTGGGTGTGTGGGACGTATTTATGGGGAGAGACTAATAGTGGAACCTATGTGTATCGACACTTCAAGCTCTCCCATAGGTGAATTGTACACAACAGAGTTAGTTCCTGCGGAGCCCCGAACGAAGCAGAAGAGGAAAGAACCGGGTACGTTCCCGTTTTATCTCAACAGACTGGGGGTATTACTCTAACCGACTTTCTCTATGGACACACCCTCCAAACCCATGACTCTTTCCACTTACATGGCCACGGACAGAGCGGGGGTCAAAGACGCGGCAAGTGCGGATACCGTGTACATCACTCCACTGGGACTTGCATGCTTTAAACCTACACAATGCATATCGTCGGAGTGTTTTTTAATGGTATGGTCATTAAAGTACGAGGGTTCCGGAAGTGGAGTCGGTGAGTGGAGGTTGACATCAAAGATTGGCTGTCAACAAGGGAATGCATTTGTGTACACAGACAAGGTTGGAAGTCAATGCGTTGTCCAAGATGTATAATGTACATTTCTTAGCTAAATTTGAAATTGGAGGGCTTCTTGCATCCCAGTGATGGGCTGCTGGGTACGCAACCCCGTGTAAAGTCCACGTGGGATCACTTAAGAGTCCGAAATCAAGATTTGGCCTGCTTGTTACTTAAGTTCTGACAGGACATGGATTCGTACCTGCAGAGTTTGACTAAATTGTCTAGTCAGCATTTCCCCTCGAGCCCTGAGCAGGGATGACCGTTAGCGTTAAAGCTGCCCCAGGCCACATCGGGCCAGAAGGCAAAATGAATTGTTGCTGCAGGTCGCTTTCTATCCAGACATTGCATGAGCAGAATAATTTGCGATCAAGACACCACCATTTAGCGTGAATATTGTCAATTAAGTTACTCATTTATTTAATTACAATTATTCTACCTCATTCTGTAGGCTGTTATGGTCCCTCCGACACCGCAAGCACCAATCGCGGGGGATCGGTTAGTCATCACGCTTATCAAGCATCTCCGCCACTCAATGGAATTTCTCTCTGGAAATCTTCACATTTCAGTTCAAACTATCTTGGATTGAATTACATACTGTGATGGCACCCTACGTGGAGGAGCCTAATGACCAGGCGTCCCTTGCGCCTGCCAAGCGACAACCCGATCTGGTGGCCCCAGAGCCAGGTACGTTCATCTTGTGCGGGGAACCCGCCTCGGACACACATTAATTGTTGCAGAACACTGCCCTGGCCCCGAGTCCGAGAAAGCCGGCCAGGGTGATGCCTGTGCTGGCTGCCCAAACCAACAAATCTGTGCCTCCGCGCCCAAAGGCCCCGACCCCGATATCGCGATCATCACTGAGCGACTCTCTCAGATCCGACACAAGATCCTCGTCCTCTCCGGTAAAGGCGGAGTAGGCAAATCCACCTTCTCAACCCTGTTATCACACGCCTTCGCCGCAAACCCAGATTCCACTGTGGGAATCATGGATACCGATATTTGCGGGCCGTCGATCCCCAAGATGATGGGCGTGGAAGCAGAGACGATCCACATCAGCAATGCGGGCTGGAGTCCAGTCTGGGTGACGGATAACCTGGGTGCCATGAGCGTGCAGTTCATGCTGCCGAACCGCGATGATGCGGTTATCTGGCGCGGTCCCAAGAAGAACGGACTTATTAAGCAGTTCCTCAAGGATGTGGACTGGGGCGAGCTAGACTACCTTATCGTGGATACTCCCCCGGGAACCTCAGACGAGCATCTATCGGTCAATTCTCTGCTGAAGGAATCCGGCGTCGATGGTGCCGTCGTCGTCACTACCCCGCAGGAAGTCTCTTTGCTGGATGTGCGCAAAGAAATCGACTTTTGTCGCAAGGCAGGCATCCGTATCCTCGGTCTTGTCGAGAATATGTCCGGGTTTGTCTGTCCCAGCTGTACACACGAATCGCAGATCTTCCGCGCAACAACGGGTGGAGGCCGCCGGTTGGCGAAAAAGATGGGTATTCCGTTCCTGGGGGCTGTGCCTCTGGACCCTCGCGTCGGAATGGCATGTGACTACGGTGAGAGCTTTGTGGAGAATTTCCCTGATAGCCCCGCGTCCAAGGCCATTAAGCGTGTAGTTCGGGCGGTCGGAGAGGCAATCGGGGAGAACCCGGATGATGTTCTTCCGGAGCTTTAGGCGGATGGAGCGAGGTCGATTATTTTCATTCTAGCGTGCATGATCTTGATGGGTCCCATTTGGCGTTTGGATATAGAACTTTGATTTGATACCATGGATTATACAACCTTACGAGCATAACAGGAACTTCAGTTGCTCATTTGCAAACACCGTTTCTATTATCATAATCACTTCATAATCATGATCGACCACTAATAGTCATCAATCAGTACCAAGTGGTCGAGCGGAAACTCGACTATCTTATCTTCCTTGGTCTAGGGGTCATGATTTCCGCTTGTCACTAACACTGATACGCGCGGGAGACCGGGGTTCGATTCCCCGAGGGAGAGCTTTCTTTTTGCTTTTTGGATAATACTAATCATTAGCTCAAGATTCCAAAGTAACATTTGTCGTTTGCATCAGTACTCGCTTGTAGCTAGTCAACGGATGATACCCATTATCCGTCACTTCAAGAATCAAATGCAGTAACCAACAACCAGAGGGATTTAAACTCATCCCATCACAACTCAACTTCTCATCAAGGATTTGCACTTGTACCATCCGACCTTCATGCAAAACAGTGATGTTCAATTCAGGAACTTCGCCAGCAACATTCCAATTATCAGCTCCAGGCTCCTTGTACTGGAACCAGCGAAAAGCCAACGAATCTCCACCGGGATCCTCAGTCGCTCCTGCGTTCAAGCTAATCTTCGATCTAAACTCCACGCTAACATTCAAAGGCGCAAGACTGACACTTCCTTCAATCGAAATAACCAGCTGATGATTAGTCCTGCTAATATTCGCCGGTAATGACCATTGCATCCTCGCCGCAAAATCAATCTGAAAGGCATCTCGCCACCTCCAAATAGTCGCATAGTTAGAGATATAACTTTCATTATCCAACCCAATAACTCGATCCGCCGCATCAGCGTAATGAGTGAGATTCGAAACTGTCGACGGAGTAACCTTCATATACCGTCCACCCCAAGAACCATACTCTGGATGTTCACGGACACCAAGCCCATTTTGGATAAGATACAAGAAGGTAGGCGTATCACCCTCCATGATATACTCATAGTCCGGATAGACCGTCCTGCCATAAGATCCGATTTGGATATTCTCACGAATCCATTTCGACGTTATCTTGGACAGGTCGGGTCCGCCTTTGTCATAGGTTCCAGATATACCGGACCACGCGGCTAGACCGTACTGATTCCAGCCAGGCGTGGAGGCGATGTAGAATTTGTCTGGGTATTGTTAGCGGATCCAGGCACCGGTGTCATCCTGGTCGGAGATGGCGTAAACGCGGATCTTGGATCTAATGAATGCTGCCTCTGCCGTGGAAAAATAGGTATGGATTTTGTAGAGAGCTTGAGCTAGGACGTTTGTGCCGCCCCGGGCAAGGACCCAGAGTGGTTGGTCGGTCTGGTCTTGAAGCGGTTGAATAGAAGCTTGCCCGCGTCGCTAAGGGGGATATCCTTTCCAACCGCTTTCATTCCATATACCTTAGAGTTGTTAGATACATGAGCTAGGCGTATAGCTAGTTGCTTTGAATCCACTCACAGCGGGGCCACTCTTTACAAGACTGCGCATATGCTCACCCGACGGATAGGGTGCATCGAACGGGACATGTTGATTGAGGTTATGCGTCACATTTCCATAAGCATCAATAACAGCCAGCATAGCTTCTGGATGGACTTCATCTTGAAGCCAAATGGATGAACGGCACAAATTCCCTCTGTCTTGAATTGATTGGAGTAGAGCAGATAACGAGTCAAGGATTCCTGATCATCGGGTTCTTTGTTGATGTCTGATAATATGAATACTCGCGGCTTGTCTGTAATGGATAGAAGGGTAGATCTATTCACTGGTTTGCCAAGGACTTGGATGGCCAGTGTCCATAGCACCGTGAGTGCAGGTATGGAATGCATAATGGATGGGTACAAATTACAAATTCGATGCGATGGCCAAAGCAACATGTTTTTAATATTAATTACTCGATCTTTCGAATGATGACTGGTATCTGCCGGATATTCTTAGACTGGCTTCATTTCTCCGCATTTGAGCTGAAGAAGCCATTGCAATGTAAATCTGCGGGGAGACTCTGCGGGGGTTAGCCGAAGAGGCCCCGAATATGCTACAATTCGAAGCTTGTAACCACAAAAAGAAACTGTAAGCACTGCTTTGCCGATCATGATGGTAAAGATTACTTGATTTGGTTCAATGGAAACTGCTTAGTACTTAGTACTCCCACAATTGGGAATTAAAGAATCCGAGCAGCTCCGTCCCAAAAGATTTGCGTAAGTATGGAAAAATATGACCAAGAGCCCTATCTTCGAATTGAAAATTCAATCCGGTGTTTAGAAGCTGCAAATTCGGAACCATTTCTCGATTTCTGGCCGCTTTCCGAAGCAAATGCTATTCCGACCCCTAAGTGTATGCATTCGTTTTCAAGTGTGGGCGGAGTCGCGTAGTTCCGCAAGATGCCCAAGATGTTTATGCATCACTTCCGCCGATACTTGCGCCACTGAAAGTGATGTCTTTCGTAAGTTTCAGAGTATCTAATTGTACATATCATCTTAATTGTGTGATCGGCCTGTTTGTTCGAGATTCCAGTCCAAATTACCCCGCTTGGAAGTTTCCATTATTCCCAATCAATTAGATCGCTATCATCTTGGCAGTCATTAAGCGTTCATATTAAGGGAAATCGCCAAGCATGACGCCAAGTGGTATTTACCATTTATTCCCATATTCATTCCAAAGCAAAATTGCATATTCCCTCATCTGTATTGAGTGCTCCACACTGAACCTTATCTAGCCACGCGGCTTCAAAGGCACTCCTGAGACTATTGTTCAGGACGAGGCATCTGGCGATCGAAGAATGAAACTTCTAGAGCACAACCCGATAATTATTTTATCAATATAGAGAGCTTGTAGCCCCCTAGAACCCATACCTCATATGGCTGTTTGTCTACTTTGTGGGAAAAGTAAAGCAGGGGCGCTGGAGCAGCCGGCCTTTGTCAAATGGGATAATTCTTCAAATCTTGCTGACATTCTTGATATGAAAGATATCTGATTTTGGTTTGCAGCTTCCATATTGAGCCGGAAGGGAAAATCTCTAAGCCAATGTAGTCATCGTCACCGAACCAATGTCATGGTCGTCTGGTTCAACTTCCATCATGAAATACGTATTCTAGGGATGGGTGTGATTCAATAAGTTTCGTCTATCAGGAGGGACTAGGGCAAAGAAAACAGCGGTGTGAGTATGAGCGCAACAGCGGCAACTATGGAGTAGAAAAGCAAACCCCACCGTTAATATCGCGATTAGCCATGTACTCCCCTGTACTCCGTACTTCCGCACCCGATTTATCTATCCCAAACCCCTTACCAAAATCATAGCATAACAAGAAAACCATTTTGCCATCTCCATGGTCCATTACGTTTCAAGGGGAAGACCCAAAACCGTTCCCGCACGATGATTGGCCGAGCACCCGCTCAAGTAGTGTTTCAGAATCACACAGCAAACCCAACCACATTCAAGCCCCCAATGGCCCAGACCGACGCGCGGGCGCTCCACCAATACAAGACGTGGCGGCGTTAGAGAAAAATGAGCTGTCAGGAGCGAGTATCTACCCTATCTGGGCCGCTGACCGGTAGTGGATCACTGTAACAGCTCCATCTGGACCAAGCCGATGCGCCAGCTAGAACGATTGCCGAGTGTAGTCTGGGTCATGTTTCTGTGGCGAGAGTGCTGATAGGTTCGTTGGAGGGAGATGGCTGAGGATTGGAAACAGTGCAAGGTGGACTACGTACTTTTTTTTTTGGTGCTTTGGTTGGAGCCTTGGAGGTTCTTGTGCGGTGCTTTATACATAGATCTGCAAATCCTGGAGATTTGTGCTTTTTCTTTTGCATGGTTGGGGATCTCACGCTCTTTGATCTTTTCTCTCCTTCATTTCGTTTCATTACCTGCTGGCACAGGTACGAGTCTAGGCTGTGCCTTGTCTCTTTTTTGTTGCATTGTGCCATTGTGCTTGGTCCCATTCATTTCAGATCGACAGCGCATTGCTATTGTGAACATACTGAGTGTGTATCTGATCGTTAATACGTCAAATACTTGCTCTCGTTGATTTCTCTCGCCTGTATCACTCTCTGACTGGCGTCGGGAATAGGACGAGACAAGATGCATCTTATTTTCTCTCTTATACTTTTTATTTTCTTGGGATTCGATGTTCTCGCCGCTCCAGGTTTACGTCGATCCGCTTCAACCGCTCACAAAAGGTCTTTCCGAATCGAACGAGTCAAACGCAACGACTATGTACGCAATTCCCCCGCTGCTTTAAGTAAAGCATACCGCAAGTTTGGGATTACGGCTTCTCTCATGGAGGGTGGGGATCTGCACGACTTTGAGCCATTCTCCAACGGCACGAGCTATAGGAGCGCTTCGGTAGAAACCCAATCAACAACAGAGACAGACGAGACAGACGAGACAGACGAGACAGACGAGGAAGGAACGGTCAGTGCGACATCCGTGGAGGGAGGCTCGGAGTATGTGTCTCCCGTTCTCATCGGAGGCCAAAACATCACCATGGATTTCGATACTGGATCTGCAGATATGTAAGTCATTCTCTACGCCATGTCAAAAGACACTGACTTATGGCTCAATTGATAAAGGTGGGTGATGAACTCCAACCTATCATCCTCTATGATAAGCGGCCACTCAGTCTACAATTTTTCAAAATCAAGCACCTTCGAAAAAGTAGCAGGCGAGTTCAAGGTCTCCTATGGCGACTCATCATACGCAAGCGGCAATCTAGCCAAAGACACCGTCAATATCGGCGGAGCAGTGGTCAAAAACCAAGTCTTCGGTCTCCCAAACAAAGTATCCAGTTCATTCGTCGAAGATACCAATTCCAACGGCATAGTCGGACTCAGTTTCTCCTCTATCAACTCATTCGACCCAGGTCCTCAGAAGACATTTTTCGACAACGTCGCCCCAGACCTCGAATTACCAGTCTTCACCTCCTACCTTCGTGGCGACAGAGGCTCATATGAATTCGGTGCCATCGACCAGAGCCTGTATAGCGGCATGATGGTCAATGTCAGCGTCGACTCCTCAAACGGATTCTGGCAGTTCGATTCGACGAAGTACAAAGTTGGTACTGGACAAAAACTGCACAATATCACCACTACGAAAACTGCTATTTGTGATACTGGTACTACGCTACTGTTGGTTAGTCCGGATGTTGTATCAGATTTTTATTCGCAGGTCAATGGCTCGGCGTATTCGAATAGTGTTGGGGGTTATATCTATCCCTGTGAAGCGGAATTGCCGGATTTAAGTATTGAAATTGGTCACGGTTTCACGGCGACTATCCCTGGATTGAATTTGGGCTATGAGGAAGTTGGGACTAATACGACAACGGGTGAAACTAGTGAGTTTTGGCTTCTATGAGCTTGGCTATCTTACTAACTGGGGTAACAGTGTGCTATGGTGGTGTACAGTCTTGTGCAGGGTCTGACTTTCAGATCTTTGGGGATATCTTCCTCAGGGCGTTTTATGTGGTTTTTGATCAGCGCGGCCCATCATTGGGGATCGCAGCTCCTGCATGATTGTACAGGGTTGGGGATAGAGAAGGCTCGGATAATTGGCGGGCAAATATTGTAATATTGTTCTCGTACAAAGGATCTTCGATTTATGGACAGAAAAGTCAACTGTATATTTAGCTGTTTTCTTGTCAACTTCTCGTGGGTATGCATTCAATGGCTGTTTATTTTGATATCTCCATCTTTTAATAACAAGTATACTTTTCTTACCGCACGGTAGCACCCTTGAGGGTCTTGACAGTGCAAATAACGCCCGATGCGGTAACGAGTTTACCGATGGCAGGCTTGCCTTCCTGGCCCTTAACAGTGGGGACAGCGTTGCTGTCAAAGATAACCTCGAGGTCATCGTTGGTACCGAAACCAGGCTGGAAAGTCTCCCAGATCTTTTTCTTGGGGTTGAGCTGCTTCTCGGGCTCGCCTTCGGACCAGCCCTGGAAGGTAATGCGCTCACCAGCCGGGGCGTCGGCAGGGGGAGTGACAAGCTCGACGGGGCCAGCGTGGGAGTCACCACCCTCCTCAACACGGGGGGAGGCAGCCAGAACCATGGCCGCAGACTTGATACCACGCATGGTGACGGGCTTCAAGTTGCAGACGGCAACAATCTTGCGGCCTTGCATCTCCTCCAGGGGAATAAGACCGTTCAAACCAGAGCAGACTGTCCGGACAGTCTTACCGGTCTCCTCATCCAGGGAGGTGTTATCGGAGCCAGGGGCGTCACCACAGTCGATGGTGGAAACGAAGAGAGAGTCGGCGTTGGGGTGGTTAATGGCGCGCAGGATGTGACCGACACGCAGGTCGATAATGGAGGGAGATGGCGGGGCAGCAGCAGCTGGTGCAGGCTTGGGGGCCTTTTCCTTCTTCTCCTTCTTCTCCTTCTTGCCAGTCTTGTGGCCGGCGGCGGCGGCAGCGGCAGCACCATCGCTGGGAGCAGCGTCGGCCTTGGCAACCTTCTCAGCCTTCTCGGGCTTACCCTGGCCAACGACAAGGGGCTTCTCGGCTTCAGCGCCGGCGTTCTGCTGAGCAGCCTTCTCCTTCTTCTTGCGCTCCTTCTCCTCCTTGGGGTCAACGGGCTTGGGCACGAACTTGACGTCGTTCACGTCGATAGTGACTTTCTCCTCGGCGGGAATCTGCAGGGCAAAGAGGCGCGAGTTCTGCACAAAGTCGACATGGCGAACAACGTGGTGGTATCCCTTTTCGCCTGTGCGCTGCTCGGATGACCACTTCTCGACGATGGGGGCAACGACAGCGTAGACAGCAATGTCAGCGACCGAAGGCTTCGCACCGAGCAGAGTGGTGCGGGTGGCGAGGTGTGTGTTGAGTTGAGCCAGGATGTTGTCAATGACGGACTTGTCGTTGCTGGCGGTGGCAGTGGTCAAGCCAGAGACGGTGTTAAGCCACTGCTTGATGTCGGCCTCCTCAGCTTCGCTGAAGTTCACCTGGGGGAAAATCTTGGGCGAGGCATGGAGGTAATCGAGCTCGGTAGCATCGGGAGAGATGGCGGTAGGGTATGAGCGGTAGAGGAGAGACAAGAGGGAGGACTCGGGAGCAGCTGCGGTCGCCATGGTGAATGCGCGTGAGGGAGATGAAAGAAAAGAAATTCGAGGAGGGGCACGGATCTGTGTCATCGATTGGACCCGCGGGGTTGTGCTACGGGCCCGCAATTGGGTCGCCCATCTCACCGTCAATCTGACGGGAAGTCCCAAGATCATGAGAATTGGTCTGTAGAGTTCAATTATTCTATATCAATGGCATCAAGTGAGGTTTTTACGATTCACCCCTTTTCTTGTTGGCGGATCTGATGATGACTCAGCATGACTAACCAGTTGACATTGACAGTGGTACCTCTGTCGGTGGTCACGTACTTTATCCAATAGGACCAACTGGATGTTTAATCAATTTACACCTGTGGGTATTCAAATATTCTTGCCATCTGGATGAAATGAATGTGGATATCACTATTCACAACATAGTTCTGCGTGTACTGCGTGCACATGTGGCCCACACCTGTCGACATCGGGACAATTGAGGATTATCTGAGTATGTAGATTTTTATCAATGATGACTTCCAAGATTGATTGCAGTATTTAAGAAAGGTCTTCCAGCACGCAGGTCTTGTTGGTAGTGCATACCAGAGGCTTTCGCCCTACTTTTTACGCGGCGCCTACCGACTAGGTCAACTAGTTATACTATCTCCTAGTTACTAAGTGTATCCGTATATCCTACTTGGTCACTTACTTAAGTCTCCTACATACCCAGTCTCCTACCCAGTCCAGATGTCTCCCACTCAGTACTCTGCCCGTTATCCTACCCAGTATTCATTTTCTCTCATCGGACTAGTTAAATGGTCAAAGGGCTCTTCAGGTTTATACACAACATATATATACTGTATATATGTAGCGGAGTGGCAAGGAAGGAAGAAATAAGATAAGAAAAGAGAAAGGAGAAGGGGAAAAAAAGAAAAGTCGGGAGCTGGGTGTTTCAACGTGAGTTATATTCTACCAATCTATTACTTGGAAACACTGCGGATTTCTGGACATAGATTGAAGATTCATCCATAGCTTATCATGCCAGGGCCTTTGTCGAGAGAAACCCCGCAAATCTAGGCACATATTTATTTCCGGTAAAATGCTGCGCTCAATTGCTTATCACAGGGTTGCTTTAGATCTCAGATAGGGTTAGCCTAGTTAAATTCCTGCAATGTTCATTGGTTGAAAGAATGCACTAAAATGAGTCATAGTGAGTCTTGAGGGGGCGAAGCAAACATGACCAATCAGCTTGATTCAGTGGAACACCAGGCGGCCCAGGCGTCAATCCACCCCCGAGTATATCATTCCCTCCTCATCTCACAAGTTTCTTCCTCAGGACACCACTCCTCGGCCTTCCTGACCGAGCTCATCCCCCCGCGAATCCCCTCGCGCGTCCCTCGCCGGACTACTTCATCTTTTATCAACTAACGCGCCACGGGCCCGCTTAGGCCCGCTTAAACTATCTCATCATGGCGGCCAGTGCTTGCTCCTGCGCCGCGGCCATCATGCACTCGATCCAATTCTGGCAACCAAGCCAGCTCCGACCCTCAACACAATCCCCAAGGGTCGGCGCAGCTGGGGCTCACTCCATGGTTTAATTCTCACGACTTTCAATTTCAACAATCCTTTAATTCCTCGGATCCGACGTTGGGATATATTCCCTCACCCATCCAACCCTTTGATACCTTTGCTCCAGAGTCAGATCTCTGGACAGAATCAGAACTGTCTTTTGCCGATTCTGACTGGAACTTTCTATCTCTTGAAAATGCGACACCTTATTCTGCGGTCTTTGACGGACTGGATATGTCTGTCAACGACCCAGGCTACGGGGTGGCTTCGGCCTACCCTTCCCTTTCGGATTCGGGATCCATTGAGTCGTACGCTCTGCCTAATTCCTCATTCGTTTCCAGTTCTGCGAATTCCCAAGGTGAGCTACCCTGATAGCTATAGTCCTACATGAATGGTTCTGATTGTTATTTAGATGGGCATTCGCATGCTTCTCCTGCTTCTCAGATTTTGGGGTCCGTTGCGACATCTCAGTCCAGCCCTGCAACATCCCAGAGTGATGCTGTCCTGGGTCGTGTTGAGTCGTCTCGTGTGGAAAAGCGCAGACTCAATACACTTGCGGCTCGGAGGTGTCGTCAGCGGCGCGTTGACCAGACAAAGAATCTTGAGGAGGAACTAGAACGAATGCGGAAGGAACGCGATGAGCTGAGGCTCAAGGTATCGAAGCTGGAAGGGGAAACGGAGGCTTTGAAAGGGCTTCTTGCTCGTAAAAGCAACTGAAGTTTTTTTTCTTTTTCTTTTTTTTTCTAATTGAGCTGGCCTCTCAATAATTCAATATGATTGATTTAAAGCTCGAATCATTCCCCTGTAAATCAATTCCCTGTAACCCTTGATTTGACTCGGACTTTAGGTCGATATCTTGGGATATCGCAGATATATGGATGAACTGTAGAGCTAAAGATGGAGGCCAGCTTTGACATTTGAAGCTGGGCTGATGAGTAACTTGATGAGCAAAAATATAGATACAAGACCTCTATTTCCAACCTTGGATCTCAAATCTTTTATCTTGCATTTGAAAAAGGAAGTAATCCCCGTGCATCTCAAATTTTGTCCCTTACTCGTATCTTTCCATTGACTATAAAAACTTGAACATCGACCGGGAAAGGATCCATTATGCCCGATCCAACTGTAGACCAGATTATCTTTCCTTTTTCATCATGAAACTCGATTCTATCACACTCAAAACAGTACAATATCCTCTCATAATTTTCCTTGAGAAGATAATTGACCGGGTGCTTGTAACATTGATCGAAAGCCTCCAGTTTGATATCGAGGTCTTTCCAGTGACTGCGCTAATGAAATTTTAGTTTATGTCCTAGATTTTATAGAAGAAAATAGACGGAAAACCCTCAAAAAACCATTACTTACCAACGTGTCTGCTGTCACCTTCTCCGTCTCTGCTGCCTCGGTCATGTCGGTGCTTTGTAGATTCCACTTCTTCGGATCACCTCAGTCGCTAATATAGGGAGATCAAGCGACGATCAGGCCGGCAAAATCGGGAAATTCACAAGATCGCAGGATCAGTTCAAAAGGATTCTTCAGGGGTGAGCAGGGGAGATGAATTACCCCCACTATCACGGCCCATCACGGGGGTCTCGGGCGGAGACGCTAAAGATAGCTGCATTTTTCTGTATGGGATAACATAATCAAATTCGAGTACATGAACTTGCTTTTTCCTGCACTTTCCAAGGTTCATCTCCATATTTTCTCTACTCTGCGATTGCGCTTTCCCCATAAGCTGGCGGGCGATCCGCAAAAAGTGGGCATCAAGGTTCCAATAAAGATAAATTATCCCACTTGGCTTAAATTTGGCGAACATGTAAATCTTATGTGAACTAGTCCATACATGGGGCCTCCAGCTCGGGTATAGCAAATCCAAATCTAGTCTGATTGCAGACTAAGAAATATTCCAAGGTTTTTACTCTATTGGCGTAATAATTGCTTGGTAAGGAGAAAGCCCCGGCTTGTTCATATGCATGCCACGTTTCTAGACCAATCCCAGTTGAATACACTCATGCAGTAAGATATTCGAGGATTTACTTGTCTACATTTTCCGATCGTGTCTATTGGTTGATTAAGTCATGTTCATAACCTTGGAACAAGAAAGTTTTCCACAATGTATCTAGTAGCTTAAAAGATACAGATATGAGTATCTGATAAACGCCAATATGCCCATCAGCAGGGATAACAGCAGCGGTGACCATAGAGATAAAGGCAGAGACGATAAGAGCACCAAAGAAATGCATTTTAGAGAATTGACTTGTTTTGAAGCTTGGAGCTTGGGAAATTGATAGAGTCCATAGATGGAGTGGTAATATAGCTGAATGAAGCATTAATTTACAGATGTCGAACCTCTTATTCATGTCATTTGCGTATAGCATTTCAATGTTGGCACATGAAGCTCTAGCTTAGATAGTGACTGCATTGCGAGTTTAGGTAGATGTTCATTACTTTATACGTGTCGCCAACCTGACCCTAGACGACTATAGCTCGGCGAAGTCAACTGCGTCTATTCTGCCTAGTGGTTGGCTTTCTGGTGAGGCAAAGTGATCAATTTCACCTCAAGATGGCTAAGTCATGGCTCGTTGGGTCATACTGAATGCTGCGGAAAGAATCCCCCAATACATATCGAGATCCTTCGCAAGTTCAATTATTCTATCACGACCAATGGAGATCTGGGTTCCACCGAAGTGACCATGTTAGACAATTTCCGGATATCTTGGTAACCGGGACTCAACCAGCCCGATAAAAATCTGTTCTGCACATGGCTAACCCGAATCTCCAATCAAGTCGTAAAGTTGCATTCCACGGGATGACTTAGCTTGGATAAGGTGTGAGGCTGAATCCGGTGTTACGCGATTAGGGCAGTCTTGACTTTTAAGCCAGATGGCAGTTAGACGTGGAAAACACAGGGTCTTCGATCTCGATTAATTCGATTTGGAGACAAGTAATTTAAAAGAAATTAAAGAAATTAAAGTTCTCATCTTCTACCTCAATTTGAGTTAATCTGCATAGATTAAGACGGAGATATCCAATCTCCTGCAAGCGGACATCCGGATTCGGTTGACTGGGTTCAAGGGCGAAACGCAACTTCTCTTCTGTAACACTCGACTGGTTTGACACGTTGATCGTGCTTTGCTGTCGTCTTTTCATTAACCTTTTACGATCAACAATTCTTCTTTCTCTTTCCTCCCTTCTTTCCGACCTCACTACCAAACTCACTCGGGCGCAAAAGCTGGCCTTTTCGAGATCGGACAGTGGTCACAGGGCTATCTCCGCCCATACGATCTACAATTTTGGGCAGAACTCAATGCTGCAGGCCCTCTAAGCTATGAACAGGCACTACGCCTCTCCGAAAGGCAGCTCGGCCTACCCTCGCGGGTCCAGCGCCTTCCTCAACGGGTGCGTCACTCCGGCCAAGGCCGCGTGTTTCTTGTCGGCAGGGATTGCTGCAGTTGAGCATGCAATGACCCAGTTTTCCCCGAAGGGATCTGCAATATTCGAAAAGCTAACTTGCTTGCTTACAGCTTCCAACCTCGTTCTCAACCCGCTCTCCGCCGCCGCCGCCAACTTTTCCAGCGTCTTTGTCTCCTCGGTGGGGTGTCATTACTACTGGTGATCTTCATCTTCCCGACATGGCGCGCTTCAATTCTCCCAGCTCTTTCCCTCGGCCTCTTTCACCCATCCGTCGATCTACAGCTCCAGACTGTCCGATACTATGATCTCTCCGAAGTACAAGGCACCGAGAGAGGTTGGGAGCGCGGCGAACGCGTTCTCATGCTCACGCCTCTGCGCGATGCATCCTCCCACCTCCCCATGTTCTTTTCGCACCTGCGAAACCTCACGTACCCACACAATTTGATCGATTTGGCGTTCTTGGTGTCGGATTCGCAGGATAATACTCTGGAGATGCTCTCGCGCATGCTGCAGGAAGTGCAGAATGATCCCGACCCCGACATGTCATTTGGCGAGATCTCGGTGATCCAGAAGGATTTCGGACAAAAGGTTCAGCAGGACGTGGAGAGTCGCCATGGCTTTCAGGCGCAAGCTACTCGGCGGAAATTGATGGCTCAGGCTAGAAATTGGCTGTTGAGCGCTACGCTGCGTCCCACGCATAGCTGGGTCTACTGGCGGGATGCGGATGTGGAGACTGCGCCATTTACGATCATTGAAGATCTAATGCGACATGATAAAGATGTCATAGTTCCAAGTGAGTGGCGCTTGGTTATTTGATTTAGTTCCTTGGATTTTCTCCGTTTGCGGTTGCGACTCATACTAACGTGAACTTCTCTAGATGTGTGGCGACCGCTTCCTGATTGGCTTGGAGGAGAGCAGCCATATGACTTGAATTCCTGGCAGGAGTCGGAGACAGCATTGGCGTTGGCAGATACCTTGGATGAAGATGCTGTCATCGTGGAAGGATACGCAGAGTATGCGACATGGAGACCTCATCTCGCCTACCTCCGTGACCCCTACGGTGACCATGATATGGAGATGGAGCTGGACGGCATCGGAGGTGTCAGTATTTTAGCAAAGGCTAAGGTGTTCCGTTCCGGGGTTCATTTCCCAGCCTTCAGCTTCGAGAAGCATGCTGAAACAGAAGGCTTCGGCAAGGTAAGATTTGGCCCATTCTTTTTCCGCGACAAAACTAACATCATTCAGATGGCCAAACGCATGAAGTTTTCAGTTGTCGGGTTACCCCACTACGTCATCTGGCATTTATACGAGCCCAGTGTGGACGATCTACGCCATATGGAAGGACAGAAAAAAGAGCAAGAGGCCAGGGATCGAGAAGAGAAAGAGCGTGAACTTGCCCAACAACAGGACAGCAGCCAATCTCCATCCCAGAACGTGAACAGCGAGTCTATGAAAGGCTCTTCCGAGGGACCAGCTGCTCAGCCTGGGAAGAATTCTGCCAAGGGTTCCCCGAACAATTAGGGCAGACAATGACTCTGCAACCTCAACTGTCGCGTCCCACCCGAGGAACCAAGGGCTCATTTTAGAAGCATCCAGCTGGCTGGAATATTTCAGGTCTCTGCACAACTGCATGGCCGGCACTCCTGGAACCACATTTGTGGACCATTATGTGCCTCTTTCCTATATTCCCCTTGTCTGGGTGGAATCATTATTTGCTGAGCCCAGAATTATGGCTGGCTCTTGTTTTTTTTCTTTTCTTGACATATGTTCGTCTTTGCTTGTCTTTTTCATCGTTTATTAGAAGCATACTAGAAGGCGTGACATGGAAGTAAGAAATATTATATTGAAGGCGTTAATTGAATTTACTTTGGACTTTTGATTTGAAAGGATATTTTCGTCTTAGGCTGTAAAAGATGCTAGTTACCTAGGTCAGCAAGGACAGAGATAACTGGCTAGTTACTAATCTCTGGAGCCTGATAACCCAAGCACCAATATCTATCTAGGAAGTTAAATCAAACATTCGAAACATGTGGTTCATTTCAACCATGTGCTTATAACGCTTTCAAATGGGTCAAACCTACAGAATAAAGTTGATAAAGTTGTATCCTGATACACAAGATAACACACTAATTCCAAAGGCGTGGAAAAAGTAGATTAGGTTTTCTTCTAGGGGGGTCAGATGGTGTAAATGACCTACACAAATAAGCAAAAGCATGGAAACCCGTCCTCGGGGTCATTCCAATTTAGGAATCATGCCCTTTAATCCGTCCAGTCACATTCATCTATCTTGCAGATTAAGATGCGCGTGCGTTGTTGAATCGATAGTGATGTCATCTGATCGAGATCGGACCGAGCCGAGAAACTACGTAGTGTTCATTCCTAGTTCTACCGATGCCTTTCTCATGATTAGTTCTAAATATTTAAGAAACCTCCGACATTTGAAGGCTGATGAGAGTGCTTTGGAAGTAAAAGGTCATTATTTGCGGGGTGGGTTTATCTTACGTGTAGACCCACTTAGATCTCGGTTGGGAAGAAACGGTGAAACGGTCCTCGGATGAAACGCCGATCTGATAAACAAGGATCTGACTTCCAATCAGAGGAAAGTATGTGTTGTTGTACAGGAATGATCAGACACTCACAGGCATCCGATGCAGTCACGTCGACTGCCCCCATGTGGCTCCTATCAGTCAAGGGCTGCATAGCTCACCCTTCGTAATCCTGCCCTGGGTTCTGACTCCTTTAAACAACCCCTTGGCCCTAGTTCTTTCTATATATTATTTTCCCCTAGACATAGTTCTGCTTATTGTTGTTGTTCTTCATACAGTCAACAATGAGTGAAGAGAGATCTCCATTACTTGGGGGGCCTAAGAAAGACGCCACAAAGTGGCTGTCGGTTTACTTACTGTCGGCGGGGAGTTTCTTCGCATCCCTTGCTTTTTCTTTACTCAATGTGCCAATGACACAACTCATTGAGGATAACATATGTCGTCAATATACTCAAGGCGCCACTACTGCGAAAGGGTTTTGCAAAAATGACTATATTCAGATCGATTTGGCGAACCTAAGTGGCTATATGCCCGTCATGGAGGCGGTAGTTAGTATGTTTCATTGTACCGCATAACTTTACATACAGATACTGATTGACGGCTCTAGGTCTTATAACCGCTTTTCCATTCGGAGTTTTATCCGATAGGTATATTACCTCAAGCCAGCGCTTGCTTCCAATATGCTAAGTCTTTTCTATCTAGAATTGGTCGCAAACCCATTCTTTACGTCTCATCGGCCGGAAGCATACTCTGCACTGTCTGGAAATTAGCAGTCCTCGGCTTTCCATCCATCCTACCAGTACAATTCATGTTAGCTGGTCCCCTATTTCTCGTCGTGGGCGGTGGACAAGCCGTTCAAATCGCCAGTCTGAACTCCATCGTATCAGACCTGGTAACCACCTCAGAAAGGTAAGTTGCTCATCTATAAGCCGCAAACCCATCTAATCCAACCAGAGCATCATCATTCTTCATACTCGCATTCGGGATGCTAGCCGGTAACGCCGTTGGACCATTCATCTCATCCGAGCTCATGAGCTCCCATTCACCCTGGGTTCCAGCTCTTCTAAGCCTCTGTATGTGGCCGATCGCCATTTCACTCCTGTCATTCGTACCAGAGACTCTATCCAATCCGAAAAAGACCACCATCGCCGCGATAGATCGCGCCCCACTGGGACTAGAGCCTATAACGATAAAATCGCACGTGTCACAGTCCTTCAGACTCTACAAAGCCTCTGTCGCATCTCTACGCTCTCCCTCGATTATTATTATCATCGCCATTAACCTTATAGAGATGCCGGAGTACTTCGCCACCTCACAGTTTCTAACGCAGTTCATCAGCAAACGTTTTCAGTGGTCCTTCGCTAGTGCGGGGTACCTCATTGCTATGCGAGGAATAATCCAAATGACCGTGTTATTGGTAACACTTCCGCTTTTATCAAGACTTTTGTTGCGATGGCAGAGACCGAATGCGAGAGATCTCACACTTGCACGGTTCTCGGCTGCTTTTGCTGCTGCGGGGGCTCTTTGGATGGCTTCGTCGCAGGTGGATGTTGTTGTTGCGGGATTGGCGTTGCAGAGTTTGGGTGGTGGTATGGGACCCCTGTGTCGTTCTTTGGCTTTGACCTATGTACCAGCGTCTGAGACCTCGAGGTTGATGACGTTGATTGGGATTGTGGGGACTTCAGGCTCGTTGTTTGGGGGGCCAGTGTTTACTTGGCTGTTCGGGGTAGGCTTGGAAAGAGGCGGTGTGTTAGTCGGACTTCCATATTTTGGTCTGGCAGGGGCGTTTATCTTGTGTCTTGTTGGATTACTTTTTGTCCGCGCGCCTTTGTCAAGGGAGGAAGATGACGCTGATTTGATCGGTATAGATGATGGCATGTCAGTTGGATGTTGATATAGAGGACTGTTGGAGGTTGTTTACTTTCGATCTTTTTTTTTTCCAGTATTACGATACCCCAGGCTAGCGTGCTACTTCACGCAGTTTCATTCAGTTCAATCATTTTACTCCATTTATACCATTTCAATGCCCAATTTCCCAGAGTATGAAGGGATTCCAGATCTTTCACTATTTAGAGGTGGTCCGTGCATCACGCGTCCATTCGCGTCTTTCCCGCGTTTTGTTCCCCTCCAACATTTCATTCGAGATCACATATCCGCAATGGCCACTCAAGATTCACGTGGTATTCTATTCACACATACTCAGCATCAACAGGGGTTTCGGCTGCTAGAACTCTCACTAGATCTGGAGGCGCTACTTACAGCTAAAGATGCTCCCGTGTATGTTGACAGCGATCACTTCTTTCCTGGCCCGGCTAGACTTCACAATTCTTACTGATCAAATGTATATTGCAGATTGGAACTCAAATCGCCTTCTTCTGCCCTCGCACAAGCGGTCGTAGATCCCAGCGCCCAAGAATACGTCAACCTCTGCACTCCCACAGCAACCTATCGTATCCGCCAAGTCCAATCGTCAAATTCACTCCATATCCTACGCCCCAGTCCCGGTAACATCTCCCAAGCGGACATCAAAGTTGTTGAAGACGAAGATGAAGAAACTGGCGTCTTGAAGCTTCCCGATGATTCAGTGAGCACCATTGCGAAGATCGGATCAACACTAGAGCTTTATGTGCCACCAGAAGGATTTTCGGCTATTCCGTTCCTGGAGAAAAGTCTACAGCTTTACGATCCGCGTACCGGGGATGAGGATGAGGATGTCATGATGGACGAGCCTTCGAGTGCGGGGGATAAGGGCCCCACTGAGGTACGAAGGTTGAGGGATCTTTTGTGCGCGGATATCCCTGTCTCTGCAGCGCAATGCGAGCAGGGGTGGGTTGAAATCTGTGCATTTATAGATGGCAAGCATGAGTTGGCGTGCTGGAGACCTTCGGCGCGGATGCGTTTGAATGTGTGGAAGCGTCTGGTGGAGGGCGCGATTTTGCAGGGTATTGATCTGGAAAAACAGTTCCTCGTTGGGGATTTATGGAAATCGGTTCTTGATGATGATGATACGTCGGAACCGTTCCCAAAAGCCTGTCTTGAGGCGGTGGTGAGAAAGCTCTGTACAGCGGATGAGCGACCAGCGCTAGCGGATGAGATGAAATGTGAGGATACGCCGCTAGGCCTTGATTTCAACGATCCAATTTGACGAAACTGACTTTGATATTCCAGGGGCAAGCTTTGAAAGGGTCGAATGTACTAAATGGGTTGGTGAAACCTATCTTGCGGCCATGGCACCTACTGCATCTTCTGCCATTGGACGAAGTGATTTCCTCCGTGCTTGGAAAGACTGCCTTCCCGAGCCATGGAGAGGCGATGCAACATTATCAAAGCTACAAGATGGAGTATACCGAAGCCCCGATCCTACATCAATTTTCTTTGTGGAGCCGTCGCAACGCCAGCAGAGCACCAAGGCTGCCGCGGCCCCAGCGGCCAAGGCCAAAACCAGCAGGAATTGGCATGAATTGCTCAAAAAACGCAGTTGAGTGTAGACCATGCAGTCGTTATTGCGTCTGACAATGGTGGCCCCAACCTATGAGGCCTATCTCTAGAAACATAATGGACACTTGCCGCCCAAAAATTCATCCCTGCTCCGCAGTCAAAAGGCGTGATGATATAGATGAAGCAAAACCAAAACAAAAACAAAAACAAAAACAAAAAAATTTCCAAAGTGGTGAAGGGCGTTCAACACCAAGTGTACTTCTCATTCAAGAACCACTCGACATCATCACCAAGTCCTTGCTCTGCACCCGTCCAGCGCAGACTGGAAATGCTGCTTTTTTCGCGATGCACAACCTGGGCATCTGAGTCCAACATCTTCACGGCCTTCTGCAGCAGAGGTGTCGGATTCCAAAATTCGACCGCATGCATATTCCATTCATGTGCTTCCTGTTGGGCTCGTCGTAAGATAGCAGCCATGGCTTCAACCAAAGTCCGCTCCTCGTCTGCCGACTTGGGATCATCATACACCCAACGCAGAATATACAACACATTATCCTCGGCCTCCTCGCCGAAATTTCGGTTCCATGCACAATACACACGAGCCTGGTCGCTCCCAGCGCCCTTGATGGTAGGTGGAGAGCGCTGCGGCAAAAGGTTATTCGCAAAGAACTCCTCACGCGCCCAGTGCCACAAGAAATGGTCAAAGTCGGGCATAATGGCGATCTTACAACCAGTGGTCTTCAGCGAAGCGTCCCGCAGCTGGTTGTGCAACTTGGCAGTAACAACGTCATTACAGATCAGCTTCTGCACATCTTCCGCAGATAAATCTCTTGTCGCATTTCCGCTTCCATTGGACCGTCTTTCCTCGTTCGCCAGTGGCGGGAGAGCCATATGCGAAGACAAGAAAGGCTTCCACCCAAACTGCGCATAGAAATTCTTTCCAATATCGGAGAAAAGAATGGTAAATAGTGCCCGACCTCTCGTCTCCTTCTCCATCTTCCACGTATCGAGCTTCCTGCTTAACTCCTCGAACATCCGCTTCGCGTATCCCTTGCCCCGAAACTCGGGCCGGCAGTAGACACTTCCGACGCCGTGTGTAGACACATCCTCCACATTGCCGCCGTGTGCTAGCAGTGCCTTCTTCTTGTATGTCTCGCAAGAACTCAGGATTGTACGATCTCCCTCTGGCTCGGACTTGTCGACCAAGATCCAGCATGTCAAGCCATCGCGGGTCAGGTTTTGAGCGAAGAGGTGATTCTCACGTTCGATATAGGTGTCGATGTCTAGGGGGCCTTTCCAAGCGACGCTATTGAGTTTGATGGAGGCAATGCGCTCCTCTGGGGTAGCGGGCACGAGAATCAAGTCGGGCGAGTCTCCTGCTGGGAGGGAGATATTTGCTGCAATCATAATGTATCTAGTAACTCCCCCGTAAATGGCTGCAAGAGAGTGGAAGGTTCTAAGATATGAAACGTCCAGTGTTCTTTCTTGGAATCCTTACGGCCGGAAAGAATCAATGAGTCAGAGTTGGTGAAGCTGTTTTTCAAGACCCCACAAAGCGATGTGTTAGAGAAAAAGTCGATCCAAGGAAATAAAAATTTGAAATCCGGGGTCAAGTGGATATTTTCAGGTCTTTCTCCATTTATATACCCCCTAAGCCCTAAAACATGGAACATTAAACCCGGCGGGGTTCCGTCGCAAGCCCCTAACGTGTAACCCGCCTACTCCGAATCGCTACACATTGCAATTACCCCCCGCTTGTTGATCTCCGCATCGTGATCCGGGCCGGAGAATCCTGCTCTATACGGTTTCTCTTTGTCAACCGGCCCGAGGACAAGCGACGGCAAGCGATTTCGATAAGCTTAATGTTGCACGGATATCGGATAAACCTGCCTTTAACTGATGTTGACGTAACAGTCATGTGTACTGGGGTGGGGTTATACCCATAAGTGTGAATCTTGGCCACATGATATAGATCAATTTGGAAGTGAAGATAGGATAGAAGATTAGAAGATACTTGGTAAATATTCCAGATTCTCTCAAAAGATTACACATGGAGTCACATGACACGATATCATCCATTCACTATAATATCCCCACTGAGAACCATCCAAAACTATGTACTAACTAGCTATAGTAACAGATAGCCGATTTCAATGATCATGTGCATTCGATCGGGTCTAAGGTATAAAAGGATCAGATCACTCTGCCTTTGGGTCTATCAACCATTACCCATTCAAACTTTCCAAGCTGACTTCTCTACCAATGGCTCACAATTCTTCGCATGATTGTCCTCTTTACGGTGATAGCCAAAAAGAGAGAAGACGGCGCCGACTATAGATCAATGATTCAAGTGAACCCAATTGCCCCATCCAGCTATGCACAGGACCAATTACATATTGCGAACTTTGTCATATATGGAATCCAGACGCATACAACCAGTATCTCTCAAATTAAGATATTATCATACACTACCAAGCAGGGCAAACACCAAACGTCGCCGTCGATCTCGTCTTCTCATCCACTTCACTCATTGGCTTCGCAAATATAGCCCGTATACCCTCTGCCACATGATCTGGTCGACTGCAGTCCCATGTCAGATCGAGGGTTTCGGTGACAAGGCATGAGGTAAAGAAAAGGAAAAAAGACCGGAAACACTTTAGGTATTACAAAACATTCACTGCAATTTCTAGACTACGCAGAAAGATTGGGTGATGATCTATGAGGATGAGGCAACGACGTGGGAAAGAGAACCACGCGAACAGATGTAAATCAAAGCCTGAAAGACGGCATTCAGAAGTGATTACTGGATAATTGAATTGGCTGGAAGATTGTTGAAATAGAATCATGTAGATCTAGTTGAAAGATTTCAACAAAAAGATATGAAATGAAATACAGTAGAAAAGGATTTGGTATGCAATAATAGGCCTGACCGCAGCAAAAGGAATCAACTTGTCAAATCCAGGGATCAGCACAAGATGCAAGATATATAAAGGGTCGAGAAATCAGAACCCGGAGAGGTATGAAAATGAGGGTAGAAGAGAGAAGGAGCGTCGTAAGAAAAGGGGATAGTGAAAAAGAAGGGAAAAGAGAAGAGGGAAAAGAGAAGAGGGAAAAGAGAAGAGGGAAAAGAGAAGAGGGAAAAGAGAAGAGGGAAAAGAGAAGAGGGAAAAGAGAAGCAGGATTTGGGGATATAAGGGAAGAGGAATACAAAAATGAGCCCAAAAAGGAAAGATATGAACCTGGTCTATATAAGTAAATGCCATGCAAGTCCCAAAAATGGTCCGCTCCCCGTTTTATGTATTTGCGCCACTTTCTTGAGGACAACAGTCCTAATTCCTCATCCGTCATGTATGTTCGATCATTGGTCACGCTAATTCAAGTATGAGACTGAAATGGGTATGGACAGATAACACGAACAATTTTCATAGCCTGACACAAATATACCCTCAAACAGGAATAAGAATGTTCAAGGCGATTGCTCTGAATCCACTGGTTCGTTAAACTTCTGCCGCGCCTCCTCAACCCATAACTCCAACCGAAGTTCTCCGGCCTCCACACGTCGTACCGGTACAGTTTTGGCGCGGCCGCTCGATTGCCGAACGGGCGGCTGTTGGGGCTCGCCATTTCGCAATTTTGACACGGAAAATGGGGCGGTGCAGGATCTGAGATGCACCTTGCCAGGTTCGGCGACAATCCACGTTTGTTCTTCTTTGGTAGTGCCTGCGGGGGGCAGTGCGTCTTCGCGCACTTCGATGCAGACGGTGAAGCTAAATTCGTCATCCCGTGGCAAGGGGGTCAGGCGTGCGCAGGCGGATGCGAGTCGAGCCAGACAGGCTCGAAATTGTGACTCGAGGTCGACCGAAGTTGGCGCGGGACCCCGGTCCGAGACGGGGGCATCTGGCCTGGAAACATCTTCACTTCTGTCTTCAAATGTAGTGTTTACCTCTCCGACAGGGGCCCGAGGGAAGCCCGACAAATCAAAGGCATATCGTTCGAGGGGCTGATTTGTGCGGAGAGATGATATAATGATACTGACTGCCGTTATTGTGCCTTTCAAGATCTCTGTCCCGACTGCGATTGATGCATCGTTGATATAGTCACACACTTTCGGGTGACGAGATTGACGGACGGGATAGTTGTAAGCCCTCACAGGAAGGAAGGTCGCGCGCGGGTAAACGGAGCGAAGGAAAAGTATTTGGTGGACCGACACAGTAAGGAAGCTGGTGAAAGAAGCCGCCAGTGCCGACTGATTGGTGGGCAACGATCTGGTGGCAGGGATCGGAGCGGAGAAAGTGGTCATGGTGGTGGTACTACTGGTCTCACTGGCCATTGGCATTGCCGTTGAACGATCCGATGTCGTTTCCACGGGAAGAGTGGTCTTGACGGAGTCTCGAAGAATCTGAATGATGTTCCACCCTGAAGCTAATCATCGCTCTGCCTTTCTAAATTCATCGGTCAATTTGAGGGGCTATGAATATTTCAAAGTGATCGGATTGGTGAGCGGGGGATGTTTTGAGAAACAGCGTCATCAATATTTTCCCCCGCCAATAGTCACCGATAGCAAGGCCAGTAGACAGATCGAGTCGGGAAAATAGGTGGGTAGACTGATATTATCGGAGGTAGAGAGAAGGGTATGTGGAAAGACCCTTGGTGTAGATTGGAAGACGGGGGGTTGGTGTTGAAGGGGTAGAGGGTGGGTTGAACTGGTGGGAGGGGAGGAGGGGGTTTGAAGGGAAAACCAAGATACATACGCTTGGGTGGACAAGACAAGAAGATGTAAACCCTCAAAGCATGAGGAACGAGAACGATATAACCCTAGGCGCCGATCCCAAAAAACAAAGAAAAGAAGGTCACTTGTTCACGTTCTTAAAGGGCGAGAGGTGGGTTTGCAAGCGAAGGGAAGGAGGGGGCGTAGGCACAACCCTAGTAAGGGAAAGGGAAGTCGTAAAAAGCCTTCGGGGCCTGGTGGAGCTGAGTGATAGGCGTCGAGCCGGACGAAAGGTGAAGGCGATGGGTGGTCACGATGGTTTCCCCGGTGGCTTTGCTCGAGGGGGAGAAGCAGGAGTGGGAAGTTCGACGGTCAGTGGAAGTCACGGTTCCCGTCACGTGGTTGCGTCATGGGTTGGCCCTGCAGAACTACACTTTTTTTAGCTTCTTTGTTTTTTAAGATTTCAAGGATTTGAGCGGCTAAAATTTAATGGTTTATTTTTGACAAATGGTGCTCTTAAGATACTATATTTCGTTATTATTACTTGACTATATGAGATGAAAAATTAGGTGGAAGACTTTGCCCTAGCGTGGTGCCAAAAGAGTATAAGAATAGTCAGGAGCAAACAATACACCATTTCTTTCAGCTGTAGTGCAGGTGTACTGCCTTTTTCTATAACAAAGATTCCTGTCTCTCTTGCTTATTTAAAAAGCATTTATTTATTCCCTCTTTTCGCCCTCGATCTCTCTTTATTTATACATCTTTGGTTCCCTAGCTACTGGATGATTGAAGTGGGTGTAATAACGGGACATTTTAGCGGGAGGAGAGGGCTGATCATCGCAGCCAAGCGAATAGAAAGAGAAAGAAAAGAGAGAAAAAAAATCTAATCAGTAGTACTTCTGGCATACAACCATAACACATCGTATAGTACTCAACCTTTGAGCAACTTAAGGACCGATGGGTTATAGCCGAGAAGAAGCAACTCATTGTTCTACTATGGTGCTTATCTGGAATAATGTAAAGATTGTTTTAGTCCCCTTGACGGAACCAAAAAATCAGCTGTTTCTAAGATTATCTTAGAGGAATGATGTTACGGAGTATTGTACCTGAGATTGAACTACCAAAAACCTTCTTTGACTGGGAAGCTCATCCATGGACCTATAGGCATGAGGATCCACTGGGGCACGGATACCAGAGGCTAATAATGGTATTGTGGTACAGATTAAATACAGCAATGGTTCACATTGTCTCACTGATTAAAGTCAGGCCACTATGTAGCAGAGCGGTACCGGGTACACCCCTCTTGTAATGTAATGGTAAGACTTGGCACTTTTCCCGATGATCTTCCCATCTCTGACGGCAGTGGCGGCGACAAGACAAGGGTACGACTTCCCGGGGAGACCACCATTACTTCTCCGGCACTAGGGTGGAAAATATACAACATTGAGAGCGTATGAGATGGGCTCCATATGCCGCGATTATCAATTGATTTTCCACCTGTTTCTACTGTCACCGCCACCAGTGATGATCTTCATTTTCTCCGGTGATCATGATGATCTTAGTAAGGATTTTTAGTGAGGGGCACACAACCCCATTTGGAACCATTCCACCCTCCCCCCAGCATGACGCGTTGTATACTGCAAAGCTATCAACGGTCTCCCATGTTGAAAACTTTTTTCTGTTTACTAATCAAGATTCCTCTATGGTACCTGACACTATTGTCGACTACACTGTCTCAAAGCTATAGTGCGTAATGCCAACGCATGGTCTCATCTGGCTGACATTGAGTCAATTCTGTGGGCCCTCCGAAAAGATCGCGATCCACTGGTACTAAGCGGTGTCAGGCCGTGAAAATCTGATAATAGCGCATTATCTCAGACCCCCTCTCGCCAATCTATCTCTAACAGGAAAATAGTGTACCTGAGCCTGTCAATTTGAACGCCCAACGAACACGGGTCCGACCAGGCACCCTCGGTACATACACATGTACCATGATGCAATATACGAAGATTACTTCCGGATCACGGACTAGGAGTCCTTGTCACAAAATGACGTGTTGACTTGACTTGACTAAACCCACTCAAACACCCCAAAAACCTAGGGCTAAACAGGAGGCTCGTCGCAGCTGCTGCATTTCACTACGGAGTACTTACCCAACAGCCTGGGTTTCTACTATTGGACAATGTTCAAGATAACGCTAAAAAAAAGACTATCCCGGCTTTGTCAAGCCTTGTCAGCCCAACGCGGGCCCAGAATCAGGAGACCAAGTGTCTGGGTATGGTCGCCATCTCAAAATTAGGATATCGTTCTGGGTTGTCAACCAACGGTTCTTTGACTACAACTCATGGCACGTAGAATAACTCTATATAGTCTCTCCGCATGACTCTTATAATTGGTGGTGAGCTTCTGATGATAGTACTTGCTACCTCATCAGCTGCAGCGTCTCAGTCTTTCTGACATCAGGAGCAAAACTACAATTCATTGAGGTGTAAGCCCGAGCCCCATTATCTCAAGCTCATCAAGGCAGGTTTGGCGAGAGGCAGTTGTGGGGGCAAAGTGAGTTAGGAATTATACCTCTTTCTAGAATGAACCCGTCACCGATTTCCACGGGTATCGCATGTATTCAATCCATGGATGTCCATGGATGTCATTGAAAGCCAGGTTACAAGTCATTAACCGTCACATTAACCGTCAGGGTCAGGGATAGGTCGAATCATGGAAAGATGTTTTCGGTATAGTCCACAGTATAATCAATTAATCGATCGCATCTGCAACAAAGCTGTGAACTGAGCCTTGGAATGCTAAACATTTGTTTCCTTTCCCCTAGTGTCTTTACCAATTCCGATGTTTGTTCATGTAGATAACATGTCTCGGATTGGATTGACCGCCCCTATAGCAAAGGACATGTCACCGCCCTACCGCTTAGTAACACTGTTATGTATTTGGCTTTATTTAAAGGGTCGTCGACAGTCAAAACTATCAAAATGCAGTATAGAACTGACTTTTGCTGTCACATATAAAGTGAAGTGAAAATAATAACTATTCTGCTATGATCAGTATAGAATAGTCTTACGAATCCTGAGTGCGGATTTCTGCCGTTTTAAAATTGGATTGGGTGTTCTTTAAACATCACACCTCTGCCCCTCGTGTATCACTTATCGCGCCCGCGCGCAACCACCAAAACTCCTTTTAGCGCGTCACGGCCTGGAGCCAACTGTTTATCTCACTCTGTCTGTTTACTCGCCTAAATTCATCGGCGCAACACAGTCAGGAGAACAGATCCTTTGCATCAGTCTTGCCCATTGATTCATTGAACTATCGCCCATCATGGAGCAAATGCTCTTGTCGCTCCTTGGAGACACTCAGTCCCCTAAGGCCGATACAAGAAAGGCTGCAGAGCTTCAACTAAAAAGCCTGTATACAAACGAATCATTCCCTATTTCCCTCACCGCCATTGCCTCACATGAGTCGGTTCCCGTCAACCTTCGCCAGTCCTCCCTGTCCGTGCTCCGCACCTTCATCGCTGCCTCCTGGTCCCCCGTCCTTGACGAATTCAAGGGCCAGATCCTTGTGACCGATGAAAACAAAGCTCAGATTCGGCGTGCTTTGCTCGAGTTGGCGACAGTCACCGAAACTCCCGAGCGCAAGGTCAAGGCCTCTGCCAGTTATGCTGTTAGCAAGATTGCCAGTGCGGATTTCCCGGACGACTGGCCAGACCTGCTGCCTTCGTTGCTACACATCATCAATGATCCCGCCACCACCGATGGTGCGCTACACGGTGCCTTGAAGGTCCTACTGGATTTGGTCGACACGGGCTTCGGTGAAGATCAGTTTTTCAATGTTGCTCGCGATCTGGTTTCGTCTCTATTTGCCGTCGCTACTTCGGAATCCCGCCGGCCTATGCTGCGGGCTCTCTCGGTTGCAGTCTTCCGGTCTTGCTTTGATACCTTGGAGATGGTTCTGGAGCAACACAAGGTCGCAATTAAGCAGTTTGTGGATGAGTTGCTGGGTGGATGGTCGCCATTCTTTATTGAGACCCTTAAGGCGCCACTTCCTCAGCAACCTAGTGAGGAAGAAGCCAACAAGGGGGGTGAAGTTCCCTCGCAATGGCGTGGGGTTATTGGTCTGAAACTTCAGATTGTTAAGGTACTGTTAAAGTCTTGCTGGTCCAAATCTGAGAAAGTTGGCTAATAGACTAAATCTCCCTAATAGACCATTATGAAGATCCGAATGGTATTCCCTGGACTTCTGACTGCTCAGAGCCCGAACTACTTCTCAACAGTTTGGACGGAACTCACGAATGCATTGCCGATCTACCAAAACTTTTTCATTGAAGAAGAACGTCAAGGGCGTCTGGAGGATGTTGACGGCCTTCCCTACTCACTCGATTTCCTTGTCCTGGAGGAATTAGACCTCATTCAGACTCTTTTAAAGGCTCCCCCTGTAAAGGCGGAGCTGCAACAGCAACTTCAGAATGCGGGCGCTGCGGCAACCACATCTGGCTGGTTGCCCGAGATTATGAAATTGGCTAGCTCATACGCCCAAATCACCACAGAAGAGGAAGGCCTATGGGAGATTGACGTGAACCTGTTTTTGTCAGAGGAAACATCTCTTACTGCTAACTACACTCCCCGCACTTGCAGTGGCGACCTGGTCATCAAGACTGGCGAATGGCTAAAAGGAACAACTGTGGAAGGACTTCTAAGCCACATGAACACTGTCTTTGCGGATGCTTCGTCTTCGTAAGTTCTATGATTTATTTACTGCGCTTTGAAAAGAATCTCAGCTAACTTGAACATCTGACAGTTGGAAGTCCCGCGAAGCATGCCTTTACATTCTCAATTGTCTGCTTCGTGACTTTTCTGAGGTATCTCAACAAATCTCTCCGGAATTGGCTGCCCAATTCAACCAGTTTGTGCACTATGCAATTCAGCAGGAGCAGGAGCTTTTGCGTGCACGGGGTTACCTTGTGGCTGGTGCCTTGGCTAAAGTGTCGGGCGATGCGTTCCAGCAAACTACTACCTCATACTTGGAGGCTACCTTGAAGGCCATTGCTGAAGATCCCGCTGAGGTGGTTAAGGTTGCTGGCATCCGAGTCCTGCAGGACCTCATGCCATCGCTGCCCGCCTCTGCAGCACGCCCATTCCAGACCCTCATCATCTCGGCCATCTCGGAGTTTGTTTCAGCACATGACCTGCGTGAAGATGTCGAGAGTGACGACCTTACAATCACTCTGGCCGAGACCCTCCGAGACACCATCATGACAGACCCGGCCATCGTCCTATCATCGACCGCTATTGACGTTCTGTTTAACATTGCCAGCAGCGGAGCTGAAAATTTCCAATTGACTATGACAGTTACGGAAGCCTTTGAGGACATTGTGGAGCAAATCGCCGAGCACGGCCCCGAGGCTTACATGCACCTCTGCGAAAAGGTGCTGCCCTCGTTGATGGGAGCCATTGACGTGGGTAATCTTACTGAGGAGAATGCTCTGACCAACTTCGCAGCTGACCTCCTTCGGGCTCTGGCCGAACGGAGCCTGGAGCCTCTTCCTGCTGGATTTGTCGAGACGGTGATGCCCAAGCTCAACCGCCTACTTTTGGACTCTGATGAGGCTGAGCTTATCCGACCTGCGACGGAGGCTGTCCGCCATATTCTTGCCCACGACTTTAACCAGTTCGTCGCCTGGCGGGATCCACAGTCCGGCAAGGAAGCGATCGAAGTTGTGCTCGTGATCATTGATCGACTACTGGGGCCGGCTGTTGACGACAACGCCGCCACCGAGGTCGGTCAGCTCGCTGCCGAGCTAGTGGAGCGGGCCGGCTCGGAGCGTCTGGGACCCTATCTTCCCCAGCTGCTCCAAGCTGTGGCCCAGCGGCTTGCGACTGCTCAACAGGCCCAATTTATCCAGAGCCTCATCCTCGTATTTGCCCGGCTGACGCTAATCAGCGCGCGTGAGGTTGTGGACTTCCTCGCCCAGGTCAATCTGGGTGGCTCCAGCGGACTCGTCGTAGTCCTGAGCAAGTGGCTAGAGAACTCTGTCAACTTTGCGGGTTATGACGAAATCAAGCAGAACATCTTCGCGCTAGCTCATCTGTATGAGCTCTCCGACCCACGAGTGTCACTGGTGCCAGTCAAGGGCGACCTGATTGTCCAGGATACCGGTCGCATAAAGACCCGGTCGCAGGCACGTAACAACCCGGACCGTTTCACAACGGTTTCTGCGCCCTTGAAGATTATCAAGGTGCTGGTGGAAGAGTTGGCAGCAGCTTCGGGTAACAAGGAGATCGATGCGGCTGCGGCTCGTGCCCTTGAAGATGCCGACAGTGATGATGGGGATGATGAGTGGGAGGATGAGCCCGGTCAAATCTTGGATCTTGGCTTGGGTATGACAAAACAGGAGTTGATGAGCTTTGGGGAGGGCGGCTCCGAGAGTGTATTTGGGGTGCGACGCCGTGATGATGAAACCCAGAGCTTCCTTGGTGACTTTTTCCGACGAGCATCTCAGCAACCTGGATTCCAGGAGATTTATGGGGCATTGACCGCTGACGAACAGCTCAAACTGCAAAGCTTGAATTGAATATTGAATTGATTAGATGAGTCTCAAAGAGGCCAAAAAAAGGAAAGATCGACCTAAATTCAAAATGGCATGTCAAGTTATGTAAAAAGTGGATCCAAGCTTATGATATATTGTTCTGCGGGGTTGTTTTGATAGATCAACTTTCCAGTATCCCGTGTCTCGGGATTTCAGCTTCAGTGATAGCTTCACCATCGCTTTTTATTTCATCTTACCTTTCCCACTTTCTTTCTTTCTTTTTTTCTTTCTTTCCTTCTTTCTTTTCTACACCTTTCTCTCATTATGCCCCATCCAAATCCCCACGAACAAATACAAGTTGATGTAAGTGCTACCTTTGGAGGGAATCATGTATCTGAAATCTTTCCGCGTCTTGACTCAAGTATACTATACTATATGAGCCTCTCGGCCTTGAATCCCCCTTGCTTTTCTTTTACCCCCTATCGAAAAGATTGATGCACTTTCACCCCCTATGGTCCCTTTCACATCAATTTTCCTGCAACACAGTCTCACCAAGTTCTCCACCAGACAAGTGACGATGAATCCCTCTGCGACAACGAAACCATCGTGGACTCCAACCTCTCCTTCGCCTCCTCCGTCCGTGACTACTGCTACGAAAACGGTCGCCGCTACCACGCCTACCGACATGGCCAATATCCAGTCCCAAACGACCAAGAAGAACAAGATCGCCTCGGTCTAGTGCACCACCTCTTCAAATTAATCACCGGAGGCGACCTCTACCGCGCCCCAATCCAACCCCGCGAGGACCGCCCCACTCCACCCCCGCGCCGTATCCTCGATATAGGCACTGGAACCGCCGAATGGGCTCTCGAGGTCGCAGAAGATTTTCCCAACGCAGAAATCATCGGTACGGACCTCAGTCCCATCCAGCCGAGCTGGGCACCGCCGAATTGTCGCTTCTTTATTGATGATGCTGAGAGCGATTGGGCGTACACCCCCGCAGAGGCGTTTGATTATATTCATATGCGGAGTATGGGTGGTGGGATTGGGGATTGGTCGCGATTACTGAAGCAGGCGTACCAGCATGTGCGGCCTGGTGGGTGGGTGGAGGTGCAGGAGTTTGAGGCCATGTTGACGTCGGATGATGGGACGCACCTTCTTGCGCCTACGGTGGTTGATTGGATTGACAAGTTGAATGGGGCGAGTAGGAAGTTTGGAAAACCAATGAATGTCGGTCCACGGGTTCAGTCTTGGATGGAGAGTGGGGGATTTGTCAACGTGACGGATGACATATTCAAGGTGAGTGTTTCCTGGGTATTTCTATGCATTATTCTCATTCTCGACAGTGTCCCATTGGGGGATGGGCTAAGAATCGCCCGCTTAAGGAGATAGGTCGCCTTGGGAAAGTTCTTGTTTTGAGAATTGTGGAGCCGTATAGTCTTGCCTTGTTTACTAGGGTGCTGGGCCTCTCGTTTCAAGAGGTACAGGTCTATATGGAAAAAGTGTGCACCGAATTGATGAACTCCAATCTTCATCTATACTTCTTCTTTCATTTTGTTTATGGGCAGCGGCCCATGGAGACGAATGATCAGATTTCGAAATGAGAACCTGACCTTACCCATTTACGGCTACTCATACGATTTACGATTGATGAACATTTCGGTGTTTCGGTGTTAATGTATAAAAGTTTCATTTCTCTTTTTTCATTACGTATTAGACTTGGGCAGCATCAGGAATGTCAAGGGCGGTTCGCGACCAGCGTTCATCGCCCACTCCCAATCCCTAGGACGTGACAGATTCCCGAGACAGCTTCCTCGGGCGTCGCACTGGCCCTGACAACTTGCACGACCTGATCTACGCGCTCCTCGTCGCAACTGCCAATCGTTTCGAGTATAGTTTCCAGAAGCTCCTTTTTCCCTTTGCCTGTCCACGAGTTTGGTATGGAAATGGAAGGGTGCTGCGAGAGTGACTCATGGGTAAGAAATTGTGGACTCTGTAATGGTTGCGAGACGTTAAGTGGATCCTGGTTTGCAGTGAAAGCGCCAATGGATGATGAATGTGAATATGAATCCGGATATTGGTGTGCAGGCATGAATTGGTGTCCATGTCCCCATTGTGGATGCTGATATAATTGAGGCTCGTAGACCGGATTTGTATGTGGGGCTGGCACCTCTGGAATGTAGCTGGCATAGTCCTGCATGTATGGCGCATTACCCCAGTCTTCCGCATAGTGGGGGCCGTCACCTTGATACATCTGTGACGCAATGCCTACTGGCTGTAGATTCTGCATAGAAATCGAAGCAGGTAACTCGCCAGGTGCAAAAGCCGGAATGCCTCCTTGACAATGTGCAAGATTCGTGTCTTCCACGAAATCTATCCCACCGTCAGCACATACGATCGCAAAAAGAGACCCAACTTGGGGAACTTGGAAAGTCTCAATCATAAAAGAAAAGAAAAACTTACTAGCGCCAATAAAGGCCGTGCCAGTCGTTGTCGTGATATCCTCAGTATTGGTCCCGAATGTCGATCCCTGATATATCGATTGCGTATGACTCGCCGTTCCACTCCCCGTACTATCAGGACTATTGACAGACAAGGAATGTGTCATAGCCGATGACGAAGGCGACGACCCATCCCAACTCCCCTCTGTCATTTCCGTCCCTGCGCCGCCAGCGCTCGCATACCCAATCACGCCACCCACATCACTAACCATCCCCTTCCCCAATCCCGCATACCCAGACGAGCGCACAATGCGATCGTGTTCGCGACCGACACGCTCGGCGCTAAGTTCACGAGGACGAGATCGTGGTCGTGGACCCTGACTTAACTGCGTGCGCAACTGCGCGACCTCGCGACGTAAGCGCTCAATGATCTCCGCTTGGCCGATGTGTTCGCGATCTTCGGGGGTAGTTAGGTAGGTGCATTCAGCTTCGATCCCACGAATGATACAGGCATGACAAGGAATTGAGCGATCACACTAATGAAAGATCGAATCAATATCGAAGAGTGAGTGGTGGGTGAATGGATCGGGGGTTCGGGGTGGATCGTTCCGGGGCGGGATCGACTTTCAAGGGTGTTCAAGGGGTGAGGTTATGTACCTTGACTTTGCGCTCACGACATCTTAAGCAGGATTGCTGAGGGCGGATTTTGGTCTTGGATTCGGGCATTTTTCTGAGGAAGTGAGAATTCGCAAAAGTCTGGAGGTTCTGGATTTCGGATTTGGCTTTCCCCACTAGCCGTTAGGACCTCGGGGAGAGACCCTGTTCCTCTCTTTACTGTGACTTCAGATTATCGATCTATCCACTTCTAGTAAGAGTTAGATGATCACTTCAGCACAGATATTCCATTCATTCTCGAGATAAACTTGCTTTCTGCAAGTCTTCTTATGTTTGCTTTTTTCTCTCTGTTTTTTTCTTCTCAGGGGAACAATTGCTTTCGCTATGCATGATTGCGATGTGATGCATCTGACGGGCATACCGATCTCGTCTTTTTACACCCATTGGTAGGAATCTTCGGAGCTCAACACGAGTATAAGCAAGGGGGAATTGTGATTAGTGGCTCAGCTCTTGCGCCACTTTATCGGCACTTCAGCTGATCAGCCACGATCTAAACTGGGCTCTGACTTGGTTTGATTCCTGAACTCCGATCTACCTCATCTTGGGCTTCATTTAACGCTCTTATCGGACGATGCCACGGTGACAGTACCACGGTGGCAGTCCTGAGTACCACGTCCCCCGCTGTAAACGATAGCGCTTGCAGATCTGCAACGGAGCTCCGGTGCGGGGAACAGCTTCAGTGTGAAATCCCGGAGTTTTAAATGCATGGATGATGCCTGGAGAAGCAAAATAACATTGTTGTTGATTGGCTCATTGCTGTGAAACTCGAGCTCTTTTCTTTATACAAGCATCCTAGAGCATGAGACAATCGTTCACGAATTGGACGCCAGCAACAATGGCGAGTCTTCTAATGACCCCATTACTTCCGGTCATGGCTTCAGTTGAGAACCCAGGTCTTCTTCCTAGCCCTCCAATGGGATTCAATAACTGGGCCCGATTCGAATGCGATCTTAATGAGACGCTCTTCACGGAGACTGCGGATTCCATGCTCAACCGCGGCTTGCTTGATGCAGGCTACAATCGTCTCAACCTTGACGACTGCTGGATGCAAACCTCTCGTGCGGCCAATGGCTCATTGCAGTGGAACTCAACCCTCTTCCCCAATGGTATTCCTTGGCTGGCGAACTATGTCCAGGAACGCGGTTTCCACTTGGGCATCTATGAAGACGCAGGCAATGCGACCTGTGGTGGTTACCCCGGCTCTTTCCAACACGAGGAGCAAGACGCTGAGACTTTTGCTAACTGGGGCATTGACTACCTCAAGCTGGATGGTTGCAACGTCTACGCCGAGGATGGACGACCTCTACGAGATGAATACCACTCCCTATACAGCAAGTGGCATACGATCCTCAACGAGATGTCACAGCCCTTGATCTTCTCCGAATCTGCACCAGCATACTTCTGCACCAATGAGACCGATTGGATGAGAGTCATGGACTGGATCCCGTTTAATGGGGATCTGGCTCGCCATTCGGACGATATCCTTGTTTACTCGGGCGAAGGCAGTGCGTGGGAAAGCATCATGGCGAACTACGAATTTCAGATTCAGCTTGTACGCTACCAGCAGCCGGGCTACTACAACGATCCCGACTTCCTGATCCCCGATCACCCGGGTCTGACTGAGGACGAGAAGAAATCACATTTCGCGCTGTGGGCTTCATTCGGGGCACCGCTCATTATCAGTGCTTATATCCCCGATCTTCCGGAGGAGGTCATCACCTTCCTCAAGAACAAGGATCTCATCACCGTCGATCAGGATCCACTGGCCGAGCAGGCTGCTTTGGTTACACGTAACGCCGATTTCGATGTTCTAACCCGCTCACTGGCAAACGGAGATAGACTTCTCACTGTGCTGAACCGTGGAAATAAGACCGCGAAGATCACAATCCCGGTAGCGCAGCTCGGTCTGGATTCCGGCTGCCAGTACCGTGCCCGTGATCTGTGGACTGGTGCCGTTGAAACGTTCAAACATTCCGTGGAGATTACTCTTGATTCCCACGCCACTATTGTCTACCGCATCACACCCCCGCGCGGATGCACAAAGACTACCCCAACTGGTATGATCTTCAACACAGCCTCTGGGAAGTGTTTGACCGCTTCAAGCACTGTCACGTTCAAGGCATGTGATGCGATCGATTCCCAAGTCTGGTCTGTCTCTGGATCTGGCAGTCAGCTCACTCTGAGCCCATTGTCGGATAATTCTAAGTGTCTTGCCGCCAAGGACGGGTCTATCTCACTTGTAGAATGTGGAACTGGCTCTGGGACCATCTGGTCTCATTTCCTTACGGGTCACTTGAAGAGCGATGATGGTTGCTTGACTGATTCTTCGGGGGCTAGTCTGGGTAGCTGTGATCAGAGTGTGGCTGGACAAATTATGGGGTTGCCTAGTGGTGTTCAGCTGGCTGCTGGGATTGCTTAGGAATGGAATGAAATGCTACTCAGGTAGGCTAGATGTTTATGGGTGGTGGGTATAGACTGCAGATAGCTTCAATCGCATATAGAGATGACTAGGTAATTCTCATGGTCTACTGCTAGCTACAACTGCAATTTGTAAGAGTAGTGCAGCCTCTATGACTTGATATAGTAGACGCTCACTGTAACTGAATAGTAGAGGACTGGATATGGCGCCCAAGGAAGTTCTCATCTACATTATCTTGACAGTCAAAGAATAAGGTTCCTCTCGAGAACATGGTGTAAATTTACAGAAATCTACCCCTGCAACGAATACCCAATTCCCTCCCCAGTCCCCATAGCCACCAAATTAGCCCTCATCTTCTCCGGCCTCTCCCCAATTCCAAAAGCAGCATCATCCCTATGCACCCAAGCCCCAACCCCATGCTGCAACACTGCCGTAGCCCGCACTTTCTTCTTCTCATCATCCCCACCCTTCACCCCCAAACTCCCATGCAATGTTAACCTCGTCTCCTCCCCACCCTCCGGCTTCGCCTTATAAACCCCCCGATGCAAGATATTACTATCATAAAACACCGCATCCCCCGGCTGCAGCTGCACAACCAACTGACCAGGCAAAGAAGGCTCATACGGAGCAGCATTGCGTTCCACTTCCGTCCGTGCCCGCCGATGAGATCCCGGCACCACAATCAGCGACGCATCAGGACATAGCGCAAGATTATACTGCGCATGCGACTGTCTCCCTCCAGGCGATTTCGCCGCTAGCTGTGCGAGTTCTTCCTCGGCGGATGCGTTTTCCGGAATATCGTCCCTGTGCCAGCGGAGTTCGAAGTCCTTAGTTTCTGGCGCAACGAGGAGGTTAAATAATTCCATGACGAGGGGTTCTTCTGAGGTAGGACTTGAGACGCCGACTAGTTCTTCAACGACTTGAAGGATCTGGGGGGAGAAGTAGCATTTTGCGAAGGATTGGCGATTTGGCATTTCTGGGTGCATGAGGTGCTGGACGCCCCATATGCCACCCTCGGAGGCTGGAGGTGGAGTTAAGGGCCATGGAGGGAATTGTTTTGGGACAGTGCGGAAATGTGGCCAGCCGCCGGCGCGGGTTTTGGTTGTTGCTTCGGTGGCGATGGTGCGGTAGTGGGCGATTTCGGTAGGGGTTAGGAGGTTGCGGATTATGACGAAGCCGTCGCGTTGGAGGGCGTCGAGGTTTGGTGTGGAAGACATGGCGAATGTGATGGGTAGAGAGAGTTGTCTAGGTTCTGTTGTTTTTTATACAAAACGCGGGGCTTATCAGGCGGGGTATTCCAGTAGATGTTACCTACTACAGTCACATTGTATTTATATTCATTGATGCTACTGTGGATCCTTCCCATGTGTTTCAGATCGGATTCTATTAAAATTCCGATTTGACATCAACTCGGGTTGCAGTTGTTGGAGTCACATTCTACCAACTTAGTATCATGGTACTATATGCCTATCGGTATCATCTCGGCCCCGCATTGAAAAACCGTGGTAAATTCACTTACGGGTCAACCTGGAAACAATTCATTGTTCGGAGTTTTATACAAATACAAATAAAAGTAAAAAGTAAACTTAGTATACCTCAGGTGTCGATTAATGATTGGGCTACGATGGAACGTCATCGCGATCTTGGCAAGCCGTAGATCGGTGAGACACAGCCTCTGTGCGATTCTCTTTGAGCCTAACATACCCAACTCCTTGCGATATCATCATATCAACTTGAGAAATCCCACAAGGCACAATTCTCTACGCTTCAACCTTCAGCTCAACCCCCATCATGCCTTTCCATACAGGGATCTCCGCCCTACTGGTGTGTCTTGTGTTACTCCCACAGGTCCACGCCTTCGGTGCTGGCAGTGAGTACTTAGACTCTGCTCCTTTGACAGCTTCTAATCTTCCCCAGACATTGCCTCTATTTCTGCAGTCGAAGGCAAGAACTGGCGCCATGGTGATATCGAGGATGTGCTCAAAACGATCGCATGTATCGCGGGGCACAAATGGACATCAACCATGATCAAGCGTGTTTATTTTGGCAACTGGCTTCGCGATTAGTGAGTTTGTGGGAAAAGGAAGTCAATGCGAGCCCCACTGACAGTGGCGCAGTTCACAGGCGATGGATGTCGGGACCCTGAAAAATCTCCAAGCCGAAACGATCCGCATCTTAGTGTGGGTCCTCTCGTTCCTGAGCTTCGGTTATGCGACTGGAGAATTCGAGGTTACATCCGAGCGACTTGGGGTTTATCGTCCTGAGGAGCATATCGAGTAAGTAGTTCATGGTTGATTCCGGTGGCACGTGTTTGGTACTTACTCTTTCCAGTAACCCTAAGGATTATGCCGATAATGAAGATGCGCGCCAGTACGACGAGCGCTTGCGAGGGCCGATTCGCCAGGTGGAATTGGATATTGATATGGAGACTGGTATGAAGAACTATATCGCGAATGAGAAGGGAGATTGGGCTACTAGCTCTGCCTATATCAAGTATAGCTTGAGTCGCAGCATCCACTACGGACGCATGTATACCCATGGTGGGGAGCGCAAGCATAATGAAGAGGATCTGTGTGAGGCGCTGCGGTGTCTTGGACAGGGCCTTCACACGCTTGAGGATTTCGCGGCGCATACTAACTACTGTGAGCTAGCATTGCGGGAGATGGGCTTCCAGAATGTCTTTCCACATACTGGGACGGCTACCCAGATTAATGTCCGTGGGCATAATATCTTCCCACTGGTGACTGGCACTTTTGGTATGGTCGATTTCTTCCACTCTGTCTTGGGTGAGGCTACCGATCATTTCACCCAGTCGGAGGTTAACGAGATGGACATCGCGCTGGGTGATGCTGAGAACAACTCCCATTCAAACAACTCCCTCAATGCTCTTACTGGGTTACTGGGCAAGATTCCAGGAACGAGAGATCTGGTCCACGAGGCCGAGGATTTGAGAAAGCTTTCTGATGAGCAGGAGATGACCAACCGCTCCCGAGGCTCGCATATGGGCTATGCTCAAACTCGCGGTATGGAAGAACAATCTCGCGCAGACGGCCCATCGCCCAAGCCCGGTCTCCAGGGCATGCCCGATTTCAACGCGCAAGAAACCGTCAAGAAGATCTATCCAATTCTCGCCTTCCGAGACAAGGTTGTCCGGAAGCTGAACTCAATCATCGAAAAGGTCCCAGGCCTAGAAGCGATCATCGACAAGATCACCGAAACACTAACCGTCTTCATCATGTCATTGCTTGCACCATTTATTCGTCCTCTCATCAACGCTGCCTCCAAGTCTCTGCAAACAGGTTCCTCCGGTGTGGTTGCCGCCTCCGGCAAACACCAGTATGAGCCGTGGACCGATCCCCACTGCACGGATCCCACTCACTCGCTCCTCTCCAAGGACCACTTCGCCAACATTCTCAACGAGCCGGCAGGCCAGGTCGCCTCCGCCATTGTGAAGTACGTTGCCCCCCGCATCCTCTACGCCTGGCAGCATATCGACGTCCCAGAACACGAAGTGTTGAACGATTGCATGAGAATCTTCCACCACCCCGCCTTCAGAGACATGAACAACGAAGCCCACCGCACCATGTTCGAAGCTGTGCAGAGCTGGGTCCACTCCCGTCCAGACCGCGGTGCCGACCTAAACGACGTTCTCGGTTCCGAAGGTGTCAGAGCAGGCCGTAACACTGGTGGTGTCCCTCACACACATGGCGGCAGTGGTGGATTTGCTGCGCTTGGTTCCCAAGGTCATGGACATGGATATGGACAGAACCAGGGCCAGGGTCATTCTTCCGGTGGACTTGGTGGGTTCTCTTCGTTTTTCTCGCAGCAGCAGTCGGGCTCGCAGTCAAGCTCGCAGCAGTCTCATGGCTCGGGTTTGCCTTGGGATAAGCTTTCTCATCTGCCTATTCCCGGTATGTCCAATCTGAATAAGCTGGAGAGTACTATTTCCAATTTCATTCCTGGCGGGTTTTCTCATGGCTCGAGGGATTTGGATCATCAGGCGGGGAATGGCACGTCGCAGGAACAGCAATACCATGGACAAAATTCTGATGGCCGGTCCGGATATCATGGCGGGTACTGATGGTCAACTCTGATCTACGGTCAAGCGTACACATTTAGCGAGTTGTTCGAAGTTATGAGGTTTATGAGACAATGATAGTTATGTGAAGCTACAACGATCATAGAATTGGTTAGGGCGTTTAATTTTCTGTCGAAGAATTATTCTTTTATTTCTTAGTGTCATCTCTGGGTTTGTATAAATTTAGTGCCTGGATAAACAACATTTTGATAAACGTATCGAGTGCCTCGCTCAAAGTCTCGAAGCACTAGGTAAGCGATAGTCACAAAATTTGGAAAGAAGAGATGTGAGAATCTCGTCACGGTCTTGATCTCAGCATAAAGAAGGGAAGACTCGGAGATCTCAGATGGAAGGTACAATTGTTGTGTTCAGTCAGACTGCGCGCGCTGTGAACAGCAAACGAAACGCAGGTATCATCATATCCTGTCACAACGAAGGACGCATAGTCACGAAGGACCGAAGAGAAAAGAGAAAAACAGAACCCGCCCCGATGGAATATCAAAGGAATTTCTCACAAGGAGATGAACTCAACATGCAAGTATTTTACAGGGATAGAGCCATAAACCAAAACCCAAAAATCAAACCCAAAACCACCGAGAGAAAGTCGAAACCTACGTGGAAGAAAGGATAGAAGAAGAAGGGAAAGGAGGAAGAGGAGGAAAAGCTCACGGTATTTATAGTCCAGGGGAGGGAAGTGAATCACGCTTGGGACAAAGCGTGGTGAGCCTAAGGCAAACCATGAAACTATGGCGTTGAGAACGTGATTCAACCTGATTTGGGGCGCTGCAGCAAACTTCTGTTGCTTGTGACCTCCGAGCTTCCTTCACCTCCGTCTGCTGCCAGTGTTGTTTGCATTTTTGTGGTCCAAAATATAGTGTAGACTCTTGATATTGAATTGCTTCTTATGGATAGCCTGAGTCAATCCACTGATATACGCTGGATGTACTTGGCCGATCAAAAGATACGAGATACGAAGAATGTCGAGTCTTGTTAATGAGTCCTAGTCCTACAACCCCTTTCCAGTCTAGCCGTCTGCTCCGAGCAGTATAAGTAATGTATTTCCCCTTTTTGATATCATCTTTGTCAATGTATCTGATCATGTATTTTGGCAATCGTAGTTTGGTACTGACAAGCTGTGTTTCACGGGGACTTTGGAATATGTGAATGAGGATGGGGTGACGGGGCATCCTAATTCCTTTGGACAGTCAATCTATCGTCTGTGTTGCCTTCCCTTTTCTTGAATCTCGCAAGTCCAGTTCTCAGAATAGTTGTGAGCCTTTGTAGATATGTACGGAGTAAGCTTTAAAGTGGTCGAGTAGGCGATGGTTGATTGAATGAAGACAGTAAGCCTTTAGTCTGCTTGGCATGCTATGTTTTAGTAGTTAATACCTAACAATCATTTCATGCAATGCATTTGCTGTTGCAGTGAATAGTTTATTAGGCCCAGATCATCTCTTCCAGTCTGATCTTCTCTACCTAGTTGGTCTGTGTTCATCTTCTATGCGCTGCTGTGGCACTGACACTTCCACAACCATCTCCAGGGCTCTTACAACACAAATATTCTCACTTATTTGTTATCCAATACTTAGTAAGAACAACATATTTCCTACATTCTCCTCTGTGTTGTTGACCAATTCTATGCTTAGCGTCTCCGAAGCTGGTCTCATTTTCCTTCGCAAATCCACGAAGCCTCTCCAAGCGCCTCTGGGATCACCTCTGACTATCAATCCCATCACACAACTTCCCCAATGCTCACTGACACCCTAAAAGACCGCTCCTGGCTCCGTGCCCGAGGCGCAAGGGTATCACGATGGCTCGAAAACCCCAACGAACCAAATTGCCCAATCCCCCGGTACACACTGACCCCCGACGAAATCGAACAAAAAGCCACAAACTTCGATCGATTCCCAAACGTCGACATTCTACTCGCCGGACACACCCTCCTCCTACCACCAGAATGGCCAGCTTCCCAAACAAGAGGAAGCTACACATACTACTCAATGCGATTCAGCCGAGATTCGTGGAGCGGGTTCACCTCAGCAGGTATCTTGATAATTCAAGCCATGCGCCGAGCCCAGCCTGTCACTCCCCATCCCTCTGAGGTCGGGCTGAGTCTTTACGCTAAAGAACAGGGCCTTAATGGGTTGAGGTACGTTTTTGCCACTACTGTAATCAATTGGCAGACTTCGCACTTTGTGACGGTGGACTTACATTCGGTTTGGCCGGGGGAGGCGCGGACTTGGGAATTTGGTTCGAAGGAGTATGAGGAGCTTCTGGGGACTCGGATCGGATGTACGGTGGCTTACCTTGTGTTGGGTGGGTTTGAGAGAGGGTCGCGACGCATTGCGCGTATTGTTACTTATTGTGAGGACGTTGGTGCATGTGGTGATTTAAATATCCGTTTTGATATTGAGCCGAATGATAACCTTACATAAGAGATGTCTGGACCGCGGGGGTAATGTATTCGATGTTGAGCTGTTAGGAAGGAGATACATACGATGTTCAAAATTTCAACTTGAGTGAATACCTCGAAAGTGCTAGCTATGGATGTATTTGTCTTAGTGGGGTGAAATATGTATATATTTTGGAAGGTTAAGATACAATTTGAACATTTCAATGAACAGTTTTAATTTACGAAACACCCTTGGACTCCTACTAGGTCAAAATTGATAGATCAGACCGATTAGAACTCAGTTACAGAATTCCACTCAAGTGTTCCCGAGTCAGCTCAAATACTGGATGGGGAACATTTGAGTTGAAGCAATGTAAATGCTAATGGGATAAGTCTAGGTTTATAGAGCACTATTTTGATCACCTTTCAACAAGCCCAGCCGGGCTAGCTCAATCGGTAGAGCGTGAGACTCTTAATCTCAAGGTTGCGGGTTCGACCCCCGCGTTCGGTTCTTCTTTTTGCTCTTGTTCCCTAAACACGGGATCCTTTTTGCTCATTTAATTTCCCCAATAGCACTGCTCTTGTATGCAAATTTGGTATTTCGTACTTTCTTTATATTCCAATTTTGCATATCTTCAGGAGGAAATTTGGCAATTAATCAATTCGAAGACAAGTTAGACAAGACCATGGAGTGACATACCCAAGTCAAGTGCTATCAGTATCATCTATACTATTATAAGATAAGATAAATAAAACCACTCAGATCCGACCCAGCCCGATCATCAGTCATGAACCCAGATATACCGAAAGACGCATCAATCCCGAGACTCCCTTTCCGACCGCTATTGGAGAAAAAAATGCAACGCTTATAAAACTATTCATGAGAATCCTCACAGTTTGGTTCCCTCGCGCCCAGTGTCGCTGGGTCGTCTAGGTCGGAGTGGACCTACAGAGGGACCAGCAACATTGCCAGGACCAGGTGCGGACGCTAGCTGAGACCGAGCTTCGTTCCCGGTGCTCGCATTGGGACGCGCGCCCCCTGCCCTTGTACCGTTGTGGAGCCGTGGGTTCATAAGCCACTGGACCTGCATGCGAATACTATTCACGGCGGCGTTTGTATGTGCCATATCCTCCTTAATCCGAAGACACTCGTTCATAATGGTCATGCTGGCTCGGGCATCAAGGTCCGTAAGGGCATGGGACATCTGGCTGACTTCCTCCCGCAGAGATTCATGGAGAGAAAGAAGATATGTGGTGGCGTTAGACGAGAAGACATTGGAAGACCGGTCGGGCAATTCCTCTGCGTCGTTGGCGGACCTTGTGCTATTACCATCACCAAGGCGTGAGGAGTCAACCAAGGTTGCTCGAATATTAGCCATGCCGTCCTCGAAAATCTCGTTCCTTTGTTGGAGGTGTCGCATCGTCAGCTCAAGAGAATTCAATCGAATATTTTGTGCCTCGAAGTATGGACCTATCGCGACAAGTGGGCATTGCTGCTCATGCGTTGTAATTTCTGCTCGCCGAATATTGACCGGACATCCATATTTCGATGCAGCGCAAGGGCTAACAACCTCGGCGCATGTCTCGATATGATGTTTAAGTGCACTTTGTAGAACAGTACTTCCACAGTCGACACAAAGTTTTTCAAGGCTAGGGCATAGCTCCTTGTCGTGTTCCTACACCTCAAGTTAGTACCATAATCCTCGAACCCGACAATTCTTTTGTTTTAAACGAACCTCGTAGTCTTGCTCCATAACATCTTCTTCGCATCTCAAGCACCGATAGTAGCTATGTCTGCACCGATTTTCCGCCTGCAGATCCCTTCTCCGTGTCTTCTTATCGCACGATGCATCCGGGCATGGCATCAACCGATAACCACAGTATTTGTCCACATGCGCTTGGATGTGGCCCCTTGGAATGAGTTCCTGACAGCCCTCTGCGACAAGTGGACAGCGCACTTGAATTTCATCGCACATGTTGATCAACAGGCGGGGTACACTCGTCGAGACGTGGCTGGTGGGGGTTCGGCATGAGGGACACGGGAACTCGTCTGACTCGGCCGAGCGGAAGGTGGTGATGGCCGATCGCAGACATTTCTCGCAGAAAACGTGATCGCATTGTAGGCGGACCGGCTGGACGAAAGGGCAGTGGCAGATTGGGCACATCAGGTGGGAGTCGTAGTTGGTAACAAAATCAAGGGCGCGCAGGTCAACTTGGTCCTTGGTGTCACAGTCGGCTTCAAGAGCCAAAAAATCCTGGATATCCATCATAGTTCGTGAATTCGTCTACAAAGGCCTAGGGTAGAGTGATGCTTGTTCTGCAGGGCAGTGCGGAGGCGGGTCTAAATGCAGGATGGCTTCGGATCTAGATACCGAGGTCGAATAGGGGACCCAAGGGATTCCATGAGATGACACCAGGTAAGGAAATCAAGCGATAGGAAATGTTTAATGAGTAGCGGCCGAGAAACATTACCCTTCTAAGGGAATGTCAGAGAAGAATGAATGGAATTATTGCGGGGAGAGCAAGGAAGGGCGAAAGGCGGAAGGCGGCTGAGCGCAGACCCGTGAACTCGGCATTGGTGCCTTCACCTTTCCCCCAACTCATAACAACATCCTTCCATCTCACGATTTCTCCCGATACTGATCGGCTGGTCTCCAGCGGTCTCCACAACTGATTTCATCCCGGCTTATATCCTACTTCCGTAGCGGAACCCAGTCGTCCCGTCTAGACTCCTGAATCATGACGAATCCATCCCAGCTCTTCCTTCTCGCCGACCACATCAAACTCTCCCTTCTAGAGCGACAACGCGCGATTTCATTAGATCTTGAACCAAACGCCCAAGATGGCGAGATCTCTCGTTCCCTCGAGTCCCTCCAAGAAGGCATCCATGCCGTTGAAGCCGAGCAGGCCCGGCTAGCAGACTCGCACGACAGCACCGGCGCCGCAGCGCTAAAGGACCAACTGGTTCCCCTCCATGCGCAATACCGTGACCTCGCTTCACAATTTTATGGCGAATCGACGCAGGCGTCGAATTCCGCAACCCCCGATCTTAAACAACCCGTCCCCCAACACCCGCCGTCCAAATCCGTGCGGTTCATGGATAACTCCGCCGCGGCAGCAGCGATCCAGGAAGAAATCGACAATGAGGAGGATCGAGATCGACAGAATCTCTTCCGGCCATATCGTGATGCGCCCTCACCTCCAGGCATCGACCAGTCGGGTATGGACAATGAACAGATCTACTTGCATCATGACCGAATCATGCGAGAACAAGACGATCAGCTTGATCGATTGGGGGAGTCGATTGGACGACAGCACCAGTTGAGTATCGAGATTGGCGATGAACTCGATGGTCATGTCGCACTGCTAGATGGGATGGATGGCGATGTTGAACGCCATCAGGGTCGATTGAATACCGCGCGCCGGCGGCTGGACCGGTTCCGGCGCAAGGCGGGTGAGAATTGGAGTATGATGACCATCATCGGATTGATAATCGTCCTGGTTATCTTGATTGTCATATTGAAATAGGTCTCGATTTCTTTGCTTTCGTTTCTTTCTGCTACCAGCGGGCGTCTTGGGTTTGATAGGATCACTCTGGAGTCTAGGATTATCCATGTTAAACCGATTGTTTTCCTTTCTGTCCTAAATCTACTAACAAAGCGTACCCTTATTATCTGAAAGAAAGCGTTCGTAGGCTCAATGCAATATCGATTTGTCTTAGATGCTCCTAGACGCCACTATTCAAACCAAGTTCAATTCTACTCCCCGATCAAGGTGACTTTCCCGCCGCTTTGCCCTTTTTTAGTTGTTCCTGCATCTGTAGGAAATCCTTGCTTTCAGTGTCGAGAAGACCTTTATCCGCCTTGACCTATATGAAAAGTAAGTACCATCCACAAGACAGAGTCAGACGGGTCTCATACATCAGCCTCACTGGCACTCGCCAGCACTTCCGTCCACTTTCCCAGGCCATCCTTGACCTTTTTCAGATGAGCATGCTTTTCAGATTCATAGTGGTCCGCAAGGTTGTCACGGTCTGGTCACTGGTTAGCTTGCGGCCTGGACTAGAAGAGAGGATTGTTGACTTTTATCGGTTTCTTTCAGGCTTCTCTGCACTGCTGTGGTGTGGAATGCCGAGGTTGCCGGGATAGCGTAGCTAGATTGCACGAGACGGCTGGAGCTCATACGGAGCGAAGTAAGGAAAGACATGTCGGCGATGTGTTTGCGTATGGTGGTAATCGAAAAGGTATTGGGGATGGAGGTATGGTGAAAGAAAAGAATAAAGAAGAAGCTCTTGCGTCATTATACGAGACAAGATAGCACTGATTGATCGCCAATAACTTTCCTTTGATTCGATCCTTGGATGGCCCTGCTGGAAGTATCGCATATGACGTCAGTGATGCTGCAATAGAGCTGCATGATTGGCATTCGGCGGAGAAGGCCGGGAAATATCTATCTGATTGAGAATGAAAATATTCAAAATTGCTCTCAAATTCATCACCGCAATCATGTTTAGGAGTTGTCTTTTCTATAACAGAAACAGAAAGATGAGAGTATGAGGGAATTGAACAATGTATTCAAGTGTTGAACTACATGAAGACACATTTGAGAACAACGAAAGGATCAGATTCTCATGGAATGTTTACGAATACACTTCACAGCACGTTCTCTTCAAAATGGACTCGAAAAGGTTATACTCTTGACACGATGATTCAAGATTGGGCTCGTCAGAAACACGAGCTAAAATGCGGAGTGATGTGGAGCTCTGACTTACGGAATTCCAAAGCGAAAGTTGGAGTCGTTCTAGGCGTGATCATTGATCCTCACAGGAATATCAAAATCGAACATGGAAGATGGATCAATTGGTTCAGCGGGCTGTCCTGTGCAGAAACAGAAGGTTCGGCGAGATCGCCTGCAGATGCGCAATGTAGGACTGACTGACTGCTACTAATTGGTATCGGATCCGGAATCTCGAGACCTCTTTTTTGAGACAAGGGAAAGAGGGATGGTTTCATCATTTCCAATAAGAAACTATTTAGAGGATCTGGCAGGGATTATTGCGGGTCAAAAGTTATGGTGGCGTGGCGGATATCATTTCTACACGGATGATATGATGCTCCGAGAAATCAATGTCCATTCGCCACTTCATCGGAATGTTCGAGACCAAATTTGTCTCGGCGTTTGAAAGATTTGTCGTCATAGGAATATCAGTTCCTCGATGACAATATTTTGAATGTAATCATTCCATTTTCGAATCTAGGGATGACATCATGTTATATGAAGAACATGACGTAGAATCCCCTTGCTCAAGGGAGTATGAAGGATTCATTCAAAGTCCAAAGGTCTAATGTGATATGCCAGGGTAACAAAGGGCCCGGAAGGATGTAGGATTACCAAGAATGTATTAGGAAGATGAGTCACATCGATTTGTCCAAGAATGATCTCGACATTTGGAATATGAACAAAAGAGATTGGAAATGACAGTGTGCAAGAATCCATAGATAAAGAGATCATACAGCGTTATTGGATAACTCCCCGGGAGTTGGAGTTGAACGCGTGAAAACAGAAGGGAAATAGAAAAAACCAAAAAGCCATTTTCAACGCATATGGTCTATAACTCGCCCAGCCTGCGAGAGACCCCCAGGATATCGATCTCAAATGAAAAACAACTCCGCATCCCATGGTTTCGCTCGCAACCAAACCCAACCAGCCACACCGGTGGCAAGGAAGCAAGTATCGCATATCAACCATCCCCAAACCGATATACAGGAACCAATATAAAAAAGAGATGTGCAAACCAGTAACAAAACAATCAAAAACAATCAAAAACAAACCCAGGTATTTCAACAGTGCCCAAGCAATGCAGACGTGTATCGTTTCCGCCTCTAGATCCTTGAAAAAATGTGATATCCATCCCGCCCAAGAGAATAAAAACCCCAGTGAAAAAAACAAATCCAAGAAGCAAGAAGTCGTCGAATAAGTCACAGCGTAGGTGAGTCGGGCCCAAAAACATGCGTTGCAAGTGACCCTTCTCCCTGATAGAAAGAAAAATCTCAACTCCTGTCCCCAGGGACATGCGAACATAAAAGCAAGTCACCAGACATTCTATACATCATCGGTGGCCCAACCGAAAAGACAGAGGCCAAAGAAAGTAGTCCCTCCCGAGAGACGTGATCGATGGAGAGAAAAAAAAAAAAAGATGCAAGGAATCGAAATCACAGGCGCCGTCGCTCGCAACAAGCTGAAAGCATCACAACGGATCTATGATGCAAGGCGAAAGGGTCGTAAATCGGCGGGTGGTCCAGGAAAAAAAGCCTGGTATGTACAAAGCCAGATTTTGTCGGATTTTTTGAATTTTTTTTTTGAAGCAGAAGCAGGATTTTTTGGTTTCGCCGTTGGTATTTTTTTCCGATGTGGGTCGTGTCGAATGCAAAATAGTCGTATCAGACAGCAATGCAATGAAAGAGGATAAAAGTAATTAAGACCTGCGATTAGGGGGGGACCCGATGATGGTGATAGACGCAAGTGACGTGCAATAGAACATGCCGCTAGGGCAGGGGGCGCAAGCGCCGCGTATTTTCAGGCAAATTGTCTCCTCACCATCGACGCGGAGCAGCCTGCATCATCGCCATGGACGACGGTGGGCTGGCCAAGGACATTCCGGTGTTGGGGTTGATAATGGGAATAACCTTACGGGTCCGGTTGGCGGGTTGCTGCTGGTAGTTCAGTTGATTAGGATTGGTAACTCCGTGAACATAGGAGTTGGCGGATGCGGGAGAGAGGGAGATGGCGGGAGTGACCTGCTGCACAGGCTGGATCTGGTGCTGCAGTGGCGAGGTATCAGGAGAGCCACTAGACAGGGAAGAGCGGTCGGAACCAGCGGAGTGGATGGAGTGCAGCTGGAACGAATGTTAGTAAGGGTTCCTGGGGGTGATTCCATGCTGGCTTCATCCTTGGCCGTACAAGGGGTGGGAGGGACGGAAGACCGGGAAGGATGGCTTCTTAGGGGGCTCCAATCATAGCTAACGTACATCTTCATCAGTCAAGAGATTGGGACAGAACTCCAGGTCATCATCGAGATCAAAAGACCGACCGGCCTCGAAACGAGCCCGGAAGGCAGTGACGGCGGGAGCTTCGGCCAACTCTCGCATGCTTTTGACACCTCGGAACTGACGCTGGGCATTCTGGGCAGCCATCTTAGGAGCCCGACGAGACCGGCCGTGGTGGTTATTTGAAGGCATGTGAGCACCGTGGTGTGCGTGGTGTTGTTGTTGCTGGTGGTGGGTGTACATGAAGGCAGACATCGCGACGGTAATTGACTAGGGTAATCCTGCCCGAGTATAAATTCAATGGTATATAGTAAGAAAGAAAATGAAAAAAAGAAAATTGTAAGTTTTGTTTGGGGGGAAGGGAAATGAAAGAATTGACTTGGTTTTGGGGGAAGGTGTGTGGGAAGGGGAAGAAGAAAAAAGAGGGGTGTTAAGGGTGAGGTATGGTCATGGTATGGTCATCCTAGAATGGTTCCAGTGGCATGTTGTTGTTTTGTTACTGGTAATTGGTGAAAGATTGGTATTTTTTTATTACACCACCTTGTTGGTGGACAGACGGCGCTAGCGAGGGTCACGCACCACTTTGAAGGTGGCGAGGAACGAGATGGAAACCAATCAGATATGATCAGCATAACTCTATTGTCTCCACCTTACTCAAAACGTGACGTCGACGACCAATGACACTATACCGGTTATAGTAATGGAGTGACGAGATCTACTGTGGTTACTTACTCCTCTATGTGTTAAACTCCACTCGGTAACTTTCTGGAATTTATCGTAGGGCTTTTGATGGTATGCTCCATATCTCCACCACACCATTCTTAACGGCTAGCCTCTCCTTATTTTTATCCTTTTTGTCTTCCTATGCTTTGCAATGCTTTGTATATGACAGTATGTGGAAGTTGGGGAACTAATAGTAGTTAGTAACTACGGGTATCCGTAAATGTCCGTGCTATCCGTTCGATTTCTTTCTGCACAGCCATTTACCAGGCACAAAGTCGGCTGTGGCGCGGATCGGCGATCGACAATTTTGGGGGACATTCCCCAATCCTTTTGAGACTGCGCCTTGACCACAGAAGTTTCCCAACCCTTAGTTCAAGTTAGCTGCAGGTGCTTTTTCGTTCATTGGTAAACCCGAGATCTGACCTACTCCATCGCCTCCCCCGATCTCCCGAAACGGATAAGCCCACGTCTGCGGGATCCGGACTAGGAATAGCAAACTAAAAAAGAAAAGCCAAATAAATTCACTTAAAAAATTGGAATCTATTTCCCCGTAAGCGCTACTAGGACAGTTTGGGTAGCATCGTCACTCTTTCTCCGTATATAGTACTTCTACGACCCAACCGACTCCGGTCGGACACTTGTCACTGCATGGTTCCACACGTTAGCGCCGAATGGGCTTTGTTCTTTGAGTTTCATGTTTGGGGGAAACATTGAAGCGTCTACTGCAACAAATCTACTCCGTACCCGGTGCTCTCAGATGTTTCCGTGCCGAAACTACCCCTCACCGCTTCTTTGGGTCCATGAACTATGAATTAGCCACGAGATACGATATACCCACGGGCGCAATGGCTAGACCGTTTAACGAAGCTTGAAGCTGACAGGCCGAAGCCCATGCGTGCATGACACCTCCAGCCCCTGGATTCGATCTCACTGTACCTTCCAGCCACGCAAGGGACTACAATCGGTCTGGTTGGCCCGGCCGGTTTTCCAAGGTGTTTGCTTAACGCCCATTGTTTTACCTTGAATTTTAATGGTAATGCGGGGCGTTACAAGGACCAAGGTTATGGAAAATGGTAAATGGCAAACCCGGTAACTCTGAGATGTAGCAAATGTACTCCATAAATGTTCCATCGATTTGGCTTCGGACGAAGTCGAGTCCTACATGTTACTCCGTTTGCCGTGTAACCTGGCCGACCGCGGCGACGCCGATGCGCTTGACTGCCACTGAAACCTGGAGTTTAACCATCTTGTATTCCGAGTGCTCAAATTAGAACTTTCAAGCACGATAATTTGAGAACCTATGGAGCTACTTCTGTTCCTACTGCGTAAGGGCCGGACTAAGGTGTTCCGTGGTCCCTCAACAAAGCGCAGTAGATTGGAAAGACACACAGCCTCAAACCAACTATATAGATATGACATGCAGGATATTCATAGCCTATTCAGATAGAAACCTTGCAATATTAGTCACTTATTCATTTCCGTTCATATTGCCTGTCTGCTACTCAAAGCCACCATTCGATTTGCACATATTCCATCTACATATCCTCGACTCAATTCTAATGCTGAAGATCGACTCTGAAGTTATAGTACAGCCTTCAGGATTCGCCAGCAAACTTTAGATAAAGTGGCATACATTCAAATTTTATTTGGGACCTTGGAAGTGATTAAAATGGCATTTTCGGAGAATGTTGATACGATTTGAACTTTCATTGGATGCAATGAACCGCTAACAAGCAAAATACATCAATGCCATATACCGAGGCAACCATGGATATAACCGAAATAGTACATAGGAACAGAAATGCCCATCCCATTATTTGTCCAGGTTTTGGGTCTTGACCATCCGACCAATCAACTCCTTACAATGTTTTTCACTGTATTGTTCCCACACCTCATATAACGAGAGTAACTCCTGCGTAGATTCGATCACTGCCTTGATATCGACCTCGCTTTCAGCAAGCCAGAGCACCAGATTTTGAATGCGAGGAGGCCCAGCCTTATCCGATAGGGACGCAAGCATGTTCATCCCACTTCCATCCCGCATGGCACCGGCCAAAGCCGACTGTGCAGACCCACCAAAGTTACCGGAGTGGGCGGGCTTGAAGACAACCGAAACAATGATAGCCATGATGGCGATGACGTGTGGTGGATGTAGAAGGGGGAGATCGGTTAGATAGTGATCGTTGATCACGGACCAGGCTAGTGCAACCTCATCAGAGCTGAGAGGTAGTTCGTCCTGCAGCTCTGTTAAGGTTCGGTAGGGATGGTGTACGATGAGCTGCGAACTCATCTCGGAGATTAATGCAAATTCGCATTCTCCTAGCTTAGCAACATCAGGAGTAATAAATTCTGCGCAAGTATTAGCATGGGATTCTACCTTAACGGGAGGATGGGTCGATATATCGTACCTGGCCAGAGCCCGCGCGCTTCCCCAACCACAAAACGGATATGTTGGGGGCACTCTTCCATCTTACAGGCCAGATAGAAGGCTGTGGTGAGCACAAGATATGGGTTGGTGTGGCGGATCTCATTCTTTGTATAGAACCGCTTGAGATAGACTTGAGCTGTTGCAATGGCTTGTTGTCGAGTGGACATGCGTTTTCCCAGCTTGATGAGCTCTAGGAGTTGGTCAGCAGCTAGGATCAAAGTAAAAATTTCATGATCTTACGTTGATTGAAATAGATATTCAACAGGCGCTGATCCGGCAGCGGGAACTGTGAATGGGCGACCTTATCTTGTTCACGTAGTTTCTCCCGAATATCGGCGAGTTTCTCTCTTGAGAAGAGCCAATGACGACGCTGAGTCGAGGCCCAGTAGTTGGCAGCCATGATGTAACATGGGAATTTATATATTCAATTGATCCAATCATTCAATCACTCAGTCATGTTGTTATATAGGGGCTCCGTCACTCCGTTAGATTAGAAGTTCATTGATAAGGCCCGAGGTGAAGCTGGCCCAATCGGGTTTAGGGCCCAGCCCTGGTCCCGTGCCCGGTGATGGCGTCAAGCGTTGAACTTCGGAGCAATGATCGGGCCCCGATTAATCAGTTACCTCTCAACCCCACTCCAACCTTGAACTTCGAGGTTTTCACGTTTGATCTCTAAAGGGCGTTCCGATCACTATCAGCCCACCTCAACCTTGACAACCTACCTCAGAATATGCTCCCTTGAATGATGCCGGGTGCTCGATAACAATTTCCCTCCGAAATGGCACCCGGCGAGTCGAAAGATGAACGCGACGAACGAGTTGCTCGCCTATGGGAGTCGTTGGACACGCGCAAAGAGGGTCACATCGATCTAAACGGCTTGAAAAAAGGCCTAAAGAAGATCGACCACCGTGAGTTGTGATTCCGTTTCGTGCCGAAAATATTTCGACTGACGCGGTCCCTAGCGTTGAAAAATGCAGATGGGATGCTTTGCAGTATCCTGCACGAAGTCGACACCAACGGCGATGGTCGTATAGACTATGACGGTACGAATTATCCTTGCCAGCTCCCTGGTTCGCGCTGGGCGCTTACGCGCTGTATATTTGGACCCTCCTAATCCTTGTTCCAGAGTTCCAAATTTTCATCAATCAAACCGAGTCGGGCCTATGGCAGATGTTCCAGGGAATCGATCACAACCAGAATGGCGAAATTGACAAAACGGAGTTGCGTAATGCCTTTGCGAAATCGGGCGTGACAGTATCGAGCGCAAATCTGGACGAATTTTTCGCCGAGGTGGACAAAAACAATGACGGGGTGATCTCTTATGCAGAATGGAGGTTCGAAAACACACCTTGACTACATTCACTACCCGCACCAAGTTAAAATGTACTAACATGTATATTTTTTTTTTGCTCCAGGGACTTCCTCCTTTTCTTACCATTACATTCCCCTTCCGACCTCCGCGCCGTCCTGTCATACTACACAGCTACGGGCAATCTAAACCCGGAAGGAGATGTCCATATCAATGACCTACCAGGTTTAGGTACAGAACTCTCGTTTCTTAACACTTATCTCCCATCCGCCAAGGCACTTTTGTACAATTTCCTCTCCCTGCCTATCCTGGCTTCCCTCCTTTCATCAGCCAACGCGCAAACCAGCCCAGTCGCAGAAATGTCTCCGATTCTCGGGACAGACTTGGCTTCGTTAGACGCTGACTTCGAGCTGGAGTGGTTGCCAATCCCCAAGACCACCGCCATGATGATGTCGTTCCGCTATTATGAACGGAAGTTGACCGAGAATACCCCTCAACTAGGCTACTTCGTTGCGGGCGGTATCGCTGGTGTTGTGTCCAGGACGGCCACTGCGCCTCTCGACCGTCTCAAAGTCTATCTCATTGCCAAGACTGGCGTGAAAAAACACGCCGTTCGTGCCGTGAAAGAAGGCGCACCCCTGGTCGCCGCGGGAAATGCCTCGAAAACCCTGGTTGTCGCGCTGAAGGAACTCTGGAGAGCCGGTGGAATTCGCAGCATGTTTGCAGGTTAGTTGATCTTTCGCCACATTTTTCAATGCCGGCTCTAACCTTTCATAGGAAATGGATTGAACGTCATCAAGGTCATGCCAGAGTCTGCGATCAAGTTTGGAGCTTACGAGGTAAATTGTCTTGCTACTGAAAGGAGAAATACAAAGCTGATGTGATATAGTCCGCCAAACGCGCATTCGCCGGATTTGAAGGCCATGATGATCCCAAGCGACTCAGGCCGACTTCCCAGTTTTTGTCCGGTGGTATCGGTGGAATGGTTGCTCAGTATGCTTTGCTTTGTAATACCTAAAGATCATTTTCTAACCGTTCTACAGATGCTTTGTTTACCCGCTTGATACATTGAAATTGTGAGTGTCCTTTCGTGAAGCCGATGATTAAATTGCCCCTAACAGCTTCAATAGCCGCATGCAATGTTCCACCGTTGAAGGTGGCTTAAGAGGAAATAAGCTTATCGCCGCAACTGCCAAAAAAGTGTGGAACGCCAACGGATTATTTGGCTTCTTCCGCGGTCTTCCTCTCGGTCTGATCGGAATGTTTCCCTATGCCGCAATCGACCTGACCACATTCGAATACCTCAAGCGAGCTCTTCTCGCCCGACAAGCACGCCTGAACAACTGCCACGAAGATGATGTTCCTCTCAACAACTTTGTCACTGGCGCTATCGGTGCTCTTAGTGGAGGCTTAAGTGCTTCGGTTGTCTATCCATTGAACGTTCTTCGTACTCGATTACAAGCGCAAGGCACTGTCCTACATCCTGCTACTTACAACGGCATCGGCGACGTTTTCCGCAGAACCATCGAAACTGAGGGTCCCCGCGGTCTCTACAAGGGACTCACACCCAACCTCCTCAAAGTCGCCCCGGCAGTTTCGATCAGCTACGTGGTCTATGAGAATTCGAAGAGAATGCTCTGCTTGAAATGAGCAGCCACCCTGTACCACCACTGCTACAACCCTACACCTACCTAGCTCTTCTAATCCTCCTCATTTCCATCTTCCACCTTCCTCACCCCAAATGTCTTCGACCCGTCGCTTTTGCTTCTGTTCTATAGTCTCTGATTTAGAGCTATTTGATCCAAGATACCCCCAAAGGTCAACATCGAGCGTGGCACAGCTCTGTGACCACGCTCCCGTACATGCCATTTGATTTTGCTTCTCATTTATTCTAGCTTGTCTGAACATTTGCATTGCTTTCGGCCTCACTTTATGTTCTCTGAACATGTCACCTCTGTCACCAGAGGTTCTTTGCTACAGCTAAAGTGGGCAAGCCCATTCACAAACCATAAGCATGGCAAGGCGTCGAGGCATGTGGATTCATTGCAATACCACGGGGTTAGTTTTCTTTCATTCCTTCTGTTCTCTTGTGTCAATATTGCCAATCAAATTTCACCTTACAGTTATCTCACTTGCTTTGGTCAAACTAAAGGTCAATTAGAGGTCAAATATAATACATCCTATATATCGAATTCAGTACATGAAATATATTTACTGTGCCCAGAAGTATTAGTTGACGAAAGCTACAACATTCAATTTCGAATTCGAAATAAACAAGATCCGAATGAGTAAACATTATCTGAGACCATCAAAAACTGAATCAAGCGCCCTTCACAGCATTGACCTCCTGATCCTTGGGCAAAATATCCGGCAACGGCCCAACAGGCGTAATAGCAAACTGATTAATCTGCTTATGAGACTTCGTATAATGTTTCTTAATATGTTCGAAATTCGTTGTATCTCGGAACGCCGGTAGATCCCAGTACAAACCTCTCACCCAGCGATGAATAGCGGGGTATCCAGACCGAATATCCCGAATATTACACTTAAAGTGCTGCACATACACAGGGTCAAACCGGATAATAGTGGTGAAAAGCCGAATATCAGCCTCGGTGACGGTGTCTCCGAAGAAGAAAGGCGAGACGGATGCCTGCGTGGTGAGGTGGGCTTCGATCTTATCCAAGGAGCTGAAGAGAGTCGTGACTGCTTTCTCATAAGCTTCTTGGGTGGTTGCGAAGCCGGATTTGTAAACGCCGTTGTTGACGTCGTTGTAGATCCATTCGTTGCTTGAGTCGATCTGTTGACGGAGGTTCTTTGGGAAGAGATCTACTTTTTTGTAGACCTTTGGGATGATGTCGTCGAATTCATAGTAGAGCATGCGGATAATTTCGGCGCTCTGGTTGGTGGGTTAGTATGCATGAGGATATGGGTTGTGGCGGTGGTTTGATTTACCTCGTTGCTGACGATTTGCTTGGTCTTTTTGTCGAATAGGACAGGGACTGTGAATCGACCTGCGTACTCCGGGTCATTGGAGAAGTAAACCTCACGGATATGGGTAAAATCCGGGTGCAATGGGTCGGGGATGGTGTTTTCACCCGGAACATCCTCGTCCGGAGTGGCAAAGCGCCATCCTATTATGGAAGTTAGTATGAATGTAATAGGATAGAGCAAAGGTTTAGGGGTGGCTTACCCTTCTCACCCATGTGCCAGTGCACGGACGAAAAGGAAATGGTATCCTCCAGACCCTTCAGCTTACGGGTAATCAACGTCCGGTGAGCTTCAAATAATTAAATTAGCATGAGAGTAAATTTCACTTGAAACTTTTATGATAGCTTACCCCAAGGACAGGCATAGGAGACATAGAGATGGTATCGGCCTTTCTCTGGCGGGAACTGAGCACCGGCCTCGCGTGAGATGAAGTTGCGGAAGGCGGATTGCTGTCGCTTGAACTCGCCCGATTTGTCGGAAGGATTCACCCAATCGGTTATTTTAGCAGAGTTTCCAGTCTGTAGGTAGTGTTAGAATGAGGAATAATGTGAAATAATAGAAATTGCAGGGATAAAGGTTCTCATACAGCCATAGTTCGTGATGCTGCGGAGAAGCACGGATGAGAAGCTGCAATGTACCCCACTCGGACAATTGAAGGTCGCGATAATTGTTGCAACGCTGGTGAGCGAGGAAACTTTAAGAGCATTAGCAGAAACAGGGAACTTTATAGCACACACTAAACCTGAGGAGAATAAGAGGGAGAAAATAGAAGATGCGGGGATGACGTGTATTGGTCTAGATGCTTACTCAGCACTTATCGGTCAGCTTTACAAAGCATCAACTCATCGGAAAATAATCAATCACGAAATCATTGTTAAACAAATTTAGCAAAGCAAAAATTTGGAAATACATGGAAATCTAGGGCTCATTGACAAAATCGTTAACTCTACTCCTGTTTCGTCATAGCTGACATTTTAGGGTCCTACCCCGTTTAATTCGCCCGCTTGACCATGACGTAAGGAATCTCTACATCCTCCTCGGTCTGGTCCTCAGCAGTCACTTCAAAGATGATATTCTTCTGGTGTTCCGGAATGGCCTTCTTGCTAACATGCTCAACCAGCTTGCTCATTCTGTGTAATGTTAGTAGTGTTAAGATGAGTAGGTAAAAATTGAAAACTTACGGTAGAGGAAGGCGGTCCTTCACCTTGGATGGAGGATAGAAGCTGGCATACAACAAGCTCACACCCGAGCTGACCATGGTAATATCCAAGCCCTTCTCCTCAAAGAAGGCCAGGAAATCCTTGAGGGGAACATCTTCGAGCTCAAAGCGGTCCCATAGTCGGTCAATAGTGACCTCGCCTTGCTTGCCTTGGTACTTGCCCTTGGGGCTAGGCATAGGCTCGCTGAATCCGAAGAATGGAAGAGCAAGGTTGATGAAGCCGTTCTTGTACTGTTCAGGATCATCCTTGCCGTCAACCACCTTGAACAATTCCAAGGCTACAAGACCAGTAACCAGAGCGGTAGCAGTGGCAATGGCAGGAATAATCTTCCCAGCAATGAACTTGGTCTTGTGTCGGTCCGCTTGGGGGATATCGTAGTTGTCAGCACGCAGGTTACTTGCGGCGGTGATGAAGTCAATGTGATGGTTGGTATCATCGTCCTTCTCGAACTCGACAGGCTGGAGGCGGAAACCAGCGAGAGACTTGGGCGACGGGAGGATGTCCACAAGACGCTGGATCTCTTCACTATCATCGCTTCCAGCCGGCTGGGCGTTTGGATCGGGTTCTTTATCATCGGCCTGGATCTTCACGCTAGAGCTTGGCACGAACTCAGGGATGATCATATCATCCACAATTTTGCTGTAGTAGGCCTTGTCTGCGCCGGGATTCTTGATTCCATAGTTAAAAGCGTGCAGGTTTGCGCCAGCAATCACAAATCCGAGGTGAGTGGGGTTGGCGCTGTCGAATTTCAGAGGAGTAGGGGCACGTTTGGGGCCGGACCAGAAAGGCTGACCGGAGGAGGTATTGGAATCGCGGGGGAAGTTGTAGAGCAGCTGCTGGATGGCATTGTTATACTGCGCCTCAAATTGTTGGCGGGCCCAGACGATACAGTCATCGAAGGTGAGCGGCTTTTCGGTCACCAAGAAGTCACGCAGATGTTGCAATGTCTGCTTCTCTTGGCCTGCCTGCTTGAGGGTTTGATCAATGTAATCGGGTTGCGAGAGATACATGTTGACAGACTCAGGAGGACCGACGAAGTAGGTCTGGAAGAGGTCCCGAGCCCAGGCAATTGTGTGTTCAATGCGGTTCGGGAAACTCTTCAAGGTACACATGGGGAAAGACTTCTCAGGGGGATCCTGAGAACTGGAGTAGGACTCAGTGATGAACGGCAGGATAACCTGGACGTTACCCTTCGTACCAAGGGTACCACTCTCAAGAAGCGGCTTGCGGAAGAAGACGCAGCGTCGGTCCACATATGTTCTGGCGTCAACGTTGTCCAAAGCGTTGGTCACGCCATCCAGTCGGCTCCAGAACTCTTCGTCAAATATGTCCTCGGTGTCTGGACCAACACGGTCACGTAAAGTCACGATCTTACCATTCAAGTCAGGGTTCATGGCCTGCACAGCAGCAGAGGCACAGTCACTCTTCAGGCGACCGACATCCTTGGGCCGGAAGAGGAACTGTCGGTTGAGGTTACTCTTCTCGATCTGGTCCATATCGGTAACGTAGATCTTGCCCTTGGGACCCGTACCCAGACCAATCATAGCCCAGTTCTTCAGGGTTTCACAGCCAATGGCTCCAGCACCTACCAAAAACTGGGTAACATTGGAGAGCTTTTCCTGATACTCCTTACCGAAGACAGCAATTTGGCCATCGTAACGAGTTCCAAGAGGCTTGCAGCTCTCCTCGGACCGAGTGGTTGAGGTCGGCAAAGACTCCAGGGAGTCGAAGTACATCCACTGGTGTACAGGGCTAAACTTTCCAGAGACAGCCTTGAGGACTTCCTGCGCGGCAATACCTCCAAAGAAGGCAGCCAATGGGTTCAGATCACCACGAGCCTGGTAACTCAGTTCCTTGATCACCTTCTCGTCTAATTCAACCTCCCCCTCACCGGCCGCAGCGATCTCACCAGCAAGTTTGAGAATCTCCTGAGCATCACTGTCATTGTGCGGGCGAGGCATTAGGCCATCATGGGTCTCCGCGAATTTGTGCAGTGCCTGAATACCAACATGGAGTTGCGCGGGTCGGTCGAACTTGGCGAAATCAGAGATGAGGAAATCGGGCTTCTTAATCTGCTCCGACAAAGGCTGGAAATCGATGAATTTGGGCATCTTGACCTGGGTATAGATACCCCCACCCTTGTAGGAGCCAAGACCCGATGTATCACCAATACTGAAGGTGTAAGGTCCCTTTACCGTGATTTTGCGGGGTGCGCTGTTATTCAGTTCGTCCATACCCTTGACCTCGGTGAAAGTTACAAAATCGCCATCTTCAAGTCCGTGCCGAGTCTCATCCAGAGCAGACACGAGACCATCCTCGTCGATATCGGCAACAATTCCATTTGCCGGTTCCTCGCCAGTAGGATCGCCGACTGTGAAGTTCTTTCCGAAGTCGTTGAAGATGTAGCCAAAAAGACCAAAGGTATCCGCGACTGTCACATAGATCCCATTCTTATGGCAAAAGTCTGCAACAACAAGCTGCTCCTTCAAGGGCATAAGCGTCAGTACAACTGCTTGATAGCGCTTCAATTGCTCCAAATCATCCACAAGTCTGTTGCCCTCGTGGATTGTAACCGGGACGTAAGAGTTGAGCTCCGCAACTCGGGGAGCGGTGACCTCAGCACGGGGCTTGCCAACATCTTCCGGCTGCAAAAAGAACTGTGAAGACAGATCGGAGATGGCGACGGGGGCGGGGTCGTGGAGGGTGAGGGACTTGACACCGGCCAGGGCAATGTTTTTGGCTAAGAGGTTCATTAAACGTCAGACAGGTCGTAAAACTGCTATTTTATACTTTTTGTACTAACCGATTTCCACACCAAGACCTCTGAGACCGACAACAAGTACGTTCGACGAACCCATGCGCTTCATGGCCTCATGGCCAAGCACGTAACTGAAAGCGAGTTAAACCAAAGTTTCGATCCACAAAAAGCATGCAAAACTCACAGTTGCCGACTGTACAGAGACTCATCGATTTCACCCTGCTTAATCAACTCGACGGTCTCTTGTGGGTTGTCCACCTGCATCGTGACGTCCTGTAGCTCGAGTTAGTGGCAATGCGGTATTTCCCGAACATCCCAGGCCCAACATACCGACATATTTTTCTTCTGGGGCCGAGCGGCGATGTCGTCTTCGGACGCTCTGCGCTTTCCCGGCTTAGCCGCTTCACGAACAGCAAGATCGGAAGGAATGATGGGAAATAGAAGGTGAAAGTCTTGCCCCACGAGCAAGACCTTCAATAGTGCGGAGTAGAAAGAAAAAAAAGTAACTTCGTACCAGGTACCTTAATCAAACCGGATCAGAAGGAGAATTCCGGTAGCAGGAGGGAGTGATAACTGTACAACAAAGTAGATGAGAAGTTTAGAGGTAAGGAGAAGGAAGGAACGAAAGGAAAGCGGGACCATCGACGTAAGAGGGAGCTACCGGGGCTGACTAATGACCACCCCGCGTCCAGAACGCGATTAGATGATGTGCCGTGATTTGGTGATTTACTTTATTTAGTGATTCCTCCTTACTCTGTTTCATCCTCCAACCTCCAAAATTAATTGGCTGGAACTGAAGGTGGGAGGGAAATCGAGACAGAAACCATGAGATTATTTTGGTGTCACTGAGGGACCTTGGATTCTTTGACGCGTCCTGACAAAAAGCCCAACTTTTCCATACCCAATTCATGTGTCGGTTGGAGCTTCTTGGGCGTGGTTTACTTTATAGGCAGCGCCACAACTCTGATCAGGACAGTCAGTACTCTAGGTGAGTGTGACCTAAGAACAAACCCGAATCACCCTGGATTAAAATTATTGCTAAACACTAAGCCAGGCACCCTGAGCCAGCATGCTACACGAGATCCTCCTCTCCCTCTCTGGCCAGCCCTCCCCCCTCTTCGCTATTGGGAAAGAGACGAGCTCTCAAGATGATTTTCCCCTTCTCTCTCCTCCAGAAAAAGCCCTTATCGGATCGATTGCCCACCTAAGTCAACTCCATGCTCATCTCCGTGAGCACACGGCTCAAATATCCTCCTCCCATGTTTCCGTAATCTGCCGCTCGGTATCCACGACCATCGTCACCGTTCATTTGGGTGAATTTCAGAAGAAAATCCTGGAAGTGGAAAGGGCGATTCTTGCCGAGGACAGCTTATACGTCGGCGGTTACGGAATTGTCCCTCTATCGACCATTGTGGGAGAGTTTGCGCCGTGGACTCGACGTCTAGAATGGCTACAGGAAGTGGTCCAATTCATTCACCCCGACACTGAAGACCCTAGGCGTCGTCATGGGTGTACGGGCGCAGGACTTATCGACTATCTGCGAGCGGAACTCCAAACAGGATACACGGACATTAAGGATATGGGGGTACAACTGGTGACTGTCGCCGAAACAGCATGGATGAAACAGCTCTCCATGTGGCTATTGTATGGGAACCTTCCCATATATGGTAAAAACGACTTTTTCATCCAAGAAGCCTTTGACAGCGAGGAGGACGACATCCAATTTAGCATGTATACAGATTTACTCCCGAAATTCGTTGCGGAACAGACGGCAGGGTCCATCCTGTTTATTGGAAAGTCACTGAACCACGTCCGTTCCAAGCGCAAGACATCTGTTGGAATCTCGACTGCACCGGTCACCCTGTATCAGGAGCATATTGAGCACCTAGCGGGGCTCAAATCACCCATATCATCATCGAAGCTGACCACGGCTGTTGATTGGATCCGTCTTTCACTATCCCAGTCCACCTTGTCAAGATTGCTTCCGCTCCCCAAAATTTTGGAAATGCTTACTTTACTGCACGATTTTCTGCTATTAGGGCGGGGTGAATTTGCTGTAGCCCTGGTAGCGCATGCAGATAATCGCATCGACGAAACTCGACGACGGGGGGCCGGAGCTCGAGGTCCCATGCTTGATGGCCTTATGATGAAAGAAGGAGATGTGATGACATCTTTAGCACATGCCTGGGTTGAGCTCTTCTCATTGCAAAAAGAGGAAGACCCAGCCGACGAGGAATTAGAGTTGGCTCGCGAGCTGCTTCGGCTATCCATCAGCGACCGAAAAAATACACGTGCGATGACCCCATCACATGTTTCGAACACAATGTCCAAAATCTCGACGGTCTCTTTTGAGGATTTGTTGTTCCCGACACCGACATGTCTGACCGCGCAAGTTCGCGCCCCTCTTGATCTATTCCTTTCCAGCTCTGATATCGCAATCTACTCGAAGATACACTCCTATTTACTAGGCATTCGAAGAGCACAAATACGACTTGGGGATTTATGGAAGCGGACTTCCTTGCGAAGAAATCACCCAACCCCGTGGGGTCCCCCACGTAGTAATAAACCGTACGGCCAGCAGCGGCTCCAGGCGAGCCGCGAGAGGGACAAAGCTCGCACCAGACGGATGCGGTCCATTTGGGCTACTGCCAGTGCCTGTCTGTTTGTTCTCTCGGAGATGGGCAGTTTTTTCCAAGGAGAAGTTGTCCACGAGTCCTGGCAGCATCTCCGTGAGTGGATTCAGGGACGCCCATCCACCAGCACCTCAGTTTCTGGATCTCGACCGGGAACGGCTTCCTCCGCAAAGACTCGGCCATCCCGAGTGGCTTCACCTGATCGCACGTCCAGCCGGCCGACATCCCAAGATGGGCCGACTCTCGGGCGAACCGACCCTGAAGCATTGACTATGGCCCACCGCCGCCATCTGTCCATGATCATCCAGTCTTTATTCCTGACTGATGTCCCCTTCACCAGTGCCCTACGGGCGTTGCTCACCAGCGTCGACCGATTTGTGGCTCTTGTGATCCGCCTTGAGACCATCCAGCGAAATATGGATCTAGAGACCGACGAGGGCGTAGTGGATGCCCTGGTTGACTATGCTCATGAAGAGGGTAAAGTATGGCACACGTTACGAACAACCCGCGGCGATGTGGAGACCGGCATCAAAAGGCTCGTTGCAAGCCTCCGTGATATCGACGATCATCGGTCTGGTGAGGGGCTCAGTTTCACCGCGAACCCAACAACCCGGGCGGATCTAGGCCCAGGCCCGGTGGGTCATTATGTGCCACGCCAACCAGCTGGTGTTGACCGACTCCTGATGAAGCTGGACTTTGGGAGTCTACGCAGTGACGGCGCACAGGCTATTGCACCTGGAATGACGGGTCTGGAGTAGCGTGATATTTATTTTGAGTGGAGTCATTGCGGAGTTTCAAAGGATCCCTTTTTATGTTTACACCGTGTCTTTTTTCCGATTTCAAACCTCTATTCTTACTTTCTAGGGGGTTACTGCACCCACACTTGCTCTCTTAGACGCATACTATTATGAATATACCAGAAAGAATACCCCGCTTCAGCGTTTCTCTAGGAAACCTATGAAGACCAGACCAAGTAAACAAAATTGAAATCCAAAACATTGAAACCTGACATCTGGCATCGTGATTATCGTAATGCATCTGAAGCAAGAATCCCATACAGCTGTAATGGACACACTATCAATAGTCACACCACTCCAACTTAGGGGCATTCAACAACAGGCCAAATCCAACAGCTGAACCCAGGCCGATCTTCAGTCTTCATGGAGATTGAGGCTCCAATGATGGAAGAAGGGGAAATGCAGTTGTACAGGCACTGTTTACCGAAATCCGCAAGACCGAGAGTGAGGACCTTCAACTTGTAGTCTGTAGATCTCTTTACTTCAGGGACCCGCTCAAGTGGGTCGCAGCTTAAATGAGGTTGATGATACTACCTTTCGGAAGCTTTGATCATGCCCTCCCATTCCACCTAAATGACAATCGGGATCAAGACCAGGACGCAAAAGAGAGAGAAAAATGCTCGAAACCTCAAGCTTTAGCATGTACATATTGCGTACTTACTACTTAAATGATCACAAAATAAACGCTAAATCAATTCATCATGCCAATGATAACCCGAAATACATGAAATTAAATCCCATCCAAATGAACCCCGGTTAAATCATGTACACAAATCTTTGGTCCCCAGTATCACATTCCAAATCTCCTCTCCGCCCACCACCGATAAGTTCATCTCGCTCCTCACCATTCCCAGACCCACCATTTACCTCTTGGGTGGAATCGAACAAAGCCCCATTCGTAGAACGCCTATTAGCCTTCTGCAAGAGCACCCTCAGAGCAAACGCAAGAATGGCGACCAGCACCATGAAAGCAGAACAAACTGCCATACCACGCACATACCATGGCCCATCCGCTTCTGGATATAACCTCGTCCCCAGAAGAGGGCCACACTGACCAATGATATTCAAGATGGCAATGCTTGTCCCTTTTCCTTCTTTCTCGACACGGTTGTCCATCGACCAGGTGATGATCAGTGTGATTGCGGAGAAGAATCCTGATATGGCGGGATAGACGCAGATGTAGCGGATAAAGGTGTGTAAAGGAGGAGGAAGGTCGGCGTGGAAATGACCTGCTGCTGCGATTGCGGCGTATGAGAGGGAGGATATTAGTGCGTGCGCTATTAGATATGGGCTGCGGGTGCGGGTGCGGTCTGAGGCCCAAGCTGTGAGGAGGACGACGAGAAAGGCTATCAGGTAGGGTGGGGCCGAGAGGGCTTGTGCGGAGAGGGAGGAGAAGCCCATGCTGTGTTTGGGGTCAGATTTCAGAACACAAAATGCTTTGTTCTTCATTGGACACATACTCTTTGATGATGGTAGGGAGAAACACTGGCATAGAGCTAAAAGCGACATTGCAGCTGAAGAACATGAACTGTAGTTTGTGTCAGAATAAGAATGTGTAACAGTCATGGATGAATACTCACAGCTGCCATGTAAGCTTTGGGGTCAGAAGCTGTCTTCAAAATCTCCCGCCAGTTGAAACCCTGTTCTTGAGATTGCTGGTAGTCTGACTTGGTAGTTTCTTCCAGCCGTCGTCGAGCCACGGCCCGTTGTCTGCGCGTAAGGAATCGAGCTTTACCCGGGGAATCAGGGATAAGAACCCAAGCAAAGACGGCAACGACAACACTTGGGAACCCTTCTACCAAAAAAAGTGTGCGCCACGGAGAGATCGGTCCGTCACCACTGAGCTTGACGATCATCCAGGCGAGACTGCTAGCGAAAGTGGTTGCTAGCGGTGCGGCTGAAATAAACAGTCCATTTCTGAACGCCAGCTCGTGACGCCGGTAAAACAGCGATAGATAAAATGGAACACCGGGACCGAATGCTGCCTCTGTGATGCCGAGCAAAAGACGGAGGATGACTAGGCCTTCGAACGAAGTTGCAAGACATTGGAACGAAGCTACCAGTCCCCATCCACACACACATATAGAGATATAAATATGCGGCGGGATAACGCGGTACATTAGTGTCATCCATTCAAACAGGATATATGTAATGTAGAATGCCGTCAGGAGCCATTCATACTGTGAAGAGGAAAGCTGTAGATCCTCTTGTAGCCCGGCTATCTTAGCGTTCCCGATATCTGTAAATATTATCAGCAAAGGAGTTCACGCATGAAAGTCATAGCTACGCGCAACAGCGCCAAGCTCAACCGCAGATATCAACAAACGTACTGGACCGATCCAAGAAAGCCAAAAGATACAAAAGAGCAAGAAAGGGCACAAGTCTCTTGTCAAAGATCCTCACCACCTCCCTTTCCTCCTCCAATGTATATTTTGGTCTCCGTGCTCGCACTCTCTTCCCCTCCAATCTATCCCCATTAAACCCATCTCCGTCTTCACCGTCCGAAACAGGTCCCCCAACAGCCCCCTCCGTACCCCCAAAATCAGTCTGGACCCGCAACGGTCCCACAGGAGATTGTTTCGGTCTGCTATTGGAGTCAGAGTATCTATCGTCCTCTGAACCATTAGAAACAGGTGTGTATCGCGGATTCGTCGACGCGCCGGAGTCGGAAGATGTGTTCCCCGCAGCAGCAGACGGGGGAAGATGGAACGCCATGTCGGCCACAACGGGGATGGGATTTCGTTGGAGCTCGCTAGAGGCTTTAACCTGACTTTTTCTCCATGCAAGACAGGCTCTGGATCGCTCAAATACCACGGGAGGGTTCACTAGGAGCTTGAAATGATGGGTTAGCAGGACCTTGATGATTAGGTAAGGGGGTACACGTGGGTAGCCTTTGGGGGTCCGGGTCCGTGCCTCGGGCTAAAGTTTTACCTCCCGAAGTATATAACATTGAAGCAAAATTTAATTTACAGGAAAAGAAAGGAAGTTTGGGGAGATTCGCTTTTTTTGTATTTTGTTCATATCTTGTTTTTTTTGTGCTTTTGTGCTTCTGGTTTGATTCTCTTTTTTTGGTGATTGTTTTGCTTTTGCTTGTTTTTTGGTCTTTTGTGTTGTGACAAGAACCGAGTTGATCTCGACTTATGATTCGCGTCCATGAAACATAACTTGTACATCATGCCGTTAAGATAAGAATTTGAAGATAATGCAGAAATCTGAATGTTGTAGATAACTTTTGATCATGCAAATCATGCTCATAGCTCATAGCGAGCCACTGTCCGGGTGAGCATGCCCATCCTGTCGCTGGGCGAGAAAGGCGACGGTGGGGGGAGGAAATGCTTGTTCGTTAATGACGAGAGGCGTCATATGAGCCCCCCATGTCACGTCGCTTGCGCGGTGAGTCGCGAGAATCGCGGTAGCGCTCTTCCATGGGCAGCATTGCACCACCGCTGCTTCTCCAGACAGGGTTCTCGTCCTCGTCTTCGTACGCCTCGCGCTCGCGGTAGGAGCGTCGCTCACGTTCAATGCGCTCACGACGATCGCTTTCACGACGATCGCTTTCACGACGATCACTGTGGTGATACTCTTCGTCGCGAGATTCACGAGAGTCATGGAGACCATCTTCCTCGTAGGTGTGGCGTTCGTAGTTTTCACGATACCCATAATTAGCTTTAGGGCTGTCTTCTCGCTGCTTTCCACGTGACTGACGAGCAGACTCGCGGAGGGCACGGGGTGCAGCCGGACGGAGTCTGTCCTTTGCAGTTCGCTGACGGGATGTGGAGCCGCGGCCTCCCTGGGCATTGAAACTAGGCTTGGAGACGGTAGGAGGGTCGAAGCGGCGCACGTGGCCCTTGGAAAGGTGTCGATCATGAATCACACTGGTTGTGTAAACGTTTTGAATCTCCTCAAGAAGATTCGAATCAACGTAGCCATCATAATGTTGAGCGAAGCTGATGATATTCTCAGTGGTGTCGCGCAGGAAGCGAACATTGCGGGACTTGTCAGTGTCTTTAGTTGAGATGCCAGTTTTGTTGCCATCCGAAAGATAATAGTTAACCAGGGCCTGGCGGTAAACTTTGAGTTGTTTGCCCAGGGAAGACTTAGGGTCCACTGTATGGCCGGAATCAAGAGACATTTCTTCCATAGACTCACTTGCTTCGTTCATGGGGGGATCTGCGTAAAGTGAGGACGACATCACTTCACGGAGGTCCGAGGGAGAATGTTTCATAGCTGAGAATGAATCATATTAGGATTTCTAATTTGAGATAAGAAATAAGATGCAAGTAACTAGAGTACTCACAATCATCCCAAGCCTTGCCGGCAGCTACGCAAGCGAGCACAAGCTTCTTTTTAGCGGCAAAGTTTGGAGCCATTTTCATTCCAGGGACGTAGTCCTTCCAAAAGAGGTGGAACAAGTCTTTGTTGTCAAGCGAAGGGTCGTCTTGGTAGAGCTCACAGAAGATGGTATCATTGACGTTGTCGCTGTCAGCTCGGATATTCTCACAGATCGCAGCCTGGCGCTGGATGATGTTGAGGAGAGTTCGTTCACTTTCAGGATTATTGAAGAAAGCTCGAATCCGCCTGATTCCATCGAGGTTTTCACTGGGCTCCACCACTTCATAATCTTCTTCTTCACCATAGGTGAAAAGAACAGGTTCTGACTCCTCGGTTTTCTTCGAGCTGGAGGCTGACATTTCTGATTGTGCTGGTACAAATCGGATCGGAAGACTTGGGAATGAAACGATAACGGGGGAGACTTTCTTTTACGCGTATGCGAGCACGAAGATTCGGGTTTCGAGACTTTGTGGGAAAAGGAAAAGATAAAAAGGATTGGAAAAGGTATGGGAGGGTATGTGTTGAAGATGTTTGAGGACGCGATGCGAGGGTAGAACATTCAGATTGTACTAGACTTGAATGTTGAGAGTCATAACTAGCGAAACAGTACACCAGCCTAAGCAAGATGGTCCCTGGATAATTCTAAATGTTTCTCTAGTCACTAGATGTATGTAAAACAACTAAACTTATCCTCTACTATATTGTTAGTAAAAGGTTGCCCTTTTGATTCTAAGCTCGAGTCAAACTCTTTGAAGCCCTGTCATCTAGATACTAAGAAAGTAAATACAATCATGGCCTTAAAGCCTATATACTAACCGGAGATATGTATATTGTGTGATTTATCAAGACGGACTATAATGATTGGGTAACAATATATCATCAAATACATCATCATTCTCATAGGGTATAATCACAGGGATGTTCATGGATCTAGTTCCTTTCCTCCCAGAGCCTCTTGATCTCATTAGCCAGAACCTGGGGCTTGCTGCCCTCGCCATTCTGAGTACAATTCTTCCAATGCCCGCCATCGTGGATGCACCAGATTGATTCATCTAACCGCACGGTGCAGCTAGTATGAACGTCGAGTCTCTCGCTATGTAGGGCATTTTGTCGTAGCAGCGCAATACCACTAAGAGGAGTTTTGCCCCGTTGGCCATCGTCGGGGGCGTCACTCTGCTGGCTTGCACATTGATTCAATGCGTCGAAATCAATACCATGCTCTAATGCACACTGGTGAACGAGACCTCGATCCGGGATACGAGTATAGTCATTAATGAGGCAGTTTGCAAAGCCAAGTGACCGGATGATAGGTGTGCGAGGGTATGCTGAAGGGAGGACCGATTTGTTGGCTGCAGGAGGGAAGGGTAGATTGGCGGCACAGAGCATGAGCATGTCACCGATACATTCAGCAGGGCCATGCATGCACTGAATGTCGGATGTATCTCTGGAAACACTAGTGATAGCAGAAGGTCAGTGAAGTTCTAGCGACCTGTAGGATGGCGTTCCTATGGACTAATATATACCTGGCAATGAAAGAAAGCCGAAAGTCGACCTTGTCACTAATCTGCTCCATAGCTGGCAGGACTAGCTTATGCAAACAGCCTTGAGCATCTGGGCATTTGCTCATGATATGGACCTCAAGGGGAATTCTCGTTTGTTCATTTGATTCGCTGGTGATAGGGAGTTGGTTCATTCCAGGCCGTTCAGACTGCTCATGTCCGTTGTTCTGAGTAGCCAAAGCTGTAGAGTGGTCTTTGTGCTGACCTGGAGCTAAGCAGCCAGGAGTATCGCATGGTGAACAAGCCGGTGATATGCACAGTGTGGGACGTGGTCTAATCAGCATATAATATCCGGCCAAAAAGCAGAAAACGATAAAGAGGCGTCTCAAGAAAATGGCTCTGCGTGGACGAGTCTGTGGAGCCAGCCATTTGGGCTCTTGGGAAGCACCATGTGTTTCACCTGTATGAATAGGTAGCTTCTCCATTTGGTATGTAGACTGTGGAAGCTTGAACTGACGTCGATGTTGATCCCTGATAAGAGTCCCGCTGATTTAGAGTGGAGCAGGGGTCGGGTCGAAAAATGGATACGGCGGGATTTAGTGGCCAGATATGCAGATTCAGACCGCTTTGTATTTTGCAATTATGCCGGCCGTATATATCGATAAGCTTCACCGCTATGTTATCACCAGTCAGGGCCTTTCGAAACTAAAGTCCCTTCAATGTGCTCTGTGTTACGTTGAGAGCACTGAAATTAAATCACATTTTACTTCGGAAATTATCGAGGCTAGATAGTTAATTAGCAGATGCTATTATGTCAATACTGAAATCAGGTACCTTTACAAGTACTAGGCAGGGCAATTAGTAATAAGTATGTTCGACTTGACCTACATTTAGGACTGGTTTCAACACGTAACCTTGAAACTCAAACCTTAATTAAGGATGATCAGAAGTTGACTCGGACATAGGTAGACCTTAAAGACTACCATTCACACAGCTTGTTTTATTCGGAAACCCGAACAGATGTTGGAATAGCACATAGTGCTCTAGGTGCCATCATTGCATGATGGTGCATCAAGCATTTTCTTGGCATTTTCTTGAGTCACAACTTGGATCAGGTAAATCCTTTAAGTAAAAAGTAAAAATGTGAAAGATCCATTGCTTATTTTAAGATAGGCAAGACTATGTAGATGATTATCCCCCGAGCCCCAGCTCGAAATCGAACCCCAGCTCGGAATCGAAAATGGAGAGAAGGTGATGCGTCATGACAGTTAAAGCACACGGTGAAACTAAATGGGACCCAAAACGGCTTAGGGTAGGTTGCGCAATCTGATCTTCGGATCTGTCTCCTGATACAGTCAAGCGCCTGGCATTTTTGAAGCAGGTTAAATGTACGAAGTAAGCAGACTAAACGATAGCTTCCAAGGTCTTGATCCATTCGGGTTACGCCAGATAGGGGTTACTTTCCGATGCCCTATCAAATGCACTCTAATGGACAACTTGAAGATGATAGGTAGATGTGCTCCACTTCCTGGCCCTTCTTTTGTGCCGAGACGTGCATTTATGTTATGCACGGGTGTTGAGATGAGGGAAGGTGCTGAACCAAGGTCCTTTAGATGTACCTATTCCGAGGGAAGATAATAGATACTCCACAGCTGATGTAGTCATGTGTAGCGGCGATAGTACCCCTCCTTCTAGGCATACGAGTCACGACTGCCGACCCATTGGAGCCCGATTGACCTTCCTCATGTAGACACGCTAAAATACAAGACAATTCGCATCCGATGGGGCTTGATGGATGCCTGGGCTCCGATCTCGGAGGCATTCTGATATGGCGCAAGTCTTCGTTTTGTCTTTCAAGGTTCGAGCTTGAAGGTCCTTGAACCATAGATGCGTCTGGGTTACTAAATTCAGAAAAATTACCGACTCATGTGTGAGGTAAAGCTGAAAGTTGGAACATATTTGAGGCTCTCAGACCAATGCAGCAAAAGCGCCCTTGCTCTCCGCTCGCATTATTGACCAGGAGCAGGTGATCCCTTCCGCCCCATGTTTTGAAACGAGGAACCAGTGGAGTGTGGACTGTGGAAGAGCTGACATCTGGTGGCTGCATACGAACGATCGAGACCCTGGCCACGTTACGAGCACGGTGATTTCCGGGGCGGAGATTATGCGTAAATGACCAGTATAAAAGCGATCCATAGGGCGGGTGTATGACGATAACCCGGCACGTTTTTTTTCTTTACCGTGATCCGGGCCCACTTTGGCTATTATTGTTCTCATAAGGCGATGGAGGGATTGGCCGTTAACACCCCGTGGAGGGGGTTTTTTGAAAGCCAAGAATGAGAGAGTTCCACAAAAAGAAAATGATACATAAAAAAAAAGATGTAGGATTTTGTAGCCGAGATGGTTAACCGAGCTGGAGGAAATGCCACGTTTTAGAGGCGTCAGATGCCCAGTAAGGTTACATAGTTCGAACATCGGGGTTGTATGTGGGTTTTGATGCAATGTCTACTGCCAAGTGGAACTTAAGTTACTTTCTCCGACCGCGGATCGACGAAAACCCCGGGACTTTTTTTGCCTGCAAGTTCAATCACTTTTGGGGGTGTACCGCCCCTTATAGAGTTTCTAGTAAGCAAATCCAATCGACGATAACTACCGGGATTTCCAAGTCGTCCACGTCCCCGAAAGAAAACCAGCGTCACATCGTCTCGTGTCCTCCGATGGTCGCATCTTCAGCCCTTTTTCTCATTAAATCCATTGCTTTTTCTTTCTCTATTTTATTCCTTTTCGTCTGCTTTATAGTTATCCAGGGTACCCCCCATGCCTTTGCGGCTCCACTTCCAATGATTCTCGCCCGATAAAGATTACCAGATTACCAAATTACCAGATTTCCAGATTTCCAGATTTCGAGATTTCCAGAGTTCCAGCTTCCCAGATATCCAGATATCCAGATATCCCCCCATCCGAACCCATAACATCTGTGTATGCTTCGTTACGGATTATTCCATAATCTGGCCTCAGGCATCACAAGGGATACTCAGGCACAAGACAACACGACGATCTCCATATATAGGCTCATCCCCCCCCTGGTAGATCCTTGCTAAAACAAAAACATAACAAAGAAATTGGAGCCTTTCATCCACCCCCTTCTGTCCATATCGCACATACCAAGATTCCTAATCAGGGTACGTAAAACATGACAGCTGAGATCATGATTTCCCTATTGTTTCGGTTCTGGCATGATCATCTTTACCTGCCCAGGTGTTTGTTTGCCTATCCCCCGCAGCACCCGGAACTCTCCCCCCCTCCAAATTATCACAGCAGACCGCGTCACAGCAATGTTCTTACCAACCCTGTTCAACCTTACTAACCGTTGTTGCGAACTAGTTCCTTGGACTTTATTTTCAGCCTCCCTTACCAGGGTTTGAGGTCCATGTCGTCCTTTCTGCCCGTACCTGCTTCGCATTCCTGAGAACCCATTGAGACGGGAGCGGGTACTGTGACAGAAAGGCGTCTTTTGTTTTCTACTGGTATTTTGTTTTGATTCCTCCAAGTCCAGGATTACCATCATCCATACACAGCAGGTTCGACCTTGAACTGTTGGCGCAATTTTTATCTCTTGGGGAAAAAAAAGAGTCGGGACATAGAAATACATATTTCTCTAAACTCATTCCCCACAATGGCCTCGGTGAACTCAATATCATCTGAGAAAGACCATGACGAGGAGCGTGACATCATGCATGACGATGTCATCGAGGATGAAGAACAGGACATCAGTGTTGAATTGGATGCGTCTCAAAGGGAACACCTCGAATATGTCCAGCGATTAGACGAATTTCTTGAGCCCCTGTGCTTGGAAGAGGCCGTGTTGTACAGACTGGCGCGTCGCTTTTCCGGCACATACCGCCATTTGGCGTTGACATCGGATCAACAGTTTTTGCCAACCCCCGTAACCCAGCTGCCGACAGGAGAGGAGACGGGTCGTTATTTGGCGATCGATGTAGGTGGAAGTAACCTACGGGTTGCATTTATTGAATTGTTGGGCGAGGTAGATGAATCTGGTGGATCCGGAGATGCCTCGGAAAGGTCGCGCGACACCATTCGCAAGGCTCAACGACAACGAGTGAAACGAACATTGGAGCGAGCATGGCCGATCCAGGAGCATTTAAAAATGGACAAGGCTGAGGATCTGTTTGCTTGGATTGGTGATTGCATTGCTGAGGTGGTGGCGGAGAGTCTCACTTCGGACGCAACCCGGAAAGACAACCCTGCGGAACTAGATATGGGAATCACTTTCAGTTTTCCTATTATGTTAGTGATTTCGACCCTTACCCAAAACAATGGATATCTAAGTGCTGACTGATTCATAGGCAAGAATCCCTAGCGGAAGCTACATTGATGCCCATGGGTAAGGGTTTTGCCATGTCATCAAACCTCAATCTTCGTGACATTCTTTTGAACGGCTACGAAAAACACACAAGGCGACCAGAAGACGAAGAAGAGCCTTCGTCTAAACGTCGGAAGCTGTTTGCCCTCCCAAAGCTGAAGATACAGGCCATCACCAACGACACTGTAGCGACACTAGCGTCACTCGCATATGCCGTCAAATCGCTACCAAACAGTCGAGTTGCGATGGGAATTATTGTGGGAACAGGGTGTAATGCAACAATTCCGATGAAACTCAGTGAGCTGCATGAATCCAAGGCGAAGAGTGTCAACACAATGGAGCCGGGAGCTACGGAGACCATTGTCAACACTGAGTGGACCATCTCTGGTGCTGCCCCGCCACTCATCGAGCTGGACATTACTACTAAATGGGACATCCAATTGGACAAAGCCTGTGTACGCCCTGGCTTCCAACCATTTGAATACATGACCGGAGGACGATACATTGGCGAATTAATTCGTCTGATTCTGTTCGACTATCTCACGACCGTGGCAGAGCTGTCGAAACGAATTCTCCCTGCGAACCTCATCCAAGAATACGCTTTGACCACCACCTATATTTCCGACCATGTGGCCCGAGCCCGATCTGACCAAGATCTCGCCAAGGAACTAAACCAATCTCTTCCTCCTCCAGAGAGCAGCGACTGGCGCTGGGATGCCCGTACAGCAGGTGCATTCCGCCGAATCGCTCGAACCGTGCAAAGACGATCGGCCGGACTGATCGCCGCCGCCGTAATTGGATTATTAGCATGCTGTCGCGAAATTGAACTGAAAGAAGACAGTAACGTCAATACACCAGAGAACGCGGCTTCCCCACAAAGTAATGGCGATGTCTCCGCTGCCGCTGCTGCTGCCGCTGCTGCTGCCGCCAATGTCCAACCCTCTACCATCCACAATGTTCACGGACATGTTGTCCCAGTCCTACAGCCCACCCCGGCAGATTGGCAATTTGGTCCGGAGGAGCTGGTTGTAGCTTACACTGGAGGTATCATCCAACACTACCCGCAGTTCAAAGAAATGTGCCAGCAATATATCGATCGCCTGATTATGCGGACTGGTCCGCAGCGAGGAGGAAAGTCGGTATTCTTACGAGAAGCTTCGGATGGTGGTGTTATTGGTGCAGGCGTTTTAGCTGGTATGGTTGTCAGCAAGTAAAGTATTAGATCTCAACCTTACTCATGCAAGCTTGAGCTTTTTGGAGTGGAGTTTTGTGAGAAAAGAGTCAGGGATGGTTTAATGTCTGAGATTTTTTTACCGGGGATTTGGATCATCGTAGAAAAGCATATGGCATCTTGCTGTGGAAGTCACTATATGGAGTATTGTTTCAATTTATCTTTGTAGATATGATAAGGCCAGGTCAGGTGACCTCACGTGGGTATCATCCCCGCGATCCACCGGGTTGAGGCAACTCATCACTCGACACTCCTCTTCATCGTCACATCCTCCTCACAGCAGTACCGTGACGATGGCTACACAGCAATCTTACTACGAGCTCTACCGCGGTAGCAGGTACGGCCGATTCAGGAAAAGCAGAGCTAAGATCTAAGCTAACAGAGATGCCTTAGCCTCGGTCTGTCTCTCACCGACACTCTTGACGATTTGATCAACGAGGGTCGCATCGAGCCTCAGCTCGCAATGAAGATTCTTTCTACCTTTGACAAGATTGTCACCGAAGTGCTGGCAGACAAGGTTCGAGCCAGACTTACATTTAAGGTAAGAAGAACGTCTGGATGGGTATCACACAGCGCAAGCGCTGTTGAGCCTAAGCCTTCTTTTATTACTTCAATGAGACTAACTGCTTTCTTCACCTGCAGGGCCACCTAGATACCTACCGATTCTGTGACGAAGTCTGGACCTTCTTGATCAAGGATGTATCGTTCAAACTGGATAACCAGACCACAGTCACTGCGGACAAGGTGAAGATCGTGAGCTGCAACAGCAAGCGACCGGGCGAAGCATAAGTTAGAAATGGTGTGAACAATCTTGGGGTTTCTGGCGTTTGCATATGGTGGCTATGACGGCGTTTGATTGGCATCTTCGTGTGGAATCTTTTGCGGCGTTTGAAGGGCATTTCTCATTGCCTTGATTTTACTTTTCATTGTCTCCCACTCAAAAAAAATTGTCTAGAGCATAACAGATACCCAATATACTGAGGATGACAGCCTTGTCACTTAATCTTGACTTTTGTACCTCCGTGTGAAGCGGTAATAGGTACAATGGTAATGTCCCCGAGTACTACAGCCTCTTGGTATCTATGTCAAGAAATATTCAAGATAGAGCTACTCTACATAAGAAGGTACGCAATTAGAGAGACACGCTACTGCTTTCCAAGAACTGGTCAGTACGAACACCCGATTAATCTGAACAGCCTGAGAGGTGACCTCATTTCTTATCAGCGCCGATCTTTAACCGTCACATATTTCCTCCGCAGCCCCAGCTTGTGCGATCCACCGGAATTTGCTCAGTACAATACCATGCCCAGGACATTACCCTGGCTCCTTGAGAAGAAGGATGAGGGACGCGTCAAACGAGAGTCAACCCCACGGAAGCGCATCAAGCGCGAGGCGGATGCAGACCCAGACCTAACGCCTAAACCACCCACCTCTCCCAACAGGACAGACTTCTTCAGATCATGTATGTGCCTACTTGCGATCAAAGAATTGTGCGACTCATCCAATCTCACAAGTAGCCACTCTTTACAGCACAGACTCCTCCTACATCCCCCGCCCGCGCATGTCCTACCGAAGAGTACGTCCCAAAGCCGAAGCTACGTGAAGCAAGCAGAATAACCCCACTTACGCAGAATAGATTTCTCCTAGAGGGATTAGATAAGGATGACGCATGGGTCATGGTAGAAGACGAGTTCTACGCTATCGCACAAACATTCACCAAGCACCTTCACTACGCGGAGTACGTACGACGAAAGAAAGAAGCCAAGGCCCGGGGTGCAGAAGCGATAAAGGAAATACAAAGGCCGACAGATGGCCAAACGACGATTCCGGATGCTGTCTTGTTGAGAAAGGGCGCGGAAGCACTGGCCGCGCGCCAGCAACAGGGTCTGGCACGACTGCACGGACCGGTTGATGACCTGGAGGAGCATAGCGATGAGGATGATGGTGCTTGGACTGGGACCCATCTTCATGGTCTAATGACGAGTCCGCGGAAATCGCGATCCCTGGTCGGTTCCTATGGTATCAAATCCTCGACCAGAGCTGCTGCAGGCTTTAGACAAGCCTTTAGGTCCGACTGCGACGAAGGACTGGCTCGAAGGTCTCAAAATATTCCTCCTCCACAAGCCGTTCAGCCGAAAGAAGTGATTGACATTGAGACGGCATCGGAGGAAGACTCTGATGGAGAGGTTTACCCAATCGCTATACCATCGAATACCAGACGAGATAGCACACCCAGTAGAACCTCAGAAAGACCGACTCCACCCGCAAGGCGGCAAATAAGCAGCACACTGACGAAATCTACGCAGAAAACACCTACAATGCGCATGCAGAGACCAACGACAACAACGCCAACACCTAAGAGCAGTAAACCAGCAACTGTTTTCAAGTCAAGAGTTCAAATTTTATTTGATGACCTTGATGAGCTACCAGAGCCATCTCAGCTTAGTTCATATATCTCTGACAAGAAAGAAGGAGCTGGCCCTGGAGACAGTGCATCCAGGGAAGCCTCTGGGACCAACAATTTGGAGTCCAAATCCCGCTATAATGACGTGCCGACTTTTTTGATGTGATGACCACTTGAAACCTTATTACATTCCCTCTAGATCAACCAGATCTATCCAAAGTTGCGTCAAGCTGTCCGTCGACAGTCGTGTCCGCACTTCTATCCAGGGCTCGTATCTCAAGGCCTTCCTGATCGTCGACCGGTGTCGACTTGAACCATCGTCTCCACTTCATGCGCGACAAGAGGCTGGACTTGACACCTCCACGCTCATCGCCCGCACCTGGGCTTGGATCTTTTCCTCCATCAGTGGTTGGAGATCTTTCATCTCGATTGTTGTGCCGTTCCTCATCGTGATCGATCCCTGATGGCTCTGATACATCAACACTCTGTAGCTCCTTGGTCAGAATAGGTCGGTCGCCTGCGTTTTTATTGGGCGATATAACTGACTCCGCATCCGAGAAGCAAGCCGGTGTCTCTTCTTTTCGAAAATTGGTTGGGGGACCCTGCAGGAATGAACTTGTCAGTCTTGTCTTCCTCATTGTGGTAATAGGGTGCAATCAAACTCACAATTTCAAGCACTCTTTCCTTTGGTGTAAACGGAGCCTTGATAAATCTCCAGACTTGTCCGAAACACCCCATGTTTGCTGATTTCGTGTCGGAAAGTCCGATCGACTGGGCCTTTGGCGAATTTATAAAGATCGTGTTTGGGTCGCGTGCGCTAAGAACACTGGAGCTTAACTAAAAGCCAGGTCTTGGTGAAAAGGCAGCGCTTTGATGAAAGTCAAATGCTAATAACGAGAGGCAATATGCGAAACGAAAGACAGGCGAAATGCGCCGAAAGAATAAAAGGAAGATGAAAGACCCCACCAAACAACAGGTGTTCGATGCCACTGACGCCCTGGCCGCAAAATGGAAGCAAATTGGAGGCTAGGCTGGGGTACATATAGGAATATCTGCAAGTCAGCCTAGTTCCAGGCAGCTTCTGCAGTATGCAAATCCATACTAAGCACGGCTTGTCAAGGACGGATTGAATTCTCCACTTCATGACCCACTAACGCAGGTTGAACTGGGCGACAACCAAATTCACTCCTGTGGCATGGACAGCGGGCCACTCAAGTTGACAGGTTCGGCAGGGTCTGGCCATGAAATCCCTTTGAAGAGTCTGTGACACATTCCGACCCGACGGCTTCCTCTCCCCTGGCAGCTACGGGTAACTTACCCGGAGATCCTCGGAGATCCTCGATCGCGAAACTGCCGAAGAACGTAGACCTGGACTTGGACCTGATGCTGATACATCGGGGCCTCTTCTGCCTATTTCGGTGGCGCGTGATGCATGCACCTTTCCGGAGTACAACCTGCGTCAATTTGTCCGAGCATGCCACGAACCTTCATGGAAACGGAAGGCAAACTATGCACTTCAATTCTCACTAGTGCATGGCTAGGCAGTAAGGTCACTATGACCTGCAGCCTGCAGGGAAGGAAAATGCGTCAGCCAAACCCGTGCATCATAGGCACTCGGTTATCGGCGTAGCGAGTGGAGCGAGGCCTAGAAGGGCAAAAGGGAGCCTGTTAGCTCGTGTCCTAGAAACGCCATACTTCATTCCTCGACCCTTCCGGCTCAAGGTACCCCTACCGTTTAAGCTTTGCAGGACCTGTCGATCGTGACATTTCCTAGAATACATGAAAGGAACAGGCAAATTTTGGTACTTGGATCTTACGCCTTGGTTTCTTTCCTGTCAATGTAAATATGGAACGGTTTTCAGGGAGGACTCTCGCTCTCGGAATCGATGTTTCTCCTTTGTTTCTTCGTCTATTCACTAGATCCTTTGGCGCGTAATACCAGTCTTACATACCGAAAGTGCGGACGATCGCGAATCGCTTGTCGATCGATCCTGGATTTGTCACTGACAGGGATGATCTAGACAGTCAAGACCACCTCTTTACGGAGTACGGAGTCATCAGCGAGCTATGCAGCAACCGTCAATTCCTCACGATAAGGCTTCCACCACATATTTACGCTCCAATACATCCCCAGAGAGGCATTAAACATTGGATTTCGAGGTTTATCTCTGCGTCCCTGTTGTAATTCTACCTATCGCCCCAACGACGCAGTTGTCCACGCTAACGTCATTACCAGAAGTCTTCAATCCAAACCATCTCCAACAGACTAGACCTGGAAGGCTTGCAATTTTGCTATTTGACTACTATGACACACAACCTCAGATCAAGTTGAAAGAACCCACAATCAAAAGTCCTTGCGCGTCGAAAGGTTACTGTATTTGTGTTTTCCTCCCTTGCGTCGGAGCTATGCCGTGTTAAAGGACACGACGGGCTCGGCCTTTGTAGGCAGGTACATTCCTAGATATAAGAAAAGGGCAAATGAAGCGAAAATGACGGAAGAAAAAGTACAGTTTTATTAATGTATATATTGTTTCGTGGGCTACCTTGAAAGCTGAAGGCCTTGGAAGATCCAGACCTTACTCTACTTTTCACCATAGCAAGGTGTGAACACATTGAGTGGATCAGATCTTCTTACTCTCACGCACTTACACTTACCAGGTCTAACTATTTTTATCAAATAATTCGATTCACTTGGACAAGCATACGAATACTCATAGTATTACTATCGCCGATAATCATTTCATCCCGTTTGGCATGCCGCGGGAGATCCTCGCAACACAAGGTCCCAGATATGCTAGCATCACATTACCCTGTAAATGACCCGAGAGACTGGGTCGGTCCATCGTGCTCGGCTTGCATTCTTCCCTCCATTCATAGAACGTTCCATATTCTTCTCTCCAGGGCTAGGGTTTACCGTTTTGGGTGATTTTTGCGCTATTAGATCCCATTCTTCGTTTTCGCTTCGAGGCTTTCAGACTTCATTAAAGATTTACTTGTTCGTGGCTCTTTTTGATGATGTACAAGTGGGGTCTTAATCTATATGAATTGATAGATCACTCTTCCAAGATTTCCAGAGCTACCCAAGGGCGGTCGGTGCCTTCGAAGATTTTGGGAAATGCAGTCAGATTATATATAAGAATCATCCACGTTTCATATAGCAATGGACCCACATCAGCCCAATGACCATTGCATTCAAGCTTCTACTTCTACAGAATCGATATAAAGTCATCATGACAAGTCTCTCACCAGACGCGCTCCAGCCCAGGCATAGACGTAATTATGCTGATACCAGTTGACACTGTTCGCATTCAATTAGTAGGTAGTCGTAGTAACTGAATATCTTAGGAGACGTACAATGTAGATCGACCAGCAATCCGAGGTAGCGTCGCCCAGGAGCCACCCAGGATAATATTGTGTTTCCCGTCAAAGAAGTCGGCTATATTGTCGTTAGCAACTTATTAATTCATTGGGAGAATGTCGCTCACAGGTATAACCTGGGTATATTTCCATAGCTTCGAATCCTTCATCGGGTAACAGAGGTGAGCTGGTCCACTCCCAAACTCCACCAAATTCACCCTGTCCCGCTAGACGATCACCGTTCGGAGTAACGGGCGTGGGATGCCAGTTTTTGAATCCCACGTTGCAATCTGTGAGGTCACGAAACACGGGGGACGCCTTTGTACCATTGATTGCATTGGCCACGTTGCTAGGATGAGAATCAGTTGGTTGTTTATTTTGATCGTTGTTTTAACGTACCTGTAGCCATTAGATGCATGGCCGGAGGCACTCTCCTTTAGTCGGTCGGAGTATTGGTAAATACTCTTGACCTCCTCAAACGTGGGAATTCGGCATTCTACCCACTTGGCATATTTAGCCAGCTCATCAAAGGAAGCGATCACGGGCCAATCATGCGCGAGCTCCAGCGGAACAGATCCAAAGACAGTACGCACGGCAAAGTTGTTTAAATACTCCTGGGTGGCACCAGGGCTAGATCGACCGATTCCCTTGGCGATAGGATAGACCTGGTCTGAGTGGACAAGCAACCAAGATGCAGGGATTGTTCGAGAGCGATTTGCTTGCAGGTATTTCGCATATTCACCATTTGTAATGGGTCGAGCAAGTGCTTCAAAAGAGTGAACTCTCACTTTCTTCTGTGGCTTCTCGTTGTCCCACCCATAGGATTCTCTGGGTACGACGCTCTTGTCCAAATCTTCCAGACCAACTGTGACAGTCTGCATGGGTATACGAAACCACTGATTTGGCTTGGAATTGATTCTGGCCTTTTCGGCCGTTTTCATGAAGTCAGGCGTGTCAATACCAGAAGGTGGTAAAGTTTTGTCGCTCTGCAGCAGCATATAAAGGAATGTCTCCAGATGCATTGCCTCGTGTTCAAACCCAATCCACAAGGCCTCACCCAGACAGCGATCTTTCAAAACTTCGGTATTCTTGAGAAGACATCGTGCTCTGTTCCGGACGCGCTCTTGATAATCCAGTATTTCGTCCAAGGGAGGCCACTCGTCGGGGATTTCACTGTGCGCATGACACTGCTCTGGGTCCTCGACATCAGGGTCAACTCCTCGCTCAAAAATAGTTTGGTAATATTTGGGGTGCGTTGGCTTCCCGTGTGTTGCCCGGGTCATATGAATGTCTACAACGCGTGGATTAGCCTTCAGATAATACCTCAATCAGTAGGTTGACAAACCAAAAAAGGTGGGGATATGGCCCAGATAAAAGATCAACTCGTTTCGGAGTTTGATCGGCTTAGAGATGAGCTCTCCCCGGGGAATCATGGTTTTGGTCACAACATCCCATGCGGTCCATAAAGATTGGAAATCTTTCAGTGTTGGGATAGATCGAGCCGCATATTGAGAAGGCTCAGTGGGTACGTCAAGAGCTGCAGGCGAGAGCAGATGGATATCTGACGTTCACAATGTCAGTATATGAGAACAAAGAGGAGATATAAGCTTTTTGTACGCACGATAGTTGTCCTCGGAATTGCCAAATTCCATCTGGGGAATCAAGCCTGCGCCGCGACAGAGTTCATCTCGTTCATCTCGACTATATTTATAGGCCTCTTCAAACTTGAGCTTCTCTCCTTTCCGGATTGCAATGTCGTTGATCACAACATCAACCTTCGGAGAGTAAAATGCTTGATGACACCCGCTCGCAGTGTTATATTCAGTCACCACTTCCCAATCGCTAGGTCGAAAAGCTTCGAAGCCTAGCACGGTATTCGCATGCCGTAGCCCATTCTCATAAAATTCTCGGGTCACGCCTTGCGAATCATTATAAGCTCTGTAAACCTTTTCTGGATCTTTGCAAGCGTCCACTCCGATCAGGAGGAAATCAGACGGACCGAGAAGCTTGGAAAAACCACCGAGAAAGTTTGCGGCGTCAGAGCGGCTGAAGTTTCCGATGGAGGATCCCATCGAAAGCACAACCGTTGGCCTGGTGCGATTTTTCGGGTTCTTCAACCAGTCATGGGCATCATCGTAGGTGCCGTGGAGCCCATGGAATCCAACGTATGTAAAGCTCTCGGGTGAGATCTCGGAGAATGTACGTTGTAGCTCCGTCAGTGACAAGTCTAATGCGTAGTAATCCACCCGCTTTTCCGATCGCTCGCATTCGCGCAGGAGAATCTCGACTTTTCTCAGGTTGCTGGAGTAAGACGTTAGAAATGTCGGTAGTAAACGTCCAAGAAAACTTACCCACTGCCTAGCTCCACCAGCTGCGCATTTTGCGGAATCCGCTCCACTATTCTCCTTGCATGTGTTGTCAAGAGCTCGATCTCAGCATTGGTCAGGTAATAATCATCCACGTAAGTGATCTTCTCGAATAACTTGAGCCCTTTCGTGTCGTAAAGCAGGAGAGTGGGAAATGAGGGTGGCTCGCCCTCGGGTGGGCTGAGATTCTTGTAAAGCTCATCAACAAGAGAGAAATGCATGTCATCTTGGTGAATATTAACAATGTCAACACCGTCAAGACTAGTTAATGATGGAGACATTTTGCCGGCGGCAATGTACGGGAGGACGGGATCCAAGGTTGGGGAGATACGGAAAGGAAGAGAGATCAAAGAGGGGAAAAGAAACGGGTGGAGGTCGGGATTTAAATCCAGAAGCTATGGGAAGCTTGGAAGAAACATGAGCGAATAAGCCCGAGCTACCTTGGACACGGATTATAGAGTGAAGTCAATGACAAATCATCACAACACAGGTAGGAACGACCGGATGAAAGACACTCAACCAGTCATAGCGGGTCATTGTACACCGGAGTCGGATGAAAACAAGGTATACGAAAAAGAAGAATTGCAGTAGTTTGCATCTCGTGTGCTTGAGCTATTCAGGGTTTGATGACCGAGATATCGACGCAAGATTGGCTCATCAGCCTGTTTTGACCCGTAATACATGTATGACATGTTTGCATTAGACAACCCCCGCAAGTCTAGAGCTCATGTCAAAGCCAATCACATGTAAGACCCATATTATTAGCCGGTGACTCAGGCCCGACTCTTACGTCTTGTGTTACAAATTGTCTGTTTGCATCCATTAAGACAGTATCCACATTACTCGATTTGGAGAATGTGGAGTCGATCCACTCACTGTTGAGGTCATCATGGGTTTTGCTCTGTTTGTTTGGTTTGCATATCAATACCTTCTTTGTCAGCTCAGTCAAAGAAGCTTTCGCAATCCTTGGTATCACAAAACCTTTTATTGTTCGTCTTTTCTTTGCTTTAGTTCATGCAAACAAATGCACAAAGACTAACATTACACAATGTCAATCTTGAATCATCCTCCATCTACCTGAGTATTTGAAGATAGATGACCCCTAACCAGAGACATGACTTACTCGTCTGCCACTACCCAGAACATCTCCCAAATTGAAGAGCGGTCATTTATCTATCCTATAACTAACAGGGATCTCCTCACGATGACTTCCAGGTTCCCTATTCGTCGACTTCGGCGACGCAAGAAGAAGGTATCCAACAATCCGGAAACTGAAGAAACAGATACCTTCAAAGTCCAAAGTCTAATTGCTCAGATCATTAACCTTGAAAAAACCCTACAACAAGCAATCCAAACAGTTGACTCGCTCAGGGATCAACTTGCAGAGTACGACGTTTTCCTAGCTCATTCCCAGTGTCGCGCTGCTATATCTCCATCTCCACCTCCAGCATTCCAAGTCGGGACGCAGTCAGCCGAGCAAATCAGCACCAATATAAGCCCCAGGATGAAATATCCCCGCGTCTGGATTGATGACATCTGGCTCTGCAACGCTCCTGAGAACAGCCCACTACAAGAAGCAGAGCCATATTGGAAAAACGGCAATCCACAATGTGCACTGGAGATCGTTAGTCAAGCAATCGATTCCAACCCTTTTCTCTCTCCAGCGGAGGAAATCCGCTGCCGGATCTTTGCTGCTGCTGTGTTCCACTCTACGGGAAATGTCGAAGAATCCAACCGTCGTTTGGGCATAGTCTTGCAGACGGTCGCAAGATCCACTCGACTTGGCGAGCAGCGAGCCGGAGAACTTAGCAGTATTGCTCATTATATTCTAGGCAGAAATCTCATAGAGCTTGGAGAGTTTACCGATGCCTATTACTCACTTTCGCGGGCTCTTGGTACGCGTGGATATCACAGTAAAGCACGTGATTATCAAAAGAATGCTGTTATTGAGTTCACTCGTCAGATGGCCATGGGTGATAACGCATCGATCTCTGCGTCTTTACGTCCTATTGTGAGTCGGACTGAGTCATCTTCAGATGAAGAATAATTTCGTAAGTTCTACTGATAATTCTTTTTCTATTGTAGGTAGTGGCTCTATCGGCACTTTGGTCTAAGCTACTCCGGCTTTATATGATTGGTAAGATATCCAAATAGCCATCCGTATTATAGCTCTCAATAGAGGTCAGACTACAGAGATTATCTCAGCTTTAAGTCCCAGTTCTATCTTCGAAATGTTGCGTAGGTGCCCTTCGTTTAGTTCACAGTGTGCTATTCTTGTTACAAAACCACGCTAGTCCGTATTAGGTTACAACAATATCGTGTCTCCCTAATGTCATTGTCTCCACCTTTCCTTTCTTCCAAAGACCTGCTTCCAGTGAGAGAAATGACCTCAAAACCACCCACAAAGATATTTCCAATCACAGAATTTCTTTCAGACCTACCGACCAACCTTACCCCTCAGTTCCTTGCACCGTCTTCCGAAAATGGCCTGGCGAGTGGGCGCTTGGTCATTGTAGGAGATGTACACGGAATGAGAAAGTCTCTAGAGGCACTGCTAGATAAAGTTGGCTTTAATAAGAACAAAGGAGATTATCTTATTTTAGTTGGCGACCTAGTCAACAAAGGGTCTGATAGCCCCGGTGTGGTTGATCTGGCTATCAAGCTTGGCGCCAGCGCAGTGCGAGGCAACCATGAGAATGCAGTTCTTAATGCGGCTGCGGCGATCAATGCACCAAAGGAAATTTTACAGGGAGACTTGACGGGTAGTCTGGCTGTACCTGAGAACCAGGAAGCTGACTTGTCTGGAGGTACTGTCCGAGACCCCGAGATTTCTAACAAATCTCTATCTACTACAATCGGCATGACTGTGAAACCTAGCCCGGCAACACATAGCACAGCATTGGCACTTTCGAAACATCAGCTCGACTGGCTTGCTGCTCTACCCTTGATTTTGCGCGTCAAGCTACCGCCTGGCTTATCACCCTCTCTTGGCGACACTCTAGTTGTGGCACATGCGGGCCTCGTTCCAGGTATTCCACTTGAAGAGCAGAATCCGCATGCTGTAATGCATGTGCGGAGCCTCGTCCGTAAATCGGACGAGGATGGATTCATGCCCGCGGAAGTTTCTGGAGAAGAAAGCTGGGTCGGGGAATGGGACCGGTGGCAAGATAAGCTAGCGTCCAAGACTACAGTGGTATTCGGACACGATGCAAAGCGCCGGTTGCAGCTGGGAAAGTATGCAATAGGACTGGACTCAGGATGTTTATACGGCAATCAGCTAAGTGCGGTTGTCATTGCGGTTGTTGATGGGCAGATTGAGCGGCAGATTGTTCAGGTCGAATGTATTGATGAGCCGGTTGCTCCAACAGTTTCAGTGGACGAAGGCGATAAGAAAGTGATGGGATAGTCGGTGTATGAGTACACTTTTCAACGTGAAATGGCACGATTAGAAGACGATGAAGATAGGCAAAGGCAACCAATGCGTGTATAGCAATTGAAGCTCGATCACCGCTCATTCAAGTCCATCAAGAGCTTATAGATGTAATTTCGACCAGTCAACAGCCACATCTCCTGATTTCCCCCCTGAGGCCCTCGCACAAGATTGAAATTAATAACGTCCAGAGTATTGATCTTGCCCAGCAAAAGTCAAAAGTCCAGAGCTGGGGTCAATGACATCCACTCCACCCAGTACTGCAACCAGGATATACCCATCCCGAGTGACCTGTATTCCATCCGGCCATCCACTCTCTGTCTGGTGAATGAGTCGCGCATCGCTGAGGAGTGAGCCCGTTACGTCAAATGCCCTGACATTCCATAAGCTAGCAGGATTAAATTCCAAAGACCTGCCTGCAGTGGAATTTGAGTCGGCAACATACAGTCCTTCGGGCGATAATGCCAGTCCGTTTGGTGTCGCGACGATTGAATTTGAGACCTCCACTAGCGCTTTCGTTTTGGTGTTGAATAGATAGATCCCGTTGGGGAGTTCAGGCGCCTGGACCTTGGGAAAGCCCTGAGCCCAGCCCGGGTCTGTGAACCGGATGTTAGAATTCAAGTCAAAGATCAGGCCATTTGGACTGTTGAGGTTGCGGACTCGAAAGTTATTGACTACTAGGGTCGCCGTACCATTAAGGGGATTAAAAAAGTATATGGCCTGAACTTGTCCGCCGTTAGTGGCCAGGTAAATGCGATCCTTGTGGTATCTCGCTTCATTGACGTTCGCCAAAGGTGGTGATGTCTCAACTTTGCGGGCCTTGATGAATCGGCCGTATGATGCTTCAAGTAGTAATATCGGGAATTTTACCTCATGAGTGTCCACATTAAGTGCCTAAAGCCATCCTGTGACACTTGTGTCGGCATAGAATAGTTCATTTGCTTCGGGAGAATACGCAGGCGCTTCATGGACATGTGGATTAGAATGATTTTCTACGACGAACTTGGTGGATGTAATGTAAGTAGCTTCTATCTTGTCAATTTGGAGCAAATAATCATCCGAATAAAAAGGCATTCCAATTCAGCCAGAGAAAAAGCACATATAGCGCAGCATACGATTTCACAAGGCTAGAGTCTACACCCGCAATGGTGAGGCGCGGACTTTGACGTTCGAATTGTTAGTCGCGACTGCGTGATCCAACCACTCCATACTCTTCGCATCAGTCTCATGAAGTGAAAGATCGAAGTCTGCGAAGAAAGTCGCCAAAATCATGTAGATCTCCATGTAAGCAAGACTATTACAAAGCAGTTAGGTCACGTCATAAATAAAGCGACTGGAGTTGAGAGAGAGGGAGTCGCTCACTTGATCCCAATACACATGCGTGGACCCTTGGAAAATGTAACATTCCAACGTTCCAGCTCTTTACCTTGGTCACCCAGCCATCTCTCAGGCTTGAATTTCTCAGGTTCGGGGAATAGATCTGGATTGTCATGGATGGTGCGACCACTGATAGACACGATGGACTACACTTCATCAGCAAGCGGTTGGATAGTTGATTAGGCTCTGAATGACACATACTCCTCCCGGGATAAATTGTCCTTGAACAGTGGCTCCCTGTGGAGGAACGACTCTGGGCGAAATTCCTGGAACGGGAGTAGCTAGGCGAAGGCTTTCCTTTACCACACAGGTCTGTGATCTCGTTAACAGGGTAACTTAAGAGATAACACAACAATCCTACCAAGTATGGGAGTGATTGGATATTCCGGCAGTCTAAACGACCATCAACATGGCGAGGAACAGTAGCAAGCTCAGCCTTAAGTTTCAACAGAACATCCCTATGATTCAGAATGTAATATGTTGCACACGAAAGGGAGTAAGCAGTGGTGTCACTACCAGCGATAAGAAGTAGAAATGCTTCATCGATCAGTTCAGACATGTCGGCTACCTGGTACCCCTTTCTGTCATTTGATTCAAGAAGCAAGTCAAAGACAGTGTCTCTGCCATCTTCTGTTTGAAGTATTCCGTTGTCGCGACGCGCCTTAACTGTCTTAATCCATTTTTCGCATTGCTAAGTGAACTGATTAGATCAGAGATACCCGCACAAGAATGGCGAGACTGACATTTCGGAAACTTTGGTAACCTGGGACTATCTTTTCAGAGAGTCTTTCAGGCAAGCTAAGAGCTATCGTGCCGAGGAACGTCAAATGATTCATAAGCCATATGTTGTTGGTAAAGGAATCTATACTGGCCAATAAAGGTGGATAGATGTCATTCTCATCCTGTGATGTAAGATCCTGGGTATAGCCGAAGCAAGCCGTGGAAATCGTATCCACCTGGTTTAAGAAAAATTAAACTCTTCCGGATTTAAGTAGGGCGGATTGTTAACGTACCGTAATGCATCGGTATAGTTTCTGGATATCCGTGCTTTTCCCTTCCCTGTACCGCTTTCGCAGAATGTCGGCAGCATGTTCCACAATATCTTGCACCAAGGGCATAATCTTGTCCATAGCATTCTTCGAGAAGAGAGGGCTGATCATCGCCCTCCGCACTCGGTGTTTGTGGGGGTTCAAGATTGCTACCAGCGATTCAGAGATTCCAACATTCTGATAGAAATATGGGGCTTTATAGTACTCTGTCGGGGACTTGAAAACCCTGCCGCTGATTAGCTCAAGCGATACTTGATATTTGCGACACAATTCCTACTCTTTATAAAACTCCGGATCGTTGACATGAACATGGTTAGGTGAAATACGCACAATAGGTCCTTCAGATCTGTTAGATGAAGGATCTGTTCACAAAAGAAACATAACGCCATACCGTGTTTCCGATGAAGCTCTGGGAAGACTTTGACATAGGTTCCACCACGGATCACATCGTGGTAGAACTCATACCACCGAGTCAGAGCCGCAAGTCTAGGGCCCCCAAACTTGCTCAGTGGGTGCAAGTATAGTCTGGACACTAGAAAGCCTGCGATACACGTAGCAGCGATAGCACCAATGACAGTCGGGCTAATTGCCCTATCAAGGTGAAGAGCGCCACTGATCGAACTCATTAGGGATAATTGCTTTGCAAAGCTGAACCTCAATACTTGACAAGGGACTTTTTCTTTGCTATGATGCCTTGAAATAACTGCCGCAGGGCTGTGTTATGTAGGCCTCAGAAATTCCCAAGGTAATCCCTACACTGTTATCTGTCCTCGAATATCCTGTAATATCCCGCCAGAATGATTTGTTGGATTAGAACATCGAAGGCTCGGGCCGCCGATCTCCACATAACCCGACCCCACCCTGTCGTGTCTGATGATGTGATTGTTTTTCTAGCGGCATATCCGGGGCCAGCAAATAATCATTATTGGTAGAGTTCTCCCGAGCAATTTCATTATGCACAAGCATATCACGCATTCCATACGCCACATTTTTAGCGGCTTCGCTAATAGAATTCAGCTTTTTGATTTCCCAACTTTGTAGAGGTCCCAAAGACCATGATTCACCCAGGCCTAGCACAATCAAGAACCTGTTATGATACGGCTGTCTCATAAATTATCGAGATACTTTTCTCTGGAAAGTTGACCTCTTAAGCTACATTCATAAATAATTGATGCTTGCACCGGTTGCAAACAAGATCAGCGCTGGGCATACATTCGAAGGTGCGGGGTTTGAGCAATTGGTATATTCAAATACCAAGATGAAGCTAGTATAACCGATGTGCAGCTTGGCAGAGACAAGTGAGATAGTATTTCGTTGTCGACTGATAAGGTCTGATGGAGTCCAGATATGACAGCTGCGGGGTTTTTATGTGCGTAGTGTTGCAGATAATGCAGAGTAATTGGCGTCATGTACAAGAAACCTTCAAATTACCCAAAAAAAAAACATGCCAGTTGCCCACAGCTGTGCGTCTTTTCTGCATTTTTTGGGATAAGTATCGTATAATTCGTGGCATATTTCTGGATAGCATGCTAGTGCAGTTTCACCTGAATCAGTCAGTGTTCTAGCCCAAAGAATCTACCAGTAGGAAAGTGACATGTTTCGATTTCAAGTGCAGGAAAATTGTCTGGGCCCCGAGAAAATCCACTCATCAAAAGTCCAGACGTGGCACTAGTGCATGTAAGACTTTGCACCAATCGTATAGTAAATCAGGGTGATACTCCAGAAGGCAAAACCGCGGACTTCCTGGAAGTATAGTGTCATAAGTATTGTGTAGTGCACCAGAGAGCAACGTAATGGGGAGACATATTTGTTTGAACAGTCGTTAAGAAATCTTATTCACCTTCTCTTGCCAGCTGCCAGCCATCAACTTCCAAGGTAGAAGCAAGAAAGTACCAACATGCACACAAATTCAAGGGTTAAACGTTCCAAAACACCCAAATTCAGTCATTCTTCCCCTTCTGTACAAGACTAGGAGCAAAACGGCCCAGCCAGCGCATCTACATCAATTGCGATATATCTCATACCCCGAGATAATTTTCTACCCCGAGATAATTTCCTATCCCGAGATACTTTCCCGTATCTTCGAGCTCACCAAATCATAAAGAATTATTGCGACCGGTGACCTGATCTCGACAGCACTGATCCCACACAACACACGCGCGAGATACAACCAAAAAGCGCCCTGCACCCAACTCAAGAAAAGATCGCCAATGAGAATAAAAACCCTCGTATGTAAGAAGGGCATTTTTGTAACTAACGGTGCCCGATATGTGACCATGTTCCAGAGGAGACGGAATTTCGTTGTGCTACCGAAAAGCGTGTCAACTTCACAACTTCCATCCTCGGACCTATCCGCAAAATCAAATTCCTCGGGTTTACTGATGTAATGAACTCGATATTTCACGAATTGCGCATGCAAGAGCTTGAAATTCCTACAAAGTTCCGCTACTTACAGGTAGCTCGCGTGGTGATGGGTGCGTCTTGTTCGGAGTCGGCAATATTGAATAAGGGAGTTCATTAATGTACTGACATCAGCCTCCAGTCAATACGCCTAAGATCATTGCAACGCTTGTGACAATGGCCGCCTACGCAATATTAGCAATGCGACAGGGCTCAAGAGACCTTTCCGTTAGCAAAGCCAGCATGTCACTGTTACTTGTAGATTTGATGGTCATGCTTCCGAGAGAACTCTTGAGCGCAGTTACCAGTACATATTCATCAATAGGCTGCATCAGGAGAATCCAAAATTTTCTCAGGAGCCTCAGCCGCCTTTTTAAATATGACGCATCTCTATGCATGTTTTTTTTTTTGACTAATTTTCTCTGCTTTGAATACTGAATGAGTCGTTTCTCAACCAACGCTGATGAAGACGTTTCAAATACACATAAGAGACAGCTTCCTCTTCCAATGCTTTGGTTAGTTATTCACTAAAGCTCCCACATTTTCAGGCTATCACTTGAGCCGTTTATGTTCGCAAACACATCGCCTGTTTCGACGGTGTTTGAAGTGGCCTACGCAACTAATATTTAGCCCTAGCTACTCTAGAATTTCAGGACCGGGACGTTTATAAGACGATTATGGTCAAGTCAATCGAGGACCAAATTCTATCCTTATAATGGCTGAAAACCGAATACATTCTATATGCTGAGTGGCCTGAAGCACGCATTCGATCATAGGAGAAGAAAACTTAGCGAAAAAGAGACGAAGAGGCTGAACAGAAGGAGGGCGAGTTGAAAAGGGATTAGGGTTTCCGAAACCCGGTCTATGTGGCCAACGCACCTCATCCTCGATCGATAGAAATGTTCCACAACTCTTGAAAGGATTTACTCTATTAGTCAAAGAAAACTCATGAGCGAACGATATTATTCGGTGTGCCACCGATGGATCGCCAGTGTGGAGATAGATCTCATCCGGAGAAATCTCTGTTTTCAATCGAAACACAATACTGAGAATAGGGAGGGGATCAATGTTTAGGCGGACGACCAGTCCGGGCGCGACCAAGAAATCTCGGCTTTAGGATTAAATCCCTGCAATGAGATGGTTTGTTTTTCTTTGCTCTACTTTTCCAGTACCTTCGTCCGCCCCAACTTTGTACCTCTCCACCTCTTCAGCTCATCAGCTCTTTGCTGTTCACTCTTCACTCTTGCTTCACCACTCTTCAGTTCAAATCATCGCCAAAATGGGAGGCATGGCAGGATTCATGTATCGGCAACTCACATTCACCCCACAACCGCTAAAGTCCGATACCTCCCTTGCTGGCAAAATAGCTCTCATTACGGGCGGAAACGCCGGTCTCGGACTCGAAGCAGCCAAGGAGATGGCAGCTCACAATCTGTCAAGGGTCATTCTTGGTGTCCGTAGCCTATGGAAAGGAGAGGCAGCTAAAGAGGAGATTCTCAGTCGATCACCGAAATGCGATGTGCTGGTCTGGGAGCTCGATCAGGAGTCTTTCCCAAGTATACAGGCATTCGGAGAGCGAGCCGCGCAAGAGCTGGACCGCCTGGATATTGTCATCATCTGCGCTGGGGTGAAGCTCTTGGAGTTTATCAAGTCGAAGCCGACGGGACATGAAATGAATGTCCAGGTCTGTTGCGTCCCTTTCATTCCCCTCAAAATCGGCCATGGGAGAAAACAGACCAATGATCAAAATATAACAGGTCAACCATATCGGAACTGCCCTTCTATCTCTACTTCTCCTCGGCCCTCTACAGTGTACCTCTAAAGTGAACCCTGATCAGCCAACATGACTGACTATCGTCACGTCAGAGGTTCATTTCTGGACTAAATTCGAAGCGAAGGATGCACCCAATATTCTCGCCCGCCTGGACGAACCATCCTCCTTTGGGAAAGGGATGGACTGTTACAACACAAGCAAGCTCCTGAACATTATGTGGTTGCGGGAGCTGAGCTCGAAGGTCGGGCCAAACTTGATCGTGAACGGGGTGAATCCTGGTCTATGTGCGAGCACACTGCATCGCTCAGATACCACGCCGGGAATCAACGGCTTCAACAAAGTGTTTGCCTGGACCGCGGCCCAGGGAGGACATAATCTGATGGATGCAGCTGTTCAGCATCCGCAGGCTCAGGGGGCTCATTTGAGCCAGCAAGCCATCAAGAAGTGAGCTGCCTAATTTCCTTTCTCTGTGCAAGTCACGAGTGGCCAAGTATGATAACCAACTTCTATATATCAGACCATCTCCTTTTGTCTTGTCTGCGCAGGGCAAGCAAGCACAGACTAAGGTCTGGAATGAGACAGTCGCGCTACTTCAGGAGCAATTACCCGGGGCTGACTTGCTGAAGCATCTTGTGCAATCGTCCGAGGCTTCCCCATAGTCTTCTACTTGTCTCTTGTTCAAAGTTTGCTACGGTGGACCCCCCTAAAGCTGCCCATCTATATTTTTAGCTTGCCCACAATGTGTGTGGTATTTCGTGACAGTCGCAAAATCATGGCCTTTCCACCCGGTCTATTCGCGATGTTAATCCTAAGTTCTAACCAGAAATTCTAATACAATTTGATCCTTATATCTTACTTATTTTATTTCCAAGATAGCCTTGTAACTAATGATCTATTTTATATTGTAATAGAGAGGGGTAAATATAAATTAGATAAGTATCCTCATTGAATTTTAGTCTAAATTTGAATTATTACCGGGGCGGAAGGAATTGAAAGACATTAGGGCTTCCTTGACAACTTCTAGCCTAGAGCCTAAGTATAACAAGAAAAATAAGCTACCAACTAATCATAGAAAGTTTATCATATAGGTAAAAATCTCAATAGCATAGATACTAAAAATGCACAGGGGATATATAAACAACTTAACAGAAGAGGTTGGGCCCATGAATCGATTGAAGTATAGAGGGATGAGTACGGAGGCGAATAGAGATCAGTTTATCAAAACCCCTAAAAAACATGCAGAAATAGTGGGTGGCAAAAAACGTAAGAACACTTTAATTTGGAAAGTATACTGGCAGCTGGAATGTTCGAAGAGACTAAGATATGGATTGGTTAAAAGATGCGTCACGGGAAAAAAACAAAAAGAGATGACCAGACTGGGGCTCGATCCCAGGACCTTATCGGTGTTAACGATACGTGATAACCAACTACACCATCCGGCCAGCTTATGTTAGCTTGGCTTCAATGCTAATATACATATCATTGGCTGCAGTCAGTAGCCGCTAAGCCCGATATAGTAATTCATCTCGGCTTCATATTTGAAGAGTGGGTCGGAAGTTGCTCAATTAGGGTTAGCAAATGTGAACCCGATCTCACTTAATAAGTGTGAACTCGAAATAGTAACCCTATCAATTTTTGGTAAATGAACTTGCAGCAGTCAAGATGACGTTGTTTGGCATAATGTTTAAATATGGGATATGCAGATGTCCAGTGAGCTTATGTTAAACTAGTAAAGCCACAAACAAGATGTATAAATGACCGTTGATTGAACTAGATCTGCGAGGAAAAGTTCAACTTTGAGAAGTATTGACGTCAACGTCTAAGCCATTCCCATTCTGCTTTAAAGGTGCGCTCTTCTGTCGCTTATCCGAAGCTGGCAGGTTTTGTCTCGCGCTTTGGATAGTGTCCCTCTGGGATAAGAAGGCTAGCCAATCCCCAGCGACAACTGTGAAAGACTTGTTGGCCCCCAAGGTCCAGTTCTCATTGAAGGACTGGCCTGAGTTAGGCTTGTTATGCTTTCTCAAAGTCTCTTCATACAATCGAATTGCATTCTGAAATTCTGGCTCCTCACCCCACATTCCATCCAAACCCATGCTGACTCGTAAGTCGAGTGTGCCAATCCAGACGGCATCGATCTGGTCCCCTACCGAGGTGAGAATGGCATCGAGATTTTTGACTCCAAGCTCAGACTCGATTTGGATGATGACTGCGGCTTGGTCGTTGACGTTTTCCCAGATGGACCGCGATGCATCGATGGTCATGGCGCTCAAGCCGGGTAACCAGCGGGCGGGAGGAGCCGAACGGGCCCCTTTTCGTGCTACACCAAATTTGGCGGCTGATGCCACGTGCTCGGCTTGCTCGACGGTATCGACCTGCGGGACGATGATTGAAGCCCCTGCATCTAAGGCAAAAGCAATGTTCGCATGGTCATGACCTGGCACTCTTTCAAAAATGTCAATATGTGAATTTTTATTGTTTCTGCAGCCGAACCCGCAGCCGAAGGACTCTAACCTCACAAATGCCATGCTTCTTCCTTCACTGCCTTCCTGAATCGCATGGACAACCTAGAATAACGTAAGCCACGTACTGAATATGTGAAATAGAGGATATTCCTGCTCACATTGGTCATGGTTTCAACACCGCAAGAGGAGTGTTCCCAATCCACCCAGACAAAGTCAGCACCCAACTGGGCTGCAATTCTGGCAGAGGGGACGGTAGGGAAGGCTAAGTAGAAGCCAACCAAGGGGCCAATCCTCCCCTCATACGCATCTTGGAGCGCCCGACGAGCCTTGTGTGGCTGAAGAAGCGATGGTGCTCTGTAAGCTTGCATGCCCTTGGCGCTTACTTCCATGAACTCTAAGCCTGTTGCGGACATGATGTAGTGAGGGGTAAGGTAGTGAGGGGTAAGGTAACTTTATGAGAAGTAGATGAGGGGAAAATAGTATGTGTGAATGCTTGAAAGAAATTGTTCAAGAATCATGTCGGCCATGTGGCCTCAAATATTGTTTGCCAAAACACTAGATGCCTCGTCCGTTAGTCAGAAGTCTTAGCGGGGTAGGATCTTAATTTCGGTGAAATAATTTAGTTCGGTTGTTTTTTGAAAACTGCCCGGACCACTATCTTGCAGTTGAGAATTGGCCCTTCGAGCACCAGGTTTTCGTGTTTTTTTTCCAAGGAAGTGGCGTTTGACGGAGAGATTTTCGCGTTCCATTAGCTCAGGCTTATGCGCCGACTGATATTCAGCCGCATTAATTGGGGTGAGAGTCCGTGAGATCCACATGGCGCGAGTGAGAGAACACGGAGAGAAAACTAGAGAAAGAACTAGTAAATAATGGCCCCCGTCCAGTGACAGTCCACGTGGAAAATGCCACGGGACTACCCGCCAAGCATAGATTATAACTATGTTTCAGATCCTGCATAAATCACCTAATTACACACTTCAATGTTGTGGGTAGAATGGTTAGACGACGATTACACAAAAATTGAACATTACTTTCATTTTATGGAATTTCTTTCCATTCAGCTTAGATATTTTCAAAATTCAATGGTTGTATAGATTAACAGACCTACGCAGCGGGTATCTGGATGAGCTTGGGTTGGCTATCCTGACCGAAGACTCAAGACTAAGCAGCCAACCCGCTAACGGTTTTACATATGCCTATATATAGATTGTTAGCGTAAACCCCTGCGCGCCGCCACTTTCTACAGGATAAGTTCTTAGGGCGATTCCTTTAGACAGGAAGTGGTGGTCCAAAATCAGTGCGATTCTGTACTCAATAAGCGTGGAAAGCGCGCCTGATGGACCCTGCATCTCCACCCTGCAGTGGCTGCTGATTTTATTCTCGTCCAAGATAGGCTTAGTACATGTCAACTAGTTACCCTAATCACATCGCCCCCAGGGATCAGGGAACATATGTATGAGGATCCTTCTTCCCTCTTGCATCCTTCTATGAATACCAAGTACCTATTCCTCGCTTTTATCTATTCTACTTTCACGTAGTACGTCCTGGCAGTATCGACTGCTAGAAGAATCGAGATATAGATCCTATATTCTGGTTCTTCAAATTAAGCACTTGGTAAGTAGTCTCGGGCGCTGAGGGAAGAATTTGACCAAGTCCAATTATTAATGGCGTCATAGCGAGATAAAGACAATAGCAAAGTTATGTTTGTCGCACAGCCGCATGTGCGCAATGCATGTGATGCTTGCCACAAGCGCAAGATCCGTTGTATTATGTCAAGAAGCGGCGGATCATGTCACAACTGCAAGTCAAGAGGTCTTTCATGCTACTTCCTTCCCCGCCACAAGAGCGGAAGACCACGTATACGTGACTCTCCTTCGCACGACACGATCGATTCGCATAATATAATTCCCTCGGGCAATATTATGAACAGTCCCGTTTGGTCTACGATTGAAAATGCCGGACCAGGCGCACCAGCAACAAAATCTCCTTTTGGAAGAGTCGACCCCGAAAGCAGCAACGAAGATTTATTCGTCTGGGACTCAGATCAGGACTTTGCAATTCATACGGAGCAGCACAATTATGACTTGCAAGACTCGGGACAGTCGCTAAAGCTTCTAAGTGGCTTGGATGGTGCTGTCCTCGACAAACAGCAGCCCGGTTTTCCCGGCTTTGCCAACCAAAACCGTCTTCCCTTTAGAAACGCACAGTCAGAAGAGTTACCTGACGCTAATTCACCGTGCCCTCTGGGCATGCCGGCCTCCGTGTGGTCAAGAACGCCGCAGGAGCCATCTCACTCTAGTGGCTCTCAAAACGATGCATCTAAAGAAGCCAGATTTGCTAGCTTGTTGGAACATTGCGCGAGACTTCAGCATCATATCATGACGACGGAAGAGGATGGTTCTATGATTTTGGACGAGAATGTATCGTCAACGTCCAAGAAAATCCTAATATCAGATGGCCAATTACGGCAGATACTTGAAGACATCGACGCCAGCTGCAAGCTTATATTCGAGATGTGTGACGAGGGAACATCGTCCAAAACCTCGCCGGCGCAGGTCTATTCTCCCCCTGATTCTGCTTCGATATGTTTGATAGAGACCGTCACGTTTAAAATTTTCCAAATCTGCGATATCTTGTTCAATGGTCAAGGTCTCAGAGTTCGTTCGATCAAGGATGTGCTTCTACAAAAGCGGCTGGACTTTAATATCACCCAGGCGGGAATTGTGACAGCGCGGATTGAGCATTTGACACAGAATCACAATGTTTCGCAGGAGCTTGTGAGGAAAGCTGGGAATATCGAGGAAAGATTCTCTAGGCAGCGTGGAAGCAGCCTTGCGGAAGTGGGTAAACTTTCGTTCTCAGCCCTGAGTTGACAAATCAAATGATCCAAACCCTGAAATGGATCCATTATCACATATTCCCTTTTTAGGACAAAACACGGGTGACTGGATGCCGCTCGAGGGATATTATTCCCATGTCACGGCTCACGTCATTCTACTTAACCGAATCAATTGATATCGTATCCAAAACTTTCGGTTCATTGTGGTTATTTTTGACCGAAAACGGAAGTCAGAAGAAATCCTCCGCGGGCCGATTTCAAAACTTCTCAGCATTCCAAGGAGGCCTCGGCCCATACTTGTTCCTCTAGCCAAGTCGCCGTGAACGATCTACTCGGAAGGATTGTTCCCATTCTATTATGACGTTGGCCAAGGCTATTTCTTTCAGTTTGATAGTATAACATCAAAGTTCATGAATACGGTACTGCTGCGCAAGTCGGCTTCAAATATTTCAACTCTTTCCCTACCTATAAGTTCCTCCCGCTGCGGACTTATTTCAACAACGCTCTATCTTCTCTTGACTTGGCCATAAATCAGTATCATATCTTCATTTCAACATGCCGCCCACCTGGACTGAGATTAACCCCGAGGGGCTAGTCTTCTTGAAGCAAAAGACCATGGTCACTTCGATTCAAGAGATTCAGCCTGAAGCAGAATCTGTTAAAGAACCAAATTCGGCTCCGGCTTTAGTCGAAGGCTTTCTAGATGATAACCAGGAAGATGATAATCACACCCGGACTTCGGAGAAAATCCTTGCTATCCTCAAGCCATACCTCCTCACCAAGTCAGTCGACGCGCATGATCGCTGGGACCTTGGTGCTACTACATTCATCTCTGTGATCTGCAACTTTGTCAGAAAGGGACAAGCAGTGAAGATGTGTCTCCCCGCTTTCCCTTGGAAGTCCGCCAACAAAGTCTACAAAGTGCTCGGCACGCTACCTGATAAAGCCGAAGAGTTAGCCCTGAAACGCTTGAACGGTATATGCGAAGCTATCGGTGATGCCTATAAGCCTGGAGCAGAGCTGCTTATTATCTCGGATGGGCTAGTTTACAATGGTGATTCACACGATTTTTAGTTTATCCTATCCTGTCCCCTGCGGGCGTGTGTTGGTGCCTACTGACCATGTTCACGATATTTCCAGATCTGCTCACTATCCCAGACCGCGATGTCTGGGCATATGGTGAAGCTCTACGCGCTCTTTCCGTTGAAAGTGGCTGTACTCACATTCGCTTCAGTCGTCTGAAAGACCTCGTCAACATCCCGGGTCTGCCAGACAAGCTCGAGGAAATCACATACGTAGCCAATGCTTCGAACTTCCGACGGGCGCTGCTAAATCAGTTCAGCAAGCCAGGCCTTGACGTGACCAAGGAAATAGCTGAGAAAGATGACACAAGATTGACATATTGTGGCTATACACGGTTTCTGGAGAATGATCTCCGGTACATTTTCACCATAGGCCAGAACAGGAGCGGCCACAAGTATCGCAAGGATGTCAAGTACGTGGCGAAGCAGATGATCTACCGCGGATACGTGAGTTTGCCATTTCAATTTTATTCGGATGGACAAATCTCAAATATGCTCATGGCTGACACGATCTGTGACCTACCCTATAGGCGTTTGGGGCGGCAGTCAAGCAGAATTTCCCGGACTACCTCCGCCTCAGCATTCACCAGTCTACGGGCGAACACAAGGTCTCCATCAGCTTATTGCCGACCAAAACTTCGTATACCACCCCATGGCACTGTAGCGTAGCATTTCTGGCGGATGGAAGCGTCACTTCTGGACCCAAGGGCGACTTTGAGGACAATCCCAAGTTCGAGCTCATCCGTGACAAAGACGGGAGGCCGAGTTATTTTCGGGAAAGGGAGATGGGGGCCGTGGACATAGATGAGGATGAAGATGATTATTAGGTCTTGTATCCATGAGTATAACTGTGAACCTGTCCTAGCTATCACATTCTTCGACTTTATTTTATTGATTCACTTTGTATGAAGTTTTGTATGGAATATCTTGCCGCTCCTATTGTTACTTATGTCTATGTTAAATTTCCTTGGCAATCTGACTGAATCGAAATATTGGACTTTTTATCATGTGCTCTGTTTTGCAAGTGTAATTCGTCTCATTCCCTAAGTCATTCTCATTCCAAGCGGCCAGTCTAAATCATTGCGGGGAATTAGGCTTCAATCTACGAGTTGATACCTGACTGTAGAATAGAGAAGAGGGAGATGAAGATTGAAGAATATCGAGTGGCAGATGAAGAAAAAATAATCATTTATTCTAATATGCTCGCATGTCTTCTATTCCCCGTTTTTTTTAGAGGTTTATAGCAATCGGAACCAGCTTGAAAGAGTGTTCTTTCCCGAGCCTTTAGTCTGCAAGAAGATTGCCCCAGCAGTTCCCAGATGTCGCGATTTTATACAGCTTGGTAGCTTACAGAAACGCCCCTTCTTTTGCTACTTCAATCTTAGTCTCTCCCACTTATTACTGACCGCGAAGAACACCGCGACTCCAGCGTAGGCTGTGACGGTTAGAAAAACAGCGCGCAAACAGTAGAGATAGGCCTGAACGATGCCTGGAATAGCATCGGCGGGGAAAACATGGCGGATCTCCGTAGCACCTGTGGCGATGACGCTGAGCGGGTCGACACCAGGCGCTGTGGACGGAAGTTTCGACAAGAGGATGTTACTCAGGATAGATTGGCCAGCACCCAGGGAAGTTGATGAGCCAACACAGAAGGAAACTGGAGGTAATTTATTAATTATATTGCCATGAATAGTGTGTGCGGGGGATGACGTACATAACAGCATAGCTGTAGTTGAGGCAAGATCTTCAGGCTGAGCCTTGGCCTGGCCCGCGATGATTGCCAGAGGCAGACCAGATCCGTAGGCGAGCCCTGCAAGGATCTGGTAGCATACCCAGGCGGCAGTGGAGGAGGTAGCACTTAGAGTGTAGATAAGTCCGGAACCGATACAGCCGCCAGCACTTGCCCACAGCATGAGTGGGACATAATGGCCATAGACCGAGACCAGAAAGCCGGCGAGTCCAGAGCCTATGCCGCAGCTAATGAGCAATGGGAGATTATGGACACCTGCCTCAGAAGGCGAGACACCCACGACAACCTGGAAGTAGATTGGGACATAATAAAGCAGGAGATAAAAGGCTCCCTCGTGGAAGAAGCCGTATGCCATGCCCACAGCGACGACACGCTGCTTGAGAATCCGTGATACAATCAGTGCACGGTCACCCTGCAGATACTGTGAGACTACAAAGGCTATTGTGGTGACAACACAGGCAGCTAGCAAGCCAATGACCTCAGCCGAGTTCCAGGCCTTGTAGATACCGGCTACCTCGAGGGCACGTGTGAAGAAGATAAGTGAGCCGAGGGCGAGCAAGATGCCGATTGGATCCATATGTGACAGTTTCTCCTTTAATGGAACCTGGGCCCGCCGAGTCGATTTGGGAGGTTGAAACAACAAGAAAATAATGATGGCAGCGGTGCCACCAATTGGCAAATTGACATAAAAACACCAGCGCCAGGTTGTCGTCTGCGTGAAGACACCACCTAGGATGGGACCGAGAACATTAGCAACGCTGTAAACAGTGGTAATGAGGCCAGTGAAGATAGGGCGAAGCTGCGGGCGCACAACAACTCCCAGGATAGCGTATCCGCCCGACGCGATGCCTGCTCCTCCCGCGCCCATGATGGCTCGCCCAACAATTAAAACGGTGCTGTTCGGTGCTACGCCTACATGATGAGAATTGGTCACTTCTGAAACGTAATCCATATGGATGTAGCAGATGGTCACTTACCTGCAAGCAGTGAGCCCAAGTCAAATATGAAAACTGCAGCCAAGAAGGTGTACTTGATCGAGAAGAAGGGATATACCTTGCCCCTGGAAACCATTAGTTAGAACCATTGTTATCTAAAATATATGCACGCGAGTTGAGGCGTGGAAATTGAGAGCTGGGTAATTACCAGAAGGGCTGGAAGCAAGCCAGCGCAATAAAGAAGGCCGAAGCATACCAACCGACGAGGTTGATGCCTTTGAATTCATCAGTGATGCGAGGGATTGCAGTCGCAATAATAGTCTATCTCGACCAAAGTAGTAATTAGAAACGCAAACACGATTAATCAAGAGGGCAATGAGCCATCACCACTTGCCATATCCAAGCCAACCTATGACTTTGTTAGCTTTTTTTTTACAGTAAGAGAGACAATTAATACCAAAAAGAGGCCTAGAGCAACACCAACAGAGATGGAAGCCGCCCAAAAAGCGCTAGGATATTCGACACCATCAATGTCATCATCAAGAGTGGGTGCTTCCTCATGGAGACTTGAAGGATTAACTGTGTTCTCAGACTTCAATTCCATGGCTGGAGGGTTTAGAAACCTGTAGGAGAATAGAAATTGAGAATTGAAAATAGAGACAAAGAAAAGAAGGTGAACAATCTTGGCAGTCAGCACAGTAAGCCTAATAAGCCCAGTCAGCATAAACGGATAAAAGACGGAAAGTAGTAAATCAGCCGGATTTCACCCGAACCCTTCATGGACTTTTCATCCTAAATAATTTTGAGAATCCTAATGACACTTATCTATTGGAGAGTATTTAGGTGTGAGATCTAAATACAGGATGTGATAAGCCAGACAAATTTCTGCTGATCATGCAGCCCATTAATTTCGTCTGGGGCAAACCGGCACCGTCGCTGCTGCCAGTAGCGGACCTCTCAGTGTCGATCCAGGAAGTTCTCACCGACTCAGCAGCAGCTACTGATGCACTCGAGTATGGCGACCCGGCGGGCCCAATTGCGCTACGCCACCAAGTCGCCACGTCACTGTCGACTTTCTATCGCACTCCCAATGCTGCCGATGAGATCTGCATTACCGGCGGTTCTAGCCAGGGCCTGGTTACGGTACTTCAAGTACTAGCAGACCCGCTACGCACGAAGCGTGTCTGGCTCGTTGTACCCTGCTTTCACCTTGTCTGTCGCGTCCTCGAGGATGCCGGCTTCACAGACAAGCTGCGCGCCGTACCGGAGACCCAAACTGGCATCGACCTTGATTATCTGGGGCGCGCTATGCTGAAACTCGAGCTGGAAGATAATCAAGAGCATCCACAGCCCGCCACAAAGCCCACAGATCCCGCCCGCAAGATATACACGCACCTCATTTACCTTGTGCCCACGTTCTCTAACCCATCGGGTCGGACCGTCCCGCTGTCCCACCGCCGAGATCTTGTCGCCCTGGCCCGCCGCTTTGATGCCCTCATTATCTCCGACGACATTTACGACTACCTATCCTACTCTGCTGAGGGTACTGCCGATACACCGTCGCTGCTACCTCGCCTCGTAGACATTGAACGCACCCTCCCCGCCCTATCCACCGACCCATACGCTTTCGGTCACACTCTTAGCAACGGTTCCTTCAGTAAACTGATCGGCCCTGGTGTTCGTACGGGCTGGATCTCCACCTCGCGGTCCCTCGCCCGTGCCCTGTCCGGCGCGGGTGCCAGCATTGCTGGTGGCTGCCCAAGCCAGTTGGGCGCTGCGGCTGTCGCGCAGTTCCTGGCCACAGGGCGGCTCAATTCTCATGTGTCTAGCACACTGCTCCCAGCTTACGCGCACCGGAGGCAGCTCATGGCAACTGCTGTACATGAGACACTGGGACCATTGGGCGTGCAGATCGTCGAAGATACCGACAGCAGGATGGGGGGCTATTTCCTCTGGCTGAAGCTCCCAGGACATGTTGATGGCAGGATAGTTGCGAAGGCATGTGCGGAGCAGGAGGCTTTGAGTATTCTGCCAGGTGAAGCCTTTGAGGTAGTCGGTGATGCAACAGTTGACCTTTCATCGTATTTAAGGCTGTGCTTTTCCTGGGAGGATGAGAAAAATCTGGTCGAGGGCGTACGACGCCTGGCAAGAGTTATATGTGGAGTACCCGAAAATTCCGGGGACAGCGAAATGCAATCTACTGCCGCAATGGATCCAAGTTTGAAAATATAACCAGCTGTACATGGCCCAGTGCAGATATCAAATAGACTCGGCACTTTCTCCCAAGTTTCAGTTTCCATTTGAATACAAAGTTTTATCAAGCTTGAAATCTACTCCTACCCAGTCTTCTACTCAGACTTCTACTGAACCTTCCACTTAATTGAGGGGTAGAGGGAAGTTATTTGTTTCCCAGCACCGCCACCGCTGCAAAAAATGTTGTATGCTAGAGTGTTCTGAAGAAGGACTAATTGGCTTACTATAGAATAGTCATGGAAGAATTATTTTTAAAAAACTAAATTCAAATGCTTCGTTGGGTAATGCAAGGCAGTAGCTCATACTGCAAGCTTGTCGTGGATCTTTACAATCCAGTACTCAAGTGCTTGCATTCTAGAAGTCTAGCACATGTCTATGTCTGAATTTGAAGTGAACCCCATGTGAGCATTTCGGGCTATTCAGGGCCATATATTCGGGCCGGTAATACTCCGTGCCGCATTTGCAGTCCAAAAGAGGTAACTCTCCGTATCTAATGCTCCTTCCATACAAGCCGTCAATCGGTCAATTTATGGCATCCCTGACTTTCAAAAACATTAACATTAGTTATTAACGTCATCTTCAATTTTCTAAAGGTCTGTAAAAAGACATCACCATCCAAAGACGAGACTGTTGCTCTTTCGCCAAACATTGCAACATAAGCAAGCTCCAGCTTTTCTCATTCAAACCTTGAAATGGCCACCTTCAAGGACTATGGCAGACGCCTTGTTATCAACATTGTTGATGAAATGGCCTGCGATGAACCTGAAAATGTTGTATACTCGGTTGCACTTTCGCACGATATTTCAAAGGGACTCCGAGACATCAACGCTCGTGACTTTGCAAACGCAGTGAACAGGACTGCCTGGTGGCTCGAGTCTGAACTGGGGAAAGGCTCGCTATTCCCAACAGTTGGGTACTTTGGGCCTCGTAAGTCATTCTCAAAAATGTGCCAATCTTTTCTAACCCTGAGCTAGGTAACGATTTTCGATACATATTACTCATTTTTGGTTGCATCAAGGCGGGATATAAAGTAAGCTATAATAAGTCACCAACCCCTTCCAGAACCTATCATGTTAATTTTTGCATACAGGTACTTTTGCCGTCTCCGCGTAACAGTATTGAGGCTACTGTGGCTGTTTTGAACGCGTCAAAATGTGACATATGGGTGTCTCCAAAAGAGCAGCCTGAGATGCTGCCCCAGCTCTTATCCCACCGCTCAATGAAGGTGATCGAGATTCCCGACACTGATGAGCTCCTGAGCGTGGAACCGGTCCCAGATCATCCATACAATAAGACTTTCCAGGAGGCTGCTGACGATCCATTTTGCGTGTTGCATACCTCCGGGTCGACCGGCCTTCCGAAGCCCATCGTTTGGAAAAACTCCCTTCTCGGCACATTGGATGCCACACGCCTTTTGCCAAAGAGCGATGGGCGCCCCCCTTGGACTGTCATCTTCGATGAAGGCGATCGGTTCTACTCCGCATTCCCCCTTTATCATGTGAGTATCCTCCGTTCCTCAATTTTTATGAAGGAATCAAAACTGACTTCAGCTACTACTAGGCCGCGGGGTTGATCATGAATGTCTTGATCAGGGCTTTTTATCGTACAAGCAATGTGATTGGCCCCGTTGGTGTGCTCTCAACGGTCAACCTTGTTGAGTCCCTTATCGATCACACAAATATCAAAGTCTGGAGCATCATCCCTTCCATCGTGGATGAGATTGGCGAGACACCTGGTATCTCTGCCAAATTCGCAAGCTCCAAAATCATAATTGCATCTGGCGGTAAGAGGAATTGGCCCCCAAAGCATACCGTGTTGAGCTGCTAACCAGCAGAAAGGCCCAGTCACCTACGCCAGCGCCAACAAAGCGACCAAAGATGTTAGAATATTCAACCTTACCGGTACTTCCGAAGGACTTTTCCAAGGAAGTCTGCTCGTGGAGCGGGAGGACTGGATATACTTTTCCTTCCACGCTTATGCTGGATTCGACTTCAGAAAGATCGACGAGGGTGTCCATGAGCACTGGGCGGTTCGTAACGAGGAACGCGTGGCCCTTCACCAGGGAATTTTCCATACATTTCCCGATACTAAGGAATTAACTTTCAAGGATCTATATGCACCACATCCCACAAAGTCGGATTTGTGGATATATAGAGGGAGAACAGACGATATGCTTGTCTTGTCGAATGGCGAGAAGGTTCGCCCCGTGGCTATGGAAGCAATCATCAACAGCCATCCATTAGTCAGCGCTTGCCTCATAGTAAGTATAGATTGCTTATGCTGGAGCATTGTAGGAGCCAGCTATTTTGCTCCTTGCTTTATGTTATAATTGAATCGAGTCTTATTCCTAATGGGATGAATAGGTTGGAACAGGCTATACAATGACCTCGCTTCTTGTTGAATTGGCAGTTCCCGAGCCGTCGTCCACGGCAGAGCATGAAGCAATCCTAGATAGTATCATGGAGAAAGTCCATGCTGCAAACACTGTCGGGTCCAAGCAAGCACGCCTATTTCGAGAGTACATCTGGTTTACGAAGCCAGGCAAGCCGTTTGTCCGAACCGATAAAAACACCGTTAAGCGCCGCGATACGGTCTTGTCTTATGAAAGAGAAATTGAACAATTCTACAAGAGCATGGAAGAAGACGGCAACCTTGCTGCCGAAATCGAGGTCACTTCCATTGCCACTATTTCTCAGAGTGTCCGTCAAATTCTCCTAAGTGCCTTACCTGCAGCCAAGGAGATAAGTCCAGATGTCGATCTTCTCACTGCCGGTGTCGATTCCCTTGTGGCTTTTAGTATCTCCAACTCCCTTCGCTCGGCGCTTGGGAAGCATAATGTCAGTGAAGAGACGAAACGAGCCGTCACCTCCAAATTTGTGTATACTCATCCAAGCATCAATGCACTCACAAAAGCGCTATACAATCTGGCTCACAACAAACCAGGTGACAGTGTAGAGACATCAGTTGATTTACAAAGAAAGAGCATGGCCAAATTACGTGCTAAATATACTGCCGGCTTGGGGGAGGGCCACACGGTCATTCTCACCGGGAGTACTGGGTCTCTAGGGTCTTACTTGCTTGAATCTCTCTTGCATCAACATCAGAGAGTGAAAAAGATTTATTGTCTCAACCGAACAGAAGACGGCAACGCAAAACAGACCGCGGCCAGTGAATCCCGAGGCCTGACCACAGATTGGCCACCACAGAGAGTCGAGTTCATGCAAGTCGATATGTCGAAACCAAACTTTGGGCTTGCAGAGGAAACTTACAACACTCTGCTTGAGCAGACAACGCACATCATCCGTGAGCAAATTTGTCTCATTCTATATAAATGAAGTGGTAAATAGATGGATAACTGACGGAGTTCCTCTTTGGTAGACAACCAGTGGCCTGTGAATTACAATTGGGACATCGCTTCCTTTGAACCCCATATCCGAGGAGTCCGACACCTGATTGATTTCTCGCTTAGCAGCAACCATAAAGCATCCTTGTTCTTCGTATCGAGCATTGCTACTGTCAGCCACTTAAGGTCGGATGATGCTATTCCAGAGAAATCAAATCATATCCTAAGCACCAGGCTGGACGGTTACGGTTCTGCAAAGCACGTTTCCGAGCTCATCCTCGAAGATGCTGTGGCATTATCTGGCGTGAATGCCTCCATCTGTCGGGTGGGACAGATTGCCGGACCTGTCTTACGCGGACCCGAGAAGGGCATGTGGGGGAAGCATGAATGGGTGCCAACGGTATTAAAGTTTTCACAGCACGAATATAATGTTCTTGCTAACCTTCTGCTGTAATTGGATAGATGATTGCGAGTTCCAAATACCTCGGCGTCCTGCCCTCAACACTGGGATCTCTGAGTAAGGTGGATTGGATCCCGGTGGACCTGCTTGCCGATATTCTCGTCCAACTGTCTGGTGCAACCTCAAATAGTACACATGGCTTTGTCGGTATTGATAGCGTTGGTGCGGCCAGTAAGAGCGCAACAAACACGTTTCCCGTGTACCATGCTGTCAATCCCAATGCCGTCGAGTGGGCGAGCCTGGTCCCAATTGTGGCAAAGCACCTAGGTCAATCCGTCAAGATTGTGTCATGGGCTGAGTGGGTGGATGCTTTACGAAATTCCAGAAGCACCGCCACGGCAGTGCTGAGCTTGGCGCAGAACCCGGCGCTGAAATTATTTGATTTCTTTGATTCGCTCGCCAAGGCGGGTGAGAAGGGCGAGGAATGGCCTGTTCTCGAAACAAAAGAGACATTGAAGAGAAGTCCGAGACTTGCAGAGGTCAAACCAGTTTCCGAGGAATGGATGAAGTTGTGGTTGGATCAGTGGAAGTTTTGATTTATTCCCAAATGGTTAACCGAAGAGGAAAAACTTTGTGTATTCGACTTGGATGATTAAGAAATAATCAGTGTACTCAACCTTTTTTCTCAAGTTTACAAGTTTTATTTCTAAGGTTTCTATTCTTCTCTTTCATTTCATTTTCCTCTTGCTCCACATGAATCTGTAGAGCGTTGTGATTATTTAGCTGATTCAGTGGGAAAGAAGGGTAGGATACCGGGTACAATAGTGAGTGGGAGATATAGTATGAAAATTACTTCCTAAGTCTCCCCCACGCGAAATGGGAGGCTGAAAGCCTCCAGATGTCTGTTATGTAAGAAATATGGTAAAGCACGGTCAAGATATTAATGAATGCCGTAGATTGGCGTATCTTAAATTTAACATTCAGAGTAAAACGACGAAGTCGTGGGTCTATAGAATTATGATTACAACTTCGACCAATATTGATGGGAAAGAGCCAAGACACTCTAGAAGTGTGGCGCGTTGAGGAACAGGCCCATGAGACAACCGCCCAGGGTGCCGGCAATAGGAATTGTCAAAATCCAAGCAAGCAACAGAAGACCAACCCGTTGGAAGTTGACAGCCTTGAGAGAACCGTTGCACAAGCCAACGCCGACCGTAGCACCCGTGATGCACATCGAAGTTGAGACAGGGAGGGAGTACTGCGAGAACACCAGGACAGTGATAGCAGCACCCATCTCCATGGAAGACCCACGACTGGGAGAGTGGTAGGTAATCTTGTTACCCATGACTAGACAAAGAATTAGTATTATATCATTCGGTTTATGTAAAGCAAGAGGAGCCACTTACCCTTCATGATGTTGTAACCATAAGTGACAAGACCGGCGGAGATACACAGTGCCAGAACAGCAAGCTGCCAGACTGGAACGGCAGCTTTGGCAGCGGCCGGGTCACCGGTTGACCAGGCCGCGTAGATGGCAGCCCAGGGACCAACGGAGTTACCAATATCATTGGCACCGTGCGCAAAGGAGGCAGTACAAGCAGTCAAGACCTGGATGAAGGAGTAGGTGTGCTCGACTTCGTTGGGGTACTTCTCAGCAGCAGCGTAGACACGCTTCATCCGCTCGCCTTCAGGGGTACCAGCGATACCACTCTGGGCGGAGTGGATATCGTAGTGAGCACCGTACAAAAGACCGCAGACGATGGTAGGCGGGATACGCTTAAGAAGTATCCACGCGTTGCGGACCTCGTAGATCTCACCAGGTCCCATGGGGTTGTCACGGAGGAAGCGCATAGCCCAGCCGAGAGGACCGCGGCTCTGGAGGAGTTTCGCACGGTGGCGGGCTTCAGACTGAGCCATGACCTCCTTGTAGCTAGGCTGATTCGCTTCGATCTCAGTCATGTTCTTCTCTCTGTCCGCTGGGGAGGTGGAAGTGTGAGCATCCTTGTCAATGGAGCCCGCATCATGGGTTGAGGCCTCGTCATCGTATTCGTCTTGCACGACAGCGTAGTTGGGGACTTTGGCCTCCTCACCGTCAGTGGGGGCAGGGCGGTTGAGAAGCAAAGGACCCATGAAGACCATGTACCACTTGACTGAGTGATCCTTCTTGATCACCTTAGCGTGCACATAGGGGACGAAGAACAAGGCCGACAGAATGCAGACACCACCACCGCAACCCAGAGTCACGGCGACAATGTACCAGACGGGCTTCTTGCTCAGGCCCAGGTTTGGAGAACCCTTGTAGACAATTGAGAGTGTGCAGATGGTAGCAGCGACAAGGAACCAAAGGGGGGCGCTGTAGACAGCCCATGGTACAGGGTTGCGACGCATGTGCACAACCACCTTGATGAGCATGAAGATGATAGCTGCAAAGCAACCTGAGATGACTGGGGCCATTCCCAGGCCTGCAAAGATAGCACCCAGGCCCTTTCCATCGTTCCATCCCCACTGGACCTTGGAGGCGCCAGCTGTTGCGACACCAACACCAGCCACGGCGGAGATCAACGAGTAGGTGGAGGAGACGTGAGCCGAGTGCCGGGTACACCACATCACCCAAGAGGAGGCTGCGGCCAAGGCACAGGTGAAGGCCATCATCTGTACACCTGGATTATTCTGGAAGGCTGTAAGGGGGATGATGCCGTTCTTGATGGTGTCTGCTGTCCGGGATCCAACGGTAACGGCGCCTAGAAATTCGAAAATGGTACCGAGAACCATTGCCTGGCGGTAGGAGATAGATCTAGACGAGACACTGGTTGCCCAAGAGTTGGCCACATCGTCTTGGAGAGGTTAGTATGGTCAAGTGGAGAGCGTAGATGATGTATACTTACTTGCACCATTGTTGTAGGCATCCAGCATGGCAAACAGAGTACCGATAGCAAAGATATAGTCATATTGATGAAGATACATCTTGGCTTGAGAAGGCAACAAGGCCGGATCGTCTTGAGATCAATTGATTGGTACGAACGAAAGAAGCAGAGTGCGTCGAGGGCCACCTTTATATACCGAATACCGAGATCAAATACGATCCTACGCCCCATCGCTTGCCACCTAGGCTCATGCTCGAAATAAACCGGCTCTCATGACAAGAATTTCACATTCAATTACTACTTCCATCGATACCAGACACACGTGGGCTGGTGACTCGCAGCAGGAGCAGCAGCTCTCGTTTCCAGTTCGACTTGGCAAACCTCTAGGCAAAGTCAGACCATGGTGGCTGTTTCTGGGCGTTGAACCTCGCTTCTTAGTGAGCACGAAATCAAGCAATGAAATTGCAGCCAAGGTATAGGGAGAGCATTTCCCTATAGGCGAAGGTTGAAAAGCAACATTGGCGACCTTGGCGGAACCTTGGCGGTAGTATTATACTGAGTCTTGGCACTTTCGGGGCTTTTGGGGGCGCCGGGACCACCAAACTCCCTATCAGAGTGCGGGTTGTCCCCACGTGTGTTATCAATTGGGAATTACTCCGGATTTCTAGAACAACTTCATGTCCGCTGTTCTTGGCGTGGTATCTGCAAAGTAAGACAATTCCATAGAAATATGTTCCATAGATACAATCAGACCTCCAACTGATGTTAGCTTCAAGAGCCACCTGTGTTAAACTCATACCTAAACAAATAAATCTTGTATATCAACTCCCCAAGTCCATTGCGCGATGCCCATTGCACCCACGCTCATCAGCACAGCCATAAGAAGATTCACCCCATTATTATCCAACCAATCATGTCCACTCTCAATACGTCGGCTCTCATGACTATCCTCATGTCCGGGCTGCGCGCCCGCGGACGTACCCGTGGCACGTGTACCACGCAGAGATGTCGTGTTCGCCACAGTCTCCAACTCCTTGAGCTGAGAGCTACCAGTTGACTCACCAGACGGAGCATGTTGTGCTGAAATGCCACTCGGTTGCGTCGATCCGGGATGAACAAGAACCTTTCTACCGCCATTTCCTTCTACAATCTTTCCACTTCGCTTGTCAACCACACTAGCCTGCAGCAGTCCACCGAGGACACTATCCAGCACACTTCCCATCAGACCCCAGCATGAGATCGCAACGACCCATAGCGCACGATCCCGGAATCCCGATCGCTCGGCGCAGAAAGGTAGGGAGATGGCAGATGTGAGGGCGATAGTGAAGGATCCCAGTAGACCAGCGCCGAGCCCGGTCGCTGTCACGCCGCCGTTTGTGCCTGGCGGCACTTCACGCAGGTTGAGCGAGGTAATCAGACGGGGTTTGGATTTGGAGAGGATGCCCAGCTCAGAGGAGAAGGTATCGGCAGCGACGACGGCGTAGTTCCTATGGATGAGCATCAGTGTGAGATGGGTTTTATAAAGGCTGACATGTCAACAACAGGGACCACGTACGCGACAATCCCGACCATCAGGATATCCGCAGCACTGTTGCCAAAAGAGAAACACGAATCGGTAGAAGGGGCCTTAGACAGAACGCATGCATGTGCGATACTCAGAACGGTAGCCACGACGGAGTTGGCCAGTACCTGGATGTGGTTCCGGGCACCTTCGCCGCCATCTGTACCGGTCGAGGAGAGTGTCAGGCGCGCCTTGATATCATGTTTAACCTAGCGAAGGTAGATCCAGTTAGCCTCTGAGTTCAAGTCTAGCTTGTTCGAGTATTCCCTAGCATACCTTGGTCGCCTTTGTTCCCCCAAAATAGAAGACAGCGAGTAGTGCAAACGGGGTTGACCACGGGTGCAAGGCGTGAGCGGTGGCTGACAACCCCGCGACGACAAGACCAAGTGGAGTAAGCGATTTTTTAGACCAGGCGCGGTATACAAGAGCCGCAACCACGGGGACACCGTAAATGGCCTTCATGGTGGGAGGTTGGAGTGGGAAACTTTCGGGATCTGTCTTGCTTGGATTGGGGATCGCGGGAGCTTAAGTGGGGCTTGGAGAACAATCCAACAATACTAAGCGGGGATCATCAATTTCTTTGACGTTGATCTAGACAAAAAATCATACATAAATTCAACCCAATGAATATTGATAGGAGCTGAAGAGAACTCGGTCGTATCAATTGAAAATAGCAGGAAGATTTCATATCTGCCAGGTCGGATTGACGAGGCTGTTGTGCTCCGGTACGCCCGGGGTATGTCCAATGCTTATAAACAATACTAATATACAGAAATCGGATGACAAGACCATCCAATACTTATTCCACGAGAAATTCACTGTAAGGAACCCGACACCTGGAATAACTTCAGCTGAAAAGAGGAGGAGACAGTGGTCAAAGTCAGCAGGTGGTTCAGAGAGCAAGACCACTGCCGTCCCCACTCCAGCGATATAGCGCCAGTACTTCACGTCTCCGTTGTTGTTGCTCACCAGAGTCCTCGGGGACACGACCGCGGACCTGGGCGAGAGCTGAACGCATAACTTTGCGGAAGGTTCTCTTCATGTAAAAGTTAGCACAATTTCATGGAGCTTTCGACGGAACAAGAAAAACGCACCTGATACTCAGTATTTAAAGTGACAACGCAAGCCTCATGTGCGCGTACGATTGTCTCACAAGCCCTGACAACACTGGGACTAGCACTGGCCGCCAGCTTATCCGCTGTCAAGAGCAGAAGGAAACTGCCCTGCAATAGATATATGCCAAAGAAGAATGGCATAAAGCTCAAGTCAGGATCATACTCCAGGATATCAGAGGCTGCCTCAGCAGCACTGACGGCATGGCCCATGGTAGAAATAAACGAGTCGGAGGATATCCAAAGATCATTATCATCCAGGAGATTGATTGGATCCCACTTGTCCGCCACTAATATGTGAAGGACATGCATGATGTGGGTGCCATAGGCAACAACCATTTTCGTGTGAACAACAGACTCGTTGAATGATCCAACAGTGCTACTTGAGCGACCAGATGGACTGAGGTGATTCGGATTCCCTCCCTCCATAGCTATATCGTTGTCTCCATTTGCCAGGGCGATTGAGCTGGTATATCGAGCCTCAAACTCCTTTAGACTCCGGGCATACACATCCAATTGTCGGGTGATCTCCAGGGCTTGGCTCTCCCATTCCCCACTGTTGCGAAAATGAATCCCAAACCGGGGGTGGTTTCGAGCATGATGCAAATCCACGATTTCGCCTAGGATGCTCATCAGGGGTAGAAAGTAACCAAACATGCTATGGCTTGTACACTCAAATGCCGGGCCAGCTCGTCGGTAACTTGCCGCTGAGAAATCACCAGCCTGCCAGAGATCATCGTTCATGGGTTGTAGTAAGCCTTCGCACTCCTTGTCCAAGAGAGTTAGGGGACGGTTATAGCAAAGCGACAAGTGACGATCCATAACGTATAACAACCACCAGATGCGTCGACGTTCTTCGCGCTCTTCCTCCGTGAGATTCACCGCGGAGCTTCCAGGACCATGGCCCAAAGAGTTGTGAAGGGATGCTGATTGCCTTTTGTTGCCATTCAAATCTAGTTCCGGCTCCCCCTCCAAGTCATCCTGGCGGGTTGCAGCATTGGGTGGCAATTCCCGGCCAAGTTTGAGCTCCCGCGCCAGAGACCACGCCGCAGTCCACCAACGCATGCTGGCTGCTTTATACTCACTGGCTGAAACCACAGTGGCCAGATGGACATAGGTAGCTACATCATCCACAGCGCAGGTCGCACTACTTTGCGCCCCAAGCTGGTCCATGGAGACACCGAATCCCCCAAGAGCCACCCCATTTATGACCATGTTCGCAGCATAATTTGGAGATGCTTCGCCAGTAGCTGGTCCATGGATCAGGGGTCGTAGCAGGCCAACAGACAATTCGAGTAGTTTTTGACAGACACGCCCTCGAGCTGACGGAGGGGAAGTCAAAAAGGCCGCCTCGCTCGTTTGTGCTGCTACCCAGAGCATGCTAGCTAGAAGACCCGGGCTGCAGACCCTTGGTTTTGTTGGATGGAGAAAAGACTGCTTGCGGAAAACAAAACCAACAACGTACGGCGACAATGGTGACAGATGCGATGAGAATGAGCTTGTAAAGTAAACATCCAAAAGGTCGCAAGCGAGAGATTGGGGAATGATGGAGGCGATGTGAGGAAGAACGGGTTGCAAAACGGGGTATCTTAATGAGGCTGGAAACGGAGCGATGCTAAAGGACGGAAAATTGGCTGGAGATGGTGATGGGAGAGGAAGCCAGCTAGGAGATTGTGCTGGTGGGGTGAACCCCAGGAATGAAGCGGATGGATTTTCTGTAGAAGCACCCATGCGAAATTGGTTAATGGACGGATTGGGCTCATGGTTGCTCATCACCGGATACGAAGCATCGTATCCCGATCCAAATCCATGATGCAACATTGCGGATGGCGACCGAGGATGTCCGTTGGAGTGCTGCATCATCTGCAATGATCGAAGATCAGAGACAGACATTGGAGGGCGATTTGATTCGGTCACATTCCCATAATTCAACGACATTCCGTCCATATTCGTCCCTAAGGGCTCCGCATGTACCGGTGGAGCGTGTGGGTTCTGCTGCATCCTGTCCATCCCCGTAATGCTGGGGTTGCGCAAATGTGATTGCGTTGACTTTGGCAGTGTGCGAGCGGCAGCGACGTTGAAAGTCGAGTTGTAGGAAACATTATTATCGTGGGGTGACTGAGAAGGTGGAGAATTTTCTTGTCCAGTTATGCTATCTGCGATGGGTTTTTCGCCATTGGCAGCGGCCACTGCAAGGTCCTTTTTCGACGCTTTCCCCCGCTTTTTGCGTTCTCGTGCATACTCGCAGCTTAATCCAAATTCTAGGGATTGTCAGTAATCCAATATGACATCGGTACGCTAGAAGGAAAGGTCTACCGGTGCAATGTGAACAGGGCTGTTGTCCATCGCATTTGGTACGCAACTGGTTACATTGGTCGCAAGCGCGACTAATTCGCCGGCGTACCGGCGTGGCCGATGAACTCTTGCGAATTGCCGACCGAGCTTCGGCCAGCATGTCTCGCTGCTGCGAGGCAATCCTCCCACCAGACAGAGACCCATTGTGTTCATTGTAGGACGGAGGTGGTGATTGCGCCGGATCTACATCAAGGTGGTTGCGCTCAGAATCGGTCGGGAGATTGGTCGATGGGCCAGCCTGTCGCGCGAGCTGCAGTTGCTCTAGCGCATACTGCGACCCTTCTGCGAGTGTGTCCAATCCGGGGGTTTGAGACTGAGCCATTCGAGCAGGTTGCGATCTAGAGGAGAAGGGGGAATAGAAGTCGGCAAACGGTTGGAGGGAGGTTGTCGACATTCTCTGTGAAGGTTAGATTTTCGGGCGACATCAAGCGGGCCGGTCACGACGAGACCTCGGATCCCTGACCAATACGCAGGGCTTCGGACGAAACAAAATACGTATAAAGAAAAGAGCGTCAAGAGTCAAGTGACATTGCGGCTGGGCCAAGTGGAGACGCTCTTTTCACCCGAACCGAATGCCGAAAGCGCCAGTGGAGAGGATAGCGCAGTGGAGAGGACCCTTCGCGATCAAAAGGGAGGGGAAATACCTCCGTGAACGAGGGGAAAATCCTGAAAATCTGGGGAGGCGGGGAAGGCACGTGGTGAAGTCAAACAGTAACGAACTTCTTTAACTTCCTATTCTCCCGTCGGTTAAAGTGGTGCATGATCGCTTGCATACTACCTTACTCTTCAGGAATACTGGAATATTTTACCGAATCACGGAGCCGATCTATTTGGTCAACTGAGGTCATGGAATAGACCATTCCACGGGGCTTGAAAAGGCTTCCATTCCATTACTTAAGTGCTCATGAAAGAGTGTAAAACAATTATTCGTGTAGGAGTGCGGACTATTTCGAATGAATTAGATAGACCTTGCAGTTCCAGCTACACCTTGGAATCGACGGGGAAAAATTACGTTCACTAAACGTAGTCGAGTTGTTGCCTGGATCTCAGGCATCAACATATGACTAAGCACAATAACCAAGAATATTACTAACTAGGCTTTGTTCTATTACTAGAGGCTTTCCTTAAACTAGATCTCCGACTTGGTCTCTTACTTCGTCTCCTACTCAGTCTCCCACCAAGTCTTCTACTTAGTTTCTTATTTAGCCTCCTACTCAGTATCCTACATAGCATCTTACCTAGTATTCTACTTCCTTTTCTACCGGATTCATTGAATGGTCAAATCGTTGTCCAGATTCATATGTAGCGGAATAGAAAGAAAAGAAAAGAAACGGGGCTCCGGGTTTCTAACGGATGCCCAAAAGGTCCTGGGTGTACCTAAGTAATAGAGGGGTAGATATAGAATTTAATCTAGATAGACTGGCTGGATTCCAGGAAGGCTTTCGATCGTATAGCTGTGCAACACTTAGTGGATCTTTCTGCCTTAGGCCACGAGTTCTTATAGATTGTATAGACAATAGGCTCCCCATTTTGTCTTCCAGTCAAGCGATCCTCAATGGCTCTTCAGTTATTGCGGCATTACGCCTACGAGTGGAATCTGATGGCACACTTGTCTCTGAGAAAGGATTAGCTGAATTTCATGAATCATCAGAATTGTGTCACCGACTGTTCGCAACTCTCACCACTTAGCATGTGCGACATTGAAGCACCAGCACTTTCAACAAAGTCATTCCAAGGTTGTTGAGTGTGAGATGGTGTGAGAATATGACTGTCAATCTGGTGGCATGGTAAGCCCCGCAGTCGCGATAAAAAGCGGAGTAAAAGATAAGCCAAGACATCACCTTTTCACCACACTCAACTTGAAAATAAACATGGCCAAGCAAAACATCCAGGAAATTCTCGACGCTATTCCACTGAAATATCGTGGACCAGGTGGCGTAGCTGCAGTCCTCAAGGATGGCGAGCTGATCGGGCAACGCGTATGGGGTTATGCCGACGTCGACCAGCGCATTCCTCTCACCCCTGAAATCCGGATTCCAATCTGCTCTATCACGAAGCAATTCGTTTGCGCCTTGCTTATTGATCTCCAACGCAGCCCGACACCTGCCATGGTCGCCAAAGGGGACATTCAGGCCCAGTTTCAGGCGAAGTTTCGAGAATTGCTTCGTCCGGAGTTGACTCAGGATAGCGGTCTGACCCTCCAAAACCTGTGCGATATGCAATCCGGTCTGCGGGATTACTGGGCCATGACTGCCCTTTGGGGTACCAAGCCAGAGGACGAGTTCCTGGTAGAACGGGATTGTCCGCCAATGGTGGATCGGACCAAGTCCTTCCACTTCAAGCCTGGCACGGAGTATTCTTACTGCAATGTCAATTTCTATATAGTTGCCCGCGTCATTGAGCACGTTACTGGAGAGTCACTTGGAAAGTTGCTTTCTGAGCGGATTCTCAAGCCGGCGGGGATGGAAACTGCGTTCCTCTGCCCGGACAATGCTAATCTCCCGCCGCCATGTCTCGGCTACGAGGGGACAGAACAGATAGGCTTTGTCCCAGCTGTAAATCGGATGGAATGGTCTGGTGATGCGGGATTGACGGCATCACTGACGGACATGGTTGCCTGGGAGAAGCATCTGGATCGCTTATTTGCCGACTCGGAAAGTTGGTACCATAAAGTCGCGCAGGGCACCACATTTTCCGACGGTGCACGAGCCAGTTATCACTACGGACTGATTCATGTCAACTTTGATGGCGTCGATACATTGGGCCATGGCGGTGCGCTTCGTGGCTACCGAATTCATCGACGTCATGCTTTGAACGAGCGCCTATCAGTTGTGGTTATGTTTAACCACGAGGCAGACGCATCAGCCGCCGTTGAGGATATCATGCGCGCTGTTTTGGATAAGCCCAAGCCAATTTTTGCTCCTGTGGAAGCCGATAATGCTTGGGTTGGCAGCTTCCTTGACGAGGAAACTCAATTGTCCATTACTGTTCGCAACGGACCATCCATCGGGGAGCTCATTGTCTCCTACGAGACTGACCCAGAAACCATCAAACTGACCGATCCCACTCATGGTGAAGCTCCTGGAGTATTCGCAAATATCGAAAAGGACGTTTTGTACATGCATCGCGTTACAGAGAACAGAAAGCTGGTGGCTCGACGCCTTGTCCCGCGTGATACTATACTCAAAGACAACTCGCTTCAAGGCGATTATAAGTGTGCGGAAGTCGATTCTGTGTTCCACTGTGTTGGTGAAGCAGGCATGTTATATGGAGCATTTGATGGTTATCTTGGCCAGGGAACCGCAACTGCCATGAAATATCTTGGTGATGATGTTTGGGCACTTTGCTGCCCCCGGGGCTTGGATTCACCAGCGCCGGGTGACTGGACCATGGTTTTTCACCGTGATGAAAGCGGTGCTATCGTTGGCTTCAAGATCGGATGTTGGCTAGCCAGGGGAATTGACTTTGTCAAAGTTTAAACTACCTGGGCATGCCCGCGCCTCTATTACTATAGCAGAGCATAGTCAATGAAAGGAGTTGAGACTAATAGTATGTATTCGATTAATAATTCATACCTGGAGAGTTGAAAAGGACCTTTCTTTTTTTATATGGATCATGAACATCATCAGGTTGCAAAAGTACTCTAACCCCTTGCCTCCTACCCCTTGCCTCTAACCTCGAAGCTGGGCGACCCCCAACGCACCATCCTGTCTTATTATAGTACTTTTGAAGCCGTGGCCCGAAGCTCAGATCTGTAGACAAGCATAGGCTGAAGCATAATCACCAAGACCGTTATCTCATCCTGTTCCATTTCAACAGGACAGTATTTACCGCGAAAGCTCTGCATAGCCTCCATGTCCCTGCAGATTTGTTATCGTAAGGGCAGCCGAGCTTCTTGGCCCTCCTTTGACTCAATAAGATTAGCAAAGAATTTTTCTTTCGCATCCCACTTTGCCCACCATTCTGGAGGTAAAAGCTCCAGCACATCTATTTGTTGGCACAGAATCTCAGAATATATAGCAACCCGACTCAAAAAGACATGTTGGCCGGAAATAGTTATTAAGATGGCACACGCAAGCGTTCGGATAACCAGTCAGCAATTCCCAACCCTGAGAATCGCCTGTCAAGTGACCAAAACAAAGACTCGCCTTAGTGGTCGAATGAAAAGAACAAATGCTAATCTCTAACTTGATAGGCCAAAAGGACTGATTCCTGGCCCCCTTTTCCCATTCCCACTTGCCCCAGTCTATGCTTGGCCCCGGCTCAAATGTGAACATTTTCTACTAGAATCGACTTGCGAAATAGCACCTACGACTTGGTCTTTTCACCTGCTATGACGCTGAGGACACTCGCACACACATTCATGCGCCACCGCCAATCCTTTTCCCAGGGCTTATGACCAGCAATGTTTCAACTTAGTTGGGGGCCAATTCTTAGTGTCAGGAATACCCCACTTTGAGAGACAGCCAACACTACACGCGTATGTACAATCCCTGCTCCAGACGGCACAGGGTGACACCGCAGCAACATCTCATCAATACTATTGGCTCCCAAGCTTCTATCATGTATTTTTATATCCAATCAGAATGAATACTCACTTTCGCCCCCACGTTGCTTTACCTGGCTAGCACTGCGATGGACTGGTAAAAAAGAACCTTGTATACTGCAATTAATCCTGCGCGAACACTTGGCCTCGAGGCGGTTTATGTGTGGAGCTAATGACGAGGGGAATGTGGCTCAGATCGCCAGGGCCGGCGCAGTTTATACTGTTCCGTCCCCTGCGCAAGACATGCACCTAGAAAACGTCCAAGCATTCCGGTGTATACAGACGCGTTTCCCAGTCCATCAATCCACTGAAAATGGAGTTTGTCTTATCCAGCTGGGTACCAGACCCAGCACATATTGCTGTGACATTTTCCTCGTTGGGAGTTTTATTCCATGTCGGAATTTTACCTTTCGAGATTGACACGTCCATTCTCTATTTCTTCGGCCTTTTTGCATTTTTCTGGGCCTGGCTAGTCACAGCTTTTGTGAAGGCTTTCGATATGACTGTTCAAGTCGCTATTTTGAAAGCCTCCTTGGCGGGCGCTTCATTTCTAGGAGCGCTAGGTACCAGCATGGTTGTCTATCGTTTGTTATTCCATCGTCTGCGACATTTTCCGGGTCCATTCGGGGCAAAAATAAGTCGCTTTGCAGTCGTGCCTGATGTTCAAAAGTCTGGCTCGAAGTACCACCAGGAGTTGGAGAAATTGCACAATCAGTATGGCGACTTCGTCCGAACCGGTATGTGTTAGTTTGTGGGCGATCTTATTGATAACCACTAATGATTTTTTAGGGCCTCGGCATTTGTCGATTAACCGGGCTTCCGCTGTACTTGCAGTTCATGGTCCGCAGTCCAAATGTTCAAAGAGCTCGTGGTATAGCATCGTCAGTGGGAATCCAGATCTCGTCTCTACCTTAAATGTTCGGGACCATGATATCCATCGCAAACGTCGTAAGGTTTGGGAGAAAGGACTGGGAATGAAAGGTAAAGCAATGTTACAAGTTATCCACTTTTACCGGAGACTAACTTGATGGTACCTCTAGCTGTGGCGGATTATATCCCCCGGATCGAAAGCAAAACAGACTTATTGATGAAGAGATTAAGTCAACATGAAGGCAAGCCTCTGGACATCACTAAGTGGTCTCTTCTTTACACATTTGATGTCATGGGATTGGTTGCTTTCAGTAAAGATTACAAACAGCTAGATGACTCTGCCGAGCACTCTGCGATTGCCGCCATGCATTCTCAGATGGACATGCTTGCAATCTTGAGCCCCGTGCCTTGGATTATGTATGTTCTGGGCTCTATTCCCGGGTTGAAGACACCGCTCAAGATTTTCGAGGAGTACTCAGCTTCGCAGATGAATGAAAGACGAGACGTACGAGTATGCCCTTCAATATTTGACAAGTTTCTAATTCAAAATAGGAATGGCGTCGAGACAACAAAGAAAAGCCAACGGATATCGTTTCTTGGCTAGTCAAAGCAAAGGATGAACATGACCCATGCGCCCCGCCGACTGATTTTGCATTCCACGATGAAGGAAGGCTGGCAATCATTGCTGGAAGGTGTGTAATTTGTTTTTTCGTAAATTTATTCATTACTAAGTCACTGTTCTAGCGATACAAGTGGAGCAACATTGGCAAATGCCGTCTACTATCTTTCATCTCATCCCAAAATATACAAAAGACTACAGCAGGAGGTAGACAAGGCGAAATTAAAGGGAGAGGATGCATCACAAATTCCTTACATTGATGCCATCATACACGAGACCCTTCGCCTTAAACCCGTTGTCCCTGGTGGATTGAACAGGGTCACCCCGCCTGAAGGCCTGACCATCGACGAAGTTTACATCCCAGGTAACGTCATCCTCATCGTCCCCCAACATGTGGTTCAGCGAGATGAGCGCAATTTTGCTCGAGCGCTGGAGTTTCTGCCAGAGAGATGGATGGAAGAGGGGAAGCATCTGCATAAAGATGAACGTGCCTTCTTCCCTTTTAGCATAGGTATGGATTACACAAACCATTTCCATTGTACTAAAACATACTAACCGACCATATCAAGGCCATTACAGTTGTATAGGGAAACAGCTGGCAATGGTGCAACTACGTATGGCTTTACAGCGTGTGGCGAGCGAGTTTGATCTCGAGTTTGCTCCTGGAGGAAGTAACGAGAGGTATGAGAGAGGTGCCAAAGACACCTTTACTATGACCTGCCCACCCCTAGATATGATCTTCAAGAAGCGGTTATTATCGGAGTTTTGTTAGGTCACGTCGTTAGAACAACAGGAAAAAAAGGGAGGGGAAGTGTGTATCCTAGATTGCAATCAAATAGTATACGAGTCCTATTCTCATAAGACGATAAGGCTAACCACAGCCTCAAGAATGAAATCAACGGTCTCATCAACCAGACTCAGAAACGGACTATGAGACGAATCCAACTGTCTCGTCGTAACATTAGCACCAGCTCCACGCACAATTGCAATCATATCCTCCTGAGCCTGTGGAAGAATCGCCTTATCTTGAGTACAAACAAGATACCAAACTGGAACATCCTTCCACCCAGAATACAAGGTCCAATCATCATTACAAGCAGCAGACAATTTCAAAATTCTGCTCTCCCAAAGCCGCGCCTCCTGCAAAGAGAGATCGCCATAAAAAAGATCCACAGGGTCTGCTAGATCCACAGTAATCCACACCCCTCCCCGACTAAAAAATGGAGTCCCAAAGTCGATTTTGACAAGTTCCGAGATTTCAATGGGGAAGAAACCGCTAATCTGCAAAATGCCTATGACTTTCCCGGAATTGAGGCTCAGCCGGGAGGGGTTTTTCTGTGTGAATCCTTCAACTGCAGCGCAGCCTGGACGGCCGCCCATGGAGTGGGCGACAATCAGGACATCATTTCCGGTGGATATTTCTGAGGAGATGATGTCTTGGATTTGGTTGACGCTGCCGCGGAGTGAGTCGGCTGGTTTCTCAGTGCCCGTGGCACACATCTCCAGATGCGGGGCATGGCAGCGGTAGCCTTTTTGTTCTAGTTTGGGAATCACTTTTTCCCAGCATTTGGGTGAATGCCATGCACCATGGACAAAGATTAGGGTTGGCGGAGACATTCCAAGGTTGTTGGATGCGGGGAAAACCAAAGTCTCAAATGCGCAATTAAGAAGTTAATCTCTAGACCGATGTCGGGACCAAACCACTTGCACTATACCTAATCTTGTCAGAGTTGAGGTCACACCCCAATGCTATCGGTTCCCACACTGCCCTCATTCCCTCCGGGATCTCTCAACATTTCGCTGTGTTGATTAACTTTCTCTCTTCCTTTCTATCGACAGTCCATCGCTCACTCAGGGAAGAAACATCATTTGCAGTGTGGAAGAAAGAAATAGAGCAAAAGCTTGTCCTGCTAAGGAGAGGAAAGGGTCACCTTATCACCATATCCCAAAGCCTCTTGCCCCTTTCAATACTGCATGTATCAGAGCCTGTAAAGACTTCGCTTTCTGTGAATGCTGGTACCTTTCCAGCTAGCCAGCCATTATAATATTTTACTAAAGAAGTTCACAACTTCATCGACCTTCTTCTTATAAACCCTTCTCTCATTCTTCTTTCTGATGTTTCCTGTCCCCCAAACTACCATCATTTGAAGATGGTTGGCTCCAATTTCCTTCTCTTTTGGATCTGGATGTACATAACTCCCAACAAACGTCAGCTGTCACTCCTTCCCGCTTGATGACTCTCAAGAACCTTGGAATCCAATTATTCTTTACTTCTCATCAACCTTGATGGCCACTACGGAGTTTGATGGAACAAGTTCAGGAGTGATGGAGACGAGTTGGTAGTCACACCCTCCTGAGAAGCTCAACAGTCAAAATCAAGCTGTTCAGGTGATTTATTTTCAGGCGAGGAACCCGATTGCAATGCCTCAACAAGCAGTTGAGCAATGTTAAACACGATGATCAAGATAAGTCAGGGGGCTGATTATTGCGGAATTGAGCAGGTAGAGTTCTGACACTGTGCGGGATAGTGAAGCCTTTTCCAGCAATTGGGCATGAACCTCATGAGACATTGACAGTGTTGTTCGATGTGCTCCCAGCCGCCTTGCCTGTCCCCAGACACTCAACAGAGGATTGAATTGTCAAGGAGGATCGTCTGTTTGCTAAAGAAAAGGATCGACTGGGATTCAGTGAACACGCTGATCTTGGGAAGACCCTTGCTGCGCCTCTCCATACTGAACGTTCTGACACTGAAAAGAAAGCTGTTGCCCAAACATCCTAAGCCGGTACCAAGTGAGACCCAGTTTTCTTGAAAGAGTCGAGCAGTATTCTCAGGGATGGTTCAATCCGGCGAGGTTGGAAGATCGGTCTGCAGAGACAAGATGAACCTCTCTGCTCTTTCTTCCATTAGACTATGAAATGCGTGGGAATTCCTGGCGGACTGCCAGGACTCGCATAACCAACTTATATTATCGTCTATACGAGTTATCTATCTCGCAGAGTAGCTGATGACCCCAGGAAGAGTTTCGTGACCAGCGGAGGATTGAAACGCCATGTTGTCGTGTATAACCCGGGATTGAGGGGAATGAGCTGGCGGTCTTGGAAACCTATCAAGATTCTATTAATAGGGATCATACATGTGCTATGTACTGTACGAGATTAAACGATTCCTAACACATTCAAGTTCCTAACAAACCACATGAACATACAGTCTTACATTAAGTTTTCAGAATCGAAAAATGGGTATTTGTCATGTATGATGCAGTATATGCAGTATTTATATGCAGAGATGGCCGTCTATGGTAGACGTAAATGTACAATCGGGGAAACCGACATGCGAAATTGAAACAAACAATCCAAAATATTATACAACACCAACCATATGCGTCCCCAAAAACTCCAAGCAGAAGAAATAATTTTGGTTTCAGGAGAAGAAATATTCACTCTTGCGAATCCGCGTGATATCCCAAGTGCCTTTAGCAGGAACATCGCGGAACCGAAGGGGCAACCACATCCACACAGTGGTGGGGCCTTTTGACCGCCGAGAAACGTACTCTAGGTTGCTTCCATCGACGTCGGTGATCTCATTGTAGTTCTGAGACTCCTTCTGGGGGTGATCGAAGTCATTAAACAGGCTTCCGATGGCCGGGTCGTTCATGTCAATGCTAGCGTCGGGTCGTCGCTCAGCGGCCTCCAGATCGTCCGGAACGACGCCAATGTCTGAAGCTCCCAGGCTGGCAGTACCAACCAGGTCATTGTCGTTGCCGCCCATCGACTCAAAGATACTGGCTGCGGTCACCATAGCACGACCTTCTGCTTGCTCATCAGGGTCGTCTGATCGCAACAGTTTTTGTCGTCGGTTTTCTTCCATAAGCTCGAGGAATCTCAAGTTTTTAATCTTAGTCGGGGTGCGATGACGAAGAATGGCCTTTCCGACGGCAGAAGTTTTCTCGACCTTGGCCAAGTAAAGGTGCTTGCCATATCGGACGTTGAACTCTGCATATAGTCGCCCAATAACATCATCCTGGTGCATGTGGACAAAGGCGTCTCGGAGGATGCGATTCATACTGTCCACGTCGCTGGCGTGGGACCAGAAGGAATCGTGGACGGCAGAAAAGGTAAGACCAGCCCGCTCGCATGCATTAGCGGACAGCATCATGTGAGTGGCATCAAGAGAGTGAATGAAGTTCGGGGGGAAAGCTTGGAGTTGCTTGCGTCTTGAGACCACGTCTTCAGCATTGTACTCAACGACGCTCAGGTCTTGCAGGGTAGTCGAAATACGCTTCGCCTTTCGTGTACGATAAGGTTGAACAACAGGAAGGCCAAGCGGCGTGGTCCAAATGACAGTGGACTTGAACTTCTTGCTCGGATCAACTTTCTGGCTGCCTTTCCCCTCATCGTCAGCAGACGCGCCGGGTAACAATGCTTCCTTCGCAAGCTCTTCGACATCCTCCGGGGATACAGATTGAGTAATACGATTGGCACAATCTCCTAGCCAGTGTTGAATATCAGAAGCTCCATTGAACATGGTTGACAGAGCCTGGAAGATTTTGCGTGCAATGTATAGAGATCCCTGCTTCTTTTCATCGCCGGTGAGATCTGGATAGTGATCATTGAGCTGCTTGCGGACTTGTCTCATTGCACCCATAAAGGTCACACCGTATACATTAGTCATGACTGTCTGCTTGACAATCTTGCGCGTTATCTTCCCATCAAGAGTAATGGCTAGCTGGTTACCGCGAGCAGCGTCCTCCGCCACGGACTTCTTCACATACTCTGAGACACCAGTGTAGACGTCGGACGGCCTATCGGAAGGCTCGAGATTGACCTGCTGAGCACCAATACTGTCACCACCAAGGGCGGCGTAGTGTTGCAAACCATTGCAAGAACCATCCTGGTGGATTGGCAGACGGGATGGGTATTCGAGTGGGTTAGGATGGAGAAGAGCGTTACGAAGTTCGCAGCAAGCTGCCAAGCATTGCCAAGGGTCTTCAGCCTCCAACCACCATCGCTTTCCGTGAAGGCCCTTATTGGCAGAGTCGAGAATGTCGTCGAGGTGGTCATCGGCAAACTGCTCACGCTCGGCCATGCTCGCTTTATCGAATCCAGCCAAACCTGCCAGATGGATTTTCAACCAACGCATACCGCTGACACCTAGTGGCTTTGCTTCGCTGAAAAGAAGCAGACCTCGGGAATTGTCAGCTCCCATCTGGTTGAGGTAGGGGGGCAGTGGATAAGCTCTTCCACGGAAATCCATGTTGTGAGGGAGGTAAAAGGTCTCATTGCGGAAAGCACGTGCGACTTCCATCTGGAAGTTCTGGAAGCATCGCTGTGAGTGAAGCGCAGCCCGCTTGTTCTCCACATCACGCATCATGTTTTGCCACTCTTTCTCTTCTTTCAAGTCAGCCTTCGGATCTGGTTTTGGGGGAGCTTGGATGTCTGCGTTAAGCGGTGACAGATTTGCGACTTCCTCGCCAGAGTTCCAAGCTTCGAGCATGACGTCGAACACGTCTCGATTGATGACCCAGGGGGTGGCGCCGAGAACGTCAAGGCCGCGTCGAACTTCCTTGAGGCCATCATTCTTCAGAGCAGCCTTGACATACATTGGCTGCAGACCCTCGCCTGGGGTGGTGCGAACAATATTACTTTGGTAGATAAGATAGCCTCCATCTCTTGGTCCCTGCCAAGGTCTCGGTGGGCAGATCATAGGAAGATGCCGCCCAAGCAGATCAGCTGACGGCTCCGCTTTGACAATTTTGATAATTTCCGGGTGTAGGTTAAGAAGACCCAGGCGTTTACCAAACGTAATCTGATAAGCGTGCTGGAATGCCGGTTGAAACGTCTTCGTCGTTTCACCAGTGGCTTCGTTCTTGCTCAGAACGGGAACCTTGGCAACATCAAACAAAAAGCTTGTCAACACTGCACCAAGTCTAACTTGAACACGTGGGCTCCAGTTCAATTCAACGTTCTCCGTTTGCATGCCCTCAGACAGACGCTTCCACTGAGCTCGCCCATCTTTTCCCTTGCGATCGACGAGAAGCTGTTTTAGCATTTTAACGCGTCGAGAGTCCTGAGCTTCAGCCTTCTTCAAGCATGCAATTGCGACTAGCTCATCCTGAACATCTCGGCCGATGGTCGACGCAATAGCAGAGAGCTTGATTCCCAGGTCCATTCCCACGCGAACGAATGAACCAATCGCTCCAAGCATGGTGATTGCGGCGAGACGATCGGTCTCGAGAGCGCTAAGAAACACCGCATACTCGCAACGGGCCTTTTGTTCGGCTGTTCGGATCGGCTGCCCTTGTTCTTCGACAGCGAGTCGCTTTTCCTCATTAATTCTGGTCACGAGATCTTTGTGCCATTGGCTCATGAAATTGTTGATGCGCTTCTTACTGCTCATCACGTCCACTCCAGCTTTTGTCATTTGTTCAAACTCGACTTTCCAGCGATCGTGGGCTGATCTGATGGTATCGGTCTCAACCTGTCGTTGCCGAAGTTGATCGTATAGAAGCTTCTTTTGTTCTTCGGTGCCTTCGAAGTCTTCAGGCAAAGAAATATGATATTTATCCGCAAACAAGGCAAGTGATTCCTTCAGGGACGATAAACCAAGACCCTTCTGCTCAGCAGCCAGCACTTCCGCAACTTGATCGAGGTTTTCGGGGCGCATATCGAGTTTGGGGGTTTCGAACTCTCTGAAATCAAATTTGGCATGACCCAAATCATTGGAGCAGATCTAACAGCACGCAAGTCAGTTTCAAAGCCCGAAAGGGGATCCTGGGTAGAGCAGATACGAACCTTGGACAATTCACCCAAATCCAAGTCGGTTAAGACTTCCTCAGCTAGAAGATCCTCATGAAGATCCACCTTTTTGGCAAGTTCCCAATAACGACGAACCGTTCTATCTCGCTTGGATCCGTGGAGCATACGCAATGCCATACGAATCATAGTAGCGAAAGTGGTAGCATTGGGCTGCACACGCCCGGCAGGCATGTCAACCTCGAACCATTTTTGCACCGGCCATATCATGTCATCTTGTCGCGAGGCGATCATATGCGAGACCATATCCTTCAGGTACCGATTATGCAAAGCCACCCATTCGGGAGAGTCGCGTGAATAAACGGACCCCAGGCGGCTGATCAAAGCCGCAGCTCGATCGAACCGGCCGACCTTGAGCGACATATCAAAGTTTGCCATCATCTCCTCCGGATCGCCACCAATGCCTCTGATTTTGCGGAAGGTTTTCAGGTGGGTCTGGGGTGTTTCATTGATGACAACCAAGGACGAAAGATCAAAAGGATCCTGGTTGAAGAAGGTCGTCGTTTCTTGATGATTTGATTGATCTAAAGATTGCGGCAAGGATGCTTCATCGATGGACATATAGGATGATTGGTTGAGGACGGATGGATCGGCGGCGGTAGCGAGATGGCGCTGGGATTGGAAAGAGGAACTCCGGTTTTCTGGTGTCATGTTTTTTGAAGCTAAGACTGGGCTCATCCGAGCCGAGCTGGAGTGTAGGCGCAGCATTGAAGATGCGCCCAATGCCCGATGGGCATTGGCCTTCCGGAGATGGAAGAGGGCATTTTTCTGACGAGCCACTCGGGACAACATGATGCAAAAAGTCGCTTGAACACAAGGTATTAAATCAACAGTAGTAGGTGGATCGAAAGAAGAGAGGCATTAAAAAATAGAATGTAAAAATAAAAGATGACAAAATGCAAATAATTGATCAAACGCGGAGGCGCAAAATAGGGACAACACAGAAGCGACGAACTATTGGTTACCCGATGGAAAACGGCTTCTCGACTCCTTTGGGATGCCGTCCTGCAGCCCTCAGCCCGAGCAAATAAAGGTATTAAAAGAAAGAAACGGGGGTTGAGGGAGAAAAGGGGACGATCGTGCAGAACAACGGAGACTCGGAAGAGAGAAAAAAGTCGCGGATTAGATTGCGAACGCGTGATCCCACGTGACCTGTTCCTGGTATCTGCAGTTGCTGATTGGTGGATCACTTTAAGTGGCAAATGTACACGAGACTAACTACTCCGTAGATCGACTAGATTATTATGAGGACACTTTGCGCATTCACATCTATACAAGAAAGGTTCAAGTGTTTTAAATGTCGATCATAAAATTTTAAGCTTAGGAAATGCAAATGGTCACGAGAAATATTCATAATTACCATCTTCATTATGGGCATTGCCTATCGGACTTTAGGTTTCTACCTAGCTAAGGAAGCTCAGCTTTCATCATCCTCGCTCTCCGAAGAACCTTCTTGCTGTTTCTGTCGATTTTGCTTCATAGCCCAGCCAGTCATCTCTGGGTGAGCAGGATCAATTCGGGGAGCACTCATGCCATCTAAATAGGCCTCGCTGTTGATGACTGATTCAAGTTGTGGCAATTCCTCTGGGTTCTGATTCATCATGTAGTTTTCGTATGTGTACCAGGATTCCTCGGTCTGCAGTTCAATTGAGTCAGATATGATTTCACTGTCATATCAGAAGGGATCGAAGACATACCTCTGCATCCACCCAGTCCAAGGTCTTCCATTTCTCTTCTTGCATCCTTTTGAGGAGATCTAAGTTACCAACAAGCACAGCACCACCATCTTCCGCGCCCTTGACCTTGACGTCGATCGCACGAGCTTCGGGTTCCGCACGCTCTTCTTCTTCCTTCTTGCCCTTGGACCCCCGGGCCTTAGGCAATTCATCCAAAGCATCTATATGGTGGAGCTGGGGGTGTAATTGGACCACTGCGGTGACGGGTGAAAGGTGTAGGTTTTCTGTGTAAGCTCGTTAGAACTTGCCCCGAGGACGCAAATATATGCAGGGGAAGAATGCACTTACTGCCTTTGAAAGTGCCCAGCATATGAACAGGGTCTCCTTCCTCCGGTGGCTTTATCCGTCCGCCAAGGGCTTGTGTCCTGACCACCGAGCCTCCATCCATCATCTTCTTTTTATCGAGCACCTCAATGTCGCTTCCTTCATTCTTGACTCGTACAGATCCTGCTGTGGCCAGGCTTCCACCAGTGAAGCCCCCAGACATACCGAAGGAACCTCCATCGCGGGCTGAGCGGCTCTTCTTCATGGCGTCACCGTATTTAAGACCCTTCTCCATATCATATGTGGTACGGGTGTTGATTGGGACATCAATCTCGACAAGGCCTGTGTTTGGTTTCATTCGAAGTTCGAGGGGTTTCTGGCCCTTTCGCTCATTGTAGGGCTTATTCTGAGGCCGGTCGATATACTGGAAAACGTAGCGAGAGATTTCGGAGTCGGTGAGGAAGACATCATATGAGGAAACGATTGGGTCATCCTCGATGGAACCCATTGCGGTAGAGTAATTGGACAATATGATGTATGGAAGAATAAGGTACAGTCGAAAGATTGGTCAAGGTTATAAACCTGTGAGCGACATGCCTCTTCCGAAGTGTTGCCGTCACTTTTTTTCTCCTCGAGGGTTTATCGATTAGGCGGGGCGGTCGTGGCAGAAAATATAAAGCTTGTCTCACCGCCCAATGGTCAATTCATTCCGCCTATGGATCACGTGATCTGCCACCATCAGCATCTATGTGATCATTGTTTTAACCAACGAAAAAATATGTAGTAGCTTCAAGCTTTAACTTTGAAGAAAGAAATGGTAAATATTCGGTATTGAATATTCATTTACAAATAGCATCCTTGGATACATGGCAGATATAGTAGAAATGAAAAACAAAAAAAGTTTTCAAACGAGCCGAATCATTCCAGATGTCGTTCGCCAAGAAATAATGCATCTAGATACAGACAAGGATATAGGCACGAAATTATTGCAACAAAAAACAGGGCATTTTGGGTTTCTAATGGCGGTCGTAACACATCGGATATTCTATACCGGAAGCTGCTCCAGTATTTACTCCTCTTCCTCATCTTCGGCGACCTATTTACAACATGTTAGCTTTGAAGATGAAAATATGGAGATAGGTTCAACTTACGCCCTCGTGGAAGTTTCGTCCATCGGTAGTCGCCTTGATGACACCGGCGCGGATACACCAGTCACCGAAACGCTCGGGGGTCTCGCCGTCGGTGTTGCGCTCCTTGGAGTAGCGGCAGAGGAGGTCCTTCATGATCTCAAGGATCTCATCCTCCTTGATGGAGGAGCGGTAGCGCTTGTTCAGACGTTGTCCGTGGTAGCCACCACCCAGGTACATATTGTATGCGCCGTAGGCCTTACCAACGAAGGCGACCTCAGCGAGCCATGGGCGAGCACAACCGTTGGGGCAACCAGTCATACGCATGACAATGCTGTCCCGGGCCAAGCCATTCTGCTCAAGGGTATCCTCGAGCTTGGAGATGAGAACGGGCAGGTAACGCTCGGACTCAGCCATAGCGAGACCGCAAGTGGGGAAAGCGACACAGGCCGAGGAGGAGAGACGCAATCCGGAGAAAGCGGTGTTGTCGAGCTTGTACTTGGCCATGGTCTCCTTGATAAGTGGCAGATCCTCATCAGTAATGTTAGAGATGATCAAGTGCTGGTTACCAGTAAGGCGGAACTCGCCCTTGCCGAGAGAAGCAAGCTCGTTGAGACCAGTGCGCATCTTGAAGTCAGCAGTATCCTCGATACGACCGTTCTCAATGAAGAGGGTGAAGTGGTTCAAGCCCTTCTCGTCCTTTAGCCAGCCAAAGGTATCGACGTTGGAGGCGAACTTGAACTCGCGGGGCTCGCCGAAGCGCAAACCCTCAGGCATGAGATCCTCAACCTTGCCCTTGAACACTTCAACACCCATGTCATCAATGGTGTACTTCATACGGGCGTGCTTGCGGTTCTTGCGGTCACCGTGGTCACGCTGCACGAGCATAATCTTCTCACAAGCGATGTGGATCTGATCCTTGGGAATGAAACCAAACATGCGACCAATCTGGGGGTAGGTCTTGGTGTTGTTGTGGGTGGAACCCATACCACCACCAGCTAGGACGTTGAAGCCCTCAAGGTGTCCGTCGGCACCCTTGATGGCAATCAAACCAATATCGTGGGCATAGACATCAGTGTCGTTGTGAGGAGGAATGGCAATGGTAATCTTGAACTTGCGGGGCAAGTAGGTGGGACCGTAGAGGGGCTCGTGGTCAACAACAGCATCTCCAGCAACCTGGTACTTGTTGTCGGCATCATCCTTGAGCCAAATCTCGTGGTACGCAGTGGTCGAAGGGAGAAGGTGTTCACTGATCTTCTTGGACCAGACCCAGGTTTCACGGTGGAAGTCAGAGAGCTCAGGGAGAGAACTGCACATGACGTTACGGTTGACATCACCACAAGCAGCAATGGTATCCATCAAGGACGCGTTGATGGCCCGCATAGCACCGCGAAGCTTGCTCTTAATAACTCCGTGGAACTGGAAGGTCTGTCTGGTAGTGAGTTTCATGGTCTCGTTACCGTGCGAGCTGGCAATGGCATCCATCTGCAGCCACTGCTTGGGAGTGGCGACACCACCAGGGAGACGGCAACGAATCATGAAGCTGTAAGCGGGCTCAAGACCCTGGGCCTTGCGTTCTTCACGAACATCACGGTCATCCTGCATATAAGTACCGTGGAACTTGGTGAGTTGCTGATCAGTGGCGGAAATAGCACCAGTGGTCTGATCTAGAAGACCCTCGGCAATGGTACCACGCAGGTAGTTCGACTGGATCTTCATGTCCTCGTTGGTCAAGGGAGCGGGCTCCTCGGGCAGACCCTCAACCTTATCAACACCTAGAGCTTGCCACAGACGGGGCTCCCACTCGGAGTAGCCAGTCTGGTAAGCATCTGGATCTTGGTCATCACCGAGACCAATATCGACAAGCTTGCGACCACCCAAGAAAGCAACACGAGCATCAAGGTCCTTGGCGGGCTTGTTGTAGTAGATGCGGTCTTCCTTGCGCGGCCAGTAGTGGCTGTCACCCAGACCAAAGATAGAGTAGTTGATAGAAGACAGATCAAGATCACCAGAGTTCTTGACATGCTCCCACAGAGTGCGACCATTGACAGGGAATTCTCCCTGACCAGCAGTGCTGGTAATGAAAACAACGTTCTCCTCGGTAGCGAGATCCTCAATGGGGTACTCATCCATGGCCATAACCAGAGTCTTCAGACCACGAGCACGGCCGCGGTTACCAAGACGCTTGGCAATGTTCTGGGCGTTGCCACCATCGGAAGCAAAAAGGATGGTCAGAGGGGCACCGAAGAGACCATCCAGGAGCTTCTCGTAGGAGTCCTTGGCCTTGCGCTTCTGCAGAGCTCGGACCTCGGTACCGTAGGATTCGGAAAGGACAGCTGAGTACTTAGGCTTGCTGTTCATGAGCTGGGTAAGCTGGTTGTCCCGGCGAAGGAACTCCTCCAGCTCACGCTTGATGCGCTCCGAGTCCAGAGAAAAGCGGGGCTCGCCCTTCTCCTCGTTATCGGGGTTCCAGCGGTACAGAGGCCAGTATCCAAGCTCAACGGCCTTCTTGGTCTCCTGCAGAACAGTGAGGGGGGAGTCGTTCTCCTGGTGGTAAGGCAGGTAGGCAACGACAACGGAAGGACCCTTGAATTGCTCAGCCTCGGCCATGGCCTGAAGAACCTGGGTGTACGAGCTGTATACGGCAGTGGAGGCGACGTAGGCATTGCCAAAGTTCATAGCGTAGAGACCAATGTCCTTCTTGCGGCGGGTGGGGTCAGCAGCAGAACGCTCGGAGTAGGGTTGCGAGTCGATGATCAGCATGTTGACATTGGCACCAGAGGCAAGAACGTGGTGGACACCAGAGTTTCCAAGATCGTATGCCCATGCGTCGGAACCAATGAGCCATTGAGACTCCTCGTAGAAGAGCTTCTTGGACTGCAGAAGTTGGCGAGACAGCTTAGAGCCATCGTTGGAAAGGCGGGAGATAACATCCGGAGCGATCTTGTTAGCCTTGGCGCTCTCGTTGGCGCTCAAAGCCCAGCGAGACAGCCAGGTCTTAGGGGTATCAGTGGCGAAGGTAGTAGACTTGGATGCTTCCTCAACCTCCTTGATGAAGCGAGTGCGGTGCTCCTTGCGCGCGAGCAGGGATCCAAATCCGTACTCAGGGCTGGCAGCAATGGTAGATGAGATACCAGCATTATTGGAATCAATCTGGTTTGCAATGTAGAGACGTTCTCCAAAGAGTTGGTTCAGGATTTTAAGGTACGCATTCTCAATGCGAGGCTGTTCAAGAGCGGGCTGAGGAGTGGGGGCCTTGGAGCTTCCAATATCCAGGTTCTGAATGGGAGAGGGGGCATTGAGATTCTGAACAATTCCACGGAGGGCCTGAACGGCAGTGGAAGGCTCAACGTATCCAAGGCGGTATCCAACAATCTTCAAGGCCTGTCCGCTAACAGTGGAGGGAGTCAGGCTGGAAAGGAGATCCATGAAAGATGGTCCCCACTTGGTGGTCTTGCGAACCTGCTCCAGAACGGCAATCTTTTCAATCGAGCTTGGAATGGAGTTCACGATCTGGCTACCAACCCATGGGCGGTAGACACGAGCAGTGATGAGACCAATGTTCTCAAGGTCGCTGTTAGCACCAGTGTTGGCGAGGACGTCAGCGAAGACACCGGTCGAGCCAAAGGCAAAAATGGCGGACTTGGCATCTGCAGGTCCAGTGTATTCAATGGGCTGGTAAGTGCGACCCACCTCCTGGGAGAGGGCATTCCAGATCTGAGCGGTCCACTCAAAAATGTCAGCGGCATTGACCGGGCGAACGCTAGCGCTTTCTACAGTAGTAGCGGTCGAGCTGGGTGCCTCGCTTCCTGCGCTGCTTTCGCGTCGTGATGAGCCGACAGATGAGTTGGCGACACTGGCATTCACTGGAGTCTGGGTCTGAGAAGCGACAGGCAAGCTGGCGGAAGCATCACCCTGGGCGGCGGCAACTCCCACTGTCTCAGCGGAAACAGTAGGCACACGGCCAGAATCAGCGTACAGAGTATCGGCTCCCGAGGTGCTCTGGGCAACATTTCCACCCAGGTTGAGAATCTTCTTAACCACCTCATTATCCTCGACAGGAATAGGTGTGTCCTTGGCGGAGTTGGCCGGGTCAAAGAAGTGAATCACACCCTTTCCGGACTTCTGAGCCAATGCATGTGCGGTAAGAGCAATATCCTGAGCCTCCTGTGTGGTCTCTGAGTGGAGGAATGTGAATCCGCATTGCCGGATGGAGCTAATGACGGAGTAGTCTGGAGATGGGGAGGATTCCAGAGCAACGTGGATGACGACGGGGTAGCTGGCAAGGCGGTACAGGTGAGGGACGGAGGTGATCAGAATGGAAGACTCAGTCACAACCGAGACGGTCTCGCCCTTTTGCAGAGGATAGAAAGCGGAAAGCAGAGGGTCCTCATTAACACGCACAGCTTGGATCTATGGAGAGTTTAGTGAGATGTTCTTGCTGTCGCGGTATTCTTATCAAAAAAGACTAACCTCGGGAGTACCCCTTGAAAGCAAGCTAGCTGTCTTGTTGGATTTCAAGGTCTTGAGAGACTTGGAGAACAACGAGTCGGTCTGCAGGGAAGGCTGCACGGAGAGGACAAGGTCACTAGCCAGGTAGGCGATTCTCGCCACTGAAAAAACATACAAATTAGCAATTGAACATTCGGCTGAATTTGATGGAACTAGATCCGATCGTACCGGCTTCTCCAGCAGTTTGAATAGACGCCATAGTTGGTAATTGCTGTAGCACAGCAGAAGGTGGGATGGGAAAATCGCTCGATCTTAGCTTATCGGCGCATGCAGCGATCTCCCTTACAGATCCACCAAGAAAGCACAGAAACGAGACAAAAGGAATGACACAATTGATTCCCCTCGTTCACTGGATCTTTTCAATAAATATAAAAAAGAAAAAAAAGTGCCAACACTCGGTTTTCTTCTCGGCGGCCAGTCATTTCTCCGCCATCGGGGTTAGATCAGCAGTGAGCTGATTGGTGCACGATCACGACATCAATGCAAACTCATACTTTAACATATGCAAACTTACCACTTTTGGTGATAGTGCGGGGGACTCGTGACCCAGGGCGAGCACGTCAGCGTCGGTATTTGCCCATGCAGGTTCTGCATGGGAAAACTTATACATTCGCCATATACAGTCAGATCCCGATAAACAAAGTATAGTAATTGTCATTGGCTATCATTTATAACAGATAACTAAATATAGTGCAGGATTGACGAAATTTCAACGTACTATCTCCCTAAAAAACGGGTTTTGGTTGAATCTTATGCCACTCACCGCATTCCGCATTACTCTGTGCCAATAGTAGCGCGGTCATTACCGATTTGAGTTCTCGGTCGAGAGCCTCAATACATTTTTTTCCAAATAAAGTATGCTGCTTGGCTTATTTTTCTAGTTTGCTTCTCAGACAAAGATACAATACTCTTTAATCCCAAAAATGAACCCTAGCAAATAGGAGTAAATTAACTGGGATTCTTGTTTTTGTAAAGCAACTGGCAAAACCCCGCCATCGCCACCAAAGCGGAACCATGGACCAGCGGGACCCTACACTTTACAGAGTAATGGTCATTGATATTGGGTTATATAACATATAGCAACATATAAGTAAAATTTACGTTTCTTTGTAGATGATTATTGATTATTATTTATTGTACTTTTCTTTTGCACTGTTTTTTGGGGTGCTCATCTAATATAGAAGGACAAAAGCAGACCATTCGAAAGGACAAAAAAATGATCTGCGCAGGGTTCGAACCTGCGATCTTCCGTGTGTAAGACGGATGCGCTAACCACTACGCCAGCAGATCTTGTATATCAAAGATTGAAGAATCACGTAACATGGATTTACGACTTTTATCTCGACATGTGTATTTCATTTTCTTTAGCTTCATAACATTGATATGTCACATTTCAAATGTTAACAAGGGACTTGGGCTATCATATTGCTTACTGTATCATACCTATCATACATACTTGCATTTATCTTATGGAGTATCGAATTAACTGCTTGATAATTAAGGCAATCAGTACTGACCTGCCCCTTTTCTTAGCTTGTTTCTTAAAAAATATATATATAGTACAAACATCAATTCAATATTCAACAATGAATGTGTGTATAAGCTCCAGATGACAGCATCTAGGCAGCACCAATAGCCCCTTCTCTGTTTTGTACTTTGTTCTTTTTTTAACGAACTGCCCAATGGGTGCCTAATATCAGATTTTTTTTCTCCGAACTTAAAGCGGGTGGGACGATTGGGCTTGAAAATAGTTATGCAAGCGTATGTAGAATCCTGGAACCCAAAATTGTGGCTTATGAGCTAAGATAGTTGCGCGTGATCAATCGATGATCAGGGGGATCAACGGCAGCGTCTTTGTGTGATATGTTGCCTCCGATCCTGACCAGTTTAAAACCGAAAGCTTTCGTCCATCTCCTGTAATTTGAATTCAATCATGCAAATTATCTACCTTAAATCCTCACACAATATGTCTATAACCCACAAATTCTTCAATTTCTGTGGTGAGTATCATACTCCAATTTTGAATATATCCTTAATTGATTGGACGGTTCATAGTTGTCAGCGGAGGACTACCATATCCACGGGGTTGAACCCTCCTCCTGAGAAGTTTTCCGAGATCATAGCAACCAAGGTAGACTTGCACAACAAAAAATACTTGAACATCTATCTAATCTTTGTCAGATGTTCGGGGTCCAATTCGACACCGCGGGCATCTACCTCGTCGGCACACCGACGGAACAATTCCACCTCTCATTCGAAGAAATGATGGCTTTTGAAGCAGGCATCATCGGTCTCCTGGAGTATGGCGTTACTTGGAAGGTATTAAAAGGGATTATAAGTCGAATCAGATATCGACTATGGAACCGCGCTGGAACATCCATGGAGACGCCGGCGCTATGGATTGACAACTCAGGGCCTATAATATATGAAATCCGCCATGGGATGGAATCGATTCGTATTACTCCACAGGATTTGGAGAACTCTCGGTTGGGAAGGGTCATTAAGGAGCATTGGGATATGGGGATGACAGAGCCCAGCACGCGATTTGCAACACGGATGCTGTTTGAAGCGTTTTTCATTGGGCTTTGGAGGAATATACTACGAAGGCTGAAGATCAAAAACTTTTGATGGGCGATATACTTCCTGCCCAGGTGGGCACTAACCCAGTTTCACGATGAAGTACAGAAATCCTGTAGAAAAGTCACTAGAAGATATTCATGAGATGCATGCAAGTATATAAGTTGTGTACAAAGATGGAATCTGCCAGACCCTGGCATACCCAGGCGTCAACATTATAGACCCATCCATATGAAGCCGATGTACATCTCCGGACGCCAAAAGAAGATGAGATGCACACAAGAGCATAGCAGCGCTCGAGATCATTCAAATCCACAACTCCTTGGTACCAAAACGCCTTTTAACAAATTGGCAGACAGGTACCAAACGATGACCAGCCAGTGCGTGAGCAATGTATTATCCAATTCCTCCGTGTAATCTGCGTTCATGGGTCGCTTGTTCATTTACGGTCGTGATGTTGCCGGGAGGCAAAAGCTTTCTGATGGGTGCGCTCCCGAACACAAAGCTTTAGCGAGCGCGGCTTTGATTCGATGAGCCTAAAGATGGTACAAACACAAGGGCCGGAATGGATTGTGTTCTTCGGTATTGTGCTGGCGGAAGTCGATTTTGTCCGGCTCGAGAAAAGGAAACCGTAGTTCAACCAACGTTGCCAGCAAGAAGGATTTGGGGGTCTGGGTGTAGAGTGACAGGTGTGACGAAGCCTTGTGGAAAGGCCAGAGTAATTAAAATTTGTGACTGGGATCATTTATCGAGATTCAGACCAGTCCTGCATCTTAACATTCATCCCAGGGTGCTCCGGGATGGACTGTTGAATAACACCAGCGCGAACAATCGACTGAGATGGCTGGGGAGGACCAGTGCCCGACCGGCGCCTTCGCTCTCGCTCCAAGGGACCCGGTAGCTCGTTGTTGTTCTGGGAACGAGCGCGGAACTTTTGACCGAGGTTACCCAGCCAGTTACCCTCCTCCTCTTCCCCGAGCCAGTAGCTGTGACCAATACCAACCATGATACGGCCTAGCTTACCCTTCCATCCTTGGCCATCAGGGCTATATGGTGTGAATGGCTCACGATCGATGTCCGCCACACTAGCGATTGAGACATTACGACTGTGTGTAGGGAGTTGGGTGTGTCGGGGGACCGCAATCCAGAGGCGCAGAGTCTGGCGTGCAAAGGCAAGCATCACGAGGACGAAGTAGACGCGCATGGCCCAGAGGAGCGAGATAAAAATGATGCTTTGGAAGCTCTCGGGCTGAGCAACAACATTGCTCAAGTGGTCGACAGCTCTAGGCGGATGGGGGACAAACTTGTTTCCATCCTCTGTGTTCTGAATTTCGACGTAGGCGGCATCGTACTTGGGGCTGGTGAATCCGGCGGTCTGTGCGATCGTTTCGCTACCTGGTCCGGAGGGTTTACCACTGTCGTAACCCTGCGACACGACCAGGAACCAAGTCACTCCGAAGGCGGCGGTGTAGGCGGCATTGATCAAGCTGTCAATAAGGTACAGCCAAGCAAGTGCGAGACACTCTAGAGGAGACTGCTTTCGGATGTGTGGAAAGAGAATGGCGGCGAGGGCGAGGGCGATGAGTGAGTACAGGTACATGGACAGTTGTACGGGCGACAAGTGGAAGCCGGTCAACAGGGCGAGAAGGCCATAGAGACCGCTGATCTTATTCAAGAGTAGCGACAGTGTAATCAATGACGCGCCTGTCTCCAGGCTCATAACGTAGAGAAAGGACTTGGAAGTCACGGGATGATTAGCTCGATAAGATCGCAGAATGGATCGCAGGGGGTGCTCACCTCTGGCCGCGGAATGCGGAAGAGACGGGATATGAACCCCATGACTGAAGACCGAAATCAAAGACACAGAGATGGATGGGGAAAGAAAAGGTATATACTGAAAGAGTTGAAAAGAGTTGAAAAGAGATGGTACCGCCAGTGGTCCAGGGGCGCTATTTCCCGGCCGATCCGCATTTGCTGATCGATGCCCGATGTGATCGGCTCCGGTTACATTAATTTTTTTCTTTCTTAGTTTTTCTTTTTATGCCATTTCTTGTTTTCATGTTTGCTTCACTAGTCAAACTAATTTACTCAATTTTTTTTTCTCGCTTCGCAAACATGAAATTGTATTTATTTGAACCTTTCTACGCTGGCTCAAAGGTGGAAGAACTTCCGATTGATATAAGGGAATCAATGCTTTTTTATGAAAGAATTCAGCAAGATGAACAAATGCGGTTTGAATGATTATATGGCATAAGTAATTTGAATAGACGCTCACGCTCGCTGTCTAACTTCTAGGGTTTATGGGTAAGTTATGCAATGACTCCACATCTTATGCTGCCGCCTACATAAGGCAGAAATATCTATAAATTGAGTATTGCACACGGCAACGATTAGAAATTTCCTTAGAATCCAATCATCTCATGTACACTAAATTTTATATAGTGAAATCAAAAGATGCAGTTTCAAACCCTGAGCATTCTTAAAAATACCATAGTAAAAACTCATTCACGTACTATCAGATAAGTGTTCCAACGTTGCGTAGTAGATATCATCAGGGATCTACCTAATCCAAAATGCTTTCTCGTCAAGGTTCACTCTATATAGTAGAATCAAAAGTTGTAGCTTCAAACCCTGCCCCTGAAACTTAAAAATGGCTATGGTAGAAACTCTTGGAAGTTATGCCCAAATACACACCTATATGTATCCATGTATACTACATAGACTTTAATCACCCCCAAGTCAGTGCAAGTCCATCCACCTATATCCATATGCGCACCAAATAACCTATCCAGAAAATGTACTAAGTATATAGATGTTCTTGATAGGAAGATAATAGATAGAAGCTTGGCGCACGAGCCAAGAACAAAGAACCTTTAAGGTAGAATCACGCCCTCAGGATTGTTGTATCTACAGGAAGATCTACATGGTGTAAGTGAGATCTCTAGTTCCTCCTAGTTAAAGTGCAACTTCAAATAGGTCAAGATTCAAAGCGATAGTGAATCAGTGAAGACCGATTTTATTGATGAAAGTATCAAGGTTCCAAAATGGTATACGTATAGATGTGGGTATTGTGGGGTTAGAATGGCGCGGATATAAAATTTAGGAGATAATCCGAGTCATGTCCAGCCTGCCTTATGAAAATTTCGCCAAGTTTCGCCAAGATTCTGAAATATTCGGATGGCGATGGTTACCTTCGGGAACCGCATCTGGACCATTGACGGAAGAGCCCAAAACCCCCGTGGACCCCCCAATTGACCATATCCGTCGCCACTGGGGCCAAATTATTAATCTTATATCCACTATTCATTGGCTCTTACGCCAATGGATGACATCAGTCTCGTCTTCACGTAATTTTTTCCCACTAGCGTGGACCCACTTGAGGGACTGCTCTTTCCATCCATGTACATAGCCTCAGGTTTTCAAATTCGCCGACTCCCCAACGAACCCAACGAATTGAATTGGCTGATTGAATGCATCATATGTATGAAGATTTAAAGTATTTGCATCTTTGGACTCACTGAAGAAAACAAAAAGAACGAGCTTGATCGAGGTGTTGTACCTCTCATGCGACTTGGACCATCGGCAGTTCCTGTTACATCTTGAAGCCGTCGCGTTCGATAGTGGGTCTGAACGGTTAAATCGGAATCCTGTTCCTCTTACTCCAATACTTTTCTTATATGATCCACGGCCGCTGAAAAGGCCCCTGTTTGTTATGCGCTTTTCAGGCATTTACTTGCCGTAATCCCCTCAATCGTTACCTACGCTCGAGCCGCATCCCCGCCGCAAGCGTTCTACAACCAGAGAGTCCCAAACTAGCGTGGGTGGTTACCATGGACACCACAGATAAAAAAATCGAGCGGGCTGAGATCGACGCCGACGCCCAACCCTCGTCATGGGAAGAAAAACGGAAGACCTCGACGGAGGAAGAGAGGCCCGCGACATCAGGAACGATGTCGTCAGGGTCCAGTAGCTCTATTGATTACGACCCACAATTCCATAGACTCCACTCGCGAAACACAGAGCTCGACCTGGAGCGCAATCGAACCAATGTCTCTAGGTCATTAAGTCGGATTGAAACTCAGCGCCTTCAGCATCAGGTCACTGTTGGCGAGAGCGTGAAGTCGCGAGCCTCCAAAACACCACTGCCGGCATTTGGTGCGGGGAAGCCCTACCCTCCACACCTGCCTAACCGTGAGGATTATGTCGTTGAATTTGACGGCCCAGATGATCCTATGTACCCTAAAAACTGGCCCACAATAGTCAAGTACGTTGATCTGGAATTTCTATAGAATGTGGAAACCTCAAACTAACCTGTGGACTTTTGTCAGGATTTATACTACCGCCATGCTTGCTTTTACCAGTATCTGTTCAACTTTCGATTCCGCAGTCTTTAGCTCTTCATCGGAAAATGTTGCGTCGCACTTTCACGTTGGCCTGGAGGTCTCCGTCCTATCTAGCACCCTATACATTGCCGGTTATGCCTCGGGTCCGTTGATCTGGGCGCCATTGTCAGAGCTCAAGGGTCGTCGCCCAGGTATCGTCGTTGCCATGCTGGGATTTGGTATCTTCAACACCGCCGTTGCTGTCTCCAAGGACATTCAGACCCTCATGATTTGTCGCTTCTTCTGCGGTATCTTTGGCAGTTCACCACTGGCAGTCGTGGCAGCAGTCTTCTCGGATATATACGATAATCGCACTCGTGGTATCGCAATTGCATTCTTCTCCGGTACAGTGTTTTTGGGACCTCTTATTGCGCCCTTCATTGGTGGATACATCAACATGTCATATCTGGGTTGGCGCTGGACGGCCTGGATCCCTGCATTCATGGGCTATGCGGCTTTCATCATGAATCTTTTCTTCCTGAAAGAGTCGTACCCACCTGTCGTTTTGATTGACAAGGCTTCAGAACTGCGACGTCGCACTAAGAACTGGGGAATCCATGCGAAGCAAGAAGAGATTGAGGTCGACTTCCGGGAATTGATTATTAACAACTTCTCGCGTCCACTCAAGCTTCTCTTCTACGAGCCTTTGATCTTGGCTGTTACGATCTACCTAAGTTTCATCTACGGCTTGCTTTACTGCTTCCTGACCGCGTACACCCTGGTCTTCGAGGGTGTGTACGGCTTCAATGCCGGAGAAAGTGGTCTGCCTCTGTTTGGCCTTGTTGTCGGTCTCATCATTGCCGCATCGTATGTTGTCTATTCTGCGAAGGGTTATAACCGAAAGTTGGATGCCAACGGAGGCGTCCCTATTCCTGAATGGCGTCTGCCCCCGGTCATAGTCGGTGGTGTTCTTTTCGCTGCTGGACTTTTCTGGTTCGGATGGACTGGGTTCAGCGGCACTGTTCACTGGATTGCACCTACCTTGAGTGGACTGTTCACTGGATTTGGTCTCTTGATCATCTTCATTCAATTGTTTAACTACCTGATTGATACCTACTTGATGTTGTGAGTTTCCCTGATTTCCCTCGACACTGGTGTCCGATGCTAATTTAAACAACAGCGCCGCATCGGCCATTGCCGCAAATACCTTCTGCCGGTCAATGGTGGCAGCGAGCTTTCCACTTTTTTCACGCCAAATGTTCGATGGCATGGGCATCCAATGGGCTTCTACTCTTCTTGGATGCGTCGCAGCTGTCCTAGTCCCTATCCCTATTGCGTTCTATTTCTTCGGCAAGAGACTCAGAATGAAGAGCAAGTTTGCTCCATTCTTCGAGCCTGCGGCGGAGGCGGCTTGTGGTGACGAAGACCTGACCGAAGCAACCGAAAATGCCGAACATTCTTGATTCCCCTAAAAGTACATACATTGATCTAACCTCCATATTGGAGCTTCAGGGTTTTCCCCATAATATAATTTCATAATTTTCCATCATTATTACAAGCTAGGAATATCCAAGAAATCATTGTAACATAGGCCATAGGCTACAGAACCTGGTTGTACAGCAAGAAGTTTGCTCTGCTGGACTAAAGATATCGAATCATATTACATTCATGTGAGACTCTTAACAGTAACGCGAGCCAGGGGATCACCCGATTACTTCATGGCAACACAACCTTCACAGGAGCACCTTTGTGAATACTTGAAAATTCCCCAAGGACCAAAATGATTGTACTAGAATTTGGTGGAACTCTGTCCGATTTTTGTATTTCTGTTCGTCTCTTCTAAGTTTAGCACGACACCCCCTTATCATTAGCCAAAAATCGCCACTCCTACCTTACTCGATAACCTAGTCATGACTTTCAAGGAGAGGGTCATTTCCACCTTATGCCAGCGTTGGGTTATCTCTCTGATAGCGCTCATCTATTCCATCGGTCTACTCTACCTTGCTTTTCGCGATAGAGCTCCAAAAGCCGAGACCCCACGGTAACTTCTTAGCCCTAGCATATACTTTCATCTCTACTTGCTGACAATTGAACTGTTTCATTATAGGATATCGACCCCATTGATTCCAGATTCATCGAGCGTGTCCGCGGTATCGAGCATCTCACATTTCTTCGATGATCTCCGCCTCCCAATCGATGCGAATAACTTCACAGGCCTAAATGGAGAAATTTATTTGCTTCCATATTTCCTGCCTCAAAGGCCCCCATTCAACAAAATCTTGGGACAACAAGTCCTGATTCTTGGTGCAGATACCCGGCCGTTGGATGACCCGGGAGGTATTTTGAACGGCACATGGGAGAAGCAGGCAAGTCGATGGAAATCAATGGACTGGGAGACATATGGACGACTTAACCATTATCTTTGGGGTATGTAGAAGCAAAGAAGCCAATCCATCAACATCAACACTCCCTGATAGTCAACTAACTCAAACATAGCCAAGATCCACGGCTACGACTACAAACTCGTTAGTATGGAAGAATACCCCGGAAGACATGGAACGTGGTGCAAAGTCCCCGCAATGAGAGAAGCACTCGAGCACTACAAAATTGTCGTCTTCTTAGACGCAGACGTAGTTCTTCCCCATCTCCACGTCCCATTAGAATGGCTCCTGAACTACTGGGATATCAACCCGGAGACTCTCGTCGCTATGGCATGGGACCCGGAAGGCGAAATGAACAACGATAACCGAGGAAGATTGTATCTGAATACGGGATTCGTGATCGCGCAACAAAGTCCGCGCACCAAGGGAATATCCAAGAGATGGGATACTTGTCTAGATGGATCTCGGTATCCGGAGTGCCCTCAGTGGAGTAACAGATGGCCACACGAGCAAGGGGCATTTGGGACTCATGTGAGATATGAATACGACCTGGTGGAGGATGTGAAGGCTTTACCGTGTGCAGAGGCGAATGGGTGGCCCGAAGCGTCGAACACAGAGTGTTTGGGGAGACTCGTGCGGCACTATTGGGGTGCTAAGCATTTGGTGGCGTCTTGGGTGCAGGAGAGTGTTTTGCGGTATGTCATGCCTCGTCTGCATGATCAATTCTTGCGGGAATACCAACACATTGAGGTCAAGTGGAATGACGGATCGGAAGAGGATGAGGAGAATGTGGTTTGACGCATATTCTGGAATTTCTCAAGTCATACAAATAAATTGTTGGTTATTGTACGTTTTCTAGGATCGAAACAAGAATAATACCCATTTTATACAGCTTCATCGATTATAGGATATCCGACATTTTGAGCTTATGGGGCCATGTTTGGCAAACGAAGACGCCTTCCACCAGTGAGTCTACAACTCCACTGCGACTAGAGAAACAAGATATAATGCACAGAGAGAGAGAGAGAGAGAGAGAGAGAGAGAGAGAGAGAGAGAGAGAGAGAGAGCGGGGATCATAACGCTCAGCTTGCTGTGAGCGCACAAGAAAAAAACGAACCACATTTGAGTGAAAGTTGAAACACACGCTATTCACTAGCAATCAGAAAGGAAGAAACATGTACATCTTAGAATAAATGGTGCAACATCATGGACAGACTCGATTCTCCTCATCGGTCAAGAGGGGTGTTAATGAAGTTGGGCAATAATTAGCAGGCGCAGCCATCATTGTTAGTGGTCTCCTTGGGATGGATGTTCACATCGATCACTAGAAATATCCTAGTTAGCTATCGAGGGAACGGAAATGGTAGGGAGACGAGAAACATACTTGTACTTTCTCCCTGCTTGGCCTCACCGTCCATTCCTGGTAGGGCTTGGGCGATTCTCCGGAACAGTTGCTTCACATTGTGGCCGACCTTGGCACTGGTCTCAATAAACATCAGGCCGTTCTTCTTGGCCTCCTCTTCGCCTTGAGCGGTGGTGACTTCCCGCTTATCGTTCAAATCGGTCTTGTTGCCCACCAAGACAATGATCACATCGTTTCCACGCTCCCCGCGCACATCATCGATCCATTTCCGAGTGTTTTGGAACGATTTCGCATTCGAAATATCGTAGACGACGACCGCCACGCTGGAGTCACGAATGTAGGAGGGGATCAAGGAGCGGAATCGTTCTTGACCAGCGGTATCCCAGAGCTGGAGACGGACCGTTCGATCCTCCAGGTACATTGTCTAGAAAGATAGCCTTAGCCTCCGCCAAAGAGCGGCGCATGTATGAGAAACATACCTTGGACAGAAAGTCGATACCAATTGTGGCTTGATATGTGTTATCGAACGAGTCGTACATAAAGCGGGTGATCAACGAGGTTTTTCCGACTGTAGTAATTTGTCAGGGCCATCCTCATTGCATTTCATTTCCTGTATCATCCGCTCGAATGGATTGGGAAGCTCGAAGGAATCGTACCGCTTTGTTCGCCTAGGAATACCAATCTATAACCCATGTTAATGTCAGATTTCTTCAATCTTGGCACCAAAAATGCGTTTTACTCACTTGAACTTCTTCAAAGGGTTCGAATACGACCCTACACCAGAGGCGGAAGCCATGGTTGCTGTTGGTGATAAGGAGGGGGAGTGGCTTCAGGGGGATTTGAAATATGTCGCGGGACAAAGATCCAGGACAAGTTGCGACACAAAAAAGACCCAGTGCTAATAGAGTATGCAAAGGAGCGAAGAGTAGCAATGAGTGATTGAAACTTGTTTCCTCCAAGGTTGATCTGATATTCCACGATCAAGTCAAACAAGCCGTGGATCTGGGGAACCACAACTTGTCACCGCCCCGAGCGACACGGACCAGTTAATCCGCTCCGGCCACCGAAGCATCATTCAACACTCCATCGACAGCTACGCCGAGCTCCCTCATCGGCCCCTTCGCAGCGAGACCGTTTCGCTCCTTTGTTTTTCAAATAGGTCGTCATGGCTCTCGGGTACTACTTTGGTCTCTCCACGACCACCCTCGTGGTGGTCGGATTGTGTATGTTAAACTCCCGGAACCTCCCCGATATGAACAGTCCGAGCTAACCTAGACCTTTGATGGAAAGATATGCTCTTCCAGGGACAAGGTGAAGCCTTCAATGTATGTCTCTTTCCGATCCGGAAACCCGTCCCCCCCCCGCCCGCACACACTTTATTGACATGACGCGTTACTAGGTCGGCCGCTTCCTCGAAGAAGTATCCCCCTTCGCTTGGGCGAACATCGGTATTGCGATGTGCATCGGATGCTCAGTAGTTGGAGCCTCATGGTAAGTGTTCGGAGGTTCTGCAATCCGAGCCTGGAGCCTCAAGCTTGGATACGGCTGTACGGCCCGCACTAACATTGTTTACAGGGGTATCTTCCTTACCGGTTCTTCGATCCTCGGCGGTGGTGTTCGGGCTCCTAGAATTAAGACCAAGAATTTGATCTCCATCATTTTCTGTGAGGTTGTGGCCATCTATGGTGTTATCATCGCGATCGTCTTCTCTGCCAAGTTGGGCCCGGTCCCGGAGACAGAGCTCTACACCAAGAGCAACCTCTACACAGGCTATGCAATCTTCTGGGGAGGTATTACCGTTGGTGTCTGCAATCTGATTTGCGGTATTTCCGTCGGTATCAACGGTAGTGGCGCAGCTCTTGCTGATGCCGCCGATCCTAGCCTGTACGTTACAAATTTCCTTGCCTCAGGCATTCTGTTTTCGTCATTGTGACCGTATCTGACCTCCAATTTCTCGCATTTAGGTTTGTGAAGATCCTCGTTATCGAGATCTTCAGTTCAGTTTTGGGTTTGTTCGGCCTCATTGTTGGCTTGCTGGTGGGCGGCAAGGCCCGTGACATGGGTGCGGCGTAAAAATGCCGCAAAATTTGGGGTTCTTTGCATGAGGAGGGAAAAGGCTACGACTTTGCCTAGACCAGGGCTGACCAAGGCATCGGACAGGGCCAAGAAATTGGTCCAATCGACACAATCCGATCATATATGATTTCATCTCGGCATACTTTCTGTTTATCTCTTCTTGTTTTCTCTCCCCCTTTTTCAAAACTTCTTTGTCTTATGTTTTGATACACAGCATTTGGGCGTCTGGGATTTCGATTCGTAGAAGCTCTCTGTGGGTTCATCGGTTCATGCTAGAAAGCGCTGACCCGGGGAATCGTGCCCACTTGTGTACAGTAATGAAGTTTATAGCAAATGAGAGCCAGTCATTCCAGAAGTACAATCATAATTCCCTCGCGTTTTTCTTTTTACGATCGGTGTTTTCATCATCGAGGTCGTAATGAATTGTAGCACAGACCGCTTTGCATGCGTCCCGAGGTTTCGCGATACCCCGGGATTTCAGGCTTAAAAAACCACAAAACCACGTCTTTTCCCACACAAAAACTCCACTTACCCGCATTCAACCATCAAATTTCACACAATGGAACCAAAATTGAAGGTAGCCATACTGATCGTCTCTGACACGGCATCCAAGGACCCCGCTTCAGACCAAGTAGCGGGGACTCTGGCGCCCATCCTCGCCCAAGAAGGGAAGTGGGAACCCCCCGCAATTAGGATCGTGCCGGACAATGTATTCCAGATTCAACAGGCTGTCTGCGACTGGGCCGATGGGGAAAATTGGCATAACCTCATTCTGCTTAGTGGTGGGACTGGCTTTGCAGTCAAAGATAACACACCCGAAGTAAGTTATCCTGTTGGTAGTAGGTTCGTCAACCGGTTGTTTGCTAAATGACATCACCCCCTAGGCTGTGACCCCCCTGATCCATCGTCATGCCCCGGGCTTAGTGTGAGTTGTATACCGTATCTATCGAGTCTAATGAACGGGCCAAAGATGGACTAATCTGTTCAGCCATGGTATGATCGCCGCTTCATTGAAAGTAACCCCATGTGAGATGACATCACCATCAGCCATACCCGGCCTGTACACTACTGTATAAACATTGGACTGACCCCCCTTCAGTTGCGATGATGGCTAGACCAGTTGCTGGTGTACGCGACAAATCATTGATTATCACATTACCTGGATCCCCCAAAGGAGCCATGGAGAACCTTGAAGCTGTTGTGAAACTTCTGCCTCATGCCTGCATGCAGAGCGCCGGGGCTAACTCTCGCAGCCTGCACTCTGGCGGTATGAAGAAATTGGAGAGTGAGGCTGGTATATCCTCGGGTCACCATCACCATCAAACCCACAAGCATGGTCATGGTTGCGGCCATGGACATACTGTTCCCAAGGCCCACACGTCCCCAGCAAACCGACCTCAATCTAATGATCCATCAGCGGGACCTAATCAACGGTACCGTTCGTCGCCTTACCCAATGCTGTCTGTAGAGGAGGCGCTTCGTACGATAAGCGAGCAAACCCCTGCACCAATCGTCATAGATGTCCCAGTGACCACATCTATCGTGGGATCAGTCGTTGCCGAAGATGTCTACGCCGCTGAGATGGTACCCGCCTACCATGCCAGTATCGTTGATGGCTACGCCATCATTGCGCCGAAATCTACCGATACTGGAGCTACGACGAAGGGCGTATTCCCTGTAGCATCTGTCACCCATGCCACCGCCGGCGGAGTCTTACAGCCACTCCAGCCTGGAACCATTGCTAGAATTACTACTGGAGCTCCTCTCCCTCCAAACGCCAACGCTGTAGTCATGGTCGAAGACACCATACTAGCCTCCTCCACCCCGGATGGCAAAGAAGAAGCTACAGTCGAGATCCTAGCCGATGATATCCAACCTGGTGAAAATGTTCGCGAGCCGGGTAGCGACGTGACCCTCGGCTCGAAGATCCTATCCCGTGGAGATCTCATTTCCCCCGCTGGTGGTGAAATCGGCTTACTAGCTGCCACAGGCGCTAGAACCATCAAATTATTCAAAAAGCCCCGTGTAGGCGTCCTGAGCACAGGCGACGAGCTCGTGGAGCACGATGATCCTCGCAAGCTCGTTGGCGGCCAGATCCGCGACTCAAACCGTCCTTCCCTTCTTTCCTGCCTGTCATCATGGGGATTCGAAACCGTGGACTTGGGTATCGCCCGCGACACACCCTCCAGCGAGCTGGAGCATGCACTCCGCGACTCTCTCCGCGGTGTAGGACGGGCCTCCAAGAGTGTTGATGTGATCGTCACAACAGGTGGCGTCTCAATGGGCGAGCTGGACCTCCTCAAACCAACCATTGAGCGCTCCCTCGGTGGTACAATTCATTTTGGCCGAGTGTCCATGAAACCCGGCAAACCCACCACATTTGCAACGGTGCCTTTCAAGGAGACAACTGCCGATTCTTCTGCTCAGCAAGAACGCAAATCAAAACTTATCTTCTCTCTCCCCGGTAACCCGGCCTCTGCCCTGGTTACCCTGAACCTCTTCGTCTTGCCTTCACTGCACAAGCTCTCTGGCCTCGGAGAGAGCTCCCTAGCTATCGCTGCTATGAAGCCCTGGATGGCGCCGCAGCTTGGCCTGCCGCGCGTCGCTGTTGTGCTGACACACCATTTCCCTCTTGACCCCAAGCGCACAGAGTACCATCGGGCTGTCGTGACAGGTTCACGCTCCGACGGTCGCTTGTATGCCACGAGCACCGGTGCTGAGGGTGTGGGACAGCGTAGTTCTCGAGTGGGCAGCATCGCCCGTGCGAACGCGCTCGTTGTCCTTCGTCCTGGACGTGGTGTTGGAATCAAGGGTGAGATCGTGGAGGCATTGATGATGGGTCCTGTTTATGGATCTGACACCCGAATCATTTGTTAGATGACAAGATTGCTTGTTACGACGAGTACGACTTATACAGGGGAGCTGGATTCCCTAGATTACACCTTATTTCTATGTGATTTATTTTTCTTTCCCCTCATTATTCTACTTTCTCTAGTTGTGGTTCCTTGATATGATACAAAGATCTCTAGACAATAGATATCTATGAGCAAATGACAAGTTTCAATAAGAAAAAACAACCTCCAAAGATATGTAAACCCGAGATGCAATTACGCGTTCAACCCTCAAGTGCTCGAGCGACCTTGTTCATGACCAGAGTCAGTTGAATCCTAGCCCTTCGTGATCTTGTACCCCTTCTTCTTCTCCGCTCGCAAACCAACCAAAGTTCCCTCTCTCCCCTGCTTTCTAGCAATCTCCACCACAAAAAACCGCACAAAGTCCGTCAACGTCCAATAGCTGCTGTGCGCACTCAACATATTCAGATACTGGATATTGAGTGGGCCACCCCCGCCAGATAGATAGTAATCTATCTGCCCATTATCGTTGAGAAGGAGCATACGTTTCTCGGCGATCTCTTCCCGGGTGAAATCATGCGTTTCCATCTCGACAGTCGAAGGCAGCTTAGAGATCGTGGCAGGACGGACAGGGTGTGCTAAAGGAAGAAAATTAGTCGAGGCGTTCCAGCGGAAAACACCGCCAAACGATCCCCAGAAGCTAGATGTTGAGCTGGGGATTGATGCTATTTTGAGGGAATTGGAGAGGTCGTTGTCCACGGCAGCGTTGACACGGTAGGCAATTGCTAACAGATGTTGTTAGTATGGGTGTTGAAGGGGAGATATCTCCGGGAATGAACATACGGTCCGTTGTATGCATGATGTTGTACAGGTTGTCGACGGCGAGACAGCCGTACGTGCCGGGTTCACCTGCCACGCCACGAAGTCGGTCTTCACCTTCACTACCCGGTTTTTCTCTGCCCTTCCGAGGGAGGAGGTTCGCTAGATAGAGTTAGATCCGAAAGACCGGCGGATGATGTATAAGTATACCTTTATTGAGTAATAAGAAGAAGCCGACGGGGCTTCCGCAAAGAAACAGATTGGCAGTATCGAATTCAAATATATCGCTATGCAGAGGGGTATCAAGAAAGTTGAACCGAGGAACATTTGTTGGCTGGTGGCTTAGAATATCGAGGGCCATGACACTCCCTAAAGAATGCGCAAGGAGATGCACGCGGCCTTCATCCTGGAAACCGGGATTATTCTTACACCAGAGACGATAGATGCGATTGGCTTCCCGGACAACTGCCTTGATCATCTTCGGCTTATGATGCGACAAATAGTAAGGGATGTCGAGCATAACATCACTGATCAGAGACCGGACAGCGGGAAGTGTTTGCGGGGTTATGTCTGCAAGGGAATAGTCATTCGCAAAAGGGTCCTCCATATCCGCTGGCTCCAGGGAGGGGTCATCTAAAGACAATGTCGTGCGCCAGTTTACGGGTAGAACCATGATCCCCCCATGGCCCTGGCGTACATGGGGCCAGACTGGCTCGCTGTGAAGTTCTGTGTTCACTTGGCGACGGAATGCATTGATCGCATGTGTAAAGTGGAAGCTTTCCATTCGCTCCGACAGTTTTTGACCAATACCATGTATGACAAATACTAAGTCGGTTGGGGCCGGGCGCAGCTCTTCCATCTTGCAAGCGTAACATATTTGTTCACCCGGGACTGGTCTTGGATTTTGAGAGGGATTTCGTCGAATATAATTCCGTACATCCACGGCGTTGGCTTTGGATGGATGTAACTCATCCCACAATTTGCGACTGAATCCACGAACTACGGGTATCCCAATCTGACGTCCTTTGCGAATCGCACTGAGTGGCTTTCTTCCCCTGGATGCAGATGGCAGTAAGCTCGGTCGGAGAATCTGCGCATTTCTTGCATCGACATAAATGGCGCTAGAAGTGAGGTATGGCTTCGTGCCATCAGGATGAGCTGCTGTTGCCCCGGAAGCCTGGTTTTTATCCAACGATAGATTATCATCATCCTGCTGGGTATTTGCGATTTCAGGTGCATTAGCTGATTCTGCATCATTCTTCGGCCACAATTCGTGCGCGATTCTGATTTCTGCGTCAGGACCATTCTCTACGCAACTGTTAAGCTCATCCTGCCATGTCTCGGTCCATGGTTTCAAGTAGGCGTATCCCTTTTCCAGTTGATTCGCCACTGGTGTCTCCACTGGGAGCATGGTGTTCTTGTAGAACCACGTTGCCCTGACCACAGCTGACACATCATGCAGCGGGCTCCAATAGATTGGTTTCATCTGTATGTCTTTAATATATGGTCTAGGCAACTGGGAAGATCTACGTACCTTCAAGTTTGGCAACTCAACCAAGTGGAGACGCGACGCGCCCACTGGAATCTTTTTCTGGAGTTCTTTCAAATCTTCTGTCTGCGTGGCGTCCTCCGATGCCGTATCGTCTAGACGAACAGTCGCTCGAAGCCCCGAGGGCTTGGAAGAGTGATGTGGAGCATTGCTGCGCAACTCTGCCTGCCATCCCGCCCCATCGGACTCGAATGAACGACCAAGAGGGGTGTCTGGGTGAGACTCTGGCGCCCGAATAAAAGGGGAGCCGCTCATACTCGCATCACGAGAGGAAGGTGCCTGCAGACTGCCCGCAATCTCTTGTCTCTCCAAATCATCCTCAGGCGGGGAGAGACTACGTCTCTTCGCTGAAGTTGGTTCGTTCACAGATGAAGAGAATACTCTTTTCCGGTGACTAGCGTTAATGCTAGATGATCCTGGAGTCTCATCTGGCACCGAGGTCGGATTACTTGGGGTACCTCTGCTGCTAGCCAAACTGGATTCTCCTTGAGTAATCGTCTTGCGACGGCGAGTTCGCTCGAAAGCTGCTTCGTGGCCTGGTACGGCTATCCCCGCACGTCCCTTGGATGTCTCCAGACGGGTTCCACTGGAACCAGATCTCCTCCTTTGAGCTTCCCGTAGATCTGACCAAGCCGCCTCCAAGGCGAGGTTATCCCTTGCCGAGAATGGCTGTGGGGGAGCTCTTTCATTCCCCGATGCTTGCCCACTAGCGGCGGGAAGCGGAGCCAACGGATCGTCGATTGGTAGGGATGAGACGTAGAAGAACTGAGATCGAAGCTCTGGCGGGGCAGAAAGCGAATACAAGCTTGTGAACTCTGGCTCTTCATCCGCCAGCAAGCAGTTTGGGCCGTAGGTATGAAATGGACCTGCCATGTTAAGCAAGGGTCCCACTTTTTTGGTGGGAATTCGAGAGTCCGGGGCGATAAAGTCTGGGATCCAGATCTGGGCGCCTCTTCAAGTGATAATCATGATCAGGCACTACGACTGGCTAAGCTAGTGTTTTGAAAACATTTGGTCGAGTGGTCAAAAATGACTGATAGGTTGCATTCAAAGGGAAAGAAAGTTCGGAGAGAAAGCAAGAAATCCGATCTCAACAAACGTGAGCCTGCCTCAGGCGCCTGACAAGTCGGATGACGTCATCCGACTGGAATTGGTGATAACGAACTAGGGAATTGATGTAGCTACAGACAATGATCACATCAGAGCTGGGTCCTTGAATGAATGTAAATTTGATGAAAGTGAGATACATTCAAAGTAAAAGATATGGCTGAGTGACAGTTGTTTGAAATGACCCTTAAAATGATTGGAAAAGAAAAGGAAAGCCGAACACCGGACACCTGATACCCACGCTAAGAACAGCAATAAGAAGGAGTGTTCGAATGAAACATATCCTGCAGAGGAAAGAAAGTAGAGCCAACGAAAGACATGGTTTATGCAGCAACCTGAAGCTCACGCTGAGAGCAACAACAAAAAAGCGTTTCAATAAACAATAGGTTGCAGGGGAAAGACAGTGGGACAGTAGTAGAAAAAAGTAGATGGCTTATCCAGACACGGAGTGAGCAAGGAAGTACATCTGACTCTGGGTTGAACAACGACTCATCTCAGATACATCCAGCATCTGCAACTGAGCCCAAGTACTTAACTCATTCAATTCTCGAAGGGTCGAGATCGGTGCATTCAACATATCAAGGATCTGTTGAATCTCAAAGAGATTCTTCCGAATAGCAGTGTCTGGCAGGCAAAAAGTGCGAGCACTCATCTCCATCGCGATGACCTTCCAGCTTTGCATGCTAGCGTGAAACTGCATGGCACTGATGGAGCACTGGCCATTGAAATCCAGGGTGCGACGGTTTTCCATGATCAGTTCTCGCTGTGTAGCCTGATCGTAGTTCATGTCGTGGACCGGTGTACGGTTCTTCGCTCGCCATTGCTGGCGGACTTTGTTGACAGAGCACTGGGACACACGACCGTCGCGGTATTGATTAAGCAGGAATTCGTTGGCACTGGTGCAAATCATCATTTCTAGGTCGGAGTAGAGTTTGGCTTGCATGGTTGGGTTCAATGAGACCTGAATAGTGGTCCTGAGATTTTCTATCATCAAATCATGTTTTGGGGGGCTCTTTACCTACGGACCTATGGTTAGTGCTGAATACTAGATTGATGGGCGGGGTTAGGCTCACAGCGACTGATTTTTCTTTCTTGAATTTCCTGCTGAGGCTTCGGAAGAGGGCCGGCTTTGAGGCCGGCTTCTGGGTCAGTCTCGGGATCACCATTGGGATCGGCTTTGGGATCATCATTGGGGTCGGCTTTGGGACCGGCTTTGGGCTAACCATCCGGGTTGGCTTCAGAGTTGGGGTCAGTGTCAGGGCTGGCTGTGGCAAGACTGGTAGGACAGATATTGGATCTGGCAACGGGGGTGTCTCAAAGACTGGAGATTCAAGTGCTGGATGAGGCCCAAGGAAACCGTCATCACCGAACAATTTCTTGCGGCGAGGAATGTCTTCATCGGGAGATTCTTCATTGGACTCATTGATACCATCCAGGGACGTAATATTGGGCTTTTGGGACGCAAGGTTGGCCTTTTTGGCAAGGTTGAAGTGATGATTGAGCTTAGCAGTAATAGAGTAGGTCCCATTGGGTCGCTTTCCTGGCAGAGGCGTGGTCACAGGAGAGGCTGACTGGCTGCGAGGACGCTTTGAAGCTGCAGGGTTGACCAAGGTTGGTTGATTCTCTGGCCTACGTTTGATTGGCAAATTCAAACCGGCCGGAATCAACGATTGAAGGATCTCGTCCTCCGCCGCATCGTCGGAGATAAGCGGGATGCATGATTCTCGGCTAAATAGTGCTCGGATGGAGGATTCATCGGAGCCGGGAGATTGGCTGGAGCGGCTACCGGGTGACGAAGTTAGGATGAACTCGTGCATGATGTCTTGCATTTCAATTTCAATGAGGGTGTCGTCGATTTCCGCAAGATTTCGATATTCAACGACTTCTTCGGGACCCATTGGCCAGATCCATGTACTGGAGTGCGCATCCGGGCTCTCTATCAGCGATACATGACATCCATAGTCACTTGCACCGCTCATGTGCGAGTATGCTTTTGCAGGCAAGAGAAACTGGTCTGTGCTTCCAGGCGAGTATGTCTTCGGAGGCAATAACTCTAGATCCGAGTCATCGGGATGCAAGGATTTGGGTGGGTGTATCTTTGCAGGTACAAGCTCCAAATTCACGTCGGGATCCAAGTCGTCGGGTGAGTACGTCTTTGCAGGCAAATACTCCAGATCCGAGTCATCAGGATCCAAGTCATTGGGTGAATATGTCTTTTTAGGCAAAAGCTCGCGATGTGTTCTGTTGGGCATGCTTACATTTGTAGACAAAAGACACAGATCCACGTTGTCGGGCAAGTAGCAATCGGCAGGCACCAAAAGAGACAGGTCCATGCTGTCGAGCGAGTAGGGGTCTGCAGGCAAAAGACACAAATCCATACCTTCAAGCGAGCATATGTCTGCAGGTACAAGACATATGTCCATGACTTCGTCGGACGGGTCAGAAATTTGGCAGAGGTCTATCTCTTCGGGGGGGTGCCCTGGGAGACGCATCCGAGCTGTCGAGAAAGAATGTCTCTGTCTCGTCAGGCAAGAAATTCATTTTCGTGCAACTAGGCGAGATCGTCGCCTCAGGTAAGTAATAAGTATCCATGATGGTTGAAGATTTGGCGGTTTGAAAAATTGGTAGAGAATTGAGAGTTGGAGAAGGGTTAAGAAGAAGAAGGGTTAAGAAGGAAAGAGGTTCTTGACAAGAAAGATTCAAATTTGACTATGGGGAACAGAGCTACCTACCATTCACTGGGGTTAACAATCCAAACGTCCGAATGAGGTAATATCTATAGGAGTGACCCTCGCCTGACTGCCTGACTGCTCAGGTGTCTGTTCAGCCTAAGGACTTCACTCTCTGAACTGCTGAGTCATGCACCAGTAGGCAGCTTCAAATCATCTAGGTAGACACGGATGCACAGTGAACGGTTTTTGTACATTTGGAAGTTAGTATGTCAATCTTGATTTTTGAAGCCAAATGGTTTTCCCGATTAGGCAAGTCGGGGTCCCTGCAGGTGATGCAGGTCTGAGCCGGTCTTTTGAGCCGAGTCTTAGACCCGCAAACACCTGCCATCGGTATTCCCGGGGTAGTATGTATTAGACCCGAAGTTGGACAGGTCAAATTGGCTCACGGGTATGCCTCGGGAAAGAAGATCTTGTGCCGATCGGAATTTACAGCCTAAAATTACCTTCAATTTAAAGACAATTATGTTATTTGTACGGAGTGCAGTAGTTGAATATTCGAATCACCTGAGAAGGAACATGCACGCTTTCATAGCGTCTCTAGTGTAGTAAAATACACCGAGTTCCCCAAAAGGGACTGGAACTGCCAGATCCAACTACCAGGATAAAGCGGCAGGGATAAAGGCAAAAGGGCAAAAAGCAGAAAATCGGTAAAACGGGAACCCCAGGGTCTCTAACCAATCAAATTGATTAAACCAAATTCAAATCCCGGACAAGCCTGCCGATAAAATCCACGTGACCTACACTCCACTTGCCGAAACGACATCCGTGATTGTTCATTGTGGGGGAAAGTGTTTCGGTTTCCTGGACGGCATTCACTGGTGGCTGCTTGCGGATTCCCCACACCCTCCATCGGTTCTCTTGTCATGATTTCTTGCATAATCCAGGCTTTTTTACCTGTGATTGGTCAAGATGGGTTTTTTCGACTGCCCTACCGATCCTCAATGCCGTGACCATGCTCCGTCACGTCCAACGAAGCTTAGTCGATCCGCTTACCCCGGTCTGCCTCCAACTACTTATAAAGTCATGCCCCGCGATCATTTTCCACCATTATTCCTCACTTCTGAATATATACAAAGGGTGAAACTTGAAAGCTATATTTCCTCACAAGTTCACAGTACATTTTGTTGACATACACATACTCGAACCTCCCCGAACCCTCCCCAATATCCCCCACCATGGTGCAAGAATATGACATCGTGATCGTGGGCGCGGGCCCAGTCGGTCTGCTACTGTCTCTCTGTATGTCCCGATGGGGCTACAAGGTCAAGCACATCGATAACCGCCCCGTGCCGACCGCTACTGGTCGCGCCGACGGTATCCAGCCTCGCTCCAACGAAATTCTGCGCAACTTGGGCCTGAAGCGCGCTATCATGGCCATGGAGCCCGCCAAGGTCTACGATGTCGCTTTCTGGGACCCCAAGCACGATGGCACTGGTATTGGTCGTACCGGTAGCTGGCCTAGCTGCCCTCGCTTCATCGACACTCGTTACCCCTACACTACCCTGGTCCACCAGGGTAAGATCGAGCGCGTGTTCCTGGACGAGATCAACAAGGCCGGTACCAAAGTGGAGCGCCCCTGGACCATCGTCGGCTTCAAGAATGACGGTGCCAACGCCGACTACCCTGTCGAGGTCAACCTGAAGAGTCTGGATACCAACGTTATTGAGAACGTCCGCACCAAGTACCTTTTCAGCGGCGAGGGTGCTCGCAGCTTCATTCGTCAGCAGCTTGATATTAAGATCCACCACAAGGACCCCATCGCCTACGTTTGGGGTGTCATGGATGGTGTCGTCCGCACTAACTTCCCTGATATTGAGGTAAGCTTTCCCTTTCGCACTATGGCATATTGATAGGTCCTGACCATTGTTTCAGACAAAATGCACCATTCACTCCGATGCTGGCTCCATCATGGTTATTCCTCGCGAAGAAAACATGGTCCGTCTGTACGTTCAGATCGCCTCATCTGACGACGCCGATTGGGACCCCCGCAAGACTGCCACCGCCGAGGAGGTTCAACAGACTGCCAAGAACATCCTGAAGCCATACTGGATTGAGTGGGACCGTGTTGAGTGGTACTCTGTGTACCCCATTGGCCAGGGTATTGCTGAGAAGTACACCCTGGATGAGCGCGTTTTCATGGGTGGTGATGCCTGCCACACCCACAGCCCCAAGGCCGGCCAGGGCATGAACACTGCTTTCCACGATGCCTTGAACATGGCCTGGAAGATCCATGCCGTTGAGACCGGATTCGCCGACCGATCCATTCTCAGCACATACGAGAGCGAGCGCAAGGACATTGCCGAGACTCTGCTCAACTTCGATGCCAAGTACGCCGCCCTCTTCTCTAAGCGCCGCCCCAACGCCGACGAGGTTTCCGCTTCCAAGGCCGTTAGCGGCGACGCCGAGGAGGATGAGTTTGTCAAGACCTTCAAGTCCTCTTGCGAGTTCACCAGCGGATACGGAGTTGCCTACAAGCCCAATGTCTTCAACTGGGATTCCACTCACCCCGCCCAGTCGCCTCTGTTCAACATTCCCGGTGTTAAGCTGACTGCCGGTCGTGCCTTCACACCTTCTACTGTGACCCGTCTGGCCGACTCCAACTTTGTCGACCTGGAGCAGGAGGTCCCCGCGAACGGATCTTTCCGTATCTTCATCTTCGCGGGTAACCAGGAGAAGACCAAGAAGGCCATCGCTGATTTGGCCGCCAACTTGGAGAAGGAGCGCTCATTCCTCTCTGTCTACCGCCGGTCCGACATTGCCGACGTGTCATTCTTCGAGCGTCACAACCCTCACTCCAAGCTCTTCACCATTTCCGTCATCTACGCCGGCGCCAAGAACGAGATTGACGTGGAGTCCATCCCCCAGGTCCTGCGGGACTACCACCACCACCTCTACGCCGACGACATCCCCGACGTCCGTGTTCCTCAGGCCCAGTTCGCTGCCCACGAGAAGCTCGGCTTCGATGCTGAGAAGGGTGGTATCGTGGTTACTCGCCCCGACAGCCACGTTGCCTGCACCGTGCGCCTGGAGGAGGGCAACGGCACCGCTGACGCCCTGAACGCGTACTTCAACTCATTCTCCACTAAGCCTCTGGGCCAGGACTCTCAACAGAGCCGCCTGTAAGCTCAACTGTTGTACGCTTGAATGTTGGTAGACTTTAGATTTTGATGTACATAAGCTTTTTTTTTACCGGCCGTTTTGAGTGGCTGTTTGAGCATGATTGGCGTTGCTTTTGTTTATATTTTTTTTTCACGAATATGATCTCTTTATGATTATTAATTATTGGCCTGTAATCATTTTCCAAATAACTCTAATAACCATATTTCAAATCAATTCCATTATCGAGGTCACATGCCAAGACTCCGATCTATTTTCATGCATTTTCTCCACCCCGCATCATCACGATTCTCACTTGGATTCGTTGACACACTTCCAGACAATCCCAATTCAAACCCAACACAAACATGCTTTCACTGGTCCTTAAGGCTGAGCTAGAGGGGTAAGTACATTCTCCCTTCCCTTATGTTGTGTTCTATGGTCGCATTCTGCAAAACTCTCCCTGCACCGCAAAAAAGATCTATTGCATGCCACTCGGACATGTTCAAAAGAGTCAGACCATAGTTTCAAACATGATTTTCTAACTTCTCCAAACAGTCTCACCGACCTCCAGCCCTCTGATACCGAAGAGAACCCCTACTTCTACACCTTCAAGGTGCAATGCAGCTCTTGCCGCGAGACGCACCCCAACTGGGTCAGCTTCAACCGCTTTGTAAGTCGCACTAGATCTGCACCAAGTAATATAGACACGAGAAACTGATTACTTGACATAGGAGACGCATGAGATCCCCGGTAGCCGTGGCGAGGCCAACTTCGTCTGGAAGTGTCGGCTGTGCACGGTAAGCACATCCACGTTCTCTATTTCTATCATTTCGTTCGACCCTTGAAACATGATCATATATTGTCTCATTCCTCTTGAATTGAGGTATCCTAGGCATCATTGATGGTCTTGCGCTAACGCCAACAGAAAACCCACACTGCTTCCATCACCTCAGGTCCCAATGTCTACGAGGCAGACGAGAAGAAAACCGGCAAGAAAATCATTGAGATGGACTGCCGTGGTCTTGAGTTCGTTGACTTCAAGGCTGATGTGAGTGTCATTGCCCCTTATCCGTGATGCCATGCTTACAATATCAAAGGGAGAGTGGGAGGCCAAGGGCGCTGAGACCACCACTCGTTTCAAGGAAATTGATCTTTCTGATGGTGAATGGTACGACTACGATGAGAAGGCCGGTGAGGTTAGCATCAAGGAGATTACTTGGACCGTTGGCCGAGCGTGATTCAAAAATTATGGGCTTGGAGAGCGGGGTTGGCGATGACGGTGTTGCTTGAGATGCTTTCTTTTCGGTGATGATGACGATCTTGGAGATTTATGGATATTCATTCTCCAAGTATTTTATGAACTTTTTTCTCACTGTATTACTACCAGTGGCTTGTGCTTTGCAACTTGGCATGTGGTTGTCAATGGTGGGACTCCGTGGGAGGATACGCTGTCCAGAGATACCGAAGCTACAACATATTCATATCAGGTGAAAAACTGAGTAGCTCTGAATTTTACCAAAGACAACCTAGCTCAGAAAATAAAAAGTTCAAATTATACCAAAAATATCTGATTAATTAAAGTCAAAACGCTGAAGCTAAACACCTGTAGAGCCATTAGAGAAAAAGCGGTGAGATTTTTAAGGATCTCATTGGCTCCGCACGGTGAACCCGTCCAGCTCACATTTTCGCGCTCCAAGACTCAAACAGACCACCTCGACCATCACGATCAACCCCAGAAAGAAGCTCCATTGCTCGGCTATTCGTCTTCTCCGCCTCTTGGAATATCACCCAGCAGTATAAGCAGACCGAGCACAGCCGAAACACCACCACAATGAGTGTACGTCCCGACCGAGCCCGACCCGATCCCTCTGACTCGTCGAGCTTTGCGAGCTCATTCCTGTCCATCGGGACAAGTAACTCAGATCGCAGAGCAAATGCTGACATTCCTTTCTGCCATATAGTTCCAACCAGTCAACCCCCGGCCGTACTTGCAGGCTAAGTATGCGAACCCCTCCCCACTTTAAGCAGCATTGAACTCCCGAATACCCGACATGGCTATTAAATACCATCAACACTTGCCAATGGACGAAGCTGACTTGTTGACTACAGGGTCGGCACTGAGATGATCATCCGCCTGAAATGGGGACAGACCGAGTACAAGGGTATCCTGGAGAGCATCGATTCCTACATGAATGTCCTGCTGCGCGATACGGAGGAATTCATCGACGGAAAGCAGACTGGATCTCTGGGTCTGGTATTGATCCGGTACGCATCCCCTGATAGCACTGGAATTGATTCTTGGAAGCAAGCAACACGGCCACTGTTTCAATGCAATGTGGTGTGGACCAGTTACTGATTTGATTCGATTCTCTTGCAGGTGTAACAACATTCTCTGGATGGGCGCGGCAGACAGCGTGGAAATGACGGACCTCCAACTAAAATAATGAGCATATGATACGACTGCGACCGGTGCGACTGCGATAGGTGCACCAGATCAGCTGTACGCGTGGCTGTTGGTGCCTGAGCTGGCGCGTTCGGGGGGCTTGGAAGCCGCTACACTTGCCCGGCGATCATGAGCTGTTCATATGTGGCAGGTAGAATTGTGAATAGCGGCGAGTCTGTATCCATGAAGCATGCAGGCTGAAACTGGAAGTATTCAACCCCCGCTGCCACGAGGCATGGAGGATCAGATGAGACGAGACATCTACACAGGGCCTTTGGGGCCCGACCTTGTCAGTGGGTTTTTTTCTTTTGCTTTTATTCGATTCACGAGGCGTTTTTTTGTGGTTCCGTGCGATATTGTTGCATGCCTACTGGCCAAAATCAAATCAACTACGGGGTTTTCCGACATGAGCGACAATGACAGTGACTGGAGTAAGACATCGGAGGTGTGTAAACCGCTACAAGGATATCGTCAGAAATGACGAGTGCGAATCGACCCAATGATGTTTTTGTGGACATCAGAGTTGTAAGTGGCGTGTTGGGCCCCATATTATTCGAGGGGAAGTGTAGATAGTATGTGGCGATATTCAGGTTCCAGAATACTGCAAGGGGATCGTTTGTGAGTTCCGGCCCTGCATGTGCGGGAATCCCGGAATCCTGTTGCTTTCTATAGAAGAAGCAAAAATACATTTACAAATCGAGAATAGAGTAGCTGGAGAGCATATAGCTCATCAGCTCATCCACTGAGGCTTGAGGGGCGCGCAGGGCAATTCCTACTTGGAATTACTGTATCAAGTTAGTTTAGTAGAATGAGCAGATACAATGTACATGTACGAAGTACGCCATCGCCCCCGCAAGTCTTCCCACTGATATGCGATAAGAATTCTGATTGCTTTATATAGAAAGCCGATCGTAGAGTTACGTAGAAGGCACGAACACCTCCGCAGCAGGATCCGATAACCAGAGTCGGGAGCCCCCGACGTCATGAATAAGAAAGAGGGGAATGCATGCAGAAGATTCTAGCGCAGCCACACTTGATTATGAATCCGTGAGGTGCGCTCTGGATTCTACAGCGAGACTATACACCCCAACCTGTCGAGTGTAATGTAGACAGATGACCCTGAATGTTTTCTGAGGGCTTGAGCGCTCGAGGGCTCGAGGGCCACGCAATTGTGTCCTTTCGACCCACAGAGATCTACTGTAAACCATGAACTCCCAAGGGACTCATCTATTCTCCGCTCAAAGGTCACTGGCCATATTGGAGACGCCACCACGCCATGCGAGTGGCTGCCGAGCGCTGATCCTTCGCCGTTTCGTGTCCGCACCCACACTCACATCCATCCATTTCTCATTGCTTGTGCCAGGAGGAAAAGTATGAAATTGAAATGGGGATTTATCATTTGGATGTATCAGAATGAGCTATCTAGGTACCGATGTAGCACTACTTGTGTAGCACAGAGCATGTACAACGCCATAGCCCCCTCCTATATCTCCGTCTGAGTTGAGTAATTCTTAGTGGATTCTTTGAGTCCCCTGATCTTCGGGCTCCACTGGTAGTAAACCGAAATTACACTTTAGGAAAACCCCAATTGTTCTTTGAATTTAAATTTAAAATTACTAGTACTTATTAAATTCTTTGATTCCCCTTAACCCCTCAACCCTATACTCTCGCTTTTTTACTCTGCTGAAACGGCGCTTACTGTGACAAAATCCTTTGTCTCATCCCAACACAAAACAGCCTTATATAGGTCCTGACTACTTGATCATCTGGACCTTACTCTGGGTACATTTCCCCAGTATTCAAAGGACCACACCTTCGTTTACTTTTTCTTGTTTTTGTTTTCCCTACCACAAAAACAAAAACAAAATGCATGATACACCATCCAAATTCATCGAAATCCTTGATCCAAAGGACTCGCCCTTGCGCTCCGAGTCTGACGTCCGTCTGGAAGATGTCCTCGCACACCACGAAGCCACCATCGGTCGTCCTCGCTCCTCTACACAATCCTCCTCCAAACCCATGGATAAGGATCAGCTTTCGCGCACGAGTTCGGTCTCCCCTACTCAGCGCTGGAAACGGTTTAGCAATATGCTAGTCCAGCCACGACGGAGCTCTTAATCCTCTTCCATTTATTACCCTCTCTACGATGCACGATTACCGAGCACGAACGAAACGAAACGATAACGAATACACGAAAGCGGGAATATGATTCCATGACTGGCGGGACACGGAAATTCGTGGTAGATGAACCATATGCGGTGGCATCCGATATCCGCATAGTGAAGATTTACTATGGCAGGATCCTTGAGATTGAGGCCGTTTGGCCTTTGGCTGAGTTGTGATTCTGCTGGTCGCGGTACCAAGGCATTGTAACGATGATTTTCCCCCGCTACAAATAATGATGTGACGAGCTATTTCTGCCTTTATCTTACGAGAGTTGTTTCTCCAATACTTGTATATACATGGAAAGACCAAAAAAGGACAACCATTATCTTCTCTACATTACATTCCAAGATTGCATGATTTCATGCTCATGCTCATGCTCATGTTCATGCTCACCTGTCCTGTGGCTGTAAACGCTTTAATGTAATACAACCTCGACCCACTCATACACTAATCTCCAAAATCTCAAAATCTCAAAATACGAGCCAACTTGAATCCCCAAATCTAAGCACAAAAGACAAAAATCTCGTCAAACCGTACCTGAACAGATCTGAAACCGAGCCGAGCGACCGGCCTGGGTCGAATCTCGAAACTTATGATCCGTGGCACCGAACACCATTCCAGGTACCAGTGGACCCTGGGACCCTAGGACAAGTCGGCTAGTCTCTGAGACATTGTGACGACCGCACTGGCTAGACGTGGCCTTTCCTATGTGGGGATTGAGAAAAGTCTGCAATTTAATCACGGGAAATGAAAATGACGGGCAATCCGTTATCGCTGTGAGATGCTCGGAGATTACTTTGTTCCCCAACAGATAATTAAATTGGCTTCGGTTGGTGGGAGATCGTGTACCTGGTCTTGGCTTGACTTGAGTTTTTTTTTTCCCTTCATGGCCCCTTGGTCTTCTACTACCAAGTAGGAATTACTGTGAAATCCATGGCTTCCAGATCATTAAAACTGCCGATCGGCCCGGAACTCCTGGCTGTTGGAATTCCATACCTCAGGTGACACACTGAAAATAGAAGCGGGAAAGGCAGATTATACCGTGTTTTCGAAACTTCTACCGTGGTTCGTCCGTCACATACCCGAGGTCTGAAAATTGGGATGAGCTGGGCTTTTGCAAAATAATAGCAATTTAGATTTCAAAGCAAATGAGCACGGCTCTATACCTGTGCGCCAAAAAAGCGTGCATTTGAGTAATAACCTAGTCCACCTTAACCTCCAACCGCCCATTATGAGCTACAATAACCCTGACCCTGTACATAGGAATTTTTCTGTAAAGCCCAGTCAATAAATGCCCTGTTAAATCTAAATCATCTAACATAATCATTACTTCGGATTATATACAGGTTGTTAATGCATTAGCAAATTCCCCTACAGCAAAGAGCTATCCAGCTATTATTAGCCTGTCACTGTTCAATTCCCATCTTTGCTACCCCTGCTTCTCGCCCCTTTGATTAGTGTCGATCCATACCATTCAAAGATGGCCCACGAGGATGCACGCCATCCGCCCCGGGGGCCTTCATACTGCGACAGCCCTCAAGTTACCTTGCTAGGTAAATCAATACTATAGCTCTTCCTTCCAGGTACCGGATGGAGAAATGCGCAAGCTTCGCCAAGGCCGGCCATCGCCACCATAACATTGAGAAACGATTATCACTTAATTGATACTTGCATCGTCTAATCGATCCTTCCCTGCCCAAATCAGCAATAGTTTATAGATATTCTATCCAACACTGGTGACTACTATACTCCCCAAAGACACTTAAATATCGGCTCGTCGTCTATAGATATCAATTCTCCATCAACACATTCCATTCCAACCATCCACAAGATTCCAACTTTCCAGTCTTTAATCAATCCAATCACCCAAGCTTCAAGCTCAACCATCCCCAACTTCAACACAATGCAGTTCTCCAAGATCTTCGCTATCGCTACCTTCGCCGCCATGGCTTCCGCTGCTGCCCTGCCCGTCGCAGAGCCCGCCCCCGAGGCGGAGCCCGGTCTCTGTGAGTCTACATGCTTGAGCTCGAATCAGTCAGGATGATCCTAACAAATGCCTGTTACTTAATAGTCAGCGCTCTACTGAGAATCGGAAAAGAGGCCGAGAAATGCTCCAACGGTGACTGGCCCTGCGACAACTAAATAAGAGGATACTCGCGAAGAATTTTCATAAATTCCGATGATGGTTATAGAAGAGCGAATGAACAGGCTGGTCCATCATTCGCAAATAGCGGGTTGTTAGCGTTCAGATCACAATGCGGATAGATATGTTAAAGTTTCGATTTACAATGCGACTGATTACATGTACTGAAACGAACGGATACTTCCAAGTACACGTACTAGTAAATACTCCCTAAAAAATCTAGGACAGGAACATTGTAACGGAAATCCAACTTCTCTACTCAAGAGGAGACGCGTGTGTTAGCCTGGTTGCCAATCAGATACCCTTATCAACAGCCCCACCAAACAACAACTTCTTCCCCAATCTTCCCCTTGTCCCTGCGTCACAGTACAATCCACAGTACCACCGTGCTCTGCATCTAATCTTCCTGAAAATCCCCACATAAATCAGCACGTTTCAGTAGCAGTCGAGTTCGTGAAACAACCCAGCGCGAGCCAGAATCACAGCCGAGGTCCCGCTACAGCCGCGATAAATTGTTGCGCAGAATTACTTGGATCGGTCACGTCCGGAATTGACATTATTGTTTCCTTTCGAGTTCAACGAAATGGCTTGGAACAATTCTGCTTCTACTCCTGGGGGTCGGGCTGCTACACCGACTGTTTTCGAGCAACAGCGCGAGGAATTGGTGCGCGAGATTGCGGTGGTATGTTTTTTTTTTTAACTTGAATTGCATTTGGGGTTTGTTGTTGATGATTTTTCTTCATTGGATAGGGTATGGAGCAGGTGCTTCAGAACATTAATAAGTTGAATCGGAATCTGGAAAGTATCATCACGGTATGTGTTGCGATCTCCTTGGGTATCATTTTACTGATTGAGCTAGGTTGGGAATGAATTTGGGGCTGTGGAGGCTCTGTGGTCTCAGTTCGAGAACTTTATGGGTCAATCTGAAGAGACAGAGGGTGGTGAGACCAAGCGAAAAGCCAGTGGAGGGAGTGAGGATCACCCGATTAAGAAGGAGGAAGATGATGAGACAGTGCTCTAGAAGTCTATTCCCAGGGGCTTTCCAAGGTTGATGTTGACATGGGTTGGAGTCTTTTTTATTTATGCTTTTGAGATACCATTAACTTGTCGGTGACGAATATCATGCTACGTTTACGATGGATTTCCATTCAATATCAAAGTCGCAATGTATTTCAGTAACACAAAGGAGGCCGCTCGCCAACATAAAATATCAGATAACATAATTGTGAACACCAGTCCCATGCATGCCAGGGGGAAAAATTGCAGAGACTCGAATCATGAGCCATGAAGAAAACAGGAGGGTCATGAGAAAGACATAAGAGGCAAACCAGTAAAGAAATAAAGTTCAACAGAACAATGTCAAATTGAGAAAGCCACCAAGGGGAAATCGAGAGTTTTCCGGGAGCGCGCAGCGTCTCCGGACTGAAGAGAAGTTTTTTACATCATGTCCAGCTCTGTCCAGCTTCCGTATCACATAAACGGAAGGCAAGCTTGCCGACAAAGCAACCAGGCTGTGATCGGGCCGAGGAGGTAAAGAGAAAAGAAAAGGAAATCGACAGGGAAAGGCGAATCAATTTACAGAATCTTGCAACTCCGCTTTTTGACCTTCTTGCCCGGGCCCCCGCCAGACGGCTTGACACTGTTGCGATTATTTGATGATGATGATTGCTTGGTCGGCTTCCATTGTTCTTCAGTGGTCACAACAGTGTCGACTGCGTGGGCGAAGACGTCGTCCACACCCCGCATCTCCTTACTGCTGCATTCCACGTAGCTGGCTCCCATCCGGTGGGCCACAGCTTGGCCTTGTTCCGGGGTGATGGGTGTCAGGCCTTGTGTCTTAAGGAGTTCAATGCATGTGCGCTTATTGCGGAGATCTGACTTCAGGCCAACCAGAATGATGGGGGTTGTGGGGCAAAAGTGCAGGACCTCGGGGTACCACTAGGCACGGTTAGTGGATAACGATGAAGTAAACAAAGCACTGGACTAACCTTATCGACAACATTCTCCAATGATGCAGGACAGTCAATTGCAAAACAGACAAACAAAAGGTCCGTCTCTGGGTAGGACAGAGGACGCAAACGATCATATTCTTCCTGTCCGGCTGTATCCCAAAGAGCTAATTCGACCGTCTTCCCGGACGCCCGGTGAACGGTCTGCGTAATGTAATTCTCGAACACTGTGGGGACATATTTCTGTAAAAGATTAGCGATGTCTGTCGATATGACGGGGAGTGGGGGGTTCAGCGTACCTCGGGGAAATATCCCTGCGAATAACTAATCAATAAGCATGTCTTGCCGCAACCGCCATCTCCCACCACAACAAACTTTTTAGAGTAGGATGGTGGCTGCGTGATATTGGTAGCTTCCGACATGCGTCCACTGGAAACACTGGTATTGGTGCTGACTGTTCCGTTGCTCACTCGCACACTGTGACTGCGGGTTCGACTGTGACGGGGTGAGTGGGATGGAGGAGGCGTGGCCACGGAGCGACGTCGCGAAGCCGCATAATTGTGCTGGTCATCATACATTTGGCTCATGGTGAATGGAATGGAAGGAATTGGCCCCCCCTTGTTGTAATGCGGGTCTTCAAGAGCGATTGGACGGTTATCTGCCTGGATCGGGGGTTGGATAATAGATTTTGGGGTGATTTTGTTCGGGGAAAGTGGAAAGTGGAAAGTGAAGAAAAGAGGAAAAGTGGAAAGTGTTGTTGAAGAAATAGAACCCAGAAATGAAGTTGAAATCTTGATCGTTTGCAGATCTAGGGATCGACTACGATAAAGATGGTTGAGGGTCTCGCCCAGACTTGTAGACCCGTGTTTACATGTAGGTTGGTATGGCAACGGCCGCGCCTCAATGACGCCAGAAGCACGATCGTTCGGCTTTCCAACTGTCATTTTCCTATTGATTGACCACGATCATTACGATCTTGTTACTTTTTCGGGCTTCGGTCTCCGCTTCATAGCCCCTCAGCTTGCCCCTCTTCCCCACCGTTCAGCTCACCAGAACCGGATCGTGATGTTTTTCGGACCAACCGATGTCATGTGATCTACATGATGTCCGTCGGTTAGAATTGCAAGATCACTAAATTTAGTATAGATTAATAAATCCTGGCTGTGAAAATTCTGACAGGATTGACAAGCTGATTGGAGAAACATTCTAATATCGGCGCTTCATGTTGCCAAACTTATGCAGGTTAAGGCACGGGTTGTCGTGCATCGAATGCGCGCAATGTTCCACAATTCAATTTTTTCTTACTGAAAAGATTCCTCCACCGTTTTTAGTTGGGAAATTACAAGTCCAATTTGCCAATCTTTTCCGAATTGCCCGGTTATTGTTGACATTTTATGACCTGTCAATCTATAGTGGGGAATTTTGAACTTTGACTTCCAAGGTTTTACCTCCCGAATCAAAACCTGACAGATTGACTTTATCTAGACCTAGATTAAAGAAAATCTGTATTTCGATAAATTGCCTGATCTATCCAGGGCTGTTCTAATCAAGAAACATGAGGGGTAGAGGAGTAGAGGGGTAATTGATGATCACAGGATTTACCTAAGTTGATCTCTGAGACAAAGTCATGCACCGAATACTAACTTCTGACTCGCGTACTGCGTATACCGGCCGTGGCGCAAGGTCGAAAGACGCCACAGGACAAGGTGGGGTGTGCTAGGATCACCTTTGTTTCGCTCAGATCAGAAACCCCCACCTTTTCACCAATAATATTATCATATCCTGCAGGCATCATCCAAGAAACATGCATGTGAAAGAAGCCATTTTTTTCATTGCTCAAAGGCAAATTTTGTTGGCTTTACATCTGACAGTCCCAGCTGGTTGAATCATCCAGATCCCCCTTGCCTTTATAAACAGCCTTCTTTGGATATGGGCAAAGGGGTCGTTGTCGCACCACGCCTTCGGACGGGTCATCGTCCTTAAATTTTGTCGCAACAATCTTGTCAACAGGAACACCGTTCTCGGTCCAGTCCATCAGCGCGCGAACAACATCATGCTCTCGGTCCTGGTAGCCAGGAACTCCCACTGTATCATTCAGGCTCTGGAAACCACCAATGTACCAAGGGGCATCATTGACCGATCCAGAACAATGCTGCATACCGGGAATCAAGAAGAATCGGTAAAAATCATTCAAAGGAAGATTCTTCTCCGTCATCGTGAAGAGGTATTGTTGATAGAGGTATTCACTTGCTCCAGGAGGGATGAGACCATCTGCAAGACCGTGATAATGAAGCAATTTACCACCGCGGGCACGAAACTCAGACAGGTCAAAGTTGTCTGCGTTGGTATCGCCAGGATTCAGAGCATCGGCAAGCTCAATAATGCTATAGTCGAAGTTGCGCCAGTCCCAGTTTGCGTCGTTTAGGACGTAGTTGGCGAAGTATTCTGTACCGAAAAGGCTGGGGGCATTTGTTCCGACGCTTCCAAAGGAGCTGCTCATTTGGTCCTCGGATCCGAGACCGAAGTTCGGATAGATCCATGTGTCATTCACGTCGGCAAGAGGTCTGTATAGAGCTTCCAGAGTGCGGATCTGGGGCGCAGTAAGACACGCGGATCGGTTGCTGCTGGACGTACAGAGCAGAGCATCTGCGTAAAAGTTGCAACTCTTGGGGTCCGTGATAATCCCATCTTCGATGCCGTCGGATTTATCGCATTGTCGCATGACCTCTTGACCAATGATTGGGAACAGATCTGGGTGGATGTAGTGTGTGGCATTCTCCGGTAGATTGATCATACTGATTCGCATTTGCCAGCCCTGTTGGCGCGTAGACCACCAAGCAGGAGGCCCGACGACAACACCATCAAAATCTTCTGGGAAGCGCTGGACTTCCTTCATTCCCTGCTTGCCGCCTGTCGAGCAGCCAGCGTAGTAGGAGTATGAGATTTTGTCCTTGTAGTAAGCGGCCGTGACTTGCTTGGCAATCACGGTGGAGCCATGCAATGCACGGTAGCCCCAGTCCTTCTTAGATTCATCATTATTCAAGGCCCAGTTCATGTTCTGAACTGTGGAGTTGTGGCCGGTGTTGGTGGACATGGTCGCAAATCCGTATGGGATAAGACTGTTCATGGAGGCCCAATTGATTCCACCCGCGAAACCACCGTTCCCCACAGCCATAAACCGTTGGTTCCAATTATCGGGCAGAATCAAACCAAATGTATAGGCAGATACTGGCGAAGATGTCACGTTGACAATGATCCCACACGAGGCGGGTAAATTGGTGGCATTGGTAGGGTATGCGGTATCGGCGGTGCCTTGGCCAAAACTACCCCCGGCGGGGATTTTGGCAGCTTCAATGATGGATGCACCCTCAGGAAGGATAGAATTGAAAAATTTATCGGTACATTGTGCGTGACGAGCTGTGACAGCTCCGAAGAACAAGCAGCTAAAGAATGCTGCAGTCCCGGTAGAGGAGAGCATTGGCGCAAGGAGGTATGAATATCAGCTCAAAATTGATTGAGCACTATAGAGCTACCATATTACCTAGGGGATCTAGATAGAATTTATATAAAATTTCTGAGCTTCATCTGGGGTTTGCGGGGTAATAAGACGGGGGATCTCTTTTGCGCACATACTATCAAATGTTTCCCCTTACATTCGCAAGGGTAAGAGCTTTTCCTTCGATATTCTATGGATCTACACACGCGGTTCCAGTTAGATACCGGAAATCGTATACTTAAGCTTCAAGGGTTTTCATTTGTCAGTGTGGGGAACCCCATACTTATGAAGCGGGGAAACCCTGAATATCCATGTCGGTAGAACGAAAAGCCGGGTTTTTACACTGCTAGTAACCAGGTTTTAGTACTCTATGCGCAATAATTACCTAGTTAATTTACTCTTTTTCAAGGTTCGATAAGTGCCTTAGTCTTAGTAACGTGATGGACCTGGCAAACATTGAAAGAAGTACCGTACTAGACCTAAATAAGGAATAGTTGCTGAATATTTATGTTTAAAAAATAGGTAGCATTGGATGAAATACCGGAGTATGATGCAGAGAGCAAGGAAATGTGGTCTGACCTACTATACAGTCTTTCCAGTTATGAAGAGCAATCAATATGACCGGAAAGGGTGACGTGCTACATACAACTCGGCATTTTAAGATAGACACCTAAGTAGTCGAACCTGAATCACACTAACTTTCAATGTTGTGAAAAGCTATTTGCCGAGAGCTAGGATCCACTCCGGGTCTTTTCAATTGTGCCTAATTGCAGCGAGTACTTATGAGGTCCATCGGAACAGCCTTATTTTTCATCGCCCTCGTGACGAGGTCACCGATTAATGACAGTACCACTCCGCACCCCACTCGATTTGGAACAAGTACAACTATATATCCAGGTTCAGCGAGTACATAAGATGTATCAAAACTATCATACAAAAAAAACCTAACCCCCCAGGGACCCCTCCTGCGCCTCTGTTGGCCGCTTTGGGGAGGTCTGCTCTAAGTTGGTGTTTCCCAGTAATAATTGACAACACCATACAAGTCCTGCAGGCTAACTTGTTGGGATCACATATAGTGCTAGCTGGTGGGAGTGTTCACCACTTGACCACACGGATGTCAATTGTGAATTCTATTCCCTTAAAAGGTGATTAAAACCTAATGACTAAATTTTGTACTATTTCCTTATTTTGTCTATTAGCTATCTTCCTGAGCTTATGTTATTCTGCCTAAAATAGCCTTCATGCTTGAGAGATAAACTAACAGATCTTTTCATATTCCTCGCAACTTCATTTCTGTCAGGTATACATGGATGATCGGAGTAAATACTTCAGCTTTGGCCCCTGAGTGACTAAGCCCACACATGGGGCAGACCCGCTGTGCCGCGGTAACAAGTGATCTTCGCGACACCTCGAAACCTCCTGGCGCTTTGAACACCAGAGACGAGAACCTAACCACATACATCCCTTCGAACTTCAAATCCAACTTTTATCCACTCCTTATGTCATCGCGCTGAACCTCGACGTCCTGAATTGAGCGGCAGGCACCGACCTGTTCATGTATGGGGGCCAATCGCATCCGGATCGATAACACCGCACAATGGGAAAGGACGCAAAAGACCAGCCTGATGCAGGGCTCAGGAGTTTGAACCATTGTATGAGACTCATGCTACTATTCGCGCACCCCTGCATGTTCTCTCAACTGGTCAACGATTGCTAATCCGTCGCTGCAACCTGATCAGATTCCAACCAACTCCCCCTCTGGCGCTATTGGCCGCGACAGAAACTACTACCTTTAATCCGATATGAGACCCCGTATCTGGCGTGGGTGCAGGAGAAAGTCCGCACCCCGACCCTGGACTCATACTTTGCCTTCACAGCTAATCTGGGCACCCACACATTCTTCATGGTCTTTTTGCCGTTCCTCTTCTGGTGTGGCCACACCAGTCTAGGTCGTGGGTATGTTTGTACTTACCCAGAACTGATCATGACCAGAATCATGGCTAATCAGTGATGCCATTACAGATTAGTGCACATCCTCGCTGCTGGTGTGTTCTTCAGTGGCTTCATCAAGGACTTGCTATGTCTTCCTCGGCCGCTGTCCCCGCCTTTACAGCGCATCACCATGTCCGGATCCGCTGCCCTCGAATACGGCTTCCCGTCCACACACTCTACCAACGCTGTATCTGTTGCCGTGTATGCGATCGCTCTGCTCAATTCCCCCGACTCGACCGTTAGCCCGCAGACAAGCTTGATCCTCCAGACAGTCACATACCTCTATGTCACCTCGATTGTATTGGGTCGGCTTTACTGTGGTATGCATGGAATGCTTGATGTGGTTGTTGGATCCATAATGGGTGCATTGATCGGTCTCGCCCAATTCAGCTGGGGCCCGGCTTTCGACGACTATATCCTGTCGGCGTCACTGAAGGGTATTCTGATTGTTCCCATTGCCATTCTGGTGTTGGTTCGCATCCATCCAGAACCGGCGGACTCATGCCCCTGCTTTGATGACAGTGTTGCCTTCGCGGGTGTGACACTCGGTGTTGATGTGGGCTCGTGGTACTTCACTCAGTCTAGCCTCGCCTGGGCAGAACCTCTTCCTGGGACCATCCCATACCGATATGAAGATCTTGGCTTGGCAAAGACTGCGATTCGTCTCGTTGTAGGAGTTTTGTGTGTCTTCGCATGGAGAGAGATCACAAAGCCCACGCTACTTCGCATTCTACCTCCCGTCTTCCGCAGCTTGGAGAAACTTGGACTTCTCCTACCTCGGAGATTTTTCACCACCGCATCGTAAGTGAGAACCGCTAGCAACTCTCATAAAAATATCCTGACAGATAATAGCCAATATACAACCGTCCCTTCCAACTTGAAGGACCACGACGTGCTTCCCAACTTTTCAGAAATCCCTGGTCTCATCACCACCATGCGGCACCCGCGTCGGCGGGCCGTCTCAATCGGTCCTCAGTCTGAAGCTGATGCTTACGAGACTCTGGCTTACCGCGAGAAACGCCGACGTGAAAGCCAGTCCGGCAGCAACCGTGACTCGCCCGCCGACGGAGAGAACAAGCCCAACGGGTCTCCTCTCGTGTTTAGAAAGACAACTACAGTAGATGAGTATGAGCACATGATGGGTAGAGGGAGCCCACAATCGACTGCCGTAGAGGCCGATGGCGGTATTCCCCGGTCCTCGCCACTTCCACCACCCGAATATGAAACATCCCGGGCGGACGAGAAGGAGTTGTTCTCCCAGATCAAGAAGCCCCGTGTGCGGTACGATGTGGAGGTTGTCACAAAGCTAGTTGTTTACGCCGGTATGTCTTGTCCCTTGGTACTCTAGCGAATATCAAACTAATTGCACAATTCTAGGGATCCCGTGGGTCGTCATCAATGTGGCACCCCCTGTTTTCGAAATGATTGGACTAGGGGTTCCTCTCTAGCTACATCGCATGGATGTTGGGTTTTCGCATCCACTCGCGCATTTTGGCCACTGCTCGGGATCGATTCAGCTCAGTGGAAACGAACTTCTTAAGGACATAATTCGGGTTGCGCATGTACATAGCGACCTGTATTCTTAGGTCTGGCTGTGTCCCCTTTCATTGGGCACAGCCACTTACAATTATTTGACACGGGATAACCAGAGCTTCGTATGGTAAAATACCTATGATCAAAATACCTCAATACGATCCGCCCAATTTCCCTTCATCGAATGCATCTTTTTCTTCTTGATCCACTGTCAAGATATCGAGCAAACGATCCGCTGTTAAATGATCACTTGCACCCTGCATACGATGTGCATATTTCAATCTTCCTCGCTGGAAAACCCATTCTCCTCCTTGCTGGTCTGCGGGGCCGCCCAGAAGTGCAGACCATCCGCGTTTCCATCTCTGCTTAAGATCCCTATATAAAGCACTAGGGAAAGATTCCAATGAGTACGGTGGTGGTTCAGTGAACCCAGTCCAGGTCCTCTTCATCTCCAGCTGCTCGTATATCTTTGCTGTCGGATCGGTGTAGATGGGAAAGGCATCGGAGGTTTCTTCCATATATGGCCCGATAAGAGAGTGATCACCACAACCGATTATTATAACCTGTGCCGGTTTGGCATGATTTGGTATCGTGTCGAGTATCTTATGCGTCATCTGTGCACTGAGAGATCGAACATAATCTTGGTCATAGATGCAGAAAAAGTGTCTCACTGATAGTTTCCAAGTTTGTCAGAATATGGGCAACTTCATAAACACAAAAGGAAGTCGACGCTCACCAAAGATGACCACTGTAGTGACCGAATCTCCTTTACCGGCGACGAGCTCACCGAAGCGAACGGGCTCGCCGTTTTTGGATTGAATCTCAAGTTCATACGCTTCATGTAGAGTCTCATCTGATAGGAAAGACGAGTCGATAGAGAATTCTGTAGAAGACATTTCTCATGTTTTCCACCTCAGAAAGTTCATTGCTTGCCTAAGATAAGAGGTACTCGGCCGCAATTTGAACTTCTCCTGTGTATGACGTCAAGACATCTACTTCTGTATATCAATGACAGCGCCAAACCATGGCTCCGTTAACGTGGCCACTATTGAACTATTAAATAATTGATTCAACAAAGAAAGTCGGTTAAAGCCTGCACCATCTGCCCCGAAGTATGAAAGGCCTCTTCATACACTAACCGCAATGTCAACTGATCACGGAACATCTACATAGGTATGCATGATACCAAATCCGCGCTCTGAGGTCCCATATTCCCGCTCTATATTTTTCTCCATTCTCCCCATATTGCTGATATCGTGTATCGCTGGGCGGTTCTATCGGTTTTGGCAGACTCTCAATCCACTCGACCAAATTGGACGCATAATCCTGTTGTGCCTGGAGATGGTCGCTGCTGTTGCCTCTTTGATACTATGCCTGATACCTACGGGAATTCTCCTCTTGGGTTCCGGATGGCGTCGACCCTCGCCAATCAGCCGGATGTATAAAGTTATCATTCTGAAACTCCAGGGCACAGAGAATTATATCGCCTGGAGCATCCGTAACAAAAGTTTACTGACCAAGGAAAGACTTGTGAATCCGATCATCGTCTAATCAGAAGGGTTCACAACTGAATATCTGGTAGCTGGGACTTCATAAACGCTCTATGTGTCCTGGCACCTGGGAGCTTTGAGATACTGTATACATACATGTACCATATAAGTATGGGTGTGAGAAATATATATCCGCACAGTTATCAATATTTTATTAAAAAACAAATGGGAGGGTGAGTATTGAGATTTTTCAGCTTTCACGAGAGAGAAGACTGAAAGCTGTGATAAGACCTATAGCCTGTAGGGGTGGTGTGGAGGCTTGGACTATTAGTGCGAATGCTACTCGAAGTACCATTAACGGACTTCATCTCGATATCCCATGACATCAATTTACAATCTAAATCAGCATAAAGGAATGACTACTAGCTCAGCATAGTCACCATAATGTCTAGCGGACTTGTTGTTTATCGCGGAAGGGCTTGGTATAGTTTGCCCTGCATAAACTATTTTTGCCTGATGTGGTTAGACCAACTTAGTCAGCAATGTTCCCGATGATGCAGCAAGCGCGCCGCGATTGTTCCCAATTTACAACTCTCTCGCAAGTCGACTGTGGTCGCTCGTTGAGGATGGAAATTCCTGGTATTCCCAAATTTCTTGTCTTCTGCTTACATCCCATCCTTCTTCTTTCGGCTTAACCCTGTCACTCGCATCGGCAACTTGCTTTCATCATCCCAGCCATCGCCTTTCCGACGTGATAGTGATAGCGAGTGAACCGCCGCCATGAAGAATTACAACATCTTCTCCCTTTCATTCTGGCGTAAGCCATCGACGACTTCCTCAAAAGATGCGACTGTCTCTGTTGCTCCCGAGAACCAGCTCCAAGCTAGCAGGGCCTGGCAATCGCCTACAAAGGAGGACTCCAAAGGTATGCACCATATTCAGAAACAATGGCATTGGTGAATGCTCAACGTTATTTCCACGATAGAAGTGCCCTCTCTGCCCCTTCCCGGCGCATTCCCCTCATCACCTTCTTTATCCCCGCGACTTGCGCCAATCGAGCGCGTGGAGGACGATGTACCAACACAGGAGCTCGATCGTATGGAGATCGACGTTCCCTCCATACCGGAACTGCACACCGATCTTGGGTCTCACCTTCGCCCAGCAAGACGACCGAGAGCATCGATACTAGCGCCCGCCCAAGCCCCGCATTCTCTGACCATTATACAACAGAGGCAAGATGACGTACACGAGGACCTCATGGACATCGAGGATCCATGGGCGCAGCAATCCATGACCTACGAAAAGTTCCCTTTTGGTCGACCTGTCTCCGCTGTACAATTGGTTCATCCTCAAAAAAAGCCACTTCCGATCAACCGCACAGCATCAATCTATGCGTCAGAATGGGAGAAGCGGGAGCGAAAAAGAATCGCAGAAGAAGGCGAAGCAGGGCGCCCGGCAAGAATCAGACCTCAGGGAGAATGTGTGCGCCCGTTGTCGTGGGACTGGGTTGATAGGGTTACAAGAGCCATGAACAGTTCCGGCGCGGTGGCCCGGACTCTCTCCGGTGATGACTTATACCAGAGAGACATTGCAACTTGCTATAAACCGCTTGCCTGGCTCAACGATGAGATGATTAATTCCTACCTTTCCGTGATATTGCAATATCTGCAACAATCGGCAGGAAACGCGGCTCCAAATGAGCGACCTCGGTATCATGCTTTCAATAGCTTCTTCTATTCCAGCCTTCGAGATAAGGGATATGACGGCGTGCGTCGATGGGCCAAACGGGCCAAAATTAATGGCGAGGGGCTGTTAGAAGTTGATACAGTCTTTATTCCTGTCCATGAATCCAGTCATTGGACTCTGCTGGTAGTTCGACCGTTGGATCGAACAATTGAATACTTTGATTCCCTGGGAGGACGTGGGGTACGCCAAATGAAAATGATCAAAACTTGGCTGCATGGAGAGCTTGGAGCGAAGTTTGTTGACTCCGAGTGGAGTTTCCTCCCTTCGGTTTCATCTTTCCAAGATAATGGCAGCGATTGCGGCGTCTTTCTTTTGACAAATGCGAAGGCAGTTGCCTTAAATATCGAGCCCACGGCATTTGGAGCTAATGATACTGCATTATTGCGAAAAAAGATCGTGGCAGAGATCATGAATGGTGGCCTTCATGGCGAGTTCAGTCCGATCGATAAGACCGGAGCTGTTCGACTCTGATCCCATATCCGACGATTCATCACCTGGCTTCCTACCTTTCAACCGAACCTATACATGATTAATTCACCCTTACATCACAACTCCGACCCATGAAACACTCCTAGCACTTACTGGAGCTGTACATTTGTCTTCGAAACGCCATCATTTTTCTCCCTGACCTCCTACACCTTCACATCCACATCCACTTCTACTGTGCCAATACTGAACCGTTTTCCACCGCAACCGGCGTTTATGTGTGTTTTTATGTCTATTTTCTGGCGTGCATGGCGAACTAGAATAAAAAAGGGCGGCTTCATAGTCATGCGTTCGCATCGGTTCAGATTTCTCTCTTTGTTTTCCTTTTTGAAATTATGCCTGGACGAATGCAAATGATACCCCATTGTTACTGTTTTGAAGTCTCTATATGTCGCATAATAAGGTTGATATTTTGATTTCTTCTGCCTTTGTCTTCCGATTTCAAGATTTTAATATAAGAACATGAAATTAGAATTCTTTGAATCTACATCTGAGAGCTGAAGCATCAAGGTCATGCAATTATTTGTCTAATAATACTAATCACCGAAGCCCAACCAATAAGCGCCTACCGGGCTAACAAAAGAGCTATCTATAGGAAAAGGCCAACTCAGCTAAGCATATACACATCAGTTCTTCGAGGCAAACTGAAGCTCATCAATATTGCAAACACGCCGGCATCTTGGCTCGGTGTTTTTGCCTCCCTTCCCAGGCTTGCGATGCTTTCCATGCTTTTTCTTCTTCCGACACTTGCGACCCTTCTTCCCCTTCTTGCAAGACTTTTTCTTCGCAGTGGCTCCAGTAACAATCTCGCTCTCATTCCCGAAATTCTCTGCGGAATCGTCAACCGCAACACCAGCTGTATCAACAAAAGGCCGCTGATGCCCACCATGATTTTTCTCCGGAGGAAAATCAGCCGCGTCATTCCCATCCGAAGACTGGTTATATGCCAACTCGATATATTCAATTCCAAGGAATATCTTGTCCCCGATGTGCATGTCGCCCGTCCAGGATCCGCCGTCACTCCAGAGATTGATCACAAGTCGACTTTGCAGATTGGGCACGCGGTAGGACTTGACTTCTTCAAGTTTATTGTTTACATACCAACGGGATCGATCGCCGAGCCAGTCCAGACGATGAGTTGACCAGGAAGTCCATGGAACTTCAAGGTCTGCGATTGTTGCTGCACCTGGGATCATGCGATCTGTAACGGGATCGTAGTCCGGCTGGTTGGCGTATCGGACTCGATTGATGGGGTCGCTTGTCAGGATCTCAATGTCAGATTCGCAGTTTTTTGCGTGATAGGTAAAGACGCCCACGCAGGCACCGGAAGGAGGTTCCATTGTATCTTGAGGTAAAGGCGAAGTTGTGTTGCCGAAGATGGGCTCATTGTTGATGGCTGGTGTAGGAGACTGGTTTGGATCCGGTGGTGGCTGCCGTTGATCTGAAGGGGGCTGCGCTATTTGCATGCTGGCCGGCAAAATTCGAAGACGAATACGCAGGGAGCAGCGGAAGATGTTGTGCACGCGGGTCTCGATCTCAGCGGTGGATGTGAAGTGGGGATGGCGGACGGTGCGCAAGACGAGGTACGTTGCCTCCGGGTCATCGTCTTCGTGATCTCGAGTGATAAAGACGTTTCGTTTGGAATTGACCATGGTCACTGGTGCTTTGGGGCTTCCGGGACGGTGCCATCCTTGGCTGACCCAGTCCTCGTCGAATGCGGTTTTGTAAAAGAAGAGAGAGTCTTCCTGTGGATTCTGATTGTCCCCGGCCTCCTCGTCATCATCATCCTCATAATAATCGTCACCTGCATCCACCAAGTCTGTCCATTCGTCTTCGTGTTCCTCCGGTTCTGGTGGCGCCGTATCAAGTTGCCTCAGAGGAACGGATCGAAAGTCCCAAAGCTTGTAGTGTTGGAAGTACCCTGGGTCAGTACCAGATACAGTGTAACAATCGCATTCCTTGGGATTTTTCTTGCTTGCAGTCACTAACGATGCGTTGACTTTCGAGTCGGATTGCGCCGAAACTAGAGCAAAGAATAAGATACATGCGAGGCTCAAGATGCCTAGGTATGGGACGTCTCGCTTCATGATGGCCGGCTGCAATGGGATAATACACACGCACGAAGCTCAAGACCGTGGATCATCCTGCTTTCCTCTCAATCACGATTTGTTGTCTGGTTTCTCATTTACGGAAGTCGCAACGCAACCTCGACTTAGGGCTCCGCGGTTTCCTGATTAGGGTCTGCAAGATGGTCCCCCATCTTTCTAAAATGCAGAGAACATCGAATAGGAAATTCATAATAGATACTGAAATACACGCAGCTTCGGAATTGAAATCTACATTGATTGCCATGGCCATGCCAACACATGCCAGCTTTCTGACCAGCGGATCTATACTTCCACTTTGCTCGGATCCTTTTGCCGCGGCCCGCAAAGGTTTCAGCAAATAAATGGCACAATGAATAAGTTACGGTTTATCCTGTCCAGTAATCATATTTATGAAGTATTTGCTGCCAAAGAAATTCAGGAAACCGCCCAGTAAAAGCCTTGACTGAGGTTTCTTTCGAATTTGGGATATTTTGGTTGTCTGGTTTATTTGCAGCCTGACAAAGAATTTAATGAATGATTCTCGAGAACCCACAGATCAGCAAGCCAATCAAGACAAATCAGACAAGTGCAGGCCGAAACAATGAAGGCTGGCAATTTCAATCTGACCCCGCGCGCTACCGTTCTGGCCTGATTGGGCTGCACAAGCAGGATCATTGTATACGAGAATCGAAATTGCTAATGACCGGAAAATATGGCTATTTTTCTTGGACTTGTGTTGAATTTAAAAAGGCTATTTAAATGACATTTCCCAGACCCTAAATGTAATCTTAGATGTCCATAAGTGTATGGAGTTCACAAAGTGCTAAATCAGGATACTGGTGACGACACTTGATGCGGGTCAGCCTGGTCGGTCAGCGCGAAAAGGGCAAAATATAGCAGTCGAGCTTGATTGGATCTGTGTTTCGCAGCCAAGAAGTGGCGAAGGGTTGGAATCGATGATCATTGGATATTGAGTCAAGGGTGGATGCATGTAACAGACGCTAATAAAGACTAATGCATGCAGGCTTGTCTGAACACAGGCACCTGTGCATAGGTATTCGTATGGTCACATTCAAGTATTTAGGTATTCTATTCCATTCTCCCACAACGACACCTTGAATAGCAGAACATTCAGTAAGAAATTATTTCGGTCATCATAGAAAATGAAGAAATCATATCAACGGAATCATTCAGTTTAGAATAACCGCACAGTCATGAGCCATACAGGTCGTGGCGTGTAATGATTCGGTGTGACAGTAGGTTGGTCAGAAGGTGTAATGCCGGAAATGCGGCCCCCTTCCCTTTTTTGCCTCGCCCTTTCTTCTCCCTCTCACACACACCCGCCCCATAATACCAATACCACCGCTCGCCATGATCTGAAAGACTTGCTTCCGAAGGCATACATAACAAAGGACGATTAACAATAAAAGCACCATGTCCACCATGACCAGTCTTGAAAGGAGTTTATCCACCGCCTCCAGCACCTCCCTCTCCATGTCGCCACGCCTATCTGTCGGAGAACACACACCACTCGGGTCGGAACCGTCGCTCATCAATCTCCATGACCGTGTCAACCAACTGGACTCGCGCGTCCTTGAGCTCCGATCCAGTCTCATGACAAAAGATGCCTATGTCGACCGCCGAAACCGTGAAGATGATCATATTCGACGTGAATTCTCCAACCAGAACGCTACCTGCCATCGCATCGACTTGAACGTTATCGCTCTTCGCACAGATGTTGATCGGTTACAGAAAGATGTGGATCGAATTCGCTCTGATACTGCACTGATCAGCGATCTTCAAATCACTACTAATCAGCTCTCGCGACGGATTGAGTATTTGGAGTCTCGATCTCATACTTTGGAAACTCGATTTGATTCCATGGACACTCGATTTGATGACTTGGAGTCTCGCATGAATTCTAAATTTGATTCTGTGAACTCTCGGATTGATTCCTTGGAGTCTCGCATGGACTCTCGATTTGATTCCATGGAACGTATTCGTTTCAACTCTCTCGCCCTGACAATACACGCCAATATCAACCCTGTTCCTATCTTTGTGGATGGCTCTCTGAAATATCCACATTATTTCCCTCGCACAGTTTGGCGATTTTGGTGCCTCAAGAAGCCTAGCAGAGGTAAGCATAATATTACTGATAAACTTTAGATATCCAATAACTAACGTCTCAGTTCATCGCCTGGTCGAACTTGCCGAATTCTACAAAATTGAAGGTTATCAGAGCTGGAGTCGCATGCATGCAGACATGTTTGCCAATGATAGCGACTCAAGTGATGCCAGTGATTACGAAATTACACGTGCTGAAGCTGTCCGTCGGTTTCCGGAGGCGGCCCACCAAGCTTTGGCGGCCATTCTCGGTCTTGTATACTACAAGATCCGTAAGCACGTGGGCGAAGGTCCCAATGCCGCGGCTATGGCTCCTCGTCCTCAGAAGCGTCGACAAGAGGAGGTCGCCTCAACAAGCGGCAGTTCTAAGTCTAAGCCTGTGAAAATGCCCCGCCGACCCAGCGTTTCTGATTCCTTCATGCAAGCTCTGATCCATGGAACTGATCCACCATATGATGAAGAAACTTCTGTGTCTGCACAATCTGCGATATTGGGCTGGCAAGCTTTCTCCGATGTGTCAGAAGAAGCCAGGAACAAACTACAATCTATGGACCCCAATGATCTCAATGCTTTGTTCCGTGCTGTGGAGCAGGGTCGACGCACTTTGAAGCCTAGTCGATCTGAGATGATGAACAGGTCACCCACTGAATCGAAGGCCAGCAACAATCCCTTCCGGAAAGCGACTGAGCCCGCTCGGGAAGAGGTGGCACCCGCTTCGGGACCAGTTCCCACTGAACGTGCCACATTCTCCTCTTCGCAGAAGAGCAGTAGGGCTCAATCTAACCCTGTACCTACCTCGGGACCGAACCTTGTCCCAACCGAGCCTGCCACCTTCTCTTCACAGAGTCAAAGCAGGGCTCGACCTGCGGTTCCGAGCCTGGTTCCTACTGAACCGAACACTGCCCCTACTCCGGGATATCATCTTATTCCCACTGAGCCTGCCACACCCTCTTCCCAGGGTATCGGCAAAAGACAGACTTCCAATGACGTCCTACCAACTGCTTCTGATTCAGACAGTTCAACTACCTCGTATTCGGATAGTTCGTCATGATAAGTTTGATCTACACAAAGTTAACAAAGTTAACTTTGAACCATGCAGCAGGAGCAGTTTGTTCTGCTTTGCATGAGTCTAGCTGGCCCAGAGCGGATGCTTGTTCATATTCTTTGACTGGAAATCATCACCAGCCATTCGGCTTCAGTTGTTGATCTTCAAGTTAGGGGGTCGAGAAAGTATTGGCTGGGATTTATGATCTTTTGCATTCTGGAGTTTAATGATTCTTGACATATTCTGATGATTTGCATGGTTTTGCGGGAGTTGATTTATTCGGAGTTGATGGTTCATATGCTGCATTTTATTGGAGTCTCATTTTTTGTGATTTAGTTCCATACCCACCTACCTGATTTTCGAGTTATTTTAGCGTTGAAGTTTGTATTGATCTTGAGGATCAATTTTATTAACTCTTTCATGGTACAGGTCTCCTGTCCTATCGATCGAGTGTTAAACGTCCAATCTCGCTAGCATTGTATCACTCCTGGATCGATTCGCTACGTACTGAAATAACTAACTGGCTAGAATGCCTCACCAGTCACCAGTTTTGGCGTGGCCCCAATTGACGTCTAGCCCAGGCCGCAGACCCCTAATTTTGAAATATTGGAACCAACTGGGTCTCGGGGAGTGCTGTCCCTTCCAAAGGTTGGGGCATGACTTCGGGAGTCTGGTTTAGCGTGGGTCCCCAGTCAACTGCCCCCGGCACTGGTGCGGGCGCGGCAAGCCCCGAGAGGCCCCACCCAAATAGCGCCTGAACTAACTATCCACTGGTCCCCACTGTGTACCGCCGAACGCCCGTCTCCGACTCGGATCTATCTAGTCTAATTCTAATCTCACTTCTATTTCTACTATCTACATACTCTCCGACCTCTTTTTAGTGCAAAATAGTCACTTTGATGTGAAAGTGGACAAAAAATTTTGAAAAATCGCTCTACATTATGGGGATGGTCCGAGCTTCACCAGGCCCAGTTTGTAAGGCTAACTTTGATGCCTGAGGGACTTGTTCAATTTTGAACCAGATGTAGTCTTGGTGATTGGGATACTGATAAAAAATCTTTTTATATATTCTATGGTACAGTTCGTAGCCCTCTCGAATATGAAAGCCTTCAAGGTCCTCATGTTTCCGGCTCAAAGAGATCCTGCTTCAACACCTCCAACACCTTGTTCTCGTCCACATTCTGCAGATCAACTGAGGATCCAGGCAACCCGGAGGCTTCAGCATCAGTCTCGTGCTGCTCAGTTTCCAACTTCTCCGCGGCTGCTTCTGGACCAACAATGCGTATGTATTCTTCTTCCAGGACAAACGTAGATGAATCCTTCTCTGCAAGTAGTGTTTCCGGAGAGTCTGGCAGCACATATATTGTTGGGAATTCCATGACTGTCCGTTCCCGCAGTGCCGCTGCTAGTGTCATTAATGGCGCCAGCGGTACCAAGACGGGCTTCTTGACGGTCGTTCGTGGACGATGGAGGTAGAAGTATAGACCACGATGCGGGCCAATTGGTAGGTTTTGTGATTTCTCTTCCGCTGTTTCTGCAGAAGGATCGACTGGTTCCGATGCAGATGGTTGTGCTGATAGCCCTTCTGTAGACTCGGTAGCATTCACCGGCGTAGCAGCGGACGCTGTATCCGCCGAATCCTGCGCTGCATCACCCTCCTGCAGCGGTTTCTCGTCCTTCGACGATTCAAGATCCAGTTTCTCCTGTTTAGGCTGCGGAAATCCCCGATCATAAGCCTCAGCAATAGCCTGACCCTCCAAACAATTCTTCAAAACCTTCTCCCCAGTCGCAGAAATCCATTCAACGCACCAACTAAGACACTTGTGCCTGAAGCCTAGTTAGCAGTATTCCTACCAACATTATCACCGAAACTTACTTCGGATGCCATCGCGAGTTATTCAACTTATTCCTCGACATTCCCCTCGGCGCCCGAATCACCGTAACAGCACCAGCCTCCGCACGGCGCAAAAATCCAGCTTCACCCTTCACAAGACCCTGCTGCGGAATCTTTCTCTTCCGACCAGGTCCGGTCTCTTGCGCATCATCTCCATCGCCACCGGTGGGAAGCTGTCCGCGCGCAAGATCAATTCCCCGATTCTCCACCTCTCGATCGGCGCGCTCGAGTGAGCGCTCAACGCCCGTGATAAAATTGAAGTCGCGATCGAAGGCCGATTCGGTGGCTAGTTCGCTACGCTTGAGGTAGGCGGCTGGATCACGGATGCCGGAGCATTGCGACCAGAGTTTGTGGCGCCTTGTGCAGGGGAGGGAGCAGGTGCGGGTTGAGCAGCGTGGACAGCGGTATTTTGGGGGGTTAACATGGCTGTTTGGGTTGGTTGTTAGAGCGGAACATTTGGGTAATTTTGTTTGGGTGTCTTAACGTACCATATTGAGCATAGTTCGCTGAGTAAAGGGTCTGGGTTATCCATTTTTGTGTTGAATTAGAGGAATTGGAGAAATGCGACTTCGAAGCTTTCGAAAATTGAACGCTTATCCTTATCGATAAGAGATTTGTGTTGCCTCAGGCTACAGGTGCAGTAGTTATCCAATGAATTGATTTTGTATTTTTTCTAAAGTACAGTCAATAAGCTTAACTGAGATAGACTCAGGCTTCTGGTCTGATCATACCCGTTGACTCATGCTTCATGCTGTGAAGTCCCTGGTAAAAAGAGAGATATGTTGAATGTCAACTCATCGACATATATAATTACGTATTCTGCAGGAAAGCTGATGCAATCCCAATGTCCACTTTTTTACTGTGCGTACAGTGATAGAATTGCATCAGAAATGCCAATAATGATGACCTCGGAAGATATGATAATCAAAATATCATTGAGACCTCGGGAGTCGTACACCAGTCTCATTTTCTCAAAATGATATCATCCCTGTGCGTGATGATCAATCATCCATCCCCGCCGCATTTCTAAGCAGCCATGAAACCCCGAGAATTCAACTGGATATTTTGTCTATTTAACCCCCGGTCCTTCAACATAAAAATTCAACATCCGATACTTATTCACCAAAAACATTGAACCTTGGAATATGGCTTCCAAAGCAGTTGCAATTATCGCTGGTGTCGGTCCCGGAACGGTACGTTTCCAATACCATTCATAAAGACCATATACTAACCACAGTTTCAGGGCGCATCTATTGCTAGGCGTTTTGCCCAATCCTACAACGTGGTGGTTCTTGGTCGTAACCCTGACAACTACACACCTGTTGTTGAACAGATTAACTCCAGCGGTGGCCAGGCAGTCGGTATCAGTACCGATGTTAGCGACAGCAACAGCGTCAATGCTGCCTTTGATCAAATCGAAAAGAAGTTCCCTGGCTCTCCAGTGGCAGCAGCTATATTTAACCCAGGCGGTGGTTTTGTGAGGAAACCTTTCCTGGAATTGACAGGAGACGATTTTTCGAATGCCCTTGATGGCCAGGCGTATGTAACAATTCAATTTTTCCCACCGCATATCAATCCTTCATTCTTCATTTTCGCACTTCATCTACATATCTGAAATAAAATAAAATACTAACAATGAAACAGGAAGGGTGGATTTAATTTCGCCAAACGTGCCTTGCCACTTCTCCTCAATGCAAAAGCCTCGGCCGCTCATCCGCCAACTCTGATTTTCACAGGTGCCACTGCTAGTGTGAGAGGGTCACCTAACTTTGCTGCGTTTGCAGCGGGCAAGTTTGCACTTCGAGCACTTGCTCAATCGCTAGCACGTGAATTCGGGCCCCAAGGTATTCACGTGTCGCATGCCATTATTGATGGCGTTATTGATATCCCTCGTACCAAGGCTTGGGTGTTCGAGCACGAAGACGCGAAGCTGAATCCCGATGCTGTAAGTGACTCACTTTTTCCAACTTTGGCCGTCTTCTTATGGTTGCTGATTCATTGTAGATTGCGGATTCGTACTGGCATCTGCATACCCAGCCACGGACCACGTTTGCTTTTGAGTTGGATCTGCGCCCTTATATTGAAAAGTGGTAGCTTTGGTAAATCCCAGGATAAATATCCACCTTTAAACTCAATTATAATTTTTTCAATGCAGCTAAGAGCTTTTATCTCAGATATTTCCCTTTTGTAAGCAGTTGCGAATCTGCGACAACTGGCTAATTAGGTTATACTTCTTGATTATGTAAATCTGCTGAGTCATGTACCAGAACGTCATCCGGCCTGGAGCTCTGTTGCTCCAAGTTCCATGCACAGTACATCACCCCACTTCTAAAGATTGTCGGCACCGATACACACAATGGCGATCGATGATGCCTCGCCCCAGGCAGGCTCATACTCGGGAAACAATGCCTCAACGAACAAACCTTCAGCACCACCAGCAAGCCCTACCATACCGCCGAACTTCACAGGTCTTAAGATCAAGCCCGAGCTCATCGCCCGACCTGATCTATTCACACTTTACTTTGGATTCTTCGGATCCTCAAGCTGGCAACGCCAAGCCAAACAAAGAATCATCGACCGACTGGAGGGCACATGGGTTCTGACCGGCCGCAACCCGACACAAGAGGAGCTCGACGCATTCACCTTATACGCAACGAAAGGCTTGTACATCGGCAAAATTGGTATTCCAGCGTCAACTGCCATTGGCGCAGCATATTTGTATAGAAAGTCGGGCTCTATGACACCTGGAATTGGGTTAGCGGGACGCATAGAAGCTTACCGACGCATATTCCTGAATCACAAGCCGGAGTTCATGACCATGTTGTCTAGGACTGCATTCAAGATGTTGTTCATCGGTACGCTCGGTGGTATTGTCTCGGGCATGGCGTCGGCATATATCAATGTGGGTGGGGTTCTTTCGGATAAGCGGTTGGACCAGTTTAGAGAGGATTCAAGGGCTTCGAGTGAAGAGGATGTTCGCAAGCGCAAAGTGCAGCTTAGGGTATACATGGCTAAGAATGGCACTGGCTTTGAGAACCTTTCTGGAGCTAGTGAGCCTGATTCCGGTATGGGTGGTTTTGATGAAGATCAGTCTCAACAGCAGTACGACTATGGCGCATCTTCCGAGAGCCCGGCAAAATATGAGTCGCAGCCCTCTCGGTCTCAGCCAGCCTCTTCTTCTGATTTCTTTGGTGGTAGCGACGACGCCAGCCCGACTGCTCCTGAATACCGGTCTACGAACCCTGATGGCTCACCCATGAGCTCTTGGGATCGTATCAGACAACAAAATGCGTCATCGAAACCCCAGCCCCCCATGCCCCAACCCCCACAGGCATGGGGTCAACACCCCCAGGCATGGGGCCAACCACAGAACCAGCCTGGGCTGGGTTCTACTCCCCCTAGTGCCCATGACCGATACGAAAACGATAGAAATCGCGAGAGAGAGCAGGCTCAAGCGGAATTCGATCGGATGATGGAGGCGGAGAGGAATGCCTCTGATGAGGCCAGCCGACGTGGTTGGGGATCATAAGTCTTGCAATCTTACCCATCTCCCTACTGTACATTACAGCTACATTGAATTATTTCTTTCTATGTGAATACCGACATTTGAATTGAAAATCCCCTTGAGAACTCCTCGTACCGTTGTAAGCCTTCGCAGGCCGTAGGCACATCATTCCATCTAGTAAAGCCGTCGACAGTATAAACGAAAGATGAAACGTGAAACAAGACCAGCAATTTTAGCAAGGAAAATATTGAAACGAAAATGCTAAGACCGTGTATACAAGAATGCTTATATCAGGCGCGTAGGATGGCCGCAATTGGTGCACAAACTGATCAGGGAGATCACGTACATGAAAATGGATAGAGCAAGTGAGGGTATAAATAATGAGAGAGAAAGAGGGGGAATAAGTAAAGATGAGGGGGAGAAAATGATGCTTCGCTAAACATAAAAACATGAAAAGATAAAATCAAGATATCAAAGCGGGCGTCAAAGGCAAAGATGACATAGAGAATTCATGAACGGTCGAGCTTGTCAGACACCGTAGCCCGGTCCGGGTGTATAAGCACGTGAGTGTAGCAGTTCGTACGGCATATCATTCTCTATAGCAGTAGATCCCCATTCTGTTGCTGTGCCCCAAGGCTCAACGCTGCGGCTGTTGCCTCGAATACGCGTAAGACTGCGCAACTTGGTCGCAAAGCTCTCGTTCGAGCTACGGTTCCGACGATGCTCGTACGAGGTACGTTTATCGGACTTCGAGTCTCCGCCAACATTGACATGGATGGTTGGGGCGGCTGTCATCGCGCGAGGGATCATGCGTCCCATATCCTCGTTTTCGATTGCAACGTCGATGGTGGCGGAGGATTGACGGGGGGAGGTAGGATCCAAGGAGACTGGGAACGGAGGTGGAGGTGGAGGGGTATTGAGATGCTGGAGCTCGGGGAGAATGGGGGGAGGAGGTGGTGGGATTAGATCATGTGGGGCAGGGGTCCTTTGCATTGCGTTCTCGATTGTTTCCTCGATGCTCACGGTTACTTGGGGCGATGTGCCGGAGACGTAGCCGCCGGAACTGGTGCGACGGTGGCCCATGTTGCGGGCACGGCTGCTGGAGCGACTTCTGGGGAGGTTGGGGTTGAAGTGTGGGTGCATTGGTAGTTCGGATGGAACTGGGGGCGGGTTCATGTATTTGGATGCATGGTTATCTGGCATAGGGACTGACATGGACCTTCCGATTCTTTCGGCCGCTTCACTTTGGTATCGAGTATCTAGGTGCGTAGAACCATGGCGATCGGATGGGATGCTAGGAACAGAGGGTGGTCGTTCTTCACGGCCACCACCATACTTAGGGTGCCGCATGGCTCGAGGTGTGGCTGGCAACCCCATAGGAGGCCGTGAGCCTGATGAGCTTGAGTCGGAGCTGCTGCCATATTCAGGTGATCTTTTGGCTGGGGGGATCTGGTTTCGAGATGGTGCTCGGGGGAAGTAGGAGCCATGGAATGGAGGTGGGCTTTCAATGGGTGATCGAGCGGATTGTAACTCGCCTGGGAAGGGGATGTTGGGTGCAGATGGATTGCGTGCAAGAGAAAGTCGACGTGCTTCCAGTTCAGCAGCGGCCAACTCTCTCCTCTTCTTCTCAGCCAGAGACACAAATGGCGTTGTTGGAGAGACTTGCTCCTGGGGATCATTGGTGGTCGAAATGGGCCTGCTTTGACTGCGGCCATGAGCAAAGGCATCTTTTTCAAATGCCTTACTGCTCAGAACATCCTCTTGCCCAAAGGCTTTGCTGGTTAAGGTCGCCTCCGGTCCAAAGGACTTCGCGCCTAAAACCTCCTCTTGTCCAAATTTCTGATCATCTTGTCCATAAATATGGCTACCCAAAACATCCTGTCCGAATGCCTGGCTGCTCAAGGTGCTTTCTTGGCCAAAAGCCTGAGGTTTCAGGGTATCCTCTTGTCCAAAAGCATGAGAACTCAACGTGCTTTCTTGTCCAAATACCATAGGGCTCAAAGTCTCATCTTGCCCAAAAGCCATAGCACTCAGAACAGGCTCTTGTCCAAAAGCTCTGCTGCTCAACTGCTCGAGACCTTCAGGCTGAAGCGGGAGCTCAATCTCCACACCCCCCTGACGAATTTCCGGCACACTCTGAGAAACCTTGTTCTTAGACTCAGGCGAGCCCTCCCGTCTAGAACCATTTCCTCGTTCCGTACGACGACGGCTCGCACTGCGGTGATGCGAACGAAGTCTCTCCCTATTCCCAGTAACAATCCGAAGAGGATCATCCGCCCCATCGGATTGGGGTTCCTGCCCGGGAAGCGTCATCGGCAAAGACATTGGCAAAGGCGAGGACGGCGATCGAGCAATCGAGCCTTGACGATCCGTGCTACGGCCACGGGATGATGGATCTAACCGTTCCAGTGCAACGCGGCTTGCGGTGTGTCGACTAGAAGAACGCTGGCGATTGCGGGACCCTGCCTTTCTCATTCTGCTGCTGCTTCGAGCACGAGAGTGTGACTTCTTTCGTGTTTCGTCTCGTTTCTCCGATTCTCCGATGTGGTAGCGTGCGAGTTCATCAGGCGACATGGGGACTGGAGATGAAGGTGATCGTTTCGCGGGCTGGATATATCGGCGCTCGTTCCGGCCACGGTTCTCCTGGGATGCTTCGCGAGCTTGCTGAATTTGAGCGTTCTGGCTAGTAGCGTCGTCTGTATTTCTTCTACTTCGGCCGGAGCGGTGGCTGCGGTGAGTCTTTGCGTGGTAGTTTGCTTCGTCTAGACTGCTGATATACTGGTCTATGCTACGACTGCTCACGCTGGGGCTCTTGGCAGATGTATAGCTGTGTACCGTGGAGGTGCTCTTTGCGCTATGAAGCAAGCCAGAATGGTTGCGTGGGCTGGCAACTTCTTCTGTGTCAACGAGTTCGATCTGGAGTCCGTTCGGTTTCCTGTCCCGTGAGCCATTTCGAATATCGGAGTGGTCTTGCAATGCCTCAAAGACTCCTGCTGCGGGCGATGGGAGTCCTTTGATGGCTGCGAATCTATCCGAACCTTGCACAGCAGTCTGGGGGCTTGGTTTCATAGAATCCTGGGCCGGTGTATATTTTGTTGCCGAAAGTAACAGTCCATCGCCGGACTCATCCTGACTCTGCTCTTGACCGCTAATTTCTTCAGCCTCTGAGGTTGAGCCATAACCACTAGTGTTGTAGGAACGAGACCGAGAGAATGTTGGAGGGTGCACATCTACCGGAGTTTCGCCGATGGAAGGAAGACGGCGCCGATTAAACGCAGGTGTATTCGTCCGGGATGTCATTGCTTGATTCAAACTCTGAATGTTGTTGAGCTTCCAGGAGCCCAATCCACCTGGGGACAAGGCCGAGTCAGCCACAGCGGATTCTGCAATGGGTGTAACACCAGGTGCGTTTGTTGGTGTCCGATCATCTGACTTCAATCCAGGGAATCGGAACCGATTATTGGGTTGCGAGTCGAAGGATGTGATGAGTTTCAGCGCAGGAGTCTTCCCAGCGGAGCGTTGATTAGATGCTGACTTTGGTCGAGATGGAGGCATCATTTGTTGCATGGATTGCATGGGGTCAGGCGAGGTCATTGGTGATTTTCCCCGAATGATCTCGGCGAAAGAAGCTGCTTGTTGGGCCGCTGGTGAAGTCCATGGCTCAGAAGGTTCGGCACCAGTGCACATGAAACATCGAATGGCAAGTTGCTGCTGGGAATGCGAAACCACGTACTCTCCCCATCGTCTCACGAGATATGACTGGCGTTGCCAGTCTGATGGCATTAGGAGACATGTCATGAGGATGGCCTCCATGAAGTGATTTTGCGACACATAGACCTCGATAGCATCATTACTGTCTCCCAGGCCAAGCAAAATGGAAGCAGCAGTATGGATATCTCCAATTTCCAGTAGCTTTTGCACAAAGCTCTGTCCAACTTTGTTCGCCTGTGCCTGTCCACTCATTTGACTCAAAGCCAGAAGCATCCAATCCGATGTAGTCGTAGGTCCAGTACTAATCATCTCAGCCATCTGATCTGTGTCGGTTTCCCCAAGCCATTGCGCCAAAAGAATTGCACTTTGGCTTCCGGGTGCATGTCGACTCCACTCATCTCTAATCAAGTCCGAAATATCCCCTTCCCATCCAAAGACAACGCTCAGCATTTGTTGCCGTAGATCATCAGGGGTCAGATTGTTCTCATCGAAAGGCGGCTGCGACTTGTAGGGCACATCATTTAGACGTGCCCGCATGAATGGGAAAAGATCAACAATATTCCGCTCAGCCGGACTCATCTGCACCTCGTTCCGCAATCTAGATCCAGCGCGAGAACTCTTGACTGACGACATTGAAACCGACGAAGCATACGGGAAGCCGGCCGATGGCTGTGGTGTATCGCGGCCAGCCGATGTCAGCGAAAAAGTTGTCGAAGTCTGTCCTGATCGGCTGGGTGGCGAGAATGCACCAGCCCTGTACTTCCCAGATGAAGCCTTAGAGCTTACAGATTCAGTTCGGCTTCGTGATGAGGCCGGGCTAATCAGATCGGCTCTCTGTTGCCTCAGATTGTCAAGTCCGTTTGAATCAAATGGCGTTCGTCGCGTGGTCGACGGCTCCCGAATATCCGGAGGATCCTGCAAGCGCCGAGGAGACATTGTCTTTGATCTTTGGCTATCGGCTGTGACTGAGCGAGGGATGACTGGAATATGTTGCACATTTGCCACCATTGCTGGATTGTCAACATCATACTGCTGAACTGAGTTATTAGGACCAATGGTGAATAGTGTTGCTGTGGCACCATGGTTTGCCAGTCCTCGCACTCCATCCACTGTAGGAATCGGCTCGTATGTTACATGCTTTGTTCGAACATCCCAAGCCCATGTTTCTCTGTTGAAAAGTTAAATTATATCATCCGATGCCTACCAAAGCTTCACTCACCCTTCGAGGTACTGCACAATCTTTCCATTTTTGGACCATCCCATCCACTTCGGATCCGCTGAGGTAGAATCGGATCGTTTCAACACACGGATAACCCTGGGAGACTCCTTCGCCGGGGGCTTTGATACACTCCAAACTCTTAAATCCCCATTTGAAGCTTGTGTTGCCAACATATCTGATTTCTGCTTCGATGAGGAGGCATGCCAGGCAAGCGAGATAATTGGAGAAGGTCCGCGAGAGGTGGTTAAGGTGTGAAGAATAGTAAATTGAGGAAGCAGCGTTGCGATGAGAATTGATCCATTTTGATACCTGAATTTGATTAGACATGCACGCGTATTTATCATATTGATCAACATACCCAATAGCATAAGTTCGACAATCCATTGCCGGAGCAAGAGAAGTAATAGGATCGAAAATGGTGCGCGCTGAAATGTGTTCCGATGTCGAGGGCTCGAACAGAATTACTTCACCTTTGCCATTACCTAAGTATCATCAGCAATCATATCAGATCAATGATTCTATTTTGTCATACCAAAAGCGACATTGCCGTTGCGCATCCATGAGGCTACTCGCAAGTGCTCGAAAGAGGCGAATCTGGCGATTTCCGTGCCCGTAAAGATATCCCATACAATTGCTGTCTGGCCTACATCGTAGCTGACAACCAATCGACCCGCACCGCGCTCGCTCACATTATCCACTGAAATAAATTCAATATTTTCCTGGTGACTACTGAACCGACGATCGACTGCGAGTGTGTCATGGTGAAGGCATAGGATCGTGGAATCCTGCGCATATAGAAACAGTGATGCGGTTGCCGCACATGGCTCGAACCGAGGCTCAGTTGCTTGTGCTTGCGGAGCCATTTTTTTGACGATCGAGGGTCGCGATTCGGATGCCACGTTCCTATTCCATGTTAATCTATCCATTTTGTGTTTCAAAAGTTTTATATGCCTTGCAATCTGGGAGCTAACCACCAGAGCGACCTTGACAAATGCTAGGTTATTGCTCTGGGTCCCTAAATGCCAGGGAAAGGGAATACCCCACAAGACCAGATAGATGCAAAGAAAAAAGGAAAAGGGAAAAAAGAAAGAAAGATCAGAAACTAACCTGATTCTGCTCTGACCAGGTTGGGTTACTTAATCAGCCACGACCCTAGATGACCATTCAAGGCAGAGGGGAAAGAGCGCGAATACCGCCAGGCATTTGGAGTTGGGGGGAGACGGGATTTAGTGCCTGACGAGGCGAAAGGATTGCAGGAAGCTAGTTCGCAATGATATGGGCCTTAAGAAGGAAGCGTTGGAAGCGAGCTGTAGGTGATATGCGACGATATGCAACCAGGCGAAGATTGGCGTAGTTTGAATGCACGGAGAGGAAAGAATGAACAGGAAAGAAGAACAGGGATCGAAAATAAATTTGATGACCACGTTCATCACATCCCATAAGTACTAGCGTGGCTAAAAGGGCTTAAGTTTGTGACAGGATGTGGGGTGGAGATGGTAGCAGGGATGTGCATCTATACTATATACGCATATAAAACTCTAGGATTCTGGCGTCACCCTGGTCGTGGAGCCAAGTAATAGGGGGATGCGCTTACTCCGGTAGGACAAGAAAGCTCAGAATTCGACTGAAAGGAAGCAGAGGGGGCGCCGGTAGCCGATCAGAATCTTCGAGTTCCATCGAAGTAGAGCAATCGGGATTGGCGCCGGGGCACGACACAGGGCGCTTCATTTCACGACCAACCATACAACTGGGCCGTCTGGGAGGCACCTAGAATCCACCACTTGCCCGAAAAGATGGAGACAGTCAGAAGTATCACCTGATTGGAGACGGTGAGATCGAGCCTTTTTTTGGTGGCTGGGGTGCGTGGCTCTGGGTCGGTGGGACTGCACCAACGAGCATGCAGAAACGAGTAAGAAGTTACGGGCTTATAGATCAATGCAGGAAGTTCTCGAATCACATACGGGAACCATCATCTTTGGTGGGTCCTCCGATATCAGAGAAAGCGCGCGGAGTCGATCGTCCTAGAAAAGGCTCCACGACTCCAAAAGGGCCCGTAGACTAAGCCTGCGAGAAACGAGAGAAAGTGACAGGGCCGTTCATAGTAGAGTAAATCATCCGAATACATCTCAGTGGCTGTTTAAAGTGTGTCTATTGGATTGTATAGAAAACTATTGGGGAAAACTCGCTGCAGTGGCCCGTTGCGAAACGTGAGAATCACCCTAAGTCGAGTTAATAAACTGATTTTCCTTTTTTTTGCACTTTCTGAGACAAAATAACGGCAAAATCGCAAATCCAGTTGTGATAAAAGAGATCCGTGCAGGGAAGTTGACAAGCTGCACCTTTCGTCACGTTTCATCAGCCAATCACATCTCATCCCCGCTAATCCCTAGGCGCCTACAGTAACTCTACTCAACCAATGAGCATCCATATCTGGTAAGGAGGTAGGGAAAGTATAAGTGGTAACTTTATTGAGGGTCTTCAAGGCAGCCTATGGAATTTCCGTAAATAACTCAAACGGAGATATCTCTTGACCGTTTCTCCCCCTGGGGTTTCATGCTAAATTTCGAGGGAGATTATGCGATGATCGTGGGTTTGCGTTTCTTTCTCTTCATGCAAATAGGGGTACTCCGTACAGATGTCTGGCCTGATGTGATGTGACTGTGTGCTTTCCAGCCGGGGTCTTGCTTGCTGCACATCAAGCACATTCCATTATATCGTACGTTCCTACAGGAGCTTGGGCCTCCAAGTGGTATCGGGGAGAGGGACAAGACACACCCGCAGACTTTTGCAATCGAACTTGGAAGGGAGACTGCGTTGCACGATCCGGTGATCAATCTCAATTTTCACTTGCCTTGAATTGGTAAGAGTTGCGGAAAATCAAGTTGGAGCGGTTATGTTGATCAGACGCATCCAGTGACCCAATGTCACATTCATCATCCATATAAGATCCAAATTTATCACGAGATGCACCTTATATCAAGCCTCATAATTTATACAGTAGGGAATCTTTCTCGAAATTTCTATTCTAGTTGACCTGGTGACTTGACTCTTTAGCCTGTGATGACCACCTCTATATCCCCCGCTCTCTCGTATCTCGTGCGGGGCTTATCTGACTCACTCAACTCCAGTCAGCCTCGACGTCAGCCTCGACGACCATAAAATTGAATTGTTGATCAACAGTTCACGTATGATCCATTCGCGACTTTTCCCGCTATAACTCAATTATCTAACATTAAAATGTCCGACCACGAGACCATCGTGATCATAGGGTAAATTCTTAATCCTAAACGATCCGCAATATTAATTTCACAACTCAACAATGAATTAACAATATCACAGAGCCGGTGTAATAGGCCTATCAACCGCACTATGTCTCCAACAACACCTAAGTCCCACACAATCAGTCATTCTAGTTGCCAGAGACTTCCCTTCCGACACTTCCGTCAACTATGCCTCCCCATGGGCCGGAGCGCATTATCGGCCCGTCCCGGGGTCCTCGCCACAAGCGCTCCGTGAGGCAGGCCAGGCGCAGCGTACTTATGAGTTTATGAAGCGAGTCGCCGCTGATGAGCCGGGCGCGGGTGTCAGCTTCATACAGGGCGTTGAGCACCTCGAAGCTCCGCCGGTTGACTACTTGGATGCGCAAAGTGTGCGGAATGTTTATGACCATCTTGATGGATTCCGTCATCTTGCGAGTGAAGAGGTGCCTGATGGTGTGAAATGGGGTGTGCAGTATGGGACCTATGTGGTTAATTCTCCAGTTTATTGTGCGCATATGCTAAGGAAGTTTGTCTTGAAGGGTGGGGAGACCAGACAGTATACTCTTGCGAATATCAAAGAGGCATTTTCTTTAGCGCCGAATGTGAGGACTGTGGTTAATTGTTCAGGGGTTGGATTTGACGATCCAAAATCGATGATTATCAGAGGTATGATTGATTCCCTGGGACTGCATCGTTGAGGGTTATGTGCTGATGGAAGGCTCTCCAGGTCAAACATGCCTCGTTCGCAATCCTGTCTCGGCGACTATCACACGCCAAAATGAGGATGGATCCTGGTCATTTTGTATCCCACGTCCACTAGATGGTGGGACAGTCATTGGCGGGACGAAGGAGATAGATAACTGGGACCCCAATCCGTCATTGGAGACTCGAGCAAGACTCCTTGCTAATGCGACGAAGTGGTTCCCTTTTACCACAGATAGTGGTGGCAAGTTTGATGTGATTCGTGATATAGTCGGGAGAAGACCTGCCCGGGAGGGCGGGATGCGCATTGAAGTTGAGAACCTTGGGGATGGTAAGCGGGTGGTTCATGCATATGGTGCTGGGGGACGTGGCTTCGAGCTCTCGCGAGGTGTGGCGGAGGACACTGCCGCGTTGATGCTGGAGAATGGAATTTTGCAAGAGAAGGCGGCGCTGTAGTGACTAGTGATTACCTAGACAAATACCTGGTTTGCTATGATGTAGCCGATTGTCTACGTTTAGCGGCCGCAATTGGGCATAGGTGTACAATGTTCGAGTTTATTTCGTCATCAACTTGGAAATCATGCAATACTGGGAATAAACGGACTTTTTGCTACCAAAGCAAGCTGTCATAACAAGATATCAGTCGTTGAATCTTCCGTCACATAAGACACAGGATCTTCTGGAAACCCTCTGCCCTCGTTACCACCCACCTGCCATACTTCTTTCCTTAACAACTAGTGGTTTAAAGAGGATAGAATGAACAAGGTGACTGAGTGAGCCTTGAGTGACATGACGAGGCCATACAATGCAACCATCCGGTGTATGAGGAAACGCCGAATAGTAGACTGTAGCGATCACTCGTCACTGAGATCCGGTCCCCGTGGGCCGACACCGGCCTGTGTATAGTCGGTATTCGGGATCCGATAGGGAACGGTCCCTTCTCATGGGCTCACGAAACTGGTCTCGCGAGGAAGTGAGGGGGCTCAGCCCGCCGTTGGCACTTCGATACCAGGGATACCATTAAGCTTGCCCATTCGCTCCTCTTCCTTCTGCTCACGTAGTCTCTCAGTTTCTTCACGCAGCGCATCCAAGTTGAATCCGTCGTCATCGTCATCCGAATCTTCATCGCTGCTTCCCTCCTCGTCTTTCCAGTCACCAGCCTCGAACAGCGAGCGACCAGTTGCCTCCTTGGCCTTCTGTGCTTGCTCCTCAGCTGCCTTCTTGCTCAGGCGCTCTTTCTTCCACTTCTCGAAGGTCTCCGGTGTGACCGGTGTCAATTTACCGGTCAAGAGATGCCGTTCAGACTCCAGCCAGTCTTCCAAAGTGAGGGTGTTCAGCGGTGACTTGTCCATTAGGGCCTTCTCAGCTGCCTTCTGCTCCTTGGTCTTGAGGATGAATCTGTTGAGATGAAGATTAGCACCGCGAGCAAGGAACATAATAAGCAAAAGGTAAGTTCCACATACCCTGGAGGCAAGCTGTGCTTATACATGCATTTATCACCACCATTTGGACAAGTCCAGAACCAACCATACTTCTGGTTCTCCACAGCTTCAATAAAGAACTTGCAGACCTTGTCGGTAGTTGTCCGTGGGTTTCCATGTTTGCTCAAGACGACACTGCGCAACTTCTCCTCGTCCCATTGATCCATGGTATCAGCCTTCTTAGTGTCCTCCTCACCCTCGGCTTCACGCGAGTCGGTGTAAAGATCCTTCTTAGCCGCCTTGCGCTCAATATTCAAGTCGTGACTGAACTTGCACTTGCGACCCTTCTCACAACCACCCTTCTTGTGGAACTGGCACAGAACAGTCTTTGGGTCAACACCGAAAGGAACCTTCTGTACCTGAACAGGCTTGAACAGCTCTGCCGCTTCCCGCTTGGCATCCTCAGCGGCCTTCTTTTCAGCCTCGCGCTGGGCCTTCTCAGCGGCTCTTTTCTTCTCTTCGGGGTTTTTGTTGGACGCGGCTTGCGCTTGCAACTGAGTAATCTGTCTCTTGGCGGCTCCTCCTTTTTTCTGTTTAGTGTGTTAGTCAGTTCTGTTGTGGGGGCTTTGTGGCAGAGTTGATATTTGGAGCGTGTAGGGCGTGTGGATTTTTTTCCGGTGACGTACATTTTTCATGCCAAAGGTCTATGAAGGATTCGAGCGTTAGTGATCATTCACAGAACTTGGGAAAAATTCCCATAGGTCATATAGTACGACACGAACCTTGTCATCGACGGTCTTGACCTTCTTCTTAGGCTGGTCGGCCTTTTTGGGAGCCATAGTGACGGATTGGGCTGTGAAGCCGTGTAAATGGGAAAGAAAAAATTTAGGAATGCGCCCGGTCGCGCGAGTCGCTGTTCAAAATGGAAAGAACGCTGATGCAACCCAAAAGAAAGACGGGGAAAAAGCCCAGAAGGGAGGTCAGGGCAGTGTATGCTGTAGAAAGCTGTTGAAGAGAGAGCGAGAGACCCTCCACAAATTCGAGGGGTGAGAAGTGTGGCGGCACAATCTGTGACTGACCAATGACCGCCCGGGCCGTTCAAGTATATTCCAAGGATTGAAGTCAACGCAACCCCATGTAATTCTCAGTATAGGATGGAATACAAGTGATGAAGAATAATTCTAGATTTTATAGTCTTTGTGCCCTTTTCTACGAATTTATCCCTTAGTCTATGTAATTATGTGTGGTGAAGTGAACATGCTTGACTTGGAGGGACCATTTGCGTCATAGCTCCAGTTCTCCCACACACCACATCGCACTGTGGGAACATTCCAGCCCTCGTTTTCTTATTTCTTTTCTTAGTTCCAAGGCTGATAAAGTGAAATGCCAAGATAATTCGCATATTTTTACATTCGAGGATTTGATTGAATTTTTGATTTTGATTTGTAGGAAAACATTCTTGCTGAGCGGGCTTGTACCTACCTCAGTAGACAAGTTCTCCGTTTCTTGCCTACATGTATTCCTAAAGATGTATCCCCAAAGATAGATTAATCAGACTGAGAGTCAATTGATTGGGTCAAGCCACTCTCTACAAACATGAGACATCCCAAGCAGCTAAAGAAAAAGAGAAAGAAAAGTATCCGGCATACCATCCTGCAGGCGCCTGAATGCACCCGTATTTTTCATTTCTGGTCGTCATAGATATTCCGAGGGCAGCTATTCTTATGATATATTTAAGAAACCTCCTGAATCTTGGAGGACTTCTCGTCCTCGAGCTCGGGAAGGTCCTCCTGTAGCGTCATGGTTAGCAGGTGTATCATTTAGAGACGATCGAGCCTCCAAGGCCAATGTTACTCACATCCTCCTCCTCCTCAGCAGCCGCACCACCGGCGCCGCCAGACAAAGCACTGAGGTCGGGCATGCCACCGGCACCACCCATCATGCTGGTCAGATCAGGCATGCCACCTTCGCCGCCGCCCATCATGCCACCGAGCTTGGAGAAGTCAATGTTGCCCAGGCCACCCTCGCCGCCCATGCCACCCATACCGCCCTGTTCGCCCATGCCACCGAAGTTGTTGGCATAGTCATCCTCACCAGCCTCATCCTGCTCATCCTCATCGACCCACTAGATTTGGGTCAGTCCAGTATCTCACGAAATTCAACTGGGGAGAATACGTACCTTGTCGAAGTCGGTCTTCAGGAAGTGAACCTTCTTGCTGTCCTTCAGGAGACGGGGCCAGAACTCCTCCTTCAGCTCCTTCTTGCGCAGAACCAGCTCGACTTCACGCTCGGTGTGGTTCACTTTGCTGTTTTCGGGGTCGATCTCGGCGTAGAGGTCCAGCGATACGGAGTATGTGACGCCCTTGCCGGAGGCACCAGTGAAAGAGACGTTGGTGGGGGTGAGCTTGAGCTCGGCCTTCTCCTTGGGGACTTGAGCAGCCTTGATGCTCACGTAGAGGTAGTTGCGCTCGGCATCATCGGCCGAAGAGCGCTGCGCCCAGGTAACTGAAAAACCAAATAATTTCCATGTTAGCCTTCTTTTTCTTCTTTTTCACAATCTCCAAAAATCCATCGGAGCCGAATTGCAAAAAGCCGCGCCCCGCCAAATATTCAGGGACTTGAATAACGTCATAGTGGTTTTGCTTGCAAAATGTGCAGGTCCGAGTGTTTGGAGCAGAGCGGGGAAGTTGAGAGCTATCACAACCTACCTTCGGGGTGCACGGTAGCCATGGTAGATAGATGAGAAAAGTATGATCCGAGATTATTCGAAAGATGGAAAAAGGAAATGAGGCTTTGAAAGAGATGGAATAGTGAAGCGTAGTGTGAAGAAGGAGAAGCTCACGTTGAGAGCGTGCACCGCATTGACTTCACCTAATGCTAGAATGTACTGGAAGCACGGAACCTGTTTGCTTGGTTTGTTGCTTGTTGGAGCCTTGTTAGTCAGGCATTAGATTGAAAGCGTCGCAGGGTATGTGACTAAGCCATGTTCCCCTCCAAGTTGCCGCAGGCGGTCGCAATCCTGATAAGACATACACACGGAGCTCGAGCATTCCTATTGAATGGTTCTGCTCGTTCTCGGTGTCTCCTATCCCAGAATTATTCCTACCTCGTCGCTTTCTGCGGAGGATGCGCCTAGACCATCAATAATCCCGACCCAAGACCTTCAATCTACGATTTTGGTTTCAGACCAGCCTGAAGGCCCATACTTCTCTGATTTGTTGAATTTGTCCTAGCGACAATAGCTATACCATTATGGAATCTTTAAAGGCAGTCTTCTTTGGGCCTGACCCCCAAGTTCAGGTAGGCAGGACACCCGTTAACTGTCAGGTAACACCGCATTCAGTTCAATCCACTGACAGGCAGATTATCAGATGAGAAAATGCAATTCCCTTATTCGCGCAAATACCCGGCAACTCGATCGAGACCTTGCTCAGCTCAAAGCCCTTGATAATAAGACCCGACAGTTCATCATTAATTCCTCCAAGCGAGCCCAGCGAAACCCATCGCAAGCCAAACAGGCAAATAGTGAAACCAAGACCTTTGCCCGAGAACTGGTGCGGATTCGGAAACAAACCTCGCGGTTAAACACGAGCCGGGCCCAACTACAGAGTGTTGGGATGCAGGTCAACGAGGCCTTCTCCGTTCGCAAGATCCAAGGCAGCCTGAAGAAGTCGACGGCCATCATGAAGGATGTGAATATGCTGGTGCGAATGCCGGAGCTGCAAAACACGATGCATCAGCTCTCTGCAGAGCTGGTGAAGGCCGGGATCATTGAAGAAATGGTGGAGGACGCCATGCCTATTGATGATATGCTCGAATCGGAGGACCTCGAGGCCGAAGAACAGGTAGACAAGATTTTACAGGAGATTTTGCAGAGCAAACTTTCCCAGGCACCGGCCAAGCCCGAGTCGCCTGTCGAAGAGGCCCCTGTTGCTGAGCCTGAATTCGAGGACCAGGAGGCCACCCTAGAATCAATGCGGGATCGCTTGGAAGCTCTGAAGAGTTAATGTACTATTGGAAGTCCTTTATTTTCACTGTTTATTTCCCTTTTTATTCTTTGAAAGCGCCCCGTCCATGTACCTCTTCCTTTGTTAATTTTGGGAGGAGCCCAAGTCAAGATCCTATCATCTGTGTATGCAGGCTGGACCTACATAGAATGAATGAGTTTCAACTTCTGTTTCATCCAATCATTGTATGTACAGTTCACTTACTATTTTCAAGCCTACTCCTGAACTTGATTTACTAGAATATAGGAGAATGTTAGATAGTTATTATGTAAACCAAGGAATTACGTAAGGGTTGTTGAAATGCATGATATCAGCCTCGCTGCAAACACTGCAAACATCGCCGCCTGTAGTGCCCGACTCCAAGAATAGACTAGCGTGTCGCCCGCGCCCCATTGACTCCCTTTCCCAACCCAACTTGGCTCATTCACGCTCTGTCTTCTGCTTCATCCACGGTAGAAACAGCCCATCTATCAAGTTCTAACCCAACATCTCTACCGACCTTCTCTTTAAGGTCGATATCAATTTTCGAGCGCATTTCTCATCGACGCGTTCTTCCCGCGACTTCTTCAAACCGCCAGCTTTTCCCGTCTCTTCTCACAACCTCTTCATCATGTCTGCCAACCTGGACAAGTCCCTCGATGACCTCGTCGGTAACCGCCGCCGCAACGTTCGCGCCGGTCGCAACAACCGTCGTGGCGCTGCGAAAGCCTCTGTCGGAGGTGTGAAGAAATCTGCCAAGGCAACCAAGCCGGCCGCAAAGGCTGTCCACCCTACTCCTGCGCCAACTGCTTCTAGCAAGATCATCGTGAGCGGATTGGTATGTTCGATTATTTATTTATTCTGTCTGATCTATATGCTGACTTGTCCAGCCTGCCGATGTGTCTGAGGGCAATATCAAGGTATGTTGATCTAGAGGCCTTCGCCTTGGCTGTGATCGCCATCTTTGCTTTCGAATTCTTCGAGGTGCAACCAACTTCGACTCGTGTTCCGACCTGCCACTCCTCCTATACCCCCTTATGGTGGTTGTCGCCCCGTGTATGGCACAGACAGGTTGCTCCTTCCAAAATTGCTTCTGCGCATTCTCTGGCTGGCATCGTATGAAGTGGGAAGTTGAGCGCTGTCTAGTACTCTGTCAAGAAGCTTTTTTCTATGTCAAAGTTTTCTCAAGGCGATTTGCCCGCCTTGCGAATTCTGAGTACTGTGCCAAGGATAGGAGATCGAAAGATTCCTTCATGACCCGCTTTTCAAAATCCCGCTCCACTCTTTTTCCTACTTTACGTTGTTAGCTTCAGAGGGACATCAGCGAGCGCACCAGTGAACCAGCGGAGATTCTTTATGGCGAGAGGTTCTGACACCTACGGACTGGCTTGTCTTCTTGAGCTTCCAATTCGGGACTCTCACTGCCTCATGGGGTGAATCCCATCACAGTGATATGAAGCAGTCATCACCTGTGATCAACCACCCATCTCGTTACTTGGAGTACGATTATGAGGACATGACAAAACTCCGGGCTAGTGACATGCAGTGGGTGTGGGTTAGCATGTAGATTGCCCTTTCGGAGCAAAACCTGGTACTTGTGGCACTCGATTGATTGATTTTGAACTTTGGAATGCTTTTGAACGAAATGATTGGGTATTTGGGTTGGAATTGCGATTCACTGTGGGCAACGGTATCATGTATAAGTGGGCGGTCTTGCATATCGCACCAGTGGAAACTGTGTCATGAAATTTTGGCATTGGGGCTGGGTCAATGGATCACCGCCGTGTGCTCGCTGATGCTCTCGCCGATGGATTGTCTATGTTCACGAGTCGCCGTTGTTTGCCTTCAACACTCGATCACTGTCGATAAAGCTGAAACTATCAGACATAATACTGATCGTCTATCTACGCTTTAGGAATACTTCACCAAGTCTGCAGGTCCCATCAAGAAGGTGATGCTCACCTATAACCAGAACGGTACCAGCCGAGGCATTGCTTCGATCATCTTCGCCAAAGCCGACACCGCTGCGAAGGCTGCCAAGGAGCTTAATGGACTTCTGGTTGATGGCCGTGCCATGAAGGTTCGGAATAATCCCTCAATATAATGGTTTCCAATTATTGACCGTTGTCAACAGATCGAGGTTGTTTACGATGCCTCTCACGCCCCGGCGGTTCCCGCTCCCAAGCCCCTCAACGAGCGCATCGCTGCGTAAGTGTCTTCCTATGTCCCACTACATGTGGTGTCCAGGCGCTAACCCTTGAACAGTCAGAAGGCCAAGGCCAAGCCTAAGCCCGCCACTGTCACCAAGGCAGCCAACACCAACACCAACACTGCTACCCGTGGTCGTGGTGGCCGCGGCGCTCGTGGCCGCAACCCCGGTCGTGGCAAGCCCAAGAGTATCGAGGAGCTTGATGCTGAGATGGTCGACTATTTTGCTGGTGGTGAGACTGCCCCTGCTGACAACAGTGTCCCCGTCAATGGAGCTGCTCCTCAGGCCACCGTTGGTGAGGACCAGGGCATGGCCGAGATTTCCGTGAGTACTTTTATATTCCGAATCCTCGCTACTATACTAACAAACCGTCAGTGAATTTCGTGACAACATATTTCACGCAATGTCTTTTGCTTTCCTTCGCCAGATCTGGTGTGCAATCCTGGCTTTTTCTCGAGGGGGTTTGATAGTTGATGCGCGGGCCATATCTTCTGCCGTTCTTCCTCGTACCTCTTATTTTCATGTTCGTCCTTGGGCATTTTTTTTTTTGGGTTTTTTTATTTTTATTTTTTTCTTGTCATGGGACTTAATTTTTTCAGTGACAGACCAATGGTTAGGAGAATGGCATGTATCTACAAACGACAAACAACATTCAAAGCGAATATCTTGCTACTCACCTGTTACGTGTCAACTAAGTCATTTGTTTATCTTGGAAATCCCAATACATTCACCACGCTATGCAACTATTAGTAACGCCATAAGTCCATGGCACAATAAACGCCAAACGGAACCTTATTTCCTCGAATACAACCCAAATTAAACAAATGTACAATACTGCAGTTCCCCTCCCCTTGAAAGACCACCTCGTGGATGCACATTCTAGAAAACCCCCGCGCGCATCATGACATCATGGAACTGCTCTAGTGTAACACCCGCACTCAAGCCCGCGCCCCCATTAGCCTCAGCGATCATATCCTTAAGCAGATCATCATCTACCGAGTCCTCCTTCAGCTCGCGCGCAATGCGCCGTAGGTCTTTCAACGATATCGGCCCGTTTGTCCCGCGCGTGAAAAGCTGATACGCATGATCTACCTCCTCCGCCATGGCATCATCATCGCGCGACCGCAATTTGGCGGCTGCAACGGAGACAAACGGGCTATAGGGGATGTAGCCTGCGCTGGTAGGGTCGAGGGCGGAGAGAATCTCGGATAGTTCGGTTGAGTCTTCTGGGGGAAGGCCAAGGGCTCTGGTGAGATAAGATTGTTAGTATGTAGTTTGGGTAAAGCAGACGGAGAGAAAGAGAGAGTGACAAGATGTAAAATAGTGTCTGGGAGTATAGGTTGAGACTTTACATACACTAGTGCTTTGCGTACATCTTCTCGTGGGATGACACCCTCTTTCTCTGCAGGGAAGTCCTTGTGCTTATCAGCGAACAGATGGAATACCTCCTTTATTTCGTTCTCTTCTTCGGCACTGATATTGTTCTCTTTGGCGAGTTTGGAGGGGCGCGCACGCTTGGGACCTGCCGAGGAGGAGCTGGGAGCTCCGCGCCTCTGGGGAGGCTGTAGAGAGAGATAAGTGAGTTATGAATGTCGCTTAGTCTGCAGGAGTGGAAATGAATAGCTTACCATATCGGTATTCAAGAGAGGAAACACTGGCTGTCAATTTGGAGTAGCTTTGACTGTAGCTTTGAGCAAGAAGTGGAATGCGATGGGGCAGATGTGCAAGTGGGGCGGTGGCAGAAAAAAAGAGGGTTATATTTCACTTCGGACTGATCATAGTGTCCTTCGGGACATTTGGTCAAATGAAAATATACAGAGAAGATTAGCATGGCCCCTGCACTAAGGATGACACGCTCAATCAAAGAGAAGCTACCAGTTTTTTTTTTCCTTGCTGAAGCTTCGTTGAGGTGTGAGGCCATGTTGAAGATTTGACGACTTGCGTTCGAAACCTCCTAGGAACGTTGCTTTTTCCCATTTTTTTTAGCACTGTTCACTAAAAAGAACAAAACATATTTCACCGGTCAAGGAGACCGTACAAAATTATTCACTCCGAGCATTTCAATTGCGCAATACTTAGGCAGCCTAAAGCTTAATTAGTACTTGTTTTTCATCATTTGATACTCACAAGTTTCTTTTTTCTTTAGAAAACAGTCGAAGGCATCCGAACCCAAAGTGCTGACGTGATCCGATTGGTGCCTGTGCAGCCCTCAAGGTTATCAATCCAGTTCCGCCCTTATGAAGTATCCAAACAATACATAACAGCCATGGATGTTGAGCTCTATGTCTATGACCTTTCCCAAGTAAGTAATCTGTCTACCTAAGCTCGCCATGCGGTCAGCTAATTATCTCACAGGGTCTCGCGCGCATGGTATGTACACATCAGCTCATAATACAACGAATATGCAGGAATATCCGCTCACATGTCATGAAATATAGTACTCTGCGGCCCTGACAGGGACTCAGATGGATGCGATCTACCATACGTCTATTGTGGTTGGTGGTATGGAGTATTATTTTGGCTCAGGGATCCAGACCGCTCTTCCTGGAAGTACTCATCATGGACAGCCAATGGAGAAGATACATTTGGGGTCGACAGAGCTCCCAGCTGATGTGATTGAAGAGTATCTTGGCTCTCTAGCTGAAGTTTATACCCCGGAGGTTAGTGACAACTCAACAGGATCTACATCATGCATGGAAGCTAATATTCTTTAGTCCTATGATCTGTTTCTTCACAACTGCAACAACTTCTCCCAGGATTTTGCCATGTTTCTCGTGGGCAAGAGCATCCCAGAGAAAATTCGGAGTTTGCCTAGCACATTTTTGAACACTCCCTTTGGACAAATGATGAAGCCCCAGATCGAGAGTGCGTTGAAGGGGGTTACCCAGGGCGGTGGTGCAGCCGCTATCCCAGGACCAAGTGCTGCACCAGTGTTGCGACCTGCACCTGTACCTCAATCCCCATTGGGCAAAGTCCGCGTTGTCAGCAACTTATCTCAGCTCGAGAGTGAGTTGGCTGCGGCGAAAAACTCTTGCGCAGTTATTTTCTTCACCTCGTCCACTTGCCCACATTGCAAGGTGGTCTACCCGACATACGATGAGCTCGCAGAAGAAGCTGGCGAGAGGGCCAGGCTTATTAAGGTTGATATCGGGTCAGCTTATGACGTGAGCATGAAGTACAGCGTGCGTGCAACCCCAACATTCATGACCTTTCTCAAAGGCCAAAAATTGGATCAGTGGTCCGGTGCCAATCCGCCACAGCTTCAAGGAAACGTACGCATGCTCCTCGAAATGGCCTACCCATCTCATCCTCACCGAAAGCTCCGACTGCCCAGTTTTCAGCGGCACATCACCAATTTTGTTATGTACAAAAAGGTCCCGCCACTGGACAAACTTGTGCAAAAACTACCGGTAGAGTTTAAGGATGCGGCAGGCATCGCACCAGTCATAGAGTTCATCAAAGACCGTTATTCGATAGACAACAAAGCTCCTGCAGCGGATACCCGAGTCCCAGATCTCCACACCTTTGCAACAGCTCTGCAATCGATATATTCAACGCTCCCAAGCGACTGTCACTTTGCAGTCGTGGATCTCATCCGTCTCCTATTCCTCGACCCCCGCGTGAGTGGCTATTTCGCCGAAGAGTCACAACACACCACCCTTCTTACCCTCCTCTCACCACTGTCAACCGAAGACCTCTCATTATGCCCTTACAACCTCCGGATCGTCGCCCTGCAGCTAGCCTGTAACCTCTTCAGTACCGCTCTTTATCCCTACCAGCTAGCCTCAACCTCCTCCCCCTTACGAGCGACTTGCCTCGCACTAGCAACAAACTCCCTCCTAGACTCACATGCAAACTTGCGCGTTGTGGCAGCCTCTTTTGCTTACAACCTCGCTGCATTCAATCACAATGCTCGTTTTGATGGCAAATCGGATCCACTACCCGAAGAGGACCAGGTTGAATTGCTCGCCTCTTTGTTGGAAGCGACTTCGCGTGAGGACCAGAGCGCCGAGGCTTTGCATGGTCTCCTTTTCGCCCTTGGCCTTTTTGTTTACGAGGCTGACTTGGACGGGTCGGTGATTGATCTCTGCCGCGCGATGGGCGTTGCAGAAACTGTTGCTGGCAAGTCGAAGATAGCAGCTCTGAAAAAAGAACCATTATTGAAGGAGGTAGGAGATGAGCTTTTTGGGAAGGGTTTGAGGACCAAGTCTTGAAATTAATTGTGATGTTTCCGGTATTTCTTTCTTAAGATATCTATAGTTTGATTTAAATACCAAAGCTTATTTTCTGAAGAGAGTTACTGGGCGTGAACTGTAAAACGAGGAAGCTCATTTTCAGACTGTTACACTCACAGGCAGCTAAGTCAAAGTCAAAAGCCACACGTAGATACATAAAATAACGATTTGACATGTAGCACAACGATTGAGGAGCAAAGAAGTATCCTCAGGATTAGACTAGAACATATGCATCTCACGACCAGCATGGAACATAGCAGGTAGCAACTTCCTATTGTGGTCGAGGTCCCTAACAGGCGTCCGCAATGAAATAGGCACACGTTTCAAAGCACACTTCTCAATCCTCGATTCCAAATGCTGCGCCCAAAGCTCCGCACCCAATCCTCCAATTCCATAGCCCGTCATCTTACCCAAATTAATAGTCTTCTCCAGCGTATCTAGCGAAAGATTCTGCATAATCTCCATCGCCATATCCCAATCAAGATGATCCTTCTCATCTTTCTCATGAGAAGCCTGCATTTCCTGCGTGTGTTGCATCTTCTGCATCTCATGCATATTCGCACCAGCATTCTTCCAAAGCTTCTGTCGATTCAGATACATATCAAGCGTATCGCAAGTTCGCGCCTTCTTCTCCGTGGTGAACTGGTGCCAGTACTCCGTCAACCCTTGCTCAGGTGCTGCATCCTCGAAGCTAAATGCATCGGTTGGGATACGACGTCCGTAGAAGTCATTTCCGGCGCCGAGTTCCAAAAGGCAGAGGAACCATTTCGCTCCGGGGGCTCCTGAGAATCGAGCTAGGACCCATTCTCCGGCGACGCTGTCCAGGTTGGGCTTTTGAACGAAGGAGATCATGCGTGCGACGCGGATCTTTTCGCGAGTTTTCTCTAGTCGGAGTTGGCTGCGGAGCGTCTGCTTTCCGTTTTGTTGGATGGGGGTTGGGTTATCGCCGTCGGCGGGAGTTTCGTCGGGGTCGATGCTCTTGTTGATGACTTCTGATAGGTCGAGTTGCTGTTGCAGCTGGTCGCGCTCGCAGGAGAATGAGACCAGGGCCATGGCGAGTCCCGTGCTGACGGTGCACCATCCGTCAATCTTTTGGCCGCTGACCGCGGTGCGGACTCGAGATCGGAGCTTTTTGGGCTCGAGCATTGTGACGACTACCCTTTGAATATCGAAGATACCGCGGATACCACCACTACTCACTGTGATCGGGTTGGGGCAGACCATTCGCTTTTCTCGCTTTTCTTCATCCTGGTCTCCGCTTTCGCTCAGGGAATTGAGTGTATCGGTCTTTGCGTTCAATAGCAGCCCCGCATTGTACGCCGTGACTGGAGCATCTGCGTCGTTGAGAACCTTGATAGTCTCTTCGATACAGTCGTTCAAGACCTGGAACTTATCTACAGGAGCCTCGGGAACAGGGACTGGGGCTTTAGGAAACTCTTCCGGTTTCTTCTCGATCGGCGAGGGAGCAGCGCTCTTTTTCCATCCGAAAGACACCTTGGGCACTTCAAACTTGGGAACTTCAAACTTAGGTACCTCAAATTTAGCCGAACGAACCGATTCGGCCAACGAGTTAACTCGATCCAAACCGGTAGGGCTTGTTGCTCCAGGGCTGTCATCTTCAGGCGTGAACTCCCTAAGCTTCTCGACAACCTTGGCCAAATCTCCAAGACGGGTTTCTAGGCGGTCGAAGTTGGTTTCTTTGATCTTGGCAGCCAGATAGCCCAGATTCATGAATACGGAGCAGTCATTCGGCAGTTTCTTCGTCAGACCCAACATTTCAGCCAACAGCAGATTGACATGACTAGCTGTTTCACTTTGTCGCACACGTTGGGCTCGGAAGGATTTGAGAATGCGCTGGTTGGCGTATGCCCGAGATTTGATACTGGCGTTGGTTCCAGGATCCACGAAGGCTTCGATGCTAGATGGATACAGCGACCGGCCGTGAAGAGGACTACCGTGGTGTTTACCATACCAGTTAAAGACTGAGACATCGTTGTATGAGATCACAACCTCATCCAGAAGACGGGCCAGAGCTTTGGGAAGTCCTTCGGCGGGGAAAGCTGGGAATCGTACTCCCAAGATACCCATCAACGAATACGCTTGGTCAGTAGCGACTGTGGTGACTCGATCTGCTGCAGTGACTAGAGAGGTGCTGGCAGATGAATCCATAAGATCATAGCCATAGATCCAGTTGGTCAAGTTACCAATGTTGCTGAACTCTGCAATGGCCTTCCTGTCCTCGAGGATGGTGGTGTCTGTGGCATCTCTCAGCAGACGCAGCAAATAAATGAAAACTGCTATTCTGTTATTCTGATCCTCTTTAGCCGAGGTAAGTTTCGCCAGACAGCGGGTATCAGAATACTGCGGCATCAGTTCATTCAGGGTATTGGGCAGCCGATCAGCAGCGTCGAGTACTGCTTTGCCAATTTGGGCCGCGGCCGTCTTCGCTTTGATTCCATTTGGTGGGTAGAATCCCAAGATTTGAAGCATGACAGAGAGCTGCTGCTCAGTCGACATGCCCTCCTTCAGGTAAGGCTTACCATCCTTGGAAGAGGGTTGAGAAAGAAGCTTTTTGAGTCCCTCCATCTGCTCGTCGGAGATTTCCTTGTGCTTCTCAACAAACGGATGAATGAAGAATTGGGGGAGGAAGGGCTGGAGGAAGTAGAACGGCCCAATGGACTCGACCGGTCTGATCAATCGCTTCCAGTGCGAATTCACGTAGTAAGTGACCTTACTCAGCACCAGCTCTTGCAGCGTCCATCCACGCGTTGCCCATTCGATCTTGAACTTTTCCTTCTCTTTCTCGTCGGCCCCTTTCGCGCCAATCTGCTCAAAGGTCTCCATATTCTCAGGGACAGCACTGTAGCTGGGATTCTTCCACTCCTTCCATTCTTCAATCCAAGTGTCCTCAGACCTGGGGGTATCCACGTGTACCAGACAGAAATCGGCGTTCTCATACCAATCACCCATCAAAGCCAAGGACTCGGTCAATTCACCGCCGTCCGCCTTATTGATACAGCATGTATCGAGCCACACGTATCGCTTTCCTCCGCGGAGGAACTGTGTATCGAAGAGTTCCTTGGCAATGTCGATGGACTTGGAGATCTTGCGAGAGGACCGCATGTGCTGTAAGGAGCCCAACAACTGCTCAATTCCATAGCATAACTCGCGATTCTTCTCGAAGAACTCGATTATGGAATTGTATTTTGCTTGGTTGTCTGACGCTGCGGCGAGCTTCTTCTCCGCCTGATCGCGTCGTTCTTTTGCATCGTTGTTCAAACTCTCGATTGCCAAGATTACTTCTTGTACTCCAGGATCTTGTTGATCGGACATTGCTTTTTCCTTGGAGGGCTCTGTGGTCGTAAGAGCGTTGAGAGTCCCCCAAAGATTGTTATAATACTCCGTCTCTCTTTCGGCACTGGAGACACCAGCCGCAGCATCATGATGGACCCTCTGGGCTCTGCCAAAGTCATAACTGGCAGTATTGGCCTCGGTGTACCATTGAAGCAACGTTTGGATGTCCTTGGGCCGCTGTCCATCGGCTGTTGGGGTAACAGTGGGAAGCACGGATTCGATTTTCTCCTCCAACGCCCTGATATCAGCCTTGCACTTATTGATGACCCGACTCAGGTCATTGGAGGGCTCCATCACATCCGACTGGGAGTCTTCCATGGGATCAAACTTCTTGGCCGCATCAAAGTACCCGTAGCCGATCTCGGATCCTTTCCAGCTATGTGACACAATACAATACTGGTCCTGCATGCCGAGCGTATATGTTGGTACCATGTTCTTTGTTTCGACGTCAATCATGCGGTAGGGCATCTTCAATGCGTCGTCAGCCTTGGCAAGCCAGCTATCGGGGGCCCGATCAACAGCATCCAACTCCTCCTCCTCGTCGTCCACGAACACTGGCTTGACGTTTGGTGTGAGGAAATGGTTTAGAATGCGGCGAAGCCGGTGCTTCTGCTCGCTATCCATTACAACATTCTTGAGACGGGTTGTACGGTCGGTGGCCCAACTTGCCATATCAAAGGCCTCTCTCACTGCCGAGTTCGAGACAAGGCTGTCCGAGAGGGTCGCCTTCAGGCTGCTGATGGAGCCCATGTTCAAAACCGTGAGGTGATATCGTGGTGATGAATTAAGTTTTGGGAGGCCTTTTGAGTCACCGGTATATACAGATAGCAGAGCCGGCTAATCCGATCAAGGAATCAGAGAGGCAGACGGCTCCAAATGACATAAAAGAAGGCTGGAGTTGTAATTGAATGACTGGGAAGCCTATCAACTTGAAGCTTTCTTCAGTTCCACTTGCCACACAGATGAAGAGGGGGAGGGGCTGAAGGGCCAGTCTAGGGTAACCAACCAATTCCACGGACCACGTCACCGAAAGAGGGTTTGAGTGCGTTCTTTTGTGCGTATCTTTGCGGAGTCTGACTATCTTGCAGGGAAGTTGAGGGTCCACAGTGGAGACCGGCATGCAGTGGCTCATGACACGCTGGTCCACCAAGCTGAGTGCTTACCAGACTGGTACTTACCTCGTCAAATTACTGATACAATAGATCCATACACTTCATCTTGTAGCTTCTTACATCGTACCTTCCAATCTTCAACTTGACACCATGGCATCTTACCATCGAGTACTAGAAACCTTTGGTCGGTCCATCCAAGATAACTCCCTAGAATGTGACTGGTATGTTTATCGATGGTTTCGTCACTTCTCCTTCCAGACCTAACTGTTACAGTGATATTCATCCGTGGGAAATTTCCATCAATGGTAGCCAGTGGGCTGGCAAGATCCGATTGATCGGGTTTATCGACGTGTTCTTCCTAATCTCATACTCTGCCAACGCCCGATTCGAACATGGAATTATCGTCTATAGTCAGTCTACCAAGCGACACCTTACGACCCCACGCTGACAATCATTTAGAGGATAAATTAGCCGTGGAAGAAATCACAGGCCACATTCCCGATGCAAAAAAGGCCACAGAGAAGTCTATATCAGACCAGGACGATAAGAAGGAAATCAAAGAGGATGATGATCATGAAGGTGAGTATCCGGAGGGCAACCAACTGCTTCCGGGCGCAAGCACTCACCACCAACAGATCTCGATGACAGCGAAGAGGATCCAAATGCAAAGCCCGAGGAAGAATCCGAAACAAAGGCCAAACCGACTGAGACAAAAGCCAGTACGCCAGAAGCGTCCGAGGGCAAACCAACAGCCGAGGAAGCGACACCCGAATTCCGTAAAACCAGCCTGTTATCAATTACCAGCTGGGGACACCCGATCGGGCTGCGGGCATCGTATCCCAAGTCCTGGATTCAAAGATACAAGGTGGAAATCATGAAGCCGTGTAGTTGGGCGCTGAGCAGTGAGTTACTCCGTATAGCCCCGGTCACGGTAAGACACAATACTAAACCCAACCGCAGAGCGCATTATGCGGGGCCTGAAGCCACACAGCACTTACGATTTGATGAATGACGTGATTCGTTGCGGCATCATCACACAGGGTCAGCTTGTGGGTCACATTATGGGTGTTGTTCTCGCTGGGACGCAAATGGACGACACGGTCAAACGATACATTCAGGGATTGACATCGGGCGGGGATGCTGGACGGCAAGCATTGTCGAATGAGAAGATCTAGAGAGGATCTCAGAGAAATGGAAAACTTTGCAAACGGGAAATACTTGGATGATCAGACCGGGTGGTTCGGGGCTGAATTGGTTGTGGGCCCGCAGCTGAGCCAGCCACCAACGCCTTCTAGGATTAAGATAGTTTAGACTGTCGGACACACTTCAAAGAATTCTCAAAGGGAGTTTCTTGCCGATGAAAGATCTGACTAGAATCTACATGTAGATAGTCGGAGTAAGTACGAAGTACAAATAAGTATCTGATATGAACTTCAACATTTTGTATACTTCCCGTGTAAACAGTATGAACCATGGGTACGGAGTACATAGTGGAGTCACTCCATCTCCATAGCCAAGTTCAAGATGAATGGATCAAATCTGCTATCTCCGACCCACTGTGACGATTCGATTTGGTCCACATGTACGGTATACATGGTTTGGCACAACAATTGTAAATGGTATACCTAGTGTTGATCTCAATCTAATTGATCCCATAGTGCCGCGAACTATGCGTCTGTCCCCACCCTTGACAGTCGATCTCATATGAGTTCACAATTTGAGAGAACTCGTCTCCGACTACGGAAAACCCCGCTGAATCTTCAATCATTGGCTAGAATCTAAGCTAATCGACGAGCTGGTATGTAGACGGCTCACTGCCTCATCTTTCTGGCAAGTTCAGCCCAGTGTTCCGGTAACCACGTCGAGTGGATCCCTGCATGTAGATTGCTCCGTTCAGCCCCCTCAATTTTTGGATCGCATCCTTTTATTTTCCTTGCACACTGTACTCTGTACGCAGTATCTCTCTCTGTAAAATTTCAGGATTCTCTCACGGTCAGACTGGCCTAAGAACAAAATGGTCTGGTTTCCGCTCCAAGTTGACGATTCACCAGTCACCTGGAGCTTCGACATCGTCGGTCTGCTGGCTGTGGTCGGAGGATCCTCAATCGAAAAGCATGCACAAAGTATCACCGCCTCCCCTCTTGCCGGCTTTCCCCGTCTCCTGCCAGCTCCCGAGACGATGCTGGATACCGACCGGCCAGATCGTCTCCCCTCCGTCAAAGATGTGACCGTCGTGGGTGTTCACTCCGGTAACCAATTCACCGAACTCAACTTCTTTGCCGACGTCATCCATCGCATCGGAGGCCTGAAGCCATTCCAGTTCCAGTCCTACCGAATCACATACCAGAAGAAAGATGAGGAGGACCACGCGAGCTTCCTCCAGCCAGGCGCTCCCAAGGGCAAAGCCATCATCCCGCTGCATACATTCTCGCCTTTGAACCTTCTGACGCTGATCTCCGTCCTCATCACGATCGCATTATTTGTCTGGGCCGGTGTCGAGCATGATGCAGTCGGTCTCCTCGGTCTGGGAACCATGTCCATCTCCACCGCGACAGCCTGCCTGTCGGCACAATGGCGCCCGATCCTCTCGGTCCGAAAAGCCACGGGTATCGTGCCTCCCGGTAACGTCGTTATCCGGACCCGAAACGGCGCATTCATCGCGATCGAGTGCACTGAGGAGATTGCCCGTGAGCTATACGCTGGAACAGAAGAATGCTCGTACGTCTACAATGGACGTGTGCACCAATCTCTGCTCGCGACCAGCACGGTACTTCTGATGGCGTCCATTATTTTTTTCAGTAACTGTGGCTGGAAGATTCAAATTGCTGTTGGACTCGCGTACATCATTCTCAACCTTGCGTACTGGGCTATGGCGCTTCTGACGGAGCCGCAAGATCTCTGGAATATGGAGAGTCGATACAAGGTGGAGGTGCTCGCAGACGAGCACTCTGCGAATTATACCTTGGCCATGTGGAAGGCTATTCAGACAACTGGGAGTGTTCGATGGGTCAAGAAGGCTGGCTTCGCGCCCTCAACGAAAAATTGGAGCCATTGGTTGAAGGAGGCGAAAGAGAACTGTGCCAATAAAGAATGGGACCCTGAGGAGGCACGTGATAGATGGATGAGGATGAACTTGGACACCGATGAAAAGGAGGATTGATGATTTTACTTTAATTAATTTGTTGACTATCTATAATTCTGAAATTTAAGCCGGTCTTGCACTCAGGGCTGTAATTTTATAATATCACTACCACATGATAACTTATCTTCTGTTTCGTGCTTCGGACTCTGGTCAAGATTCTCATCCGACTCAGCATTTGGCATCTCGCAATCCCTTTCATCATCAGTAACCTCCTTTGCAATACCCAGCCGCGCATCAGCACGACGGGAGCAGCGTTTGTCGAAGCTGCTCGATATCTTGAAGATGTCATGCCGCAAAAGAATGGAACTAGGATCATCCAACATGATTTCTTTGAGTAAAATCTTCACACTAAGCCGTGGTTTAAGATATCCTCAATAGCTTCTCCTTTCCTCATGCGCTCAAGAAGATGCTGGCCCGGGTGCTTCATTAGTGACAAAGGCTTACGGATATCTGTTACATTGGTACCATGAGTATCAATCAGGCAGGAACCACCGACCTGGTAACATCTACGCCCAACAACAGCTCAGGGAAATTATAACAGACTACAATAGAGGAATGCCATATCATACCATACTGAGCCTCTTATGATCAGCACTTATGGGGTCACAATTAATATAATCAAGAACGACGATGCTCCGGATATATCTCATCTGTTCCCGAACGGATCCGTCATTTATGGTTCGGCAATTCGGCAGTTCGGCAGTTCGGCAGTTCCGGGGTCGGCAGTTCGGTGTTTGTACAAAAACAAATCGCCATACTAATGCCCAGGGGCACGTCAAATCGCGCTGAGTAATCGGCCGGTAGGCGTGTCAACATAGAATTCACACGTATCGGTTGAATAAATAGTTCTGCAAGATGTCTTAGTGGCTTGGACTGATCGATGAAAGTGGTATAACCATCAACCGGGAACCTATTGATCCCAGTCACTCTCAGACTTCGCTTTCCAAAACGCGATATTCAACCCTTTTTGACCGGACCATGGCATCCTTCCAGATGACGAGGTCGGGGCTAGTAAGCCTCAGCAGGTTTTCGGCTGCAGCAACTCTAGCCGGCGCAGGGGGCTGGCAGCTATGGACAATGCATTGTTATTTCGAGCCCTTTGGACCCGAAAGTGATCCTATCTTTCAGAGCGATCACTACCAGCGTCACAATCCGGGAGATCACCCGTCACTGAAAGATTCCTGTGTGCGAAAGGTGCCTTTATCACAAATCCCACCTGAGTTGGTAGAAGACGCACTCAAGGGGGGTTCAAAGCTCCTCGAGAGGTTCTGCGCGGGCGTATGGGGTGGTTACGGTGAGTGGTTTTGAGCTTCTAGAGTTCAAAAGACTTAGAGAGCTGCTGAAAAGCTGACCAAAGCTATCAAGAGAGTGTTACTGACTGAATTCTTCTATTCTCTATGTACAGGATACGCCATCCAACGGAACATATTGGCTCGACTGGGACGGAATGGCTCAAGTGAAGAATCAATACTGTGGGATAAAAAGCAGCTGCTAAACAGTACTTACGAAGAAGGTAAAATTCCCGCCAGGCTTTAGGCTGGATAGCAATTGGTGCCAGACAGGAATCTCACTGACGTTATAATCCAGGGACCAACGTAACTGATCACTTCATCGTCATTGGGAAATCTCCCAGATCTGTCGTCTTATGGGGAGCCCATGCGCCTTCAGAGAATCCAGAACTCCCACGGGATATGGAGAACCTCGCCGAAGTTACTGCAGATATCAACGTAGACCAGGGCGTGGCCGAGTTCAGGCTGAAGAATATCTTCTACAATGGCGTTGAGCGGACATCGAAAGAGCTGTTTCCGCCACCGATCGTGTGGCTGCATTTCCAATACTGCAAATTGTTGCTTGAGGGAGGAGTGAGCCACTGCACGACGTAGATGTCTGCTGTGCCTGGATACTATATTGGGCTCCTTGTCTCTTGCCACCTAGGGGCATTTCCGTCTTGGTGACACTGTCTGGAAAGATGTGAAGTATCGGCCCAGGCCTCTGTCAACCGTGTATCACTTTATCATTGCATATGTATTCTATGAAAACAGTATTATGTCTAGTGAAATTTCGATTTCCTTCTCAGCTCTCGACAGAAGACCCAATTGAGCTTCCTTCCCTGGTATAACGAAACATGATAATATGAAATGAACTAAAATAACATTGCTACAGAATGTGGTTTTATTGGCTCCTCGCTGCCAAGCTACGAATCCGTGCCGGTATTCTGCTGCGACTTGGATATGGCACGGACATAAATACCGACAAGTTCTGCAGTGAAGTTTTCGAAATATTGCAGGTGGATGACTTCGTTGAGAGTTGGCTTTCGGATGGGGATACTGTGGATTAAATGGGGACGTTCTGCAACAATTCCATGTTCTGAGTTATGTCCGGATCGAGGGGGTTCGAGATTATATCGCAGAACAGAGTCAAGACGGCGGTGATGGCATAAAAGACGACGACCCTGATATGAGGAGCAACCGTTAGTATTGACCATGCGTCAGCTAACAAGCGGGGACCGGGGTCCCAAACCAAAAGCACTCCGGGTTCACCACAGGCAGTACCCTTAGCAGATATAACAATGTTGAGCGACTCGCCGTAACAGAAAGCCTTTTACTTGAAACTATCCCGTCGATTACCGATCTTGCAGGATCTGTCCTCAAGATTTGGCATCTTTATGCCTAAGACCTATGGAATGATTCTTTAGCGCAAGCAGAGAACCATACAGACTCACCGTCTCCCGAACGACATCATGTACAATTTGAATCCAATCTTATTCATAGTATTCTTGCCCTTTTTTTGAAACCTGGGTTTATCGCCTGCTGGCCAAAAACAAAATCAACCTCTCCATTTTTCACATATATATCATCCACCGCATTTGGATATCAAGATTTATTGTTGCTTATTCTCTGCAACTAAGAAGATGCCGGTATGTTATCTAGGACCCATTTCACTCCATCAATAACAATTTCCGGCTGGGTCAACTGAACAAAGTGACCACTCTCAGTGGCGAAGATAAGCTTGCTCTTTGTGGAGAGTTTTAAGAATTCTTTCATGAGACCCTGATTCTTCGCATCGACTGTCTTGATCAAATTTCTCACATAGCTTCTCTGCTCCTCAGTCCCGTTCCCCTTAGCAATGCCGGCCTTATACAGTCCACTCCAATCCCTGCTTCGCGTGCCCCCAATCACGTAAACCGGTTTGTCTCCAACAAGTGGCTGCTTCTTGCTCAGCTCCTTCTTCCGCAGCGTCTCGAAACTTGGCATGTAGTTCTCCAAATCCTCCTTGTTCGCAATCAGCTCAAACTTCTCGGTTGTTTCCGCCGCCCTAAATGCGTTCCACTCCTCCTGCGTCAACTTATGCCCCGCCTCCACGCCCCAGGCAGAGTATGGTTCAACACCCGCAGCAACAGTCCAGAGGATTGGATTGTTTACATCCATCACTAGTGGTGCTGTCTCATGGTTGGCGTCTACAAGCACCAGACCAGCGATTTGGTCAGTTCCCTTCAGGGCGATATACTCGTGTGTGAGGACACCGGCCCAGGAGTGACCCACTAAGATCAGAGGATTCCGGATAGACGCCCTTTCGAGCAAAAGAGAGAGTTCCAAAGCAACATTCTCAGCTGAGGGAGCGAGCGGCGAAGACTCTGAGTTATGATAGCCGGAACGGTCGTAAGTGTAACTTCGCAATGTGGAACCCAGCAGCCGCACCACAGCTTGCCAGTTAAGGGCATCGCTTGCCACACCGGAGATGAATAGTATAACGGGATCTCTAGAGCTGCTGGGCTCTGGGCCATGAGTGTAGAGAGCCAGAGAGTGAGTGCCGATGTTGACGAGGCGGCCGTTCGAAGGAAGGGTTGAGTCGGCCATTATGGAGTAATGCTTTTATGAATTCTTGAGTTTCGTATATTGAGTGGATTGTGATATCTAAGGCTGTTCACCAGCCAAACCAGTTGCACTATATCGCGGTATGACGTGATATAGTGATAGAGGGGTAAAGTGAGGGAGGGGCGGAGAGTCTTTGCGAGAGAGGCGCCCAAGAGGATCGCTAGTTGGCGTTTCATCTAGATACATCTCTAGCGTTGCCACACACAGTTAGATACCGCACCCCACCAATGTTATAATTTCTAAACACAGGGGTCACTCGGTTACCGACCACGTTATAATGTCTATTCGGGGATTATATAAAGAGTTTAAATTGCCTATGATTGGGTGACCATCTTTGTATTTCCAACACAAACTATACAGCATTCACATTCTACAGTAAACTGCTATACCAAATGCCAGTGAACGCATGTGGAAAGCTACAGGAGACATGAATTTGTGGCGGATCTACTAGGGAGAATTGAGTCCCAAAGTGTGATATGAAGCAAACTGAAGAAGACACAAAATAGGGAAAGCTGCAACGGCACGTCAGCGTAATGTACGGGCGAGTCGGACGTACGGGCGAACCGAACACCTGAGACACTATAATGCTGCTATGGAATACAACCGATTGCTGAGGCCGCTTTGTCAGCGAGGAACATGGTTGAATGCCGTCATAAATGTGCGCGGGTTTGGTTCCTACAACTCACCATGGTTTTATCACATTTGCTACTTCGGACCCGTAGAATAGCGAAAAGAGATACTTAGCAATGAGTCATGATACTTTTCAAAAAGGGCATAAGGTAAGTAAGTTCGGAAATAAATATGAGATCAATTTTCTTTTCTGCTTCTCTCCAATACCTTCATCCTTGAGGCTTTCCAATTCTTAGCTAAGCGCCTGCACTTGTCTGTCGAGCGGCCTACTCCATACCTGCCATGGAGCATATCAAGCAGTCATTCACTAAGGCGAAGAATTAGAAACGTGCTGCTTCGGGAGCATATGTTACCGCCGGGCATCCTACAGTGGAAGAGACGCCATTAATTCTTCTCAGTTTAGAGAACAGTGGCGCGGGTACGTAACTATTAGCATACGTCAAGATTTGCATATGAATTTTACCTGATGCTGGATGATTCAATAGATATGATCGAGCTTGGCATGCCATTTTCAGACCCGATTGCGGACGGCCCATAATCCAAGAGGCCAATCTGTTTGCTCTTGCTAGTGGTGTCACCGTGCCGGGGGTGTTAGAAATGGTGCGAGAGGCAAGGCTTCGGGGTCTTAGGATCCCTGCCCTTTTAATGGGATACTATAGTCCAGTTTTTCGCTATGGCGAGCAAAGACTGTTGAAAGACTGCAAGCAAATGGGCGTGAATGGATTCGTCCATGTTGACCTCCCGGTCGAGGAAGCAGTTCGGTTCAGAGGACTCTGTGCCAGTAATGGGTTCGTAAAATTCACTTATCTTGCTGAGTATAAGCTAAGACTTACCAGGCTTTCCTACATCCCCCTCATTGCTTCGTCTACATCTATTTCTCGCAGGAAATTCCTTTGCAGTGTAGCTGATTCATTTGTTTACGCTGTTTCGAGAATGGGCGTTACTGGTGCTTCCAAATCATTAAGCTCCAACCTTCCACAATTTCTTGACTGAAACCACACCTATGCCCGTGATACGCCTGTTACACTTGGCTTTGGCATCAGTACACGAGAACATTTTTTATCCGTGCAAGACTTGACTGAAGGCTGCATTATTGGCAGTTAAATTATCAGTACTATAAGCGCCGCGCCACCCGGCCAGGCTGCTCAAAGCGTTGAGAAATATCTATCTGGCATTACCGGCCGCAAACTCGAGAGAGATGATCACGGTGCAGTTGTAGGTGAAGTCACCGTGCTTGAGTCACGCGTGCCAGCTGCGAGGTCTAAGGCTATCACTGGAGAAAGTGCGCGTCCCGATAAAACAGATTCGGCAGATGGGCAGGATCCGGTTCCATCCATGCGTTTTAGTGAATTTGGTGGCCAACACGTCTCAGAGTCTTTGATGGGCTGTTTATCCGAGCTAGACCGAGGCTTTGAAGAGGCACGACAAGACCCTGCCTTCTGGGAAAAGTATCATTCCTACTATCCCTACATGGGAAGCCCTAGCGGTTCATATCTTGCTGAACATCTTGCCCAAAAGATTGGAGGTGCAAAAACCTGGATCAAACGTGAGGATCTCAACCACCCTGGGAGCCATAAGATCAACAATGCCATGGGCCAGATTCTCCTAGCTCGAAGACTAGGAAAAACACGAATCATCGCCGAAACAGGAGCCGGTCAGCATTGAGTAGCCACTGCGACGGTCTGCGCCAAATTCGGAATGAAATGTGTGGTGTACATGGGCCCTGAGGATGTCCGCCGTCAAGCTTTGAATGTGTTCCGTATGAAGCTTCTCGGCGCTGAAGTGGTACCAGTGACAACTGGTAGCCGCACTCTGCGTGACGCAGTCCACCAAGCCTTGCGCGCGTGGGTTGAAGACGTTGATACTACCCATTATATTCTTGGGTCTGTTGTAGGCCCTCACCCTTTCCCTACCATTGTGCGCACCTTTCAATCTATTATTGGCCAAGAAACAAAAGAACAAATGGGGAGTGCCATTACAAAGCTTCCTGACGCTGTTGTTGCCTGTGTCGGAGGAGGTAGCAATGCATCTGGGATGTTCTATCCTTTGCTATTTGAGCCAAATGTCCAAATGTTAGGCTTTGAAGCTGGTGGTGATGGCCTCAATACATCCCGTCATTCAGCGACCCTTTCCGGAGGTAGTAAGGGCTTCTTTCACGGAGTATACACCTACCTTCTCCAAGATGAAGATGGTCAGATCTCGAGAACGCACTCTGTCTCTGCGGGTATGGATTGCCCGGCCGTGGGACCTGAACTCAGCTCCTGGAAAGACAGCGGAAGGGCCCATTTCATGGCTGCCACCGATGCTCAAGCATTGGCTGGTTTCCGCGCTCTGGGGATGTACGAAGGTATTATTCCCGCGCTTGAATCCTCTCACGTTGTGTTTGGCGGCATTGAACTAGCCAAGACGATGAAGGAAGGCGAACAAAATATCGTCATCAATCTTAGCGGACGAGGTGATAAAGATGTTAGCACTGTCGCTGATGTCCTGCCTCATCTGGGACCTGAAATTGGATGGAATTTGCGGCTCTGATATTTGATACTAGGATTCCAATAACGAAAGGGTGGTAGTTATAGGTGTGGTGTATCTTGGGTAGATTGCGCTGGAGTTCTGCATCATATAGAAGAGTACAATGTACCTAGAAATTTCAATACACGACGTACTGATGCAAGAATTCCATTATATAGATACATAGCTGGATTTACAAACCTTCTAAACCCACTATCCATTTGTTGACCCTGCTGGATTTAGGATATCTGCATAACATGGATATTGTGGTCTTAAGAATGCCAATCAGCTCGAGTGCAAGATGCTTGCGAGCGTGACAATTAACGATGCTTATATAGGAATCTACAATACATGGACGAGTCCGCGGCATGAAGAATTTTGGTTTAATAGTACTTATTTTAGTGGTCATAGGAGACCTTCACTGTCTCCTATAAGCCACAGACCTAACAGACCCGCGTCGATCACTCTTCAAGGGACCGAGGAGCCCAAACGATTGAATCAATCGGTGAAAAAAAAACAGTAAATGTTTCATGACGGAAAAACGCATGATTTTGCCATGCCCTTTCCTTTCTTTTTGGTTGAATTGCGAAGCTGTGGGTCTGCTGGCGTGATCCATCAATCCAGACCTAGGGCTTTCTATCACCCCACCGATAACGGCAGAGAAAAATGGACTATTGTGGGGCTGAGGACTGCAAGTGTTTGTAGCATGATATGAAACTAGGTGGGTATACTCTTGATCTCCGAGGCACTTTTCTCGATTTCCATAAACATCATTCAGAATGTCTCCCAGACAAATACTACTATCGAGTCCATTGGTTAGCGATCAAGTTGTGTCATACTATGCTCAGAGCCCATATTGCGAGGTGTGATTCTGAGGTTATGGCTCCGTTGCACCGAGAACTGCATCTTCCTTAAAGGTATGTCAGATAAGAAATTCAATAAGAATCATAACCAAGTACGCACGGTCGAAATATCTATCTATCTTAAGGCCCAACCAACCCCTCTTTGGGTAGCACTTATCTAGTCCATAATAGGAAAGCTTTGGTGGATTCCAAAGAATTTCCACTAGGGTTCTATACCCCACATCACCGAGTATAAATGGATACACAAGGATCGCACAACAATACTCTAAAACAAAATTCTATTTTTTCTCCGTAAATATCCGCTTGTCCGATTCAACAAGGAAGAAACACATTGCCGGTGAGTCACCATGTATAGTAGACCTTTGACGATATCACAGGCATCGGAAATGAGATTATCCCAGCATAGCCAATAACTACCGTTACCTATCCGGCGCTCAGCTCACTTCATTCCAAATATCCAGGCTTCAGGCGTACCACATGCATACAAGTTACCCAATGAATCCCTGAACCTCGGGGAGCCTTACCGACAAAGAACAATGGATTATCCGAAAGAAAGTATCGGACTCGTGTCACAGTACTCCGTAGGTAGAGATAAACGCAAAGCCAAAAATCAAAACAAAGACAATACAAATAAGCCTAGACCGTCGAAATTCTCGATTATAAATTATCAAGAATATCACGGTGTACACGGCCCGCAGTACACCGAGTTAACTCCCCTCGGATAATATCCGGGTAATCGCCGGACCCCATCTACCGGATCTAACTATCCAGGGTGGCAATATGCACCTCGTGGGATGTATTAGCGCTCCCGTGGGATATAGGTTAGCACCAATACAACCTAAAACGAAAGGCGTTCCAGGGTTCTAAAGGGTTCTATTCTTATGGTTGGGTGGAAAGGGTCCAATACTAGGTACCCGTGGCTCTGGCCCGGTTACCAATGAAAGAAGCAGGGACCAACACATGTTAGTAACTAAGAAGAAATGTACATACTGTGCGGGTTACGGAGCTCGGAGTTGATTGTCTAGATTTTCATTTGCATTTGCATTTGCATTTGCATTGGTGACTGGATTCGATTGTGTTTGGATTTATAATGTGAAGTATCGCTCGCCCCACGGGCGGAGTGTGTTCCGTAGTGTGGCCCCTGATCTAATATTATAATGTAATCTCAATCTCACCGTTGCGTTTGTTCTGCAGGGCTGTGAGTGCCAGATGCGAGTCACACCCGTGGGGCGGTTGGGTTGGACCCCATGCTACTGTAAACGGAGCGAGCACGAAGAAAGCCGTTGACGTGAAAAAGGTTATTTTTATCCTTCGTACTGATACATTTGACTTATGCTACGTTGGTATTTACGAGATGGAAAGTAAAAAGTAGAAAATATTTCGTAATGGACGGGTTTGTTTGAAAACCTAGCTAAGCTACCTAAGTACTAACTACTGCCCAACGAGGGGATGCCATGGCCAGATCACAGTTGCTCACCGACACTCGGGAGGCAGCAAGTTTGATGTGATGGTGGCGCGTGGCGTTGGCGCATGGCGTGGATGATCACAGATAGCGCAGTGCGCGCGATCGGGTAAAATCCAAAAGAAAAAAGAAAATTCATAAAAATCGGCGATATCGGGGCGAAAATGAATAGGGATGGTACAAGACGGGGTATTTGGCGGGGGTATCTGAGCTGAAAATCACACGCTAGAGAACGGCAGGAAAGGAAAAAAGAGAAAAAACACCGGGTCCGCTTCGGGATGCAACGGCCAGAAGACCAAAAGTAAAATCGAAAATCAAATGCAACTCCCGAAGATCATCGGAGGGAATGGGAAAATATGAGTCAAGGCTCAACCAGCGGTGTGGGGGGATTTCTGGAAGCGCCGACAGCGAGGAATTAGGTAAGCGCGGGGAGGTGCGGAGATCTGCGATAACGCGTTGTTTTTGGTTTGTTGGCCTTGCGTTCGCTCAGTGACTCAAAGAGTGTGGTCAGATTGATCCGGTGAGCTCGGGGCGAGTATTGCCTTGCAGTTGGCGATTGGACCCCATCATCTGATTCGCTGTTGGTATCACGGTGATGGATGATAAACAGTTGGTAGATGGGGTCGGAGGGGTAGACGTGGGGGTGGAAGTAAAGAAATTGTAAGGTTTGATCTGAAGACAACAAGCTATTGCACAGCGATAGCAGAAGCGAAGTGTAGGTAATTCAGTGAGCGCCCGCGCTGCACCAGTAAGGTGAAGGCAAGCTTAAGAGCTTGATACCTTAGTGGATGAGTGAGCGCGTCGCTTGTTGGCAACGACCCGACGCTTCTTGTTGTTCTTTGATGTGACTGTTGTAGGTGTAGCTGTAGGTGTGCGCTCGGTCGCTACTGCATGTGTCTTTGACTGTCGAAGAGCTTGAGTTGCTCGTGCATGGGCATCCACCTTTGCCAGGAATCGCGCGCGGTCCTCTTGTTCGGCGGCGGCTCGCATGCGCTGGAGTTGTTGCTCAGTGGTGATCGGCTGAGGCATGGGCTCCTCCTCTGGTATCGGGTTTTCGGGCATCCACAGCAGGTCTTCATCGGAAAGATAGGCGTTATTGACGAAGAGGTCGCATGAGTTGGCGAGTGATGCACGGTTCGGCCATGACGGGAAGGCACATGCTGCACCCATACCATATTCGCTGGAGAAAGACGATTTGCGAGGGTTGATGTCGTAAAGAGAGTCGGTAGGTGTAGGAGGAGGTGCTGAAGGGTTGGAGAGAGGCGAGCATTCAAAAGAACTGCCACTCCAACTGAAGCTAACCTGGGCAGGGTCGGTGCTTGCCACAGGAGCGACGATGGGGGCTTTGGCAATAGCCATATCGCGTATGCGCGACTGAATAGGAATCATGGTGTATGGAGATGATCCTAAGGGTGTGGGGGTGGAGGAGAAATGAGAAAGCGAAGGTGGAGAGGGAGAAGATATAGAGAATGTGAATCAGGGAGATATAAGTCAAGTCTGGGCCCCGTGTTTTAAGACGGTGTGTGGGCGATAGATATCAAAGCCGGGGAAAGGCTTCTAGACTTCCCGCACCCTTGCAGTCCCGACTAAGACAAAATAAAAGAAAAATAATCCCAAAAATGGAATAATAAATCCAAAAAAATCGGATGTGGCTTCCGTGCAGCAGATCAATCAGAAATCCCGGGTCAGAATCGAACTCATCTGGATTTTTGACAACCGCCCCAGTCGATCAGTGGCCGCGATCGGAGTATATCGATTAGTGAGATCCCCCTTTTGTTGTGTCTTTCTTTTTTGTTTCCCCCAAGCCTCTCTCAAAAGGAAATCAAAAAGATCCGCCCCTTGCGACGAGTAATGTGTTCCCCGAAAGGGCTACCCAACTGCAGCGCGGGATCTGGTCCGATGAAAATCAGATTGTGCGGTGTGTATGGCCGCTGCGATGGAAATCTTCCAATCAAGACACTCCCGACTCACCGCTGAATGAGGAGCAGAAATGACCAGTGAAGCAAGAAAGATGTGCAGATAAGTGGCTAAAGGCAGGGAAAGCATCCAACCCAAGCTTGTTTGATAGAGAAAAAGGCGTTTGGCGGTCAAAGATTGATAACAGTTGCATCAACACGTCAACACCGAGTATTTGGAAGATTTGGAATCAACGGAGAATCAATCGATGAGATAGATGATAGATAGATTCGAAGTCAAAGAAAAGATCAAAGGAAATGGAAATTTCTCATGAAAGGATTTTTCTACTAGTTCCGCGTCTATGGAAGTTCTAGCCTTTTGGCGTGGAGATTATGGAGTCCATAGAAACCCTGCCCGATTAGGCTCTTAAGCAACGGTCCGGAAATTGGTCTCGAACGCCGTTTACTCCACAACAATGGGAAAGCGTTGAGCCGGTTAAATGCAGTGCATTCCTGTCAACTACTTTACTATATTTGATACATTTATAATTAATCCCGGCTGTTTACTTGAGCTATTACTATTGACGGAATCGATTTTTCGATATTTGACTCGGAATGACGGCTATGAAAAGATTGAAAGATGAAAAGATGAAATTACTAATAAATGGAGAAATGAATTTTGCACGAATCAGTGGATCCCAAATTTACCCGTGGGCCCCCCTGTTCTTTGTTTCATACCTAGATCAACAAAGAAACTCCGTCGTTCTCCGTCTGATCTGATGTGATCTGGTCTGATCTTTGGTTGATATTTATTGAGATCCAACATCATACTGGATTCGATATACTAGATTCGATAGATTTGATCTCACTGTCATTCTTTATTTTTGGTTGTGTTTTATTTTTTTATTTTTTATTTAATTTTTTACAATTTTCTTCTGATTACTAAAGCAGACTAGTGACGGGACATAACGCGCTTCCCCCGACACTAAGTGGGGAAGGAAATCCGCCTTCCTGAGTTCCCCGACACCTTCTGAGTTTTCCAATGATCTTCATCTTATACGTCCATGGAATTTCATCGTGTCCCATTTTTTAGCATTCAATACATCCAATATGCCATGTACTCCATTTTTTGTGCGTCGGCCCGTCGGGGAACCGGGAAAACACTAAATATGAAATCCAGTGACAGCCACACTATCTAGAAATTAGACACTTCATTTTCAATGGAGTTGACAGGTTCAGTGTCGATCGGGTAGTTTGGACGGGCCGCGGCCCAGGAAACCATCGTGGTTTTCCCCTTTCCCGGTTCCTCGGTTCTGAATGAATGCTTATTCTCGTAGATTACTGTGGTGGAGAACTGGCACCCGAAGTGGACCTCGGGCAGCAAAGGAAGGAAAGGAAGGAATGGGGCTGGACCTCCTGAATGATTCTAACTAATTATCTAAGTAACATTAAGTCGCTTTGATTTCTCTAAAGAGTGGATCAAGTGAAGCTACTGCCGCTAAATAGTAAGCAAATAAGAAAGCACTAGATCTTAAGCTCAATTTGTCCACCTACATGGGTATACCACCTACCTGGTTCACATCAATCATTCCGGGATTTCCCTGCAGCGCCATCTGCATCTCATATGCAAGATCTCTGATCAAAATCGAGAAGCAAGGGAAATTATTGCTTCAGTACATCGGAACAAGAAATCGACAATAACAAGCTGGTCCAGGCAAGGTCACAGCTTCACCTCTCTCAGAACTTCCCCAACCCCCATAGATTGAACATAACATTGAACATCTTCATACTGTGTACTCCAGACCGACTACATGTAGATCATGTCTAGACCCAGCTCGCCGCCACCCGATCAGTAACAGCCACAATGCTGCAAACCCGCCACAATGCACGACTCCCCGTTCGATCAGTACTTCTGCAAATAGGACAAGGGATCCAAAAGCTGCAGAGCATCTCCGGACGTACAGCGCGGATGCGTCTCCTCCAGTCCGAACCATGGCGACCAGCTTCTCCCCATGGGGGACACAGCTTCGCGCTCGGGTACCAGATGCGCCCCACTCTAGAGAATGTGACAAGGGAGGCTGCATAATCACAGAGCAATCAGAACACAAACTGTCCATTCTGCATTTATGAGTAACCCAAAGCCCGCACCGGGGCTCCCATCCGCGAACCCGGCTCAGCGATCGACGCCATTGGCTCTTAGCCCTTAGCCTTCCCTCACCGTATCTAAGACGTGTCGAGGATTCAAAGTCAAAGTCAATCGGAACACGGGCATGATATCATATAACAGGAATCAGCGGCGCCTCCTGACTCATTCCATAGCAAGGGGATGCCACCGTAGCAAAACAGGAGCTGACCTCAGCCATTCGACCTCTCCCTCTGCTTTGATCACGGTCCTGAGCGGCGAGGAGGTCCGGGGAAGGCGGGGATAAGCATTCCATTGGATGGGTACTTTCCTGCCAGTCAGCCAGTCTTGAACACTGTCTCCGGGAAGGAAATTCATTTGCAGCCATTTAAGAGGCCTGTGTGTGTCGTGTCAGTCGCCGGGTAATATGTGTCGCCACCGGACGCGTACTTCCCACCACCATCCAGATCCGACCAGTCTACCCGCAGCCTATAATTAATTCTGCTTGGGGGAAATTCTCTATCTTCTCGAACACTTCGACACCGCAATCAGCATGTGAGATTCCGGGATTCTCGTTTTGTAAATCGGCTTGTCGCAGAGAGTTCGCATTGGAGCGGACGGTGCGACTTCGTTGGTGTTCTTGGAATTGCCTCTTAGGTCGATTCTTGAGCTTTTGTGTAGCCGCATTTTCTGTCAGTCGCTTTTGGATTTACATTTGTGCTGGTCAGGTACATCCGCGCTCCGACACGTTTAGCCGATGGAAGCTGTGCAGAATGGCTGGGATGATGTGTTTGGGGGATAGGACTGGGGCGTACAGGGTTGACCATAATATCCGACCCGACATGATGCGGACATAGAATTCTGGACTTTTCAGGCAAGATACACTTGGTATTTCAAACAATTAGATGAAATTGAGGATGCTTAACTTTGAACTTGAAATGAATGTCACGTAGACTAATGAACTCGGCTGCTTTCAATGTTGTGTCTATCGGAGGCTCGGAGGCTTGGATGTACTGTACAAAAGTTATACATATATATCGTGAACCCAACAACACCATTGGTTTGAACATTTGAATGTCGCCACCGTATCATGCTGCACCTATTTCAGTATGTACGTCGAGGACAATTGGAGGTAGATGAAAGCTTGAATTAAACCAGCAATTCCGCCAGTTTATCTGACACAACATCATCAATCTCGTCTGCTTCAGTTCGATCACTTTCATCCTCCTCGTTACTCACAAATCTCGTTTCCAAGAGTTCTAAGGTGTATTTATCCGGGTCCCAAGCAAGAACCCTGGTATCCAGCTCTACAAGTTTCAAAGCCACATATTTCTCCATCTCCTCTTTCTCTTCGGGTTCCAACAAGTCAAGTCTCTCCTTCCAGACATCCTCAACAACACTAGTCGTCGTCCCAAAGAATCGCTGATCAATTTTCTGCCAGAATATAGCATCAAAAGCAAAGCTGTTCCTCGCTGCATAAACAATCCAAAATTCTCCACTCTCCCAGCTATCTCGCATAAAATCAGAAAGTCGCTGATCTTTTCCCACACAAACCGGTGCCTCCTTGAGTTCCTCATCTTCGCGAGACCTCATCGCCCGAAGAAACGTCACTAATCGTCGCTCATATTCAGTAGACCAGTGGTCAAGACCTTGGGGCCAGTATTCAGGTTTCTCGATAAGAAGCCACCAAGGCGGTGCATGGGAAAATTCCACCGGGGCGGCATATGTGAACTCCCAGTCTACGACTCCGGCGATCTTCAAGTTGTTCATGAGGGTGTTGCCCGGGCGGAAGTCGTCGCACCAGAGTTTGAACGGGCCCTTGTCAGACGATTTTTTCGTGAGGGTATGCCCTCGCGCGAGTCTGCGGAAAAGATATCTCGCAACAAACTTTCGCCGACAGTCATCGGCTGAATGGATGGCGTCGTTCCGCTGGTTGATTAGGTGTTCGATGTGGAGCTCTGCGAGGGCTTCAAAGTACGAGGACGCCGTCTCGAATGTCGTCTGTGGTAATTTTGACTGCGGGAGTGATCCTAATTGAACAAGATCATTCATAGGCATTGATAGAGGCCGATATATTATGTCCCAGGTACAATCATCAATCTGTGCCAGAGAACCAATCCTTGGAAAAGATGGTCTGAAAAGTTGAAGAACAACACCCGCGAGTTCTGCATAAAGAGCCTCTAACTTCTCCTCATTGATATCTGGGTCCAGAATTCCCCGCTCTTGCTTCGGACATCCCGGCGTGTTGAGAACATCGTACATACACGTATCATGCTCGATATAGTCCATGATGATAAACGGACTAAACTCTAGAGGAAAACCTGTTTTTGTACCCCAGTGCAAAACCAACGGAATTGGAATTGAGGTTCGCTCCCGAATGTATCGCATCACGGCGACTTCATTACGAACCTTTTCTTCAGGAAACATCACCGCCCCAGGCTGTGGGAAACGTATAATAGCGGAGCCATTTTTGTATTTCATACGAAAGGCCACATTGAAAGAGCCTATTGGGAGGACTGTAAAAACCTCAGGATCGTCGGGTCTATGGTGTTGAACCAGAAACTCGCCGACCGGGCTTAAGACTTCTGGGTCGATCAACTGACGGACCCAGCTCTCGGCGACTTCCTCGCTTTTCTCCCAAGCAGCATCATCGTAGCGCATGCGTGGTTGCATGTCTGTCGAATATCGAAAGTGAACAAGACATGATGAATCGCGCCAAATGGCAAGTTCTCACCATCATGTGATGCAATAGCCCCTATATTCCGGACATGCGGATAGTGACATGGCAGCGGTCGCGACTTGCTACTGGGGCAAAGTGACAGGGATGCGTGGCGCCAGATCCTAGTCTGTTTTCGTCTGCATGTACGGAGTACGTGTTTATGATAAATGTTTCTTGCCTTTGATGCCAGCAAGTTTAGCCTAGAAGGTGCTAGCGCTGATAATGTAGGTTTCAAAATCTTGGAAGATGGTTGCATGAAACTGGTACTTTTGCCATCTTCTTATCACTATCTTTTATCTCTATCTATATCTCGGCAATTGTTGATAAGCATGGATCTATGATCTATATAACTCTTTGTCATCGCATTTTATGCTTATTTTTCAACCTTATTAGAACATTGGATAATGAAGAAAACCTCATTTCAAGTTAGAAAATGATTCATGTTTGAACTTATCTCTTGTCGGACAGTCCGACAACAATTCTACTAGAAAAACAGAAGCGGGGTTGGACCTGCTATCTCTAGCCAAGCTCGCGGCTCGCCTCCACTTCCGATCAATTACCTCTTGTCTAGGCTCTTATCTATCTCCGCGGTACACTAAGAAACTTACATACCCGATGGCAAAGCCAAGACTTCAGGAATGATAAAAGGATCCCATGTCGCGAGGCCGTTCTTTCGGGTTCTCTTCCTGCCAGTTTGACCACTCGTGATTCAGCATGGAAAAAGAAGTGAAAACTGAAACAATCACGCCCGCGTCCCTTAGTGCAGATGAGGAGGTGGCAGAGGGTCAATTTGGCAAAGTTGAACTTCAGGCAGAGACTGAGGATGAGAATGTCGAGTACAGCTATGAGTCCAATCGATCTCCATTCCCTGAAGGTGTGCGATCGTATCTTTTCAATTGATTAGACTATGAATTAACATATTATCAGTGAGGGCTGTTGTCCCTGAAACGGATGACCCCACCATGCCCGTCAGTACGGTCCGCATGTGGATCCTGGGGATTGTGTTTACAATGCTGGGATCTGGAATTAACCAATTCTTTTCGCTGCGATACCCATCAGTTCACATCGTTGCGCTTGTCGCAGAGCTTCTGGCCTACCCGATGGGTGTTTTTCTTGCAAAGACTCTCCCGATAACCACGATATCCCTCGGACCATTGGGTTCTTTCATGCTGAACCCAGATCGACAATTCAATATCAAAGAACATGCTCTGATTGTGATCATGAGCAACGTCTCATTTGGATATGCTTCGGCCGACGCGACAAACATTATTCAAGCTTCCAGTGCAGCGTTCTATGACTTCAACCTGAAGCCTGGCTTCTACGTGATGATCGTTCTCTGTGCCCAGTTACTTGGCTTTGGAGTTGCTGGCCTCACTGCTCCATGGCTGGTCGAGCCTGCTCGGATCATCTGGCCGGGTGTATTGTCCAATTGTGCCATGCTTGAAACGCTGCATTCGCGCGCTAACACTGTCGCTAATGGATGGCGCATCTCTCGCTTACGGTTCTTTTTATACGTCACCGCGGGCGGATTCGTCTGGTACTTCTTCCCGGGCTTGATATTCACTGCCCTATCATACTTCACTTGGGTCTGTTGGATCGCACCCAAGAACGTTATCGTGAACCAGCTTTTTGGAATGCAGACTGGTCTGGGTATGAGCCCTATCACATTCGACTGGAGTCAAATAGCATACAACACGAACCCGCTGCTTTCTCCTTCGTGGGCAGCACTTAACGTCTTTGCTGGGTTTGCCGTGTTCTTTTGGATCGTCACTCCAGTTCTCTACTACAAGAATACCTGGTTCACAGCATACCTCCCGCTCATGACCTCTGATGTCTACGACCGAACAGGCGCAGTCTACGACACAGCTCGCGTTATCTCCTCCAGTAATACCCTGGACGTCGAAGCCTATCGCAAATACTCACCCCCCTACCTCGGCGCAACCTTTGCCTTCGTATACGGTCTCTCCTTCGCATCAATCACCGCCGTTCTATCGCATATCGGAATCTGGCACGCCCGTGACATCTGGGCCGCGATGAAGGGTCGTAACAGACTCGACATTCATGCCCGTCTTGTTCGCGCCTCCTACCGCCGCACACCCTGGTGGTGGTACGCATCCATCATCGTGATAATCATGGCTATGGCTATCGCTATGGTCGAAGTCTACCACACCAAGCTCCCTGTCTATGGTGTCTTCCTTGGCTTGATCATCCCTGCGATCTACATGGTTCCCTGTGGCATCGTGCAGGGCATCACGAACGTCGACGCAAACCAGCTTAACGTCCTCGCCGAGTTCATGGGTGGATACCTCTTTGAAGGCAAGCCGCTGGCAAATATGATTTTCAAAATCTTGTCAACGGACGTCGTTGGACAGGGCGTTTATTTCGCCATGGATATGAAACTCGCGCATTATCTTAAGGTGCCTCCGCGGACTACGTTCTTTGCTCAGGGTATCGCTACCATCCTCGGTGCCCTAACCCAGGCTGGCGTGACGATTTGGATGCTAGGCAATATCGATGGAATCTGTGAGACGGATCAGAAGGATGGGTTCACTTGTCCCAATGGCCGGACAGTGTACTCTTCATCAGTGATCTGGGGTCTTGTTGGACCCCGTCGTCTGTATTCCATTGGCCAGATATATTCGTCGCTTTTGCATTTCTTCTGGATTGGACTTATCGCCCCATTTATCACTTATTTCCTATATCGCTGGACAAAAAACCGCTTTTGGAAGATGATCAACTGGCCTTTGATCTTTGTGGGAACTTATAATGTCCCACCGGGTATGTTGCAGGTCAATAATCTGAGGAGTTTCGATGCTAACGAATTTCATAGCGACTGGAATCAACTATTCCAGCTGGGCACTCGTCAACTTCGTCTTCAATCACATTTTACGCCGCCGCTTCTTTTCTTGGTGGACCAAATATAGTTCGTCGCTTCTGGTCTTTGAATGTGATATTTTGCTAACACGCTACTTCAGACTATATCCTGGCTGCTGCGCTCGACACCGGTCTTGCACTCAGCGGCATTGTAATCTTCTTCTGCATCTCGTACCCCGGTGCTACGTTCCCTGATTGGTGGGGAAATACGGTTTACTTGAATACTGCGGATGCAGAGGGTGTTTCATGGCTGAAGATGCCGTCGGTTGGATATTTCGGTCCTGCTAATGGGACGTGGACTTAATTTATACATAGTATAGCACTGGAGTATCTAGGCGGAATTCAATACATCGATACGAATATTTCATGAAGAGAGTATCAGTCTTTCAGAAATAAATATAATTGCCTTGTTTCGACAAAATCTTGCAGATACATAAGCCACAAGCAAAACCGCCAACCGCTGCGATTGCGCGTTCCAATTGCCCAGGCACCATTAGAAGTTCTTGAGATAAGCCCACTACCCATAAACGCTAAGAAAATGAACAATAAGTGTTAGAACTCAATATAGACTAGCCAAGTACTTCAAAGTAGGTACAGTTTTTACCATTTCAGTTTTCGCCTTTTACCTCACATGTGCATGATCAAGTTTGTCAATATTGAAGCGATTACAAAACGAATATATCTGCAGAAAGCACACAAATCCCAAAACTCTTGAGCAAAGCTAGTAACACAATAAAATTTAAAGTAATCAAAACACACAAACAGTGCAGTACAAGAACTTCATTCGAGTATTCCTTTATAAAACGCCTTCCCAAGTGCTCTTTGCAAACCCCGATTGGCCATCATATGAGCTTTCGCTAGTTCCTTAGTAACATACTCATCCCCCGGAGGCCATCTACGCAAAGATATCTTTGGAGTGCCAGGCTGTCGACTGAATTTAAATTTGTAGATCGGGATGACCGTTTCACATATGTGCGCAGTACTCGGATCATAGTCATAGTTGTGAATATCGAGGATGATATTGATCCACCCAGGCATGCGGTTCACGTCAATGGCACGGAGGAGGATTCTCTTGTCGTCTTCCCATTTTGGGAAGATCTCCTCTATAGTGTCGGATGTGGAATTCCAGTACGATGCAGAGGTGAAGTAGTTTGCAGCTTTCAGATTTTTAGTCCTAATTCTTAGGATAAGTCGTTTCTGTTGGGGCTTGCCAGCTTCGCCGAAGACCTTGCGCTGGATACTAGTGTAGACGAAATTGGGTGCTGTTTGAGGAGTAGTGATCATGGGTACTAGTATGTTTGGGCAGCCAAATAGACGGATTGACTTGAGCATATCGGATATGCGATGGCCACAAATATGATTGCGATTGAAGTCAGCTTGCCTAGACAAGTTTTTGTTCGCGGTCATCTTTGTAACTTTTTCACCTTCACGTTTGTCGTTCTGTGGCTTCTTCCCGCAAACCTGTTTGAACTTCTGATGAATGTTAGCGAATTCTCTTTTTCCGAAAACCTTCAAATCCTCAAAGCATGTTTGAGTCCCCACAGTTGTTTCTTGTAGATGCATAGTTTTGATTGCGATAGTTCCATAGACGAGTTGTGTGCTCGACAAGTTATTGATCTGGTTATAGGCGTGGTCACGGGACCTGGTTTACTACGCCTTGTCAGGTGTCGACTAGTCCCGTTGGGTAAGGTTATGATCCACGGTTGAGACAGACTCGAGTCATCCGATTTACGAGCAACCTCTACCCTGAACACCATTCTAACATTTTTTAATTTCCCTCCTTTTTAATACATTTTTGTTTCATCATGTCAAGTTAGTAAAGAAATCCGAAAATACGAGTGAGGGTCTAATGAAAGAAGCTCCGAGTATTATTCCAACATCCGATGTATCCAAGGAGAAGGCAACGAATAATGTAAGCCCAACTTGGAAGTCGTTTAAAGAATCTCTCAACGACGGAGACCGGGCTATGATGAGCGACCTCGTGACATCCTTCCAACGCACAGTTATTGAAGGCAAGCCTTCGGTTACGCTTGTCGATACTTCTGCTGGTATGAACGAGCTACTAAGCGCTCTGGCAAATCTACCCGTTAAACCTCCCTCATTGTATGTCGACCTTGAAGGCGTTGACCTCAGCCGAGACGGCACGATATCAATCATACAGATCTTCATCCTTCCTCTAAGGCGGACATTTCTGATCGACATCCACATATTGAAAGGCAAAGCCTTCTCCCAGCCAGGGCCATCTGGATTAACCCTTCGTTCCGTTCTTGAATCACCTTTGATCCCAAAGGTCTTCTTCGATGTCCGTAATGACTCGGACGCGCTTTTCGCCCATTATCAAATCGACCTTGCTGGCATACAAGACCTCCAGCTCATGGAACTTGCAACGCGAAGTTGTTCGAAGAAACTCGTCAGAGGATTAGGAAAATGCATGGAGTATGATGCCCCGATGACCAGAAGAGAAAGAGAGGATTGGAAACGCACGAAAGATACTGGACGAAGGTTATTTGCGCCGGAATTGGGTGGTTCTTATGAAGTATTCAACATTCGGCCACTAACGGATGAAATCTTGCAATACTGTGCGCAGGATGTTCAATTCTTACCGAAGTTGTGGCAGAAATACCATGAGAAGATGAGTCTGTTATGGGAAGTGGAGGTGGATGCAGAATCAAAACATCGTGTGAGGCTTTCGCAATCTCCTACATATTTTGCCAAAGGAAAAGATAAAGCCTTAGGACCAAGGCACTGGTCCTAAGGCCTTGGTATCAAATTGTTTAGTTTCAAGTGCCCACTTGTTAGGTGCTTGGTCAAGTATTTTTGTATCCCTTGACCTTTTCCTCATTGGAAGGCTTCTAAGGCTTTCTTGACCCGTCTCTGCTCAGGGGCTCTCTCAAATGCTCCCCAGGGCTCTAAAGTTGAAGGTTAAGCTTGTATATATATATAGTTATAACTACTTCGATGTTGGTAGTATCCTAATCCTCCATTACAGCCTATGGCTATTCATTGTGCAATCAACATCAATTTTTGAATTATACATTCATGCTCTGTCAAGTACTATAAAGCCGCCAAAAACAAAACGGATATCATCACTCGTAACCCCTTAGCTCCTTTGCAATCCAGCCTGAAAATGCTAAAAATGACCGATCCTAGGAAATACAAGAATAGTTTAATCGAAAAATATGGTGCAATTGTACACTTCTCAGAACAGCTCCTCGAAAGCACAGTTGGGATGCAACACGTAGAGAACCTTGTCGTCCTCGCTAGGCTGCTGAGTGCTGGAATTTTCTTCCATCATGTTTGATGAGATGCGTAGTAAAACACGGTCCTTTAATGGTGATTAGTTTTTTATTCAAATCGTGTGGGTATTAGATGTCATACCTTGACCATGCGCTTCAGGACCTTGGTGGCCAGCTCGCGTTCGCGATTGTAATCCTCTTGGGTGTCCATCTCACCCTCAATCTGCTCCAGGTACCAGAGAACCAGGTCCTCGTGCTCAACACCCTCTCCTTGATTGACCTCGTCTTCATGGACTCGGCGCACAAAGAAGTTCATGATCTTTGCGTACTTGTCATAGGTGATCTTGGTCTTTGTACGCTCCGGCTTGGGCTGGGCTGCAGCCTCCTCTCCGTCCTCACGCATCGGGCTGTCACCGTCGCGGTCACGATCAGCCATCTCCTGATCCACATCAGCAGCGGCCGGTGCATCCTCATCAATCTCAACGTCGTCTTTCTCGACAGTCACGATACTCTGGCGCAGGAGATCATAGGCCTCCATGACGAACTTGGGAGTAACCTCTTCAACACAGTTGGCCTTGGCGACGGCCTCGGACAGACGGATCAAAGACTCGAGCTGACGGACAGTAATGCGGTAGGATGAGCGACCCATACCACCCTGTGCGTCGTTGGCGCGGAGCTCCTTGTACTTCTCAACAAGGAGAGTCTTGGCCTCATCAGTGAAAACCGGGCGGAAGGTGCGTGCAAACTGGATGTAGCGCTGCAGCTGCTCAGTGCTCAGCTCGGGCTCAACAGCCTCGTCGCGGTTCATGTGCACGTTCACGATGTGCTCAGCTAGGTTACGGTCTACGTGCTCCTTGGGCTCATCGCGAACGACGAAGAACACGTCGAATCGACTCATGATGGGGGCGCTAAAGTTCAAGTTTTGACGGAGGGTTTGCTTTGGATTGTAACGACCACCAATGGGGTTGGCAGCGGCGAGGATGGAGGCGCGGGCATTGAGAGTGGTGTGAATACCGGCCTTGGCGATGGAAATAGTCTGCTGTTCCATGGCTTCGTGGATGGCCACCTGGTCGGCAATGTCCATCTTGTCGAACTCGTCAATGGCGCAAATACCACCGCCATTAGCCAGCATCAGCGCACCGGCTTCGATGGTGAACTCGCCAGTTTCAGGGTCCTTCACGACGGAAGCGGTCAAACCAGCGGCAGACGAAGCTTTACCGCTAGTGTAGACTGCACGAGGATGCATGGAGCAAATGTACTTCAAGAACTGACTCTTGCTGGTGGACGGGTCACCAACGATGCAAACGTTGATGTCACCACGCAGTTGAAGGCTCTCAGCTGAGGTCTTCTTGCTCACACCACCCAGTAATTGCAGAAGCAGACCCTTCTTGATCTGGCGGTGACCCCAAATCATGGGCGCAATGGAGTCGATCAACCGTGAATAAATGTATTCAGAGTGAACAAGAGTCTTCAAGTCCTGAACCTCACTAGGGGTGAGACTCTGGAGGAAGGCTTCTTGGGCCTTGTCCTCATTCATATCGGGATCCGTGTTTTGATTCAGAGAAGCCAGAATGTTGTTGGATTGGCCGCTCAGCTGTTGTTCGGGCTTCTGGCCAGGAGTGGAAGTATCAGGGGTCACCATGCATGCAAGGAAAGCCAGTCGGTAGGTCAGATCACGGACACCGAGAGCTTTCAAACCAGAGACACCACCCCCGCCAACCTCACTGCCACGGAAAGACGCATTGTCACGGACTGCTTCAGGACGCACACCAGGCAATCCTAGTTGGCTGACATCGGGGACAACAATCAAGGTACCAGTGAAAACGCAGCGCTCGCCAGCTTTAGAGCGGTCCACCATCTCACCTCGTAGAATAACATCCATTGTGCGCGGCATGCTTCCGGTCGGGATCTCGTGAGAAGATTCCTGAAGCTTAACCTTTTGCCAATCGACAAAGGTACTCTTGCCAATGTCCAAGCGCCAACCATTGCGGTTACCACATACTGAGTTGGGACACTCAGTGGGCTCGGTGTACTTGAAAGTCTGCTCCACATTGGGCACAACAGTCTTGCAAGCCTCGCAAATGAAGGTGCCTAGCGAGAGCTCCGGTCGGACCTCAGAGGTTCTGGTCACAGTTCCGGAGACTGACAGCAATTTTCCGATCTGCGATGTACGAAGTCGTCGGAGTCTAGAGACCAAGGGCAGGTTGTAGAAAGCCAGGGCGAATAGCTTGTCGGTCTGTTGGTGGCGAGTCTTGCCGCGAATTTGACCCTCCAATTCAGGATTCTCTGTGACATTGGCGTAGGCGGAAGCCACCGAGGCACTGGAGTGGGTCGAGGCGGTCGAAGCCAGGCGGTGGGAAACAAAGTATTCCGGTTCATATTTGGCGACCAGGTTGTGTAGGGCCTTGGTAAGAAAAGGGAGGAAACGGTAGTATTGGCTGGCTATGGCATCGGCCAGAATGGGATTTTCCCAAGAGGTCAGGTGAGTGAAATCGACGTAGAGGGTGGACAATTCGAATTTTTTCATGCCCTTGATCTGGGCGATGTAATACTTGTCGCTCAGGATCTCTCCCGATGATGGCGGGGCGGATGATGAGGGCGCTTCCATGAATGTTTCCAGCAGTTCCTGAAATGCCTGCTGCACTTTCTCTCCAGCCTCATCGATCACGGGCGGGGGGCCCGGTGCGTAGGGATTCCGTAGCCTGCTGACCGCCGAAGAGCCTGCGCCGACAACCTGGTCATCTGGGAAATTGTTCATATCACTCATGGGGCCATTGCTCTCCGAGCGACGAGAGCTAGGAAGGTGATCAGATCGCAACTGATCACGGGAGCCTGTAGCGGAGAGCTCGGATTGAAGAACGGCATCGAAAAGGGAAGACATGGTATTAGAGAGCGTGAAGGGCCTAAAAGATAGGGCCACAGTACAATTATCAAGCTCTCAAAAATACCGTGTTGGAAAGGGACAAAGGAGGGTTGGTGGGATATAGAGGGAGAGGGAGGAGAGATACATTAGAAATATCCACACACAGGGGGGAACCACACGTTTTTCTTCGAAACGCGTACACGTCGCGTCCCTTCCTTTCCAACGCGTTAAGTGGTTTTGATGGGTTATGTAATCGAAGCTCTTGTCTCGTCACGAGGGCGTCACTGGGCTAGGTCATGTGACTTTTGCCACGTGGCAGTGGCACCTTTGGCCTAAACCAGTAATAAGAGCCAAACGAGCAAATGAACCAAAACCAAGACTTCTAGTGTTCCACTCTAAGCCGAACAAAGCCCGGTCACTTCGGATGGTTGACATTACCCAACCAACCAAATCTCTTAATTATCGTCTCACCCCCTTGAAATCCTAGGATCAACTTCTTCTTTGGGTTGCCAAAATGGTTGGCTCCACTTGAAACCGGCGCTTCTGAGCCTTTTTTAGGTTAAAACCAAGATATCATCCCAACCCCGCCGGGTCCTGCTGGGTCGTCGGGGAGTTAACTCGGTATCTCAAGAGTGGGAGTTTTGTTGGTAATTATTACTTATCACTGCCTTCCTTCTTAAACTTTTCATCCATCTCGTATTACATATTATCCCCCCCCTTTCTTCCCTCCTGATTTTCATTGGCATTGTTTTCGCACGGGCGAAAGGAACCCTGTGCCCCACGCTGAGTCCCGTGAAACGAATATTACTTATATCATCTCCGTCGCCTTGCATTGCCGTGACCTTAGTTGCCTCAGTCTAGCGCACACTTGAACCCTATCGGGTGCGCATCACGCCCTTGAAAAACCCACTTTGATTCGGAGCCTGCGATGGTTCCCAAATCCCGCGTCTCAAGGCTGGAGGAACTTTGGTGATCGGTGGTTCGGTATGCTGCTGTAGCGGCTGAAATCGAAATAACTCAACCACAACATGTCAGGCAGTGAGCGTCAAGTAGATTCACCGGCCACTTCAGGGGGCCCTCGGGCCATTGCGCCGGCGCCGGAAGCTCCGGGTATGCCAGTCCCGACGGGGATTCTCTTCATGAACCGAAATATTCATTAATGACGCCATACAGGGTCCGCGGAGAATGAAGCTAGAGCGAGACGACGCCGGCGGGCGGCCAACGCAGAAAAACAGATGTTCTACTTTGTCGACGAGAGCTCGTCCTCAAAGGAGAAGCGCGCCCATGTTATGCGACACCATGTCGAAGAGAAACGAAAATTACGCAAATTATCCCGCGATCTGGGCCATGAACCAATGATACCCGAACATATCCAAGAACTGGGCACCTGGGATGCCATGGAGGATCCGGCGTATAAACCAGGTAACCAAGCGAAAATCGCGGTCCAGCAAGACTCTTCGGTATGAACCTCCTAATACTATGGGCTTTTGCCTTGGGTTATGATCGGGAACGAAAGAACTCTGGCTCACGAGGTTCTCGTCCAGCTTCCTATCCGATTCTCGACAGTCAGATACGCACAGCCGACGCCTATGCAACTTCTCCCTGCCGATACATCACGAAAGAATCCGAATTCGAATCCGAATTCGAATTCGCCTGCAAATACAATTACGCTAACATCGGAAGATGCGGAACTGGCCGAATATTGGACCAGTAAGTTAACGTATTGGTCGGGGCAGAACACCTATGTCAAGGATCAAATGTTTCAAACCGCCATGCGGCACCCGGTATCTTTCCAGGCGACGGTCCTGACGTACTGTGCCCGGTGGAAGGCTCAGATCCATGAAACGCCTAACAGCGAAGAAGTGCAGCGGCATCTTGGCCAGGCGCGAAAGAACATTCATGATGCTAGCATTGGGTCTCTACCAATCGATGAAGATTACTTAGCCATGGCGCTGGCAGGCATGGCTCTCGGGGAGGATCGATTCGGACGCAACAGAGACGCACAAGCATACCTGGACCATGCGGTGCGAATCATGCGTCCACGCACTGGCATGAATCGACCGGTAGAAGCATTTCTCCACTATGTACGGCTTATCGTGCCACCATCACCAACTACCGTGGTTGATCCCGCCCCGCAGTGGCCGGTGGCGTTCCTTCGAACGGCAAGGGACATTATGCTACAGCACAGCGCTCCGGAGTACCTCGCACAAGCACCACAAAGATGTGATTTGTTCCAAATGGAGAGTCCGCTGTTCTCCTTACTTTCGAGTGGACCGCGGCCTTCGCAGGTGCCACAAGAGGCACGCATGTACGTGGTCCGTGATCCTCAGACCCAAGAGGTCAGTCGGACTGCTGCACTTATCTTCATCACCCTCGCACTGTGGGATTTCAAAGATTCGATACCCAAGACGGTTCGGTTTTTGACATATCTATATGACCTTATTGGGCGACATCAATTGGACCGACAGCCAGCGTGTGAAACTTTACTCTGGCTATTACTGGAACAAGGCTGCGAGCCCGACCTACGAAACCCCGAACGTGCATGGTCTGTAGGCGAGATGGTAAAATCACATCGACAACTCCGTCCCGATCTACAGTTTCATTTTAATGAGATCCTGATGAGTTTTTTGACGCTACGGGCTCCGATCCGCGGTATTGATAAGTTCGAAGCGGACCTTCAGTTGACTAGCAACGCTCAATGAACCCAGCATATGTACTGCATGAGATAAATCACAGATCAATTTACCTTTTTGATTACGTGTCCCGGCGGTTTCAATAAGCAGCTTCTGGCCGAACGTGGGCTTGGCAGGACCCGACAACCCGGACAAGTCTAATCGTCATAGAGACAGCCAAACCAAACCATGGCCGTACGCGGGTGGTGGACCAGTGGCACAGTTACCGTATGTGTATAATGAACAATCTGGTATTTGATATCAAAGAAAAAGATGACTGAAAAAAGAGAAAAAAAAGAAGATCCTTGACTTGTTCACTGCATGGGTGGATCTCGCAGAAAAGCGGTTCCCCGAACGCAAAGTTCTCCGGAGGTACCTTCCTAACCCAATTTGTATGAATAATGTACCTGAGAGGTACAGGAACCCAGGGATCGACGACCATCTGAGCATGTGGCTATCATGACGATATAATCACATCATTTGGTCCGGATAATCTACCCCCCTTTTTTTCCCCTGTGAACAATCCATTCCGAAACAGGGGAAGATTTAGGTTGACATCACGTTTTGTGTTTTCAATGCTCAAGGTGAATCCACTGTGGATTTGGAAATTATAAAAAATTTACATTCGCTAGGGCTGAAAAGTGGAAATGGGTAAGAAGTCTCTGCGTGGGCATGGTTCACAGATCATCAATAGCGCATCCCACTAGTGGTGCTTAGCGCAATTCGATGCGCCAGTCGCGTCGAGTCCAGCTCCTAATCGTATCCATGGGACCTGGTCGGCGATCTTGGTTTTCTTGCATGTGAGTTTGCCTAGTGGGCAAACATTGAAACGCTATCTCATTATCTGGAGAAACAAGTACGGAGTAACTAGTCAAACATGACAACGCATAGAAAGTTAAACTCCTGGATTCTTCAGGCGCTGGAATAGGCATACAAATTACAAGATTAGAATATGTACATAGTTGGTGAGAGTCGGTTCGAATGTCTACATTTGATTTCCATTCCGTGATATGCATCCCTTGCGGGGCGAGTAAAAAGTGGTTTCTTGACTCTTGTCTTGGGTGGATATGATTTTTCTTACCTGTGGCTGGAATTAGTGGCGCAGTCATTCCGGCTTTCTCCTCGGGCTTCTCCGTCTCACAGATAGGAATGAAACCTAGTAAAAAGCAAGAAAAACGTAAAAAAAAGAAATAGATCCAAAAACAGGAAAAACAGGAGGCAAGATAAACCAACAGAACATTCTCTTCGAGTCATCGATATTCGGACGTGATGCCCGATCGTAGCATTGCAATCGGGGGGAACCAAAGCGAGCAGAAGTCTGGATCGCCCCGTCACTCGCCACAACATCAATTTCCAAAGTGGAGTAGGAAAAACCAAAGCTACAGTACTAAATTTGAACTAGCAAATAGCAACTAGCAAAAATACAGGGGGCAGGGAAAAGCGAGTAATAAAACAGTAGCTTAATAGGCCCCTGCAAATTCAAAAATGACTAGCGTTACGTAGCTCAGATCGATCGTAGCACATAAACCCCCTCTCTAAGCTTAAATCTTCTCTTTCTCCCCTTTCACCTTTCCTTTCCCTAAATTCAATTCTGGGGAAAACATTGTGATCACCCACCCCCTCCCCCTTTGTCGACAAATTCACCGATAGTTTCGAAATCCATTGCGTGTTTCGAAATTCATCATGGTGGATTACACTGGTACTGTTGACCAGCTGGTCGCTCGTTCTTCGGTATGCTATGCCTTGTCGCAATCGCGCTCGCGCGCGCGCTCGCCCAAGACAAGAAGGAATAAAGCTTCCAAATTGATGACTGACAATATCTCCAGAGCGACCCAAGTGCCACCTCGAGTTCCGCGTCTGCGCTCGTGACCACCCTGGTCCCCTCCTTGATCTCGTTTGTTGTCATGGTTCTGCTCTTCATCATCCTTCGCAAGAGGGAGCACCGCATGTACATGCCCCGTACATACATTGGATACCTCAAGGACTGGCAGCGCACTCCCGATACCCCGACCGGCTTCTGGAACTGGGTCAATTCCATGTACCAATTGCCCGATACCTACGTTTTGCAGCACCACTCCCTGGACGCCTATCTCCTCCTGCGCTTCCTGAAGATTGCCGCCTTAATCATGTTTGTCGGTTGTGTTATTACGTGGCCCATTCTGTTTCCCGTTAATGCGACTGGTGGTGGCGGACAGTCCCAATTGGATCTGCTGAGCATGTCCAACGTGTCTAGTAATCAGTATGGACGCTACTTCGCACACTGCTTCCTCGCTTGGATCTTCGTCGGTTTCATCTTCATTATGATTACCCGTGAGCACGTCTTCTTTATCAACCTCCGCCAGGCATACTTGTACTCTCCCGCCTACGCTAGCCGTATCTCCTCTCGCACTGTGCTTTTCTCCGCTGTCTCTGAGAATTACCTCAGCAAGGACAAGATCCGCGCCATCTGGGGTGCCGAGAAGGTCAAGAATGTCTGGCTTGCCACTGATACTAGTGAACTGGAGGACAAGGTCAAGGAGCGTGATGCTGCTGCCATGAAGCTCGAGGGCGCCGAGACCAAGCTCATTGTGACTGCCAACAAGAACCGTACCAAGGCCCTGAAGAAGCAGGGTATCCCCGAGGATGGTAACGCCGATGAACCTATCGGTGAGTTCGATGACGAGTCTGGCTCCGTTGCTGCTCGTTGGGTTGAGGCCAAGGATCGCCCGACTCACCGTCTCAAGATGTTGATCGGCGAGAAGGTTGACACTATCAACTGGGCTCGTTCTGAGATTGAGCGTCTTTCCCCCGAGATTGAGGAGCTGCAGGCCAAGCACCGTGCTGGTGATGCTAAGCTGATCACTTCCGTCTTTGTGGAATTCTACCAGCAGTCTGACGCCCAGGGTGCCTACCAGTCGGTTACCCACAACCTCCCTCTCCACATGTCTCCCCGTTACATTGGTCTGGACCCTACCCAGGTGCTCTGGGGCAACCTCCGCATCAAGTGGTGGGAGCGTGTTATCCGTCACGGTGCTACCACTGCATTTGTCATCGCGTTGATCATCTTCTGGGCCATCCCAGTTGCTGTGGTTGGTTGTATCTCCAACATTAACTTCATCGTTGCCAAGGTTCCCTTCCTGGGATTCATCAATGATGTTCCTAGCGTCATTCGTGGTGTGATTACTGGTCTGTTGCCCTCTGTCATGTTGGCTGTTCTTATGGCCTTGGTCCCGATCATTATGCGTATCATGGCCAAGATCGGCGGTGCTCCCAGTCAGGCGTCTGTTGAGTTGACTACCCAGAACTACTACTTCGCCTTCCAGGTTGTCCAGGTCTTCCTGGTGACCACTATTGCCTCCGCTGCTACTAGTGTCGTCACCGAAATTATCAACAAGCCCTCTTCCGCCGCCAGCTTGCTTGCCAACAACATTCCCCGTGCCTCCAACTTCTACGTGTCGTACATCATCCTGCAGGGCCTATCCTTCAGCGCTGGTGCTCTGCTGCAGATTAGTGGACTGATCGTTGGCAAGATCCTGGGTAGACTCCTGGACTCGACTCCTCGCAAGATGTACAAGCGTTGGTCCAACCTGTCTGGTCTCACTTGGGGCACTGTTTACCCCGTGTTCACTATGCTCACTACTATTGGTATGTATTCCTTTTCACCGCCGCGATAATTGTAATCTAACACTCATTAGGTATCATCTACTCCTGTATTGCCCCATTGGTTATGGGATTCGCGTGTATTGGCCTGTACTTGTTCTACTTCGCCTACCGCTACAACGTCCTGTACGTGTCGAATGCTACCATCGACACTCAGGGCAAGGCCTATACTCGTGCTCTGCAGCACCTCACCGTTGGTGTCTACATTCTGGAGGTTTGCTTGATCGGTCTGTTCGCCATGGCCAGTGGCTCTAACCAGATCGCCGTCGGTCCTTTGATCCTCATGATTATCTGCCTGGTCACCTCCATCCTGTACCACATGTCGATGAACAGCGCCATGGAGCCCCTTATCCACTACCTACCCAAGAACCTTGAGCATGAGGAGGAGGCTCTCCTGGCCTTGGACCGCAATGGACTGGGCTCTGTCGATTCGACCAACGGTGTTGTTGCCGAGAAGGAGCAGAATGATGTTGCCAATGTTGACAGCGGCGTTGGCAACGTTGACTCTGCCGAGAAGGGTCTGTCTGATGATGCGACTACCACTCCTCCCAAGGCGAACTTCTTCGTGCGCTGGGCTCGTCCTGACAAGTATGCCGACTACGCCACCCTGCGGCGCCTAGTGCCCAACCCGCTCGACATCCAGTCCTACCCCGAGGACGCTGAGCGTGATGCTTACTGCCACCCCTCCGTCAATGCCCAGCCCCCTCTCCTCTGGATTCCTCGTGATCCCCTCGGCATCAGTAAGCAGGAGGTTGCCCACACCAGCCGTGTTATTGGTATCACCGACGAGGAGTCCTGGCTCGACGAGAAGAACAAGATCCAATGGAATGTGGAGAAGGGCCAGCCCCCGATCTACGAGGAGAAGATTCCCTTCTAAGCTCGCCATTGTCGGAGTTCTGTCTGCCAGATAGGCATATGCTACGTACCCTCTGGATTTTGAACTTGACCTCTTGGTCTACATGATACCCAACTGACCAGTTTTGGTAACTGGTCGGCTTTGATTGCGGCCGTTGTGCCCATTTCCCTTAATGTTGAACGTTGAGTGAGCGATCAGCTCAGGATCCACCTGAATTGGACTGGTTCAGCTCTCGCTTGATACCTACAGTATTTATATTTGCAAAATGGCTGATCTACGCGTCATGTCCTTTATAATGTTTAAGAATGTTGCCATGACCCTGTCTTGATGTATACGTCACCGTCGAGTAGTTATGCAATGTGAAGTGTATCATATTTTATCCTACTATTCAATGTTTGTAAACCTGCTCCAGCGGTAGCAATCTTCAAAGGTTGTTCCGTCCCAGCCACATCTGTATTTCAAGTTTATTATCTCCGGAATGACATATCACCACAATCTCCCCAACCTGCTTAATGTAGCGTTGGCTCCGGCCGAATGCACACTGTCGATCCTCGCAGCAATTGGGGTCTAGTTACCCCACCATCACTGCATACAGATTCCTGGTGATTTGGAATTCCCTCCCTGCCTCATTCCCCAATTGCACCCACTAACTACTAGAAACTCAGCAAGAATGGCGGGGGTAATTTCCGTGTATCTATCTGCAGTGCGACTGGACATCAGTAATCTTCGGACCTTGGGGGCCAGAATTAAAATACAAGAATAGTGGAACTCTTCCCGCCCGCAATTTAGTCTGCAGTCAATCCTTGCCCACTTCCCGTCTGCAAATGCGGTCCATCGTTACCACACAACCCCTAATGTCGCCACAACCTAAGAAAGCATCATGCAGATCCTGAAGAAGCCCACCGGGGTTATTCACAATACCCTCCAACCTTGGAAGTCCCTGAGCGTACGCAATTTTCCGCCCATGTGTACTACTGTACTCCACAATATCCATATCAAACATTAAACATCAAACAAAGAACATTGCCCCTCTTGCCTACCTAGGCAAGACTCGTAGGAGCAATTTTAAATTTGGCTCAATTTCTATTCCCATACTCGAAAATCTAAAAGACCCAGTCACAGCCACCATCATCATCAAAATAGCTGTGGTAGCTGATGATTGGCTATTCTTTTTGACTAGTTGCAGGGACAGAGTTGACATCCATCAAATGCGGCTAGTAAGAGCGAGGCACTCTAGTTTACAAAGATACGGACTTGGATGTATGTTTTGTATACGCTGTACGAAGTACTGTACTGTGTGTCGTACAGGAAGTATCTGTGTATTCGTATCCGTATAGATTGAAAACCGTATTATATTTTTGTTTACTTGATGCGCAAAGCGACTAGTTCAGCTAATATATCCCATATCCTGCAATGGGCAACAATAGATCTGTCTTATTAATGCTTATGTTCTTCATTTCTAGGCTGGAGTAGAGGATCATATCAAGTCGGTTGGTTTCCTTGCCCCTCCCTGGATTTGAGGAGAAAAAATGAACTGCCAAGATTACTACGGGACTTTAGGACCCCAACCTCTCTGATAAAGGAGATGGATCAAATAGTACTACTCCGTAGTATGTACTACATCCGACGAAAAGTCTAATCCCTTGTGATACTCATTGCTGTTTCTTTCTACCATTCATCGTCCGTTCCTGTTCTTTTAATTTCCTTGCGCAGAACGCAGTAACTGGTCAGTCATACGGACTACTGCGGCTACCTTGGCAGACCTCCACGACCCCTCCCTGCCGTACTTATGTCTCCGTAATCATTACAGAGTAACTCTACACCAACAGGCCAATGAATGCCAGTTGCGAGTCCCAAGAAAGTGGTTGAGCGGGGCCAGGACTAACACACGGAATTAATAATTCAAGGCACTTATTTATCAATCCACGTTGTATATAGATTTGTATTTATCCTTTCTCGGCGGATGTGCGGTGTATACATGCAGGTATTGGATCGCTTATTTTCAATATGGAAATATAACCCTGACTTTCTATTCAAATGATCCCTGCTGCTGCGCTGGCATCTGCACACACGCACACATGTTGATTTCGTTGATCTTCAAGCCCATGTGACCAGATTCATGCATTGGCGGCTCAAGCACGGAAAACCCCGAGATATATGCACGAGGCACAGATATACGAGGTGCCGAAAGCCACTGGTGTAGGTGGTTGTCACTCGTCTCTTATCCACCTAGATATTCTAAATTGCGGATGTCTCCTGACAGCACGACACTACACAATGCCTAGGTAATCGATAAAGTTCCAGGTTACTAACAGTGATGCCCAGGTGCTCAGACCATCGAATGGTACTTTTGTGGATCACCGCTTCCTTGGAAGGTCGTTTGCCTCGCGAGAACTTGAATCCACTTCTGTATCGCTTGCGAAACAAAGATAGGTCGGAAGACTAGGATGCAGCGTGTCATGACCCCTGCTAGTTCGTCGTTAGTGCGAGTAGGGTTTTATATTGCCTATCATTCCAGTGATTACCTAGCCTGGCAAGTCGGGAGTCTAGACCCCACCGACGAGTGCCGCGTAGGAGACACACGTAGTTGTACCAACCCTGTTATCCATGGATTTTTTCTGACCTGTATTAAGCTATTTGGACTGTTGCCAGAGGACCTGCACATGTGGAGCGGAGAGCGGAAATATTCTGTAACACAGTATTTGAGTTCAAAGATTGATTGTCGTTTCATCCGAACTACCCAGTAGCGACGGAGTTCGGGACGGGGTTCATTTGTATCCTGGAAAATCCATATTACACACTAGTACTAGTCTCAACGTCTTTACGTGGATTGTGTGATCGTCGTTGCTCGTCGTTGGCTGTGATCGCTAGTGTATAAACGTTGGGTACCGATAATGGCGCCTTAAGCCGACTGCGCTGATCATTCTTTGCATCCTTGGCTCGCATACAAGCGTTGAACGTACAGTAGGGTGGAGAATGAAAGGACTCCTCATCAGTATATGACAAGAAACTAGAGAATGGTTGAGTTTCGCTTGATTCTTGCCCACAAGAGGTTGCGGCATGTTGATTGAGTGGGTTTGATATTGCGTGAGCCAGGGCTCTACACGCTTTACAGTTGGTATAATGACTCCATATAATGCGAATTTAAAACAAAAGAATCAATTTCCTGCAAGAGGACGAATAGTGAAGCTTGGAAAAAAAGGTGTACCCAAGACAATGCAAATATGAACAACCAAATAAACGCCAGTGCCAACGCCGTGCGCTCCATGTAATGAGGTACGTCTTTGCGAATGCAGACTGATGGTCAGGAGATGAATAGATCACCGAAAATTGGGGGTTCCCAGTATTAGGAAAGCAAGAAGAAATCAGAGAGACAAGAAATGGTAGTAAATGGTAGCGAGAGGGCAAGTGCGCACACAAGAGCCGTAACGTCAAAGACACCTGGGAAACGACAGAGAAGAGGTAGAAAAGGTATCTGGGAATAAATATCGACAACGCCAACCAAAGTCAATATGGCTGAAAATGGCTTGAACACACGCTTGATCGCTAAAAGAGGAACTGACTGATGCCCTAGCCCGTTTAGACTCGGATTCGCGAGGATCGGAATGCAGACAGATCGAGTTCGAGGGACTCAGCCGATAAAGAGGAATCGTCGTCGACTTCGATGGTGCCTGTGGCACAGGCCGTTATCTGCTTATTGGCTGAAAGAGCTGATATCCTAGCAAGTCGAGCGGCAGCCGATGTCGGGAGCGGCTTTGCTTCGTCCTTCCCCTCTTCGGTCTCTTGCTGTGTCCCTTGCTCCTGCTGTTTTTTCTTCTCCTCTTCTAGGCGGGTTACTTCATTCTTGGTCATTTCCAGTAGCATCTTGAATTTCTCCTCAACGCCGTCGAGTTCCGTGCCGCAGTCGCCAGATCGTAGAACCTGGAAGGCGGCTGTCTCGCAAAGGCCGTGCGCGAGCTCCAATTGCTTGTCGCAAAAGTCGAAAGGTGAGTCTTTGCTCACGCCATTCGAGGTCCCGGTTACTCCCACCAGGCCAGTCGCGGTTCGTGTGCTTCGGACGCACGCCAGGGAGGCAATGGATGGTTGATCGGCCCCGCCAGCGCCGGCGGCAGACCTGTTTAGCAAATTTGTTCGAAGACCAATACGAGGAGGCATCAATGACATCTTGCCACGGCGAATGTTGTTCCTAGCAATACCGATATCCTTCACGATCTGCTCGAGCTCTTGCTGTGTGTGTCCGTCATAATCGATGATGACGTTGTAGCGAGTACTGACAAACTCATAGCGGTCACTCGAGTCGATCGACGGGGCTTCTTCTGTACCGCGTTTGCGTCCTGCTTGCTGGGTAGGGGCTTTTTCTTCCTTGCACATGGAGGTTGTGACTTGAACGGGTTCGGAGCTGGGGGCTTTCTGCTGGGCGATTGGGACTAGGTTATTGGTGTGAATAGAGCATACGGAGCTGTTCTTTCGGCGGCGCGGCTTATGTGTAGTACGTTGGCGGTAAGCTTCTGAATATTCGGCGTGTTTGGCAGAGGTGTGGGCTGCCAGCTCGGAGACGCGGGTAATCCATGCGGGCAGGTTAGTGTGAAGGTGGGTGAAAGCTCCCAGCGCATCCATGGAAGCTGCAGCCATGCCGGCCAGACGTTGATAATCAACAATCAGACCGATTCGGATGTATAGACAATTTGCGCAAAGATAGGATGTAGTTGGAGGGATGGAGATTATGTATGGAGTGATTTCAATGTGTTCGTTTCGTCGTGATGTCGTGCCCGGAAGAAAGGGGAAATATGGGGAAGGGTATCGTGGGCGTGATCTGATGAATCTCGAATCTTGCCAGAAAGGCGATCAGTATGTCGTCGAGAGTGAGACGAATTATACAATGCTGAGGGGTTGGTTAAGAAGATAAACCACAACTTGGACCACAGACCGAAAGAAGAATCCAGAATTTGGATTAATGGGGTATGTATTGTTACGGTATTGTATGCGTACTACTAGTACTTTTTAGCACGGCTAATTACGGAAACAATCTGCCGGAAAAACATCGAAACAGTGTTTTAGTATACAAATCTGTAATTGTTGTCAAGCTCTCCCCTACCAAGACCATGGCTTTCCTAATAGGTATCATGGCTGCTTGCTTGACCCTTAAGAAGGTTTCCTGCATGTCGAAATTCAAGGAGCGGTGAGAATGAAGTCCTGCAGGCCGTCAACACTGACACTGGAACATCATAGTATGCATGACCCACGTTCCCTCGCGAGGATCTCCATGGCTCTGAGACACCAAGCAACAGGTTAACCATCAAAAACGGTCCGGTCAATCCAGGCATCCATTTCTCGACTAGAGTGGGGAGACAAACTCGGCAACGGGATTGACCAATCTCCTCCCTATCCATGCCAGAAGATCCTTGCCGATTCACCCCAGGGATGGTCAGAGTGGACAAAAAGTAAGACTTGAAGTTAACCATACACCAATCCCATCAGAAGAAGAGCAGTTAGCCCCAGAATGAAGTGGACATCCTACAACCGAAGCGGGAGCTTTTCCCAAGCGGGACATGACACGTAACGGTCGCTTAAGTCGGAGGTCGTCGGGTTCATCGGGGTTTCGGGGATTAGGGGGGGGATCAGGGGTCTTTAGTGAAAACTTCAAATTGTAATCAAAATTGGAGATTTGAAATTCGAAACGAGTGTATTATATAATACTGATTGATACGTTAGCAGGGCCGATCCTTTCTCGCGGGACAACCCGTTCACGGGGCCGGGGTGGCCCCGTCGTAACGATCAGAGCTTATGGTTGGTTGATCGGGCTTATCTAAAAGGAGTCAGGAGACTTGACCTGTATGGTATTCGGCCTGTACAGCCATGGCTTGAGTTGGGCTTGTATTACATTCCTTTTGTATTGAAAATTTCCTGTCGACTGGACAGAATCTTTCTTCCTTCCCGCCAACTACGAATCTGATGAACCCGTCCATGCGGTTTCAATCCAGACCGCCTCATTTTCGATGACGAAGACTATTGGATAAGGATGGACCAGGGTACATGGGATGCGTACTTGATCCATGTGTATGGACCGGAAGTACATGGAATTACCATCACGTGATACACACTCTATATCAAGTACGGCTACGTTCTAAGTATGGAGATGAAAAGACGGTTGGAACGGAAGAGATCTCTATTCAGCTTCCGTAGGGGCAAAAGCACAAGGAACGCCTCGCAGAAACACACCAGATAAAACCGGCCACGAAGCAAGACCGAACAATAGAAGCAGACCACAGGACACAGCAGACAGGCACACAGACACAGACTCACAAGCCAGGATCTGCAGCATCCAGACCAGTAGCAGATGAATTTGGCTTTGACCCGCTACTGGTCGTTCAACCACATCTCCTTCCACAACTCAACACCCTCCTTCACGGCTTGCGCCGATTTGACTGCCACCTCCATGGCATCCCGGGAAGCCTGGAAGGCGCCTTCGGCAGCCTCCCAGTCGGCCTGAAGCTGACCGATTTTCTCCTCCAAGTTGCGAGACATGGTGGTGTGGATGCCCATGCGAATGGCATCCCACAGTCCGTCGTCACAGGGGGGGGCAGGCATTGGGCCCATGGGGACGACGGGTGAGGTGGGAGGGGAGGACGCGGCGTCAGCGTCGGCCTCATTGGCCTCGTTGGCGGTAGGGGCAGGAGGAGTCTTGAGACCGGAGTTGGCGGCCTGCTTGTATCCGCGCTTCACAGGCCGAGGGTTCTTGTCAACTCCGGTCTCCTCGTCGACTGCTGGGATGGCCTCGGTGACGGCCTTTCCATTTCCCTTGCCGGACTTGGGCTTCTCAGAGGCGAAGGTGACGGCAGTGGTCTTGGACATTCTGGTGTCCTTCTTGCCCTTCTTGTGGCCCGCGGCGGCAGCACCTTCAGCGGCAGAGGGAGGCTGTTTCATCGCGAATGTCAGAGTAAGAACGCGGAATGACGAGCTTCAAGATTGGTTTGGAGGAGTTCGAGGTGTGGTCTGAGGTGTCGAGGAAGATGAGAGGTGGGAGGGTAAAGGGGAAAAGTGAGAAGGACGCTAAGTGAAATAACTAACCTTCGCAGGGCCATCTCTCTTGCGCTTCCTAGTCTTCATGGCAACTGCCGGAGCTGAGGATGAGGCCTCAGGCGCCTCTCTCGTCTCAACCTCTGCACCGTGGTGGGTACAGCGCTTCTTCTTGGACTTACAGTCCGCGCAGGCCGGACCGCCACGTTTCTTGACCACTTTGGCAATAGTGGTATCCACGGCTACTTCAGCAATGACAGAATCATTAGCTTTGGAAAAGGCAGATGATGACAGGGATTCATACTTGTATCCATTGGGTTCCAGCCTTATAGGCAAGTTTGAAAAAGTCTTTGATGATGTGGTATCAAACGGTAGTGACGAAAAGGGAGAGAAGTTCAAAGGGGAAAACTGAGTTGTAGGCTGGGGTATAATTAATATGAAGGTGATTATTGACTTCTTTAATTATGAGAGTTACTCTCCACTCGAACTGAAGTGAATATTGTTATTGAATGCCTACTGATACGCTACTGTTCACTGTAGTAGGGTTCGGGTAGTCATGGGTTGCACAAGTGAATCCTTTATATGGAGATTCACGATTCTCATTCAATAATATTATGAATTTGATAGCTGCTGAACTAGAAAAAGTTATTCACTTTATAAGCTCTAGCTGCATAGAAGCGAGGGTATTGTAAACTCCCCTCATGGCCATAAATCAGTATGTTCCCAAGGACCATTAACTTCCCCCTGATTTGACCCTTCCAAAAACTCCCATCTTTCTCTTCGCACATTGTTCATGTCAGATAAGTCCAATCGCTCAACTTCATTAGGAATAATAGCAACCACTCGAAAGTTAGCACGGGCAACAGGATCATGCAGATCAGTGACTTTCTGTCCAAGCTTCAAAGATGGATCAGGCACTTCTGATCTAGGTTGTCCAGGATGTGGGCTTCGGAAGGATCCTAAGTCTAGTTAGCAAGCCAAAAACTTATAACTCAGAAAGCAAACACATAAAACAGTCACGACCCGCTACATACCTCGCATCATTGGAGAGTGGTTTGCAAAATACTCTGTCACAGCCTTCTCCCAGGTCCACTCCTTAATGTCTCCATCGACGTGCTGTTTGGCTCGCAGCCATTCTTTAACCTTCTCCCTAGAGACCAACTCTTCAATATCATCTTCACCAGCAGGGTTTCCAAAAGCAAAGGCCCTTCCTTTGACTCGCCACTGGGTCATCAAGTCTTTCAGCCAGAATACACCCTCAACGGCATGTCCAGCTGCGTCAATTTGGGGTAGCTTCTCCATCCGAATGTCCGTTGTAAAGGTCAACATATCACTTTCGTAGATATGAGGATTTCCACCATTCTCGACCTGCTGCTTCATGTCCTCTTGCCCACTTGGATGGAGTTGAAGCTCCGGGAAAAAACCACGGTGGCCACAGGTGCGAACACGGGGAACTGCACGGCCTTGGGAGTCATATTCGACGGTTCCAAGGCTGAACTCGTAGCCTGGAGTCTGTTGGAGATGCGAAGCTAGAATATCACGCCATGGAGCCGGGGTATCCCTTGGTTGGGGCATTGTATAGAAAGATCTTCTTGGGAATGCCTTAGGCCGATGACAAAAAGATGGAAAATGCTTCAGGTGGATTGTAGTGATAGAAGGTCGCATAAGCCAAATATATGCTTCGTCTTTATGCTTAATTGGTGTTGAATCTTGATGTTGATGGCGGGGCAACTGAGTTGTCTTAGACTGACTATAGAAGCGAAAATAGCCTGCAATGAAGGACCTTTCTGCTCTACCCAAAAGGAAATCTAACAGGATGACCGAGATGCTTAAGATGCTCTTGACGAGTGGAGTGACAAGAATCAAAGAAACTTGAATGTTGGTTTGGTGACATCAACCAGTCGTTGGTCCGTGCGTGATTTTATCAAACAGCAGAAATCTGACAAATAATCCCAAAACTTAGAAGCTGCTTTATTATCAATTCTGAACCCATCTCCTGTATGCAACCTATTGAACTAAAGTGGTTTTGACTGACCTACATTACAGATTCACCTACCTGATTCAGATCGGACGTGAAAATCCCTGCATGATCGAAACCGGGGATAGGAGGGATAAAGCATGCGGCTCTTGTCAAAGCAATACGTGAAGCACGTATCTCTAGGCCCGGGCGCCTTCAAATTGACCCATAGATCTACACATGCGTCATTACCGAATGGGCTATCATTTGCTCCTACATTCCTAAGGCGATACTTCACGGCCCAAGCGGCCCCTTTTCATCTGCAGTATGGGGTTGGACCCAGTCGGCTGGAAGCAAAATCCCATCCTCTAGGATGGCAAGCAATTCAAGCTTTGGTAGAGCCAGGCTTTGGCCAAGACTGGAAGTTTACCAGCGAGCGAGAGAAGAAGGGTTTCTTTGCTCTGGGATTCTCCCGTGCGTTCAGTCAATTCTTTCCGCTCACGCTCAATGATCGGGTTGAAGTGACGTGCAAGATGCATTACTTGGCCTTACTTATTGATGGTTCGTTGGATTCAATCATTTTTAATAATTGCTGACAGTGTTTTAGATCAACTGGATAAGATGAATGTAGCGGATATGTTGTCGTACCGAGAGCGTGTCATAGAGATCGCAAGAGGAGAAACAGTACCAGACAGATCAATTTCTGTGGAATGGATGCTTTTTGATACTATTCAGCTTATGCATACCATTGACCACGTCTTGGCAGTTGATTTGGTTGAGGGGTTCTGTTTGCTATTGCAAACCCAAACAAACCCGGAACGCGCTTCTATCAAGCACCTGGGCCCGTATCTCGAGTGTAGAGAGATAGACGTCGGTAGACCGTATGTGTCTACTACCTAGGACAGGCTAAACGGATTACATGAGCTGACTGGTTTCTAGATTCTATACTACGCTGATCCGATTTGGTGCAAATCTACACATCGGTCCTTCTGGGCTTCAACAGACTTTCGGACTTGAAAGCACTGCATTCCGCTTTATGGGAATTTTGAATGATGTTTACAGCTGGGACAAGGAGTGGAAGGCGTACAAAGAACATTCCACTGACGGAGCTCGGCCATTCTCGGCCATAAACATCCTAGCGCAGGAAACAGGTCTGCCATACCCTGCTTGCAAGCGTCTGATGTACAACTACTGCCGAGAACTTGAGCTTGTATTTCAGCAGTCCGCTGGAAAGATTAAGGGAAGTGCTGGTGGTCCTTTACTGCCTGAGATAGAGAAATACATCAAGGGACTGGAGTATCTTATGAGCGGTATAGAGATATGGAGTCAATGGACACCCCGGTATCGACAATGAAGCGAAATCAGACAGTTCATTAGACTTCGTAAACTCTACGCTGAGGTATAAGGAGATTTTTTAGTTCAATCGCATGCAGCCATCTCAGCCTAGGCATGCATGAAACATCTATGCCGAACTCATGTGTCATATGGCTTAGTGCCACGGACAATATAAACCTCACCCACCAGAACCGTGCAGCCAACAACCATGGCAATAGCAATAATGGGAAGATTGACACGCGCAAACTCTAGGCTCCCCACGCGGATATGCTTCCTCGCCAGAATATCTCGCCATAGGAGCCCGGCCAGTGAAGCGCTGAAAGCCGTGCTGAAGGCACCGAAGTTGACACCAAGGGCCATACTATACACCGTAGCCCAGAACGTACGATCGCTGATGGGAATTCCGTTCAGCTTGTGGATCTCCTGCCAGGATTGAATAACGCGCGAGAGGAGAATGGTGGTGCCGATATTAGTACCGGCGAACTGGTAGAAAATAAATCAGCATGTGCACCAATTTCCAAACAACTGGACGTTGCGAACTCACATTGCAAAGTATCACAGATAAAAATCCCATTCCTCCTACTGCTCCTACTGTACCGGTTTTGCTTACCCAGTGATCCCATCCGTAGGCGAACACGGGGACCCAACCTTTGGTTACGAGCGCTTGCACGAGAACGAACATGGATAGAGCGAATGGGACCAGAGGAAAAGGCATGTGTGAAACAACAACCGTCACGGTTGGGAACGTCTCCTGCATCCAGCGGTAGGTGCTGGAGGTGATTGAAACCAATGTGGCTGGTTGTTCCTTCGCTGATTTGTAAAGCTCCCCACTCTTCTCTGCATCCAAAACAGGACGGGGCGCATCCGGCTCAGAAGAAGACAGTTCTGATATCTGGGTATCGCGAACGATGACACCAGGCACACGAATTTCAGGAAAGCACTCCTTCTCCACCAGTGCAGAAGTTGAAAGAGGAGTTTGATCGTGGGGTACTTTCGTGCCGATGCTTGTTTCTGTAGGACCAGTAGAAGCCCCATCTTCGGTGGCTCGGCTTTGCGACTCATTTTTCAAGTGTTCTGACCCATCTAGTGGGATTTGCGACGGTGAGTTCTGGAGTGACTGTACTCTTTCTCGTTCTGCTCTCGCAAGTTCAATTTCCTGTCTACCCTTCGCGGCAATCTCGCGCGTCTCATGCCGGTGGATCCAACCACACACGACATCCCAACAGAACATCACAAATGCAGCAGGCAAAGTCACCCAGAAAACGGGACGTTCATTGCCAGAGTCACTGGCCGCGTTAAGCGCAAGGATGGTGATGAGGGTCGCGGCCATGATCACTGCTCCAAAAGCTGCACCCCCTTTATCCAAAAACGGGTTCATGATCTCTTCTAAGGACAGAAGTTTCCCGTTCTCGTTGTTCACCTCTTCTTCCTCCTCTGCCGTCCCTCGAGCATTCGGAATATTGGGATTCACGGGTTTTCGAGCTTTCGCTGCATCGGAAAGCTCATGCATTTCGATGGAGACTGGGATGAGGGACACATCTGCAAAGAGGATGTAGAGCAAGAAGGGGAAGAGAACGATAGCTGTGACGACGACGGGGACAATCATGTTCGCGGTGTACACAATAAATTTGATCTCGAACGCGCCCGCGAGGACGAGATTGGTTGGGTTGGAGGAGACCAAGATAGCAGAGGCGATATTGGCCACGGCAAACTGGGCATGGATCCAGGCTCGCGGGTGGACAATATTGCTGGACACTCGAGTCATGTAGGCGAGGAAGGCCGTGCCGGACAAGATAATGGGATCATTTCCAATGAAGCTGCCTAATCCGAAGAAGAAGGCGTAGAGGTAAAAGAAAAGTCTATGGCCTAGGTCGCCTCCTTTTTGGAGGACTTTGAATGCCAGATATCTGATCAGACCTGACGCATCAATCGAGATGGCAATATAGGCCAGAGTGAGAAAGAAGGCCATAATATCAATTGGAGAGATGTTGTCTGCGCCCACGGTTCCATCGTGTACTTCTTCTCTGCCAATGGCTAGGATCGCCAAAAGAAAGAGGTCTGCTATTAAAGGTGCCGTGATGAAGTTTAACGGAAAATGAAACTTGACGAATCTTTTGCGGTATGGAGATTTGGTAGTCCGGGGTATTATGCGCAGGGCAGCCAGGCCATCTGCGACTATGTTGACGAGCCATCGGGGGAGATAGAATGGGACGTGAAATGGGAATAGCACAATAATATCTGCCAAGTCCGTCAGCGGTCGGCTTGATGCGTAGTTATTCACTTACTTGTGATAACAAAAACAATCAAAGTAATTATGGATCGCCAGTCTCTAATTTTGTTGGTATCCAGATCGGAAGCCATAATCGAGTTTTTTGCAAGTTCACGTCAGGTTGCGTGTGAAATTATAGGTAGTGCTCCGGTGTAGGTCGATCCTTTTATCCTTCAGGAAGGAAACCAGTCAGCTTTTGGACATGGCGCGGCATGAAGATCCAAGGTTCACCGGAATGTTAGTGACGAAGAGCAATTCGCAGATTCAGATTCGACTCGTGTGACCTTAGCGACACATTTTTCGACCTGCGACAGCCAAGTCGCTATGAGAAAGATCGAACGAGATTAACTGATTTTGGAAAGAGTTGTTCGTAATCCGATCAAGGACTTAGATTATGGACTTGGAAGACATCGAAGGGTTGAAGAATCCAAGAATGGGGGTCATTAGGTGCTTTAAGTTTCACGATAGTTGGATGAGGCTGTAAAGGGAAAGAATATCACTGGGATCTAAGCCCCAACGGAGAAGAGCAATCAGGGATCCCGCATCTAGCACGGGCTTGCCAGGTCAAGACAGTAGGGAAGAAGCAGAACAGGATGGAGGTCAAAGATCCTACAGCCAAGACAAGCCAAGACTATGACCAACATGCCCCGCACTTGCCACTTTCATCCCAACTTTTCTTGTTGATGCTCCATAGAGCATGATCTATCCAATCAAGTGTTCCAAGTATTAACTAATACTTGATAGATTTTCCTGTTCTTGAAATTCCCTCCAGAATCCAAATACCTTAAGGATCTGCCAAAGTATAAAGAGCCACTAACGCCCACCGCAGCCCGATGTTTACGCCCGTGCCGAAATGCTACCAATCAGATGCAGAAGCACAGGTTAACGACGTGCCCCGTCTCGTATCCTGCGCCCGGGTTACTGCCGACTCAGCCACTTGTCACGGGAGCAGTTTCTGCTTTCTACTAAGCGGACGGATGAATCGTGACTCGGGGTTCACTTCCTAGCGTAACTAGGGGTTCAACACCCCGCAAAACCGAGGCTCTTGAGCCAGAATGAGGCTGTTGAACGAACCCGTTATCTGACATGGAACGTGCTTTTCGATCATTCCCTTAATAAAGACTAGCAAGTAGCTACCTTCTTCTTCTTCATCATTTATGACGTGTCGAAGTGCAGCTTTCTGTTGAATTGTTGATGAATTATATGACTTTTTTACTTTTCTTCCCCAAATCTACAGGGGGCGGTGACAAGCGATGCCAGCAATACCTTCACCGTTCTTGGAGAATTCCCTAGTGCATCGTAGCACAGACCCGACTTACAATGCCACCGTTCCCAGTCTCGAGGTCATCTGCGCCTGGCCGGTATCTGGACAATATGGACCAGGGACTCGATATTTGTACGAACCTCTCTACGAGCCCAGCGGAATAGATCCTGACCATGCTTGCAGATATTACGTCTTAATGGCGGCCTGTGTGTTGGCACGCAAGGAGGAATTTATTCGTAATGCTTGTCTGGCTGCTGTCTTACTTTTTCCCGCTGTCGCGGCCCTGCATGGAATCGTTCTTGCGGCCCTTCATGTCGACGGTGAGTTGAATCCTTGCATCGAACATCATCCCCTGTAATTTTATCTGAGTGTGACTATAGGGGCCGTTGACATGGATGTCTACGGGGCTTTCCAGCTGTGCGCAATCGGCATCCTGACTGCCCCAGCCACTGTGAAACTGTCAAACACCTACTTCAATAACCCAGGTCGAAATATCATATTCCTCTGGACGACCCTTCAACTGGCGGGCCTACTTAGTCTAACTGTAGAATTCATCCGCATAACCCCTACCATCTGCCCTGCCGATGATCCAGCGACATCCATCTGGGCCGAGACAAAGGCTTTCTACTACAATACTACCTGCGGCATGGTTTGTAATGAGACTGTCGGCCCAACATCACCACTTCGACAAGGCTCAGCAAATAACATATACGTGATTCCAGCGCCCCATCAACTGGACTTCAACACCGCAACCCTGCTGGCAGCCGCCTGCTGCATCCCCGCCATCCTGTCGATGGTATCCACGTGGATCAAGATCCTTGATGGAAATTGGGAAAAACTGATGGGAAGGCGGAAGAAGAAGGACAATGAACCCATTTCCGGTACTAATGGTGCCACCCCGATTCAGATGAAGGGAATTACGGAGAGGATCCGTGGATGGTTGACCTTGATCGAGATCCCGGTTTTCGTGGCAGGCGTCTTGGCTATTATTGTCAAGGGGGAAATGAACTTCTGGAGTGAGCCCGTGGACTATCAAACGGAGCCCATAGCAAGTATAGGTGAATATCTATTGTTGAACTGTAATCTGCAGACATCACTAACAGAGATTGTCCCTAGGCCAATGGGCCCCTATTGTCGGTACTGGTCTAGCAGTGATGGGATCGCTCTATCTAATGTTCGCTGCTGATATGGAAGCCGAAGAAAAACAAATCGGCCCACTACATGAAAGAACAGAACCAAGATGTGCCGACTGCGGCGGAAATGCCATTCGTGACAGCACCGACTCCACGGAATCCCCAGCACGATCCAACAGTACCGCATCAGCTCCCTCCCCCGATCTAGCACACACGACGACATTCTCCACCATCCGCCAAGAGATGACCACTCAATCTGGACCAGACCCTGGAGGCAGAAGAAAAGTAGCCCAGTTCTTCAACGCAGCAAGCACCTACCTCGCCGCGAAAGCACATAACAACTTCGAGGACACAGGCTTCGAGGTTCACGAACGAACAAATTTTCCCGAGATCCCAGCTGAAAACCTTCGAAACAAGCATCTCCCCGAGATACGAGAAGTTTATAACACCCCAATCCCACGCTCCAGAGCTGCAAGTTTCATCGGAAGTGATACTTCTAACGGGGAGGGTAGTAGTTCTCGAAGGCACAGACGCCAGTTCTCATTACCGACTCGGCCTTCGCCCACTGCGAATCGTCGTCCACATTCGAATACAGTACCGGCGGATGGGGGCCCATTTGAGGGTCCCACTTTTCTTGAAATCAGGAGTTTTTATGGCAAATTGTCGCCGCAGCAGTGGAGTCCTCCTGAGGGGATGACTCCTGATGAGCACCATGATGATCAAGATGCTTATATATCGGATGAAAATCATCCGGTCTTACCCAATGGGCCCGCTACACCTAAGATCGTGGTTTCGTCTGACTAAGGACGCGATAAATGTAGTGCCCTTCTTTAGTACCGCTATGACTTTAGACCCGGGTGTATTAGTAGATCTTGTAAATAGATGTTGACGAATGTGAACGACTAGCTACCTTCAATGTTACTAATTCAGAAACAATCAGTAATTCAAAATCTAAAATTCAATTGCAAAACACGCAGTGATTATTCAAAATGCTAATATACAATCAGTCCTCATATGGCGTCTCAATCGCCTCCGTCTCAGCCATCTGCTCTTGACCCTTTTTACTTGACGGGATACCCGAAGCTCCATAAACAGAGATGCATGCCATACCCAAGAAAGCGGAAACACACGAGAACACCAACGCCACAATACCCCTAGCCGTGAAACCAGCAGGCAACCAAGCGACCTGCTTGTTCTGGCCCTTGAGATCAAGGTAGTCCTCAGTATTACCCGCGGCATTTCCTTCATATTCCACGCCAGCAGCTTTGCAAACCTCGTAGTGCTCCTCGGGAATGGTCACCCGTTCTTGGATCAGCGACGGGGCTTCAATCATCAACATTGCCAGACCCTGCATTAGATGCCAGTCGATATGACAGTGGAAGATCCACACACCGGGGTTATCGGCGACGAAGCGAATAACGAAGTATCCCTGCGGAGGGAGGACGAGTGTATCCCGACGAGGGGGGTATTTCGGGAATGCAGTGTGGTTGGATGGATCATATGCCACCGGGTCTCCGTTGAGGTAATCGTAGAAGTGCGCACCGTATCCAGGGGCGCGATTAATGACCTGGAACGTGTGGCCGTGGAGATGGAATGGGTGGGAGCCTGTATCGCCGTTGTTGACGACGACCTCCACGACTTGGTTGTGCTCGAGGATCATTGCGTGGGTGTAGTCACCGTAGACGGTTGCATCTGTGGCTTGATCACCTGCCGAGAGGACGGTATATAATGTTGGGACTTTGGGCTTGGTGTAGCTGATATTGTTGAAGAATGCATAGTCGGCTCCGTTACCGAGATCTTGCATGGAGACTGTTAGGTTGATTATCAGGTCGGGATCGGGAAGAAGAGCCATCTTGTCGTAGGGCACGAGAGTTGAATCGTCGTATGGGACCAAGTCTGTGCATGAGGAGACTGTGATGTCTGCTTGGGGATGGGCGGCTGACGCGTTATATTCTAACCAATTGGTGTAGTTCAATTGGAGATTCGACGGGATAGTGTCCAACAGCTGGGAGTCCGCGACCGTCACGATGGGGTAGTTCTTCTCCGTTGAGTTCTTCATGGTGACGAGAATTGAATAGCGTTGAGCGACAGCAATGTAGAGTGTGCTCGCCTCGGTGGGTTCGGTGTAAACACCATCGATCTCAACGATTTTGAAAGTATGGTCTTCGATATAGAAATACTGAGCCACGAATGCGCTGATATTGATCAATCGGAGGAGATAGGTCTTTCCGGCCTTGACAGGCAGGTTGGAATTCAAGGTGTCATTGAATAGGAAAGATTGCGGAAGAGGCTCTGCACCTGTCGGATTCTCAACAGTGATAAAAGACGGCATGATGTCTTCCATCAACTTGTGATACCAATCACTCATGGTAATGGTATATTCCTCATCGTACATATCGTTAAAGTAGGAGCTGTTATCGTGCACGACTAATGACTGCCGATAACCATCCGGATAACAGCTATCGGTATGACAGTGATACCAGTAGGTTCCATGTTGATTAATGGTGAAATTGTAGGTGAACGAAGATCCCGGTGGGATAGGACATTGGGTCACCATGGAAGGGCCATCCATTCCGTTGGTCTCATTTTGAAACATGCCATGCCAATGAATGGATGTATCCTTGTCGCCAAGGCCATTGTACATGTTGACAATCAGTCTGTCGCCCTTATCCACTTCAATTGGTGGTAAAGGCCACTGGCCGTTGATGCCGACAACCTTTCGATCGAACAACCCATCCGGGTTGGCCATGACCCAAGTCACGTTGAAATCATAAGTGACCGTTTTCGCCTGCACACACTGGAAGATAGTGAGCAGCGCCACGAGGCGAGCCAATACACCTCCCACTGAATTCGCCATGTTGAGGGAGGTCCACGAAAACCGAGGTTGAAAGGGAGGAGAAGGAAGAGTCCTTGGACTTTTGGGCTGAACCGCCGAACCTAGTCCTTAGCCGTGATAAGATTTTTTTATCAATCTAAAATATCCGGTACGGCACATTCGTGGACGGGGCATAGAACAGTAAAGAAGGAAATTCCCTCCGTAGCCTTGGTTGACATGGGAATCCACTTTTGTGCCGATACAGGCGTAGATCTCGGGCAGTCGCTTGAAATTCTCGTATTTTTATGGACCGTTGATCCGCATGGCACCACACCATGTGTGGATAATTTTTTTTCTGAACGAGGGCTTTGGGACGAATAGTTTAGTAGTAACCAGCCAGGTAGATACACATTGACGAGGTAATTGGTTGAAATGTCTAGCATTTTTCTGTAATCCTTGGATGGGGAAAGCCTCTCAAGCTTTGTCAAGCCGCTAACGAATGCACCAAGTGGGACCTTCCATTTTGGGCAATTTTGGGATTTCCGGGATTTGCAAATTTACGTGTAATAAAAACATAATTTCGGCTTTTGTGAAACATCTAAAATAATTTTACATTCAAATTGCTTTTGCTTACTTGAAATCACGCCCGGTTTCTCCGGTGATGCATTCCCCCCAACATTAGTATATTTCGTGTTTCGTTTCTAAGAATCGGTGCGTCGCACTGTGGGTTTCACAACCTTCTCCAGAGCAAAGCTCTCTTGAACTCCACCGCTCGCTACAGGTTGAACGGACTCAGGGTCTTCGTAGGGTCGACGAAGCACAAAAGCCCTTGTCCTCGCCTTGTAAGCGGCAACCTTCTTCATCGCCGGATCAATGACGGGAAGAGAGCCACGTCGCTCGCGGTAGAACATGAGTCCATAACCGACCATAACACATATCCAGTACATATTGTAGCCGATGACTGAGCCGTAGGTGGCAGAGTTGACCCATCCGAACAGAGCATTGAAAATACCCCAGCCACCGCCGCCATTGAGTTCGGCGTTGCAACAGTTGACGTGCCAAACACTCTGTCTGATATCGTACGAGCCTGGACCGGAACCTGTTTCGGATGCATCTCCTCCGATAATATTGTTCCACGCATTATTTTGGAAGTACCAGACACCGCGCGAGAATAGTCCTCCGGCGACAAGGTAAAGGAAGCAAGTCGAAATGATTAGGAAGATTTGCATGGACGTTTCCCGTCCTCCCCTAGATAGACAGTCAGCGCTGAGGTTGTGGATATTACTAGAAGGTTTCTCACTTGTAAATAACATAACCGACCAGTCCTCCTGCGAGAAGACCGCAGAATACAGCGAGGGGAAAGGAGGACGCTGGGTCAGCCAGGCCAACACCGCCAATGTAGACGACCGCCTCCAAACCTTCTCGCAGGACTGTAATGAAGGGAAGGAAGAACATGGCGTATTTCTCCATATACCGCTTCAAGCGGTGTTTGCGCGATTCATCGACATTTTTGTCATGCTCGAGTGCCTTGGCAAGCTTCAAGCGCCACTTGTCTTGGAGTTTGGAAACGCGCAGCAGCGCAGCGCCCATAATAGTGATAACAATTGACGCGAGAATTCCCAGGACGCCCTCCCAGATATCCTCTGTGCCAGAGAAGCTATCGGTTCCTAGACCATAGAAGGCTCCGATCATACCGGCACCGACTGCAAGGCAGATACCCAAGCCTAGTCCACATCCCCACCAGACTTGTTTAACAAGTCGTTTGTAAATGGTCTGATCCTCTCCTTGACCAAGGGTTTGCTTCAAGAAAGCCAGGAGAACCGATACAACCACGGTTGTTTCAAGACATTCTCGGAAACAAATGAAAAAGACTGTTACAAGTCAGCGAATTGCGCATTCCAAGTAGATAGGCGGATCATGAACCTGTCACGGCGAACACGGGATTGTTACCCATATTGGCGAGGTTGAGTGATCAAAAACCTTGTCTACAAATTGGAGGGGAAAAATGTGAGTGCGACTAAAAGTGGGAAGTTAAATGATTGATAAGGACGGTGTTATTGTGACCGGGCCCTGGTGAGTTTGGTATGAAAATTACTAGCGTAACTCCTGGGTCCCGCCGATCGGTATCTGATCCCTTCCTCTCTCCCTCTCTCTCTGACCCTGCAAATTTTAATTTGTGTCGAGTCCTGTTCATGGACTGGCCAACCATCCACAAATTACACCCTGTACTTAGTGAGAATGGACCCAGTTCTCTTGCAAATCGAAAAATCGAAAGAAAAAAGAAGGGGGGAAAAATCCCTCAGTGTAATCAAGCCACAAGAAGAAGAATTTCGCCGGTGATCCCCGCAGACCGCAACTGCCGCGAATATAACAAGCATTCACTCCATACCTCAGGTGGGGGCTGTGGATATGACCGTCGGTCTTTAATTTGAAGTAAATTGAACATTCTCTGGCAGAGAGAAAGAACATGAAGATTTTATCTGATTGATATGATTGATATCATTAATCTGATGGATTGATATGATCGATATGATTGATACGAGATGATCCTTTGATCCGATTCAAGCCGATCTAGGCAATTTGGGTCGGAAAGTTTGTTAAAGCTTGGGTCCGGGACGTATGAGGGATTTTTAGCCGATCCAAGTACCCAATACCAGTCTTTGCAAACACTGTGGCTTGAAGGATTTCCATGTCAGCTGCAGCGCAGGGATTTTTAATTAATTCCAGAGCTATTCCAGATCATTGCGATCGCACCGGTGCCATAAATGCTTAAGATACCAACAGGTCCTGAAAAGGACAGCAAATTTTGAAACCCGTATAGCGATAGATTATATGAACTGGTTGGATACTAGTACAACTTACATTGGTGCACGGGTATTGGTGGCAGGATCAAGGATGGCCAGTCAACAGGAAATGAATCAGGGCTATATTGCCTGCCCACACCGCTAGCTAAAAACAGTCGCATCAATACTCAAGCTACGAATGTTAACCTCTTATCATTACTGGAACAGGTTCTGTCGAAGCACTTTATTATTCTCTCCATTCAATTTAAAATTATTCACTGGCGTTCTGTCTTTTAGCCCACTCCGTGCTGGAGTTCCAAACCCCCGACCGTCCAACATATCCGGCTTCATCTCTGTAGCCCGCGACATTTCTCACTACTCGGCCATAAAAACAACAAAAACCCATTCTGGCTGACTGGGAACGGGGTATAAATAAGACAACCTCCAAAGGAACTTTGACCAACTTGTGACTTCAGGACCGGCCAAGCACGCTCATCATAACTCGCCGCAATTTGGTAGCACATGGCGCCTCATCACCAAGCACCTCATTACACCGCCAGGCAACATGACGATCAGGACGAACAAGAACACACCCAGTCTCATCCACACTGCGAACACGCGCCCAGTCGAAATAAACATCCTCAAAGTCCTGCCGGAAACCAATCGAATAAGCCTTGATGGTCACCCCGAGCTCCTTTCCAATCAGCGCAGCTGCCCCCTTCCAAGCCTCACCACCAATACCTGTCAGCAGGACATATGAACCACCTCCAGCGAGGTCAATGGTGGAGATGCGTTCGACGGGAATGGTATTATTAAGCCACGCGTGGGGCATGCGGCATCCGGGGTACGTGCTTCGGATCAAGGTAAGGTCGAGGTCCTGGGCGACTACATCTGGGGAATAGAATGAGGTAGGTTCATCCGCGGCGTAGATGGCCGTACTTTGGTAGAACTGGCCCATTTCTGTACCTAGAGCGTGGTATTCGTGCTCGGTTTCTTCGATCGCGGCTTGCAGGGCGGCTCGACGAGCGCGACCCTTTGATGAGGGCTCCTTCAGCTCTTTCAAGGCGCCGAGTCTTTGTTCAGGTGTTGACAATACCACACCGAGCGCTTCCCAGACGGGCCCGTGATGGCGGAATGAGGAGTTTGCTCGTGTGACAACCCCTCGACCGACGGGTTGGCGCTCGGCGGTGTATGTCTCGAGAATCGAAGGAGATGCTTGGCCTGTTGAACTCGGATTAGAAGCGGACAGAGAGATGCCTGAAATGATGCAGACTCACCTTTCAGCACGTGCGCAACCTTCCATGCCAGATTGTATGCATCTTGGATACATGTGTTGGATCCAAGGCCATTTGACGGCGGGTGCCGGTGCACCGCATCACCAAGACAGAATCTACGGATAAGTCAGTAAGAAGATTCAGACAGTCAAAGAACACAATACATACACTCGACCTTCGGAGAACTTCTCCGCCACAACATCATTGATGCGCCATTTCGACACACCTAGAATCTCCGTATCAATAGAATCGTCACCAATAAACTCCTTCATTCGTCCCAGCCATTGCTCATGAGTAGGCTCGAAATCAAGCTCCTTTCCTCGTTCCGGAAGTACAATGAAGAGCCACTCATCCCAAGGCTTCACCATGCGAGCGATACACGCCCACCCGAATAAGGGGTGTTCCTTATCTGGTTGCAACAGCCAATGAAGATTTCCAGTCCGGTATTTCATGTACCTCGACAAATCCGCTTTCAGATGAACGTTATAAGCAAGACCTTGGTCTGGACGAATATCCAGCGGAAGTTTGAGCTGGCGAAAGACCTCACTCCGGGCCCCGTCGGCGCCGAATAGGTATTTTGAGCGGATCTGGTACTCTGTTCCCGAAATGTCATCGCGGAGAGTGGAGGTCATGCCTTCGTCGCCTTGCTCGAAGCGAACAAATTTTGTATCGAAACGGCAGCTGAAGCCGTTTAGTGTGGCATATCTGACGAGGATGGGTTCGAGAAGGGTCTGGGGGAGATCCACAGGGTCACAAGGGCTGGCTGTTTCGTAGTCACCCTTTTACAATGTTAGATGCTGGTGTTTGAAACGATCACGCATGCTGTTTTACCTTGCGTTTGGGGTCATGACCCCAAGAGTGGATTCGTGCATATTCCTCTCCGGCCATGCTGTATGCCCACCGTGTGTGCATCATGTTCATGGCATTCGTCGCCAGTCGGTTACATTCGACATCAAGACCGATGTCTCGGAGACACTCTGGATTGACCCATTAGTGCAATCATTGCAAGCATTGCGGGTGATTTACCCATGGCCGCCATGTTTGTGATATGGGCTCTTGGGGTATCGGCATTCGTTGCAGATGCGCTGACCATGAGTCCGCGGATTCCTTCAGTTCGTTATTATGTCATCCCTGCTTACTGAAAGTAATTTGAAGCTCACCATAAGACGCCAAGAAACAAGCCAAGGATGCACCAGCCGGTCCAGTTCCAACTATCAAAACATCTATTGGTGTCGACGCTGGCTTCTGGCGGGTGCTGCCCCCATTGCTGAGTTTGATGATGGCCATATTTGATTAGGAACAAGGATTGAAATGAAACGCATCAACTGTCAGCCTGATGGAGGTAAAGCAAGACGCTTTAAAAGTACGCGACTATGATTCGACTCTTACATAACTTTGCCAAGCGGCTCTGCCGAATTCATTCTCAGTTTTTGTTATTTTCAAACACATGGATTTCGAGGACCCACGCCGATGCACGTAGTTTCTTTCTAACACTGATGAAACAAGGAAGCTCGGGAAGAGTTTAAGTTGATCAAGAATTGACTATCGGGTCTGTCAGCCCGAACAGGGTAAGATCATCTAGTGTGTGATTAAGATCTGCACCGCGGCAGAGGGCGGATCTGATCGCCCATCTTATCAGATGGTGTCACAAAGAACGGGAAGGTCAGTCGGCATATACCATGGATTATATGCCTAGCCACCGGCAGTTCATCATAACGATCGCCACGATCTACTGGTTCATATCCAAACTCGTTCGTGGTTTGATATAGTGTTCCCGCAAGATGATGCAGGTTGCAGTAAATGATCTTTCCGGGGACTTGGGCGCATAATCCTTGTTTGCATCATGTCAATTATGAGCAAAGACCTGACTGATAAGCCCTTGATTCCCGTCCAAGTTGAGTTTCAATTGAGATAGTCCTGATTTCGCAGTGAAATAATTTGATGAATATTCGATATGAATGATACCAAGATTGGCTTTTTGATTGCCCGACGGGCCCCTTCTTATGACGGCACGTCGAATATTGTATGGATCAAGATATCCTGGGTCATACTCATGTGCTACAGTCCATGTCCCTAATCAATTTTAGACGACAACAAAACTACCTGCCCAGCCTATAAGGCCATTCTGGCATCTCAACATGTCCTTTTTATATCAATTCCTGGATACGAAAACCCCGATGAACCATTCCCAATTCAAATAAGATGAGCCGGAAATCGTGAAAGATCTGCGAGATGATGAATGCTTGAATTGATATGCCCCCAAATTTATTCATGTACCTTCGTCTACACAAAGCCAACTTGTAAATAACTTGCCATGCCTATGTATCGTTTCTGACACAAGCAACCTTGGAACTGATCGATGGTTTAAGCTTTCGCTTGGCAAGATCTTGGCCAGGGTAGATTAAATGGGAATTAGTTAAGTTCCTGGAAATAGTTCATGGGATGAATTGCTCATGGAATCAATTGACAGTATCAATTATAATAAAATTCCTCCTGCCAGCCCCGTACACGCTTTTTCAAACGTCATTGTTTAAGGTATAGATAGAGGGACTCCACAGAAAGAAACCCCATGAGACCACCTCGGGAACAAGCAAGAAAACCGATTTAAGTTTTCTCCCCACTTTTTTGTCTTCGCCACGGCATCTTATCAGATCTTGCTGCTGTTCAAACAAATATTTGAAGCCAAAGTCTATACATCTGCAATCCACGGAAATTTATCATGAGGTTCAAGCTTATCTTTCACTGTCTGAACGATGAGACTGGTATCTGATTCACTCACGCCATGTTTCAAACTAATGAGCTCTGTTTTAGCTGTCGGGGAAATCCTTGACCCGTTTCTCCACTCTGCGTGCTGACATGCCGTATGGGGGTTTTGGCCCCGTACACCTCGTTCTCGTTGCAGTTCTTTTCCCATCTTGATCAAAGATCGACATTTTCCACGGGCCGCAATCTTTGACTTAGCCGTATTTCCGACATGAGGTGAGTCCTCAACTGACCTTGAGACTATTCTACCCTGACAATCATATGCTCGGTACTTTTTGTCATATTATGTCAAAAAGATAATGCCGGCTATGTTTCTCATTTACATGCATGAGACGGTTACCGGCATGGAAATACCTTGGCCTGATTAAGTTGTATGAAAATAAATCACCTCATTTCTCGCGGTGTCTTGCAATCACGATATATGATCAAAACGTTGAATTTTACGCTGATGAGATCCGAAATTGGATTTAAATTGCCCGACCGATCAATAACATCCGATACCGGGATGCCGACGGCTTCCCGGTTGACCGATAATCCTTCAAGACTATTGATGAATGTGGAGACCGGAGGTAATCAGGGTTTACCAAAGTACAACGCCAAGATGCTGAAGAATCATTTAGTCATGGTTGACCGGAGACCGATTTGATTGAAGAAGCACATGTGGAACCAAGGTATGATTATGAGATGATCTATAACCGATATTCAGGATATAAATACCTGAACTAGTCGGGAGTTTAGTTTCGATTTGCAAGCATTGTTGTTCTAGTTTTGAGAATACTTCATCTTTCATTATGAAGAGCCTGATAAGTCTTGCGCTGCTACCGTTAGCCAGCGCGGTGTTGACATATGATTATATTGTGGTCGGGGGTGGCACTAGTGGCTTGGTCGTTGCCAACCGCTTGTCTGAGCTGAACAATGTGACCGTCCTCGTTATCGAAGCTGGAGGCTCGGTGTTCAACAACCCCAACGTGACAGACACCGGTGGTTACGGTAAAGCCTTTGGTACTGCCATCGATTGGGCTTATAAGACCGTTGAACAGAAATGGGGTGGAAGAAAGCCGCAAATAGTGCGTGCTGGAAAGGCTTTAGGAGGTACATCAACCATCAACGGGATGGTGTATCTGCGGGCGCAGACTAGCCAGATCGATGCGTGGGAGAAACTCGGAAATGAAGGTTGGAACTGGGAAAACTTGTTCCCCTATTTCAAAAAGGGTGAGCAGTTCCAGGTTCCTACTGACTACCCGTTCTTGGATGGATCCGGTGTCACCTATGATCCTGCCTACCACGGATATGATGGTCCTTTGAAGGTTGGCTGGACGTCAACGCAGTTGAATGATGGCCTTGCACAGGTTATGAACACAACTTACCAGAATATGCCGGTGCCTGTTCCCTACAACAAAGACCCGAATGGTGGACAGATGATTGGATACTCTCTCTACCCCAAGACGGTGAACTCGGACCTTAACATTCGCGAGGATGCCGCAAGAGCATACTACTACCCTTACCAATCTCGCAAGAACCTTCACCTGTGGCTCCATACCAACGTCAACAAGATCACTTGGAGTGATGGCGATGATGTGACCGCGGATGGTGTTGAGATTACCCTTTCCAATGGCACAACTTCAACAGTCAAGGCGTCTCGCGAAGTGATTCTTGCAGCGGGTGCATTGAAGTCCCCACTTCTGCTCGAGTTATCCGGCATTGGAAACCCAGTGTAAGTGAAATTATGCGGCTACTTTGTGTTACTACTTCGAAGACTAACACACCCTACCCAGCATTCTATCCAAGTACGGCATCGAGACAAAGATCGACCTCCCAACCGTCGGCGAAAACCTCCAAGACCAAATGAACAACGGACTCGCCTATGACTCAAAAATAAACTATACCAAATCTGCTGATTACGTCGCCTACCCCTCCGCTGAACAACTGTTCGCAAACGCCACTGCAGTCGGCGCCCAGCTTCTCCGCAAGCTTCCCGCATACGCAGCCCAAGTTGCCTCAGCCAACGGAAACGTGACTCGAGCAGCCGACATCGAGCGCTTCTTCAAAATCCAATGGGACCTAATCTTTGAATCAGGCATTCCTGTCGCTGAAATCCTTCTCGAACCATCCGGCTATACCTACGACACCGAGTACTGGGGCTCCGTTCCCTTCTCGCGAGGAAACATCCACATCTCATCCGCAGACCCAACGGCCCCTGCCACTATCGACCCGAAATACTTCATGCTGGACTTTGACCTTCATGCTCAAGTTGAAGCTGCTCGGTTCATTCGTGAGATATTCAAGACTGAGCCTTTCGCTGATATGGCGGGCAATGAGACAAGCCCTGGGTTTTCAACTGTTGCCGTCAGTTCTGGTGATGAGGGATGGTCTTCATTCCTCAAGTCTAACTGTGCGTTGATTATCTTGTGATATTACGGGAAGCAGCTAACGAATTGATAGTCCGCTCAAACTTCCACCCCATTACCACGGCTGGCATGATGCCTAAGGAGATTGGAGGAGTTGTTGATACTTCATTGAAGGTCTATGGGACTTCCAATGTCCGTGTTGTTGATGCATCGATCATCCCTTTCCAGGTGTGCGGACATTTGCAAAGTACAATTTATGCAGTGGCAGAGCGCGCTGCCGATATTATTAAGGCGCAGATGTGAAAGAGTCAGTGTTGGTTGGCTAATCGATATTTCGCAGAAGTACGAAACAGGATGGTTTGCTCAATGGAACGGTTTGGCGATATCCGTTTGGTTACTCGCACGATCATGCTCTCCGCAATTCTTATATACTACGGAAGCAGTCCAAGCCCTTTTCCCTATACGCATTAATTTTCGTTTTTTAGTTACTTGATGCCCAAACTTCTAGTACTGGGCTTGATCCATGATCCGTTGCCCAACAATTTGAAATTATTATATGATGGCCTATGGCTAGTCGAAGAGGCTTGCCAGTAATTATCGTGCGACCGCGCGTGTAAAACAGCAAAACGGGGCTGAGAAGCCAGTTCCTCTCATCATGATACCAGGCTCAAGAGATCACAATATCCAAGAGTATTTCACCTATCTTTGAACTATCAAGTTGGTAGAATCATACTGGGAAAATTTGCGTTCGTCGCCATAGCTCGGACTCGTTTGAGACCACATCCAGTTCACTCTCCGTGTGCTTGGGAATCTTGTAAAGCTCATCAATCGCCTCTTGCTTTGGCATCTTGTAGTCATTTCTGTCATCCGATTCTTTCTTTGGGTTTTTGCCAAGCTCATCGTCGTCAATTTCCTTCTTTGGCATCTTGTAACTCATTTCGTCATCCGACTCTTTTTCTGGAGTCTCATAGTACTTCGGAAGATCATCGCCTGTGTCATTCATCGGGCCATCTACCAACAAGACCTTTCTCGAGGCTCGGCTAAGACGGGCTTTGCGTGACACCCGTATGAGGTCAACATCCCGTCGGTCGAAAATGGCCCCTAGATCATGGGCTATGACTCGACGGACGATCTCAACCGTAGAAAAATTTAGGTCCATCATTTCATGGACAGCTTTTCTCTTCTTCTTGCGCTCAAGGATAAGCTGAGCCGAGTGGGATGCCGGTGTCGAAGGTCCATGGTTATATGTTGCGTTAAGAACAATAATCCCCCAGGAGCCATTCAAGAATTCGGCATTGATTCGAAATGGGCATCCTTGAGAATATTGATAAAATGCTTGTCTGGGTAGATTTATTCGAGCATGTGATCGTGGTTGTAGAAGGTCGCATTTATAGAGCCTTCTTCGGGGGGTTTGGGATGGAGGAGTAACTAATTTGGTGATGCCATGAACGTGCTCCCTGAGGAAGCTATTAATGTCATCGCAAATGTTTTCTGGATCCTCCCAGGTTTTATCAAGTCGAAGAGGCGTCAAATATGAAATAGGAGGGGTAGGTATGGGAGTGTCAGCTGATACTGTAGGGGCAATAATTCTGTCAGCATGAGATGTATTTCTGTGTGGAGAACTCACCTTTATCGACAACTTCAACAGTCTCCCGTTTCATGACCTCTTTAAATTCATCTCTAGACTCCTCTTTGCTTTCGCCCGTGATCACCGCCTTGAAATTCTCACCAATCTCCTCTATAGTTTCCTCTCTAGTTTCCTCTATGATTTCACACTTGGCCTGCTCATGGTTCTCCTCGTTGATCTCCGTGTTGACTTCTTCCTTGACTCTCTCGTAGTTTTTCTCTTTGAACTCCTCTTTGATAACCTCCTCGTGGGTGCTTTCAAAAGATGGGCCTTCCATGCCCGGAGGAGGCATATCAGGTAAGTGGTGGATGGTGGGTGGCATCACTGGAAATGGAGAAGATAGAGATCTGGATGGAGATGATCAAAGTGAGGGAGAGGTGTATGGAGAAGTAAAAGATCTATCTGTGGTTTCGCCCTTGAAATAGCAAACAATTTGATAGTTTGCATACAAGTCAGGTGAGATATCTCGACGAATTCGCTGTAGAACGGACCTCAAGTGATTCTCAGCCCCTGTCTACGACTGACAAACACGCCGATACATCACAGATCCAAGAAAAGAGATACTGTCCGTTTCTCCCCTCCTTGCTTCAGTAGATGTGGTACGGTGTCGGTTGTGGAACGTGATGCTGATGGCTGAACTCCCGACACGATTTAAGATATTAGACGCTCAGGCCGGATGAAGTTTGACCTTGCTAGTATGCACAAGATAATCTGGGGGATGAACACGGCGAGATAGGAGCCAAATTTGTCGAACCTGTGAGTCGACGGAAACCATTTTTATTCGACTGCTTTACCCAAGAAATAGATGACTGGACTTCTACTAATAATAACAAACGGGCTGAGCAATCTACCAGGGCTGATCTGTCAAAGAAACTTCGACGAAAAGGTTCCTGAAAGATCGCAGGATCAATTATAGGGGAGAATGCATTTGAGTCCAGATGTCATTCGGTCACCATTTATCCTGTGACCAATGATGTCCGAATCGTGATTTATTCAAGGTCCGTTGTCTCAGCCTATAGTACAATCTCTCTCAATGATTGTCATGAGCAATATTCAACTCCTGCCCGAATGCATTTTTCAAATTTAGTTGTATTTGACTCTGACAGGGATCTCAGAATCTTCAGGAAGTATAGACCAGCGACTCTTGTAGACACGACCATCTTTCATAACAGCCAAAACGTGCTCCTCGGGCTGATCGAAAATGGTGACATCCTGGAGCGGGTTCTTGTTCAGAACAACAACATCCGCATGGAAGCCTTCTTTAATCTGCCCAATCGCGTCCTCCCAGCCCATCATCTTTGCAGGATTAACTGTGGCACTGCGTAACACCTCGACGGGCTTCAATACCTGTGACCGCAAAGCAAACTCGTGAGTCTGAGCAGAACCCAGTGGGCCGAGCAGGTCGGAGCCATAGCACATCGTGACCCCAGCCTCAGATGCAATTTTCAGAGCCTCAAGCCCAGACTTAAGCACCTGTAAGTTCTTCGACTGTGACTCAGTCGGCAAGTATCCCTTCCAGCGCTCCGACGCCATCTGAGCATAGGTGATCAGTGTCGGAGTCAGATAAACACCCTTGTGAGCCATCATCTTGGCAGTTGGCGCATCCAAAAAGTTGCCATGCTCAATCCCTTTGACTCCATTTTCAATGCAGTGCCGAATAGCCTTGACCGTGTACGCGTGCGCCGTAACAAACGTACCGGCATTGTTAGCGCATTCGACCATAGCTTGGATCTCGGATCCCGTGAACTGGAGGTGCTCCAGACGATCCGTCGGACTTGCCACACCACCCGAACCCATGATCTTGATAAAATCGGCTCCACACCGGATCTCTTCGCGCACGGCAGCCATGCACTCGGGGACACCGTTACACATGCGGCCCAGGTGGTTGTTATTGTGGGTGCCACCACAGCACCCGGTTTGTTCATGCGCCGAGCGGAGATCGCCGTGGCCACCAAATTGGGAAAGAGCGTGGCCTGAGATAAACACACGAGGCCCGGGAAAGACGCCCTCTTCAATGGCCTCCTTTAGCGCAAGCTGGGCGCCACCGCAGTCGCGGATACTGGTGAAGCCTCGGTGAAGCATCTGGGCTGCGGTGTATGGCTGTCGCAGCAAATGGACATCGTTCGGGTTTCCAAAGGCTTTGGATAGGTCATTGAATCCAGGCACGGCGCATAAATGAACGTGCGCATCGAATAGTCCCGGGCATAGATATCGACCTTCGCAATCGACAACCGTGAGATTGACCGGTAGTGGCTCAGGGAGTGATGAGGAAACGCATTGAATTTTGCCATTGTGTGTGATCACATTGGCATTTTCGATTATGGTCCCCGCCTTCACGTCCACGACGTTGGCATTTTTGAATAAATATCCCTGCGGATCCGGGCGGGACCACGGCTTGATGTCAGAGCCCGGTACGGGAGGATTGTCGGACATTATGGGCACCATGGATGAACAAAAGGCCATTTCAATTGATTTGGTGAATATATAGGGATATAAATGGGAATTGAGAATGACGACTACAATGGACCCCGCTCGGGTCGGGAATCTTATCCATTCCGCAGCAATTTGCCGATGGTTATCGGACCGAGTGCCCCGCATTTTGTCTATCAACGTTTGTTGATCTTTTCTTTATCTGTCTGCAGATAGGGAATGCAATCAAGACGTAGAGATAATCATGAGGGGGCTCGGCAGTTGCTATGTAGTATGTTTCTCCCGTCTTTGGTATGTTAAAGAAGTCGTACATTACCCAGATGCTGCCCACCTGTGCAGATCCACTCATTCTCCGTATATTCCTCAACCGCATCCATGAATGACTCCAAGGGTCCAATTTCCGACAAAGATGAAGGCTTTCGGCCGAGCAGGGAAATTGTTGCAGAATGCGACACGTATACCCCTGAGGAGGAGAAAGCAGTTTTGCGAAAGATTGACATGGTCATTTTGCCATTCGTGAGTCCACTTTTAATCTCCTCACCTTCCAATTTCAAACTCAGCTAATGATAGTAGATGTGCTTTGTCTTCTTCTTACAGTACCTCGATAAGCAGAGTCTGAGCTATGCCGCTGTATTTGGCCTTATGGATGACCTCAGCATGACCGGTTCGCAATATTCCTGGTGCAGCTCTATATTTTATATCGGCCAACTGATTTCGGAATGGCCGTTCATCTACCTTATGAGTCGACTACCTTTGACTAGATTTGTCGGAGTCACTGTGTACGTTCATTATCTAGCTTCCAGATGTTTGATATTTCACTGACATTGCTCAAGTATAATCTGGGGCATTATTTGTATGTGTCTCGCGGCACCAACAAACTTCGCCGGGTTCGCTACTGTGAGATTTTTGCTCGGATTCAGCGAAGGGGCAGTATCGCCCGCCTTCGTAACAATTACCAGTATTTGGTACCGCAAGAAAGAGCACGCTGCGCGAACTGCGCTGTGGATCACCATGAACGGCGTGGCTCAAGTCGTTGGCTGCATGATCATGTACGGCATAGGCAAGAACACATCCATCACTATTCAGCCTTGGCGAGTCCTTTTCCTCATCTGTGGAGCAATGACTCTGGTGGCGGGAATTGGATTCTTTATGTTGATGCCTAATGGACCAAAAGACGCATGGTTTCTGAATGAGAGAGAGAAACAAGTGCTGTCCTTGCGCCTTGCCGCTGACCGTGAAGGTGGCGACAAGACAGCATTCTCAATGTCTCAGCTCAAGGAGACTCTACTGGATCCTAAAGCATGGGTTGTTTTCTGGTTTGGTGTACTTGTGACTATGCAATCGGCAGTCCTTACTTTCGCATCATTGGTCATCGAGTCTATTGGATACTCCAAGCTGCAGACTCTTCTCTATACTGCTCCATCTGGAGCCGTTCAGATTGCACTGCTTTGGATTGGGACTGGACTCGTTTATATTTTCCCACGCCAGAGAAGCCTGATTGTTCTGGTTATGATTATTCCGCCTTTTATTGGAGTCATCTTCCTACTAAAACTTACTGTGACCGCAGGATGGGGCTTGATTGTGGCTTCTTGGCTGGTGAGTCGTTTACTTTCCGACTTGACTAAGCATGGGAAACTAAATGCATCTTTTCTCTTAGGCGTCTTGCATTACAGCGACGATGTCCATTCTTCTATCTCTGGCTGCATCCAATGTCAAGGGTAACACCAAGCGCGCCATCGTCAACACCATGTTTTTCATTGGTTATTGCGCCGGCTGTATAGGAGGCCCCCAACTATGGACTAAATCACCACGGTATACCGAGGGCGTTATTACATCCATCGTCACATGGTGTTTGCTGTTCGTGGCTGTCATCATCTATCGCATTTTATGTATTCGTGATAACAACGCCCGCGACAAGCAGGCTACTCACGGTGTCGATCATGGCTTTGGAGAAGTTGAGCTTGATGGGAATGGGCTTCCTAAGACTGATCTGACAGATAAAGAGGACAGGGAGTTCCGCTATGCCATCTAGAGCCAATACTTATTGAACCTGTATATAGAATCAAGTGCTGTTGATACCCCGTCGAACCTGATAAGGGGCACATCCATGGAATCCAGTCGATGACCTAGTTGAAATACAATATTTTAGCCTACCCTGATAGCAGACGGTAGGTATTTCTAATTTCTACCTACAAATCCTCACTTCTGAGGTACCAAGTAGCGTCGAGGGTATCTACCTCAGCACCTAGTACCTACTACTAGATGCACATGTGCAAGACCATCCCATTCAATGATCTCGCACATATTTTAGTACATATCGAGCCAGGATTTGATTCTTTTCAGTATATCCAAATGTTATAACGAGAATGCAATCTTCACTTCGAGTTTGCATAGTCTAACGTCATTGCCAAGAACCTTGTGCCCGATAAGACAGTCTATGATAAGGTGCCCCTAAACCCCATATGGAAGTGAGATCCGGGTTTATCAGCATGCTGGCATGTCGTTGGACGCCCGTTATCTTGCAGTTTCCGACCGTATCCTTATCATCTACTCACATCGTTCATCCAGGAGCGAACAGAGAATAGCGATGCGATATTAGCCAAGAGGTCTTGAATTGAAACCGGGTGTCCTTGTATCAGGGCCCAGAAACACGAGACGGCGGTCTTGGCTTGAGTAGTGATTGATAAGGTGGAGAACTAGTCAATGGTTTTAGTAGCTACCCTCATCTAATACTGAAGAATCTCCTATGTCTTCTCTTTTTATCTACAATCTTTGATTAAGTTGGAGGTCGTGAAATCCACAAATTGCGAACTAGGGATCTGAAATTCAAGTCCGAGCTTGAAATGGCGCTGACAGTGGTATTTATGTCGCTTCCTTTACCAAGACTATGTCAATTCCATTGACTAGAACATAGCCCGTATACAATTCCTCCACCCCTCGGGGCGGCGATCCCACAAAGGTCGACGTGAACGCCCAATATGAAGGATTCGAGTGGAATTATGTTTATATTGTGTTTTGCGGCTTCATTGTCTGGTTGATCATCCCAGGAATCGGTCTATTATACAGTGGCCTTGCGCGAAGAAAGTCTGCGCTGACGTTATTGTTCCAGTCGCTTATGATTGTCACAGTGTATGGAGATCTCCTTGTTCGATGGCTTTGCTGACACTAATATATGTGCGGTGATAGAACAACCTTCCAATGGATTTTCTGGGGATATTCTCTGGCGTATGCGCGTGATGCAGGTCCTTTCATTGGAACATTGACCAATTTTGGATTGAGAGGAGTGATGGCTGCCCCGTCACCAGGATCAGCTGTCCTGCCTGAGATCGTCTTTGTTCTGTACCAGCTTCTTTTCTGTGCCTGCACCGTAAGTTGGGCAGTCGAACTAGACCATGCAGTAAATGTTGACCTTCATAGGTGATGATTGTTGTCGGGGGAGCATTTGAGCGAGGAAACATGATTCCTTCGTTGATTTTCAGCTTCTGTTGGGCCACAGTTGTGTATTGCCCGATTGCCTGCTGGACCTGGAACAGTAACGGTTGGTTGTACAATTTGCCTTCATTGGATTTTGCGGGCGGCGGGCCGGTCCATATTGCGTCGGGCTGGTCAGCCCTTGCCTACGCGTTGGTCTTGGGCAAACGCAAGCATCTCGATGAGCCCTCACATGCAAAGCCTCACAACACCACCCTTGTATTTCTTGGTACGACATTGATCTGGTTTGGATGGTTTGGCTTCAATGTAAGTGGGTCAATACCATGAAGTTGATAAATGTCTGACATTTCTGCTAGGGTGGTTCCGCCCTTAATGCTAGCGTAAGAGCGATGTTAGCCGCCTTCAACACCAACACAGCCGCGTGCACGGGAATACTGGGTTGGGTTCTAGTGGACTGGATTAAGACTCGCGGCAAATTCTCTGTTGTGGGATCGTGCGAGGGAGCCATCGCGGGACTCGTTGGGATTACACCGGCAGCCGGATTCGTCTCCGTATGGCTGGCCGCATGTATAGGGTTCATTACAAGCATTGTGTGTGCGTTGCTTCAAGACATAAACGTCTGGATGCACATCGATGAAGGGATGGATGTATTCAAGCTACATGGCATCGGAGGGATGGTCGGTGCCTTTCTGACAGGAATTTTTGCGTCGAGCTCGGTCGCTGCATTGGATGGCTCAACGGAAGCCAGTGGTGGTATCGATGGCAACGGGTTGCAGGTCGGGAAACAATTGGCGGAGGTTTGCGCAATCAGTGTTCATTCGTTCACCGTATCATGCATCCTGCTCTACATCCTGCAATGGATCCCGGGTATGCAGCTGCGGGTTCATGAAGAGGCGGAGATGATTGGATTGGATCGAGCGCAGTTTGTGGACGAACAGATCGGCGAGCGAGTTATTTTAGCCGATCTATTTGCATCATCACCGGGCAACGCCAGTGTGGTGAATGAGGCCCCTGGGGTTTTGATCGGAACCAAGGATTTTTAGTAAACAGGATCACCTATAGGGTCCTGGTCTGTGTGTTCGGGGCCGCGTGTCAAGTGTCAGTGTCATTCTAAATCAAGTATTAAAGTCAACAGATCATGCCAATCATCCTTCCACGGGCTGACGGGAACGAATCAACCTGGAGGCTGAAAGGTGGGGTTTCAATGCTGCGACCGAAGATCTCTACAAAGTAGAACAAAGTCACGCCTTCAATCAACATAAAACAACTCGTTGAATGGCAGCATAGGTCACCATTCAGTGCGACAGACCCAATTTTCCGTCTTGAACCCCTAAGAGGATCTCCTCCCTTTGATTTTAGGCCGCTGGTTGCACCATATTCACCCCCGGGATAGTCAATATGGGGATGCCAAGTCCACTGGTGCAGCTCGGCGTATCACGATGCAGGATGGTTGGCCTTATTGGCTTAGGAGCTGACGTAGACGGCCGCTTGTCTAATCCCTGTCCAGGCTTGGCCTAGCGTGGAGAGGAGTTGAAGGGCGGAAGGGTGAAAGGTTGGTTGGTACTCCGTAAGGGTGAGATTCATCGTCTTATCGAGATGCAACGCCACGGGAGAACATTCCGGGATGACGAATCCTTTGGAACAGTGTTCCGTGTTGTGCTTCGAGGTTGGAAGTTTATATGTAAAGATTGATGTACATCCTCTGTAAACAAAAAAACTCTGTAAACAAAGGACACATCAAATGAAGTGTCACCTGTTAAAGGTGGATACTTGGGGAAACAACGACGTCAATAATCAAGCAAAAAAGCAAGAAAAATGGTAGAAAACGGAAAGAACGAACGAAAGCGGGTGGTATTTTACAGGGTTTCGTCATGCATCGTAATATTACCGTACCTTCCCTTATGCGGATCACCATTTTCTTATTGCCCCATACTAATTCTCATATTAGCCATAATAGCCAATTTAGAGCGGGTCTCGCCCCCCGTCACACCGGGTATTAGTACCTGCCGTGCCTCGCGTCTCAGAATTAAAGACTCCTTATCTCTTTCTTTCCTCATCCGAACCGTTTATTTTCGTCATTCGTTCGACCTCGCTCTTCGCTCTGCTCTTAGGAGCTCTCTACCCTTCGCTTTGCTGGTCATGCTATACCATTAACCAGTCAAATGGGCAAATGTGAGTTTAAAGTTGTTTGTTCCTGCGGCCCAGCCTGTTCCGAAAATAGCTCAGATTTGACTGACACGACATTCACCCCACAGGGCGTTATGGTGTTGTCCTGGACGCTGGTTCGTCTGTATGTTGGACTCGAACGAACAATAATTTCTCTATGCCTAGGGTGTGTGTCGCTAACCTACAACACAGGGGACCCGTGTCCACGTATATCGCTGGCTGCGCAATGCCGCTGCGCGCAAGAAAGCGAATGTTGATGGCTTGAAATCGCTCCCGGAAATCAAGACCAAGGAGGAATGGGTGAAGAAGATCCATCCAGGTGAGTCTGAAGAGGGAGTTTGGCTCAAGCGCCTCCATTGACTGACTGGTCTCGTTCCTTCCCAGGTGTTTCTTCATTCGCCGATAGACCCGACTCCATCGGCCCAGACCATCTGGCAGAACTCTTGGACCACGCCAAGAACATAATTCCCGAGGATGATGCTAAGGACACACCGATCTTTTTACTTGCCACGGCTGGAATGCGCCTTCTCGGAAACCTGGAACGACAGCTACTCCTCGATCAGATCTGCTCCTACGCTCGCGCGAACACCGATTTCTTGTTGCCGGACTGCGGCGCTCATATTCAAGTGATTCCGGGCGTGACGGAGGGATTGTACGGGTGGATTGCGACCAACTACTTAATGGGAACTTTCGACTCTCCGCTAGCCCACGATCATGGCAAAGGACATCACACATATGGCTTTCTGGATATGGGAGGGGCATCTGCACAGATTGCCTTCGCTCCTAATGAAACCGAGACCCAAAAGCATGCAAATGATTTGACCCTGCTACGCCTGCGGAATATCGATGGGACTCAGCAGGAGCACCGAATCTTTGTGACATCATGGTTGGAATTTGGTGTCCACGAAGCTAGACGCCGCTTTGTCGAATCGTTACAAGCAATGATGGGCTCGAACACTCAAGACCTACCGGATCCATGTCTTCCCAACGGTCTGCGCACGACTCTGGATGGCAAGGAGCTACCACCAGGCAGTCCCGCTGGACCAAGTTTGTTGGGCACAGGTAGGTTTGATGAATGTCTGCGTCAAACTTTTCCTTTACTGGATAAAGATGCGCCATGCTCAGATTTCCCATGTCTTCTACACGGTACTCATGTCCCAGCCATCGATTTTGATGTAAACCATTTCATCGGAATTAGTGAGTACTGGCACACAACCCATGAGATTTTCGAGATGGGTTACAAGGATAAGGCATATGACTTCAATACCTACCAAGAGCGGGTTAAAACATTCTGCTCTCAAGACTGGGACTCCATTGAACAAGGGATTGAAACACAACAATGGGGCAAGAAGGTTGACCATGAAAAGGCCTATGAGGTTTGCTTCAAGGCCTCATGGATCATTAACATGCTGCACGATGGTATTGGGATACCACGGGTTGGCCTGGAAGATACTTCTTCTTCTCACAACGGGACTAAGGAGGTCTTGGCTCATGGCCAGGAAAAGGGCTATCTGGATGCTTTCCAGGCTGTGAACAAGATTGACTCGACTGAAGTCAGCTGGACACTGGGCAAAATAGTCCTATATGCATCATCGCAGGTGCCTACGGATGATGAGGAAGCACTGCCCGTTGGTTTTGGTAGCAACATCCCCGGTATTCCCGAGGATTTCCAATATCCCAGCGTGCAGCTTCTGCCCGATGCGGAGGGTTTCCACAGCGAGCACTGGCATGACGCACTGTTTGACGGTGACTCCCCTCGTCGCATCCCCGGAATCCTTCTATTTCTATTTATCGTCGTTGTGGCGGCCTTTTTCCTTTGCGGTCGGAGCCGTCGTTTGCGACTTTATCACCGCATCAATAATCTCCTTCGCCGAGGGGGCCCATCTCATCCCAACCACCCGAAGAAACGACGGCCCTTCTTGGGCAGGTTGCCATTCTTCCACCGAAATGCTCCTTCTTACGAGCGTGTCATGGAGAATGGTGCTCAGGAGTTTGAGCTGGGTGGAGCCGACTCTGATGGCAGCGATATAGATGAACGTGCTTCAGATGTCGATGGGGTGAACCCTCATCCGCCGAAGCGGGCTTCCAGCTGGGGCAACAGTGGCACCAACCCTAGTTTGAAATACACTCTTGACAATAGCTCATCTGCGACAATTGGTTTGGGCATCAGTGGTGGATCAGGCATTGCTATGGATCGGGCAGGCTTGGTGGTACGGACTGAGAGCCGGGAACACCTTGCTCCCATCGCCTTGGGACCTACCACGAACGGACGACGCTCCAGAGCTGGCAGTCCCACGCGATCTCTTCACCAAAAATCGCCCATCCTGAGTCCCCTTGCCGATGATTAATGCTATTGACGCAATGCCCCCTCAACTGAATTATGCCTCGTGAACCTCGACACGTTCTGCTTCTATTCTGCATTGCATTTTCTCCCCATTGGCGTCTCCTGCTTTTACTAATCTTCCTATACTTTGGGAGATCCTCATTTAAGGTGTTGCTGTGCTGCAGCTGATGCTTTCAATTCTTGGTACAATATTCAAACCAGTACTCTGGAGGAGTACACTTTCGGTGCTTTCGATCCGATCCGGGTGATTTGGATGTAATGGCAGTGTACCATTAGCACTCTACTGCGAATTTTAATGGATATAAACTAATACATTGCTCAAAATTTATCGAATCTTCAGACGAATTGTTTTGGACCTCGTAAACCAGTCATGTATCTTTAGTTCTGATCACATCTTCCATAAGCTCGCCGCGATATATCATCACGTGATATGTATCTGGTTACACCGCCTGGCAGAAAGGGCTGCGGTCCAAGCTAGTCTTGATTAGAGAAACTTGCGACAGGTTCTCTCGTCCATTGAGCTTTCTCTTGACTTACAAGTTGATTCAGTGTTATTGCCATATCAGCTGGCATATGCTTTCCTGATAGAATTCTTAACCCAGTCCACCTTTCCCCTCGCCACTCCAATTTCGACTTAAGCCACCGCCGCCATGCGTTTGACCGTCGAGCTCATTCAGAATTCACTTTCCTACATTAATCCGCTTACAGACCGAGAGCTGGATCTTAGAGGTGCGTTGAAGAATCACCCATCTACCTGAAAAGGACAGATACTACACGTTTAAAAAAGAGCTGCATTCACATCGTCTATGCGTCGAGTCGTATAGGACACAAGATCCCCACAATTGAGAACCTGGGAGTTGCCAAAGTGAGTCGATTCCATTTCCTGCGATTCAGCCAATGCCACCTTTTCAAGTACAAGGGTGTTCCTGCTACACATTGTGAGGATTCTGGAAGAGATCGCGTGCTAACAACCCGCAGGACCAAGATGCCATTGATTTCACCGACAACGACCTCTCCTCGCTCGGAAACTTCCCCTTCTTCCCCCGCCTCCGTACACTTCTTTTGGCGCGCAATAGAATCAGCCACATTCAGTCCTCCCTGGGCACTTCATTGCCGAACTTGTCAGCCCTGGTCCTGACTTCAAATAACCTGTCCGAGCTTGCGGATCTCGAGTCGCTTCGCACTCTCACAAAGTTGACACACCTTACTCTGCTCGAGAACCCTGTTACACGGAAAGAGGTAGCTTCCAATGTCTGCCTCCGAACCGGCTTGTATCTAACACTTCATCATAGAACTACCGGTACTGGGTTATCTGGGTGGCTCCCTCTGTGCGTTTCCTCGACTACCAGAAAGTGAAAGACGTGGAGCGCGCCAAGGCAAAGGAACTTTTCGGTACCTTCGAAGAACCGTCCGCCCTCGCATCAAAGATCAAGGGTATCAAGTCCAAGACATTCGATGCCTCGATAGCCGCAGCGACAAACAACACCTCAACCGACAAGGCGATCCGCGTAAAGCTCACAGATGCCGAACGGAAGCGCGTGGAGAAGATGATTCGCGAGGCAAAGAGTATGGCGGAGATCACACGGTTGGAGAAGGAGCTTAACGAGGGACGGATACCCGGCGGAGCACTTGGTGCAAGCGAAGATGCGGATGGGGACGTGCAAATGTGAGCATAGCTTGCTTGTATCCATCAGATCATGATACCCGTATTCCCTTTTTCTTTGCTCCGCCAATTCCATCTGTTTCTTGTCACGGCCGTTGATTTCATATAATGTACAAGTGGCATTCCCATGCAGGGCTATTTTATCATTTGGGCATTTCATATCTTGCCGGTGCTTATGCGGTTGTTTTTCCAGTTTGAAGCAGCATTGTGGGGCATAGTTCCATGCCTAAAACGCCAAATTTTGCACATGTCTTCCAGAATTCCTCAAATGTAGCTGCAGTGTTGCGTGGCTTAGTTTCGAGGTTGCCGAGATGCGACGCGAGTTGTTTCCGCGGAATAGCGGTGGGTTTGACAGGGATATATAAGGTCCTCTTCCGATCTTCCACTGTGAGCTCTTCCAATCGGTAGGATTTCCAGCTGAGATAGAGTAGATCAGCATAGCTCGGAGATATGGCTAGATGTAACCAGTGACTGCATTGATCCATTGATCGTCCTATGCATTGTGAATAACGTGAAACACGTCTGGGGTAAAGACCCAAGCGCATAAGAATAAACTATGAGTTCCCTGGACACCGATTGAATTGATTATCTAACAGGCCAAGCCGTCAGAGTCCAGGAAATTTTGCCGCGAATTTTATACGGAGTGCATAGCGCACGTCATTACTCGGTCTGAACTGTACTCCATACCAAGAATAGTAACTCAATCTACTCTGTGGAAGACAGCTACTATGGCACTAATCTCATACTGAAAATCACCAATGCATAACAAACGGCAGTTTCCTGCATGAGCCTGCTCGGCAATTTGCGCTGACAGTCCTTATTTTCACTTAGTGCGCTAAATTTCTGCAATGAAACGGGATTTCTTCAATTCAGTGATTGGATACAGAAACCGCCACATTCAGCCATCGGCTTTGACTAAAGTAGCTCCAGTTGATGCCATTCGAGAGTGGGGCTAATATCTAGGGGCGGTGTAAGAACACATCATGCAATTGCAATGTCAATGAAGGGGGGTTAGTGTTTTCCTAAAGAAGTCATGTTGAAGTTGATAAGCGCCATTGATCAATTTTTACGGAGTTGCAATTCCAAAGTAAAGGTAATTTCCGGGGCTTCGGCCGGATGGTTGACGAGCCTAGTATAGATGAAAGTGGGGATGACTACTTTAGCTCGTTAGCTAACTACTCGGAGTCCGTCTCCGTGATCGAAATTTCTTCACACTGAATAAAGGCGCATGTTTACTGCCTTAATGTTGTCCTAGTACGCCGTACGGAGTACTTCTGAAGAAATGCATCGATAGATCTCGTACTTTTGCACATACCCCTACTGATGAAGATCCCAACCATGAATCAATAGACGCCACATCACGCCACCCCCATATGAACCACAGATGATAGATCTCGAAAGCCTGGGGGACTACCCCTGAACATTTCCAAGTAAAAAATCATTCTAGAAATTATCAACAAGCGCCACCGGGTACGCCATCAGCAGCTTGATTCCAAATTCGTTCAACTCCGTCTGTGAAGTGGTAAACCCACCAAAGTGGGACCGATGTGTTCAATTGATTCCAATAAATATTCAATGAGTGTCGATGACATTAAATGCCATCACTGTATACAGGATTGATCGCCGTGCACTGACATGCAATAATTCTCAAAGCAAAGGAGTTATCGAAGGATTTTTAAAGTCCACAATGTTTAGGTGGGGACTAGACTCTTGAGGTTCTCTCATCGATCAAACAAGATCTTTCTGAAGTTTGTGCGGACAATCGTTGCCTTATTGGGGTTGTGGATCAGACTGTTTGAACCATTGAATTGAACATGCCCCTCGTGTGTTCTCCGTATAGTAGGTCAGTCATGGTTTTGAGGGGCGCATCCCTTGTTCCTTGCAGATTTTCTCAAAAAAAATTCAATTCCCTTACCTCTTCTCCACTCCTCTGTTCGGCTTGAGTGTTCAAGTTTCCTAATCCCGCGTATTCCGTATGATGATTCCGTAGAGAGAGAAAAACGAAAAACTCCGGGCATTCTAGCCACAAAGGATTGACAACGGATCCGGTCGGCATTAACAGTGGAGCTTGAGAGATTGACCAGCCCCCACCTGTAAGACACCAAGTATATTGGACCGAGAAATGGAATCTTGCATGCGAAAGTTCAATGGTCAAAACACGGCACATCCAGTCCTTTGGATCTAGAAAACTTTGACATTCCGTGTTTCACATTTGATATAAGTCTTGACATTCTTTTGATCTCCTATATATCGTCTATCCTATCACTACTGTTTTTGCCCCTCGGTTGCGGATGGTCAATATTCATTGACCCAGGGCCATGGCCAATGATATTACCCCCGCCTCCTCTCCGCCTGCAGGCCAGACATCCAACTTTATCGACCCGGACTATTGCGGTATCAAGTTTGTGGTGGTGAATTGCGTGTTTCTCACGTTGGCTGTCATTGCTCTTGTGGTGCGAATATGGACTCGATTGTTCATTGTGCGAAGCTTTCGCGCTGATGATGGTCAGTATCGCCGATTCTCATTGAGTGAGCCTAATTAACTTTTTTTCCCTCTAGTTTTGATGCTTATGGCTTTTGTATGTTTAACCAGCGTTTGTATTCAGCCTCGAAGATTCCCTGCTGACATAGGATTTTATACTAGGCCCTATCATGTGTTCTTACCGGAGTGACTTTGGACAGTAAGCGAAGATGGTGCAACTCATGCATAGTAACGAAACTAACATCATCAGTGCTTAATTGGGGCCTGGCAAAGCACATGTGGGATGTTCCTCTAGATACATACTCACCAATGTTCAGCAAGGTTAGTAAAAACCCATTATTCTTACTGAAATGTCGAGTTTACTGATTCGCCATGTCACATAGCTGAATCTCGTCGCTGCAATTATCTACTGTGCAGCCACTGGGTTTACCAAATGCTCCGTCCTAATCTTCTACCTCCGAATTTTCCCAAGTCGCAAATTCCATATTGCTGTCTGGACCATCGTTTTCATTGCAGCTGGGTACAGCGTCGCCAGTATCCTTGCCAACATTTTCAGCTGCAATCCAATCGCCAAATCATGGGACCTCACCATAACAACTGGTTCATGTATGAACCGTCCTGTCTTTTACTTCGCCAATGCTGGCTTAGGCATTTTTACCGATTTCGCAACTGTTGCTGTGCCGATGTACGTTGCTTGTTTTTTTCAGTTTCACGCAGGGCTAACAAGGTGCCAGACCGTGGATCTATCGATTGCAAATGCCTACGCGACAGAAGGTTGCCGTTTGCGGTGTCCTCGCAATGGGATGCTTGTGAGTTTGATCATGAGTGAAAATATGCTCCTTCTAACGTTATCATTAGTGTCGGAATTGTTAGCTGTATCCGCCTCGTCACCCTATACTATCTTTTAACGAGCTCGGATCTTACTTGTAAGCCCACCCCGTTAATTGACCCAAACAACGATTAATATAGGTCTATAGGGACGACCACCAACGCTCTCTTATGGTGCACAATCGAACTCAACCTTGGAATCTTCGGTGGCTCCGTCACAGCCATGCGCCCCTTTATCCGACGATACTTCCCCCGTCTCCTAGGTCTCTCCTCCGCTGGCGGATACTACGGATCCCAATCTCGAAAACAAGCACACCCCTTGAACTCCATCCCCCGAAGCGGGCAACCCGACTTCTCGAACCGTAATCATCTATACTCTGCTACAATGACTGCATCGCGAAACGCGCCTGACAATGATAGCGAGGAGCATATTTTATCTCCGAAGAGTGCCGGTACGAAAGAGATGGATGGTATCGTTCGGACGGTGGAGTTTGACATAGAGAACACGCCTACTCAAACGCGGTGATATAGAACTGATAGTCACTTAATTGGTCCCCTATTGTGGGCGCAAATGTACATTGAAATGTAAATATGACGATCAACAATAATACCATGACAATTGAACTTGTAAAATAAAATCTATTCAAATAATTCTAGCAAATTCCATGGAATGGACTCCAATAATTCCTTCGATAAAGTTCTATGCATAAAGTGGATCCCAATTGCCGGTTGAATAATATTTACTTTGGAACCCCTGACTCGATTCCTGGATTATTGACGGGTGGCGTTCGCAACCAGCACGATTCATTGGAAGCATAACTTTAACTTCTCTTTACTGTTCACATTCCAAAGCAAATCAAAGTACTCTATTCCCTCGACTTATAGATATCTTAATCAATTCGCACAATGACCGTTTCCAGTTCCCGTGTATCTGTGAGTTCGGCTCCACGCCACATCGCGCTAAGTGGATGGAGCCCCACGGGGCTTATTGCAAACACCGAAGTCAAGCCAGCCTAGACGCTAAGCAACCACTCTCGGCAGGCGATGATACCTATTCCAGAAATTGTCCGGCAACATCCGTGTTTAAATTGCGCAAGCTGTCAGTTTAAATTCATCCACATGGTGCCTGGTTGTTTCCTTTGATTCATCCTCAGTTCAATTTCCATCATGCGTGTGGCCTCTTTTCTGTTGTCCCTGGTGGGCGCGGCTACTGCGGTCGCAGCCGATTCCCACGTGGCTAGAACCACCCCGGCTGTCGCGGCTGGCTGCAGTGCCCTGCAGAAGCCCCTGGGCAATGCAGTGTTCCTTCCCAAGACCAAGGTTTACAAGTATGAGGCTCAGAACTTCTGGTCGAACACTGAGATCATGTCTCCGGGATGTGTCTTCCGTCCGAAGTCTAGTGCAGAGCTGGCGCAGGGTCTGAAAACGCTCATTGATGCCGATGCCGAGTTCGCCGTTCGTGGTGGCGGCCACATGGGCATTCGGGTAAGATCTGCGCTAGACAAAAGTACCCTCGGCAAATAGTCGGAACACTAACGTTTGATAGGGTTCCAACAATATCGATGGCGGTGTTTTGGTTGTTATGTCCAACTTGACTACTTTGCAATTGAGTCACGATAAGTCGATCCTGTCGGTCGGCCCTGCTTACCGGTAAGCCACTATTACTTCACGCCCCATGGGAACAAAGAACTGACACCGGCAGATGGATCGATGTGTACAACTACCTCGCCGATTACAATTTGACCGTTGCTGGTGGCCGTCTTGGCCCCGTTGGTGTGCCTGGTCTGCTCCTTGCTGGAGGTATTAACTTCTATGGTAACCAGGTCGGCTTTGCTTGTACCACCGTCATCAACTATGAGGTTGTCCTGGCCAACGGCTCTCTCATTCAGGTCAACCAGACCAGTTACCCGGACTTGTTCTGGGCCCTGAAGGGTGGTAGCAGCAACTTCGGTCTGGTCACCCGCTTTGACATGGAGACTATTCCCTCCCGCAAGGTGTGGGCTGGTAGTTACACCGTGGCTGCTAAGTACATTGATCAGTTCCTCGCGGTATGTTTACCCCCAACCGACTATGCATAACATCTACTGACTCATTTAGGCTATCGCAACATACTCCGCCAATATCTCTGATGTCAAGTCGCACATTGTGCCTGCGCTTGTTCCCGGAGACGGAACCGGAGACGCAACTCTGGCATCCGCGATCCTGTTCTACGACAGCGATAACAGCACCTTCCCTGAGATTTTCAAGCCCTTCACCGACATTCCCGCTGAGGCCAGCACTCTCGCCTTCAAGACCGTTGCGGAGTTCGCTGCCGAGAATGGCGAGGTGGTTACCGACGGCATCAAGTAAGATCCAAGATCAATAATGATCCTCCCCTTGAATGCACACTAACAGAATCCAGTGATGTCTTCGTTGCCGGAACCGTCAAGGGAACTACCTACGACGAGCTCTACCAGGGTATCAGCATCATCAACTCTACCTTCTTCAGCCAGCTCCCCAAGCTTTACGCCCAGATCCCCTCTGCCAACATTTCCATCATCGAGTTGGACTGGCAGCCCATCGGCGCCGACTGGATCAAGGCTTCCGAGGTTCGTGGCGGTAATGCCCTTGGCCTGGATGCTTCCCAGGTGTACCTCTGCTACGCTGAGGTCGTCGAGTGGATTGGATCGGCCTATGACGATATTGTCGCCTCTTGGGTTGAGGAGACCACTTACCTTATCAACAACGCCACTGAGAAGGCTGGCTTGTATGATGCTTTCAACTACATGGGTGACTCCGCTGGATTCCAGTCGATGTTCCCTGGATACGGTGAGGCCAACCACCTGAAGTTGCAAAAGGTTGCCAAGAAGTACGACCCCACTGGTGTCTTCCAGACTTTGATGCCTGGTGGATTCAAGGTCTACTAAGCTTTGCAGCCTTGGGGCACTGCATGAGGCTTTGCTGGTGTTATTAGTCCACAGCTAGACTGTGACTTGTTTAATATATAGTGTGTTACATTGTTACGATCTTGTCACTGGATTAGAGGAAATATATAATTGCTTCAAGATTCTGGTCTTGTGTACAACACATTCATGAACACGCTTCGAAAGCTGGTCTGCTTGACATAATATGTGTAGTTTAACAGTTCAATCCTGCCAAAACATCAAATTTTCAGATTTTGCTATTTGTAATGTAGTACATGATGCCGAGAGACTTATTCCTCTTAGATTGGGTACAAGGTCGGTAGGTGAAATCCACCCAGTGTCTTCGCAGTGCTTTGACCGATTGATAATACAATGACGACAGCATGAATTGAGGGTTCGAATGTTACGGTCACTACATCATTATATGTGCAGATAGTAGTAAGTATGGCTTTGCAAGATTGGCTAAAATGGTCAATTGGATTTTCAACATGCTTTCAATGGTAGTGGATATATCGCAACACCAAAAAAAGACCAAGATTCAGACTGTATGACAACAAGGCTTTCATAAACATAAGAAGCCTGATACTGTACATACTAGAAGTCTCAACAGAACAAAACACAACAGAACAAAACACATTCGACATTGCTTCTTTTTTCTTTTTTGGTTTGATCCACCAGCCCGAGTCTCCTTTCAACGCCAGAAATGGCACACCCTTTTTGTTTTGGCCGGTGCTTCTTCACCGCATGCCATTGTTGAACCGTGGCTGAGGCTGTATCCTCCTTGCCACAACAGGTGCTTCTTCACCGCAATTTCGCCCAGTGGGTTGTCCCTCCACACCACTTGTTGTTTTGACACCAGTGACGAGTTCAAAGATGCGTTCGCAGATGGAGTTTCGAAGCTTCAGGCGGGATGAGAGCTACTCCGCAGACTCAATTGGCGTGGAAGCGAAATGTGGGAGGTCATCTCGAAAGGTAGATTGGCACAGTCTAAAAGGGTAGCAAAGTCATAGGATTGGAATTGTAAACAAACCTTAGAACTAGTCAGCCCAGTTTGGGAGTTGATCCTAAGGAATGATCACTGCATCAAGGTAGATTGACATGATGTATTGAGAAGGATGTTTGTTTTGATGAAGACATGGATGGGAAGTTCCGAAGTTGAAACTTGTGTTTGAGGTTTGAAGATTGGAAGTTCAAAGATGGAAGAGATGGAAGATGAAATCCAAAAGTAGGACTTGGACGTTTGAAGTTTGAAGTCTGAAATTGAGAGGTGATAAGAAAGGAAGAAGAGAGAAGAGAGAAGAGAGGTGAGTCAAAAAGTATTTATAGTAGTGGGTGGGGTCACTGGGGTGAAGTGAATGAGTCGCAAGATCACCACCTGCAAACAGGATCGACCTATCACGACGCTTCACAGGATCACCCAACTAGCCTGATGAATCAGGACGTCCAAAGTGTGATTCAAACCTGCCTGGTGCTTACACTGTGTAAGTGCCTGATGCCCTAGGGGTCAGTTTTGTCCCTCAGTAAACGAACTGAACTTTCACAACAACAACTTGCTAACCCATACCACCCATGATCGACCAATCACCCGAGTGATCCGGATCAACTGGTACTCATCTTTTTCTTTCGCGTAATCCTTTTGATCCTAAGTCGTATTTATCATTTGCTATTAGCGGTTAAAGTCTCTGATGTTATATATCAGGCCCGCTTCAGGCCCAGCCCCCCAAGTCTCTCAGACTACCCTGGGCAGATATGTAACGGAAAGCCTGGAAGGTATAATCCCAGGAATCATTTAAATGAGTCGATGAAATGATGTTCAATCGGAGATCGTTGATTTTAAGTGCGGAGGTGCTATCTTAGTTAGTATATTCGCCATACAGCCACAGGATTCGTCATATAGCCTATCTTAACCACGTACAACGCCCAAATCTAGGACTCGACGAAAAAAATTAGCATAAAGAGCCCTTCAAGATCCAAGTTTCGAACTATATTATAGGAGGCGACCTAGTCACCCGAGATTAATGAACAGCGCGGAGACAACACAGATCATCTGCCATCAGTCGCCAGAGCAGATTTTGAGCGCCAATTTCCGAATGAATACTCAGCTTGCAGATCACATATCTATTCAATTTTGTAAAAATCCAACATTTTGAACCGACTTAGGCAGTAGCAAGTGCTGCATTCCCACCGTCACATCCAGGCAACTTCAACCGATGAGCAGGAATTGCCGATCTCAGTGCCGTCTACCCATTCTCTTATGATTACTATTCTCAACATTTAGCGATGACTTCAGCTTTATTGGCCCCGCAGACCCTGGTGGGTCTCTGCTCGGCAAATTTCAAAGTCTACACCCCATACCCCGGACTTCATTTCGTGGGGAAATTGGGTATCGATCCCCACCGTCCCTCCCGCCCCACCGGTAAACCCCGATGTTGATACCCGAGGGAAATGCGTCATTATCAGATATTGACTTCGAACGAGGTCTGAGAACTAAGGTATCATTCCGCGATGCTTGATTTTTATTGGGAATTTTCCGCAGAAAAGACAGTGAAGAAGCTTGGCTTTTGTGGCTTTGCAGGGTAACTTCTGGCGTCGGCATATCCGATTGGCGCAGGGGAAAACCAGTGAAAGCGGAATTTCCACACTTCATGCGGACCTTTCCTTATCGAGGCCGATTTACAACTCGCCTGGCACGCGTCAAGATTATTGTGCTTGATCTAACAAGGCAAGATAGAGTTAACTTCCAATCGGGACCTACATTATATTCTGCAAAAGCAGATACGAATTGTGGCTTCTTATCGAAGATTAAACATGTTCACCGCAAGAATATTTGCATGCAATAAAGTAGATCGAGCCGATCGACTTCATGGTAGCGGCTATAAGCAGAAGAATAATAGCCTAGTACGAAGCAGTTGTCTACGTGCGGGTTAAAAATCACATTGCGGGGCAGGTGCTCGCTTCTCGATGCCAAATCAAGGTTCAATCGGAACGTGGAGGAGGTAAAATTACCGAGAGCATCTGAAAGTCTATAGTTACCCGAGCATCTCATTGCCAGGGCAAAATGCGGAGAGAAGAGGGTCTCCATACGCATGGACCTTTAGAATGAATGGAAGATGGACTATAAATTAAGCCAGTGCGGCCTGCATACCTTCAATCTTGAGCAAGAACAAATACAGAGAAGTCCCAGATTCCTCGTGTCTGTTTTTAGCTTTTTTGATCACCATAGGCCGACTCAAGATGACTCGAATCCCTAGGGCCCTTGCAATTGTTGCGGGCTTCCTTGGTACCACCACAGCGCAGACACTATGGCCATTACAGACATACAAGAGTACCTCAATTAAAGTTCCCTATCTTAACGTTACGAAAATGGGTCAGACCGAACCTGGGCACCTTTTTCTGTCTCCCCATGATATTTTACGTGGTGAAGGGTATCCTACCATTTATTCCGATGACGGACAACTAGTATGGCAGGGAGCCATGGGCAACTACTCTGCCCTCCACCCCCAGATGCTGGATGATGAGTCAGTTATTGCATACTGGGAAGGATTTGTTGCCGATGGCTTTGGTTTTGGCCATATCAGCATCCTCAACAGCTCTTACGACGAAATCCATCGCGTGACTCTCGACTGCAAGGCCGAGAACTTCGTGACGATCTATGGTTCGGAGTCATTCAATTCTTGTATCGATATTCATGAGAGCCAATTCACAGATGATGGAACAGTCCTGGTCACCGCCGTCAATGTCACTCAAGCTGATTTGAGTTCTGTTGGTGGCTCCAAGGATGGCTGGATCCAAGACGGTGTGATCTATGAAATTGATATCAAGACAAACGAGATCCTCTTCCGCTGGAGTGCATATGAGCATATCCACGAGCTTCCTATGAGTTATGATATCGCGCCGCTCGGAGCGGATGGTGCTGGCTCTGGGGTTAATAAGACGGACCCATGGGGATATCCTCACCTCAACTCGATTGCCAAGTATGGGGACTCTTACCTTGTATCGTCACGGTACATGTGCAGTATCTTTTTGCTGGCTCCTAACGGTACTATTACATGGCTACTCCATGTACGTTAATCTGGGTTTTTCCCTTTAAAAAAGATTTGTGCTTACTTGAAATGAATAGGGTCGCACCGGTGGAGACTTCAATCTGAGCCTTGATACCAGCTTCTGCTACCAACACGATGCACGTTTTGAGTCACAGAGTGCCGAGCGCGTCACAATCGGCCTCCACAACAATGACAACACCGAGTTCACAGGAAGCTCTTCTCTAACGACAGGCATGGTTCTGGATGTTGAGCTTCAGGGTTCGAAGAAAGTTACACTCAAGCGTCGGATGTGGGATGCCGACGAGCCGGTGTATGCCCAGTCACAGGGTAGCTACCAGCCGCTCGGTAATGGCCACGTTCTCCAGGACCATGGTGCAGTCCCCAAAATCGAAGAGTACGATGAGAATGGCAGTGTTGTGATGCGCGCACGCTTTGGCTATGATAATACCATGCAGACATACCGTGCATATCGATACCCGTGGGTTGGTCGACCTTCTACGAAGCCGGGTGTGTTGGCGTGCCCGTCTAGTGATGGCGAAAAGGCTACTGTGTATGTGAGTTGGAATGGAGCGACGGATGTGGAGTCGTGGAAGATTCACTCGGGCTCTAAAGTTATGGGCAGTGCCGCGAGCAATGGTTTCGAGACCGCCATCCTTGTTGATAAGCTAAACAAGGGTGACTCGGTGATTGTTGAGGCTGTCGGTGGCGTTGGTGATGGCACAAGATCTGCTTCTGTGACAGTGGGCCAAGGCTGCTGAATGACCCAATATACCTAGAAGAAAAACCTATAATTGAGATTGTGTCAAGATTGAATTAAATATCTTGGCGACCTGGATTGAACTTCCGCGTTATGAATAACGACAAATACTAGAGTCAACTAGTTGTGGTTGGTAGTATGTATGCCTTGCCAAGATTGGGTGATTGTATCGAATGATTCATTGACAGGCATATATGAACAAGGATTTATGAGCTATGTACAGTAAGTTGAACGTGCAGCTGGCGGACGAAATAAGAAAGGGGTATAATATTATGAGCAGCATCCAATCACCATAGCCGTGCATTAACGGAAACGAAGTTCGCAAGATCGAAGGGAAAGCAATTCAAAGCAAGAAACACCTAGAGCTTGGAGTCCGTCCCAATAGCCTTTCGGCGCATTTGTTTCGAAGAAATATCGGTGGGTGCTGGTGCGGATGCGTTCAGGAAGAGTTGTCGCCCAACAACATCAGACATTTTCAGGACCCGCGAGGAGACAGTGGCACCATCACGGCGATTTTTGCTACGCAGAATAGTTAGCAAGCCTCCATAGTATTTATCTCAATAGACTCACCCTTCACGACGGGACTGCGCAATAAGTTCAGTAAAGTCCCATAACTTGCCACGAGACAGAACCTGACCGGTGTGAGGATCTCTCTCTGGTGTCCACTCTGGTGCAAGTCGAAGGGTTGGACCAGCTTTTGAATCCTTAACCTTGGCAACCAGGATAATACCTTCTTCCTCAAAGCGCTGGTAGGAATTTTTGAGTGTCTCCTTGTTCACGGCTTCGAAGTAAGAGAGGTCGCCTTGGTGGTACAATGTTTTGCCAAGCTGAAACATGTTAGTTTTCTGGTGCTGGTCACGACCCAAGACCTTGATTATTACTCACAAGTTGTGCGCTATCCTGAACCTTCTTCACATTGATCCAAATCTCCCTGGGCCCATCAAGTGGTGGTGTGAGGCCAAGTAGAGAAACAGCACCAAGCCATGATGCCTCGATGAAGGGCCAAATCAGGAAGCAATAGAAATCATAATTCTCACGACCACACAAACGTTCAGCTTCACTCAACTCAACGAATTGTGGGGTTCCAGAGCTATCGCGAGTAATTTGGATGACATCATCGGCCTCCAAGCACTTCAAAGTATTTTCTAGGTTAGTTGCTAGTCCCTCGGGCGGGAAGATGAATTCGCCGCGGAATAGCTGGAGAAATGTATGTTAGAAAGGTTGTGTGATGAAGAGAACATAAATAAAAACATACCTGGGAGAGGAAGGAGACCTGAGTCCTCAAAGCCTCGTAGCCGATCCGTTGGTTGGTGGGCCCGCCACCCTGCTTGATCTTTGTGTACATGGCAACGGAGACCAGGGCCTCGGTGATAAAAAGATGGATGAGCATATTGCGATAAAATGACAGTTGAAAGCGATCCACGGCATAATAGGTTGGCTCCGCCAAGCCTGGAGTCTCGCCAACCAGTTTTGGACCTAAGACATCAAGAGCTCGATCGACCACCATTTCAGTCGGTGAGCGGTAGAAATGAGCGACTCGACCACCCTTGGCCCGAACACGCTCACTGAGCCAGTCTAGCCGTCGAACGAGCTCGCCTTTTCCGACACCACGGCCACGGAGGGTCAATAATACGGTGCCGACAAGGGCAGTCGGCATCATCACCGAGACATCATTGATTTCCGACAACACGCGGTAGCCCAGTGTCCTGAGAATGCGTCCTCGCTCGTCGTGTGCTAACTTATGGTTCGAGCCCAGGTCCGCCATATTGAGCCTTGTAATCTGCTGCCCTAGGAATTCACGCAGACTCCAAGGCTCGTGGAAGCGAACATCCACTCGTCCCAACTTGAGAGACAGGACAGAAGATGACGAAAGAAGATCAGCTAAGTTCTCCTTCTGTTTGGGTTGTCCCAAAAGTTCGCTGATATATGACCTATACTCACGTCAGAATTGGGAACCATCTCATGTACTAGATCTCATACTCAGTCTCGATAACCTTGTCATACTGCGTACTGACCGGGCAGATAATTGTGTCTTCTACCCGACCAGACAACACACTATCGACAATAAAGCTGAGAATTCCGAATTTCGGAGAAAGCAGTTTTCCTGTCCGAGAGCGACCACCTTCGATGAAGCATTCAAAGTTAAAGCCCTCTGTGAGGAGAGTGTCAATGTACGCCTGCACAACAGTATGGTAAAGTGGATCATTTCCAAAGCTGCGTCGGATCCACATGGCACCTATAACAGTCAGCGTGAAATAGACCCTAAACAGAGAATTGGAACGAACCAGCGTGCTGCAAGAAAGGTCCTAGAAGGGGAATATTCAAGTTGTCGCCCGCGACAACAACTGGGAGGCCGATTCCAAGACGATAGCAAATGAGTTGCAAGGAGACATAATCCACATGAGACTTATGACAAGGCAAGAAAACAATGGATTGTTTCTTCCTAGCAGCTGTCTCAGCAACCGATCTCAAGCGCAAGACCTCCTCACTGGAGACATGAATTCCTTGGTGGTAGGCCCGTGTAAGGAGCTGCGTACACAAGTAGTATGCGCCGCGAATAAATGTCTTGCTCTCCATCTTACAAATCATATCGTCCATCATTTTATCCACCACCTCCCGAAGACTGGTTTCGATATCATGCCGGCGACGGGCTCGCTTTTCATCCAGAGTAGTGCCATCTACAATCGCGACCAGGCCCTCTTTCTCCTCCACGGTCAATCGAGTAGACGCCAGTTCTCGAACTTTCTCCTGCAGCATATTACTCGAAAGGATGGACGATTTCATTCGTTCGGAGAAGCCCGAATAGAACACCGGTTGGCCGATAGGGTTGTCGTACGCGCGCCAGCCTGTTCCAGACATGTACAGACTGACTTCACGCAGGAACTCGAAGGGGTTTTCGCGGAATCGGGCCATGTGACGCACAAGGTTTCGTTCGGTGATTTGGTCATCTTGAGCTCCAGGTCCTCCCGTAAAGCCAGAGGGGTGAATAGTGAGCTTGTTTCCGACGATCTCCAGGTCTGGAGCGGAGTGCTCATCGCTGATAGTCGGTTTAGGAGGCGGCATGTTCGACTGTCACAAAGCAGGGACGCGATGGCGCAGGAATATCTCTAGATCATCAGTTGGATATTTGGCCCATTGAGGGGTATGAGTGGGATTCAGTGTTCAAATGGAACAGAAAATGGAACTAAGATGCGGGACAGGGCCATAGCTCCTAATAAATCCCAACAAAAACGGGGATCAACCCCGGAATGACATTCACGGGGCCTTCCCCACAGCCGAGGTGCAAAGTCACGTGGGGCCCATCTAATTATTCGGAAATTCGAGTTTAGCTTCAACTTAAAGCTACATTTCCCACTATTTACATCCACATCATGTCGCGCTGGGTGAAGGGCGTGCGGTCCTTTTCCTGTATGTCTATAACTCTGTCACAACGTCAACAAGCTTTGCTTACTCTGTTTCTTCTTTCTTCCAGCCGCTGCATCGTCCCTTCTTGCCGATGCAACCACTGCCGCTAAGGTCCGCCAACCCGAGTCCTTCCAAGTCTTCCGTGACGTGCCTCCTCTACGCAAATTGCGCCGACAATTATTAAAGAATGACCGCACGGTGGGCTTTGTGCCCACAATGGGCGCCCTTCACGAAGGACATATTTCATTGATTCGAGAGGCGGCCCGCGAAAACACTGACATTTTTGTCAGTATCTTTGTCAACCCCACTCAATTTGGAGTGAATGAGGACCTTTCCAGCTACCCCCGCACTTGGGACAGTGATGTCGAGAAATTGGAAGAATTAAATGAAGAGTTGAGGCGAACTGCGGTAGAGACTGGGTCTGGGGCGGGAGCAGGCCGGATTACAGCTATCTTTGCGCCTACATCGAAAGTCATGTACCCCACACTTCCGCCTTCTTCGGAGATTGATGGTGATGGCTCTTTCGTCACGATCACCCCCTTGTCGAGCAAATTGGAAGGCGGTTCTCGGCCGGTTTTCTTCCGAGGTGTTGCAACCGTCTGCATGAAGCTCTTCAATGCAATCACCCCGGATAGAGTATACTTTGGTCAGAAGGATGTACAGCAGACTGTTGTTATCAAGCGAATGGTCCAGGATTTCCATATCGGAACTGACGTCCGAATCGTCAAGACGACTCGTGAATCTACTGGGCTAGCGCTCAGCTCTCGGAATGTCTATCTCGGTGACCGCAGACGTGCTGTTGGACTCACCATCTACCAATCCCTCAAGGCTGCCGAAGAAGCTTATCTGGCGGGCAAAAATTCTCGTGCAGATATCTTGGGAGCTGCACGAAATGTTACGGATAAGGTGCTCGCGAAGCAGCAAGGACTGTCGCCATCAGAGCGATCTCTCTTTGAAGTTGACTATATCTCCTTGGCAGATTCTGAAAGCTTAGAGGAGCTGGATTTCGTCGACCCTGCCAAAGGTGGAGTTCTTAGTGCAGCTTTGAAGATGGCGCCTTTGGAAGAGACCAAGCCTGGTGAGGACTGTGGATTGGGTAATGGCAAGGTCCCAGTTCGATTAATTGACAATCTGATCCTCCATCCCCGGGCCTAATTATAAGATGAGAATCCCATTTATGTATATAGAGATGCAGTAGATAGCATCATAACGAATAAAAGTTGACTCTATAAGCTTGAAAGCGGTAAGTCTGGCAGAAATGTAAGGCGGTCCATAACTCCATTTCTTGGCGGCAGAAAAAGTTACGATAGGCACTTATCTTTCCCGGCATTCGAGTTTTTTCTCTCTACAAAAGCAGCCCGGGCAACGGGAATTCAATTTGCAATCATGGCTGACGATGGAATGCTCTTGAACTTTGCATTCAGCGACAATGTCATTAAACCCGAGGCCAAATTCAAGGGAGGGACATGGCGGGCTCGCCTTTCAGCAAAGAAGCGCTCCCAGCACCAGCCCACCGGCGCTGGAGACGCAAGCCAGCGAAATGCCGACTCAAAGAACCCCAACAAGATTCAAATTCCCGCGAACAGACCTGTGAAGCGACAAAGGACCGGCGACTTCAACGCTCCAGAGGGCAGGTCTGGCAATCGATCACACTCTCAACAGCAGCCACGTCGGCATCCCGGCCAGTTCGCCTCGTCCCTATTCACCAGCAACCCGGAATCTAAAACTGCCGATGAGCCCAAACCCGAGGAAGCGGCGGAGGATGCTAAACCAACCAACGCCGCCCTGATTGACGGTATCGATACTTTCACGAGTCTGGGCCTGTCACCTAATTTGGCAGCCCACTTGCTCACCAAACTGGAGTTGAAGGCACCGACTGCGATTCAAAAGGCTTCAATTGAGCAATTGCTGAAGGAAGAGACCGACGCATTTATTCAGGCCGAGACTGGTTCAGGAAAGACTCTTGCTTATTTGCTCCCCCTTGTGCAACGAATCATGGCCCTCTCAAAGGCCGCTCAGCAACAGGACATTCATCCGGATAGACAGGGCGTTCATCGAGACAGTGGCTTATTCGCGATTATTCTTGCGCCAACTCGTGAACTGTGCAAGCAGATCTCTGTCGTTCTAGAGAACCTCCTCCGCTGCGCTAACTGGCTCGTTTGTGGTACGGTCATTGGTGGAGAGAAAAAGAAGTCCGAGAAGGCCCGTCTAAGGAAAGGTCTCAACATTTTGGTCGCCACCCCCGGACGTTTGGCAGATCATTTGGACAACACACAAGTTTTGGATGTCAGCAATGTCCGATGGCTGGTCTTGGACGAGGGTGATCGGTTGATGGACTTGGGTTTCGAGGAGGAATTGCAGGGTATCGTTAAAAAGCTTGACGCTAGACAGCGGCCAAGCCACCTTCCCGGCGTTCCTACCCGCAGGACCACGGTTCTCTGTTCGGCTACATTGAAGATGAATGTGCAACGGCTGGGAGAGATCAGTTTGAAAGATGCGATCCATATTAAAGCGGACCCTGCTGATGAGGATGGGGAGTCTCGCCCTAGTAACGAAGAGGAAGGCTTCCGTGTGCCAGCTCAGCTGAAACAGTCTTATGCCATCGTGCCCGCGAAGCTGCGTCTGGTTTCATTGACTGCCTACCTCAAGCGAACTTTCATTCGGAAAGGCTCTGTCATGAAGGCAATTGTTTTCGTTTCATGTGCCGATTCAGTTGATTTCCTCTTTGAAGTTTTCTCCAGGAAGTACGGCCAACGAGGTCAAAAGTCGAAGGATAATGACGAAGACGACAACAAAGATAAAGAAGCAGGAAAGGAAGAGCGCGAAAAGCTTTCTCCCCACGGCACTATTGCTCCTGCCGAGGCCTTTTCAACCTCCGCAAATCCTGTCATCATTCACAGACTGCACGGTTCTCTGCCTCAGCACGTTCGAACCGCCACTCTCGGTTCTTTTTCGAAGAGCAGTGAAGCCTGCGTGATGGTTTGTACCGATGTTGCTTCTCGTGGTTTGGACCTTCCCAACGTCGACTTGGTCATCGAGTACGACCCCGCATTTAGCTCCGATGACCACACTCACCGTATCGGTCGTACCGCTCGTCTGGGCCGTGACGGCCGTGCCTGTATCTTCCTCCAGCCCGGTTGCGAAGAGAACTATGTCGAGATTCTTAAGCGTGGCTACCGCGACGGAGGCAAAGCACTTACCCGCACCGACGCAAACGAGATTTTAAAACGTGGATTCGGTGCAACCGCAGAATCGTCAAGTAAGAACTGGGAAGAGAAGACCACCGACTGGCAGATGGACGTTGAGCGCTGGGCTCTGGATAACCCAGAGTATCTCGAGATGGCGCGGCGCGGATTCCAGTCCCACGTCCGTGCCTATGCGACCCATATTGCTGCTGAGCGGAGCATGTTCGACATTAAGGAACTTCATCTGGGACATCTTGCTAAGAGTTTCGCTCTGCGGGATCGACCTGGTAAGATCAACGTTCCAGGTTTGCGTCAAGGAAAGGAGGATACGAAGAAGGACTTCAAGGCTGCACGGAATGGCGTCGCTGGTAGCAAGAGGAAGGCTGACGACATGCCTTCTACGAATACGGACGAAGCTGCCCGGAAGATGAGAGCCAAGATGAGAGAACAGCATGCCGGTGCCAGTGAATTCAACCTGGCCTGATCTTATTATTGTATAAAAGCATTAGCATCATTTGATTCAGTAGATATCCCATAATGAAATCTTCCCATCCTTGGACCCCGCTGCCAACCAGTGTGTCTGTTGTATTTTCTTGCTTCGTTGGTTTTGAACAGCGGCCAGCGAGAGATCGGCCCCTTGCAACGCATTATCTTCAGCATCAATTGAAGATGGTTGTGGTAAACCTGGATCAACCTCCCCAAACGCGACCGAGTAACAACCATCTTTATGCCACTTAAGAACAGCAAGCTCCTTCAACGTGTTGCCCGAGTAAACCCTCACCCTGCTGTCCCAGCCAGCAGTCGCGAAAATCTTCCCATCACCCCGCACCCTTAAGCCCTGCTGTCCGGAATGCTTCGTATTCATCGTTTTCAGTGGCGACTCCTCCTTATAATTGATAATAGGAATATTCCCGATCGTCCCAGGTCCAGGAACAGGGTGTTTGATAATCAAAGCATCAGCAGAAGAAGAGATAAAACAGTCACGCTTAGGAGAAACATCAAGCGAAAGAACGGGTTGACTATGCGGACGACTGGCGTAGAGCCTCTCCCACTTCCATGGATTCGAAGCGATACTGCCCCGCTCGAAACATGTCGCGGTGAGAGGTCCCTTATGAACGAAAACCATAACATGGCCATCTTCGTAGGCGGATGCGACATAAAGATCGCCTGATGAAGCGACGAAAATGTTGACGACCATCACCATGCCTGTTTTCACGGATGGATCTGACGCGATAGTGGTGAGGCGGAGCTCGGATGGAAGGTGGAAGATGTCAATTCCACCAGAATCCAGCGCGTTAGGGACAGCGAAGAGGATGGTTTTTGGTAAAGAGGACTGTCCGATCTGAGCACGCTCTGGTGAGTTATCCGTGTGGATAGACGTCATGGAAAAGGCGCAGAAATTCAGCGCGTTAACAGGCAATGAATGAAGCAGCCATGGCTGAGCTCTTTTCTCCAGGATACCCGCTTCAGCTGCATCAACTGGGAGAGTCTTATCGAGGAATTCCTCGTCCTCTGCTCGAATCTTCCAGACGCAGAGCTTGTGGTCGCGGCCATGTCTAATTTTTCGATTAGTATGTAAGCACCGATACTCAGGGAACGACCTCACGTGTAAATTTCTGTGCCGCCGACACCGTAGTTGAATCCTCTCACTTCAAGTACCGCGCCCTCATGAGCCTTCCACACTGTTACGGGGCGTTTGCTGACCAAGTCCCAGATAACAATCCACCCGTTGGCGTCTCCGGAGACGAGCCGCAGGTTCTGGGAGAAGATATCCAGGGCGTGTATTGGGGCACCATGGCCTCGAAGAATATAGACAGGAGTAGCCGGTCCATTCGGGGCCTGATTAGATGGGGTAGCCATGTCCCTAGTAAATGTGGAGGTTGACTGTGGGTTTGATTGGCGGCCCATGATAGAACCAAAGCTTCCGCACCGCCTTGGAGAGCCAGCTACAGTGCTGCACATTCCTCCTTCTTCACTCAATGACCTCGGAAGCTTGAAGGCGAATAATTTACTTGACAGGACAAGAATTGCATCCTTGATACCCGAGGGTCCGATTTTCGGTTGAACTGATTTTGGATCATATTAATTGATGTCTCAATTTAGAAAACATATAGTTTCCGAAGTTGCGCCGGCACAGTGTGGCATCGTATAAACATATTGTGTGGAATTTGGATTTGCTTTCCCGCCCCGATCACAGGCTGCCTATACATAATATGTACTGAAGGCAATAACCAGAGTACTGCCTACCTAAGCGCCTAATTGAGTGCCTAATTGAGTGCCTAATTGAGTGCCTACTTGAGTGCCTGCTTAGGGTAGGTATCTAGTAGATTTGCCTGTGGATCTACGTAGTATTTCTATTTGAGTAAGCGCCTATTTAGAATATCTACATATGTAGTTAGAGCGCCTACTAAGAGGCAGATATCTAGGGCACTTGATGCTAGAGTAGGTCCTCTCGTAACTCACAGCCAATACCTAGAGGGCACTTGTGCGAATTACATCAAACCCGAGCGATACTAAGGTCTTACACACTTATACAGTGAGCAGAATTTTATTATGCCGCCAAAATATCATTTAAGGCTGCTATTTACCGGCGCACGGAGTGGTCATAATTTGCCGAGATCATTCCAATCTTGACACAAATGCTTGACTTAGAACATAGGTCTGGACCTACATCGCTGCCTCAGCCATTTGACTGAAGTTGTGGACGCTGCCGCGAGGCTGGAACACTGAGCTATTACCATTAACATTACTACCATTCAACTCCATCTGGTCTGATGGCATGCCCCAGCCACCACCACCGGGACTAAGGAACTGTCAGCATAATCATCGGAGGCATCAAATTGACAAAACTCACGTGTGGATCAAAATTCGCTCTCCAGGTTGCACTTGCAGCTCCATCTTTCCTCCGATATTGATTGTCCTCTCCGTACCATCCAGCTCTTTCTTCACGTAGAGATTCAACCCAGCTTGGCCATGATCACCACCAGCCATTCCGTATGGTCGATAGACCCGCCGCTCACTGAGCATTGAAACAGACAGAGGGATACGGAACTCCAGCTCGCGGATGACACCGTCTCCACCCCGGAACTGGCCTTGACCACCGGATCCATTATGAATCGCGAATTGACGCAAAATAACCGGGTACCTTAGCTCATAGACCTCTGCATCGGTGATACGCGTATTTGTCATATGGACATGCACGCCCGATGTGCCATGCCAGGAAGGTCCAGCACCGGAGCCTCCACAAATGGTTTCACCAACACCAAATCCGGGAACTTCGATGCCAGATTTAGGATCAACACCTCCCATTCCAAATGAAATAATGTTGCAGCAGCCTTGAGAGGCAGCACATGCACCAAATGCCCCGAGAACAACATCTGTGATACGCTGAGAAGTGATCGGGTTTCCAGCGCAGACAGCAGCGTGACCAGATGGGTTGAGCAATGTTCCAGAGGGAATAATCACATTAACAGGGGCAAGACAGCCCTGGTTCAATGGAATGTCAACGTCAATCAACGCGCGCAGACTATATATAATAGCAGAATGGGCGATTGCTTTGGGCGCGTTCAGACAATTAAAGGTCTCGCGACCTGTTCCGGTGAAGTCAAAGACGGCAGATCCAGTCTCGGAATCGATACGGATTTCCAGCCTGATCTCAGTGCCGTCATCCATGAAATCGGAAAATTGAAGTGGTTTCCCTGGATTTTTTCGCCCTATTGACTTGAGAAGCTCGCGAACGGCGACTTCCGCGTTGCGCTTTATCGCATCCATATAGAAATGCACCACTTCTTGAGAATTTTCGGCAACAAGAACCTCCAAAAGTTGGGCACCTTTGTAATTCGCCGCGATAGCCGCTTTCAGATCCGACACATTGTCGTTGTATGTGCGAGTGCCGCTGCAGCTGGGGTATGAGGCTGGTTTATCATAAAGGAATTTACGAACAATCTCCTCGTTAAAGCGGCCCTGAGAGAAAACTTTGAATCCCATTGTCATGGCGCCTTCTTCGTACAACATTTTGCTGTCGGACGGCATAGAGCCGGGGGAAATGCCACCAATTTCAGCTAGATGTAGGTTAGGAAAAAAACTGATGCGTTATCTTCGTGAAAGTATTTCTTACCGTGGTGGCCACGCGAAGCAACATAGAAGATGATATTCTCCCCTTCGTGATCCCAAACTGGTGTGATAATGGTAATATCAGGTAGATGGGTTCCTCCAGCAAGTGGATGGTTGGTGAGGATATGGTCCCCAGGCTTTAGATCCCCTCGATACTGTTCATGCTGATATCTGACAGCATATTCCATACCTAGAATTACGGTCAGCAGAATACTACCGCAATGTGAACAGGTAGTACCTACTTCCCAAATGAACTGGCACATTCGGTGCATTCGCAACCAGCTTTCCGTCTGGTGAGAACACAGCACAAGAAAAATCAAGACGCTCCTTGATGTTTGTAGAGACTGAAGTTTTCTGGAACATACGGCTCATTTGATCCGCCACAGACATGAATCGGTGCCCAAAGATTGAGAGTTTGATCGGATCCACGACAGTCGCGTCATCGGTCTGTTTCTTTGATGACTGGACATTCAATATGACATGTCTAGCTAATATAGTAGCCGTCGCATATGGCTCGACCACAATGGTTTGAGTATTGTCAATTATCATCGCAGGACCTTGGATGAAACTTCCTGACCGCAAATCACTGAGGAAGAATATTGGTGTAGTAGTTTGACCCACACCAGCAAAGTACACCGAAGAGGAATCGTCCTCATTCTCGGCTCCAATAGGCTGGGCTACCAGAGACTTTAGCTCTTTCTGAGGCGCTTCAGGCGTGATAGATGTGGCTTTTCCAACACCACGAACTCGAATATCTTCGACCAAAATATTGCGTCCAGGGAACGTGAATGAAAACTCGCGTTGATGTTCTTTGATAAAGTCGGCACCGAAATCTCCATGTTCCGGCTCCAATATCATTAGTAGATTGTCTGTTCCTTGGTATCGAAGATTGAGGTAGACTTCGTGCTGGACTTGCGTCGCATCGATGCCATCACTTGATAATCCGTCAGTGACTTTGGCCTTCAGATTGATAATGCGCTGCCTGATGCTTTGAATCGCAACTTCATCCAAAACACCAGATGCTGGTTCCTGGGCTTCATGAACAACATCTGCCAGAGCCATGCCGTATGCTGACAAAATTGAGGAATATCGGTGAATTATAACAGTACCGATAGATAAAGAGGACGCAATTGCACAGGCATGCTGTCCTCCAGCGCCACCAAAGCAGGCCAGATTATGTGTTGAGGTGTCATATCCACGGGCCTCTGTCAAAGCGCGAATAGGTTTGCACATTGATTCGTTCGCTACCTGAATAAAGCCAAGTGCTATTTCTTCTGGCGACTTGTTCTGACATGTCTCAGCATTGATCTGCTTGGCCAACTCTGTAAATTTAGTGCGAGTAACCTCCACATCGAGGGACAGGTTCTCGTTAGGACCGAAAATCTTGGGGAAGTATTCTGGAAGAAGACGCCCGAGGAAAAGATTGGCATCGGTGACTGTCAAGGGTCCTCCCTTTCGATAACATGCTGGACCTGGATGTGCGCCCGCTGACTCTGGGCCCACAACAAACAGTCCATGTCGCCAAAAGAGGATACTTCCACCACCTGCAGCGACGGTGTTGATATCTAGCTGGGGAGCCATCACTGTTACGCCTGATATGGTGTTCTCAAAAGTGTGCTCTAGCTTGCCATCATATCTGGAGACATCTGTGCTGGTTCCACCCATGTCAAATCTGGCGTTTCGTTAGCATCGGGCTATAGTAGGATGTTAAAACGTATTCTACCCAATAACAGGGGTTCTATCATTTTCATCAAATGATGTCCCAGCATATCCCACGACACCTCCAGCGGGGCCTGACAGGATGGCACGAAGTCCAGTGAATCTGAATTGATTGGTTAGATCTTTATCAGGAGACTGAGTAGGATATTTTCCCGGTAGGTATATGACATACCTTTCAAAATTTGCTAGGCCTCCGTCACTTTGCATAAACTCACATCGGGTATCTGCAGAGCACAACCCATCTTTAAAATCCGAACGAAAGCCATGAATGTACCGCTGGATGACCGGCGTCAGATAGGCATCAGCAGTGGCAGAAGCACCGCGCGAAGTCATCTTAATCATTGGTAGCAGCTGACTTGATAGAGATATTTGTGTAAAACCGATTTCTTTCGCAATGCGTTGAATCGCCAATTCGTGATCTTGAAATGTGTATGAATGGACCAGACACACCGCGATGGAACGATAACCTTTATTGTATATTTCTTGGAGGCTCTGCCTCGTTTCCGCTTCATCAAGTGGTTCCAAAATACGTACTACTTCTCCACTGACGCCTCTCATTAGATAAGGATCTAACTCCAAAGCGTGCTGAAGGCTTTCTTTGTCTGGTGTTGGATTTTGCTGGTAGTCCTCGATGGTGACACGCTCGTTGACCTCCACGACATCTTCATACAAGACGTCGGGTCTTTGGATGTTCAGCGCAAACAACTTGGGTCGAGATTGTGTGCCAATTTTTAGAGCGTCTTTGAATCCTTTCGTGATCAACAATGCGTGACGCTCGCCTTTCCGCTCCAAGAGAGCATTTGTCGCAACCGTCGTTCCCATGCGGATGCTCACATCCGAGAAATCAGCTGTTGTGAGCTGTTCGTCGCGTGGGAACACTTTTCCAGTGGCTTGTTCTAAAATACGTCGAATACCCTCAATGGGGGCATCGGCATAGTTGGCGGGGTCTTGCGAAAGAAGTTTGACCACGATTTCCTTTTCGCGACCCTCAATGATGCCCAGACAATCCGTGAATGTGCCACCGCGATCTAAGAAGAATACAAATTAATGAATCGTCCCATATAATTGGGAAAATGTTTCATCTCACCGATAGCAATTTTAATGCTTGGGCCGTTCATATTGTGAGGAGACATGATGTGGTTCCAAGAAAGAATGGATAATTGTACGGACAAAAGCGGCCTTTTATGATGATCGTTCAAATGCCAATAGGAAGCTCGAAAGGACATTTCGTCGCATTATTCACTTTGGAAGAAAGACTTATCGGCTCAAAGTCTGAAAAAGGGCTCATATGAGGGGGAGGAAAGGAGAAAGTGGAGAAAAATTCCCAGCTTATCTCGTTCCTCGTTCTTACCTTCCTGTCGCACAAAGCATCAAGAGATAAAAGTTACTACCCAGAGATGATTCCGGTATGACCTATTACACCGCAGTATAAGATCAATGGAGATTGAACATGATATGGCATATTTTGTGACTGTCATTTTTCTCTTCAGTATTTGTCAATCTATCTACCATCTATCAGAGGAGTCCCGCTGCACCTAACGCGGCGATGGCGGAACATAATGATCCAAATCTGAATATTCAACTTTCTTTGGACCAGGAAAAGTCACGAGCAGAAGATTTAATTGAGACCCAAGACCGATATCGAGACAAGGATGTTGCAGCACAATTTCTAGCGCACTTGGACCCGGCCATCGCTACGGAGCCCATTTCAGAACAAGAAGCTCGACGCGTGTTGTGGAAGATTGACCTCATCATGATTCCTTTGATCATGGTCACGGTGGTACTCGCCGCTATTGACAAGGTCATCATCTCCAATGCGGCTATCTACGGCATGAAGACAGATACCCATCTGACTGGCAATCAGTACTCATGGGTTGGCTCAATCTTCTACTTTGGTTATTTGACCTTCGAGTATCCATCAGCTCTTCTTATCCAACGATTGCCAGTTGCCAAACTCTATGTGGGCATGGTTTCTGGCTGGGCAGTTTTGATGATGTGCACGGCGGCGACGCAGAACTTTGCGGGCTTGGCAACTGTGCGATTCTTGATGGGCATGTTAGAAGCCTCCTCGTTTCCCATCTCAAGTATTTTAACAGTGATGTGGTGGAAGACTAGCGAACAGCCTCTCCGTGTTGCTTTCTGGTTCAACCAGCTCTCTTCTGTCTTTTCTGGCCTGGTAAGCTATGGAATTGGTCAGACAGACACATCGTTGTCTCCTTGGAGACTACTGTTTCTTGTGCTGGGAGCCTTCTCTCTCCTTTGGGCAGGTGTTCTATATGTCTTTTTACCTGACTCGCCCGTTCAATGTTGGTATTTTTCGGACCGCGAGAAATTCGTCTGTCTTGAAAGAGTAAAAGACAACAACACCGGTATGGAAGATAAGACGATTAAATGGTACCAAGTGCGCGAATGTCTGCTTGATCCCAAAACCTGGCTGCTTGCATTGTTCTCCCTGGCACAAAATATCCCGAACGGCGGCCTGGTCACTTTTTCTGCTATCATTGTGACTGGCCTGGGCTATTCAAGGTTGATCACCACTGTGCTTGGAATTCCCACTGGTGTGTTGGCAACTGTCTGGCAGATTTTGCTGGGCTTTATTGCAGCCCGTGTACCAAATTCTCGCTGTACTATCATTGCTATCGCCAATCTAGTGCCAATGATCTGCGCCATTCTCATGTGGAAACTACCTCGTGAAAACCAACATGGCCTACTGGCAGCATACTATGTCTTTTATACCTACTGGGCACCGTATGTACTTTCTACCTCACTTCCCATGGCCAACACCAGCGGGCACTCGAAAAAATTGACCATGAATGCCATTTTCTTTTTGGCATACTGTATCGGAAATACCATTGGACCCCAGGCTTTCCGCTCTGACGACGCTCCTACTTATTCTCGAGGCTATGAGGGTCTCCTGGCTTGTATAGTAGTAGCCATTGCTGCTATCATGGATATGGACTCCTCTGTCGATGGGAGAACGCCCGACGCGATAGAGAAGAAGGCCCAAGGGCAAATGGAGCAGCATCGGAGGCTGCTGCATTCTTAGATTTGACCGATCATGAGAAGACCTCATTCCGGTATACTTATTAAGGTTCATGAAAGATAGGGTATAATGGTCAGATTGATAGTATAGCTAGACATGTTGAAATCTTTGTCATTTCCAGTGACATACTGTTTCTTGGTTTTTTACTGGGACTCAATAGTCAAGAAAACTAAAATTGGCCACTAAAAGCCAAGCTGATGCGGGGAAATTGGCGGCGTAAAATGTGCGAGGAAGGTCGGAACGAAGTCCGCCTCCCACTCCGAGTCTCCTATCTGCTCTATCACCAGCCAGCATTAGCCTCCATCTTTTAATTAGGTCATACATGTGAGAACTGACATCGTGCATTGGGCTGTGCACAAGGAAGCTAGTAACGAGCCCAGCGTTGCATAACGATGCGAACTAGCAAAATGCCGCAATAAATACAGCCAGTCGCACTATAGCACATTTGAGTTCCATAATAATATCTATCAAATCATGAACAAAGATACGAAAATCCTTATTATCGGCGCCGGTTGCTTCGGCACTTCAACTGCCTATCATCTCTCCCACCGTGGCTACACTTCTATTCGTGTGTTGGATCGATATGCGCCACCCTCATGTGAGGCTGCAGCTACAGACATCAGCAAGATCATTCGAAATGACTATAATGAGCCGCTTTATGCGAGATTGGGACTTGAGTCTATCGCTGCTTGGCGTTCGTGGTCGCTGTTCAAGGGTGTATACCATGTTCCCGGGTGGATTCTGAGTGCTGCCAATTTGTCAGTGCCGTTTGTGGAGGGCTCGATTGAGACTTGCAACAACCTGGGTGTAAAGGGAATCGAGAAACTGACCACTGATCAAATTCGCTCGCGTTTCCCCGTCGTCACCGGAAAACTGGATGGATGGAATCTCAATGTGTGGAATCCGACGGCCGGCTGGGCAGCTGCTGGGCAAGCACTGGAGCGTATGGCTATCTCTGCCCAAAAAAGTGGCGTTGAATATGTGTCTGGAGATACCAAGGGATATGTGCGACAATTGATCTACGATGAAGGCACAGGAGAATGCAAAGGAGCCATCACAGCCGACGGCACCAGACACGACGCTGATAGGGTGATTCTCGCTGCTGGAGCATGGACACCTTCACTACTGAATCTCGAAGACCAGTTGACAGCCAAAGGCCATGGTGTAGCGCATATACAACTCACGCCAACTGAAACCAAGCATTATGCCACAATGCCGATCATGGACAACCTCGAGTTGGGCTACTTCTTCCCTCCACAATCTGACGGCATCTTCAAGATGGCACATAGCCAGTTCATTACGAACACATATAGAGATACCAACTCTGGCATCACAACATCAATCCCACATACGTTTGTTCAATTCCCGACCGATGGTCTTCCGCTCGAAATCGAAGCCACTATGCGACGCAATCTCCGCCGTGTCCTACCGGAGCTGGCAGACCGGCCTTTCAGCTATACGCGACTTTGCTGGGATGCAGACACAGCTGATAGGCATTTCCTCATCACGCCTCATCCAGCTCATAAGAAACTGTTTTTGGCAGCGGGTGGGTCGGCACACGGGTTCAAATTCCTGCCGGTGGTTGGGAAATATGTGGTGGATATGCTGGAGGGAAAGCTTGATCCTGAGGTTATGGTGAAATGGCAATGGCGAGCTGGACAGAAGATTGAAGCAAGGAACTTGGCCCATATGGATTCGGAGCTAGAATTGGTGGAGTTGACAGGTTGGAAAGGGAGACGAATGCGTGAGCAAAGTCATGCGAAAATATGATTTTAGGAGATCAAGTTGAGTCTAGTCTTTTACCCTTATTTCATACTTCCGTTTATTTGAGGAAGCGCCCTTACTAGCTAATTAGCTTTTATATTACTCACTAGCTCTCAATTCTCTATCGAATTTTATCAGAATAACGGTCACCAACCAAGGGTTACCAATGTCTACAAAAAGATTCAACACCCGCATATCTTATATTGTAGGCTTTCAAGGCTTTTAGGTGATTGAATAGCTCTTGTAATGTATATTTTAGCCATATTTGATGACTGGAATACTATTGTAGCACATGTTTCATACATTATGCGCAAAAGGCAGCTCCACTCTAATGGGCTTTTCAAATGGGCCAGCCTATGGACCTTGCCGAAGTCTATTTATTAATAGCTAATAGTAAATACTAGACGAGGTTTCTATTCCTCTAGGTATATACTAGTATCTATAAGTAGATCGATCATCAAAAGCTCATCGGGTAGTCATACTTCTCAGAATCCCATTTACTATCACTAACGATGACTAACTCCCATAAAAGATAACCACTTAATTTGAAAAGTACAGAGCAGTAATTTTCAAAAGTTGTGACAATCCCTTGTATCAAATTTGATGCCTGAATTGGCCTCATCTTCCAAGTGGACCCCTATAACCCCTTGTAGCTGCGGGTAGCTACTGGTAGCTACTAGTACAATCGAAAGATCGCATCAGGTCATCAAGGGGGCCTCCACCTGACCACCTGGTGGCCCAATTCCCTTAATCTTCCATACTATCAAAACCCCCACTGCTTCAAATATCTCTCCAGATTCCTTGCACTGCCGTCTTTCAGTTTATCCAGCGCCGCTGGGGTCCTATTCTTCAAAAACCTGTCCATAAACCAAAAAGCTTGACATAGATCTTGTGAGAACCACCATAAATCTGCTATATCACCCGCCTTGGGAATGTTCGAGGGCTTTTTGGCTCCGACATCTATCAAAGCATTATCCCACGCCAGAGCAAGTTTCAACTTCGTTTCAATTCTTTTCTTCTGCGCAGGGAACCCATCCAACATATACTTGCGTAGGGGACCCAACGGCTGTGCAATTCCAGGCATGAGGCCATCTATATCATAGAAAGAAAATAAGTACTCAGAGATTGGGGCTCCAATATGTGCAAAACCGAAGTCCAGGACGGCAGTTAGCCGGCCATTCGCGCAATCGAACAGCAAGTTTGGCAAGCCTAGAAATTACTCAATTAGACAGTTTCTGTGAGATAAGAGGGTCCCACATACCTATGTCTGCATGAACCAGAGTTGGCCTATCCTCGGGAATCTCCGCCAGAATCCGGTCAAGCCCTTCAGCAAAGAAAGCATCTAGCCGCTTCCGCAATTTGGGTTTATCCCGCCACCCATTCAGGTGAGTACTCCGCTCACTCGCACTCAGCTGCCAAGTACACATTCCCCTTAAGAAATGAGCATAACTTGGAAACGGACCACCGCAGGGTAGCACTGTGACTGTGCTTGAGATATCACCCTGATCATCAAACTTAAGACCACCGTACATGATAGACTCAGGAAGTTGATACTCTTGAAAAGCTTTAACAACTTGCGCTATCTGATGAAGTAGTGTACGCTGCGTGTCGTCATCGAGTGCAAACAAATCGTCCGGACTTAGCGACTCGCCTTCTTTGTATTCTTGGAGGATCCAGCGGAGACCAAAAGGACTGGGGGATGGCGCATCTTCCCATCCGAAAACTCGCGGAATAATCAAGGGGTCGATAGAATATAATGCGTCCCGTGCTAGAGCGAGGAATGCAACTTCATTATGAATGCGCACGGATTCCTCCAAGCTGACATTATCCTTGGGGATCCGCAGTATCAGCTTGGAGGTGCCTGCTAGAATTGCGGATATGAAGGGTTTCGAGGACTGGTTCTTGGCCCGTGGTAGCTCTGGAAGCGGTTGATCGAGTTGAATGAGGTAGACATGATTGTGTTTTGCTTTTTCGATCTCGCTGATCTTAAAAGAATCCTTCTGAATGCCGAAGTGGTCCTGGAGGATTGTGTTCACCAGAGCATAATGCTGGCTCTCAATAGTGTCCATACTGAAAAGAGCGGAAGTTTAGGGTGGAATGGGGAGGGAGTAGTTTGAACTCGCAGAAAGACAAGAGAAAGTCCAACGGAGACAGATCTAGTACCTGTAGTGACGGTAGCGAACCCCAGTTATAAGCGAAATAAAGGAACGACCGTTGCGGGCTTTAAAATGTAGTTTTAAGTGTGATTTACGCGAATATTCAATGATTATCACTGGCTACTATTATATTGAGGCCTATCAGCCCTTGGAAAAGAACTAAAATGTGTGCGAGTAGCAGTTACGCCACAATACTACAACTTCCGGTATTATTTTTTGATGACCAATCAACTGAAACCTCATAATATACTAATAAAGTTATACCGCAAACTTGTTTAAATCGACTAGCCTAAGACAGATATGGTAGGGGGAAAATCGAGCCCGGAGAGTCCGGCGAGCCCGGCGCTAGCAGAGATAAGCCGTGGATGTTGCATTAGTTCCTCGGCGCATTCGTAAGCATTGCTCTGAAGCAGGTTGCGTCAGCTTTACATAAATTAATTTGTGAAAGTAGAGGACCGGAATATAACAGTCCGTGGGCGAACACTACTTATCCCGCGATTTGGGGGCGAAATGATACAAAAGATCTGAGATCTTTCACTGGCCAAATATCAATTCAGTAGCCTAGATCTATACGCACAGAGGAATAGATTGCCAAGAGCTAGGACATACGCCACATAGCTTCGCTTGCATTGATACACCCACTCCGAAAATTAGTGTCTCTACGCCCAGAGGACCGATTCATAATAGTCCGTTGGTCAAAGGTATCATTCAGGCATTACAGAAGGCCAATTATTTTACAGAATAGGTCAGCCAGGTAGCATTGATCCCGTTCCCTCCGTAGCATAGAATACTTATCTGACTATCTTAATGGATTTTATCGGTATCAACATCTTAATAGACTCTTATATTAAATTACGTGTCTGGCTAGTTGCTCTCTAATAAGCCAGTATTGACGGTTATCTGGCCAGGATACGGAAAAAAAATTCAGACTGGTCTTTAAGCCGTAACCAGGCCAGAATAGGTCTCTGACTTGGGCGCCATAAGTGGCCCTTAGGGAAAACCTGACTTTACCTAACACATGGGATCCATTCGCGCTCGCCCGTGAAATACATCACTGATCCGTCTTGGCTAACAGATGTAGACACAGCACCGAGCCTTCGCACTATTCATCTCTATGTACCTGTTGGACATTGAACCCATGTGGCCATGCGTGACGCACTTCCTTTTGCGCTCAGTAGAGCTTAACGAGCTATTCTCTTCTTCTACTTCCATCCCATTTGAACACTCTCAAGTGCTTCCGATAGATGCTGGTATCAGCTTCCTAGGCTTCAAGTCTTCCCGATCCCCAAAATGACTCTAGTTCCCGATACCTTGGTCCTTGCCTTTGCGCTCTCTTTTTTGCTGGTACAAACCCCAAACAAGACTGGACATGTCGCTTCATTGCTTGTAAGATCAAACGAACTAAACATACCGTGATTTTGAACACTGGTGTGCTACCTAAGATTTCTACGGGATGCAAGTGGGAAAGTGGAGTTAGGGGAGGCAGAATATCAATGTTCCCATATTTGGGGACCGGCTTAAGCCTACAGAGTGATTGATTTTTTTCTCTATTCAATCTAATTACATTCAAATTCCATGAGAGTTCTTTGCTTACTTGTCGCAATCGGAGCATTTTTGCGATTTTACGAATACGATGAAGCTAGGCGGCGCATTATAGACTTGAATGTCCCATCACCGCATCCTCAACCGGAAAAAGATGAGCCTTGTCATCTCCTGCATCACCACGATCAAGTCCAGTACATTTTGAATCATATTCGAGCCAACCACTAAGATCTAGCTTTTACACTTTGTGCATGCATCATGGATCAATGTCAACATTTGAGTCAATCTTTTCATGTCCCCTTACCTTTCCTTTATTCCTGTAATATCTAAAAGTTTTTCAATCGCATCATTCCTTAATGGGAGAATGCTATGTGTTGAGTCATAATTTTAAATGGCATTATGCTAACTTAGCACAATTGGATTAGTCGCATTGTCTCGTAATTGAGATTTCTTTAACAAAATCCGGGGGTTCGAGCAGGCCAAGGGCTTCTCCAGATAAAAAGGCTTCGGGCAGAGGCCAAAAAAGCATACGTTGGGTTGAAATACCGAAATGACCCATACAGAGAGAGATGCAAGCCATAATCACTGTATACTGGCACTCCTGTTCCAATCATTGTATCCAACATCTATGCACCTGCAGTCCCTGACAAAAAAGAATTTACCAACACATTGCGACTAACGCGAATTCGAATCCCGCCACATCAGCCACTAAAGCGAATACCGAAGACTAACTCTTCTCAGATCAATTGGTAGGCCCAGTTTCTCCGCGACTGTTGAACGCGTCACGATGTGTATTACCTTACACGTGACCGAGTTTTTTAAATCTTCTCTTTCCTTCTCTTTCTTCATATTACCATTGTTCTCTTTTAAATTGCCCTGTATCCCCTCGCCCTTCACCACGCTGTGCCCTGAAAATGAGGTTGTGAAGTATGAAAACAGTGCAGAAGCTGAATACTGTGCGATGACGCTTTACCATTACAGCTAGATCTGGACCTCGACTCGACCTTATTTTCTTCTTATTGTACTGCTAATTAACACGTCCTTTTAAGAAGACTAATGATCTATTTTCATTTAAAATACCTTCTGCTTCTAAGAGCACTGTCTGATCCTTCAATTCCGGCATGAGATCGATAATTTTCCATTTCTTTGCTTCGATTTCCTGAACTGCAATATGCCAAGTAAACGCTCTTCAGAGCTAGGGTATATGGTCGAAGTCGGCTCAGAAGCTTGCTTACTTTGCGGTGTACAGATCCTACAGACGGTTTCCGCAATATGGTCTAAAAGAGCCATGGATGTTCTCCAAGAAGATGACTTTGAATCTCATCGCAAAAAGGGTCCAACTCGCGAGCATGTTTTAGTGCCATCAGCTGAGGTCACAAATGCGAATATCTCCAAGTTTCCCTGGTTAGCATCCTGCTATTACCGAGCAGGTAAGTCATGTTTGGTCGAGCCTGGTATCTCATATTAAGTGATCCTTCAGTGGTCCAGTCTCCCTCTTCCTCAGAGTGGCATCTCACAGGAATTGATACAGTTCTACAAAGCAGTGCCTTGCATCTTATTGCTCCCAGAAATAAAAATACTGCACGACTTTGTAGTAGAAAGCGGGTAGCGCAGTACGATAATGCGCTATTTACGGAATTTGACGAAGCGAATATCCACGAAGCACCACCATCAAGACGCTACAGAGACAGAAATATTGGATACATGTTTCATGTTCACTGTTGGGAAGTCTTGGGCCATCTTCTCGGGCATGAAGTGATCGAGAAGAATCTTGTTAAAGTTATTTCCGCCGTGAGACAATATTGGTACTGGCGTACCCCGCGGTACATGGAGCTTTCCATGGATGAAAGGCTTGGTGTCATGGACATGGATACCTCTTTCCGTGCGAATGAGTGGGATAAGGTTGCCTACGCCAAGTACCCAGAGTACGCCCACGGCTGCGATATCCACCGTAGCCCTTGGGTGGTGCCTGAAGTTCAGAATATAATTAAGCTAGCTCGAGCGCAAAGGAGAGATCGGAAGAGCCCTGACCTCAATAAGCTGCCACTCGAAATTTGTCTCCTCGTGTTGGATATTATTTGCCCTCTTGATTTCACTCAACGTGATGTGCAGAGTACAAGCAACATGTTATCGGTGTTTGTATTGAATGTACCAGAATTCTTTTGGCGAAGCCGATTACAAGCCAATCACGATTTGTTCTTTGAGGTGGACTGTGTCAGAGATCATGATTCTTTGGACTGGCAATGCTTATGGCTAGGGTTGATGGATCTTCTTGCCGATCATACTTGGTTCATATCCAGCGGCTAAGCAGCTCGCAAACGAGCACTTCGGTCGATCAAGCCAATTGTGTCCAATGTTGAAAAGCTTTGTTGAGTGAATACTTTGCTGAGCATTGCAACGTGGTTGTTTGGCTTCCAAGATTTTGCTCACTCATGGGAATGCCTATTCCAAAGAACATTTTATGCGGATGCCAAGCAGATCATACGAGGGCTACCGTCGCCAGACCCGTGGCAACTTCTTTTCGCTATTTGAGCTCACCTGACTTCCGATTTTCATGTTCGCATTCAGGGCATACAAAGAGGTATTGGCTAGATGTTATTTGAGTCTTTTTGCAGATTGGTCAGATGAACTTCTCGCTCTTAAAAATCGGGCACCAGTCCATTATGCCATATGTACGGAGGCGAGTAACGGCCATGTGGTCAGATCCCCAAAAACCAGGCAAAAATGGTAGAAATGGTAGAAAATCCAAAAATACCAAAGGGCAGAAAACAGTCATTCATTTACAAATTTGAGAGCAAACGACTGTGCATATGTTATATATAGACATTGACAGCCCATTGGACAGCCCAATGGGCCGGCCCATGCCGAAGTCTATTTAGGGTATAGGCCCCCGTTGGGCCCTAGAAGCGACCCTTTTCATAGGTCGGTCCACATTATTCGTGATCCATGTCTCATCCTACAAATGACTGCTTAAATGGGCCACTGGGGATGTACACATATATTACCCGTTCAACTTTTGAATTGTATCAGACCTTACAGGCTGATCTAGAACGAAATATAGATTCCATCGAACAACAATGAATCTAGGGTGGATTTCTTTCAGTATGGGGAGAAAAATTGGGTTGTAGTTCTGTGAAATTTCTCTTCACGAGTCCAATGGATTTACAGTTTTGCTATAAAATAGTACAAGTTATACTATAAAAAGACAAGCCTTTAGATTAGGTCTATAACGTTTATTCTAGATATGAGATGTGGAATATATTCCTACATACCTACTAGGTATTATGTCAAACTGAGCTTCCACCCACCCAGCATTAACATAGCATGTTCCCATGTGAACCAAGCCCCTTTCAGAGGATCATTTCCCTTAATTGCATTTCTGCCTTTCTGACGCTTTCGTTCATCTTGTACGGAAAGATCTCTTTGTCGCCAGACCATTTCAACAACCTCCATTGCCGGAGCAATGTTCTATGTAAGGTTGTCAGTAACTTTCCCTCATAATGGAACGGGGTGGACAGAACACATACTCCAAACCGACGAATACTTTCCAGGTCTTCAAACAGCTGTAACACAACAACTCTTTCCTCTTCTTCGCGAACACAGCATCCAGCCAGAAAAAGTGGCCAGAGGGGCAAGACCGCTGTACGCATCATATTGGCCTTTTTCGCTAAAATCAATCTTAGGATTTGCCCCACGTAGTTGTTCTTTCCCTGAAAAATTTGAGTGAGATGAGCATTTCCAAGTCCAGTTCTTCTTAGCGAGCAGATCTCCTGAAGCAAGAGAAGTGCTCCGAGTCTATTTGCTTCTGCAATTGATGCGCATTCTGTGTTGGGATGAACGTGTTCTTCAGGTACGACTTGCGCGACCTCTTCAAGACTTTTCTTCAATCGGGAAACAGTTGCAATATCTATTTGTATTTTTCCATTGCTTGGAACGCATGCCAGCTCGGCCACTTGATTGATGAGCAGGAGTAGCGAAGAACTGAATCCCATATAAAGGTCAATAGTATCAGAAGGCTCGAGTAGATTGTTTGGCAGAATTGGCGAGTGCTGAACTCTGAACGCTGTCCTAGCAAGTACCAAGTGAAATGCAAAGTAGCGGTTAAAGAAACCTGCCAATTCTTGACTGTGCGGTGACCGACCTGGCCGTTCTTGCCTCGTGCGGATCAAATTTTGGAAACCGTTCAGATGGGTGACCCAAGACGGGCGACTATTATCAGATATCTAAAGGCCATTAGCATTTTTCTCCTAAATCAGAAGCGGACTAGAATCATACGTCAAACCAGCACAACATGAGAACCAGTCCTATTATTTCGTCCAGCTCTTTCTCTTCCCAAGTCTCATGAGTGAAAAGCCCTCGCAGATGACTCAGTGCATGATTGTGATGCTCCAATGCTGGAAGTCGGTATTTAGGGTCGGATAACCCAAGCGTGTTGGCGGCAATCGACAATGCAGCATGGTAGAGTCCCTTTGACTCGAGAGCCATGGGAAGAATGAGGTAGCGATATGGATTATAATGAGCATTATCGACAAGTGTTGAGCTGCTGCAAATTATATGCTCAAAGTATGACATGAGGACAGGATCGTAATCTGATCTGTCTGCAGCTGGGATTGTACTCAATCCTGATGACAAGCGATCGGTTCTCGACGATTTCAGTCTGGTTCCACCAAGGCTATTATTGCAGTGGATCTCGAGATCTCTTGTGGTTGTATTCAGAAACATCCAGATCCGATTTGAGCGACTCGACAGCTTCAGCCGACGTGATTGTTGGTCTTTAGAGCTTTTCTCTTGTCGCGATGCGCCCATGTCACTCCTCTCAGTCTCAGCTTTTTTCGACCAAACACCAGCCCTTCCATGGCAAACACCACGCGTGATCGACTCTTCGTTCCATACCAAGTGGATTCCATACCCACATGTGATATCGTTACGGGCACAATGTCGACAGATTGGGCGGCTTTCTGGGAGACTTTTAGCGTGTTATTAGGAGGACCGTCGCATACATACCATCGCATTTAATACGACGTGAACGGCATGTCCAACATCCAGTACGTACTCTTTGAATAGCGGCCATGACTCTGTCGGATGCGAAAAGGTCCTCGGGGAAGACAAAGAGATAAGCGGCTGGATTGGCTTTGCGGGGAAGATAACCAGTCTCCGCTAATATAGTTTGGCAATCGGGTCAATGCTAGGGATTGTTGGAACTTCTCATTCAAGTCTCTCGCATGGAGTTTCCTACATCCCACTCGACTGAACAGTATTCTCCAAAGGCGGCAACCAAGATGCCCGATCCTTGCAATAAAACTCCTTATGAGGAATCCATTCCTCTTTACCGCCACCCAAGTCCAACGTCCCAGAAGTAATAATCACAAATTGTCCAATCACCCCATCAACCGTTCTCGTGATAAATAGACAGGATCCGCAATCCGAGCAGAAAGATCGATTCAGAGTATTGCCGGAATCTGTTTGGTTGTCATCATATTTCTTGAGATTGTCCTCTCCAGATAGGATGCGTAGTTGCTGTGACACGGTTAGCTTGGATGCAGATCGATTTTTGGAGTGTGAAACATACTGGCTTGAGATACATGCTATTGGCCATGCAGATGGACCCGGTGACCTTGCGACAATTGTCGCAGTGGCAAAGCACGTTCATCACTGGGGCGCCAGTGGCCTCGTAGCGAATTTTGCGACAGAGACAGCTGCCGGTAACCACTTTTTCGTCTGGCATGTTTGAACTGGGTTTTTCGGAATTGGAACTTTAGAATTATGTGAAATGGGGTGTTGGTGTAGTGGGAGTTGTAAGCTTGAGGCTGTAGGTGAGGGGGTTCAATATACACATGCAGCTATCCGTGGGCCACACCGCATCATGAGTCACTGATTTCACTGTCTTGACTCTTCTACCTGTTTCGAGATGAATCTTGAATACTTAATTATTGGGGGGCAAGCCGAGGCGTCCCGTTGAATCCTGGTTTAATGGGTCGCATGACTCACTTCACTCACGAAAAAGTATGTTTCACCATATGGATCATCTATCATGGACAAGACCAGGCTTCCTTTTGTTACACTATTTGGGGGCGTCAAGAGCTCACGTGCAGGAAATACTCTATCAGTTTGGGAATCAACGATGGAACTTGAAGGACAGTAGTCCAGTGATACTGTCATGAAGTTATATTCGTATCTCCATGAGAATGTATGCTTGGGTATAGGGCGAAAGAAAGAAAGAAAAAATTCAGGAGTCAAAAATCAAAGAAGATAAGAGCTGTAGTTGTATTGACCCAGACCTTGATGATGCGGAGCAACATAATACCCCTGATATGGATGGTTTTCCATGGAGAAATCACCCGAGTCCAGAAGAGGATTTGCAATTCCAGTCGGAAATTCAGATCCATGAATGGTCAAAGTCGGATCCAGATCATAAAAATCGTTATGCATATGTGCAGGGTCTACAGTTTCCGAATGCGACCAACCCCAGTGGCGTTTCAATCGTTCTTTGATTGATTCGAGATTCCAGTGAGTGTTTCTGGTGATCACATCCAGTATGTCCAGGACTTCTTCCTGGGCATTTCGAGCTTCCAGAGATTCTGCAGCAATAGTCAAGCATTGAATCGATATATTTGACATGCCTCGGTCTTTTAGATTGGCAGCGAGGCCGCATACGCTGTATGCGTGTGGTTGCTGCATTTTTCTCATTTCCAGATGTAGCGAGGACGCCATAGGATGGGCCCTGGCTAAAACAATGCACGCGATATGGTAGTAAAGTTGAGAGATAATGGCTGGCCGCTTAAGGATCCTGATAGTTGAGTCAGTCAGGTACCAAAGGTCTGGTTTAGACAGACACCTACCAAATATTCGGAAATTTCGACTTCTGTTCGGTCTGCCACGGCTGTATAGTGCTGAGGGGCTTCATCGATCGTGGTATGGAATTGGCCCACTGCTCACACAAGCCATTATAGTGATTCCACTCCTGCACTACTTCGTTGAGTTGAGTGCTTTTGGAGGGATCATTCAGTGATTGTAAATGTTGTGTGGAAAATCGAAAGTCTGCGATTTTGGCACAAATGTAAATGATACGGTGAAGCCATTGATCATCGCCCTTATAGAATGGCTGTATTTGATCCATATGCATATCGACTCCCCATGTATCTGGGTTCCAAGATAGTGGACATGTATGATTTAGACAATGAAGAACCTCCATGCTAACGCTAATCCAGAAACAGGATCCGCCTAGACTGGGTGTCTTTGCCATCCACCCACATTCGCGAATCAAGGCTCTGGATCCGGAAATATGATTTGTGAGTGGCTGTGAAGCCATCATCTCATAGATACCAAGAAGTAGTGCAACCGTGGCACATAACACCGAGTCACGATCTGGATCCTGGACAGCATGCAAAAGATCCTGATTGGCCGCATCGTAGTAGTGGTGTACTTTTTCCACCCCGTACGAAGGGTCGATAAGAGAAGCGTGCCGTGCGCCACAAGCCACAAGCGCCTTGAGCAGCATTGGCTCGTCTATGGCATGCAGTGGTAGTATTTGCGTAAACTAAAATATATCGTTAATCAAAATCAACAATAACTCTCAGAACAACCCGTGAACCTACATGTCTCATTGGATCCATCGAGTCTATCCACGGGCCGACCTCTTCCACGAATAATTGCAAAAGGAAAGTTTGCTCAGGATCAGTGAAAGATGCAGAGCTATACTGTTTCATCGCCAACTTCTGAGCGAAATGCGATGTACCATGAGGAAGCAGTTCGTCACCATGCCCAAGATGTGGGTCATGCCATGGATCAGTCCCGAAAAGAAAATCCGTTGTCGCAGAGTGCGGTATATTAAATTCAGAAGGATCAAAAGAATGAGCGACCGACTGAAAAAGACTAGCCAGCTGATCTGGCCCCATGAAATTCAGAGCCTCATGCTGGATTTGTCGCCTTTCTTGAATAGGGCTGTCTGGCTGCGGCGGCGGGTATCTTTCAAAACCTCCGACGTACTCAGATGCGATAATCCGCGAGTCATCGCGAAATGTTAGCTTTGCGCCTTGAGCGCGCGTGATGGTATGCGGAGGCGCAACGGTCTGGATGTCGATAAAATTCAACCGAACGCCGCGCCGGCATGTTCTGTCCGACTTGCGGCAATTCAAGCATCGCCCCAATGCTTCATCGCATTTCAAGTGTCTTTCGCGACAAGTAAGGCAGCCAGTACGGGTTCTCTTCGCTTTTGTGTCTGCGATTTCGGAGGACTTTTTGCGATTTGCGCTGGATGGGCGTGGCGAATTGGGCTTCTGGGGCTGTGGCGTTGTTGCCTTGGAGTCGTCACTGGGCGATTGCGATTTCGATTGCGACTTTGACTGGGCGCGAGTTGTGAGGTTCATTTTGTTGGCAAGAATACCGGACGCAAGTTCAGTATGCCTTTCCTGGCTCTACCTCAGTCTCCAGCGCGCACTGGTGCGGATAAAATATTTCTCAGTATACCAGATCTCCTTGTTGTGAATCGAATGGCCATGTTCACTGCCAGCACAAAAATAATGCTATCAAATAGGTTGATGACGGCACTTGAACAGGTGACCAGATGTTCTTGATCTGTATTGCTTTGACTTTCCAAGGCTATCGTCGGGCCGGGCAGGGCGGGCAAGCGCAGGAGGGGTAGAAAATTCGGAGATCTCTGTAAAGAGACATGACGTCAGTATACAGCATAATATGAGTCAGTAGACAGACTTTCTGGTTCCTTACAAAGCCAATGCAGCCTCTAATCCCGTCGTAACGAGGATCAAGCAGTTGGTTGACGAAGATTGAAAATCAGGGTGGAGTGAACGCGGAGTCCACAAGCAAAATTAAGTGGAACCAAATCCAGACCGAACCCACAGTATGGCTTACAAGTGGATATTTTCTTTCACAATTAGGAATGGTTATTCTACCCGAAGAACGCTAGATAATGCTTTTGTACACTTTCCACACACCAAATTTGAACTTTCATGCCTTGCGAGCCAACCGGGGCAATCGAAGCCGGAGGTTCATAAACAACATGACAGCACCCCAGATGGCCGCCGAAAGAAATGTGAGACGAAGAGCCATTGAATATGCTCCGACGACTGGATTGTAATTAGCAATGAACATAGATAGGCGAAAAAGGTGTATTTACCTTGCTGTTGATGAAACGGATCCAAGTCACCAATGAAGTGAATAGATTTGCGGACACGACGTATAATTTCTGCCTTGTTGTCCCCAGTGACCTGATGTTCAAGTTGATAGATCAGGACATTTTGTAGAACCCAGCTACTGATAGAAACACCCATCACGGAGCCAAGGTTACGCGCCAATCCTAGGGTTGTAGTAGCAACCGCCTGGTCGGCTTTGTCGCTGGTCGCGAGAATCGAGACCATAAGACTCGGGAACGAGAATCCCTGACCGAAGCTATTGAAGCAAACACAAAACATGGCAAGTGTTTGAGATGTGTTGATGTTCATCGAGCCAGCTAGACATCCACCAAGCAGCATACAAAAGCCACCGACGAGGATGGTTGGTTCCATTCGTCGCGACCAGCTAATCAAGAATCCGGTGCTGACACTAGAAACAGTCACAGCGACTGATGCGGCCATAAGTCGGAGTCCTGAATCCGTTGGACTGGCCAACTTGACGGCCTGAAAATACAACGGCGCGTTGAACATCATAGTATTGACGGACATTGCTCCGAAGAAGTTGCTGATGATGATATTTGCGCGAGGGTTCTTCGATAGCAATTCGGTCGGGAGGACAGCATTTGGCACATTTCGCTCATATCGTATTAAAGCGATAGCCAGAATGACAGATGCGACCAACGAGCCAATGACCACCGGATTTTCCCAAGAAAAGACATTTCCTCCCAGATTCAATCCCATGATCAACGTAGTGACCGACAAAATAAGGAAGAGAGAGCCAATCAAGTCAATGCTGCGAAGCACCTGTAAGATCGTCTTGTGAGCCGATTGTGTCTGCTTCAGTCCAATATCCGCCGGGATTGTAAAAACAGCGGTTATGAAATAGACAAAGATGAAAGGTAGCTGAATAAGAAATGCACTTCGCCAGCCGATCCGATCGCAAAGAAACCCGCCAAAGGCCAGTCCCAGACAACTACCAGTGCCCAAGCACAAATTGATATATGATTGGTAGACACTGCGATACTCGAGGTGGACAAGATCACTGGAGAGGATTTGGCCCATGGAAAACACACCACCAGCGCCCAGACCGCAAAAAGCTCGAGCAGCAATGAAGCTTCCAATGCTTTGAGCGAGACCGCACCATGCCGTGGTAAAAAAAAACATGGCGATGGAAAACAGATAAATTGGTTTACGGCCCATTGTATCTGAGAGGCGTCCCAATAGGGGCATGAATGCCGTAGAAGTAAGCAGGAAGGAGGTCGACAGCCAAGAAGCCGCATTTGCGGAATGGAAATAGGATGTGATAACAGGATGACTTGAAGCCATTAGAGTCGAGTCAAAAAATCCAATCACGTATCCCAGCATGATGCCACTGAAAATCAGCCAGAATCGAGTGGGAGATACATTGATGAATCGGGAAGCATAGCCGTCACCCTCGTCCCCAATGCTACCGTCGATAGAGCCATTGCCCCTCTTCACAGAGTGAATAGAAGGAAGTCTGTCTGGGTTTGGTTCGATATCCAGTATCTGAGAGGTTGATTGTACTCGTGTTAAGATGGGAAAAGACACATCCTCATGGAATTCCTTGGGGGAGGAGCTAACTTCCACATCGTGTGTATGGCGGGTAACGCTCTGATATTGCGTGCTTTGAGACTGGCAGCCAGGATTTTCCTGCAAAAGCGGAGTGGCCTCAGAAGAGGACCCTATGTTGCTACTCATGATAACACAGAGGCCAAAAAATTTAGAGCAGAGAGATGTGACACGCAGAAGAGAGATAGAGAGAAGATAAGTAGTAGGCGATGGCCGGGACAGAAATGGCGATACTTGCCGAGCATGTATTGCAGATTGCGGGTAAAAGTGGCGCGGGGCTGAAGTTACAAACCCCTACAACCCTGAGTTTTTAACATCGCAGACACAAAAAAACCCCAAAATTGAGCCAATAGTAACTTCTGCAAATATGTCTCCGAGGTGAAAACGCTTGAAGTTGTGGCCGGAAATCACTCGATCAGTGATGCATTCTTTTGTCCAAAATAATGCGCCTTCTCGTATTGCCGTGCTAGAGTGCAACACCCCGCTTCAAGTCCATAGCCTATACAGCGGGTATAGATAGCAGGGTACTCAAAGAACCATTGAAAGCAGTGGAAATGCATTGCAGAACCGACCAACTTATTCCTGAGAAGGTATTGGATATTGATGCTGTGCTTCCCACCTGGTCGAGTCAACGTCTCCAAGACTACAAGTAAATCCGAAAACTGACCCAAAAATCAAATGAACAGAATATATTGCATATGAGAATGAGCCGTCGATAAACGTCTACCAGATTTCATACCGCAACTGCTAGCGTAAGATCTGGTTCGTAGTATTGGAACCTGCTTCGGGCACCGAATTGCTGGTTGCGCATTGGGAGCCAAGGTTGGACGGCATGATCAAGGCTGGGGGATTGCGGGCGGCGTTATAAATCTCGTAGAAAAGGGCCAGGGGGTGCCTGGGTTGGAGAAGGTTGTATGCACTCAGGATGCAGTAGGCATGATCGGAAGACATACCGCATTATTGCGATACCAAAGTATTCGATCCGATGTAGTACAAAATGCACGTCATAGAGGGTCTACAGGTTCATGCATTACCTGCATCGGATGTGAAAATTAGGAGCAAAAGAGGAAGCAATCAACATTTGAAGATTTGTGGATATCACATTAGAATTGAGGGATAGCTACTTTGATATGACCGGCAAAATATCAGAGCTAAAAGCTCCCTTGTGTCTCGCCAAAATGCATGTCGTGATCCGTTGGAGTGCTCCAGGCAACTCCATTCATGCAACCAATTCGAAACGCCTCTCCGGCCAGCCTGGCTGGCTGATCCATGCGGCAATGCATGACAAAAAAAAATCCAAGCCAGATGCTTCACGCTAACGCCATAATGCAAGTCGATCGCTACAGGCAAAGATATAAATCTAAGCGTACATAAAAGACAATGGGACTGGCTGTGGATGAAAAACAGTCTCAAGCCAGCTAGGCTGAACGAGATTTTGAAAGACGACCGCTGCGGCGGGGTCCTTTGCGGGTCGTCTCCGATTGCTCAGAGTCCTCACTAAAGGCTTCCGTTCGGGTCTTCTCTGCCTCTGCGGCTTTCTCGGCATTTGCTTTCATCTGCAAAGGGTAATTGTAAGTATAAATCGAATTACTTAGTGTCAAAAAACTAACCCGCAGATTAAGCGAGACGACCTCGTTCTGGTCGTCTCGGAATGAGATACCCACGCCCAGCGTAAGGTTGGAAACGAGTCGCTTTCTGGGTCGACCTCGTCGAACGGCTGGGCGCGGGTCCTCCGAGTCGTCGCTGTCATCAGCGGAGCGCTTGCTGCCCGTGCTGAATGGCGATGATGAGCGTGATACCTGCAAGTTCGACTTGAAGCTCGGGCCCGGGACGACATTTTTCTCGCTGTCATTCTTTTCGCCGAGAAGCTCCGCAAATGCCCGATCAATGTCGCCTCGACATTTCTGAAGCATGTCCCTGATGGTATCGTGGTCATATCGACCTCCGAAAGCATCTTGAATGGTCTGTATATCCCAAGGAGGGGAAACATCGACGGCTAAGTTGGGATCTTTAGTATGTACAGATGTGTTGGTAGATTTGGTGTCACTGGTGGAGATGGAGTTAAATGAGGAAGATGGGGAGAGTTGATGAGTTGTGGAAGTGTCGTTTTCAGTACTTGGAATGTATTTGGTGTCGGCAGCTGTCGCTTTGACATCGGCAGCACCTAGTGAAGCTTCGTCTTTGGAATCTCCATCCTTCAGGGACGTCACTAGGGGCCTGATGCACACCGACTTAGCCAGAAGCCCTGTGTGGCAACCGCCGATGGTTCGCACAGAGGAGTAGTGCTTAAAATCCTACTATGGGTCAATAACAACTCGGCAAGTACCGGCAAATACTTTTACTCACGTGGAAGGCGACATGGATGGCGTCCCGATGCTCGTCAGGCATAGCATGAACATCTCGAAACATTTGCACGCCATCCATTGTGTAGACATTGATGTCCACCTTGAATACCTGGCAGAATGCTTGCAGGTGCTCTGAACTCCCCCATTCGCCGTTTTTGCGAGTCAAAGCAACCATTTCCTCGAATCGCCTCTCCTTATCCTCTTCAGACGGACATGATACGTCGGCCGAACGCGTGGCGTATGCAGAGGCGGTGGCTCGTTTGGGGCGACGACGCTCGCCCCCTTGGGCAACCACAAACTGCATGAAGTACGTTCTATTGTTTGCCATATGCGCCGCAAGGATCTGGCGAATTTCGTCCGCGTGGGAAAATGTACCCTTCAATTGGTCGGAGAGGGAATAGTAGAGGCAATTCCCTACGTTAAGACGCGTCAGAAACAGCATTTCTTAAGAAGATGAAGCTTGGATCCCATGTAGGGGAGCTTCGAAATCAAAATTATGGTGTCTTACCATCTCCTTCTGTGGGCAAGGCAAATAGACCGCGTTCAGTCAAACAGGGCATCTCTAAGCATTTGAAGTCCATGGTCTTTGGTTGACGCACGGCAGGGATATCATCTTGCTGATCCAGCAGCGAAGAGGGATTGGAGGGAGGGTTGGGATGTGAAGGGGAATTGGTGTTTAGTACGGAGGACTCTGTAGAGCCGTGTTGTTGTTGGTGACCCGCAAGTACAATGGGCACAATTCTGCCACCATGATTGAGTAGGGACATCTTGAAAGGAGCCCTGCTCGGGTCTAGGCCGGCATTAACGTGTTTGATAATCAAGCAGTTACTCCATGAAGGTTAAGTTGGAGTGACAAATATATGTGAGACCAAAGAAGAAGAAAAAAAATAAAAATCAAAAAAATCAAAGTTAACCCGCAGAGTGAATGAGCCCTGCGGGTGCGATGGATTTGGAAAAAGGAAGGGAAATCCAAACTTTAGCCTAGAGCTGAGCCGAATCGCAGGCGGTGAGTAAAATACTATGCCTACTATGACATCGGTGATCTCGAGACCAACTTTCTTTTGCTTTCGGTCCCATCAATGGGCTCAATTGGTTCTGATTTTAATCATGGAACATCCATTCTCTCTGATCTCCTTTATACACTATATTGATTGAAAGTTAAGCCCTAAATGATCAAAATGAAGCATGAAATGTGAATTGTGATTCATTCACTTCTAGGGACGCGGTGGAGCCCCGAGGGATGGAAAGCGCGGAACTTTACGGAGAGGCTTTTTTTCAGTGGCCACCGCTTTTTAAGAAGAATCTTATAGCTTCGATTTTTATTATAGCAGAGATGTTTCAAATGTCTGATACCTTATCTCTTGGATAATTTGTATGTCAATATATACTTCCAGCATTCCTTTCCAACCTTCCAATGTCCCACTGGATGGTGCGGAGTTGTATTGACGTGTTTTTGACTTGTTTCAATACAACTGTTGCAGCTGTCTCCACATTGAAAAAATACGCGTTTCTCCTGGTTTTTAATCATCTTCATTCGTTAATCTTACATACCGCCCTTTCCGCCGCCACTCAAATTAGCAGACTTCGAAATGCCTTGACCCCAACGATACTCGAATAAAATACATGATTGACCCCATTTCTCTTATCAAATCAATTGTCGATAACGATTATCTTTACTCCGCACCCCGCTTGCTGTCGCATGCATGTGTCCTTGACTCAGACCTGAGACTAAACATTCCTTTACCCACATTCGTGTCATTCGCTATTTTGATTTAATCTCCGCTGCTTGATCAATTTGATACATCATATCGAAAATGTCGAACAATATCGTGATTCTGGGGTAAGATGGATCCCTTACACTTGGTGGAGGCAAGGGTGTGTATATGTCTTAATTGTACTAAAATCGATCAGAGCCGGTGTCACTGGTCTGACAACCGCGTACCTGTTGTCCCAAGACTCCACAAACAATATTACGGTTATTGCAAAGCATATGCCTGGAGACTATGACATCGAATATGCTTCTCCTTGGGCAGGAGCCAACTATATGCCGTACGTTTACCCAGACACGACGCCATTGGGTAAATTCGCTTTTAACTTCCACATAGCGTCGGCAAGGAAGGTAGTAACCACCAGGCGTGGGAGAGGGCCACTTGGCCTGCCCTGAAGGCAGTGTGCGAGAAGTATCCCGAGGCGGGCATTCATTTTCGAGGTACGATAGGGAAGACGCATATCCATCCAAACATTCAGTTAATACAAGATCAGATTCATTGATCTACAACCGCAAAAAGGATCAAGAGTCCGCTACCGGTCAATGGTTTTCAGAATTGGTGCAACCTAATCCATGGTATAAGGATGTTGTTCCGGACGTATGTCTGACGTAGCATGTTTTCATCCAAGAATGTATACTGACAATCCGTCCCAGTTTGAGACTATTCCTGAAAGCCAGCTGGCCCCTGGTATTGATAATGCCCAGAAGTTTACATCTGTCTGTATCAACACGGCAGTTTATCTGCCATGGCTCGTTGGTCAGTGCTTGAAGACTGGTGCAGTCTTCAAAAGAGCTGTATTGACTCACATTTCCGAGGCGGCCAATGCGCACCACTCTGGTCAGAAGGCTGATGTGGTTGTGAACTGCACAGGCCTAGCATCTAAAACTCTTGGAGGAGTTCTCGATGACAAGATGTACCCAGCTAGAGGTCAGATCGTTGTAGTCCGAAATGACCCTGGTGAGATGGTCTCTGCTTCTGGAACAGACGATGGGGAGGACGAGGCGCTGTATATTATGACTCGGGCTGCAGGTCAGATTGAAAATGACCCCACAAAGAACAACAACTTACAAATAATAGGGGGTGGCACTATTCTTGGAGGGTCCTACCAGAAGCATAATTGGGACCCATTACCTGACCTGAACCTTGCGAACCGAATTATGAAGCGGGCAATCGATATTTGCCCTAAGCTTGTCAAGGAGGGACAGGGCATCGAGGGGCTGAGTATCATTCGTCATGGTGTTGGCTTGCGGCCTCTCCGTGATGGCGGCCCTCGTGTTGAGAAAGACCAGGTTGACGGTGTTAAAATTGTTCACAATTATGGCCATGGTGGTTTTGGTTACCAGGCGTCGTTTGGCTGCGCGGAGGATGCCGTATCTCTGGTTAAGGAGGTCTTGAAGAGCAAGACACGTGCCAAGCTCTGATCCGGTCGTAGATATAAAGGGACAAGTTCATCCACGATAATTCTTGTTCCTGTCGAACAAAGCGTGTTCTAGGTGTCTTCATTATCTATGTGTGACGTCAAAATTCATAGATGGCAACTATTGTTCATATTCCAACAACACTGACTGTTTCACCGCACTCCTCTTAAACACACTAAATTTCTTAATGCTTCAAAAAGATTTCATCTATGTATACTACTTCTTCCAATAGCTATGACGATGGCATCTCATCAGCAATCCACTCGGTAATTTCGAAGTTCGGCCAGCCACCGCTAGCCGGGACAACGATTGGAAACCAGTCACGATTGGATGCGTCTCCTGACACGGTGCTCGCAATGGTGCTAGATTCTATGGTCAAGGCACGACCAATCTCTCACAGTCTGACTCAAAAGACCGTCAAACATCTGCTCGACGAGGGTTATCATCACATCGACATACTCGCCACTACAACATGGGAAGAACGCACAAATACACTGAGAGAAGGAGGTTATAATCGGTATCGGGAGCAATGCGCGACCTACATGGGTGGCCTTTCAGATATTGTTTCAATTAAATATGGTATGTGTTCGTTGACGGAGCAAATGTCCTTTGAACATTGTTTTGTATGACTTGGAAGCCTGATATGCTGATAAATGTCTTCCTAGATGGAGACCTTAAAAATTTGCTGGAGACTGCACATGAGGATCGGGAAGAGGTCCGCGGCCTAATGATGGAGTTCAAGGGGATAGGAGACTTGGGATTGGAACTCTTTTTCAACAATGTGCAGAGTGTTTGGCCATCGATTGCCCCTTTCCTCGACTCACGAAGCCTGCAGACTGCCGAGGAGATTGGTATAGGTCGAGACTTGGATGCTATCTATGGGGCTCTGGGCCAGGAGCCCGAGAAGATGAGCCTGCTTGCGAACGGTCTATCAAAGGTACGTCTAGAAAAGAAACAAATTTAAGGCAAAGTATGGAGTGCACCCAAGGGACCATTGTCTATTCAATTTCTATGTCGACCTCTGAAGAGACAATTGGAAATTTGATCGAATACTACTTTCCTATCTCGGCAGCTACGATCCAGTGTAGATCTTGCCTGTTAAGGCCAAAAGACTGTGGCTCGACCACACTACATTCAGCCCCCCACGTGACTTGCCCCATGCTGATTCAGCCACGGTGGCTTGGCAAGACCCGCTGCTTGCGACAGCGCAGCTCCTCGCGCTCTCTTCATGCTTCTTCCATTCCCCTGTCCTATCTCTTCCGACTAAAAGTGCCGTATTGGCTTTAATCTGATCTCTTCTCCCCATTTTTCTGTGCGGTTACTCCCTTGGACTCATTCCAGGTATGTCCTTGGCTGACCCTCCCCACTCCATGGAGACCGCCTGTGCCACTTCCGACACAAACAAAGCCGACCCCGTCCGATTGACCCGACACTAATGAATGACTAGTGAACCCACAAACCACTTGATCCATCTTACCTCTGCTATTGCTGCAGACTTCTTCCTATCTTGAGACCCTGACGATCATTGGACAATCTGAAACACCATCAAAATGGACTTCTCTAACATCTTGTATGTGCTTCCCTACTAGCTCCATGGTGGCGGGAACCTCTTTAGATCCCAATACGGAACTTGATCATGGCCATGCTATCATACTGACAAACCCTTCAGTCGTCTCGTTAACATTGCGGTGGGTGTGATCATGGTGCTGGGTGGCATTAGCCAGTTCTTCCCAGCCTCCATGAGCTCTATCATCGTCGGCGCCTATGTGATTCTCTTCGGTCTTAGTAAGTGGCGCTCACTATCTATGAGAGGGATGTCAGTGCTAATATGATACAGTTGTCGCCGGTCTGGAGTTTGTGCCCAATGTGCCCGACTATGCTTACCGTTACGCCTCATTCCTGTTCTCTTTCCTCGGCCGTGGTGTCTGTAAGTTGTGACTGGCTTTGTTGTGCGACTTTGCAAACTAACCTTTCCTAGTCTACATCTTTATCGGCTCCATCCTGCTGCACGACATGGTTCTGCGCATTATTTCCGGCTCTCTCATTGGTTTTATCGGTGTTGGCTACCTCGTTCTGGAGTTCATTCCCTCCATCGAGCCTCCTTCGAACATGCGCGAGTCGGATCAGGGCTGGGGTGCTGAGCAGGTCTAAACACGCTGGTCAAACAAGCATTGAAAAGTCATTTTCACACATGAAGTGACAGCATGGATGGAGAGCTACCAGATGCTCTAAAATCCATGGCAAGTGCATAGTCAGCGTTGGATTTCTCGCAATGCGTTATATGATGGATGAACGTTGCAATGACAATGTCGGTCTTTCCCTGGTCTTATGAGGGATGGCTGGAGTCGGGAGGACCGGCTTGTCGCGGACGAAGGTGGATGCTTTGTTTTTCATCTTTTTATTTCATTTTGGATTTGCTTTCTAATTTTGATACCTGTGGATGTGACTCCATTTGGGAAGATATTGTATTATAGTTGAATGAATGCGGCTAGACCATGGCGACATGAAGTTTACTTAATTATGAACCCTATGATCATAGTTCGGCCCCGGGGGTACCTTGAGTGGAGCTGTCTCAAATTACATATATTAACAGGATTATAATTTGTGACTGGTTTGCTGGATAAACCTGAAAGTAAAGTTTCAATGTCGGGTCACTCCGTCTATGATACGTCACATGGATATCCTTTGGGGTTTCTTACCTATGAACAAGCAAATTAATCACTAGGGTAAGAGGTAGAAGCGATGAGAATAGCCAAGGTCGAGCACATGTGCCACCTCGACATGAGGTAAATTCCTATGCAAGTCATAAAGTGGGCATCGTGCGATCTGATCTACAGAAAGAAATTTAACGACATATATTCCAGCCCTGTAGCTAAAAAGTCTTCACTTAACGGTATTAGTAATAGAAATGGAACAGCGTGGCCTTAACGCCGGATGGAGCCCGCCACTGCCGAAAACCAATGGGAAAACGTAGATTGTTGCTTACATTGACAATTTACATGGTTGAGCCAATGAGAACTAATACAAAGATGCTTGCCTACGCATTGGCCGCCCACTTCTTCGTTCGGGAAGGCAATTCCCACTGTATTTTGCCCCCCTAAACTTCATCAGGAATCGGTGGAGTCCTTTTCTACTAAGGATCTGGGGAGTGACAGTTTTGGGAAAATGACCGGCTTATCGGCGATCAGAGATTTTCGGCAGTAGCAGACTTAAAGAAAACAAAAAGATTGAGAAATAAGCCGAGCAAATGTGTCTTAAGTATAAGAGATCAAAGAAGTGAAAAGATTAGATGAGATAGCGAAGCCGAGATTAGAACTGATATGATTAGTCTTCCGTCGATCCCCCCTTTCGTAGATCGATAAACCAACCCCGTAATTCCCTTTTGCTTCGATAAGCTGTTTCTTTGATCTTTTTTCGTCTCCCCTTGTTCTCCTTCTCCACCGTCGAAAACCTTCGATTCTTCCTTTCTTCTTCTTTTCCAATTCTTTTCCCTTCGTTCTCTCCTCGCATTCCTGCTGGAATCCCCCTGTGTTCACCATCCTGCAGGACCCTAGTGAACTCGGTCCAATCCTAGTTCCGTTTAGCCTCCTGCGGTCTCCGTCTCCGAACCTTTTACCCTCCAAGGATCGCCAAGTCAGCCCGCCTGCTGTGCTGTCAGCTGTCGCAATCGCCCATCACCTGACCGTTCCAGGCTACTGGGTCGCCACATTCTTTGATGATATTGGGTTCTTGGTGCCATCGTTGATTGACTGCCCCGATCCTTCTCGCCTCAGCCCCTCTTCGACACAAACACCTTTCCCCCTCGCCGCATCTCACTCCCGCGCATCTCGGTCCTGCATCTTCTCTGCCGTGCCGCTTGCTTAACGCCGAGCAGCTTGACCGACATTTGCCCTTTGTTCTTATCTGGGTGATACGGTGAATTCTGCTTCCGACTGCGGTGCAACATAATCCTTTCATTCGGTCCTTCCATTATCTCTTGCTCTCGTCGTTTCGTATCCTGGTTGTCTAGCGCACCGGAATTGAGGGCCCTTTTCTGATTTTACCCCATTCCGTGGTGTTGTTGGATCAAGTTCCTGGGTAATGATAGCATCTATTCCAATGGAAACGGTGCGCTCTTTTCCCCTGAACACCAGTACTCCCATGCGCCAACCATCGGCGGAGGATTTGGACGCCGCTCAGCAGTTGGTTTCGTCGGCACAGGCCGGTCGTGAACACTTGGCAGATCATTATGGGGAGGCTCCTATAAAACTTTCTGGAAGCCCCCCTCTGCAGAATGGGCCTGATAATCGATCGGAACTGGAAAAGACTTCCCCACGGGGCCAAAAAGATACATCCTTTCTGGGGCATTCATGCAGGTGTGTTTCTTCTACATATCAGCGCTCTTATTGATCTAGATACTAACATTTGTCTAGCAATTGTGGAACCAAAAGTACCCCTCTCTGGCGACGCTCTCCAACGGGTGCCATGATTTGCAATGCCTGTGGTCTTTACCTGAAAGCTCGCAATGTTGCTCGCCCAACAAAACGAAATCGCGTCCAACAGACCCCTGACGGTCCCGAAAGCAAACCTCCCACCACTCATCATATGGAATCTACTGCAACATCAGAAGGGGGTTGCAAAGGCTCTTGTCCTGGTGGTGGAAGCTGCAACGGCACTGGCGGCGCAGAGGGATGCGATGGTTGCCCCGCATACAACAACCGCATCTACAAGTCTGCGCCTCGGGGTGGCCCTCATTCTGCTTGGGGTCGCACTTCAACACCCGATGCCGGGCCAACACCCCCTCCGCCAGTGGCTGAGGCCCCGGCGAAAAACGCTGCTGTTGATAGCAATGGAACTTTGGTTGCATGCCAGAATTGCGGGACGACCGTGACTCCACTTTGGCGACGAGATGAGCACGGTCATCCCATCTGCAATGCGTGTGGTAGGTTCAAATACCGTTTAATCTTTTTCATATTTAACAGGATAATAGGCCTATACTATAAGCTCCATGGCTGCTACCGCCCCACGACCATGAAGAAGTCGATCATCAAGCGTCGGAAGCGTGTCGTTCCAGCCCTACGAGATCAATCCCCCACTGCTGCGACCCATTCCTCGAATGGTTCCTCGGCCTCCCCCGAAGCATCCCCCGCAGCATTGGCTCACGTACACGAAGATCATTTCCGATACATGAGCAACGAACCCGATCATTACCATGCAATGCCCGGAAGAGGTGCACATGAAGATGCACCCCGACCCTTGCCCTTTGCTCCACCCCCGGTGGACTTTACTGGCTACGTTAGCTCCGCTCCCATGCATCACCACCAACTTCCCAAGCTTCTAGAACCCGAGCGATTGAGTCATTCGCCTGCTCAATTTGCGCGACGATCTGCATCTCCGAATTCTCTTGGGCTTCCCAAGAAACGCACCCTGGCTGAGACTTCGGAAGGTCATGCACCAGCAACACTTGGAGCAGGTTCAAATCAGCTGCCACCCATTATGTTGTCGAGCAGCCATACTCCTCCGGGTCGCTTGAGCTCAATTTCATCCATCTTGAATCAGACAGAACGCCGAGAGGACTCTCGAATGGACCTCTCGCCCATGGGTCGGCCACAGCCTTACCAAGCACCTATGCATTCCGCGCCTCATCCGCCGCAAAATTTGCCTGGGATTTCTTCTTTCGCGGACCAGCCATCTGATGAGCGCCGCGCCCTGTTGGAGCGGGAAGCCGAATTGATGCGAGAGGCATTACGTGCCAAGGAGCGGGAATTGGCTCAGATGGGGCGATAACGCATCAACTCCAACGAGTGAAACGAAATTAATGAGATTTGACATTTTGGTTTGGGGTGGAGGTTCCTCCACATGGGCGCAAGTGCTCGAAGGTTTGCGCAATATACCACTGAGTTTTGCTAGGAGTACGGATTCCTCACTGTGTTATATTAGTTTAAAAAGTTTCGAAGACGAATTGTACGCTACGGATTGCTCCTTTAATACACAGTTCTCTTTCTTTACATCTCCATCTTGATAAATCTTTCGGCCCGAACCGAGAACGACCTATGTCATCATGACCTGCCATAGATCAGAGCTCGAACCTCACCTTCTATCTAGCTTCTCTATTTCATCTCAACCACAGTCACCATGGCCAACTCGTTCACCCTAACATTCCTCGGCGATGTCATGCTTGCCCGCCTAATCGACCAACTCCTCCCAAACCCTGTCAACAGCCCTAACGACGCCCGCAACGCCGCCCACTTCCAATTCAAACACTCATCTCTCCAACCAACAAATTATACCCCCTCCGCGCCATGGGGAACCACTCTCCCCCTCCTCCGCAAAACTGACCTCCTCCTGATCAACCTCGAAACCTCAGTAACAACGACCAGCTCACCATGGCCAAACAAGAAATTCAACTACCGCATGCACCCCGCAAACCTCGTCCCCGTTCTCCACGCCGCACAAGTCGACTACACCAGCCTCGCAAACAACCATACCCTCGATTACGGCACAGAGGGTCTAATCGAGACGGTATGGACATTGAAGTCTGCCGGGATCTCTTTTGCAGGCGCCGGCCAGAATACAGATGAAGCATACAATCCGGCTATACTCTACCTGCCGCGATCATTACAGGAGTATCGTTCCAAATGGGTTGCTGGAGAGAAAGTAGTTTCGACGAGGTGGAGTGAGCGCGAAAGAGAAGTGTTTGATGATCCCCGGACTGGATATGCTGTTCATGTGTTTTCGGCCTCCGATCATCCTGCGGAGTGGGGTGCTACTGTACCTGAATTCCATTTCATTGATTACTCGACCAGGACGAGGGAGCGTTTGCAGAGATTGTTGAGGAGTGGTGGGTCGTCGATACCTGCACTGAAGATCTTCTCGGTGCATTGGGGTTCGAATTATACGTGGTGTCCGTCTGAGCAGATACGGTCCCTCGCTCACTTTCTTATTGATGAGTGTGGGGTGGACATTGTGCACGGACACTCATCGCATCATGTACAGGGTGTGGAGATTTACAATGGGAAGATCATTATCTACGGATGTGGGGATTTCGTGGATGATTATATGGTGCGGGAGGATTATAGGAATGATCTTGGTGCTGTGTGGAGGGTGAATGTTTCGGAGAATAACCAAGGTCTTGTTCTGGATCGGTTGGAGATATTTCCTACGCGCATTGATCGCTTTCAAGCCAATTTGCTCAATCCCAGCGATCAGGATCATAATTGGACGAGGGATAAGATTGCAGAATTAAGTGGGGACTTAGGAACCATGGTGCATAGTGAATTAGGAGAGCAGGGCCAGATCCTGATTTATGCAAGAACCGTGTAGGTTCATTGAATAGTTTATATACAGAAACAAAAACAAAGTGATATCAAAGCCAAAGATCCTCCCACCTGAACCAGAAATAATTCAATGAAATAAAAAGCCGTCGCAATGCTGTCGTAAAAATTGGTCCGTATACATAGAAAGGTAAAAAGAGTGAGTGTATCAAGAATCCATGACGAGTCGTCGCTCGCTGATAGTCTCGTCATGTTTGGTCTCCTGCATAACCATCATCTCAGTGGTAACTTCAATACCACCACCGAGTGATCCTCGATTATACCTGTCGCCAGGCTTGACATTGATCGAGTAAACATCATAATCTCGATCCTCGTTCTTGCTGAACAGCTGGCTCTGCTGCCGTGCCGAGCGGTGAGCCGTGAATCCAGTCAACCGGTTAGGAGTGATCGGGTCATTGCCCGTGTAGCGGTTATAGCTGTTCGTCGACAGAAGCTTGGGGAAGAGTACGCTGACGATTGGACGGAGGAAGGGGAGGCAGGCGCAGATGATGGCGACGTTGCATTCAGCTGCGGTCCAGTATGCAGCTCCGACGTTGCTGTAGGAGGTATCTGAGCTCTTGGCGACAGTACTAAGACTGGAGAGGCGAAGGATGCTGGTAATAACGACACTGTAGACTCAAGTTAGCATTCATTTCTGCTTCGGGGCCAGCTCCACGTACAGGATACCGATAGCGAAGACACCCATCAGAGCGATCTTTTGTAGACGCGGGAGTTGGAGCGCGGAGAGCAGCGGCATTGGAAGCAGCAGAAGAGTCACATCTGTGGCGATGTTCATGGATGCGTTGAAAAACCAGACGGCGTCGAAACTGAGGCAGTAGCCTGGGATCTCGGGGTCCCAAAATTTGGCGACTGGTACACAATTCACGTAGCCACTGACGACGGCCCAGGTGATATAGGTGGCGACGACTGCCATGATCACATAGCAGCAAGTGCGGAACCAGCGAGCGGGGAAGATGCGGAGATATTGGAAGAGAATGGAGAATTTGGTGCAACCGAGACTAGCGTTGTATAATGGGATGGCGGCCCATAAGCACTGAGAAGGATTAATTAGTATGGGTTCACTTGCAAGGTACTTGCTTATCGCACCTTCAATTGTTGGTGTAGAACATATTTTGAGAGATATTTCTCGTGAATTCCCATTCCGTAGTGCAATTCTTGATCATTGTTAATATCCAAGTTACGATTTATGGCACGCGAGAAACTTACGAGCACCGACAAGTCCGCAGTAGGCGATTGACAAGGTTAAGGCACTCAGGATAGCCCAATCTTCACGACCGGTGATCTTCATCAAACCGAAACGTGCATAGCACCGCAAAGCAACAACCAATGCTGCCAACCCAGTGAGAACTGCTGTCACCACTAATGCTCGCTGGCCACGGGCATGACCATCGTCCTCAGTCCGGGGAACCAATTCGTGTAAAAGAACGACCATATTGATAGGCGATGTGATAAGGAGCGAAATAAGAAAAAGAGTGTCGTTGAGGGGTTCTGCTCGTCCTGGCTATAACCACAGGAACTAAATAATCCCTCAGTAGGCAGAATCACCGCATCAAGACGCCCACGTTGATTGAAGTCGAAAAAATTTGAAGGCAAAAGAGACGCACGATGAAATCGAGCGGGGCAGTCTCTTTTGAATGGCGTAAAGCCTCCCGCCCCAGGCCTGTAGTCACAGTGGAGTCGATCTGTGTGTTCATGTACAGTACTGTACTCCGTACACAAGCATCCCTGTACCGCTTGGCCTCGATCCCCGCAGAGTTTGACTAGCGTCGCCAATAGCGCACGATCAGGCAGCGATCTTGCGCGAAACTCAGCGTGGCTTCGGGTCCGGCGTACGCCATGTGGTCCCCGGATGGAGTCGGATTTCATGTATGGACGAATGCAACCGAAGTCTGCCATGGAAGAAGTCTAGTGGAGATTCTGACCCCTTGCTTTCCCCACTGCATCGTCACCTAGTGTGGGTCCTTTTGCCAGCCAGAAGCCAGGAATTTATTGCTCATCAATTAAAACTTGTGGGTTTGATTGGGGTTGACTGCTGGGCTTTCCATGGAACGAAAGCTGTCGTCTTCTCGAGTTCCCCTGTCGAGCAGGGTTCTGAGAACGGGCCTCTGTTGTGGACCTGGAACATGTTCCACGAGATGTCTGAGTTGTTTCCCTGTGGGATGGCTATATTGCCCGTCTTCTCCGTCTCTGTGACTGTGACCAAGGTAAATTGTCGATCAATCACATATTTCTTCATCCGTGGCTGATTGTTCCCCTTGAGCAGCCTCAATGTTTCAGATGTCAAGTTCGATGACTGAGAACCGCGATTCTCGTGTCGATCATTTCTCTCCTGGTTAGCACCAAGCATCACACAAAATGGCATGAATATCATGATTCCTCTGGAATTTCCTTGATCTCGTGATGAGCATTCAACCGTCGGGGACTTACCAAATGTTACTATTGACTATTGAGGCCCCAAGTGAGGACATTTCTTGACGATCAGTGACCATGTCAACCTCGTTGAACCCGCCCCTGTCAAGTAACCCCACATGGGATTGCCACTGCTATTCAATAATGCGGCTTGCATCTCCACTTAGCCCCACACCTGGTGCGCTCCAAACACGATCATAATGCAAATGCATTATTGGCCCCTAATCAAAAAAATTTGTTGTCATGATCCATGGCCTTATCCCTTGATCATGCATGAAAGATAGGAATTAAGTTTTCTTCTGCTCGTTCTCTGGAGATGATCCTCAATGTCGGAAAACCTATTGAACGCTGCTTGCCGACCAAATGATGGCGGACGTGGCTTTTCTCTATTCGAGGCGGGTTGGGACTAGGATCTGGTGGCGTTCTCCCTAAAATTGAGTTTCAATGATGAATGAATGATTCAAGATGTCTATTTCAATGTTCCCCGCAGACATAATTCGGCTGTTATTGAGGATCTAGATACTTCCAATACGTCGTACTGTAGACATGCACCTTGGATTTCGGAAGAACTTGAGTCGGCATTTCTTGCCTATTTGGGTATTATTTACCGGTGGACACGTGCATTGATACTTGATACTGGATAAACGTTGGTGCCTCAGGTCCCTGGGTCTTTTAAATATTTCTTTTTTTAGTGAAATCTCATTGTTCAGTGAAAAAGGGGGGTGATCCGTGCGACTTGGTGATTTTCAATATCTCATTACGAGTGTGATACATCAATTTACATTCCAAGGATTCCAATGATTTGCCAATAGAGTTAATTCGATCCTTGTATATTCTGCCCAACTACACACCTGGAAAAGCACTGATGCCGGCAACAGATTCCTCCACCAATAGCTGCCAAGTTCCCCAGTTCGGATTATTTCTGCTTTCTGTATGATCGGATAAAAAACTGCACGAAGAGATAAATCAAGGGCAAAAGGTATAGGTTCGTCACAAAATAAACATTTGCCTCGCCACTGTCACTGATGCAGGACATCATAGTGTAAGAGTCAATCGAAGAATCAACACGGCTTATATGCGACTCCAACGCTATTGAAACATTGCCTCGAGTCTCTGGTATGTTCGAGGGAACCTTGTATTTCAACAGCAAATAACTGACACTCCAGACCATACCAATCAAAAACTGGGCGATTTGGATACCCGTTAGTGAGCGTTTGATGCTCATAGGAACACGAATGCCAAGTGTCTGGATAGCAAAGTATGCATACTAATTAAGTCGCACTCAGTTAGTACGTTGTGCAGACAAGCGGATAGGTCAACTGACCATCAAAGTATGGACTGTGGCATTCAACAACACCCCAACAGCACCCATGGGGGATTCAAAAAATACCGCTGACCAACCACACAGAATCACGCCTGCATGGTGATATGTTTGCAAAGTCGAGCTCTTCTTCCCTCCGGCTAGGATAATCAATGTATCGACAACTTCGTAGTATTTGCTGAGATAGAAGAGACAGCCCATGTAGGTCGCTCCCTGTTCTACGAAGCTTTTTGAATCAGTCAACACTATAAGTAGGGCTTTGTCAGACCAAAGGATTCAACAATCAAATGAGGAGATGTTTGGACGATTGATGGACTCACGTCTAAATGCATCTGGGTCTGGTTGACATAGATACTCTGCCAGATGAGCGAGGTAGTTGTCTTTCCCTTCTGCAGAAGGCCCATGGACATAAAATCCATGGAGGATCCCACCGAGCACCCAGGCAGAGAAGAGAGAGAGAAGAGTATTATGCATGAAGACAAAAGCTTTGAAAATAAATGTTCTGCTGATTGCCCATGGTTTGTACTGCCGGCTGGTATTGTATTGATTCCAAAACAACACTGTCGTGACATATGCCAACGAGAAGGTCAAAACAAATCTGATGTTCAACGCAGCATGATAGACATCGGGGTGTATCTCAAAGGGATAGAAGAAAGTCGGTTCGTAGATATTCGAGGGAGGTGCACGAAGAGATGCGGCTGGTTTGTAGGGTTGGCTTGGGGGAAGCTTAAAAATCTCTGGCGACGGGAAGCCGAACTGAATTGAGCTTTGGGTGGAATTTTCCATAATTAATCAACGATTTGATCTGTTCTAATATTAAAATCTGGATGCGAGATACTTCGAGATTGGAAGGGTTTGATGGGTAGTCGGAGCTTATATATCTCGGGTTCATATCCCCTCACTTACTTAATGGCTAAATCCAGAGAACAGTCAGAGAACGTGTAAACATGTAAACTAATAGTCTACTTTCTGCTGTGGTGTAATGTTGATATCTTCATAACTACTACTGCACATGCATGCATGTGTGATCTCAGATCGCTCAGGCCTTGGTTTGCCCTGCAGTACAACGTAGATCCGTGATAAACAGGGTCAGCTACGCCGTGAATGGCATTTGACCTTCAAAACAAAAGAGCTATTGAAACTTTGCTGTGTGATAACACAAATATTGGTCTTTTTCTGCATGTTTGACTTCAGGGGTTTGACAGAAGAAGCATATACATAGTTGTGTCACGACAAGTCACGCTTTTTGCTTTTTCCAGCCCCAGCCCAGGCACTCATATCGGGAAGTATAAGCGATTTGTAGAAAGGGTACAGAGTATACATAGGTTTCAAAGACGTAGTTTATCATTGAAAATGTTGTAGTGTGTACAACCCCGCTGCATTTTTGTGATGGAATGAAACCTGATTTCCAATTCCACATCGATCAGCTTCCATATGTCGATCAGTCCGTGCGATCATTGCTAAATGATTGTGCAAAGTATTTAGTTGAAGAATTCCCCAAGACTGCATGTAACAAACTTTGTTTTGTCATATGAATTATTGGATAATATGCAAAGATACAGCAAAGAAACCTCCAAAATGCAAACCCCAATACAATGGGGTCACTTCTCCAGGAAGGCTCGTCCCCCTACCAGCGGAGCCCAAGATAGACCCAAGGCAGGCTCGCTGAATTGGCCAATTGTCTTCTTCCTTATTGGGATCCCTATAGGAGCTGTTCTCTCTCTTCTATGGGTTCCTCTACACAAAAAAACTGCCATGATGATGCCAGCCTGGATGGTCGGTAGAACTCTTGCCATCACGGCTGGTAGGTTCTTCTTGGACCATCTCGATTCTCTTACTAACATTTCCACCAATAGGCTATCATCGACTGTGGTCTCACAGATCTTACACTGCTTGTACTCCCCTGCGGCTGCTTTTGGCAATCATTGGCGCCGGCGCTGGACAAGGCAGTATTATATTCTGGAGCCGCGGTCACCGCGCCCACCATCGCTACGTCGATACCGACGATGATCCTTACAGCATCAAGAAAGGCTTTTGGCACGCACATATAGGCTGGATGCTGTATGAGAGTGAAGGGATCCCCTACGGCGTCCCAATAAATGGCCAAGTCGATATCAGTGACCTCAGAGCCGATCCCGTCGTGCGATGGCAGCACCGCAACTACGTGCTCTTGTTCCTCACTGTGGGCTACGCAGCTCCCTCATTGGTTTGTGGTCTACTCTACGGAGACTATCTGGGCGGATTTCTTTACGCAGGCTGCTTGGCAGTGGCCCTCGCACAGCAAGGCACGTTCTGTACAAATTCCGTTGCGCATTGGGCTGGATCTCAGCCTTATGCATCTGAGAAGTCTCCGCGAGAAAGCCATTTGGCTGGCCTTCTCATGCTTGGTGAGGGATATCATAATTTTCATCACGAGTTCCCAATTGATTATCGCAATGGACCCCAGTGGTATGATCTGGACATGACCAAGTGGCTGATATGGACTTTTTCTCAGCTTGGACTTGCCACTAAGTTAAGACGCTTCCCTCGGAATGAGATTGAGAAAGGTATGATTCAGCGAAAGTGGGAAATGTTGAATATAGAAGGAAAGACGGTTGATTGGGGTACACCGCTTGACGAGCTACCGGACATGGAGTGGGATGAGTTCCAACAACAAGCAAGGACCGGGCGCAACCTGATTGTGATCAAGAAAGTTGTGTATGATGTTTCAGCTTTTGTGCTGGAGCACCCTGGAGGTACGGCTTTGATTACAGGAGCGATTGGAAAGGATGCGACGGATATGTTCCAAGGCGGAGTATACGCTCATTCTGGTGCAGCTTTCAATCTTTTAGATACCATGAGATCGGCCGTGATCAGAGATACAACAAGTCAACCTAAGGACGTCTCATTTTGACAGAATGTATTTATGAACTTTTTGGCGGGAATATGACTTTGGCTGCCTTCTGAGTTTCTTCATCTTTCAACCACGAAAATGCGACAAGACAACTAACCCGGGCGAAAGGTGATCGCCTCGTATATTGTGCTTGCTTATACAGTAGTGTAAGAAGCCCCAGCTGAACTCACCCAATCACAGTCCTCCATCCATGCAAGATCGTCCTTTTAGCCGACCCTGTCAGATTTGTGGCTGAAGGTCGCAGTAAGGCAGCACGACCTCAAAAATGATCCATAAATGCACCATCACTGTCGAGACACAGCCGGATTACATCAATGGTCGCACGAGTACCTGCCCTCGTGGATCACAGTTCCAAAATGAATATATCCCGCTACCAACTCGTTGATTCGCTGTACGGTCCTGGCACAGTCGGGGCCTGGCTGCTAACTCTTTGCGCCATACTGATCAGCTGGACGCTAAACACCTCATCCCGGTGCAAAGACTCCATCTCCCTCGACTTTATCGCAGGGTTGCTTCTTCCACTGATCGCGACCGATCATGTCATTTTCCAGATCATCAGACTCCCCGTCCCGGTCGCAGAGGCGATCACTGCCCAGAATGTCGAGGTGCAGAGATATGCATCTGCACTTGAAGCACCGCTGAACATCTGCGAGACTTTTTCGATGGCTGCGCTCATTCTAGCTGTCTGCTGTGGTCCCTGGTGGGGAATTGATCCACATTGGAAGCGGCTGGGCTTGGTTCTTGTGGTAGGGCTGCTCAGCTGGAGCACGGAGAATGTGATGTTTGTGATGGCGACTATTCGGGGTGTTCGGGTCGAGAACACGACTCTCAGTCGACCGTATTTGTTCCTGCTGTCTCCGCTTGTGGCGAGCACTTGGGTTTTCTTGGGTTTTTGCTTTGTGGTTGGGCTTGTTGTTTGGTTGACCACTCGTGTTTTTGTTAGAGGACCCCGGAATGGGTTTGGGCATTCGGAACGTGGGCCTTGGGTACAGCGAGTTGCACTAGATAGGATTGAAAGGATGCAAGAACATTCAGGACGCGTGAGACAAGAGGCTTGGAGATTAGAGCGGGAGTCGAGAAGCTTAAAGTGGCTCTCTGTCGTTTCGATGGTCTTTACGCCTTGCACATTTCTCTCATCGATTTTTGGGATTACATTTCGAATGACGAAAGACTCATCTCCAGACAAGTACTTCATCCTGATACCAAAATCAGATGGATCTCTGCAGAGTCTCGATCAAATCCTGGCACTAGCTGGGGGTGTTATTACAATCCTTGCTGCCATTCACCGCGCTTATCGATCGAGAGTAACTCAGAAACAATCATTACAACTAAAGAGACGACGTTCTATCTAGCATGTCATTAAAAATGGAAGAAATATATCAAATACATTTTGTAGATTGTATGAACTTTATGGCAAAATCCGAGCAATTGATGCCATGAAACTGTCATGGACCAAGTGACAGAATAGTAGGCCTAAATACACCAGCCGTTTTGTGCCATGTAATGTATCAACAAGAATGTGAGAGCAACCAGCAGTCAACTTGGCATACCGCTGTGTGAACAAAATCATGGATAGACCATTGGAAACAACAACAGGCATAAAACACCTGACTTTTTTGCCATATACTGTCTCAACATCAAGTCCATTTCTTTCCCTTGCACCGGCCTCAAGTTCCCAAGTCAGCGCCTTTGAGGCACATCCCCTTAATTTATTGTTGGATACAAAACCACAAGGCAGTATCGGCATGAGCAGCCTCCAGTAACAGCAGTAGCAAAGGCGATCATGCACAACTCTTTATCATACAGCCTCCTGGCTTCAACTTTCGAGTTCAGGCATTTTAAGAGACCTCAGTCAGAACCATTCGAAGCTCCTATATTGCAGGACAGTCAAGTCCAATCTCATCCTCCATATCCTCTCCTCACCATTTCATAGATCTCAATGATACGCACCAAGTAGAATAAGAGACCTATTAGTAGGTTGGGGATAACATAGAACAATTCATTCAGAGGCCCATGACCACAATTCCCATAAAAGGGACGTTGAGCTAGGTTGACCTTGGCGCCTGATTTTCAAGGCAGTAAATCAAGACTTAACTAGGCAAACATAGGTTTGCCCCACCTTCTGCCTAAACACTGTCCAATCACAGCTCACATGACCCATTAAAGATGAGGCTGCCTGAACCCTTAGACGAGTTTAGCTTAGCTTGGAAAACATCAACATTGACTCCCATCTAATACATATACCCGCATATCCCATGGAATCTTATTTGCATCGACATCAAAGTCTTCCTGGAATTCATCATGGATTCATTGCCTACAGTGCCTGTGAAACATGCCAACTTTTTGGCTTACCTTCAATCAAATCCAGAGACCCCTATACAGGAGTTGGTAAAACCTTACAATGCATTCGATGGTGTTGCGCGGAAGATATATGCACAGATGCCATTCCATCCTTTGGTGATGGACAATCATGCCAACACTGTACCGCTCTACGGTCCTGATGGAACCACTGATATTCGAATCCGTGCACGAGATCTTACTTCCGAGAGCCCCGAAGCTAAAGAAAAGTACATCTTGCCTCTGGAAGATAGTGTCCGCAGACCTAATGGTTCACCCGCGTTTGTCCCAACGCTGGCCGAGTTCCAACAAAATTTTGCCATCTTCACGGAAAACTCCTTGAGTGAACTGGACTGGAGCAATGTTGTGGCTGCGGGAAGTGCGGTGGTGACCTCTGCTCTGCCTATACCAGAAGAACATCGAGGCTCAAAGAGATCTCTCCGCCAATACTACCATGATCAGTTTGCACCGGCATCGGATGTGGATCTTTTTCTTTACGGTTTGACTGAGGAACAGGCCGTTGAGAAGATAAAGCATATTGAAACCAAGATCCGGAATTCCATCTTGCATGAGACCACCACAATTCGTACGAAGAACACTGTCACTATTGTCTCGCAATATCCTACCCGTCATGTGCAGATCGTGCTTCGTATCTATCGCTCCATTGCGGAGATCCTCACTGGGTTCGACGTCGATTGTTCCTGTGTGGCCTATGATGGCAAGCAGGTCTATGCATCCCCACGGGCAGTCACATCATACGTCACCCAGGTGAATCAAGTTGATCTTACTCGGCGCTCACCATCGTATGAGAATCGATTGTCCAAATATTCTCATCGTGGCTTTGAGGTATTCTGGCCGCAGCTGGACCGATCAAAGGTTGACCCTGTAAGTGGACCCTGATTTTACCGCATGCAAGCGATAAATCTGACGTATCCAAAAGACGATCTTTGAGCGAAGCTTCAATCGAACAGAGGGGCTTGCCCGCCTTTTGGTTCTGGAGAAACTTCCCAACCCGACAGATCGGGACTCATATCTAGCAAAGAGACGCTCAGAGCGTGGTCGACCACCTCCTAGCTTCTTCATGAAGCGTCAAAGACGAGAGCTGAGAGGAAATATCAAGAATGAATGGCAGGATGAAGTGCCTGAGTGGCAGGAGGAAGACCAAGTGTCTAACTACCATACGTTTGTGAGTACCACCGAGCTCCTTTCCTGTTTCTGGCTGACTTCCAAGTAGACTATCCCATATGGCCGAAAATTCAACGCTCGTAGTATCGAAAAGCTGTTGTACACAAAGGATTTGCTTTTGAATGCCCAGTGGAACCAGCCGAAAGACCGTGCAGTCTATCTGCACCGTCATCCAGCGTTCTTTGGCGACGCAGAAAATGTCATCGGGGATTGTTGTGGCTGTTGTCCCGAGCCATCTACAGATGAAGAGCGAAAAATTTCTGAAGAAGAGAATAAGATGTACATCTCCGGCCCCGTCACTTTCTTGAAAGATGATCCTGGTCGCCAGGAGATTGGCAGTTTCAACCCAATCACCGAAACTGACTGGACAGGTATGTCGTGAAAGACTTAGAGTCAAATTAGTACTGACAATCAATCACAGAGATGGCGTATGTTGGTGACACGGAGCGACTTTGTCAAGCAGTTGTATCTGAAGATGTGGAGGCCGTCAAAAGCATTTTGGTCGGCGAAGACGCCAGCCCTGATAGCCGTGACTATACTGGTCGCACACCACTTCAGCTAGCTTGTATCTCATCCACACCAGAGGTGGTCCAATGTCTTGTGGACCATGGAGCTCGACTGATCGCTCGCATGGCCGACGGAAAGACGGCTTTGCATCTTGCAGCTGCTCGAGGCAATGTTGAGATCGTTCGCATTCTTCTGACGAAGAGCAATCAAAATGAAGAAGCAGAAGCTAATGAAGAGCTGAAGAAGAGGAACAAAAAGGAACTGGTCGGCAGCGAATATGAGGATGAAATGCGCCACGCGGATGATGCTTCGCACACTTCTGCATCCTACGTCAAGGTTGAGAAAGCAGATAAAAGCGACGGTGCAAATACTGAATCTCTGGAAGAAAATGATCAAGAGCCAGATATCTTCGACATCAATGCAGCTGCCTGGGATAGTCTTGCTTCGCCTCTTCACCTGGCCGTTCTTCATGGCCACAACGACGTCGTCTCTGAGCTTGTTTCCTCCTTTGGAGCCGACGTTTTAATACCAGTCAAAATTCTGAACAGTTTCAACAGAGAGCCAGAGGCTTCCCTCCTCAACTTGGTTCTAGCCCTTGCTCTTCCATTTGATAAAGCAAGGAGCATGTCGCAAACACTTTTGAAGCTCGGCGCCTCTCCTGCCCAGGCAGATCTAGACCAACACACTCCACTGAATTACATTGCTCAGTCCAGTTACAGTGATCTCCTGGTTGTGTACTTGGAACATGATGGTCCGGCACTCCAGCGAGCAATCAACCATCTGCCTCTAGCAAGTGTGGCGAGCTGGAGGGACTCCACATTCTTTTCCGCTTTGATGAGTGCAATTGCAACACGGAATTCCAAATCTGCAATCAAGTTGCTGGAGTTAGGTGCAAAGCCGAAGTTTGAACTTGACTACTTGATGAATGCTGTCAAATCCCAGGTTCCTGACTTGGGGTTAGCTAGGGTTTTAGGCGAGCAAATTGAAAAAAGCGTTACTCAACCTGTCTTTCTTGCCACAGAGAAGGACTTGCCATTGATTGCTATCGAGCTACTCCGTCGAGGTGCCGATCCCAATTCCGAACGGATACAAGGCTGGGGTGAGAGGAAATCTACAATTCTGGACTGCGTTCGGAATTCTTTGAACTCGAAGCGAGACTTCTTAAAGCCAAAGAAGATGGGAGGACAGTATTTTGGGTTTGACCGCTCTACGGTATTCGAGAAAGACGACGAATCATACCTGGCAGAGTATCCTAAGGCTCATTACCAGAGATTTGTCGCCCAATATCAATTGCAAACGGCCCGCGAGCGGCAAAGGTCGTTTGAGGAAAGGCATGGGGTGCATGACACTACTATAGCAGAACCTGGTCTCCTCGAGAAAAAGGAGGCTGTTGCAAAGTTGATTCGCGATTATGAGCTCCTTGAGACTGAACTGGTAGCACGAGGCGCGAAGACAGTTGAAGAGCTATACCCGATTGGCCATGCTAGCCTCCAAGCAAAGATACGACCCCGCCAATTGCCTGGTGCTGAAGATAATGGAAATATCTTCCGGATCGATTTCAAATTCGAAACGCTCGCACTGACTGACACAACGCGCAATGGATATGTGCAACTGTATGGTAATTTACACTTTAACTAACTTACAACTACTGACATTTTGAAATAGGTTTGAGGCAGCATGGGATGGCGATGTGAAGACAATTAAGGCATTGACTTCTAGCATGTGGGGACCATCTCAAGATCAGCCACCTCTTGAGATTGCAGTTTGCGATAATATGAACAACTCGTGTCTCTCTATTGCGATTCTTCGCGGCCATCTAAGCACTGCTGAGGCAATCATCATCATTCTTCGTGATCAATTTAAGAAAAAGATGCCGCAGGGCCAAGTGAGATTTGAGATGCCGATAGACTCTGATGCAGAGAATTCGGACGCGGAATCATCCAATGGCGAAGGAATCAACATTATCAGCCGCACTTTTGACGATCGGTTCACCCATGAGAATGTTGGAGAGGTCGTGACCCAAGTCGAAAGTCAAGTCTCTCCCTTGGCAGCCCTGCAAAAACGCTGCGGTGCTTCTCGATTCCTTCTCGATTCTTCGGAATTGACATTCAAAGAATATAAATCAGAAGGCCAATGCACGTATTTTAGTATTGACACACTCTTGCACTACGCTATTATCAAAAATGACATCTCGCTCCTCGATTTCCTTCTCAAGCTCGGGGAGAAATGTGCAGGATTTGACGAGCCTGCGAAGGAGAAGTTTACTATCTCGCAGAGGGATTTCCAACTTGCAATTGCCTTGGGTCATTTGGACTGCTTGGTCAGAATGATTCAATTCTCTGCAGTAGGTCTTCCACTCGCCAAGATGTGCGAACAGTCCGGCGTCAAGCCAAAGGAAGAACACCTCTATTACCCCGGCTTGTCCATTCGTGGAAAGAAGCGTAAGGACTGGGCGGATGCTGGCCGAGTCCAAGAAATGCCCCCACCAGGCTCACGACCTCCCTTGTTGATTGCAGCCATTCAAGGAAGTCTCACGGCCACCGAATGGTTCCTTGGCACTGCACCGGGCAGGCACTATGTGGACTACGTGAATTCGCACATGGAAGACGAGAACATCCAGAGACTCTCGCAGTCCAAGCTTGGACTTGAAGGATCCGTTTTGAACTGGCTACAGACGAGAAGTGAGTGCCCACTCTGTTATATTCTTAAGAGACCATTACTGACCAATTTCCGCAGATAGCCTCGTACTCCACTGTGCAGTCATGTCTCGACCATGTGAGGAGTCGGAGCGTCTAGTGCAATACTTGGTCGATCACCACCCTGAGTGCCTGGAGGTTCGCTCTTCGGGAGGACATACTCCGCTTTCCCTCGCCTACTCCCTTCATCGAACGAGCTATGCGCGCATCCTTATCGCCGCCGGAGCCGATCAGACGGTTCGCGATTCCGATAGTCGTAACCTCATGCACCTCCTCCTCAATCACATCAACGGAGCCGCCTCTAAAAAGGCCGAAGAAATTGCTCCACTGATCAGCCTCCTAGACAAACAACTCGTCTCCTCAATGCTCGCACAGCGTGCTGGAGAAGGATCAATGACCCCCCTCGGATGTTGGCTTAAGTCGAGCTACAATGTCGACACTTGGGATTTCCAACATGCCATGTTCAAAGAAGTTCGCGACAGAATGGCCACCATGGCAAGACTGCTGATGGATTATGATGAATTAAGCAACCAAAGACAGCTAGATATTCTTGACGGATCCGGAAACACTGCGGTGCACATTGCAGTCCATTGGGGGTATCCTGCAGTATTGGAAGCGATGCTTGATCGACGACCTGATCTTTTGTACCGAGAGAGCGCAACTGGTTGCACTCCACTCGAGCTGGCTAGGGATTCCTGGGTTAATGATAATACTCGCAGACCTCGCATGAAGCCTACCGACTGGAGATCTGACAGTCCCCCTGAATGGGATCTGGTTGTTGCTCGTCATTCACATCACTTTGTTAAAGGCCGTGAGTCGAGGTCAAGATGGGAGGTTATGTTTCAGATTTGTCAGGATAGGTCTGAGGAGCGACCTGGGAAGAGAAGACTCGTTACTTTGTTCGAGGCAAATGAAGTTGCAAAACGCTTGACTGTTGACAACAATTGGACGAAGCGTCATGCACGGGGTGGTCGGAATTATATACCTGAGGCTGATTCTGTTGCTGAGGAGGAGGAGAAAGATGAGGTTGCTCTATGGGGACAGACTGCCCATTAGGGTGTATCGTTAAGATCGAGGGATTCATAATGAGGAGAATCAGATTCGAGTTTCTACCTAGCCGACGGATTATGTGTACTTGGAGATTCAAAATTGTTGATCATTGACATTTAGGAGGTAAAGGACTTTCAACCAGGAAAATTCTACCTCAGCTTGAAAAGTGCGTATGATAAAAAAAACATGAGACAACCCTTGGAACCCATGGACTTAATATGAAAATCACGTAACGTGCTCCTTCTCTTCCTCCTTCGGAATCCGCACCCACACAACTGTCACAAGCAGTGCAAGTAATTGTGCCCCCAATGCAAACCACCAAATAGCCCGGAGTCCTTCTAAACCGACCTGTCCATCTGCACCGGTACTAACCCGCGTACCGATCGCATCAGCAAGACTAGTCATGATAGCCGATGACAAGTTCTGATTCGTCACAAGCAGACTACCCGCGCTTCCTTGGTACGATCGGGCGACATTACTAGTAATGAAAATCGAAGCCGCGGCAAAAGCCAGGTCAGGACCGAATGTCACCAACGCTATACCGGGGAACGAAAGAGCCCAGTAGGTGGTGTTGGCAGTTTGAGGGATGAAAAATGCAGGTCCCATCGTGAAGGCGAACATCGATACCGCATAGATATAATGGCCCGGAACTAGGTGAAGAGTGCGGCTCACGATCCATGTGGCGAAGACTCCAACAACGGCGTTGGGGATATGATAGAGTGCTACGGCGATCGGGGTAGCGTGCTGGATACGCAACCAAAATTGAATTGCGTAGAATTGCCAGCACCCGAAGAATGAGCCAAATCCGAGGAAGTAGGCTATCATCAACGGGGTAAATCCCGGTGTTGACCAGAGTCTGTTGGGAATGAGAGGGCGAACGGCTGCACGCTCAGCGAAAAAGAGGCCACCCAATAGTAGCAAGCCGACGATGATGAGAACGTATGTATATGGGGACCAAGAAGCAACGGGGCCCTGGGTAAGTCCAAAGAGTAAACAAACGCACCCTCCAGCCGCACAGGCACCTCCGATGAAGTCGAATTGCCGTAGACTCGGTGCTTCTTTGCCGGCAGTATCAGCCACGGGTTTCAAAGGTGGAATGGTGAAGAATGCGGCCACCCCGCAGATAGCGCAGATAATGGCATTGGTTCCAAAGATCCAAGGAAGGTGTTGGTAAAAGGCTCCTCCCTGGATCGCTCCAAGTGAGAAGCCGAAGGGGCAACAGGCCGCCATGGCTGAGAACACTCGATTCTTGCGAACACCAGGCTTGTAGACTCTGCCTAAGATACTCATGCTCCCCGAGACCAGGACACCGATAGCAAGCCCCTGCATAGCCCGCACGATAAAGAAAAGGATATGACGGGACGGTTGCAAGGAGAAAGCCCCGACGATATTCCAGGTAGTAAGCCAAGCGAAAGCGCCTACCATGAGGCTTTTAGGAGGTGCTAGATCTGTAAGAGATCCCGAAATGACCACCGACAGGCCGTTGGCGGTATTGAATGCACCAACAATCCAAGGAAGTTGAGTATTGGTGATTCCGAGTGCAGTCTTCAACTGTTCCTGCGGTGCGAGCATATCACCCAGGAAGAAAGAAAACAACATGAGACCAGCGGAACAGACCATCACCAAAATAATCTCGGCTGTAAAGCTTCGAATCTCTGGAGGTACACCTTGTCTTGCTCGGCTCGGTGATGCCGCTTCATCGGCAACCAAGTCCGAACATCGGGATACCGATGGCCTTCGGTTAGTTAACTGATGTCCAAGCGTATCGAGTTCGTGCACGTTGTCGTTGCTTGTATCCAGGCTGGTGATAGTATATGACACATTCTTCAACGACTGCTTATCAACAACAGTAGTATTGCCCATTAGCGGATCTGGCGTTTGAGCACCCGTCGCCGGCGTCGCATAATTCCTCGAGTAGGAAAAGGATGAGCGACCAGATACCGGAGCTGAGTCTCCAGAATCATTGGCAGCACCATAATGACCGGTCGCATCTCGATTATGTGTTTGGACTTGTGGAGGGAATTGTGGGGGACCCTCTAGATCGGAATGCTGCCCAACAGGCATCCTGGACGAACAATAGATAGGTAACAAGTCCACGACAGTCAAGACGCAACGTGAGTGTGAAAGAGAATTAGGATACCGACAAGAAGAAAATTATTTTTTAGAGCACAGCGATTTATCGGGCACATCATTGTGGCGAAAAAAGCCAAATACATTTCGTCTCGACGATCTGGTGGAGTTGGTGGAGTGCGGTTCCAGTTATCAGCAAATCCGAGCCGATGCTAAAGATCTCCGTACCGACGGGCCGATAAAACCTTTGAACCAGTCAGATAGTTCGCAATGCCTCATGGTCCCTTGCGGAGGCTTGCGTGTCTGGGGTTGTGGACCTGTCGATCTGACTAGTATCTGGAGACAACTGTGCCAAGGGGTGCATATTTTGTCAAACGTTAAATTTCGGGTTAGCATTACTGGGATAAGGGGATCGTGATAAGGCCACAAGTGGATGAGGTCGTTAACTGAGAAAACGAAGCAATCAGCCAATGAATCCATGTGTAATGTCGTCTTTTCGCGGTTGAGAATCAACGACGACTCATCCCTGATCGACGCGGCCCGTTTCTAGTGTATACAGTAGCTGCACATTTTCCAAATAGAGCTGCTCAATAAGGCATACAAGATCAGAGGCCCTCGTGGCAAGATCAAAGTGGGAAAGAAAGGAAGGTGAACCGATCTGTCAAGGGATACAATACGCGTCATACTTCGGTCTTTGCACTGCCCACAATTGACATTGCTATGGCAGAGACAAAACAGGGGATCATCACAATCTACCGTACTTTTCATGCAATTGGTGTCCGTGAATAACTCATAAATGACATAGCGATTGTCCAGTCGGTATTAACATTCCGATCATATGACTCCGCGTTTTTTTTATTTCTTCATCTGCCCACATAGGACAACGTCTTCGCCAAATGGATACCATCTGACATTTGTCAAACGTGCAGCAGACATGGCATTCCCTTGTTCATCATACCGTCGGTCAGGAGACACCACCACACCACCACGACCCAGCCAAGTAGGTGCGATAGTAACAATGACACTATCAATCAAAGACATGTACGTCGGTGCAAGCAGAGAATTGATGACTTGACCCCCTCCTTCAATCATGACACTTTGAATACCATGGATCCGAAGCGTAGCAAGCAAAGCTTTCCAGTCGATGATATGTTTTCCATTTTCCGTAGTCATCATTTGCAACGCGATAAATTTTCCACCATATTTTTCCAGCAGCGCTTTCTTATGAGCTGGAGGTTCTGCAAGTGCAGTCACAATCCAAGGTGCTCGACCACGTCCCTGTCTGCACAGTTGAAATAGTTTGCTCTCCTCGGAGAAATCCCATCTGGCGGTGGAATCAATCACCACAGGACGTGGTTGGCCATCTAGGCCTTCTTTACCATAGCCTCCGACGCCAGAAATTCGGCAATTGAGGCCAGGGTCGTCGGCTAGTGCCGTTCCGACGCCGATGAGTATGGCGTCGTGGCGAGACCGTAGGTAGTGAGTCATAGCCTTTGACTGCGGGCCAGAGAGGACAGTTCGCGCACCGGGCGATAAGGCGAGAGAAGAGTCCAGTGATGTTGCGAATGTCAATGTTGTGAAGGGCATATCAGATTGCCGGGTTGAGTCGTTTTGTTGGGTATCTTGTGGAGGCAAATGAGGCTCCAGGAAGACCCTGTCGGAGTCAGGGAACTCCAATGCATCTCTAGTCATCAGAGACATGTTATAAAGCAGATACTATTGTTGATTTGTTATGGAAGTGATGGAAGAGGAATCTCGGGAACGATCGATAACCTTGATAATGCTGCCTTGATGCCTGAAACTGGCTGCAAAGGAACACAAAACGTTGAAGACCAAATAAATGGAAATTTTTGTTTCTTTCCAGTTCCGTTCGATTCCAAGGTTGTTTATATAAATTGATCTCATATGATAATATAAGCATGGCTCTACTGGACAGTGATCACACCACCGGAAACACTAATGTCTGCAACATACATCGCCCGGCCATCATCAATATTCTGGCCATTCTCAAAGGCGTGGAAGACAATCTTCGAAGCATCCCCATTAAAGTCAGCACCGCCAGGTCCTGCTAGATTTCCCACATTACTCGGGTCCCCAGAAACAAGCAGAGGAGCATCCGGCGCCTGGACTTTGGTATAGGGACCAGTGAGCGCCGACGCTGTAGCATAGCTGACATCGTAGTTGGTCGTGTCGTACATATTAGAAGAAAACGACAGATAATAGGTTCCGTCCACATTCGCCAAGCTCGGCGCCTCAATCAATGGACCATCGGCATCGTCCCGGTCAAGAAGCTGAGTGGAACCTCCGTTTGGAGTGACGGCGTCCGAGTTCAAACCCTGAAGCATGATAGGAGTGGCATGGGTGGTTCCATCACCATCAAGACTATTTCCGTCAATCTTGTAGACAACATAATAATTCCCTCCGTCGCTAAACCCATCCGCGTCTATCGCACCACCCTGATCCAGTGGGCAAGCCAACGCACTATTCTCCGGAGTATACGGCCCAGTGATGCTGGTGGACGTAGCAGCGCCAACGCAGTGCTTGCTAGAGTCTTCGCTTGATGCAGCGGAAAAGTACATGACAAACGTCCCATCGGCCTGGTGCGAGTTAGGTCTCATCACAAATGATCTTAGATATCTTAACTTACCCTTTGAATCACATCTGGTGCCCAGATGGCAGGGGATGATGCGATCCAAGATGGGAATGGGCCAGGCATGGCGTCCGTACCAGACATCAGGTCCCATGATGAGAAATCAGAAGATGATGCGACCTGCACATTCACGCCGTTTCCATTGGTCGCAAAGGCGTAATAGCCGTCATTTGTTTGGATCACACACGGGTCCGGGAAATTAGAATCAATTGCACGGGTAGACTCAGAGGCAGCAAGTCTGAGAATCGCTAAAGCGAAGGCGAGGAAGACAGTGGAGGCCATATTGCAGAAGTAACCAATGTTGAATTCACCCAGTTACTGACGCTTCAAATTTATAGCTTGATCCCAGGGGCTCTCGGTCCTTTGTGTAGCATTTTCGACATGTAGATCCATACTAAATTGAACCTGCTCGAGTATTCAATTCGTGTTCTTATTATCAATTCGCACTGGAAAGTTATTGATCTTGCTCAGCCTCACTGCCCCCGCATGGATCGTCGCTCCCGCTAAGCCTAAGATAGGAAATGGCCGCCATTTAATATGAGAGGGCAAATGGAAAGTCCTCGCCTTTCTATACTCCTTGCAGAAAAGCCATGTTACTCTGCCACTGCTAAGCTGCATCCGCTTTGTGTAATTTCAGTATTGGGCTAGTTCTATCTTAAACATCGCTAATGTATTTATGGGTGACTTCCGGTCGTTTTCGTCGCATCCCAGCTGTGTGCAGCAAGATATTCCTGACCCTTGAAAAGCACTCGGCTATTCTCTTCTCCAAGCCACTGGGGCTCCAAGCTCTGAATCCGATCTTCTATCTCATAGCTTTCTCCACCCGCCACAAAAACAATCTTCCCCGCAAAGGGAAGAACAGCCCCACTGTGGGTGATCCCATTCGAGCCGCGGTTCGCAGTGGCACAAAGTAGAATCGACCTAGCCACATCCGCGGCCTCATTAGTAGGCAATCCCCGTTCATACCATCCCTCTTCGATAGCGAGAACCATGCGGGTTTCTTGATCAATGTTAGTCCCGAACGTACAGGTTAATGGAAAGGGACGTTCATACTTGTCATCCATGGACATACAACATTAACTCGGATGTTCTCTCGTGTTGCTGTAAGGTGAATGCCCCGCATGACCCCCACGACACCGTGCTTACTAGCCGTGTAAGGGACCAGCCCCTCGCCTTCTTTGAATCCCGCAATACTACTTACCATCACTATGTCTCCGCCGCCGGACTTTCGGAGATAGTGTTGTCCAATTCGGACGGTGAAGAGAGTTCCTTTCAAGTTGACGTCGATCTCGGCCATGGAAGGCTCCTTTTCAATGTCGGCTTCAGGGGTGAACTGGTCTTGATGGATACCGATTCCGGCATTGGCGACAACGATGTCGATTCGACTGTACTTTTCGTACGCGGTCTTGAATAGATTGAGTTGATCGGGATAGCTTGAGGCATCGCATTTGATGAACTGGACGTTTGGACCAAGTTCAGATTCTAGCTCTCGTGATGGTTCTTCAACCACATCGCCAAATACTACTTTGGCACCACTCTCTATGATCTAGTCATTAGGGATGTCTATGAACAAGCTTTGTTCTTACTTACTGCAAAACTGCTGAACGGCTGAGCGACCGATTCCGGTTGCAGCGCCGGTCAAAACGACGACTTTTTCGGCTAGACTTTCCAGCAGGGACGGTTCGAAGTGAAGGTGAGCCATTTTGAGACGAATTGTAAAGGATGTCCGAGATTTACGTTGGTTGGATTGTTCCTTTATAACGAACCCCGGAAATACCCCTTTCCACGGCCTGAAGACCCCACACTGTACTTCTCCGGCCTCCGGATTTTTTTCGAGGAATGATGTAATGCTCTTACATCTTAGATGGGTTTGGGTTAATAATATCAATCGTGTGCTAAGATCTTGAGAAGTGTCGCACAGACGAAGATGGTCGGAGCACCCGGTGACTCAAGTATGTTCTCCACTGGACATGGAATGAATTAGTCATGTGGCTTATCACACTTCTTCATTCACAAGGATGATCTGGGAAATCGCACCTTACAGAATCTTCCAAGATTCCTATCTGAGATGAGTCGAATGAATTCAATGTTCTAAACGACTTTCAAGGTTACCATGGAACCCGAACAGCCATCCATTACCAGATTCTTCGACTTGCATGACAAAATGATATATCACCGACCGTGCACTTGCGACGACTTCGGCTAAAGGAAACAGATCATTGTCATTATGGTCCGAGGTTTCAAGGTTATCAGTGTGCATACATTTCAGACATATATGACAAAGCATGCGCGCATACCAGCTAGATGTCCACGAAACGCGCAGCACTCAAGTGCTTCAAATTTTGGAATGATTGGACATTTACTGCATCTCACTTGACCAAATCATGATCGACCAAAGAAGTCCGGGGCACGTTCCCACATATGCATCCAGACATCACAGAACTTTACGGAATAGAAAATGTATTGATCATGTTTGACAGGATTGGACCAGAAAAGAAAGATGACCCTCATTGGATTAGATATTCATTACTCAGCTTGACAAATGCAAGTACGGGAATGATCCCCGTAGACTCATCGCATCGCGATTAAGGTGGTACAGGGCCCACAAAGTGGAGGCAGGAAGAGCAAAGATGCATTCATTTTTCCGAAGTTGCAGGTTCACATATTTCAAGGACTACACGATCACCAAAGGATAAACACAATGGGTGCAACATTTACAGAAATGACATCTGGAGGTCGATTGAGGGTGCGGGATGATGCAATCAATATGCAAGGCGGGACAGTTTTCCTGCAGGTTGCTGTGAAGAAGGTTGTTGATACCCTCGATCCCGACAATGCGGTGTCTCGGTGTCTCGGGTCGGCGCTTTGGTGCCCGATAGGTGCCCTTACATTATTCGATTCTTCTTTGTGACGTGTTCCTTCACGCAAACGGCATCCCATTGCATACCATGTTTTAAGGTTCTTTTCCATGGGAGGTATTGGTATTAAAATTTGTAGATTTGAATCCTGCATGTATTTTCTAACGAAAGAGTTTCAGAATGCTATAAGCGCCCTGAGCATTAGAATCGCGTAGGATCGGTGTTGTCCTTGACAATTTTACATACCTGCCAAAGTAGATGCACACTTGTACATGTATGTGTTGTTGGGTATCATATTTGCATATATCAACGTTCAAGCTCAGTTGGGTTTGCTATGCATAAGACAATCCATCGTTTCAATTGCAGAAAGCCCAGTCAAACATTCAGCTATAGATAGAATTTGGTCCACTTCCAAGTTTCCATACTAGACCATAATACGATGTGTCAACCCAACAATTCAAAGAAACTCGAAATACTTTCCTGCCTGAATGGTGCCTGACTTAGTTAGATATAGCGATTTGCTAATCAAATGACCTAGACCCACGAAGTTCCCCACTTGGTCTGGTTTGTCGTTATACTGTACTCCTTGAACTTTTCATAGGGCTTCGGAGAGCATTAATATGGGTGATATTAAATAGCCATCCACAATGGGGCTTCTGAAGTGTGATAGCCAATCAAGCGGGTGTGCCGAGTAGTGTACCAGAACTTGCAATATGTTAGCACCAAAGCGGGAAAAGCGCAAAGCCGAAGTCGTCCATGTTGAAAAAGTAAGATTATAGGGGAATCAGGGGGAATTAGGAATTAAGGAGAATTAAGTGGTTTTATATCAAGTAATCGTAACCATACTAGTATGCATGGAAAAAGGAAAGCGAAGATTCAATGCTCCAATCACGGAATTCCCCGCCACAAATTCTCCTGGAATTTACCTGTTCTGATGGATTCGAATGATTTGAAGGATTTTTTCCATGAAACTTCAGATTAGAGTCAGATGAGGGTAAAAAGAAGGAAATCAAAGTAGAGATTAAAATGGGATCAAAAGTACAAATGTGCAGTGTATAGTCAGAAAAAGGGGGATCCACCGATGGCCGGGAACAAAAAGAAGCTCAAGTGGTTCCCCATTTCCTCTTTTCCAGACGAACCTCCTTCCCCTACCCCCTGTGAGATCGTCTTTGCAATCCCCCTCTCTGCGAACCCTCCGATCTTCGATCCCGAGGTCTTTCTTCCTCCTAGCCCCTTTCTTCCGTTTTAATAGACATCTCCAGAATGGCCTCCAAGGTGAGCCACTCCTGTCGCGAGCAATTCCCGATCCCATCCTCTAGGTCGACTCCCGCGATACTATTCCGAGATCTTCCCCTCTTTTTCAATTGCTGACCCGGCGATCCCCATAGTTCCTACGAGAATATAAGCTAGTCGTCGTCGGCGGTGGTGGTGTCGGAAAGTCGTGCTTGACCATCCAGCTCATCCAGAGCCACTTCGTGGACGAATATGATCCAACAATTGAAGGTGAGCTTTGCCACGCCTCGCAGCTCGGATTCCAGCTCACCTCGATTCGTCTCCAGATTCCTACCGCAAGCAGTGTGTGATTGACGATGAGGTCGCCTTGTTGGATGTCCTGGATACAGCTGGCCAGGAGGAGTACTCGGCAATGCGGGAACAGTACATGCGCACCGGCGAGGGCTTCCTGCTCATCTACTCGATAACGTCGCGCCAATCCTTCGAAGAGATCATGACCTTCCAACAGCAGATCCTCCGCGTCAAGGACAAGGATTATTTCCCCATTATCGTGGTCGCCAACAAGTGTGATTTGGACAAAGAGCGCGTAGTGTCTGAGCAAGGTACCATTTCTCCCAGATTCCCAAATCAATCACGGAATCATCATGAACTCCGGGTTCCAGGACCACCAAAGCTAACCATCCTATCTCCACAGAGGGTGAAGCCCTGGCTCGGCAATTTGGTTGCAAGTTCATCGAGACCTCAGCCAAGTCTCGCATCAACGTCGAGAACGCCTTCTACGACCTCGTTCGTGAGATCCGCCGCTACAACAAGGAGATGTCGTCTTACCCCTCCGGCTCCGGTGCTTTCGGGGCCCGCCAGCCAGAGGGCAAGATGGATGTTAGTGAGCCTGGTGAGGATGCTGGCTGCTGCGCCAAGTGCGTTATCATGTAAAGCGGCTTCTTTAATCTTCCCCCCGCCCCCGTTTTATCACTCGCGAACCCTTGTCTCCAACAACACGAACGACAAAACCCCCAAAAATAAAACAACCCAATCCAGAGGACGCACCAGTCGGGACCACACGAATACACAGCTCATACGAATGGGTAAGGAAGGAATGGAGAGATGCTTATAATGCTTCCCGTTATGGGGGAAGGGAGCTGGACGGAAAAGAAAAACCGGTTGTGCGGATCTGGGTTCGATGGACGGGGATCGCAACTTGCATGACTGACCCTTGACGCCATCGTCTCATGAATTTTGATTCCCCTTTTGTTCCGCTTTGTTTTTTTTATTGTTGCTACTTTTATGTCTTGATCATCTCTTTCTGTCTATCATCTTTGTCTGTCTCGGGATGCGAGACAACGCGGCTGTCAATATAAGTTCTTCCACGCAGGGGATGCTACTATCATGGCGCGTTTAAAATCTACTGCTTGAGAAATTGAGCTCCGTACTAATATCCGAATCCGAATCTGTTGAGATGCTGTATTTTCATCTGATCATACCTAGTGGATGTCCTATTTACTGACTGTATACCCGATCCTCAACAGGAGGATCCAATTCATCTTCCTTTGAAACTCTCTTGCCCTGCACACCCTCCTCAACCTCCTGCACCAACGACTCCAGGAACGCCTGATCAGCCCCAACCAGGGTAACAGTATTCCGCTGCTTTCCCCAGCGAGGATAACTTCCAACCTTCACGCCCTTCGGCTCAACTTTGGCCGCAAGCTCCGTCAAGTACGGCGCAACCGCACTCTCGGGCAAAGGCGTGCTAATCATAATCCGATTGGTACCCTTACCCTCCAGATGTGACAGTCTAGGCACAAGCGACGGCTTCAGGTTCTCCAGCAACTTCTCAAACAGCCGCGGCACGCCAGGAAGAATGTGCACATTTCCATTGACAACAGCGACGGGAACCCACATATCCTCCGCAACAAAGACAGCCTGGTGCTCAGCTGGGATCTTGGGGTCAAAGGGGAGCTCAACCATGCGCAGTTTAGCGTTCAGGCCTGGGGAGGGGGTATCCCAGTCGAAGTTTGGTTGCATGGGGTGGGGCTTGGAGAGTCTCTTCATGCGCTCGAAAGCGGGCTGGTGGAGTTGGAGCTTGAGATTGAACGCTTTTGCAATTGAGGAGTAGGTGATATCGTCGTGTCTGGATTCGATTGAAATCGCGTTAGCATAGGGCTTGGTTTAGCCGAAGGGTGGATTGGAATTGGAGTTACGCACGTTGGACCAATTCCTCCGCTAGTGACGACAAAGTCGTAACGGGAGCTCATGCGACGGACTGCCTCCATGATGTCTTCCTCATCGTCGGGGATGACCTCTACACGCTTCAGCTGGATGCCGAGGGAGAAGCAGAACTTGGCCAGGTAGGGGGAGTTGGTGTCGATTGTCTGCGGAGGATGGATGTTAGTCCTTTCTGATTCGCTGAACTGGGGATATGGACTGATGAGTTACCTTTCCACCGAGGACCTCATCGCCAATAATTAGGCATGCGGCCGTGTGGATGGGCTTCGCGTGCGCAGCTGATGTCATCGCGAAGGGGCTTGCCAGAAACGGGGTGAGGGTCGGGACTGATGGACGTGTATAATATGGATGGGCAAATTGGCGAGCCAGCAGATTCAGACGATTGAGCATGAAGAGGTAGTGTATGTATAATTGGTTGGGGTACAAAGAGACTGAGACTGTGACTGAGACAGTGGAGAGAGCGCTTGGAAGGCGGAAGTGGGGGAATCTCCGCCCGCATTTTGATCACGACGAGCTTCCCGTAGTGCGTCATCTTCTCAACTCGCAAACGTTCAATCTAGGGCTGGTATCAGATCGAATTGAGGTAACTTTATTTGTGCTTACATCTTGTATACTTGAGATCTATATTATGGTAAGTCAACATCCAGCCCATGTGGACTCCAAAGGAAGCGGGAAACAGAGTGGAAGCAGCCCCAGACGCAACTGCAACCTTAGCTTCACTACTGTAGGACAAGCAGAATGGCTAACAATATTCAGTCTGACTCTCGGTTGTATTCTTTCTCCCCGGAGACTAAGGAGAAGCTGCGCAAGTTCCGTCTCAGCACATCGCGAGCCAAGGACGCGCAAGCTATCATCTGTACGCCCCGCCAACCCCTGTCCACATTCCGCCGCTTGTGCAGAGGATTTTGCGTCTGAATAGAGAACAAATTCTGGTCGCACTTATCAACACTGAATGCCTGGCTAATGATCGAATAGATATCATCGATGCAAAGAGTCAAGAGATCCGTCCCCAGGATGGCGAAGTCTACTCGAAAATGGAGGACCTGGCTGACGACCTGCCCGAATCATCACCTCGCTTTATCCTCCTCAGTCACCCGCTTACATTGGTAAGGGATTATCCTTGAGTGCCAGCCAGACGGGTATAAGTGCTAACGCGATGGATTGATAGAAATCCGGTCGTCTCTCAGTCCCCTACGTCCTCCTTTACTGGTTGCCAGAGAACTGCAACCCATCCCAGCGCATGATGTACGCCGGTGCGGTGGAGCTGATGCGGTCCGCGGCAGAGGTGAATCGGGTTGTGGAGGTGGAGAGCGATGAAGATATTGTTTCTATTGCGGATAAGCTGGCCAGCTCGGAGTAAGCTGTGAACAGGATGCTACAATTGGAAGCTGCATTATGCGAGCAGCATCAAATCAAGACATGGACGTCGAGTTGGAGTACCCGGAGTATAGATTGGGTATTTGGTTAATTGGACTTTAATCAATGCAGATGACTGTATTGGTTGAAGCCCCACGGGACAGATCGATATACGAACAAGAACAACCCTTTAACCCTTTCAGGAAAAAATCGGGGGAACCTTCCGCTCGAACTGTTCGATCTATCACAATGATTTGCAACGGCACCCGCAGAACCCCTTCTGCTGGAGGGATCAGCTCAATTTCCAATCTCAATTGCTTAAACGAGCTAGCGGCTCCTGACATGACTCGTCGGTTTTGAATTAGACATTGAAGTGGCTGATTTGCTTGCTCTATCTCCAAGCTGAACATTCCGGAGTACATGTATGCTGTACTGTAGATCTGGAATCCCTCTTCTCTCAGCTCAGCCTCAGACCGCGCAATCCAGTGTGACAGAATCTCACGGGGGTTCGTCCCAGCGAATGGTGAACTATAGTTCAAGGCTCCAGATTCCGCTGCTAAGTTATCCATTCGATCCAACCGCATCGTGATCGGCCGCTATGTCCCTTGCTGAGCACGGATATTTTTTCCCGGCGACTGACCGTAGATCCTATCAGATAAATCCATGACTTCGGTTCATGTGCGGGGGTACGTGCGAGAAGGAAGTGATTGGTTCCCCTCCCGTTGAGCTCCGATCGCCAACCCCTCATCCTTGAAACTTTGATCTCGCTAATCAACAATCTGGCGGCCTTGTATGACATCCGTTCTTGTATTCGGCACCTAAAGTTCATTGGTGGGACTAGGAACCTTTGGCATAATTTGTTACGGTACTGTGTTTCCCCAAATAAATCAACACACCACTGGATATTTGATCACCGAGATTTGAGCACATGAATGAGGAATGCATCATCTGAATCTCCAGTACCGAGGGGGTGGTAGCGAGATGCCAATCACCGGAAACAGGGTGTGGGTGGCAGATGTACTTAAAGCATATTCGTGACCCCGTGGCTTGACCTTGATGTGAAACAAGAACATGGACATGGAATGCGCAAATGTTCTGGACAATCACTCAGGTGGAATGTACACAGGAACCTTGAAAATGCACATTTGTGTAGTTCTAAGTTACTCCGTACCGTATACGGCCCCCTGGACTACCCCACTTGGATCCACCCAAATAAATACGGGTCCCGACACACTGGGAAATGAAGGCACTGACCATGCACGGAGTACACGAGACTTGTCCACGATTCATTCTGTAATTTAATTTCCATTTCCTACAGAGTACTCGAGTAGAAATCCCAGATTCAAGTAAGTCATTAACTAGAATCGTTCAGGGCTAATTCAAAGATCTTCCTTATGCATAAATTAGTCAGCACTTGAGTACTAGTGTAGCGCAAAGGTCTGATTTCGTTTTGATCGAATACTAGGCTACCTAGTTTCAGTACTTTGTAAACTATTGTCGTTAAACTATTCCCATTCTCTACCGAGTCTTACTTCACGATCTGTGGAACAGGGGGTTCGCGGATGGCTTTTTGCTCGATTTCCGTGTCATGCATAATGCATGGGCGTTTTGGGATGGAACTTACGATATGGTGGGTCTTTTTACCTGGTACCAATCACACCGTACTAGTACCCACCGAGTTGTTCGCTGGAGTGGAAATGTGGTAAGGAGTGCGAACTGACAAATTAGTTAAAGTTTGTGGTAAACTTTACATGTTTTCATTGGAGAATGAAGTCGTAGTCCCGAATGTTCTAAGGAAGGCTCAAAGCGTTCTGTGAAGAAAGTGTTATCGGCAATTACCTCCTTAATCCCTTCTTGCCCTGGTGGTACCATTTCATGTCCATGGTCGGTATTCCCGTCAGTTTTCCCGTGGTAGTTAACGTAACCGGAAAGGACACGGGTACATCCGTCTGGTTGTCCACTTGCGGGTAAGTTAACCTGGCGTGGACAGTTCTGCGACTGCGACTTACCGTGTAGGCAAACTTTTCGCCAATGACGACAGTAAGTTTTGATCCTTGGCCGGAGGTGAGAGGTACTCCGTATTGACCCAGAGTCTTGGGTGCAGAGGTCCAAGTGTTCTGCAACACGGGTTCTTTGTACCGAATCGGTCAAGCCGAGTAATTTATTTTTATTTTTATTTTTAATGCACGGTGGAGACTAGTCTGTACTGAACCTCATTGTCGGGTTTGGAATTGTTTTCCTGCCGAAACCTTGGACCGAAACATACTTGACCCAGCACACTGGTTCGCCCATGTGCAGCTTTACAATTACTGTAATTTTACTGTAGTTTGTTCATTCTTCAGGATTTTGGCACTTCATATATATCTGATCTCTCCCCGTGTCACGTCTAGTATGCTTTTTCCGCGTTGAACCCCCCCCCCCTCAGCCCCCCACTCGGGTTTTTATGATACTGCTTCCCAATATTATCTGCCTTTACTTCACCGACTTGGATTGAATATATGGAATGAGGAGCTCTGCCAACACCAATTGATATTGATCTACGAAGCATTTGCCATTACATTCTTGCGCCACTTCAAATCTCATCGACTGTCGACGACCACCATGGCTCCGCAAGACAAACCTCGCCCGGAGGGGGACAAGCCCGAGGGTTTATCCAAATATCTGAAGCGAATGAAGACTGCTTTACGTTCACGCTCCAGTTCTAAGCGCCAGTCCGTAGCGACCCCAGATGTCCCTTCATCTAGCCAACCAACGTATGATCTATATTCCTGTGGCGTACACAAATCCCCATAAAAACAAGACTCAAAAAAGGAGAGAAAGAGATGAATGAATGATTACAACTTGTCAACATAACTAACAAGTGTTCTACAGTGCGCTCAACCCAGTCCAGTCCGTCGCTGAGCCCACCACCGACTACAGTGCCATACAACAAATCAAAGCCCGCACTCTATTCAATAAATACGGTCTCACCTTAGAGCCTGGTGAATGGAAATCACCCACCGACCTCGAACTCACTCGAGTAACCAAACCAATCCGCATGCGAGTCCACCGCACCTGCCACCGCTGCGAAACAAGCTTCGGCCCAGACAAAGTATGCATCAACTGCCAACACCCACGCTGCAAGAAATGTCCCCGCAGCCCACCCGCCCGCGAGAAGGAACCCAACGAATACCCTTCTCTTCCCAAAACCAAGATCTCCGAGCTCCTCGCCCGCCATGGCGGTAATGGCATACCGTATACGCCACATCTACGGGTTACAGGGAACCCAGCCGCGCCGCTAGCCATGCCCTCGCGCTCCGGCGGGCAGGATCTCGTCTTGAAGGCAGTGAGGCAGCGTGTGCACAGGATCTGTCATGCATGTGAGACGGAGTTTGCACCGGGCTCGAAGGAATGCGCCTCTTGCAGTCATATTCGTTGCAAGAAGTGTCCCCGCCAGCCGGCTAAGTTGGATAAGTATCCGGATGGGTATCCGGGTGATGCTGAGCCGGTGCAAATAAGGCCTAATCGGACGTTCAAACCGCCCCGGCGGAGGGTTCGTTATATATGCCATGTGTGTACGACGATGTACAATGATGGTGCGAATAGTTGTGGGAAGTGTGGACAGGCTAAGTGTGAAGAGACTATACGGATTCCGTATGTATCATGTTCCTATGTGAAGACTTTGGCTAACGTTCCTTAGACCGAAAAAAATCAAACGAGAGCCTGATCCTGAAGTCCTCCGGCGGGTTGAAGAACGATTAGCAGGCTTGAACATAGAGTGATGCCCCCTTGTACAGAGGCATGGCTCAGGACTTTTTATTATTTTTCTGTTTTGTTTCTTTCGGTCTACGGACCCAATCTGGTTCTTTAATTTCGATAGCAGACATACACGATCTGCGAAGAATGGATACTTTCGTTCGCTACCTTCCGGTCAACGGACAATCACCATGTTGCACCAGTCGTATGACTCGTGATTCTAAGGTAATTTTCACAAGTTAAAATCCGAATATATTCTCAATGATGGGATCTGCAAAAATTCCAAAACAAGGTATGAATCCCGAGATCCACAACCAATGTCCAGGTCCACTTTGCGGCCCGGCCAATTCATGAGAATAGACAGGCTAGTGAAAAATCTCAATTGCGCTTCGGGAATACTCCGTACACGACGATCCTACGGAGTCCAGCGGAGACTAAATGTTGCTAAATGGAGTGATATTCCTGATTCGACGCTCTGGGCCTTACAACCGGCGGGTCCTAAAGGCCGCGATTCCTGATCTAGCCGACCATGAACCCCCAGTGTCATCCTTAATTAATTCCGCAGAAATCGTTTACATCGACAGTGCAGAGTTGTGGACCGTGCAGCTCTTTCCGTCGGTGATTTTCTGCCCGGTATTATACTAAAATGCACTAAAGTATGTCAAGTCATACTGCGGTCAGTGAGTACTACCAACCCGCCAATCATTGACATTACCAAGATCATGGGTTGTTGGCCCAAAAAGTGTGAACAAAACTAGTGTGAAAATGCGAGTCAAGCGAGCACTTTACGTGGCAATGGAGACATCGCCTCACCTACTTTTGTCAGCCCATTTAGTCCTTACCAGTGCCTTACACGTTGCTCAGAGGCGCATTACATCCAGAGTGTCGGGATTGGACTCGGCTCCGAGGCCATCACTCGGACCCAATCCTGTTTAGGTATAGCGGACTGAGAATGGCGAAGCCGGGGAATTTCGTCTTTTCTTATACTTTTTCACGTACTGTGGAGGCGGTATTTACTCCCGAGCTCCGTGTAAGGGACTGAGCTGCATGCGACATGCACCTCGTATTTCAATCGAATTGACACATTGTACGGAGCACAGTACAGAGAGCACCTGGTCACATTTGCATTGCACTATGGAGAATTATCCGTACATTAAGTCAGTGAACCCCTGCAGGCCATCGCCATCGGACCCAACCCACCGGTCCACGTAAGTATTTACCTGAGGACGAATGTATTCCGTATACAGATACGGACATAATTTAAACTTTGTGTTTCTGTAGGCGCCTCCCAAATCTAAATAAAGTAGAGTAACATCTCCTTGCAAAGTAGCAAGGGGGTTACGAATCCTGACCCAGTCTACTGGGATCTAGGGATGCCCAGGTGGAGAGTAACCGATGGGTCCTAACGGTCGACTAACCAAATCCAGAACATCATGCTCTACGTGTCTCATCTCAATCGGGATTTTCTGCTTTCCTACTTTTCGGTCAGAATTCCTAGAACTCGGTGATGGATTAACGCGCTCACAGAAATGGACGAATGCATGGGTGGGGGACAATCCCTGTCTAGTCTTTCCCCTCTTTTCCCAGACTCCCGGGTCCCAATAAATTACTTGCCGACACTGCCATGTCTATGTTTGATGATTCATTCCTGCAGATTACGGTACTTTTGTTTCTTCCAGGACAACTCAGACAGATCGCCCTGATCCTGGTACCGGCTTCTGCCCGCTTTGTATCATGGACATGTCTACGTATTTGTAGTACTCCGCAAGTACAGAGGAGTTACTGCGCTGGTTGATATTCATTGACAGGGGTCTCAAGCCACGACTTGGATTAGCGTAAGTGGATCGGCATTTGGTCCATAGGCACGGAGTTCTTAGTCTGGACTCTGGGCTCTGGACTCTGGACGCTAAAAGGACTGTGGGTCGTTCTGTAAATCGAGGCTATCAATTTGTTATCAAACTGTCAGTTCGCAGGAGAGTTTACGGGTCTCTTTAAAGTTTGATAGCATAGCCTCCATGGAGCTGACAGGACGGGAATGGAAGTGCATCCGTGGTTATGGGCGTGCGGAGGGTCTTGATTATAGGGGCGCATCCACGTCTAATGACTCAAGTGAGGTTCAGTCATTGGCAAGTCAGCGCTAGGGGCATATGTATGGCGATCTTTGAGCGAATGCTGATCTTAGGGGGTTGGAAGTGGAAACACACTCAGTTGATGTATAAGATTCAGGGGAAACTCGATTTGGCCCAGAGTCGCTTATCGCTTATCAGGTAAGCTCAACCTCCTTTCATCAACAGTCATGGCCCAACTCACAATTGGCTTACCAAAGGTCTACGCCGAAGGAAACAAATGTGTTCCTCCGACTAATGAATTCCTCGCCGGCACCTGGCATGTAACTCACTCTACCCTTCCAATGTGGAAGGACAAACGCAACGTCAGCATCACCTACACAACACTCCCTGCCGATTCATCTGGCGTGATCAAGATCGATGATCTTGTAAAATATCAAGGCCTCAACTCGGAGAAAATACAATCCATCAATGGCGTGGATACCCCGTCCACAGGTATTTCTTCAGTTTGCCGCGCTCATCACAAGTCCACTAATCATATCAGCGAACCAAGGTGCCTGGGATTGGCGAGGAAAGGGTTGGCTGAAAATTGCGAGCTCTCATTGGGAGGTTTTGGGCTTTGGTCATACAGATGATGGTAACCAGTGGGTTGTGACTTATTTCGCCAAGACTCTCTTCACGCCTGCTGGTGTGGATATCTATTCTCGAAACAAGGAGGGGGTCTCTCAGGCTACCATTGATGAGATTATCAAGGGTCTGAAGGACTTTGGGGTGAAAGAGATGACGGACTTGATTGAAAGTGTGTTTCCGGTCTTGCAAAACTAGGAATTAGATGATATGGTCTGCTATTTGACATCAAGGCTTCGATTCAATGTCTGTTGGGTTACTGTGATGCCGGTGGAGACATCCCCGCTCCGCCTATCTCTACAAATCTCACTATTCCCCCTCATCTCATCCATGTCTTCCCAGCCCGGGTCAAAATAATGGAAACCGAAAAGATACTTTCAATTTCAGATCTTGAATCGGCAGCGTCTAGACTGCTCCCCGTTGCAACTAGAGGTAAGACTCAGAGTCTCCGTATAGAAAAAGACTAATGCAGGGATAGACTTCTACAATTCCGGTGCAACAAACCAAGTCACCCTCCGTGAGAACTCCTCCGCGTATCAGAAATACCGGATCCTCCCTCGAGTCCTAAAAGATGTGTCCAACGTGAACACCAGAATCCCTCTATTCGGCCAAGACATCGCCTTCCCACTCTGTGTCTCTCCCGCCGGGCTACAAGCAATGGCTCACCCAGACGGTGAACTAGCAACCAGCAGAGCATGTGCCAAATACGGCATCAACATGGGTGTTTCATCCTACGCCAATCACTCAGTGGAAAAAATCACCGCCGCGGGGAAAGAGATCGGACCCATTCACCACGTCATGCAGCTCTACTCGATGAAAGACCGGGAGAAAGAGGAAAGAATTGTTCGCCGCGCCGAGGCTGCTGGGTGCAAAGCTATCTTCTTGACGGCCGATAGCCCCGTGCTAGGCGTGCGGTATAACGAATGGCGGAATGGTTTCCTGCCGCCGGCCGGTCTGGCGTACCCGATGATGGAGAAGACGTCGGAGCAAATTCAGCAGCAGTCGCATGACGATGGGTTCAAGTCTTTTAATGATGATTCTCATTCTTGGGCTAAAGAGATCCCTTGGCTGCGCAGTATTACTAAGATGGAAATTTGGATTAAGGGCGTGTTGACGCCTGAGGATGTGGAGATGGCTGTTGAGTATGGGTGTGAGGGTGTAATTGTTAGTAATCATGGTGGACGGCAGCTAGATGAGACCCCTGCGACTCTTGATGTGCTTCCAGCTTGTGTGAAGGCTGCTCGAGGTCGTATTCGCATTCATATCGATGGAGGCATTCGGTCGGGTACGGATATCTTCAAGGCTTTGGCGTTGGGTGCTGAATGTTGCTGGGTCGGTCGTCCGATGCTTTGGGGATTGGCAGTAAGTTAATTGAGCCGACAATTGACAACGGTGCTAATTTTGCTATAGTACAAGGGACAAGAAGGAGTTGAGTTGATGCTCGACATCTTCTACCAAGACTTCAAACGATGTATGCAACTGGCTGGTTGTAAGTCCATATCCGAGATCAGCACGGCGAGCCTTGGAATTTTCCGTTCAGATGGCCCACTGGCTAGACTATAAATAGAATATATATTTGAATAGAACCTCAATTTTAGATACCGACATGCTTGAAGTGCTGAGCTCAAAGACCTGTCCACGTTCATACTTCGGATCTTATCAGCGGATCATCCAAAAATTTCCCCAACTCCGCAACCGCAACCTCACCTCACCTCTAACCACAATTCACCACTCACAATGACCGACTCTCCCATTCCAAAGGGCCAACACATCGCGCACACCCTTCTCGCCCGCGCCCACTCCCCCGACACAGCAGCCCAACAATTTACCGAGCGCGTTAAGCAAAAACCACTCTACCTCCGCCCAACCTCGCCCTCCGCCCAGGACAACCGATCCAGACGCCGCCTCCACCGTCTCCGCAAGAAAGAATACTTCGTCCGCCACCAGCGCCCGCGCCCCTTATCTGCGCGCGAAAAGCGCACCTCAGGCCTCTACGACCTGCCCAAAGATGAATGCAAGCACGCCATCTTCAAGGGACTGCATGCGCTGTGGGTTGGGTATATGCAGGAAGTCCTCGATCTCAAATCCGAAGGCAGGAGCGGGCTGGTGACGCCGGCGTCGCATGGAGCCAAGCTTGTTAGTGCTGATTTCCACGGAGCGGAGGTGGAGGTTGTGCGCAGTCGTTGCGCTAGTCGGGTTGGCGTGAAGGGCATTGTGGCGCGGGATACGAAGTTTACCTTTGAGGTTGTTACGGAGAAGGATGAATTGAAAAGTTAGTCTTCTGGTCTACCGGGGCCGAGATCCTTGCCTTGATTGTTGATGCTAATGTTGAGATTATAGCTATACCCAAGGAACACTCTGTATTTCGGTTTACAGTTCCATTTCCGAGTTCGACACCGACTGGCTCTGTTGAGGGTCAGCAGTTGCAAGGACCGAAGCCTTTGGTTTTCGAGCTTCATGGCAGCCAATTTGAAAATCGGCCAACGGACCGCGCTAATAAGAAGTTCAAATGGAGGAACATTGATTATCTATGATCCACCAGCCCAATCAGACTATTTTAGGTTCAATGATAACATTTGTATGTATGGCTATAAGTATGCAGCATTTGATATTGTTTTGGATACTCATAAACCCGACGCTCATTCTACGCAATTTGTGGTGGCTGTGTAGGTATAGTCGTGCAAATCATGGCTCAGCTTCGTGATGTGGCGTGATGTTGCTCAAGCCAGAATGATGTTTTTCAAACTAGAATGTGCTGGACATTGCTTGTTTAGTTCCTTTATTGGCTGCAACATTTGGCTTTAAATTGGGCCTCAAGAGTCTATCATGTCGTCCTCAAATACTGCTCGTGCGTCTCAAGTACGCTACCGTAAACAAAGCTTTAATTCAAGTTCTAGAGCTTGGGACCAAGAAATGTTAAGGCTTTGGATATTATTGGATAATTGAAGATTTATTGAGGGGTAATCATAAAGCTTGAACGTATTTAGAAAGAGCTAAGTCAGGCTATCAAGTTGTTTCTGATAGGGGTGAACATGTATCATGAATGATATGGCTTTCCTTCTACCCCGTGACTCCTTTCGGAATGGGGTCACGACCCAACGAAAGGCCGACCGCAAGAATATTGGACACTGCATTTGAACGTCCATTCAATATTGGTTCTCCCAAGTCATGAGACTGATCAGGGGCTTGGCGACATTCGGCCTTTGCCCGGTGTTGCTATGTATCTTGTTTTCAAGAGATGTATGGCCGACTGCCTCACAGTGATGCGGTAGATAATCAACTGCATCGTCTTCACGATAGAGCCGAAACATACTCCAGCGGTGCGAGATGTATGTCGAATGTTTGACATGTAGTCATTGAACAATAGGAAGAGTAATGACACTCTTGTTAAGCGATTACATACCCGCCCATTCAATACTGAAGGTTCGCACGCTTTCAGTGCGCTCAGTCTCAGATTCAGTTTGCTCTCTTGACAATCGAGGGCCGCCTAGAAGGAAACCCTTCTTGACACCGGTACCCAATCTGCCACCGATAATAATATCCATCAGGTCAATCTCCTGGTCCCATTCGGCAGAGACGACGAGGAAATGCGAGTGGAACCGAAGAGGATCACCTGGGTATGCCACATATTGGCATCCAAAACGCAGGCCAGGCGAGAGGAAATAGCCACGTGATTGCAGATGAGCAAAAAGCGCGTATGACAGAGGGACATCGGGCCGCGGAAGGATATTCTCGGACGATGTAGATGGATGCGGAAGTGGAGGATAGGACGTCACGGGAGTCACACCGTAGACTTGCTCAGGAACAATGAGAGAGGCCTTTCGAGAGGCCGAATCATCTCCAAAGACGTCAGCTACCGAGGCCGGGCTATCGTTCGCCGCCGCAGGAGCATCGGGCTTATCTCCAACGGACTCGGCAGCTTTGGCTGCAGCCTTGGCCTTCTTGTCGTTTTGCTCCTTCATCTTTTGGTTTCTCTGTTGGTCTTTGCGTTCCGTGAGAATGCGTGTAGCGTGGATGCCCTGGGATTCTAATTCGCGTAGATACTGTCGGCGATCTTCTTCTAGGAGAGATTGCATGCCATCGTGTGCTTTGGCTTCGTCTACAATGCAAGCTACACCCTTGTCCACCAACAGCCTCGCTTCCTCGGGCATCAACTCGAGCGGCAACCCCAAAAACACATTTTGCTGTGGAATTTGCGGAAGGGTTCCGATCAACACACCACACGTCTGATATTCACGCCTCAAATATGTGACATCGTCAATGGAGAATAGTAGGTATCTACCAGAAATGAAAGAGATCGGAATAGGAAGAGTAGGTTGATTCATTGTGAAGAAATTGATTTATGAATTCTATCACACAATCGGATTAGCAATTGCTCAACAAGATAGTTTGAGAAGAAAGCAAGAGATGTGTGCAAAGTCATTTTCAAGTACGTTTCTCAGTCACATAGCTCAATTTTATAAAGAGCTTCAGGGGATTGACAGATTGTATTTATATAATCATGCAAGGGGGAATTGGGATAGGAAGAGAAAGTAAGAACTTACCATTAGCAAAAGAGAGTCTTGTGGTTTGACCAGCAAAGCCAGAGACTCGAGTAGGTTGAAGAAGAGGAGAAAATTGGAAGCGAAATTTTATAAAAAAAGCTCCACCTGCGCTTATCCCTTTTGGGTGGGCGGTGTCGACTGTCAATTCCAACGGATTGGAGAGCAGTTAACTCCGTAACAAACGTTGAACTCTTTATCTTTAGACCTTCACTTCAATTTACAATGAACTTCTTCCTTCTCTTGTTCTTGGTGTTCTTTGCACCACTGCTGTTATTTGTTGGTCAGGCCTCCCCTCTGTTTCCTTTCCAATCCCCGGAAAGATTCACAATGCTGATACCAAGCAGCATGGCTAGTAGCCTCAACCTGCTTAGGCAGTCGCTTTCGCTCTCGCCTAGGATTTTCAGGCCGATCGGGCCTGGACTCATATGGCCAGAGCTACCTCCGCACTATGGCCAACTCGGGACCTGCCATGTCTGAACAAATCGAGATGGATGATATGCTAGCGGAACCAGGAACTTATCGTCACTTTGAAGAAGATGACTGAGTGAATCTCACACCAAGCTGCCTTCGCTTCAAAATTCTAGATCTGCCTTCTTGGGCATTCCGCTGGATGCAGGTGCATCTTGTGCTTCCTTGTCACCTTCCGCTGGCGGCAAGCTAAACGGCTTAATCTCAAATCGCCGACGACTCAAGTTAAACGCCCAATCTTGTCCCACATTCTGGTCACTCCCGCCGCCACGTTCATGCAAAACAGGGATTCGGTGTGTCTTCAGCATTCCTTGTGGTGGCTCCTCCTGGGACGTCGCAGCTCCGGAGGTCGCCAGTGCATCGGCAGAATGGGGGAATGGACAAAGCTCAATAACACCATCGCTGAGAAGTTCGATCCACCGGATAAGGCCGGAAGAGCGGGGGAACAGGGACAATGGAAGAGTGATCATGGCAGTGATGCGAGTTGCATGCGCACTCATCAAAGCCCTTAGACCATGCATGAACTGCAGCACATACTCAGGCTGGCAAGCGTCGGGTGGGTACATTGTGGGGTTGAGCAAGGAAGGAATGACAATGCGATGGATGGTATTTGGACCAGCAGATGCAACGGCGTCTTGGAGTCGTTTAAGAATGGAAATGAATGGCGAACCCCTCGAGGGCACCAGTGGAATAAAGCTCATGTTGGTAATGGAAGGGTGGGCGAGACGTTTTGTGAGATCGAAGGCATGACAGAAAGCTGCTTGCTTCGAACCTGTATCGCTTTCACTGGTTGATGCAGGGGCTATAGTCCATCAGCATCAAATTCCACATCTCAAACGATACACTTACCATCACGGGAGCCGGCAATGCCAGCTCCAAATTCGCCCAGTCGCTCGTATCGCCAAGCAATCTTCATGCGCTCGTCTTTGCGCTTATCTGACCGCTTTTCCAAAGACTCCGCTGTCCCAATCAAGCCAGGCAAGCTTCGGCCCCATTGCTCTGGGACGCCAACCACAAGGATCTTTTGTTCTTGGACAACGCCTTCAGCCGCGTAATATCGTAGCAATGCGCCCGCGAAATCTGTAGTTCCATTTTCCTCAATAAGCAAAGCCTTCCCCATAGGAAGACCTGCATGTCCCGCAAGAAGCCCATCTAGCGAAGGTGTTCCCGTAGAAGTAGTTGGCCGTCCATCATCAGGTGAGGGGCGAATGCCTGGAATAGATTCAGGCGGGGATGGCTGTGCGGAGGCATTGGGAACAGCAGCGCGATCGACGCCAGTTGATAAGCCGATATTTCTTTTGCGGAATGACATGGTATAAAATGAAAGATTCAAGTATTCTCAAGCATCCAGATAGAGGCCTAGTGTGGTTCCGAGCATGAAATGGTTTATCGGCGGGGAACCAAAAGCGGCAGAAAAAAAGCTTCAAACTCCGATCTTCACCTCCAATTCCTCTCCACTACTCTCTTCTCGACAACCACACGCCGCAGCCCGAAGAAAAGGGTCCTCGCATTGTTTATATCCTACTCCTAATATTCGTTCTTGAAAGGTCTCTCAAGCCGTCACCGCGATATCCAATCACCATGTCCGACCCACTCCTCTTCGAAGACTCCTTCACAGTCACCGGCGTCAACGCTCAGAAATACGATCGCGTCTCCCGTCTGACCTGTACCTCAAGCGACGCTTCCATTACATTCACCCTCGATGTGAACTCCGAGCTCTACCCCTGCGCCGTTGGCGAGTCGCTCTCTATGGCGCTGGCCTCGACTCTATCCCTCGACGGCAAGGAGGATACCCGAGCCAGCTGGAGAGAGGTCAGCATGGGTGAGCAGACTCTGGCTAATGACTATGATTACGTCTGCCACGGCAAGGTGTACCGATTTGAGGAGGGTTCGACCAAGGATACTATGTAGGCTGACCCGACTTTTTCGTCAAATTCTAACTGAGCCATACACTAATATAAATTTAGGGCCGTCTTTGTTTCATTCGGTGGTTTGCTGCTCTACCTGGAGGGTCCCTACAAGAAGCTTGCCCCTCTGAAGATCGACCACGTGTACCTGCTTCTCAAGAAATAGATGAGTTCATTTTGGTGACCACAAAAGTTCGAGGTGTACATGATCTAGGCAGGTCATTTTTGTTGGGTTGTGCAGCGCTGGCGTTTTTTGCATTTTGATTAATTTGGGTATACCAATAGATGGTCGTCAATAAACTCGATCTTCATTCCAACTATATTCTAAACAGCATCTAAACAGCACAGGCAAAGATTCTCGTCAGCCAAAAGCCATCATTCTGGACATGGGCATGGGAAGTCCTTCTGCAGGATACAATTCCATGTTGCTATATCATGGAGGCTACTGCCTATCTTTCGTCCAGTGCCCAGCTTGGCGTTGACCGAAACATGGAGCAGAGAACTGTGTTGACGAGCCTCGTGAAGTAAGCGTGACGCTTTGCGTATTTTGACTAGACCTCCAGAGTGAGTTAAATTCCCCTGGATGACAGATAGTGGACTTGAGGGGGGCAGGGGAGGGGGTCCATTGGTCTCACCAAGCATATATTTGAGGCGAAGAGGCCCATCCAGGGCTGACATGATAGCGTTGAATTGCGACACCTCTGGCAACCTATGATAGTCGAAGGGTAGATATATCGTAGTTTCGACGAGCAATGGCTTCCAACCTAACATTAAAACGTTAGTATGATGTTAAATATAAACAGCATCTTAACCTTACCAGTAGCAACCTTGATGAGTGCCTCACAGATGACATCAACGTCTTCTTCTGAACGACGTTGCAGCCCCATCAAATTAGCCGCGACAGGTAACTGCCATCCACGACCGAACAAATTCCCAATCGAAACCGCAAAGGGAAGTTGTCTTGCAATATCCCTTTCCACTGGATTCTGACCGAAGCATCCCCTCAATTCGAGCACTCTCTTTGCCAAGCCCAGGTCCTTCTCAAAAGAAGCTTTGAACTCCGGCATGAGATCAAACAATCCCATGTCAATGATGTTCTGTGCGGTCGTAAAGCTGCATTTCCCTTCAATCTTCAATGCACCCTGCGAAAGATATTCTCCGAAGTAGTAGCAACACCCAAACTCCGAGTCGTTCAAAGTCCTGAATTCAGTTCGAAGGTTCTCCAACCCGCGTAACTCATCGTTGTAATCCTTGAATATAGTAATGAGGTCCATATCTCGCACAAAAGCTCCCCGTGGAAGCTTGGTGGTATCAACAATGAAAAGGGTGATATCTTTAAGAGGTACATTGTCCCGGTGGTAGCGGTAGAATACACATTGTAAAGCGAAGAGCAGTGAACTTGTCCATGATAGGAGGTTGCTGGAAGTGCGCCTCTTCCATCGAAGATGGTTGTTGAGCATAAATGCCATTCCCACTCGATCACCTTTCAGAATATCTATTTCTTGGCCGGAGGTGCCATGTTTGGCGTACTTGGACTTTGCCCAGATATTTGTCGTCTCACCGTCTGAAATATTTTCAAATGAGACGCAGAACAGATACCGTGGGACTTGATCGAAAGTTTCTCCGAGCCATGCATCATGGTTGTGGTGGGGAGTAAATAGTAGCGAATCAGGCTCATCTCTGTTCAAGGATAACGCATCCAGAGACTGAGTCAAGTTATCGGCCATTGTGCTATGAAGTAAATGTTTGAAATTATGAAAAGACTTCGTTACAAATTCAGCTTCAAAGTTCAAATATTGGGGATTTAAATATTCAGGGCCGTTCATATGTTGGAATTCAGCTGCACAGCCATCCAACAGTTGGTGGGCGGGGCGGCCCGACAGTGCCTCAAACCTGGGATATAGGCGCCATAGGTATAGAAGCAAGTGACTGCCTATTCCAGCTAGCCAATAGTAACCCGCTCTGAGCACTGCCTTGAATATCCTGAACTGCTGTGCGTACTTTTGAACAAGTAATCCAAGTAACGAGAACAAGAGTCTTCTCTATTTGCCTTCTAGCTGCTCGAATATGTATATGTATGCTAGAATATCTATGGCCATGTCAAGGCAGTATATACAGTTGACACCTGGAATATCTAGCAGTGTGAGGCTGTCGGATATTCCAAGCGGCGATGCAGTCGAGACATAATATCGAGGTAATCAGGCTCATTCTCTGCAGTAAGAATGCCATGTCGAATAAAGAAATCGATCATGACGACTGCACAGTTCGGCTTAAATTCGCCACGCGCTAACGCCTCTTTCACTTCCTCCACATTCCAAAGCATGAACTCTTCCACCTCGTTGTCGCCAGGCCGCGGGATAACCGACGAATCAAGCTTCAGGTCATAAACATACTCGACTTCTGGTTGGCTGAGACCAATTTCGCCGCCAGCTCGCACATCCCGAATATGGCTGTATGTGACACAGCCCACTGGGACGATGGACGCGCGCACCACCTCCTCGGGCAGGGAGGCTTCCTCCATGGCTTCACGGACAATACACTCGAAGGGCATCTCGTCGGTGCACATGCCACCAGCAACTGTATTGTCCAGCATACTGGGGTAGGTCTGCTTGGTCTTTGACCGTCGGGGAACCCAGAATTTGAGGCCGTCGTTGTCTTCCACGTAGCCGGTCATGTGGGCGCCGTAGCTCACGACGCCGAAGAGCGGAGAGGCACATCGCTCCATATCGAGTAGGAATTCTCCACCCGGGCCGTAGACTGGGTATTTTTCATTTCGCCATCCCTTCAGTACTTCAATTGTACCAAGGTTAACAGCCTCGATGATACTCTCTGCGACCAATTTACTGCGGTGCTCTGCGGTAGCGTCTGCTGGCGTAGTCAAGGTTACGGTCTTAGCAATTGAGTCGACTGCCCAGTGGTTCGATGACCAGGGGAACTTCTCAACTACTGAATTCAATATGTAACCCAGCGTAGCATTGTACCCGTTGACTCGGAACTGATGGTAGTTCTCTAGGTTCTCCGCGTAAGCAGCACGGTTATCCTCATAATAAGGAAAGCTGCGATACCATTAGACCACAAGAAGAGAGCAAGCAGATTCGGAAACAGTACTTATCGCATTCAACAATCAACTCCAAATTAGACTTGCCCATTGTGACGGGAATAGAAAACAAGCTTCAAAGCTTCACTAGTTCATCTTCATATCCCGCCAAATGGAGGGGAACGCCAAGCCCTTATCGTCCCACCGATAAGGGTATTATGTCACGATCAGGCTTGGAGAAACCTGGAATCCGCTGGAACAAAGCGATCAAAGCTACAGAGACAAGCTAGTCCTACCTTCAACACCAATTCCTCTGCCCTCCCATACAATCTCCCAGCTCAAGCTGGCCAAACATCCCCAATGTTCTCCGTCGTCGTCCCCGGCCGTCCGTGCCAAACGGATATTGTCGCAATAGATCCCCAACCAAACGGCCAAGCTACCAAATTCGCATTCACAATCCCAATGAACCCCTCATTCAACGACCTAGTCATCTTCTTCCTACCAGGCACAGTCCTCCCTCCAGACACAGGCGCCGCAATTTACGCCCAACTCCCCGATCCAACAACCGGCGCTCCCACCGATTTCCGCTTCATCGGCGCATTAGCAAACGAGAAACCTTCAGGCATATTCCAAATTCAGCCTCCCAGCAGCATTCCCAAACGCTCCGAAGACGAAGAAGAAGATGAGATGCTCGATGAGGGCGGCTCGGCTTCCAATGGTGTCCTAACACTCGGTATCTCGATCGAGCCGGCGCAAAATATTGCGCCGCAGCTTGCTGCGCTGGAGAATGAGGCATTAGCAGGATCGGCGCAGAAACAAATCTCGACTAAGGTACTTGCGCAGCGGATTATCGGGAGTGCGTTCAATTTCCTTGCGAGCTTCTCTGAGACAGACAAGGGACGGGAAATTGTGCCATTGAAGAGCTTTCGGGATTGGTGGACCAAGTTTGAACGACGCATTGATATGGATCCTTCTTTCTTGGAGAAGGCGGATCCTAATACCACGTGAGTCTTGAGTGTGGGATGATTTCGTGTGGCACGAATTTTGCATTTGTCTCAGTGTGCCGGAGTAAGAGCTTGCATTGCAGGGCGATTGTCTTTTTTTTTACTGCTCTTATATGTGTTACGAATATCTGATTCCATGATCAGTTACTAAAAATCTGAAATGAAATAATAATTTTTTGTCTTTCTACATGGCGATGATGTTCTGTAGTCTCCGCCTTAAAGCAACGATATATATACAATGATGAAAAGTGTCCGATATATTTCCCTTCTTTTTGCAATCAAGCGCCCACCAGACCAATAATTAACAAGTTCAATGGAAAAGACAATCATATCTCGGATTTCGGACCTTGGAATCCTCCTTCTGGCCGTAAGCGAATCCCAGGCGCATAGCAAAGACTATACAACTCATCAACGTAGGTTATGGGTGTCAATGCATTTTCTCCCGCCGCAACAATAGCATCATGAGCAACAATAGAATTCTTCGCTGCGTTCTCATTCAACCGTGTCACATCCACTCGCACCTCCTTCTGCACGGTAATATCCCCAAGGGCAGTCGAAGTGATACCCTGCTCGAAGAGAGATTCCTGCGAATTACCCGAGCGGGGTGCACTGCCGAAACTTTGCTTTCGTTGATGCCAGAAACGGACGATAGCGGAGCGGGTATTGGCCAGCATATCGGCATCCGAGGCCGTGGAGCCGGAGCGGACATCTGTGCAGAAGAGCTCCTGGCTCAGTTCGCGGGAGAAACCGTCTCTGTCAGCAACGTTGTCGTTTACTTGTTGCTGTACCCGGAAGAGGCGGAAGGGTGTGAATGTGAAGTCTTCGTTGGGGACTTGGGTATTTAGTGTTCCGACGACGCAGAATGTGAGGAGTGTGCATTGCTGGGGTGATTGCGAGACTTCCTCTGATGTTCGGGATGTTTCGCGACATGGGGCGAGGAGAGGGCGTGCGGAGAAGGTGGCTGCGGCGCGCATTTCTTCGGAGAAAGATTTGGAGAGGGAGGTAATGCCCTCGATAAGGTGCAGGCGGAACTCGTCGAGGTTACGGTCTGCTTGCATTGCGGGATCGGATTTGAGGTACTTCAAGCAGGTGTTCATGGACCAGCCTTCCATGTGGGAAATAAGGTCGAGGTGTGATACATGTAATCGGAGCATAGGGAGGGTTGAGGATGGGAGCGGGTTGCCGGTGCCTTTGGTGGTGAGAATTTCGAAATGGTCGCTGACAGTAGGACGCATCACAAATGCAGTCATGTGCACACCCTCTGAGAAGCCGCGGTTTGTGGTGGCATAGTCGCGCATGTCACGGAGATGTTCCCTCAGACTCGGTTCTGGAACATGGATGCGGCGCGAGAGAGTCGAGGTGATGTTCTCGATGGTCGCAAAGCGGAATCCGAACGTAGCCATACGAGCCGCTTCGTGCTTTTGGAGTTGCCGGACACTGAACATCAACTGACCCTTGCCAGTTCGTAGTGAAGAGCGACCCATCGCCCGAGACAAGCGCGAGACGGGAATAGCTGTTGACAGAACATCATCGTATAGGGTTCCAAGATCGTGAAGAGGTAATCGTAAGTCGTTTGACAGCTCCTGGGCTGACACACAGAAAAGTTGTTTAAATAATGTATCAAAATCTGTCTGCAACTCCGTATCCTTGTCGTTGACCACTCCTCGTGACAAGACATGTTTCTGGATAGCAGCCTGTTCGGACTCGAGTCGATTTCGCATGAAGGGAATCATGTCCTTGACCACGGGCCAGTTTCGGCTTGCTCTAAAGGCCCACAGGAAAGTAGGATGTGTGCGTGTCAGATCGTCATCTTGGAAAGTTCGTCCGATGTAGTGGTCAACAATCTTTTTAGTCGGCAGCAGAGCCTGTGGCGTGACCATGACTCGACCCGCTGGGTCAAAGTATGCACAGGCAAGAACAAGCTGATGGGCACGAGTAGTCGATCGTCGGCGATTGCCACCAGATATAACGGCGCACGCGGATAATATGACGCAAGAGACACAAGCCTAAATATGGTCAGTTCCTGCAGACCGAAAATGGTAAAGTATACTGACCAAAACAGAGCAGATGATAACCACCTGACTGCGAGACAACTGCGATCCATTCTTCATGGACTCATCCCGCTCAAGATAGGTCGTTCCAACAGCCGCGGTCCAATGCATTCCTGACACAGCACCAGCAAGCAGGAAGGCACAGAGTCCGCGTCTCCACCAACTATCAGTCCAGGTAGCTCTCCACCTAAAAAAGATGCCCAGGGCGGCAGTACTCGAGAAAACGGCGATAATGGCGGATCCGACAACATTTGCGACATGATACGAGCACTTGTAGTTTGAAATTCCCAGTTGTCCAACATAATGCATTCCGCACACGGAACTACCAGTAAGTAACCCTCCTAACAAGATGCGTATGTAGCCCGCCTTTTCCTGGACACCGACAGAGTAGAAGGCGGCAAGGAGCACAACCACGGGCAATACAAACGATGTTCCGGTGAATGCGACATTGTACAAGATCTGAACATCAGCTTCTCCATTGCCGAGGACGATAGCGCGGTTGCCGATAAAGTGCATACACCAGATGCCTATACCGCCCATAGTTATCGAGGAGGTAAGGAGTAGGTACCTTTTACGGCATGTGTCAGTGCGTTCGGTTACTTCAGTCGCGAATAGTTCCCATACCAGTTGTAAAATCCCGACCTGGATGTTCTTCGGTGAAGAAGCTCCAAAGTGGTCGCACATCCCATAGAGCTGATGACGTAGGAGAGGAAGATGTATCCTCCCAGGTAATTAACGTGAACCAGGGAGTCATCTTGATCGCCTGCCCCCGACATGTTGAGTACTAATATCAGGCAGATGGGCTATAGCCCGGGGATAAGTGGGGTAAGGTAGCCAGAATGGGAGGGGAAGCAAAGTCAGTGATTGACTTGAGCAGTGATTAAACCAAACAAGAAATGGACTTCATGGGTGTCAGTGATGAATATAAATAAAATGGGCGAAGGTCACAAGCGTGTAAGCAGGTGAAATTTCCTTGGTCTGTAGGCAAAGGCAAACCTTATAATACTAGGCAAACTAGTCTGGGAAACAAGAAGTATTTGTCGCAATACAGGACCAGCGCATTACTCGTAAAGCCCGCATGGTATCGGACGAATAACTGGCCTCGTAGATGAGGAAAATGGATCCAGGATTCGATCTAGAAGACGGCTAACTCCACCCGGAGCTGCGCATCGCCTGCGAGTTTCTCCATCCGCCATCCCCATAACCAATTCGTGTGGCACGATATAGTATGGTGGATCGGCTCCATACCGAGGGCAAGCAAGAGCGAGAAAGGGCAAAGAAAAAAAGGTTTCAGATTGATCGATATGATCCAGCGGAGATGGGTCCTAATGGGGCCTGTAATCCCTGTAGTTGTGGACTTTTGAGGCGAGGCTTGCATTTTCACAAGCCTCACCATGGTTTAGTGGAATCTAGATCGGATCGTAGCGGGAAAAGAACGATGGGGCATAGTTGCTATCATAGCGTATCGGAGAGCGAGCTCGTTCCGGCCCCTGGCACCTAGGCACTAAATCTCTGAGAACAGACCCGGGGTCCAGAAATCAGTGGACGATAATGTGATTGTCACATTTCCTGCAAACTCAATTTGAAATTAATCTGTTGTTCTCACACCGGAGTCAAATAGCCCATACTGTCCAGATAGCGGTGGTGCTCGGCCCCGCCGAGGAATTGATTGAGCTTCAGCTGCGATCGAGTCACAAATGAATTTTGATTAATTGAAGGCCCCACGTGTGGAGACAGGGCCAAATGAGAACACACATCACGCTGTATGTAATGCAATGGAGAAAGCTGGGTCATCTGCAGTGTTCATTCGGTTATGCAAATCACTGCTGGCGTCGGCGATCAGTCATAAAGTCCTATCTTAGCGTCTGACGCCTGACGCCTAACACGAGAATCTGTCGCATGTTATTTTTTTCCCTGCTCCGCACAATGTGAGGGTTCTCAGAGAGCCTCAGGACTCGGACGAGCTTCCGAATTCGGGTCGAGCCTGTGGTTTTAAAAAATTGCATCAATTTATCGACGACGGCCCAGTCCGACCGGGTATGATTCGCCAGTCCCTGTTGAGCGGGCCCCCTAGATCGATCTATCGCCCTAAACGGGCACTGACCATCCGGTGGCTTTTTTCATCACCCATGGGTTTGGCGACGGTTAGTTGTTAGCATGGGATGCGGAAGTGGAACCCGCTAGATTAATCTGATCCATCAAGGTTTGCTCTCCTGACAGTAGCAAATAAGCAAATCAGGGATCAAGCGACGACCAAGCACAGCCTGTCGGTTCCTTGAACTGCTTTTATTTTGTGCCTTTGATTTTGGTTTTCTCGTATCAGTGATCATCAAGTTTGAGAAACGCCATTTGCAGAGGGGAAAAGTAATTTTGCTGGATACGTCAAATCTGGAGAAGATTAGTCAAAAAGTATGTGCGAACTGGGATCAGCGTGTCGAACTGTCAAACTGTCAACCGCATGGCGGAACATGTGGGTTCACGCCACGATGAGACACAGAAATTCTCCGGGTCTGGCCTTTACACAGTTTCGATACTTGTTGAAGTGGATTTAAAAGTTCAGTCTCAGCCACAAAGTTTGGTCACTGCTCCGTGAGGACCGGTTTTGCTTTTCTGAGGAATCGCATTTTGCCTTGGGTCAAAGAAGGCGATTTACATCGATCCCTGAGGATAAGTGGGCTTGAGGATCGGCATCGAGGTTTGGAGCTAAACGTTGGAATGGAGCTCGGACTGTCGGCAGCAGTAACCGACCTGCATAGGCAAAATCTAGCCTTGACTCATACGCATGCGAATTTTCAGAGTCCTTGTAGACGAATCGATGAAACAGCTGTCAAAAAACAGACACATTTCGACGGAAGCTGAAATCGAACGTGGAATTGATCGATTGTGCCAGATCTCACCGAGTACTTAGGGGTACATTGTGAATAGCCTCATTTGCATCACTCAAAAGGTTTACAACAGAATGACTACCACGGTGCCGCACCCCACACACGATTTGAGATGAACCTGACTGGATATTTAGATCCAGCGAGTACATGATGTATTTCAGAGTATTAACAAAAAAACAAAACATCAAACTCAGAGGGGCACCTCCTGTGCTTTTGTTGGTCACTTTAGAGGGGTCTGCTCTGAGTTAATGTTTCCCGGTACTAATTGACAACACCATTCTAGTCCCGTGGGCTAACTTGTTTGGTCACATATAGTGCCAGCTGTTGGGATTGTTGGCCACTTGACCACACGGATGTCAACTGTTAATCATGTTCTCCATAACTCAGTTATAACCCAACTTGCCTGCAATATATAAGCTCTTGGCGCCTTCACCAGTCTAGCCCTCATCAAGGATATGACTTTTGTTTGAAGACCAATAGACAGTGTGTAACTAGAACAATATCCACTGGGTACATACCTTTCAAAGATTAGTACATGCATATGCACGTATTTCACGCAGCGCCTAGAGTAACTGAGTTTATACTACACCTACATTTTATATCATCTACCTACCCATGTATTCTCCTACTCAGTATCCCAATTTATATCCTATCATATCTCCTATCATATCTCCTTTCATATTAGTCAAAGAGTCAAAGGGCTCATCAATTTTATAATAAGCAAACTGGAAAGAAGAAAAGAGAAGTGAGAAGGGGAGAAACAATAATTCGAGGTACATACAGAAAACCTTGAAGCGAAGATGACATCATAGAGAGCAATATACCTAAGAATCCATACTCTCATATAAATATATATTGCTCCTGTGACTGAAAACTTTGAACATTGACAAATGCATTCAAATATGGATTAGGTATCTTTTTTGATACAACAAATATGTATCTTGGAGTTCATCCCCTGGGCAGATCTATCAATGCTTTTAGTAATGTCAACATTCACCTTTGAAGTTTTGATTTTTTTCAAGTGCGGATCACGCAAGTACATTCAGTATAGGAAGTCGGCGTTGAAGTATCGTGCGCCATGAATATGCCGTACCGAATGCCGAAGCTGCACTGCAGAGAGATTACCCTAGAACCTGTGGGGATGTAACTACACATTGACATGCTTCACAACATTCATCTGTTGAAGCTCTCGGCGAGCGAGATTGATGCACTTGAACTCGAAGCAGCTTTGAGCCCAAGCAAGCTGATAAACTGGATTAAGATGGTATTGTTACAGAACGATGCCTGAAGATCTTGTATAATCACTCAGTGTTTATTTGACTTGGATAAGAATACTTTCGTGGCACATTGACAACTGTAGGACCAATCAATCAAGGATATTTTCCCTGCATGCATGCAGGATGCATGATCTGAATGCAGATCCACACTCTCAGCACTAGCAAGTCCAGATCTACGAAGACGGCACAAGTTGCTTCGCGCGCATACTCAACGAACCCACAGAGTCTTCCACGCTCGACTCGAAAGTAACGACAGACTCATTTAACTACGATAAGAAAAAACCTGAAATTGGAATCAACAAAAACAAGGGCCTTTAGACCCGGAGATTATATTGTCCTCCATGTAACACTTTATAGAAAATCCTCCATTCATCATCTAGGCAGAGACCTTGACAATAGCAGCCTCGATGGCGGGGGGGACGGCACCACGAACGGTGTCGATCAACTCGCCGTTCTTGAAGACAAGGAATGTAGGCATGGCAGAGATCTTGTTCTTGGCGGCGACCTCCCCGAGCTGGTCGACGTCGACCTTGTAGAACTTGACGTTCTCGTGTTTCTCGCTGAACTTCTCGAGGACGGGGGCAATCGCTTTGCAAGGGCCACACCACTCAGCGAAGAAGTCAACGATGATGGCGTCCTTGGAATCGGTGACCTTGGCCTGGAAGTCGGCCTCGCTGCGAAGAGAAAAGAATTAGTTTGTTCATTCTTCTTTCTGCGTCGGTCCACGGTGCAAGAACGTAGAGGGACTGGAAAACTTACGTAGTGATAAGCTCAACCTTGCCACCCATTTTGGGAATAGAATGCGAGAACTTGGGAATAGGAGTTGAGGAGAAGGTGCGGATGGGAGTCGCGAGGAAAGGAGTGCGCTGAGAGACCGAAAAACGGAGTAGCGACGAGGTGGCTCGGGAGAGAGGTAGACGAGTGAGTCGGAGAGTAGAAGGGGTGATCTTGGAGAATAAGTCTTTGGATTTTATGAGGGGCATGGAGGGGCCGTGAAGACGGCTTTTAATAGGCCAATATGACGTGTTCCAGCCAGCGGTTTTACTAAGCCGTGTTGTCTGACCAATACACCGATTTTGCCCCCTCTCCAGGGGAAAACTCGAGGCCGAATCACGCCAGGCCCAGTGATTTAAGGGGACTTACTTTGAAGGACATGGTAGTAACTTGTTGTCGAGGACACAATGGGCCAATTGAAGGTCGTGGTTGTGATGAAGAAAGGAGATACAGGCGGTATAATTTGGCAGTATCTCGAATTCTGTCGTGTGGATGGTCCCGGCGCAGATGACGTGCTCAGCTTAGTACGAAGTGGATTTTTAATACTAGTCATTACTAATTATGTACAAATGGAATTTTACATTTCTCCAGGAAGAACATTCAAGCTTCAGTAAATGATGCAAAGCGGATTTTCGCTAGAATTTTCTCGCATCTTCTGATTTCAAATGCCGAGTATAGAGTACACCGTATGCAAAGCCAGAAGACTCCGCCACTTTCGGTTTCGGTAAAGAAAGCTATGTACATGGACACATTCATCATGACCATGCTGACGTGCCAGGGGATTGTACGGAAAAGAATTTGACAAACAGAACCAGACCAAGACAGGCTATCGTCCGGCGCGCCGCATGAAAATGGAGTTGAGGGTATATTAACAACAAGTTTTCGGGAAAGGAAATTGTAACCAAACCCGTTCAAATATTGGCACACTTGTGCATGAAATCAAACGGGATGGAAGGGTCAATCAGTCAACTATCAAAACACGCAACGTGGAATTTATCCATCTAACAGGGCTGAAAGAAGGGGCAAGTGGGGGGTATCAACTAATCGAATGACAAGAACTTGAAAAATGGCAAACAAAGCACATCGGGGGCGGGGGAAGATGGAAGGGGGAAGATTCAGGGCGAGCCATGCATCACACATCGTAAGATGGTAAATCGTGGCGCATTGTGCTAAAAATCACAGAGGGATCTCGAAAACAAAGGAAATCGAAACAAAAGAAAAATCTAAGGAACGTCGGGCTATGTGCAGAAGAGCATATGCCAGTTGGATCAAGGATCCAAGCTCATGAACAGATGATAGAACATTTTGGGAGCGTGGCATTAATCTCTCGTAACAGCCGTCGTTTCCACTTGCCAAGCCAGACAAAATCATATTAGACCCGAATCAAACGTGGTCAATGATGCCGTGGACACTGGCCACACGTTGGGGAAAATTTAGGTCTTCCTCTTCCTCTTCCAAAGGGCTCACAGGGCTAAAGTCCTCCTCGGCCGAGATAGGCGACAAAGAGGGGATGCACCGAAGGGCCCCTTGATTAGACTTTGGCCGAGAGACCGGGTTGACCACAACAGGCCGACGACCGACCTCGTTGTGCCACATCTCCGCGGGTTTGCCGTTATCGGCAGGAACATCATTCTCCAGCTCCGGTTCACCCATGATGTTGCTGCTAGCGGTGCGGGAATCGATCGACTCGCGCGCTTCATCAACTGTATCATGGTCATCCAAGTTGGCCGGGCCAAAGTGGCTCATGTTGGTCCGAATGGGGCTGCTGGGTTTCTGCATACGGCGGAAAAACTGACCTGACATCCATGAGCCTTCCGAGTCAATAGATGCGAGGGACTGGGAAAGTGGCACGTTGTCATATTCGGCATCGAAGCTCTCGGCCAATGATAGATGGTGACGCCGACGAGGGTTGACGATATCCATGCTGGCACTAGGGGTCGGGCCATGCAAGAATGTACCATCATCGTGCTCCAGTGAAGATTCCGGCACCTCCTCTGGAATGTCCGGAGACTGCAAACGCGAGTCTGGGGGAGATATTGGTTCATCGCCAAAGTGTTCGGTGAATTTAGATTGGGCGCGCTTGACCGTTCCCGTGGGAATGAATGCCCGAGGGGGGATGATAGAGGGCGGAGGAGGGGAGGATTGGGTATGAATTCTGTAGAAAGATTCGGTCGACGGGTTGGAGTCCAGCGGGGCGGATTCTTGGAAATGCTCTCGATAGCGGCGCTTGAGGCGAGAAGAACCACGTCGGAATAGGCCTGTGAGGGTGTTCCCGCGGCGCCCACTGGTATCAGACAATCGGCGTTCTGAGAGGTCCGAATTTGAACCCATGCCAAAGGTTTGGGAATGGCTGGGACTACTGAGCCCGTGGCGGACAGACGAGTGGGACGGGGACAGTGTCGTGCGAGACATGCCCATCTCATGTGATGGAGCAAAGCTCGAGCGTTTCGCTAGCTTGGGTTCATGAAGAGAGGAGTCACGAGTGTGTGCAATGACCGGTGAGCTATCTTCGATCGACTCCATCGGGACATCAGTTTCATTTGATTCACCCCGTTCTTCATCAACCTGAGCGTCCGTGTTCTCCGTAGTCTGCTCATGGTCTTCCACAGCGGCGATCTCCCGCTCGGCAGCTGCAGCGGCTACAGCTTCTTCAGCCTCTCGTGCCTCCTGGGCTTGTTGTGCATCGGCTCGTTCCTGCAACTTGCGTCGTAGCCTCTCCTGGTCATCAATCTGCTTCTTTTCTCGACGGCGACGATCCCGATCCAACAACTCCCGCAGTGTGTTTGCATCCAACGAATCGGCCAACTCATTCACCCGCCGCTTCGAGTAGTAGAGATCCTCATCCGATGTAGTCAGATTCTGTAGTTGATCTTTCGGAGGGTTATTGCTACGAGCCGTGGAAACCCGTGGCGCTTCCACGTATCGAACCACGGGTCGAGGAGTCAGTGCCGCAAACGCGTTAACCTTGAAAGTGTATGGATCTGTCAAGTCGGACATGGACGACGCCGCCGAATCACGAATGGAGAGGCTAATATCCGACTGGTACCTGTTCAGACGGCCATTCGTCTTCCGACGCCGTTGATCCATCATATTATAGTCCGATTGACCTGTTCGACGCGGGATGTCGATCGGCATAGATGACAGCATGCGGATTTCACGCTCGCGCATGATCTCGTGGGCCTTGCGCTTGCTGAGTCTTCGGCGGAGTTTATTTGGGCCATTTTGATTCTTGTTCCGCATGAAAGACTCCGTCCTTGACAAGGCTTGTTGGGGGCCGTCCGGGTCGGCGCGGTCCGAACTCATTCGCGATGATCGCTGATCGATTAACGAGACGGGTCGTTGACGTTGTGAGGATGAACGGCCTAGACCCGGATGAATGCTACCGACCTCATCGCCGGTCCGGGACAGGCGATTGCTGTTCTGACGCTTGGAGGGTCGAAGGGAAGGCTTACGGCCCAAGGTAGGCTCGATGCCAACGGCGGCGGCAGCGGCTCTCGGGTCATTCGCGATCGAGGACTGAATAGCGGCGGCTTCCTCTGGACTCACTTGGATGGTGTGCCGCTTGTTTTTATTACTCCGACCAAATGGCCATATCGCCATGACGCCCGGTCGAGTGCGGGATACGCCCCGAAAAACAATCAGTGGTCGTAAGGTGTAGAAGTGCACGAGCGCTGAACTGAACTCATGGAGATTTTGGTTTTAACGAGTGGAGACTTGAAATGAGAAAAAGTGTTTAAACACAAAAAAGTAAATAGCGGCAAAGTCAAGCCAGGGCCACCGTCGTCATCAAGTGGGTTTGAGTTTTTTTTGGGTAAAGAACAAAGATTACTCCATAACAAGGAGAAAGTATTGGGGGGCAAAAAGGGCAAGGGTTTCAAGCGAATGTCAACAAGTGGCGTATAAGGGAATGAATGTAAAGAGAAGTGAAAGTAGGAAAAGATTAAAATTGAAAATGAGAATGCAAATGAAAATAGACTAAAGGGCCAGACCAAATCCAATTTCCCGCTTGTTTTGGTTCACTTTTCTTCCCTAAAAATAAATTAACATACTTCACACACCTTATTGATTACTCTGTTAAACACATTAGTCACACAGGTACCTGGTACCTGCTGCTTAAGAAATTAAGTATAGAAATCCAGTCCTACGGTACCTGGCGGCTGGGTGAAAGTCACACGAAAAGTACAAAATAAAATGATCAAAGTGTGGAGAAAGGTCGTCCGTAGTCTACTGTAAACCACCTGACCTCATTATACTCTTACTATTATGCATTTAAACGATATTTTCACCGAAAGATCTCGTGCCCTGCGCGCGTGCCTGGGACACGGTGGATACAAATCCATTTAAGTCAAATCTTACGCTTACGCAATCCTCAACCCCACACGGGAAACTGTTTGGATTTCTATGCAATCATTCCTGCAGGGACTGCTGTATGTCTGAGTTACTTGGTTGATAAGTGGAGGTGGGATCAGCGAAATAAATATCCTCTTTCACTCAAGCTAACTAGTGATCATGGTCACCTTGCTCTGCAAAGTGAGCCGTGCACGGAGAAATGTTGTCATAGAACAGCCGACATGGAAAATGACTCCGAAATATGGAGTAAAACCGAGATCTGATCTGAACTGTACACACCGTGTTTTGACTCGGCTAATCCAAAACAAAAACATGAAGAATGTTGAAAATCGAACGAACCAGTGCATTTGACAAGTCAGCCTATATTGGTCACACGAGATCACGATAAGATTTCACTCGTGGTGAATTAAATGATCTGTCACAACTCCTTCAGCTGAAGAACCTTGCTGCAACAGAACTAGTTCCTCCCATGTTTCACGCTTTTGAAATCGGTAAAGCGCTGGTCCCAGAAATACCGCAATGGATCATTTCACTAGACTCGCTCCACTGTTTGCCGAGACAAACAGATTGGTTCGTCCCCCTTGTAAGCCAATAAAACCTATTTCAATGTGCTGCTGTAAGGTGTATGCTGGTCTCCGTCAAGTCACGTTGCCCTTGGGCATCGAGACATGCATCCTCCATGTGCCGGACCAACCGAGGCCCCGAGACTTCTCACTAGTGCTGTTGCCCAGACCTTATACCTAATAAAGCTACGCCCGTACCCGAAATCTTACCGCTTCGGGGGAACAAACACGGTCGCCTGAATGCCAAGTCAATATCTTTTTGAGATTCAAAATAAATATTGGATCTTTTGATTCCAACACAGCCCCATAGAGATTGACGGGGTATGTGCGGCGTGCTCACACCCTTAGGGACGCCACCTGGGCACGAAGGCAATTGATCGCCGCCACTGGGCAAAGTCAACTCTTTTTTTCCATTCGCGGAGAAAAGAGCCATATAGAAAATTCAAATTGCATTTGAAAAAAACAAGAGGTAGAGAGTACATAAGCGCCTCCAGTGGCAATACTCAGCCCTGTACCCCGTACTGTAGCCTAAACCCTCTATAATCCTAACACCAAAAAATGTACCTTAAAATACATGTGCATGTGCAAATCTCTGACTTAAGGAGGTGATTAAACCCCCATCCTAATATCCATAACCAACCACATGCAGAATCAAAAAGGCATCCCTTTCCCAGAGACCATGCGTTGTCCTTCTCACCCCGCCGCAAACCGTTTGCTATTCGCTCGGTGTCACATTGCTATCATTGATTGACACGTTTCCGCAGCCTATTCGGCTCTCTCTCGAGGACGCGATATCGGCGGCTACCGCGTCCGCTGAGGAGTCGCTTCAGTGACCATCCGGCACTGTTGCGGGTCTCCGGGCTAGCCGACGTTGAACATGTCGGTGTAGAATTAGATTCGATAGATTGGTGGATCTTGTGGGATTCGAGGTTCGTCAACGGTTGGGCATCCATTCTCTTCGCCTGATTTCTCTTCTATGATTTTTTTTTTCAGTGCCGAGTATGTATGCGTTGGGCGTCGCACTGGAGCTGGACGGTTGTTGGCAATGTAGATGCAATGCTGGCTCGATTAGGTTACTTTGCACGTGGTTGTGGCTTCGTTGAAAGTCTCTGGGTTGTCACGGGGTATACCAGGGTCGTATGGTGTGGAAATGGGAGTTCAGATCAAATTATTGATTCTTAAGCTTGGATCAGGAACGATACTTGGAAGCGGGGTTGGATTAGTGGGGCCATGATCGGATCCGGTGGGTTATCTGATTCTCATGTGTAAGGTTTGGTGAGAAGGAAAGGATCATCCTGGTTTATTGTCTTATATTTGTTTTGAGATCAATTGGGTTCATGCGCCAGATTGTAGGTCATCCGGATTCCGGAGAATTCATCTGACAAGTATACATTGCCTGGGCGCAGATCCCGGGACAGTAAGTTTAGTGAACGGATATAGACCCCGCGTTTCCCAGTAAGTAGTACCCATCAGTGAAGAAGACATGCTAGGTCGTCGTTCAAGAATTTAATTGGAACTCTAGCCCCAGAAATCCTCGGAAGGCGTCACATATTTATCGTAGTTGTCGTATAGATCCTACGTAGTCAAGAATCTGACTTGATAAGATATGGTGAACCTTGGAACCCTTCATACTCCGCATCCCTGCATGTTTCATGCAGATAAAGCCCTAGACCCTGATTGCCGGAGCATTAGCCATTTCCCCCTACCCTTCCACATGTGCAAGGTTCTTTCTGCAGTCAAGCATTTACTCACATCGATCGTGAGGCTGACCCATGCACGAGTCAGCCAAAGAGCACTGGAATCCAAAACAATAAGAACGGCCTGGATGAACAGCTTTACCCTGTCGAGTAGCCGAGCTCCGAACGTGCTCACGAAAACCCACGCATAGTCTAAGAAACCCCGCATGGCAGCTCTCCCGGAATGTGCCCTCAATGGCTGGATATCTAATGCACAAACGGCTCGGATTGGATGGAAGTTGTCGGAGATGATTCTAGCCCTGCTGTCTTGAACATTCGGTCTGTGACTCTGGTCGGATTTTAAACCCCCTAGATGAACGTCATGGGGGAGACGAGTTGGATTTTCATCCTAGCATTTTTCTCATTCCATCATCTTTATCTTTATCCCTTAGACGAGCTGGTATTGTCTCACAATTTTCAATTCCATGTTATTTTGAGCTTGGCGATATATCTCCAGGATCGAAAGAACCTGCCTATTGGTCTTGTCTATTCCCATCCGGTTTCCCACATAATATTCCCCCGAACCTGGTCATTCCTACTTTCCGCCCACACCGACTTTCTGGCTTGGAAACATTCTTAAACCAGCACAGAGTTGACGACTCGCCGGTTCAAGTCGCCAAATGGCTCTACTTTGGATCCTCGTAGCCCTCGGGTACCTACTCCTGTATGCCTTTGCTGCGATACAAACGCAGGAATCGCATACTTATGCCTTAAACCGAATAACGACGTGATGGAACCCCCTCGAGCGGAGGTAACGAAGCAACAAGTGTTTCACGGAGAATGAGCTTGAGTTTGCAAGGTGCATGTGCTCGAGTACCGGCGACCTCTTCACCACTTCGGATTCCAAACATTTATGAATTATGATCATTTATCGATTTGCACCACGATACCCAAACTAAAGTTTGGCATGAGGTATTGCAGAAGTTGCTACATTTTGCAAATGCACCTTCGGAACTGCTATGGAAAGAGAGAGGCAATTTGCGTTCGGCGGGGCAAAGTCTGTTGGCTGGTTCAACCTCGAGTCCAATTCCTTCAATGTTAATGATTGATGTATTACGAAATTTATGTCTATGCACAGAGAAACGCATATGAACCATCAATATATGATAGTTCAGTCATCTGGGAACTTGCGTCAGCAATTCACGTTTTTTCTTGGATTGAGGTATATCTAAGATGCCCGGCATTAACTGTTCATCATTTTTGGGGATAGCGTAACACAATCGTAGATGTTGCAAGTTCCACTAGCTCCCACGTGGATTGTTTCCTTGAAAGATATCATTCGAACCGCACCGTAGAGGCGTTTCGGCGGTAGGAAAAGCTCCCTTGTCGCCTGTTCATGACCCCGACTGTTGCAGAGAAACAGAGTCGCCACGTGCTGGAACGATCCTTCTCCAGTATTTCATCTCATTCGTAAAGCATTCGAGCCCGGTTTGAAGTGCAGTTTCAATATGCAGCTCCTTGGTATCTGGCCTAGAACCAAATCTTGATCAGCTCCTCACTGACAGCACTAGGCGTCAAAACACCGCTGTCGGTGATCAGGGCGGAAATCAGATGCGGCGGGGTGAAGTCAACTGAGGACGCAAGTGGCAGCTCCACTGGGCGGTCTGCATTTGAGTCGACAAGTTGCGATTTACTTTGTTGCGCAATGTCCTCTTCGGTCTTGAAATCAACAACATGCTGCTCAATGGGCAGATCATACTGGCCCAAAGGATACAATCGAACGAACTTGTGGCTCTCAGCCACTGTGTAGAACGGTTTTCCGATGGCCTTGGCGAGAAGTCCAATCTGGTAGGTGCCCATGCGAGACACAATACCTCCGTTCTCCACAACACCTTCCGCTCCGACAATAACCATGTCCGCCTTTCCAAGGGCATACGCGACTGCAGACTCTGGGATGGTTGCGACTGGCACACCCTTTGCTCTCAATGCGCGCACTGTCTCCATTCCCTCGGGTTCCCCAGAAGGTCCTTCGATATCCTTGCTGATCGACGACAAAACGTAAATGACATTAAAGCGCACCGCAGAGGGACCGCCCTCCTCATCGGCTACTTTCTGTAGTAGAGATGCGACAGCTCGGGATCCACCATTTGTAAGCACCGTGCAGCCATCGCGGATGAACCCGCGGCCGAAGGCAGCAATCTTCTCTCGACTCTCCTTTGCGCGGCGAATGAACAGTCGTCCGTTGGACAACAAGTGTGTTCGAATGGCTTTGAAATCTCCCGCAGGACCTAGCTGGCCCGGTCGTTGTAATGTGGTAATCAGGTATCGTTGGAAGAGATCAGTTCCGGCGGAGAGACCGATGGGGTTGGCAATGGATTTTTTCAGGTGCTCTGTGGACTTTGCGAGCAAATCAAGGGTCTCGGAGATTGTGGACGATGGCTCGTGTGTGAGGAGAAGCACTAAAGCTTCAATGGCCGCAATGGGCATGGTGAGGTCAGGATCGGAGCGTAGGAGCTCATTGTATGTTGCGACGATACTGCGGCACGGATAAGTACTTGGAATCCGGACATGCTGGGTTTTCTTACTCAAATGGCTTTGAACCAGCTGATGCCGTGCCCTCTGTGGTCGTCGCCATATTGTATGGTTCGTTTGCTTGTGTTGTAGAGCCAAAGGCAAATCCAAGTCTGGAGCTGGAAGAGTCACGATTTCTTTGTGCTTGTGCTGTGTTTGACTTGTTTGATCTTCGCTGCCCCTCATGTAACACGCTAAACCCAATGCGGGTTGCCGTGCGGGCTTTCCTCGTCCAAGTAAACAATCGACTCCAATCACCACAACAACTTCCTTGAATTGTCGCAACTCTTCTGGCCAGGCGCAAGTCTGCCAAGATTATCGTGGATACGGTGCGATCTCGACACGATGTCGTATAACCACCGCATGAGCATGGCTGCTGGCTCTCAACAGCAACACAATCGGGGTCGCAAAAAGGAAGACGACAACGATGCATTGATGCGTCTGGTCAGTTAGACATTCGGCTGACTGAAGGCTGATAATATCACTCCAAGAGACGATTGCTGACCTACATTCAGCCCGATAAAGAAATCGCAGGCTGCATCAACGACATTGGAATTCCCTTCACTACAGCCGACCTTGCGAAACCAAACCCTCAGCAGATTCAGATGGTCTTTGAATGGTTTGCTGAGCTACTCATGAATGTGACCCGTGAAACTGTCGAGCCCCAAATGCATGCGGCCGCAGACGAAATCTGCGGGGACTACCCTGATATCGTTCCCAACGAAACCCGCAACCTCATGGGATTCTTTATTAGCATTCGGCGGTTATTGTCGGAGGTAAGTCACAGCTTCCCCAGACTACAGGTATTGCGGAGACTGTGTGGCTAATGATGAACAGTGTGGTGTTAACGATTTCACCTTTACGGACCTTACCAAACCGACCCATGATCGACTCGTCAAAGTCTTCTCTTACCTCATTAATTTTGTCCGTTTCCGCGAATCTCAGACACCAAGGATTGACGAGCATTTCAACAAAACCGAGAAAACAAAAGCCCGCATCGATGAACTGTTTGCTGAGAACCACGAGATGGAACAACGCCTGGCTGAGATGCGACAGGAACAACAGATCAACGAGGTGCAGGTACGAGAGAAGGTGGCCCGAAACGACGAACTCAAAGCACGACTTTTGGAATTGGGCCGTGAGCAGTCACGGGTGGCAGAGAGTCTTGACCGTGTCAAGAATGAACGAGCGCGCAGGCAGCAGCAATTGGAGGAAAAGACGGAGAGAACTGTTAGAAGCCGACAAGAGGCCGAGAAGCTGCGACCTTATGTTTTGGAGTCTCCGGTCACATTACAGTCTTCATTGACTGAGCTAGCGGAGAATCTTATGCGTGAGAAAGCCCAGATCGACGCAATGGAGAAGCGAGCAAGAGCCCTGCAGACCTCTTCAGACTCTTTCACGGTTGTTTCAAATGATGTCCAGGCATGCGTCAAGCTCCTCGACGATATCGCAACCGAGATTCAAAAAGAAGATGAGGAAGAATCTCGCGCCGCCCGCAACAAGGAAGCTATTTCAGACCGAGGTGCCAGCGTACGAGAGGTTGAGCAGACAGAGAAGCTCTTGCAGCGCCAATTGGCTCGCTGGAATGAACGGATTGAACATCTACGTAAAACTGCCCAAGAAAAGGCAGAACTTGCGCAAGCCAGGATGGAAGAGCTCCGGAATGTCCAAAGACAACTCCGAGAAGAACGCGCTGAGAAGCAAAGTGACATGGAGCGAAGACGAATCCGGATCGAGCAGACGGAGAAGAAGGTATGTGGAAATTGTGTACATTCGCGAGTCATGCTAACCTGTTGTTTTCCAGATGGCGGATCTCAAGGAGAATATCGAGAGCGAGATCCAGGCGGCCCACGATCAGTATCTCAAGTTGGAGTCACATATTAAGCTCTATATTACAGAGGTCGAAAAGTCCCTGTGAAGCATCAAATTTTGTGACATTCAGGAGTTCAGCGGGCGGCTCTAGGATACCCGGGGTACATAATCATTCCAATGGAGTTTCATCATATTGCAGTGTTTCGTTATTTTTGCCCATCAATCTACGCATGTTCTAGTTCTTTCAGATCCCACTTTCTTCATCAAAGCTGAACCATCGTTGGGCAACTTGTTTAATGGACACACCATGTCCACCCCAGTTGCCTTCGTCACGGATTCGCACCGAACCGTTCAACAAGGGAATTTGGGTATCCCACAACCGTCCTCCCCAGTCAGCGCTGGAGGGATTTACGGCATTGACGCATTCACAGAGAAGCAAATCCATCTCTGCTCGGGAGGCTGCTTCGACAGCGGCGGCAAAACTCCTCGACAGCCCTTGAGCCGCAAACTCCATTGTTGTAGCATGTAAAGCTACAAGATCCAGGATTGCAAGTAATGGCCGTGGACCTGTACCCTTCTCTGTTTCTGTAGTGCCACCATTAATTTGATCCATTACGGCGAGATACGCTCTTAGACTCTCCAGAGATGGGCAGAATGTAAGTCGGATCCTGCTTGAGTGGGCAAGAAGGCCGATGCTCTTGGTGAGCAAATCCAGGCGCGGGTGAACATCTGGTTCAGACCGTTGCAAACGAATGGCCGCTGATAATTGCACGAGAAATTCAGATTTGGTGCCACACACGATAATGTTGGTTTCTGTGCCGGCATCCAGTAGTCGTCGTATCAAATCGGTCACCAAGTCGCAGGAAGCGACGGCCCGCAGGCCCATGACGTGTGTTGAGCCGTGACGCTCACGGTAGTTTTCTCAGCTACCGCAGTAGCTAGTCGTTTCGATCTCGCATGATTTGAAAGTCGAGATTCATTGGCACTTGTGAGGTTTGAAGAGTGGAGTTACAGTCGAGTTTAAAAGAAGTTGGAGATTCGGAATCATCCGCGTCGGAGGTCATGCTCCTCCGCCTTTCCTCCCCCACCTGCCTTCCCTCATCTCCCCCAGCCAATTCTTGCACGCCTGAGATCAGGCACTCCGGAGGCTGGCGTAAATATGGAGACTATTTCAAGGATATCTTCTATGCTGGAAACAGGTAAGTCTCAATTCCCGTGGTGCTACCCTTCCGCATGAAACTGATCGCCGACTGCGCATAGCTCGAGAGCTCACCCTGGAAGCTGCTCAGTCCGCCGCGAGCAACGGAATTTTGAAATCGGATTCTTCCTCGCGTACGTACAGTGTTACCCACATCAAGAAGCTTTTGGATAGTCGTCATGAGCGAGAGGTCCTGGATGGAATGCGGAAGGTTATCTCGGTATGGCGATGGCGCAATAGACAACCACTTGAAGGGATATGGTGGCTAACTAGATGCTTCTTCCGCAGTTGATGTACCGGCCTGAATCATCGCATCCATTCTTTTCCGCGGTGGTCAAGAATGCAGCCAGTGCCAACCTCGAGGTCAAGAAGCTAGTTTACATTTACCTCGTCCACCATGCGGAGGCAGAACCGGATTTAGCCCTACTGTCCATCAACGCCATTCAAAAGTCCCTGACCGATTCGAATCCCCAGGTCCGCACTATGGCCCTCCGAACAATGTCTGGGATTCGTGTACCAGTGATTAGCCAGATCGTGTCACTAGCTATCAAGCGCGGGTGCGGCGACATGAGCCCGCATGTGCGCAAAGCAGCCGCGCTGGCAATCCCCAAATGCTATCGTCTAGACCCGAACACACTGCCTCAATTGATTGGGTATATTGAGACTCTCCTCGGAGACTCGCAATACTTTGTGATTGGCCCGGCCGTGGCCGCGTTCCTGGAAGTCTGCCCGGAGCAGATTGATCTAGTTCATAAGCACTACCGCAGCTTAGTCAAGAAGTTGGTGGATATGGACGAATGGGGTCAACTTTCAACATTGCGTCTATTGACTTTTTATGCACGCAAGTGCTTTCCGCATCGGACGCAGAAGGTCAAGCAGGCGGTGACCAAGGCCTTTTACGATGACGAACAAGAACCACAGAACGACCAAAATGAAGGCGAGGAGTACGAAGTGCCAGTAGTTGACCCTGATCTTGATTTGCTGTTTCGGGCGTGCAAGCTGTTGTTGCAAAACAGGAATTCAGCCGTCATTGTCAGTGTCGTCCGCTGCTTCCTCTATCTAGCACCGTCTGAGTACCTTGCTTCTGCCGTTGGACCGTTGGTGGCCCTTCTTCGAAGCCCCCAGGATATGCAGCTGATTGCTCTTTACAACATCGTTGCTGTTGCTTTGAGAGAACCCAAGCCGTTCACACGATACATCGCCCATTTCCTCATTCACGCCAATGACCCACCGCATATCTGGCGCCTAAAGCTCGAAGTTCTTACAATCGTCTTCTGTCATTGCGGGAATCATTGGAAGGGCGTCATCATCAGTGAACTGGAACATTTCTCTAATGGTACCGACCCTGAATTGGTCCGAGAAAGTGTGCGGGCGATTGGACGCTGTGCACAAGGCGACCCCAGCACCGCAGATATGTGTCTGCGTATCTTGCTTGGCCAGGTTTCTAGTCTTGATGGAAACTTGGTATCTGAGTCTTTGACTGTTATTCGACATCTGATTCAACAAGATCCGACCTCGCATAAGCAAACCGTCATTCAACTTGTTACGTACCTTGGCACAACTACTAATGCTGACGCGCGAGCTACGATTATTTGGCTTGTGGGTGAGTTTGCAGGCATGGACCCGGACAACAACATTGCACCCGATGTTCTTCGCATTCTGATCAAGGGGTTCACCGATGAACTTGAGGTCGTTAAGCAGCAGATTGTACTCCTTGGTGCCAAGGTGTACCTCCAGCATCTCTTGAAAACGCAACCACAGGAGTCAGCAGAGCTTATCGCTACGGCGTCACCCGACCGGCCTGCCAAGATTGAACAGGAAATTCGCAATGAATGGGCGGACGACCCTGCCGAAGACCAGACAGACTCGAATAAAAACCCCGTGGATGAGACAGCTGTGGCGGGCGAAATTGCTAGTCACGAGGAGGAAGATCGCATCACATTACTTTGGCGCTACATCCTGCTTCTTGCGCGTTATGATACTTCATACGACCTCCGTGATCGTGCCCGTCTTTACAAGTCGCTCCTTGCTTCTCCGTCTTCGACTCAACTAGCCAATCTGCTTCTCCTAGCTCCCAAGCCCGTCCCGCACGCCCCCAGTCCTTCTGAATCACGCAAGAATCTACTTATCGGGACTGCAACCCTTGTTGTGGGCTCAGAGGCCGGCCATCACGGCCTACGTGGCTACGTCAATATACCAGACTGGGTGCAGCTAGGACAGGAGCCAGATCCGAGTCTTCGCACAGAAGATATTAAAACAGAAACTGCCTCCACCCCGAGCTCCCTGACTGCTGGTCAAAAGTTGGACAAAGCGCTTCGCGAGCATCAGGCCGCTGCGCCACCACGGCGACCAAATGGTTCCCCTGCCATAGGGAGCGGAAGTGGCAAGAAGACTTTGGATCAATGGCTTGGGGAGGAAGAAGAAACCGAAACTGAATCTGAGACTGAGGAAGAAACTGATTCGGAGGAAGAGGAAACTGACTCTGAAGAAGATGACTCTGAGGAAGAATCTGAAGAGGAGGAAAGTGAAGAAGAGACTGATTCTGAGAGTGAGGTTGTCCATAAGGAAGCCCAGCAATTGCTTGGCTAGCCAAGCAACAATAACCAAAAATGGAATATATAGGTATTGGCTTGGTTGGATTGAATCAGGTGCATAGATTAGAATTGGGAAATGATGCCTCCAACAACATATACTCGTTTCCCTTCAACCGTTAAGGTCGTGGGTGCCTTTTGTTATTAATCCAACCCTAGCAACACAACTAGTAGGTGATAATCAACTAATTATAGGTACTTATTAATTAATTTCTCTATTTTTCTTCAACAAATTTAAATACTTCACCTCAAGCACTTGAGCGCTAACGTATCTCACAAGCCAGTGGATCACAAGCGAGTGGATCACCCAAAACACTATAGTAAATGCGATAAATTATCCCAACGACAATGGTCTGTAGGTACTTTTCCTTGAAGCTTAGTTTCTTTACCATGATATCTAGTCCCGTTGTGGATTTTCAAGAATTTTCATAACTTGATGAATGGAATACAGCACATATATATATTTCATCAGCTTCACGATGTAATTTTTTGTATCGTGATCATAGAAGGGTTCGCTTTTTTTTTTATATGAATTGATACATGGTTCTAATAATCCTTATCAATGTCTATCAGCAAGTAATGGAATCGATTATAAACGTGGTGGTTGAGATAATTGAGTAGTTAACACGGCATTTGCTATGGTGTTTTGGGTGATCCACTCGCTTGCACATGTGACCCACTGGCTTGTGAGATCCGTTATTCATCACGGCTTGAGTCACGAGACATGATACCACGTGACATAGGCGGTAAGCCACATGGAGGCAGTTTCCCCACGCCGCTGGACTGCAAAAGGCCGGGTCTCTTGTGTTGAACCCCGAGGAATTGTTGCAGTGATCCGCCTCGTCACAATGCCTGCTGCATACTCTCTATCCATCCTAAATCTCCGTTGAACTCATCCAAGTACCTTTCGCCTCTGCCAGGCCTCTCTCTCTTCGCCTGAGCAGAGCACCTCTCAATCTGCGGCAGCATTCCGCTTAATTCCAATACCCCTCATAACCAGGGGCTATCCACTCCTTCGTCCGTGCCTCGGTGTCTTCGTCAAGATGCCTGGCCTTCCTAGTATGTTTGGAGTGAAGCCGGAAATTCGGCCTTGCCAACACCACCCGCAATTGTGACGACACAGGAGCTAATGCTGGTATAGCTAGTATTGATCTCGATGAGTGCATCGAGCGGCTCTATCGGAAAGAGCTCCTCGCAGAGCCAGTAATCGAGGCCGTCTGTGCAAAGACAAAAGAGCTGTTGATGAAGGAGAGCAATGTGGTCCACATCCAGGCGCCGGTCACCGTTGTGGGAGACATCCATGGCCAATTCTTCGATTTATTAGAGATCTTTCGCATTGGTGGATTCTGTCCGGATACAAATTATCTTTTCCTTGGTGAGTGATTGCATGATTCGTCTATTAGTGATGGAGAGTCGTCGGTTCAGATGATAATGGGTTGGCTAACCCCGAATGTACAGGCGACTACGTCGACCGCGGCCTATTTAGCGTAGAGACTATCTCTCTGCTCGTCTGCCTCAAATTGCGATACCCTCACCGAGTCCATCTTATCCGCGGTAACCACGAGTCCCGCGGTGTCACCCAATCCTACGGCTTTTACACCGAGTGTGCCCGTAAATACGGCAATGCCAACGTATGGCACTACTTCACGGACATGTTCGACTACTTGACACTAAGCGTGGTGATCAACAATGAGATATTTTGTGTTCACGGTGGTCTTTCTCCCTCTATCCATTCTCTAGACCAGATCAAGATCATTGATCGATTCCGCGAAATTCCTCACGAGGGCCCAATGGCTGATCTGGTCTGGTCTGATCCTGATCCTGAACGGGATGAATTCTCTCTTTCACCTCGCGGGGCGGGCTATACTTTTGGAGCGCAGGTGGTTCGGAAGTTCCTTGAGTTTAACAGCATGTCCCATATCTTGCGGGCACACCAGCTGTGCAATGAGGGTTATCAGATTTTGTTTGATGACCGCCTAAGTACGGTTTGGAGTGCACCTAACTACTGCTACCGTTGTGGAAACCTGGCCAGTGTCTTAGAAGTCAGCGACAATATGGAACGCTTCTTCAACATTTTCGATGCGGCCCCTGAGAATGACATCCACCGGAGCGAGCAACAGGCACAGCAGAACAGGGACACGCAGCCAGTGATTGACTATTTCTTGTGATACCCATGATGACTTCTTACGTTTTGCCAATTTCTTTGTTTTCTCTTCAGTTTCCCCTATATCCAGCATTGACTGCCCCGTACAGGAGTTGGGGGATGGAATAAAACACGACTGCACATTCACGGATTGTATTGGGCCATTTCGCATCTCAATTGGGGAAATATCCACATAGATATCGGCAAATAAAAACAGAGGCTGAGAAAGCAACGAGATCCAGCTGGAGCCTCCCAGAAGCCAAAGTACTGTAAAATCAACAGAAAAGCAAAACGGCCAAAGACCGAGTTTCAACAAACTACACTGTAACAGGCCCCACTTGGGAGTTAACCTTGGAAAAGACCATCTATCAGGCTTTTCAAGTCAAAGGAAATTCGTCACGCTTGGAATAAACAATGGGCCGCTCAAAGAAGCTCAAACAAAGTTAACCAAAGAGATCCCAATTTTGACTACCACTCCTTGGTGATATCAAAGGACCACTCAAACAGGAGATGGGTGTGGTCATCGTCATCCAAGAACCGGGACACAGCGTTGTAGTGACCACGGAGAAGCATGCCAGAAGGAGCCTCCTCCTCAGCAACTAGACAAAAGCGAGTCAGCCATCAATGGTCCCTGCAAATTCAGACAATCAGGTCAAGTGCTGGGTGTACTTACAGTCCTTCTTGTAGACAGGCTTCTGGTCCGTGCTAGGCGCAAAGCTACCCAGCATCTCCTCATCCTTGCTGACACGAATACCCTTGCGCTTCACAATCTGCAGGTACTTGAGACCACTCAGAACCTCATGGTTAACCTGGAAGACCACCTGAATATGGAACTTGGCTCCCTCCTTAATGGTGAATGGCTGATCCTTGAGCTTGTCAACAGCCCCGGGAGAAGACAAGTCGATGCACACATCATCACGACCCTCAACCCGCAAAGCGAGAGACTTGATAACACACTTAGGGTCACCGGGCTGTCCAATGGGATTTCCAGCGTTCAAACCCAGGGAAGCCTTCCAGCGGACCATAGCCTCATCATCCTTGTCTGTCGGGTATAGTGTTAGTCCGGTGTTGATTGTGGCGGGGTTCTGGCGGGTAGGTGTATAGGCCGATTCCCGTCTGGACTTAAGGAGATTCTTCCTTACCAAGCTCCTGGTACTCCTGCAAAGTCTTCTTCTCACCGACCTTGAACCCCTCGGTCTTGGTGGCGGCGAGATCTTCGTTGTGGTCGGACATTTTGGTATGGAGCGGACTGCGGGGGCAATGGAATACAATCCGGGGAAGTAAACAACAAGTGCAAGTAGAATTGGGGGAAGATGGAAGCGATTGGGAAGGGAAAAGTAAAGGTAAAGAAGAAAAAAAGGGGGGGCAAGACACGATGCTCACATCCCACTTTGTCTCCTGACTCCCTAGTGGGGTTGGAAAGGCGGTGGAGGGGCGAGGCTATTCGGATTGTTTATCTTGACACTTTAGGCAGGTGCAGTCTACATGCAAGATTATCTTTTTCCTAGATTGTTCTCCTTTGGAAATGCATGTCGTTTGGTTTGAAATTATTGTTAAGTTTCAGGAATAAGTCTAGGCATCTTGGTGATCCTCGTTGAAGTCCTGTGCTCCAGAGGCAAATCTAGGCCCCACTCGGGCAGACCGATTTTAAACATGCATCACTAGTAGGGAAGATGGGAGTTGAGACTTCTCCACTTAACAGATCTTCCAGTTGAAGGGAACATTCAAAGGCTTTTGTCCAGATATTTATAATAGATATGTGAAGTTGTATATGATATGCTTACTACATAGGAACGACATTTTACCACCGCATTTTGTAAACGTCATATTAAGCATCAAACTCATATTACGAAGAACCAGCTTCATGTATACAGGGAAGCACAACAAAACAAATGGGACCCACTCCAGTGTCGCCAGCGCCAAATAATCTCTATAACAATGACATTCGATGAGTGATATCTCCAGCCATCTTGCCCAGGTTTCCTAAGGCAGACCCAGACCCATTGTCCGGGCCATATCCATACTTCAGAAATAGGGCCAGAATTTCAGATTTGCCCAGCTGAATCGCCTGTATCAACGGAGTCTGCTGGCGACTATCCTGTCGATTAGGATCAGCCCCATGATCCAGCAGCAACTCAACCATCCGTCTGCTGCCTTTACCAACAGCCTTAAGAAGAGGCGTCCGACCAGCATGACCAGTCTTATCAACATAAGCTCCACTGCTAAGCAATAACTGTGCCACTTGATAACGATCACATGTAGCAGCATAAGAAAGCGCCGTCTCCCCCGAAGCAGTAATGCCATTGGGATCCGCACCAAAGTCCAGCAACAGCTTAGTTAAAGCCAGATTACCGGTCCCTGCCGCCTGTGAGAGAGCCGGTTTCCCATAAACAGATGCAGCATTCGGATCCGCACCACGGTCTAGGAGTAGCTCAGCTATATCATTATATCCGCGCAAGGTAGCCACGGAAAGTGCAGTCTCACCACCATGACCCATGGCGTCTAGCTTTGCGCCGTGGTCCATGAGAAGCATGACAACATCGTAGTGACCAAAAGAGGCAGCGATGATCAAACCTGTTTGTCCGAGCGGGTTCTCCGTATTCGCACTGGCGCCCTTTGCCAGTGCACATTTGATTGCATATACATCGCCCATCTTGATTAATGAGCATAACTCGCCTTTGTTATTTGTCATTTTGAATTTCATTCGACTCATGAGATTCGGTCTCTTGCCCCTCTTGACTGCCACCTGTGCTATTGAGGATAAGGAGAATCGGTTGAAATTCCCTTCGGATGCAGAGCGGCCTCTGGCTTCGAGCTTTATAGGGACGGCACTGTAGCCGGGGCTTTGGTCTGCAGAGTCACCCGATACCCAGGAAGCTTCCGGTTTTGATATCACTGAAGGTCGGAAGGCCATTTGATTGTCGTATCCATCGAGTGGGCTGAATATTTCCCTGGCCTCGGGGAAGTCGTCGAGTGCCCTCCCCGGCAGTCTTCGTGGTACCTGGCGATTTGAAACCTCGATTTCGACAGCCACGGAAATTGGGATGTCATCGACCAGTAATGATTCATTATCCCAATCTTCGTCCTCGAGATACTCGCTTGAGGTCTCTGAATACTCGGACGAGGACCCTCTCTCCGTATTCGACGAGTTGGTGAATGTTGTTGGCGAGGGGGGTATAGGTATCTCTGGCTCCGGCTTTGGAACGATATTACCCAGGAGCCTGCTCTCGAGTGCTGCTTTTCTGAGAGTCGTCAGGATAAAGTCCTGTTCCTGGAAAGACTGCTCTGGCGTTATGCCAAAATCCTGTAGCTCTTGCTGTAGATTCGTCCATGCCTTGTCCTTTTCGAAAAATGAACCGTCCTTGAATACATTGGATACCAAGTTTGCGTCTCGTGCTCCGGTAGCAACGTGAACAATATAGTCCCGTAGCATTTGGTTTAGCTTATTCTGCGAGGATCTATATACCGTTAGAACATGGAATGATAAGTACTCATGTAGGTGCATTCAACATACACTACCATGTGGGCATTCATAGCGCTAAGGCCAAATATCACGTCATTGATTAAGGCCCGGACATCCTCGACGAGCTCTGGCGAATTCACCTCGGGATTACTTCTTTGGAGTTTCTTCAAGTCTACCAGGATAGAGTGATAAATCCTCAACTTCCTCTGTTCTTGAAACTCTTGATTCTCTGAGCGCTCAATGAAGTGCTTCCCCGAGAGACCGAGAACGAGAATAAGCTGACTGAGCTCACTTTGTACATGATAGGTAAGAACTGACGTCTCACAAGTGTCATAGAGCAGCTTTGCTAATTGTTTGAGGGCCGCGATTTGATGCAGCGTATCATCGTTGAAGATGACCATGGCAACAAGTCCAGGAGAAGATAAGCAACATATCACCAAAGCATGACATAGTCGTGGTAGCGCGTTGTCTATAAGTAATAAGTATGATTCATTCAGGGTTGCCATATTGGGACTGGGGCGGAGCCTGGAGGATGGCTATGTCGCCGTTTTTACTCTGGCTGGTGATGGCCCCCAAGCGGTGGCAACGTGCAAGAAGCCTTGTGTCATGATCGGCACAAGCATATTCAATCTGAAGAGATAATTTGAGCTGTCTATCTATGATTAGATAAAAAAAGACAGTTGGTAGTGGAGACACAAAGTACCATGAAGCCTGGAAAGCACAATGCAACACGTTTGGTATCAGATGGTTTGATTCACAGCAAGAGATGATCGACAATTTTGAGAACTTACTTGATCAGGCTGCTCGTGTCTTGCCCGTTCAGGCGACCAGGATATAATCTCCAAAAAGAGTAAAGGGTTAGTTATATGGGGAAACCCACTAGCTTTAAGATGTGCATCTAAGTTGTTCTACAAGCTAGAATCGGTACTGTCCCGGTGCTCTTGCCCCACTAAACAAGTACCCATGTACTCTCCTACTCAGGTATATGACTTGTCACTTCCGGTTCCAATAAGTTGACATTCTTATTGCGCCTTTCCACCTCGATTGAAAAGTCTCACAACATTAAAAGTTCTCTCCTCTATGCATTTATTCATATTATGTTCCCTCCGCTTAACCTTGTTGCCCAGACAATTTTAATTTAGTGGGGTTTACAACGAGAAGCGGGAGGTGGGGGGATGATGTGGCAAAGCGCATGCAGACTGTTTACCGTGGGCTGCAAGACCGATCCAGTGATCTGGGAGTTGACTGAGGCTAGAACCGATTTGGTGTTTGAAGACTATTACCTAAACTTGCTTGTATGAGTATTCAGATACATAAAATATGAATATTTAGAAGATATATCTCTGATTATAGCAAACCAAATCCTATAGAAAAAGAAGAAAAAAGAAAAGAAAAACATGGGAAATGCGTGGGTCACGAGGTATCGTTGTTTCCCAACGGGATTGGTATGACTGAAACACTGTATTTATTGAATTGACCAATAAAATACTTTAATACTGATACCCAGTAATACCATTCCATAACCGGACCTTACCGGAAATGGCATCGAGGGCCCATACGAACATTCCGTCGCGACAGGCCTTCTCCCCTGATTGTTCCTTATTCTTTATCGCTGTACTTTGATTCGAACTCGTGTTTTGATAACTGTGCACCAATTTGTCTGACCTATTGTGGTTGACTTACCTTGTTCCCGCATCTTCCCCCCCGCCCGGTGCTAAGGTCCGACCCGCCTTTTTTCAACCAACGCGCCTGCTACGTGGCCGTGGGCGCATTTTCGCAATCCTTCAGACGAACCTTACCGTGTCGCAATCATCCATCATGTCGCGATCTCTGCCAAAAAGAACCAACCCGCTCATCCTCAGTGGTGCGGCGCCGGCTTGTAAGTTTTGTCTCAAGGCGCGTATAAGCGCGACCGCGTCTCCAACTGTCATCTCCTGGATCCATCGACCGCGCCATCGCTAACTTGTCGATTTTCCCCTGCGCTATAGACGAAGAGCTTCTTGCGCGCCGTCGTCTTGGAAAGACCAACCTCTCTGTCAAGTCAAGCCAGGTCGGCACCTCAAATGCGACCAAGCCTGAGAACTTGGGCTTGTTCGAGTATGCTCACCTTCGGGCTCCTCTGCCCAAGGACCTGAAGGGCTCCGAGATCTTCCCTTCGCACAATTCCCAACAGCACCCAGAGACTTATTTCTTGATGGTAAGAACTTCCCATACGCCTGGATGAATACGGCACCCGCTGACTCTACCCGTGGGCGAATAGCGAAGGAGCAAGGATGGTTTCGTCAGCGCTACTGGCATGTTCAAGATTGCCTTCCCCTGGGCCAAGGCCGAAGAGGAGCGCACCGAGAGGGAATATCTCAAAGCGCGAGAGTACACCAGCCTGGAGGAGGTTGCTGGCAACGTGTGGATTTCCCCGGTCTTCGGTACGTCTAGACTCCACTGTACACAAACTTATCCTGACCAAATTTACAGCCCTCGAACTTTCTCGGGAATACCAAATGTACGATTGGGTCCGTGCCTTGCTAGATCCTACCGATATTGCACAGAGCCCCACGAAGAAGCAGATCACCCCGCCCCCGAAGTTTGAACTGCCCTCATCAGATGACCTCTCTATTGCGCAGCGCCGGAGCCGCCGCTCTGTCTCTCCCACCAAGAAGTCTTCATCTTCTCCTCGCAAGGCTCGGCAACCCCGCTCTACAAAGGAGACCCCGAGCACCCCGTCTACATCTGCTGCCAACGAGAGTCTGCAACAGGCCCTGGAAGTCACAGCTTCCTCAGAGTTGGACTTAGCGAACGGAATTCTGGAGAGTGTGGAAGAAGAAGTTGAGGTCAAGACCACCGGCTCCCCGGAGAAGAAGAAGGGTCGGAAATCCAAGAAGGCTGCCGAGGCCGGAGAGGAGAAGGAGGAGGCCAAGGAGAAGGAAAGCAAGAAGGAGGAAAAGAAGGAGGATAAGAAGGCAGAGAAGAAAAAGAAGAAGGACGTTAAGGAGTCTGTGACCGATGTCGAGGTTGACCGCTCCGCCAATGAAGAGGCTGAGGTCTCCCAGGCCACCCTCTCTCTCGACATGCCTATTACCCTCCCTGAAGTGCCATCTGCAAAGGAAACGGAAGAGATGATTGCGAAGGCCAAGGCGATGGTTGAAGATGCTATCAAGATCCAAACCTCCGAAGATGCGGCTGCAGGATCGCCATCCGTCAAGCTCACCAAGAAGCGCAAGTCCGAGGATGATGATGAGGAGACCGCAGCTGAAGCCAGCCAGAGAGTGAAGAAGGCCAAGGTCCTGGAGGAAAAGCTGAAGCGTGAGCGTGTTCGGAACCGTGCTCTCTTTGGTGTCTCAGCTGCCTTTGCTCTTGCGTACGTCGTCTGCATTCTTTGATAAAGGAACATTGCTAACATCTCCTTAGTGCCTCAATTCCCTACTTCTTCTAGATTGATGATTCAATCCAGGTCATGGTTGGATGACCTGATCAACTTGCACTCATATTCCCCAGCTCTGGAGCCTTGCATTGACATACTTGGCCTGGAAAATATTATTTTGGATTCCCCATGCCGCTTTGCCATTGAGAAGACAGCCTGCCATTCTCTTGCCCTCCTCGGGCTGGATACTCCAATCCCGCAGAATCTGTCGGATCTGTCTACCGAAATCACATTTCCCCATTCCCACTTGTCGTTATGATAAATATATTCTTTGTTCTTGAATGTGTCCCTGTACTTGCCCTTGACATGAAATCTTTCCTAATATCTTGCTCCTATCCCCACACAAGACCTTGAATCCATTTCAAAAGAAACTAATCGTGAATCAAATTGCACGGTCCTGTTAATTCATTGTTTTGCTTCTAACTCTCGATACCAAATGCCCTTCCCCCTTCGTCCCTTCACCATTCTTTCCTGCTGGCCTAATGATAACTTTCAAAGTGCAAGAAATATTTATAGTGTTGGAAATATCTACTCCAATAGACAAAATCAAGTAAATCACACGTGCATGCACATCGCATAGACTAGCTTCCATTTTGTATAAAAGGCCCTTGGAACCCAAGAGACTGCTACGGAGTATAGTGAACCCGAACAAAGCCGGAGAAGCTTAACGGGAGATGCAAACAAATCAAAGTTAACAAGCTGCAACTCCATACTCCAACCTTCCTCTCCAATTGCTCTCACTTTGTCTCCGCATTATTCTTTTTCATAATTTAGCGCTCAAATGTCTCTGCCGGGCTTAGAGCTCACCCAACCCTCCGAGGACCGGCAATATACTGTCGCCCCGCCATCGCAGATCGCTCTGAACCCGGGCTCGGAGTGGAGATTTGAGGTCGCGTTCGGTCACATCGTCAAAGTCAAGGTATGTCTTTTGGTCTATATGATCACGACGGTCACAGGATGATTTGTACCCGTGTCATGAGAGCAAATTCACTCACCAGTAACCGCGCTGCAGCTTCTCAATGGAACCGCTGAACTCTTCGGCACTGAACTCGCCGAATCGCAAACGTACACATTCACTGGCACCAAAGCCGCAATCTTCACATGGCACGGCTGCGAATTGGAAATTAGCGCCGGGGAAACTGTAACAACTACCACGGTAGATGGATCCACGTCCGCGGCGGGCCACGGCGCAGGCGGGTGTCAGAGTGAATACACGTCCGATGAAACGCCTATGATGGAGTATGCCAACTTGCATTTTGCGCTGGAGTCAATACGAGAGGAATCACAAGGATCGGGCAAGGATGGACCTCGTGTGCTGTTGTTAGGTCCCGAGAACGCGGGCAAGACCAGCTTGTCCAAGATCCTCACCGCGTATGCGACAAAGCTTGGGGGACAGCCACTGGTGGTGAATTTGGATCCGACTGAAGGCATGCTCAGTGTTCCTGGTACACTGACCGCCACGGCTTTCCGCACAATGCTGGATGTCGAGAACGGTTGGGGTAGTAGCCCCATGTCTGGGCCTAGTCCTGTGCCTGTGAAACTGCCCCTTGTCTACAGCTATCCATTGCCCAGTCCCCTTGACGCTGAGGGCTCAGTCTATCGGCCCATTGTGTCGCGATTGGCGTTGCAGGTCACAGAACGCATGGCCAAAGACGAAGATGTCCGTCGAACAGGAATCATCGTCGATACTCCCGGAGTGCTTAGCTCGGGCAAGCCTGGCAGCCTGGAGTTGATCAATCATATCGTCACTGAATTTGCCATTACTACTATCGTTGTTCTGGGCTCAGAACGCCTGTACAGCAACATCGTTAAGCAATACGACAACAAGCCCAGCGCAAGTGCTGCCGCTGCCGTTTTTGATGAGCGGATTTCTGTTGTGAAGCTATCCAAGTCCGGAGGCTGCGTGGACCGCGACGCGGCTTTCCTCAAGAAGACACGCGAGTCCCAGATCAGATCTTATTTCTTCGGAAATTCCGCTCCCTCAAATGCACTAACGACCGCCATCACATTATCTCCCTCTACCCTGCAAGTCGACTTTGCATCTCTGACGGTGTACAACTATACCGTTACTTCTACAGAAGACGAAGATGAAGACGACTACGACCCCTCCCAGCTCAGCACGGGAGATTCTTTCCTCCCTGGCGGAGGTGTTGATGATTACTCCCTGCCCAAACAAGAACCAGACCGCGCTGCACCTCTCCCAGGCATCGTCGGCCTTTCCTCCGATCAAAATACTTCTACGCATTCATATTCCAGCAATATCCCACTGAAACGTCTTCTTCCCCCAGCGCCCCTGGCTCTTGAAAATACTCTCATCGCCATAACCCACGCCCCGACTACCGCCTCGCCTGCTGCTGTTCGGGATGCCAGCATCAATGGATTCCTCTATGTCGCTAACGTGGACGCCGAGAAAGGAAAGATCTTATTGCTGTCACCTATTCGGGGAACGATACCTTCGCAAGCGATGATCTGGGCTAAGCGTTGGCCTGACGAGGTTGTAGGTCTGGTGGGTTGATCGTATGGTGTCCGTCACTTGCATTGGCTTTGGTTTCATAAGCATTGGAGTTGTTGGGATTTATATACCCACTCGAAGATTTCTCATTGATTTCGCTTATTTCTTGAAATGAAAATGGATCGTAGAATCAAGAAAGAAAACATATATACGGTTACTTTTCTGGAAATACTTCGCCATGCACCACGCCTTTAACAAACAGGACGGTTTAAACGTTAGGCCATCAGATTGATCTCATGGAATCTGAATTAATTTTTTTTCAACAAAGACGCGAACTATATAAGGAACTTGATTAAAACTATCACCAGAAATGAACAAACAACGCTAAATGATATGCTACCTATGCCAATGCCATGCCATGTTATGCTATGCTAGTATATGCCCAAATGCCAACCCAAAGCCAAAAGTTGTACACGAAATTTTTAAGCCTTTTCACCGCCAAGAAAGCACAAAGTAATACAGTAACAGTGCTATGCAAGACCCATTCCCTCCACAAACTGCCAGAGATTACGAGTCACTCCCACTTCCTCCATTCCTCAATAGCCTTCCTCAACTCTGCGCTACAATCATACCCCCTCGCCTCAGCCTCTAACAACTCCTCCCTCCGATCCGTGAATCTCGTCTCCGCCTCAAAACGTCTCAAAGCAACAGCTTTGAGGGCCGCGAAATCATCGTTCACAACAGCGTCCCGGAACTTGATCCTCATCCGCACCGAATAGAGCTGACAGCTCGCTTCGCGGCACCGATTCGGTGTATCACCGGGTAACAGACGCGTAGTGGTTAAGAAACTTTTGGCGATGGGGTGGTTCGTTTTCGCGAGGGGCCAGATCACTTCATCGTAGCAGTCTTCGCAGACGCACAGTTCCGGAAGGGAGGGCATATAGTGCCATGTGCCCTTGGTGGGCCTGTCACGACGACAGTCTCGGAGAACGGTCTTGCGGCGCACGTAGTTGAGGAAGTCGTCATTTTTCGGGTAGTGAGAGGGGTCTGTTTGGGCGGCGGCTTTGTCCAGGAAATCGATATAGTGCACGAAGCGCGGACTGGTGGTCACGAAATCGCACATTCGTTCTTGGATCTCTGGACTTTGTTCGAAGGTGTCTCGTTGTGAAGGCATGAGGATGCGGACATTGCGTGCGCAGCTGCTGCAGATGTGGAAGCCGGACACATACATGCCTGTGCCTGGGTCGACGATGCGGTACCAGGTTTGGTCAACTACGGTGCGGCCAGGGCAAGGGCTGATTCCTGGTGGTGGACGGGTCAGCAGGTAAAGCATTTCCAGGCTGGGGTGTTGCTTTTTGATCATCTGCATCCAGGCTAGTCGGGTCCAGGCGTTGGCGAAGGCGCAGCGGATTCTCTGTGTGGCTGGCTTTGGTAGGCTTGGGATGAAGTAATCGCGGAAGCGGGAGTGCCCGATTTGGTTCATGCATGCGGGGCATATATCCAAGTGAGTGAGGCCCTTCAGAGTGTACCAGTCCTGGAGACCTGCTACCGGGATCGAGCGAGGGCACGGAGTCACACATACTCCTGTTGACCGCTGTGGGGAACTCGCTTTCTGGCTAGGTGCTGGTGCGGGTGCTAGTTCGGGTGCTGGTGCTGGTGGAGGTGCGCTGTGCCGTGGGAGGTCATCTTGAAACCTGACAGAGTTGGCCCGACGAGGTCTGCTAGAGCTGGCTTGGGCCTCATCCGATGACATAGACCTGGAAACCATGGCCGAGGGGGCCCTTGACGATGACCGCAAGGCAGGCGGCGCAGGCGCGATTAACGAAGTCGCCCTGCCTCGCGTGGCTGGTGGAAGCTCTTTGGGCTCTTGACGCCGCTGACTCGGAGCTCGAGAAGGCTCGCGAGTAACAAGTTGTACTTTTGGCGCTGGAGCTACTGGGAGAATCTTCGGGCTGATAGATTTGGCCCTGGATCGCCTGGGAGCTTCTGTGTCTGAATCAGATCCTAGCTCGCGAAGCTCGTGTCTCAATCGAAGTTTCTCTTCAATCCTCTCCGAGAGCGTGGGAGCATCAGGAGATCGTCTGACTTGTACTTGCGATTGGGTAGACACTGGCGAAGTGACGTGGGAAGATAGTCTACCGCGAGTGGTGCTCGAGTCTGATTGATATCCAGAGTTTGGCTCCGAGTAATGCCGGCTTGGAGCCATCTGGCCAGTTGAATTCCCCGTCCGCACGCTGTTTGACCGGCGAATCGATTCCTGGGGAGGGAATAGATTGGTCAGATCGTAGCCACGATCTTGGACACCTTGCTCAGGACGCGGCCCGCGGATATCATTTTGAGGGAAATAGCCTACTTTCCCTCTGTCAAGATCACGATCCCGGGGTGGGGACTGTGGACGAGGCTGGCGGGGAGGCTGTTGACCTGAGGCAGGGGGCTGCTGATGAGTTTGTGGCGCGCGGCCTTGAGACCTGCTAGAGACCGACGATGGAGGGGGCCTGAGAGGTTCATTTAATGGAGCCCTATTGCGAACAACTGGCTCTGGGGCCCGGGGGGAAGGGGTACGGAGACCAGTGCTATTGTCATCGGAAGAAATGTTCTCCAATCCAGGAGTAGCTGAAGCGCTGGGTAAAATTGGTGAAGTCGGAAGAGGAGAACCTGGAGCAAGTATGACCGGGTATTGATCAACAGTGCCCCTCCTGCAGATACCCTCCACTCCGGGCTTTTCGCCGAGCATGGAAAGGCCGTGTAGCTCTCGAGCGAGTGAGGCTGGCTCCTCCTCCACACATGGCGCTGGAGGCCATTGGAAACGCACGCCGCGAGAAGAAGACATATTGTTGTGGTTGGTAGGAGAGATCATACGCAGTAAATTTAAGATAGTATGATTTGATAAGTTTTAGCCTGCTGCAATGTGGTGTTGTGATGAAGCTCGAGAAATTTTCAAAATCATAGTCTTAAGTAGCAATAGAGTTGAGCAGTAAAGCGAAGAAAAAAAAGGCTTTGTACAGTGGCCTTAGCTTGGAGGAAAAAATTTTCTTTTTGTATTCGGAAACAAAGATTGCAATGTGATGTCGTATGTGCGCAGCCCGGGTAAGACCAGGGTATATAAGTGTTGGTCAATCGGGCATCACCCTGGGCTAAGAGAACTCTGATAGGGCCGCAATGGTGATTGGGCAAAAAGTAGACGAATGACCAGGAATAGTATCAGGCCGCAGGCAGTGTCCACAAGGATTTTCCATCGGAACACCGCATTTAACCAAAGGTGGACTCGAGCACCACGCCACAAAAGAGCGAGACGGGCGTGGCTATAGCAATTGTCGATCATTGGGCACGAAGTCAGACAGACACGGATGCTCCCATGTTTCAAGAGTTTCTTTTTACTGTAGCCTGGATCCACCAGAAGCAACGGAGAATAATTGAAAAAGCATAAAACATCTATTCAAAGATAACTTTTCCCCTGGCGTGTAGAGATGTTTGAAAATGGCGAGTTGCAGGAGCGATCCGGCCAAGTGTGGGCCTGAAGTGATGTCAATTGCCGCGGATGTAGATCCCAGCCTTAGTCTGCAGTAAGCATGAAATCCCGCTGGCCGCATGCCTTAGGACCAACCGAGATCAGGCAGGAATTTCCCAGAAAGGCAGTGCAGATTCGGTGTCTCAGCTCGAGAGAAAATTCCTCTCGAGCATGCAGTCTGTGCTCCAGGGGCTGAAATGTGAATGCTGGCGTCTTTTCCAACCCACTTTCATCCTAGAGAAGAATAAAAAGTCATGGTCGCTGTACACATGACATTTTCTTTTTGGACATGACATCGGCGGCTAAAATGGCTGGAATTCCAGCGCCCGTTGATGGTGCGATCTCAGGCTTTAGATCCTAGTATGAGACAGATGTCTAACATATGGTTGATTTGTTTGAACACTCTCTTGATAGGCGCCATGAGGCCCTGACAATTTACAAATAGTCGCCCATGTGTACAACAGTACTCCGTACACCGGCGCTGATCCGACGGTTTGGCAAAGCCGACGGAATGGCGTCAACAACCCCCCACATCTCGGATGCTCCCTCGGATGCTGCTCCGAGTACTGTACAATCGGCTGTTTACCCGGGCTGGATCGAAGAGGGTCATTGTAATTGACGAATTAGAAACGAAAAACAACCAGTGACTTGCAAAGTTGCAAAGCAAAGAGGAGATGTCATGACGAATCGTAAATCGATAAGGCAATTCCGTGGCGGAAATGCGGGGATGTTCGATGACAAATGAAGCTGTTGATGCGATCAACGCAACTCGCCGTTTTTAATCGCAATTCCCCCACTTCTTCCCTGCTTCCCCATGTCACTCGGTACCCTTCGCAGAAGCAGTATTCGCCTTGCAGCTGTTCGCAATCATATTATCCCAATCCCTGTCCATAGACCGTTCGCATTCACACCAATCCGCAATATGTCCGTCCCTACTACTATGAAGGCCATCGTCGTCGAGCAGACCGGTGGTCCCGAAGTTCTGCAATACAAGACCTCCTACCCAGTACCCACACCAAAGGAAGGCCAGCTGCTGGTCCGCAACAACATTTCCGGCGTGAACTTTATCGACACATACTTCCGCACCGGCCTGTATGCATCCCCAAAGCCGGAGGTACTGGGCCGTGAGGGTGCCGGTACTGTCGCGGCAGTAGGCCCCAACACATCCGGATTCCAGGTTGGAGATCGCGTTGCTTGGTTGGCCAATGGTGGCTATGCGGAATACACCGCTGTCCCTGCAGCTAAGACCGTCAAGATCCCCGAGGGTATCAGTGATGAGGATGTGATGGCATCGTTCTTGAGTGGATTGACTGTCCTCTCGTTTGCCAAGGAGACCTATGCCGTGCAGAAGGGTGACTGGGTTCTCCTGCATGCCGCTGCTGGTGGCGCTGGTTTTCTCATGACTCAAATCCTCAAGTCGATCGGCGCAAAGGTCATCGGAACAGCCGGTGGCGCGGAGAAGTGTGCACTTGTCAAGAGCCTCGGGGCTGACGTAGTGATTGACTACCGCAGTGAAGAAGGCAAGGACTGGGTTAAGTTGGTTAAAGAGGCGACAGGTGGCCGTGGTGTTGACGTCGTGTACGACTCTGTCGGCAAGGATACCTGGGAGGGAAGCTTGGAAGCTGTGAAGCGCAAGGGAACGATTGTTTGGTTCGGCAATGCTAGTGGACCTGTTCCTCCCCTTCCCCTCCCGTAAGTTCGATCCCTGGAAAATTACTATGGACAAAGCTCAACAGGTTGTACAGGAAACTCTCCCCGAAGTGTGTTAAGATCGCTCGTCCCACCCTCTTCGGCTACATTGAGACCCGGGAGGAGTTCGAGTACTACACCAATGAGCTCTTTACTTTGCTGAAGTCTGGTCAGCTTAAGGTGAAGATTCACAAGGTCTACCCTATGGAGGAGATTGCTCAGGTTCACAAGGTTAGTCATCCTTTTCTCATCAATGACTCAGTGCTTACACTCAATCACAGGACCTGGAGGGCCGGAAGACAATGGGCAAGCCTCTTATCAAGCCTTGAACGTATAATTCAAAGGCTAATATTCATTTCTTGATGCCTAAGTAAATGCTATGACTATTAAAATTCAGAAATACCACCTGTACTGATCAATGTTGTATGATGGCCACCCCGAAGATACGTAAGAATAGAGTATGTCACAAGCATGCGTTGGAAGCCGCTAGTGAGCTTCCATAGTGTTGCCTCAGTCATTGTCGGTATCATCCATTTCCACAAAAAGTCCACCTTTTGGCTCCGTCGAAGTCTGCACTTCATCCCTGAGGTCTCGGGGCCGCTTCCAGTTCAGCATCATATCATTTGCGATGCTGATATTGAAGCTTGGGAACGTTGAGTAAACCTGGTCAAAGTAGTAGGCCCCGCAATTCATCTTCCAGATACTTGCCACGACCTTCAAACGGGGATATAGAAGGTCCAGAAGACTTTTTTCAACGAAGAAAATAAAGTCATAGCTAGGCGCATTACCGTGCTCCCACTCCCAGCGCTCCTTGGGGCTCAAATCAATCTTTGGCTTACCAGGTTCACGGAATGACTTGGCTTTGACAACTCCAACGGGGTTCAGCTTCATATGAAATGTGAACTCCCGGTAGAAGTCACACGTGGTATAATCTGGCTGCGCAACGGAAATTACCTCAAAGCCATCGATATCCTGGACTCTCTCTGCCGATAAAGTCCCGGCCTCGACATGCTGGCAAAAGCTGGAGGCGGTTTCGTGAACACCAGCGCCGGCTATGGCGTACTTCACGATGAGCTGAGCCTTTTCAGAGCTCATACTCGAAGTAGCCCAGCTGCTATTGTCGCTTGATTCGAAATAGTGTCCACCGAAGAGCGTTGAGCACGCCTCGTTGAAATCCCCGGGCGCTTTGCGGATCAATTGCAAGTTCTTCCAGAGCTCTAGACTGGCAATAGTGCATGTCTTGCGGGCCTGAAGAATATCATCTTTGTATTCTGGGCATACGTCATGGAAAAGCAGGAATGTCAGGAAGTTCCGGATGGTACCTGTAGCGAGCTGAATGGACTCAACACTGTCCGGGTTGAAGTATGTCATGAAGAAAGAGCCACTGTAGAATATTAGCTTGGATCATCGTCTGCATACCAGATATTTTCGCTCACAGGAAGCCCCGAACCACTTGATCAAAGCTGATATGCAGGCTCTCGCGCTCCTTCTCGATCAGGGTCTGGGTACGAGCCTGCATAATCTCCTCTGCATTCATCTCTTTCATATCCTTGGGAGTAACACCAGTCCCGAAGTTAGGGCCAACGCTAACACCTCCATACTGCAGATACTTGTGGAAGACATTGCTCCGAGCAGGTTCGATGCGGCGCTTTCTCTGGAATCGCATAAAAGCCTCCTCAAGTCGGCTGGGGAATGATTAGCCACAATATCACCAAAGTAGACATCATTCCTTACTCCAAGAAAGATCGATCCCTAAAGATCATGTTTGATTAGCGCAGTATTTCATTATTAGGCTTGTTCCATCAAAACGTACGGGTGATAAATGAGACGATTCTCACTGTACTCGGAAGGTGTCATCGGTCCATCGGTACACCACTCCTCAAATCCAGTGGGCTTGCCCTGTTATCATAATCATCATTAGCTTTGAGGACCAGATCCGGAACCATCTACACTTACAATTCCCCGCTTGCTTTTGGAGCCCCGATTTCTCTTCTTCTTCCTTTGCATCTGAGCCGCCACAAGCTGAGGGCCAATCACTGCGGAGGCTTGCTCGAACTGGGTGTTCGTTCTTCCAGAATTGGGCTTAGGCTTTGGGGGTTCATCCTCAACATCTTCAACCTGGGCGTGCTTGGCTTTATGAGCAGCACACTTCTCAGAAACCTGGACCTTGTCTGTCTCCATTTCATGCCGATTTTGAAGAGCAGAGCGAATTGGAAGGTCCCCAGAAATGGTGCATCCTTTTGATGCTGTATTCTCCATAGTGCCAGGGTTTCAAGGTTGATCAGGTGAGTTGTAGAAAGGAGATATGAGAAAGATGTAAGAGTCAGACAAGAAGATAGATGACAGGGGGTACAAAGAAAGAGAGAGAGGAAGATAAGAAGAAGCTTGATAGGTGAAGCAAAGAAAATGGAATGGCCTTGTATTCAAGGGCACCCAAAGGTGATCACAGGCCAATCTCGAGGCACCCTTCGAGGCCTGAGTCAAGTTCTTGTAACTTCACGAAATGAATTTATGGAATTATACGCATTACTAGCAGTACCAAATACAACTTACTAATGCAGTAAAGTGAATTATACATGGCATCTATGATGATCTAAAGTATAATCCTCTGTAGGTTATCAAGTCTATCTGTACAGAATAAGCACCAGTGTAGGATCCAGAATTGCACATGTACTATTAAACTCAATCAACATTAGAACATATGTTCACATGGATAGATATACGTTGGGAGAATTGACAGGGGTCGACCCTTCTTGTTCTCCCCATCGGGGTTCTCGGGGCATACATATCTTCGTATGGTTGAAGATGTTTCCTAAGGTAGTTGGTAGTTCAGAGATACCACTTGCAAGCAGTTTGACGGGGTTTTGGTTCACGAATCATGAGGAGATCATATCTATAGCTACGTGTATGAGTGAGGATAAATTGGCTAACCCTTTGAAACAGATAATTATCTAGAGATATATCTGATGGGGAGGCCCCGGTGTGCTGTTGGTGGGACAGATGGCTACATGTCAATTGGGAATACGTTGATTATTCAATCCAACATCACACCTGTTCCTGCTACGGTTGTTGCTGATGTCTGACTTGACAGCTATAAGACGAGGTTTTGCGTCGCTATGTAATAACATTGATTATTTCCTTCAAATTAATCTCCACTTTCATCCTGTGTGGATTGTGGTGTGCTGCGAGTGCGTAGTGTGAAAGGATCTTGGAAAGCTGTGTTCATCAATGCTCGCTCAATCTGGGGTTCATATTCCTAGCACGTATAACAAGGGAATTCATGCCACAAAGGCGCCGCAAAGCCAGAGAGACTCAGCTCCAACACGGCCACCAAGCCCTACCTATGTACTCTTTGGTAGAGCTTTGGTCGAAGTGTCTGCTTGAACATGGACAAAGTTTGAGTAGAACAATGCATCGAATATGAAGAGGCTGGTACAGTCGATCTGGCTCGCTGTGGTTGGGATTGGACGCTGTATTGCCCGGGGATCCTCCTTGACCCACCCTTGTTAGTCACTTTGTATAACTGTATGGTATCCCGACGGGCCTTGTAGGTTGTGAGACGGTGTTTCTGCGGGTGCTGTTCTGGTGACTGGGCGGCACAAAGGTAGAGGTGGAGGTGGAGGATGTTTGGCGGTGTGTTGGGTATGCATAGGGCGATAAGAAACGACGACGTTGGGTTAAAGTAGAAATAGGAGGCGACAGCGTAAAATAGACTTCGGGGATATGGGTTGATCAGGGTCGATAACCTCTGTAAGGCACTAAAATGGTGCAGAATGATCATCATGAACCCATTGTGGCGTTTGTGGCTTTGGCTCCGTGCTCATACCCGTCAGCGGGGTTGATTTCTGCAGAGGGATTATTACCACATCCCTTGATCGATGAACTTTGGAGAAAACTCGAAATCGACCGGGTATGTAACTAGCGACACAATACATTCTGGTTAGTTTCAAAAGTGTTGTCGCGATTTTAAGTCTTTGGGATCACGGGGCTGACACATTTTGGTATTTGAATTAAAACGAAATGCCATCGGTGTCGACGAGGGTCTTGAAAAATAGCCATGACTGTCCTTTCGCTGAGAAAAAAAAAGGGGGGGAAGATATCCAGATCCAGCCCTTGCACTGTGACCACTGCTAATTCATCCGGCTCACACCCTTTTCACCATTCCTCTGGTTTCCCATCGCTGTGCTTTGAAGCAAAAAATCTTTAGTAACCGCCCTGCTGACCACCGTAGCCACCCTGACCACCACCGTAGCCGCCCTGGCCGCCGTAGCCACCCTGGCCGCCGCCGTAGCCGCCCTGGCCACCGCCGTTGTAGCCACCACCGTAGCCGCCGCCGAAGCCGCCACGGCCACCACCGGGAGCACCAGAGCCACGAGCCTGAGCAAGGTTGACCTTGATGGAACGGCCATCAAGACTGTAACACGAAGAAAATCAGTTAGTGATCATTTCTGGGAAATCTCAAACGTATAACACATACTCCCGCTGGTCAAGACCATCAATAGCGGCCTGAGCCTCCTCAGCGGAGCCGAAGGTAACGAAACCGAAACCGCGGCTGCGGCCGGTATCGCGGTCGCGCATCACGATCTGATCGGTGTGTTAGCACAAGTTAGTTGGGACTCTCTTTCCGTTCCAGAGCGAACGGGAAAGTTGAAAGTCGAAAGGGGGAACTGCATACAGCATCGAGAATCTGGCCGAACTGAGAGAAAGCGGCAGTGAGGGAATCGTCAGTGGTGTTCCATGACAGGTTTCTACAAAGATCAGCAAGTGGAAGAGTCGTTATTTGATTCATAGCATACCCGACGTAAACTTTAGCAGAGGTAGACATGATGTGAAGGTTGATAAATTTCGATTTGGGGAAAAGAAAAAAAATGGATGAGAGATGGTCAGGAAGGAGTACCAAATAAGGGAAGAAAATCCAAGGTTGAGAAAATTACCCCGCTAAGGAAAACTTACTATGGGAATGTGTGTTGCCAAACAAGCTGACCAATCATAGGTGAGGGGGTCATGGGACCCGGTTTATTCTCAGTTTTCTCGCTAGACGCCATAATCCATAATCTTGTCGATCTCACACTTGACTCCTTTGGGATTTCCAGGGCTATTCTTTCTTATAGCAATTTGGGTCCCTTTCGATCTCTTCATTTGGTTTTGTCGATCATTTGGATCTCCCTGATCTGTGTGGCCACGTGGCTCACCCTAGTGGGGGGTACCAAGTGGGGTTTATCTTTGATTCTATTGATTTACACATTCAAGTAGGTTGGGGAAGTCATGGGATTGATTCTTTTCACGGTCTAGATCAGACCCACAGCATAAAAATATAAACATCTCGGATTAGAGTGCCATCGGCATGTTCTTTTTTGACTTTCACTGATCCTGAGTCTCTATTGAATGTCAACGTAGCTCATCCCCTTCTTTTGGACAGTGCTTCTTCACCGCATGCCGTTGATGGAACCGTGGCTGAGGCTATGCCCTTGCCACTACAGGTGCTTCTTCACCGCAAATGCGCCCAGTGGGTTGGCGCTCCACACCACATCAAACAAAAACCAAAAAAGCTTGAAGTCGATGATGACTTGAAAGCCCAAAGTGTTATCCTGACTCAGTCCTGAATGGATCCTGACACGAAAGTGACGCCTGTCCAGAGAGGAGCATAAGCTAAACATCTTTGATGTTGGTGACGAGTTCGAAGATTGTGTTTGCAGATGGGCGTTAGAAGCTTCAAGAGGGAAGAGTGGCTTTTCAGTAGTCTTAATTGCTGTAGAAGCAAATTGTGAAAGGTCATCGAAGAGACGAACTTGCAGAGTCTGAAAAGTTAATGAGATGTCATAGGGAACGATCATGGTAAACAGACGTTGAAGCTCGTGGAGGCGAGTCGGAAGGATTTGGTGATCAGAGTGTGTGATCATTCCCTCAAGGAATGTTGACAGAGATTGCTGTCAAAGATGGTAGGAATGATGGGTGCATGATCGCTCGTGAAATTCAAATTTGGAAATTGGAGATGGAAGATCAAAGTTGAAACTAGGCGATGGAAAACGAAATTCAACGTTGGAAATTTGGGGGACATGGAACTTGATGAAGATCGAAGTCGAAAATTGGATGATGGAACTTTAAGAAACTTAGGAGTGGTGAAGGAGCAAGGAGGGAGCACTGGGAATAGTGTGGAGAGTGATTGAGTCGCAGGATCACCCCCCTCGCCCAGGATCGACAAATCACGCACAAGGTCAGTTACTGAATGCCTTGTGTTTACTTCAGGCCTAATTTCAGGCCTTCATGGGAATCTCCATGGATTTCGAATCACACATCTCATTCAGGATCACCTGGCTTGTATCACATCCAAACCTGTGCACCATATACTGACATATATCCCAAAATCTCCAAGGTCTTATTCATCGCTCGCTAGCTCTTGAAGTCCACTCTCCAAATATAGCTGATTACCAGCAGGCGCTGCATGACACCAGCGTGAAATTCTCTCGACGTTAGCCCTGTCTACACCTCATTCACAAGTCGAGATCCTACTCCTTCATGCTGCTAGTCAGAGTAAGAGCTGGTCACCAGGCCTTGAAAAGGTATTGTGCTACTTTCATCAAGTGTGCTTTCCAATTCATCGAGTCATTTCGCATCTGGCGACTAACGGCTCGAGTCAGTGTCTCTGCCTCTAAAGCGCTATTCTCTGCATTCGTAGACGATGACGCCTCCTTCGCATTGACGTCTGTCATCTTGACTGGTTTGGCTACCTCGATTTTGTCCCTCTTCTTCCTCAGCCAGCATGTTCATCCGACAATCGCACCATCGTCATTGACCGCTGCGATTATCGAAGACATCCGATCACCAAGCCATGATCTGATTGACCCCTCCATGGGAATTTCATGTATGTCTTCTGGCCTGCCATTGAGCATGATATTTGAGAATGGCTTGAACGCAGCCAAAGGCACTCGGACAAGCTCTGCGATAATATTGGGCGAGGAGTGAATCCCAGTGTTCCTGGACTTCCTGAATGCACCTCTCTAGGGAAAAGATGAATCAGTTGTCACAGCCTTCTCGAGATGGAACATATTGCGTGGACTAAAAGGGTAAGTAAACAGGGGTAGTACCCCTGCAGCCCTGCTTAATCAAGCTAGTTCAATTCCCCACTAGTTCAGAATCTCAGATGCTGCTCACGTCATAGGAAGAGTCAATCTGTAACAACATCACCGATAAGCAAGACTGATAAGATCTGGCATAACTATAACGCCATATTACTCTCTGGTGCATTAGCGTAAACAAGCTCTACATTGCAGAACCGAGGTGCCTTTTTGCCGGCAGAAAACTGGCGGTACAGCATTCCATTATCAACAGCCCAGATATTAGTAGTTAATAGATACTCTAGATACTATAAGTGTCATGTTTTATATTAGCCGAGAACTCCGCAATTGATCCTCTCATTCTTCACCTTGCTATCCGCTTGTCCATGAGCATTTGCATACTTCACCCCGCTTCCCGAAGAACAGGCAGCTAAAGCCAAAATTGCCTAATTCGCGCCACCTCAATCTTGCAACGAATCCCAAATTTATTTCTAGGTGTTGAGCACTGGCTCGGCATTCCTATCGGGGTGGTACATATTGAGTTATATTCAATATACGACAGAAAGAGGAGTAAGTACATAGTACCAAGTGCTGCTTGCTTGATTCTCGGCAAGGAGCTAGGATGTAACACGATGGCAAGATGAAGCGAGCGAATCAGGAAACAAAGAGATTAAGCGTCTATATGCATCAGGATACAGAGGAATAGGCGTTCAGAATGTATACAGCATAATGACAGCTAGGTCACAGGTGGGGTATGTCTTATCTGGATTGCCGCTTTATGGTTTCTCTAGATCATGGAGTAATTGTCAGCACGAGTAAGGTTGAAAACGTGATGATGACTCGGGATGTCCTAATTGAGCTACCCCGGCCCGGAGCTCACTGCCCCCCTTGACCCACTTTTCCCCGTCAGATTACTGTGTATACCATGGTAATAAGGTATTTTATCTGCATACAATATGTGTTTCAATACGTAAATATATTTTGTTCTAGAGCCAGCCCACGTGTAAACTACGGCGGTACGGTTTTGTCAGGGGGAGGGAAAGCTATTGTATTTAATGTTATGTAATGTAAAATAAAGAGCTCCCCGCCCACTACCCGTTCAAGTTAAGATCAGGGAAACTCAATTGCCGGATATACCACTTTAAGATCGCTTGCAAACTTTCGTGCTTGATTTTGAGATTCTTTAAGCCTGTCAATATGCTTAGCTCTAGAAGTGTTCTAGAATCCTGAGCGCAGATGACCATCTGATTTTGTTAGCTCATTTACGAAGGGTTGTCGCGGACCTCTACATACTGCTTGTAGCGATGGATCGACACTTCGGCCAAATATCAGAATCCCCGCGTGATACCAAAGATGTCTCTGCGGTGACACGAATACATATCTTATTCGTTCCGATGGGGCCCCCACAACATTCCAGCACATGATGTGGGTTGTTCTCCAATTTTACCAGACCCGGCGGGTGGCGGTGACGTGTATAACGAAGAGCTGCTTGCAGCCATTTAATAATATTTATCCTACCTTCTTCCCCCCTCAACTTTTCAATTTGTACACATCACTCTCACCATGGCACCCTTGAAGCTCAACAGCAAGAACTTGCCCCAGATCTGCGCCGCTGCGCCGGTTCAATTCCCTACCTACAAGCGTGGTAACGCTGTCAAGGAGGGAATCGTTCACATTGGTGTGGGTGGCTTCCACCGAGCTCACCTGGCTGTCTATGTCAATCAGCTTATGGAACACCATGGCGTTACCGACTACGCCATCTGTGGGGTTGGCTTGCAGCCCTGGGATGTGGGCATGCGTGACGCCTTAGGTTCGCAAGACCACCTCTATACTGCCATTGAGCGCTCCGCCACGGGCAGCGTCGCCAAAGTGATGGGCAGCATTAACTCCTACCTCTTTGCCCCCGATGACCGCGAAGCTGTCATTGCGAAGATGGCACACCCTGATACCCATATTGTGTCGCTTACTATTACCGAGAGCGGATACTACTACAACGAGAATACCCACGAGCTCCAGAGCGAGGATCCTGATATCCAGCACGACCTCAACCCTGCTTGTAATGCCCCGAAGACTACTTTCGGCTTCCTATACCATGCTATGGACCGACGTCGCCAGCAGGGCTTGAACCCTTTCACTGTCATGTCCTGTGATAATATGCAGGGCAATGGTGCTATTACCCGTAGCATGCTAGTCTCTTTTGCGCGCCTCCGCAATCCCGAGCTCGCGGAGTGGATCAACACGAAGGCCCACTTTCCTAACGCTATGGTGGATCGCATTACCCCACAAACCTCAGACGCCGACAAAGTATCTCTCGCAAGCGAATTTGGCATCGAGGATTCGTGGCCTATCGTCACGGAGCCTTTTATGCAGTGGGTTGTCGAAGACCACTTCTGCGACGGTCGCCCTCCATTCGAATTGGTCGGAGTGCAGATTGTCAAGAATCACAAGAATGTTGAAGAGTTCGAGAAGCATAAGCTACGTCTGCTTAACGGCAGTCACGCTATTATTGCCTATGGCGGCCAGCTAGCAGGATATAAATACGTCCACGAAGTCATGGAGAACCCCCTATTCAACAAGTTCATCTGGCAAATGATGCAGGAGGAGGTGAAGGCCACTCTCCCCGAAATCCCTGGTGTCAGTATCGATGACTACTGCAAGACTCTCGTGGAACGATTCTCCAACCCCACGATCATGGATCAGTTACCCCGTATTTGTGGCGGTGGTACTGGTAAGATCCCCCAGTTCATTATGCCCAGCATCGCTGAGGCTATCTGGGTTAACGGGCCTTTCCGTCGTCTTTGCTTCACCGCCGCCTCCTGGTTCCACTACATCAACGGTGTGGATGACAACGGCAAGAAGATAGATGTTATGGACCCTATGCTCGACGAGATTCAAACTCGTGCTCGTGCTGGAGGTACCAATCCAATGGAATTGCTCAGCATTAAGAGCCTCTTTGGTGAGGATCTGCGCTCCGATAAGCGCTTCATTGAGACCATTACCGTCGCTCTGGAGGAAATTGCCCGCGACGGCATCCTCAAGTCTCTCCCCAAGTACATCGACTAGATAAGACATCTTTGAGCTTTGGGCTTGCTGAAGAAGAACTTCCTCCTGACAGCGATTGATATCATTTTGTGGGCATCCGCCACAAGGGTGTGATTTTACGAAAAGGCGAGACATGGATAGAGAAAAGTCGGCTGTGATAGATTGAGGATTTTGTTGGAACATCGACACAATGAATTTGAGATCAAGGTGGCGAATGGAGGATTCTCTTGTGTACTTGAACTGTTTCTCTTCCTCCCTTCTTCTCCACCCCTGACGTTGAATGCACAGTTGTCTATCATCAGATCTCATGGTGAGCCTCTCTGACCATCGAGATGGCGATGTAATTTTGATGGAGTATATGCAAGCTAAAGGCAGTAAGGCAAGATTAAAGCATGGTAGATGATCATGTGTATAGTACAATATACAATTAGACTGCATGCGGCTTTTTGTTGCGGATCAACCCGTGATCGACGTTCATGTTATATTTAGCTTTAGCCTTCATAGACCGCCTTTGCGGGCGGTGAATTCTTGTCTATCCAGTGATATCCGCCTTCAGCCGAGTTCATTGGTATTTTAATGCCTATGTAAGGAGACTAATATTGCGTTTATATCTGCCTGTATACAGATTTTGACATTGCTCACCTATCCATGTCTTAAGAAATTAAGAATGAAATGTGAGCAGTAGCGAGAAACCCATCCCGGATTAAATGAAATCTGTAGGGCTGACCAACGTTAAGCGCCTCAGCAATAAGGTTGGCCCCTGCACTGGGTTTCACGGGCCGTCAACAGTGTAACCAGCGTCTCCTGAAATTCTCCTCGAAGCTTTCCTTTATTACCCTCTCAAGTTCTCATTAAGCGATCTATTCGATTCTTCGATTCTAGCCTCCATCTTTGATTGGAGCCGCTACATCCTGTTGAGTTATCCGGCATGCAATGAACAACGGTCAGGGCAGCAGCCACTCAAGACCTCCCATCAATATGCCTAAAGGAGATCAAAAAACTCCCCAACTAGGCAGCGATGACCTGGTGCCTTTTGACCATGTCGCTGCGGGACAGTAAGTATTAACCCCACCAAGCCCCCAAATTCCCCACGCGACACAGCTACACGCCCACTTGGGCGGTCGCTCACGCGAGAGGGGAAATACCACCCAGGGATACATAGCCCACCACCGCCCTACCCTTTGACCTCAGTGGATTTGACAATAGTACTAATCTCTCCATGGCTTCCTGCAGCGAAGGTGTCCGCCGGACCCTCTCGGGGTCATTGATCGTCAAACCCTGCACTAAACAAGAAGTCGAGTTCTACGAATCCAGCGCCCTCCACCCTTCCTTCCAGGAATTCATGCCCTTGTTTGTCGGCTCGCTCTCATCAGCTGAGCAACAGCAGCCCCTTGCGATCGCCGCCGCGCAGCAGTCCGGCGCGGTTTTTCTGCCTGCACTTGGTGGTGCTCCGACGGATCCCGTCTGTCCCGAGTCGGTAACACCTGCACTGCCTACGCTGCCTGCTGCCGTGCCACTTGAAGGTGTGAATGCTGGGATTCCGACAGAGTCGCCCTGGGTCCCATCCGAGGGGAAAAAACTAGAGACTGGTTTGTCGATCGTGTTAGAAAATGTAGCATCGGGATTTCGGCGACCAAATGTGTTGGACGTGAAGCTTGGAGAGCGGTTATGGGCTGATGATGCGCCGCCTGCGAAGCGGTCGAAGCTGGATGCGGTGTCGAAGGAGACAACGAGCTCAAGTTTGGGATTTAGGATTGCGGGTATGAAGGTCTGGACGGGCGAGGATGGGGAAGCAGATGAAGGCGCTCGGACCAACCCGTACGCTACTAAGTATGAGGGTGCTGAAGGGGAGAAGGGCGAGGTTGTGGAGAAGAATGGGTATCGACGCTATGATAAGTGGTATGGACGATCATTCAACGAGTCGAATGTCAAGGAAGGGTTTGCGACATTCCTGGCGGGTGCTAAAGCTGGTACGGTTGACCGGTCGAAAATGATCGCGAGGCGGATTGTCGAGGAATTGAAAAATGTGCAGCAAGTGCTTGAGTCGGAAGAGAGTCGCATGTATTCTTCCAGTGTGTTAGTGATATACGAAGCAGATCCTGAGGCGATGGAGATCGCTTTGGAAGAGGAGAAACGACTGTCCGAACAACCTCAGGATGAAGATGTGCAGGGGGAGGATGACGATGAGGTCAATTTCGAATTCAATGAGGAAGCATTTGAACTGGTGGATGCGCAAGGAATGCCTCAAAAGGCCATCAATATCAGCATCGACCCCCAAATCAACCAAATACCGGAATTCGATCTGGGAGATGATGAGGACGATGAAGATACGCCCAAGGTCCACGACTTGCGAGTGATCGACTTCGCACATGCGAAATGGACGCCCGGTGAAGGCCCTGATGAGAATGTGCTGAAGGGGATACGTGGTCTGATCAAGATATTGGAGGAACTCGCCGAATGATGAAATTTGTATAGATTTACATTCATGGGCCTCAACTGGTCGCAGGCGACCATTAGAGTCTTCGCATGCCTGAGGCAATCTAGCTATTATATTGAGGACGAATATTGGAGTAGTCATGAATTAGCGAAACCCAGCTCTTCAGATGTTCATGTAGTATTTACTTAATACCCTGGAGTACTCCGTATTGCCTACTCCTATGTATTTGGTGCATTCCCCTGGGTAGTGCAGTTTCTTATCATCCTACGCAGAGACCTGGTCAAGCTGAGATATTGGAAGCCAACGCTTGAGAGTGAAGCAGATGATATGATCTTATGCCACACCAAAGATGGAATCTCGCAAACTATTTTAATTCTTAGCCACCGAAAATAGATCATGAGAGTGAAGACAATGCAATTGCAGGCCAGTCATCATTAGCCAGCGTGCAGATTTCTGGCCAAGGCCAATCCGGACCTTGATCCTCTACTGGCCAACCACCAATTGTCTCTAGCCCCGTCGATATTCTCAAGCATGCAAGGAAATCCAACTCGATAGAAGGCCTTTGCAACATTCCTAGACTCGCTGTTGACTCGTAACAGGTTGTTGAAAATTTGGGCGTCATTCAACACAGCGACGTAGGTGTAATTGAATCTCATGATTGTTATGTCCGGTTCATCCTTTTGCTCTATTGCCTTAATGTTGATGCGGATGATCCGTCGGCATTTAAAGCATGCTTCCATACCATAGTACGAATTTCTGCTGGAAGAGATCGAAAACAATGAAAGCTTTGCTCTTCAGGTGTTAAGAGAAAGTAGGAGATCTCCAGTTGTTGTTGTGGCTCCATGCTGAAGACTCAGGAGAAGGAAAAAAAGAGTTGTAAGCGAAGTAGAGATGGAAGTGAAGTGAAGAATTCATTTGGAGAGAAAGTTTTAGATCAAGGTACATATGGGAAGTAGTAGCCATAGTGAGCTACTAGTTATAATTTGGTTGATATTTAGTTAGGTTGACCATAGGTCCATAGTTAACTATCATTCGCTGACCTAATCCAACCCTGATCTTTTTCAACTTTCGCCGCTTCACAACGAACATCCTCCGATTGTCCGCCACACCATGTTTCCCACACGAGCCCTGCTGGGCCGGTCGGTCTGGAAAGGTGAGATATTCCTCAACCCCACCGACTCTCCCATTTTGCAATCGTTAACTCTAGCCAGGCCCGAACATCGTCCCGTGCGTCCATCCCGCTCCACGTCCATACACACACTCTGCCGCCAGGAACCCAGCGACAAGCTTCCCAGGACGGTCGCAAGCATGTGAAAAACAGCATCTAACATTGAATTAACTTCTAGTCTCCCCCTCCCGCGAGTCCTTCCTCCTCCCCCGAACACTCCCCCGATCCGCACGACAAAGCGTAGCGCAACTATCCTGCCCAACTTTGTCGGCTTGCGCTTTGCGGTACATAACGGCAAGACCTACCAGGAAATTTCAATCACCGAAGAGATGGTCGGACGGAAGCTTGGTGAATATGTTGCGTATGTCCTCCGAACAACTCGACTGGACAGGACCTATTTGATGGCCTTGCCCATGGCAATTGTACTAACGTATGCCTTGAATTTAGGACCCGCAAGCGCTTCACCTACAAGCAGTCTAAGAACAAATAGATGAAGAGCACGGCTGCACTTAAAGCCGGATATTTGAAGACCTCCTTCCGGCGAATTACCTTTACCTGCCTCGAATCTCGAAACCCTCGCCTCGATTCGAAACGCGTTTTCTTTATTTGCAGGGGAAATCTTGGATTCCCTTGTCCCGTACCAAGCGGGATTATTTCTTTTGGTTTGGCCTTGTGGCCCATGTACAGATACATCAGTGGTTCCCTTGTGACATTAGCTATATGTGTGGGATGGAGTTTAACCATGGAACTTGTTCAATATCAATATCAATATCATTTCATGCATTGCTTTTAATTAACATCCTAGGAGACAGACACAACCCTGCAAACATTAAAGATACATGCTGAACTCCGTCTTCTTGAGATTGGTTTTGCATCCTCCAATGCTACAACATACACTAAGCCAAGTCAGGCACCGACTGAGCAGTTATGGAGATGTATCAGCATTGGAAAGTGGTAGCATTGGTCTCATTCTTAAACCCCTCCAAACCATTGAAATGCTCGGGATATCCTTCCCGCACCCATCGGGTATCAACATGTACGCCCAGCGCCAGAAAGTAAAAGCCCACCATAGAAACGTGCAAAGGAACTGAACGCAGAGCAAGGTCTCCAAAGACCCATTTTTCATCCATGTATACTTATCGGTAAAACTCTCCGCGCTTGACGGTCACGCCATATTCAGAAACTGCCATGCCCAAATCCTCCATCGTCAAGACAGTCCGTCCCTGTCCAGATCCACCGGATCCACCACCACCGAAACCAGGACGTTGAATTCCAAGGTGAGTGTTGCCCTTGCCAGCCTTGGTGTCACCGCCTGTTGCACCGCCTGGCGCAGCGCCCATGCCGGCAGGGGCGCCGATGCCAGAAGCAGCGTTCAGACTGCCCATCGGGTTGTTGGCGGATGAGCTGTTGGAGGCGCGGATACGAGCAAACTGGTATGAGTCGGCGGCAATATCGGAGACGAACTTTTGCGTGGCCAGTGCGAGGAGGCGAGCGAGGTGTGGAGGTGTTTGGTTAGGTCCTGTGCCTGGAGGGGGGAGACCGGCCAGAGTAAGATAGTGGGCTGTTACGGCATCAGGAATCTAAGAGATGATATGTTAGCTGCATGTTCTTTCTTTCTCTTTCTCTCACTTTGTCTAGTTGGGAGTGACTAGTATCATGTATGGTTGACGTTCGGTATCGCGGGGGCAAGCGATGAAATTCCAGAGAGTATGAGGGCAGCAGCTGAGCAGTAAAGGTATAGGTGATCACATACAATAGGGGCGTAGTCATCCATCTTTCCTAGAAACTCGCGCAAACTAGTTTCCTTCTTGGTTGGTGGCGGTGCAGCAGCCAGGGCGTCGAGACCAGGCGCATTATCATCGGCGGTACCGGAGGCATTCTGGTCAACGTTCATGTCGATGTCTTGTTCGATAGAAGCGTCAAGGTCCGTATCAGGTTTAATAGCAGGGTCAGCCGTATCTGGGGGTGCAGTGGATGAAGGGACAGGCGGCTCTTGTGACCCGTTTGAAGGTTGCTGAGAAGGGGAGGGTTGAGTTTCAGCCATATTGGGCAGTCATGGGAAGGTGAACCCTCTGAAAAAAGAACAGGCTGCAGGGGACCAAGGGTTGGCAAGACCAATCAATGGCAGTGAGCTTCGGAATCCCGGGGTGTTGGAGATTCTATGCATTTGCGGATGAAAGAGCCAGTCAGACGTAGGCGGAGAACTGGTGCACGGACCACATTGAAGAGTGGATTTACAGATTTACAGATTAGCTTCATCATTCTATCCAGCGTTTGAGATTGTTACTAATTGCTTTCATTGGCTTCAAATTCATAGCTATGTACTTATACACTCAAGTAAATCCAAAACTTAGCTCCGAATTATGCATCACGCATCTTCATGCTCCATGATCACTAAAATCCTCAATTGTGCAACCCCATAATACAAGTGATGCAGTAAAAAAAAAAGTGCAAAGAAAAGCAAATTGGAAGAAACACCATTTTGTGACATACGCTCAAACGGGGAAAGGGCATCAGACCGGAAGCAGATCAGATCATAAAATATCACAACACTACCATGAATTGATAGATAACAGAACTCCATCGATCACTGGCCCAACTGCATGTGTGGATCAATATGGTCCTGAGTTGGTTGAGGGTGCTGGTATTGACTACCATGAACCTCCTGACTAAGTGTTTGCATGAGGTTCTGCTCAGCAGTCTGATCAAAAACTGCCTGGCTGTTCGCGTCTGGGGGTAGACTGGGTGATGCAGACATCTCATGGCCACCGACAGGTGACGCATGGGCTCCAGCCAAGGCCATCATTCCCTTGATACCTTCCACGTGGGCTTTATCTTCTTCACCCTGCTTCTTTTGTCTTTCCCTGGCTTCTCGCTTGGCAGCCTGTGCAGGGGCTCTTGTTTTTAGCTCACCAGTGACAAACTTGAGGTAGTAGGGCACTTCGATCCCACTCTTCAAGAAGAAAAGCTTGAGATTGCGAGCCTTGTCCTTGAGCTGAACCTGGTTGCGGTCTTTCAAAGCCTCACTGATCGTGCCACCGGGGCCAAACATGGCTAGGATCTGACTCCAATGAGGACCTTTGACCCGGTCTAGTCCAGCCATGAGAGCACTCTCTTCATCAGTGGTCCAGGGTCGGCGCTGACTGGGTAGGCCAGACTTGCGGCTGGTTGGAGAAGACTTTGCAGACGCAGCCATGCGGGCACGCTCATACAATACCTGTGTAGGTTGTGACTGAGTGTAATGGGGTATTCCCGGCATGTAGCCATGGTTTCCAGTCATCCCATTAGCTCGCGCTTGCATGGTCTGGGCTGCATTGGGAGTGTACTGCTGGAAATTGGTTTGCAGCGGGCTTTGCTGAAATGTCAAACTGCCAGGTGGTTGTTGATATCCACCAGGAGGTGTCGGACTGTGATATTGTTGCGGCGGATGCTGCACAGGTTGTTGAGCAGCAGTGTAACCATGAAGATATTGGTTGTCGGGCTGAGGGGTGTGTTGTTGCTGTTGTTGATGCTGTTGCACCGGCTGGGGTTGATGAGACGGCGATGGGCTGGCCTGAGATTGTGGCTGATGTTGCTGCTGCTGGTGTTGCTGCTGCTGATGCTGCATCTGCGACTGCTGCTGTGAACGTCGAAGGCCATGGCCCTGCAGAGCAATTTGCGCGGCACGAGCGGCGCGAGCCACCAGGTCACCATGCATGTTCCGGTCCACTGGGACCTCAACCGGCTGAGTAACAGCGAACTGGCCTTGGTGAGTGGTACTTGGAGATTCTTGCGCATCACCATTTGAACTTGATGGCTGCCGTCCCTTCACCGGCTTCTTGCCCTGTGGGTTATTAGCGTATGATCAGATGATACAGTATGGGATGGAAACTCACTGGCTGGGTATTAATGGTATCGAAGTTCTTAGAGATGAAAGAACTAAGATCGCGTAGGAAGTCCTCCCATTGGTACTTATCTGGCAGGCTCTTCATCGCCTCCTCGTTGTTAATGTCGTGAAGAAGATGGTCACGTCGAGAGGCAAGTCGATTGACAAAGTCTGTTTCACTGGGGGCTAGCTGCTTGCTGCCAGGGCGTCGCTCTAGCAATCGCCGCTCCATATCATCGGGGAACAGCTCATACAAGAGACTTGTTCGGGTGCGCGACTTGTTGTTCATCGCGGCGATGAACGCCTGGGTCTTGAGCTCCAGATACAAAGCAGCTTGAACCTTCAGTAGCCTCCCACCATCGGCCATGAAAACACTCAGGAAATGTTCGTTCAACTCAGCAAACCCGATTTCCTGGGAACCAAAGATACTCGACACGAACGAGGCCAGGTTGGCCTTGCGGATTACATCGACTTGCGAGGAATCCGTGATTTCGAGATCAGTCAACTGGAGAAATGAGTGCTTAACGGAGTAAACTCGTTTGGTGTGATCAAAGAGCGAGCGCATGGTTGCATAGGCTTGGCCATTCTCCGAGTCTGGCTCCGAGATCATGGCCGTCAAATCTTGGTAGCTGTTCTTGGACAGAAATGAAAGAATTTGGGTAGACTGTCAGCGTGGTTAGTGTGCGCAAATTCCTGAAAAATATATGCAAGACTTACCAGGTTGTCCAGAATAGGCAAACTTTGAATTTTCAAGTGGGAGTTGGCCTTGAGAAACGCGTAGCCTCTGGCACCTGGAAAGTCGCCCGATGGGGGAACTTCTTGAGGACCCATGGAGACAGTTTGTTCCTGTCGATCGGTATGATCCATTATCTCAGAGATGATGGTCGCGACATCCGGGTTAAGGTTGGGATCTTCGTCCTGGGTGATGTTCTGAGTAGGGTCGAGCTGCGAGTGATCGGTCGGTTCCAGGGTGTCTACAATTCCTTCTCCAAGCGCTGTCGCCAGTTCTTCCTCAATTTTATGACCGGCTCCATGGTGATGCTCCGAAAAAGAGTCATGGAAGGAGATGTCGCCCGAGCCCGAGCCGGTTCGACGCTTTTTGGCAGGAGGCGAACCGTGTTGGTCGCTGTCCTCCAAAGGATGGGGGAATTTTTGATCTGTGATCAATTGAAGAGAATCAAGGTCAGTCATAAGTGGCTATAAATGAGTTGCAAGGAGTGTTTGAGGGTTGACTTGGGGGATGAGGCGGAATGGGGACAAGCTTTGACGGAACGCTCCAATTCAGACTCACCAAGGTCGCCATCATCAGGACCAAAAGATGGCAGTTCCACAGAGCCATCAAAAGATGGTCGGGAACCTCGAGTTTCGACCATCTGGACGTGAAAAGAGAGGGGGTTGGCACGTCAACTTTCCAAGAGCAGAAATGAGGGCTTAGGGGTAGGGCGCATTTGTAGGGCTTTGGAAGGGAGGGAAAGTTGGTCTTTCTTAGCCGCAGGGATTTTCTGCCGGTGGGGGCGGTGTCAGTGTCATTATTGGTCAATTAACTGACCGCCAGGGAACACCTTCTACACTCTTACGGACTGCTAAAGAACCACACTTAATTGCAAGAATTGGGACTAAGGTGCGTTGACATTAATGTCTCATACTTATACTTTACTCTAGTTGACTAGGTAATTGTTGACATAAATGTGTTGATGTTGACTTGGTTGAGGTAGAAATAATGAAAATCCGGGGTCCGCTTTACCCGTTGAACATCGACCCCGGACTTTCGCCTGACACTTCAGGCCAACCATTTTCTCTACATCCAATCTTTACAGGAACACAAATGCTTCCGCCTCAATATGCTTACCTGAAGATCTTGATATGATATGACATTTTCTTGGCAAAATTTAAATGGCAGGGTGGGTTCCAGTCCGGCCCTAGCGGCCATGTACCAAAACAACTTGTGAGCGTCATCGACATCAGAATGATCTGCGTGTAACCTTCGAGCCACACCTCAACCAAACATCGGATTCCTGGAGGTTCCAATTTGACAGAAATCAAAACCATTGAGGGATTTGAAGAAAATTATCAATAGCAAACGTTGAGAATGATATATCCCTGCACATTGGCCGTCTAAAGTAAGTAGATAGCAAATGGAGCCCACATGTAGAACGCAGGTTGATGAATTAAGGGAGAAAATGTCCATCCGGGTCTACCGAAGCTGCCGAAACTTAATTCCATCTTAATGTTTGATTGATCTCCTGCTGTTATTCTCCCCAAAAGGGTTTGCGCCCCAAGAGACCGGTTTCCGAAAGCGGCCTCAAGTGCTCTTTTTGGGACCGATTTCCCTGATATCCTGAAAGCCATGAAACTTGGGCCAGGGGTCTAGCCCATCCATCCTACCCTAGTATCTATGTAGGTAGGGAAGCTTCGGAAATGTCTTGCATTTATTCGAGTGGCTCCCCCGAAAACTTTATACTTTGGAATTTTGGACTCGATTTTGACAAAGTGCCTGTTGCTCCATTGGCAGACATCACTTAATCCACCACCAATTGGAACATACTATAAGATTGAGCGGCCTGGACGTCATTATGCTCAAAATCCGCCAATTCCTTATACTTGGGGCTTTGGTTCTCCAGGTCCCTGCCCTCGCCAGTGCCGAATATACCGAGAAGGTCTGGAGTGTTTTCGCCTACACTCTCTATGGAGATAGTACCCCTGACGCACTGCTTGAACAACAGCCGGCAGGCTTGTCGGCTTATGGAGCCAGTCAACTTGCCGCTGTAGGAACGGCGTTTCGGGACCGCTATGTGTCGTCGGCCGGGAGTACCAATGCAACCGAGTTTGCAATTCAGTCTATCTCTGCATCTGTTCTGATGTCAAAGAACTTGGAGGTGCTTTCGACGACCGATGAGAATGTCATTGCATCAGCGCAAGCATTTATGATTGGCCTTTATCCGCCTCTGGGGGAGGAGAACATGAACGCTACGGATGCAATCGTCAACGGAACTACTTATACCGCACCTTTGGACGGATATCAATTCCCTAAGATTGTTACGCTTGGAAGCTCTGACCCCGGGTCCTTGTTTGTAGCAGGCCAGTCAGAATGCACCATGTACCAAGCTGCGGTGTCTGAATATCGGGACAGCGGGGTGGCCGCAGAAATTACCCAGAACTCCGAAGTATTCTACCAAGAGCTTCTGCATGACGTATTAGCTGGGGCTTACAATGAATCAACGGCAATATATGCGAATGCTGTTAGTATTGCAGACTATCTAGAATATGAGGTCTTGCATAACAGCTCTACATCGGACCATCTATTTGGTGATGATCTTATCCGAGCGCGGTCCTTGGCGGATCAGTTCAGCTATGCTACCAATGGACAGGACGATTCAGCCCTGAATGGATCCACTATTGGTGCAGTCGGCCCCATTGCTGGTCAAACACTTGCGACCAGCATCCTGGAGGCATTCAATATGCACATGGAAGAGGAAGGAAACGGCCACAAAATGACGCTGCTCTTTGGTGGCGATGAGCCTGCTGTGGCTTTGGCTTCCCTTGTGGGCTTAGCCAGTGACCAGCAGCCAAACTTCTACTCCCGTCCCGTCCGAGGCGCGTCGTTGGTTTTTGAACTGTATAGCCTCGAGACCGACGGGGATGATGATAGCTTCCCGGACAGTAGCGATATGTACGTGCGGTTCTTCTTGCACAACGGCACAGACTCTTCCACGGAATTCGTTTCATTCTCGCTTTTTGGATACGGGCCCAGTCAAACCTATCTCCCCTGGGATGATTTCCAGGATGAAATGGAAACCATTTCGTTACAGTCAATTGACGAGTGGTGTCTGCGTTGCAATGCGAGCTCCGTATTCTGTGCAGGAGCACTGGACCGCGGAGATCCTACCCCCAAGAAGAAAGGTATGGCGCCTGCAGTAGCCGGCGTCATTGGAGCAGTCGTCACGCTTGTCGTGGTGGGGTTGATAGCTGTGATTGGGTTCTTCATCTGTGGTTTCCGTAAGCGCGCAGAGAGAAAAAAGGGAGGTCACAAACCGAGCATTGGAGGATTTAAAGGAACTAGCAAGCTTGCTAGCGATGTGGATGTTTCTTTTCACAATCCCATCTGGGGAACCGACAAGGCTGCCAGCATGGAGGAGGATAATGGGTTTGCTGCCGGTGTGGTCATGCGTGGGCAGGAGCGCTTGGGAAGCTGGGAAATGGGCCAGCAAAAGCCGGAGATGGAGAACGTCCAGTCGACGACTCAGCGAGGGTCGTCGGTAGATGAGGATCCTGATGAATGGCGGCTTCATAGTCGTATGCAGCCTGTCATGGTCCGCGAGAGTGTCTGATATCAATATCGACTAGATGACCAAGTTGACCTAGTAGATAATATCATTCTTGTCTTTTTAATCGCTGAAAAAGGATGTTGCTCCATGGTTCGGAGATATTCTAGGTGACTATCGTTCCGTCACTTCGCATCTGGTTCCCAGTTTCATCCTTCTCAACTACTTCCCCCATCGTCCCTGCCGAAACAACCCCCATCAGCAAAAGAATCAATTTTTCGAATCTATTCAAAGCTTCTTTCTTTCTCGACAGGTAAGCCACTAACTCGACTTTGAACATCATGAAGTACAGCATTCTAATGCTGATGGCGTTTTCCAGCCAGAAAGACGTTCCCTGTAACTGGACACCCGATTCACAGCATTGTAAGTGACTCTTCTTGGTTTAAAACGTGTCGTTCGCGCGCCTTTCTCGCGTCTGCATATCTCCAGTCCATATTCACTTGTTTTGGGATTGAAGAATACAAAACAGTGAATGTGTCGGTGTGGAGGAAGCCGAGTAGGACTTTGACATGCGGGTATCCTCTCACGGTTTGGCTCACATGGCAAAGTTCAAGCATGTTCAGCAAGCACTGCAACAACATGTATATGTGAATAATATACATGAATCCTTGCTGATAATGAATCCAGGCAGACTGTCGCGTCCCAAACAGCAAAAGAGAGTCGTTCTCTCCGAATATCAGCCTAACAGGCTAGTTGGAGAGACGCCTAGATCGCCGTCATCCCGACCTATCAAGTCTTTGACTACACAAGCCAGGTCTAAATCCCAACTGCAGCCGAGTAGAAAGGAATCATCTTTCCCTCTGATTTCCGCAGAAGACGCAGGCTTCATCCACTTTCTTCAAACACATTCAACGTCACAACATAAAAGAGTCACTGCTGGTGGCAGAATTGTCTCGATGAATCATATTTCTGTTGATATTGCAGAGCAGCTCCTGGCAGATGAACCCAATGATGTCCAGCTGAATATGCCTCACTTGGATCTCCCCGGTCCCCAGGTACCTCAGCCAGTCGAAAATGGGAGTGATGAAGATGAAAGCTCGGCGGACGATGCGGGGTCTTCGGCGTCGTCCGAAGTTCCTCTTCAAGGGGAGCCTTTGGAAGTGCGAGTGCGACAGCCGGTGTTACATTCATACTTGATGCAGAACCCCAACCAAGTTCAACATCGTCGCAGTTTGTCCAACGTGATTTTGTATGAACAACGCTTCCCCGGCGGCATAGCCATGTCATACTTCCCGCAACACATAATGGTAGGGCACCTGCAGACTGTCCAGTCCTTCGAAATGGCCATCATATATGCCTTTTCTGTCCCCATTTTGCACCCGGTGCTTCCTGGTATGTACCTGAGATTCAATTGGCCTATGACCTTTTGCCAATCACGAGGCTACGCGTGAATCACTGGTCCATGTTGGAGAGCCCGAATATGAACATCATCAGTCGTGGGAATCGGCACATAATGCTGGGTTGGACGGAAATCATTTCGCGCTTAGTAAGGAAATGCATGGGAATTCCGCACCGATGGTACCTCGCGTGGGATCTGCTGAAAAGACACCTTATGGCCATCAAGCAACTTATCACTGAAGTGAGTAGGGTCATTGCCCTTACAGAAAGGACCTCTCCGTACCATGGAGAATTCCGAATGATGTACATCAAGATGAAGGAGCATGTCGAAGAGCAATGCGCAATTCTTTGGGCTGGATATGCTCGGTTTCGGCTAGACCAGGTAAGGCAATGGGAGGCGGCGATGCTGTTCCCGCAGCGTGTACACGTCCCCGGAGTCTCCACTGGTGAACAAACTGAAGGTGTGGTCGCGAATGGTACGTGGTATCCACTGGCACACGGGGATTTGCCTGTCGTGGAATACAACGCTGGGGTTATGAGTGGCACCTGGGTCAATGGCACCTGGTATCCTAATCAACAGGGCCCCCAAGATACAGAAACTTTGAATGAAGAACAAACCGACGCAGCTGTCATCCATCCTATTCCCTGTGCGGCACCGTCTGTCAAATCTTCCGAGAGTGATTGGTCGGTGGAGATGGAGCCTAGCTTCTTCGAGAAGAGAGCATCTGACCAGCAGCAGCAACGCAACTCCAACTCCCTCGAGAATGGTCAAAGTAGTGAATCCGGAGATGTTCCTTCTGGTGTTCAGCAAGATCGTGATGAACCCAGATTGAGCCAATGTGATGGTGCGGATGACCGTGCTGGTGAGAAGAAGCTTTTGTCGGAGGGGTCGACTAAAGATCAAACTGAACGCCACCTCGAAGTTTCCGTTGTCGGTTGGAATGAGGCCACCTCAGCTTATCGCCAGAGCGAACGCAGCAAACCAGGTCACCGGATGAGTGCTTACAAGCGTCAATGGATCCCCAACAAACAAGTCACGGTAGAGCTGAGTACCACTAATGCCCATGGTGAGATTGTTCAGGCCGGTCCTTCACAGTACAATGAAGAGGAATGAAGAAGGAGCACACGTAGCTCCTTTTGCAGCAGAAGGGATTTAAGTGAACTTTTGTTTATGAGTGATTTTTGACTTTTTGATGCCTTTCTCCTTTCTTTGCCTTTACCTTCTTTTGCGTTTGCATTTCAACTTTAAGGACATCTCGAGACACTACGGTTCATGTGTCCTGCGTTTGAGTGTCTCGAGATGAGCTAGGTTTGATCGTGATAACCTGCATATTTATTGATAGCAAATCACGTGGACAATACCCCTTGTTCCTTGTAAACCCGTCTGAACCATTATTAGGTTAACCAAGTTTGAACCCGGATGGCGATATATCCGTGTTGCCACCCGTGGGGGGATTTATCAATTTTTCCTGGCAGGAATTAAACTGTAGTAAACTGTAGCAAAATAAATGTATGAAATCCTGACAGTAGGTAAATTCAAGAGGGAATTCAAATACAAGTAGTAGAATATACAAATCTTTCAATGGTTGAAGTTCACTCTCCCTCCTTTGTAACTTGTTATCGCCAGTCTCTCCAAGAATGCCTGACTAATCGGCCTCCGCGTCCTTCTCCACTCCTCGAACTCCCCTTCTCTCCGATCTTCTTCTACGACAGTTCTCTCTTTTCCATTTTCGGTATAAGATGCAGTCTCATTAATGAATCCTACTTCTGTGCTGCTTTTCTTACCATTCTTTTGGGTGGATCACCCTCGTTTCAACCTGGTGTGCTAACCAACGCCTCACCTGTTGTATCTCCAAACCTGTCATTCCCATCTCTGAACGCCCCGCCACCACTTCATTGTTCACCCTTCCCTCCCGTGCAACCCTTCCGCTGAGATTCCAATCTCTTCATTCTGTGGGGCTGTGTTTTTCCACCTTTCCGCCCCTCCGCCATGACGCAGCTCTTTGCGTCTAGTCCCTCGGCAATGAACGAAAAGCGTGGGAATTTCCCAGGTCTCTCCCTTCCTACCCGTAAACACTCCAACGAGTCGAGCCACTTCCAATCCAGAATCAAGAACTTTTTCCGGATCAATAGCTCAAGCAGCCAGACTTCATCCCACGGCAGCAGCCAGTCTGGCAATGATCGCGAGCGTGAGAAGGAGACCCAAGGGGCTACCGCCAAGAACGAAAAGTCCAGCGCTTTCCGACAATCTCGCTTCCTGCCAACCATCGGTCGCAATCGTTCAACAACATGCGCCAGTGAAGGAAACGCTCTGGATGATGGCGTGTCGCCCACTGCCACTGCGAATCCGTATTTCGCCCACCAGGGTCAACCAGCATTGAGGCATCGGAACGATGGGTCTGTGCCCTCTTCCCCACCCGACACTCCCGAGTTGCAGGTCACCGGGGTATCAGCCGTGGAGCAAGCGACTACTGCGAATAAAGAGGAACTTGCGCGCAAGTTGCGTCGTGTGGCGTCCGCTCCCAATGCGCAGGGTTTGTTCAACAGTGGTCAGGGCGACCGACCCCAAACCGCCGAGCTGGGTAAAGAGCCCCTCGTTGAGTCAAATGTTGCCGACATTGATGCCCCTATGGCCCTTGCGGTGCCTACCATCAGTGAAGGTTTCCGCCGAACGTATAGCTCGAATTCGATCAAGGTCCGCAACGTGGAGGTGGGTCCCGCCAGTTTTGATAAGATCAAATTGATTGGCAAGGGTGACGTGGGGAAAGTTTACTTGGTCCGTGAGAAAAAGTCAAGCCGACTCTATGCGATGAAGGGTAAGTGGAATTGCGGCACCTTTTACGATTAGTCCATACTGACAGTTGATTTAGTCTTGAGTAAGAAGGAAATGATTAAACGCAACAAGATCAAGCGGGCCTTGGCTGAGCAGGAGATTCTGGCTACCAGCAACCACCCCTTCATTGTTACGCTGTTCCACTCCTTCCAGTCTGAAGATTATTTGTATCTCTGCATGGAGTACTGCAGCGGTGGGGAGTTCTTCCGGACCCTACAAACCCGGCCTGGCAAGTGCATCTCGGAGGATGCAGCCCGATTCTATGCTGCGGAGGTCACTGCTGCTCTTGAGTATCTTCATTTGATGGGCTTTATCTACCGGGATCTTAAGCCAGAGAATATTCTCCTACATCAGTCTGGCCATATCATGCTTTCGGACTTCGACCTGTCCAAGCAATCAGGGCCCGGTGGTGCTCCTACTATGATCCCTGGTCGCAGTGGAGGTACATCCTCGGCTTCATTGCCCACTATTGACACAAAGTCGTGCATTGCCGACTTCCGCACAAATTCCTTCGTCGGCACGGAGGAGTACATTGCGCCAGAGGTAATCAAGGGATGCGGTCACACCAGTGCTGTTGATTGGTGGACATTAGGTATCTTGATTTATGAGATGTTGTATGGAACCACCCCATTCAAGGGCAAGAACCGAAACGCAACATTTGCCAGCATCTTGCGGGATGATGTACCATTCCCTGAGCACTCGGGTGCTCAGCAAACCTCTAATCTGTGCAAGTCTTTGATACGCAAGCTACTTATCAAGGACGAAACCAAGCGTCTTGGCGCTCGTGCTGGTGCCTCTGATGTCAAGACCCACCCCTTCTTCCGCTCGACTCAGTGGGCGCTTATTCGTCACATGAAGCCGCCCATGATCCCGCATCAGGGACGTGCTGGTACAGATACCATCAACTTCCGGAATGTCAAGGATAGTGCTAGCGTGGACATTGGCGGTACGGACACCTCGAAAATGAAGGGTGTGCCGATGGACTCTGGCCTCGCGACTCCGAATGGAGAGCTGAATGATCCCTTCGAAGAGTTCAACAGCGTCACTCTTCATCATGAGGGGGACCACTGATTGTGTTTCATTGGAGCCAAGCCCACATTGTATCTTGTCTCGCTTTTTTCCTTATCCGTTTTCTCCTGGCAAAGGCGGGAGCAGCCGCTTGGGCATCGGCTTGCTGACGACCATGATGCATTCACGACCGCATTCAAATTGTTTTTTTTTCTCCTTCGCAAAACTTCGGGTGTACGGAGTGTTTCGGGGCCTTTTGTCAACTTGTTACTGCCTGCCTTTTTTTTGTTTCCTCCCTATTCTCCCTTTTTGGCCGTCTTACAATCCCCATATTTGCATTTTCCATGATCGTCGAAGGCTTTGAACCACTCTCGATTACTTCGTCGCTAAGCTTGCACCTGACTTTCCACTCCTTGTGCTACGAACCCTTGCTGCCTATTTGCTAGAAGCTGCGGCATATATCACTCTACTTTCTCTTCGATGCAGCGGACGGCGTTATGGGTCTTATCTTCGATACTCGTAACATTTGTTTCGATCCGACGTCATATTATTCGCTTTTTCTTGTTTTTTCTCTTCTGATTCCTACCATGGTGCGGTTTTGGCCATTAGCGACAGCTCAGCTTTTTCTTGGCCTTAACATCTGTTTTATCTAGGGAAGTCACTATATCTCAAGTTTAGTGCCTTTGCAGAGATACAAAAATCTTGAATTTACGTGATCTGCGCGAAATTCTCACTCCATTTGAGTAAATATGTAGGTAGAGACATACCTTTGGGTTAATTGTTCAACGACATCTGGATTCATCCATGATTTTCTTGTGAACTGCTTTTGATCTTATTCTGCAGTTCCTTTGCGGCGGATCGGGCTCAGTGGAAATCCGAATTAGGACTAGGCCAGCCCTGACTATATCTAAGTAACTATGGCTCTCTACGGCTCTCTACGGCTCTCTATCTCTCTCTATTTCTGTTCTTCTCTATCCGCAACCTAGCAGCATACGAATAGCAGCATACAAACAGGATCCATCACTTTCGTTACAAACATTGAAGACTTCAGACCAGCCGAACTCGAGGATGGCAGCGAATACTTCAGCCATCAAGACCCGATTTCTAGTATTTTCAGACACACACGGACTTGATAGTTTACCCTTTTCGTTGAGTCAATATGCAGATGTAGCGATTCACTGCGGCGATCTCACTACGGAGTCCAAAATTGACGAGTATCTAGCGTCTATCCGATTGCTCCAGGCCGTGAATGCTCCTCTCAAACTCGTGATAGCCGGTAATCACGACTTCACAATGGATATCCCGGCATTTCAGAAAAAGGTGGCAGAAACACAACCACCGCTGGACCCCAAGTTGGTTGAGTAAGTATACAGCTGCTCTGGGGACTCGAGGCGAATACTTGACGACGCCACGGGCATCACCTTTCTAGACGAAGGTAAACACACTTTTCGTCTACAAAATGGTGCATCTTTAAAGGTTTACACCAGTCCATATACACCAACGCTCGGTGAATGGGGTTTCCAATATCATCTAAATCATGGCCATAACTTTTCTATTCATAATGTCGATATCGCCATAATCTATGGTCCGCCAAAGGGTCTTATGGATTATACCTACTCTGGTGAGCGAGCAGGCTGCCCGTATCTTCTTGAGGCAATAAGCCGGGCACGACCTCGGATGCATTGCTTTGGTCACATTCATGAAGGATGGGGCGCAAAACTCGTCACTTGGCGCCAAAAGACTAGTGCGAAACCTTCTTATTTGACCAATATTGACAACGGAAGTTCTGTGCTCATCGATAAACTCTCTACTATGAAATCCAGGGGCTTGGCTGCTACAAGTCATTGCTCTGGGGAACCTAAACCAGTTAAAATATGGTTCTCAGACACTTTTTGTCAATGCTTCGATCGAGGGTGCAGGCGACCTTCCGATACAGCCACCATGGCAAGTGGATCTTGAGCTTCCATCCGCAAGCGACTAGTTTCGTACATTCATCAACCGCAGCAAATGAAGATGGGAAAGCCGACTTCGATGGCTGTCTTCCAAGACCTCGAAACATCAGTTCGAAATTCAGTGCTAGTGTCGACTATGCAACAATGTCGCATCGATGTTTGAGGCCTAACTCTGGGATTACTGTTATTTAGATAGCTGGCACCTGTGGAATTGCAGCTCCGAATACCCAGAGTCCGTCTTCTTCAGCATATGCAATATTAATAACATTTCAAGTGTAAGGATTAGGGTGCTAGAATAGTAGAACATAGTCAATTAATTACATATGTCTCTGCAAAAGGGAATCGAGTTTCTCCAAACCTTGGGAATAGCACATAGATGATAAACTAGTTGTAGAAGTGGACCCACGGGACATCTGCATCATAACAAACTCCACTTCGACATCCTCAGTTCCTATTTTTTTGTCCCCGCTTCCCAGCTTCCCAGCAAATACACGTTTACAATGTCGGCATTCACATCCCACGATGAATCAGATGACCAAGACTACTCCTATGTCTCCCCAGAAGCCACTACCGACACTCCCCCCAAGCCCCAAGAGATGACCCAACAAGAAACTTCGCATGGCCGCAGCCGATCCGCCAACCCGCTCCTAGGAAACGACAATCCACTCGTTTCCGAGCTGGAGCAGGAGGTATTGGACGAGTACTCCCGTCTTCTCCGGAATGTGAACCAGGTGAGTTGAGCGGATTGGAGTCGCAGAGAAAAAAAAACACCGACCCCGCACCGGATCAGATCGTTTGTTTCGCCCCGATCAACATCATATCTATCCTGCAAATGCGCTACCCAAATGGCCTACTTCTCCTGGTACCATTTCATCAGAGCCGTAACTAACAATCATTGCCTGATACCTAGCTCTCCGACAAGATCTCCGATTTGGCAGGCTCCCCCGCCTCAATGACACTCGATGGCCTACGTCTGCTAGAGCGCAAAACCGCGACTGTGTGCACATTACTCAAGGCTAGTGTGTACAGCATCGTTTTGCAGCAGCAGATCTGGAACGAGGATCAGGAGCAGCAACAGCAGCAACAGCAAAGCGGGGAGGGTCAATATGGTGATCAGACATACCATGGTGGATATGAGGAAGGAGACGTGACGTACCAGTGATTACGGTCTCGTTCAGGCAATTGGGATTGGTGCTATCTGGTTTTGTTTCTGCGAATATATACCCGGTGCTTTTTTGTTTACTGGCGTCTACTGAGACTGGGAAATTCACCAGGGATTGGGGGAAATGGGAATGGTGACTCGTACTTTTCTTTCCATGTACATTACATCGGTACATTTGATGCAGAATGTTTAGGGAATAGAGTAAAGTGACCACGGGCCTTGATGGCGCAACTTGCCCAGGTTTGCATATGTAACCTGGAATCTGCTTTGATCTATTGAATCTGGGCTGTAGAAATATAAGTGGTTGAATATATCCTTTTAAAAACAAACGAGTACAGGTACAAGTACATGCGATTGGAAACACGCGAGAGAAGAGAACACATTATATACAAGAGGGAATTTTCCCTAGACCTTGCCGGCGTAGTACACCTTGCGCACATCGACCATCTTGCGGCCACGGGCCCGAGCAACCTCCTCCGGGTTGCGTTGGCTCATGATCGCCTCATATGCGGCCTTAACGGTGTTCATCTTGTTCCTAGAGCCGGAGACCCGGGCGGCCAGATCATGGAGACCCGCGGCGCGGCACATTTCGTAAATCAGATATTGCACACGGAGACCGAAGCCTGATAAGATTGTTAGTTGAGCTGAATATCGAGCTGCGGGTTGCGTGTTGTAAAACATACCTGGGGGACGGTGCATCAATTGCAGCTCCACGGCGCCGACCTTGCCCTTCACATCGCCATAGATGGTGCGGTTCTCGTACCGAGGGATCGGTTGCATGTTGCGAATGGCACGGTACTGCGACTGGATCTTCGCATCGGCAGCCTCATCAGACTTGGCCTCTCCGATTCCCAAAAGACCGTTGCCATTACCAGCAATGGACAGACGGTAAGCACGGCGCACCTTACCGAGACGGGTCTGGTTCACGACACTGTGTGAAACAAGGGTCTTGGTCCGCAGGTCAGCGACCTGACGGTTGGTGTATCCGGTAGCCAGGAGAAGGCTCTTCAAGGCATCAGTCAGCTCCTCGGCCACAAGGGAGCGCTCCTTCTCGCCCCTCTCCGCGGCACTCTTCTTCTCTTCCACCCGGGGATCGTCAATGGTTTCCCCAGGGCCGAAAAGGTCCGGCACAAGCGCGCTGTGTGGGTTCAGCTCGTTCTCCTCCTTTCCATGAGTCAATCGCAGCGATTCACCGAACCGCACAAAGTCAGCACCAGTAGCGTCCTTGGGAAGCTCTGCAAAGAAGCGGCCAAAGTCCTCCACGAAATCATCCTCGGTCTTCAGCTTGAAGTTGTAGTCCGAGTTCGACTGGGGTGCCCGCACGTTACGGTCAACACCGGGCTCGATCACGGAGAAGTCGTCCAGGTAGTTAAATCTCAGAGGGTCGGTGCGTGGGCGGAACTGTTCGGCCATATCCTTGGGGTCAATGGCGGCTTCACCGGCCTCGATGGCCTTCAGCTGGGCCTCCGAGTATTCCTGCGCCAACTGGGCCTTGGCTTCGGGTGAGTAGGGCGCATAGTCTGTAGGTTGCGGGCCAGAACGAGATGCGGTTTGCTCCTCGGGAGCCTTAATGTTGGGGAATTTGGGTTTCCGGTTCGACAGAATTGCAGGGGATGGGTGGAATTGGCGACGAGGCACTCGCGTGCTTGGGGTGGCTACACGGGAGAAGCTGCAAAACAGACATTTTGCCGGCCGTGAAAGACTCATTGTGGGGAGATTTTAATACTCGTTGGCCAGCTGTACGCTAGCTACAAGTACAGAAACAGAAAGGAAAAACGCCCAACGACGACAATGGGTTGAACACAACTGACGGGCAGTTTGGAGTGTTTCGGGATGGAATTTCTTGCTTGGCGGTCAGTCAGTCATTAACCAATCAACGACGACATATCACGTGTAAGGGTGTAAAACAGCCAATCAGCGTTTTCTAATAAATTTCCAGAATTTCGAGCCTCCAAATCTCCCCGTCAGTTTCTCTTCTTTTTGGATCCCAAGAATTACTTTGTCTTTTGTACATGTTTCTTTGGCGGCCTTATTTCTGGCGCCAGACCAATCGTTGCCTAGTATCGCCTCGTCCAATTATTGGAACGCCCCCCGTGTCCAACCTCTCCGTGTATCGTCATTCAGCCTATGCGACAGACCCCGCAACAATAATGTCGAACATTCCCAAGAAACAGTTCAGTGGCAAGAAGCAGAGGAAGGTCAAAAATGACCGTACGAAAGCCAATGGCTTTGACGAAGTGTTGCAAGCCGACATTGAGCAACTGATCAAGAAGAACCGCCCTGAACAAGACCAATCCGACGACAACAGCGCCCCGGCGCCTCCACCTTCCCTCCCAGAGACATTTACCGAGATTGATGTGACAGTGTCCGAAATTTCCTCAACTGGTGATGGTTTGGCGCTCTCTGAAAACAAGGATCATGTATACTTGGTACCATTCACTGTACCGGGAGACAAAGTCCGAGTCAAGGTGATTCGGCACTTTCCAGCCTTGTCCTATAGTATGACCGATTTCCTCAGTGTCATCGAAGCGGGACCGAAGCGCAATGACGAGCTTATTGGCTGCAAGTACTTTTCCAAGTGCTCTGGTTGCCAACTGCAGATGATGTCTTATGAGGACCAGTTGGTTCACAAGCGTCGCATCGTGGAGAAGGCCTACGCCAACTTCTCTGGCTTGATACCGGAACTCATTCCTACCATTGGAGATACGTTCCCATCTCCTTTAAAATACGGATATAGAACAAAGCTTACCCCGCATTTCGCGCAAGGCGGTGCTGGTAAAGGCAAGAATGCAGACGGTTCGGAGCAGGAGGTCAAGGTGCCACCCATTGGCTTCACATACAAGAACCGCAGGGCGGATATGGATATTGAGGACTGCCCCTTGGGAACAGACATTGTGCGCCGTGGCCTCAAGAGCGAAAGAAAGCGAGTGGCCGAAAACATCCGTTCGTACAAGAAGGGCGCAACACTACTCATGCGCGAGTCGACCTACCGAATCCCCAAGGAAGCCCCGGCAGCTGATTCCGAGACCAAAGAAACAACCTCGTGGCTAGTACCAACCCCAGGCGCAGACACCGGCGATGTGATCCGCGTCGAGCGCGAAAACTACTTCGAGGAGAAGCGATGCATCAACGATAACAATGCCACATCCGTTGAGTATGTTGATGACTATGCCTTCAGCAACAAGGCCGGAGGTTTCTTCCAGAACAACAACTCTATCCTGTCTGGCTTTACCGAGTTCATTCGCTCCCAGGCTCTTCCCGCCGGAAACGAAGAAGATCCCCGTCCTATCAAATACCTTCTCGACGCCTACTCCGGCTCGGGTTTGTTCACCATCACCCTGTCTCCGCTTTTCAAGTCCAGTCTCGGTGTCGATGTCGCCGGTGACTCCATCATCTGTGCTCGTGACAACGCACGCGCCAACAACCTGCCCAGCACCGGCTTCGCCGCAGCAGATGCAGCCGTGTTGTTCAAGGATGTTCCATACCCCGCCGACCAAACTCTTCTGGTCATTGACCCCCCTCGCAAGGGCTGCTCAGATGATTTCTTGCAGCAGCTCCTCGCTTACAAGCCTCGCCGTGTTGTCTACGTGAGCTGCAACGTCCACACCCAGGCTCGCGATGTTGCCGTCATGGTGCAGGGAGACGAGAAGCAGAATGTTCGATACGAGATTGAGAGCATCCGTGGTTTCGATTTCTTCCCTCAAACGGGCCATGTCGAGGGTGTTGCTATTCTAAACAGAGCTGAATTCCCTCTGAAGGAATAGTCGACACGCATTGGCAGTTGAGATGGAATCTTTATATAATATGTTGGACTTCATTAGTCTCGTCAGGATATCGAATTGGCTGGATATATGTTGATTTTTTTGAGATACTCGCATACTGTTGCCGGCGTTGAGGTGGAAATATGGGATTACCAAAAATGCGTTGACTGGAGGCAATGCTCTTTAAACATATGCAGTTGAAATGAAAGAGCAACAGACAATTGGTAAATTTTGCATTTTTTTTCATACGCTTCTGAATAGCTATCAAAATAAAATAAAAACCACAACCAAATCCTCCTCTATCTTAAATACTCGGCAACCATTTGTAGGATGCTGAAGACCCAGTGCCATGCCCGCTTTGGATAAAATAGGAAAAGTGGAGGAAGAAAGAGGAAAACGTCAAGAAGAGCACAGGCATGAGAGAGAACTAAGGACTATGAACAAAGTGCGTCCAGCTACACCGGTCGGCGGGGGACATGATAAAAAGACAGAGCTTGAAAAGTCTAGGAGCTTCCAGGCCCACCGAGCAGTGCGAATCTCCGCACGATACTGGGACCAATCTCATCGTACTCAGCCTTGGTGTGGCAGTAGCTCCGGAACTCAGGCGTCTGACCCAGCAAACTACCTCCGAACCAGGGACCGTGCCGCTGGCGCTTGTGTGTGACGACCGCAACATCCAGACCACCAGAGCGGGCACCACCACTGCGGGCCTCTGATGCGCGAATACGGGCATCGACCAGGTGGCGGATATCACGCTGTAGACGCCGGCCGAAATCCTTGTACAAGGTGGAACCACCGGACAGGACAATATTCTTATAAAGACCCCTTCGAACGTCAATGGGGGAGGACTGGATGACACCGTCAACGACGGTGGGGAGCGGGGTCAGGAAGTCGGACGAGTAGATTTCGGGGTTGAAGAAGATCTCCGGGGCGAGGAAGCGCTCGTAGCCAACGTCAATGGAAACGCTGCGACCGTTAGGCGCGGTGACGGTGTGCTTGAGGAAGCGATCGGGCTCGCGGTCGTAGCGCGCAAACTCCTTAACAATATCCGGGCTCACATAGCAGTACTCCTCCTTCACCTTCTCGGCGGTCTTCAAGCTGCTGTCAGGCTCGCCGCGGTCACGCAGCAAGCTCTGGACGAAGTATGTAATGTCTCGACCAGCGATGGGAATGCTCTTGATCGAGGAACCAATGACGTAGCCCTCGGCCACGGGAATAACATGGGTGACACCATCACCAGAGTCGATAACAGTTCCGGTTAGAGATCGATCGGTCACCTTGGAGGAGGTCCATGAGGCGGCGAGAGCGAGCACGGCCTGGACGGCGATGTAGAGACCGGCGCAGTTAAAGGACTCGAACATGATCTCGGCGGTGTTTTCACGGTTCTCAGGAGGGTTCAGAGGCTATAATTCAGGGTTCGTTGTTTAGTCTCCGTACTCCGCATTGACATAGACCCGTGGGGGAAGCATCACGTGAAGAATGATCTTACAGGCTCAGTGAGAAGGAAGTGGTGGTCTTCGGGCTCGACGCGGAGGTACTTGAAGATCGAGTTCGACCAGAAGCGCTCCATGTGATCCCAGTTCTCGATTTGTCCATGTCGAATGGGGTAATGCACTCCGTACCCGGGACCATTGCCAGCAGCCAGAGCCTCATCACCAATGAAGAAATCCAGGTCCTCAGTTCCACGCTTTGCGGAAAGATTAGAGCTACCTCCACCTCCACTGCTTAGAAAAGATGGCTTGCTCCCAACGGGAGGCCGCGCACCCGAGCTCCCAGCGCTCCCGGCACCGGCCTTGGTTGCGATTGCTGTAGGGAAGACGAAAGAAGGCGCATCGTTACCGGCAAATCCTGCAACGAAAATATAGCAATGTCAGACCCGGGACTCCTAATTTCCAAACTTCATATCTGGCCGCCTAGAGTCTAGCACTTACCAAGTTTGGAGTAACCGGTACCGCTGGGGGGAAAGGAGGCTGGGTCAGCATTGTTGGATCAATTCGTGTAGAGTAAAAGAACTTACTTGTCCATGACAACGGCAGGTGTTTGAGACGCCATGACGAATAGAAAATATCAAGGCCCACAATTAAGACCACCGAGTTGAATGGGGGGGAGGATGAAGTCAACCGTGGCGGAGCTCAGGCAGACAAGGCGGGGAGGCATGCTGACATAATTGGGGTCCACGTCGACATCATGTGCTGGCTAATTTGGATTCCATAAAATCCAATTTTATCCAGCATTTGAACATGATAATTACCAAATTGTCAATAAACGGGCTTAAACAGATGGTCAGAAGGCAATTGACGGCAGGAACTATCATAGCTCTTTCAGGATTCCTTATGAATATGGAATAAGAAGAAAGACGCAATGGCAACGGGATATCAAAGGAGGAAAGTGCAGAGCAGAGCCTACAAAGTCAACATAAGAACGTAGTTGAAACCTTCGCTCTCTCAATTCCTATCGCCACGGAGACTACCTATCGTTTGCTATTGTTTTATGCCATCACTCTTTTCCTAAGAGAGTCCTGTCGTTATCCTTACATCTCCAGTCTACTCTCATTGATTCTTGACTTCCGGGATCACTTCACTCATTTTGTTAACGCACTCACACCATTGAAGTGGATTGACAGCCTTGACTAGTGCAGTGCAGAAACTTTGAGACCCGCTTGACCTTGAAAATCGAAGGAGGGTTGTGTACCAGCTTCATATCGGTTTACATTTAGCAACGCGTTACCATTCCACCCAACACCTTGCAGTCTTCTCAATTGCTGCATACCACCCTTTGTCAACTGTTTTACGTGTCTTTCGACTCATCTTGGTCATAGAAACCGTGCACCGAGTCTTCTGGTTCAAATCCACCATGGGAGAAGTCAAGCCTATGCAGGATCTGTGCGCGATTTTCGTCCACGCCGGAGCAGGTTATCACAGTCGTGATAATGAGTTGAAGCATCTGAAAGTGTGTGAGCTGTATGTTCTACCTGATTCTCTTCTGCTACGGAGATATAAGTTTAACAGTATTATCATAGCGCCGTTGAAGCAGGGATGTCCTTTCTTCGCCATGGAGGAACCGCAATCGACGCCGTGGAGACGGCACTGATGGTGCTTGAGGATGCCCCAATCACCAATGCGGGACGCGGCAGCAATTTGAATGAACAAGGCGTAGTTGAATGCGATGCCTCGATCGTCGATCATTTTGGTCGCAGCGGAGCCGCTGGCGCTGTGCCCAGTAAGATTTCTTGCATTTTTCAGTGTCTGGCCTGTTGAAGCTAATTACCTCGATAGGTGTCAAGAATCCTATTGCACTTGCTCGCCGGATCTATGAAAAAGCATGCGTATCACCCGGCATGCAGCGCGTCCCTCCAAACCTTCTCTGCGGCCAGGGTGCTGCAGACTTCGCATGGGATAACAATATCATGGTGGTTCCCAATGACATGTTGGTGTCACCCCTGGCAGCCCAGCGCTTTAGAAACTGGACCGCTGATATTGCCCTATGGGAGATCGAGAACCCGAGACCCGAGAGTGAAGTGATATCGACTTGCCTTCGTCGGCCTCTGCCTCTGACCATCGGTTCCTTCCCAAGTGTTCAGAGCCACATGGAGGCTGCCCGTCGAATCGGTGAAGAGTACAATGTATCTTCCCAACATGTCAATGCCGAGACTGTGGATCAATCTGAACCCAAGGTCCAACAGGAATCCAAAGCCCAATCAGACGGTACCCCTCCTCCTTCAACTAATGGAGGTAGTGGCTCGGCGGGATCTCGCAGCACGGTGCCTATCCCAGAGCCTGAGAAGTCTCCTAAGTCTCAGCGTGATCGCGAGGACTTCATCACGGACACCGTTGGGGCAATTGCAGTGGACAGTTTCGGTAACATTGCCGCGGGATCCTCATCTGGAGGTATTGGCATGAAGCACTATGGCCGGATTGGCCCTGCAGCTCTGATCGGCATAGGCACACATGTCATTCCCATCGACCCGACTGACCCAAGTGAAAGCACAGTTGCTGTTGTAGCCTCTGGTACTGGAGAGCACATCGCGTCGACATTTGCGGCCAGTACGTGTGCAAACCGCGTCTACTACAGCCACAAAAAGGCTCAAGGGGGACTTTTTGACATCGTGAACGAAGAAGAGGCCATTGAATCCATGATTAAGAACGAATTCAGTGGTTTGTATAACCGTCCCGGGTTGTGATATTGAGATGCTGATCGTATTCAGGTCACCCTGCGGTTGTGAACAGTGAGATCGAAAGCTCCCTCGGGCTGATGATTGTCAAGAAGACCACAGAAGGCATCGCTCTCTTCTTTGCACACAATACCGAGTCTTTTGTAAGTCCTTCACTTTTCACGGAAACAGAAACCTGCTAATCGGGCCTTATAGGCTATTGGCTCCCTCTCGAATAGAGATGAGCGGGCTCAGTGCGTGATGTCTCGAAACCCGAACAAAGCACCCGTTGCTCTGGGAGCAAGAATGATTCGGCCTTCACCTTCACCTCGGCCTCAGACTCAGCAGTGAGTGCCACACTATCGATTCATCGACTTGCAGTGGCTAAGCTTTACCAACACATCCAGTAATCCAAAAAATAAGAAGAAGCACAAGATTCGTGACAATTGTTTCCCTGAACGCGCTTCACTCCGCAAACGTCATGACCACAGTTGATACTTGATACCCTTGTCTTTTGACTCCCTCATTGTTGTTTTGCCTTTGCACTCATTCTCTCCTCATTTTACGTTATCATTATCTGGAAGCTGCATCTTCGTTGTTTCCTTTGCAGCGCAATCTTTTTGTATCGGCTTTCTCCGGTGAAAGGCTACACTTTCATCTCCCTTGGTTCTCTGGGAGTTTGAAGGAGTTGTTCCCTCCCCCGTTTTGTCTGGCCTTGTGACTAAAGCACCTCAAGATTAGAATTGTCAATACTAGCGAATATGCAATTTTCCATTTGATTATTCCTTTTATAATTGTAAGAGACCTAAGGACCAGGCGTAGGAGTAGACATGGGCGTCCCAGCCGCCGAAGCCCCATTAACCCGCTTCTTCTTCTTCTTTTTCTTCGGAATAAGCGCTGGTTTCATACCGTAATCACCTGCATCCAAAGGTGTTCCACAAGTTAAACAAGTGTTATCTGGTGGTGGCTCACAAAATATGCTCAGACAAATAGAGCACACGAACCCAATATCCACAACCCGGCGATGACAAAAGCACGCAGCCCGGAAATCCACATCGATCCGCGTTGGGAGCACAAGATGCCGACGAGAACGCTGGTCTGGCAGGAATGCCATCATCAAATACTGTAGCAATCCACGCGGCTCTGACAAGGCCATGTATACGCCCTTGGTGGCGTCGCAGGCCTGCTGCAGGAATACTGCATCGCCGCTGAGCTTGCATACGTCGATAGGGATATGAAGGCGTTGACATGCGAAGATACTGTTCATCACGGGGATATACTGGTGAGCTGAGTCGCCGGATCCACTAACTGACACGATCAGGATGCGACTCTGTAACCGCTCGTCGTCGTCAGCGGAGTATTTGTTTGATGACGCCCCTGGCCCACTGCCTCCTCCTGCTCCACCTCCTTCGCCTGCTGTATCGTCTAACTCTTTACCGCCGTGCTCCTCAGCCCAGGCAATTGTTCGCCGATTGATATTGCTGAGCGCTAGGGTCAGCGCGCCGGCCATCATGGTCGATGAGTTCTCGCGAATGTCATCGCTGGTAGTGGAATCTAGCAGAGCTTTCAGGTTGCTGTTAACCTGCTCTTCGACTAAACGGAATGGCCGGTATTTATTCGTTTTAGCTGTGTGGGCTCCGCCGTTGACGTTCATCGCGACATCGCCGTCGCGATCTGCGTGGGGCGTGTCGCTGGGGACTGGGTAGAGCCATGCTGCTTTTTGACTGTGGGATGCGACGACAGCTACCTCATTGGCGTAGTTGCAGGCTAGGTGGGCATTTATCAGGACGAGGATGTTTGCGACGGCTTTAGAGAGTGGGAGAGAGCTTTCAAGAGCTGCCCAGGCATGTGGATTTGTGTCGAGGATTATGGTGAGGAGAGATGGAGCAATATCTGAGAATTTGGGAAGCAGGTGTTAGTCTGTGCAACTGCCCTTGTTTGACGGGGGTTTCTTCGTCTTTCAAGCTCGGGAACAGGTGGGACAAACCGGTAGCTCCTAGATCATAATGCTCGGACGCATCGACGGAATTCATGGTGTTGGGCTGATCAGTGAGAGTGGAGGTTCATGATGAGATGAGAAAGGCTGAGAATAAACTCGATGGGAGCCTCAGCTTTATTTCAAACCTTGCAGGTTGTCAACTTGTTATACTTCAGTAAGAAAATGATTAAGTTGGAGCACAAAGAGTAAAGCTGATAAGAGAGTCACGGGGAGATAACCGGTATCAGCGGCTTTGGTTTCACTGCAGATTCACTGCAAGGAACCAAACACCTTCAAGTGCTAAATCTGCTTATTCTCATCTTGATTGATCTCTTGAAACAGAATCACAAGGCTATTCTTGATCCATTTCAAAGTTAGGAGGGTGGGGGAGGGAGTCGGAAGATGTCAATACATCATATAATAATTGGTAATACTACACTCAATGATAGAATCCTGCGCAACTCATGAGTTGAAGTTGATACCTGGAGACCTTTATTAGATACTCTGTATTGATTTTATTGAAAGCTGAAGTGGTTGAAGAACGTCTTCATTTTGGTCCGAATCTTTGCGAGTCAAAAGTGTCTGTGTTCAAGGAAATGCCGAGGTTCTAGTCATGCTCCATATTTAAGGTTAAAGCTTTTTCTTCACGCCACCAACCTGTTATCTCCAATCATCGGAGGGTTAGTTACACCGATTTTACCTATAAGTATTCCGGGTTTCGCATTGAGGGCACAGTGAAACAACCTTCGACTCTCCTTTCAACATGGCATCTTTATCTTTTGCTGCCGCCTTCGTGAACCCCTGTAACTATATCGGTGGAGTTGGCTTCAATCCCGACAATGATATTATGGACTTGGCAGGAAAAGTTGTCCTAGTAACTGGTGGTATGTCTGGATTGATATCCTCCGATCATCTCGGCGAAAAAAAACGCTCCCAAAGATTGCTAACCAGCTGATAGGGAATGCCGGGCTGGGAAAGGAGACAATTCTTCAACTGGCCAAACATAACCCGGCGAAGATCTTTCTCGGTGCCCGCACAGAATCCAAAGCTATAGATGCTATCAAGGAAATAAAATCATCAATCTCAAATGATACTGAGATTACTTGGATTCCCTTGGACTTGGCATCCACCGACTCAATCCGCAAGGCCGCCGAGTCTTTCAACACTCAATCCCAACGACTGGATATCCTAATTCTAAATGCGGGTGTCATGGCTCTTCCCCCAGGCGAAACAGATCTAGGCCATGAAATCCAGCTCGGAACAAACCATACCGGGCACTTCCTCCTGACCAAGCTTCTGCTTCCAACGCTCCTGAAGACGGCAGAGGAGCCCCACTCCGATGTCCGCGTTGTATCCCTTTCTTCGGTTGGACACAACATGGCTCCAAACTTCAGTACAATGATCGACCAGGAAAAGCTTAAGCAGGTCAATACAAATGCTCGGTATGGAGCATCCAAAGCTGCAAACATCCTTTTTGCTGCTGAACTCAGCCGACGATACCCATCCATCACCTCGGTGTCAGTGCATCCAGGAGTGATTCTCACCGACCTGTATCAGTCGGTCGGCTCACGTACGCCTTTCTTTTCAGTGGGCTCCAAGGTACTGCAGCTCGTGGGATCGACGGTTCAACAGGGAGCGTACAATTCACTGTGGGCGGCTGCTGGGGCAAAGAAGGAGGACCTTGTGAACGGTAGTTACTATGTTCCTGTTGGAAACCTGAAGCGCGATAACAAGTTCGCAACTAGTATTGACATGGGAAGACAACTATGGGAGTGGACAGAGGCTGAATTGAGAAAAGCAAACCTGTAAAGAGCGTTAGGCTGGATATATTTGGATTTTTCGAAATTAACGCGATGCATTGACTTCCAAGGCTACAAGTCCTGCTTTTTCTACCTACTCCCCAGATCATACATACAATAATACACAAAGTGTAACCTCAAAACCTTTGAACTTTCAACTGGTGCCTAGGTAGGACTAAAGTTAAGGTTCTACATAGTAGCTCATGAGCTCTCGGTGCGAGCAACCCGAATCACGAGTTTCCCAAGACCGCCTTTTCCATCATAAACGACCTGACACGCCCTTTGAACCGCTTCTAGATCTTGAATCTCAACAATTGTGCCCACAACTGTCCTGAGCCTTCCATCTTCAACATATCCCCTAAGTTCATCCAGATCCTTGCCGCTCGACTCCAAAATCATATACTCATACTCGGCCCCGTAGCGCCCCGCTCTGAACTTGCGAATGTAATCCATGATGTCCAAAGCAGGCCGGACATAAGGTGGAATCGTGGGATTGTGAGCCATCCTCATCAGTGAAGAGTTCTGCAGCACATTTGCTGACGGCGTAGTGGAAACAGACACGATGCGGCTTGATTTTGGCTTCATGAGGCACAAGTATTGCATGGCAAGACCGACGGTGTCGAAAAGAAAGTCCACTGAGCCCTTTTCAATGACATCTCTCGGGTCGGACTTGGTATAATCGATAACTTGTTCTTTCTCAGTCCTTGAAGGTTCAAAATGGTTCCGAGCAAAGGGGGCTTATCTTACTCTGATCGACAGTTCCTTCGCCCAGAAGCTCTTTCACCTGGGGTATCTTGGAGGTTGAGACTGTGCAAATTACTTTACTTGCGCGAAACACATGTTTGGCTAGTTGACACGCAAATAGACCTGTGCCACTCACTACAATTTTGTCAGCAAGACCTCCTATCCACAGGTAATCTGTAGTCCATCAAGAACAACATACATCCAGCAGGCACGAAAACGGTCTTTCCAGTAAGATCGCCGTACTTTCTGAGGGCCTGGAGCGCTGTCATGGCTGCTAGGGGGACTGAAGCTGCCTCTTCAAAGGACATTGAAGGAGGTTTGAGGCCAATCTGTTCCTCCGAGCATGTCACATACTCGCTGCATGAGCCTGGGATATGTTAGCATCTCAAGTGGATGCCTAGCCTGTCTCTCATAAATTCAATATATACCTCGATTGATCTCCGGCAGTCTGACGTAAACTGCAACCCCAACTTTTAATCGCGAAACATTCTTTCCAATTTCAGTAACCACGCCAGCAGCATCGTAGCCAATCCTATATGGGAAACTGCTTATTTTGAGATTGTATTCGTGACGGATAAAAAAGAATGGACCCACGAGTCTTTGACCACCGGTTTGAGCGCCCCACCGGCTCTTTTAACGTCGATCGGGTTGATACTCGCGGCAAAGACCTTGATAAGAACGTCTGTGTCGCCGCGAATTTTGGGAATTGGAAGTTCCGAAAGTTTGTAGCCTGATGGCGTTGAGTATGATGAAATGTGAAGGGACAACATCACGAGATTTAAGGTAGAATGACGCTTTAATTAGATGTGCAGATGTACGGTTATCACTGTTAATTAAATAATTTCTACAATCGGGATTCGGAAGCTTTCCAAATATCGATTAGAAAACATGGCGCGGGCCTCGGTCCTTAGTCATGGCTAGGCGGAGAGACTGTTGCTCCGTCTTTGCTCCATATGCCATATGTACTCCACCCGTGAGTTATCCAACTTCATTGCAGAAATCTCGCGGGTGAAAATACAATGGCTTCTGGAGGATAATTCGTAATTGTAGATTGATGCGTGTGCCTGTTTACGTGCTTGGTGATAAGACAACGTAGCTCCTAGATCGTGATGCATAAGTGTCAGTCTTACCTAGGGGTTGATCTGGCCACCGCCCATTCTAGACTAAATAAATTCTGTATCACAATAAATAGGCGACTAGGAGGCGCATACAGTATTCTGTAAAAATCTACTATGTGATCTTAGCTGAGGTTGCGCGTCGCCTAGTATTGTTACCAGTTGCGGGAAAGATTTCCCAGAGATAGAGAAATGATATTACAACATGTGATTGGTTGGGTTTGCAGGGAAATTTGTATGGTTAAGATCTCTATGAATTTTCTAAGCTTTGGATTTTCCAAGCTATGGATTTTCCAAGCTTGGAAGCTGTAGGTCCAAGGTAACCTGGGTAAGATATGCGGACGTGCAGGTTCTAGCCTGCGTCATATGCCGATAAGGAACCATGGCCGGGGCCAACCTTCATGTTTCATTTTCTTTTTTTGGAACCCAGATCCATGTTTCGTCACAGTATGTAGCTCTGCGGAAGTTGATCCGAAGGCCGATCATGGCCAAGCTAAACTATATGGAGTACTCCGCACCTCTATTGGAGCCAAGAATGGGGATATTGAATGCCTAGACACCTATGCACGTTGACTGTTCTCGAGGAGCGATTTGCCAAACCAAGCCAAGCCCTTGTGCTACTTAGTGTCCCAATAGTAGCTCCCCCTATCAGGATCTACGTTTAATGCAAGATACTTGAACTAGGAGTAAATGTAAGTTTTCCTGCTTGGCAATCACGGACGGGCCTTGTACCGCGTTGAGCTCATCCTGTTGAGAAACTGTTCCCCCTTTGTTACCACCAAGCTTCGGGGGTCAAAGTATACGGATTCAGTATCTGTTTTGTATATGGGAAAATTTCTTTGTCGACTAAGCTGACTTGCATTTCTATCAGCAACGTGTCGGGGCGGGGCGATGTGGTTGGCCTTATCGTAATCGATTGATAATGGCGATTGGGTGAGAGAAATTGATGCTGACTGGACAAGGTGAGGGGGGAAGTATGGTAAATCCAGGATTTATAGGCATACCTTTACATTAAAGCTACCAAATACATTTTGCTTTTCCTGGAATTTCTCCTTTAACCTGATTACCCGCGACGTGGCATTGATCAGATCAAAGTCCCTCTCCGCCTTCTTTTGCACCCCTCACCAAACTTCTGTTCTCCCGCTTTTCCGCTCCGGAAAAAAAATAAAGTCATTTGCTTCCTTCCTCAACTTTCAATCTCGGACACCCGGGAATCTTACATATTGTCTTCGCAGCGCGCTGCTCTTCAGCGACCCTGCAATGGTTCTAGCAACGGGTGAAGAGCGCGCTGCACACCTGGCACGGGAGGCTGTTGAGCTGGTTGACGCTGGCCACCGAGAGGTACGTAATCCACTGGACCCTCGAACGCGATCCAAAAAAGGTAAAAATGTATTCATTAACATTTTGACTACAGGCAGCCTCACGAAACCTGCGCGAAGCAGTCTCTATCGCCCCCGAAAACCCCGACGTGAAAGCGGCGTTCCTCAAAATTCAACAAGAGGAAGAAAATTGCCACCAACTACTCGAGCTCTGCCGACGTTATACAACCCACCAGGATGAGTCCGCCGGAAAGGAAGCCGTCGCTTATCTTCGCACAGACGGCTTAAAGCCCCCAGAGAATGTTGCACTGGAATCACTCAAATTGCTGCTGGGGCGGCCAGCCCATGCTTTCTCCGAGATCCAAGACGATATTATCTCCGGACTAGTCCGAAACAATTCCAGTGTTCGTCAGTACTTTTCCAATGAGTTGCAGGTCTCTGTGACCACTTTTTTCGACGAGATCTATGACCGAGGCGATGGAGCGGCGGTGTGTATTGACACGGTGGTCTTGGACCCCAGTATTTGGCCCTCAGAGGAGAAACGACTGCACTGTGAAAGCGAATTATTCCAACTCTTCCTGGCGAAGCTGATGGAGTCGGGTCACGACCTGGATGGCCGTTCGCTGAAAGGAATCGCTCGGCTGCTCGTCGTCGATGCTGAGCGACTCCAGCACCTGGTGGATGATGAGGAATTCGAGGTCATCCTGACATCTCTTGACAACCGACTGCCGCAGGAACTGCGCAGCCAGGCCACTCTCGCCACTGCGAAGTACCTGGAAGTGGCCAAGGAGAAGGGCGAGAAGCAATTCTTCACCCTTATCGCAGCTATGTTTGCAAAGGGTCGCCTGGATGACTATATCATTGCATTCTCCGCGGTTACTGCAGTTTTTCCCGTGGCCCCCACTGCTGCGGCCAATGTCTTCTTGTCAGATGAGTTCATGCGGTTGCTGACCCCATTGGTATCACGAGATGCGAAGCGCAAGAAAATCGAGGTTGGCGTGCTGGAGCTACTAAACGCAGCATGTGTCAGTCGTCCGTGTCGTGAAGCGATTTCTAAGAATTTCTCTGAATGGCTGTCACATACCCTCACCAACGGCAGTGATGAGGGCTCGGAATTGGCGGCAGTGGTTCTCGCAAAGATTCGAGCCTCGGAGGCAACCCAGCCTTCTGAAAATGGTAAGCCCCAGGTGGAAGACAGCGGGGTCTCTGACCTGGTTCAACGTTTTAAGGGACTGATGTCTGAATCTAAGCCTGCGAACACCTCCCACGCCATTGAGGGCTTGGCTTACTCCTCTGTGAAGCCCGCGGTCAAGGACCAGTTGGCCCAAGACCCCTCATTTCTGCGCGAATTGATCACGGTTTTGAAACAGCACACTACTGACTCCTCTATCCTGTTCGGTGGATTGATGATTATGTTGAACCTCACCAAATTTCTCCCCAGCCTTTCCGAAGAGCAGAAGAAGATGGGCCAGTTGAAGGACTACGCAGACGCCTCCGCTAGTAAGGCTCGGGCTGGCCCGGACCCCCGTGAGGAGGAAGAAGCGGTACTTGTCCGCTGCGGTCTTGTCATCGATGCGGGAATCATGTCGCTTCTTGTTGAGTGTGGCCGCCTTGCCATGCCCGCCATTCATGGCCTCACGGCTCAAATCCTATTGGCACTGGCCCGGCATCGAAAGTCACGAGGCCTCTTGGCCCAGCAAGGTGCCGTCAAACTTTTACTTGGGCTTGCCATCCCTAAGCAAGGAAGCTCAATTATCATCACTGAAACAACGCAAAACGCCTCTCATGCCCTCGCTGGAATTCTTGTATCTGTCGACCCATCTCTTGTGTTCCCATCTTCCGGATTCCCTCAAGTCACATCTGCTGTACGCCCTTTGCTATCCCTTCTCACATCACCCGAGACCGGGTCGGTCTCTGGCGACCAACCCCGTGACCTGCTACCAGTGTTCGAGGGCTTGCTTGCCTTGACAAACCTTGCTTCCTACCCACATGATGAGACACCCGCCGACCTCATCGTCCGAGAGGGTTGGTCCTCGGTGGAAGATCTTCTTCTGTCCAGTAATTCTCTTGTGCAGCGGGCTGCCTGTGAACTGGTCTGCAACTTGATGACCATCGAGTCTGGGATTGTCAAGTTTGCCGACGGCTCGAAGCGTGCTGCTCAGCGACTCCACATCATTCTGGCTCTCACCGATGCAGATGATTTTGCGACGCGGCGTGCGGCTGGCGGGGCAATCGCCATGCTAACGGAGTATGATGCAGCCATTGCGGCGATATTGGAACGACCGCGCGGGGTGGAGTTGCTCCTGGGACTCTGTCAAGAAGACGACGATGGGCTTCTTCACCGGGGGGCGGTGTGTGTGCGCAACCTGACCTGCGCATCTGGTGACATTGGGGCACGTGCCAAGGAGGCAGTCCGCGTCGCGGGGGGTATTGACACATTGACTGGTCTCATCAAAAAATCATCCAACCCAGCCGTGTTGCAGTCCGCGGTGGAAGCATTGAAGCCGCTGGTCCAGCAGTAGAGCTTCGGTATCATAGCTGAGGGGTTTTTTTCTCATTTGCTTTTTTATTTTTCGGGAAAGCTGTGCCGAGTCACTGTGGTTTGTGACAGGTCGGCGTGTTCAATTCGGATGTGAAATGGGGTTTCCCGGAACGGAGTTGATTCCTTACTTCCCAATTTCTATTAGTGGGAATTATTTTTATGCCTCATGAGCACATTGGCCGGTTTAGCGTGGAATTCTTGGGTTTGTTCTGTTTGTCTTATCTGGGTCGCTTGGAATGGGCGTTATATGTTTACTTTTATGCACTATGGCACAGAGAGATTTGTGGACCAGCATCGGACATTTGCTAGAGTATGAGAATCCAGCTAGAGGCAATTTTGAACGTTTAATGAACATGTTCCAAGGTTGTATATGCTGTGTGGAAAGTGGCCTTGTCAGGCAGTTTGGGCAGTTTGGGCAGGAATGGGTAGACTTTTCTGTTCTTTCGAGGTGATTCCCCTTTTCTTCCCTTTTCTTTTCCCTGACGACTCCCTTTCATGATCCTGAATTGATTCCCCATGTTATCAATACCCCTTTTCACATGATATAAACCCAGCTGCTATTGGACGATACAGCTAATCTCCGTCCCCCAACGTCGGATTTCAACACTGGAGTCCGGACTGAGCGGGGGGCTGTGGCGCACTACTCTGTAGGTCACAGGGTCAAAGATATGCCTACTTTCGGCCATTTGCTTTGATTCCTATACCTATTGAAGGTTGGTGGGGATGTTCAGGGAATCCCTGTTATCATGTGAAACTCAAGTTGCGGCGGCTTTACCTGACCGACAGAATTGTCACGCGGACTTGCAAGGAATGGTGCAAAGAGCTGAGTGGAGAATCCAAGTTCCCAACAATAGAAATCCCGTTAACTATGAAGTACTAGTATAGTGGAAAGTGGAAACTGCGGAACCATGGAGCTTGACCCCGCGGATCGACAAATCACCGCCCCAGTAGCACGCACACGGCTTGCTCGTTCGATCTCGAATTCCCTTCCATAATCTTATCCCCTACTCTTTACTTCCCCCGTGCTCGCCTCCTGCTATTTCCTTAGCTATCAGCATCTGCAATCTTCCTGATCAGCATCAGCACCAGCATCAAACTTTTTCCCTTTCTTTTTAATCCCTCACCGCTTGAAATCTCCACTTAGAGCAGGTACAGTTCTCGGCGCTTTTGAAACTTTCCTACCTTTCACCTCCTACATTCCCAACAACCCCCCAATCTTTTCCTCATGGCGCCATTGACTCCTACCTGCGTGCGTCCGCTCACCTGATCCTTCCCTGTGACTATCCAGGTTGGACCAACAAAGCGCCCCCAATCGATTCGTGCTGGTGGATTCGGGTGTCTCGGGTGGCAAATCACTGAAAACACACCGAACAAAGAGGCGGTGGAACACAACTACTCCATCGGGAGAAAAAAAGGATTGAAACACAATACTTGTGCTACTTCTTTGTCCAAAATGAAGTTTGGACGCAACCTGCCACAATTTACCGTCCCGGAATGGAGCGCCTCGTACATCAAGTACAAGGCATTGAAGAAGCTCATCAAGTCGGCGGCAGAGCAAGTTAAGGCGGGACAGGAGGCGGACTTAGCCGGTAAGCGCGCGATAGCTTAATCGCTTCGAATCCCTGCGTCCCTTGTGCACCATTCTAACCAGGATGCCCGGCTTCTTTGGTTGCGTTTGGTGATATAGGTTTCTTCTATTCTCTTGACCGCAATGTCGAGGACGTCGATTACTTCTACAACAAGAAATACGCGGAATATGTCCGTCGGTTGAAGCTGTTGGAGGACCGATATGGCTACTCCATGGAGGATTCCGATACTTTGGAGCCCGAGGACCGCCATGATCTCCGCGAAGCTCTGCTGGACCTGCGCTACCACCTCCGCCGGTTACAGTGGTACGGTGAAGTCAACCGTCGAGGTTTCGTCAAAATCACCAAGAAGTTGGATAAGAAGATGGGTGCGCAGGCCCAGAAGCAGTATTTGGACACCAAGGTCGATCCCACCTCCTTCGGCTCCAATAAACGGGCTATCAAGGGCCAGGAGCGGATCAATTCATGGATGGCTCTCCTCACCGACCAGTCCAAGGCTGATGAGAAACCGTCGGATGACGCCAGTTCTACTCATTCTGCCCTATCGTTAAAATTGGGCGGCACTCGGCCCCTTCTCAACCTCCCTGCTAGCGTTCTGACAGCTGTGGATGATTCCTTGAGAAAAGACGACACACACGTTTTGCTGGAGCTAATCGAGACACTAAAGACCACCGCAGATGATTTGGGCGAGGGGGTCTTCTCCAAGGTTCTGAAGACTCTTATTCAGCGTGCTATCTTGCACCGTTCACGGGATTGTCTGAGCGTGTTAATCAATCGCGTTGACAGTCTGGAAGAGGACGATGATATCAACCGACGAAACTGCTTGCACCGTATGGTTATCTCGATTGGACGTGAACAGCCAAGCAACGACTCCGAGCTGGATGCATCGATGGTGCTAGACTTTCCTCCGGAAACTTCTCGCTTCATTACTCCTGCCGCTCCGCCAACTTTACAACCTCCACGCTCGGTTGTCAAGGAGGAACACATGCCCCAACAGCTTGACCGCCATGATCCAGCCGTTACTCTCCTACAGCACTTGCTGGACGAACTGCGCCCGAACCAGAGGGAGGCTCTGATGGCCAAGGATATCTCGGGCCGCACTCCTTTGCACTATGCAGCGCAGTATGGCTTCAAGGTAGTTTGTGAGGTGATTGTCGAACATTTGAAAGCATGGGATATGTTTGATTTGAGCCAGGGGATTGATGGCAAAGTGTGGCAAGACAATGATGGATGGGCCCCACTGCATCTCAGTGTTGTTGGGGGCCACCCGAAGACGACTCGGTTTCTCCTTGAAGCCGAGAGTTCCCAGGATCTCACGGGTGAAAAAGACCAGATTCGAAAACAGATTTCCAAGTCGAGTGCAGTTCTAGCCCTAGCAACCAAGGCCAACTTTGTCGATATCGTACACCTATTGGTGGACGCTGGCGTGGATATCAATTACCAGGATGAGCAGGGTGAAACTGCATTGCACGTCGCAGCCCGTTATGGACATGACGAGTGCGCTCGAATCCTACTTGAGGGTACGGATTACCAGAAGGCGAACACAGAGCTTGCAGAAAACACCTATGCATGGACACCGCTGTTCATCGCATCAGTCGACGGCAGCTTGAATGTGGCCAAGCTTTTGGTTGCTGCTGGTGCTGACGTGGAACGATTTGACTCATCCGGATGGACAGCAAAGGAACATGCTGCTCTTCGTGGCCATCTTGACATCGCGAGGTGTTTAGGTGAAGTCAGCCCTGGCCCTCCCGCTACTGAGCCCGACTCAGTGTTGCCGGTTTCTCCGTACAGCCCATCTCCATCTTCTTCGCCACCTCCCCAGTCCTCCCTGGCTGATCGGCGGTCGAATGCCCCAATTCCGACCTCAGGGGGTTCTGGATCACGTATTGCCGAACCTATCAAGACCTTCGGACATAGGTATCTTACCGACGAGACCATGATTCTTGTGAGTCTGGGAACAATGGACATGCGCAAGCCCTTGGAGACAGTCAATCTCGATCGAATTCCCATGGAGGATGCACACGCTACCCAGCTGGATACCACTCTGTCCTTGGTGGTCACTGCCAGCGGTGCTCATGGAGAGCCGGAAGTGATTGACCTGCCGGTACAGGACAATATCTCTACAGAACCAATCGTTTTCCATACGACAGACCTCAGCAAGGTGCGCCTGCTCTTTGATCTTGTACCTACATATGCGGGATCAAAGGACAAAATTGTCGGCCGAGGCGTCGCACTGCTTTCCAGCATCAAGCAGACCATTGGGTCGCAGCGAATCAATCTCAAGGGTGACTCTACCGTTCCTATTGTTGCTGCGAACACCTTGGATGTCATCGGGTCTGTGACCTTCAACTTCCTGGTCATCACTCCTTTCAAGCATCCCAAAATGTCGGTGACTGGTGGCCAGACCTACTGGCGCTCCATGAGCTCCACCATGGTCATCGGTCATCGTGGGCTGGGTAAGAACATGGCCAGTCGCAACTCCCTTCAATTGGGTGAAAACACGATCCAGTCGTTCATCGCGGCTGCCAACCTGGGTGCCTCGTATGTAGAGTTTGACGTCCAGCTTACCAAGGATCATGTCCCTGTCATTTACCACGATTTCCTTGTCAGCGAGACAGGAATCGATGCTCCCGTGCATACCTTGACACTAGACCAGTTCTTGGAACTCGGCAAAGGTCGGCACCGGAGTGTATTGCCCAATGGTGTGGACGTTCATGGCTTCCCAGGCCTTGGTCCCCGTCAACGCTCAATGTCTGTTGGCGGGTCTGAATATAACCCCGCCGAACTAACTGAGAAGATCAAGCATACTCGTGACTTCAAGAAGAAGGGTTTCAAAGGTAACACGCGTGGCGAGCATATCCAAGCCCCATTTGCTACGCTGGAAGAGCTTTTTAAGAAAATCCCGACACCTGTCGGGTTTAACATCGAACTGAGTGAGTTTATATCGCCTTCATAGAACAGCTACCTTTTTCGATCTAACCTGGATCGCTAGAGTACCCTATGCTCCATGAGAGCGAGGAGGAAGAGATGGACACCTACGCAGTGGAATTGAACTCCTTTGTCGACACTATCCTGACCATGGTCTACGACCTGGGCGTCGGCCGTGACATTCTGTTCTCGAGTTTCAACCCCGACGTTTGTCTTCTGCTTTCTTTCAAGCAGCCGTCTATCCCGGTGCTCTTCCTCACCGACGCCGGTGCTTCCCCTGTCGGTGACATCCGTGCTAGCAGTTTGCAAGAGGCCATCCGCTTCGCTTCGCGGTGGAATCTCCTTGGCATCGTCAGCCAAGCGGAGCCATTAGTCCTATGCCCTCGTCTCGTGCGCATCGTCAAAGAATCCGGCCTCGTCTGTGTGTCTTACGGTGCCCTGAACAATGATGGTGTCAACGTGGACGTAAGTCATGCTCCCCCCTATTACCCGTCCCAGACTAATTTTCCACGATATAGTACCAAGTCGCCGAGGGTATCGACGCAGTCATTGTTGACTCCGTCTTGGGTATCACCAATGGTCTTATTCAACGCCAGAACAGAGGTGAATATACCCCGGGCCCCTCGCCGAAACCCGCTCCTGTTGGCGATCAGGCTGCAGACTCGGCCAAGGGTGCTATTCGAGTGCCTGTCCTCACTGGCGCAAAGAACAGCAATGCCTGAGTTAATACTGTCCTTCTTTAAACCTATCTCAGGTTGACTACATACATCACTGCATATGACAATACTTTTCACACATATAGAGCGCTTACTACCAGCCCACTATGTAATGTTCATAGTAATTTAGCGTATTGCCGGAAAGTTGTAGAGCAAATTACCTCCAAATCCAATAGCTCAGCCTTCGACATATAGGTAGCACACATGTGATAGAAAGAGACATTCGTAATCCGTCGGTAATGTTACGCCACTTCAAGTGTTGATGACCTTATCAACCCCCGCAACTCAAAACCCAGGAGCGTTCCGTAGAAGACCCTGACTGTTGGAATTTGACATGATCGTAAGGTTCGATGGCGAGACCAGAACATTTAATGGTAAAGGATTGGTCAACTCCATGCACGTAACCTCAATTCGTGCTTGTTCCTCGGGTATACGACATGGCCATACATCTTTCGACACGGACTGATGCCATTATTAGCGTTATTGCAGCCGAAAAATCGGCAACGAAGATAGGAGCATTTTCATATAAATGATGAACGCTGTCAAACAGAAAAAGGACAGAATCATTTACAAATCAAATCCAACCATTGAAATGCCTACTATTGCTGAAACAACAACCCCCGTGGTACCTATCACAGAGGCTAAGCTCTCCCTCAAGGGGCCAGAGCGTGCTCCTCTAAAGCCTAGCGGTGCCCTTGACGCCTTTGAGTCATTCGATGTCACTCCGGTCATTGGACGCGAGTTCCCAAACGCCAACCTGAAGGACTTCCTGCGTGCTCCAAACTCCGACGAGCTGCTCCGTGACCTTGCCATCACTGGTAATCCTCATGAATCTTCAAACACATATATTGTCTAACTTGATCAGTATCTCAGCGCGGTGTTGTCTTCTTCCGGAAACAAGACGGCCTTGACGATGACCTGCAAAAGGAGCTCGTTCAGCGACTTGGCGAACTCTCCGGCAAGCCCAAGACTTCAGGTCTACACATCCACCCCATCAGCAACGCGGGCCGCGAACACAACGACAACGTCAAGGATAACGAGATCAGTGTTATTAGTTCGCAACAGCGACAGAAATACTACACCGATCGCAACCAACGCAGACAAAGTGCTCGGCGAGAGTGGCATAGCGATATTACCTTCGAGCCTATCCCAAGTGACTACACTCTTCTGCGTCTGACCGAGCTACCCAAAACAGGCGGTGGTAAGTATCCGATTGGAACTCGTTTCACTACATTATCTTGTTCAAATAACTCACACGGCCTTGCATAGATACCCTCTGGGCATCCGGCTATGAAGTCTACGACCGCATCTCGGAACCATACCAGAAATTCCTCGAGAGTCTGACAGCAACATATGCCCAGCCTCGCTTCAATGAAATCGCCTCGAATAACGATTTCAGGGTCCACCCTGGACCTCGTGGTGCACCGGAGAATGTGGGCGAGGTCCTCAGCGCTCAGCACCCTGTTATTCGTACGAACCCGGTGACGGGCTGGAAAAGTGTGTTTGCCGTTGGTACTCACGTTCAGAAAGTTAATGGGGTTACTGAAGAAGAGAGCGCACATTTACTAAACTGGTTTGTGAATCTGATTGTGGAGAATCATGATTTGCAAGTACGCTTCCGTTGGCAGAATCCGAATGATTTGGGTATGTGGGGTTGAAATCGCGGGTTAATGCAAAGCTGACTTTTTTCATAGCGATTTGGGATAATCGTTCGGCTTATCATGCTGCTACGTGGGATTATGAGGATCTTGGTCCGAGGACTGGGCACCGGGCTGTTGGGCTTGGGGAAAGGCCATACTTTGATCCTAACAGTGTTAGCAGACGGGAGGCACTTGCGAAAGCAGAATGAGGAGGAAGGAGCTTTGATGAATATCTGCGGGCTACGGAGCATTCAATTATTTATGCCCAGGATTATCTTTTAGATTATTCTAAAGCACTGGAGACCTTATGAGAATCTGAGATGAGATTAAACTTCTATGTATACAAGATGAGATAAGAGTAGAGGATATTCACAGGAGATTAATGAGAGGAGATTAATGAGCTTTCCCTAAGCTTTGAAGGTTAACCAATTCGTAATAATGGCCCTTTTGGCGCAGCAATTCATGGTGTGTGCCTTGCTCAATGATCTGACCCTGGTCAAATACATAGATCATGTCGGCTTTTTGAATTGTGCTCAGTCGATGGGCAACGGCGATCGTAGTCCGGCCACGAGCCGCGGCATCCAACGCATTTTGAACAATCTTTTCAGATTGTGAATCAAGTGCTGATGTTGCTTCGTCTAGTAGTAGAATTCTAGGATTTCGCAGGAGGGCACGGGCGATCGCCACGCGCTGCTTTTGACCGCCTGATAACATTATCCCCTTTGTTCCAATGATGCTCTCGAATCCGGTCCTGAAAGGTATCAGCGGGGTATATTATGTGCGTCAAGCATGGGAATGACTCACGGAAGAGACATGATAAAATCATAGATATTGGCGTCCTTGCAAACCTGAATAATCTCATCTTCCGAAACATCGGTGTGGTCAATACCAAGCATGATATTATCTTTGATAGTGCCCTGATACAGGGTAGGCTCCTGGCTAACAAGCGAGAAATAACTCCGATATGAGTTGATGTTGACATCAGTGATGTTCTTTCCATCTATAAGAATTTCTCCCGACGAAACATTGTAGAAGCGTTCAAGCAGGGCAATTGTTGTACTCTTGCCGCACCCGCTGGGCCCGACCAAGGCAATATATTGCCCTGGTTGAACGCTTAGATTCAATCCCCGAAGAACTGGCTGGCTGGGTCGAGTCGGGTAGTTGAAGTGGACATCTTTGAACTCAATCGCACCCTTCACATGCTCCTTCTCGCGGTTTAGTATCTCGCCCTCGGTAGACCAGGTATCGATTTTCGGTCGAAGATCGAATAACTTGCGGAGCTCGAAAGCAGCGTTCTTCGCTTTACCGATATCGGGAGCGAAGGAAAAGACTGCACCAGCGGACTGGGCGCCGAATAGAATTTCGGAGAAAGCCACGAAGAATTGAAAAGTGTTGTACTCGCCACGTCCCAGCAAACTACCACCATACCAGAAGCCTAGTGCGACGCAGAAAAACACCAATGCTTGAGAGGCAGCGTAGAGAATCGAGGATTTCAAGACTGAGATTATATTCGCACGACTCTGCGCTTGTAGGATATCGTGATAGCTGGTCCACACATCCCGCTCGCGAGTCAGAGCAGCTACCGTCCGAATCGCCGAGGTGGCTTCACAGGCGTACGAGGCGGAGTCTTGGTTCCCAGTCTTGGACTTTTGCGCAAACGCAGCGAGCATGTAAAACTGATAAAATCCACATCCTAAAAGGATTGGCAGGGTTGAAATACAGACGAGTGCAAGCTTCCAGCCAAACGCCAGTGAGATACACATGGCGGCTATCAGCGTCGTGGATGTCATCAATATCATTCCAAGATTTTGGCCACTGATGCCAGCGAGGTATTTCGTTTCGGTGGATAGAAATGATGTCAAGGCACCCGTTGTGTTCTCATCTCGGTCAAAAAAGCTGATATCCTGGCGGAGAATCATCCGGAAAGCTTTGCTGCGGGACCTGGACACCAGTCGCTCAGAGCAAATACCGAAGGCGAGTCCATGGGTCCCGAATGTAATAAACTGGACGATACCGATAACGAAAAAGATTAACGACCAGAAATTTGCGTCATGTCGAAGTTTGTCATACATCGATTCGGGTAGGGAGAGGGTGCTGATGGCCTTAGCAAAGAGGTATGCTTGAACAGGCTGGCCGCCACCAGCCAGGCAAGAAAACATCAGACCAACGATCAGCCATCGCCATTCCTCTTTGTTGAACGACGCAATGAATTTAATAAGGGTCCAAAGAGAGTATTTTCGCTCAGAATCAGGGTCACCGGTGGCGAAGATATCTCCAGTAGCCGACTTTCGTGAATCAATTTGACGGACTTCTTTCTCGAAAATCCCAGCTCCAGCCTCATCCCTTCGGGAAATGGAACCACTATTAATAGAGTTTATCTGTACAATGTCCTTCGTTCTGGTAGACCCTTCAGAGTCATAGTCATCCTCATGATCCTCTCGTCTGTCGGTTGTATTCTCTTCTCGGATGCGTTGAGCCTCGACCAGTTTAGAATAAGGGCCATCCATCTGGATCAGATTGTCATGCACACCCTGTTCCACGATCCGGCCGTTCAATAGGACCACAATATTGTGCGCTGTTTTGATCGTGGATAGACGATGTGCAATGACAATCGTTGTACGCCCCTTGCTCGCGCGATCAATCGCAGCCTGGACCACACCTTCTGACTTGGTATCTAAAGCCGAGGTTGCTTCATCCAGCAACAGGATCTTAGGCTCAGAAACAACTGCACGAGCGATTGCAATGCGTTGTTTCTGGCCACCAGAAAGCAAGAAGCCTCTTTCACCCACGCTGGTGTCATACCCATTTGGAAGGGCAGAGATAAATCCGTGAGCATTCGCTATGCGCGCCGCATTCTGCACAAGCTCGTGAACTTTCTCCTCTGATTCGTTCTCAAATATGGACCCGATAAGCCCATGGCGGATATTGTTATAGATTGTTGTTCCAAAGAGCACCGGTTCCTGACTGACAAGGGAGATTTGTTGACGTAGCCAGCGTAGGTTTAAGGTCTGGGTATCATGACCATCCAAAAGAATGGTGCCTCCAACTGGAAGATAGAACCTTTCAATGAGATCCATCACAGTACTTTTACTTGAGCCGGACGGACCGACAAGCGCAGTAACTTTACCAGCAGGGATCGATAACGACATATCATGCATTACCGTAACGTCCGGGCGAGATGGGTAAATATGCTTAACATTCCGCAGCTCAATATTGCCCTCGACATGATCAAGGATCAAACCTTCCTCGTTAGATGTGGGATCGATTGGGGAGATCCGGTCAATCGTATTAAAAATCTTGGTAGCCGCAGCGATAGCGCTAGTAAATGCTTGCGCGTTTGGGCTCACATTCCCTAGACTGAAAGAGCCAATCAAGATAGCCATCAGCACAGTCAATACCTGGCCAGCATTGACTTGATGTGCTACCAAATAGCGAGATCCCATCCAAAGACCAAGTCCATAGTTCCAAAACATGATGGCGAACATAGGACCTAAAATCAGAGATAAGGAGATCTGTAGACGGATTCCGTATTTCTCTCCAAGACTTAGATGCGAGTCATATTGTTTCGCAAGTTTCTCCTGCGTTCCAAAGGCTGTGGCAATCCGGATCGAACTGATGACTTCTTCCGCGACCGTATCACCGGCTCCGTAATGGTTGAGAGACAATTTGCTGTACTTGATAATGAACTGAGATCCGATGCCCATCACAAGGGTCAGCGCGACGATAGTGGATGTGCAGATGCCCGCCAGGCGCGCATATTTCACATAAGCCACGATAAACGCTGTCACGAAAGTGGCCAAGGCCGTTAGAGTCAGGCCAACTTTTTGGGAGACGCCGTCTTGAATGAGGTTAGTGTCAGACGTGATGCGAGTAGTCAATTCACCAGCCCCGAGCTGATCAAAATAGGCGATGTTTTGGCGCAGGATGGCTTTGAGATAGTTTTCCCGTATCTTTTGGGTGACTTGGCCTCCGGTGTAGATGAACCCCACCATGCTAATGTAGACGGTGGCGAATTCAGCGATTCCTAGATAAACAAAGTACAAGACATTTTTGTCAAGTTCATGGATAAATCTGTCATAGGTGATTGTTTGCTGCTCGATTCCTTGAAATGCCAAAGTTAATGATCCAAAGAGGATCTAGGTTGAGAATCAGCAGTTGTTCCCCACACGATTCGATGACCCACTGTAAATAGAGGCATTGCTGCGCCTGCCACGATAGCGCAGAGAGCGCTGATCGCAATAATAAGAAGATCAAATTTGGAAGCATAGCGATACAACCCAAAGAAGGAGATCTTGACTTTGGGCGCATCAAGCTGTCTCTTGAGGATTTCCTTCTCATGTTCGGGAAGATGCCCAAAGGCTGCATCTTCATCTATTGAAAGGATTGATTTGCTTGTAGGTTTTTGTGAGTCGGCAGGTTTGTCATCACTGGCATCATCGATGCGATCGGTACGTTTCTCAATCTCCGCAGCGATGATATCCTCGGCCTTACTCAAAGCGATGGCCCCATCTTCAGGTTGCTGCATCGTGAGTCGTAGTGACGGGCAGTGTTCAAAACATCATAGAATAAAAACAAAGTATAACTTTGCAGAATATCGGAGTTGTAATAAAGTTGGATTTCAGGCGCCCATCAAATGATAGGCGAATACGACATATTAACCAAAAAAGGAAAATGCGGATGATTCATTCCAAGGTTCTGACGAATCATCGTCCACGAGAACTCGGTTCACTCCAACATCCGAGCCATTTCAAGGTTGATAAGTTCGGTATTTCGAATTCCCGAGTATTTCCTGAATACAGAGTACAGTGTGATTGCGATTAGACTGCCCTTGTGCGACCACATTGAAGGTACATCTAACTTGAAACTAGTGACCTCGGGGGTACGGAACACTTTACTGCACGATAAGCTATTAAATAATAAGCAAAACATTACAAGCCGTCTCATAGAGGACTCCACTCATCAGCAGTACAGAAAGCATCAAAATATGCAAAAGAGCTATCCGACTGTTCTACTGGTACCCCTCGCACCACACCTTTTATGTCAAAATCAAATCCATACTGGTAGAAAAGTCCTGCCATCCTCGCAGCACGGACCAAATACATGTCAGTGTCAGAGAAATTGTGAGCCTCTTCCCGAAAGGTTTCCCAGAAGACTCTCTCACGTTCACGGTGGCGATCGTAGTAGTGACACCCTTCTGAATCCATCCAGCCAAAATGATTCTCAAGCCCGTATAGCGCGAAGCCGAAAGGCAGAACTCTTGACTCAGCCCAGTCAACAATCCCTGTGATTAAACCAGTTACGGAGTTGGTGAGGAGGTTCATCATGTTAAGATCCCTGTGGCTAAGAACAATAGGGAGAGCTCTTGAAAACAGAGACGGTAGGACCATGCGGACCCTTTCTAGGTGTGGTGTAAAGCGAGACGGTAGGTCTCGGGCAAGAAGATCGAAATTTGTTTCAAACTCCATAAGCAAAATATCAGTTTCATATAAGCATGGCCATTGGTCGTTGTACCATGATTGTGCAAAAAATTTATTCTAAAATATTAATTCTTGTAAATGAAGTATCAGATTTGGTAGGCGCACCTTGCGAAGACCTTGATAGTGTTACGCAGTCGGAACATGTCGTCTGGTGAGATACCCGCCATATTATGAGAAGTCCCAGGGAGTTTGTCCATCTCATAGATATAGAGCGGCCGTGAATCGCCCATGGTGCCGAGATATTTGCAGCTAGCTACAAATTCGGGATGGACTATTTTCCCAAGGCTAACATTGCCCACACCAATGGTAGAGTTCTCCTCTCTAAACTGGATGAGCTTGAACTTGTTCGGTCCTGCTGTCACGGTATAGCTACACACTCCTTGCATCTGTAAAGCAGTGGACACACCGCCAGCGCGAGAAATGGCAAATTCATCATATTCGTGTCTTGTTACAGTAGTGTTCGAGCTGAAGAGATTATCAATTGCGCCGGTAAGAGTGTAAATATTATAAGTCGTCATTGCGGTGAAGGCTAGTCGAGGATGAATTGTGTTTCTATTTTTGCCACGATCGGCCCTAAGCTTCCAGCTCTTTTGCGAGCTAAGCTATTCAGGGGAGATTAGGTCCTGCTATGAAGATGAAGGTACTATTCTGGCAAGTTGGGGCGGAAAACGATGTGGAGTAGTTCTTGAAGAATTCCCAAGCCCGAACTTTGTCGATTTTTGTTCAAATGTTGCTGGTTGTTGCTGGTAGTTGTTGGTTGTTGTTGGTTGTTGGCTATGTTAATTCTTATCAGAACGAATTGCGTGTCATTGGACCGGACTTTCCCAATAAGGCGATAAGTGCGACCGGATAAACTAGCTACTTTTATCAAGCTTGAAGACTATGCGCAGGCCAAGACTCAGCTTAGGAAAGTGGGACCGATCAAGTCTATGAGCTTGTGCTGCATCGCCTATAGGTAAAATTGCCAATGGGGGCTGTCACGAGTCACGACTCCACGGGATCAACGATCAAGGGCAACATTGACCATTTGAAAGGATTGATATCCTTGTATTACTCCGAAAAGCTTGGAAGAAATGAAGAAACACCTTTTCCTTGTTCATAGCTGAATCCCGCATACCCAAATCTTTCAACGGACTCCGTATTCGAAGACTCTGGACCGGTTTAATTGCTAGAAGCTACTCGTTGTATATACATAATTTTCTGTATTCTCATGCAGATCCCCGTGGATCTTTATTCCAGAACTTTTAAACAAAAATAGAAATCTGCCTCACTCCTGCATATTCTCATTTCATCGCCCTTTGAGAGGAGTATTATCCTTGCACCGGCTGAACACTAAATTAGAACCACGTGGAGTGGGAAAAGTTGTGAAAGTTGAAGGTTGTCTTAGACCTGGCCGGGAGTGGAGTCCCATGTTCATCCGATATCCGTATCATCCGAGTTCGTTTTATGTATCAAAGATTGTTTGCACGAATGGTTGATGGATCCGAACAGACCAATAAAGCGTTCAGCGATCTCCAGAATTTGGAAAATTCCATTGGACCTGTAACATTGGGCGTTGGGGGCCAAACGAGGCGACGATTAAATTCAGGACATAGAAGGGTTCTGTGAGCCATTCGCTTAATCTAGCGTGACTTTTAGTGTCAATAGTTTTCCAAGTCGGGAGTAGATTCAATCCTCCAATTCTTGGTCAATGCTGGACACCCGAGCCGTCGATCAACCATCTGCTCATACATAACACCCGGTCAATCTGGGAGCTTAATGGTTATGCACTGTGGAGTACTTCTATGCGTCTGCCTGTGCGCAATGGAGTCCACATTTGGTATTCTGGAGGGAGAAACGATGCACCAATCAAACACATTCACAAGTGAACCCAATGCAGAATGGCGTGGCCTGCCTAGTACCAGTCTAGATCGTGCACTGGCGAATTGTTGGCATTGTGACTGGGAGCCCTGAACATCGATCGCTCCACCTGTCCAGGAGAAGCAACCGAACGGGTGGTCGTCTCCGTTTCCCAATTGTATCGTGAGGGAACAGTACCGACTTTTACACAATCTGCATGTCTGAGTAAGGTAAAACACTTCCAAGCCCTGATTTTCAACGAGCCTCATAATATCAAATGCATGTAACGCTTTCTCCAGAAGTCACGGAACTGACCAAAACTATAATTTCGCACGTACAGCATTGAATGTCAAGTGGGTCAACCATTGGGGGCGGATCGACGCCGATCAATTAAAATCATTTCCAATTCGTTTCATCGATTTCCATAATTAACTCCGAGTTCTTGACCCATTTTTAAATTACACCCCCGTGATACAGCCAATCTTTGTTGATCCAGTCCATATATAGGCCCTTACAGTGCTGGACTCGGCAAGTTTTCTATTCTTCAGCTCTTTAAGGGTCCCTGAATCCTTCACTGACCCTCATTGACTCACCCAATTATCCACATTCTGCTTTCTTATCCAGTGTCTTTGATGATATAACCGTTCAAGGCGATGTCCATCAACACCATGTCTCAGTTCCAGCATCAGTTTTCAACTATACCCCAGTACCACGACTCGCAGTATGTTCGAACCATTCCGCCCATGAAGAGCGCTCCGTCCCAAGAGCTCCGCTCAATTAGTCCTCATGGACCGGTTCCTCCGTCCCCTTCCTCATCCACAAACGAATTCAAAGTCAGCAAGGCCAAGAAAGGGAAGCGAGTGCATGCTTGCGAGTTTCCCGGCTGTGTGAAGGTATCACCACCCGCAACTTTCGATGGTATCAATTTAACCTGAATCAGATTTTCACACGAGCCGAGCACCGGCGACGCCATGAACTGAGTCACCGATCCAAGAAGACCTATACTTGCAGCTATGAAGGATGCACAAAAGCATTCCACCGAGCAGATTTTTTAGTACAACACATGGCACGACAGTGAGTGGAGTGTTTTCCGATTCGCGCTTAATTCTACAGAAGCTAACCTCCGATCTTCAAGTGAATCTGTACCTGTAGTGCAATCACCTATAAGGAGCAACTCAACTTCCTCTCCTGTCTCACAGGTCTACTATGCCAAATCGCCGGTTTTTACTGGCTACCAATCACCAGTTCCAAGTGTAACTCCAGGAACTCCAAGTGCTCCGGAGCAGTCGATGAGGATGTGCTCGAATCTTAACTATCCAAATCAAAACGGGGTGTATGGCTCTCCGAATCAAGGGTGCCAGCTCTATAACTACCCACAAGGCTCGAATTTGGGTTTTGCCCCCCAGTCGTCACCACCTGCGCCGCCTGGACTAGATGCTATTGATCAATATCTGCGGAGTGTTCTCCGCCCGGAGGCTTTTCTACCAACTATTCAGTCACAAGGACCGACAAATTCTTCTTTCTGGAACTCCAATATCGATCCCAGTCTCCCTCAAATGAACTCCGCGGTAAGCTAACATTGCCAGCTAAAAAGATTCAAATGGAGATGTTACTAATGACTTAATAAGAGTTTTTAGCCACCCATTACCTACCCTTGGGCATCGGGGGAGATCTTACCCCCTCATATTCAACCATCGCATCGCCAAGCAAGCCAGGAGCGCAACGCATGAACGCCAATGAAACCTCACGCATCCACCTACGAACTAGATACTATGATACCCCACATTCCATTTTTACAGTTCTTTGTTTCACATTTATTCCGTCGTATCAAGCAAACCTTGATACTACTTTCCAACTGTCAGCTTTCCCATATTTGGGTATTTGGAATTCACACGCATGTCAATATAAAGTATCGAATGATTCGATAGCTCCAAACCCAAAAAAGTGTACCTTGTACCCGAAGGAGCCAATGAAAATTTAGAATCTTTTGAACGAAAAAGCCTCAAAGGCTTGTGGCTGATATCATTACTGTGGTCTACAACCTTTTACCTAGCACATGTTAATCAATGATCTGGATATGGACGCCAGTACATGAATGACAAATAACATGCCTCAGCCCTTTTTGGTGGCTTGCATTTGATCGCTAATATCCCGCAAGCAACCTTGGAACTTTGAGCGTCGCGATAATGTGGCCAGACCCATCTCCAGATCCTGGAAATTTATTAATTAAGACAATTGGAATCCACAGACCAACTCACTTCAACATCGAATCAAAATCTTTAAAAGGATCAACACTAGCAGAAAGATCTGATTCGTTCACCGTTGGCCCCCGGGGCCGACAATAAGCGGCGAATAGCCAGACCGTTGGGGCGAAGGATCACTGGCTGAATTAACGTGCCAGTAAAACTTCGTTGATCAGCGCTGGCCACATGGCCCTAGACCCCTAGCTTAAGGAGGATATGGGAGATCTTGTGGGTATGATATGTATGGCCGGTGTGGAATAGAGTGGATCATCACCAGTTACCTCTTCCATGAGGCGCCGATCTCTGACAAATACTTTTTGCTTATGATACGGGGTTGAGAGATGCTGGATCCCTGGCTACTAGGTAGATAAATCCCGCAGGGTAGATAAATTCCGCAGGGAGTATCTCCCTATAGATTTGCCAAGTGCAGATAAAAGTGTCCACATATCCAGGTAGTCTTGTGCTGTTCTTTATTGAGGACTTGGTCTGCCGCTTACATGGGTTCTAGGTGATAACCCAGGTCTCATTAGGCCTCCAGAGCTTATATCACCTGATTTGAAAGACGAAATAACTGAGTGCACAGGTGGTTATAGTTGTTGTACATTAATTGATTTCGACATTTTCGTCAATGTACGAAACGTGGAAGTCAAGCTCACTAAGTATTCATTGTACAGGCGATTTTTTTATAATATTCACCCTCATATGGACGCGTTTGGCATGTATGGGGTGGGAATGATATTCCAATCGTAACACTGTTACTGTGTCACCTGATGCAGTATTGTGGAGAAGGAGGCCATTATATTTGGCATGTTATGCCGGGGAGCTGATTGATGCATTCAATGAAAGGCCATTGGGCAACATGTTGGGCAAACGAGGTAAGGTAGAATACCTATCTTCTGATCCTAGATATTCATCTAAATTATGCTGAAGGAGTAAGCTAATGGGAAGGGAAGAGGCGGTAGGTGAGGCCCTAATCCACGGGTAGCATAGTTCATAATGTGATTTCCATTACCTTTGATTCCCAGATACTTCTTCAAGCTTTATCTTAATTTGATAAAAGCCCAATGAAATACTGGATTAAGGAAGAAAAAGCATAGATAACTCACAATCGCGTAACAGCTGGAGTAATTCATCTTAGACATTTATAGTATGGGGTTAGGTGACCCCACTCCGTTTGTTTCCGTTCCCCTCTCTTTTCCTTTCCCTCATTCACCCCCCTCGAAATACCCGTCTTGCTCGTTTTTTGTCCATATCCTACTGACTAGTAGCAGCGTATCCTAGAGATCCTCCGTCGGCACAGACTACACAAGTTAAAAGGCAGCCATCTTCAACATCATCTGCCACTACTTCGAACCTTGCTCCGAGATGCACGCTTTCTTCTAAGTGGGATCTAAGTGAAGAGGGGAACCAAACGAAGGTTTCGTTTATTACCAATCGAGACGAACGATCCCATTTCCTGCATGTCCTTGTGGGGCCAGATATTTCTCCATGCTTTTGCCGATTGGCGTGGCTCGCCGTGGGGATGCCAGAAAATGCGGGGAAAATACGGGGAAGTCTCTTGTCCTGCTTGCCCAGGCGATATGAAGAACAGATTCTTGGAAAGCCCCACATTTGCGAAAGAAAATAGCGTGGCCTATACAAGAATGTGAGGTAGTATTGAAAGGCAATGTCTCGGGGCACTGTCATGCACACAAATATCAATTTGGAGCGGGGTATGAACTGCTATACATATGGTATGTTAGCAATTCGCTCAAGAACGCGCAATTTGATCAGCTGCAATTGCCATTCCTTTCTCTTCTTGACACAGCTACAGAATGAAGTTGACCACAGTATCTGCTGCAGCGCTGCTTCTGGCAGGTGTTTTGGCAGAGAGTGAGTCCTCCGAAGCTGCTCATCTCGAGCGTTTCTGGTCCTATGGGCGGTCCGAACCAGTATATCCGACGCGTAAGCCTTTCTGCCAGATCACTGCATGCTTTTAACAAATTCGGTTAACATATATGATTTTCAGCCAAAACAAATGGCCTGGGTGATTGGAAAAGCGCCTATGAAAAAGCGAAATCTCTGGTTGCTCAAATGACAAATGAGGAGAAGAACAATCTCACTTACGGATACACGTCAACCACCAATGGCTGTTCTGGAAACTCAGGAGGGGCACCTCGTCTAGGATTTCCGGGTATTTGCTTGCAGGATTCTGGGAACGGCGTTCGAGGAGTAGATATGGTCAACGGATATGCTTCAGGTATACACGTTGGGGCGGCGTGGAACCGTGAGCTTTCATACCAGCGCGCTCACTATATGGGTGCCGAATTTCGGAGGAAGGGCGTCAACGTCGCTTTAGGCCCAGTAGTTGGTCCTGCTGGTCGGATAGCCCTAGGTGGTCGCAACTGGGAAGGGTTCAGTAATGACCCATATCTTGGTGGTGCTTTGGCTGGCGAGACAGTCCGCGGTCTACAGGAGAATGTGATTGCATGCGTCAAACATTTCCTTGGCTACGAGCAGGAAACTAATCGCAACCCTCCGATGCTTTTGACTGACAGCTACAATCAGTCTGTCTCTTCTAATGTCGATGATAAGACGATGCATGAGCAATACCTCTGGGCCTTTCAAGACACCATCAAGGCGGGCGCTGGATCCATCATGTGCAGCTATAACAGAATCAACAACAGCTACGGGTGTCAGAATAGCAAGACGCTCAATGGTCTTCTCAAGGGCGAAATGGGGTTCCAGGGGTTTGTAGTCACAGATTGGTATGGCCAGCACACTGGTCTTGCGAGTACATTGTCCGGATTAGACATGGCGATGCCTTCATCATCATATTGGGAGAACAACACACTCGCTTCAGCCGTGAAAAATGGATCGCTCCCTCAGACCCGTCTCGACGATATGGCCACCCGAATTGTGGCTTCCTGGTACAAATATGCCGAGCTAGAGGAGCCAGGTCACGGAATGCCAGTCAGCCTTCTGAAACCGCATAAAGTGGTAGATGCTAGGGACCCGAAATCCAAGACGACTATCTTCCAGGGTGCTGTTGAAGGCCATGTCCTAGTAAAAAACACCGATCGCGCATTGCCACTCAGAACACCAAAGTTTCTTTCCCTCTTTGGTTATGATGCTGTCACTGCCTCCATCAACACTGCAGACAAGGACTCTTTCGGCGGGTGGAGCATGGGTCTAGACAATACCATGTCATGGTCAAACGGCTCTGCAATTTCGCCTACTGTCCTTGAAGAGCTCTTCCTTTCCAGTATTAACCCAACAACTCAAGGCCCCGGTATTGCCTTCAATGGAACGATGATCTCTGGTGGTGGCTCTGGCTCCACCACTCCATCTTACATAGATGCCCCTTTCGACGCGTTCCAGCGTAGGGCGTATGAGGATGACACCTTTCTCGCTTGGGATTTCACCTCCCCAGATCCATTGGTCAACCCTTCTTCGGAAGTTTGCATTGTTTTCATCAACGCACAGTCGTCTGAAGGTTGGGACCGCCCAAGCCTCTCAGACCACTACTCTGATGAGCTAGTCTTGAATGTTGCAGCTCAGTGCAGCAATACCATGGTTGTCATCCACAACGCAGGTGTACGTCTTGTCGACCAATGGATTGAGAATTCTAACGTCACCGCTGTCATTTATGCTCACCTGCCCGGTCAAGACAGCGGCCGAGCCCTAGTGGAAGTCATGTACGGCAAACAGTCACCCTCTGGTCGCCTTCCCTACACTGTGGCCAAGACCGCGGCGGACTTCGGTTCTCTTCTCAGCCCTACCTTTCCCGAAGGTGATCTCAACATTTGGTACCCTCAATCTAATTTCACCGAAGGTGTTTACATCGATTATAAGGCCTTTGAGAAGAGTGGAGTCACCCCGCGCTACCCCTTTGGCTACGGTCTCACATACACGACATTTGAATACTCTAGTCTAAAGATCTCACTTGCCCATGGCGTGAGTACCAGCTACGCTGCTCCTGGCAGTGTCATTGCAGAGGGTGGTTTATCATCACTATGGGACACCATCGCAACAGTCAATTGCACCATCGCCAACTCTGGAACTGTGGCAGCGGCAGAGGTTGCTCAGCTTTACGTCGGTATCCCTGGAGGTCCTGTGAAGGTCCTGCGAGGATTCGAAAAGCAACTTCTTCAGCCTGGTGCAAACGAGCACTTCTCATTCGACTTGACACGTCGTGATCTCAGTACCTGGGACACTGAGATGCAAACATGGGGCCTGCAGAAGGGGGCTTATCATGTTTATGTAGGCAAGAGTGTGCTGGATATTCAGCTTACTGGAACTTTGACTATATAATAGTGAATACATGATCAGTAGAATTCTACTGAGTTTTAATACATTTTCCCCGTCATTCATTACATTTAGGATACAAAGATGACTGTACACCTACCTAGCGGCTGAGGCAGTCTACCTAAACTCCAGGAGTTTACTCCACCTCAACAATGGGCCCATCGTAAACGTGCCTGGCACGGATGACATAATAAAGCAGACTCAAGAAAATCACCCCGAAAGTGCCTACCACACTGAAGTTCATGGTCGTGACAGTCACCTGCCAAGAAGGTGGCCAAAAGCTGAAGAACACAGCAATTGTCATATAAACGAGCGCAAAGGTATTGATCAGAATACCCCACATGCCTGGAATATGGAATGGGCCCCAGACAAGTTTCGCACCAACAGTGTTCACAACGGCAGTATCACTGCTCCGGACATTGCTGATGCCCCCAGTGCAGCGTCGATGAAGCAAGAGACCAGCCACGACCATATAGGACATATAAAGACCAGATATTGACATAGCAACAAGGTCATTAAAGGCTACCGAGGATCCGATGTTGATAATAGCCAGAAGGCAAACCACCACGGTCGTCAGCAGAACAGAGTAGACAGGAACTGCAGTTCCCCCATGAACCTGGCTCCAAACTCGCCAGCCAGGGATACCTCGATCACGCGCGAAGGCCCAAAGTTGTCGTGAGGCCGAGGCTAACATTCCAACCGAGGTTGTGATACCCATAGTGGTAATGATGGAGCACATAACGGCAGTTCCTGCTACAGAGCCGGTAGCCTGAAGAAATATAGACATGAATGGGTACCCTGTGGCGGATTCCAGGGCCTCGCTCATGTCGCCGAGGCAGAATAGCATGGCGAGTAGCATGCCAAAACCGAGAGCGCCATTGATAAGAACACTCAGCATTATGGATGTAGGAACCGCTGTCGACGCATTGGTGATTTCCTCGGACATCTATACAGGGAAATCTAAGGTAAGTACTTGCATCGAGTAGATTTTGGTCGGAAGTTGCGCTTACATGGACTGCGGCATCGCCTCCAGCAAATGCAAATATACATCCAACAATGCCAACGAAGAAGGACAATCCCTGTGAGGGGAACTCTCCGAGATTCAAAAACTTTGTAAAAACCTCCTTTGCACTCCCATGGTCGGCCATATAGGTTAGAGGGATAAGAATCGCAAAAAAGCCGAGAATGTGAAGAATCAAAATAAAGCCTTCAAACCGAGGCAAAAGCTTTCCACCAACCACGTTGATGGACACAGAAAATAATGCAACAGCCCAGAATAAGAGCACTCCATGCCAGCTTTTGGGGTTGTAGTCTTTCTGTGTTAGAACGATGAGTCCTTGAATTAATGTTCCACACAAGTAGCAGGATGTTGCATATGTCGCTTGCCATCCGATAACAGTGAGCCAGCCTTCAATGTTTCCTTGTTAGTTGTTTACTTCAATAACGTAAAATTTCTGGTTCCACATACCTGTCAGATAGCTTAATAGCTTCATGCATGATCGCGGGGCAAGCATCGAGCACCAGTGATACTGACCTCCAGAAGTTGGAGCCCTGTCAAAATTGTTAGTCCAAGTACCCTGGAAACATAGAGGACCACATACATAGACGCCAATTCAGATAGAACAACGAATGTGGAAGCGACACCAAGCCAGACGAAGAGGAAACCGTAAACTGCACCTGCAGGACCACCACTGTTTAATCCCAATCAGTGACTGCGTGTTCATCCATGATCGAAATGTCATACTTCTCATATGCTTGCAAAAATAATCTGATGATGCAAAAATTAGCAAAAACCCAAGCGGATGAAAGACAACTATGCTCACACGACAATTCCTTCCCAAGTAATCAAGATAGTACAGCTGAAGCCCAGCATGGACATCAATCCGAAATTCCGCTGATTTAGTTAGCCAGGAGATTAAAAACTGACGAGTCACATCCTCACCTTGAGCACCGGACGCTTTCCCATGCGTGCCAAATTGGCGTCGTCGAGCTCCTTGCTCGACCGTTCACCAATCTCCTCCATTCCCATCGTACTGATTTGCTTCATCTTGAAGACAATGGCATGCAAAAGAGACCGTACTTTTGGTTCGAGAGAACGAGTGAAGAAAAAAAGCAGAATCGGAATACAATAAGGCTCCGAAAATTATCCACTTGCATGCACTAGCCAAGTGTAACAATGGCAAGTTATTAACTCCAACCGAGCCCACTTGGCGCTCCAGATCATGCATGGTACTTTTGACTTTTGCACCAGCCTTCTAAGGGTAACATATGCCGTGTTTCAGTTTATGATTTCCTGTTCTGAAGTCTCCCTAAAACTACTCCATAATTTTACATTAATTACACTCTTGTAATGCCCGGTACAATAATCCACCAAAAAATCCCGCATTTTTGCATTTCCTAACCCCAAACAAGATTCTTGTTTCTTGCTGAGTCTCAGTCACTGCGGGTTTCCCAGTTATTTATTGCCTCAGTCGACTCTCTCTGTACGTAGACATCTGTTGTTATCACAACCTCGGACATTGTGACTAGCTCATGTGTCTCGCTCCTATCTGTTCGACCACGAGATAGCTTGTGACTCGTTCCATAGCCATATGTCCGATTTTTGCTCCCGTAGCCTGATCCTCCGATGCCCATGCCCGATGATTGGAGACTGTCGAGTACAGGTTTGAATTGAGGTGAACATGCAGTAATAATACTGAGGGCCTGAGTCATCTGGGTGGAAACGGCCACAGTCCAAGTATCCCACGAGCTATCGGCAGAGGACTTTGTCTGGCTGGCGTAGACAAGCTGGCAAATAATTGCTATAGCCACACTGCAATGGATCAGTACACGTCTCAACTGGTTCAGATACCGAAGAAAATAACTCACAATATTCGAAGGCAGAAGACACTTCCTAGAACCGCCTTTTTATGGATGTCGGCTTGCACCCGGACCACAACTAATAATGCCTGTGCAATGATTCCAGCCTCTGACAATATGTTTGTGACACCGAGGAAGTTCCACCACGCTCCCTGAAATCTGTTAGTCGTTCATTCAATTGAGCCATTGCATTGAGACAGTCAATCACATACCCGATTGAAACATTGGCTCTGTAAGTAGTCCCAGGGAATTGGCACATGACATTGAAAAGCCGCCGTGAACACTCCTACAACTGTCCAAACAACAATGAATATTCCCAACCCGAGGGCAAATCGGCGGTCCAAAGCAGCAGGCGTCAAATTCCGAATGAAAAACATGATGGCGAGCTTGGAGCAGCACATGCTGATGATAAAGAGGATATTCGAGGCATAGAGTGCCTACGAGGTATTCGAGCTTGTTAGACATCGTTCCCCGATTAAGTCTCATCTCACATTTCATCTCACCTTCATCATGTAATTCTTCTTGACTTCTGAAAGAGTGTTCAAATGTTGTCCGAATCCACCTGCAGTGGCCATTGACATAGCAATTGATTCCCCAATGCAGGTAAACATCGCTCCAATGCTGAGAAAATCGTCAATCGTAAACTTCCGGAAAATCCAATATTTAGTTCCCAGTCGCGTTAAGACGCTCAGAGCGGAGGTCACTAGCATGAACCAGGTCAGAACATTGACAGCTGGTGTCCATGTTTCTCGGAACTCGGGCTTCATTGTGTCGACTTCGACTTGGGAGGCTCAGAATACGAAAACTTGAGCATCGCTCTCGCACAAGGCTCCTTCTACATGTTACACTAGAGTGGATCTGTATGCAAGTTGATCCTGATCAATAGTAACTACAGGAATTGTAGAGGCGCCATTCCTTTTTCTTTACAATACAAATACAATACTGTCGTCAATTGAAAGCCGATCGATGGCCATCTTCCCGCTAATCTACGATTGCTTCGAACCCCTGCTGCAGGATGCACATTTGTATTCTAAGTGGAGACAAGAGCAATATGTGAAATGAGCCATTAAACCATTCCGCCAATCAAAACAAGTCTTTCCTCTAATCCTTGTATGTTCTCTATGGGGCTAGATTTTTCTTGTCTATGCCCCCGGGCCGGCCCCGGGCGATCTCCGCATCGTGATCGTAAGACTAGGGAGTATGCGCCATTTGTTTACGTTATGTTTTCCCCTTCATAGAATTTGTCACTATTAATCCCTTTTCACCAGGGTTCCGGACCGATTTTACGAGTATTCGAATTCAAAATAATTCACAAAAACACCCACCTAAATTACGAGTACGAGTACGCGCTATTCCGACTGCAGCAAGGTCAATTGTATGTGGCCAATCCAATTGTAAATTGCCACTGGATGTGAACCCGATCCTTCTCTCCTAAGCTGCTAAGCATAATGCAAATTGTGGCCTAGCATGATATGCACGATTCAGGGGCTAGCTATCACACTCATAGCTGCCAAAGATAATCTCACCTCGAGGTTCCTATTACCTAACCTTCCAGAGTGATAGAAACGATCTCCCAGCCTGGATCGGAAGATCGCCATGTCTGGGCGGAAGTACGCGTACACCCCGGTAACTGGAGAAACCTTGTTCCGCATAGACAGCATTCAGTTAACCCGATAACGTATTGCACAGGCGAACACCGCACCCCAAAACAGATAGTAGATGCGATAAATTACATTTCATTCTCTCTACGACCGTGGTTTGTAGGAACTTTCCTTGAATCTTAGTTCCTTTCAAATGTTTGTATGATATACAATCATCCTAAAGAGATTCGAAAACTTTAATTGTATGGGGGGTACTGGGGGCCACAAATATATATGTCCGAGGTCGAAGGACAGAATTTTTCAGTGTCGTGATAATATAAGAGTTTGATGCATTTAAACTTGATATGTCTTATTATAAATCCTTATGTTCATACGGAAAGGCTACCCGAAATAAAGGAGACTGGTACAAAATCTCAATGTAGAAAACACTCGAAATCACCTGTTACAAGTATCCAAGGCTGGACGCTGCATGTAACGAAACGTATACCGGCCCCAACGTCCTTCACTAGAAAAACTTTCAAGGTCATACTCGCTGTCACCTATCTCTTGAAATCCAGCCTTCTTATATAGATTGTGACCGGCAGGCGATGCGTGAACCCAGCATGGAAGTTTCTCTGCATCAGCTATATCGATGCCCCATTGGATGAGCTGGGACCCTATTCCTCGACATTGGAAGCTTGGACTTGTTGCTAATGCTTGGAGCACAAGGTATTTTCTGTCTCTCATCGACTTTTCTTCCCATCTCATAGAATCTCTACGCATCAGGGAACTGAGGAGCTGAGCTGGCCTTTTTAATCGCGCTGGCTGGTTCATAAGGGAAGATTCTCCATTATTAGGCGTATCGAGACTTCTTGGATTTAGCAATGCCTCACTTCTGTCTTGGTCGTCTTTATCCTTAGTCAACCAGCACGCCCACCCGACTATTGTTCCATCACCAGCTACGGCTTTCACTAGCTTCGATGTCGGATCAGAAAGCCAGTTTTCGATTGATTTTTGCATAACCTTCTGATGCGTGTTTTCTTCGCGATCATAGAGCATAAAATTCGAGAATTGATCCGTTTTGAATGCCGCCGTATGTACCCGGACAAGATCGGGAATATCATGGGTTGTCGCCAGAAAGAGAGAAATCTCCATGATTATGTGAGACATGAGACTTGAGGGAGTACGTGGAGACATTCTCTCTTCTTCACTTCGTGCGTAAATAGAAGATAATAGGATAAATGACTTTGCGGTAGTCAATAGAGATCTGAAGTAATTGACTTTATGCTTGGCTGGTAGTGATAATCTATCGGAAAATAGAGGAGAGTAGAATAAAGAGTCGAAGAGAGAAGAAAAGAGTAATAAAGGGGGTTGACTCACTAGACTTCAGAATGGGACGGCCTATTGGGCTAAACCCTTGTCCAGGCCTAACCCAATGGGCCGACTCTTTATCTACAGCCTATCATGGGCCGGCCTAATGGGCTTTTGGCATATTGCTGTCTGACTCTGTTCCTGACGTTGATCCATCGCTGTGTTAGCTGGTGTCCCGAAGAGTTCACCTTCGAGACAAATCTCCTATTGAAGAATAGAGAACTCTCAGACCTCGCCATCATCCCGGAAGATCAGTATTTCCTGAACCCATATAGCCACAATTCTAGACGAAAGAGATTCCTGGTGGATCCCCTCTGGTTTTTCGAAGAAGCTGAATGTATCTTGATTCACGGTGAAATCCTTTCGAAGAGTTTGGTCGCATGGTTACGTGCCTGGATACATCGTGACTGAACACAGGGCCCGATGACATGCGACACTCCTTCCCCCTTCATTTTCCCCAGGAGGTGATGTCCCATGTGGTGATGCATGATTAACAATCCATTTCCCTTTCCCAGCTTTTGATATAATATTGAGTCTTTCTCATCGTCAAGTAGATGTTTTCATTCTTTGATATCTGCTTCATTAGCTAAAAACAAACTGGGGCCATTGGGACCATGTGGGCTATATTCAAGGAACTGGTTACACAATTCATATGCTTTCGCCGCCATCTGGTCACTATGTCATTGGTCTGTATTTCCGACCTCGCTGCATGGGATTTGGACTCATTTGCACAGCCAACTGCTCTTTTGTAAGCCGTCCTTCGAGCTTTCCGACAACGAAAATGCCAGATTTGCCACCCGAGGTTCGTTTTCGTGATTTTCAATGCTTTCCTCTTTTGCCCAGCTGTCTGAAGTGAAGGGCTTCTGCGTATAATAGAATTTCGTCGGTGTGTAGGATTGATGCTCTACTATGGAGCCGGCTTTAGGGAATCGATTGGACAACATTATGAAAGCAGTGTCTGAACTAATAAATTCCAAAAAAAAAGCACTTGAATTACTGTACCGCCATAGAATAACATCATGTCAATGCAGGATTCAGCGCATTGGCTTCTCAACCAATGTTTCGAGATCTCCTGATCAGAAAGCAAAGCAGTATATTATAACTACCCATTCCATATGTTTGCACCAACTCAGCTGCTATCTTCAGCGTCTAAATGGTTCATTGAGTATAGCATGGTGGTTCCGAAGCGATCGGGATTCTGTTCAGGATTTTGATTCAATGGACCCCACCCTATCATCATAATTTGACGTAAGATATAGTACACTGACAACTTTTATGTTGCGAATATTCAATTGAACATTCATTGATATTCAATGCAATTATTGAAGGTAGGTAAAGTTGGAAGGACCAATGTGTGGGCCAGAAAGCAAAGATGCATGTGGCTATCCTCATGTGGTTCGGTATCAAAATCATCATGCGGTCTCATCATGCTACTTTCTTATCTTGCTAAGAAATGATGCATGAGTGAGCGTATTTAAATTGTCTTCTCCTTTGTTGTAACCACTATATGCTACCTTATACATTGCTGAGCCCTAAACATTTGAGCAGGGTAGTATTTGATGCACGATGCTTGGGAAGTATAATTCCCTGGAAACCCATATGTTTGCGAATATGTACATCAATTTGTGCATGGATGGTAGTGAGCTTCAAATTTAATTGCGACGGAATTTCGTGGGGATGTTGGCCACAACGACTTGCATCTCTTCCAGCTGGTCGAGGCGCATTTGAGCGCGCTCTAGCTCGTCGTGCAGGCGGAAGTGCTCGATATCTTCCGGGTGAGTCAACTCCTCCTCAGTAGCATCCTCCCCGTGGAACTTCTCGAAGTGATGAATCTCATACTCGTACTCAATATCTCCATGGTGCCCGGGTCCGAAGCCGAGATCGGGAAGCCGAACACCATCGGCAACTGCCTTTAACCAGGCATCTCTCGAGATGAACCCGGTGTTATCAGGATCAAATAGATCAAAAACTTGGCGGATACCCTCTGTTTTGCGGGATTCGCTCACACCATTATTGGATTCGTCGTCCATCCCGTATGTCTGGCGTACTTCGTCGGTAGTCCATAGGCCGGATGAGTCGTAATCGTGCATCATGAAAAATGAGGGGGCATCGAAGCCTTCAATGTGATGTTCCTCTGTAAATGGTGTAAGTGGTCATGATCGTGCGATTGAGTCCATCAGACCAACTAACCCATCATGTGTCTCGTGGCCCAATCGTCAGATACGGGTTGGTCGTCGCTTGAATGCGAGCCATGGGCATTTGCGAGGCCGCTTCCCAGAGCGATCACCCCAGCAACAAGACAAATTAAACGGTTAACCATGATAAAATGTAGAAATCTAGGAAAAGAAAGAACGGGGGTTGTCGCAATGGCCGCAAAGTAACCAGGAGATGCAAGCGGTCCGGTATGTTTGCAGTGTTTGCACCGTCAGTTTTGCGGTTGTCGGGATAATTTCATCCACCCGCATCGCATGTTTGTTCCTGTCCCACCCGTTACTTTACCGGACTCCGTGGGGAGTCCAATTGTGAACTTTTATTACCCCAATTATCGTTGTCGAAAGCAATGCGTTAACAATGCAGGGTTTGTGGTCCCGAGCTGCTCCGTCGCAGTCGACCTGTCGCTGCGTCTCGTGTTTGAGCACAACTGCCACTGGTGTTACCTCCCGATCAACCGCCGCTGCTAGCAAAAGACGCCTTCGCATAGGCAATTCGGTCACCGCGCTATACACGAGCATCTTCGCTGCTGCCGCCCTGGCTGATGCCAAGGCCAAAACTCAACGTCGAAATGACTGGGAAGAGAAGATTGCGGCCGTGAAGGCCGAGGTGAACGAATTGGTCGATGAAGAACAACGACTATTAAAATCACTACAATCACGAAGAAAGCCCAGGGGACTCAATCGACTCCTGCACAACGGTGTTCCCGGGATGACGGCGAACTTTCCTCCCGCGACCCAGCGACGAACCATTTCGAGCCAGCCAACAAGGTCCTTCCACACCGATCGTCGGCTAATCAATGTCGCAAGTGCGGAGATAGCGGAGAGTTACGAAGTTGAGGAGGAAATGGCATATGAGGAAGAGGAGTTCGACGATATAGAGGATATGGAAGCGAGGCATGTATTCTTGCCGGGTTGGGTTCTCCAGGATCCAATGCGAATCAAAGCTATCCAAAAATTGGCATTGAAACAATTCGCGATTCGACTGCTACTCCGACCTACCATTGCCCACCGCTACTCGGGTCTTCCGGTGAACTACACCCGCGATTTCGATGTTCCTCAAATCAATGTGCCTAGCCTTCTTGAAGAGCTCAACAAACTTCGGCGCCGAATCACTGAACTCCGGACTTGTGAAGACTCATATTATGGTGATTTGGTACATGAACTCACCACACTAAGTCCACAAAGGGTGCAAAAAGAATGCCAAACCCTTGATGCCGAGCTCCAGCAAGATCTCCGACTGTTTATGAGCCGGGAGATGTCTGTAGATGAAGCTCTCTTGCGAACTTCCGGCAATCTTCTCAAATCTGTGGACCCGGATAGACCGAATGCATTCAGAAACATAATCATTGCCTTCAGCCAAGCTCGCCAAAACGACCTAAACGAAATGCTGCTGCGAACAGTGCTACCGCATCGATTCTACCTGAGCACATCTCTCATAACCACGATTATGGTCTTCTTCCGCAAGTCGAAGAACCTCAAAGACTTTGATCTTTTCCTTCGCATGCTTACTGGAGAAGGTTGGTCGGCGAATCTGGGGGCCCTGGCGCCATATACCCACCGAAAAGTCAATGGTTTGGATGTGGTGGTCCCGCCTATGGATAGCAATAGCGTTCTCATATACTCAGAGTTGATAACTTGCGCATTGCGTTTTAATCAACCCGATCGAGCAGATGCTTGGCTCCAGGCGGCGCGGCGTGTTGGCTTTTTCGACAATTTCAACACACTGTTTTGTTATATCAAATTCTACAGCATCAGACAAGACTGGGAGAAAGGATCTGCGGCACTCAAACGGGCTGTCACCTACTTGGTATCATCAACAGGCCTCGAGCGAGCTTTTGTTGAGCGTCTTGTTGTGCTCATGGCCCATCTTTGCGATTCCTGCGGCCGAAAAGACGTTTCACAGGCTTTGATATCTGCCGCTATGGATAGCGGCTTTGATCCTTGCATACCATCAACACAGGAAGATGTTAAACCTATCATCGACCCCAACTTCATGCGTTGGACAAAAGCTGCTCAATCAGCGCCCAAGGAGAACGCCGGTCGTCCTTTGTGGCAGAAATGTTCTGAATTTGCATACAGTTTCGGTAACTACCTCAATAGTCTGGAAATCTCGCATGATGAAACAAGGACTCAACAGCTAGCCAGCCACGCTGCCTGCCATGCGCAGAATGCCATGAGGGCTGGACTTGCTGGAGATCCATCAGCCCCAAAAGATTCAAAGATCAAGAACGACTCTTTGCCATCAAGCTCATCCTCTGAAGTTGCTGCATTGAAAAACGAAGTAGCTCAACTTCGTGAGCTGGTCTTTGAGCTCCGCAAACACCATATTCAAGCTTCATTCAAAGAGGACAAGTCTTACCACGCCTCCGATCTGACCTATGAAGAGCATACCTCACAACCCGATACCCTTTCACATATCCCCACACCGGCCTCCGAAACTGAGGGCTCTTCTACTAGGCCTCGCAGCGTCGAATTCCACAAATCTACTTCAAAGTCAGGTCGACCCAAGAAATCCAGGAAAAGGCCTGTTGAAGACCGGAACTTGTCCAGCTCTTGGCAATCAGCGAGCCAACTAACAGCCTAGTTGCGTTTCATGACACCTGGCGTTCTCAATTTTTGTACATTACGATATAGTTGCCCCCTTCCCTGGGCAGACCGTGTTCAATACCAACAGATGGGATGTATTTCTAGTCATGGTTTCTTCGTCTCCAACTTGTAGTAATACTGACTAAACGAGCTGTGGGGACAAGGTCTTTGTCTTGGGCTTATGTCCACCAGGATTGGTGCCAGTACTTGTCCCAGCGTATATGTACCATGGTAAAATATGACCCGTACCCAGCCTGACTGCTTTGCATGGTGGCTTGTCGAGATCACACTGGATTTTGAGCCGCATAGCAATTTCAAATAAAAGTTTTACTGACCCAACCGGATGAAGAATGCAGTATGATCTCGACGGCCGAACGTCAATTTCTGCGAAACCATTTGAAAGTGAAGACTTTGAAGACTGCCATGCGATTACCTACTAGGTATTCCAAACTCGTAGCGATCCTTTATTCTATATGCATTTACCATTGACATGCTTCTGGCAGGGTCCCGCATTTTCGTCCTTTTTGCACCCGTTTCAAGGTTGCAATAACTCCAAGCACCAATTTCTGTAGGGGATGCATCATCGACTGATCAGTCGTAGGCAAGAGAAGACTTTTCAAAAAGATGTGCGAAAAATGAATTCTATTTTATGTCTGAGGCTGTTCATCATGAAATTGCAAAAAAGGGAATCTAGGGAAAAGAGCATCGCTGAAAAGCTGATCCATCCGGTGTGGTTTAACGGCGCTTTTCGGCACGCATCTTCTCCTTGCGAGAGAGTCGATCAGCAGCACGGAGAAGTGCAGTGCGAATTTCACCCTTGGGGAAGGTATTGATATCATAGTATGTGGGTGCAATGTCCTATAATCGAGTTAGCAGTTGCGTTTGTATTCGGCAGGAGATTGAACATACTAAGAGCCACTCAGGCTTGACGGCAGTGACGGTACGGATGTAGTTCTTGGTCGTCAAAACAAATTCGTGGTACAAAACCCATTCCGCATCGTGAGCCAAAACAGTAGATGGGTGCAGGAGGACATTCTGGTTGTCCTTGATGGTTGAGTAGACAGTCTTGCCCTGGGGCTCCTTCTTGGCAACCTGCATGAAGAATCCAGCGCAGAGAGCTCGGCGGATATTCTCGTAGTACTTCTTGTCATCGAAGGGAGTTGATACCATCTCAAGCTCTTCGCGCTCCATGATGCGGAGAAGTTGCTTGCGGACATTGTCGGCGGATTGGAGTGACCGCAGGGAGAGGAAATGATCATGGCACCATTGCTTAATATTCGCTTGCGCATCAGCACCCTTGAATGCGTGGTAAACGTTCAGCATAGTCAGATGATCACCATCGGGATGAGCAAAGAGGTCCTTCATTTCATCGGCACGCTTTCGCTGAGAAGCAGGACGAACGAACACCTGCGGAACAGACAGCAGGGATACGATGGACAACATCTCGTTGGAGCAGTAGAACTCGGGAGAGCTGATCAACATGACCGCAAGCGCGGGATCGAGGGGGAACTCGGAGGCTAGACGGCCAAGCTGGGTCAGATCTCCATCATCATCCAGACAGGCCAGGTAGTTAAGCTCTTCAAGCGCTCTCATCAGGGTCTCCGGGGCAGGTGGGTCCATCAGATCGAAGTGGACAAGATCGTCAATTCCAAGCTTCTTCAACTCCAAAACAGTGGACGACAAGTTTGATCGAAGAATCTCAGGGTAGGTCGACTCAATCAATTCCTTCTTGAAAGCGTCCTCGGTGTAGAGACGGAAACATTTTCCGGGGCGTGTACGACCGGCACGACCAGCTCTCTGCTGCGCGGATGCCTTGGAAATTGGGGAAACCAAGAGAGACTCGACACGAATACGGGGGTTGTAGATCTTCTGCTTGGAGAACCCAGGGTCGACCACGTATACAATACCATCGATGGTCAAAGATGTTTCCGCAATGTTGGTCGAGATGATGACCTTCCGGCCAGGGCGACCTCCAGGGCGTCGAGGAGCCGGAGCAGGCTCGAAAATACGCTGCTGCATATGGGGAGGTAAACTACCGTAAAGCGGGTATGTCTTAAGCGGACCGGCGTCGGCCTCCCGAACCATCTCATCGGCCTCAAGGGCGATTTTGCGAGCAGCATCTTCGATCTCCTCCTCACCAGTCAAGAAAACGAGAATATCTCCCTCGGGTTCGGTCGCATGGATCTGCAAAACAGTCCGAATTGCAGCCTCGACGTAATCTTGCTCCGGCTCGGGGGTGTAAAATACTTCGACGGGGTGAGTTCGTCCCGGAACGGCCAGAAGAGGCGCATCCATGAAATAACGCTGGAATTTCTGTGCATCCAGAGTGGCAGACATGATAATAATCTTCAAGTCTGGCCGGCGTAAAACCACCTCTTTCAGCAGACCCATCAGAATATCGGTCGCCATAGTTCTCTCGTGAGCCTCGTCAAGAATGATTGTGCTGTACCGCGACAAATTGTGATCGTTCATAGCCTCGCGCAAAAGCATACCATCAGTCATGTACTTCATGATGGTCTTTGGGCTAGTCATATCCTCAAAACGAATAGAGTATCCGACCTCCTCACCCAGCTTGACGTCCATTTCGGCTGCGACACGCTGGGCAACGGACATGGCGGCCACTCGACGGGGCTGTGTACAAGCAACCATCTTGCGCTGAGTCTGGGGGAGGTCATCGAATAGAACGAATTGCGGGATCTGGGTGGTCTTTCCGGAACCAGTCTCACCAACAAAGACGAGAATTTGGGATTGCTGGTAAAGTTGCAGGAACTCATCACTAGACAGGAAAAGTCAGTTTATGGGTTGGCTGGGGTTGCTTCCAGGCTTTCACTCACCGTTGCTGATGCACGGGCAGATCGCGCCGACCCTTCAAGATCGAAAAGTATTTGCTGGAGAAGGGTTGACCGTTGAATGGGTTGACGTCGCCATCCTCTGCTTTCTTCGCCAAAGCAGCGGTCGTTTGGTGGCGCTTGAACTTCGCCAAAGGCGAGTTCTTGTCGGCGCCATTAGTGTCCTCGTACATGTGGGCCAAGTAAGGATTGTCCTTGGGGTCGGTCTCCTTCTTTTGGCGCTTAGCCCGCACACCGTCTTCCGAGTCTGAGCGACGATCCATGGTGTATAATGAGTGAATGTGAGAGTTGAAGAGTGCAAACTCGGGCGGACCGATAAAAAAACTCAGATAGGAAAGTTCCGCGGCGATCTTTGCTATCGGGGCTCACCGCCTGGCTTATTCTGCCACCCCCACAAAGGGATCGATCGAGTCACTTGCACCAGCCAAGGGGAGTTTACTTTGGTGTTTACTTCCTCTGAACCCCCTTCAAAGCGTTCTTGTCTGTGACAGTACAAGCTGATCTGTGGAATAATTGGGACGGTATCCTACTTTAAACAATACCACCTCTCCTTTCACCTGTATCGCTTTACCTTCATTACGCCACTAAAAAAAAAGTTCCCGGTGTCAACATGGAAGCCTACAACGCTTCTCAGGATGCAGGACCGAGCTTTTGCGTTGGCCACCATGAGCCAAATCGCTCTATTGTGGTTACCAATCAAGTGGTTCAGAATGTACACCAGAGTAATGTCAGTCTACCTTGGCTTAGACTACTCTGTTTTGACTGAAGCTGATGGAGATACTCTCTAGTATGACATGATGACGGTTCCGATTACGACACAGTACTTCCACACTAGGGTCCTAGGGCTACTTTCCTCCTATTTATCCAATAACCCCTCTCCTACCTATGATTCCATTGGCACCATGGGAACTTCGCAGAATACGAGACCTCTGACAATCCCGCCGCTTTCCAAGCTGGATTCAAATCTCACGCCTAATGAAGCGACCAGTCAGCTTATTGGAGTGACCAGCAGCTGGATTGATCTTTGCTCACCGGATCCCCTCATTGCGGATTTGTCTCGCCAGGTCCTTATGCTGGAAGTGGCGTATGCTGCTTTCTGTGGCATCGGATATATACTTGTTCCTGGCCCCAAACTCCACCATGGCAGCTTGCACTCGGAGGGAGTAGTATTCTATGCACGTGCAATGCAGGATGCATTGAATCTGGGATCCTACATTCAATTTCATATCTGGCTTCCCATGGTTGACAATCCTGAGCTTGAGGTTGATACTATGGGTGACCTAGCCCCTTTGGCTCGAGAGGATTTCCTCCAGCCTGACGAGGGACCTCTCCCCAAGGTAGATCTTTTTGGAACCTGGGATGCATGGGACTTGATCCGGAAGACGTGTAAATTTCATACCAGGCTGTTTGTAGGTAAGATTAGCCGCTTCGCTTCTCCTATCGGTTATTGCCCAATATCTTACACAGGTAACAGGTCTTTCATTACCGAAACAGCTTCCACCTATCTTTGTTCAATCGCGTTGGCATTCGGAACCGGTGCACTTGCTCACTATTCACTCTTCGACTTTCCTAAAGAATCAGAAGGCATACCCTGTCTTGTCAAAGGCCCATCAAGCTTTGATCGCCAAGCTTATGCGTCTTCGAACAGCACCGTGGATTCTCCTTTCTGGTGTTGGCCCAATTCCAGGCCTTGAAGCTACTGCTGATGATGAGATGAGTCCATTATCTGGCTCGGAGTACCCCAGTCTGTCACAGGTCACGGGTAGCAACAAGAAGGACCCCACTCCTCATCTCTCTTATCTTCGGAACCTGCAGCAGCGACAACCGCCGCGAACTGCCATTGAACGATTTGGTGTCGGGTATCAGGATTACCTGCAGGCGCCTCTACAGCCCCTGACAGTCAACTTGGAGAGTATCACCTATGAAGTATTTGAAAAAGACCCTATCAAGTACGAGTGGTACGAAAAAGCCATTTATAAGGCCTTGAAAGACTGGGCAGATCAGAAGAAACCCACGTCCCATCCGGATGGCAAAGTTATCCTGGCCGTTGTGGGTGCTGGCCGTGGACCTCTGGTGACTAGAGCCATCAAGGCCAGCGTGGAGGCAGGAGTAGAGATCGATTTGTGGGTAGTCGAAAAGAACCAGAACGCATTCGTCCTCTTGCAGCGACACAACGAAACCATTTGGGGTGGCAAAGCCACGCTAGTTCAGTCAGACATGCGCAGCTGGAAGGGCCCTCAAGTACGAAAGCAAACCATCGACGGGGATCAGGCAAATGTAGGAGAATCTCTTGGGACCGAAAACTCCCTTCTTTACACACCGAAAAATGGTGAAAACAACCCTGGCCGGAAAGCTGACTTTTCTGGCTCTAAGACTTCTGAGCTGTCATATACCCATGTCGATATTGTGGTCTCGGAGCTTCTTGGCTCATTCGCCGATAACGAACTATCACCGGAGTGCTTAGATGGCATCAACCACCTCATAAATCCCGTTCGTGGCATCTCTATTCCTGCATCTTACTCAGCTCACTTTACACCCGTCTCGGCCCCCAAACTTCACTCGGATGTCGTAAACCAGACAGTCTCCAATCCGGCAGCCCCAGAGACACCTTATGTGGTTATGCTTCACGCAATCGACTTTTTGTCGACAACAGGCTCGCCAGTCAATCCCGATACTGCGAACCCAACTGCCAACCGTACTTCAAGCACGGCCTACACACCGGCGACAGAATTCCTCACGCCCTTCGTGCAGACGGCCTGGTCTTTCTCACACCCTAATCCAAACATTCCTGTCCAACCTTCAAACCAATCCACCATTTCGAATACGCACAATGTCCGTCAAACTCGGTTATCTTTCCCTGCTCAGAATCGCGGCACCTGCCACGGCCTGGCTGGGTATTTCGAGACGGTTTTGTATGCTGATATTGAGCTTTCTACTAACCCAGTGACGATGGAAGAGAAGAGTGCCAACATGATCAGCTGGTTCCCTATTTACTTCCCATTGAAGGTAAGATCTTGCCACCCGCTTCTATCAAATGTCAAAGCTAATTCATTTCCATCTAGACTCCCATGAACGTTCCTGATAACGGCGAGATTGTTGTCACCATGTATCGTCAGACTGATGACCGCAAAGTCTGGTATGAATGGATGGTGGAAGTGTATGCCCTTGAGCGTATCTCTGCGCCTGCAACCCGGGTTACTACACCGGCTATGAGTGGTGCTCGCCTTGGATCTCCCAGTGCGGAGAGTCTCAGAAGCAAAGACAATAGCCCAGGTCTCCATGTCGGGGCCAGCCGCGCAGGCTATCGCCGTGTGCGTGTGGGCTTGAGTGAATTACACTCGAGCATCAAAGAAGGATGCTTGATGTGATGAAATTCTATGTCTCATTGTTTCCTCCATCCGGAGTTTTATGTAGATCATTCTTTTTGGCTAAGACCTCGGACATAAATCAAATTTACTTGGCTTTATTTAGCTCAGGCCCATCTATGCCGTATGAAATGACTGATTCGGTCTACGTGATAGAAGACCCAATGAAAATATCTAGTTCAAATACACTCAAGAAGGGGCCAATTACCTTGGCAGTCCAAATCAAGGAAAACTCACATTCTCTGCCTCGGATGCACTCGTGGTTCGGTGGGTCCCTCCTGACTAAAGGGTTCAGCTGAGATCGTTGGCTTGCGGGTTTCAATTGCCGAGAAGTTCAGCTTCTCCCACACAAAATTGATATCTATATAAGTTAAAGTTGACGTTAAGCAACAAGGTTTGCACTACTGGACTCCAATATATCCTGCACAGTTAAGTTTGGTTGCTATCACCTTCACACGCCAGTGAAGCCACACAGATCGACATTCTGCGGCTACATTCTTCACTGAACCACATGGTATGACTCGCGTGGTTTGCATGATCAGCCGTGTCTCAAATCCTCGGGGGTCCCACCGCCGAAAAAAGTAAGATGCCCGGGGCTCCGCTATGGATCTCATCGCCAGGTGGGAACCACTGCCTCTAATCGAACGGAATTGGGACTTGGGGCTATGAAATAGTGGGTCCCATCTGCATTCATCGGGCGCGTAACGCAAAAGACATTATCGCCCCGAGCTGAATCCTTGTGAAGAGTTAATCGGCTCGTCGATCACTTTGATCTTGGATTCTTGACAAATCGGCTTTTTAATGGGCCACATGACAGTGGGAATCTAATTCAGGAACCAACTCATTGTTGTGGTATATAGGATGTAGCGGATCTCCGTCTGGGCCAAAGTCCGCCAGAATCCGCACTCCACGACCTGTTCATTTTGCTATTGAGTCAGGTGCAGCAGTCGGAAACCATGCGCTTCTCGATCCTATCAGCTATTTCAACGTTTTCTGCCCTGGGCCATGCGCTCCCAAGCAATTTGCAGACCCGAGGTAAGATCTTATTTGCGCATTTCATTTGCCAATATATTCACGCTCGTATAGATGTCGCTGCTGCCGAGTTGTCGGAATTCAAGTTCTGGATTCAGTATGCCGCTGCAGCCTACTGTTATGACAGCTACACCGCAAAGGCCGGCACTAAACTGAGCTGCTCGGCCGGCAACTGTCCTGATGTTGAGGCTGCCGGTGCAACAATTGTCTACGACTTTTCCAAGTCAGTCCGATTCCCATCTGCATCGACAAATCATAACGATAGCTATTAACTCCCAAACAGCACTACCATAACCGACACCGCTGGATTCATAGCATTGGACGAAACCAATAAAGCAATTATCCTATCCTTCCGCGGCTCCTACTCTGTCCGCAATTGGCTCGCTGATGTCGACTTCCCCTATACCAACCCTGGCCTCTGTGACGGCTGCGAAGCGGAATCCGGCTTCTGGAACTCATGGGCTAACGTCCGGGACCCTATTTCAAAGATCCTGAACGAAACTGTTGCCGACTACCCCGACTACGAACTGGTCGTAGTAGGCCACAGCCTGGGTGCCGGTATTGCTACCCTCGCAGCGGCCAACCTGCGTGGAATGGGCCACCCTTCGATCAAAATGTACGCGTATGCTTCGCCTCGGGTCGCCAACCCTGCTTTGGCGAATTATATCACCGCACAGGGAAATAACTACCGCTTTACTCATACCGATGATCCGGTTCCTAAGCTGCCTCTGCTTGCCATGGGATATGTTCACATTGGCCCTGAATATTGGATCACATCGGGTAACAATGTTACGGTAACCACCGGTGATATTGAGGTTCTCGAAGGCACGGTCAATTTGAATGGCAACACTGGAACCGGTGTCCCATTGATTTCAGATTTCCCCGCTCACCATTGGTACTTTGAGCAAGCGGACGAGTGTTTGGGAGCTGGTCTGCCTTTCAAGGCATAGAACCCCGAAAATTCCAGCCTTTCTGTATGTAAAGGCCAGAAGAGGGGGGTAGATTAGTAGACGTAGACAAAATCATATATTATAGATTTCTTCATTCAACGGGACAAATAGAACAGCATGGAGTGCTCTAATGAACACTGAAATAAACATTAGGTTTAGCGCATTAAATTTAAAATAGATTTGGCTATACTGATCTTACTTCAATGTTCATCATGGGTTCCTAAATGCAACGATATTCAAGAACATGACAAAAAGGCATTCCGGGTCCAATTCAAACCACTCCGAATGGGAACAGTAAATTCCCTGTCCCCATCAACAAATGCGCCGCGTAGCGCCTTATAATTATTCATGTCACTTCTCAAATCTTCAGACACCCCATCACTTTCCGAATCCCAAGCCCGCCACCCACGGCCATGTGGAATCTTCCAGCGAATTACCACAGGCGATGAAGTGACATCCTCTATTTCTTCATCCTCCAGCTGAGCCTTACTAGGCTCCGTTCTTTGAGTCAGACATAAGAACATCTCGTGGTCCTTAGGCGAAGTTCTGTGTCGGTACAGCAAAATTGGGTGAGCTTTCACTGTTGAAGATGGGAAGTATATGGGATTTATGAGTGTTTGCACTGGGACTTCGTCACTGTTCGTCTCAATTCTTGTTTGGCGTAAATCAAACTTGATGAATTTTGGCTCGCAGGTGAGAGAGGGAAGTGCGACCACCACCTCCTTATCTCCCCAGTGTGCAAGGAAGAAGTCGGACGAGAGGCTTTCCAGATTTTCTGAAAATTTGTACACAATGTGTTGTTGAGAAGAGCTTAGAGCATTTGGGAGATCTTTCTCCTTGCTGTCTTCAATGAATGGTCGGGTGGAAAGCGTCAATTGACACGTGGAATTGTTTGGTTCTTGAGTGAAGGAAGCACGTAGAGAATGAAGAAACTTTCCATCGGGAGAAAAACGCAGCTCTATGAAGAAAAAATTAGCCAAAAAAAATACATTCGTATATCCTGTGCTTGAAGAACTTACGCTGTGACAGTATAGCTGTACCAGGATCTTCGGCATCTATAAGGTCTTTTGCAATGTGCCAATTTCCAGTGTCGAGATTGGCTATTATAGTCTGACCATCAGTGGAGTCAAGGATGATCATAGGTGAAGACGGGTGGATTGCATACGCAACACCACCACGATGCCGATTTCCCAAGGCCAGTGGGATCCAGACAGGTGGGAATGGATCGAGGGCAATGATTGCCCATTCCGTTGCTATCTTTTCTGGGTCTTCAGCTTTACCACATGGATTTTCGTGCTGACCGTCATATCCAGAGTCAGAATTTGAGTCCGAGTTCGATTTGCTGTATGTCGAAGACCCCGGGTCGGAATCCGATTCGGAATCTGAGTCTGAAGCTGAGTCGGAATCTGAATCCCAATCCAATTCCGAATCCAAAACTAGGGCAGGTTGACTTCGCTTTCTTTCTTTGATTAAGTCCCGCGAGACGTGAAAGAAGACGACTGGCCCTTGTTTTGACGTTTGGTAGTCTTTCCATCGAACCCGCCATGAATATCCCAGTGCCATCTTCCGCCATGATATTGGCGCTGAATATGTCTCACATGAATCTCCAGCAGATCGTCGTAGCAGTAGATTTGCTTCATCAAAAGCTAGCATCATGATACTGGGACCAGATTCTTGTAGTAGAAACGCTACTCTTCTATCATTTAAGGTGGCTGACCCGAGGTCCATATTAAATCCCTCGTGGAATTTCGAGTCTTTGCAGAATATTGGGACCCGATGGTAATGACACAGGCCAGAAGGTTCGTTGCTCTGTCGAGTGACCAGGTCCACGAATAGCTTTCCTTTGGAAAGAGTGACGGAACTGAAATGAAGATTGGAGACATCCTCAAGGTGCATCTTTTCACTCGCTCTCCAGATGCGTATTCTCTCAGAGTGGTGAAAGTTTGTTCCGAGTTTGGATTTCATAGCTCTCAATGGAACGCATTGATCTAGAGCCCCAGGTCGAGAAGCCAGAACTTCATGCCAATCGTGTAGGAAGGAACAAAAATCATTATCCATTTCTAGTCCATGGCTGCAGTGATCTTTCACCCAGCTAGGTAGTGGGACTCCGAAGCAGTAGTCCCCATTCAGGTCTTCTCGACGAAGGCCCATCAGGTAACAACCATCTGATACTTCCGCATAGCGGCCAAATAGAAAAGGGGCAGTGTAGCTTTGAACGGCTATGCAGGTCCAAAAATTTGGACTTTGCATGAACCTCTGCACTTCCCAGAACGTCTCTCGACTATTATTGGTCTTATCGAAGAGATGGATGTGCCAAAAGGAAGCGGCATATTTCAAAAAGGCGTCTTCGATCTTGTCACATCCCAAAGCGTTTGGTATGTCCTTGAAGGACTTGTAGCGCTGGTATTGTAAGAGGGTAACGCAGTCGAGTCCAATCTGCGCAGATGCGCTGATTGGGTCAATAAAAAACTTCCGGATGAGTGGAAATTTATGCTGATCTTGGCTGAAAGATTTTTCCATGAGAAGATCGTCCGGGTTTTGGCGGAGGAAGTCAGAAATCGTTTTATGATAAAACTTGACAGTTGGATTATGCTCACTGCCCTTGGATGAGCGGTCAAATGAAAGCAGTGATCCACAAAGTCTATACACTTGTTCTTCATGAGGCTGACGTCCTGCTGAGTGATCTGAAGCCCCGCGTCGAATCGCAAGTGCATTGCAAAGTTCATTCCAGGTGATTGACTTGCGAGCAACGGATAGAATTATGAATATTCGTCTTTTGGGGTCTTAGGTACGAATCCAGTAGTATAAATATAGGGGCAAATGTAAAAAGTTCATACCTTACGAGATCTTGTTGGCCGTCGGTTTTGTCGCATAATTTCAGCAAACTGCGCATGTAGAACCCGGATAATCCCTTAGGAAACCCATTTAATGCCTCTGTAATGTCATCATCACAGGTCACGCCTTCTCCCCTTAACGTATTGAGCAAGAACTGAGAGTATAGAAAGCTTCCTTCGCTATAGTCGACGAAGTTTTCGATTTCATCCATGTCAGTGGTTACTGTTTCTAGCCCGTCGGCCAGAAAACAACGAATCTCGGCGCGCAAGGTGGATATTGGTGGTGATATTGTCAGTGCTTTCAATTGCTTCATCATGCCCTTGATTTCCCCATCAGGGCGGCTTGCGAAGAACCACTTTGTGGTACCGTAGACAGGCGCAGAAGTAATATCAGAAAGCAAGCGACAGAGTGTACGGTCATCCGAACATTCATCCAGTCCATCCACGATTAAATAGACCAGAGGGCATTGCTTCAAGAGTTGATGTAAAACTTCAATGACGAGTCCTGGCAACCTCATCTTGGGCTCATGGCGGGCCAGTTCCTCTTTGTAGAGCTCGATTACCCTATCTGGAATGCCGGTTTTAAGCATATTGAGCAACTGGAAGGCAAGAGCTCGAAGCCCCGTCAGTGGTTCTCTCTTCTTGAAATCATTAAATGAGTAAAAGAAACAAGCGGTGGGAAGACCTTTGTCGGAAAACTGAGTCACTACCGTTGAAGAAAGCACGGTCTTTCCAGAGCCTGGCGGTGCGTTGTACCAGAATATATTATCCGGCGAGTTCTTGTCTGACCACCGCTGAAACTGTGGATTTTTGAAGAGCCAAGTGCCAGTCTTGCCGTGTCGTCGATCAGAATTCACCTGTAGATCGCTTCGTACATCAAGATCGTCGCCCGCGCTGATCCAATTAAAAATTCCTTCTCTTAGCTGTCCTGTTGATGTGGTGAGTAAATGTGCAAAGAAAAACCACCAAGGTCAGATGAGCAAAGGACCGACTTTCTTGTTCTGCCTTTGCACGCTTTCTGTCTTCGTTGGAATGAACTGCTTCCTCTGCTTGAGCTATATCCATAACTCTGTTGCAATCTCGTCGTAAAGTCTTCACAGTCTGACCCACGATGTCGGAGAGCGGTGTAAATGCCTTCTTAATTGTACTAAGTAGTACTGCATTGTTTTAGAAATGATTATGAACTGTTGAATAGAACATACCGTTTTGGGAGAGAATCTTCGCTGCTGTAGCCCAAAAAGTGACAATGTTCTTATATGAGGCGACCAAACATGCACGGACTTCATTGGAGGTTTCATACGCAAGGGATATTTTGGCGTAGCACATTAAAGAATTTCCGATTTCGCTCATTGCATCGGAGATCTCCTCGAATATTGCGTTGGTCTTTTGTGCTAACTTCACAGCGTTCAGGTCAGCTTTCTATTCGATGAAGCCACAGCAAACTTACCCCCAAGACAAGCTTCGCGCCCACAAATGCAACACCAACTGAGAAGGGACTGGCATTCAACAACACTTGACAAGCCTCCAGCATACCCTGCAGACCATTTACAAAAGGCTGCAATCGTTCAAGGACTTTGATGGAGCCAGAAGACCTTTTCTGCGTTTCAAGAGTTTTGACAAACTCCAGCAGTTCGTCTGCGCATTGCTGTGTGCCATTTGGCTTCTCACCAAGAGCCAAGACTGAGCGTGAAAGCAAAACTTCCTTATAGAAAGGATTCTCACGATCGCTGAGTTTCAAGTTGTGGAGATACTCATCGATAGCCTGGGCGAAAGGGCTGATAACCGACATGGTGATAAGTTGGCGCTAGGGCCGATCCAGCACATGCGGGGTTCAGAAAGACGGGTGTTGGTACAAATGAACATCAAAGATTATATTGCAACTTGTGATGCCCGGGGCCGATTCTTTTAGAATGTGAAATAAAGAACTGGGAGTTTTGACCGAAAGAATCTTGGACCTCACGCGTTTCAACTTGTGGCAAGTGGAAGCGATTGGAATTTGGGGAAGGCGCGACGGTAGACTTGACATTAATGGTCATGGCTGACTTACGCTGCATACACTAAGCTCACTAGCCTTCAAAGAGGCGCCCAATCCGATATCGCTATTTACCGGCCAACCCGAAACCGACTCCCACTCGTTTCTGCTTATGACTGAGCCCCAAACCAGCTTCATTTGACTTACGTCTTCTGATTCCTAACATTTTACCGACCTCCAAGACCCGAACAACTCTCTTCAATAATCAAAAGTAAGCATGGATTCCGATGATACAGTGGGCGAGAAGTGCGAGTTCAAGGTGTACCGGCACATCAAGAAGAAGGATGGAGAAATCGCCGTCAAGGTGGTTACAAACGCCTTCGAGAGTCTCACATTTGGAGATGAAGACACTCCATATGCTCTTGTCATCAATCGGTATTTGAGCGAAAAAAACCAGCTCGAGAAGATCAGTTTGCAAATCAACTCCAGGCATATTCTCAAGGTCTTTCGTGAGGTGATCGGTTCATACCCAACCGTTCCATTCGATTTCTCTTCTTCTTTCACATTGGAAAGCCCTTTCCAGATGCTTTTTCACCACTGGGATGATCTGGATCAACGCCGTCAATCGACCGAGGATGTCGAAGAGCGAATGCACTTGAATCTTCTATTCGATTTCATGGAACATGAGATCGGTCATGATAGGAGTGTCATGCAGGCCATGGTGCGCAATAAGCAGATCAAGTATCTTAGCCTATGGTGCATCTTTCGTCCGGGTGACCTTGTTTTTCAAGAATTTCTAGGTCATCCGTGGCTTTTGAGATGTGAAAGGACAGCATATGAAGAAAGTAAGGTGACGGGCCCCTACTTCGAGGTGCATTGCGTCTATACAGACCACGATGGGATCTTGGCAGGCGAAACTAAGACCGTCATTAATATCTTTCAAAAAAGAAGCTTTGCTGCGGAAAACCCGGCGAATATCACCGATTTGCCCGTTTATCCTCGAATGTTTGTTGAGGAAAGGGACGAGCTAGAAGTTCGCGTTCGCGAACGTGGTCGGAAATTTCTCGCGCTAAATGAAGTCTCGATTCAACAATATGATGGCCAAGCACAGTTCTTGAAGGAGCCGAGCTTTGATTACTGGAATCCTGAAATGGCGGGTTTTGAAGGAGTTTGGCTTCCCCATGCCGAGCTAGGAAGGGTTATTGTGGATCGCAAGACTTTCCAGGAGGACCAATATTCAAACGGCACCAGAGTCAACTCAACGGAACCCGATCCTCTTCTGTGCCCACCCTACGAATTTGGATATTCGCTCAGCCGCAAAGAGTGGGGTCGCTATTTGGTTGACCAAATGCGCCCTGTTGAGTGGAAGGAGGATGTCTGGAATTCTTTGATCATCGGGGATCGTCAAAAGCTGGTATTGCAATCTCTGGTTAATTCACACAAGTTTCCGGGGGACGCACGCGACCAATCTCTCCAAAAAGGAAGAGGGTTGGTTATCTTGTTGCATGGAACGCCCGGATCTGGTAAGACATTGACCGCAGAGACGGCCGCCGAGGGGACCCAGAGAGCTCTGATAATGACCTCCCTTGGGGAACTCAACAAATGGGACAAGTGAGTAATCTAATAAAGTCCTCCATATTAAAAGGTCTGACAAGATTAGCCCATACGATTTCGAGTACCGTCTTAAGATGCTGCTTCAGTATGCTACTCAATGGGAGGCAGTCGTGCTGATGGACGAGGCCGATGTCTTTTTGGAGGCGAGAGACAACAGTGGCGACAACGCAGCAAGAAATGCTCTTGTAGCTGGTAAGATAATCGAAAGAACACATCTGCAATATTACATACAAACTCACCATTTATCTTTCAGTTTTTCTCAAGGCGCTGGAATACTTCAGCGGGATTGTGTTCCTGACAACCAATCGTATTACCTCATTTGACCGAGCCATGAAATCACGTATCCATCTCGCGCTCGAGTACACCCCACCCAGAATCGAGACTCGCCAGCAACTATGGATGCAGATACTGAAGTCAATTCCCGCCCACGAAATCGATCTGGATCCCGAAGATGCTGTCAATACGTTTGTGTCAGAGAAAATGAACGGTCGGGAGATTGCCAATGCCATCCATACGGCACGAACAATCGCGCGATTCCAGAAGAAGCCCTTAGAGATCGCGCATATCGACACGGTTTTGGATGTCTGGCGAGAGTTCGAAAACAGCTTGAAAAAGGCTTCATCCAAAGGCCCTGGAGACAAGGGTCTGATGATGATAGGCCGTACAAATTCTATCGTCCATGAAGAGAATGCTGACTTCAGGTCTTAGTCATTTTAAGAATAAAGCCAATTTATATGTTATTTATCACAGGACCGTAAAATGAGCAGACTGTACTGTAGTTGGTAGTAGGTAGAGCTCGGCAAGGTCAGGCACACCTAGGGCTGGCCTCGGCACGTTCCGATAACTACCAACTAGTGGCGAAACTGGGAAAAACAACAACCGCATGGTGGATCTACGGCGGATTAGGTGGGCTGAAAAGTCGGAATAGAATGTGACTTGTTAGGTCGAGACTAGCTTATTTTCAGGATGATCATTTGAACCACGCAACCCCTTGGCAAACTTGGCAAATTAGGAGTACATGTATCTGGATGGAGTACCGAGTACGGAGTAGTCCGTAGTCCCTCGGTACTCCGTGGTAGTCCTCACTATTCAATGAGCATTATTCTTGGAGGTGGATAATATATGCGTCTTTGACGAAGACCGCCATAATTAGCGATAATCAAGGATTGACGCGACGCGTACCAAGCGGGATCGCAGATCCGCTTCTTTCTAGCGCTTCGGATCTTTGACATTCCACGCCACCTTGGACGCGGCCATATCCAGCAAACACTGACCAAGCCTCATGTTCGCGTCTTCACCTTCACAGCCTCACTATTTGAGAATGATTTTCTTGGGGGTGGGGAGGTGATTCGACACCAAGTGGCCCTGGGGAAAAGGATTTTTGAGGGGAGTACGTACTCGGCCGGCTAGATCCGTCATAGTCTCAGTGCAAACCACGCAAGCGCTCTCGTCATCAACCAACCCAAGCTTTTTCAGTGGAGTCAACATTGATTTATGTCAACCATTGGACTTTGTTCTTGTGCGCCATCAATTGGTCCACTTTACCTCGATAGCGAATTAGCAACCAATCAATGAATTCACCGTGCCTGAAACACCTGATTTCTCTTTGATGAGTGGGGAAGTTGATGCCCCAAGCCATGGGCACAATGGCGTACCTTTTTTCGTGGCCATGCTAAGGGGAATATAAATAGATGATTTAACAATTCATCAGCCGGGCTATACCCGCATTTCGACCCAGGAAACTACCTTCGCTTCATATATATTGAGACCGTGGTTCTCTTGCTTTCGGTTTTCACCGTGAAATTCCTTTCGTTTTGAGTGCCGGATATCGCTCGCTTTTTCCCCATACAATATGAAGTCTTATCTGAAGTGGGCGGCCGTTACCCTGGCCGCGGCCCAGCTTGCTGCTGCTCAGACCTACACTAGCTGCAACCCGACCAAGAGTGCGTGTAATTTGACTCGATTTTGGATTGATTATGTTTCTGACCATCTTCAATAGAGACCTGCCCTCACGACAAGGGTTTGGACGAGTGGGAATACTATGTTGATTTCACCGAGTCCGGCTCGCTTGACGCCTGGAATATTACTGCTAAGCCTGTCACCCAGACCTCCCTCGGTGCCAAGTTTGAAATCTCCGAGGAGGGTGAGGCCCCTACCATTGCCAGTGAATGGTACATTTTCTTCGGTCACGTCGATGTCAAGATGAGAGCCGCCAATGGTACTGGTATCATCAGCACATTTATTTTGGAGTCCGACGACTTGGATGAGATCGACTGGGTAAGTCGTGCACACAGACCGGGAGTACATGTTTGAATCGTATCTCTGACCATGCATAATAAAACAGGAGCAAGTCAGCACCTACACTGACGAGATTCAAACCGACTACTTCGGCAAGGGTAACACCACCGGCTGGGACCGTGCCACAACCGTGAACGTCACCAGCCCCGAGACCGAATTCCATACTTACAGTATCGACTGGACCGCGGAGCGCATCGAATGGCTCATTGATGGCGATGTTGTTCGCACTCTGAAGTACGAGGACGCCAACAGTGGAAAGGACTTCCCCCAGACCCCCTCCCTGCTGAAGATTGGTATCTGGGCCGGCGGTGACTCCTCCAACTCTGAGGGTACCATTGAGTGGGCTGGTGGTGAGACCGACTTCGACGACGTTCCCTTCATTATGTATGTTGAGTCCGTCAAGGTTATCAACTACAACCCTGCCAAGTATTACAAGTACGGTGACAAGACCGGCGACTACTCCAGCATCAAGATGATGAACGCCTCCTCCTCATCTTCCACCCTGTCCAACACCTCTAGCAGCTCCTCCAGCTCCTCCAGCTCCTCCAGCTCTTCGTCTGGCTCATCTTCCAGCTCGAGCTCTAGCAGCGCATCGGCCTCGGCTTCCACCTACGCTACTTCTGCTGGCTCCATCCTTTACTCCTCCGCGTTTGTGGCTTCCATCGTCGCTTTCGCTGTTGGTGCTTTCCAGCTTTAAATAACTGTATATTGTTCTGAGCCATTAATCTGGCTGTTTGGGGATGGGATTGAGAATATAGATGTACCAACCGCTTTCGTTCTTTGACATATTTGACATATTTAATCCATGGGCTCGTTGAGATTCCAGATGTGCAACATGTTTGGAACATTGGAGCTCTCTATGGTTTTCCCAGGTGGATTGCCGTTTCATGAGTAATGATAGAATTTAAAAATTTCACAATCGAAAAAAAGGTTTCCCATATAAACACATGGTTTCGATTCCTATACCATTTGAACTTGATCCATTATAGTATCCAGTAGATCGATTTATGTAACCACAGAATCTTGGAACTAACTGGTGGTTTCTTTTCAGGCACTTGAGGAGATTCCAACACATACATTTGAGCAGCTGCTTTGATCCATGCACATGCGGATGAAGTCGCTTGGAGCTAGGCCAACTCGGTTGGCCGAGACGATACCCAGATGCTATATCATATGATATGTCTTACTCTCAAGGGCCTATGCACAAATACATAAGATCATGGCGATCATATCAAATGATCTTCCCCCTTGCCTTACTGCTACTTATATTAGCTGAGCTTTATCATTTAGTGCTTACGACACTAAATGATAACGCCCTTTTGACTTCTCAGCTGTCACACCACCAGATATCTATTCCAGGAACGCCACATGCGAGGGTTCTCTGGGCCTAACCTCTTTGGGCTTTTACAAATGCGGGGTGGTGCAGGACATCCCAAAGTCCGAGGAAAGAACTTGAATAAATTCAATACTTTCTCCTCACGAATTGGAATTTCATGCACACATAAAGTCGGTCGACATGGATTCATCTAGGTGAAAGAGGTAAAGCCATGACGAAGTTACTGGAGAGATCGAGAATATTTATGATGGCAATGAAGTTGATGAAGTGGAAATACCGAAGTTGATTATTGAAAATCATAAAGAGTTGGAGGCCAACTTTGTTCAAATGCTGGATACGAGACTACTTCCCCCGATGACGTTGATATGTATTGTAATTTACCACATGAGAGCTCATATTGTTTGTATCGCTTGCTGATCAGTCACGAAGATGTTTTAAACTATCTCGACCGAAATAACATCGCCATTGCAAGCCTCGGGACTTTGCAGTAGGATCTTGGACTTCATGGTAGTCAATACAACATCATCATCAGTTAGTACTTTGGGCTACTTCAAAATAGACCATAGCAGGATCTAACCAGAATAAGTCTATTTTTCGTCAGCAACATATTGATTCAAGTTCCAACCAATATGATACTCAACAAGATGAGGCCATCAGTGTTTCTGGTAGGATTCTGGATTGTCAAGTAATGACTCGAGGCTGACTTTCCACCAAGCCAAGTGTCATATGTTGCTGGGCCATTGTTAGCAGCTACACTGGCACGGTCAAAAGCTATCATGGATTGCTGGCCCTGGGTTTAATTCTTGGCTTGGTTGAAGCGCCGTTATTTCGTACGTTGTTCATCTACCTCAAAATCTCATATATAACATCTAATCTGAGTCCCACAGCTGGCGCCTTGTTTCTTTTTTCATCTTGGTACACAAGAAAGGCACTTGCAGCCCGGATATCGATTCTTTACATTGCCGCTCAGATATCCGATGCATTTGGGGGCCTTCTTGCCAGTGCGATTATGTCTGGGATGGATGGATGGAAGGGTTGGATTACCAGCATGGAGATGGCCATGTATGATCCATTAATGGAAATCCACAATCAATAGTCTAATACACTAAGTATTCAGTCCCAATTGAGGGGGCTTCTACAATCCCAGTGGCTGTTTTAGCCATGATGACCCTACCCGACTACCCAGAAACTACAAAGTGGCTCGTCGACGACAAATGCATATTAGCCATTTCTCGGCTAGCAGAAGAGGGAAATGAGAAAGACCATGATGAAGCGAACAGCGATTTTGAGAGCCTTAAAATTGCGTGCCCAGATCCAGTCCCCTACATTATCTGGCTAATGCAACTGGGACTGACCACTTGCGCCCGCTTTATCAACTTCTTCCCCACCATCGTCGAGGCACTGGGTCACGGCACTACAGAGACACTCCTGCTCTCCGCACTAGCGTACATGTTCGCTGAAATCCTGAGTCTTATCAACTCGCTTCATAGTGATCAGGTAAGTGAGCGCTGACTTCACGTTGTGTGGCCCCAATTATTCAGTAGCATCAGATTCGTCATTAGCGCCGTGACACTGAATGTCACAGCGCGGTATATCTCTACTTTCATGATGTCGATCTATGCGTCGTTTGGGTGCATTCTCTCCTGGGTATCTACTTCATTATCGCGTCCTCGCTCTAAGCGTGCCGTATTATATACAGCTGTGAACACAGGATATAATTTCGCGTCTATCTATGCTAGTAACTTTTATCCGTTATCTCAGGGATCCAGATACTGGCAGGCCAACGTAGTGAATGTGGCTTTCTGTGGAATGTGTGTTCTTATGGCGACACTTTTGCATTATGTTATACGGCAGCGTGATTTTCGTCTAGACAAGGCTGCTGATTTAGATTTTACAAATGGACGCGATCCGCCTGACGAGGAATCGGAGTGCTTGGTGGAAATGTCCTCCAAATTATCGGCGTTCTACTTGAAGACGTTGATAAAGGGACCTACTAAATCCACTCCCATTTTCACTAATTTCACTCCCATTCCTTGAACTAAGTGACTTGTATTTATTCTGCCACAACTTCAATACTATATATAAATATTATCGTCTACCTACTTAACTTTCTACTTAGTCTCCTACTCAGTATCCTATCCAGTAACTAGTCATTATATTATAAGTAAATCCACTTAATATACTTAAAAGCATGTGACCACTTAAAATATTAGCAGCTAATCTTAAACCTAAAGAAACATTTCTAGATTTTCTACCTTCTTTCATACTGTATCAATTTAATAGTCAAAGGTCTCCCTATATTCATAAATAGCGGAATAGAAAAGAAAGAGGGTAAAAAAAAAGAAGAAAAATCAAGTGGAAGGCGAAGGGGGAAAGAAGAAAAGTCTAGTGGAGGTTTCGAACGTATGTCCAAAAAGTCTGCGATGTACCCAAGTGATAGAGGGGTAAGACTAGCGCAATAAATACAAGTCACTTAATTTTTGGGCGGGAGTGAAATTAGTGAGAACGGGTGTGAATTTAGTAGGTCCCTTGATAAATTGTTAATTTCCCCATTTTCTTAAATTACATTCGCAGGTCTGGACTGTTGCTGCAATGTTCACTTAAATGTGTGGAACGGCATGGCGGCCTTGATAGTATCCAATATTCGGGAGGGAGTGGGAGAAACTTGAGACATGTTCTCGTACAAGAGCCCAACGTGTTTTGCTTTAGGCTTTTATCACTTATTTGGTATGGCACCTGGGAGTCATAAGCGGCAAGCCTTTAAGAATACGCTACTATCACCTTTCAAGCCTCCAGCTGGCAACAACATCCACAGGACCACTTCATACTACTTTCAAGGGTTTTAACCATTTTCCTAGCCCAAAGGACTTGATCAGCCTAGCCCAGGTGGAAAATAACAATGAATAATGCGGTTTAGCTGAGAATTTCCCAGGAGTGTAGGTGTTTTTAAGCCATAAGCAAAATATTCGACGTTTGACTTGTACAATTCCCCGAGGTCTCGCCGGGGATTTAATAGGCAAACAGGTTAGCCTTGGTACTGTTTTACATTCCTTACTTGTACTCCAGATCGATCATTAAGACAATTTTCGACTCTTCAACGTACATTCTCTTTTGAAGGAAAGCGGGTCCGGGTCGAGACCATTTCTTTGACTAATACTTCGTCGTTGTAGTCCAGATCGTCCGCCGAACTACGTAGGTGTGGAGTTCTATGGATCTACCTAAATGTTAGCTGTTATTCATATTAATCATAGAAAGTGGAATGAGACTGCATAATGTTTTCTAGGTGGCTGGCCCAAAGAGTGTGTTTTGGGCGAACTGCACCTAAACTATTGATTCGAATCCAATAGGGGCGATCTATCGATTGATTCCAATATTACTCATAGGATTATAAACGTAAGGAATCAAAACGAACCGAGTTGATCTAACAAAGAATTGACTGCAACTTACTCCCCACAATGTCGTTCTCTGACAATCAATGTATTGATGCAGATAGCCCACGATGGACCATGATTGGGCATCCAAAGTTGGCCGGCACACCTCTTGACCAGCGAGACCCATTTAATTACACAAGGACCAACCAATAAGAAGAGTGGAGTGCCTGGATTTCACCGGATAGCACAAATCGAAATCTCTGCCGAATTACTCAGCAAATTCGACCAATCAGTATGCACCCAGTTACGTTTTGGGCTTGTTACAGCCGCCCCTTGCAGCCAAGGATTGTCACATTCATGCCTAATAGTGCTCAAACTCAATCGTCATGGTTTCTTATCTACCCCAGTCTGAGAAAGGCGATCATGATCACCCGCATCTAGAGCCGGCTATCTCCTCGTTTGCCGGCCGACTTGGCGGTAACCAGGATTTTATCCTGGACCGGAATGATCCCAACAATGTCGCGATGCTGGAGAAGATGCCCGATGCGGCTCCGGAAATGACGTTGGGCGAGATCTTCGATCTAAAGGGCTTCTATAGTGCAGACCTATGGAAATTCGCGATGCTGGAATGCGTCGGTATGCTTTCTCCCGCTTCCCCCTCCAGGCCTCAATCGGGCCTGTTTGTGTGCTTTTTGCTCTGTCTAACACTCCTTTGCGTATAGCGAGTCTTATGAACGTCTTTATCTCTAGTTGGGTCACTACGCATCCAATGGCGGCGACTACCTACCCCACGGCTGGTGCTGGCATCTATGACACCGTTACCTTCTTCTCGCCGCTATTCGGAGGCATCACCAATCTCCTCATGACTCCACTACTGATCTACACCTTCGGCGCATCAAGTGGAGGCCATATTAGCCCGACCATCACGATGGCGTGTTTCTTTGCGCGGATCATCTCCTTCCCGCGTATGGTGCTGTATGTCACAGGGCAAACGCTGGGCGGTGCTCTGGCTGGTTTCGCACTTAACACGGCCTACGGTAACCGGAACTTTACCGTAGGAGGATGCCACATCGACACGAGCTTTGTGGCTCCTAAAGACGGCCTGGTCATTGAGTTTATGGCGTGCCTAATCGTGATTTTTCTGTCTTTCGGCGTCGCCCTTGACCCTCGACAAGCCAAGGTCTTCGGCCCTGCCGTTGGTCCGTGGTTTGTAGGCATAACAATTGGAGTGGTTTGCTGGGCAACCGCTTTCACTCGCGAGGGATATATTGGAGCGAGTAAGTGCAACAAAATCAGGGGATGAAGAAGAAAGAGCCCCGGGGAATAAAAGGAGGTGGAAAACAATAATATAAACTATCAGGGGTACTTGGGACCAGTTAAATAACCATTCTGCAGGTCTTAACCCAGCTCGGTGCTTCGGGGCCTATGTGGCGTCTGAGTTTCCCACTTATCATTGGATCCACTGGGTGAGTTTCTTCAGCCGTGTTTGATTCGCGATTTAACACTGGCTTTATGCATTATGAATCTCTTATCATTTTTTGTACTGACTTTACGTACAGATTGGACCACTAGCCGCTTCTATCGCGCATGGTTTGGTTTACTTTGTTGATCCACTTTGGACGGCAAGCCGGAGTTGACCGTGATTTGTCACTCGGCCGCCCTTATCTTTCGGAGGCCGCCTCCGACTGATTTAGACTTGGACGGCAACAAAAAGAGTTTGTACATGAATTACCTAACATTTTTGACGTATATAGGCTGGGGACTTGACGATTCCGATTTGTGCAATACATTAGAAAGCGACAGACTTGCATAGATAGACATAGATTAGAGCCCTTGATTGGGTCCATGAGCAATTTGAGTGATTTGCATTTACACGAACCATTTAGTCAACTAGGCCGTGGGTAGTTAATAATTATCATATCTCTATTTACGTACAAGGTTAAGCTGGTTATCGAAATTTCATTGCGCGTGTCATGTCTAGAAAAGTCCGTGGAATATCGAAGGCTCGAACCATAGCCACAGACGCAGCCACAAGCCACAAGCCGCAGCACATGACTGGAGATCAAAGCCGTGGTTGACTGACACCAAAACTGAATGGAAACGCCAACGCTCGGAACGAGGGGAGTATCTGGCCGAAAACATAACGAGGAGAGAGCCATCCATGGAGATCCACGATGCAATAATCAAAATAGTGTGATATATCAACGCCGGTGAGAAACAACTGAAGACCCAAAGAAAGTTGCCTCATTTTTCATCACCTTGAGGAGAACCTTGCTCGTGGCAGATTGGTGCGATGTATAGAGCATATAATGCACACAACGCAAAAAAAGGAGGCCACATTTTCTTGGTGGAGTAGAATGTAGGAAGGGATCATCTATTTTAGTAATCCATCGTGCCAAGCCTGTCATTCGAGTCGACAACTCTAAAACCAGTGTTAGCGAAACGGAAACTAGAGTAGAATTTTTATTTCGTTTTTGAAAAACTCACGAATATTGCTTGGTGAGGGTTCCCTCCCCACCCTTCGACAGGTCGATATTGAAAACGTAAAAGTTCCCATCACTGGTCACGACCATCACTTGAGGCGTGTTGCTGCTCATGGCGACCACACTCCGAAGTGGCCCATTGTTCCCGGGCGCAGCAGGCCCCTGCGATCGGGGGAGTTTTATCCATGCAAAGTCCCGTGCCGGCTCCCACATCTCGCTGACGCCCCTGGGAAGGTAGCCACCCACGCGAGCAGCCACAGCTCCTCCAACGTTTTGAGACGTTCGTCGGATCATTCCGATCAGAGTACCATTGTGCCTTCTGGCTGCCTGATCCGGGTCGCTCGGCTCATCTTCGTCTTGGCCACTTCCAAATGAGCTAGCCCCAATGCTGGCGTTGCGACCGACAGGTGAATGCGCTGAGGATGCATCCGATGAAGGTCCTTGCTGTGTCAGCTTGAACAAGTGGATGGTTTCCGTCGACGAAGAGACGCAGAGAAGTGTGGAGGTGGTGTTAAAGGACATGCTGTAAATCCGTGAGGGCATCGAGCCGCGTCGGAATTGGTACAACTTGTGGCCGTCGGGAACCGAGAACACGCGGATGATAGTTCCCTTGTCCGAAGCAGTTGCAAGCAGAGATCCGTCGCTGTTCAGAGTGATACAGGCCAAGGGGGACCGATGAGCTTCAATGACATTGATAGCTTCGAGCTTCTCTGCATCGAAGATCAGCACATCGCCGGTAGTAGGTGAGACATGCGTTGTCCCAGGTGGAGCATGAGCCGGTTGCTTAACCGTCGCAGGGGCCTTTTGGGGCAAAGGATATGCCATATAACAATTATCCGATGACGGTGCTAATGCACAGATAGCTTTATAGACATTAGTGAATTGTGGGAGAAAGCGACAAATGGGACATACCGTGCGGGTTGGGCGACGTATCGATCGTGGACAAAAGCTTCATCGTTTGGATGTCATAGACGTAGATCTGATCCTCCAGCACAATGACGAGACGTTTACGATTCAACTTGACAGCCAGAACCGTTGTCGGAAATGTCAATTCACATATTGTGCACTGGCGCTGTAAATCAAAAAGTCATCAGATCCTGATCAAGTCTCTAATGAACGATAGGTGTCTTGCGCAACAAACCTTGGTGTTCGTGATCTGTAACCGCCGAGGTGAAAGAATAAGTGCCACCAACGAGGTCGAGAAGAGCATCTCGATCACCGCGATATTGCCTTCTTTCGTTTCATAGCTCTTAGCAAATGGATCGGTGGTGAAAATGCGGAATCCCTTCGCGGTGGCTAGCTGACGTCAATAAATATGCTCCGCAACTAAGCTATCTCATACTGGACCAGAAAAAGGAAAAACTCACCAACAGCCAGGTAGCTGTAGTCTTGGTTGAATGTCACAAAGTTCATCGCCATCTTGGAGGCGCTAGGAGTGATAGTAGATGGAGTTGGTAGATATCAAAGCCGCGGTGACCCCGCTTGGGGAGAGACGCGTGATGGGGCTAGGACAGCAAGGAGTCGCCCGTCATCGGTTGTGCTCTATCATTGCCCTTCGATCTCACGGGTATACGAAGTGAAAGGGTAAAGATGTGGAAGAGGGCAGGTTGTATCTTTTGAGGAGTTCACAAGGGAACCTGCTCGTCGCAAGTGAGAGGTCGCTGGGCGCTTGGGCCACACCTTGATTCTCCACCGCCCTACGAACTCCTTATCGATTGAATCACTGTTTCCCCCTCAAATCACTCCAAGCTTCACGCCATGGCTCCAAAAACACGATCTGCCATAGCGGAGTCAAGCAAGGTAGGAAAAAGGGCGAAGATGCAGTCATTGGGGTATGTTCACTAAAACCACGGCATTTGCCATGGCTAATCGACTGGGAACCTAAAGTATAGCATCCAAACGGAGCACCAAGATGATCTACTAACACAACCCCATCTCTTCAGCTTCTTCGTTAAAAGGCCCCAAGAAGACCACCTATGATTAACCGTAGCTATAGGCTACGAATGTACCCAGATAATTACGGAGAAGGAGCGACAGTTGATTACAAACCTTTCAGACAAGCCCAAATTCGTTCTGAACCTCAGACGTGGATTGTCAGTGTTATGGGTGTAAAGCTAAGAAAAAGCGGTATTGATTCGTTGTCATTCATGCTTCTCGATGAGGAGCAAAGTCCGATGCGTAAAGGACACACTGTATTTGTCGACATGAACTAAGAAAAGTTCATGGTTCATAAGAATGCCATCCGTCAAATCCAGGAGATCACAGGGCACTCGATGATGTGTCAATAGCCCTGGCTATTGCGCCATGGGGTGTGACCTGAAGGATATCAGGAAGTCAGTTGGCATGTTGTAGAACAGCATTTTGCAGATTACCGACTGCTATGTACTGTTATTCGCACAAAATGTGCCGAGCGCTTCCGGCCAGCTTGCTCTGAATGCCCATTTCGCTGTTGATAAATGTGGTCACCGGCGATACAGTACCTTCTCCCAGGTAAGGACAAGGTCTTCGTCTGTCATCATGGTGGATTAGGTGAACAGGCTCTGTTGACTTCAACGGGATAGTACGTCGGGGAAAGTTGACGAATCAGAGAGTACCTCTTCATCGCGTGATATTCCCACACTAATGTGCTACAGTATCACGCCACTGGATGGCACAAGCGATGCTTAGCTAGCGGGGAAACGTCACCGAGCGATCACCTTTACGATTGTTGGTTCCGCCAGGTCTGGTCCTTAGCCGCAGCCACTAACGTTTGAATCAACAAGGGCTAGGCCTGAACAGCTGGCTCATCTGGGGTGACGAAGTCGAACAAAGATGGCGAACAGTCGAGATCACCGGTGGCATTTTCGGGGGTCGTTTTTTGGAAAGATAAATGCCATTTCGGCATCCTATCTAGTGGCATTGGAATTGACGGGAAAATCCCCGAAGATACCAGGACATTAAGCCATTCATGCGTAATGAACTTTTGCAGGTTGACTTTGTGGGCATCACTCAATATATGCGAGAAGCTTCGCTGTGGCTTTTCCGAAACATATCCAACCAGATTCGGAGCCAAAGTCACCCCTCAATTGATTCCAGCTGAGATGGAAATTTTGCTTTTGGATTCGAAACAAATCCCAAACCCGCCAAAGATGACGAGTCCATGCAGCCAGACCCTCATCTCTACAATTGGACTAGGAAGTGCATATGCAGGCCATAGACCATTGCTTACTAGTCACTTCGCATACTTTGTCCCGTGCCGATCGGGGAATTTTACTCGTTAGAGGTGCACTGTGTTTCCTGCTTGGAACAGTCAGGACCGAAGAAACCTGGTTGCAGCCCTGCGATTTCGTAAATGAATTCGTGGGAAATTTTTACTCCAAACGAAGTCCTCCCCAATTGATCAACTGCATCTCAACCGGATACCGGATAACAGAGTGCAGATCCCCCGGGTCCGAGTCATAACGGCTGCGCAATCCCAGCAGATTGTCGCCAATGGCAGACCAGTCGTCATTGGTCGCTCAGATATCAGACCCTGCACGAACTTTGGATGCAGGAATACTTGTCGGCGATGATCCCAACGCAGCTACCCGTATCGCACGGCAGGTCTGCAAGCTAACCGCACTATTTCTTCACAGGTGTGCACGAAGCCCAATCGGAGCAGATGAACTCTCAGGCGAAGAAACTTGCCTCCGTGACTTGGGAATTGGGCACTTTTCTTCAGGAGGTTCATGCCTGTGGCCGTTAATATCACCGATCTATTTCAGCGGAGCAGCCATCTAAATTGCCGGTGAGTTTGGCATATAAATTTCCCCACTCTGCACCATGATGTCAAACTGAGCGAGTGTCCGAGTCGGATTTCCGAGACTGCTCATAGCTCCTATCGAGTTGAGAATCTGGGGACCTGTTATGGTTTGGCTAATCATGATGTGAGTACACTAGGTACTTCTACCACCCCTCCTCCCCACTCAAAACTTACTTCCTGCAGATGTATTTTAAGTTTGAAACATGTACCAGGAAAACGAAGTCTACCTCTACTTCATGTCTATTGACTGGCCAAAGTTTTGAAAGCGGGTCGTGTGTATTTGGTGGAGTATTTACTTAGACCTACCTGGAGGTTGAAGTAATCTAGTAAAAGAAAAACAGTGCACATCCAAATCCTAAACTGGTACCGAATAGGTAATGGGCAACCTATTAAGTCAAATCCATGGCGAACGACGCCTAGTTCTGCCCATATGTTCCGACCCTATGATATTCAATGGATTCCTCAACATAACCGGTAATTCAAGTTCCACACATCAATATATTCCAAACCACCGGTCCGAACGTATATATCCCAGGAACGTCGCCACAAGAACATTTGAAGCCATTCTACATCTGCAGGATATCCTGTTCATCCCACCGCTATGGTTACACACAGCGAGCTCAGTAAGCGTTGCGGTGAACGTTTTCTTCCGCAACCTATCTAAGGGGTACACCGCTGATCGCGATGTATACGAGAACCGGGATATACACGCCTCTGAGAAATCCAGACAGAATCTCCGACCTCTGACCTCGGACATTTTCTTTGACGTCCCATCCGACATGACTCGTTATTTTTACCTGAGATGGTTAGCGCAGGAGTTACCAGATATTGCCGACCAATGAATGGCAAATGAGCCAGGGTCCCTTTGCTCTTAACCGGATTTCTTGTTTTCTTGGTTTTTCTTAAGTCATTATGATTGTTTTGGAGCCAGGATGGATATCATGTACTGCGTATGCGAGGGGTTTTGGTCGAACCCCTGTTGTGCTACCTTAGATCAGAGGGGTAGACCTTGTTTTTTAGGCACCGGCTTTGTGGTTAAGGGCAGTACCTGGTTGGGCATCTGCATTCACGAAGTATTCAGTAGGGAATACTTTTTCTTCCTGCACGCACCCTCTAAGCGGATCATGACGATCCGGGGTTGGCCCCTCCTCATCCATCTGGATTTAAATGTACTAATGTCTCGATTCGGGAGTATACGTACTTTTGGCATTGGGGGCTTGAACGTAAACCAAAATAGATTATGATAACCGAAGGAATATATTTGAGTTTTCTTTACAACCATGGAAGTACAGTCTAGATCAAGATGATTATCTAGGAGGCAAAATGTGTGATTATCATGAGCTGTCTTTTCCGTGCGGGGGAAGGTAAAAGGCCTTTGTGCTTATGAGTGGAGCGAACGCACGGATGGCTAGGAATCTGGACCCGACAAGACAGATAGCTTGGATCAAATCTAAGAATCTCATCGTCATCGGATTTTTGTCTTGTTTGATGATTGGTTGTCCATAGGGCAGTGGCCTGTGGAAAGCCAAGCCCGCTTATTCGTATGAACCTATCACTGTCAAGGATTTTAGAAAGAGGGGGAACCGGGGAGGTTATCCGGCTTATTATCTTTCCTGATAAGTTACGCGCCGGCTTAGAACCAAGTGGAGTTCTTGAGTGGAGACTGAAATGGGGGGCCGGGGAATACGGATGACGATAAGTGATGATGTTGACTTTGTGGTTGCACTGAACTATCTAAGTTGTTGTCATTGTATGCATTAATATCACAATATACCCGAGTCCTGGGCGTTAACCTTTTCCCCATATACAAGTCATATAGTAATTTCCCTCCACAACTCTGTAACTCCTTTAACTCTTCCAACTCTTCGTCATCCCCCCTCCCTTTCAAACTTCTTAAAAGCATACATACCCAACAAATTCGCGTATGCATTTCATTCCGGTTCATTCCTGATCCCTTGCGCAACACCTTATCAGCGGCGTTTGACTGGTTGCGTGGACCCTTGATAATTGGTCTCTGCTTTGCCCCCTCCCTTCATATTCCCTAGTGGGTCGCTACCCGATTCCACTCTCCACATCAACCATCGCATCTTCCATCCTCCATCTTCTCAACACATCTGTGCTCGACATCATTGCCAGAGAATCCACTTGAGAGAATACGTGTATTTCCCAAGAAAAACAAACGTTCAGAGTGCCTGGACTCGTTTCAAGCTCAGCAAAGGATGGAATCGTGATCTCCTGATCTTCCGCTTGTCTAAATCCTATTGAATACACCCACTTTACGATCGCTCAAAAGTTCCCTTGACTACGTCTCATCATGGCGACTGTCATCGTGCAGCAACAGCACTCGCTGAGCCATTCTACCTCTCCTTCCCCTACCATCGTCCACCGATCAAGTCCAATCCCCAACAAGCATCTACCTGTGTGCCCCACGGGTCCATCTCCCGCAGAGCTGGTCGCACCGGAATCACCAGTACTGCGATCGGGGGACCACGATCAGGTTTCCTCATTGCTCTATCCCCCTTTCCGCTACCATACAATCTCCAGCCCACCAGGCTCTCGAGTGTATGGCATTGATGCCCAAGCCTTGGCCGACGCGTTGGAATATCAGGCATCGCAACCTCTACCCGACCCTACCAGCATGTTCCCATGGCTTCATGGACTGAATCCCGCCAACCACCTTCAGTTGGGATTCTTCTCCAGTCGCAAGCGCACACAACGCAAGCCTCCAACCGCCTGGCGTGGAATCACAATTGTCAAGGTGGGGGGTGACCTCTCTAAGTCCCGTATCAAGGGCGCTGTGGCGCCACATGAGGTCATTTCTTCGACGTCGCGTTTCTTGATGGCCGACCCACCAGAGGGATTCTCCGTCCGAAACTTTCAGATTCAAACTGCCAAGTTGGCTCCGTTGTCAGATATCGTCGTCTATGGCGAGGATGGCATCGAGCGCGACAAACTGCTGGCTGTAGCGGATGAATTTACAATGGCACAAGCAGCCTGGCGGTTCAAGTTTGATCCGTTGCAGGATCGAAAGCCATATAATACTTTCGTGCTCACGAGTAAGTGCCATGCACTTCTGTCTTGAAGACCTGATACTGATTCCTCTGTAGGCAGCTTTTCTGAATTTGAGCAAAAATGTCCTTTTTGGGTCGGCGTGGATTCGAAGGGCGAACTTACCCCTCACTCCATGGATTTCAGTCAGTTTTTTTTTTCGTTCTGATCCTCAAATAGCATGCTGACAGCTACCCAGGCCAATGGGAAAGACGTGAAATGTCTGAAATGTCCGCCGCCTCCGAAATCTCACAGAATATTTGGCTCGGCCCAACTCCCGATTACATCATGCGACCAGGCGAATTTCCTGTACCCAGTCCGAATCCATTTGACCTGTTGATCGAAGCAAGCGATCTAGCAAGCATGCCGGGACCTCGCTACCTAGCGCTTGTTGACCAGAAGCTCGAGTCAGGTCCCCAACATATTGAGTTCCCCTCGTCTGGATCTGTGGTGCTTCCGTCTGGTAATAATCGGGAAGTGGAAGATATGGTCAACACCCTTCGATGGTTGTATTACCTGGCTCACCCTGAGCCTACCGAGGTGACTGACAACCAAGGTGATATTGAAATGCGAGAGAACAAAAAACCTTGTCGGGTGTTGATCCACTGTGCCGATGGCTATACCGAGTCTTCATTGCTTGCAGTCGCTTACTTCATGTTTGCTGAAGGTGTTCCAATCCATGACGCGTGGCTCAAGCTGCACTGCCAGAAAAAGCGAAACTTCTTCGCCTACCCGACTGATGTCGCGTATCTCACCCATATTCAGACACGTCTCTTGCAAGAAAGCCCCATGACCAAGCTAGGGCAGTCCATGGACCTGACAGATCCAGATTGGTTCCTGCAGATGGATGGCTCTTTGCCTAGTCGCATTTTGCCGTACATGTATTTGGGAAATCTCAACCATGCCAATAATGTTGGATTATTATGGGAACTAGGAATTCGACGAGTCCTAAGCATAGGCGAGGTTGTATCATGGACCCAAGATGAACGCGACAAGTGGGGCGAGAACAATTTGATGTACATCAACAATGTTCAAGACAATGGAATCGATCCATTGTGTCAAGAGTATGCAAAATGCTTAGAGTTTATTGGTAAGTTAATGATGTCTATGGATCTGGTTCCTTCTTAGGGGTTTAACTGATTTGAACAGAGAAAGGAAAGAATGAGGGCACAGCAACTCTGGTTCACTGCCGTGTCGGTGTGTCTCGTTCTGCCAGTATTTGCATTGCACATGTCATGGCGGAGAAAGGTCTTACCTTCCCTAATGCATACTGCTTTGTCCGCGCTAGACGCCTGAATGTTATCATTCAACCTCATTTGCGCTTTGTGTATGTTTCCTCTCAAAGATTCCCCTCTCCCAGTTAACTAACATCTTTCTAGCTACGAGCTTCTTCAATGGGAGGAATTTCAAAACAAGAAACGCAATATTCCCAAAACTCGAGCAGCAGAGTGGGCAACTGTCTGCCGTGAAATTGCACTTCTGAATAAGCCCTACTCGCGACACTAGAGCAGCCTTGATGTCAATTTTGACTTCGTATGCCGAAGACTAGGCATTGCAATCTTCCCTTCTATTCCTCATGTTCTCTTCTGCTTTTCCTACATTTACTGTTCATTTTGTCCCCATTTCCATTTTTTTCTGTTGCAAATACCCGGGGCTTCCTTTTCACGGGTGACACTCGATTGTTATGATGATTTGACACGACTTCTATGAGCGGGATGACTTATTGTTGGGATTTTTTTCATTGTGATATGGCGCTAGGCGTTAGGATATGGTGGGATGGGAGGATTCGGCAACCACGCGTTGAAGGTTAGGCCTTGTCGGCATGGGTCTTGTTGCTTCTCTATGAGACTTATTTGTCTCTTTATATGTTTTTTTTGACCCATTGCCATTCTTGTTCATCTTACATGTCTTGGATACTTTCTAGGGCTGCCTCCGGTGCCTCTTTTCATCGGCACTCATATAATTTCATTTATCTTTCAAGGATATCGGCGATCATCCCTACAACGAGCACATCTACACTTGTTCGTGAGTACTTAGTAGTATCTGGTATTTTGATTTCACGATGTCATCCAACTTTAGCTTTCTTGTTTGCTACTGGATTTTCAGGACAGGGGTTGTTGGAACAGGAATGAACATGGACATGCACATAACGGTGAAACATAGGGATATGATTTAATTTGAACTTGGAAATGTTGTTAATAAACGACACCAACACTATCTAAGACTGTTCTAATATAATAAATAGGATAAGTGTCGAAGTCTGCTTCAGCACCGCTCAAACACTCTATAAAGACCCTTGAGATCCGCTACCTCCACAACGCCCCGTAGCATGCGGGATGTAGCGACAAGTCGAGCACGAAGAGCTGGAAAGACTGTGTATTCCATCATTTGAACCATTTGCGCTCGACGAGTAACAATGAAAGGGTCTTCAGCCTCTGGGGCTGGTTCATCGGCACTGTCTTCAGTTGCGATAGGTTGAGAAGGCGGTACGGGAAGTTGTTCGGGTGTATAAAAGGCTGCAAGCTCACGTAAAAAGGTACGGAAGCACTCTTCCTCCCCAGACCAATCCACATAGGGGCCCAGCCGGAGCAGAAAGCGTGGAAGTTTAGCCAAAGAAGGAACATATCCCTTTAACAGCAATGGGATGGTGAGCAACTCGCCATCTTCACTGATTTTCATCGAGAAGTATTCGTCCAACATTTCGCGACGTTCAATCAAACTGCGGGATACGATTTCAGCAGCCTGAGAGAAGATTTTCTCAGCTCCTTCGTCTGCACTGTGAGACTCTTGCTGTTCCGCCTCGGCTGCAATGCTCAACAGATCAACAAGCTTTGGTGGCGGATCGAGACGGATTGTACCGAAGTTCCCGAAGTCTGTCAGGCCGACCTGGTAGAAAAACTCATTGCAGGCGAGGCCATAGTCTACTAAGTAGAGCTTGACTCCGGATTGAATGGCTGCCAGGCGTCTTCGCTCGTCTACAAGACCGACATAGGTATGCGAGGCGAACATCTCGGTTAGTGTATTATGCATAGTTGAACGAACGGCACCGCGCAGGGTTTTAATAGAAGACAGGACGATGCGGAGCGGTTGGCGGTCTGTAGTTTCGTATTGAAGTCCGTCGGCCTGGACAGAAGGGGGTAGGTTGCCGGACTCGGTAGATGTTTCGGGGTGAGGTTGTGAAGGAGAGGGAGCGAGCATAGAGGTGATTTTACGGACTTTTGAGTCCGTTCTGACGAGAGTGCTTTCATTTGGTCTTTTGTACGTTGCGGGTGTTGCGGGTGTTTTAGGCGTAGGAGTAGTAGCTATTCCATCTGCTGGACCCTCGCCAGTTTGGTCACGCGGGAGGGACTCAACAATTTGCACACCAGGCAAGAGAGTCTGGGTGAGAAATGTGCGACTTGAGTCGACCTGAGCTAGCTTAGACCGTATCTCATTGCAGACCATCTCAATAATCTCATCTTCGTTCAGAAAATTAACTTCACGTTTGGTCGGGTGCACATTAACATCAACCCGATGAGGCTCCACTTCCAAATCAAGGTAAACGAAAGGATGTCCACCCTTGGGTAGGAATGCGGAATAGGTTTGCTCCACAGCACGTTTTATGGCAGTTGATTCTACAGCCCGATGGTTGATGAAGAGCAGAATAGTTGTCTTCTTGACGTGGTAATTGGCATTGGTAGCAAGACCTGAAGCACGGAAGCCGAGCTTCTGGTCTGCAGACTCGAATTTAACCAATTCGTTTGCAACTGCACTGCCATGGATTTGACGGATCCGATCAGTTGTATTCGCGGCAGATGGGGTTGAGATGCTCACTCCAGAGTCACCGTGCTTCCGACACGAAAAAGCGACCCCTGAGCAATGCACCGCGTATCTGCCAACTACATCGAGGATTTTGGCGTATTCTTCGCTTGACGATCGGAATGCACGGCGACGACTGGGGACGTTGTAAAACAAGTCTTCGACCTGACGTCTCAGTTAGTGATACAGCATTTGGTTCCTGTACAGATAGTATGTACCCACCGTAATCTGGGTCCCTCCTCGCCCTGCTGTTGCTTTTGGGATTGCATTCTGCCCGGGCTTCGCAGGAACTAGTTTCCCTTCACCATAATGTGCCCGCCAGGCACAGCTGGAGCCGGCAGTCTTGGTAGTCACCATCAAATGAGCAATATGGCTAATACTTGCCAACGCTTCGCCACGGAATCCATAGGTGCCGATGGATGATAGATCCTCAAATTCCTTGAGCTTAGACGTTGTGAATCGCTCGCATAGGATCGGAAGATCTTCACGCTGGAATATGTCAGAGCCCGTAACTCTAGTCTGCCTCAAATCAACAAAAGTTCCGACCAACTCACATCAATTCCATGTCCGTTATCCGTAATTTGCAGCAGCTTCAACCCTCCATCCTTCACAAGAACCTCGATGGATGTGGAGCCCGCGTCGACAGAGTTTTCAATAAGCTCCTTTAAGGCGTGCATAGGAGCAACAATGATTTCACCGGCAGCGATCTTGTTCACGACATTAGGGTCGAGGGCCTGGAAGACGGGTAAGTATGTCGATTGAAAGCACAGTGGGCAGTGGAAAACTCGTTCATACCTTGATCCGCTTCGGCTTTGATGGCTCGGATGCATCATCCTCTTCTACTGGGCGCTTGGTGCCACGTTGATCGGGCGAATCAACTTCCATTTCGGCTTCCATGATGATTAAAGCGCCCGGCGCGTGTTAGGATCGTGAAGTGGAGAAGCAACGCGGAGCTTGAATTTGCGATAAGGCGATAACGACCGCATTTATCTCAGTGTGGAGAACTCCCGCCCTTTGCTCCTCCAAAAAGTTGACTCGATGACAATTATGTGGTAACCAATCTAATACCGAAACACAATTCGCTTGATCGGCTGTGGTGGTATGTTATATGGCATCTACCTGCAAAGATGCCTCATCTAAAGGACGAGGAACTGGGAAAGAAGGATGACGACCACCGATTTCAACCAGCACGCTCTCGGTCCCTGCCCCAGTGTTCAAATATTCCTCGCCCTCGAAGACTGATTGTTGCCTTGATTGCTCTCGTGCTGGTCTACCAGTTTTTCAAACATATGCCGACCGACCTAAAGCCAGCCCGCGAACGATATAACCCAGAGATCGCACGTTTCAGACAGCAGCAGCAGCACTCTTCATCTGCAAGTTCAGCGCAGCCCCTTGCGGCGGCACCCCAAATTGATATTTCGTCGGAGGCAGACGCCCAAGGCAGCAATTATAAGGGCGAATTGTATGATGGGAAGATCAAGCTCTATGAGCTGTCCGGTTCGCTACCCCAAAATAAACACCCGGAGAATGCACCCAGTGATGCTGTGCTATTCGCTGGATCCAATCTCCATAGCATCACGGACATGCTGCCTTTAGCCTGTCGAATGGCACGCGAACAACGAAATCATGTCCACTTGGCCATATTCGGAAAGGAAGAGGTTTCAGTTGAAGGAATTCAACACGTCAATGGTATCGTGGAATCCGAATGTCCAATTGTATGGCATGGTATGTGCCCCCCCCTCCCCTCCCCCCGCGGTTTGCTTGACCCTCGAAAATATCAGTATTGACCCCAACCTCAGATAGCCGACCGGACTATGCTGCCCAGTCTACCGATGCTCGACTGGCTCGGTCTGTCAAAGGTGGTCTTGGATTTATTCAATCTTACATCGCACCAGAGGTCATCATCACACAAATGAAGGACTGGGAAGACTCTTTCTTCTGGATTGGACTTGAGCATCATATACAGGATGCTGCCATTCCCCATATCGCTCTTCCAACTACCTCAAGGGATATTATGTGGATAGCTACCATTGATAGCACTGCTCTTAAAGGTACGTAATATCTTTCCGGCATGCGTTTTTCGAAATGAAAGCTAACATTGTATATAACAGTCTGGAATGACGTTCATGTCGATCTGGTGGTTCATGCATCCCAGTCGCCGGGCTCTCTTATCAGGCTTGTCCGGTCGCTAGATGCTGCTGATTATTTGGGATCTACTCCCAGATTAACCATAGATCTTCCGCCGCAAGTGGATCATAAAACACTTGACTTCCTGGGGCATATCAATGGCTTAACCCAACTGAAGGAACAGATCACGCTCCGGCGACGTATCCAGCCGCACTTTATGGACCCCGTTGAATCTTCTCTTCGAACCGTTGAGTCGTTTTATCCTCTTAACCCGGGGGTGTCTCATCTGCTCGTGCTATCTCCACAAACGGAGGTGGCACCGTCCTTCTATCATTATCTGAAGTACAGCATTTTGGCCTACAAACAGTCTGCTCGGGACCCAGATTTGACATCCAAGCTTCTTGGAATTTCTCTAGAGCTTCCATCTGCAAAACCTACCATGAAGGATGACCCTTTCTTTGCGCCATTATCGGAGTCAAAAGCAAAAACAGAGTACATTCCCTCATTTCTTTGGCAAGCTCCGAATAGCAATGCAGCATTGTACTTCGGTGATAAATGGGCTGAGTTTCATTCATTCCTTTCGAGTCGTCTTGACGTTTCAGAATCCAAAGCAAATATTCCTTCTCAAGAGAAGCTCATCTCCCCGAAATACCCGGCCTTCATGGAATACCTACTGGAAATGATGCGGGCCAAAGGATACTATATGCTCTACCCATCATTTTCTGGTACCAGGGCATCATCCTTGGTGACTGTCCACCAAGACTTAGCCCAGGAGCCCGAGGAGTATATACAAGACACAAAACATGGAGTATCTGAGGACAACCTCTCCGACGACATCGAACTAGTAACGCCGGAAAAGACACCAAATCAAGCATCGACCATCACGACACTATTTGACACTTTTGAGCTGGGCCTTCCAGGCATGGAAACATTGCCTCTAATCTCTTTTGATGGCGAGAATTTGGCCCAAGAAAGGCTCACTCAAGTAGCCAAGGATTATTCTCAACAATTTCGAACACACTACGGAGGCTGTTCCAGTAGTCCGGGAGGCGCTGGATATTCTGATGATCTATTTTGTCTTGAAGGATGATCTATGCCCGGGTATGCTATGCGACATATTAAATGTCACCATACACCCACCTTAAGTTTCCAAAAATTTGAAAGTTGGAGTTTCAATTATGCTTCAAAGTCTCCCAGTAGTTGTGCCTCCGAGTCTATCCATTACATCAACCTTGTACCCCCTACTAACTATTCTGTTACCTGTGACCGTATTGACACGTGAGTCAAAATGCGTAGACTTAAGACAGCGGTTGTCAAATTTTTGATAGAGATTTCCCAGATAACGGACAAAAGTTGTCTGTTCATCTGTACTCCGTAGAAGGGTATCGAAGCGTGGTGATCGGGCCAAAAACAATGACGAGGGCTTGGCGTGATTACATAACCCGAAGCTGCACCAGCTCTCTGCTTCTTCATCATGAACACCAGCTTACAATCAATCACTTCACCATACTTCATCTGCAGTTCACTATTCTAATTTTCGCTCGTGCATTGAATATTTGACGCCCTGCCCTTCGCGTTCCCTGTTCATTATCCTGAGTCCACCTCCGACCTGGTCGCCAGATACCATCAGATATGCCGAACGAGGGCGAACGGTCAACTGCCGCCGACAAGGGCAAGGGCAAGGTTGAGGATGTTCGCGAGCTAAACGAAAAGAAGCCTCAAAAGGATGAGAAGGCCCCAACAGAGGGAAAGAAGAAGGACGAGGAGCCACAGGAAGGTAGGTCGCAACATGACCGCGGAGCAAAGCATCTGACTTCTGCCACCCATTCCTTCGGTCCTAGGACCCTACGGCTAACATCTTTCAAGATGAACTCAGCGAGGAAGACCAAGAGTTGAAAAACGAGCTCGAGATGCTTGTTGAGCGGTTAAAGGTATGTCCACTCATCCAGCCTGGAGCCACCAACGACATTAGCTCACATTGCCTCAACATTAGGAGCCGGACACCTCCCTCTACGGGCCTGCTTTAGATGCCATCAAAAACTTCATCAAGACTTCAACCTCGTCTATGACCGCCGTTCCGAAGCCCCTCAAATTCCTCCGACCGCATTACGATGACCTCGCGGACCTGTACGAGAAGTGGACAGCGGGTTCTGTTAAGGTTGGTTTGCCCATCGAATCATAAAGCCACATACTAATGCATTTACTATGTTAGGACTCGTTGGCTGATATGCTTTCCGTACTCGGTATGACCTACGGAGATGAGGAGAAGCTGGAGACGATCAAGTACCGCTTGTTGGCCAAGTCCGAGGACCTTGGCTCCTGGGGCCACGAATACGTTAGACACTTGGCGTTGGAGATTGGACAAGAATATCAGAGCCGGCTGAACGCAGACAAGGACACTCAAGATTTGGTGGACCTAGCACTTTCGCTGGTGCCTTATTTCCTGGGCCACAACGCCGAGGCTGATGCTGTCGATCTTATGAGTGAACTGGAGATTATCGAGGACATCCCACAATTTGTTGATGAGAACACTTATGCTCGAGTCTGCTTGTACATGGTTAGCATGGTCAACCTGCTCACCTATCCCGAGGACCAGCAGTTCCTCCGCACAGCTCACACGATTTACGTCCGCTACAACAAGCTTTCTCAGGCGATTGTGCTCGCCATCAGATTGAACGACATCGAACTCATCAAGACTGACATTAGTGCCACGACTGACAGGGCCCTCAAGAAGCAAATGGCATTTTTGGTCGCACGACAGCAAATCTGGCTTGATATTGACGAGGACGAGGAGGATACTGAATCTCTATTAGATTGTCTGAACAACACCTCTATTCCGAATCACTTCAAGTCTCTCGGAAAGGAGCTCAACATTCTGGACCCCAAGATGCCCGAGGACATTTACAAGACACACCTGGAGAGCAGCCGCGGAGCCGGTCTCACCAACCTCGATTCGGCACGACACAACCTGGCCAGCGCATTCGTCAACTCTTTTGTTAATGCCGGCTTTGGTAATGATAAGATGATGCTTGTTGATGGGGAGAAGGGTCCATGGGTGTGGAAGACTAAAGATGACGGCCAGCTCTCTACGACAGCGTCATTGGGTATGCTTATGCACCGGGATGTTGAAGAGGGGTTGAACAAGATTGATAAGTTCACCTACGTGGAGGAGGACCAGGTCAAAGCCGGTGCTCTCCTTGCAACCGGTATCCTGAACTCCGGAGTGCGGATGGAATCCGATCCTGCTCTTGCTCTCTTGAGTGATCCCGACAATCTGGAGGCCAAGAATGTGCCAATGCGGGTCGCATCCATCATGGGTCTTGGTCTGGCATATGCCGGCTCTAACAAAGAAGAACTGCTAGATGTCCTACTTCCGATTGTGGAGGATGCCTCGCTAGACATGCAGCTGTCCGCCATGGCAGCAGTTTCGCTTGGTCTCATCTTCGTGGGATCTTCAAATCACCAGGTGAGCGAGGCAATTGCTACAACTTTGATGGATGAGGAGCGTCAGAAGCAGTTGAAGGATAAGTGGACACGATTTATGGCCCTTGGTCTGGCTCTGCTTTACTTCGGCCGGCAAGAGGAGGTTGATGTCGTTCTTGACATCCTGAAAGCGGTCGATCACCCCATGGCGAAGCCAACCTCGGTTCTTGCATCGGTCTGTGCTTGGGCTGGTACAGGAACTGTGCTTAAGTTGCAAGAACTCCTTCATATCTGCAATGACCTAATCGAGGAGAAGGAGGAGAACAAGGGCGATGAGCTCGTTCAGTCATATGCTGTTCTAGGTCTTTCACTCATTGCTATGGGTGAAGATGTTGGTCAGGATATGATTCTCCGCCAGTTTGGTCATCTCATGCACTACGGTTCCAGCAACATTCGTCGCGTCGTGCCCCTCGCCATGGGTCTTGTCAGTCCAAGCAACCCCCAGATGAAGATTTACGACACCCTATCCCGGTACAGTCACGACAACGACAACGAGGTCGCCATCAATGCCATCTTTGCCATGGGTTTGTGTGGTGCTGGCACCAATAATGCTCGTCTGGCCCAGCTTCTGCGGCAATTAGCCAGCTACTACCACCGCGACCAAAACTCGTTATTCATGGTGCGCATCGCTCAGGGTCTTCTTCACATGGGCAAGGGAACAATGACTCTCAACCCATTCCACACCGACCGACAGGTACTTTCTCGTGTGTCGGCAGCTGGTCTCCTCACAGTGCTCGTGTCTTTGATTGACGCCAAGCAATTTATCCTTGCCGAGCACCACTACCTGCTCTACTTCCTCATCACCGCCATGTTCCCCCGGTACCTTGTTACCCTTGATGAGGACCTGCAACCACTCACCGTGAACGTCCGCGTGGGTCAGGCCGTTGATGTTGTTGGCCAGGCTGGTCGGCCAAAGACCATCACCGGATGGCAGACCCAGAGCACCCCTGTGTTACTGTCGTACGGTGAAAGAGCCGAACTTGAGGATGAGCAGTACATTCCTCTTAGCAGCACACTCGAGGGCTTAGTTATTCTGCGCAAGGTAATTACCCCAAACCATGATATCCATTGATCCTTTTCTCTAACAAAGTATCTAGAACCCTGACTGGGAAAGCCCCGAATAAACGCAATGAGATGCCGATTTATCTCTGTTGCTCGCCCGTTGCGAGTCAATTATAGTAGTCAGGTTATCATTGTATCTAATTTACTCAGAACGATTGAGGAATAGCATGGAACTTCTTTTTCTTTCACTCCTGCATCTGGTTCGTCAGGTTTGAACGGATGTTATCCACGAATCCCTGTAGACTGCTGCAATATCGGGCTTTTCTTTTGGTACGGGGCTCACTTATTGGGACTTCTATTAGGAATTTGGACTATCACAACTTCATGAGACTGGCTCTGTAATTCTTACACAGTGTGAATTGCCGTGGTGCAAATCTAGTACCTCAGAAGTTGATACCAAGGCACATGTCCAAAAGCGGAAATAGGGCATAGGGCTTTGAGCTTATCAACTTTTTTCTGTCTCCGTATCGCTTTAAACGTCACGCTTTCCAGATCCAGCTTCGTCCCGTTTACTTTGGGTTTTCCACGATTCACAGAGCTGAAATTGACCTGAGAATTCTTCGCAATGAAGCTTGACCCTAAGGCGCTTCGCTACCTGACCACTGAGGATTTTAAGGTCCTTGCCGGGGTACTTATCAGCCCCTCCACCCCGCTATGCGCATTTCTCATAGGTCTGACTCGATCGCTAATAGACTTATTTCTTATTAGGTTGAAGCCGGCAGTCGCAACCATGAAGTCGTCCCCACCCCGCTGATTGTGCAGCTCTCCGGCCTCCGAGGTGGCAGCGGCGTGCATCGTTCCATCTCGAACCTGGCCAAGATCAACTTGATTGCCAAAGTAAAGAATGCCAAGTGTACATTTTCTCCCAATCCTCGAAACTTTATAATCATGGCTCATACCCCTTTGCAGATGACGGCTACAGACTTACCTATGGTGGACTGGATTACTTGGCCATGAATGCGCACCAGAAGCAAAAGGTCGTTTACTCTGTTGGCAACCAAGTTGGTGTGGGCAAGGAATCAGACATCATCGTGGTTGCACACAGCAGTGGAGAGCAGCGCATTTTGAAAATTCACCGCTTGGGTCGTATCTCCTTCCGCACCGTCAAGACGAACCGCGACTACCTACGACACCGCATCTCAGCATCATGGATGTACATGTCACGACTGGCCGCAATGAAGGAATTTGCGTTCATGAAGGCCCTCCGTGAGAATGGCTTCTCAGTTCCCGAACCTATCGCCCAGAACCGACACACTATCGTCATGAGTCTGATCGATGCCTTCCCGCTCCGCCAGATCTCCAAGGTCCCCAACCCACAAGCATTATACTCGGAATTGATGGATATCATCCTGGAGCTAGCACGTTTTGGTCTGATTCACGGTGATTTTAACGAGTTTAACCTCCTCATCAAGGAAGAGGTGGATGAAAAGGCCAAAGAGAAATACACCCCGGATACCAAATTGGATGATGTGGCAGATGAGGATATCCGGCTGGTTCCGGTGCTCATTGATTTCCCCCAGATGGTCTCTATTGACCATATGAATGCCGAGATGTACTTCGACCGTGATGTGAACTGTGTCAAGCGGTACTTCCAGCGCAAGTTCCACTTCGTGAGCGATGTTCCTGGTCCCACCTTCGCCCAGGCTAGGAAGAAGTTCATCAAAAACCCTGGCAAGCGGCTGGATGTGGAGGTTGAGGCATCAGGCTTTTCAAGAAAGATGGCGCGCGAGCTTGAGAAGTATATGCAGGAAGTTGGTGTGGACGGGGATGCCGGCTCTAGAGAAGATGGTGATGAAGATGAAGGAAGCAGCGACGAAGATGAGGACGAATATGAAGAGTCTGGCTCAGAATCAGAAGAGCCTAGTAAGGACAAACAGCCGGAGCAAGCTGACGAGGACGTGGGTGAGAGCTCACGACGACTCGAAGACTTGCATGTCTCGGGGCCATCTGGGCAATGAAGGAGAAACCAAAACTAAGTGCATTAATGACCATGAGTTATGAATTTAGACTGTAATATAAAACAAATGTGGCATTCAAAATATCTGTAACATGGAAGATTGGAGTAGTTCAAACGATGGTGAACATACATATTGTAAGGGCCAAAAGTAGGGCGGGCGGTGCGGCCATTCACGCAATTATTCCGACGGAGCAAAAGATTCACGAACTCCGACGTATTCCATCCAACCATCAACCAATTCCACCATGGTACGCAAAGCAATTGGTGTCGCTAAAACGGGGGTCAAGCAGTCTATGCTGCCGCCTGCCCAGCGCAAGCAGGTCTTCCTGTACGTCTACACTCCATCCGTGAAATCTATGAAGCATCAAATTTCAAACCCGAGCACTGTCCAGCACGAATCCTTGAAATACACCCGGGCGACAAAAAACCAATGGAGGCAATGAAACTAACATTTGAACTTATGATAGTCCTGAATTCACCATCGCCCTTGTCCGAACCCCCTTCCTCTCTCCCCGCTATGCGCAATTCCGCGTCCCCCTCAACTTTAACAAGCTCGACATGCGTGACTATCTCCAGCGCTTGTACGGCGTGGCAGCTGTCAGAATTCGCAGCTACATCGAGCAGCAGCCCGTCACCCGGCTAACGCGAGAAGGCCGATCCCTTGGCCAATGGCGACGACCGAAGTCTGAGAAACGGATGACTGTTGAACTACGGGACGAGTTCGTTTGGCCCGAGGAGCCCAAGGATCTGGCAAAGTAAGTGAATCAATTGTGCTTTGAATGTTTGGCCGTTTGGCCATGTTGGGATACTGTCATGTGGCGAATTGGATTACTCCTACTTCCCATGGACACCGCGATATCCTTCGGCTCGGTATACATTTCCTCAAGTTCAATTGCTAACCAATTACGCGTCTACTATACAGGTGGGAGAAGGAAGCCTGGGACTCAATCACCAAGGCCAACCACGAGGAACAAAAGAAGAATTCCCAGAAGGGTCACGCAGCCGAGAAGCCGGACAAGAAGGTGATCGAGGCGTTCGAGAAGCAGGCTAAGGAGTTGAAGAATGATAAGATGACCTGGCAGCCGACTTGGAAGACACTAGGCCTTGACTTCGCGCACAAAGAGTTTGCCTACACCAAAGGCAGGGGTTTCCAGAATCCTAAATGGCTTACTCTGCCAAAGAAGCGTTAAGTCTCATCTCGCTGACCTGCATTTCGATGGACTGTTTAACTTTATTCTCCGTGCTGGATTTTCTTTCTGTTTGAAAACTCGGTGTTCATGTATTCTTTAACCCTTGTCTTGTCTTTGGGCCTGTCTTCTGTACATTATATTGTTGGTCTAGGATTATATAGATCTGAAGCCTTTCTCAGGCCTGGCCAATCCTGAAACTTTCCATTCGCCTACAGTACTAATAATTCAACGCTGTTCATCTTCTGTCTACGGTTTGATTAGATAATTTCCTCTACACATGTAGCAATGAGGGACTTTGTCTGGAATACATTCTAGGATTCTTCTTGTCCATGCCTCTACGTGACACGCAGCAGTGATTGGGCAAAAAGTAGATGTGTCTTTTCTAACCCTTCTACATAACTGTATATTCCCCAACCAAGCAGCTACACATCAATTTCTGTAAAAAAGAGATAAATGAATTCTGTTGTTTTTTGTCTGATCCCGTGATCATTACCCTGGACGCGGAATTCCGGCTTGTTGATGCCTTGTTTCTCAGGTTATAAAAAACCCTCGGCTTCAACCATCTCAACTGATGATTTACACGGCTTTCCTTCTCATATCATCTTATCAAAATGGCCGCCTCCGCCCCCGCCAAGAAGACCTTTACTATTGGCACACGCAAGTCCAAACTTGCTTTGATGCAAACCGACCTTGTGCTTGCAGCTCTCCAGAAATCATACCCCGAATATGAATTCAAGACCTTGACTAAGGAAACCGCCGGCGATCTCAACACTACCATAGCTCTGAAGGATTTCACATCGAAAAACTTGTGGACCGAGGAGCTTGAGGAATTGATGATCGGAGGCCAAGTAGATTTAATCGTCCACTCCCTCAAAGGTAAAAGCCGCAGGAACCTGTTGCCCCGCATCACCTTTAAACCACCCCGCGCAAGCGATGCTAACCCTGTTTTCAATTCGGCAGATGTCCCTACCCTTCTGCCTGACACCTGCACTCTTGGAATGATGATGCCCCGTGAAGATAGCCGAGATGTCTTCGTTGTAAAACAAGGGCTGCCTTACAAGAGTCTGGCAGAACTCCCCGCCGGCTCCGTCGTTGGAACCTCCTCGATTCGCCGCACCGCCCAACTGGCGCGTAAATACCCTCACTTGAAGGTCCAGGATATCCGCGGAAACATTGGAACTCGTCTGTCAAAGTTGGATGCTGAGGATAGCCCGTATACCTGCGCAATTCTCGCGGCGGCTGGTCTGCTGCGCCTGGATCTGCATGATCGTATCACTCAGTACCTCGACTCGAAGAACAGCGGTATGCTTTATGCTGTTGGACAGGGTGCCCTGGGTATTGAGATTCGCAAGGAAGATACTCTACTGAAAGAAATGGTGGCCACGATTGGTCACCGGGATACTACCTTTGCTTGTTTGGCTGAGCGAAGTCTTCTGCGAACCCTTGAAGGAGGCTGCAGTGCCCCTCTGGGTGTCGAGAGTGAGTGGGTAGAGAGTGCGGGATCAAAGAAGCTGCGTATGCGGTCCGTGGTTGTTAGCGTCGATGGTCAGCAGTGCGCACAGGTCGAGGTTGATGGCGAAGTGGACTCAACTGAAAGTGCTGAAGCCTTCGGTGTCACAGTAGCTAAAGCCTTGGTGGCAGATGGCGCTGGCGCAATTCTTGAGGAGATTCAGCGAAACAAGGTCGCCAAAGCAAGTTTTGCAGTTTGATTGACAATAAGGAACAAATTTCAGATATACCGGGACTCAATCATGTAAATACCCCATTGAAATAAGAATGAGCTCAACGAAGTCTTTACATATGTATCAGATTTGCGTAAGTGTGATTGTAATCGATCTCTAGCTTTTTGTTGCAATCCAATCCACGAGCCCTGTCTATAGTTTCCAAAGATGTGTTATCAACTGAACATTTGGACTAAATTAACCACGATTGAGCGTGTTTCCAGATCCACGGGGGTTTGCCTCCACATATTCATCCCAGGCGCGGGCCTTCATCGTCTCCTGGTCAGCCTTTTCCAGATCATCCTCATCGACTTCTGGGATGATTCCAGACTGTTCGCCTCCTTGGAGAACATTGCCTCTCTTGTGCTCTTCGTCCAGATACTCTTCAATGGTCATGGTTGGTAAGTTATGACCGGAACGGAAGACGCCCTGCTGGAGCTGCGAACGACGGTCGAGCAGGGTAAATGGCTGCATTGGTATACCTTTACTGTTCAACAGGGGACCATTCCTTCCTCCAAGTAGTTGTGACAGTGATGGATCCAAACGGTCCGAGTAATTGGCGCCTCCCAAATTACTGCGTTGCCGGGGGTCGATCTGCGGCGCTTGGGATGGCTCTGGTATGGGGGCATTCTGCATGGCTGAAAGTATAGACAATTCTTGCACCAGTAAATCTAGTGCTTGGAAGGTCTGGTGTGTATAGAGATGAATTTCGGATAGATAGAGTTTGCGGGTCGCGTCGCTATCGCTTTGGAGTCGTGCTTCGTTTTGGGCAAAATACTGCAAAATGTGTCAGCGGCCAGTTCAGAACATATGTTCTCTTTTAACCATCCTGACCTACTTCGAGCTTTTGTTTGAGTTCCTTCTCTTCTCTGAATCGTCTGACCTTGGTATCCCGGCGAGTCGCTGCATCGTTGACAGGCGCCAATGTGAAGGCAGATGGATTGGTCATGTATGTCTCAAACAGCTTCCGATCCGCCTTTGTCAACAATTCATACTCATCAAGGCGCGTCAAAAATTTCTCATATTGTTCCAAGGCTCTCCGTAGGACGGATTCGCGATCAGCACTGGGGCCTCGCTGAATGAGTTCGGCAAGGTGGTATTCTAAGGTCATATATCTGGAAAAAGGACATTAGCTTCAGATAATAACATCTCAAGATTGAGATTCTCACTGTAGGTCGCCAGATGAAAGATCGTCCAGAGATTCATTAGAGCTGAACAGCGACAAGATGCTGACTTGTCGTTGGCACTCCTGGAATTTGGCGATTGTCGCATTTACATCATCCCGGTAGGTGGCGGTATTGGTATCACTCCTTGACTCGAGCGCCGACTTTGCCTCCTTTGCCGACAAGAACAATGATCGAAGACTCTGTGATTGCTCCATATTGATTGTTCAAACACGGGAAAAGGGTGAAATATGCGCAACCTTGGGTAGTGACATGTGTTGACGGGTTAAAAGTGTTAACGACCCCAGTTGATTATGTAATATTCTGCCAGTCAAATTTTTTAAAAACCAAGTGAATTTGTATCTACTTATGTCAGCCATTAAATCGAATCATTGCTTGCATTCAGGGCTCTCTCGAAATGTTGTAGAAGGAACAGTAGGCGGTGGGGAAGGCGGATCTTAGGGAGGGGTACATGCGCACGTGCCGCTGTTGTGTCGCCCGCGCCTCCAGTGGCTTACCGCCTCGATCACCGCTTATGATATCAGCGTAGTATCTACCAAAGTGCGTACTTGTGCCTACCTACTAGGGTATCTACTAGATTACCTGCCTAAGTGCCTAATGTCAATTTCGATCTGCCAAGTTCGCTTCTGTTATTAGTACATGCCGTAGTTGGGACAAAGCTGCACCTGACCTTCGCGGGAGAAATGTCCGACCAAAAGTTTATACAAGATTTGATGATAGCAGCAGTGTGGACTTTGTACCGATGGAAGGACTGATATCTCCGAGCTCCTAGATGCCACATGTCTCTCTCTCCTCTCCCACTGCCCCCTCCTAGCTCTCCTCATTGCCTCAACTGCACAATATCATACCTGCCTACCAGGACGTGAGAATGTTCCCGCCTAGTATCTGTTTAGTGCCTTGGCAGATATCCAAAAATCCTGAATTTACCTGACTTTACGTGATCTTCGCAATAATCTCACTCAATTTGAATAATTAAACGTAGCATTAGTTTCTCTCGCCCTTTCGACATTATCGATCCAGTTTCGAAAGACCAACACCCTGTTCCGCTAGGCGCATCGATCAATTTCAGATTTCTAGACCGCCTTCATTGTTGAAATGCTGCATATCTCTTGATTTTGATCAATTATATACCGTGTTAAATTCTTACATATGAGTTGATATTTATTAAATGCAGGCATGCCATTACAAAAATAATCTTTACGATATTTTTCCACCTTGTCCCTTTAATTCACCTTCACCTTCACCTTCACCTTCACCTTCACCTTCACCTTCACCTTCACCTTCACCTTCACCTTCACCTTCACCTTCACCTTCACCTTCACCTTCACCTTCACCTTCATCTTCACCTTCATCTTCACCTTCATCTTCACCTTCACCTTCACCTTCATTCTCATCTTCACCTTCCCCTCTGCAGGCGTTTCAAACTAGGCCAGTAGCCCTTTAGTGACAATTCAAGGCTTTTCTTCTGGCTTCATTGAGTCTAATTATATCTTCATCTATCAAGTATAAAGTTTCCTTTCTGCAACTATCTTGACCTCTCAAGTTCTCAACATATGTCCTGACTTCCTCCCTTGAATTCGAAAACATTCATGCTGATCAACAACATGGCGCATGAAAACACCCGGGATAACATCCCCATTCACAGTGATTCCGAGCAATCTGAAAGTGAAGATGAGAACATTGAGGCCCCTCCACCCTCTCAAGGTCGACGAACCCAGAATATGCAGTTTGAGGCCCTGTCAGTCTTCTGAATACACTGACTTGTATTATCTAAGCTAATCTGCATTTAGTCTTTCTCGACGAGCACGAGAAGATACAATTAAACAGACCAAAAAGGCATTTCGTGATAAGCCGGACGATGAACTCACCATAGCCAGCCTGGTGGCCAAGAAAGGCTCTGGGGCCCAGATCCTGGATCCACGAGCTTATCAGATTGAACTGTTCGAGCGAGCAAAGACACGCAATATCATTGCAGTTCTTGATACTGGTAGGAGATTTCAATCTCTTGGGACTTTTCACAAGAATCTAACCAAGCAACTAGGCTCTGGAAAGACCCTGATTGCGGTGCTTTTGCTCAAACATATGTTGCAACAAGAGCTGATCGACCGCTCCGCTGGCAAGCAGCATCGTGTAGCCTTCTTCCTGGTAAGCATCGCATGCATTGATCAACTGAAGAGTGATATTGACAGAAATCAGGTCGATAGCGTTACTCTAGTTTTTCAACAAGCGGCTGTTCTCCGGAACAACCTAGACCAAGAAGTTAGCCATTTCTATGGAGCCATGGGCCTAGACCTATGGGATCAAGAAGCCTGGAATAAGCACCTCAAAGCAAACATGGTCATTGTATGCACAGCCGAAATCCTCCACCAGGCGCTACTCAACGCATTTGTCAGGATGAAACAAATCAATCTGTTAATTTTTGACGAGGCGCACCACACGAAGAAGAAACATCCGTATGCACGGTGAGAATATCAACAGCTGAACTCGGAATTGAAGCATTAGGAACTAATTTCTTCGTTAGAATTATTCGTGATTCCTATCTCAAGGTCGATTCGTCAGAACGTCCAAAGATCTTTGGCATGACAGCGTCCCCCATTGATAGTAACGTTGATATTGTGGAGGCAGCCATGTAAGTGCCGTAAGGCCCTCAAGTAGGGATGAGCCAACTGACATTGTACAGGGAGCTTGAAGTTCTTTTGGATAGCCAGATTGCAACGACTTCCAATCTATTTTCACTGCGTGCAATCATCAGAAAGCCAACAGAAGAGACATGGACCTACAACAGACTTGGGCGACCCTTTGAGACACCGCTATTCAAGAAAATGAAAGATAAGTTTGGGGACATGAAAGTTCTTGCACCTGTTCTTAGATTTGCTTGGGATGCCAGCTCAGAGCTGGGAATTTGGTGCGCTGATCAAATCTGGGCGAAAGCTCTCGCAGAGGATGTGATACCGAAACTTGAAGGCGCCATAAACAAGGAACCCACCCAGAACCTGACCACCGTGGATGATATTTTGAGAGATGCTCGACGAGTCAAGGAAGCTTGTGAGACTGTGAAGGGACATTTGTTCCAAAGCCCCTTGGAACCAGGCCAACTAAGCTCCAAGGTGGAGATTCTCGTCGGTATCCTAGGCCATCATTTCCGCCAGTCATTAGACAAGAAAAGCATTGTCTTCACCGAAAGGCGAAACACGGCTAAGATTTTGCTACAGCTGTGTGAGCGATTGAAAATCACAAACCTCCGTCCTGGTGTGCTGGTTGGGGTACGGAGTTCTGATTCCACAGGAACAACCACGTTCCGTCAACAGTTCCTTGCCCTAGTCAGATTTCGAAAAGGTGAAATCAATTGCCTGGTAGGTCATACATTTGAAATGAGAACGTGGGTCGAAGCTAAGCTTTCCAAAGTTTGCAACATCAGTTGCTGAAGAAGGTCTTGACATCCCGGACTGCAATCTCGTTGTCAGGTAAGATATGAAGCTGGTCGGAATTTTTGATTTATTTGCTAACACGCATAAGATTCGATCTATATAAAACTATGATTCAATATATTCAGAGTAGGGGTCGTGCGAGGCATGAGGAGTCAGTTGTATGCTTACGGAATAATTTGTCTCATCAAATTATCACTTATACTGACTGACTATAGTACGCGCACATGCTTGAGATGGGAAACGATCAACATCAAAAGCGTCTACAAGAATTTCAACAGGCAGAGGTAAGCATACTGGGCCAACGTCGATCGATCTTAGCTGACATATTACAAATAGAGCTTGATGCAGCTATTTTGCAACGCGCTCCCTCGGGACCGACTCCTTCTAGGAGATGAGGTCGATATAACCCAAGTCTTGGAAATAGAGGAAGGAAAGAGGACCTACACCATTCAAGCTACGGGAGCTAAATTGACATATCCTCACGCTACTAATATCCTCTCGCGCTATGCAGCATCTCTAGTAAGTCAATTTTTATGATAAAGAAAAATTTCGTGACTAATAAATTAAATAGCAAAATGAGAGAGACACATCAGCTTCTGTCACTTTCTTCACCGCTACGATAGGAAGATCTTTCTTCTGCGAGGTCATCCTACCAGAAAAGTCACCAATCCGAGGTTTGATAGGAGGATTGGAATCAACAAAGATCAGGGCAAAACAGTCAGCTGCATTTGATGCATGCATCCTCCTTAGGAAAAAAAACCTTCTAGATGACAACTTCAGATCAGTCTATTTCAAGCGACTCCCAGCCATGCGCAATGCCAAATTAGCGATTTTGTCGAAAGAGACCGACAAGTACACTATGATAACCAAACCTTCCATCTGGAATGAAATGCAGGGCAACTTGCCCGACAAAGTTTATGGCATGGTCTTCAAGCTTTGTCCTACGGAACCTCTCTCCCGGCCCCATGATAGCATTATACTCCTCACCCGAGTACCACTTCCGGGAATACCAGAATTTCCCATTTACTTAGAGGATAACAAGCAAACCATCATTCAGACCATAGTTCTTGACATGCCGCTTTCTGTCATCACTGAAGACCTATCCTGTTTTTCCCAATTCACAATCGCTGTTTTCCGTGACGTTTTTCATAAGACCTTCGACCCCATATTAGAGAAGTTTCCGTACTGGCTGGCTCCAGTTAGATCGGATGTCAAGGTTGTCAATTCAATTGATTCGCCACGAGACATAATTGACTGGGACACTTTATGCTTTATCAAGGAACATCCCGAGATAACATGGACCAAGGATATGGAGCCTTCTTCTCTTTTGCATCGTTTCATCTATGATGGCTGGGACGGAAAGAGGCGATTCTTTCCAGTGAGCATTGATACTACCCTCCGGCCGTCAGACCCCCCACCGTCTTATTCGACTCGTCGAAAATGGATGCAAGACATTATGAATTACTCGTTGAGTCTTTCCAAAAACTCCCGACGAAGGGCTCTAGAAAAGGTAGACTGGGATCAACCGGTATTTCAGGCGGAAGAAGTTTGTCTTCGAAGGAACTTCCTGGACAAGGCCTCAAAGGAGGAAATGACAAAGGTGGGGAGATGTGCAATTTGTCTCGAACTACTTAATATCTCTTCGGTAAGCTTCAGCACTTGGACAGAAAAGAAAGCCTTGTTCACTGATATACTGGTCCAGATCCCTATCTCCATCGTGACTTCATGTCTGGCCTTTCCTGCTATCATGAGCAAGCTCGAGTCTTACTTAATCATCCTGGAGGCATGTCAGCATCTAGGCCTAAACATTCGACTAGAATATGCAATTGAAGCTTTCACCAAGGACTCAGACAACACAGAAGAACATCGCGCTCTTCAGATTCACGTGCAACGAGGCATGGGGAAGAATTATGAGAGACTTGAATTCCTCGGAGACAGCTTCTTGAAGATGGCGAGCTCAATCTCGCTTTTCTGTCAGAAGCCGGATGACGATGAGTATGACTATCATGTCCATCGGATGTGCCTCGTCTGCAATAGGAATTTGTTCAATGCCGCCATAAAAATCAATCTCTTTGCCTACATCCGCAGCCGCGGCTTTTCCCGGTATCTTCTTGTTCCTTACTTCCTATGGGTTTTCAAAACACAGCTAACGTTCCATTACAGACACACATGGTATCCGCCAGGACTCCAGCTTATTCACGGTCGAAACTACCTTGCGCATCTTGAATCCGAAGGCAAGCATACCCTGGGAGAAAAGACCATTGCGGACGTGTGCGAGGCACTCATAGGTGCTTCATTGCTTACAGGAGGGAAGGAGAACCGATTTGACTTAGCGGTCGAAGCAGTGACTATTTTTGTGGATAGTCCAAATCACACCGGAAAGTCTTGGCGCGACTATGTCTCATCCTACGTCAAGCCATCTTACCAGCTCAAAGCCACGGATGGAGTTGAGATTGATCTTGTTAATAAGATCTTCCAAAAGCTAGGCTATCGATTCCAGTACCCCGCTCTACTCCGTTCTGCCTTTACCCATCCTTCATATCCGCGTGACTGGGCGAAGGTTCCTTGCTACCAGCGATTGGAATTCCTCGGGGATGCACTACTGGATATGGTTTGTGTTGAGGACCTGTTTAGCCGGTTCCCCGACAAGGATCCGCAGTGGTTAACTGAGCACAGGGTAATTTCTATCTCTTTTGATTCGAACATTATAGTTTCTGATCTGAATACAGATGGCTATGGTGTCGAACAAATTTCTTGGCGCACTTTCAGTGAAGTTGGGATTTCATCGCCATCTTTTGCACTTCAGTAATCCTATCCAGGCATCCATCACCCAGTATGCCGAGAATATCCAGATCGCCGAAGAAAATAGCAATGGGTCGATGGACTACTGGCTCATCGAGGCCAAAGACTCCCCTAAAGTCAGTTGAGACTAGTTTCAAGGGAAAAAAAATTGCTAACAATAACAGTGTCTACCGGACATGCTTGAGGCATACCTTGCCGCGATTTTCGTTGATTCGGGCTTTGACTACAAGGTCATTGAAGAATTCTTCACGCGCCATATAAAGCCTTTCTTCGTTGACATGTCCCTCTACGACACATTTGCCAACAAACATCCGACGGTGAGTATTTAATCCTCTCACTTTTATAACGCTTTTGTCTCACTAATTGGAAAATAGACATATCTGTACAACCTGTTGACGAACGTCTATGAATGCACAGATTACTGTCTCAAGTCGGGTGAACTTCCGGTGGTCGATAACGAGCCGCCAACCATTTTTGCTGCCGTCATGATACACGGAATTTCTGTTGCGGAGTCATTTGGAAGCTCCAGTCGATATGCTAAAATCCGGGCCAGTGAAACGGCAGTGGAAGCAATCGGCGGGATCCTTCGAGAGGACTTCCGCAAAAAGTATGGCTGCGATTGCCGCGCCTCTGATGTCCAGAAAATGAAGGGCCCCGAATTCGGCACTGCGATTTGAGTTTATCTTTGTTTTCTCGTTTTTGTTTGCATATTTGACTCCTCAAACGTTGGTTTGCTTTGAATGAAGCCACCACAATGCAATCTTTTTTTGTTTTCACCAAGGTCTCAGATATTGAAAGAACCATAGGCTTTACGTAGTCAAACTCATGTGGTCAAGAAGTAGGAAGATGTATGCTATTGCATTACTTCAACATATCCACGTCGCCTATCTCAATCTCCCTTCCCAACACATTGAATGTAAGCCAATCGTAGCCCCGACAATGGATACAATACCCATCTACTGACAAACGCCAGTGTCATCCGTCGGCATTTGCTGGGTATTCAAATTAGTCTCCCTGGCAGGTCCCATATGCTCAAAGATATCACGCACCAAGCAAAAGTTACTCGTACAAACTCCCATGCTTCCATCCTTCTTGCAAGCAGCGCCAGTTGCGAGCTAAAATATCAATAAATTAGAGGAGATGTAGCACTGGAGCCTTGTATATCATACCTTGCTGGGGGCGGGTGAGGCCTCGTTGTCGGCCATGACAGCTCTGCCCATGGCGATAATGGCAAGGAGTACGAAACGCATATTGAGTCACGAGAATTGACTGATCTATTATTTATATGTGTAGACGTTTGAAGATAGAATATTTGTTAATTGATCTGGTTCGAACAAGAAGCGGGCATTTATACCTTTAATGGGTCCTCGAACGTAATGGTTCAAGTCCTCTATTGCTCAGCGACATTCTATATCAAGCTAGATATAATTCAAACGGGCCTTTTTTGTCGGTACCCAGTTCAAAAATAGGCACCAAAATAGCATGACCCCTTTTTGTTGCATAATCGACTATTATGTCATACATTAGCACTCGGTTGGCTTGACCGGAGCCTGCATCTAACCGATCCGCGACTCATTAACTCGGGCTTCCAATCGATCAGCTTTGACTGGAGGTGAAATTTTCTTAATCCCTATGTTTCAATTACTATCTTCTGCAAAATGAGCGGTCATACTAAACTAGTGAACAACCTGAAATGCGTGATTATCGGAAAGTAAACCGGGCTCTGAACCTGGACAATTGGGTACTACCATTTGACGCTAGTTTAGCCCGTTGCTTGACCCCGGTTGCCCTTAAATTGTGATACACAGAGAAACGAGAATTTAAATTCCTTTTGGTATGTCCCCACGGTTGGGTTTCTCCGAAATCAAGGTCTTGAGATTTGCAGATGGCCATTGAAAATTCCCGAGACTCCTCTCCGAGCTCGCTGGCTCCATTTAAATACTAATCCAGAAAATTAAGCAAAAGCATCGCAAACCCGACCATCTTGTTCAAACCCCTAAAATCGGCGATGGATAGTCCTAGTGCCTGGGGTTCATTTCACTGTTGCAGTGCAGTGGCGATTTCCTAAACAAACAACCTTGGAATGCCCCAGAAAACTCTTATTGCCTCTATCAATCAATTTCAGGGACTTTAATGTTGATGCCTGCACATGTGCTTTATCAGCCTGGCCATTCTTACTGACCATACTACCTTCAGATTAAACAGTCAATTCGCGACCCGCACGTGCTGTACATATGTATGGATATATATTTGTAAATACTTGCAGGTATGTATATCAAATCCCCAGATTTTGAGCACATGGTGTACATCCATATAGACATTCCATCTTTATATTTCCTCCAACCCCCAAGGTGTACGCTTCACCGTCTCCAATGCCTTAAGTTGCTTCCGATCTTCAATAACGTAATATGTAACTTTCCGCTGTTATGACAATTAGAGCAGACTAGCAAAAGGTACGACTTCAGTACTTTGCAAACAGAAGGTGGGCCTTCCTCCAAGACTTGTAAGACCTCATAGGTTCCCCGGCCAAAGCCTAGACTCAAGGTTCATTAACAACAACTTTAGTAAAACAGCATCCAAGAACAATGTTCTTTTACCTTGAAATCCCTCAGGGTTCGGACCCATAAACTCATCACCGACGGTGCAAATAATCTCTTGAGAATTTTGAGACATTTGAGATTATGTTCTTAAGTCTTTTTTTGGTATGGTAAAGATTCAGCCTGAGAGGGAAATATTGGGGAATAGAATAATGTGAAAGGTTTTTTGTATTCATCGCCCGTTGGAAAGTTATCCAATTTCTATGTTATCATGACTGGGAGAAATGTGCACAGGTGTTTGCAGATCTCTCATTTCTCAGTCAATATAACTAGTTGATAACAGCCTAGTTAAATTTCGTGGCCAATTATACTATGCCACATCTTCATCGATCCCCGCGGCACAGCTGCAAGATCACCCGTTCATGTCAGCTCTTCCTGGAAAATAGCCGCATGTGGCTAAATACTCTTTCCATAGTACGATCAATGATATTTTTCAGTTATCTGAGCTTTCCGAATATCAGGAATTATTGATCTCTTCAATCAACACATTTGTAGGAGGAAAGGAAGCAGGAACGGTCGTGGATGACTTGGTATCTGGCCTAAAGCCTCCGGCAGAAGCATTTTAACAACATCCACAAAACAAGGGCAACTGGCTATCTAGACCTAACGTTCACAATGCCGACTCAAATCCATATTGAAATCGGTTGTGGGGCCGACACAATATCCTGAACCAATCGCCCTATTATAGGAAAGCCCCATGCTTGGGGTGTAGGTGTAGAATTTGGCATGGAAATTGCTATAGGCACCCCAAGCTGCTAGTCGGAGTCTTAGAGGCTTCACTGGGCTGATTTGCTCCAAAGTTTTAATTGTTATTCAAGAGACGTAATGTTGGAGCTTTGGAACACCAGGTTCCTCTGTAGCTGCATATGTACTAGGTTTGTGATTCAGCAAAAGCAAGAAGGTGTTTGCGCACGTTCACCGACATTTTCCTGCGAGTTGAATTATGCTTTTTCGACCAAGTAGAGAAATGATCGATCACAATCTTCACCTATTATAGACGATCTGATTCTCTTCCGCATCATACCATAAAGAGCTTGATGCATGTGCATATGCTATGAAGTGGAACAACCAAACCCTCTATTACTTGGGTACACTGTGTACCTTTTGGAAAGAATGTACGATATATGGTAGAAGATATGGTAGGAGACTGGGTAGCTAGATGATATATGAGGCGGGTATACTCCGTAGTAGAAACATTAATTTTCTACTTTCATCACTACGGTTGACCAACAATCAGGCAAATTATGATATATCATAATCCAAGTCGCTCTTGATTTACATATTCCCTGCTTCCAAAGCTGTGCGTGACCCTAGATCCTGTTGGCAGGGATCGTTATGGAGATCCCGCGTGTATGGCAATCCACTCATAATGATTATTACCTCAAATGTATGTATGGAGAGGTTCGTGTGGCTTGAAAACTGCAGCTGAGCTGACTGATTTCCTGTCGGTCGTGAGGGGTCATGCAGATGGTTAAAGCATAAGCTCTCATGAAGCTTAAAAAACTAGACCCCAGCCATCATTCTCCAGAAAATCCATTTCTCTTTCAATAAGAGTTCTCTCATCATCATGGGGTCCATCAGCCATGTCCAGAAAACTCTGTTACGCATTACCGATGATATAGCTGCCAATCATCCTGACCAGCTGTATTGTGTTCAATCAATCTCGCCCGATATATCGCAGGGGTGGAAAGATATTACCTTTTCAGGTCTAAGAAATGCCACCAATCGCCTGGCCCTTTGGATTCAAGAGAATGTGGCACCTTCCAGCGAGCCAGAAACCCTGGCCTATGTTGCTACTAATGATGTTCGCTATGTGGCATTTATCCTAGCGTGTATGAGATTGCGGCACACCGTAAGTTGTTTTACCTCGACATGGAGAAGCTCTTCTAACGCATTTCTAGGCATTGCTCCTATCGCCTAGAAACTCTGAGCAAGCATCCCGTCACGTAATGAATGCGACCAGCTGTACAAAGATTGTCTATACCCCAGAACGAAGCCGCCAGATTAGCGATCTGAAGGCTGTTGATAAAGCCTTGAAATCTTACGAAGCCCCTGATCTGTGGGAGGTATTTGATGACAGCTCACCAGCCCTTCCCATCGAGGAGCCGGCTGAAGATACCGAAGATCGAGTGGCAATCTACATCCATAGTTCGGGAACGACAGGTATGAACAAGCGCTTGAATGACCCGCATTGTGTACGCTATGGGGCATATCCCAATCGTCTCTCCCTCCAGAAGCTTTCGCTTCTTCACATATCCATTCATCTATCAGTGCACTCGCTTCTCCTCCTCCGCATCCTATCTCCTACACATTTGTTTTAGCTCCATCTATGAACGGATATACTAACTCTTCTAATAGGAATGCCCAAGCCGGTTCCAATGACCAACGGCTATCTCATTGCCATATCCGGACTTGGCTTCCTTCCAGTGCCAGAGAACAGGGCGCCTAGTATGCACTTCCCTGCCATGCAAGGCTCCCTTGGCCTTGCTATGAGCCCCTTCTTTCATCTCATGGGCATCATATACATAACAGCGCCGATTTTCTTCTCTACTCCATTTGTTCTGAGTCCGGATAAGCCCATGACAGCAGAGCTATTGGCCCAAATCATCGAAGAAAAGAAGCCTTCCACGGCAATATTTGCTCCATCCATCTTGGAAGAACTTGTCGGGTCCGATTTGGGTGTCAAGTGTTTGCAAAGTTTTGACTTGATTTCATTTGGAGGTGCACCTTTGGCCTCTGAAGTGGGAAACCGCATCACAGAGTGGACACACCTGCAGACAGTACTGGGATCGAGCGAATGTGGACTCCTTGGAGGCTTGAGAACAGCGGACAAGAAAGACTGGGCGTACTTTGAATGGAATCCAAACGCAGGGCTAGAAATGCGCGACGCCGGAGATGGCTTTTTTGAGCTTGTCATCCCCCGTGCAGAGAGTCGCGATGCCCAATGCATCTTTCACACCTATCCTGAAAAGCAAGAGTATCACACCGGCGACCTCTTTGTCCCTCACCCAAAGAAAGACCATCTGTGGCTCTACAGTGGTCGTAAAGATGATATTATCGTTCTTAGCAATGGAGAGAAATTCAACCCCACTGCGATGGAGGATACTATCATTGAACATCCCCTAGTTGCTCGAGCTGTCGTGATTGGACAAGGTCGCTTTCAGTCTTCAGTTTTGGTGGAGCCCCTTTGGGACTCATGGAATGGTGACGCGAATGAATTGATCAATGAAATCTGGCCTACTGTCAAGAAGGCCAATGAGTCTGCTCCGGGGCATGCACAATTGATGAAGAATCGCGTTGGAGTTTCGATCCCTTCAAAGCCATTCCAGCTCACCCCCAAAGGGACCATCAAGCGACGGGCTGTTCTGACTGATTATGAAGAAGAAATCAACAAGCTTTACGCCGGTGGTGACCAAGCTGATGTTGCACAGCTTTCCAAGGAGGCTACACGGCCAGATATTGCTGTATATATTACAGCAGCTCTGTCGGAGATCTTGGATGTTCCCACTGTTGATGAAAACGCAGACATCTTTGCATTGGGCCTCGATTCCCTTCAGACTCTCCGTCTAGGGCAGATCCTTCAAGCTTCGCTTCAGTCAGCACGGCCTGACCTAGGCGCCGCCTTTGGCAGCCCACAGCTTTACTCCCGACCGACAATTGTTCAACTCACTGAATACGTCTCTGGTCTGCTTCAAGGTCAAGACTCGGGGTCTGCAGAAGTTGTTGAAGAAAGTGAGAGCGATCGAGAGTCAAGAATTGCGGACCTGGTTGGAAAATATACTGATGACCTCGGAGAAAGTCATGCAGTCATTCTCACGGGGTCTACTGGGTCTCTTGGGGCCTATCTCCTGTCCGAGCTTCTTCGAGATCTCAGTGTTACCAAGATCTATTGCCTGAACCGATCTGCAGATGCAGCCGCAAGGCAATTATCGAGCCTTCAAGAAAAGGGCCTCGTCTCCTTCAAACAATTCCCACGTCGGGTGGAGTTCCTCCAGGCTCAATTCGGGGCTGAAAGGCTCGGATTGGAAGATTCTAAATATGAAGAGCTTTTGCAGAGCGTTGACACAATCATTCACAATGCGTGGAAGGTCAACTTCAATCACCGAGTCGAAGCCTTTGAGCAAACCCACATCGAGGGAGTACGTCGGTTAGTCGAGTTTAGCATTGCCAGCGAGCGGACCGCCCATATCCATTTCATTTCTTCCATTTCTACTATCGAAGGGTACAGTCCTGAGCGAGGCCCTTCTATTCCGGAGGTCATTTACAATGATCCCAGCTCAGTTCTTCGCCAGGGATATGGAGAGTCAAAACATGTGTCCGAGAGAATCTGTGCCGCTGCCTCTGCCAGAGTTGGCGTCCCTACGAGTATTCACCGAGTTGGACAGATCGGTGGCCCAACAACCGAGAAGGGAATGTGGAATAAGCAAGAATGGCTACCGTCGTTAGTCGCAACATCCAAAACCTTGAAACAGATTCCCAAGTCCTTGGGCTCCATTACCGTGCAGTGGGTCCCAGTAGTATGTATCGGGTCTATCTTTTCTATGCCGATCACTATTAATCTAATGACACTTGACTTCTAGGATGTCACTGCCAAGGTTATTGCCGAGACAGTTCGAACCCGGCGAATTACACAAGAGGATGAGCCGTGTGCTGCTTTCCACATCGTCAATCCCAAGGTCACACAATGGCCATCTTTGATCCCGGCCGTGACGAAATTCTTCGATGTTGAGCCCGTGGATTTCAGAACCTGGATTCAATCCTTGGAAAGCTTCACCAGTCCAACCCAAGATGATCTCAAAGACAAGCCTGCTCTCAAAATCTTGGACTTCTTCCAGGGCGTTGCAGCGATCGAGGAGGCTGGCCCATGGACTGAAACAACGAAGACACAGGCTGCCAGTAGGACTTTGCGAGAGCTGAAGGCGATCGATGCTCCGTTGATGGAGAACTGGATGAATCAGTGGAAGTTTTGACATAACACTAGAAAATGGCTATGCTTCAGTGTTCTCGCTGAAACCATCAGTACTTGGGATATTATATCTCAAGTAGTCTCGGAATTTTTCAATACATTTGAATCATCCATTCATTTCGTTCAATAAATGGATGAATCGACTGACTGCGTTTGGTAATATGGGTTCACTTGCCTAAGTATGCTAGAATAAGCATTCGCTTCAGGAAGGTAGAACAGAGAGAACTCTTTTTATTCTACACCTCTATTCCTTCAAATCACCGCAGACTTTATGAACATACGTTCGAAACCCTGACCCTCTCCTTCCAATTCTCTTTACTGTTCTTTCCCTTTCTGTTCTTCTAACACAAATTTGAAAAGCCCTTTGACTATTCAACTGATTCGGTAGTAAAGAAGGCAGAATGCTAGACTGGAGGAGACAGGATTGGAGACCAATTCCAGGTGTCGGTCAGGCTATGTGGACATCACTGAAGTGAAGCTTGAAGAATCTGTCCTAGGCGGAGGGTCTGAAGAGATTTGAGGCCCAATGCAAACAGATGTATGTTTTCCTCAACAGTGGAAACATCCAAGATCGCCGACAGAGCTACTGTGGTACACGCAGCAATCCATCTCTGGTTGAGTAGCCTCCTTGGAAAGCTGTAGGAGATATATTAGGAGAATAGTAGAACGAACCGCTAGGAAAGGGCGGTGGAAAGCCTATCGTGGGATATTTAGATAAAACATGCACTAGTAGTGTTATTTCAAGGCTCATAGAACCTGGCAGAAGTGCCCCAAAGTAGCCCCTCTGTCGCAATACACACATGTGACTTAATAAATATGCATGTGGGCATTGTCAAGACTCATCAAGGTCCACGAAGCTTCAACGTTGGGCATCACCTCCAGGGCTGAATATATATAAGCCGTGGATCCTCGGCCTCACACCGATGTTATCAAAAATATGTCTACTGCCTAGGTAAGCAGTATGAATACAGCTATAAAGTAAGGGAAACATAGAAACATTGAAGCAATCTATAAATTTGAATCCATGGAATAATGTTGAGCAAGTCTGGAACGGGTCAGGGACGTCACATGGTTGGGCGCGACAAGTCTAACCACATTAGGATTAGACCCGCATCCCCTGAAGTGTAACGAACAAACACCGCGTATCTGTTATCTCCATGCAGACCAGACGACCCTTTTTTTTTGTTGGACTCTTCTCTTCTCCGTATTAATTAATCTAGATCTTTTTTTGTCTTTCTAAAACCCCTGATACGGGTCGTCGTTTACCCATCTCTGCCCATCCCGCTTGACGCGATCCCTGTCAACATTTAATTCAGCTTCGCCGATCGCGCTTCCACATCCTCAATCTTCGATGAACCCCCCGAGTCGGTTGCTTTAAAGTTGAAACAAACAATGGAGGTTGCTGCCCCAGGGGCACCAAATGGTGTCTCCATGCCAGACACGGCAGCACTGGTAGACTCTGGTGCTGTGGTCCAGTACCTGACAGATGTGCTACAGGTGACACTGGGTGCTCTAAAGTCCGAGCTGGAAAGCGCTGGGAGCTTGCTCTCCTCGGCTAAGTACAATGACACAGTACAGAGATGCACGCGTTTTGCCTCAGAGTCACAGGTTGCAGTCTATGTGCAGAAGGATATCGTGGCCGCAGAAGAGACAAACGGTGAGACCGAAGGCTCTGGTCAGTCTACCACTTTCCTCAACATCGCTTCTCCGATACTAACAACATACTCCCAGAGACTTTGATCCAGTATGTCTACACCCTGTCTTCCGAGATTTCCTCTGCCTCCACCACCGTCTCGTCCGTTGCTTTCATCAAACGCCCTGCCCCTATCGACCCTGGTCTTCCGATCGCCGCTCAAATTCAAGTGATGAACCTTCCTGGTATTGCGTCCCTCAGCAATGCACAATCGCAACAAGGAACGTCTTTGTCGCCTTTCCAGATTATCCATCTGATGCTCCACCATGGTCTCAGTCCCTACTTCGATGCCAACACTCGCAACCAGGAAACAATCTCCGGCACAAAGCCGAGGACAGACACGGAGGCCAAAACCGGTATTCCGGGTACGAAGAAGAAGTTTGCCGAATTGGAGCTGGCTTTTATGCACCTTCAACAAAATGTGGAGATCCCGGCTTTGAACTTACCGCTCCACGAGGTAGTCCAGGCTGCGCTGAAGGAAGCCGAGACCAAGGGGATTCGGCCCTCCGTCGAGCTAATTCCGTCTACGGTGTTGGATAACAGTGCTTTCACAAATAGCATCCAAAATACCGTGAATGGATGGATCAGGTCGATTCAGACAATTACCAAGATGTCGCGGGACCCGGAGGGTGACTCGGCTTCACCAGAGGTTAACTTTTGGTTGTCTATGGAGTCAGCGCTAGAGGGAATAGAGGGTCAACTGCAAAGCGATGGTGTGAAGTTGACTATGGACATCCTCCGCCATGCCAAGCGATACCAACCCACCCTCAGTTTCCAGGCCGATACAGGGCTGAAAGATGCCACGGAATTGGTCCAGAAGTATAACCAACTGATGCGTGACTTCCCGCTGGATGAACTGCTGTCGGCAACATCTCTGCAAAAAGCCCAGGAGTCACTTGGTCTAATTTTCAATCACTTGAACAAGAAGCTGAAGATCTGCCCGTACCCGATCAAGCGTGCCCTTTCCCTCGTTGAGGCGATTTCGGGCGACCTGGACAAGAAGATACACGAGCTCATCAACGGCCGTGAGATTTTGCACCTCGATTATCGCGAGTTCCGGTCTTTGATGAAGGTCACCCAAGCAATCTGGCGTACTTGGGATGAAAACTTGAAGGAATTCACCAACGTGGCGCGAGAGTCAACTAGGCGTCGTAATGAAAAATTCATTCCGATCAAGATCAATGCCAGAATCGATAACGTTCGCGAACGATTGAAGTACATTGACACTTTCCGTGTCAACCATGAGCAGCTCCAGAAGACCATTATTAATGTTCTCGGGCCCAAGACTTCTTCACCTACTGAGACTGGCGTAGTAGATGCCGATGGAGCCGTCATCGTGGAGGAGATCGGTGATGTCGATGCCGTCGAAGAGGTCACACATGCCTACATTGCTCTCCAGAATATCGATGTGTTAGACGTCTCCCCTGAGGGAGCCCGGGCATGGGAGAATGCTGAGATTGGCTACAGCGAGCGCACATCTCGCGTCGAAAATTCCATTATTGCTCGCCTTCGTGATCGTCTTGCCACCGCTAAGAATGCCAATGAGATGTTCCGTGTCTTCTCCAAATTCAATGCTCTGTTGGTTCGGCCCAAAATTCGTGGTGCCATCGGCGAGTATCAGACACAACTAATTGACAATGTCAAGCGTGACATTTCTTCCCTTCATGAACGATTCAAGCAGCAGTATGGCCACTCCGAGGCCCATGCCATGGCACAGTTGCGTGATCTGCCACCTGTCTCAGGAGCCATCATCTGGGCTCGACAAATCGAGCGCCAGCTGGACGGCTATATGCGCAAGGTGGAAAATGTGCTTGGAGAAGACTGGCACTTACACGCCGAGGGTGAAAAATTGCAATCCGAAAGCAACCTCTTCCGCAAGAAGCTGGACACACGTCCTGTGTTCGAGTCATGGCTCTACGATGTGCAAAGACGGCATATCACAATTTCCGGCCGACTTTTCAATATTGTCCGCAACCGCGCTGCTGGAAATTCCCTAGAGCTCACAGTCAACTTTGATGCTCAGATCATTGCGCTCTTCAAGGAAGTCCGTAACCTCATTTGGCTAAACTTCCAAGTTCCTCATGCCGTGAGCAACATTTCCAAAGAAGCAAAGCGTGTCTATCCATACGCGATCAGTTTGATGGAAAGTGTACGAACGCTCCTGCAGACAAACCGTACCATTGCATCCATGTCTGATGTTGCTATTTTGCTCAATGGCTACGTGAATGATTCTCAAGCTATGGTCAGCAAGGGTATTCCGCTCCGATGGGAGTCATTTGTTCATTCCTATGAGCTACATGTCAAGCAATCAGCTCTGGCTAATGGGGCCATTGACCCATCCAAACCCAGGGGCACGGAAAGCAAGCATGTTCAGTTCGTGCGCGAGTTCGCTGGCTCAGCATCTGTTCTTCAGACCAAGACGGCCGTTCTCTCTTCAATCAATGAAAGCATTCAAAAATCGATTCATGAACTGAAGACATGCGCTTACAATGCTTCAGCATTCAAGCAGCGTCTGGACATTATCCAAACGGCAGTGGATAAGTTGAACCTTGAGAATTATGTCAATCTTGGCTACTGGGTTTCGGAGCTCAATGGTAAAATTGAAACTATTCTGCGAGAGCGACTTCTTCGCGCCGTCCGTGAATGGATCACTACATTCCAAGAGTCTCGCAATGGCAACACCACATCTCTTCAGACTAATGGTGAGGCAGAGTCCATTGCCCACCGCATCCAATTCTCTGAATTATTCCACGAGATCTCCATGAAGAACCAGGTTCTCCATCTTGATCCACCTCTGCAGTTCGCCCGTGCCAGCTGGTTCTCGCATTTTGACTCGTGGCTCGGTGTAATCTGCAATCTTGAGAAGATCAAAGCCACTCGTTACCAAATTTCAATCGACGTGCGTAGTGTACGTCAGTCAGAAGCTTGCTTTTCAGAACTCCCGCAACATTGCACGAGTGAGCTCAACCAGGTATACGGTGCTGTGGAGTCTCGTCTCAAAGATGTATCGGAATATGTCGATAAGTGGTTGCAGTTCCAATCACTATGGGATCTACAGTCCGAGCAGGTGTATGACATCCTAGGAGACGATCTCTCGCAGTGGCTTCAGCTGCTCCAAGAGATCAGAAAGAGCCGCGCCACCTTCGATACCTCTGAAGTTAGTCGGTCATTCGGCAACATCAGAATTGACTACGAGCAAGTTCAGACGAAGGTCAACGCCAAATATGACCAGTGGCAACACGAAATCTTGCAGAAGTTTGGTGCTAAGCTCGGCGGTCGCATGCGCGAGGTTCACTCTGAAATTGCCGCAGCACGGCGCGACCTGGAAGGACAGACCTTGGAGGCTTCCTCCACAGCCCATGCTGTCTCTTTCATCACTATTGTCCAGCAATGCAAGCGGAAGACCCGTGTTTGGGAGCCGGAGGTTGATATGTTCCGTCAGGGTCAAACCACGCTCTCTCGCCAGCGATACCAATTCCCGAATGACTGGCTTCATGTAGAGAACGTTGATGGTGAATGGGCTGCTCTCAACGAACTACTTACTCGGAAGAGCAAGATTGTTCATGACCAGACTGAGGGTCTTCGTGCAAAAATTACCGCCGAAGACCGCGTCATCAGCGATAAGATTGCTGAAGTTATTTCTCAATGGAACGATGAGAAGCCTGTCTCGGGTACAATCCCCCCTGAAGAGGCATCCCGCACTCTGAGCTCTTTCCAGTCGCGTCTTGAGTCCCTCCAGTCCGAATTTGAGATGGTCTCTAAAGCGAAGGAAGCCCTCGATCTTCCTGTGAGCACTGAGTCCTCGCTGCCTGCAATTCTTGAGGAGGTCCAGGACTTCATGTCCGTGTGGGCAGCCTTGTCTACAATTTGGAAGAGTTTGAATGATCTCCGCGACGGACTGTGGACCAGCGTTCAGCCCCGAAAGCTCCGCCAAGCCCTCGATGGCTTGATCAAGATGACCAAGGAGATGCCCAGCCGAATGAGGCAGTACGCTGCGTTTGAACACATTCAAACCGTTCTCCGACAGTTCCTCAAAGTCAACTCGCTGCTTTCGGACATGAAGTCCGAGGCAGTCAAGGAAAGACATTGGCAGAAGATCTACAAGTCATTGAAGCCCGGCAAGCGATTCTCCCTTGTATCTCTGACCCTTGGCGATGTTTGGGATCTGCAGCTTGCGACAAGCGAGACAATTATTCGCAATGTGATCGCACAGGCTCAAGGTGAGATGGCCCTAGAGGAGTTCTTGAAGTCCGTTCGCGAAACCTGGCAAAACTACTCCTTGGATCTCGTCAACTACCAGAACAAGTGTCGCCTTATTCGTGGCTTTGATGATCTATTTGCCAAGTGCAGTGAGAACTTGAACTCTCTGCAAGCCATGAGACATTCACCATATTACAAGGAATTTGAGGAAGAAGCCACCTCTTGGGAAGACAAACTCAACCGCGTCCATGTTCTCTTCGATGTCTGGATTGATGTCCAGAGACAGTGGGTGTACCTGGAAGGTGTCTTCACCGGAAATGCGGATATCAAGCATCTTCTGCCCCTTGAATCCAGCCGTTTCCAAAACATCAACTCCGAGTTCTTCGCCGTGATGAAGAAAGTCTACAAGTCACCATTCATTTTGGACGTTCTTGCCATTAATGGTGTCCAGAAATCATTGGAAAGATTGGCTGAATTGCTGAACAAGATCCAGAAGGCTCTTGGTGAATACCTGGAACGTGAGCGTGTGTCTTTCCCTCGCTTCTACTTTGTTGGTGACGAGGACTTGTTGGAGATCATCGGTAACGCCAACGACACCTTCCGCGTTGCCAAGCACTTCAAGAAGATGTTCGCTGGTTTGTCTGGTATTCTAATGGATGACGACAACAACATTGTCGGTATCACCTCCAAAGAAGGCGAAGAAGTTCGCTTGAAGCGGGAGGTCAACCTTGTCAAGACACCCCGAATCAATGACTGGCTCACTGCGCTGGAAACTAACATGAAGCTGACGTTGGCTGAGCTTCTTGGCGAAGCCATTGAGCAATTCGATACTCTCTACAATGCTCCCGAGGTGGACCGAACAGCTTTCAATGACTTCCTCGCCAATTATCCGGCCCAGATTGTTGTTCTTGCCAGCCAGGTCGTGTGGACGAATGCTGTGCAGAAGTCTTTGGATGATGGGGGTGCCAGTCTCCCTGCCCTGTACGAATCCCAAGTTAGAATCCTAGAGTTACTAGCTGCTACTGTGCTTGGTGAGCTAGATGCAATCACTCGCAAGAAGTGCGAGCACATGATCACTGAATTCGTTCATCAACGTGACACTATTTTCAAGCTCACCCAGTCCAACGCAACTACACCTACACACCACCTGTGGTTACTTCAGATGCGATTTGTGTACCAGCCAGAAGGCGACTTCTTGCAACGGTTGTATGTTCATATGGCAAATGCCAAACTCAGCTATGGTTTCGAGTACTTGGGTGTCCCTGAACGCCTCGTCCGAACTCCTCTTACAGATCGTTGTTTCCTCACCCTCACTCAGGCCCTTTGCCAGAGACTGGGTGGTTCTCCCTATGGTCCAGCTGGTACTGGAAAGACAGAATCCGTCAAGGCATTGGGTCTACAGCTTGGTCGATTCACTCTGGTCTTCTGTTGTGACGACACCTTTGATTTCCAGGCTATGGGCCGTATCTTCCTTGGTATCTGTCAGGTGGGTGCCTGGGGCTGTTTTGATGAGTTCAATCGTTTGGAAGAAAGGATTTTGTCTGCTGTTTCTCAGCAGATTCAGAACATCCAGATCGGCTTGCGAAAAGGAGAAGAAGATGCCAAATCTCAGATCGAATTGGTTGGAAGACGGTTAGCTGTGAATTCCAACACGGGTATCTTCATCACCATGAACCCTGGTTATGCGGGCCGCTCAAACCTGCCAGACAACTTGAAGAAGCTGTTCCGTAGTGTTGCTATGTCCAAGCCAGACAAGGAACTTATTACCGAGGTGATGCTGTTCTCTCAAGGTTTCAAGCAAGCCAAGCCATTGTCAAAGCAAACTGTGCCGTTCTTCGATCATTGTGCTTCTCAGTTGACCAAGCAAGCCCATTATGACTTCGGTCTCCGTGCTCTGAAGAGCGTTCTTGTCAGCTCTGGCGGGCTCAAACGGGCTCGTCTTGCTAATACCGATGGCGATCTTGGTCCGGATGAACTCATTGAACCCCAGATCATTGTTCAGAGCTTGCGTGAGACTATTGCTCCCAAGCTTGTGCAAGAAGATGTCGACCGAATGTTGGAAATCCAAGTGCAAGACTTCCCTGGTGTGGATTACGTGCCCGCAAACTTTGAGAAGCTTACGCAGGCAATCCGAGACATTGCTAGTGAACAGCACTTCGTCGACAGTGATATGTGGATTGCCAAGGCTCTCCAACTGTATCAAATTCAATGTATTCACCATGGTGTTATGATGGTCGGAAAATCAGGATCCGGAAAGTCGGCCGCCTGGAAGATTCTCCTGCAAGCTATGCAACGTATCGAGGGTGTCGAAGGTGTCTCCCACATCATTGACTCCAAGGTCATGTCAAAGGAGGCCCTCTATGGTAACCTTGACAGCACCACCCGCGAGTGGACCGATGGTCTGTTCACTGGAATACTGAGAAAGATTGTTGATAATCTTCGAGGAGAAGACAGCAAGCGTCACTGGATTGTCTTTGATGGTGACGTTGATCCTGAATGGGTTGAGAATTTGAACAGTGTTCTGGATGACAACAAGCTTCTCACTCTGCCTAACGGTGAACGTCTCAATCTGCCTCCGAATGTTCGCATCATGTTCGAAGTTGAGAGCCTCAAATACGCCACCCTAGCAACTGTTAGTCGTTGTGGTATGGTGTGGTTCAACGCTGATACTGTCACTCCTTCCATGATGATCTCCAACTACGTTGAGAGCCTTAAGACCAAGACTTTCGAAGACCTGGATGATGACAGTGCTCCAGCTGGAACTGCTGCTGCTAGAACACAAGACACGCAAGAAACCCTTTCTACCATTCTAAAGCAGCATCTGGAGATGGATGACCTCGTCCACAAGTCTCTTGAAGAAGCGAAGAAATACAATCATATCATGGACTTCACTGATATCCGGGCATTGAACACCCTCTTCAGCTTGTTGAACAAGGCCTGTCGCAACATTTTGGAGTATAATGTCCAACATGTTGACTTTCCCCTGGATCCCGAGCAGATTGAGTCGTACATTTCCAAGAAGCTTCTGCTCACTCTTGTTTGGTCTTTCCTTGGTGACTGCCCTCTTGCCGACCGCAAAGCCTTTGGGCAGTTTGTTACCGGAATGTCGACAATCGATTTGCCACCTGACGGCGACTCCTCTCTTATCGACTTCGATGTCACTCTGCCCAGGGCGGAGTGGACCAGCTGGCAATCCCAAGTGCCGTCGATTGATATCAACACTCATTCAGTAACCCAAACCGACGTGATCATCCCAACTGTGGATACTATCCGACACGAGGATGTTCTTTACTCGTGGCTCGCCGAACACAAGCCCTTGTTGCTTTGTGGTCCTCCTGGATCCGGTAAAACGATGACTCTGTTTGCTGCTTTGAGAAAATTGCCCAACATGGAGGTTGTTGGTCTCAACTTCTCCAGTGCAACCACACCGGATCTGTTGATCAAGACTTTTGAGCAGTACTGCGAGTACAAAAAGACCCTCAATGGCGTTGTGATGTCGCCTAACCAAATTGGTCGTTGGCTCGTCATCTTCTGCGACGAGATCAATTTGCCTGCACCGGATCGTTATGGCACACAGCGCGCCATCTCATTCCTGCGCCAGCTTGTCGAGCAGAATGGATTCTGGCGGACTTCCGACAAGACTTGGGTCACCCTTGATCGCATTCAATTCGTGGGTGCCTGTAACCCCCCGACAGATGCCGGCCGTACTCCCATGGGTGATCGTTTCCTTCGCCATGCTCCTCTTATTATGGTTGATTACCCCGGAGAGATTTCTCTCAATCAGATCTACGGTACCTTCAACTCGGCGGTACTTAAGATCCTTCCATTGCTTCGTGGATACTCCGAGGCTCTCACCAAGGCAATGGTCCAGTTCTATCTTGAATCACAGACAAGATTTACTGCAAAGATTCAACCTCATTACGTTTACTCTCCTCGTGAGCTGACTCGGTGGGTTCGTGGTGTCTATGAGGCTATCAAACCGCTCGAAACCTTGTCGGTTGAAGGTCTTGTCCGGATCTGGGCCCACGAGGCTCTGCGCCTCTTCCAGGATCGTCTTGTTTCTGAAGATGAGAGAGCTTGGACAGCGGATGCTGTCCGTCGCATTGCCTTGGAACACTTCCCTACAATCGATGACCAAGAAGCTCTCAAGGGACCCATTCTGTTCTCGAACTGGCTCTCCAAGAACTATGTTCCCGTCGAACAGGAACGCCTTCGTGATTTCGTGAAAGCCCGCCTCAAGACCTTCTGTGAAGAAGAGGTTGACGTTCCTTTGGTCCTGTTCAATGACGTTCTTGAACATGCCTTGCGCATCGATCGAGTCTTCCGTCAGCCTCAAGGTCATCTCATCTTGATCGGTGTTAGCGGAAGTGGAAAGACAACTTTGTCTCGGTTCGTTGCTTGGATGAATGGTCTGAAGGTGTTCCAAATCAAGGTCCATGGTAAATACTCGTCAGAGGACTTTGATGATGATCTGCGAATTGTTCTCCGCCGTGCTGGTTGCAAGGGAGAGAAGATTTGCTTCATCATGGACGAAGCTAACGTTCTGGACTCCGGCTTCCTGGAGCGTATGAACACCCTGCTTGCCAATGCCGAGGTCCCGGGTCTTTTCGAGGGCGATGAGTTCTCTTCTTTGATGACGGCTTGTAAAGAAGGTGCTCAGCGCCAAGGTCTACTCCTTGATTCGCAGGAAGAACTCTACAAGTGGTTCACTCAGCAAATTGTCAAGAATCTGCACGTCGTGTTCACCATGAACCCGCCCGAGGACGGGCTTTCTTCCAAGGCTGCCACCAGTCCTGCCCTGTTCAACCGTTGTGTATTAAACTGGATGGGTGACTGGTCCGACCAAGCTCTCTTCCAAGTCGGTTCCGAATTGACTCAATCCGTTGACCTGGATAAACCCAGCTTTGTCGCGCCTGACAGTATTCCTGTCGCTTACCGCGATTTGGCACTCCCCGCATCGCACAGGGACACCGTTGTGAACGCCATGGTCTACATTCATCACTCGCTTCTCCGGTTTAACCAGCGCCTGCAGAAACAGCAAGGCCGATCGACTTTCCTCACTCCACGCCATTATCTTGACTTTGTCGCACAATATGTCAACTTGTTCAATGAAAAGCGTGAAGACCTTGAGGAGCAACAACGTCACTTGAATGTTGGTCTCGAGAAACTTCGCGACACCGTAGACAAAGTGAGCGATTTGCGCGCTAGTCTTGCACAAAAGAAGACCCAGCTCGAGAAGAAAGACACCGAAGCGAACGAGAAGCTGCAGCGTATGGTCGCTGATCAACAGGAAGCAGAACAGAGGAAGACAGTGTCACTGGAGGTACAAGCGGCGCTAGAGAAGCAAGAAAAGGTGGTCGCGGAACGGAGGGAGGTCGTGCTGCACGACCTGGCACAAGCAGAGCCTGCCGTTGCGGAGGCTCAACGGAGTGTCAGCAACATTAAGCGTCAGCACCTAACTGAGGTTCGATCCATGGGTAACCCCCCTGCAAGTGTTAGACTTGCACTAGAGGCTGTTTGCACACTCCTTGGGCACAAGGTTGACAGCTGGAAGACCATACAAGGTCTTGTGCGACGTGACGATTTCATTGCCAGCATTGTTAACTATGATAACGAGCGCCAGATGACGCGCAAGCACCGCACCAATATGCAGAACGAGTTCCTTTCTAAGGAAGACTTCACGTACGAGCGTGTGAACCGTGCCAGTAAGGCCTGTGGCCCCTTGGTCCAATGGGTTGAGGCTCAGGTCAATTATTCGGCGATCTTGGATCGTGTTGGTCCTTTGCGTGAGGAGGTCGATCAGCTTGAAGAGCAAGCCTTGCAAACCAAGGCAGAGGCCCAGACTATCGAAAACACGATCCAAAGTTTGGAAAGCAGCATTGCCACCTACAAGGCTGAGTATGCTGCCCTTATCAGTGAAACTCAGGCCATTAAGACAGAAATGGCCCGAGTCCAGTTCAAGGTCGACCGAAGTGTTCGCTTGCTCGACAGCTTGGCCTCCGAGCGCGAGCGTTGGGAGGATGGCAGCAAATCTTTCGAGACTCAGATCAGCACTCTTGTTGGTGATGTCCTCATTGCAGCCGCGTTCCTTGCCTATGCTGGTCTCTATGATCAACAGTTCCGTAAGGCGATGATTGATGATTGGGTTAACCAGCTGGCTCAGTCCGGCATTCACTTCAAGCCCCACAACCCTATTACGGAGTACCTGTCCAATGCCGATGAACGTCTGGCTTGGCAAGAGCACTCTCTACCGGTGGACGACCTTTGCACAGAAAACGCCATCATCTTGAAGCGTTTCAACAGATATCCTCTAATCGTTGATCCCTCTGGCCGAACCACGGAATTCCTGCAGAAAGAAAGCAAGGATCGCAAGCTTACCGTTACAAGCTTCTTGGACGACTCATTTGTCAAGCAGTTAGAGAGTGCCCTGCGTTTCGGAAACCCAATTCTCATCCAGGACGCAGAGCATCTGGATCCGATTCTCAACCACGTCCTCAACAAGGAGTACCAGAAGACCGGTGGCCGTGTGCTTATTCAACTCGGCAAGCAAGAAATCGACTTTTCCCCATCATTCAAGCTGTTCCTGTCGACTAGAGATCCATCCGCCTCGTTCCCGCCGGATGTATGCAGTCGCACCACCTTTGTCAACTTTACGGTTACCCAGAGCAGCTTACAGACCCAATCACTCAATGACGTTCTGAAGTTTGAGCGACCTGATGTGGATGAACGCCGCAACAACTTGGTCAAGATGCAAGGAGAATTCAAGGTCCACCTTCGACAGCTAGAGAAGCGCCTCTTGCAGGCTCTGAACGAGTCACGCGGCAACATCCTTGATGACGACAACGTTATTGAAACTCTCGAAACTCTCAAGAAGGAGGCCGCTGAAATTTCGAAGAAAATGTCTGAGACCGAGGGTGTCATGTCCGAAGTCGAGACTATCACTCAACAGTACAGCATCATTGCCCGGGCATGCAGTGCCGTCTTTGCAGTTTTGGAGCAGCTTCATCACATCAATCATTTCTACCAATTCTCTCTCCAGTATTTCGTGGACATCTTCAATTCTGTTCTTTACCAGAACAAGCGACTTGCGCAGGAGAAAGACCACTCCTCCCGCGTTCAAATGATCATCCGAGACCTGTTCATCACCACTTACCAACGAACGTCACTGGGTCTTGTTCAGAAGGACCGCATTACGCTGGCAATTCTCCTTGCCCAGGCTACTCCTTTCCCTATGGACAGAGCCATTCTTGATCGCATTCTGGATGAATCCGTTGAAGACGCTGATCTTTCGACCACCGAAGATATTCGCGAACAAGTTATGAGCAAGCTTCTGAACATGTCACTGTTCAAGGAATACATTCCCAATATTCCTCAAGATCAGTGGGAACGATTCTTGGGTGAGGAACTTGCCGAAAATGTTGTCCCGATCGTTTGGGAAGAAAGTACCCCCAAGCTCGATCAGCTGCTTCGATCCTTGCTCCTTGTCAAACTTTGCCGTATGGATCGATTCGTTCCAATGGCGGAACGTTTCATCGAGGCTGTGTTTGGCCGCGAGTTGTTCGAGGGAAGCAGTGATCTTAAGGATGTAGTTGAGCAAGTTACCGCCACTACGCCCATTGCTCTCAGTTCCAGCCCTGGCTTCGATGCCAGCTACAAGGTCGATGCCCTGGTCGAACGAACTCACGCCACCTGCGCCAACATTGCCATGGGTTCCAATGAGGGTCTCGAAAGTGCCGATAAGGCCATCAGCAACGCGGCTGCCACCGGTAATTGGGTCCTTGTCAAGAACGTCCATTTGGCGCCTGCCTGGCTGCAGAGCCTGGAGAAGAGGCTGGATTCGCTCAAGCCTCACAAGGATTTCCGAATCTTCCTTTCCATGGAATCCAGTCCCAAGATCCCAGTCAATCTCATTCGGGCTTCTCGCGTGCTCATGTTCGAGCAGCCTGCCGGTGTCCGTGCCAATATGAAGGACTCTCTGTCTTCATTGACTACTCGTGCCAGCAAGGCGCCTGTTGAAAAGGCTCGTGTCTACCTATTGCTTTGCTTCTTCCACGCCGTCGTTCAAGAAAGACTTCGCTACGCCCCAAGTCTTGGATGGAAGGGCTTCTGGGAATTTAATGACAGTGACGTAAGATTCATTTCTCCCTACTAGATATAACATTACTAACAAATCACCTCACAGTACGAGTGCTCTGCCTTGATCATCGATCACTGGGTCGACACTGTCGCCCAAGGCCGTTCCAATGTTGCTCCTCAGAAGCTTCCCTGGGAAATGATTCGTACCCTCATTGCCGAGATGTACGGTGGTAAAATCGACGACGCTGGCGACTACCAGCAACTGGTGAGCCTGGTAGACAATTTCCTCACCCCAGCCGCCTTCGAGGATGACTACAAACTTGTCTCGGGAGTCGAGAATGACGAACTTCTGACCCTCCCCACTGGCACCAGCATCCGCGATTTCATTGCTTGGGTGAACAAACTCCCTGAACGCGAGCCACCTACCTACTTGGGTCTTCCAGCGAACGCCGAGAAATTGCTGCTGGTTGGTCATGGTCGCAAGATGATCTCCGATCTATCGCGGGTTACCGATCTCTTGGACGAAGGCGAGCAGTTGATGGTTGATAACTAGTCTTTTTCGTTCGTTTTCTATTCTTTTCGTTTTTGCTTTGTTTTATTGGGTTAAATTTGAGGTGGTTCCCTTCATAAATTTCCGTTTCAGGGACTGATTCGATACCCCAAGACCGCTGGCGGATTACTTCTCCCCATTCATTTGTATTTGTTCAAACTTTGCATGTACTTTACCACAATTTCTCTTGTACAAATTTTTGACCAGTTTAAATTAAGTTAAGTATTCCATGACAATAAGTGTGATACTATCTTTTTCCTAAGAAGCGGGGTTCTATTTAGATAGTAATATGATCAATATCAATAGCATTAAGTATCCAGTATACAGTCTGTGGATGTCTGGTTCGCATGGGGGCCCTCAATATCGACTGCCTCCAGCACATAATGGAAAATATCTCAACTAACGCCAAAGAGTCCCACTCGGGGACCGAATGTCCTATGTACGTGGGATGGAGAGGCCGGCTCAACGGGTTTACGAGATGAAAGTAGACTCTGAGAACATGAAGCCCTCCTCGGTGATTTCAGTTCCACCCACGTTGAGCTTCAAGGAAAGCTTCTCCGTAGGACAGAACTGCAGGTTGCGAATTAGCACAGCTGAATTAAACCAGTGGTCAAGAGTGGGTACTTACTTGGTAGATGTACGGCCTGGTACCAGCCACACTGCCGGCAATTGTCTTGATGAAGCCGGGCACCTCGCCCATGACATCAATGCGGTCAAGGCGCTTGCCGAGAGATCCATCGACTTCAGCTGACAATTCCTGGCCATCGGCGGTCTTGCCAGTCCACTCCCACTTGATGGAGGTCGGCTCGGGCCAGTCACTGGTGGGATCCGTTGTCGAGGCAGTGTGGGTTACTGTGTTAGTGACACCGGCGTAGACGATCTCATCATCCTTGAGGACGGCACCGACGTTGACCTTGGTAGAGCCGTAGGAGGGGGGAGTAGTGTACTCCATCATGATGGCGGAGTAGGTGGGGGTCTGGAAGTTAATGAAGTTCCAGCGGGCAGCTAGTATATTTATAAGCATGAGTACTATCGCTTTGAGGGGGGAATGTCTCTATGCTTACCAGCGTGGTGGGGCTTCATGCCCTGCATTGCGGGGATAAACACACCACGACCAGCTAGGTCGTAAGTCTTATCCTTGGTAGTGATGCTTCCCTCGACGGCACAACGTGCCCAGAAGGAGTGGGTCATAGAACCCCAGGGGTTCTTAGGATCGGTTCCAAAGTAGGAAGTACCATCCTTTCCAATGGTGAAGCCCGGTGCCTTCCGGGTGATCTTAAGATCGACAATGCTGTCAGGGTTGACAGTGGACTTGATGGTGTAGCAGTCACCCTCCTCGTTAAGGGTGATGGTCAGGTTATCGGCGCCGAAGCAAACCATCTTCTCGTCGAACATGAAGTTCGACAGACTATCCGAGTGCCAGATGTGGTTGCCGGCTCCAGTGAGGTCAAAGATCTTGGTGTTGAAGTGCGCAGTAGTATGGATGCCTCTATAGTTCCGCATGACGCCGCGTTAGCAACAGTCTTTATTGCTTGCAGCCATTCCCAGCGCATGGGGGTAGATGTTGCTTATCAGGTCCGGAATGGAGGGGCAGATAATCTATACTCACGCAATGTTGCTGTAGATGACCTGAACGAAGACCAAGGTGCCGTTGTCGGCCATGACGTAAAAGGTGTGTGTCTCCACATTGGTGTACTGGTATGCCTTCCATCGCAAGTGGTCTCGAGTGAGAACAGTGTAGGGGGTCTCCGCGGTCTGCTGGGCGACCGAACGGATCGCCTCGGGGCCGTAGATAGGTTCCTGCGTGCCTACCGCAGCAGAGAGACTGTGATTTGGATCAGTACCCCCACCAAAATATCAACCACATTGAAAAGAAATGGAAAGACGTACGTTGACTTGAGCCAGTTCATGATTATCTTCGGGAGCTAATGAGCAACCGTAAGGATTCAGTGTAAAGAAAATAGGAAAAAAAAGCCAAAGGAAAAGGGAGGTGAAGGGGAAGGGAGATCGACGCGGGGCCCGAGAGTTTAGTTCGGATGTGAATGGGAACTTTCCCAGATCAACTGATCAATAAACCAGTTGACTCAAGCAGAATGGACAAGTCATGAAATACGCACAATATTAATGGATGAGAGTTTTTGAGCTTTGAAGATGTGTCGGAAGAGAAAGAAGTTGCGATGACGTTCAAAGCTACTCAGCTGCTCGCTTGGGTGTTCTGACCAATCATCGGGCGGTATAGACGGAGGAAAATCTGCCGTTTTCAAGTCTTGACGCTTCAACTTCAGTGATACACGTTTTCACATCCTTCCCCTTTACATCTCCAACTTTTCACCATGGCGAGAGCTGCTTTGGCTAAAGATCAGTTTGTTAAGCTGATTGTCGGCGCTGGTCAGGCCAGTCCCAGTCCCCCCGTTGGTCCGGCTCTGGGTAGTAAGGGTGTCAAGTCTATGGACTTTTGCAAGGTGAGCTCATGCAACGGAAGATGATCGCGACCGGTAGATTAATAGCGGAATCTCCCAGGAATACAATGCTCGCACATCCCACATCAACGTCGGTGTCCCCATTCCGGCGCGCATCACTGTTCGCCCTGACCGGTCCTTCACCTTCGAGCTCCGCACTCCGACCACCACCTATTTGCTATTGAACGCCGCCAATGTCGAACCCCGAAAGAACCGTTTGCGCGGCGCCATGAAACCCGGCCATGAGACTTGTGGCCAGATTTCACTCAAGCATGTCTATGAGATTGCCAAGATCAAGCACACCGAGACGCGACTATCGGGATTGAGTCTGCAAGGATTGTGCAAGAGTGTCATCTCGCAGGCCAAGTCCATTGGTATTCAAGTTGTCCCGTAAAGAGGTGGGAACTCAATTGGATTTGACTTTCTTGGGGTTCATGTTTCACCGGGGTTTCTACTCACGACAGAGATGGACATGGACACGGACTTTCTCGAGTCTAGGCTCGCACCGTTCACTGCGCTGTTTTGATACTTGACGAGTTTATCTGGCGTTCTATGGGAGAAAATAGGGGAATTACTCCTCTACTGTACTATATACCTGAATCATCTGCATGTCATAGCGCGATATGTGCAATACCAGTATTATTTTCGATACACTCGTCAGATGACGCACATGTTCAACATCAGCCCTGCTGATCTGTTGTCCCTGTGGTCCAATGCTGTGTTACCATAGATCCACACCCTTAAATCTCCGCTGGTGATTGACCCCGGTCTATACTGAGGCTACCTTGCATCTAAACTCACCTTGTCCAGCATCCCGTGCCTGGTCCATCCAGTTGTACATACACAAGGCCAAGTTTAGAATTGAGGCTTGGCGGTTAATGGTGGGATGGATATCACGGTGATCTGCGTCTATATTTCTATCAATCAATATTGAATGTTCTTAGATGTCAGGTCCCTTTATAGATTACGGGGTACTGTATATGAACTGAAATTGCAGCGGTCGTTGTGTAGACGCGCCAATCAATGAACCCCTGATACTGCAGGGCGTCGACTATACCTGATATGGTAAAATTCCAGATCTTCGGGAAGATGCAAGCGATCTCGTGCATTTCCGGAGTCATCGACTGCTCGGGAAGTCGGCACCGGTCGGATTACCTTAGTTACCTGTAATCATTAATGCAGATTTGGTGGTCATTCTACTACATCATCGCTCCGCAGTCTTCCGAGATTCAACACATGCAGGGAAAATGGTAGAATAATGATGATATATAAGTTTTTAAATTATTGAAGAGTTTGAACTGGACAAGTGGAGGAGTTCATGTGAATCAGATCCTTGTTTCTATGTGAAAACGTATGAAAAACGGGGAAAGCACTGGTTAAAACTAGTTACTTTACCCCCACCGGGTTTTGCCTCAGGCCCACATTGCCTCTTTCCCCTCTTATCCTTTTATCCTGCTTTCTTGTCTTCTCTTTCCCCTCATTAATTCCCAGACTTTTAGATTCTGGTCATCTTTTTTGGTTACCGTTGGTGGTCTCTCTTTGCGGTATTACCGCTTACTGCACGGATTCGGCACCGAAGAAAAAAAAAGTTAAAGGGGAAAGATTTGCCTCAACCAACGTAATCGACCGTTTTAAACCTAGGAACATCATTCCTTTCTCTTGACAGCACCCAAAGTTGAGAGTCAAAACTAGAGGGAAGAGAAGACGACCTGAGAAAGAGAGATTTATCTTTCTCCCCGAGCTTAGACCCCGTGAGGGGTATGCGTCCCACCGTCCCCAGTCGAGGCCGTTAAAAAAGAGTATGACGTCTGTGACGGCAGGGTCGACCCCAACCGACTCGATGGATTCAGGTATGTCTTGGCTGTGACTTCGACTCCCCTACAGGCAGCGCCAGAACTCCAGATTTTTAGAATTCCTCTGACGCAAAGCTCCATCGTCCGACAGGCTCGAATATGCAGAACCCCGCCAAGATTCCGCCCCAAGCGGAGTCCGATCCGGACGCCAAGTCATCTCAGCCTGCTCAAGTTCGCTTCTCCTCCGTCAACCAGGAGATTGAGCCTTCTTCAATGCTCTCCCCGGTGTCTGAGAAATCCTTGCCGGATACTTTCCACAAGGACACCAATGAAGACGATTTGCGGTCCTTGGCTATGAGCTTGCAGAGCACCCAGCTCCAAGAATCCCGACTGCGCAATTTCTCCTTTGAACCAATGTCGCTTCCTTCGTCTAGGGTATGTCTTTGCTATATGTTTCGTCTTCACCCCCGCCCCCCCCCCCTCTGGAACTCTAGAACCCCACATCCTCAGCTCAGCATGGTTCACCGAGCTGGTAATCCCCTTCCCCGCCCCCTAAAACCGCCCCTCGGTGGTCTCTACCACCAATTGGCCTTCGTGGAGGATTCAATTTCGGCGGCTAACATGGAGCTCACCCTCGATCTAGGTCGCATCCCGAGACTCGAGTGATCGAAGTACCCGCGATGGCAATGGCTCCTATATAGCTTCCCCTCACATTTCTCCTCCTGCCTCCGCTGTACAGTCACCTCCTCTAACCCCCGCTGTCACCCAATCCCGTGAGAGCAGGTCCTCCGAAAGTGCATCTGCTCTGGGATCACTTGGCCGGGGCGCCATTACCCCCGAAAGATCACCTCCGGTTACTTCCGGGGACAGTAACAGCACCCAAACTGCGCCAACATCCCGACCGTCTACCGAGCCTATCTCTACCGGGCAGAGCGCTACTTCGCAGCCTGCGCCTCAGATCACCGTACCGAAACACCGTGCTCAGTTCTTTATCGGCACAGATGTAAGCTCACAAGAAGAGAGTCCACCCTCTACTCCCCGAGAGTCCCATACACCGCCGGGCACAATCACACCGGTGGGCGAGCCAAACGACCCATACGCCCGCAGCAGGCGGCCACCGCCTACGAAGAATTTAGGTCAGTTGGATGCACGGTTTATCTTCGGTAGTCGAGATTCCAAGCGGTCGTTTCGTCCGGGCACCCCCCGATCGGCCAGTGCCAGTGATGTCACCAAATCCGGCGGCGAGAAACGGAGCGTGTTCCACAAGGATAAGAGCGAATCTAAACACGGTCACAGTCATGGCCACCATGGCTCCATGTCGGAGTTGAAGCGGTTTTTCAAGATGGGCCACCGCAGTAAGCGACCAGACTCTCCAACATCGGCAGCGAAACGATCAAGCCGAGGATCCGGAAAGAGCACCCCTTACCAGATGGCCCCTGATAATGTCCCCTTTGCCGATGATCATGGACTGAATTCTAAATACGGCAAAATGGGCAGGGTCCTTGGATCTGGAGCAGGTGGATCAGTTCGACTATTGAAGCGCAACAGTGACGGAGTCACCTTTGCTGTGAAACAATTCCGAGAGCGCCACAGCTGGGAAAGCTTGAAGGAGTATTCAAAGAAGGTCACGGCGGAGTTCTGTATTGGCTCGACCTTGCACCACGGTAATATCATCGAGACCCTCGATATCATCCAGGAAGGCTCCCACTGGTACGAGGTCATGGAGTATGCGCCGTTCGATCTTTTTGCAATTGTCATGACCGGCAAGATGACCAAGGAGGAGATTTCCTGTTCGTTCAAGCAGATCCTCAGTGGTGTCGCATACCTCCACGGCATGGGTTTGGCTCACCGAGATTTGAAGTTGGACAATGTGGTGGTGAATGACCGCGGTATCATGAAGCTGATTGATTTTGGAAGTGCGGTCGTATTCCGCTACCCCTTCGAGAATGACATTGTTCCCGCTTCAGGTATCGTTGGCTCGGATCCATACCTGGCTCCTGAGGTATACGATGAGAAGAAATACGACCCTCGCCCCACGGATGTTTGGTCGCTGGCGATCATTTTCTGTTGTATGACTTTGCGACGCTTCCCGTGGAAGCAACCGCGCACCACCGACAATTCCTACCGATTGTTCATTTCTCCTCCAACGCCTGGCACTCCACTTCCTGACTCCGATCCCCGGCGTGCCCCTCGTCCCAAGTCATCTCCCGATCTTCCATCTTCCGCCAATGAACAGAGACAACCCCCGACGTCGTCAAACACATCGGTCAACTCCGAATCTGCCGGTAAATCGAATGCACCTGTTCCAGAACAGAACGGAAACAAGCCCGGTTCCTCGATCAAGGATGGGGAAGCCCCCACTCAAAAACAAACAAGCCAAACCAGCACGAGCGAAAAGACCTCCCAGACGACTAGCAAAGAGGCACCACCTCTTCCAGGTGCTACTCAGCCCGCTCAGCGCCAAGAAGTGATTAAAGGCCCTTGGCGCCTTCTCCGTATTCTGCCGCGGGAAAGCCGGTTCATAATTGGCCGCATGTTGAAGGTTGATCCGAGAGAACGAGCGACCCTCGATGAGGTCCTTGCTGATGACTGGGTCCGGGGCATCCTAGCATGCGAGCAGGACAGTTCCGGTGAGATCCACAATGTCTCCAACCATACTCATGTTCTCGAGCCTCCATCGAACAGTGCTGCCGTGGCCAGCAAAGCTACCAAAGCCAAATGATTCCCCTTTCGTGTATCAATTTTTCCCCCTCTTTGTTTGTGCATAATTCCCTCCAAGGCTCGGCGAATGGGCCTGTCATTTGTCTCCTCCTTTCGTCGTTCAATTTCTCTTCTTGTGCTCCTCAAATGGACTAGATGAATTTTGCCTTGCCGCAATCAACTTGCCTCATTTCTGGACTTTTCCCCTGCTATTCTTTGGGTCAATATCCGTCATCCTAATCTCTCACGTGTGATCATTCTTTTCCCGCCTTCCATTCTCACCGACTCTCTCAAGAGAAATTGGGGTGACCGATAGTTGTCTGGCGTCCCGGAGAAAATTGCGTTTGCTTTGCAATGAAACCTCTTGAAATATTCGGTTGCGCAGTTTTTGATATTCCTGTTACACTTTTCCAGGAATGTTTAGCGGGGACCCTTCATCTCGAAGGTATTCCCTTTCTTTACTCGGCCCCTTGTTTCAAGCCGTTGGTTGGCTGATTGATTGGTGGTTCGATGGACATGTCGTAGATAGTCTAAACATAAGAATATGTTTGTCTGATTACTATTGAATTGGCTGGTAAAATCATTGATTTCTCTTCCTTGGAGGTCCACTGTAAACCTCGATTCGGCGATATCGGATGGCCTGACAGCGGAGTAACAAAACCTCGGCATCAATTGTGGAGCTCTACGACAGACTCGGCCTAGGTCCTTCACATTTCTACAGTACTCGTTACCCTAGACGCGTTGCCATTGACTCTACTATATTGCTCCGGGTCAGCGTATTGAGGAGGTAGAAAATATTTACATGGCTAAGCAACCCAGTGATGAGGCCTTGGTCTCTTCGCTATGGACCAGATCCCTACTCGTAAGGCTCTCAAAAATCATTTCAAGACCAAGGAACCACATTGACATTTAACCTCACAGTCTGGCGCTCTCGCCGGTCTCACTGTAGACTGCTCCCTCTATCCCCTTGACACCATCAAGACCCGACTCCAAAAGGCACGCGACACCAGCGCACCCCAAGCTTCACGAGCCCTGTCCCTCCGTCAAACAATACGCGGCATCTACGCCGGTCTCCCCTCCGTCCTCTTCGGCTCCGCACCCTCTGCCGCCTCCTTCTTCATAGTCTACGACAGCCTTAAACGCACCCTTCTCCCCCCGAACTCCACTGACACTCCCTCCCGCGCATACATCCTATTCACTCACTCCATCGCTTCCTCCCTCGGTGAAATCGCCGCCTGTGCCGTACGCGTCCCAACCGAGATAACCAAGCAACGCGCCCAAGCCGGCCTCTTCGGCGGCTCAAGCCTTCTCGCCCTAAAAGACATCCTATCTCTCCGCCATGCTACACCCGACTCCGCCCAGTCTCCAGGTATGGACCCCGTGAAACGGGGCTACGGCCAGGTTCTCCGTGAGCTCTACCGGGGAACGGGTATTACTATCGCCCGTGAAATCCCATTTACGGTTCTACAGTTCACTATGTGGGAATCTATGAAAGAGGCATATTCAAACCGCTACCTGCGACCTCTGACGAGCGCGAAGTCTGTTACTGAAACCCAGATCCCGGCGTCGACGAGCGCTATGTTTGGTAGTGTGGCTGGTGCCATTGCTGCTGGTCTGACGACTCCGTTGGATGTTATTAAGACTCGCGTAATGCTTGCGCGTGGAGGTGCAGATGCGCCCGTGCGGGTCAAGCAGATTGTGCGTGAGATTGCGCAGGAAGGTATGGGTGCTTTTTGGCGTGGAATTGGGCCCCGAGTTGCTTGGATTGGCATTGGAGGTGCGGTGTTCTTGGGTAGTTATCAGTGGGCGTATAATACATTAGAGGGGAAGAGGGAGGAGAGGGAAAGAGAACTGGAGTAAAGTTTCATTTCGTCTCATGACTTATTTTGTATATTTACCATGGTTATATAGACAGGATCTTTGTTATAAAGGTTAGAAGCACATATACCTCCTATAGCTCAAGTTGATAGGTCCGCGAATAGCCGGGGTTATCCTAGTCGCGCAATGACCTTATTAGTGGACACGGGTACCCCCGCTGCGGAATAATTCTCAGCCAGTGCTACTCAGTACCATTGAGGCATTTGATGTCAGACCACAGAGCAGAGCACTCTAGGTCATCATCACAAGATACAATTCCTAGGCAACAGTCATGATGATTTGAAGCTTACTTCCTATGAAGCTGATACAGGTGACCACTTCGAGGCAAAAGCCTGAAAGCCTTGTAAGCTATTGACGATATCGACAAAAGGATTCATGCCGGGTCATATTGGTGGTTCAAATATTTATGACGCTTCCAATTTACAGTCATTTTGATACAAGAATACAATGCAGTTCATTATTGACCTAGTATCATCTGTGTTTATCTCCTCGGATGTATACCACGGCTTATAATTTTCCGAACTACCGAACGGCCGACAACATTGAAGTAGTTTAGATGGGCAATATAATTTTGAATATTCCTTTGATTGGTAGTTCCTGTATAACTTGTTAATAGATGGGAATATCAGATGACATCAGATGGGGAGGCATAAGGGCATTTGGAGTACCAAAAATGGTCCCGGAGTACGGCCGAATGGCGAGCGCTATGGCGTCTCTGCCCCTGTCGGTCCCCAACCTTCCCCTCATTTACATATTCCCGTACTTATTCTATCAATTTCAGCAATTTCACACTTGTTGTTGGGGGATCGTCGTAGATGCATCTGTGACGTCGTTCTCATCCCCACCAAACACGAGCAAGTGATCGGCCTCGATTGAGGCAGATAAGCTCCGCATCTCCTCCGCAATTTGTCTCTCTTCCACATACCCAATTTGCATGTATGGCACGAAAACTTAGCCACCAGAGGGTCACTTATGGTCAGTCTTTCTCCCATTCCTACTTAGAATTTGCCCTCGAATTGCGATGCTGATCCTTTTTTTTCATTACAGTGCTTCCTCTGCCTGATGCCCCCGGCGGGCACCGGCTGGGAGTTAATGGGTTGACCGTTGATCCTCAAAACTCCATCCTGTAAGCGCCCTTTGCCTTCAGATCCCCAGATTGAAAAAGTTGAGAAACTTCTGGAACCGAAGCGACTGCAATGGTCGTTCCTCCCCCAAGACTCGACCCTTTCCCCATGTGGGTTGCACAGCTTTTAATGTGACGTCTTTCCCTACTACAGGTACTCCGCGGGCCGTGACGGTGTTATCTGTTCCTGGGATCTCGACTTCCCTCAAACTCCCTTCCACGCCTCAAACCCATACGCAGATTCCAGTCGACAACCGGGCCCAACTCGTTTCAAGACTCAGGTTCAGGCCCATAGTCACTGGATTAACGATATCGTCTTGACCCAGGACAACTCCGCGCTCGTATCCGCATCGTCTGATACGACCGTTCGACTCTGGCGGCCGCACTCTGAATCTACCGAAGTTCCAGAACGGATTGGAAAACATACAGACTACGTTAAGGCGCTGGCCAGCCCCGGCGGGCAGGCTAGTTGGGTTGCGTCGGGTGGACTTGACCACAAGCTGTTCTTGTGGGACCTGAATGGAGGCGGAGAGATCTTGGGTATTGATGCCTGCGATGACGATGCGACTGAAAAGGGTTCTATCTATGCACTAGGAGCCGGATCGTCGGTGCTCGCCAGCGGCGGACCGGAGAACGTCGTCCGGGTATGGGACCCCAAGTCCGGGAAACTGATCACGAAGTTTGTAGGCCATACAGACAATATTCGGGATATTTTGATCAATCAGGCCGGAGATACTATCATGACTGCTTCGTCAGATCAGACCATCAAGATATGGTCTCTCACCGCAGGTCGTTGCATGAACACCCTGACTATGCACAATGATAGCGTCTGGTCTCTTTACTCTGATCATCCGGATCTTTCTGTCTTTTACTCCAGTGATCGCTCGGGATTGGTCGCCAAGACTGACGCGCGGCGGTCGTCGGATGTGGAACAGGGTGTTTGTGTTGCAGCACTTCAAGAACATGAAGGTGTTGTGAAAGTTGCGGTTTGTGGCGATTTCATCTGGACAGCTACTCCTACGTCGAGCATCAATCGCTGGAAGGATGTTGACACTACACTTGAGATTGAGTCGCCTCCGGAACCCGTGCATTCCATCGACTCGGCTACTGCTGCGCCGGTACCAGATAAGACAAAGAAGATTCCATGCAACGCAGTGTTGCAACTATCGGCAACATCTTCTCTGCTAGGGAGCTCTCCCTCCTCGAGGGTCAATACCCCAGAACCTGATTTGGAGACTGATATTGAGTTGCCAATCCCCGTACATTCGCAGCCGGAAGAGAGTATTGAAGGACAGCATGGATTGATCAAATGCTTGATGCTGAATGACAGAAAGCGGACACTCACACAAGATTCAGCAGGAGAGGTTGTCCTATGGGATCTGCTAAAGGTATGTTGGAATACGTTGAAAGCTGCTTCAAGGTTTAGCAGTTCTGTTTAAATACTCATTGACATGGAATGCAGTGTGTTCCCGTGCAAGCGTATGGAAAACGACACATCGAAGATGTAGCCGATGAGCTCAATACTACAGAGAGTATTGCCCATTGGTGCACGATCGATATCCGCACAGGCAGACTTTCAGTGATCTTGGAGCCCAACCACTGCTTTGATGCTGAAGTCTATGCAGACGAGGCAGGCTTGTCAGACGCCGACCTTTCGCAGTTCCGTGATGACCAACGAAGTAAGTATGGTTTCATATCCATGCGTGTTTATCCTGCACTATAACCTCTCATGACTGGTCTTGAATTCTACTGACATAAAGTTTAGTCAACCTTGGGAAATGGGTTTTGCGCTGGCTGTTTGCTCCTTTGGTGGACGAGGAAATTCGACGCGATAGCGAGTACCGTGAGACTGCCATCGCAAAGGCCGACGAGCTTGCCAGGCTCAATCCTTTGAGTACCTCCGTGCCTGGTGATGACATTCCTCGTAGTGTGGGAATTCCCATCTCGCAAGATCCCTCTATGACGACCTTACGTCCAAATGTTGATTATCCCGGGAGCCCCAACGCTTCGGGCTTCGGGATCAATGTTGGCACGCCTTCTTCAGTAAACTATCTCAGCACCTCAATGACGAGCAGCCTCTCCCCATTCCCGAACTTTGAAGCAGACATTCCAGACGTGCCATCATCCCATCCCAACCCCGATGCCGTACCGTCTTCCTTTTCCGAAAAAGCTAACGACTATTTTTCGTCACGGGTGGCTCAGGATAATGATAAACTACCCATGTCTCCGATTGATGGTACCCCGGGGCTTCCCCAGTCCCCAGCAGAGCCTGATAAGGAGGAACGCAAGAAGGGCAGCTCCTTGTTTGGAAAGAAATTCCGCATGGACATCAAGAAGTTAGGTCGAACATCCACCGAACAAAAGCCGCAAATCCAAGAAGAAAAGATCGAGGAATCCGAAGTATCGTCTGTCAAGGAGGAGAAGGTATACGACCCCAATATCAGTGGCGTTATCGATCGCATTCGTCATGAATATGACGAATTTCTGGCCACGAACCCAACTCGAGAATTGGTGACGGCCATCACTCCCAGCGCAACGAGCGAGACTCCTCGTCTTCATATTCCCTCTCGGACTGCCGTCTTCATTCAAGAAGAGACAGGTGATACTGCAGTGGCCTCCGACCTGTATCGAGGAAGCGTGGGCCGCATGGGGCAAGAGATTGAGCGATTGGAAAAATCCATTCCACATTGGCTTGGCGAACTTTTGCTCAAGGTAACGCTTTTCGTTCCGTGATATTCACTCTAGTCGTGCTAACCATATTTCTAGAATCAAATTCCATTCAAGGAACAGGTCAAGATTGCTTTCATCTTGAAGCCTTTCGATGACTTGTTGCCACCAGTTGTCAAGCCAGAAGTGTAAGTCCTTTTTCGAAGGTATTTTTGATCTACAAACTTATTGGTTCTTAAATTATAGAGCGACTTCAAATGGAGGCCCACCACCCCTTAATCCCAATGGCGCCAACAGCTCTCGTCTGAACGCTAATCGGATGTTGCGTGCTAAGAAGGTGCTAGCCTACGTGGCTGAGCGCATTGATCCCCCGCACCCCGATGATCCGGAAGATAGTGTCATGCCAGCGGAGGAGTACCTTGAACTCTACTGCCAGAAAATCGTAAGTTATCTCCCATTCCGTGGTGTTTTCTTTCCTAATTCATATCTTTAGTTATGTCCACCAAATATGACTCTTGCTACCATCCGAACATGTCTCTGGCGTACCTCTGGTGACATGGTTCTGTACTACAAGGCAAATGGCAAGAAAGAGATACAAAATCCCTCGACCCTGACTAGCCACAATGAGAATCATGGCGCCAGCAGGGATACCGGTTTTACCAATGGGAACCACCACGCGCCCCCAGGCAGCATTCACTCAATGACGAATTCAGGGTCTGTTTCTGGATCGGTGGTCACGTAAGGTTGTTTTCCGAATCGTGTTACTTTGTATTGGGTTGGTATGTTGGCTTTCTGGCTTGCTAGCGATGAGCGCGGCCATTTCTATCGTTTGGCTAGCGAGGGATGGATTCGGGTACATAGGAAGATGCTCTCTGATACCCCTGCTTTTTCCATTCGCCTTTTCTATGTGTGATATTTTCTTTGAGTAGGTCCAAGATGCCATTTGCATATGCCTATTTTTTTGCCATACTTCAATCCCATACTAAGCCCCATAGAGCCCCTAAGGGTGACGTGACTCTTGATTTGTATTCTTCAAGCGACACTTCGGACCTCCGGAAAGCCTTGCCCCGCCGTCGCCTCAAATGACTCCGATTGAGATACTATCTAGAATAGAGACCCGCATAACGGATTGGGACCAAACTAGTGATTGTGGCTTGCGTTAGTGCCCGCCTCTCGAGAATTCCCGGATCAATGAAATCGTTCGTGTCCCTGGAACGAGGCCCAGTTACAAATTTAGCCTATCGCTTAACCCCTGTTCCTCCACCCCTGTTCCTCGTGTTATCCCTGACCCACACCTTGGCACCTCGAATGGAATTTGCCCGGCAAAAAGATCGTTTAATGTCATGGCTTTCTTCGGGAACCCTGATCCACCCAACAGCACTCCACCGCTCGATTTCCCATTTAGCGAGGACTTTTTCTCCGAGACAAGTGGCTTGGCTGATACAAACCATGGTCAGGGCCGTCGTGACTCTGATATCCCCGGAGATGAGCTGCCCCAATACCTGGGAGTCATTGGTCCAACGTAGCGTGGCTTAGAGAATGAGCCGCATGTGTAAGATTGATCTGGCTGTTCGTGGAGTACATAAATCTTCCTCCCGCTGCCCCTTTCTCTAATTAGGGCTGAGAAATAACCGTCATTCGTTGGGTTGTTTTCGCTTTCTGCTTTCCCTCGTCACTCTTTTGAACGAATTTTGTCGTTATACACTCGTTTTCATTATTATACACTCATTAATCATACGTGCGCTCTGCACACCTTGCAGAAATGCCTGCCACCAATCGCTTGTTGAGCGCTGTGCTCTTCTCAGCTTCACTCATTAACCCGACATATGCAGTTTCGGGTGGATCATCATCAACAACAACAACAACCACATCAACCTGTAACTTGCTCCAGAATCCGTCATTCGAGACTGGCGACTTGACCGGCTGGGTCACTGCGGCCCATAACAATGATAAAGATACTTGTACTGTTGTATCTGGAGACGCCTCGGAGGGAAGCGGCTACTTGTTAGTTCCAAGCTCCCTTGAGAGCAATACGAGGCTCAAAATAATGATTATACTAACTCACTGGATGATTCAGCTCAACCCCCGCCGTTGACGGGTACGAATACCTGAAGCAGTCAGTTTCCGGTCTGAAGATTGGCCAAACCTATAAGCTCTCTACCGACTACCGCTATGTTTGGACTGGAGATGAGGCTCCTGTTTCTCCCTCGAATCTGTGCTATCTCGCCTGGTCCCAAGACAAATGGGACGGGTTGGTTGATGGGACACAGACAGTCTGGTCGTCACAGGATGCAGAGTGGACAACCTACAGCGTTGACTGGACTCCCACCAAGGAAACTTGTGATCTCTATCTCATCTACGCGTGTGTGCAAAACACCAACCTCAACTTTGATAACTTGAAGCTTGAAGGAACAGGATCTGCCTGCACAACTAGCACTGCTATTTCGTCTTCTAGTTCCACGCCTATCCCTGCTGCCAGCTCTGCAACTCTGAGCTCCGTTCAACTTCGTCCTAGCCCGTCCTCCAAGGCTTTGTCTCCTTTGGCATCTGCATCTGCATCCGCCAGCTACAGCCCCCTTCCTTTCCATCCTGATCATCACCATCATCATCATGATCACCACTCTGCGCAGCCCACTCCTTCTGAGCCTGCTTCCGCCAGCTACAGCCCCCTGCCTTTCCGTCCTGATCATCACCATCATCACCATCATCATCACCACTCTGAGCGTCCCACTCCTTCTGGGCCTGCTTCCGCCAGCTTTAGCCCCCCTCCTTTCCATCCTGATCATCACCATCACCATCATCATCACCACTCTGCGCGTCCCACTCCTTCTGGGCCTGCTTCCTCGCCCTGGAGTCGTCGTCCTATTTCAGCGACTCCTACGCCTTCTTTCACCCCTTCTGGGTCGGTGACAGTTGCTCCTTCATCTAATCCTTCGGGCCCTGTGGCTTCTGGCCACCCAGGCTCTGGCAACGGTAACGGCAACGGCTCTGGATCTGGATCTGGCTCTGGTAACGGCTCTGGCTCTGGCTCTGGATCTGGATCTGGATCTGGATCTGGATCTGGATCTGGCTCTGGCTCTGGATCTGGCTCTGGCTCTGGATCTGGCTCCGGCTCTGGTAATGGCTCTGGCTCTGGTAATGGCTCTGGCTCTGGATCTGGATCTGGATCTGGATCTGGCTCTGGTAATGGCTCTGGATCTGGATCTGGCTCTGGTAACGGCTCTGGATCTGGATCTGGATCTGGCAACGGCTCTGGATCTGGCTCTGGCAACGGCTCTGGATCTGGATCTGGCTCTGGTAACGGCTCTGGCTCTGGCTCTGGATCTGGATCTGGATCTGGATCTGGCTCTGGCAACGGCTCTGGATCTGGCTCTGGATCTGGCTCTGGATCTGGCTCTGGATCTGGCTCTGGATCTGGCTCTGGATCTGGATCTGGTTCTGGCCAGGTCACCACCTCTACAATCTTGACCACCCGGACCAGCACTATCACTGCGTGTCCCTCCACTGTTACCAATTGCCCTGCCCGTGATAAGACCACTTACCTGACCACTGAGACTGTCGTTGTGGGAACCACTGTCTGCCCTATTACCGAAGATGCCCGGCCTACTGCTACTGGTTCTACTAAGCAAATGACCACTTCTACCGCTTTCATGACACGCACCTCGACAATCACCGCCTGCCCCTCCTCCGTAAAGGATTGCCCCGCGACTGAAAAGTCCACTTATGTCACTACAGAGACAATTGTTGACTATACCACTATCTGCCCGGTTACTGCTGCTGAAGCCACCCAGACCGCAAGCTCTACTGCTTCATCCTACGCCGGCGCTAGCTCTACTGGCTCTGGGTCTGGGTCTACTAGCTCTACCTCCGGCTCAACTGGCTCCGGCTCAACTGGCTCTGGCTCTACTGGCTCTGGTTCTACTAGCTCTGGTTCTATTGGCTCCGGCTCAACTGGCTCCGGCTCAACTGGCTCCGGTTCAACTGGCTCCGGCTCAACTGGCTCTGGCTCTACTAGCTCTGGTTCTACTGGCTCTGGCTCTACTGGCTCTGGTTCTACTGGCTCTGGTTCTATTGGCTCCGGTTCAACTGGCTCCGGCTCAACTGGCTCTGGCTCTACTAGCTCTGGTTCTACTGGCTCTGGCTCTACTGGCTCTGGTTCTACTGGCTCTGGTTCTATTGGCTCCGGCTCAACTGGCTCTGGCTCAACTGGCTCTGGCTCTACTGGCTCTGGCTCTACTGGCTCTGGCTCTACTGGCTCTGGTTCTACTGGCTCTGGTTCTACTGGCTCCGGCTCAACTGGCTCTGGCTCTACTGGCTCTGGCTCAAATGGATCTGGCTTTGAATCGTCTGGCGAAAAGCATAGCACAACCACTATTTATTCGACCAAGATTGAGTCTGGAACAACCGATACTATTGCTGTTGCAACTGAGGTTTTAACTATCTCCGTTGCTGAAGCCTCCAGTACCGGTATCGTGGGTGTTGGTGCCATTGGAGTGCCCCCTGTGCGAAGCACAAACGTCCACATCCAGCCCACTCCTTCGGCATTTGCCACTTCAAGCTCTTCTGCTCCCCATCGCAGCTCTGGTGTAGGTTCTTTCTCCTCGACCACTAGTCCCGCTGCTCCGGTCTACACTGGTGCTGCTTCACCTTCGTTCATTTTCTCCACTGGCCTGATTGGCGCTTTGGCTTTTCTTGTTATGCTTTTTGTATAATAATTCAATATCTATGATAGATCGGACAGCCTGACGTGGTTTTAATTATCAAATGTGTTCTAATTCTACGAATAAAAAAGAAATCAAAAAAAAAAAATGACAATCTGTCAACCTTGCGTCCAAAGAGAACGAAGCTGCAGTGGAACCTCGGGTACCGATACATCATACCCCTCAGGCTCGGTCTGCGGGGCTTCCCACAGTGGAACCCGTCCATCTCGGCCTGGAAACCTTCAACATTACTACACTCGTGCCATTCACAAGCTATCCCTATTGACTGAAATCGTGCTATCAGGGTACTTGTCCAACATGACAATAATATCGCAGCCCAAAAGGAGCGACTACCCGTATGATTTAGGTACCTTTGGACGACTCATCACCACCACCAGTGCCGAAGCCCAGATCTGGTTCAATCGTGGTCTCACCTGGGTATATTCCTTCAATCACGATGAGGGGGCTAAATGCTTTGAGCAAGCCATTGCCCACGATGAATCCTGTGCCATTGCATATTGGGGTCTCGCTTATGCCCTCGGCCCAAATTACAATAAGTCTTGGGTGGTTTTCGGCGACGGTCTGAAGAAAACTATACAGCGCACGTACCAAGCTTGTCAGAAAGCAAAGGAACTTGCTCCTAGTGCAACTCCCTTGGAACAAGCATTGATTTCTGCCATCCAAGCTCGCTTCCAGAGCGACCAGCCAGCGGATCTTGCTCAGTACACCGCTCAAGATCGTGCCTATGCTGACGCAATGGAGGGGGCATATGACGCTTTTGGCGATGATCTTGATGTAGCAGTTTTGTACGCCGACTCTATGATGAGTTTGACTCCCTGGAAGCTGTGGAATTTGGAGACCGGGCAGCCGAACCCGGGTACACGTACCTTGGATGCAAAGAAAGTGCTAGAGAAGGCACTTCAACACAAGGATGCGTACCAACACCCGGGCTTGCTGCACTTGTACATTCATCTTATCGAGATGTCCCCCACACCAGAGCTGGGCCTAGTTCCGGCTGATTATCTACGCGAGCTCGTCCCAGATGCCGGTCATGTGAACCACATGCCCTCGCACTTGGATACCCTGGTCGGAGATTATCGGGCTGCTATACGCGCCAATCAGCGCGCCACCATTTCTGATGAGAAGTTCGTCCGTCTGGAGGGTGTGATGAACTTCTATTCCAACTATCGCATGCACAATTATCATACCCTTATCTATTCGGCGATGTTCGCAGGTCAGAAGCATGTTGCCCTCGATGCTGTAGAGCGCATGGAAGCAACTCTCCCAAAAGAGCTTCTCGTTCAAATGGCAGATTGGATTGAAGTCTTCCTGACAATTCGGCCACACGTCATGATTCGCTTCGGTATGTGGAATGAAATCATCAGCCTCCAAATCCCCGATGATCCAAAGCTCTACTGTGCCACTATTGCAGCTATACTATACGCGAAAGGTATCGCGTACGCAGCAACTGGGAACATTCCGGAAGCTGAGAAACACCGAGATCTACATAATGAAGCAGCCAAACTTGTTCCCGAGTCCCGTCTTGATTTCCCGAACAAATGTGTGGATACCATTAGTATCGCGACTGCGATGTTGGATGGTGAGATAGAATACCGACGTGGAAATCATACCAAGGCATTCGAACACCTCCGTCACTCCATCGAATTGGATGATGGTCTGGGATACAAGGAGCCGTGGAGCTGGATGCAACCTGCTCGCCATGCGTATGCTGCCCTTTTATTGGAGCAAGATCATGTTGAAGATGCAGCGACTGCGTATCGATGTGACCTGGGGCTCGATGACTCTGTGATTCGGGCACGTCAACACCCAAATAATGTTTGGGCTTTGCAGGGGTATCACGAGTGCTTGCTTCGATTGGGCCGCACTGCAGAGGCCAGAGTGATTGAGCCGCAGCTTAAGATTGCTTTGGCGGTGGCGGATATTCCTATCAAGTCCTCGTGTTTCTGTCGAACTGACATTTCACCGGCATCGGGTGTAGGAAAAACTTGCTCTGGTAATAGTTGCCTTTGACCTAGGGTACCTGACTATATAGATTATATGAAAACTTATTTACACCATAATCATATGATCTGCTATGTAATTTTACTAGTTTACTAAGTTTAATTCATACTGCATTCCTGGGAGAGTTGGGATATAACGACCTTTAGGTGAGAATAATTATTGACATCCGGGTGGTCCAGTGTGTAACACTCCCACGTCGGGCATTGCGTTGCGCGCCATTTGACAAGTTTGTCTGGGACTTGTAGGATGATGTCAATTGTCACTGGGGAACACTAACACAGGCGTATCCCCTCCAAAGTGCCTATCAAGGCATAGAGGAGGGGTTCCTCTGGTTTAGTGTTTTTGTTTTTTGATACTATTTTCACCTATATTATATACTCACTGCATCAGAATGTCACTTCAGATTTATACTAAGTCGATTGCTGGGCGCGGTACTATTGTGGGTGATTTATGGGTGATATTCTACTTGATGCAGATGAAGCCGTTCACAAGGTAACTTCAAAGTACCCGGTAAGAAGACGCAAAATGAGAGATTTCACGTACGATTCCCGGTTGTGTCAATATACACAATCACGATAATACTAGTACCTGTAGTAAAGATCTGCTTTTTATAAGACTATAGGTTCTTTTTGTATTCCTTTGCACCAGAAAATGGGAACAGCTCTCTCTCTATACGCTCCAACATGGCTGATTTCTAAGAACAATAATCAACGAAAGACAAGCTTTCCTTATCCCCTTGCTTCTTATGACACAGGAAGGTGCGAAATTAAGCGTTGAAACACTAATTAATTTTGTCAAGCGACTCTGGTTGTATAGTCTTTTGTGGATCTTAGCGGGTGAAATGATTGGTCCTGTCCTGCTTTCGGCATTTGATGCATTCAAACGCCGAGCGCCACCACCTACGGCTTCTATCCATGACACTTCAATGTTCTTCCTTTGACTTACACCGAAATGTCACACAACAGATTTCTTGATGCATTCGGGGCCTAATCAGATTTGTACTAGAATTCTCGTGTAATCAATTGCTCTTCATCATGCCTCGGGTAACCAAGCCGCCTGCGAAAGCTGCATGTCTGGCATGGTCAGTCACACCAACCCCTATCTATACTTTAAGTGCTAATGACTATTTTTAGTCGCTCATCGAAAACTCGATGCGATGGGCAGTATCCTTGCAGGAGTGTAAGGTCAATCTAGTCAAAATAATGCAGAAAACGGATCTAATCATAGCCCCCAGTGCTATAACAAAGGCCGAGATTGCAGCTTCCAACCCAGTCGCCGAGGTGGAGCTCGAAGAGGGATCCGATATGCTGAGACGCTGCAGCGCAATGACCGATCTGATAACGCACCATCAGAAACTATATTGCAGCATCGGTCTTCTCCCAGGAATGCGACGGAAACTCTTGGTCAGTCAAGGGCAGGCGCGATGGAAGTTATTTGGACTAACTCATTCATTAGACCCATTCCTTGAGAATACTATGGGGCTACTAACTCCATTCGTGGGTATTCATAATTTAGACCTGTCCCCAGACACGCTATCAGACACCGGTGAAGCTCTCCAACTGTGGGGTCAGCTCACTCCAGGTGATGGGTCCTTTGCCTCTGCGTCTATTGACGATGTGGATCTACCTACGATTCGGGCTTATCAGTCTGAAGAAGAAATGTATAAGAGTCAAGTGATCAAGTGATCTGCTAACAACTGAAAATGCTAACAATTTTGCAGCCTCAATGCCTACTATATCTACATGCACCCCTATTTCCCTTTGCTACCGCCGTGTCCGCACTTACAACATGAAGATCGATCTACCTTTGTTCAATCATCAAAACAGTTTGCTGAGCCGAAGAAAACCGATCTACCTTATTGGCCAGTATCTTCATTGAGTCTCGCGTTGTCAGCAATACTCGTTCTCATACCACCCATTTCCGATTCATCTCCAATGACTGAAGCTGCCGTTCTTCTGAGGCGCTCATATGCCCAGCTCTATGCACAGGCAGCTTTAGCCAGCGTCGAGAGAGAGGTTGATGAGTTGAGTCCCGCCTCGAGCATCAACTTGATAGGCGCCAGTATATCCCAAGAGCAAAGTCAGCTCCACTCACAGGTTCCACTTCCACTGGATCCAATTTTGGCACTTTTGGTCCTTGCAATGTATGAGTATTGTCAACGTGGAAATGTATCGCGGATGCGTGCTCGTGTGAACCATGCTGTGACCACGGCAATGGATATTTCCCTTCACGACCTTGGCTCAGCCACAACGGAATATTCTGAGGCGCAAAGACGCGCATGGTGGATGATAGTAAGTTGTTTTCCTCATCTATATTTGATTCATGATACTAAATAGGGCGAAAGATGTTTGTGGCATACATTTCATCAAATCTACATCTTACAGTATGGATTCGCATACCTCTCTAAATTTATTCTATTTATTATTGACAAAATATAGCCCCCCATCATCGCTTCTGATGATCCACGCATAACGACACCTTTCCCACGATTCGGTGTGAATCCAGAGGTATCATATTCTCCTTGACTCACTTGGGTCGATAACCTGCTGATTTGATATATAGCCTTGGGGACTTACAATACGAGTGCAAAAGCTTCTCTACGCTGCACATTCCATGGTCCAAAGGATTGAAAGTGTCGCTGACTCGCCACTTATATCCAATCTCGGCGACGAAATAAAGAAGCTCGATGCTCAAATTGTAATCTTGATGATCGAAGCAGACCAAAGTCTACGAGAGACATTCGATTTTGATGGTGAATGTTACGTTGCTGAGAATATGTGGAGAATCAGCCGTATCATGATTAATACGTAAGATTTTCTTCTCCAGGGAAATGACATACCTAATCATACTAACTGTGCTAAAGTGCTCGAATCCGTCTACATCGCTTCAGAGCTTTTGTTGATATTCCTCTATTCTTGGACAGATACTGTGATCTCATCTCGATCAACAGTCATGGCTTCTCTCATCCCTCACCTTCCAGTGTTGCTCATTGGCAATCCACTTTCCCATTCACAGAATACGAGTCCTCCAATATTTGCCTAAAATCTTCTTTGACGATTGCAAACGCGTTCCGCAGTTTACCGTATTCTCATCCCTGTGGGCCAGAAACCTGCCAAAGAGGATCCTTGAACCGAAGAGTCATGGTGCGATCACCATGCTGTATCGGAAGGGCCCCTCGAACTGTTCCTTTTCTTGTCTGCAGTGCAATGCAGGGCAGTTACACTTTACTCATGCTCTTCCATAGAGTACGCTCATGCCTGGAGTCGGGTCGTCTAGCATCTTGCTATCATCTACTGGGCAGACCAGACGCAGCGACTGAAATATCGGATGCCGAGCGACTAATTGAGGAATTGCGGCATGGAGTTGAGTCATTGGGTATTCCTTTGAAACAAGATAATATCTTCGAGGGCGTTGCGGGTGTCGGCCATGAGATCGAAAGTGCTTATTTGGCTGCATTTCCAGATTGTTCGCGGATTGATGCATAGGAATACCTTCAATATGCTTGGATTACTTCGGTTCCTTAAATTCCTACTTGGAGGCAGTTTTGGCTCTTCATCATGTCAGGGTCTGTGAAGGATGTCATTGAAAAACAGCAATATATCTATGCATTCTAGTAATTCGAGTTCAAGCCTTCGTCGATTCTTAAATAAGTGCCTGTTCACGGAGGTGAGCGGTTCCTGACCAGTCAACACACCTTGTTAGACTGGATAGGATCTCCAAGGTGCAGAATGATAGGCTTATCGGTTGCCATTCCGGCTAATGTTGAGACTGCCTGATTTATGGAACCCAATATATATATATATCTTTATCGTCTATAGTATCTAATCACACTCACAAATGCACATGTGCATGCTCAGGTGTACAACTATCAATGGATGTATGTATCCGATACCTAAGCCCACAGGTGAGGCTCTAATTTATAATATGATGGGCTATGAAAGTGTGGTACAGGTATGTATGTTTGAGAGATCAGATTTTGAACGATTGATGATTATATTTCGTAGCATTGACTTTGGCATTATATACCATTCTAATCAGTGACGCAATAACAAGCGGGTCTCCGTGGCGCAATTGGCTAGCGCGTCTGACTGTTAATCAGGAGGTTGGAAGTTCGAGCCTTCCCGGGGACGTTTCTTTTTGATCTTTTTACAATATCAACTTAGCGCATGTAAAGTCATTTTTTGTCTTTACTTAATTTTTGTTGGCAACTAAGCTAGTTGAGTTGTCTGATTGATATTTGACTTCGATCCGATCATTCAGTGGCAATGAATTGACTACTTATACTGGCCGACTCGACTCACTGTCTTCGGCAAAACTGATTATCCGAGATCCGAATATCAATCGCGAAAGAGCAATTGATCCGTCAACGCTGAACTCTCTATGGCGGGGAAGAATGCAATATCGGTCGCGCAATTTGCCGAGCACTTCCGCCTGGCATGGTCGGGGGTAAGAGGTATCGTTCCCCATGGCCGTAAAAGCATGGTCGGGGATGTGGTTCAACTACCGCGACGGATCGGTAAGTTACAAGACAAGATTCAATACTGACCTAAAACTGCGTATATTGAAGGCTCATGTCGACTGACTATTGTGCTCAGGTCTTGCCGTCAGCGGCGGTGCGGATTCCATGGCCCTCGCATACTTGTGTCGGCAATTAGAACTAACGCCCATCGGTGGGCCTATTTCCGTAACTGCCTTTGTGGTTGACCATCGCGCTCGACCTGAGAGTGGCGATGAAGCCAAATCCGTGAGCTCATGGTTGTCAGATATGGGTATGGATCTCATAATTGTGCCATCTGAACATGAGAGGAAAGATACCCGTTCCTCTTGTGGAGGATGATCTAAACTTGCATACTAATATCATCCAGGTATCGAGACCAAGATTTTGGATTTAAATTGGTCTTCATTCTCAAATATTCTAGACAAATCTACCCAAGATAATGTACAGATATCGATGCCAAGTGCCTTTGAAACACATGCCCGTCGGCTTCGATATCAAGCCCTTGGAACGGCCTGTCGCAACAAAGGCATCGAGGCCCTGCTCATGGGCCATCACCGAGATGACTCCATCGAGACAACCATTTGGCGCCTGGCTACAGGTGGTCGCCGTGCTGGTCTCGGCGGTATTCAAAGCATAGCTCGGATTCCCGAATGTCACGGTCTCTTTGGAGTCTCTGAAAGTGGCTCCTCGGTACGATTAGCACAGCCTAGCGCTACTTCTCAACCACCCATAGAGAAGGCCGCAGTCCCATCAGCCCAGTCTTCTCAAAAGGGGTACAGTCTGGCACCAACAAAAGTGGCCATTGCAACGGGTGGAATTCTCCTTTGTCGTCCTCTTATCTCTTTCTCTAAAAACCGACTCCTAGAGACTTGCCACCAAAACAATATTCCCTACGTCTCAGACCCGACTAATTTCGACCCTACCTTAACGCCCCGGAACGCCATTCGCAGCATGATATCATCCAAATCTTTACCTCGCGCTTTGCAGGGACCCCGGATCCTTTCCCTAATCCGTTCCAGCCGGGATCTTCTACAGGTATCCTCAAGCCTATCAGACCAGCTACTAGCATCGCGGTGTCACATTCACGACCTGAATCTCAGAACAGGCACAATGACTGTCCAGTTCAGAGATATACCAACCTGGATGGATCCCCTGTTGGCTCAGACATCCTCTGAACGAGCCCGGCAAATACAGGCTTTAACACTTCGGCGTATCACGGAACTCGTTTCCCCCTTCCCGGGGAATCATTTCTCACTGCGCAGCTTTGAGCCATTCGTCTCGCGCATTTTTGGTTCGGGCAACAAAAATGATCCCCCGGGGGACATGGTTCTAAAGCAATTTACACTAGGGGGTGTGATGTTTACCCCTGTGCAGACGAAAACCTCGTCTGGAGGGTCTGCAAAATCGCCAACTTGCAGTACGTGGCTTTTTTCACGGCAGCCTTTTATGAAGAATCGATCACCAGTCACATCTATCGAGATTCCTATACCGACACCCGATGAGGTAGTCTCAAATTCCCGACCGAGATACTCACAATGGACGCTCTGGGACGACCGGTACTGGATCCGGCTGTCTATTGCCCCGCTGAGGAAAGGTCAAGCTGAGTCTAAAAGCGCGACGTGTGAAAAGAGCATTTCCTTCACGATACGACCACTCCAGGAATCCGATTTCCAAACTATGCGCGACGAACCAGTTAAGAAAGGGCGCAAGAATAATCCTCCCGCGGTCCTTCTTACCCATTTGCGCAAATTTTTGTCGGCTCAGGCTCCAGGCCCTACGCGGTATACACTCCCCGTACTATTGCAAGAAGACTTTAATGCTGCCGATCTATCAGAAACTCAGAAAGTCGGCAAGTTATTGACATTGCCGGTGCTTGATTTCGATCTTTCGGGCCTTCGGCGTAAAGAAAATAAAAACAATGAGACTGAAATCATAGCAGGAGGTAGGACGTGGACTCTAAAGTGGGAGTGGATGTATAAGATGATTGATGCTGATGCATTGCGCCTGATGGGAAGGCCAGTGGAAGCTGAAGCAGCTAGTGTACAATAAGAAAGATAGACATAAAGAAAGAGAAATCCTGGCGGACTCGATCTCCAGAACTAGTATGCATGACACAAAATCATTTGTTCGTATGAGGCTGGAAAGTGACAAACAATCTCAATGGATACAAACAAATATGGGAGAGAACCTTTCGGCAGGGAGTCAAAAGTTAGAAGGAATTGTGTAAGTGTGGTATCACGGAATGGAAAGGAAAGTGATATGCAGCTTGCGGCGGGCCTGGAAAGAACAAAAACCAAAAGGAAGGGAGCGTAGATGATTATTAATGGTTCATGGTGATCATTGATCGCTTGCCCTCGACAGAGCAACGGCAGCCTGCTGTGCGCGAAGACCTCCGACCTCTCTTTTGAGTCGGAAATTTTCTTTCTTTAGGCGACTGATCTCCTCTAAGGCATTATTAAGCTGGGATTGCAAGGATTCTTCCGCACTACCAGCTCGGACATCCTTTGAGAGTTTGCTGAGCTCCGAGTTGAACCGATAGTAGAGGGCCTCGTTCTCAGCACTAGCTTCGCGATACAATTCGTCCAGCTTCTTCACTCGTTTTTCGCTGACCACCAGGGACGACTCCACATCTCTCTCCAATAGAGCGGTGCGTCCATTGTACTCACCTGTGAACTGGTCAAGTCGGTCTTCAAGCATGCGGAAACGACTCTCTAGAGCTGCGCTTCTCTCTGAAGATCGCTGGGAGTCCACAGGACCCCCATTTGGCTCCATGCTAGAATGCTTCGACGGTATAAGTCTTAAAGCATGGAGCTCATCACCAAGAATTGCCAGCTCGTCTCGAATTCCGATCTGAGCAGTGGCCTGGGTCTTCTTTTCGGTCTTCACACGTTCACGGAGCTATTTTAGAATATTAGTTGAATGATTCAATTAATCAAATAGAGCAGCCACTGACCTTCTGTGGACTTTGCATCCGCAATTTTGGGGTTCTTTGCGATGAGGACGAAGACTGCGGACGCTTGTTTTCCGCGTTGGTCGCGGGTCTCTCTCGGAGTCCGGGTGTCCGCTGAGGAATGCTCGTCGCGCGGGATCGTCTTCTCGTTTCCTGGGTTGGAGAGTCTGGAATGGCACGGGAGGTCTTGGCAGCCCGCTCTGTTTGAGGCATCTGGGGATCAATATTCTCTTTCCTACTAGGAGTGGAAGGACGTGTCGGCGACATTCTTCGAATGGGTGATCCTAAGCGAACGGGAGAGTCTGCCTTCGCCGGCGATGCACCTCTTGTAGGTGATCGTGGCAAATAACTACTATGCGGCCTTGGCGGTTGGCTGGTCGGTGTGGTTGGCTCAGGCCGAGAGCGAGTATTCGGAGTAACTGGGCGTAGCTGATGGGTTGGTGAGACATTGGAAATATTGGAGATATTGGAAACAAGGGACACATGGGATGCATTGGACGCTTCTGAAGATGCGGTCTGGGGCCGTAGGTCTGACAGAGAGCTCCTCCTTTTTCGGCGAAGCTTCACCACACCATCATGAGAGATTCCTCGGATGGAGGACAAAGACGGAGGTTGACCATGGCCAGTGCCTGGTCTCGAAATCTGCTCCTCGGATGAGAATCCGAAGGGGCGATCGCGTGATGTAGGCCGAAGGAAGCCCAGACGAGCATCCACATCAGTAGATTTGGATCGTAACAAAGTTCCCTTGGGGGTACTTGATTCTGAATCGGTTGTATTCTGTCTCTTGCTCAACGTTCGTAGGATTGAAGCAACCTTGCCTTCGCCCTCAATTTTCTGATTGTCCTTATGAAGACTGAATCCGAAGCGCTTTCGGAATGAAGAATTATTCGAACCTACAGACCCAGTGCTGGCCTGTGACGTCTTGGTCTGGGTCTGGTCACAGGTCAGGGTTCCTACAACTGAGGCTCCGGCAGGAATGAACTCTTCAAAGAGATTATCGAAGTCCTCAACAAGTCGGTCCAAAAGTGATACGTGATGTACAGGGTCACCATCTTCGGTAAGAACCTCAGCAAAGGCCATTGTCAACGCTCCACGATCTCCGTCATTTCCAGATGCGTCTAACAAATCGGCAAGAAGCCGAATTATCGCAGCCAATGCCCGCCGATTCTGTGGGCTAGTATCCGCCAAGAACCTCCGGAATTGCTCGTCGAAGTCGCGAGGGAACATGGTGTCAAATTGGCTTTGAAGTTGTCGCAAAGCTGGTTTATCCAGCACAGGACCCATACTCCTCTTCCACGCATTTTTCATGAAAGTTTCAAAGGCGACAAATAAGGTGTCAACAGGCACCTCTGCAGCGGCCTGAAGTTTACAGGGATCCTCCAGAAGGATATTGTAAAGCTCATTGACTGCAGAACGGTCCACAGTCTCTCTGGCACGAAGCATTCGCCCCAGAATATTTCCACTTCGAGACTGTACAGAGAGTACGTAGGCCGCAAATGTTTGTTCCAGAGAGCCAAGTTGACCATCAGGGCCCCGTGCAGCAGGTGTTCCAACAACCGATATCTTGTTAGGGCTTTCTCCCTTCTCCTTCTCCTTCTCCTTCTCCTTTTCTTTGTCTTTCTCCTTGGTGGGGAATGTGGAGGGTAGAGTATTTGATCTGGAGAGATTGGCTCTCGGGGGAGGCATCTTAGGAAATTCACCCAACAACGTGGCTGAATTTGGCTGCTTGATGGTGGGGACATTTTCGCGGCTACCTCCCAGCAGGTTCGATATCAACTTGGTTGGTGAAGGTGGTCGGAATCCACGAGAGGATTTGACTTGGGTTATCAAACTGCTTGCAATGTATCGAAGGATTTCAAAATTGGACCGAACCAATGGTATCATAACCCTAGGGTTCTGTGGGTTGTGCAGGGGTGAGAGAAGACTTTGTATGCGCCTTGAAAGTGTTGGAACGAACGTATCTGCCGATACCAGATCTGTTGACGGGGCACCAAGTATAGAATCCACATCCATTCTGAATTGATCACCGTTGGGTAGAGAGATGGATATGACAACCTCCAAGTGAGTGTTTCTCAGAATTTGGGCGGAGTTTCCTTTTGGTTTGTCAAATACTACGCGAATTGGAGATGAGTGAGCTTGATCAAGAGCCACAGCTTCGCCATCCTCGCACACACAGGCAAGGATATTGGTGTTTCCCAGAGCGGCAGCGGGGCTGCGCAAAGTCCACTTTCCACTTTCGCGCTCTTTTTCTGAAAAACGGCCTTCAATCTTTGCTTTGAATATTTCTTCGATCAATCGACTGGCCTTTCCTTCATACATGGAAGTCAGCTCCAAGGCAATGAGATCTGCGCCACTGTCGAGAGTGTATGAAGCTGACTGGTATGAGGCTGGCACGATGAACAGTATCCGACCACATGCCGACTGCATGCATCGCACGGTGTGAAGCTCTAGCACTTGCGCGACTTTGAGTTCGGAGGATGGCAGGTTCATAGACGTGTCTGTGGTCGAGGTCGTAGCATTATCTATGTCTGCCAGCACTCCGCGTGCCGTGCTTCGGCCGTCTGCTGACTTTGCGAGTATCACGAGGCAGTTACGGTAGAGAAGCAATATTCCAGCCCCAGGGCCTGGTGCTTTTCCGTCCAGTTGATATGGAGCGGTAATTTCATCTACATCGACTGCTGTGATCAAGCGGCCGTCCGGGAAAATCTTTGCAGGCCAGCCATCGACAAGCTCCCTCAAGCGACGAAGACTCTGTGCATGGCCAGATGGAGAAGAGTTCTCAAGTGCACATATGTCTTTCACCATGTCGCGAGCTTTCAATAAAGGACGCACAGCAGGATGAACCAGCGGCAAACTACCTGTCATGGTATCAATCAATAAACTATAGCGAGGAAGCCGCTGAACAGGTTCCATCAGAAGAGATCGTAATCTCTGTTCTCCAGTCTCATAAACTCGTTTTGAAAAACTGGAGTTCTTATCCTTCATAACTGAGTTAAGAGTCTGATTAAACCCGTTGTGCGCCCGCATGTATTCGGCATATGGCTGGGAGAATTGTGGCAACCAATCAAGCAATGCTTTGGCAAACTCAACGGCACCAATCACATCCTTATTCTCCCGGGCTACACCTCGACGTGAGGGAAGCTCAGTGTCCTGACCAATATCTTCGAGTGCGTCCCTCTCTGTGTCGTCGAGGACCTGTCGAATAACATCCAAGAATCCAAGATTGACTTCCAAAATTTCATCTAAACATGGTGGAAATAGTGTTTCTAAGGCGTTTTCATCGGGACTGGTACTGGAAGGGCCCCTGCCTTGGGCTTTTTGGCGGAACTCGTCGGCAACCTCATGAACAAGCGAATACAACTTGGCAACATATCGCTCCTCAGTATCCACGAGCTCACACATGGTGAGACGAACAGATTCTTTTTGAGCACGAGTAAATGTTCTGGACTTGCTCACGTTGGTGGATTGTGACGGCGCACGTTTGAGACGCGATGTTGGCAGAAACATAGGGTCCCCAAGTGCCATAATGAGAGGCGCATATGGGCCATATTGGAGGTTTTGGGACTCTTCAGAGTCTGAACTGGCGCTTTCTCTCCTGCCGGAGAGTTGTATAGTACCAGTTGGGAGGATGACATCAAGGTCAGTCCAAGGAATCTTGCGCTCCTGGAAAGAATTGCGAATATCTCGAATAATCTCCGTCGAATCTTCAACCTTTGTCATACGGCTGGCCAAGTCTGCGGCGTGCATCTCGGCGAAGAACTTTGGGGCTCGACCGCCTTGTTGTGCCGTTTGTGACCTCTCAGCCAAATGAGTCTTTAGAGGATCCGATAACTCGGTGAAGTATTTCAACATGCTTACGGCAAGTGCGCGACAAACCGCATCGCCTTGTCTTTCGCGGGGTAGATGGTTCACAGCAGCGTAAAGCGGTGCAGCCGGTGAGATTGTTATTCGATTGTAGCTTTGGAAGCCTGCGGGGCTGAAAATATGCGCCTGAATGCGCGAACTGCTCACGGTGGCATTGGCGGTTGCAACTGGGCCATAGAAGACGAGAACGGAGGAGAGGTAGGAGTCGACGGCATGGTAAAGACTGAGGTGTTCCAGCGGGATATCCGACAGGGTGCCTGCGGGCGCACCTGCGTTGGCCGCCATGGTGGATTGCACTTGCCTCGCAAGTTGGAAGTACCAGGGAATATGAAGGCAAGAGAATGTTATTTGATAGAGCTGGAACAGGAAGTGGAAGGAGCGACAGAACACAAGGAAAGCGCGGTGGCGCACAAGTTGGAAAGAGGGTGATAGCGGAAGTGGTTAACAGTCCATTTGGAGAGACAGAGAAAGTGATCGAAAGCAGTCGCAACACACAAAGTCCCCCTCCATACAGTGGCAAGTCAAATAAGGACTACCACTTCTTCAGTTGGCGAGCGCATAGAATGCGACGAAGGGACATCTGGAGTTGTTTTGGGCGCAAGCGGGGGATATGATAGCGGTGCGATAGGGCGATAACTGGGGGGGCCTTGGCAAGCCTGGAGGGCTCGTGGGTGCTCTCTGTGTTTACGTTTTGTCCGGCCAACGCGACTTTTCCTCCCCGTTGCTCTCCCCAACCACCTGCAAGGCAAGTCACAAACGGATAATCGAATTGTATTTTGAACCCCCCTAGCTTGGCTTCCTTTGCCTATAATATGGAGTAGATGGTGGTTGAACCAAGTCCTTCCAAGGTTGTGTTTTGCACATGTGGGTTGTCAACATGCAAAGAACACCTAGAAAAAAAGATGCCAATAACCTTCACTCTACTGGTTTCGGAGGATTTCATACATATCATAAATTTTGAGCAGAAACAAAGCAATTATAAAGATTAAAGTGTCCACATCTTGGTGGTATTATCGTTTTAGGTCCACTGTCTTGGATCTGCCCGAAAAAGCTATATATAAACAAACCGATAGTCCCCCCAACAACTCCACTTGCATTACATTTTGCTGCATGCATGTCAATGGGCATCAAGGATATTCCGAAAGGATCAGCACTACTATAACAAAATTCGTTTCTCTCTTATTTCTGACCAATTGATCATTTGAGAGTTACTGTTTTCTTGGTGCCAGAGTATGGAACTTATTCAATTGGTCTGAGATAAGTAAGATAGATATTAATACACACACTATATGTAGGAACGTCTGGAGGAACAAGCCTACTTTTTATATCGAAGATGTCATAGAAAGACTTATCTATCTATGAATCAGAACTGAATCAGAAGGAAAAGGCATTATATAGTCACAATTGCAAAAGCTGATTGAAAGGGTGCAAGACTCATCCTTTTGTAGCAGCATTTGAGCCATGGTGTCTTCATCGGTATTAAATTACATAAAAATACCACAATACAGCTGAATTCTCCAATAATATTTGTTTAATACCAGATCTGCTGACTCACATGGTCTTGACCCCTGACAAAGGCGGTGAACAGGCGGGGAAGACGCTAGGCTCAGACAGGCAAACAGCAGCTCATCGAGAGACCAGCTGTTGTTCGCCGATTCTCGATTCCTCGGTGACACCACAGGGCACATCTCCCGGCCGAGATGCTCGATTCAACCATGTCAGAGCCTTTACCTATTGCCATAGACCCCGTGGCCCTGGTGACCACAGAATGCATCACCGTTACCTCGTCCATGCGGAAGCATGCCCGCTGGGCGCACTCCTCCGTCTCCGCCATCCTGGGCGGCAATGGAGGCACCCGCGTATACGATCGGGACTCCTCTGCACCTCCAAGTCCGCGCAAAAGCCCACAAGAATTTCACAGTGATGAAGACCATGCCCTGGCCAATCGATGGGGCCTGCGAGGGAAGAAGGGGAAGAGCATGCAGGATAACCCGTTGATATCGGCCTTTACCCGCCTGCGGAGTGATCTCAAGGGCTGCAAAGACATTCGCGCCTTTGATACTCCCGCCCTACTTCATCCTTTCTTGCAGGTTATCCGATCCTCCTCGACCTCTGCCGCTATCACCTCCCTTGCCCTGATCGCCGTGACTAAGTTCTTTTCCTACAACATTGTCAACCGGGACTCTCCTCGACTTCCCATGGCCATGCAACTCTTATCAGCCGCCATTACACATTGCCGCTTTGAAGCCAGCGATTCTTCTGCGGACGAAATTGTCTTGCTGAGAATCCTGAAGCTGATGGAGGGTATGCTCTCTCGACCAGAAGGGGAACTCCTTGGGGACGAGAGTGTCTGTGAGATGATGGAAACAGGCCTCAGCATGTGCTGTCAGAGTCGATTATCTGAGGTATTGCGAAGGTCTGCGGAGATGGCCATGGTCAACATGTGCCAGGTCATTTTCACGCGCCTATCATCCCTCGACCAAGACACGCCGACCGGGCCTATCCCATTCGCAGACGAAAGCACCAAGAAGGATACATCCAACCTTAAAATGGATCCATCTGTAAATGGTGACACGGTTACTTCACAACACAAGTCTGTGATGAGCTCAGATACAGCAACCGCAGATCGAGACAGCACCAGCACAGAGGGAGCACACGAGCAGACCGGTAATGGGGGAGCGGCAGCCGCACCCCCAAGCCCGCAAACTGGTGATGAGAGCGGAGAAATACAACCATACTCTTTGCCCTCCATCAGGGAGCTTTTCAGGGTATTGATTGATCTTCTCGACCCGCACAACCGGCAGCACACTGACACAATGAGGGTGATGGCCCTGCGTATCATCGATGTTGCTTTAGAAGTAGCTGGTCCCTCTATTGCTCGTCACCCAAGCTTGGCTGCTTTGGCCAAAGATGATCTTTGCCGTTATATCTTCCAGTTGGTTCGTTCTGAACAATTGGCGATTCTCGCTGGATCTCTCAGGGTTGCTGGTACATTATTGTCGACATGTCGACCCGTGTTGAAGCTTCAACAAGAGCTCTACTTATCATACCTAGTGGCTTGTCTCCACCCGCGTGTTGAGATTCCACGGGAGCCTGGTATTGATCCGTCTCTTTATGAAGGCGTGCCGCAAACCCCAAAATTGGTCAAGCAACCGGCATCGCAGAGTAACAGCGGCAGAACAACACCGGTCCCGGTTAAGGATCGGCAGAAACTAGGGCTGGAAGGCGGTTCGAGAAAACCAGAAGCTCGTGAAGCAATGGTTGAAAGTATTGGTGTATTGTCACGCATCCCAAGTTTCATGGTCGAACTTTTTGTGAACTATGACTGTGAAGTCGATCGAGCCGACTTGTGTGAGGACATGATTGGCCTGCTCTCTCGAAATGCGTTCCCCGACTCTGCAACATGGAGCACTACAAATGTCCCTCCACTCTGCCTCGACTCTCTTCTTGGGTACGTGCAGTTCATTTACGACCGGATGGATGATAAACCGATACCTGGGGACTACCCTCCACGAGACCGCCTTCGAAACCAGCGCAAAACGAAGAAACTTATCATCAAGGGAGCTCAAATGTTTAACGAAAACCCGAAGGCTGGAATTGCCTACTTAGCAGAGCATGGCATTATTGAGGACCCAAGCAACCCTGTTTTGGTTGCTCGATTTTTGAAAGGCACAGCCCGCTTGTCCAAGAAGGTACTTGGAGACTTCATCTCAAAGCGTGACAATGAAGAGTTGCTGGGTGCGTTTGTGGATCTTCTTGACTTCTCAGGAAGGAACGTGGTGGAAGCACTCCGGGAGTTACTCAGCTCTTTCCGACTACCGGGTGAGTCGCCGCTTATCGAAAGAATCGTCACAACCTTTGCAGAGCACTATACCGAAAAGGCGCAGCCAGAAGGAGTCGCGGACAAGGATGCTCTTTACATTCTTACTTACGCCATCATCATGCTGAACACGGAACTGTACAACCCCAATGTAAAGTCACAAAATCGCATGTCGTTCTCTGCCTTCGCTAGGAACTTGCGCGGAGTCAACGGCGGCGGTGATTTCACCGAGGAATTCCTACAGGAAATCTATGACTCCATCAAGAATAACGAGATCATTCTTCCTGACGAGCATGAGAACAAGCACGCCTTTGATTACGCATGGAAAGAGCTACTTCTAAAGTCATCGGGTGCTGGTGATATGGTTGTGGGGGAGACCAACATGCACGATGCCGATATGTTTGAAGCTACGTGGAAGCCAGTGGTAGCAACATTATCTTATGTTTTTATGTCTGCATCGGACGACGCAGTTTATTCTCGGGTCGTCAATGGTTTCGACCAATGCGCACAAATTGCAGCTCGGTATGATTTGACCGAGGCGTTCGACCGTATTATCTACTCTTTAGCCTCTATCAGCACTTTGGCCACTAACAAGCCGCCAAGTACTGCGCTTAACACCGAGGTACAGGCAGGCAAAAAGAGTGTCATGGTGAGCGAGCTAGCTGTCAAGTTCGGAAGGGATTTCAGAGCACAATTGGCCACTGTCGTTCTTTTCCGTGTTTTATTGGGCAATGAGTCTGCTCCTAATCAGGGCTGGGAACACATTGTCCGCATTCTCAGCAACTTGTTCATCAATTCCTTGATCCCGCCTTTTGACTCTACGCTGACGGCTGAGCTTGATGTCTCCCCTATTCCATTACAACCCCCATCACTGGTAGTGGATCGCGACAACCGTGTTAATGACTCGGGATTGTTATCTGCATTCACATCTTACCTCTCCAGTTACGCGGCTGATGATCCACCTGAGCCGTCAGATGAGGAGCTTGACAACACTCTTTGCACAGTGGATTGCGTCACTGCATGCTCGATATCAGAAATTTTGACCAATTTCAAGTGAGTATTTTGTGTGTCAATGTTCTAACTAACATGCTGACTCTTCACCAGATCTATTCCTCTGTCATCTCTTGTGAAGCTTGTGGAGGCATTGCTATCTCAACTACCGGAGGAGAATGCACCTGCAGTCATTGTTGTGAAGCCGGAACGATTAAGCCCCGTATCAAGGCCCACAGGCGCCAGAGTTGACCCGAACCAGCCGAAATACGATCCATCAATGATTTTCAACTTGGAGTTGGCAACTGTGCTCACTCTTCGCGATAATGAAACTCTTGAGACTCTTGGCGAATTACTTGCGACTACCCTGCAGACTTTAGTGCGAGACGCTAAGAATCTCCATCCGTTGACTATGTCACGCATTGTCTCTTACCTTCTCAATCTTTTACGACTCAGCCATGTAGGTGATTATAGGCTCCTTATTTAATTCATTCTCTAACTAATCATAGGATCAGCACTTCCTGCGAGTACCGGTTGTGCTCCATGCTATCTCTGGATATGACCAAGACATCTTAGAAACACTTGCTGTACCAACAGTGAGGGGCCTTTCGCGATGCATCGCTCACCCCGGCCGTTTGCGAAACGAGATCACAATTTCTCCAGATTTCTGGTCTATTCTCCAGAGATTAATTCAACACGAGGAGTCTGCCCCTATGGTCTTTGAACTCTTCCAGAGCATTGTGAAGTCAATGCCTGACATCGTTACCGCCGACAATTACAAATCTGCCATCTCCCTTGCAAATGACTTTGTCAGCGCAGCGCATGTGGGGTCTATTACCGAACGTCGGAGAGATGGCCACGCTCGGAGAACTAAGGGTATCAAGCAGCCCAAGTCTACGTATGGCAGGCCCTATCATTTCACATCAAGCAAATGCTAACGAGTGAATAGCGAAAATCAAATTGTCACCCGCGGGGTCAAGGCAATCGGTTTAATCTACGATTTGACAGCTCGGGTTCCCACGCTCATCAACCAGTCTCACCTTGAGACACATGAAGGTCAGTCCCTACAGCTTTCAGTCCCCAATCACAGTCGATCTTCTAAGCTAACGGAAATAAGCAGCCTGGGCCGCTTACTGGTATCCGATTCTCCAAAACCTTTCAGGCCAGTGTATAAATCCATGCCGTGATATTCGACACCATGCTATCTCCACCCTCCAACGGGCTCTTCTGTCTGCCGAGTTAATATCCGGCGATGACCAGGAATGGACCACCCTATTCGATGAGGTCCTTTTCCCACTCATCTTGCGCCTTCTCAAGCCTGAGGTGTATCATTCCGATCCTGTTGGTATGAGCGAGACCCGAGTTCAAGCAGCAACATTGGTTTGCAAGATCTTCCTGCGCTTCCTCGATCAGCTTCCTAACCGAGAGGGGATGCTTCCTCTCTGGCTCCAAATTCTCGATATCCTCGACCGTATGATGAACAGCGGTCAGAGCGATAGCCTCCAAGAAGCGATTCCCGAGAGCTTGAAGAATATCCTTCTGGTCATGGCCGATGGCGGCTACCTTGTCCCTCCGGCTCAGGACCCTAAGAAAGAGGAAATGTGGCTGGAAACTCGCAAGCGTCTCGGACGATTCCTACCCGATCTTTTCGCTGAGATTTTCCCCGACGCGGGTAAGGAAGGTGAGAAGTCTCAGCCTGGCTCTGGGGTCACGTCTCCAGCAAAGCTGAGCCTCGATGCAACAAAGGAGCGTGATGAAACTGCTACACTGTCGACACCTGCCGTGGAACAGACAACAGAGACTGCTGCCGACGAGAAATCTGCTCCTACCGAGGAGGTTGCTTCGACATAAGAGTCTTTGTTTCTAATCTCCGACTGCGTGCAGTCCTTGCTTCTTTGCTTTTTATCTGCATTTACATATAGATTAGCGCTGGAGTCGCAGCCTTGTGATTTTGAATTTCTTCCTCCTACTCAATTTCGACTGTAGATAAGTGCGATTTCTTATTGGCGCTACCTCATAATAAAAGAATTGTTGAATAATGAAGCTTCGAGAGAGCAATCGAAACAGGTACAATATTTGAAAACGTCTATTATCCAGGACTGCCATGCACAACCATCTGCACCATGACTCTAGCGTCCTGCCTTATAGCTGATAGCCTAGAGATTTTGTTGTATTCATTTTCAGCTCCAAGACAAATTACGAGATTCAATGACATGGAGTGAAAATTTGAAAAAGAATCAATACCTATAGATAAGAAGCTAGGTAATGTATGTAAGTGTTTGTACAACAGAGAACAGACGCCCCGTTGAAATCAGGAATGTCGTGAAGCGGGGAGAAGAGACATGTAAAAAATGGAATGGAAATCAATTCTTCATTCACGAGCAGGATATGGTCGAGTCAAGGCAAGGAAAAATAGCGAGTCGACGTCAGACTGGATATGCGACGAGAAAAAATAATAAAGAGGACAGATGACTGAATGTCAGATGATACTTATACTAGAGAAGAATAGAAAATGCCAAGGAAACAAAGTGATGCGAAGCAGATGAAAGGAACATTCAGTTCAGTTGAGCAGGCTCAGGTGAATGCCTCCTCCTGAGATGTTCTTAGTAGGTAGTGGACATGTAAACTGCCTATTCATCCATGTCGTCATCAAGGTCGATAGCATCGGGGTTTGCCGGAGCTGCAGGAGCTGCTTCACCAGCCGGCGGAGGGCGGTTACCACCCTCTGGGCCGGTGCTGGCAGCAACAAAGCCGACGGGGGCCCGAGCTTGGCGTTCGATAGCAGCCATAGCATCCGCACGGTCTGCATCCTCGTCTTCGCCTTGCTCGCCGTCTGGGCGTTGCTGGCTGCGCGCAATAGCCTGCGATGCGATGAAGTTGACATCGGTGCTGTAAGATTGTCAGTAAATTGTTTGAAAAATGTGAATGAGAGAGAACATGGACATACTTGTATTGAGCCTGGACACTTCTCTTGATGCGGAGCATCTCCTTGAATGTGTCCTCGTTTCCGTGTTGCACCTCGAAGGCCTCCCATTTCTGCCAGAAAGGAGCATTCGTGCGAGGATCGCAGAATTGGGAGGCGTGGCCGTAAATCGCACGAGCACGGTCGATTTCACCAAGCCGGCGTTCCATCTCGGCGAATTTGAGACACATCTCCTTGGCCTCCTGGTCGGGAAGAGCTGCGATAGCCCGTTCGTAGATAGGTCTGGTGGATGTAAGACCGAAGTTGGAGGCGGACTTGGTGATGTAAAATTCGAACAATTCGAACCGGTCCTCGTCGGAGACAGCCCGGGTTGCACGCTCATAGATACGCATTGCATGTCGTGCAAGACCTCGCTCTTCCTCCAAGTTTCCATACATCAAGTAAAGGGGCTTGGCAAACTTCGGTGGGCACCCATCTAGGGCCTGTTCGAAGAGGTCGCGCAGTCTCTCGATTCCGATCTTGCGATCGACAGCCTTGGTCAGGTACAAATTCCAGAGTTCAAAGGCAACAGGATAACTGAAGAGATCTAGACCGCGCTCGTACACCTTGAACGAATCTTCGAAGTAGTCGTTCTCCTCCAGCAGGTTTGCGTAGTTGACAACAGTCTGCGGTGTCGCAATACGAAGCTCGAAGATGCGCTCATAGACCTTTCTTGTCTCGTCTAATGAAGACACACTCTCAACTAGATCAACATAGAAACTCCACAACTTCCAGCTCTTGTGGACTCGCTGTTGCGGAGACAAGGTCTCATCGAAGTAATCCACAGTGGATTTCTTGGGCGCTTGAGTGGCCTTGGCCATGATACTAACAGCCTGATCAAAGTTCTCCGCACGCAACTCCATCTCGGCCCATTCACACCATGTCTCGGCCAGCTCAGCTACAGATTTGTATGGAACCTTGACAGCCTTTTCGAAAATGACTCTAGAGGTTCCTAGATCCCCGCCATTCTCATAGAGTTTAGCGTAATTGACCCACAACTCCGAGAACTTGCCATGAGCTTTCTTTGGGTTGATAGCGGCGATAGCAGCTGTATATGTGTTGACAGCTTCCTGTTTGTTGTCTCCCCATAATCCAACCCTCTTCTCCCATTCAATGACATTGTTGGGATTCTGACGCAAAAGGACATCATTGACTAGGAATGGTCGTCGATCCATCAATTGCTCGAAGCGCAGCATGCGTGAGTCAAGATCGAAATCGGCTTCTTCGTCGAGTTTACCCTTTTCAGATCGGACTGCTGCTGCTTCCATCAGGCTACCGATGATGGATTCCTCGAATTCGACATAGGAGTCAAAGATCAGTGTGAAATCACGGACTGTCATAACAGTGGTGATTCCCTCTTCAAACACATCGCGCGCCTTTTCGAAGTTACCCTTGGTGATCCAGTAGGTTGCCAGGCCAGCCCAAAGCTTTCCTCGCTGGTCTGCAAATCGATCAATGCCACTTCGGAGAATGGCATCCACATCGATTCCCACTTGTGGGCCTACTTCAATTTGCTTCGCCTTCGAGACCAGCAGATCAACCATCTCGGTCCATAATTGGAAATTGCTTCTGCCGTGCTTGGACTCAAACCGCGGGTTGTCGAGAATTTCCATGAAGACCTTGACAGCCTCCGTATATTCACCCATCTCCACCAGAATTTCAATGTATTCCTCTGCATTCTCGGGGTGAATTTGCATGTACCGAGCCCAGATCTTCACGGCGGTCGGCCCAGATGCAGATCGCGCGAAGCCCTTGTACAGTCTCCAGATTCGGTTGTGCTGGGTGACTGGCAATGCCCGGAGAGCCCGATCGAAGGTCCGCCGTGTTTGCGTCACCATGGGCTGCTGCATCAGAACGGTGAGGTACATCTCCCAGATGCGAGGCATTTTGTTGAGAAGAACCAGGGCTTGTTCAAAAAGAGCATTCACTTTCAGGTATTCCGCGCGGTAGACAGTAGGATTGCGCCCCTTGAGGTGCTTTGTTCGGAACTCCAGGTACTATGACAAGGACCAGTTAGTCAATCGATTCTTGACAGCCAATTTCAAACGTTTCTCACCATCTTCCACAACTTGTATGAGCGGGGCAATTGTCGGCATGCACGCTCCATAATCTAGTAAGAAGGATGTTAGAATTGTTTCCAAAGAGTCTGAGGTGTTGAGGTATAAACATACAAAAGCTTGCTCATAGAGCGTGCCATTTTGCTGCTTGAATTCGATGTATGCCAACCATGGCTTAATACTTCCAACTTCACGCAAAAGATCTTGTTCATAAACAGTGTCCTGGTCAGTCTGATACAGACAGATGTTAGCTCAAAGAATTTTGGGTTGAGAGAAAAGAACATGCAGCGGGCGCTTACAATCAGGTAGAGGTCCGGCCGGGACGCAGATGGGCGATCCATCTGTGCGTGCTGCCGGTTTGATCTCGGGGGCAGGAGCGTCCCTGGCATAGCGCCACTCTGTTCGAGCGGGATCAGGTGGCACGGTCGCTAGTTCAGCATGAGACAAGGGGCGTAGGTGGTGAAATTCCCAGGGAAATCACGCAGTCGCGCCCATGAAGGATGAAACGACATTGCAGCAATATAGTCACGTGACTAATGGTATATCCTAATATGGAGGCGGTGTAGCGCTATCGGCGTCATATCAATGTGGCCGCACGTCTACAACTGCTGTTGGTCTAGTTCTCTTTTTGGTTTTCTACTAAGCTGCCGTCATGTCCGGTGCTGTGGTGAGTGCAATGTGTTATTAATTCGCCATATTATCGGTATAATTGATTTTCTTTTATGCAGGGCCGAGAGCCAGTCTTCCCAACTCGCCAATCATTGGGGTTGATGAAGAGCAAGCTGAAGGGAGCCGAGATTGGACACAGCTTATTGAAACGAAAGAGTGAAGCATTGACCAAGTATGGCCTCCACATTGTACTCGATATTTAGAGCTCCACTAATCACTTATACCTTTCATAGACGTTTCCGAGGTACGATGTCTCTTGAGGAGTTAGACCCAGATCCTCCCCGCATCCCGCATTCCCATTCTCCAGAGGTTAATTCCAGTCTATAGATATCACACGTCGCATCGATGAGGCCAAGCAAAAGATGGGTCGGGTTATGCAAATTGCTGCCTTTTCCCTCGCTGAGGTGAGCTATGCAGTTGGCGGCGATATCGGATATCAGGTTCAGGAGTCCGCCAAACAAGCTCGCTTCCGAGTGCGCGCAAAACACGAGAACGTCTCCGGTGTCTTGCTTCCCCAATTCGAGAGTTACACAAAGGAGGGTATCAATGACTTCGCTTTGACGGGTCTTGGTAAGGGTGGTCAACAGATCCAGCGCTGCCGGGAGACCTATGCGCGGGCTGTGGAGACGTTGGTGGAGCTGGCTAGTCTACAGGTATGGATAGTGGAACACCATGATTGCTTGCATGCATGGCCAGTCGCTAATTTTTCTAGACTGCCTTCTTGATTCTGGATGAGGTTATCAAGGTTGTCAACCGAAGAGGTAAGCATATCATCGAATTCGCTGTCCCTGTATACCAAAGCTGACTCGTCTTCTAGTAAACGCCATGTGAGTTTCATTCTCTAAGATATGCGGTAGGCTATGATGTATTATACTAACACCTCGCTCCAGTGAGCATGTCATTATTCCTAGAACTGAGAACACCATAAAATGTTTGTGCCATTGCCCTTACTATCAATATCAATCACGATACTTACTCAAACCGTACAGACATCAACTCCGAGCTCGACGAACTGGACCGAGAGGAATTCTATCGCCTCAAGAAGGTCTCCAACAAGAAGCAGCGCGACGTTGCGGCTGCCGACGCCGAGATGCTAGCTGCCAGGCAAAAGGAAGCTGAGAGGAAAGCACAGAACGGGACTCCAGCCCAGGAGGCCGAGGAGGTTAAGGAGGTGGAAGAAGCCGAGACTACGGATGTTCTAGGTGAACAAGAAGACAACGACGTGATTTTCTAGGGATTTTCTTTTCTTTGCATTTTATTTCTTATTTCGGACTACGCCTATTGTCCCCCTAGCATTTGATTTTGATATTTGTATCATTTTTGTCAAGTACTACGGAGTAACTCTGTACTGTTTTGGCCACCGATTGGCTTCACGTCCAGAAATATACTTTGATTTACTGGACCAACACAGACGCAATCAATTAAGAAACCTCGGAAGCAATCATGATGAGTTATTTGAACCATAAGTTACCTAGGTAGTCTTTGCATTGCTACACAGGTAAGATAAGACCCCCAAACGCCAGCAGAACAAGATCAGATTTTCCTTTTCGGAGATGTGCAATAGCCAAGCGACTATTGTCTCTGGTAGGTGACGCGGATGGCTTTGCCCTGTTCGCCCATGGGCATACCCGAAGTAGCCTCCTTTGCACTAATGGCCCCTGCCTCAGTCTCATACTCGACGAATGCAATACCCTTGCGGCCAGGAACCAATCTAACTTCCTTGAACCCTTCGAAGCGACCAAAGATAGATGACAGACCCTCCTCGTTGGCGTCATCGGGGATTTCCCGCAGGAACAGAATCTTGTTGGGCGGGAGGTACTCATCTGGGACGACAGCAGTGGTAGTACCAGAGGTAGGCTTGAGGCCGGTACCCTTGGTCGTCTTTGCGGGGCGAGCAGGCTCGGCGGCGGCGGCGGGACGCTTGAGCTTCTTCTGGGCCTCGAGGGCCTCGTGGGCTTGTTTGCGCTCTGTGAAAAATAACGAGAAAATCAACTGTCAGTTATATTATACTTCCAGCAGTCAACGTAGTCACGAAGAGACCACTGTAACATACCCTTCTCCGCCATCCGTCGTCTCTTATGAGCCTCGAGCTCTTCCGTCCCGCTTTCCCGCAGAACCGTAGCATCGCTTCTTGTCTTCGCGTAATCTAGGACCATGGGCTTATCGAAAAGATCAAACCCATTCACCTCATCAATGGCACGAGTGGCAGCCTCCACACTGTCGTAGACAATGAAAGCCTGGCCCTTGGCGCGGAGGTTGGTCTTTGCGACAATCTCAACCACATTGCCAAATTCTGAGAAGATCTCTTCCAGAGCGACCTTCAGTTGTTCGACTTTAATGTGCTCCTCTAGATTTCGGACCTGGCGGGTTGGAAAAAGGCATATGTCAGTTCAGGCTGCGGGCAGCGGAGCGGTTGGAGATTGCGGGTGAAGAGGGGGAGAGACAGGTCCATACATATACACTGAGCAGGCACGTTAGTGATCAACAGTAAAAGAAGTCGTGAATTAGATAGACTCACGTGCTATTGGGGGGGGTGGTCCCTTCTGATGCGCCAACGGTCGCCATGGTTGCGACAGAATGAGCTCTGGAAGCTGAAGCTGGGTGAGGTTGAGCTTCTGCTTTCTGTCCGAGAGATTAGAGGAGCCGTAATCATTCAAGCTTATGTACCTTAATCAGGCCACCCATCACATGAACTAGCATCATTGGTCTAGTGGTAGAATTCGTCGTTGCCATCGACGAGGCCCGTGTTCGATTCACGGATGATGCATTCCTTTTTAGTCTCTTTTTTTGGTCCACTCAACAACTTCCTTTTTCTTTTCCTCTGCACTTTTCGAATCTTGAATTTTAATTTTAGACTCAGCTCGTTCCACCGCTGCTTTAGAATTCAAATATTGGCCCAAAGTGTCATTTTTAAGCAATTTACGAGTCTTTGTGTATGACATTCTCATTTACGGTGAGAAGTTAGAGGGTCATGTACGATACGTACGAGATATTCGAGAGAGACTCTGGAAAGCAGGGTTGCAGGCAACCCAGATAGATGTGCATCGAGATCCCTAGGGTCTTATATATACTGTCACACGATAGGGACATATGTATTCTTCAGGATTTCCGAGTACCTGCATGTGAGAGGACCATTTCATGATTCAATATTTATGTGTATAGGTATATGTAACCTAGGTACGCAATCAGTGTTGGGGATTCAATTCCCCAATGTCCATAATTTAGGTGATTTATGCCACTAGAGCGGCCCTTAAGCTGTCTACCTTCTCCTTCAGCTCCTTCGGGGGTGCAGACCAGTCCTCGTACTTGATATCCTCAGAGTCGGTCATTATGTAGAGATATTCTGCTGCACTTGAACGAACCTGTTGCAAAAGATTAATTAGTATCATAATTCATATCAAGAGCAACATATCAAGCAGATCATACTCTTGGGAATGGATGCAACAGCATCACTGTCAGCTTCTTCAACACGTCTTCTCGCAAAGAATCAAGTCCTGACAGTGCGGCATAGACCTTGACCCCGCCCTCCAAGCGAGCAATATTTGCTGACCGGAAATGGGCCTTCTGGGTGAGGACAAAGACCTTTCGGAAAATGGGGTTTGACCGATCTGGACCGGCAACAGTGTAACCATGATAGCTGTCCAATAAGAACGCAATAAGCTCAATGATTGGAATAGCATAACGGTCATCCTGAAGATTATCACTTAGGGCATTTGATAAAACTTGCAGAAACTCAATCAAGATATTGGAATCCGAGTGGGAGTTGTGGTTATTGAGAAACTGAATCAAAGCGGCGCGTGATGCGCGGATAAGACCCTCAGCGCCAGCAACTGCAGAAGTGGCTAGACCTTGTAGCATTGGAAGACGCAGCCACTCTTGACTCCAAGAAGAAAGTAGTTGAAAGAAATATTCCTCAGAGGATACATCGCTAACATGCTCGAATCTCCTGCTCGAATTAGCTCTGCTCGAGTAAATCCTCGAAAGTGAGACCACTTACTTGTGGAAAGGATTAAATTCCACCATTCCCCAGAAACAGTCCTGTAGACAAAGCGATGCTTGTACTCTGACTTTGTCGAGTTTCTCGCATGCAAGACGACAAAGGCGCCCGGCGAGCTCAAAAACAATAGGTAAGTTTTGTGAGAGTTTGGGTTGGAGTATCCTTGCTACTTCAATTGCCTCTATCCGAATCAATGATCCGATATCTCCTCTCCTGTCGGTGGTGTAGTCATCGAGGAAACCAAGCAGACTGTGGGCAATTGTCTGAGTGAAGGCTATGTAAACATCAGTATCCATTCGTTTTTTTCGTCTGTACTCACCGATACGTACGTGAAAGTCTGATCGTATGTGGCACAATTCCAGTAGCGAAGCATCTAACAGCAAGCACTCGCTTTTCGATGACCTCCTCTTTTCCAGCACATTTCAGCAGTTCTGTGATTATGCTCTGCTGCAGATTATCTTGACCCTCAAGCTGTTTGAACACGGCACCAAGGGCTAAAATTTGGCCACGGCCACCGGACAGCTTCGACGAGGCGCGAAGATGGGAAAACCATGCCTGCACGGTAGTGTCCTGTTTCTTTGGTGATAAAAGCGGAAATAGCAGAGAAAGTGCATCTGACGATGTTTGAATAGAAATATCTTCACCCCGAGAAACGCACAAAGACAAAATGTGGAGAACACGGTCGAGCAGTGCATCTGATGGTCGACCGATCCCAACCGAGATGCTTGCTTGACAGAGTTTTGAGATCAAACAAGAAGATGCCTCTGCTGTCAACTCAGGACGGAAACTCTGAAGGGTCAGGTCGTTATCAGTCGGGCTGTACAGGGACTCAAAGATTTCCCACAGCCTAGCAACCTGTGAAGAAACTTCTTTTCCTTCCTGCGTATCTCTTGCCTCTGGAGATGCATCCCACTCACAGATATACGCGTCAATCGTAGTGGCGATCGATAATAGACATCCATGTCGGGACTCCACATCACCCCGAGGAATACGTGAAAGCTTGCCCAAGAGCCGCTGCAGAACAGTGTTCATGGTTTTGAAATTTTCCTGTCTGCTCAATAATCCAATTGACCGTGCTGCTTGTCGACGTGATTCGGCATCCGGAGAGCCGATACCTCGCCAGTTCATTAAAGCCTCCAGGAGCGGACCCCAGTACACCACATCCAGAGAAGCGGTAGATTTGGCCACATCAATCATGGCCCGGGAACGCCGCGCAACGGAATGGTAGTCCACGACCTGCACAAGTGGAATTCCCTCAGTAATCATATTGGGGTGACGACCGATCAATTCCTGCAGAGCAGCAGAGGCACCTCGTCGAATATTCCCAGACGGATCTACACAAGCAGAGCAAATCAACTCCACGGCTAGTTTCTGTAGAACATCTACTTCGGCATTTCCAGAAATCGAGGGAATAGTTTGCGCTGGTATAGCTTGTAGTTCGGAAGTAGTGTACTTTCGAGATAAGGCCCAAACACCAAAGCAAGCGGCATCACGAACACCAGTTCCCATAGAGCTGCCGGTGGATGACCGTTGTTCGAAATCTAGACATGAAATGAGCGATTGGAGGATTTCAGAGAGCTGATGTAATGGAGGTGCACGACGAAACAACAGATGGGATAATGTGAGCATCAAACCCTGCCATTGCTGCGCATCAACACCACTCGTGTTGCGTTTAAGCGAATGTAAACCCGCATTACGTGCCTCAAATGGGGTTATTAAGGTACCATCGTCTTTTTCGTAAAGAATGTTCTCTCCCAGGGAGCCAATGACTGCTTCAATGACTTCGGTTCCCATTTCTGGATCTAGTTTCAAAGTGATGACACTGAGTGCCTTGCTTGAAGCAAACCGGACAGGTGTATCTTTGTCTGAAAGAGCCACAAGGAAATGATCAATCGAATCTTCCAGGATGGTCGACAGTTGATCATCCGTGAGGGTGCTATCTTCTTTTTCACTCAGAGACAGAGCCATGATGGTAATGTTGCGAAGAATTTTGACCACGATCTTTCGTGCCATTGCAGAGGTTTGAATAATAGCGGACACGTTCGAGTTACCCTGTGACAGAGCAATTGTCTTCTCAAAGACATCTTTGAGTAAAGAAGCGAAAACCTCCACCTGGCCAGAACCAGCCAGACGGGCTATGAACGAGAGAACCCCGATACAGGAATAGACCGAAGGTAGTTCCTCATTGTCTGCGGGATTCATGATAGCAAATGTCCAGTCAATAAGACGGGTCAATAACCCAAGGGCTTGCATGTCACCACGCAGGGTCAGTCGTGCCAAGAGAGCTGTTGCTGCCTCCCGCTCCTTGCCAGGAACATTAATGTAATGAAGGGCCAAAGACAACAGCGACTTCGCGATCATCGGCGTGTTTTCAGGAACAATTCCAAGCTGTTGGAGATTGTCATAAGGGACCGGGATATCATCTGAGGATAGCGACGATAGATCAAATGGCGCGAGCAGAAGATGCGAGAGCCAGACTAACATCATGTAACGCTCTTCCCACTGCAGCAACTGCGTATCTGGTCCTAAGGAGTCATTTGTGGGATCCGGAATAGAGGAGCTGTCCCATTCCACAAAAGCTCGCAGCATCGAATCAAGGTATTTGGGTTCGTTGTTAAGGAATCTGCTGATCACTTTGGCTCCACGAATCTTACAGAAGGTGTAAAGCAGCCTACAGATAGCTTTCGGGAGAGGATACAAAGCTGGACCTTTGGAAGCATTTGCAGCCTGAGAGCCATACTGACTGCGATGCTTGATCAAATACGCCAGAAAAGCATCCACCAGAGGAGGCAAAAGCTTCTGCAAATGCGGATCCAAGAGTTGAGGATATTCTTGGAAAGGTTCAAGCTGTGATAGAGTTAGTAAGTGTCACAAGTAAGTTGACTTCCTTCTCAAAACCACGATCCATGGCCTTACAAGGTTTACGAGCTTCTCCGTCTTGGAGACTGGTGTCCATTTGCGTGGGGTGCGGAGAGGGGTTCCATTTTCGAATCTCCACAACAATGACGGCAGCTTCTCCGAGAACTCCGTTACCAGGTCGCCAGAAGCTCGCTGTAGCTTCAAGTCCCGGTCCTCCACAGCATCCATTGCTAAAACCGGAAATGTGGCAGTTGTTGTGTCCTCGAGATTCGGTGAAAAGCATCAACAGCGGGCCCGGTCATGTGACTGGGCATCACCAAGTCGAAATGTTAACACTTCGTTGAAGGATTTTGCAATCCGTTAAATTGTGTCTCAAATAAACTTTATAATGGAATTCGAGAGCTGATAAGCATCCACTGTAAATTAATATTGGGCACGTTATCTAAAATTTGAATAGAACTGGGGATTATTTTGAAATTTCCCATGTATACATAGCTGAGGGCTTCAAGTCTGGTGCAGCAAAAACGTCTAGCACCTACATCTACGTACAATTCAAGTTAAAGCATGCTATAACATCTGAGATTTATGTTAAGACTATAAATACATCCAAATAAACAGCTTTGTAGGGAGTCAATTGACTGAAAGCCACTAAGGCATATAGATTGGAGGTTTCAAAAGTATCGCCAATCAGGTTAGAGACCGAGTAAAACCTGTGTACCTGAATACAACTAGTAATTCTTGGAGCTTTCAAGATGTACTATGTACTCGCACTTTAAACACAATGCCCACATGTATGAGGAAATACACCCTTATCTACTTCCAGATTAGGGATGTCCTATTATCGGCTAGTCCTCTTGACTTAAAATCATGCTCAAGATCTGAAACTCAAAAAAATATCAATAGATTTGGAATTCAGAACTAGAATGCAAAGACCATGATATCATATACTGGAACACGAAAACGAGCAAATTAGCTCAACTCATATGCTTCCACTTCAGCCGTGCCAGAAGTTCCAAACCGAGAAAAAAGATAGTCAAGAACCCGCCACCGCATAGAATCTCTTCAATAGTTGCCGACCACAGAATAGAAGACTCTAATTCAATTGATAATCAGTCGGAAAATTTGGCTGTAAACGAAATATCCACCCTAATCATTGGGTTGCAGAAGGAAAGTTGAAGTAAAGCTTATTGGCGTGTCAAACGCATTGTCGATCTGGCATTTTAGAGGTCATTGATTAGTTATAATCGTAATGTGGATATGAAATGGGCAATGTACTGCTAGACTTCCGATGGCTGTGATCAAGATGCCTCCCGCAGTAGCTGGAGTCGCGTCTCTTGTAGTGACCACAGTCTTCACAACTGACATTTCAGGCTTCTGAAAAACGCAGGAAATAAATTAGTTGTTTGGTATTAGCACCTAGCAGAAATATACTGACGGTCAAAGTTGCCATGATGTCGTCAGAACCTAGTTTTTGCGCGCCTTCCCATACTAACATCGACTCTGGACGCTAGGTCCATGAATGTTAGCTTGGTCGAAAGACTTGAAATTTGAAGATGACTTACATAGAGAGAGGCCAGGACAGGCTTCAAGTCCGTGTTATCGAATGATCCGAACCAATGATCAACAAAGTCGTCTAGAAGAAGTTAGCACCGTGTGGCCAAGTACAAACAAAAAGTCAATAGAAAGAACACGTGAGAGTGACGAGATGCAAATTTACTTACTGGCTATCTCCATGAAATCCATTATTGACGGACTTACTATAACACATCAGTATTAGTCCACTGAGCTGAACGAATCAAATGGCATAAAGTCTAGTACGCACAGTGACAGCTTTGGCTGAAAAGAGATTGAAGAGGGTGTAGTCTAAGAAGAGTAAGACCTCAAGGCTGATAATAGAGATAGAGTCAATGGTCAGGGGACTGCCGGATCATATATAACAGAAGAGGGGTACATACCAGTTGACCTCTTTCACCCCTGCCAATAGTAGAATGTGAACCATGCAAAAGCTAGCAAAGCCAACTCTGTGAAAGAAACAGACAAGGCATCCACACCGCTATTTATTACGAGATTCTTACATTTAACCAGCTCCAAAGAATAGATACCATACAACTTTGGAAGCCAGAGAGAGAATATACAGTTTCTTAAATTAACTTCTTCGTTACTCGGACCCACAGGAAAGCACACTATGTACAGTCATATAAGTGAACATGTATCAGTAATAGGAGAAGATAACCCCCGTGGCTGCGCTGGAACGCAAATGACCCGAAGTTTGACCGGAAAATTGACGCTTTAGGAAAGGCGCTTTGATTACCTTGTATCAAAGTGACCAATGAGCGGAGATATTTTGGCTTCAAAATTCGAAAATGGGCTCATTGAAATAAGACATGAAGACTCAAACCGCAAATTCCAAAAGATAGATTTCGGGCAGACATAAGATGTCCCTTGAGACATCCCACGGTGATTTATTGTATTTTGTCGTGGCGTTAGGCTCTTCGTTGGGCAATCTGTTTTTCAAATTCTTATCAAAAGGAAGTTGCAGGTAGAGCAATAGTACCACTGATATCAAATCAAGGTCCGAGAGCAGATAACTCAAATTTTTCATCTGCATGAAGCATTTCACTTTGACGAATGCTCGCCAAACACGAGGCTGAACTGACCACCGGCGCCTGCTGAAACCGGTTTTTCCCTTCAAGGTACTTGCTGTGAAGAAGAGTTGGCTTTTCAACCTCATCAAGGCCAGGCTGGCCAGCCTGACTTTGGGAATTAAACCCCCTACTATAAGCCTTCCCAGATTCTGTTATCACAAAGGAGTGATCGGTCCCCACAGTTCCGGAGACTATTTTGTCCCCCACTCCAGTTAGCAGGTTAGGCTGCTTGAGTATTCGTGGTCTACCATATGTATCATAGATAATATCTGATTGGGGCATGTCTTTGAGTGCAAGACCAAGTGCCATGTTATCAATGCGACCCCAAACTAGGCATTCGCCAAGCTCAGTGATAGCCTTGCTATGATCCTTTTCACCAAAGATCGAAACGAGCGAGGTATGTTTTTGAAAACAGGGGACTTTAGCTGGATATGACACAATTGCATCGTTTTGACCAGCGCTCATTGTGACGCCCGTTTGGCCAAAGTTGTTTGAGCCCCATGCGTAAATATGGCCCTTCTTACAGATAGCAAAAGAGTGATATAGCCCTACCCCAATATCTTGGATCTCGGTTGGGAGGGCGCATAACTCTGGGACAAGAGGATGAGATTTATGATGGCGACTTGTTCGACGTCTTCCCAGCTGATTCTGTTCATCACAACCCCAGCTAAAAACGGTGCCCTTCGACGTCAGTGCCAGAACGTGTTGTGCGCCAGTAACAATCTTGACGACATCGTGGACACCAGGGATCAGAAGTGGAGTCCGTTGCTCTTTTTTGCTCTCGGGGGAGAACCCAATCCCTCCTTTGGAAGTCTTCGATAGTCAGTCAATTGGTGAAATTCAAGAGTTCGGAGCCAGACCATCGGCAAACATACTCGGAAAGTTCCCCAGCCATAGACCCGGCCATCCGTCAACAGAGCAAAGGTTGCACTGTCTGAGGCAGCAAGTTGAGAGAAGACAGTGTCTCGTGGGAAATGTGAAGGATCCACAGGTAATGGAGTAGCTTCTTTTAGATTGTAAGTAACTTCATCTTCATCGCTCTCATCGCCCGACAGGGATTTGCCTCTGCCGTCGCCAGCGTCTTCGTCTTTATCTTGTCCAGTATCTCTTCCTAAAGCCCCTTCATCGTTGACGCCCCACGTCAAGATTTGGTTGTCATGAGTTGAGCCGCCGAATGTACCCCTCCAACAGCGATATGGACAACTCCAACATTTTCCGCGTTTAATTTCTGGTTGAGAACAGGTCGCAGCAATTCTGATTTCTTTGTTAGATCTCCTAACCCAAGTTCTCCGTAGCAGTTGGTTCCAAACACGTAGACATCGAGACGTTGAGTTGGTGGGATATTTGGTGCTGATGAATCTGTTGTACTGCGATAAGCCACTATGCATTGATTCCGGGATTTCCTTAAGGCTGTTGCCCTCTAATGTATCTTACCTTTCTGACCCCTGAGGCTTCTTCCAGCCGTTCCCGTGATCTTTGTCGCTCGTCCACTTCTCCTTTTTGGCTTAAGGATCATTTCTGTTAAAGCGGTACCTGGGCTTTGTTGTTTCGTGTTTTCCTTAAAGCTGGATTGGCGCTGAGGAGGCATAGTGAGATGTTTGAAAAATGATGCGGAATATTATTTTCGCAAGGCTGAAGTTAACAAAGAATAAGATGGAGTATAGTTGTGATTACGTTGTGGTAGCGACAAAGCAAGATTGTCCTTCTCCACCTGCAATTTAAGATGGTAAATCCTGGTATGCCCTATCCATTTTCCAGCTGCTTACAATTTTGAGGCCTAACCGTAGTTTAGCCTCCTTTCCTATCTCAGTTAGTAAGTTGAAAAACACGATTTGTTATAGCTTGTCTGTGTCTAATAGGAGAGTCTCCCTTAGCAGCAGAATACCTGGCCCACCAAAAGCCAATTCTTTGATGTGATCGAGTGCATCCAATTAATTCCTTTGTGAAATATAAAAGGTTTTGACAAATGAAGTTTTTTGCCTTCATTTCCTATTGAAATGAAATGATAGCTCCCTTTTTGACATTATCCATGTCCGCCTTTGCGAACGGATCTTTTTCATTAAAACTGTCTTTCTTGCGTTTTGCACTAGTCCAGGCTGTCACGTCTAGACTGCCACCACCGATTTTGTCATCGCCGAATGAGTACGGTAATTCCGATTCCATATAGCGTTTTAAAAGCTTGTCAACAGACCAAGGGTTCTCAAAGCCTTCGGGAAATGTGACCTCCTTCGCTTCGTACTTTCTCACAATAATCTTCAAGGTCATCTTTCGGTACCAAATCGACCTTGTACTTCGTAGCATAAGAGAGAACATAGGGAGTGAGCTCCTCGCCTTCATCCTCTATCCGCTCTGCCCATTGGAATTTAACAAAACGTAAGATCACCTTCATGATCATACCAAGATTTTGGACTTCCGAGTCTGGACCTAGGACACGCGCTTGCTGAAGGTTGAACAGCATAGACAAGAACATGTATAAGATCATACGATAAACAGCTTCAATGTTCTCCGCGTCCTCGCAACTGAATTAAGAATGCAACGGTTAGCAACTTTGTGGAATGGAAGTTCAAGACAAATTGAGATATATAAACCTACAGGGCCAAGGACGCAGCATCACCTCTCAGATGAAAGATAGCCATCGCCTCGCAAAGAGGCCACTGTTCTTTCCAATTGCCTTCCGCCGCGAGAAAATCGATGATTAGATTGGTCATCACCTGCAGCAGACCAATGCAAGATTGGTCCATGTACCCAGTCAGGCCAAACTTCTCTGGATCACGCATTGTCACCTGAGTAGTCATGTCACGGATCTTTGCAAATCCCGCAGCAGTCAGGCGCCAGGGATGATCGGGATGCTCTGAAGCCGGTTTTCTACACAAGCAGGTCTTGCCGCCGACACAGCGGGCAGGTTTCGGCTGCTTCTCTGAGCGTCAGCACGTATATCAATGAGCCAATGTCCGAGATCACCAACATCTCCTTCATTCTCAGCTTCCTCGAAGTCGTCCCATTCACGGCCATTGCTCAGGAGCTTTTTCCATTGCGTCTGAACATAGGCATTCGTATTTAAAGGCCTTTTCAGGGTCCTTCGTATTCTCTAAGTACATGGCGTGTGAATTCTTACAGACGGACACCTTGCTCCAGCGGCTCAAGGCGTAATCCTTGGCCCAATCAATACGCGAAGCGAGAGTGTCAGGTAATGCGCCTTTGGGTTTTTTGTGTTGGGGTTCCTTTGGTGGGTTGCTGGACGCAGTTGGTTCCGCGAGCTGTCGTTTGGGAGGCATAATTGGAGCTATTTTTCACACGAGTATTCAGAGCAATGGAAAAGAGAAATCTCATGGGAGAGGTGATCAATTAGGGAGACGCGATGACTTAAAAGCGCGTTTGTTGACAGTACGTCATTGGCTCACTGACTGGGCGATATGCCAATACTACTAGTCACATTACTTAGTAAGTGCTTCGCCTAACAACCTTATACCACACAGGAAAACAGCATGGGAGAAACAATTAAACATTCTCATGCTACAAGTATCAAACCTATTACAGTTTTTATGTATGAAATTGATGTTGAACCACGGTTAGACTAAGGATCGAGTCATATATCGTGTCGGCTCACGTAAACGGACGTATTTTATCGACCAATGGGGTGCGTTCTCGAATGTGTAACAGTCCGATTTACTATCTCTGCCCCTACCATGGGTTTTGTGAGTAAAGCTGACTAATAGTAAGCTTATTACATAATAATCCATATCTCCACAGCGACATATCGGAATGGTCACGTTCCTGTGACGTCATATGCACTGGGATCCGCACAATAACGCGAAATATCAATAAACAACTTTGAATCCAATCGGTCCAATTCAAAATTTGGACAGTCTCCCGTAGTTTCTCCAAGCGTAGTGCGTGAAGACATTCCTGTTAGGAGCTGCTATATCGGCGTTTTTTCGCACCCGACTCTGGTCCGAGCCGGAGCCGTTAGATTTGGAGTGGACCTAGGTCCTGGACTCTAATTATGCCTAGGCTTGGGGAAAACGTAATAGAATACGACAATTCCCGACACTTTGCCATCGTGGAATAGATGTAGTTTCAAGAGTGTTCTGGGACTATAACGAATCTGGCTTGGGTTGGTGACTAACATAAAATACCGCAATACTAGGCCGTCAACTAAGTACTTTGGTCCGAAAGCCCCTCCAGTGTGCTGTCTTTTGATTCTCATTTCCGATATCTGTCGCACCAAGCCTACGATCCTTGGATTGATCGACCATTACACATTCGATTCGATCCCATGAATCCTGCAGAATTTTCAGACGCCGGCAAGATGCCCCACGATGCCCACAAGTCTCTGGACACTATTTTCAAGAACAATCGGGCGTGGGCGCTTGAAAAGAGCCGCGATCCGACGTTCTTTGAGAAGCTGGCCAACGGACAGTCGCCTGATTATCTGTGAGTACTATACATGTGCCAAGAGTGCTCGTGTTATCGGTGGTGCTAGAACTGATCGTTCCAATCAACCCCGCCTAGCTACATTGGATGTAGTGACAGCCGCGTTCCCGCCAACGAGATTATGGGCCTGGAGGCCGGGGAGGTATTCGTGCACCGGAACATCGCCAATTTGGTCCCTAACCTCGACTTAAATGTTATGTCCGTCATCAACTACGCCGTGAGGCACCTACACGTCAAGCACATTATCGTCTGCGGTCACCACAACTGTGGAGGAGTCAAGGCTGCGTTGACGCCCGCCGACTTGGGGATTCTCAACCCGTGGCTTCGGAATATTCGGGATGTCTATCGTTTGCACGAGAAGGAACTTGATCAGATTGCCGATGAGGACGCTAGATATAACAGACTCGTGGAATTGAATGTGGTGGAGTCTTGCAGGAATGTTATCAAGACTGCAGCGGTTCAACAGAGTTACCAGGAGCATGGGTACCCCATTGTTCATGGATTGGTCTTTGATCTTCGGGATGGGCTGTTGAAGGATCTTCAGGTAGATTTTGAAAAGACACTTGAGGATATAAAGAAGATATACTCTCTTTCACGAGACTAGTTTAATGCAAAACTGGAAGGAAAAGCTTCTCCGGTGTTCAGATGGCATTTTTCGTGGAATTTGTAAATCAGGACAAAGAGATAGGCCTGCTACATGGGATGAACTTTCTTTTTGAAAATGTTCATTCCAATTCTGAAAAAATTAGTTATTTAGATAATTTGTGGTAGAAGCATAATTTCTATAGAGTTGTCGGGATGATCATACCGGCCCCACAATGGTGATGTACCGCTAAAACAGCTCAGGCCAGCTGGAACTCCCGTCTACCACGCGCCACCATGCCTTGGGCACGCTTCATCTACAACGTGCTGACCCAGCCACGACACACAAAATGGATTGCTCCTCTCCTGATCCTGGGCGATGCGCTCCTCTGCGCTCTGGTCATCTGGAAGATCTCCTGTAAATCCGATCCCGAGCCTATACTGTGCCACGCGTTCAATCAAGACAATGCTAATCACACTCATAACCTCACAGACACCGAGATTGATTGGTCAACCTATATGCAACAAATCTCCTTATATGTCTCCGGCGAACGCGACTACCCCTCAATCAAAGGATCGACAGGCCCTCTTGTATATCCCGCTGCGCATGTCTACGTCTACACACTCCTATACCACCTCACCGATGAAGGGCGCGACATTCTTACTGGGCAAATTATCTTTGCTGGTATCTACCTCTCTACCTTGGTTCTTGTTTTTGGCTGCTATCGGCAGACTGGGGCGCCACCGTATCTCTTTCCTCTGCTGGTACTTTCCAAGCGGCTACATAGCATTTTCATGCTGCGCATGTTCAACGACGGAGTAGCAACCTTTGCGCTGTGGCTTGCTATATGGCTATTCATGAAGAGAATGTGGACCCTTGGAGTATTGGCGTGGACCTTGGGCGTTGGTGTCAAAATGACCCTAGTGCTGGCTGCGCCGGCGATTTCCGTTATCACTCTGCTGAGTGTAGGCTTGGGACGCAGCATTTCTCTTGGAGCCATAGCCCTGCAGATCCAGGTAAGTTGCGGATAAAGAACTTGTGTCTTCCCTTTATCAAGTGACTAATGTGAAAATCTACAGTTCTGTCTTTCGGTCCCATTCTCCGCAACAAATATGTCAGGCTATTTGTCACGAGCCTTTGAGCTATCCCGGCAGTTTATGTTTAAATGGACGGTGAATTGGCGATTCGTAGGGGAGGAAACATTTCTCTCCAGAGAATTCTCCGTGGCTCTTTTGGTGCTACATGTTTCTATCCTTGCCCTCTTCTCCATCGGCTGGCTGAAGCCGTCCGGATCAGATGTGTTCCGCTTCCTCCAGGACACTATCCATGGCCGCCAACAACAGGTTTATCTTTCGAACTCGTTCATCATGACTACGATGCTGAGCTCCATGGCCATTGGCTTGCTGTGCGCCCGATCACTGCACTACCAATTTTTCGCTTATTTGGCATGGGCCTCTCCGTTCCTCCTATGGCGCGCTGGTCTTCATCCAATCCTTATCTTCGTTGCGTGGGCGCTGCAGGAGTGGGCCTGGAATGTATACCCCAGTACCAATGCAAGCTCGGCGGTTGTGGTTTTGTCCCTCGCTTTGCAGGTGTTTGGCGTCTGGTTCAATGGACAGGGTGAGGTAGATAGGAAGCCAGCGGTTGGCCGCAAGGAAACCCGTACTCAATGAACGCCGGGCTTCCAGTCCAGATTTAAGCCCACCAAACCCACCTCACGCATCGGATTCCTCATCGGAGGAAGGCATTTTGCCCACGCGAGATTCCTCCTCGGAGTCGGAGTCGCCAGTAAATACGGGTTGCTTAACGAATTCCTTGGGCCTGTCATAAGTACATCCATCAGTGATGTGATCATGGACATCCGAAATGTAGAAGCTCATACCAGAATGGAGCCTTTCTCCATGCTTTCTCGTCCCGCACAATATTGATAATATCGCCGCCAATTTTGTTGTCTCGCTCATCCGATGCCTTGGTATCAATCACCAGGTACGATCTGCGCTTGATCCAAAAAGTCGATCGAAACTTCGCGGGTAATTCAACTAGCATTTGCTGCTTGTCGGGCGTTTCAATCAGGTAGATGTTGTTGCCGGTAGCCTTGATCGCCCGCACGATCATGTGGGTTTCCGCCAGCTCGTCCGGAGGGGTCAGAGTCTGTTCGGCCGTGGCCAGAACCTTGCGACGAGGAGGTCCCATTGTGAATTGGTGAAAGAATTGAACGAATTGCGGAACCTATAAGTCAAGGGGCGTGATGTAATATCAAATTAGTGAATTGTGGGAGAATAATTTTCGAGCTTATCGGCTCGGCGGGGCATCTCCGCACTGCTTTGCTTCAACCTTGTTCCGCTCCGATTAATAATGATCAACCCCGCTCGACAAAGAGTTGACTTGGTCTTGGAATTAGTCAAGCAGATGGCCGGAATATGGATTCCTGAGAATTCTAGTTGACCGTTCCATTAGCTAATTTCACCGAAGCACTCAATTACAGATATCCTTGCACAGTTTTTCACTACAAACACTCTTATTTTACAACATATTTTCTACCGTCACATTCTTGATTCGGCATCAAAATGGCTGGACCAAGCCTGGGTGTATTCCTTGACATCGAGAGTTCTCCTCGGATTACCAGTCCATTGCCTGCAGTGCAGAAGAAGCAGGGGATGGCACAGCGTGATATGGAACTGAACAAGATCCACCCAGCACGAAATCTAGACCAAATAGCCTATGAAGCAGGAACGCACGAACCTAACGGACTATCTATACCCACACAAGGTGCATTGCAAAGTCGGATGCCTTTGCCGGTCGCTGAAAATGCGACTACAATTGAATGGGCCCCGGACCGAACAGTGACCCCTTGGAAAACCAAATGGCGACTCATGAGTGCGTGCTTGATGCTTTTTGGAAATGGCATGAATGATGGTGCCCCTGGTGCTTTACTACCCTATATGGAAAAGCACTACCAAATCAGCTATTCCATTGTTTCGTTAATTTTCGTGGGCAACGCGCTGGGCTTCATCTCTGCCGCCCCCGTCACGCATTTAATCGAGCAAAAGCTCGGGCGCTCCAAAAGCTATGCCTTCTCGATGTTCCTTCTAGCTGTGTCTTACATTGTCATCGCCTGTCAACCTCCATTTCCAGCGGTCGTGTTTTGTTTCTTCTTGCTGGGACTCGGCGTGGCCCTGAATTTGACCCTCAACAATACATATAGCGCTAATCTGGCCGATAGTACAACAGCTCTAGGACTGATATGCGGTGCATATGGTATTGGAGGCACCGTAGCGCCCTTGTTTGCGACTGCTATGGAATCGAATGGCATTCGGTGGTCGCTTTTTTACACAATTCCTTTGGCAGTCTGTCTGATCAACTTTATTTTTGCCCCGTGGGCATTTTCAAACTTTGAGCAAGATACCCCGGCTGAGTCCCAACGTGGACTCCGTACGGCTGTCGAGGGGTTGGGTATCGAAGAAGAACCCTTGACCCGTACTCAACTTCTCAAAAAAGCCATACGGAACCGCACCACGCTCTTGGGGGCAATATTCATTTTTGCATACCAAGGGGCCGAAGTTTCTATCTCCGGTTGGGTGGTTTCTTTCCTCATCAACCACCGACATGGTGACCCTTCTCGGGTCGGATATGTCAGCTCCGGATTTTGGGCCGGCATCACCGCTGGACGGTTTCTCTTGACCCACCCTGCCACAAAGCTGGGTGAAAAGGTTACCGTGCTGGGGATGGTCATTGGGGCCGTTATCTTCCAGCTCATGACTTGGCTCATTCCGAATGTCATCGGGGAGGCCGTAGCAGTGGCCATCCTAGGTGTATTATTGGGAGCGGTCTATCCATGTGCCACATCGGTCTTTACAAAGCTCCTGCCTCGGAATATGCACATCCCCAGCCTAAGCTTTGTCAGCGCCCTAGGCAGTAGTGGTGGTGCGGTATGGCCATTTCTGACAGGTATTCTATCACAGCATGTGGGGACTATGGTACTACATCCAATTTGTATTGGGTTGTATATTGTGATGGCGACCAGTTGGCTTCTGTTACCTAAGATCTCCAAGAGATCAGAGTAAGGGTCTTTTAGTTCCCTTCCATTCCCCCCGCACGTGGGTCATTTTTTTGGTATTCAAATCAAGAACTGTGATGTCTGGGGGCAAGTCACGAGTTCTTCTTTTGATAGTAAAAGAATGTACACATATCCCAAAATGACACGAATATTCACATGATATGATCAACTGATCACTGATCAATGTTGATAACTGTCGGAAGTTGTAAAATGATCATCCATGCAGAGAAAAGAATGTGGGACGCACCGGAGTATAGGCAAGGAGTCTCCATCTGCTACGTAACAGATGCTCCCCCCAGTGAATCCTGGTCTGGATGGAAGCGGTGACGTGTAAATAGTAGAAGAATCGAAAAGAACTTTTGATCTTTGCCTTGGAAATTGAGTACGAATCGAGTACGCAGACCGTACCCGATCAGAGACATCTGGGCCCAAGTTTCCGTCCGTCCCTGCCAATCAGGCTTTTCGGAACCGAGGATCATGTCATCCAGGCCCTTTACTGTGGAGTTTTCGTTATTCTTTTTTGGTTAAACTGTTTGAGTCCATTGGATCAACTGGGGCTGAATGATGAGTTCAATAGAGAATGAGAAAATGGTCTGGCTATTTGCCTTGTGATTTTATAGGTCTCAGTTGAGAATTGCTGTAGGGCCCTAGTAGGTAGAAAGTTATTCTAGATATGCTAACTCGAAGACACTAGGTTTCTACTAGTAGTAACAGTAATTCAGGAAGTATCCCTCAGCGCTTCTATGTCAGTGTGGTATTGGGTCTTACTATGTGTACCGTCACCGAGTTGGGTAAAGTAGTAGAGAGAAGAGAAAGTCTCACGTGTAATTGTTTAAACGGATTTTTCACCACAAAAACAAGGCGGATATACGTGTAATAGATGAGCCAGACAAAGAATGAATGAAAAGAAAGCGATTTATCATTGATTGATACTTTTCCTCATACTTGTCGCTGCGTTGTAGAAATAAATCCCTTATCGCGATCATTTGGGGCGAATCCCGTTACATTTTCCGTTGTGGCAGTATTACCCGTTACCCCCCTGTCAACAAGAGCCCCGCGAAACCAATTCTCCCACCTACACCTCACTCACGACCCCGGCGCAGCACCACCAAGTTTCACGTCCACACTGCCCTCGGTCCTGCCCATCATGGACGGCGACGAGCTTATTGCGTCGGTCTACCGCAAGATCGAGCGGGAAAAGGCCCTCATCGCCGCCGCCAGTAACATGCGGCAGTCGACCGACAACCCCCTCGTCCAGCAGCGAGTCGACTCCAACATCCGCGATGGCCGCAAAAATATCGCCTACCTTGAGGAGAAAATGCGAGAGCTACAGATTCGTCATATGGGACAGCAAGGTGGTGGCTCCCCAAGCGACCAGCGTCAGGGTTCGGGGCCTTCACCCCCTCCCAAAGACTCCTCTGGACACTTCGCAAGCGATGGTGATAGTCACTACCCTCAGAGTGGCGCAGGCATTATGCCAACAGGCGCCCCATTCGCCGATCCTCGGCCATATGCCCAAGTCCCGAAGGCGCGCCCCAATTATACAAAGCTAGGTATGTCTACTGGAGATTTAGCCCCAAAATCCCCCCGCTATTTACCTCCCGGGAGGCAGGCGGGGCCTTACACTACGATTTATGGAAAATTGTCCGATTGGAATGCTGACAGGGTTTGATGTCTCAGATCTTATCAAGTATGATACCCAATACCTCGGACCCAAGATCCAACTCATGCTGTCCCAACTTGAGTTCAAGTTGAGTGTGGAGAAACAATACAAGGCAGGAATTGAGAAGATGGTCCGCTTGTATCAGGATGAGGGTGATCGAAAGAGCCGCGCGGATGCCGAAGGCCGTCGCATTGAAAGTAATCAGAAGATCCAGCTGCTGAAGCAGGCTCTGAAGCGATACGAGGATCTCCACATCGACATTGAGTCCTCTGATGCTGCAGATGGTGTGTCAAACTATCTGCTGATCCAATCAAGAGTATAGGCTAATTTCTGATAGATGAGAGTCTGAGCGCCCCTAACATGCGCAAACCGTTGACCGGTCTTCTAACTATGCGCATTCACGCTGTGAAAGATGTGGATCACGCCACCAGTTCTCGATTCTCTCGCGGACCCGAGACTTATGTCATTGTCAAGGTGGAAGATGCGGTCAAAGCAAGAACAAAGGCAACCCGAAACGATAAATGGCTGGACGAGGCGTTTTCCATTGATATTGATAAAGCGAATGAAATAGAGCTTACGGTTTATGACAAGTCTGGAGACCGCCCGACTCCCATTGGTATGTTGTGGGTGCGCATCTCCGATATTGCAGAGGAGATGCGTCGCAAGAAGATCGAGACAGAACTCAACGCCTCCGGGTGGGTTTCTGCCGACAAGATGGGCGATTCGGGTACCCCTCGATCTGATCATCATACCGGCTCACCAGGCTCATCCCACGGCGGCAGCGGCTTTCAAGGGATGGCTCCCCCGATGGGACAGCAGCCTGGAGAAACCTCCAATACACCCCCCAGCGTGATGATCGATTCCTGGTTCGCTTTGGAGCCCTTTGGCAGTATTCATCTCTCAATGAGCTTTGGTAAGATATCAATTCGGATATAAATCTCTGATGGTTTGCTGATGTTCAAGTTAGCCAAGCAACTTAAGGACCGTCGCCCCTTCGATATCGGTCTCAACCGTCAAGGTGCCGTGCGTCAAAAGAAAGATGACGTTCATGAGAAACAGGGCCACAAGTTCGTCACCCAGCAGTTCTACAACATCATGCGCTGTGCGCTATGTGGAGAATTCCTCAAGTATGCCGCTGGCATGCAGTGCTCGGATTGCAAGTACACCTGCCACAAAAAGTGCTACCCGAAGGTTGTCACCAAGTGTATCAGCAAGGCCAACTATGAAACCGACCCCGACGAGGAGAAGATTAACCATCGCATTCCTCACCGTTTCGAAGGATTCTCCAACATTTCGGCGAACTGGTGTTGCCACTGTGGCTATCTGCTTCCCTTTGGACGGAAGAACGCGAAGCGTTGTAACGGTATGCAAAATCTCTTGTTTGATGCGGTAATATCAGATTATGCTAACTTGCTTGGATAGAATGTGGCCTTACCTCCCACGCGCACTGCACTCATCTGGTCCCTGATTTCTGCGGCATGTCGATGGAGGCAGCAAACCAAATTCTAGAGACCTTGATTCGCACAAAGAATCACAACAAGTCAACCTCTGTCAGTAGCGGCCTCAAGCAAACTCTTCGGCCTGGCGGTCCACCTACCCAAGACCACGCCGGCCTTTCATACCCCCAGAAACCCACCAATAGCCCTTATGGAGCAATCCCCCGACAACCCTCATCGGAAGCGGTCAGCGCGGCGACTAACTCCTTTATGACACCACAGTCACCGACGGCACTTCCACAAGCTGCCCAGCGCCAACCAATTCCACCAAAATCACCCACAACGTCCCCTGCTGCTGCCGCGGCAGCTGCCGCTGCCGCTGCAACCGGGATGCGCAATCCTCAGCAGACTACAAGTATGCAACAATTTTATTCATTTTTATTTGTGTAGCTGTTTTTGGTACTGACAGATTCTAGCTGAAATGAGCCGGCCTCCTGTGGCACCTCAGCAACCTCCTCCTCCTCAACATGCCCCTTACAACCCGGGTGATTATGCTAATATCCCTCAAAAGGCCCAGCCCCAGCCTCACCAAATGCCGAACATGGCTGCACCTTCGGGCTATGGAATGCCACCTCCCCAGCAGCCTATGCAGCCTACGCAGCCTATGCAGCCTATGCAGCCTATGCAACCAATGCCACCGCAGCCAGTGGCGCCAGTGGCAAAGGCGGAGGAGATGGCTCCCCCTCAGCCTAAGTCTCGTATTGGATTGGACCACTTCAACTTCCTTGCAGTTCTCGGAAAAGGTAACTTTGGTAAGGTCATGCTGGCCGAAACCAAAAACACACGGAAGTTGTATGCCATCAAGGTGTTGAAGAAGGAGTTCATCATCGAAAACGATGAAGTGGAAAGCACCAAGTCTGAGAAGCGAGTATTCTTGATCGCTAACAAGGAACGGCACCCATTCTTGTTGACCCTCCACGCCTGTTTCCAGACGGAAACCCGTGTGTATTTCGTCATGGAATATATCAGTGGTGGTGATCTGATGCTACACATTCAGCGCGGCCAATTTGGCCTGAAGCGGGCACAGTAAGCTTTCTCGGACTCGAAACATCCAATAGCCAAACAGATATTGACGGTTTAAATAGGTTCTATGCCGCCGAAGTCTGCTTGGCACTCAAGTATTTCCATGAGAATGGCGTTATTTACCGTGATCTGAAGCTTGACAATATTCTTTTGACTCTTGATGGCCACATTAAGATTGCTGATTACGGTCTCTGCAAGGAGAACATGTGGTATGGGTGCACAACCAGCACCTTCTGTGGTACCCCTGAATTCATGGCTCCTGAGGTAAGTCTTCGCCACAATCGGATTGTGTGTACCATCGCAGTATATTGACCTCTACAAACAGATCTTGCTGGACAAGAAGTATGGACGGGCTGTTGACTGGTGGGCATTCGGTGTTCTGATCTACCAAATGCTTCTCCAGCAGTCTCCTTTCCGTGGTGAGGATGAAGATGAAATCTACGATGCTATTCTTGCAGATGAACCTCTTTACCCCATCCACATGCCTCGTGACTCGGTTTCCATTCTGCAGAAGCTCTTGACCCGCGAGCCTGAGCTTCGACTGGGCTCTGGCCCCACCGATGCCCAGGAGGTGATGTCACATGCCTTCTTCCGCAACATTAACTGGGATGACATTTACCACAAGCGTGTTCCTCCACCATTCATCCCCAGCATTAGCAGTCCTACCGATACAAGCAACTTCGATCAGGAGTTCACCAGTGTGACTCCTGTCTTGACCCCCGTTCAATCTGGTATGATGCCATCAATTTACCGAGTTTGGAAGCTCCAGCTAACAATTGGTTTTCTCTCCATTAGTGCTCTCTCAAGCCATGCAGGAAGAATTCCGCGGCTTCTCATACACCGCCGATTTTGCTTGATTTCGACAAGCATGGAATACAACGATTACCCGTATTGGAGCACCTGCCATCATATGAAAAACTGACGGCTCGGTATTAGGGCCTGACACCACGATTTCGGCTCTTGGTGTTGTTTCTCTCTCTTGAAATTGCTTTACATACCCATTGCAGTTGTGTTTGATTGAATGCCAGCGTAGACGCCAGCTGTCGAACACTCCGCGAAGCATGGTCTGCTTCTCTTTGATTGACATGATTAATGGAGTAGCTTCGGTTTTATTCTCTTATTGTTTGCTCTCCTATGTTTTGCTTATCTAAATTGCTTGATTTTTTGCCCTTTATATGTTTTCTTCTATTTCTCACGGGTTGATTCATGATGAGTTCCACGCCATGCCGGGTCATGGCTGTTCGTTGCAGAACTGGCGGGAGAGAGCTTTTGGGCAGCTGTCGGCTTTGCGGATGGATTATGTGCACATGGATCGAGGCAGGAGTCTTTTCAACACCCAAAAAGCGCTTGAATGAGGATTGATGAGTATGAAGACTATTGAGGGCTGTGTGATGCTACTTATTTAGGGGCTGGTGATGTTCTGCTTCAATTCCGTCGGGCCATGTTTTCTTTCCCGTGGCACCCCTGCTTGGATGAGTATCTGATTCCCCCATGGTTCCGAGGACAGGAGATGCAAATACGAATTAATACATCCTTCATTGAACCAATTCATGTTCTAGTACTTGACAAGCCTTAGCAATACGCTACTCCCGTGGTGTCCATTTCATGATTGACAACACAGCAATGATCACAATGGTACTCCATCTACGTGTCGCAAAAAACCTTTTTTATATAATTGGAACTGTGCGTCAAATAGACTACTCGACGGGTACAGTAGGAGAGAGAGAGAGAGTATATGATTTAGAAGAGGTAGGAAATATGATAGGAAATATACTGGGAGACTACTAAGTCGGGACCGGACAGGGGACCAAGGAGACCAAGTAGAAAACCACGTAGGAGACAGAGTAGGAGACAGAATGCAGAGTAGGTGAAGGCACTCGAGTAGTAAAGGGTTCAAAGGTTGGATTGGGTAAATGGTAAACAAGCTTATCATCTTAGTGACGGGTAACCGGTGACCGGTAACCCTAAAAATGTTAACTGACTGATTTCAATGTTATTTTCAAAGTGATAAAATGCATGTTTACTTTCGCAGAGTACGTGTTTGATTCAGTTCTTCACTTTTGGATCTCTTGACTTCTTTGCCCTCTTTCATTTCTCCTCTGCTCTTTGTTAACATCCTCTTTGTTGTCTTCCCACTGTCACTATTTTTGCGACACCATCCTCTTTGTTTACAGCGTCACCAACCAGGATGTCTTTTCTGAAATGCCCTTTGAGCCCTCGCTCCCTCGAGCAGAGCCCTCGAACTGAAGATAGTGACCTCCCCACACCGAGTGCAGTACCGATCAAACGTGAACGCGGTCGTCTTCAACGCAGAAAAGGACCCGCATCCTCTAGTCCTTCTACTGTGCCGACCACTTCTCGTGCCACTCGCTACTCTGAGCGCATTCGGAATCTGCAGGCCAGTGTCAGTCGGGCTCTAGGCATCCAGTCGTCTGCGCAAGAAATCTCACCTATCAGCCTTGCCAATCCGGCCTCAACCGAGCTCCCTTCCAGTCCACCAACTGCTGTGGGCTTGCAGGGTTACCAGACACTGACGCCTGCCCAGCAGGCTTTCTCCGCCGACTCACCTCCCATTCTTCCATCAGGCCCTGCTGAGGGGTTGCAGAGTGAAAACTCGTTTGAGACACTCGAACCCTTTCCTGCGTCGGAGCCTTCTCTGCAGAGCCCACCAGACACAATTGTGCAGTTTACAGGAGGAAAGGCGTCTCTTCCTACCAACACATTGGACTTAATCCCTCAGTACCAACCGTCTTCAACTGGAACTTCCACGCCAGTTGTGTCAATATCCTCACCTTCTCTGTCCAGTCCGCCTGACATTATTGTGCAGTTTACAGAAGGAAAGGCGTCTATTCCTACCAACCCATTGTACCTCATTCCACAGTATCAGCCACCTACAGTTGAGACCTCTGTACTATCTGTGTCAACATCGTCACCTTCTCTTCTCAGCCCTCCAGATATAATTGTACAATTTACAGATACAAAGGCGTCTGTTCCTACCAATTCGTTGTACCACTCCCGATCTGAGACCCCTACCGCCGCTACTACGCCCAGGCTTCGCAAACGAAAGAGCCCAAGCATTGACCTTGAGCTCACTACTCGCACCCCAAAGCGCCGAAACTCCAGTGACCATAAACACGATCTGAGTTCTCCAACGCCATCCTTCTCGCCCAGCCCTCACTTAAAGATGACATTGAAGTGCAAACGAAAGAGCTCTAGCGTTGACCTTGAGCTCACTACTCGCACCTCAAAGCGCCGAAACTCCGGTGACCATAAACACGATCTGAGTTCTCCAACGCCATCCTCCCCGCCCAGTTCCCACTCAGAGATGACAATGAAGCGCAGACGAAACAAACTCGATGAAGACCGAGCTTGCTCTTCCGCTGCTGAAAGCATTGATGGGGATTCTACAACTTCCAAATCCTCGCACTCCCTCTACTTAGATAATGGTTTGGTTTTCGAGTCTGATCAATACGACAGCCAGCGCCTATCTGAATCGCCCAGTCCCTCTCCTCCATCACCCTTCCCTCCAAAACGGACCAAAATACATCCGAAGCAACAGACCAACCGAAAGAAGCAAGGGAGAAGCTCGCGTTCTACCAAGACTGCAGCTAAAGCTTCAACCAAAGCTCCCCCCGGACAGAAACATCTGGACACCAATGGAAAAGAGGATTTTAGTCATGATGACGACTGCTATGCTGATGATACCCTGAGTGATGAAAGCGATTACCAAATCACATCAGGCGAGCGAGAAGACCTGTTAAATGAACTTACACGAGAAAGAGGTCAACGCCTGGCCAAGACGGTGGAAATCCCTCCAGACTCTGGACTAGGACCAGTGCAGATACAGCTCGTTCGCAAGCTAGCCACACGTGGCTGTAAGCCCGTCATGTCTCGATTCTGGTTCCGTGATTTCGATACTTGGCCCCAGTCACTGTTCTCCGAGGGAGACGTCGACTCCGAAGATGAAGATGGCGAGCTTCTAATGTTCAGGTCACAGAACATGTCAGATAACTACGCCATCAAGGCTCTCCAGGAGCTCTTTGCGGTCAGTGGCCGAGTGCGAGATTGCTCGTTTCTGTCAGTGAAGCCCCAGTTTGTTGTGGGAAAAGCCATTCGGCAGTACCTACACTGGGCGATCGACGATGCAGGTCTAAAGACCACTCGGCAAACAATCCCGGTGCATTGTATTTGTCCCCAGATCCCTGGGGAGGAAATCTTCTCGACAATAATGAGATGTTCGCGGAGACTGGAGAGACTGGGGAAGCAGCATCAGATTGCGCACGCTGGCAAGAAGGAGTTTTGGCCAACAATGATTGGCTTTGTGATCGCAGGACCAATTGTGTGTCTTCTGTCTCTAGATACAGATCCCACATCTGAAGCGTGGTCACAAAAAGTCAACATTGATGGAGAGAGCCCGGCGAAGTATTTGACCCAGTTCGACCTTTCCGAGCGGGAGCAGGATGTTTGGAACTCCCTGGCAGTTGCGATATGTGTTGTTCATCTACGGGACACACTTATCAAGCTGGCCAGGGGTTACACTGGGAACCCTGCTGTTCCCATTATCCGGGGACTCGGGAATGAGACCGACGACGAAGACATTTAAGTAGGGAGACGGGAAGATAATGTCATTTTTTGGATGCCAGTGTTCCATATCTGTAAGCCTAAGTCTTTATTCTTAAACGTCAAATGTGAGTTCAGACAGATCGAATGCTAGCTGCTGTAGTAGAACGCATCGCCTACAAACAACCTAGACCAAAGACCAGCTCCTCAAAGTCTTTTTCTAAACAAAGCACTTGACACAGTAAATTTTGACTTGTAAGATGTTCTGTCTATGTCGAGATTGAATTCATCAGGTAACTTCTTTTATACATTTGTATACAACAGGGTGTCAAATCGACACGACTCTATCTTAGCATCTCAGCAACCCATATGCCAACAAAATTTCCCACATTTCCAATCCATGGTATCATTTGAAAAAGAGAAGAAGAAACAAAAAAACAAAACGCACACCCGGCATCAAGCACGGGGGGCACACACTAGTTATTGCCCATCAGCCGAAACCTGGTGCTGTTCACTCCCACGCGCATTACGAAACCCCAACAATTCCCCTAGTACACCCTTTGGTTTTGGTACCGGGCACTCATGGCCAATGTGTGACAAGTTCTCCGCCTCCTCCTCCATCTGGAAGAACGTAGCTACTTCTTCATCGGCACCGGAAGAAGTCGGACGCGGAACCTCGGAGTCCAGCTCCATATCTCTCCGTCTCCGACGTCGCATTCGCGGGACTTGTTGCCCATCGGCTGTGATGGTCATTTCGGAGTCGGCAAAGGTTCGGCGTGGGGAGGGGCATGGGAAGACGTGTGGCAAGCCGACAACCAGGAGAGACGCGAAGAGGGTGCCGGTGAAGAGGCCCATTGTTGACCGGGAACGAGGGTGGAGATGTGGTGGCATTGTGTAAGGTGTGTATGTGTGTATCGGAAGAATATTTCGAATTGAATTGAAGTGGGTGTAGTTGAATGCTGTCGCTGTTGTCCTTTTCTCTCTTTTTTCTCAGACGATCAGAAGATGTTGGCTGAGAAGTCGGACCAGACAGAGAGGTCTAGCCGGGGATTGACGAGGACAAGGTCAATTGGATATAGAGAAAGAGTTCCCAAGTGGATTCAATTGGGCGTTAAACCAGGGAATCCGGGGGAGGTGGAAGATCCAAATAGGAAGTTGAGGGAATGAAGGCTCTGGCCCATCTAATCTTATCTGGGTTCAACATGATTGGTTCGGACCAGAGTAACTGAACTTGGTTTCTGCCATTTCCTAACCTCATGTTCATCCGACCTTGCAAGGTTATTATAATTATGGGACAATCATGATTCTATATTTTTCTCGTGAAGGAGACTGAACTCGTTCTTGAAAGTCGCCCGATATCTCTTCTGACCCGCATTGCCTATCTTCCCCTCCCCAAATTCCTCTCCTTCTTCCCTCCCCTCATCAAATCACAGCTCAACCATGAGTGACTTAGACCGGTACTGCCCTTATTCAACTTCTGTAGATAATCCTCGCTGACGTCTTTCGTTTTTCTCTGATAGGGCGATCGAGCAGCTGCGGGCCTGCCGCCTGATCCCCGAATCACAAGTACGCGAGCTGTGCTACAAGGCGCGTGAGCTCCTAATCGAAGAAGGCAATGTTGTCTCCGTCGACGCCCCAGTAACGATCTGCGGGGATATCCATGGCCAATTCCACGACCTGATGGAGCTGTTCCGCGTCGGTGGCGACGTACCCGACACAAACTACCTCTTCATGGGTGACTTCGTTGACCGCGGTTTCTACTCCCTCGAATCCTTCCTCCTCCTCCTCTGCCTGAAAGTGCGCTATCCAGATCGCATGACCCTCATCCGCGGTAACCACGAATCGCGACAGATCACCACCGTTTACGGCTTCTACGACGAGTGTATCCGCAAATACGGCAGCGCCAATGTCTGGCGCTACTGCTGTGAGGTCTTTGATTATCTGGCGCTGGGCGCGATCGTGCTGGGCGCCAGCTCTGAACTGGAACCTACCGTCTCCGGCATGAACGCTACCGGCGCGACCATGCCCATTGAGGACGGTGAGCTGGAAACCGAGGTGCTGAATTCGCGCGGCGAAGTCACCATGAGCACCTATCGCCAGCGACAGCGCGCATCCTCTAATATCTCAACCGAATCACAAAGCATCTCTCCTCCACGCGATATCTCGGCTGCTCCAGGCCAGACTTCTGCTCCGACTCGTAATGGAGCACCCGGTACCGGCGCGAGTTCAGACGGGAACGGCAGCTTGGCGACGAGCCGCACGGGCGCTGTACTGTGCGTGCACGGCGGACTTTCACCGCTAATCGACAGTGTAGACAAGATCCGACTGATAGACCGGAAACAAGAAGTGCCACACGAAGGCGCCATGTGTGACCTTCTCTGGTCCGACCCAGATGAGATTGAAGGATGGGGTTTGAGTCCCCGAGGTGCTGGATTCCTCTTTGGCGGCGACATCGTCAAGTCATTTAACCATCTTAACGGCCTGTCTTTGGTTGCGCGAGCCCACCAGCTCGTCATGGAGGGGTACAAGGAGATGTTTGACGGCGGGATCGTGACTGTCTGGTCCGCTCCGAACTACTGTTACCGCTGCGGCAATGTAGCAGCAATACTTGAACTAGGCGAAGATGGCAATAACGGTGGTACAGTTTCCCGCAGTAATGGGGAATATGGACGAAGCAACGGGATTGGAGAATCCAACGCCCTGGTTGGTCCTGGAAGGAGATACCGTGTTTTTGAAGCTGCGGCCCAGGATACAAGGGGCATGCCTGCGAAGAAGCCCGTCGCTGATTATTTCCTGGTAAGTTCTATTACTTACTATATTTTCATGGCCCATGGAGATTTGGTTCTCCGTACTAACTGCCGATAGTGATACCATCCTCTGCATGCTTTTTGCCATTGCGATCTCTTCTCTACCTCGTCTATATGGTTCTCATCCCCTTTTGACCGGCTCGGCATCTCGTGTCTTGGATGTGATGTATTTGCTGCAATCTAATGATTATTCATGACGGACATTTCTCGATGTTGGATTCTTGGTTCTCTCTACTGTAAAGTCGATTTTTGCAAAAGGGTTTCCCTAGACCTACATTATACCAACATGACAACTACAGCTCCATGGACCATACCCATTCTCTACCATTGAGCGACAGTGGACATGTCGTAAATATTCCATCAGCCATTCTTCTTGGCATAAAGTCCATTACAATTCATGTACCCATGGCGGACCTGAAAACTGATACTCCATGACTCCACTGGCTGGAATGGTTTCTGGTCAGGTCAGTGCCCCTTCTCTCAATATAACCAAATTGAGCTTGTACGTGCTCGTCATGGCAGTGGCAGTCAGAGCAGCCCAGCTTAATAGACCACGATTCGACTGCACCCCTCTTCCTTCGGCCAGACCTATAAAGGTCCGTTCCAACGCATTGGCAATGCAAATTGAGTGCCTGGGGAAAGTCTAAAATCTGCGAGAGCTACCAATCTCGTTCATTCGTTCCTGTTGTAGTAAATGTGTTCTTGGCCGTGGTGGATTGCCCCTGTGAAGGACTTTATAAGCCATAGGATAGTTTCGAGGGAGTTTCAATTCCTGTATACCATCAATAATAGACGAAGGATTAGCAGAAGTTGTGGAATTGAGTGGTTGGAATTAAATGTAATAAATCTAGTGGTAGGTTGATCATCGATGACTTAATGACCTGGCTAGTTAGTAGTAAGTCCGACCAGATCCGGGCCATTCACCTGAAACATAACAATTATATATAGTACTGAGGTGAATATAAGTCATTATATTGATTAATCAAGCATATTTGGAGGCCAATCTTCAGTAGGGGAGGTTAGGTGGTATGACAATCTGGAAGAGTCCAAGGAGATTCCCAAGGAGATTGATTCCCTTGAAGATCTAAGCTACCCTTGCAATGGGTTGGCATGAGCCGTATTGAGGTACCATGAGCAGAAACGAGTCATACAATAGACCCACACAATACGATGCAGGATCAAACGGATCAACGGAAGAAAAAGAGGAGCAGGTAATCTGGGTCACTCGCGTTATTGGTTGATCCTGGGGAGGTGATCCTGTGAAGCGTCGTGATAGGTCGATACTGTTTGCAGGTGGTGATCTTGAGGCTCATTCACTTCACCCCAGTGACCCCACCCACTACTATAAATACCTCATGTCGCACCTCCCTTCTTCCTCTATCTTCTTCTCTTGTCACCACTCCTTTCAGTTCAAACTTCTATCTCTTTGGACTTTATCTTTCATCTCTAAGTCCATCTTGAATCTTCCATCTCTTCCAAGATTCGACTTCAATCCTTCCAAGGTTCAAAACCTCAAACACAAGTTCAACTTCGGAGCTTCCCATTCATGTTTTCATCAAAACAAACATCTTTCTCAATTCATCATGTCAATCCACCTTGATGCAGCGATCATTCCCTGTGATCAATTCTTGACTTGGCCTGACGAGCCCTAAGGTTCATTCATATTTCCATTCCTATGACTTCGCTAACCTTTCAGATTGTGCCAATCTTCCTTCTAGATGACATCCCACATTTTGCTTCCCGAATACAATCTTCAAAATCGTCACCGGGCATCAACAAAAGAAAGTGGTGTGGAGGGACAACCCACTGGGCACATTTGCGGTGAAGAAGCACTTGTTGTGGTAAGGAGGATACAGCCTCAGCCACGGTTCCATCAATGGCATGCGGTGAAGAAGCACCAGCCAAAACAAGGGGATGTGCCACTTGGCGTTGAAAGGAGACTTGGGATCCGTGGAACAAGAAAAAAAGGATTCACTCTTGCTGTCTATTCATGTTATGAAAACTATGTTATGAATTGTCTCTTGTTATGTTGCAATATGAGATACCAGCTCCTTGACCTGGTTGCCTTCCAATACATGTTGATCTTGAGATCATGAATTCCTATAACATTTTCAATCTGTTGAACAACTTGTACATGATACTTCATCTGCACCTCAGGCTTCGATATTGAAAGAGAACTTGGCTTATAAGCTACACTGTAAATATAATTAATATGTATGGGCGAGATGATCCGCATGGGTGCAAGATATCTGGGTGGGGAATGTGGTGTGGCAAGTGGAGCTAGTGGAGCCGGTAGAACTGGGTCGGGAACTTTACGGCAATAAGCTTAGCGTTTTCGTTTAAGTTATAGAGAATGAGAGATATTTTATACAAAAGCCGGTGTGGTGCAGCGGTTAGCACGCCCGTCCAGATCTAGATGCAGTTGGTCGTTATCGTTATCCTCTATTCTTAGCCTGATCTAGATCTGTGTCGATACGGGACTACGAGTGGTTCGAATCCCTCCGCCGGTATATCCTTTTTTTGATTTATTTTTCACAATTCATCTTTCATTTTAATCGTGCTTCAGTCTCTTACATTTAGTGAGCAGCCTTGTGTTAGAGTAGGGAGATTATGCGAATCCTTACAGTGCTTGTTTGCATATCTAGATCCTTCTCTCTTTGTTTACTTCCGCATATATTAGAATCCAGATCTGGCTTTTTAAAATGTAGACTTATACACATAAATTGAAGCCTGCTGCTAACATTGTTAGTAAACTGTGGGTCTAGAATTAGAGTGCCCAGCGTCTCAGTAAGTACACTCAGTCAAAGGGATCTTTATCATAAATTCAATTGAAGTTGAAGGAAAGTCATGGAAGACTTTATCGTTACAACTAAGTAAAACTGGAACAGAAAACCATAATCTGCCACTAGTTGAGTAATGGATTGGTCTCAATCGATCATCAGCTACTCTAATCTGGCCCCTGGTGATAATTTCTGAACAGGCCATATATGTTCCTCACACAATGGCATAAGAAGATCCTAGCGAGACCGCTCACTAACCCGTTGTCAATTGATTGTATAGAGTTGACCCTTAAGTACTCCAGTGCTCGAAAGTATGAAGCTTGTGGAGAAGCTAGGTGACTGCAGTGGCATCTATGAAGAGTGGTTCAGCAGCAGACAGTGTTCAGTGGTCAGATTGAATAGACCAATGAGTTAAATTATAACATTGTATTGATATTAGCCCTGCTTGTGGTGGCGCTTGATATCTTATCCATCTCTGTCAATCTAGAGCTTCCTCTTGATATCCATCCCTCCACCTCCGTATCGTACATCTCGTATAGGTACTAGTACCCTCCTGCACCAGGGTTTGTGCACCAGCACCCCTCAGATTATCGAATGTCTTCTTAATTCCCTCAACTCGCCCACTCAAAAAGTCTCCACTGCAAATGGCATGATATGGGCGGTGATAAGATCAATTTTGGAGATAGTCTCCCCATCGGGGACCTGAGCTAATCAAGATCTAGAAGACATTCATTAAAATATTAGTGTCATGACTTTGTAGGGTTAGAGTGGGAGAGTGGGTATGGCAGTCTTTCTTTTACCGCCGAGAGCCCTCATGGGAGTCAAAAGAGCAATTTGAGTGTAACCATCCAATAATTTCGTTATATCAATTCCCTGTCAAGATGAGAACGCGGATTTTAAGAAGGGATTTTATCATTAATACCGTAATTTGTGGAGAATACGTGGGGTGGGAAAGCGGGGTGATGGGGTGACAAGAACGGGAGCTTTACTACATAAAGTTAACTTTGTCGTTCAAGTTTAGAATTAGGTAATCTGATTATACAATAGGCTGGTATGGTGCAATGGTAGCACGCAATTTACTATATGGTGTTTATCGTTATCCCTATTCTTACTAGTTACAGTCTGTGTCTATACAGGACGATGAGAGTTCGAATCCCTCTACCGGCGAGTCCTTGTTTTTGTTACTCTTTGATACTTCATAGCAGTGGTCATGTCTGTACCCATAGCATGTTTGTAGTCCCAAGTGTTTTAGCGAATGAGATCTTTACGGTCGCCGCCGTCGTTTCACATTTTATGTGGTATAACTGTCCTCCAGTTATGTTACCGGGTCTATTTGAATGTATACTCTATAATTACCTGGTAGATTGATTGAAATGAGAAAGCATATGGTACCATTTGAACACTTCCTGTAGAAGACCAGCAACCCTAGGATAGAATCTAAGCTAAATGAATAAAAGTGTAAAGCCTCTTTGAATGAATTCCGAAAAAGAGCGTGCTTTAAAAATGGTTAATAAAGAGCACTTTTGCATCAGACTTGTTTAGATTTAAACAACTAATGAACTGAAGTCACGATCAGCGGGTGCAATATATTGCCGTGTGGGGAACTAATTTTGTGGCTGAAGGTGGAGCTGCGGGGTTCAGGATCTCAACCAGTGGAACCACGTCGGGATTCTTACGGTAATAGTACTTGCGTTTTCGTTTAACATTCAGAAAAGATAGAGATTGTATACAAAAGCCGGTGTGTGGTGCAATGGTAGCATGCCCGTCCAGACCAATTAAGTAGCAGGTGGTGCTTATCGTTATCCCTATTATTACTAGTTACGGATCTGCGTCGTTACGGCGCGATGAGTGGTTCGAATCCCTCCACCGGTAAGCGAATTTTTGGCCTCTGAGAGAAATTGATATTGATAATTGACCTTTTTTGACTACAACATAGCATACATGCATATTTCGTAAGATTGTCGCGGGGCTCGGGTGGAACAAGAGCATGCATGATTAATCGTCCGTCTGCCAAGGCCGATCCCTTCTGAAAATCCTCCCGGTCTCCCGTGACAGTTACCAAACTTCTCTATCCCTGAGTTTCGCACACTATCTTTGCAACATGCCTGACACCACGGTAGGGAGCTCCAATATCAGGTTCTTCACTACGGACAACTCACGCTTATACTGAGGTACAGAAAATATATTATTTCTACAACAGCGCTGAAGACTGGCAAGAAAACAAGCAGACAGTTGATGCGTATGTTCGAAATGATGGAGTCCAAGTTGGATCTACTGACAGACTTGAGCAGGATTATCAGGGAAGACACTGGGGAAGAGGTCTGGGTTCAAACTAGATCGATCCCCCCTCTATGCTATCCACCGTGCGTGCAGAACAAGTCCTTTGGAGAAACGTTTTCTGACTTCAGCTGATTACGGGTGGTAACAGAGCCCTTACCGAGGCCACTTTGAACAAGCTCAAGGATTTGAAATATCTTGAAATCAAGGAAATCAAAGAGCACAGCTAGAAAATTCCCTGATGAATTAAGAGTTTCCGGATTTTTTGGTGCGAATTACAAACTAGAGACTCGGACTATCCACCCTTTAAATTTTTGCCAGCATCTACTAGCCTGATCGCTGATTCCTTTTGACGAACATGCGATCGATCGAAAGATATTATACGTTATGAGTTTGAAGTTGTCTATGATCTATAAAAAACTAGAGGCTCGTCTCGACTCTGAACTAAATAAGAACGCTCAGTGATGACCAGCAATGCACAGTGAGAACAGAACTTCAGAGACAGTATCGAAGTATTATGGAAAGCTGAAAGATCAGGAGGGAAACCCGCCAAAAGGAAATAACAACGCTTCCATTCACGTCGATCATCCAAATAGTTATTTCCACTGACTATCAAACCCTGGCGCACTATTCTCAGGTGGGGAGCCCATATTTGGTAACGCGCCCATGGTCTGTATGTGATCCGCAACAGCGGGACTGGGGTGTTGGTTGGCAGCGAAGGAAACGGGATGGCCATTATTATCATATGATAGATGGGAAGGTTGACCCGGAACTGCAGAATGCCACCCACCCTCCCAATTTTCCAAACCCAGCGCCAAGGCAGCGTTCCGGTTCCACCAGTCATGGCTTTCTTCAACTAGATGGTCGGTTCCATCGAAAGCAGAAACCGATGAATTTGAGTTTGGAGATAATGCAGGCTGCGTAGAGCTATACCAAATGTTTTGGGAAACAGGTGATGGTGCTGCTGAGGGACCGGAGGTTGCGAGGGTTGCCATTTGGTACTTGACTTGTGGGATGGGGTGTGAGTATATTGGTTCTGGCGTTGCGTACTCGGTCCGCTGGGCTGGTGGCCCTGGCATGTAGTGGGCTTGGCCCATTGGTGGCACGGCTGAAGACATGGCGGCGTTTGGATACCGAGGACTCGCTGAGACTCTGATGCTGGCTGGATCTGGACTGAATGATTCTCTGTCCAGACTTGATGGAATAGGGTTTCCAAGGGATTGAGAACCACCTGGGTACCTATATGGTGGATACAAGGCATTGTGTATAATGGGAGAATCTTCTGATGTGGAAGGAGATGTTGCTTGGTCCCAAGATCCCCAGGATCCCCATTTGGCGTGGGTACGCTCAAGTATGACAATTGCTTCGGCTGGTAGCTTGACGTGCCACTTGTTGGCGGAGATGTCTAAAATCCGCAAGGTCCGACGGGCAGCCAGCCAGCCATCAGCCATTTCTTCAAGATTTCGGAGCCCATGGATGATATCCCGTTCTGGATTTCTTCCGGGAAGATTGAGAAGGTGAATGGTGCAGGCGGTGTGGGCAATATACACAACGATGTTACAGATTTGTTTCAATCCATAGGTGCGTTTGTACATGCGCAAGAGTTTGGAAATTATCGATGCAGCCTGAGTGCAGAACTTCCGGGGCGATACATGTGAGGGGAGTGGAGTAGTCGCCTTGGTATACTTGAGAAATGGCCGGTATAGATGGATGAGCAGCAGTTGTTCAAACATACTATAATTGGTGATCAGAAAATATATGGGAGAAGTTCAGACTTGCTTTTCACTTACTGCATAACAAGAACCTGGGGAAGCTGCCCTTCTTTTGGTTCGAATTCCCGCGGTAGCTCCTTTTTCCATTTCTCAAGTCGCGTGTGAACATCACTTAGCTTCTTGAGTTCTGATTGCTTCGACTGAGACTTTTCCAACTCCGAAGGGTGGTAGAAGTACCTCAGAAGATCATTGCTGATCTCACACAGTTTCGAAATTTGTAGAGCGACTGCTCTTATACGGGAAGGTTGCGTATGCTCTTGGCCAGCACCGGCATCCGTGTATGGCGACCACAATTCCGTGTCCTCTTGTGGCAGGACATCGAATCTCGGTACATTCGTATTGGATGAAGTTAATTGAGGCTGACGGCCAAGGTAGTTTGACCAGCATCTGCTAGATGTTAGATACGACAAAACAGATTCAAGGAATAGGTGACAAACTTGTCTATGAGATAGCAGCCCCAGAATGTTATCCGTCGAGCATCGACTTCCTCATCAGTGAGGTTGCGCGCTCCCAGACTAGACGCATCAACATTCAAGCCAAGATCAAATGCCATACGAAAGCTTAGGCCACTGTATACCCAGCCCTTGCCTTCACGGCCACACCCAGCTTCGCGGACAGACATGAGAGCAAATGCTTGGACTGTACACAATTTTGAATTTTCATGTTCATCATTCTCGTGGATCAGCCGCTTGGCTTCTTTGAAGAAGTGGTTACCGGCGGTTGCGATATTCTCAGGATCTGCAAATGCACCTGGCCAAGAACTAAAATGACAACCAAGGGCTAACATGGCGTTCACGAGCAAGGCAGAGCAATATTGGCTGGATGTGCCGCGCATCAAATCCCGAGAAAAGAGATCTTTCGCAAGAATGGTGAAGAATGGATAGTGCCAGGTAAAGTACATGGTTAGGAGGTGGGTAACGAGTGGTTCATCCTCTGTCACTCGCGTCCATCGTCCGATGGGGTTCTTGTCATTGTCCGAGTCAAGGACATTGTCGATTGAAGCCGACTCGGGTGATTCCGAGTCAGGGGGCAGAAAAATGAGATTTGAAGTGCCGCCAATGAATTTGCGTGAGCCATCAAGCATCAGTTCGCTCATTTTGCCTGCTAACTCAGACTCAAACTGATCGACCTCTGATGGGTTACCATCGCTAGGAGGATCTTTCGCTTCTGGAGCCGAGAGAAGTCCAGCTTGGCGCGTAACAACAGATTGAGCAACTTCATCTAGATCGTCGCATGCCCTGATCTCGCGCACTAGGTCAAAGGCGTCATCTTCGTCGTAATTCAACAATGCCTGGAATAATGTTTGCAGCGTCGTATGCCGTGTTCGCTGCGTATCGGCATCTTTCTTATAAACACCTTTACGGCGATGGTCAGAATTCGGGTCATAAACACCTGATTTTGAGTTAGTCAAGAGAATGTGATATTTAAATAGGGTACGCACAAGAAGTATGGTAGACCGAAGAACATGCAGCACAGCTGGGTAGATTTCCGTCACACTGGTTTCAATCAGCGATAATCTTCCCGAGATCTATCAACAATGCTGATGACATACCTTTGATTTTCTTCTGCGACAAGCAATGCAAGCTGTGCTGACGCAGCGCCTTTTGGACGTTGCTTGGTCTGTAGACATGATTTAAATTCCTCTAATATGATAGGTGCCGAGGTTGCTTTCTCCGCGGAATGAAGAACCCCCACGTCTCAGCCTCGTGGCGACCGTTCAATGGTCCAGTACGGAAGCTGATCAGTGCATAATGCGTCCATCATCTAGAACGGCATATGACAATTCTGGTGGCTTGCACAGCAGCCTGATGTCAGATTACGAGCGCTGTCCAAGCTGGTCAGTTCAGTCGAGCCAGGAGGATCGGCGTTGATGGGGAAGTCAGTGGGCCCGGCCTTACAGAATCGTTTTTTCCACAATGTACGGAGTATACAGGGTGCTCAAGCAATTCCGGTTGAATGTTTGACCCCGCGGTACGACCCACTACAGAAGCGGGGGATGATGGGGAAGTTGGAAAATGAATGTGATCCCCGGGTTCCCCAGAGATAGAAAATGGGTAATTTGAGACGTGTCTGACTTGATTGGACACCTGTAGGGTCGTGGGAGGTTTATCGCTGGCTTCTGGATGGCTCATCATATTCACAGAACGATAAGCAGCATCGGTGATATGATCACGTGATCATGGGCTTTCCGAGTTGCCCCTTTGGTCAAGATGAGTCATTCCATCTGAGTAATCAGGTATTTCTATTTCTGGAGACGGCTGTGTTGTTTTGATTACAATAACACAATATTTGAGATAATGTAGTAACATAGATGAGAGATAAAGACCGAAAGGTTCAACGATACATGATCTATCCCAACATTATGGCAAGGCAACACTCCGAGTTACCGCGTTGACCGCCAGGTCAATCCAAAAAAGCAAAGAAAATAAACAAATAATCCAACAGCCCAACATAAGATACCCATCAAAACAAAAATCCCATTAGGCATACACCGCATTTGTCTCGCTTAGGCTCCACTGAACACGCCTCTCTCTTAACGGATTTGAGTGCCTGCAGCCACCCGAATGTGTATCGGCGACCGCCGGACTGGATCACATAAGCAATAATCTAGAATTTCATCTGCGCACGGAGTGAATGCATTCCAAGTCCACAGTTTCAGGACAATTAAAATTAACTAAAATAGTCTTAATTTTCTTAAGATCTTAATCGTGTTTAGATTTTTCTAGAAAAAATCCCTCAGGAACTAAACCGAAACTGGCAGGTGCGCCCCCTTTATCTCCTATACCGCCATCTTTTTCGTTTGCGGATTTCCGACGAAAACAAATCGATGGCTGAGAACGGCATCTCCATCCATTTTATGCAGGCACACACTAAAGCCAACCTTAAAACCCGTCCACCGATCCCGAACAAGTTCTCTATCAGTTGAATAAATTTCAGCCTAACTGATAAAATTAGATTACAAGGATCGCCATGTCTACTTGAGTACCCCGTACTCAGATTAAGTAGATTTTCGTCCCCCATACGGAGTAGATAAGGACCGGATCCTCAGGGCTTCGATGGGTCCGGACGAACATTCCACTGTAATGAAAAATACACCGATAACAATACCGGAACCCCGGCAGGTTAAGATCCTCTACCACCAATGAAATATTCGTAGAAAAAACCATTTAAATGCCAATGGATGGGTCAAGCCCCCACTTCGCTTGACTAAAAGGATCCATTTCTTACAATTGTCACACGCGTAACTGCCCAATACACTATCATTTGCTCCAAACCCTTTTCCTTATCTTTCCTTTCCCCATTCTCTATCACTTTAAACTTCTTCTATCCCCATCTTTCTGACTCCCATATTCCTCTTTATAACCTTACTCACCCATCCCCAACTACAGCCTTAATACCTTATTGGCTAGTCTTTCTTCCCCCTTGCTACTGTGCGAAGTGAGATATAGTCATCATTTTACTCTATGTATCTCGCCCAGTCACTCGACCAAAGTGCATCGTCAGGCCAATACGTCTTTGGAAACATTTTCACTGGCATGACCATTTAAGATGATGGTCCCTAGAGCATTTCTCTTTACTGCAGCGCCGCCTCAAAAGAAAATGTCTTTCGGAGGAACGGAAGAGTCGGACTACGTGCCGTATCTGTCCGGCTCTCAACCCCCATATGATGTGAAAGCCCGTTCGACCAGCACTACACCCGTGGGCATCCCATCAAAACGGACCTCGCGCACTCCGGTGCGTCGGGAAGTCCACCCCCGCACCCCATCCAAAACCTCTGCGTCCTCTCGTCGATCCTCTTCCTCTTCCTCCAATGACCGCCAGATCCCCACATCATTCGCTTCAATGCTAGATGCAACAGCGATTCCTGTGCCTCGACGAACTTGGTCTACCCGAAGACCTCGGAAGCTTCCCCGAGGCAACAATGTGGAGGAATTCAGCCGGTTGATGCAGGAAGGGCTCAAGTCGAAAGAAGACTATTTGACAAGTGGAGTTGGCTATTCTCCCTTGGACATCTTGTTGAGCCCCCCAGACAATGATAAATACCTTGGCAATGAATCGGAATCCGAACCTGCCTTCTCAGCCCGATCAATCTCGAGCGACTCCATGCCATCCCTTGTTCACGACCTCGCATCGCCATCCAGTATCTCTCAGCCACCTACTCCTGGTGGCCAAAAGAGTCCCTCCGAAAGGCGACAGCTACGATATACCCCGGCAGAGGACTGCGCTTTTGATCACCCGCTCCTGGAAGCCGACATTGAGGAAGGCGAGATTATAGATTTTGACACCTTCAAGAAGCCAGCAGAAGACGTCATACCCAGGAAACAGTCTGCCTCTCGATCCTTTCCTCGTCTGAGGTCTTCGTTCAAATCGAATCTTACGGCATCATTACGCGCCATCAAATCTGCTGCGCAATCCGTCTCTTCCTTGACAACGCCCTCAGTTCAACCCGAAGACTTTCTCACTCGATCACTCTTCGCCATTGCGCCTGAGCTGACGGATGATCGCCGTCCTCCACCGATGCAAAATCCCCCCTCCCCGGAATTGCGACGGTACTTAAATCCAACTCCTATCTCCCCCGCCGAAATGTGTGTCTATCACGACCACCCACACGACTCTCCCGAGTTGACTCAGACTTGTGTGTCAATTCAAATGCAAACATATCGTCGCTCTCGTAGCCGCGGTCACCGGCGCAATCATTTCCATGTGGTTTCTAAACAGAAACGCGACCAGTACTACACATACGATCCGGAAGTCCCGCCCATGTCCCGCCAGCGCGAGAACCGCGAAAATAGCGATTTCCTTCGCATGGTCGTCCTGGAGATGAACATGCGACGCAGCGGCAAACTCCGGGAAGACATTCCTACTCGGGCTCGCATCTGGTTACCCCCTCGCAAGAACAACGCATACCGCGTGGCTGGAGACTACGACGACTGCGATGATAACAACATCCCATCCCGCTGGGTGGGTGTTTCGGCCTAAGGCCACCACGATGTATCTGACCAGCGCAGAGCGCCGTCATTTCATCCGTACATATATTTCTCAATTTCTTTCACATCATACAGCGTGGCGTTGGACGGATTCAAGTGTCCTGGCTGACACGTCTCTTTTTTTTTTTGTGACATACCCCTTCGATCGATCATAAATATCCTAGCTTTCTCACTTTCATTGCCTAAACCCAAGGAACTGCATGAGACAAATCAACTCTATTTTAAACATGACATTCCTATTCGTCGCTCTTCTGTTACATACCTTTACTGTAATACTGTCGTAAAGCACAAACTCAGTCTAGTCGAATTAATCTCCGTATCGTGATATCATGGCGGCGGGATGATATCATCACCTCCTGTCAGCCTTTGTCTCCGCATGAGTCCATCATCCCACCTGGTCACGGGGTGCCTTTGTTTCTTTTCCAAGTCCGGGGTTGAATGGCATGGTATTCCAAGGTTTAACGGCAATTTCTTCTTACACTAAATTATCTTGGTCGGCTATTTTTGCATTAATTGTACAGTCACTCAGTTCTACATAGACTTGTACACACTAGTGACGTAAAAACCACGCCACCTCTGTCGCAAAGACCCGCCCCAATTTATCGACTAGCTGGTTTATGTGACGCCTTTCATACTAAGCTGATAAATCTAGTACTTCTGTACGGAGTAGAGTCATTGTGGAATCTTCCATGTGTCTATGACGAATACCCAAGAGCTCAAACTTGATACACGGTTCGCTCATGGAATTACCACGAGTACAGCCAGTCGGTCTAGACCAATGTCGGGAGATTCCATGGTTTACCCTAGCTCTATTAATGAGAAATCCAAATCAGCAGTACGGTCATTGGCCCTAGAGAGGTTTACCATCTATTTTGGTGAAACATCGTGAACATTGGCAGAAATAGAATCCTTTTTGCATTTTTATGTAATCTTATGGTTTCTAGGCAAGTCAATATGGATAATGTATTGGGAGTACAGTGTTCTCCAATCCTCCAATAATCAGTTGAGCCAGGAACATATCGCCAAAACAGATCGTGTTCAAAGTGGAACTTTCCAAGGTTGGAAGTCGATGGAATTGCGCGACATCTAGTAAATCTGAACATCCAGGATATCCAAGGCAGATCGTGTATGTACTTGCACCTTGAGCTATCAAGGTGCCAGGATGCCTGCACGTCGCAACTTGCAAAGTTCGGGTTATCGCCCCACTAGGACACAGCGGAATGCATATTCCGACACATACCCAAAGTTCAAATGTTACAAGTATCGTGAAAATAGTATTTCCCTCTTAAATAAATTAAAAGCAACATTTGAAAATCGCAATGTCTCATCTTCAGTATTTCTCCTACAAAGGCGTTGGCGAGAAGAACCGCCAAAAGTTCAGATATAGCCAAGCAGTGCGAATCGGCGACCGGATTGAGTGCGCAGGCCAAGGTGAGCCACATGGACCTTTAAGCCAAAGATAATAGCGGCATGAACAGCTAATCTTTTGTCGTTGCAGGTGGCTGGAACCGTGAAACAGGCGAATTCTATAAGGAAATCAATGCGCAGATCGACCAGGCATTCGCAAATGTCGAACATAACCTCCAAGACGCCGGTGGGGAGGGTTGGAATCAGGTGTTTCGTGTCAATTCTTACCATGTGCCTATCAATGATGAGGCATTAGCTGCTATGGTGCGCAATTTTGAGAAATACATGCCTGGCCATCAACCTATTTGGACTTGCGTTGGAGTTCCTCGTCTAGGAGAGGATGATATGCGTGTGGAAATTGAAGTGGTGGCCCATGTACCTAATTGAGATCTCCATCTTAGGACCTCTACGCCCGGTCTACGCATTGAAAATTCCAGGTTAATTCGGTCAGGTAAATCGATCTCCCATTTCACTGCCTCTTCCGCGTAAAGTCCTTGCACTTCAAGACGTCCCAGCTCTCTAGCTCCTCACAAAGAGTCTTTCTCATAAAAATACCTCCCACCCCTGACAGGACACCTAGACATGTTTATCGATGAACACCGAACCCTATGTGATAGATATATTAGAGCCAAATGCGTGGTAAAAAGAAAACATTTGACAGGTATAGCTTACTTTCTTCATCCAGAAGGGTTTCATTCTTCCAACTCTCTTCTACCCAAGCCATGCTGACAAGATATGGTAAAGTTTTGCTTGGTCTTGCAGCCAGAGACTCTCGCAGAGATTTTATCTCTTCCAAAGACAACGTCTCTGGGTTGACAATGACATGGGTAACATTGGGGCTTTCGAGTGAGGTAGCAGTATTTGCTCCTCCGAAAAGTGCGGTATTTCGTGCTAGTTGCAGACAAGTGTCATTGAGTGTGATAATGTGGCTTGCTTGATTGTCCTTGGGTGCCTTATCATTTTCAAAGAAAAGAAATGTAAATCGGCGGAAGAGCCATCCGCAAGGTGCCGTGTATCCAGAATCAATTTTATCCTGGATAATGTTCTCTATTCTGTTGGATGTGCGAGACTCAAGAGTGCGGTCACTTTGATCATCATTTGTCATGTTCATCAAAATCTGCTTACGAGATTAGCATTCTCATTGATTCTGGGAATAGACGAGGGTAAGATGGACCTCTCTGAGTTCGTCGACATTTGTATCCCGAGCATAGCTGTCCGAGAACCGATCGACATTGATTTTGATTTCGTCATCTCGGTCTTCCATGATGAAGAACATATGTCTAGAAGAGCTGGTCAGTTTCTGTACATTTGCTTGTATATTGATTGAAGATACCTAGGTTCGAATGGAAGCAAAAGGTCTGGCAGTCCTACATCCTTCTCGCTCTGCTGAACACAATCCAGCAGCCAGGATGGTTTGACAAGGTTGATATTTCCATGCTTTTGTAGCGATGCCACTTTCACTGTCCCTGATAAAAGTTAGCAAAAGTTGGAGCTCCTCTTTGCATTGAACTTACTTCGCTCAGCGATGCATATTGTGTCTGGCACAGCAGTATTGGTTTGGAATACCTTGCCGCCATTAGCTTTGACCAGTTGCTCCAACTCGCTTTTGGACTTTTTCGTCGGAATGCTGGCATCTGTCATGATAACTGGGTAGGTGTAAGCAGCCAAAAAAGAAAAACGGTATTCCCAGTACTCACAGAAATTCAGCTTATCGAAGATACGGCCTGATGGTCCCGCATATTGCACATCGTCCTTGTCATCATAACCTGCAATGTTCAAAGGTTTTTTTGTTGCTCTCTTGACCCGCTTCTGCTTCCGAGATCTGTCCACTTCGAACTCCTTCTCGCGATGCTCCTTCTCCACATTCGACTTGAGGTCCAAAAATTCTTGAACAGACAGCGATGTCTTCCAATTCTTGTCCTTGCGCAAATTCTTGAAGCGGGGGAAGCGGAGGGTCAATCCCATACGAAACTCATCACTCACTGCTACAGACGACGCCTTCACGCATAATACGACTGAGTCAGACGGTCTGATCCACATGTCTGGTCTTTCATGTTGAGCAGGTCCACCGCCCAATTCTATGAACTGACTTGGCGGCTTCTTCGAATCCCATTTCTTCCATTTGCCGTCCGTGTGGTGACGAACTTCTCGATAGTCGGCGGCCGTGAACCCACCCCCAACCTTGCAGAAAGACCAGAACTTTTCGGGATTTGAGCCCTGGGATGAATTGTTGTCGTCGACGCGTAGACCACAGAGGAAACTAGCAAGGTTTCCTCCGCGATGGCCCTTTCCGTAGTAGCCTCCTATAACTACTACGTCAAGGGACTCGCCGAATTCAGTCATGTATTCTGGCTTGACTTTCATCCAGTCATCGTGGCGTTGATTCAGACGGTACTGAGCTCGTGGATTCTTCAAGACGAGGCCTTCTGAGGCTTGGGCGACAACTTTGCGCAAGCAAGTTTCGATTTCTGCAGCTGTGGTAGCTTCTTCATAAGGAAGGATCTCGAATCGGCGATGGACAGGCTTGATTGATTTCTGTAATGCAGTTCGACGATCCCGGAGAGTGTATTTGGTCAAATCACGCCCATTGAGATGCAGTATATCGAACACCCGGAACAAAGGCCGTGGGCCATTCGAAAAGGGGTTGCGCTGCTCCGCCAAAGCTGCTGTCTTAAGCGTTCCGAATGGAATCATAGCATCTTGCTCGGGGTCCCAGGTGATCATCTCACCATCCAAGATCAGGCTTTGCACACCATCTACAAAAGCATCCTTTAGATGTCTTGTCAGCGCTCCATTTTCGTCATAGATCCCATTGCCGTAGAGATAGGTATATTCTTTGGCTTTGCGGGACCAGAAGGCAAATCTGCGACCTCCTTGGACCGATTCATCGGCAGCCATATGAAGTTGCAATCTTTCACCATCCATCTTTTCCTCGATCCAGAATACAGGATCTTCCTCCGTCGGGCGCATCCGCAAAATCATCTTATCGAACGATTGCATCTGAAATTGGGCCAATTGGGGCTGGAAGCACTGCATGAGTCCAATCCCGCGATCCTCTGCCTCAAGCCGGATATTGGGATCATGTAGCTCCCAGCAAACACGTCGAAGGCTGCTAGAAATACTGTACAGGCTCTCGGCGTCCGGGTGCCAGACATTAAAGAAAGTGCGCTCGGTAGCACCGACCTTCATCTGGCGAAGGATAATACGAATGAGCCATGTAAGCTCGTCCGGGTTCATACGCCGATAGAATTCAGCCAGTATGTGCGCTTGTTCGTCATCTTTGGAGGCTGCAGACAACTTATCAAGCTTCTCGTTCACTTCCTCGATGGTCATGTCACCTGGATCCGTTCGCATAGGCCGCTTGGACAGAACATCATGGCATCTCCCAGCAAAGTCACCGGCCATCCGGGTCGCAGCACTGTAACCGGGTAGTTTCCAATTGAGTAAGTTGTAGCCATCTTCAGATTCTTTGTTAATCTTCATGATCTTGACAAGCATCTTGCCAATAACTTTCTCCTTGATCCCGTACATCGGGCGGTCCCTGTCTTTGTCAGGCAATATCAGCCGGAAGGCGGGGTATATGTCGTCGCCCACTTCTTTGCGCCATCGTGAAATAAAACGGGCGATGACATCGTGCCGGAGCTCGTATGGATTCAGATTTCCTTTGCCTGTGTTAGGCCCGGCCTTCCTCCGAGCTAAAGTTGATGTCACTGGCTTCTTTTTGATTTGACTGAGGGTATCGAAAAGTTCCGTGTACAGCTCATGGAATGGAAGTGTTGGAGCATGGTTATGCGGGCGGTTTGGATATCTATTCTGAGGTCAGTGGTGATATGGCGAGGAAGCCTTGTGATTTTTACTTCTCATCCAGATCCTCATCTAAATTTGAAGCGGGATCAGGCATAAGCTCGTCGGAATCCATGGTGAGACGAGCTTGAAAGAGGCAAAGTGTGAGTTTCCCCAGATATTTTTAGCTCAAGCGCTAGGCAACGATAGTGATAAGATAAGCCCCATGTGACATCACCCAGGTACAAGAACTATAGAACCTTGACTTTTTCAACGAAACAATCCATTCACATTCATTTACTTAAAACTAATGTACATTTAATGGGGTATATTTTTGGGAAAGACAACAAGAGTGTAAAAGTGAAAATAAAAACCTCAGCGGGTCTCCACACCGGTATTGAGGTTCTGCTCCCTATCTGGGTTCTGTGCCACCAGATCAGCCAGGCGGCCTAGAATTGCAATGAATCTCTTAGAGACACCCCATGCTGTCAAACTAGAAAGCGTCTCACATCCAATCCGAAGAACTCGCTCTGGGCCCTCGGGCGCACATATGTCTCCTACGCCTGTGATATTGCCTCTCATCGAGTGACCCTCTCGCACAAAAAGCTGGACCAACTCATCATCGCACGGACGATCTAGATGAATAAAACTCGGTTCCTGTGAGGGAACTCGAGAGCCCTGAGAATTAGGACTGGAGTCCTTGGGTGCATGAGGGTGACAGGACCCGTACGCCCATAGTGTCAACACGGCGACAAACACGGCTGCTGGCTCATGAAATGCATTCGTGGAGTATCGTCGAACGTGCCAAATAGTCACTCCGGCGTGAACTATTGATAAACGAGCTTTGTACTGGTCGTGACGTATCCAACGCCATATATATTGCCACTCGATGGCATGGGTTCGCCTACTCCATCGTAACTTGTTGGAAGCCAGAGAAGTAGCGAGCGAGCGTATCTCTCGAAATGGTGCTAGTAAGACAAGGCGTGCTGCATGAAGATGAAGGACTGTTGGATGCTCTAGCCCAGCGGCTTTGGCGATAGTACTGTTAGCAGTCCAGTGGAGAATATCAAGGCAATCACAGGCACTGTTGCGCCATTTGGAATAGGATGGAATTCCTGGAAGCCAGACCGAGCCTATCGGAATAGCAGTCTCACGAGACTGTTTTCTGGCAGTCGGGTTCCAGAATGAGAGAGGTCGGCGGAAATAATCTCCCACTTCCCACATGCGGTGATACAGGGCGTGTATAAGAAGAATATGACTAAATTCTCCAATCCCAGACACCAGCCTCTTTTCAATGTAAAGTATGTGCACAGCATCATACAAAGATTCGTTGACTGTGTAGGGCAAGGTCCGTGACGAATCTTGGGAGTAATTTGGTGAATGGAAGTCACTGGCGGGGTTTTCCCAAAGCTGTTTCCACGTCTCGGCGGAGTTAGCGTGCCATAACTTCTCGTGCGCGGGTAATGGAGCTTGTCCATCATCAAGAGATAGGAGTGGGCGGTCATCAAAGTAATAAGCAATTGTACAATCCAGAAGCTTCATGGGGATGTCAGTAAATCTCCAGCCGATGCGGCCAAATGGTGGATGCATACCCAGATACAGTAACCGGTTCGTCTTCGAACTTCATCTTGAATCCAGTTCGTCCATATAAAATCATCTGAAGATCCATGCATAATTCCTGGCTTTGCCATCGCCAGTAAATTCTCGCGGTTCATGAGAGTCACAAGATCTTTGAAAGAGCTTAATGCGGATGCTTTCGCTCGCTCGCTTCCACTGTGGATAAGGCCAATGCAGTTGAGCAAAATGACTTGAATCAGATCAAGGGAGTCCTGTCCAGGTCGGAATCTTTCTTTCTGCGTAAATATCATTGTAAGTCAATCGTCGGGGAGGAATAAGTAATGTGATCTTACCTCAACGTGAAGAGCGCGCCGAATTAGCTCATGGAAGGCAGTTGTATGTTGATCTGCTGGGGGGGTGCTTGAATTGTGGCAGCCAATTGCCACAAGGGCTACGGTCAAGAGCCAATAGCATTGATTAGGGTTGAAAGAAGAAAGGTGTATCATAGGATATACTGCTTGGAATGAATCAAAGTAGCAGACAAGGTACCGACTGCAATCCTCTGCAGACGGAAAATTATCAGACTCGAACATTTCGAAAAAGGGATTCTCGTTACGGCACAGCAGCACGAAATTGCGGTATATCTCGTTATAGGTTGTGGATTCGATCGGTCGAACAGAGTATATCATTTCATCTGAAAAATTTTCCATGCTGACTTCGTGTGTACCAGGGAAGTCAAATCGACGTGAATGGGGTTCATAAAGAGACTCGTGAGTAGAATTCGCGTCGGTCGATGAAATCGACCAGTGTGCTTGTCTCTTTCTGTATTTTGGAAGCCGGGCACCACCACCATCGACGTAATAATCTGCCGAACGTTTCGTTGAGTCAACAGATTCAGAATGAGGAGATGCTTCACTAGGAACGCGGGAATGCCGGCGTCGTGGACTCCCTCTGTCAGTGCCCAGGGAAATGTGTCCTGATGGCGTTTGTGAGATGTTTTCTAGGATCGAGGCACTAATCTGATCCGCATGAATGACTGGTGGTTGCCATGCCAAACGAGCAATATAGTTGTCTGGAAAAGCCGGTTGAGAGAATTGCGAAGGGGCCCTAGAGGATTGGCCCTGGTCACTTACCGTAGGTCCGGCGAAGAGTTCGTTAGGAAGCCAGTTGATTGTAGATAGCATGGATTGATCGAAAAACGACGGATCAAAATCCAGACCCATCTCCGAGTTGCCTCCCGTCATGTTTATATCGATATCGACCTCTGGATTTGGCAGGCCCGGTTGAAGGTTCCTTATTTCAGGGCCGAGACCAGCTGACGTCTCCACGGAAAAAATCTTGGGCAGATTGGGATTTGCATTTCCAATATGTTCTGCATGAGGATAGGCTGACATCGGCAAAGATTCTGTAGACGATGTAGGGTTAGAAGGCGGTAAAAATAAACGGGGGTCAGGAGGCCCCGAGGTCGAGCCTCTTCCATCTGGTGGTGTACTGTCTGCAAGGGCGCTCATTGGGTCTTGAAATGTGTCGATCGAGGGTTTTGGCGATGGTTGCGGGTCATTCAAGCCATTCACCGAGAATTGAGCGAGTTGATAGGGCGTTGCATGTTCCTGAACAGATGACTTGTTTCTCTGGGCTCGAGAGCGCATAGGGGACTGAGGATCTGGATCGTGAGTTCCTGATCCAGACGGTCCGCGTGTTCCATTTCTGGCTCTTGCTTTTGAACGTCTTTCGGTTGGGTACTGGCACTCGAGTGTCCGGACTTCACACCTTCCACATGGTATACCACCACTGCATCGCACTCTGGCCGTCGCACAACTGAAGCATGCGCGAAAAGTCTTGACAGTAATCCGATGTGTACGATCCTTCCCACCGTCGGTTCCTGGGTTATGGTGGCTGATCTCGTGGCGGTGGAGGGTATCTCTGTATATCATAAGTCCACTATTTTCTCCTCCCATATAGTATGGTGTGACCACCTACGTCCTAGAGAAGTGCCGACCGCATTGAGCACATTCGAATGGCTTTTCCTTGGTATGACTTCGCAAATGGCGCTTCAAATGTTCTGGTCGGCGGAATGTACTGCTGCAAACCGAACATTGTACCTGCCCTGAGTTCGGCATGGGATGTTCAACTTGTTCCCCACTTGATGCATGCGCATCGCCCACATCCACATCCACATCCACATCTGTGTCCATAGTCTCATCCGGGGTCGCATTGTCGTCCGACAGCATGGCGCCTGCAGTACGTGTGAGGATGCAGCTCCAGGGTAGTTCATATCATACTGCAGGAAACCCTAGGATCATGCCAGATCCCGAAATGAGGGGGAAACCGGGGCAACATCTAAATTGTTCCATATGCGGAGAAGCGGAGAAAGCCTTACGCGATTGGCCTTGGCTTTTAAACGAGCTTCGGTTAATTTCGATCCTGGGGTTAATTAGCTTGGCTTGATGATCAGCGGACCGTTACTCAGGAACAGGGACACCATTCCCCTGAAGAAATGCATATGTTGCGAGTATTCCATGAGTTTCATGTGTATAGTGTATGGAGATCACTGTCACACGGAGGACTCCGTAGTCTCTCATCCAGTTCCAATATAAGCCCGAAAGACAGGTGGCTGGAAGTGCACGGTCGCCATATCGAAAAAGTGGGCCGTCAGCGTCATTATGTTTTCTTTTTTTTGCTGGACGAAATTTAACTTAGAGCGATATCAGCAAATCTGAGAACTTAGACCCTGAATTCTCCAAACTCTGAGTGGAGATCGATTCCATGAACGACCAGCGGTTGGCTCCGGCTTTCCGAAAGAATGACTCGGCACGATTAGGTGCAGCGATCGCCTTTCAACAATCCCGCCCACCATCCAATGTGAAATTCCAATCGTCCGCTGCCACTGCAGCTGTCTTCGCCAGCCGAATGAATCGTCATGAGACTCAGAGAGATGAGTCTGAGGGCCCAGAAATCGGGTCTGTGAAGGACAAGATTGAAAGGTTTGGGAGTAACTCCCTTGCTCCCCCGACCTTCCCGAGCACCCAGGGACGATCACGAACACCCTCATTATCGAGATCGCCAGCTCCGAAGTCACCAGCACGAAGTCCAGGCCCAGAAAAAGTCGCTGCACATTTAGCGGCTGCCCGTCTCGCGGCAGAAAAATCCCCGGGGCGAAAACAGGAGCCGCCAATCGATGCTGCCCGAATTGGTGCCGTCCGCAGTGCGAGCAGAGCACAATCCCAACAACCTCAACCACAACCGCGGTCGACACCAGTTCGTCATGAGCTACGCTCTCCTCTTCCAGTTCGGCCAACCCTCCCGGCTGATAATTCGGTAGATCGAATGATCAATAATGCCATCGACCAAGATCCTAGCAATGGACGGCCTCCGTCCGTCCGATCTCACACTGGCACTGTGCGCAGCCAGGCAACAAGTCCTCAACCCTCCGTCTCCTCTCGAATATCTATAGTACTTCCAGATGAAGTGAAGCCAAAAATCCCCCCACTTCCCTCGCGATCTACGGCCTCTTCTCGGGCTTCAATACCAAAAACGCTTCATACACCGAGCCCGTTACGACCGACACCAAGCATGGTATCGATATCGGGTTTATCACACAACAGCAGCTCCAGTGGCCAAGATGAAACAGGTGTGATGAATGAGGAGGCTCTATCCAATGCCATTGTCGCCTCTTCCCTAGCATCCGCTCGCGCCTCCCCCATGCCAAAGGCTCCCCCTCCGCCCCCACGCCGACGTCGGGCTCGGTCGCTTCTCGCATTGACACATTCGCCCAAGAGTGACCTATCAAGAACTCCAAGTCCACCAAAAGGTATGCCTATGACTCTACGCGGCATACCCAAGGACGGCGAAGCCGACCCTAACCGGCGACATAAAAAGCATCTTCTCCATAAACACCCCCACAAGCACCACGAAGGAGATCGAAAACGATGGCGACGGGAAGTGACGGAAAAGGAGCGCAAGCGCTACGAAGGTGTTTGGGCCTCCAATAAGGGGCTACTCATTCCACCTGAACTCAAGCTGAGTGGGACCGAGAAATGGCCTCCACCCTCGGAGATGGTGTTGAACCTTGTGGTGCGGGAGATCTGGTCCCGCAGCCGTCTGCCATCCGCGGTGCTGGAACAAGTGTGGACCCTTGTAGATCATCAGAAAATCGGACTTTTGACAAAAGATGAATTTGTCGTGGGAATGTGGTTGATTGATCAACAATTAAAGGGACGTAAACTACCAGTCAATGTTCCGGATAGTGTTTGGGATAGTGTACGGTATGTGACGGGCATCAAGCTCTCGTCTATTGGAAAGGGCTAGTTTATCCAATCTAGAATATGTCGCAGGATCGCGGATATAGTGCAGAATATGAAGTACCATCAATAGAGCCTGTACACCCGTGGACCCTTTGAACCCGATGCCGTAGCTGAAGGAGTAGCTCTCTACTTGGTATAGCATGTTTCTTTGAAATCCTTCCCCTTGGATTCCACTTGATTGAATGGATGAACTATTTAACCGAGATTCATCTCGAGCAGGCAATTGGTACGAATACTCTGATCGATCTGATCTGATATGATACAACATGAATGCAATTGAATCTCCAAATCGGGGATCTTGTGGATCATGTGACCGACATCGGCCAGTCGTGCACGCCACTTACGGTCACCAGCTGGGCATATGTCTCCTGTTTCAGGGGGAAAAAGCCAGATCGATTAATTTCCATGGATTCTTCGAGTCTGTCATACTCACTTCCATCCTCCATGTTCCCTTCATCTTCAATGTTTGAGAGTTTCGATCGTGACAAATTGTGGACGCAAGCAAATCCCGAATCTCCACGGCTCGGGATTTGGATCCAAAAAGATCAAGCAATCAGCGCACCCGTTTCTATATCATAGAAATCACTTCTTCACCTGTCCAGATTCCCACAACAAAAATGCGCAATTTGGTCCGCCCGACGGTTTAAGAACCTTGGTGTGTGGAAGAGCAAACCCCGAGGACCTACAGACCCCGAGATAGTAAGAAAAGAAAAAGAGCGAAAGAACCACGAGGGCGGGGATTGCGGAGTATCGCCCCATGCCATCCCGGCCGTGTGATTCGCCATGGTCGACGCTTTTCAGAATGAGAGCGGGCTTGTGTCGACGGCACTTCGGCCGATTCGCAAGAAGTTCGCCAAACCGCCCGTCAAGGTAGCTTGTTTGCCTTGGTGTGTAACGCCCCGGACCCTAGCCGATGCACAGATTTCACTAATTCCCGACTCCAGCCGCGCTTCGCGAACCCGATGCGGTGGTCAAGAGCCGTGTTCCAATGTAGGTTTCCACCTGGAAATAACCTAGTGACAAGTCTGTTTCACTAGGCTTTTTCTATATTTTCTTTCCCTGCATGAATTGGGGACCGCTCGCATACATTGTACTCATACTGTCTTAGTGTCTCAACAAAGGCCGAAAATGCTCCTATCTACCGAGCAAACGGGGTGGGCCTCGCACGAAGAAGCAAAGGCCTTCTCAGTCGCCTGAGGGCGAGGCTCAACAGGATGATGCCCAGTATGCTGCCATCTCTGAGTTCGAAGAGCGTATGTTTACGGCCGAATCGTATGCTTTGCCGTGGTATTAATGTCTCAAACAGCGCCGGGGATGTTTACACAAATCGATGTGCTCTCGCTGCCGGGCGCAGGATTACGGCATCTAGACTTCCCTCAGCAAGTGTCTCCCATGTTTCAAGGCTACTATGCCGGCGAATCGGATCCCACTCATGTTCCCTTGGAACCTATGCCATCGTCATTGACCGGCGCGCAGTGCTACATACGAGCTTACGGAAGTGAACCTGAAATGTGCGTTCATTCTGTCCACGTGGAGCGCGTAGAAGGGCTTCTGATCGAGTTTACAGATTAAACGCCTACTATGACTTCATCCATACCTATTTTCCCATCCTTCCACCACGAGTGGCACCTCAATTTCGGGACCGCCCTCTGCAGCGCCCGTTCTCTTGCTCTGGCCCATCATCAGAACCTCTTATTATGTACCGGCCTCGGTCTCCTCTGAGCCTTGCTATTTCGGCAGTGTTGGCATTGATTCCACACCCTAATGATCCTGATCCATCGTCCCCTGCATCGCTTCTGCAGCGCAGGACATACGCCCATACGTTCGCGCAGTTGGCCAATTCGGCCATAGAAACGGAGTGTGATCTTGATCTGTCATCAACAGACCCTGGTCAGGCCCTATCAACCCCACGGCCTTTGATCAACCGAGAAAGGCTCCATTCCAGCACACCGGAGGATTTGGAAACTCTTCTGGCTTTACTAATTCTTTCCGTGTATGAGTATTCTCAGAGAGGAAATCTGCTAAAGATGAGATATCGGGCTGGCCAGGCATTAGCTCTAGCCTTGGACAAGTCACTCCATGACTATATGGATGAGGACGAGTTTTCTGAGGCCCGTCGAAGAGCATGGTGGATGACCTACTACTGTGTCATCCAAGGCTCCATTGTTAGCACAACAGTGAGTGCTGTCACCTCGAGCTATGAACATATCTAATCGCAAAGCAGCCTCCTACTCTTGTCATTAATGACCCTCAGTTTACAACCCCATATCCTCGATTTTCTTCTGATGCCGAGGGATGGTCAATCTTGATACAAGCCCAACAAGTGCTGGTATCAGCGACTCAGTTCATTGCCGATCTAAACAAGTCACTTGCATCGCAGTCGGGCCTTCACTACATGTTCGAACGGATGCAACAACTTGACTCCTGGACAAATTCTGTGCTCGCACAAATCGACATACTTCCAATCGCATCTCATGAGCCGGACTTCGGTGACTGCCGCGAAACAATTACCGCACGAAGTATACGAACAATGTCCAGAATCAAACTGTCTAGTGCCCAAATCAAAACCCATCGATTCCGTGCCTTCTCAGATATTCCAATCTTTGTGAAACGGCACTGCGATCTAACAGCCGCCAACGCTGCCAATGCAGCTCAAGTTGTCACTCCAAAATCCTCGAGTACCGGAATCAACAGCGTCTCCTGCTCATGCAGCAACCTAGACCAATTCCAGCGAGCCTCCTCGGCCGAATACATGACCCCTTCGGACTCCTCCACCTCATCCGACATTCACCCCTACATCCCGCAGTACCCACAATATCCTTTCGCGCCAGGGTTCCCCTACAGCACACAACACTCTGCAAAGGTCTGTTTTCACGCTGCTCTCGTCATCTCACGCATGTTCGAATCTTTACCGTACCCGCAACCACTCTCTGAAACACATCAACAACCGCATCAAAGCCATTCTCTCCCTCGGACTATGCCGTCTTTCGCATGCTGTCTGATGCAGAGCAGTTACGCCATGTTCATGATCTTCTACAAGGCTCGCGTGGCGAACCAGCTGTCCCCGGAAGTGGAAAATGAAATTTCAGGTGGTTCGACCGATAGGTTGGTTGAGGAACTGCGCCAAGGATTGGAGCGGATTATTAGGGCTGTTTCCAATTACTCATTGGCTTTTGAAGCGTTGGATGGGATGAGAGGTAAGCTGCTCTTCATTTTAATGGACTTTTCGATATGTTGCTAACGTTACCAGATGAAATTCAAGGTGCATATCAAACGGCGTTTCCTGGCACGGTCATTTGAATCATCAATTTTTTTCTTGATCTTGAAGCAATGCACAGCACATGTCATATCATCAGCGATTCTTCGATTCGTGCATCCTGCAACATACTCTCCCCTTCCTTTAATATTCTCCCCATAGCGAGAAGCATACCCTTTTTCAACGGGTGTTTTTGGATACATATACATATCTATATATTCACTTCTACGCACATTTATTATAGTAGACCGCAATGGCTTCAAGGATGAATACCGGGTACACGAATGATAGGAGGATCTATACATGATTTATGTTCTTGTAAGGCAAAGTTAAGCTCCAATATGTAACCTTCAAATGTTGAAATATGCAAACACCATATATTTCCTCTAATCCATCGCTAGAACGGTACCAAAGTCACCTTGGAATTAAAAGTAGCCCAAGGACGGGGTGGGTAGAGGGCCAGACCAAAGCCCCCCAAAGGAGAAACCGAGATCTACAGCTTCGAACGAATACCCTCCAGCCTAAATTTAACATCTTTCAAAACCTTGCTCGACGGCTTCCAGTCATCAAACTGACGTAAAAGTTCCATCGTCTCCTCCTGCATCTCACGACGCACGTGCTCTTCTTCGAGAAGGCCGCGCATCGCAAACGGGAGGATGTACGGATTTGAGGCTGTAGAAGGGTTGGACCGCTTGATTTTCAGTGTGGCATCTGGGGCTGTGGATGTTTCCAATGCAAACTGAATGGCCATGTAGTATACGGCTTCGTCGTCGTATAAGCGAGAATGACCATCGCCGGTATAAAGACTGCCAGCAAGGGGGGTACTCAGTTCGCGGATCAGACCGTGATCTGGAATGCCAAGGTTTCGGAGTTTCAGGGCGAAGCCGACAAGGTGAGAGACACTGGCGGTGTTAACATCTACGGCGATGAGGACTTATTAGATGAGTGCTTACAAGCTTGGTGCATGCACCCTGCCATCCACAAAAACGGACCGGTAAATGTATGGATGAGCAATTGGGGAAAACAACGAAGACTGGAAACTATCATTAGTGCAAACCGAAAAGTAGCTTCAGACATAGCTCACATACCTCTAGAGAGACGAGTTGATCGTCAATGCTTCCAACATAAGAGATTCGCACCCCAAAGTCAAGTGCACATCGCAATGCAGCTTCATAGTCCTTGGATACTTTGCTAGAAGGCTGTTCAAAGTCAAACAGTTCACCGGCAGAACCACTTATCCAGCGAGATCGATAAGAGGAAAAGGGGCCCATATTCACACCGGCCATAGCGCATATGCCTACCCGAGAAGCATTCACACACCCGAAAGATATCAGCTTTGCGACGAGCATAATCGATACTGGTACACCCTGGCTGTGACATGCAACCATGATGAAATCGGCTTTCCGAATCTCCTCCATCCAATTCAAGAGCAATTTCCATAACAAGTCCACCCGCTCTGTAATGCGACCTTCGCCCTCTAATGCGATCTTTTCAACTTCACATGAGTATCCATGGTCTGCGGTCCATTTCCGAATTGATTCTGCTGCCATGTTGGAAAATCGAATGGATGTCCCTGTAGGTTGCCCAAGTACGCTCCGGATTAGCGGGGCAGGGAAATAGCCATGGACACCAATGGCCAATGAACGTTTGATCCGAAGGGGTTCTTTAACACGAGACACATGGTTGTGCTCGGGGCCTTTGCTGTAGTGTAGAAATCGGCCAAGTGACTGGAAAAGAGAAGGCGATTCTTCCAGGCTGTAGGTTTCTTCAAAACGAGGTAGTACTTGGTTTGGCAGAATGTTTTGCAATTGCTTCGAAGCATTGGAATCCATGGGTCGGGACTCTACGGGCGGTGTGAAGATGGATGTCGCCTCGATTGTAGATACAGCCCCATCCTTCAAACGACTATCGTTAGGCGGTTTTATCTTCAAGCTGCCCTTTTTTGTGATCTTCACATTTGCTTCAGGGTCAAGCTCAAGCGCCGTTGATTGAGATGGACAATCCTGTGCTATGGATGCCCCAACTGCCTCCACTTCCTGCGGCGTTCCAGGTGTGGCATCTTTCGGTGGATCTTTTGACCAGAATGACCATCCTGAAGATTTTGTGGTTCCGGTCGGAGGTTGTAGCAGACCAGCTGCTTCTCCATCCTCTTCCGCGGGATTCTTTGATGACATGTCCACGTCCTTGGTTGTGGATGGATCTGATTCTGTGGGGTGGAGGCTGTTCGATTCTACTGTTGACTGCTCTTCTTGCTTACTTGCCGAGGAACCGTACCACATCTGCAACCAAGAGCGTTTCTGTGCAATTGAAGTAGTATCAGTCGTTGTATCTGTCTCAGCTGACCGATAATTCTGCTCTTGTTCCGGCTGTTCCCGTTGTTCACCCGAGTCTGATGTATTAATCTCAATGTCGGCTTTGTTTACACTCTGGGCACTGTCTGTGGGTCTCTCAGTCTGATCTGTTGATTCGGAGACGCTCACTGTTTCTTTCGGTGAGATCCCAGTTGGGTAAATCCACGAAAACCATCCCGTGGGTTGCTCAACTGCATTTCCTGCATGCGATGTATTGGGATCCGGACTGGCGTCAATAGTCGGCTGTTGTCCTTCGGCTGCCTTCTCCTGAGGGTTTGCAGGATTAGGAGAATGTGACTCCTTATTTGTGTCTGGTGTTTCTGTCGCTGGTGTATCCTCAAGGTTGTCTAGGGCTGTTGTTGAAGCTGACCCATCTGAGGTAATATTGACTCTAGTTGTAGTCACGCTGGCAGGGAGCGAACGTGTGGATGCACCAGCTTTCTTAATTAGTTGAAAAGAGGGCGCTCGGTTTCGTTTTGCAGAGTCAAAGAAGGAGGTTGAGGATTCAGCGAGGCTGGAGGCAACGTTCTGAGCGACCGAGATGCTCTCACGGGCAACCTCGGTAACTGGAGCCGCCTTGGACACTCGTGAAGCAGTCGACCAGGATCCAGGGTACCAACTCTGAGGTGAAAATAACACATGGTAAGATAAGCGAGCAAAAACCTTCAATATGCTAAATATTTGGACTCACTGAACGTCCTTGAGACTGGGAGTCCGAGCTGTCTCTGCCAGCGTTGCTGGGTGATGCGGGGGACGGTGAGTCCGCGCCAGAAGGGCTGGGCCTCGCTCGTTTGCGCGATCCCTTGGGCGTCATGGAGGTGGAAATGGTGTCATCAGGTAAATTCAAGATGAACAGAACACGAGCTCTTTCAAGATTTGGTCTAGTATAACAAGCGCCACAAGCCAGGGCATCTGGTATCACGTCACATGTTGGACGTGGGTGCCTGGGTTTAATGCCTTGGTGCCTCAGGCGCCAGTACTAATCAAAGGCGGTCTGAGATAAGTCGACAATAATTTTTTTCTTCTCCACCGACCGCTGGGGAACAAAGTATACAACCTCTGTCATTTTTTTGCCTCATTACTTTGCATTCAGGGCAGTTAGGTCTTTGAAAAGACCGCCCATTGCTTAAATATGGCTATCCAAAAAAAGGTTTGTGTTCCTCCAGTCGCTCTTTGAACGAATAATATTAACTCTGCTTCAAGCACGGAAAAGGTCGTTTGGATAAGTGGTATCGCCTGGCAAAGGAGAAGGGCTACCGATCTCGTGCTGCTTTCAAGCTGGTGCAATTGAACAAGAAGTATGGATTCTTGGAGAAGAGTAAGGTCTTGATCGATCTTTGTGCTGCGCCTGGTGTAAGTACCCATTTGCGGAGATTGTTCAATGGCTTCATGTCTAACAATTGTGGCAGGGTTGGTGTCAAGTTGCCGCAGAATGCATGCCTGCCCAGAGTATTATCGTCGGTGTCGATCTTGCCCCCATCAAAACGATCCCGCGAGTCATCAGCTTCCAGAGCGATATTACCACCGACAAGTGTCGCGCTACAATTCGATCCCACCTCAAAACATGGAAGGCAGACACCGTTCTTCACGACGGTGCTCCCAATGTCGGAACAGCTTGGGTTCAGGATGCTTTCTCCCAGGCTGAGCTCGTACTGGAGTCATTGAAACTGGCTACAGATTTCTTGATTGAAGGCGGAACGTTTGTCACCAAGGTTTTCCGATCCAAAGACTACAACCCTCTTCTGTGGGTGTTCAAGCAACTATTCACATCGGTCGAGGCAACCAAGCCCCCATCGTCTCGTAACGTCTCCGCCGAAATTTTCGTCGTCTGCCGCGGATACAAGGCCCCCAAGCGCATCGATCCGAAATTCCTCGACCCTAAGCATGTATTTGCGGAACTCTCTGACCCGACCCCGAACAACGAGGCCAAGGTCTTCAATCCCGAAGTGAAGAAGCGTAGACGTGAAGGTTATGAGGAGGGCAACTACACCCAATTCAAGGAGATTCCAGTGACCGACTTCATCAACACCACAGATCCCATCGCCATCTTAGGTTCCTACAACAAACTCAGCTTTGAAGAGCCAGAGGGTGGAGATGTCGCAATGGCGACTGTGAACCGACTCGAGGATACCACAGATGAGATCCGAAAATGCTGTGAGGACTTGAAGGTTCTAGGGAAAAAGGAATTCCGCAATATTCTTAAGTGGCGTCTGAAACTTCGCGAGAAGTTCGGACTTGTTGTCAAGAAGAAGGCGCAGGGAGAGGAAGATGAGGGTGAAGAAGTTGCAGAGGTCGCTCCCATGGACGAAGAATTGGCGATCCAGGAAGAGTTGCAACGCATGCGAAAGAAGGAGTCTACGCGTGACAAGAAAGAACGGCGCAAGGAGAATGAAAAGAAGCGAAAGGAGATTGTCCGCCTTCAGATGCACATGACAACCCCCATGGAGATCGGTATGGAACAACAAGGACCTGGAGGTACAGACACCACATTTACTCTCCGCCGTGTGGACAAGGCCGGTGCAAGAGATGCTGTCGTGCACGCCCGTGATCTCCCCGCTGAAAGCGAGAGCGAGGATGAGTCTTCTGAAGAGGAAGAGAGTGACGACGATGGTGACATCTTGGAGAGAGACCTTGATGCGATGTACGACCAATACCAAGAGCGCATGGAGGACAAGGATTCGAAACTGCGTGCAAAGAAGGCGCGCAAAGCATACGAGACCGATGAATGGGATGGCTTCTCCGACGACAACAAGAGCGACGGCTCTGACAACGAAGAGGAAGAATCCATGACTGCCGTTCCTAGTGCCTCACGGGCAAGCAGTATGTCAAATAATGCGGCTCTTTTCTTTGATCAAGATATCTTCCAGGGTGTTGACGAGGAAGAGGAGGATGAGGAGGAAGATGAAGACGAAGCTATGGAGGATGCAGAGGAGGACAGCGAGACCGACGAAGAAATCCCTGTTTCCAAGCAAAAGAACAAGAACAAGAAAGAACCAAAGAAGCAATCTTCCGAGTGGGTTGACTCAGACGACGAGCCTGACCACTTTGAAGAGCCTCGGAAAGCCAACGGCCAGCTGGGTATGTCTATCACTCTACACTCAATGATTTTGTGGAGTTTGCGGCTAACACTAGAACTACAGATATCGATATTATTACTGCCGAAGCCATGGCTTTGGCTCAAATGATGGCCACCGGCGAGAAGAGGTCCACTGACATTGTTGACGATGGTTTCAACCGTTTCTCGTTCCGCGATGTGGACGGTCTCCCCGAATGGTTCCTTGACGACGAGGGCAAGCACAGCAAGATCCAACGGCCGATCACCAAGGCCGCTGCCGCTGCTATCAAGGAGAAGCTGCGTGCTATCAATGCTCGTCCAATCAAGAAGGTGATGGAGGCTAAGGGCCGCAAGAAGTTCAAGGCTGCACAAAGACTGGAGAAGTTGCGCAAGAAGTCCGCTCTTCTGGCCGATGATGAGGCTCTTAGTGAGCGTGACAAGGCGCAGTCTATCTCCAAGCTGATGAGCAAGGCTACCAAGAAGAAGCCGAAGCAGGAGGTCAAGCTTGTTGTGGCTCGTGGTGCCAACCGTGGTATCTCTGGCCGTCCCAAGGGTGTCAAGGGAAGGTACAAGATTGTGGATTCGCGCATGAAGAAGGATATTCGGGCACAAAAGAGACTGGCGAAAAAGAAGGCGTAAATAATTTGTTCATAGTGCATATCATGAGTGGGACTGTTATCCACGATACCCGAATTCTAATATTCATTGTAGCTTACTAGTAATTTTCCTATCATGGTAGCAGTCCTCGTGCATTCTTAGTTCCAGAGTGTAAACGTGGTAAAACGTGGGTTAAGCGTAGTAGACGCCAAGACCCAAGACCCGCGGCGGTGGTTTCCATGAGTGGCGCTTATGCTTATCGATTACTTTCTACCTAAAAACTTAACTTTCTCTTCCCAACTCTCCAATACTCCCGTGGGAAATCTGGAGTGAATTTGATTATATATTTTAACGCCCTGCATATTCCTCATGTCATATCAGTGCATGCATTAGCCCTTTGTTGCATTTCTCTTGTTCATAAGTACATCCTTACCTACCTGCATCCCACCTGATGGGCTTTTTCGACCATCTCCAAAAAGGAGCGGGGGGCTTTACCCTACAACCGCAGAAAACCCAAGTACGCAAAGTTGTTCAGACACGACCTGCCACGAAAGCGAAATCTGCCACCCAAACTCCCGTCAACGGCTCACCTCGCTTCCCTTCTTCATCGGAGCGGAGCCATAAGGCGTCCGCGTTCAAAGCCCGGTCGGTCTCGAGTGACACAGACGCCCGCCCCTCTAAACGACTTAACACGCCTACTCGTGCTCGGAAACGACCGACTCCCGAGCAACGGCTTTCAAGTGACGACGATGTCAGCGATAGCGATACCTCCTTCGAGGTGCGCAAGCGCGCGCGGACGAGCGCCAGTGCAGAGCCAGATCCCGAGAGGAGGATTCGCTCGGTGAAGGCATTTTCAGAGGAAGGAGCGCGTCCGTTCAAGATGTGTCATGGAACTGATATAACCTCGGGCCAGAAGGCCGGGAAGTTCAAGCCGGCGTTTGGGGGCCAAGGCAAGCCTGCAGAGATTCTCTTGCAATACCCGAGTGCTTCGCAAAAAGAAAGGTGGGTGCCTCGAGTCTTCTTTTACCCTGCGCCAATATAGAAAACTAATGAGTCCTTTCCCCACAGATTCGACTGCATGGTACCACGCGATAACGATGAGTTCCGGCCGATTGACGATATCATTCAGGTAATCGAGACGGTCTCCGATAACTATATACCCGAAGAAGGAGCGGCAGAGTTCAACGATGAAACCACTGGTATCAGACGGCGGTTGCGCAGAGCTTTGGCTGTATCATCGGAAGCCCAATTCCGCGAGGCCGTGGATGACTACAACAAGGCAATTGAACGATTAAGAATCAACGGCAGTATCGCAAAGCACTTGAACGCAACCCAGCGCATTGGTTTGCCCTGGGTAGAGCGGATTCTCAACCAAACCTATGCACGCACAGTGTCTCCTCGAGTCGAATCTCTCAGACAATATGAGAATGGCACTGATAATGTTTACGGCGAACTTCTCCCCCGCTTTATCAGCAACATTTTTAAAGAGACCAAGTTAAAGTCCGGCCAAGTATTTGTTGACTTGGGATCCGGCGTCGGTAACGTTGTTCTCCAAGCGGCGCTCGAGATTGGTTGTGAGAGCTGGGGTTGCGAGATGATGAACAACGCCTGTGATCTAGCAGAGTTGCAGCAGTCCGAGTTCAAGGCTCGCTGCCGGCTCTGGGGCATTGCACCAGGCAAGACTCATCTTGTTCGAGGTGACTTCTTGGAGCAGGAGAGTATCATCAACGTGCTCAAGCGCGCCGATGTGATTCTCATCAACAACCAAGCCTTCACACCGCAACTCAACAATGAGCTTATCAATCATTTTCTTGATATGAAAGAAGGTTGCCAGATTGTCTCGCTCAAATCTTTTGTCCCTGCCGGCCACAAGATCCAGTCTCGAAACCTCAACTCTCCAATCAACCTTCTTAAAGTCCAGCAAAAGAACTACTGGTCCAACAGTGTAAGCTGGACCGATGTCGGCGGTACATACTTCATTGCCACCAAAGACAGTTCTCGGCTCAAAGCTTTTGCGGACGGCACTTTATGAGGCAAAAACACACAAAAATCATAAAAACAAACAGCCAGTTTCTCGTCTTCGGGAGATTGACAGGCTTTTATCGTTTGAACTCGTGTAAATTGTGATTGGTTTGGTTCTGTACATTATCTGTTCTGCTTCTTGGACATATTTTCTTCTATGTGTACGATACCATTTTCGACTTGTATATAAAGGCAGTCTGATCCAGCTTATCTTGCATAGCAAGTGGTACCGTCCTGTTTATATGGTCAATAGACAATTCATGCGCCGCTATGCAGCTCCCAAAGACATCTGGGCCTAGGAGAAATTCTATGAAAACTTGGACGCATCGTTCATAGCGTCTGCCTCTTGACCCATTCTAGCCATCCAGCGGTCAACCAACTCCTGATTCTCATGCTGAAGCTTATTTGACTTTTGGTCGGCCATGTTTAGTTGGAGATTCAAGGTCGCCATCTCATCTTGGAAGTCCTGTCATGGTTAATTATGTGAGCAGGAGCTTCAAGCTGCTTAGATGGGTAGTCCACAAGTAACTCCTTACCTCTAGCAGTTTGGCTTTGCCTCGTAACTCCTCATCCCTGTCTTTGAGTCGCGAATTTAACTGCAGCCTCTCGCTTTCTAATACGTTGATTCGGCGAGCGTCCTGGGTGTTTTTCTTGCGAAGTTTCTCCACTTCAGCCGTCACTCGATTCAGTTTGTCCTGCAACTCTGATCGAAAACGCTGTGCCTCCGATAAGTCTGCACGAGCAGCATTCAAAAGCTCCGTTGGCGAGACCCCCGTCTCAGTCGTTCCTTTCTTGGCTGTCGCACCCAAAGGAACAGTGCGCTGCGTTTCTTTGTGGATCGACGACTGATCTACTGCAGGACTGGCAGCTGCGCCTATGGGGGTTGTAAGCGTGGCGGTGCGATCAGCGAGGTGAGTATCTAAGACCGAAGACTGTATATCAGTAGATGTATGCGTAAAGCTTCACAAGAAGCACGAACAGGCCTCATAGAGTGCGACGTTGGCCTTTTCTCTCTGATCCCGTACGGCCAACGCAGCCAAATACTCCTCCCTCCAATGGGCCATTCGCTGTGGGGAAGCGATCGACAAGCGAGGAATGTGTTCGGGTGCGATGATGTCGGGGTTGCTATCTGCTATCAGGATTGCTACTGCCCCCCTCGACCGCCCGGCCTTGTGCATCAGCGGATCCCGCTGCAACCTAACTCCAACTCTCCAGCTACTTTCGTCTACCTTCTTTTCGCCTCCCCACCTTTTCAGGTAGTTAATCTTGCCTATCTTTTCCAAGGGTACCTCCAATAATCTTTATTCGTGCCTTACCCTCCCCCCGTTCCCGTGGGGTTCAGACATCCGCTACCATGGCGTCACGAAAGAAGGTCCTCCTCAAGGTACGATCTCCGCACCAGCTCCGTCTCGGCCCAACATGGCCCTTTTCGGCCACCCTTAATATTAACGACGGAATTTGTTGCATTAGGTGATTATCCTTGGTGATAGTGGTGTTGGAAAAACCAGTTTGATGAACCAATATGTGCGTTCTCTTCCGTGCTCAAGCTTGTGGCGCCTCAGCCGCGACCAACCTCCCGCTTTATCATAGCTGACATTCTCACCCTCGCCAATGATTAGGTCAACAAGAAATTCAGTGGAAGCTACAAGGCCACTATCGGAGCCGACTTTCTGACCAAGGAAGTACTGGTCGATGACCGACTGGTGACGATGCAGGTAAAGCTAACCTCGACAATCGTACTGGCAAAACCATCCAAGCCTGACAACTAATTCGCTCTCTTTAGATTTGGGACACTGCCGGTCAAGAACGGTTCCAGTCTTTAGGTGTCGCCTTCTACAGAGGTGCTGATTGCTGCGTTTTGGTTTACGATGTGAATAACTCCAAGAGTTTTGAAGCTCTTGATAGCTGGCGGGACGAGTTCTTGATCCAGGCTAGTCCACGGGATCCCGAGAACTTCCCTTTCGTGAGTTTTCCGGTCCTCCGATGCGGGTCTGACAGATTCTCCGTGTTGGCCGCGTGACGACTGCATGGTGGACCCAATACTGACATTACTATTCAGGTGGTTATCGGTAACAAGATCGATGTGGAGGAGAACAAGCGTATGATCTCTTCGAAACGAGCAATGACCTTCTGCCAATCCAAGGAAAACATTCCCTACTTTGAGACCAGTGCCAAAGAGGCGGTGAACGTCGAGCAGGCCTTTGAAGGTAAGACCCCGCCCACAATATAAAGAAATATCCCCACTAATCATCCACGTTTGCAGTCATTGCCCGAAGTGCCCTCGCACAAGAAGAGGCCGAGGAGTTCAGTGGTGAATTCAGCGACCCTATCAACATCCATTTGGACAATGAGCGTGACGGCTGTGCCTGTTGATACCCTAACCTGATACTCCCTGATACTCATGACGTTTAAGCGGTTTCTTTTTTCTATCTCCCTCTATTCTTTTGTTTGGAGTTCAAGATGAATGTTATTGGTGGTTTCCATCTACCGTTGAGTTTTTCGCCTGCAGAGATCAACGGATTGCTTTCTGGATTCGTCTCCGTGTAGATTCTCTCTCTTCTCCTGGATGTGTTGGTGTTAAGTCTTGGCACCTTTGGTTCATAATTTCCTGGTGTCCTGCGAATAATCAGCGCGTTCTCTTCGTTTCCCAGTCAATATATTGATCTCAGGCCCTTTTCATGTTGTTCATATCCGACTTTTCACAAACGAGAAAAACAATTCAAAAATAACCTTCTGACAGTGTTTGAGTAAATGTGGTAATGCTACCTGTGGAGTAAGAGATACATAATCATGCGGGCCCTGAATGCTGATAGGACTACCCTTATCGCCGATCTTAGTCCGCACACTGCTTGGCATCTCCTCTCACGCGCACACCGTCTGAGGATCCTGGGCTTTCCTCCGGAGCGTGTCTGTCCCCAGTCACCCTTATCTCAAATCCCGAAGTGCCACAGATGCCTATGACCCGTTGCCCTCGCTTAAACATCGCGCCCGGGACTTAACCGCATCACTATAAGCCCTGCGACGGCCGAACTCGGCCATCGTCTCGGTCACGAGCCCCATAACCCCAGAATTGACAGTCATGTCCAATCCAGATGCGCAGCCCACGAGAATAGGAATGGCGAGACGGACTCTCGGTATCAGTCTCCTTCTGCTCGTGGTGGTACTATGGACAACTTCGAATTTCCTAGGAAGTGTACGTTCCCTATGCATTACTGCACCGCATCGCGCAAAACCCCCACAACTCACCCACCCTGCCCAATTTACATTTGCTGACTCCACTCCATTATGTAGACCATCTTCGCCGATAAGACCTACCCGAAGCCTTTCTTCGTAACATATATCAACACCTCGCTCTTTACAATGCCACTTTTCGGTGTCCTGATTAGTCGAACATTCGGTCTATGGCGCACCAACAAGCTTGGGCAGGTTGACTCGTTCTGGAGCTGGCTGCGATATATGGACTCTGTTGAGACCGAAACTGCAGACGAGGCGCGGGTCTTGCGACGCGTGTCGATTGACGATGAGGCCCGGGGCAGTGGGGACTATGACGGTGCGCGATACTTGCCGAAGGGACAGGGCGAAGATGAGAAGCTGGGATTGAAGGCGACTGCGAAGCTTAGCTTTCAGTTTTGTCTGCTCTGGGTATGTTTGTCGCTGTTTCCCAAAGATAGATTCGAGCAGTCGCTAATTTGATACAGTTCACTGCGAACTATTTCGCTATGGCATGTCTTCAATATACGACTGTTGGAAGTACTACCATTTTGACTTCGACAAGCGGTGAGAATTTCCATATGTCTGAGTCGGGGGGCTTTTTAGGAATTGTATTAATGTTGCGTAGGTGTCTGGACACTGGTATTCGGAGCCTGTCTACGCGTTGAAAAGTTCACGGTCCGGAAAGCCCTTGGTGTTCTCGCTTCTCTCATCGGTATCATCCTGATCTCGCGTGTGGACCTCTCAAAGCCAGACACCAATCCAGCAATTGCCACGGGAGAGGATGGATCGGGTACGTTCCCTCACAAGACGCCTGCTGAGATCGCACTCGGCGATGCCATGGCAGCCTTCAGCTCAATCATGTACGGCGTGTACACGATCGTGATGAAGAAGCAAGTCGGCGACGAGTCGCGCGTGAACATGTCACTTTTCTTCGGCCTTGTTGGTTTCTTCAACCTTATTTTCATGTGGCCCGGGTTCTTCATCCTCCACTGGACCGGTGTAGAGTTGTTTTCATTTCCGGAAACAAGGCGGGTCTGGACGATCATTCTGGTATGGTTACCTAGCGGAGTCTTTTGATTTTTGAGTTCATAACTAACCTATTTTCAGGTCAATTCGGTCGCTTCTTTCGTCTCTGACATCGCCTGGGCCTATGCCATGCTCCTTACCACGCCACTTGTGGTCACCGTCGGTCTTAGTCTGACCATTCCCCTATCATTGGTTGGACAGATTGTTCTGCAAGGACAGTATGCAAGTGCATTATACTGGGTCGGTGCGACAATCGTTTTTCTATCATTCTTGGTGGTCAATCACGAAAGCAAGACACTGGACGAAGCAGCTCCTGCAGATGGAGGGAGGTCATCCTCTGGAGAGTATGAGAGTATTCCTAATGAGGAGGTTCGATGACTATGGTGTCACTAGAATTGTGATTTGGGTAGCGTTGGTCTTATTGCGAGCGTTTGCTGATCATAATGTTCCATTTTTCGGGCCAACCATTGCGTGTATTTATGCTCTGCCATATGGTGCTAGTTTCAATATAGATAGCAGTGGATTCAAGTTTCCTAATAGATCATTCTGATTTCGACTTTGTAATTTGCTAAAGTACATATAGTTTCCTAGAACGAACCCACAAAAAATGAAGGTACCTGAGTCGTAGTGAAGCGGTGGAATTTTATTCATCTCCAAACACAATTTGAGATGTCCGGAGCATCCCTAACGTGATGTGATACCAGCACTGAACCATTTGAAAATAGACAAATCTTGAGTAATACCGATTATTGTTTCATGATTTGAAAGGTCAATATGTGCAGCGCATTACAGCGGAGAAATCAATCACGAAATAAATTTCAAGTAAAGAGCGCCAAGGTAGATATCCTCGCCGATAGAGTGAATGAAATGATCGAACGCCTTCCGTCTTCCAAAGACGCTGATAACAAAAATCCCTGGGTATATATTGAATGGACTAAAACAAAGAAAGTCAAGTAAAAAGAACGAGGAAATTGGGGAGCGAACAGGTAGGAGAGGTGGTAAGTGACCAGTGATTTGGAAATTCGATGAGAATTGGGAAGATCAGTAATAACGAGGGGAATCATATGTGAGAGACGAGAAATGAGAAACGAGAGAAAAGTGGGGAAAGAACCAGCCTATACGACGGGATTAAACCGCGGCAGTTGTCTCAAGCTTCTTGCGAGCAACAATAATACTCTTCAACGATCCCAGCCAGCGTGCCAGGGACTCTTCATCCGGAGCACAAAGACGATAGCTCTTTTCCTCGGCGATGATCTGCAAACAGAACTTCTTCGATCGAGACAAGGGATCGATCTCGGCTGCATCAATAATCTGCGACATGGACATGATCTTGACAGGCGAGTACTCCTGCTCATCCTTGTAGAAGGCGAGATTCTTTGACCGCAGCACAACCCAGAGCCGTTTCCACTGGCGCACGGCTCCCTTAATGCGCAGCCCCTGCAGATATCCCTGGCAGATGACCCGCTCGGGATCGCGCAGGATGCCTAGGTCCGCTCGGCCTGCATCTCGCGGCAGGGATGTGGACAAGAATCTGTCATCCGGCGCGGAGACGGAGAGTGTATGGATTGAGGGCATTGAGCGCAGCCGGCTGTTTCGTGGAGGGGAGGCATCGGAGAGCTCGGAGTAGGAGGTGACGTCGTTGCCGGAGTAGTCCTGGGTGTAAGGGGGTTTGCGGGAGGATCGGGCCCCAGGGGATAAGGTACGGCCCTCGGGAGAGCTGGGACGGGCTGCATCGAAGTCGGAGTGGTCGGTTGTATCGTCGACGAGCTGTTTCTGGATGGCGGGGGTGCCGTGGTTCCTGGAGAGAGCGGCTATGGCAGCCTCGTCCTCGTCCGCGTGGGTCTCTTTGCGGATGCGGGCAATCCAGTCTTCTGCGTCGCGCTCGGAGAGCACCTCGAAGCGGTAGTTCTTGGAGGGTGTGAATACACCAAAGACATGTTGACGGTGCGAGCGGGGTGACTTGACCGACGCGACAGCGGTTACGTCGGAGATGTTGATGGAGACGCGGAGACGGGTAGTTTCTTCATCCTTGTAGACGGAAAGTAGATTCGGGCGGAGAACAAGGTAGGCTGGTTTCCAGGAGGCGCGGAAGACATGTTTGTGTTTGACACGTCGGGAAACACGACCACTCTTGATTACGCGGTCGAATTCGAAGCTTCCGTTCTCGTTGACCGGGGAGAAGACGTCCAGATTGACATGGCCGCTGCGCGACGGAGGTGGGCGGAGATTATGATCAGGAACCCGGATGGCGGGGGATCTGTTGCTGAGCCCTTCGGAGAGCGAGGGACGAGCGAGCACCGAATTCATGGTGGTGAAGGAGCATTAGAGCATTAGAGTACAAGAATTATAGGGGGAGGGATTATCGTGTCAAGTTGCGGAAAAGTCTAGATCTATGACATCGGGAAAAGGGGGCAAACCCCGCGGTGAGCACCATGCAACTTGACGATCGATTCCTATCAATTAAATGGCCAAAACTGATTCAGGGCTTGGAGTTACAGATTTGCAGACCTGTTTAGAAGGAAATTGGAAATTGAAAATTGTCCAGATGATGTTAAGAAAGTGACCTTTTTATAGTTAGGGCGGATGATGCTTCAATGTGGTAAGTGTGGCGTATTAACCAGGTTACCAAATTTCTCATGATCTGATTTGTTATCCATTCAATGTTCTCTGTCAATCTGTATTTATCTTTCGAGGCATCTTGATTGATGAATTTACCCCATTCGAGTAAACATGCACACGAACACTGAGGCAAGGGTCCAGACCCCCTTCAGGCCACATCGCCGGTAATGAAGGAAAAGTGGAGTCTCAGACCCTGTTCTCCCTGCAAGGTACGGAGTACGAAGTAAACAACTTTGCTTTTATATTTCGATCAGGGATCTGTTATTTCGATCCTCTGTGTACATATTAGTAAATGTTATCTTATATCTATGGAGCCTCTGCTATTACGGAAAATAAGAGTATAGAACGGCACAGTATCCGGGTGACTGGACCCTCGATCGACATGCGCTAAATCCTGCCAATATCTTTCAGGAGTAAAGTATAAGATATAGAATATCCTTGGTCATGAGTTGATTTGCCACTGGAAATAATAGCCAATCCCCATGCTTTACATGTATGGAAACCTGAATGAAATGGAAATAAGCTTGGAAGTAGATATAGAACCTTGGAAGTTCTATATTGAAAGATTGCTGCCTTCTGCACCAACCAATGATCGTCGTCCTTCAAATGTTAATTTATATATTGTATGTGAATACATAACTAGTGAACTCGACGGAAAAAAAATATTTCCCTAGTCAAATACCCTTTAGCGTCTAACCATTAGCGACCTGTACTAGAATCCACATGAAGTGACCTCGTGCAGTACCACCAAGTAAACGCAGGGGCAGCCAATGACCACGGGCCGAAATAAAATTAAGCCCAAAAAAAATAGAAATTAGCAAACGCCCCCTTAAAAGCCCTAAACACCATATGGATTACAATCAGACTTAATACGTTCCAATCATTTATCCATTTACTGGTTGGAACCGGAAACTGTAAAAGCATGAAAACAGTGAAAAAAACAAAAAAAAGTTGCCTTTTTCGCCCCAAAATTTAACCTAGATAGATTACAGTAAATTACATACAATTAAATGATCAATTTTCGGTCAATCACTACGTATCTGTCGGTTAAATACCGGTCTCGGGTGTGAAACGAAAGTGCCAAGTTACCTTTCCCAAAAGAGGCCACAACGCTTGCGCCTCCCTGGACTAGGCTTGGCAAGACTTCTCAACTTCATCCTCATTCCCCCCCCTCAAATCTCCTCTCCTTTTCCTCACTTGCTCAAATCATCCTCTATCTCATGTCCACCACTTATCGTCACCGCCATTATTGAGGTCATCTGCGTTACCCGCTCCTGACCCCTCTCAACCCCCGGCTCCTGGGACTGAGGACTTCTGGGGGGATAGGAAAGGAGGCATTCCTCCGGCCACTCGTTTTTGTCGTCTGAGATCTGGTAGTTACTCATTTGGGTATCGTGCTCCGGATTCTCCTTCCCTCTATCGATTCGCTCGGGAAACCCATCCCTGATCGCAACTGGGGTCCGATCAATTTTCTAGCTGGGGATCCGATTAAACACTGAGTTTTCGACGCGTGCCTCATAATCGCACTCATGAGCTTCATTCAACGCATCACAAAGCGGCTTCCCAGCGCGCCGAGTCTCCCGATAGATGATGAGCCTCGTGAGAAGGGCCGGAGTTCCACCCCCTTCGCCTTCTTCCGTCGGCGCATTCGCTTGAAGGGCAACTCATCCATTTCGATACCCCTGGGATTTGTTTTACTATTTCCATGTCTTGTAATTGTCTTCATTCTACTTCTATTCGTCCGACATCCCTCGTCTCCCGGCGGGATCCTAATTCCAGCGGGCACTCCGCCCTCTATTCGGTTCGTCTTTCCCTTCCGAGATTTCGCTGAGACATCAATAAACAAACACTTTGTGATCAACTGCTGACCCTATGTGTGCGTAATAGGAAAATCAGCGAAAAGTATGACAAGGTTTTCGCCACGGGTTGTATGCCCATCGACCCGGATGCCTACAAGGCCCCTAAGGCCAACGCCGCCTTCGTCGTCCTCGCAAGAAACAAGGAACTAGACGGTGTGATTCAGTCGCTCAAGTCCATCGAGCGGCATTTCAACCGCTGGTACCACTACCCCTACGTCTTCCTCAATGACGGAGACTTCGACGAGGAGTTCCAGGCAACGGTGAAGAACTACACCAGCGCCCCGGTTGAGTTCGGCAAGATCGATAACAGCATGTGGGGTTTCCCTGATTGGGTTGACCATGAGGTTGCCAAGGAGGGCGTCCGCAAGCAAGGTGACGCAGCTATCATGTACGGTGGTATGGAGAGTTACCACCACATGTGCCGATTCTACTCAGGGTAAGCCTTCATTACGGACGAAAATGGTAGACAATACTGACCATCACACAGGCACTTCTATAAGCACCCTCTCTTGATGAAATACGAATGGTACTGGCGTTTGGAGCCCGAGATCAAGTACTTCTGTGATATTACTTAGTAAGCACCCCTGACCATGTCTTCAATTCCCCGTAGTGCTGACATGCCATACAGCGATCCTTTTCAGAAAATGATTGAGGCAAACAAAACATACGGTTTCACCATTGCCGTCAAGGAACTCCGCGAGACCGTCCCGAACATCTTCCGCTACGCATCGGCCTACAAACGCAAGAACAACATCAAGTCCAAGGGTCTATGGGAAATGTTCTTGGAACGGCCAGCCGAGGAGGAAGTCCCTCCCGAGACAGAGCAGAAGCAGGAGAAGCTGCCTGATGAGATCTTGCAGACCGAGCCCGGCGATAAGAATCTCGACGATATCGATCCCGAGGCCATGGAAGGAGAGAACTACAACATGTGTCACTTCTGGAGTAACTTCGAGATTGCACGCTTGGATTGGTTCCGAAGCAAGGAATACGAAGACTTCTTCAACCTGATGGATCGGAGTGGTGGTTTCTGGATGGAGCGGTGGGGTGATGCCCCTATTCATTCCCTTGCCGCTGGTGTTTTATTATCCCCAGCCGACATCCATTACTTCCGTGATTTCGGTTACCGGCACACCACCATTCAGCATTGCCCGGCCAATGCCCCAGCGAGGCAGCTTCCCCGTGAACCCTACCTTGAAAAGACCACTGAGGATGAGAAGAAGCGGATTGAAGAAGACGAGTACTGGGCCACACCCGACCCGGTCAAGGAGAACGGCGTCGGCTGCCGGTGTCGCTGTGACACTGACATCGTCGATGTTGAAGGCAAGCAAGGCAGTTGTCTTGCAGAGTGGGTCGAGGTGGCCGGTGGTTGGGCATCGCCATAAATGAAGTAAATTCTGCTTCCCTTGATTCTCCGCATATTTTCTCATTGCCTGCTTGTCCATGCGTTCTTCTTCAGCTGCGAGCATTACCTGGGTCCACCCTTGGGAGTTATCTCTGCTGAAACCTGCATGTTGTGTTGGTCGGGTTCTTTTTGGGTGGCGTTCAACGGATCTCACGGCTTTTTTTTATTACGCGGAAGGTGGCGTGATCACTTCCATCATCCATGTTGTCATATTCATCTAGCGTGCTGCCCACGTCGATGGGACTGGCTGTTTTCTATCTCTTTTTCGTTTTGGATTGTTCGGCAATGGGGTCACCGTCTGGTCAACAGGATTCCAGCGTCCCGTCCTCGATGGTATATACGTCTTGTTACCATTTGACCTCATTTCCTCCGCCCCTAGGATGGTGATTGGCCAGCTCGAGAGAGCCCGGTGCATTCTTCGCATTGGCATACAGCAGTCTCAGTGACAAAATCAAGCATGGTACAATATGGGTGGGATACTGGGGAGGAAGATGGTATCGAGCCCTGTTCTTTTTTTTTGGTTCTTCTTTTCCCTTAAATTTTTTATTTTTGTTTTCCTTTTGCAACTTGTCACTACTACCACAATTGTTTCCACCCTTCTCCCCAGTTTCCCTCAAGATTTACACTCTCTTGTGGTTATTCCCCCAGCATGCATTCATGAAATGTACATACCTTGTCCTTCCCCCTCCCCCCTCCCTGACATCCTTGGTCTAGTGGTTTGCAGCCATAGACCTTCTCCATCACATTGCTTTCAAATCTCGCAAATACCAGATCGAGCATGACTGTTTATAGAGTATGGAATAATCACCCGGTGAATTACGCGAGAATGAGATCAGTATAATGCACACTTCTTGAGTATACACGTAGATAGTGCATTACCTAGTATGTAGAAAGAGGCCCAATCTGGGCGATTGCGAAAAGCGGGGAGAAGTGGCAAATTCCGCTGGCGTTGTTGACCGGAACCAGCGGCGCTACACTAACCCAGTTTATGAATCAACATAACACGGGTGGTTCTTTCACCTATTATTCTTCAGCCCTGAGCTGCTTCTGATAGTAGAACCAGAAGCATTACTGCTCTCATTCTCATGGTAAGCTAGGCAGTCAGCCAGATAACAAACCACAATTTACAAGAACAACTGCTTCGCAGCCAGTCCACCTACATCGAAGAGTCACTCAGGCTTGTAGACCCTGTCGCAAGCAAAAAATCAAATGCGATGGAGTGCGTCCAAATTGCGGGACTTGCAAGCGTCGGCGGGAACACTGCGCTTATGTAGACGTCTTCGAGCAACCAATGAATAGGTATACTCAATGATCCGTACATATTGACATTTATAAATGATGCTTATACGAGAATAGAAATCATGTGTTCCTCGAAAATAAGGGTGAGCAGAACCTGTTTGAAAACCTGGCTATGGTCTCACGAGCCCCTGGGAGTCTCATAGAGTCTGCCCCAACATCGGCGCTCGATGATCACAGCTCCGGCGTGACTGCCATGGGCCTAGTATCTCGGTCTCCCAAGGGAGATTATAGCACGGGTATAGAATACTTTGGCAACTCATCTGCCATCGGATTTATACAACAATTACAAAATACGCTCAGGTTGAACCCGGATTTTAAGCCTGGAGAGACAGGTCGCGAGGAGGGGACACAAAGGGAGCGATCAGTTCCTGAAAGTCCATTATTGGGCTCCAGCATGGGCTCACTCCCACCACAGTCGTTAGCAGATCATCTCGTCGCTTGCTACTTTACAAAGATCCATACCCTCTATCCATTCATACATAAACCTGCCTTTATGGCTGCATACAAGTCTTGATGGTCCCGGGAGGGCCCAATATCTAGCTCACAGGGCCTAGGGCTGGGCGATGTGAATGTCAACCACACTACATTCTACTTTGGACTGAATGCGGTTTTTGCCCTCGGCTGCCAATTCTCTGACATTGTCCAGGTAGATCGAGAAGTAACCTCTGAAGTATTTTTCCAGAGGTGCAAGCCAGCATTAGATCTCAACTATCTCGAAGCTTGTGATCTCGCCCTATGTCAGACAATGCTTCTGATGGTGCATTACTTGCAAGGGTCTATGACGCCAAATCGTTCATGGCATGTTATTGGTATAGCTTGTCGAAGCGCGCAAGCGTTGGGGCTACATTCAAGCGTTGGTGACCGACATCGGTCGTTCGCCGAAATCCAAATCAGAAGGAGGGTTTGGCATGGATGCGTGATGCTTGATCTGTAAGTATATTCTACGAGGTGCAATACTGCCCACTAATGAATTGCCAACACAGGGCAGCGAGTACAATCCTTGGGCGCCCGGTGATGATTTCTCAGAAGCCAGTCACTCCGAGACCCGAGGCGATTGATGATCATTATCTCATGGTGGACGATCCTAGTTCCCGGCAGTCACCTGGTGTTTTCTCTCTTGTTTCCTGGTTTGTGGAAACATTGAAGCTACATGAGATACTTCGAAGGATCCTTTTGACTCTCTATGATAATGCGGCACTGATAGAGCCTGAAAGAACTGAGGATCACTGGAAAACGCGAAGTGTTCCAGATATTCGGACCATTGCTGAAATCGATGCCGAATTGCAGAACTTTACAGACGGCCTCCCAGATGCACTGAAATGGGACGCGCCGATACAAAATGTGGGAAATGAGAGCTTCCCAAGAGAAAGGCTTTTACTTAAAGCAAGGTCAATTTTTTTTTCACTGAGTTGGTTTCGTGCATAAGACTGATTTTGGAGATAGGTTCTCCTATCTGAAGCTTTTGCTTTACCGGCCGGTCTTGTCGCAGATGCTCCGGGACAACAAATCGCCTGAAAATCATCAAGGTGACCATCACAGGGGAATATACGCGAAGTATAGCCTGGACTGCTCGGTTTACTGCGCTATGGCGGCCATGGATCTCGTTGATTTGGTGCATCAAACCTGTACAACTGAGCTGTCCAGTGTTTGGTTCTACAATTTGTTTTGTAAGCTCGCAAAAATTTGAAGCCTGATCACCCGATGCATGCTGACTGTCTATTATCACTAGACACATTCACGGCAGGGTCTGTGATTCTTCTGGCCGAGCTATCGCCCCCGATTGTTAATGCTGTCACCAAACGAGCCATAGATGAGTCTTGGCAGAAGTTTTTTGCTTGCTTCAATCATCTGAAATCATATAACATTGTAGCAGAGAGGTGTTCTCGAAGCATTTCGACGATCAGGTCTAAGTGCTTGGCCACGGTGTCAGGTGAGCATTCGTCCCCATTACGAGATGATAGTCGTTGACGGCTTGTCCCCAGAACAACATGGAGATGCATTGATGAATAGACGGCTAAGTCAGCACCAGACTACTGAGGGGATGCCACAAGGGCGAGTGGAAATGGGAGCTGAAATGCCTTTTTCGGAAGACCTTTTCGGGGATCTCAGATTTGATGACGATACATTCCTCGATTCCTACTGGTTCGACCTTCAATCTTGAAAAGAAAATCCTGATCACTAAATCCATTCATCATATATTAAGAAAAAATCTGTCCAGTACATATCAGAAGGCGAAATTTTAGCGCTCATCGAAAGCGACCTAACAAGCTTCAGTCCCTTAGGCTGAGAAAGCAAACCCAGCGAAGAAATCTCCGATGCTGCTCGTGTTCTCCAACGAGGTAGCGTAACTCAGAAGACCATCCGGTCGGAGAACAACAACGGCGCCATTGGCTGTCGAGATGGTATACTTCTCGTGGGCACTTCGGTCCTGGTCGTAGTACATCTTCCCGATTCGAGGTGTTCCAAAACCCCTGTTTCCACCATCGGAAAATCCCGCAATCAAGGTGATGAAACGAACCATACCCTGAGGGAGGACAGTTTGAAGCTCAATCAACTTTGCAATTGAAGCAGACAGGCTTTCATGAGTGATAGCAGGCTGTCCAGCAAAAACAAGAATGTTCCATTGGCCAGTGTTTATGGTTACATGGTGAAGCCGGACGGGAACCCGAGACCCAGGCGCAAAGACCAGAGCATCAGGTCCGCGGCGGCCGGCTGAAATCATACCGGTAGAAGGGGCTCTGTTAATGATGTTCTCTTCATAGTTGATACCGAGGCCGAGATTGAAAAGAATGGTATCATCAAAGAGTTTGGTAAACAATTCGTTGGCGTCGAGGGACGTGCCCTTATAAAGGTCTGGAACGGTACCCGAGATAGTTGCCGAAAACGCCTTGTCAAGCTCAATAAGGTGCTGGGCAGCTGGTCGGCGTTCATCTTCGTACGTCTGAAGAACCTCAGGAGAGTACCAGCCCTTCACCACACCTCCTAGCTTCCAGGCCAGGTTGACTGCGTCGTGGACGCCCGTGTTCATTCCTTGGGCGGCTCCGGAGGAGTGGGTGTGGCAAGCATCTCCAGCGAGCAAGAGGCGGTCTTTAGCGAAGAAGCTATCAGCTACCCGTTGGTTGATGCTGTACAACGTCCACCATTCTACCTTCTCAACTTCCAAAGTGAATGGCTCCATCGACTTCACTGCCTCCGCGACGGCTTGCTCTTCGGTAAGGTGGTCCCCGTATTTGGCGAGCATCTCTTCTGTCATCGCAAAGCCAATGCGCTTGACTCCATGGTCCAACTGGACCCACAATACGTTGCCATGGTTCTTGGATTCGATCGAGGCAAAGCCCAAATCGTCATCGGGCATGTTCGTCTTGAAATGTCCGTCGATGCGAACCCATTTGTAGTTGGTACGGTCACCATGGGCAGGAATCTCTGCGAGACGTCTCACGAGAGAATGGCCTCCGTCAGCGCCCACGATGTATTTGCTAGGCAACATCAAATCAGCGTGGCCGTCTCATGAAACGAAGCCGGATCATTGCCGAAATACCTTTGAATTGTCAAGGCCTCATCAGCGTTAACGCGACGAATGTGCGAGGTGACCTTGAAGTCGCCCTCCTTCGCCGAGTCGATGGCGAAGTTCTCAAGCTTCCAACCAATGAACGGCTTGCCTCCAGCTTTCGTATAGGCCTCACAAATAACAGTCTCGGAAAACTTTTGGCGAATGTTCAGGCAGTAGTCCAGGAAAGTCCCGTGCATACGCTCAAACATCACATGCCAGCCACGCGAAGCTACTCGTTTGCCGTCTTTATAAGTTACGCTGTTGCGACCAATGTATCCGATCTGATTCAGCTCGTCCAGGAGCTCAAGCTGGTCGAGCATTTCCAGCGTGCGAGGATACAGAGTGGTTGCGCGGCCGTACATTGCTTGGTGGTCCTTGTCATGTTGTTCTGTAAGAATGGTTAGAGGACGAGTCGAGCTGAATGCAGAAGGAAGACAGAGTGTGTGATAAAAGAGAAGGTTACTCACCCACAACGATGGAGTTGACGCCTTGTCTAGCCAAACCGTAGGCGACGAGTAGACCTACTGGCCCACCACCAACAATAAGGACATCGGTCTGATGGCTGATAGTCATTTCGAAAAGAGTCTGTTCCAATATGTTTCGAATGCTTTTGTAGGAAATAATACTTTGAGTGTTGAGTGAGAGCTACTACTTTATATACCCCGAGGAGTCGGGACAATCGGTAGATGTGAAACCTGAATTCTTATTTATCGGGCCGAACGGCAACGTCAAGTCTTTCTCTCCCAACTTAACTGGTTCATATCTTAGCATAAAGAATTCGGCGAGCGGTTAGCATCATTTCATGTTGTTGTATCGCTTTGTATCGGGGCACAATACACCTTGTTATGTAGAACCTACAAGGTAGGTATTTCTCGTATCGGAATGTAACGGTATGTGGGTCAGAGTTGCCGGCTGATGGCGATCAATAATCGCGACGCTACTAGCTAGTAGTTCTTCGATAGCCTGCACTTGAAGCTGTATGCAAAGCCTACCTTTCCCTCGGCTTCAACCTGGCCAAAAATGAAACTGTTGGACAACAACATCTTCTATTCAATAAATCTGCATTTAAACCGGGCGGACTTCGAATCATTCCCCATCTTTGCGAGGCTGAAGCCAGTTCTGATAATCACCCGCACTATCATCAATGGAGGGTTCTGGGAAAATGACCCTATTGGTGTGGTAACATCACAAGAGGCCTTCAACACAAGGTGAAACTAATCAAATAAATGAACTAATTGCTTGTGATTGATCACTGTCACGGCGTGTCATTCTACTTTTATTTCCATCTTCCACAGCAACTTTGAAAGTTATAAAGAAGGGTGAATCAGCTCTGGCTCAGAAACATTGAGATCAAGCCTACAGATCGTAAGCTCATCAATTAATTCAGTTAAAGGAGCTAGGAACGCTTTGAATTAAGCACCTAGGTTCGGGATTGGAAAGCCCGAGGCTAAGAAACCATGGTTCGTAGCAAGCCATTCTCTCATGACGCTTAGCCACGGTGCTATTTTTAGCGTAAATATCGTAAGAAGATCTAGCCCAGTAGGACCTCTCAAACGAGCCGATTATTTCACGTTGGGAGGACGAATATCTGGATAAGCCTAGGAACAGGGGGGAAGATGATAGCACCACTGCGAGTAACCTCAAGCATATTTCGAAGATGTCACTCAGAGGCGTCTCCCGAGCAACAAGTACATGTCTCCTGTGCTTTTACAGCATCACATCAGCATTGTTATTCTATTCCCCTAGGCATAGGAATATCCTAAGTAAAGCTCTATATAGATATTCTAGTCTTTATCTGTTAAAAATAGTAACCCTTAAAAGAGATCTATACCCTGTTTACTATATAGGAAAACATATATGTTCATATTTGTCACGAGATCAGATCACCACAAAAGCCGCTATGTATAGCAGCTAATGTCTCCATACTGCAAGGCACGACAATCATCCTATCCGTTTGGAAGGACCCGGTCGAAAGGGGGGCAGCCGTGTCATTGATGTTGTAGAAATGGTCTGCAAGAGCTTTGACGTTGGATGGATGGTATTGTAGTTCGTACTTAACATTTGCATGTTCCCCTCAGCCCACTTGCTCATCACCGGGTGTGTCTCGATACATATGTATTCAGCCGACGGAGGGCGATGAGAACTTTTTGATTTCGAGGACTACGCCTGTTGCGCCTATCATGGCGACGATGACGCGCTTCCCCCGTCCGGTAAGTTGGTCCTTACATATGTAGAGACTTATTGGCTTCCTTGTGTTATCGCGGGGCGAGACGCTGGGTGAGCCGCTGACTGATTGGGAATTTTGAGTGCTGGATAGAAGAGAAAGCATCCGTGTTAATCGAATAAGAATATCACGATACTGCCGACAGCTACCGGGGCAGAACTATGGTTATACATATATTTATAAGAAGAGCGTTCATAATAAAGAGCATCTATTATTTGGACTTCGGAACAGCCTTTAGGCCTAATCAGACTTATCTATAGGCCGACCTATTTGAGAAGCCTATTACAGACTATCATATAGAGTACGGAGCGGAGTAGAGTGTTACGGACCCACTTTGGGCGCACCTCGGAAAAGTAGGAACGACCTGCCAAGTAGATCACGTGAGCAGCCACGACGCTCACTACTCAGGCACTGAGCGATCAGCCGGCAGAACGGGTCGGGATCCACTGCCTGTATTCTGATGGTGATGCACGAAAATATGTATGAATAAGCTACGACATCATATAATGGGCTATTTACGTATATAACTTCCTACAATCGCAATAGGACAATCCCACAGTCTTTGGCGTTCCCGGCAGTTCCTCTATTACTTTTCCGTTTCACTACTTGGGTAACCCCCTCAATTGCCGAGCTACCGCTCCAGCGCGGAATATAGTTAGCGGTTAAATTATGATCCCGCGTAGATTACGACAGTCGCTATCAATATAGTAGCGTTGGATGGGAAGGTAACATTCATGAGGGGAAAGGTGAGGGGGTTCTCCATAGGAAAGAGGGGATCTGCATTGATAGTGAATCGTGATAAACAAACCACACCCCTTTCCAAATGCTTCTTTTCCACACGCCACAATGCTTTGGCTTCTTTCTCTACTCGGTGTAGCTGCCGCCTTTAATAACCCTCCGGGGGTGGATATATGGTGTGGCAAGGCGTATTATCCTACGTGAGACACTTATTTTGTTTATCTGGTATATGTGTTCGTTCACAGGTCTAACATCGCGTCAAACAGAAATGCCTCATTTGAACCAGGGGGCTGGCTGGATAGCCCCGTTCGATCTACTGAGCCATTGTTGGATCTACGAGTTCGGCCACGAATGAGCTTGTATACTGCGTCCGACGAAAAGGGGTCATTCATCATTGATGCGGGGATCTCGTACATCAATGGGGCTCCTTTCGATGGTGATGCCATTACCGAAGAGCATGAACCTCAATCCCTGGATATCGAGATCCTTATTGAGGAAAGCCAATTAAGCATACACCATACAGTGCCCATCAATTCATCCTCGACGGAAGTGGACTTTTCCCTACTCCGTCTTCCCCCTCGCTTTGAGTCATACAATGTAACACTTAAAGCGACCGTTCCAGATAAAAACCACGTATACACTGCAACGACATCACTATATCACCTACCTACCCGAACAGACGGGGGCAGCATCACGAAAGTGGACAGTCTCTATGGAGGACTATCAATCCAAAATCAAACCTCATCAGCATGGACCCCCCTACTCCCATACTCATACTACGTCAGTTGGGACGGCTGGCTCGAGAAATCGCTAGACAATGTACAGAAATTCAAAGACGATGGCTACAACATCATCCACCTAGTCCCGAACGCAGGCCTCGCTAACGAAGCATTCAACTTTACCGAGCTGAGCCTCTTCCTGGATCGAATGGATGAGATCGGTCTCTGGCTTATGTACGATATGCGCTGGACATACAAGAACCTGACCTCCGTGCGCGAGCAAGTGGATCTCCTCAAAGGCCGGAAAAGTATGCTACTATGGTATACAGGCGATGAGCCAGATGGCCAAGGAGATCCGCTAAACGCAACACGGATCACATACGACCTGCTCAAGTCAATTGATCCCTACCACCCTGTCTCACTGTGTTTGAATTGCTACAACTTCTATTTCGAGGAGTACTCATCTGGCGCGGACATCATCCTTTCGGACGTTTATCCCATCGCTGTGAACACAAGCTGGTCGACAGTTTATGAAACACCCTGTAACACTACGTATGGGTGTTGCGGGTGCGACGATTGTAACGGTGATGTGGAGGATATCTCTGTCCGTCTGGATCGGTTTGCAGAGTACCAGACCTGGCTGGGAGAAAGTCCCAAGCCGTTCTGGGGTGTTCCGATGGCATTTGGTAATGAGACATTTTGGACTCGGTATCCTACTGCGGCGGAAGAGGTGACAATGACGATGCTTAGTTTGAATCATAATGCGAAGGGCATTGTGATGTGGGATTGGCCAACTACTACGGAACTGGCGAATGTGACAAGTGCGTTAAGTCGGGTTCTGGCGGGGGAAGAGGCTACTGGCTTTTTGTTGGGTGCTCCTACGGTTTCGTTGGAAGCTAAGGGACATTCCAAGATGGATGTTGCTGGATGGAGGCTTGGGGATCGCATGCTGGTTAGTATTTTGTCGTTGCAGACTCCTTCGTGGTCGTCGTCTGTTTCTGTGGAGCTGCCAGAGAAAATCCGATCGGTTACTCAGGTTCTCTGGGGCTCTGGGGAGTGGAAGTTGGTTGATGGAAAATTGGTCAAGGAAGGTGGCCATGGGTTAGAGACTGATCTGGTGATTGTTGAGCTTGTCTCTGAGTGAGGCGATGGACCTGAGTAGTACACATGCATATACATTCCAACCATAGAATAGTTGCACAGAATGTTATAGACATCAGAACATTATTCCAACCTTGGAAGGCTTCTGCAAGGTCCAAGATTAATGCAATTAGTCAAAGATGATCGTTGTTCTTAAGGTCCTTATCCATCACAAAACACATCGATGACACGTTGAGCTTGGGAAAGTCCTTATCCACTTGTCCACCAAATTCCCAGAATGTTTTCCACTATCGTTTCACTGATGAAAGAATTAAAAGACAGATTGGGCTCCCAGGAGCCATGAACATTGAGCTACATATAATTCTGGTTTAGCTTGATGCTCCACTGCTCGGTCTATATGACATATCAGAATCAATGAGCAGTTTTCTCAGTCAAATAGTTCACAAATTATAATCTTCGCAACGGTAGGCGGCTAGTTATAATGGATAGTGCGGGCAGTGACCCGCGTTTGAGAAGGCTGGAGATTGACGCCAATTCTTCTGATTTGAGTAGCAGGAGCAAAGGGTGGGAGAACACATCTTTGCATTTCCAAAGTAATGGTAGTCGTTGCAGCAAAAGGAATACTATGCTTTGACTATATAAGTAGTAGGTAGGTACTTATCTAGATGATAAAGGCTCATTTGCTTTTTGTGACATTTATTTATTTGGCAACATGATCATCATAATTAGAGCAGATTAGCCTAGTATCATGCACATTTATGTACACTTCGGTGTGGACATTTACCAATATTCGTAAATTACAATAGCTGATAATTTGTTATTTATGATCTGCCATTTGATGTAATTTTACTTGGGTCGTCAAAATTCGCCCTATAGTCCACACTCTTGGCTCCTGATTAGGCAGCGACTTGGTGATCATTGTGGGGCCCAAAGTGGAGTTTCCCGCATTTCTTTACTTCCTTTCAGTGAAATCATTACTAGTTAGAAGATAGAATATGAAATGTTGAATAAGATAGAAAATGTATTAATATAATAATTACGTGGATTAAATACACGAAGCATGAGCATTGTTATCGCCAGAAATCCATAGAAGTCAACTTGGTTGCGTCACTTTCTAACTTTCACAACCCCGCTAGGTCATGCTTATCAACTCCAACACCAAAGAGCTTCTTATTCTCCCCTCTTTCTCTCTTTATCTCTTTAACCTGAAACTTTTTCAAATCTCCCACTTCTGATTCTGCTTCTGATTCTGCTTCTGAAGTAATCTCTGTGATTCTAAGATTATTGTTCTCCTGCCTTTGCCCTGGTTAAAAAGACCAGCTGACGGGCAACTCCCCGCGGACCCACCGGGGCACATGCCTCCCTGTCTCTATCGCTGTATGCCCTCCCCCTTCCCTTTTTCTTACCCTGCTCATTTGATTCTATTTTGCCAGAGATCCCAACTTACTCCTATGATCCTCAAGACATGTCTAACGCTCCAGAGTCGCCCAGGCGTCCTACGAGCGCCCACGCTTCTCATCTCCAGTATCCGACCCTCCCGCCGCTGACTGCCTCTGTCGAAGAGTGGTTATCGCGTTCACGACCAGCCAACAGTATGACGTCAGATCGACTTGAACCTTTGCCAAAGTCCCTGAGCGATAGCTGGGCAACTCTCAGCGTCTCAGATCTACACTCGGAGGATGGCAGTCACTCCGAACAAACCGATGTGGGGTCGTTGATCGACCAGACCACGGCCGACGATGTGGCCAGCCTTGATGAACGCTACAGTAGTAGCGAGGCTGATGCTCCTAACGAAGATCCTCGCGAAGACGAAGATGAGGAAACAGACGAAGACGATGAATATGACGATGACGATGAATTAATCCATACTCGTAGATCGTACCCATGCATATTTAACCGCGATGCTGCTATCGACGACAGCAACATGACTACCATCACCGCTCACCGACAGTCTGTCGACTATTCGATCGAGTTTGAAGAGCCTGATAAATGGCCGGAGATGGAGCGGGTCGAACTCAAACATACCATCCGCGTCTTCGAGGAACCGGCTGCATCAGAGATCAAGAAGCAGCTACCATACTGCTCACCTCGATCAATCCTTATGGCGTCAGTTCAACAGACCATGACGAAGCAGAGTCTGGACTTGGACAAGCCCTTCCGTGTCTTATATGTTGGACAGCCGGACTGTCGCAACATCATCCTGGACAAAATTGGCGATGTGCTGGTGTCGAGCTCGTTCGCAGGATCGCAAACCAGCTCCGCTGAATCGTCAAGATACCACGTTGTGCCAACATCATTTGGAGCTGGAGCTGTGCCGAACTTTGCAGAGCTCCTCCCCATTCATGTTCAGCTTGTGGTCGACGAGTGTGTGGCGGCCACCAAGTCTCATCAGGAGAGCGGATCCCGCACGCTACAACTTTCATTCAAGAATCGACCTCCGTGTCAGTCTTGGTGGGGTGGAAATGAATATCACATCTCTTCCTCATCGGAGTGGACTCTACCAGATGTGGCAATCCTGTTCGTATCGGCTCGCGATAATGCCACCGCCGTGCAAACTAGGCATGCTGCCCATATTTTCTTAGAGAGACACGGGGTTCCCGCCATGGTCATCTCAGATGAACCACTTTGGGAAAAGCCTGGCGAACCTATCCCTCTGAACCAGAGCAGTCTTCATGTGTGCCTGGAATCTCGCCATGCGCATACCGGAGAAACAGTGGTTTTGAGACGCTACCCAATCGATCTGAAGACATTTGAGAGTATTACTCCTGGCCAGCTCAATAGGAACCTGGCTTCGCTCATGGAATTTTACCCCAAGAAAACGCTGAAGGTCTCTGCTGAGACACCAAAACCAACCGAATGCTACACGTTTGATGACCCGGAGAAATATCCTCGCAACTGGGTCCCACCATTGTATGCTGCCCGAGCTCCTCAACTGGGTACAATTCTGCGTCTTGCTACATTGACGCTCGTATCGGCGATTGGGATCTCTCTTGGGTATGCGGCACTAAAGACCATCATCTTTTTCATTATGCAATGGGTTGCTGGCTCGGCGCTATCCCGTGGACATACCACAGCACTGACACCAATAACTCCCCCGACACTGGAGCATACGGGGCACACCTCCCTTTCACTGTGGTCGTGTGATTCATGGTCTCTAGATGTTACTTCTCCCGGTTGCTCCCATATAGCAGAGGCAACGACTCACACTGTTCCAGGCATAGGTTTCTCTGAGCAGAATGACGGATTTGAAATTCAAGTGGTTGGAGACTGCCATGTGGCCATCAAGCCTCCCCACAACATTGGATCCCACAAAAAACAGCCCCGATTTGATGTTAGTGTCTGTCGGAATGGCAAAGCACTGGCGTATGAGCTAGCTGCATTATTTGATGGTGTCTACACACTGCGATTAGACCGAGAGGATGCGTACGGCTTGGTCAATGTGACGATTGTTGCCAATTCCAAGCCGCAACTCAACCAGACGATTATGGTTGATTTTGGGACGCCGTGGTTGAAGATTGCGAATTGGAGAAGAGCAGCTCGAGTGATTTCTTCACAATTTTCAAAAGACTTGCAGATCGCTCAGACTGGGTTGTCTGAAGTGTATGGTCGACTGTCAACAGATCTACAAGTGATCGTGGGAGACGTGGTCAAGAGATCTCACTTCCTACGCGACGACGCTGAGCGTCTCCACCATCAAAGCCTGCGCACTCGAGACAGCGTCATGTCCAGATCAAAGCAACTCTCAGAGGTGATCGCTCGCAACGCCGTGCAGCAATTCCGAAGCGTGTCTTCGGAACTACACAGTCGTTCCGTTCGTGTCAACCAAGGGGCCAGGGGAGTCCTGAATGACGCCTGGGATCGTCTGGAGAAGTCAGCATCACAAGTGGACCTTCGTTCCATGATGGATCGAGTTCGCAGTGCACGATCCTCCACGCTGGATCGGGCTCAGACCCATGCACGTCTTTTCATGGGACGTCAGGGAAAGGAGTCTAACCGTAAGAATGAAGATTCTAAGCGCTGAGTCTGATCTGCTTTTCCACTATGTCCTACCAAACTCTTGCTCTTTCACGATGTGGCTAATAGTGGGGTGTTTTCTTTACGGCGATTTGAGGCGGATGGAATGGATTTTGGAATATTCAACGCGGGAATACGAATCGGCGCAATACAATTGCTTTAGTGTTATTTTTGTGTTCTTGATATCCCTCATGCAGCCATAGCCCTTTTCAACGCTTCTCTCTACCCTTAGATTCACTAGTATATAAAACCCCTCGCGTTCTTCATCGTCCTAAATGGGGCCCTAAGGCGGTGGCGTAATTCTGCCCCCGCCCACCCAAACTATTAATTTTTCCCCCCTCATTGTCATCTCCTTGATCAACAAACCCAATTCCTTCCCTGAAAATAACCCTATCTGGTGTTTCATCGCCTGCCTAACTTTCTATTCTTCTATCTTCCTACCTGAGAATCACCCCCCTCGCTATTCATCATGTCTGACGTCGCGGAGACCAAGCCCGACCCCACCACTGCCGCTCCTGAGGAGCAGCAGCCCGAGATTACCGCCACCGGCGAGGGCGAGAAGACTGTGACCGAGACTGCTGTCGACGCCGCCAAGGACGCTGCTGAGACTGCCAAGGACGCCGCTGCTAAGACTTCGGACAGCGTTTTCTCCATGTTCGGTGGTGGCCCCAAGAAGGAGAAGAAGGAGGAGACCGAGGAGGGTGCAGATGAGCCCTCTGGCTCTTCTAAGGCCCAACAGGCCGAGGCTGCCGAGGCTGTGAGTTATACCTTTTCTACCGGATGGTGGTGATATACCTGGGGACCTTGAAGATGGAGATTCGTGGCCTTGGCCCGAAAGAAAAACATGGGGGCGCGGGGTCATAGTCCGGCCCCGCGATTTGTGTGGTGGCTGTCACACTATCATCCCACTCGGATCACACGGTGCTTTCCTGGCGATTCCCTTTGACTAACCAAAATCATTTAGAACGAGGATGAGGCCCCCGAGTCCCCCGATGTTCACTTCGAGCCCGTTATCCGCCTGACCGAGAAGGTGGAGACCAAGACCAACGAGGAGCTCGAGGAGCAGGTCTTCAAGATGCGCGCCAAGCTGTTCAAGTTCGACCGTGAGAGCAAGGAGTGGAAGGAGCGTGGTACCGGTGATGTGCGTCTGCTTAAGCACAAGGAGAACCAGAAGACTCGCCTTGTTATGCGTCGCGACAAGACCCTCAAGGTCTGCGCCAACCACTACAGTGAGTCGACCCATCAAATACATTGGATGTGTGTAGAATACTGACGGGTTGTGTAGTCGTCCCTGATATGAAGCTGAGCCCCAACGTTGGCTCTGACCGCAGCTGGGTTTGGAACGCCGCTGCCGATGTCAGTGAGGGTGAGCCTGAGGCTCAGACCCTGGCCATCCGCTTTGCCAATAGCGAGAGTGAGTGACGTGAAAGATCATGTACAGATTTTTGATGACTAACCTGTCTATAGACGCCAATCTCTTCAAGGAGGCCTTCGAGAAGGCCCAGGAAGAGAACGAGAAGCTCTTCAAGGCTGATGAGTAAATCCTTGGCTAAGTGCCATTTTCTCTCCAACAATGAACAAGTGTGACACTTCACGGCTGTGATGCACACTCGCCGACATCTTCGTGGACCATGACTTTTTGCTATTTCCCAAACCAACATTTAACCCGAACCTTTTGTCTTTTCACCTTTTCAAATTCACCCCCAATTCAATTCCCCCAATTTTCCTTCCCCATGACTGTACACGCGAGACGGCAGTGATGAAGATGCTGTTGACAGATATCGCAATGTGGCTTATGAAATGACGGCAAAGTCTTGATGTCTTTGGTCCCACAGTCGGCAGTAGATAGACCCCCTTTCCCATCGAATATACACCCTGCACATCACCTACAGAGATCAATGAATGACCAACTCATGTCTTGTACTTGTAACATACTTGTAAGAAATGCATTCTCCAGTTGGAATCATTGCCTACCACATATTCATCTCACCTAGGTAGTTCCAGGGTTGCTTGATCAAGACCCACCTACTCACGGAAGGATATTGATCAAATACAGGACCAGCATTGTACATACAGTCGAATTTGATCTGCTCAACGCATCTTACATCTCAAGACCCCAGTCCTGCCTGATTCGCTGGATCCATGCCTGCACGCTGATGATCTCTTTCCCCACCCGGACGTTGCCCTCGCCAACCGTCGCGCGTTCCACAGGATCATACGGCGGAATATGCAGCATCTGGTGCTCTTTGCTGCAGCCAGCCACCTCAAGCGTCCCGAAACGTAGTCGATCCAAGCAGGCTTGGTCGAACTGACAAATTTTGCATATCATACATAAATAGAAATCATCCGCGTAAGTCCACTCTGTCCCGCATTTCCCATCGCATACATAACTCACAGGACCTTTTGGCCTCCCGGGGTCATTGCTGTAGTCTGGATGCGGGGTAATTAAGGACCAAGCTGCAATAGTCTCATCCAACATACCGACCGCCCGGAAGTGAGCCTCGAGACACTTGTAACCTTCCCAGTCGTTGAGTGGATCGTCGTCGCAGAGGATATCAAGGTCGACTTTGAGGTAGGCACTTAGTGCGGTCTTGGCTTTATCCACATCTCCATGCAGGATGTGATACTGTGCGAGCAGATGGGCCGCGTCTCTTTTCAACCCATTGGTTAGATCTTTGGACACGTTCGCCTGTGCAAGCTGCTCCAGCTTTACGATATAAGATGCAGATCTCTCCACGTCGTTCTGCGCCTCAATAAAATAAATGCTTGCGAGTTTCTCCCTTACCATAATCAAAACCCATTCAAAATTATCGATTGGACACCTCTCTTCCATATCGAAGATGCTCTCCCACTCTTCGATGGCATGGATTCGGTCCTGGGTATTGTGGGAAAGATGCATGTAGCGATGGCCTGCATGCCGGTAAACCAGCAAGGCCTTTGTGCACAGGGCAGCAAGCATCTCCCACTCCTTGTTCTTGTCAGTCCGAGTGCTTGCTTCAACGAACTGGGTCTCCGCTGTAGCAATAGCCGTCTGGTAACCCGCAAGGACGAAATCAAGTAAGGTACCGTTGAATGCCATAGTGAGAAGTGCGTCATTAAACTTTTCACTCTCGCAGAGACGCAGAAAACAAGATGTTAGCCGATCGAGGCCCGTATGCTCATCCAACGACTCTTTCAGTAATTGTAGAAAGCGCAGCGTACTTTCGGAATCGCTTTTCTTGCTCATGCTTGCCAGAATGCAGGCGACCCAATGGTAATCACCCGGAACTTCTCCAAAAAGGCCCTCGTAAATGGCGAGGGCTTGATCTTCGTGACCAGTCTCCTCATACCATGAGGCCAGATCCTCCTTGATGCATTCCAATTGCACTGTATTGCCCTTAGGCGATTGGTTATCTTTCTCCACCCTCTCAATCATTGCCTCTAAAATCTGTATGGCGCGTGCATGTTCTTTCTTCATTGCAAATGCTTTGGCCAAGTCCCATTCTACCTCCCAGTTGTCGGACATTAGGGAGGCCGCAAGCTTCAGCTGTTCAATAGATTCATCGTACTTTTCATACGCAACTAATGATGTCGCCACGCTATAGATTTCTCGTGGCTCCAGGCTTTCCCGATCATTGAACCTGCGAACAACCCAATTGGCCGTTGCCAAGATTTGTGAGGGTTTAAGGTCGTCAGTGCCAGGGTCTCTGATAGGTCTCCTCTTGCTTGGATCTTTCCGATGTTCAATCTGTACGATCATTCAATAATTTTTATTTTATGAAAACTTCACAATCTGAGGGGTTGACATACCTTCGTAAAGCACCCGTAAACTGGGGGGAAATACCATGTAGCGATAATCCCTGGTTCGGTTCTTGTGAGCCATAAATGGGCCATGTGCTGAGCTATGCGCTCGAGAATGTCGGCATCGGGTTCAGATTTTGAAACCACACTACGAACCCACCGGAGCTGGGTGTCAGTAATGTTTTTGGTGACAGCCGAGTCCTGTAGCCATTTGATGACAATATCGGTGTGTTTATCCTTGTAAAACCAGATCTCTCGCTGCTTGGCGACAGCAAGACCGTTGCCCATCCACCATCGTTCGATGATCTCGGGATCATAAAACAATGCCACCAGGTTGGAACCGAGAGCTGTTTTGTCCTTCGGATGAACCAGTGATAGATCAATCTGCTCGAGGTGATAGGGAAAGAATTTGGTGGTATAAGCCCGCAAGAGTTGTATTTCGGACGAATAAGATGAAGACGAGAGGACCTCAAGACAAATCTTCAGAATCTGAACATGGGCATTTTCTTTATCGACAAAGAGCCTAGTGCGGTTGTTATCCAGCCTTGTCGTAAAGAAATCATCAAAGCCAAATCTCTGAAAGAGGTTGTCATCACATACGGATTCCAAGAACCGACGCACAATCCGAACTTCGCTTTCGTTGACCGTTTTGGAGGCCTTCTCATTTTTGAAGTCTGCGCTTTCTTTGCTTCCCGCTGTCCCTATGAGCAGATTTTTGACCGATTCCGAAACCAAAAGAACGCGTGAGTCCAAGGGGAAATTCTCGCCGGCCCCCTTGGGTTTACCTTCGATCCGAAGAAGAGACGAGTATTGGTCGAGAATAGCCTTCGCTAGCGGCCTCAAAGAACGCTCATCGTTCTTGAGAAGCAGTACCTCTTCAAGCTCTCCGAGAGTAAGCGGTGCCGCGGCGAATATCAGCCATGTTAGAAGCGCATTGAGATCAGTGATATCATCCTCACTCAGTGTATTGTTCAGCTGTTCGATCTTCCTATCCATTATGTCTTTGCGGTTGTCTCCGGAATGAGCCAAGAGGCTTCGAATCTCGCTTGGACGTTGCTTTTTACTTATTTCATCCAACAGCAAGCCAGCAGTAACAAAGTCACCCTTGGTGAATGTTCTGAAGCTTTCAAGCACTTCGCAGCGCAGGGCAACGACTGCCTCTGATGAACCACTTAAAATTTCCATCCGGTCCATACGGCTCTCGATAAACTTCTGTAGGTCATCGCCGTTTTTGAGAGTTAGATTGATGACAGCGGCTTCTCCACCAAGATGGCTCATAACCCTGTTCAGGACTTCCTCCTGACCGGATAAGAGGATATGGAGTTTTAATTTTCCCCAATTCTTGGAAATAGTAGTCAAATCAACTAATAGACGAATGAACTGTCTTATCTCGTCTTTGGAGACTTGTTCAAGTCCATCTAGCAACAGAAAGAAGCTTGAGTCATTCTTGTATGACTTTGCGAATAGACTTCTCCATAGCATTTCAATATCATTGCCAGGAGGCATTTCGATAGTACTCAGGTCTTTGCAGTACACGATATTCGACTTTGCGATCTGCCAGGCAAGAACCTTCAGAGCCTGCGCCAGGGTATTGCGCTCGGGGTCTTGACCAAAGAAATAATAGGCAATCGAGGAGAGTGTGAGGCTTCCCTCCTTCTTCGAGTGATTTTCCCTCAAATTCTGAATGATGCTCGCTAGAAGGAATGACTTGCCGCATCCTTCGTTCCCTGCAATGCCAAGTACCGAACAGGAGCCCTGTTCCATCATCACCCACGACTTGTAAGTAGAATCTTCTGTAGCCCATTCTCCAGTTCCTGGTATTTTCTCATTCATGAGACCTTTGAGTCTCGCCTGGTTCATCTCCCAACTCTCACTTGGCTTGTCGAGGGCAATATCGAGATCATTCAGAGTTGTAGTTGCCTGAACGTACGCATCTCTCTTGCGGTCGGCATCGAGAAGCTTATTTACCGCAGTGTCGATTGTTTTGGTTCTCTCCATGCTCTCAACAATCTTCTGTTCACTTTCTTTTTGTGATGCAAATTGCAGAGTCGCGCGCATCTGGGACTCTTGCTCCACCAAGGTCTCCAGACGAGCCAATTGACAGCTAACCCCTTCATCACCACTAAAAGCAAATACCTTGATGGCGATGAGGACTTTATGACCTTGTAGAATTTTGATAGATAGCGCGCAGATATCAACGAAACACAAGAGCTGCTCATTGAGAATCTTTCGAAGGGCGATATCCACCGACTTCTTCGGCAAACTCATGTAAATCTGCAAGCGATCCAAAACGTCACTGATCTTTTGAAACAGTTCGGCGAGGCTGCTGAAGATCCGCTTGTATTTCGCCCCGGTGCTGACCAGGTAAGAAAGGGCATTGAAGCAGAGACTACTCGGCGCAAAGACCTGCAAGTAAAGAGGTTTAGTAATTTTGTACTTTCCTAAGATTCAGATACTTACCATGCTGGCGCCCTGCGCGACTATTCCTCCCAATAGCCCAATGAAAGTAATCGTCTTGCTGATGACATTCTTCACCTCTTTGTATTTCTTGTCTTTCTCATTGTCCTCATCTTGACGGGTGCGGATCTGCTCAAGAACCTCTTCAACGCTGTATTGGGGCGTGGCGGTAAGGTCGACCTTGGTGGTCTTCGCAAAGGTGGAACAGACGCCAGCCCATGCTTCCTGGAGGTCATAGTCCTCTTTAGTTTCCGAAGTTACTGTCATTGTGCAATCATGTGCTTGTAATCAACTAATCAACGATTATCAAGACCAAAATTAAACATGGACGGGATCCCACTCCCGGGTTTTGTATATGTTATACGCCGTTGCCTCCGCCCCATCGGCTGAAAGGGACGCGTGTCCCTTCAGAGGCTTCATTTCGGATGGAGGGCTTTTTTTCCGAAGCGCGTTGTACTAATGCATGAGATAGTTGTATGAGAATGCCCATTTGGCGCCACGGTAGAGATGGAGACACAAACCACAAACGCGGAAAATCGAAGCGACGGGAAAGGCAAGCGCGGCCAGGACTACACGCTCAATTAGTAGATTTTCTTGAATTGAAGAAGGACAACTTGGCCCACTTAACCAACCCGGGTGCATCTAGTATGTCTCCAAGCTGAAATACTTAATTTTCAGCATATCCGTAGGAGCTGCGATGGCTGCTATTTGAAGTATGGGTCGGGTCCATGTGGATTTTCTTAAACAACCAGGCTGACCAGTCATACAGTGCAAAATTTGAGTATTCACGGAACTATACAACATTATCAATATTATCTAAGATATTATATTGTATATCTCTTGCAAACATGATGTTTCCTTACAAATAGGGTGCGCATATGGTCGATTTCTTTAGAGGCAAACTGTTATGTACTCAAATAGCAAACTCAGTATTATAGACAACAAATATTATTTCATACATTTGAAGACCTTGAACTTGATCATTAGTTGGATAGATACTTTTCTTTTTAAATCTCTCGCCATATCAGGGCGCATTTGATGGGCAGCAGCAATGAAAAAGTTCTTGGGGAATTGAGATTTGATCTTGAATTCAATGCGATACTTATAGTATTATCCAAGCGCTGCAATCAGGCGAGATCGATTGCGCTGATAATTTTTGTCGTTGCAGATAACCCAAGTCCTTTATTGACTCCAGCAGAGGCCTACCTTCAGCAACTTTGACCCACCATGCGCAGCCAGTATTGTGGAATATCAGGCGCCGTTCCAATCGCCATAGAATTTGAAATTCAGCCTGCTAGGGAAAAGGCTCACGATCTCATATTTTCAGGTATTTCGGTTGATCAGAAAAGAAAAGCGGTTAAGATAGGAATACTATTGACCCAGTAGGTAGTCCGGTTCCAGATTTATCAGTATAATTCACCAGTTAGACAAATATGACAAATACTATCTATAGGCATAAAACCATAAATTAGCCCAAAGCCTGACGCCGAAGCCGTTATAGGTTAAATTGGTTGACTAAACTGTAGTCGTGGGGGAATAGGCTGGATAGGCTGGATAGGCGGTGTTGGGGGTAGCCTCTTCAATCTTGCAACCTCCTCCCCGCCTACATCTTTTTGAACTATCTTGAACATACCGCATTGAAGCCTGGTTTGATCGAACTACTTATAACTGGTATTTGAATACTCTAGAACCCTCATCATTTCAATCTTTCCACTCTATATCCCTGAAACTGGAAGATTAAGTCCTGTGCGCGTTCTCCGCTAAGTTAACACCCGCGCAAACCAGTTCCTTCCCAAACTTCAACACCTGCCGGATTCATTTGCAACACAAGAAGCTTTGAAATTTCTAGAATTTCATTTCTTTTATCATCTGCGCCATAATGCCTGAAGTGAGTTATCCTAGTTGCGCTTGCCGCGCGGCACGTCTTCGATCTTCATCCATCGCGCTCCTTCCGCTCCACCAGAGCTCCCTTCTCATAGGGATTCTCGTGGCCCCAATGCAATTTTTTCGTCATGCGATTGCGACCTGTGTTAATTGTTCTTTTCTGTTCTAGGTCAAGCGCGTCGTCCGTCTCGTCACGGAGCAGCATATCATGTATGTCCTCGATATTCTGCCTACCCTACCGACCCTTCCCCACCCCCAAAACAGCGATTGGACCCCTCCACATGCCTCGAGGCTTGAATGTTCTACCTAGAGGCAATACGCGGATGCCCTGAATGACTGGGTGGTTGGGGGCGCATGTTCGCCTGTGAGACCAGTGCTGCGGGCAAACAAGATTCATTCCGCGCGCTTTGATGCCCTTCGATCTCCGACTGGATCCAATCATTCATCTCCGGGCTATTAGTCAAGCGCATGCGCTAATTAGCCATTTTTCCACCATAGTGACAAGCCTTCCGAGGTCGAGGGTTTTCCCCAACGTTCGTGGTCGATCGAGGTTTACGTGGTCAACGACAAGGGAGAGCAGATTCCCGCCAGCATCTTTGACAAGGTCACATACCACCTGCACCCCAGTTTCGGCTCTCGGGCCACACAAAGTAGGTTTTTTTAGCTTCTAGTTCCATAAATTATGGACGTCGACAGGCGCGTGCTCGGAGAACTTGCGACTAATGTATTCGAAACAGCTTTCAAGAACCCTCCGTTCCGTATTCAGGAGGAGGGATGGGGTGAGTTTGACATGCAGATTGAGCTCACAGCCGACAAATCTCACTTTGTCAACCATGACCTCAACTTCCTGCAAGAGCGATATGAGTCCAAGCACACCATTGTATGTTGTTTCTCCCCATCTGTTTAAACCGACCTATTGTTTCTGACTAGGCCCTTGTGGCATTTTAGACTTTCAAGAACCCCAAGCCTGCTTTCCTAGCAGCTCTGCGTGAGTCGGGCCCTGTCCCGGGTGACGACAGCGGAATCAAGAAGCGTGGTGCAGTGGGCGAAGAGAGTGCAAAGAAGAAGAAGCGCACTGAGAAGAACGTATGACTTACCCCTTCTAAGGCTTGAGGCTCTAATTAATCATTTTCAGGTGGACATGGATAAGCTCGCAGAAGGACTTCAGAAATTGGGCGAAGATGACCTTTTGCAAGTTGTGCAAATGGTGCATGACAACAAGTCATCGGATTCCTACACCAAGAATGACGTCGATCGTAAGTGACTTCCTTCAAACTGAACTTGAGGCATGTGCTAACTTCTCGGCTTATCAGTGGGTGAGTTCCACGTGGATCTTTACACCCTGCCAGATACCCTGATCAAAATGCTTTGGGATTTCACCTCGGAGCGTGGGGCACTGTAAGCCACTCTGGCAAACTCTGGCCTTTTTCTCGATCTCATTGAAATACTCGGCTTCTGCAACTGGGATATATCATTTCCCCCATTTTATTCGTCGTTTCCTTACCTGCTGTGTCTTTTGACGGGGAGTTAGCGGATCATACCAACCTGGCTGGTGCTTTCCTTGCACATGTCCTTTATTCTCTTTGCCTCCGTAGTATCATTTAAAATAAGTCATGTGTTCTAGTGGCTATATAGAAGTACCGTGTGTCTAGTGAATCAAGCCCCTCGACCTTGCAAGGTTCACGATCTACTAGAGACTGATATAGAAAACCCATGTTTACAACTCTTTCTAGCTAGCAGCATAATTGGAAGCCAGTAAAGCCGATCACCTTAAATAAGGTCTCTAGAGTGGCCATTTTCATCCATTCATTCGAGCTACGTACAACTTACTTCAAACGCGCGGGCTTACGGCTGTATCGGGCGTGCAAAGCGATCGGCTTATACTTACCATCCAGTCATTGCCCCGAGTCATTGAAGGGCACTAACTCGTATAACTGAAGTCGCCAAGCTCTAGATGGGGTACCACGGTTTAATAAAACCATCTATAGTCAGCCTGGAGTAAAGGATCGACATACATCCATGGGAGGTATCTAGTGTATATGTAAAAACTTGATAGGTCACGTTGAATAAAAACTAGAAGCAGATGGGATATCTCAAAAGACAACGACAGATCCACGAACCAGACCGGCCAGACCAGCTGAAAACAGTCCCCAAACAATAACTCGTAGACACGGCTAATGTGCAACCCAGAACATAAGAAACCATGATACATAAGAACAAGAATCACAAGACCTCTGTGCAGTCTATGTGCTCGAACGCCGTTAAACTAGCCGCCCTTTCTTCCCTTTTTGTGGACTTGAAAACGAGATCAGAAAAGACAAAACAGTTTGATAAAACAAGAGGAAAGAAAGGAAAATGAAAGAAATGCATCGGAGATTGCGAAAGGGATCCGAGACGCCTTGCTGAAGAATGGATCACGAAATATCATGGGCAAGATTAGAGAACGCGGTTCCTATTGTGAGGTTAGTATGACGGCCATATAATCGAGTAAAATGCGGAACTCACAACTTCAACAGATCCTCTAAGCTATCTGCGCTGCAGGGCCGGCCCCGGGGAATATTGTGGATGATATCCGTAATAGTAGCAAAGACGTCCCCCGCACGGTAAGCTAGGAGAGCTGGAGCCTGGATGTGATCCATCTCAGCGATTTCATGGTGCAGCTTAATAAACCGGGTAGTAGATTGTCTGCCGGCGATAGTATTGAGACACTCTTCCACGATAGAGCTCTCCTCAGACTAGTGTGATGTTAGCCAAAGCCGGAGGGAGTGAGAATAAAACTAACATACATTCGGGTCATAGATGCAAACCACAACCACCGTACTAGAAGTCACCTTCTCAATGGCATCAAGATAACCCCCAGCGTCAACGTTGTCGACCTGTCCATAGTGGCGGCCGCGAGGGGAGGGGCGGCGAGCCTGGCGGTTCTGCAGGGCCTGCATGCGCGAAGCACGCCACTTTCGCATAAAGCGCTCCTCTTCATCATCTTCGCTGCCCGATGACCCATCACTCAAAGGCTGAGACTCGGGCTTGGCGAAGGCGGGGCCATTCTGATCGAAGCCTGCGGCATTGAGCAAAGTGCGACGGAAGGACTTCTTGCGCGCACGCTCAAAAGCCTGAGCATCGGCGATGACACCCTTAGGACCGGTGTTGGCCTCGAATGTGTTCTTGGGGATGTGGTAGTTATTTGAAGAGACCATGTCGTCGATGTCTTCGTCCTCGTCGGAGGAGTCGACTGTGTGGCGTTGGCGCAGGTTACGAGGAGGTGCGTCAGAGTCGGAGTCTTGATCGTGGTCGTGGTCTTGTTCTCCGTCGGAGAAATGAGGATGATCAAGATCTTCTGGGTGGGAAGTGAATTTGTCGCGATTGGCATTCACTAGTTGATCGAATTCTTCTTGGGCCGACATCGTGAAAAGGGCGGGGAGTGGGTAAGATGTGAATTTAAGCAAGTATGAGTGAAAGAAATATAGCGGTAAGTTTCAAAAAAACCCCTGGAGTAGACAAAGAGTGAAGACGGAGGAGGGGCTGAGATGGGAAGAGATCGTCATGAAACGGTTAAAAAGCCCCTTTTTTGCCATGTTTCAGGTTTGACGATCCGGGATCCACCCAGGAGAGAAGAGAGTACCTAACAGGTAGAGTACAATTGTTATTATGTAGAATGCACTCCGTATATACAGTGTAGTAATTTATTTAATTAATCTATTCCTACTCTATCCAGGATTAACCTTACACTACAGTAAAGCCCAAGCCTAATTCTACATGGTTCGCACATCCAAGCCTTGTTTCATCTTTGTTTTTCTTTCTTACAACTCGAAATCCCCCATATCCACAAGTAACGACCCGAGCCTCGATCCATAAGTTCCAGACCTTGGAAGCCGAGGCTGAGATCAGTGGATCCCATACCTGAAGAGGAGAACAGTCTTGTGGACCTCGTGCCGTTGAATAGAAATAGAAATAGAAATGGATCCTTCCCTCTACGTATCCATACACGTAGGCTAGTTCGCTTGGAATCCTTCGTATGCACGGTCTTTGCCTTTTTTTTTTTCATTCCATCTATTCGGACCAATAAGCATAATCATGACCAGTTCGGTTTACTAGAGGTAGGGGCGACTCATAACGGTTGAACCTTGTCAACTGGGCCACAGTTGTTAGTCATTGCCTTGAGATTTGGCCCCCACATGACGAGTCGGTTAGGCGGTTGGCTAATTCTCCATACTTCATGCTAGGGGTTAGGATTGGGTTTCAGCCATGTGCTCGGCATTTTTAGATCTGACTAGTAGCATGCCATGCTGACTAGGAGCCTGAGGAAAGTACGGGGATCTCTGCTGATTCCGAGGACTACTCGAGTACGTACTTTTGTATGTACTCTTGTATCTACTCGAATCTACTATTTCAGTACCTGCTCATGTACTAGCACTGGACTACACTACACATTCTCTATCAGGGCGGTTGAATCTTGAAAGACACCTTTTATGAATGCCCTATCACGCTCACGCCACGCTCACAGACGCCCAAGCCCACCGAGGATTCGAGGTGCAAACAGACTGCAGCCCCCGAGTTCCCAGAAAAGAGAAAAGTGAAAAGCACAAATGGAAATTGAAGCTGCTCAAAAACAGATCCGGTCTGAATCCCCGAGGAGATTGGAGGTCACAAGGACACAAAATAAGTACACACTCTTTGACGAGACAGGGAAATAGGAAAAGAGATGACGCGGGAACGCAAAGGGAGATAAATCAAAGAGAAGAGAAAAAAAAAAGATCATGGCCAGATCCAAACAAAACGGTCCTTTCCTTTCCGCGAAAATACATACCGAGACCGATGCTGAAAAGGCAGTCCAGAACGAAGAGGGGTAATAGAGAAGGGGATAAAAAGGGGGAAGAGGAGAAATCAATAAGTGGAAAGAGATGGGAAAAGAAGTTGAAATAGAAGAGAATAGGGGCATCATCCAGCAGGAGAGGAACAGAGGAACAGGAAGCCAACGAAATAGTCATGGAAGCACCGGAATGAGGTCAGGTACAACCCTCCACTTCCAGACGGCAGTGCTCTCTCTCGTCATGTCCAAACATTGTGTCGTCGCTTTCGTTTCTTCCCCGGCGCCGCGTTCACCACCACCAAGCGCTTTCCGTATCGTATGCGACGGACTAGTCTGCGCCGTATTATCGAAGGAAGCTAGAAGCTCCCCGGTAACTGATTATTATCGTACAATGGCGGAGATCCGATCCATCGAACCAAGAAAAATTTCGAATAAGAGCATTGCAAATGATCGACACGGGGGTATCTTGCGTTTGTTTTTCTTTTTAAGTAGGGATTACCAGGCCCAGACCTTGAGAAGAGAGTCCCAAGATCCAGTGCACAGGCTGATGCCGTCGTTGCTGACTCCCAGGCAGCTGACGCGGTTCTCGTGACCGCTCAAAGAACCGACCTTGTCACCACGAAGGACATCCCAAACCTAGTTGCGCGTTAGCAGGATTCCAATGAAGTCGTCCAAAATTTACTTACCTTGCACTCGAAATCGTCGTAACCAGCAAACAGTAACCGGCCAGACACGGAGAAGGCGACGGAGGTGATACCGCAAAGAACTTGATCGCTCTGTAGAACACAATTAGTCTTGTATTTCTTGGGTACGGTCCACAGAAACCTACCTGGTAGATGTTGAGCTCGCGATCGGCACGAATATCGAAGAGACGGCAGGAAGTGTCATCCGAGCCGGTACCGAAGGCATTGCCATCGGGGAAGAACTGGATAGCGTTGATGTCGGACTCGTGGCCAGCAAATGTCTGCACGGCCTTGCCGGTACGGATATCCCACAGCTTGGCGAAGGCATCACAGGCTCCGGAGACGAAAATGTTCTGGTTGGTCGGGTTGATGCTAATCGACATCACATCACCGAGGTGATCGGCAAACTCGGTGACCTTGGATCCGGACTCGATATCCCACAGCATACAGGTCATATCGCCGGAAGAGGTGATGATGCGACGATCATTGATGAATCGGCAGCAAGAAAGGTAGCCAGAGTGACCAGAGAGCTCGCGCGCGACCCGAGTGGGGCCTTCGCGGGACGACAAGTTGTAAATGGAACAGATGTTATCCAAACCACCGCAGGCCACGTAGTTTCCGCTCGGCGCGTAGGCACAGGTCATGACCCATGATGAGCGGAGGGGAATGGCGTGAACTTTGTTGGTAGTGTAGGCATCCCAGATGATGAGCTTTCCGTCCTGCGAAGCTGACACGAGATGGCGGCGATCGGTGGACCAGTGCATGGCGTAGATCTTCGCCAAATGGCCCTTGAGTGTCCGGCGAGGCTTCATGCCAATTCGAGGTAGGGCATCAGTGTCTCGCTGTGCTACTTGACGAACTGCAAAGGGTCAGCATTGGTCATTCTTCCACCACCACGTCATCCTCCTGAAGAGTGGAAGTGACCGGGGTTCTACCCCGATATGGTGGGTTCAAAGTGCGGGAGGTCAGGAAGTCGTACGGGAGGTGTCGGCCAGCTCATCCTTCCGGCGCTTGATCTTGTCCTTCAGCCCCTCTGCCTCACGTCGAGCGGCGGTAATCTTCGCCTGCATTTGTTCGCCCGTCATATCGGCTGCCATGTTGCCGAGTAGGTTCCCCTTAGGACGTGTTGTTGAAAGGAGGGGAAGCTTAGGAATCAATGTCCAGGGGGGGGGGGGTAAAGGTATTAAGGAGTGGGAGGTTGGGAGGTTGCGGGAAGGGAAAAAGGAACTGAAAGTGGAGCGGGAACGGAAGCGACCGAGTTCAGGCCTCAAGCTTTGAACATAATACTGGTAAAGTAAAAAAGGAAAAAACTGGTCGCAAGGGGATTGAGAAGCGCGGGCTCAAGGAAAGAGGGAGGAGGAGAGGAGGGAATCGAAGGTTCTGAACAGGGGGCGAGTGTATTACCGGGTGCTAGTGGTAACTTGATGACACTCGCATTGCAACTTTGCCATGAATTACAACCTAATTCAAATGGGACTCTTCATTGAATTGACCCATGAGAATTATTCGAGACTTTGCGGAATAGAGATAAATATCATTCTCTAGAATTGCCCATTATTTACTTTTTATTGTCAACAACAGAAATGGTGATGTTTGGTTTCAATTGGTGTTTTTATTAGCGTATGCCACGTATTGATGAGCCATTTCCCCGGGCGGGTAATACACTGACAATACACGCCCGCAACAGGGGGGAGAATCCTCCCCGGGTACCTGAGCCAGTTGATCTTGATTACTGTTCTTCTAGAATTGATGCATGTGAATACAATGGACCAGTTCTTGACATATACAGGACTACAGGAATATCCTGGGAGGGGAATCTAGCAAATTAGCGCTGACCAGAGGGCCAGAAATCAACAACCCTAACGGAGGATTTGAATTTGCCCAGTGGCGCTGGGGATCAGCCTAGCGCACCGAGACCCAATGGTTGCTGATGAGAGGATTTATAAGTTTTGATACGTACATAGTGTAACTGGTACTGACTTGCGGAGTAAAGTCAAGTTGGGAACGATGGGTCTGTCCATTGTTATGTATAGAAAACTTTCGAGTCCGCCCCTGTCTATAGATACGTGCAGCCTCAACTTGTCTCCACGTCAAACCGCGGCTATTTACTCCCGTTTTCTCTACCTATTAATTCTGATTGGTGTGGTTACAATCTGGCTGTCATCATCCGATGATCTTTTCCCCGTTGCGATGAAAGTTTTTAGAGCATTGGGTTACTGATAGACGCCCGGAGATGATAGGATAATTTCCCTCCCTAAAAACCTGAAGAAAGATGATTTCTAATTAATTACAATACCGCAACTTCTTCGGCCCTGTACCACGAAGCCACCAATAGGTCCAAGCTCATTCGCCTTCCCTTTTTTGGTTTAATTGGCGACTCCACTGAGGCTGACTAACCTGCATATGATTTCTCTATTTGACAAGACAAAGGGGGAAAAAACAAGAAAAGGTGTGAAGAATTTATATTCAAGGACTGTTCTTGCCAAGTTTAAATTTCAGTCTGTCTTTTGATGTCTTCAAATGTTCTCACCACTTCGGCTCATCGGGGTATCAGGAAGATGAGTTCCCCACTCCCTGTGTGAGATAGTTTCTGGGCCCCTTTTTTTTCTTCTTTTCTTCCGGAACCCGCCCATGCTTGATATGAGGGCGATCATTATTTGCATAACCTTACTTTACTGTAAGGCTGATAGAATGCGTATTTTTCTTATTTCCAGCTGGACAAAGCAGTCACACTCTCCGCAGGCGGCCTGAATGAGGGGCCAATCTGGTATTGATGTACGGAGTACTCCGTATACCGTTTACACGTTCCATTGTTCACCCTGGTTTTTCAGCAAATGGTCCACTAGATGTTGGAGCTGCTACTCCACCGGCCCCCCACTAGAGGATCTACACTGAAGGCTCGGTGGAATGCAGGTGATATTTACCGTTGACTAGTTAAATATGTAGTTCGTCAGTATCGTAGATGCAGTCCCCCGGGTACAAATGCACCCCCTCGTTGGTCAGACATGAGGCTGTCGAAATGTGAATTGCAGCTTAGTCAGTCATGACAACTAGACCTGGAGCCTTTAGGCTCGAACTGTCGATGACCTACGCCCACTGGTGGTCATTGGCATCCTATGAGAATCCGTGACACCACACTTTCGATCGAATTCTGGAAAAATTATTCATACTCTCCTAGTATATCTTTGTTATATTTAAAGGCACATGCAACTACTGTACAAGTAGTCTCGCACTAACAGTTCATGTTGAAGCGGGTCGGAAAGGGGCATGGTGCTGCAGCTGGCACTGAGGGTCTTAACTAACGATGGCCCCCAGAGTGGATTCGATCAATAGTTACACAGTTATTAACCCATGACTAACTCAGGGATCTTCAACGGCGATTCTTCGTACCGAGGTCCCCTTTTATAGACTGTCAGTGGTTTTGATAGAGGATTATCCTTGGGAGTTGTCTATAATGCACGGGACTCTGGCATATAGTACTTCCTATAGCCAGAATATTAATTTCACAATCTCAGCACTTGAAATTACGATGTACCCTCAGGGGCTAGCCTACGAAAAGAACATATGTTTGGAGCAATTGGCTTATCGATTATCAATCTTGGTAGCATGCCCCAGACCGCGATCTGTGCACGAGTACCTCTCGGTCCTATATCATGCGACGAAAGGGGAAATCCGTGTGCATAATCAGGATAACATCAATATTGTTGTACGTCGTCGAAATAAATATTTGGCTTCAGTGGAAAGCGATCAAGGTGCATATACTAGGTATCGGAAGTTCTGACCTATTAAGATCCAATATGGAGAATCCACGCATGTTGCGACATTCAAATTTGCCGCAAATCAAGTCAACCCTGCATAAGCCAGAATTAAGAATAAAATAAATCAAACGTTTGACTTGCTTGGTGCTATTTTATATTAATCCTTACAAAACAAACTTGGAAAGCATCATCGCCATCGCTGGGACGTCCAATAGACTTGGAGGCTGGGTTGGTCAGCTCGGCCGCCTCAAGTGCTTGTCGCCACGAGGGAGCCCTGGTGAAAAGCGGATAAATCCTGCAGGGCGGCAACGTCAACTATCCAGAATTTTCCAATCACTGGGAGACTCGCTTCTCATAGATGTAGGAAAGTCGGACGAAGGCTATCTTTCAGTATCACTGTGCAAGTGTCGTTATAAATAGAGGAGTCGGTTCACGGTGGCGGGAAAGCCAATGTTCGGGTCCCGTAATATTAAGGAGGCACCTGACGCCTCTCCGCTTTCGCTCTCAAAGGCTTTTCTCTCTCCTTCGCCCAACCCAACATCAACTTACCCCCATCTATTCTCCCTCGAATCCATCCCACCTATCTCTTATTCCTCTCTTTAATATCCTTGGAACTCACTGACACCTCTACCGCTCGTCTTTATTCCGCCTCTCCCTGTCCAAGATCTCGTGGAGTCATCACCAAGTCTACCCCCCTCAATCGACCCTCATCGGGCACCGCTCATAGTATATCGATACTATCTCGGTTATCTCGATGTTGTTGGAGTAAATAATTCTCATTACGTGAGAGATCTTTGATCCCACTGTCTGTGGAGTCGGCGTCTTCTGGTCTTAGGGGGCTTGAATCTCGTCATCCAGGCGCCGTCAGGGTCCTCAACTCACTGGCCTTTTTTTTGCATACTGGATGCCCTCCCATCCTGTTTATATATCTTCCTTTTAGTATCGCCTTGGATCTTGTGTGTCTTCTCATTTGATTGCCACTTGATTACCATCTGTCTCGTTCATCATGCGGGAAGTCAACTTCAGCATCCCTAATGTGAACAAGGCCTCGGTCAACATCACAACCACCCTCTACGACCGACGTGCCCTTGATTGCACATCCACCCTACCGTTGATAAACTCGCTGAATCACCTTGCCTATCTCACAACTTCCTCTGCACGAATCCGGGATATCCTCACCGTCGATGGCGGAATCGAACGACTTGTCTGCATCCTGAAGGAGGGCAGAAGTAAGGATCTGATGGAGATGTGGAAATGGAGCCTAGCATTTCAATGTGTGGTAAACATCGGAGTCCGGGGATCAGAGAACGTGAGGACCAGAGTCGTGGAAGCCGACATGGTCCCGGTGATTGCCACCATCTTGGATAATTATATCAAGGTGGTGGACAAGGTCCGATCGCGTGCCGATCCCGAATCTCACAAACAGTCTAGCCGATCGGCCATCCCAAGCAAATCCAGTTCCTCCGTTCATGAGGTCCCCAGCCGGTCTGGTCCCGAATCCAACACTCCCACCGAATCTCGTTCTTCGCGCCGCCAAGCCCCTCCTCCAAGCATCGAAATCCCCCAACCATATTATCAGGATAATCAGCCGACTGACTCGGACGTCATGGATGTTACTTCACCTCCGCGCGCTCCGATGACCTCCCCACCCGACCGCAGTACCTTCCGACAGGACGTTCATAATCACCGGACCCATGACGCTCGCTACACCCGCTCCAGTCATCGCCTGCGCACCATGCAGCCTCTGGCCACCGCCATTCCTCCGATGGATACCACCGAGGCATTTGGTTTGCGACCTGTGCGTGATGCGGAACGCCTTGCCAGTATGCTTCCAGGATTGCAGACGGGCATAATCTCACAACCTGAATCCCCGACAACTCCCAGCGGGCCGCTCCAGTCCCAAGCTCGAAATATCCCCCCGCCGCCTCCCCCAGCTCGGCAGAGACCTTCAATCAGACAGCAGCAATCTGCTTCGGGTGAATCGGATGATGCCAATGGAGAGGACTTGGCTATGGGTGATGACGCTGTCTTGGGGCAGGGAACTGAGCCTATTGTTGGTCTACCAAACCGGATGGATATAGACAGCGTTGATGAACAGTCGACAACTACTATGATCGATGATGTCTCGGCTAGCCACGGTGGTTTGACTGTCACAGATCCTTCTGAGGAAGGCCCAGAGGCTGAAACATTTAACATCGCTCATCGCTCTGCAGTCGATGGCAGCATAATCAACAACACCGCCAACACACAAACCAACGGTGGACTGGGTTTATCCCCCACTCAGGCTCCGAACAACCCTAATTCCCCCACTCTCGCCCCCAGTCCTTACGCCTTGTACCTCCGTGACCGAAACACCCCCGCGACTCAGGGCGTTCTGACCACCATGCCCCGGGATGAAGATGTCTTAATGTCCCTGCAGCTCCTAGCATACGTTTCCAAGTACTGCAACCTACGGTCATATTTCCAACGCTCGCACCTTGTTCCCAAACTCAAGATCGATAGCGAATTGCATCTCTTGGATGAAAATGCTGATCCGTCTTCTCCCGTCGAGTCTCCCGAGGAGGAAGATGAGTACTTGCTACCTGATGATGTCAACATCTTTCCCTTGGTGGAGAAGTTCACTGTCCGACATCACTCAAAGGACATGCAGTACTGGGCGTGCGTGGTGATGAGAAACCTCTGTCGCAAGGACGAGTCACGAGGTGGGATTCGTCAGTGTGCATACTACAAGTGTGGCAAATGGGAGGAGTTCCAGCGACAGTTTGCCAAGTGCCGTCGTTGTCGACGCACCAAGTACTGCAGCAAAGACTGCCAGAAGGCAGCATGGGTATATCACCGCCACTGGTGCCACACCACCCCTTGATACGCTCGATGACTTTGAAGGAGTTCCAATTTCTTGATTCATGCATACTGGCTCGCATAGCGTCATATCCCTTCACGCCCCCCCCCCCAACATTTGGTTCCAAAGTCTACGTCTCACTTCGCGCATGGCATTTGCAAAATCTGGTGGCGTTTCCATTCGACCCCCGGAAGATACCTCGTTACATGTCGTCTGGCTTTTCACTTACCCTCGCACAGCTCGCCTTTCCATCTTGGTTCATTGTCATATCGGGTCTGTTGAGGCCCTCGTTTTATTCCCTTGATTCCCATATATTTCTCATTCGTCATGAGTGTACATCTTTTAACATCTATCATATCGAAACATCTTTTTGTTTCTTTGCTTTTGAAACTCCGTTTTTCTGGCAAGCCCTTCATACTTAATTGTGCGACCAACGAGTTTCCTATGTCCTTAGATGGTCACCCGTCTTGACACGTTCCGACCGACTCACGGTCTTGAAGCATTTTTTATCCACCATCTACGAAGCTTGATTTATGTTAATGCGGAGGATTTGTGTCTCCCGTCGGTTTTTGCACTTTGCCATGATGGCACCGGCGTTAATCTATTCATTGGTACTGTTGTCTATTCGTCATGAAATGAAACCACACATTTGCATCTGAACTCCTCAATTGATCTGATTCTGAAAGCGTATTTATTCATCCTTTGTAAATCCATAAGTAGCCGCCAGTCTTGACTCCAAGTGCTCCTGCGCAGTCAAAGGTCTCTTTCCTGGCTCCAAACTGCCCGCACCACCCCCAAAGCCAACAGCGCCAACATCACCCGCCTTCGCCCGGTGCTGCTTCACGGCCTCACTAGGAACGGGAACCAGCTCTGTTGTATCAACAGGGTGGCAGAAGTAAACCAGAGTATACCGATCCTGCGGATTCGGACGACGCTGCTCAGCCAACGGGAACACGACCCGATGTACCGTAGACTTTAACAGCCCATCGGTCCAGTAACTCAAGAGGTCTCCGATATTGACCAGAATAGGGGGGAATGGGTACGCATCTGCATTATCACCGGGAATAATGGGAACGGGTGCCCAAGTTCCTTCCGGAGTGAAGATCTCCAGACCGGGCTGTCCAGGACGCTGGAAAAGAAGCGTGATGCTACCGTAGTCAGAGTGGGCACCGGCACGCACGTCTTTGTCATGCTTATAGCTTGCTGTTGCCGGGGAGAAAATTGATGGGTAGTACAGGTAGCGGAGGATGCTACCTGTTGGCCCAGCGCTGGGGTCGTGACGAGTTGTGAAGAAATCCTCCGGGATCTGTTATACATTGTTAGATCTAGTGACTAGTATGGGTGGTAGGCAGGTGCTGTCTTACCTCCAGGCCTAGCGAGAGAAGATTGAGAATCCGTTTACAGGTCTTGTCGCAGAGCTGTGCGAACTCGTGGATCTCGGCTTCATGTGGTGCCAGTGATGCGGAGAGAGGCTGTTGGGCCTTGCCGTCTTTGAAATCTCCAAAGTTCATAGCCCTGTAGATCAGTCAGTGAACTAGATCATGTATCTTATGTCCTAATATGAGACCATACTCCTTAAAGTCTCCAGTCTAGAGTTCAATCATCGATTGTTAGTCGCAACCTTTTATCGAATTGAATGCCCGAGTGACATGACATACCCGCTGATGCTCCGGATCAAGTGTCTCTGTGTGCATACCTGACCATCCACGGTTCTGTAATATACGTCAGTCAACGTACATCATTGCAATTATCCAGAACAGATCACCGAAACATTGAATACTCACGTTCGGGGTGATCCGGCAGGTCTCCTTCTCCGCCGCGGGAGACGCAAAGAACTTCTTGGACTATAGTCATACTTAGAATGGGCAAATTTTAAGTAAAATGACAATTGCATGGGGAAATACCAATTCAAATCCACGATCCACATCCTCAGCAGTAAAATCGGTACCTTTGCTGTTCACATACAAAAACCCATACTTGGCAGCCGCATCGAGCATTGCCTTCCCCACGGCGGGGTCATGCGGGTTCGAGATGTCAATGACAGGAAGCTCGATTGGGGCGGCGGTGTCGGTCATTTTGAGTTAAACCTTGGAGAGTGTTTTACAAGGATAAAATCCGGGGATGCTGAACTCTCAACATATATATGGGGACTACGGAGTAGAGAGATAGAAAAAAATGGGAATTTGGAAATTGGAAATAGGCGGGCCTATCGCGTATCTTCCATATCTGCCATATCTGCCGACAAGCGGGTCAGTTTCTCCCAGGCGACAGCCGGCATCGCTTACGATCTAGATTACGTTGTTTTAGGGAGATAATTAGAATGCATAATATATTATCAATTGTGCCGAGGTACATATCAAGGTTCATTGCCTAGCACAAAACTGATACTGTAGTGATATATGGTCTCATTGAACTCCGTACAGTGTGGGACTTTCGTGCATTGACAAGTTCATTCTTATTGTCTGTTCCTTTGTAGATCCTTGTCCTGATCCACCATGTTTCTAGTAGTATTCTCTTTTGTGGGAGATACTGTAATTGCTACTATATTGCTACCAAATTGCCAATTGTTTTAATTACCTCACATACCATTTACCTACCTAATCTCCCACTCAGTCTCCTACTCCTACCCAGTGACCTACCGTTTAAGTTAAATTTACAAAGTCTCCTCAATGAACCTTCAGGTCATTAAATAGCAAATTGGAAAGAAAAAGAAAGAAAATTTGGTGGTTAAGGGCTTTGTAGAGGGGTTGAGTTCATATAGCGTTTGCGCCTGAATTCGGGAACTAGAACTAAGATGCCCCATAATGATCTAAACAAGAAATTGTAAACAGGAAATTGAAGACTAAGAGAAGAATTGAGCTCAAAAACCGATTCAAAAACCGATTCAAAAGTTCCAAGCGCATGGGAGGTGAAATGTTGTTTGGGAAAGGGCCAATTTAGCAGAAAAACAAGCAACTCCGCTTTCCCTTTCCCCTCGTCATTTCGCAACTTGGACTTCATCTTCAGCCCGCGATACCTTCTCCATCCCCCCACCTTTCTTGTCTTTTTTGGGCCTCAATGCCCGGCATTTAGCCGTGCTTATTGCCGTTCAGCTTCGCAACCATGCCTGGTAATGTTCATGTCTCCCCCTTGTCGAGCTGATCAACCTAACCGCGACTTCTCTCTAGTCCGTCCCTTCGATGACTGGGCTGTGGGCCGTACCCAGTCCCTCCCACTCTCCGCCCTGAAAGATTCCGTCATCGGTATAGATGCCTCGCACTACATTCAACAGCACCTGGTAAACCAGTCGACCCGCGAAGCCCTTTTAGGTGCCTTAGGTGGCTTTCCATTTGCTCTAAAGAGCAACATCGAGAAGGAACTGCAGGCCCTCAAGAACCTTGGCATCGGCTGCGTCTTCGTTTTTAACGGACTCGAATTTGGCAAAAGAGATCATCGTCTCTCGGCATCGCCATCATCAGTGCGCTCTTTCGAGCAAGCTTGGGAGCTCTATGACCAGCAGCAAGCCGACCAGGTAGTCGACGCCTTCAGCAGTGCCGGTAGGACCACTTTTTCTCTTGACTTCTTACCACAATGGTCGAAAACGCCGCCTCTTTACGATCCGTGGACATGGGCGAACGACCCAAATTCCCCAATTTTGACTGACGAATATACACACCCAGGGACACCACCACCGGAAACCCTCTTCAAATTCCTGAGACGTATCTTGAACCAGAATGGCATCTCTTCCATCGTGGCGCCTTACAGCGCGGTCGCACAGGTAAGTCCCCTAGGGGAGCGCGACATCCCCTCACCGATACGGTGGATGGACATTAACATATAAATAGCTCGCGTACCTCTATCATGGCCCCAACCCCGTCGTGGATTCCATATATGCACCATCCGAAGCCTTCCTGTTCGATATCGATAAGCTGATCACTCGCATTGAAGCTGAGGCTGGCCAATTCAACTGGCTCACAAAGCAAACCTGCCAAGAGGAACTTGGACGTTTGTCAAACGAACAATTCCTCGAATTCCTTCTGCTTCTGGGTTCATCTTTCCTGCATCCATGTCCTCTTTTCGAGAACCCCGCATTCCCCGGGAAGCTTCCCAACATTCGCGATGCCCTGCCAATGTTCAATTCTGCCGGGCGAACTGCTTTGGGCATGTGCGCTCAATACGAGGAAGATCGCCGCATGGTCGAGTTTCAATATGTAGACCGTTACAAGCGGGCATATATGAGCGTGAAGCACCACGTCTATATGAATGTTGACGGACAGGTTGTTCCTTTGGAGCCCGAGACTACCTCTTCGGATCTGCATGAGATCATCGGCCAGCGCCTTCCGGAAGAGCTCTACTTTTACTTATCCAAGGGCCTCCTTGGCCCAGATGTACCAAACTACTTGACCTTGGGGGAGGTGCGGCTTTCCCTCCCGCTAGGTGCCGAGGACACCGAGATCTTCCGCCAGCTTGTAGGCGACACTCTCACTCCGATCCGGACACAGTCCATCTGCCTATTGGCAAACTCGCTTCACCGATTCTACCAAACTAAAGTGATTGACATCATCCCATGGTTTGATGAGAGCTCAAAGCGCAAGATCAGCTTGAAGGGAATTCCCTCCGTGAAGGAGACCATTCAGTCGTGGAAAATATCCTCTAGTCAGTTCCCAGAGAGTGTTAAGAAGTTGCAAGCGCCGCTTGGCTCTTTCAAATTTGCCGTGCAGAGCCTGAATACCGCAGACTTTGTGCCCAAGTCATTTGCTACCAAAGAAACCCCAGTATGTATCAGGAAACGCAAGTCAGATTACATGTCTAATAATTTTACAGGTTTTATCATCACAAGAGGACATCCGAGCTAATGTTATGTGGCGATTCCTGCAACTGCGCGGTTATGTCGATGATAAGCATAAGCTCACGGCTTGGGGCAAATGCCTGGAACAAGCGCTGTCAAACGTCGACCCTGCGGATAATTTAGAGGATGCGATATTCACTGCCATCGAGATGCTTCGCTTTGACCTTCTGAATACCAAGGATTGGTTCTCGCATGTATCCGGTGGCCCCATGAGAGGATCTGGTATGTTGTTTACGCTGCCGCAAACCCCTTCTGCGCTATGACTAACCACACTTCGTTTCTTTAGAGGACGATAAGACTTTCAACATGCTCGTGTCCCGTGTTGCATGTATTGCTAAGTTACAGCATAAGAGTATTGGTTACTCCGGTCCGTTGAGCCGACAGCTTCTTTGCTATCGCTCTTTGATCTCCGAGGTGCGCCATGCGCTGAGGAACCTAATTGAAGTGGTCTTGACCGGTCTTTTCCTCGGCGGAGACGCCGACAGAGACCGCAAAGATTGGACCGAAATGGCGATGAAGTATGTGGTTTATTCCTTGCTAAGAACCGTTTATTTTTCTCTTCAAAAACTCTAATGTCTTTTTTAGATTGCCATTTATTGATGATAATGACTGCGGACTCGGAATCGCCGTTCGCACCTACCTGGATGATCTCCCCTTGCAGGCAGATCCCACCTCACCCGAGGCTCGGGCAGAGGTGAAGTCAAAGGGCAAGGAATGGTTCCAACACAGTGAGAGCTTCACAGGAAACCTAGATCAAGCTTTCAAGCTATGGGACGCGGTAAGAACTACATACCTCCCATGTAACCATTGCTCAGAACTAATGCCCTACATAGGTCTACAAGGGTACTCAGACAGCAGGCAATGAGCTCAAAGACACGAAGTTGTGGGACAATGCGAACAAGTGGCTGTCGGACCGACGGTAATAAGGTAGATGCGGCATGTTCTTTTCAACTTATTATTATCCAGGGGGTTTCGGGGCCTATATGATATGTAAGCGGACCGCATCCCGAGTTTACGCCTCTCGCTGTTCCACTTGCTTGGGCCTTGCTAGGATGTGTTGGCAAATTCTCTACTGTATTACTAGCTAGTAATTCGAACCTTGGAAAAAATAAAGTCAAAAATCCCTTCGAAAAGCCCTCAATAGTAGCTAGATATCTCTCCAGATTTGTGTCTGAAGTATCTGCATGTGGGTAAGTGCATGTCTGATGTATAGATAGACCCTGTTTTTTGACATGTCCGGAATACAGAAAATCTACAGAGAAGTACGTGGAACCTGGATTCATGCAGAATGAATTTTCTCATGAAGATCAAATCATTTAGTGTAAGATGATTCATCAATCATGAAAAAAAAAATTTGACACAGGGTAACCACGGAGAAATTGGAACTATATTCCTTTGTGGTAGATCAGCGGGAACCAAGTGGCCTCTTCGTTGTTTTGTCATCAACGCCCCATTTCCGAGCTTAGGTACTCTTCTCTTTCCCCTCCTCCGAGGCAACTTCTGTAATTGATTTGCAACATTTAAAATCATAAAACCTCAATTCAAAAATACCCCAAAATGGCCCGTTTGAGCCTCCTGCTCCTGGGCACCCTCTCGGTGCTCGGCAGCTTCGCCAACGCCAGCTCCGCCGTCAAGGACCTGGTCCCCAACAATTTTGACGAAGTCGTCCTGAAGTCCGGAAAGCCCGCTCTGGTTGAATTCTTCGCTCCCTGGTGCGGCCACTGCAAGACTCTTGCCCCCGTGTACGAGGAGCTCGGTGCTGCTTTCGCTTTCGCTGAGGACAAGGTTACTGTCGCCAAGGTCGATGCTGATGAGAACCGCGAGCTCGGAAAGCGTTTCGGTGTTCAGGGTTTCCCTACCTTGAAGTGGTTCGATGGAAAGAGCGACAAGCCTGAGGAGTACAAGGGTGGCCGTGATCTCGAGAGCTTGTCTAAGTGGATTACCGATAAGACAGGCATCAAGCCCCGTGGTGCGCAGAAGGAGGCTAGCAAGATTGAGATGCTCAATGATGCTACCTTCAAGACTGTTGTTGGTAGCGAGAAGAGCGTTCTGGTTGCCTTTACTGCGCCGTGGTGTGGCCGTAAGTAGCAAGCTCTTTTCTTCCTATTTCTCGTTGGCCCTTTTCCCCTTTACTGACTATTCGCTTTCCTTTAGACTGCAAGAGCCTTGCTCCTACCTGGGAGACCCTCGCCAACGACTTCGCCCTCGAGTCCAATGTTGTGATCGCCAAGGTTGACGCTGAAGCTGAGAACTCTCGTGCCTTGACCAAGGAGCAGGGCGTTACCGGCTACCCTACCATCAAGTTCTTCCCCGCTGGCTCATCTGAGGCCGAGGCTTACTCCGGTGCCCGCACTGAGGAAGCTTTCGTTGACTTCCTGAACACCAAGACTGGTACCAACCGTGCCGTCGGTGGCGCTTTGAACACCAAGGCTGGCACCATCGCCGCTCTGGACAAGCTGGTCAGCGAGTACGTGCCCACCGCCAAGTTCGAGAAGCTGTCCGGTGAGCTTAAGAAGGCCGCCAAGGGTCTGCAGGACAAGTACGCCGAGTACTACATCAAGGTGGCGGACAAGCTGAGCCAGAACCAGGAGTACGCTAGCAAGGAGCTGGCTCGTCTGCTCAAGGTCCTGAGCAAGGGTGGTTCCGCGCCCGAGAAGCTAGATGACATTGTCTCGCGCAGCAACATCCTGCGTCGCTTCGCTGGCGAGGACGAGAAGAAGGATGAGCTGTAAACGATTGTCATCTTTTCTGTCATTGTTTTGATAGGTGCTGGAAAGCTACAGTATATGGAATTGTAGTAACCTGTTGACCAGCAATAAATATAGTCTGGAGATATACTTCTGGAACCTCATGGCATCCCGTTGTGTTGTACGAACTGAGAAATCAATATGATGTCCGGGCGTTATGCCCTACTAAATACAAGTACAATTGACTAGAGTAATCCAGCAACTGTATCTACTGATCAAAAATTTCCGATTTTGTGTCATGTGAACGTAGGGTATCATAATTGTATATCAAGAAACAGAATTGTAGAACAGGAAAGTGCGCGCCGTCTCAAATGCAGCAGTTGATCCCTCTAAGAATCTTTCAACTATAGACTGTGAGCTCGAGCAGGCTATTACCCTGCCAGTGAGTCATCTCTCACTTTGCAGTTGTCGCTGAGGCCGTGTCGTTCCCCGCTGCAGACAGAGAAGCCTCCAAGTCATCTAAGCGGCGGGTCATGTCGTCCACTAGAAACGGTAAGTAAATGAGCACCAATCGGCAAATGATCCAAAACATACACTTGCCAAACATCTCCTTGGAGACATTATCAAACTTGCTCTGAAGTTGGTCGAGGAGCTCGTCGACAGCCGCAGTGAGTTGGCCCTGGGCATCGGAGTTCTAGACTTCGGTTAGCGGAGGGGAGCTTTTTGATACTGCAAGGGTATGGTGAGCGCCATACAGGCTGTGAGAGAAAAGACTCCTCTGAAGGGAGATTTGTCGGAGTAGATTCTTTAGGCATGATGTATGGAATATCCTCAGAAACGACAGAGGTTGGCAGGTCCAACTTGGAAGTGTACGGAGTCAACTGTATGGGATTCAGTTGATAAGCCCGGATCATCATATATTCCGCACACCGACCCACGCTAACCCCAAAGAGTGCTTATCGTTCACGCTAAGCCATATCGGGCTTGGCTCCAGTTCAAAAAAATCAAGAGCATTCATCCTCTGTCTCTTTACAACCAGTCAATTTCCAACCCCCCAATTCCCTACAACCACACACAATGGTTAAACGAAGCAAGCTGCTTCAGGCTCTTGATGCCCACAAGGGTCGCGACTATGAGGCCGAGAAGCAGAAGAAGATGATCAAGGCCGCTGAGAAGCGTAAAGGCGTGAAGAAAACCGACAGCCCGGCCAAGGCCAAGGAGACAAAGCAAGAGAAGGAGGAAGTTGCCGTGAGCTCCGAAGCCGAGGAGGACGAGGAGGACGAGGAGGAGCAGAAGGAGTCTGAGGCCGAGGCTGAGGAGTCCGACGTAGAAAATGCCGAAGAAGAGGACGACGACGAGGAAGAAGAGGAGGAGGAGGAGGAGGATATCCCGCTATCAGACCTTGAAGACGACGAACGTGAAGATGTTGTCACCCACCAACGCCTGACTATCAACAACTCCGCCGCTATCAACAACTCCCTCAAGCGCATCTCCTTCATCACATCGCAGACCCCATTCTCCGAGCACAACTCCCTCGTGTCGAAAGAGCCGATCGAGGTCGAAGACCCCAATGACGACCTGAACCGTGAACTGGCTTTCTACAAGGTCTGCCAAGCCGCCGCGACCGAGGCCCGTGGTCTGCTGAAGAAGGAGGGTGTTGCCTTCACCCGTCCCGGTGACTACTTCGCAGAGATGGTCAAGAACGACGAGCACATGGACAGAATCAAGAAGAAGCTGTACGATGAGGCAGCTGGCAAGAAGGCCGCTGCCGAGGCGCGCCGCCAGCGTGACCTGAAGAAGTTCGGCAAGCAGGTGCAGGTCGCCAAGTTGCAGCAGCGAGCTAAGGAGAAGCGGGATACTCTCGAGAAGATCAACACCCTAAAGAAGAGTACGTCTTACTGTGCTCTAGCAGAGCTAACTGAGAATTTTTTGTGATATATGCTAACAATCCCTCACAGAGCGCAAGGCTGATACTTCTGCTCCTACCGACGATGCTAAGGATCTCTTCGATGTGGCCATTGAGGACGCTGGCCCACCTGACCGCAAGCGTAGCCGTGGTGAGGGTGGTCCCAACAACAAGCGCCAGAAGAGAGATTCGAAGTTCGGCTTCGGTGGCAAGAAGCGTCATTCGAAGAGCGGCGATGCCGCTTCCAGTGGTGACATGCGCAGCTTCTCTGCCAAGAAGATGAAGGCTGGTGGTGCTAAGCGACCTGGCAAGAGCAAGCGGGCCCAAGGTCGTATGTAAGGTGTTGAATGACTTGTGAGGAATTCAGGTTATGTGACGGGAGATGTGTGAAGGCGCATGCGGCGCCAAAAAAATCTCATAGTGGAAGACTTCCACTGTTGCTTTCTGTAATAACTATAGTTACCCTGCATCTATGATTGAATTATTTCTTACATTAAAATTTCTGGTAATCTAGTAATTGCTGTGCTTCTCTGCCCATATCTTCCAATGAGTCAGGTACCTGAAACGACGCCATTATGTACCTAATTACGAGGATATGTGACCAAACAAGTACTTTGAGCGGTAATGATTATGCTAGAGTTATATTCATACAAGTAACATGTGCATGTACAGAAATATGCGTTACTTGAATACCAGCTGAAATTGTAACTTCGTTATCGGTAGAATTCCTTATCGTTATCGATAAACTAAAGCTATTATCATTGACTTTTCACTTGAACGTTTCTCCTGCGCTGACCAAATGCCCTTACCATTTCGCTCCCAACTATTCCGCACCACAATGTCAGGTGAAAAGATCCTCGAAGGCTGTTTCGGTAAGACCAAGTCCCAATAAATTCCATCCCAACAAACTAACACAATCACCAGCCATCCACAAGCCCCAAGGCGTCACATCTGCAGATGTCCTCCGCAAATGCCAAGAGCACTTCAATCCCTCCAAAACATTCGCCCCCTGGCTCGAACACGAGCGCGAGCGCCGTGAACGCGAAAACCAATTCCAGCAGAAGCGCCGCCGGCAAAAGAAAATCGAGGTCAAGATCGGACATGGCGGAACACTCGATCCGCTCGCGACAGGAATTCTCATTGCCGGTGTTGGAAAGGGTACCAAATCCCTGAGCAGCTTCCTGGCATGCACTAAGTCCTATGAGACTGTTGTGCTGTTCGGTGCCGAGACAGATACCTATGATCGCATGGGTAGGATTGTTCGCCGAGCTCCGTATGAGCATATCACGCGGGAGAAGGTTGAGGAGGCGCTGAAGCAGTTCCGGGGACCTATTATGCAGAAGCCGCCTATTTTCTCGGCGTTGAGAATTAATGGAAAGAGGCTTTATGAGTATGCGCGGGAGGGGACGCTTCCGCCTGTGGAGATTAAGTCTAGACCTGTTGAGGCTGTGGAGTTGGAGATTGTGGAGTGGTATGAGCCTGGTACGCATCAGTTTGAGTGGCCAAAGGAGAAGATGCAGGGTGCGGAGAAGAGGGTTGCGGAACAGTTGCTTGATCAGCAGGCTGGAGTGACTGCTCCCCAGACGGACGCGGAGGCTGTACCTGCTAAGCGCAGTGCTGCGGATAGTCCCGAAGAGCAAGATGCTGACAAGAAGCAGAAGGTTGATGATAGTGGTGAGGCTCAGACGGTTGTGCCTGGGTCTGAGTCTGCGCCTGCGCCTGCTTCGGAAACCGCTACTGCAGATGCATCAGCTGAGACTGAGACTGAGACTGCGAAGAAAGATGATTTGGACTCAGACTCTGAAGCTGAGGCTGCAGATGGCTCGAAGAAGCAGCGGCCTCAACCTCCTGCAGTTAAGATCCGAATGACTGTTACTTCTGGTTTCTATGTCCGGTCTTTGGCTCATGACCTGGGCAATGCTGTTGGCAGCTGTGCACTCATGAGTGAGCTCATACGGTCCCGCCAGGGTGATTTTGAGCTTAGCCCTGAGAAGGTTCTGCAGTACGAAGATCTAGAAAAGGGCGAGGATGTCTGGGGCCCTAAGGTGGAGGGATTCCTCAGTGCGTGGGAGGACAAGATGGCTGCACAGGCAGCAGAAGCGACCAAAACCGATGCCGAAAAATAGTTCAATGTACATCAATTTTTGTATCTAAATATTACATAGACTCGGAGTCATAAATATTGAAGAGTTTCGAATTCGTCTTCCAAATCTTCCAAGGAGGCGAATGATGAGGGTGTAGAGATGGAAATCGGAGCATGATGACACTACTAGTAGTAAGTAGAGGTCGAGGCCAAGAAGCAATGGTATATTGATTTCGCTAGTCAAGTCCCTTTACAAGTTCTATTTCCACCTGAAGCAAATTGGTCCGGAGGTACGAAGTACTTCATAGATAGTTTACGTCGGCATAGTTAAATATGCACTAGAACGGATTGAGACTAGTCAGGGGCCGACGCCTGGATACATATACTGTACGGAGTAACCCATGTCAAGATCTCAACAACGCAAAATTGGTCACCCAGGAACTGATACGCAATGATGAGGGCATTCAGTTTCAGGCGTACACCTGCCTGTCCACTTGCTGTTAATCGGATTATTCCTGTGCACCCCAGCCCATTCACTACTTCATTCCAAAGCAGGTCGGGAAACCTTAAACCTTGTTTGCCTTCCGCACCACGAGGCTTCCAGACTTTACCTGCTCTCAAAGATAAATGGATCTCATCGGAAATTATTGTCCACGAGTGCAAACATCGCAAAATAGAAAAATGGGGCTGGGTTTTTTACCGCACCACGTATAAGGATGATGAAGCCTGGGACAACTTCAAGCAAAGACTCAACTTTTCAGTGCGCTCAATCATCAGCTCTGACCCCCGTTCAGAAGTCAATGAAGCTATGTTCGATAAACTTCAATTTGTCTTTGTCGAAGATAAAGCAAAGTTCGATGGAGCTTCCAAGGAGGAGCTACGTTCCCACTTCCAAGAATGGGTGACTAAGACCTTCTCCTCGGAGAATCCATGCGCTGAGAAGACGCTCATTTATGACGATGAGCCTGTTCCAAGATATCGATTCTTCTTCGAACTTGACGAGGATGCATTGCGTAGCTGTGGCGCCACAAGTTTGGGTCATGCCAACTTTGTCGATGGCTTCTGGGGGTCGTCAGGTCAACCCGGCTCTAGGAATATGAACTCTGCCTCAGAGGAGGATTCCAAACAGCTGCAGGATCAGAGGGAGGCCGTTGAAGGCTCTTCAGATGCTGGCTGGATGAGAATGAACTTGGCGTTCTTAATGGACCCCCATTTCTACGCAGGCATGAGTGGATCGACGGAGGGTTTATGGCGTTTCTTTTACGAGCGTCCACCTGCCTTAGTCCCGAATACCAAGCTTAGTCGTCTGATACAATTTCAGAACATGGCTCGAAGGACTCCTGCCTGAAAGGTGCACTAATTGGGCCCTATGCCCTGAAAGGAGGACACTGACATATTTAAACAATCAGGTTATCCGGCACCCCTCGAAATGAACGCCATATGGAGCCCTTAAGCTGTACTTCGTTAGGCTCATTTTTGTTTTGAGGTCTTTCCCCCGCTTCTCTAAGATTTAAGTAGCTAGTCAGTTCCTTCGTGGCTGCTCGGCTCACCATAGATTCAATTATGGCGAGTTCTATACCATTGTGGACGATGATTCATTCGCGAGCATCGAGAGCTTGTATGGTGTTACATTTGCTGAGCTGTACGAATGGAATCCGGCTATTGGGTCGGATTGTAAGAGTTTGTGGGTAGGGTATGCTGTGTGTGGGTGTTTCTTCATAGTATACAGATGTATATGAGCTTCAATGTGGGACATTAGTAGGTTGTTTAGATTTCCGTGTATTCGACTTGAAACAATTGTATTATTTTTCATCTCCGCACATGTATAACGGCCTCTCACAACCATTTCAAATTTTGATGACCGATTTCAGCCAGTAAATACGACGTGATTGTGATTAGTAATTCAGTATCACCTAAATCTACATAACCTAAGTAAGATAATCAGAGTAAGTGCTCCGTACCTCTTAAGAAAATTTATTTAGAACTCTTCCGCGGAGTAATTGGGATAGTCATATAACCTTAGTCAGAAGAGTGTAATACTATACATTCAGTGGTGTCCTCAGCAAAAAATTAGACCTGGGACTCAGAGTAAACTTCCGGGAATGCTTCACGCATTTGTTGGTAATGCTGACTGATTAGGTACTTCATGAGATTGCTGACGGGTAGAGCGGTATGCATGCGTTGCTCAGTTTCAACTAGCTCGACTCGCATCTGGGTTTCCCAGTCATGCTCACCAGCGTGATCTTCAATCTCCTTCTGGCGTTCCGTTCCTTTGGTGGTGATCACCTTGGGACATCCTGGCATGCGGCATGACCATGTCTCAGGCTCGGGTTGAGGGATAGGCTCTTCATGCTCAGAATAGCCATTCAGGTCAGGAAGTGGTGGGATGCCTCCAAGATCTGATCTTTGTATGCTCATAGTGGACGCAAGGGTAGTGGTAGTGGGGGTTTGGGCAGCATCCTGAAGCATGGTTTTCAGGAGAGATGCTGCAGCGCCAGACTTGGCTAGGAAGGATCTGGTTCGGGGCTTCGCCGATGCCAGTGGAGTTCGAATCAGCTCATGGCCACGGGTCTTGCTAGGTGTTTCCACGTCGGACATGGCATCTAGGTCATCATCGTCGTTATCTTCGTTGTCAGACCTCGTAGTCTGCTGGTTTGTAATCACATTTCGATTCCGTTTGCCCATAACTTTGGCGGAAACGGCGGCACTCCTAGGACGGAGCACGGACTTTTGTGTTCGAGTGAGGCCTTCATCGTCGCTGGAATCTTCGAGGGGTTGTAGGGGTGTAAGAAGGCCAGGAGGTAGGGGTTCGGATTCCGAGGCGGCATGAGTAAGTTCTCGGTGGATAACATAGCGAGACCATCTAACCTCAGATGTCTCATCTTCACCCAACTTCTCAAGCACGGCGCCTGCTCTGGCGGCGATAATTTTGTGAGCATTCTCTTTGCTGAATGAGTATCGTTCGGACAATCGCTCCGACAACAGGTCCAGATTCAATCGGCGTTTCGCCAGATGACCTTCCTCCTTGAGATCCAGAATCAATTGGTAGATAGAATTAGTTTGTGAGTTGACGATTGCGGCTGGGTAGTGCCGAGGAGTGGCGGCCTCGGGCTCGTCCTGCTCCTCGCCGTTATCGGATTGGGGTGATATCCGTTGCATGATCTCTTTATATTCATCCTAGCATAACGAGTCAGTAAAGGAGAACGTCCAAAGTAGCAATCAACCAACCGCTTACATTAAATTGTCGGCGAAGATGGATGAAAACATTGGTCTTGTTCCAGCCCTTATCCTCGTCGTCCTCGATCATGCAACGTAGCAAGAAAGGCCCATGCTTCGTAAAAACTTCAGCTGAATGCTCCCTGGTTTCGCAATCGCCATGTGTGTGGTAGACGTACTAAATGGGGTTAGATGGGCAGACCAAGGACAATAGGGAATTACCAACTTGTTCACACAGGTTCTTGAATGAGGGATTCAACTGCTTCTTTCCATGTTGGTGCCTGTCCATCAGGAAGTAATACATGTCCACAGCCTGGACCATGCGATTGAAGGTGGGCAGGTAGCCTTTTGCGGGGGAGATTCGGTACCAGCCCGCCTTGCCAGCAACCCAGAGCTCGACGCTACGATCTTCCGTCTGACCGTAAGCATAGTGGGTGACATCGTCGATGACGATTCGTTTGGAGAGGGTATCACGGTCGAGGACTGAACAGCGATGGGAATGTAAGCAACCAACCGGAAGCATCTTTAGTCGGAACAAGAGTAAGTTTAGCACGTACCTAAATGTTCTTGATTTGGTTTCAGATCTAATTGACCAATAACTTGCACAGGATTGTTCTCAGTGGCTTCAAGTAAATTGGCATAGAGCATCTTCCCTGTTCGCAAGACCTTGACCTCGGACAAGCCGAACTCCCACCAATCGTTCTCATCTGAGATGGAGGGATCGATGGGAGGGAGGACTATTTCTTCGCGGGCGGTCATGGTTGTGATTTCGGCATGTTGGATGAAGACGAGAAGGTGTAGGGAGGAGAGAGGGTAGATGAGACCCGCTCGAAGCCATGAGAAGGCAGGAATGGCCTGAGATCTCGCGAGATGTCAACAAGTGTGGTGACCGGGGGATCGACCAGCTGAGTCGGGTGCCTGAGGCTCCAGGCTCCGCGTCAATTAACAGCCCAATAAAGTGCACCTACTAGGTTTATTATAGAGACCACAGTCACCTTTGTAAGCTTCAAGTTGATTCCTTATTTTGAATTGGAGAGAAATTATGTTTACCATATGTACATACTTTTACACCCTCAGAGTCCAATACTCAACTCTCCCTGGTAATGACACCGCTCTTTAATCCCCTCCTCCAAACCCTTCAAGCAAGTCCAAATGGAACTGTTGGCGCCTGAATCAATCACCTGGTATACAGTTTGTCCTGCATTCACCTGCTTCAAATCCAGCACGAAGTTCTCAATTTGCAATCCATACCGAATTCCGAATCCGAAGTTATTGTGGACGCATTTATTGAATTCTATGTCGGGTTGCACTTCGCTGCTTGGGTTCCTATATATATATAGATGCGATAATGAATTAGATTCTGTGAATTCTCTACCGTTTTCCCTCTCTTATAGAAACAGCTGCACTACTTACCAAAAAAGATAGCACAGATCCCCCAAATTGTTGTTTGTATCCTGCACTGTGAACTCAATGACTCCAAGACTATTGTTTGAATAGAGGCTCGTAGAGAGCAGCTGAATATCAAATGATGTGACACGCTTCAAGAGATTTGCAAGGCTAGAACCCATGATTGCCAGGAGAAGAAAGTTTGCGAGATACATTTTGAATAGGAGGAAAGAGTGATAGAAGCCACGGTATATGATATCGGAGCAGAAAGAAGGATTAATGAGGTAGAGAAGTCGTCACTGCTCGTCAAATTCTTATAGTTCCTGGGTATAGTAAACCTAAAAATTGGAGTAGATAGACCATGGGACACAAGCTGAACGATGCAGAGTACTGTTCAATATTGAATCCCCCAGCTACGCAGTATTAGAAGTTATAAATACACACACTCCATGAAAGTACTTCACATGAGATGGAAAGGTCGCTCGCACTATTAATTCTTTAGAATATTGATCTAACTCGTTTCTCTACACCAGAGACTCATAGAGATATCTGACTAACCGATGATCCACGGGCGTATTTCAGCCTTCTACTACTCATGCTTTTTCTTGGCCCTTGGTTGGCTAGTTCTTGTCAATTGTACATACTGAAGTAGTTAGTTGCACATGTTGAGCCCCTACTAGAGCACCTATCTGCAAGTAAATATCTACTCTGTAGGTACCTAGAGTCTGGAGTGCTTTACATGGCAGATTGCAGTTGCAGCTACTTACCTTACACAAGTTGCCTAATGTTTGCCTACATATTCGGCCAGTATATACAGCGGCACATCAGACGGCCCAAATGTTCCAGCCGCAACCTTAGAAACAGTAAGAAACCCACCGATGGCCGTATGTCCATGAAAACAAACAAATAATATGCAAAGCAGAGAGGTGTATGCGGTGCAGAAGGATAGGAATCAGAACTAGAAAAAACTCCTAGGCTTCACAGGAAGCCGATGCTAGATAAAGCGCAAGGGCTGCTGTACATGGAGAAGTTGACAGAGAAATGAGCTTTTTGACTCGAAGGGGTATACCACGAAACATGCCACATATATCACGCACACAAATAGAAAGAGGAAAGAAGAAGAGATAAGGAGAGATGACACGGGGGAAAGTGAGGTAAGACAGTTGGATGAATGAAGTTCAAGGCACAAGGCCCAAACCGTGTGAAGATGAGAGAAATAAAAGAGAGGAGGTGTATCCAGAGTAAGACAAGACAGGTGCGATGATTGCAGGCTGTTAAATGGTGAAAAATTCAAGAGAAAAGAAAGGGGTGCAGGGACTATCAGTGGAGGAATCCGGTCCTCCAGAGGATGGAAATCTATGATTGGTTGGCGGTGTGAGCGTCAATAAGACCTGCGTCAAAAGTTAGTATTCATAACATCGAAGGGTATGCTTAGATAGGACTGACTTTGTAGGGCGGAGGTCTGTCCCTGTCGAGATTCGCAAGCACACTGAAGAGTGCTGCCATCCAAAAAGTTTAGTAGGATGCTATTGGGCAGTTCTTGCATGTCCTCATCGGGGAGGCAGGGTCTTTGGAACTCGGTGAGGTGGTAGCGCTTGATCATATTGCGAGCAGTCGCGTCGGTGGTGCCAGGCGTGAGCACAACATATCCATTCTCATCAATGCGCATGTGTCGACGTTTCCAGAGAAGAGTATCAGGGAACTGTACATTGACCTCGCCAATCTCGATGGGTTTCGACAGGTTATGATGCGAGGATGCCGGGGATATGGCTGATTCGCCAGCAGTGATGGAGGCGAGGTCTTCCTCCCGAACAGGTGAGCTCAGAGCTCCAATGATGCTGCGACGAGAAGTGGACGTGATCGATGACATGCGACGCATCAGGCGTGAGGCACGAGACAATTTCTTGTCCTCAGTGGTCGGAGAGGACGACTGCAGATTTTCGTCAGTCTTTGCGCGTGAAGACAACGACAGCCGACTGGCAGGGCGAGAAATGGGGGTCTGTCGGTTAGAACCAGTGGATGACATAGACATGCTGCGATCCTCCATATGGCTGGCAGGTTCCACCGGTGGGGGTGGGGTCAAGCTTTGAGGCGCAGAATGCTCTTGTTCCACGCTCAGCGGGGTGGGTTGGAGGTTGAGGACATCGGACTCGAAACGATCTGAGCCCGAGGGGGCTGGTGAGTCATTTGAATCGCGCACAATAGGGGCTGTCACGGAGATCGAGTTCTGGCGGCGTGACATGCTAGTGGTAGGGCGCGAGTCGTGTAGGTTGACGCTTGGCGCACGAGAGAAATCAGGTAGGGTAATATCGCCAGAATAGGAGACCGAAGCACGCTTGCGGAGATTCTCAAAGGAAGAAGAGGCGGATGGTCCAGGTCCGTTTAAAGTTGGGTTAGGAGTGCCCTCTCGGCTCGAGAACTTTTCCAAGGCTTTAATGCGGCTGGAGATGCCTGATGAAACATTCACTTTCTTCGCCATGAGCACCGGGGTCACAGGACGATTGTCGAGGTATGAGGTCGACGTAGACCGGCCGCCAACGGTGAGGGTTTGGGACGCGGAAGGAGATGGAAAGCCATGGGGGCTCGAAACGGCGCGGGATGGGCTTCTCCAGTGTTGACCACCATTAGGCGAGCTAACGGCAACAGGTCGGGCCTCCTGCACTGTGGCAGATCGCAATTCCTCCATGAAAGAATCGTCCGAAAGCAGGCAGTCTTCATCCGAGTATTCAAGAGTTGGAACCTGGATTGGTTCTAGGTGGATCTTTCGTCGCTGGTCTAGGGGGATTTGTTTTGTTTTTTGGGTGCTTGGATCATCGAGGGCATGCTCATTCAGTGGAACGGGGTCAATTGACACGGTGACAGGTGCGACCGTGGTGGCTTCGACTTCAGGACTAGGTGGGGTACCCGTTGGCGACTTAGCGGAAATATCGGCCGACTCAGGGGTTTCTTCGGGGGTTGGCTCCACCACGGAAATCTCCAGCTGCTCACTCACAGAAGCAGGGGTCTCTGGCGGGGGTGAAGGAGAATCTTTGGGTTCTGGCAATTGTTCTGGAACTTCTGGAACCTCAGTGGAAACCGGGACAAGGGGCGCTCCGACAATCACGCTAGGGGACACTAGTTCCTCCTTAGTCTCAGTTTGGACAGAAATTGCGGAGTCGCCGAGCTCGGCGCGTGTTTCATCTTCAGGGACAGTCTGAGGCGTCTCTGACTTTATGACTTCTGAGAGATCCCCAAGTTCAGTAGAGAATGTGGTGTCACCACCAGGGCCCGAAGTATGCGAGGATGGTCTGTCTTCGGAATCTGACACAGCAATGTCAGCCATTGGCTCTGGTTCGGAAGTCTCGCTCGGAATCAGGATTGGGGATTCTTCATTCTTCATTGGAATCTCATGACGTAGTTCGGGTGCAGGTGATTCAAAAGTTCGAAGAGGGAGATCCGAAGATTGCTCGCGTGCTATCTGGTCCAGCTCTGGCCCTGGCTCAAACTTCTCTGGTCCAGCCGATGTCGGATTGAGATTCTCCTTGTTTTCCTCCAGGTTTGTGGTCTCGGCTTGCGCCTTTGGCTCGTCGACTTCGGCAATGCTTGACTTCCTCTTGGTGTCTTCCGCTCGTTTGGCCATGGCTTTTCGTCGTTGCTGTAGCGCCTTCATCAGTCGTTCCTTTTCGGGGGTTAATCCGGAAGAGGTAGACAGTGCACCCAAGGATTTGGCACCCGGGGACAGTTGGGGTCTCGAAATGGGAATACTCGGAGGAGGGACGAGGAGTGGGGGGATCGGCGGTGCACGGCTGTTAGGTCTGGTCGCAAAAGAACTGCCTTGGGATCGGGGGCGAGGAGGCTCCACAACGTTTTGTTTTCGCACCGAGGATGAACGCATATTAGAGGGGAGGGACGCAACGGGCCGTTGCTCAGCATTCTTGGAGCTTCCGGACGTGCGGGGACGTCCACTTTGGTCTAAGGAAGGTCGGGGGCCCAGTTTGACCTTTGGCGTTGAAGAGTATGTGGATGCGCGTTCCAATTCTCGTAGTGAAGGACGTGTCGATTGCGTGGACAGCCGTGCTTCGTCTGATGGCCGGGGAAACTCGTCGAGGATATTTCTGTATTTGGAGCGCCCCGAGCTAGAAGCCGGGGATTGAGGGGTAGGAGACATGGATTCTGAGTTCGTTTCACTAGGAGTTCCGCGAGAAGGTGGGGGTCGGGAGCTTGCTCGCGAAGGAGGTGGATGGAGATCAGGTGAGGACTGTTCGATCTCGGGGGAAGAAGCGACTGGTGGCACGACAGTTGCCTCTGACTTCAGGCTGCCTGACCTTTGCCTCACTTCACTGGGGGGTTCTTGGGGTTCTTGCGGCGGTTGCTTTTCCTCCTTTGTACCACTCTCCTCCGCATCTTCCGTTATTTCCATCAACCGACGTCTCCGCAGCGAGCTCGACGAGGAGGTTATTGATCCCGAGGCAGTATGAAGGAGACATGCGGATGAGAGGGCACTCTCATTGAGATCGGAGGCTTGAGTCAAGACGAGCACTGTGTCGTTCGGGGTGAACTTTTCAAGAACAGACGAAAACTGAACGTTGCTTCGCGCTGAAGGAACAAACGACCCGATTAGTACTTTTTGCGACGGAAGACAGATAAGTCGTTTGACATACCTAAAATGAGCCGGGACAGCCCTTCGGGCATGTACCGGAGAATGACCTTCCTTCGCCGGTACTGCAGGAAGCCATAGAGCGGCGACGTCTCCTCATAGTTGTCGATAGCGTTGCGCACCTCGGGCACCCCACCGGTGCCTCGCTCGAGCAAAGCCACCTCATCTCTGGCAATGTAGTATAGAAGAAACCTATCGATAACAAGAGTTAGAAGTGTTGATTTGCAGCCACATTTGGGGCGATTGGGTGTAAAACGGGGGTTGGGAAAAAGGCGACATGGGCGGATCGGGGGATCGAAGATCTGGAGAAGCATTCCGCAGGGACCAAACTCACCATCCACCTGCATCAGCCAGAGCACATTGGTAGGCTTCGACGACAGCGGCAGTGTCTAGCCCATTGAGAGACATGGTGCGAACGACATGGGGACAAGTGAGCACCGATCAAGTCAAAAGGGGGAGAGGTCTAGTGAAGGAAAAAGGAGGGGACGGAAACCCGAGAGCCTAACAAGCTAGGATCTGGACCGAAAGACTAGGGATCAACGGATTCAGATCTTAAGATCGAGCTCAATTCAAGAGAAATGGAGTCCAGTATCGGAAGTTAGAGGACTCGGGACTCATAAGTCTTGAAACGATTGCAAAAAACAATCTGATAGGCCTGTTCAGAGGCACGGAGCAGTTGTTTCTTGTTGAAGCTTCTTTGGCTCAGGGGGGGTTAATCTGTTACCATTCGTCCAATGACTCCACTTGCGGCTATCCCAATTTAATGTGAACAATCTGAAACGCTCGTTCGGAATGCTTGCTTTTTATAGTTAGGTTATTCCAAGGTTGTAGAGGGAGACATTCCCTATACATCAAGGGTTTGGACTAAGAACGGTGAAGAATGCATAGAAACTAGGAGAAAACCGAAAAAGATGCATATGAATCTGATCTCGGATATTCCGGGAAATGGGAGTTCATCTCGAGTTCCATCCCCGGCCAGATCGGGATTCTGAACATTCACATGTTTGAAATCTGATAAACGCGAGTTGATATAACTATCTTTGTTGTATACTTGACTGTTGGCGCATTTCTCCGCCCGAACACTCACAACTCGGCGAGTCCCGACAAGCGGGAACCTACTTAATACCACAGTTCCCCCCCGAAAAGATAACATACATTATAACCTTCAATATGGATCTTCCTGCTGTCTCCGCTATTCCCTCCCTTCCTCAAGAGACTCAGTTACGCGTGCTGGACACGCTCTTCGAGCCATCTCCAGAACTTCACCAACTGATGATCCCAGTCCTTGCCAATCAAACCTTTTCATCCTATGGCACTCTAATTGAAGCCGTGGGTGGTCGCATGTCCGCCCTCTCTGCCGTCAACTCCCCCACTGACCGGAATGTCTTGTTCGGCATCCTTGGCTCTCACCCTCGCCTCGGTCGGGCCCCCGCCAACCCGGAACATCTGAGCGAGCTGAGTAAGAAAGAGCAGGAGCAATTGAACACTGGCGCTGAAGAGCAAGGCGAGAAACTCCGGCAATTAAATGCAGAATATGAGGAGCGATTCCCCGGATTACGATTTGTGTAAAGCGCATTGACCGCCTGTCATTGACCAAAGGCTGATCGTTTCATAGTTCTTTTGTCAACGGCCGCAGCAGAGACGTTATTATGGTCGAGATGCGCCAGCGTATTGATCGGGGCAACCAAGACAAGGAGATTGAGGAAACGATTCAGGTGAGCTCAATGTCTGACTTTCTTTGATCGCAAAATTAATGTGCATTGAAGGCCATGTGTGATATTGCAAAGGATCGCGCCCGCAAACTACAAGCTCGGATTTAAATACCAGGAATTCAGGGTTATGTACCACGATATATACGATATAGAGACTTTTGACAGTCTTGGCATAGAAATCTAGACAATGATAAGCTCCAAGAGGCGAAAAGGGTCCAGTTCTGGGTGCTCCACTTCCACTTTTGATGTCATCAATTCACTCTCCGGCCGTTGCCGCTGTGTTGCCGCTTATCCTATCAGTCTTTTATCTTGATCCTTTTTTTATACTTTTGAATTAATGTGATTTGATCTTCCTCTTTCTCCTACCTGCTTCATATATTTACCTCCCATGCGCTCAACGCGTGCCCCATCATGGTGGAGAGCAGCGCGGACCAGAAATTGCCACGAGCGTCAATCCCCGCGATAGCCGGAGATAAATCACTACCACACAGGGCTTCGACATTTCCCGGTATGTAGACATTGGAATCTGGGCTGGTTCTTAATGCGATTCGTCTCGTGTTTATGCGACAAGCCTACGGGATACACGACCCCTATATCTCTCAAAGGAACCAAAGTAGAACCCGCTGACAGCAGGCTTGAAAGGTTCGGTTACCTCGGACATCGCGTCGGGATCAAGCCACAGTCAACAGGATGGCCAGCGGAATACTCATCGTTCGGTGACCATTGGTGGTCCGTTGGTCAGAAACTCCACTGCGCACACGTTGCATGAGACCTGGACCGAATCCAGCGCCATCGACCCTTTATCACAGGTCAGCTTTGAATTCTGGCGCATGTTATGCGCTGGACTGGATCGCAATAACTTGCTGACCCTCCAAATCGCATAGCATATCATCCAGCGCACCAATACGCAAAAGTCCATTCCCTTGAAGTTACTGGGTCGGGCATCGTACGAGGCCGATGCCGGGGGTTCGGAGCACAACTTGTCAGACCAAAGCGCGGCTCGGGGGGATACGTCAAACTTAAAACTGCCTAAGAAGTAAGTTGTCAGCCCGTGACGTTTGTGCCTTGTGCTCCCCCTACATTTGCTTTGCTTTCCAAGAAAGAAAGTACATGCTCGAGCCTCGGATTCCGGGATCTCCGGCCCCCAACCATACTGAACAGGGCTGACGGAATTTTGCTTCATCTTTGCTCAGGAAAGGTGTCTCTTTTCTAAGCCGAATTATCGGTAACAAGAAGAAGGAGACGTTATCTGAAGCGGAAGATGATGCCTCAGAAGCAGAGGCCGGCCGCATGTCCATCGACACTTCGCATCCAATGGGGTTCATCCCTCGACACCCAGCCCCGTCACGATATATGAAGGTCCGGACTCATTACAAAAAAGATAAGACGTTTAATCGTTTGTTTATAGCGCAAGAACTGCAGGGCGCGCCTGTGCAGCAGCCTGCTGCAGGAAGACGGGGATCTACGTCAACAAACGCCAATGACGATACCGGACGAGCGATTTGGGCTCTGAGTTTCTCTAAAGATGGCAAATATCTAGCTGTGGCGGGACAGGATCGAAAGGTTCGAGTATGGGCTGTCATCACTACACCGGAGGAGCGAGAGGAGGCTTCACAAGACGGCGATACTGCAGAGGGGGAACAGCTGAAGTTCAAGGCACCGGTGTTTTCACCCAAGCCCGTAAACGTCTACGAGGGCCACACTGGGAGCGTTTTAGATCTAAGCTGGAGCAAAGTATGAAGACTCATTGTCATTGAAGACCAGTCAGCTAACTGGAGTAGAACAATTTCCTACTATCCTCGTCTATGGACAAAACCGTCCGCCTATGGCATGCGAGTCGAACTGAATGCCTATGTTGCTTTCAACACAGTGACTTTGTCACCTCTATCCAATTTCATCCCATGGATGACCGCTTCTTTTTGGCCGGCTCGTTGGACTGTAAGCTACGACTTTGGAGCATTCCAGACAAGAGCGTGGCTTTTATGACGACTGTACCGGATATGATTACCGCGGTGGCGTTCACACCGGATGGCCGACACTCAATGGCAGGATGTCTAAATGGTCTCCTCAATATCTATGACACCGAGGGTCTCAAGGTATCGGGTCAGATCCATGTTAGATCGGCGCGTGGAAAAAACTCAAAAGGCAATAAGATCACCGGAATTGATACTATGACGGTCCCCGAAAATGATCCAGATGGAGACGTCAAAGTATTGGTCACTAGCAACGACTCGCGGATTCGGCTCTATGATTTCCGAGAGCGATCCCTCGAGGCCAAGTTTCGAGGTAACGAAAACACCTGCAGTCAGATCCGGGCATCGTTTACCGATGACGGTAAGCATGTCATATGTGGAAGTGAGGACCGCAAAGCCTACGTATGGCCAATTGGGGCCGTTGAACGGGATTCCGACAAGCGAGCCGTAGAGGTGTTAGAAACGCAACCCGCTATCGTCACGGTGGCTGTGACGGCACCTATCAAAACCAAGCAGGTCCTTGGATTATCCGAAGACCCGATCTACGATATCTGCAACCCTCCACCCGTCGCTCTCATGAGCCCCGATGAATTTACAGGAATCTCGAAGCAAACAAGCTCCGACACCAAGACCGAGAACAAGCACACACACAAGCGATCCGCATCAGCACCGCGTTTATCCATTGTAAAGAAAATGGCGCACGAATCTCCTTCGTACCTGGCTCGATCCAAGCACCCAGACGGAAGCATCATAGTTCTCGCCGACTACTCGGGAAAAATCAAGGTCCTTCGACAAGACTGTGCCTACCAGAAACGTCGTTATGAGAACTGGGATCATTCAGCCATCTCCCGGCGCATTCTACGGCGCTCAAACTCCACACACCGCAGCATTAACTCCGCAATTAGCAAAGACTCTGCACACAAGACCCCATCCGAGAGAATCGTCTCCTGGCGCAATTCCGTCATCCGCAATGGCCGCGCCAGCACCGAAGGATCCCGCCCCGGTCTCCGCACCCGCAGTCCATCTCCACAACCCCGACCAGGTGTCATGCGGCTTTCATCATCCCGGCTGTCAAGCCTAGGTCCAAATGAATCCCCTTCAGTATTCGCAACTTCCTCGCCCACCTCACCTCGTCAATCCCGTCTAGATCATAGCCAAATGGTCCAAGACGCCAACGAACAAAACGGCCATACACAAGAGTCGCGCAAACTACCCGTTTCATCTGCCGATATGGTTGCGAGCGGTAGAAGCAAGGAGAATCCTCTCTGGTTACAAGGCGATCACAGTTATGCATACTGGAGCAACATCACGCACGATGCGATGGCTGCTAAAGCCCGCCAGGCGAAAGATTTCCTCAGTCCCAATCGCGTTCCCTCGGGAGGTGAGCGAAAACTGAGCATAGCTGGAAGTGTGCTCAGCAGTGAATATGCATCCTCCACGGGCGAAGGCGATGAGGATATTCTGAAATGCGATTATTGCCGTGGCACCAACTTCCGTGGGGTCAAGGATCGGGGTGGGAAACAGAAGTTGATCTGCGTTCAATGCAATCGGTCTGTTTCTTGAATCAATTTTGATTCTGATTTTGATTTTTCGCTTTCAAGATGTTGGCGCATGTATATCGCGTTTTTGTTTTTTTTTGGTACATTTTGGTTTCGGTTTTGGCTGGAGTTGAGCGGAGACAGGCATTGGAGCTGAATCTTGACTAGACATGTATCATATGTGTATGTGCTATATTTTGGATGTGGTATATTGTAAAATTAGGAATAATCTTGGAAATATAATGTGTGAATACATATAAAGCAAGTTATGATCCTGCTGGACGAGCCTACCAACGGTCTCGATATTCCCACCATCGACTCTCTGGCTGATGCCATCAACGCCTACCAGGGTGGTGTCGTCGTCGTGTCTCACGATTTCCGTCTCCTTGACAAGTGAATGCACCTATACACAACATAGGGCTTCCAAGGCATCAGAGGGCATCGAATTCCTCTAAAAACACGTGAACTTCAATAAGGTTTTGAATATAAATTTTAGTGCTATTGAGGTCTTTATCTTTATAGCTTTCTATGGTGCTACTACACAATGACTTTGGTTCCTTCAATATCCTGGTAGATGAAAAGTCTTGTAATCTGGTCGGCGTGATCGATGGGCCGAAGCTGAGATTGCTCCATTCGGCATCAACCTCTACGCTCATGATCGGTTGATAAGTAAGATCCACTTGAGAAATGGCTAGTCCCGGTATGATGATTATGGCCGTTTGGATGGGATGTTTTGGAGCACGTTCAGACAAGAAACCGGAGTCAACGATAAAACGATCAAAACCATCAAAGCTGCAAGGATTGCCGGGGTACTGTTGTATATTGGCTTTACAAGTCGTCTTCCTAATGAGCCAAAGCCAGTCCCGATCTCTGATGATTATGAAACTGGAGCATATGGGATGCGTGATTTGGACGGGCTTTTGATTAACCCAGCTACGAGGTTCACAGAATTAGTCTGAAGAGGGAACTAAATTAATACTTATATGAATGAGCCTACCATATAGTCAGTCACTCGCTTTGGCAATTCTCGTAAAATACTAAGTTCGTGGTTTAATGAATTTCATGGTCAGGAGTCAGGACTCAGTAGACCGATGCCAAGACATTGAAAAAGTCCGGCAACACTGATAACTGATCCCAAACCCCGGACTTCCTTCAGCCAACTTCTCCTAGAGACATTTCCCCGGCGAAACCCACATCCTATCGCCAGGTTATTCCAATTAAGTTTTAATAACCACACAGAACTACCAATTGTCCAACCCCCCCCCGCGCATCCCTCTCGCACTCAACGCACTAGACACCTCTCCACAAAAGCGAGACCGGCTCTCGACCACACCCAACCATGCCTTACCTCCCCACCACCCAGGCATTCCTGGAGCAGTCAGCTCAGCTCCTAGAAGCATACCCAGAAACAGTAAGATCCACACGCCCCAGACCTAGCAATCCCACCTATCTCCCCACCACTCAATTGAATATCTGTCTCCGCACCACCCACCACCCCCATTCCGATATACCTAATCCAACCACCCCCAAACCCACCCCACACAAAGAGGAACATGAACATCGTAACCTACAAGCACCTGGAAGCTCACAAAAACGCAAACTAACAACCCCAGACCCGCATCACAACAAAATACAGCTTCCCCACCGAACGCCGTGCCCAGAAACACAAGCGCGAAAAGTCCCTCGCAAAGAAACAATCAGAGCCAGCTTCCGAATCCGCATCTACACAACCAGCTGATCCATCTACCTCTACATCAACCGCCCCCGTTGCATGCCTTACTCTCAAAACCTTCAACCCCGCCACAGGCGTCTGTCTGAAGTACCGTACGAACAAGCTGCAGGAAGTTAGCCGGTTGATGACCGGGTTGGGAAAGTTGGCTGGGGGAGCGGATGTGGCTAGTCTGGGATTATCGGGGCCTGGAGCTGATGTTGAGATGGTTGATGCGCCTGTTGTTATTGAGGAGGTTGTGCAGGCTGGAAAGGGTGGGAAAGGGAAGAAGAAGGGTGGGAAGGGGAAGCGATAGAGAGTGAATATGTATTAGCATAAGTGGAATATTGTTGTCGTGTTGAGCGGCTTGATCTTTATTATAGAAAATAATGACTTACGTGGTTCGTTATGAGATTCAGGTGTATCTTGTTCCGTAGAGTTAAGTTGAATGCATAGTAGGACGCAAGAGATCGGGTGAAGGGATAGAAGAGGTTTATGCATAAGACTTATTTGGAATACGTTATATGAAATTTTGAAGATTGTACACAGTAAAGTGATTGAACATCTAGATACAAATACCCTCCGATCCAATATTAAACAAACAAGGAAAGTCTGAGACAGACCAAGAGAAAGTAAATTAAACGCCATGCCCATGCGTAACCATCAAGAAAAGATTCCATCAAACAAAAACAAGCAAACGTGATATCATGTGGAAAAGCGGAGAGGGAGACCCACAACGCAGGGTATAAAACAAAAAGGGGAGGGACACAAGACAGGTGACGAGTCTAGAAGTCCTCATCGAAGTTCAGGCCGTGGCTGGCAGGCTTGTCATCACCCTCGGCAGGCTTCTGGGCGCTGGCCATGACACCGGCCTTCTGGTAGTCACCAACACGCTTCTCGAAGAAGTTGGTCTTTCCAGCCAGGGAGATGGACTCCATGAAGTCGAAGGGGTTGGTAGAGTTGTAGTACTTCTTGTTGCCAAGAGCAACCAGAAGACGATCAGCAACGAACTCGATGTACTGGCACATGAGCTTGGCGTTCATGCCAAGCAGGGCACAGGGCAGGGAATCAGACAGGAACTCCTGCTCAATACCGACAGCCTCAACAATGATCTTCTCAACCATCTCCTGGCTGGGGCGGTTGTTAAGGTGGGAGAACAACAAGCAAGCAAAGTCAGTGTGCAGACCCTCGTCACGGGAGATCAGCTCGTTGGAGAAAGTCAGACCAGGCATGAGGCCACGCTTCTTCAACCAGAAGATGGAAGCGAAAGAGCCAGAGAAGAAGATACCCTCAACGGCAGCGAAGGCAACCAAACGCTGAGCGAAGGTGGACTCATCATCCTGGATCCATTGCATAGCCCACTTGGCCTTCTTGGCAATGCAGGGAACTAAGACCAGAAAGTTAGTGAATGCAACATGAAAATGACACGGGGTAGGACATACTGGTGTCAATAGCGTCGAAAAGGTAGGTGCGCTGCTTGGGCTCCTTGATGTAGGTATCAATGAGCAAAGAGTAGGTCTCGGAGTGAATGTTCTCCATCATGATCTGGAAACCGTAGAAGCAGCGAGCCTCGGGAACCTGGACCTCTCCACTGAAACGCTCAACCAGATTCTCGTTGACAATACCATCGGAAGCAGCGAAAAAAGCAAGCACGTGGGAGATGAAGTAACGCTCATCATCGTTCAGGCGGTTGTGCCAGTCGTGCAGATCCTTGGAGAGATCGATCTCCTCAGCGGTCCAGAAAGAAGCCTCGGCCTTCTTGTACATCTGCCAGATCTATGGATCGAAATATCGTAAGTCTTGTGTTCTTCCAAAGTGGCATGCAGATTCTTTGCTCCACACCACTTTACGCGTGAACGCGTCGGCGACGTGACTGACCTCGTGGTACTTGATAGGGAAAAGGACGAAACGGTGGGGGTTCTCCTGCAGGAGGGGCTCACTGGCCTCAAGAGCCTTGATACCAGCCGCAGTCTTGGGGGCCTCAACAACGGCCTTCTCTGTGGGTGCGTCGACAGCCTTGAAGGAGGGGACATTCTCCTTGCCGACGGACTGGAAGTCGAGCTTCTTGACGGGGGAGTCGCTCATCTTGAGGTTCTCGAGGGAGGAAGCAGCCTAAGGAAACATAAATTAGCTTTGATCGAGGTCGCGACGCGTGTGGCGCGAGCGGCGAGTCGTGACATCACGTACCTGCTTCGACGGGGTGAGCTGGGCAGCCATTGAGAATGTGTCTAAGGACAAGTGATCACGAAGAAAGATGAATTGCAAGGTAGACAATCAAGGAAAGGTGGAAAGTCAGGAGCTTGGAATGAGGGAAAAGTGGAAGACAGGAAGGGGGAAAGAATCAATTAAGTAGTTTGGCGGGCGTGAATCTTTTAGCGCGTTCGAATCTTGTCACGTCGCACGTGACTACGTGTGCCTTATGTCAGCCACGCAAGGCGCGTCCAAAAGGGAAAAAAACAAAGGTCATTAATGTTCATGCCACCTTCGTTCCATCAACTTCCGACGCTAGGGGAGTCGATCCATGGCCGTGCCTGTGGTATCCCCCTCAACCATTAATGAGGTTAATTGAAGACTTCCAATTGCTTACACAGTATATCGACCCTTGAACTTAAGTACTCTTGTGATCATTTCCCTTCAATATCTATATCTACTACATTCATAGAGCACCTGAATTTGTTATTGTTTTTTTTGGTTTTATTCGTATTAAGCCCGAGCGTCAAAAACACAATGTCGACCCGGTTTTCACGCGTCGTGTTTCCCAAAATTTCAGCTCCAACCGTAAGACTCCACAGCTGATCCACCAGTCAGAAGAGGGATCACGATCAGATAAGTCAACCCTTTCACGCGCCAGGAACGCGACAAGCACCACAATTCGGATTTACGGATTATTGATAATCTAGACCACAGAGTTAGTCAACTATTAGAAATGGCAAGTATGACGCTTCCGTCGCGTCAGGCTCAGCTGTTGACATCCCCACAGACTTATAATTTATCCACTAGAGCCCCAGCCCCAGCCCCATTGCCCTGGAAGAAGCACTAGACGTCCACTCGGACGTATCATTTAGGGGTATATTTTGCGTCCAAATTAGAATTGAAGTGCATTTGATATACAAAATCCCTACGATACAGCTGCCAGTTCTCAAACTATACGTGGAATGCGAGAAATTCAACCCCATAAAGAAGGTTCTAAGGTTGTGGTTCAAGCAGATGCTGCACGACCGAGAATGTGCCGATCGGCTCGCGTGCTGGATCTCGCGTCGGAAACAAGGTTTTCCTGTTTCAGGGCTGAGCATGTCGCAAATGCTATATCCGGTAGTGGGATCCTTTGTATCCACTTACTAGGTTTGCTCAGGCAACCTCGACGCCTCGAATGTGAGACCCACTGTGGACACTACCTGGCACATTGTTGGTGGTTGACGGCGATGCCAATCTCAGGAACATATTGCTTTTTTCCCCCCCAGATACCAGGTGGGGGAGGCAGGATTGTGGATGACCCTTGGCAGTGGCAATCATGCAGTTGCATGTAGTTATGTAGTGAGAGGCTAGCCTGGAAGTATTGCATGCCATTGCAGCGTAAGTAAAAAATCTAGATGCCATAGCTATAGTGTGTGATGTAGTCAAGATTGTTGTAGTTCAGAGGTGTGAATTGTCTTATTTTTTTATTTGAGAGGGAAGAATAAGGCTATATATACAACGAGAAGATCAAGTTGATTGGAAATCAACTTGGTTCTTCGTATACATACTTCGGGATTAATTCCGGTGGTTCGGCTTGGTTCCTGATCTGCACCAGCCTTATATCACAACATTCCCCCTCAGGATCGCTTTGCTGGCAGGGCGATTCTGGAATGGCGCAGAGCAGTCAGGCCTCGGTAAAACCACTGAAAAACCTTCGCGGGAAAATAAGTGGAAAGAGCGCCTGCGCTGTCACGCGTTTTGTCTCGAAACCTCTGGAGCATCGACTCCTAAGAGACTACAAAATCTGGCAAAGGCCGTAGGTCCCAATGGCTTGGTGAGACCGTCCGCGGCCTGTTCCCCAGTTGGAATATATTGAAGCCCAATCTCGCCTGTATCCAGCACGGCTCGCTGATAGTGAAATTTTACATTGAAATGCTTCGTGCGTTTGTGGAATTCAGGGTTGCGAGAGAGAGCGATGGCGGACTGGTTGTCAGCCATAATGTTAGTGACCGGAGACCGATACAGTTGCGTTTCAGCCAGAAAGGTGCGGAGCCACTGGAGATGCAGAATGGCATTGTACTGTCCGATGTATTCGGCATGAGTTGTAGACGTGGCCACTTCCCCCTGTCTCTTGGATGACCAGGAAACTGGCGCACCTGCAAGTTGGAAAACATAGCCAGACGTTGAGTATGCACCGTCAGTGACGACGGAGCCCCCAAAGTCGGCGTCCGTGTACCCGATCAACTGCCCACTGCGGTAAGTAATGCGATGAGATTGCGTGGCTTTGATGTAGCGAAGCAATCGCTGCAGAGCGACTTGGTGTTGCGATTGCGGCTGAGACGTGAAGCGACTCAACATGCCCAGCGCAAATGCAATATCTGGTCGCGTGCCAACCATTAGATACATTAACGAACCGATGGCAGTCGCATAACGAGCTTTTGCTTCCTCGTCCGGAGGTTCCTCCTCTGGACGATGATTCAAGATTTGCTTGGGATTCATCGGCGTAGACTTCGGCTGACAAGTCTCCATGCCAAAGTCGGAGAGCACCTTCTGGATGTACTGGTGTTGGTGAATAGATACGGACCCATCGACATCATAGTCGAACTGGATCCCGAGGAATGATCGAGGGGTGCCCAGATCGTTCAGTCGGAACTCTGTTTGCAAGGCTCGTTGCACTTGTTCGATTTCGTGCGTGTTTGTCGCAGCAACAAGAAAGTCATCGACATAGACACAAACGACGCAATCCGGTTTGTAGAACACACAATTGTCCGATTGGGCCATAGTGAAGCCATGAGAAGCCAGAACGCGGTGGACGCATTGGTACCAAATCCGCGGAGCCTGCTTCAGTCCGTATAGTGAGCGGCGCAGTCGGCATACGTATCCTGGCTTTTCGAAACCTTCAGGTAACTCCATATAGATAGACGAATCGACGTCTCCATGGAGAAATGCGGTGACCGCGTCGAATTGGTGGAGTTTCCATCCGCGCAACACGGCGCTGGCGACGATGCAGCGGACCGAGTCCATCCTGGACACAGCAGCAAACGTTTCGTGATAGTCGATGCCATGTTTCTGCCGGTAGCCTTTGATAACCAATCGCGCTTTGCGCGTTCCGTTGGCCTTGGTCTTGAAGACCCATTTGCAGCCAATCACATGATTTCCGGCTGGGACGTCCTCCCGCCGAACCTTTTCCCATGTTCCGTGTTCGAGAAGCGACGCATATTCTTTCTGGATGGCGGCCCACCAGTCCAGCTGGTCTGGGCCTGATACAGCTTCGCGAAAGGTCGCCGGGTCGACTTGTCTGGCCGGTGCGGGATTCAATGCGCCGGCAGAGTACACCTTGCCGAGTGATTCCAGGAGACGCCGTGATGGTCTTCTTCTGCGACCAAAAATCGAATATCCAAGATCCGATGTCAGGTCAGTGCCTTGTTGGCTTGGATTGACCACTGGAGGTGTCTCCTCCTCACGCTCAGATGGCGTTTTCTCTCGCTCCTTCGGCGGAGGTAATGGCGATGCAGGTGGTGTTGGCAGCCCGCTGGCTGAACTTGGCATTGATGAAAAGACAGGTGATGGAGGAGCATTGTCCGGGAGGTCGTTGCCTGTTTCCCCCTCGATGAGTGGCGCCACTGGGGTCCTCTCATCGAACTCGACATCACGGGAAAAGACTGTCTTTCCTGAATGGATTTCATAGAGCTTGTACTGATTCGGTTCACAATAGCCTAGCAGTCGGCACTCGGATGATCTTGGTCCGAGTTTGGCTCGATGCTCTTTGGGGATCAAGACCCATGCACGGGAGCCGATCCGTCGCAGATGCAAGAGCGAGGGCGGTTCCCCGTATAGAATTTCAAACGGTGTCTTCTTCCGTAAGATCGATGCTGGTGCACGCAGCTTCAAGTAGACCACTGTGTCTACAAGCTCGATCCACCAGGAAGGAGAAAGGTTCGCATCGGACAGGAGCGTGTTGATCCGCTCCCGGATAGTACGATTAGTGCGTTCGGCCAGCCCATTCTGCCCTTTGCAGTATGGCGGCGAGGTGTCGAACTCAACTCCCTGGGATTCGAGATGTGTTCCAATTGGCAGATACTCTCTCCCATTATCGGTGAGGAATCTTCTGATCTGGGCGCCGAACTGTCGGTGCACCCAGGCCTCAAAATGTTGGAACTTCGGGAGCGCTTCATGCTTCCATCTCATGGCATAGGCCCACGAGCCACGAGAATAATCATCAGTAAAGGTGATCACGTACCTGGAGCCATCTTTGGCCATCGGCATCTCCATGATGTCCGAATGGATCAATTCGAAAATTCTCGTTGAATGCAGACGTGGCCGTCTTGCGCGGGAGTTCCTCTTCTGATGCTGCTTACCCGACATGCACGCCGGACACTGCGGCGTTGCCAGCAGCTGCGCCTGCGTCAGCGGTCGGTACGGAGTGCCGGTCTGCCGAAGGACCACCCTCAAGTCGCCCCGGTTCAGATGTCCCATCCGAGCGTGCCACAACGCTTCGGAGGCCTGGTCCACTCCTGTGCACACATCTTCTTCGAGTATCACAGCTTCACCACCGAGTTCAGAGGTTGGCGCTGTACATTCTACGCCACTTGACTCCCGAGGATCGTCAACGTCCATGGCCACCGCCTGCGGTTCCAGGGAATCTGCATGGTCATGGGTCGTCGGCGCCCTCGCCAGTTGGACTCGCTCTCGAGATCTCTTGCTCACATGGCACCGCAGGATCAGTAGATCCTCCTCCGCGTGGTAGGCGGTCCCCACGGTTCGTCCTCGGCGTTGCACAAAGACGTTCTGTGGGTGCGCCACCACCGAGTAGCGGTCTCGCAACAGCTTCGGCACGCTGATCAGGTTCATCCCGACGCGTGGCGCAAAGTACACGTTCTTCAGCACCAGGGGCTGGTTGAACTTCCCCCGGAGCGTGAGCTTCACCGTACCAATCCCTTCGGCTTCCACTGGATCGCCCGCCGTGTCCAACATCTCGCGGTGGGGCCGCAGACTGCTGAAGCAGCTCCGGTCCCAGCAGATGTGGCTGGTGGCGGCCGAGTCCAGGATCCACCGGGGTTGCGGTGCGTGGGTATAAAGGGTCGTCACCCTCGCCCTCACGATATTGATCCTCGGTCTCTTGGAAGTCGGCGGGCCCTGCCAATCTTCCACCTGGCTTGATGGTATCTTTTGTAAGTTAGTTCTTGGTGAGCCGGAAACACTCCTCTCAGCCTTCAGGGCATGGTCCCTAGACGACTGTCCTTCTCGCTGTTTCTTCCAGCACTGCGCGACCACATGGCCGCGCTTTTTACAATAGTTGCATTTCTTGGCAGTCTGCTGCACCGTATTGACAGACGGGCCAGATGCTGCCTGCAAGGGTGTTGGAGCTTCTTTTCTCCGAACCGTCTGCTCAGCATTAGACAGACGATTTCCGATCGTGGTCGGATTCACCGGATCCTTGTCATTCTGAATGGCATCCACAACTAGAATGTATTCCGGTCCGATCTGCGTCAGTAAGATCGCAATGTGCGTTCGATCGCCAATGGATCCGGGCACGATAGCATTCAATCGATGTACGAGCAACCGTACCCGATCGACAAATTCGCGGGCACTGCCGCAGCGCTCGCCAGTGGTTTCACGAAGCTGCGCAAACAACTCGCAGAACGTGGCCAGTTCCATTCGCCGGTACCGTTCTTCGAGTTCATTCCAGAGGTCGCGAGACGTCTCAAGTCCCGCAACATGAATGCTAATGTGGGGGGACAGATACCGGAAAATGGTGTGGTAGGCCTCAGCTTCGCGGCGCGACCATTCACGGTGGCGCTCGAATGCCTGGACCTCCACTTCGAGGCGCGCCTCAATGGCGCGCTGTCTCACCGCCCCCGCGAGGTGCGGTTCCACCAAAGGATGAATGTCTGCCGTAATAGGCTTGGCGTACTTGAACAAGCAGTCAGGACGCTGGAGGTCGCCCGACACAACATCCCAGACCTGCCTGGCTTTGAGGTAGGAGGTCATAAGACGTTTCCAGGTTGCGTAATTATCGCTTCCTGTCAGAGGCTCGATGGCCGTGACGGCTCGGTCCGGAGAGTCGTGAACCAGAGCAGACATAGTGATGACTGCGAAAGCGGGGTAGATATATAATCACGATGGTTAAGATAATTTTCGGATGAGTAGAGATGGCACCCGAGATTTTGCTTCCGGGCTCATAACCTGTTGTAGTTCAGAGGTGTGAATTGTCTTATTTTTTTATTTGAGAGGGAAGAATAAGGCTATATATACAACGAGAAGATCAAGTTGATTGGAAATCAACTTGGTTCTTCGTATACATACTTCGGGATTAATTCCGGTGGTTCGGCTTGGTTCCTGATCTGCACCAGCCTTATATCACAACAAAGATAGGCTACATCCATGGGTTATAATTGACAAATAAGACATGTTCAGAGCCGTCGGTGATACGCCGGGTTCACGCGTCGGTGAATTGACACGTGCTAGGACCAATGGAGTGGCTCCTGACGTAACATTGGATTGGCTCCTAAATTTGACTGGTGAAGGATAAATGATATTGTACATAGCATTGGTAAGTAATATGGTCGATCATATTAGATTATAGCCGTGAGATCATGAGCCGTTGATATTTGCATATTTGAGCTAAAATCTATCTTAATTTGAATTGTGGGGAAGCAATCGAGGATTTCAAACATAGTAGTTCTTAGTACATGGAAACTCAACAGACCATAGGCTCACCTGAAGAAGCTCGGGGTTTCTAATCTATTCGATTCAATTGCTGTTAGTTTCTAGACGGAATGTAAACTGCAACATTGGACCTTAGAATGATTTTGACAGGACTATAATTGGGGCTATCTTTGTCTACGGATCATTTGCTGACGATATTTCATCTAAATTGCTTCGATATATCCACTATGTACAGAAGATATCCAAAGCCGGGGACCAAATATCCACAATTAACGCCCGATCTATTTCAGTCCGGTATCACGCAAAATCCCATGCCGCTTTCCGATGCAACCTGGCACAATTCAAGATAAGAAATACAAAGAAACGACAAAGCTAGATACATGTTTAACCAAATATTTAGATCTTGCCACGGAGAGAATCGGGCAGGATACGATCCTCGACTCGTCGCATCAACTTGTTAGTCTGCTCAGCTAAGCTGAGGGTCAGGATCTAGAGGTATGGTCAGCATAGGACCTATGCCCAATCGGGTTTGGATTAAGCTTACTGTGTGGGGTAAGATGCGGGCAAGATGAGCAAAGAAGCCTTTGTAGATCGCTAGCACACCCTCCTTGCGGACGGTCTTGAGAAGACAGTCGAGCGCGCCTGTATAGAGGTTTCCAGTCTGGTTGTACATGCGTGCCATGATAGTGTCTAGAAATCGCATTAGCTCCCATTTTCTTCAGATAAACACAGTAAACTTACCAGGGGGGTGCATGAAGCAGCAGACTACGAAACCAGAAGCGGCACTACTCGCCAGGTGCAGAGCAGGGCCCTCTTCCATACCCAAGTGGCGAGTCAGACGGCGCTTGGCGAAGAAGTATGTCGGGAGTTGAACAGCACTGCCGAAACTGGTCCGAATCATGGCAGCGCCGACACCACGGTAGATGCCCTTGACACCCTCGCTCTTGTAGATCTTGCTCAAGCCATCAAACGAGTTTTTGTAGTTGTGCTGCGTACCAACGGGGAGGAAAGGAGAAAAGGATTGGAGACGGGTCTTCACGAGGAAGAAAGGAGAGCCAGCAGCGGCACCAATAACACCAGAGGTCGCACCGGCAAAGACATTGGCGCCGAGAGACTGGACCTTGGAATCGCTGTAGATGGCGGATGTGACGGTGGAACGAATTGGTTCATAGAAACCCAAACGGCATCCGTTTAGCAACACTTGGTAAATGTACTAGGCAATCCGGGTGTGTTAATTTCCTTGAGATATGGCAACTCCGTCCATCATGAATGGAAGACTTACAGCAGATCCAATTCCGCGGAACAGGCCTCGAGGACCCTCATTTTGCAGAATGACCTTCACACCATGCAAAGGACCCTTGTATAGCCTTACGGCCTCATTCTTCGCCTGCAATTCACCCTGCAGCTGTAGCCGAATCTTCACAGTCTCGAAACTATGGGTAACGGTAACGGCACCGCAAGCTGCAATGCCTCCAGCAAGGAACGCACTATATAGAGACAAAAAGATTAGTAAAAGACAATGCACCTATTGCCGATCATAGTCTCATCGTACCCAGTAGTCGTTGACATCGTGTCTGATGTTGGTAGTTGCCGCTGCGCACGGATAGATTGGCCGGTAGAATCGGAGACTGGACCGTGATCGGAGTGGGAATCAAGAGCACCAAAGCCAGACTACCAGAGGGAGATAGATCAATTCCCAGCCAAATTAATGCTTTCAGAAAGGCTAATGCTCGATATACCAATTTATAAGCAAAAAAAATAAGCAGAGATCGGTGTCCGTGGGAGGGGATAGGCGATTGGGGCGGAAATGCACCTTAAAGCTTACCTGCGGTTACTGGTGGTCTGGGGACGGAGGCCTCAAAATTATTCGATGCTGATTGGCCAAAAGTTGCTGATGAGCTCCGAGTTAGGAGGCCCTTATACCGGATATTTAATAGTCCGAATATGCTAGTCCCGTCATATGAATAGGCGGTGAGAGCTACAAGTTCTATGACGATGCACGTGATTAGAGGGGGGCAGAAAGTGAAGGGCAGAAAAAGGCAAGCGCAACAAGACAAAGAAAGCGCGTAGGGAAGTCTTACGAATAAAGAAACCCGCAATTTCCTTTTATTTGAACGATGGCCCCGCGTCTCTCTTAACCTCAGATAATTCTCTCTTGCTTCACTTCCGCGTCCTCATATTGCCTTCGACATTATTCACCATGGCCGACTCTCAACCCCAGACTGTGACCCAGCCGTCGCAGTCGACCTCACCGGAGACTCAACGTTTACCAGAAATCATTAGTACCTACTGTCCACTCAGGGTAATATACATGCCTTCAGCTTGTCACATGATCTTTTTTGCTCATTGATCTCTTTATCCAGGCTTTCAAGGGCTCCAAGCCGGAATCTTCCTACCATGTGACTTCCCTAGACTTTGATGATCAGGGCGAATTCCTTGTCTCAAGCGGCGAAGATGATGCGATTCAGGTCTTCGACATCAAGGAGGGCACAGTTACAAAAACAGTTCCATGCAAGAAATACGGTGCCCACCTCGCGCGTTTCACCCACCACCAGAGACAGCTCCTCCATGCGAGTACCAAAGTTGACCATAACCTCCGATTGCTGGACCTACATGGTGAATCTTACATTCGCTATTTTACCCACCATACAGATACAGTGACAAGTCTGGCAGTGGCCCCATCTGGCGATCATTTTGTTTCTGTTGGCAAAGATAATACGGTGACGGTCTGGGATCTAGCATCCCGGAACCCGCAGGGCAAGTTGAAGCTCGCAACCCCATACTTGGTGACCTTTGACCCTTCTGCATCGGTCCTTGCCATAGCCTCGCAGTCCACATCGTCCGTCCTTCTCTATGATTTCCGCAACTACGACAAAGCACCCTTTGCAACCTTTGATTTGGCTCCCTATGAGGAGCTTTACACACCAACTACTCGCGGACGTGCCTGGACCCGCTTGGAGTTCTCCAACGATGGAAAATATTTGATGGTTGGAACGGATTATCACGGCCACTATATTTTGGATGCATTTGACGGCTCCATCCAGGCATTCCTCGCTGGGAAGAGTGGCCCGTCTGGCCGTGCGGCCCCCGTGTCCACGACAGGCAAACCCCGCGGACAGGGTGATGCTTGCTTTACACCTGATGGACGATATGTTATTGGTGGCAATGGTGACGATCCAAGCATGCTCATCTGGGATTTGCAGCAGAAGCGCGAGGCCAACAACGTCTTGTATCCCCTGAACAAACTTCCCAGCAAATGCCGAACTGCCGTTGTCGAGTATAATCCACGATACAACATGATTGCGACTGCCGATAAAGAGACTATCTTCTGGCTTCCAGATGAAGCCAAGTCATCGGAGAAGTAAATTGCTGCTTTCAGGATGACCGGTCTCTTCCAAGCCAGGGCGGGCTTATGTTTATTTTATTACTACGCAATATCCAGATACCCACTTAACAATAAATTCTTATTCGACCCCCTGAAATGAATTCCATGGCCAGCGTCTATCAGAAAATTGTTCTTTATATGAGGAGAATTTCTAGGGTCTCTATCCTCTAGCTGTACAGTATTTAGAGAATTCATCTTTGTACCTGGTACTTTCACCAAATAGGTATCCCTCATAGGTACTGCCTGTCGCTCCAAGAAGTCGCCTTCATTAATTTTGATCGATTCTAATCCTTGCGATCCCTGTCTTTTCCAACCAAGCTTCTCGATGTATCACATACCCAAACCACGGGACCCTCAAGACTATCATCAGTTCCTCGGTTCTTTTCAATTGTAGCCTCGATCTGCCTATCGATTGTGCGGTTGCTGGTGATGGTCGTTATACCGGTGACCCACCCGTACATGAAAACACTATAATTGATGTCCGACAAGCCCTCCGCAACCTGATCGACGACTGGCGGGAGCTTGCCCTCGGCCAAACAAGCATTGATCACTGGCTGTGCATCGACCACCTTTATAGGGAGTTTCCAGTCCTCGGGTACATGATGGTCAGACATGGCTTGGAACTGTCTGATGAGTGACTGGCAGTCTCCATCCTCAGACTGTCCCATCACGATCCTCATGCGAGTTTTTTCTGTGTCAGTGCCGAGGAGGTTCACAATTTCAATCATCCGCGTGGCTGCCTCACTGGTACAAACCAGCTCACGGGAGCCCATGGCTGGCCAGAGCTCACTTGGGAGCAAGGGCATTTTTTTGTCAACCTCTATTTGCCGAACGATAGCCTTGTGGAAACTAGGCAGAACAGGAATGTCCTTGATATGAGACAAATCTGACACTATTGCAAGTAGGAGGGTGCAATCAACATTCAGAGTAGAGGTGAAATGCTTGAATGGCTGAGGTAGTAGTCGAGTGAGATCCGTAGCGCCAATCTTAGCTGACAGAGTCTCCTGACACTCAACTTGAATACCATAACTCCGCATCTCAGCCAGAACATCATCAATTTCAGGAACATTCCCTTCCTCAATTTTTGGCAGAACAACTCGTAGTCGAGGATGTTTGTACCTCAGCCGCGCAGCATCAGCGGCTCTCCTCAAATCCCGAGCCAACTTGATCAGCTCCAGGTCATCATCATCATCATCATCATCATCATCCTCGCCTGGGTCCTCCACATCAAAGTTCCGCAGTACAGTCCTTTGCGCCGGCTCACTCCCCGAATCCGAGAACTCATCCTCACTATCGGCCTCCCAGCCTTTCTTCGCCATCTCAAAGAGTAATCTGCTCTCCGAAATGGTCGAAACTTTCACCCACTCCATCCCATCACCGGCCACAATATCCACAAATACACTTTTGCGTTTATCCTTGTTCGTCTCCTTCCCGTTCCCACCACCCACAGCTGTCTTCCAAGGCGCCTTCGTCTCCCCGTCCCAATAAAATCGCTTCCCAAGCGCAAGAAGTCCCTCACAAGAACTTGACGCAATTCCCCACACAGCTTGGTAAAACGGCATATTCGTTGATCGCAGTGCATGCATCAACCGCATCTCAACATCAGCATCTATACCCGACTCCGACCCCAATACCTCAGTCGGTTGTTCTGGACCCTCATCATTTTCTGCTTCCACTTCCGCTTCCGCTTCTGCTTTTGATTTTGATTTCTGGATTTGGCTCCGAATCCGCTCTTCCAGCTTTTGGAGCATTTTCATCTCGGCGCTCACGTTCGATCGAAACTGTCGCACCTCGACAAGCTGCGGGTTACGGAGTGTTGCTTTCAAGAGCGCCTGGAAGGAGTTCAGATCATTGAGAAGGTCCATGCATTGTTTGTGGAGCTCGGCGGATGCTTTTGTTGAAGCTTTTGTGTGCTCGTCGGTGGGATCTGGGTTGGGAAGGTTCGAGGACCCGGGGACCTGCGTCATTGTTGCGGATTGTGGGGAGGTATAGCTTGTATAGACGTGGTTTCCGGGTTTATTGGTGTGTGAGATGAATTGGGCGTGCTTCTATAGCGTGATATAATGAGCTTGGAGCTTAGGCGTGTTTTGGTTGCTTGGCGGGGGGTTTTACTGTACTGTGGACTCGAGGTTTTCTCCGCGGGGATATAGTGTGGGTCCTGATGCGATGCGCGCTCTCTTATCGGACTTGCATGACGATGCCCATTGAGGACTTTGCGACAGGGTTTAAGGAGGGTAAATTGGCAGAGAAATGCAAGGAAATTGGCACTGGAAAATATAACAAGTCGAGGCTGCCAATTGGGCTGTCGTTTATAGCATTGTGAAGTCGGTGGACCCGCTTTCGTGAGGCTCTAGATGACTCCGGAAGTTAGTTTGCGAATCTCAAGGTTCTATTGGATTCTAACATTCCTTATATAGTATTCGAACGTGATAGATTGCATATACGATAACAAATCAAAGGTGGAGCTAGTAGTTCGCTACTGTTGCAGCATGCATTCAACATATACTTTGAGAATCCCAAATACAAGCTAGGGAAACTAAATACCCGTCACTACATATTTGAGGGAAAGAAAAGAAAAGCAAACGCCATGACATGCTTGTGATCCTGGAGCATTCTAGTAGGTTTGTGAGACCCATGTTTAGGAGTTGCTCCTTTTCTCAGCCAAAAAATTAAGTAGGAGACAAAAAACAACCGCAAGCTTCGCATCATACAATTTAGCTCTGGTGGGTGAGTCTTTGGTGCTCGCCTGAATTGCGCGGAGACTCGTCATCATCGGACCACTTGTCCTCATCACCCACAGCGAAGATGGTTTCTTCATCTAGGGATGCGCGATGGGCGGAGGAGACAGGCTTCGGCGGCATAGGGGAGAGATCTCGGCGACCCTCAGCAGCGGAGCTGCCGGGGTACTCGGGAGGAGCATCCAAAGGATCTTCCTCATCGAGTCCACTGCCGAACGATCGGATCTCAAAGCCATCGTCATCTTGGGCAAGCTATATCTCTTGTCAGCATACAAAGGTCCGTCCGTAAATTGAGTCTAATGGAAAAATTTTCTTACCTCGTCACTCATAGCGAAGCGTCGGTTGTTCGCAGTTGGTCGCCACAGGTAGGCCACGAAGCAGATGTCAAACAAGTACACCAGGTTGAGCCAGCCATCCAAGACAAACCACCGTGCCTTCCAGTGCTGTGGAACAAAATCGGCATCGCTGCGACCAGCAAATGCAAAGGAGTTGATGAAAAAGAAGCCAAAGATGACTATGATACTGCCAAGAATACACCACCACAGTTTCTTGTACATAAGCGCCTTAGTCTTCTGTTTGCGGTCGATGAGATCTTTCATTGTAGCATTGAGGGAGTTCAAGGTCCAGACATAGAAGGCAGTCAGCGTTCCGGCGAGAGGAAGGACAATCAGGAGAACCAGAGGTCCAGCGCTGTCGGGCGTGATGGAAAGACTGGCAACCGAGTAGACGACTGCGAAGATGAAGTGTGCAATTGCCAGAATGCGGACATAGATCATTGTGCGACCCAGAGAAGGCTTGACAACACCATAACCCATGCAAACGATGAGTAGGAGGAAGAATGAGAAGGCATTTCGGCCGGCGTTCAGAACCGCGACAATAGTCATCAAAGCCTTAGCCCCTCCATTCAAGCCATGAATGTTTTGATAGTTATAGAATCCCCAGGTCATCAATTGTTCGACGATCAAGAACACCACGATGGCAGTGATGTAGTTCTGGACGGGTAGGATATCGTGGCGGTTTTGCACATAGAGGAACGCCCAGAAAACACCGACGACGGCGTATACAATCGTCAAAGCACCGTAGAAAGGAAGCTTTGCGATTTGCGCAGCAGGAAGCTCTCCATAAGAGTTGCGGAAAGTCACCACCGCAGTGTAGGGCTCGTCTGAGTATGCATATGTGCTGACGCAGTAAAAGCCGGTCTTCCGCACTGTGTACTTGATTGCGTCAGGGTCGTTCAGGTGGACGGCCGTGGAGATAATGGGGTTCAAAGAAACTTCGGTTGCGTTATTGGTCAGAAGGAAGGAGCCGATCTGTTCTGAGGTGCAAAGTTTGGCGTCGACATTGTTCTGGTCGCAGATGGTTTCCTTGAGCTCGTTCTCATGGTCTTCTTCCGGGTTTCGGTACTGGCCAATCAATTCTTCGTCCTTCCATTCAAAAATAACCAGGCTAGCCAGTGGATCACCCTGTGATGCGGCTGACTTGGAGAATTTCACTAAGATGAATGGGTCGATACTTCCTCCCCAAGCCTTGCGGCTGTACATCCCTGAGCAACGCTGGCGATGCGCTTCATCGGATTTCTGGAAAAAGAAGATTAACAGGTTAGCAAGATTTAACCCATCAAAGAAGCCGGATTCAAACGAGCTCACCAGTTCCACATCATTGGCAAGCACTGAGCCTGCGAGCAGGGCCGTCAGGCCCAGCGTCCGGAGCCAGCTCTTCATCGCGATCAGGCAGCAGAAGCAGGAGAGGCACCAGTGGTTGGATAAAGGTGCTAATCAAGACCGCACCGCATCCAATTTAGATAGGATGCAAGAGGTCAAATTAAGAGAGACGGTAGGAGTGCCTCGAAACGTGAATGCAGCACAGCTTGGATTGGAATGATCGAGCTCAATGCGTGGCCTTCCCAACCCGGGGAAACCGCGCATGGAGATTAGCTAAGCCCGCACCGCCACTTTTTTCTTTTTCGCGATCGACAATTATACTTCTTTACTATCTCCAATATCGCCTATCTCCCTTGATTACGCAAAATGCCGGCTAAAGAGATGATCTCGCCTTGTATGGAATGCAAGGATGCAGATGCAGTGTTAAATACTCGGAATAGATCATTGTGTGGGTATGTTATAGTCACTCTCAAACTAAACCCCCACCTTATTGCTAACGCCTCATAAGTCCCTGTTACCAGCGCTTTTTGTCATACAAAGTTTGGCGTCGCATGGACCACTATAGACCAAGACCCCAAAAGACTGGGCAATCTACACAACCTACGCAAGCCCAGTTATTGCTCCCGCTAAGCCTCGGTGTCTCTTCCTCCGCTCTTGTGCATATGTTGGATACGGGTTTGAAGCGCCAGCTTGCGAAATCCGGTAGAACATCATACGAACTTCATATACTTTTCGTGGAGCCTTCCGCTACACTGCCTACCGGCGTTTCATACGACACCCGGATTGACGCAGTCCGTGAGGCTTTCCCAAGATATCCCGTCACTCGGATACCCTTGCACAGTATCTTTGAATATGTTCCCGACATGAAGACTATTATGACTGAATATGCGGGACCTCAGTTTATCGACGATGCTTCTCGATCTAACGAAGAGCGGTTGGCTGCTTTCCTTGGTACCGTCTCGACTGCCACATCTAAGACAGACCTTGACGCTGTTTTGTTTACTAGACTTGTCGTCGGATATGCAAAGCACGCTGGGTGTGAGGCTATCCTGTGGGGTGATACAGATACCCGGCTCGCAGCAAAGACTCTCGCCGGGGCTGCCAAAGGCCGGGGTGCCTCTCTCACTTGGCAGGTGTCGGATGGAATGTCACCGTGGGGTGTCAAATTTGAGTTTCCGTGCCGAGACATTTCCAAGTCGGAACTATCGCAGTATGAGAGTGTCTGCCCGGAGATTTCCAGAGTGGTTATTCCCGAAGTGCCACTATCAGACAATATCCTTACCAAGAACTTGTCTATCGATGAGCTGATGATGCGATATGTGACGACCCAGGGCGAAAAATATCCCGGCGTCATGGCGAACGTGTCGAGAACTGCAAACAAGCTTGAGACCACATCGGGGATTGACAGTCCTCTGTGCTCATTGTGCGGAGGCGTGGTTGGGAATGTCAAGGGTAATGAATCTGGTATTACAGTCGCCAGCCAATTTTCAGCAAACGGGTCTCAGTTTTGCTACGGGTGCATGAGATCACGTCCGGAAATCATTCAATAATTATGAAAAGTTATGGAGATGTGTATTACCAACAGCGCATCGAAAGCAACGCGGGCAGAAGAAAAGTGAGCAGATAGCTTGCAATTTTGAAAGATCCTCGATCACAAAAGACGACATTGAAATGATAGCCTAGATTTCTCCATTCACGCGCCGCGTTCTGGGTCTTCCTGTGGACGGCTTGCTCCGCCAAACCATCTGGCAACGGAACGGTTAGATCGAGGTTGCTTAGCAGGTGGAGGCATCGTGGGGTGGTTGGCTGCGTTTCCATTGCCCCCGGAGCCATGCTCTTGGTATGTCGGCGGGGAGTTTCCCACCACACCACTCTCCTGCTTATCAAACTCATCTGGGAGACTGTGATCGATCTCCTTAACCCGCGGTTCGTTCCTTCGGGATGAACTGTTTCGCCCGGAGAGAGCCTTGGCGCCCTTCTCTCGCAAATGCTTTTCAAGAAGCACGGCATTTCTTGTGTTGCACTTATACACCGCATCCGCTATATCACCGATGAATGGCACAAGGCCAATGACAAAGTCAATGATCACATTCACAAGCATCATATACCGCAAACGTGCTGGCAGTCCACCTTCAATTCCCTCACACGTCCTCACTACCATCATGGCCAATGCGGCGTCACCAGCGTCACCGATACTATATCAACGAGAGTTAGCCTGATGAATCAGAATCAATGAATATGTGCTAAACTTACAATGGGATGAGTCCAATAACACTGCCCCAGCCGAATCGGATACCGCATAAATTGAACAGAGAGTAGTCGAGTCGATATGCTCGACGCTTGACCTGGGTAAGGACTTTGGCATCGTGTTCGGACAGTCCTGGTGGGATAGCCTTGCGGCGCTTTTGCTTCTTCTTTCCAAAAGTACGCCCAAGTCGAGACGCAGGCACCTCTTCGAAATAGGGATCCTATAAGACAAGGACTTTATTAGCTCCAGACAGCTTGCAGTAAACAGTACAGCCCACTTACCTCCATTCCAAAGCGATTATTAGCGGACTCGGCAAGCACGCGCTTGCTAATCATGGAGAAAAGCGCGTTCGACATGTTGACGGTAAGATCTTGCAGTGTTCACAGTTGTGTGCGCTGTCGAAAGGTATTGCAGAAAGTCTGGGGATGGACCTAGATATAGTCTTTCAAGGGGTCCAAAAATAGACTCCACTCTGAAACTATTAGTTTCGACACGGCGCTACTGGTTTTGTGAGGCGCTGGACTCCGTTTAGAAGCACAAAGGGCAGTGGAAAAGAGAAGATAAAGAGAGAATGACCTGACACGACAGGGTTGAAATTAGCAGATTTGGGCGCCTGCAACGTCATTCTCCAGTCTTTATTTGCGAATCCTGGTATTTGCGCCGATCGGTGGCGGTGCAAAGGGGTGCTGAAGATTGGTCCGCGGTGTGGCGGTGCACATTATGTGGCGTACTGGGCAGATCTGATGCCTGATTTACAAGGTTATAATTGGAGGGTGCCTCAGTATGCAATATTCGTCCCTCTTCTCTATTTTAGTACTGAGGTTTCCTAAATCTAGCCCTCTACTGTTCGGGTACTCGTGTTTCTGGGCCGGTTATTGGAAAGTATAGTACATCCTCAAACACTAGCTACCTGGATCACTCACTGGAGTACCACTAGAGTACCTAGTACCGACGGAGATAACTATTGGCTGGCGTACTTTGGCAAGTTACAATTGTAGCTAGCAAGTATCTAATATGCCTGCTATGATTTACCACTAGCGTAGTCACTTTTAATTCGGATTTCTCAATCAAGTAGCGACTTCATGAATTGAAGCTTCAAGTTATTATGATTTGTCTCTATACTTCCGCCGGCAGTATCCGCCCCCCCAACACCGCCACCGCCTGACTCAGCCATCACTTGGGCCGTTCTCAGTTCCGCTTTCCCACCCAAGCTACCCTCAACCTGGTGAACTTGGCTTCCCTTCCTACCCTTACTGTGTGGTAATTAACGATTCTCACTCTCGATTATCAAATACTGCTATACTTCTTACCATCTATCTGCAATCTTTCCGTTCGATATCTGACATCTGTCGCCTTCGCGACGCAAGCAAAACACCTAGTTTCGGTTATCTGAGCTGAGATGCTAAGCTTCGCCGCCCAGGATGACCGAAACAAAGATGCAACTCGAAGACTGTGAGATTTTTATACCTATCTCTGGCATGGTCTGCGGCGACTAACCAAGGCTGTCGGGCCGCAATAGGGCTGGATGACTTATGTGTCCGCTTCATTATCAACCTACCCCGTGAGGAGCTCGAATCGGTGGAGCGGATCTGTTTCCAAGTCGAAGAGGCACAATGGTTCTATGAAGATTTCATTCGGCCACTTGACCCTGCATTACCTTCACTCACCTTGAAAGCTTTCGCCCTACGCATTTTCCAACATTGTCCTCTAATGTCGCAATGGTCACCATACCACCACCAAACCGCATTCTCGGAGTTTCTGGCTTACAAAACTCGTGTTCCAGTTCGTGGAGCAATCTTATTGAATCAAGACATGGACGAGGTTGTCTTAGTCAAAGGCTGGAAGAAAGGCGCTAACTGGAGTTTTCCACGTGGTAAAATCAATAAAGGCGAGAAGGACTTGGATTGTGCTATTCGCGAAGTTTACGAAGAAACCGGATTCGACGTTCGCGGGGCGAACCTGGTGAAAGATGATGATGCCGTCAAACATATCGAAATATCCATGCGCGAGCAACATATGCGACTTTATGTCTTTCGTGGCGTTCCCCGCGACACTTATTTTGAGCCGCGGACACGCAAAGAGATCAGCAAGATCGAGTGGTACAAGTTGTCAGAACTGCCGACGCTCAAGAAGAATAAGCAAGACGAAGGGATGACAGTGGCCAACGCCAACAAGTTTTACATGGTCGCACCTTTCTTGCACCCATTGAAGAAATGGATATCGCAGCAGAAGAAACTTGAGCCCCGGGCTCAAGGTGTTGCTGCTTACTCGCAGAATGAAGGTTACACTTCAGTGGACGAGAATGGGTTCCAAACCAGCGATTCAATGTTTGCGTCTACCGCTGCAAATGGGGTTCCGAGTGATCTGCCTGAAGTGACTTCGATGCAAGATGTCTCTTCCCATCTCAAGCGACTCCTGAATATCAATGGGGGCGTACCGACACCTCAAATTCAACCCACTCAGCCCGCTGCAGTAGATCAGTCGAAGTCGAATGCTTTGCTTGAATTGTTGCGACAGGGCTCTCAAGACGTTGTTCCTCAAGTTCAGAATGCTGCTGCAGCACCTTCAACTACATCTCACCCAAGCGCGTTACCTATGACGCACGCACCTCACTTAGCGCCTAACTTCTTCCCCGGCTTTCCTCAGCAGCAGCAGCACATGGCTCCAACCAATTTCATGCAACAGACATCTGCCCAGTCTTATTTCAACGGACAACCTCAGTCAAACATGCAACATTCTCACTTCCCGGGCCATCCAGAGCCCTCTGCGTCTCCCGCTGCTCACCATCTGCCTCAAATGAATTCCGCGAGCCATCAAACTCTCCACCCTGCAGTTCAAGCCAATGTGTCGGTACCCCGAAATCAAGGAACGGCTCCATTCCAGCAGACCGGGGACCCTCAATTCTCCCAACAGGCCCGGCCACCTCAACATTCGGGGGTTAGAGTGCCGCCGGCGAGCAATTTGCCTCCGCCAACGCTTAATAGCCACTCACTTGCATTGCTAGATGTGTTCAAGAATAAATCTTTCCAAAGCCCGAGGGCCCCGCCAGTTGCTACTTTGGCCGCTCCAGATCAGGCTTACGTCAAGGTACGGAAGACATCACAGCACCAAGACAGTCTCTTAAATTTGTTCAAGGGTCAGGCCACTTCGCCCGCTCCTCCACCTGTGGAACTGTCAGGCAACCCTCTCACCCCAACTCCAGCTGCACCTGCACCTGCAGAGGTTCAAATTCTCCAGCGAGCTCCCCAGCAGGCGGGTTCCAACGCGCAGCAAAGAACCGGTGCATCCAAATCGAGTCAAACTGCAGCTACTGTATCTGGGCCCTTGAACATGCCACAGTTTGAGGCGAATCTAAGGTCAGCACCCAAGAAGGGACCGAATGGACCTAGCCGAAAGAACAACCTCAACCGACGAGATCACCAGCAGGCCCCGCAGTCTGCTCCCATCAAAATATTGCCACGCCCACAGTCGTCGAAGCGCGATACACAGATCTCCGGACCTCAAGGAAACCAGTTTGCGCATCAGTCCCCAGCTCGACCGAAAGCTCCTGAACCGGTCAAGCCTTTCCAACCACAGATCTTGCGACGTTCTGAAAAGACGGATCATGAGAATCTGATGGTGAACACTCCCAGGACTGAAAATGTGGACCGTAGAAGCCCGGCCCCGCCTGGCATTCAGACACAGACAGCGGACCTCGCCCAAAACTCTGACCGTCGACCCAGCCAGACAAACGCTCAGAAGGAAGCCCTTCTGTCTCTGTTCGGTAAACCCGGTCTCTCACCGTCTTCCACCTCTGTTCAGCCAGACCACCAGACTGTGCCCCTGAACCAGATGTCCACTGCAGTGTCAGGACTGGTCAGTCCGATTTCTTCTCGTCACTTCCCCAGCAGTGGAGAATCCATCTCCCGTCATGGTACCCCATCCGAGAGTGATATAATCCCCAATCGCATTGCATCACCAAACCATAAGGCGTTCCTTTTGGGATATTTGCAAGGCGCCGTTGCCAAGGGCAGCCAATAACCGTTATCCTGTGTTTCAATAAAGCATTTATTCTGCGGACTCGAGGGTCAATCTTTGATTACGAAATCCATTTACCAACTTTGGCTCGTTTTGCCAAGAAAATAGGTTCCTGTAAAGCTAAAATTTGATTTGCTGTTCTAGTGTATCATAGCATTGTCAGCCCTGGGGACCTGGATACCATCCGTGCAAACTCAGCTATACCACAACAACGAAGTCATGGGAATCTAGACATCTTCTAGATGAAGCCCGTGAAATCTTGAATTTCGTTATGTAAAAATCTGGCATCTATATTTCCAATTTTTCAAAGTTTCGGAACCGGGCGAGGCTTGACAGCCTTTTCGTACTCTCCCATAAACCGCAATAGGGTTTCCTCCTCGTCCGCCCTGGCCACCAGACATAAACCGAACGGCCGGGAATTGTAGCGAAGTTGTCCTATTGGCACTGTGGCGATAGGATAGCCTGATTTCAGATGCATATTAGCAACGAACAGTCAAATAGATATGTGCTTGATGAGTTCTTACCTGCGGCGGAAGCATGAACACATAGCGAGGAGTCTCCTGGAGCTGCCAGTATGTTGACATGTTCTTTTTCAAATACATCATCCAGAATATCCCTCGCGGCCTTACGAAGGCCATGTTTCAGTTCATCTATATAGCCCTTTTCTTCAGTAGTGTTCATTGCCCCTTCCAAATCATTTTGTTCGGTGAATGCTGCGCTTCCTTAGTAACGTTTGATCGCAGGTTTGTGTCCTATGTTAACTTACGAGCTGGAAGGGCTTTTTTGCTGTTTTCTCTATTGAAATTGACGATATCTGCAATGCTTGTTATAGAGCACTCGTGAAACGAGCGAATGAATTCAGGAATGCAAAGGTTTTTAAAATCCCAATCTAAAGGTGGTTATCTACCTTGCCTTAATATGATACTGCAGCTAGCGACTTACATGCAATCGGCAGTATAGTATTCGGTAAGACTGAGGGATCATGGCAATGGATAGGGCTTTTGAGAGAACAGCCTCTGCGTCGTAAAGCGGAAACCGTCTCTTCGTACTCTTCTATCTTGAATAAAATGTTAGGGCTAACAAGTAATGATGAAATGATGGTGACATACCATTTGCTCCGCAGTACCCTCGAATTGGGTACAATGGTCAGCTGACATGGTCCAAACTTTTGGGTCCAAGAAGCCCACAGAAAGGCCTTCCCAGGCACCAAATGGGGGGGAAGTGAACTGACGACCGAGTAGAATTTCAGAAAGGACATGAACGTCAGCCGCTGATTTTGCCATAGGTCCCGGACTATCAAAGAACTCTGTCATGGTGTACAGGCCTGTAGTATCCTGGACGCCGGTAGTATGCTTGAGGGCATATAGCCCAGCGCGTGTTGATGGAGTAACGATAGAACCTATAGTCTCAGTAGCCATGGCAAGAGGGCTAAATCCAGCGGCAACCGCGACTGCAGAACCAGTAGATGAGCCTCCAGGAGCCTTCCATTATCATCAGTATAACTAAATGATATCTATACTTTACCTACTTACTGAATGGCCAAGTATTTTCTCATTATCATCTATCTTCCCAATATACGGCGATAGAGTCTGGCCGCCGTGAGCAGACCAACCGGGCATCATCATGGTCATTTTCATTCCAGCAAATTCCTAGAATAGCAGTCAGGCCAGTTCCTTCGAAATTCAAACATTTACGGACAGTCATATTAGCCTTTCCTAAGATAATCAAGCCAGCATCAATCAACCGCTGGGTAATAGCTCCATTCTTCAACGCGTTAGCTCCGATAAATGCATAAGATCCAGCCGTGGTACTCATGCCCAGCTCCGACGCTGTGACAAAGCTATCTTTCAAAATTATGGGAATTCCATGGAATGGGCTCCGGATATGCCCCTTCTGGCGCTCCTCATCCCGACACTTGGCGATTTCGAGGACTTTTTCAGGCGGGGCAGGCGAAATCAGCGCATTGAGTGCAGTTTCGTAGCGATCAATTTGTGCCAGGTAATTTTCCACAACCTGAACGCTTGTAATCTTGTTCTTTTCGAGAAGTTCCCGCAGTTCGACCGCGTTGGTCGTGAGCACGTTGAAGGTCATTTCTATTGAAGGCTGAAACCTGCTATTTGGGCGAGGAAGGAATTCAAAGTTAGCGCACCTGTCGGGAATTTCATGCTAGCGTAAATAAGTGTGAGCACGTGCTCTGATAAGGATCCTGTTGCCTGGTTCCCCTCTAATTATTGTCATGGCCCAAGAGTTTGGAATGCCTGGATCTGGTTAGAGACCTTGGGAGACCGTGTGTTTTGACCAAAGGTAACATTTGAAGATGAGTTGTTATTTCTGTTGCCATCCTTTTTTTATATATCCCTCCTCGTACAGGCTTTTCTATACTATTCTGCGATTGCAAAGGCTGGTCAAGTTGAAAAGTAACTCAAATGCTTGTCAATAGATGTGAGCTTATTAAGCCTGGAATCCGATGACTAATACATACACGGTGAGAAGCTGATTCTGCCTATTCCTACCGCTCAACGTCATTCTCCGCGGGTATAGAAATACATCCACTCGCACTGGTCCCGCTTTGCTCCATGTGCGCAAATATGATGCGTCCTCGTCTCTCAATATGCAACGGCTGTCTAGCACGAAGCAGGTTCTACTCAACAACAAGCCCTCGAGCTGAACTAACGAAAAATGCGGCTCTCCCACCGGATTCCGGGTACGCTCAACTTACGAACCGAGGCCTCATCTCCATCACCGGTATCGACAGCGCAACCTTTCTTCAGGGCCTGATAACGCAGAATATGCTGGTTGCCAATGACCCAAACAAGTCCATTCGACACACAGGAACATACACTGCCTTCCTCAACTCCCAGGGTCGCATCCTGAACGATGCGTTTATTTACCCGCTCCCTATTCCGAACAGCAACGATCTCGAATGGCTGGTGGAGGTGGACAAGAATGAGGTAACGAGTTTATACAAACATTTGAAGAAACACAAGCTGCGCGCAAAGCTGAAGCTCCGCGCCCTCGAGGACGGAGAGCGCACCGTCTGGTCATCTTGGAAGAACCACGAGCAGCCGCGCTGGGCCGCGTACAACCTGGAATCGGAATCGGCGACATCGCCTCTCTCCCCCTCATCCGGTATCGTCGGGTGCATCGATACTCGCGCTCCTGGATTCGGTTCTCGTCTTATAACACCCGGCTCGGAGGACCTGCGTACTCATTTCCCGGATGAAACACAGCTTGCGGGATCGGAGGTCGGGTTGGATTCATATACGGTGCGGAGGATTCTGAATGGCGTTCCGGAAGGACAATCGGAAATAATTCGCGAGTCGGCATTGCCCATGGAGTGCAACATGGACATGGCGCGTGCTATTGATTTTCGTAAAGGGTGCTATGTTGGCCAGGAGCTGACGATTCGCACGCACCATACCGGCGTGGTACGAAAGCGCATCCTTCCCGTGCAACTTTATACTCAAGATTTGAGCACCTCGGACAGCCCAGTATATGAACCTTCAGCTGAGATTCCATTACCGCCTTGTGGAACAAATATCATGAAGGCCGGTGGTCGCCGAGGTCGGAGTGCTGGCAAGTTCCTGAATGGTATGGGCAATATTGGTCTTGCCTTGTGTCGTCTGGAAATGATGACTGATGTTGCACTTACCGGCGAAGGAACGCAATACACCCCTGGAAGTGAATTCAAGGTTTCGTGGATTACTGAGACAGACCAGCCCACGGAGGTGAAGCTCCAGGCTTTTGTTCCATCTTGGACAAGAGATCACATTCAAAATGGTGGTGTGCGGAAGCCGACTCCACGACCCGTGGATGTCGACGGTGAGAGAGCACGAGATTTCGTGGAGCAGCTAGAGGAGGAGGAGGAGCAAGCACACCGGCGAGCGGAATAGAACCGCATCTGATTCGGAAGGATCCTTGTATAGTATCAAAGTATGTAAAAGACATGTAAATAGACAATATATTTTATTCGGCAAAAAGCTGCATTGTAGAAGCTGAGGATTCGCTTGACCTGTCACATTTGAACCTGTTAATTTTCACGTTTGTAAAACCACGGGACGGAATGAGTACCAGATTTTCACATGCAGTAGTCTAGGACTAGCTACAGCTCTTGTTTTTGGGGGCACTCCCTGGGTATATATTCTAGTAGGCATTTCAGGTAGCTATTTTAAGTAGCTACTAAAGGAATTGGACAATCAGGGGTCACAAAGAAGCACGAATGCCCGGATACATAGTAGAGGGCTGCATAAGTGTCTGATAATTGTAGTATAGCGGTAGAATTGGACTGTCTCTGTTCGACCGAACATGGTTGGGGTATCTTAAATAATCTGAAATCTATAAACATGTACAAATAGACGGTCTCAAACTCCGTTGGCCTTGGAAGCCTCAGCAGCATCTGCCGCTTCATCTTCTCGTGCAAGTTCCTCTTCTAGAACTTTGCGTTCCTTCTCACGCTGCGCAGCCTTCATCTTCATCAGAACCTCATCTTGAAAAGTAGGCATGCCAGCAGGCCTCGCAGATGCATTGAATGAAGACGCTTTGGGTTTCATAGAAGCAGCAGCAGATCCAAATGACCCAAACGAGGGCGCCTTTCCTGAATTGGATGCTGAGTTCAAGCCAGGGAAGTTGAAGGCCGGAGCCGCAGCTGTTTTGTTGATATCGACAGCGGCGGTCGATGAGGCAGATTCCTGATCCTTGAATGATGCCGAGCCAGCACCCAGATCTGGCCCATCACCCGATGCCCAACCCACCGAATCAAGAACAGCCCAGTCCCCATCCGCAGGACCAGCCTGACGGATCTTCTTCTCGCCATCGAGCACCGCCGCATGGGCACTAACGATAGACGCAAAAACAATCATGCCAGTAGCCAACGTGACCTTCCCTTTCGACCCCTGCACCCGCTTTCTCTTATCCTTGAGTATAACAACAGCCTCGATCGTCCCAAACGACGCAAAAAGTCCTTTCAACCTCTCCAAATCCAACTCCACCCCCCGTCCCTCCCGCACCCAGCGCACCTTAACAGATCTTTCCAGCTCCGGAACATTCGTTTCCTGCGATCGATCCACCCGCTGACTACTCCGATCGGCTGCCTTCCTCGCCTCCTCCTGCTCCCGCTCAATAACCTTCTGCTCCTCATCCAGCTCACGCTGCAATTTCTCCTGTGCCTCCTTCCGCCTCCGTCTTCCATCTTGCGCAATTCGTTCAATCTCCGCCGCGAGCTTCGCCTCCGCATCATTCTCCTCCATCCATGACCGCTTAACACCGCGCTGGGCGGCGGCGCCTGCTCGTTCGCGCTTCTCGAGATCTTCGACCATTGACCGACGAGCGGAGTCTAGCATGTCACGCTCGCGCTGCTTGCGCAACCGGGCGTCGCGCGCATTGTCGTAGAGCTGTTTTACGTCGGCGTCTGTGAGGACATCGTGAGCGATTTGGAGAGTATGGAATTTTTCTATGTCTGCCGGGGTTGGGTTGGAGATTTTGTCGGGGTGGTATTTAAGGGCTGTTCGACGATATTGTCGCTTGATCTCAGATAAGGTTGCTGCTGGAGAGACATCGAGGAGGGCGTAAAAGTCTTGGTCTGAGGCGGCATGCGCCTTAAGATCGTCCGACATTTTGGCGTAGAGGTAAAGGAAGGAGGATTTGGTTTGTAGTTTTGCAAAAGCTACGAATGTCTTGATAAAAGAAAGAAAGCCCCGGAAGGGGTGAGTTCCAAGATTCGCAGTTGATAGCCTTCGGAGTGGTGTTTGGAGATCTGGGGAGTTGAAGTTGGAGAATTGAAGGTTTCGGTGCGGCTCAGGCGGTGGCGTCATGCCCTAGATATTCTTAAGTCCCAACAGCCTTGGAATATTCTACACCTATATCAATTGATTTCAATGGTGCAATTCATATATATTTGCGGTCGCACTTGTACTTATCACTGCATGGGTATGTATAGACAAAATTCTTGTTTACGATAGTGAACATATATTTAGCACAGCGTATGTTATTGCTATATATGTGCAGGTAAATGATATCCTTCTGAGGGATCATTGTCGAAATTCAATCGTAAACTCATTCAAACATTGGACATATGCAAATTTAAAACTCTCTACTAGAAATAAATTGCCTGTAAGGAGGTATGTATAAGGTTCCATGGAGTAAGAAACCTGGCAGAATCTTGAATGTTAGAAGCACCTGGCACACAACTCCAAAGGAATTTTGACTCGTTTCAAACAACCTCATCTTATACACCTTATCTCCTACAATGGAGAGCTTGGAAGCTTCGGTTAATGCTCCGAGCAAAGCTATTTTGGCTTTGGCTATCGCGATTGTGAAACATAAACCCCCAGACAAAGAGGTTAAAGGTGAGTGGTCGCTCCTATGATTGTCATACAAAAGCTAATTTGTACAATCTACATCCCATCAGACTACCTCATGGAAGTCCGTCACTTCATCCGAAATGATCTGCAAGTTGAATCTCCAGACAAATTCTTCGACAGTGTCGCCTTTTGGCAAAAGGCGTACAAGGAATCAGAGGCAGAGCAAGCGAAACTCCTCAACCAGATCTTCGAATTGGAACAACGCACCCAGGGGCTTCGCTCAAAGATGAAACAGAGTCAGAGTGCAGTTGATCCTTTTCCAAGAAACCAGAAAGTCTCAACAGAGAATTTAAAGGGTTTGGTCCCGCCAAGGAAGAAAGCACGAGGACGCGACTCGAAACCCGAACTCTCCAAAAGTACTCGTGATGACGAGGAGGAAGAAGCTTCCGAGGAGGAGAATGGTAGCTTCAATGAAGCTCATGCAGATTGTATGAGTGTTTACTGACTATACATAGCCCCAAAGCTCACCAGACAGCTATACACCGTCCAACGTGCTCTCCAAAAGAGGCACAACAGCAAACCGCTCACAACCGATGCCGTGACTCTTTGCAAGGTAGCAGAGTCTGAGATATGGGGAGCTACTATAAGACTGAATGCACCGGAGAGTCAATCAAAGATTCCTTCGAGTCAACAGGCGAAGAAGCCAGACCTGATTGCTGTGACCAAGGCCACGGAACTGTCATTCAAGTTGGTCCATCAAGCTTTGCACAAAGTGATTGGAGCTCCAGATGAGAGCTACTGCAAGGGACAGATTACATATTACCTGGTGTGTCTCTTTGAATCAATAATGGGTGCGCTCACTCAAATTTGCACGGCGTCGACACGGACCGCTACCAGCACTATTCTTCAGGAAACTTCAAAATGCAACAGAATACCAACCAGAAAGCAGGGAAACAGCCAGAAAATCCAGAAGAAAAAAGAGACCGTCACCTCAAAAGCGAAAAGATTGAAGATGGAGAAGGATGCAACTGAATGCTTGCTTGACCTGCTCTGCACAATGGCACTGTCTCTCGATCTAACCCGAAGTGATGACCAAGACGTGATGGAGGGATATCTCTTCATTGTAATACACCGCGTGGGAAAGATGCTCGCATTATTTGTCTTCGAGGATCACCAATTGCCCTCTGACAGTTGTCCAGACATTGATGTTCCACAAGGCATTCGGGATATGAAAGCAGAGGGTCTTACAAACGAAATGGCACAAGTTGAAGCAGAGCATCTGATCCGTTTACTTCACCGGATGTTGAGTTCTCGGCTCTGTGACACGGAGATCATGCATTCTCAATTCATTCGGAACATGCATAGGCGCTTACAGAAAACTCTTATCCAGGCGGTTTTTGGAGATGACGATCCGTTGTTCCGGGAAGGCTTGGTCCGTCCTGGAACCCCTCCTCCTTTGGATGATAACGGTCGAGCATCGCAGCGACAGGATTTCTCGGAATGGTTTACTGAAGAGCTCTGGCGTCTGGTTGGCTGGGATATTCTGAACAATATCCCACAAAGAGCCTGAGATCGAGGATGACGATGTTTGGTCTTATATCTTAGCTGTTGCATTATACTTTCATGGCAAGAAGAAAGAGACCAGAATGGATGATGGGAAACACTATAATAGTTCACAATGTCTCATACGGCTTCTTATATACACTACACAAGGCCCAAGTTCAAAACACGATTCGCGTTACTTCCTAGAACCATACCAATAGAATCTGCCTTTTCATCTCCAAAGCAACTGCGAATCGCCTGGTAGTTCGTAGTCACACTGGGCCACTTCTCATCTTGATCCTTCAAAGGCGGGAAAAATGGATGGTCAGTACCTATCATAATTAGCCAAGTCCATGACCATCCACCCGGAATGATAAATCTCACCAAACATAAGCCGATCATGACTCCCAGCCACAGCAGCCGCATGTAGACCTGCAGATCCATAGATAACCGCATCAAGGTAGATATTAGTCTGCAACACATCCCAAATACTCCGCTCCGGCCCTGGCTCGTCCCCGCCATTGGCAGTAAACTTCCGCTCATGCATAATACAGCTCTCAATCCTACCTGCAAGGAACGGAAGCGTCCCGCCCGAATGAGCAAGCAGTACTTGCAATTTCTGGAACCGATCAAACACCCCACTGAGAAGCATCCGCGTCACAGCAATAGTCGTTTCAACCGGGAAGCCCAGTGCAAGCGGTAGAACGTGTCCATAGCGGGCAATCGCCTCCGGACCCCCGAACGCTTCATCGGGGAGACCATAGTGCGGGTGCAAGAATAGAAGTAACTGAGTCTCTTCCAGCGCTTTCCAGATGGGATCAAGCGCGGGATCATCAAGACCGTTGCCTAATCCCGATGTACCCATGATAACACCACGGATGGTAGGGAGGGTGGTTAATCTTTTGATCTCGTTCACAACCGAGGACGGCGCACTCAAGGGCAAAGCACCAAAGGCGAAGAGAGTCTTTTTTTCAGTCGCTTTTTTGGTTCCATTAGGATCGGACGCTCGGTTTACCTCTTCACAGGTGGAGTTTAGATCGTTGTTGATTCGCTCTGCCCATTCCTGTGCCTCTGTGCTAGGGACGAAGTCTAGCCATGGATTCGCGAGGGAGATTACGCTGCAGTGGATGCCGTGTTTTTCCATGAAGGCGAGCTTGACATTTATGTCTGAGTAGGAGGTGTCAACGGGACGGCCTCGGTGGTCTGGGGGTGTTGCTGGGTCGTCGTCTGATGATAGGATGATTAGACGGGGCTCACCGTCGGCAGGGTCGTGGACGTAGGGGACTGTTTTGCGAGCGCGGAGCATCGCCATGTATGATGGTGGGTAGACATGAGTGTGGATATCGACGACTAGTCGGTTGGTCATGATGAAAGCCGATTTTATGAGTTGGAGAGCTCAGAAGGTAGAGCTGTTCTACTGCGGAGTATTAGTAGTGGGAGATAAGATGCGGGGTGACGATAAACCTTGAATAGATGCCGATAAAAACATTACAAACTGATACTGTAAACAAGCACAATTAAGCGATTGATTAGATTATTTATCAATAGAAGATACTGCGTAATATGTCATTGTTAATATGGCCCATGAGTGTTTTTATATAGATTGTGGGCCAAAGAAGAGGTCGTTCGGATTATAAACTTTGAAAGCATCGCTGTTTATTTGGGAATATTAGGTTTGGAATACTCATTGACCTGAAGTTGAGTTGGACGAGCTCAATTGGTATCTGAATTAAGTACATCAACTGCATTTGAAGACACCAATAATTCCTTGCATAACAGGAACCATCCCAATCTCCGTTCTGTCAAGCATTAATTCGCCGTTCAGAGATCCGCGCCAAGACGTGAACTGACACAGAAAGATTTGAAGCCACTCAAAGGCTAATCTGGTTGCCAGCAATGGTAATGGGCTTGCTGTTGGTGAAGTTCGGGATATCGGCAAAGACGGAACCGGACTCGGGGTCCTTAAGAGCATTGGTGGCAGCTTCCTCACTCTCGAACTCCAGGTTGGCAGAGATCAGGTACTGAGACTTGGAGCCATCGAGAGAAGTGGTGTACTTGATGATCTTCCAGCCGAGCAGACCGTGCTTCTTCCAAACCTTGTCGACAAGCGGCATGTGGGTCTGCAGGTAGTAGGTCTCGTCGAAGGTGACACCCTCCTCGTTGGGGTACATGACGGAAGCGTGGTAGACCATTGTGAATGATTTGGATAGAATTGACTTGAAGGGAAGTAAATATTTGAAGAGTGTGAAGATTAAAAGAATGAACCGAACATTGAAGCGAGGAGGGGCAATTTGTACTTCGATGAAATTAGATCTTCAGCTTAGCTAATGTCGCCGAGGTACCAGGAACAACCAAGTCCGGTGGGGTCCAGTTTCCACTTTCACTGGACCCCAATATTTATGGACTTTATCAATGTCCACCCTGGAGTTCTGGAGTTCTGGAGTTAGCTTATCATCCAGAATGGCCCCAACTGACTGCATTGGTAGTTAATCTCTCAATCAGAACGGCCCCAGCTGACAGCATTAAAAACTTGAAATCGAAGATCTTCGAACACTTTGGAATTGATTACCAATAGGTCGGACAGTCAGGGGAAGGTTGATATGGTACCAATATTGAGTCACCAAGGCAACGGAGACCTCAACCACTGCAGACAAGCACTTGAGTTATCTTGTTCTGATCTGTTTCAAATCATCAGGAACTATATGATGTATTGATATTCAGGCTTAGTCGTTTAAATACATTGACACGGAAAAGTCAACTGCAAGTCATGATACAACATATCAGTCGAAGTTTAATAAGTCCGAGCGCATATACAGCGCTTATCTCCACATTCTTATCAAGCTTCCCCTCTTCATCATCGAATTACTCTATTCTTTTCCCCCTAATGTCTATTGAGAAAGAAAAAGCCGCGAAGAATACACCTTTCCGATCCAGAATGGCCACCGAGATCCACCCGGCTTCCACCGCCGTCGAGCAAGATGACTTGATGATACCTGTACAGTCCGATATCTTCATATCGAATCTGAATCAAGCTCATTTAATTTCTAGCTCATCGATTTCGGCCCTTTCTTTTCGGGAACTCCCTCCGATAAACATGCCGTTGCTCTCTCCATTACCAACGCCTTCAAAACCTCCGGCTTTATATACCTCAAGGCTCATGGAATTCCACCATCCGTGGTGTCCCGAGTCTTTGCCTCATCATCACGCTTCTTCAGTCGACCCCAGAGTCAAAAGGACAGTCTGGGCTGGACGACCCCACAGTCGAACCGTGGTTACATCAAGGCCGGCCGGGAGAAGCTCGCCCCCCTCGAGGAAACAGAGGGAATCAGTACACTACGCGGCTCCACACCAGATCTGAAGGAAACATTGGAGATCGGTCGGGAAGGTGTTGAAAATTCACCAAATCGCTGGCCGGATCATCTCGACGATGAAGGAAAGGAGTTTAAAGAAATAATGCTGTCCTTTTTCGAGACCTGCAAGAACCTGCACCAACAAATAATGCGAGCTATTGCTCTTGGCATGAATTTGCCCGAACACTTCTTTGACGAATTTGTCAGTGAAGGCGACAATAATCTACGTCTGCTGCACTACCCACCTGTCCGAAAAGAGGTATTCAAAGACAATCCGAATCAAGTTCGCGCTGGGGAGCATAGTGATTATGGCTCGGTCACTTTGTTGTTCCAAGATCGACATGGGGGCTTGCAGGTGCGCAGTCCCAAGGGCACTTTTGTGGACGTCACTCCTATCGCAGATGCTATTGTCGTCAATGCGGGAGATTTACTGGCTCGGTGGTCCAATGATACTATCACCAGTACTCGTCATCGGGTAATCCAGCCACCCATACCAGCGGGCGAGAGTGACGACTCAGACTCATATCCCTCCCGGTATAGTATCGCGTACTTTTGCAATCCTAATAATAATAAGCTGATCGAGGCACTCCCGGGGACGTACGGTGAAAATGTGCATAGAGACAAGAAATATGCTGATATCACTGCGGGTGATTATCTAGTCTCGAGACTGACGGCCACTATCTGATATAATCCCAGCTATCGATATTTAGCTTCGTGTTAATTACTTTGAGCAGTATAGCACATATTCAATATGACATCCGTGTATTAATCTATGCGAGGTCATCAACTCTCTAGCGAGCGAATCAATAAGTGGCGGGCACAGTAGAGATCCGACCACCATCTGTGACAATGATGGTACCATTCAAGAAACCACCAGACGAACTTGCCAACCAAACAACCAACCCAGCCAGATCTTGCTCCGACCCACTCCTAGTCAAAGGAATCATCTCTCTAGGCACCGAACCATCCGAGATTCCACCCCCTTGGACGCCTTTATCAACAAAGATATGCTCAGCCATATCCGAATAGTATAAACCAGGCGAGACCCCATTGACACGGATGTCATACGAAGTAAAGCTCGTAGAAAGCATTTTCACAAGATGATGCACCGCAGCTTTCGAAGCATTGTATGCAAAGCTAAACGGCGGCTGCCGATTGAATCCCGCAATAGAGCCCGTAATAACAACCTGCGCCGTAGGAGACGCCAGGACGCCAATCTGTGGCTTCGGCCGCCTCTTATTGGCCGCATCAAGAAGGGGCAGAAATGCCAGAACGGTGTAATAGGCACCCGTCACATTCACATCCATGACTTTGGTAAACTCGTTCATGGGAATATTGTACATCTCATCTCGGATGTCCTGGATGGAAGGAAGGGATCCATCAGATTTGGGCGGAGGAACACGCATCATTGGGCCCATTATTCCGCTGTTCGCGAATAGAATATCAACATGGGTGGTTTGTGCTGCTACCGTTTGGTATGCTGCTTCGAGGGATTCTTTGGAAGTCACATCACATTGGACAGGGATGACTGTGCCGCTGGAGGATTGGGTGGCTGTTTCACGAAGAGCGTCTTCGCGTCGGCCGAGGATGAAGACCTTTGATGCACCGTTGACGATGAGTGCTTTGGTTATGATCCGACCCAGGCCTAAAGGGTCACTATGAGCGGTCTTGTTCTGGCTTGGTAAGGGTGTATCTTACCGCTGCCTCCTCCTGTGACTACCGCTACTCGATCTTTGACTGAGAACAACTCTGATGCTTGTAGGTGTGCCATGTTGGTCGTTTGATAACCGGGATTGAAGAATGTGAACAGGAAATTTGTGGTGTTTTGTATTTCTAATCACTTTATATAGTCTCCTCGATCCCCGCATCCGTCATGCTCTGCGATCGGCATTCCCCCGAGCATCCACCGGTTTCGGCATTACCCTTTCCGCAGTATGCTATTAGCATTACTGTATGACTCAGTCTATCGCTATCGAATATTGAAATTCGATTATTACTCCAAATGTTCCCCAAAACTCATTACTCCAAAACTCCAAAATTCCCTAGTTTGGAATTTCTACAATTGAACGAAGTTGAACGACCAAGTTGATTCTCGGCACTTGAAACTCGGGTTTGGCACTTGATGTTAATTCCTCGCCATAATATAATTTGTTTCCTTGTTCGCACTTTTGTCTTCAATGCGGGCTTCAAATCCGAGATTTCCATCGATATGACCTGACATTTTCATTTGCTATAAGATCTGACGTCATCACGGAGATGACCCGGCATCGTTGAATCAAACATCAATCCATATGCCATATAAGCGACATCCGGGATTTAATTAGCGGTATATGGATCTTGTCGCTTGACATGCCCGATGGTCTCAGGCGAAATCTGAAGAAATCAATTATACTCACAGCAAGTTAGTTCATTTGGGAAACTATCTCCGCCAATCGCAAGTTGCACTGTTTGAAATCATCCATCATACTTAAGTCAAACCCTGCCCCGACCGGCTCGGAGTATACCCCGAGGACCCTATTATGACCGGACACTGACTTCGATCAAAATAACAAACTCATCTTTGTATTCCCGCGCGAAATGCAGTCTACCTACCAGTTGCGTCAGTCAAGGAGCTATGGAAGCTCAGGTTATAAATGTCACTGGCTGCACATACTCGCAAATTAATAGTCTGCCCACGACACGCCTTTGGTCTATATACAGCAGACCTGACCATATTGATTGAAAAGATGTTAGCATTACCAGTGAAGATGACTCGTTATTGTTTCCTTGGGTTGGTCGTGCTGAACCTTTTGCCTTTGACACATGCATTGTCAAATGACATTGTGGCCAGGGCCATATCATCAAGCTCAAGTACTTCAACAGTCTCAGTCCCGCCGTCTACTCGGTCTCATCCAACCAGCTTGCCACATTCCTCATACAATGGAACTGCCACGGTCACTGGCGCACTCACCGCCTCATCCATTGGAACAGGCATACCATCTGGCAATGTTTCCTATACTGCAACGACCTATCCAAGTGACGGGAACCTTCAAAATGCCGAGCCAGCACCATATGTTCCCGCGGGAGGCGTCGGAACAAACGGGTCAATCCCGGTCTATAACGCCAAGAGTGACTTTGACTATGAATCCTTGGTAAGTTTAGCATTCATATCTTCAGGGTGTTCGAACCAGGCTAATAACCAAGTATAGGCCCTTGCATTGTATCAAGAGTGGATTGAACTAGACCTATTCCAAGATGGGTTGAGACGCTTTTCAGCAAAAGACTTCAAAGCCGCCGGGCTATCCTCCAAAGAACGAGATCTGATCGCTTTCATGGCCGAACAAGAAGTCGGCCATGCAACCCTGATAAGCAACATTTTAGGCGCCAACGCGCCACAACAATGCGCCTACGTCTACCCATACACGAACGTATCCGAATTTATCGACTTCGCCCAGAAAGTGACCCGATCCGGCGAGGCTGGTGTTTACGGATTCCTAGCACATCTCGACTCTCGTGAAGCAGCAACGCTACTCACCCAGTCGATATCAGTCGAGGCGCGCCAGCAAGTAATATTCCGCCAGTTCCAGGGCCTTTTCCCCATGCCGGAATGGTTCGAGGTCGGAATCCCGCAATCATGGGCCTGGACCCTACTCGCTCCCTATATCAGCTGGTGCCCGGAGAATCAGACTCGACTTGTATGGGAGAATTTCCCGGCACTCAAAATCCTCGATCAACCTAGCTTGACTGATCAGCAAAGTGGTCAGAATACTTCCACGACTCAGAACAATACTATCAGTCCAGGCACGAATGTGGTGAAAGCTTCTCAAGGGAAAAACGCATCCAGCTCGGCCCGCCAAAACATTACTACCGAGAATATACCTTCGCTCTCATATCCGGGTCGCGAGGTCGTATTGCATTGGGATAATCCTGGTAAAGCTGTTGGGCCTAATAATAGCTACGTTACTACTTCCCAGGCAAAGACTGCTCAGTATGTTGTTTGGGTATCGCAGCTTAACGTCACTTATTCGTCGCTGACGAGTGTGAATGGGACGTGGGGCCATACCTTCCAGCCGGATTTGGAGACGTATCAGGGTGATCCGGCGGTTAATGGTACGATCTTTATTGCTATTACTGATTCTAACCCGGTTTTGAGTCCCTCTAATCTCAGTTCGATCAATCCGCATATTGTGGCTGGTCCTGCGATTTACCAGGCGGGATGAGTTTGGCATACACAGACATGATGGGAGTTCATTGTTCGGGTTATGTACTGTAGGTAGTGCAGGTGGATTGGAGGAATGTGAATTTGCGGTGTTTTCTTTAAGATCGAAAATATTATGGTTTGTTTCTTTTCCTTTTCGATTTGACCAGGGCAAATAAAGATATTGAGTAGTCGGATGGTCCAAGATATTCGGCCTATGATTGTGCTTGTGAATATTTGATTGTCATCCGGCTATTCTGTGAAGTCAACTTGGCGTATCTTCAGGTGGCAGTGGGTACCTCCTTAGCTTGGTTCATGCGAGAATTATGGACGCTGTAACAGCCAAATTTGAAATCAGGCTTGTTTCGCTCGGAGTTGGTCTTGTCGCATCGGCGACATCTTAATGCGGCTTCGCGTAGAGCTCGCGACAACAGACTTTGTATCATTGGAAAGGAATCAAATGGAAATGAGGCCTGAATATCAAGGCAATTATAACACGTCGATTGAATCATCATAGTCAATGTCGTATTCATGCATCGCTAAAAGCAGATATCGCTGATATATACAAAGTAGAAGATAATATTTCCCATTAATCCGATCGTGAGACGCGGCCAAATACAAGTTCCCCAAAGAAGTAACCGACGAGTACCGCGAAGAAAAAGCCGACATTCATTGTCATGACCGCAATCATCCTAAGCAAGTTAGCACGCGTTGCGGGTTCCGTTCAGAGAGACAAGTGACGTACAATAAATATGCAATTCCTTGATGAACCATCCGTAGTGCTGCGCGAGGTAGATTGACTGACAGCCGCCATGCCTGCACGAGATCCGACTGTGTAGGTTGATCTTGGCCACCATTGATCAGAATCGAGTACCTGGCGTTTTTCGCCGCCCAGAATACTTCAAGCTTGGATAGCATAGCTGCGGAACCCCGCCATATCACGGTCAGGAAGAAGAGAAAGAACCATGTGCCGACATATCCTGCGGTGGTGGTTGGCATCCATGACTGAGAGAAGAGAATTGCAGAAAGATTGTTGGTGTTGAAAGCCATGTCAGACATGCTCATGCTGTCTGATGAGGAGGTGGATGACATGGCCATACTGGAAGAGGTGGTGGTGGCAGTAGACATGTCCATCGTGAAGAGACCAAGTTGGTTCAAAGAGAGTGTAGACGGAATAACTGGAGTAGCAAGGACGGGAAAGTTCCCGAGGTCATCCCTTGCGGAAGGCAGAATTACGCGACACGTGGACTGGCAAAAATGCAATCAATTGAGAAAAAGGTCGCAAAAGTAGGACAACCGATTGCGAGTTGATTATGAGTTGATTGAGTTGATGATTTTATTACCGAATTTGATTGGTCAATTCTCAAACTCCCGCAAATGTGCTCACCACTAGTCCCAAATAGGAAGGAACAGGCCAAGAAGGCTTGATTAACTGAAGCTTCGATCTCCGACCATGACAGCCAATGGACCCACGTTGACTTGTTCCCAGATGGAAGATATTATTAATTGAACTCTTCAACCTCCCCTCTTCTTCAGATCAACATTCCCGCCCATCATGGATATGGACTCAGGCATGTCGGGGGGTCCCGACCTCACTGATGCGGGACTGGATATGTCCAACTATACTGTGGCTTCGGATTTCCTGGCTGCTCTTTTGGATGACAGCACCCTCCAACAGACAGACTACGCTATAGCTCGCGCTTTTTGGTACGGGATTGTCATTGTGATCGTGTTAGTGGGCATAGCTCACTGGACACAATGGGCTATACTAAAATTGCGGTCGGTCATTGGCAAATATAAGTGCTATAGAGAAAATCTCGACTAACGTTCCTTCATATAGATTGCGTGCGGCAGCTGCAAATCGCGCTCGGCCTGCTAGTCCTTCAAACCCTGCCACTTCCATGTTGGCTGCTTGCACAGCAGTGATTCGGGAAATCTCCTATCACCAAATCACTTTCACAAATTCATGGCTCCGTATTCCTACAATTGGATCAATTGTACTTATCTTGGGCTATTTCGGATATATTATGGGCCTGCAGTTCTTTGAATGGGACTATCCCGGCGCACAGTATTGGCAAGCCCAAAGCCTGCGCGCAGGTTGGCTCACCATTGCTCAATTCCCTTTGGTTCTGCTTCTTGCTGGTAAGCGGAATTTGATTGGATATGCTGTAGGAGTATCCTATGAGCGTTTGCAGATCTTGCATCGGTGGGTCGCCAGAGTTATGCTGTTGACTGCCACCATTCACGGTGCCGTTCAAACCTACGGATGGCACAAATACGGTGTGATGAAGATCGAGTTTGACACCGATAGCTGCATTCCTACAGGTACAGTTGAAAGCTTCCGATTTTATCTGAATTCGGCTCACCAGTAAACAGGATTCGCCACTTGGATGATTCTTGTATGGTTGGTTTTGTCTGCAACTGCGCCCATCCGCAACTGGCGGTATGAAATTTTTGTCGCACAGCATATTATAACTTTCATTGGGCTTGTTGTGGCTATTTTCTACCACCTGCCATCGACGGCCCTCAGCTCACGGTATGTATTTTCTATTATAATCTTGTTCAAGTCACTGATTTGTGTTAGCATATACGCTTGGATCGGCGTCGGCATCTTCATCCTCGACCGTCTGATTCGGAGTATTGTCTTTACGTATGTCAATGCTAAGCCAGCGAAAGCTACCATTATTGAGCTTCCTGGTGATGTCACAAAGATCCGCATTGCATCTCCCACAATCAAAAAGTGGGGTCCAGGACAACACATCTTCCTGTCGATCCCGAAGCTAGGACTTGGACAGTCGCATCCGGCTACTATCCTATCAACTCCATCATCTCACAACAATGACCTTGTGTTTATTCTACGAGCCCACCGCGGCTTTACTCGGCGATTACTTCATTCCGCCCAATCATCCTCGACGAATCTACTGGAGAAGACCGAGGGTGCCCAAACTGTAAAAATTGAAGGGCAACATCTTTCCCTCCTCGGTGGCCCATACGGAGGATCTCATTCTGATTTCGGAGCCTTTGACACCGTCTTCCTCATCGCTGGGTCAACAGGCGTGACCTTCACCCTATCCATCCTCCTGGATATCGCACACAGGGTGAAAATCCAGAAGCTTCCAGTCAGGCGGGTAGTCTTTGCTTGGGTCATCCGAACTGTTTCATGTACAGAGTGGGTCGCCGATGAATTAAAACAGGCCATTGAACTTCTCATCAGTGCCGGTATCGAAACCGAAGTGCGCTTCTTTGTGACTTGCGATGCAGAGCCATCGGAGCCATCGGAGAAGAAACTCGGTTGCCCATGCAAGAATACTGAAGGGCCATGCTGTTGCAGCGGCCTCGGCTCCTCAAGCCTTGAGGCGGTCCCTGATACAATTCTCAAATCGGGAGACACTAAGGATGCCATTTCATTCATTCCTCAAGAAAAAGCGGACACCTCCGTTTCAATACCGTCCTCTACTTTTACATCTGGGCGGCCTACACTGAAGCCCCTTCTTTGGGAGTTGTTGGATCATGCTAGAGGTGAGACCGGTGTTGCCGTCTGTGGACCTTTGGGACTGGTGAGCAATGTCAGGAATACAGTGGCTACTGTTAGCGAAGAGCGCGGTTCATATAAGGGTACTGGGGCTGAGGGTGTGTATTTGCATGCCGAGAGCTTTGCATGGTGATTTCACCATCTGTTTGCATTATATTTTGTACAGCACTTGAACATTCTAAGGTTTCGGACATGATGACACGACATGAATATGAATACCCATATCAATACAAGTTTCGGTAGTAAAGATTGTTCTGTTTAAATGTATATAACTTAGATTTGATATACTAATCACAAGACCAGGAATCAGATATGATATCCCCATATCTTTGCATTAATGATTGGAATGCCACGCCAGCGGTCTGAGATCCTCCAATTGTAACGTTAAGAGACATAATCCCTTTAACGAACGCATCGATTCGGTCATTCCAAGCTTCATCAAAGTCAGTGTTGTACAAATCAACACTATGCTCTAAGGCCTTTGCAAGGGCCGAAGTCATGAGACTAGGAGTGATATGGTATGCAATGAGTGGAACGTCAGCGTTGAGTCCATTCTGAATATTGAAACTAGCCTCGCTCGGCAGTGAGGACACGTTCTTGATAATATGCGCAATTGATGAAATGGCGACCCGACGACATACTTGTAGCTCCGAGAAAAGACCTGGATGGCAGAAATGGTTGATTTCTTCGGCAAATGGCAGGAGTGCATCAGCGAGTACAAGAACGCCGAAACTCCAGAATGTGATCATGGACACTGTAAATCTGTCAGAGATTCAGACTGAGCTGATGAAGATAACTCAACTTACCAACGGATACCTTGGATGATAGAGAAAGACCCCCAAGACACTCTGTGCAGTCATGCATGAAAGGTTGGAATAAATCGTGAAATCCTTGAACGGCTCTCACTACCTCATGAATAGCTTCGGAGATTTCAGTAGGAATGCCAGAGGTAGCATCTTCTAGATTGAAAAGAGCTCCTCTCAAGTCGACAATCTGGCGCCAGATACAGATCGACTGCACGCTTGCTCGATGACAGATCAAAGGAACTTTACTATCCAATCCCCGTAGACCATGATAGATTGGTTGAACCGAAGCCAGTTCATCATTCTCTAGATCTACTAAATGTTAAACTTATTTCCAAACAACAAAAACTTTGGCATGAAACTTACCACTCCCACGAGCAAAAAGAGCCGGAAGTTTACACTCATAATCGGCAGTAAGTGCTGCGCCCAAATCACGCATATAACCACACCACCGAAGAAGACTCAAACTAGCTTCCGCAAGAGCAGCATATCTGGAAAAAGGACCCAACGTAGCACAATATTGCATAACGAGTTCATTCAAGATACAAAGCGTTCGCAAGCCCATGTCAAGAAACTCATGCTCGATGCCACCCAGACTAATATGTGCTTTGGTCGGAATGGCAGTGCCGTCGAACATTAGGATCGTAAGCACAACTCTGAATGACCGGATATGCTGAATGGCGTTTATTTGAGACCTTGCATGGAACCATGCATCGGTGTACGTTTCTAAGCATGAATCGCGATCCGACAGCGACCGCGTATCCGGCGAAGAATGCAGCAAAGGCATCCACTGAAGTGCGAATACTCGAAGCACAGCGTTCAAAGCGTTATCGGACTGAGTTCGCGCCGTCGAGTTCAGCTTGTTTCCGTATAGGCCTGCTAAGTGGTCTAGGAACCGCGCAGAGCCGAGCAAAGTCATATTGTTTGAGCTGCCCTGGATGGCCGGAGTGATCGCTGTGCTTTCATTGTTGAGATGCAGCGGTGTCGAGGGCTCATCGGCTTGAAGTCGTGAATTTGAAATTGAATCTGAAATTGTATGTTCCTTGTGGCTTTGATCTAGAGCATTTCTTTCTGGCGACGTTGACCTGGTTGAAGTGCTTCCTTCTATCTGATACCGAGTCTGTGTTGCATATAGATTACAATTGTAGTCTAGATATCTTGAAGCGCATCCACCGACGATGGAGTTGAATATTTGCAACAAACGCGCCTCCAACATTGTTGCATCGAGCTTTGAGTTCAAGAGATGTATCGGGCTGCGTCGTGAGATCCCAAGTAAAGATCCTGTACTCATGGATAGGCTGGAGTGTTCTTTGCGTAGATTCCTTGGGACTAAAGTGATTTGATTACCACGATGCCCGTCTATTGTCACTCCAGGACCAGAAATGGAATCGCCTGTTAGGTAAGTTTGATTCGGCGATCCAGCGTCATTCTCAGAGGAATCATTCTCGAGATTGAGCCATTCATCGAAGACATTTTCGCTGCCTAATGAGCTGGGTTCAATCGTTCTATCCGAAGGTTTGGAATGGTTTATGTTTTCCAAGGTATTACGTCGTTTTCGCTGTTTTTGGCGAGCCTTGGAGTTCAAGCGGGATGTAGCAAACTCGAATGTACACGCATGTCCTAAGCGCTGGCAATGCGTGCAAGCTGGACCTGGACTGTCAAGTGTGATTGGGAAAGTACAGCGACGTTTTGATCGCCGACAGGGATCACAGCTGCTATTTTGGCGGCGTGGCGTAGCAGATGCCAAGGTTGCAGGTGGGATGGACATTTTGTCCTATTTTGATGACAGCCATCGAAATTGATAAATTGCAAAATATATGGAAAATATCCAAGACTCATTGAGAGCCTAAAGGCTGATGGAGATGGAAATAGAACTTGAGGTGGAGGCGGAACTAAGTTAATGCCTTTCCGTGCCTACCCGTGTTCATTCCGAGAATCTCCGTTAAGTCATTCGTTCTATATACAGAACCTAGTAGCAGGTCCTCCTTATTGTAATAGTTCACTGCATCAGATTTCAACCTCAAATATCCACAATATAGTGGCACCTGCTATCAAGAGAATTATTCCTGAAATAGGTAGGCCCAGCGCCCTAGTAAAGCTGAGAGGGACCATGGCCACATCAGAGCCAGTCAACTGAATCATCGGAGTGAAGTACCAGGTCGATGTAATCGCAAGCCATGACATGACCCATATCAATCCAATTGTTCTCTGCCACATAGCCAACGCGTTTTCAGAACCAGAGGTCCCATGAGCTCCGAAACGCGCCCATACTTCTTGAACGCCATCTTCGAGAATAATACCGGGAACGAAAGCCAGGTAAAAAGTAATTGACCCCGAATATTCAGGTGGGACACTTTGCAACAAATCTACAATAACATGATACAGACTTGATATCAAGAACACGATGAAGAGGTTGGTGTATCGCTCAAGGATCGCTGATCGGGCCAGGCCCAGACATTCTCGCGTGATAAAGTTGCTCAAGGAAGAAAAAGGCTGTCGCATAAACTGATGCCAAAATTTACTATGTTTGTTAGAGAGAACATCGACATCAAAGAAGAAAAATATCTTACCCCCAGAAATTTCGGAGAGTATAGGCTTCTTTCATCCTCCCCCACGCCGGTGGCCAATCCGATGGTGAGTCGATAACAAGACCGACACTGATAATAGAAAGAAGACGGTATACAGAATCCCCGATGAGCCGATTCACCACAAACCAGATTGCCACATGTGTCCCTGCTCGCTCGGCCCACTGACCCCGCGACACATTCCACTCAATCTCCATCAAAGACTCCTTTTTCTCGGATGCTTGCTGAGCCGAAAGTGTTTGGATAATATCAAGAGCCACATATTGCCAAGCGAAAATAGCAGATTGACGAAGTAAGAAACGGGATCGAGTGGGGATTTTCATACCCCGGCGTGAATAATAACGGGGCTGAGAGGGTACATTCTTCACTTGCCAAGGAGTATTACAGCCCCTAGTGAATATTAGAGCTCGAATTGCTGCAAAGAAATACGCTATGGTGCTCTGCGAGTTTCTGACCACCCCGACGAGATCTTGGCGGTCCAAAGGATTGATTACAAGCATATTGATCGCTTGCAGTACCATAATCACGAGCTGACAGATAGCTTGGCACCACGTTGGACTACCTGCAGGTGCAAATGGTAGCATGAATCTATTGGCGATGCATATCATACATGGTATGGCGAGATATCGAAGCGGGGATTTCTTTGGGGTGCTGACAAGCAGGGCGGCTGGAATGGAGATTTGAAGAAGATAGAAAGCAGCAAAATCCAGTAGATTCGCAGATGTGTTTTCATGTAGACCATACATCCTCATCTTGAGCCAGAATAGCTCATATATTGGCCACACGATGGAGATGAAGATGGAGATGAAGTTGGGAGTTGGTGCCCCCAAAATATTGGAAATGGGGGCGCAATTAAAATCATAGTTGGCCTCAGGCATCAACTTCTAGCGTCTGATACATTCGATATGAAAAGGATTTACTCATCGTATACCATCTCATACATAAACAAGGCTTATATTCCGCACCCCAAGACCGACCGTCCACCTTGTTAATAATCAACTTGTCCTGATCAAAGTCCTCCAACATACGAACCTTCACATCCATAGATTAGCATAGAACGATATGAGAGACAGAGTGAACATACATTCACGACCAGGAATTCAGAAGCAGTAGGCTCATCTGGAAGTTTGATAAAGCAACTGCTGCCGCATTCTCCACAAAACTGGTGCCGGACCACACCATTGACAAACCGATGATCTTTCAGTACTTCCTGGCCGCTCGAGAGAGTGAACTCCGCAATGTTGGGATACACGAGTAGGTAGCCGTTCTTGGAGCAGATGGAACAGTTGCAGCTATTGACTGGATACTCGTGTAAGGGTGGGGATAGTTTGAATCTGAAACGGACAGCACCGCAGTGACAGTTCCCTCTATGGGTACTGCTTTCGGAGGTTGGAGGTGGCCGGGGGTCTTGCATGATCTTGGGAGTAATATTCCCCCAAGGTACCTGGAAATCCGCTGGCTTAAGTATTCGGTCTTGTCTCGAATTCAAGGTTGGGGGCCGAAAACCGGGTTCTATCCTCCAATCAGGTGTTGGCACCCCGCATGTACGAGTAGAAATGGATGTGAATAAACGCTTGCTTCAAATGTTGCTTGCATTTGCTTTCTGTTGCTTCCTGGAGAAAATATACAAAGACGGATCGTTAAGTCTAGATCTCCCCTGCTGCGCGACGCAGACAATCCACCACAAAGCTTGTATTGCTCATGAACGGCGAATGACCCTCCTCGCATTCCTCAACATCAATTGCCCCTTCGGCCTGGGCAATCATCCGTCCTTGTACCGAAACCGGAAGCGCACGATCATTCTTGCACTTGATGTACGTGCATGGAAATTCAAGAAAAGGCGAGTAAGTCACAGGTACAGCTAAAGGACCAGGAGGAAATGACCCCAAGAGATCGAGAGCTTCCTGCACTTCGTCAGGATCACAGCGATTATAGAAGACCCCCCGGACGGTGTCTGGGTCTAAAAGCATCGCACCATCCTATTATAAATACAGTGTAAGTCCAATTCAATCATGGAACAGGAATTAAATCTGCATATCTTACCTCGGTAGTTTTCATCTTGCCTTGTTGCGCTTCAAAGCTCTTTCGCTGTCTCTCAATTTCTTCTTCTTCGGGGGTAGCTGGTACCATCTGGCCCATGAAAGTTTGTCCCTTCGGCATTGCCATAGCGCACATATAGACCAGTCGGATTACCGATCCTTTCAAACCTGTCTTCTCTCGATCTTCTTTGCCTAACCCCTTAACAGCTTCGGACATGGCCACACCGCCGAATGAATGCCCGATTGGAATGACGTCCTTGCCTGCGTCAAGGTATTCCATGATGACTCGGCGGGTTTCTGCAGCATCTTGATCCCAACTGGGGAGTGGGGGACTGGAGTCAACTGAAGGCAGAGTTACACCGACTGCCTCGTAGCCAACGTCTGCCAGTGCGTTGATAAGCTTTTGGTAGTGCTTAGGACGGTGCCATGCCCCGGGTACGATGACGATGACTGGCTTGGGCATCTTGATGATTTATTTTGGAAAAAAACCAAATAGAAAGGAAACTTGAATGATCTCTGGGAGGAGATTTAATGGCGATTTTATAATGGTTGGCCTGTGGACAGCCGTTCATCGGTTCCGATGGTCGTCGTCGGTTCCGCAGCTAGATAGATCCACTTTGAGGATCTTGAAGAATTTCATCGAGTCCGATCCCGTTTATCCATATATTGGGTTCAAAAATAGAGCATAATGGTTGTTTTCGGTAGATTAAAAACTGCAGGTGTTTTTCAGGTGAATATTGTCACGGGATATGCTAGAAGCTTTCCAGGTGGCTAAACATTTTCAAGACGGTTGTATTTCAATATTTGATTTATCTAACTTATCACTCCTCATCCACGGGAAAACCATACCCAACCAACAGAGCAGGCTCATCAATATTATGATGCTGATAACTACATAGTAGTTAGCACACCACAAACACAAAAGGGACAGTGATCTACCTACCTGAGAACACCAACAGCACCCGGCTCAAGCATAAGAAGCAAAGGGAAATCCATCGGATACCCAAGCCAGCGCTTAGTAAATGCTCGAAGAAGATGACCATGCGCGACAAGCACAATATCCGACGGACTCTCACCATGCATACTATTTTTCTGAGTAGTCCTAATATCTCGAATGAGACTATCAATGCGATCGGTAACATCTTGCGCGGACCTGGAAATAGTCAGTACTGTATTGATTCATATCAGGAACATTAAGTTCATACTCTCCATCTTCACAGCCGTCGCGCCAAATATCCCACTCCCGCTCCACATCCAGTCCACGCTCTTTTCTCGACGCCCGGATCTCCTTCGTCACCAATCCCTCATACATCCCATAGTCCCATTCGCGTAACCTTTCCTCGCCTTGGATAATCTTTTCGGCAGTTTTCAACGCCTTTTTGTCCGTGTCGTCGAATGCGATCTCGAATGTCTGCATTGCTCGCTTGCGGGGACTCACGTAGATCCGAGCGATATTGGCGGGATCAATTAGTTTGCCTTTTCCGACAATCATCTTCCCCGATGCGTGAACTTGTTTCTCGCCGTTGCGTGTGAGGTCTAGCTCGGTTACGCCAGTGTAGCGGCCATTTTGGGACCATTCTGTTTGGCCTGTTGGAGGTTAGAGTTTGGACTTCTATTTCCTATTCTATGTTTTCCGTACCGTGGCGGTAAAGAAAGACCCGCGGGGTTCCTGCGTCTTGGTCTGGCATTTTGGTGATTATGGGTTGTGTATCAGAATGGCTTAATAGCGATTGAGGGGTTGTTGGGGTTCGGCTTGCGGCTTCCCCGCCGAGCTAAAAATTATTAGATAAGGGAAGTAAAGTAATAGTTGTAGTAGTCTGTAATATAACAGCGCTTATTAGTATTTTTCTAAAGCTAAAAGACAGGATAAAAAGAATAGGATAAAGAAAAAAGCGCCTATGTTACTACTTTCTCTATATTTATTAAATAGTAGGGTATCTTACCCTTTTCTAGTAACTCTACAGGTGTTAATAGATTACATTAGTCTTATTTACTATTGCCTGAGTATAAGGAACATTGCTGCCTGGAAATGCTGTGTACATGCTGAACGTTGCAGCACACACAAGCTAGGAGGCTACATACGACCCAAGGTCGTGGAAAGACTGAGGAATAAATCGAATCGAATCAAATCAAACAGTAGAAGGGTGGCGCCCGATGTACCTGGCTGGCGTGTGCTGTCGAGCTGACGGAGATGACCGCCTTTGGTAGATTCTTTCCAATTCTCCTGCCATTGGCATGATTTCCGTTTTGGAGAAACGCCCTTTCTCGGGACAATCAAGTAGAGAAAGGACCGTTGTTGCCTGGGCATATGAAGCAGCTTCGGCGGGCTCAGTTTTCTGCCTGATGATAGTTTTTGTTCTCATAAGCGAAGCCAATCCCCTCACCCTGAGTATCTCTTAGTTTGCTTCATAAGCATACATCGATGTTCGTAAATAGGTTTCCAGGTAACACACAAAATTTTTTGCGGCCCGTATTCGAAACAGTGCGGAGCTATATTTGACCAAGTGATTAAAAGGCTATCATAAATATAGATACCTTTTCTTTCCAGAAAGATTACGTGACGTTCAAATAACGTAAATATCTTATACGAAATTTCTTTACATCCTCTGCCTCTTCATATGAGCCCCTTCAAGCCCCATCGACCTCTCAATCTCTGGCATCTATTCCCCTGCAGCACAAATATCCCAAAGATTGCTAATGGCTATAGCTAATGATAAAAATTTCCAAAGCGTGGCTACCAAGTGCGAAGGAGAATCAGTCAACAGCAACTGTACAGTCACTGATCATGACAGGGAGGAAAGGTGGTACCTTTGATCAGTTTGACTTGACCACTGGCGACATCTAGCTAAGGTCACATTCCTCTTTTTCCGCCTTCGTCACTGCACATGTTCCAAGCCACACTAACCTCATTACGAAGCTGCCAGTTTCTTGGACACGAGTGATCTCGCCCTGCGTCAAAGCTCGCACAGGTATATTTCGTATCATGTTGACGGCCGATATAAGAAGCTCCAAATCAAGCCGCGATTGTGAGTCGAGGGGATGAATAACTATATTGAGGAAGAGTGACAGGGCGGCTGTAGACGAATACAATGTTACGAACCTGCAGCCTCAGTTAGTATCCTTTGCACAGGCTTCCCCAAGAACATACTTACCGAAACGCGTCTTCCCCCACTGTGCTGACAAGAATTCTTAGGCACCATAGCGTTGAGCGACTAGCCATCAAAGACAGGTCGAAGCTCGAATGAACCACACTATGCAGATCCGGAATCTCGTCACTGGCCTCAATGGTGCATTTCCTCACTGTCGTATGAATGACGGTTATCAAGTAAAGATAGTCCAATTGCAGAGACATTTGATGGATTATATACGGCATTCCTTCGTCGGATGCGTTTGGTGAAGTAATTTTCGAGACAGAAAGTGCAGGGCGAAAATTGAAGGGGATGGATAGCCGCCAGTGTTCTATCTCGTCATCCAGTTGCCGGATATTCAGAAGGAGTTGGTTATCATTATTCTTCGAGGCCCGGGCAGACAAGAGCTGTCGACAGACTTTCTCCTTCAGATGGCTAAGGCGAGGGTCTCCAGGAAGATGGGGGGTGAGATATTTGTGGGTTTCGTCGTCACCTGCAATGGATGTATCCAGATCCGGTAAATAGGTATAATGGTCAAAATAGTTATCAGGCAGGTCGAGTTCACAATAGACATCGGTGAGAAGAGGAGGACTGCCAGTGCGAATTGAGATATCTTTGTCGAGCATGTAGCATAGCCAGAACAGCATTCGAGTGTGGTAATTTTCGCGTTCTAAGCGGGAACTTTGAAGGCCAACGGGATCTGATAAGTGGTAGAGGTGTCCTCTTAGAGCGCAGACTATGCGACACGCAATCGATTGAAAGAAGGTAGCGCCTTGCCAGTCGGCATGAAATGCATGCTGTATTTGCTAATGCAGAATATCAGTCTGTGAATCTCTGAAGCATTAGAAGAAAGCCACGATGGAACCCGGACTAACCAACACTAGTGCTGTCTGGAGAGTCGACAAGCTAGTATCTTCAACTATGTGCAATAAAAGATAATGTGCCTTGGCTGCATACAAGTCCACATCCATGGAGCGGGAGATTTGCCTCGACGGATTTACGCGAGACGCAATGGATAGAGCGCTCAAGACACATGCCCTGGCTGAGACTTGTATAGGCGAGGACAGAGGCCCATTTGCAGGTCCGTAGGCGGTCTCCATCGTCGTTTCAAACAAAATGTCGTCCAGTACAGGGAAGCGGAGTATGAATCCGGATCTGAAGAACGCGCTTATAATTTCTCGTGTAACGTCCCTGTCCGGCAATTCGCATAGCTCTGGTGAGAAAGGTGGCTGAAGGGCCGAAGGCGGGGAAGATTCTATGATGGGAATACTGAAATCGGCCCATGTGACCGCCTGGCCGGTTCTTGTAGAGACCCATCGGCGGCCTGCTTCAGAGGACATAGATATTCCATTGAAGTACCAGTTAGGTCCCCACTGAGTGGCGGACCTGTGATCCTTCGCTTTACAATCCTTGGAGAGGTAGCCACAGGAGTTAGCGGGTCTTTGTGTCAAGTTAGTAGAGCAAAGTGAGCTCGCAGTAACGGTATTTCGCTCTCTGCCGCTTGTCATGGTAGGAAGACCCGGTGGCGTCGACTTCTCGGGATTAGACACATCTCGACACGCCGAATCTGGCGTGGAATCAATTCGGGACAGGACATCCTCCAGCTGCTGAACGCGATGGAACAAATTCTGTACATCACTGGAAACCGAAAAGGTGAAAGTGTTAAAACAAGCACGCGATTCCACAGTGCCGGACTGGGAAAGTTCAGACCTGTTACGCCGCTTCTTCTGCGGTCTACCCCTCTTAAAAGTGCATTCAAGCCCCCGATGACTGCACCACTCACAGGGGCCATTTGGGTCAGGATGAGAGCATTGAATCTAGATGCAAGTGATAAGTTTCAGAACAGCTGGCAGAGTAGGAGACCCTCCATTCGGACATGGAGGTAATCACCTGCCTTTTTTTGATAGCATGCGTCGCATGCTTTTTTCTGAGGTAATGACCTTTGTGGAGGCATAATAGTGGAGAGCAGTCATCAATCGGCTGTAGATTTTCGGAGCGCACGGGAGAGAATCTTCGGAGTTTTCGGAGGCCGTGTTCTAAGAATCGATGGGCTTACGTGTGGATCATGTGGTGTGGGTTCCGATTAACGCGTGTGATTGGTTACCTTATACTTTCATAGCCATTAACTGTTGACTGTTCTCTCCATTTTACTTCAACTGTCAAATAACAGCGGCGAACGGAACCGAGGACGATGGCTCAGGAGGATTCACATCAGACCCTCGATGGATCTCGCCTGACTTTAAATGTCATTCCTTATTAAACTCTCATCCTCAAAAATCTTTGGCCCAGCAAAAGGATTCTTCGGGGAGTGATTCCCATAAGCTGTGTGAAAAATGGACGCCCACCGAAGACAGCAACCACCTTCGGATGAGCGCACGCCTCTGATCACCGATCTTGAAAATGCTGAAGCATCGGGTTCTACTCCTTCGGGGAATAGGAATGATGCGCAAGGTAAGGTTCCGACCAGGATAGCTTATCGCCTGTACACATCACACTTCCTGTCAACCTGGAATTCCCGCGTCTTTGAATTTGGGGCCGTACTGTATTTGGCCTCGATTTTTCCAGGAACGCTGCTGCCTATGTCTGCCTATGCGCTCTCTCGTGGACTGGCAGCGATCATCTTCGCCCCGGCAGTGGGACACTACATCGATGTCGGCAACCGTTTGCAGGTCGTTCGGCTTTCAATCGGTAAGTCTCTTCTCGGACAGATCGAGAAAAGCGCATCCGTTGATCAAAACCACTGACCACATAAGTATTACAACGCCTTGTTGTGGCTGCATCGTGCGTGATCTTCTATCTGCTAGCGATCGGCCTTCCAATGAAACGAGCGGTCAGAACTTGCTTGCTGGTAATTCTTACGCTGTTGGCTTGCTTTGAGAAGCTATGCTCTGTATTGAATTTGATCTCTGTAGAGAAAGATTGGGTAGGGTTATACAGTCCAATCAATCAATGCTGATCACTGCTGACATGATTTGGCAGGTCGTGGTCGTTGCCGGAGAAGATTATGAATGCCTCAGGAGTGCGTTGTACAAATTCAAAAGATTCATAATTGATTGGCCATTCCATGCTAAATTGCCATTCAACACAGCGATGAACGCCCAAATGAGGCGAATTGACTTGGTCTGCAAACTAATTGGGCCTCTTTTCATCGCTCTTATCGATGGCATGTCAGCAGAGGCCGCTATTCTCGTCAATCTCGGGATGAATGTCTGTTCGGTCATGGTGGAGTACTTCTCGATCGCCAAGGTATATTTCTAGCACGTAGCTTTCAGCCTCGCAGAGCACTGTTCTAACATTCTACCTCAGGTGTATTATGAAGTGCCAGAACTACAAGAAACGAAACCCTCCTCGCCGAGATTCCGAACGGTAGAACAAGCTCAGCAAAGAATTTCTGAACGGGTCTGGAGAGCTTGCTGTCAAGGTGTTTGGCAAACTTTGGAAAACTTTGGTTTTTATTTTCGGCATCAAGTGTTCCTCCCGTCCTTTGCTGGGGCGTTGCTTTACTTGACAGTTTTGTCATTTGCGGGACAGATGGTCACTTGGCTTCTGTCAGCAGGCTATGGTTCGACGCAGATCGCAGTTGCAAGAACATTGTCTGTCGTGTTTGAGGTGTTGGCCACCTGGGTTGCGCCTTGGCTGATGGGGAAAATCGGGCCCACTCGTGCTGGTATCTGGCTAGCGAGTTGGCAGATTACATGCCTAGCAGGTGGCATGGCTATTTTTTGGACTTATGCTAACCAACCTCTAATATCAGCATCGGGTCTCGTAGGGGGTACAATTCTCAGCCGGCTAGGCTTGCGGGGGTTTGATTCATGTGCACAGATTCTTATCCAGGAAGTGAGTCGTTTACGGCCTCGGCAATGCCTACTTTTGAACGAGAGTCAGCCCCTAACTTTCATCGAACCTTACAGGGTGTTGCAGCTGAGGCGCGAGGCTCTTTTTCGTCGATCGAAGCTGCTTGGCAGAACCTATTCGAGATTTGCTCTTATGTCTCCACGATCGTTTTCTCACGTCCGGATCAGTTCAAGTGGCCGGCCCTTATCAGTGTGATTGCTGCTGGATTCGCTGGTCTGCTGTACGCGATATTCGTACGGATTCAAAGGGGACACTTGATACACCTGCCGAAGTGTATATCTCCCGAGCGCCTGCAGCGCTCAAGGGAACGGGGTCTGGACAGGATCTTCTCGTCTGACTTTTAGTCTCTAGCTCTTTGCAGTCTGCAATGACTGATTCCGATCAATCCTGCACTGAATTATAGCTCTTTTTAGTAGGACATGGAATATCTGCAACAGCATGGCGTCGTAATTTCGCCGACAAATAGCTTCAAGCGATATAATCCGCGCTCTGTATCCTTCGAGAGATATGTCTCTGAAATCAGGTATTTCTAAAAGACACCGCATCTTTCGGCCTAGTTGCATCAATAGCCGCATTTCGGGCCGCTATGTCCAGTTCAGGTGGGTGGAACGGGAGAATTTCGAAATTGATAGGTGCATAAAGTGCTCCCCCTCCAACGATGTTACCACCCTTGCTCTTACATAACAGCATAGCATGCTCTTTGGACTGAATCCTTTTTCTGGAGGCATGGCCTTAAAGGGCCGTCAGCAGTAGCTTTGGCTTTCGGAATGCAGTCCGGATGGATATTTCGGAGGTTGCGGAGGTTGCGGCGGTTGCGGAGCCTACGAAGGTCTCGGAGGTTTCGGAGGCTGCGTTTCAGATTCCCTTTCAAATCATGACAGCATTCACCCAACTATTGCAGCCGCTCTGGAGCCTCCGAAACCTCCGGACGATTACTTGGATCTTACCGTTGTCGATCTGAGTCGGTCAATGCATCGTATTTATAAAAAGACGTATTCCCTAGACCCCTCTCTGTTCCCTGTTACTGACTCCAATCACAGGAGATCCAAGCACTTATCTTTTCAATGGCGAAAATCCTGGCAAAATGCCACAAGATTTTGGAGAGTGAAATTCTTCGTCGCTCCTCACAAATTGTTTCGGTTGTTGGTGATCAAGCGTACATTTTTGGTGGGGAGCTGCGACCACGCGAGCCTCGAGACAATGATATCCACGCTGTTTCATTGGACAACAGTAAGTTGTTGATGAATGAGAGGATTCCGAAATTTAACGATGACACTGAAAATCGTTACCATAATCTAGGGAATGCCAGAGTTATTTCCGAGCCTGCGACATCCCAATCTCCTTCGCCACGTGTTGGGACTGCAGCTTGTACACTGAACGGGAAGATCTATATATTCTCTGGACGAGGCGGTGTTGCGATGGCACCTATTGAGGAGCAGGGCGCGGTCTGGGAATTCGACCCCGCGGCAGGAAGCTGGTCATTCATCTTGCCATCAGACGCGAACGCAAAGGCGTTCCCGGTCGCTCGCAGCTATCACTGTATGGCTAGTGACGGGAAAGACACACTTTACCTCCATGCGGGCTGCCCTGAAAAGGGAAGATTATCGGACCTATGGGCTTTCAGCCTCTCTCGCAGAGACTGGACAGAACTTTCCCCAGCATTTGATCCTCCACGTGGAGGTACTTCGGTCGCCTTTACAGATGGCAAGTTATATCGGATGAATGGGTTCGATGGGAATACCGAGCAGGGAGGAAGTGTGGACATTTACTCCCCTGAAACGAATTCTTGGACTTCGTACGTTTATTCACCGGATGGCAAAGCAGGCCCGGCACCGAGAAGCGTGAGTTGTTTGCTGCCGGTTCGTCTGAAAGATCGGTCATTCCTGATCACCTTATTTGGTGAGCATGGCCCTAGTTCACTGGGCCACCAAGGAGCGGGAAAGATGTTGAGTGACGTATGGGCCTTTGACATCAGAAGCAAGAAATGGGAGGAAGTTGTTCTCCAAGGTGAACAACTTCCTCTTGCGCGGGGCTGGTTTGATGCTGATGTCTTCGGTGCAAATACTATTGTGGTTCATGGTGGGCTAGGGGAATCAAATGACCGATTGGAGGATTTGTGGACTATCGAACTCTCTTAACAAGTTATTCTAGGCGGAGAGTTTCGTATCCTCGCCTCGGAGTAGGGCTGCATGACTTGCCGAACAGAGATCTCAGAAGCTCCCTTCCCAACAGCAATTAATGAAAGAAACTTTCAATGACCACAGCAATATTCAAAAAGTTTAAATACAGCGGTGTAACATAAATATATGACCTTCGGTACTTCGGGCACCGCTTTATGGCCTGACTCCACACGTGATGGAGCCTTACTAAGACAAGACACGTTTCCGAGAGTTAACCAGTTGAATATTATGGAAGGGTGGGGAGAGGCTAAGGCTAAAGTTTAAATTTCAAGACCATCAATTTTTCCCCATATGCAAAAAGCTCAGAGACAATAATGGATTGGGATGCTTTGTGTTTCAATGTTGCCACTTTGATTGCAGGCGTATTTGTTCTTGACTATGGTGCTGACAAGTTTATCGACCATACCGTCATTATCGGGCGGCGCCTAGGCATCTCGCAAACTGCCATTGCCCTCTTGACAGCTGGCGCTGAATGGGAAGAGGTCTGAAACCTAACGTAATCCGATTCACTACACTATCTATTCTGGCTAATCCACTCATTAGCTCGCCGTGGTGGTTGCCGCCATCCTGCAACATCGCAGTCCACTAGCCCTTGGGAATATCATAGGTTCGACTATCTCCAACATTCTCGGCGCCTTTTCTTTGGGGCTACTCTTTTATCCCCATGGTTTGGAGTTTGACCGCAGCGCAAAATTATACTCGGCCCTGCTGTTTCTGGTTACGACGCTCTTCGTGGTGCTGGCATTCTTTAATCAATTTAGCCGGTTTGTCGGTGGGGTTTTGATTGCCATATTTGCGATCTATGTCGTCTCTATCATCTATGCCATCTACAAAGGTGTAGCCTCGCCCCCAGAGCTATCCGACAGTGATAGCTACGGGGAATACAGCGGTAGTGATGACGGCGAATCCGTCAATCATGCCACTATCTCTGAGAACGACCATCTTATTGAGAATGAACATACGCCGTCATCAACAGACCAAAGGAGCAGACAAAGCAGAAGCCTTACTTACCACATTTTCCAACTCACTCTCGGATTTATCTCGCTCTCTTTGTCAGGATACATCCTCTCCCATAGTGCCGTCACCATCGCCGACTCTCTGCATTTCTCGGGAACCGTTTTCGGTCTGACGGTTGTCTCTTTTGCCACTACTCTCCCAGAGAAATTAGTTGCAATACTCAGTGGTTCTCGCGGCCACGACGGCATTATGGCTGCGACGACGGCAGGAAGCAACATTTTCCTGCTGACGCTCTGTGTTGGTGTCGTTGCAGTGGCGGGGTACCAGGTACAAGAGGCGGATAAAATTGTGCTTTTTGAGCTGGTGGTAGTGTGGGTGTCCTCTCTGCTCTTATGTGCAGTCATCTTTTTGGGAATGGGGAGGAATGCAGGTTTAGTGCTCTTGGCTGCTTACATTGGGTTCCTCTGTCTGGAGTTCACCGTTTATCGGCGGTGAGTGGCATAAACTGTTCTCAATTCTTCGGCGCCTTTTCAAACCGACGTATGAAAGTGAGACCTGCTTATCCTCTTCAGATGCAAACACTAATGTGAGAGCGGGATGCATTTTATAACTAATGTCTGTCAAATGGCATAAAGCAAGACACGGTAGGCCAAACGACTGGGTCAGATGACCAGAACTCTCAAAAGACTCGATTTGCCCAGCCTCCTCGTCAGCGATCATGCTTTAAAAGATAGATAGAGCGAGCGCCAGAAATAGTGTCAGCCCCGAATACAAGAACATCATTGATTTATGGACCTCAAGAACAAAGCAAACTGGTGCGAGATCATAGATCGAGAGGGATATTACAGCGACTTAGCTTACCACACAGGCCTCGCTTCCTAGAACGGTGGCTACTTAGGTTTTCTCTTTCTTTCAAGCTGCATAGCGGGAATGACCTTCAGCGCTCTGCTGTTTTGCACCAATATCATAGACGCACTACCGAAAGAAGACATAGAGCCCTTGGCTAGGACTTTTTTCATAATCTAGCCAAGTTTTCTTAATGTAAGCCTTCAGCTCGGCGAAAAACTCCTATGGGGTTAAAATCTGGTGAGTAAGGTAGGAGATACAGCAACCTAACACCAATATCAGAGCATAAATACTTAACTCGGTCCGAATTATAAAGGATATATTGTCCATAATAAGCACAGACTTTGGCTCTAGCCACCTTCTATAGTAATAAAGGAGTTACTCAATAAATAATTTAAAAAGTATAGTATCCGTAAAACCGTTAAAGATACAAGACAGAAGAATACTTTCTTAAGTATATACTAGTAGTATCTAAAAGCGCTAGCCTCAATGGGATTTTGATACCTATATACTAGTGTCACGCCTAGTAGAAGCTAACCAGTTCGCCTATATCCTACCTGTTTATTATATTCAGATCCATCAACAAATATGAGGTGGTACGAACGAAATCAGATATTTATGCTAGTAGAAATTTCGTTTTAAGGGTTCTGTTCTTTGGCTTTCTGTCAGGCTCTCCTTTTAGTCTAGCCAGCACGAGAAAGAGCACTTTGGATGCTGGATGACAACGTTGATATATTGAATTCGTCCCATAGGGAATTAGCCATCTCGTCGATACACAAACCGGGTTCTCCAGCAAGGCGATCACAAAGGGTCTTGCATCACAGGAGTAACGCTTAGTGGCGGCCCAGGAGGAATTGTGGGAGTACTGGGACTGCCCCTTGCGTATATTACTGATAGAACACTCACTACATGTTGCAAGCTTGGCCATTTATGATGTAGTGAGTCTGTTCTTGCTGCTTATCATGCGGATAGTCATTTTGCTCTTCCAGTCATTCAGATTCCGTACCATTTTGTAACGGCCTAAGGGTTGGTTCTTGTCGAAGTTGGGATGACATGGCGGGCGTAGTTTTTTTGGATCAGTTATTATACATAGCATTTCAGTACTCGTCCGTCTGTATTCTATCATTAAAATTTGAATAATGATCCATGGTACGAAAACAGCCCGATTTGTGGTTTCAAGATGTTGTGATTAGGGGTTGAAAGACCATCAGTATGTCCGCGGCATGGAAGCCGATGCAGGGCGCTTCTGTAAGGAACTATTGCTCAAAAACTTTCATTTGAAATTTATCCAAATTATCTAAGACATAATGTCTGTTTTGTCACATCTTTTTCACGAAGCCAACTTCAATCAGTCGCTCCATTTCAACGTTCAGACTCTGAACCTTGGTGCGGCTGGAATCCCGGATGAGTAGGAATATGTAAAGGATCATGCGACGGAAATAATTTCTTTCCGCTTCGATCTTGAGTTGCTCCTTGCCCACAATGTAGATGACCTGCGAATTCGAAGCGCAACTCAATGCATCCGTTTCGGTAACATTGGTGACATCGGAATACTTCAGAAAAGTGCGTACCAGATCCAGAACCAGGACTCCCAGGTCTGGAGTGATAATCTCATCGGTGTATCCATGTCGTACAATCAGGCGATAGCAATTAGGGATCGGCTGGTTAGTGGAGTCATTGCTCTTTGTGAAACACCGGGTCACTGTGTATCTCTCTCCGGGAGCGACTGTAGGAACAGACAGGGGCCGCAGATGAAGGAATACCGTGACCTCCGGCATGGCGCTGAACTTTTGCAGGAAGTGGAGGAAGACAGTTGGGGTGTTCACGGCACTACCAGATTTGTCGAAGAAGATTCCAAGTCCTCTGGTTCGCTTGATGGGGCCTTCTGGGTCGCTCCTTAGCTGCAGCTGTTTGTCGTGCAGTGTGAGTGTTTGCCAGAGAGGAACTTTGTCGGACTCCTCGGCCTCCCACTGCTGTTCCTTTCCATAGCGCCAGAGGATGAAGATACACGTCAAGATGACAGCCAGCATCAGGGTGAACCATGCTCCGTGTGGCACCTTACTCAGAGCGGCAGAGAGGAACATGCCATCCCAGAGGGCGAAAATTATGAAAACAGGAATGACTACCCAGATTGGCAGTCTCCAGACGATGAGCGCAACGACGGCCACCATGCAAGTGGTGAGGAACGAGACTAGGATAACGCATGCTCCATAGGCCTCGCCAAGTCTAGTGGTCTTATCCGAAGGTCAGCGAAATGGCTCGATGGGCCGGGGACGAAAAACATACGTTATTGTAGACTGCGGTCACGACAATTGTGCCGATCATCATCAACCAGTTCGCGATCGGAATGTAAACTTGGCCGTGGAAAGTGCTTGATGTATGGTAGACTTTGATTTGAGGGAAATAGGAAAGTTTCATGATTTGAGACAGCAGCTATAGTCTTGTTAGTAACCCTCGATAGAAGCAGATCCATGTACAAACCTGGTAAGCTCCAGTAATGGTCGCCTGGCTTGCAACAATGCAGGCTAGAATAGCGATGATAAGACTGGGCCAGATCATGCCAGGAGGGACAGTCAGATAGAATGGGTTGGTGTAGGCGCTAGGATGAACCATGAGATGGGCGCCTTGGCCAATGTACTTCACAATGTTAGCTTCATAGAGAAATATAAGCTGCATCCAGTTTTTGAGCGTACCGAAAACAGGAGACACGGGTAGACAAAGCAGAGCCATGAGATTTGGATAGACCTTGAACGAGACGTAAGTATCTTGCATTTGAATTTCATGGAAGCATGTCCGTACCTTCGGGTGAAAGCTCCTAGATCAGCGAACAAAGTCTCCACACCGGTAAAGGCAAGCAGAATTCCTCCAAGTGATAGCCATCCATCATGCTTGTTTCGCACCAAGTAGGCACCAGCAAAGTAGGGAGAAAAGGCTTTGAAGACAGATGCGTCAAACATCACCAGGTTCTAGCAGCGGAGCATCAGTAAGTTACGTTCAATTTTCATAGCGGTGTACTCACGTAGATTCCAAATGTAAGGTTAAAGAGCATCCAGATAATAACGATCGGCGCAAAGGTGCTAGCAATCTTGCTAGTTCCAAATGGCTGAATGGCGAAAACCAGCACCAAGATTGCGCAGGAAATGCCAATGGTTGCCGATATAGAGACACTCGGATTCACGACAGTCACTCTGTAGATTCATTAGCACGAGTCGGTATTTCTTGAGTTTATGCTCCTGTCATACCCTTGAATAGCGCCCAATATCGACTGCGCTGGAGTGAGAACACCGTCTATGAAACAAGTGTTAACAGAACAAACTCCTGACAGTGGCATACTGAAACATACCAGCCAGAATCAGCGCAACGCCAAAGGCCCCGACCACCTTGAGAAGCCACTTGATCACAGTACTTCTCTCCATGATGCTGCGGGTCATCAAATTGGGCTTTTGCAGATCATTCGTGTTGTAGCGTTCCATCCGCACCAACTCCGAGTGTCGAGGATCATATTGTACCAGTTTAGCCTATTCGCAGAAGCTGTCAGTCCAATTCGAGTCTCTAGCATTTTTCATCACACATACATATCGCGAGAGAAGGGAGTATAGTGCAAAGGTACCACCCTCTCCCTCGTCATCAGCGCGAAGGACGATGAAAACATACTTGACGGTCACCATGATGGTAAGCGCCCATATGACAAGGGAGACGGCACCGAGGACATCGTCGTGGCTTGGTTCGCTGGTGAATGTCGAGGAGTAGACGTAGAGAGGACTGGTACCGATGTCACCGTAAATCACTCCGAGTGACTGGTATGTGAGCCTAAAGGTTCTTTGATTAGATACGTGTCGATAACTTGGGTTGACTGAAAGATGATTGTCACGAACCATGCTAGTTTCCATCCTTGAAATTCCTGGACATGCAAGGTCAGTACTGTTTTGATTGTCTTGTGCGATAGTTGGCAGTTGTACCTGTCTGTGGCGGAAATCTCTTTCTTCCACTGCTTTTATGTCAGGGATTGGGTTCATCTCGACATCAGCTGCCTTGGAGTCGTCAGGAGTGATGATTTCGGAGTGAGGTGTCATTGTTCCCGAATCCGCCATGGTGAATACTCTTTGATTCACAGAGGCTAGACTGAGGCCAATGAGAAAATGCAGGTGGCGGACGCGGTCGCGAAGGTAGAGAGGCAAGAGGAAAGAGGAGAAGAGAAGGAAATGCTATGGTCAACTTTTGGGGCACCATATTGAAATTTCATGGCATCAGTGCCTGATAAGTGATTCTTTTTTTCTTATCTCCAACAGCTACAGGGTTCCCACGTGTCAGGGATTTTAGAAATCGTGAGATGTACCTTAGCTGAAGATTACTGGAAACAAAATGATACGAGTAGAAAAATATCTCATATAAGTAGAGGCGTTGCGCCCGTTGTATGTTTGGCATAGCCGGATAACGTTCTGACAATTCAATTGGCTCCTTTAATTTACTTCAAGTCCAGTTATATTCTGGCTTTGAAAACTAGCGAGAAAGAGGGAATTATTTGATAGGTTTGGATCAAGTTAGCGGCATCGGGTTTGTACGAGGCAATTATCTCCCCCATACAAAAACGGACCCCACGTAAAACAATACGAAGTTCAAACTTGGAAGTTCGAGCCATATAGCTTTCACTGATAAGGACATACTGATTTGATTTGTCTGACACCAATTTACGGTAGTCTCAATAGCAGTGAGAATTTGCGTTCGTATGTAGCAAATGTCAGTGCACGTGGCCAGTATACGGGAGATTCTCCCCTCCAGCTCCACTTTATACCATCGTTCATCATTTGTCATTTATTTAATATGCTTCTCTAATTTCTTTCATTACACATATCGTGTGAAAATGTTACATACTTATATCGGGGAAAAGACGAGGTATATGAGTTTCAATAACTCAGACCTTGAGACTTGGATATGCTCCAGATTGGATCACAGGAGAATCTCTAGCACCTGACCAATTTTCGAAAATTACATCGTGGAATGATTTAGGGCTTTACTATATTACTAAGTTTCTCCTTTAAATCTTGGCATGTTCTTTTCACTCGATTCGAGTTTATGGCTTCGGCCCCTCCTCCCCCACCACCCCGCACCTAGTATAGTCTGATGAAAAGCATCGAATCCATGAATTCATTCTTTCTTCTCATATTCTACATCAAATGGGCTTCATCTTTTACGTACATCTACTATTGCTTTGGACAAAATTCGAAGGAAGGTCTGCCGAGGTCGGAATCCGGAGACATCAATTGATCGAGGGGCCGAGAGCTGAGAAGTGGGGATCGACAATATTTTGCATTGACATTCGATCGATCGATCCACAATTAGGTCTAAGGTATGCAGGAGCCACTTTGACTAAGAGAACCACACAAAATAAAACTGGAGTCTGGAAAACTGGAAACTGGAAATTTGGAACTTCGATTTTGGAATTGGGAACTGGATGCCGAGAAGAATGGATGTTAGAAATGGCGGTGGCCAGATAGAATTTAATTTCCATCCAGTCTGGTTACTTTCAGTTCTAGTCTAGCAGTAAATTCTCCATAACCCGAACTGGGCGAATGAGACGTACAAACAAAGCCGATCTCGCGATCTATTGTGCCAATAACGAAGACTCGGAGTCGTGTACAGGTCGCTGTAGAGCCGCGCAATAAAGCATTTTTGCTTTTTACTGCGCCACATCGACATTTGCAGTGCGGTGTGACAGCCTACAGATTGCAGCACAATGGGAGATGTATAAGTGATGTCATATTTCGTGAATCCAAGACCAGTATTGTCTTGGACTATAATATCTCATATCCACGGTACCAAGAGAGGCCACGAAATAAAAGTGCAGATCCAAAAAATGAAATCCCCAATGAAACACAAAACGCCCGGAATTTGAAATGACCTAGTTTTCTAAACCGTGAGATATGATATAGATCCTGAGCATGCAATCCAACGTCCATCACCCGAGACCTTATCGAGTCGACCGCAGATCCAAATCTGCTTATAACGCCACGAATTAAAGAACGCCCCTTCCTATATGATATGAAAATTAGAAAATATGAGACAGGAGATCCCAAAAAAGCAAATATGGCAAAAGGAAGAACGTCCGCTTTAATGTGCTGATCTTACACGGTAACACGGCTTTCGGGTGCCATTCCGAGGGGGACATCCGCACTAGTAGGAAGTGCGGGTGCGACACTTCTGCCACCAAACTGGGATAACAAATTCGCGATCATCTGTCGGTAGGTGTTCATCTGGGATAATTTGAATCGCTGGATCTTGCCGCTGGCCGTGCGGGGGATCTCCTCGACAAAAATCACACCGCCATCGAGGGCCTTGTAACTGGCCAGTTTCTCGCGGGCGAATTTGTACACTTGCTCAGCGGTGAGGCGGCTCACGGCTGGGTCTCGTGAACGCACTACGAAGGCGCGGGGTACTTCACCGCTGCCGTCGGGCAGGTTCACGCCTGTGACGGCAGCGTCGCTGATCCCTGGGTGTTGGCGGAGAACGGACTCCACTTCGGCGGGGGCTACTTGCCAACTGTGGGGGTCTATTAGTAAATCGAATTTTTGGGATCGAAGAAGTGGAATGCAGTACGTACCCTCGCACTTTGATTAATTCTTTTGTTCGGCCAACAATGAAATAGTAGCCATGCTTCATGTATGCGACGTCGCCTGTACGGAACCAACCACCGGCTTCCTTGGCATCGGTGCGGCCCTTGTACGACGACAGTAGGCCCGGCCCGCGAACGTACATCTCGCCGGCACGGTCGTCACTTTTCAAGTCTTTGCCTTCGTGATCCACCAGCCGCACTTCATACCCTGGAAGGCGGGTTCCGATGCTGCCGTGGTTGTTTTGTTGGCCGTAGCGACACTGGAAAATCACACCGACCTCAGTCATGCCCCACAACTGACAAGCATAAGCCTGCGGGTGGAGGAGGCTTTGGAACTGGCCCATGCTCAGCGCATCAATGGGGGCACCGGCGACACCGACATATCGCAACGAAGACAAGTAGCTGGCAACAGGCAGTGTAGAGCGGTTAATCGAGTTGATGATCGCAGGCACCAGATATGTCTCTGAAATCTGGTACCGGTGGATTGTCGCCAGGAACTGGTTCATCTCAAAGCGCGGCAATACAAAGAGAGGGTGGCCATATCGCACAGGGAACAAGTGCGTCCATAGCGCACCGAACAAATGGAACATGGGCAGCGACATAAGTCGGCTGACCGGGAACGGCACATCGTACTGAATAGAGCGATGGTGCGACACGATAGCGTGGTGTGACAAGATCGCGGCTTTGGGAAGACCACCGGTGCCACTTGTCGAGAACATGGCTGCAGGCATATTCTGCGCCTCCAGCGGATCGGTGAACGTCATCCAGTCGCTTTCACCATAGCACAGTAGACGAGGGAAATTGAGGTATGCAGCTTCCTGTGTGCGCATAGCTAACGCATCCTTGGCCGGGTAGCCCATTTCGTACGACAAAAAGAGTTGCGCGCAATGGTCTACTGAGCGGTCATCGACCACGCAGACTTGTTCGGGACGAATACCACGGGTGGCACCGACTTCGAGCACCATGGACAGTGCATTGCTGGTTGTGAAGATGAACTTGGGTTCGGCCTGGGAAACGATGTGTTCGAATTCGGAGGTTTGACTGCGAGGATTGGAGCCCATGTAGACACCACCAGCGCCAATGATACCGAAGAATAATGCGGGATATAAGATCTGTGTAACGCAGTCCGAGTCAGAATCTCCGAATAGTGGACCTGGATTATGATGTGCAGTTGGGGTTTCCCAACTGGGCTGATTGCGATCCGAGCTTGACTTACACTGTTCCCCAGATGAAGGAGCACACAATCACCTTTTTGCACACCATGTGCCTTAAATCCTGCGATCAGAGTTCGAACCAGTTGTCGAAATTGAGTGCCTGTAAAAGATCGCGAAGGGTCTTCGGCATCAATGAAAAGTGGTTGGTTTTGGTTGTAAAGATTCGGCCCACAGAAGGTAAATGTCAAGAGGTCAGTGTAAAGATCTTGACTCAGCAAAGGGTCCATGGCGCCGTGAGGCACGGAGGCATCCCAATAACCCATGCTGACTCGTAAATCAATTCAATAGGATGAAATGGGAAGTAGAAGGTTGATATCAATGATTATGGGGTCTTGAAATATTGGAATCTTGGAATGAAATCTTGGAAAGGGTGGAGTATGATTCTCTAGGACCCTGGGGGAGAGAAGGAGAGATATATAGAAACTATACTAACATTTGAATTTGATTTCCTGAAGCAGCGGAATTCTGTATATTTGGAATACAGGATTAGGTCATCCTAAGGACCCACCTTGGACCCGAGATACTGGGATTTTCCAAAGAGTAATTTTAGCCTGAGAATTGGTTGTTTTAAATTTTTTATTAATTTCTGTTAATTTTTTTTTTTAATTTTTACGCTAAAATGCAACAAGGGAATATTTGTTTTTCTTTTTCCTTTTATTTAATCTATGTGATATCATCCGGATTCACAAAAGTACTTAATAAATACTGTATACATTATGGACCCATCGAACTAAACCCAATATGTATGTGTCATAGCCGATTGGTGATGTACTTCATCCGGACTCCACCGAACTTCGGTTCACACTAGTGGCGCACCACTGCGGGAACCACTCAGCTAGCAGATTTTCCATCCCTTTCATTGTATCCCCTCCTAGCAACTTGTACTGAGCCACACAGCCACTGAAAGCTCGGATCATATCTGCTTTTACATACCTTGCCGGCTAAGTCAAATATGTTCCCCCCGTGAAGAAGGGGGAGATCGGCGCTCCCTTTGTAAACTGTAAATTATTTCCTAAATGTTGTAGATCGTGGGTCCCTTTTTAACTAACAGACCCAATTTTTAGTGGCGCTAAATATCCACACTCTAAACTCGGCATCGTCACAATAGCCTATTGGTCATGCATGAATCTGATTTTCCCACGAGCTGAGATCTGGACGGGGATGCACCCACTCAAAGCCCGAGCTGACACTTGTCCCGTTCATGGTCAATGATGTAGTCGTTTGCAGGCGACACCTGCCAACTGTAACCTTCTCCAATTTTTCCTGTTTTCCATGATTTTCTAGTTTTTTCTTCCCTTGGAGTATCCACCATTATCCCGTTCGTGACAGCCCCCAGTACCAAGGGAGTAAAGCCTGTCACCGCCTCTCCATTCCATGGTCGGTGAATCCTTCAGCTTCCAAGGTTCGTCCCGTGCGCCATATTCACACTTGGCTTTCCCCTCACGACCTGTTCTGACCTGAAGTGGAGAATGCAATTCGATAACACGTCCCCCTTCCGTGTGTCACAAACTTAATAATAATAATAATAATAAATCAGAATAAATCAATCCTGAATCACATCTCCCTTTGGAATCGAGAGAAACCCTTCGAAATCTAGATCGACTAGTGAAAAAACGTGCGCCTCACAGATGCAATGTATCATGCAATGCAGTAGGAAGTACACATCCAGGGCCGCGGTGTCGGTGACCCACCCCGATCATCGGGCGCTATCATGCATTTTGGGCACCTGCAAACTAAAGATGCGGTTCCCACAAAAGAGCGTGGCGGACCCCGCTAAACAATCAATGATCGACGATCGAATCGAGCCGGACATGTCGAAAAAAAAAGCAAAGACACAAAAAAAACACGCCAATCCTGCGAGGGGTGATGGCAGCTGTCCGATCAATGTGCAGGCGAAGCGCTTCCACGTTCCCAGGAACAGAAGGGCATTGTCTCAGACAGGTGTGATTTGCTTTGCTGTTATCCGCTTGGGAGGTCGATCGCTTCTCAGCTCCCCGATCCCTTCGGTCCAGCGGGGTTCGTGAAAAGGTCTCACATCCGGACATACTTTAGCATTATTGGGGTCACTATGCGTGCCTTGCCCGGTCATCTCCGCTTCCAACTTTCATGCAACCCACGCCGAGGAGACCCATAAGAATGGGTTCTTTTGCGGCGACCTGCAGCCAGGGCATGAATATGACTCGGTGGACCAAGCTATCCAGCCGACGATCGTGAGAGCAAGACTCTTGATTGGGTTACATCTCGAGGCGAACGAGGGGTATTGCAAGAACTGGTCGGGGTTCCGGTCCTTCCCGTTCTATCCCGTCTCCTCTGTTCAGGTGTAGATGTGTTCAGGCATGGTCCACATCCGACGCTATCGTGGACACGGCATGAAGCCCCATAATGACCCCCAGTTCGATCGCCCTAGAATCATAGATCATCATCAGAAGGAGCTGAATGCAAGGGAAGAAGGTGGAGGTTGTCTGTTCATTGGCACCACGGGATCAATCCTATCCCGCTAGTGAGCCTTGCCCTAAGTCGAGAAAGATCTGGGCCCATGATAGTGTCATACACTGGCGCAATGTCGGGCTGTTGTGGAGAGTAAACACCGACGTAATCCTGCACTTCCATGGAATTGTGCAATAAAAAAAAAAGAAAAACAATAAAAGAGGAAAAAAATCGAAAAACCAAAAATTGGAATGATGCCAAGGCGTTATCATGGCACCATCTGTCCAGATCAGGATTGGAAAGAAAGCACTTCGTTCAAAAATGGAAAGACAGGAGCGAAAGTATTGATGACCCATACTTTGAAACCCACTTGCGAAGCAGGAAAATAGAGGATCACACCCTCGCAGTAAGATAGGGCAAAGCACACAAAAGGCACTAAATTCCTGCCAGGGTATGAAAAGGTAGTCAGCCTGGCCCCCCAATTGTGTACCTTTAGACCCTTACTAGTGGCATTCAAATTGCCCATTGTTCGGTCTTCACTTTAATTCCTTGAACCAAGCATCCTGGTCAAGTTGACAATTCCTTGTGTCGTTTCATATCAGTCCTCTTTTGAAACTTTCCGGGCTGCTCTCCTCTGAGCCGAAAATATAAGAATCATGTCGATATCGGAGAAGACGATTATAACCATGCCGGAGCCTGCCCTGGTCAAAATGGAGTCTCGTTCTCCCACTACCAGCGAGTTAACCCTCGCCAATGGCGACTCGGATCTGGAGAAGTGCCTGTCCAAGGAGATGGGTTCCGTCTCAACCGAATCAGGTCATGACCACATCGACCTCGAGGCCCAAACACCCCTACCCCAAAAGAAGCCACTGGCCGGCTTGCGCTTTGCCCTCCTCACAATCTATCGAAGACTCTTTACCCTTGTCTTCCTCGCCAACATTGGCGTCTTTGTGGCGGTCATGCTTGCTGACCGCAAGCTGATTGCCCTGGTCAATGCAACGGCCGCTAACTTGCTGGCATGTGGGCTGGCCCGTCAGCCATTGGTTGTTAATAGCATCTTCTATGTCGTATGCTCAATCCCTCGATCCGCACCGTCTCCCCTGCGCCGATTGGCGGCACAAGTGTACCACTATGGTGGCGTTCACAGCGGCTGCGGAGTAGCTGCGCTAGTGTGGTACGTTGGGTTCGTCGGTGTCATGTCGCACCAGTATTGGACGCCATCTCCGACTAGCGCATCGGCTGTAAGCATATCAGCCGCCCCCGTCGCGGTGGCCTATGTGATTCTCATACTGCTCTTGGCGATCACCGTTGTGGCCCACCCCACGTTCCGCACCAAATTCCATGATTATTTCGAACTCATCCACCGTTTCGCCGGGTGGCTTGTCATTGCCCTGTTCCTGGTGCTGCTGCTGTTATTCGCGCATGAGTTCAGTTCTGCCGAGAATCAGACCCTCGGCTGCTTTATCGTCCGCCTCCCTGCTTTTTGGTGCCTCATGGTTGTAATTGTGGGTATTATCCAGCCTTGGCTTATGCTCCGCAAGGTCCCGGTGGGGGCCGAGAAGCTCTCTGCCCACGCCGTTAGGTTGCATTTCGACCACACGCCCACAAACTTTGGGCTGGGCGTCCAATTGGCCAAGCATCCCCTGCGAGACTGGCATGGGTTTGCGACTTTTCCAGATCAGGCCCCCCAAGGCACGCGCGGGAAACCCAGCTTCTCTTGCTTGGTGTCCAAAGCCGGTGATTGGACGGCTGCCACTATCAATCAACCGCCCACACACCTCTGGAAGCGGGGCGTTTTAATCTATGGCTTTGCATATGCCATGCGGGTTTTCAAACGAGTCATTGTCGTGACCACTGGATCGGGTATCGGGCCCTGTCTTTCGTTCCTGGGCGATAAGAACCGACCTGTACTGCGAGTTATGTGGCAAACCCGTGCGCCGCTAAAGACATACGGCCAGGGGGTCCTCGATCTGGTTCATCAAATGGATGAGCACCCCATCATCATGGACACGAACAAGTTAGGCCGTATCGATATGGTGCCAATCATTGCACGCCAGTTCAAGGAGTTTGAGGCCGAAGCGGTGTGCGTGATCAGTAACCCTATGCTGACCGGTCGCATTGTTCATGAGCTTGAAGCGCGAGGCTTCCCGGCGTTTGGCCCGATTTTCGATTCCTGATTTTTCCGGATTCGCTGGCCCCCACTAGTTCGGAGCTAACATTAAGTCGCGACTTCGATTTGTCTATTGGCGTGGTTTCCTGGGTAGCGTGTGGAGTTCATCTTTTAGTTCCTTTCCTGTTATATATCCTCTTGATTCTTCGGCGTTTTTTGGCGAGCATTTGACCAGTATCCTTTGGGAGGGGCAGTTTTTCAGATTTACCTTGAATATATCATCGTTCAAAACAATCATCTCTTTCCTTTTCCTTCAACAAACATTTGAATCGAGTGTAGGTTCTGTCAAAGCCTGAAGGGTTCAGGGGGGATCCTGGGGGAGAAAAAGGGTAACTGCATGGGCACGAGGGACGAGTTTTGATTCTTTTCTTCTCTACGATTTGGAATCGTGCAGGGACGCTATGACCTAGTACTTTGTCAAGCAAACAATGAACCAAGCGAGTTGAAAAACGCCAGAACCTTATGAGACGTAATTCACCTGAATTCCAAATTGTCCGGTTCCACTCTTGGCGGCCGTTAAAACTCCCCTAACTTTTTCAGGCAACGCGTATATTTCACAACGTGCTTTCAGGGATATGGAATTTTCTAGATAAAACATCAAGGTCGCTCAATTCAAATCTTTCTTCCTTCTTATCTGGGAATGAAACCATGCTTCACACTTTGACGCCCATGCGCTGCAGCCCTGATGCACAAGCGTAGATTAGCTGACTTAGCGTAGAAAACCCTATCTTCCTATTTGTTCACTGGTATACCGCTTGAACTTTCCCGCATGAAGCGACCATAGTCACATATGCAAATGTACCTCCTTCGCACATTGAAAGGTATTTCAGGTTTGCAACCTTTTTGCAGATCCGTTGCCTTTGGCGCCCCGTGCGAACCAGCCATGCTGGACTAAGTGTTTAGAAAAATAAATTCGTGTGAGGGGCTTAGCTCGATGCCAGAACTAATCTTGTGCAACATCACTCACGTAGATGGTCGGCTGGCTGCCTCAACGCTGGGTTTTAGTAGAATCAGTGTGAAATTGTTAAGAGAGCCACGAGGATGATCCATGGATTTCAATGGTTGTATTTGCCTTTGTTATGCACAAGGTTTTTATTGTCAAAATTCGAATGTTTCCACAACTACATTCCAAGCCAGGTTAAAGGAATTTATTTAGTCGCGGATTTGACTTCGCAGGTGAGATCCTCACGCAACCTTGAAATAACTCAATTAATCCACCCAGTTACACACACTAGTTAGGTGGAGCCAGGCTGTATACTGTTGGCAACTTCCGGGAATATAGTGTCTGTTTTTTCTCCAAAGGCTAGATTTAAATGTCGACCGCTCATGACCCAGGAGCCTCAGTGCGGTCTGAGAATTCTAAAAAGGGAGAAGGGATGTATGATGAACTTCCCCCTGCTCAATTCTCACTTACAAGATTTTCGCTCATGTTCCGTATGTAGTATATCTTCTGACATCTACTAGGACAACGGGGCTCGTGGGATTATTAGAAATGCGCGTAGTGTAGGATGCTAGCAAGGTAGATAGCCCTAACCAATGTTTCTCAATCACCGTTGGTATTGCTTTTTACGATGATTGGCTCAGTCTACACGAATCCTCAAGTGCTGGTAGCATTATAGAACTATACATTCATTGCTACCTAATTCTCACCAGCGGTATTGCGTCATAGAATCAAATATTGAAATGAAGAATCGATATATTACCTAGCATTGAATACCTGGTATCAAGATCATCCCTGATCTCTCTATACAACTGGGCACATCTTTGTTATCTGCTCAAAAGAACGTGTAATCGCAACTCAGTATGCAGTCGACCGATCAATACGAGTTAATGTAGCTCACACTACTCACTGAAGCCATCTTACCCGACGTCAATTGATGTCCTGATATATCCCACGTGCCTGGAGCAAATCTCTCAAACTTTTTAGAACTAGAGCTACACACCATATTTACAAAGGAAAGATGACCAGCATAAGTAAAAGTGATACTCACATAGGTATGTGGAAAGGTAAGAACCTGGGACCAGGGTTGGTGGGAGGAGGCCGAGCAGCTCGAGGTACAGGTGATGGAGACTCGTAAGACGAAGCTCTGTGAGGACCATACCTCCACGCTAATGAGCATGGCGAATCTCGCTTTCACTTGGAAAACTTCAGCTCGCGGTACCGAAGCCATCAATCTGCTACGAGAGTGCTTAACCAGGCAGAAGGAAATACTCGGCATAAACCATCCCACCGCTTTATCTAATTCTGAAACATTATCAGAATGGTAATGGAAGCGAAACGGGAGCTTGAAGGGGAATGGAAAACGGATAAAGAATTAGAGACGGTCGAGAAGGGGTCAATTGATAGTGAATAGTACGAAAACGCTAAAGGATCTTCCTGGAGTATATCCACAGATACCCCCAAGCCGCGATCTACTTCATAACTAAATATAGTCGAAATAACGGGGAAAACGGAAATAACAGGGTCAACGGTGGTCGGCGAACGCCAAGTGCTATAAATAATTAGCATTCGGTATATGAGCATACCAACTGGCCCCTTTGATTTTGTTATCAAATTCCTGTACCATCGCAAATAAGGGTCTGATACCTCTTATCTCCGTAAAAGTTAGTAGCCTTATCTATAACAGTAAAGTTACTCTACTTTAACGCGTCGCTCAAGCGCACGGAGTCTCATAGCAAGTGAAGCAATTGAGCCATCACCAAACGACGAACATAGATATCTCCATCAACATTTTCATCTCACTTGCTAGAGGACGGCAGCGGTAACGGTGACGGCAACCTCGATGCGATGGGAGAGAGTCCACATCAGGTCGAGCCTGAAAAGGAAAAACAGACCGTCCAGCCCAACGAATCGTCCACTGTGGCATCCTCGACTGCCAATAGTGTAGAGAAACCAGAGTTCCCGGAAGACCATGGTCCTGTTACTGAAGGAGAAGCCGTAGATGACCCGCAAGAACCTATTAGACACCTGAGGGGTGCCGAAGCCTTCGTCGTCATACTTGCGCTCGTGCTCTGTATAGGCCTCATGTCTCTGGATCAGGTGAGCTCTACCGCTCCAAATTGCTCGCAGAGTCATCGTCTTTTGCCAATGCATTGCATTACGCAAGTAAGCTAACGCTCTCGGTTCAGACCATTGTTGCAACCGCTATTCCGAAAATTACCGACCAGTTCCACAAAATTAACGATATCGCGTGGTATAGTTCGGTTATTTTTTTTTCTGGCGATGGGAGCGTTCCAGTCACAGTGGGGCAAAGTGTGTAAATACTTTCCCCTCAAAACCACTTTCCTGGTGTCAATACTCATCTTCGAACTTGGGGGTTTGATTAGCGCTGTCGCCAGAAACTCAATGACTGTGATTGTTGGACGTACTATCACCGGTCTCGGTGCCTCGAGTATCGCGCCTGGACTATACACGATTGCTGCCTTTGCTGCTGAGTCGAGGAAGAGAGCTACCTGGATGGGGACCATTGGTGCGGCATATGGCGTCGCTGCTGTCTTTGGACCACTTATTGGTGGAGGGTTTGCGGATGGGGTGTCCTGGAGGTGGTGAGTTAAGAATATTGTACTGCTTTGTTTTTGATGAAAAACACAGGACTATTTCCAGTCATCGACCTCGACTATGACCGGACCTGACCTGATCTGACAACTTTAGGTGCTTCTATATCAATCTTCCGATCGGCGGCTTGGCCGCTGTTGTCATTCTGATCACCTTCCCCGGGTCAATGCTACACTCAAGGAGAAGCTTTTACACATGGACTTTCCAGGGACGGTGCTTATATTGGCTGCATCCATCGCCTTGCTTCTAGCTCTTCAGTACGGTGGTGTAACCCATCCGTGGGATACCAGTGGGGTTATCGGTTTACTCGTCGGTTCGTTGTTATGGTTCTAGCACTTATAATGATAGAAATTTGGCAAGGCGAACGCGCCATGCTGATACCACGCGTTATGCGCAAGAGGACTGTCTGGGTCAACGGCGTATGGGGCTTCTTCTTCTTCGCTGGCTCGTATTTCGTCACGCTCTATTATCTGCCTATCTATTTTCAAAGCATCGACAACAGCAGTCCGATTGGCTCGGGTGTGCGCAACATCCCTCTCATTATCATCTTTAGCCTTACCACCCTTGTCACAGGCAGAGTCATCACGAAGACGAGTATTGCATCTCCGTTTTTGACAGCTGGCTCTGTGGTCGTAATCATTGCCGAAGGTCTACTGTATACTCTCGACGTTGAGACTTCGACAGGCAAATGGGTTTGGTATCAGATCTCAGCGGGCTTCGGATACGGCCTCGCCCTCCAAGTCCCGATCGGCATTGCGCAAGCTTATGCAGAGCCAAGCGACATAGCTCCTACGACCGCGATTCAGATATGTGAGTTCTTCTTCGCCCTGTCCATGGATGTCATCAGTTTCTTTTTATCACCTTGTATCTCAAAGCTGAGTTTGTCCCTCGGACATAGGGTATCGATCTATATGCAGCACATTTTTGCTCGCAGCCGCGCAATCCAGCTTCGCCAACCAGCTCGCGCACAAGCTTGCCAACACCGCACCGAGCGTCAGTCTCACCCTCGTCACGGCTACCGATGTTACTGAGCTGCGCCAGGCATTATTCGGAGCTGAGCTGGATGGTGTTGTTCGTGCGTACGCATGGGGTATTAAAGTCGCTTTCGCAATTACTATCACGACCTGCGGCGTCAACTCTCTTTGTCAGCTTGTGCAATAAGTGGCAAAATATTAATGCGTTGAAACTCAAGGATGGTGGTGCTTGAAATAGCTTTTCAGACGGTCATGCCAATAGAGTTATTTCCATGTTTTCATTATAGAAGTTATCCAGTGAGAAGGTTGGAGTATACATATGGAGATCGAAGCTCAGCCCCGCGGTATCAGTTACTCAATACGGTTAGACCCCGCGGAGTGTCCATAAGGCAATGAAATATAAGAAATGCATGCCCAAATGAGAATCCAAAATAAAGAATTTATCTATCATTCCAAGCAAATCCAAATCCAAGGAAACAAAGAACAAAAGAAAATGATCGAAAAATCTCGCAAGGTAAGCCCCAGCCCTTCGTTAAAAGCGAACCAAAACTTACACGAACACAGGCAATCGTAATGGGCGCCGGCCCCGCGGGCCTTGCAGCCGCCCTACGCCTGCAACAACAAACAAATATCACCTGCACAATCTATGAGCTGCGACCTGAGCCCACAACACTTGGTGGGGCGATTGGTATCCAGCCTAACGGCTTACGCCTCCTCGACCGACTAGGGGTGTATGACGAATTTGCGGCGCGCGGATTCGGAGAATCTGTCACGACATGGCATTCGCTACGTCTTTACGGAGGACATGATGTCGGTTCTGCGGATATGGTAGGCTGGGCACGAGAGCAAACCGGGTACGGGTATCTACGAATCAAACGAAGAGATATTGTGGATATTCTGAAAGAGGCGGTCGAAAGAGCAGGGATAAAGATATATTTCGGGAAGAGGCTTGTCAAGACGGAGAATTTCGATGAAGCGGATGAGGCGGGAAGGAGGGGTGGAGTGAAAGTTACGTTTGAGGATGGGAGTACGGATGAGGCGGATTTGCTGCTCGGATGTGATGGGATTCATTCGTTTCTTCGACGTTCTTATGTGGATCCGGATCATGGGCCGGAGTACTCGGGTGTTTCGGCACTCGGGGCTCTTATACCTAGTGAGAGGTTGAAGACTGAGACTGTGGAGCAGATTCATGGGATTGAAGCCACGCTTACGGAGGAGGGGATGTTGGTTGTTAATCCCTGCTTGCCAAATAAGGAGGAGATGTTTATGTTCTTCTCAAAGTGGGTGCCGCTTCCGGATACGGGGGATAGTCGGGATGGATGGGAGATTCATGGGAAGGAGGAGATAGATGGGTTCAAGGAGCAGCTTTTGACTACTTTGCAGGAAGCGCAGGGGAAATGGGTTGAGGCGCTCAGAGACCTGATTCACAGTACTTCGGCTGTGAATTTCTATCCTGTTTATCGGTTGCCGCTTGGTGGACGCTGGTCCAGGGGTCGATGCGCGTTGGTTGGTGATGCGGCGCATGCGATGTCGCCACATGCTGGACAGGGTGTCTCCATGGCGTTTGAGGATGCCTTCTTGCTTGCTCGGCTACTTGAGGACCCGGAACGACCCATTGAGGAAGTATTTGAGAAGTATGATCGCATTCGACGACCCCGAGTGAGCGAGATCTCCCAAATGGCCGCCGAGCGCGCGGAATTGAGGAAGAAGAGCACATCTTTGGGTCTACGTTTGAAGGAGATGAAGCTTCATGGGATGATGAACGTTTCAGGGGCTTTGGGTCTGGACAAAAAGGGATTGAAGCAGGGGCATATGGTATACGATATTGATGAAGTGGAGCTGTAATGGCTATCCTTTTCTATAATACTTGAAAGTAGCTCACAAATGAATTGTTGATCTGAATATAATTCTCCAAGTCTTTGCAAGTGGGCTCCGCTGGAACCCCAGCATCCCCTATTACCTAGGTACCTGGCCATCAAGGGATGTAAGATGTGGAAATGCAACCTGATCATCAGTCATGATCGAAAGTGGAACATCTATAAAAAGTGGAACAAAGTGGATTTTAGTAGGCATCCAATATCGTACATGTCCAGATCGAACATGATCCAAATAATATTCCTATCTCGATTTAAAGTAGTGGTAGACGTGTAGCCCCTTACTGCGCGGAAATCTACTACCCTTTCCGCTGAAGAAAAGGCACCGGACCATAGATTATAATATCAATGCAGAAACAAATCCCTGGGATCCAGGTACGTGTCTCTATGGTTGTCCCTAGCCTCATGAGGCTGAGGAAGATCAAGCAATCCGATTGGCCAGCTTCTTTTCCCCGTCAGGTATCAATATAAGCCACCCCTTGCCTACGAGACTAGCCCAGCCACATTATGCATTGACTAGTGGGGCCGTACTGGTGGGAATCTTGGGCTGTGTTGACTAGACTATTTTATTGATTCTGTATTCCGGATCCCGTAATTCCTGTGAAGAGTCTGGAAGCATTCGATGCTCCTTTGAAACGGTGTGGGGCATCGTGGTGGGACTGATGAGTGTTGCATGACGCAATTTTATAGGGTCTAGATTCAGTGATTTACAAAAGTACATAAGATGATGAGGTTGGTAGACCGTTCATTTCATTGTATTAGAAAATAAGAGGTGAGAATTGATCGCAGCTGAGCCGGAACACCCAAGTCTAAAGCAGATGGGGAATAATTTGGTAACAGGAGAACGGAAAGAAGAATTGTTCTCAGAAGCGAAAGGTATTGGGTATCATGCAGTGGAACGAAGCCCGTTCGTCCAGCTAAGGAAATGCGATCAAGGCCAAGTTGTCTTTTCTGGAATCCGATTGTTTTTGCCTCCGAGAGACTGAGTTTCGTAGTCTTATCAACGCCGCTGAATATGAAAATGGGTATTGGAGGTTTTGTCGTTATCCTCCACAAGGTGATTATCGTAATAGAAGAATGTTGAGAAAAATCTGAGACTGGTAATATCTTTTTTGGGAGTCGTTGAGATCGTAAAGTCGTGCCGGAGAGAACGATAAATGAGGACCATAATGTGGATTATTGGCGGGAAGAATCAACCGATGGTGCGATGGAGGGAGCGCGAGAAACAGGGGCGGAGGTACCAGGAGAGTCGGTAGTGAGATCATCTACTGTGAAGCGGACGTGACCGCGAGTAGACTGGTTGGAAGAGTGTGTAGAGTCGCTGTCAAGACGAAGCGAGTCCAATCGCTCCAAGTCCTCGTAGTCGGGCAGAGGGAGGGGTGATCCGTGGTAGTCTTCGATGACACTGCGGGCATCGTCGAGCTTGAAGTAGCCAGGGGGGCTAGCGGGAACGTCCTCGTAAACAGGAGGCATCTCCTCATCCCAACTGATGCCCAGGCCACTGCGCTCGGTGACGTTGAGGTTGAATTGCATGCGGAGTACACGGGCGGCACCAGTCGGGGTGATGAGACGGGTGTTACGGTTGGGGCAGAACTCTTCGGCGACGATCAGCTCGATGACGAGGTTGTGCTTGACTTCCAGACCACCTGGGGCCTCCATATCGCAGACTGGGTTGGTTGTAGGGTTGATGCTAGCTTCGAACTGCAGGCCAATTTCACCACCAGCGGTGTCAAAGTCGGTCTTCCAGCCAGACTTTTCTTCATTGTGACCAATGATGCGGGTCTCCTGGTGGAGGACACCCTTGCCATCGCCACCGATCTTGTGAGAGTGCTTCTGGCAGGCTGTTGAAACGATCTTCTGATGCTCCTCGATGCGCCACATCATCTTACGTAGACGCCAGCGGGTCTGTGTCTCCTCGCCCTTATCCACCACACCACTCAGGGTCATCTCAACGGGGAATTGGCCGATGGGATGGACCACAGAGGGCAGCACAATGCGGCCAGTAAGGTTGGTGGGAGGAAAGATCCGAATGGAGGACTTGTCATTGCCGGGAATCAGGGCGCGGCGAACGTTCAAGGGCAGCTTGATGTTGAATTCCTCGCCGGTGGTGCTCTTAGCGTGGGCCAGCAGGTAGTACTCAATCTGGCCCAGAGAGCCGTTGCAGGAAGCAGGAATGTGGCCCGGGAACAAGTAGCTAAATGGGAAGTCGTGAATTCCAGTCTTGAGGGGCAGATCCTCCGTAAGGAAGTTCCACTTGGTCAGCTCCTCGGTGCGTGTTCCACAGCTCGAGCAGTGGTTGGAAACGGGCTTCTTGGTGGTGGTCTTAGAGACGAGCTGAGCATCGAATTGGCTGAGCGTGACAGTGCCAGCCAGCTCACTGATGGCAAAGCGCAGGCGGCCTGAGAACAGGGCACCAGTAGAGGTAGCGGGGGCACCAAAGCAGACCAACGGGGGTGATTCTACCAGAACTTCCATCTTGGCCGATGGTGGGGCCAGTTCCTCCTTGGTGAGGCGCTCCTTTGACCGCGCTGACTTTCCTAGACTCCGACGCTTTTCTTTGCTGTGATCCCGGTGGGGGTGAATCAAATGATCCATGGAAAAGGACATGCGACGCTCTGGGGAGCGGGCACGATCTGAGGAAGAATGTGTGGGCTTCTTGTGGGGTTGGATCTCATTGACGGAGGTAGAAGAGGAAGAGTTGGAGTGAATGGGGGTCGATGAGACGGACGAATGCAAAGAGCCAGAGCCCCGAACAAAGTTGGGGATCAGACGGCCCGGCATTTTGGAGTTGGGAATGATGAAGGGTTTTTTTTATGTCGAGAAGTAATGGGGGGGGGGAAGGTGAAATGTTAGGTGGGGTTTGGATAGCTGTCAGTTGTAGATCAGGAAGCGGTGCGATGTTGATATAATTGCGACAGGTCAATCCAAAACATAACTCAAGTTTAGAATAAAGAATAGAAGTCAGTGGGAACCAATTTCTATTTGAACCTGTTAAAAGATCATGTGCTTTAAGCCCAAAGGACCGAATCCGTGGAAAAGCGCATTGGAACTAAGAAATTTTTCTAGTTCCCCATCGTCTATGCGGCGAGCCAGGTACCGCGTACTTTGATTGGTTTAGAACTCCCTGGCCACTTGGAAAGTGGGTCTTTCTTCTTGCAAAAAATCGAAAAAAATGGATAAAAAAGTGAAAAAGGAAAAAAAAAAAAAAAGTAAAAAACGCAAAAGAAAGTAAAAAAGTGGACTGGTAAAGCGTCATTGTGGATCTGGAACATACCAATACCATTCAATTACCAGTTCCTTTCAAACTCTTTACCGCTTTCCCAAGGCTCTGTGATTACTAAATGTTTGTTTCGTTTTCTTGATTCTAATATTAGTGTAGAGTCTGGAACAATAGTTGACGTAAATTCATTGCCATAAGACTATTCGTCATCGATTATAATTATCAGAATTGTGATAACCTGAATTATGATTATCTGAATGTGACACGGCTTGTCGGATCTGGTGCCGGGTTCATAAAGATGAACTGGAATTGGAACTGGCCATGGGATCGGGATCGTCTTCCATCTCCTGTCGATTTCCCCACAGAGTGAGCTAGAATGGCCGTGCGCCAGTGACTCACAGTCGGCTAAGTGGCCGGCCTAAGGTTTACTGCAGTATGATTTCGGGCCTTGTGGTCGGTCCATCCCAACATGTGGCCGGCGGGGTAAACGCAGGGCTTGATGCTTGGAATTGTGATCCGACCGTCTATTGGCGCCACGCAACCTCCCCCAGATGATTATCAAGCAATTTTGTCAAGCAAACTTAAGGCTTACCGCTTGATCGATCAGCTGAGTGTGGACTAATGGGCTAGAGTAGTCTACGTGTTGAACTACAGGTTTTCGGCGTTGAAAATCGCCGAAACAAACCTCTCACACACGTGTCCACGACGACTAATTATAAAGTCAGCTGGTACCATCACGTGGCGCCACCAAGACGAATCGACAAAACAGGAATACCATACCATACCAATACAGATCAGGAAGATCCTCACGATGCTCCCGCTTTTCCGCTTTAAGGCAGACAAACGCGTGCAAAGACCCTGATCCACTTGAAACTTCAAAAAAAAAAAATCTCTTCGCCGGCTTCGTTTCTCCGTCCTGCCACCGTTTCGGGATTAGTCGATTCTAACAAATTTGCAATTCCATACCCCGCAAAAATCAGTTATTGTTGCGGGGCTCACCCTTTCGCTTCACATGGCAAGTACAGAGTAGAATGTAGTTGGCAAGGAAATAGCTCAATTCAATGATCTCCATCGAAAAGTCTAGCCCAGCTGTCAAGATGTGCTCTGTGCTCTCCATCCAGGGGACTCTGGCGAATCACAAATCCTCCTACCCGCACTAATTACCTAACAGTTTGCTTGACACCTACACCCAAAAACCAGGTCACTTCAGGTACCTCAATCACTTGAAAGCAGAGCACAGATGTATTACCACATCATCTGCAGCTGCACTCCATGCATGTCTACGTATGTGAATAAACTCGTTAGGGCTCGTGCGTGCCCTCGACTCATTCTCCGCGGAGCACGTTCGCCATGCGGTGAGGATCTGATCACGCCATGAGCCCCTCAAGGAGCCGAGTACTACTTCAACGAGACATACGATGATCGTGATCTATCTAGGAAATTTTCCACGGAGTTGGGCTTGCCCGCTTTCCTTGGCAGAATCCCCCCTTTCACCTGGTCGATTCATGGCTCCAGACCAGCATAGAGGACCCATTTCCCGTAGGTGCTTTCCAACTTGTGGGCACCGCGTAGAATAGCCGGTTTAAGGTGACCGGGGCGGTTCTCACGGTCGTTGATACTATATGGAATCACTTCAGTTTCACTTATTTTCGGATGGTCCAATAGAATTTTGGATATGGTAGATCGGGGTTTACCAGGTCGCCAATGGAAAACGCGCGACATGGCATGCCGTGGATACGTTGCTCCGTTGAGCTTCCTCATTCGGGTAGATCTCGGAGGACCCTCCAGACGGTGTACTCCCTACAGCCTTGGTAAATTCTTTTCCGGAGTATACTTTTTGTTACTTCCAAGGTTCTCAAAGCCTTTCCCTTGAGTTTGTTTCGATCTATAATGTACCTAGTACGTATGGACTAATTCAGTAGGCAAGCCACCATCATTCCGCTTCTAAGTCATCTATTCGCTACTTGCCCCATAAAATCACTCAATGGCATCATTTCGTTCTAGGTTAAGAATTAATTTTTCTAGCTCTCTTTTTACAATCGAAATTTTCTAGAACGGAAAACTCCCACCGCCCCACCACCAGAAGCGGGAGTTGCGCAGAAATTTTCTGTTTTTCCCGGGAAATATCCACCTTAGCGAACTTTATACTCGGCCCGGTGCTTAACCTACTGGCGGTGACTCCTTTTTCCAAGACTTTTCTTCCTTGGTTCTAGAGTCCCTTTCAGGAGATGGTGGATATATTTATTACAATGGTCTCGTACTACCCAAGTCCGCCTGTGACCCATAATTTATATTGGGCCGCTCCGCTACGTTTCGGAGAGCCCCGATGATGACCGGAAAATTGTAGATTTTTGTTTTGATTGACTGTTGACCGGCCCGAGTTGATCCAGTGTACGGAGTACCGGATCAAGTTTTTGTCTCAATACTTTATAGTAGTTTGATAAAAACAGGAATAGAAACATCGAGAAATTAAAGGAAAAAAAAGGAAATGAAAAAGAAAATCCGATTTTATCTCCATGATCGCCGCGGGAGACCTTGGTCAGCCTTACGTATGGGGGTATATGACTCAATCGGTTATTCGGCAACAAGAGCACGAAAAAAACCTAAAAATCAACAATGTGTAGGTGTAAGAGTACCAATGGTAATCCTGAAAGAAGAACCTTGAATTTGTCAGGTGAGTATATCCACATTTAATAGATCAAATGATACCACTTGCCGTGGCGCAGAACTCTAGACAGGCGAACCCTTAATTGGCTCACACTGCGTACTCGTGGCCTCAGAATAATGTGATTTTCGTCACTTTTCAAGTGTATAGCGTATAGCATTGAAAGGCGGGGCTCAGTGGTGTCATTTCCCCACATGTAAACTACAAGACCCTGGGTCTAAATGTCCGATATATCAGATTCAGATATTGAATACTAGCGTTCTGATGTCACCATATAGGCCACTATCACGCTGACTGGGATAACGAAAGCTGGATATTCCTCCTGCCAATAATGGGAAAATCTGCTACTCTTGATCAATGGCGCAATGCATCACAGTTGACCTCAACCGATTTTCGACATGATAAGATCTCATCTTATCTGTGAATGATGACTCAGTATCATGTATGCGCCATGGGCTCTGATACTAGTGGAAACAATAACCTGGGGAAGTAATACCATGTCCCTTATCGCCCAATTATATCATGCTGCACAATCTCCAACTCTAGCCTGGTTAGAACCTAGGAATTCCCCAAGAGATAGGCAGGGTCTCAATCATTCAATGGAACCTATGTCTTCAATCAGTCTAGCTTCCTTTCTTAATTTGACGTGGCTGCTGGGGGCCTATAGGGCGGTTTGATAGTTTGGATGGCGGTACAAGACATCATCACCGATGCCAAGTTCAAGACACATTTTTGTCTGAGATGCAAACAATGATTTGGGAGCCGAGTGCCTTGACTGCGAGCTCGAAATATGAGGAGTTATTCAAACCTTTTAGATCTGTTTAAGCCCAAGTAAGACAACAAATATATGTATAGAAGGTCCACACATATGCATGATTAGGCTCTCAGCATTTGGATAAGTCCACTGTGCTGTAAGAGTCGAAACGTCCATTGAGTGATCAATTGCAGGTTCGCTGACGCATCAAGAAGACCTAGGATATATGTGCAATCGAAAAAGACTAAGATCTAAATCTCCAAGAAAGAAAATCTTAGATGTATGAACCTGCCACGTGATCCATTCCGGGGGATCGACCGGAATCATAATTCTGAGCTTTCCCCCTTTTCGGGACAGCTTCATGCCACCGTGTTCTTTCAATGTGATCTGTTGCTATACCAGGTATACAATTGACCCATAACCTAATCATACAGTTAGTGGATTATCCCGAAAGCTTCCGACCTTACAGCAGGTGGGATGTCTGATCCCGTTCCCCACTGTGCCATGTCTTGAGCTCCTAGAGGTTTTGATCCACTTTTCTTTCTACGAACCGATCCCACCGCGTCCCGCCGTGCATCGCCTTTGACCTCTCAGTGGACAGAGCGAAACCCAAACACCGCTAAGCCTAGATTACACTTCTGAGCTAGACCAGGACGAAGAATTGGCAAAACAAGACTTCAGCCCAATCAGTACCCCGAACCGATCCCATTCATCTCGTTCTACCACGATGGCGTCGCTCCATTGGACCTCTGTGGCAGTCGCCATCGCAGCAGTCTTCCTCTTCTGGACTTTCTCGGCCACGTCGTCTTCGCCATTCACACGTAACTTCCCACGGCTCCACAACAAGCGGATATGTCTGTTGATCGCACACCCTGATGACGAGGCAATGTTTTTCGCGCCGACAGTTCTGGCGCTTACCAAGCCAGAGCTGGGCAATCACCTCAAGATCCTCTGTCTCAGTACAGGTACGTCATGTCTCCAAAATTGGAATGGAAACGAGGTTTCCCGAATTAATGTCTCAACGAGATGTGGAGCACATCAGTGGTTAACCGTAACAAGCTGACCAATTCTCCAACAACCAGGTGATGCCGACGGCCTCGGCGAAACCCGCAAAAAGGAGCTCCAGAAAAGCGCTCTCCAGCTTGGTCTGCGCGACGAATCCGACGTCTTCATTATCGATGACCCCACCCGCTTCCCGGATAGCATGACCAAAGAATGGCCTGCAGATCAAGTCTCCTCCCTCCTCGCCTCGGCTTTCGCACCCGATCTCGCTGCCACTCTTAATGGGTCCAAGAAGGCAGACCCTAAGAAAGCTCCCACCGCCACAATCGATGTACTCCTCACGTTCGATCAACATGGCATAAGCAACCATATCAACCACCGCTCGCTTTACCATGGTGCTGTGCACTTTGTGCGCTCGCTCATTAAAGGAAAGCCTGGCTTCGCATCACCGATCGAGCTGTATACTTTGACAAGCACGTCGATGTTAAGAAAGTACGCCGGTGTGCTTGATGCGCCATTTTCCATGCTCCAGGGTGCCTTTTCCAATGTTGTGGCCAGAGTGAGCGGAGTGAAGAAGGAAGGGTCCGGTCCAGCACGCTTGCTTTTTGTTAGCTCGGTTGCAGAGTGGGTTACGGCGCAGTCGGCTATGGTGAAGTGTCATCAGAGTCAGATGGTTTGGTTCCGATGGGGATGGATTACTATTGGGCGGTACATGACTGTCAATGATCTGAAGAAAGAGAAAGTCTAGTCGGAGGCTTTCCATGCCCCGGAAATGTGCTCGCGCAGTGCGACACTAATTATTTTTACATACCTTTACTTGATGGAGTCCAACCCCAGGGCCCCTGTACAGTTGCTACCCGTTGGATATAATGAACAATTAGATGTTTGATAATATGTACACATTCGTGATGCTGTGTTTATGGTTCGATGAAACTGCCTGTGGCTAGAAACCTTGATGGGTATCTCAAATCGATAAGGCGCTAGCATAAAACTCCAACTCAAATCAAAACATTGTGGTCAACAGATCTCTAAATCCAGGACTTATCATCCAGCAGGTACACACTTCGCTTCGTGGATTTCAACATGTCCAATGCAGCAAGGCGGCCATAGAATCCACCGTTGGGATTATTCTTCGTCGACATCGGATGATCATCAGGGTAGTCAACCCATGCTTCCTGGAGATTTCTATAAGACTCCTGAAACTCCTGGGACCAGGGCTTTTGAAAGTCGAATAATGTTTTCAGAGGCTCCACGGTTTTATCTAACCATGGATAGAAAGCCAACAGATCTTTCCATCTGAATTCTTCATCTCGAACTCGAGCGTCCGCACAGAAAAACAGTGTTTCATGATTTGGATCTCGTCGGACCGGGGAGATGTCCTCTTTATTCCATTTTCGATTTTTGAAGGTTGTGCCCTTGGTGAAATTGACCTCGCCACAGTCATTACTGTAAAAGAGACGCATTCGTTCGGGGAGAAAATCGCGCCACTCCTCAATCATCTTCGGTCGTTGCCTCAAGAACCAAGAATCATCGGTTGTATCCTGCCAGTTGGGGATTCGGACGACGACCCATAAAATTCGTTTCAAGACATAGGTCTGCTGGTAAACTTCTAGCCGGGTGATGTTATATGCATTGATCGCCTCGTAGAGTAGAGGACTTTGGAAGAGCGAGTCATCAGGCGAAATGATTTCGTTATTTTTGATCTGCCGATTTGTCTTTCGCAGCAACGGGTTCAAAAGATCCATTACTGTTGCGCGCGCTTCCTGCTGTCTTTCTCTTGTCTTAAGCAACGCGTTGTATGCAGCTTGTAGATACAGCTTGCAATCCTGCAAGTTTCCGTAGTCGATGCTGATGTTTATCATGAATCGCCACATTTGCACGGTCGGGGTGACATTGTAGGGTTCAGAAGTCATGGTCTTGAAGATTGATCGTACCATGTCCGTCGATACTTTGCCAATATTATTGGCATTTTCGTAATGCGCTTCCGGGGTTCGAACTCTGGACAAAACGTACGCCCGTTCAAACAGTTCGTGCCACACCTTTTCGGTGATAGGAATGTCGTATGATGAAGAGATGAATCGGACTGTCTTAATTGCAGCGGGTATATCGTTATTTGTGCCCAAAGCATGGGCGACCGCGAAAAGAAGATTCTCGGTTGGATAGAGTCCGGACCAGGGCTCGTAGGGTGTGGCAACTGGTAGCTTGGAGCGATCTTGTGTCTCCTTAATGGCATCAACATCAATATTCCACACTGTCTGCAAAACATGTCTGATCCCCGGACCGTGGCCTGCCCGAGCTGACGCAAGCATCACGTTGATGTAGGTCCGTTCATCAGCTATATGTCCATATTGCATCATCTCTCGGAACTTCTCTAGCACTGTCCTGCGGATACTGTGTTTGCCCGTGCGGTAACCCCTCCAATTAATGTTGGGGTCATTCATCCGTCGCTTTTTGTAATGCTTGGGTATTATTCGCAAACGATAAGCCTCTTCGCCGGTATAGGAGTGGTCCCAGACCTTCGCCTCCATGTAGTAGTTGTAGCAAATAGCATCTGGAATGACCCTGTCGCGTCCCATTGACGCCCATAGATCATCCGCTAGTGGACCGTTGCCCATCGCTCGTGCCCAGTCCAAGAAATGTGTATACTCTGCCAACCCCAGTGCATATCCTTGACAAGTCCGATTTCGAGTAATCATGAATAGATTTTGTACTAATTCATCAAAAACCTCTTCCGCACGTTTGACGCCGTTGACCAGTGACGACCAGGCATGCAGGGGGTGGTGGAGGTCTCGGAACGGATCCACAAAATGGGCGGGTGACAGTCGGTGGAGCGCTTCGATAAAGACGGTCTGGGGTAATGATCCAACCAGCCCCGCCGACCGTGGGTCACTCAAACTCAACATTACTTGGTTGGGTTGTCCGTTCTCAATGACGCGATAGAACCTTTCTGCATAAGCTGTTTCTTCCTCGGGAGAATTCCATTCTGGAAGTGGAATTTCGATCGTCTCTTGTTGTACCTGTTCCACCGTCTCATGGGCTGGCGAGGAATCCAGTTGCTGGCTATCGGTATTGAATCTTTGTATTGAAGTGCGCTGGAAACCGTCACATTTTCGCCTTAACCGGGGACCATTCCATGTCGAAGGGTGAGTCCCGGATGATATCAGTCTCGTGCGCGCGGTGAGATGGACATTGAGAGACTGGGAACGGGTGAAATTGTAGAAGCCTGTAACTCTTGATGGGCAAAAGAGACAAGGAGAGGAAAAACTCTCTCTGGAGATGCTAATTCTCCTCATGATGGGGAAGATAGCATGGTATGTAATGAACAGGAAGAAGAAGGGAGAAGAAAATGAGGGGGAAAGCTGCATGAACACGACATGGGACAAGGTACTTTAACCCCGGATTAAAGAGGGGGTGTGTACATAGTACTTTTGCAGCGTTTCATTCATGCTGTGCTCAGACCTCGTAGAAAGCAGAGGAGACCGGGGTAGGGAAACCCCGTATTCCTTAGGTCTTTATAGGTCTAGAGTAGTAAAGTGATAATGACATAAAGCTTTTCCATTTCCTTTAAAATCTATGGTTAAAGTGGATACATGAATAGGTTAAATTCCCTTAAACCCATATTAACTTCATCATTTGCCCCATTTTCTCTATCGAATCTCTCGACAAACTACTTTTCAAAGTAAAAAGTCCGGGGTAAAATTGAATGACTCAGCAATGGCAGCAAATCATGCGCTAAGCCAGATTAGGTAGCGGGCAAAGCTCTCCGATTCTGTTCCGCCCGCAATCAAGTGGAAGACAACGGAAATTCATCCCCTTCAATTCTCCCAAGTATGGCCGATAACGAGGATGTAGGTGCTTCTGTTTCAGAGCCCTTGGATCTTGTTCGTCTGTCCCTGGATGAAATTGTTTTCGTGAAGCTACGCGGTGACCGTGAACTCAAGGGCCGCCTCCACGTGAGTCCACCTGTTCCCGCATTCATATGACCCCTCAGCTGATTATTATGACTTGCTAGGCATATGATAGTCACTGCAACCTGGTTTTGGGTGATGTGGAGGAAACAATCTACGTGGTAGAGGAGGATGAGAATGAAGAGGAGACCACACGGGTAGGGTTTCTGGCCATGTTGATAGGACCAAAACCGCTGACTGGAGATGTTTTGACTAGACCATCAAGAAGCAAGAAGAGATGCTGTTTGTCCGAGGTGAGTCACCAATGCTAATACTCAATGCCCGAGTCCATTTCCTAATCATGCCTATAGGTGATTCCGTCGTTTTGATCTCCCCCCAGGCCTGATCGGCCCACGAATCAATAGAGAAACTGGCGTCTGGCGAGAGGAGGAACTGAAATGACATCTTGGAGGATCGGGAACTGAGATACTGAGATACCATCCACGGGCTGCATAGATACGAGACCCCATGAAGTTGGTTTATGACCCTTTTGACACCACTTCCTGATCTATCGTAACCTGTAAGAGCCGCAAGGCTGTATGCCCCCACTAATGAAATCCACTGTTAGTCATAACAAGATTCTTTCTGTTTCTAGCTCGAACGATGGAGTTTTGTGGTCATCTCTGCGAGCAGATGATGTCGGGGTCGCAGTGATGACTCAAAGGCGGGTGACTCTTGAGGTTCTCGATAAAGCTGGCCCCGATCGCCCGCCTTCTTCCCTCTTTCCTCAATCTTTCATACACCCCGTTCCATTTAACCCTCACAGTTACTGTTCTTACTGTAATTTAAGGACAGACAAGCAATGATACCTCGAATACAGGTCTGAATCGCGCTAGTGCAAAGGCGATCCCCACTTCGATATCTACATATTCCCGACCGCAACGTCACTACCCCGGACAGCCTTCCGTTCACAATTCCAACCAAACCATGCCGGTTAATGCCAAAACAAATCCCGAAGAGCGGAAACGAGGCGAGGTTGTATGTTGCTTCATCAATGTTTTGCGATTGCTTTCACTTACTCGTTTATGTATCCCAGGCCCTCAGCGAGTTTGCCGAGTACGCCGAGAAGCAGCAAACCCACCGCTCAGCTGTCGCTGTGCCCCCCAGTGACAGTGGCTACGAAACTGGAAGTGTAGCGCCTAGCCTAGAAGATCATGCCGAACTCGACATTTTGGATCAACTCTGCCTTTCGGATACCCCCCGCACCGTCAAGTTGAAAGAGCTCCTGCTAGGAACCGGAGAGGATAATGAGAACAGCCTGCAGTTGCTAGCTGGCACAATACAAGCGCGCACTGATGAGGGCCTCGGTGAGACCATTTTCGACCTTGGTCTCGAGGACGGCGGGGACTCAATGGGCTTCAACCTTGCGCAATGGGAGACCGCGCTACAGCGGCTGCGCGAGGCTGCCGAGACTATCCCAGCTCACTGCCGAATCCTTCTTACCTACAACGTTGGAGGCCCTCAGGAGTGCCCAATGAAGGCTGACCGACCGAAAGACGTGTGGGGGAAGGTGCTTATCCGTCAACATGCGGTCAACATAGAGGAGATGGCGGAGATTCGGATGGCGGTGGTGGGTAATGTCGATGCAGGAAAGAGCACCATGCTTGGTGTACTAGTAAAGGGTGGCCTTGATGACGGTCGTGGTCGTGCACGAGTCAACCTCTTCCGTCACAAGCATGAAATGGAGAGTGGGCGAACTAGCTCTGTCGGACTGGAGATTATGGGATTCGACAGTCACGGCGAGATTGTCGCCAATTCGGCAGGCCGAAAACTTTCCTGGGAGGAAATCGGGAGAAGGGCCGCCAAGGTGATTTCTTTCTCTGATCTTGCGGGCCACGAGCGGTATCTGCGAACTACCGTCTTTGGCATGCTGAGCAGCAGCCCCAACTACTGTTTGCTGATGGTCGCCGCAAATAATGGGCTGATCGGTATGAGCCGTGAGCACCTGGGCATTGCTCTCGCACTTAATGTGCCCGTCATGGTCATTGTCACTAAGATCGACATTTGCCCGCCCCAGATCCTCCAGGAAACTCTGTCTCAATTGAGGAAGATCCTCAAGTCGCCTGGCGCGCACAAGATCCCTGTTTTCGTCAAGGACATGGAGGAAACCATTAACACAGCGGGTCAGTTCGTCAGCCAGCGAATCTGTCCTATTTTCCAAGTCTCCAATGTAACTGGCGAGAATCTGGATCTGGTCCGAACATTCCTGAACATCCTTCCCCATCGGGGCCAATATGACCAGCATGGTGCCTTTGAGTTCTTGATCAACGACACCTTCTCCGTCCCCCACGTGGGTACTGTGGTCTCTGGTGTAGTCAAGTCTGGTGTCATCCACGCCGGTGACTCGGTCGTGGTCGGACCTGATTCGCTAGGCCAATTCACCACGACTGTCATCAAAACCATTGAACGAAAAAGGCTCCCTGTTAACGCCTGCTTTGCCGGTCAGTCGGGTTCTTTTGCGCTGAAACGCGTTCGCCGTAAGGAAGTGCGTAAGGGCATGGTTGTCTTGAAGAAATTGGACCAGCCACCTAAGGTTTACCGGGAGTTTGTGGCTGAAGGTAATATGAGGCTGGATTCTGGATCTTGTGAATCTCTACTGACAAGGCTCTAGTGCTGATCCTTTCCCACGCTACCACCATTAAACCCAAATACCAGGCCATGTTACACGTCGGAGCGGTCAGCCAGACATGCTCCGTCATTGACATTGACCGCCCTTTCATTCGGACGGGCGATCGTGCTCTCGTTGCCTTTCGGTTCATCCAGCGGCCCGAGTTCCTGGCTCCCGGCGATCGTGTGCTCTTCCGAGAGGGTAAAACCAAAGGACTGGGCATCGTAAAGAGAATTGGCTATGACCCTAACCAGCCGCTCAGTGCCAAGACAAAAGGTGACGCAGACACGCCGAAACCTGTGAAAGAGACATGATTACTACTACGTAAGGTGTATGGAGCTGTGATATTAATTGTTTTGACTCTGATTGTTCTTAATTGTTTTTCATTTCTTTTCCGGTAGTTCTATTTGTCCAATAGCGCCACACGTGATGTGACGTCAGATGATGACATATATCGATCCCTTCTAGCCATTCAGATCCATTTTGGCTGCAGCTTTGGGTCCAATTATACTTGGGCCCCTATCTTGTCGCTATGTTCATCCTGGGCTCCACTGACGTAGTAGATTACACATGGCAGAAGTTATAGCTTAAGACGCTCTACCTCTCGTAACTTCTTCGATCTATTTCAACTTACACTTTCACCTAAAGTTTCTCCAACCCATTGGTACCTGATTCATTCTTCCAAAATCTAAGACATTATCTTTCCACTATACACTTAACACCCCACAATATCCCCGCAATGGATACCGTCACGGATACCGTCAACCGAGTTGTTAACGCAGCCTCCACTGCCTTGTGGGGCGAGGGCAACCAAGAATCGCAGAACATCGCACATGGTGACGAGCCCATGTCAGGCGTACAGGGCAAAGGCAGTGCCGAAGACCCCTATGATGGTGGAAATCGTGACGGTAAGTCGTGCACTTTGGAGTACTTTCATGCCCCGGCGCGATCACCTACTAGCACCTACACTTAAACAAGTCGTCGACCGCGACTAGTCCAAGCTTAATAAGGAACGCCATACTAACATGTATCCAATATAGACCAACCCGATGCGCCCAAATCAGATGTCAACACAGCCCCGCAGAAACCTAAGCTCGAAGGCATGACCCTAAACAAGGCCGAGCCGGTTATGACAAACAGCAGCACTAGTGCCAGCGCCGTCGCCGGTGGATCTGGATCTGGATCGGGATCGGGATCGGGGATCGGGATCGGGACTCAGCGACTCACCCAAGCCTGAGCCCATTGAATCCCGAGCCCCAGAGCAGCGGAGCACAGAGGAGAGCGATGTTCCTAAAAAGCAGGACCTTAAACGGAGCACAGAGGAGAGCGATGTTCCTAAGAAGCAGGACCCTGAACGGAGCACAGAGGAAAGCGACGGTCCTAAGAAGCAGGACCATCACCGGAGCCAAGGCCCAGACGGCGTTGAAGTCTGCCCTGCCTCCCCTACTCCATCGCATAAGCAGCAAGTCAGCAAAGAGGCACTAGAGGGCCCACAGGGACCGCCGCCAAAGACTGCGGATGAGTTTAAAAAGGAGACTAAAGAAAAAGCAAAGAAGCCAACTGAGAAAATGGAGCCTACATCTAGCAGTGATAGTAAGTAATTTCCCTGCAAATTCAATGTACCTATCATGCTTGGTGTTATCTTGTGGCTAACATGACCCTTGTGCTTAAGGTGCCCCGTCTGGATCCTCAAAGACCAGCAACAATAATGACCAAGCTTCTAGCGGAAGTGGCAATAGCAACGGGGCTGGAAGTGATAAGTCTGGAAAGCAGAGTACCATGTCGAAGGTCAAGGAGCGCCTGCATAAGGTTGCTCACCCGCACCATGGGAACAAAGCTTAGATGTTGAGTGATATGCCACTGGTATCTTGTTTCCTATGCTTGCGGCCATGATCAACCAATTCTGATATTTAATGTTGCGTTGATCATGGAGTTTATGATTTGTATCTTTGCTTGGTCTACATATTTTTTGTACTATAACCCAATTGAACGAACTGCATTTTCTCTCCTGCATATTTGTGCATTATGGTTCCATCCCTGGGTAAAAAAAAAAGGAAAAAGGTGTAATCCTCCGCAAATATGTTCGTTAGAATCAATAAGCGACCGATGAAGCGGAGACTAGCTCCGTACTCGACGAACGATATACAGAGCGTGGGGTGGATCCACCAACGTCTATAATGTGCTTATACTTATTGTATTTTTTTTCCTTCTTTCACTGTTTAAGTTATTCCATTACGTTGCAACTAACATCAGGATTTTTGTTGTTTTATCAGTGCGGCAGATCGACATCCTAAGTCGCTCAATTGGGCCCTGTTTATCCACTGAAACCAGTTTACATCATTCCCCCGCAGAAAACGATAGAAGTTTGACGGGCTTGCGGACCCCTGAACTGACAATCCCTTCAACTTCGTGTCTCAGACGTCCGTTTCGGCTCCTCACTGTATTGCCGGGCTGAATTCATCTTACCAGCTCTTGATGAGGTCAATCTCGCTCAAGCCAATGAAAAAACGCCTTCCATACGACTCGACACCGCGCAAAGCGGCACCTTGATCAGCAGCCGAGATGAGTGTCCACTCGCTTGATTACGCCCAGCCTGGCGTGCGACTCGAGCCACTTCAAAATTTCGACCTCGAAGCCGGTCGGCACTCGCCCACCTCCCCCAATCCACAGGAGCCCTCAGCAAGAAAAGACGGGTCATTCATAGACGCGACCACCACGGCTGCAGCACGAGTCAACTCTACCGACACGACCAAACGTCGCATGCGACGACGCTCTAACACAGCACGCTCCTACCACCCAGATGGTTTTAATCAAGACTCGACTTGGCAGCCCGGAACCGAACCTGGTATCGATCCAACCAAAACCCTTCATCCTTCCAGCGCGGAATGGGCGTCGAACGTGCCGAGCGATTTACATCGGGAGTGTGAGATCACAGTGGTGGACTTCTCGCAGCATGAAATGAGGCAGTATGAGCTGAATAACTCGACACTCGCACAATTTCTGGAGCGAGAGAAGGAGCCATGGGTACAGTGTCGATGGATCAATGTGAATGGTCTAAGCTGGGACGTGATCAAGATTCTTGGAAACCACAAGAAACTGCATCGGCTCGCGATCGAGGACGTGGTTCACATGACGAACAGAACAAAGGCCGATTGGTACTCTGACCATGTATTTGTTGTGTTGGCCTTGCAGAAACTGGTCAAGCTGCAAGATGAGAAGAGTGACGGCGACTCCGACGACGACATCCTGGAAGGCAAACTAGGAGAAAGGAGTGGGTCTGTGATAAGTGACAAGAGTTCAGTGTCTATTAAACGGCCCACCAAGCGAAATCTCATTCTCGATGCCCTCAAGGACCTCTTCCGGTCCAAACGTTCAAACGAAAACTGCGAACAAAAAATGCCGGTCGGAGCTAGTGTTCGCCCTGGTCCACGTAGGGCCTCTTCGAAGCATACGTCCCACTTTGGGGATTTGTCTGCTAAGCAAGGACGCACTGCCAGGACATTACAGCGATATCGCGGTGGTCCGAACGAAGGTCGAATTGAATTTATGGAACGGCACGCTGTGCTAGCGGCTAAAAATCTATGCGTTACACTGGAGCAAGTATCAATCTTCTTGCAAGCCGATAACACTGTGACGTCCTTCTTCGAAAGCAGCGCCGATGATATAGAAGCTCCTATTGTGCGGCGCCTGAGTTCCCCCGAAACTATTCTGCGACAATCATGCGATGCAAGTATGCTCATGCAGGCTATCCTTGATGCCATCATTGATCTCGCACTCCCGGTAACCATGGCCTACCAAGACGCCATTGGTGATCTGGAGCTTGAAGTCTTAACTGATCCAGACATCGATCAATCTAAAAGCTTGTATATTCTTACATCCGAAATTGCGGTACTGCGAAACTCTATGCAGCCCATTGTCACCGTGATTAATGCGCTTCGTGACCATCGTTCTCAACCCGTTGGTACACCTGGATTAGGTATCAAGCGCAGTAACCATACCAGCCAAAGTGCTGCGACAGGAGATCCATATTACGACCACGATGATGACCCACCACGGATTGAAGTTGCGACGCCGAATTTGAAGAGTACTTCCGGATCAACTGTGACGATAAGTAATATGTGCCATACCTACCTGGGTGATGTCCTAGATCATTGCATTACTATCGTGGAAGGCTATGATCAAATGCGACGTGCTGCGGATAATATGATTGATCTGATTTTCAATACTATTGGTACGTCCAATTTCCTACTTTCACGAGCGAAAATTAACAGCCCCAAAGGTGCCTACCAGAATGAGAGCATGAAGCAACTGACACTTGTCACTTGCTTGTATCTTCCCATGACCTTCTTGACGGTATGTAAATATGGTGTGCTTTGAACTCTACATATTCTAATGATGATTATAGGGTTACTTTGGAATGAATTTCAAGGATTTTGAAGGCATTAAGAATAGCGATTCGTTCGTCCACATGATATCAAACGGCTACATAAGATGCTAATTCCTGGAGCAGATACTTTTGGAAGATTGCTATCCCATTCATTTTCGTTACAACTTGCTTCCTAATGTGAGTGGAGACAAAATCTATCGAAGACACTGCTAACATCACCTCCAGGCGCGACAAGATCCAGCGTACCGCTATCATGCTTGCCCAGAAGCGTCTCATCACCAGCTCCAGGAAACAGCGACAGGGACGAAAGGAGAGGTAGTCTCAATTTTAGCACCCTACGGCAGTTGATTTTTCTTGGGAGCAGAAGTATTGCTAGAATATTGCACATTGGTCCTATCAACAGACTTGAGGTCTTGTATCATATATACAAAGTACATTTCTATCGTACACATCTCCACATATTCTGATCAAATAGTCTTCTGGCGAAAAGCCCAATAAGCCTTCCAAGGAAGCTTCCAATCAGACCGGAGCAACTCAGGACGGAAGACATCAAAGTCATATTCCTGCAGCCGATCCAGCCACAGCCTGGTCCCGATAGCAGGCATGAAAACACCAAATGCCCTGTTCACCTCATCAATAGGCGACTCACGGGAGTGACTCGGCGCATCATATTCATGGCCCTCTTCACCCTCATGCTCAAACTCATGTCCAACATCCTTTCCTTCACGCAGGTTGCTAAGCATCTGCTCAACAGTAATCAAATGATCACTCGCGCGAGTCGCAACCTGAAAGACCGCATCACGCAGTCCCTCAGCCTCAGCACCTCGTCTCAAAACTTCCTCCTCCTTCACACCAGTCTGCGCCATGATATCCAGCGGCAGCATCACAGCACCCTGTCTCGCACCACCACTCAACCCCAAACTCGCCGCACCACCACCAGTCGGCGACTGAGCCTGAGCTGCCGGAAACGCAACCAGAGGCAGCCCGCGCAACACAGCTGCAATTCCAACCGCCTTACCAATATGCGACGCCACATGATCCGCCGTGACAGATGTCATTGGCAGCGCGGAAAGAGTAAGGTACATGAGTGTCGAATAGGTATTCTCAGCGTAGGACTCCAGCGCCGCGATATTGGTGTATGGATCATTGGTAAGAGTCTGCTCCCGAGCATTAATCAGTCGTGTAAGCCAGCCCTTGCTTATCCGGGCGCGGCCCTCCGTGCGATGGTGAAGTTCGGAGATGGCGGAGGAGAGGAGGATTGCGACGGGTTCTTTTGGTGGGTTACCGGCAAGGATTTTGGTGACAGAGTCGCGCCAGAATTGAAGGCGCATGAGGCCGATTGTGGGCGATGATGTCGTTTCAGGAATCAGGGAGAGAGAGACGTTCAATGCGCGGAGGGCGAGGTAGAAGGAGCGGGCGTGAGGGGGGATGAAGCTGCTCAGGGTATAGGAGGGTCGGTCATATTTTCTGGATAGGCAAATGTGATTAGTAGCTGAGATCTGACAGACTGCCCGAGCATTGGAGAGCTTGGTGGGGCCTGGTCATACGAGAGTAGGGCGACACAGTATTTATGCGCGCCTTCAACTTCCTCTGGGGTTATGGAAGAACGAGCAGGGTGGGTGTGACTGAAAGCTCTTTTTTGCTGGCGTAATAGCTTTGGAAGTAGGCGGGCACTGCTGACTCGACATGGCCGAGCTGCCTCCTTGAAGAAAGACATTGGTGGATATGGCAAGTAGTTGTAAATTAGGAGGAGTTGAGGACGATTGAAATCCGCTTAATAGTATTGGTCCACCCGTTTATCTAGAATAGCCAACCAATTACCAATAAAATGGATTGAACTCCTATGAAAGAGATCAATCAATCAATCAATTAAGAAAGAGACCAGTTTATCTTGTTTTCGGACTGGAAGAATATTTGCAGACTGGAAGAAAAGCTTCTACAATATAACACCTACTCAACTTTTTTCCTTGACTGACGTCGATCGGCCCGTTTTCGCGTTTCTCCGGCGCGTCCCCCAAACTTGATCTTCTCATCCACTTGTACTTTTATGTCGAAGCCACGATTATGAGCGAGGATTTGGATCAGAGACCAGCAAAAAGACAGCGTTTCTTTGTCGATAATGCTCCTTCCCTAAACCTCGACACATCAAATACAGACGCGTCGCTACCGCGGTACCACCCCGAGCTCGACAGTCATGATGCAGAGCAGGCTAGCAGGGACAATCTCCCGGAGATACAGTCTCCTGGGGATGTCAAGTCTTCGATAGATTCCACAGAAAATGCGGACCTGCCATTGTCGACAGAGGTACAACACCCCACAATAACGGATGCGAACATACCCACGCCCTCTGCTCTTCAAGATGAAACGAATCGGTCATATACGAACGATCTTTCTGCAAATAATGAAGCTGCGGCTGTGGACTCAACAGGCTTTGATGTAGAGCTTTTTACCAGCATCGTGGGCGAACGACTCCCTCCTACCTCTATTGAACTTATTCGAACCGCCGCCTCGAACAACGTTGAAAGAGCAGTGAACATATACTTCGATGGCTCATGGAAGAAGCCCTTGAAGCCAAGTGCTCGGACAAACCCAGTACCTATTCGTAAAAGTTCTTCTGTGCAGTCAGCCCACGCTGGAGCGTCCTCCCATTCCATGAATGACAGTCCTTTGACTGAATACGACTCGGTGTCGAGAAGGCTGCCCCCCTGGAGATTTGTCGGGGCATTCGGTGTTGGTGGTTGGGCAACTCGAAGCGGACCTGCCTTGCTGCAGCATGGCGATCCCGTCAAAATCGAGCGTGCGAGATCACAGCCAACTACCAAACGTGCCCGCGGAGGCAAGACGATGATCAATCATAAGAGCGATGTTTTAACGCGATTCACGAACACGCTTGGTCAAGAGGTTGGACGATTGCCCCACGAGACAGCCGAGTGGGTTTCTACTCTGATTGACCAAAAGATCTGTCATTTTGAGGGAGTTTGCGTCTTTAGTGATGACAGGCTACGAGTCAATGATACAATATACCTACAGTTGCGGTGCTTTCTTCGTAAAGAAACGTTCCAGCAGGGTCTGTTATGGGGATCGACAACGGACGATAACAGATCTACTGGTCTCTTCGAAGAAAAAGAGAGTACCGAGGAAAAGAATTTGCGCCTCCGGCAGGTAGCTCTCGTCAAACTTTTTGACGCGATTGATCTCAAACCCACGACGACGAATCCGGCTACTGAGAAGCACAAAAAAAGCGGAATTCTTCGGGCAGCCGAGATGGCGGAAAAATATGATGGTGTCAAAAAAGAGAAAGCGAAAGGATCTAAAGATCCCGAGGATTCCTCTGAAGAAGATGAGACGCCGGAACTTGCTCAAGATCAGCTTGACACGCTGTACCGCAAAGCCCAATCATTCGACTTCAATATGCCGGAGGCTGAACCCGCTCCGACCTTTCAAATGAACCTTCGAAAATACCAGAAGCAGGCTCTTCACTGGATGCTTTCGAAGGAGAAAGATCATAAGGAGACCCGTGAACGCTCAATGCATCCGCTGTGGGAGCAGTATACATGGCCGGTGAAAGACAGTGATGATAAAGACCTTCCCGTTTTCGACGGAATCGATCATTTCTACGTCAATCCATACTCGGGGGATCTCAGTGTGGACTTCCCAGCTCAGGAGCAGCACTGCTTGGGTGGAATCCTAGCGGATGAAATGGGACTTGGAAAGACGATTGAAATGATGAGTCTTGTCCATTCTCATCGGACGGAGCCTAGTCCCAAAGTTATGAATGGTATCGGATCAGTGAACGACCTTGCCCGGGTACCAAACTCAGCGGGTATAGTTCCTGCGCCCTACACAACTCTAGTCATTGCCCCCACCTCACTACTTTCTCAGTGGGAGAGTGAAGCCTTGAAGGCTTCGAAGCCTGGAACTATGCGTGTTCTCATGTACTACGGCGCCGAGAAAGCCGTCAATCTTCGAGATCTTTGCTGCGAATCGAAGCATGCATCTGCACCGCATGTTATAGTTACAAGCTATGGAACTGTCTTGTCCGAGTTTCGTTCTTTGGCAATGCAATCTATGTTGTCGGCAGGTGCATACGGCGGCTTGTTTTCTGTCGAATTCTTTCGAATCATCCTCGATGAAGCCCACACTATCAAGAATCGGCGTTCAAAAACCACCAAAGCCTGCTGTGAACTCAAGACCACCCACCGTTGGGTCCTCACCGGTACTCCAATTGTCAACCGATTAGAAGACTTGTTTAGCCTCGTGCGATTTTTGAAGGTTGAGCCGTGGAGCAATTTCTCATTCTGGAAAACGTTTATTACAGTTCCATTCGAATCTAAGGAGTACATCCGGGCTCTCAATGTTGTACAAAGTGTCCTGGAGCCCCTTGTCCTTCGGCGAACTAAGAGTATGAAAACCCCCGAAGGCGAACCCTTGGTTCCCCTGCCACCTCGAACAGTCACCATTGAGGAGATTGAACTACCTCAAAAAGAGCGAGAAATCTACGACTGCATCTATAATCGCGCCAAACAAACATTTAATGAGAATGTCGAAGCTGGCACTCTCCTGAAGTCTTACTCAACAATTTTCGCTCAGATTCTCCGTCTTCGCCAGACATGCTGCCATCCTGTTCTGACTCGCAACAAAAACGTGGTAGAGGACGAGGAAGTTGCCGCAGCTGTAGCTGATGCAGCCAATGAGATGAAAGATGACATGGACCTTCAGCAACTGATAGATCAATTCACTGCGACGACGAATGAAAATGCGGAATCAGAAGATCGCTCTGTGAAGTTCACGGCACACGCTCTTCGTCAGATCCAAACAGAGTCTAGCGGAGAGTGTCCTATCTGCTGCGAAGAACCAATGATAGATCCAGCAGTGACGGCATGCTGGCACAGTGCTTGCAAGAAATGTCTTCAGGACTTCGTGACGCACCAGACAAATAAGCAGGTCAGCCCACGGTGCTTTTCGTGTCGAGCTCCGATTGATGCCAAGAATATCTTCGAAGTTGTTCGCCATCACTCTTCCAATCCGACACCGATGGATGGATTTGCTTCCAGCGATACGCCACCAAACAGCACCCAGCCTGCTCCACGAATTTCTCTTCGTCGAATCAATCCACTCTCCCCATCTGCCCATACGTCGGCCAAAATCCATGCGCTGATTGGCCACCTTTCACGGGTTCCAGCTGGCACCAAGTCAGTCGTGTTTTCTCAATTTACGTCCTTCCTAGATCTCATTGGCCCGCAGCTCACTGGAGTTGGTATCACGCATGTGCGCCTAGATGGTTCCATGGCCCAAAAGCAACGTAAGGCGGTCTTGGAGGAATTCACGAAGACCGAAACTTATGAGGATGAAATCATTGACTCCGAAGCCGAAGACAACGGAAAATCTTCACCTAAACAGGCCCCCACAGTTCTACTGATTTCACTACGCGCTGGTGGTGTTGGTCTCAACCTCACGGTGGCAAGCAATGTCTTCCTCATGGATCCCTGGTGGAGTTTTGCTGTTGAGGCCCAGGCGATCGATCGTGTTCATCGTATGGGTCAAACGCGAGATGTCTCGGTCACACGCTTCGTTATCAAAGATTCGATTGAGGGTCGCATGCTGCGAGTCCAAGAGCGCAAAATGAACATTGCTGGCTCGCTTGGCCTACGTGTGGGTGGTGATGAAGGAGACGACAGCAAGAAGGAACGGATTACGGAGTTGAAGATGTTGTTTGAGTAGCTTTTATGTATACCTAGGAGTGTTATTGAACTAGACTTTAGTAGTAGCTCAAGACGAGTCTATGCGAACTAAAAAAATAACATGGGCTACACTACCAGGTCTAAAGTCCGCCAGCTGCGACCCATTCGCGCATGACGCCAAAGTGCCTGCATCGCGAACAGCTTTGCTCTAATTAATAGGAATATATATCGATACATGTATAAATGACCAGAGCTTGATTATTACACTGTGACGTATTGTCAGTGCTGTGTTATTAGTGATTGGTATTTGATGACCCTGCTTTGAAAAATTGACGAATCGTTCGCTTGTAAATTGGGAGAGTGCATCAATTTGACACAGTAGGTCTTTATTGTTGACCTTACATTCTGACTGGATTTCTGAGCTAGTCAACACTCTCGAGTCAGCTGTCAACATGCAATCCTTTCGCTTCCATTGAGTTTCCACGTCTGAATCAGAATTCTTGGACTCTTCTTCATCATTGGCGAACGTGAGTGTTGCAGCGCGGACTCTTCCGGAGGCGCCCTTAAGCCAGTGTAGCTTGGGCCTATCTCTTCGAGAGCATTCTAGGTCATTATAAACTTGTTTTAATCGCTGTGAATCTGCGTCTAGAGGTGATTTATCTATTAAGCCCTATGTAAAATAGTTGAATAAAGAATCTAGAACATCTACTTCATCATAGAGCCCCAGCGTTTAATTTGGAACGATAGCTATAAGGACTTGATATATTTAAACTTAAAACCAAAGTTTAAAGAAAGGTTACTTCAACTTCACTACAATGCAACCTCTTAACTTGAAAGCACTCGTTATATAACTGAAAACGGTTGTTTAATCGTAATTGAAGCATCTTTACCATCATTAACTAAATATATTATAATTATACTCAAGACTAATATAAATACAAGGATATTTTCCCTCCTTTTCATTCACATTAAATCTATCTTAAAATACTTTAAAGTCATCGAGCCTTATTAAACCAACTTTAATAGTTTGGCTCTTTAATCAAACCTCTCTTACACCAAAATGCACTTCGCCTTGCCAATCTTTGGACTTCTCGCCAGTGTTGCGATGTCTAACCCCACCTGGTCCAATACTTGGGACCCCACCTGGTCCAATACTTGGGACCCCACCTGGTCCAATACTTGGGACCCCACCTGGTCCAATACTTGGGACCCCACCTGGTCCACTACTTGCACTACTTCTACCACCACTACCTCGACCACCACTACCTCTACCACCACTACTCCTACCACTTCTTGTACTACTACTCCAGAGCCGTCTTGGATCTCCGAGTGGTCGCATTGATTGCGTAAGTTCAAGTGCAGCATCAATGCTAAATGCTTGACGACTCGAATGCAGCGGCTGATGTCTTTATAATACGGATAGCCTCCAACTTGCGGACGATGCCCGGGTGAAGGAAACTTTATTTGTGGAGAAGGGCAACAAGGTTGTTGCCCGTATGAGGGAACTGAGTGTCGTATTCTTTGTCCTCTGTTTGAATCGTGCACATGTACCAATCTTAGCGACTGAGTGGGATGCTCCCGCATTGGACGTGGAAATACCTTTTGTTTGGTGCTTTCCAAGTCCAACCAAGGATGTTGGTATATGGGGTTTTCGTTGCTCGGATATCCTGTGGATTTCAGCCATTCGAATATCCCACGCGTGGCTCTTACCGAAAGCGATTGCGAATGGAGATCATAGTTGTAATCATCGAGCACGGCCAGTGCCTTGTTGGTGGATAAATTTGATGCGTTGAGAGGAGGCTTGGTAGTTTCAGTTCTAGAGTCTTGAATTGAACTACCGTTTGTCAAAATCTATTCCTGATTGTTATACTCTAAGTAATGGGTAGTGTGCTAAGTATTTTGTCTGATTGTGAAGCTCTGTATTATAAAGCTTTGTAAACCTAAAGGGCGTCTAAGGCTAGATTAGAGGCTGGTTATGGCCTTCGTAAGCTGTAATAAAAAGTAGCCGGTATTTATTATCGCGGCGTATTGATTCCTTATGATACTTCCTTACTTTTAGTATTGAAAATGTCTCTATTATTTTGATCTAGGTAGAAGCTAGAAGATCCAGAGCTGTTATTCCTACTTATATATTGCGTAAAGAAGGGCCTACTAGGTCTATAAGTGTTTCTCTAAGTTAGGGTATACTGATTTAAGGCTATTGACTTGCTAATAATGTGGCTACTAATATCTTTCTTAAGAGGATTGAGTAAAGAATAGTAAAAGCCGGATTTAGCTAGGTACTAATAAGATTATACTTGATATCTATATCAAAGAATGTATTATATAGGAGAAAGCGTAGGCCCTAAGGATTAGAACTTAGTATTATATATTAAGGGGGTAATTCGCTGTGGTTATTAAGAAAATCTAGGATAGAAGTAAGAGGGTTAATAGTACTATCCTTTCTTCTAAGTTAGGAACCTCGTTTTGGATATGGGAGAAAAACTATTTTATTCCCTATAAACGGAATCAATAACCCCTCTATAAGAGTAAAGGAGTACTAAGCGTATAGCCGATAGCATATATAGAAATAAGAGAGGTATTTAAGAGCGGCTGAGGATTTAGGTAGCTTGAATTTGGTATCTGGAAAACCGTTTATTGCTAGGGTAATTCCTGTATTTTTATAGATACCGACTATAGTGATGAATAAATAGTACTATTGAATTTAGTAGTTGTATCTTAGCCATCGCTAGAAGAAAGAATGGAGCGCTACTAGAATACTTCTTCTTTATAAGCATCATCGTCAATTTCAATTTTAACTATAGATAGCTTATTCAATAGTGTGAATGATTCTTCCTTGCTTGGTATAGTATAGGCTGTATAATAACTCTTATGATTCAAAAACTGTAAAAGATAATAATATTCCTCAGCTTCTTGGACACTGGATAACGTATGAAAGCTAGATATCCCGGGCAAGTGGGTCAAAAAGCGTGAAAACGTCGATTTCCGATTCAAATTTGCAACTAAGTAAAGTCTCTCATACATGGGTCAATTGGTGCAGTGGTAGATCATAGGCAGACCGCTTACTTTGGGGCGTCAACGTATTACCGACTGAGTACCCCCGTCTAAACCGGGTGCCCGAAAGCAGGCATCCAACCCCGTGGTGTCTCATTTTAATAATGCAAGGAAATCAAGTATAGTATAGGATGACAGTTGTAAGTAGAGGTGCTCATGTTGACTCAAATAGCCGGTTCTACCTAGGGGGCTAGTTCGAGCTTCTTCGTAGGCATTCCTTTATGACCATATAGCTACATAGATAGGTTCCTTGAAATAAGCCATATATTTCGCATTCAATCCAAATAAGATGCGAAACCAATCTCTCCCTATCTTTCGGAATCTCATAGAAGCGACGAACTCGTAACCGGGGCATTTGCACTTTCCCCACTTCTCTCCACAGCCATAGCACCAATCGTAGTTACATTTACAACTAAGTTAAGGATTTCGATTAGTACACTAATAAGCAACTTCAAGGTTCTGTGGATCAGGATTTGTATACCTTATATGATTGCAGCCCGACGTTCGCTCCACGAAGGCTTTGCATTTTGGGCACATCTTCCTTTTTTTTTTTCGCAATTACTTCCAATCTCATCCAGTCCTTCTTATTCCTGCAGTCACCGGCATGAACCTCCTCTCCACAAAAGGTACATGTGTGGTGCTTACACTTTGGGCATGCACCAACATTGTCTTGTATCTTCTTTTCCGGAATTGGTTTGGAGCACCGCGCATTGGAACAGATGAGCTGCGGCTTTGGAGGTGGCTTATTCATCTCTGCAACCGTTTCTTCGAATCGCCGGACTAATTCATCGCCAAGTGCCGGCTTGATTGTGGGCCAGGGGATGGATTTGTCGCAGAAAAAGTGCGAGCATGGACATTCAGTCATATCTTCTATCCAGAAAGTTTCCAGACACGCAACGCATGTTTTAAATTAAGGCTCAAGGGCCTCTATTTCACGATCAAGTTCATCGAGGGAAGGGGCTGCAGACAGCGAGCTCAAGCTTGAGCTGAGAGATACGATGGAGGCTTCATCATCGGAGTTCGAGAGATGATCAGCTCCCGATTCACTTCCACCTGCTGGGGACGACTCGTCATCACTGTCGCCATCGGCAACAGTTTCGGGCTCGGAATCTTCAGCATTGTCAGCCCTCTCAAATGCAGCGATAAACTCCTGGGGTCGCAATAGAAAATGATTTATCTCTCGTTTCCATGAATTAAGCGCCGCCTCGCGGTCTGGCAAATCTAAATTCGGCTGGGTGACCTTGATACGCTTGATGCGATCTAGCTCGGCGGCAGTGTCACTTTTCATGAGCTCATAAATCAAATTCGCTGATGCAGAATCCATCTTTGAATACTGATTTTTTGAACCCGCTTTTTGTATTAAGATGTGTGCGAATGATGATTGTCGTGGGGATGAGGAGTAAGATGCAGATTGCTAGTATGTCATTAAGACACCACATAGCGTTTGTACCAGTCGTCTGAGGCCTGAATAGAAAGGTTTAGTTAATAAAAGCAGGAAAATTCCAACATTTGGCCTGGTGGTTGTCATTCTGTCGACTATACATTGTTAGAGATTGATGAATTGTATACAACTATTCAACGATGAATCAATGTCAGATTCAGCACGCCTCATATTTGGAAACAATAACCAATCTTCAAAACATGCTCATCTCCTGTTTTGATAAGTAGATGTCAAATATATAACTCTCTTGTCAATGCTTGACTCAATTCGGGCCAATCAGACATCGACCGTCGCAATTCCCTTCGATATCGCCTTCTCTGGACAGCCAGATGACCTACGCCGAAGGGAATTTAGACTCTTCGAGATAAAATACAAAAGGTGGCTTTTTCTCTCGGACGACATATTTGACGGATACATCTAAGTTGTCAGCAGCATGAGCGTGGCCGTCAGAACATGGTGGTAATCAGGCACTACTGATTTTATACCGATTTCTTCCTAAAGAAAGTGTGGGAGAAAGAAAGTTATATTGATTATGTCTCTATATACAACTTAGAACTGAACCAGATCCTTAACCTGGACAACCTGCCCAGTACGAAGCGCTTTGTTGGCAGCAATTCCCGTCAGGATAGACATGGCTCCATCCACATGTGACGCAGCCCGATTCAAGCGATCAGGCAAAGGTTCTCCAAAAAGATCATTCAATAACACAGGATCTCCACCCCCGTGACCCCCTTCTCCTTCAACAGCTTCCGCTTCATATGGCGGTGCAAACATTGGATGCACTGTAATCTTTGTATGAGCCACAGCACCCTCCTTGCTCTGATCCCCACCTGCGTTGACATAAGACTCTTCAAGAACGTCCATCTCCAACCGACCTCCATTTCCATTGAAACAAACCCGAAAACCCTCCCACGGACAGTATGCGTTGAGGCTGTACGTCATGATCGCTCCAGACTGATAGCTTACCAGCACGCCCATCGTGTCTTCGATGTTTATGCCATCACCGAAGACACTTTGATCGCGGTAATAGCCATCTTCATGCTCGGCATCCAAATACATGGCTTTGAGCTGAGGATGGTCTTCCATGTGAAGAGCGAAGGGATCGTTGACCGCCGCCGCACTGCCATGTGCTCGAGAGTAGAATTTGGTTTCTCCTCGAGATTCAGCATTCTCTTTGCCGTAAAACTTCAAGTCGCCCTGTGCAAAGACAGTACGTGGACTACTCCCTAGCCAGAAGTTTACCAGATCGAAATGATGAGTGGATTTGTGAACCAGAAGACCGCCACTGTTGCGCTTATCACGGTGCCAGCGACGGAAGTAATCTGCGCCGTGTCGAGTGTTCAAGAGCCATTCAAAGTGAACCGAAGTCACCTTTCCAATTGCACCATCCATCAGCAGCTCACGCACCTTGGTGTTATGAGGCGCATATCTGTAGTTGAAAGTAACTCGAAGCTGTCGCTTGGTCTCCTTGACCGCATCAAGGATCATCTGGCATTTGATCTCGTCCACTGTCATTGGCTTTTCGCTCAGCACATCACATCCTAATTGCATGGCACGAATAATGTACTCGTGGTGAGTGCGGTCAATAGTTGTCACTATAACCACATCGGGCTTGGTTTCTTTGATCATCTGGTCGAAATCGGCGGATTTGTATGTCAGTAGTGGCGCCAGGCCTAGTTCCTGGATCCGGGCATTGGCGACATCCATGCGAGTTTGATTCGTGTCACAGAATGCTACAAGAGATGCGCTTTTCTTGAAGTCTCGAACGATGGCGCTGTAAAAGAATCCAGCACGTCCCCCAGTGCCCACAACGGCGTACTTAGTTGGAGTCATCTTGTGATGATTCCGAATGCGGCTTTCAATATGTCTAACCATCGGAGTGGAAGGTTCTACTTGTAAAGAGCTACTTTGGGCCATCAGTACCCCTCAGCCAAGAAATGGTCACCCCCACGCTCGCTACTGTGTGTTTTTCCATCAATGGGAACTTGAAGAGACCCCGCATCCCCATTCCTCAACTCCACAGTCTAAGACGGGGCCATAAGCCTCGTTATGCCTTGATAGTCTAATTTCGCTCGAGCTCGGGCTAAGCATGTCCGAGGTAAAGCTTACCCTTCTGGGCGAAATAATATCCATAACGAGTCTTTGAATAGTACAAATCTACGATTGAATATAGATGCGGTATATTGATGATCGGTAAGACTGTTTATATAAGAGCAATCTCAAATTCAATGTTCTAAAAATGTTAAAATGACTGTTAATTCTCAAGGTACCTCCGGATGGTTGCAAGATTGGAGATAGCAGATACACCGTAACGAGCTGCCTCATTTGTGGACAGCAAGACTACCTCTCTGCCAGTAATTTGTTTTCCACTGATGAGAGCCTTATAATGACCCCAATCATAGTCAATCGTATAACCATCAGTAGTAAAGAACTGCTCCCAAGCTGCTTGACCAAGACCATGACAATTCTGCTCTATCGCCGCAAATGCCGTGAGAGTGGAATGACTCTGTCGCCATGTCGCGTGAGATGGAAACTCAAAGCCAAACTCTTCCCGTTGAACATCGGCACCTCCATTGTATGCCCGACAGTAACGCAGCCAGACCTTCATGAACCGCTCCACCGTTTCTGGATATTCACTTCGAGCGTAAAGGAACAACTCCGAGAAGACTTCGGGAAACCCAAATAGCATGGACAGATGAGAGATCGCCCACTCTGGAGTAGGAGGCGGGCATTCTCGTATTTCGCCGCTGCTAGGATTCAATAAAACAGCATTGTTTGCCATGCCGTGTTTGAGCTCGGAGATTCCATTCATGAGCCTGATCAAAAGGTCTCTGGAATGAGCCCATCCCTCTGATCGTCGCTCCCATGAAGTCAGCCAAGCCGCGGCGAGAGGGCCGCAATCGAGACCGATGTTTGTCATGGCGAATCCTTCCGGTATACCTGCGTGTTCCTGGACTTTTCGGTGCGAATCCAATGTCAAGAGAGCATTTTGGCATTCTTGAAGCTCTGAAATGAGATCACCGGTACGCTCATCCCCTGTGAGGTAGAAATAAATGCGCCGGTATAACACATTGGAAATGCGGAGTTGCTTCGAGCTATCACTGAAGTGCTGGACACCATGGCGAGTTCCAAACCCTTTGAACTTGCCCGTATGATACACATCAACTTCGCCGGTATGTCTCGTCATAGACTCGGCCATCCGAAACACGTCACCTTTTCCGCTGTGTAGAAAGTATAGCCAGAGCCACAAGTCGGTGGAAAGCTCAGAGTTGTCCCAAGCAAAACCACCGACATCATATCGCCAGGCATTTCGAAATGCATCGTAGGTATGTTGAACATCTCCATGATCCCAGAAACCGTACCATCTATTATGTTCAATTTGGCCTTGATAGAAATTGAACAAAATTTCAAGATTCTTCTCGATCTCATTCTCTCGATAGTTAGGCTCACAGCGTAAAATTCGTGTGCAAGGAGCCCAACACCCGTAGAATGCACCAGTGGAATGTAGATGCTCTGACGTAGCCACTAGACGCGGTGGATTTCGAACCAGTGATGAAAACTGACTAAGTTCTTCAATTGAAGGTGTCGAGGTAAATGGTCTGAGAAAAAATTGGTTTGTTCTTCCAATGCCTTTTGCAGAGGCGAATCCAAGCTCGAAATCCTCATACGTTACATTAAGACCCTCCAGTTGTTTCTCGTATGTATCCATTCCAAGTCCACCGTGGTATGGTCCCGTTTCTAGAGGCTCAGCGAGTGGCGAGTATAGCCAAATTGTGACTTTGCCTTGGTCGGACGCCAAGTCGCTTAGATCCAACTGCGTGGGATAGCGCTCCCAAAAGTCAGACATTCCCACTGCCAGTCCACCGTATTGAGCTGATCCAATGTAGGCGGTTCCATCCGCTCTTCTCCCTCCGTTAACTTTGACCCAGGAGCAGCCTGGCTTGGTGCGTTTCTTGATTGTGAAACCATCGGATGAAAGTTGAGAAAGTGAATACGATTCCCAGGCTGGAATGTATGATAGTCCCTTGGCTAAATTTGTCCGAGTCCACTCCCTTTCAACCAAGTTGACTGGTTTCCCAGCGGCTTGGTCGATTCGATTTTGGGTTGTGGGGCCATGGCGCAGTCCAGTTAATCCTTTGACTTCTTCTTTTAGAATACCCCCGTCCCATGGTCCCCCTATACGGACATGACGGTTGTAAAGCTCGGTCTCTGCAAGGGGAACAACGAACTGCAGTCCAAGTGAAGTCAAAGGTTCATTGGCATCGAGGTCGTGGATGAAGGAGTGAATAATCTTGACAGATGAGGCATTGGAATGAATATAGAATCGCACGTCAAAGGGGAGATGAGAGACAGTGGCCTCTACCACACCAGTAACTTTGATCACGGCCCTGCTGAAGGTGATATTTTCAACTCCCACCGCATCCACGCGCGTCGTGTAATCTTTCCTGTTGATAGATGCGATAACCGTGGCATTTGAGCAAAGCGATCGTCCATTGAGTGTAAGACTCTCCAGAATCGATTGACTACCTTGAGCTGCAAATTTCAAGACCAGTCCCCCCTGGGTAGTCACCACGAGACTGGAACCTTGTTGCTCGACTTTCATGCCTCGTGGAATCTCCGTTGGGTGTGGCGCGCCTTTTACCGTGTACTCTTCACTAAAGCCAACATCGCCGGAGACCGAATGAGCGGTCCATTTGAGAGATCCATCAGCCCAATATGCACCCTCTCGGGAGTCTAGAGGCCATCGATTGACGCCATCTTCAATCACAAATGTCTGATTTGTAAAGTAGAGACCTTTTGGCCATGACATTCCAAACGAAACCCCATTTTGAAGGCACCAGGCCCCATTTTTGAGGATGGGGTCACTACGGTCCAGGAATCGCAGGTTGTTACTCATGCTTGCTGAGCAGATGAGAATAAGACTGTCGGCGTTTTGAGATTATGCAATGTGTAAGAGATTGTCAGGAGAACTGAATCGGTATTACTGATTGCGTGCTCAGGTGGAGATTGCACCAAATTCAAGTTCTTACCGTGTACTGTATGATTGTTGTGTGTCCCGATGATATATTCCCGTGATGAGATGGTCCCTTTGATTCACAAACAAGGTTAGTAAGAACGCTCTCAAGTGCTTCCAAGGCTGGCTATGAATCATCTAAGTTTATACTTCCCCTCTTTCACTCCCCACTCAGGATAAAATGGAAAGATACCAGCCAATCGGCACAATCATATAGGCGAGACAAATAGCTCAAAGCCAAGAAAGCCGCAAAATCGGTGTTCTTATCTCAGACTCGGTATATCTGATGCCGGATCGACATAGGAAATGCCCAATTTGTGGTTGACATGGACAAGCAATCAGCGGAGACAGTGAACGACGCTAACCGGGATTTCCCCAGACACTCAAACCCCACATTCCGAGAATGCGGAGTAATTAAAAATAAACAGTGAGATATAAACGATGAACATAGGGCCGAATAGTCGCGAGCCTCAAAACCTTGGAATATCTGTCTCTCTTATCCTCTGCTATTTTGAGCCTTGAAAATGGCTGAACACCAGGAAGATGTTGCCGACCGAAATACGACGACTGTGATCCACGACAAGGATGAGGAGAAATATTCGGCTGCTATTGACACCCTGAAGGGTGCTCAGAGAGCAACTGATGATGAACATGGAATGACCCTACGAGAGGGTATCCGCAAGTACCCCAAGGCCGTATTCTGGTCCGTGTGGTTTTCCATGGCGCTTATCATGGAGGGATTCGATCATGCCTTTGTCAGCGGTTTCTTCGCCTTTCCAGCCTTTCAAAAGCGATATGGTGAACTTCAGAGCGATGGTTCCTACCAAATTCCCGCCGACCTACAATCCGGTATAAGCAACGGTGTCAATGCTGGAGAAATCATTGGTCTACTGATCAATGGTTTCGTGGCCGACTGGATCGGATACCGTTGGGTCATGATGATTTGCCTCATGCTTATGACGGCTTTCATTTTCCTCCAATTCTTTGCCACCAGCATTTATATGTATATGGGAGCTGAGATCTTGTTAGGAGTGCCATGGGGTGTTTTCCAAACTCTGTCTACAACATATGCCGCCGAGGTGTGTCCCAATGTTTTGCGACCATACCTCACAATGCTGGTCTCTCTTTGCTGGAGTGTCGGTTATCTTCTGGGAACTGGCGTGTTACGTGCTTTTCTATCATCTAGTGGACAGTGGGCATATCGTATCCCGTTTGCTCTTCAATGGGCTCTACCTCTCCCGCTTGCCATTGGTATCTTTTTCGCCCCCGAGTCACCATGGTGGCTTACGCGCAAAGGTCGCATCGCAGATGTACGAAAGACTTTGTACCGTCTGCGCTCCAAGGATAGCTCGGAAGCTGAGATTGAGGACACCATTGCGATGATGGAGCATACGATCAAGATCGAGAACGAAATGAAGGCATCAAGCAGCTACTGGGATCTCTTCAAGGGTGTAAACCTGCGTCGCACCGAGATTACCGTGTTCGTCTATCTCATTCAGGAGCTATGCGCGCCTCTCGTTTCTTATATTGTGTACTTCCTGGAGCAAGCCGGTCTTGCCTCCGCCGCTTCCTTCGATTTTGGCATGGGAGAGTATGCTCTGGCTATCATCGGGGTGTTCATCGCTTGGTTCCTAGTTCCAAAGGTGGGACGCCGAACACTCTTGTTGACTGGTACTGCGTTTTTGACCTTAACCACTTTCCTAATCGGGTTCTTGGGTATTCCGAGCATATCTGCCCATCCCAACATTGGCTATGGGATTGGCAGCATCCTCTTGATTCAATACTTTGTTCTTTTCATCACGATCGGCCCGATCATCTATACTATCGTGACTGAGATCCCTTCAAACTTCCTTCGCACCAAAAGCGTTGCCCTCGCGCGCGCTGTATACAACATTGGTGTATTGGTTTATGGACAATTGGTTCCCCATATGGTTCAAAAGGCGGCTTGGGACTGGGGGGCTAAGAGTGGCTTTTTCTGTGGAGGAATCATGGGAATTGGTTTCATTTGGGCCTATTTCCGTCTCCCTGAGACCAAGAACCGGACTTTCGCTGAGATGGATATTTTGTTTAATAATAAAGTCAAGGCAAAAGACTTTGAAAAGACCAAGGTGGACCTTGCTTCTGAGACTGTGTCACAGGAGTGATTTATAGATATTTATATCATGAAATGACACAAATTGAACGGATTATCCTCAATTTCTATATTCTGCGAACTGCTGTGATGTTCTTTCAAAAAATAAATCCAGATCCCGAGCCTTTAACCGAGATTCTCCTGTGATTGAAATAGTGAGGGGGTGAATCCACTTTGATCAGTAGAGTGGGACTGTGGATGATAATGGTTGGCTCTCAGAGATCCCGACCTTGCACTTCCTAGCACCCGTGGGCCATGGTATTAAGCCCCCCGGTTTTCCTCGACGATTACGACATTCAATTCATTTTGGTCGATAGTATCAAACATGCCAAATTCCACAGATAGACCCCGCAAACGGGTGCGCCATGATGATATCGAAGATGTCGAGTTGATCTCAGCTGCCGAAGGATTCTTCGAGGCTTTGTGTACGCTTAACGCTCTCGAATGTTCCTGAAAACATTGTTAACGTATTCTGTAGCGGAGGCTGGTGTCACTTATTGCTTTGTCAATTTGCAAGTACTGATATCACCATGATGCCATACCAAACTAACACATAATAGAGGAAGTGACCATCCTGCTATGCTCGAGGCCATGATCAAAGCAAAGCAGAGTTTGTTTATCTTGAACTTCCAATGCTCCATTCTAACCAGTGTATAGAAAAAGTTGCCAAATTCCCCAACATCATTACTTGCCCTTCGGAACTAGTGGCATTGTCCGCAGCCCTTGGGTTTGCACAAGTTACCGGCAAACCAGTATGCACCCCCTTGACTTGGCTTATATTTTCTAATTCATCTAGCAATGCGTTGTCGTGCACGTAGATTGCGGCACATTGGCCCTCGGACAGTCCATTCACAATGCCTCCGTGGGAAGAGTGCCAGTGTTGTGTTTTGCAGGCCTGAGCCCATTCACTCAGAGAGGAGAGCTTCTAGGTTCACGAACGGAGTATGTCAAGGGTTATGACTTCTCAAACTTAAGCTAAAATGAGTACAGATTCATTCACTGGCTGCAAGACGTGCCGGATCAAGCCTCTATTCTTCGTCAATATTGCCGATACTCTGGTGAGATCAAGAGTGGTCGGAATATTAAAGAAATGGTGAACAGAGCTTTGCAGATTTCTTTGTCAGATCCAAAAGGTCCGACTTATCTCATGGCCGCAAGGGAGGTTCTCGAAGAGGTACGAGTCACCACCAACACGTCAAAGCAACGACCAGCTAATGTCAATTACAGAAAGTGGACAAAAAGTTCCTGGAAGAAGAGAACCTCAATCCGATTGCCCCGAGTGCTTTGCCAGAGTCAGGTAGAAATATTTACCTTATGCATGCTATCCACTCATCGCTAATAGCAACCAGATGTCCAGCTGATTGCAAATGCACTTATAAATGCTGATCGACCTCTTGTGATAACAAGCTATCTCGGTCGCAACCCTCGCACTCCACCACTGCTAGAGAGTCTCTGCGACAAACTACCCTTTGGTGTTGTCGAGATGGTAGGATCTGATGTATGCATCCGGAGTAACCACCCAGCCTACTTGGGCGTCACGGTCACAACACACCCAGCAGTTCTTGAAGCTGATGTTATTCTCATTTTGGATTGTGATGTCCCTTGGATCCCAACTGCAGGAAAGCCTCGAAAGGGTGAGAAGCATGATTCCTCTCCTAAAGTACCCGCCACTTAACTGACTGGTCTTATTCAGGCACAAAGGTATTCCACCTCGATGTGGATCCACTCAAGCAACAAATGCCTCGTAAGTTTTCCCCTCTTTTTGAGCGGATTTTGTTTCTAACTCGCTGGATAGTGTTTTCTATAAACGCGGTTCGTAGGCTCAAAGTGAGCTGCGAGATTGCACTCCGTCAGTTGAATTCATACGTGGATGCGCAGACCCTTGGTAGCCCTCGCTATATTGAAGCATTTGAAACACGTGAAAAAAACTATAACGAATGGCGTCTTGCTCTTTGCAATTTGGAAAAGCCTTTGGACAATGGAATTGTTACAGTTCCACGCCTCGCTTGGACGCTAAGACAGCAACTCCCCGAAGACACCGTTTACGTTCTTGAGGCAGTAACAAATGCGGGAGCGATTATCCACCACCTTAATCTGGTGAAGGTAATTACACCTCCTCCGCATTGCTAGATTCTTGGTATATTCTTGGTATTCGCTTACATTTCTTTCAGCCAGGAAGTCTAGTCGGTAGTGGAGCTGGTGGTCTCGGTTGGGGTGGTGGTGCCGCCCTTGGCGTGAAACTAGCCAAACCGGAGTCTTTCATCTGTGCAATGTAAGTGAAATCTACTCCCCGAGATAAGAGTAAAAAGACTCATATTTGTCAGTGTTGGAGATGGGACGTATCTGTTCTCGCAGATGGAGAGTGTTTATTGGATAGCACGACGCTATGATATCCCATTCCTACTCATCGTGCTCAACAACGGCGGATGGAATGCACCCAAAGTTTCCGCTCTCCTTGTTCATGAGGATGGCCTATCCTCGAAATCCAACAGAAGAGGTAAGCTAGAAACAGTCTATCTTGGGGTGTTTATCACTAATGTGTATTCCAGATCTCAATCTATCATTTGAGCCCTCGCCCGATTACCCGGGAATTGCTGCTGCGGCTGGAGGTGCCTGGGGGGCTACAGTCAAAGCACTGGACGAATTGGGTCCAGCTATACGAGAGGCCAAGGATGTTGTAGTGGGTGGGAGATGTGCAGTGGTTGAGGTTGCGTAAGTGACATTGCGGTCTTTTCATAAACTATGCACTAATATCAGCACAGAGTTCCGTCGATGTGGAAGGAAACCTAGGATTTCACATGAGTTTTCTTTGAAAAGTTCAATCTACATCAGCCGTGGGAGATTCTCGCTTCTAGCTTTAGATTCATTAAGATTATTTTGTGGCTTGAATGTTTTGAGGTACAAGGAAGAGCAGTACCACGGTTGAAATGCAAGTTCGTTTTGTACAGTATCATCACATCACTTGATCACATCGACGCCATCCCAATGCTGTTTCCAGTTCACCCAACATAATAAATGCATCCGCCCAGTATGAAAACAAAATAGAGAACATTTACATACAGTGAAAGATAGAAAGAAAAAGACAGGGAAAAGAATGAGGAAGTGATACAACGGGTCTAGGCCCGAGCATATGGCCGGGGTTTCCAAGCAGGTCGATCAAATCCTACTTGTGGCTGCTTGCCTCCGTGTGCAGAATTGCGAGGTGGGGTTCGGAAATCAGGATAAAGACCAGACTCCATATCCATCAGGACTGCGCGCTGGGGTTGTGCGGAAACCCAGCCATTGGCCTTGGCCAGGGATTTAGCTGAAGAAGGACGCAAGCCTGATGGTTTGGTGACAGGGGTTATCTCTTTGATGATGTCGCGGAGTTCCTTGTCATCCTTAGTAATCTGGGCTTTGATGAATGCTGCATCAGATGGCTCAAAGCTTGACATGACGGATTCTCGTGGCGTATAGGTATACATCTCCGGGCGAGGAGGGGATGTTGGTACAATAGAAGGATCCAGGAAAGCGAGCTGGTCGCGATCCAAGATTTGAGTAATGTCCAAAGTTTCACCGTGAGGAATCTTGTGAGGATGTGAAGGTGTGATGCAATCCATGTCAACCTCCTTTCGCAGCACATGATCAATATCAACGGCGGAGAAATAGGCACATGACTGAGGCAGATCGTCAATGCCCACTTGCTGTGAGAATATAGCACGGGTCCAGACGTTGGCGATCTGCAGTGCTAGAGCCGCGCGGTATCGATCCTCGTCTTTGACCAAGTACCTGATTTCATCATGGACGGTAATTGATAAGCGAGCTTGAATGTTAAACCGCCGAATCAGATAGTCCATTCCAATGATGAGAAGGTGAAGATAATCGACCCCAGAAGATTGGATAGCCCAGTTGATGCGGGATGTCATGAAACTGCCTTTGTTGATGAAGCGGCGCATCAGGGCCTCGGTGATTCCAGCGCCCAAAGCAGGGGTTCGAGGCTTTTCTTGGTCGGCAAACTCCTCCAATTTATTGAACACAAAGGATTCAGTGCCACCTCGCCAGAAAGGAGATTCACTGAGAATGCGACGTGAAGTTCGTATGCCCTTAGTCTCCTTGTACAGGTTTGCTGCCGTCTGCTGCGTTTCTCTCTCAGTCAATGACGGGTTGAACTGGCGGAGAAGAGTAGCAGCAAACTTGACGCCGGCGCCATAAATGCGCCCGTAGTTGAAGACCTTGGCATCGTTGCGAGAGATTCCCAGAATTTGCGCACTGCGAGAGTGCAGATCAGTTCCTGCAGCCTTGGCGCCTTCCAGTGTCATGAAACCAATGGCATTCCCACCGTGGATCTGGAAAGATGCATCGCCGACAAGACTGGCAATCCAAAGCTCTTGAGAATCAACATCAGCGCCGACAAACGAGTATCCAGGGGGCGCTTTGATCATGGCCTTGAGCTCTGAGCCAACACGATTTCCTTTCGCGTTGCTTGCAGTGAGCCACGTATTCTCCACAGCACGGCGAGTGATAGTACCCATTGGGATGATCTGTGGTAAAATGAAACCCAGTCGGTTCTCATCCTTATTTTCCACGCCCGTCGCTCTAAGTTGGTCCTGGTAGACCACCATCTGACTCATGATCCGGTCTCGAGCACTAATCCAATAAGAGCAAGAGGCGTTCATGTCCAAGGCTTCCTTAGCCAGCTCGAACTCTGATGACAAGATTCCACGCTCGAAATATTGCATGTAGCCTTTACCCAGTGGGTTTGTGCATCTCGCCTGGGGGCCATCCTTGTGAGGAATTTTGAAGTATGTGTTTTTTCTGTCATCCCGCAATTGCTGGAACTTCTCTTCAGTCATGTCACAGAGAACAACCGGCTGATTCTCATATTTTTTAACCTGGTCACGAGGAACGCGAAAGGTCCAGCCGTGCTTGTCAGACCAAATGAGTGGGTATCCGTCCCAAGACAGCTTGAGCAATATGGGCGCAATCCGAGTTCGCACTGTCAAATTGATGTCGGAGGTACTGCTGGGGAAAAGATCCTTGTACCACTTGGGCATGCCTGGTTTCTTCTGCCGCGCTGCTGGGCGAGGGGGGTCACCCTTCTTCTTTCCTTTAACCATTTTGATCTCTTGGCCGGACCAGTCCAGCTGCTGTAACCAAGGATCATTTGTATAAACATCTGGCTGATCTTTCCTCTTCAAAGCTTCGTTGCACAGTTCAATGAGTTTCCGTTGGACATCATCTAGTCTTTTATGGTATGTTTCCTCGGCCTTGGTCAGGTATTCTTGCCATGTCTGGTTGACGGGAAGAATGACCGAGGACAAGTGTCGCAGGGCACCGAAACTGACCGGGTGAGGGCAAGTCTCGAGGAAATTGGGGAAGACCTTCCGATAGACGCGGTGGGTAATCGCCACATCCGCAGCACAGTAGTCCACAAGTTCCTCCCATTTTGTTAAAAGAGTTTTCCTGTCAAGTTCGCCGAAGAAATCTCTCTGTGCCTTGTCGATAGTCACATCGCAGTGAAACTTCGCCACATCTCTCAAGGAATTCACGGAACTTCGGCCAACCCATAATTCTTCCTCCTCCTCACGTAGCATGTTGTTTTCGAGCAATGAAGCCAATTCGGCGGAGTTGTGGTCGCTGGCAATTTTGTCGCGGAGGTCCTTATTCTTCTTATGGCGCATCCATGTTGGCCTTTGCTGTGAACACATTCCATTCACGGCCACGTGCAGAGACATGGTGTCGACGAAAAAGTTTTGAGATTGTCGCATGTCGTATTCCTCCAGCACCCGAGCACGGTCATATCCAATATTGTGTCCCACCACTATCCTGGGCTTTGACGGGTCACCCAGAGGTATCAAGTGTACTTTCTCCTCGGTTTCACCCAGAAGCCACGGCGATAGCCATGCATACCAAGTTGTTGGGCTGACTGCGCAAGCCATGACTGCGAATGAGTTGTCCTTGTACATAACCTCAGTATCGAATGTAAGCATCTCCTCATCCGGAGCATCTACAGGCTCCGACGAGCCGTCCGAGTTGTATTTGGTCCATCCACTGCGTTTCACCCATTTGCGCGGTTTTGTCGGACAGTTCACGGCTGCATATGACTTGGCGAATGTCAGATATGGTTCTGATGCATCCATTCCAAGTTTGTAGAAATGTTCATCAAGAGTCTGTCCCTGGAGAGGGGGCATGTCGAATGCGATGGGATCTGCTGTTTGGGACTTTCCGAGGAGGTCATGTCTGGCCAAATGGTCTTTGGATAAGGCAACGAGCTCAGGATCAGGTATGCGACCCTTGTTAGGGAACACTTGAGGATATATATAGTCGCTTAATTGTTGAACACCGATCTCGTTAAATCTAGGGGATGCGGGAACTTTTACCAGGTCAGTAAAATCGGGCGCAGCCCGCGGCACTTTCGGCAGCTCGTACCTTGAAGAGATCTTTTGAGTGATGAGGTATCATGGACGGGGACGGAAAAGCGCCGCAAAATTCGACCGCTTAAGGTGAGTCGCCATGGCTGGGGATAGACGGGTGTTGGTCGCAATTCTACGCGCGCAGATCTCACCAGTCCCCTTGAAGGAGAGCAGGAGAGATTCCACGATAACATGATCGGCGGGCGTGGATTGAATAGAATACTGAATTCAGGGCATGGTACAGTCAGCGCGACTGCAGCTATGAGCTGCGCTTTGCTAGGTTAGAAGATGAGGTAGTCAACTAACGCTTTTTTTGCGATCTCCATATCACTCCTATCGCATCTCAGCGTCATTTCCGCCTTCGGATTAACTAAATATCCGGATAAGGAGGAATTATTACTTGTACCTAGAGCTAGTAAAATAGACGTGTTCCCATCTATATGCTACCCCTCTGATGAACATGTCGAAGATTACATCAATTCGCACAATACTCGGCCAGTTCATATCCAGATATCTATGCAGAAGAGAGGAAAGGAAGGGAGAAAGCGAAGTACAAAGAAGGTAAACAAGTAGGAATAGCGCGCTAGTCCTAATTCAGATCCTTTCATTGTGATGCTCCTATGGTCAAAAAAATAAAAGGCACAAAAGCAAATGAGAGTTGCTCTTCTTCCTACTAAGTACCTACCTAGTAGGTAGTAGGTATTCCTACGCATACTTTTGTGTCCCCATAACTTTCCGCCATACCTTCCGCCACATTTTCTTTTCGCCACACCCACCTACTCCCACATTCACCGCCATCTTATCGATTGCGATAACGATTAATCTGCCATGCCACTTTCAAGGTATGGCTTCTCTTCGTTCTAGCCTCATTTTCTTTCATCGCATCGTTGCCATCAGTGGGATTCTGTGGCCCTCCTTCCACATATTTAACCCGTCGTTCACCAGTTCATGAGGACGATTTGACCTCTGTCTCCAGCACTTGCACCACTCTGACGGTCGAAGCGACCGTCTCAGGACCAGGACCAGGTTCAGCTGAAACCAGTATGAGTAGCAGAGATTCTGCGGTCGATCTGACCGCAAGCACAGAGGAAACGCGCCAAGTATTGAGTCTAACGGCTTCCTTGCTTTTATCCTCATCACGTAACGACCTACCAATCCCACATCAATCCCCAGACACGACAGCCCGCGGGGTTAAGCGCCGTCACACCGATGATGATTCATGCTCTTCTACCCTATCCGAATCCTCGGAAGATGAACAAATCGAAGCTATCGATTTGACCGATACTGCGGGATCATCAGTCGCGAAAGTCCTCGCTAAACAGAGGGAGGATGCCATCAGGGCTCAGCAATCACTAAACGACGACGACGAAGGTGCATCGCTCATCAAGGCTTACAAGTGTCCTATTTGCATGGATACACCAGAGAATGCCACAACCACAGCCTGTGGTAAGTTTTGAAAACACTTATCACTGTTTTTCGTGATAGCTGTTCCTCACACTCGTCTACTTAGGTCACCTATTCTGTCACCGCTGCATTCTCGAGTGTTTGAATCGTTCCAATGAACAACCGGATAATCCAAACAAGTTTGCCCGTGGTACATGCCCCGTGTGCCGAAAGCCTATCACTAGGAATGAGGCCCCGGGCCCTCGCCGCAGCCTTATTCCTCTTCAACTCAAGTTGATGACCAGGAAGAGAGGCGATTCAGCACCCATCGATGCTTAATTCTCAATTTTTTTTACATCGCTATTCAAGCGTCGCATTTAAGGTATCAGTGGGATGGCGTTTTATTTTAGGAGGGTCTTTGCCTTCTGCGGGGCGTTTTATGACTAGGCTTATCATTACTTTGCCTTCTTTTTTATATGAGCTTGATCTCCTGAACCCTACAATCTTGCATGTCTTAACGACTTACGAGGTAGTAGTCTCGTTGTTAACGCTTCGAACTTCCGGTCTTATTGTATACATGTATGTTCAAGTAAACGATTTAGAAGAAAATATACTGCATATTGTACTGCATATTGTACAAAAGAATGGATCAGCGGTGATATTTTCTGCAGATCATTGATGAGCGGCCTCATTTGCGTCTCATAACCTCTGAGTGCCGCATCAATATCCCCCTCATGCTTGCAGACCTCACCAGCTAGCAAATATGCACCAGCAATGGCGAGAGTTGTGCCAGTACCAGTAAGTCCCGGTGCATAACCCGCATCCCCCACAAGAACGAAATGTCCCTTGGACAGAGTGGAAGTTTTGACCTGCACAAACTCAATTGCATAGAAATCACCAGATGCCAATATGGACCGTACGGCTTCATTCGCCTTCCACCCCACGCCCTGATAGTGCTGACTGATATAATTCTTGACTGCGTCATCTCCTTCTTTCATGGCTTTCCGGAAGGGTAATATGCTCTCTAGATCGGAGCGTGAATTGCAACCCATGAAGATAATTCTAGTTCCACCGGCTGGATTAACTCCGACAGCCATAAAGCGACCCCCGACAGCACTATGCGCATGACCGATTCTTGCTACCATCACAGAGATCTTGATCAGTACTGAAATAGGCTCCCCAGCTATTTGTGGGGACAACATGGTCGCGGGAACCACAGCCAAGCCGATAGATCGCGTTCTCGAAGTCGCTCCATCACATGCCACGACAAGGTCAAATTGTGCAGTCGGCATACTGCCCGTGAATTCGACCGTCACGGGCCCATCTTCACTTGGGTCTTGCTGGATGGAGGCGACTTGTTCGCCAAAAACATATTTAACGTCCTTATTTTCTTTGGTCATATCGTAAAGGATTCGTGATAGATCACCTCGAAAGATCTCATATTCGGATATGAGTGGATTGCTTGTCAGGATCGCCAGTTGGTCTGATAGTTCCGTATAGTAGGCCTTCGGAGTTGACAAAGCTGATTCCTTCAATTTCTGCTTTTTTGGCTCGACCAGCCTCCTCCATACCAGGCATCTTGCGCATAATTGTGACGCCTGCCACACGGATATCAACATTATGTCCGTCAGTACGTAGCTCTGGGAAGCGCTCGATCACCGTGACCTTGGCTCCAGCTTTGGTAAACCAGTACGCTGCTGTAGGTCCAGCGATGGAGGCACCCACGATGAGAACCCTTAATCGAGACATTGACTGAGATGTATTGAAATTGACAAGGAGAGAAGGGAGGTTGAATAATAATTCACGGACTTCTTTGTCTGATAACACTTGGGGCTATTTGATGGCGGGCTACACAGCTCGGGCGGTAGCCGGCCCCGCAAACCCCGAATTTTGCTGAAACCGGGTTTAGAATGAACCTTGAAAAGGGTAGACTGGTGACTCAAGCTCGTATTGTTGCCGTCAAGGGGTTCGATTGGCTGTTTCTATTCTCGAAATTTCCAGTAGACAAGGTCACGCTCGATGTGATGTATATTGCTCACTCAGCCTCTTATCTAACTCAACTATGTGTAAAAATATGTAACAGGTGCAAAAACCTTGGAATCAACCGAAAACCGGCATTTCGTTAAGCGTAAGAAGCCCAACCTAAAAAGGAATGTCAGTCTTGTATTTGGCAGACAGGTTAGGGGGGAGAACATACCACAATACAGCACAGCAAGATTCCTTTCGTCCGTTGCCTGCTGGATAAGCTCATTAACAGTCGCAGTCACACTGAGCGTTTTGCTCAATTTTTTTGCAACTACCGTCAAAGCTCGGTCAGCCTCACTTGGCTCATTCGTCGAGGGTTTATCTGTTGCACCCGGCACAACAGGAATTCCATCACCCGCTTCCTGGTTATCCTGCATCTTCTTCATTCGCAGCGGTGACACAGTCCAGCTGTACAGTGGATCATACCGGAGCACATCAAGAATAGTCACAATGCTATATGACTCTTGTCGGAGTGCCTCTAAGGTGAATTCGCAGCATCGCCGGAAGACACCCTCTGTCTTGGTAATACCGAAGCCGTCAACAAGATCCCGAGTCAGTCGGAAGGGCACCACTTCTGGGACCGGGAGGACACGCCCTTGTTCAAATGCGACACCCAGGTCGATGTGAACTACTTCGCCTGTCTTCTCGTCCAACAAGATGTTATGTCCATGCCGATCACCGAGTCCCAGGATGTGTCCTAGAATGGAGATTGCCGCGGTACTTCTGGTGTACGCAAGTCGCTTCCTAAACCAGTCATCAGGGTTATTGAACTTCTCCATGAAGAAGTATTTCATCACTGGATGGAAGTGCTCTGTCACTTGGCGATACGTCCTGACTCGCTGTTCAAATGATCGACTTTGCACATCGGCGATGTGTTTTCGACAGGCACTGGGTTTCATGTCCTTGGGGAAATAACGTTGGTGTGCAGGCATCAGATAGTCGTGCAAGGGGATGGTGTTGGGGACAAATTCGATGATGCCTGCATTGAGGGTCAATGGCAGTACCTTGTATGTCCTGATGCCTAAATTTCGCTGGCGAGTTGGCTGATGATCATTAAGCACACTGCTGACTTGCTCAAACACTTGCTCCATGATAGCGTCTTGACGAAGATCATCATTACCTCCTTTGTACTAAGATGGTGTTAGTAAATTCATATTTGTAATGCAGATTAGCAATCATACCAGCTGCTTATAGTGGACACCATTGGTCGCAATAGCTGTAACAATTTTGGGGGCGCTGACACCAGACGCAAGCGTGAATTCAGGGGAAAATTTAGCAACTTTGGGAACGTCGCTGTAGTTCCGATCTCGCCGGAGCTTGATCTTCATAGTTGGCGGCGGCAGCTTATATGTGACGGCATCTTGCCCAAGACGCTCTCCAGTAGGAAGTTTCTTTAAAGGAACTTTGGCGCCTGTTTTGAATTTGCTGTCTGGCTTGTCGACTGCAAAGCGGACGTAGGTGATATTCATGTTATGAACGGCCACCCACGTTGAACCAATCTTGCTATCGTTCTTCAAACGATCGACAAGGTGGTTTGCGGCACGATATCTAGAATGAGATGACGGATCCTTTCCACCTTTAGACTTGCTGCTGGCAAAGATCTGATACATGCCGTGGAATGGGTGTTCCACGCAAATCTTGTACACAAGCCCAGTGAGTAACGATTGAAAATCATCAGAGACATCAAGCAGGCGAGAGGAAAGCTGATTCATCAGTGGCGCAAATTTGTAGCTGGGCACCTCATTGAGATACTTGGAGACGGCCGAATTTGCGATCTTGCTGTCGGATTTATCTAGCCAAAGCGCACAGAATCGAAGGATATCATTGTGGTACGCATCACTTTCTCTCAAGGCAAGGAGGTAGTTCTCCAGACACTGCTGCAAGAAGGCTTCTCGACTCCGGAGCAACCGCTGGTATTCGCGATCGTCAAGATCGAACCATTGTTTGGCTTTTGAACGGAAGATTTTCAAAGACTCTTTTTCCCGGCCCTCTGCATTTTTCATCATATCCTCGAGACCTTTGAGCTCTTTCTCCTTGCGATCCCGCAGTTGTTCAACCCGCTTGAAGTCTTCCAGTCCATCAGCATTCAGTAGCTGCTGATCACAGAACGCTGCGAATCCATGGTAGACTCGACCCGCGGTTTCTCCTTCCGAGGCACCTTTCAATTCTTTAACTGCGGGAGACAGGTAATCGTGAAGGATCGAATCCGGCTTCTCCAGGCGTGCCTCCGCGACATGATGACCCTAGAAGAAATTAGAATCTCGAAGTGGAACAAGTAATAATATTGAACCAACCAAAGTCACAAGCAATTCGGAGCGGCTCAGTGGGATTGCTTGATTTTGCAAATCTGCTTGGCCTTTCAAATTCTGCAGCATTCGAATGGAGGCAGTCATCTCTCCTTGATCCCAGAGTACATTGGCAAGATCAAACTTGGTGGCCCCATCAATGTTCATCCCCAGCTCAGCGCAGGGTCCAGCCAGCCCTGAAAGACTGATGGCTGATTTCAATGATGCCTGGGATACGGCGTGTTTCCTGTTGATTTCGAGAGACTGGCGGAAAACGTTTGCTTCAAGTAGGCGCGACTCCGCAATGGTCATCTTCGTCCTGGACTGGAGTAGGTCACTTTTTCTGATCGAGGAGAACAGTGCCTCGTGCCATCCCAGAATCTCCCCAACCTCGTGATGACTAGCCGAATTAGCATCCATACACCAATGCGAGGCGTATTCGCATATTCACCTTTCAGTTTCCAGCCAGCTACTGCTCTCTTGGATTCGCTTCCACTCCTTGTTCATTTCTTCAGGCGACGTTGACTGGATTACATCGCTCATCTCCGTCATAATGCCCAAGGCGCGCATAGCGTTTCTGATCTGAATTGCGGACCGACCAGTATCGGTCAAGGAGTCGAGGGTCGTCAACAGACAGCCATTGATACAATTAAATATCTCTGGCAAGGAAGATGATGTGTTCAAGCTTTTAAAGGCACGAAAAACTGTTGCTGACGGCGACGAGTCCAATGGTGATACGGGTACATCCCATTGCTGGAGACTCGTAGCTCCTTGCAGCATTTTATCAGATGAAAAAGGCGTTTCATTTGTTCTTCCTCCAGCAGATAGCATTCTGTTAGCAATTCCCTGGAGATTAGCCGTGTTCAAGGCCCTCAGTACCCCAGAAGGATTCGCCATTTCAGATATCTGAATTTCGCTGTCATATTGTGCACTCTGGAATATGAGATTCTTGAGTCCAGAGCTCTCGTACTCCAATCTCTCCATGACGGTGGTCAAAGAGGAGCTTTGCTGGATACCGTAAAACAAATCTGGATCATCGACGTTCTTGAAGATATCGTGAAGCAGCTCCAAAGGAGGTTCATATTTTACGACAGATGACCGACGAGACCCAGCAACGATCCTGCTTGCCTGGATTTCAAGAAAAAGAAGCGCAGTTTTTTGCAAGCCACACTGGTGCGCAGCTGTGGATGCTTCTCCGAAATCAATATCAAGCCACATATCCCGCTCGACGATGGTCGATTCATCTGGCACAGGTTGATTGCGAAGATAAAGGATGCAATCTATCACGCTGCGAGCATGAGGCATCGTTTCATCACTGACTTCGCGCAGAATTTGTTTGAAAATGTTGGATAAATCTTGCCGAATCTGCCCTTTTCTGTCTTCCTCTGTAAGGAGAACGTCGTGGACGATATATGGCAACAATTGCACAGCCAGCCCTGGAACAACGTTAAGAGCCTTGTATAGGGAGCCAACTACTGGGTCGTTCAGGGAGACGTTACACAGGGAAAGACAAGTATTACGAGCCCAGTCAATCGCAGAAAGCCCAGATACATCCGCTTTTGCTTTGCCGCAAGGTTTAAGTTCTGATTCGGATAGCGCGATGTCAGGGCAAGAATATGGATTCCAGATAAGGGCTTTCACCAAAGGCTCAGGTATGACTTCTGCGCAGCCTTCGAAGTCTGGAAATCCCGGTATTTTGCTGAGAATTAGTTGCAGGGTTCGTTCAATCAGACCAGCTTCCATATAGTTGTGGCTCGGTAGCTTCTCGCAAAGAATCTGGAGGATACTGGCCTTGGATTGACAGAGATTGTCAAGTTGCGCAGTTATCTCAGATGCTTTAAATAACGAAAGCCCCTGTTCTCTAAGCAAGCTCTCGTCTATTTTGCCTGAAGCAGCAAATGAACGTCCAATCAGCCGAGCTGCCCATAAAGAGTACTCGGGTCCACTATCAAACCTATCCAGAGTATCCCACAGGGAAACAACGTGAGAGGCTGGGTCAAGACTCTCACCGTCTTTGTCCAGTGGTTTTTTTATCTCAGGGCAAAGTAAAGAGAGTAAATTATCACCAATTGATTTGCTCAACAAAGGTCTCGCAGAATCACGGTCTTTGAGAACCTCAAAGACCAACCCCTTTTCATTTTGGCCCGTCGGTGGATCGTCAAGGGCTGAAAACTGTTGTGCAAGATTTAGAAGCTGAGAGAAAGACTTCTGGCCAGCTGCACTCCAGTCCGAACAGTCATAGTCTTTAAGCAAATCACAAAGCCACTGATGAAACATCTGTGCGTTCGAAAGCATTGTTTTAAATTGTATCTCTTGCGTTGTGCTCTCGGGAGATGATGCAAACAGCTTGCGGAGTGTCACGAGCGTCGATATGCAGATGCCTGCCATAAACCCAGGAGCCCGCACCAAGTAGGGTTTTCCGGCATCGAGAAGATACCAAATTATACCCAGAACATCTTCGCAGCAATGGATATCGATTAGGAATGGCCGCAGGGCATGTAAGAGCATCTCAAATGGGTAGTCTTCGAGTATCCTTGGACCAGCCAAACAAACCAGAATCTTGATCTTTCGAATAACAGAGCACGTGTGAAGAGAACCGAGGGCAGGATGGATTGACTCCAACAGGGATCGGCACACGAACGAGACTAAAGTCGGTGTCCATATCGACTCAAATTCAAATCCTGCACGCTTGCAAATAAACTCCATTTCGTCAAGCAGGTAGCGGGCCCGAAATGATGGCTGCTGATTTGCGGGTAGCGAGCTTAGAGAATTGCATCGACTGTCAATTTGGTTTTGTATATCAAGGGCATAACGGAAGGCAGGGCGCTTCACGTATGCTCGCTCGATCGTATCGTATTGATCAAGCGTCTTGAAAAGATTGGTGATTATCTGGGGGAACTGTGTTTCCACTTGAGCCATGAATCTATCGGCCCCGAGCAGCTTTCTCAGGCGGATTTCCACACCCTTCGGCCGGCTTCCCTGCTCTGGCGGAGTGCTGATGTCACGGGCAATACTATAAGCCTCTGCTTTGTGGAACGAGCTTTCTAGTAGCTGCATATGTGGCTCGTCGAGAAGGACTGCTAGTTCTTGCGTTTCAGACTCTCTAGCACGCATCATCATCTGCCCAACGACCTCGTCTTTCACATCGAGGAGCAAATCCTTCAGACTCTCATATCCAAAGATGCTAAATGGCATTGAAGTGATTGCTTGGGTCTCTGTCCATGTGTAGAGTATCTGGGACGCGAAAAGTCGGAACAAATGTCTTCCGTCTTCTAACCCCCGAGCCTTCGAAACTGACTTCACGCACTTACGGGCATATTCCAAAGACAGAGGTACCTGCGCTGGTGTTTCGAAAATATGGTAAATACTTCTCCGTAGCAAAGTATGCCATTCAGAGGCCAATAGAGACAAGACAAACAGGCGAAGCGCAATCCCTTCAATCCAGTCTGGGTCACGGGGTAAACTCTCCAGCACATCATCGAAAATGGCATCGTGGTCTTTAAAAAGAAACCTTTCGAAAAGAGTCGGGATAAAGTGGGCGACATTGAATTTGACCTGTGCATCTCCCTCGTGCAGTATTGTGAATAGACTCGTCCGGGGGGATGAAAGCGATTGCTCACTTCCATACGATGGGCATACACCCAGAACCGCCTGTATCAATTCAGACAAAATGATATAAACCCTGGGGGAGGCTCTCTTTCGAGTGAGGAGGACTTCGATGAACCAGCTATACAGGTCCATGGCCGAATCGTTCAAGTTATCACTCTGCGTGCCTGTCCAACATGCAACAAGACCAGCCATCATTTGAATACAAACACTATGCGATGCTTCACAGCGCTCCATTTCATATGACTGAAGACACTTTTCTCCAACATTTTCTATCACGTGAAGTAAGTCATCTCGGTCCATTATTGAGCATGCGTGGTAGGCCTCAGCCAGAACATGGCGTGCAGATAAGAGGTCTGCTTCGTCCAAGCTGATCAGATATTCCGTCAAGCTCGAGTGTTCTGATGGCTCCTGGTGAGGACCAGTCGGCTTTAGTCTAAGTAAAAGAGAGAGTTGTATCGTCAAGCAGCGCTGAAATGAAGCGGTGTCTGGAAATAGAGGAATAGATTCGCGATTCAAGGAAAGAATGATATGGTCGGTAGATACCTCTTCTCTAGTTAATGTCAGTTGATCATCCAAGTCCATGATATCTTCTGCAAAAGTATGTTCCTTCTGGCTCTGGCGCAGTCTTTCAAGTAGGGTGGCGAGTGGAAGAACAAGTGAATAAAGGCCCGACCAAACGACAGACTGGGGGTCTGGAATTGAGGCTGCAGGAAGTATGGGGGGAAGTAGCTCAAGACATGCATGCATGAAGTCGGATCCATGGGTTGCCAAGAAGTCGCAGATCCCACGCCACAGGGCTTGACAATTATGCTGTAGACCTTGCATCTGTGGCACTAGCTGTGGAGGAAGGCATGCCATATAAAGATCCGAGACTATGCAGAAAGAGGCTAATATTTGGAGAAGATCAGCAGTGACATGGTAAGACTTGTCTTCCGTCAGGGTCTTCCATGTTTGGAGAAAGCCTTCTGACTTCGATCGTAGGAGCTCTAGAATAATCTCATCATCGGGATCTTGCCGCGTCTGGGACGTCAAGCTCCACGTGGCATTCCTGTCCCATGGTCTCCAGTGTCCAAAGGAATTCCCGACATTGAAAAGATACTCCAGAATCGCTCGATTCTCGTGAAAGAAAAGCCAGGTCCTGGCGATATTACCCGAAATGCCTGCGTGATGGCGATGCGGAAGATCACAAATTCGATTTGTGCATGCTAGAAAAAGATTGAGCAAGTCCAGTGGTCGGGCAAACATGGCAACGTGGGCCATTTGAGTACGGTCTGTCACGGCACCTATATTAATATTGTAAGTTGAAGAGATTTAAAGCATTGTTATTAGTTTCGAATGCATACCAATCGTCCAAACATCTCTAAGCCAATTGCAAATCTGCTGGGACGAATTTTGTATTGAACCAGGGTTCAGTTGCGTCTTCCTGCGTGTGATTAAAGACCACAGTTCCAGGGATGTGTCTGAAAGAGCTGAAGGCCCATTGAAATTTGCAGATGAGAGCAAAGATCGTACAGTCTTCATCGCTATGGAATGCTCTAACAAGTCTGCTTCCAAAATGGAGCTGGTCAACTTGCAAGCGGCCCGCGATGTGCCATATGAGGAGAATGAACGAGTTGTAAGGTCTATTGCTCGTCGCCAATGGGCCCTGAAATCCGGAAGTTCAGCATCCGACCCCTTCGCGATGCTATTTAGGTTGTCTCGTTAGCTATTTAGACACTTCCAACTCGGGGTTTCATGTATACCTAGTCAGTGCCAACATAGTCCAAGAAGATATTGAGGCATTATCATCAAGGATACTGGGAACCAGTCGCCGCGTGATAGCCTCCTTTTTATCGATACTGATGCCATGTTCCAGAAATGGAATCAATTGCAATGCACAAATCCTTCGTGCACCTGTTGCCGATATAGCATCTCTGAAAATGTCCTCTACCGCAGAATTGACACGCAGTCTTTTCTGTGATGTTTCGCGGTTCGATTGGGAGGCCGGTAATTGGTTCGCAACTGTCTCTGAAAGCTTCAATAGATTCGCAATGACCCAGACAGTTGTCCAGTTGTGTTCGGAACGAGTGTTCCCGAAGCAAGGGCCATAAATTGATGGGCTTTCTACCGTCGAGTCGTAAAATATGGTTTCATCAATCTGCAACTGGTCTTTCTCCGGTCGCTTCACATATTCAGAATGTAAAGCGTCGGTCAGTCTCTCTATTGAGTGCAACAATGATTCAGTTGGATCATTTGCAGCTGAATCGACTAGAATAACCATGCACAGCATCAAGGTAGCGAGAAGCTCATCTTTCAGTATGGGGAGCTTAGTGATCCATAGACGCCGGATTACTGGTATAAGGTCCAACAAAGATGATCGGACCAGCTCAGATTGATCAAATAAGACCTTTGAAATGACTGTATTGATGCTACTGAACGCAAGATGGTGTGCACTTCCAGCCATTCTGGATGGCGACTTGACAAACTCCACCAGGCTCCGTAAAATGTTCTCGGCCGTAGCCTGCACGGGGGCATTAGGACTTGCAGTCAACAGCTGTATGCATGTTATGATCTCCACGAGAGTATTTCTCTCGCCGGAGTGTTTTTCTTTGGGGGTCGGGGCCGGGGTCATTCGGAATGGGGTTGAGCGGCCATCGCTACTATCCAGTGTCTCTTCGAGGGTCGAACGATGTTCAATGCGGATACTGAGCTGGTTCTCGTTTCCCTCATCCAGGTTAATGACTGAAAGGCAAAAATCCATGAGGTTCTCCCATTCTGTATCACCGAGATGTTCGGTGTGGGGGGAGTGGCGTAGCAGAGATGCCAAGCATTTCGTATAGTCCACACTCAAGAGCTCCCATAGGCCTTCTCCTGGAATCGGTATGGTCTCGGTGATATGTTCAATTATCGCACGGACGGTTTTGGTTCTTAAGTTTCGCATGAAAATATTGACCGCAGTCCGAAGCACTGAGGAGCATGTTGACAATCGGGTTCTAGACGGGTTCTTGGAGTTCGATCTTTGAGCACGATTGTAAATTGGTCTTTCTAGCGCAACAAATCGGAACAAGGATTCAAAGATTTTGTAACATGCTTTATCGTTGAGGTCCAGTCTAGAAATGTGTAGTAGCACATCAGCTATGGGTTCACTAGACACTGGTGTTTTTGTAGCTTACAGCTTTGAGCTCTGCTTATTCTGGTGCAAGATGTGCTTCAGATCTGATCAGCATATTAGCAACGGTTGATTGACATGATAAACCTGGAGAATCCTGAACGAACCTGCTAGGCCATCAGCTCGGTCCTTCTGCTTGTCCGATGACAGAAAGCCAAGTGCTTTATCCAAAAATATCTCCCCCATTGTGTTGGAAACACACTCGTAAGATGCTGTGACAGACCATAAGCATTGTCAAGTTGGACGCCTTCCCTTTTTGACTCCAAACACCCCTTTTAGTCTGTCATCATCAAGATCCAGGAAGGTGGTGTCGCGCTGTCGAGAGTTTGTTTTTGTGGAGCGGCAGAATTGGATTTCACCGCCCGGGATTTTTGATCGCGTTCCGCCTTTCTGGAACAAACAGAGCTCTGAAGCTTCCGTTTCCTACCAAGGCACCCTACACCCCGCGCTGTCATGACAGAGATCTCCAGAAACCTCGCCAGCCTGCGAGGTCTGTACCAGGATCTCTCTGCTATCCCAGAGTCTTCCCTGGGCAACATTGATCGACTGGTTTATGAATTGGACGCCCACATTCAAGACTTTCGAAAACTCCTAGACAAGCCCTCGAAAAACAATGCAAGTCGCCAACAAGTTCTCTCAGGTGGGTGGTGACTCGGTTTCCAAGCTTCGGCCAAACGTCTTGTTTGAACCCTGCTGACTTGCGCTGCTATCATTCAGGAAAGATCAACGTTGCCGGTATACCACACGAAATCAACCATGACTTCCAACAGGGCGCGCTACAGCTGGCGGACGCTTTGAACATTGATGAACTTCATGCGGCAGAGATGTTCTATGCAGCGCAGGATGACTCCCAGGTTCTGGATCGCCCTCCTTTGATCACTGCCATCATGCGATTCCACGAACGCCGGTCGTTCCTCCTCGAGTGTTTGCGCCTTATTTTCCGTGAGGCAAATGAAGTTGAGCGAGAGCGAACTTCGGCCATCTTGCATGATGTTCTTTCCGATATCTTGGAAGTCAAAAACAACACAATGCAGAATGCCTCACTTTACGCCCGGAAGGGCATGCAGGCCATGGTCGATATCGAGACATGGATCTCGCTTCTTGGGGATCAGATCCAAAGAGTTTCAGTCATCGGATATGGAGAAGATCGCGACATCATGGAAGCCATAGAATACCAGCGTCACAGTCTGCAACAACAGCATGAATCTCTCGGCGCCATTATCTTCTACCTATTCAAGGGCACATACACAAGCTCAGAGGACTTCCGTGTTCTCGTCACACAACTGAAAAGATTGGAGCGCTTCGACGGACTATTAGTTCATTATGTCCCCATCGCGATCGCAGCTTTCGTTCAACATGGATCCCCAGAGGGATCTGGAACACAAAAGGACGCTCGAAGCCTGCATACACTCATCACCGCGGTCAAAGATGCTCACACGTGGAAGCTACCCACCTTCCATGCTGCAATTATCGCTCTGTGGCTATCAGTCTACAGCGGGTGGTACTTTGATGATGGTCCATCCTCTCCCGTTCCAGGTGCTGACCCGGAAGTTGAAGCGAAAGAACGTACGAAGATGTTTATGACTGCCCTTGACGATGGCGCCCTTGATTTTATGCTTGCCATCTGCTCTAGCATCAATAGTGAAGAATGGGCTGATCCAGCACGAACTGAGCTAGTAGGGCTTCTTCTCAGAGAAAGCGTTATCACGCTACCAGAACTCGACTCTTGCTCTGAATACATGAAGGAGCTATTGATGGAGAATTTCGAGGCATATGTAGAGTCTTGCATTGCAAACATGCCGGATGCTGTTCGATTGCTCAAGTCTGAAGAAGACACCCAGAGGTTAGATCAGATCACAGCTCTGAGGGATGGCCTGACATCTAGTCTCCACCGTGGCTTGGTCGAGGCAAGAACACACCTTGAGTCCCTTCTGATGATAATCTCATTTTCCTTCGAGCATCGTCAGGATGCTGCACAAGAGTTTTGGGCCGACCCCGATGGCAACCTTTACGGCTTTTTGCAGTGGGCCTCTAAGCGGCAGACTGTTCCCCGAGTCAGCGCCTTCTGTGAAATGCTCTGCTCCATCTCTGAGGGCGAGGAAAATGCAACTGCTGCGCATCGATTTTTGTTAGAAGAAGACAAGTTCATGGGCTCAAAATTGAAACGCTCAACAACGATGAACTGGATGCAAATGTTTGCTGAACTGCGTCTCTATGCCAGCCGAGTCACAGAGAAGCCTCAAAGTGGTACTACTCAGCATGGGATGGTGCGGGCTCGAAAGTCCGAACCCGTCGATATGAGCGAACCTGAGAGCCCAGTCATGTTGACCTGTTATCTCCGTCTCATGGGGCATTTATGCAAGCAAAGCGCGACCATTCGGGACTGGATGTTGCAGAATCCAAACTTCACAGTGGTCGAGACCCTTCTGAAGCTGTGCAGTGGACCGATCCCAACACACCTCAGAGCAACCACTTTCACCACACTTTCAGCGTTAATGACGGATAAAACGCTCGCCAATGGAAATGAGATGTGGCTTCGTGTTGATGAATATTTGTCTGGAGACGTCCTGGCTAATCTGTGCATTGGCAAAGTCCCGAGTGGTGCTACGGGCGTGTGGCGCCAGCAGCAGGCTTTACAGATGATTGGCGAGAGCTTTGATCAAACCAACGCATTTGTTGGTTTGGTCAATTCGCTGATCACCCCGGCCTTTGACTTGACCGACAACCCTCTATCACTTTCTTTCCCGGAGTCACTGGGCTCGTCGTATCGCATGCATGGCGTTGAGCCTTACATTGATTTCATTTTGGGACATGCTGTATCTCGCAAGATCCAAGAACTCAATGATTATCAGTCCAGTCTGCTCACTTACAACTGTATGGATTTTGTTGTGGCATGTCTACGGACCTTCAATGAGGATCTCGTCACCGTTCTCAGCCAGCCATCCCACGCCTCCGATTCCGCAGCAACAAATTTGGCGCTTACCACTTACGTTCGACTTCACCCCTTTGCTCGCGTGATGGAATGGCTTTTCAATGAAGACGTCCTCAAAGCCTTGTTCGCAAACAGTCTCAGGGATGTTGCAGATATTGCCCAGGCGTCGTCCAATTCCGTCAAGGTATTGACTCTTCTCCGCACTATCGAGGTAATGAACTTGATCCTGGATCTACAATCCACTTATTTCAACATTGTCAAGCCAATGGTCAAGGCCAACTCGGCTCCCAGCAGGATTAATGTTGCAAACTCGTCGCTCGCTTCTTTTGAAGATAGTGTCCTGAACAATCTGGGTCTCGTGCCCGCATTGTGCCTCTACTGCGGTACAGGACACCAGCAGCTTACCGTCACATCATTGGCTTTACTGGAAAAACTCTCGAGCTCTCGCAAACTGAACAAGATGTCGTCTCCAGAGATTTCCAGGTGGCAATCCTCAAACAAGATTGTGGAGGTTCTCGCTAGTGAAGTGGATATTGATAGCATATCCCGTTCACTCGTAGCGCAGATGGTACCGGATGAAAGGGAATTGGAGTGGGGTGCTCAGTCTGCTGGTTATGTCATTCGAGAAAGCCTGCTTGCTCTATTGAATAGTTGCCTCGGAATAATCACAGATCGCCCTACTGTCGCGCACCTTCTACTTGGCTTTGGTTCTGTTGGCAATATGCTCGATGTGCCATCAGAAGGCCTGTTCACTATGCGAACGTCTCTTTTACATGCCATCATTGGCTTTTTGCGAGACTACCCTGAAGAACTGGATGGTACAATTGTATCATGGACCGTCCATCTCAAGCGTGTTGCCTTTGAGGTTCTTCGGCACCTGTGGTCTTCAAAGCTAGCAACATACTTCACCCTGGGTGAAATGCGTGTGAATGGGTTTCTTCCCCACATGTTCTCTGGTCAAACTCTTGTCGGTCCGAATACTCTCTGGCATGGTTTCCCGCTCATTTCAGACGAATTTTGGCTGACAGAATCCACAACGGCCTTGGGTGAATTTTTGCTTTACCGAAGCCATCTGTACGCGTACGCTGCGACCGAGATTCGAGCGGCAGCAAAGGTTGGATCACCCACTCTTCAAGTAGAGACACTCGCAACATTACTCGGGGACTCTGTTCTGGACAGTGGCGAGTCTATCAAAACCCACTCCGTCTTCGATCTCTTTGACTTTGCTGATCTGGACGTCGCTCGCGAGTTCGAGTTGCCGCAGCTGCAGCTGCTTGGTAAACTCCCTCTGGACGTCTGCGCTCAGAAGAACGAGGACTCGTCTGTGCTCTATAATCTTGCCGAGCTTGAAGAACTGATTCAGGTTGAGAAGGCGAAGATTTTGGCCTATGGAGTGCCTCGACCACAAGAAGAAGAATTGATTCACAAAGAGGCCGGGGCCTTGAAGATGATCATCCACGCGACCAATCAATCGCGTCAGATTCAACAGAACAGATACCTCGCTCTCCGTTCGTGGGCAGAGCTTATCACCACCATAGTCAGCTGCTCCGTCTTGGATGATTCAAACAGACCACCGTTCATCCTGCACGCCATTCAACTCATTCTTCCTAAGTTGGAGATTGCCATTGAGGGAGACTCGCCAGAGGCGATCGAGCTGGCACGACTGGCCGAGACCCTTATTGGAAAACTTGCGTCTGACTTATCAGCAACCCCTGGCTCGCAGAGCGGAGACGTCATTGACGAAAAGCTGCATCAGCTCTTCCAAGTTTCTATGCGAGGCATCACGTTAGCTACAGGGAATGTGTCACTGAGAGAAGTTCTTTACGGAATCTGCTCTCACTACATTACTCGCATCACAACATCCGAGTCGCCTCATGACGCTCTGCAGCGGCACAGTCAGCAGGTAATCAAGACGGCTGGACCTGGTCTTGTCGAGATCATCTGTGACGATGCCTATACTGGCCAGGAAGCCTGTCGGGCTTCTGCTCTCCTTCTCCTGAACTGCCTGGCGGTTTTGGACAGTCGCACTGATTGTGTTCTCGCAGAACTGATCTCACAGTCCAACTATCTCAGCTTATTCCTGGATGCCATTAGATCACTGCCCTATGAATTACGTAGTGCGTCAGCAACAGGTGAGTTTTACTTCCACAAGATATCTTGGTGTATAATACTCATTCATGCTGTTTACAGATACCCCTGCTCTCTTAGCATTCTATGAATCCTTGCTGGCTTTACTCCAGCTCCTCTCTCAGACCAAGAATGGCGCGATCGTCGTCCTCAAATGTGGTCTCTTCGAGTCCGTGCGAGAGTCGCAATTGTTCGCTGCTGATCCCGATATTGGCATCGGTTAGTTTCCTCGTGTTCCACTTGATTCATCATTTCCATCAGCTAACCTGAACAGACATTGAAAACCCCGATTCCCTGCGAAAGTTCTACGATCTGCTTCTATCTGTGATCCGGGTGATTGTATCTGCGGTCTTCTCCCGGGGTGTCCACAATGAGCAGATCAAGGCACAAACTCGGGCTTTCATCTCTGACAACCGGGCATGCATGGTGGGAGTGTTCAAACGATTTGCGAAGATTGGAGGCGATGCCCCAGCTGGCCACCAGGACGCCCTGTGTGAACTTGTCAAGGCTTTCATGGCTCTAGTGGCGGCCTCTGACTACTTGGAATTTGAAGAATCAGAGGCCCAACAAACTGTTCGACCTGGCTTGTTTTCATAAGCCTGACATCACCACCTGAGATCAGTTCAATCCATGTAATCCATGGATGTTGTACGGCAGGAGTCCGGGGTGAGTGGCATGTGTATTATACGTGGGCGGAGTGTAGGCTGCTTTTTAGATGGAGCGTTTTAAGAACCATTTACGAATTTATTCCATGTTCCAATGAATTGAATGTTACAAGGATCTATTAGTACCTACTATTTATTAGATATTTGTTCCAAAATACCGACGCATATGCAGACTCAGTAGACATTTCAAGGCTGATTTGAACCCCCATAGTCATTTGGAACGTTTAACCTAATGTGTCGCTTGCCTGGATTGCGGGCGGTCATGAACTGGGGCAAAATATATAAGCTTGGAACCTCGCATTTGAACTTCTGAAATGAAAAACACTCAGCTCCAACCCGTAAATCTTGACACAGATCTTACATTCATGTGCGGAAACCCGACATTTGAAGCGAGAGTTACCGGCTTTTCAAGTATATTAAAGGTAGACGCGTGCTCAAGCATCTAGGCAACTCTGGACCGTTAAGCTCCGTATCTTATCGCCGTGCGGAGCCAAGTTCGCAGGGAGCAGAGGTTAATTCCCCTCAAACCAACACCCGAACCCGCGCCTCTCCGCCCAGGCCCGGCAATGGTCGATCTATCATCACGAACCCTCCCTTGCTAAGCACTTCTTCCCAGAGTTGGACCGAACCGGGTAGATGCAGTCGAGCGGCCAACCCGAGCAGAGGAGCGGTAAGCGCAAATCGATCGGCAAGAGGAAGCTTTCTGATCAAGGAGAGCCATCGCAGCCACAACCGCAGAGGACCATCTCCGAGGTTTTATCGAAGAACAAACGTTCGCACGATTCTCTGCCATCGAAATCCTCCCCAAACTCCAAGCGTTCCCGCTTCTCCGTCTCCCCCTCGCGCTCGTCCCCAGTTCACGCAGTCTCGCCCAATAAGATGTATAACTTCTCCGGATCCCCGCCTAAGAATGGTGCGGCTTTCATCCGGGCGGGGACTACGTCTCACACTACATCAGAGAAATCCTCAGCAGTGAATGGAATGAACACTCGTCAGAGCAACTTCAGCCCTGGTGTCGGCCCCAAGAAGCTCGTCGTCAAGAACCTTCGTGCTGGACCGCGGGTAAATCATGAGCCATACTTCAACAAGATCTGGGCACAACTTGATGAGGCTTTAATGGACATCTTTGAAGATAGGAAGCCTAACATCTCGTTAGAGGAGCTTTATAAGGGTGCCGAGAACATCTGCCGACATGATCGCGCGACCCTGCTAGCGAAGAAAGTTCAGGAACGGTGCAAGGCGTTTGTCGCGGGAAAACTACGTGATAACCTGGTGATAAGGGCAGGAGGTGGGACTGATGTCGATACATTGCGGGCAGTGATCGAGGCATGGTCCTCATGGTATTCAAGACTGGTATGTTGCTGAAACATTGTTGTGGTAAATTGTTCATCAGCTGACTTTAGGATATAGATTACGATCCGTGGGGTCTTTTATTATCTTGACCAGTCATTTCTCTTGCATTCAAAGGACTTCCCAGTGATTCATGAAATGGGACTCATCCAATTTCGCTCATATGTCTTTGCCGACAAAAGCCTCAAGCCTAAGATTCTGCAAGGTGCCTATGACCTCATTTCCGTCGAGAGAGGAGCAGAAACTAGAATCAGGCCGGACCAGAGTCTACTCAGGTCTGCCATAGAACTTTTCCACAATCTCGATGTCTACAACAGTGATTTCGAGCCGCTCTTTGTATCCAACACAAAGAAGTTTGTCACTGCATGGGCTTCGGAAGAGTCAGAAAAGACCCTTGCTTCATATATCAAGAACAGCCACGACTTGATCGAAAGTGAAGTAGAACGATGTGGATTTTTCTCTCTTAATCGAAGCACGAAGCAGAAACTTTCCGACCTTCTAGATCAATATCTGGTTGCTGAATATGCGGACGTTCTCCTTAGAGAGAAAGAGGTAGTTGATTTGATGGTATCGGGCAACAAGTCTGCTCTGAAACAGCTCTACGGCCTCCTCACTCGGCGAGGTCTGGGCATAAAACTCAAACCAGCATTTGGAAAGTTCATCGTGGAGGAAGGCTCTAATATTGTGTTTGATGGCGATCAAGAAGCAGTGATGGTCATTCGATTACTTCGCTTCAAACAGCAATTGGACGAAATCTGGACTGATTCGTTCAACGGGGATGTAGACCTGGGTAATACACTACGGGACTCATTCGGCCATTTCATGAATTTGGGCAAAAAGTCAGAATCTTCCGGTGGCACCGATAACCCCAAGACCGGTGAAATGATTGCGAAATACGTTGATCGGCTCTTAAAGGGTGGTTTGAAAGCGTTGCCACCCAGCCAAGCAGATGCGCCGCTGGACGACTCATTCTCTGAAATGCGACGACAACTTGACCAAGTGCTGGATCTTTTCCGATTCGTGCAAGGAAAAGCAGTCTTCGAAGCATTTTACAAGAATGACCTTGCCCGGCGTCTGTTGATGAACCGAAGTGCAAGCGATGAGGCTGAGAAGGAAATGTTAGTTCTTCTGAAGAAAGGTATGACGCTACACATCACAATTGCACATGATTTCTTGGTTTCCTAATTTAATTTGATAGAATGCGGGTCAGGCTTCACCCACAACCTCGAATCGATGTTCAAAGATATGGATGTGGCACGCGATGAGATGACCGCTTATAACTCCATGCAGAAACAGCTTGATCGGAGCAAGCGCCTGCCTATGGATTTGAATGTTAGCGTGCTCTCCGCGGCATCGTGGCCATCGTACCCCGACGTTCCTGTTCAGGTTCCACCAAGCATCCTGAGTGCACTTCGCAGCTTTGAGACGTTCTATCATAACAAGCACACTGGCCGGAAGCTCACCTGGAAGCACCAATTAGCGCATTGTCAGCTACGAGCTCGATTCCCCAAGGGGGACAAGGAGTTGGTGGTCAGTTCCTTCCAGGCCTTTGTGCTACTCCTATTCAATGACGCCGAGGGTGGTAGTCTGCGCTATCAAGAAATTCAGGAGAGCACAGGACTATGTAAGCTATTCACTTCGTATAGACCACTGCGAGACACAATGGAACTAACATGATACACAGCGGACCCGGAGTTGAAGCGAACCTTACAGTCTTTAGCGTGCGCCAAGTACCGTGTGCTGACAAAGAAGCCCAAGGGCAAGGAAGTCGAGTCAACAGACGAATTCAGCTACAATGCAGCATTCACTGACGCCAAGATGCGGATCAAGATCAACCAGGTCCAACTGAAAGAAACCAAGGAGGAGAACAAGACTACCCACGAGCGAGTGGCAGCAGACCGGCACTTTGAAACCCAGGCGGCGATTGTGCGTATCATGAAGGGCCGGAAGACGATCAAGCACTCCGAGTTGATTGCAGAGGTCATCGAGGCTACCCTCAGCCGGGGTCAGCTCCAGCCACCAGACATTAAGATCAACATTGACAAGTATGTTTCTGCATCTATCTTCAATAAACTTTTTCGCTAACCCCCTGCAGATTGATTGAGAGAGACTATATGGAACGAGTCGAGCCCAACTCATACAATTATGTGGCATAAGTGCGACTACTATCATTAGTAGGCGAGCAGGAAGTGTCCTGCACATTCACCGGAACGAGCACACGTGAGATTACTGCTTCCAAGGGGTTGGATTTCTGATTCTTGTGTACTGGCCATCTGACATCCAGATGTTTGCTTTGTCTGCATTTTCGCAATGTATTGTTTTTTGTCTTGGCATAAACATTCAATGCTGAAATAATAGTCTTATCATTTTACCCAGTCTCGGAAACTGTAAATTCGAGCCGTATGGTTTGATAGAAGCTACCAAGACTTGACGAAGTGTACAAAATGATCAAGCTTCATGCAAAGCAGACCAAGAGAGGGCTTAACCCAACGCCTCCCTACGAACATCAATTTTCTCACTGTCCTGCTGACCCCGACGATAGGCGTCTCTATCTCCAATAGTCAATGACCGCTTTCTCCCACTCGTCAACTTGATATTCTGCTCTTTCAGATAATCATCCGCAACCTGTGCCGCAGTGTTTCGAAATTGAACAAGCTGCACTCCAGAGTCCCACGGAGATTGGTCTAGACTCAATGAGACCTCAGGGCTCCGGTTTGATATTGACATCTGGCTCAGTCTTGAACACGGGTGTTTCGTCCTGGATTGAGAGCTCGACTGGTTCCTGCTTGACAAATTTCCTAATGTAATCATCCACATCACCATCATCGCAGAGATCTACGACCTCCGCATCATTCGAATTGAAGTCTGCCTTGATATCAAACGGACCGCTCTCTTCGTCACTATCGGAATGGGCACCGGTGTCGGCCATGTTAGGCTTTATATCCCCTGAGTCAATCTCGTTTTCGTCATCGAATGATAGGAAATCATTGGGATCGGGAGAGGGAGCAGGTAAAATGCGCAACCTATCAATCTCTCTTTGACGCGTATCTGCTTCCTGGCGCTCTCTAACCTTAGCCATCTCCAGCGCTTTGCGCTCCGCGTGATGAAGCTCTCATTTTTCTCTCGATGGGCCATAGCCTTCAATCCATCCGCCACGCCAAGACGGTAACTGAAAGTGGGTGTGCCACCTTTGTAGTCACACGCCCACTCCAGGATTTTATTATGTGCCACCGCAAAGGCCCTTGTCGCTACATCGGTGTTATCGGCAATCCCAAAGAATGTCCAATGAATGTGCGTGCCGTAGTTTGAGGAAAAGCTTTTGCAGTCGTATAGAGTGGTCATGGCTGAAGCCACCTTCCCCGTGAAAGCTTCCATGGCGATCCTAGTGGATGAGCCTCCGATCTTTGAGATAAGCACGATGCTTCGTCCGCCCAAATGGCTTTTGTTGTTGTTTGTATCATTGGCAATGAGGTCTGCTTGGCTTACGTTGTGTTGATTCATAAGCTTCTGAGAGACAAAGAGAGCAGCTTTGGCTTCTGCTTCTGCGGTGTTTGGGTGTTCGGCACGATCCAGACATTTTTGGATCCTTTCTAGGATCTTTTTGTCCACAGTGCTGGCGGATTTCTTCTTAGCAGTGCGAACCACTGTTGCGTTTTGGAGAGGCTTCCGATTGGGTTTTCTTCGCTTGGCTGGGGGGCTTGCTGATGGCATCTTTGATATTGGGAACTCCGTGAAGGGTGAAAAGAAAGTGGATACTTGACTTAGAACGGCGGGGTTAAAAAATATTTGCAGGAGAGGCTTTCAATATTTTCTTGTGGTTGAAGTCTCTGTTATGTTGGCGTGTTTGGACGCGCGTATTCTTTCATATCGATTGGAGTAGGTTTCTGGCCCCTATCTGCTATATGCAGTAAGCATCACTGCGTGATTATCATAGGACCGGATGTATGTGATAAACAAAGGTCCTGTGCATACGGCTCAAATAAGATTAACTATGACTAAATGAAATAGAAATGCTGATATAATACCCTCTATCTCGATCGTGTATATGAAAAACTGCTCTAGTGAATTGAGGCTTATTGGCTCGTACCTAATCAGATTCTTGTGTAGACATACTAGACACGCTATCAAGGTAGCTACAGGTTTAAAGACAAGGGCAGATCTACACTCAAGCGCCAGCAACTCTCACAGATCAAAAGCAAGTTACCTTTGCGGCCAAAACCTTCAACGTTCCCATAGCCCCATCTCCTTTGTTCATGAAATAACCAGCTTTCCCTGGAAATTCTACCCACTATTTCAAAATCTTATTGGCTATCGAATCCTGAATTTAGGTAGGATGGTGCAATGCCAAGGGTAAAGCTACCAGATTCTTTGTTTATCCATTTGCCGGAATATGTAACCCTCTAGTGAACAAAGAATTTCTTCATTGAAGACATGAAAAAAAAAACTTGGATCGAATCTTCTACCATCCTAAGTTTCTAGATTATATAGAGGTGCAAAGTCCAATTTATTTTCTGTGTCACAGTCCACAATTTTCATGTTGTTCATGGATTCCCTGTATCTTCTCAGCTACAGCCACCAGAGAGCTCAAGGAAGATTGGAACACACTCAAAGCCAACATTGAAAGTAATGCACTCCATCAATCACATGTAGCTTTCAGATGATTGCCTTCTTGGTGTCCCCTGAGGGTTGTACAGTTGTCGCTGCTATCCCCTCAGCTCCAGGTGTTACTTCGGCTCGAGGTACATGCCCTTGAAGTGATGTTCTCGAATTTGGTGTGGAGGTCCAGCTGTCGCAGTCGTTCTCCAAGCTCCAGGGCTTGCTTCAGCTCAAGGTATATCACCTGGTGCCCAGGTCCGCAAGCTACATATATGCTCCTATGAGCCCCAGTGGCAGTTAGCACAGCTGTCTTTTACCCCCTGGGAAAGGCCCAGATATCATGTGTCATCTTAGAGGGTTTCAAAGGCTCTGTGCTAATTGCTACTGTGGCTCATAGGAGCACTTATGTAGCTTCCGGACCTCGGTACCAGGCGATATACCTTAAGCTGAAGCAAGAGCTGTAGCTGAGGAGACAACCAGCATAACTCGACCTGCACAGAGAAGGCCCACGCAGCATACACCTCAAGCCGAAGCGAGCCCTGGATCTGGGAGGACGACAGTAGTTATTTGTTCAAGTTTGATATAGAGAAGATAAAAATATTAATGGAATATGTATTGGGATATCAGAAATTATTTACATAATATTCAAGTAGCCTTCATTTTCTGGTGCCACCTTAGAAATCCAGGTGAAATGACAGCTTGAAGCATGTATTTATATACTGGGTATGCTTTTGCCTATCAACTCTGTGTTTCCAAATGTCGTCTCTTTAAATTGTTCAAATGAAAATTTTGATCTTATGTATGATCGCCGTCTTGTACCTACAGCCCATGCGCCAGTTGACGCAAATCAGCCCCAACCCTAGATCACCGCAACTATGATGTTGTGATGGAAAATCTTCGACGAATAAGACTTTTTTCAAATATCCATGGACCCAATTGGACGTGGAGTTTATATCTCAATCCAGTTGGTATTGGAAGTACAGCATGGGCGGACTACCCGGGGACCGGATGAGTCGAGGGGTGGATAATCGAGGATTTGTGAACGTAATGACACTCGGACGAGAGTGCGCCACAGACCAAGATCTACTGATCATTCTACTGTATAGGAAAGCCCCACTGGTACGGAGTAGCTTGAGAGCTACTCGGTCGATAGCTGTGCCTGGCGGGTTACCGTGTTGAACCCCGGGATTTCCCCACAGGGTAAGCCGAAGTGCCCGGTTTCATACCAGAACGAGGAGCATTAGGAGGCAAATGTTCATGTGAGCTGCAAGAAAAGAGGGTCTGGTGGATATTCAGCAATAACTCAATCGTATAAAGAGGGAGGAGTCCGCTCTTGAACACAAGCTGTCGTAGTTGTTCTCTTAGTCTATACTTCGAAACTGCACCAAAAGCTCCCCGTTGTACGTTCAACACTATCCCACCCAACATATACCAACATCATACGGAAGCCCCGAAAGATCCTTATTCAATTGATTCGAGCTATACAACCGATTGCAGGTTCAAAATCCTTGCTAGGATATGCTAACATTGACCAGCGTTGTTGACCCCCACTTTTTCCCCGCCTTCGAGTCGCCTCTAGAACACAGGTTTCACGAAAGAACTCGGACTTTCAGGGAATTCGACAATCTGGCACATTCTGCTCGTTGAAAGAAAGAGATCTATACATATCTTTCGTTCCGTCCGACGGTAGAGCATTCCTGGTTCCGCCAAAGCTCCCGAAAACGTTTTAACTCATCATGCAAAGTAAGTTCAACTGCTCCACTCTGACGTTAAGAATTCCCCCCACTGAGTCCAGACCAACAATTACTATAGCCAAACACTTCTTTTCTGATCCGACCCATTTGGTCTTGACCGCATTGAACTCCATCACCGTCACCAATCCATCCCTTGCCTTGGACGTCGAGAATAAGATTGTTTTCCGCCGCCCAGATGCGCCCCGCAAGCCAAAAAAGGTCTCCATCGTGACTGGTGGTGGCTCCGGCCATGAGCCCGCTTTTGCTGGCTTCGTCGGCCACGGTCTATGTGACGCTGCAGTGGCCGGTACCGTTTTTGCTTCACCTTCTGCCGAGCAGATCCGCAGAGCTGCCATGGATCGTGTTCCCACGGATAGTGGGGTTTTAATCATCCCTAACAACTATACCGGCGATGTGCTTAACTTTGGTATGGCAACGGAGAAGTCCCGCGCTGCGGGTATCCGCACCGAATTCTTTGCTATGGGCGATGATGTCGGTGTTGGCCGGAAAAAGAGCGGCAAGGTGGGTCGCCGTGGTATTGGTGGTGCGGCATTGATTTTGAAGCTTGTTGGTGCTCTAGCGGAAGCTGGGTAAGTTTTGTATCTTTGTATATTTTCAACTTGACCATTCTTGACATTGACATTATCGCAGTGGTTCCCTCGATGAGGTCTACGGTCTGGCTCAGCATGTTAACGACAACTTGGTCTCCATTGGTACTTCCTTGCAGCATGTGCACATTCCCGGTCGTCGTATCCCCGAGGGCCTGGATACCATTGCACCTGGTGATGCTGAGGTCGGTATGGGTATTCACAATGAGCCCGGATCTCACCGCGCCAAGGCAGACCTGGTCGAGCTGGTCAAAACTATGCTGCGCTCACTACTTGACCCTAATGACGCTGACCGTGCCTACGTCACCTACACCCCCAGGGATCAATTTGTCCTTCTGATCAACAACCTGGGTGGTGTGAGCATCCTTGAATTGGCCGGTATCACCGATGAAGTTCACCGCCAGCTGAACCAAAGCTACAATGTGAACCCCGTCCGCGTGATCCAGGGTACCTTCCTCAGCAGCTTGGACGGATTGGGCTTCAGTATCTCGCTCCTGAAGCTGGCCGACACTGGCCTTGGTGCCGGTAAGTCGCTCCTTGAGCTACTTGACGCTCCCGCAGAGGCTATTGGCTGGTCTGCCCCGATCTCCCGCTCAACCTGGGAAAACCGCATCGACACCCCAGTGCAGCTTAAGAACACCAACCTAGCCGAAGACAACCCAAGCAACCTGAAACGTGAGTCCCATACCAACTCCCCATCCCAAGCTTCCGATCTCACAAATTCCCAGTCGACCCAGCTGTCGTGAAGAAGGTCCTCGGTGCAGGTCTAAAGCGCGTCATCGCCGCGGAGCCCGAAGTGACCAACTACGATACCATCGTCGGCGACGGCGACTGTGGCGTCGGCCTCCAGCGCGGCGCCGAAGCCATCCAACAGCTCCTGTCAAGCTCACCCGGCATTAGTGACGATATCGTCAACACAATTAACCGTATCGTGACAGTCGTCGAGAACGTCATGGATGGTACATCGGGTGCTATCTACGCCATCTTCCTGAACGCTCTAGCCCACGGTCTACGCGACCAAGACAAGGGCTCTACAGTGCAAGCGAACACCGAAGTGTGGGCGAAGGCGCTCAAGCACTCCGTCACCGCATTGGGCCGGTACACGCCCGCTAAGCCCGGTGACCGTACCCTTATGGATGCGCTTGTGCCGTTCTGCGATACGCTTTTCGAGAAGCATGATGTCAATGCTGCAGTTGCGGCTGCTCAGCAGGGCACCGAGTCTACGAAGAGTATGAAGGCTAGTCTAGGTCGGTCTGTTTACGTTGGTGGTGAATCGGAGTGGATTGGCAAGGTACCTGACCCTGGTGCTTTCGGTCTAAGCGAATTCCTTGCTGGAATTGCTGAAGCGATTTAAGCTTGTGGTTACTTTTTGTGTGGTATAAATAGCGAGATCAGATCTCGGAACAACGGGTCTTTCTAGTGGTCTGTTTAATGTAATTTCATGATGACGACGATAAAATCATGTAGGTGGATGCCAAGGCCATTTATGAAGCGCCCCTAATTATGATACTATGCATGTTCTATCCACCCCGGAAAATGTAAGCGCTAGAGGATCTCACAGGGCCTGGATGTTGTGTCCCTGAACCGTCGAGTCTGCCATATCTAGAGAGCAGTCTGGAGTGTAATCAGACGCCAGTGTCGCTATCTCGGCACATCCATCAAATAGCCCATTGGAAGGGTCAGCTTCATCTGGACTTCTGCATTGATCGATTCAACTTTGAAGTGTCTGGAATCGCCTCCGGAGCTACAGTCGAAAGTGCGGTGTGTATACCGATCTGAGAATCTTAGTCACTTTGCTAATTGTAGGTTCAATGGATCCAAGCTCTATGAGACTAGATGTTTCACTAACCCACCTAGGCACTCTATGGTGGTATTCTTCGATCCTTGCGTCTCAAGTGTCCACTGTCCATGTACACCACCAAAAGGATGGAGAGTCAAGTCCCCACAAAAAGCATACAACAGTGATAACGACAGGAACAAGAGGACAATGACTACGATGAACAATTCCATGGTTCCATTTTTTTGGTCGGATTTATAGAAAAAATGCATTCGAACGAATCTCGCTAGGGACTACGCCCAACGCTTCCCTCAAAGAGCGGACACAAAATCCCATCAAAAGAACGCCAGCAAGATTTTTTTGGAGCCAGAATTCACCGTTGCATACTAATTTTATCTCGCAGGCAAGGTCAAATAGTCCCAGCTCTAACCTGACTGCGATCAGAAGCAAGGGACAGGAAACGAGTATTTGTAGAATGGGTGAGGGAAGCAGGAAAAAGGGTATCGATATCGATTACATGATGAACCGTAAATCACAGGATTGATCTGGCGGCGCAAGCAGAGAGTAAATCGTCCCGCAGATTTAGGATTCCGAGATACCAGGGTAGATCAGATGCAGGGGGAGATGAACCACCCTGGGCGGGGTGAAGATGCGCAAGATAAAGGTGACATGATAGGACGCTCAGCTGAGCAAAACGAGGATGACAGAGTCACCACGGAGGAACCTAATAGAGTCAATTGTTAGAACCGACCCCGAGATCAAACGAATAGAAAAGACGAAGGGGTGCGATCTTCAAGTCCGAGCACGTACATCTTGCTAATGAAGCGATCCTTGTTCACACCCTTGCCCTTGCTACCATTGGGCTTTTCGGTCCACATCTCCTTCACGTTCTCCAAAACCATGTTGCAGTGTCGGTCAAAAGCCTTGACACGGGCCAGCAGCTTCCGGTTGTTGCGGCAGGAGATCAGGACCTGTGTGTGCGTGCGGGTGGCGGTCTGCAGCAGCGACAGTGGACCGGCGGTGAGCTCGTGCTCCTCAACAAGAGCGACCTCATATTCCCTGTTAAGAGCGGTGCAAGATTAGTCTTTCGAATTCATGTATGTCTTTAAGATGGCGCATGCTCGGAGTGTGTAGAGAGGACGGCCTGGCCATCGCGTAGCCCCGCTTTTCGAGTCCCTTCCAGTAAGGTAGGCAGCAGGTTTGGAAAGAGGGAAAGGAAATGAAAATCATCGGTGAAGCTGGGGATACTTGAGGGATGGTGTGAGGGAACGTACGTGAGGTCGTTCTTAGGCTTGTTGAGCAAATCCCTGTGGAAAGATTGGGTCAGCTGGTTTATACTAGATTCGAAAGGGTCATTTAGGTGTCACCCACTGAATCTTGGGGTCGGGAGCTGTCGACATGATGTGCAAAGTGTGAGGTATTCAAGGCCGTGGAGGTCCTACGCATACGTTCAGATACTGGAAGGTGAGCAGGTTCAAAAGTCACGTGACATGGAGCTGGCCTACACATGACAAGCTTTATGCTACTACCACCAAGCCAAAATTCGTACAATGGATCTAATTTTCGACACAGCATGGAGTATCTACCTTTATTTATATGAGACACATGGACCGAACGTATTTCACTATCGAAATAGTAAAATAAGCAAATTTACTTAGAAAGGAGCATCTCGACTACTTTACTGCCCCTTTTGTACCGCCTACTTAATAGAGCTTACCGCCAAGTACTACGTCTGGCCTCTCGCTGCGTTTTACTAATTACTATTTAGATAATTCGGTGCGTGTCCATCTGCTACTACTACACAAGGCCATTTGAATAAGTAGCTGATCATACCGGAAAATAGTCATAATTATTTGTTATTGGATCAACAAGAACGACAGAAAAGTTGGCAGTAAATTACGCAATCATATTCGACCGAGCTCGAAGAACTTTGCATGACTAAGACTTAATGATGTAACTATAACTGACCTCTAACTTCATATAGACAACATGAAAGCTACTAATACGAGACTTGTAATTTTTTCCCCAAAGAAGTCGGTTCGCGTCTGTAAGTTTTTAGTAGAATTTACTACAAAAATTGTTGGTTATGAGTTCGAGCCTCAAGTCGGGCGTTTTGCCTGATTTGGTTTAAATTTTCAGGCACCAAGGCACGCGTTTCTCGCGATTGGTCACGTCGCGTACACGGTTGTTTAGAGATCAGCGGGATAGCTTCAACCCGCGCAAGGTCTTCTTAAACTCTCCAACCCCCTCACCGTCTGCATTTACATCTTCAATTTTTTCTCCATCTATTCCATTTTCATCTTGAATCCTTTCCATCCTTTTTCTCTAAGTTTTTCTCCTTCCCGCACAATCAAGTCCATCCTATACCCCTTCCAAGGATCGACCCCAATCAACATTCCAATCCTGCACCCTCCCGCACAAATTGCATATTCTGTCCATTCACCCGGTCGATGAGATACCTGATCGATATGCTTGGCAGATAGATCGGCTGCCTACCACACTACCTGCACTGTTTCCTGGTGCTACTACTGTGGAGCAACAAAAAGCCGATTTCAATCTTTGCCCTGCCAACAACCTCGATCCACCTCCCCTGCGTGACCTACATCCTCCCTTATCTTGCAACCATTTCCGCCTCCCTTCTCCTCAATCCTTCTCGATTCATATTGAATCAATCTCTTCAGCCGCCTCGACAACTGTGTATGGAGATATTTCGAATTTCATGAGATGGACTCTCAGGACGGAATCACCGTCCGCCCTATGAGGCGTATGAATTCTTCCTGGAGAACTGTCTGACCGGTAGCTAAAATATCTCGTTTTTTACAGTGAAGGTGTTGTATACCTTCGATAACGAGAACAAAACCAACTGTCTCGCTCGCTGGCCTCATGTGCTCGAAATCCAAACCGCCTATCTGGATGAAAGCACCCCAGTCGGAGTAATTGAGCTGAAGACATGTATTCAAGCAATTGTTTCTGCAAGGTTCGACTTTCTTCCTGGTGCTATGATGATTTCAATGCTTACTCGATTCAAGTCCTGAATTGGTAGCACAACTCGGAAAAGACTACACAGTGTACGCCTACGACTACTCGGAATACGAAACCCCCCTCGTGGGTCAAGGAATGCTCTCATGGGTCCTAGCTTCTTCTTCGCCGACACCGGAGGCCCCCGCTCACCAGTCCAAAACTATGGTCACAGGCCGTGTATGCACAACTCAGCTAGGTCTATTCTCCAAAGGCGCCGGCGCTCAGGAGACCCTTGAGGTCAAGCTGCGATTAGTCCCTGTTCCGACCGTCATGCAAAGCCAATACCTCGACAGCATGCAGAAATACCGTGCGCTCAGCAATGTGATCCCACACGACTTTGACGCACAATCGTGGACCAACTTCGTGCGTCAGAATCCCTCGCTGATGGAGGCCGCGCGAAATCAATCACAGGACCGAGGAGGCGCTGGGTCTCCAATGAGTGGATCTGGAATTGGGCGGTTTCATCAGATTCTCAGTGACGGCGCCACTCCTCGCGAGTTCTCAGGCTATGAACGGAACGAGTCAGTGCGTTCGGTTTCGCCCTCGCACTCGTATGGTGCTCCTAGCAGAGTGTCAACCCCTGGAGGAGTCCGGACTGCGACCCAGCAACAACCTCAATCCAGGCAACCTTTTAACCAAAGCAGCGACATGATCAGACCATCTTCAAGTGCGTCTATGCGCGACAGTGATTTCCAGGTGCCCCAGTCTCATTCCAGGAGGGATTCGATCCAATCTGGCTATGCCAGTGGGGGGGAGGACATCGACTCGCAACCGCGGAAGAGGGCCAAGTTGTATCAAGCAGGTTGGCCTGGAAAGTCCGATATGAACATTGAAAGACAGCCTAGTTCGTTACGGGTAGCAGCTAGCACAGCGGCCTCGGTTCGCATTCATCGCCCAACTCCTGTCAATCCTTCTATCGCGGCAGAGCAGTCTTTCGTTGAGCCCGTTCGTCCACCAACCCCAATCATGCACCCTGGACATGGAATGCGCCGCATGCAGGCCTCGTCCAGCATGTTGCGGGAGTCATCTGTTGTCAGCTCATACGCATCACCGTACATGAACAGCGATGATATCGGCACAGACTTCACAGGTCACTCACCTGAGGACTCTCGTTACCAAGGCCTGTTCGAGCCTGCGTTTAACATGCCTTCATCACCTCCCGTCATGAGTACGCGATTCCCATCGAAATCAAGCCCTGTCCTGCCTCCTATTGCATTGGATACCGATTCTGGCTTCATGAGCGGTGGTCTAGATGATAATCTGGACGATGAGCTGGCTACCCCGGTAGAATCTGCCCAAAGAGCGCAATCACATGGCCTCACTGACGGGGGCCAGTCTCATTTTGTTCGTTCGACATTGCAGGGCACCTCGCCAGCCAGTGCAACTGGCACGGTAACTGACCAGCCCAATGATTTCATGATGATGAGCGATGCTCCCATGCAGCAGCAACCTTCAAAACCCCAACAACAGCGTCGTCCAGACTCGGCCGCCGGGTCTCGGCCTAGCTCACGGAATGGTATTCGACTGGCACCCAAACCATTACCACTTTCCACTCTCCCTCATGGTGAGCCCATTCACAATCGTAGCGTTCCTGCTGGCATCCCCGCCAGTGATCCTATTGGACCTACCCATCCTCCCCTTCAGCATTCCCAGACCTGGGCCGGGCCAATGAGTGATTTCGGTGTTAATGACAGCCCGGCCTCTGCACCGCCGTCGAAAAAACCTCGTAGCGCTAAGAAGAGGGTCAAGCAGATCCAACAACGCTTGGATGATGCCATCAAAAGTGGAAAGGTCCCTCCCTTCTGCGAGAACTGTGGCGCTATCGAAACTCCTACCTGGCGCCGGGCCTGGTCAAAAGAGGTCGTCGGCGGAGAGGATGTTGCCAAAGAAATGATGCAAGACAACAATGCGTTATTCTACTTGTCTTTGGAACGTGATGCCCAAGATGCAACCACCAAGTTCAAGATCTACAAGAAGACTCTGCAAAGCTGGGATAATGAATGGACTCAGGTTTTGCTTTGTAACCCTTGTGGTCTGTGGCTCCACAAGTTCAAGACAATGCGCCCCGAGAACAAGTGGAATAAGGCTGGTGCAGATGGTACCAAAAAGCGTCCTGTGAGAAACCGCAGAACTGGTGGTCCACTGTCGCTTCCTTCGACCAGGACTCGCAGCATGGCCGCATCAAGCGTGGCTGCGTCCTCTCCAGCCCCTACTGAGGCCTCTTCGGTACAGCCCGATGAAGATGCCACTCCCCCTGTGGACAATAACCAAGAGCCGGATCAGGAACAGGACGAGGAAGACGAGAACTACCCCAACAAGCGCCGTCGGGCTAACAGTGCTGAGCCCCCACGGTCAGCCGAGAGCTCGCATACTCGCTGGGAGCATGATGATGCTGTGGAGGCCCTCCGTCGTGCGATCCAATCCAGTCCTGCAAGAAATATGGCCCGCAAGGCTCCGCCTTTGGATGAGACAATTCTCACCCCAAAACCATTGCGGCGGGCGCTGTTTGCGTCTTCCCACAATGACAACCCTTTGAAAGAATTGGACCCTTCCTTGATGAATAGTGGTTCCCCGAGGCGCAGCCCGAGGAATGCTTCGCGTGAGGACAAGGAGGTCCTGGACAAGGAGAATATGGAACCTACACCGAATGATGACCTTAACGAACTTTTCGAGAGTCCTTCTCAGGAATTTGACCTGCCTATCAGCCCAACTCCTCGCCGGCGCCACCCTCGCTTCAATATGCATGAGCGACGGCTGTCGTTGCCTTCCAACTCGCCAACCGCGAACCGGAACAAAGATGTTGGATCGGCTACCCCCTCAACTCGTCTCACCGCGGAACGCCTGCAACGTATCCAGGAAGGCCAAAACCAACGCACAACACCTCGACAAAACCGAACCAAAGGCGGGCCCTCGTTGTTGGATCATGATCTGCACTCTGAGGCATTCGAGTCTTTTGACGGTATGATTCTCGACATCTTTAATGACGCTTCTGGGCAGCCTGACTTCTATCAACTTGGGGGCACAAAGCCTGATGGGACCTGGCCCGAGTGGCTTCCCACAGACTACACCTCTCCCAATGGGTCTGAAGAAAATGGTGAAGCTTCTGAAGACTTTATTGATGCCATTCTTTCCGATCCCCACGTTCTCAAGCAGAACCTCAACCAATCTCAGTTCAATTCATTCACTTTCCCCGATTCCCAAGGTCCCGACTCGGGCTTCTACAGTTCTGATGCTCTGCACACAGACCCCATGCTGCCCAAGCCTTAGTCTGCTCACGAGCAGTCATCTACCTCTATTTAGATGCATTCTGTTTTCATGTTTGTTTTATGTCAAGTCTTTTAGCGACGGCGTTTGGCATGGCTGGTATTTTGGTAATACACACCAGCTTGATTTTACCTGGAGGCGGTTTTGTGCACTTCTCGAGTCACGGCTCAAGTTTCTATTATTGTTCTGAATTATGACCCGAAGAACCAAGAATCAGGTTCCTTCACTGTCTATCACTGATACCTCTTATGTTCTTGCACAGCTGCCGGAAATATGGAAATAGAAATATACCAAAATGAAAACCAAATCACCAACAAACCACTTCCAACCCAATGTAGTTTAAGCCTCTAAATTTGTTTCCTTCTATACACGAATGACCTTGAAATGGTATCTCGCATGAACTTAGTTTATCTAATGACTCACAAGAGAACAAGCAACATTTGCCATGGCAAGAATTTGATCATAACATCGTATAATATGCAAAATCGACAACAATGGTATAGAAACGACTAAGTGCCATCGTACTTGCTATCAGGAGCAAGAATATTCCTCAAAGTTCCAAATCATCCTATCCTTCTCCATGAAAAAAACCAGAGCAGTATTTTGTAAATTCAAATCCTTATTCAGTGCTGTAGAAGATATTCTTAACACGGTGTGTGGCATCAACCACATGCTCATAGATCTTGTAATCTAATGAGAATAGTCTAATTAGCATAGCCCGATCCATTGAAGTCAAGGAAGACTCACCGCAATCCGCGGGGTTTCCCCAGTCCGTCGACTCGAGGACTCGGAGACCGATCTACAGAAATCAAACATCAGTATATTCTTTTCTTTGCTTTTACTCGTACTTCCTGTCCAAGCAAGCAGGAGAGGCCGGCGACTCAGGTGTTCGGCGAACTTACCCCACCATCAATATCAGTTACTTTCCCTACCACCTCGACAAGTGTGCCCATCTGCAAGTTCTCATCGGGTGTCAGGATGAGTGTCACATCTCCGTGGGTGCCGCAGGTGATCTTTGCTGTCTCGCCGTTGATCGCGCTCACGGTGCCCAGGATGGAGACGGTGTGTATGTTGCCCGCGGCGGCATTGTTGGGGTGGAAGTTGGAGAGGTGCTGCGGCAGCACGCGGGGCGTTTGAAGAGACATTTTGGAGTGTTGGATTGGGAATCTGGGTTGGTTTGGAGGGGTTGCCGGGGAGGGACAGTGTAAGAGTGTTCCGAATTGATTAGACGCGTTGAGAGGACGCGTAGACACGTGACCAGGAAGCTTCTTACGATCAGTAGATTGGGAGGATCAAGTAAGTAGTTTGAGATGGTTGATATAGCTGATATCAGTCATTGGATTATGGTGCTAGCTATAAAATGTCGAATTCTCATGCCATATTAGAATTGAAAGTACTTGTCAACTCGCTCTAGTATATTCTCACGTGATCATCAATTTCGACCGAAGCTCATGCCTGCGACGTCAGAACTTCTCAACTTGCGCCGTGATCCCTAGGATCCCTAGTGGTTCAATGAATCTACAAAACATTTTCTAGCACTGCAAACAAAACGCGAATCGTCTTATACTCAGCTCCCATCGACCCGACCACCCTATTGCCTCACAACAATGCCTCCGCCCCTACCTTCCCATCGCGGGATGACCGCGAACCCGCTCAAACCTGTAGGCCGTTATCGACCTGGAAAGCCAGTCGCAGAGGAACACTCATCATCCGAGGAAGAGGAGGAAGAAGAAGATATCGAAGCGCAGAGAGAACAAGAACGAAAACAGGCCGAAGCGCAGCGCCGGAGACAGCAAGCTCCAAAAGCAAGCTCTTTCCCTTCTGCGGCCGCCCGCAAGGCTGTCCAGGAAGAGGAGGACGATGAGGAGGAAGGATTCGTGACTGACGAGGAGGATGAGGAAGCCCCGGCACCAGCACCCAGTGCTGCATCACAAGCTACAGCCTCTCCGAAAGGAGCTGGAGCTACAAAACCCACCCCCGCCGCCGCCGCAGAAGAAAGTGAAGAAAGTGAAGAGGAAGAGAGCTCGGAAGAGGAGAGCAGCTCAGAAGATGAAGCGCCTCGGCGCATGTTGATACGGCCTACATTTATTAAGAAGGACAAAAGAGGACAAGGTGCTGAGCAAACACAAGCTGCAGCAAATGCAGCAAACGCCGAGGCAGATGCGGAAGCACGGCGCCTCGCCCAACGACAAGAAAAAGCCGACCAGCTAGTCCGGGACCAACTCGAGAAAGATGCAATCGCGCGCTCCTCAGCAAACCGAGCCTGGGACGACGACGAACTAGTAGCCGACGAAGAAGAGGCCATTGATGACAAGGATGGCGTGGATCCAGACGCAGAATATGCCGCCTGGAAGCTTCGAGAACTGAAGCGGGTCAAGCGCGAGCGCGAAGCCATCGAAGAAGCCGAGAAAGAGCGCGAAGAAATCGAGCGACGACGCAACCTCACTCAAGAAGAGCGTGATCGCGAAGATGCCGAATACATTGCACAACAAAAGGAAGATCGTGAAGCCACCCGTGGTCAAACTGGATTCATGCAACGCTACTTCCACAAGGGAGCCTTCTTCCGCGATGACCAGGAGAAAGAGGGTCTGGACCAACGGAATGTCATGGGTCGACGGTTCGTGGATGATGTGGCGCGTGAGACGCTGCCTGAATACATGCAGGTCCGTGATATGACCAAGCTGGGCAAGAAAGGCCGCACTCGCTATCGCGATCTCAAGTCTGAGGACACGGGACGGTTTGGCGGGGGATATCAAAATCGTCGCTTCGATAATGGCCCGCCTGTTGGTGTTACTGATGAGCGATTTATGCCTGATCAAAGGGATGACCGGGGCACAGGACCGGCTGGACCGACAGGTGCCAATGCCAGTTTTGTTCGACCGAGGCGGAGGTCTAGATCTCGTTCCCCACGAAGGGTCCGACGGGATAATCGGGATGAACGAAGTCGTTCCCGAGAGCGGCGGAAACGCAGCCCGTCTCCTTATGAAGATCGGGATAAGCGCCGACGAGTTGATAGCACTTCATGATATTGTGTCTTTGTGAACTGGCGTTCAAATATTGGTGAGGATGTAGCCAAAAACTTGCATTCCCATTTTCCAAAGGTTGACATACTGGTATATACTTGCATTTTAAGGAAATGAATGATACACCCATCTGCAAAGTTCTCTTGGTTTTTAATACAAGCAAAGACAATCATTACAGGACAGACATTTCCCATCAAAACCTCTAGAGAATAAGGACGTTCTCCGCCAAAGGCCATTATAACACTGTACATAAATCCCTCCAGGGCTATGACACCAGAGGCAAAGATAAAATTTCTATAAAGCCCATGCATTAAAGCCATGACAAACACTCATTTAATCCCAGCTCTCTCCAGAACTTTCTCCCGCTCCATAACACTATCCCCAAAGCGCACAAGGAAAACGGTCCTCGAAGGCCACATCTCCGTCGGCTGATTATGCGTCGACACCTTCGCCTCGAACCCACAACCATCACAGACTCCTTCAATAATCCCCGCCACGAAAGCCGCGCAGTTGAGCATGCTCATTTCACGGGGTACACTGATGTAGGTATTCACCAAGGGATCGTTGTCAGTGATCATGTATTCATTTGGAGTATCGGGTGACACAGAGTGCTCGAGGGCGTCTGCTGAGCGCTGGAAGAGGAGACGCCAGAGGGGGCCATGGATGAGGTGGAGAAGAGTTAGGATGCGGAGGGGTCTGTTTGGTGGTGAGGAGGAGGTTGAGGAGCTTGAGAGGGCTGAGGAGGAGGTTGAGGTTGCTCTATAGAAGAGGAGGTCGAGGAGCCGGAGGCCTAGGGGGTATCCTTGTTCATTTAATCTGGACATTGTTATCAGTACGACTGGATCAAGTCAAGCCAGGACAGGTCAGGTCAATTGGAGGGTGTATGTACCGTTTCTCTAAATCTTGTATGCCTGTTACCCTCCGCTGAGCATATGTGACCATCTCCGCGAATAGATAAGCGAAGCTTGCACGGCTGGACTCTGCATTGCGGCTGCGATTCAAGTGTCGGTCGTAGATGGTTTTGCGATTGGATGGGACGCGGAGGCCTTGTGATGGAGCTGGGCTTTGTGGTTGCTGTAGTGCTTGTGTTCGGTCACTGGATGTGGATTGCGGCGTGCCGTTGTTGAGGGACAGCATGGCCGAGTGTCTGGGCGCGGCCATGTTTCGAGACGCAGATGGTGGTAAAGTTGAATTGGAGATTGAATGAGCACAGGTGGTATCGAGCAACTCTGTTATGTATTTTAATATGCTGTGATATGCTGTTGGTTGTTTGAGGGATCAAGTTAACTTCGTCTCTGTGACTTCCCGAGTTCGCGACGTGGATGCGATCTACGGTGGAGCACATCAGCCGTGGGCGCAGTTCACGTAGGAAATCTTTGCGATTGGGTTAATATGAATACGAGTTTACAATCTACAGTTCAGTTTACAAGATAAATAATTTGAAGATAAATTTGTTTCATTGAGTCCCAACAGCGGTAGGCCTAGTCATCGCTTCGTAGGAAAAATTCAAAGCAGAAGATATTCTATAAAAACCTATTCTGAAACCACTGTTAGCGAGGTTCATTGAAATCAAAAAAATCCAACAAAGGAAATAGCCAATTTCAATCAGACATCCAAGGAAGTAATTGCGCACAGAGTACCCGAAATAGGTTCAAATTGGGACTAGCGTGGAAACTGCGAATGTAGGACATTTTTCATCATATGAAATGGACTAAGTCCTTGGCTAATCCTGAATAAAAACACAACAACTTACCATTAGCAGAGAGAAGTTCAGTTGTTGAGTTATTGAATTGTGGAGTCGTTGAGTTGTGAAGTTCGCATTAGAACTTCTTGCAGTTGGAGAAGATGAAAGAAAGAAAAAAGTTTCGGGGAGAGAAACGTCCTTTTATAGGGCGGATCAGCTGCCCCGACAACCCGGGAAGCTTCTAGCGAATTTTTTAATATCCACTCAAGCTCAGAGATTTTCAATGGTATGGTATAGTATGGTAACTACCAAGTAACTTGATTTATTTATGTATTTTTATCTGAGATTTTTCTTAGCAATTGTATCTAAAAGCTACTATTAAATCAATAGGAGAAAACTCGTTCAGATACGGAACAGTTGAAAGACATGGGCTCGTTAGTTCAGCCATTACATTCAGACAATTTGCCTTATTTGAGACTCTTCTGTTTCGTACGGGAGTTCCAATTCAGCGTTTTAGAGATGCTGTGCACCCAGTCTTCGCCATGTCGATCCTGAGGCAACACACTGGCAAACGGGTATCTCGACGCCGACACCGTGACATAGTCGCCTGGATGCAACTCTACCCTCTCCCGGCCATCGAAACTAGCCCATGAACTGGTTCGCGCATCGTAGGGAACACCCATGCGCAACACAATCGTATCAGGGAGGATAATTGGCCGGAATGAAAGGGTGTGGGCGCAAATGGCCGTTACCAAGATCACTGGATTCTCAGGGTGCGAAAGCGATCCTCCAGCGGCGAGGTTGTAGGCTGTTGACCCTGTCGGGGTAGCAATGCAGATTCCATCGGCTAACAGAGTAGTGAAATGTTCGTCATCGCCAAACAGTTCGATTTGAGACATGGCTAGGGTTGAATGGTTAGTGATAGCGTTCCAAAGGGAGAAGTCTCGGGTGCATTACTTGGATTAGGTCCACGGTCCAGAACGACATCGTTCAAAATCTCATATACTCGATCCGGAGTATGTGTCAATGTATCCTCCCCTTCCTCGCCGATCAATTCCTCCACCAAATCGCGATCCGGCAACGTTCGACTATGCGGATCTTTCAACCGCGCCTTGCTTCTCATAATCGTGCACTCGAATCGCAACCGAAGACTCACAACCACGCCATCTCGGAAAGCGTTTTCCAGGATATTCTTATGATCTGAAAAGTCAAAGTTGGTCAAGAAGCCTAATGAACCAAGCGCAAATGACAAAACGGGCGGGACAATACGCTGGAATAGCCAGCTCGTATAAAGAACCGTTCCATCTCCACCGAGGGTGATCACAAAATCAAATAGATGGGGCTGCTCCTGCGCGAGCTTAGGATCCCAGAACTGAAGCCGACCTTTGGCCGATGGTTCATCCTGCAGTAGCTGCAAAGTTCCAAAGTCCGGATGGGTTTCCATGCGGCGCTCCACGTAGACTGTGTACGGCGAATCACGGTCCTTGGAGAGTAACCAGCGAGTCACTTTTCTGGTCAAGCTCACCAAGGACTCATCATGTGTCTTGCTCACGATGAAGACATTCTTGACCGTCAGTCTAAGTTTTATGCTTCCCAGCTTCTTCGAGAGCTTCCGTACATTCCAAGCCATATCGGACAGCTGGCGCTTGGTCAGATGACGCGATTGAATGATCGTGGGCTCGACTTTAAGTGTTTTGTTATCACCGTCGACAACAGCGACTGTGTTATCATCGCCAAGGATCTTTGGGTTGACGATGGGCTCATCGTCACTCATCGTATGGATCACATCTTCCTGATCGGCAGATTTTGGAAAAGGCGCTGCCCATTCCCCCCCAATAAGGGAATGCACATAGCAAGCTGTCGTCCTATCCTGTGGGTCGTGGTTTTTGATTCCGGGTTTCTCCATCGTCACCAAGGAGGATTTGCGGCGGTGGCTGGAATCAGGGTAGAAGACGACCTAGTCAAAGAAATTAGGCCCCTGAATTCAGATATGCGATGCTATCTCTGCTAGCTCACCTCCAGCTGGTTCTGTGGCTCCGTATCACTGGCCCCTCCGCGGCTCTAAGATGGATCAGTTCCCTAGCCATAAGCTCGTCATCCAGCACCTACCTCGTCCATGGCGGCCGAGGATGCATCTCGGTCATTGTGGTCCATCGCGCGCAGATTCTGAACTTTTGTTCGAGCCAATTAGACCGGCATAGTAGGTTTGGGACTGTAGTGATGATCGGTGTAGTGTTGGTGGGATTGGAACATGTGTGACCAAGTGGAGAGCGGGTATGACGTCGATCCCCCGCTCACGCTCAACTCCATGGCTCGCTTTGTTCCAGGGTTACTGAGGTCCCTGTCAATTCTATGACAGCGTACATGCAGAAATAAAAGACACTAATTAAAGATCATGGGGTTTATTCATATATTGATTACTTATTTATTGATCCCGGCTTTTCCCGCGATCTAAGTCGAAGATCTCCTGGAAGATGGCGGATTGAACTGGATTTCAATTGGCTTACTAACTACATGGCATTCTTCATCTCTCTCAGAGCAGCCATCACATCTACTGGATCGGTCTTGCCTGTCGCTTTCTGGATCGCGGGGTCCTGAATAATAAATATGAGCATATAACCGTGATATCATGGGCAGAAAACTTACATTGACGCGCATAAACACGTTGTGAAGCTGCAAAGAATTAGTCATCGTCGACATAATCATATAATCTTCAAGTACATACCTTTTCGTCTCCGATAGTGAACTTGCCCTGGGTCTGCTCGTTCGCCTCGGCAAAAGCTTGAAGCTTCTTAATTGGCTCCGACTGGGACACCGCAATGCAAAACTTGACGTTTGCCTTAGTGTACTCGTGACCGGGCTGAATTCTGTAAGCCGACATTCTTCCAGACTGAGAACACTACTTACATAAACCTTGGTGTCGTCTGGTAAAGCTGCCAATGTCTCGTTTAATGCCTTGTGCATCTCCGCGGCGTTGCCTTCAAAGAAGCGACCGCATCCTGCAAATAATAATTAGTAATGCCCGTTCAGTAACAAAAGGCGAGTCTTACCGCCAATAAACAAGGTGTCGCCGGTGAACACAACCCGCTGGTCGCCATCTTGCATGTAATAGCAGATACTATCCTGGGTATGGCAAGGGGTATACAGGGCCTTGACAGAGATGCGCTCTCCAATCTTAAAGGTCTCGCCATCTGCCGGGGTCCTGGTAACGGACTGGCAATTTGAGCCTCCAATCACGGGAAGCTTGCCGAACTCTCTCAGCTAAAGGAAGTCAGTTTAATCACTTGTGAAATGAGGAGTATGGACACCTACCATCTTATCATTGCCCCCAGCATGGTCCCAGTGGCTGAATAGTCAGCCCATGTTCTGTTAAACTCGGTTGATTCAAAAACATACTGGTGAGTATTTACAATGGCAGTCAAATCAATCTTGCCAGCGCTAATCTGCGACTTCAGTTCAGGAGCCACCCTAGTTAATCAGTCAGCTCAGCATTCGGAAATGCTTCATGTTATGACTGACTCTGGGGGATTCGCTGGGTCAATGATGACTGATTGCTTAGTCGGCTCGTCTGTCACTAGGTAGGCATAATTATTGCCCTTCCCCGTCCCTGTAGGAGATAATGTAAGCTCAAAGTCAAATATTCTATGTTTGTAGCTGTGTGACATCGGATAGCTCTACTTACACATCGGAATCGACTGGATATGCATCGCTCGAGCTTGTGGGATGAATGAACGGGGACGGAATAGTCGAATTGACTTTGCAAAAGTCATCACCAATGGAATGTTTGGGTGCGGGGAGAAGCTATCTATTATGAGCTGTACAGGATTACATATCAAAACGTCATGCGGAGGAACAGTTTTTCCGTGACCTTACTAATGGTACGATGTTTGATTGGTGGACCTTTTTCAAGCTTCACTGTCACTGTATGATGTTGATTTTAGTTTTTGATTGAGTGCTGCCAGCAGCACATACTTTTATTAGATAGATCTAGTGAGCCGATGCAACACCCAAAGCTCGGCTATCCCATTTTTCAACAAGCCCCCAGCCATGTGTAAGAAGCTTCTCATCAACACCCGAGACATGACGATCGCCATTCTGGTGTGCACTTCTCTTCGCAGAGGAGCCTTTGGAGGTTCGTCCAGAGGTAGCGTTGCTCTTTCGCACGCCACCATGCTCGCGTAACCTATCGCTCAGCATCTGGGCCCAGTGGTTCGGGTTTTCATCGCAGGCAGTGAGAATGTAACTGCGAGAGCAGTATGGTTGGTGAGACGCCCAGGAAGCGGAGGTCAAGATATGAGTCAACCATAAAAATAAGCCCTCGGCAACAGCGTCCTTTGGCGAATCCCTCGTGACATCGAAAAGCAGCTTGTGTATCAAATCCTCCGACAAGTACATCAAGAACGAGGGGTGGTGTTCAGTAATCTTCTGTAAGACAGGATCCCACTTATCGAAGAGGTTATTCATAGACTCTCCAATTCTATCAATTGTCAGCATCGAATCTATGTGAACGTCGAAACTGGAAAACTTACTTTCGCTCGGAATCAACCAAGATATACTCCTCCAAAAGGACAGTAGGTAGTAATTTCACAGCCTCGCTTGACGCGCCACAAAATGAAATCAGATCTGTCGAAATAGAGACCTCCTGGTCGCGCTTCCGCTTCTTGCGCTGTGGCTCCGCAGGCACGGAGCCAGTGGAGAATTCCTTCAAAACACGAGTCAGGGCACTCTGGACAGATGCGCTATTCTCATGATCAACATTGGAAAAAGCGCCTAGATCATCGATATTAGCCCAGTAGTTGTCCCAGAGCCACTCGAGAGAGCGCTGAGAAGCCTTGCGAAGAACAACCAGGGATGGTGGTTCGCGGTGAGTCGCCTCATGACGCAGCTCAACAAAGGATGCAGGTAATCCCAAGTCTGCAGCACGCTGGAACATAGTCTTGCGAGGGCCTTGAACCTTAGAGTCGACGAGGCCAGTCACGAATCTGGATAGCCAATTAGCTCAGATTCATTTAAAAAAAGCTCTAGCGAGCACAAAGGAAGGGTCAAAAAGACTGCTGGCATACCGACAGAATGCAGCAGAGTAGGTAGCTCGAATTGAGAAAATCGAATTCATCTGCGCGTCATCGTGGAGAATGGCGTCCGTCAAAAGGGCCGTCGCCTCAACATGATGCGGGACGTTGCCACGTAGTTTCCAAGCTTCCACCTATTGTTCATAGGCATGTTAGGATGTCCAGTCATAATCCGTTTCTCAATTGAACATACCACTGCACAAGCATGAGTGCGCATGTCGGGGCCATCATATGACGGCGAAGGATAAAACTCGTTGCGCACCTCGGCCAACTGCGCCTTGTTCTTCCATGCTGTGAAAATGACTTTAGCCATTTTCAAGGCCGTTGATTTGGAGAATTTTGTTTCCTGAATTCAAGTTACTCAAATAATGAACTTCGCTATATATTGGTATCTTTTCTTTAGCTGGAAGGAAATAATTTTCGGGGGATAGTTGATCCATTCGGAGAGTTTGGCCGATGCTAAGTTTATTCCCGACCAATTAGGAGCTTGGAATGGTTGGTTTACTCGGATGTGATGCTTTGTAGTGTACTTATTCATGTCTTTGATTCTTAAACGATTCTACCGTCAGAACCCTAATGGAAGCTAAACTATGCCCAGGGTATCCTTGTATCCGACTCCGGCCGTTTCAAACAGATCCAAAGAAAATTAACTCCATGCTATGCCGCTGTAAAATGAAAAAGAAAGAAAAAATGTGTGAGTGGATCAGATCCACCCGTATCCATAGCTCATGCATGATTGATTCAGGCTAGCAAAGGGCGCCGAAGGCATTTGCTGATCCGTGTCGTCATTGTCGAAAAAGAAAGACTTGTGAAGCAGGTTCAGTGCTGGTTGAGCATACTGTCTGGGCATGGAGACATTCTGTGTCATGGGGGCAGACTGTTGCACTGGACTGTGTTGAGGAACAGGTTCCAGATCGTTTGCATCATCGTCGGCATCAGGATCCTCGTCTTTTTCGTCGTCGGATGGCGAGAAAGTTTCCTCGAGCTTCAGTCCCTTGCCCAAAATACCCTGCTGCGACTGACCGATGGAGCCATCCGGATGGCTGTACAGTCCCATGCCGACCAACTCCTCCTCACCTTTGCCCGGCTTCTTTTCGTGGAAAGAGGCGGGCGACTCGAATTGCTGGATGGGGAGGAAATCAGGAGTCGATGGACCGCTAAGCTCTCCTGGAGATGGAACACTCGCGTAGCTGGGGCATGTGGTTTGGGGAGGGGGGATGTTGGCCATTGATAGCATGTCGAGTGGCCATCCATCAGAGGTTGTTTGAGAGATAGCCGACATGTCGATGTGGTTGGAGGTATCCCATGCCATTGACTCGGCCTGCGAGTAGGGCATAGTTTGTTGAAGAGGCATAGTGTTCTGAGTGTCAAGGTAGAAGGGGAAATAACTGTCTGGCGAGACTGCTGGGTCGGCAGACATGGGATATGAAAGCATGCTCTCGCTACCGTATACAGAAAAAGCATTCATATCGAGAGACTGATCGGGAATGGTGCTCATGTCGGTATAGTTCTGGTTATAGTCGGGAAAGTATGTCGAATTGGAGAGTCCTCTAGTCCTGGTCGAAGACGAATGCCAACTCATAGGGCGAGGGTTGCCTGCAGATGCCAGCAGAGCGGCTTCCAGCGAGGATTTATACTGATTCGGGACTCCTTGCATCCCACTTTGAGCAACAGTTGTCCTCCTCCTGCTCATCGATGAGGGACTATTTCCAGCACTCCTTGGCTTCATGACACGAGAGTGTCGCGGCCGAGGAAAAGCGCGGGCCCAGTCCTGGATTTGCATGTTGGAAGATTGGCTATAAGCATTGTTCGAAAGCCACGGGGAGCCAGTCGAAGAGGCTGGTTGGTAACAGTAGTCCATAAAAATGTCGATTGATGGGAAAGTGAAAACCCCCTCTCTTTCTAAGTACTGGAAAGTCCCAGGTGTGACGTAGTGGGATAGAAGGTTAAATAGAGAAAGTAAAAAACCGAAGTTCCTAAACAGGAACAACGGTTATTTTTATGGTGTATGGGCGGAAGTGAAGATCCAGGGAGAACCAAGGTGTTATAAGGGAATCCAGGGAGCCTGGCGATCTACCCGCCCCAGGTCCACGATCCCACAACACATGCTAGGATGACACGACGTTGACACTAAAGAGAGACTAGTCCCAAAACCACAGGGCCGCATGGAACGGGTCGAGTACTGTTTCGGCCAAGGGCAGAATTTCCCGGAGTACAGAGTGGAGATTGGTGCGTGGAACATTTTGAGGCGAACATGGGGAAAATGAGAGACCAAAATGGACGTGGACCCTCAGCAGCAAATTTACTGTAAATTATTTGTTTTTTCAACCCACTTTCCTTACTCCGTATAAACCTCAATACATGAGAATGCTGTGATCTGATTTGATCGACAGTAAATACTTCCTCTGATGAGTTTACTCCCTTCACTCCCGTACTCCATAAATCTATTTTTTTTTTCTCCATTTCCACTTGACCCACCCTGCAATAAGAATGCGAATGTTTGGGCTCCATAGCGTCACAGCCAAAGGTTTCCCCCCGTTACGCAAGGGTTACCAATGTGGTCGTTAAGATCGACTTACACATCCTTCGTGTTCCTGTAATCGAGGTGGCTTGCCAAGTGGGGTTGGTCTCCAATTTCCTAAGTACTAAATAAGAAAAACGAACTGATAACTTCGTCATTGTGCTTTGTCAGGGCCTTTTCCAAGTTCTAGATCGGGAGACGATAGAGGGATAGAGAGAGACATGGTCCCTTCTTTGTACCGTGCATACCCGGTGATGTTTCTTTTCTCCGCTGCATGCGCCCTCATCCGGAGTACATGATGCAGGAGATGCATCTTTGCCACCAGCGATCGTCTTTTGTTCCGATCCTAGGAATATGAACAAAGCCACTTTCGGCTCTTGGTTAAACCAATCACAGTCCCCACCATCTGGAACTATGCTCCGTTGGCTTACATTCAAATGATCCCAAGCCATTCTCTAATATCCTTTCTTTAGTCTGGCACTAATCTCGGAACATCACTGAAGAGGGGTGCTACAGAACTGCCAATGTGCATGACCCAGTTATACGGAGTACTGGTGGACCTGTTTCATTGAAAGACCGGTAGCCCGTGTACCGCCACAAGTTCGTGTTAGACAATAGTTAGGGGCGGGAAGCTCGGCATGTTGGAACGTGGAGCCTGAAGTTTTGTTTTTTTACGGATGGGACAGTCCATGTTTGGCTCCAGCAAGGTTTAAAAGTACCAAGCAATATGTTATTGAGAACAATTAAATTGGGTTGGAGCAAACAAGAGTTCAAATGTGACCAGTTCCCTGCACAGCAATTCCTAATGCAGAGAACAAATCAGATATGTGACCCGTGTACTGATGGACTTTTGCCCCATAATTAATAAGAAATATGAAATCAATTTCTGTGTCACCGATGAGGAATTAGGCGGTAGAGCCACCATTCACAACGTGGCCAGGGCGGATCTGATCGTGCTTAGCGCTTCCCAAAGCCGAGAGATTCTATGCGCCCGGACCTTCGGGAACTTGACACTTGGTCTCTTTGACTTTCTTTGACCCGCTTATGATCGATTATTTATTTGACTTTTTTTTAATTTAATTTTTTCTTTACTTTTCTTTGATCCAGTCTACTGGTAATGGATCCCTATCTGATTTTTTCTAGACAGAATATTTGACTTGATTATATCATGGAAAAATGGAACCACTTCGTACTGCTTATTTAATGACTTATACTTGCTTTTTTTTCTCTTCTCTTCTTTTTCTTTCTTTGCTCTCGCAGATACATAATGTCATCTGCCGGGGGATGCCTTGAGCAAGGATTCGAGGGCTCCCGACCAATTCAAAACACCCAATCCACTTTCCCACATCATTACATAGCGATCCCAAAGTCCGTGTACCGCTCGGAACGCAGTTGCATGGACCCACTTCCTGCACTGCAGGGGCCACTGAGAAAAAAAAATTGGAGACAATCATCAATTTCCAGAAGCTCAGGGGGCCACTAAGAGAGTTCACTTTTTCCTTTGCCCCTTTAGGTGGAGTTCTCAACATGGACAAAATCTCATAAATTGCCGATCGCTGAAGTATGTGAGCACACCGTTCCAATAGATGGATCCTCTTACTGTAAGATAGGCACTGTAGTACAGTACATACGTAGTCTGTACAAAGCCAAGTAACGTAGTAGTTGTACGGAGTCAATCACTCGGTGTTTTATCCATTATTGGAATCATTTCCCCCCCTCACTCTTTGACTCATGCAGTGTGATACGAACCTATAGTTAAGGATAACATTATATGACATAGTGAACCAAAAGCCGAGGTAGCAAGCTTAAGAAAGCAAGTAACCAGCCCTACATTCCAAGGCAGACAAAGATAAATTTAAATTAAAAAAAAAAAAAATTCAATCAAAAATTTCCAGGAATTAACTAGTCTATGAAGTAGAGTGTCCACCTTAAACTTCTGCTCCGTAATGCCAATTAGAATGAACGGTCAGTCTCCGAGAGCCGGACCACAACCAGATCCGGGGCTGATCTACTACTTTTGTCGCGAGCCTCTTTTGTTTCTTTCTCCCCACTCGCCTACAGTAAACCTCCGACTCGTGCTAGCGTTCCTGGACCTTCCCGACCCATCCACGGAAAGCGATGGGTTAAAGCGGGGCTAATTCAGCCTTCCTTGGTCTTCCAGACGTTTCAGTCGGGCTTTGTGACCCGAAATCCTTTTTCCATTTCCAAGGTTCTCCTTTATTTTGGTTTTCCCTGGCTTTAGCCCCACGGAAGGAGTGGGCTCAATCCAACTTGGCTTGCCTTAGTGCCATATGTCAATAAAACTTCTTACGGTGTATCGCGCGGATGACCACCGCCCTGGGAGCCGTGCGCAGTGATATCAAGGTCAAGTAATGTGATGATTAAGAGAGGGGCGTCGGCCGCATTTTTACTACAGCGATTGGCGTCCCTCCTTTCTCCATGGGTTATTGCGACGATCTTTCAAAAAGCTTGGGATCCAGTTATCCTCCGATGGTTTAAACGGTGTAGAGATACTCCTGACTCGGACTTTGACTCGGACTGTAACTAAAAATGGGCTGAAACCATGGGTCTGTCGTTTCCTGATAGGCTGCCACATCAATGGTAGGCTGTGCTTAGAAACCAGTATACTGTGTACTTATTGGTGCCCTCCAAACGTAGATAGCCTGTCACACAGCGTCATTCAGGTTCTACCTTTTAGACACGTAGGCTGCAATTTCAACGGGTTACGAGGTATGTACATGATTAAGTTCTCGACTCGGTTTTACCCGTGCGCCTGCGTCGGGCACAGTCCGGACTTTCATGCAGGCGACCATCTTCAACTCCCTCGGGTCCTGACGCCTGAGGCGCGGCGCCACATAAGGCCCAGGTGCTAGTGGGTCAAGACGATCTGGCCGACTCATAGTGGATCGAAATGCTGACCGTCACACTTGCGTTGCCTAGGGGCGGAGCCAAGTTTAGAGAACTGTCGAGACCCCCAGAAGCGGTCAAGCCCAGGGGTTGGACCAATCACCTTCCTTTTTCTAGCTTCTGGTTTCTTGACGCCCCCAATCTATGTGCAACAGTCTTGTGTACAAACCTAACCAGCTTTCTTTCCTTGAGAATGGTGGATCCACTCGGTCGCTATGGCCCATGCTAGAGTCAGCTGCTACATGCCACATCGCATATCGCACATCGCACATTGCACATTGCCTGTTTCTTCGTCTGAAATGGAGTCCGACACGGCTTAATGGAGTTCCATCCGCCCCATGCAGGGGTCGATCCTGTTCTCATCCTGCTTATGTACATTACTACGAAGGGCAACTATATCGTACATTGTGACACTCAGACATACCTCCATACTTCCCCACCCCTTCCAAAACGGATGATCCGTACAGCTGAGCGCAAGGGTATACGCTTCTGAGCTGCAGTGAGATGGCACACCTGCTGATACTGTATGCCTGGGTGAGATGGAGATTTAACTTTATAGTACCGCGGAATGAGGGGATGGTTTTCGGAGATCTATCCACCTGTCCTCGAGCGTTGGCAGCTTGGCTACTACGTACATGAAGGGGCACCTAGGATGGGGGAAAGAAAAAAGCAAGGAATGCCCAATGTATGGAGCACTTGGTTTTCCGTAATTTGCACACTTCAATCACATCACATCAGCAGGCAACACAATCCACTGTAGAATTTGTGTGCCCGACACCGACTATTGAAAAACCTAGACGCCTATTTTCGATTTTTGAGGATCAGTGGATTATACACTTTGCCCCGATGTTCTCCTAGGGTATCCAATATTCCAGCTGTCCCACACCTGGGCATCACAGTTACGTACGCAAACATAGTAAGACTACCGTAACCATCAAATGGGGGCTAAGGTTTTCAAATACTCCGTACTTGTTTGATCAATGACAGTCAAGAACGAACATTCAATTGTTCGAAGATCTTCAACTCCGCAGTAAACATGGAAACAAAAACCCTGAAGTTCCAATAAAAAAAGCTCCACTAGTTCCAAGGTTACTGCTCATCCTTTCCCAATCAATCACATGGAGTTCCCGTACCGCTTGTCTCCGCCGATAGTCTGAAGGTGAGGTCCCTCGTGCTGATCCTGTTTTTCCCGCGCGTAAATCAATTTTGGGATCCTTGGAACTCACCCGTTCATCTCCATCGGAGTCAAATCCCAACCCAAGAGGAAAAACTTTGCTTTCGCAAATCCGGTAAATCTCGTAGATCACGAAGTACTCAAGTGGAGGCTTTGCTTTTCACTTTTGCTTTTTCCCTACCTAAACTATTGACTTTTCTCTCTCGTCCCCGCCCCCTCTTCTGTTCCCTTGACCCCCCTTTTCGAGCCTGCAACATACTTTGGGGATTCACACGCAAAGGCGGATACGTATAGTGCATCCATAGTACCGTTAATTTGCGCGATCAGGCGCATCGGGTAAAAAGTCACTTTTTTTAATTTTTTAATTTTCTTCCTTCTGCAGCCGTATCGGCCGATCGAACGGGTCATGTGCCTTTTAGCTCCTCTCTTCTCTCCACCTACGACACCATTCTTTTAGTTTACAGTAGGGCGTGGGTTATCTCCGTTGAAATCCCGGCAATGCGCAGCCGAGATCCCACCTATAGTTGAATAGTACGGAAAAATGAGTATGATCGGAAGATGCAACGGCTGGAATTGCCGCATGCTCTACCCCGTACGGCGTACTCGTTGAGGTTTTGAAATTGTTGAGATTTTATCATTTGTCTAAGATCTGGGATATTTACTCCGGAGTCCGTGGGACGGCCACGTCTGGTCGATGACGACAGATTCATGCACGTATGGTATGGAGCCACATACTGTAGATAACTTTCTGTGTGGTGCTGGAGACTGCTATGTATATCTCTGCATGGTCTTGACTGATAATTGCCGGACTAAAAGTATGCGCCAAAGGTCCGCACATGCATCTTATCTCAAGTGCTATAGGGTGTACAGATGTGAGCCAGCGACTGGTGACGTTGCCCTGGGGGTAGGTGTATCAGTGTAAGCTCAGATAGATAATCTTGAGTCAGGGTGTGTTTGCACTGGTTGAAAGAATCGGTCAACATCGCTATGGACCAGAAAGTTTCAATGTAAGGGGCTACAAGTATTGCTTGTGATGTGAGGTTGCACAGTAACTTGTAGATACTTACATATCACAAGCTGACATGGATGTTTGGTGTATACGTGCATCTTGGATATAAATTTACTCCCTTGAATGTTTCCTTGCGTTGTTTATATCATACTGAATATTAGACCACGTCCACTGGTTAGTGCTGAGCTATGCCTGTCTGAACCTCGGACCTGCTCTCGGATACCTAGGTAAATAATATATTGTATTACCAAAGGATACATATGTGTAGATAGAGCAGTCAATATACTTGTTTATTAGCCGAAAGTTTTGGTGGTAAGCTGAGCATGTGTGAATACGCCGATGGGCGATGACGATGAGAAAGCGGGGGAGATAGCGTATCCCATGTAGCCCTCGGAGCCGATGAAGATGATCCATCAGATAACAGCTTCTTGCTCAGCCAATACATAGATAGGCTTTGAAACCTACTTAGTATGTCTGTACCGAGCCCTAGAAGTTGTCAGGCTGAAATATATACTGTCGTGAGACTAAAGGGTTCGGGAGACAATATACATATAGTGCTATCCAATCGTGTTGACGTCAGATAATCATGTATGTATTCACAAATCCCGACCTTAGGTCATGATCACGATTATGTCTATACATATGCGCATGTCTAAACACAGTGCCTTCCAAGGATAGACTCTAAGTTGACATGTAACAATGAAAGAGAGACATCCAATGGTCGGTTACTCCAAAGATATGTTTCGGGAGTCCCCAGTAACCCAAAAAGGAACACCAAACTGATATTTGTTGACTTTTGTATAAGCATAGTCTATGCTAAGTGCCAAGCAGACGTAGGAAATGCGTAACTGAGCAGGGAAACGAGCCAGAAAAGTTAATAGAATCTACTACACCATGGTGATTCAGAAACCGTTTACATTTGAATCTTTAAACATTTAAGAATGACAAGTGGACAACACACACTTGCGTAGAAGCCTGAGCAAGTCCACAACCTCGATATAATCTAAATCTACACATCTGGTTCCTGATGCCAGCCTGTACAGGAAATCTGACAACGAGCCTAGTTCTATCCCAGGCCATACCCGCACCACCAAAGGCCAAGTTGGACGTGAGGACGTGGTGCCTATGGGATTACTGTAGTCATGGGAAGCTTCACGACATGAGAGCGTTAAGCAGATATATTCGGGTGGATTATAGAATGGTTCGTGGGTATGATGAGAGATTTGGCGTGGATCATAAGGTCAAGGCAAGGAAGCGGGCGGGTATAGCGGACGCTGAGAATCACCCAGGTGCGTTCTAATAGATAAATGTTGACGAGATGCTGATGTTGACTGACTCAATGGCTGGGAATAGATTCCGTTGCAATGTGGAATTCTGATGGGAATAAATGGTACTTGTTTGACTAGGTTATTGCATTCAAAAACGAATTGGAATAGGAATGTAAGGAAGATTGATGCATTGAAATATAGCTAAGTGGGATGTCTCCCCGCTAGACCAGCCTCAAAACCCAGTCCCATAATTAAATGGGGTCAAGTTGAGACTAGATGGGGGACAGCCAGTGCAACAGCATTGGCTGATTGTGTTCATCTTGCTTCATGTTCTACACTTGCTTCGTCCTGTTGCATTTTGCGTCGACGGCAAGCTCTAGCTTTTGTAGGAGCGATGGTGTTCTAACTAAAGAGGGGATTGTGTAAATGATCTGAATGTCATGCGTCTCAGCATGATTCAGGTATCATAGTTTTGATCGCTGGGAAAAAACCGTTCTCGGCACCACACATCAATGGGCCGTCGAACAGAGCAGACAACAGCTGATAGAAACAGTGAAAGGAATAGACTTGTCAAGCATTCTTCATGTCGAAAGTAGGTGGTTTGGGAACACTAATTATATAGGCTTGGGAAAAAGCGGTAGGAATGAAAATGAAAAAATGAACTTATAAGGCGGATTCAGATCACATGACCAGATGTTTATTCCTGAGATTCTAGGCTTCATATTTATGCCTGAAAGGTGCGGCAACCAAGTCCGCTATCACTGCACCTGTGTATCTCCATAGCTCAAAGCATGCGCACATACTGCCAATGGAGCGTCTCATTCGATCAACGCTAAAACTCACCCCGGGTCGGGTCGCTCGTTTTGCCATCAATGGCACCGGCCTGTTCTGCGCATGCGCGCTCGTCTGGGAGAACATCGTGACCATACAACTCAGCGAAGGACCGTCTATGTACCCGACCTTCAATCCGCGCGGCGATTGGCTGCTCATCTCACGAATGCATCGAAACGGAAAAGGAATCGAGGTCGGCGATGTCGTACGCTTTAACCATCCTACTTTTCTGGGTGTGCATGGCGCCAAGCGGGTTCTTGGGATGCCGGGAGATTTTGTTTGTCGGGATCAACCTTATAGCACTGGGGCTGGGCAACAACCGGATATGATTCAGGTGTGTTTTCTACTGTTGGCAAAAACCCTTGCTTCCGCGCTTGCGGTTTTTTTTTGATTGACTGGAATATTGCTGACTTGTTTTCCGCATAGGTACCTGAGGGTCATGTATTCCTAGTCGGCGACAACCTTCCCTGGTCAAGAGATTCGAGACAATTCGGACCGGTGCCTTTAGGCCTGATCAATGGCAAGATCGTGGCGCGAGTGTGGCCGAAGATGGAGTGGGTGCGCAATACCATGCAACCTGCGGAACTGGATGACTAGTTCTGTGTACAACATTTGGAAAGCTATAGTCTGGAGCATCTATGGAGTTTATTTGGGTCTTTTGAAAAAGGAAAGAAAATGGATCTGCTGTGCATATTCATACATATTCGGTTGTACAATACAAGAGTAACTCAAAACAATATTGGGACAGGTGGTATAGAATGGAGACGCATCTACCGGAAGGAAGAGGGGTTTCTCCGCTTGTAAGGAAGAGGCTCAACCTTCTTCCGGCGCAGCTCAACATCAGCGTCGCTGAAGCCGATCTGTTTCATGACTTCCAGTGTAGTCTCATCCCACTGGGTGCGGAACAGGTGGGCTCCAATGGGCTTGAGGTGGTAGCGAGCCTGGAGGGTACGCATAAGCATGTTCTCACGCTCAGTCTCCTTGGCCTTGATGGCTGCAAAGTCGAGCGGCTGGGAGTCCTTCTGCTCCATGATGAAGACAGAGAGTCGGTGGTAAGGACTACCCTTCTGGGCAACGGGTGCTTCCCAGGGAAGAACGACCTGGGAGTCTGTGGAGAGCTGGGAGAGATCGACCTTGGTGGAAACGGCCGAGATGGGCACATTGACGGCGAGATAGTGCATCTTGTAATCGAAGCTGTCTGCCTCGACATTGGGAACATCTGGATCGATAACAGCAATAGTAACGAGCTTCTCACCACGTTCAAACATTTGAATGTCAAGCTTGGGTGCTGTGGTGCTGTCCTTTGCGAGGACAAAATCACCAGGCCCAACCTGTCGCTTTCCAAAGTACAGCTTGGTCTCCACAGTCGGATCACATTGGGGTAGAACATCCGGAACGACATTCATCTGTGTAATACGCTGAACCAAAATCTTCCGACGGTATTCACGCCATTTGCGGTCGGCGAGGTAACGGTAGATGGGTTTGCTCATGTCGCCTAAGTAGAAAGAGCGTTAATATCAATTCTTCTCGAGTCTGCTGATCAACATACCTTGACCGTCCTCAAACTTCCGCTTCACCAATGGGTCATTGATGTCGGCCAAGATCTTGAGCTTCTCCAGGTGCAATTGCATAGCGGTCAGGCGAGACTTGCGCGAAATCTCCCCGGCCTGTTCAACCGGTTGTGCCTCCACTCGCGCAATCTTTTGCCGCATCGATTCAATCTCCTCTAACTTCTCTGCTCTGTCTGCGAGAAGAACCTTTCGTGCTTCTTGGAAACATTGGTATGGGAGTTGCTCGAAAGGGAGGCTGCCGGCGCTTTGCAACGCAGCACGGCGACGACGGGATCCAATAGGAGCAGTACCCTGTCGCATCAATCGTCGTTCCAATCGAGGACTTGAGACAAGGGCTGGATCCGGAGATTTATGGAACGGCTGGGTCTGTTCGGATTGGGCGTCCGCAACGCCGGCGGTTGACTGGAAGCCGCGGGACTGGACCTGAATGCCCGCGAGGCTTCTGGTGTAGGAATTGCGAAGACATTGAAGCAGCGGCTTCGATGCCCGCTCACAATGGGCCATTGTGAAAGGCTTTTTAATGGGTGTGGAAATGGGGTTGGAGGTAGAGGATGGTGTTATTGTCTTTGGGGAACATTTTCTGCTCTGCAGGCCAAGACTTCTGCTGGCGGCCACCGCCTCCCCGGAATCAACTTTTGCTCTTCCCATCCAGAGACAGCACATCACCAAACCACCCAATTAACTCGCTACAACGGCTGTCAAAATGCCCGGTTGCGAAGCTCTCCGGTCCCTGAGACTGTTGTCGCGCAGCTCAGGTGCTCTTTTGGCTGGATCCGAGAATGTCACGGTATGCGAATTGCCCACCGGATTTCAATTCGCTAGCCATGACCAGTTAGGAAGATATAGCCACTAACAATATGTTTGATATAGCGACGATGCCTTACTCGATCTATGGCCACAGAGGCTCAAGCCAATGCCTCTTCGACTCCCTCCGCGCCCGCTCCCTGGGACCTCCCTGTCTCCGTCATGACCTACAACTTCCCTTCTATGGAACCCGCTCGCTTGGTGGAATACTCCCAAAAACAACTTCAGATGCCGATTCGGAAAGATCTTCTTCACCGCGCAATTGTATACGAGGGTGACATGACCCGCCAGGGTACCGCCAGCACCAAGTGGAGAGACGATGTGCACGGTAGCCACAGGAAACTCATTCAACAGAAGGGATCCGGACGTGCCCGTGTGGGTGACAAGCAGTCACCGATTCGAAGGGGTGGTGGTGTTGCCCACGGTCCCCACCCTCGTGATTTCTCGACCGGACTGCCCGCCAAAGTCTACGATCAAGCCTGGCGCACAGCTCTCAGCTACCGATTCTCGCGCGGAGAATTGATCGTTATTGACAATACGATTTCTCTACCCCGTGACTCCACACCATTCTTGATGCAGAACATTCTCCTGGCGAACGGCTGGGGTACCAAGAACGGTCGATCGACATTTATCACAGACAAGGTGGACGAGGAGTTGTTTGACAAGGTGTCAAAGATGCACCGCTACGCGACTATTATGGACCGCAGTGATGTGGATGTTAAGAATCTGTTGGAGACCTCGCGGTTGATTATTGAGAAGTCGGCGCTGAACCACATTTTGAAGGAACACTCTCGGGATTTGTTGAGCCGCCCAGCCAAGGCATCCTACGTTTGAGTGCTTAAGCCTTGGATTGTCGTCTGTTTCTTGTATTGCATCTGTACAATTAGAATATCAATTTACCTGGGCAAATCAGCCTGTGTTATTATACTGTCAAAGGTCTCTGGAGTTCATGAGAATGTTCAATTTCATGTGTTTTCTTGTTGTTAGATAGTTGAGCACCTCACTAGTATGTCTGATCAGGTGCATCAAGTAATTGAAGTTGAGAGATTCAATGTCAGCAGGTTACATGTTGTGATTTCTCTGGTATCAACTCGACGCAGTGAGACCGGACGTAAGGCTCCAAATTCAATATCATATATCCAACAAATCCACCACATTTATTGGAAATGGTCTCGTGGTGATCACTCAATTAGAAATCATCAACACAGTTCCGGGGAAGAAGCCATCCATTGATAATCTGATCCGTCTGCAGCACATGTATAATGGAGCGTCGAAGCCGCTTTCTGCTTACTGTGCTCTATAGCATTCATGTCTTAGAAGTGACTGGACTGCATGTATAGTGTGGATTCTTAGTGACCATGTTTATAGGTAGTCAGCTAAATATGGGCGGTATGCGGTAAGATGTCCAGGTGTGTTGCATTAAGTAATGTTTAGCACTGTCGAAGAAGCCATAATATCTCTTGCAAACAGTATAATTAATCAGAAACCATATTCTGCACATGTAAATTCCATATTATGCAATTCCAAGAGGTTATGGGCTCTATATTACTTACTGCCTAGCTATCCTCCACCGCCGGCGCTTGTCCTCGGAAGAAAATCCATTCCAAAAAAAACTCCCGAGGTCGACGGCAAAGCGGAGAAACAGCCGATTGTCCTCATAATAGCCTTCCTTTACCCCTCTTTTGTTCCTCGTCACTTCGTGTCCAGCCTCTATGTTACTTCGACAATCATTCTCCCGGCTACCTTCGCCGCCGAGCTGGATCTCGCGGTTCTCTTCGCCAGCCATGCCTCTACGCGCCAAGGTGACCAACCCGGCCTTCAAGGCTTCTTCGGTATGGACCGGTGTATCCAAGTAACCGAGCTTTAAAGGCTAATTGCGTTTAGATGTCGACTTCAGCAAATACTAAAGAACTCCCCGGGGACGAGGCCGATGACGTTCTGTTCAACTCGATTTACGGCCTTCGCAGCATTGAGCTCAACCGACCAAAGAAGCTCAACTCCCTCAATGGCTCCATGGCCCGAAAGATTCTCCCTCGCTTGCAGGTCAGTATCGATGGCGCAAAACAAAAGGCACGGCACTAAATGGTCTGGTAACGATAGGAATGGGAAAAGTCTCACTTGGCAAACATCATTCTCATCTCCGGCGCTGGCGATAAGGCGCTTTGCGCTGGTGGTGATGTTGCGGCGTTGGCACTACAGAACGAGAAGGGCATCGAGGGACAGAAAGCATCTACCGATTTCTTCGGACTCGAATTTCAACTCGACCACCTGATCGCTACATACTCGAAGCCTGTCATCTCTTTCATGGACGGTATTACCATGGGCGGCGGTGTCGGTCTCAGCATGCACGCTCCCTTCCGAATTGCGACCGAGCGGACCGTTTTTGCTATGCCCGAGACAACCATTGGATACTTCCCTGACGTGGGTGGCTCGTTCTTCTTGCCACGATTGGACGGCGAGACAGGCACCTACCTGGCCTTGACTTCAACGCGTCTGAAGGGCGTCCAGACTCTGAGTGCTGGTATTGCCACTCACTACCTTCACTCTAGTGTTTTGGGCAGTGTCACCCAACGTCTCTCTGAGTTGGTCTTCCACGACAGTGTTGCTCTTCCTGAGCGGTTAGACGCCGTCAACAAGACCATGGCTGAATTCTCCGTTGGCGTTCCTCAAAATGGAAACCAGATTCTCGGCGGTAAACTTCGCGCCGCCATCGACCGCTGCTTCGGATTTGATACCATGGAGGAGATCTTCGCGGCGCTGGAGAAGGAGAAGGAGACCAATGAGAAATGGGCCCAGGATACTCTGGAGACACTTTCATCTCGCTCTCCAACCTCCCTCAAGGTGACATTGCGTCAAATGCGTCTTGGTAAGAAGTGGGACATCGCAGAGACATTCAAGCGTGAACACCAGATTGCAGCCAACTTCATGCGCCACCCCGATTTCGTGGAAGGTGTGAAGGCCCGCTTAATTTCCAAGCCCCCTCGCCAGGCCGAATGGCAGCCGGCCACTCTGGAGGAGGTCTCGCAAGAAGCCGTCGATGAGTTCTTCAAAGCCCCTGAAGGCGTGGCTCCCCTGGAGCTGCTGAACAAAACCACCTACCAGCAGTACCCACACGAGCGCTTTTCTCTGCCCAGTGAACACGCCATTGAAGAGGTTGTGCGGAACAAACGAATGTCCCAGACAGAAACGGTGAAGCACTTTGTTGAGCGATGGGGCCAGAAGGAGGGAGTGGCTGAGAAGGTATCTTCTGTCCTGGGTCAACGGACCAAGCAGGGCGAAAATGGCTTGACATGGGTATAGAATAGCCCTAGAGATTGTCTACAGCGTGTATTTTTCTTCCTTAATTGCCTGAGTAACAGGTTGCTGGCCTGTTCATCTGTATGTATTAGACCTCGGGGGTTTATCCCGGTTTTTGGATATTGGAACATTTGCATCATTTCATTTTCATCAAAATAAGCTTGTAAAGTAAGTTAAGTCTAGGCGATGCAGGCGTTTTTACAGATAAATTGTGCAAGAATTCTGTCCATCCAAATTGGCGAATCAGCTTCAACGTTCCAGGCCTTAAAGTCAGCCCACCCGCAATCCTCCCATCCGTCCACAGTTGAATCTTCATATAATAACGACACCCTCTACAGGTTTCAAACTTGCTATCTTTGGTCTTTTAGCCGGAACCATGCATGAGAGTGCCGATCGACCATCGGAAGCCAGTAGGGATACCTCTTTGCTTACATCCAATGCGTCCTCAGCACCGGACCGGGTGGGAGGTCGGTCAGTACTAATCCGACTGTACACCTCTCACCTACTTTCGGCATGGAACTCGCGAATATTTGAGTTTAGCGCTGTTTTGTTTTTGGCTTCCATATTTCCTGGCACGCTACTTTACGCCTCAATCTACGCGCTTGTTCGGGCCTTGTCTGCCGTTGCCCTGTCATCTTGGTTAGGTGCGACAGTTGACAAGTCGGATCGACTAGTCGTTTTAAGGCAGTCAATTGGTAGGATTTGCTCTTAATATTTCTAGGAAATTGACTAAAAATATATAGTCTGGCAAAGAGTCCCCGTGGCGATTTCCTGTTTATCCTTCATGGCTCTCTTGGCCACGGACAATTGGAGCGTAAAGTTGATTCTGTTCGTTATGCTGGGATTCCTTGCCTGTATTGAGAAATTGGCGGCTACCGCCAATACGGTGGCAGTCGAGCGTGATTGGGCCATTGTTATTGCGGAAAGCATCAATGTGCCTCGACAAGGTAAGGAGGTCTATTTGTTATGGAATACAAGTCTAATTATCAATACAGACTTGAATGCCTCAATGAGACGGATCGATCTCTTTTGCAAACTGGTAGCACCGGTATTCATCTCTCTTGTTGATAGTTTTTCTACTCGTGTTGCTATTTGGACTGTCCTGGGCTTGAATACCTTGTCTGTACTCATTGAGTACATTGCCATCGCTCAGGTATACCGATCAGTACCGGCCTTGAAGAAGGCAACAAGCCCCAGGCAGAGAGATACCGACGAGTCTTCACAAGCGCACCGCTCATGTCAAACAATAAGGAGCTACCTGCGCGGGAGTATAGCTCCATGGAAAGAATACGTCGCAAGCCCAGTATTCTTGCCATCGTTTGCGCTTAGCCTACTCTACATGACCGTCCTTTCATTCGGTGCGACCATGGTCACATATTTGCTCCACAGCGGCTTCAACCCTTTGGAAGTCAGTTGTATGCGTATTGGGTCGGTGATCGCCGAAGTTTCCGGCACATGGACAGCACCTATGATTATGAATCGCATAGGCCCTATCCGATCTGGACTTTGGTTTTTGAACTGGCAATTCTGTTGCGTCGCGGGGGCAGCCTTTGCATTTGTTCTCTGGGAATCCAATCCTAAGCTAGTAGCAGCAAGTTTGATTCTGGGTGTTGCTCTGAGTCGAATCGGACTTTGGGGATTCGACTTGTCAGTACAGTTCCTAGTGCAAGAGGTTAGTATTCAACTCTTCAAGTGTGCGCAGAACTAACACGCATTCTAGAATGTTGATGAGCACGCTCGAGCTAGATTCTCCGCAACGGAAATGGGGTTGCAAAATATTTTCGAGATGCTTTCTTTCGCATCCACCATTGTGTGGTCTTTGCCTGAACAATTTCAGTATCCAGTGATGATTAGTACTGGAGCCGTATCAATGGCAGCTGCCTGCTTTGCAGCTTATGTGCGCAAGGAACGAGGGCATCTGCTGCACCGATCGAAGTGTTTGGGAGGGGATAAGCCAGTATATCGGCCGATTAGATCTCTAGCATGAATTCATACTCCACTTCTGTGATAACATAGCAGGGTAGACGTAGATCACATTCAGGTACGCAAATGTACCACGTGGGAAGTCTGAGCGTATGCATATAAAATCATTTTAACTGCATACAACGTCAAGAATTAAGTCCTTTTTTTATGGCCAAGTTAGATCGGAGAATCAAGGTTATTCTCGGACTTGGCGAGCTCGTCATCTTGCTCATCGCGACTCGCGTGGGACCGCTATTGCGCTATTGCGGGGAAAAAGCCCCAGCTTTCTAATAATCCAAATATGCCCCTGTTCACCCTGGGTCCGTCTCACCATGGAGGTACCATCACAACGACCTCCATCTAGAGCTCCATCTCGCAGACTAACCCAAGTACTCGGTTCCCAGGTGCCCAAAGCCCGGGGAGCTGGCAGGTCAGGCCCACGTCGCCGAACGGGCTGCCTGACATGCAGGGCCCGGAAAGTGCGCTGCGACGAAACAAAACCAAGCTGCTCAAACTGCGATCGACTACGACTGCGCTGTGTCTACAAACCCCCTACTGCCCTCGGTGACTCCTGGGCTTCACCACCACAATCCAATAACTTTTCCTCAGCGCATGCATCCCAGACTTCCCCGTCACCCGCCATAAGCACCGTTTCGCAAACAGCGTCAGTATCAGCAGCCGCTGTCGCTGCATCTGCATCTGCATCGCATCGCTCGCCTGATCTGAACTTTTTCAACACTGTGCTTCGTTCGGACGATCGCCATCGGACGATCCCCGCGCTAGCTACACCGATTCGACGACTCCCCACGGATTCAGAGTACCCGGTGCTCGGTGGACCATTCGATATGCTTGGATTTATGGGAGGGATAACCTCTGAATTGGAGCAAAAACATATCGATTTAACTAGCGGACTTGCAGCATTTGCCTCTAGTCCCCCACAAACGCTACCAGCATCCGCTGGTAGCGCCACAGAAGAAGGGCAGTTTTCTGGAACTCGACCTCCAACCCTCAGTCCAGGCGCACAATCGTCTCTAGCTGACGGGACGTCCGTTGGTAGCGCTTCAGATGCGGCGACCACACGTGGCAGTGGCAGCTGGTCTGACCCCGGCACCACTTCTTATGAAGAGCAACTCCTCCAGCATTTCCTAGGAAGTGATCCGCCCGCAGGACTATTTGCGCCAGTGGCTATGGAATGGAAGTATGTACGACCGGCGGTGCTGGCATATGGACGAGACTTTAGTCCACTTTTGAATGCGTTGTACTGTTATTCAGACATCCACAAGGCGGTTACAGAAGGAGGGAAACGATGGCGCTGGGCGCCGACATACTATCGAGTAGCGAGCTCAGAAATCCAGGCGTGCCTGCTTGGTGATGTGACTGAGCCAACATTGATCAAAATATTTGCGACTATCTTTTTCTTGATGTTATCTGAGGTTGGTACCGTCACAATGCTTTATTGACAAAGCTGACTTAGGACAGCTCTTTTCATCTCCCGAGCTATGCGCTCCTGGGACCTCATACCTCCACTCTGCTTACCTTTTACTGCAACGATTCGACAGCCGAACAAGAAACTGGACGGGCCTTGGGCATTTGTTGGCGTCGTGGGTTTCGCTACTCGATGTAAAATCACTAATCGCAGGACGTGAAGGCGACCCGTTAGTTGAACTGAGCAATATCTCCGAACAAGGATCAAACTCTAGGTTAGAGGCACAAGGTGCGCGGGGCCCCCGAGCACCAGTCGAGGAACCAAAGGAGGATGGGGCTGAAGAGCAATTCCACAGCCCAAGCTATCTAGTCTACGAGGCAATCGTGGGCCCAGCATTCCGGTTCTTCGTACAAGCACAACAAGTTGTACGGCGAATAGTCTCGATCGATCTACATCACCGCAGCCGCGGAACCCTCAGCGATGAATTCGAAGTCCTTCAAATCGCACACAAAGTCGGCGCAGACCTTGAAACACTCTGGCACCGCCGCCCATCCGTGATCGATGTATACGGGCACCCAGAAGCACTAACAGATACACTCTGCGCACCCATAGCCCTTGAAGTCTGTCGCACATTCCGCCAGTACATAGCCAGCTTTCTGGCCAATTTTATCTACCTACATCGCGTTGCTTTCGCCATCTACCCACGCACTGATCGTGTCAATGGCGCCGTCAACCAAATCATCCACCTCGCAACCGTTGAATCGGCCGGTACCGAAGATGACCATCTTCCTGTCAGCTTTCTCTGGCCATTGTTTATTGCTGGCTTGGAAGGTTCTCTGGAACAACGGCAATGGGTCTTTCAGGAGATGCAGCGTATGGCATCTGCTCGCGAGAACGAGACAGCTACGTCGTTCAGACGTCATCCGTCTGCTGAGCAGGTTCTTCTGTTATTGGAAGAAATGACTCGACGGCAGGATGCGTCGCGGACTTGGGCGGATTCGCGGTGTGTGCGGCGGGAGCTCTTCTCGGACCCTTTTATCCTGATTTGACGTCATATGGTGATGTGAACCTGTATATATGGAGTGTTTAAATGGTTGGCGTTTCTGCTGGGGCGTTTTTATATATCCGAATGAGTCATGGCAGTCTATTCTAGATGCATTTCTGCGAACCATCCCGCTACCAAGTCTATGTATGTTCATCATAAGCTGCATGTATACCTAGTATGTATATGTTCTCGAAGTCAAAAGACGTTCATGTACAACTAGATAGCCAGGTCCTGTCACCTGCTAAGGTAAAGGTTCAGGTTAGCTCTAGGTTTCAAATGTCTGAATTTTAAAAGCTCATAATTATTTTGCCTCAGTATACTGAAGACATCAAAAAAAAATTCTTCGGGAGGAGTTTCTCCAATAAAGAGATTCCACAAAAGACATCATAAAGAAAGACTATTAACTCACTCCCAATCCCATGTCACTTTGTAACAGTGGTTAGCTGTGAGACTAGGAATAACACAGAGTAGGATCATCGGTACATGTAGGATTATCCTCAAGTGCTTCTTCCCTATTGACCTTGCATTCAAATGTTTTTTACATACTATCAGCCCACATGTTTGGGTAGGGTACTTCTTAGTAGCTAGTATGTACTCCCATAGCACTGCCCCTTTGAGAGATAATATATGTATCATATGTAATTTATTTTGTCTGTGCAAGAAAATGCTAAATACAACCCTCTTGGGCTGAACTTAACTGCCGAAGCAGTCAAACAAACCTAAGAATGCTTCATAGACTAATTAAAGCCCGAAGCATCGGAAATGGTCTCCTTCAATGGAAGATTCCGCGAAGAAGCACCGACATAAATAGTCTTATCATAGTCCGAAATAAACCAGTCCTGTGACACAGTATCCCAATTTGAGAGATCACGCCGAGTAAGATCAACTGTGAACGTAGCAGCTTCTCCAGGTGCGATGCGAAGTCTCTCGAATCCACGAAGCTGTCTGATCACGTCGTTGGGCCCTCCGAGTCCCACGTAGAGCTGCGCTACCTCATCACCGGCTATCTTGCCCGTGTTGGCGATAGTAGCTGTTACCGTGTATAGGACGTCCCATAGCAGAGGGTTTCCACCGACGCCGCTGGATGGAAGGCGGGGTTGTGGAGAACCGTTGAGGGCGTTGGCAGGGATGAAGTCAGAGGAGCCGTAGTCGGATTCATCGGCTGACTTCTTCAGGGATGTAGAGTTGAGGTATGGGTAGATGAAGTAGGGGACTGGGGTGATATTGTCCGGGAAGGTGTATGCCGAGCTATGATCAGACACATGGCCAAGCACTGGAGCTGCAGAAGTAGAGCCTGTAGTAGGTGTGTATTTTCCGGCATTGTGTTTTGTGATGGTGATGTCTGAGTAGCTGAATGTGGTGTAACTCTTGCCGTAACCAAACTCGTATATTGGAGTCACGTCGCCCTTGTCAAAGGCGCGGTAGTCGATGAACTGACCCTCGGTGAAATCGAGCTGCGGTGCGCTCTGGCCGCTATTGGGATTGTACAACACGTCTGCTCCATAATCCTTGCGAGAGGAGCCCATTGTAAATGGTAGCTTACCGCCGGGATTGACCCTGCCGTAGAGGACATCGGCAATCGAATTCCCAGACTCCTCGCCAGGAACACCGGCCCAGATGATGGCCGTTACGTTGTCATTGTTGACAAAACTGTCCATAAGGACTGCACCAACGCTGTGGATGACCACGATGGTGTTGTTGCACACTGAGCTGACAGCCTTGATCAGAGCATCTCCGTCATGCCAGAGGGTCAGATTGTTGCGATCACCGATATTATTATCAACAGTGATGTATCCCTCACCACTGTTAGAGTTTACGAACACAATAGCCACCGAGGACTGGGCAGCCACTGACTCAATCTGAGAGTAGGCGTAGTCATCGAGAACGGCCTGGTAAATTCCATCTCCGTTGTTATTGATCTCGTTCTCAATGGCGAAGCTTGGGGTGATCAAATAGGGGAAATTGGATGACCCACTACCCCACGCACAGCCTAGGGTACCCATGTCACATCCACGGTCCGAACACCCGTTGGGACCATATGCGTTTGGACCGGCATCGGATCCAAAGACCCCAGTAAACTTTTCCTTGCCTGTCAAGGGCAGTGCGTCGACATTCTTCAGTAGGACTGCACTGGCCGCCCCAATCTCCCGGATCAGGGCTCCATGGTTGTTCCGCACGTCGACATGTTCATTGATCAGACCGTATCCTTCATTTGCAACGTAGTGCTCATAACCGTAGGTATCAAGCGTCCAGGAAGCAAAATTGATGGGAACGTAATTTTGCTCCACACCAACGTAATACCAAGCTGCCATGATACGAACGGCCATATCATCCACCCGCCACTGGGGGACAGTGCCATTCAGAACAGCTACGGTTAAATTGCTTCCCCAGTATGAGGTTCCGGAGTCGAAAGCTATGTCACCAGGCATGGTCATATCGAGACCAGCTAATGCACTAGAAACACCAGACATTTGCGCGCTCCAGTCACTCATGACAAAGCCCTGGAATCCTAATTCCGCTTTGAGCAACTTGTTGAGCATGTAGCTATTTTGGCACGCATAGCTGTTGTTGATTTGGTTGTAAGCGCACATGACAGACCCCATTCCAGCGCGCACGCCATCCATCCAGGGCCTGTGCAGGTAGTCAGAGAAGAGTTTCTTGCATCAAAATCAAGATGTTCACTTACCAGAGATACATCTCATGCATTGTCACATCATCTATGTTGGCACTGTAGGCCTCATTGACGTGGTACTCGGCATAATCACCCGTAGTTCTGAAATGCTCCTGCTCATAGCCAATAAAGTGTTTGCCGCAGGCAACAACATTCTGCGACTGAATTCCAGAAATAGTCTCACCAAAAAGTACCCCCGAGAGAACAGGGTCAGGCGCAAAGCCTTCCCAATTTCTTCCGCCCTCGGGTACGCGACCCAGTGGACCAACCACAGGACCAAGCTGAACAGTGCTACCCTTGTGCTTGTGTTCATATCCCATTCCTTGTCCACGAGCGTAGGCCATGCCGCGATCCCAAGTAGCTGCGACATTGACACCCATTGGAAAGACTGAGTTGTAATCCGCTGGGAAAGGTTAGCAGAAATAGATAAAGCTCAAGGGAAAGTCTTACTATCTCTGACTCCCGTGGGCGAATCTTGCATACACATGCTGGGAATTCCGAGTCGAGGGATGGCGCCATTTTGACCGACGCATCGCTCAAGCTCCCATCTGTATACAGGTTAGACTCTTTGCACGAATAAACACAGAAATAAGTCAAAGGCATACCCGACACCGGTTGTAAGATTGATCTTCTCTGGAAGGGTCATTTGGCTGACGATTGATCTGGCCCTAGCATATGCGGCTTCCCAGTCACCCAGACCCTCACCCCATGGTGATGGGTACCACGGGGGTGAAGTTTGGTTGGACTTGGAGCCTGCGGCGACCACAGGGTTGCTGGTATCGGTACCATTTGAGTAAACGGAGTTAGGCCACTAGTAATATCAGTAAACAAATCCAGAGAGCCACATCTCATACTTGACTGACTGGTGAGGTACTGTTGCCCTGAGTAAGGGGGTTGGACGTGTCACTCGTGCCGTAGACCGGGACAGATGCAAAGAGAAGGACAGCTCCCAGCTGATTCCACATTGTGAGCATATGTGGGTATCCAAGAGGCTGGTAATGTTGAAGTGAGTGTGAGGAAGAAAAAAAGAGAGAGTAAAAGCCGAAAAGGAAGGGACTATTTATAAATTATAAATTATAAGCAAATTGTAAACAATGGGGGTAATATGAATTGAAGTGGAGGTTTACGCCTCACCCGCGCCAGTCACCCCTTCCCCTTCGGTACAGTAAAGTCAACAATCCAAGCAAGGTATCCAAGACTCGAATATCGCCGAGTTTACCGATGCATGTTTAGTTCCAATTCAGGCTGTTTAACCGGTCAAATGCGGGGTTGAATGACGATCATACCTCTCCAAGCTACCCTGTCTATTAGGTCATCTAGCAAACGAATCACTGTTCTTGCTTGATCCGATAATTCCCCGTAGATCAAGTTCCAGGTTGAAACTTTCAATGAACTGAGTCTAGATACTTTTGAGAAATGCGGTACTTGCTTGCAAAGAGTTGGGGCCCCGGAAAAGGCTTAATGAGATTAAGTTCCATTCTGGATATGCGGGGGCTTAGTTAAGTCAGGTTGCATTCCGCATTTCCACATAGGTAATCACAGTCATTCCTTGTTTAATTACCCTGTACTTTAGCTTTTGTTTGATTATTTATGAAAAGCTTCAAATACAAAGCCTTTACGATCTGCTGTGCTAACTAGATCTACAGATTGAAAAAGAAAAAACACATTTAGATCATCCCTTGGCAAAGCTTGACTTTAATTTAACCGATCGCAGATCTTGATAATGTCAAGTCTTGGCTTTGCTCACTGAATAGAACTATGACATGCGCACTAATCGCTCACTGAATAACTGACTAGTTATACCATGTTACTACGTAAGCTGGATTTAAAAGAAAGTTATAAGGAAACTATCCTTCATATAGCTAAGTAATTTATACTTATGCTAATAGAAAGAATAGCATCTAGTGCTTTTTACGCCGCAAGATTAAATTCTGGAACACTAGTACATTAAGTCCTGTCCATTATACACATGTATAATCTATTATTTAAAATCATTCATGCTCATTAGCGGCTTCATGATCCGAGCGCAACGAGTCGGCATCGTTCAACTCAAATTCAAAATTCCAAAGCTTTCCCACTTCACTGATCTCAGCCTTTGACTTAGTCAGATCATTTTGATTGCCCTTGGAGCTTGTTCGCCCGACATGTTGTATAACGCTTGGCGTCAACGCCCATCGGATTTCATTATTTGCATTTGCAAACTCCTCTGTTATCATGTCAACGTATCCAATCCTTTTGGACGTGTATAAATCCACAAGATCATCTATGCGAGATTGGGGGAAGACAAAAGCCTGCGAACAACACCCAAATTTGGACATTTGATGTACACCTTCCGGGATAGGAAGCACTGTCACTCGCCCGGCGGCGAAGTTAAGCCCGATCAGTAACGGCGCACACACTAGGCTCAATAAAAAGATGATCTCGTTTGGAATGTGGGGCCGGAATCGGAGTTGATAGCGTCGAACGCCTACTAGCAGGCATGCAACAGTGCAGACAGCTAACGTGGAGTAGAGAAAGTAGATGGGCCACTCTTCCGAATTCCAGCCTAGAAACTCCTCGGTGTAGAACAGACGAAGGTAAAGCCCTAAGAGAAAGAGGAAAAATCAGCAACATATTCATATCAAAGAAGGAGATTGGGGACTCGAAAGCAAGCCTAAAAATATTCTCAGAAACCGGTCTCGGTAAACTCACAATTTGATACCCCCATCTCCTTGGTTTTTTGATCGGCAGATATCACTGCATCATGAGTCCGGTGGTACCATCCGTCCAATGCCACAACGTCATCTTCGAGTATAATGGTGTATGGCGCGCCGACTTGCTTGCACGCTTTCAGCAGATATGCGTAGTCAAACAAAGCCTTTTCGCGCGCTGCAATCTTTGCCTCATCTGATTCCAATTCTCGTATATGATCAACGTCAACTTCCGAGGCATTATACAATAAGACCCGATCTGCTACTTGATGCAGCCATGGCTCGGCATATGCTGGGTGTTGCGATGGATCGGTGTGTGCAATAAATAGGATCAATTGTATGTTGGCTCTTTCCACATCACTGAGGCCTTCAACAACGGTTCCGACTGTACTCTTGAAATAACGGACGCCATTTCGTGCGATTGTTGCAATACCAAGACAGAACTCAGGTCGATGAGGTGGCTGTGGTATTTGAGAGACTTCTTCATTATTTACTGCATCAATGTATGTAGTTGCTTGTTCAAGTCTGACGGCTGAGTATGAAAGGTCGTATGCGGAGGAAGAGTCGAAAAAAGCGGAACCGGGGTCACGGGAGGAGTGTGATCGTACATAAAGGAGAAGAAATGTGTATAATAAGAGAAAGGAGAAAAAGACGCGAAGTGTGTAGGATGGAACACCCGATGCAGACCAGAAACCGAGAGATAGTTGATTCAGACGCATTCTGGGCGAGGAAATAAAGAGAAGTGTCAGATTGTCATTTAAAAGAAACAACAACCCATTTGCACATCTAGAGAAAGAGATGAAACCCCTATTGCCAGTATGTTCTTCTCCTTTACAGGTATAAGCAGTACATTACTAGTGGAGCTTGAAATTTGATGACTGTAGGTGCTGAAAGAAACGGACTTATACTGTATAAATGACATATGCACCTCAAGAACCAATGAAGGGAGCATATGCCCCTATGACCCACTAGCTTACGTAGGGTATCTTGCGTGGTAGCACCCATTCTTGGTGTGGGGCTTGGGAGTTAAGCTTCGATCGAGTGTAGCTTATGCGGTAAATTTGCCTAACTGCCGATTACAGCCCTGATCCATATTGAAATAACCTATCATGTGATGGATTTCGGGTGGTTCCATGATACTAACCCGATGTGATAGTAAGTACAAAGCCCAGGCCCGGAAACCACGGACCAATTCAGACCAGGTACCGCGTACGAAAGTTACAGAATTTCAATTGGGGGTGTCAAATCCAATTCTAAGGAGATCCACTCTTCGACTTCTCCGTGTACAATCTAATCCGTACGGCACATGTCTGCTTTGGTTGTTCCGTGTCCTCACGCTCCGCTTAACTCGGCATCTTCCCGTCCATAACTCTATCTCTTTCTCTCTAGCACACTCTCAGTACTATATATTGATCCCATATGCTTGCTTACCCAGCTATTTCCGCAGCCTCGATCTTTGATCAGGTTCTGCAATCATAGAGATCCAGGCTATGTAAAAAGCGAGCATAGGGTCAACATATGTGATGATATTAGGTGCTATGGAGAAAGAAAGAAAGCTGCACATGTGGAGGGCGAGAGATAAGCTAAAGAGCAGCTAAGGGCATGGACCCACAAAAATTTGGAAGTAGATTGATCGTCCCAGGAAATAACTAAGTAATACGGAGTACTGTAGCTTTTGGGGGCTACAGAGTACTCCGCATGAAGTATTTCAAACTTTCGATAGTAAAATTAGCGCCCACCTTAGCATAAATTACATGATGTGTGAAAGAAAATCAAAAATACTAAATTTTTATGCAAAAAATTGTACCTTGAAAATATATCTCGAAAACTCTACGGCAGCAAAATATTGCTTCGCAAATTATATTTCTTACGAACTATTATCCATTTGATGTGTATCTCCGAGCCTTCTGCACACGTGTGTCAAAAAATATATCAGAAGACAAATATCTGATGTAGATCCAGGTCGCATTTTAAACATATGCCGTAGCCAAAATCTAATTTGATTTGGGGAGATCCTTATGCCAAGAGGTACAGAGGAAGGAAATAAAGAGAGAGAGAGAGAGGGAGACTAACTACTATCTACTCCGTACGCAGTAATTATATGACAGACCGTTACAAAAGGATTATGGTAACCTGACCCTTCACCGTTACTCGCAACAACTCAGAACCATCGATCATCTATTTACCTTACTGTAGGGTAGTATGGGCTCTTTGAATATCTTGTTGGTAGCACATCAAAGCTCTGGAAAAGGGCCTCAGTAGAAGGTGAAGGAAGTCGATTTGAGCTGGAGGCATGGTGGAGATATCCTGAGATGGGTGGATATTCGCTTCTAGAGTACAACACAATACATCATTATCCCGGAGAGCGAAGCTTACATACAATTTAGCTGAGGTGGTCATATGTTCTGTGCGGCCCACCAAAAGATGGGGCCACTACGCGGTTCAATCACTAGTAGCTATCGATCGCAAGCCCATTATACTTTGGCGCTTTGCTTTCTTCGGAATGCGTAGAATCTCGATAATGAATTTTTATACACGGAGGGTAAACTTCATTCTGGTCCATATCCTAGTAGCTCTTGAAAAATCGTATCTCATTGGCCTTGCCAATGAATCATACCCCTTGAGATTGTGAAACATCACGGGCAGCTAGCCTTTTATCTAGTGTAAGTTATCGAAAAATAAAATTTATAACAGTAACTCTGTAAAATGTATGTCTTATTTATAATGAAAACCTGGAATTCAAGCTCGAAATCTATCTCGGTAAAATCAGACAGTGGGACTGTGGCTGAACCGTATTTTCTCGAGGTCCTTTGTATCAAGCACCATTTTAAAAGTTAACACAACACCTACTACACCTGCCAACATCTCCTGCTCTGGACAGGATTTTATATTCATACATGGTTTTTGTATGATGAACGGGCCTGGAAATTCCATTTCTATTCGAGGGCTTTGCTTGTCCTAATATGGCAACCTGGCTGAAGTTACCTAAGTATACTCCAGGAATACATTCCGAGCTTGATGTCTTCGTATCCTACCTGCTTAAGATGTAAATGTGGCCAGTGAGTCGCAATTCAACACGTGCACTCCAAGCTCTCATCGACAGACCCCATTACTGTCCTATCAATGCAGCGTTCATAAGCGGGAATTTCTAGCAGCTTTCATAACGCTTATTTTGTCCAAGGCCCACACTACATAGAGCCTTTTAATGCAGCAATCATACACGGGAACTTCTAGCAGCTTTCATAGCGCTGTTTTTGTCCCAGGCCCACAATACGTAGTGCCCTAGCCGGCCGCCATTCCAAAGGATTTCACGACCACGAGAAATCATTATGTACGTCTAATTACATCGATTGTTGAGATTTAACTACCAGTCAAAAAATACCTCGTTGCGTTCGCGAGTGGAGCTTATCTCCATTCAACTCTCACTCCAGAGCTATCCACTAGCATCCATCCACATCCTTCCATAACTCGCTTCTCCGCTTCAATTTTGTACACGTTGTAAATATTGATCATAATTTTACACGTGCTATGATACCTCTCTTTAGTCAGTACACTGGCTGATTGCTCAATTGGCAACTTTGGGCGCAATATAATTCCGTCTATAGACTTTGAAAATGGAAAGATGACAAGGATGCATTCGTCCACAGTCATGTTGGCGCTGGGTCCGTTTTTCGGAAGCTCAACAACCCGCTAAATGATATTAGTGCCTTAGCTCCATTTTATCGTATAGAAGATTGGAAAGCGTAAGCTCGTACTAGTTCTGTGAAATAGATTACTCGAACCGGAGTAGCCGGGAAGAAATTGCTTCTTACACAAAGTACCTTAAAGCCAAATGGCAGGTATATAAAGAGCATGGTTGCTTGCGTCGAGGTGAAACTGATATTCAACGCTGACATTGATTGGTCTTTCCCTCCTACAAACCGTGTTGTTCGAAAATTCACCTGCTCTTTTCGTGTGATCATTTACAAGATGAAGCTTTCCATCTTCACAGCCCTTACCCTCCTCTTCGCCGGCATTCAAGCGGCCCCGACCTCTGAAAATCCATCCGTCGTCTTGAACAAGCGAAAGTACATCAACGACTGCGGTACTTCGACCTTTGTCGACGAAACTACCAGCGGCTCTCCCAAAGTTGCCGACTGCAAGAAGATTGCAACCAACATTAAGAGCGGAGGTACTTGGACTTTTGAAGGCTTTGGTGTCCAGCATCAGCTCGTCCAGTATGGCACTTGTGCTTTCGGTGTAACAGTCTCCGCGGACTATTACACCATGATCGGCAACGAGGATATCATCGATTTGATCACCGACTCCATCGAGAAGTACAAATGGGAGGGCAAAGTTGGTGCTAAAGGCCACATGATGTGCGAAGGACAAGATGGCAAGAATGAGGTTGTTTGGGGTATTTACAAAACTTGATCTGTTAGTTGATGGCACCTGTGGATTATGAACATATGTTTTTTTGTTTGTGTCTGACTACATTCCATGTTCTGGGTTTCAAGGCGTTGTTCGTTCGTTTTAGTATTTGTACATATCAGACATGGTCAGATTGGATAAAGACAATATGTTGGAACAATGCTACCTATATCGATAGTGTAGTATGCTTGATTTGTAGCCTTTAAGTAGATTAATCTAACCGAAAAAAATCTTCCCTTGGCGAATCTTAGCTTTTATCCATGACAAGCGCGCTACCTACTTGCATACCTTCTGCGTGCTTCCCTTTAGTGCTTCCTTCCTTCCCTCTCTCTAACCTTGATTTTTCAGTAAATAGATAGAGTATCTTCATACTACTTGAAATCTTTGTTAAGTTCATGAAGGTGTAAATTACTGTAATTACATTTTTGTATTTTTGATTTTCTACCGAAAATCTAGTATCTAGTCCACCAACATTGACCATATGATACATATAGTCCACTGTATCCGAGTGTAGTTCTGATCACGTAGAGAATTTTTAGAACGAAACCCCGCATCAATGGAATTCTCATACACATATCAAGTGGTCCAACCCAATTAGGGACTACACATATCACTGCCAACCGAAGTAGGAATTCACCTGCTGATCGTATACTCGTCCTCTGATTGGTCAAAAAGGAGAGGGTACAAGGCACCTGAAGCTGACAAAGAATGCTTTTATTCCTGGAAGGTTCGTCTCTGCCTCTTAACATTCTGACTGAATACATTCGTATCGGATGCTAGGTATGGGGTACCGGGCCTGAGTGTTGTGAGCAGAGCACTCCGCTAGGGTCGCTATTGAAAGAGTATGAACATTCTAAGGTTTGAATCAATGACTCTCTCTCTGGAGCTTCTTCAATTCGTAACATCCCCTCTCGCCGTCTGCATCCGCTATTCATGTCTAATTGATAAACTTTCAGGAGAGCCCCTGGTCTCATCTGGGCGTCAATATCACCCCTGTGCAATGATTCAGCTAGCCCGATAAAAGAGACGTCGGTCACATGTGCAGACTATGCCGGAGTTCATGACTCATAGCTCTTTAAGATATGCTATCCGTATCAAAGTAAGGATCATTCGGATCATAAGGGAACTTTCTGACCACAACATCTCCAACGTAATCCCACAAGCTGGACTCAGCTGGAGTGAAATCCAACGTACACTGGTCGTCGTGTTGCCCGAACGTGTGAACAGCGGACACATTCCCATCGTCATAAACTACTCGAACCATATTCACTGTTTCCCGACTTGGATCCCCAAGCAAATAGTTCAGCGGCATAAACTGTACGCCTGAATGCGCAGTAGTGAATACCGTGTTGGGAAGATCACCAGTGTGTGGAACATGATGCATGCCTAGGTTCAGCCACACGACTAGATCCTGCTGGGTGAGATTCTCGCCGTTGAAGAATTTATTGAAATTGATAGCCGGATCTTCCACGTCTTGGGAGTTCTTTGGGTGAGCGGATCGGGGCTCGGTGTCATGATGCTGGGTGACTTGAATATCATAGTTGGCCCACTGTGCGGCATTGCGAAGATTTGTCGAGTTCTCGACAGTTAGGTGAATAGTTCCAGTCGAGGGCAAGATTCGATATCCCCGATACTCGCCGTAGGGAGTTGTCTCGTCCAAGTTAAGTACTTTGACTTGAGTGGCAGAGTTGGCAGCCCAGTTGAATCGGCTTTCATCTTCATTTTTAATATTCGAATGCTCAATCTTCATCGTATTGCGGGTTTGATTGGACCACGCAAATTTCTGGGTGGTTGGGATTTGCTTAGTCAACTGGATCGTATTGTTCAGTCCCAAGATATCGAAATCGGCCTTGAAGTTTAGAACATGGTCATGCATCGATCCCGAGAGTGCGTCATGGATATGGTAGCCAAAGTCCTCATTGTGGGCGTAATAAGCTGACTGAATATAGCCAGAGGCTCGCACTTCAACGCCGATAGATCCATCCATGTAGAACGAGTAACTGCAGGAAGGTATTGTTAGCTTACACACACTAATTCAGCCTAGAGGGTTCCAATCACCTGAACATGTAGTCATAGTTGCCAACCGTGGACACAGAACGAACCGTGAAGTAGACGTTCTTAGTCACAGACACATAATATGAGCTGCTATGACGCTGCATTGGGTAATCTGCATCATATTCAAAGAGGCAAATACTATGAATGTGCGTATGGGTAGTCTCATCTTCATAAAATGTGCTGTTGAGATATGTTGCATAAGATGGACAGTCGTACCCTTTGGCCAACTCAAATGCGTAGGGTCCAAATCCATAGTAAGAATCAAGATAAGAAGTCATGGACTGCACAGGGTCGTTTCCTATTTGGAGTCAGCAATGCTTGAGTGAAATAGTGGCATAGTGCTAAATAACTTACCAGCATAGTGAGCAAGAGCCTCCTGCAAGCCAAGCTCGTACAGGATACGCTGACCCTTGTACCGAATATCATGAAGAGTCATTCCAACATCATGAGAAAAGCTGATATAGAAAGTAAAGTCCATCCATTCGACATACTTCTGTTCCACATCAACCCCAAATCTTGACCCTGAGGGAGCAACAGAAACAGGAGGATATGATCGATCATGCGGCAGGACTTTCCCTCGTTGATCAGTGTGTGCCCATTCTCCGTCACTATTTGCCCCAAGCTTCTCAAAACCAGGGCTGTAGAAGGCATTTCGAAAGTCTTCAGTTGATGGGTAAAAGATGTCGTTGTACAGCCACCCCAGAACCTTCCATTTCGATGCATCTCGGCCAGTAACATCCGAGTGAACGTACAACCCCAAGGGAAGCAAAGTCGAAGAATCAAAATCACCGGCTGTATCATGCCAAAATTGATCCCAGCGAAGGATATGGCCATTTTCTTGCGAAAGAGGGTCAATACCCCAGAGACTGATCGTGTCATTGTCAAGTCCAAGGTATGTTGCATTCCAAAGATCACGGGTGATGTCAGCTACCGAGGTACTGATGCCCAGAAGCCATGTGTCGTATACAAGGGTGTCGTCTGGGTCCACATTGCGGATCCTCCCCTGTGTTTTGCGAGTGTATGGATACTCAAGCGGCTGCCACTGGGTGGTCCTATTCACAATTGGTAGAGGGCCTATAAGGATATCCGCATAGTAAGGTTCGACGGTTGCTCGGTGATCAATAACCACATGGGCATATCGAGGTGGTTCTTTGCCATTATGGTCGATGAAGTGGAGAGAGTTTGTCTTGTTCGGTTGCATGAGCTCAACAAGTTCACTTCAATGTTCTGAATGTTAGCCAAGTTCGAAAGAGAGGAAATCATATATGCCATACACAGTATTGTCCCAGTCTCCAGCGTCTTTGGAAAGGGTCAAGTTCAGATCAGTTTGTTCGAAAAGCCATGACAGAACACTTGCAGCTTCAGGGTCTGTCAGGCCGGTCCAGATGTTTTTCTTTGGGGCTTGAATTTTGGTGAAGTTAGACTCATGGCAAGAACCAGCTCCAGAAAAACTGCGATCATGGAGTTTTTGACCCAGTCCTTGGTAAAGATCTCGTCTACTGTCATGCTTCTGTTTCGGTGATGGTCGTCGGAGATCCGCGTGAAGTCTACCAGCAGTTGGGTTGACCAATATGGTCAGTCCCAGCGCTACAGTAAGATACCAAGAGCTAGTAGGCATACTTGGCTTTAGAAGCTGATTTCAGATGTTTTGTTTCCTAAAGAAATAATCCCAGCCTAGTGCTCGGGCTTTTATAATATTATACAGCAGTTCTAACAGTTTCATCTCGGGATTCAAAGCACCGCCTATTTGACCATGTCTCAACAAAAAACAAGAGTAAATGTTGGAGAGAATTTGGATATCGATCAATCGCAAATCTTTGACTGACTGATTCGCATGTACCTGCTTTTTTCGAGAGTTTCTTGATCTTTCAACAGTACATAAACAGGATGAGATAGCCGAAAGAACCAATACTTGGCGTCATGGTTCCTGAATTCGCATCATATATCTACTTAACCGATATATACCCCTCATATTAGCATCTTGGCATGCGCAGCCACAAGGGTCGTATCAATCCGATTCTTATCTTGGGAGAATTTCAACCACTGATAGGCCCTTTCCCCTCGATCTTTATCGACCTTTCCAGATTCGCGTCTTGGCAACGGCCGAGATATAAATTTCCTATCAGTCTGATTCTTATCTCGGCAAGACTGCAACCACTCGGCATGTCCACATTCTATTCCCATTTCCGGGGAACTAAACAGCAATCTGTTGGAATTGCGCCCTTAAACAATATAGCTAGGGCTTCTTTATTGGTACAACTACCTCAGCAAGACACTCAAATGATTTGTCCTGGTCAAAATGAGATAAAGAATTCAAAAGGGACTGAGAGCTACAACACTGCAGATGCTAAGAGTATTCTATAGGGTGAACCTTGTTATGCATATGCATACCGCTGTTTAGGCAGCCACGTTTGCTGGTCAAGTGATTTTTATATACCATGTGCATACAGCGTTGGGATAATAGTCAAGGCCAGACCATGAATGACGCGAACTCGGGCGGCTTATGCCACAGCTAAATGACCCTTATTATATTTGGGCACTTATTATCCTCAGGGGGTCTAGCTGGTATCCTAGCCTTGCGTGTCAATTATTTATGCATACACTCAAGTAAGAGTCGATGTAGATTGAAAATGCCCAAATGGGCACTAATGTGAAAGGCAAGCTAATAAAGTGTCTAGGCAGACGCGGCTGGTAAAGTGTATGGAATAGTTACAGTGCTTTATAAACATTGCTTGGGCTCTGATCAACAGGAGGCTAAGACTGTGTCACTGATACAGTCCGTAATGTGTACGAATTACCGGTTCTCGATTTGATAATTTTAAAAAAGGTTGTCCTAGATGTAAGGACTTTTGGCATTAATTATTCCCATTCACTTATGGGCAACACGTAGATATACCTCCGAGACGAATATGTGCACTAGGAAATCTTTGGATACAATCAAGAAAGTCAATCGAGAGAACTCGGATTTATGCTAGAAACCGAAAGACAGAAAATGCCGTAACCCGCTAAATAAGTTCGGTACTACAAGGCTAAGCAACGCGCGACGCCAGCGGATGATTTGCCGGTTGAGCGAGCTTTGTCCCCTGATCCAAAGCAAGGCTTCCGTTCATCTTTGAGACCAAGTCCCATGCCTTCCGAGATGAGACTAATTCACCAGATGCCGCACTTTCAGTGCTTCCTCGACGAGATGGATTCGGAGTCAGTTCCCCCCTGAGGAGACCACGAATGCCGCCTGCTTTACGGGCAGGGATTTCCAGTGTACCAGCAGTGAGAATATAGAGAAGATATTTGAGATTGGGGAGGGTGTGTCGAATATCCAAGCCGCGAATACCAGTCTTGTTAAGCAGAAACTCAATGTTCTTGTTCAGGAGGAAGACGGCATATTCAAATCGATAATGAACGCTGACCGGGTATAAAGGAAAGACGCGCTGCGGGAGATCTGCCGATATTTGATCCTGAATTAAGGAGATAGACTGATTTGGGCTGACCGGGTAAGGAATAGCCACCGATAAGTAGAATGAGAGCAGGTATACTAGGTGGGCCGTAAAGCCCAATGCCGCTGCGACCACCTCGCGGTCGATGTTATCAAAGTCCGAGTTGGGAAGCGGCAGTCCCGCGATGGTAAAAGCCAGTGTTTTATCTGGAATGGGCTCAATGGGATAGATATTCATCAAATCTTCGGCAATACGCCGAATCTGACCCTTCGTGTCTTCCGAGTTGTGATGGAGCAGCTGTTCGCTAGAGACTAGCTTTTCTTGAGCATCCGGAAGATGACTCCGAGCTTTCTCCTGGGCAGTTCTGCCCTGGTCCATGGCCTCTTTTCGAGATTTGATGCTTGCAATGAGATCTGCTTTGCGCCTGGCCGATGCCCGGATTTGCTTTCGCTCGATTGCAATGGCTTGCTTGATTGAGGCGAGGCGATCCTGCGCCTTGGCGGCATCGCTCTGAGTAGCTAATGCATCTTCGTTCTTCTTGAGTATATCACAAATCTGTACCTCTAGCTTCTCTCGAGTCGCCAGCGCATCCTGGACACATTCGTCTAGGTTTGCCAATCGCATCAAAGAGTCGTACGAGGATGTGGACAGCGTAGCTCCAGTATTAGCTCGATGACCAGCGCCACCGAGAGGAGGCTCGACCGATGGAAGATCTGTGAAATTGGTGTACACTCCATCGGGAAAATGAAACAAGATAGAGTTTGCAGGGAGGGGGTGATGGAAGCTTTCGATAGTTTTGCCCAGGAATTGGAGCGATCGTAAATGAAGCTGCAGCTCAACAAGCAGGATATACTCGGTCATTTCATCTGTCTTTGCCCAAAGTTTCAAAGTCAATGTGTCCCTTCGAGAAACCCCAGGCCCACAAAAGTTCAGGTCAAAAGAACGAAAGCTTGGGTTGGTAGCCTTGTTCACCACCTCGCTGATGTAAACCGGCTCATGAACACCGTCACAGTGAATAGAGACCCATGTGTCCGCCATTCGGCTCTTGGTGATGTCTTCCAAGCTCACCTGTCTCGTTCGAGGATTGGGATCATTCCATGGAAGGAGACTTCGTCGACGCGACTCGCGTTTGTCAGGTTTAGGTTCCGCATTACTTTGTTGATTTGCGCGTGAATGAAGTTCAGTAACGGATCGCGAAGGATGTAAAGGACGGCTATCATTTTGCGCTAGGATCTTCGAGGGTGATGTCAAGGCGTTCGGGATGTCGTCGTCATCAATGGTCTTACCGCGTACTCGGTTTCTTGGGGGTGTAACGACCAAATTGCGGACGGATATGCCGTGAAGATGTCTGAGTTTGCGATTCTGGAGCATTTTCAGTACAATGGTTTACCTTTTTCTCAGATTCGAGGACCATACCGATGCATACAGCCACGGCCGCTCTCTACGAGAGCCCCCATCATGCTCTGTAGCTGCGACAGAGCTATCCATCAGACACACGAGGGTAACGGAACTGTTTGAGTAAGAAGATAGTTCTAATCAAAGAAATAACATGATCATTATTCGCGAAAGAGAGTACAAGAGAAGTGATGGTTGGAGCAAACGCGATAAGGTGATGCGGAGAGCAAGCAGCGCCAAGACAATGGCTGCCCCGTCAAAAAATCCACCTCCGTTCTCAACTTCATCAACGCCGACTCCCAGTCCACATCCCCCGGCCTTTACTCGTTCCCTGGCCTGAATCACCCCAGTCTGATCTTCCGGTGCTTTGACACCTTCTACATAGGCCACGATGGCCTCAACTACCAAGCCAATCCAGAAAATCCTGGACTCAACCAAGATCGCATCCTTGTCAAAATTTGTCCGTCGGCCACCAATTGATCCGCAAACACCGATCCAGGGGAAAGTTCGGAACCCCAACTCCAATGCGTTTAAAGAGCATGTGAAGCGCGAGGGTGTGCGGTTGCAGAAAGCATTGAATGCCATCACACACGGAAAGAACATCTTTGTCTACCACAATGTTCGCACGAAGCAGGTCGTTTACTCGTTGACCCGGTATCTGGAGGTGAGTATCTCTAGTTATGATTCCCAGTGGTTAATTCAAGTATGTTTTGGTGGTATTCGGATCATTTGGCTAACTATTCGCGCCTTGTAGAAAAACAACCTCCTCCGCCAGATGATTTACCACGGCAAGAAGACCGTTCCCGCCGAGGTCCGCCGCGACATGTGGGTGCCATACTACTCCGTCCACTTCAGCGACTCAAAGCTGGGTCTCCGTGCGTATCAACTTCTCCGCGAGTTCTCAATGCAGCGACAACTCGCCCCGCCTAAAGAGATGATTACCGTGACAGAAGAGTTCCTAGCGGCCAAGAGGCCGAAGGACCCCAATCAAGCGGAGATATTCGACAAGATGAACAAGAAGCGCCTTGGCAACACCATGGAGAAGAAGGAGCGTGCTCGCGTGTTGATGGACCAGAAGGCGACCTCCGTCGCTGACGTGGCAGCCGTGCTGTCAATTCAGCAAGAAGAGATCGCGAACGGACTGCTGAGCCGCGATGGTTCGCGCGGATACCTCACTCGGAAAGCTCGTCAGCGTAGACGCGAGGCTCTTCACGAGAATGCAGAGAGGGCGAAGGAGGGTGCCGCTCGCATTGGCGCACTGGAAGAACAGCTTAGCCAGCGCAGCGGGGAGGTTGTCAAGATCGGCGAGGTGGAGGGTGTTAACCCCCAGACTCCCGAGACTGTCAAGATCCTTTGGCAGGATGTGCATGATGCACACTACGCTGAGTCATGGGTCCCGAACGTTCAGCACGGCAAGTTGGAGCGCACTCGCAACAGCATTATTGCCGGTGAGTTGCGTCTCGACAACCCCGACGTTATTGCGGATAATGAGTTCAAGGAGCTGAAGGAGTAAATGGCTCATTGTCTTTAACAATGCTTCCTGCCCTTTGGTTTTTTGTTACTCTTGGTGTCTGTTCTGGCTATATTGAGCGATACTCCCACTGACATCTTCCATCTGATTTGGTCTTGATGGTTGATTAACATGTATTCTTTCTGTTTCCATGTGTTCTGTCCAGCTGTTTCTGGGCTCACCTACTGCATAAATTGTATTTTTAGACAAATCCATCACTCATGTCCAACTGGTGCAAGTAAAACCGATTAGTAAAATGCCGTCTTTTTGTGAACTTTCAAACTGAATGACATTCCACGAATGGCAGCCAATGTATACAGGGAAGAGAAATTGCCATTATGTCAGACCTGATCGGTTGGCAATGTGGAACTTGACCCACTATACCGCTGGTGGGATGATGGCCCGTCTACCCGTTGGAGATTCGGTCTAGATCGTGAGGAGAAAAAAACATAACAAATGACTGATGAGGAGAATCTGCATACCCAAAAAAGCATACACTTTCTGATACGAAAAGAACAAGAAAAAAAAAACCACATAAAGAGGGGCATCGAACCTGAGACTCCCTCCAGGGTTTTCATTAGTTCATCAAATTATTATTTTACCCACCATGACTACAACACAAGCCATCTTCAGCCAGATCAATCATTCTCCCTTCAAGTCAGTCTTTTATCATCGTATGGTATTGCATCTACTAACTGGGAATGCAGACTTGAAGGACCATATGGAGACTGGCGAGATGAACTTCAATCCCAGGGGTTTGTAGTCATCAAAAATGCGATTGCGCTTGATAAAGCGCAATATTATCAGCAAAAGGCTCTAGATTGGCTTCAATCTTTCAACCTGGGTCTTGATTACAATGATCCATCCACATGGGTAGATAAACACCTTCCCGCCCAGGGCAAAGTCAACAACTTCAGTGGATATTCCGTGGTCCATGAGAAGTTCATGTGGGAAGCACGGATGGAACCGAAGGTATTGGAGACATTTGCCAAGATATGGGGCACTGAAGACTTGTTGGTCTCCTTCGATGCTGTTAACATCACCTTGCCCAATCGAGCAGATAAGCCAGCTATGAAGCCATGGCCACATGTTGATCAATCACCCTTTCGTCGCGGTCTCCATTGCGTCCAGGGTATTATCAACCTTAGCCATGCCGGCCCTGAAGACGGCTCGCTGATTCTTCTCCCTAAATCAAGTTCTCTATCCGACCAGTTCTTTGACACGCAAGTGGATCCATCTACCTGGCTGAAGAAGGATTTTCGATATTTCAGTGGGGAAGAGATGAAATGGTTCGAAGCTCATGGGGTCAAGCCTGTCAAGATTTTCGCAGAGCCTGGGGATTTAATTCTGTGGGATTCGCGGACTGTGCATTGGGGTGGCGAGCCTACACCCCAGAGCAACACGATTCGGACGGTGATTTATGCTTCATATTCCCCGGCGAGTCTGGCTACTGAGGAAACCCTGAAGCGCAAGAAGGAGGCATTTGAGTCATACCGAGCAACTACGCACTGGCCCCATGACAATATTGTTATCCGCGACAAAATCATCTACCTACCCGATGGCACTGTTGATAGTCGCAATCGATCCAAGCCCTTGGAGGAGCCAGAGTACACGGATCAGCTGCTCCGACTTGCTGGGGTGAAACCTTACTGAGAGAAGATTATTATTGAGAACATGTTTAGTGTGCTGTAGAATGCAGTTTCTCCTCTAGTTATAAGTTGCGTCTATTTTACTAGCGTGAATGCAATATTGGTATGGTTATTAACAGTCTTTTGTGACTTGGCGCCTCTCTTACCCCGCCACAACTCCAACTCCCCGTCATCCGTTCTGTTATACAGATGGAGTTTCCCCGAAAAAGAGCCCTGGTGGCATGCAAATTCTGCCGACACCGGTAAGTCCACTTGCAAAAAAATACCAAAACAAAGGACTTTGATGGTAATTTAGTCCAGTAAACGCAAATGTGGAGGTGAACGACCTACATGCGCGTTCTGCGCTAGTGCGGGTGCGCAATGCGAGTATCAAGAGGGTCCGAATGAAAAGTACAGATTTGAAGATTCAATGACTTCACGCGGATTCTTATATCAGAGCTAACATTATTGTTACAGAACTGAAGATGATTCATCTAACGAAATATTGCAACGACTAGATCAGCTGGAGAGTCTTGTTCGTCAACAGTCAGCTATCGTTGCTGCACTATCTGATCGTTTACTATCGACGGCTCCGAGTCCAGAAACTCTGAATTACTCTCAACCTAGCCCATATGCATCAAGTATTCAGAGCAGAAGTTCGCTTGCCACACCAGTATATATGTCCCCCCCGCGCAATATTCCATTGTGTAAGGATTCGCGGACGGCAATCGTATGCGAGGCCGAGGATGGCCCCCTCCTCATCCCATTGGGCCATCAAACTCCTACCGGGAATCTATTGACACTCGACAAAATCAAGAGGCTTATCGGCGCCTATCCTCAAGACTATTTCTTGTTCTTGGAATCGGAGCGGCGACTAAACCCTTTGATATCGCGGGTTTCTTACACTGCGATTGTCGAGAGACTGAATTTGCGCCGTTCGATAACCGATAATCTGGTTTCAAGCTTTTTCACAAATATACACTCTCAGTTCCCTGTACTTGACCGCAAGCCCTTCCTCGTGATGTTCGAGAAATTCCTACAGCCATACCAGGAACCCGATATTTCGGCGGCACTTTGTCTCATGACTCTTGCTCTGGGAGAGATTTGTACCCATCCCAGTGCAACGTTGGATGTTGAGTCTTCTGATGTCGACAATGGCACCGAATATTTCGCGCACGCTTATCGAATTCTGACTACTGTGGAGACTGTGCCGTTTTCAAGGGACTTAACAGTCCCTTTAGCGTTCTTCTTCGCCTCTCTTTATTTTCGCTATAGAAGTCGACCCCTTCATGCCTGGAGAGCGATACATTCAGCATCAACTGCAGTTCAATTAATGTTTTCCTAGTACAATCGCCCTTTGAAACAGTCACCTCCATATGCTGACATCGTTCTAGCCTGCAGACCAGAGACATTCTAGCTGAAAAGCATGTGCTGCTGGTTCGTATTGCTTGGGCTTGTTATGTACTTGAATGGTTAGTTGTCCCCCCTTGTATGCTGAAATGAAAACACTAAAAGATTGCTAGTGATGATCTCGCCGAATTCCATTTCCCTCGCAGCGGGATCGAGGTTCTGGTAGATGAACTACCCTTCCCAGAATTTACAGACTCAAATGATCGCAATAACCTGAAATTTCTTGCCATGTGCTCCATTCGAAAGCTTCTGAACCGTATACACAATACCATGTATGCAAGCAACCCAGCTGAGCCAAATGGCCGAACCATTCTCGCAAATATCAGCGGGGTAGTGAATGCATCAAATCAGCAACCCTCAATCGCCTCACTTGAGGCCGTCAACAAAGAACTCAGCCGGCAACTCACAGCATGGTTTGATTCGCTGCCAGAAAGCATCAAGCCAGACCTTCAAAACCCCAATCCTCGGGATATACATGATAGTCAGCTTCGAACGCGCTATTACGCCACAAGACATGTGATTTGTCGACCTTGTCTTGTTTTTGCGGCGCAGTCACCTGATACTCCACTAAGTGAATATATCATGGCCAACTGTGAGGCGTGTGTTGATAGTTGTCGACACTTCATTCACGCGACAGTGCCTCTTTTGAAAAGAAGAACACATTCAACGTGGCTTAGACTACAAGCGTAAGCCAAATATCTGATGTCTTTTTATTTCGATATACACATTCAGAATCTGATACATCAATCCTAGGCTTCTGGCTGCGGTTTTTGTCATTTCCATGGCAAAAGGAACACCCACTCTCTCTCCACTTGTGCCGGATTTTGACGAGCTCATTGAACAAGCAATACTGTGCACGGAGCCCTGGGCTGTTCATCATGAAACAGCAGATGCTATCCTAGGGATTTTCAAGACGATTCGACGGAAATTCCGAATACCGTCTGTTCAGAGTATATTAGATGGTCTGCACGGAGTCCCCTGAGATCCTTGGGGTTCTCTCAATAATATTAAGTTTTCGGATCTTCATACCGCTGATGCTCTATAATCCACCTACCACTCTTCTCAAGTGCTTTCCTATCCCTCCACAGAACGAAAATTTGAATGACACATATGTACAGTACATAGATTTGCCCACTTTATCTGTCATCTGACCTTGAAGGTGACATGATGACAGCCTTATAACAAGAATCGATATGCATCTAGGATAAACAGCTATCTAGCCTTTATAACCGACATATGCCTTGGACATCTTCTCACGAACCCACTACATAGTCACATTGTCAGCGATGTTCAACACCAATGGGTAATACTACTTACTTCGCCCGCCTTGAAAGGTGCCCTGCATGGTGGATTATCGACCGAGGTATGATTATCCAATACAGACACGGTAGCATCATAGTCGATTCCAAAGAAGAACGGGATAGAATAGCGTTCTTCTCCAGAGAGGTTTGATACCCTATGGATTGTTGATTTGAACTTTTTGTTTGTCCTACTACAGTCAGCACTGAGATACGCAACTTGGGTCATAATTGCTTACCAAGTCGACAAGCAATCGGCGATATTGACAACCAATGTTCCCGGAATAGGAGGGGCTAGAATCCATTCCCCACGATGATTCAAGACTTGCAATCCAGGAACCTTGCCCTGAGAAAGGATTGTAAAACATTCCCAATCCTATAATTAAAATAAGTAAGCATCGATGGAGCAGCACAAAAACTGACCGTATGCGCCCCTAGTCCTTCACGTGTTTCCCCAACGGGTTGGGCAGGGTAATGCATCATCCTAGAAGTAACACCGGGGGTTTGAATTTTCGTGTCAAAGTAGTCCTCAGGTACATCCAAGGCAAGTGCGAATATTCTCATGAGTTTGCGACAGAACTCCAACGCGGTGGCGCAATATTCAATGTAAGTTTCTTTAAACCCGGCAAGCGTGATCTCATCGGGCCATTGGTTATCCCCGTATAAACCATAGGTATCGAGACCAAGAACGGCACCTGGAGACTTTTGAAAATCCAATGCGGTTTCATACCCGATGTCAAATGCCTCGGAGAGTACGCCCGTGGCTTCCTCGGCCGATATGGGATCATCATCTGTACCTGTTGTTTTCTCGCCTTCTAGGGGGCTATAACCACGGAATTTCTGCGCGTGTGAGTTCGTGTTCAATATAATCAGCCTTGGAATGCAGGATGCAATACCTGAGAATTTCCAATATAGAATTTCATCTTCTGTTCTTCTGGAAGGGCAAAAAAGCGTTCTGCGGCATGATGAACGCCATTTATCATTTGCTCGTGAATACCATGATTCTAGAGTAGGTGAGCACTTGGATGGGTAAGAATAGGTGTCATATAACCGTTAATACCTTGATATAAAAGAAACCAACTTGAGTACAGGCATCATATATCGTTCGGGCGAGCTGCTGCCGTTCTTCAATACTCGGGCTTTCTAGATGAGAGAGATCGACGATCGGGATCTGATCACAATTGGCCGCCTGGGAGGGCTCTGTTAGATCCATAATTCAGGGGTAAGATGTAAAGAAGTGAAGGTTCTCCTATTGGCGGGGCGATCGCGAGATATACGTGGTATTTAGTGCATTCTTGGCAATATATGCCGCAGCGGTCCGCAGTACGGAGTACATTAGATGCCCTTGCCACGTTTCAATGATACTGGTCCAAGCTTTTTCAGTGGCGTTGATACATATCAGAATCGGGATCTCTTGGATTGGCCGGCAATTTACACAAGATTCTATGGTGGAGTCTTACAAGGTACTCCTTTTTCAGTTAGAATTTTCATAGTTCGTGACCATTGGAAGTAATCAATGTGAGTGGATCGTTCAAAGTACTTTGTTTCCTCGATTAGGCTAAAAAGGGGGTCCAGGGAGAACCAAAAAAGGAACAAAAAAAAAAAAAACAAGCAATGGGAAAAACGGGTCAACCAAGACCCTTGCAAAAACCTGAAACACTGCCACACTAAGGGGGGAAAGAGGGAGAGACCCACGCGCGTCAACGTGTCCCATAACTGCCATCCAATCAGTATCACTCTATCTCCACACCGCCCATGATCATCTCTTGCCCCTAAATATCCTGGCTTCGGCATTTTTCTTCCTTACACACTCACCATAGTCACTCCTTTCCAGGCTTATACATTTTCATCATGGCAAACGGTCGCTCTTCTCAGGATGAACGCAAGTTGGAGAACGGAAGCCCTGCTCCCGCTCCTAGTCAGGGCTTGCACCCGGCTTTCTACATTGCGTAGGTGTCCTCCGACGCCATCCCCTGTCCAACCACTAAATGTCTTCAGTCTGTGGATTGCCCTGAGTTCCAGTGTTATTCTGTTCAACAAGTGGGTTCTTTTCACTGCCCACTTCAGTAAGTCTCAATCCGCCATTTGATCGCATGGAATCTTCAAGTCGCTAACCTGTGCTGTTTCTAGACTATCGTATGTTTATCCTTATACCGTTCTACGCGGGGTCTTTAGCCGCTCGATCGAAATTGTCGAATTGTCCAGAACCAATGATCTAACATAGTCCACAGCGATTTTTCTCACGACATGGCACATGGTTTTCGCTACCGCCATGACCCAGATCCTGGCCCGCTGCACCACCATTCTGGACTCTCGCCACAATGTCCCCATGAACCCTGCCACCTACGTGTGAGTCGCATTGGAATCACCAAGACCTATGTGGAAACATTTTTGCTGATCATTTGGATCTGAACAGTCGCGCCATTGTGCCCATTGGTATCATGTTCAGCTTGAGTCTTATCTGCGGTAACCTGGCCTACATGTACCTCAGTGTTTCCTTCATCCAGATGCTGAAGGCCACCAATGCCGTTGTGACCCTGCTGGCTACCTGGGCGTTCGGTATTGCCCCGGCAAACTACAAGACTCTCGGAAACGTCGGTGTCATTGTTGTCGGTGTCGTCATTGCGTCATTTGGCGAGATCCAGTTCGACATGATTGGTTTCCTCATCCAGGTCGGTGGTATTATCTTCGAGGCCCTGCGTCTCGTCATGGTCCAGCGCCTCTTGAGCTCTGCTGAGTTCAAGATGGACCCCCTGGTGTCCCTCTACTACTACGCCCCAGCCTGTGCCCTCACCAACGGTGTTGTCACTCTGTTCACCGATCTGCCTCGCATGGGCATGGCTGATATCTACGGCCTCGGTATCATGACCCTTATTGCTAATGCCCTCGTCGCTTTCATGCTTAACGCCTCTGTCGTTCTTCTGGTAAGATCGCAAATTCGCCCCTGATCGGATTGTGAAGTATCTAACGCGCTCTATAGATTGGCAAGACTTCTGCCGTCGTTCTGACCATGGCTGGTATCCTGAAGGATATTCTGCTGGTCTGCGCCTCCATGATGATCTTCCGTGACCCCGTTACTCCCTTGCAGTTCTTCGGTTACTCCATTGCCCTGGCTGGTCTTTGCTACTACAAGCTCGGTGCCGAGAAGATGCAGTCCCTCGCTACTGATGTGCGCCTCCAGGTGGGCGAGTACCGCCGCAGCAATCCTGCCAAGGCTAAGGGTATTGCTGCCGGTGCTGTTATCACTATCATTGTGATCATCATGTTCGCCGGTGCTCCCGCTGGTGTCCCCGCTAAGGTGACCAACTAAGTCACTGGGCCGCAACCGGTACTGTGAACGACAGACTTGCACTATATCCAGAACGACTTATGATATTGTGCTAGACAACTGCAGCTAATTATTCTATTCTCCAACGCTGTTCAACTATTTTTATTTGTCGCGATAGATAGAACGAGAAGAATGCCTTTTTTTTTCTTTTTTGGTGGAGATTTCTTGTACATTTGGGTGGGATAGATCAAGGTCCATGGGATTTCAAGGCGAACACCAATATTGCAGGCTGTGTTTCTCCTTATGTTCTAATGATTGCATTTCCATTCACCTGGGAGCCTTGAGATAGCCAATGGACATTACTGAATATTGACACTGCTCTAACTGTAAATCGAATACTCAGGTGCATTCAATGTATCCTACTGGGTAAATTCGGGGCTTCAACTGATTGTTCTACTTCAAAAACGTGAAGTCACTTCTCTCAGTGTCAGCCGACTCATGACTTAGCGTCTATACTTAGCCCACGGGTATATACTTCGTACGCGTCAGCCCGGGAAGCACAGCCCACGATTTGAATAGCTCGCGGGTAGATAATGCTTCAAAGGGATAAGCGTAGAAAAGTCTGCAGCTGGTGTGTTTTAATGCAAGCTTTATGCATGTGAAACAAAGCAATGTTTTCTCTTCATATAATAACTTCACTATCTACTTTATGTGATGTTTGGAACCACTCACTCTATTAAACTATATCCAGTCATATCACTACATATCATCCTGCCACGCGAAATATTGGTACGTAAAATAGACCGTAAATATCGACACCAAAAACGCTCCTAGACCAAAAGCCGACGAGTTATCAGACGTGACTGCTGCGTAGATGATTACACTAACACCAACTGCCAAGAGTATCACGAGTATCAATGGTAAAATGAAGACCCAATTCAGACTCTCGTTCATACGGACGCCCCATCCAACGATATGCCGATTATCTCCCGGTAGCCGGACTAATGGTTCTTGGAGTTTTTTGGGAATCATGGTCATCCAAAATCTGTCAGTGTGAGGTCCTGGTTTGAGCAGATGTTGCAATGGAATCTGGTACAGTTCGACATCTGCCATTGGAACTGGTTCGTAGAGGTATCGTTTTGATTTGACCTCGACTTCTGGGGGAAATTCTCGCGCTTTGAACCATGAAGGACAGGATTTCGTTCCGATGGGGATTAGTGAGAACTTTTTGGAAAAGAGAATTAGTTTTTCGTTGGCTTGATATACATGAAAATTATGATGAAGTGGATCTCATGCACTAGTACGTACTCGGACGAAATCTCCAGATTTGATTTTGTGTATATGCATGTCGAAGAAGGTAGAGAAAAGCATCGATGGGAAATGAAAAAACCTCGGTAATGATGGGAGCTGGGGCAGCCGCTTTGAAACTGAGCGAAGGAATTTAGAGACACCTGGTGGACCGAGCATTGGAAGCTTAAAGCCGTTATCATGACAGTGTGTCTGGTATTCCTGATGTATTTGCTGGAAGAAGTATTGATCATTGGTGAGGAAACTCACTTCGATATGAACTAAAACGGTGGAGCCTTTCGTGTTCATGCATAAGAGAACGAATTGAGGGTCGTGATCTCGGGATGTTGTCATGCGGTCTTGGGTTTCTTCAGTGTGAACAGTTTGAGGCGACAAATGGTATGGGACCCCCGGTGTTACTGTATTCTGGCTGCGCATACTTAATCCCGAGTCGGGATTCAAATGTGCTTGAGGTGGAGGCTGTAAAGGATCCGAAAGAGATGAAGTGTGTGGCGTGGTCTTAACGGCAGCGACGCTATTGAGGAGTTTATTCCGGAACCTCTCGATCCCACCCGCAGATAATTCTCTAACATCGAGGTATGAGAGTTCCCCACAGCCCTAGATTCTCATTAACGCTGCATTCGATTTGAATGCAGGGGAACTCACGCATATATACGAGATTCGTTGGTAATTAGCTGCTGGTGGAGCGAAGATGGTTCTGAACCGAAGCCACCACATTGAAAACCTAGATCTAGCCAATATTTCCAATCTCTTGAAAGCTCGCTCACGAATTTTCTTGGATTTTTCGTTTTCCCACGAATCTATAATAAGATTAACGAAAATGAATAATAGAAGTCCGGGTGCTGACATTCAAACCTCGCATAATACTTTGGGCTTTGTTTCCCTGGACTGAGAGAAAACCCTCATTTTCCTGGCTATTTTTCCTTTTGACTTCCAGCCATTCTCGAAGCTCTTGTCGTAGAGCTCGAAATGCTCTCGTTGATACCATAAACTCTTTCACCTCTTCAATGGTACCGAGTGAGCTTCGGTGATCACTTTCTGAACTGGTTGAGTCGCTGTCTGAGGATATTTCATTGGCATCATCATTCAAATTTGAAGAAACTTCCATTTGTGATGTTATCCAGGCCCCAACTTGAGCTGACTTCGAGACATCCAACTCCAGTTTTCTCTGTATAGGAAGTCCACTATCCTGCGTGAGAAATATGCGGATTAGAGCTGATGTCCGCCGCGCAGACAAGCGGACAAAATTTGCCGCTTGACGTTGAACTTCACTTGACGCTTCACTATTCAATTTCTGCCCATACCTTTTCAGCATGCGTGCAAAGTTTCTTTGAAATTTCCCAGGGCCAACTTTTGAGATGGCTATTGGATAGAGAGACTTCAAATCGTCGTCATTCAGAAGTAGGTTGGTTAGCTCAGAAATAGCGATTGAGGTGATTTCGCTCTGGGATGAGTGAGAAGACAGAATAGATTCGGTAGAGAAGATGCTTTCGATGTCACTTGGGTCACACAATGAGTCCTTGTGGCTGTCTTCAGTCTCGCGGCCTCCACTCTCCTGCCTTTCCCATATAATGCTTTTGTTAATCATTTCATCGAAATCCTGTTGTACAACCGCGAGGCTTTTGGTGATTTCTATTCCATGTAGCTTAGAATTTTCACTGAGCCATGAAATGATCTTGGCGAGAGTACCCACGGCGTTCACTCGAGGCTGTCCGAGGACACGGCACACCTGAACGGCGAGAATGAAAGAGGAGAAAGGGACCGAGGATTTCACAAGAGTATGAATAGCATCAACTCCAGGCCAGTCCTGAGAAATATTCTTATCGAGTCGGATATCCGCAAATCGGGACTCGAGGAATAAACGCATGTCGTGCTCTAGTAAAGTTTTGGGTATCTGATGGAGGGAAAATTCCTGATAGGAAGTTGACGAACGCTCTGAAAAGCTGGATGTGATGGCATATGTAGGTTGGCTGGTCACAAAAATCCGAAATCGAACCGCACCTATTGAATCTAGGTGAGGTAACAATCGAATTATTCTTAGAATGTCTTGATGATTCCCACATTCATCCAAAGCATCGATCACTATTACAGTGACTTGAGGCTTTCGGTTGAGTTGTTTCAGCTGGAGCAATGGTTGAAGGAGCAGTTTTTCAAACTGCTGCTCGAGCGATTTTGAAGCCACGCCAGGGTCTTCACGGAGAGCCTTCTGTACACCGACAATGAGGTCAGGGAACTCAAGCACTAGTTGCCTTGCGAGTGTCGAGACAAACTTCTTCGCATTCCCTCGATCCCCATCACCCCTTTTGAAAAAGAAGCTTGCGCCTAGGTTCTTGCTATTTTTGAGTGACTGTGCTAGAGTCCGAGATATTGTGGATTTGCCAGTCTCAGGCAATCCATTTAACCAAAATATACTCCTCTCGTCCAGTGAGAATGACCACTCTTTTATCTGTCCTAGAAGCTCGGTCCTTCCTGGAAGACACACATCATCTTGATCCATGTATGGGCGATATTCGGCTCCAGTCGCAAGAGGTAGTTTCTCAAGAGCTAAGTTTAGATCAAGATCCTCCAGGTCCCTCTCCTCTCTTTCCACCCGTAGCGGAACAATCCAATGTAAGAGATCCCGGGCATATGCTGCCGCGACCATGGCGGCATACCCTTGCCATTGTTTGTTTTGATGCGAATCAGAGTAGTCGCAAATACCGCGGATCATAAGGCATGGGAACTGACTCGTCACCCCCGCCGCCTCCATTTGAAAGCATAGAACATCCATATCTGCGGACAATTTATCGCGGATTATAGCATCCTTTAGGATCACATTGGTGGACGCGATCCCGCCATAGTGGACTACAAGGTCAGCTTTATCTTTGTCGCGTGAATTTCGCAAAACTAAGGCAGTTGTATCATTTCCACAGACTTCAGCACAAATCGATCCACTTCCTGGCGGATGGATGACCTGACTATGGTATAGTCGGTCACTATCTTCATTTGGCCGTTGGTAATCTTTTCGGAGATTCGGGTATCTTTCAAGGACCTCGTCGACTGCCTTCTCAAGTCGACTGCCATTTAGATCATGTTGGGTCTGAAGTTTGGTAATCGCCACACGAAGAAAGGTAGAGGGTCGATCAGGCACGCCCATTTGTGGGAGGCTTTGGTGTTGTGTCAACTTCCCGGAATCCAACTCTATCCCTCCATCTATGCCAACCACGATATCTCCAAGGCGAATATCATGCTGCGGACTAGGCGCTCCACCACTGATACCGACCATCATATTGAATCGAACATTTGGGAAGCTTTGTAACATATACGCGGTTGCTTGTGCTGTCGGAGATGTGCTATCATCTGTTGGAGATGTGTAATCATCTGTCGGATGTGTGCTATAATCTGGAGATAAAATGGAAATAACAACATTGTGTTTTCTGATTTTGCCCAAGACATAGCTGTTTTGGTCGTGAGATGGCAAGTTTTTCGGGGGTAGATGCTCTTCATCAAGGAAGGCTTGGGCAGCTGTAAATTCAGTGGCGTTGCAGCAAATCCAGCCAACATTGTAGTCTCTTGGGTCAGACATCTTGGGTCTGGGGAGTAGGGTAACACATGAGTGCCTAATGTTCACTCAAGTCTTCTGGTGGAAATCGCTTTCTCACTGGGAGCTTAGAAACGCGGGGCTGCCATTCAGCCTCGTTTCGTCACGTGGAGTAAGATTTATGCACCAGAGAAGATTCTATTCATTTCATTGATCTCCTACACTCATGAACTTCAAAGAGGCGGCTGAGGTCCAGCCCACCCTCTGAGCCATTCAAGTTCACGAAGGTCGGGATAGAGCGAGGATATGTTTAAAACCAGAAAGGATTTCGAGGAGAAATGATAGGTATGTATTTGCCAGGCTCGTTGCAAGTTGCTTTGATATAGTAAGCCCAAAATGAACAGTGATCTCCAGTTTGCTTGTCTAAAAGATTCCATGTGTGTAGTCGATGACTTGAGCTTTCTCAATGAGTCCGGCTAGGCTCTTCACAAAGACCTGATGCACCGGGTCGCTCTTCACATAATAGTCTCGATCTGCAGCATTCGCAAACTCCACAACGAAAGCATGAGTGATTCCATCCTACAACGATAATTGTTTTTTTTTAGAAGAATTATTTTCGATCTATTTGCCCAATTGACTTACCTGTGCTCCTTCAGGAGAGTTATCGGCCCCACCTGAAGATGCTGTGATGTACGGTTTTTGAGACGATGGATGAAGACATGTGTCTTTCAACGCGAGCATCCGACCACATGCCTTGGCTGATTTTAGTTTCCAAAAAGTAACAATGGTGATAGACATCATACGTCATTAATTGCTTGAGCGTCAACGTCAGCCTTGAATTGGAAAAGGACAATATGAGTGATCGACATGGCGATGAAAAATGCTCAGAGGAATGCAATGGAACATAGGTTCTCTGCAGAGCATGAGTGATGGGAAGTAGCAATGCCCGGATGGCAATTGAGGATAGGATCAAGTGGGGGTGACGCCATGACGATGACATTGATTCCCCGCTTTTCTATTGAATTTCCGCTGAACTTCCGCTCTTATAAATGAATCTATCGTCTTAACAAGCAATTAAAGGGTTGGGTCTGATTTTACTTCTCAGAGGATCAAGAATATATCCAGCTACTAGACGTTTCCATTATTAGTATTTTTTTCTTTTGTTTTTCTTACCCTTTATAGATCATTCACGTGGCTCTGAAAGCGGCCCGTAACTGAAAGCATACCCGCAGCATAACTAATGCGGGCCTTGGGATGACCCGCGAAGTTCCGAATTATTTAGAGCCAATGCAAACGTTAATGATGACAACTGGATTGACTAGGGGAAACTTTGTTTAATGAAATTAATTCACGGGAGCTGGATTATCATGTCCCTGGTGACCGTGCTGCCAGCTCCGAATCTAATAGGCTGCAACAAGACACTAACAGAAGCTTAGTGTAGTCCAAAACAACAAACGCCCCACAGCCAAGATGACCTCGAACAATAGCATGGCCTTGCAATAAATGTTTCTAAGCATGCCCATATTCGCAATCATATCTCGTACCACCTGAGGTCAGATAATTTTGACATCTCGCGAGCCGCAAGGAAAATTCAAAGGTTGTCGGTGAGTTTACGTTGAGAAGGCCATCTCACCATGACATCCCAAACAATTGTCTCTCTCCTCAGCCTGGCTACAATTGGATACACAGCATCCTTACCCACGGGCTTCAAGGATGCGTTGCTGGAGTGCCATGGCAAAAAGACAGCACCGGAACAGCTGCATTTCAACTACGCCGGGGACCGCGGCATGATGATCAGCTGGAATACACAATCAAAGCTGGAATTCCCTACAGTACGCTACGGGCGCGGTTCATCGCTTGATGAAATCGCCTACTCGGAGATCTCGGTCACATATCCCACCTCGACCACGTATAGCAACCACGTTTTGATCGAGGGTCTTCAGCCAGACACCGAATACAACTTTGTTGTAAAATGCGCTGAAGAGAGTGATAAGCACACTTTCAAGACTAGTTTGCCGGTAGGAAATGATCGTCCGTATTCGTTCGCCTTCTTTGGAGACCTTGGGACTATGGGCCCCTTAGGTCTGACTTCCTATGGACAGGAAGATGCACTCAGTCCTGGAGAAATTACGACAATGCAATCTTTGAGTCAATTCACGGATCAATTGGAGTTCATGTGGCATGGTTTGTTTCTCTTTTCCCCCTGCATATCGCGCATGACTGACGAGCGGGCTATCCAGATGGTGACCTCGCCTATGCTGATGCTTGGCTCAAAGAAGAACAAGATGGTTTCTTGCCCAACACTACCATTGAAGAAGGAGCTGCGGTTTATGAATCCATTTTGAATGCTTTCTATAATGAGATGGCAGGGAATGTGACCATGAAACTTCCGTACATGGTTGGTCCAGGTGAGCTATCTCTTCAAAAAATTGCGCCCAAAAGAACGCATCTCTATGAAATTATTTGCAGGGCTAAAGATGTGATGGATAGGGAATCATGAGGCGAATTGTGATGATGGAGGAAGCGGTTCCTATACAGAAAGTATTTGCGCGCAGGGCCAAACCAATTTCACTGGCTTCCGCAACCACTTCCGTATGCCTTCTGAGCAGTCAGGGGGCTTGGAGAACTTTTGGTTCTCATGGGACTATGGCATGGTGCACTTTGTTCAGTTCAACACAGAGACTGATGTAAGTGTGGTTCCCAGCAAATTCACCTAGAAATCTTCTTATCGATTTTTAGTTCCCTGATGCCCCTGACCTTCCTGGTGGAAGCGGAGACGAGAATGCCGGTCCTTTCGCACCAAACGGCACACAACTCGCTTGGTTGAAGAAAGACCTCGCTTCGGTGGATCGCAAAAAAACACCCTGGATTATAGTTGCCGGTCATCGCCCCTGGTATGTCGATAGTGCTACGTGTGATGAATGCCAATCGGCATTTGAGCCATTGCTAGTCGAGTATAAGGTTGATATTGCCCTTTTTGGTCATAAGCACTTTTACGAACGGATGACGACCGTTGCCAATGGAATCTTGGATCCAAAGGGTCTTGATAATCCGTCTGCTCCGTGGTATATTGTCAATGGTGCCGCTGGACACTATGAAGGCTTGTCAACCGTGTCTACGCCACTAGAGAACTATACAGTCAAAGCTATTGACACGGTGTACGGATGGAGTCGATTCACTGTCCATAACTGTACTCATATCACCCAGGATTTTATTTGTGAGTCTACTCAAACAAACTCCTGCCAGATGAACGATGTTACTAACTAAATTTTCTCTCAAAGCCAGTGCCAATGGAACAGTTCTGGACTCGGCCACGCTCTACAAGGCCCACAATGGCTGCGCGTGAGCCGAGATAAATTATATGTATGATAACGAGGGTTTCACTCAAGCATGTTATCAAATAAAGCCTCAATATTACTCTCTAGTCCATCCCCAACGCCAGAAACATGTAAGGGAAAAGGGCCTTGACACAATTTCAAGGGAAAAATTATATCTACTCCACCAAGATCTTTCACAGTTGGTATTCATTGACGTCTCTCTCATCATCCTTGGACAAGTCCTCTCTACCATCTTGCCAGCTCGAACAATTGAGGCAGCGCGAGGCCTGTTATCTGATTAATATAGCGTCATAGGATTAAAGGGGTATACAACCTCCACGCTTATGTATTTCCTGCAGTATCTGCATCTCACAGTAGGCTTGATAATCTTGTTGTGAGAAACGAGCATATATAAGTGCGCTACCGCAAAGAGCGTCAAGCTAACGCCGACAAAATTTAGGAAATTCTCAACAAATCCTCTGTCTTAAGTTAGCAAGCGACTCAAAGCTTCGTCACTGGTTCACCGGCATGGAGTTTGTTCACATACCCCCATGCCAAAACAAGGGCCCCATCATCCCTCGCCTGCTTAACAGTATTGTACCCCTTCCCAGGATCATAATTAGGTCCCTGCGACAAAACTGCAAATTTTTGATCCATGTTCCGATTCAAAAACGGCAGCAGGGAAACGACCGGTAGAACAATATCGGAGACGAAGGAAGTTACGACTTTAGTGAAGGAATTAGCGATGCTTTGGTATTGTTAGTAACGGGACACTGAGCTCAACTGATATCCAGTGGTGGAAGTACTGACATCAAACCCAAAGCAACCTCAAGAACATTATCACGGGCCGCGAAATTGAGAAACGCGTTCCAGCCATGCTTGACCTGTTCGCCCGCTGTCTGGCCGACGCGGATCAGAATTTCGGTGCTATCATCGAGTCCACGCATTTTTTTTGGAAATCCTGCTGGCATGCTCTGGGAATAGCAGGGGCTCTAGCCGATTAAATTTGACCGCTTGATGCCCCGCGTCATTGTGCATAGCTTAAGTCATGTGGAAATTTAAGGGGGTGGGGGCTTTGATACGACTTGCTTGGCGTGAGGGGCTACTTGCTAGACGCCTCTTCCGTCTAACCAATAAGCTTTTCGAAGCTGGAGCGCTCAGAGGTTTATTTGATGATCGACAAGAAATGTCGAGATGTTTAATTGGTGGCACTTTTGTCTGGGCGATCGATCATTCATGGATATCCAACAGAGACAATGTGTATACTCCAGTCACGAGTTTCACCGCTTTCTGTTATTTAGAAGCAAAACCTCACTTGCTTTGTTCAAGCTAAATTAAAGAATGGACGCTTTGTTGCGCAAGCTTTTGATTAATCACTTTCACTGCACGTGTCAATCAAAGTATTGTTGGCGCCTTAGACTCCAGGCACACACGTGTTTTTGAACGTTTGTTTTTGTCCTGATCAGGACTAGTGTGGTATCTACAGGGGTGTTCATGCTGCAATGCACCAATTAACTACCTCAGTACCAGTAGGCTCAGCTGAAAGAAACAGGAGCCTCCCTTGTATGTATTCCGAATTTTAATACATAGATAGAACGGACAGCTGGATTTCATTTTCGCTAGACAGATGCCCGGGTGTTTGAAGGCCAAACGAATGCTATAAATTGATTTGTAGATAGATGGAGTAATATGTATGCATAATACAGATGAGCATAAATTGATCGATCGTGAAATTCGATCATCCCAAGGTTCGAACAAGAAAAGGTGATAAACGAGTGTAAGAACAAAACGTGTATCCTGCGGCACTGCAAGGTTAACGTAGTGCCGAGAAAAAAACAGGAACACAATGAAGTGAGTGCATGTAAAAATTACCATTAGCTTTGATCGAACCCGCTCTTAAGCAGGACTGCCAGTGTGAGAGTGAGAGGAGCTATCAGTATGATAATCAGACTCGGAGTGATTCATGTTGCCATTTGGGCTTGGAGTCCTATGATCCCAATCACGCTTCTCGCTCGTAATCTCTTGCTGACTAGTATTGCCCGTGTCATTTTGGCTAGAGTAGCGGCTCGAAAGCTTCTCGTGCACAACCTTAAACAAGGGGCGCATGTTGGATAAACAACTGGCGACAATGCCAACGGCAGGCTCAATGCATGTCCACACACTTGAGTTGACTTGAGTATCTTGGAAAGGTCAGCATACTATTAGGTGGTCGATTGAAGAAGTTTCACTTACAGGTGATGTCGCTTCCAGCCTTTGACAGGTCGATGAGAGCGACCAGGCGGACGATATCGAAAATCAAAGTCCTGGGCTATGTCAGTGAGTTGACGAAGATTTGACAGGGAAGCATACAAAAAGCCCACGATGAAAATCGCAGAAAGGCCCGTCTTCTGAGCACGGGAAATCGGAAGATTCCAAACAGTATGCATAGGCATAACGAGGATGATCGCGTCGGTCGCAATGTTAGGAATTTGAAGACCATAGTAGTATTTTCCGAGATCCATGCACGCGCCTGGTGTGGCAGGCAGCCAAAGCTTTTTTGTTGGCAAGCAGATAAAGCAGCCAGATAGGATACCACACGCCGCCCAAAGGATAACGATCGTCCCAACGACGTTGACGGCAGCTTTCATTGTTTTGGTCGGGAACAGTCGTCGGTACAGTGACAGGATGGATAGTTTGATGCATGCAATGCAGCCGGTGTACAGGATCGAGCCGGTGAAAAGTGTCTATGATAATTTAGCTTGATCGGGCTAGTGAGTGGTGACAAGGAATCATACCTTCAAATAAACTATCAGCTGATCGGGGTGAACATATTTGACATGCGTTCCCAATCCATTATATAGCACTGCCTGCCGTTAGTTCAAGGCTTGATTGAAGAGTTGCAATTATAACTCACAGACAACGCCCGCAATAGAAATGCCATATTCAAATAGCTGTGGTCAATCAGACAATGGTCTGAGAAATTGCAAAGCTGAGACGTACCAAGGCGAAAAGAATAAGAATATCATCAGGGAATAGACCTCCACCATTGACCTTCCTAGAGATAATTCGGAAGGCGACCGCCGATGTAGACAAGATAAATGCAAAACATGTTGCGGTAATGACCACATGGCGAAGATTATCATGATCGTATCCGGTCGCGTTTTGCGAGACAGAAGACATGTTAAAGTACTTGAGTCAAAACGATTTCCAAAAATCCAAACGAAAGTAAAACGAACGTGCAATCGAGAGTGGAGGAAGTCAATATATGCCCCAACCTACTAGCAATGACCAACTTGCGCACGATAGATAGGTCTCAAATTATTGAACCATGGCAAAGGTCAGTAATTAATTAGTCGTTATGATTATCCATAGGATAAAGAGATGTATCCAACCCTTACATGCAAGCGATCAAATTTGACGATTCTCAACTCTGACGGACCAAAATGCCCTCGATCGGGTAAAGTGTCAACAACAAAGTTCTATTAATCACTCCACGCCCCCACTATTTCGCCTAGGGATACATCATGCAGAATCGGCACACTCACTATTTAGCTAACTAACCTTCCGACATCACCTTGCATATAGATGTCGCTAGTTTTCTCCCACTAGCATCCATGTGGGCGTCGGGGTTTATTGATATTGAAGAGCGATCGGAATAGATGATTCTTGCACAGATCGAGAAGAGCCCGACGCTGTGGTTTGCCCGATCGTACGATCGTGCTGATGCAATCTTCCTCGGGTCGACATGATACGTCTCAAAGACCTACTAGGCTACCTGTCAGACAAGGTTGAGTTGGTGCGGGCCTAGAATGGTGTCAATTTGATTTTGTAAGATCGACAACCCTACGGTGGCAACTTAGCTGGTCAATAAGTCAAGCGAGGAGACTTGCGGAGTCATTTTTCATTGTAGGACTTGGAAGCAACAAGTTTTTGACTTGCCCTGCTTTGATTATTGATGCTGTGAGATGATTGCATGTAACGAGTCCTTTCTAACTCACGCGAGAAGACTTGAGTGATTGTCGTCGATCCACTAGACTGACATCATGCGAAGAATAATTTCCAGGCCATTTGACACATCCCATAAAATCCCGGGAATATGGGTTGAGCGTTGAGAGGATCTACCGCTAAGGATCCCACGGGTAGACTATGTTGTTGCCACAGTGTAGCACAGCCACTCCGATTCTCTGTTCGAATAGATAGATCACGCGGCGACAATGCACGCAGTTTATTGCCTCGTATTCAGACCTCATTTACATAGGAAATTCATGCTATGTGAAATAAAAAATCGCTTCGTTAGAGATACACGTCTCTGAAAGGTCGTATAGTAAATGACTCATGCCGCACCAGTCTATTTAGGTGGTGGGGGGTATGTCATTGGCCCCGGGGCAATATAAGGCGACAAAGTCGCGCCTCTATCTATAGCAGCGCGGTTCCGATGCTCCTCTCGCTTTTGGATTTCCTTCTCGTTCTGAATCAAAGTACAGCAGCAGCAACAGGTGGACCGGACACAATCTGAACCGCAGTCTCCGTGGATTCCATATGCTTTGCGTGTCGTTCTGCGTTGCAGTGTGGTAAGAATACCTATTGGATATCAATTTGTTGTTCTCGTCGGGTTCAGGCGATGCGAACTTACACTGGCAACCACATAATAGAGCCATTCCGGTGCAGGCTCCATTGCAGGATTCATATCCTAACATATTGGTCGGATCTTCTCCTTTGGATTTCCTGTTGAGACGGTACTGTGTCTTTCCGTAGAGGATGCAGGGGCAGAATATACCCAGGAAGCATGCCGCGAAGTTGTTTGAACAGTCGCACATCCCGTGTGTCCATCCTCCACCTAGTACTTCTTGATTGGGGTGCACTATTTGGCCGGGTTGATGGAACGTACTCAGGTCCTCTGCTGTTGCTGCTGGCGCTGGCGATGAGGTCGCAGTTGTCGGTGAGAAATATGGCAGTTTGGGTGATTGCAATGGGTTCACATCGGGCGCAACCGTCATGGTGTCACTCCTAGTGGGGACATCAGGGTTTACTTTCACTGGTAGGGGTCCCGGGGAGTTCGGAGGTTGACTGTATGTCTCCTGGGGTGTTTCTTGGTGCATCTGGTGACACATTTGTTGATGCTGTTGTTGATATACCTGTTGTTGGTAGGTCTGTTGGTACATCTGTTGGTAGGTCTGCTGCTGTGGCTGCTGATACGTCTGCTCATACTGATACTGATACGCAAGCTGTGGGTATTGCGACAAATGAAGTGGTGATTGGATAGGTGATTGTATGGGCGATTGAATAACGGGCTGGATATCAGGCTGTGGCTGAGTAGGCTCAGCATAAGGCGCAAAGTGGGCCGGATGCTGGTCGGGCGGCGGGAATTTAGAAAACGTGGGAATCATGCCCTCATGCTGCAGGTGTTGTTCTTTCTCATTAGGAAAGTACTGCGCTGATTGCTGCTGAACTTCCCTCGGTTGCTCGGTCGCTGGCTGCGGAGCCGGGCTCGGGTCTGCATCTGAGGGTGATGACGCCGGGAACTGAATGTGGGACAATGGATGCATTTCAAGCGGAGTCTCCATGAATGAGTATCGGGGATTATGATCATGGACCTGGCTATTTTGGGTGTCCAGCTGTGGCCGACTCATCTGGGCGGTTGCGACTGTGCGACACTTGTCTATACAATTTGGGCCACCTGGGTGGTAATTTTCAAGACTTGCAAACCTGACTGAACAGAGAAAACACAATGTGTATCTGGGATTTACTACCAGGTTCAGGATTTCTGGGGAGAGAGAAATGATCAGGCCGTTGTCGCTTTAACAGACGCACCCGAACAGTTTCCCCTGGAGATCAACATGTGCGGGACTCGGTTAACTAATATTCCGGCCCACTGCGAGGTGATATGAGACTGCAGATCGATAGTAAATGAACCGGTTGCTCTTGGAAAGCTCTGAGGGGAAGCGCGTGATGAGAGGGCATTGGGAGTGCTAGACCGCCAGGGTGGAGATAGTCTGAGGGGGCGAGGTTAGAGGTCCGCGGGGATAAAACGACATAATTGGCTACAAGCTCGAGGTTCGTCCAAAGCTAGTCGTTTAGGGTGGTCCTTGCAAGACTAATGCAACTGCTTCACATTGTCATGGACTCTGGTTGGCCTGGGACCCGCCCGGCACCTCCCGTTGGGCGTTAGGGCCCCTCTCGTCACATCTAGTCGATCACAAATCCTGTCACTCTGTAACGAGCCACGTACGGCTGATCCAGTGTTTTGGTTTTTCCACTAAGATTTCTCGATTGATTGTTGGATTTTGAGGGGTCATATTCACTCATATTCTGGCTTTTATTCCAAATTACATGTCCTCTGCTTGGCCCAGCCATTAGTACCGTATCAATATAGGAGCTGTTTCATTTCGGAAAAGGAAAATTTGAGCACAATTAAGGTGCTCAGCTTTAAAGGTAAACCTCATGCTAACAAAAAACGCTTAACCACCCACGTCACTCACGTTCAGTCTCTTTGCTATATACAAAACAAAATCAATTACAGATACATCATACAGAACTCCCGTGCCTCACAAACACACTTGTTTGTGGATATAACTCCCCGTATCCAATCAATCCAGACCTTCTGGTATCAGGCACTTATTATGGATAGTGCGAATACCTATTGTTAATTGTGGAGTAACTCTAGGTGAGCTTGGTGCCCATCCATCCGCCTTGGCAGTAGAGGTGGCTATTGTTCAAGGGACTGGCACTTGATTCCAATATTACCGGCAGTCATTTACCTCCACCTAAGCGCAAACCCAAGAGCGACGGTCCAGCCTAGTTCAGCTTCTTATCTCCGACTTGGACAGTGCGTCCCTGGCGACGTTGATATTGCAAATAACCGTACCCACCAGCAGCAATAAGTGCGATCACAACAATATTGCCTAACGACAGTATTTAGTACCTCTACTATTTTTCAACTTATTGCAGGAAATATAACTCACTGGCGATGAATTTGCCTACTCCTCCCAAGGCTTTCAAGGTATCTCCAACTGCATATAGCGCCATCTGGAAGGTACCAACGATGAAGTCGATAATGGCATGGAGGAGGCCGTAGACTGCATTGAATCCCGTCCGAAATACCGAGAATATGAGCTCGAATATAGACGAGATAAGGTCTTTGATGGAAGTGATGATGGACGACATGTTCGAAAAGTCTTGGCAGTAGGTTGCTAGCTATAAGGTCCCGAGACACAGAAAACTTCGGGGATTTAGTATTTATACGAGGACCATAGCTTTAGATGAAGTAAGTGGCACGTAGATTAACTTTGTCATGCCCTGCTAATTCAGTAAGGGGGCAAAGCTGAAGATACTTAGGTGATTTGTTTCCTTGTTCCTGGTTTGGCCTGACGTACTGACAATGACGTAGTGCACACGACATCTGTTGTGGCCACTTTATTAAGGCAGCTGTTTATAACCACAACAATTTTGAAGGTCTAGCGAAAGGAGAAACAATGGCGAGAGTGGAAGTGAGGATTCATATCTTGACATATGACAATTGTGGCTGCCCAAGTGGGTTTATTGGATCTATCATTATGTACATAATAAAAAGGAGACCAGTAGATACATAAGTGGCCGCTATGCGCCCGAGAAAGAGAATCACTAAAATGAACCGATGATCCAAGACAGAAATCATGAATTCACTTGGAATAACCTATGGTAGATATTTGACCCATGACGTTGTATCAATGATAAGCTCATTTGACATTCAGTGAGGGCACATCAGTTTTATTTGAGGACCTGCACATCCTGTCTGAACGACAATTTGAAGCGAAATTTTGTCCCAAGCATCCATCGCAGGTGGTAGGATATGTATATTGGAAAATCAAGAACTATGAGCATAAATGTGGGTCTTGATACACCTTCAAGCCCGGCTGAGCAAATTGACTCTGAGTATGTTGATGAGTTGTAAAATCTGAATACGTATTTAGTGAAGAAGAAAGATTGCTGGTCTCGTTGGTCCCGTAGGCTCTGGGCGGCACCTCCTGCCTGTTATGAACCCCGCCGGCCACAGCAATCAGTTTCCCCAAGATGGCGTATTCCAGCTTCAGCTTGATGCTGTACGCGACAGGCTTGAATGTCACTTGCAAGCCATAATAGCCCACATATTCGATGACGACAATTGCAACATCTAGGAAGAGGATAATAACGTTGATGACGAGGAGTTGGGTTAATATCCCCCGAGATCGACCTTGAGGCCGTAGGCGAAGCAGGTGGGTCGCTTCCCACACATAAATACTGGATATCACTAGCTCCTGGACACAGAAGCCGACGACTTGTATTCTTTCCATGATACTATAACCATGAGCGAAATGGCCGGTGGGCATCCCGACGGCGCCGTAGAGAAGGACTGTTGTCGGGATTTGCAGTAATATGGCATCGATTATTATCATCCATAGCACCTTCCAAAGTACTCTGGCATTCCGTAGAACTAGATGCAGTCGCGACCATAGCACCATGGATTGGCCTGTGACCATGCCATACCAGCTGATTACAATGAGCGTAACACACACATATGGCGTGACTCCTGTCGGGAAAAAGAGGAGCACAAAGCCCAGGCAATAGGGGATGATGCATGAGGATGCAATCAACAAGCTCCAGAAATAGCAGCCATGCCAACGCTTGAAGGTGAAGAAGCACAAGACAATGAGCTCGATGGCATTGTACCAGGCGATGGCGGAGAATATGGCAAAAGCGATGGTTCGTCCAAAGTCGCTTTCGTCATGGATTAGCTCGCTCGCAATACTCGAGATGTTGGTGTTCGACATGGGCGGAGGTTGACATGCTGGTTTAACCAGGGAATAAATGCACGATTATGGTCAAGAATCGTGACAAGATGTGGCGTAGCTTGAGTTGTCTCCAGGGTCAGAGCGTCAGCAAATTTCATTGAGTTTCAGAAAATCCATTTGCAAGTGATAGTCATCACCGGGTTGAGTTCCAAGGTTCCCTGGTAATATTAGGTTATGCGAGATGTAACTGCATACTGTACTGGTTTTCCGGGGTTCCGCGCCATGGTTCATCAAGCTTTATTATGGGTCACGCACTCAAAATTATTCGTTTAAATTCATTCAGCCACCGATTTCATACGAGACCTACGGTGTAGTATATGTGGAGATCATAAAGCTATCGGTACACAAATATATAGGAATATGTATTGATATTGTACACCAATGTAACGTGCATGTCTATTGTACCAAATTTATACACTAATCATTCTCACAAATCGATCACCTAGAGCATTGGCTGCCAGGGGATTCCCCCCAGTAACCAGCTCTCGATGCAGTGTAGTTCCTCCAATTTTCTCATGCATTCCTTCAACCATCACCGCGCCTGCATCTCTCAATGAAGACTCGACTTTCTCGATTTCCGCGCCTAACAAGCTCTCCACCCCCTTCTCCTCCGCATCACTCCACGAGGTAATCTTGTACCCATCATACACAAATGACCCATCTCCAGCCTTTTTCGTACTCAGTAGTGCATATGGACCGTGACAGATGGCCGCCGTTGGCTTATTCTCTTTATGAAAATAACGCAAGATACGCCCTAGGTCCGGGTCGGCGCCAAGATCTTTGAGGGGTGCATGTCCGCCCGGAATGAACACTCCTGCAAAGGTTGTCAATTCCTCGTCACTAATGGAACTAAATGGTCGGGGCCGGCTGAACCCGTTCTCGGCTTTCATGCGTTCGATGAGATCGTGTTCACGTCGGCGTTCATAGAAGTTGCCCGCGTATGCTAGGAGGGATTCGCTGTTCGGATCCGGAGTCGGTTCTTGGCCCTTGGGGGAGGCGAAGGTTACCTCGTGACCCTTGTCGAGCAATTTCTGGAGCGGCTTGGCTAGCTCTTGGAGGAAGAACCCCGAGGGCTGGTCGACTATTTGGCCAGCATCAGGCGTGGTGGTTTTCATGAGAGGGATTGAGTGTGCATCGCTCATGATGACAAGGACTTTCTTGGACGGCATGATGAATTTGAGGTTATCTATTTTGTGAGTAGAAAAGCGAAAAAGTCTAGGGATGGATGCTCATGCTCATTTATAACATGATCTATTAGTGACCGTGAAATGACATCGACGTGACGTATCCTGACCAGAAGGTTAGCAAGACTAGAAACAACCCAGACAGAACAATTCGGCTTCGCATATATGTTTTCATGTAGAATTTGAGATGTTTTGAATTGTTTCCTGAGACAGATATCTAATGCTTATGGTACACGCAGATACACTGAAGTAGCCACAGACGAATAGGATACTCTGTACACCGCATGTTCCTGTTCCAAGCCCCTTTGGGAATCAGGTCAAGGTAAGGAATTGAGCATTTAGCTTTGGCTATCCCTGGCTAAGATAGTCATGTGAAAAACCAATTAGGAATTCCTCAAAAAGCCTGTCCTGTACATGAATCAGAAATCAGGGGGTGGTCCCGACTGGCTAAGAATGGCAGGCCAACACCGTATGGCTGACGGGGAGGGCTGCACGCCAATGCATAAACCACGTTGATAGGCTGAAGAGACATCCAGGATCGACCCGAGAACTTTGTTATCCCTTGCCCCCACTGTTCCACTGCTCGGGGAGAAGATGAGTACCATTGGGAACAGGACCAAGGATTAACCTATCTCAAGTGCCACTTTGTGTGATTGAATGGATTGTGTTACTGCAAGATGCATCTGACCTAGAATTAGCTTGTCGATCGCATCATACCCATTTTGGGATGGGCATTGAAGATAAGGCTGCATCACTGGGTTGAGTGCACACCGGTCTTTCTGAATAGGGATAAGATGAAGTTAATGATTTAATCTGGGGTAAAGAGAAGATAAGTTATTTAAGAATCCATATATAATAAACTATTAGGAAGTCAGGGACCGGAACAGGTGACTTCATCATTTCTTCTTTTTCCTCTTTTCTCCTCCCGCCACCAGATCATGAAATCACAAGATCATTCATTCTTCAGCTTCTTCTATCTTCCTCTCTCTTATCTTCCTTGTTTTCATCCATTTTCTCCACTAAGAGGAAACTTCACGATCGGGAGTATCCACTACCCTTAAAGGCGGTGACGGACGATCTTCGAGGTTCGGCTTGTTCCATCCTTTATCTATTCTTCTTCCCATCAATTTCCCCATATCTTCTCCAATCCTGGTTATCTGACCAATTTACCGGTCAACTTTCCCCAATAAGATTCATCTGTTCGTCAACGTGGCTCATGGTCTTTCCCGTGCCGCGAGAAAAAATCTCCATCTCTCACCCGCCCCCTAGTCCAGCCATTTCTCCACTAACTCGGTTGGATTCATTTGTGACGACAGCAAACCCCAGTCGCTGTCTCTATCCGTTTTCGTTTTGGCGTCTCATCCTTTAACTTCCCAACACGCCTCCGCCATTGACCAACCACTGTCCACGCCGCTTCCAGACCTTTCCGACCCTGCAGCTTTGACCAATGTCCTCTCCATGTCAAATCCGCCGTCCGATCCCGAAGATACCCTGCCTAACCCCCTGGTGACACCTGCCGCACCTGCCCAACATGATTGCTCGACACAGGCCGAAGAAGCTCGGCCCAATCCACGTCACCACTCTTTGCATTCGCAGCACGAAAACCTGTCCCAGGGGGATCCACTGGCATCCTCCCCGTCGCGGGCGGAATCCCCCACAATCCATCAATGGTCTCAACCCACACCTTTCACTGTAAAAAGGGCCTCTACGAACCCCCAGGAAAATTTCCCCCGCCTTGAAACCTTTTACAGTCCACAATTGTCCGAAAGGGACAGTATCTTTGCTACCCACTATCTCCCCACCGACAGCGGCGCCAATACCCCACAATTGCCCCCGGCTAGGGCCCCGGACAATGAACGCCAGGTGAATTCGATCCCAAGCCTCGATGATGTGCACGGGTCTCCAAGTCCTCCCTCTAAGGTCTCTCCCCACAATTCTCACGTCGACCCTTCCCACATGGAAGTTGACGCCCGCAGACATCTCCCATTGCGCTCCTCTTACTTTTCCTCCTCCGATGCATCCCCGTTCTCTCCTTTGCGCTCGTCTGCCTTCGCTCCAGACCAGGTGAAGGACCAGGAAAGGGAGACCGCCGTTCAGTTATCGTACACGGGTGAACCAGGTACGAAGTTTGAAAGCCCAAACTCACCGACTGAACGCAGTCTTCTTCCATCTATCATAGACGATGCTTCTCACTCGCCCCAGTCAGTGACACCTGATCACGAATGGCCACCCCTTAGTCGAGAAGGGGTCTCCTTTGATTCATTCGCCGAACCTTCTCGGGCCGTGGCTCTTCCGCGGAGCTCTAGTCGAGGTCGTCTTGGGCGGGTCGATAATTCGATTGAGGCGAATCTTAACAACGCGGAGCCAGCTACAAACGTGCGCAGTCGTAAGTCCAGTCATTACCTGGGCTTATTCAAAGAAAACACTACTTCACCAGAGCGGAAAAAATGGGAGGATCACTCCCGACACCAAGATGAGACCCCAGACATGTGGGATCTTGCTATGGATCGTGACATGCAGGCTTCGAATCTGCCATCAGAGAGTTCGCTGATTCGAAAGAGCATCTCTCTTCCCTCCCTCGGAGAAGGCCCGGCGTTCGAAGCCCCGCCGGTAACCGAATCCCAGCGCCAGCGGGAGCCAGAGGAGCCTGTCAAGCGTCGCCCCCCCGTGCTACCTCGTGGTCTTCTTGAGGAAATCAGGAACTTTCATCTGACTCCAGGAGGGGCTCGCGGTTCATCCTTCTCCAGGAGTATTCCGGCCCAATATTCGGAACGCAGTAGGGGTTATTTCCAGAAAGATCCTCATATTGAGCATTTTACAGACTCGCTGAGCTCCGTTGAACAGGATGAGCGGCGAGATTCAGCACAGTTTGAGGACGAAGGGAACGAGCAAATTAAGTCTGCCGTTTATTTCCCCCACGAGCGCCTCACCGTACCCGATGAAGCCAATGATTCGCGGCCAATAGGGGCCGACTCGCACAGCGTGCAGCCAGTTCAGCTTTCTGCGACTGACAAGAGTCATGGATTGATGTTAATACCCCAGCGTCGTAGTCCCCCGCCTGAGCAAGAGGTTGGCCATGTGGATATATCCTTTCGATCTAAAAATGAAAGTAAGATTCTCCATGGTGATCTTCAGAATCTCCGATCACCCTCTGAGGGTGTATCAGAGAAACCCCTGGGTCCGATATCTGAGTACAGCTATGACTCGACTGTCGAATCCGATGCAGTCTCTGCGGATGAAAGTGGTCTGTCGGTTGAGGAATCCAGCCTGACTGATGATGCGGACGTTACGCCGACTGCTACCCCTACTCAGCAACCACGCATCCCTGCCCGTCAAAAGCCAGCGGGGCCACTTGGTGCTGTTGAGTTGAAACCCTATAGGCATCAAGTGGGTGGACACACAACTGTATTCCGTTTCTCGCGACGTGCAGTGTGCAAACAGCTCAACAACCGTGAAAATGAGTTTTATGAACGCATTGAAAGAAGACATCCGGATATGCTTGTCTTTCTCCCCAGGTGAGTTGAGAATTGAGTTTTTGATCTCCAGAGAGAAACCCCGCCTGCTTGGGCACCTTGCCACGTCACAACTTGCTCCACTTTCATTTATTCCCTGATACTGATCATTGACCTTCCCTAGATACATCGGTGTTCTGAATGTAACCTTTTCAAAGACCCCAAAGCGACCAAAGGATCAGTCGGAAAATGGCACATTGGAAGCTAAGCAATCAAATGGAGCTCCTGGGAAGGATTCTCAAATCCCACCAGCAGAGCCTCAGCGAATTGTGAGCCAGAGTCAGATCACGGGTGTCATCCCCAAGGTAATCCTTGAAAACAACCGTCACATCATTCCGGCTGATTTGTTTTCACGTCAACGATCGAGGGTACTGGAGGATTCGCGGAACGGCCGACCACATTCTGCTGGTGGACTTGGGGAGCGCAGCTCGGATCCCAATTCGTTTAGCAGCCAAGCCAAAATATGGGGAGCTACAACTGTCAACAGAAAGCTCCAGGAGCAGGTCCTTCGTGAGGTTTTCAGTCCTCCTGCGATCCATCATCATCGACGACATGCCCGTGGACATTTGCACTTGGCGAGAAACGCTTCAGATACGACTACTCATCGGCGTGGGGACATGTCAGAAGACCATACATCTGCACTACGCCCTTCGTCACTTGGAAAAGTACAGACCTTGAGGTCGCCTACAATGGATATTGCGCGATCCGATCCTGAAGCCCCTGCTCTTTCCTCGTCTGCATCCACAGCCTTGGATGAAAACCGCAATCGCATAGAGAGAGTGAAGACTGAGGATCAGCCCAATCGAGCGAACTCCCTCAACCGTGGCAAAGCTGTACGAAGAAGACATTCAGGTGGTGGCCTGCAACGGAGAGTAAGCATTACCTCCGAGAAAAAAAGTGATCTGATGTTTTTCGACGACGACGGATATGGTGGAGACAAAGAGGACGAAATTTTCTCGATGGAGGGCGATGCACCCCCGCCTGCAGATTTCCCACCATCAGGAACGCTCCCTATCTCGAAATCCTCCGCCAGCACCCCTGCTAGCGGACCTGTTATCACGGACAACAAGCCATCTGACAAAATATCTGCTGCATATTCCCAGCTTACGGCAGAGGATGCGTTGACAACACATCTCCCCAGTAATCCCAAGGAAGCGCAATTGAGGAAAGACGAACGAGTCCAGTTCTTCCTCCTCCTTGAAGACCTTACCGCCGGTATGAATAAGCCATGTGTACTAGATCTCAAAATGGGCACCAGACAGTATGGTATTGAGGCCAATGATAAGAAGAAGAAGTCACAGAGACGCAAGTGCCAATCGACAACATCGCGGCAACTTGGGGTACGCCTATGCGGCATGCAAGCTTGGAATGTCAAAAAGCAGGAGTACATCTTCGAAGATAAATACTTTGGACGCGATTTGAAATCCGGCCGTGAATTCCAGGATGCTCTTACCCGCTTCCTCTACGATGGAGTGAGTTATTCTAGCGTGGCCAAGAAGATCCCCGTCATTCTGGAGAAATTATCGCTTCTTGAGCATATGATCAGAAAACTCGATCGATACCGTCTCTATGCTAGCAGCCTGTTGCTCTTGTATGATGGAGAGCCTACTCCACAATCACCAACTCCCACCGACGACCCCACTGATTCCCGACCCCGACTCCAAGAAGATGGCCATAAAACTATAGACGTGAAGCTGAAAATTGTTGATTTTGCCAATTGTGTCACCGGCGAGGACGAATTGGCCCCAGACACCCCTTGTCCTCCTCACCATCCTGATGATATTGATCGGGGCTACCTACGAGGCCTTCGCACATTGCGCATGTACTTCCAGCGCATTTTGAACGAAATCACGCAAGATGAATTCATCGAGCGTGGAGAAGGAGAGGGCATTGCTCTTGGCTCTCAACCTGCCGTTCTTGAATTACCCTCCGATCAATATTGGAACGAGGGCGTGATGGAAAGCGATGCGGGTGAAGTCAGCTTCTGATACGATCTTGATTCTGCCAATCCGGCGTTCGGCGATATATGGCGCAAAGTTTTAGTTGCGTTTTCATAAGCCCTGGATATTTTTCTCCCTTCCCTTTTCCTCCCTTTCTTCAATCCCCATTTTCGTCCATTTTTCCTTCCAAACTGCTCGTGACGAGGGCAGATGATGTAATGACCTCCACGGACGACTCAATGACTATTGTCAATCCTGGATACATTTAGAGTCCGGGGCTTTTGCTTTTCTTTCCCCCCCTTCATTTTCATTTCCTCATTTGGCGTGTACGAGACTATCCCACCTTTCTTTCCGGTTCACTTCACCTCTGGGTTCTGTTTTATTGATAATACCCCGAAGGTTATTGGATTTCCAAGGCCTTCACTTTGCGGGGCTTTCTCAAGCCCCGTCCCGTTTGTACATGATACTCCTATCCAGTATTAGACAGAAAAATCACCAAAAAAAGTCAAAAACAACCTTCCAGTAGATTCATTCCGAATACGGTGCACACGCTGGTTAGTCAATTGTGGTCTCGCTGGCCTTTACCGTTGCCAACAAGCATGTATATGAAAATAAAAATGTAAAAGAAAAGCATTTTATAGGTCGATATTGTCCTGTCAGTAGTTAGTTGGTTGGGGTCTGTTTATCCGGCTGACTAAGTACGGATTCCAAAGTTCGATTGCATAACTTTTGACTCATATCAGCATCGGATGTCACGTGTCTTACGATAAGCAGCTCCGCATCTAATCCGGGGGAAACCCATTCAAGGGTGCTTACACTAATCCATTTCTCTCTTCCTCCTCCATTTCCCCTTCCTCATTCCTAAAGTCACCTTCTATAAGGATCACTGTCATTTATTCTTAAGATGAGCCAGTTGGAGGCCCAATGACGTAGGGTGGAGCTCTGACAACAAAGCAACCGATCCACCCAGCTGACACAGCCTATCATTCGACCTCTTGCCAATCGCCCCGAGCATACCATTAACTAGCTCCCCGGACGTACCAATTTACCTCCATATTCTACTAGTTCCCTCACAAATATCGGGTACAAGCGACTGGGTGTTTTGAATAGGATGTCCAGCTCTACTCCCCACACCGACATCGATAAGCGGGACTTCGATGCGAACCGGCCCCTCCTCGAAGATGGAAACACGGACGGATCTAACGCGGGACCCAGCCTAGCTATCGCACGGTCCAGGGCGGGGTCACGTCGTTCACGACACTCTTCACGTTCTGGATTCGGTGCGGCCAGTGATGACGGACTGCTGAGCGACGTTGTGGAGGGGATCGTTGAGCGCGACCGACGGAAAATGCACAATGAGGTTATACGGGTCATTAGCTTTATTTGGGGTGTTATCACATGGTATGAAATCCGAGGACGTTTCGACCATCTTCGGTGACTGGTTACTGACTCGTAGCTTTTGTAGTCTGGGTGCGGGTAGCATTACTGCGTTTTCTTTATACGGGCACTTGTTGCTGACAAGACTTCATTACACTCAACTCCGGGTCAATGCGATTTCCATTGCGGCAGAGATTGCGATGTATCTCCTCGTTCCCTTGTTTGGATACTTGTGCGACCGATATAGTCCGTCGCCGCTATCCTTGGTGTCGGGTGTGCTGTTTGGATTGGGGTATCTTCTCGCTGCGTTCACATATAAAAGTGGCCCTCCGCCAGACGCGGGAGGCTCGGGTTGGCCATTTTGGGTGATGATTGTGGCATTCATTGCTATTGGCATGGGCACGAGCTGCATGTACCTCGCTGCTGTGGCTACCTGTGCTAAGAATTATGGCAGAGGAAAGCATAAGGGAATCATGCTTGCATTGCCAATTGCAGCTTTCGGGTTGAGTGGTATGTGGCAGAGTCAGTTGGGGACATATGTACTGTGTGAACGTGATGTTGATGGTAAGTGTGGTGATGTGGATGTGTTCCGGTATTTCCTTTTCCTGGGGGTTGTCCTACTGGTGACTGGAATCATCGGAACCTTCGCCTTGCGTATTGTGGATGATGACGAGGAGGAGCGATATATCGATGAGACTGTTGAGGATTTAGAACGCAGTGGACTTCTTGAGGAAAGCGATTTCTTCCGACCCAGGGGTGAGATCCGGACAGCCGTGGAGTACGGCACCTTTTTGGATAATAATGAAGAGGCCACTCTATCGGAGGAAGAGCGGCAGGAGAGACAGCGAGAGAAAGACAGGGAGGAGGAAGAACGCCGAAAGAAGAACTGGCTGCTCAACTACGAAACTCGAGTTTTCCTCCTCGATCCCACCATGTGGTGGTTGGCTGCTGGCTTCTTCCTGGTTACTGGACCTGGAGAGTCGTACATCAATAACGTGAGTCTATCAGACTTCACTTGTTTATACATAACTGACCCTACCAGCTCGGCACTATAATTCCAACTTTAACACCTCCATCTTACGCCCTCAATGCGCCCCCACCAGCCGGTCTTCCATCGACTCATGTCACCACCATTGCATTGACCTCGACCATTGCCCGACTTCTCACCGGCTCCCTTTCAGATTTCTTCGCTCCGGCAGCAACACATCTATTCCCTCCAATCCCAGACAGCCGCCGACACATAGTTACAGAAGAGAATAACCGCCCCACATTTTCCCGAATGGTCTTCCTACTACCATCGGCCCTTCTCCTTTCCATCGGCTATCTAATCCTCGCCAGTCCTCTTGCACTGAAAGAACCACCTCTCTTCCACTTGACCACTGCCCTCGTCGGCTTCGGCTACGGAAGTGCCTTCTCCCTCACCCCAATCATCATCTCCGTGGTATGGGGCGTTGAAAACTTTGCCACAAACTGGGGTATCGTGGCTATGATGCCTGCTATCGGCGCAGCACTCTGGGGCGTGATTTATTCTGCTGCATACCAGAATGCCCTAGAGGATGGCAGTGGCAGTGCTGATGGCCAATGCCATGGTTGGCGATGCTATGGCTTCTGGGCTGTCGGTTGCACTGTGAGTGTCTGGGTTGCCATTGTGGCTTGGCTAGCTGCTTGGAGAGGTTGGAAACGACGAGGTGTAGTTGTTTAGCATATTCAAGCCATTTAGCGTTTCTTTTCGGGTTTGCTCGTATCTAGCAGTTCGCTCATAGTTGAGGTCAATCAAATCAGCAACTGTTTTCAGCTATGATCTACCTTGGCACCTTAACTCTATGCATGTGTTTGACTACATACTTTGTGCTTGTGGGCAGCGGACGTCTGTAGGAAACGCTGGAATTCAATAATGTTCTATATACAGTTCACGGGTAGCTACCACATAGCGAGCCCATCAGACATTCAGCTGTTTGTTCGACTATTTAGGAATCTCGCTCACGGACATCCGTTTATCATCAGCCGAGTCCTCAATATCCTTCCATTCACTCGTCTTCTGGGCATATTGCTTGTCAATATCCTCAATCTCCAGCTTCTTCGTCTCGGGAATATAGAACCATCCGAAAACGAAAGCCACGGCCGAGAGTGAGCCATAAATAAAGCCCAGCTTGCCACCAATATCAACATGATGCGGAGTATCAGCAGTTTCCATATAAGGGTATGTGAAAGTCACAACGAATCTATGACGAGATGTCAGTACTGATTTGCACCCAATATATCAATAGATCACATACTCAGTAATAAGCTTGACAGTATAGGCAATCTGCAGCGTCATTTCACGTAACGGAGAAGATGGAAGCTCCGCGCCAATAACGTATGTAAGAGGAGCCCAGCCCAGGGACCAACTGAAGCTAAAAAGAAGAAGCATAGCAACGATGCCTTTCTTGGCATCGACGTTGCTGGAATCGGCAGTTCCAAGACCACCCATTGTCATCAGAGCGACAGTCTGGAGACTGGAGCTTGTATGGAACAACATCCTGAAAGAGTCAGTATCACAGAAGGCGAATGATGAATGGTGGGATACTAACCTCCGGCCAACAATATCGACCAACAACGCAGAGATGATAATCGCACCGATATCCACAGCATTGGTACCTAATGTTACGCTGAACGGGTTGAGCGAGTTCAACTGCTTAACGAACAAAGTTCCATACTGAGAAGCAAACGCCTGACCAGTCGCCTGCTGGAAGAAGTTCGCAGCAGAAACTACAAAGGTCCGCTGTCTATTCTGCGGACTAAAGAGATCCTTGAACGACTTCTTCTGCATCTGCTCAGCAACTTTCTCGGAAAGAAACTCGAATTGCTCGCGGATCTCCTCGTCGGTAGTATTCTTGCCCTTGAGGCGATGAAGGGACTGGAGAGCTTCCTCCTGACGATCACGGAGAAGATACCAGCGCGGAGACTCGGGCATGAACCAGACCAGACAAATAACCAGGAATGGAATGACGAGGATTAATCCGAAGGGGATCCTCCAGGCTGCATCTGTGGTCATTTTCTTGGTTGCTCGAGCGATACCGGTAATGAATAGGCCTCCTGCTTTGATGCTCAGCCAGTATAGTACACCCATTCCACCGCGGTTCTTGGCTGGAGCCAGTTCTGTTAGGAAGGTCGGGATGACAGCCAGTTGCATACCCAGGTAGATATCTATGAGCAGAAAGCCGGTTAGCCGAGTGTGCCGACCGGGGTTGTAGAGATGGGTTCTTACAGTGTAAAGCTCTGCCAGTTTGGATCTGGGCGACAGTTGTCGAGCTAACGACTACCGATGCACTTCCAAGTGCGTAAATGCTCATTGTAAAGATGCACATCCGACGGCCATATTTGTTGCTCACGTATCCGCCGATGAACACGCCTATAGCAAGATTTTCGTCAGTTCCAGTTCCTCGGAGAATAGTTATAAGATAGACCTTACCAACAATCTGTCCAGCTGCCTTGATACTGTTGTACAAGGATGTGAACATGGCTGAAATCTTCCAAGTGTCGGTAGCAGCATGGTACTCTCCGAATTGACGAATAAAGGAGTCCATAGCCTGACAGGAAGAAAAGGCCTGATCACTTAGACCATAATTGAAGGCCGAGAGAACCAGCAAACCAACTGAGAACAGAAGCATTGGGCTAATAGCCCTTTTTTCAGTGGCCATCTTGAAATTCAAGATTTATAGAGGCCACTGTGCCGGAATTGGACTGTGGCGACAGAGTCTGCTTTATCTGATCCGTGCGATTGATAAAATAAGATCTTGGCTTGGAAGAGGAATAGCCGGGTTTCCGTTCAGTACAGCTCATCGGTCCGGGTTTTTTCGAATACCGCTGTGTTTTGCGCTGTATTGATGAAAGGGGCAAATATCGAATAGAAACCGGAAATCGGAGCATCATCTACGAATAGCATCAGGTTATTGGACCCATCAGACCCTGATTAGACATGGTACGTACATTAGTTCAAGCTTTTCCAGCCTTACAGGGCCACACCAAGCTTTGCTAGGAAATTTAGCCGGGCTCGGCAATTCCTTACGCACCAACCAGGAATTTCAGCTTCCAAAATCAACAAACTCCACTCGCTCCACTTTGGTAGGCAACACAATTACGCTGCTAAGCTTTTTGCTCTTTTTGTTTGGATTTCGCTATTTATTCGGCAGCTTAAAGCTGATGGGAATCTCATAAACTCATCAAGTAGAAGACTATGGGGAACTAACTGCCAAGACAAAGATATATGGTTCACAAGACCAAAAGTTCCCATGTTCCAACGAAGTTCTGTCCCAAATGGGGCTACTCTAAACATCGGTTGATGTCGGGTCAAGGCCTGTAAATACCTTGTACAGCCTCTTACTCGCAGCGGGGCCAACCCTTGAGTCGGTCAATGCGCCATTCTTGTTTGCCGATTTCTTCAAAACGATCAGCAGGGGCTCGAGATAAGGAAGATTAAAAATAGAGAAATGAAAGGAGCGGGCCACGAAGGGAAGAGATATACATACCCGAACATCTTCTAGCATCGTGGGTCCATGCATGCGCATGGCGCGGACAAGGTCGGTCACGCACGGGTACTGGCTTGCAATACCGTATGACATGGACGCAGTGACACGATTGATTTCCTGGAGCATTTTGACAAATGTATCAAGGTTATCTTCGCCCGTCTTGACTTGGCCGACATCCATGCAGAACGCTGCATCGTTGCCAGTCATCATTTCACGACGGTATGGGATTGTGGAAATATGCTCCGTGTAATTCTTAATCCATTCAGCGGACTCTGCCGGCGTATTGCTGTGGTAGATGAGGCAAGAATGTGTCACTTGGAGTGTAAGGAGAGCGTCTTCAATCGTATCGTCGTCAACAGGTGGTGTGGTTTCGGGTTTGTTCTTCGGTTTCCTGCCGCGACCACGGCCCGTGGTGGGTTCAGGAGCTGGTAGTTCATACTGGCGAAGCACCTCCGCCTGGTAAGCTCTGTTCCTCGAGTTCCGGTTCTTGCGCATCCAAGCCGTGAGTCCTTCAATGAGATAGATAGGTTTATGATCGGGGTAGGCACCCCTGATTTTGAGGAAATGATGTTCCAACGTTTCTCTTTCCTCGTCCGGGGAAGAAATCACCATATCAACAAAGTCTTGCGCGGGCACCAAACAGAGAATATGTTTTTCTTCTGCAATGTAAGGCACACATGGCTCCCAATGACCGGCTGCCTCATTGTAATTTGCTTTGACCTTCCGGCGCCATCTGACCAGGTTGGTAATGGGACTGTCAAAGAACGAGTAATCCACTCCAAGTCGCTTCATGAACTCGATAGTCTGGGTCCCCACACTAGCGCCATCCAGTGACGATGCGATGTTGATAATCATCTCCGGTGTAGATTCCTTTTTGTCGATTTTGAGTTTATTCACTTCTGAGATATCCGCTGCCACCTGCTTCTGTTTTGCTTTTTCCTCCTTCAGCTTCAGCTTTCTTTCCTTCTCAAGCTCTTTCTCCCGGTCTTTCTGTGCCTTTACCTCGGCTCGAGCTTGTGCCTTGGCTTCCTTTTCTTCATTTGTCATTTTGCTGGTTTTCTTCGCTGCCCGCCGTGGTGGAGCAGGTTCATCGATCTCATCAGATAGGTTGAAACCTGTACGCATCCCAATCTTGGCTTTTTGGTTCCCTGTCTTCGATACACTCTTTTCATTGGTAGCTTTATCATTTGCGCTGAGACTAGAGAGCAACGCAGCGGTCTTACTGGAAAACACCGGTTTAGAAGTGGTGCCAGTTCCAACGATGTCTGCAAAGCCAGGTATGGAAAACGGATCACTAAACTCATCTATGCTGTCCTGGGTGAGTCGGTTGGATCCGTTGCCCCCAGCAGCCTTCGCAAACTGATCATCATCCTCGTCGATTGTGATGATATCAGGTGGGTCGAGGGTTCGAGGACGAGAGGGAGGGGCGTAGGTTCGGGGGCGGGGTGTTGGAGACATTTTTTTAGATCGCCTTGCAGGCAAAGGGGATGTGAGAATAAAAGGATCGTGATTTTCCACGTTTGGTTCTGCCTGCTTCCTCGGTTCTGCCAGTATCCTTGGCGCGGCGGGGCGTGAGGATGGGAGGGCAAAATCGTCATCTGAGAACTGGATTGAAGGGAATGAGCTTGGAAAAGCCGGTTCGGGCGGTGCCGTTGCTGATGCAACGCGGCCGTGAGGCAACCGTTGCTCATGGCTGACTCTTCGCTTCCTGGGATGTATGTCGAAGTTATCGTAGGTAAACAGTGAATCGTCGATTGGGTCCGATGAGATCAGTCCCAGGCGGGATGGACGTCGGGGAATTTGATTTGACCGCGGTGCATGATGTGGTAAGTTGATCGGTATTTCAGGATCAGAAGATATCAGGTCTATGACATCGGGCATTTTGTGATTTGACAATGTTAAGATGAACATGAGTCGCGACACGCGACGTCACGAAGTCAGGTGACCCCGCATAGATCTAATAAGGTTAAATGCATTAATCTACATTCCGTTCCGTTAGCTAGCGCGTGCATTTCAAAATAAGTTTTTTTTAAAAAAATTACTGCTATAGAAATAAAGTGATGAGAGGAGATACAGATCACTTGGAAATTAACATTTTACCAACGCTGCCTCCGACAAGTGAAAAGAAATTAGGGGTATTGAATTTGAGAATTATGTTAGATCAAGTAGCCAAGTGAAACACAAACAAGCAGACGTTTGCAATTAATGCCACGATGATAGCAAGACCAACAAACACCTGCATCCATCCGTCAAACGGACGACGCTTCGCTGATACCATGGTGGAGATCTCTTTTTCTAACCGATCGCCCATAGCCGTGAGTGAGAACTCACGATCGGCTCTTAGCTTACCAGCTGCAGCCATCTTGTCAATTTGTTGTGGACTGAGTTCATTGAGAACTTTATCCATGACAGCTGTCCACTCGTCAACCGCGTGTGAGTCCCGGAGCCAGCCCGTTTCGCCCTCGACGATTGTTTCTAAGGGACCACCAGTGTTTGAGGCCAGGACAGGGAGTCCGACGCGCATAGCCTCAACAGGGACAATACCAAAATGCTCATTGATCGGGGTATAAAGGAGCAGCTTGGACTGTATGAGTAGGGTATCTTTAAAGGTTGTGGGGACGGAAAGCAAAAAGAGAACATCGATGTCATCAGGGATAGAAAGCGCAGAGACAACAGTCTTCGCGGTTGCGGTCAGCAGTCCGAGGCCAGTTGCTAGAGTATCGAGCTCTTGGTGGTATTGGACATTTTCTTGGACACGATTGTCATATCCGCCTAGGTAGAACACAGTTAGTCGGGTTCCAAGCGGACCATGATGCGAATTACTTACCGGCAATTACCAATCGAGTTCCTTTTCTCTTCTCCGCACCCAATCCATTGTATGCCCGGATCGCCAAACCCATATCCTTCTTCCGCTCGAAGCGATTGATGCTCAGTAAGATCTTCTTCCCGCCCCAAAGAGGGTCTGCTGATTTCGCCTCCGGTGCTATGGCCTTCTCATCCGTATCGACACAGGGATAAATGACTTCGACATCTCCCAGCGTGTCCGTGCCAAAGACCTGCTGCACAACCCCGCGTGAGAATTTGGAGTTCGCCACAACCCGATCGGACGCGCTCAATGCCCAACCCTCAAACCAATCGAATGGATATCTGTATAGCTGCTTCGCTAGCCGAAGAAAGGAGCCACCTTCGTCTCGGCGCGCAAGCAATTGATCAGGGAAGTGGCAATAGAATAGGATTCGTTGGCAGTGGGACTTTTGTGCCCGGCCAAAGGTCTTGAGAAAAGGTACGCATGCGGGCAGTTGATCGACAATAAAGATATCATCCTGAGCCTCATTGTTCTCCGCAGACTTTTCCGAAGCTGTACCGCTAGGTGTGTGTCTCGCGCCTAGTTCCGACAAAAGGGACACTGTCAAATGTAGTTGTCGCATGGCGGCCATGAAGATGTGGAGTCGACCGAAAACATGCGCGGGGAATATGGTGTTTCCGCGGACGCGGACGTCCAATGTCCCATCGCGGGCTTCGTCGAAACAGTGGTTCTTGTCGCGATGGGAGGTGTAGATCGTCACGCGGTGGCCCCGGTTCTGCAGAGCTAGTGCCACATCAATAATTAGTCGCTCAGCACCACCGATGCCGAGATCTGGGTGGACAATGACCACATTCGACGGCGCAAGACCCGTCATGGTTTTAGTTGAGGTTATGAAGCTAGAGAACACGATAGCTTGAGATAAAGAACACGTGGGTGTACGTCATCACATGACGGGTCCGCGACGGGCCACGGCAACTGGTCCGTTCTGCGTATTTTAAGAATAGATGCATAGCTTTACTAATCCGGAGACTTGAGCGTCGGTTCACTAATCTGTTTGCCCCGGTGGGGCCCGCTAGGATTCGCGACTTCTGACCGAGGTCAATTTACCGGCCTGTACTCCGTATTGTCAGACTAAGGGATGTGCGCTGAGATCGGCCGGGCGTTTGTATTTTGCCGCGAGGCTAATAAGTCATCACAAGACCTTTTGAGGCATTTAAAATGACATACGCAAGTTGTACCTAGGATCTAATAGAATCTTCCTTTAGAGCAAACCGGTATAAGTGCACACTTAGCTGGACGCATGCATGTGTGTCCTATTTTTTTCAACAACAATTCGCCGCAGCTCCCATCAATCTTAGGGCACTCACCATAGCACAAAATGGCCGGGACTTACTCCCACGCACGAATGCAGCACCAGATCTTCTCTAAACCACGCAAGCCTCTGAAATCTCCAGATCGTCCGGTCGCCTTGCGCCAAGACTACATTACCAGCTCGAAAACAACCCTCGTCCTTGGTCCCCAAGGCGACGCCCAGTCTGTAGCCGCGTACAAGGTCAAAGACCAAGACGGGCAGACGGTCTTCACCGCTAGTGGATGGAAGTACAATGATGGTTCCTGTAGAGAGTTCCGCGATGCCACCGGGTTGCCTCTCTTTGAGCTTCACCGAAAGGTCTCCATTAAAAGCAAATGGTACATCACCCTGCCAGGCGACGACCGCGGAGTGACCTTGGCTACTGGCACTCCACGATTTGCGCCCGCCTTTGGAAACTTTAATATCACGCTGAGAAATGCGGCTGCTCGTGACACAAAGTCAGTGGCCGAGAAGGAGCTCACGCTGGTGATAGAGCGGCATGGGCGCGTTCTGCAGAGCTTCGATGTGATTGATGGTGATCGAAGGGTTGCTGAAGTGTGCGAAAGTGTTCGCCATAACGATAAATTGGCGCTGACCGCTGGTGCACGGAGGGGTTATCGGCCTGCCCTGGATGTCGTTATTACTCCTGGGGTCGATATGGCTTTGGTAAGTAGTTATAAAAATCGCCTGAAGATTCGCTACACGCGCTGACTTTGACCTTCCTAGATTGTGGTCATTGCTATCATCGCCTCCGATAGCGTCTTTGGTTCCGAATCCGGCTGATGTTAGATTATAGCGTGGTCTATGATATCTGTTCTAGTTGCTCTCTTGATAAGCTATTGTTCATGTGTAGATGAATTATTATTTACTAGACATACTTGCATCCATCTATAGTACACTTATTTATATCTTTGCTTGAGTCTGCTGTTGATGCTCCTAGCGTAAGTGCTCCACATCGTTCTCTTCATGAAAATCCAGATTGTTTTGGAAACCGTCAGTTGGTATGTATATTCCCCGAGCGCATTCGTCTTTGAACCATTGCTCCCAATACACTGTAGTACACTAGGAGTCAACGCCCAACGTATCTCTTTGTCCTCATCGGCGTAGCTTTCCGCAAGCATATCGACGTACCCAATGCTCTTAGCCTCGTACTAAGATACTGGGTCTCTGATACGGGCTTATAGAAATACCAAACCCCCAGAGCAGCAGCCGAATTTAGGCAACCCATGCACCAGGCATCGTGAGCATTGTGATCCGTCCGGCAGCAAAGAAGAGGATGATCAGGAGAGGAGTCAAGACGAAAGCGAAGAGGCCGTTTATCTTATTTGGAGGGTATGTAGTTGCAGCCACAACAACGGCTTTGCGCCACTGTCGCCCGGCTGCGACTCCCAGTGCGGCAAGGAGAGAAGAGGTAAATAGGTCATTCTTCCAAATTCGATCCTAGAAATTGTGCAGTGTATAAGAGTCGAAGATACAACCCTACGAGAAAATTCCTATTAGTCCATATCTCTCTACGGTGCAATTTCCGTTGTCTTAGATAGGAATAATTGATGGAATCAGAACAATGGCTGTATTCCTATCTATCTATGACTCTGGAGAAGGAAGGAAGGAAGAGCGAGAGAGCGAGAGAAGAGAGAGATCAACTTATATAGGTGATATCTGAGGGCGGTGGGATTCGTGTTAGCAATCATAGTCTTCCATTAATGGTGCCAAGCTTACACTTGTCTACACCCTTCTCGATGGTCTGTCGTTCAGCAGCAGACAGCGCTTGCTTAGTCCGATGATATCAGCCATCAAGAGCAAGGATTTAATCCTCAAGCATAACAGTATATAGCGTATTGACGGATTTGCACGCTCTGAGGAGATAAATATAGTCCAGGAAACCCTTTTCGCGGGCAAAGATTTTCGCCTCCGGGGTCTCCAAACTGTGGATGTGCTTCTACATCCACAATGACAGTGTCATAGAGAAGAACTTTGTCGGCGAGGAAATGAAGCCACGGCTGCACGTACGCAGTATGCTCTGCTGGATTTGGATGCGCGATGAAAACGATCAGGTGTAAATCTTCTCTGCCGCCGCAAGGCCCTCCAGCACTGACCCTACCATGCCTTGAAGATAAATTCACCCCTCCGTGCCACTCAGGTAATCCCCACACACATCGTGGGATGGGCACATACTTCAGTTTGGCAATGTAGGGGGAGGGTATTGTTAATGGTATGTTCTAGGAAGGCATTGGCTTGCTCTGTACGCATGACTGAGTAGGCGGGCTCGTAGGCCTTATCCTCTGCGAGAAAGGCTGATGTTGGATCACGCCAACGTCGGGCGCGGGCCCAATTCATTACGGCTCCATAGAGAATCATAAAGCCTAACAGCAGACGGTAAAAGTGCAAATTGAGGAACGCAAGGCTAGGTCTCAAAAAGCCTCCTCGGTAGAAGCATTTGTAGCGTGTATCAGACAAGATGTCGGGGCCCAGGAAGCAGTTGACAGTTGACAGTGTCGGTGAAGCGATCAGCTCTGGTTGCATAAACTACCAATATCTCAATCTAGCCTATACCAGCTCCAGGCGCCGCAGTATGGCGGGCGACAATGTCCGTCCCTTTTCCTGGCGGCATGTACATGCCGCTCTCGAAGAGGTACCTTAACCACCCCTAGCCACTATTGGCCCCCTTAATCGGGATATTACTTACCATATGGACTCTTGCAAGAAAAAAAGGGTGCTGGGCACTTTCCACTTCGAACGGAGATCCTTTCATACGTTGTAACCCTAGAGAGGCTTGCTATGGAAGGCGCTCGTATTGCGCGCTACGTCAGACTGTACTATACGTCGTTTGGAGGAGATCGTTTGCATTGGCCCCATTTTCATATTCTCGGAGGAGCTGTCGGTGAATGAAACCCACACCGTGTGTTTTTCGAGTTTTTGGGCGGCAGGGTCTGGTGCGCCACCGACGATAGGTTGGGCAACGGCGTTGCATTTTGATATGCATTTGAATTACATACCATCAATTCGCAGGATGTTGATTAATTATATTTCAAACTACATGCATCATATTGTGCCTGATTTTTTGCTATCTGAAGTTACAGTATGCACTTCCCCATATTGAAGAGCTCTTATCCGAAGATTCGATCCGTTCGGTTAAGTTAATACTTCATCTGCCGGGTATTCTCAGTGCCGCCGAGTTCCCCAATCAACAGGATAGTAACTATGGAGTACTTGACTCCTAATCGAACAAAGTAAAAGTTCGACCCCCAAATCGGTAAAAAAAACCTGTCGGCTACTGCCGCATATTGACTCTGGGGGAATTGGAGAATTGGAGGTAACTCCGCAAAGAAATTATCAGATCAATCAGGCAAAGATGCCGTCGTTGCCGTGATCCCACCGAGTTGACCGGTTCATGAAAATACCTGATTTTCCTCACTTCCTTTCCCTTCTCTCCATTTTAGGACGATGACTCGGGACGCCACAATGGAAGAGAAGAAGACGCCCGTGGCCGACAAAACGGAGTGCTCGGCCCCGCCGGAAAGAACGCCGATACAGAATGAGTCGCAGGTACACTCGGTCTCCGAACCCTCAGCTCTGTAAGTCTAAATCAACAAGCTTTACCAAGCTTTGAAGTACTCTCCACCAGATATACTCAATACTTACTAACTCGATACAGTCATCATGTCGCGATCGTGGCTGCAGGCTTCATGACCATGTTCATGACCTGTGGCATCGTCTTCTCATTTGGTGTATACCAAGCCATCTATGAAGAAATGGCCAAGGAGCCCAACACTCCATTCACAGGGACATCATCATCAATTATCAGTCTCATCGGTACGCTATCCATCGCCCTAATGTCGATGGGTGGACCATTCGTCAGCGCCTGGGCCAAGCTCTATGGCCCACAGCCCATCATCATGACCGGGGGCGTCGTATTCGGTCTTGGATGTATCCTCGCCAGCCTTAGCGAGTATATCTGGGAGTTTCAGCTTACCCATGGCATCCTTGTCGGTATTGGCACTTGTATGGCCTACGTGCCAACCATGTCCGTCGGCCCGACGTGGTTTAACAAAAGGCGAGGCCTGGCCATGGGTATAGTGATTTCTGGTTCGGCCTGCGGTGGTATAATTTGGCCGCCTGTACTACGGGCGATTACCACGCATATTGGATTTCGGAATGCGTTGCGCATCTCCGGGTGCTTGAATGTTCTCATCGTGCCTATCTCTGGCTATGCTCTGAGATGGGAACCCAAGTTCCAGGCAAAGCTGCATGAGCAGAATGCCGGGATCTCGAAGAAAACAGGCTGGGCTCAGGTTCCGCTAATCAATTGGGAGGTTGCCATGTCAAGGAAATTCATCGCGCAGGCCTTGGGTGCCTTCTTTCAGTCTGCTGGGTATTCGACTCCTCTGTTCTTCTATGCGGCTTTTGCGCAGTCTCTGGGGTACAGTACTGCTATGGCGGATAACTTTATCACGATTAGCAATGCGGCGAACTTTATATCCCGTATTGTGATCGGTTATGCGGCTGACAAGCTTGGTCGTTTGAATGTTTTGTACGCCACTACCGTGATGAGTGCCATCGCTGTATTTGGGTTCTGGCTTCCAGCTACCTTTGCCGGTACTACTATTTCTATCACAGCAGGAGAGGTGTTGTTCATTTTATTCGTCATTATGTACGGCACATTTGGGGCTGCCTACATCTCGTTGTTCCCAGCTAGCTTGATCGAGCTTTTTGGTGTGCAGCACTTTACTTCGGTGAACGGCGCTCTATACCTCATTCGAGGCATCGGGGCCTTGTTGGGCACACCGTTAACAGGATTACTGATTCCAGGGCAGTCGGCATTGTCGTCTGTCTCCGCCTATGAGAGAGCTACCATCACTGCTGGTGTGCTGCTCTTTGCGGCAAGCATGGCCACGCTATGGGTTCGAATTGAAGCATCTAATAAGAGCTGGAAAGTATAATGGACTTTACCTCAGTATCAATAAATTATCATCCTGCATAGGCTCTGCGATATACCGACAAAATCCAGGGCAAGTAAATGTACACAGTCCTATTTTTCGATTCTCACAAGAACCTTTCCTCTTGCTCGCTGGGAATGAAGTCTTTCATATGCCTAAATCAAATTGGACCACTCTCATCAGTATCATACCTGTGCTTCAAGGGCATAATACATACCTTCAAAGCATCCTCCATCTCCCACGTCGAATCAATAATAGGTTCCAAAGCTCCATCTTCAACTAATCTCTTCACTCGAGCCATCACGTCTACCCCAGGCGTCCCACTGACCATTTTGTACCAACGAGGTGTCCCACCCAACCATGCCGGCCAAAAGAGATTCATAATCATTGCCCAAGCAAACGCGCGCAAGCTCCCAGTGGCTGACTGAATCTGCATAGCACCAATATTGACAAATCGACCTCCTTCCCGAAGATAACGCGGAGAGTAAGTATATAGCTCCTGGATACCCACCGTATCAATAATAGCATCAAATCGAGCCTCAGCATGCTCCTTGGACAAATATTCATGCAAAGGATCATGTGCGCGGTAGTCGATGACCTAGAATCCATGCGTTAGAACATGCACACAAATATCCGGAAAATACACATACCTCATCAGCTCCCAGAGACTTTACCAAGCCGATATTCCCACTCGAACAACTAGCAACAACAACCCCACTCTCCCCCACCCTCTCCCTAACAACCTGCAAGATCATCGACCCAGTCCCCCCACTACCCCCATTCACAAAAACCTTCCCACCCCTCTTAACCTGCACTGCATCAACAACCTGCACAGCAGTAATCCCATTCCCGCCCAACGCCGCTGCATGCTCCAAATCCATACCAACAGGAACAACACTCAACCGATCCGCAGGACAAGGACAGTACCCCGCTAACGTACCAAGGCCACGCCGTAATAGTACACTGAGAGACGTTATCCCGAAAACGGGTGTATGGAGCTGTAGTTCTGGTCGAGAAGCGAGGATGTTACTACCCAGCGCGGCGACGGTGCCTGAGAACTCAAGCTCGGGGATTGCGGTTTCATCTTTGTGGATCCAGGTTGGTAGGATGGAAACTAGGGTGCTGGCGCTGGGGGTGAAGCCGCTGTAGGCTATTTTTATTAGGACTTCGTTCGGGGAGAGAGTTGAGGGGTGCGGTGTGGGGAAATCCGGGGTATAGTTTAGGACTTTGGAAATGGGGCCTCGGGTTTGGTAGGACCAAGCTGGCATTGTTGGGGGGATGTCGGACATTTTGGAAGTAATTTTACTCAATTAGGTATCCGCTATAGCATATTTGGGTATCTTTTTATCTATTTCGACGGCCGAAGTTCGTCCGCGTTCGTTGTTTTGGCCCCCACCGGGACAATTTAATGTCCCCGAGCGCCGAAGGATTCCCATACTCCTACCCGAGTGGTCAGGGGGGTCACGTGCACGAGTATAGAGCTTTGACATACAAATGTATATATGACGTCATTGGTTATATAGAGTCAACCTTATAAATTTTCCCAAAACTGAAGCTATTCTCGGATTCACCAATCCACTCTCTATCCGGTTATTCCGAAATTAATCCCAAAACAAGTTGATCTGGTGCTTGGTGAGGTTCGGAATATTTACTAGAAAATAACTATAAGTCCATATCACATGACGTATCTCATATAGAAACACATTTTCCCCTCATCAGTCAGTTCAACACTCGAGTGAACATTGAATATGTCAATTGAGAACCTTAGTCCCGAGCTCGTCGCAATCATTGCTGAACATCTTGAAAGCGAGCCATTTTTTAATTTTCGACTTAGCACTCGATATCTGAGAGACTGCTCTCTCACCATTTTCGCCAATCGCTTCTTCCGTGAACGAGTCCACTTATTAAGCCGACTAAGCCTCACGGTATTACTAAATATCTCTCGCCATCCATTATTTGGGCCCTCGATAAAGACCCTGGTAATCTCACCCGACCACCTAATTCCAGACAACCTGGTCGATGACCCTCTCCCCGTACCATACTGGGATTTGCATAAACAGGCCGAAAGAACAATCGACAAGAAGTGTTATCAAAATTGCCTGAGCGAGCAAAGCTATCTAAGTCTCTCGGGCCTTTATACCTATCAATTGATCGAGATATTCAAAAACGCAAAAAATTGTCGAGTTATCAAAGTCGATGATGGGAATCGACCTTGGGGAGCTGCCGCTATCGAAAAACTAACTGCACTCTATCCATCTTCCAACAAAGAAAGTGGCTACAGCAAGAATTACATGGAAAGGATTTTTCATGTTGTTATTTCTTCGATATCTGTCAGTGGGATTCCAATTACCTGCTTGGCGATAAATAATGGGTGTGAACGAGTCCATATATACCCGACTATATTCGGTCTCATCCAACCTTTTCTGTACCAAGCACCGTGGGTCAGCACTCTCACCACTTTGGCACTGACTTTGGATCCCGTCGTCAATGCTGCAACACAGAATTGGTCAGAGTCTCTTGCATACTTCATCATGCGTTTCGAGTAGCTAGACTGTTTGGACTTGTATTTTGGTTCTCGGGTTGAGCAGCCCGCTTTCAGTGCTCTATGTCAAATCTTGAAGATACCACGTCTGCGGATCTTGCATCTTGCTGGTGTGGATTGTTTACCGGTGGATCTATTCAGGATCTTCTACAATCACCGAAATACTCTTCGAGAGATATTTTTGGAAATCATTGGTATCAATACAAGCGCGGAGGGTTCATGGCGAGCACTGCTGAGAGCAGTCCGTGACCGATTGCAGCTCAGTAGATTCAAAATGACTCGATGCTTTGCGGATGAAGACGGGATTTGTTTTGTAGAAAATGAAGTTGGTCGTTCGAATGTAATCGATGTGATTGGTCAAGATTCTCAGTTGCTAGATCGTTTGATTAAAGGCATTGTGAAAGGGACTCCAGGGCGTGAAAACCTTGGAAGAACTGCTGTCATCAAGGCCGTTTGAACGAGATATTGTTTGGGGTAAGGAATACATAGGAATTTTCTCAATATTATGCAGACACATTGTATATGGAAGGATCAATCCCATAGTTCAACTTCAATACTAGGAGCTAGCGAAACAATTTGCAAATATCCCCCTCCATAAGCGGTTTGCACCAGTCAATCTAGACACATCCGACAGAAGCAAATAAGAATGTACAATGAAGATTTCCAGCCTAGTAGAAATCCACCTCATAAAAAAGGATATGGTCGAGCCGAATAATATGTGAGGCAGAGAAAAAAAGCGCATGTGCATAAGAAGGGTGGCTGGCTATAGCACAAAGAAAGGCAGAAGAGGTATCGATGAATCGACGAAGAAAAGAAGGCTGCGTGTCATAATACAGGGATTTGTGTGATAGTAAGTGCAGGGACGTAGATCAAGGGGGGGTATGAAACAGAAAACAACGTGAAAAGGGGACAGCGTAGTACATCAGAAACGATAAGAACGGGCATAAACAGAACGCGCTTTTGAAGGGCGGGTTTGGGTAATAGGAACAGATACAGGGAACGCACTTAGAAGCAGTTGAGGGTACTCTTCTTCTTCTTTTTGTTTAGTGCGTTCATCCGCTCTTCTAGCTGGGCACGGGCAGCTTCAGCTTCCTTGCGGGCACTGCGCTCTTCCTCGACGGCTTGCAGCGAAAGGCGGGCGGAGTTGCGCTCCTTGCGGAGTGTGGACAACTCATCGTCAAGAGCCCATGCCTTCTTCTTCCAGGCTTCGCAATCGGTCTTGACCTTGCTGCTCTGGGCTTCTAGGTCACCGAGTGCCTCTTCCAGGGTAGCAGTCAGCTGCTTCTCGGCGTACAGGTGCTTCTCGATGGTACGGATGCGAGCTTCTTGGTCCTCGACAATCTGGGCATTGACCAGCTCCTTACTAGCATGGCGAGAGCTGGGAGGGGATACGCTGCCATTTGACTGGGCAGCAATGGTGGGAAGAGGAGGGAGGGGAATGGCGGGTGGAGGCGAGGGCAGAGATGCCGCGGATGAGCTCTTGCGGAGGTTGGAGGTCATGGAGCTGCTGCGGTCATGGAAGCCGTCCTGGGTGCCATTGTTTTTAATTTGAAGCTCAAGTTGTTCGATCCGGACCTGGTAGGTTTCGATTTCCTGCTCCAGAACAACAACACGAGCTTTGGCATCCTCGAGGGCGCTGTCACGCTCCTGTTGGATAACAGATAGACGGTTGTGGTGTTGGTCAAAGCTGCTGGTGATTTGCTCCTCGAGCTCCTCGACCAGACGGACACTCTTCTGCTTCTCAATAGAAATCTCCTCGATCAGAGCATCCTTTTTCTTCACTTGCTCTTCTTTCTGAAGAAGGGTATCCTCTAGTGTAGCAACCAAGAGAGCCAGCTCGTTAACCTTGGCGTCCTGTGTGGTGCTCTTCTTTGTAAGTTCCTCAAGCTCGGTGCTGTTGGAGCCACCGGCATTGAGTTGCTTGCGAAGATTCTCGTTGGCTTCCATCAACTCAACGTACTTCTCAGAGAAGTGCTGCTTCTGAGCTAGAACATCTTGGATCTGGTCTGCCAAGTTATCAGCGGTGACATCGGAGCTGAGCAGACCCGAAACGGCCTTGAGTAGACTCAGCAGCTCTTCACGAGACTCCTCAATGTCCTTTTGCAGAGCTGCCATCGACTCGTCATATCTGGCATCCCTCTCAGCTAATTGCGACTCGTGTTCGGCCTGAGCAGCAGCCTTGGTCCGTTCTTCAAGCTCGGCCATTTCTCGACTGTGAGTTTCCTGCATCGATTGCAGGTCCGACTGCTGTGAGTCGATGGCAGATCGGTGGGATGCGATCAGCTGCTCAAGCTCAGCAACCTTGGCCGCATCGGGCGCACCAGTGGCAATGACCTCGCCATTCTCTTGAGCGATCAACTGCGCCTTAGCAGCAGCGTGCGACTTCTCCAGAGCAGAAATGGTCTCTAATTGGGTTGCGATGGTAGCCTTGTGCTCGTCAAGGACCTTGGTGAGGCTATTCACGTGCTCCTCCTGCTTGGCCCGTTCGCTCTCAAGCTCTTTGGCAGCGGCATCCTTGTCGGCATTGCTGTTACCGGAAGCGGCAGCACGCAGCGATTCGACGGCAGCAAGGGAAGTCTCCAGTTCTGCAAGAGTGGTGGTGAGTTGGTTCTGCGAGTACTGTAGGGACTCGTGGGCAGCTTGGTGCTTGCCCTTCCACGCCGATAATTCACCCTCCAACAAATAAATCCGCTTGTCTTGCTCCTCGGCTCCAACATCCATGGCCTTGGTAGCCATCTCCTGGCTCTTCAGAAGTTCGTTGAGAGTTTCAATCTCAGCCATGAGCTCCTTCTCGCGGGCCTCGTGGGCTTCCCGAAGCTCGTTGATCTGGATCTCCTGGTTGACGATCTGGTCACGAAGCTGGTTGACAAGCGCCATGTCAACTGACGAGGCACCTGACAAGCTGGATCGCTCACGGGTCAGACCGGAGATGATGGTAGCCTTCATTTCCATCTCTCTCTTAACGCTTTGGTTCTCGGCCTCTAGGGACTGGAGACGCTCCATGCGGGTGGCCAATTCGTGCATTGTAGCATCTAGATGAGTCTCGAAGCTCTGGAAAGTGTCGGGCCTGTCAGCAAACTCCTCGTTGGCAATGATCCGAAGGGCAGTAAGGGAACGGTGGGCACGGTCCACACCAGAAAGAAGATTCTGGCTGGTCATGCGGCGGATCATCTTGAAACCGGGGGTAGTAGGAGAGCTGCTCTTAGTCCGCTGAGCCTCGGCCTCGGCCTTTAGCTTCTCAACAATTCCAAGAATTTCTTCATGCTCGGCCTGGAGCTCAGTATATTTCTGAGCCATCAGGTCAGCGCCCACCTTGTGCTCAGCAATGATGTTGCGCATGTGCTCAACTTCCTCACTGTCCTGCTGGGCAGTAGCAGTGGAACTGACAGGTGTCACAGGTACGGAATCGTTCTCCAATTTGGACATCTCAGAAGCCTCGAGCACTGCAGCAGAGCCACCGGCCGAGGACAATTCCGACGAGAGTGATTGCGAGAATGAATGTTGTGCTCCAAGCTTCGAGACCGGAGCGTCTCCGTTCTCTAAAAAAGAAACAGGCCGAGAGGCCTCGTTCTGGACGGCGGGAGCGGGGTGGCGGGCTTCATCAGCCTTGTCCTGACGAAGCTCAACAAGAGCCTTCAAGGCCTCTTCGTATTTGGCCTCGAGCATCTCGTAGTCAGTCATGACGGTCTCATGGGTGAGTCGGAGGTCAAAGAGCTCCTGGGTAACGGTCTCAAGCTTGTCGGCGACAAACTTGGATTGCGCAGGACTGTGGAGAGGCTCTTCGCGAAGGGCCTCATTGCGACGGGCCTCGAGCTTGTTGGTCAGATTTTCGAGAACCTCCAGGTCATCACTAGATGATTTTGAGTCGTCAGTCTCGGGGGTAGCTTCCCCTTCCTCTTCTTCCGGGATGGGCTCGACCAAGTCTTCGTCCGACCCGGGAATAGCGGTCTCCGCGGCCTCGTTCAGAACATCCAATGACGGGGTGTGTCTGTGGGAGAGTTTGCCTGTATGATTATGAGCGACATCACCGTTGGCACCGTCCAGTCCCTCGGGAAGGTTATGACGGTTATCCAGGTCATGAAGCAAGTTATCCAGCGTACCCAGACCCCGCTGGCGATGAATAACGTGCTCTAGTCGAACCACCTCCCGCTGCATTAGCTCCATATCCTGGTCGGCTTCGGCAAGACGGTCCTCCAGCGTAGAGATGTATTCTTCACAGGCACCTTCATTCTCGCGAGCGCGGCTGAGCTCCTTGCGTAGTTCAGCCACGATTGCAGCATGCTTTTCCTCTCCAGTAGAGGCACCGTCAAGTTTCGATTCAAGCTCGTGCAGGTAGGTCTCGTTGCTGACCTCCCGGTCCAAAAGCTTCTGTATACGAGATTGGAGCTGCGCATTGACCGTCTCAACGTAGGTGCACTTGGTTTCACGCTCCAGAAGAAGGCTTTCAGAGCAAGATAACGAGGAACGTGTATCGGAAAGCGATGCCTCCAGGCTTTGAATTGTCTTCTCGTATTCCAGAACAACTTGCTCAACAGACTCGGCGAATGATCGCGAACGTTGCATACGCTCAATCGAATCTTTTCCGAGGTCAGCAGTGGCATCATCGGCCTCTGTGTTTTTCGAATCGCTTGCCAATGTCGAAATTAGCTTGGTGTGACGTTGGCTTAAGGCATTGTAGCTCTCCTGAACATCAAGCAGCTGATTCTGCAACTGTATCTCAAGTTCGTTCTTCCGCTCATTGCGCTCGGTGGAGACGGTTTCGCGGCGGTCCGACGCCTCCGTATTGCGGATTTGCTGACGAAGGAAAGCAACCTCGGCCTTGAGACGCTCAATCAAAGCCTGCTTGTCGCTATCGTCCGCAATGTGCTGGATGCGTGGCTTACTTTGGATGGCGCGAGCACGCTGGGCGTACTGAACAGTGTTGAGAGTCTCGCTCAAGTGGAACTCGGCCGGAGTCACACAGGCAATCATGTAGGTGATAGCATTGCCACCTAGTGAGTCTTGTAACAGACGGGTCAGTTTGGAGTCACGGTAAGAAACGTGGGACCCGGACTGGCGAGAGGAGAGCTGAGAAATAACCTTGCCAAGGGCGGCAAGACCAGCATTAATAGAGATACCCTCCTTGGCGCGTTCTCCGGATGCTCCAGTATTCTTCAACCGTTCACTACCTGCCAAATCAACAAAGTGAAGCTTGCTATCCACTGTTACAGATTCGCCGTTCGAGAAGGAATCCACAGGCATAGACATGCGCTTTTCTTTTGGCGAGGAAGGCTGACCGGAGTTCTTGCGCTGGACGAGGTTCAAGCTGAACACCGCATGCGATCGAGATGACTTGGCGTTAATGGCGGTAGAATCAGTCTGACGGATGGTAGAACCGAAGTTCAAGCAACCGATCAGGTCATCGAAGCTGTTGATGTTCACTTGGTGCAGGCCTGTGAGAAGAATGCGTCCTTTAGCGTCTTCGCGAATGCTGACATTGCTGCGATCATTGGTGGGGGTCGAATCCGGCAGGAGTAGATCTCGGAGATGCTCGTTGTAGATCTAGATACCAGATTAGCTTAATGTCACAAACCATGCCACGCAATTCATACCTCGACGTAGGTAGCCTTTAGCTGCCAGGTCTTCTCCAAGTTCAACTTTCCAAAGCTCGCGGCGGAGCTCATCGAATACCGCTGCGGAGTTCGGAGGCCAGTGGTGGTTGAATTGGAACTATTTCGGGTGTGCTTGGCCGGGCCGTCCAATGTATCAAACAAGAGCTGTGCTGCGCGGGGGATAATACCTAGAAACCACAATTAGCGCTGATCCTGGTCCTCACTATTCCGCCTCCACTCACCCATTGCATCCTCATTGCCTTGTTCGCCGGGGCCTGATGTGCCCATCGTATAAGATTTTCCCGCACCGGATTGACCGTAGGCCAGAATCGAAACGTTGTATCCCTGAAGGAAGGAGTTGACACTATCACTCAGATACTCCCAAACACCATCCTGATCTACCGTCTCCGGGAACACGCGATCAAAGACGAACAGCTTGCGTCCTTGGGGCACATCCACGGCTAAGCTGGTGGGAGTTGTAACGTGAACCATGGGGCGCTGGAATCTCTGGGGAATCAACTCGTATCCGGGGTCGGTCGGCTTAAGTGGAGGTCGAACTCGGACAGCTAATGAAATCAGTTGACGTTCGAGTAGGGAAAACAACCATTTGTCAGATTTCGCGCTGGGTGTCTATTGTATGCGCGACAACCGGACCAGATCCATTTGAAAGGGGCCCACGTACCAACATTGACGGCGGTTTTGCCATCCTCATCTGAGGCTCGGCTTCCACCTTGTCTGCTGCTCATACTCATGCGACTATTGCTGCGAGGTGTGCGCATCACCGCGCTGATGGGTCGCGGGGGAGCACCTGATGGTGACCCTGGCGGTGAGACCGTCATCTCTCCCCTGGGAAAGACCACACCAGGTGGAGTAGAGAAGAGAAGAGAGAGGTTGAAGAATCAAGTATCAGGGTTTATCAAAAAGAAGCATTCATAAGGCGTAAAAAGGTCGGGAATGTCGGGAATGTCTAGAATGCGGAGGAAGATATCAGTTGGTAGCCCCTTAATAAAAAATTATGTAGAAGAAAAAGAACTTGGATTGTATGGGGAACCGAAACATCGAACCACCAAAACACGTACTTGGATGGTTTTGACAGCACTCCCCAACTTCGAATTGAATAGTATCCCCTTTCTAAAGCAAAATAAAAGGGGAGGGAAGGAATCATAAAAAGCGCAACGTCTAGAGTCGAGACCGTGCACGCCTAGACTCTACCGGGTTTAGCTTCGATTAAGATGAAGGAGGATTTGGTGTGGTTAAGTGGAGTCACATCTTTTTCAAAGCCAAGCGAGGGGGGGAAAGATGGGTTCAGGGGGGGCAGCCTGGACAAAGGATAATCTGATTTGCCATAAACCAAATAACGCATTTCATTGTTCTTTATCCGCTCTTGTACCATGGTTCTATATCCCTTAAAGGAATGTTTCTAATTGATAATGCCACGTTTTCTCCCGTACCCGTACTTTTAAGTCGTTAATCTGTAGAAAACTCAATAGTTCCTTATTTTCATCATCTGCATCTTTATACTTTATTTCTCAAGGGATACGGGGTACACCAAGGTTTCTATAGTCAAGCCAAGTATTAATCTTCCGTGCAGACTGTTCTGCTCCGAGATGCCGATCACTAACGAATAGAGAGAGACGGGCCAGTAGTTAATTTCTCCTATCCGGCTTTCCGCCCCAGACCTGGAATAGATATTTAGCTATTTTATCATAGCATTGGAGCCATGCACGAGTGCTCTGTAGATTAATCGGAACAAATTCTATTCCATCTCATTCAAATGTCTGTACGCGTAGTTATATCAGGAGCTGAGCCTCGGTTCTTCACATGAGTAGAACGTGCCCAAATATGAGATATGATACATGCGATATGCAAGATGGGGAGTATCTCGCCCTGCATGCAGTAGTTTTTCAGCCTTGGACAGATTAAGGCGTTCGTCCACTCTACTGTACAGCCGAGATGAGTTCGCGCAAGATCGACATAGTCCGAATTCAAGCTTCGAGTCGCACAGCCCCTGACCGATCGTGCGCTAGTATGCTGTGAGACGAAAGACAGTTCATCTCATTCAAAAAAAAGGGAAAAAAAACCTCGGGGCAAAGCGCTGGAAAATTGCATCGCCTATCCTAGTGTCGATGGGCTCCTGAATTAGGTCTCGTGCCTGTCGGGATATGAAGGATCAATCGATCGTCCTTCATTCCGAATCCACTCCCAGCTCATAGATAACACATTAACCTGGGCGTCCCGCCACCTATGACCTGAATTTCGGTACTCGGAGCCCAGGGCAGTAGAATGTATTCAACTTGCAGCGCCCTGGCCACAGCTACTTAGCTATATGCAACATTCAGACTCAATCGTTCCATAACTCTTCTCTCAACCGTGTAGCCAGACCTGTTCATGATTTCAGGCTAATGCTCCACTCCACTGGATCTGGCGCCGTTGGGCTGGCCCATCCTATCCCGCATCTCTTAGACTGGACACCTGCTCTCAGTGGAGACTCAACGGGTCACAGGCCAACCGTAGCCTGATGCGAAAGCCCCGGCTCTGTGCCGAGGCCGTGCTTTCACCAACCGCAATGGCTAACGGTCCACGGGGTGTTTCAGGTCTGGTTTGCTCCACAGGCGGCTTGGTTTGGGGAGCTCCAAGGTCCGTTCCGATTTCAGGTGGCGAACGTTGACTGGATCCTTCAAGGGAAAGAGCTGGTTTGTCTTTGTTTACACAGACCCACTTTGACGTTGTGCTGAGATTACGTTCCTTTAAGCGGTGTGGGGGGATGTTCGGTTGCCTACTTGTATACCTACTTAGGTAGCTGACAAGAAACGGGTCATTCAATTAATATATATTTTGTCTATCCGTATCTGCAATCTAATGAGGCTATCTATTATCAATTGAGTTATGTACTCCCGCGAATAGAAAACAGATGCAATGAGCAGGAAATGCGAAAGGGGGAATGATGCCAAGTCGAAGAAAGAACGTGGAAAGAGTGGCCATCAAATCAAAAGAATAACATAAGCAAAGTGGAAAGAGAGTTCACACTCTCAGTTTGCCTCGACACACGACGACACGCTGGGGACGTCCTCGCCCTTGAGGTAGTTCTCGATCTCGCCAACTTGCTTGCCACCTTGGATCCAACGCTCACGCTTGATTTCACGGTGCTGCTCGGCCAGTTTGTTCAGAGCGGGCCAGTAGACGGTGTGGTCGTATTCAAACTCGACATCACCTCCGACAGACTTCAAGAGCTGCTGGGGAGGCACATGGTTACGCAGGTCCTCGTTGTACTTGATCTTCTCCCGAGTCTGCGGGTCAATAAAAGGTGTGATAAGCTTGAAGAAGGGCCAAACATAGAACGGCGCTGAAGAAAAATTAGCAGGGGTATAATAATCATTTTTGCGCATACTCACAGTTGATGATGAGGGCACGTCCCAATCGTTCCGGGTAATGATTTTGCAGAATGTAAAGGGTCTCCTTTGCCTGGCCAATGGAGGCATTTTGTCCAGATTTGGATTCGCCAAAGTTGATCACAAGCGCTAGTGTTTCCTGGTCGGGACACATGATGTCGATGACTCTTTCGAGCATGAAGACCAGGTGCTGAATTTGACGTTCGCTCTTCTCGGTGTTTTGCTTCGAAGGACGGAGGTAAAGCAGCGGGCGACCGTTGTTATCATAGCCCAGAATGACCTGCTTGCCCGTCTCGTTCTCAATGGAGATATAGTCTGGGGTCAATTTCTCCATGCCATACTCGCGGCGCCAGGTCAATGTGCGCTTGATACGGCTCTCAGCCTCTGTCACATTCCATTTGGTGGCACGGAGGTATCGTAGGAGACATTCGCGGGTCAACCACATGCGCTCGTCGTCGGTGATCGGGGCTGTCGGGGCGTTCTTCTCAGATGTGTTCGGCACAGTGGTCCATTCCGAGACGGCCTTGAGGACAGTCTCATACTTGGTTTGCTGGTCCGCGGTCAGTTCTGCCGGCTTGACGGGCTTCGAAGTCTCGAGAGGACGGGCGAATGGCTTTTTGATCAGACCGTCCGCCGCGGAATTGGGGAAGTCGTCCTCTGTCTTGGGGGTTTCGGTCTGGATCTCAGCAACGGGAGCTTCAGGCTTCACATCGCCATTGGTTGCGGCCGCGGGCTCCGCGATATCGGATTCATTAACAGACATTATCGGGAAATTACCGGAGGAGGATCAAAATCACGAAATTTAATACTAGCAAGGAGGACAAATTGCAGTAGGGGGATAGCTAAAAACAATCCCGAGATCGTCCCCACTTGGCCCGATTCAGCTTAATTTTACCGATCCTCTCCTGATTATGTCAGCCACACGTTCACGCGTCTCGCGTCGCGAAGTTCACTCTTTGCGATCAGTGACACCTTCGATACACAGTTGCCCACCATGGACCTCACGGCTGAGCTGAATGACCATTTTGCAGCGACCTTTCCAGATGGCCTCCCGAAAGATGTTCTGGTCGAGCTCCAGTCCATCATGCGGATACACAACCTCACCGCGGAGGAGCTGTTCTACAAATGGGAGTCCTATAGCATGAAGATGGGCGACGAGGTTAAATTGAATATGACGACAGTTCGCGCATTGAAACAGGATATTCAGGAGGCTTTGGAACGTGAAAGTCGAGCCAAAGCTGGGCGGCAGCACGACAAGAGGAACGCTGTTACAGCAACCCCACGTGCGTCGGCGGGTGGTGATATGTTTGGGATGTATGGAATGAACCACTCTGAACTCAACAAGCGCAAATGGCTGACCATATGTGTTACAATATAGGCTGGGTGAATTGACCCCCAATGCGAATGGTCGATCCATGAATGTAGTGACCGGCTCAGCGAAGCGCAAGGCCGAGTTTCCATCCCCTGCGACACCAAAGATGGGAAAATTGGACAAGATTGGAACCCCTAATGGCGCAAAGACCCCTAATTCTTTGGTTGCTAATGGACTTGGCCCGTATGTTCTATACTTGCAGCTTTTTTGCAATTTTGCGATTGAAACCACTGACATACTGGCAGCTCCGTTCCCTTTGCTGACAGACCAAACCCCGGACAAACGATAGAGACACTCAATGCGCACCTGTCTCTACCAGAAGCCCCAATGGCTCCGTTCTCCGAAGCGCGCATTCGGCCCACCGCCAATACAGACCTCAAGAAATTTGGATACAAACCAATGGGAATGAGACTGTCGGAGGCATCCGAAATTCTTGATGACCGCATTGATGAATTCACGACTATTTTTCAGAATCATTATGACTCGGATGAGCTCACTTTTGGAAGCGCCGCTACCCAAAGTACAAGTGAGATCATTGCTGTCGGTCGAATCGCCTCTGATGCTATGGAAGGCAGACTCAACCCAGCGTCTCTAGTCCTTGAGACCTCGCGCAGGACTGGCGCAGGAAGAAGAGTTCCCTTGAAGGTCGACTCGGTACCGGGCTTGAGTTTCTTCCCTGGTCAGATCGTGGCTCTCCGAGGTATCAACCCCTCGGGCGAGTACTTTACAGTCAAGGAGATTCTTCCTATCCCTCTCTTGCCCCCTGCTGCCTCCTCTGCGGTGACCTTTGATAACATCAACGAGCGCCTAGAAACAGGAGGCGACTTGCCACTTAATATCATGGTCGCTGCGGGGCCGTTCACGGCAGACGACAACTTGGATTTTGAGCCTCTTCAGGAGCTGTGTCAGAAGGCTGCAGACAACTATGCGGACAGTCTTGTACTGCTCGGTCCATTTTTAGATGTCGAGCATCCACTGCTAGCAACTGGAGACTTCGACCTCCCAGACATCAAGGGTCTTGATCCGGATACGGCGACCCTGACTACGATCTTCCGGCACTTCATCTCAACACCCTTACAACGACTCGTAGCAGCTGTCCCCAGCATCACAGTCGTCTGTGTACCATCTGTGCGTGACGCTTTGAGTCGCCATGTCTCCTGGCCGCAGGAGCAGCTGCTCAAGAAAGAACTCGGCTTGCCAAAACAAGTTCGCATGGTTTCTAACCCCGTGACACTGTCCTTCAACGAGACTGTCGTCGGTATGTGCTCACACGATGTGCTCTCAGAGCTGCGTCGTGAGGAAGTCTTACAGGGCAAGTTGAGCGAGGGCAACCTGCTCACTCGGTTGCCCAAATATCTGGTTGAACAACGACACTTCTTCCCTCTGTTTCCGTCTTCTTCCCGCGCAAGTCTTCCCAAGACAGCGACTGGCATGGGTACAGGTGCGATGCTGGACGTGCCCTACATGAAGTTGGGTGAATGGTGGAATGTTCGGCCAGACATACTAATTGTTCCCAGCATGCTTCCGCCTTTTGCCAAAGTACGTTGTCAGTGTGATACTTTCTATATGGTACATACTAACCACATTGACACTTTCAGGTCGTCGACAGTGTACTCGTGATCAATCCGGGCACCTTGTCCAAGCGCCGTGGCCCAGGCACCTGGGCTCAGATGGCAGTGCACCCCCGAGTAATCCCCGAAGAAGAACGCGAGCAAAAACAACTCGACCACAAGCTTTACGAACGTGCCCGCGTGGACATCAACCGGATCTAAGAGAACTCTCTGTACAATCATCTCGCATTATGTTATACTCGGCGTTAAAAGGCGTAAATGTCCAACGGGCTCAAAACCCCGACCAGACATGGAATTTGATCATGATAGTCCATAGACAATACCAATGCAATGAATCAACGAAAACCCCACAACTCCAATAAAATGATCCACCCCATAGAACCCTGATAGCACCAAACAACCCTTACCATCATCTCAAACATACAACCCTCCTTCCCCCCATCCTCCGTCCAGAATTACTAACCCTAACGACAGCCGACATCGCCGATGCCGCACCTCCACCAGTCCCCCTCAACGTAGCCCCGGGTCCAGAACCCCCCGCCGCACCAGAACCTCCCGCACCACCAACATTCCCACCAACAGCCATGCCCCCATGCCCCTGCCCATTAACTAACGCTTCAAGCCCCAGATCCCGCCAAACAGGTTCCCGCCTCCGGTCCATTGCCCGCGTAATCCCAAAAGCAGCATGCTGGTCCGGTACGACATCATCCTCGTCTTCGGGATTCGGGGGCTGGTACTGTGGTTGGACGTAGATGTCTTCAATGGGGAGGAATGAGGGGATTGTGGAAGGGGATGAGGCGCCGTAGGTTGTTGCGCCGTTGGATTGAGCGGTTGGGCTGAATTGTTGGTTTGTAGATGCGGCTGTTGAGGTGTGGGGGCGGGTGAATTCTTCAAAGAAGTCTGCTAGGCGGGGGTGGTGCATGTGTAGGTATGTTGATGACGAGTCTTTGCTCTGGGATGGGTTAGTTTATGAGGTTCTTATAAATTTCAGTGGAATTGGGGGTTGGAGGATTTAAGTATACCATTTTGATGAATGGAGCTCTAGAGCTCAAGTTGGTAGTTGTTTGTTTAGTTCAATGAATTCGGACGAAGTCTTCCAAACAGTTTAATGTTTGGGAAATGTAGCTTGCGGAGGTGATTGTTATCGAGGTCTTGATGGCAATATTTAGATGCGACAGATTAAGCTCACCGCCCTCCGACAAACAAGTCAACAGTGAACGTCTTCAGATTTTCTACAAAGACGAACATAAGAAACAATTACAAGGTTAGTATCTACATAATATGCATTTGCACTGTTAAGGTTCGAGGTACAGTATCAGCGCAAAAAATTTTGAAAAGAGAAGCCTTTATCAGCTATATATTTAACGCGAGGCATTAACGGTCGTTACATCCTGCTGCTGCGTACTATTGGGACCGGTCAAGACTCAATGTTTGCAGAATCCTTCTGCCCAATCAATCTATACTCAGCTGATTATTTAATGTACTTGCCGATCTCGTACTACGTAGGTTTGTATGATTCGATTAAAACCCCGCTAACGACAATGACGATCGTATTGATTTGTATATCATTTCCTGATCCACAATGGCTTACGGACGCTTCCGGCCCGTGTCCGCAGGTGGAGTAACCATTCACCATTCACCAGGTACCAAATGGGGCAGTCTAATGCGCCTCGAACTTGGTTGGATGCCTTACTTTCAATTTGTTCCACAGTATACATTGACCCTTAGCCAATCATCTCAGTCTGATTATGGACTATTTCCTGTGAAACGAGTTGGTAATGCTTGTATGCAGCAGGGGGTTATGCAGCAGGAATGAGAGAGACAGGGGGGGGAGGTTAGTATATTACAGTCCTTCATCCACGACATTACATCCCCCCTCGAGTGCTGAATTCGCTTTGCGGGCATCACAGCTATGGCTTCCCTCCTTTCCGTGGAAGCACTCGCAAAGGCTTTGAGTGCTGATCTCCTCAGTCTTGGATTATCGGCAGCTAGCTTTGGAGTTTTATCTCATGTTTCAGTCTTTCGCAGTCTACCCGTTGAGGAATACTTGGATAACCTCTTGATTCTGTATGCTGTGACCAGCGTTGCGATCGGGGCTACTTACCTCGCTATTACAGATGTATCATTTCTACAGGCTCTCTTCCGATTAGGTGTGATTGCATCGGCATTTAACACAGGTCTCGCCTCTAGCATGGGTGTCTATCGGTTGTTTTTCCACCGTCTACATCGTTTCCCAGGTCCTAAGCTATCTAAGCTTTCTCGCTTCTACAATGCCTATCTTGTTGGGGAGAATCTTCAGTATCATCTTGAGCTCAAGAAGATGCACGAGACATATGGAGATTTCATTAGAACCGGCATGTTTCCGAATCACATTACCTACTTACCTGTACTAATGAATTTCCAAAGGACCACGTGAGCTATGCATCGTTCGCAAAACAGCAGTCCCACTCCTCTTCTCCGCACAATCCAAATGTAACAAATCTACCTTCTACGCCCAAGCACAAACCGAGTCCAAATACTGTAATGTCCACCACGTACGTGACCACGATGAACACCGCAAACGTAGGAAGGCCTGGGATCGCGCCTTCAGCATTAAAGGTGAGACACACTTCTATACACATATATATACTGTATGTATTGACAAGACTCAGCCCTCGCAACATACGAGCCAAACGTCGGCGCCAAAGCAGACCAGTTCATCGCCCACGTGGAAAACAATCTCGGCCAAGCAATCGACATCAGCTCCTGGGCTATGTTCCTCAGTTTCGACATAATGGGCAACGTAGGATTCGGCAAGGAATTCAACAACCTCACCACCGGCGTCGAGCATCCAGGCATCAAAGCCGTTCACGACCACATGGCTATCCTAGGAACGATGTCCCACGTCCCATGGCTGTTAAATCTTGCCGGTCGGCTTCCAGGAGCAACAAATGCATTGAAAGAGTTCTTTAACTGGTGTGAAGATGAGATTGTACAGAAGCAGAAGGTTTTCTACTACTACCCCAGTATATGTGAATACTTCCAAGGTTGCTGACCTTATATTTCCTTAGACCTGGGATGCCAACGAATACCCAACAGATGTAATATCATGGCTACTTAAAGCATATGTGGAGAAAGATGTCTCGGCGGCACCTACTGCAACTGCGCTCCATGAGGATTCGCGCGCTCTTCTCGTTGCTGGGAGTGAGACTACGGCTACCACCCTGGCATCAGTGCTTTACTTCCTTGCGAAGAACCCTGCTGTGCAGAGGAAGTTGCAGCGACAATTGGATGAGGCGATGCCTGGAGGAGCTAGTGAGTGGTCTTATGACAAAGCTAAGAGTGTGATATATCTCGAGGATATTATCAACGAGACGCTTCGATTACGGCCTGCGCTGATGACGGGTGGATACCGTGTTACTCCTGCTGAAGGACTCCAGGTCGATGAGGTGTATATCCCTGGGGATGTTAATGTTTTTGTGCCAGTTCAGTTGATCCAGACTGATGAGCGGTATTATTCTGAGGCGAAGATGTTTGTTCCGGAAAGATGGCATGAGAGGGAAGAGATGGTTCATGAAGGAGCTCCTTTTCTTCCATTTTTGCTTGGTGAGTCGAGGTTTAGGGCTTTGGTTACGTTGAACTAACATTTTTAGGACCGTATGTCTGCCCTGGAAAGAATCTGGCGTTGATGAGTCTACGCATTTCGGTTTCCAAGCTGGTACAGCTGTATGATATCACGTTCGCGCCAGGTGAGACGGGTCATGCTTTCGAGACCGAGACGCTGGATACATTTACTACTACGCTGCCGCCACTGCAGATTCAGTTTCAGCGTCGGTGAGCATGCTGTGACAGCTACTGAGAACATATCTTGAGGCATATCCAGTCGTTCATATATAATCTAAAATCCGAAAACCCAGCATAAAGGAAACCCATCAGTACATCCTCCCCGAAAGAAGTCTAGTACAGAAAAATCAAGCCATGATGAATAAAAGTCAAAGCCATCTCCTATTTTTGAAATAACGTAGCAGCTCACATATTTGTGCTCATTCGGTGCACAATGGGAACCGCACTCGGAGGCAAGCTGCCCATCTCGGTAACGACCATATCCACATACTCGGCCGGGGTAACATCGTACATCAGATTCAAGAGTTGCAAATGGGAAGTCTCCTTCCAATTGGCAAGGGGCGAAGGAGAGGGAGTGCGGTCAGAAGCGACGGGGTCTGAAGTGGGAGCACTGGAGACGGGTTTTCCACCCTTGCCCTTCTTGGGATCAACAGGGGGAGTAGTGAAAGCGGCCGGGTCCGGGAGACCAGTGACCTGCTGTGCGGGGTTGGCGGAGACTAGCTCGGCGGCATCGGCGATCTCATTGACGACGATACTGTCGAGAGCGACGCGGTCGGTGAACTTGACTGTCTCGCAGCATACAATGACGGGCACTTCGACGCCACCGGCGCGTTCCTTGGCGGACATGGCTACCAAGGCTGTACCGACACGGGAGTACAGACGACCGTTGCTGGTCATGGCGTGGGCGCCTAGGAAAACCTTTGTAGCATCCTTAATGGCGTGGCTGATGCCATGCACGAGTGAATACTGGACATCAAGACCGGCATTGGCGAGTGCGCGAGCGAGATTCTTGCCTTCGAACAATGGGCGTGAATCAATGATGGAAACCCGAAATTGCTTTCCTTCATTGTGTGCTAAGAGCAGGGTCTGCTTGACGATAGAGCTACCCGCAAAGGTAACAATCACATCACCATCTTGGATCTTCTGTGCCGCACTGGCGGCAATAACCTGATCGGCGACTGTGATCTTCTCGCGGATAAAGCTGTCGATAAAGTCGCACAATGTGGTCTTGGCAGCTGACTCCGGCATAGAGGGGTCGATATCGGCGATGGCCAACTTGAGTGCCCGAATGGCATTACCCTGGCTGATTGAGAGCGGTCGACATGTGGAGAGGTAGGTGATTTGGTGGGAGAGATGAGTTGTCAGGTGGCGGGGGAGCGAGGTACCCAGAGGTGTAGTGTAAGATTCAACAACCTTGAAAAAATCCTAAGTCAGCATGATTCTTACACTCCAAACAGACGCGGGAGATGTATCAACTCACTCGCTTGAAAGCAAGCATGGTAGCCACGCATCGCGCGCTGCTTCCACAAACCACGTAGTCCCTCAACTGCAGACCCAATGCGAGCACCGCAGGGTGCACTTCCTTACCAGCACCGGCAATTGTAGTTCTGCGCTGTTGACCATAGAGATGGCCAAAGACAGCGACACTTTTATCCTCCTTCTTCTTCTTCTGCTCCACAGCAGCGCCAGCGCCAGCGCCGACCAGAGAGCCCCGTCGCGGGGGAAGCGCCTTCGCTCCCTTTTGCGCAGCGCCTCCACCAGCGGTATCTTTCCTCGGGGTAACCGGGGGACGAGGCTGGCCAGGTGCAGGAGCTGAACCGCCCGCAGCACCAGCTCCGCCATCCCGTTCAAGTTTTTCCTTAACGCGCCGGGCAGCTTTCTCTGCTTTGGCCTTCTTTTTCAACTCAGCGGGAGTCAAGGGCTTGTCACCACCAGCTTTGGCGTCGGCTTCACCGGCAGGTACTGAAGCATCTTTGCCCTTTGTGGGTTGTTTCTCTGATTGTGCGGGGTCTTTGTCCTTTGCGGTCTTTGCATCGCGGATCGGGAGGGTTTGGTGTGAGGAATTCTCGGTGGGCTGGGCAGAGGGCTGGGGCGCATTAGCCGAGGAGGAAGTGGGCGCCGAGTTAACGGGGTCCGTCATCTTGGATGACTCAATCTCGAATTGTGAGGGGCGTGGAGTCGAATCTTGAACTTGGTGGGGAGAGAGGGTTGAGTCACGGAAAAAGAAATGATGCCATAAGCAGCCCATGGCTTGCCGCAGCCCTAGTCTCCGCATACCAATATAATGGGAACTATATAGTGGATTGAATACAGTTTACTCAGAACAAGAAGTCTCTCTTTAAACATGCATCATGTCAGATCTCATTATTCATGTCAAGGGGTCTCTGGGTCTCGCTAGAACAGAAATAGGAACAAAAAAAAAGGAAAGCAGGGCATGCCTGAACATGAGGCTGTGCCCAAAACGTGGCTCCAGCTGGAAAGAGCAAAGAGATAAAGAGCTGTACCACCAACACCATCCAACTGTATACACCAATGAAATCCAAATCTAGCGATTATTCAGAGCAATAGTGCTCAAGGCGCGTCGTTTAGGAACCCGAGTCTTCGTCTGTTCGTGTCGCTGCCAACGCTCATGGTCTGATGCTAGCTTGCGTTTAAACACACTAAGATCACCGAGGAGATTTTCCATATGGGACTGCACCTGATGTGCCTCGCCGTTTTCATCTTCCCAGGTTACTGTCTCGTCGTCATCCTCGTCTTCCCAAAGCTCAGGCTCGGAGTCAGACGGAATACCAGGGGAACCTTCACGAGATACTGTTTCATGGGTAGGCTGGTTTTCTGCTAATGAACCCAGACTTGGTTGACGCTGTGCAAGGGTGATTGGCGGAATGGGATTTTTAAGGCTCTCGAGGGCCAGTTTCAGATGCATGCGCAGGGCTTCGTTTTCGGTCTGCAGCTGGCGGATCTTGCAGTCACTGACCATCTTGTTCTCCTCCATCAGGCGCTGCATCTTCTCCACCTTTTGCTGATACTCATCAAGCTTCTCTTCTTGCATTTGAGTTGCGCGCTGGTTTTCATTAGCCTGGCTAACGCTAAGCTGCAGGTTTCGGATTGTTTCGGTCATCTCGGCGATTTGGGCGTCGCGTTCTGCCGCAGAGACATGGTCTTGGTTCACCCGGGCTCGGGTTCGAATGTGTTTGGCCTGATCGGCATATCGTAATGTTGAAAGCGTTTCTTCGTAGTCGGCAGGTGCAATGCATGCAATCATGGCTGTTTTTGAGTTTCCACCCAGACTATCCTTTAACAACCAGGTTAGGATAGAGTCACGGTAGGGGACTAGCTCCTTGCCCTTCCTCCCCCGGGTCTTCTTGGAGTCTGCCAGAGCCGCAATGACTCGACCGAGCGTTGTGAGTGACTTGTTGATATTAGAACCCTCACGGAGTCGTTGGCCTGTTGCTTCAGTCGATTTGGCACGTTCGGAACCGGCAAGATCGACCAGTCGAATGCGTGCAGTGCGTTCAGTGGTCTCGTCAGTAGAAAGATCATGATGAATCTGTTTGAGAGTAATAGTGAAAACTGCATGTGACCGAGATGATGTATCGTTCATTTTGGTACTTGCGACGGTACGTGACATGTCACCCTTGCGCATGAACTTCATCAATTCCGCATAGTTTCGTGCTGTAACTTCCGTCAAGTCTTTAACGTATGGGCCCTCCGATGGGGACTCTCGAATGCGCAAATAATGTGGCGAGTCGGTTCGTGGCACCAATAGATCTCGTACGTGCTCGTTGTAAACTTCGAAATAGGACACGCGGACGTTATAACTGATGTCGGGAGATGGAGAGTCTTCAATGCGCTGAAACAAATCTTCGCAGGTACGTGGAATCAATCCAGGTTGTTCGGGCGTTCCCATCATTGTATAACTCTTTCCAGAGCCTGTCTGACCATATGCAAAGATACATGTGTGGTAACCTTCGAAGTTGTGATCTAGGAATTCCTCACCCAGACAGTTGTAAACATCTTCCTGGTGAGCGAAATGTTCATCTTCTTCGTCATGCGACCAGAAAGAATTATCAAAGGTAAACGACTTGTCCTCCAGAATCTTTCCCCGCGCTTGCGATTTCGGCTTTCCGCGATCGTCTAGGCTAGGTGTCGGTGCTCTCAAGCGAGTCATTTGCGTGTGAGGGTCCATCGAAATAAGGCATTCTGCCTGGCGTTGAATCTCTATGATCATCCATTAGAACTGCCTTCCTAGGTTCCTGTTCGCGCCCTTCCCCATGGCTGCACGTACCTCTGGGGAGAAACTTCCGCACACGCACAACGACACGGACGTTTCCTCCTCCTGATGTCGGGCTGGACATTGCATCTTGGCGACTAATCATGGATACACCTTCTCGGGCGCGAAGGGAGGGACTGGAGGCGGTTGATCGCAGGGTGGCAGCGGAGGCGGATGTCGAGATCACACTAGGCGACGTGATGCCGGTGAGAGCGGAGGATTCGGATGAAGTGCCGGATGAGATCGAGCCAGGTCCGGACTGGCCGATGTGGTGGTAGAAGCGCGGATCTAACGCCATGTCCCTACTGTATTCTCTCAACAACTGAACACAATTGTTGACGCCTTCGCGTCGACGTTCAACAAAGTAATGGTACATGCAATGAGTTGGGATAAGTAAAGGGGAAAAGGGTAAGGATCGGATACAATGAAAATGTGTGAAAACGAAAAGAGCGTAATGAAATGAGGGGGTTGGTTACTGTTGCGCGTTGCTGCCTTTGGAGGTTCAGTAGTTCATGTCCCTTGGGTTTGCGGGGGGACTCGATTCGGATGTAAACAAAATGTCGATTTCAGCAAACGGGCATGCTGCGGAATGCGATGCACCAACGAAAGAATTGAATATGCAAATGAAAATTAATGATTAGAATGAGGTAGGGAATTGAATTGAAAAGCCAAAGAGTATGGGAAATCCTGAGACGGTGAAACTAGTTGACGTTGGTCGGGGTTGCCATAGCAATTGGGCCACGTACACGGAGTAGGCAAATCTAGTCTACTTTTGTACTGTGATCGTCCATAATATCGTCAATAACTTGTTAACTAAATGATTGTGTACTATACTAGTTGAACTCTGCCACAGTCTGATAATCCTGACCTAATCAAAGTCCTTGGTCATGGCCTCATAAACATCGATATCATCAATTTTCTGTGGGCCGGCGGGGCTATCAGGGACAGGATTACCCTTGGTGTCCATATGTTCGGCTAGGAGCTGGGTTGGTCCCAAGTCCTGTTGCTGTTGGCCCTTTTTCTGTTGGGCCGCCTTGGACATAGGATTGCCCAAGCTTTGAGGTTGCGAAGCCTTCACATTTCCGCCGAGACGACTTGTTTCTTGTTTAGACGACATGGCTCTGCAACTTCTAATCAGTATATGATCTTTGTCACTCTGTCCAAACCTATCATCCTCCAACCTACCAGAAGAGGAAGACAATAAGGTACTTACCAAATATTGTTCGTTGAATTGTTGATTATTTTGATTGATTCAGTCTCCTAGAAAAACCTCTAGGTAAGCACGCGATCACTCGATATTTATTAGTTCGATTTCTGGGTATGGTGGCGGTATGATATTATTATGACGATGACATTTACCACACCGTGTTAGCTCCTCCACAATCGCCATTCGTATTTTTTTCATGGCCACCAATTCTTTCTCATTCTCAAAAGGACTTAATGGTAGGTTGACCACTCAGTGTGGAGATCCCACGGTGGTTCATAGGGGGGCTTTCCATGGATCTGCCTCGTTCCGCATCATGGGGTCAGTTGTTGCCACAAAGCTCTCGCGTGTTTTGATTTCTTTGGTGGCGATATGACCTCGATGCTGTTTGGTCTGGTCGAACCCGTCCATTTGAAAAACTCTTGAGATGATGCCATTGAGTTTAGAATCTGGGGGAAGTTCATTGAGCTTGGAACCTCGGATGTACCTTGGTATCTACCGAGGTACTTAGTAGATTCGTGATGAGAATCAAAAGATGATTTGAAGAACTCAAAAGAATGCGGCATTCGCTCAAGAATTTTGAACTCCAGTTACTCCAAGTCTAATTCATTAAAGAATCTGCCTAGAAATTCTTCATCTAGATAATGAAAGCCCAAGTGAGTCCCCCCCCCCCCTCTTAGATCGTACACATGGAGTACAGAAGCAAGCTTTATCAATCATTGATCGACAACAGAAAAGACAATGATTGAACGGAGCGGACCGACGCTGGAATGTGGCCGAACCGCAACAAGATGCTGATGGCATCAGATAAGTTTATCATTCTAAAACGGTTTAATATTGAATATTAAAGTATGCACGGTAGCCCTGACATTTCCGGGGTGACGATCACTACTCATATTGAAAGCATTCTACTTCCGTATAGCTGGAATGAACTATTCACACATACCTGGGCGCTGAATGTCGCAGCTTGGATTTGAAAGTCATTTAAAGGGTCAGCATCCAGGGCGCTCGCCTGAGGAAGACATGACTTGCTTAATGTTTTTCTTGGGGAGGTGTACATTGATTACGGCTTTCTTTCTATACACATAAGCCAACATGACCCTCCAACTTCCATTCCTTCCGTGGGAATATTTCAAACCGAACCCCACTAAGCGATTCCTATCTTTGATGAATAGTCCAGGAGTTCTGAATCCTGCAAATATCGATCAGATCTTCCAGGATCTGAAACCTATCAAGCCAGACAACCTTATCGGAGAATGGGACGGATTCATCCTACCGACAGGCCACCCGTTTGAAGATGACCTGGAAGACCTGAATTGGTTTGGGAATACATTCGACTCTATGGATGATGTGGCACCCCTCATGGTTGCGAAGAATGGGGAACGAGTACGCTTTGAAGAGTGGGGTGGCGCTTCGGTAGGTACCTTGAACGAGATACATTCGGATGCTAATCATTAGACAGCTGTGTGAGATCAGGTACCACGGGGTTGTGTCCGCAGCTTTAATCTACGACGAGCGCCCTGTGAAGGTACACTACAGAGCAGTACGGTCGGACATGGTGGCGTGTATAATGGAAAGCAAAAGATTTGAACAAAAGGTTTATTTTTATCTGACAAAATAATTTTCACTTGGAGTTTGTATCTTCCCACGTCCCGTGAATCTCATCTCCAATCTTCTCAATTCGATCCCACTGTAAAGAACTCCATTCCCCCGGGTTCTCCACAGCCTCAACAAAATGCTTAAACGCCATAACCGTCTGCTTCGCCCACCGTTCCTTACTGACACCCCCAACACCAACCGCCAACGGAGTCATAAGCAAGTTCTTAATCCTTGACTGAGATTCGTTGCCAACAGAACGATTATGTCCCTCGACCTGACATAACAAACTCCAAATACATTCATACACAACCTCCCGATCCCAATTCACATTTTCGGGTTCTCGCATGGTCGGACAGAGAGCGATCCAGGAACAAGTCCGCGGGTTTTGCTTGAGGGGCTCGGGGAACTCGACGAGCGTGCAGGAGCCTGGGGGTGCAAAGCCTCGCCATTTATCATAGAGGACTTGTTGTGCTGTGCGGGTTAGAGCGTGGTAGTCGTTTCGTGGACTGAAGGTCATTGAGATCGCATGATCGAAGGCGCCGTCAAGGCGACCGTACGAATTTGCGGGGGAGACTATTAGGTCGAAAGTTAAGGAGGGGGGCAGGCTGTTTAGGCGCTCGTTTATGGGTGTGATTTTTATCTTGGTTGTGTGGTTGGGCCAGAGGTCAAGTAGGGCTGTATTAAAGGCTGTTATAAAGGTGGAGTCCATGCATAGGAGGAGAGTTTCGGGGATATTGGAGGTCATTTTGGTTCAAATAAAGGTTGGGAAGGTGGAAGTTCAATGGGTTGAAGTTGATGACCTGATAGTTGCGGGGCTGGCATGAGGCTGAGTCTAGACTTCGGCACGGGCTTGCCGAAGTCTACCCTAGGAGTCGTTGAAGCGGATATAGTACCTGCCCCTAGTAGAAGCGCCCGTAGCACCTTTTAGAGCAGCGAACCAGAGCTTTGCCCAAGTGCTCTGACTGTGAAACCAAAGGGCATAAAGACACTTCATATCCAAATAGGCGTAAATAGGTTATTTATTAACATATTGGCGTCTTGGTGGTGGTATATGCTTTTAAAGATAACAATGTTGACAGGGTGCGCCACTCGCTTGTAAAATACGTTAGTTACACCATGTATAGAAAAAGAGACAAATATATTAAATGGGGTTCTCCCAATGTGTCAACTGTACTTCCAACTCCACCCCTGTATGCTGAAAGGCAGCATCTCTCCAAGCCTGCAATACCGGCTCATCTGGCGTAAACAGGCTCTTGGCGTCCCAGGTTGCCTTCGCAGTCGTTCCATCAACCTCATACTCAAAAGAATGATAGGCACGATCCTCCCAAGTCCGGGTAGACATAGACTTGAGCCGGGGCATCCGCTGAGCCGCACGGCCTGAGGACATATACAATTCATTCATCAGCTTAGGTGATGCTTTCATTCGGAACGGGTTTAGAACACGATCCTCTGGCGCTTGCTGCTTATGCTCTGGGAGGTAATCCTTACGATCAACGTTTAGCTCAAATTCGGCCTCTGCTAGATCTCGTTCAAATAACCAATACCAGATGGGGTGGTAATCCCACACTGTAGGTAAACAGTGGTCAGGGATGGCCAGGAGGGGAGCTGCAAATCATCCGTAAGCAATAGGCCAGAAGAGTTCTTTTCCTACCACATTATAACTGAGACTCATAAAGGTAAGTTGTTGAGAAAAGTCATGTCAGGAGGAACTGAAGGGGTCTTCTATCTTCCCATCTACTAAATTGGTAGGAGTAAAGTCATGATTTTGGGGACAAGTAATGATGAACCGAAGATAAAATTCCTTGATCGAGGAAGGCAAGAGATGGAAGTGGCGAGCAAAGAACAACATTGGGCATAATCTCCGAAAGGTAACAGTCCCTGCATCAGAAGTCGTCGTGACGAGTGACTAACCATCCTGGGTCTAGCAATGGTGTCATGACATCAGATGAGGTGGCTATGGTTTGCGTTGATGACTCCTATACGTCTTTGGAAACCGCCAGAACAGTAATCGCAGCTGCATGCAACTTCTCCTCTATTGACACGTCAATTCCTACTACCACCAGCGATCCAAGTTATATCCACACTCCAACATACTACCCGAGTGCGCCCAGCACGCTAGCAAACTGTACCGCGTATCGCAACTACACGGACACAACGAACGTGTTTCTCAACATTACAGACACGATAATCACGAGGCTTAACTCCTGCAAATTTATCGCATTCGCCTACGAAGTCACTACTGACCAGCTGGTGGAGTGGAATCCGAGTCTTTCAAGCAATGTGAGCATCTGCGCCTTGCAACCCGGCTATAGCTACTGCGTGTTGCAGAGCGAAGATTCCAGTAAGCCTCAACCATCATTCGTCGTCTTGCATCTTAAATAGTTACAAGAGACGTAGTATTCTCGGAGGATGACGGCACCACCTGCCTACCCATCAAGGCCACGGAGTCCACTACTGTGTCAAGCTGTAACTGCTTCACCCAGGTCTTTGGCGACATGAGTACTAGTAAGCATATCCCTAAGTGGGGAGCACGAAAGCAGAATAGAGGATAGAGTCCAGTGAACTGACGTATTACATGCTGGATTATACTTGTGCGAATATTATAGACGACTTCGACTCCGAATTCACAGAAGCCGATTTAGTTGCATAGAATCCTTGGCTCGCTGGTGATTGCGATACACAGCTTTACGCAAATATCACTGGGAATGATAAGCGCGCAGTGTGTGTCGGGATTGACACCAATGCAACGACAACCACCTCGAGCACCTCAGTAGCTCCAGCCCCAACCGACGCTATTTCTGGATGCCAGGAATACTACACTGTTAGTCTCAGAAGACGACTGTTCAAGCATTCTGACTGAATTCGGGATCACACTTGCACAGTTCTACGCATGGAATCTAAGCAGTATATCTTTCACTCTCTATTTCTCCCTCATTGCCCCCGGCCTCCGGGGACAAAAAGAAATTGAAAAAGCAAATCCTCTAACTCGAATAGTTGGCAGTACCTGTGCAAATCTCTGGCTTAACGAGGCATACTGCTTCAAGGGCCCAGCGACAACCGCAACCAATGCGACAGCCATAGCCACAGCTACAAGTGCTGTCCCAACGCAGACTGGAATAGTGTCTGACTGTGACGAGTGTTATACTGTTGTGGACGGTGATTCTTGCGCGGACATCGAGAGCTTGTATGGTTTGCAGAGCTGTACGAGTGGAACCCGGCTATTGGATCAGATTGTGAGAGTTTATGGGTGGGTAGGCTGTCTGTGTGGGTGTTTCTTCGTAGTACACATACAACCTTGGAAATGGATATACGTGAACTGCACACGTGTACGGTGTACGGTGGTACATGGCGGCCACAAGCTCGGGTGCCTGGTTTTGCCTGATTTCTCGAGCGGTACAGCCTTGGGCCACGAAATCTGCAGGTACAAAATCTGATTATGTGGTGAATATAAGAAAATTGGCTTTCTATCTTTCTATATCTTTTGGGGTTTTCGAGAAGCTCTCTGAATTAAATAAAGGCAGTGTAGGGACTCTAACGCGATTATCATGAGATCGCAAATTCAGTGTTTTTTTTGTTAAGTACTCATGTTCATACTCATGCATTATAGACATAGTTCATTAACAACGTCTTCTGTGTCTTATATGTGGCGATGATGCGTTCTTAGAGAATCCTTCGGGGCAGGTAGAGTCATACATACAGGAAAAGATTTATACATATAGGATATAATGTGCATAACGGGGTATTCAGAAGGGAGGTAAATGTCAAATATTGCTTGCTAAATGCATCCAATCATCACGACTCCTCAATGCCTAGATCTCTCTCCTTCCTCAAGGTTGCTGCCTCTGATTCATCTTCTGCGTGGCTCTGCTTTCTGACTCGGGCTTCTGAAGTCGATACGTACCGCACCAGACTCTCACAAAGCCGGTCTAGAACCCACTCTGGTTCAGTCTGGTGGGCCAGCATAGGACTGTTCTCACCTATCCAGTCCCAGTTCACGACTCCATACTCATCTTCGTCGAGAGTGATTGTATCTTCCTCACTGGGATGCCGATGCCGTTTAGATGATCCAATGGCCGAAGATGGTCGGGATCGGGGGTCGGTAAACCGGATGAGACGAGTATATTCTACCCACTCTTCGTAGCTATATCGTGTACGCTTTCCTTCCCGCACATCTTGGCTAGTGTGTCGAATGGCAAATGCGAGCTGTTGGGCCAGTTCAAATGGCGATGGATGGGTCTCCGCGAGTTCCTCAAGGGTTCGCGTAGGATGGGTCTGGGAGCTGCGACGAGGGGTTCGAGACGAACGTCGTTGCGCGTTTTTTCCAGCCTCGGGCTCCCCATTTTCCGGATCGGCCGTATCCTCTGCCTCAGCACCGACTGGGAATCCACGCTTCAACCGTGTTTTCTCCGCCCTCCTTTCCAGAAAGCCGTGGATAGTCGGTAAACGAGCGAAAAAAGACCGATATGTTCCACTCTCTGGCATGATGGAATATTCAGCGGCCTTCTCCATACCATGTTTGTAACCAACAACGATGGTGTCACTCATCTGGGAGATGAGCATGGTCATGGTCGGAATGGCTATGAGGGACCACATGACAAAGAATGGTCGCCCAGCATTTGACGATGGTGTAAAATCACCGTATCCGATGGTGAGAAGTGAACAGAAGCCAAAGTATAGCGCCTCGAAGTAAGTCCAACCCTCCAGTTTCCAGAATACAACAGCTCCGCAGCTCCATACGATTCCAAAAGCAATTATGCTGATAAACAAATCATTCCAACGACGGAAGCGCATAGTTTCGTATTGGATTGCACGCATAGCATCAAATCGGTCCTTTTCTTCCCTCATAACCAGGAGCTTGGGCCGCCGTTCTTGAGCAAAGGCATGAATGGTGTTCCGGATCGGTTGGTGCTTATGATATCGATACGTGACCTGGGATTTTTGGTGAGAATGTGCTGGAGGAAGTACTTTCTCTGTATTATTTGAGCTGAACTCGTCAATAGTGACAGATCGATCAAAAGTATGCTGCCGCTTTTGCTCGATGTGCTTTCGAACAACATTGTCGTAGTGGACCTCCTTCGCAAATCGATGAATACTCCCAACAACGAGACCAAGCATAATGATACCAATCACAGCATACGGCCAGACAAGACCCCTTCCGACTGAAGTCGTGGCCACCACATCACCAAAGCCCAAAGTCAGGACAGTGATGTCACAGAAATACAAGGCATCCGCAAATGAGATGCCGAGTACTTTTTGGAAGAAAGCCGCACCGATAAGTAACCAAGCAACGAATGCCGTCATTTGCAAGATGAGAGTCCGCTGGTCGTCTGTGAGCGAGAAATGCTGTGGGTATCTTCCAAGGAAATAACCAAGCATATTTATCATAAGAAAAACGCTCAGTAAGAAATAAAGACTGGCAGCAATAACAGCACTCCAGTAGGCCTCAGAGTACACATCATCCGGGCCAATAGGAGGACTGTAAATAGAAAGAGATACGGTCAAACCACACAGCTAGGACAGCGTTAGCTCGTATATCAAAAAAAGGCATAATCAGGTCTCACAATTCCAGGAGCTAAGAACCACGAAATTATGGTCACCGGTAAAGCGATGATATAGCGCACAGTTTGGGTAAAATTCAGCAACAAAAAGATATTGCCAGTAAGACCTAAAAACAGCGAAACAGCGTTCAACGCCGTGATCCTGCTATGTGTGAGCAAGAGCCAACTGATAGACTTCTCAATAAATGACACACCAGTGAGGATCAGCATAGCTCTCCTGAGGATAATTCCCAGCCGGTCCAATTGTTGTGGAAAGGATCCTGCTTCTCCACGGCATGACCAGGGCAACGATCGACATCACGTTGGCCAGCGGCCCAGCCGCAGCAGCTACAAGCGGGATAGCCGTCGATGCAATCCACCAAGACTGAGGCTCATCATCCTCTGGTGGTCTCATGTGAAAGTGGCTCGCGAAGCGATCCCAGAAAGACGATGTATCATTCTGTTCATTGGTCGCGGCGATCTGGTGCGGATCGGGCCCATTCTGCATCTTTCAGTCGGATCTGCATGCGCGGGATCAACGGCCCTCAGGAACCCAGCAATGTAACAGGCAGCTGAAACACCCCGGAGCTAGTCCGGAGCTTCCGATCGAGTTCGGGCTTGGCGAGGGTTTTTGCAAGGGCTTATCCCTGTATCTGATGCATTTATTTACAGGACTTTGGGGTCAACTCTCTGACGGTGGTCCTTGGCATAAATATCCAGGCTGAAGGAAAAGTGGAATAAAAAAAGTGGTGGTTATGGTCCATGGGTCATAGATGATTGACACTATTTTGTGATGTCAACGGTCATCAAAAACTTTCCAAGGTTGATCTGCAGTCCCGTGACCTTCCCCCACATTCATTAATTGATCCATGGATCAGATCTAAATCTGTCAACAAGAAGTGAAGTAAATAGAAAAAAAACATTGAAATCGGGATAACATCTACAAATTCAATAGTATAGTGGAGAGGGCAAAGGCCAAGCCTTCTAACCACTTCTGGATCATGTCGTACCCGTGCCGCTCGGTGAGACTTGCCTCTACAGTATTACCTCATCTGTCATCAGTAACATAATTAAAAACCGTTAGACCAAATCAATATTTGACTACAATCTCAAAGTCACACGAACATCCCAATCTGACCAAATCTGACCAACGCCAAGCAACTGATAAGCACAAAATCTCAAAGGATTCAAGCGCTCAACCATGTGCCCAAAACCTTATCTCATGCATGCACGACTCATCCTGCCGTACTATAATAAGCCTGTAGGAACCCCCGCACCCGACCCATCGGCAAAATGTAGCTCGGTAGTAGGCTCGCCACGCAACCCACGGCACCCCTCCAAGGAGTGGCCCCAAGCCACTTGGGGGCCGAGGGGCCAGTCATAGTTGTTATCACCTGCAGGAGTATGCAAGCGCTGTTGGTGGGTGACATCAGCTGCGTCATTGGGACTAGGTACCTGCTTCTTCGGCGTATAGGGCGAAGTATGTTCTAGAAGTGGAACGTAGGTACTGCAGGTGCAGGACGTAGATGTAGGTCGAAGCGCTGGTTGGGTAATCGTTGCCTTTTTGGGAAATGGTTGGAAGCGGGGACTTCAGGTAGATTCAAGTTCGTGGAAATAAGAATGTGGAGCGGGGTTAATGATAGTACGTTTAGATACATTTGAACTGCATATACAATACGTGGAGACTACAAGTAAGGTAATGTAGATGTTGAGGTTTCGTGGTTTTGGTTCTATATACAACCCGTTTTCCTCCTAAACTCACCATCAAACGGAATATCAATGACAAAGGGAATGACCAAGGAAATAACAAAACAAGATTCGCAGATAAAAATCGCGAGATGGTATCATCAAAGCAGAATGACACAGGCATCGGACAAACAGGAAACCGCATGACGCAAAAACGAATAGCATCAACGCGGACGCCAAATCAGGAATCAAAAAAGACGCCACCCCAAGAAATCAGACAGAACAAGAGGCGCCGAAACCAGACAAGGATTCTTTTGGAGGACCGTCCCGATGGGGGACGGAGGAGCTGACGATGAGACCGCAGAAATTCGAAGTAAAAGCCGAAGCCAAACCCAACGCACTGCAAATGCAATTCAACATCAAATGCTCCCGGTGTAAGACAAAGGAAATAAAATAGGCAAGAAACAAGAAAACAAATAGAATATAACTTCTTCTCTGTCGAGTTGCCTCTCTTTCGGTGTATCGAGGTATAATAAAATTTAAAACCGTCTAATTAGCGGACGGTCGGCGCAAGATATCTTCGCAGTTGGCATCGAATCGCATATTCCACAGCCGGATGCTGTTCATCAATTTTTCCGTATTTTCAAGCTCACGGTCGCGGCCGAAGATTGATTCGACAAATTCACAGCCTGCATTGCGCCCCATAGATACGGGGGCGCCTTTGCCACTTTCCCGTTTAGCAGCCTTCCACATGTAAAGTTCACAACCTTTGAGTAGCTTCTTGAACCGGCTCCAGAGTCGGTCGCCACTTTCCAGGAAATCTTCGACGACTTCCTGGGCTTCGATGCACTTGATTCGCGGAAGACATTCGTCCGCCCGCTTGACTTTGCCCGCTAGTTTAATCAGCAGCAGCCACAAATCACCTGCCACGTCGGCCATGGGTGTTGATGCGCCATGGTGGAAGACTGTCCAGTCGTAGATCCATTTACCGAGAGAGCTGGCATCGAAGACACTACCGAGGAGAATGATAGGTGCCTCGGTAGGGTCCCAGTTTTTGGTTGAGTACCCAGGTGGGATACCGGCCCGCTCAGCGTCTTCCTCAGTGGCGGTTGGTGGCGGTTTGGTGGCGGGGGCTGGCTTAGGCTTGTTCGGTGTGCGAGTTGAGGTGGACTGGCGACGGACACGGGACGAACGACGAGCTGCCTCGATATCCTCGTAGTTAGGAACCTGGGTGAAGTAAAAGTGAGAATCAGCGGCTGGGTTCGATTTGCGATGAGCAGTTGACGCGCGACGTTGGCCAGGGCCATCTTGTTTCTGGCTCGTTGCCGGGGGACGGCCAGCGCGTGATCGCGAGCCGGCGAATCCGTTGCGAACATCGAATGCATCGTCAACCACATCTACAAAGACGGGTCGTTTCTGCGATTGCGAGTTGGGTCCGGTGCCGAGGCCATCCCCCGCAGGACGACCAGTCGTATGGTTGCGACGGTGTTTGGGCGGGCCCGCATAAGAAGCACTTACATGATCGTGCTTGCGCGGCGGAATGCCTTGGTCTGGCGTCGCCTCGTAGTATGTTTGCTGATAGCCATAGTACGACGGTTCTTTGGTGGCCGTGTAGCTAGCCTTGCGGGTATGTCGTCGTGAAGTGCCCCGAGGTGATGTGTAGGCGTCGGCGTATTGCGAAGCGTATTGAGCGTAGTAAGGTGAGGTCGGCGGCGACTGAGAGTAGTTGTAGGTAGACCACCCCGGTGGTGGACTGGAATAATGATACATTATCGAAAGAGCATGAGCAGCCGGTGCTCAAGTTCAGTTTTCAAAGCTGGAAAAGTAATAGGTTTTCCTGGCTTGAAAGACGATATAGATCAGGCAACAGTGGCGAAGCGGCAAAACACACCCACAACCGTATAAAGAAAATCAATGAAGTCAACGAATAATCAAAAAAAACCCGAATATATTATACAACAGGGTATCGTATGCACCAGAGCAGAAAAGACGCCGATGGAGAGAAGCGCTAATGGGGGGTGAAAGGTTTGAGTAGGATCCGTCACCGTGGTACGGTTTCCGATCGGAAAGAGGAGGGTTGACAGTAGATGTGCTGAGCGTGCATTTGAACGTTGTTCAGTAGACCCGGCAAGAAGGGGGGCTGGATGAGACCCGTTGGTTAACTGGGATCTCGCGCTTTTTTTTTTGGTTAAACCAAGACTTCCGAGGAGAGTCCGTATATAGGGAAGTGGGAAAAGTGCGAGATCCACGAGTTTAGAACCGAGGCGAGAGTGGAGATTGAGAAAATTCAAATGAAAGGGAAAAGGAAAGGAATAAAATGGAGTAAATTGTCAGCGCGACGATTACTGGGGGCGAACCAATCAGGTTTCACTTAGTCGGGGCTGCCGTGGGGGTTGGCGTTCCTGTGGTGGAATTAAGACTAAAAGTACCATAATTACCGTTTTGTGTTGTATGGGACTTGTATGATTCCATCCCGAGATTAACATAGCTACTAGTCAACTATACACCTTTAGGTAGCAGTAATCTTCTCCTTTATTGCTATTTGATTTATATTTGATTTTCACTTCTTTCAATCGTCAACTCAAGTCACACTAACTCTGCTACTGCTTATGCCTGTCATAAACCACTATAGCATCTACCCCTCAAACTAGTCCAGATGGAGACACTCGGCTTCGACTCTACAGAGTATATGTGACTAAACTTTTGATTTGGGCACCGGCCAACTGCATTTAGTTGGTTTGGCGAGAATGGGAGAAAACAAGGCTGAAGATACCAAGCAGCACGACTGGCTGTCATTTTCTTCCTAAGAATCAGATCCATAACTCGGGAAATGGTTGTGTGTAGGGAAGAACTAAAGAGGGGGGACCGCCACCAATAATCCCGAGTCTCTGAATGGACCCATGAAGCGGAGGTGATTCATAGATATTTAGTGATCGTTAGTTGCGTCGCGTGTCAAGCTTCTGTTGGATGGCACAGGCCGCCATGTGCCAGACTTCCAGAATCGGGCCAACTTTGATTTCCGTACAATTCATTCTGCATGAACCCATTAGCTGCACATCAGACGTCTTGATGCCACTGTGACCCGAATGGGTAAACCCTTCCCACATTTTGATCTGGACCTGCCCAAACGACATGACATACAAAGCAGAAATCCTCCGAACTGGATCCATGGTTGGTTGGCGGCTCTATCGCATCTCCCGGCCCATCCCGTTTCGTTCCAGTGGTACTGTCGACTCCACTGACCCATATCGCGTTCTTTGAAACCAGGAAAATCCACTATTTGTTGCCATGGCAAACCTGATTAGTATAGAAATTCAACTCCATGGTCTTTTTTACACACAAAAACCTTCACCGTTGGGCAACATCACGGACCACGCGCTTTACCGCCGGTCGCTGGGCAGCAACCACTTGTACTTTGGGCCAAAATGGATCTAAGAAGGAAAAAAGAGGAGCACTGCAGACCGCAATTTGAATATCCACCCAGTTGTAGAATCCGAGAAAAAAAAGTCTATCAGGGCTCACACTGAATCCACCATGCAAAAATAGATCTGGCTATACGTATGGTGTTGGGTATTGGGTGTGAGTATTGGTGTTGGGTGCTGGGCTTTGAGGCTGTGTAAGACCGAGACAACCTCACTCTATAATAGAACTAGTTTTTTAAGATTTCGAGTCTCATCAAAGAAATAGACTCAGTAGTTTCCTAGTAGCATCAAAGATGGTATTCAATATTGCATGATATGAAGTGCGTCCCAGACCAAACCCTAAGTCTCGCCTCTATTGAGATTGGTTCCCACACGAATCCACTTTGTTCGAACTATGACGTCCAATCCTTTCAACATATCCAACTCTCGAACAAGAATAAATAATCATACAAATTACATGTTTTATGGTAAAGAACAAAAACAATAAAACGACTATCCTATGACCCATTACCATACGCGACTACCCAACTCTTTACGTTCACGCACCAACCGAAGGGATGGAATAAACAAAGAACACGTTCAATCCTTACAGACCTTATCAAGGAATTCTAGGAGCATCCTTGATGAGTCAAGGGTTATAATTCTTGTTTTTCTTTTTTCTGCTTTTCATTTTTTTTTGTTCTAAATTTCTAGATGAGTCAACCGCCCTTCGAGCAATGTGCCCCTTTACTGGAGAAATCCTGCGCCACCAGTAGGCAGCGCCGATCCTGCAAAGTTGCACATGGCCGTATTCCGTACTTTTGTCATTTTGTCATATTAAGTATCAACAATCCATATTTCCACTAAACCCTCTTACCCACATGCAATATTATCAAGCCAAGATTCAAATATTTCTGCACATGTATCTCCGTACATCTCCTGCCACCCCCCCCCCTGGATCTGCAAGAGGCTCAAACTCACGACTATTTTTACCCAACATTCTCAGCTGAGGTGTGTTACCTAGGTATTCAGCTGTCGTGCAAATGGGGCTATGAACATGGGGCCGGCCTAATCTATGTACTTGTACACCGTTATATGCACTTTCTAGAAGGGTTAAGGTCTAGCCAACCAAAAAGCTAAAACTCGCAGCTAGTGGGCGCGGCCCGGCTGTACCAGAGGGTTACGAGTGGGTCGCTTGGGGGCAACGGGCTGGATAAGCCGGTCATATCAGCTGTAGGAACATAACCTTGCGGGCGCACGGGCGTTCTGCATCTCACATGTATTCATTTTGTGCGAGCCCTAGAGGTTGGGGGTAGTAAGCTCAAATATTCAATAGGATTACTTGTGGAAGAATATTAGTTGTTTGGTTCCTTTATTCAACCCTTTCTCTGGAATACGAAGGAAGGAGTGGAGTACTCGGTGTACGCTAGATGCGTGCACATAAGGAAGCACGGTCATTCTGTATTCTGAATTTTGAGACATGAAAAAAATGATTAATCTCACTTCCAAGCTTCTTTATTGGTATGGTTTAAAATATTCGTATTCATTCATATGAGAATTCAAATTCTGTCGATCCAATAATCTTCCAGCTAGATCTGATGGGTCACTACCCCTTGCGCGATCTGAGTTGATATCAAAACAAACCTTGGAACCACCTGCTCGGCAGTGAGGAATGCCTAGCATGTTCTTTGTTCTTGATCATTTTTTGAATTTTGGTATTTTTCCTATGTAAGGAATTTCACATGGAATATTCATTGTGCGGTATGCGCGCGCACTGATCACATAGAGTTCAAGGGATGCCCTTACCCTGAGCCCTATGGTCAATGCTTTCTTCCCTGGAATAGGGAAAATTTCCCTTCTGACCAGGGGTATGATCCTGGTGCTGTACTGGGATTTCTGTGGCTGTTCCTTTCGATATCAGTACTGGATTAGATTTCTCTCCACTAAAACTATGACGGGATGGTTCCCGTACCAGGCTGGTTGCCATTAGCATGCATGTTAGACGTGCAAAGTAAATTGGTTCCACTTATCTGATATCAGTCTAGGGTCTAGGCCTTGATTATCCATGTATGACCCTGTCTATAATCAAACTGTGATATTGTCTGCACGTGTGGGCTCAGGGCCACTTATCTTCAGGAGTCAATGTAAAATTCGGCGGTCTGGCTACCTCACCGTGATCAAAGTTTTTGTCTACCTGGTACACATGTACAGTGCTGCATTTATCGTTGACTTTTAGATATCGACTGGCTCTCATTTTAACGTCGCATCTATCCTGTGTACTCGATATCACATCCATCTAGACACACGTAGAACTTTCAGACCGCTTAAATATGTACTGTATATACATATATATATGTGTATATTTTGACATGATTACAGCACACTTATGTATGCATGTATAAGGAACGCGTCATCACTTTCCCAAATTTTGTATTTACAGCATAAAGACAACTAGTCTGGGTTTTATATATATCTTCCGGCAACCATTATACTACCCCCTTCTGCACCTTCCGAAACTCCTCTGCCCAAGGAAAATTCTCATATCTAGACCCATCCGGCCGAAGCTGAACTGTCGAAGGCGCATAAACCCCATTAAGCATCCATGGATCCCCGCCCACAGGAAGAGGCAATTTTCTGAACCGCATCGGACAAAATGAATAAGTAGCGACCTCAAGCCTCCCAGTAGCCCGATAGAGCTTCATAGCATTAACAAGAAAGGATCGACGCTGTATATACCACGACTCCTGACTTAGAAAATCCTCCCACTGAGCATAGGGCCACGGGTTCTGCATAGCAGCGCTAATAATCTCATGAACCCTAATTCCAGCCGGAAACCCATATCTAGCACAAAAAGCCCCTGACACGACGTCCGCCAGGTGCTTCTTCCAGTGCCAGACTAGTGAGAACTCGGTCGCCAGGAAGCGCTGGTCGGGTCGAATGCGCGAGAGAACGTACTCTAGCATGAGTTTGTGGCCCTCTAGAGTGGGCATGTGCGGATGCAGATCCACGCCTTCGAGCTCTGGTTTTGAGGCGATGAAGCGGAGCATACGCTCAACGGCTGGGGTTTGTTTTGCGGGGAGATCTAGTCGGTTTAGAGCACCCATGTATAATCTTGTTGAACCGCCGTGTGTATTGCGGAAATTGATCACCGTGTCGGCGAGCGTTTCGTAGAAGATGTTTAATCGGGTATCTGCCTGACCAGGCTGGACTTCGATGAAGGGCTCGTTGCCGATAACTAGGATATTGACTTTGCCCATGACTACGTGGAGTATGCGGTCCAAACGCTCGAGCTCGGTGGTAAATGCGGCGCTGGATATAGCTGGGAAGCTGAGGTTGGTGTAGTTCCACTTAAAAGTGAGGATTGTTTGATAGTCGGCGTCTATGGCCCTGAAGAGGGCTTGTATGTTGGGGTCTTGGGTAGCATGCAGGGTGTCTATTTGATGCATGTCTATGAAGCCGCGGATCCAGTGGGTGTTGACGCGTTGCAGCTCGCTGTGGTCCATCCATGTGAGCTTTTCGTTGAAGTTTGCACCTAGGGCGCCTAGGGCTGACCCTGTATGTTGAGATTCCATTCCAAGGTGGTTGTAAGACCTCCTGGGGCATTGGAAGTGAACTCCATCGTGGAGACTTGCCGTGGCCACGTAAGCTACCGCCTTCTAATCCCAGAAATGTAACTGGTGATATTATGGAAATTTTACAGCTAGGTGTTGATGTACATAGATGGTCAGACCTACTGATACATGCGGCTAAATAGTGATAGGTTGTCTGCATGGAAATGTTTCCGCTCAGGCCCGATTAGCGACGAAAAATTCAAATGACGTCATGACTATAATATATAACCATGGATTCATGTGAAAAATAAACAACGTTCTATATGGGTGAGTTATGTACGTATAAGTGATCCGAATCAAAGTTGTATATACATGTAACCCCATTCAACCAGTATCCAAGTCGCTGCTATGTGGATTAAAAAAAGTTAAGGCATATGGTATCAAAGTGCAAAGCTCCCAAGTCGCTGATGGTTAAACACCCGCCCAGTCCCAAGAAAAGAAAAGCCAAAATAAGAGTATCGTGCGCCTATTCCAGAGGTAGATAAGATTATGCCACCATGTATTCTCCACCGCCCCGTTTGGCCTGCATGACACGGGACCAGCGGAATGCCTGCGATGTAATAGAGCTCGAGCTTCCATCCAGTGGAGGCGGGGGACCGAGCTCAGAGGGGTAGATTGGATAAGAAGATTCTTCAGAATGCTCAGACCAGATCTTTTCCAGCAACTCTAGACAAGAAAGATTATTCACAAATCCGGAGTCCTTTGAGATATCCTTGCAACGATCACGGATGGCTGCACGGTGATCCTCTTGAACGCATTCCGAGCCCACAATAAACAGCGGCCAAAGAAGATAGACATCGGATTGCACAGCACGAAGACAATGCATAGCGAGGTGCACGAGGTGCTGGATGCGTGGGTGCTGGGATGGCAGACTCGGTTCTGCAAGGCGTTCGCAGTAGAGGAGGGCAGCGTGACGGAAGCATTCGGAAATCTGGTAGACATCTTGAAGATTCTCATTGGCCACATGATATGTTACTACAGGAACAGAGGTAGAAAGGTCCGGGATGAAATTTGGGGTATTCCAAGTGGGCGCTGTTGTTGAAGCGGTCGGAGGTGGAGAGGGCATTGACACTGAGGAGGGTGGATCGAATCGCCAGGATTCGAGTCGTTGACGCAATGAGTACCATTCGGTCCAAAAGGCAGGAGAAGATGGTTTCCTCGCCTGGTCACTACTTTGGGGCGGGGTGGGCATAGAGAATGGGTAGTCAGTGCCAGCAGAAAACCCTCCAGTAGTGCCTGTGACAGACTCCCAACCGGGGAACATCATAGCCGGGGGAAGGGAGGTAGTAGGAACAGAGACATCGGCTGGTTGAGTTGACTCGGTGGGTTGTTGTTCCTGACTGAGAAGATTCAAACGCCCCAGCTGGGAAATGAGCTTGAATAAGCGGCCATCACAGCCTGCTAGATTCTCAAGACCCCACTCCCCGTCAGATATAGAGCTAATATCCAAACATCTTCCACGTAGCTGTACATCACGATCATTCGTGGTAGCAGTCAGTGTATCAAACCAGGAAAACATGCGGATAAACCATTTGAGGTCATCAGTCAAGACAGGAGAGTGGCGCATTCGAATCGCAAGCAATCGCGTCACACCGGCAAACTGCGACCGGAACTCGGCAACGCCCGTATCGCATCCATGAAACAGGCAGAGAACCAGCAGAGTTGCTAACACCGAGTCCGATAATCTACGTTGGGGATCCGCCAGGTCTGCATTCAGGGCCTTCACTGCCATTGCTCGATGGTGGTTTTCTTCGCGAGCGTAGCCCTCGGGAACCGAGATACCGTACCGATCCTGGAACGCCTCATCGGTGAGAGCACGGTGGGCCATCGATGACATGCGCGCGGGTAGTGTTCTCTCGGTAGAAAGATGATTCCGTGCCCGCCGCTGCCGCAAGTTGCTGGTTGACAATGTAGCAATAGCCTCTTGCAGAGATTCACTATCCTGGGCCAGGCGCAGCACATGGGTTTTAAAGGGGTTCGTTGGACTATCAAAAGCCACGATCATTGGCGCGATGACTTCGGTGAAATAGCTGATGAGATAGCGAAGACGAGGGGTGCGACCTATGGACCGTGCCAGAAGTAACTGCGAGTATGAAGGCGAATGACCGGCATTCCACAGTATTGAATTTTCAGGGTTTGCTCTTTCATACTCTTCATCAGCATCTTCACCTGGGGTTGTCACTTGCGGGGTTGTCCAGTTTCTTTCAACGGGCCATATTGGATGTGCGAAATGAGTCTCCGGGCTATATCCAGAAAATGGTGCCATATCTGATCCCACGCTTGCTACACTTGCCATGCTAGGACTCAACATATGAGAAACTGCCGGTCGATTTGGCAATGGGAGTCCTGATATTTGAGGCGGAATAGCGGGTACGTTGGACCAGGTATGCGGGTCCGGCATGTCCATTGTCCAAGCCACAGCCGATGAGTCGGGTATATTCGACATCGCCGGTGGGCGTCGCGGGTCAGAGTCCATCGAATTGAATATTTCAGTATCCATAGGTTCGAATTTCAGTTCAGCCGGAGGAGCCGGGTTTGGGGCTTGAGACTGTTTCTGATTATTTAACGGAGTCTGCGCGGGCTGCTTTGTCTGTACCGATTTCTTCGAGCCTTCCGCCGCCGAGTCCATCACTGGCAGCTTCTGTCCCCGAAGCTTGCCTCGACTCGCCACTCCCAATCCCCATGTCAGCGTCGTCTTGTATCCAGAACATTCACGCCCGAGTTCGAGGCACTGTGAGCAGTATGGGCGGCGCCGGTCACAGCGCGCGCCCCTTTTCGAGCAGGTGAAGCAATCGTCGGGGGCGCCGCTCACGACCGTTCTCTTGCGACGTTTCCGCACCGGAGCATTCGGGTCTGTCTTGCGGGATTTCCCTTTGGCGGTTTCCTTTGGTTGGCCTGCGCTCTCAGACATGATGGGCGAGTAGTGCGAGGAGCACCCTCAGGGGTTCCATGGGGTATCTGCCAAAAGTCTGGCGTTGTTGGCCGTGCGGGACTTCAAGATGTATTCGATGGGAAGGTTGGAGAACTTCAACGGGGTTCCGCAAGTGGGTCCTTGGGATTCACACTTTATGGGGAAATCAGATAGAAGAATGGAAGTTTCGAAAACGATCCAAGCGTAATATATGGGAGGGGGGGGGAGGAAGGAATAAATAGGAACAAGTTTAGGGGAGAATGGAGAGAGAGAGTTGGGACTCGGAGTTGGTGGGTAAAGAAGATCTTCCCCGGTGGAGGATGATCCGCGCTCTAGGCAAATCAGCCAAAAATCCCCATGTGGACTTTTCGCTTCTGTAAATTATCCCTCAAACTTCTCCACCGTTGATCTACCTTGAACATCTAAGGTGATTAATTCCTTGGAAAAGTAAAACTCATACACTTAGTTATCGGACTAATTCCCATTTGGATATTTAGGTTTAGTTCCGACGCAATAGATTGTCTATATGAAATGAACTAGTGAACCCCATAAATGTGGTACCCATAAACAGGTACGGGGAATATTAGAATCCAGGAGAATATTTAGGAACTTAACACATTCAAAGTTCATTATAACCTTGGAAAACTGATTACTTCTGCCACATCTGATTGTGGCGATCTCTTGATGGTCTCTCGATTGCCAAGCATCGCGGCTGGCCCGCTTTCTGTCCCCCCAAACGTCTCTCTAACTAATATCTCAAAACAACTGCAATTCTTCATTCGATCAGCCCGTCCTCCTTATCTACAAGCCAGAGGCAAACTGCACGTTCATTCTGATTGCCTGATACTTCCGTTGGGAACCGTCGATCGGCGCCCGTGCGCCGCTCGCTCGAACCCCTGTGACTGAGGTCACCGCGACACGCTAAGAAACAGACGCAACCATTCTGCTCTAGATCCCCCCGCGCATCATCCAACATGGGGATGTTCAGGCCAGGTCGGGCAAGGTCCCTTCTCCTTGCCATGATGGCTATGATCTTGGTTTGCACAGTCTACCTCTATTGGTCCCCGATCAGCGCATCATCCTCCGTCTCCGTTGTTCCAAGCACAGCCTTCGAAGTACCCTTAATAGAACGCCAGAAGGACTTCTGGAAAGCCTTCCGTCCGATACTCGAGCGCCATAGCCCCAATTGTCCATCACCGCAGAAATTGGATGACGCGGGTGCGGGCCATTTCAACCCCACCGAGGATAGCCCGCGGCAGGATATTACAACATTGGCAGAGGAGGACCAGAAGGCAATGGAGGAGGCTCATGCTAGCTTCGTTGAAAATATCAAGGCGGCCGGAAAGGCCCTAATTCCTGTTCATACAGCTGGGAAGCGAGGCTTGGTCTCAACAGCGGGTTCAACGTACCTGCCAGTATTTGTCTCGTCATTGCGGATGCTTCGTCGGACTGGATCCACATTGCCAGTGGAAGTATACATGAAGGATGCAGGTGAATACGAAAAGCACATATGTAATGACGTGCTGCCTACCCTCAATGCACGGTGTCTGGTGATGGGGGATGTAGTAGGAAAGGATATCATCGAACATTACCAGCTCAAGATCTTTGCAGTACTCTTCTCTTCATTTGAAGAAATTGTCTGGATGGATGCCGACTGTTTTCCTCTAGGGAAGCCCGAGGATTTGCTGGAATCCGAACCATTCGTCTCGTCGGGCCTGGTGACCTGGCCAGATTTCTGGAGGTCCTCTGCATCGCCTTTGTACTACCAGATCTCCCGCCAAGAGGCGCCACTCATCACAGCCCGCCAGTCATCGGAGACCGGTGTCTTCTTGGTGTCGAAGAAGAGCCATTTCCTCCCACTTCTGCTTGCAGCATATTACAATTACTATGGTCCAACCCACTACTTCCGGCTGCTGTCCCAGGGTGGACCGGGAGAAGGTGATAAGGAGACATTCCTCCAAGCAGCTACGGCAATGGGGGCGCCGTTTTATGCCGTGAGTGAGCGAGTACAAGCCATCGGACATCAGGTGGGAGAAAAGTTGTCAGGCTCGGCCATGGCCCAATCGGACCCCCGAGAAGACTATGCTCTCACCAAGCAAAATAAATGGCGAACTAAAGATCCCAATGTGGCACCACCGCCACATATCTTCTTTATTCATGCCAATTACCCCAAATTCAACCCCGGCGACAATGTCTTCGGAACGGGTTGGGAAACAACCCCCACCTTGAAGGAAGACGGCTCAGATGGGCGAGCTTGGACAGCTCCTCCTGAGACAATCCAGCGTTTTGGGTATGATATTGAGAAGACCTATTGGGAAGAGATCAAGTTGGTCACATGTCGTTATGAATCCCTCTTCAAATCTTGGCAACAGAAGGCAGGCCTTTGTCAGAAAGTGGAAGATTATTGGTCTCATGTCTTTGCTGAACCACATGATGATGACCCCAAGTTCAGCCTAGACGGTTGATCTCTATTTGCTACATCGTTCGCGGACCGCCTTCAGATCCATTCTGCATGGACCGAAGGCCCTGCGCCTCGATATGACTTTATTACATGTAACCCAAGACTCCTTTCAGGATTCAATGAAAGATTCCCCGCACAAGGCCGGGTGATACTGCCGGTGTTGGTACTATAGTCCAGACTTTTAGCCTTGGAATGAGTGGCTTGAGCTGCATACTTGTTACTGAGCGATATTATGTACTATACCTAGATTAGAAGGTTACGGGTCTGCCGCACATGATACACATAATATTCCTGATCAAAGAAGATATCTACCTAGGGTATTACTCCTTACTGGAATCAAGATGGCTTTTATAATTTAATTCCGGTTAATGCTTTAAAACAGGAAACAATTGCAAGTAATTCGTCATATCGTACAGGATATACCACCAGTCCCATGATACATAACCAAAAAATGCACATCGAGTGGGGGTATCATAACATCATGGCAAACTTTTTATTTCTTGATGCCCTTCTCGCGCAGGCGCTGCTCATCCTCAGCCTTCAGCTCGGCATCAATCTGGGCACCCTTGGAGGGAGCATTTCCGTGCACCTTGGCCTATATAAAGAAACCGTTAGAACGTTCCTCAAAAGATTGAAGTGATGAAAAGCTTACAGGCTTAGTAGGATCCTGCTTGCTCAACTCAGCCTCCTGGTTGAACTCATTGTTGTGGTGGTGCGAAGAATCGGGCTTGCGCTCCTGGGCAGCAAGCTTGTTGGCAATAGAACGCTGGTCCTTGGAGTCTAAGTTCTTGTGGCTGCCGGTCTCGCCCTCCCGGTAGCGCTGACGCTCATTGATCTCAGACTGAGGGGGGTTTCGCTGGTCACCAGCTTCATAGATGGCGCGGTTGCCGACACTAGATTGACCAGACATGTTGAAGATGGAGATTTGGTGGAATAAAGGATTTGAAGGTTATGAAAAAGTCAATTGAGATGTTGATGTTTGAGGATTGTGGAAAAGATGGTTTGGTTCAACGGAAAACTTGTGTCTTATACTTGGGCAATCCTGCCACCAGGTATGATATCGATGGTCGGTGATGTCATGTTGGAGTCACTGAGATCATAGTTGTGGGTCAAGGTCCAGACTGCTTGGAAAAATAATTGAAACTGGATGTATGATTGTGTGATTGTACTGGACCCTTTCTTAGGGGTTTACATCAGTGCAAGGTTTCAAACAAGGCAGGTTGGTTGCTGTGACATCGATGATGAACCCTTTGCACGATAGAAGATCCACTTGTATACTCCACCATTACGTGACCAACAAGCTTGAAGATTTTCCTTCTTTAGTTAATATGCTTCCCCCCTTAGTCATTCCCATTTGTATTAGAGAATGAAATAGAATATGTGTTTCAAATATTGGATTGAAATATCTCTCTAACTACCTTGACCTAGTTACCTCGATTATTGGCCACATTTGAGTTGGCCCGAAGCCGCAACCAAAGAAGAATTCTGTCATTCGAAGTCAATTGTGATCATTTATCATTTAGAAATCCACTGGGCCGTCCTTTTTCCATATTTCTGTTTTAAAATTGTCGTGATCCTATTCATCGCCCCTAACATAGCGAAGAATGAGACTGCAGCACGACCCACTCCGGCCATCGGAGTCAATCATAGCGAGTTGATTATGTGCCACGAGTCCACGACACCACCGACAGAGGACGAACGATGCGGTCGTCTCTATCTTCCCTATTCAAAGCCCTAGAGCACAGTAGGGCACCTTTCCAAAGCTCAAGTCGACTATACAACTCCTTTAATTATCGAAACACCTACTCCTCCGCCGCAATGAGCTCCTCCGCCCCTGCCGCAACACCGGAGGTGCAACCCCGCTTCCAACAGCTCTTCACTGAGCTAGAAGCCCACTTCAAGAAAACCAGCCTTGGCAATGACAAGTGGTATATTCTTGCCACGTCCACTCTGGCCGCTAGCCCAGATCCCGAGCGCGCAGACCAGCTCTACTTGCACCTCATCTCTCAACCCGAGTACGCGACCTCGCAAGCTCGACAGGCACTAGTGCGGCGTCTGCGTGAGGCACTTATCAAGTCCGTCCCCATTGTCGGTGTCTGTAAGCCTATCGAGGCTATTCTGTCAATTGGCAAGATTGAGCGCGACGAAGATAAGGACTACACCTTTACGCGTGAGAACTGGAAGTGCGATGAGGCGAACCACGAGCGCGGCGCAGAGTGGATGCAGAAGCTGTATGCTCGTAATACGGGCGGGACTTTGAATCTGTTTGCCGCTCACCAGGATTTTAAGTGGTTATCGGAGGAGATTACCTACGGGCTGTATCTTTCGGATCGCCAGATTCTGGATGATGTTGATACGCAACTAGTTGTGTTGCCTGGGATTATGAGCCAGAACTTGCCGAATGAGACCCATTGGCATATTCGCGGGACAAGACGATTGGGATTGCCTAAGGAAGAAGTTCAGGTTATTTGGGATTGCGTTCAACTTGTGGCCAAGTTCTTTGATGTGAAGCTGAACAAGGTGCCTACTGTTGAGTCAGTGGAGTATGATGTTTAAAATAGATCTTGAATAGAGAATTTATAACTATATGTTGTAGCTTGTTTCAATGACATAGATCCCCGATAACCGATAAGAGGAAAAAAAGTTCAAAAGCGACCGCGGGGCCGAGCAACTGCCAAATATCTTCAACAACTCTTACACACCAAAACTTAAAAATGGGGAAACGCAAGCAGGATCTTGGTGATGTGCCCATGGGTGGTACAAAGGATGATGAGTCGTCTGACGATGTGAGTCCACCTCGCAATTCAGGCCATACAGCTCCTAACCTGTACAGGACACTGACATGATCAATGTCGACTTTGAATGGTTTGACCCGCAACCTGCGATCGACTTTCACGGCATTAAGAACCTCCTTCGTCAGTTATTCGACAATGATGCTCAGATCTTCGACTTGTCAGCCCTCTCTGATTTGATCCTATCGCAACCGCTGCTCGGATCGACGGTGAAGACCGATGGCAACGAGTCGGACCCGTACGCTTTCTTGTCTGTTCTGAACCTGCAGGAGCACAAGGTAACTCAGACTTATACCATTATGGCGCTCCTGCAGCGCTAATATCTTCTCTTTTAGGACAAGCCTGTCGTACAGCAATTGATCAAATATATCACGTCAAAAGCTTCCGGCAACCCCTCCCTCTCGGCCATCAATGAGCTCGTCTCCCAGGACCCCATTGGCCCTATTGGTCTGATCCTGACTGAGCGAGTCATCAATATGCCATCCCAGGTCATCCCGCCTATGTACAACATGCTCTTGGAGGAGATTGCTTGGGCAATTCAGGACAAGGAGCCCTATAACTTCTCGCACTACCTCATCATCTCCAAGGGCTACGAGGAGATCGAATCGAAGCTGGATCTTGAGGAATCCCGTCCACAGAAGAAGACCAAAAAGGGTGGTGCCGCCGCCCAGCGGTTCTTCTTCCACCCCGAGGACGAGGTGCTGCAGCGCCATGCGCTTTGCTTTGGCTCATACGAGTTCACTCACAAGCAGGACGACGGCCACTCGGACTCTAAGCGTGCATTCCAGGACCTTGGTATTATCACCAACGGAAGCATGATGTTGATCGACGCGGCCAAGTTCGAGCCTACAGTCAAGGCTGTGCAGGAGTACCTGCAGTAATCGATGTGAAGATAATCTTCATGTCATTCATTTCATGTCCCACTTATGAGAAAATATTCGTTGCGGTTTCCTTTAATTCCTGCCTTATAATCTCCTCGCTCTCCCTATCAGCGCTATGGTTCTATAGACTTCATAACCAGAATTAAAAGTTCATAACGTCATGACGAAACCCATACCATCATCTACTCCCATTGGGTTCCCTTAAGGCGCTGCATGAGATACTCCACCTCGACGACCTTGGTGAGCGGGATGACACACTCCTGTTAACAAGTCAGCGCTGTCCAATAAAGTTGGGCCAATTTTCCAATCTCACTTTGTACATAGCAACCACCGCATCGATATTGATCTTCTGACCCTTCTCCTCGGGGAAAGCAGGATCCGTGCCATAAGTCTTCGCCTTGAGCCCCAACCGCTCAAGAACCTTCTGCTCAACCTTAGCATCAGTGATAGCAGCATCGATACCCTCGCGATCCTCCGCCTTAATCAAGCGCACAAAAGTTTCAGGATCCTTCTGGAACTTCGACTCGGCGACAAACTTTCCAAAGTGAATTCGTCGCGACAGCGCTTGCAAGCAAGAAACATCGCAGGTTGCAGCTGATCCGTAGTTCTCCTGTGCTTCGCCACGGTCTTCACGACCGAGATTTGGGCATATGGCCGGCAAGATCTCATTGATGTACCGCGTCTTGATAGTGTCGTTGACGTTCACATCGTTCTCGTGCAGGATGCGCGGGTACTGGAGGGGTGCAAGCACGGGCTTCTCGAGGACTTCGGGAAAGAAGGGGTATTCGTCGGGGGATTCGTAGCGGCGTACGCGCGATTGGAGTCGTTCTTGCTCAGAGAGGAGGTAGTCAGATAGACTGAGATCGCTATTGGGGATCTTGACGCCACCAGGGACGTAGATGGTTTGGTTGAGGGGGAATTGGACTCGTTCAATCAAGTGGAAGGTGATTGTATCTTCCAGACGGCTGTCATAGAACGTTAGTAATGATTCTAAATATCACAATGTCATGCTCTTTGCTTCGTAAAGTACGGGTAAGCTTAAAGAGGCTTGCATGTACTTATACCTTTGCAAGCAAGCTAGACTTATAGCGGGGTGCGCGGGGAAACAGCCGTTGAAAATTGTTGAAGGAGGGAAGCAATGGAACTCACATGAGCTGGAAGCGAATATTGGCAAGATCCAATGCCTTGGAGGCATCAGACAGATTAATGGCTGTATCCATGGCTGCCAGTAGTGAGTTCAAGAAGAAAGAGAGGATGTTAAAAGATCAGCGAAGTCGGAGGTGGATTTACTCCGTCCGGGAAGTACTGATTTAGGCCACACAGCTCTCTATTTATATGGGAAGAAATGGTAGAATTTGACGTTTAAAATACAATCCGAGCATGAGTCGTTTTCAATCAAACAATTGTGTATTTAAAAGGAGAAAAAAAAGTAGTCCGTATATGAAAAATCGATCCCCCGCAACAATCGGTGTTGGGACTGACTGGGTATGCGGTACTCGGCCAGTACCGATATCAACTGCCTGGGACCAACGCATATGGTTGTACCGTACAAGTATAGATACAAAGGGTCATAAAGCACCTTGCAGCAATCTGACTAGTCTAGATCGGTGTACAGGACTAAGGATCTGACCTATCTATCGCTGGATTGGATATTGCCTGGTTTTGCAAGGGTAAAAGTACCATACGGCTGTACGAAATACCCGGGGAACGCGGTAATTCATCGCGACACATGACGATTACCTCTCCAACCTTCTCCGAATCTCCCTCAACCACGCATGGGTCAAGGCTGAGCCCCTAAGACCCCTCCTAACATGGAGAATCACCGCCGCGACGATTCGCCGTCCGGTTTATCAGATATTGTCGAAGGCGATGGCTTGCTCGGCACCGGATTGACTGTAAGTTTTTTTCCCTCAAGCCTGGCACTCTCACCTATACCCCTCTTCCACGTCGCGGGCTAGGCTAATCTGAATGAGTGACAGACCCGTCACATTGAAGCTTTCGGGCGAAAGGTCACAACAACCGCTGGACACTTGATAGGACCGACCGACCAGAACAACGCCCATTATCAAAATGCGATGAGCGACATTCACCGCGAACTGCGCCGACCAGCGGCGCAGCGCAAGGTCTTCTCCCTTACCCAGACGACCCCGACTGATCTCGTGCGCTCGAGATTGTCCACCACCGAGATCCAGTCGCGTGCCATCTCCTCCCTCCCAGATGAGCTTCTCGCCAACATTCCCGAGGACAGCAGCTCCTACTCCCTATTCCAAGGCTTCCAGGTGTCTATGCCTGAGGAGGACCCCACGCAAAAACGACACCGTCGGCGCAGCTCGAAGAAGGCACTGAAGGATAGTGAGAAGGGCGGTGCCCTGACTGCTGGTCCGGCTGGGCTGAAGGAGGAACGGAAAATGCTGAGCCGCCGACTGGACCAAATGGGTATCCGGAAGAACATGTGCAGCGCCGAAATTCACGAGATAGACAACAAGGTTGCCAATTTACACAAAATGCGCCAGATTGTGCTCGACCGATTAGCCGGCTTGGAGATGGATGAGGCGGCGCTGGAACACGATTGTGGGTTCACGTGGCATGTTTTCTGACATGACGGCATTGGTTCTGACCATGAATATAGTGACGGAGCTCGATAATAAGCTAGAAGACTTCCCTGAAGAAACGCCTGAGACTTCCGCCACTGCCGAGACACCCCAGACCTCCGACGCCAACGACGAGTCTGTTGCGTCTTCCGGCGACCCAGCTATGGATGCATCTTTCATGTCCGAATCTATATATGAGAAACTGCCCAATTCGTCGCCGAAGAGTTTGCGCCATCGATCTATAAGAAAACGCTCGATGCCGATCCTCCACGAACACTTTGCTCCGGGATCTCTAATTAAGGAGATTCAAGCACACACTGATATGGTCACCGCGATTGATTTCGACTATCCATTTGGTACGATGGTCAGCGCAGCTTTGGACGACACTGTGCGTGTTTGGGACATGAACGTTGGCCGCTGCTCGGGATTTTTAGAAGGACACCATGCCTCGGTTCGTGCCTTGCAGGTGGAGGATAATATCGTGGCGACAGGATCTATGGATGCATCTGTTAGGTTGTGGGATCTGAGCCGTGCTCGGCCCGCTACTCGCAATGGTCGTCTGAACAAGCATGAGCGGGACGAAGAGGAATTGTTTGAGCACCCTGCTCCATCATCGTCCAACTTCGAAGATTGTCATGTATTTACGCTAGACGCCCATGTTGATGAAGTCACTGCGCTCCACTTCAAGGGTAACACGCTTATTTCAGGTTCCGCCGACAAGACATTGCGCCAGTGGGATCTTGTTAAAGGACGATGTGTCCAGACTCTGGATATCTTATGGGCAGCTACTCAAGCCTCCACCGGCACGTCAACAGATGGAACTTGGCGACCATCTGGTCGCCTTCCAGATGCGTCTGCTGACTTCGTTGGGGCTTTGCAGTGCTTTGATGCTGCCTTGGCCTGCGGAACGGCTGATGGCATGGTCCGTCTCTGGGATCTGCGTAGTGGTCAGGTTCATCGAAGCCTCGTCGGTCACACTGGTCCGGTCACTTGTCTACAATTCGATGACATGCATTTGGTGACGGGTAGTCTTGATCGAAGCATTCGGGTAAGCTTTCATTCTTACATATTTTTTTGGACGTCTACTAACGATTCACAGATCTGGGATCTGCGAATGGGCTCGATATCTGATGCCTACGCCTACGAAAAACCCATTACCAGCATGATGTTTGACTCCAAGCGCATTGTGGCTGCCGTCGGCGATACCGTCGTGAAGGTATACGACAAGGCCGATGGTAACCATTGGGACTGCGGCGCTGGCGTTGGTATCGACGATGAGGGTCCATCCCCATCTACTGTCGAGCGTGTTCGACTCAAGGATGGATACCTTGTTGAAGGTCGCAAAGACGGCACAATGGCTGCATGGACATGTTAAAGTGTCTAGTATATCGTTCTCCGCCCTCTCCATCACCTTTGCATCCTTGCTTGGGGCTCTTCATTCCCCTCTCCCCTGCCTTCACGCCTGTATAGTATTCCAACCCCCTGCTTAGAGCGCTGGATGGAGCAAAGCGGCGGACCTTAAAGAAATGATATCGACTGCCCTGTACTTAAATCTCGTAACATTTTGTACGCCAATCCAATTTACTTTGTTGGAATCAAATTAAGTATATGCCAAGGCTTCGTTACTAAAAACAATATAATATACAAATAAATGCGAAATGGTTGAACACCAAAAATAGTCCGAAGTAAAAGTCATTCAATACTGAAACTGCGCGACAAGGCCTGGGGACAAAGGCTGAAGAAAACATCATTTCACTTCAATCGAGGCCAAATCCATCGCTTACACAACTTTTTCGCATTTTTCCCATTAGAAAATTCTCCAAACCCTCTCCAGTTTCCTCCCAGCTTTGACTTTGACCCTTATCGCAGATCAATAATTGCTGATCTCATTCTCGGGATCCACTTGAAACCCGCAGTCACGTTCCGTCACGCGTCTGCGCGACTTGACTATTACAAAATCTGGGGTCGCAAGCGACAAAGCCCAGTCATCACGACTATCATATTTTCAAGTGAAATCTGGCATTTTTCAATTTCAAGTAAGTATCTGAGTAATCTCGATGACTGCCGTACCTGGACGTTGGGGTTGTGTTGACAAGGGATCGCGGCATCCCCAGTTACCCATGTCCGTGGCATACACATCTTGACTTTTGACTTTGTTTGAATCTGGTTGAACCTGGTTGAACCTGGAGCTAATATTGTTAGGCTCTTGCTTTCTTTGATCTGATATCTCCTGCCAGATTTTTGCTGATCTCGGCACGGCGTGTTTCAGACTGGACACACCTATTCAATTAAAGAGTAAGTGTTTATGTCTGAATGCTTTGATCTGAAACAGCGTATTGCCTTGTTCTGATACTTGTTCCCTTTCCGGATCGTATTAAAGGCCTTGTTCCCCTTTTAAGTGCCCTCCAACTAGTACACTCTGATCACTGGTGTTTGAATTCCCGGTGTCACTTGACTATTCCCGCTACATAAGCAGCTTGCTACACTGGCTTACAGGATTCAAGCTCATGAGTTTGTTGTAACACGCTAACATATTCCAAAGATGCCTCCAAGAAAGCTTCCTAAAGGGTACGTCGAGGTTGAGGAGAGTCCTTTCAAACCGTTAGTCCCACACAACCCATATTTGCCGGCCATACCAATCAAAGCTTCATTTGGCTATGGCTCGCAATTCGGGACAACCATGCCTAGGCGATTGCCTCCACCGCCACGCCAAAATATTAACAACCTTAAACAAATTGCCGAATCCGTTAACCATGCTCTGGAAAACAGTCAACTCCGAGCTACCGCTGAAATGAACGCACAAAAGTCTACCAAAAAGATGCCAGAAAAGGCAAAGCCTGCACCGAAGAAGCGACAGCCTGCTGAATCTCAACGAAGGTCAAAACGAGAGCCAACTCCGGATGAAATCCAGCTTCAGCAAGCCTTGCGAGAAGCAACTCTGTCGCCTAGAAAAGAGGATATCTACCACCAGTCAGACTCTACCCCTTCACCTCCAGTTCAACGAACAGTTTCCACAGATTCAAGCCCTGGTGCTGAGCCTCCTCTCCCACGCCGCTTATCAGTCATGTCGAGCTCTCCACTTTACCCATCACCTCTGCAACGCGGTGGGCATGAGACATATGAAACAAACAGCTCAGGTCGCTGGAGTCGTCAAAGCTCGGTAGATAACGCATCTGTGGTATCTTGGAACTTGGAGCGTGATATTCACGACGATGACCTCAAAAGGACGAGACCAAGCACTCACGGGCGTAATATCACTGCCCCTCCTCGGCGCCCTTCGGGGTTGTCCAGTATCCTCCATAGTACGATCGAAGAGGAGGACGAGACCAACGAAGAAGAGCAAAACGATGGCGATGCTGATGGTGGCGATGAGCTCATCTCAGAACACTCCAATTTGCACGAATCTGTTCCTGAAGGGCCGACCAATGACCCGACTACGCCTGCCACAGAGGGTTGGACAACATCAGTGCGAACAATTATTCCCCAATTATTTCAATCAGCGCCTAGCCGTCTAGAAACCCCCGATTTAGGATCTCGTTCTCGAGATCTAGCTCGTGCATGGTACTCGCCTGTCCGACCTGAAATTCGCGATGCTTACCCCAAGAAATCAAAACGAACCAAATGGGGGTATGTAGTCATTATGCTACTATTGCCGGTGGCTCTCGCTCTTTCTTTTCAAATGGGACTTTGGGAGAAGCTTCGGTTTCCAGAATTCCCCTCTCCTATTCAATACTCTCCCAATGCTACCGACTCTGCCGCTGTGCATGGTCTCAAAAACCAGGTTTCCAAAATGAACGAGCAGATGTCGTCTCTGTCTCGCGATCTTGTGGCTGTTCGATCACAACATGCCCCCGACTCAAATCCTACCTTCATTGTAGGCCCACCGGCTGGATTTGAAAGCCCAATTCACAAAATCAATTTCTTGTCGCCGTCGTTGGGCGCAATCGTTGATCCGCATCAAACTACACCTACAACGAGCCGCTCGTACCCATTCTACCAGCGCGTTGTATTCACCATGCTTGGGCTACGTTCAACGCTTAGCCCTTCACTGCCCCCTGTGGCCGCTCTTACTCCTTGGGAGGAAGTAGGAGATTGCTGGTGCAGCGCTCCACGCAATGGCGTGTCTCAGATCTCAGTGCTCCTTGGTCGTGACATCGTTCCAGAGGAGGTTGTCGTCGAGCATATTCCTTCCGGTGCCACTCTAGACCCCGGGACTGCACCTCGGGAGATTGAGATATGGGCTCGATACCGTATCATTGCTCTTCCCTCCCATGAATCTTCATCCTTCCTGTCTCGGTGGATGTCTCGGCAGTCAACCCCCAATCGACCGATTGAGCCTGTCTCCTCGAGAAAGGAAGGCCTTGGAGGATACACTATCCCGGGCGAGGATTCCCTTCATGAAGTACTTATGAACTCATTGAGTGCGACAAATATCTACGATCCGGAGACCGCTTACTCGGACGATCCTCTACTTGGCCCGAATTTCTACCGTGTGGGCAAGATGGTCTATGATATCAACAAGCACAACCATATACAGCGATTTCACCTCAACACCATCATCGACATCCCGACGATCCGGGTGGACAAGGTGGCATTCCGAGTGAAATCAAACTGGGGCTCGAACAACACTTGTATCTACCGGTTCAAGTTGCATGGCCACATCTGATTTACTATATCCTAGCACACCTCTTGGTAGCTATTTATGATTCTGGCATCTAGGTTTATTTACTGATTCATTACTTTCTATCTTTCATGGGAAATGGGGAGGTGCCCAGCTCCAATATTCATTTCTTTTTCTGCGGCGTGTGATACATGAATTCAGCGTGACGGCGTGAGGGGTAATTTTTTCAAGTTAATACCAGCATTGACTGCCTAATTTAGGCTGAAAATCCATTTTCCTGTACTTATGCTCACTTGTGTTTCATTTGTGTAACCAACCACATTAAAACTTTCAGTCGATTTCTCTCCCCTTTTTGCCCACAGCTCAAACTGTCACAATGACCTCATATTTTCAATGCAGTGAGCGCTTAACCAATGGACCTCCTCCCAATGGACCCAAATCTGAAGAAGAAGCTCTCGCTCGCATTGATGAACTCTACAATTCTAATGTGCCATGGTTCAGCAAAAAGACCATCCGCTCAGCTTTAGAGCAAATACAGCGCCGACCGGCCCGCGGTGATAAGATCTTTGTCAAGGCGGTCGATGGCACAATGGTCGAGTATGATATTGAGACTGGTGATGTCAGGGACATGCGTTGGGCCGATGGCCCTCACACCCAGTGGATACTGTGAGTGGACCAAGAACACAGCGCGATCTCTATCAAGGGAGGGGTATTTTACGTTAGCCTACATCCAAATCACTAATTTTGAACCGCGTGAAGCCAGGAACCTACCCTCGCCTACCGGTGTCGTGCAAACATGCGGCATGACATATTCCGGGGAGGATTCAACGAAGACAGAGGGTATCTCAATAGCATCAGAATCATGCACCGCAGCCTGGAAAGAAGGAAAGATAACAATGAACTCATCGATGTTCTCTCCCGTTTACCACTAGAAGAAGCCACCTCGGATTTTGAAAAGCATCGACAAGCGTGGAACGAAACCGAGATGTGCAAAAATGTCACCCGTATCCTGGACTCCTCCACTACACACCTAAATATCACCAAGATTGTGGCCGTATCCCTGGGTTGTCTCTCATGGCGACGGACTGACGATAAGGATGACGATAGTAATCGTTCGGCGTATCAACATGCACTTATTCTCACGCTACGGGACTGGCTGAAAGCAAAGAAGAACGCCGATAAGATCCCCTGCTATGTACAGGATCCGGTATATACGGACATCGACCGAGCTCTTCTGGCGGAGCATGAGGTTGAGGTGCTTAATGACCCGATGGCATGGTTGGAGATAAACGATTTCTCAATTGTTGTTTCCATTGCATCAAATGTGCCGACTAAGGAGATTATCACGGATATTGCGAGCCCGGCTGTAATTATTTGGAACGAAGTTGGCGATGATGACTATGATGAGAAAGATGGAATGGCTATGTGAGTTGTTTTGATATTTCTGTCTACTTTTTCAGTGTTGCTAATCTGGTGTATAGGACGGATCCGTGTTCGTCTCGAGTGCGGGCGTTGATAGAAGGATATGATTGTTTTGACTGGGGAGCTAGTGATGAGCAATTTGGGGATGTCTTGATGTATGTTCGGCGACCGAAGACCTTGTGCCGGGAGCTGTAGACTTTATTATCTGTTGTATGGAGTACTTCCAAGGTTGATACATTTTTAGCGTTTGACTGGCACCTGAGTTACTGAGCAACGTGATAGGGACGACTGTGATAAGGACATTATCGGTGTCCTTCCAGAGTACTTTCATAGTAAATAGAATTGCAATCTACAACTAGGAATTTGCTGCTGTTATGAGGTTCCACGGTTGTGCTCCAACCTTGAACTTGCACCCTAAAACGGCAAGGTAGAAGTGTACATGGTAGAGAATTATTTTCCAGATCTACCCATGCTTATAGATAACTATCCAGCAGCTCACATCAATGAAAGTTGAATATGTCGTTTTGCTCATACGCCTACGGATGGCTCTATATGATTGGTGGCTGTTGGTTACTGTTTGCTGCCTCAGAGATAAGGCATCAGGGCTTGGACCTCGATCGGTTCAGTTCACCAAGTGGGGGAGTTAACGTGACTGCTAATATCATCATCTTTTAATATCATTCTGTAGATAGTACTTCCTTTTTTTCTTGGTGGTTGAAATCTTAGATAAACCCCATATGTTTCCCCACTAAATTCCCTTTATTTTTTCTCCCCCTCGCACCCCACTTTGGAACATGACGAAGGCGGAAGACACTCGGCCTCAACCCACCGAGCCCTTCAACTCCGGTCAAGCATTCGTGCAGCCATCCTCATTTCTTCGCCCCCCAATGGCCTCTGAGAGACCAATCGATCGGGAAGAGCGTCAAGGCCTGGTAAGTCTTGTATCGAATTGACCCGCGCATCCTATCCTTAGGTCCCCCCCGCACTCGAATCAGCCCACATCCATATCTCATGGCTGGGCTTTGTTTTAAAGATCTGACGGGGACACGAAAAGGGATGGAGAGACCGGAATTGCCAACTTCTTCTGGCTCGTGGCGGGTAACCCGCACATCCAGATCTTGACTAACGCAGCGTCAAACAGCGTGCCATTCGCAATTTCCTGAAAGTCCGCACCAGCTACGATGTCCTCCCGCTGAGTTTCCGCCTCATCATCTTCGACACCTCCCTCTCCGTCAAGGAGAGTTTGAATATCCTTATCCAGAATGGCATGTGTCAACCCTGCCCAGCGTTCCTCGCGAGACAAGAATGTGGGAACCTGAACGCGGAGAACACCCAGCTGACTGCGAGTGATCGGGAAGTACAGGCATCGTATCAGCCCCGTTGTGGGACTCGAAGGCGTCAAAATTCGCAGGTCTTCTGACTACTTCCGACTACATCAACGTGATTCAGTACTATTTCCAGAACCCTGCCGCCCTCGACCAGATCGACCAATTCCGGCTTGATAGCTTGCGAGGTGTGTCGTCCCTATGTTTACCCAGACCGCTTATGCTAACTCCTCGTTAATAGATGTTGAAAAGGCATTGGGCGTTGCGCCGCCCGAGACAATCTCCATTGATCCCGAACGTCCCCTTTATGAAGCATGCCGCCGTATGCTCGAGTCGCGCGCCCGTCGTATTCCCCTCGTCACGAATGACAGCCAGACAGACCGCTCCCATGTCCTCAGCGTCATTACCCAGTACCGTATCTTGAAGTTTGTGGCCGTCAACGTTCCCGACACTCAGATGCTGCGCCGACCGTTAGGAGAACTCAAGGTGGGCACATATAACAACATTGCGACAGCGTCGATGGATACACCTGTCATCGACGTGATTCATATTCTGGTCGAGCGCAGCATTTCTAGCATGCCGATCTTGAATTCAGATGGTATGTGGGTTTCTCTTGATCAGCGATCAATGCTAATCAATACAGGTGTTGTCTACAATGTGTTCGAGTCGGTAGATGTGATTGCTCTGATTCGAGGTGGTGTCTACGATGACTTAAGTCTCACCGTGGGAGAGGTGCTGAAAAAGCGATCACCGGTACGAATGGAGCTTTCTAATTGAAGTGCATGCAACTAATTCTTGCAGGAATTTCCGGGTATCTACACCTGTTCACTCAACGATGGACTCGACACCATCTTCGACACCATCCGCAAATCCCGGGTCCACCGTTTAGTCGTGGTAGATGAGCACTTCAAGCTTAAGGGTGTCCTCACTCTTAGTGATATTCTCCACTACATCCTGCTTGAGGGTGAAACTGACGAAGTATGATCGAGCTTGGCTTTTTGCCGCTCTTATACATATGCCCCTTTCCTGCATGATACCGGCGTTTGTTGTTTTGTTCGTGTCAAAGGACACAGCGTCAAGTTCGTTTTAGTTTGACTTTTGAGATTCATGAATGTACAAAGGTAATAACAATGGTCTACATGCACTTAGTTATTTGAGCTGGGTGAATTGGGCAGAAATAGATTTCCTAATTGTTCGATATTCAATGATTCAATCAAAAGACTGCGATACTCTGATACTGATTTGCTCTTTCCATTCTGGTGTGTATTCGATATGGAAAGCGCCAATGTATGATAATCGTCTGACTTTGGACTCCGTTCTTATCTTCTACACCTTCTTTTCTTTAACACATACCCTTCTTTGCATTCATACACAACAAGTATGCATTATTTTGCGGGTTTATTTCGCTCGAGGCAACGTGCTGCATCCACTCCGCCTGCTGCTCGTCATTCTTGGACCCGGCTGCGACGCTCACACTCCGCTGTTGTTCCCTTGACCAAAGAGCCACAGCAAACTGGGACCAGCGAAGAGACGAGGACCACAAATTTAGGAGAGGACGGTGCAAACAATGAAACTGTCAACAAAATTGACGACCAAGTAGATGGGGGTGTACCACTGAAGAGGCAGACATCAAATGTACCGGAATACCACAGCAGTGATGGTGATCATTCTCAACACCGGGAACCCCAGCACGGGGGACGCATGAAGGGGTTCTTGTCCCGGCTTCGCGTGGGCAGATCCCAAGATCGAAGCTCGGCATCAGAGTCGCTCCCCGTGATACCGCAAGAGGCTGCCGGCGACCCGATGACAACAGATCCGGTCAAAAAAGATGTCCCTTCACTACATCCTCCAGCCCAGGAACAGCGGAGTTTTAGTGCTCAGACAGTACTGTCTCAGGAATCGAACCAGACTACTGCCACTGTAGACCATCACCCATCTCAACGCATTCCTATGGTTATCGATGAACCGAATGAGGATTGGTTGGGCTTAATGAACTACCCTACTCATCATCCCGAGGCATCTGATCCTTTCTCTGATGGGAAGAACATTGAATCCCGGCAACCTGCAACATCCGGGTATGATGGGGATCGTAGCCAGAGAGAATCCGAGACGTCTGTCCATTCCTGGGTTGAAAGTGAAAGGCAACCCTCTTCCAAATCCCACAGCAGTCATCGTCACAATGCCACCAGAATCAGTTCGGTTAGCAGTCATGCGAGTCGGGGCAGTCGATTAAGCCGCGTGGACCCATCTAAAGCGGCGATGGCATTCGATGTGCTCGCTGCTCAGTTGAATATTCCCCTTTCGATCCAGGGAGATGATCCTGTCATTACTACCCGTAAGTTTTCTGGTTGAGCATTTTTGCAACTATCTGACATCTTCTAGCGGAGAAGCTACCAGAGGAAGCTCAACGTCGGTATCGATTCAGCCGTATACGCCCAACCCAATCCAACCAGACCTTAGGAGAAACTTCTAACCCGCCGGTCAATAAGTTGCGACGGACTAAAACATTTGCCAGCCTTGGGCGTCGAGCGAGTCCAATGAGTTCTCTACGAGGCAAGTCTGTTGATTTTATCGCGCGCCTGGGAGGACACAGCTATTTGATCCTGCCTTCCGACCTGGCACCTGGACCCCTGCAGCTTCCAGCATGCATCGTGGCGATGGCGATGTACTTACGCAAATCTGGTGAGTGATCTTCCTACGTCATAGTATGCCCAGCTGACCCGGGTTCCTGCAGCTCCCCATTCAACTGAGCTTTTCATCGAACCAGGCGACATGAAAGCGGCCACACGCCTGTACAACCACTTTGCGAATCAAGTCTTGCTTTCAGAGCGGGATGCGCACAAAATTGCGATGACGACGCGAGTAGTCGCGATTCCGCACGTCGAGGCAGAGTCCAATGCAGCAGCCGTGCTCAGTGTCGGGTGGGTGTTCAAAGAACTGATGGCGGGGTTACCAAGGGGGATTTTCGGGTCCGTCCGTCTGTTTCAGATCCTGTATAGTATCTACTTGGCCGGCCCTGCGAATCCAGGATGCGTTCGACTTGTCACGTTGGCGATCATGGCCCTGACGGGAGAGATGCAATGTGCGCTGATCTGCGCAGTATTTGGCCTTCTCACTAGCCTGCTGCAGAAGACGGAGAACGTGGACGATGAAACCGGGACTTCGGTCCGGCCGGTGGCGAACCCCCTTCAGCCCGATGGATTGGCGCGGGTATTTGGACCGCTGCTCGTCGGCGGGCGTGATCGTGATCGTGATCGTGCGGCGCAAAGCTCAGTGGAACAAGAAGTGGAGGAGCAACGGGTAGTGGAGCTGTTATTGGATCATTGGCGGGGTGTCAGTCGTCAACTTCGGGAATGGACAGGAGATTCGCGAACTGGAAAGCGAGATTAGAAGAGACTGGTTTTGTTTATTCGTTCTTTATTCTTGATTCTTTCTTATTTTATCCCATTGCATTCTTGTTATTCTTACTTTACACATACCTATCGGTATAAGCTACAGCTACTACAGCTAATTGACCCCACTTTGAACCAAGGAATAGACTTTCTTTTTTGATTGGATGGCATCGAATCCCGTTCTCGACTTGGTTGTTGTTGTTTTTCCCTCTTTATAAGTATCTTCTTTATAGTTTCTTTCTTGTTACTCTCTTATATATTGAGAAAGAAAGAAATCTCCATGCAACGCATGCCACGCTCTACCGGGATGGACCATGGGCGTTTGTCAACTTTCCGTAACACTTAACTCCAGCTTGTCACACATCCAGAAACTTGTTCGCCATTATCTTATTCGCTCGGATCTGCTGGACCGTAGGAATTCATGTCCGACCGTGGCTCCAACCGGCCGACCGACACCTGCGCCTACACTTCTTCAGGCACCGGCCTGAATTCAATCCGTGGTTCTTTCTTCACTTTCCTAACCCGAGGCCAGAAATTACTCTAAGCTTGTGATTTATCCTTTGCTTCGATAAACTCCTGTGGATTGCGTCCTGCTTCAACAAATACCTGATATGTCGACTGGAAACGTGAACCCCCTGCCTACTGGGTTACCAATCACAGACCCTCTCAACCCACTCGGCGCATCGCCCTTTACAGCAGCCAACGCATTTACAGGCGAGCTCTTAGGCCTTTCAATGACCGACGAGGAACAGCTCTGGGGTCTTAGCCCCATCTCCCCGAGCCTGGGAACTGGATGGGACGTCAAAACCGACGCAGCGGCCTTTGCCAGCTCCGCTCTAGAGCGGGATCTCAAAAACGCCCAGGTCCGCAACGGCCAGCCAACCCCGCCACCATACGATGATCAGTACACACGCGAAGCCGGTCTAGACCTGAGCAGCGCGAGCAAGCGCCGCCGCACACACGAGTACCATACCGCCACGGACAGCCTGAGCCCGGACCTGGATCTGGACGATACATCACCCTGGCACGAGCGTGCGAAGCGGGCAAAATTCCTCGAAAGAAACAGGCTGGCTGCGAGTAAATGTCGACAGAAGAAGAAGGAGCATACGCAAGTCCTGGAGGTGCGGTACAAGGAACAATCCGAAAAGCGGGAGAGGTTGGTGGGGGAGATTGCGCGGCTTCGCTCGGAGATTCTGTGCTTGAAGAATCAGGTGTTGTTACATGCGCAGTGTGGGGATGAGCCTATTAAACTTCATCTTGCGCATATGGTGAAGAAGATTACGGATAATGATTGTCCGCCTACTGCGCCTGCTACGGTGGCGAACTCGCACGTTGATGTTATGGAGACTGCGCCTTCTTCTGTTGCTCCTACCCCGACACCAACTTCGGGACAGACTACGCAGACATCGGCTGCGCCATCGGCGTTGTCTTTTGGATTTGATGACCCGCTACAATTGGAGCCAGCCGCAGCTGCCGCGGCTGCAGATGTGTTTGAGCAGCAGCTGAGGAGGGATTCTGATACCTCTTTAGTGACCGAGTCGGCGTATAGCTTCTCAGCTGACGACGCATTTGACGATTTGATCAACGTTTGATGAATATGACCTTTTATTTCTGTTATGAGGCGTGGTGCTTAGCAACGGTGTTACACGGCTTTCAAAAAACCGGATCTTGTTCCTTTCTGCTTTTTCCCTCTTCTTACCTCTCATTACTGTGCTCTTGATGACAATCCAGTCGCCAACAGAAAGACTGGAGAGCGTCCGGCGTTGATGCTGTGGATCACATCCATGCAATTGGATTCGAATCGTCACTTTTATTCACCTTCCTAGCTGCTATCCGCTGTCATTCTCTCTTTCGTGTTTCCATTGCCACACTTGCTTTCCATTCTTCTACTCAAGATTATCGGGAAAGGCCGGGTTTATTTCGCTGGATTGGAGGCTTTCTTGTCTTTTAACAGGAAAAGATTACTCCGAGGTTATTCGATGAGTACTAGGCTACATTTAGTGCAAATTCATATCTTCTGGCCTGCAGCGGCAGTGGATTTCAATCCCAGTGTTCAAATATCTCAGTATGGCTTCTACATTTTAACCCTAATGCTGTAGGGCATTGACTGTTCTGCATCTACAGGCCCCTTTCATTCGAGCTTGAGTAGATGGCTAGGCCACCCAGGAGACCACCTCGAATAGTTTTAGGTTGTATGGAATCGAAGATATGTTTCAATTCATGTATATTTTGCATCAGTACTGGGGACACAATTTACCACCCTGGAGGCAATTTGATGACTTTGGGTGTCAGTGTAAGACACTTAAATTGCTTCTCCAATAATATTTACCATAATAACTACCATAGATTTCCTCTCGCAGATCACGAATGAAATAGATAACAGTCAAATGCTACTCTTTGAAGTAAACAAGATCTCTGGTAAAGTAGAGAGTATCAGAGCTTCAAGGTGACTGGAGCTGTTCTTTGAGTCCCTTGCTAGTTCACAAAACAAGGGCCCTTGAGACTCCGCGCGATGGGTCAATTCTCAATAGAATATTCAATCAAGTGGATGATGAAATCATAGAGGTGACCTTAAAGGCCTAATTCTTGAGGCATGATATCAAATGTACACTTTTGAAGATGCCGTATCGTGAGCAAGCTATTCACATAATGTGTTCACACAAAACGGCAAAGGATGGAACGCATTAAAGGAATAAATACCGGCGAGAGGAGATCCAGGTCACTCTGGCTGGTATGGCTTGTCGAGTAGTTGTGAAAGCTAAGTTCGTTAACTGTGGGAGAAATTGACCCCTGGGGCGTCAGGCACCCTGAACAGTGTTATATCACACGCTGGACGTCCTGAATTCTCAGGTTGAGTGAGTGATCTTTTGCAGCGTTGTGATAGGTCGATCCTGTTTGTAGGTGGTGATCTTGAGGCTTATTCACTTCACCCCAGTGACCCCACCCACTACTATAAATACCTCATGTCGCACCTCCCTTCTCCCTCTTTCTTCTTCTCTTGTCACCACTCCTTTCAGTTCAAACTTCTATCTCTTTGGACTTTATCTTCAATCTCCAAGTCCATCTTGCATCTTCCATCTCTTTCAAGACCCAAGTTTGATCTCCAATCTTCTCCAAATTTGAATTCCAAACTTCCATCCATGCATTCAATCATGTTTTCATCAATACAAATATCTCTCTCCTCAATCTATCATGTCAAACCACCTTGATGAAGTGATCATTTACTATGGTCAACAACCTGACCCAACGAGTTCCGAATGTTTGTTTACAGTTTCATTCCTATGATTTCGCTAACCTTTCAGATTGTGCCAATCTTCCTTCCAGATCATCCACATGTTGCTTCCACACCAATTGAGTCTGCTAAAAAGCCACTCTTCCCTCCTGAAGCTTCCAACCCCTGCGAACACAATCTTCTGAGTCGTCATCGACATCGACAAGTGGTGTGGAGGGACAACCCACTGGGCAGAGTCGCGGTGAAGAAGCACCTAATATGGCAAGGAGGATACAGCCTCAGCCACGGTTCAACAACGGCATGCGGTGAAGAAGCACCGGCCAAAACAAGCGGACGTGCCGCTTTTGATGTTCGATGGGATATCCGAGATGGTGGAACAAAAAACAAAACTTCATGTTGAGCTTGATACTTTGAAACTCATATCATCATATTTTTGTGCCCAGTCTAATTACATTGCAAATTCATTACTGGCTGTCAAGATTTTACGTTCATCTTTGCATCTTCCTGTAAATCTCGTTTAGATACCTGCTATCTAGTACTAATGTATCTTAGACTGCCCTACGCTGGTTAGTATGACGGTGAACACTCGCCCCAGGGATATCAAACAATGTAGCCCACCCCAGTGAATGCAACAGACAGTAAGCAACCTACCTCTCAGGTACCTATCCAGTATGACTACATGAATCCTAAAATGAATCTCAAAACAAATGCCTCATTCCAGCAGGAATTTACCATTTCTCACCATAGATTTCATATTCAAGTCCATTAGCACCATCTGTTATAAGGCTTACCCATGACCAAATTTATTCTTCTAATTTCACCATCGGTTTGAGTTGTTGTTATCATCCCAGAAAGACGCATGGTCAAGCTCACTATAGTGCGCCTTGGCTGCCCTGTTCTCGGAATCCAAGTCTTCAGCAGAAAGACCATATACATTTCTAATGCCCCAAACACCAGCACTCTGCTCCGAGAAGTCCTGCAACTTCTCAATCAACTTGTAGTCCGGATTGCGAACGGACACCAGATAGTGTAAGAAAGTGTTGCCATGAATGTCTTGCCTCTCAAGCTGATTCCGAGGCACCGAGCCACTGCGTAACAAGTAGAGCAGAACAGAAGCTTGAGCCTCACTCTCTGCCTGAGACAGGTCCGAAAATCGCGGTGACTGATGATATCGAAGGAACGCACTACCGCCTCTCCGTCCTGGGAATTGCGTACGTCCGCCTCTGCCCCTTTCACGCGGTTCCGGCGGAGGTGTTGATAGAAGACGTTGTGGTACCCATTTCTCGTCGGTAGTACGGAACTCGTGGATGGATGAGTAAATCTTTTGTGAATGCATATTCACAACAGAGTCGTCAATAGGCAAGCTGGCGATATGGAGCAACGTGTGGCCGAGCGCAGTAGGGGAGACTGCCTGGGCAGCCGCGGGACCTCCCATTGTGTCGATGACATGCCGAATAAGGGACAAGTCCAAGGTCGCCACAGCAAAGTGCAGCAGATGGCACTGGAAGATGGGCGTCAAGAGTGAGAGGTCCGCATGAGGAGCTAGCAAGTCAAACCCTTCAAGCCAAGGATTGCGCTTGGCAAGTGTGGCCATTACTGAATTCATGCATCGTGTCACCAAAACCATAGGGAAGGTGTCAGGTCTATGTCCCCGATCCAGAAGAAATCGCACGGCACTTATATCTTCATTCTTGATGCTGGTGAGCAGAGGCGACTGCACTACAAAGTAGGATGTCGGCAGGTCATCAGCTACCGAAACATACTTCTGCGTATCAACCCAGGCGCTCTCGTCCGAACCGTGATCAACCAGATACTTATATATTTCCATATTTCCAGCTTCGATCGCGACAGATAGTGGATGTGGAGGGTTGTTCGTCGGCCAATCGATCCGTGGAAAGCTAGACTCGGCCCAAAACCTACACCGAGACTTATGACGGACTTCCAGCTCACCCTCCAAAAGGGGTACCGCCTGATCCGTACGAAGCTGAACAGGCCAGATATTCGACATGGCCTGGGGTCTATCTCGAAGATAGCAGCCAGCGGTCCAGGTATCTTGGGCCGCCCGACCGCGGAGGAATCGAGTGCTAGCAACCCGAAAGCAGATATGCGGGAACCCGTCTGGGGTCGCACCAGATTCAATGAGGAACTTCAAATGGGAATCAAAATTAGGCCCTGACATAAGGGCATTCGTAACAGATGACTCCCATGGACAATTCAGCGGGCCGACGATGTAATTTGTTGGTGGGAAGCCGTAGTGCACTAGGCCCTTCAGGATCTTGATATCCTGGATTTTCGCGGCTCGCATGACCGGTCCGGGTATTTCTACATCTTGCTGTTCACCAGGAGGATTTTCGCTTCGAGGGTCTGGTAGGGATGCAAGAATATTTCGAGGTGGTACGTATTCGACCTCTGGTCCCGGCGATACCAAGGGTGGGTAATTGGCCATTTGACTTGTGGTTCGAAGAAAAAATATCCCAGGAATAGGGCGAATACTTAAATTACTCTACGTGACATATTTCGGCTCCCGGGTGGGGCTTTCCTATCTTAGCTGCCGCCGCTTTCATGCGGGCGCTCAGAGTCAGGCTCACTGATCCATCTAAAAAATTTATTAGTAGACTGGGCACTTGGACATATCCGAATCAGTGACACTTTCTCTCAGAGCATATATACATTCTTCTCTCAAAGCGCCAAGCCTGACAATATATTAATAACCGAGAGAGGATCACAAACATCCAGGCAAAGTCAATTCACTTTGCCAATGTTCCATTTGAACACGTCTTGATTATTATCTGGGGACGCATGGGGCCCAGGCGACACAAATTTGCAGGAACAAAATGTGGAAAATAAAGACCCGATGAAGGATGTGCCCTTTTGCTCGTTATAATATGGACCAAGGAGCGGCTGAATCGCCGTAGTTGCCTCTTCCGCTCGATAAAATGGAATCTTCGGAAAAAGATGGTGGACAACGTGAAAATCGATAATGTCGTGAAAAAAATGGCGACCAAGAAGCCCCGTCGTGCGGTCTATAGTTGAGAATGAACCCTTAACAAAAGTCCAGCTTTTATCCCCGTAATGCGGTACAGAAGGATGCGTATGGTGAAGATATGTGATGGAAACTAAGCAAGAAGATAAGTCAGCTTTGATTCCATTCTCATGATAACAGTCTTCGAGCGAATTTCGTTACCGATCCAGTGATTGACCCAGAGATATGGCACGAAGTACAACAAGAAAACCTGCTGTCCCCCGAATTTCGTACACAGCCCAACCAGGATACACCCAGATACTACCAAGCCCAGATCAGAAAGAAGGACGTAAAGCCTCTGAGATGGAGTGAACAGGGCTCCAAATGGATTGAAATGGCTCTTGTCCCTTGACGATCCGGCATTTTGGCTAGGCAAGCTGTCTACTCCTGCACTAACATTGAAAAGAAGATACATTGGCCAACCAAATAGCTGATGTATCAACAATTCAGCTAGTGCGACGACAGGTGCATCCTCTGTAGACTGCATTATGGCTCGATATATGAAGGGGAAGGAGAATGAATCATGATACTCCTCTTCTGTGAAAGGTACAAAGGCTGTATCCTTGCCCATGTGACTGGTGTAGCGATGATGGCGAGCATGCGTGGTCTTCCAGGAAAAGTAAGGAACTAGAAGGGCTGAGTGTAGAGTGAAGCCTATAATGTCATTCACCCATGGATAGAGAGAAAATGCACCGTGTCCACATTCATGGGCCAAAATCCAGAAGCCCACGCCGACGCAGCCCTGGAAAAAGCCATAGCACATCCACGCTAGACATCGAACCCACGGCCAAGAAATTGAGTCAAATTTCATGGCACTGTATATCAGAATACTGCAGTAACTAATGTCGCGAAGCAGGTACAATAGCGATATAGCCAGCGAGGGTTGAAAACAGCTCGGGGGAATTGCGTCTTTGAGAGCGTTGAGTCCCGGTTCAGGAAACTCTTCTTTCTTCTCTAGAGTTACTTCAGCTTGGTGATTTTGAACGTAGCCTCAATACGAATGGATTCATACTTTCATTTGATGCTCGACCATTGTCAATATTGTCCATTGATTGATAAATCACCGAAAGGTAATAAGAGATTCCAAGGAACTGCGATGAATGAATGGCCTCGAAAGATGTGCTAGACCTTCTACTCCCTTATAAGTACTGTCCTCCTCGCTCCACGGAAGTAGTTCTCCACGAGTTCGTTATCGGTCGCACCGAAGGACTCACTTTGAATACCGAAATCGCTGTGGTGCCTTCCCTGGCCACACCCACCCTGCAATTTTCCCAAAGCAGTAGTAGTATAATGCCCAAAATCGACGGGGACATTGTTCTTGCGAGAATGGCATCGTTCCCGATGCATTGGGACCGAACGCGATGATCAAGTGAGAGTACTTTGCAGTATTATTCATGTTGAAATGGTGTGCTGAGGCAGACGGCGTAAAGACATGATACATCGTGGGGCGTTCATAGGCCGAGCAGTATCATTTCAATAGGACCGCACCTCTTTTTTGTGACCATATGCATGCGCGAGGCCTATTTTAGACAACACCATGAGTGAATTTTGATAAGGAAAGAGGATTGAGGCTTTTGCACTGCCTCTGAGAGTTGGTACCTTGAGCGCTCCCACGGTGCTGACACATGACGCGGCATATTTGGTGGCGATATAAAAACGCCGAGGTGTGATGGCGCTCGATCAATGGGCTCTTGGGTCTGCAGTTCATGCAGGTCAAAGCGCCTCGGATACGGCAGGGTTCGGGCCGCAGAATATGACACAATTGAACAATCTACCGTCTAATGTCGTGTAACAGTCTGGTTACTATTTCCCGAGCAATAGAATAGAAGGTCACACCATCCACTCCTTCCGATATTTAAGTGCTTGATTATAAATCGAAATTCTGGTTTACACCACGGTGGCGAAATTCCAGAAAAAAAAAACCAAGAAAATAGTTACATGTCCGGTGGACCGTATGTCTATTCGAGAGAATCTTCGATCAAAGATCGGTAAGAAATGATTGTGTATTGGTGTATCGTCCCATGTCAGGCATCCTTTACAAAGCGTTCCTCAAGCGAACAACCCCTGCAAAGAGAACAGCGCAGATTCCTGTGGCCATCTGAGCCCTGCCCAGTAAGACAGAGCTAGAGGACTGAAGAGTCAAGCTACCGATATGAATCAAAACCCAAATGCCAAAGATGATCGCTATATGCTCCAAAAGACGCAGCAATGTATGAGAACCGAACGTAAATCGCTCTGCCAAAAGGTACCGGATAAGAGCTATCTGATAGTCACTTTGCTGATATGGATCCAGATAGCAGTAGACAAATCTATCCATGAAAGTGGGAGTAGGAGACTTGCGGGACAAGTGTATCACAGCCTGTCTGACTCGATGCATCCGTGACTTGTAAGTAGGAATCGTTTCAGGGAAAACGTTTTTGGATGAACAAATGTCTTTTAGCTGGCTAGCATCAGAAGTCCACAGGTACTGGGATTGCGAATCTGCTACTAGTGAGAAAGTGCTAAGCTCTTTTTCCAACCCTGCAAATGGCTCTGTGTATTGAAGGATTTGAGTATAGAAAGCCGGACTTAGAACACGAACGGTCAGTCCCGATTGAGCAGCTGATTCCTGTGGGCCAAGCTCAGTAGAAGGGGAATAAAAAATCTCAGGAAAGTGCCAGTGCGATTTTGAAGGCTCATAAACCACCTTCAAAGGTTGGGGACAGTGGGCGACGGCGTGAGCAAGAAAACGACGGAAAAATCTCTCCAAGGAGCTATAGAGATATCAATTAGATGAAACTGTCCGGTAAAATAAAATATCTCACGACACTTACCGTTCAAGATGAGTTTCTTCTCGCGGAATGTTCGGGTTTTTCACTTCCGGTTTGCGGAGATAGGTGAGGTTCCCACGAAAGCGAACACGAAGTGCCTCATAGATAATGCGCTGCTTTGAAAGAGCGCCGATGTAGCCCCACCGACATATGAATCGCATCAGCTGCCATGGCGTTGCATGCAATGGGTCAAGTGGTTCGCCCCAAGAGTACAGACGACTAATAATCTTGGGCCGGCCATCGGGCGCATAGAGCGTCGTGTTACTATGCAGTGGACCCTTCGTTCCTGACAAGGGATTACATGGGTCGCTACACGTAGTCGTAAAATACCCCTCTACCTTCTCAAATGGCGAAAGGAAAAAGTCCTTATCCCAGTTTCCTTTGTAAATCTTGGACTTGGAAGCTGAGCCAACAAATCTGGCGTGCTGTAGGCAGCTAGCGGTCTGAAACGGAACTGAATCGACGATGCTAATACTGTGATTGGCATCCGCATCAGCACTACCTGCATTGAGCCTGAAGAAAGCAGCTTTTCGTTCACCGAACGAATTGTTCACTTCCATAACCATAGCATCAAGCTCGCGTGATGGATTATAGAGTAGCCACCATGATACAGCATTCCGGGTAAACCAAAGGAACTTGGGTATGCTGATCATGTAGGCGTATGGCCACTGCTGAGGATCCTCGCCCTAGTATTGGTTAGAATGGAACTGGTGTACCATGTGATATTGATTTCCGTACCCGAGACAAAAGGTGGCGATGCAACTTGCCCTGTAACCCCGATTCACTATTTCCAGGCTCCAGGTAGTGGCGTTGATCAATTTTGAACCAGCACTTGGTTGACCTAGTTGACCTATTTGGGTCATCCGGGGCAGGCTGTGCGGTATCAATTGACAGCACCGAGCCCACTCTGCCACGAAGACTGACAGGGATGCCGACAAGAAAGTAATCGTATGTATAGTTGTACCGTTCAGGAAACATGCGCGAGTGAGAAAGCTTGGTTGGAAACAGTAGTGGTCTCCCTATAAAGTCTTTGTCTTTCTCCAAGGCGCTGAGTTTGCCGTTGAGAATCAACCTACGTCGAAAAAAGGCCGCTTGGAACAACCAAGTCAGACCAACGGTGAGGAAAGTTCCCACAAGAATCATGACTGTGGTCGGCAGCACAATCACCCATCGGGTTCGAGAATATTGGTATAGCAGGGTGGCTATTGCGAAGTGGCAATAATGCTTTAATGCATTACCTGTATCAGCTCGGGGCAAGAGAACGACTGATAAAATGCCACAGAGGCCTGCAATAGCTGAGAAATCAGCAAGGCAACTCATGTTGAGCTTTCAGAAAGAAGTTTATGAAACAATAGAAAATTGGTCCTGTAGCATGCTTTCAAAATGAACATTTCTTTATAGCATTCTTCTTTGGTATTTAGTGAGGATACATTGCCATAACCTTTTTTGTTTCCTGGCTTTGAAATCTGTGTTATACCCCTTTGGGAGTGTCAGATAATGCACGATGCTGCTTTGAGTGATTAGAATGCCTGTTTTTGACACCCCCCCTCCTGTCCACACCATCTTTTTTAAAGCGTTCAAATTAACAATTGACACTAGAAATGGAGCGGTTAAGTCGGTTATTGAAAAAACTCTCTGGGCCAGCCTTACCGAGCAATTGGGAAGCCGAATATGAGCTTCGCCACAGGATGCCCAACATCACATGGGAAAAAGTTTGTATATCGGAGTAAATCTGCGGTATCTAGGATTTTAGGATAAATCCCATTGAACATTTATTCTCTTCAGATGCCAGCTTCGCATACACAATAATAGTCTTCGCATTAACAGCAATCTCACCAACACCTGGCTTGTGAGGCAAGAAAGAAATCATACTTTTTTCAGAGCTAAAATCTCACAACAAAGCAAAATGCCAACTAATAAAACGACAAGTAAGCCATTTGTTCGAGTCATGGTCATCGGAGCTGGCTTTTCTGGGTTGGCAATGGGATGTCAAATTAAAAAACAGCTCAAGTGCGACGATTTGGTGATCTATGACCGGATGCCCAGGGCTGGTGGAACGTGGTGGTCGAACAAATGTGAGAACATTACACTTTATCGACGCTTTTAGAGATACTAACCCATAAGAAAGACCCCGGATGTGGAGTAGATATTCCGGCCGTCTTCTATAGTCTCTCATTTGCTCCGAATCCCCATTTTTCGAAAGTCTTTCCGAAGCAAGACGAGATATTGGACTATATCAATCAGGTCGCAGCAGAGCATGGTGTGTTTCGTCATATCGTATGTCATGTTCAGTGGGAAGAGGCTCGCTGGAACGAAGACACGAGCACCTGGCAAGTCCGACTGCGAGATTTATCAACCGACGTGTGCTTCGAACAAGAGTGTAAAATCCTTATTTCTGCGGTAGGAGGTCTATCCGTCCCAAAGTTGGTGAACATCAAGGATGCGGACGTGTTTGAGGGAGAAATTGTTCATACGGCCCAATGGAACCATGATGTCTGCCTCCGTGATAGAGATTTCGTCGTGATTGGCAACGGGTGTAAGGTGGGCAATCAAACTTTCAATATAAGATGGCTAATTCTGGATATGGGATAGCGTCAGCTTCTCAACTCATCCCGTCCATTGTCGATGAAACGAAGACAATTACTCAGTTCATGCGAGTCAGTCAACAACCTGACCATGCTAATCTAAGATATATTTGCTGATCCGATCTATAGACACCGCAGCACTATATGCCGAGCGCGAATATAGTCATTAGTCTCTTTCTGAGGAAGGCTTTGCAGTACATTCCCTCACTTTTATGGTTACTACGGACATCTGTTTTTGCCTACCTTGAAACCTCAGGTCCCCAGTTAACATTACCGCCAAAGGTGAAGCTCTGAGAAAAGTGGCAACGGAAACAAGCGAACGATACATTCGAGCCAATGCACCGGGTAATAATTTACTTTGAATTTCCTTTCCGTCCCTTCCAAATGTCTTCTTTCTTCTAACAGAGTGTGGAATTGTGTCTTAGAGGAATATTGGTCACTTCTAATGCCCACCTTTGACATGGGATGCAAGGTAAGATGTCCAGCCCTGACCAATTATTCTCAATAGCGAAGCCCTAACACCATAATTGAGCGACGAGTGTTTGATAACGATGGCTATATCCCATGTCTTCGCCGAGAAAACGTTCACTTGACAGCGGATCCTATTGTAGCTATCCAGCCTCGCTCGGTGCTGACGAGATCAGGCAAAGCCTACCCAGCTGATACAATTGTAGGTGCCACACAAGGTTATTGGGACGTACACTCAGTTCTAATCGAGGCTTAAATAGATTCTGGCAACTGGTTTTACGACTGCTCAGTTCGATGTTAAGCTCTTTGGTCGGAATGGACTTTCACGAGATGTTCATTGGAATGAGATTGGAGGCATGTCCGCCTTCAAAACGGTCGCGATGGCAAATTTTCCAAATTTCTTTTATATTTTAGGACCGCATTCTGGACGGGGCCATACGTCGACTATTTTTGCTGCAGAGAGGTATTACTTTTTGATGGGGTTTTTCTCTAATTTAGATATGGTTAGCTGACACCGCGTTAGCTTCGTTAATTTGGTCATTCGGGCTATCAAGGATGTCATCAATGGTCGTGCCAAGTCTGTGGAGGTCAGGCATTCGAGCGAGAGGTCTTTCCACGAAAGAATTGTGAATGCCCTTGATAGAACTGTGTATACTGGTAGATGTGGAAGCGTACGCCTACAGCCCACGCCTACAGCCCGAGTGACAACACAGGATCACTAACAAGTTCTCCGACAGTGGTATATTGATCAGAGAACCGGGAAGAACTGGTTTATATATCCCTGGAGTTCACTCACTATGTGGTACTCTACGCACATTGATGGGATGGACGATTGGGTATATGAGGTAAGCTTCCAATATTATGAATATACGGTTCTTCAGCTCACCTTTTGAAGCGGAATCAGACTGGAGATGCGGGACGGGATTACAACAATCACTATACGGGGCTTGTGATTATTGCTCTTGTCGCTTTCATATGGATAAAATCCACGATCGGATATCATGATACGAAATGATTCCAAATCATCATTGTAAATGCCGGAATTGATGGGTCATGGCCTATACTGGACGCTACCTTTTATAATTTATCGTTTGGGCACCTTTACTCTTGATTGCGAATTTACTTTTTCTCTAATTAGTCACCACTCCAAATGGATAATCGAAGTGCTCAAGCCCTGTGAGTCCAAAATGATGACGATAATCTGGAGCGTTGATGGAGGGATGAAAGACAACCACACTAGTATCAGGATGATGAGATAAGACATGGATTTTGTTGAGGGCGAACTACTTTGATCTAACGAGATTTTCTTGCTTTTCCTTTCAGAGGATTTCGAAGGCGGATAACGCACGATAATTAACGTGTGGCGAAACTATTGTCTATTGTGCATGGCCCTGCCTTTCTGCATTCTGCCCCTCTAGCTGGTAGAATTGTCGTTACCGCTAGTAAATTGCCTGAATGCTCTGTGTTCACTATCACTGCAGCCAAGTTCGCCTATCATTGGTGCCGCAGGTCTGGCAGTTTCAGGCTAGGTGCTGGAAGGAACTTGTTTCGGAAATAGCGAGGCTTTTACTAGTTTTCCAGTATCCATTCCCATGTTTTTGTCTGAATACATTTGTTCGCTTTGTGAAGCGTCCGAGCGCATACTCGGCTGCTCAATCTATTGCTGCGTAGAGGACACCTCACTATGAGATAGTGACAACTGAATTTTGACCTCTCGTGATGAATCTTATTACAGGAGCTGCTATTCTGCCCCTTGGATTGATCGGCTGAATCGGGAAGCTTAGGAAGGCGAGATGCCTAAGGTACAGAAAGGTAGACAGAAGCAGACATTTATTTTCCTTCTAGGCAGCAGAGGTTTTCTTACAAAGATGAAAAGCAAAGCATGGCAATAGGAGAAGTAAGCAACTGCCTTGAGGAATTAAAGAGAAAATGGACGCTTACGTGCTTGAAGGAACGTTTCTATCTTGAAACCGTTACGTGGATTTTCTCAGTTCCACGATCCCCAATGCTACTTTGTGTATTCACATCATTGTCCCGTCAAAGCTTTGTGTAACAAATGTTGACTATCAGAGAGATTTGATTAGTTTATTTATTGATTCTATCTCAATATGTTCCTAAATAGCCTAACATTGATGACTTACTCTAGTGTGAGACCGTATTTAAAGAGCCCCTGGATTGTCTCGTTATATCTGGGACGTCTATCTACTAAACATCAACGTAAATTAGGATTCAGTGGAACTTGAACCTTAGATAATGTGCCAGTCATTAAAAGGTGCCAGCTGAATTTATCATACTCGAGCTGTGAATGTATACCGTTCACGACTTTTCGAAAAGCACTTCAGTAAAACATTCAATAGATATGAACATAATTTGAAATATGTGCATCACGTACTGTGACAATTTCCCTGGGAATACCTCGTGCGTGCGTAACTTCACTAACACCAGCCTCAAATTTCCGCAATGTGAGCATATATAGAATTTCCGAATCGTTCATATCAGTCCGAAGAGTCAGAGAGAATAATGAATTGGAAGGAGAGGACTGGCAACAGTGTCATGGCCACTCTTATAATGCTGGCAAGGGGGAGGGGTGGGGTAGGCGGCTGCCTGCTCACGAGAGTCAACTGTCTATTCGGGGGAAATTGTCAACCATCAAGACGAAAAGAAACCATCAGTGGCATGACCCTTCTGTCAAGCCTCGCTCGAGAACAATGACCCTCATCCTTTACCAAATCTTAGATCTGGCCGAATGGATTGATTGAAGAACCTTTTTCTAAGTGCAACACGGAATGGAAGTTGAATATTAGACTAAATTAGTCTAAACTGCAGCGCAAAGTGTGCTGGAAGACACGATCTGATGATTACGGAAACCTTAGTTGACCTGACTTGACCTATTTCTTGTTCCATCACAAAATGCATTGAGTGATATCCGAAGTTCAACTGAAAATATAGGGTAGAACCATAGATTTCGTACCTTTAAAGGCTGACTTTTTGTTATCTATGTGTAACATATGAGGTATTTATAGTGGTATTTAACCCCTATAAAACTAGTTTTTTTGCATGTTTTATGAAAAATACATATAATTGAGACCCACTTTCATGGGCCCGGGCCAATCCAACCCATATGCGCACCCATTTGCCGAAGCCTAGAAGTCAGAGATGATCTGACAAGGGACTTGAAATCCTGTTATTACGTTATGTTGGTTGAGTTACCCTTGTTTGAATTATTGAAAGTTGATGAATTGTCCCGCTCGCTTATGAAGTAGGTTTATTATCTTGATGACTGAGCGGTTTAATGACCATTATTATGCAAAAGTTGGGTCGAATCGGGTCGAGTTGGGCTTTATTAGGGCCCCAGTATTGGGCCTAGGTTAGCTCCGGGCCAGAGAAGTTCAGCTCGGACCTCGCCTGGGCTGGGTTCTAGGTCGAGACCTCCAAGTTGGGTTATGCGGAAGTCGCATGGACCACGCGTCCCCTACTTGGGGGCCGTTTCAGCCGCATAAATCCTAGGCCGCGGTCGCCATAACTAACTGTACGAAACCTCAATAGTCTGAATGCATGGAAAAGCTGCCCTGGAGACATGAGCAAGTGATCATGGCCAAGCGCAAGAGAGCCAGAATTGACACTAGGGTTACTCCGGTCAGTCGGCCGGACTCAATATCACGGCTGTTAAGCCTCCCCCAAGAAATTCGCTATTTGAATTGGGAAGCAGTGGTAGCCGATCCGATTTTAGTGGGCGTGAAAGCCAGACGGGGTGCACCGATGCAGGTCATGGATGTCTGGTCAGTCGCCCTGGGTCCGGAATGGGCAAGTCAGCGCTGCGATAAATGGCACTGTCCGGCACGACATAAGAAGAAGACTCGAGGAACTGGGCCTTTGAGCTGGCTCCGAACGAATCGGCAAATCTACAACGAAGCACAATCCGTTCTTTATGATAATATGAGTTTCCTCATCTGCGATCCTATTGTGCTGGAGACCATTCTCTCTGACCAACTGCCCAAATCGAGTTTGAAGCCCGAGACTATCTCGTCGCTCTCTTTCTGCCAAAAACTTCTCATCGAGCACGATCGCGGGGATGGGTTCACATTCATGAAGGGTCCGTTGAGCCACAGTAATCTTTACTGGATGTGGTGTTTTGCCTGGAAAAGATTACCCGAAGACGGCGAAACATTGGATAAACGGATGATCATGCATAAGGAGGTCCGCATCCGAATGTATTTCAGCTGCCAAGGGGGCAACGATCGACTGGTGATCGGTCATTTCAAGGATGGGGGGCCTAAGAAGGGGGTCTTGTATCGGCCGAGGGATGCCCGCCTATTGGTCTGCCAGGACGATGAAGAAAGCGTTGGGGAGGTAGGTAAGGCCCTGTGTGAGAAGATGCCATTGAACATGTTCAAAAGCGGCAGCGAGAAATACGTGCAGGTGCAGATCCACCTGGACAGTATTCACCACAACGATCAAAACAAGTGCGGACATCCATGCGACGTCTGTTGGTGTAAAAAGCGGGAGATCGATGGCGACATATTTCCCGGAACTGCACTCACTAGCGCGGTTCGGAGGCATTTATTATCGACGAACTGAGTCTCGTAGCTTGCCAGCCATGGCGTGCTACAAGATTCGGCGAGCCGGAAAAATTCCCCAGCCTGGCGCGGTACCTAGTGTAGTGGGGATACCAGGTCCTCCTGAGCCAACTAAATCTCAATAGAACCTGTGGCCTCGGAAGAGCCGAAAGTCGGAAGTTTATGGGGTAAATGTGTGGGGTAACATGGAGGTCCTCGGGAGGGGGCTCGGAAAGTCGGGTTTTGGATTGTGGGGTGCATATTATACAGTACTAAGAGCCACTCTATTGGCAGAAGGTATTTGAAAATCGGCAACTGATAATAGCGACCAATATAAATACAGCTACTTCTTGGGACTAAACGGGTCTATGTGGCTACGGAGAAGATCTACCATTGGCTGGTCCCCTGGTTTCTTGCCGAGCCAACGAAGTCAAAGCTGGGGATTTTCCCATGTAGCCATTGCTCAAATGCCGATTTGTATGAGTAGCCGTGAATTAAAACTTACAAAAAGGAACTTGCTTCTTTGGCATTATTGACACAGAAGTGAGAACATCCTCATTACCAAAATGCGTTCGTTCCTCAGCATCGCGGGCTTTGCCTTGCTTCTTGACCAAGTCCATTGCCACATCAACTCGCTAGATGTTCCGAAGCCTCTTAAAGATAGTAGGCCTGTCTCGAGAGACTTTCAATCATTTTCAATTGAATTTGCCTTTTTCCCTGATTATGCTGGAAATCAGTCGCACCCGAATAAGTTTTCCAAAAATCTGCTCGCGAACTTCGAAAGCATTACTGGGGTTTTCCCCAAAGTGAGAGTGGGAGGAACTACCCAGTAAGCATCCTTCAAAAAATAAACCGAAATCTCCTTTTTGCATACTAATTCGGGGCTCAGGGATAAATCAAATTTCTTTCCGGACCAAGAAGAAGGCATCAAGCTCTTCTTTCAAAAAGCGACAGACGACCAGCCATACCAAATCAACTACGGCCCAGCGTTTTTCGAGTCATATCACACACTAGGCAACATCAACTTCTTCCATGGCTTGAACATGAATCAAAATAGCTCGATGGAGCAGCTTGCAGAAGCAGCCATTGTGGCATGCCAGTCGATCGGACCCCAGTTAGAGCTATTCGAGCTGGGCAACGAGTGGAACTATGCAGCTAAAAACTATAGACCTGGAAACTACTCTGAGCTAGACTATACTCAGGAATGGAACCGAAAGTCTGCCTTTGTTCACGCCGCGGTCAAGAAAGCTTGTCCTGGACTGTCTCCTGGATTTATGGCGCCTAGCTTTGTCTTACTCGATGATACCGATTCCAGCGGGTGGACAGCGGAGGAACTTTACAACCTTGGATATGACCCTAATGATCTGACCCGGGAGCTTTCATTCCACAAGTGAGTTGTCTCAGTCTATTTGTTTCAATGGGTGTGACATTCAGTAAAATTAACATGTGGACTTACAGCTATATGGGTGCTAACGCGCCACCCAATCCACCTGCTGCACGACAACTTCAAGGTATGCAGCATACACAAATACATATACCTATCATTCTTTTTTTGTCGGCACTAACGAAAACAGAAACCTTGATGAACCACACAAACATTGTTAGCAACCTAGACGCACAAATCAAACGATCAAACGAACTCGCCTACCTTGGTCATCCCTACACCCTAGGAGAATTGAATTCAATGGCAAATCAGGGTATTGACGGCGTCACTAATGTCTTCGGCGATGCATTATGGCTCGTTGACTTCTCTCTCTGGTCTGCAGCAAACGTAAGTCTTCCTGCAATATTCAAGTGTACACAATTTGCATACAATGCTGAACCAGATACAGAACATCGAACGCCTCCACTTTCATCAAGGACTAAACTATCGATACGCTTCGTGGCAGCCGATCACAAGTGAAGGCGAGCCACCAGCTACCAGACCCCCGTACTATGGTCAAATCATGGTTGCGAGCGCTATTGGGCACTCAGAAGATACTCGCGTCGTTAATATCCCTCTTTCAGAAGACACGGAGTCGGCCTACGCTATTTACAATGGGGATAAGTTGAGAAAAATTGCCGTCGTGAATATGAGGGCTTACAATGCCACGAATACAGAGAGTCGCCCGAATAGGGAATACAAATTCAGGGTTGCGGGCATTCACCATGCCAGGGTTGAGAGATTGACTGCACCTGGAAGTGAATCTCTAGAGAATGTGACTTTTGGAGGTGTTTCTTATGATTATTCCCGGAAAGGAGGCATGCCTTTTGTTATCGATAAGATAGAAGAGAACTTGGTTGTTGAGTCTGGGATTTTGAGTGTTGATGTGCCTGACTCTTCAGCTGTTCTTGTGTCATTTTACACGGCTTGAAGACCATCTTGTATTCCAAAGGGAGAAATTTTCGTTGGTTTGTACTAAAGTGAACAATTGAGACTTTATATACAACGATAAGATCAATTTGATTTTCAATTACTTTGATCCATTACACATAGAAATTTCGGGACTATTCAGAAGTTGCGGTTTAGTTCCCGATCTACACAAGCCTCATATCACAACAACATGTTTTGCTGACCTAACCTTCTGTAAACCTGAAAATTTTACCTTCAGTATTACAGTCAATGGTTTCAAGTTCAACTTTCAATTTAGCAGCCCAAGTTCGTGCAAGACTACCTTTAGGGAGGGAGCCGTTTTCGCTGACGACTCAGAGAAACACAGCCTGCTACCAAACAGCCGTTTCGGCAAGGGCGAAGAAAAATTCTTGTACTATAGTGTCGGTTTTGATGAAGAGGAGAGGTCTAATCTGGTGAAGGTGGAAATCGAAGATCACTTCGGTAGTCGAGGCGACTATCATTTCCTCTCCACTGCGGTTGTATAGCGCTCTTCCTCCCAGCACAGGGTCAGCGTAGTGGTCGCGCGACTTGAGGTGATTCTCAACCTGGTTCTCACGCGGGCGAGACCCACTCAACTATTCTATCAGCGCTATCACAAAAACACAAGCGTTAGCATGCAAGCCTTGTAAAGAATCCAACAAATAGCGGAGTCAGTCTTGCCGCCCACGATGGTCTTTCAGATACGAAAGGAAAATCAATACTAGCTTATACATGAGGGTACTCCGTATAATAATCCGTATCCGGATTTTAAGAGGTTTCCACTCTCTACCCTGCCCTTTTTTCACCCACCTCACCTCGCTGCTTCTGTTCTTTATTTGTTTCCTTCTCTTCAGCGGGCAGCGAAAAATTGTCACTCAAACGCTGGCCTCAACATGGTCTCCAACAAGCTGTCCAGCGTCAACCGATCTTTGGGAAATCTACATAACAACCAGCGCTGTGTTCTTTCTCCTTGGTCCTTTGACTGCAACTTCTGATTGCGCGCCCTCTGGCTATAACCCGACAGTTCCCTATTATGCCGCTTCCTGTCCAACAGGTTACACTTCAGCCTGTGCAAATGGCCTCGACGATGCGACAACCGTTTGCTGTCCTACGTGAGCTCCCAAGCTTATATTCCCTTATCTTATATGACTGACGATTATGAGGCCAGTGCACGCGCCCTAACATGTGCGTCAAGCGCAAAGGTTTATAATTCACTCACTCTGAGCTGCGAAGAGAGGTTCGCGAGCTCGTATACCGCTAAGGTCACCACGACCTCGGTCTTTGTTGACACCGATGAAACCGGGACGGCGACCGTCGTTTTCACCCCTGATTTTGATGCGGTCAACGCGTTTGGACTAGAATATATTCCGGTAAGTTCTCTCATACCCAATTGACCCATATTCTTAATATCTAATACGAAATATATCTCTTCAGATGACTTCTACAAGTAGTAGTTCCTCTACGGCCGAAGCGACCCCAACCGCAACAGCTACAACCGCAACAACTAAATTATCCTCATCTACTGTGACGACTACCTCTACTACATCGACCGCTGCAAATAACACTAATAAGACTAGTCTATCTAGCGGGGCGATTGCCGGTATTGTGGTGGCAGCCGTCGCTTTCATTCTCATCATCGCCCTAACTTGGAACCGCTCAAAGATCACTATGTGGACTCACCGACATAGCGCTCCACGACCAGATAGGATAGAGAAAAATATGTACTCGAATACCTTCCAGTCAAGTCCAGGCTAGCATCCCACTGGAGATTCCGCCGCACGTGTGGTATGGCCTGCAGAACTAGAATCGGCGCGTGGGGCTTCGGAGCTGTCATCAACGCGACATTTTGTGGAGATGGAAGGAACAGCGGTCTACGAGAAAGGACCACGATCGTAATCAACAGACAGCCAGCTGCATAGTATCACATGCAGTCAACCTTGGAAATGCGGAGCATCCAGGAAGAGTCCTACACGGAAATGAGCAAGCGGAAGAGAAGGGCGGTGGATTTCGGGGTCGCAAGCTTGATCTGAAGATTTTTGACTGGACAATTGACGTACTTGTTGTACAGTAGGGTGTCTCCTCCTTGGGCTGCCCAAGTGATTATATTCTCGTAACTGCTTGTCTGCTCTCTTTATTGCTTATTAGACTGCTTCTCATGTCTGCCACTGACTGATCGGTCAGCAAATGAGGATGAGATAGACACGCTCGCAGAAGCCTTCATTGACTTGGCCGTTTGGGATACAGAAGAGCCACTAATCTGAGTGGTCTCTCAATCCGAAAACAGGCGTCCTCCAAGCTCGATCCTCCTGGCGAAGAGGGTGCCTGATATCCGCGTTAGTGTACCCTTCCCTGCACTAAGATACAATATATCACGTACCGAAACGTGTAGTGGAATTCTTAACATCCTCACTGTTCTACACCTGCTCCAGACTGTCATCACACTCCTTGAATGACTCCAGGTTTTCAGGGTTCAGGTGGAGTACGACCCTAGGGAACGAAGAGGATGGCTTATCAGCATGTAAAGCGGCAAGAAGCCGGTTCAATCAAGACATACATTGAAAGATATGTTCAAAAAGCTCATGTCATCTCTTTTATATGTGGCTTTAGCCTTTTCTTTGCTCCTTATATTCGGCCTTGACCGCAGCAGAGATGCCAAAAGCTCCCCCGCCGCTGAACATCGAGATCATTCAGAAATAAAGTATTGATAAATGTAGTTCACAGAAGGGACTTACGCAGAGGCCTCGACTGCAGTCTGCGAAAATGAACTTTGTGCGAGTGCAGTGGCAACCGAGGTCTTAGTTTCGAAGACATCCACCGAGGAATCATCAACCACCCGAAGGCGTGGTATATTGAGGGATTGCTTAAGAGTATTAAGATGCCGTTCCAGCGATTATTTCAGGATCCCGAGAAATCAACTGACCGTGCCGCCGATTTTTCAAGCGTAGTGTAGGAAACTTGGTACGGTTCGAAGTGGCGCGATTTGAGTTCAAATGCTAATAACCTTAGCCCTAATCACAAAGCCTCACTAGTACTTGTACGAGTTCTACCAGAATATCCCTGTCAGGGGGGGCTAGTATTGTTTCTTACACAGAGCAAGGCTGTAGTGGGGTGTGTTGGCTTCTAAATTCAATATTAGGCTCGAAATTTCTACACCCAGCCTCGAAAACAGTCGCCAGAGTAGGCCTATAGGATTCTATAACTCTCTTAGGACCATTTCCCATCCAAATCTGGAACTGCGACGACAAAAGCGGTCTCCATGCTCCAAAGAGACTATTTGCTTCCAGACATAAGTTGTACATCGCTGAAATAAAGAGTACATATTATTAGCTAGCACTTACCGCCAGAATTTCCATCTCCCAAATAAGAACAAGAAGTCACCTGATGGCGGGCTGAGGCTGACACGCTTCCCCGCACGTTTCCCCTAGAAATTGGAGAAACCTTCTGTTGCCGTGATCATGGCTTCCCTGAGATCATCTGCTGCCTCGAAAACTGGTTCTCAACTTGGTGTTAATCATGGGACTATTCGGGTAAGTTGAATCCATATTGAAGAAAAGCTATTATCTTTGTTACATCCATGACTGACCGGGAAGCTATCATGGTGAACTTAGCATCGAGTGGATGTTGAACAAGACAATGATGATTTCCGAAGAGAACTTCAAAAAATGGGAGTTGGACTTCGGGAGGAAATTCAAGGACTCCGAGTTAAACTTCAGCATCTGGAGAAGCTTGTTGGGGAAGACTCTGACACCATATTACTCTCTGCTGGGGCCCCTTCATCTGCCGGCTTCTTCAGGTTTCGAACATGCGTTGTCCTATTTTTCCTGATCTTCCTTAATGTTGCGGGAAGCGCTATTCTTGGCATATACTGGGCGATCCGTTTCGATAAGATGGGAGATGGCTTCACCGCAGCTGGGTGGTTAGTTGCGATTGGTACTCTTCTACTGGCTGGACCCATTGCTTATCACTACCCTCGATGTTCGTGCTGGAAAACAAAGGACAACCCCTACATGGGCAGGGTCAATACACTGGAATAGCTGCATAGGTCTTGTTCCACGAGTATACGTCTTATTATCTGATTCAAAAGACCAGGGTATATTATAATGGAGCTCATAGATGAGAAGATCATTGATCTATATAGCGGACGTTACAGCCATCGAGACGGTTGCGGGCATACTTAGTCACTTCATAACGTTAGTGAGTATCATCGATAGCCCTCTGCACAGGGACTTTTGTCTTGGCCTCTTATTCCACGAGACCAAACACTTCAAGAACTTATTTTTAATAGCCTTCACGAGACAGAGAAAGGGTTTAATAGCCGACTTTTCGCGCATAACTCGAAATTGAGTTTCCAGAACTGCAAGCTCGTGCTTTGCCATTTAGAAATAGCACCTCGAAATATCATGCGATAGAAAGATGGCTTCTCCAGCCTTATTGATTGTGTTATTTGCAGGCTACTGTGCGCAGTGGAAGAATGAGGAAAAAGAGGGGCACATCCAATTCCCTAATTCTGAGCTCAATGAGTCCCCTCTCGGATAAAGAGATAGCACCAAATGAGGCTGTGATGTTTTCTTGCAGGAATATCCAAAAGTATGCTTTGTAAGAGTACAGACTTCCGGCTTCTCTTGATCCAAACTTATCATCCTGGTCAACCGAAAGGTTAAAGACGTGACGAATGCTGTTGAGAAATTCCACGAGTCTTACCCTTGTGCCTCCTTTCCCGATGCCGGAATACTTACCGGACTGGCATTAGCAGTTATTCAGACCTGAGTAAGCCCACATCTCCTCCGGCCACCTGAAGCCAAATTCTCTTCGAGCACTTCTGCTTTGCCTAGGATATGTAGACAATTGCCCGTTTTTTCCTTGAGGTTTTAAGCAGCGGCCTTTGTTTGAGGTTTTTACCCTACTACAATCTGTGTGCCTTGGGTTGAGGCAGGTCTAGAGACATTGACCGAGAAAGACAAAAGGGCCTTCAAGGCGATGCTTCAATCGATACTAGTCTTCCGGCTGAATGAAAGAATCACGTCGCAATATGTATTCCCCTTAGGACAGTAAAATTACAGCGGCCAGGATAAGCTACTAACCGAAGCAGCGGCAGCAACTAGAGACGAAAAAAACCCTGAGTCGTTTGGTTGTGCGGTGGAGACTGACATAATGTATTTTCCTCTCGGCGCGACGGCGCGCGACGGCCAACCTTGCGGGCGTTCTTGGCTGTAAGCAGATAACGCGGCCCACCCTCATTTGCAATTTCAATGACGGGAGATACGGATATCGGACAAGTTCGGATGGATATAATGAATATTTGTAGGTATATAGACGGCTTTGTCTCTGTGATGAGATCAATAAATCCATACTTGACTCTATATCCCCTTATCCTCCGTTGGTATACTCCTGCTTCTTGATTATCCTTGTTTAGACTAATGTGCCAAGATTGTATAGAACTTCCCAATGACTCCAATATATTCCACTGGGGCTAAGGAACAGCCTCTGACAATTTCCCAATGGCGTGAATTACAAAAGAATGTTTCCGAGCCAACTCACATTTTGTCGCTGCTCGAGAGAGCGCAACCAAACACATCAAATGCATGGATTTCATTGGCAACGCCTGAGCAAATCACTGCCCAATGGGAAATGATCACAGCGCTTCGATCACAGGCCAAAGATCTTCCACTGTACGGCGTGCCATTCGCCGCTAAGGATAATATTGACGCCGCTGGGTTCTGCACAACGGCCGCATGCCCGTCATTTGGTACTGAGTCTGTTGCACATGATTCAACAGTTGTGAAACTGCTGAAGTCTCATGGAGCCATTATTATTGGCAAGACTAACCTTGACCAGTTTGCCACCGGTCTTGTCGGAACGCGTTCACCGTATGGAGCCGTTGCCAATTCTTTCGATCCAAATCGAGTCAGCGGCGGGAGCAGCTCGGGGAGTAGCGTGGTTGTCGCCCAGGGACTGGTTCCTTTCTCTCTTGGCACAGACACAGCAGGCTCAGGTCGGATACCGGCAGGGTTCAATAACATTGTTGGACTCAAACCTACACGCGGGGCTTTGAGTGCACAGGGCGTGATACCAGCCTGCCGCTCGCTCGATTGTGTTTCTATCTTCGCCCTGACTCTTGAAGATGCTGAACTGGTCCTACAACTGGCTGAGGGGTATGATGTTCAGGATGCATACTCGAGAGATCGTACCAGCTGTGCTACTGACAAGTCTCCTCGAGGATCTTTGCCTCCCCAGCCGACACTGGCTATATGCTCCAGCCCCGAATGGTTCGGCCAGACCGAGCAAGCTGCGGCATATCAAGTGGCATTGGCAAAAGCCCAACAGATGGGATGGAACCTAGAGCCCGTTGATTTTACACCCCTCTTCTCTCTTGCCAGTCTTCTGTATGAAGGTCCGTGGGTTGCTGAGCGACATGCCGCTATCGAGAAGTTCATCCGCTTAGTGCCAGCCGAGGCCATGGACCCGGTTGTTCGGAGTATCATCATGAAAGCAGAACAATTCTCCGCTACGGATTTCTTCGAGTGCGAGTACCGCCGGCAAGGACTGTCCAGTGATATCGAACAGATCTTCAGCCAGTACGACGCGCTGCTAGTGCCAACAGCTCCCACATTCCCGTCGATGAAAGATCTCAAGGATGAGCCGGTCGCAGCAAACAGTCAATTGGGTATATATACCAACTTCGTGAATTTTCTGGATTGGTCTGCTTTGGCAATTCCTGCTGGATGGAGAGAAGACAATCTTCCCTTTGGCATCACGCTGATAGGAGGGACATGGGAAGAGCCGCGATTGCTAGAGCTCGCTCGGCGCTGGATGTCTGATTCCCCGCGCTTGCTGGGAGCGACAGGTGTAAAATATCGAGAGCTTTGCTCTAGAATTTCTGTCACCTTGAATTCGATACATTTAGCGGTAGTTGGTGCCCATCTTTCCGGCTTCCCTCTGAATAAGGATCTGGTCTCGCGGGGTGCAACCTTGGTCAAAGCTACAACCACAGCTCCGTGTTATCAGCTATTTGCACTAAATTCGACAGGCTCCGTATCAAAACCAGGGTTGAAAAGGGTTGCTGACGGTGGAGAGTCAATTGAAGTGGAGGTTTGGAACATGCCACTCGACAAGATGGGCAGCTTTCTCAGCACTGTTTCAGCGCCCTTGGGCATCGGATCAGTTGAGCTGCGAGATGGTCGCTGGGTTCACGGGTTCATCTGTGAGCCTGTGGGCTTCGAGAATGCAAAAGATGTCACCAGTTTTGGCGGATGGCGAGGATACACCCAGTCGCTCACCACTTCTACCACCGAATCGTCGCGCGCTGCATCTACTACGCCTGAAACCAGCATTAGTGAGGAACGTATCAGGACGGTTCTGGTTGCAAACCGTGGTGAAATTGCACTGCGCATCACTCGGACCCTGCGCGAGATGAAGATCTTGTCCGTGGCTATCTTCTCAGGTGCCGATGCTCGTGCACCACACGTTACCGCTGCGGATGTTGCACTTCCCCTGGTCGGAAACACTGTATCTGAAACATACCTGAACGGCAAGCAGATCTTGGCTATGGCTCTCAAAGCTAATGTCGATGCCATTATTCCTGGGTATGGTTTCCTCTCGGAGAATGCCGACTTTGCCGCTTCTGTCGAGGCTGCAGGTCTGGTATGGATTGGTCCAACTCCGGAGCAAATGCATGATTTGGGCTTGAAGCACTGTGCTCGTGATATCGCAGTCGCTGCCGGAATTCCTGTTGTTCCCGGAAGCAAGGGCTTAGTCACCAGTGTGGAAGATGCAGTGGTAGAAGCAGAGAAAATAGGCTATCCAGTGATGGTAAAAAGCACCGCTGGTGGGGGTGGAATCGGTCTTCAGCGGTGTGCTGATATTGATGCACTTCGAGAGGCATTTGATGGTGTTCGTCGACTGGGACAGGCAAACTTTGGTGATGATGGGGGTTTCATCGAGCATTTCATCGATCGAGCACGGCATATCGAGGTCCAGGTGCTTGGTGACGGCGCTGGTCGAGTCATTTGTGCTGGTGAGCGCGATTGTTCGCTGCAGCGTCGAAACCAGAAGGTCGTCGAAGAATCTCCTGCCAGTTTTGTCCCAATAAATGTCCGAGCTGACATGCGCCGCGCTGCTGGTTCTTTGACTGCATCCCTACAGTACCGCAATGTTGGTACCGTTGAATTCATCTTCGACATCGATACTGAGAGATTTTACTTTCTTGAGATGAACACACGTCTCCAGGTCGAGCACCCAGTGACCGAGGCCGTAACCGGCCTTGATCTTGTCGAATGTATGATGCAAATTGCCATGAATAATTGCACCGCTCTGTTCCCTGAGCGGATGAATGAGATTCCAGTCTGTGGTGCAGCGATTGAAGCTCGGGTCTATGCCGAAAGTCCCATTCAAGGGTTTCGACCTTCGCCCGGAAAGCTTCTGAACGTAGAGTTTCCAACTGGTGTCCGCATTGACACGTGGGTCAGTTCAGGCCAGGAGCTATCCTCATCTTTTGATCCGATGATTGCAAAAATCATCGCATACGGCGAAGACCGTCCAGCAGCCCTTCAGAAGCTTTCAGATGCTCTGGCAAAGACAGTTATTACTGGCGTGGAAACCAACCTGAGATATCTACAGCAAGTCATTGCTTGGGAGTCGTTCACCTCTGGGGCCTTCACGACAGGATCGCTCAATACCTTCCCGTATGAAGCTCAAGTCGTCGAGATCATTGATGCTGGGTCCGACACGACTGTACAGGACTTTCCTGGCCGTCAAGGCCTTTGGCATATTGGTGTGCCGCCCTCTGGCCCAATGGACTCCTATTCTTTTCGTCTCGCCAACAAAATAGTCGGTAATAATGACCAGGCTGCGGGGCTCGAGTGCTCGATCCAAGGCCCAACTCTGCTCTTCCACTCCCCAGCCATCTTTGCTGTTGTCGGTACTAATGCCCCTATATTTGTTGATGATGAACAAAAGGAGTCTGGCATGGCTATCAGAATTGAAGCTGGAAAAAGACTGTCCATTGGCACAGCCATCAACGGCTCCCGAGTTTATCTTGCCATTCGAGGCGGTGTTCAGGTTCCTGAAGTCCTAGGCAGCCGTTCGACCTTTGCGATCGGTCACCTCGGAGGACACCATGGACGCAGCCTTCGCATTGGTGATCTTCTCCCATTAGCACATGTCACAGAAGAGAAAATTCCATTGCTCAAGGTCCCAGTCTACTCTCTGCCAATAATTGAGAACCGAGAATGGGTCGTTGGTGCGATCCCTGGGCCACACGGTAGTCCGACTCATTTTACCCAGGATGGACTTCAGGAGCTTTTCAAAGGCGAATGGACTGTTCACTACAACAGCAATCGGCTTGGGGTCCGTCTAAGCGGGCCCCGTCCAGAGTGGGCACGGAAAACCGGCGGTGATGCTGGCTTGCATCCCTCCAACATTCACGATAGCCCTTATTCAATAGGGAATGTGAGCTTTACGGGCGATGAAGCAGTTGTCTTGACTGCAGATGGACCAAGTCTGGGAGGGTTTGTCGCGTTTGCCACAGTCGCAGACGCCGAGATGTGGAAGTTTGGTCAGATGCGACCAGGCGATCACCTTAGGTTCCACCCTATTTCTCTTGTCGATGCGCAGGTGCTTACAAGGGATCTGGAGCATTCTATCGCTACTCTCAGCCCGCTGGCCAATGGAGATATGAGACGAACAAGCTCTGTCTCTGTCCCCAGTTCAATTGTGAAGGAAATATCCGAAGCTGGCCGCTTCATTCGATGCTGCCAGGCAGGTGATCGAGCATTACTGCTAGAGTTCGGTGACGAAGATAACTTCACACTAAGACAAACATTTCACATCATGAGCTTCATCGATATGCATCGGATTTCTCCGATTCCAGGCGTTGAAGAGCTCACATCCGGGGTCCGAAGCCTGCATGTTCGCATGAAAGCGAACTTCTCACTACCTCAAGTCCTTGATGCGCTGGTCGCACACGAGGTTTCTCTTGGATCAGAGCTTCTCGCCCGACTACCTTCGCGCATCGTGCATATGCCTCTCGTCTTTAATGATGAAAGGAGCCGCAAAGCCATTGTCCGCTATACTTCAACTATTCGCTCCTCGGCACCGTATCTACCCAGCAATATTGAGTTCCTACAGAAGTTGAACGGATTTGATAGCCCCGATCGGGTGGAAAGCAATCTCTACGAAGGCAGGTTCCTCGTATTGGGCCTTGGCGATGTGTACCAGGGGTCTCCCTGTGCGGTACCACTTGATCCCCGCCATCGACTATTCGGAACGAAGTACAACCCATCCCGTTCCTTCACCCCTCGAGGCGCCGTCGGTATTGCTGGCCAATATCTATGCGTGTATGCAACCGATTCACCTGGCGGGTATCAGCTCGTCGGTCGTACTGTTCCCATCTGGGATGAGTTCCACAAACCCGGACTGGCCGACAAGGTCCCGTGGACTTTCTCACTCCTAGATCAGATTCGGTTTTATCCTGTTACTGAGGAAGAACTCTCAGCAGCAGAAGCCGACGGAACCTCCAATGATCTTATAAAAATCTCTGACAGTGAGCTAGACCTCAATGAATACGAGAAGTGGCTGGCAGAGAATGAGGAAGATATCACTGCTGTTAGGGAGCAACGATCAAAGGCAGTACACGAAGCGGACTTTCTCAACGATTTGCTCCGCCCATATGATCCGATCGCAATGAGGCTAAATCGGGGACAAGAAAGCGACGAAGTGATAACAGGAGCACGGGTGAAGGCATTCTTGCCTGGGAGATTGTTCTGTTGCGCTGTGGAAGAGGGAGACGAGGTTCAAGCAGGGGACCCTCTGGTGGGTACAGAGAACTCCAACATTAATAGCCAAACAGCGAAGCTGACGATATTAGGTTTGGATCGAGTCCAACAAAATGGAGGTCAAAATTTGTGCACCAGTTAGTGGGAAATGTGTGAGACTGCTGGCCGGAGAGGGAGACATCCTTGGGCCCAGTGACGATATTGCTATTATTCAATAGGTGGTACCACTTGTACCTCACAATGAAACAATAGCATGGGAATTCTCAAAATCTTCGTAATTCATCATATTGTTGGAAAGAAAATCTCTTGGAGAAGATTATTATAGGTCACCTGTCTCATAGGCTTGGAGTACAAGAGCACCCTAGCGCTAAGAGTCTCGGAATGTCGCTTCCTTTACAGCAGCCAAATCACCGACCTCTTCATGGAGCATACGAAGTGCCTCGCGAGCAAATGGAGCAGCGGATGCCCGAACTTGCAAGACCCAGCGAAGTTTTTCCAGTTGTTCGACGTACCCCGCTGCTTCATCCATTTGAGGACTCGTTGCCCACAAAAGACCAGCAAAGGAACCCACCAAAGCCACCTGAGCTGCTGCTGCATATCCCCAGAATGATTGAATGTGTTCTGGCTGAAATGATCCAATCAACTTCATGGCTGACATGAGTCGGGCGCGGGCAGCGGTTCTAATGGCTGAACGAAGAGACGGCAAGCTATCTGGGGTAAGAACGCGGAGTAATGCGCGATGAATTGTCAGCTCTGCTGCCATGTGTGAGAGATGCAATGCCCCGTTCGTCGATAGCCGCAGCGAGGGCAGGGATTCCCGCATGCCATTCGCGTAACTCCATCGCTAGGGGTTTTGCCAGGCTCATAGCTCCAGACGGTCCAACCCGCTCAAGTCGTCCGCCTTTTTTGGTAGCGCCGACTGAGTAAAAAGTGGATACAATCCGGCTGAAGATCTTTGTTAATTCAATAGATTGCAGGAATGCCGCCCGACCCGCGGATCCATCTACACCTTCGTCCCCATTTTCCTCTTGACCGGTCATTTCTTCTGGGAAGTCGTTGACTGTACATGGGCCAACATCCCAGTCGCTTGTCCCATCATCTTCGTCAATATGAGCAGGGATGAGAGGCGGTCGCCCGTGCACAAGAACGCCCCACTTATCCTGCATGTATAGCGCCCATGCCAGACGTCGCCGTAGACCTTTTTCCCATTCTGGAATTTTCCAACCTGTACAATCAATATGAATTCCCAAAGTTTGCCCGAGTGATACTAGTTGCGCAGGAAAGGTGCTATTAGAAGACCTCATTCTCTGCAATAACAACAGGCCAGCCTGTAATGTGGAGAGCTTGGGTCGCTTCAGATCGTCGTCCATGGCTCGCATTGCTAGATTCTCCAGAGCTTCAGTGTCTGGTGTCCGAGGTGCAGTAGCAAGAGTTCGATCAAAGAGCTTCCAGTCTAGCGCGACAAGGTAAACGGCAGCAAGTAGTGGTGGAGAAAACTCGCGGTATGAGCGGGCATATTTCTCCAAGAACACAGCTTTATCCAGGATCGGGAATGTGCGGTGCATAATGCGAAAATAAAGATTGACCAAGGTTGGTCCCAGCGGACGTATCGATTCTTCAATGCGATCTAGGTCGGTGATGCGTTGCATTTCAGAAGCCGAGTCCTTATCAGGATAGGTGATAAATGCGGCAGTTTGATTCACACGTCGCGGATAACATCTCTCATTGTCACTGAGCAGCATAGCAGATGGTCGCAGGTCAAGAAGTTCAGGTTCATGAAAGCTAGCGGGGCCAATATACTCGGAATGCAGATGAAGCTCTAGACCTAAAGTACCATCCAGTCGTGAATTGATTGGATCAGTCATTGTCTTTTCTTCGGCAGAGCCAGCGGTGGATGGTGTTGGAGAGCTACAATGTCGTTTTTTTCTATGATAGGGTTAGCTAAGAAGATTCCCGCCGATATCGAAACGTACTTGGTTTCTGTTGCGCTCGGGGACTTTCTGGCCCTTTTCCGTGGTCGGGGCCCATGAAGGGAGGTGCATTCAAGACCACTCAAGTTACAAAACGTGCAGTTTTCTTTCCCCGGCTCCCGTATACATCTCGACTTGCGGTGACGGCAGCGATCGCATGGGCGTCGCGTAGGGTGGTCCGCCACTCCAGTTCCGGACATTTGAGTCCCAAAGCAGATGAACCTTTATGTTATTCTTTAGAGGTAAAATATATTGGATACTAGACTACCCATTTATCGAATGGAGTTAGTTATCGAGATCGGTCGGAGATGACAGTCTAGCTCCTTGGGTAAGCTGGCGTTGACTGCCGTTGACTGCCGTTGTTGACATTGACAAAGAGCCTCACGTGACTCCATAGGTCCTTTCGTACATTTTGAAATCTTATGGAGTAACTTGAACCTTGGAAGTACATACTCTTAATTGTCCAGTCATTCGATCATCTACACGGGCAATTCAATATAGTCGAAGCATGAGAGCCCACCCGCGACTATCCATGTTGCAGAAAAGTTATTACCCCGCAGGATGATTCTATTAGACAATCGAAACCGGTGGCTGGTCAAGAACTGGGGAGCTTGGACATGGAAACAATGGTTGAATTTGAAATGAGTGTACTCGCGCTCGTGCTCTTTTTCCTCTCTAATTTACTTTTAATTTATGAACTAAATTACTGCCTCCATTGTCATCTTGTTGTGATTCAACGGTCCAATCGGTTTTCCGCTCATATAAGCAACTTACCCCACCGCCCCTTTCACAGCTTATCTTCGCTTTGCATCGGCTTTCCCCAACATCCCGCTACCCACTCAAGCTGAATAGGTCACCTTTTTGAGCCCAACATGGGACAAGACTCTAGTGTGGGCCATGATCCCGGCAAATCGCTGTCTCCTACCCCGCAGCATAGACGCGGCTACCAAGCTTGCGATCCGTGTCGCAAGCGTAAGGTCAAGTGCGACCTGGGCAGTAAGATCAGCGATCTCTCATCCCACTTGGGATATTTTTCCTAGTCTAGCTGACTGATCACAAAACATCACCCCAGGTGTCGATAACCCTCGACCCCCACCATGTGTACGATGTCGCCGCGAAAGCAAACGATGTGAATTTTCTATCACTCGTCGCAAGCGTAAACTCTCCGAACCGCCCGAGGAAGATGTTGAGGAGGCCGATGTTCTTCGCCGCGACAAACGGATGATGATTGGTGAGGTCGCGGCGAAGAAAGAAGCATCGTCAGATGGATCTCCATTCATCCCGCCTGAACCATCCTTCGATACTGATGGATTTCGGCCTCGTCAACGCTGGCCTGAAGCGCCCCCTCCTGTCGCCTCCGTCGCTGCCGCCCAACGATACACCCCAAGTGCACCCATAGCTGCGCCCGCGAGACAGTTTCTAGAGTCGAGAGCCCCGCGCATTCCCAGCTATTCCACTGCTGAGAGAAGCTCGGCACCTGGGTATGGTGGGCCGCCTATGCTGAATCGTACGGCGGTGGAATTGTTGTCGCCTGCCATCACCAATACACACGACGCTTTACACTTGCTATCTGAAGCGGCGGGGAGAACAGAGGATCTGAATCGCTTTGCAGCACGACAATCCGTTTCCTCCTTTAACTCGGGCCCTTCCCCTCTGGCAAATGTCAATTCCCCGGGAAATCTGAGTGGATCGTTTTCGCGTACGCCGCGATCGGGCATGTCCATCGGCGCAAATGGCTCATATCCAGCCGGTGGACCAGGTGCCGTAGATCCCCAGATATCCGAGGACACTGCTCCGTCCGATGGCTCAGCTAATACTCAAGACCCGGGGTACATCGATGCCGTTCGGGCGTGGTCACGGCTTCGGTTCGTCCGTGCCGGATGGATGACGGTAGAAGAGGGCATGGACTACGTTGCGTACTACTACGAGAATCTAGCGCCCATGAGTCCAGTGGTGACTCCGGATTATTCGGAGCCTTCGAAACATCGGATATTACTGACGGAAGAGCCCGTGTTAGCAGTGACCATCCTGACGATTGCTTCACGGCATTTGAAACCCAAAGGCGACGGTGCTAGCACCCGGGCATTCTATATCCATGACCGTCTCTGGTCTTACTTGCGAGGCATGATTGAACGCCTGTTCTGGGGTCAAGAGAAATTCGATGCCGGAGGCCCAGGGATCGGTGGACCGCGATCTCTTGATCTCGCTCCAACTTCCAGCAGACCCAGTTTGAGAGGCAACTTGAGAGCTTTAGGTACTGTGGAGGCTTTGCTGATTCTTACGGACTGGCACCCGAGAAATCTGCACTTCCCTCCCGGTGACGATGAAAATACACTGTTGGACATCGATGCTCAGAGCCAAAACTTTGACAAGGATTTGGAAATTGGTGAGCAGGCAAAGGGGGCGAACCCTGAAGGTAGATTCGCGTTTCAAAAATGGTTGGAGCCAGCTTGGCGATCGGACCGGATGTCTTGGATGCTACTGAGTACTGCACAAGCTCTTGCTTTTGAACTTGGCGTTTTTGATCATAAAACCGAGCCAAAAAGCACGCCTGAGTCCCCTGCAGAACAGATAAGAAAACGTCGTCTACGAAGGTTGATTCTAGTCTTCATTACACACAGCAGTGGGCGATTGGGCATTCCATCAATGCTTCCCCTATCTGAATGGGGCCAGGATGTCGAAGGAAACAACATTGACTCCAAAGATGGGGATCCGGACCTTGATAGAATGCAGGATTGCTGGATGGGCATTTCCAAAATTGTCTATCAGGCTAATCACCAGCTATTTGCATCAAGTGAACAAACGTCGGAGCTTATCAAGAGCGGGAGATATCGGGAGCAAATTGACTGGTTCCAACCCCAGCTGCGAGAATTCCGGCAGCATCTCGATAATGTCAATCGTGAGTTCAGTAAATAATGCAGAACTTCTGGTATGATAGAAACTAATACCTAGCAGTTTCTTCGGCGATGCGAAGCATCCTGCTCATTGAATACGAGTATACAAGTAAGTACAATGTTCTAAATGAATTTGAGTATCACTATATACTGACATCAAATAGGGCTGTATGTTAACTCGCTCGCTCTACAAGCTGTTGTCGACCGGTGGACTACCATGTCCAACGAGTCTGCCCAAGCTCAGCCTGGGCGGCCGGGCTCGGGTCCGTCTCCCGGCAGCAGCGGTTGGTTTCGGACTTTGATGGAGCTATACCGCGTCAACGAGCAATACATTCAGGAGGTTGTGGATGCCTCCCGTAAGATCCTACAGACGGTTCTTGAGGGCCTCGTTCCGGGAGGGCGTCTCAAGCATGCTCCCATCCGGACGTTTTTCCGGATTCTGTCTGGCATGATCTTCATTTTAAAAGTAGGTCCCACTGTGGCTAGAGAAACTCCGATGAATGCTAACCTCGCCTGCAGACATTCACCCTAGGTGCTCGTGAAGATGACGTGCGAGTGTCATTGGATCTACAAGACCGGACAGTGGAGGCCCTTCGCACCTTTGTCGTCGATGATGTACACATCAGTAACACTGTTGCTCGACTGCTAGAGTTACTGACCAGTAGTATTCGGACCCGCTTCCTACGTTTCGCACCGCATGACCGCGGTGTGGAAGGTGACGGACAGGATCGTGGCTCCGCTCCGGTCTCACGAGCCCACTCGCCCCCTCGGGAGAGTGTTTCGGGTCGACGTGAAGGGGCGCAAACCCCTTGGTCATCCACCCAGGACGCAACTCCGAGCGGAGGCGGCTTGGGATATGTGGAAAGCAGCAGCGCCGGCGGGAACCCGATTGGATCAGCTCACGACTCCCTTGCTAATATCCCTGCTCAGCCGATCAACTCTTCTAACCTGGGTGTATCATTCATGCCGCCGCCACCGTCGGTCTACTACAACTATTACGACTCGAACTCGACGATAACTACCAATGGTCTTGGGCGGTCTTCTCCGAACCATGCTGTCTCCTCGCAGCCCCTTGATAGTAATGGAGCAAACACTGCACTCCCTGACTGGTTTGCCCTTCCCTTGGATCAATTCTTCAACAGCTCTACTGCGGTGGTTGATCAGGGTCTAGGTGGGACTGGACCGATGCTTGGCGAGTTTGACATGTTGGAAGTGTTGCTTAATGAGGGCTATGACAATAGTGCTCATGAGGGCGACTCCGGTGGGCTTGGCCCTCAGTTCCTATCTTGATTTGTGATATGATCGTCAAAACCCCAACCTCCCTGCGATAATGCCTCAAGCCAGCGCGACATGTACTTTCTCCCTTTGTGCGTTCTTTTCCTCGTTTATACTATATACCCCTGCCTGATCTACACTTGGCGTCCCTGTGTTTCTGCGTTCTAGCCTGGGTGGAGGATGTGATTCGTTGGAGTCGCAATTTTGTTGAAACAAGCCCTTCGTTTCTCATGCTTGGCGGATTCTCGTCTCCGTGTTTGCCAACGAAGTTCTCTTCCTGTTCTCTTTTTCCCCTTTATTCGTTTTTTCTTTGATATCTTAAGGTTTCTTCTGTAGGCTTCCAGATTAAAGGTCCCGCTCGGTCTCCGTCGGGTCTCAAGATAGCGGGGCTGCGTTTCACCACAATATGACAGATGATCTCTTCACATGCTGAGATACTAAGCCTTGTTTCAGCCATTCAGTGAAGATCGCAGTGAAGATCGCAGTAAAGTAGGAATAGAGTGTTCATTTATTTTCAGCCTCGTGAAATAAAGCTCTCGGGGTGGCTTACATGTAATTTCGCACCTTAGCCTCGGATAGACTATGCTGCGTCTAGGCTATCTGGCATCATTATTGCATGGATCGACTACTTTTTCACCTCAATTGCCTCTGAACGAGCCTATCAGTTGTTGAATAGCACCATTCTATTCTCAGGAATATTCACGAATGATTTATCCTTATAGATGAAACTATATAGATACTCATTCGGACAACCCGATCCTCGAAGAGTTCTCCACTGCCGAGTCCATCGGCCCTTGTGACCCCTCCAAGATGCTCCGCAGGTTACTATCATATTGGGGTTGAACCTATCAAGATCTAGAAGAGTACCAGGTGTGATCATAGGTTTCTGTTTAGGCTTAATTTGCGGTCCATCACTGATCTATCTTCGAGGCTGATCCCCACCGATTTAGGGTATTGTAGACGTTAGGACGATCGTTGCCCCGAAGGATCTTATAGCCGGGCGATGGACCCCCTAAAATTCGTGCGTTGATACGATAAGAGTCTCGGGAAGGTCACATCGGGATGCTCACGGGATAAACACATGAATGTTAATTATGGTTAACTAAGGGGTTGTCGTAAGCAGATGCAGGGTTCCGACTAGTTAGTCTAACGGATATGCAAAGCCGATCTCAGCGGAGTCGGACTCCGGTCGGGAACTTTATGCGTTTTACTTACGCAAATAATCCCTTCTTGGCAAGTTAATTTGTTCTTGCTGGGATCCTACTGACATGTTCCACTGTGATCTCAGTTTCCAAGGTTTTGAATTCTGAAACAAGGTAGAGCTAGATCTTGGCTCGAAGGCAAAGTTATTACGGCTGAACCTAAGGGGGCTGCAGATGCTGTACAAACAACCAATCCGTGAACAGGAACTGCATTAGCTCAGCTGAAAAGTTCTGGACTCACTCAACATGTTTATCCAATGAGAATGCCCTACCATCTCGAGCCATGACATTCAAGCACGATGCTACCTCAATGAGAGGGGCCTAAAGTATACAGGTTCCGCCTTCGGGCAGTGATTGGCCAGTCATGGAGATAACGGGAGAATGATCGTCAGGGCTTCTATCGGGCACTTCTATCACTAAACCTCATTATGCGTGGTCCCTGATTAATATCTTGAGTTTTCACCCTACACCATTCAACTGGTCGGATTGAACTCCACTTAGGGACAGCACCGTCGGGGAAGGCGTATGGGGATCGTCAGGGCTCCGCCAAATGGCTTCGAGTATCGAGTTAACTTTCGTCCGGACATCTCCGCCAAAGTAACCAAAAATGCTGGTGCTTGCAGAGAAGGCGCAATATAGGCTGCCATTTATCAGACTCTCCACTTACACGAAACGCGGTTCGATCGCTTCATGAATTCAGCATTGGTCCCTGTCAAAGTGGAGCCCTAATCCATTGTGCCGTCGTGGCTGGCCGATGGACTCCGTGATGACCTCGAAATTTACGGCTCCGAAGTCCCTGCAGTATCTGGATCGGCACCCTTGATTGCCCTGAGGAGAAATTCCTCCTCCTGGATCGTGCGCTGACTGACACTATTGGTGCCATTGTATACTCTGGATCCTGTCAAGATGGCCAAACATCGAGAAATCTAAATCTATAAAGGGTCCTTCATGTCCAGCTGATTGTGGTTCTCCATCCACTTCTTTACGATCTTTCCACTTCATTCGTTTTATACAAGACTTTCGTTGAACCGTCCACCATGGTTGTCTTCAGCAAAATCACCGCAGCCCTGGCTGGCCTTGCCTCCGTTGCTTCGGCCGTCCCTACTGGTGGCAAGAAGAGTTTCAGTGTCAACCAAGTTGCTGTCCCTGCTACCAAGACCCAGAACTTTGCCAACAACTACGCTCGTGCTCTCGCCAAGTATGGCGCCAACGTGCCTACCCACGTGTATGCTGCAGCTCAGCAGAGCGGCTCTGCTACCACTACTCCCGAGGATGATGACGAGGAGTACCTCACTCCCGTCAACGTCGGCGGCACCACCCTGAACTTGGACTTTGACACCGGTTCTGCCGATCTGTAAGTAGATCCGCTTGATATTCCGAGAGTAATAATATGAACCAAAGCTAATTGGGATACAGCTGGGTCTTTTCCTCCGAGCTTCCTGCTTCTGAGCAGGAAGGCCACGCTCTCTACAAGCCGAACAACGGCACCAAGCTGTCTGGCTACACTTGGTCTATCTCCTACGGTGACGGCAGCTCCGCTAGCGGTGATGTCTACAGGGATACCGTCTCCGTCGGTAACGTTAAAGCATCCGGTCAGGCTGTTGAGGCTGCTGCCACGATCAGCCAGCAGTTTACTCAGGACCAGAACAACGACGGTTTGCTGGGTCTTGCTTTCAGTTCCATCAACACCGTCAAGCCCAAGTCGCAGACCACTTTCTTTGACACTGTGAAGTCGACCCTCGCTTCTCCCCTCTTCGCCGTGTCCCTGAAGCATAACGCCCCCGGCTCCTACGACTTCGGTTTCATCGACAAGTCCAAATACACCGGCTCTCTCACTTACACTGATGTTGACAGCTCCCAGGGCTTCTGGGGCTTCACCGCTGATAGCTACAAGATTGGCTCCCAGTCAGGTAGCTCTATCAAGGGTATCGCTGACACCGGCACCACCCTGCTGTTGCTCGATGACGAGGTTGTCTCCGCCTACTACAAGCAGGTTAGCGGTGCAGCCTCAGACTCGTCCGCTGGCGGCTACACTTTCGATTGCTCCGCTACTCTGCCCGACTTCACTGTTTCCATCTCTGGGTACGATGCTGTTGTCTCTGGCAGTTTGATCAACTATGCTCCCGTCTCTAGTGGCTCATCCAAGTGCCTTGGTGGTATCCAGAGCAACTCTGGTCTGGGCTTTTCTATCTTCGGTGATATCTTCCTGAAGAGCCAATACGTTGTCTTCGACTCCAACGGTCCTCGCCTTGGTTTTGCTGCTCAGGCCTAAGCTGGTATAGCTTTGACAAAGTCATGCCCACTGATTAATTTCTGCTGATGAAAGGAATGACGAGTGTTGGAAGACGGCTAGCGGGGCTAGCTAGGTATGATGGGGAGAACTTGTTGAACATTTCACCCTGATCAAGTCTTGGACCCGGCTTGGTTTGTATATGGTGTCTTTAGAGAATGCGTGCAGCACATATTATATACTACGCATCCAAGTTTTGAATATTGCTTTTGAATCTCTGGAATTTGTATACAATACTGTGTATAGCCTGAAGTAGCAGAGTAACGCATGCCAACGAACGGATTACAAACATGTAATGAATGGTAAATCTGGACATGAGCATCTGCACATGTGCACAAATAACATGCAGTAGATATATTTTACCTGGTGACGGGGACACACATGGATGGTTGTTTAACTTCCAAGGCTACCGAAAGAAAATTGCACGAATATGCAGTCTATCTTGACAAGTAGATTTGCTGAGATTTGCGCAGAGAATGCGCAGTTTTCGATGCGACAATTTGGCCTGAAGAATGACATTGTGGGGAGAGCAAGTGGAACCGGGTGGCGGATCATCTCGACCCGCCCAGTTCTCCAACATTCACGACTTTGACTGTCCTGCAAATCATCACTTTTTCCCCCCCCCCCCTTCTGAAATACCAGTACAGAGTATATATCGGCGCTCTCCTGTTCACTCACGATTTGCATTCCCCTGCCAAAATTTACGACTGTCACTTGGTTCGGCCTCCGACCCCGACTCCCCTTTCCTGATCTCCGACGCGCGGCTTTCGCACCCGAAAATGGCCGTTTGAGGCTCTCGATCGGACAACTTTGCGCTTGAATATTGGAAGGAAACCTGGTGGATTGTCTACATGAACTGGACCGGCATAGAACTGGAGCCACTAGTAGTGTCTGATCATGGACGATGATCTCCGTATAACTCCCCGCCAGATCTGGGCGAATCCGACAACGACCTCGACCAAAACCTATTCGTCCGGATGTACGCCGTTTGTATTGCCTAGCGATGGTATGTCATTTCTTGACTGCTCAGTTCCGGAACTCTTCCGCCAGACACCATTCTGACCCGACTATTTGTGGTTTCCAGGAATTATCCATGTGAACAAGTCTTATGAACTGACACTCACGAAAAATGCCGTCTTCGAACCGGTTTGTACTGGCAACTCTTATGACTACACACATGTTGCCGCTGTTCTCGATACCCGCGATCCGTTTTACTCCTCCGTCACGCCACAGCTCTACGCTATCGGTTGCTGTACTGTCGTCAGCTACATCCTCGTTATAATTTTACTTATCACCCCCCGCACGTTTTTCGTTGGAGGCCCCGGTGGTGGCGGCGTGAATTTCCTCGGACGACATAGCATGATCAGTAGGTCATACAGCAGGAACTCATCGATCGTCGGTATCGGCGGCCGGCCATGGCTGCAGAAAGTGGCGGCATTTCTCGTTGCCATTTCGTTGACAATCGCCACGGTTGACTCTTTCAGAGTTGCTGAGATCCAATACCAATATGGATACTCGGATGCCGAGGCACTCTCTGAGGAAGTTATTGACGGGCTGGAGATTCGTATTGTGCGTGTCATTTCGCAAACCTTTCTCTGGCTGGCACAGGTCCAGACTTTGATTCGACTGTTTCCGCGACATAAAGAGAAAGTCATGATAAAATGGGCTGGGTTTGCCCTGATTGTCCTAGACACGATCTTCAGTATCTTGGAGAGCTTCTTCTTCAAGAACAGCTCCACTCATCCAAGATTATACGATGATGCGATCCCGGCGTTAAGTTATTTGTTTGAGTTGGCTCTCAATTTGCTATACGCCGCATGGGTGATTTTCTACTCGATTTCGAAGCACCGATATGCGTTCTTCCATCCAAAGATGCGCAACATCTGCTTTGTGGCACTTTTATCACTATGTGCTGTATTGATCCCGGTGGTATTCTTCGTCATGGATATTGCAAAACCGGAGATCGCCGGCTGGGGTACCTATATTCGGTGGGTCGGATCAGCAGCGGCCAGTGTGGTAGTATGGGAATGGGTGGAGCGCATAGAAGCGCTTGAACGTGATGAAACCAAGGACGGGATTCTTGGACGAGAAGTATTTGACGGTGATGAAATGCTTGAAGTCACTCCATCCGAAGAGGTTGACTGGCCGCGATATCCACCCCATGGTCAAGATAAAGGAGGTGGAAACGGCGCTTCTTCAGCCTGGGGTGGAGTCAGGAATCTAGCTCATCGACCACTACGAACTCGTGTTGGAATCAACCGAGGGAACCGCAATCGCGGAGCTGGCGGTCCACCACCCACGAATAGTATCGCAGCACCAAGACGCCAGAATCATCGACCTACCCCACCTCCCGCAGTTATCACCCCTGTTAGTCGAGCTGACACCAGTAGTGCTCCCAGCACAGTATATAATGTTCGGTATCATCCAGTCGCCAGTCCTACGCCACCTGTTGCGATGCCACACATGGAGGAAGAGGCGGAATTGGAAGAAGGCAAAGAAATTGAGATTGAGACATATCTCGGCCCAGACTGCGGAGAAGGGGAAGAGCATGCTCCTGTCCAAGATGGCAGGGAGCAATCACAACAGATGATTCAATCCGATCCGCGATGGCGCAATCTCATCAACCATTTCAAGCGAAGACGCGGCTCTCTCCCAAGAGAGGTCGCCTTTGCGCAAGCTGGTGAGGAACCAGCAGACGAAGGTGACTCTGATTCCGCGGCCGAGGATCACGAGCAAAATACGACACATTCAAGATCTAACAATAATTTCTTCTCGCTGCATCGGCCGCGACTTGCCGGTGCGGGGCCTCAACCTGCAAATGCGCCATTGGCCGTCACAGTTATTCCTGCACGTCGCCGTGGACAACAGACTTGGTCCCCTCAACCTCGGGATTCTCTGCTGGAAACAACTCCCAGTCAAGCTGAGCAACCCCGGCCGGGTCACTCTAATTTACCGGTTAGAGTGATTCCTTCTCAGCCACACGCATCTGCACCATGGGGCGAGGCGGACATGGAGAATGGAGATGGGGACTACGTTCTTCGCTATGACCCCGAAGCTGCTGCTTTAGTTCATGAGCATGTGAGCCATGCGCAAGAAGGGCCCAATAGTGACCGGGCTAGTTGGACAGCGATGACCGTCTCGGAGGTCGATTCACATCATGATTATGAACCCCAAGATCCACAGCATCATAACCATGGCAACGCATCTTGATCATTTACGGTGTTTTTTCTTTTCGATGATTTTTTCCGGTTGGGCGAGGCGTTGAACATTTGAGATTTTGGGAGCATGGTTGGGGACCTTGCTCACCTTCGAATATACCCTGGGAACATATCCTCATCCTCATGTTTATTTTATCCTTTATCTTTTGGACATTGACCAATTTCAATGCGAGATGCATAGAACATATCGTTTTCTTGAATTAGACCGCTCTTCTCACAGGTCATAGCGTATCCAAAACTCTCTACAGGGTATGTAACTATCATATCCTAATATTGGTCACCTGATATAAGAGAATCATATACCAAGTTCTTTTCATTGCTGTTCAAATGTTGATTGACCTTGTAAGAACATACTAAGATCTATGGATTACTTGCAACGTTAGTGGTTGGTCCGAGTGGATCCACCGTTTCATCGGGAACTTTTTGCTCCGAGAGTTTGTACTTCCCCATACTTTTCCACCCAACTTATTCATGGGCACTCTCCAGATGTCGCATCATGGCGGCCGTCAATCAGAATATGTTTGATGCTACCATTGCCATCGATCGACCCCGTGGCGCGTCGTTGATGGTACTGCCGCTGAACCTGATCGCCCAAATCGTCACATATGTCAGCTCCCCACAACACGAGAAAGTCTGAAATTACTGACCTGATGAAATGCGCAGGTCGAAGATACAGGCGACGTCGCCCGGTTATGCCGAACATGTCGTGTTCTCAATTATATGGCGCTGCCTCAGCTCTATCGGAGTCTAACACTCACGTCCTACGACAAAATCCGTTATCGCGACGATCAACCCGAAGGAGTCGGAAGTGCGAGCCCGTTCACTATGGGACTCAACGCGGTGATAACTCGACCATATGCGACGCTTGTGCGATCAATTACATTGCGCGGGGACTGGAAGGGACATGATTTGGAAGAACATGCTCTGGTTGGCCGCGTGCCTGACTCGTCGATGTTACTGAATATTGCGGTCCGGGCGGCGCTGGATCGCATGACAAGTTTAGAAAGCTTCTCCTGGGACCTTAACACCAAGATGCTCGATACCGTCTACACTGGACTTACACAACTTTCTCGACTTCATAATTTAACGATACGATTCCCCTCCACCCGTCACCCACAACCCACCAATGTGCTGCCCCCTATGCCGCATCTCCGCACCTTAAAAATCACCAATATCGATCCTCTTTGTTACCCGGATGATATTTCGACGCTTCTATGGAAAAGCAAAAAATTGCGCGAACTAGTGCTCCATTGGTCACCCCGTATGCGTATTGCGCAAGAACCGAGTGTTTCCCTGTCCAGTTACTTCCGGAAAAGCATCGCGGCGAAGCAACCGCTTCCACTAAAGAAGCTCAGTTTCCATAATTTATATGCCTTCCATAGCGACGAATTCACTTTCGCGTTTGATCCGTCCACTGTGGAAGACGTCACATTCCTGTCTGGGACGGATAATTCCAGCTTGATGAATACATTCGTGGAACAAAGCTGGCCGACGATGCCGCCTCACAAAACATTCAAACTCAAGTCTATTCGTATGGACGTTGTATCAAAAAGAAATGCAGAGTTCATGGGAAACTTCAAAGGACTCGAGCGAATATACTTTGTTAACGTCACCTCTGATAACCCGGATTGCCTCAACTCTGCTCGACTCACAAATCCGTCCGCTTCATCCGCAGTCACACCTCCCGTATTCGAGTCCCCTCGTGGTGCTCCTAATGGCACAACAGCTCAATCCCCAGCCACCATGCCTTCTCCAGCCACCCAAACGAATTTGATTTTGGGCGGACGAGATAGCTACCTGTCGAATATTTCTATGAATCATGGCGCATCACTGCGCCACCTGCTACTCTCCGCGAAATGGCCTTTATCTACCGCTATGGTTGCCCGTCTTGTTCATGCTTGCCCGAATCTGGAGCAATTGGGTCTGGCAACGGACTTTTCAAGCATGGAATCGGTCGGAATGCTAGTCCCTTTCCTGCGGAAACTGCGAGCACTCCGATTTATGATCCCTGCTGGGCCGCCGCCTCCTCAGACTGGTCCATCTCGGGGGTCTCATAATAGCCCGGCAGACCCTGAGCACCCCTTTTGGAAAGCCAGATATGTTCACTCCAAAGCCTTTTCCCCCTCCGCAAAATGTATCAAATTCTCCCCAGAAATCGAGGAACGCATCAATAGTGCACGCAGCCTAGCGGATATTGTGGATATCGATGACGATGTACTCTATGAAATGATGAGTTATGACTTGGCCGATAAGCAAGTCTTCAGCAAGCTCAAGATTGTTGGAATGGGTTGGAAAGTCTTCGAACTGCGAGACTTTTACAAGGCCCCGATTCCCAATTATGATGAGGAATCAGAAACCCCTATCGCCGGGACGTCGGATGAGAAACTCCAGAACGGCAGTCTTCCCAATGGCACAGATCCGGTCTTGGATTCAAAGCCTACCTCCACTACCCTCTATTCTGAAACTGACGCCACGCGTGCCCCTTTCGCACCTAAGGTCCCCCCGCCTTCAACATTAGGAAAGCGCACAAGAAACGACGAAGACAGTGGATATGGGGACGGACAGTCATCACGACATCCATCTGAATTCCGTGAACTGCCGCCCCAATCACAATCATGTGCCAGTATACCAAATATAACCGACGACGGTCAAATCTGGAGACGCGATATCCGTCGATTAGACTGGAACGTGGTGAAAAATTGGGAGATCTGGGCGCTGGACTCGCAAGAGATCTGATCTCACCACGAGGAAAAACAGAAACTGCATAACACCTTGGCTTTTGCTGTTTCCCCTTTATGTCTATCTCTATTCTTTCGTCTCTCATCTCATCATGATAAATGGCTCTGGCGATACAGGAGTTTCCAGGGCAATTGTTGTATTATTTTCAGGCGTCTTCTGCCATAAATCTGGCCTTGGATAGCGGAGCATATAGACTTTGATAGGATTAATTTTGCGGTCATCCTGTGACCAATATGGACCTACTGTGATTTTCCTGCTTTTAATTGGACCAAGATAGTCCATAGATGAATACGGCAGAACTTCGGCAATAGACCTCTCGACTTGGAGAATTTCTGGTACTCAGCAATCTCTAGATTTCTTCAAATAGACTAGTCCCGGATTACGTCGGGATATGTATACATTCCTGTCTTCTTTTGTCTCACTTTTACTGTGAGAACTAATTATCCCTTGTTTCAGAGTGGACTCAAAGGACGACTCCTTATCACCTGAACACATAAACACAAAGTCAACTTCGGCTAAATCATCAGAGCACAAAGACTATTCCCACATGGACACTGCATAACTAAGTTTAACCGACTGAAGAAAGCACCCCGCATTCCGTCGCCTGCGGGAACTTCTTCTAATGCTCTTCAGGCGTCTTGGCTGCCTTGGCGCTGCCACAAACATCATACGAATCCACCAGTCGGCGCTGGGGTTTCAGCCCTGGCGCCATGCTCGGATATATTGTACCTGTTAAGAACACCCCCCACATGCTGTTTATCCTGATTCTCTCATTGGGAACATAGAAGAACCTTTTGGGACAAGGCCGGCCGCCCGTTTCGTACTATGCCGAGGGCTCCATTTCCACGAATGGGTCCTTGTCAGGGATATTTACTAAGAATCCAGTGCTGAATCAGGGTAGATAAATAGGTCACAATTCCCTGCGCTTTGAGTGTCATCTTACACTTTCCTTTCACAGTTCCTTCAAGGTACCAAGCAACATGGGTTCTCGGCATTTGGCATTACCGGTGGCGCTCTTCACGGCATTAGTGCATGGATATGCAGACCCTGGCGCCTGCTCGGGGGCTTGCGTTGTTTCTGACCCGACGCTGATCCAGCGGTCGTCCGATAGCAAATACTTCCGCTTTTCTACCGGAAACGAGATCTCGTATGCTAGTGCGTCTAGTATTGCCGGACCTTGGACGACAATTGGATCTATGCTACCTGATGGGTCTAGCATCGACTTGGATGGAAATACGGATCTCTGGTATGGTGTTCACTAGACTGACAACGGCATTTTTGGTTTAGAGATTGAGAAATGACTCAAACTCTTACCGGATACCTTCAACTTCAACGCTGGAAAACTTTGAGGGGGCAACTTGACTGACTAGCTCTTCATAGGGCCCCGGACGCTCACATTGTCGATGATCTGTACTATGTCTACTACGCCGTCTCGACATTTGGATCGCAAGACTCCGCCATCGGCCTCGCAACATCGGCGACAATGGAATTGGACTCTTGGACTGACCACGGATCAATTGGAGTCGCTTCCTCCTCATCCAAGGACTACAATGCCATTGACCCGAACCTGATCGATGTCGACGGAACCTATTACCTGAGCTTTGGTTCTTTCTGGGACGACATCTACCAGGTCAAGATGAATTCTGCAGCAACTAAGTCCTCCGGATCATCCTACAATATTGCCTACAACTCATCTGGCACTCACGCAGAGGAGGGCTCATACATGTACAAGTACGGCAGCTACTACTACCTGTTCTACTCTGCTGGTATTTGTTGTGGTTATGATACGTCGCTCCCTGCAGCTGGATCAGAGTACATGATCAAAGTGTGTCGTTCGACTTCACCGACGAGTGGATTTGTAGGTTTATCTGTATGCAAGGCTTACTGGGTCGCATGCTAACTGTTTGTCAGGTTGATAAGTCTGGATTATCTTGCACTAGCGGTGGTGGTACCATTGTTCTGAGGAGCCACGGTACTACTTACGGACCTGGTGGACAGTGAGTTGTTCTGGAAAGGTTGTTGACTACTGCGAGACTAACGGTACCTAGGGGTGTTTACGATGATCCCACGTATGGGCCTGTGCTTTACTACCACTACATCAACACTGATATCGGATACGCCGACGATGACAAGCAATTCGGATGGAATGTCCTTGACTTTTCTACCGGGTGGCCTGTGGTTTAAAGAGCACATGCATGCTTCACCTATTGCTAATATATGGCATTCGTCATGATATCTTTATCGTTTCTTCAACGAATATGGATGCTATCTTGATTTAAATTGGTTGTGGAACTGAAAATTGTGGTTAATCTCAGAATCTTCACACATGTTGTACCACATGCATGTTCGTGCTAGTCCATACAACCTTGAGGTCTCTCAGATATAATCACACCCCTTATTAAATTTAGAAAGCTTCTCATAAGTTTCGTGTGAAATTGATTTTTCATTCAAAGGCACCGATTAACCTCCCGAGGTCATCGAAATAAGCCTTACACTTCATGGCAAACGTGATCTGATCCTGCACGGCAAGCCGATCCATCCAAACGGGACTAAGTGGGTCTTTTGGTACAATTGAAGAAAACGGCTGGGGTAATACTGGATCAAGAATAGATAGGTATATCCTCTACTGTTATCGATAGGCCTGAATACGAAAATGCAGGGTCATGATTCATATTCCGGAATGGCATGGCCATAAATACAATCAAAGAATATTCAAGAATGGATGGAAAGCATTGGTCTTAGAATCATAAACCCAGATCTGTTTGGAAGTGGAAAGTTCCAAATAGCCAAGGGTGAAATGCCAACAGGACATTGTGACAACCAGGCCCGTTTCTCCGAGTTGGCGGCAACATAGACAGTTAAGTGCGTTGGAAACCCTTAACTGACGCCGATGTGCAGATTTAAATCAGAAGAAAAGAAAAGGATAAAAAATTATGCCGGCAAACTCCAGGTTCAATTCCGGCGACTTTGCTCTTGGAGAGGCATTGAATGTAAGTCTCTGGGGCGGGAAGAAAAGGAAATGTGCACTTAATAATCGTTTCTCTGTGGTCCTATAAAATGGAATATAGATGATCTCGATCGGTGAGCATCCGGAAGGCTTTATTTCGCACCTGTTATGTCTACTGGAGGCAAGCTACCAGTGAGCGTACCAGATTCGAGCCTTTGATCTTGTGACTTCTGGGGGGTACCTTGGCCGGCCTGCTCTGCAGCCTCTTGGCCATCGTTTCCGTGGCTAGCCATGTTTTTTTGCGCATCCTCCACTATCTTATCGGCTTCACTCATGCCACCTAAGACATCTGTGGCCGGGTCGCCATCCACGCCAATGAGCTCGGTCTTATTGTTCACAACGTCCTTGACCCGGTTGCTATCGAGTCGAATCACCATGCAAGACAGGTTGTCGGTACTGAAGCGCGCGAGAGCGTGATCAACCAGGATCTTTGAGGCACGCTGTGCGTCTTGGACGTTTCTTATCAAATCGACGGCTTCTTGATCGGTGCAGACATCCCATAACTAGAAAAGATATTAGCTGATATGAATGATTAGGGATGAAAGGGGTCGAAAGACTTACGCCATCACAAGCAAGAATAATAAATTCATCCGCATCGGGCTGGATGACGGTTTCGGTGGTGTAAGGGTGCCCCGTCACAAGGTCTTTGAGATAGGCGTCGCCCAGAGCTCGAGTAACCGCGAGCACACCATTGACACGGTTGTTGAGGATCAAGCCACCGGCATTGGCAATGCGCTTGCCTTCATTTTCATCGCTTCCCTTGTGATCATACGACAATCGCAGGGCTTTACCGTTGCGACACAATACAATACGCGCATCGCCAACATTGGCTGTGTACAGGACCCGCTGACGAACAGCGTGTTCTTGGAGCTTGGGCAGTGTAGATCCTCCCATCGGCGTATCTTGATTTGGTGTCTCAGCGGCATCTGAGTTATCCTTTTTCGCCGCCGCCGCAGCTGTGGCAAGAGCTGCAGAGCCGGTGGCCGAATGTAAGCTGGGCACGCGGTCCTCCCAGCGAAGCACAGCGGTCACAGCAGTGCAGCCACTGTTCTTGACTGGCAGCTTCTCCAATTGTTGGTCAACACTTGTAAATGTTTGATCGAGAAGCTCGGGCACAGGAGCGTTGGGACTTTTCCGCATGATATCCTCTAGGATCAAATGCAGCTTCTTACCGCACCACTCGGCCGCAAAGGTACCGGCATGTCCATCGAAGATAGCAAAGTAGCCATTGTCTGTTTCTACCATATTTGCAAGCTCTCCAATTTGAGACTTATTGGGCGGGGAGGTGCCATTTATGTCATGCGATGCATTTGGGGCCGGAGTCCCAAGAAAGTTGTACAGGTATGCATGTGTATCTTCCATAGTCCGACGACATTTTCTATTCCGATCTTCTGTGACACCGACCCGGAAGGAGGATTTTGCAGTAGGACCTGATTCACCTGCAGAGTTGTTAAATGACCCTTGTGGGACACTCAGGGCTGGGTCCATTTTCCCAAGCCTCTGGAGCGGGCTGTCTGAGCTTTGTGGACTGCTGCTGATACCCGAATACTCCCTCGCAGTGGAGCCTCCGTTGAGACTTAGAGAATTCCGAGCGTTGCTGAAAAAGCTGGCAGCTTTGGTGACAGTGCTGCTGCGACGCTTCTTATCCTTCTCAGCCGCGGGGGCTTGGTCTTCACTCTGTCGACGAGTAAAGAATCCGGCGCCAGGCGGCGAGAATCTCTTGTCACGGGGGCTAGCGTTTTCGGGTTGGAGGCTTGCGTCGCTATCAATCCCTGGAATCGGGGTTGGATCTGTCTTGGGTGGGCTCGAGGCGCCACTGAACATTCTGTTCAGCAACCCACCCTGCGAAGAAAAGCTGCGGCGCTTGTTTCCTGCCAGCTTGGATAGATCCTTGGTTGACACAAGGATTGCGGGAACTGGTCGGGATAGAGGATTCGGGAAGAGGTTGGATGACGGGGGATTCGATGACCTGACGTAGTGTCCACTCGAGTAGAAAAGCACGGGCTAAGGGTCCAGAAGCACGTTAGTGACAGACCCATCAATAATAAATCTCAGATTCCAAAGTCTAAGGTAACAAGAAAGATGCATGATGTAGTGCATAGACACAATGATCCGATGTTGCGCGAGTTTGGCCATGATCAATGGGGGCCGAAGAGGCGACATCCCCTCGATATTGTATGGGGCGGGCAAGCATGAAACAGCGCCGGGGTTGACATTGCATGGGTAGATGGAAAGAGACATAGGATGATATAAATTTATCATGAAAACAACGATTCAGCGGTGATATGTTTCATTCAGGTTTCCAGCGCGTCCGATCAATTCAGATTCCAGTGGCCCAACCCCACCCCATGGAAGCTCCGGGGGTTACAATGCAGAAGGATAGTAAGGGTCAGGGGGTCACTTACGGTATGATGAAACGGTGGATTTGATAACTTGCGTAACGGGAACTGAAAGATTGATGGGGAAAGGAAAGAGTGAGAGGGAAGGGAGTTGGGGGGGTTCTGCTGATGCGATCGATCCGGAAGTGGAAACCCCGTAGAGCCAGGAACGGAGTGGAGCTATTCTGGAGAACGTCACTAGTTTGATTATATTAGTTTTATTTTGGAACTTTTGCATAACTTTAACTCATTAAACCCGTATAATTATTTATAATTATGGCTAATGTTTTTTTCCTATTGCTCTAAAATGATCCTATGTATCGTGCTGCTAATAAGTGGAGATCGGGTGATCCCCGTTGCCGAGTAGGATACCGGGTAGGAGACTGAGTGGGAGACTTAGTGGGAGAAACTACATGTGGACCCTAGAATTAAGTACCAACTATCATTCAATTATCACAATTGATGAGTCTGTTATTTTGGTCTGGCCCATTAAATCATCCTAGCTAGGTAATATCTTGAGATTGACACTTTTTGACCGCCCAGGGTTGACCCTCTCCGGTCATCTTTCTACCACTGCTTTCCTGCGCTTTGATCATTTCCAATATCAACGCTATAGAAACTGCAAAACTTTTCTGGGGCGCTCCAACTTCAAAGATTAACTTAGTACACTATACGCATACTCTAAGCAGATATATCGCTGAGTCGGAATGGTTAGGTTTGGAACAAGTCAGTCATCTAATCCTACAATAATATTCTAAGCGACTACCTTAAGTTAACAGCTTTTTACAACCTTATGTATTTGCTTTTATAGGCCTACGAGTTCTGAACAGAAGTGCGAGAAGAAATAGGTCTTCTTTGGGCTTTTCAATTATAGCCTCACAGGTTACAGGTAATACATTTCAATATTTTTACGCATCTTCCTTCCCTATAACCTCCCCATATACATTAAATAGTTAGTATATCCATACTAGGTTAGGGGTCTATAAACTTATCGCCATTATAGATTATCTGGTCTCCAGTAAGATCTAAGGATCCAGTAGTCATTCCCCTAGCCTGCTTCGTGAGCATCAAGATTAATTATGTTAGGACGAGGACCATCCGTACATATGTATGTAAGAAAGTTGACGAGGAACAAAGCGAATCAAACTCCGTACATATTTGTTAAAATAGGAGAGGATAAAGGTAGATACTCTTGTAAAGTTCACTTTGTATTCAATGTTAGTCATAAGATGGTCTACTTTTCTTAGGCACCTACGGCTTCACTTAGTCTAAGAACATTCTATCATTGGAAATCATGTTCATTCTACTTACCGCAAAATGAATTGCTAAGGAAAGATATAACTCCTTCCCTTCCTTAATTGTGGGGATATTCAGATCTCAAATTTTAGAGAGCTGCTCATTATGAGCTCACTTCAAGAGAGATCTAGCGCCATATTAAGCTCACTTCTAACCTAGGTACTAAATCAGTCATGCCTTAGTATAAAATCAATATTCAACTGCGTAAGGTACGCGCTTGGATTAAGTATATTGCAGAGATATAAGCATAGTACTCGCATCTAATACAGTATGTCATTAAGAGCCTTTATTTGTCTCAAATGAATTTGGAACCGCAAAATTTTGATAGGGGAGTTTCTGGTTTCTAGCTGTGTGTATCTTTCGTGGCTTTCTGGCTGGCTCCATATGTTGTTCTTTGTTCCTCGTTTTTTCCGGATTTTCTTGACTCTATTATTATTTGGGAGCTGGAAGCTGCCGAGAGGGATACCGAGAGGGAAGGACTACAATAATGTAGAATGAGGACACAAACAGAAGTGTAATATTGAGAGGTATGGAGGAAGGGAAGACGAGAGAGAGTGTGATCCATGTGATGTGCCCACATGGACAGATACTACCAAGCCTAAACGGGACGAGGGCTGGAGCTCTGCTGTCGGCTCACGTCAACAGGTGTAATTTATCGACCAATGGGGGTGCGTCCTCGAATGTGTAACAGTCCGATTTGATTATTCCTACCCCTACCATGGGTTTTGTGTGTAAAGCTGACTAATAGTAAGCTCATTACATAATAATCCATATCTCCATAGCGACATCTGCGTCGGGTCATATGACCCTAGAGCCCAGTCTCCAACAACCTCCTCACCGTCATTTACACCGCCTGATCTCAGATCGCACGTGACTACGGCCTTCTAATTGGCTCGACCACTCGGCCAAGCCCGGGAGAGTTTGGCGGGGTCCGTGGTCGCATAGATCACTTTATCTCCAACATAAAGTTATCTCCATCTGCTCAAGATAACACATTTCAGATGTGTCTCACGAATTCCAAAACGCCAGGCAGAGGAATCAGGTATCAGCCCGCCACGTGGGTGCCTACAGCCGTTATCAATCAAAGAAGATACGATATGATCAATCACCGTCCTATACGAACTGCAACAAATGCGGGACAGAATACACCAACTTCGATCCGGTTGCGAAAAGACATATTCCTAGAAGGTACCCGTCTTACGTTAAGAAAATAGGAATAGCGACTTGAGTTAATATTATGTACATTTTAGCTACATCCTTCACTTAGAAGAACGAACGCAGTACCTAGAACGTATACTAGATGCTAGTAGACTACCATTCTTACGTGAAACCCCCCTCAATACCCAACATGGTCTGAACAAGAATACAAGTATATCGGTCCTCCAAAGTACCGAAAGCTCTGAATCAACGTTCAATAATATATATGCTCTGTCGACTCCAGCGGTCATACCTGGGTCCCTCAAATACAAAGTAGATCTTCATATACAGACACTTTGAGTCCAAGGAAGCGCGCACGATTGCACTCTCCACAAAATGATGTAACAAACTCTTCAGATGTCATTTACGGGAGAGTTACCACACGTCAGTTCAATTCCAGCCGGGGGTGGCTACCGTATGAGAATGCCTACATACCGAATTTCTTTTGACGATTCTTGGCTTCCTTTTCTGGATCAGTGCTCACCCCTCGCCGCTTTTACTCACTGAATAGATCTGAACACAGCCTCCAGCTCAGTGATCGGATTAGTGAGTCTTATGTAAGTATTGCTTATAGTTACTTAGTTAGTTAGTTAGTGAGCCGATCAATTTGCTCAGTGAGCCGGGCCTGAGTAGACTGATCGGCTTACTGAGCCTACGCAGTAATGTGATTCGCTCACTGAGCGCACTCTATAGCAGGCTAATTATATGCGTGAGCTACCCTAACAAAACGAGCAATCTGACAGGGTTCCCCTCAAACCTGTCGCTGTGGAGATATGGATTATTATGTAATGAGCTTACTATTAGTCAGCTTTACACACAAAACCCATGGTAGGGGTAGGAATAATAAATCGGACTGTTACACATTCGAGGACGCACCCCCATTGGTCGATAAATTACACCTGTTTACGTGAGCCGACAAAACCTGCATCACGTGACGAAAGCGGCTGTTCCTATTCCCCTGGAGTTTTACTCTCCTCCCGCGCATTCCAAAAACATGTGTATGCAAAATGGTCGTCTTGCATGCTTTGGAAACATTGCGAAGTATCAATTTGGACTATTCAAATTTTCCATTGCCTCATTATACCCGTTCATGACTTGTATATGGCAGAAGCCGAAGGAGACAAGCTGCACACCGTACCGAGCAATCATATTTGTGACATCTCTAGACTTTATATGATAGAAGTCCTGCTATCATACCGACTCCAGTCAAGAAGGCCAAGGACGATGGAGCCAGTGATACACCCATAGAAGTTGTAGTGCTCGTAGAGTTACACGTTCCCTCTCCTATTACCACCAACCATTAGTCAAGCTATTTTCAAGGTCTTCCAGATATTCAACCTACCAAATGCCCAAGCACACATTCTTGAGTACGCATCTTCATCTTCGTTATAAAGAGTGCCATTAATCCACGAGCAGAGAGACCGGGCACAGCTGAGCTCTTGTTTGACAGCCGCAACTCCAGCGATCTGGTTTGAACACAGACAATTGACGTCCGACTTTTTCGTGCTATTCACCATAGTCCCGTAGCTTCCACAGGCGGTAGTGTTGTAGAAAGTACTATAAAATGTCTCATTGTAACATGGTCGTATGCATGGCTGAACAAGCTCGATCCAGCCGCCCAAATAACATGGGGTCCATTCATATGAGATGGCGCTCAAAGCCAGACAAAATGTAAGCAAAGGGAACTTTGCCCATCGTGAAAACATGGTAAAATCTCAAATCAAGGACGCAGGGACAGGCTGAAAGGACCACGGCCATATGAGGATTCTTAATTTGTGCAGTCAAAGATGTGTGACGTTAATAGGATTCGTAGAGCCTTTATGTTATCATCTGTCACGGACCATGATCTTCTGACACCATATGGCTGATCCCGCGCTAGTAAGACTTGTACAAGCTAGTAAACATTCAACAAGCAACTAAAGAGTTCAGTTCCAGCTTAAAATGTACTCAAGTTGCCCGCCCTCTCCACCAAATACGGCTCCATGAAGTTTAAAACGAGCAGATCCACAAACGTTTGCTTCTGTGACAATTCTAATGCAGTCAATTTTTAATCCACTCGTAATTAGGATGTCCAATCGATCATGAGGCACAAAGTGGAATCAGTCCCTGCGGTCCCTGAAGATCCTGAGCCCCTGAGACCCTGAGCCCCTGAAAGCTGCAGGCCCTCTCAACTCTTTCAGCAGTAGCATCGAGCGCTTCAGCACCAGGTATACGTCAGCTCTTTTGGAAATATAAGGTATCTACGGAGTATTGGATCTCCAAAGAGCTCCGGGACTGCCGCCCTGAGATCAGGTAAAAAAAAAGACCCTCCTTCCCCCGGTGATTGGAACCGCCTCGGGAATGGCTCACGATCCACCTGACCCCGCTCAAGGTCAGAAGCGAAGGGGCATATATACGTCTTGGCATATTTAGTGCATAGTGCTACGGTGCTTTTCTCGTTTAATATACGAAGTGATACTTGTGCCAAGGGAAGTCTTATTACCGCCGCCGCCGTGCCAAGGCGACGATTCACAAACTCAAAGATAGTGCACTTGTTGACGGATCATGACCCTTGATGGTGACTCGTCATCAGTACCTCAAGAAGGACTAACGTCAAAATATGTGGAAATTTGTTAACTAGATTTTTTTATTTAATCATCTTCGTTCCAAAGTTGGTGGTACATGCTACTGTCATATATTGTGTGGGCTTTTCTATACCATATCCATGCATATACTCCATTCCATCATTTTAAACACACACTTGAGTAGGAACTTTAGCCTATCCAACCAAAAGCTTGAAAGCATGTGCATTGAGCCCCAATATACATATGGAGTTTATGTAGCCTTTTCTGACAAAGAAATTACCCTTTATCGACCTAGCAAGTGGCTATCAGCAATGGAGATGGAATTGGGCGCATGGGAGATTAGCTAGCTTCCTCAATGGACTCGCTAAGTATGATGATTATCCCAAAGCTGATGAAAAATCTTCTCTCTCGAACATAATTCGAGATCGAATGTATACTAGCTAGCTATACTAGCTCCATTTCAATGTCAATACAACATGCAAACCGGCTCACATTTTTGAACAAAACTAGTGTCGTTTAGGCCAGCTAGCATTTTCAGCAGGAGTCACCATCCAAGCCCCTTGTCGTATCTTATTTCGCTAATGGTGGAAATACTCCATTTGCGTGATTTTCGAACCAATGGCCGCTTGGGCCGATTATTCTGAGCAGAAAATTGACAAAAACTAGGAAATTAAACAAGGACATTGGCTTCACAAAGCTAGTGTGCAGCGATAAAGCCCCAGGGGCCATTTGACTAGATCCAAATTGGACTCTGGGGTTGATGCCATGATGGTTGGCTACACTATAAAAGAGAGGACATTGTGGCAGGACTCAATGCCTTTTCATTGCTCTTCATCCTCTCACGATCATTCATTCATTTTACCTGATACTGTCTCTTCTGATCTGAACAACTGAAGTGGTTCTCCCACATTCGCTATCTTGTTCTATTTGTTTTGTTCCCAACATTCATTTGTTTCTTTATCCATTTGGCCTTTTCATATCATTAAGCCGTCATGCGTGCCCAAGTGTTGGCGGCTATGGTGGCTAGTCTGCTGGTCACTCTTTCAGCTGCTCGTAGAAACATCATTGATAATTGTCCCTATACCTGCACTTCCAATGATACCACGTCTTGGATATCCTATCATTCAGCCGATCGTCTAGCTGTGTGCAACGAAACAATGCTTCTTGATTTTCTTCTCCATAATCCTCTCAACGATACTCAGACTCAGTCGACCATCTATGCTTGTACTACACCCAACAGTGGTGCGAGCGTCTCAAAAAGATCTACCTCCAATACCAATGCCACCGATGTTTCCTTAGAACTGGGGACATGGGGATCTTCCACTTCCAGCGCCATATCTGAGCTTCTTTCTGTGATTGAAGATATTGAAGCCTATCCCACGAGCTTTGCCAATGATGGAAAATCCAGCACTATCTTTGGATACAATGGCGATATCAGCGTGGGTATTATATCGGGGGTCAGCTAGATAGTTCCAATGCTGCCAGCACGGTTGCCGATGAGATGCGTAACTATATCAACCAGGAAGGTGCATTTGACCAAATGGCTATTCAGTACTGTGGTACAACGTCTAATTATATTGTTGGCCTAGCAGTGAGCACCGACGATGATTTGCCAGCTGTCCAACACCTGGTTAAGACATGGAGCCTAAGTGAGTGCGTTACCGGCTTTGAAGTTTCAGAAAATATCTCGTCGTCTCTGGAGTTCAAAACAGGTGTACAAAGCACAACATCCCTTAGTAGACGCTCTCTGCATACACATTACATGCACGGACGTCCTATTCATGGAGGGCTTTTGCAGCGTCGAGGTGACTGCACTACTGTGCAGGTTGTCTGGGGATACCTGCACCACACTCGTAGCCGAGTGCGGAATCACTGCGGATGAATTCTATGAATACAATACCGCCAGTGATCTATGCTCTACATTAGCTGTCGGCCAATATGTTTGTTGTTCTGCCGGAGATCTGCCAGACAACTCACCCCAGCCATACAGCAATGGCACTTGCTACACTTACCTGATAGAATCGGGAGACACTTGCTCCGCAATAGCAGCCGCTAATGATATTACAGTGGATGAGATTGACTCGTATAACAATCAGACTTAGGGCTGGTTGGGATGCGATGATCTTCAAGCTGGAGAAAACATTTGCTTGAGCGAGGGTGAACCACCGTTCCCGTCAGCAGTGGAAAGCGCTGTTTGTGGCCCTCAAGTTCCAGATACCACGGCGAATGGCACCGACTCTTCTGAGTGGGCCGACTTGAATCCTTGTCCCCTTAATGCATGCTGTGACGTATGGGGAGAATGCGGTATCACGCCAGAGTTCTGCACTGCGACTGATTCTACTACTGGTAATCCTGGGACGGCTGCATCAGGCACTAACGGGTGCATCTCAAATTGCGGTATCAACATCACCAATAACGACGATGCCCCTGACGAATTTTACGCCATAGGCTATTTCGAAGCATTTAACATCGATCGTGCCTGTCTTACCATGGAGGTATACAGCATTGACACTTCTGCGTATACCCATATTATCTACGCATTCGGTCTCATTGACTCGGACTATTCAATCAGCATCAATGTTTCACAGTCAGATGTCTTTGAGCAGTTCCTAGCTCTTGAAGATGTCAAGAGAATTGTCTCCTTCGGTGGATGGGACTTCTCAACCGATGTGGATACCTATATGATTTTCCGCGAGGGCGTCACTTCTGATAATCGTGAGACTTTCGCGCAGAATGTTGCCGATTTCATCTCAACGAATGATATCGACGGTGTCGACTTTGATTGGGAGTATCCCGGACAGCCTGATATTGAAGGCATCCCAGCTGGAAGCGATGATGATGGCACCAACTACTTGGCATTCTTGAAAGAATTACGCTCACTCGTCGGTGACAATATCACAATTTCGATTGCCATCCCAGCCTCCTTTTGGTATCTGCAGGGCTTCCCAGTTTCAGATCTGAATGATGTGGTAGACTTCTTTATCTACATGACCTACGATCTACATGGACAATGGGGTTATGGAAATGACTCTTCGGATGACGGCTGTACGGATGGCAACTGTTTGCGATCTCATGTTAACTTGACCGAAACGGGCTATGCCCTTGCAATGGCTACCAAAGGAGGTGCACAGAGCCTAAAGCTGATGGTGGGTGTCAGTAGCTACGGTAGATCTTTTGAAATGTCTACTGCTGGCTGTACCGGTCCGGATTGTACCTATACTGGCCCTGACTCGGGGGCTACACCCGGAAGATGCACGCAAACTGCTGGGTATATCTCTAATGCGGAGATAGACGAGATCATCTCCACCAACCCCAGTGTTGAAATCCTTTTCGATGATGATAGTGATTCCGATATTATTGTGTATAATGACACCCAGTGGGTTGGGTACATGACCACCACTACGAAGAGCACTCGCACTACCTATTATCAAGGCTTGAATATGGGTGGCACGACAGAATGGGCAATTGATCTCGAAGAGTTCATCGAAGATCCCGATGATATCTCAATTGTCAATTTGAGTACTGATCTTTCGGATGAAGAGCAATGTGAAACCCCGGATAGCTCTACGGTCACCTCGGCAGAGGCAAGCTCGGATAGAAACGTGGCGGGATATATTGACTCTCTCATCACGAATACACTCAAGAACAAGACTGGTATGTCCATTTTCATTGCACTTCTCCAGAACAATATTGATCAAGACTATAGCCAAGTGGGACAAAACTCTCTTTGGGAACGACAACGTGGATTGTTCCTCTTTCCCGACTAATGAGGACTGCAACTTTCCCAATTCAAGTACTTGCACTTCATATGCAGAACCAGCTCGGTATTGGGCACAATTTGTAGCCGCTATCATCTGGTTCTACATGGATGAGTACTATGAATTATTCGACGTGGCGAAGACAAATGTTACTGATCGAGTCCAACAACTGGTCACTGACTTCCCAGTTCAAAGCCCCGATACCATTCCGGATCTTGCCTCGCTTTTCACCAACTTCGGTGGGGCATTGGGGATTGTGTCCTCGTTTACCGGTGATGGATTAGCAACTACCCTCACAGCAGCTGCCGGTGGTCTGTTCTCGGAAGCCGGCTCCAAAGTGTCCTCTGATGATGATGACCACGAATAGTGAGACGACCCTTTACAATCGATGTTCTGACATATTCAGTGCATTCTATAATTCTGTAGCCACTACGCTCCAAGACATGTTTGAAACGGGGGATATATCCGGTTGGCCGTCAGACCTGATCTTGGGCGATTATGACCACGCAATTGCCGATTTCTTCGATGGCCGATTCATGTTCGAGCTATCAGGTTCTGATGAAGAATCGATGGAAACACTCTTGAACGAACATCTGATGGCGACCCTTGCAGGAACCGCACTTGTTTCGGCAAACTACTACGTTCTGAAGGGAGCTCACACCACCAGCGATTGTGCCGATGTCACCAGCGGCATTGTGATTGACGGATTCTGCTACACGCTCGAATATCCAGGCGCGGGTTGGTCTCTCGCGGATGAGAACGATATGTCGGATCCGATTGCCAGTGACGACTTGGATAAGTTGACGGGATCATATTCTGTCACATTGAAGGACCTGTACAGCAGTTCTGAAACTTGCCAAAACAACAGGAACGGGTACGGCGGCACCATGTCTACCGACGTGGTGACTTCAGTCCTCACTACGGAGATTCCTGCCTGCTTCTACAATCTGCCCGTGTTTACAGTGGAGGCGTCGGATGTGGGCGCGGTTGCGTCGCCGTGTCTTATCTTGTCCAACAATGAAACAGCCAGTGAGACCGAAGTTGGAGTGACCTTCATGCCATCCAATTTGGCTGATATTTTCACCGACGATTTCTGCTACTGTTCGGGTGGTAACAGAGAATGCAGTGAATGAGTACAACAGCAAGACTAAGTGTTGATTAAAGCGGTAGCTAGAGGAAGAAACTGACATAAACAGCTAATACCTACAAGGGCTTTCATCAACGTTCAACATCACTTTTCACCTTTGAGAGTATAAACACTGCATCAATTTCCTTGTGGTATCACCACGCGCTTCTCTCTTTTCTCGTTTAACACAAAGTGTAACTAATAATGAGTTTGCTTATTTTAATCAATTCAAAAGAAGAAAACAAAATTAAAAATAATAACAAGAAGGAAAAAGGAGAAAGAACAAAGAAAGAGAATCCACTGTCGTCGATTAATTCTCGATAGTGGGGAACTTGTGGTTCTCTGGAAGGCTAATTGGACACGAGCACGGCCTAGTGACCTCCGTAGCCGACGATTAATGCCATTCTCCAAAACTTATAAAACCGGCAGAAAACCGGCAGAATTTCATCTAAGTTAAGTGTCGGATCGTAGGATATCCGTATATGCTAGTACTAAGGTAAGTTTCTGTTGGAGCAAGCTGAGACGGTAATGGCTAGTAATCCTCGTAGGCTAATGGGACCGAGGATAGGACCATGCGGAACCAATCTTGGATGCAAAGGTTGATTGCTTGAAAGAGAATGTAGTGTTATAGGGTGGTTGAAATACCCAATAGATGACTAAGGTACACAGTGACACGACATCCCTGTCGCTCCATGCTTCGACAGTTCCTAAAATCCCTGAGTCCATCATCATCCTATGCTTTAATAATTCCTGCATTATCTATATGAAGAAGCAAATTGATTGGAAATCTATTTGGACTTCATCTTGTCTATATGGTCTCCTGTGTCTCGTCAGAAAGAACAATCAATCAATTCACTTCCTCTGAATTACAACAGATTATGAGCCCGAGAGCGAACCTCTTGGATGCCGTTTCTACTCACTCAAAGACAACCTAGTCCGCCTTGGATTATTACATTCGATTACATGTTACTATTACAGAGTACACAAAGCTGCCCTTAATGCTTGTATTGAAACAGATGGCTACGGAGGATGTTGTATACAGCGAAAGGTCGACAGGTGCGAAGCAAGAAATACCCCGACAGCATCGGGCTAGGGTCGGGCAGAAGACTTTGCAATACATTTGAATCGTCTGTTCCTTATATGCATCTTCCTAACGGAAATCAAATCACTTATTCAAAGGGTCCTTTCAAGCGACCTGGTAGATCTCCACTTATAGTCGGTCTTCTTTTAAGAATTCGAAAAGCAGTATCGCCATTAGAGTCGAATTGAGACAAATCTGGGTCTTTGTCAAGAATGGCCTCTATTGTTGAGTGATTTACATTCTCAACAGCCCAATGCAAGGCAGTCCTCTTGTTCCGTCCTTTGGCATTGACATCCGCCCCGTGAGCAAGCAGTGCCGCGACGATCTCCGTCAAGCCCCTCTCTGATGCTAATAGCAAAGGTGTCTCACCGTTAACACGTGCGCAGTTAACATTGGCACCGTGGGAGATCAGACACTTGACTAAGTTAAATGAGCCTTGCTCAACAGCAAACATTAGGGGCGTCATCCCGGTGGTGTCCGTCGCGTTCGCGTTCGCGTCGTGCGAACAGAAGATTTCGACCAAGTCCATGGCGCCACACTGCGTTGCTATTATCAAGGGGGTTCTTGCGTTATAACCAACGGCATCAATATGAGCCCCCTGCCTGATGAGATAGTCAATGACGCGCCTGGTCTCTGAGGCGGGCCTGCTGTAATAGGCCATCCCTGCTCTATCTACTCTGGAATTATTCTGTGCATAAAAATTGGCTGCCACGTGTAGAGGGGTATTGAAATCACGGTTCCTTGCAGAGATCTGTACTCCTCTGGACAGCAAGGCTTGCACAAGATTCAACGATCCTGCTGCGGCTGCATAATGAAGAATAGTTCTCGTGTCGCGATCGCAGGCTCGAACATCTAATCGAGGATCACAAAGAAGAGTCTTAGTGATCGTATCGAGGATGAAAACAACTTTGGCCCTTGGAACATTCCAACTATCGTTATCTGGGGCGACAAACTGCCAATTGTTCAATTGAAGGATGAGGCTATGTGCAAAGAACCATTCACTGGGGGATTTCGGCCACTGGTCATGAAGACGAAGAGCAACATGCACTATTTCTTGAAATGTATCCAGGTTGCTATTATGGCAGTGCTGAAACCAGTTGCCGCGGGCGTAGGGGAAAAGCAACTGCGGTTGAGGCATTTCATCGCTCTGATCATCGGCCACTGTGACGAGGAAAAGACTAGAGATGCAGCTTCTCGGGACAACATTGTCACACTCGACTTGCTTCAGTGATTGATACCAGTGGCCCAGTTGGGACGGGTTAGTGTCTCCATGTTGCTGAAGGAGGAACTCTCGGGCAGTTTGGTGAACTAAATAAACTCTTTCGTGGATGACGCGAATGAAATGCCCACAGGTTGCCTTTACATAATTCTCCATCAGATGTTTGAGCTCAGATTGCAGGTTTCGGAAGCTAGGCTTTTGCGGAGAGACGGCGAGGGCAACGTTGAGCTCCCAGAGCGTAAGGGGCCGTCGAGCTCCCAGGACTATTTGTAATAGCTTCTTCGATCGATCTCTGTTAGTGCTTCTGGCTAGTAAGGCGGCGTAGACGTTGTCAATGTCTCGGTTTCCAAGGAGTTCCTTTAGCTCTTTCTCCGAAGCGCCATCCATCGCAGTATCTTCCAGAAGACTAATCATCAGAGTAGTCCACAAGAATGTGCGGTCAGCTTTGTGAATCAACACTTGTTGCAGCTCCATCAGCACATTCCGGGGAAGACATTGTCTCTCCAACTCATTCATGTGGTTCCGAACTACCATTTCAACGTCCTTACTGATAGCCTCAGCCTCATCTTCTCCCCGAAGCCGAACAGTGGCCACGTTGCGGGTGAAACAAGTCTTGATGGTGTTCTCGGGACGACTAAATATGATGAATTTGACGAATGGCCGAGCTTCAAGGTCTTTTTTGTTGTACAGCTTGTTCACACACTCCAGGAGTTTTCTTTGAGACACTATTTCCATTTCGTCGAGACCATCAAGGATGCAAATTAAGTTTGTCGCTTCCCGATCCGTTACAGCAGCGGCGAAAATCTCCCATAGCGTGTCCAAGTCCTCGACCATCGCTGTATTTTTGGATCTAAAGGGTACGAACGCATGACGAAGCATGGCAGGATCATCTGTGAAGACCTGGTGGAGTAAAGACCTGGTGGAGTAGGGCGCGCAGGGCAAAGACTGCCTTCCGCTGTCCATTATTATCATCCTTGAAGAAGTGACAGACCAATTCAGGCCGTCCGTCTTCGGACTTAGGCTGGCGAAGATGCTCCACCAAGAACTTGGCCAGGACAGATTTCCCGCATCCCGGGTCCGCAGATACCCAGAGCAAGCTGGAACGGGCTTCCGTTCTCCAATCCCGATATCCAGCATGTTGCAGAAACCATTCACAAGTGCCGGCAACTCGATCAGGATTTCGGTTCCGGAAGGATTCGTAAATTCTGTCATAAAGACTTTGAAGACACCGTCTTTGATCTTCCGGGGACAATTCTACAAATGCACTTAGTCTGGAGCTCTTATCGATAGAATCAAGACTTTCCTACTCTTATGGCTCTAAGACTTACTCGTAAAGTAAGACACCTCGGATGTGCTGATCTCGTCGACCATCTCCTTCAAATGCGTCCAGACTCTTCGGTATCGGTTCTCAACTTCCTTTGACTTAGAGAAATCTACAGATCGAGGTGTGGTCCCCATCGACAGGCACTGGAACTTCGTTGGGCAGATTTAGGATCGCAGATTCCTCTTCCACAACCTTATCAGTGATCGATCTCATACTTTCTCTCAGGCTCAATTCCACCTACCAAAGAGTTCAGGTAGGCCATTTCTCGTGTTTCATAGAAACTAACAATCGGCAGCGCCTTTCTGCGATCCACGAAGGATCTCGCGATTCCCCAGAGTGTTTCCGAGTTGTTCTTGAGAACGGCCACAACTCTTGCATTCGTGGTCGTGCCAAGTGTGGACAATTTAATGATGGACGCCATAATATTGCCAAACTTCGCCAGTGAGGACCCGGCATGAGGTGTTCCAAAGAAGGCTACGCCACGAATCTTCTTCAATAATTCGGTAAACCGATCGCGCTCGCGCGCCTTCACAAGAGCCTGCGCAAGAAATTCTATTTAGCCGACTGCTTCGCGGTTTATATTATACATGAAACATGGATGGTGATGAAACTACCTGCTTGAACACGATGCCACCGAGACTGTGGCAAATAAAGATGATCGGACGCGCTTTTTTCTCCTCGTCCATTCTCCACGACATGATCTCGGCCAGTAAATCTTCAGCAAACGTGGCAATATCTGCAGTCGACTTGCTAAACTGCACCGAAGATTCATACCCATAGGACATGATCCTGGCATTAGGAATAGCAGTCGGCAGCAAGTCCTTCAGCCAGTTAAGTCTTGTTTCCTTAGCATATGCAGTCCAAATTTCAGTCGGATGGCCGTTCAACCCATGCAATGCAATAATATCGACAATACCCTTTGCGTCGGAAGGCTTGTCCACCAACAAAAACATTCCTAGTCGTCCTTGCACGTCATCTTGACTTTCACCTACGTCTGTCGCTGTCAGGTCTGCTGCAGCTGATGGGGACTTTTGGAATCGATTCCATAGTTGCTGCATCTTGACGAGGACTTTGCGTCACTTTCAAATAGTAGAAGATCCTAAACGAGTCGACCTAGCGACCTCGTGACCATACACCGCGTGGCATGCGGACAGGGACTCCCCATTTCCTCTTAAGCTGATGGGGCTTTGGCAAGAGGGGAAAAATACGCACGGCCTGCCAGATGAGTGGCTGGGATTCCTGTTAGGATTATCGCTTCTTTTTATAGTTAGCGCGCCGACCTAGTCAGCTAGAATGCATAAATCATGCTCAAGGGTGCAGCGATGGCAGTAGGCTACCTATGATGCGGGCACACCTCCCGGGTATTCATGATGAAGACGGTCTATGGAGGTTTATCCCTCCCTAGGGCCGCGAATTTTTGTTGCTTAACGATGTAGGATTCATAGTCAACATTCGTATGAAGGGTTTTGGTCCTTGAGCAGATGAACAGTGCTGACATTCGGGTATGAAAGACCATACTCTGCCCAATCATCAGCTAGTCGGTCTAGGAAACCATGACTTCGATATTTACCCCATCATCAGAAGAAGACGAGGAGGAAGTTTCCAACAGGAGAATGTATTATTAGACCTCCGATTCTACTTGTTGACGTCAGCCGGCGAATGATATAGAACGTCTCGAGAAAGCATATTTGCAGGTTTGGATATACTCGGTGACGAGGATATATGGACTGTATTAGACGTAGATCCCCGTGACGTGATGGATAAATGACGGCAACATGGACATGACTAACCCAAACCATTTTGCCAGTCTCAAGAGTGCTCGAGGCATGATCCAGCAAGAAAAATACGGTAGCAGTGAGTTTGGGGTATAAATGTGGCGATCATCACAGTACGTCTCGAAACTGGTGCAACCAACTCGTTGCAGCCTCCACTACCCAACTTGAAACTCGACTGGCAGAAGAGACGAGTGGACTTATACACGGAGGCTGTCAAGATTGGAGGCTGTCAAGATTTGGAGGGCTATGGGCTAAAGATCGGAGGGGGGTCAGCGCCGTGACTAGTCTGTGGCTCATACAGTCGCTTCACGCAATAAGCGCAGCTTTTTAAGTGCTTGAAATCTTAAAAAAAAAAAAGTGTACAAAGATGGGATCAGGCCGTCGAAATTTCGCATTTGGGGCTATATGATCTATCGCTCCCTATCCCCGAGCCCAGCAAACAATTTCCTATTTAAAAAGTTCCATAAGCTTCTTCTAGCGCCTTCATGGCATTTCCTTGGTGGCAGAAGCTGCAGGGATTCTATAGTATTCCAGTTGATCTATTTCATCGCAGTGCCACCAGAAGCGACGAAAAATAACTAGAACCACCAAATATGATCAAGATAAGTGATAATTTCCTGCAGCAGTTAGACTTATGATGAGCGGATATGGTCTAAGTATGAGTTTAAAAACTCACTTCTATATAGGCTGAGGCTATTAGCTGATGAAGCATACAGATTCGCATTCCTAGCTAGAGCCAAAAATAGCTAGTAGCCTATCAAAGGCTCGCCGCAGTCGGCAGTTTCTCTCATTATGTAGTTGATCTAACCGCTCTTGATTGTTCTGTGATAGACGTATAAACCATCGCTACCTGAAAGCCTCGTTATAGACACCCTAGTTCATTCGTTGATGCTCTATTAGTGCTCGGACGCAAGTTAGTATTCTCTTTGGACTCTGTATCATTCTCCTCGGCATGCCAGTTCAACAACAGGATGTTCTCGTATTCATTCAGTAACTCCGTGTTTTCGCGACGGACATTTTGGTGTCTCGCTCCAGAGTCCTCTATATAAAGTATAGTAAGTCGCAATGTGGCGAGGAACAAAGAGCGAGGCCCAAAAGAAAGGAGAAGGCTTCAAGGTCATATGGCCGGCTCCGTAGTGTTGTGATATTCACACTGAATATGATTCAAAGGTCCTTCTCATTGTTCTCACCCCAGAAATATCCACTTTCCATTCCCACCACTCCTCTTGCCATCTTTGTGACTACCAACGAATCTACGGAAATATCTAGCTTGCGGACTCCCGGATCGGGAGATTGGTAGTAAAGGAAAGATCATTTTGATAGAGTTAGGTGGAATTAGGTGGGAGTTGCTAGCCATCCAATTTGTGAGCTAAATCTGTGACATGGCGAGCGTTGAAACTATCCGGCCAGTTATAGAATTTTCTTGATGTTTTTAAAGCTTCTGAAGTCTAAATTATCAAGATGCTATAGTTCTCCTTGCAAATACGCCTGTGCATATTTACATAGTGACTAATAAGTCGTCTGTTTTGGCAAGGATACATATATACTTAATAATGAAATACCTCAGCAACCAAAAACATATGGACGTAAGGCTGGAAGAGGGTAATAGGAGTTTGTTTATTATCTACTAGGTATAGGCGTTCATAGTCGCTGGCGAAACACCCTCAAACATTTTGTCATCTTAGTGACGATCTTACTCATCAAAATGCGCTTGATCCGTGGCCCAAATTTTTATTGCTCGTGCGGTCATGGTATGGGTAAAGAAGGAAGAGAGAACGTAATGGTAAGACTTCTATATTCATTTTTCCATAATCCCTGGAAACGCCATGCTGTGACTCAATTGAGCACTCACAATGTCCATACAAAGCCAAATTGTCCAAAGATTCCTCCCAAAGAAAGACAACCTTGGAAAGAGACTACCATGAACTGAAGTCTCCAAAACCACCCGTGCCTTTCATTTTCTTACGGGCCGGTTCCGGAGCAGGCTCTTCGTCAACATATTCAACAATCTCATCCTCTTCTCCCCGATCGGCCAGGGCAGCCTGGAGATATTTCCCGACCCCACTTGGTGCACTCTCGTTTGATTTGGCGCCGGGGCCACGCACCCGTTTTCCAGTCCAAGTCATTCGTTCGTCGTCCACACGGCGGGTGTTCTCATCGTCTTCCGTGGCAGTGGTAGAACCACCCTTGGCTTCCTCCGCGCGTTTCTGGTTAAGGAAATCTTCGAATGGATCCACAAATATGGTAACTTCTTTGATGCGGATTTCTGGGATAGGGCGGTTGGTATTTGCTTCCACTGGGTGAGTTTCAAGGGTGTTGAGCGTAGTAGACGACGGAGTAGGGTCATCGATGAGCCGGCCGAAGACAGTATGCTTGCGATCAAGGTGAGGTAGGGCTCGATAGGCGAAGAAGAATTGACTGCTATTGGTGTTCTTGCCCTTATTGGCCATGCTCAACGTGCCTCGTCCGTCGTGCTTCAGAGGCCCGTCGAATTCATCAGAAAAGTATTTGCCCCAAATGCTCTCGCCACCTCGGCCTGTGCCAGTAGGGTCACCACCTTGAAGCATGAAGCCTTTAATATTGCGATGAAATGTGACATCCTTGTAGTAACCCTTCTTGGCTAGCTGGATGAAGTTCCACACGGCCTTCGGGGCGTGTTCGGGATACAGCTCCAGGTTCAGATGGCCCGCAGTAGTTACAATCCGCGCATAACCCTTACCCTTCACCCGACCCCGCTTCAGCATATACTCCTCCTCCGATAGCAGTGCTAGCTCTGCCGATGTGTGAGGAGTCAGTCCCGTACTGGTAAAAGAGGCCGCAGCTTTTCCTGTGGTAAATCGTGCGGCATTGTAGGGTGTAGGCTTTCCTGATTGAGAGGTTCCAGGCTTGGCAGCTGAAGTCACAGCCCCAGTCTTGGAAACCGCCTTTGAAGCAGCAGAGTTGGCCTGCTGCTGTGCCCGGTCTGCGCGAGCTTTTGCGACAGCTTCCTTCGCTTTCAATATCTTGGCTGAACTTCCTAGTGCACTGGTATTAACACTGGCCGCCGCCTGTTGCTCCTCCAGGAATTCCGTTTGACCCTCCTTCAGATAAGTGAAAGAACTGAGATCGCGAGACTCGATATTTTGTGGGTCCTGGAGGGTGATGATGTCCTTCCGGCTGAACTCTTCGTCAGTAACGAGATCGCGCCAAAGTTTCCCCTTGATGTTGAGACGCTCTACAGTGTCCCAAGAAAACACATTTCCCGTATTCCGTAGTGCAACAATGTGGGTATTATCCGTTAGGACCTTGTATGTCACTGGGTCGACATACTCGCCCTCCTCATTCTTCGCAATCGTAAGCTTGATGAGATCGGAGCTCTTGAGTGGGGACCCATCCACCGGGTTTGTCCCATGTTTTTTGATCCAAGGAATAATATTGGTCAGATCAAAGATGACCCCTGTATGTGTGCAGACCGGGTGGGCGAATGGCTGGAGTGATAGGGAACAGAAATTGAACGGGAGGCGCTTGAATGCGGCATGAGGACCACCCCGTCTGGCCTTGCCAACACCAGCGCCTGCGCTAGCTGAGAAGGCATCTTCCGAAGCCCATTCGGAGTGTGTGATCTATAATCATACCATAATTAGCAGTCATTCGAAAATGCGACAGCGGAGATTTCATTGCAGTGGAGATTTTGCAGGAGGGCGTACGTAGAGTTTATCCGTTCCTATGCGTGATCAAATTAGCATCCAGGCCTCTTTTCCCTGTCAGAAAATTTGCTTAGACTTACCTTTCCCCATGATGTATGAAGCTCAATATTGTCTTCGCGTTGATTGAAGGTCGAAAGATCGCGAGAATGACGCAGGATAAGCTAACCACTTTAGGACTAGTGACCGATATCGTTTGACACCTGAAAATCACGGGTTGGGGCTTATCTGAGATTAGGGCGCGTCTCTCTCCCCCCACGCGTTACAAAAAAAGACCAGTCCGGAGTATATTGACCCGCAACTCCCTCTAGTATTTCTTTCTTACCTTTCCTCGGAGTTAATGCATGCTGTTAGAGCAAGGGTCCGGCCAACAAATATTGCTCGAATTTTTTCCGCCAATTGCTCCGGGCCCAACGTCTCATATTCATCAGCACCACGACTCGTGTCAGATGAAAACACGATGTTTAAGAAAGCTGTGAACGACCATCCGGGAGGGACCACCTCCAAACCTCTCCAATCCAGTCTTCTACGTACGAATACAGCCGCATCTTCCAAGCCTCTCCCCCCTCCCCAATCGGTGGGTGTCAAACGGAAAATCGAGATGGCCAACAGCGGAGGGTCGACGCTTGGCTCCCTCCATAGTACCGTTTATTTTGACGAGAATGACTTCGACGATGACTTGGATCTCGATGACCTCGATGATCCCCTTCCGTTCACTACTCCGTCAACTACCTTTGCAAAGCCAGACCCGGTGAACTATCCCAAAATTCACTCGGCAACAACCGCGGATAACAAACTCCCAGCAAATGTCGCATATCCAGATCTGCCACCCGCATCTCAAGAGCCTGACGTGCCATCCAGTAGTATACAAATCCCATGGTCGTCCTCGCCCCCATCTCATTTTCAACCGCCCCAGAAGCCGCGCACATTGCCGTGGCTACAGGGGGGCAAGAAGGAGGATACCAAGAACAGCCTCATCACTCCCAAGCGTACGAAACCTACGGACATTTGGAACAAGAGCGCGAGCGCCATCAAGGAGGAGCAGAAAGAGCTCAGGCGGGAATACAAGAAAACCCAAAAAGAAACATTGCAAGACTTAGCGGCTTCGACTTTGAGTTCAAAAAACACCAAAATTCTGCCTGTTCAGCTGAGTGAAGAACAATTGGCCGTGCTTGAGGCCGTCGTCGACCGTAAGAAAAGCATTTTCTTCACAGGCTCAGCAGGTACTGGAAAGTCGGTACTCATGAGAGAAATCATCAAAAAGTTGCGCCTGAAATACAAAAATGAACCCGATCGCGTTGCCGTGACAGCATCTACTGGACTTGCTGCCTGTAATATTGGGGGTGTTACACTTCACAGTTTTGCTGGCATTGGATTGGGCAAAGAAGCAGTTCCAGAACTGGTCAAGAAGGTGAGTACACTGAGCTTTTCTGATACCCTGGGCGTCTTGGTGCTGAAAAATTGAAGGTCAAGAAAAATCAGAAGGCACGGAATCGCTGGCTGCGCACAAAAGTCCTCATCGTTGATGAGGTGTCGATGGTTGATGGTGATTTGTTCGACAAACTCGAGGAAATCGCCCGGCGCATCCGAAACAATGGCCGTCCATTTGGAGGAATCCAGCTGGTCGTCACTGGCGATTTCTTTCAATTGCCACCTGTGCCAGAAAGGAATCGAGAAGCCAAGTTCTCCTTCGCTGCAGCAACCTGGAACACTACCATTCAGCATACTATTCTTCTTACTCACGTCTTCCGTCAACGTGACCCTGAGTTCGCGGCGATGCTGAACGAGTTGCGACTGGGTAATCCCAGTGCATCGACCGTTGACGCTTTCCGAAGACTCTCCCGGCCTCTCAACTTCCATGATGAGCTTGACGCGACTGAGCTGTATGCCTTGTACTTCTTGGATACCTTCGTGCTTATACTGACAATTTAATAGATTCCCCACTCGGAACGAGGTTGAAAATGCCAACTCTGCCCGCATGTCCAGGCTATCTGGTGAGATGATGAGCTTCACAGCTGTCGATTCCGGGACAGTCACAGACCCCCAATATCGCGAGAAGCTGCTATCCAATTGCATGGCTCCGCCTGTTATCCATCTCAAAAAAGGTGCTCAAGTTATGCTGATCAAAAACATGGAAGAGACCCTTGTGAACGGATCTATTGGCCGCGTGGTAGCCTTCATGGATGAGGCAAGCTTTGACTACTACCGCACTAATGAGGACGATTTTCACCCTACTGGAGAAGGTGACGTGAGCGATGAGGATAGTGCCGCTCGTGCCCGGAAAAAGCTCAAGGGTATGACACACAAGGAAGGCCCAGCCACAATTACGCGAAAATGGCCTCTGGTGTGCTTCGTTCAGCCCGATGGTACAGAGAGGCACCTGTTGTGTCAGCCCGAGGCGTGGAAAATTGAACTTCCCAATGGTGAAGTGCAAGCTCAACGTTCGCAAGTGCCCTTGATCCTGGCATGGGCTTTGTCTATTCACAAGGCCCAGGGCCAGACGTTGCAGCGTGTCAAAGTTGATCTGGGACGAGTATTTGAGAAGGGACAGGCATATGTGGCTCTTAGTCGAGCAACTTCTCAAGCTGGTTTACAAGTCACAGGCTTTGAAGCCCGCAAGGTAATGGTTCACCATAAAGTGACTGAATTCTACAACAACCTTGTGTCGATTTCCCAGGTGCTCGGGCCGAAGGCCAAAAAGGCAAATGCTTCAAAAGCAGCCGAGGGTGGCGATGATGACTGCTTCATTGTCTAACCAAGTTACGCTATGAAGATCCTTTATCCATGTATCGATGTACCTACTACTATAGTGATATCCCTTCTCGAGACCACATGATTTCTCTACTTATGTACCAACCACTTACACTCTTCGGTAGTTCTTCATCGGCTACCACTTTTCCAGCGAAATATAAATTAGGTACATTCAAATGTTACCTGCTTTAGTCATATACTTGGTGATCTTAAGATCTCCATATACCTTAGACAATCTTTTTTTATCTTTTTTTAGGATCGATTACAAGGTATGGCTACCGGGGAACGTATACATTGAGGGCTTGAAAAACAGGATAATGTAAACATGGGCATTTAAACTTCTCTTACTTATGGTGGCATAAGTGGTAGATCAATGAAGGAAGGACTCACCCCATTTTATCCACTTTCGTATTGACCGAATACCTATATCTATATCCATATTCGAAGGCATATCCATGCCAGGCAATGGAGTACTTGAAACACCCTAATTATACTTGCATCCCCCACATCGGGTTCTTATCGATAAGAGGCACGTGACCAACTGCCCTTGAAGCTGCCTGAGCTTTCTTCTCCAACGGCCACCCCTCGTTCTCCTCACCCAACAATCAGACGGAAGTGTCCACCCAACGGGGTGATCCAATTGTGATCGCATCGCATCTGTGTTCTCCTTTGACAATGGCTTCTGAGTTCATCGGATATTCTGTGATTGTGAGCCTAAAAGCACCGCCTGGCGGGAAGCTCCAAGGGCAGGTGGCTAACGTGGTTGGGCAAAATTTGCTTCTCCAAAATGGTAAGGCTCTGATATACTACCGTCTTGTCTCGTGTGTTAAATTTGGGGCCTGACATTTTTTCCCATAGTAACACTTCTGTGGAATGGCCAACGTTTCCCCAGCTATTCTGTGGATGCTGCCGGAATCACCGATCTCTCACTGCAAGAAGCCAAAGCCCCTCTTTCTCACCCGCATGATTTGTCGCAAGAAAACATCAGGGTCCAGCCTGCTCAACCCAAACCCCCACAACAGAACTTTGTCGATCCGGCTATCTTAAGCTACTCTAAAGTCCCTACCAACTCTCTCACTCAATCCCATCTGGCTCCGCGTGCTACTGGTCAGGCAGCTGCCCAAGTCGCAGCATCTTTGTCTGAGCCATTCAGCAACCTTGAATTGAATGTCAATACTGGTAACGGTGGGTTGCGGGGCTCCTCGCAGGAGACCGAGTTCCAGGCTGCACAGACCTTGACCCCTACTAAGAAAAGCAACAAGCGCAATAGATCTGGCAACGAAAGTGGATTTATTAGCAAGCATGGCGGTGCCGCCAGCACGAATCCAAAGAGCAAAGGCTGGCGCCAAACTGCCTTTGTGGAGCCCATGGGTGCGGCTGCCCAAGCGTCCCCTGAACATATTGTCCGCCAGCCCGGCGCAAAGCTTCGCAAGAAAAAGGCGTCCCGCGCATACGTCGAGGATCAAAGTGGCTGGGCCACTGAGGATGCAACCGATATTCAGGAGCTGGGCGAATTCGATTTCGCAAGCAACCTCTCAAAGTTCGATAAACGGCGAGTGTTTGAAGAAATCCGAAATGACGATACAACTGCAGATGAGGCCCGTCTAGTGAGCTTCAACCGCCTCCCCAAACCTGGCACCAATGATGGCAAGAATCTTCACTGGTCGGAGAACGTGCTTGATAGCCCGCAGAACAGCGATACAGAGGATGTTGAGGGCATTAGTGATGCCAGACATAGTAGCGAGAATATCTCTGGGCGTGACCGATCTCGGGCACCTGGATGGATCCAAACTTCTCGCAAGAGTAGTACAATAATGAGCCAGCCTGTGATGCCGCAAATCAACGCTCTCAATCGCAGCCAATTGAATGCCTCTCGCACCACGAGCCCTCACCCAGGTCGCTCATCTGTGTCCCCCATGGTTGGTTCCAATGCATCCGGAGCATCCCTAAGATTGATAACTACCAATCGTAGCTGCCCAACCGTGAGCCCTCTGCAGGCCCTTGAGGTTGAGCAGATTGCGGTAGCTGAGTTTGGTCTGAGTGAAGATGTTATTGCGGAGAATGCAGGCCGAGGAATTGCCGAGGCAGCAGTTGCTCTCCTGTCCAGCGACGCCGCTGCGCCGACCATCGTAATTGTTACAGGTAACCATCGAACAGGCGCCAGGGCTATCGCTGCTGCACGTCACCTGCGAAACCGTGGTCACCGGGTTACTGTCTGCCTGCTAGGTCTTGAATATGAGAGCGAATTGCTGGAAAGCTGTCGCAAGCAACTCGATATCTTCCGGAAGATTGGAGGTCGTGTATCGAAGTGGGAGGATCTATCACCTCGTTTATCTACTTCTGACCTGAGTCCCGATTTGGTGATTGATGCCTTGTTTGGCATGCACATTGCCTTTGATGATCTTCGAACCGATGATCAGGGCGTCGCCTTTGAGATGATCTCATGGGTGAACCGAAGCAACCTCGAGGTTCTTTCAGTTGACATTCCATCGGGCATGTCAGCCTCGAACGGTATGTTCCTCTCCATGTCAATCCGTCACTCGGCTCAACTGACAATGCATATAGGTGACACAACTATAGTTGACGGTGGTAAACTATGTGTCAATGGCTCGTCGGTCGTCTGCCTTGCTGCACCAAAGACTGGAGTTCTCAATGCTCTACTTTCCGGTGAAGGCAACTCCTGGAACGTAAGTGTTGCCGACATCGGTATTCCTCAGATCGTATGGCGAAAGTACGGTACCCGTCGCCGACATGGTATCGATTTTGGCAACCGCTGGGTGGTGCCACTGAGATACCAGGCCGCGGTTGCCTAGATGAACACCCAGTGGGCTTTATCTTTTATGAACAAAAAATCATTCCAGGCGTTTACATCACAAAAGGCAAAACGAGGGGATATATCATTATCATTTATTATCATTAGCGACTTCAACTACCTAGCTAGCCTGTTTATCTTAAAAATGCAAAAATTGAACAAGAAATCCAGCCCTTAGCTACTCAACTACTACCCCTTCTTTTTGATCTTGTCCAAGTCTTTGGAAAGTGCATCGTCCCCTTTCAAAGCACCTACTATAGTACCCACTAGTATTGAGGGTAACTGCTTTGTTACCACAAGATGATCCTAAATAGTCTGGTTCTCTAGGACGAGGTGTTATCATATATATAGACTTGGACTCGGATTTTTGCAAAATAGCTAGCCTCTAATCTTTAAGCATTCAAAATCTCAGATGTTTGGGGTTTTGAACCTCCGATTTGTAGGAAACATCATAGTCTTAGATTACTGTAAGTACCCAACTAAGGAAGAGTTACGTACTCTCGCTAGTCCCAATCACTTGCCCCTGATTTTATACAGTGACACTTACCTAAAATAGCCTATTAGTTATGCATAGTAGAGAGCAATGGGGAAGAAATCTCATGATATGCTAAGAATATCCAGGCGGCTATATGGGACAACGCAGGTTCAAAGTGTAATAGGGATATTGTAGGAAAAGTAAAATGTTAAGGAATGCGAAGAAAGGCTCATCATCATCGCCGAAGGCTATCCAGCCTGGCTTGAAGATCGTCATCATCCGAATGGGCTCCACCACCAACAGCTTGCGCAACACGGGTCTCCCCCACTGATTGCTTTTGTATGTCGGAAGGCGTCTCGCCAAACTGTTCATTTGACCTGTCAGTATATCTGTGCCATCCGATCGTCCGCGATAAGGGAAACAAACCGATTGACCTAGGTCGACACCAATTTCGTCCAGAACCTCCTTGACAATGTCCTCTCCCTCTTCCTCTTCGCCCTCCATACCCGTCGCTTCGTCGATAGCATCATCCATCATTTCTTGCCGTTCGTCCATGATCTCGTTTTCACGCTCGAACTCCATAGCAATGCGCTGCAATGCCGGAAGATTCATCTGTCGGTTCATGCTACCAAGAAGCATCGTAGCTCCCTTCATAGATTGCATCATTTGTTCATTGCTCCGGACCGTCTAGCAGGGTATGTGTGTTAGCATCATTTGGGAGCCTAGGGAGGGGGCGGGGTTATGTAGATCTGGCCGTACCTGAATGCGTAAAGAGATGGCCTGTAATTGTGTGCGCATCTGATAGAACTTCTGGATGTATCTGTATTCCCAACTTTCAGTAAGGATTTCCCAAAAAAAAAGATAGTAAGTCAAGAAAAGGAAGATTCGCGACACTACGTACCGTCGTGTCCGGACCAGATCCTTGGCTTGGATCTTGCATGCGTTAATTTGGCCGTTCTTGGCGCTCTTCTTGATATCCTGCACCAATTTCGTCTCTTGTTTCTCCAGCTTTGTCCGCTCTCGATCCAGCTCGCGCTGTGTTCGGTCAAGGGCACGTTGGTGTTTGCGCAGACGCTCTGCGGGCGTCATGCGCTTACCGAACGCCCATTCGACAATCTGGTAGGTAGATGAGTGATATATAGGGCATCAACAGAGTTATTGTCACATACGTTCATGGTGGGATCTGGATAGGTGGACTTAGATGAAGTGGGTTGAAGGTATTGAAGATTGAGGGGAGGGTAAATGCGCAGATGCCTTCTGTTTCTCTACTAATCGGTGACATCAATGGTGTAAGATACCGTTTCGCCGATCATGTAAGTTACAGAGTCACATGCACGCTAAACCATTTTTAGCACAAACGTCACCTTAACCTTGGAATTTGATTATTCATTGACATTTTCTTGCTTCTTAATACAAACAAATACCCTCGGATGGCTTTCCCACACACCTATTTTTCGTCATGAGTCAGGATTATTTCCCCGGCGAGGGCTCCTCCAGGTCCGCCTCGTCTCGTTTCGCTGGTGAGGAAGAAGAAAGAAGTCCCTTTTCCCCCCAAGCCCCACCGGCATATATGACTGTGGGCAATGGTTCGACCTCGGAAAGTGCAACGGCTCTTATGTCTTCACTAGCCCACGACTCTGGTTATGGAGGCAGTATCGCGGATGGAAGCATTACAGGAGCCGATTCAAGTGCGGCTTGGCGTGCTGGGTTGATGGAGGATCGACCAACTCCGGTGCACACACCCACACGCCCGGGCGAGTATAATCCGGCTGGTGAGTGATGCGAAACAAGTTTAAAGTGATTAGTTAAAGACTGGCTCGCTAATATGGTTATTTTCGAGTAGCTGAGCACGAGAAACAAGTTGTCGCAAACCATGTCCACCAGCTTCTCTAGTATGTCAACTAGCTCCATGTCTACTCTACAAGTGTATAGCATGCTGATAATGCCTTTGCAGCAACTCAAACCGGACCAAACTTGCTCGCTCAATATCCAGGACTATCGAAACGTTGAAAGGTCTCCAGGATATGAACCGACAGTGGCCCGCCCACTACCCCTCGGTTCAAACCGCGCAAAGCGCTCCTTCGTCACCTACGACACGCCCGGAATTGTATCATGCGCAGTCGGACTTTAGAACCGATAACTCAAGGCCGAGAAGTCCACCTCGACCGGAGCTGAAGCGCGCTGCGACTACAATGAACGGAGAGGACCTCGGTGAATCGAGTGCCGCTGCTGAGCGCCGTGCACCACCTGAGCCTCGGCTGATGACTCCGCAAATTGCACAGGAATTCTCGATCTTGAAACTCGATCTGAAGCTTGGAGCTTTGTCACAGGCAGAATTAGTGCATTCGCTGGAAAAGGCTTCAATTGCTTCGTTATTGGATGGGAGGATCGGGCAGAGCGTCAAACACCTTCTGTCTTTACGAGACCGGATTGAGGATACATCAAGCAAGGTGTTGATCACAGGAGATTTGAATGCCGGCAAGTCAACATTTTGCAATGCTTTGCTGAGACGAAAAGTACTGCCCGAGGACCAACAGCCTTGCACCAGTATCTTCTGCGAGGTGCTTGATGCTCGTGAAAATGCTGGGATTGAGGAGGTACATGCAGTACACAAAGACGCTCATTACAACCGTAATGACGAAAGCACCTACGACGTTTACGCCATGAGTGAGCTTGAGAACCTTGTAATCGACAACTCAAAGTACATGCAGTGCAAGGTCTATGTGAAGGACGTCCGGTCGATCGACGAGTCTTTGCTTAATAACGGTGTGGTTGATATCGCCTTGATCGATGCCCCGGGCTTGAACTCGGACTCTTTGAAAACCACAGCTGTTTTTGCACGCCAAGAGGAAATCGACGTCGTTGTCTTCGTTGTGTCCGCGGCCAATCACTTCACGCTCTCGGCAAAGGAGTTCATCCTCAATGCAGCTCATGAAAAGGCCTATATTTTCATGGTGGTCAATGGCTTCGATCAGATTCGCGATAAGCAACGCTGCGAACGCATGATTCTTGACCAAGTAGGCAAGCTCAGCCCACGCACATACAAGGAGTCTGCTGAGCTTGTACACTTTGTGTCAAGTAATGCTATCCCTGTCGCTCCGGCTGGAGCCATCTCACAATCTGGCTCTGGTGGGGGTGATGGTGGTTCAGACCCTTATGATGACGACGACGACGATAATGGCAAAGACAAGGGCAAAGGCAAGGAAAAGGAAAAGGAAAAGATCCAGGATTTCGAAAATCTGGAAGGAGCGTTACGACGCTTCGTGCTCGAGAAACGATCCCGCTCCAAGCTTGCTCCTGCTCGGACTTATCTCTTGAACCTTCTTGCCGACCTGAACTCACTTGCTACAGTCAATCGGGACGTTGCCCAATCCGAGCTTACACGAGTCACGGATGAGCTGGCAGTGATTGAGCCCGCATACGAAAATGGCAAGAAAAAGAAGAGCGAATTGATTGAAGGCGTGGACAAGGCGATCGATGAATCATGTGATGACACATATAACTACACTCGCACCACCCTATCAAATACCATTGCACGGGTTTCTGAGCAAGACCTAGGTGTTGAGTACCCAGGTCTCTTCTCGGCGTTCCAATACGCAGAGGATCTGAAGTTGGCAATGCTGGATCAGATCTCTGCGGCTGTTGCAGGCTGCGAGGACTATGCCAGAGATAAGACCGTCCGGGGTGTTGGCTTCATTCAAAACATCGGTCTGCTGCACGTTGGCGAGGAAAAGTTCAGTCCGCTCAATTTCCGTGCAGACTTGATGTTCCGCCGGGGTCGTCGCCACACCTTTGGTCGACAGGTCGATACTGATGTCGAATTCATGGATTTCTTCGATATTGCCGGTCTATGGGAACGCCAGGAGAAGGTTGCAGGAACTGGTATGGCGATGACTGCACTTACTGTAGTGGGTAGCAGGGTCTTCGGTGGCTTCAGCTGGGTTGATAGTGCACTCAGCGCGGTCAAGGTTCTCGGTCCAAACAACGTGCGTCGGATGTTTATTCCCGGTGTTATTGCTGCCGCCGCGTTGACTGCGGCTTACATGCTGTCATCTATCCCGTCCACCTTACCTCCTCGTATCTCCCGGAAGATTGCAGCGGCTCTTGCGGAATTGGACTATGTCCATTCAAATGCGAACCGCATTTCCTCAGAGGTGCGACGTATCCTACGTCTTCCTGCCAAGAATCTGCAAACAAGCTTGGCTCAGGACATTGAAGACCTTGCCCGGCGCAAGCAGGAGGTCAGCAAAATCAAGCAGGAGAGTGAAGTTGCCACCAAGTACTTCTCAAACTTGTTGCGTGATAGTAGTGAGAACCGTCGCTCTGTCGAGAATCTCGACCTCGACGGTCCACTCCCTGGTGCCATGGGCGCCTTTGACCCATAAACAAGGCAAATCCATGTACTAACAGTCTACATTCCCTTTTCTCTCTTCTCCTTCTTTACCTTCAACGATGTATAGTTCCTTGATGCCGATTCGTTTCCTCACTAGCCACGAATGTCCCTTCTCTTCATATGGTTTTTTTCCTTCTCTCTATCTGTGATACTTCAGCTGTCTCAAAAGGCTCCCTGTAGTATCACAGCTCTTTACTACCTTTTTATTACATGGCGTATTGGTGTGCATCGGAGGTCATTCCAAGTTTAGCCCAAGATTCCCTTTTGAATTAACACTGATTCTCCCCTTCCTGTCTCTTCTGCCAACGTTTTTACGTTTTCCCTACTTGAAATCGGTATTCAAACTTAAGGCAAGGTTGTAATGAGAAGGACACTGGTTGATTTTTGCCATCAAAGGATCTGTACAGCACTACCAGTTCAACAAGGGCAGTGCTATAAATCTCTCAAGAAATCCATAAATTGGCGTAAATAGGATAAGACTGGAATCTGATAAAATAGCATAAGCGAAAACGCCACAGAACTCAAGCGGCGCCATGCCTGATGCGATGCAATGCAATGCCATGCATGAAATAATGATACATCATACCCTCAAGTGCTAAAACCCATCCAATCCCCTCCGAGAATCCCTAAACACCGAGTGAAAGAAGGAAATGCAAAGTTAAATACACCTGTATATCAATCATCATCTCTAAGATGTTTCCTTGTCCTCCGTCCAGACCCCCATCCAAAATCCTCCAATTCTTTGACCTCTCCCAGTAACAAACCTGGATCAGCCTGATTAGGCTTTCGAGCTACCTTGCCCGCATCACGCAAGAATTCCGCTCTCATAGCTGCTGCATCGGCATCTTCGTAGTCTAGCTGTGTCATCTGGGGCTCGGTGTTCTCCTCATCTTCCCCGTTCTCGTTGAGATTAGCTTGTTTATCGGCTAAGAAGTCAAATTTCCCGCCTGCACCGCTGAACATTGAGGATAGGCTCTCATCGTTGTTGACGCGGCTGGGTGGACGGGAGATGGAGTTGGCTCGTGTTGGACCGGCGCTCTCGAGGGAGGGGCCGAGGCCATCGTCGTTGAGGGTGTCAATGGAGCTGGCTCTGGATGGTGCAGCTTGGTTGTCGACTTTAGAGGAGGAGTGTGATGGGGCGCGACCCAAGAGAGGTTTGCGCTTTCGTCGGAGTGGGAAGCTACCTTCTTCGGTCGTGGCTGGGTCCTCCTTTGACTTGCGGGATTTGGCAGCTTGGGCTTGCTGTAGGAGGCCCTTCAGTGCGGTGTCCAACGCAGATGGTACGGTTTCTGAGTGGTTTAGATCGGGTTGCTTAGTGGTAGAGCCACTAGTTGTTGGCCTATCATCTTTTCTGCTCGGGGATGGAGACCGAGAATCCGGTATAGACGGCTTGGGAGCATCATCATGGTCTTCTTTTGAGAAACCGTCATCGATGATAGGCATCATCCGCGTTCGATTGATTTTCGCGGATCTTGAAACTTGGCTTATCTGTTCATTGGCCACCCCCTCTGGGGCTTTGGACTGTCTATCGCGAGTTGTATGCCCCTGCTGGTGCGCATTATCATCATTTTCAAAGGCAGCGCCAAGTTTTTCCTCGCTGCCTTGGGGTTGAGAAGTCTGTTTTTGAACCAAATATGGTTCAAATGGCTCCTTTTGGCCAGTCCGAATTGAGCTCCAAAGCCATTCTGCGGATACTGCTGGGACTCTCCATTCTCTGGTATGGCGTAACTTGTTCTGACTTGCAGTTTGAGGGTCGAAGCAAACCAGGATCGTGGCCTGCGGCGTAAGCACTTCATCATAAGAGGCACCCATTAGATCAACCAGCTTGGATACATGAAGAAGGTCAATGCCACTGAATCCAGTGGAGCATACTCGCATTCCTGAAAATTCTGGTCGTGATTTAGTAAAGTTCATATCTAAGCGTACACGAATGCTCACCTGGAATCGGAAATCTAGGGAAAGGTGTGCTAGCAACGTGGGATTCTGGCGAAACCAGTGCTCGTGCATGCAAACATTTTTCTAGCCACATGTCCGTGACGACCTCACATTCAAATGCCATGTCTTCTGTTGATGAAATTTGCGATTTGAGAGTCTGATATGGCACCATAATGTATAGACCGTGGCCTGTCTTCGGGATACTTGGGCGAGAGAATTCGGTTAAAGATGCTACGCATTGAGCTCCATTGAACCCGAGATGGCGGTGCAATACTCCCATCTAGTATACATTAGTGTCCATAAAGTCAAACAAAGAATGTTGATACTTACCTGCTTGGGAGAAAATCCATGAAGATAGAAATATGACCCCCCAAGGAAGCCTTCGGGCACTTTCGCTGCTTCCGATGCTGCGGCTTGACTGAAGACCGACTCGCTCGCGAAAGATTTGGCAGCTTGTAAGACAGGTTTCGGAGGTGGTGAATCGCCATCTTCGTCCTCGTTGTTGACTGAATCAGTCGTGTCGTTATTCAGGAAGCCAGCACCAATGATATCACCCCATATGTTTTCGTTTTGACCAGCCAGCTTGGTACTTGCGGTCCTGCGTAGCTTTTTTCGTGGTCGTGTATCAACCGAGCCCCCATTTGGAGCAGATTTTTGTTTTCTTAAGATGCTCGGTGATATGAGCGAGGATCGATTCCATGCCCCTACGCCTTGTTCCTCTGACGGCACCAGTGGATGGTATTTCTCCTCGTCTAGGATCATCCCGCGCTCAATTGAGTCGTAGAACCACCTTTCACTGACAACCTTTATTCCCCATTGTGTCGCAAATTTGTATTTCTCTCCTTCAGCAGTCCGCGAAACGAGATGGGTGACGCTCTTGGTCAAGTCTCTCCGGAACTCCGCCCCATTCTCCACGGAAGTGTCGTGCATCTTTGTGCGAAGACCCATATCCGAGAATCCAGTAATACATAGCGTCAGGCCGAAGAACGTAGGTAGTTTGTATTCAATCTCCAGGGCGCGAATGTCGGTATCCTCATCCAGCACCCACGATTTGCGCACCGCCTCGATCCATTCTGGTCGGACCACAGCAACGTCGTTTCGTTCGCGTGCGACGAATCGGTATTTTGCGGATTCGGTTGCTCCGACGAGGAGATGTGTTACTTCGGAGGTGAGGTCAGGTCGTTCAGTTGCGCCCATTTCCTTCGCAATGTTTAAGAGTTGAGTCTGAGGTCCACGCGAGTCAGCCTTGCTCCACGGCTTTTCTCTGGAGAACGGCACTCTTATCGTACATACCCTATATTCTAAAGTGACCGCTGTAAAGCAAATCACCGCTCCTGCGAGCGGCTGCTCCTTGTCTAAAGGTTGACTGGTCAGCAATTTGCGGACGAACTTCGCTGTAGACTTCGTCTTACTCGATGCTCCTGTCCCCGACATCCTTCATGGCTGGCAAACACCTCCCACTCTTTAGCAATAATTTTCAGATCGCATTGAGGTTGCAAAATCAATTGGCCGTGTCTGGTCCCGCGTCGCGATAATTGAGGATCACGTGGGGGGCACGCCCTTGGTTAGTGATCTACAGGACGCATATGGCCAATGCAAATTAATATATAAAAAATTCTAGTATGTCGATAATAGTAATGTACAAATTTACAATTTAGGGATAAACCCTGTCCAATATAGTAGGTGAGACGTTTTCCCAGCACCCATCTGGCAACATGTTGAAGTATATATAAATGTGCATAATACAGTAATTGGCCAATCCATATCGAAAAATCAAGGCTAAAGAGAGGCAAGGAAGGAAGAAAGGGAGTAAAGGGAAGCAGCAGGGAGAGCGGGCTACTCTTAACCCAGATCCTCTGAAGAGTCAAACTTATGTAAATCTGTTTAATTCTGATTTGTAATAATGTTCAGTCACACCAGTAAGCCTACCTATTGGGTCTCGGCCCTTATTATGGCTGGCTGAGGAAGAGTAACTATGATTTTGATACCTAAAGACATAAAGAAATTTCACCTGGAAGTTGACACTGGAATCTGCAAAACTACTCTATAATATCGACTACTGGTATTCTACTTTCAACTAGCTGCTACGTCCTACCTAAATGGAAGCAAATCCCCTCTGGAAGATTCGGGGCTACCATCACTCGGTACGTTTGATTTGCAGCCTAGTATTAATGACTCAAATCACATTATGATCAAGCTGAAAGGTCCCCTGGAACGTGAGAAGAATCGACTCCTCTCTGAAATGCATGTCCCAGTGCATACAGCAGTTCCTTCGCGACAATACCTTCAAATGTCGTTATGAGCCTACCGATATTGATCGAATCAGAGAACGAAAACCTCATTCAGAGCGTTACGGTCCTCTCTCCTCTATTGAAGCTTCCTCCCATCCTGAAGACCCTATATATTTTGCTGCCAGAAACAGTGGTAAAGCAGCAACCCCCAAGGGTCACATTGGCGCGTAGCCAGCTGCAAAGAATTGTATTACAGTGGGCTCGTGTGAAAGCCCACGAGCTTCCAGAGATGACAAATGTGTAGTCTTATGAGAGCCGAGGATGATTCAAAGGAAATCTAGACAAAATCTCCGGATACAGCAGCCGGAGACCTCACAAGGAGGGTCGCATCAAATCCGACGTTGTGGCACCTAGAGAGATGACTATCCCCACTGTCTCCCGAGCCATCGAGCCATGAAAACAGAAAACTCATTCGGCAAGAGTGATAACGAATTTTGGCGATTCTCGTCGGGCACAAGCATGTCTACTCCCTTGGTTACTAGATGCGTCGCCGTGCTGCATCAGATGCTAATTGCAAATGGGGTTCCCGAAGCCCAGTGCCGCTATGTTCAAGGCCATGTTGATCAATGGTGCAGTTGATACTGGAAAGAAATGGGAGCTTCAAGACTTTTGTCGGATCGACCTGGTCAGATCGATGATTATCAATGGGAAACCCCGCAGTGGGGACTTTGTTGAAGCTGAGGTAGTTGATGAGAATACAAAGGACCAATCCATCATTTCATTCAACATGAGTCTCTACATGGATGATACCATGAGATCCTTCACTCCAAAATTTACTTTGATCTACACAGATTCGTTGGATCAGGACTAGCGAGCAGGCTTGTTCTCTCTTTCTTTGTGTCTTTCTTCTTTAGCCTTAGTTATCTCGTTGAGCTGACTTTTTCTCTTGAATTCGACTTTTATATTACTTGCCATACTTTCATGTTCCATACTTTCATTTTTTCATCCTTAAAAGTCTTTCTTTAAATAATATGTTAGCTTCGAATGGCCCTGCAAATTGCGAAGGGAGAATGTGTTATTGTAAGGCATCATCAGACTTCTTTCAATCAGGTACCTGGGTATAAAGGCCAGAAGGCCGTTGCCAAAGGTATGATAAAGACGTCATGATATCCATGCCACAAATGCATAAAACCCAACAGGGATATTGAAGCCCACAGGGACATGGAAGCCAGCCAAACAACGCCATCAAAACAGGAAAGAGTAACCAACAGCAATGTCGAGTCATATCTGAGAACAAGACAGAGCGCCGGCAGTCGAGTCACCGTTAACGCATGCCTGGTGAGGTAAGTTTATGCGTATGTGAGCCTAGAACGTGGGTGAGGATGTGTGGGGAGAAGACAAAAAAAAAGGAAGAAGAGTGGAAGAAAAGTCATAGTCTTGGGGGAAGCACTGAGTCTTGGAAGTGAATGCAATGGCCTAATTGGACGTGAGAACGTGACTTTGTTGTTGATATCAATTTAAGCTCAAAGCCTAAATGATCAATTGTATCCAGGGTTGTGGAGTCTACTACTGCGTAGTTCAGTATACAACTTGAAAGTTCACAGGACACAAATTATGTGTTTATATTGATGCATTACTAATATCTGCTACTTTAAACCTTCATAGTTAGCATGCTAGCTTTACAGGGACGAAGGCTTGTTCTCCGAGCCCGTTACACCCCAGAATCCTGGCAAAAGTCACTATTCTAGCTAATCCATTTAAACTGCAAGTCTGGGTATGGAACCTTGAAAGTGGGATTATCTCATTGCCTCGTCCTTTATTGGTTCAGTCAATTGAGCACTCGAGATAACTTTGGGATATACTATATTTGCAAAATGCGGGTGGTTTTTCGTGGAGACTCAAGTGCAATGATGCCTCAGAGACGACCTTGGAAATGAGGCATATTTTTGCCATTCTCGATTGGATGGTTGATAAGATGGCACTTCCTAAAAGCGACTAGCCAATGAATTAATGCACTAGCATACATAGTAATCTCCATAAGTTGATATGTGCCTGAAGACGGGCCCCTAGTTACGTCATGAAGGCTGCCTGGTCCGTCAGGCCCCACTGCCGATCCTCGGGACCGAGTGCCCCTCCATTTCTTTTAAACGCTCAACCCTTCCCTCTTGGCTCTATCTCAACGCTTGTTTTCAACTTCATTTCTTTCTTTTGCAAATACCCCCAAACACTCATACCCCATAATCTATTCAAAATGGCTCGTCAATTCTTCGTCGGCGGTAACTTCAAGATGTAAGTTCACTTCTATGGTTACCCCGCCATGCTCATGGATACCCCTAAGCACGCGAGGCCTCGAGTCGCGCTGACTCTGGAAACACAGGAACGGTGTTAAGGAGAGCATCACCGGCATTGTCAACAACCTCAACTCCGCCAAGCTCGACTCTACCACCGAGGTCGTCATCTCTCCTCCCGCTCTCTACCTCACTCTGACCCGCGAGCTCGCCGACCCCAAGATCGGCGTTGCCGCCCAGAACGTTTTCAACAAGCCCAACGGTGCTTTCACCGGTGAGATCTCCGTTGAGCAGCTCAAGGATACCAACATCAACTGGGTTGTCATTGGCCACAGCGAGCGCCGTACCATCCTAAAGGAGTCCGATGAGGTACGTGAACCAGAGATCTATACACCGAGCCAGAACTATCAAAATGGCCCCTCAACCCTTCAAATCTAGCATAGATCTAACAATCTTGACTATAGTTCATTGCCAGCAAGACCAAGGCTGCCATTGACGGCGGTCTCTCGGTCATTTTCTGCATCGGTGAGACTCTGGAGGTACGTCATTCCTAACTTCGGTTACCCGTTCTTTTCGTCCCGGTGTGGGTCACCGGGATGCAACCTGACACAAGACTCCCCGCTTACACCCGACTGTTTTGTAATAGGAGCGTGAAGCCGACAAGACCATTGAGGTTGTCACCCGCCAGCTCAACGCTGCTGCCAAGGAGTTGAGCAAGGATCAGTGGGCTAAGGTCGTCATCGCCTACGAGCCCGTCTGGTAAGCATCACCCCGCTACCTCAACATGCCATTGGGCTTTGTATCTAACCTGCATTTAGGGCTATTGGTACCGGCAAGGTCGCTACCACTGAGCAGGCACAGGAGGTCCACGCCGCTATCCGCAAGTGGCTCGGTGCTAGCGTCTCCGCCGAGGCCCAGGCCGCTACCCGTATCATCTACGGTGGCTCCGTCAGCGAGAAGAACTGCCGTGAGCTCGCTCAGAAGGAGGATGTTGACGGTTTCCTTGTTGGCGGTGCCAGCTTGAAGCCTGCCTGTGAGTTCTTGTCCATGTCCAAATGCTTGAGCGCAGTAAGCTAACTATCATCTAGTCGTCGACATCATCAACGCCCGCATCTAAGATGTTTTCCTTTCCGTAAATTGATACTCCCTTAGTGCTTGAATTCCGAGGTTGGCCTGGAATATAGCCCTACATTAGCAAGGCCAAAAGCTTTAAACGTCAGATATGTTGTCATGAATATATGTACAATGTTGGAACCGCTCAGTATTTCCAGTTCGCGGTATATTAGAACATCCAGTATAATAGAACCTGTAAGAGTCTCGAAGAGTAGATCTGGGATCATTAAATCTCTCACGAAGAGTACATCACTGAAACCCCAACCCCGCGCCAATACGATGGCCCACTTCCGGGCACTGACCCACCCGAAACATTCGGGGCCTGCGAGAATGATCCCGGCCCTAGCCCGACACCCGCACTCACCAAAAGCTCCTTCACTCGGCCTTCCCACAGCAAACGCATGTTCCAGGACTGGTCAACACGTATCTTGATGACCGAGTCGCCAGCTTCTACATCACTGCCGTCATCCGATTTGATCGGTTCGGGTTGAACCGGGTCGGAGGCGAGTGGAGAAGGCGCAGAACCCGGGAGGGAAGCGGAGAAATCATGCAGGCGCATCTTGCGGCGGGCCCATTCGATGCCATCGTCAGAGGAAGTGGATTTGTTAGTTTTGCGCCAAAGTTCGCAGCCCGCAACCATTTCACTTTCCCAACTGTATACATTGAAACCAAAACGAGAGCTGAATGCAAGGTTTGGCGACGCACTTAGAGAGTATGTTGCTGATAGAGAGCCAGTGATGGGTGTTAGGGTAAGAGTTAATGTGTAGGGGAATGTAGATATAGGCGTGGGGTGACTAGATGAGGAAGATGAAGACACTCGAGTCGCGGCGGGAAGTGTAGTGAATCGCAATCCAGTAGAAATTCCTACCAATGATGAGGCAGGAGAGTAATACGCCTCCGCACCTGCAGAAAGAAGCGATAACGCAGGCGAGGCATTGGCACGAGGGTTTCTAGGATCAGGGCCAAAGTTCCAGAGCCCGCGCCAGCCAAAGAGGGCATTGTCCGTGCTAAAAAGATACTCATTGCAGTATTTCCCTGTGTCATGAGACAATTGGGCCAGCATTGATGCCTGCGGCGCGGACTTGGATAATGGTGGTCCCTGGGTGGAACAGACGGCAAGGCATAGCTGCATCGTCGGAGAGATCCTGCGCAAGAAAAGGGCGTTCAAGGTAGTCGGTGAAGGAAGGTGTAGAGAGGCATGAAGAAGGGTGGCCTTCCGCTTTACTGCTTCATCTGCTATATTATCACCATCCTTGCGCCCAGAACGCGGCCCGTCTGTGACTCCCGGGATATTGATTCCTTCTAGAAGAGAGTCCCATCCCCAGGCTTGTACTGGGGCCACGGGCGCTTGTACATGTCGGTAACCAGGGGAGATCTTTCGAAGAGGGATCAATGCACTTCGGCTGGGGGTGTTGTGGAAGGGGACAGTGCTGAAGAGGTACGATACGGATCCATCGAGCAATCCCACCGTACCAAGAGAATAGCTTGTGCCAAAGTTGGGCGTTGAAAGCGATGATAAATGTAAGCGCAGTCGCTCTGGAGTCGAAAAATCGAGGATAGCTAATGTCCGACATTTAGATCAAATTGATATCGCGTCGTGTCCCTGAAAGGCAACTTACACTGTGTCGTGGTGGTAAGCGACAAGTACGAGTTGTCACGGTTCCAGTTAGTCGCCTCGGAAAAAGCGAGCTGGATATAGTCCATGAATTCCAGCATTGTCTGGACCCGGGACCGAACCCTCAAAGTTCACACTTTACAGTTGAACTCCAATCTTGAAGTTGTTCAGGGTAGCAGCTGGTTGCCCGATAAAGACTAGTGGGGGTCGGATAACGCACGTGATCCGCTTATCAGCGAAAGAAAAAAAAATGCCCCCCGGGAAGCATAATAGATACCATCGATTCCTTCGATTAATTTGATACCACATTATCTTCAAAATGCCTCGTTCAAAGCGTGCGCGCGTCGTCCACGAGTCCAAGACCACCAAGAAGGATCACAAGGAACAAACTCGCCGGCTCTACGCCAATATCCGGGAATGTCTGGAGGAATATGACCATATGTTTGTGTTCGCCGTGGACAACATGCGCAACACCTACCTGAAGGATGTGCGCACTGAGTTCTCGGACAGCCGGTACGTTTCAATTAGTGTTGGAATAGCATCAAGCCCGGCATTGCAGAGATGCACTGCGGAGACGGTATCTTGATCAATCGACATGCACAATCCATGCGGAATATCGAAATTATATATCAGTTTCACTAATGCATTGTTCAGTCTCTTCTTCGGTAAGACCAAGGTCATGGCCGTCGCTCTCGGCAGCACCCCCGAAAACGAAGCCGCACCCAACGTCCACCGTGTCACTCCCTACCTGGCCGGTGCCGTCGGCCTGCTTTTCACCAACCGCGCCGCCGAGTCTGTCACTGAGTACTTCGACACTTTCCGTCCCCAGGACTTTGCCCGTGCCGGCACTGTCGCCACTCGCTCATTCAGCATCCCCAGCGGCCTGGTCTACCAGCAGGCTGGTGAGATTCCTGCCGAGCAGGACGAGCCCGTCAGCCACACCATCGAGCCTGCTCTGCGCAAGCTTGGTATCCCCACCCGTCTCGTCAAGGGTAAGGTCATGCTCGAGCTGACCGATGGCGCTGATTCATACCTCGTTTGCCGTAAGGGTGAGACCCTGGACTCCCGGCAGACAACCCTGATGAAGATGTTCGGTGTTACTTCTTCCGAGTTCAAGGTCGATTTGAAGGCTTGCTGGTCGCGGAGTACCAACGAGGTGAAGATTCTGGAGAAGGGTGATATGGATGTGGAGGCATAGATGTGTCTCTCGTCTGTTGTGTCGACAAAAAAAGATTCTCGTGGGCATCTTTACGGAGTTAAGGGCTGGCGCTTTCTTTTTTCTTTTACATTGATATACTGAACATCCTTTTATCTTGATCCTGTTTCTGGGAGATTTGGATCTCGTCCAATTGATGTGCCTACGATTATGGATAGATACTACTAAATTGGATATAAAAACATGTTGACTGTTCCTTTTTCCCCAAGAAATCATTACCTGCGCTAGGGAGATGCCTGTTCTGAAGTCATTGCATTGGCCCTTACCTGGTCTTACCTGAGCATCATTGAATTCCACCACTTGAGAAACTGCTTGAATGCTAGAACTAAAATACATACTTACCCCCGGAGAGTGATCAAAAAGGCACCGGTGGGACCGAAACAACGCACGTGAAGAAAAAAGACACCAATGAGAAACAAGAAAGAAAGAGGAGCCGATGAACACATATACACTCCAAGGGAAGATTTTTGGGCTACTCGCCGGCAATGTATGTGCGTGCCATGGCAGAAGAATCCAAGAGAACCGGAGATCGACCTTTGAGAATATGAGTGGAGGCAATTATGGTTTGGACATAACTTTACGCGACATCTCGGGATGACTGTATTTGTTTCGCCTTACCCCCTTACCCTTGAGAAGAGAAGGACGCGCGATAGACAAACCAGGGATACCCACCAACAAAGCCAGGGCCGAGGAGGTAGCTTCCATTCACATGAGGGGGAACATTTAGTATCGTCTCCGGGATCGGGGATCATCGTAGCTATCGTCTTCACGGGGTCGCTTCCGTCCAAAGTCCTCCCGGCCAGCATCCCGGCCAGCATCACGTCCGGCGTCACGGCCGGCGTCACGGCCGGCATCTCTACCACCATCTCGGCCACCGCCATAGCGGTCGCGGTCACGGTCTCCGTAGCGATCACCCCCGCCACGGTCATCACGGCGGTCCCTGTAGCGATCACGATCCCGGTCGTCACGACGGTCCCGGTCCGAGGGACCATCTCGTGGCCGCACAGGCTCCCGGTTGCTGCCAGAGCCTCGATCAAATCTGCCGCCACCACGGTCACCACCATAAGAACTTCCTCCGAAATCTCCTCTGCGGCCACCACCAGGACCGGAGGGCGCGTTGGGGGGTGGTTGTCCACCACCCCCAAATCCATTGCGACCACCTTGGTAGCCGATTCCTCCACGAGGACCAAAACGGTCACCGCCACGGAATCCTCCACCTCCACGGAAGCCTCTGCCTCCACCGAATCCGCCACGGAAGCCGCCGCCGAAACCTCCAGGTCCAGAAGGCGCATTGAATCCTGGCCCAACGGGTCGTGAGGGCATCGCCTTGGTGTATCCACGGCCTCCTAGACCACCACCAAAGCGACGAGGCTTCCATCCTTTGGTCGTGCGTCCACGTTCGACATCCACAAGAACTCGTCGGTCCTTGATACGGATTCCATCTGTCTCCTTGTAGGCCGCTGAATATCGGGGATCACTGTGTTAGCAATGACTTCTCTTACCATAACCTGATTCATGGGAATGTAGCGACTGTGGGCGACATAGATTTGGTGATAATACCTTTCATATCTTTCTCGCGTTCATAGACGATAAACGCATAGCCTTTGTTGGGCTTTTTAGACGCCTTTGGTGAGACGGTATCTTTGACGATGCGAATCTGCGGGGACGTGTCAGAGACTTGAAACGAAAGGAAGCAGCCAAAAATTCGGAGGGTCTTACACGCTCAATGGGGCCGAAGCGGCCGAATTCTCGCTCGATATCTGATTCTTTCACATCGTAGCTCAATCGTGCCACGAAGAGAGTTCTGTAGGGATCACCTCGTGCTTGAGGATCTTTCTCTGGGTCAACTAGAGCCACAGAGGGGAAAATCAAATTAGCAGTTTATTCCAGTGTCCAGAAGATATGGATGGAACATACAGGTTTGCAACCCTTCGGTCACCTGCTTCTCGAGCTGTTCCTTTTTCTCGATCTTCTGGCGCCATTTGCGCTGCAACCAGCTCTCGGTCGCATTGTATGGGACCTCTTCTGCGAAAGCCTTCGCCTCAGAAAGGAACTGAGCGACTCCAGAGATGGTGCTTTTCGGGCAGTCTTCGGGTGCGCGGTCGGTGGGAGGAATGTAGCGAAGAGGTGGGCGGGGCTGGAACAGGGCCAGCAAAGGAGGGGGAAGTTTGTCCGTCATCGTGAACCCTCAGCCTGTTGGCAAGTGACGTGAGGGGAAGAAGTAAGCTGTCACCTGAGGTTCTTCAGGAGAGTTTCGCGTTCTTGTGTCGTTAGCAAGGGAGCTTTCCGCCGTAAACGCCGTAGCCGCTTCGGACGCTGACTCACCGCCTTCACGTGCACCAGAAATTGTGACCCGGAAGGAAGTCGGCGATTGGTACTTCGAGATATCTTTAAATCACAGCAATGCCAGTCAAAGGACTCCGAACAGTTACGACAGCCAGGGTATGGCTCAATACATCTCTGAGAGAGGTTGTGAGAATGTTTGGAATACCAACGCTGACTTGATGACCCCCCAACAGAACGGCGTCGGTGCCTTTATCCTTCAATGCAAGCGTCTTGACTTTCACTATTGCAAATATGGCGGCAGCTCACGGGGCATGCTGTGAGTACAATACACATTGGAACTCAGGATATATTGTGAAATATATTAATCAATACTCCCTCCAGCGAATTCCTGACCCAGACCCTTCCCAACTTCGCTCGCGAAAACCCGCAAATCGAACTCCGAGTAGCTCCTCGAGCCGGCAAGCACCCCGTCATCAAGGGACAATACATCAACGGCCGTGAGAAGGCAATCTGTGTGCGGAACCTCGAGCCTATGGACATCCTCAAGAAGGCGATGATCCTGAAGGACGCAAGCGGAGACAAGTTGAAGCGGACCAAGAAGCCAGTGACAAGTATTAACGACAGTGTTCGTGGTGTTTGGTCGCCATACCACGGTGATTTGCGTGGTGTATAGGGTTCTGGGCGTTTCCTGTTTGATAGCATTTATACTGGCTGCGTTTACGGCCTTTACTTTTCATGCGATGGACCCCTGCCATCGCAAGTTACTGTATTATTGACCAGGGCACAATTCATTCACATCGGTTCCACATTCTCCATTGCTCCATGGACACAAGAATACTATTTATGTCCCATATTAGAATAGGCGAAATCCTCTATAACTAGGGATTAATCATGGTACCTTTTCAGACCAACACATTGCACCTTTACGTCGACATATCTAAGGATGAGTGACAGTAAATTAGTGACCGTGCTGTCGACCTTCAATTACATTATTTTTGGACGTAAGTTTGCTCTACACATTTACTACTACTTGGGATGAATAGAGATATGTTATTTCAATTGTCATGGTAACTGATGCTTCGAGCGGTGCAGCTAACAGTGGCGAAAAGATAAGTCTGAAGTATAGAATGCTCCATAGTATGATCGAAGGTGAGGCTCCCTGAAGACGCCGCAAAATAATAAAAGCACTGAATGAAATATGTGAAACCGAGTGACAACGCCTTGAACTTCCATGCATCACGGGTATCGACGAAAAAGAGACATAAGATGGCAAGCAAAAGACCCCCCATAGTGTAATGCGATTCTAGAGATCGATGCCGAAATCATAGATAGAGATGAAACATAGCAGTCGGCGCACTGAGTGTCCTGCCACAGTCAGCGACCTGGCATTTAGAGAAATGTTTAGTCTTTTGAGCTGAAGGAGTTTTTCTAGCTTTGGACTTGGATCGATTCTCTGCGCATTCACCACAGTAGACCTGGAAAAGATTAGCAAAACAGTGTACCTATCGGCATTGAGAATTGACAAACATGTCCACATGGTTTTGCGACCCAGATCTCCTCTTTCTTTTTATCACCGACTCCGAGCTCGCAGTAGCAGTTGGGGCAAATTGCAACATCGTCGTCTGCAAGGGTACGCGTAAAGCCCTCCGGTGCCGGACTGGGCGCTTTGTAAGTGTCGCTCCGTTGAGCTTCAGCTCCTTCAGTGGGTTGTTGAATATCAAAAGCTGCCGATCCATAATCAAGAATCAAACTGCCGGGGCCCCCATTCTGACTTTGGGAACTTTGACCCAGCACTATCGTATCCGCATCATAAAATGTGCGAGCCTGTCGCCTTGATGCGGCCCAATCCCTCCGTCTGGTTTGTTCGTTGATTTGCCGGTTGTTGTAGTATCTTCGGACCGTTTCCGGTTGCAAATACCGAGATGCGTTGGATTCCCGAGGTCTAGTTGTAGAACCGAGAATTTGGACGTCTTGATTGTGGTCGTAGTCTGGATTTCTCCTTGAAATAGGAAGAAGGTTTTCGTTATAAACAAGCATCATGCGACTAGACCACGTGTTTGTGTCGTTGTATGACCATTGATCGAGGTGCGATCCTGTAACACGTTCTCCGGGACATGGAGGTGGGGTTCTTCCACTAGGAGTAGGCCTATGAGCACCGGGGAAGCGGTTGATAATCATCCTATTGAGAGTGGGATCGTCGGGATTGTACACATACTGGAGAGTACTCCTGTATCCAGGAATTGTCGATGCTCCTGGCAAGCGACTGCCATATGGAGGTTCTGGGGGGCTATCAGGTTCATTAACCAAATCCACCACCTCGCGCCTCAAGATGGGTCGGCCGAATCGCGGTGGCCGTACCGAACGGGATGTCTGGGTATCTGGAGTGCCGTCGTGTAGTCTTAGAGGTGGCGTCTCAGGTGAGTGCGTCAGATCAACCACATTAGAATCATTGTTAAGGTCGATCACAGGATGGGAAGGCTGAGGCTGTCCATGTGGCAATACCGCGGGTCGGCTACTAGATCTTTGCGGGGAGGGGGGATGAAAGTGGGAAGCCCATGATTGCTGAGAGACTTCGCTGGAATCTTGGGACATTTCACTGGTTCGCTTCAACATCAGGGCAAAAAATGTCAGCATGGTGGCTACTTTACTGGCGCCCGCGCTCTTTCTTCCGGATACTGCTCACCTTGGACCTGACGCCCAGGATCTGGACGCCAGGTTCATCACTCATCTCGAAATTTGACTTGTTTTGGAGTGGGAAATCTGACACGGCTACTTGGATGGGCCGGCCAGGGAACCATGAAGATGTAGACAAGGAAGAAGGTAAGTAGATTATGATAGATCACATAACTTCCCAGCATCGGCCCGAGTTCAAAGGCGGTGTGGCGATATTCGTTGTTAAATATGGCGGTAAGTTCAGCGGTGACGCCATGGGCGGTGAAGGAGGTGTGGGGGCTCTTGCAGCAGAAAAGGTATAAAGTAGCAAGATCTTCAGAAGGGGAGGATTGAACTTTGAATAGATTGAGTACCGTGAGCAAGAGAAGAGGAATGAGACAGCAATCTGATCCAAGTTTTTAGTAGAAGATATATTGATTTCTGTGCTCCAGAGCTGTTGTGATCGCAATACAAAAAACATCATGGCAAAAAGAAAAAACATCAGAACCAGCTCTAAAATTACATATCTTGACCTTCATGATTATGACCGCAGCACTGTTACTGCACATGCGTCATTCAAGGCGACAATACTGTGAGCGGAAGATCCCCATGCAGCAGCGACGGCTGGTACAGCACTTCGGAACGGCTCTGACCACTCCTTCGATGATTTGGTGAATTGTTGAACGGTCAAGCCACTTGGGCCACCAGTCAGGAGGAATTGACCAGTGTAGTCCCAGAAAATTGACTGGACTTCGCTGCCGGTGTCCAGCACCTTGGTCTCCTTAGAGCTACGCAAGTCCCAGATCGAGACAGTGGTAGACTGGGCAGCCACTGCAGCCAGGAAGATACCATTTTCAGAGAAGAAAAGAGACTTGACGGGGCCGGACATAGGGAAATCTGCGGCGACGGTACCGGTCTTGATGTCGAACACCTTAATTTGGGCATCAGCACCACCGGCGGCGAAAAGGTGACCATCTGGGTGGAAATGCGCAGACAACAAAGCTAAATCATGATGATTAGTTTTGGAATTAATACTGTTTCTTTGATGAATGTTTGCTTACCAGAGTCAGTGAAGATTTGGGTGATCACATTGTTTGTGGATAGATCATAAAGCACATAGCTCTTGTCCACACCCACTGAGGCAATAATATCACCAGTTGCGTGAACAGCAACAGCAGTCACCTCTCCAGCGTGGGAAGCAAAGCTTGCGACCTCGCTGCCATTCTCAAAAATCTTGACAGTACCCGTGGCTGAACCAACAACAGCCTTGTTACCAGCCCATGTTGCATCGGTCACTGGGCCGTCCGTCTTGAGAGTTTGAACCACACTCTTCTGGGAAAGAGAATAGACACCGACAACACCATCAGCACCACCAAATAGAGCTAGATCTCCTGTAGAATCGATCGACAAGGCTCGGCTGCCTGGGTACAGAGATTCAGAGGCCTCAACAGGCTTGAATGCCGAGATGGCATCACTAGTAGCCCAACCTTCGGGAATGGGGCGCTTGCGTCGTGTCTTCGAGAGACTATAGGTACCCAAAGTCAGTGATTTTCAATACGAGTCCAATTGTAAGCAAATCCACATACCTAGCTTGTGTGTTCTCAATCCGCTCCAACACCGCTTGGGGTAGGCCCTCGGAGTCCACCTGCATAGCCTCGCCATCCACAGCACGACTGGCTCCAACGCTAACCTTTGAAAGAGCGTCACGGGCTTCGTCGCGTTCCTTTGTCAACCGTGCGATCACCCGGACGGCAGCATCGTGCTGGTAGAGGGCGGTACTGAGCTCGCGGCGAGTCTGTGCAAGGTTCTGTTGAAGAGTGTATGTCTCGAGAGCGAGCGCATCCCATTCTTCTTGGAACACGCTAAGGAGGGAAGGGATGGAGGTCAGGGTGGGAGGACGAGGGCGAACAACGCGCTGCGACTTGACATCAATCAGCTCGTCCGCTGCAAGCTCTTCGCCATTCACAGGATCTTTTCCGTGTTCAGCGACGTATGCTTCAATCAAGCGCTTTTCGAATACACTGCCTAGATGAATGTTAGGGAGTGCGAGATGTTAATTGTGGCTTGAGAAGACATACCGCTCTTGGGAGAGACGACAGGCACTTGCGGAGCCTCTCCAGAGACTACAGAAAAACGGAATTAGCATCCACTGAGCCGATAAGGCAGGAATGAATTTAGCGACCAGGTACTCACTTGCACAGAGCATGATTTAATTGAGGGAAAGTTGAGGTGGGGAGAGGTGGATGAGGAGGAGCTGGAAACGCGCAGCGGCTCCTTTGCACTTTTCGATGTGTCCCGTTTCGGTTTAGCGTTTGGTAAGCTGTTCGCGGGCTTGCCCTTCAACACCTTCCTCTTCCACTTCCACCATCGATCTGCTCCTTTCTTCCAAGGGCTTGATGAGTTCAAAACCAATGGCTTGCATTTCATAAATTCATGCGACTCTTGGCTTGTTTGTTCACGACGGAAAACCGAACGAACTTGACTTGACCGCAACCATTTACATCAGGAAGCGTCGCGATAATGCCCCAAAACCCCAAATTTGCCTACGGTAAGTGATCTCTCTCTTTTTCAACAGGTCTAATCTCCCTAATTGTTTTATTGGTGTTATAGAGGCAAATGAACCTGCCTTTCTACAAAGGCTTCGGGGCCAATACGGTGGTGATACATCCGGTCGCCTGGAGCGACCTGCCGCGCGACCTAAAAAGCTTAAGGATCCCAAGGAGGAAGAGGATGATGAGCCTGTATATCTCGATGAAGAGAGCAATGAAGTGATCACCAAGGAAGAATATAAAGCGCTGGTCGAACCTCCCAACGATGAGACCAGCTCAGAGGGCGCAAGCACAGCCGAGGGAAACAAGAAGCCAGCTGAACCAATTGCTAAACAGAGTAACCTCACTGAAGTTGGGGGACAGAGAAAGCGAAAACAGGTCAAGGTAGTGGGCGAGGAGGAGGAGAATAGGCCGGATGAAGCACCTACGGTACAAGAAAAACCTAAGAAAACCAAGAAAGCAAAGAAAATCAAGCTTTCCTTTGATGAGGAGTGAAATGCTTTATACCCAGTTAAACAGTATAATTTGGTCTTTTGACGCATAGAGAGTCTAAGTGATTCATCATGAGTCAAAGCGGATATAGATATTCTGATATTCTGATAGGAAGTGTAATATCCAACAATACAAAATGATTGTAATTCAAATACATACATCTGAGCATAATTCGAAGAAAGAAATCAATTAGTCCTGTAATGACTCGAATATTTATGTGTAAACTTGAAGATATAATTATTGTCGTGAATCTCCAGTTTTCACATCCGGATTCTGCTGTTATCGGATTTTCCATTTCTCAGCAACTTTTTTTTTGTCTTCGGTCACTTCTCTCCACCCGTTTTACCTCAACTTCTTAGATCGACCCGGAATTTTGAACCGGACCATCGCTCAAGATGCCTGTCGTAAATGTCGACGATCTAGTTCGTCTGCAGCGGAAACCTGACGACATTCGAAATGTGAGTGCCCCTCCATCCCACTCTGATGTCACGCGGTTATACTAACCCACTAGATCTGCATTCTCGCCCACGTTGTAAGTTTGCTGCATACAAAATCGGTACTTCGGATTGGAGCATTAATCATGTTGAATTTTTTGCGTAATTTAGGATCATGGGAAAACCTCATTAACCGATGGGCTGATAGCCACCAACGGCATTATCTCGCCCAAGCTAGCGGGTAAGATCCGCTACTTGGACTCTCGTCCCGATGAGCAGCTTCGAGGTATCACCATGGAGTCTTCGGCGATTTCATTGTTCTTTTCGATGCTCCGGCGTCCGGCACCGGACGCCGCTCCGGAGCCCAAGGAGTACCTGATCAATTTGATCGACTCGCCAGGTCACATTGATTTCAGCAGTGAGGTCTCTACGGCCTCACGTCTCTGTGATGGTGCAGTTGTCCTTGTTGATGCTGTCGAGGGTGTATGCAGTCAGACTGTCACTGTGCTCCGTCAGACATGGGTTGAACAGCTAAAGCCAATTCTGATTATTAACAAGATGGATCGGTTGGTGACTGAACTCATGATGAGCCCCAGTGAGGCATTCTCGCATCTCAGTAGGCTTTTGGAACAAGTCAATGCTGTTATTGGTAGTTTCTATCAAGGTGAGCGTATGGAGGACGATATGAAGTGGCGGGAGCGCATGGAAGACCGCGTGAATGTCTCCGCTACCAAGCTCAAGAAGGCACACTTGGATGATGAATCTGTTCCAAGTATCAGTGATGCTACAGAGTTTGAGGAACGTGATGACGAGGACCTCTACTTTGCTCCGGAGAAGAACAATGTCATCTTCTGCAGTGCTGTCGATGGATGGGCCTTCACGGTTCGTCAATTCGCTGCGATTTATGAAAAGAAACTTGGTATCAAGCGTACGGTACTTGAAAAAGTGCTTTGGGGTGACTTCTACCTTGACCCCAAGACGAAGAGAGTGCTGGGCTCGAAACACTTGAAGGGCCGAGCTTTAAAACCTATGTTTGTGCAGTTGGTCCTAGACAGCATTTGGGCTGCCTATGCGGCGACAACTGGTGGTGACAAAGGAAAAGGGTACGTGGAAATGACAGATCTAAATTTACAAATATCTAGCTGACTGGTTCCAGTGACCCTGTTCTTTTGGAGAAAATCACCAAGTCCTTGAACATCAACATCCCGCCTTACATCCTGCGCGGCCGTGACCCAAGAAATATTATGACCACCCTATTCTCAGCATGGCTTCCTCTCTCAACTGCAGTCCTGGTTTCGGTCATCGAATATCTTCCGAGCCCCCAAGTCGCGCAATCTGCTCGTTTGCCCGACATGATTAAAGCGTCACCGGGCTCAGACCACATCTCGGAAGAGGTCAAGCAAGCTATGGTGAGCTTCAAGACAGGTCCAGAGGAGCCCGTTGTTGCGTATGTCAGTAAGATGGTTGCCATCCCTGAGAGCGAGTTGACTGCAAGCAAGAAGCGTAGCGGCAATACAATGACCGCCGAGGAAGCTCGAGAAATCGCTCGTCGTAAGCGAGAGGAGATTGCAAAGATGCACGCAGAAGCCGATGCTGCAGGACGTGGGGACGATTTCGCCCAGATGACATCAGCGTTTCAGAACGTCACTTTGATTAGAGAGGAGGAGGAACCAGAGGAAGTCGTGGGTGAGGAGGAAGATCCGGACCATCTCATCGGATTTGCCCGTCTTTACTCTGGAACCCTTTCAGTCGGTGACTCCATCTATGTGCTGCCACCAAAGTTCTCCCCAGCGAACCCGCATGCCAGCCCAGAGCCCAAGAAGGTCACGGTCACAGACTTGTACCTCCTTATGGGCAGAAGTCTCGAGCCGCTCCAGTCAGTTCCTGCTGGTGTGGTCTTTGGTATTGGAGGCCTGGCAGGCCATGTGCTCAAGACAGGTACCCTCTGCAGCCAGCTCGAGGGAAGTATTAACTTGGCAGGTGTCTCGCTCAACATCCCACCGATTGTCCGCGTTGCCTTGGAGCCGGTCAACCCTGCTGATCTAGGTAAAATGGTCACTGGCCTGCGTCTTCTCGAGCAGAGTGATCCCTGCGCTCAGTACGAGGTTCTTCCTAGCGGTGAGCATGTCATTCTCACTGCTGGTGAGCTGCATCTCGAGCGTTGCGTTAAGGACCTTCGTGAACGCTTTGCAAAATGCGAAATCCAAACCGGTGAGGCCATTGTTCCCTACCGGGAAACCATAGTCAGTGCCTCAGAGATGGCACCGCCGAAGAACTCTGAACTGGGTCGTGGAGGCGTTCTGGCAGTGTCTCCCTCCAAACAAATGACACTTCGTCTGCGTGTTGTGCCTCTGCCAGAGGCAGTGACTGAATTCCTCACAAAGCAAGTAGGAACCGTCAAGCGTCTTCAGTCAGAGAAACGCGCCGAAGCCAAATCAGACGAGCCAGCAACCGAGAACGGCCAGGAGGCAACAATCGATGCAGCCGATGAAGCCCAGGAAGGAAGTATCCTTTCTCTGCCCGAGTTCCGAGAGGAGCTAAGCAAGGTGTTCGAAAAGGAAGTCAAAGAAGACAAGGAACTATGGAAGAACGTCGTCGACAGAATCACTGCGTTCGGACCCCGCAGAATCGGGCCCAATATCCTTGTCGATGCTACTGCCGTTAACACCTGCGAGAAATTGTGAGTTAACACCAAAACCAAATGATCTCCCAAACGACTAATATCAATAATAGCCTGCTCGACGACCCGAAACAAAACACCATTTCCCCGGATAACCAGCAAGCGCTACTCGTGCGCGATTTCAACGACAAGATCGCATACGCCTTCCAGCTCGCTACAGGCCAAGGACCCCTCTGTCAAGAACCAATGCAGGGCGTAGCAGTCTTCCTAGAGGACCTCTCCGTTCACGCAGAAGGCGAGCTAGATATGGGCCGTTTAACCGGTGATGCAATCAGACTTGTTCGCGAAGGAATCACAACAGGCTTCCTAGACTGGAGTCCTCGAATCATGCTTGCGATGTACAGTTGCGAAATCCAAGCAACGAGTAAGTCCAAATAAACCAAACCCAAAACCAGAGAAACAAGAATGAAAGCTAACATCCCAAAAGCTGAGGTCCTAGGTCGTGTCTACGGCGTAATCACCCGCCGTCGCGGTCGTATCCTTTCCGAAATCATGAAAGAAGGAACCCCCTTCTTCACCATCCTAGCTATTCTTCCCGTCGCTGAATCCTTTGGCTTCGCCGAGGAAATCCGGAAACGGACCTCCGGTGCTGCGCAGCCGCAATTGATCTTCTCGGGCTTCGAGGCTCTGGATGAGGATCCGTTCTGGGTTCCTGCTACAGAGGAGGAGCTGGAGGATCTGGGTGAGCTTGCGGATCGTGAGAATGTGGCGAAGAGGTATATGGATGCTGTACGGAATCGGAAGGGTTTGGTTGTTCAGGGACGGAAGTTGATTGATGCTGAGAAGCAGAAGACTTTAAAGAAGTAGGCTGGCTGTTTGCTTCTTTATCTTCCTGAATTAAGGATTTGAATGTATATGGATGAATATAAAAGTAGATTGCCTTTTTTGAAGCTTTTTCACTCGCTGTTCCCAATATCTACAGTGCTATTTAAAGTTTATAAGGCTTTGTATTGAGCTTGCATTGACTATCGTAATGGCTTTGTTTGGGGCATAGTAATAGGAAGGTTCAATGTATTGAAATTTATTCAGTCTTTGTTTGAATGTTCTGAGTAGTGAGATTACGAGAATGTAACCACCCCGAGATCATCTTTCAGGTCATATTAAAGACAAGAAGTAGTAGAGGGGTGGTTCGCAAAGGATGAGAGTCCCCGCGCGATTCCAAAGGAAAACCGTCAATCTTCCTCCATTGACAAACACAGCCCGACATGGATAGGTCTCGACCGAGTATACTTAGGAGGTAGGAATCTACTGATGGCTAGGAAGCTGTTCTTTGGAACGGATCTTCATAGTAAGTGCTGTAGTTAACGGAGGCTAGAAGAAATGGTAATTCGTTTTTCATTCATGAACTGTGGGTATCACATAAATTCTGCGGAGGAGTTCGGCCTCAATGCAGTGCTGGTACATTCATATCGCCATGTGCTCATGTCAGTGGCGGCGGCGAACCTTGGTAGGCGCCTATGGGGGATGAGATTGTGACTGTGTGGGAGTACTCAAGTCAAGGTAGTTGATGGTAGGTGATTTGGGTGACGAAGAACGGATGCGTGGATCGTGTCACATAGCCTGATCATGTTGACGCCATGTCTCGGGTTTGGATTTCCCCATATGATCCAAATTTGGCGCTGTCTGCATATCAAATGCAAGATGGCTTGGTAGTAGGTTTAGTAACGCCTTCCGCCATCACTAAAAGAGTAAGGAAACAGCTTCCTTGAAGAATCGGATTTGGCCAGACTGTGTATCTCTCAGTACGGGCGTGCAACCTTTCTTGGTTCAGCGGCCCCGGTAACAGGGTCGCGCATCTCCTTCCAGCTAGCAGGGAACATCATGTTTCCTGCATCGCTGCGAGCCATGACAACACCGAGATCGTTGCGAGCAGTAGTGATGTAGTAGAAGCTCTGATCACCCTGGGAAATGACTGAGCCACGCACAATATCGCCAACGCGGAACATCTCATCCATGACGACGCGATCAGTCTCGACAACGCGGACGTCCTCCTTGCGAATCAGAGCCTGGAAGCGTAGCTCGTCAGTGCTGCTATGGTTCTCGGGGTCGGCAGCGGAAGTCAAGATGGAGGCGACGTTGTCATTGTCTGAAGCATTCTGCGAAGGGTCCTGCGAGGTATTGTCCAAAACAACAAGAATGGAGGCAGTGGCCTGACGTTTTTGGACACGGTTGATACGGGCCAGGATAATGGAGCCGACAGCTGGTAGGGTGTTGTATCGATTCTTTTGCTGTGGGGCTGAAGCAGCTCGGCTTACGGCTGGGACAGCCCGAGAGACTCGAATGGTTGGCTTGGTTCCGGTCTTGGGTTGGGCGGGATCCACGACGACGGGCCCAGCGATGGAGGCGTAGATGTAGGATTGTGTGATATGTGTGCCTGGTCCCCCGGAGTAAAGGGAAGCAGATCCCAGGCGTTGACCTGGGATTGCCACAGGGGGAAGAGATGTTGACATTATGTTGTGGGTATGAAAGCTGGCAAGATGATGGGGTTCAAAGAAGTGATTTTTTTAGAGCGATGACCGGGCCGGAAGTAGGTTTCCCCGCAGGTCCCCGCTATCAACGGACTGGCTTCTACTTCTACATTGTACACTACCATGTTTATTCATGCTCGAGATGATTCAATTACGAAAATCCAGATCTAGCACTAATACACGTTGTATGAGTAGCAACAAAGAAGACACAATAGCACCGACCCATACTGGACATGGAAGCAGAAGAACAAAACAGCACTTAGCACTCCAGATGCCCGCTGTCATAAACAAAACCGAAGTTTCAAAGAATCCAATGCCCATAATGACACCCAGGAAATAGATATGGAGAGTAAAATAAGAGTTGAATGGCCAAATAATAAAAGGAACGTGACCAGGGACTTGCACGTTCGAACATAAAAACCCCATCCATCCTATGCCTCAACCAGAGTCTGCTTGGGACCAGCGCCCAGCAACTCCAAGCACCGGCGAGCGAGTGCGATCACTTCTCCCTCACCATCATCCATATCCTCATCGTCGGATTCGATATTCTTGTCGGAAATTGACTTCACCATGTGTACAATGTCCTCGGACTTCGAAATGTACCCGATGAGCTTCTTATCTCCGGATTCGAGGAGCTGGAGAAGAGTCCATATAGCGATATGCTGGAAGGTAGGGTCGCCGCTTGCGAGGAATCGTTGAAGGTAGCCGTGGATGCCGCCGTTCGGGTCTGTCCAGTTACGGACAAAGATCGAATAGTCGCCCACTACATTGGTGAGCAATGGATTCAAAGAAAAAGTCAAAAGAAAAGCTGGGGACGCGGGGAAACGGAAATGACGAAGATCAAAAAGGGAGCAAGGGGATAAAAGAAAAGTAATATTGAAAAAACGCAATGACGAATGATCAAAGGATATTGGGGGGGAAACACACCCTTAGAAGAAAGATTGCCCAAAGCAGCTGCACTGTTTCCTTGCACCTCGACACTCTCAGAGTTGGTCAGGGGTATTAAAACGTCAAATACCCCGAGGTTCAGCAGGTGAATTTTGAGATCATCGCTGAGGGCCAGCACAGCGATGGCAGCAGTCATTTCGGATTGGACGGTTAGCGGGACCCGGAGAACGAGGTCCTTGCATTTCTGCACAGCACCAGCCTGCAGGACGAGCTCCTTGTTGCGATCAGAGCTAGCAGCAAGGTTGCGCAGTGTTGATATGGCATGACATTGAATCTCCTCATTGTCAGTAGTACCTAGCAAGTCCACCAACGGCTTCAGAAAGCCCGCTTCAATGATCGGGGACTCGTTAAGCGGATGAATAGAGATGTTACGAATGCAAGCAACGGCAGAAAGGATCAAGGGGAGATAAGATGATTGGAGAAGTCGAAGCAGAGGAGCGAGCCCCTTAGCCCGAACAATTTCCAGCTGATATTTCTCATCGGAAGCCAGATTGCGCAGGGCGAGGGCGGCTTGACATTGAACCTTGGGGGTGGATGAGTCCATCAAGTGGACCAATGATTGGACGAGACGGGACTCGGTTTGGGCCAGTCGTTTGCGATTGGTCGAGTCGACTGCAATATTGCTAAGTGCAGTTGTGCAGTAGTATTGAACGTCAACATCAGGGGAGGAGAGGAGGTGAACGAGAACAGGAATAGCGCCGGCGTTGACGAGTTGTTGTCGGTTATCATCTATTGAGGGTCAATGATCGCTCCCAGTTCTGGATGAGACGAATGACCTACCAGAATGGGTCATATTGAGCAGCGCTCCAGTCGCATTCCGCTGAACGCGCATGTCCTTCGACTTGGCCAGCCGGATGAGAGGACCCAGCGCGCCCGATCGAGCGATCTTGGCCTTATTTTCTTCATGTGTGGCCAGATTTGTGATACAACCCACCGCATTGCACTGCACCTCCACATTCGGCGACATCATCTGGCGGATCAGAGGGGCCAGCCCTCCTAGGGCGACGATCAAGACCTTGTTTTCACCTGTGTCGGGGTTAGTGACGAAAATGCGTGGCAAGGAACAAACACCGACCATTGACAGCAAGGTTGCCCAGGGCTGCACTGGCAGCTCGCTGGACTTCGAGATCGGAACTCTGCAACAGGAAAAGAATAGGATCCAGGGTATCGCGGTCTACCTCTCGTACATCTGCAGGAAACAGGTTAGGTATTGCATGCCCAAGGCAATTTGCGTCATCACGCACCTCGTTCGGTGATTTCGGCGAACGTCAGACTTGCGCTCCGTTGTAGGTCAATATTATCGGAGTATACGAGAGTGCTCAAAGCTCGCAGTGGTTCACCTGAGAAGAAGTCGGTTTCGGCGCGCTGTACAGGGGAATGGGTTAGCCACTGAGCTGAGGTGAGAGCCCGACCGGAGTGCGGCGAGGCACTCTACCCGTTCGCGATCACGTACATTCTCAAGATAGCCTAACAGATCTGAGACCGCCTCTCGTTCGTTATCTGCCAAAGTTGTTTCATAGATGTCTTCTCGGGAACGGCCAGCCCCGAGACAGGCGGTGATATGGCACCATCGGTCGACGGCGGCCAGGCACGACAGACAAGTGGTAGCGAATCCACTCATGCCTCCTTCAACAGGCCCGCATCAGGGCGTGCAGTATAAACGATGGATTGAGGTGAAGGAGTAGAGAAATTGCAGTGGGGTGGAAAAGAGGCTGGGGCCCAAAGCATGCGCAAGCTTCCAAGGTTTTTTTGGGGCGGGAGAACACAGGCGCGTGATGGGCGATCTTTACAGTTGATCTGGTCTCAGGAACGGGACAACCTTGAAAGTTGTCGGGGATAAAAAAAAGGGAAGGGGAGGAGGGGGTTGAAGAAGGAAGGTTGCAGGAGCTCACTAGTTTCCCCCCCTCAACCCGTGCTTGAGGGAAGTCGGGATCAAACAGTGCTAAGTATAAATTGGTTACTTTAGTTCAACTACACATGCAAGATCCTTTTCCAATCTTAACATTGATTTCCAACCATAATCTAATTTGATCTCGGTGACTCCAAATGTCCCAAAGTGAGAATAGCAGAGGTTTCTAACTTAAAATGCTAGTGCTACCTTTTTGTCAAGCAAGATAACGGGAGCTTCAGCACATCATCCGTAAGCTATAACCAATCAGAGTCGTCACATTCAACTTTTCTCTACCTCGGTTGAAAAAAGCCTCCTGATGAAGAGTTAAATCATTGACCTTGAAGGAATGCATATCTAGCGCATCTTCATGATAAAGTGGTCATATCCAGTGAGTAGATACTGTATGTCCCCAGCCCCCTGTGGGTCCGTGCAATGACAGACCCAATGACGTTCATCAGTCTTGTGATGCGATCACCAGATGTGACAAGTGATTGAATGTTGCGATAGCATTTTATATCATTATTTTCCAATTTTCTTCACATTTGAAAGTTTTCTTTTTTTTGTTCTTTCGTGTACCCATCAGATGGTTCTAGAGTTTAAAATAGAAAAGGTGGATTTGCCCATCGGCTAAACAGGCAAAAGATGATGGTTCCAGACTAATTTAAAGGCTTTTTTCCCCGCAAAATGAAAGAAAAGAATCTCAGCAAATGACGAGACTTTTTACCTGCAAAGTTCTTTGAACAAGTAACAAGCGATAGGTTAATAGTTGTTCTGGAGACTAGTCCACATGAGTAGTAAATGGGCCCATTCGCCCGTGCTTTTTCTTTAATAAGTCATTCAAGTATTGGTTAGCCCCGTTTGGTTCCATGAAATCCTCCTCGATGGTTATATCATAAGACATTCCTCTGATTGGATTCCTGCTTTCTTCTTGAAAATCCCCATTCTGGACTTGTGCCTCGTTGCATTTTGTCCTTTGCCTCTTTCCCCCATATTCTCTCCTCTGTATCTCTTGGTGAACGCATCAATAATGCCTTGGTCTTGGTAATCCCATTTTTGAGCCGCTTTCTTAGTCCAGTTCCCGATCTCAATCTCGATCTTCATCTTTCTGCACCCGAGTCGCCTGACTCTACTGTTTGATCCTTCAAGTTGGTGAGACTTGTCAGGCAGAATCCCCCCAGGTTGCAGCAAAAACCACGCCATGTCTGCATCTACCGCCACCGCCTCCACAGTTTCCGACCCTCCTCGTTCTGGGCGTCTCCGCCGTCTGAGCCAGTTACGCGCTTACACCCAAAACCTATCTTCCCCCAGTGGGCAACGGGCCCGCAATTCTTTGAGTAGTCGAATCCCCTGGTTATCGCCAACTTCTAGCGATTTTCCCCCAAGCCAGGGGACTTCTACTTCATGTCCTGAAGATCATTCTTTGTCTCGCTACAACACTGCGCCTTCAGGTTACCGTCCCGATACCCAAGCGTCATCCGCCGAATCTGCATCTCCCCCTCCCAACAACTCGACTCGCTCAGAAATGGCACGACTCCGAAGTGTCTCCGCCGTCTCTGGTCGGACACCACGACTGGGTCGCACTGGGACTTCAGAGGGACTGACCCAAATACAAACCACCCCCGTACCAGCCCCAGCCCCAGCGACCACTCCGTCTCCAGAGCCGCCCACCCCCAACGATGCACCAGATCTGCCCATCACAACCCTGGATGCGCAATCACCAAATGCACCGAAACAAAAAGCCACCATTCGCTTTTTCCCCTACCAGGATAACTATCAGAATTCGCGCCCCTCATTACCGTTTGTTCCCATCGCCCGCACTCTGCCATCGGAGAGCTGTGTGATTCGCGTGGGTCGCTATTCTGAGCGTGATGGTATTCCCATTCCCAACCCCACTGAGCCTTCCGATGCTCCTGTGGGCTTCAAATCCAAGGTCGTCAGCCGCAAGCACTGTGAATTCATGTTTGTCAATGGCCAGTGGCATGTCAAAGATGTGGGCAGTTCGTCGGGCACGTTCTTGAACCACATGCGATTGAGTCAGCCAAATATGCAGTCTCGTCTATATACCATCAAGGACGGTGATATTATTCAGCTTGGCATTGATTTTCGGGGCGGCGAAGAAATGATTTTCCGCTGCGTGCGCATTCGCATCGAGTGTAATCGCTCGTGGCAGCAACAACCAAATGAGTTCAAGTATGACCTCTCCAATTTCTTTCATGCTATCCCTGCTGATTATTTCACAGTAAAAATACGGAGAGCCTCATCAAAAATTTGGGCAAGGGCGAAACTGCTGATTATTCTGGCTGCCGGGAATGCTCAATTTGTCTTGGCTCGGTCTTGGTAAGCCTTTCATCACTTGGAATTTCCGAAATATTGCTTACCGTAATCTAGCGGCCATATCAGTGTCTGTTCATGGCGGCCTGTGCTCACGTGTGGCATTATAAATGTATCAGTCGTCTGCTTCATTCACCCGAGTACCCAATGTTTCAGTGCCCCAACTGTCGCGCATTTACAGACTTGAGCGCCGAAGTAGATGACACAAATGACTACGATCTCGAGGATAAGGAGGACAAAGAAGAGCCAGAAATTGCCGGAGAAATCGCAGAGCCTCGTTCCGAGACACAGTCACCCGTGAACGCAAGCCTCGCCATTGATACCAACCAGCAAGATGTCATCCCTGAAGAGCCCGACCTGGTCACCGATGTGGAAAACTTGCACCTAAGGCCAGACGTGGATACAGAGGATAGCCGAAGCACGAACTCCCCTGCGCCCAGTGGAAGCAATGAGGATCTTTCGCGCAGCGCCACCAATGTACCAGGCTGGCAGCCCACACAACCTCTCAACATCCCCCATGTCTCTCATCTTCGTGCCGATACACCAGTCCGCTCCGAGACATCAGATGACAATCCCTTGACCCCTAGGAACGATTCGGGTCCCCTTGCCTTCGACGGTCGTGCAGGGATGCAATAACGAGTTTGGCATCCGGAAGAAATTACGATTTATCATAATATTGGTCATATACATCTTTTAACACGTTTCTATCGTTTCTATATTGGTCGGAGACCACAAATATTGGCGGCTCGGTTTGATGCGCGTGCACATTTCTCAATAGCGTTCACACTCTCGTTTCCGTCTAATTTGACATATCATGGCATTCTGGCGTTTCCCTTGTTCCTCCAATCGTTTTTATACCCCTCTTGCAGCTCAGGCTCATAGCCTTTGGTGATAGACGAACTTGAACTTTCTTTGATTGATCTCAAGTCTTTACCAATTCATATCGAGTCTTACGCTTTCCAATACTCGCAATTCCAAGCTTCTGATGTTGTGCTTAGGCTTAAAGATTAGGCCTACCCTACCCCACTTCTCGGATCCTTACCATATAAGTGTGGGGCGACTCGATCGAGTTTATTCCATCAATCAATTCAGATCTAACCACCTATCCATCCATCCCGCTCAAATTGAATTACCAAAATACACTCCACCATAGTAAATATTCTAGTCCAGAAATGATAACCTTACAGCGTGAAATACTAAAGCTATCACATTTATCACCATCATCTTCCCTAGGTACATCCATATCCTAAAGTCCAACATCGGACAAGTCCAATGTCATCGATTCAAGAACAGCCAGATGCATCTCGTCCTCCCTATCAGAAGCTTCAACGAATTCATTACCCAGAAAGATCCCAACCATCCTTGCTGCCTGAATTACCGCCTTTATCTCCTCAGACACATCACCCATCTCCTCATAAAGCGTCTTCCAAAACAGCCGACGAAGCTCAATATGCCGTGGATGAAAGGCCATACAAGTTGTCTTCCTGATCCCTAGAATATTCTCTAGTCCATAAAATTGCATAGCAAAAGGACCCACTTTAGCATCGCGCCAATCGACGATGCCGGTAAGGTTGCCTGTTTGAATATCCACCATAATGTTATTTTCAAGCAGGTCCCAGTGATTGATTACCATAGGATAATCATCTGCAAAGAGAAATGGGAGTTGGCTTTTTATCCTATCCATTAGAGGCTGGAAGCGGTTTGGTAATAGCTTCATCATGCGCTCCAGGGTAGAAAGATACTCGCTCTGAATCGAGGCTTTGCTCTGGAATGAAGGTACAGATGGCCGATTACGCCACGCAGAAGAAGAGAATCTAGATTCTTTAGCATCCAACTTCGAGGAACTTCGAGACGGATAGAGGTGAGTATACATAGCAAAGTCTTGTACAGTCTGCTCCAGAAGAGGAAAATTCTCAGGCTGGTGGAGAAATTTGTTTACTTGAAGAAGCGCATCTCCAGGGATGTAATTCATCTTGTATACCTGAAGAGGATCTAATCCCTTCAGATGCTGGCTCGTAATTTTTTGGCAGGTAGGTACCAGATGCCCATAGGTTTCTTGTGCAGTGGCCAGGAGGTCGAGATCTAGAATGCTGTTCGGACCACGGAACTGGATGATGAAGATATTGGTGCCATTGGTGATATGGACGGTGTAGCTCTGTGCGCCTTGCAAGGGTGTAGGCTTGACGGTTCCGCCGCTGGCAATTTTAGCAGCTACTTTGTCACATATCTCCTTAGTGAGTGGACTATATCGGGTGAAAAAGTTCTGCAGTTGAAAATTTGATAGGGCATCCATGTTAGCGACTTTGAGGGGAAGAGAAAGAAGGTTGAAAGGAAATACTGGAGGGAGGAGAAACTCGGCTTGGGATGCAGTGATGCCTTAGGCAACTCCGGACTTTCGTAACTATTCGCATATGTACATGTAGTTCAAGCAGGAATAAAGATGCTTGAGATTCGATCTTATGTACTATGCAAGCTGCTGTGATCCCTCTTATGTCTTCATTGTGCCCATTCTCGCCTAGGCGACCACCAATTAGGAGCTATCTATGAGTAATTCCAGTCAAATGGCAACAAGTCTGTGGCTGCATGTCAAGGTACCCAGGTGGCTAAACTCTTGACTTATGATTCAAAGTCTTATCATACCTTTGATCCTCGATACTTTGCTCTTTGCTTTATGCTGTTTCAAGGCGTTGAATCCTTCGAATGTTAGAACAAAGGCTTGAAACAGCCGATAAACTGCCATCCAAAGTCCCGAGTCTCTCTGATCCTGGTCCTCGGCCTTGGTTCATATCCAGTCTCTTTGTTGCCGCGGGGGACACATTGTATACAAAGGATAATTAAACAACAAAATATTATATCCCCTGATCTATGCACATGTCAGTAGTAAATCTTTCTATAAATAAATTGCCGCCCTTGAAACCCGTATGGACTCCTAATATATCAACTCTGGCCATAAATTCGCTTCACTCACCTGCAAGTTTATCTACATTAATTTGAAAATTCAACAAGCATGGAACCCATCGCCGTCCAATTCTACAGCCAACGAGCAAAGGTCTTAAACAATATTAACAGATACCGAGATCTCATTGCCACAGTAGGCACAGTCTCATACCCCGAGATTGCCTACGCCCTCGAAGATGACATGCACACTCTTGAAAGATGGTGAAAATCCCCGTTACCCGGTTCTCCGGAACAACCGATTCCTGTCTCGAGGAGCGCGTCGATCGAGTCAATTATTACCTTGAAGATATCAGGCTCTCATTGGAGTGCCTCGGTGCTGAGGATGTATTGCGAGAGGCGTTTCTTTTGATTAGTACATATATTGGGATGTTTAGACTTGTCGGGATTGATGATTACCATGCGGATGATATGGCTTTACAAGCTATGGAGATTACTGAGCGATATCTTCCAAGGCGTAGGAAATTTGAGTTTTATTATTATCTGAAGAAGATGTGGAAAGAGTTGACCTTTTGTCGGATTACTCGTTCTTGTTTCATTTGTCGGAACTGGAAGAGGTAGTCCAAATGCTTAAAATGTTGGCTGAATATATAATTCCTAAGCGGAAACTTTTATCTTCGATTTTATTGCATTGGACTGAGTGAAATCGATATTTTCATTTCCATTATACTAACCACCTCAGTATAGTATGTACAAAGAGTGGAAAACGTCAGTTTGGCCGTATCGCAGATACAGGTAAATGTAGGTATAGAACGGGCTATATATAGGAACCGCGTGATCTGACCACCAAGCTGACATCCCCCTCATGTTCTCATTCTGTTAATGTTCCGAGGTTCATCCTTACTTGTGTTCAGTATCAAATCCTTCGAATTCAGAAAGCATTCGCGTCAAAATGGACAATCTGGCTGAAAGCCTAGGAAGTACTTCCTTGAATGATCCACCTGACCTGGAACAGCTACTCTTCAAACCTCAAGCAGATAGCGGATTCCCACAAACAGCCCTAGACAACATTCCCCGGTACCTCTTTCGCGTCGTCTCCCCCCTTTCCGCCGGCGAAACAAACGAGAAATGGGTCTTCTCGGAGGCGGCCTACTGCGACGATGGTTCATCCAAAGAAGACATATTCGATTACTTGGATAACGAAAAACGAACAACAATAGCCCGGACACTCAACTTGCATTTTAGATGGTGGCCAAAGCGCGAATTAGAGGATAATTTCGTATCATGGACCAGCTCACTCCTCGACGCAATTCAGTTCATCTACTACCGACATCTGAGCCCAAGAGACAAATCAGAACTAGATGATATCAATCTGTTCATCATTGACACCACATTATTCCCTAGAGGCACATTTCTTCGTGACCTGGATCTAATCGATACGTTCTGTGATTACGATACCCATGAGCCTACGAAGAATTTGGAAGATGTGAGATGTATGCGCGGCGACAATTATTTCGGAGAATACCTTTCCCAAGGCGAACTTAAGATCGAGGGAAAGTGCGAGATAATTTCTGCTGAATCTCTCTTTCAGCGTGATCGACTACGTCGGGTGCAGCCTCATTTCCTTGAATTCCATGAACTGCCCACGCGCAACGGAAAGCCTATATGGGCTATTGAAGTCATTCGCCTTCGTGAGGCTATATGGACATATGCAGATGCACCAGTATCTTCAGAAGATATGATTGATCGTTTAGACGCCGTTAACGAGATTATACAAGATCTCAAGCCTGGCTGGAGATTCCCTCTTGCAGTATATTTCACAGCCCTGATTGGCGCAGAATCGACAATGGAAGATAAAAGGACTGGAATCGATAATGTCTTCTTAAGGCATTTCAGATCTGTTTTTTCTACGGGTATGTCTGATGTACAATGAGAAAACATATAGCCGTCTTACTGAAAAATCTAGACGACCTCCCTTTCGATTTCAATGTTGTTGCACCGGAGTCAATGCCGGAAATGACGCAGGTCGAACAACTTCTTCGTGAAATATATAAGTTCTACTTGTTGGAACAGGCGTTAGGTTAGTGAAATCGAGGGAACCACCGGCTTTCTTCTAACTTGTCTAGATCGTGTTATATCAGCCGGAGACATTATTCGCAGCTTATATTGTGATAATGTTATTGCAGCAAATGGACGCGCTTTTGTTGTAGCTGATAGGAATGAATTGCTGAATCGTACTGGCCAATCTGTTCTAGCAAAACTTCGCAGAGTACAAACCAGGTGTGAATTGGTTATATCAGCCATTTCGTCCAACGAAGATTAAGTGCTGTCTTTTCTAAGGGATTCGGAGTACTTATCCTGGTTTTGTTTCAACCATCGCGAGCTATAGTTCGATAAGCTGTTTTCTTGGCCTTTGATTTCTAGTATGTGGTATACGAGGCAATATTATGATCATTTCCAAATTTCGAGCCAAAAAGCGCCCGGGAGATTACTGCACGAGGAAATGCGGACACGAAGATTGTGGGTGTAAAAGAATCTTGGAATTGTCCGGTCTATGGTAGGAATCAATGAGTATAATCAATGAGTATAGTGATCTCGCTGTAATGGAAATCCGGTTTAGAGTACAAAGCCCAGTCATACATAAGCCGTAAATGTTCAAAATTGTCATAAAAACGCCCCAGATCAAAGATCAATGTGCCTCGGGTATCATCGTGATGCAGTGGCTTGCCACAGTATGGCTTCGCTAGTCGGAGAAAATTACAGATAAAACAGAAGATAGATAGGATGGGTAGCTCATGACGCAGTGATCATAGATGGTGATGCAAGATTTTCTGCGGCGTCTTCGGGTCTAAGATCTTGCGTGCTTGAGGCCCTGAGTGGTGGAACGGTCTGCTTGGGGTCCTCCGTATGCAGAGAGATATAATCGGGAGTTGATACACTGGTTGCACGTGATGTATTGGAACCGTCATCAGTGATGGTAGTTGTGACAGACATGTTTTCTGACAGTGTGAAATTGGACACCGATTCAGTCGTCTCGTAAGGCATGGATTCTGGGGTTGGAGGCTCAGGCTCATGCTGTGCGGGAAGTGGATCTTCAACAGCTTCGTAGAAAAGCATGAACGCACCTCCCTGAGACATCACATGTCCTTCGCTAACCATCTGAACATCGTCATCACTTAGTCGATACCAGCGTTCAAGTTTGTCCTTGTCTCCTTCTGATTGAAGAACCTCGTCAGGGACAGAAGCTGGAAATGTCGCAGTCGGATATTTGCGGTAGCAAATGTAATGTCCATTCTCGTGTCGACCATAATGGGTGATGATGGCGCGCAGTTCATAGTGTCTGCTGGATAGACTTATTGCTTGACCGGGCGAGGGAAGCATAGACTCGGAAGGATTTGTCACCCACTGCTCAACTCGATCATCAGGTTCCCCAGATTGAGTGCCGAGGCACCATTTATTCAAGTCCATGTGCCTCGGAAATTTGACCGCTGCATAGTTCTTTTTCAACATCCCAGTCATTTCATCGAAGAGACTTCGGTTGATGTGGACAGCCAGGCATTGTGGTGCGCGTGCAATCACAGCTTGTCGGGATTTGGTGGTAGAAACTCGATTTTTGGATGGGATATTACATTTGTTGATAAGAGTCTTTTCGGCGAAATCGTCTTCCTCGAGGGCAGCCTGCACAGATTTGAGCCGCTCCTGGAACGAAGTCTTCATAGCATCGGATAACCCTGGCGTTTGTAAACTGTCAGGTGAACCATTGGCATCAGTCATATCGCCAAGGAGACTTTTGAGTTGATGCTGTGCGCGCAACAAGGTACACTTGGCACACTCCACCCCCTCAATAAGTTCCAACGTCATGTACTGTTCCAAACACTCGCGCAAATCATACTCATCCCTTCCTCCAAGCGGCACAGTAAGGCAGTTGAATGGGATAAGCGACAGGCCTTCAGCCCAGCCACATTTCATGCAGCCTACTCGTTGGGCAAGCAACCCTTCCAGTGGATTGCGCAATGATGTTTCCTCCACATTGCCATCGGAATCCGTGTTGGCGCGAATGTCCTTCATAATGTTCTCCTCCCGGCCAACCATCTTTAACCCCATGTTCCTCGTCTGACCCCGTGATGCACGGTGAACCTCAATGTCGATCTGGTCCACTAATTTAGAAAAGTATTCTTGCGCATCTTGTTGTTGCCAACTGCTCATAGACTTTAAGTCCGATGGGATCCATAGCTTATGCCCATAATTGGATGCGCTGTTCAAATCATCAATTATTCCTTTCAGCGCCTCGTGTGTAGATAGCGTTCCCTTCTTCCCCAAGGAATCGACATTTCGCTCGAGGAAAGTTGCAAGGGATTTCAAAGAGGCCAATCCTTGGATGATGCTATTTTGGTAGCAGGAATTGTCCCAATTTCCCAGTCCCGGCGGTATCGTGTCGTTGCTGTTGCCTAGGAGTGCGTTCCCGAGACCTGATAAGGATCGCGTGCGAGAAAAAAATGTGAAGGAGCTATTTTCAAGACCGAAAAACCGCTGCATTGCTTCATTTTTTGCTTGAAAGGTCATTTGCGAGGGACTCGAGGGGGAGGTTTCGGATGGTGACATGCGAGTGTCTAATGCGACGATGATCCAAGACGGTGTCGCGAAGACCAGGATGTTCCAGGCGATACGGATTAACGAGACCGGTACGAAACCAAAGTGATCAAGGAAAAGATAGATTGAAATAATGGCAAGGATGATATAGGCTAGGATTTCGTGGTTCTGTAACGAAGTAAGAGCTGTCTCATGGTGGCTGTTCGGGCTTGCGTAATGAATGGGGCCAGTTGACAAGATGTTAACGCCCCTGCGAGCGTTCATGGCGGACAAGAAGAATCAGAGTAGCCACAGGAAGAAAGCCTGTGAAGCATAGGTGACCTTTCCGACGAGGGCGAGAGGGCCAGGGTGTTGGTGAAGGAGAGTATACAAAATTGCTTTTCAATCCGGGGCTGCGTTTCAGGTCTATCGCGCTCACCGCAAAATTTTCTTTTATCGATAGCAAGTCTCCACACACTTTACATTCTTTAAACAAATCCCAACATGGCCAAAAGTAAACGTGAGTTGTCCTAAATTTTTTTGCGATATCTACAAATTTCTAATTTATGTCTCAGCCAGAGTATCCAACACTCGTGCCGCGCGGCGAGCCGCTTCGCCCGTAGATCGGTCTTTGGAGTCTGCTCCTCGAGCTGAATCACCATCTGCTGAGCGTCCTTCCGTGTTGTCCGAGCGTCGCAGTTCTGGTATTCAGAAGAAACAAGCACAGAAGAAGATGTCAAGAGCGCAGCGTTTGAGACAGCAAAAGGGTATGGATCGCGCGGAAGCGGTCTTGGACCAGTTGGAAATTAAGAAATCCAAGAGCATCACCCGTGGAAAGACTGTCAAAGCACGAAGCGTATGTATTTCTACTGAATTGACCCTCTAAATTTGATGTGATTGTGTTGACGAAAATCTGCTCTCTAGGCTGAATGGGAAGAATTGAACAAGAAAGCGTTAGCCTTTGCTGCTCTCCAGCAGGCCAACGATGAAGATGACGACGATGACGATAATGATTCCATGACCGAAGATACTGCGCCCGTGCAAGCCAAACCAAACCCATTCGCTGCTCATTCGATCGATGTGGTGGCTGATCCTGAGACCGTTGATGAAGATGATCAGATCACCTGAACAACGCCAATCTCTTCGGATTATTTCCTCGGTCTGAGTTGGTTGATCATGCGCTCGATTTCCGCAATGGCAGGACCGGACGCCTTAGTGCGAAGGAGTTCGAGTGTGTTCACGTCTTTGGCCTTTTGTGCCTCTTCTCCCGCCTTGACGATCATTCCACACTTGATCCACATTTCAATCCGGTCGGCGACTGGTAGGGTTGTGCATTTAGGGACGAATAACGACGCAAGCTTTGTATTTCCAGCGCCAAGAACCTCGTTATAGAAAGGCTGTTATCTAGTGTGAGCATTTTTCGAAGCGGCTCCGTGATTAGAAATCTTACCTCCCACCCAATAGGGGACTTTTTGTTCCTGCCAATCTCCTCCAGCTCACCCCAGTCGCGTTTTGCCACCAGGGCTCGAAGGCGCAACCACCAGTATGTCTTCTCTGGCATCTTAAATTCGCTCTGCATTTTGTGGGCCCGTTTTCCGTAGCCAGCCCGGAATAGTCGGTAGACCGTTTCATTCAAACTGAGACCCGTGAACTCAGAGTGATCTGCAAGGTCTTTATCCAATGATTCCTGTGCCTTGAGGAGCTGAGATGCTTCGGATATCAATTTTTGTTGTAAGACCACCGTGGGATCTTTTGAGTCGGATAGTAGGCGCGATGCAAGCGCGAGTTTCTCCGTCTGGCGTTGGGGATCTGATTCACGTAAAGCTTCTGACAAGAGCGCATTGGATCCATCAATGGGTCGATCGTCTTGATAATATAGATCCTTCAAGAGCTCGGTGTCTTCGTCCCGGGCAGCCGTTTCAACAAGTGCAGATGCCATAGGACGAGTGTTAATCATCCGGAAGAAGCTCGCCAGAGGGATCGTACTCTTCAGATGCAGAAGGACATAATTTACCAGATCATCATCTCCGCTTTCAATTGCCTTGTCTAGAGCAAGTTCATCTTCCTCCATTTTGAGTAGCAAGGGGACTTGTTTGCCAGCTCGTGGTTCGTGGTTTAAGAGCTGGGTAGCAAGGTGTGATCGACCCTCATCATAGGCTGTTTGTGCAATGACTTCGAAGGAGATACCTGGCTTGCCTTCCAGTCTTTGGACAATGAGCTTGCATACGGCTTCATCGTCTACTGTAGAAACCCGGACCTTTTGACTTGCCCAATGGACATAGATACGGTCTGCAGGTATCTGAAGATATTCAGAAACCCTGATCGCAAGGAGATATTCGTGACGGCTAATCAGACGTTCAATGAGCCCCTCAGGAGTGAGACGCAGATATTGTTCATATGACAGTGGCAAGCCGATTTGATAATCTCTCACAGCTGTCAAGACTCTCAGCTTTTCTGTCATCTCAACAAATTCGTCGCTGTTGTAAAGCTCGAGTACGGATTTCCCAAATGATGCTGCCTTCAACAATCGTTTCTGCCAATAGGCATCGAACTCATGACCAGCAGCCTTAATACATGAATCAACCGCTGCAGGAAGGCTTGAGCGAATTCGTTGAATGTTCTCATCTGCTTTAGGAGACTTTTTTTCTAACTGATCCACGGAGTCAAGTAGTACCGAAGCAGGTGAGCTAGAGCCGAGCCGAAAAATCTCTTCTGTGACGCCGTGGACTTTGTGCAAAAATTCACAAGTATCATTGGTGAGCAGACGAACTCCGTCAAACTCAGATATGACATGCACGCGGCCGTCATAGTAGTATCTATCAAGGATTAGTCCCCATCACAACCGCAAAGAGAGGGTTACCTACTTGGATGCAGCACCACTAGGCCCGACAAGATGAATCTCATCTTCCCAGGCGAGAATGACCGCATCATCTCCACACCATTTTATGGTGCTAGGGGGCACTCGAGACTTCGAATCATACTCGCTAAGCTTGTTCTGGAAGTCATTGCTGACAACCCACAACTTGCCCTCGCCAGTGAAAAGCGCGACAGAACGTCCGGTTGGGGACACACTGACATGCTTAAATGGACCATCTTGCAGGATTTTGTCCTCAGCCTCTGTAGAGTCCACTAGATAGACTGTCTTATCAACCGCGAGTAAGACCTCCACGGAGCGCGAAAGGGTGTGCGCGGGTGGGATCAACGCCCATGAAGAGACTTCGCCTTCAGGACAAGGCGCCAAAAGCTTTGGTCGTGGCTCATCATATTTTGAAACCGCAATCAGCTGGTTGTTGGACAGCAATGCCACCAGGCCGGATGACCAGAATTGGCAGTCCCTCACGCCATATTCTTCGGCACCCTGGTACTGTCAGTCGGACTCCAAGGAGGGGTTAACGTTTATCTTACGTTTCCAAGGGAAAAGGATGTGAAATCACCGTCCAAGCCGAAATAACGGCGGACTGTGCCATCCTCAGCAACGACCAAGAGCTCTTCTTTGTCGGACCAGCCGATTCCACGGATAGTGGCTTGTTCCCACTAGCAGAATGGTTAGCTTCAAGAAATAACGGAAGATGGATCAGACACACATTGATTCTGTTAATTTGTTTTCCCGAGCAGGAGTAAACATCGATGCACGATCGGGAAGCCTGTGAATCCCGCAACCTGATCGGCTTGCTCTCATCGCGATAAAGCGCTACAGAAATATTTCGTTTAGCTGGGATTGTTATAAATTAAGAAGGAACCATACCGATAGCTCCACCGTACGGCGCGCCCGCGACGATGTAGTTCTCTAGTTCAACTTCCTCATCAAAGATGGCGTCATATATGGGGATTTTGCGATAAAAGCTGTCGCCAACTTTCTCCCAGTTGGCGAGAGGATTTGAAGGTGCCATTTCGGGCTGATAATCACAGACGATGGCCCAGTAATGACCATACACCCCCGTGTCGTTGGTGACGGATCAAGTGACGCCGCAGCTTCCCCGGGGGTGTTCGCGCTAGGCCCTTTTAGAGAGCTATTGGCGCCTCATCATTAAGGCACCAAGGCACTGTCGACATCATGTTCTTGATCCCCGTTATCCCCGCTTGCCTATTACTCCTATTTGTCACGCTGATGGAGATTTGGTAGCCTATGGAGCTCAATTATGGATGATACGAGCCTTGAGGATGTTGCACGACAACTGTCCGATCTCGAAGTGGCTCTCTTCCTGTGTCTCGCCGCCCGTGAACATTGCCTGATTGAGACTACGGGCGACTCTGTTCATGACCTTGGCAAAGAACTTGCGCTGGTATTACACCTCACAACGATAAAGCGGTATTGAAGAGACTAATACAAATTATAGATTTGCGCTAATACATTTAATCTGTCATACTCCATTGTCGACTGTGGCTCCGAGACTTCCATCGAGGACATTTACAATGAGATCCTCACTGCGAACGCTCGCAAAACCCAGGCCCGCCCATCATACTCTCGAGCGAAAACTGAATCAGTAGGGGTAATTGCTCATATAATCCTCTGAAGATCGACTAATCATTCTCAGTCCAGTATTATTTCGTCCTACATTGGTGGGCATCGGGACGGCAACAAGTCTCCGATCCCGGGTATGGTAGCTGACGAACCAAACGTGGTCAACGTTATCATTGCCAAAGACTTCAACTTGACGAGCGAAGACTTTCAAGCTCAAGCATTGCAGGTAAAGCTTAGTACTTGGTCGCGTCTCGGCAAAATACTGACTACTGCAGTTAATGCGGACCAAGCAATTAGTGACAGAAATCAGCATCCTCCATGCACCTGCAGATTTCTTATTCGTGCCTGTCGTAGCGCGGGACTCTGCTGAGCTGCAACCACCACTAAAGACACATCTGGTAGGTGACTCTTAACGTAATCTGCGGGAGTTCTCTAACGTAATGTTCATAGCGTGACCAGTTGTTCATCTCACATTTCCATGAGCCTGACGATGGGTTCCTTTATCTTGAAGAGAACGATTGGCTTTCCGACGGCCAACTTTCTGCATCTTCTGTTATTCACACCCCAAAGTACACCCAGAAGACAAGTCCAAAGGTCAACTGCATGGTAAGCATTCTGTTATTCTGTGCCAATGACTTATCTCACTTCTCAATAGGTGATAGAAAAATTATGCGAAGCCAGCAAGTCGGTCACTATGAACGCTGAAGTGGTTCGTTATATCCAGGATATTGTTGTGTTCTTGCGTCTCAGTCGCGCAGTTGCTGGTGGGGTATCTGCAAGGGCGAACAATCAATTCGCCCGGCTTGCGCAGTGAGTCGAGACTAAAGTATTTGAAATGTTCAAAATTAACTCTGGTTTGCAGATTCCTGACACCACTGCATGGCATCGATTACCTCACACCTTCAATTGTGGTTTTGGCCGCGAGAAAGGTTTTCCGTCATCGTATTGTTGTTGCCTCGCCTGATGATGATCGAAGTCTCCAATATGGAAGCGACCTCGTCACCGTGTCTCGTGTACTAGCGGACGTGACACCGGATTCAATTCTGGATGGCGTCCTCGAGTTAGAACCACCGATATAATACAATACCCGTCGTCGTATCTATTCAAAATGTCCCTTTAGTAAGAAAGATTCTCTCTATTATTGGCTTTTATATGAGTATCACGAAGTAGGCTCTGGTCCGAATAGGAGAATCAGAAGCAAAGAAATCATGCAGAGACCTTTCAGCTTTCACTCCGAGGCAATATGGACCTTTTGGGTGCTTACGGGTAACAAATACAGTCTCTTGGGTTGGTGTTTTGTTCACAGTTCTTTTTTGTAAATAGCAACTGCACTGTTAATAAATGAGTGACACAGTGAACTTGTGCCGTACACTAGAAAATTCGACTTGTTAACTTCTGAAGGTCGGATAAAACAGCATGAAATCCATAAAATCCGCTCAAGGAACTGAAACACCGTAGTCCGAAAAACATCACTTATCTGGCCGTTCCCACCAAAGTCGCATCGCTGTCCATCGTTCAGCTAAGCCCCGTCTCCCTCAGAGGCCCGTCGACGAACCTGGTGGCGTGTATACTCAGTGACGCGGCGAGCTTCCATTAAGATGTTGGCCGAGCCCTGAACATCCTCATAGTCTCGCATGGGGTACTGGCGACTACGAGCCTCTCGCTGCAGGGATCCACGGATAAAGACATCACTCAGGCGTCGCAGTTCCCGAATCTGGTCAGGGTTCAAGGCATCCTCCCAAGTACCCCATTGCTCAACTGAATCTTCATCTTCGTCTCGCATTTGCATCCCCATTCGTACCACAGGGCGAACAGTCTCGGTAGGGACAGGAGGATTAGGAACAAATGGGACAGGGCGCGCAATTTGTCCCTCTTCGTTGACGGGGAGCTCAGAAAGAGCATCGGCGTAAGGGACAACGAATCCAAAGACGTCCTGGTCATCGCTGAGACGGTCATAGTCAATGTTCCTATCTTCAGTGTCGGGTTCCATGGAAGAATGGTAGTCAGAGCCGGTGGCAAAGAGATTTTCCTTGTCTTCTCCGAGGTCGCTATAGGACCCTGGGGAGTGGCGATCGGGTGACATCTTGCCCGGTGCGTCTTCGTGGATGTCGAAATACAGGCCCCCCTTGTATTTGGATTTGGAAGTTGACTCCCAGACGCGGCGGGGGCTACGGAGGTCGAGTTTCCGCACGGTCGAGGTAGAGTCGCTAAACCTGTCACAGGGAGAGGTCATTGTAGATTCGCAAGAATATCCAACCATATCCTCATCTTCGGTATTGTCTTGAGGAGGCGTTTGGTCTTAAAGCAAAGATGGAATCGGTCAGCAAATAGCTTGGTAAGTCGCGGATATCACCTCAACTAAGAGAATCTTTACCTCCGGTATCTCTGGAACGACGCATTGCTCGTTCAAAGATCGCTGTACGCGGTACGATGGGACTTTCTGGGTCATAAGGCACCCCGGCCTGGGGCTGTGATGCCATAGGCTGGGACGAGGGTAGGATTGCTAATTGCAGTTGACTTCGAAGTTGACTGGAGGGGCTAGACGAAGCCCGACTTCCACACGAGCCTTGCCTTTGTGGAGGAGGGAAAGGCTTGGAAAGAGGGGAAGGCAAACGAGTTGGAGTGAAAGTATTTTGGAAGTGAGTTGACATTGTTGTTGTGCCTCGCCATTCAGACGATACCTCCATGTCAACCATCCTGGGTGGCCACCGGCCAATCATTCAAATCCTGAGAGGGGTTTAAATAGATACTCGAGTGCTTTGTATGATTTTTGATAATTGTCCGTTTGTGCCTAATAGTAAGTAGAGTATCTAAAACTGGATTCTGACATCGGTCAAGGGAAAGAACGAGCCCTATTTAGTAGCAATTCGACCAACTTATCGTTCCTACCCAAGCCCCCCAATTCAAAGTGTGAATATTTTTAGTTGATGGAAATTGGTATTAAAACTTCAATGTTAAACGAATGTGAATTCATATAACCTGTATGGCTCATCCTTTCTCGCCACCTTTCCTACCGCCAGTAGATACCCACAAGAAGCACGGTGAGCACGGGAGCTGTTGTTGAAGTAGAATTATGATGTTGACTCGACTTGGAGATAATGAGAATGCTAGAGTATTAAAATGCTAAATTTGAAACGAGTAAGGCTCCCTAGGTGTAGGCAAAATATGACTCAGAACATTACATGTCATCGTTGGCCTTCATAACTTCCCATTCTTCTTTGCGCCATCATCCCAGCTACCATAAACGTGATTACTACACGCATCTGCCGCAGAAAATCATGGAACAAGTAAATTATCCAGCTGCCAGTGAACATATTGACCTTCTGAGTGTGTTCTTCCGAGGTCGTGGCGTCCAAATTAAATCAGCAATGAGTAGATAGCCCTCAAAAGCATCAGTTGAAGCACCACTGACATTGTAGTAAAACATTGTGCGAGCCGGCTCCGACAAATCATGTCTCCGGCTCCAGTAGTTCGTCAAAGCATATATCAAGGCTAGAAATGCGATGAGAAATAAGACAGATGATGCCTTGAGGAGATTGGCACCCTGATCCAGTTGCAACTACTTGATAAGCGTACGTATACAAATTTTACGGGTGTGATTTCATAATCGTACATTTGATCTAAGGCTTACTGAACAATCCTGGACCCTTGTTTAGCTAACATTAACGTTGATTTCTCCACATTTAGAATTCAATCCGTTTCGAAAATACACCCTATCTTACGCCAGGAGCTGACTGGGGCGTAAATCATCAGCGCCCAAAGCCCAAACTAGGACATTCTCCTCAATACCAGCCCAACTTGTGTAAAAAAAGTCACCTAGTGACCGACTTTAAGATAACAGAGCAAAAGATTCTGCTATATGAGCGGCTTGAAATTGAAGGGTGCCGAGGCTCTCATCTTATCGCTTATGCGGTAACTGCGCTACCTGCCTTTTTTATTATTATCAACTAAGCCAGGGTATCTATAAAGCTATCAGCTTTGAAAATTTAAATATAATAGGGGAAGCCGCAAGGACTGCATCCAGTTGTTGTCAGTCGATTTTTTATTTCAGTCTATAGTCACATTTATCTGATGTCCGTTCATCCTCTGAACACCTCATATCAAAGAGTTCAATTCATGTCGGAATGGTCAAGAAGCCACGCTACAGCTGCATCAGAAATACGAGTAGCTCGTGGTGAGTTGACTTCAAGCCATAGCTTCATTAGGCTTTATGCTCTTGGCACAAGTCTCGTCCCCCTATGACACAACTACCATGCAGCCAATCCGAGGATTGACTGTGTAAATTATGAGCATCAAGCCAAGCCCGAACAAGAACGCACCAATTAGAGATGCAATTAAGAAAACCCGTTTTTTCCACCAGCCGTAGTTGAATACACTACCAGGATTGGTCGGAAATCATATTCCTAGCTTGGTGATAGTTGGCTATCTGTAGCTGGAAACTTTATGGGCTGGGTGAAATGAATCATGCATTCAAAAGTATAGGGAAAAGCATATAGGAAGCAGAACGTCTTGAAGCAGCAAAAATGTCACTTCTTGTAGATGGGTGCTTTGAGCCGGATGGTAACCCATTGTAAGTCTGCTGCGACATATTATACTGCATGGAGTCCCTCGAGCACTGATCAAGTACATTATATTACATTGCTCTAGGAATGAGGAGTGCACCTTAACATCTACTGACTACATACAAGGATCTTAATTAGTATCCCGCTGAAGATTCCTAACCGTCCACCTCACCACGTGAAGATGCGCCAAGTATGCGCTAAGATGTTCTTGTAACTGACGTCTTGTCATGTGTTATTGTGTGGCTGAAAATGTCCAATCATATGTCCACGTCTATCAATACTAAGCCCAAATGGGGATATGGGCATGGGCGTAGCAATCCGAGATTATCTAAGATACGTCTGACAGGATTAACCGTGTCAAAGGAAGAAGAAATAATCGATAGGCTATGGACCGCCTGTCTCTTATCACTGCTGAATCAAGCACAATAAGCAATACAACGATCATTGTTTATTTTTTCTGGCCATCATTATGGCCGAAGCTGCGCTTAAAGCCTTGGTACAATAGAAATCATGCCTAGGGGAAATCATATCAAGCGCGTGCCGAGCAGCGAGAAAGGCGCTTTGCGTTTCATCATTGCGGATCCTTCATCCGAAGCAACTAAATCAGAATCTCTCAGAGTTGTTCGTTCGCACGCCGGAAGATGGAGGTGGCTACAGGTCCGAGGCCGAGCTCGAAAGTATAGTGGAGAAGGAGGCAGAGAGGACGATTGTGAAGTTTCTAGCAGCTTGCAAGAGACCGGGGAAATAAGACATGCGTCACTTTCAACATGTACCGTTGGCCGAGGCGCAGCTTCCTCATCATTCTCATCCTCATCTGCATCCTCGTCCACAGTCCCAGATGAAGGGTTCTATTTCCAAGGAGATATTGTTGCAGAAGATGTATTCCAAGCTTCACCTCGGCCGAGTGTGAGTTTTTGGGGCTCTCGATCCACCGACGAAGATCTTTCAACAATCACCTCTCTTGATGGAGATATATTGGATCCCTTTCAAACACTGCCTTCCCCTGTGCCACCGAATATGGTCAGTACCTGCAACAAATATTGTAAGAACATGCTACCTCCCGATCCCTGGTAAAAGCTTACTGTCTTTAGCTCTCTCGGTCTTATGGCCCGGGTTGATGCCTCGACCATTGTCAGACGCAGGCCATGGAGGAGTGGAATGGTTTTCTCACTCCATCGAGCATCCGGCTCTCCATAGTGCCATGCTATATGGCTCATATTCCCACAGGAGAGCGCGGTGGATGTTGAAAGGACAGGGGGATTTTAGCGCAGACGATATTAGGCAAATGGTAGTATGCGAATGCGATACAATCGCCAAGATCAATGATGCAATTCAAGACCCACTGCAAGCTACATCAGATGCAATACTGCTGTCGGTTTTGTGCATGGCTAATAATAAATTTGATCAGAATTTAGATTGGAGGAAGAATATCCAATCTCCATTCCAGGCTCCCTTGCGAAGCTTGCAGTGGCTCGATATTTACGGGAAGTTATCGGCTCATCCAGTGCACCAGGCCGGATTGATTCAGCTTCTTCATTTGAGAGGCGGTATACGCGCAATACAGCTTCCTGGACTTGCGGCCGTCATATCGTTGTAGGTTATTGTCCTGTTTGAAAGATCCAGCTGCTTTTGCTGATCACGCAGGGACAGTTCTTGTATATTGGGCGCAAGCAGATCTTTATCACGGCCGTATCTCCCATTTGTCTCTCTCCAAGGACAGCACTTGACATTGCAAGACTTGGATTGCTCTGCAGCCGCAATGACCTTCCCTGCTCAAGATGTTCTCACGAATATTCAGTTGACGACGGAAATGTACCAAGTTTTTCGCGGTTTGCGATCATATGTCTCGCTTGTTGAAAGATTTCAGGATGGGATTGACTTGGAACTAGGCGGTAGAGTTCTATGCGATTATCGAAACCTGACACAATGGCATATAATGTCTCTTTTGCCTGCAAGCCAGCTTGGTGCCATGCTCCTTCAATTTTGCCCTATATACGAAGCCTGTCGTCTAGCTTTGATGATCTTTGGGGTGGGCGTGACCTTCCCATTGCCACACGAAAGCGCTCCACTCTTGTCCCTTGCAAGAAATTTGCAAGCGGAGTTGCAATTATACGGTGATGGCAATGGCACTGAGAGCTCGGAGGTGACAAAGGTGCGTTGTTGGTGCCTTGTTCTGGGCGGAATCGCGGCAACGGGATACAAAAAGAGACCGTGGTTTCTTCAGGAGCTCAGATACCTTGCCCAAATCTGTGGCTTGTCAAAGTGGGATGATCTCAAGCTAGTTTTAAAATCAGTATTGTGGTTTGGTTGTGCGTGTAACACTGCAGGAAAGCAGCTTTGGGCCGAAGCCATGGCCCTTGCAGACGTGCCACATGTGCATACTCCAGTATAATGACGATGGAAAGGTCCCTAGGTAGGATATTAAGACATCTTTATTTCAAGACTCAGAGGAAAACCGGTTTCAAGAAGAGAAAAAATTGCCAATTATGGCACTCCCTGTCTCTGGATCCTCACAAGTACTTAGGCAGAAAAATCCATTACTTAACAGTTGCACTTAGATATGATCAAACTTCTGCTCAAAATCCAAAGATCTTGTTCAGACTAAATTTCAATTTCTATAGTAAGACCCGTGAAAACAAAGGTTCAGTTTTGATCCCCGGAAATTTTGAAGTTTTCATCGTAGAAAATCACTATTAAAAAAATCATATTGATAGGATCAAAAATCTACCTAGAATCCAAAAATTATATCTAATCTAAATTATACATCGTAAAATCAAGGGTCATAGTTCAAACCCCCGACCAAGCTCGAGGAACGTTCTGGCCATTATTAAAATGAATTCCTTAGGCAGAATAACCTATAAAACAATTGTTGCACATGGAAACAATTGACACATGGAAACGATTAAAATCCTGCCTCGAATCCAACAATCTTACTTAGAATAAATAGTAAAATCATAAGAAATCGAGGGTCCATTTTCGACCCCAAGTAGTCAAAACATGTGCCTATCAAAACATCTATAAATCAGTATTATGTACGCATAAAAACAATCGGAACTCTTCCTAGAATCTCATCATGTCACCTATATTCTAGAATCGAAAGTTATTGTCTTAAACCTGGAATTTGGCATGCTTTAATCCAAGGAAGAATTGGGTTGAAGATCCACCGAAACTCTCCGGAAGCAATGATCTGCAGAAATCTCGCATCGTGCCTCTTAGGGGTCCGGAATTCATCGGATACGAAATCTCGATCGACGTATAAATTTCAAATCGAACACCCCTTTTCAAAATTTAAGGATCTGATCGGCTTATCCTCTGAAACCACTCGAATCATAAGCTTAGGATACCTCCCAGATCCACAGTTACTGAAGAACTATTATCTGCGCGGGAACTACTTGCTGGATCCGATGTCATCATGCCCTGAGAAATAAAATGACAAACCCTAGGGCTTGTTTTCCGTAGTGGTGGGTGCCCTCAACTCTATAAAAGAGATCACCCCCCAACAGCAGCTGTAGACCTTCCTCAAGCAACCCCAGAAAAACATTAATATGCAGTTCAAGAACGTCCTCATCGCCTCCTGCCTGGCCCTCGGCGCCGCCGCTACTACCAATGCCACCGACATTGCTCCTGCGGTGCAGAACCGCCTCGCTCAGATCGACCTTGGCTACCAGCAGACCTACCTGCTGCTGAACCACCTGGACGACAACACCGACAGCGTCTCCGCTGACGTGAGTGCACTCGACAAGACTTCCAAATCAACTTGAATTCCATACTAACACAATACCGTTCGAGGACGTCGTTTCTGCCTACAACACCACTGCCAACGCCGAAGCCATGGACCTCGGCAAGAATCAACCTGTCAAGCCACTATCTGACTCCACCCAGCTGGTCATTTGCCAGGCTTTCCACTCGGTAAGCTATTCTGTTATAACTTCATTGTCGGCCACCACGTTGATGAAATTCTCTATGATAGCTCGCCCTCACTGGTATTCAGCTGAACAATGCTTTCGTCGACAGCGCGTCCCACTTCAACAAGGCTCAGCGTAACGACCTGCAGACTGCGCTGAGTAAGGTTAACGACGAGACTGGCGTGAGTCTTCTTCTACCTCTGAATACTGGTTTTGCTCACTAGATTACTAATTCCCTTCCTTTAGTCTTTCTTTATTCACGTTGCCAAGCCTGCCCTGCCTTACTGCTTGACTACCCTCCAGACTGACGAGTCTGCTATTTACAAGTCGCTTCTTGCTGCTGCTAAGGCTCTTGACCCCTCTGAGGCTATCATCTAGAGTGTTTATATTGGATGATCTCTTCTTTGCACTGTAAATATTGTGGATGGTACGAGGCGGCGTGCCTCATGAACCTATACTTCTACGGCATATATTTTACGTGTTCATTTGCGCCGGGGATAGTGATTGGATGTATTATATAGCTAATGGGCAACTGTTTGATTAAGACAATGGAAGTATGTAAAAGTACAAGCCTGATGCTTATGCCGGAACTCTTTTCGCCCCACAGCCAAAGGGATTTACGTAAAAAGTCTTCGAAGTGATGATTTGGTGAGATTCATAGCAGGGGAATAAAAAAAAACCTTGAATCATACGCACTTAAACTAGGCCGTGGTTACATTTCCGAGAAAAGTCGAATATTCTTAGTAATAAGTAGACTGTATTCACCTATGGAGCTATGAGCAGAGTCTAAAGGAGAGCTATGTAGACCCGGAATACATACATCTCACAATCTATCTACCACTAAATCTTTCCATGGTATATCCCAGTCATCAATTGTGCTCAGTTAGACCCAACTTGGCATACAGTACGTCACATCTCTCGAGAATCATAAACAACAAGGGGGAGAAGATTATCAAACCCCCGACGAAACATGCGGCGAAGCAAGAGTCAGTCACAGCCAGACGAAGCTAGAGCCGAGATCGGGGTAATATGAATCAGGTGCAAGCATGGGCATCATGATATCAAGAAATAGCACCAGCAAATACAGGAAAAGAAATGGAGACAAGAGAAACAAAATCAGAAGTAATATGGTGCTTTGATCCTTCGAGAAGATGCAACGTTGCCGTGTAACCAGGCCGAGTTAAAACCGAGTCAGAAATGTTGCGTCCCATGCTCTGCCCTGCACACTTGCCCAGGTATTCACAAATTCCAGGTAGGCGGTAGATGTCAAGCCGGTAGGACGAGAGCAGCGGAGTTCATTTCACAGACTCCTTTACCGGAAGTGACCAGGGCCAACCATGCCACCTCGCATGTCACCACCGTTGGGCTGACCAAACATGTCAAGCAAAAGACGAGATGAGGGAGGAGGACCCTGGGGTCCCGGGTTTCCGGGTCCAAATGGTCCCTGACTGCCGGGGCCAAGCCCCATCATAACCTCTGGGTTAGGTGGCATTGGAGGGAACCCAGGTGGTGGGGGGCCACCCATATATCCAGGCGGGGGCATCATGCCGGGAGGAGGGCCGCGAGGAAAGCCCTGTCGCTCATTCATGGGGGGCTGGGCTCCAGGCATTGGCATCATTCCAGGGGGGAAGTTAGGGTTCATGCCGCGGTTGGGAGTGGGAATTCCGGGTGGGGGACCCATAGGTCCATTTGCTTGTTGAGGGGGTGGTTGACCGGTCCATCCGGGAGGTGGCAGGTGCTCCAGACCTGGAGGCCTTTGAAGGATCGGGGGCTGCTGATTCGGACCCTGGGGGTGTCGAGACCCTCCAGGAGTCATAGGGCCCTGGTTGCCTTGTGGGAAATGCCCATCATCGAAGTATCCCATAGGAGGTCCATTGGGCGCTCGGCGTCGGAGTTGCTCACTATCTGGCCGCTGCATATTGGCAATTGCTGGATCATCCAGGAAGGTTGGTGTCTTCTGGGCAGTCAATCCCGGCGGAGGGCGGCTCATCATCTCTGGCACCAGACCAGGAGGCGGGCCGGCGGATGGGGGACCAATCCGAACTTGTTGCATCAGACGGAGTAGGTTTTCCCTGTCACGAGACTGGTGTTCTTTACCAGCAAACTGGGCCACAGGATTCTCCTGTGGAGGGCTGGCAAATTCGTGACGTGAAAGCGCCGGAGATGACATGTTCATGGGGCCACGTGTCTGCTCCCCGGGCATCATTGACATAGATCGCGATTGATGCGATGAATCTACCTGATTGGGGGTGCTATTGTTAGATCGGCCACCGCCACCACCAAGCATTTGGAGAATTCGCTGGAAACCCTCTTGGTCAGCGTCGCTGTGGGAACTGACTGGGGTACCTCCGGACTGAGTCTGGGGGAAAGGCTGCGGCTCGGGGCCCCTGGAAGGACTGTCGGGTGGAGGACTGAACAATCCAGCAAACCGAGATGACTTCCCAAGCTTCCCACTAGGGATCCCTAGTTCCTTGATTGGGGCCGGTTCAACAGGAGCTGGCGGGCTAACTTCTTGGGGTGCAGGCTTGGGATCGCCTAGCATGCCAAAGAATCGGTCCATCGAGTTATCATCCATGAATTGGGGACCTGACTGGCTGAAGATCTCTCCGTCGGTGCGGCGAGTCTCCGGTTGTTGGGGAGTATCAGATTCGACGGGTGCTTCTCTCTTCTCTTCGTAGTTGGAGGGCTTTTGCGCAGCACCACCAGAGCCAGCCTTCATGGCCACTTTCCAACGCTCAAACTCTTCCTGTGTGTGTGCCCGTCGAGGTTCATCTCGGTCATTGCTGTCCAACCATTCCGGCTCCTGCTCCATCTTGCCTCCTCGGTTCCAGTCGCGATCCGCACCGTGTCGATCACGACGCCATTCTCGGTTGCGAAGCGCCATTTTATCATCATCAACTTCAGTACCATCATGAGCATGCTCGTCGCGGAACCAGCTTCCATCATATTTGGTCCGTCCCGGGGTGCCGTCCTTCTTCAAGAAGCGGGGGTCTCTGTTTGGAGTTCCCCGTTCAACATTGGGGTCTCGTGCACTCTCTCGGTTTTCCCATCGATCAAATTCTCCATTTCGGCGTGGCTTGCGATCTTGTTCTTCGGGGCCGAAGGTGCGACGTGGGCGTCCAGCATTCCAGTCCTCCTTGTCCCCGCGCCGGCCATTTAGACCCGGCTTCACATCGCGCCGGTCCAGATCTTTCTCTGGGACATCCTTCTCTTTCGAGAATCGATCTCGGAAATTGAATCGATCGTTCTTCTCGTCTGTCTCAGCTGGTCGTGCGGACCGCTCTGTCAGGTCGAATGATCCTTTACCACCGATGCGCGATGATGCAAAGGCGGTTTTAGGGGGGCCGAGAATGATGTCTTCTATATAAATTAAATGCTTGATTAGTGGCTAGCTCAATGGATGGAAAGCATGCAATGGAGAGTACCAGTGGGCACAAGCGCACCTGAAGTGGAGCCTCGGGCGATATGACGAGGTTCAAAGAAGCTCGGTCGTCGGTTAGTGGTTGTAGGTGTTTCGTTTGGGTTATTAGGATCGCGAGTGTTCTGTTGTTTGCGCTGCGTGGTAGGATCCGGTTGAGGCCTGGACGAAGAGCATGGATTAGTGATGTGAACGGTGCGGGATGTTCCCCAAAGTGGGGAGGTTGAGTAGACTCACATCCATTCTTCGATGGGAGGTAAACCGGGAGGTTTTGTGGCAAGGGGTGAGTTGCGCAGCCATAGAAGCTCATCGAGCTCGTACCGTCGCGCCATGACGGCCCTATCTCGAGCGGTGTGTGCGATCGTATTCCACGGAATTTATGAACGTTTCATTAGGCGAGCCGGAGGTCAGAAGGGTGAATAAGCGATATCAATCGTTGGATAGATTTCAGTGACAGTCGGGAGTAGGAACGTAATAGAAAAGGATTTTCGTGTGATGGGGGGAGGGTGGTTCGTCGGTAAATGAGGTTGAGTGAGGAGAAAGATGTAAGCCACTTGTGGCAAGGCCTCAGGGCGGAGCCGGGATCGGTAAGGATCTTTGTGATCCACCAGGACTTCAAAAACAGGGTTTGGAAGATGAATAGAGGATAGCCTGGAAGGAAAATGTAAAGTGATAAAGCTAGAAGCAAGAGAAATGTCGAAACAAGGGAAGATTGAATGGGTTTTCACGGAAAAGGGAGGCACAATGTCAATGCGGGCGCTGTCCAGCTGATCTATAACCATAAATTTTGTCCTTCGGTTTTTTGTTTCTTTGATTTATCCAATTCACTTGGGTATGAATTGAATGTTGTTATCATCATTTTGTATTAATGAGGTCCTATTATTCCGTATTTCCAGGCAAGTAGTACAGTTTTCAGCCTAAAGCTGCCAGATTGCCCAAGTAACGCCATTCACATTGAAATGTTGGCAGGTTATATTCACAATGTCTTCGTTCAATATTCCACCAATATTCCACTTGAAGATAAAGTGCCATGCGTAGTTTTTATGAGAATAAATCTCTAGCACTGAAGACTATACACCATATAGATGGTCAAGTGGTGACTAACTATGGGGATGCTATGTTTAGCCATATATTATTAGTCATACTACTTCTAACAATCACCTGTATACTGTACTGTGTTGATATTATCATCAATTACATCTCACTCATCAAAGATACAAAGCAGCTTATCATCAATTTAGTCCTAAATCATCCTTTAAAACGTTTTAAGGTTGGAAGAATGAGCGGAGTCTAATCAACCAATCAGCGGTCGTAAAATCTCGATGGTATCGGAACTTCGCATCCAACGAAAGGAAAAAATAACACTCCTACACTCCCAATCATGGCTAACGTCACGGAGCATCCCATTCGGGTGAAGAGGAGAAAGCTTGATGACAAACCTCATGGGAATCAGGAAGCATCATTCACATCGCCAGCTCAACTTCGTGAAGTGCTGAGTTTTAAACAGAATCCCCAGCTGGCCAATAAAGGTGAGTCGAGACCCTCTAACGGTCCTGCAGGTATCCAGACTGATCAAAACCATAGGAATCATCCAATTTAAACAGTTTCTACTGTCAATTGGTCAGGCAAGCGAGAGTGACAAGGCCGAGAAGCTGCGCGTTTTGAAAGGCTACTGCGATAAGCAATTCACTCCCGCTAAAGAAGAAGGTGCCGAGGCGATCTGTTTCTCGGATATCACTCAGACCTGGAACTTTGGAGAAGGCAGCAATCATGATCATTTGCTAACCAATGTCCCTTCGGTGCTTGCCATCTTTCTAAAAACCATCTCGGGGAACCTGGAGTTCCGAGATTTCGGCCTCGCGTTATGCAAGCACCTGCTACAAAAGGACCAACTGAGGCTCTTCAACCGTGGCCTGACTGCTTTCAAGTCAAAGGAGCATCTGATCTCACCATGCCTTCGTCTGCTGACTGAGATCGTTACTTTCGATGGCGGTGCTGTGGCGCGGCAACTGTATCTTCGTCGCCACATCACTTTCAAGCGTCTCGAAATGTTCTTGACCCCAAGCAAGGCACAGATGGAGACCGGAGAAGACGAATCGCAGAAGTCGACACTTCGACGAAACGCTCAGCGATACCTACTAGCCAATTTGAGGGTGCAGCAGCATCTAGAAAAGGGTGATATTATCGAGCAGCACAAACTCACCCGGGCTTTCCTCGATTATCTTCGCAAGGACCCGCGGGAGACAGTCTTGGAAACCATCAAGTCAATTGAGAGGGATATTGTGCAAGATGCTTCTCTATCCCGCAAGTCGAAGAGCAAGTTCTTCAACCGGTGGAACATGGAAAAACTGGTCACCCTATACGGCTACGATCGAGAATCAGACGAGCCCAACCCCGAAGGAATCTCCATTGCGAACGAGATCCATCGCATTTTGCTGACTGTCTGCAAGACTGCTGGCCTGGGTGTCCTGCTTCCCGAAAACGGATGGTATCCAGTTGGAACCGACCCAGAGTCTTTGATTGAGGATGAAACCTCTATTGAACTGGGCCTCGATTCCCCCATATACGTTGACAAGTACCGAGACCTAGTTCCGGTTCGAAACAACACGCTGTCGCATCTTATTCAATGTCTTCGCCCCGATGCAGACAGTCTACAGATTGAGTTGCTGGTGACGATTTTCAAGGTTGCACCAGAGTTGATCGCCGACTTCTTCACCAAGAAAGTCATGTTCACATCGGACCCTAAAGCAACTCCTTCCTGGATGGCAGAATCGGCCCTCCTTTTCTCGATTGTTCAGTTGCCAGTTCCCACAAACTGCGGCTGGAAGGACAAGCAGCCCATGCTGCCCCCACCAGTTTCGATTGTTGCAGAAAACATTCTTCCTCGTCCTCTGAGCCAGAAGATCATGACACGTTGCTTGAATCAAAATGCAGAGATTGTCACTTTATTCGCCGTGCGCATGTTGACCTTATCATTCACAAAATTGCGGGCTGTCCTGAAAATCTTCCGGGCCGATCATGGCCGAGCACAGTTGTTCTGGAATCAAGCGTCTTCCAAGCTGCTGGCTGAGTTCTCGCGCAGATGTCCTGCCGTCAAAGATGTTGTCCTTCTTTTCCGACGAACGGCCAAGGAGGATTTGCAACAGCAAGAAGCTGTCGCAGAACTACTTACTTGCTACTATGAAGTAATGCCCGATATCGCTCTAGAGGAGAACTTCGATGTTTCATTGGTTTTGGTCGATGTGTTAAAACGGTTGGAAGAATCGGATCTCAGCGCAGATGATTCAGAGCTACTTTTGAGCCAGTTGCAGAGCGTTCTTCAGATCGCTCAACAGTCCGCCTCACTGCGTTGGTGGCAAAAGCCAGGTAAGTAATGACACCTGAAATATTTTTCACTTCAATTGCTAACCTTACATCAGCTTCTATGAACTATACTCCATTTACATCCATTCTCAAGGTTCTTATCGACACCTCCGACAAGGTCTCTTCCAGGCGAATTTCTATTCTTCTCAGAAGTATCCTGGTGGAGAACTCTGTTCTGCACAATGCTCCTAAGGCGTTCAATGCCCTGCTTTCTAGTCTTGAAGACTCGGAAAACGAGCTGCCCAAGCAATTAGTCTTCTTTGACAACTGCGTGTCCCGAGTGGCCAAGAAGCCCGTACACTACCTAGACCTCGTCGGATCTCTGGCCGATGATGAAACTGCCACAAGCCCCATTGTCGCGGCCATTATGGAACAGTGGCCCTTTGTTGTCAAGGCTGGTGATGAGACCACGGAAGCGGCCGTTGCATCTTGGATTGCCAAATTTTTGGGTCAATTGAAAAAGGAGGGTGAGAGCAGCAAGACGTTGAAGGCTGCCCGTGATTCACTGGTCGAGGCTACAGAAAATAAGAAGATCCGTTCTCTTTTCAAGAAATGTCTTAAGGGAACAGAAGATGCGGACGACGAGGACAAAATGGACATTGACTCCACCCCTGCCCAGTCCACCGGAGCCAACAAGGCTTCCACGGTGGATCTTGATGAAATCTTTGGTTTCCTTCCCACCGACGGTACAAGTCACAACGCATTGCATAGATGGGAGAGAGAGGAAATTGAGGTAGCCATTGAACAAGGCCATATTGATGAGCTGATTCTCTGTCTTTGCTCCGAGCACGAAGAGGTCCGAAGACAAGCTGTGGCTAACCTTGTTCGTTTCATGGCCAAGCTAAAGGTATGCCCACACACCATTCATCAGCATTGTATATTCAACTAACATCCCCAGGAATCCAATTACGCTGAATGGCGCACTGTGTACACTTTGATCGGAGAATTACTCGAAACCGCAAGCAGCCTTGGCTTCGACCAACCGATTCCCTGGATCATCGGCGAGTGCGCCTCAAGCTGTCTTTCTGTTCTCCTCAGCCCCCTACACAAAGTCTACGGAAAGGTCAACAAATTCCTGCAAAAGGCTCCATCTTGGGAAGTGGAAAAGATCCCATCCTATTGGATCGACCGTATCTTCCTGCACGAGCCCGAATTGGACGATGGCTACTTTGAAGAGATTGACTGGTTGCTCGGCCTTTTCGTCAAGGGTCTCCGCAGCAAAGCCGTACGTTATCATCCTGTCTGCCATCTTACAAGTCCAAAACTTACCCTTTCATCTAGGACATGGAGATCTACCGCCGCGCGAACGTCTTCGAGCGTATCCTTTCTCTGTACCAGTCGCCAAGTCTGAATGACTCAGCCCGCCGAAAGATCTTGCACATTATCTACCGTGCCGCACAGGTGGGCGGTAGCTCTACACTGATTACCCGTTCGGCTGTCATAAGCTGGATTCAAGTGCAGACTGCAGAGCTTGAGCCCTCTGGTAAAGATGCTGCTCTCCTTGCAGCTCTTGCACGCGCGCTGTATGAGACCTCGGACCGCGAGCGGATCGACACATGGAGCGCCGGTACTGTTGAGCGCGCCTTGAAAGAGATTGAAACCGCAGCGTAGTTGGAGGCTGTGCATGTACCATACAGAATTTCATTCAAAATTAGACTCGGCTTTTTTGGGCTTGCCGTAATTGAAAAACTTCCTTTGGGTTATATTCCAACACAATAACTAGATACACAAGGATGGGAAAACTTCCATCCATCGATGAAGAAACTCTGAGATCAACCCCAGGTTCCACCACCACCTCCTCTTCCTCCACGGCGCTGGGCGGAAAGACGCCAGTCATCTTCGCCAGCGAAGCGGTTATGCAGAGGCTGGATACGCTCAGCCTTTTTGCGCTTAGACAAACGGTCTGTAGGTGCAACCTTGAAGAACGTGGGCGCAGCCTCAACAAGCCACTTCGGCTCGATAGACGTAGTGTAATGCATATACTCCTTAGTCGTGAGAACCAGCTCGTGATAGATAACGTGCTCGGAGCCTTTGCCAAACAACGCAGAAGACGGATGAAGATACACAGGCGTACCCTGGACGAGCGTCTTATAACCACCTTCCGCCTGGTCTTTACGGGCAGCATTGCGGAAGAACCCAGTGCAGAGTGCTTGTCGTACTTTTGTGGTGTCTCGGCCACAGGAAACGATCTTGTGCTTATGTCTTTGCATGATACTCAGAAGCTGCTTGCGGACATCCTCAGCGCGGCGGATTTGTCTTGCTTGGATGAAATTCTCGAAGCACCATGAGTTATTGAAACCAGAATTCTTCCACGCGTTATAGACGTTCAATAAGGTTAGGTGGTCACCCATGGGATCATGGAATTTGGCTTTCTTCTGATCGGCCTGTTGTTGCTTTTCCTTGGGGCGGTAGAATGGGCTTTGGATGGACAACATTGCCACGATTGATAGCACTTCGTCAGAGCAACCCATGTTCACAGATGCGATGAGCACCTTCGCTAAAGCTGGCATCATGGGGAAGTCGGCCATCTTTCGACCTAGGCGAGTAAGAAGACCTTCGTCATCTAATGCGGACAGAGCATATAATTCTTCCAGGGCAGTAAGCATAGTGTTGGTGGGTGGCGGGTCCATAAAATCGAAGTGGAGGAGGTCATTAATGCCCATCGCCTTCAACATGAGAATCGTGTTTGAAATGTTCTGTCTTTGGATCGCGGGAATAGTTGTTGGTAGCATTTCCGATTGATAGGCTGCCTCGGTATATAGCCGGAAACACTTTCCTGGGCCTGTTCGTCCAGCACGACCAGCACGCTGTTTAGCCTGGGCTTGCGAGATGGGTGTCACTACAAGGGAGTCCATTCCGAGTTTCGGATCGTAGGCATTCTGCTTGGCAAAACCAGGGTCAATAACGTAGTAGATTTGGTCGATAGTAATTGACGTCTCGGCGATGTTGGTTGCAATGACAACTTTGCGACCTCCTGGTGGTGCGGGATCGAAGATTCGTGATTGGATCTCGCTCGGAAGGGCAGAGTAGACAGGAAGAATGACCAATTCAGGAACTGATGGCCCCAAAGCCTTCATTCTTTCGTAAAGAATTTCACAAGCCGTGTCGATTTCTTCCTGTCCTGTAAGGAAAAGAAGAATATCACCACTAGGTTCTGTCAAATGAATTTGCATGACGGTGATAAGGGACGCATCGAGGTAATCAGACTCCGGCTCCTTTGAGTACATGATCTCCACAGGATACGTTCGGCCGGGAATGGAAAAGATAGGACAGCCATTGAAATATTCAGAGAACTTTTCAGCATCCAATGTCGCTGAGGTAACAATCACGCGGAGGTCGGGTCTTCGCTTGACTGTTTTCTTCAATAATCCAAATAGAATATCCGTTGAAATCGTTCGCTCGTGGGCCTCATCCAACATAATCACGGAGTATTTCTTGAGATCCGGATCGACCAAAATTTCTCGCTGAAGCATACCATCGGTCTGGTATTTGATTATGGTCTCCGGGCTTGTCATATCTTCGAAACGAATTGTATAGCCGACCTCAGCTCCCAAACGACAACCAACTTCCTCGGCGACACGCTTAGCCACAGACATAGCAGCAACACGACGTGGTTGGGTGCAGCCGATGATACCCTTATTCCCGTATCCAGCCTCGGCCAGGTACTGCGTCAACTGCGTGGTCTTTCCTGAGCCAGTGTCACCAACGACAACCATGATTTGGTTATCCGCCACAGCATCAAGTAAAGCTTTGCGGAACTTGAAAACTGGCAGAGTTTCACGCTGCTGTTTAATAGGCATGTCGGTTCGTTTACCAAATGACTGGTTCTTGCCTTCCGTACCCATTGTGACTCGTTTCCATTCTGGTACTGATTCGTCCTTCGCCTTGCTACGCAGCTCTGAGGCGAATTGTCGGTCCTCCGGAGCCACCATAGGGTCTTGCCATTGCGCATTTAGATCAACGTCGGCTGCCCGTTCAGATGCCTTGTCTTGGGCCTCTTGCTGTTTCAATTCGCGCCTTTCTTTAGCGAGGTTTGTGCCAGACATTGCTGCTCGGTTCATCGACCCATCAGGAGCTTTAACAACACGGATAGGAGAAAGCTCCAGTGACTGCTTAGTCTGACCAGCCAAAAATGGAGGCTCATCCTCCTTGACTTCAATGTCGACATCCTCCTCTTCCTCAAATGTGCCTTCTCCGGTAAGAGTAGCATGATATTCGTCCTCCAGATCAGGGTAGTCTGCTGCGGAAGCCACACCGGAGGCAATCAGCTGACGGATCTCCCATCTCTCTGGTGAGGTCATGCGTTTCCGATTCCGCATCGGCCGGCCGTTCGATTCATCTTCGATAACAGGCACATCCGAACTGAGGCCACCATATCGATCATCCGGGCCTCCTCCATCAAGCCGTTGCATGTTCGCACCTGAGGCCAGCCTTTTTTGAGGAATAAGATCCATTCCAGTGGATTGGTCGACCTCCTTCATTGAAAGACCAATGCGCGAGCCTTGTATACTGACAACTTTGACCTTGACAGGCTGTCCACGAGACACAAGGTCGGACGGGTGGTTTACGCGCACACCCTCTTGCATAGCCGAGACATGAACAAGCCCATCCACCTTCCCTTTCACTCCCTGTAGGTTGACAAAGGCGCCAAAATCCTTCACACCGGTCACAGTTCCATCATAAATTTTGTAAAGTTGAGGTTGGTCGTCCAGCTCGACGGGTGGCCGGAAATCATCGTCGTCGCGGTCTCGTCGTCTTCGGCGTTCGCTTTTTCCGCTGCGGTGGCCGTCTTCACGGTCTTTGTATCTGCCAATCGACCTTCCAAACTCATCCACAAGGTCGTCGTTTTTGCTGCGCCCCTGCGATCGGGACCTCGAGCGATATTTGTCTCTGTCTCGGCGTCCGCGCCTGTCCTCATACTCGGGGCTGCGGCTCCGTTTGTGAGCGCGATGCTCCCTGTCTCTCGACGTTTGCGGTTTGCCATCCTTTGCCTTTCCAGCCAATCCCTCCAGCATGGCGAATGTATCATCCATCGCACCATCTTGTGATTCGTCGGGTGCATCATGGTAGTCGTTGTCCACCCAGCGGTTTTCGGTGTCGGGAACAGCAAGGCCCTTAAACACGCGCGCTTTCTTCTCTAAAGCATCAAACTCGTCCAAGCCATTATCGATATCACCATTTTGCGCGTCACCATTGGCAGCTTTCTTTGCCTTGTACTTCGGGTGCATGGTAAGAACCAAGCGATCGATACTCTCCATCAGACTCTGTGGGAATTCGGCACCCATGTCAACTAGCCCCTGTTTAAACTCTGAAAATACGCCATTGCATTTGAGGTGTTGGTCGATGACGAATTCGGCGAGGGTTTTGTCGTTGATGCCCAGGTGGTTCTGGAGCTCATTTGTCACTCGCGACACGAGCGAGAGCAGCTCCAGCGACTCCAGGTCATCCATGGCGGTGGGGCCGAGAGATTGAAAGGACGGAGACTACCAAGGGTGAAAATCAAATGCCAGTGAAAAGCGAAGGTCTGGAGCTCGGAATGCAATGTTGCTTGCTCTGAGGTTCAACTCCAGATCAAGTGTAAGGCGGAAGGAAAATCAGTCCGCCCGAATAATCGCCACTGATAACGATACGATAAGCTGATAAGAAGTATGCAATGTTATCTTGGAAGAGCCATTGGAAAGTGAGGGATGAGACCTTTCGGATCTTTTAATTATGTCTATGTAACATATATAAATAGTCGGAAGAGAGAGACATCGGGAAAAGCCGTAGAAAATCACAGGGGGAATGCTGTAGTGTGTATTCATATACATCCATTTCGATGTTGTCCGGAAATGATGAGTTGGATTTAATTTAATTCACATTTTATATACAAATTTCATACAGGCACTTGCTGTTATTACAGTGAGCATGTACATATATTACATTCGAGGACTCTGTTCCTCCTCAAAGTCTTCAGTGTCCTCCAAACCTCCCATGGGTTCCACTGGGTCAGAATCCTCATCTGAAAATCCATCCGAAAATTCATGCACTTTCTCATCTGGAGAGACCAAGTCCTCATCATCGATAAGGCTTTTCTGGCTCATGATCTGCTTTTGCAATTCAACCTGGCGCCTCAAAGAAGCATTATTGCGCAAGCGTTTGTTGGCGGAGAACTCGGTCAACGCTCGCATCAGCCTCTCCTCGGTAAGCGTCTTGATGTGTGCCGCGAGACTTCGATCCGTGAATACACCGCCAAATCGGAAGCTCAGCCATGAATAAAGAATAATGGCCTTGTGAAGCCCTTCCAGCTCAGACATGTAGTCCTTATTTCCAGAAACGGGCCTTTCTAGTATTTCCAGATTGAGATAGGGAATGTCCAGCAATCGCCCTTGAGAATTACTAGCAATGCATTCGGCAAATTGCAAGGTCACGTCACGTAATGCCTGGTTTCTGGTTTCCAAAGGCGCGGCAGTGAGGAAAAGCTTATCCAGAAGTCCCAACCCATCCACGGCATCAACGACCTGGCAAGCTTCAATTTGGCTAGTCGAGTTGCACATGAAGAAAAGGCGGTTCATCTGGGCGATATCGAGCATTCGTTTGATCAGGTACTCAAAGGGTACATTTCTTGGGAAGTAAGATGAAAATTTCTCGACGACAAACCCTGGCGGCATTAAACCAGCGGCTGTGAGTGGCGGGGGCTCAGTTTGCATAGCTTCTTGGATGTATGGAAGGTCGACGTCTTCGAGACACGTAACGAGACCGATGTTGGTTCCGTCTTGACTACTATCCGTGGCACCAGCAGGGCGGTATCGACCGGCGCGTCCACCAATCTGCTTTATTTCCGGAACGGTTAGTTGTACCAAACCGGCCGGGGTCCGTTTAATCAGAGTCTCGAAGATGACACGCTTGCAGGCCCTAGGCTTGGGTCAGTCAAAGCCCACGGGCTATTTCGATTAACAATACTCACAAATTCAACCCCATGCCAATCGCGTCACTCGCTACTAGATAATCATAGTCATTATCTGGATCATTGAACAGTGCTGCCTGCTGGGTTCGAATGGGAGCTGGTAGACCGCCATAGACAATCGCAGCTCGTTTTCCAGTGATTTTTTCAATATCTGCCTTCAAGGCGTGAATTCCAACACGAGAGAAAGCAACCAGACAATCGCCCTTTTGAAGAAGCTTGAGGTTGCCACGAAGACTATGTGGCATCACTTCCAGACCGTTGAGCCTCTGATAACGATGAATCTCCAGGATGTCTCCAGTGAGAGCACATAACTCGCGAATCAGCGGTACCGTGCGCGTTTCGCCGCAAAGATGTAGCTCTGACGCCTGACACCCAAGCACAGCTCGAGTCCACGCCCAGCCTCGGTTGGGATCGGCAATCATCTGAATTTCATCAATCACTCCAACGTCGAAAGCCTGTCCCAAGCTAACCATCTCCACAGTATTACTCACAACCCGCGGTGATTTGCCATCCTCGGGAGTTTGAACTTCGTCTCCTGTGACAAGACTACACGGTATACCATTATCCTTGAAGCGATGATATACCTCCTGTGCAAGTAGTCTTAGAGGTCCTGCATAAAACCCAGCCTTAGCTTGCTCCAACCTTTTCAGCGCATGGTATGTTTTCCCCGAATTCGTAGGGCCGACATGCAAATGGATTTTCCGTTGGATTGATCGTGCACTGGGATACCATTCGGCGGGAAAGCGAAGGTCGACCACTTTCCGTTGCGCTTCAAGATTGGAAGTCGAGTACTTGTTCGTCAAATCCTCTGCAAAAAGCATATATTCTAACTCATCCCGTACACCCTGAACGCCTTTGGACAGATATGCCTTTTGCAAAAGACCTTTGAGCTCTCGTAACGGAGTCCATTTCACCGATAGCCCTTTCTTTTCATCCACACGGCAGGCATTCAACACCTGACGCTCAAGCCGTTCCCATCCGTCCAATGATTGCGCTGTTGTGCGAAGTCTTTGTTTGGTATCGCGCAATGCAGTTTCAATGACACTATTGAAATCGCGTGCACGGGCGAGACTTTTTTGAGCATCCTTGGAGTTCTTGCCTTTCCTTCCACCTTTGTTGGCTTCCAGGGCCGTAGCTTGCTGCTTGAGTTTCGCTTTCAAGACAGCTTTACTCATTCGTTGTAAAGGGGAAGTCGTTGTAAAATGTCGCTCATTGTGTGAAGAAAGCGAGCGAAACGCGCAAAAGAGCGAACGACTGCCTCCGCCGGTCCATGACTGCATTCCTGGATGCGCGGGATTCCGGCAGAACAGGGAGGGGGAGGGGAGGATTCGGCGGGATAGAGAGGCGGAAGTTCAATGTAGACGTATAGAATGTTCGAACGCGAGGAAAAGGAGTGCTTCTAGATTTCGGTGGTTTCTATCACAGGAAGAAAAAAGATGTTGCTTATCGGGGATGCATTCCCTGGCGCGCCACCCGAAAGATCCACTTCCCTGTCGAAGCTCAAATGGTGGGGAACCACTTCCCCTTCATATACCTCATACGAAGCCACCTAACTCTTCTGGTGCTCCTATTTCTCCGGCCTTTACTTCCTTACACTCTTCAACTTTCCCACAATTGATACACCTCCTTTGAGATCCACCTTTCTATCTACGAACAGCTGCAGCTCCCAATCTGTGGCCCGCCAAACATGGGCGCTTCTATAATCGAGATCCAGCGCGACAGTAAGTCTCCTGGTGGGTACGATGGGCAACCCTTTGGCTAACCAAATCCCTCTTGATAGTCATTTTAAGCACGATCCGCCAAACTGTCGGCCACGAAGTACGTTATTACCTCGCCTCCCGCTGCCACAGACATTAACAACCTTGCTCTCGCTCAGTGGAAAGTCCTGGTAGTCGATGAACAGAGCCGGAAATTGATCAATGCCGCTGTCAAAGAGGAAGAGATCCTCAACCTGAACGTCTCCAGTTAGCCCATCCTTACGCCTCAGTTCCCTGGAAGTGACTTGCTAAAAAAAAATCACCACCCCGCAGATGTCGAGCAAATTGAGCACCGACGACCGAACAACCCGGACATGGACGCCCTTTACATACTGTCCCCGGAATCATGGATCGTGGATTGTCTCATGGCTGACTTCGAGGTCAAACGGTATCGGAGGGCGTTCCTGGTTTGGACCTCTTGTCAGTCGGCGGCAGCACCGGAAGCTCAAAGAAGCCTGGCTAATAGGTGTCTACAGTCCTCGACCCGCAGCTACGACAGCGACTTGACCGATCTGACATGGCACGTGAACGGACCGCAGACTTTCGAATCATGAATATCAGTTTCTACCCCCGAGAGTCACAGTTGGTCACCTTCCGCGACCCGTACAGCTTCCCGATTCTGTTCCATCCAGGCTGCAACAATTTGATCCGCAACCACCTTCAAGAGCTAGCGCAAAAGGTAGACTTACACTGCTTGATATTTAGATTGCAGCCTGAATGCTGACAATATGCCTGTGTCTAAGATCGTCTCACTCTGCGCTTGCTTAGGCGAATATCCAGTCATCCGCTATTACAAACCGAGAACCCCCACCCACGAAGCTGCTGTTCTTGCCTCACATTTGGCACGGTTTGTTCAGACTGAATTGGATCAGTTCGCGCAGCATCAACGCGATTTCCCGCCACAGACCAACCGACCTCGGGGTGTTTTACTCATAGTGGATCGATCCATGGACACATATAGTCCTCTTCTCCATGAATTTACCTTCCAAGCTATGGCTCATGATCTTCTCCCAATCAAGGACGGAGATAAAGTCACCTACAAAATGGTGCTCCACGAAGGTAAACCCAATGAAGAGGAGAAGGAGATGGAGATTGGAGAACATGATAAAGTGTGGGTGTCGTATAGACACATGCACATGAAGGATCTGCTTGGGAAGCTGGGAGAGGATTTTGCCAAGTTCAGAGCTGCCAACCCTCAGTTTGCTGAAGAGTGAGTGTTTCAAAGTGATAAATGGCTTGTTGCCCATGTTCGGTTAAGCTGACATCCAACTTTCACAGTCTTGAAAAAACGAATGTGAACACGATCAAGGATATGCTGGGAGGACTGACTGAATTCACAGAGGGCAAGGATGCATACACCTTACATCTTAACATGGCAGAGGAGTGCATGAAATACTTCCAAGAACACAAACTCCTGGAAGTGAGCTCCATCGAGCAATCGTTTGCTACCGGTCTCGATGAGAACTACAAGAAAGCCAAGAACTTGGCAGCACAACTTGTTCAGTTACTTGACGATGACCAGGTCATCCATTCTGACCGACTCCGCTTACTGCTGTTGTACATCATGTATCGTAACGGGTTGCTAGGGGGGGATATTCGAAAACTCATGGCGCACTCCGAACTACCGGGACGCAACGGGGAAGTTATTGCCAACCTTGGGCTCTTGGGTGTCCGAGTGGAAAAGCCTTTGAAAGACGATACACCTCCACCACAACCTTTATTCAACCGCTGCGCGCCACCGCAGAATGGAGAAGAGATCAGCCTGTCGCGGTACGAGCTGGCAGTCAAGCAGATGCTTGAGGAGCAAATCCGAGGTTCACTGGACACTACCACCTTTCCATTCACCCGACCCCATACCGATACTGACGGTAGCATGGCCGCACAGGACATGCTATCGCAACAAACCTCTCTGCGCAGTGCCAAACCCACCTGGGCCCGCACAAGGAGTGTTGACCAGCCCCGCCAGCGTATCATTGTCTTCATGGCTGGTGGTGCCACATATTCCGAGTCCCGCGCCTGCTACGAGATCTCCCAGGCCCACAACCGAGACGTCTTCCTTGCTACGACACACATGCTCACCCCGGGCCTGTTTATGCGCCAAGTGGGCGATCTCAGCATGGACAGACGTCAGCTAAACATCCCTGCTGAGCGGCCGAAGCCTACTGCACCCGCTCACCTCTTCGAGCGTGAATCACCGCCCGCGCCAGCAGCGCAACCTCAAAAGAAAAAGCCGGTTGCCAGTGCGAATGCGCCCACGGCGCAGATGGCAAACATGTCATTGAACGGGTCAAACGGAACACCGCCGCCCTCGTCCAGTGGTAAAATGCACAAGAAAGAAAAGGAGAAGAAGGACAAAAAATACCGATTCTTCTAGATACCAGCTTTAATCCGATGGTCTGCCTTTCCTTCTGTCGCCTCTCTATGCGTTGCAATGTGTTTCCATTCAAGCGCTGTTGTGATACCATCTTTTTGTTGTCCTATTTTGGTTGTCGAATCCTAGATCCCAAGCATATGTACGAGGCGCTTCTATTGACAGCAGGGAATTTATTTCGTGGGCTTCGTTCCCTCGGTCATGGGATTTACTGTACGTGGGTTCTTGCGAATGTATGTTGAAGAGAAGGAATCATAGTACCCCATACTTGCTGTACATTGGAGGCAAGCTTTACATGTAGAATCTATTTGTTCTGTCATTGAGATTTCCAATTTCATATAGGGTATCATAATCATAAACATGCTAATGACCAAAATAAACCGTCAAATCAACCTTAACCCAGGCGCCATGCATATTGTAGAAATCAAAGCACGATGTAAGTTCTAAGCACTCTCCCCGAGGTACTTCAAAACCTCATCACTCTGAAAGAATAAATTCCGCATCTTCTCCCCTTTCCTCTTCGCTTCAGCCTCCTTCTTCCTCACCTCCTTCGCATTCAACTTGACAATCTTATTCTTCACCGGCGCAGGAACCTTTAACGGATCCCCATCTTTATCAAGCCCCGACCCTAATCCCGCTTTGTCATGCTTGATTCGACCCTTCAGTGGCTCCCGGATACCTTCGCGCCCCGCTGCACCGAGACCGAGTCTGCTATCTGGATCCCAGCCGTAGGTTGACAGATAGCGCATTCCTGCACGGGTGCGGTCGAGGTGGCTGGGTGGGTGGGAATGTTTGAGACAGACTTGGTGGGCTAGAGAGGCTTCGTGGGGACGGGAAGATGTTGCTTGTGATTGCGATTGCTGTGGGTCTGAGAGGGGTAGATTGCATACGTCGCAATATTGCTCGGGTGCTTTGGCTTGAGGCTCGGTAGTATCGGTGAAGGCTGGAGGTGTATGGATAGCCTTAGGTGTTGGCGGGGCGGAATGAGTAGTTCTGGGTGGCGGTATTGGGTTCTCGGATGAGTCTGTATGAGTAGGTGTGGATGGAGATGTGAATGATTTATTTCCCTGCTTCAGTACGATTGAGAGGTATGCATTTGCGATATTGGTGCCAGACTTGGATGAGGCTGCCGTAGTATTCAACTCTCCCGAGCGCACGAAGGGTACTCTTTTGCGCCGGATCCCAGCGCCAAAAACACGCTGATCTTCTAGCGGAAGATAGTAGTCTTCGTCATCATAGTCTGTGGACATGATGTACTCCCTACTGCGGGGAGTATGTAAATGGTTGGAAGGAAGAAATTCCAAGAATAGAATATTCTGGCGATAAGAAGCCTAGTGATAAGGATAACATATCGATAAGGTAACATACGTACACGCTTCCTCAGCTTGACCAGTTTTCTTTCCCCTTACACTTTCGCTCAATTCCCTCCCTCCCAGCATGCCTATCCCAATTCTTATCCAGGGAGCCCAGCTGGGCATTTCATCTATTCCATTTGCATGGCCAATTATAAAAATCACACCATGGATCATCCTATTCGCCGCGTTGAAAATGTACTTCGGCGGAGCCCGCAACACCTCGGAGCGACTAATGCATTCTAAAAGGGTCATGGTGACGGTAATTTCCCCTGCCAAACTTCCCTATCCTTATTGAACATTATCCTAATTACATCTTCGCGGCAGGGCGGAACATCCGGTATAGGCGCCGAAGTTGTCAAAGGGCTCGCAACCCGCGGAGCCCAAGTCATCATCCTCACTCGCCAACCACCGTCCGACCTATTCATCGTCGAATTTATCGACGACCTTCGCAAAAGTACAGGAAATCAGAATATCTGGGCCGAGCAAGTCGATCTCGCATCCCTGCATTCCGTCCGCACGTTCGCTACACAGTGGATCGATAATACCGAGCCCCGTCGTCTAGATGCTGTTATCCTGTGCGGTGGCCTTGCTGTGCCCGCTTCCGCGAAGAAGAGTACCATTGACGGAATTGACGAGGAGTGGCAGGTGAACTACCTTGCCAATTTCCATCTCCTGAGTATCCTGAGTCCGGCATTGAGGGCACAGCCGGCGCACCGAGACGTGCGTGTAATTTTCACCGCGTGCTCGGGGTATATTGGGGCGAAGTTCGAATTGGAGCGTGTGAAGAGGGGCATGACAGGAAGTGTTTTATCGAAGGATGGAAAAAGGGTTTTTACTGCTGCGCCGAAGGGTATTTATGCTCTTAGCAAGTTTGCGCTTATGAACTTTGCGTTCTCTTTCCAGAGACATCTGAGTTCGTTTGCGAGACCGGATGGCTTGCCGGCTTGTACGAGGGTTCTGGTTGTGGATCCGGGTCATTCGCGGACTCCTGGGACTCGTCGTTGGTTGACTGGTGGCTCACTCTGGGGGTTGCTGCTTTACCTGATTACATGGCCATTTTGGTGTCTGATTCTCAAGTCGCCGCAGCAGGGTGCGCAGAGTATTCTGTATGCTGCTATGGAGGAGTCGTATGGACGGGGCCCTGGTGGGTGGTTCATCAAGGAGTGTCGGGAGATGGATCTTGCGCGGACGGATGTGCGGGATGAGGATGTTGGAAAGCGGCTGTGGGAGTTTAGTGAGAAGCAGATTGAGGAGGCTGAGAGGGAGAGCGCTTTGAACAGGACGAGGGAGAAGAAGGAGAAGGAGGCTGCCAAGGAAAAGGAGACTCGCAAGGAAACATCATCTGCGAAGACGCAGACTCCTGGGTCTAGACGGAACAAGAAGGCTAAATAAAAGGGAGAAAATTGGATATAGACTTGCATACATGTGGTTCCGGCTCTGTTTTAACTCGCATATAGATATAGATATAGAATAAGGAAATTTAAGAAGGCTTCTGTTCCCTTCAAATATGACAAGTCTGATCTTTCTTGCTGTGCCTTAAGGTCTAGGTTTACTTATCAAAGATCAATATAGAAAAAGGAGATTCGTTTCATGTGTTCTACTAAAGTTCTATGCTAACAAGTCGGCTTATGTCAACCATCAAAGCCTGCTAAATTAAACTATTTATTTCTTCAGCTGAGCCAGCAGCTCGGCCGGCGGCTGCTGACGGTATCCCTCAGGGTTGTTGTGAGTCCAGAGCCAGAGGTCCTCGCAAGCCTGCTCGAGAGTGTGGGTAGGGGCCCAGCCAAGCTCCTCGTGGGCACGGCTGGCATTGGCAGTCAAGTTCAAGACATCACCAGCACGACGGGGAGCGACCTCGTAAGGAAGATCTCGGCCGACAGCAGCAGAGAAAGCGCGAATCATCTCGTAAACGGTACAACCCCTGCCGGTACCCAAGTTCCAGGCGCGAACACCGGGGTTGTTGGCGCGGAGGTAGTTCAGGGCCTTCAAGTGGCCATCAGCCAGATCGAGAACGTGGATGTAGTCACGGATGGCAGTACCATCGTGAGAGGCGTAGTCATCACCAAAGACGGCAAGCTTCTCACGCTTGCCGGTGGCGACCTGGGCCAGGAGGGGCAGCAGGTTGTAGGGGACACCCTGGGGGTCCTCACCCATAATACCGGAGGGGTGAGCACCGGCGGGGTTGAAGTAGCGCAGGAGAGCGCCGTTCCACTTCTTGGCCTCAGCCTCGTTGCCGGCCTTGATGGCATTGTTGCGCTGGGCGTTGATGGTGTCGGTGATGATAGTCTCAACGGCGAACTTGGTGTTACCGTAGGGGTTGGTGGGGCCCAGAGGGCAGTTTTCGGGGATGGGAATCATGTCGGGGAAACGGGTGGCATCACCGTAGACGGTGGCGGAGCTGGAGAAGACAATGTTGTAGACATTGTGGCGGACCATAGCACGCAGGAGGTTAATGGAGCCGAAGACGTTGGTGTAGTAGTAGTCGAGGGGCTTCTCGCCAGACTCGCCGACAGCCTATAATCAGAGGATTTAGTATCATAGCTCTTGTTCATGGATCATAGATGTAACTTATGATAGATATGAGTTCTTACCTTCAAGGCAGCAAAGTGGATAACGCTGTCAATGTCGGGGTGAGCCTCGAAGACCTTGTCAAAGGCGTTCTCATCGGTAACATCGAGCTCAACGAACTCGGGCTTCTTGCCACAGATCAACTCAATGCGGTTCAGGGCCTCCACGGAGGAGTTGTACAAATTGTCAATGACAACAACTTTGTAGCCAGCCTGGAGCAGGGCCAAGGAGGTGAACGAGCCAATGTAGCCCGTGCCACTGTTAGCGCGGGGTTAGTTTTTATCGCAATTAGTGGGGGTCGATTGTCACTTACCCAGCGACAAGAACAGAACCGGTAGGCATTGTTAATTAGGGGGAAGATAGATTAGAGTTTTGATGTTTGGGATGAGGATGGGAAGAGAGAATAAGAGCAAGCTTGGAGAGCGGGCAGCTTGATTTAAGGGGAAATCCCGTCTAATTAACCGGGTGGGGATTTTACCACCCGTTCATTGTATATCGCCACGCATGCGCCTAGACCCCTGGGATGTCTTTCCATATACATCTATTCAATGTTGTTTTTTGAGCTTACGATCTCTAATCTAGTATTTATATATGTTTATCTGGTATCTCATGAAATCTTTGATGAATTCTTGATGTCTAAAAAATATAATCCCCTTTGAAGACAAACCAGGTTTTTTTCGGTTTCCAATGTAGATCCCTGCGATCGTCCATGGCGGTGGATTTGGGAGCGCCACTCAGGAACGAAACCAGTCAATTTCGAACCCGTACTTATGCGTTTGGGTCATGATAAACGACGGGAACTTAGGTTAGGATAGGCGATATGACTGCATGCGTCAAAAGACCAATTTGTCAATTTGTTTCAGTTGCAAGTGCGGGTCCAAGGTACCGAATCATATAATCCCCGCCCAAGGGTCCATTTTGCGATCCAAATGCGGGACCCGAAAATAGATTCAGGAGACACGTGGAGCCATGCACCTCTGTACTTCGTACATGCGGGTTTTTTTGCACGAAAAAAAATTATTCAATACATATAGACATCCTCGTAGAATGACAAATTTTTGGGAAATCTTCCCGGCAAAAAAGGAATAAAACAAATGGATTGGTATGAGGAGAAAGAAAAGATAAAAACACAATTGCTCCATTTCAGGGTAAATTGTGCCCTGAGATACCCTGAGAAATATTCGGGTCAAGCTAAGTGCTGGGGAGAGAGCCCCTGATGTCCTGGGTCCCCGAGGCCAGCAACCAGAGCTGTATTTTTAACAACCCATGGTGCGGTCAAAGTTCAATAGAAATCATAAATTCATTTCCACAATATATCGTGGAAGACCTGGGGTTTGAAGCCTATTCCGTCGGGAATGGCCTGTGCACGGATGGACATGATGTTCGCGGGTATGGGAGGTGCCATTATATATCGGCTAGTCGTGCATGACAGGGGGAGATGGATGATAGTGCCCCAATGAATGGACATGAAACTGCATTTAACCAAGAAGTTCCACGTCCAGACCAATGGCCCGCATGAATAGGTTGACATTTCCCAGGCGTTGGCTAGCCATGTCCGCGGGAAGAGTCTTGCTGTAGCCAACAGTTTCCATCACACGATCCCTGTAAAAATGGTCAGTATCCAGAGAAGCTCATCTCAACGTTGAGAGAATTACTCACTTGACAGCAATTACCAGACGCTGTTGTTGCTCAGGGCTGGCACCAATGCCCACAGCGGCAAGGAATTGCCATACGTACATATCGTCACCAGTGTTGATTGAACCCGGGAAGATATGTGCCAGACCGGGCTCCAACATGTCAAATAGGTCATTAAACTTGTCCACCCACTGTTGCCAATCACGCTCGGAGGCCTGACCGGCCTCCTTGACGATCTCGGCCCGACTGAGCAACATGGTCAGGATACCCAGACCAATCTTGGTGCGAGCCACCGAAATTACCTGAGTCTGGGCAATCACCAGACCCAGAAGGCCAATAATTATGTTGAAAGGTGCCTCATTCACGTAGCCCAGCAAGCTCGGCATCACAGCCAGTGAGAAGAGATCAATGGCTTCACGCACCGCGACAGGCAACTGGGCGTCACCAGGTCCTGACGGGTGTGCAAGACGCACCACGTCCAAGCTGTCCAGGTGAACCACAATCATGGTGAGGATGGTGACGCGTTGCTCTTGATCGATATGACGGAAGATACGGGGAATCGCCTTCTTGCCCTTCGGGTAGGACAGGAATGCAATGAAGGGGTGGGGGGTGGTTGCGTTGGGAACAATAGGCTCCATGACTTTAAGGGCTTGCCACAGTTTCTGGTTGAGAGACTGAACCTTTTGTCGCCATTCCATATGCTCCTGGATAGCTTCCGTGTCACCTTCCTCGGGGGGTGGTGGCATGGTGCGCTCCATGTCCTCCATCGACATCAGAGCATTGTAGACAGCCTCAATGTTGCCCAAAAGAGACTTGCGATCACTGGTGCTCAGGTCCGAGTGCAACTTCTTCGGCCGGGGTCCTTCCGAGCTGTCGGGTCGCTTAATGTTTAGCATGGGCTTCGGCGCCTTGGCGTTGCTGAAGGAAATCTTGCCCAGACTGCCTTCGATGATGAGCTGCTTGTTCTTCGGCTTGGCCTTGGCTGCCTCGACAGCACGCTGCACCTGTTGCTGCATGCGCTGCATGTGGTTATCCGCGCCCTGGAATGCCCGGCGGTTTCCATGTCCGCCAATCCGGTTACCAGTCTGCAGAAGGTATGTTTGAGCAAAGTGTCCCAGGGGCTGGTGAGGGTGCTGGCGTGGAGCACCCCGAATCTGGCTGTAAACCTGGTAGTAGAAGTCCTCGGCGAGGACAGCCTCGGGGTCGGCATCCGCCACATTGCCAGCCGCAGCCACAAGCTGCTGGAGCTGAATGCGAGTGATAAAGTTCTTGTCCTGGGGCGTCATCAAGCCATTGCCTCGGGATAGGAGGAAGATCTTGTGATTGCGCTTCGCCCTCTTAGCGTCCTCCATCAGATAGGCGTTCCGCTGTTCCTCGGTCAGATGCACCAGCTGTTGCGGGTTAGTGATCACCGGCAATCCACCGTTGGGTCCCCGAGAAGGTGGGGGTGGCATCTGCTGCTGCTGCCGCTGGCCCAGGGGTGGACCCGCATGACGAGGGCCTTGAGGTGGTAGATTTGGTGGAGGAAGGTTATTCTGCACCAAATGCTGGAGGGGTGTACCAGGCACAGGACCAGGGGCGCCATACAGTTCCTGGATACCCGGCGGGGGGTGCGACATATGCGGGGGCAGACCACCCTTTTCAAGCTGTCGAAGAATTTCCGGGGGCATGTTGGTGGGGAATCCATCAGGCAGCGTGGGGAAGTCCTGCGGGTGGCGCAGATAGGATGGATCGGGCATGTGTTGAGGCATTGACTGCGTGGGGATGGGCCCGAAAGCCTGGCCTCGGTTGCGCAGCTGGGCTTCCACCTCCTCTAAACTCATCATCTTCCGGCTAGAAGCTGGCATCGTAGGCATAGTGGGCATCGCGTACATCGGGGCTGGACTCGGTTCCGCCTTCTTCTGCGAGACACCCCACACACTGGACTTGGCCTGGAGATCAGGAATATATCCGGGATCCGAATACTTCTCGTAACCGGTGCGCTTGGTGATCGACTCGGCAACAGGCTGGGAAGCTACGTGGACATCCAGTGGGGCGGGAGGTGCGGCATGGGGGTTCTGCAAGCTGTATCGGATGTGCTCTTCGCCAATGGCATCGGCAACTTGAGCAGTCCGACCGAAGAAGTCAAAGTCCCTGCCGACACCACCACCGGCATCCCCACCGCCAAAGGTGTCATCGTTGAACTCATCCTGGTCGTCGTCGAGTCGGTCACCAAGGCCATCGTAGGTGTCCTCGAAGTCAATCCTTGATGGGTGTTAGTCTAAGTCCAAAACCCGAATTATCATCATAGCTTAGAGGATTCTCACGCGTCATCGTCTTCAAGCGCCGAAGCACGGGCAACCTCCGCGAAAGGATCCGGATTCTCGAAAAAGCCCCGCGCACCAGTATGACCAGGATCTTGGTCCCTAGGCAGGGCGGTATTGAAGCCAAAGAAAGACATCTTTGGTTCACAGGAGGGGGAAGGGGAGGGGGAAGAAGGGGAGATAAAGATGATGGTGGGGAAGATTTCCAAGATGAAGTCAAGCTGGGAAGTTCAGGGAAGTGCGGATGCCTTAGATATCAGGCTTACTGCCAAATCCATACGGCGATCAACGCACAAGTTTTAGACTTGCAAGTGGGGGATATATCAAGTAAAGATCTATCTAGTTCAATTTCAAGATAACTATGAATTGATTCTATCCTGCCATCAGTACATAACTACTAGTAGTACTGGTATGTACATATGTTTTGTAATATGTGGCTCCAATTACGAAACAATAAAAGCCACCCCGGTTTAATTTGGTTCCGCCCATTCAATGGCCATCATAGATCGACACACCCTAGAAAGTGGATTTACTTTTTTTTTTATAAGGCTGATCATTAAACTTGAACATTCAACTTAAGTATTTGTGAAGTTCAGCCGGTGAAACCTTACGCGGCTGAAAGCGGTTGTTGCCCATAACTCATTGCGCGGCCTCTCCGAATCCAGACCTTGTTAACTTCCTCCGCCCGAGGTGCCCCCTTATTCTCTCTTCTTTCTGTGATTTCCTCCAATTCTATACTTCTCTTATTCTACTATCTTGCACATGGTATCTCTTTAACGTGGGCCTTCCCTGATTTTGCTGGCCTAATCAACTCTTGTCACTCGTTTCTACAACACCATAACACTTCGCCACCATGTCTATCTCTGCGCGCTATACACGATACCTAGTGTTCGCCTTAGTGGTATGGTCTCTATGCAATTTCTTTATGGAATCCCGCAGGTCACAGAGTTGGGGACTCGTAACCAACACCAGACTAACAAACATCTAGGGATTGGCACTCTTCTACTTCGTCTCACGATCCTCCCTTGAAATCCCAACCAGTTCCTCATTTGCCCCACACCCTCCTACCTACGAAGAGGTTAAGGAGGTTAAGGAAGAAAAAACACAGAGCTCTCCTCCTGCATCTAATGAAAGGGTGAACGCCACCTTTGTCACTCTCGCCCGTAACTCCGACATTTGGGACATTGCCAAGTCTATCCGCGCCGTCGAGGATCGATTCAACCGCAACTTCCACTATGACTGGGTGTTCCTGAATGATAACGAATTCGACGACGATTTTAAGAAGCTTACGACCGCACTGGTCTCCGGTACCACCCACTATGGTCGCATTCCCAAGGACCACTGGTCATACCCCGATTGGATTGACCAGGACAAGGCGCGTGCCGCACGCCTGGAAATGGGTCGCAAGAAGATTATTTACGGTGACTCTGAGAGTTATCGCCATATGTGCCGCTACGAGTCTGGATTCTTCTTCCGCCACGAGTTGATGATGAACTATGAGTACTACTGGCGTGTGGAGCCTAGCATTGAGCTCTACTGTGATGTTCCCGAGGACCCTTTCCGATTCATGAAGGAGAACAACAAAAAGTACAGCTTCGTGATTAGTCTGTTTGAATACTATGAGACCATCCCTACCCTGTGGGATAGCGTGAAGAGCTTCATGAACGATCACCCGGAGCATATCGCTGAGGGGAACTCCATGGAGTTCATCAGTGAGGATGGTGGTGAGAGCTACAACAAGTGCCATTTCGTACGTTTTTCAGCCTTATATTTCACATGGTATGATTCTAACCTGATTTAGTGGTCCAACTTTGAGATTGGCAGCCTGGAATGGTTGCGATCCGACCAATATATTGACTACTTCACTAAGCTTGATCGCGATGGTGGCTTCTTCTACGAACGGTGGGGCGATGCCCCAGTCCACTCGATTGCTGCTTCGCTCATGCTCAAGACGGAGGAAATCCATTTCTGGAATGAGATTGCCTACTATCATGTTCCATTTACCCATTGCCCAAGCAGTGAGAAGACGAGGCTGGATCTTCGCTGCCACTGCAAACCCAGCGAGAACTTTGACTGGGCAGGCTACTCATGCACAAAACGATGGTTCGACGTCAATAACCTGCCGAAGCCAGACGGCTGGGATTCGCAACAGTGACTCAAGGTCCTCGGGGAGTGGGCACTCTTCCTGTCTGTGGTTGGCTTCATTGTTGTCATCCTTTACCGCGATGTACGGGTTTGGCTGTTGATTCGAATCAAGTTCGTCGCCCAATCTGCGATTGGTATTGTCGGTTTTCGCCCAAATATAACCAAACACCGCTCCGTGAGTGGTAAATAGTGGTCCTATTCTAAGTATTGCCTGAAAGACCCACCAATTTTTTCTTCACTTCTATGTTTGGGTTTACTATTTTTTCTTCTTCTCTTGCAATTCCATCACTGACGGTCGTCCATATTGGGATTTTACTTTATGTCTGCCATGTGTTACTATTTGGATTCTCGACAGCGTTATTTTTTGTTCCTCGCAGTGTTGTATGCATGGGCGGAGTACCAGATTCCCCAGGATGAGCAACATTCGTTCTTACGATATCAATACCTTGAGCCTGGATAAACGTATCTAAACATTGAATCACCATATGTTCCTGAGAAACTGAATGCAACAGAACTAAAAGAACCTTGTTCCATATTCTACGATTGTAGAGACTCCATACACTACTTCACTAATACATATAGCGCGTATATTCTAGCAGTTAAAGCAAGGCAGCACAGCCCTCATGTCATATTAAGTAAGTTAATGAAGACGTCTATAGCGATGCTCAAAGTTGAATGATAAAACCAAATAACTGTTTCCTATAATGATACATGCGATCCAATAAATAACATATCGCCTATGCTGCAGAAATAATACAAGGCAAAAAAAAGGGAAATGACAGGGCTGCAAAGCTCAGGACATCACGTAGCCTGGCGTATGGAGCTCTGGCAAAAAGAAGATAAAGCAACATGATTCCCGACCTGCTGCTCTAGCATCCATCAAACCATATCCCACATATATCAACCCGTCTAGTTACCCTTGGGCTTCTTCGTTCCATACTTTGAGCGGCTGCTGTTCCGGCTTCCAACACCACCCAGATCCATAGCGCCACGAACCAAGTGGTACTTCACACCAGGACAATCCTGGGCTCTGCCACCACGAACCTGAACGACACTATGCTGCTGAATATTGTGACCTAAAACATCCCAGAGTAAGCCACAATTCAGACAAAATCGCAATCACAATTCCAATTCTCAAGCATCTTCAACACATACCTTCACCGGGAATAATAGCACTAATAACCTTGCCTGTACTCAAACGCACACGAGCAACCTTGCGCTCTCCGGAATTGGGCTTCTTTGGCTTCGTCACACCAGTCTTCAGACACACACCCTTCAGTGACGGGTGGTCCTTCAGCGCGGGCGAACGTCCTCGGCGGGCACGCTGGCCCTGTCGGCAGCCACGGCGGACTTGGTTGTATGTCGCGCGGATAATTGGGGAGCTGGAGAACTGACGACGGGCAGTGGCCGACAGACCAAGGGCCGTTTGCGTGCGGAACACGGGCTGGAAGTTGAAGCGGGAGGTGAGCGCGGGCTGTGGGCGGAAGGCGCTGGTGGAGGTGGTGAGGGTGCGGAGGGGTGTTGATGTGATTGCTGGACGCTGGACGAGAGTCCGCAAGGCCCGGAGGGCCAGAGGTGAGATTAATTGAGGCATTGTGGGGTGTTTGGGTTTCGTGATGATGCCGCAGTTGGAGTTCTAGAAATGTTCAATGGGAATTGGTGCACGTGACTTTGGGGGTAGTTGCGTCTTTGGTTTTTGTGCGAGGCCGGATAAGCTGGACGCGCTGCTTCTCTCTGCCTGACGTCCTCCGCAACTGCAGTCGACATCTAAGTTTCTTAATTCCTCCATCGTTCGCCCTATCCAAAATCTCTGATTCTACAGAATACTAGCTACTGTCTAATTCCCGAAGGAATCGATCGAACATCTGTCATAATGGTGCGTTATCAAGCTACGAGACATCGTCATTAGCTAGTTGATCCCATCTCCGGGCAACGTCAGCATACTATATCATCAATCCCCTTTGTTTTGCTGGTGCTGAGTCGATCGACTCGGCATATTGCAACACACTTCTACAGGTGATATAGATGAAATGAACTAACCAGAATCACAGTCTCTCCGCATCGCACCCCCGTCCGGCTACTCCAACAGCGTCTCCAACACCACAACCCGTCACACTCGTCCCTCAAAGGGTGCCCCCTCAGCACCCGGTCTCCCTGATACCCTCCGCAACAAGCTCACTCTCCCCGCCACTGCCCACGCCTCCTCCACCAACAACCCAACCGCCAGTGAGATCCCCTCTTCCACACACCCGCTCGAGGCCCGCCTGCTCGCCTGGCGCGCAACCCAAGATGCAATGAAGATGGAGTCCCTGCGCCGGGCATACGGTATTGCCGAGCCTGTTCGCCGCGGTATGGAGCTGAAGATTGTCCGTGATGGTTCCTTCCGGCCTGCTGTGCTGGGTGGCATGAAGGGTGGCAACGTCCACGAGGATATTTTGTCAATTGGAGGTCGGGATACGGAAGTTGCTTGGGAGGATATCTTCCACGGTATGTTAAATTACCAGCCTATGTTTTCTTTTTGCTTTGTGTTTCTTGTTCCCTTGCTAATTATGGATGTTTTCAGGTGACGAGTTCCGGGAACCGCCTTCCTTCCACGATGAGATGGAGAAGCGGTTGAAGATGGAGTTCCACTAGAGTTAGTGGTTATTATGCGATCTGATGACTTGTTCTTTTCTCGGTCATTCAATTAAATTAGTCATACATTCTGACCCGTCTCCGAATCATGCCCACGACTGAGATAGATTACCCCAGTGGGTGCATCATTTCTGTATCCCGCTAGCGATACTACGATGTAGCTCAATTAATCTATTCTTCTTTTCTTTCAGATTAGCTACTTGAACCCCTCGAGCTGATCATCAACTGCGAGGCTACCAAGTAGCCCAGCGTGGGCTCGTTACACGTTTACACAAAAATTGGCGCAGATATCCCGAGTAGATGTAAATATTCACATCAGCGCCGGCATCCTTCAAATCACCCAAACACTCTGTCAATACTCGTGGACTTGTAGTTAACACATTCCACCCTGCCAGCACAATCAACACTTCGTAATTGTCTTTTTGTGCATCTGCCACCAAGGCCTTGAAGTAAGTCACGAGCTTGGTCATAAACCAGGGATCATTGCCAATGCTTGGTAAATGAAGGCGCTGTGTGAAATGCGCGGCGGAAAGAATTTAGTACAATATATAACTACTAGTCTGCCCCTCCTAGATAGTACGATATAAAAACGAATACAAAACATACTAGCTTATACTACATTCTACCACGGACCTGTCGATAGGTACCCTTGTTATTAAGTGAAGTACTACATATGTACGGCAGGTAGAGACTCATACTCGAACATTGAAAATCTACCAAACTGTTGGCATATGTTCAATGGTACGGGAACATTCATAAATTGGATGAACGTCATATAAAGCATTATTTTCGAACTAAGCACCAATTGCGTTAATTCAGGGCTATATACCCAGTGTATTCAACTGTATACCAGAGAAGCTTCAGATTAAGATGCAAAACAGCATGAGCATTTACATGACGTAATACCAAAGGTGATGAAAAGCGTTTCGTAGATACAAGTTTCAAGATAAACGATACATGAATGGACACCAAGGGAGAGATGGGAGAGACGGAGAACAAAACAAAAAAAAAAGGATCGGATGGGTATATATATCTCAAACAGGGGATGGAAAGAAGCAAAATGTCCAAACGCCGCTTCCAGGGCGCACATCCAACAACAGAAGAGCCATGCCGGCAAAGTTCCTGCATCCAGGCAGGCTGGTCGAGGTCCGTTGCCATACCATATCGCAAGGGGTAGCTGAGTACAAGGGAATGTTGATGGCCTAGGCCTATAGAATCACGCAGCGGCAGCCAGGGCTGCGCTCGTTACTGTCGCGTTCCCGGCTGTACTGCGCCTTTGCACCCTTGGCGTCCTCTTCATCGACCACCTCCTGTGGCTTGACAGTCATATGTACGACATTAGGAGCATCGTGGTTGAATTTTGATTCTGCACGTCGGATTAGTGTCGAATGCAGACTAAGGACGAGCGCGATTGATACATACCAGAGAGAGGCGACTTGTCATCCAACAATTTTCCAAAAGAAATCAGACGAATTGAACTCGGAGATGAGGGACGAGTTTCCCAATCTGCAATTCACGTTAGTTAAAATTCACAGGATGGTCTCCACTCGACAGGTTGACTTACCAGATCGCCACTCTCGCCAGATCAATTCCTTCAGGGTGTATACGCTCATCGCGAACGGATCGTAGTTCTCCACGTTAACAGACCGCTTCTGCAGATATTGACCATCGATCGTAAACGGGTGTCGTGATCCCGTTGTCAAGAGCAAGGTAATGTCCAACGAAGGCCCATCACTCTCCTTCCCCTCGACTTCCTCCTGCTCCGACGAGAGCTCCGCACCAGGCTTCAGCTCCTCAGCGTCCGTACTCTGAGACTGCGCGATCACGGTCGCTGGCTGTTCGCCCGGTATGGTGGCCGTCGCCTCTACGGGGGTGGTAGTTTCGCCACCAGTTACCGGGTGGCTTACGGCGGGCGCATCGTCTGGCTGGGCTTGGTTTGATGGAATGGTAGATGAGACTGATTCAGCGACGAGGTTTTCAGCGGTGAGGGAGGATTCTGGTTGGGATTGTTGCGGTTGGGACTCCTGCGGAGAAGTGGATGACTCGTGGTCTTTGGGCGCCCCTAATACCGGGTTTTCGGTGGAAGACATGGTTTATAGCCCCGAAAACAGATGCCAATTGACTTTCCTTCAGTGGAAGGGAAGCAACTGTCAACAGGGAGTGGATGGGGGAAGATTTGGGGAATGTAGAGAGGGAGAGTTAGGTTGGAGGAGAATGGCCGATCGGGGTCCAGATGTGAGGAGTAGGGGGAGGGGGGATGATCCAGAATCCAGAGTCCAGACTAAGTGGCGGAACAATAGTGTTTTCGCTAGTTTCCAAACCACAGATGTTATGAAGACCCGGATGCAGAAACGAAATTTGACAGGTTGGAGAAGTTCAGGGTCCTGGGGGCTAAAAGCAGGTAAGGGGATCGGCGAGACAAGACCGCAACTGGTGAGTTGTGACTTCAAATTTACAAAACTTTAGCAACAAACAGCAAAGCAATATGTGATCGAATATCGACTCTCGATTATCGAATATCGGAGGATTTTCTATCTTTAAATTCTACAAATGCCAAGATTGAGATAAGGAAGATCCGGGGAAATCCTGTTAGTCACTTAGCTATGGAACCGGACATAATTAAACTGGTAACAGAGTACGTGAGTACTTGGATTCTATGCAGAAGCCCATATGATTTGGCTATGTTTAACGAATAAGCTATTAAGCTATTAAGCTAGGGGGGCAAATAGTGTATGTCACCGGATGCAGAAACCATGGAAAGCTGATCCCCGGCCCCCCTTCGAGACATTTCAACTCTTGCAGGGCAAACCAAAACATCAAACACAAACATGGTCACACAGTTGGAACGTTCAAATGTCTGAATCATTAACGTTTAGGACCTGTCAGCTCCTCTCTCTCATGGAAGGCTAAATTATCCGATACGAACCAAACTGGTTTAGCCTTGTCTAAAGTATTCGCTAGTATGCAATTGAAGGACAGAGACAATATAACCCTCTCTTCCGCAGTCTGACAAATAGTCATAACGCTTATTGATAATTTGCATCGCAAAATGTATGTGTACGCACATGTATGTACCAGTGCAAACACTCTCTGCCGCTCTGGCGTAAGATCGATACATGCTGATATTCATAGATATAGGGTATGCGAGTATCCGAGTCAGTTCCGCCAGTTTCAGGCGTAGACTTGAGGAAACTCATGGGATATATGGAATACTGGTTCTCAACCAGACTTTTGAAGTGGATCTATTCTAGACCCAGCCCGCATACTGCTCCAGCACTTCATTCTTCACCCCTTCGGACCCATGCCGGACACCCAGTAGCCGTACATTTCCAATCTTCCCACCAAAATCATCCTCCACCGCACTCTCATAGTTGATAAACTGTTCATTCAGTCGTGTAATCACCGCGGGATCGTCCCGGATCAATAACACAATTGCATCGTATCCGCCAGCGCCGGGCACCACTCCGCCAATTACCCCATCGATCTCAGTGAGTCTGTCCAGCAGCTCGGTCTGTACGCTCGGCTCAATGGGCACACCCGTCCGGCGGGTCATTGTGCGAATAAGGTCGCGGGTACGCTGGATGTAATTCTGGATTTCGGAGAATTCGCCATCTGTGTTGGCTTCGGGGTGTTGTGCGAGACGCTTGAGTTCCTGACGGAGACACTCATTGTTTTTCTGGAGACTGGCCCAGAGGGTATCGGCCTCCTGGCGGTTTTCACTCCTCCACGCTAACACCTTCTTAACCATCGATGGCGTCTGCGAGCCACATTCGACATCGCAAAGCACCATCTGCATCCCGCGCGGCAGCTGCATACCGAAATCAACGCATTCGGTGTCCCATGGGTGTTCGGGATCAGCATCTTCCACAACGGCAAATAGTCGCTCATCGAATCCAGGAGATCCCACATCACCAACCGACTCGAGAATTGCTGGTGAGAAACGCTTGTATAAACAAGATCCATACACGGCAGCAGCTACGTCGAACCCTGAACCGACCTTGCCCTGAGCTGCGCAGTGGGCGGCTTGGGCCAGATTGTGAAGCTTGTCGCGGCCTGCACCGAGGTCATCTGCCTGCATAGTTCGGTGGATCACAAGTGACGAAACAAGTGCGGTCACCAAGGCAGCTGATGAACCTAGTCCTGTCTTGTGTGCTTCCAGAAGAGGGACACCGAAATTGACAAAGCGACCCCGACCTTGCGATGCAGGACGCTTGGAAGCCGCAGTCTCCGAGTAATAGTCATTATCAGCCAGGATAGTCACAGAGAGCGAGCCGAAATCCTTTGAGTCGGCGACGTAACCAATGTAGGTCAAAGCATAGCTCAAGGAGGTTTCGACGAAAGGGTTTCGTGGACTAGTATTCACTCTCATTAGCAATACTCAAGAATTGCAAGTGTGGGGAAAGTCTCACCCATCATTCTTCTGAACCACCTTAACTCCGCCACCATTCTCGCACCGCTGAATCCCGTATTCCCAGATCGCATTCTCGAATTGTGGTGAGCGAACAACAACGGTATCCTCGGCCTCGGTCTCGTCAACACCAGACCCCTCTAGTCGAACAGACTCCGTCTCGCTACCGCTAACAGCGGCCTTGTGTTCCGGTCCAGACCCAGAAGCCCCGCGGCGGTGACCCCGTCTGAGTTGTTGAACAACAACGTGGATGCGCGCATCGAGTGCGAAAACAGTACCCGTGTAGCTGCGGTCGAGGACAAGGTAACCACCCGTCAGGAGAACCTTTCCAGGCGCTGACAAGGCTGTCACGGAAGGTGGTTGGGATGCCATGGATATGGTGAAGAAAAAAGCGGGGGTATTGTTCGGATGTGGTTTACCCCACGGAGAGGAGCGGTGGTTCAGTTTTGTATGGATCGAGGGAATGGGAATTCGGCTATTGTATCTGTGGAGTCGGCCCGTCTCGAGATGTTCCTGCGCTGAGCAGAGAAAGAGTGATTGGGGAAGGACATATTTTGGTGGGGAATTATTTAATGCAAGGATGTATCGATATCTCCTAATGCGGGTTAGCGTGCCAGGTGTTGCACTTGCACAGCACATCCTGCTTGGACTTGAAGGGGAACATGTTACTAATGTAAATGCACATTTCTATAGGAAGTACTCAGTACTCCGTAGATAGATTACCATTATAGATAGTAGTGTGTAAGACACCTGGCACTCGAATGTTTCTAAATTGACTACTCCGTAGGCAAATACGCTAGTATCAATAGTTCTGGGATCGCAATTGGAAACTGAAAATGGCTGCGTATTATAGGCAATTATTTATCTTGCCAAATGCCTGAAATATAGGTAAAATTACCATGAGAATAAATATTTGAAATATTAAAGTCTTACTTGGTACTCTGGAAACGCCATCGTGGATGAAGGAAAATACAATTTCTAAGCTGAACTGCGCAGATGAGGATTAGGACCATAAATATCCGAGTCAGCTTCAATAGCTCTAGACTCTCATAAGAACCTATTAGAGTGGGGAACTTTGAAGTTTCAGTTGGAGGTTGCAGCTAAATAGTCATGATTTCATTATTTCTTCATGCTCGGGAGTGACCAATGATAATTGAGTATCTGAGAGCTTTCGGATCATGAAGCTAATTTCCAATATTCCAAGGTTCAATTATGCCACTAAGATTGACTTTAATAAGATCTTGTCTTTACACTGGCATTTGGTTCGTATAGATCAAAAATATTCCAAATACTGTACCAAACTAACGACAGCTTCATTAATTAAAAAAGTAAATTATCAGGCTATGAACTATATGCAAAATCAATAACATAGTCATTTCCACAAAACTCCAGATTCAAACATTGCGAAAGACCAAAAACAAAAAGCACCAAACTCCTAAATCCTCTATCTTTTGTTTCTGTACAGGGTATTTCCAAAATTGTAATGCATGACCGAGACCGAGATGACGAGTTGACAACCGGCGGGGAAGGCGGGGGTGGTTGGGCGGTTGAACAGTAATCAATTAGTGGCGATTATGTGCTGGTCACAGAACCTGTCTGCAACACCACTGCCTTGATTTCTTTCTCCACCAACTGTGACCAAAATTATGCCTTGGGCTTCCGCGCAATGATACTGTAACTCGTCGTGGCAAGGCGCATGTTATCCATCTTGACAAACGCCTGTCCATCCAGACACAACCGGTTGATAAGCGTCTTGAAGTGACGGGGCACAACATGGAGCTTGACCAGGGCCAGGATAACCTGGCGCAAGCTGCGGAAGTAAAGGTCGGCGGTGTCGATCAGCGGGGCCTGGAGGCCATCGATACTGGCGTTCTCGGATAGCACGACTTCGAACCCGGACTGGGTTAGCGCCTCCTCCAAACTCTCCTTGGTGGGGGTGCCGACGGCTCCAATCAATGGTTTGACGCGGCGCATGAGTTCGGCGTGTTCGGGGTTCGTAGGCTCATAGGCGGGAAGGCTGATCCAGTCGAGGAGAGAGATTTTGGCACCGGGCTTGACGATGCGGAAGATCTCTTTGAATAGTGCTGGTAGGTCCTTGCATAGACTGAGTGCTTGGATTTGGTAGAAGGCGTCGAAGCTTTCGTCCTCGAATGGCAAGGGAAGGGTGTTGAAATCTTGCACGACGAAGTTGTTGTGTAGACCGCGCTCTTCGTTGAAAGACTTTGCTTGCGCAACTTGGTTCGGGTCGATGTTGAGGCCGGTCACTTGCGCTCCGGTGTGTTGCGCCATATGCGCCGCGACGCGACCACGGCCGCAACCCAGATCCAGCACTTTGTCTCCAGCGGAGAGACCAATGTTCTGGGCAATTGAACGTTCATAGAGGATCTGGTTCTCCAGAATGGTGGCCTTCTTGCTCATCCATGGCGGGATGTACATTTTTTCAACATCACCCAGGGCGCAAAGGTGATTGAGCACTCCGTAGTAGGACTTCAAGCAATCCCCAACTTTCTCCTGGTAATTGGGGCCTAGAACCTCTGTCATTTGCTTCTCGTCGGACCAATCAAGGTTGTAAATGACGTATGACGCCATGAAGTCGTCCACCTGCTTCGGGCTCAGGTTTGACAAGTATCGGAATGAGGTCCAAAAGCTCTTCCATCGCTTTGGAGAGGCCGAGTTGTCAATGTCTTTTCCATGCTTGCCGAGAGCTTTCACAAATATCTTCTGCTTCGTGTCTGCGATCTCATCGAACGAACTATCGCTCTCGGATCCGCGACCAAGACGGCCAGGATGAGTCGGTGTTTCCACGAGCGTCTGCGACACCATTATGTGAATGGGGAGAAAAATTTGTGAAAGCTGTATTAGGGATAGATGAGCAAGATAGAGCGTAAGAAAAGGCTCGAGAGGGGAATTGGGTAACTGCAAATGTAACAACGCCCAGTCCGCTCCGACGGGGGTCCATCATTTATAAGCAGTTAATTCCGGAGATCTTCGTTCTCCACGATCAGACCGAGAAGAAATTTCATTCGCCCGGACGATCCCACAAGCGGTCAATAGCCAGTATTCCGTGTAGTGGATTGTCACCAGACCTTAGCTATCCGGCTGTACCGGCCGCCTTGAGCCGATTAAACGGGACATACCGTTCATGGCATCTCCGACGTTCCGGCAGCAATAATTTCTGGTTCCGGATAACCAGATCATGAAGACCTTTGGAATAGTTTGCCATACGGTTAAACTACGGATATTGTGTTGTGCCCATAGGCTGAATACAGTACATAGTTATAGCCAGGCACGGATGACGAAGAAACCCTGCGAAATGAGTATCGTCATGGGAGCGACGATCGAGACCCACATATTAAAAACTTCTTTTGACGATGAAATCCTTTCTCATCTTTCGGCTACTGTGATAATTGGTACTTAACAGGAACCCGTGCCGCATGGGACGTGGGCATGTACAAGGACATCATCGTACATACGCCGTCATAGCGTAGACAGTATAGATTGGGCTTACAGGTGTATAAAGTACTGGGCCCCTGCGGTTCCGCATGTTGAAGCTCTCCAACTGCTTATTGGAGCTTACTGAAAATCCCTGCATGGCCGTTTCCTAACAGTACCAGGTACATGAACACTGATCCTTGTGGCGTTCTCTAGACCTTAAGCAGAAACATCAGCTTATTTCACGGCAAGTCGGCAAGTGCGCGCAGGAAGGTATTTCCCATAGGCACTATCGAAATTCGGCGTTTCAAGCTATCACCGAGTGGAATTTTCCATGGAAGAAAAAGTGAAAAAGAAAATCTTAAAATTCAAACCTTACTCAAATAGGAGCATAATGCCATGGCTCAGGGTGGACTTACGGAGTAGACGGATACAGACTGCAATACAGACTATGATAGACTCGGACCCACATTAGTCATGTATTCGGGACACTCGGACCCTGACACGGAGGCAAGTTGCTGGTACAACCGTAAAGCCGGGACAGCAATGGTACGCCCTATGATACCCACTTAGCGCCTGTACTAATCGGGTTATATTCTCCTACGGTTCATATCCGAACGATTACAAATCTCGGCGGAATAACTATGCCGTTTTATAGGTAGTTCGTTATTTGCTTGGCATTTGCTTGGTCCTTCTGACAAATTTGCCATTTCGCCATTCGCATATGGACCATGGCGACTGTGAAAGATTTTTTACGCACTTTATGCTTACAAGTTTCATTTATTTTTCCAGGAACTTGCCAGGGCAGAAACCGGTAATTTCCTATGAGTTGTCAGGATCTACAACGTGGTCCGTTATGCGGCAATGATGCAACCGTCTTGGCACGGGCTAGGTGGATCTACCAATGTAGGAAAATTTCCACTATCAGCAAATAATGGAATGATCTTGTCGGAAGGGCCCCTTATTGCTCCCAGAGTGTGTGTGAAGGTACGAAAGTATATAAATGAGTCATGCCATCCTGTGATAGCTTATCTCAAGGTACATTCAATGTTACGTAGAAAGAACTTCTTGGCGTCATAACATTAATGTATAGGGCACGATTACAAGCGTATTTAATTCCAGAGAAAGCCGATATAGGCCAACTGCAGACAGCACTTGAGGACTAGAACAGGACGAAGTTTATACTCCTTGCCACTTTTACTCCTTGGGTAGTAAAAGTGAGTACTCGTGCACGCACAGGCCGTGCACAGGTAGGGGGGTGCTTGCGCCCATCACCCCAATGAGTTCACAACTACAGAAAAAACATATATTTTAAGCAACAAATCACCCATCACCATGCCTACCGATCAAAAACGAATCGAGAGCCGCAATACGGAAGCTAGCAACTACATATAAGACCTGAAATCGAAGCCTAAGTTCTCGAAAAGCGCGGGTGATTAGGGTACTAGAGGCTTTCCGCCGCGCAAAAAGCGCGGCGCCTACTTAGGTGTTAGACCACACCTCCAACTCAGTCTCCTGCTCAGTATTCTATCTTCTTTCGTACCGTATTAATCAATTGGTCAAATGTCCATAAATAACGGAATAGAAAAGAAAGAGAAGAAAAGAGAAGAGAAGAAAAGTGAAGTGGAAGAAGAAGGGGAGAAAAGGAAAAGTCTGGTGGAGGTTTCCAACGCATGTCCAAAAAGTCTGCGATGTACCCAAGTAATAGAGAGGTAGATTTCACATGTGCACAAAACATTTAGGACGACGTAAAATCTACTTCGTTGGATCTTTTTTATATTTGCTTACGAGTATGTCTAAAATCACATCCTTCTAAATATCGGGGTCGTGATCCGTGCACCACGGATTTTACCTACCACACCACGTTACATAAGCTACCCTCTTACATAATTAAGAGATATCGGGAATCCTCGGAAGAAAATCACGTGCTATCCAACGTCCGATATCAAATTATAAGTACAGGAGTAAATCAAATTCTCCGCAAAGGGCAACTTCTGATAGTATGCCCTATTTCTCCACACCCTGAGCACTTACTAGGGGCCTTAGGCCTCTTTATCTCCGATATTTCCGTGATTTCCTCTGATCTTTTTCTCTTTTTTTCCTCCTTTTTTGGCTGTAGATAGACCCGAGGTGGTAGAATTGAGAGATATTCAGCTGTGGGTGGTCGAGTAACCCAAAAAGGATCAATTTTGTCGAGTCCTATTGGCTGATTAACCTTCAATAACTCACGGATCATATGCTTACAGGGTAGACCCATTGAATTAGTAAAATAATGGGTGCAAATGCCTATTGGCCCCTTTTCTAGGGCTAATTGCCGTTGATTATTGATTTTCTGCAAAGCATGTGGGGAGAGATGGGACCGAAGGTGGCTAAAAAGCGGAATCATGGTGAATTTCGGTATTTTAGTCTGGATTTCGGCTGTTTCTTTGCGGATTTCATCTAATTGGCCATTAATAACAGCATCAATGGCACTAAAAACAGTAATAAAATCGTTATTTGAGCCATGAAGATGGGACTTAAGCCTTGCATGAATACCCTCAGACCGTGAGCTTGCAGAATTACCAAAATGGGTAATATTCGGAGTATAACAGCGGACGAATTTCTGTTTATAGATTAGCCATATTCTTTCGAGATAAAGGATCAGATTAGGGTAGTTAAACTTAGTTTTAAGGTTATATAACCTTAATTTATATTCCTCTGATATATTAGATGAATAAAGGTCTCTCCATATCTTCATAAACTCTGTGAATTCTGTGTTTTTTGGGTCGTCTTGGGGCTGATTTGCTGTTTTTTGGCAAATAAATTCACGTGCTTTAGTAAAAACAGCTTTTTCAATATGCCAAATACACAGTAAATGGCTAATATTAGGAAAAAGCTCTTCAATTGCCCCAATAAGTGCTAAAGCTCTGTCAGTAATCAATACTGAATTATTAGATAAATGGATAAAATCCGAGAATAAGGTTTGTAGGGCCCACTTATAGCCTTCTTCACTCTCATTTCGCATAAAACAAGTAGCAAATAAGAAGGTCTGGTTAGTCGGAGTTATGCCAATAACCTCTAAAAGAGGCATACCGTACTTATTAGTCTTATAAGTGCAATCAAGGACGAAAACCCTATAGTATTTATTAGCAAGATCAATAGATTTAGGGTTAGCAAGCGCTAAAAACTCGATTTTATCATCAGATGATAAAGATAATCTATACTTATATCCTTTAATTTGCAAATTTTGGAGAAAATACTCCATTTCTCCCTGATATCCATACCTATCTCGGAGTAATTTTGCTTTTTGGTTATATATATCACGTGAGATTATCGGTTGATCTGTAGATAAACGGAGTAATTTGATCATATCTCTAGGGGCAGAATTGATCTGATTCAGGTCTTTAATCTTATCAATTTGAGTAGAATTAAGCTTCCGAGCTTGGTGGAACACTATTGGATCGTCAGCAGGGTGATTATGGGATGAATTACGTACCTGGAGCTCCCATTTGCCTGTTTTATTACTTGCATATAGCCTAAAGGGGCAATTTTGACGTTTTGAGCTTGTTTCCCGAGGATTTAGGCCTGTAATTGGCCTATCAATCGGCCGAAAAGGTATGCCTGATTTGACACATTGGATTGAAAGGTTCGCGTAAGCATATTGACCCTTGCCAGAATTACTGCTTTTTATAGCAGTACAATAGCCCTGAGAGAGGGCATGCTTCCGGACGGATTCGATTAATTCATCTCGAGTAGCATATGAAGCTTCAGGGGGTGGAAGAAGGTCTAAATTAGGTTATTATCAGTTATAAAAGATCAGAGAAAAGGATATAACCTACTTCCGTGAGCAGATAAGGTAGAATTGGTAGCCATTTTTGTGGTATTTTAGGGCAAAGTAGGGCAGATTATGGTAGATAGAGTGATCAGGCCAAGGTAGATGGTAAAAAAAAGGGTAGAATAGAGTAAATTATCGTTTATCTACCCAAATCTGGTTATTATAGTGATGAAAATTTGATATCGGACGTTGGATAGCACGTGATTTTCTTCCGAGGATTCCCGATATCTCTTAATTATGTAAGAGGGTAGCTTATGTAACGTGGTGTGGTAGGTAAAATCCGTGGTGCACGGATCACGACCCTAAATATCGGTCGATCTCATATAATCACAGAGCGCTCTTCGCTTACGTGTGCACCGTTTTATCTATTCGAGTCAACCCGAAATTCCTTCCACATTTGAATACCATCAGGAGGCATCCCATTTGCCGCCAATTCTGTATCCGATTGCCCGTCATCACTCCACCTCGTGTTGTTTAGATTCGGAGAATTGGTGTTATGTGATGTGATAACACTTCGATTGGCACCGACATCCACGCGAGTGAGAGAGTAATTCTGCGTCGAGCGCTTCACACCATTTATCTCCCCTGATGGTGTTCCCATCCCGCCAGATGACGAGCCAAGCCAATTTCCTGAAAGCAAAGAGGAGAATACCCGGCGGAGAAGGGGTAGGTTGGCCGTGACGATGGCGAGTTGTTCTTCGACAATGCTCCACATCAAAGGAATGGGGAGAGTGTATGTGACGTCTTTGAAGTTGATGTGCATAAGACTGACGACCCGGACCATACTTATTGCGCTGACGCTGTGGTGAACGTAGGTTAGTTCTACAAAGGAGCCTAGAGCAACCGCAGATTCACTCACAAGAGTCCTAGAGAGAATGCCACTGATAAACCAATCCTCCGCCCCACTGGTAGCTGTAGCTTCCAGATATATGGGATTGGAAGCGACATGACTAGCAAATCGGTGAACATATTGAGCACTCCGGCCACCACGAAGGCCGCGTTGCGATTCCCGCATCCGCCACCCTGTAGCATTGGATTCCAGTTGTATTCGACAGGATGGCAAAGAAAAAAGGATTCAAGAATTATACTCAGCGCCCAAGCCCACACAATGGCGCCGGTGGCGTAAATGGCAATTCGCATACTGGATTTTGTGCCGAAGAGCTTATGGTAGAGGATCATCATGGATGTTTTGACGAGGGCGAGACCTGTTCCATAGAGAGCCTGACAGACGATAATCATCTACTCCGTATCGTGGTGAGTTTAATCAATTGGTCAAGAAAAGGGCATTATTTTGCTCATACCTTGAGGTTGAACTCGATATCTGAAAGAGTGACCTGGGTTGCATGTAGCCCGACGCCTCCATTTGTTACCGCTGAGCGCAAATTTTGTGAGCATGTTATCTCTGTTGTTACAGTCAGAATGGGTGTCATACTTAGGATCACAACCACAGTTGAGACTGTCACCATGCACTATGCACTGGGTCAGCCACACCCTACGACGGAGGTAACGAGCGCACTCACCGTCGCAATTATCATGAAGTAGTCCTCCAACCCCAAGCTAATGTTTCTCATTCTCCGGGACACGATCCGAAGAACTGTTGAAATTAGGCACAGAGGTCCAAAGACGAGCATGACGACCACTATGTCCCTGCCACTCTTTGCAACAAGTCCATAGTTGCCCATCGTCGCGTTCTTCCCTCTATTACTGTGAATCGTTCAGGCTGGTCGATATAACCATTCCATGGTCATCTAGGTAGGAAAAACAGCGGGACGAGTGTGCTCATTTCCGAGCGACGAAGGCTAATATAATGCATGGCATCCTTCTTTCTTACTTTCTTTTTTCTATACTGTGTGAAGTCAGAGGATTCAGGAATCAGGATTCACTGAATCAGCGCTTCGGCCTATCCTCATCAAAACTAAGCCTGAAATGGTTACTCTGATGCCGCTAGGTTGACGCCATACAGTGCCCAGGCTCAGTAGAGTCAATACCATGTTTTAAGTTGAGAAAGAGTGGGATTTAACCTTTCGCGGACGGCTTACGTTCTTTTGAATCATGCATATGTAAGGAGTATCTTTACATGGAAGTGGCAGACCGTCAAAGAAAGAAAGAAAGAAAAAAAATACCAAATTACTATAGCGACACGAGTCCTATTCGCATTTAACTATCATTTTAACGCCCATGAGTATTTAGCCTAGGATAGTCTAATAGCCTGGGAGACAATAAGGGCGGCCAATGATATAGCCCTGTCTGCCGAGGTTCCCGATCAAAGAACCAACTGTGGAATTGAGTTCATCTTCATTGAATTCGGCCTTAAGAGCAGGATGGACTTTTTAAAACCGAGCCAGGTTAAGATAGAGCGTGGCATCTATGTACCTCGCTTTCTTTCCCTTTTTGGGAAGTTCAGGACTCCGGCCCCCAACCATACACGGGTGTTTCACCCGGACACAAAGGATTTGTCTCCCCACATGGTCAACTTAGTTCGGAGGTCAAAGTTCAAAGATTCGGCTGGTGAACTTGGAGGGTTTCTAGGTGATGAATTTTGTGTTGATTGGAAATTATGTACGGAGTATAAGGAACGTCTTGATAAAATTGTGTAATCAGTGCGTGGCCCATGCCGTTGCCACGCCACGTTGGTATCCTAGACTAGACAGTGATCAAATTGAATGGGTTTTTTTTTTGGCGTCGGGGCAACTGCTGAGTGAGGGATTCAGGGGTTATCTATCCTCCCGTCGTATGGATCCCTCAGAGGCACTAACAATGAATTGTACATTGTTTATATGTTATGCAGCGTACATAATGAACTAAGATGCCGTCCCTCCATCCTTCCTCCTCTTTCCCCAGGAAGATTCCATATTTTCAATCTCAATATTCGCTTGATACTTAGGTCGCATATCAATAAATCATTGGGTATGGGATCTTTTGACACCGAAGCCTCTGATGGGCTCGAGAACGCAACTTACGACTTTGTGATTGTCGGAGGTGGAACTGCTGGCCTCGTGGTAGCAAATCGACTCACAGAAAACCCCAACATTAGGGTCCTCGTCCTGGAGGCTGGAACAAACCGTCTTAATGATCCCCGGATCAATATCCCGGGCCTGGGTCCGGCCACCTTTGAAGACGATAATTTCGATTGGAACTTCCGATCCATTCCCCAGGTAATTTGCTACAGGACCATTCCAACCCATGAAATACGATTCTTATCTTTATCGTGTAGGAACAACTCAATGGCCGCAAACTCTTAGCGAACAAAGGTCGCACTTTAGGAGGCTCCTCGGCGATCAATTTGGGAATGGTCATCTATCCATCTCGGTCCGGTTTAGATGCCTGGGAGGCACTGGGCAACCCCGGGTGGGGCTGGGACGGGTTAGCCCCGTATATTCGCAAGTTCCACACGGCCTCGCCCCCATCGAGTGAGAACCGTCTATTCTTCAAGGGAATGAAATATGACCAGCATGATCAGGGTAATGAAGGTCCCGTGCAAGTGTCATTCGGGGACCAGTACATGCCTTATCATTCGGCTTGGATGGACACCTTCAAGACTCTTGGATATCCGCAGGTCGAAGATCCAATCAACGGGGCCGGTACAGGCCCCTTTGTGAGCCCCGGTGCTGTGGATCCAATTACCCACACCAGAAGTCATTCTGCAGCCGCGTACCTGACACTGGAGGTACAAGCTCGTCCCAATCTGCGAGTCGTGACCGGAGCCTTGGTTGAAAAGCTCTTGTTGGAGAAGCGGGAGAACGAAGTTGTCGCGACTAGTGTTCGATTCACCAAGAATTCACATGTTTACACGGTGTCGGTCGAGAAGGAAGTTATCCTTGCGGCCGGAACAACACAATCCTCTCAAATTCTAGAATTGTCAGGTATTGGAGATGAAAAGATCCTCCAATCTCACGGGATTCCAACAGTCATCAATAACCCCGGCGTTGGAGAGAACCTGCAAGATCACGGGATTGTCTCGTTTGGATACGAGGTCGCAGACGGCATGCCATCAGGCGATATGGCGAGGGACCCGGCAATTGCGGCCGCTGCAATGGCAGCTTATCAAAAGGATGGCTCGGGCCCTCTCGGCATGGTACCACTAATCTCTGCATTTATGCCATGCCTGAATATGTCTCCAGCTGAGCGGGAACAGTTGCTCCGGAATCTCCAAGTCACAATCAATGATCCCTGCATTTCGCGGACACACAAGAAGCAATATGAAGCATTGCAGGCCCTATTCCAAAATCCCGAAGAGCCCACAGCTCAATAAATCCTAGCGCCATTCCAGCTATTGCCCCGAGAAGAAGAACCAAAGCGTCTCTTTGGTCTCGGGCATCCGGGATTCTTCATTAGCATTGTTTCTCTGCTCAGCCACCCCCTATCACGGGGGTCCGTCCATATTCAATCTTCCGATCCCAAGGCGGCTCCTATGATCGATCATGGAACACTCCGTAACTCGGTTGATCTGGAGCTGCATGCTCGCCATAGTATGTGGATGGACAAGATTGCAGAGGCGGAGCCGCTAGCATCACTACTGAAAAAGGGTGGTGAGCGCCTGCACACACCGGAACCGCTGACAGACGTAGAGAAGGCAAAGGAGCTGTGTAAAGAGCTCGTCTTGTCTATGTATCATGTCAGTGGGACCTGTGTCATGATGCCGCGGGAAGATGGAGGCGTTGTGGATTCCCATTTGAAGGTGTATGGATCGGCAAATATCCGGGTTGTCGATGCTAGCATATTCCCCTTGGAACCGAGAGGCAACATCCAAGCGACTGTGTTTGCAGTTGCTGAGAAGGCGGCGGATATCATCAAGCAGGGTCTGAAATCAAGTTCTTGATTGCAGAAGCCTTGATGAGTAAGTCAATATACATTTTAGTACTTTGGCCTCTTAAGGCAAATGATCTTTGAGTATGGACTGAAGGTGTATTAAGTGCTCAATAGATGCCTCTAGTTAATCCGAAAGTTCAGTGAGTCTGAGCCCGGACTGAAATTTACTGTGAGCCTGACTCTGAGCGTCCTCATAAAACGGCGGCAGCTACCTAGGTATATGGAGTGACTAGAGTACATACCGAGTACCCTAAACCATAGAGTGGTATAGATCGACCTGAAGCCCCCCTGGGATTCGGTTAATGTCCACCCTAGATTGCTGTGAAACTGTATATGAGTTAGCAGGCGGCCTTTCCTTCTGTCTTGAGATACCAGCTTCAGAGGTCTGCTAACGACGAACCACCATGAGCTATGCTCAGTCAGCCTGGTAATAACAAGGATGAGGTCTTTGTGGTGTTAGCTTATTCCGCGTTGTGCTATCTCTCTTTGTGATGGACCATGGTTCATCACACGGGAAATCGATCGACACTGTCATTATGCGTCCGGGCTCTCTCCATTTACCGATTTAGGCATATTACCAGAATGAGTCTGGCCTGACGTCAGAACTGACCAAATGGTGTTAACTCCAAGAGCGGACCATAGTTAATCGGGCCCGTTATTTAAGCACAGACCAAGCATATAACTGTGTTATAGATAGACCTGTCGTCACGTGACAAGGATGCTAATCAATTGTACTTCCATAATCCTCAAACCATCTCTTGGCATATCCAGCCCGTCAAAAGCATTCTACATAATTTATTTGCACCCCCAGGGTATTCGGTGAGATTGAAACCGCCGTTTCATGGTTTGATTTAGAAAAGCAAAGTCCCATCGGTTGTGTGCGGATATTGAAGGGAAGACTCAGCCCCTGGAAAGCGCAAAGTATATGCCTCACGGAATGTTTCGTCCGGAGACAAAAGTTCAACTCCGCGGACTTCAAACACCGTTAACGCCGAATCCGTGAGAGTCGGGGAAGGGACCATGTTGGTCCGAAGAAAAAGAATCGGGACCGATTGAGTGAGTCATATTTTAATGGATTTGATTGGTTGGCGTATTCGTGTTCAACTCCACTTTCATTGAATTTCTGACAAACCACATGACCCCTTGAACAGGAACAGATAAAAAACAAGTATAGAGGAAGCTGATATGTACTCGATACATTGATATTATACTGATCATAAAAGTTAATCTATCATATTATGAGGTAGAAAGTACATTAAGTCAATCTTTTTTTATTGACGTATCTGATTCTTACAATAGATTAGATTCCGATGTACAAAGTACAGAAGTTGGCGAGTGGTTTCCCCTAACCAACTATCAATTCGAAGGTACTTAGTACATCTAGAGGATTCTCCGGAGAAGATCGGCCCTATAGTTTGATGGCCCACCTGTGAAACTCTCCATCTCCTTCCAGAAGTTTAGCGTGTGAGATTTCATAATTCTTTTTACACTTGACTCTTCGTCATCTTTCTGAACATTTGACCTATTTTTCTCTTCATACTTTTATCCCATTTACATCCCATTAACTTGAGGATCTTACATTCTACCGCTAATTACTAACCACAATCATTTACCTTCCTTACCACAGCGCGTTCATTGGCGACACGGAGTCGTCCAATGAGCTTGCATTTTCAATACCATTCTGAGTGCAAGGTCCGCTTACACCCAGCCTCTTGTCGCAGGCTTCAACTGACTTTTCAACTTCCAGCATTGCCTCTTCGCACTGAAGAGGTCGCCCGCTAGATAAATGGTTTTTAAGCCGTTCACCCACCTCGCGCGCCAGAGTCTCACCAAGGCCTTCACCCATGGCTATGCTCAATCGGTAGTCGCAGCGTCGCAGTCCTACGCGTCAACAACCCCCTTCAATTCCATCGCCTCGCAACCCGCCAAGTTCTCCCGTACCCAATTACAGAATGCTTTCTCCAACGCGTCCAGCTCGTCAGGCAGTGGCGCCAAGGCCAGCCAAGGCGCTTCTGGATCAGGGGATTCTGGTCTAGCTGCCTACTATGCCGCCTGGCAGCACGCTCAGCAGACCGGCGACGATAGCGACTGGTGTCAGTTCCAGTTCAAGCGTCGCATTGATTGGAAGCCATCGGCCGAGGAAATCATCGAGCAGGCTCACGAAGACCGGTCCGACTCTGTACCCCCGCATCTCACCAAGGCTGCCGTGAACGAAAATGTCAGCGCCCAGGTGGAGGAGGCGGTGGCTAGAGAGATCCAGCAGATCCAGGAGGAGCATGAACAATCGGAGGAAGCATCAGAGGTGACAGAGGCGAAGGCATCCGTCGAAGATGTTGTTCTCTCAGAGGCGATCTCAGAGGAGTCGCGGGCTGCATCGGCGCAGATCGTGCAGCTGGCCAAGTCTGAGAAACTGGCGGATATCCCTGCTGCCTTTGAGGCCGTGCTTCGGGAGGGCCTGACACCGACTGTGGAGGCATACAATGCCCTCCTGGTTGCTGCCATCGGACTTCACCCCGAGGCTGCGCAGGCGATCCCCAAGGCTCTGGATGTTTACTCGGATATGCTTCGTCGCAGGGTAATTCCCGACGAAGATACCTATGAGACCCTCCTTCAGCTCTTGGTCGCCAACGCTAACGATGCGATCAAGGCCAAGGAGATTTTGGAGCAGGAGCGGGTCCGTTATGGCGGAATGGAAGAGCCTGGCAAGTTCATGCTTCAGTCCCGCGAGCTGGAACGCGACATTCTGGCCGAGGACCACTCCCTGTCCATTGCCGTAAAGCTGTTCAACACCGCCATTACCCGACACCCGCTCCTTGTCTTCCCTATCAACTTGTACCGCCATCTCATCATTGCCTGTGCCCGTGAGGGTATGGTGGAAGACATGGTTCTTATCTACGCTCACATGGAATCGCAGAAGGTCCAACCCCATGCCACCATTTACCCTTATATGATTGATGCGTTTGCCAGCTCTGGTGACCTCAAGAGTGCGGTGGAGTGCTATGAGGAGTACCGAAGCCTTGCAGTCTCGGACGATAGCGGAGTTTTCAGTATCGTCCAGCGACTAGACGGGCAAGTGTATGCAGCCCTCATTCGTGCTTACCTCTCTTGTGGCAAGGAAGAGGGTGCGATGAACTTCCTTAATCGGATTCGCTCTTCGTTTGATGAAGTCACCGAGAACCGTGAGAGCCGTTGGGCTGCTGTGGAAAGCGTGATTATTCAGGAAGCATTTGTGCAACACTCTGTGAACATTGGGGAGTACAGCAAGGCTTTAGAGAAGGCCAAGGCTGAGCTCCACGATGAGGCTCGGGATCAGGCCATTTCCAAGATTTGTGTGACCGCGGCTGACGCAGGCGATCTGACCACTGCCTCTGAAGCGTATGATCGTCTGTCCACATCGCCGGCCATACGCCAGGTCCCCGCCATTTCACTTTTCGCCCTCCACATTCGTCGGGGCGATATTTCTGCGGCTCGTGCCTTGTGGATCATGTTGAACACTGTAGGTCAGGCAACCCCGGATATGGTTCAGCCGACCGCTATGTACGTGGTGGCGTTGATGAAGAGTGGCCAGGTTGAGGCAGGTCTGCAGGAAGGTCGCAACATGTTTGCTCGCATCCGCGCTGCTTCTGCCGAACAGCCCGCTAGCACCTCAGCCACTCGAGAGCAGATCACGGAGTCCCTCCACCTCTTTGGACGTGTCATTGTTCAGACCGCTGCCGTGCTGTCCCCCCAGTCAGCAATGTCCCTTTTGTGGTCCATGTTCGACAACGGCGGTCTGGTATCTCCTCTGGCTGAACATGCCGTTGCTAATCTCGGCCCCATGGGTATCTCCCAGTTGAGCCAGTCCGATCTCACCCTTGCTCTTCGGGTTCAAGCTGGTATGCTTGCCAGCAACACTGCCATGCTGTTTGATGTCGCCCACCCAGTCCGCTTTGCCCACATGCTCGATGTGGCTTTGTCAACTTCCCTTCCCATGGACAACTACACCACTGGCTTGGTTGACCAGGTTGTCGCTCAACTCTTCACTAACCGTCCCGACATCGTCAAGAGATGGCAAGACCACCTGGAGGCTACTTCCCAGACATCCATGTTGTCTGCGCGTCACAGCCCTGTCTCCGTTGAAACCTCCCTTACGACACCTTCTTCGAAACCTGATTCCTTCGACCCCTATGCCTATGCCACGGACTTCCGCGGCTCTGCTCTCATTGCCGATGAGCTCGAGAAGACCGCTGGACGGGCCGAGACACACCTCAACGACGCTTTGATCCGACTGAAGAACATGCGCCGCATTGGTCGCCACCCTCGCTACATCACATACGCCAAGCTGATCACCGCCGCTGCCAAGACTGGTCGGCCGGAGTTGGTTCATGAGATTCACAATATGGCTCGGGTTGATGTTCCGCTCAACCTGGCTCACAACGCTGTGAAGTACGGCTGGGTTTCAATCCTCGATGCAATGGTTGCTGCCTACCTTACTCTTGGAGACCGTCAGCTGGCTGGCCAGTTCCACCAAGAGCTTCTTGGTCTGGGCTCTGCGCCTTCAGCTAACACCTTTGGTCTCTACATTACAACTTTGAAGGAGTCTACCAAGACCTTCGATGAGGCCACTGAAGCCTTGAAGATCTTCCACCGTGCTGTGGCCGAAGGCGTTGAGCCTACTTCGTTCTTGTATAATGCGCTGATCGGCAAGCTCGGCAAGGCTCGTCGCATTGACGACTGTCTTGCTTACTTTGCCGAGATGCGTGCCAACAACGTTCGCCCAACGAGTGTCACTTACGGAACCATCGTCAACGCGCTGTGCCGTGTGAGCGATGAGCGGTTCGCTGAGGAGATGTTCGAGGAGATGGAGTCTATGCCTAACTACAAGGCCCGGCCTGCACCTTACAACTCTATGATCCAGTACTTCCTGAACACCAAACGGGACCGTAGCAAGGTTCTGGCATACTACGAGCGTATGCAAGCCCGCAACATCAAGCCTACCATGCACACCTACAAGTTGCTGGTTGACGCGCACGCTTCCCTCGAGCCCGTTGACATGCCGGCTGCTGAGAATGTGCTCAAGTCTATGCAGGCTGCTGGTCAGCAACCCGATGCAGTCCACTACGCCTCTTTGATTCACGCGCAGGGCTGTGTCCAGCACAACCTTCCCGCTGCCCGCAAGATCTTCGACTCCGTCATCGCTGACCACCGTGTGAGCCTGCAGCCATGCTTGTACCAAGCTCTCTTTGAAGCAATGGTCGCCAACAACCACGTCGCCGACACCGAGGAGATTGTCCAGGGTATGATGCAGCGCAACATCGAGATGACCGCGTACATTGCCAACACTCTCATCCAGGGATGGGCCACGGAGGGCAACGTCGCCAAAGCCAAGGCCATCTACGACAGCATCGGCATCAAGAAGCGCGAGCCTAGCACCTACGAAGCCATGACTCGTGCCTTCCTCAGTGCTGACAACCGCAGCAGCGCCGCAAACATCGTCCAGGAGATGATGTCGCGTGGATACCCCGCTGCCGTGGCTAGCAAGATCCTTGATCTTGTAGGCGGAGCCCCCTCCGTCTAATACCCTTGGTCTATGATTTGATTTGTTTTTTGTTTTTTGTTTCTTTGTTCTCCTGGCTACTTTCTACCAGGTTAGATTAATGCTGTGGTTTCGGGTGCACCCTACACCATCTCGCCAGGGCTGGATCCCTTCGGCATGAGCTTAGACTTGGGCTTTTCCGGTTCGGCGCATGTAGGGCAGCAGCTGTTGGATATACCTGGTGGGTGGATTCTGGATTCGATTTATAAATGCATTCAGCGGGAACTGGCGTTCGGGGATAAAAACGGCATGTATACCATTGTGCGATATCTTTTCTTGTGTTCATAGACCCATCTCAGCTCTGCATGGCGCTTCCATACGCCAAGGTCAAAATACAAAAAAAGTGAACTGAAATTTGATTCTGATGAGTGTAGCTCAGATAAAGATAAAGATGGCGGAATGCCGAGTTCTTCCTAGTCCTATTCTTAGTGGCTTTTCAATTGGCTAGCTATCTCATCCTATTAGTAGATTTGACTCATGATGACTCGACAAGAGTAGTTTAGCACTAATTTAGCACTAATTTAGCTTCGAAACACTCAAATGAACACATAAAGATTAAACTTGAGCACTGCCAGCCTTAGAAATCCACTAAAACCATCTCTACCTCCCATTTCATACCTCTTAGGGTCCAACCAACATTGGAAACTAGCCACATAACAATGACAATGACCCACGAATCCGAAGAATTCCTCACCGAACTCCCTCCAATCCCAGAGGATGAATTCGTCGTCTTCGGCACTGTCTACGCTCATCCAGAGCACGCGGATGCCCTAGAAGCCGTCTATGCGGAGACCACTCGCCTCGCACAGTTCGAGCCCGGCTCGATTTATTACTGTATCTGCAGAGATGCTGACGATCCTAATATCTTCCATTTCTTCGAGCGCTATGCGGGACGTCAGGCATTTGAGGATCATAATGCACAACCGATTATCCAGAAACTTATGGCGGATCAATATATCAGGGGGGTGAAGGCGAAGTTCATGAAGGCTATATTACCGGGAGAGAAATGATGTTACATTTAGTTAGAAAGGGATTAAGAGTGGTCCGATGTCGTGTGATGCGACCAACCTACGTCAATTTCCCGGAATTTCCCTTTCATTTTCCTTTTCCTTCCCTCAATCAACTTATTGTTTATTCTCATGCTTCCTCGCTCTGTCTCTATTTCTGTCCGTGACTCATTTCTCCGCATTCGTTTTCAGTCCCACCAACCCCGCCTTCGTACATTCAATTCCATCTCCAACAAACCAACCATGTCTCAAAACGAGGGGCATTTACGCCCAAAGAAGCTCATCTGTATGCCTCTCACATCTACATCTACATCTACATCTACACTTCTCTCCCACGCACATCCGACGCGAAAATTGGAGGGAATAGCTCCAAGCTGACCACTCTCCAACAGTTGCACCGGGCGATATATCAACGACCCCCGAGCTCCAAGCCACCGACTCAGCATCTCAATCCGCCGAGGCCCTCCGCTCCGACACCTCAACCCCAAACTCTACCACCGAAAGCGAGATCCTCTCCCACCCCGCACGCGCCCATCAATTCGTCACAAACCCACCCTTAACCGTCTCCCAGCTCCATGGCACAAACCCCCTCCACCAGTTCCACTCCTGGTTCAAAGACCCCCGCCTCGCCCCTAGCTCTGCTCCAGAAACCTGCACCCTAGCCACAGCCGAGCTCCCCTCCGGCCGCGTAAGCGCCCGCAGCGTCTACCTTAAGGAACTCGACGAACGCGGCTGGGTCGTTTACAGTAATTGGGGTAGCAGGGAAGGTAAAGGCGGACAAGTCTTCGGGCGCGCAGAAGGTGGACCCGGATCCACGAATCTACCCGAACCCAGCGAAGCCGCGGTCTCTCACCTGGGTAATAGATGGGGTGCGCTGACTTTCAGCTGGGCGGGCGTTGAGCGCCAGGTACGGGTAGAGGGGATTTTGGAGCCGCTGAGTCGGGAGGAGAGTGAGCTTTACTGGAGGACAAGAGAGAGAGGGAGTCAGATTGGTGGGTGGGCTAGTTGGCAGAGTAAGGTTCTTTGGTCTGCCGAGCCGGGACAGTTGGAGGAGCGTCAGCGGAGGAAGAGTGTTGCGCATGTGCAGGAGACGGCGGCGGGGTCGGAGGCTTTGGCTAGTTTGGATGAGACGGATATTGATGATGGGAGGGCGTTGCTTGAGCAGCAGGTGAGGGATATTGAGGCTCGATTCGAGGGTGTTAAGGATATTCCACTTCCGCCGTTCTGGGGAGGTGTTCGTTTGGTGCCGGAGTCTGTGGAGTTCTGGCAGGGTCGTCGTAGTCGGTTGCATGATCGGTTTCGTTATGTGAAGGTAGAGGGTGGATGGCGGCTACAGAGACTTTCTCCTTGATTTGGATATTTTATCTAGAAAAAATTATATACAATCCTAGAACAAAATATATGAACTCTCAGCTCAATATTACTTCCAAGGTTTTATAGAAAGCTCGCTCTGTAGCTTCGGTGTAGATGTCGATCCACTCTTATCATTTATCAGTCTTGGCATCTAACCTCTCCCTTGGACGCGCCTAACCAGCTTCCAGGAAGATGCAGCTCTAAACCCAGCATTTAGCCAATCTCCATTCATATTCATATACCCGTGTATATATACACATACTCAAAGTCCACTATGGCCTCTCCTGCGCCCAAATCTTCCACTTCCCCCTGGATCCTCCTCGCCCTAGCAAGCGGCGCCTTCGCCGCGCTAAACGGACTCTTCGCGAAACTGTAAGCTACCAGACCAGATCAGCCCAGAGCTACTATCAAATCTGTCCACTACATATAAACCATTACAACTCTGAGAAAAACCCAGCTAATATGCACACAGAACAACGGATGACCACACCACATCCTTCGCGCATTCCCTAGCCCACCTTTTTGGTCTTGAATCCTCACCTTTCCTGGAACTACTCGTCCGAGGTGTAAGTTCTTTGTTTCCCAATCTACTCTGCCTACCTAGATATGTCCTATCCATCCCGAGTGTGAACTAACAACAAACAGGCCTGCCTGGGTCTTAACGTCCTCTGCAATATCATCATGTGGGCTCTCTTCACTCGTGCCCTAACAGCTGGACCGTCGACGGTCAAGGTCTCTATCACTAATACGTCGGCGAACTTCCTCGCTACGGCGCTATTTGGTATGATTGTGTTCCGGGAGGCTGTTGGTGGTCTTTGGTGGCTTGGAGCGGCGATGATGGGAGCAGGATGTATCTTGGTGGGGATGAGGGAAGGAGCTTGAGCTATTCATTTATTGATCTATTGATTGACTTGATGTACATATTCTTTTTGGCATTTGGTGCTATTGTCTTTGGACCCAGACCGGTTCTGCATTAAAGTCTGAAGTTCTAAGGTTGACTTGGATTCGAATTGCTACTCAACCGCCTCGTAGCTTTTGCATATGTACACGCTATAGGTAGACATGATCGAATGAATACGACGGTGAAAATGGGGAAAAGTTCAAACTCTAGTCTAAGCACCTGATCCGCTTACTTCAATCTTAAATACCGCATCAAATCAAACTTTTCTCTTGGGTACGGAATGCACGGAGCTCACGTCGATGGCAGCATGCACATTCAATAGTGCAGTTTGAGTAGAAGTACATAGCTGGTCTTTCCTTCGGAACTGCCCCGAAGGCGCGAATTTTGTCACAGCAGCCACATCCAAATGCACAGCATCCGCCTCGACCTGCACATGCGGGCGAATGGGTACCCCGTGTGGTAGCAGACCTTCTTCTGTCATAATCTCGGATCCACGCTCCCCCAGGGCACTCGAAGGAATGTTGTTTGAGGTTTTTCCAGTTTTCGTGCAGTTTTGGCGACAGATCTTTGAGTTCCTTCTTGTGGTTGTCGATGATCGGTTGTGTTGCTGGATGCAGGGCTGGATCGCTTCCTCGTTGTTGAAGTTCAATCTCTTCAGCCAGGTAAACTTCTCGCTGTACAAGTGCATTCGCTTCAGCCACCAGCTTTTCCTTTCTTTTAAGATACTGGAGTTGTTCATTCATCTCCTGCTCCGAGGTCTGAAACTTGGCCATGAAGTTCACGATTAAGAGGAGGCTTTTGCGATTCGCAAGCTGATATTTGGCTTCCAAATCTTCCCATAAATCATTTTTAGAGGATTTGAAAATGGCTGTTAGGCCTTTCAACGTGACGTAAAAAGCAATAGAAGTGGCAGCAAGTAAGATGCAGAATAGAAAGAGACAAAAGATGACCGTCAGTGACCAAAGACTGACTCCTATCAAGGATTACTCCAGATATTTGAGATCCATGATGTGTGAAATGTGACTGCAAAAAGCGTGATAGAAATACAAAGGTGGTGAGTTAGGGGAAGAGCGGGTGTAAGCAAGTAGCCTCGGAAACTGGAGGACGCGTACAGCTCTGCACAGCCCCCATTCAGACTAAGCTAGATAAGCAGTTCAGCGGAGTAACTCACAGGCCACGCAAACATTTATACCCAATTGACCAACTATTACCTTGATGTTGAAGTTCGGATCCTGCTAGAGGGCCTCTCCCTTAATATATGCCTAGCTTAGCTATAGTCTCGGCTAAGGCCTAGTATAGCCCGACTTATCAGACTAAAGGTTAAGCGGTAGGTGAGCTAAATAGGATAGGAACCTATTGTATATATGCACTATGGGGTAACCGGCTAGGTGATCCCGTAGTAGATCCTTTATTCTCTATAATATTATAGTAAATGGATAAGAGGAAATCCATAGTAGTAATAAGGAGGTACGTAGACCTACTAACTAGTATTGGAAAGGCTACTTGGCCGCCTATACTTACGGTATTTTCGTCATTAGTTTATATTACCAAAGTATACTTCTTTTAATCCACTGACTGGGTAAAGAGGAACCAAAGACCGATAATGATGATAACTAGGCCATGCGATTCGCGGGCTATACTATGACGTTGGGGCTATGTAATGTAACCCGAGGAGCGGTAGATTACCTACATATACGGCATTAAGGGATAACTAGCACTCTATATTTATTAAGGAGGCCGCTAGTATCAAAGGCGGGCAAGGTGGACTTATAAAGAGAAATCTAGATAGCTTCGTAGTAAGCTACGCTTCTATGGCTTAGTTAAGGAGTAGAAAACTTGATTATATATCATATAAAGCTGCTACGGAGGTATTATCTTAGGAATCCTACAACTGTGTAGCTACTATTATAGAATAGGTCGTCGGATCGAGCGGCTTCTCATAAACTGAAAGGGGGTAGTGCATAGAGCTGAAAGCCGAGGTGTAATTGTAGGTGGGGCCGAAGCGAAGAGAAAGGGGGTAGTAATAAGTGCAAGATAGAGGAGTTAAAGGAAACGTCAGAGAGGTGAAAGAGGTCGAAAGGGCATAGCGAGCTTTTTATGCCGGAGCAACTGAAGGCGGAGCTTTTAGAACGACGTATGGGGGGGGGGGGGCTAAACTAAAAGAGGCAAAACTAACCGCATACAGTAATTCACAGGTCCGGGGAATTACATAAACAAATCTATCAAGCAATACCGGCCTTAACGTCGGGGCCGTTCCTCTCTGTCCTCCAACTCAACCAGCCCTTCATTCTCCGTTCCATCTAGAATATCAGATGGCTCTGCCAACCCGGGTCGGTCCCGTTCACGCAACCTCACAGGCCGGCGTGGACCAGATCTGGATACGAACCCGATGACGGTCTGGATCAGGCGCCATAAGCGGTCATCCAGGGTTTCTGGTGGAGGATTGCTTAGATGACCGCCAAGAGTGGAAAATTCTGATGAGCTCGTAGCTGCAAGGGCGTGTTCCTCGGCTTCAACCTTGAACTGGTACTTCAAACAATCCTTGACGGTTACCAGACCGGCTAGGCGGCCGCGGTGCTCGACTATGATCACACGCGGGCCCATCTTTTTGAAAATCTCCATGACAGTCTCTAATGGGAGACGCGGATGTACGGTAAGAGGGGTGTGGTCGACAAAGCGCGAGAAGTCGACGATGCCAGCACCAACACTATCCTGGATGGCATCAAAAGTATCGGGGGCGAGGTGTTGGCGCCCGGATGCACGACGGGCGACAGATGCCTCTGCGGCATCTTTGGTGAACACGCATCGGGCACGCGGGGAGAGAAGGCCCTGACTTCGAGCACGATCGATAGCGTATCGGAGCTCTGTGCGTCCAATATATCCGACGAGAGTCTTGCTACTCCGGTCTTCGACAATTGGAAAGCCCTGGAACTTGTTATCGCTGAGCAGGTGCTCTGCTTCCCGCACGGGAAAGTCCGACGCTGGAATGAATAGTGGATCCGTTGTCATAGCGTGTGATACTGGGACATTGAAGACGTGCTCTTCCTTGTTATCTAGGAAGGGGAATCCGTTGAACCAGATCATGCGGTCGGCGATACCGCCGTTTCCAAATCGGTCGCCAACGGCTTTGGTGATACCCACCACGATCATGGTAGGCAGAATGTATGTCAGAGCTCCTGTCAACTCAAACATGATGACTGTGACTGAGATAGTGATGTGCATGATTCCACTCAGCGCTGCACCGGCACCCAAGAAAGCATAGGTACCTGGAGTGATGCATTGAACATCCGGCTCGCATGATGCGAAGAACGCTGACTTGGGGAAGGATTCATGCAGTGCCTGCACCATGATTCCTATCATTCGTCCAAAGGATGCACCGATGGCCATAGATGGGACGAAAATACCAGCAGGAACTTTGCAGCCGTAGGAAATAATCACTAATCCAGTGCGCAAAATGGTGGCAATAGCCAATGAAAAAACCATTGACCAACGGTTTTGCTCTCTACATAAATTGCGTTAGAACCATATGTTTCGGGATTAGTAGTATCCTTACTGGCACAGTCCGTGATAATCGTGTCCACCTCCACATTCGCGGAAGAGTATCTCCATCATCTCTGTCATGTTAATTTTCAAGAATATGTTTGGATAGCAAAGAATAGCCGTGAGACCAGCCAGGACAACTGATTCGGCAATAGGGTAAGTGCCCAGGTATTTCTTGCGAAATGATGCCATTCGAAGATTCCATTTAATCACGAATGCGCCGTACAGTCCACCGAAGACACCGATGAAAATGAAGAAGATCAGTTCAAAGAAGTGCCATGTGCGATCATATTCGACCTGAAACATGACAAGCTGTCCTGTTCGGAACGGGTTCAAGGCCTAAGACAGTTAGTAATTTCATTGAACGCCCTATTGGACTGTACGTACAGCTAGCACACTCGTTGCCACCAGGGCACAGAAGTAGCTGCGCCACAAAGTTTTGAGAGGGAAGTAATTGGCGATCTCCTGTCCGCGGGTTAGAAGATAATGTTGCTGGATCTTGAGACCAAACATACCTCTAATGAGAACAATACACCTCCTATCGGACTTCCAAAGGCCACGGCCACACCAGCTGCCGCGGAAGCAGTCAAAATCTCTCTGGTCTTGGATGCACTAGTCTTATATTTCCCAAAGAACCGTGAAATGACGTTACCAGTACAGACGGCAAAATGCACACTAGGACCCTCCTTTCCAACAGAGAGACCAGATGCAATAGCTAGCGGTAGAGCAATTGACTTAATGATTAGCGTCCAAGCACCCAGGAAGCCCTTCATGACAAATCCAGCAATAATACACTTGATCTCTGAAATACCGGAGCCAGCGGCATAGGGCGCAAAAGTCTTGACCAGAATCGCCGCGATAGCAGCAAGTAGCACCTAGATTCTTTAATCAGCGAGCCATTTTGCCGAGAGAGGTGACACCATGACATACCGCAAAAAAGAAATAAACCACATAATTAAACAGCCAGAAACCGGTCCAAGGTGTCCATTCCTGGCAACCTCCTTCAGCGCCCCAGCAGCAGAATTGCTCATTTAAGTAAAATGCCGTGGTACAATGACCCAGCTTGATGTCTGACAACCACTCTGTGATAATATTCAGCAAAGCTGAATTGACACCAATTGCCACACCAACTAGGGTCACCACAAGCCAGGCTTGACCCGCATCGTATGATTCCACCAGCTTGCGTCTCCAACCAAAGACGCCTTCCTGGTCCCAGAATCCTGTGCCATTTCGTCGCTTAGCTCGTCGACGACTTTGCTCATACACAGCATCCTGCACCCAGTCTATCGTAGTAAAGTCCTCATATCGCTTGATCTCACTGATCTCTTCAGTGATGCCGGGCGCTTGTGCGTCGGGGGCTGGGTTTGAATCGGCAGCGGAAGAAACAGATAGGCCGGACAACCGGCGCATATCCCGGCGCTCTGAGAGAATCGAGGGCGACCGGGAATAGGTCGAAGTGGGGTGTGTCGAGGTCATAACATCGACCGGAGCGGTAGACTCAGCATAGTCGGGCTCGAGCTGAGTCGGGTAATGCACTTCCTCCGTGATGTATATCGCGGGATCGGTGGGTCACAGGTCAAATCTTAGAATCTGACCAGTTTCTATTATATATTCATGGGTTCCTTTGATAAGGTCAAAGAAAATCGGGGGAATTTGTGCAATTCCGGGGTGGGAGCGTTGAGGTTAAGGTGTCAAAGGTTCAAGTTCGCCAAGTAATCGATAACGGAGATCTGCTGAGATAACGCCGCGCACACGCGTTTGACTTTCTTGACTTGACACTCACGCGCTACGGATCATTTACACAGGGGATCATTGCTCAAGGACACGATTATTCACTGTCTTTGCTACTTTCTGTCTCCTGCACTTCAAAATAACCAGCCATGCCTCCAAAGAATACAGGCGAGCCGGATGAGATCACTGGCCAAAGTGCACTCCCCAGTAAGTACAAAACAGCTGCTAATAGGGACTTGATCCATATGACTGACTACCATTATAGTTTCTCGTATCAAAAAGATCATTATGCTCGACGACGACGTCGCACAATGCTCCAATAATGCAACCTTTGTCATCGCCATGGCTACTGTACGCCGCACTCGCATCCCATCTCAGAACCTCGAACAACGCACTGATGCAGATTAGGAAATGTTCATCCAATACCTCGCTGAGCAAGGCCACAATGTGGTAAAATCAGAACGGAAACCTCGGAAGACTGTCCAATACAAAGACCTAGGTAAGTGGGCAATAGAACTATCTCTGGTGACTGGATCCTGATCGAATAAAACAGCTACGGCTGTGTCACATATCGACAACCTCGAGTTCCTCTCCGATGTAATTCCCAAGACTACGACCTACAAGCAATTCAAGGAGAAGAAGGCCAAGGAGGCGGGCGCACCTGGAGAGTTGGAAAAGGGTCAGCGGACATTGAACGGTACCACTCCTGTGACTGGAGAAGGGAATGGTATCCCAGGGGAATCAGCAACACATCCAGAGGTTTCAAGTCAATCACCAACCATTCCTCGTACACCCGTGGTACCTGTGAGTGCGCTGATGGCGGACCGGACAATCAGTTCTTCGGCACACCACGACTCTGATGTTCAAATGCAAGATTGAAGGGCATTGGCTATTTGGATATTGGTAAAGGACTTGAAAATTGTCTAAGTTCTTTTGGTTTTTTGCATTGGAGTTTTTTTTTATGATTGCTGCTGTTTCGCATTCGGCCCGAGGAATGTATAGGATCTAGATAGATACCAAAATGACAACTCACTTAAGTTTGAGAACTTTATAACAAATTAATTCAATCATTAAAATAAATAGTCATTGGGTTATAAAGAAGAAGGAAGATCATAGATAAATTATATAGTTCCTTAAATTCATTTACATAGTCAAATCCATGTTCACCCGCGCGACCCGCATCAGCCAATGACAGGCCCCGTGATTCCGATCGCTAGCGAAAGCTCTGGCTCCAACTTCGTCCCGGCTTCATCCACTCCTTCCCAACGTCCAAGCAACGCCGCGGTCACACCTCCCCCACAAGTGGTCAATTGCCATCACAATGTCGCTCTCCTCCGCTTCCAGCACTCTGCTGCGCACTTGCGCCCGCCAGCAGCTGCCCACCACCCGCGCCGTCACCTCCTGCCAGCAGCGGAGGGGAGTTGCGGATGCGAAGGCGTCCTTCGACAGCCCCTTCACTAACGCCCAGGAGCGTGGCTCGACCGTGAAGATCCCCAACTTCAGCAAATACAAGTCCAACTCCTCCCCTCGCTCCAACCAGGTCTTCTCCTACTTCATGGCTGGCACCATGGGTCTGGCCTCCGCCGTCGGTGCCAAGGCCACCGTCCAGGGTAGGTTTTTTCTTTCCTTCTATCGCGCTTTCCGGAAAGAACATGGATATTCTAGGAGGGGGAAGGAAGGGATTCGATTGAATGGATTGATTACCTAGTGGTGGATTTGCGTGCGGATTGTGTGGTTCCGAGTCCAAATGGCTGACCGTGTGATTCCGCCCCCTACAGACTTCCTGGTCAACATGTCCGCCTCCGCCGATGTCCTGGCTCAGGCCAAGGTTGAGATTGCTCTTGGTGCCATTCCCGAGGGCAAGAACGTATGTGATATCTCGGCTTCTGGTCACACCCGGTTTCACCCTATCCTAACATTCGTAATAGGTCATCATCAAGTGGCGTGGAAAGCCCGTTTTCGTCCGTCACCGTACCCAGGGTGAGATTGCTGAGGCTCGCGATGCCAAGTGGGAGTCTCTCCGTGACCCCCAGGCCGACGAAGACCGTGTCCAGCGCCCTGAGTGGTTGGTCATGCTTGGTACGTGGAATCCTATACCTTGGCAATATACCCCGACATATCTTAAGATCGACAACTAATACAAATCTCTCTACAGGTGTCTGCACTCACCTTGGTTGTGTCCCCATTGGCGAGGCTGGTGACTATGGCGGCTGGTTCTGCCCCTGCCACGGCTCCCACTACGATATCTCTGGCCGTATCCGCAAGGGCCCCGCTCCTCTGAACCTGGAGGTTCCCCAATACAGCTTCCCCGAGGATGATGTTCTCGTCATTGGTTGAGCGACCTGTTACAATAAAAACCCTGAATTGGCTCGTTTAGACCGAAAGTGGAAGGGGAAAGCGAGATGTTGTATGTGCTTGTGGTTTGATTTATTTCCTTTTAGACAGAGCGGCCGTGTGTCATTGTCAAGATTAAGAGACCGTGTTTTAATATGGACAAAAATGTGCCTCTTTTTTACACCCATTTTCCAAGGCCTGTCCTCGGTCTTGTGGCATTGATCTGCGGGTGTTTCTTTTGGCAGACCCGAGTCTTGCTTGATTTGGGCTCGTGGTCTCCTTGAGTATATACTTGTTCTTTATATCTGCCAGTGTATTGCCTAGTCATGAAATTTCTTTTGTTTCATTCTCCTCCCATTCCCGAAATTGCCGGCGTACTATTTTATGCTGTATGGGAATCTAAAGAAGTCTCAAAGAACAAGTCTGCCTAGGTATTTATCAAGTCATGGAGAAAGCAGTCTTCAATAATAGTACACTAAATTGTTTTATATCTATCTCGTCTGTACAATGTATGATCGCCAAGTATGGATAAAGTAGATGACAGTGGTTAAACGCCCCATATGAAATCGCGCGAAGGATGAGAAGGAGTACCCAAACATCTGCTCGCTATGCACAAAATCAACCAGCCTCACATTTACCGGGGTTTCACCAAGGCAATCAGAAGACCCATCACGGCCGCACCAGCTGCGGCTCCCTGCACGGCAGCCACAGTAAGGTCGCGCTGGGTCATAGCGACGCTGCGGTCACTAAGGAGCTCATCGAAAGTCTGTTTCCAATATTCAAGGGAAAGGGGAGAAAGAGAAATCCCAGCGAGACGGGAGTATAGAGTTTGAGGAGTGGTGTCAGAGGGAGAGAGGGTTTCCAGCAGGCCCTGATTCTGAGCCTCATTGTCAACAAGAGCGACCTCGGAAGTCTCGCTAGGCGGGTCGGTAGCAACAGTGGCCACAACGGACTCCTCAACCGGACTATCAATAACCTCCAGATTCGAAGCCGGTACAAGTCCTCCAACAAGAGCAGCTTGGTTGAGAGCCTTTTCCTTCTCCAATGCCTCGACGACCTTATCCTCGAAACCTTTCACCAGCCGGCGCCGGCGCCACGGCTCCACGAGAATCTGGAAGATCAGGAAAAGAAGAACGTTCATGCCCATTAGTCCCCACGTTCCCCAGGTAGACATGCGACGGATCTTGTCCGACCACACCTGCTCCTCATGGTAACGGGAAAGAATGCTCTTGCTCAGCTGTGCCGCTGCCTCTTCGGCTTCACGCTCGGCTTGCGCTAGTGCCTCCTGCGTCTCCGTCTCGGCAACCTCGTTGGTATGGTCATTGCGGTAGAGAAGGGTGAAACGCTCCAGGTCGGTGGTAGACCAGGCATGCTTGCGCTGGAGGAGCTCGTTCACTTCGCGCTGCGATGTAGAACGGTTGTTGATCGCAGCGGTGTAGGCATTTTTAGCTTCCCGGACCTGTGCGCGTGCCGCGCGAAGGCGGTTTTCTATTGAGCGAAATAATCAGTCACTTGATTTGTTCTGTGTATGGCGCTAGCATATGCTCACCTTGACTGTGGATTTCCTTCTTGAGTGCTTCGATACCCGAGTACCCGGTAAGGTCATTCAGCCGCTGTCCAGCTACAAAAACATTGGACTGGAGATTATCCATCATTCCCGTGAATTGCTTTGACAGCTTCGACCGCCGGCTCTCGAGGTAGGAGGGGAGACCTCCACTCTTTGCGTCATCTGTGTTTGGGATTTGCTCTTGTCCCGACTGTTCCTCCCTCTCCCTTTTCTCTTCCGCTTCGAGGTGATCTAGGAGTCCGCGCTCGGTCCCCTTTATGGTTGAATCGTCTACAAGCCGATTGAACTCCGCTGCAGAAATGTTTGCACCACGAGAGGTCCCCGCACCCGCCTCCGACTGGGTGGTAGCATCGGATGCATCAGCGTCCTTGGTAGCCTGAGCTACATGTTGGGGGTCTAGACTGCTCGGTTCCTTGTTCTTGTCGTTGAAGGCATCGTAGGTACTAGGTGGTTGGCGGAATTGGCATTGTAGGCAGACTGAGAAAGCCCGTGATGTTGGTCTAACGGGGAAGTTCGGAGGTGTCGAGCGGAGCTGGAGCCGCGCCGGTCGAGCTGTGCGAGAGATGTGGGCACTGGTTCTGAGTGATTGCCGGAAGAGCAATGGCATGGACTGCATGGCCGGGACTGAGGCCATGGGCCAGGAGTTGTGAGTTGGGGTACGACCTGGAGGATTCCGGCAACGGGCAACGGAGGTCCGCTCGGAGCGGGTTGGTTGGGCTTATCAGATGTTTCTGACCGCTTTAGCATTCTACACTGTCCGAGGTCCAAACTTGAAGCCAGTATCTTTTCTTCCAAGGTTTTCCATGCATGATTGAGGCATATACGGTGTCACCTGATGCTGGACCCTGATCGTGCTTCAACAATCTCTCAATATTTGAACTTTGACCTACCCGTCCTACATAAGTTCAGTTAGAATATATAGTTTGCATATTTCGTCTCAAAACTCATGTCTCAACCCCCCACCTCAGCAGCTAATTATCCACCGGATCTTGTTCTATATACCCTTGAAGACACAATCGATGAGTTCTTTACGTCACACACTCCAATAACGCAGGAAGAATGCGACAAATTTGCTGTTTCTCTGTTTGGCAGTCCAGCCAACCCTGTACGTGTACAAGGTTCATTGAGCTACACGGTCACAGCTGGACCCAAAAAATCTAAATTGTTCAATTCCGCTGCGCAAAATCGGATCTAGACACAAGGATTTGAACCGAAATCATCAAATTCATGGACAGCAGCTTGTGCCAGCATGCACTTTCCATGGCCAGCTCGGCACATTATCCCCGCTCTCCATCTATTCAATGGAGAAGCTTTCGGGGGATTTTTTCATCTCAGTACACTTCAACTTCCTGAAGTCATCTGGAGTTCTGTCAGATGCCGGATTGAAACTCTCTAAGACCATAGTGGACTTTGCTTTGTAGGTGGCACCTTACACCAACATTGAATCTAGGTTTTACTCAATTTGTTCTCAAACGTTTAAGGCTCTTTGCATCATCTTGGAAGGCACGACAAAATATCTCTCCAGAGAATACCCTGACTGTCTACACCGATTATGAGGAGAAATTCGAGCTTCTTTCTCGAGTCTTATCTTCCCGTCACGAGGAGAATCTAAACATGGTCCGTGGAGGTCTCAAACTGCTCTTCCTGCCCATCTATCCAATGGTATTACTTCACGGTGATCTTGCTGAAACTAACATTCTTGTGGACCACAACACCAGTCACCTCACTGGTGTGATCGATTGGGCCGAAGCTAAGATATGCCCATTTGGACTTTCTCTATGGGGGCTCGAAAATATCCTGGCCACGATGAATTCGACGGGATGGAATTATCACCCTCATCAGGAAGCTCTTCGGCTTAAATTCTGGCAGACATTTGACGAGGCTGGGGGGGTGTTCAGAAAATGACAAATGGACAATTCAGATTGCAAAAATTGCGGGCTTGTTTCACCAATATGGCTTCGACTGGGGAAATGGTGGAAGAGACCCGAGCAAAGCAGCAACCGTGTCTTTCATGTATCTCGATGCCTTTTGTGCGAAGGAAATTTGTGGGACATGAATTTGCACACCTGTTAAGGATGTATGGATGATAGCAGCGCTATATATTTGTTTTGAATATACCGGTTTCAAAGATGATGGCCTGCTCATATATATACTTTTCATGGTTTCAGGGTTCTGATTCAGTGTTTCAATTGATGAATACGCCCAACTTGGAAAAGTGAGAGTTATTTCTTGACTGCGCATATACATCCTGTCTCAAGTTTAAATGATATAGGTATATTGTGAGTTGGAAGAACATTAACAAATGAAAGACCGGGGAAGTAGCCAAATCTTGATGAAAATTATGATAACAATGGGCCTCAACTGCAAAAAAGTATTTCCTTCGTAAACGTCATAACAATCCTTGTCCTGCACGTAATAGCAAAATACCGTAAAAAACATACTAGGCATCCACGGCAATATTATGGGAGATGCACGGAAAGAACCCATTGTTCATCCGTATCCTTGTTCCTCCCTCTAATCATGGGACTGTATCTTATGATCACCCTGGACGGCCTCAGCATAAGTTGGCGGCGGACGCGTCTCAGCTTGTGGTTGTCCGCTGCTGCTACCTGCATTTGCTTCCTGCTGGGGGCCCGAGGGCTTGGGCTGAGCATTCTGAGGAGCTGGCTGCACTCGAGGGTCTGTAGCTCCGTAGGATCGCTGGGAGGGATGACGGGGAGGCTGGTGTGAGACATAGTAGTAGGTCACTTGACCGTTCTCCAGGTCTCGACGCTGGCTGGAGCCACCGGGGATAGGCTCGTAGGCGACGTCGTCATAGTCTGGCTCTGGGTACTTGAGAATGATATACCAGGCGTGAATGAGACCGGGAATGAAGCCCAGCAGACAGAGGGCGATATTGATGACAGAGTCAGCGGTACAAATCCCTGATTTGACCCACACTGGAATTGGATACATATATTGTCAGCCAACATTTTTTTTTCTCTTGCCTTTCAACTGAATCAGTCGCAAGGGTGGGGTTCTTACCAGCAATAGGCGGGAAGAAGACGGCCAGAATGGCCAAAAAGATATCGGAACTACACATGGCTCCGGGCGGTTATGGTCTATCACTTGCAGTAGTTGAAATGACGTGAAGCAATATGAGATTAAAGGAAACTCTATCACTTGCAGGACTAGAGAATGATGCATTCGATGCAGATGGCGGTAGCCTGGGGATCAGATGACGTTGATCACATGACAGCTCCGGTCCATGGTTTATTGTGGACACCTGAGGTTCATCAATTCCATGGCACTGAGGCATGTAACATAAAGTTTGTATATTGGATATATCGGATTTCTTTCTCTTACTGAAATTTTCGCTCTATCCACTTTCTTGTTTGATATGTCCTTTGCATTGATCAGCAAAACCAAGGTTCGAACTCGTCGTATGCGTCAAAGCGGGGTCCTAGGGTCTACGTATATTTCCATGGTACTGGTACTTTATCTCAGGAAAGCATTGTGGATGCTGTTTTGTACCCGTACTTTATCTTTCCCCCCAACAGGAAATTACTGTCGCACAGTTCGCATGCATAATGTAAGGTCGTCGGAAGATTAATCATCCTTCAGGACTGCAACGAAAAAAAGCTGAATTCCAAAAATTGTGCGCGGGAGGAAGAGATAGCGATCGACGGGTCAACGGGTCCCAAGCGAGGCTGGCCAGTGAAGGATGGTGACCATGCCAGGTACAAACGGGACTAGACACAATTAGATCAGTTACTGCGGAGCCTCGGCAACAATCATCAAATTTGAGACTGAAAAAGAAATCATTCAAGCACTTTGTTATAGCGTGCGAACACTGTATAGTACAGATATGTAAACAAAGTGATTAGGCCAGCCCCTTTTTATCTGATAGGGTGGCTTAGGCCTATTCAGGAATGGATTTACAAATATAAATGGAAATAACGAAAATAATGGAAATGATAAGACGCTGGGGATCGATTCCACGCTAAACTACAAACGAAGCTCAATTCGGGAGTTTCCCGTTTCATCAGTTCGTCTCATCTTGCGCGCGCAAGCCCCTAAACCCCCAGAGAAGCCCAGACCCCCTCAACACAGACTTCCTCTTCTTCTCCTCTCCATTGGCCATTCCATTCGCTTTATTTCTGCCATTCGATTCAATTCGATCTAAAGAGCACCTCCGGGGCTCGATTGATCTTTTCATTCAGCGGGTCTCCGGCATCGTCCGCCCGAAAGCCACTCGTTTACTCCCTTATTTCGCGTTTTCACCTTTCAACCACACAGCTTGAAGAACCGTTCGGACGACCTGGGATCTGTCCTGTTTCATCGCCAAAAATACAATAAAAAAAAATAAGCACGCACCCTGATATCGGAAGAGATATGCGACAGTAAACCTGGGAGATCTCTGACACATTCCGCGGCAACTTTTTTTCTGGGGGACTTTCGAGGAGGATTTCTGCCCGACATGAGTTGTGTTTCCCTCTCAGAGTCGACTGTTTGTCCGGCCTGGAACAGCTCCTCGGTTTCGACCAATTCGACTCAATATGCGGACTTGTGAGTGATGTTGTGTAGCGGAGGAATATAGGGAATACCTGCTGACAAGAAAGTCAGTCCATGGATGGAAAACGTAACAAACATCACCTCCTTTGATCAATCTCTTTCCGACTATGTCTCGTCGACCTATGTGACGTCTAAGTACTTGACCCCTGATCAATGGTAATCGCGAGGATGAGGCTGACGACGCGTAGGTTTGTTGACTCCCTAGGGTGCAAAGGGTTGAATGACAGCGCTTTAAACGACTACTACGCTCAATACACTATTAGTGTTCTCTGCAGTAGCATCATCCAGAGCTCAATTGATGACTGCAGTTTGTCTACCAGTCAATCGGAACCACTATGCGCGGATACGTGCGCGCTTATGGCGACCAGTGAGGAGGAGATTGTCGTCAACACAAACCTCTGCTCGAGTGTCGGCAAGAACTACATGTCACAAATTCGATCCGATTTCACCATCTGCTCGTCACCTGCAGACTCATTGACTGGGAGCTGTGTTGAGGGAGCCGACAACGAGCCTAACAACTGTGGATTCGCCAACAACACCATTGGACTTTGCACTTACTGCGACTCTGAGAGTGACTCATGCTGCACCAAGGCCAATGCCACCACTGTTTGCGAAAACGTTACCATCCCCACATCGACCGCATCTTTACAGCCAGTTGTGACAAGCACCTCAACTGCTGGCGCCGGCGATGGCCATGGGCTCTCGGGGGGTGACATTGCGGGAATTGTGGTCGGCTCCGTTGCAGGAGCGGCTATCTTGATCGGATTAATTGCTTTACTTTTCCTCTGTTGCCGACGCCGCCGCCGCCGTGGGACGCAGGGTGATGCTGTTAGTCTGAATCAGCCCAACCCACAAAGGAAAGGCGTTTCGCTGTCCATGCAGCAAGTGGACAGTCCGACCTCGGCAACGTTTAATCCCGTTCCAGGGGGTCGTGTTGCGCGCATGTCTGCCTTACGTGAAATGCCCAGCTCTTCCCCCGCCCATTCACGTACATCTGGTGCGATGTTCACAGCAAAGTACAGCGATACATCGGACTCGGAAGGTATGGGTGCTAGCCCGGGAGCCATGTCCAAGAGAATACCCCCGGTAACGGGAAAGCGTCATGGCTCGCTTTCGAGTAGCTCTGCTCTGGCTGGACTGGACAGTGATAGCTCACCGCGTTCTGGAACTGTTGGTCAATACTCTTCCCCTGAAGGTGTGACCAGCGGCCAGTCTGAGCAGCTGTCTTATTTCCGTGACTACTACTCGCAAGATGATATCCATGCTGGCGATCAGGTAGCTGTTCTCTGGGCCTATTCTCCGCGGGCGGGTGATGAGTTTGAATTGGAACGGGGTGAGATGCTGAAGGTAATCGGCATCTGGGATGATGGCTGGGCCACAGGTGTGCGCATTCATGAACGCGCCGAAGATTTTGATATTCGCCATCGTGAGCAGCGTGACAGTGGTGTTTCCCATGGCTCGCATCGTCGAGGCCCATCACCGACGCCTTCTGGCGAGATCAAGGCTTTCCCCTTGGTCTGCATCTGTCTTCCACAGCACTGGCACAAGATAATTGATGGCAGTTTGCAAGAGGAAGAAGATGAGTCTTGAGCTCTGGGGAAGTATAACCCATCGTTTCATGCAAATTTAACGCCTTGACGACAGCGTCTGCATCATTCTCTTGCGTCGTGCCAGCATTGTGCAAAGTTGTTGACCCGTACTTTTTACTCAGGCTGGCCGAGTCCCTCACCCCCTTTCCCCTCATGACCCGGCCATATTGGTCGCGTCGATACTTCGTGGCATGATTGTGTTCCTTTTTTTATTCGTATTCTATATACCCCCCATTTTATGACGATCGATCTGCTCGTCTCTTTCCTTCTATTATCCCCATATCTTTTGCTTGTGATTTCATCGATTCCTGGGGAACCGGACGCTGGCGCAACAAGCAAGATCACGCAATACGGCCTTGATCTCGGGTTGTCTTCTTATGTGCATCCGGGTCGGTAGATGTACGAGCTAGATCATGCCGTCCACTTTCGCGGTTCTATTTTCTTGTGGTCTGAGTATATCGGATACAAAAATTTGCACGCATTGATGTATGTACATAATTAGACTCGAATCCGTTTCAAAAGTTGGCCTTGAACAAAACACGTGCAGTGTAAACGAGTTCCATGGTTTCTCACCCCAAATCCCGATTTCTCCACATTCTCATTAGTCTTTATCCGTCGGGGATATCGGGATTGACTCCATTGGGGTTTTACTAATCTAAAATGCCCCTCCGGATTTCGCGATAGCATAAGTAATGGCGTCTTCTCCACTTAATTGCTCATTACTTTGATCATTTTTTGAATCACTTTTACTCTTTACTCAGTTACCAAGTCATCATGTCCGCTCCTAAAATCATCCTATACACCAACCACCTTTGCCCGTGGGCTCACCGCGCCCACATCGCACTCAAGGAATCTGGCCTCGACTACGAGGAAGTGATTATTGACCTCGACACACCCCGTGAGCCCTGGTACCTGGAAATCAACCCAGTAAGTCATTCTCTATGCCACTCTGTGCCGTTCAAGACTCAATGGCACTAGCTCTGCCATTCTCTACACCCCGCAGAAGCATAACAAGAAATTCAAACTAGTTGACTAATGTGAGATTTCTTCTATAGCGCGGCCAAGTCCCCACTCTCTCATACAATGGCAATATCATCGCTGAATCCGGTATTATTGCCCAATTCATCGCTGACGCCCACCCCTCCACCCTCCTCCCTCCGTCAGGCACCGCCGAGAACGCCCTAGTCCGCGCTCGTATCTCCTTCCTCGTCGACTCTTTCTTCAACAAGGTCGTCCCCCACTTCCTTGCTAGCATCCGCTCCGCCTCCGAGGAAGAGCGCGATGCCGCCGCACAAGCACTGGCTGCTGCCGCTGCGAAGGAAATCGAGCCTCTTCTCGCAGAGACCGATGGCAAGGGACCGTTCTTTGGAGGAAACGAGAAGATAACATTGGCTGAGGTATGTCGCCAACCTTCTCATGTATATGTGGGGCACTGTGTTCTATCGCATGGTACTCTCAGATGAAAGTTTCGTTACTGACTAGCATCCCAGGTCCAATCTGGATCCTTCCTTCTCCGTATCTTGGGCTTCACTAAGCCTGAGCATGGATTGGTCAGTAAGAATCTGCCTGCCCTGTTGGAGGCCCAGGCACCACGATTCAAGCGCTGGGCTGAGGCTACAGCGCAGCAGGAGAGTGTCAACTTTATCTTTGATTTGAAGACTGTTGCGGACCGGATGCGTTCTCGGTATGCGCCTAAGAACTAGATGTAAATAGACAACTATTTTCGATCTGATGAATGCTAGATGCGTATCACTTTCCGCTGTGGAGTGTTTTTAACGTCAGTAACGCTCCAAAGTTGTTTTGGCAAGATTTTATAAATATCCGGAGAATTTAGGCAGGCACCTTACATCGATGAAGATCCAATAATCCAGGTATGACGTGTCATGTGTTCGACATACATGCTTTTTGTCAGCCCTTCCTTGCCGCGTTGCAGTTGTTGGTATACCTTTTTGGGGGTTTGCTTCCTAAGCTACTTACTAAAACCGAGGCTTTATCATATCTTGAAATTCATTTGCCCAAATTCCCGCCAAATGTCGAAAAGTCAGCAACTAGAAGTGCAATGGCAACAATTCAAAAGACAGGAGAATTGACGTATGTCTTCAAAAGAGCATATCTCGAGATCAAGGATAATACACTAGAAATATTGATAAACTCTATTGTTTGAGTCTTCACTGTCAAATTAGCATCCCACGTTTTGGACCTGGAGCTCTCAATAGACTGTTTCCCTCTTGAAATTATCCACTTGACACTCATTCGACTTGACATACAGTCGCTGACTGAATTTCGACGCGTCAACAAAGAAGCGAAACTGGCCACAGACTCGATCCCGCAATTAAACCTATCCTTGCTCATGCATCGGCCCTAATCCGTGGGAGCCTCAACATAGGAACTGCAGGATTCTTTTCATGACAGAACTTCTACAAGTAAATATCTACAGCGGAATGTGACTGCTGTGGTGTCTTTGGTGGATACCTGGTAACCTGTCGCCACGTTTGCTTTTCAATTTTTAACGAAAAATCACATTATCTTCCTCGGTCACGGAAAGTTGCAATTAGGAATTTTGGCCTAAACAAATTGCAAGTCTATCTTGTTTGAAAAGCTTCCCTGGTCGCAATTCGCTCCGGGGAATTAAATGCCGACACAGAGCTTTTACTCGATTATTCTGTTGCACAACAAACTGGGATCGTCTTGCATGGGTCTATCAGCTCCATGGAAAGATAGGTATTGTGAACAGCTGCTAAAAAGCTAGAGGCATAGAATACAAGATTGCCTCTTTTGAGAACAGATGGAACAAGGATACGGCGACTTAGATCTGAAAATATTTTTGATAGACTCAATTATAATCCTAGGCGGTTCATGGGCATGATTCGCGCTCCATTCTTGACTTTTCGAACTGCATCCCCAATATGAGGCTTCAGTGTAAAATCGCCTGTGCACCACATCACTATTGTCGACCAATCCATTGGCGATGAGGGTATACGTTGGATACTTTCAAGGGTCAAATGATGGAATGTGGGGAATTGGAGAGGAGACGTATTCCCCGGGTGAGTTGACGAAAGCCTCATATGTACTATTTAGGAATTTGCTTGATGAACATTGCTTCCAAAAGTTCTTCTAGGCGACTGAAAATATGTTTAGGGATCCTTTAATACCACATCCCAAACTCTTATGCACGAAAATGCTGGCGCTGAAGACGTTGAGGTCTCAACATGGAGGTATACCTCGACTGCATACAATAGGAGCCCGACAGTGGATGGAGATATCAATCGATTTGATTTTCTCATTCGTGATTCAAAGGCTACTTTGATCGATTTCGACACAGCTCTGAAATTGTATGAACGTGATTTGCTTCTGCAGGAGTCTGAAACCTCAAGTGTATGTCTGAAGGATTTCTCAGGCAGAGGAGATGAAGGTCTTGAAAATGTGCAAGGCTGGCACCATGGCTTGGTTCTGGCATACCCTCTGTCTCCTCTCGGCTTTCTGTGAACTATTGCAGCCCTGGAGGTCTTCTTGCTACGTCTTCTCAGGACCAAAAGTGCTCAAGTCACTTTGATTATTAAAGGGTTGAGCATAATGTGTCGTGTGTGGGATAGATATGATTTGAATGATATTATGTTCATCACAATATTATAGGGAATTCTTAGATGTTATGAGAGCCATGCAAATCGAAGAGACTAGACTAGTCGAGCCTCGCCTATTTGAATGCTTATTTCCATTTAATACATGAAATGAAGGGATCAAATTAGTATTATCGACCTCTATTAGTAGTGCTTACTTTAAACCTTGCACTAAACAATCATGCAGAATGGCTAGATTAATTTATGGTATTAGAAGACTCTGAAGTAAGGGACAGGCTTTTAATATTCTCTCCTTCTAGGGGCCCAACTGTATCAAAATAATCAATGATGGTTTATATGCAATCCAGCTGGGTGGAACAAGTGGAGGGGCAGAGTGACGTATTAGGACCGCCAGTTCCATGGTCGAGGGCCCAATTCCAAATATAGCCTATCAGAGTATTGGATGAGATAAATTGTTACAGGAAAGGGGCGCGAAGCCAGGAGAAAGACGCAAACAAATGGCAATAAGTTTACATCTCGATCAGGAGAGGTCTGAAGGGATCGAAGTATCAAGGCCCAGGGGGAAGAAGCCATGTGACCCAGTATCGTGGCTCCGCGGCAAGAAAGATAGTGATTTTGTGAGGCTGCCCAACACCACTGCGCAGTAAATGTGGATTCATGCGCTGCATAATGTCATGCAGGCCTCATGCTCAGTGGTGTGATCTTCGATTACCCTACTGATTGCTGTCAGAGCTATGTTATAGGACTTGAGAGACCAGGTCACTAGGCTGCCAACATTTCAAATGGATGCCTGATACATGACTATTATAAATTGATAGAAGGCATTTGAATTTAAAATGATCACCAGAACCCTCGAAATCCATTTCTTCCCATATTTCATAGTCAAAACTGTTGTTTATCAACAAAAAGGGTGCCCAGAATCACGTGCAGTCGCCCCCCCACTATCGCAACACCTGGGCAACAACCCCTCCGCCTCATCAACCCCATCACATTGCCCCGTGAGTTACCCCATTCTCTTTGACCTTTGTAAGTCTGCAGTGGTATCACCAAAAAGTGGATCAATTCAGATTTGGAAGGATGAACCTTTCTCTATTCACAGCTCAGCCACTGACATCGTCTGTCCACTCTAGGTGACCCGTCATCTCCCCTTTTTTTGCCTTCTCATCTATCGCAATCATGTCGGTTCGTATACCCAATCAGTTTCCGGTTAGACCTATCTGCTTTCAATGCTAACAATATCCTTGTCTAGCTCGCATCTGGGTACGATGAAACTCGCCAATGACCCCCCCCCCCCCCCGTTTCCCCTCCGTATTAACTTTCGCCCCACAGAGTTTCGATCACTGATGAGTGCATCACGGAGTTCAACAACTTCCGCATGAGCCACGGCAAGACCAAGTACATCATCTTCAAGATCTCCGACGACAAGAAGACTGTTGTCGTGGACAAAGTTGGCAGCGAGCAGGACTACGAGGCCTTCCGCACTGAGCTTGAGAACATCAAGGATGCCAACGGCACACCCCTGCCTCGTTACGCCGTGTATGATGTCGAATACGACCTCGGTAGTTCTGAGGGCAAGCGGTATGTTTCCCCTTTCTTTGAGCCTATTTCGTCTCATAACGGTCGCTGACTGTCTTCTCGTTACATAGGAGCAAGATCATCTTCATCTCCTGGGTTCCTCAGAACACCAATCTGCGGGTATGTCACCGGATTCTTCTTGCATTTGCAACCTATACATGATTACCCGTTAACACCTGTGCAGTGGTCCATGATCTACGCCTCCACCCGTGAGAACCTCAAGAATGCACTCAACATCGCCAGCTCTATCCACGCTGATGACAAGGGCGACATCGAGTGGAAGGCCGTTCTGGCCCACGCCAGCGGTGGCAAGGCTTAATAAAAGGCTCCGGCTGGGTCCGGGCCATGCGATCGGTAGGGGTTTCAATTGAGCCCCAGATGCGCCACGGCATACACCCTTTCCTTCTCTCTGCACAATTCTCGTCATTCTCCTAGTTGCAATCTCAAGACCATTACGACTTGGCGACTTTTTATTCGCGGGCCATGATTGTAATTTCTTTTTGTTGATCTCCTGAGCGGTTTTTATGCCTGCTGACATGGCCGTTGTTCGAACCGAGCTCTGCTTCCTGTGGTATAGAAAGAAGGCGGGTGGCTATGGGCAGAAAATTCGGTCTTTCGGGTGGTTTCGTTGTAGAGTATTCAAGCAATTTGACCACCACTTTTATTTCTTATCTGTCTTTCCAAGTACAATTATGGATATCATGGTACTTACTAGTGGCTATGGCGATCTTGATAGATCTTAGTGGGAGTCGTACCTGGTGGTAGCACCATGGAAAAATAAAATGCATTATGTCCTACGGATCGGAATCTATTTCCAACGTTCTGTTGATTCTTGACAGAAGATCTTATAGAGATCATAGAGAGACGGGCGTCATGAGCGAATGAGTCCGACAGTCTTTAATCAGCCGAAGACCGGGTGTGGCCGCAGCGGCCCAATCAGAGGACAGCTAAACCCAGAACAGCGCTAGTCCGGATTCTCGTCTTTCCACCTCAAACCACAAGAACAACTTCAGTCCTTCGCCAACCCACACCACCCCTCCACTCTCTCCCCCAGTCGAGTCTTCCGCGGTCCCAGACTCAACCGACCCCGGTCCATCAACTCCACTACCAATTGACCAATTTTCGACGTGGTGCTGCCACCTCCCACCTTCCGCACAATGTTTCTTCGCTCCATCGCTCGCGCCGTCCCTCGCGGCCAGGCCTCCATCCGCGCTGGTCCCATTGCCTCCTTGAACGTCATGCAGACTCGCTTTGCTTCTGAACATGCCATCGCCAACCCTACTCTTGCCAGCATTGAGAAGCGCTGGGAGGGTATGCCCCCTCAGGAGCAGGCTGAGCTCTGGATGTCCCTCCGCGACCGCATGAAGGTCGACTGGCACCAGATGACCCTTCAGGAGAAGAAGGCCGGTATGTACTGTCTTGCGAATATCCCAGATCGATTTTTCCCCATCGATTTACGTCAATCCTACGACTTCCGAGGAGGGACCTCACCTCCCCCGGTTTCCCCCCGACATCATACGACTTTTTTATATGGTAACAGGACTCAATACTAATGTATATTTCATATAGCCTACTGGATTGCTTTCGGTCCCCACGGTCCCCGTGCCCAGGCCCCCAAGGGTGAGGGCTGGAAGATCCTCTTCAAGGTGACCCAGCTCACCCTCGTTTCCTTCGCTATCTTCTACGCCATCCACCTCTTCGCCAAGCCCCAGCCCAAGACCATGTCCAAGGAGTGGCAGGAGGCCTCCAACGAGTACGCTCTGGTATGTATTCAAATCTGCAGGCATCTGGTCTGACCGGATGGCCTGGATCCCCTTTTGATATCCGCCGATCAGGACGCTGACTTTTATCCTTTCTTTTCTTCTAGTCCGAGAAGATGAACCCCATCCACGGTATCAGCAAGCCCGGTTACGAGGGCAAGGGCTTCGTCCAGAGCGCCCCTGCCGAGAAGTCATAAATGGGCTTATCGCCTGATGGAGGATGAACAGCGTTCAGATGTCAGCGTCGGACAAGGCACACGGAGCTCTAGGGGTACTGGAGTCCCGAGCTACAGTGCTTGTGATGCTAGCGATTGTCTCCTCGATGGATGACACGCTTCTCTCCCGACGTTGAACTGAGTGAGCTGCTCACCTTGCTTTTTTCTTTTATCGTTTTGGTCGACCAGCATCTAAAAATGCGTGTATCCCGTACTTGTGCTATAATCAATGTATCTCTTTTGTAGCCATAGAGAAATATGTTGGATTCCTTTCTTATTCACTAGTTCCATTTCGTTGTTCTCCATCGCATTGACCTTGGCCCCAATGCACCTCTTAACAGGTCATGGCGTTGAGCGCCCGGAGCGTTTCGGAACCTGCAGAGCTGGTGCGGAGAACCCCTGTCCATGTGTGCCGTCTGATCCATTGCGGTCTGTCTAGCATGAAAATCGGGTAAAGAATGATGGGGGAAATTGAAATTAAATTAGAACTAGATTTTCTATGGCCTATAATTTTTACATACATGGTATATCAGAAGGGGTTGGTTTATTAAAGGTTCTCATACCATTCGGAAGGGAATGGGTGAGGACTCCGGGACTACACGTCAGAGATTTCCACCGGGGAAGCTCCTGCAGGGGGAAGCTTGTTGGGAGCAACCACCACAAATAACCGGGGGATAATTGATGAGGGAGACTGTTGGTTTTGATTTTATATTGAAAATCATGTGAAGCTTTTATAGAAAAAAAAAACAATTCAAGATTATGTAGTTAGTTTACTCCAGAGCAAGCTTGACCCTGCTTTCGGATGCCAAGCCGGTCGATGCAGCCAGTGTGCGAATTCCCTAGCAACGGGGCAGCGGAAGGGCAAAGAACCATAACTAACAACTTATCACCAAAAGTATGGAAGATCATTATACCCAAAGAACGAAAATAAAATTGAATATTATAAGAATATCATGAGTTTCAAAACAATACATACTTAGATATGTAAATCAAATAAAAAGCAAATTCCCGTTGTCGGTTCATCACGGGACCATCGGCAAAACCGCCCCGGAAAGGCTAAGGGCGCCCAGTTCCCGTGCGAGTCCACCAAACCTCTTCCCATTCCTCTTCTTCCCTCTTTTCCTCCATCCACACCCTTCACACCCTTTAATACCACCTCGCTCTTCAACACCATCATAATGTTCAAGAGGTATGTCAACGCCAATTTCGATTTCTTATTCATCACCTGCGACCATTTTTTATCAACATTAAGAAAATTTCGTTTCCTAACGCGTTTCTTAGCGGTCTCGCCCGGACCTTCGGGAGGGCTGCCTTCGCCCGGCCGACCCCCGTCGCCCGCCGCTCCAATGCCCTTCCTGCCCTTGCCCGCTACGCCAGCACCGAGGCTCTCCAGACCGGAAAGGTTCACCAGGTCATTGGTGCCGTCGTTGACGGTACGTTGCTCAACTCCCTGGACGGATCGGGGTATCGCGAAAATCTTTTCCTGGGCCCCAATCCATCCCTAGAACCATCGCAATCGATCTCAATCGTCTCTCCTGATCATATTCTGACTTGCTACGTGCGATTCAACAGTGAAGTTCGACGGTGACAAGCTCCCTGCCATTCTTAACGCCATTACCACCACCAACAACGGCCAGAAGCTCGTTCTGGAGGTTGCTGTACGTGCTTCGTGATTGGACAACCCCCTTCGACCATTCCAACATACTAATCCTGGCCTTTAGCAACATCTGGGTGAGAATGTCGTCCGTACCATTGCCATGGACGGTAAGCTTACCCCTTCCAATCCGCCATATCCCCCTGTTGGGCCACCGTGTTGTCCCTTTTCAGCCGAAAGGGGGACCCACACCCCGGCCCGACAACCTTTTCTCCATTGAGAGCATTATCACTAACGCCCTTTAGGTACTGAGGGTCTCTCCCGTGGTGTCTCTGCTCAGGACACTGGTGCCCCCATCAAGGTCCCCGTCGGTGCCGGCACCCTTGGCCGTATCATCAACGTTACTGGTGACCCCATTGACGAGCGTGGTCCCATCAAGGCCACCAAGTTCCTCCCCATTCACGCCGAGCCTCCTGCTTTCACCGACCAGTCCACCTCCGCCGAGATTCTGGTCACCGGTATCAAGGTCGTCGATCTGCTTGCCCCCTACGCCCGTGGTGGTAAGATTGGTCTCTTCGGTGGTGCCGGTGTCGGTAAGACTGTCTTCATTCAGGAGCTGATTGTATGTTTACCTCAATTGCACACCCAAATTGATTTCAGAGAGGATGATTTGCTAATTTGGTTCTAGAACAACATTGCCAAGGCCCACGGTGGTTACTCTGTCTTCTGTGGTGTCGGTGAGCGTACCCGTGAGGGTAACGATCTGTACCACGAGATGCAGGAGACTGGTGTCATCAACCTTGAGGGTGATTCCAAGGTCGCTCTTGTCTTCGGTCAGATGAACGAGCCCCCAGGAGCCCGTGCCCGTGTTGCCCTGACTGGTCTCACCATTGCCGAGTACTTCCGTGACGAGGAGGGTCAGGATGTGCTGCTCTTCATTGACAACATTTTCCGTTTCACCCAGGCCGGTTCCGAGGTGTCCGCCCTTCTCGGACGTATTCCCTCCGCTGTCGGTTACCAGCCCACTCTGGCCGTCGACATGGGTGGTATGCAGGAGCGTATTACCACCACCCACAAGGGTTCCATTACCTCCGTCCAGGCCGTCTACGTGCCCGCTGACGATTTGACTGACCCTGCCCCCGCCACCACCTTCGCCCACTTGGACGCCACCACTGTGTTGTCCCGTGGTATCTCCGAGTTGGGTATCTACCCCGCTGTCGACCCCCTCGACTCCAAGTCCCGTATGCTTGACCCCCGTATCATCGGTCAGGACCACTACGACACCGCCAGCCGTGTCCAGCAGATGCTCCAGGAGTACAAGTCTCTCCAGGATATTATTGCCATTCTGGGTATGGACGAGCTGTCTGAGGCTGACAAGCTTACCGTCGAGCGTGCCCGTAAGCTCCAGCGTTTCCTGTCCCAGCCCTTCGCTGTCGCCCAGGTTTTCACTGGTATCGAGGGTACCCTTGTTGACCTTAAGGACACCATCCGTTCCTTCAAGGCCATCATCAACGGTGAGGGTGACGATCTGCCTGAGAACGCCTTCTACATGGTTGGCGACTTCGAGTCTGCTCGCGCTAAGGGTGAGAAGATTTTGGCTGAGCTTGAGGGCTCTGCTTAGATGTAATCCTATCATTTGCTAGCTAGCGGCGTGTTCAACCTCTTCTCCTACCCCCGTCAAATCTTCGCGCCATCTTCTAGCCACAAACTCTGTTTTACTTTTTTTTCCCTTTTGATCTCAAATTTCTCCTGTTATTCTCCTGTGATCCGGAATTTCCTTTGTTCGAACTCTTGGTCCCTGTGCCTACCTCCCATTCGACATCATCTTCCCTTTCGGATGCGTGTATAATACTCGATCTAAAAGTGAAACAGAAGCCCAACATGGGAATTTGATTGTCGATTTGTCTCGATTCGATTTCCCGAGGGATTCCGTTCGATGTCGTTTGGGAGTTCTTATGTCACTAGGTGTGAATTGCCTCGTTCTAGACTTTCCACATGTTGTCCTGGAAACGGGATGACTAGCGTTAGTCTGCCCCACAAAAGGGGATTGAAGTCATGGATCTAAGGAGGATTCTTTTGAAAAAGATCCTAGGGAGAAAAGAAACGGCTTATGTTGTGAAGAACGGAGGAAGTTTGATGAAGTGGAAAGGAGGTTGATGCGTGTCATGTCTAACTGAGCGAGTTGATGAGATTTCCCTGTTCCTCTTGGGCGAGAACTTTTAAAGCCTGGTCGGATATGCAATCCCCCAAATACCGTCTGGCTGGCTTGTGTTTCATTATTGTGTATTTAGAGTTGAAAACCATGGCCTTGCGAGGCGGCCCTGAGAAACGTTCAATTGTATTTTCCTTTGTGAATGATGATTTATGAGTAGAGTTCTACGTAGGGAATCGTAGTATCTCCATCGCTATTTGTTGCTTTCTCGGATTGTACTGTATTCGGAGTAGTACTGACTACACCAAGCTTTAATTGGATCCTTATACAGTCACTCCCCAGATTGATATTGTCACTCCCCGACAAAAGATAATAAATGACTTCTTTTTTCAATACATCAAATCCATACCATCTAAGCCACCGCCTTTTGACCTTTAGATCTTCTAATCTGCCCACCTAAGCAACCCCAACCTAATGTAGAAGTGAGGGCTGACTATAGTCCACCACCCTCTGTAGTCGTCTACGGGTCCTACTTTACCCCGAGGATAGAAAAACACTCTAGAGAAACGAAAGGGCCCTACGATTCTAAGGGAAAGAGGTCCTGGTCGGCCAAGGGAGGCTGAGAAGGTAAGGTACCAGATGTACCGGATAGTATGATGAGTACTAAGGAGTTTTGATTAGCGCGGCGGACCTGCTAGTCTATGTGGAGGACAGTGATAATAGATAATAGCGTTTTAATAATAGCTTCTGAGCGTAAATGAATATGATTACTTTGTCTGGTAACTGGAATTTGCTTAGTAGAAAAGCTTGCGGGAGCTTCTCCAGGGAGTTGGTGGAAATAATAATAACAAGGGTCACAACAAAGTACTAGTAGTTATGGGTGGCAATCATTATGGCAGAAAAACATTATCTACGATGACCGGTTGGAACTTTTAACATTTGTCATTTTCCAAATTCGGCATTCGGGGAGCGACAATATCAATTTAGGGAGTGACTGCATAAGGACCCCTTTAGTTCAAAAGAAATTTCATTCTAGTTATATTAATGATCAGCGTAATCAATTTGCCTACATAGCTTCCTGATCATGCAGTTCCGTATGACAAAACCCAGCCAACAACTAATATCAATATCCCCTCTACAGAGTTTCTTCCAAAGCCAAGACCTAGAACCAACGTTAGTCCAGACAATAGCACACGAAGAAAGAAAAACTCACCAAAGCAGTCCGCGTAGGAAGATACACCTGCGTGAAATTCGCCCTCCCATTCCACTCCATATCAGTGGTGAAGAACCTCGTCTCCTTGACATTCCTTCCCAAACCTCCAAACTGCTTGTCATCAGTATCAAGCACAATCCGATAAGTCCCCGGAACATCAACTCCAACCCGATAATCGGTAAAGCTCTCAGTAGGACTGAAGTTGAAGATCCAAACCAGCCCCGCCCGTTCAAACACGAGAACCTTATCGCTCTCGTTCTTCAGACTGATATACGCCTGTGGAGAGTGCAGCCATCCATACTTCTCCTCGGTGAGCTGCATCGCGCGATCAAAGTCGTTAAGGGACTTGTATCGCAGCAGATTGTCCTCGGTAAGGTTTAGCTGGCGACGAGCGTACCAGAATGAATTGCCGTTTCCTTCACGGGGGAAATCTAGCCATTCGGGGTGCCCGAATTCGTTGCCTTCGAAGTTTAGGTAGCCTTCGCCGCCGAGGCCGTGGGTTATCAGCCTGATCATTTTGTGCAATGCCATTCCTCTTTCGATTATGGGGGTGAATTCGCTTAGGGTGGACATGTGCGTGTAGAGCTCTTTGTCGCAGAGCCACATCATGAGCGTTTTGTCGCCGACCAGTCTGATGGGGCATGTTAGTAGGGTGTATGTTAATGTTCAGGGGTAGGGAGGGTCTTACGCTTGGTCGTGGCTTTCGGCGTAGGCGATGGTCTTCTCACCGTGTCGTCGGTTTGTTAATGTGAAGGCTAGGTTGCCGATGTCCCATTCGTCGTCTTGTTTCTCTTTCAGGAGCTTGATGTACATGTCTGGGATGGCCATGGCGAGGCGGTAGTCGAATCCGACACCGCCGATGGAGTGTGGAAGACAGAGGGCTGGCATGCCGGAGACGTCTTCGGCAACAGTGATGCAGTTGGGGTAGAGCTTGTGCAGCATTTCGTTGGCGAGGGTCAGGTATGTGAGTCCCTCCTCGTCGACGGCTGGACCGAAGTATTCGTGGTATCCGCCGGAAAAGCCGCTGTGGTTGGTCAGTAAAGCTTGGTTTCAGGTACAGAGGAATTGACATACCTTCCGATTCCATGATGGACGTAGAGCATACTAGTGACTCCGTCGAATCGGAATCCATCAAATTGGTACTCCTCCATCCAGAAACGAAGGTTACTCAGAAGGAACCGTAGCACCTCATGGCTTCCATAGTTGAACAAGCGACTATCCCACTGGTCATGTCGACCCTTGCCACCTTCATGGAAGTAAAGGTGATCAGTGCCATCAAACTCATTGATACCATCCGCAACATTCTTCGATGCATGGCTGTGCACAACATCAAGCAAAACAACCAAGCCTAAGCTGTGCGCAGTGTCTATGAGCTCCTTCAGGTCTTCCGGAGACCCATAGCGACTACTCGCTGCAAAGAAGTTGTTCACCTGGTAGCCAAAACTGGCGTAGTACGCATGTTCCATGATCGCCATCAGCTGGATAGCATTGTAGCCCAGATCCTTAATGCGAGGAAGCATGTTCTTCGTGAACTCTTTGTAAGTGGCGACCCGCTGGTCGGGGGAGGAGATGCCAACATGCGCCTCATAGATTCGCAAACTCTCAGGCTTCTTGGGCCGCGCATGCTTGAAGCTGTATCGCTCACTAGCGGGCGGGTTCCAGAATACGGCATCGTAAATTGGGGAGACGTTCAAATCTTGAACAACCCGCTTAATCCAGGCTGGGATTCGGTAAATGCGCTCGCCGCTGGGAAGGACCATTGTGATCTGTGCAGAGAGACATGAAATGTTAATCTTGACCTCTGAGAGAGCTTGGACGTTCCGTAGATGCAGTCTACATACCTTGATCTTGCTATCGTGAGGAATAGCCGGAGCACCAGCTTTCGCGGGAACAGTGACGTTCCACACCCCGAAATCATTCTTGGTCATTGTATTGGCATTGGTATCCCAGTTGTCTGCCAGTCTCAGTAATGATGTACAGCTAACAGATTTTCGAGCACGTACTGAAATCGCCAACCAAAGACGCCTGTACCGCATTAGGCGCCCATTCGCGGTATGTGATGTCGCCATTTGGCTGTGCATGAAGGCCGAAGGACTCATATCCCTAATTCCATGGGAAGAACATTACGTCAGTATCCATTGCTTTAGCTGCAGTTGTTGGAAGCTTGAAGCTGGAGGATCAACATACCTTGCTGAACTTGTCCAGACCACCTTCAGTTTGCTCGATATCCTTGGCCCATTTCTCAACCAAGTTGTATCTGTGCTTCAGCACATCTTTGTGAGGTTCCAGCCACGGATCAAGCTTGAGAACACCTGCCGTTATCAATTAGCATCCGTCCCAAGCTGGTCAAGAAGGTCTCCTACCAGTTCCATCGGGGATATCGGCAGCTTCTACAGCCATTTTTGAAAATTTTTGGAGAGTTGTAAAGGAGGGGAAAGGTGACAACCCCCCTCAACGTTTATCTTGTTGCTTGTTGGGGTGATTGGTTACCGTAGCTTGTAACTCGGAGTGGGGATTTGCGGAGAGCTCGGGCCCCGGTGGCTCTGGACTGCCCACTTTCTCCAACTTTCTGCCTACTTTTTTGTTTACAATGATCACATTGTTTTTAACTTGTTTAATTCTGCAGTAATATGATTTTTAATATTATAATTATACCTGGGTCTGGGATATTTGATATGAATCTTTCTCAATTAAAATATAATTGAGTTCCGCATGCGGACATCTGGAGCTTCCAAGGTTGATGTAACACTGTTCCTGACCTGGCGTGCTGCAACCCAATTACAGCTGAAAAGGTAATTATAGCCTTTATAGCCAGGCTAAGCGGGGCTAGACGGGACACAGATTTGCGAGGCGCCCACGCTATGAGTACCGAATTCTATGGTGCCTCTCTCTCGAGCTCAATGTCAGATCATGAAGAATCAATTTCACAAATTGCGGACTAGCAGTGTGAAATTTCTTCCAACCATCATAGCACCCATTTTGCGTACTACCTCCATGGTATAATGTGGAATATGAAAGAGTCGCGCGATCGCCCTGAACCGTATCAGTGGGGGCAGGATGAAATAGATTGGTCGGGTTCTTTGCATATGCACCTAGTATGAACAGCAAGAATTAATTTATTCGTAGTCAAAAGTTCCAGCGTACATACTGGACCGATGTGGCTAGGGCATTTAGGCATTCATGCATTGAACAGCCAGTCGCTAAGAAGAGGCAGCGCTTAGCTTCAAATATCTCTTCAGCCCCAGCATGTTTTGAAATTCGGATGATACCTGGACTTCCCAACTCTGACTTCAAACATACTCGATGCGTTTACGTTTACCTTTCAGGGCCTTGACTAAGAGAAAAGCCCGACCAAACCTATCAGGAACAGCATCCTCGGTAGAGAAGGAAGACAGTCAGCGGATAACCTCAGAGTCAACGTTATCGAGACCTAACTCAGCTCTTCCTCCGCCTGTGACGCACGATAATCTGTGGGAACGAGCAGAGAAGAAGTTGAAGGCAGACAAAAAGAAAGAAGAGCTTCTCCAAGAAGCCACCAAGATCCTCGAGGATTGGGGGTTGGATATTCAGCTAGGTGGGGGCGATGGGTACAAGAAGCTTTGTGGCTTTCTCGAGGATCGAACAACCGATCTGAAAGAAAAGCAGTGGATGATTTTTGACCACAAGGTCTCCCTGCAAGGCCATGTTACCGAGGTGATGAGAAACATCTTGGCGGTGAAAGATGTGATCAATACTGCAACTTCCTCAAGTCCTCCAGCTGCAATAGCCTGTGCGGCTGTGACAGTTAGCCTCTTGGTAAGGCTATTTCGGCAAACTCTGGCTCGAACATATACTAAATCAATCATCATTAGCTCTTCATCCAAGCGGTCGAACAAAAGGAGATTCTCCTTCAGGGTTTAGACCAAACATCTGCGATAATCCTTCGTATTCACAAGATGGATGACCTCTACTTGCACTCCAATGAGGCTTCTGACGATTTAATTGAAAGGTTCAAGGAGACATTGATTTCTTTATGCTGCAAATTACTGGAATTCCAGGCCCAGGCGCTGTGCTTCCTTAATAAGAGTTCCTTTAATCAGTTTAGAAGGGGGATGCTGAAAAAGGATTCCTGGGATTCGCTACTCAAAGACATGCAAGAGCTTGAAATCGAAGCTGGGAAATTCACATCTCTGATTGAAGCGGACGAGCTGAAGTCGGAAAGGAAAAAGCGGGAAAGGGAGCTCCAAAGTGCCTTTGAAAAGCACCAGATTTGGCAAACAACATCAGAGCGGGATAAGCAGCTGAAAAACTTTTTCCAGCTCCTCTATACCTGTCCGTACCGAGATCGAAAGGACAGAAACAGGACACGCGTAGCTGAGACTTGTGAATGGTTTACCAGCCACCCTCGCTTCCAAGAATGGAACGAGAGCGCCGAGTCAAGTCTCTTATGGGTTTCGGCAGACCCGGGATGTGGAAAATCGGTCCTGGCAAAGTAACTGGTTGATGAAGTGCTTCCAAAGCCCAGAGGAAGAACAATTTGCTAGTTTTTCTTCAAGGATGATTATGACGATCAAAAGAGCTCTGCGAGTGCCCTCTCGAGCCTCTTACGCCAAGTCCTCATGGCCCACCCAAGCCTTCTACCACAATACGCTCTTGAAAAATTCGACACAGACGGGCGTCAACTCATCAGTTCTTCCAGAGAGCTGTGGAATATCCTGACGAGTGTCTCCTCCAATCCAAATGCCGGCGAGATCGTCTTTGTGATTGATGCCTTGGACGAGTGCCAAGATGACGATCGAAATCAGCTCATTAAGGAAGTGAAAGACTACTTGAATAAGAACAAAGACCACAGGATCAAATTCTTGATGACGAGCCGGCCATATGACCACATACGCAGTGCCTTCCAGAATCTCGAGAAAGAATATCCTACGATTCGTTTGAACGCTGAAAATGAAGTTGAAGTCGACAAAATTAAACGGGAGATAGATCTCGTTATTGCAAGCCGGGTTCGTGAAGTTGCCGAGCGCAAGTCGCTAGAGCCAAGTGAGCATGCATTCCTTCTGGAGCAGCTCACTAGCATAGAAAATCGGACCTATCTTTGGGTGACCCTTACAATGGAGTTCATAGAGAAAATTCCAGGCTTTACGAAAGGAAATGTCCGCCGAGCAATGAGTACTGAGATACCAGATAGCGTGAATGACGCTTATAGCAAAATATTAAATCGGAGCCCAAACCATGCTAAGGCGAGAAGGCTTCTTCACATCATCATTGCCGCTAAGCGTCCACTTCTTGTGGAGGAATTATCACTCGCCTTAGCTGTTCAGAAAGTCGATCAATCTGATGATCAGATTGAAGATGAAATAGAACCGGTTGAGCGATTCAAGATCACATTAAGAGACCTCTGTGGGCTTCTTCTGGTAATCATTGTGGGGAAAGTTTACCTCCTCCACCAGACAGTCAAAGAATTTTTAGTTCTGGATACTTCATCCTCGGGCAGCATCTCGGCAATCAATACCTGGCAACATTCCCTTACACCAAAAGATTCAAGCAAAGTACTTGCGAAAGTATGTATTTTGGGTCCTAAATGCGGATCCAGGGACGAGGCAGGATTTTTTTGGAATTATTCAGTACGCTACTGGGCGGACCATTTGCGCGAAGCTCACTCCTATAAAGGAGAGGAAATTACCACAACAGGAGCTTCTCTATGTTCTCTGGAGACAAGGGAAGGTGGAAGAGTCCATGATGAATGGGATAAATTGGGGCTTCCTATTGCAAAAATCCCTTCACCTTTGATCGTCGCATCTTACCTCGGACTTGAAGGAGTTGTTGAGTTGTTTCTTGACTCTGTGGAAACAGAAGTGGATTCAAAGGACTCTGAATATCAACAGACTCCTTTCTCCTGGGCAGCAGAAAACGGTCATGAGGCCGTGGTCCAGTTATTTCTTCAGACTGGGAAAGTGGACGTTGATTCAAAGGACTCATATCAACGAACTCCACTCTGCTGGGCAACAGAAAATGGTCATGAGGCTGTGGTCAAGTTACTTTCTGATGCTAGCTTCCGGGTGGAGAAGGGTAGATCAGCAGTTTCCCTCATTTAGGTCCTCAAAAATCAGATATCCTATCTACATGATGCCACACATTAAGCATGAGAAGCATTTTTTGAGCCATCGAAGCCCTTATCACATCTACATCGAGCAAGTCTTTTACACGCCCTAATCGAGCATAAAGAATGGTTTCAATGATTGTGAAAATCGAGAAAGGTTCTCATTAGAAGTTTTTACATTATGAAGTTCAATTTGAACCCTGTTGGAATGTTTTCGAGTATGATTTTGTGACACTGTAAGTAGGAAAACTAATAATGGGGTACTGAGATACCACCATCATAGCCAACGACCACATTCACTTCAGCAACAGCTTTTTCTTCTCGTTGAGAATTTCAAGGATAGATTCGGTTTCCCATATTATCCTTTGCGCTATTGGCTCAGAAATCTGACCCGACTTCCCATCGTCGCCTTCTATCCCATGGTGGTACAGTATGGACTTATTCCTCTGCCCGTAAACTGTGAAATCAACAGATATGAAAGGTATCATAAGCATTCGCAAGATAAAACTTTCACCGGGGTACAGAAGCCACATGCCCTAGGAACGCGATATATAACTCCAAACAGACCCTTGTAAACGCCAACAATATCTGCCTATCAGCTCTAAACAACTTTATAAACATGCATTGGCCTCTTCACATTCTGTACCCAGCTTAAAATATCCTCTGCGAAACGCCGAACAATGCCCTTCTTACATCCCTTGCCAATGAAAATTTGGGTCTCGGCCTTAATCCAGCGGCCAGCAATGGACTAGTATGGATGATGTAACTGATGCTATAGCTTCATGTTGACTGGAAAATCATGTACAAGAATCCCTCCCAAAACCTCATCAAGACCTGCATTTCTCCCGCTCCATTATTCAAGATGCAGGACTTGGCGGTAGCTCCCCTGTTGTCCAATTGACTGCGGTCGGCCCTAGCTCAAACTCAAGTGTACCACCTTGTGCAAATATGTCATCCCAGGTCAACCAGCTCTTCTTCCATATCCGGCCGTTGACCTTGAGACTCTGGACATAGATATCGGTGTCACCATTTCCATCTCCACCTGTAGATGTGATTTCCAATGTCTTCCCATCATCTAGATTGATGGTCATGGATGCGAACCACGGCGAGTGAATCAGGAAGGTAGTCTGGCCAGTAATCGGGTACAGACCGATCATGTTCCAGAGCAACCAAGTCTGCATAGCTCCTGCATCACTGTTGCCCGGGAGTCCAGAGACACCGGTGGTGTAGTCTGTTTTAGCGACCTTGCGAGATCGCGATACCGCCAGATCCTGTCGACCGACGAAATTGTACAGATAAGGGAGATTGAACATGCTGGTTCTGATTAGTTCAATTCAATCTTCCATGAAAAGATGCCACTTACGGTTCGTTGGTTGGGTCAAAAATCGTTCCACTCGATCCACTGGCACCCTCGGTGAACATGGTATCCAGTCGGGAGATCACAGTGTCAGTGCCACCCATAAGCTCAATCATGTGTTTCATATCATGCACATCCGCGAAGGAATAAGCCCACGAAATAGCCTCGTAATACGGATCACCCCAGTACCCACTATCACTCAATGGATTAGTCTCAATAAAGCCCGACGTATTGCGCGGGACCACGAAGCCCGAGTATCCCAGCGAAGTCTGGTCTGGATTCCAATGATTCCGCCAGTTGCGCGAGCGGCTCAGATACGTTTGCGCATCTTCCGTCTTCCCCAGCCCAGACGCAACCTGGTACAGCCCGAAGTCGTTATAGGCGTACTCCACGGCCCGGCTAACTGCCCGACTGAAAGAGGGTGTAATGTATCCATACTCAAGCCAGTCGGGCAGTGCGCTTCGGCCGTCGTGGGTTGAGGAGTCTGGTGCCATCCAGTCGATTGGCCAATTGGCCGGGGTGACTTCTGCATCTTTCACCATGGCTTTGTAGCCGTCTTTCCAGTTGACGGAGCCGCGGACTCCTTTGACGTATGCGTCTGCGAGGACGTTGTCGGCATTGGACCCGCCTTGTGAGCGGCCGTTGTAGTTGGAGGATCGGGCGTCTGGCATGTATCCGTCGTGTCTCCAGATATCGATCAGTGATCGGATTTGCTCTTCATATGCAGTCGGTTGAAGCACCTGCATTAAGGCAGTGGAGCAGCGGAAGAGATCCTGTATTGTGAGTCAGCTTTGTCTTGATTCTTTAGACAAGGAATGGGAACTTACCCAGAAAGTAAAGATATCCTGGTAATAAGGCTCGGACGAGGACCAACCGGGATTTTCTCCAGTTTGGTTTGTCGGGATGAGATGCATGAAATAGAGAGAAGTGTATAGCAGACTGAGGCTGGTGTCGTTGGTGTTCGTTGTAGTGACTTTGGAAAGAACCTCATTGTTCCATTCAGAAACAGCATTATCGACAACCGAAGTAAAGGAAGTTTCCTCTGGAATCTCGCTGTTGACATTGTCACAGGCTTTTTGTCTTGAGATCCATGAAATTCCCACACGAGAGATGACTTCGGTGTCACTGAACGAGAATAATGCACCAACACGAGTGGAGTTGGATGAAGATGTAGCAACACCACCAGGCTGTTCAACACTCCTAGCTGCACCAGTTGCTGTGTATGTCTTGTTGCTTATAGCAGCAGAGTCGAAATAACCACCTATAACCGTTAGACAATATCTCCACTCAGCGTAAACAAGACATACAGAAGTAAATAGTCCAGTCTGGCGCCTCATTCCACCCATTATTATACACACCAGCACCTTCATAGTGACCATCAGCAAAAATAGTGATGTTTCCACCCTCATAATTCTGACTCAAGCCTTGACCCCGAAACGAAGGCAACACATGCGATACATCTACCAGCACATTCCCTTGCGACGAGGGAAATGTATAGCGATAGATTCCTGCCCTTGATGAAGCACTCAGTTCAACCTCGACTCCGTCTCCAGTCTTAGCCTTGTAGTACCCCACAGAGCCCTCGTCAGTACCACTTCGCGACACCGTGATATTCGACAATGGATCGCTGATATCGCCGACCAAGGGCAATTGTGAAACTGTGCCATATTTCGGCGCCCCGCCTGTTCCCTGCTCATGCATCATACTGAAACCTGAGAAGTTACCATCAGGTAGATAGCCCGAGTAAGAGTCTGTGCCTGACAGCAGGAGATCGGGGCCAAGCTTGACCATGCCGAAGGGTCGCACTGCCCCAGGGAAATTGTTCCCTCCACCTTCAGTTCCCATACTGCGATCATTAGGTGATGTGACATATGGGAGAGGGCAGGCGAGCGTACAAAACATCCACGTGTTGAGTCAAATCCTCTGCTGCTGCAACTGCCATCAGGGCCACGCCTGTTAACATCTTCGCATGTCTCATGGTGACTCTGGAGAGAGACTAGAACAGTCCACAAGCAAAACGAAAAAGCAATATTTGCAAGATGCGGGCACAGAGAAAAAAGTATCTACAGAAGGTATATTGAACGTTTCAAATGCTCGTAAAATTGGAGTCTATTCTCGAGGGAAATCGGTAATTCTGCGCAGAGTGCATGTGGTCTATTAACTGGACTTAACACCCCGAGCCATATCATAATTAACAGGCATGGCTACAGATCATCCCTCCCCGCTTGAGATCCGAGACCCCGACTCCCTGCGACATCATTGTTGGGCTTTTCCACAAGGGGCTGAGATCACCCCTAGATTGGAAGGTTAGGTATTGCACCTGGGCAATCCCGGTGCTCTGAGTGGGGGATTCTGACATTCTGTGAGAACAAAAGATGCATATTATTCTGGAGTTGGTTTAGGTGGATATTTGGGTATACATTGAGATAGGGGAATGACCAAATCAGGAGTCGCGCTGGACTCACATGCGCCGATCAGGGATACCACGTGTGGGGGGACATTATACCACACCCAAATATTCAATTTTGTTCAAATCCCTCCAATCAGGGAATTTGGAACTATTTAATCAGAGATTTGTGTTTTGAATGAAAATACATCATCTACCCTCAAATAAATCAAATGGCCTCTGCCTGTTCCTTTAGTAACCGTTGCGTAAGATCATTCTGGATCCATTGCTCCACCAATGCCACTGTATCGCCAACTAAATAATCATAGTTTGGTCTATTGGGGAGGAACATAGACATGTGCGCTTCCACTTCGTCCATGTCCTCCATTGCCACTGGATGCCAGCCACGGTTGTCATGATATTTCCAATGAGAAGAGGGTAGGAGAATGAATCTGCGAGGCTTGGGGGACTTGGACGTCGCGTTGTCACCAGAGCTCGACGTTGCGACAGAAACGGTTTCTGGACTGTCTTCATCTCCTACCCGATTGATCGAGGTGGATGAAGCAACACTGGGCAGTACTGAAGCCTCCTTATTCTTATTCTTAGGGCTTTTTTCTTCTTTCAATCAATGAGAGATGAGCTTTATTTCTTCGAGAGGAATCTTACCTTTGCCTTTCCGACGAGGAGTACTTGAGGTATAATAGTTGATAAAGCGTATTCTCTCGGGGCTGTCTTCTGCCATTTCCAATTCTCGGAGTCGTTGGTATCGCCGCCGCAGTTCACTGTAGTTGTTCACTCCGCTTGCAAACTTCACAGGCGCCATCAAGCGCTTGAGGGCTGAGTGGCCAAGACCTTGTTTTTCTGCTTCTCTTTCTGCTTTCTTCTTTTGGACAAAATGCTTCACGCCCCCCACTAAGCCACGTTCGGGTAAGCGTCTATCATTCAGCCATCGAGGGTCATAGTTAGGAGGAGGATCCGGGGGGTTGAAGGTTGGGTCATTATAAACCGATTCAAAGCCCGGGGCATTTGAGGACGCTTCTTCTGATGTTTCGTCGCTACTGGAAAACAAGCTACCTAGTCCAGTGGAGACAACATGAGGATGTAGTCCCAAGAACGGAGTATCGTAGTTGATGATTCCTAAAATTCGATGCCTCCGCTTGGCACTCTTGTCTTGGTGCAGAAGTGCGACATCAGCCGCTATGATCCCGCCCATGCTATGCCCGAGCAAGATAATGTCTAGATCATCTGCCTCGTGTGGTGACAGCCTGCAAGTATTGTAATTAGCGTACAGTAGTCCCTCTTGTTTCCTGAAGGAGCCATTATAAGATTTACACACCAACCGCTGAATCTTTTCACTGCCAGATTAAATTCGCCGTGCGACTTATATCGGGGGTATATCCGAGTGTATACCACATGCGATTCACTCAACAAAGCGGCCAACGCGCTATGGATGTGAACGGGCAGGTCCGAAAAGGTCGCCTCAGAACCGTTGAAGCCATGGATATAAATCAACAATAGCCTTCGCCTAGTCGCGTCCTGAGGTCCAGGCCCGGCCATCGACAGCCCTGAGGACAGCGATGAACCAGTAGAGGAACGCTCAGGCGGACTGTGACTCGGCTCCGGTTCCATCTTATTCGGAAGGGAACAATAATGACAAAAGAAAAGCTTGGGTTAATCAGGGACATAAAGCCGCACCCGAAACCCCGCACAATTTGGCCCCCACTTTCTAGCGTCAACCAACAATAGAGATCAACGATCAATGGTTTCAAGGAACAGCCTGGATTGGGGCCAAAATAAAATTCATTCTTGAAGCAATCAAAGACGTTTGGAGCTGATATGTCTGAATACAGTACGTAGCAACGATGCATGACTGATTCTGTAAGCCTTCGTGTTACAATGGCTTCAAGTTATGGGGCTGCCCAGCCTTATGCACAGGCTAGCTTTACAGGGTTCCATGATGCAGTGGAATCCTGCTCTAACCTCACTCCTTAAAATCCCCTGAACTCTTGACTGTGCAGTACCCCTCCCACAAAGACATCTTCTACAATTCTGACGAAGACTAGTTAACAAACGCAACCTGCGACACTCATCAAGATATTCAAGCCAGCTGACGCCTAATCACGATGGACTGGTTGAAAAGGATATTCACGGGCAAAGATTCAGCAAGACTAGCCACCGAGAAGAAAAACAAGCGCGTCAGAAAAGCACACCAGAAGCAAGTTCTCGCACGGGAAGACGAGCTGAGGCATCTAGCAGAAGGTGGAGGGGCCAAACAAGCGCGCCTTTTCGTCGGATCCCAGGGAAGAAGGTACTCGCATGAAAGAGACGGGAAGCGAACCGACAAGGCATGATATCACCCGTGTTGTACGATTAAGGAAATCTCCATATTTAGTATAAAAAAATTTCTTTCACGCAATTCCCTTCCATTTGAATCAATCCTCCAATCTGGATCGCGTCGGGTTCCAAGAAACAGGACTATACTCATTCGTCTCAAGCTCCTGTACCTCCTCCGGCGTAAGCGAAAAATCAAAAACCTCCGCATTAGCAGCGATGCGCGATGATGTCACACTCTTCACGAGCGGAATATGACCCTTGTCGATACTCCACCGAATCAGCACCTGAGCTGGAGTTTTCGAATACTTCTCCGCCAGCTTCTTCACAACCGGTTCCTCAAAGCGAGTACCGCGCACAATGGGGCAGAAAGCTTCTACAACGATCCCACGTTTGTTGCACCAGTTCGCAATGTCATTGTGTGCCAGCCATGGGTGGAGCTCGATCTGGTTGACGCTCACAACGCCGCCTCTCCCTTTCCCTCCCCGCTCGGTTTCTAGTTCGCGAATGTGTTGCTCGAGTTCGTCTAGATGGTGTACTCCATAATTGCTAACGCCAATAGAACGCACCTTGCCGGCCTCGGCGGCTTCGACGAGCTGTGCGTGGATTTTGTTAGTTGGGTTTCAGTGATTGGAATGGATAGCTTACAGCTCTCCATCCGCCCTTGCGGTTCTCGGATCCACCGAAGGGATTGTGAAGAAGCATTAGGTCGATGTACTCGAGCTTTGATTCTGAAAGGGTTTTGTCGACCTGTGCTTTGGCTTGGTCGTAGCTTATATCGCCTACTTTGGACGTGAAGAATATTTGATCGCGTGGGATTCCGGACGATCGGATGGCGTTGCCGCAGCCAGCTTCATTGTAGTATTTGGCTGCTGAGTCAATCTGTGCGTGACTTTAGCAAATTTGTATCGGTTCATGATGCGTTTCCGCTTACATGACGGTAGCCGGCCATGAATGCTTCAAGACAGCATCGTTCTGTTTCAGCTGCTGGGCTTCAGGGAAGTTAGCTTCAAGTGCACTGGAGCAAGGTATGTTGAGGGCGATTCACGTCTTATAGACCTTTGATAATCGTTATATGAGTATTTACACTGATAATTTCAAAGGAGTCGGGGCACATACTCCAAAGCCTAGATTGGGGATTTCAAAGCCACTGGCGAGCTTAGTCGTGGGGTGAATTTTGGAGGCCATTCTCAACATGACAGACACAGTAGGATGGCCCTGTTGAGTGATAATGAAGTCAAAATCAGGTTATCTACTGGTCGGCTTTTAGCTTACGTCCGGTTAACTAATTAACTAGTCATCAACTTGATTATCAGCTGTCCTTAGTCATCGGCGGGGTTATGGGGTAAGCCTCAGTTGTTCCATGGAGAACCTTTTTCTACTCGATATCACCAGATCAAATAATCGTATTGCTTCTTCCAAGGTCTCTCACTTTCACTCTTAAACTACCAAGGATAGCATCCGTCTCTGTGAATAAACTTGCCAGCATCTTTGTCTCTCCGTCCGACTATAATCTCCATAATTGCTTTCCCCGATTCCATAGGATCGCCAGCCCGACCATGAGCATTAATCGCTTCTTCAGAATCACCCCTCAGCATTGATCTCACAAGACCCGGACAAAAAGCAAAAACCCGAACATTCTGATCCTTAAGTCGCTTATGCATTTGAATAGTCATCATATTCAACGCAGCTTTGCTCATGCGGTATTCATCCCAAGGCGCCAAACTAAGCTCACTCTTTGGATCAGCTGCAAGTGCCAGTGATCCCAGCCCGCTGGATATTTGAATGAGATATGGACGAGAAGATTGGAGCAGAAGAGGAACAAAGGCCTCCGAGGCAAGCATCGCACCGAAGACGTTTGTTGAGAATATCTTTCCAATCTTATCCCGCCCAGTTGAACCAGGCGAGGTTGTGCCTGCGTTACTGATAAAAACGTCGACTTTTCCGAACTGCTCGGAAATAGTCCTGACCGCGTTGGAGATGGAAGTGTCGTCTTCAACATCCAGCTGAAGGACGGAAAGTGTTCCTTGGATGTTGGTAGCTTCGAGCTGAGAACGCGCCTCTTGTCCCTTCAAATGGTCTCGGCAGGCCATTATTACATGGTAGTTTGGTTGGGATGCAATCATTTTAGTTGTTGCATAGCCGACGCCTGAGTTGGCGCCTGTGTGAAGTTAGCAGCGTGTAATTATGTGACGCGATTGGGACCTTACCGGTAATGAGGACAATGGTCGAGTTAGACATTCTACTTAGACAACAGAACCTGAAACTTAGGTGATCTTCAGATTTATATTTGCCATGAAGAACATGGGTTCTTATAATGGCATTGTATTAGGAAAGCACGGACTCAACGGACTCTCGGGCTCACGGAGATAACAGCCGAATATCCGGGTTTTAGTGAACCGCTAAGATCAGGTTAAAGGTAGAGAGCCATGTATAAAGTATCAGAAGTCGGAAATAAGATCTAAAAATCCGATTAACCATTATGATTTTTATCTGCGGAGTAAGAACAAAGCCGCCAGACCTAAAGGAACGCGTTCACCGGCGGAAGAATGTCAACCTCAATCAGCCACTAAGAACGTTGAAACTTTCCTTTTGTCGCCTTGCTTCCCTGCATATGATCCATGTAACTCCATGTTCCACTGAATAAGCAAGGCTGCAAGGGGCTGAGACATGATCCACACCACCGGAGCCTGTTTAGGTTATTACCCAGCCATCGATTACCTCTTCCCCGAGGTCAGTCCCAATCATGAGTTTTTGAATATTTGGAACAGTATAATGGATAGTCACATAAAATAGTGTAAATGATAGTTTCATTTACACTGGACGGATATGCGAGTACCATGCAAGTCCACACAGGGTTGCAAAGCCACGACCTTCAAGGGGGCTGGACAGCAGGCAGCATCCCCATGGGACTAATATTCTCAGTATGGGGCAGTGTACTTGAATAAAGTAATTATAACTTTGGGATACAAGACTAGACCTGCCACATGGTCGGACTTCTTGCAATTCCCTTCGTGTATTTGTGCTCTGGTGACTTTTCGCGCAGGCAGTGGGCATGTGTTGCATAGAACATAACCTTCGACAACTTCTATCCCTTCCTTTCCTACTCATAAATACCCACCATGACCGGTACTCCAGATAGCGAAGGTTAGTTCAGTCTCCCCTGTATTGACTTACCATCAACCTATGACAAGTCTGACCTTTCAACAGGCCTTATTCCAGTTGAGGCTCAACACATTATAAGCCCTGTCAGCCCAGTGCACACCTCGGAACGTACCACCCATTCGCATTCGCCACCTCTACCAGACGTCACAAGTCCACATCCAGTCCTAGAACACGAACACGAACGTACCCGACCCGAAGACGCGCCCATGCCAGTCATCTCTGAGCCCATCTCTGGAATGTCGGAAAAGCAATACGCTGGTCAACTTTCTGACAGTGAATCTCACCCAGCATTCGCAGGCCAACATCCCATGAACTCTGCATCAAATGAGAAGGCCTATCCTGGCCAGCCAAGCCAGCCAATCCCCGACCGATCACTACCACAGGCGTACTATACACCATTTGGTCAATCAACTAACTATGCGACCGCAGTACCTTTACATGCACTTCAGTCGGCTCCGTGTCCTGTTGACTGTCCTGCCTGCGGGCAACGCGAAATAACCAAAACACTAGCAGTATCAGGAGGAACTACACAGTGAGTCAACGCTCCATGATTAAGAATGATCATGTTATAATCCATACTCACTGTTTGGATAGTGCCTGGGCTGCCGTACTCTGCTTCTGTTGCTGTCTCGGATGTATCCCATACCTGATTTCGTCCCTCAAAGATGTCGAGCACTCTTGTGGAAAGTGTGGTGTGAAACTCGCACGCTGGCATAACAGCGGGCGTGTCGAAGTGTTTCAAAGTGAGAGATCATCTGTTGGGACTCAGCAGTCTAACTTGGGGTCGAATGCTCAGTCGCAACCAAAAATACAAGGTTATTCGTAGTCTTGTAAGTGAATGCTTTTGTGATCATATTGCTTTATGTTTTGGAATTTTGAAGAAAGTAGAAAATGATACCACTTTTTGCAGTCTCTACGAGTAACTCCCCGCTTTTAAATCATAAAGCATTAGAGGATATACATTAAGATAAAATAAAAGAAATCCCATGACTACATGACTGATTGACTCGAAATGCCAAGAAATTCGTATTTAGGTTCAGCTGATCCGATAGATGCCGTCACTCACCAGATCACCGCGATTTTCCACCTTCACCACCTGGAACACTCTCCATCATGTTTCGATTGATAGTTGCAATCAGCGCTGTGCTGACAGGATCATCCGTGGTATATTTTTACATCTTTCACCAAAACCTATCCGCGCGCATCCAGCACATATCACATTGCGGGCGATCATCACCAAAATCCAAGCCGATAAGCATCGAGTCGGTCCCTGATTGTGCATTTACAGATCAGTATATTTCACTCCATGATCGTGCCTCAATATCTGTTACTCGTGGCGCGCTCCCAAAGGTTCCAACAGAAATATTGTTGACCAAACTGGCCCGCCGCAACATGACTGTGTTCTCTCACTTCCCACAGGCCTTGATGATCCGGTTTGTCTGCCATAGTCCAGAGACCAGAGAAAGCTTCAAAGCATCGCATATTGAATCCCTTGATTTTGATAAAGGGGACCTGGTCTGTGGTGCGTACCGCGTCATTGTACGCAGCAGCAACAAAGTGGAATTTGAAATGAAGATGGAGAATATGGAGTTCATGAATGGAAGACTTGCTCTGAGCGTTCAGGAGAAGGGAGAGGAGGTGGTGTTTTCTACTGAGACGATGATGTGGAAATTGGCGGAGGAGATGCAGGCTATGCCCCTGGAAAAGCCATTGCTTCGATGGATGCATGAGACTGCATCTTGGTGGTTGATTGAATCTGGCGTGAGATATTTGACGGAACTTGAGTGTAATTAAACATTGTATTTTACCCTTTGATATCATGGCCTAGACACCAGGGTCAAGCGAAGCCCAATGAGAGTCCCTTGTTAGCATCATGGGCCCTGCTTTGTAGCTTGAGGCCGAAAGGATGAGATTAAATTGTTTGATGTCTCGTTGTATGCTTATTAGAATTTTTAAAAATTCAATCGCTTTGTTCAAATGTTTTATTATTCCCATAATCTTCAAAGAAAACAAAGTCATCAAAATCCAAAATCTTTATATGCTTTTTTTACAATCAAAGAGAACATTTGGAATAAAAACAATGCTATATTTCTCTTCGCTCAGCTTCTTCATATTATAAAGTAGCCCACATCACCAAGTTGAAAGCCTTCATTCCATGAGTATTCTGTTATCTTATATTGGAAACTTACTATGTGCAGATACACGTATCACCACTACCCAGATTGTGGGCATATTGCCAACTATACAGTTATGAGCTGCTTGGAGTTCACCAATCAACTCCGAATGCTGGCCAGCGCTGATGATTCTCCTTGCGATCATTATCATCTAACTTGCGACGATATCAAAAATTCTCATGATCTCCTTTCATCAGACCACCCAGACCTCTGCCTGCAATGCGCCTATGACTGGAGTAGTGAATATTCCCAAGGCAGGCAGATTCAACCGCCCAAGCAGAATCGAGTCTTGGAAGGACTGGACGCGAAACACCCTATCATTCATTTCGAAGCCCGAATGGTTGGTCAGAGAAATCCCGACCCGGACAGACTGCAAACGCGAGCTCACGTCTACCAGAGAAAGTCCCTCAAGCATGACGGATGGTCTCATTCAACCTGTCCTCCATCTGTAAGTGCTGAGCAGTCAGAGAGTGATTTTCATTTCATGGCCTGGGGCTCCCCTATGACCTTGGATTCGCCCTTTTTTGACACGTTTGACTCCTGTACCAATGCAGATTTATTGACCAGGCTTGGTAGATCTCGTGATTTTGACTGCAGCTTGCATTAAATTGATCCTTGTGCACAGCTTGATTTAAACCTCAAAAGCCACGGAGCTTCCACCCCCACCGTACACTTTGGTGTATGTGAGATGCATGATTTATTTTCCAATTTTTGTGATTTCGTCTACCCATCTCATAACCCTGATGTTGATTCCATATGTCTCGAAGACTTTGTAAATCTTGAGCCCGTTCCCGATGTGGTCACTGATTGCTTGACACAGTTAGACCTGGATTGCGAAAAAGCCAACGATAACAGAAACATCCAATTGACCCAGGCCTTTCAAAGAGCTGCCTTGTCAGATTTCACCCCTAAAATGTCAGACGGATCTAATCAGAAATCCCGCACCAAGCCTCTGCCTACCCTGAATCATTCTGACTCAAGGAATAGTCTGTGGCGCGCAAATATGTCCAGTGCGTCGTCGCCTGATTTTCGGAACAAAAAGACTGAGTGGTTCTCAGACCTTGAGCTTGTCTCATTTGGGACTAACACTCTTCTAGACACCCCAGTCGAACTTCGGGCAACAGCAGATTTTCTTGATTCTTCGGACGAGGAAGACGGGGGATGTTTGCTAGGTGACTGGTGATTTCTTCTTTGACTTAGTTGCATATCTGGTCAAAGCGGCTTTAACGTCTCGTCATCTCTTTCGGGTAAAGAATGCAGCTGCTGCGTTTTCGTCGCTGTCGGCGCTGTCGGCGCTGTCGGCGCTTTGTTGACTTATATGTGCTGTTTTAATACTCAATGGGCGCGAGTTCTCCCGACCTCAACAATTGAACATAAATTTCCAAAAATCTTTTATGAATTTTACGTTCGAAACCGTGGAGCTCTAGGCTCGGTATTCATGTTGAAGCTCGGGCAGTCGGACTTCAACCGATTATCACTCGGTGATCTTTCCCAAGTCCTTACCCTTCACGCCTCCACTATTTATTTTGCTCTTCGTTTGTGTTTTGCTTTTTATCAATCATTTTCTATACAAAAAATCATGTCTAAGCCAGCAATCGGTTTCGTTGGCCTTGGAGCCATGGGCTTCGGTATGGCCACCAACCTGGTGAACGAGGGATACCCAGTTCACGGGTTCGACGTGTTCCCCGCATCAGTGGAGAGATTCAAGGCCGCTGGCGGTATCCCCGCTTCTTCATTGCGGGATTCAGCTAGTGACAAGCAATACTACATTTGCATGGTCGCATCAGCTCCGCAGGTTCAATCAGTATTGTTCGGCGAAGGTGGCATTGTTGCTGGTATGTAACTCATCGATTCAACATCCAATGATAACATAATGGAACTAATTCAATTGATTAGGACTTCCCCAAGATGCGACCCTCATTCTGTGCTCGACAGTCCCTGCTTCATATGCCCAGTCTGTCGCCGAGGATCTTGTTCGTCGTGGCCGTGGAGATATTCACTTTATCGATGCGCCGGTGTCGGGTGGTGCAAAGCGCGCTGCGGATGGAACACTCTCTATCATGGCTGGAGCCCCAGACGCGGCACTGGAGAGCGGCCGTTTCTTATTGGAGGCCATGTCTGATACCGACAAGCTGTACCTAGTGCCGGGGGGAATTGGGGCTGGTAGCAACATGAAGATGGTACACCAGGTTCTTGCGGGTATCCATATCCTCGGTGCCAGTGAAGCTATGGGCTTTGCAGCGCAACTAGGCTTGCTTGCCGATACTACCGCAGAGGCTATTAAGTCGTCGGTGGCATGGACATGGATGCACGAGAACCGCTTGGATCGCATGATGGAGGAGGATTGGAACCCTGGTGCTAGTGCTCTGACGATTATTCTGAAGGACGTTGTAAGTGTACTCATATTCCATATTCACATTATTCGGCTCGCTAACAAGCCATAGGGAATCATTACCACTTCCGCTCGTCAGAACCAGTTCCCTACCCCTCTTTGCTCCACGGCTGAGCAGATCTACCTAGCAGCTCTTTTGCAAGGCTATGGTCCCGTTGATGATTCTGCTATGATTCGCCAGTACTTCCCTAACCCAATCAAGGATGTCTCGAATACCCTTGACTTGAGCGAAGAGGTTGATTTGCGGCAGCTAGTTTTGGATATGATGGAGGTGACAAATCTGGTTGCCACAGCTGAAGCAATTGCATTTGCACGTCACCTCAAAGTGGATCTTCAGCAGTTCTATAACCTTGTCAGTAATGCTGCCGGCTCTAGCCGCCAGTTCATGACAAGGGGGTTAGAAATGATCGAAGGGGCAATCGACATGCAACCTGGATCGGAGACTATTGATGACGCCATTTTGAGAATGGACAGAGCCGTACAAAAGGCGAGAGATATTCACTGCCCACTGCATCTTGGAAATGCAGCAATCAACACGTTGTTCATGGCTAAGCGGGCTGGCTTTGGGGGTGAAAGCAGTATTAGCGTTATGCAGGTATATGGACTTGGACTTACATTGTAATTTCAAGTTGTATAAATAGATGGTGTTTTAGTATATCAGATATAGCCTCTACTATTTTTCACATAATTCCATATCTTTCAAGTATTTGACTGAATCTTGTAAAAATTTTGATATGCGGGACACCAACCTGGGGACACCTAACTCTCCTGGATCCGATGTCAACGATGTCAGATATGGAGCTCTCAATGAATCCCGTAGAATCAAATTCCCGACCCATAATCCATGAGTCGAAAAACTACCTCGGAATCCGGCCAAGTCAACTTGACGTAATTAGACCCTCGGTCCATCTCCGACCTATCGGACAACATGCGACAAACAAACAGCAACACGGACACAACAGCGAACGTCAGCATAAATCACAATATCCCAGTCTTAAATCGCCAAAATACCCCTCATTCACTCTCCAAAGCAATTGATCACACTCTATCGCCAACACAATGCCTCTCACCGAAAACCGCGCTTTGCGCATCCTCGACCACGCCTCCAAAAACCACTACGGCGTGCCCGCAATGTGCTGCTACAATGTCGAAGGTATTCTCGCTACAGTCCGCGCCGCAGAAGCCAAGCGCGCCCCTGCCATGATCCTTCTCTTCCCCTGGGCAATTCACTACGCCGACGGAATCCTCGTGCACGCAGCCGCGGAAGCAGCGCGCAAAGCTACCGTCCCCATCACAGTGCACATGGACCACGCGCAGACGCCGGAGATTATTCGCTACGCAGCAGATCTGGGCGGGTTCGATAGTATCATGGTTGACATGTCGCACTATGAGAAAGCGGAGAACCTTGCGCTGACGAGGGAGTTGGTGGAGTATTGCCATGCGCGGGGTATTGCTACGGAGGCGGAGCCCGGGCGGATTGAAGGTGGGGAGGACGGGGTTGCGGATACGGCTGATCTGGAGGGATTGTTGACTACGCCTGAGGAGAGTCGGGAGTTTGTTGATACGGGGATTGATTGGTTGGCGCCTGCTTTTGGGAATGTGCATGGGGAGTATGGACCGCGGGGGATTCAGTTGGAGTATGAGAGGTTGAAATCGATTAATGAGGCAGTTGGGAGGGAGGTGAGGCTTGTTCTTCATGGGGCGGACCCTTTCAGCAAAGAGATTTTCCAGAAGTGCATTGATTGTGGAGTGTCGAAGATTAATATCAACAAGGTGTTGAATAATGAGTATGTCAAGGTGCAGGCGGAAAAGGCTGGGAAGGTGCCTTTGACTACTTTGTTGGAGGAGGCTACAAATGCGATGCAGAAGGCTGTGGAGGGTTGCATTGATATGCTGGGCGCCGGAGGGAGATATCCTTGAGAAATTGCTTTTGTTTACATTCAATAATAGATCATTTGCCAACGTGCTACTAATTAAATAATTTGTTGAGTAAGTATAGTCCTGCGCAAAAAATTGCCTCCATTTCCCAGCTGGATATATAAGAATACAAAAACGCCAGATAAGGAAATTGATTATTCCGAAACACGACTAAAGACCCCCTCCAAGGCCTGCAAGAAGGCCACCAAGGAGTGGCACGCTCTGAAGAGAGCTAAGTGGGTTAGAGGCCTTTGACTTTGACTTTGCCTTTGATGCTGCCTTCTTGGCTTTGGAAAGCTTTGACTTTGACGAGCTGGACGGTGTGGGGGTAGCAGAGCTCGTAGGAGTGGCGGTATCGTGGCGGATAAGGGGAGTAGAAGTAGAACCCTGCTTGGCCATCGCCATGGCCGAGTTGGACAAGACAGCGGAAGGAGTTGGCCTAACCATAGAGCTGAAAGAGCTAGGAGCCTGAGGCTTCAATGACGAAGCGGAGGGAGTGTACATAGGCGTAGGCGTAGGCGTAGCGAGCACAATGTGGGAAGTAGGCGAAGGGGCAACAGGCTTCGGCATCGGAGGAACAACGTTCTCAAGAGGAAGGTACTCTGATTGGCCGTCATCGGTTTCATCATCAGCCATCGCAAGGAGGTTCTCCGGAGTAAGACTGGCCTTAGGCTGCGGGGCAGTCTCATCAGAGGTGTCAAGTTCAGGCTCAGACAGACCGGACAGTGACATGTCATCAGCAGCAGCAGCTGGCTTGACAGACGGTTTGGGAGTTTCTGACACCTTCGGCTTCACCGTGGGGGAAGGCTTTTCAGTGGGCTTGGCCTTTTCGGTAGGCTTGGGCTGCTCAATGGGCTTGGGCGCCTCAACAGGCTTAGGCTTCTCAATAGGCTTAGGCTTCTCAATGAGCTTAGGCTTCTCAATGGGCTTGGGCTGCTCAGTGGGTTTGGGTGCCTCGATAGGCTTGGGCTGCTCAATGGGCTTTGGTGCCTCGACAGGCTTGAGCTGCTCAGTGGGCTTGGGTGCTTCAACAGGCTTTGGTGCTTCCGCAGGCTTGGGCTGCTCAACGGGCTTTGGTGCCTCGACAGGCTTGGGCTCCTCCATGGGCTGGGGCGTCTCAACTGGAGCTTGAGAAACCTGAGGGATAACGGGCATGTGAGCCGCTGCCACAACAGGCACATCATGAACCGGGGAGTGGTAGTGTGTCTCAGGCTTCATGTTCGCCCGGTGAGCGGCAGCAGACGGCGCAGCAACAGTTGGCGGAGCTGCTTTTGCTGGGGCAGCCTGCTTTGGCATGCTGTTACTCTTTGCAGACTCGGCAGACATCATCACTTCCATAGCGGCGGCGGGATACGGATTATCGAACGAGTCATCATCGAAGCTATCATCTCCAGAATTTGGTCCTGTCATGAAGGGATAGGAGCTGAATGGGTTGCTCATTTCATCCATATCATCAGAGCCTGGGCGAGGGTAAGATGGCGCGGCAGTGGCGCCGAGGACGAAAACCGCCAAGGAGACGTAGGCGTAACGCATTTTGTCGGCTCGAGGTACTTACTTGCCTCTGTAGTCGTTGAAAGGAGTGTAATCGGTCGGAAAAATTACTATAGAGGTGGGAATGGGGACGAAGGGGTGTGGGCGTTTTTATAAAGATACGCTTGGATTGTTGATCTTCATTTCTGTTGTGATCTTTATCTACCACATACCTCATACCAGAAAGGCGCTGAAAGAGATCAGCATCTTTGCTTAGGATGACGAGTTCTGGCTAACATGAGGGGCGGGATGTCCTGTTGGTATGGTCGATCAGGGGAAGCTTGAATTCCTAGATCCCGTTAGCCTCCCCGCGGAATGATAATCACCAGAGTTTCCTTTCAAGTACTGAAAGGGCGCATAACCTTCCAGTCTAGCACCCAACTCTACTCCCCCAAAACACTTTTATTCTCCTGTTCAAGCTGGTCAGAGATTATATGAGGTAGAGACTGAAATCAGCATGAATGATCCCATGGCCAACCGTAGAGATCTCACTAATACTCTCTTTCATAATTTTGAATTCGCTACAGCACGATCAAAAAGCCTTGGTCTCCTCAGTACATCAAACAACTGTCAATTCAAGCTCGACAAATTCAAATCGTTTTCCTAAATTATTTTTCTAGGTCTTGTATGTAGGGATATTCAGGCACGCACAGGATTTTCCCCTTGTAACCCTATCATCCCTTGCAGCTCCGACCATCCGAGATACACTTTACCAGCCCCAATCAAAGGCATTCTACCCTTTCATTTGGACCCTAAAGCAAGTTCATCAAGTTTTCTTTTCTTTTGATCTGCCCATAAACCTGAACCAATCAACAGATTTGTTACACTTCAATCCAATGTAACCACAACAGTACCCAACAGTTGAGCTATAGATCTTCAACACCCCTAGCTTGCATGATCCTTCTATTAGGGGATTGTTCTCCAATCTCTCATGTAAATTGTTCCCCTTGTAGTCTCCTAAAACGGTTGACTTCACAAAAATAAAAATATCACTTCGAGTCGGCAGCTTAAATAAAATATCAAATCAATGACAATGCATGTAAGTTTTCCTTTATAATCATCACCTAGAGCTGAGTCGGCTGTTAAATTCCCTTAGGGAATTGGTTAAATGTTGAGTTTTCATACGCAATCTTTCTCATGTTACCTCTTCAAGATTAGGGGACTTGCAGTACATATGTATCTACCAGCAACCTTTAATATCTCTGATGCCCGGTTCACGTTTAAAGCTCAATTAACTCTCTTGAATTGCTTCTGGGCATTGAATATTAATTTAAATTCTGGAGCCTAAGAAACATACGCAGTGACCAGTGCTTGGACGTCTCGTGGTATATATATATTGATTCCACTTAATGCTGTCGATCTAGGCTTGCAGCAACACACATAATGTGGAAGGTGGACTGCGAGTATCCACTTATATTGACCAATCATAGGCCGTGTAGCCTTGGAGAGAGGTACAAAAAAGGGTCGGGAGCACTGGAAGAAAGAATTTGAACGCTTCAAATTTCAAAATATATAGGCAAGAAACTAAATTGAAATCCAAATCAATCTTGCTTGCATATGGACGAATCACTCATCTATGATGCCCACCACCTTCGCCATGACATCAAAATTCAAATCCATAGGAAACCCGACTCCCAGCTCTCGGCGGACACTAATATTCTCCGCGGTGGTTTCATGCGGCACAAACTCGAAGCGTCGCACGATATGGGCTAGAGTCATATATATCTCAGCATATGCAAGACTAATATTACTCATTAGTAAAGATGTCCAGCTTTGTTTATTGAGGGGAGAGTATAAGAACCCACTTCATACCCAGGCATTGTTTAGTGCCTTTTGTGAAAGAAACAATAAATCGGGTCAAGCGTTCGCCCCTTTCTGCTGTACGGATCCAACGCTCGGGATCGAATTTCTCAGGTTCAGGGAAGAGAGTGGGATCCATATGGACAAAATAGTTCGATTGACTGACCGGGGTCTGGGAAATTTTAGCATAAAAATTCCAAGACTTAATCAAGAATACGTACACCTGCAGGAATTACCCATTCCTTGTAGAGCATGTTTTCATTCGGTGCGGTGCGAGCCAGTCGTGCCGTCATACCATGGCTTAGACGCAGTCCCTCATTAACAACCCCAGTCTAGACAAAGTCAGCATAAATAACTTAAACCAATATATATACTCACAAGATAAGGAAGGTGTTCTAATTCTGTCCACGTAGCCTTAGAAGTCGGCTTCTCCAGAACGGTCTTCAATTCCTCTCTTAGCTTATTACCAATATTTTTATCATTGATGACATAGAACATCGACACAGCAAGAGATCGCGCTGTAGTTTCCGTCCCTGCACCAAGAAGCAGAGCCGACTCATCGACTAAACGATCTACCGTCTTCTCATTCTCAGGCACATGAGGCGCTACCATCGCCTCAAAGACAGAGTTATGATGCTTTCCACTCCCATCAATCTCCTCGGACCTCTTCTGCTTGAGTGCGGCAGTAGCCTGCGTACGTAGTCGAGCCTTGACATCAAACAGATCCCCCATCCTTGGCTGCAAAAATCGAACCACCGCCGGTGGGGCGTTCCGGAAGATGGATACAAGGATGGGAAAGAAGCGGTTCATATGAAACATGAGCATGAGACCACTGACAGCATCGACGAGGTCATTTCTCGTCGATCCCTTCGTGTCATCTAGATACCCATAGCTCCAGCCATAGCAATACTGCGTGATGACATCGGCAGTGAGGGAGGCGAAATCCAGCTGGAGATGGAGGACGGTTGAGTCGTTGTAGGCATTTTCAAAGCGGTTGAGAAGCTGATCGACCTTTGCCCAGATATAAGGGGTTAGGCTGGTGACCGAGCGCTTGGAGAAGTAGTTCTGTATGAAGCTTCGGCGGAGGCGGTGATGGTCGTGGTCTATTGTTCCGACGAGGGAATACGGAGCTCCGAAGGCGACGGCATATTGGGGATCTCTGTTCCGTTTGCGTGCGCCACTGGCGTGAATGTCCTCGTAGTAATATGGGTCTTTGATGTGTAGCTCTCGGGGATTTATGCGGACGATGGAACCTTGGCAGGATTAGTTTGACCGGACCGGGTGATGTGGGATTTGGTTGTAGATTGGCGGTGGGGATATTGAGACGAAGAACAGAAAGACGCACCGTATTTCTCATGCATCCGTTCTATTTCCCAGAGGTACATGCCATTTTTGAGGATATCATAGTAGAACTCGTAGAGGAAAGTCGCCGCAGCAAGTTTAGGACCGGGGAACCCAGACAACGGATGGGCGTACAGACGGTATACCACGATGCATGTGGCTAGGGGTATAAGTAGGGCTGCCGCAGTGACAGGATAGAGGAAGAGAAACTCCATTGATAAATATACGCAAAGACCGTGTAAGAACTCGGTACTTGTACAATGTGTACCAAGTGAACATGACGTAGAAGAAAAAGTAACCCTTCGAACGGGAGGGGGGAAGCGACATAAATAAACGCATTGAAACAAATCCAGCATTAAGTCAAGTTGGTCCAGGATATTTCACTTTTCACCAACAGTCCGACTTCCAAAATCGTGACTGGGTGATCTGAGAAATAATGCGTTCGAGCGCAGTAAGCCAATCTATACTCATATCACATTATATGCAATCTGCACTAGTCTCCCGAGTCCATAGCGACGATTGCTCAGGGTTACTGGACAATGCCCCACTAAACGCCCCAAGCCGTACCATTTTAGGAAAGAGTCTCTCAAGTCAAGATCGGGGATTGGTGTGATAAAGTAAGGGCTGCATGGTCTGATTTCCATGCGTTCCGCGCTTGGAAACAAGCCAGTCAGCGTCCCCGAGACAACCTGGGTGTTGCCTAGATAGGAATAACCAGTTGAGCTTAGAGGGACGCTAAGTTCGGACTTCCCGCGGGTCGGTACCGCAAACAATAACAGGATAACAAAGGTATTGTTGTTCAAAGATTGAATGTTCCAATGCAAAACGCGGGAAAAGAAAAAAGAAAAAAGTAATTACATAGCCTATGGGCCATCTGTCCAGAATCGAACCCAGAAGCTTTGGAAGTTCCATGATGCGAAAAAAAAAAATTTATGAGACGCGTCAAGCGATTTGGAATCGGTGCCAATGGTCGGAGCGTGTTGCGACATCATAATAAGATTAAGGGCCTGGCAAATCATGTTTACGGGAATTCAAAATTATTGCCTGTGCAGGTGGCTACCTACATAAACATTATCTGGAAAGATCGTCATCAAAAACACGTAATCCTCTCTGCTACATATAGATGGATACGAAAAATGTGGTGGGGAATCTGCATGTCCATCTAAGATATATATGCGCATAGATATCTTAGATCATTCCATGGCTACATACATGATGTATATATGTACAGACATAAATTCGATTCAGCGCTGAACCATTATATATGCATGTGGGAAGAACCGTTAGTTTGAAGGTCAGACTCCCCCTTCATGAAATTGATCCTCTATTTATGAAATCCAAGGGTAAAAAAGAGAACCAATAAGAGGCTCACTGTTTTCGGAAAAAAAAATAGAGTGGAGCGGCGGGGAATTGAACCCCGGACCTTCCCTAATATCGATCATTGATGCGAAAGGGACGCCATACCCCTAGACCACAGCCCCATTGGATGACAATAAGGGCCCAACTTATGCTTATTGTTCATGCCTCATTTCATTCCAAATCTGCCTAAGCTAATCCTCGATTCTGAACATTCATATGACCAACGTGATCGTCCGATTTATTTACTCAATCTTAGTTGTCAGTCTTTAATTATTATATAACATTAAACCTCTAAATAACAAATTCTTGTTGATATTACATCGCTGAGATAGCATCAGTATTGCGAAAACTGGAGTCAGTGACAGAATTATGGGGAAAACAAATAGCCGCGTGGATCCGCGTAAGTCAAATGCCCGAGGAAATCTGGGGATGTCAACACCTGTGAAGAGACATAAAGTATTCGAAACATAGTCATATCAATTCATTGGATTATTACATCATGCTTTCAAGTCATATTAAACCGGATTTTTGGATACAGAATTGAGTTCCGTGGCAAAGTGACTCTCTACGGTGACATGGGTGCGGCTCATGGAAATCGCATATAGCCGAATCAATTGGCCCCAACTCGTTTATTGAAATCGAAATCAAGATTCAAGAAAAATGGATTACCACTGCATTCCTGGAAGAAAATGTCCACACTTTACACCTATGAAAACATCCGTATAGGGTCGGCAAATAAAAGTAAGATAAGGAAAAAGGAAATAAAAACACAAACGAAAAGCGGCTGGTACATAGGATAGAAAGGAAAATTCCAACTCCGTTTTTATATCCACAATCTAGGCGGCCAGCAGCTTCTTGGTCTCAGCGATGGCACGACCGGGGTTGAGACCCTTGGGGCAGGTTCGTGTGCAGTTGAGAATGGTGTGGCAACGGTAGACACTCATGCTGTTGTCGAGGGCGGCCTTGCGCTCGTGGGTGCGCTCGTCACGAGAGTCGACCAACCAACGGTAAGACTGGAGGAGGATGGCAGGGCCGAGGTACTCCTCGCTGTTCCACCAGTAGGATGGGCAGGAAGTAGAGCAGCAGGCGCACAGAATACATTCGTAGAGACCGTCGAGCTTCTTGCGGTCCGCGGGACTTTGGCGGAACTCAAGGCCCTATTTCATAGTTAGTACATGCGCCTCATAAAGCTGCGGCAAAGATCTGGAGAATTCGCGTCACTCACGTCCTCGGAGGGGGTATCGCGCTGCAGGTAGGGCTTGATAGACTTGTATTGCTTGTAGAACAGGGTAAGATCCGGGACGAGATCCTTGACGACGTAGGTGTGGGGCAAGGGGTAGATGCGAGACTCTGAAGCGTCGGTGGGGATGCGGCCTATTCGTATATTAGTACATGTTGGATGCATTGAATAGAGGTCTTGAGCTCCTTTGTGGAGAGACCAAAGCGACTGCGTAGAATCACATACACAAGCAAGCCAGAGTGTTGACACCGTCAATGTTCATGGCGCAGGAACCACAGATACCCTCACGGCAAGAGCGGCGGAAAGTCAGGGTAGGGTCGATTTCGTTCTTAATGCGGATGAGAGCGTCAAGCATCATGGGGCCAGTCTTCTTCAAGTCGAGCTGGTAGCTCTCCATGGTAGGCTTCTCGCTCGGAGTGTCCGGGTTCCAACGGTAGACCTTGAAGGTCTTCATGGAGGGGTTCTCCGAGGGGGTAGGCTCGACATTCTTGGCCTCGACGGTGGCATAGGAGCGAGCGAAAGAGGCGGGCCGGAACAGCGGGCGCGACGCAGCGAAGAGTCGCGAAGTAGTGCGGAGGGAGGCCATGGCGAAGGTGAAAGAACTCCGGTCAATGGAGTAACAACGCGGAGATACCGTGGAGGGGGAGAGGGTCAAAAATAGGATGAGCCGTCGTGAGGATCACCAAACGAACAAATTGAAGTCAAGGAGTCCTGTCAGTAACCTCGGGTTTGAGAATCGGTAAAAAGCTGAGTCAGCTGGCTAGGGACCAATCACGGCGGGGCTAATTGTCAAGAAATCGGGCGGACACGGCTTTTGTTTAACTAGAGTAAGTCTACTCTGGGGGAATTATCTACTTCCGGTTGCCGGGTAACAATCATGTTGGAATTGAATCTATAGGTAAGATTGAATTTAATCAGCTTAGTATCATAAGCCAATTTAAGACGAACTGTACGGAGTATATATCCAAATACTGGCTCAATTGTCCGAGCGAGACAATCCGGTCGTAGACACCTCAGGCCTCAAGGCACCAAAGTTCCCGCATCGGTTGCCGAGTGATCAACGGTCCGGCTCTCAGCCTCGGCGCTTCTTATACGGAATCCATGACGTTTATCCACATGCTATGAATAGAATACTTCATTCAATGCATCTTCATGGTTTTCTTCCAAACATTGATCCAGAACTAATCACGATTAACATAATTCTGATGCCATTCATAGTCCCGATTCTCCTTCAAAAATGCGCGAATAGCCTCTCGGGCCGGCGTCGGCTCCCTCTCCAACAAATCCGCCATAAGCCGATCAGTGACTCCAGCCTCCCCTTCCCCGATCGCATCATACCATGTCACTACCTTCTCAAAGAAAGCTCCCGGCTTCCCTCCAAGGTCCGCAGCCTTGATTTTCACAAACTCCTCAGGAGACACTATCTCCAGCTGAACCTGTCGACCCGTGGTCTCATTGATCACGTCGACTATATCAGCGAAAGTCACCGTCTGCTGTGCGGTGAGCAGCACAATTCCTCTATCATAGCCACCTCGAATTATCAATCGAGCAGTGGCTTCGCCTAGTTCTGCTCGCAGCGTAAATGCGATCGGACCATCTGACGACACATATACCTTCTCGGTACTGGGGTACCAGCCCATGAAGATGGGGAAAGCATCGGTGTATAGCCCTTCACGAATTGACGTAAAGTTGATATCGGCGCTAGGGTTGAATTAGCTACACGAAGGCTTGTGGGACATGGATAGTTCGTACTTTCGCAGCATCTCCTCGGTGATCAAATGCGCTCGTTGCACATCTGCCTTGGAGTCGGACTGGAGGCCACCAAAGGCGAGAGAAGTATACCACACCTGTTGATGGTTAGATTTGTCGCTTTGAAAATTTGGAGTCATAGGCTTACATGTTTAACTTTCATCTCTTTCGCTATGTCGATGAAGCCTTGATGCTGTTTCTCTCGCTTTTCGACGTCGAATGTGTTGGTGCTCACGAACAATAGATTCTCGACGTCTTCGAATGCAGTCCTCATCGATGAGGCATCGTCGTAATTTACTACCCGGAAGGCAATGCCCTGGTTTTCGAATCGCTTGCGGTTGGCTTCGCTTGAGGAGGCGGCGGCGTATTCTGATGCGGGGACATTGGCAACAAGGTAGGACAGCACTTGTGCGCCTAAACCACCAGTGGCCCCGGTTATGAGATACTTGAGAGTCATGATTTGAAGAAAGAAGAGTAGCTAGGATAGATGAATAGAAAATTTTAAGCACTTTGAAATTGAAGTTGTACAAGGATACTTGATGGGGTACTTATTTCTTAGAACAAGCACTTGAGAGTACGGCGTGGAATTGTCACGATCCGCCCAGACCACTTTGTGGTTTGTCAAGCAGAGGATTGTTAATCACGTTTCAGTTCAAGTTTAGGAGTAGTCTCGAAGGAATCGTTCGGGGCTGACTAGAGCCGAAAGGCCGTGTTTGTTCCCCTAGAGGTTAGACTGACGAGCTTATGCACAAGAGGGGCCTGCTATTACTAATGGCATATAGGCGTGGGGAAGCCGAAGAGAACATTCCCAATTAACTCAAAACAATAGATGATGCGTATGTATGACAAAAGAAGAGCTTTTGGTTGTATTATTATAATCTATAATCTATGATAAATATAATCTATGATAAATAGCGTTCTATGTCTCATGAGAAGAAGGTCTCGAAGAGTGTGTCGGCGAAATCGATCTACCTTCCGCACGAGTAATATTAACCTCATTCGTCACGCGAATGCCAGGAGTCTTCATGGACTCCGCATCCCGAATCACAGAAACCTCCGATGGCATCATCTCATAATCATCTGGACCAGCTTTCGACCAGTTCAACAGTCGCTTGTCATCACGAGCAAGCGAACCCAATGCACTTGTCGGCTTCGACTGACTTCGCAGTCTCCCTCCCGCAGATCGAGACCGGGTGTGACTGCTCGTGTACTCGGTCAGGTGAGAGAAAAGGTTTCCAAACACGGGTTTCAGGGCGGGAACGGAAAGTGCCATTAATGTGCCTGCGATTTCGGCATTCTCGACACAAAGCATGGGGTTGTAGGCCCAGCTACCATCTGCGGCCCATTGACCCTTGACGACGAGCCAGATGCGGATACAGGAAATAATGATCACGCTGGGGGATGTTAGCTGGGATCATTTGGATGGAATTTGGGAATTTTAGGTAAAATACTGACAAGACACCGGGGAACATGACCACGGAGAGTTTGATCTTCTTTCGCAAGGAAACGTGAAGTTGCTTGATGAGAATTGCGGGGATGATGAACATCAAGACATCACAGACTAGTGATATGCTTGAGTTGACGGAGTAAACGAGTCCCCAGGAGAGACAGGTGTAGTCGTCGACACCTTCCTGCCAGGTATAGGGCCATAGACCGGTGACGGGTTTGCAGTGGAAGATTAATAAGAAGAGCTGGGGAAGGTATGCGATGAAGAGGAACGGCGCAGCAAAAAGAATGGATCTGTGCAACTTGCTTGTGCGTGCGGTGAGTCGATAATAAAATGCGATACCGGACAGGCGACATAGGAAAAGGGCGGTTGTATAAAGAATGTGTGCAACAAAATCCAAGACTTCAGTCTCGCGGACAGTTGCTAGCGATAAGACATATTCGACATATTCAATGTGACGACCACTTCCCAAGTGGATAAGAACGATGGAAAGGACCACAAAACTGATGTAGATCAACTGTAAATATAATTAGTTTGGATGAGGTCTGATCTATGTAAAGGAACACATACCGTTGTCAAAATCGCCAACCAATCGTCCCATCCAACTTTCTTAACGAGGAATACTCGAGCATAGAGACGCATCAGCATCAAGACTCCAGTGAAGCAGACCATGAACAAAATGCCCGCGATGGCAGATTCATCACGAGATTGTGCTAGGTATGAAAGGGAGATCCCATCTGGAATTCTCCCCGCCGCCTCTGCAGCGAGAATGTCGGCAGGATATGTCATTCTAAAGTGTTCAATGAAATGACATTTGCATCAACTACTTTCCATAATGAATACGAAAAAAGAAACCTGGGGACGGGGTTCAGGTTAGAAGGAATGAACGTCTGGAGTAAAGAGAATGAGTGGCCCTCTATTGAGGAAAGAGAACGCGGTAGCGGGGGCTTTTTGTTCAATAGATCCAGACCAGGCTTGATCGGGAACCAAAAAGTATACAGCCCAACCAAGAAAACATCCTCCGTGGTGGAGTCGAGTATATTGGTTCTCAATTATCAGTCAATTTATAATTGATTAAAAGGGAATCCACATCCGTGGGTGATTGTCGGGAAAAGTTTGGATTCCATTGGTATAGAGTTATCGGTTACATCTGAGATCTAGGTCAGATGCAATCATCTTTAAGAAATCGAAATTTCTATTGAGATCAGCATGGACAAAAGTCCATGCGTCTGCCCTAGACATGCATGAAGCGATCAGAATCTGCTCCAGTGTGGAAATTCATTCCCAGTGAGGCATTTTCCGGTGAACATCAGGGCCCATCGGGTATCTTGGCAACCTGTTAATCAGATTTTTAAACGTAATAGGAAGGTGAATGGAGCCAACCAACCAAGATTGTAATTAGAAAAAGATCCAAGAAGGTTGCTTGGTGGTTGATAGATCCACTTTGGAATGTAGTGGGTCTAGAATCTCTTCCAATCGTGGTTTAACCGATCTTGGAAACGGAAGATACACCGGATCCGAGTAGTCCGACCTCGGTTGAGAATTCCGTGAAGATTCTTCCTTCTTCTACGGAGAAAAGGAGTGCAACTATAGACAATTAGGCAGGTACGAATCTTCTCTATTCCCAAACTGTAAGCGCTAGTACCCGGCTATTGTTGGCCATGCATATGCTCTATTTTCCACGTGGTAAATGGGCGTATATCGGCGTAAAAGTGGATTTTTGGTTGGCAAAATCTACGCTCAGGCGCTACTTAACCCAAAATGCCACGATCGAAAACCGTTCCGTCCCTTCCGATAACCAGAACCAAAAGCAAAACCATGAATTTCCAAAAGAATGTGGATCCCATAACGTTTTATTAGTCAATGAATGGGTCCAACCGGTACCTACATTGGACCCCAGTCATTACTATATGAAAAAAGAGAAAGCTCCCCAAGATCGTCGCTTTTCTTACCACGTTCTTTTCTGTGGAGTTTCCTTGACAGGTTCTGGGTTCTTGTCAGTTTAATTAACAATGGCGCCTTTACTGCAGGCCTTCGTTGGTGGCTTGGCCTTGGCTGGCTCCGTCGCTGGTACTATTGTCGGACGCGAAGTTGATTCTCTCGTCGCTTCTCAGATCCTGACTGACCCCTATGCCTATGATTTCCCTCGCCTGGGTGCCGCTGGATCCTCCCTGTTTCCCATGCGTCACTGCCATGGGTTCCAGCTTGAGGAGGCCAGCGTTGATGATCTCCAGAAGCGATTGACCAATGGCACTTTCACTAGTGTTCAGTTGCTGGAGTGCTACCTCAACCGTATTGCTCAGACTCAACCTTACCTGAAGTACGTCCCTTGATTCACGTTACCCCGGGTAGTTTGTCTAGGTTACTAACATTATTTCCAGTGCTATCCTGCAACACAACCCTGATGCTTACACCATTGCTCAGAAGCTGGATGATGAGCGTGCCAAGGGCAAGGTCCGTGGTCCTCTTCACGGTATCCCTTTCATCGTCAAGGACAACATTGCCTCCAAGGATCGCATGGAGACCACTGCTGGTTGCTGGGCTTTGCTCGGTAGCGTTGTGCCCCGCGACTCCCACGTTGTTCACGGTATGCGCAAGGCTGGTGCCCTTCTGCTGGGTAAGGGCGCCCTGAGCGAGTGGGCTGATATGCGTTCAAACAACTACTCCGAGGGTTTCAGTGCCCGTGGTGGCCAGTGCCGCAGTGCCTACAACTTCACCGTTAACCCCGGTGGCTCCAGCACCGGTCCTGGTGTTGCTGTCGGTGCCAACCTGATCCCCATTGCTCTGGGTACCGAGACTGATGGCAGTGTTATCAACCCTGCCCAGCGCAATGCCATCGTCGGTATCAAGCCCACCGTCGGCCTGACCTCCCGTGATGGTGTTATCCCCGAGTCCCTGCACCAGGATACCGTTGGTACCTTCGGTAAGACCGTCCGGGATGCCGTCTACACCCTTGATGCTATCTACGGCGTTGACACCCGTGATAACTACACCCTTGCTCAGGAGGGCAAGACCCCCAAGGGCGGATACACCCAGTTCCTGGCTAAGAAGGACGCCCTCAAGGGTGCTGTCTTCGGTTTGCCCTGGAAGTCCTTCTGGGCTCTGAACGACGATGTCCAGAATGCTCAGCTCCTCGAGCTCATCGAGTTGATCAAGTCTGCCGGTGCCACCATCATCAACGGTACTGAGCTCCCCCACTACAAGACCATCGTTTCTCCCGATGGCTGGAACTGGGATTACGGTACCACTCGTGGATTCCCCAACGAGTCCGAGTACTCCTACGTCAAGGTTGACTTCTACAACAACCTGAAGACTTACCTCGCCGAACTCAACAACACCGACATCCGATCCGTTGAGGACCTGGTCCAGAACAACATCGACAACTACGGCTCTGAGGGTGGCTACCCCGGAATTCACCCTGCCTTCGGTTCCGGCCAGGATGGTCTCATCGCCTCTCTGGAGAGCAAGGGTATCATGAACGCCACTTACTGGGAGGCTCTCGGCTTCTGCCAGCGCACCACCCGTGAGGAGGGTATCGACGCCGCCCTGAAGTGGAAGAACGGTACCCTGGATGGTCTTCTCGTGCCCCCTGATGTCGCCCAGAGCATTCAGATCGCTGCCCAGGCTGGTTACCCCGTCATCACCGTGCCCGCTGGTACCGAGGAGGTGTCTGGTATGCCTTACGGACTTGCCATCATGAACACCGCCTTCTCCGAGCCCACCTTGATCAAGTACGCCAGTGCTATCGAGGATCTCCAGAAGACCTCTGGCACCAAGTGGCAGCGCACCCTTCCTGAGTGGCGCGGCTACCTGCAGCGCAACCTTCCCGTGATCATGTAAGATTGAAGATTTGGACTATAATTTTTGGACGTGATTATTTGCATCTTATATATACCCTGCATACTGTATGAATAGCGGATTAATAATGGATGAGATTTGTTGCGGTAAAACTCCACATATCTTTGGCTGTGCCACAATAATCAACACTTGAAGGCTATCTCGGCGAAACCTTGCAATTACCAAGGTAATTAGGAGTCTAGTTCAGTCTACTCCTATACCCCTGCAATTTTAGCTCGATATTACACCACTAGTCCAGCCTAGCGCTTTTAGTTGACGCCAAGCTGAACAATCGCTGCGCAATAATATGTTATCTACACTACCGGCTAACAAGACCGATAATGATTGTAGAACTAAGCATTATATTAACATCCACTATGTACATAATTTCCGAAAGAACTCCATATAATACCCTAGAGAGCCTCCGGTGGACCCTATTAAGAAAAAAAAGTGGATAGCTGTTGTAGATCAGGCAGACCATCCGACGATCATAAACAACATTGGAACATTTGAATGTATGATCTTCATAGAAGACCATACGTATGTTCCCAAGGTCATACCCCATGCTGACATTGAATACCATTGATGCAAAATTCACGTTCGCAGGACTGATCTGCGACCGTTTAAGTTTCGGAAGAACTCGAAGCTATACCATAACGTCTAAGTGCCAAGAGCCAAGAAGTCAGCCAAGACGGAGGAATTTAAATTTGTTTTATCAGTGAGACTGACAGTTCTGATTCGGGTAAAATGTCCTCCTCATTCAACACAAACCCATAGACCGGAAAAGCTTCGGAAGACCTGGTAGTGTAAGGGGATTCGATAACGGAGAATCAACCACAGATAGTATAGCGTCAATGGACCATTACTCCATGGAGCTTATTGTGGGGCTATTTAAGGAACTTCAAAAGTGAAACATCTTCATGCTCTAACCCCTGTTGCCAATCAATTTTGGTTCCTAGGATTGGTGCTTCAATCGTTTTAGGTCTCCGGGCGGCTTTTCCGGCGCCCTGTAATAGCTCTGGATATTTCTAACTCCACTATGTGGAAACTGCCCCTGGAACCGGTGGTGTGGTGTGACTTGCGTTGATTCGTTGGGCTGGTCATATGGCTAGCTGTGCTGACATAGTGATTTAACTCAGGACGTTTTGATGGAGCTGGAGCGGAGTCGAGTGATAGAGTAAGAAGACCCCTCCCTTCTAGTACTTCCGATGTATGTGCGAGGAGACTGGTCTATATAAGTTGTTCGATGTGCCCCTAGTTATGCTTTCTTCACACTAAGTCACTCTTCCCTTCTTTTGGTTTTTCTTTCTATTATCATGAAGTACCTTTCTCTTCTGGCGGCTTTTGCTGCTCACGCTGCTGCTGTCAGTGTCTCTGGCTCCGCCGAAGGTTTCGCCAAGGGAACTACAGGTGGTGGTAGTGCTACTGCTGTCTACCCGACTACCACCGACGAGCTGGTCTCGTACCTTGGTGACTCGGAGGCTCGCGTGATTGTTCTTACCAAGACTTTTGATTTCACTGATACCGAGGGTACCACTACTTCCACTGGATGTGCGCCTTGGGGTACTGCTTCTGGTTGTCAGGTTGCTATCAACCAGGACGACTGGTGCACGAACTACGAGCCAGACGCACCAAGTGTCTCGGTCAGCTAGTAAGATATCCGAGCTGTTTTCATTAGTGACGTTACTGATGGTTTTAGTGACAACGCTGGTATTCTGGGTATCACTGTTGCCTCCGACAAGACCCTTCTTGGTGTTGGCACTACCGGTGTTATCAAGGGTAAGGGTCTTCGCATTGTCAGCGGTGCTAGCAACGTTATCATCCAGTAAGTATTCACTAGAAGTTCCTTCTACTCGCATCGCATAGGACAAATTTGGCTAATCCCGTCAAGGAACATCGCTATCACCGACATCAACTCCAAGTACGTCTGGGGTGGAGACGCCATTACCATTGACGAGGCCGATCTGATCTGGATCGATCACGTTACTGTAAGCTCCCACACACCAAATTGCTACATAATATCACTAACAACCACAGACCGCCCGTATCGGTCGTCAGCACTACGTTCTCGGTACCTCCGCCGACAACCGCATCAGTCTGACAAACAACTACATCGACGGTGTGACCTCTTACTCAGCAACCTGTGACACATACACCTACTGGGGTATCTATCTGGATGGATCCTCCGACCTGGTCACCCTGAAGGGCAACTACATCTACCACACCAGCGGACGTAGCCCCAAGGTTCAGGGTAACACTCTTCTCCACGCTGTCAACAACTACTGGTACGACAACACTGGCCATGCTTTCGAGATTGGTTCCGGTGGCTACGTCCTCGCTGAGGGCAATGTTTTCCAGAACATTGATACTGTTGTTGAGTCGCCTATTGATGGACAGCTGTTCACTTCACCTGACACCTCTACCAACAAAATCTGCTCGACCTACCTGGGACGTGTTTGCCAGGTTAACGGATTTGGATCTTCTGGGACTTTCAGCCAGTCTGATGAGAGCTTCCTGGTGAACTTCGAGGGCAAGAACATTGCTTCTGCTACAGCTTACACTTCTGTCGCGGCGAGTGTTGAGGCTAATGCTGGTCAGGGTAACCTGTAAGCACTGTTGGGTTGAGATGGTGTTGCTGAAGACGGACGTTGGGGATAGTGGGATTGTACTGTAGAAACTTTTCATTCTTTAATTATCAATTCATTACTTATTTTGAGGGGATCAAGTGCACATGAACAGTTTATTTGTTGATAATAGAATAGTTAAGGTAGTGCTTGATCCAAGTTCAATCCCGCGTACGCCAGTTCGGCTAAAGTTCTTCCTAATGATATGCAGTTCTGACGCGCCAAAATCATGCTTCAATCCAATCAATCAACAATAATAAGACCAGGTCCCGCAAGCGTCCACTTCGCAACCGAATTCACATCCCCAAACGGACCATCACTTTTTGTCACAGCAGCAATGGTCAATCCATTCAACTCGTAGTCGTTGTATGGGAACAAGGCAGTTGCCTGGACCAGAGTGCCATTCTTCGAAATGACATTGAGAGGCTCAACGATTGGAAGATTCAACTGGTTGATATAGGTCATCCATAACAGATGTTCGGTCTCGTTGGTTTTGTCCTCGAAGGAAAAGGTGATATTTTGCGACTCAGCTTTTGGCTTCGTGAGAATATCTAAGTTCTCAAAGGTACGCAGTGGGATCTCATCAAGGGTGGGACAGCTACCTGGCACGGTGAAGCCTTGAACGGCCGTGAATGCGAAGTTGAGGTCCGAGGTAGTGGCAAAGGGAAGTTCACTGGGGATACGAGCCTGCATGACCCGGAACCAGCCTTGCTGTTCACCCTCGTTGGCAATCACTGAAGCGATTTCACGGGCAAGGTCGGAATCGTGACCCAAGGCAAAACGCTCCACTGCATCTTGCAGTGTTCCAAGAACCACATCGGTGAAGGTAGAGGCGAGCGTAATGGCAGTGTCAAAGTCCTGAACTGGGAAGATGTATTCGCACGGCTCGACGGGTTTCTGGTCAAAATGAATGAGGGCATCGTTTGCACGGATGGCATGAAGTTCCTCTTGCTGTGGGACTGTCAGTACCAGTAATATAGTCATTTCCGGGTATGCTTACCGCCAGAATGGCCCTCAAAGATCTGGTCACAAAGTCACGATCTCCCTTGTCAACGAAGCGGTAGCCATCGATATTCTCGGTAATGTTTGTAAGGAGCTGGTGGAAGAAAGCCACCTCGAAGAGTTCGTTGAATGCGATCAGCTTAAGGTTGGTGATGCCCTTGTTGCTGATGACAGGTGGGGGTGGACTATTTGGGAGAGTTCCATGAGCGGCCTCCTCAATCAATGATAACTCGCTTGGACTTGGATATGGCAGGCCATCGGGGAGTTCTTTCTGGATCGCCCGTGGGGCGGCGGGAGCTGCGAAGACCGACGAGGTCGCACCAAGAAGCCCAATGGTGGGGAGCAAGAGACGCATGACGATAGCAAGGGAACGGTGAAGACAATCAATAAAAGTGTAAGAAGAAATACTTTGGAATTTGATGTTCCAGATGTGGATAAGGGTAACTTGGTAAATCAAGAATGCAGGACGAACTTGGGGATCAAGTGGATGGGTTCTTCAGATCAGATCAGGAAGGAACGACTGGGGGAAAGAGCAATTGCAAATGGAAGCAAATAAATAGCAATTCAGGTTTGAGCACAAGATCTGTGTGAAACCATAATTAGGACCTTGAGGCCATAATTAGGACTTTGAGGCCATAATTAGGACTTTGAGGCCATAATTAGGACTTTTGAGGCAGTGCTGACGGCAGTGCAGACTGCGGTACAACATCGAACTCGGATCATCAGGAATTAGTTTTCGATTCATATGATACTATCTTGTTGATTTCCAAGTCAATACTTTCTTCAATTTCTAGATTCCAATCTGGTTTCTGGTCTATCTTTGGTCGATTTATCATGAATGTGGACTAAGAAACAGGCATCTGCATGCTTTGTCAGCGTTGACCTTTTATTATCCGACCAAATCAACTTGGCAGGGACAACAAACACAACTTCTTATCAATACAAGTCATGGGACATTCTCAGTCCCAAACAGCCAGTACGACACGCGACAAGCGCCCAGAGCATCATCAATACAGGCTTTCAGAAGAGCTAATCACCCATTTCATGAAGTACAAATACATGCGTGTTGAATGCTTCTCCCATGAGAAGGCAGCTGAGTAGACTATCGATATGTGGACAAGACTCGGCCTCTATTTTAGTATCTTATTCTATCGGAATATCCCAGATTGACAATATATCCAGTTTCCATCTTAACACATAGACTCTTCTAATCACATCCAACCGATGCCGTCTTTCTCTTCTCTGCCCTCATTGCTGCGGCATACTCTCGCCGCCGCTTTCGCTCCTTGCTATCAAGTGTACTTTTCACCTGGCCATGTGCTGGGAAGCACTTTTCGGAAAATTTGACTTGTCGCCTCTCAACTTTCGATTGATCTCCTTCCGTCGCACGCTCTAGCTTCCTCTTGCTTTTCCACACGGGTTCCCGGATTGCCCTTGGGATCTAATCTCGATTAGTTGGACTCCGGTTCGGGTGATCTCACCGACCTGATGCATTCAGTACGCTGGCTGGAGCAATATTAGGCACATGGCTCGCTTTTTGGTATGATTGGAGACAGCCATCTCTATGAATACTTTGCTGACAGTTACTTCAAGTTTAAAAACCCTCAAGGGGTCTCCCGATATATGGTTCCCCGTGGCTGGAAGTTCCGCAAATCAAAGGATAGTTTCTATAAGTCAATTCTGGAAAAGTGCCATGAATTCCATGAGATGGCGGGCAACGTGGGAGATGTGATCCTGCTTCATCCATTGATGGTACACTCGCAGTCCATCAATAGCTTGAGGATCCCGCGGATCATCACCAATTCACCGGTGTCGCTGAATGAGCCGTTTAATCTCGACCGCAAAGACTCGAATCAATACAGCATCGTTGAAAGGAAGACAATGCAAGATATTGGCATGAGTAATTCTTTGATGACAGGTTGGAAGATCAAGGGCAATCGGGACTTTATGGTTCCGGAGTGGCTGAAGGAGATGGAGAAAATGAAAGAACAGGAGCTGGGCAGAATGAAGTGATGTCGTTGATTGATGTTTTGTCGGAATTATTACTATGCAGGGGCATGCTGGCATGCCCACTATTTTATCACTTCGTACCTACAACCTCGCCACAATCCAGATTCAATGCTAAACCCGAGACCTTTTAAGAAAATGTTCCCAACGGCCAGTGATTTAATTATGTTCATGATGATGACTGCCTAATGCCTTTGCCACAAAAATATTGACGAGATACCACCCAAAGCAGCGACCCCTGCAATAACTTCCCAGACGACTTGCAAGGCCGATGCAGAAGCATCTTTGAGGACGTCTCTTTCAACATCGGACATCTGTGTCTGATCCATCAATATTATATACCCCCTTGCCGTGTTAATCACATCCCATTCGAGTCCAATACTCTGTAGCTCGTTGCCGAAGAAATTCAAGAATAAGATACCACCAATAGGAACAGCAATCGCCATACCCCATGCCCGCATGAAGAGAGAGATAGCAATAGGTTTAGTTGAAAGGGCCGTATCCTCGTTCTTGGGTATGCTCTGGACACGAATATTGTAACTCGAAAACAAAAGACCGTGGCCCAGTCCTACTGTCAAGAAGAGTATCACCCATCCTGCCGTAGGTGTAATAGAATTAAGGAGAATCGAGCAACCAGCTGCTAGGGCCGTCAGGATCCATCCTCCAGAAATAATCCACTTGGAGCACTTTGGCTCATTCGCGAGTAGGATACCCACTACAGCCGCTGGCGTGACTGTAAATCCGGTGATAGCAAATAGTGCGACACCGGATAGTGTAGCAGAGAAGTATCGTGTGCAGAGAAAGTAAAATGTGAAAAATTGCAGCTGACAAAATATCTGCACAATGATATCAGCAGCCAATTCGGCCCGTAGAGCGCATTGAACTTACCACAAACCCATGACAAAAGCATCCAACATAAGTCATGATGGTTGGCAAATCTCGAAACACTCGTGTCCCAAACTGCGGATGCAATGCATATCTGGACTCGTGAAAGACCAGCACCAGCATCACAGCAACCCCAATCAGTAAGGGAACAAATGCCTGCCACTGGTCCCACCCATACGAGACTCCACCCCAGCTGATCCCAACAAGGATTGCTGCCAAGCCAAACGAAGCCATCGCAGCACCTGTCCAGTCTAAAATACGCATGTTACGCCGTGTAATGCGCTTGGAGTCTCGCAGATCCACGGCAAAGGGAATAACCAGCAGACCCAGCGCACAAAATATGAGGTTGAAGTAAAACGCCCACGTCCAATTCGCCTTATCCACAAACAAACCGCCAACAATCGGCCCAAGGATAATCCCAATGAGACGAGTAAGTAGTATATAGCAGGAATAACGCGAATGGATTGATTGTGGGGCCGATTCTTCCATGATCACGAAGCAGAGACTCAAGGCGCCGCCTCCGCCTATACCTTGCAGGAACCGACCGATGACAATCTCGATCAAGCTCATCGAGCCGCTGCATATCCCTGTCCCGATCGTGGTACTCAGAACTGCGGCGATCCAGATGGGTCCGAGACTGAATATATCGCACAACATCGCGAAGAAGAGTTGGCTAGTTGCGCTCGCGACCAGGTAGACTGTGTTAACCCACAGGGTACTGATAAGGGGGCTATCGAACGCATTTGCTAGATCCTTTTACGATGTCAGCTTCATGTTGCGAGATCATTTCTCCGCTTGTAAAAACCCACTGGCAAGACAGTAATCATAACTGTAGAATCAAAAGCATCCATCATAGCCAGAATAACAATGCAAATAAACACCAACCAGTCCCGGACGTCAAAACGCCATTCTTTGGGTGGAATCTCGGGCTGGAACAGCTGAAGTGTGCTTTCCTGCGCTGGGTGTAATACATGGTCGACACTCTGAACACTCGACAACGGGTCAAGGGTTATTTTGGACTCCACGTCGAAACTTCTTCGTAGTACCGTCGCTGGTCCCATTTGAATGATCGCTTCTATTCCTCGGGTGTAGGCGTTATCCGTATATCGACCTCTGTGCTTTAGGCAACTCGGATCGTGAAGATGCGTCATGCCTTGGCTTTGAAGGCCATACTCTGTACAAAAGGGTATCCATTCTGAGGGATCCGGTGGGGATGGCTAGGAAGGAAGAAGGGATCTTAGATACCAGGACCTTGGAAAGGGGTCTGTGCTTGACATTCCTGAGGCTCTAAACGTTAAGGGATGTTTATCAAGGGGGATGAGGATGATACAAGGGATGATGAGCAGTGATATCCCCACATTTATTAGATTAAGCTCACATGTTTTGAATGATTTTTTAAGGTTGCTTTTGTGTAGCCTCGGTTGTTGCAATATGTGAGTAAATTCGGAAGAATCAACCTATTTTCAACTTGGTTGTTTGTGGCTAAGTTGTGTGAATGAGAAGTTCTCGCAAGGGAGTAAACAGATGCCAGCATTTGAGTCTTCCCTAGAGACAAGTCCTCGAAGGGAGTCCTTACTATCCAGGGCTTTTTTGATCTATGATGTAGACCCCGTGGATGAAGGAGATCCGGCTAGACTAGATTGTGGTGACGTACCGGGATCAGCAAATTCGAACGATAATGTTATTAAAATAGACCCAATGTTCCAGCAGGGGCGGTTACGGGAATTAACTATACAGCGAACGCATGGTCAATATAATTGCTAAATAAAGCATATGGTCAATCAAATATAGAGGTAATGAGTATCGGAAATAAAAATTATGTAAATGAGATCAAGCATAACTTGCTGTTAGCTTCTCACTATTGACCACTTCAGCCTTACAGTCACTTCTGGTCTAAAATCCCACCTGGAAAACCCTAGTTTCAACCTTAGACCTTGAATTTTCCAAATCCTGGCCAAAATCCATAATACGGATACTTCGAGTTGCTCAAATTTCCTCCGACTTTGCAAGACGCGCCTATTTCAATTTAGCAGTCAATTGACTCGCCATCGTCAGCATCCCTCGCTGATGATAAATCGGGAAAAACTATCCACAATGGGCCTGCAAGTCCTCACAGACGTGAGTTGTGCTTCATTTCCCTTATTTGGCAATTTATTCAAGGACGTCAGAATTGTGGATATTATTCCATATTTCCGGTACTTTTGGCTACTTTCTTACAGGAAAAAAAAATTGGGGGCCTCGCCTCCAAGTATTCGAATGATTTCCGTGTCGGGGACCCGTTGCTTTAGCGTCGCCGGACATATTCCGAGTATGACGCTAATATGGCCCCAGTTTGGCGGATGCTGTGCTCGGGGACCCACCGAGTCAACTCCTGACCACTAAGCCACAGGTGCTTATCACTAAACCGAGGTTTATGAAGATATTCCGGAACATCAAGGAAGGTGATCAATCTTCGAAAGTAAGCTTGGATTGAAAATAGATTGAAAAAAGATGGAAGTGTGATGTAAAAGCCCAAGTGGCATATCAGTGAAGATGATGATTCTAGAGCATGATATGATTCTAGAAGATGAAACAGAAGGTCAGAATGGGGGCGAAAATGAGTCAATAGGATTTGAGCTTTAGATTTATACTTTCGACAATCGACAGACACGTGGTTTTAGCTGCACCGGGGTAAATCTGAAGATTGGGGCCGTTTAGAGTCTTGGCGCTTACACTCACAGTACTAAAGTCTCAATCTCCAATCTCACTGGGTTATTTCTTGTTCATTTTTGAATATGCAGGGCAAGAGAACCCGTCAGAAGCCGATCAAATCGTGTTTGGAATGCAATCGCAGAAAGCAAAAGGTGCAAATGCATTGACCGTGTAGAGAACACATCTGATTTTTCTATATAGTGTAACCGTGAGACGCCATGCAATCATTGCATAGGTCGGGGGGTGGAGTATCTATGTGTTTATTCTCATCTCCCACCTTCAAGAGATGCGAGGGACCGTTTTGATCCACCTCGATCGAGTTCCGGATTTGATGGCAGTGAAGAGATAGATACGTCGACTACGATATCATCGCATGAATCTGACTCAAATGACATTGGCATCGAAACTTTAGATGCTCAGGGATATGCCTTACCTCGGAACACTTTACTTTCGCCGAATCTCTATGCTCTGTTCGTCAACTGCACAACCACCCCTCGACATGAACATTCTTCAATTATCCTAACAACCTGAACATAACAGAAGCTCACATTCACTATCCAGAGACAGCCTGATTCCGTCACCTGGTATTTCGCCGTCACGACGTCGCAGATTATGGCCAGATCGGCCCGTCTTGGATTTTCTGGTGGGCATGTTCCTTCAGGAGATGAACCGAGTCCACGAGATGATCCATGCCCCATCCTTTCAGAGCAAATATAATGCATGGTGGATTGCCCAGGAACAGAACGATATATCGGGAGAGAACAATACGTCTGATGAAGATCTGAATTTCGGATTGCTGGTAATACGAATATGTCTCATCAGCACCCAATGCCTTCCACACTCCAAGTTTCCCACAGAAGGGATAATTAAAATCTCTCGAAATCACCTAGAGCAATGGCTTTATTCTATGGCCGACGATATTGACAAGTCTTTACAATCCAAGAAACCCTCCTTGGTGACGGTGCAGCACCGCTTTTATCATGTATGCTATCTAAAGGCCTATGCCAGGATCCGAGAATGCTGGTCCATCCTCAGCGCCACTGTCAAGGATGCACATGAAGTTGGTCTCCATCTGAAAGATCCGGGTATCCGACTCTCAGAGCTGGAAATGGAGATCCGGAGACGGTCATTTTGGACGCTATACATTTGGGATCGGTATGTGCGTATTCAACCTTACAAACCGTCGATTAACTCTTTTCTAGCTTCATGTCTGCGTTCTTCGGACACTGGCCACTCATCCCCGAGGGATATTTCGATATCGAACCACCACACGACAACATCCAAGCCCTCTCACTCAGGCCCTACGTTCTAACCCCATTCACCGACCGAGTATTCCTCGTGAAGCTCGCTCGTTTCCTATCAGCATTCATGAGTCCACCATCCTGGCAACACGACCGCGTCGACTCCATCGTAATAGCAGACTTCACTCAACGATTCCAGCAAGTCATTATCGACCAACTACCCTATGCTTTTTGGTTAGACAATCCCGACACATCGTGGGATTCTGTTGATCTCTCCCTTGCCGGTAAGAGGGAGATGCTCCACCTCTCTATATGGGTTACGAAAGCCTCCCTTTACAAAGCCTTCGCCGACCCATGCAGTAGTCTCCAGCAGCAAAAGGGTCCGACACTAAAACACGGAAGCGATCCTCTTGCTCTTGCCCATCGTCGGACTCTGATGGAGACAACGTGCAAGGTGATCTCCTCAATTGGCAACTTGTACAGCCTTCTAGGCGATGAAGAAGCCGGTTCAGCAGAAAAACTATTTCTTCTCCCCGTTTGTCTTGTTGAAGCACTCGCGACCTTAGGTGTTTGTTTGCTGTCCATCCGGGCAGATGAGAGGACCCTCAGTCTAGATGGTATTCAGTGCGCTACTGATACTGATCTGCCACAAAGGTACTTGGCGTTTTCCAGTGGATACGGTCTTCTTTGTCGACAAAGTCCACGACATGCAATGGCCAGAAAGGGTGTGAATATGCTGAAGGGTCTGCATGATACACTACATGCTTCATTCCGAGCCACTGATATACTTGACACTTATGTTGGAGAGACGCTGGAGACGGAGTTTCGAAAAGGATATGGAGCTGCCGCCTGTCAGATGGAGCATGCATTGGAGTCTCTGCATAGTTACGATGGCGAGGGTGTTCAACGAGGGTTTCCAGTGCCTGAATGGGTACCGTCATTTATGGCATCACCGGGACGATCGTGGCTGTTTCACGACGATACGGCCTTTGCAGATTTGATGGCATAGCCTATTAGAAGTATCATGTATGTTATGATGATGAATGGTATGGTTGGTTCACAATGAAGTTCCTGGAGTTGGTTGAACATTGAATGCTCAAGCTTATCCAAACAATGATTTGTCCAGGTGATAATTGTATAGACTACAATTTGCACTTCCAGGCCAAGGACTCTCATTTACCAGAAAAATTATTAGACCGAAAGAAAAGGAAAAGGCGCAAGGGAAACAACAAGAACAGGGCACGCGTCAACTCGTACTAGTCCTAATCAGGATCCGACACTTAATCTCTAGGATAAAGGGACAGAACAAAGAAAGTAATATCACGAATAATACATTGGTCTCTATTTCAGCATCTATAGATCCAGTCCCGATCACTAGCACTCCAATGCATTGAATACCAGAGATAAAGTGTGTTCCATGGATATACAAACCAGTTCTTCTCAGACCCTTTATCTATAAAATACTGCAATATAGTTAGCTACCTTTACATGCAACGATCATAGATTGCGCATGAGGGAGTAGGAGGACGTACACTTCCACAGCCACTATTATGCACCGTGTTATCAATAGCGCGATGAAGCTTTGCATCGTATTGTTGTTCGCTGCTTGATTTGACCTCGGCGGAGGCAGCTCGGCGGAGCATTATAGGCCCGATAACTTTGATAACCATATCCACCTCGCTATTAAATCCATCAGTATAGCTCTCGGACGGGAAGAGTTGTGTCGACGCTGTCATACCTCTCAATAATCTGAATAGTGGATGTATACAGCCGACCGGAGTTAGGTCCAAGGATATAGAAGAAATTGGGGAATCCATGCATCGCAATTGTTTTGAAAGCCGCCTTGTGCCCATATTCTTTCCAATGCTGTTCTCGCGTCTTGCCTTGGCGTCCTCGGATTTCCGTATCGTACTGAGTGAGGGAGAAGCCATTGGCAAGAAGCTAATTTGAGATGAAATGTTAGTTTTACCGAACGGCATATTTGGTAGAGAAAGGGGGTCCATACGATGACATCAACAGGAACTTCTTGGCCAGATTTCGTGATGATGGAATTTGTTGTGATTTTCATGATGGGATCATCTGTCAAATGCATATTACTCTCATGAAGAGTGGCGAGATATCCTCGGTCGAAGACTCGTCTCTAGAGATTCATGAGCTTTGTTTCAAAACATATTCAACTGAGATGAATGTCTTACCTTGCAACCAAATTCGAATGAAGGAATTAGTAGGTCCCAGTATGATTCTATCTCCAGTCATTAGTCTCTGATGGAGTCCAATTAGAAGTAAAAGATGCAAACATACCGGGCGCTGACTTCTGAACATACTCTCGGCTCTTTCTCTCAACAGAGTCCCGTCCAAATTTCCCGAGTCGCGTATTCTGAAACCTGAACCACATGATTTCCATATAGAGAAAAAGAAACATACGAATCAAATAGAGTAAAAAAGGAAACTGGTGGAACCAGTCTCTCCACTCTCGAGATATCATATGATTCTTCGCCTCGACGAGATGGTGGGAAGACTGTTTGCAAAATTTAGTAAATATACTTCTTGACCCCCAAAATCTGTACTGACCCTCATAAATTGTGTGACTGATTTTGTCTTGCCAATGATTGCTGGTATCAATTGTGCGGCAGATGCTGTATTTTCTGTCAGTATTGAGTCAAAGGGTAATCGTGGCAGGCACCTAGGAAATACAGTACCTCCATTCCCAATCACGGCCACATTTTTATTGGTTAGATCAACATTATGATTCCATCTGGCAGTATGGATGATCTCTCCTTGGAAGTGCTCTACGCCGGGCGCTTTAAATTCGGATGGATTGACCAGGCCGCCAACTGCCGATATCAGAACCTGACACTCCTGAGTGAAAAGCTGTTTTGTTTTGAGGCACTGCAATGTAACAATCCACCTCTGGGTTTTCTCTTGCCAAGTAGAATCAATCCACTCCACCTGTCCAGTGAAATGTTGATCCACCCGATATTTTGTGACCACGGTAGACAAATAATTCAGAATTTCCTGTTGAGGCGGAAACATCTGAGTAAAGTCGGAACATGGTTCAAATGAAAAACTATAGCAAAGCCCTGGAATATCCACGGCACACCCTGGATCTTTTCCAGCTATCAAAAAATGCATGCTTCACGTAATAGAGGAGTACTCACATGTATTGGCGAGCCAAGTTCCTCCAAGCCCTGGGTGACGATCGTAAATACAATAATCGTTCAAATTGTAGATTTTTGTTAGACGGCAAGCCATCGCAATCCCTGATACTCCACCACCAATGATAATGACCCGGAATGGGGGCCTGGACGGAAGAGCCATGGTGATACGAGAGAGAGAGCACTTGAGACTGTAAAAGCTCTCAGATTTAATTATTGATTAACGAGGCAAGAGAAGGTCAATCTGATAGATACATATAGTCAGGCGAGAAAAATAAATAAATAAATAAATAACCATAAAGAATGAAATAAGGAACGCCCAGAATAGAAGAATATTTACTCGATGCGCCATCAAAAGTAAATTCATACTGGTATCCTTCCAACTGAGAACGAGATATTCGGCATATTCCGTGCAATCCACATGCACAGGTTGAAGAGAGCTGAGCTCAACACCGCTAATTCATGTGGCATAAATTTTCCTTCTCAACGTCGCGGTTCCTCATGGGTCCACGTGGACACCGATAATCCACTGGTGGATCTAATTGCGGTTAGCGCTAGCAAAACGTCACTTCATCAACCAATCATACCCCTTCTATCTATGTTTTGTCTACCGTCCGTGCTTTTCTCCTATAGTGTGTTCTCAGCCACAAAAAGTACCGAGCCCTCGGCGACTGGGTGCCGATGAACGACGTTGTTAGCCCAACGTCGGAATCCAGTTTAATTAGCCTCAATCTCTGCGCTAGTCACCCAAAAAAGCTAGCCTGAGTTGTATCATCGCCGGAGAAAGCCGTATACCCGACGTATAAGCTGATATCTTTGCAAATCTTTTTTCAAAAGGCGTTCGTGAACACAGCCACAAAAGCCATGGGCTTCCGGCGATTACCGGAGAACGCCTTTACCAGCCCGTTTCTGGTGTACTCAGCCAGCCTCTATCTGCCAGCGCCATAGCCGACTTGAACCCTACGGTGAATCCGAAGTTAGGCTTCCCTAGTATCGGTATACCGTAGCCTAAAATCTCTGTCGTTTTCATTATTTCATGATTTTATTAACTTCCGTAGGTTTATACTTTTGTCCATATGCTCATGCTCACGTTGCTTGTATTATGCTGCGCACCGGAACAACCTGGCAAGCCCCTCTGTGGCGCATGTCCCCATCGTCAAACACGGTCAAGATTGGTAGCCACCGAAAGAAGCTAGCGTGGAAGATATGATAGCCGGCGAACGTTAGTAAACCTGTCAAGTTTTCATTCTGAGACTAGTGGACTCGGTTCGCCCCGATGAGCTGAAAAAAAGAGCTAAAATACTGAGCCGTTGGGCTCATCTGGGGCCTGAGCCATAATGCAAATCATACAATCAGGCATTGCCACGATCATTCGGCCGGTCTCAGACTTTTTTACGTCATAAGTTTAATTCTATTCACATGTTTATAAAGCTCAATATGAGATGCTTAAAGAGTAAACAATCCTGAGTGCTTTGGTAGTAATCAACTGGAGATTTTTCTGTTGTATTCTCTCCAAACATGATTTTCCAAAATGTTCCAGTATTACTGGTGTATTTGGGCCATGAGCTACAGATTGAATTATACCGGACAAAGGCTCTGGTAGTGGCATCTTTCATTGCATTACTCTTCACAATTATTCCTTTAACCATCCTTTTCCTTCAAACGCTCTTCGTTCCCCGTCAGCTGGTCTCTGTATCAGATAAGGAACAACCAACAACATTTTTGGGAAAACCGCTCTTTTTCCCAGTACAATTCAATCATATACGCCGCCGACCAGTGAAGGATCAGTTTATGAACCGGTTCCTCCTTGTGGGTACTCCTGTTGGTCTTCGTTGTCGCATTGGGAGCTTGTTTGCGGTGGACGATAAGTCTCTGGATGTGACACCACCTCCTGGTGGCGTTGAAAGATACTGGTCATGGAAGCGTCTTTCTTCTCAGTTATCTTGTTGGTTTACTGTTGATTCCGCACGCTTCCTTCATCGTGGAGACCATGGGCTGGATCTTCGAGAAAAGCTGGACAATTTCTTACGTGATCAGGTATGAGAGTAATGATCATCAAAAAATTTCTCTCTAATCTTTACTAATTCTCGATATAGAAAGAGGACCCCGCACAATGGCCTTACGCATATCTCCTGTGTGTTCCCCAGTTCTTGGGATGGTCTCGCGCTGTTGTTTCTTGGTGGTATCTCTATAACGAGAATCGGGAGATCGATGCGATGATTCTTGAAATCAACAATTCTTACTGGGAGAAAAGAAACATTTTCCTGAGAGTGAACCCGACCTCCGATGATCTCATCAATTCCCCTCCAGAATTGCCGGCGGAATATCTTGATGAGTTGCAGTTGGCGCGCTCGTTAATTTCTTTGCCCCGAGCCAAGTTTTACAAGGGAACCTGGATCAAGAGCGTATTTGCGTCCCCGTTCGAAAAGGTAGATGGCCTTGTCTCCAATAGGATCATGGATCCTCTACAGCCAGGCGCCTGGAAACCGAATACCTCTTTCTCCAATATGACGACGATGGAAGAGGATACTGGCGAGGTCCGCATGGCTACCCGATTGATTTGTGATGGTCCTCCGATCGATCCCACCAAAATGACCACTTTTGAGGTGGCCAAGTTCGTCTTTCAATGGACTCTACCAAATATGTTCACTACAGCGGAAATCATTTTCAAGGCCTTGAAAATCAAATTCTATGGGATGATGATCATGAACAAGAAACCGCCCGTACGCAGCGGGAGTGTTGGTCGGCCGATCACGAAGCTAGAAAGGTATGTATCGTTCTGGTAATAGTGTTTTATGAGCATTAGTTCCTCAAGTACTGACAATTAATCAAGCGACTTTGAACGTGTCTTCCGCTCGTATCTCACTACCTGTGTCGAGACTTTCCCAGAGCCCATCGAGCTCACTTACTTTCCTTGTCGATCATTCACCAATGAGATTGTCCGCATCCAGTCTCCTTCATACAAGGCTTCTCTCTCCATAGCACGCACACTGACAGTTGAGCCTGCTGATCCGCGATTCTACTCGAGATTCACCACCTATCTTGATATATCGACGGCCTTGGCCCAGGAAACACAACCAGCAGGACTCGCCGCTGACCCCACTGCTCGGCCACTCATTGTATCTGACCTGCCCCTTCTTACTTCTATACTTGAGTCGGGGTCCAGGGAAAAGCATCTATCCTGCGGTTCAAGCTGGAAAACAAAGCTTGTATTTTCCTGGTGTCGGAACTCAGGTCTCACTTTCATGGACAAGTTTGCTTTGTCTTTGTCCGATAAAACTTCGCGCACAACTTATCTCTCTTCGACTTTCCATATTGCGAGTGCGCGTAAGCTTGCATTTGGCTCTCAAACGTTACTAGGGATTTGGACATTAATGGCTTCGTGTTTGATTCGATGGTTCTTGTTACAAGGCCTCTTTGTTTGGTGCAGCACTTTATCATTTACTAGAAACGTTTATTTTGTGGTGGCCATTGCTGGATACTTCTTTACCATCAGCGCCTGGGAGAGAACAAAGGTCTGGCTTCTTCAAGATTAGGGATGTAGAAAGTCCCTTGCAATTAAATAGCTAAATTGAATAGAATTTGGTCGTGGTGAAATCATCCAAGTAGTGGCCGCCATCAGACATCGTACACTGTATCATTTATTAGTCCGCCTCCTCCCCAGGAGCTATCTCTCGATTTGATGTTCTCAACGATAATCTCATAGTATCACGGCCCGGACGAGATACGGCTATTGAACTGCCCGCCTGAGACGCAATCGAGGTGAGGATCGAGTGATTCCTTTGAGAGAACGTTATATGTAAATCCCCCCCAAATAAGTCTTTAGGTCAACTTCACATATACTGGTGGTGAATGCACAGTTGATGTTTGGTGGACTGAAGTCCACTGCTGCCCGGGCCGCTGTGGGTTGCCCACTGTATCATAAAGAAATGTGATTGGCTCGGATTATTAGTTATGCCGCACAGGCCCATCGCTTGTTCTCATCTGGATCCTACTACCTTACAAGTTGCCCCTGACGACCCATGCCCTACACTTGATATAAGATTACAACACCGATACACATCTGGTCCAAAGATGCGGACTAGCTAAACTCCTCTCGGCTTCCCTTGAATGAAGTAAAGCTATTAGTCATGGTTCTGCTCACCACCTACGCGTACCGCTCTGTCATCTTTGCTCGACGAATAGTCCACCGCCGTTTTGTCCAGGTTTTTGTCGTAATTTTTGTGCTATAGAGCACAGCCGAGGTGTTTCTGGTGCGACGCCGACTGGCAGATGTAGATACGACCCATCTGGTGGTAACCCAACGCCACGAGCGAATCTATATTTCCAGTATCCATTGGAATAATATAGTTCTTCAGCTGGCTTAATATTGTGGATAGGAAAATATATACTTCGGTATATTTGCACGTGAGAGAGGACATCTGGAAGCTGGGACGACCCGAAGAGTGCGTTGCAAGAACTGAATCATACCTTGGATGGTCTTAGTGTTGCGAGGAGTATCACCATATCCGAGAAGACTTACGTTGATAAAAACCTAGTACCGCCCGCTGAGCATCGCTAGATTAATACTCTGTAAGGTTGTAAAGGAGCTCAAGACAATGTATACCCTATCTTGCTGGCTTACGGAACTTATCGTTGTAGCCTTTGTATACGCTTGTGGAGAGTGGGGTTACCTTCAACCAGATATTGTTCCTTAACGTGATAATTATGGTGATTTTAATCCTTGCAATATTCTCTATCCCTAACGCTAGCTCTAGACTCGTAATGTTATAAATATAGTAGATACGAACCAAGGCAGGTTTCTAGCGTTATGCTCTCTAGATTTCTCAAAGCCCCTGCTGTACTATAATATCTTGCGCTACCGGACTTTCTCGGCAAGGACTATATTATGCAAAAGTGACCCTATTTCCGCTCCTCAAGAGTCTCAAAATGCGATAAAATAATTATTTTCCATTTCTAGAATAAATTATTAGAATGGGATGATTAAGCCTCCATTCATTTGATTTATATTCAAGGATGCTGGGTTTCAGTGTCAATGCCCGCGGTCCCTTTTACGCTGATCCGCCACTCTCTTTCCGAGGCGTACCCGATAGCCTCGCGCTAACCATATGGAAGGATCTAAGTGCCGCAGGCTGCAGTCTTGGAGGAGTAAGTAAGGAAGAGCTCACAGTCTTGTTGATGGGACCAATTGAGCAAGATATGATTACAGCTCTTGGAGTGTGGGATCAGGTGACCATCCAGCGCGTGCATGTCCAAATACTCCTCCTTCCCTTCTTCATTTCTCCTTCCCGTCGGGATACAGATCTTGTCCGTTCCTTCGTCTGTTTCCACGGCATACCTCTGTTGACTGCAAGTCACCTAAAGAGGGAATAAACAAGACACCGCCTGTTGTTGACCTGACACTATCGGCTCTAAACAAAACGGGTTGGCCCGGACTGGACGATCATTTACCATTCTAGGATAGAAGCTACATCAACCAAGTTTCCTTGGCTCAGGACCTTGTTTTCCAAAAGAAAATTGAATTCACGGAAGAGTTATCTGGTTACTTGGTTTTTCAGTCATATAAAAGCCCTAGACCAGATGTGGCTTAGATTCCAACTGGAGGTCATTTCCATCTACCATAGAATCACTGTACATTTTGCCTCAGGCAACATTCTTGGAAGGGATCGCGAAAAAACTCAACTTAAAGCCTGGTAGCATTTGATTTGTTCAGAAGACATGAATGCTTGTATCAAGGTTGAAAACGTATATAAAGTTGAGTGCATGAATCATGAGACTAATCGGCTGCAACCAGCCGTTACTCTGTGCGACCGTCATCGACGTCATTCAGTACGGGGAAAAATGGGGAAAAATAAGGAAAAGAGGAAAAATAGAGAAATAGAAGAAAAGCGCCAAGATAACAGTGACAGCTGGATCGTCATTCCATCAAATCTTTTCTTTCTTTAAACCCTTCAGCCTTATGTTGTTCCAAAAAAGCACAGTCCACCCTAAAAACCCCCTTGAAATCTACCGAGAGGGTCTAGACGATCCCGTCCCCCTGTGAAAATCCCTATTGAATCCCCTTCCACCAACTCTATGGCATTCATGCTTCCTGTCTTCTTTTCATTATAACCTCCCCCAACTCCGGCATCGACCGGCAAGATGCGCCCCGGGTTGCATAAACCGGGCGCGTTTCCACTGCTGGCCCTAGTCATCTTCTCCCTGCTCACACTGGTGCCTTCACTGCCCAGTATTTACAGCTTGAAGCTTACCGACTTGACATACTACATTGGCGGGTCACGTAAGTTCAATTGACTCGGAAAGGCGCGAAACTCCCGAAAGCTAATACCAGATTTTCTAGAAGTGCCTCTCATTCAGGAGAATGTCGAGCTCCCTTTGGACACACACCCCAGCGATCGCACACCATGGATTCTGGCTGCACCGTCTCGATCGCGTCTGAATCGTTTCTCACGACCCGCGCGAATTGCAAACGGTGCGCCGACCATCTCTACCGAGACGCCGTCTTTCGGAAATAGAAGTCGCTCGTCCTATCACGCGGAATCCACATTCTTGTTCAGCCGCCGAGCCCGCGCCTTTCGCACATTCTTCATCCAGCAATTAGACGACTATCAATTCCTCACCCCCTTCTCCACCGGCAGTGTGTCAACCGGTGCCAGTGCCACGCGTCCCGATCCTACACTTACTCCTAATCTCGCCGAACCGGCCTCAATTGACGACTCAAATCCCACCACCGCAATAAATAATGAATCCCTCTCATCCCAGCCTGCTACGGACCTAGGTCTGCAGCTTTCATTCACCGATATGTGGCAGCAGGCCTGCCAGACGGCCAGCGGTCTTTGGAAGCTGAATTCCAAGCTCCATCGTTTGATCCGATGGGAATCAGAGGACGCTCACTCCACTAAACCCGCCGACATGCCTTTAATCCGCTATCAAAAGGACGCTCCACCGGAGGAAGAATGCACGGGCGTAATGCTGAATAAAACTCTGCTTCCATCAAATGACCAGTCCACCGACGCTGCTGGCCGGCCTTCAGCGGAGCTCCAGGGCAGCTGCATGGCTGTTGTCATCGGCCTGGTCGCCGGGATAATGTGGTTCTAAGTACGGAGTACAGTACATGTTCATAATGCATTGAATTCCCGAGGGGCGTGGCACGCGCTTCGGGCTACATATATTGCCCCTTTCTTCTTGTTTTTCTTCTTCTTCTTCTTTGGCATTGGTTGACCCCTGGTACCTGGAGTTTTTGGCATGCCATTTATGTGTCCTGATGCCTGCAATGAGTTTCTCTTCTGTTTTCTTTTTTTTTTTTCTTTTTAACTCACGCGGGCTGGTATGCACTGGGATTCACGGACGGCTCTGGTTTAGTGTCCTTGGATATTACTAATGACGTTTCCTGGTTTGGTGTATGTACCTAGGTGTAGATATACAATACACAATGAATCTGAACCACCATACTCGATTCTATCTACTTGACTGCTTGAGTTGGTATGTCTTGGCGTTGTAGTATGGGGGTCCAGCTCCTTCCAGCCCATGTGATCTTGTGACTTACTGGCAGCAACCCCTGGTAGGTACTCTAGTAGGCAGCACATATACTTGGGAAGTTCTATACCAAAAGGACAATGCAATTTTCGATCAGGGACCACATTTAGCCAAGGTAACCGAGTAGTTAAGGGGTGGACTCTGGCACATGAGTATTCGGATGCAAAAAACCTTCAAATATTTCGATTCCTTCAGTGCCGAGACTAAATTTAGAATGAATTTGCCTTAATTGATCCCTGGTTATTCGTAAATAGAATTTGTTCAACTTTCCAATTTTCAGTGAACTAACCAAATCCGGAAATATCTGCGTATCCGTATGAGATCATCATCGATCTATCCGCCCTCGACTCTCTTACAGTAGATCGATCTATTCTCAGGGGCGCTTGACCGGTGGGCCATGCCTGCTTATTTTTATCGTATTCGTTTCCTCTTCTCTAATGCAAGAATATGGATCTCGACGGTCAAAAACAAGTTCGATCACGGCGGACTCACCGGAAGTCGCGGGGAGGGTGCGCTAGCTGTAAGAAGCGACGAATTAAAGTGAGTATTCGTCCAGCGATAAGTGCACCTTGATTCCTCCTTCTTACCTCTCTCATCATGCGTGGTTTCTTTCGTTCCTTATTTTGTTTGCCCCGTGGACGATGGCACACTCTGGTTGGAGTGGAAGATGACCGATCTGACCCTTTGAAGTGCGATGAGAAACGACCGTCATGCAAGAACTGTACCAACCACGATGTGGAATGTTCATTTACTAGCAACGGACCATCTACGGAAATATCGTCCACAGAAACTCCGGAAGCTGTTACTGAGGCACGGCCCCGGGCCCAGCGATTCCAACCTTATCACTATTCAACAGGAGAGCTGAAGCAGACGTTCAGGATTCCCAAGCCAAAAAACAAGCCAAAGCAATCGACAGTATCCAAAGCGACTCAATGCGACCTCGCTCCGGATGGACCTATCAGGATTGTCTCGCTGGCTGATTTACAGCTCTTTCATAACTATACCATTTCAACCTTTCGGACCATGCGAGAGGAAGACCAAGATTTACACGAACTATGGCAAAAGCACATCCCCGAATGGGGTATCGAGTTCCCGTCCATCTTACACCTAATTCTTGCCCTATCATCACTCCACCTAGCATACAAAAAGCCTGAGCTACGAGGACAATACATCGAACAAGCAGACAGTCATTTCACCTTTGGTGTCCGTTCAGTCACAGCCGTTCTCTCCCAACTCAATGCCGACAACTGCCAAAAAATCTACATTGCAGCTACCTTGATATGTTTTATCTATTTCGGAAGAGGTCCACGACCAGGCGAATACCTCATATTCAGTGACAGCGGTCCGGCAGAATGGCTTGTTCTCATGAATGGCGTCAAATTTATTCTCCAATCCCATCATGCGAAAATATTCAGTGGAATCCTTGAGCCACCACCTGATCATACGATTTATTCAATCACTCCGGCGATGCGCAGTGAGCGTCACGAACACACAGTCCACCTTCAGGCCGTGCAGAGACTTGTCGAGGGGGGATCAGTGGATGAACGGGAAATGTGCATCTCTGCGATTCAGGACTTGTTTGAAATTATGGATGACCTATATGACAGAGTTTCTGTGGGGAAACAAGGCGGATCCCTGATGCATCTGTTGATTGGGTGGCTTTATCGTCGACCCGAAGCGTTCGTGCATACTTTGGAGCAGAAGCAGCCTCACGCTTTGGTGATCCTTGCATACTGGGCTGTTTTGTTGAAGTATATGGAGTCGGCATGGTTTATGGAAGGCTGGTCTGATCATGTGTTGACAGGGATCTCGAGCTCATTGCATCCGGACTATTTGCCTTGGATAGATTGGCCTTTGCGGAAAGCCCAGCAGGCTGGGTAGGTATGCTACATAAAGATATCAATCTCATGAAGTAGCATATTGTTCAAGGGACAGGGAAGGATTTAAGTGTTGATTATGTGTTGTACAGTAATACCAAGTGTTGTAAGTGGGAAATGTTAGGATAATTATTCTGAATAGGTCATGAAATCGTCGAGGTTCAATATTGACGAAGAGAGGGCTCCCAGTTCAAGACTACATCAAAGGATTATGGGACTTGGGGGAGAATAAGCAGTCATAGAAAGTAGTCACAACACAATCAGCTCTAGAGGTAGCCAATACTTGAGACCCTAACACGTCCTCGATGGGACTGTGGGTACTCAGGGGGCCGGTTGATACGCAGGAGATCACCACGGACCCAAGAAATTAACATGTACACATTGTACAATGTGTACCATGAAGAATGCAAAGGCAAACTCTCATTTCCTCTCGTGCTCATTGGTTGAACTTTCTGGGCTAGCAAACAGGCGAGGTTCTCCAGGGTATTAATATCGTGAAGATCTTCCACTAACTTCAACCTTCTTTTTTCCACTCTCCACTCTCCACTTTGGCTCCACCTGATCTCCATATTCTTGATCATTCTCATCCAACACTTCCATCCTTTATCATGCCGATACTTTCATTCTTCAACATGTTGTCTCATCCAACCTTGATATAAACATCACGTTTTGTCCTCTTCCTTCCCTAGTGTTCGCATAACATTTCCCTCATTTGTTCCTTTCCTTTCATCTCGTTGTTATCCGTGGTCACTCACCAGCATTCGTTGACGGTCTTATACACTTGCTCTTCAGGTCTTCAAACAGCATCATGTATTATCATCCATCTTGGAGCCTGAACGATGCACTGGTCCGGACCTTGGGTATTTTTCTGGTTCTCGGACCTTGACATAAGAAAGCCTGGGTTTTGTCCATATAATAATCAGGCAGCAAAATTCATGATGCCATTGACGCGCGCTTCGGGGTTCAAACTTTCAGGTGGGCATTAATGCCCTCTTCCCATTTTCTATTCGTATGCTGACAGCCCCACAGACATTCTCTCTCTTCCAGCCTTGATCATGTCGCCTGGACCAACTTACCAACAAACAAACAAAATGCACGAACACAACACAAGCATATACTGATTGAATAATGGGAATGGTGAAATGGACAAGAAAACAAACCTTATTGATACCTATGCTTTAAAACTCCATGTCATGTATTTATCCAGTCTGATTACTTTACAACTCATTAATGGTTGACAATCTTTTCCTTTCCATTCTTTCAGTAAATCCATGCTGAACCAGGGACTGTTAGTAGCACTGTCTAAAAAAAGCTAATACAAGGTTATCATGCTCCACAGTCTCCACTCCAAATCCACCCGTACTCGTACCAGATATTTCCTAATCCGTCACAGTAGATCGTCAACCAGGCATCTATTCTTCTCTTGTCATAAATAGGGTCCAATTTCTCCAATTCTCAATTAAATAGTCAACTAAATTCCGAACCAGATCCCAGATCCCAAATCCAGCAGAAGAATGGACATCGTCTACCACAACGGCACAAACGGATCCTCTCCCTATGTCGACTTCTACCCATACACACCATCAGCAACAGCCGGATATGCATTCATGGTCATCTTCGGCATTTCGACTGTCGTACATATCATTCTAACAATCCCATTCCGCGCTGCATACTTCATCCCCCTCATACTGGGCGGTATATGTAAGAGAAGAACCCAATCACCGCCCTTATTTCCTTTCCTTCCTTCCTTCTTTCTTTCCCCTCGCATTATCAACTCATAACTAACATTTGATTCAAGGCGAAACATTCGGCTACTACGGCCGAGCATGGTCGCACCAATCCAGAACCAATATTGGCTCATGGGCTCTACAAGAAATGCTCATCCTCTGCTCTCCACCTCTCATCTCAGCAACAATCTACATGGTCCTCGGGCGAATCATTCGCGCTTTCGATGCAGAACACCTATCCAGCATCCGAACAAAACGGTTAACATTCATCTTCGTAATGAATGATATTCTTTGCTTCTGCACACAGCTCGGTGGAGCGGGCGTGCAAGTAACGGGTGACGCGCATATAATGGATATCGGCAAGAAAGTTGTATTAGCGGGATTAATATTTTCGTTGATCGTGTTTGCATTCTTCGTGTTGATCGCTGCGAAGTTTCATCGGAGGCTGGGCAAGGATCCGGTTCCGTTTTTGTTGGAACATGGGGATCTTCATTGGAGGAGGTATATGTGGGCGATTTATGTGGCTTGTTTGGCTGTTATGGTGAGAAATCTTATGAGGACTGTTCAATTTGGGGCGAGTCAGACGGCGCCGGTCAATACTAGTGAGGTTTATATTTATGTGTTCGATGCGTTTATGATGTTTCTTTCGATGTTTGTTTTGGCTGTTTATCATCCAGGGTTATTGATTAAGAAGGCTCGGAGGCTTGGGAAGACGGATTTTGAGAGGTTATCTTCTCCTATGACGTCGGAACATGTTCCTTTGACGGAGTATGAGCCGGCTGCGATGCGGAAATGAAAGTCGAATAAAGGTTCCAGGTGGGAGGTTATTTGGGTAGCCACGCCGAAATGGAAACCCACAGCGAAATAAGAAAATACTTACATTTTATGAATTCAAGGACAAAGGCCTATAGTATGAATCATAAAAGCAAATCTATACTCACCATAATACTGACAAAACACGGGGTAAATAACAGAATTAATGTCAAGTTACTCAGCAGCTTATATTAAAAAGTTAAACCAGGCAGAATCAGGCAGGAATGGGCCAAAAAAGCCCTTTGGGTTGGGCCTGGACAAGGGGTTGGCCCAATGGGCCGGCCCATGCCGAAGTCTATCATAACAGAGGATAGGGTGTTATACTTATAGGGCTTCAATCTGACTCAGGTGGATTTATGTATTGGGGAGCGCGGCAGAGCCTAGTTCTGCAGTCGAGTTAAGACTAGTTGGACATGATTTTCTCGTTGGAAATCGCTTTGTTTGAGTCCACCTTTGCTCCAATTTGGCCGTGAAGTCCCCGATTTTTTCTTGGAACAGGCAACAAGAATAGAAACCGAAGCAAATCCTTTAAAGGAACTCTCGAATCGAAAGATGGAGCCACAGCGCGTCGGAAGTAGTGATATCTATGGAGGGTGAAACAAGCCTAGAAAAGCCTTTTTGCCGATCCACCGACGGCAGTGATTGTTTGGTTCTCATTGTACCAGGTTTGAAGGAATACGGATACGCGAGAATTGCCTAAAAAGTAAGTCGCCATCCATGCGTCCCGCCTGGTTGAAAGAGTGGAGACTGGATATGCATTATTGGTCGATCACGTATTTATAGAACTTGAGATTTATTCCATGGTTGCGAGGAACTTGCTTGGAAGTTCAAAATGAAAAAAGAAAAACGACAAAATTTCCTAGAACAAAGCTAACGAATATAAGCTCGCAACGACTCCATTTCTGTTCAATCCTCCGCTCAAATTCTCCAAACTACTTCTTCCCTCTATCTTCACCCCCTACCCCAAAATGCCTAAGCAAGACGCTATCATACTCGACCGATACTGGCATAAAATTGGAGTCCGTGGCCGCATATCCCGCGTTCTCCGCCCTGTGCAATTCCTCTTCGCTATGACCGTTGCCGCCCTGTACGGCATCGATCTAGCCCATGCGACAAACACAAACAACACCGCCCCAGCGGAATGGGTGTATGCCGAATTAGCTGTCACCTTATCTTCCATCACCTGTATTGTGTATTTCTTCGTTCCTGTCATCCACGCTGCGTGGTCGACTTGGGACGGAATTTTATTTGTCTTCTGGCTCGCCCAAACGGGTGTTTTCGGAAATATCTACATCTCCGGCACGCTAGATGAGCACTACAAGCAGGTCACTTTGTCCATCCCTCGGATGCGTGCTGCTGTCTGGATTGACCTGATCAACATGTTGTTATGGCTTTCCACGTTCATCCTGGGCATCACTTGTTGTTGCCGTACCCAAAAAACCACACGACAAGGAGTCGAGGTTGGCAACAACAAAGACCACTTGATGAAAAACGATGAGGAAGAGGGTCTTGACGACAAGAAAGATTATTTGATCAGAAACGATGAGAAAGAGTGTGCTCCACCGGAATACAAGGAGGACCCTGATGAGGATTTGGCTGCTAGTCTTGGTGCCGTTCAAAAGAAATTTCATCAATGCGATTCGAGGAAAGATGGCCTTCCAGGCTGAGACAGATACAGAAAGAAGCCAATTTGGATGCCAAGACTGGTTAAGTGGTGGACGTACTCTGGCTTGATCACAGATGCGATTATCCTTGCATGTTGCGATGCCGATGAGGTTTTGTTCGAAACCCCGTGTTAAGGGGCCTATTCTAGTATGTAGCAGTTACCAGACACCTCTGAGTTATGGGATTTAGGTTGACTGCGTTCTCACATTTTGTATGGCGTTGCATTTATTTTACAAGATTTCAATTATCCATTATTAGCTCTGCTCTCCGACAGTTGATCACAGCTTCCGAATTATAGGATATCGTGTTGCGAGAAGATCTGGGGATACTATACATGAGAAGACCGCCCATGCGGCGAGCCCTCTCCTAAACGGTAACAGAGTGACCAGCACCGTCTAGCTTATCAGCAGCAGCCAGACCAGCGGCACCAGCTATGATAACGTTGGCTGCTAAATCAATTGTTTACAAGCACCATTCATTATGATCTTAAAATAAGTTTCATACATTCTTTTTGTAAACCTCAGAATTTTTCTCTGTACACAGCTTGTTAAAAAGCGGATCTTACCAGTTACCCTTGCAGAGTCGTCCAGTATCCAAATCATAATTCCAGTCGTCGCTTCCCACACCCGAGAGAACGAAAAGACTGTAGCTAGGGTCATACTTGGCTTTCACCTGCACGAGACGCTCGTAGTTTGAGCCGTAGAAGTCCCGCTGGAAGTTCCGGGTGTACGGATTGGCTTCGTTCATGTAGGCACCTGAATTGGGTGACCACTGTCTCCACATCCGCTCCTTGACCTCATTCCACCGGGCTGCCTTTTGTAAGGCCAATTTCGGTGAGCCTGTAGCTTTGGAGTCGACGGTAGCACCATTGGAGATGAAATGGAGATAGGCGGAACGCCAAGCAGGAAGTAATGCACCCCAGTTCTTTTCAGCCGTGCGTCGTACACCAGGACCACCCTGTAGGCCGACCGTGGCATAAGTTCCAGCTGTTTCGTTTTGCGAGCGCATCGCAATCTTTAGGTATTCTTTCTGCTTCTGATGAGGAGTTTCATTAAGCTCAGCACGTCCGAGGAGGCGGCTGGAGACTACGCTCTCTCGACCGGCCACTCCCGAGCTACCAGAAATAACATCGTAAAAGGAGGAATAATTCCCGGAGTTGGATGCAGTAAATGAGATTGAGATACTGCTGTTTCCACCAGCCGCTTTGGTGATATTGGCTAGAACGGGATCTACCAGCGCCTTCATCGCAGCAGGAGTGGAGTTGAATGACCAGAAGACCTGCTTGACCACCACACCCGATGTCCACTGTTCGAGCGACCCGAATGATACAGCCATATCACCGACGGCCACCATGGCGGCTCCTGCGAGTCCGGCATCCATAAGGTCAGGAAGGGCAGAGAGATGTGTCACGGCTGCATCCCATGAAATCTCTGCACTGTGATTGCTGCTATCCTTAGGTGCGATAAGAACATTGCCCATGACCACATTCCGAGGTGCCGGATGGTGTCTAATGACATACTCGGTTACCACGCCGTACAAACCAGGACCGCCACCACGGAGTGCCCAAAACAGGTCCTGGTTCTGGGCATCGTTGGCAACCAGAATATGGCCTTCGCTCGTTACCACTCTCATCTGATAGACATGACTAGCCGCAAGGCCGTAGGTGCGAGAAATAGGTCCGTGGCCGCCTCCCTGGATATAGCCGCCGAGTCCGACACTAGGATCTTGGCCAGTTGTGACCACTCTGCCTTGTGCGAGGGCTAAGTCGAGGACATTACCCCATTGTTGGCCACTGCCAACGATGTACACATCCTCGGAACTGTTTGTGGAGGGATTCTTCCAGGAAGTGTGGCGTTCCAACTTGCGCAGATTATAGGTCCAGATAGACAAGGCAAAGGCACCGCTTGACCTTAAGCACCATGGTTCAAATATTAGCGATGAAGCCCTATAGTAAATCGCAACGAATGTGACATACCTTCCGTTCAGATCATGACCGGTTCCTTTAACGACGACCCGGATATTGCGGGCAGCCGCCCACTTGAGTGCTATTGCAATTTGCTCTTCGGAAGTGGCATTGACTATGTATTGAGGCATGCCACCAATGGAACAACCACGATCCTTAACATAGCCCGAGGCATCAGGTGGCAGGCAGGAATTGTTTGCAAAGATTGGATAGTCAATAGTCTCCGGAAATTGGGATTGCCATGAAGCATTCTCCCATTCGGACTTGACGTTACTGCATTTGACCGGCGAGCCAAATGGATTCCCGTTCCAGCAAGATGAAGCCACTGGCACAGTGTTTAGAAGCCTGTGGTCGATAGAACTGTTGAGAGACGCCCACTCTGAATGGGTAGGCCATTCTGCATCATGTGGGTTTACTTTGCATGCAGGAGATGCTGATGCCGTGAAAGCGAAAGAAAGGGCGGCAAGGATGACGGGAAGCATCTCGGGCAAGGGGAAAAGCTGTTTGTCTGTACCAGCATAGAAGAAAGGCGTCGCAATGCAAACTTATATGTGGGCAAGGAGCAGGCTATGTCATAATTGTTGCTTTCCGGTTCGAGTAATGGGTCCTTTTCAAAACGAAATTAACATGGCAACGCAGATCTATAGATCGACAGTCAAGTGGATTAGCCCTTTGCATCCGTGGATCTTGAAACTATTTAAAGTCAAACAATACAATTAGTTGACGTACCAAGATATAAGACCGATGAGTGGCCATTAGGCAAAGTCCAAAGGAGCAACTTCGGATCCATTTAGACATAGACTCGCGTTGTCAATTAATTCTTGGTTTCTGGATTTCCTGATCTTTGACGCGGACATCCTCAGATTGGAGATGCTTTGTGAGTCTGACAAAATGAACCCCCTAATCGCAGACCCACCGGTCTCCACACGTATTCGTTCCCAAGATTTCCTAGTCCGGCATAAAGAATCTGGCACATACTAGGCCATTTAAAGTTTGTTTCAAAAAGCGTCCAGTCCACCTAAAAAGGATTGGCACTCCCTACATTTTCATAATTTAAATATTACTGAAGTTGGAAAAATCATCATTTGAGCACTCTTTGATTAGGAGAATTATGCAAGAATATTACCCTTGCCTGGACTAATACTCGTCCAACGGGTCTCCCTTGGTCAAACTATGTAAGAAACAAGGTCCTATAGGATTGACGGGAGTAAGGTTTTACTCCCATTGGAGTGAGACTTAACATTTGGTAGTCCCTGGTGGACTTTTAACACACTAGGCTCGAGTCTATTTCTGTTGGCGTAGATGGAGGCACTCCATAAGATGCCGGGTGTGTGAGTCTGCCAAGCCATGGAACTTGCACCATCTTTCTATACTATTCTCGACACAGGTTCTTTTATCGACAAGTCAAAATTACCTCATCTGATTCATTAGTGCTTCTGAGAGTCCGATAGCCAACAGGATCAGGAAGCAAGTAATCGATCTTGCCGAGGGCAAATGGTTTAGACAATGAGAAGCGAGTACGGCTTTGGGATTTATTGATCGGCAACGAGAAATGGGCAGCAATGGGAATTTTTTCCTTCCTCAGGTAAGTTTGGTCATCTTGAAGTGCAAAACTTTGTGACCACAAGAAAAATTCGGCAAAATAACACTAAAGAACTGACACCCACGCCGATAACTTGATATGGTACCTATCAAGCTCCTCTATAAATTCTATTGATAGCACTATACATCTTTGGTAAAAAAATTATGCATTTCTGCTATGGATAGAGATACACAGGGAAAAAGATCTTTCCAAATCTTTCACTCGCTTCTTTCACCCCTACCATGCGAAAAATAAAACAAGTTGAATTAGGCCAAGAAATTTGCAGTTTCCAAATCTATTCAGCATTGTATGCATCGAACTTGACCTCAGTTTCCAGTGGACTGGCGAGAACCCGAATGCGGTGATTACCTTCCGAAGCCTCTTTCAAGGAGTATACCACATATCAGGGTCCACTCGTCCTGTTCGTCTTGAATCTGCCCGCCGCCCATCCAGTGGACATTAATGATGGTCTCGGATCTCCCGAGAGCTTTTTCCAGGGCACTGGCGCTCTCTAGGGTGTATGCGAACTCATCGGGAGAGGAGGTGCTCATCAATGCGCTTTTCAGGACGGCTTCGATAGACCCCGACTCGCCGCGATTGAGGGCTCGAACGGAGACCACTCCGTGCAGCTCGCCGCCCTCAATGAATCCTAGTCCAAAACGATCAGTCAGTATGCTTTTCAATTTCTTGGTTTGCTTGCTTGTTTATTTTTTTTCTCCAGCAGTGTCGAGATCTGACATGGGAAGAGGAAAGAAGTAAGTGACGCACCCGAGATGAAGCAGTCGCCGTAGATGTCATGGAACTCTTTCGAGGTCCATTCGTTGATAGGGCATGCGTCTCTGTTACTGTTTCCCTGGCTGTGAGCATAAACATACAATGAAAACAGGCGAGGAAGTAAAATGAAAAAAGACGATCCACTTACAAACGTATGAAGTTTGGGGGGATTGTTGTTTCTATGTGGATGAGCTTTCAAATGGCCAAAACTAGAAGTGGGCTGTCGATGTCGGAGAAGACTAGGTGCTGTAGAAGCGAAAGAAGCTAGTGATGAAATGCTGGGTTTGTTTCCCGGGAAGCCCTATATCATAAGATTAGTGGAAACTTGCATTTAGTTGGTCATTTACCAGCGCGTATGTAATATTGCAGTTACCGTTGTATTTTCCCGGTCGATGGAAAAGGTCCAAATAAACATAGCCGAGGAAGTCGCCGCCCAGTGCCTCCTCATTCCAGGCAGTAAAGACCGTGACGGTGTCATACCAAACCCATGCGCCGTGGGCAGCTTGAAATTTAAAACCAAAAAGCCGCTCAAAATCCGTAGCATACCAGCTAGCGTATGGTCGAGGGGGACGTACTCTGCCATGCTCATTTCGTCAAAGTCATATTTCTCTGTCTTGGCAAGTCGGGAATAGAATGCTACGTCCCAGAAATGGATTCTGGCATCGATCTCATCTTCCGCTTTCCCCTGAGATATAAGATGCTGCTGCTTGATTTTCATGAGATCTGCCCTCGCTATAGCGGCTCGGTCAGCCATTTCTTTCCTAGTAGCATTTAGAAGACCTTTCACTTCTGAAAGGTCCAGCATACAGTCTTGAATCGTATATTCAGCATATGATGCGTATCCCAAAAACTGGGCGATCTGTGCTCGATAACTGACCAGTTCTTCGAATAAGGCAATGTTCTGTGGACACCTGTTGTTAGAAGCAATCAAGAAGCGCTCACGGGTAGATTCCTCGATCGCAAATTTCATTATCATTTCGATGTCATTCCTCTTCAAAGCCACAAAAGCTCTGCCGTCGGCGTCGCGTCTAAGACTTGTGATGTAAGCTGCTGGGAGACATTTGAGCTGCGCCTGAGCGAACCAAACCCCTTCGACACTTTCTTGGACATTTTGCGCACACTCATCGCCCAGCTGGTAATGCGGTTCTGCGACTCCTGATACCTCTTGCTGGTTTGCTCATCAAGATCGAGATGCGACCGCCAAAGAATCCGTAGAAAAAAACGCCTAAAGAAATTACTGTAGCAGATCCATCGCATACGGTACTCGTCCAAGGCACATGTGGAACCAGGGTGTCGTGGTCGATGGAAGTAAAGCTCAATTTTGTGATCAGACTTCGACTTTCACGGTTGATGGTGATGACATCAAAGCCTCAAGTAGCGTCAGCAAGTATATCTCATATGTTTGCAAGAAGGGCGATCTTCCCGAGGACAATACCTTGCATGATTCGGAGAATACGGTTTCTTATGATATTACAAAGGGGAAGTGTATGACAGATATCTTTCCTTGAAGGGATAATGTGGGACAATCTAACTTTGTAAATAAATATACTGCTATAGTATTTATAATTTTTAGGTTATAAATAAATAGTGCTTAGATATTTTTAAAAGGAGAGGGTGAGTGGGTTTTCACAAATAAAATAAAATATGGACAATAGGGATGAGCCCGATAAATTCATAAAACCAGATGACAATATGGCAGAAAATCAAATTTACTAAATTCATGTAAGAGTACCTTGCAGTACAATTTTCTATACAAACACCTCTTTGCGGCTGCAAATATCACCGAAAAAGTCATATCAGCTAATTAACATTCAATGAATCATTAACAATCTTCGTCAAATCAATAAACATAGTGACATGGCACGGGTTCTAATCCACAACAATTTTTCACAGACGAGCAGGGCGGCTGGAGGGAGCAGCATACGCCAGGTCGAAGCGGTCCAAGTTCATAACCTTATCCCAAGCCTTGACAAAGTCGTTCACGAACTGGTACTGACCATCGTGGCTGCCGTAAACCTCGGCCAGAGCGCGCAGCTCAGCGTGGTGACCGAAAATGAGGTCGACGCGGGTGGCAGTCCACTTCTTGGCACCAGTCTTGCGGTCAACACCCTCGAAGGTCTCGTTGTCACTGCCGGTAGGCTTCCACTCAGTGTTCATGTCGAGAAGGTTGACGAAGAAGTCGTTGGTCAGCTGACCGGGACGCTGGGTGAAAACACCAGCGTTGGAGCGGTCCCAGTTGCCGTTGAGGACACGCAGACCACCGACGAGGACGGTTAGCTCAGGGGCGGTCAGTGTCAGGAGCTGAGCGCGATCAACGAGCATCTGCTCAGTGCGGACACGGCCGGTGGAGTGGCCGTAGTTGCGGAAACCGTCAGCGACTGGCTCCAGGTAGCCGAAGGAGTCGACATCGGTCTGCTCCTCGGTGGCGTCGGTACGACCAGGAGTGAAAGGAACGGGAATACCAGCAGCCTTCTCCAGAGCGGCGGAACCAGCCAGAACAATGAGATCGGCCAGCGACACCCGCTTGTTGCCCGTCTGAGAGCTGTTGTAGCGGCGCTGAATGTCTTCCAGGACATTCAGGACCTCTCGCAGCTGGGCGGGGTTGTTGATCTCCCACTTGTTCTGGGGAGCGAGGCGGATGCGGGCACCGTTGGCACCGCCACGCTTGTCACCACCACGGAAGGTAGAGGCTGAGGCCCAAGCAGTGGAGATGAACTTGGTGTGATCGACACCCGAGTTAAGAATTTCTCGCTTGAGCTCAGCGGCGTCCTCCACGTCAATCAGAGGGTGGTCCACAGCGGGAACGGGGTCCTCCCAGAGCAGAGTCTCTTGGGGAACCTCGGGTCCGAGCCAGCGGACACGGGGACCCATATCACGGTGAAGCAGCTTGAACCAAGCCCGAGAGAAGGCATCGGCGAGCTGGTCAGGATTGGCCAGGAAGCGGCGCGAGATCTTCTCGTACTCAGGGTCGAAGCGCAAAGCCAGATCAGTGGTGAGCATGCGCGGCTTCTGCTTCTTGTTGGGGTCAAAAGCGTTGGGGATAATTTCGTCGGCATCCTTGGCAGTCCACTGGTTGGCACCGGCAGGGGACTTGGTCAGCTCCCACTCGTACTTGAAGAGGTACTCGAGGAACTGGTTGCTCCACTTGGTAGGAGTCTTGGTCCAGGTAACCTCCAGACCAGAGGTGATAGCATGGGCACCTTTTCCGGTGCCGTGCTTGTTGGTCCAGCCAAGACCCTGCTGGTGAAGACCGGCGGCCTCGGGCTCTTCGCCAATATTATCTGCGGGAGCAGCTCCGTGGGTCTTACCGAAGGTGTGACCACCAGCAATAAGAGCAACAGTCTCCTCGTCGTTCATGGCCATGCGGCCGAAGGTGATACGGATGTCCCGAGCGGAAGCAATGGGGTCGGGCTTGGCGTCAGGGCCCTCGGGGTTCACGTAAATCAAACCCATGACGACGGCAGCCAAGGGGCTTTCGGGATCCCGGGTCTTGATGTCACCCTGCTTCTCCTTCTCCTCCTCAGTCGTGGGCTTGTAACGAGCGGCGTTGGTCATCCATTCGGTCTCGCTACCCCAGTAAACTGACTCGTCGGCCTCCCATACATCGGGACGGCCACCAGCGAAGCCAAAAGTCTTCAGACCCATGGACTCCAGGGCAACATTACCAGTCAGGAGTAGCAAATCGGCCCATGAGATCTTGTTGCCGTACTTTTGCTTGATGGGCCACAGCAGGCGGCGGGCCTTGTCCAAACTGACGTTGTCGGGCCAACTGTTAAGTGGGGCAAATCTCTGCTGACCCTGACCACCACCGCCACGGCCGTCAAACACTCGGTAGGTACCAGCACTGTGCCAAGCCATTCGAATGAACAGACCACCATAGTGGCCAAAGTCGGCAGGCCAGAAGTCCTGAGAGTCGGTCATCAGGTTGTGGAGATCCTTCTTCAAAGCATAATAGTCGAGGCTCTTGAATGCCTGTGCGTAGTCAAAGTCCTTGCCCATTGGGTCTGTGGCCTGGGTGTGCTGACGCAGGATATTGAGCTTGAGGCTCTCGGGCCACCAGTCTGTATTCCTGGTGCCATGGCCGGCCACATTGGAGGACTTGTGAACTGGACATTCACCCATGATGATATAAACAATGGTAAGGTATTATGGGAATAGAGAGGGGGAATGAAAGAGTAAAGTTTAAACGCTTTAGAAGGAGGGCACCCCGCTCTTAAAAGACGAATGACGGGAAACGCATTAGAAGCTCCTCGGAAAGGGTTTTGTCATCTGGTTGGCTGGACGATGTTCTGGGCCAAAGCTGATTCCTAAGCTACGACGTTCTATTGGGCCAGACCGCCGCGGCTTGTTAATGAACTCCTCTGTGGGGGTATACATTCATGCGGGGAAAGAAGCTACGAATCAGCGGCGATCCCCGGTTTTATCTTATTACGTTGCCCACTTTGACTTACAGTATAGCATAAGCATCCAAGTCTCGACCCCATCCCGTTCGATTCCGTTATTACACATCAAGTGGAACTGAAAAAGCTCCAGAATTTCAGTTGATCAGAAAAAAAAATGCATAAAACAACCATCGTCATGACTGTTAGACTCACCATGGTACAGTGTCTTCACGGTACTCGCCGAAACTGCTAAAGTCGTCAATGACGTCATATGACTAAGCCTGTTCTTGAAAGATTTGATTGGTCAAATATACACTTACAGTACTAACTAGTACTTACTAACGTTAAAAGGGTCGGAATCTTCTTAATAAACCTTTTGCAAGATTCCGTACTTTCCGTTGGGATTGTTAGTAATTTTCCCGTACCGGGAATGTCCATCCGAGTTGAATTACCTTGTCCCACATTACCTTTTCCCACTTTACCTTGTCCCACATTGCCTCGTTCCACATAACTATATCTTTCTATGCAGTCAAAAAATTTGATTGAAATTCCGGAAATAGTATTCACCCTATGGACTAGATATAATATTCAAAACCTATACCTATAGATATACCTAATTGACCACTTAATCGCATTCTTCCTCCCGAGGCTTATTACTAGAACATCCAATAAAAAGAGCTGATATCAGACCAACACAGGCAAAAGCCAGTGCAAGTTGGAAGGCCTGGTGAAGTGCATCCAAATCACAATCGTCCCCTTCAACACAGACTGAATTTGTCATCAAAGATGCCTGGTTGAGTCGCCGATTGAAACTCCCACTAGCCGCAGACAAGCCCAGCGTTGAACCCGTCGATCGAAACGCATACAAAGCAGAAGTGGCCGTTGCATGCTTCTCATGCGGGACCGCATGTAGCAATGCAAGAATCAACATGGTCAGAGAACCACCCATGCCAAACCCTTTGCAAAAAAGATACACCTCGGGCAGAATTCAATATCTTTCCCTCGTGATGGAAGCGAATCCGACCGATGCGATAACCAGAAGCAGTGTCATGGTGTATCTAAACATGTCATATCTTCCTGTTATCGGAAAGACACCAATCCGGCGCCTATGGAATCGGGAAGAATCTGGAGACCTGTCTCGCTGGTGGAATATCCCGGCATCTGTAGGTACAGTGGAACATAAAATGTGAGCGCGTAGAACGCCATGCTCATGAACCAGGCTGTCAAACATGCTGCGACCACGGTCCGTCGACCAAACAATGACAGGGGAATAATCGGCTCTTTTGCCCAACGATATTCAATAAGAAATGCCACCATAAGTGCAGCGCCCGCAGGAATGGCCATGACGATCATTGGCGATCTCTCTTGCGACCCGTCGTAGTTGAGGCCAGGCAGCAACAAAACCAGAGATGATACCAAAGTCACAGCACCGAGGAAGTCAATTCGACCGAGCATTTCTCCAAGTTTCTGTTTGCCTTCGCCTTGACTCGGCACAAATGTTGCAACACCTAGTCCGGCAATGAATGATAACGGTGCAATGCCAACAAACGCCCATCTCCAGCCTACCGCATCATTAATCGCACCACCAATCACCGCTCCTAGACTCATACCAGAGGTCTACACGATAGCGCTAGTGCCCTGCCATGTCCCCCGACGATGAAGAGGAATGTTATCGGATGCGATGAACGTCGCGATGGAAATGCATCCGCCGCCTCCGATCCCTGTAAGTACCCGTGCTGCGATCAGCACCACTTTCGAACGGGAGAACCCGCAGACGAGGTTACCGATGGTAAACAAACCCGACGCGATGCAAAAGTTCACGCGCCGCCCGAAAATGTCACTTAGTTTCCTGCTGAGTGGCTGTGTGGCTGTTAGGCCTATGAGATAGCCTGAGCCTAGCCATGATACGAAGGCCAAGGACTCGAAGGCCAAGGACTCGAATTCGTGTGCGATGGTGGCTGATAATGTTGAGGTGATGGTGCTGTCTGCTGCAGCGAGGAAAGTGGCATTCCATGTGGAGACTAACGCGGCGACTATGGCAGGCTTTACTGGACCTGCATGGCGTGGGGCAATTGGTGACGGGGGATGGCGGGGCGACCCCGAGGAATAAGAGGAGATTGCTCCAGTGTCAAGGGCATGGCGTACTTTTACAATGCAAAGAATTTGTCGAGGGGAAATAGGTGTGTAGGAAAGGGGGATTCGATCTAAGATCTACATTTGTCTTTTGAATGCAAGAAATGGGAAGAAATATGAAGAGTGATACATCCAAACATACTTCCAATTATATACGGTCAAGCATTTGCTCGCTATTTGGTTATTGTTTTTTGCTTTCTCAGCTCAGAATTCAGCCACTCCGTACATACATCAATCATTGTTTGCATCAAGCTACTTCCGCTGCATGAAATGTGCCAAGACAGTAGTTCATGATGTTAAATCTGGCCCAAGAGCTCGGAATGGGTCGGACTTGGTCCTTTTACGATACTCTATTACATGGCCAAGCATAACCACTGTTCCAAAATAGCCACAGCATCTATTTGCAATGAGCTATGATTATTCAAAGTCAACTTAAGTAGCTTTATTCACGAAGTTCTATCACAGTCCACATAACGGTCGACATTATCTCACCTCCAACCTTCTCAATAGCCCTCCGACGAGCCATGTTATACTGAGCCACATCCGCATGAACCCACTCTCTCAGTTGGTTTTGCACCTTCCCATCCTCCCCTTTAGCGCCAAACATTCCATCCAGATCCATTTCTCGACGCATAATTTCCATCGATAAGCAAGAAGCAAGACCCTGACCCCGGCGGTCAGGCTCAACATGCAGCGTCGCTAGAGCGCCATCTAGGCCCAGGAAAGCCCATGCGATAGGCATTTCATCTTTTTTCTTACAAGTAGGACAACTAGAGCCTGAACATCCATGCATGTTTTCTTCTTTACCTGAGTCGTGGTATACTACTACGCTCAGGATACTCGACAATTGCTCTTTTAACCTTGAAATATGTGTGGTACAATTCCACAGCTGGCTAAGATTCCCTTGAGGAAGGAGCTGTATGTTGACGTACTGTCGGAAGTATTTTCGCAAAGTATGGTCGAAATTTTTGGACATCGGGTTATAATTGGGACATTCGTTGCTCAATCAGCAAAATGGCTAGCAACATGATGAGCAACAGCTGCTTCATCTCCATTAAACTCGCCACAGACAGGACATGTCACCACTTCTGTCGGGGTCTGTTGAGCCTCATCACGTCCATCTGTATCTGCCGGCAGTGGTTTGGGTCCACCCTTCCGTTTCCGCTGTTTTCCTTGCGTGATGTACGCGTCTAAGCCAATGTTGGGGGAGGGAACCTCTGGCTCCGAGGCATTCTTGGATGCAGAATATGCTGCCGTCGCAGCAGATGTAATTGTAGGTGCCCCTGTCATGGACTGGACTCTTCCGACGCGACCATCCGAGAGTCGGACTTTGATGCCCCGTGGGTGGTTTCCACGCGTCAACACGTCTGTGATAGTTCCGTCGACGGTGCGCCCGGTCCGTTGATCGGCTTTCAGAACGATGTTGACGGACGCGCCGGGGACGACTTCTTTTGTACTTGGAACACGAGGCATCTTGGTCGCTAATGTTCTGGCAGCTTTCCACATTCTCCCGTGGTTGTTTCTTGTGGGTCAAAGTTCTTCCGGCAGAACACATTCACCGCATCAAGAGGAGGTCGGCTGGACCCTTAATTGAGGTCGGCCAGACACTTGGTGTAAATTACAAAATCTCACCCGGACACTTGAAAAGTGGGGCGAAATACTTCCTAGTTAGGTATAGCAAGTGCCCAGCCGACCTCAATCAAGTGTCAAGGTGAGGTTTTGTATTTTACACCAAGTGTCTGGCCGACCCCAAAAAAACAGTTAAGGTGTGGACAACCCTATAAGTTACATACAACTACAACTTCTAGTATATCCATGCAGTTCGGAGGTACGTGTACAAGCGTTTGAAGGCCAAATTTAGCGAACAAAGAAAACCGGGCAAAGAAAAGCCCGAACGAAGTTCCATCCATACAAAGACTTTTCCTTTCTCTTTTTTCTTGCTTTCGATTCGAGAGTATTTGCTTTTCCCCACAGCCAGCCTCACTTTGAATCACTTATTACAATGTTCAGAACACCTTAACATTGGTAAAACTTACAAGCAACCCTGCTGAGCCACGAAGCATCATCCAATATGTCCCCCAGTCCTCATAAACACTTCGAAAGCCCCCAGAGTCAGCACTCTCGGCAACATACCCAAAGACAGTCAGAGATGCATAGGGAGCTGTACAATTCCCTATCGATCCAGACCGAGAGCCCTCATCTATCATGCCAGTCACAGCAAGTATGCCAAACTCCAACAGATGAAGAAGAGAGCCAAGCCACTATCACATTATCCTCAGTCAGACGAGCGATAATGGCTTGGGATAGCGACTGTTCCCTTTGCCACGTCGTTGGCTTACCCCCTGTTGAGCGAAGACATCAACTTCAAGACTGTCCCCGAAGAGGCGCAGCCCAGGTTCGGGGCCAGATTCAAGAAGTTTCAGAATATTTTGAGCCCAGATCTGCACCCCACTCGTGCGGGAGCTGCTTGCTCCCAAAAGCTATCTGTCGCCGGTACCGTGAGGTCCAAGGCAACTGGCACGGAAGTGGAAGGCAATCGTGACAGTTTTCGCGGGTGGTCATCTCTGTTGGACTTGCAGTTATGATGGCTGTCAATAGATCTACCAAGGTGCTACGCGACATGGTAGTACTTCCTGAGATGGAAGAGAATGGTGTGAGAATTGAGAACAAGGATGAGGTTATTGGATGGCTTATGCAAGAGAGAACATGGGGAGGCATTACAAGTACAAATATCACTTGGATCTTTCATCGACTTCATAGGGAACGAGAAGAATCGGGTGTAGAAGATGAAGATGAAAGTGAAGAGGAACGAGGTTGGGTGGTGAGAGGTACGTATAAGAGACGCAGGTCCTCTACTGATTCTCAAGAAATGAGATTCGAGGCACGCAAAAGGATGAAGGTTTCAATGGACGATATGATTTATTGTCAGTTTCATTGCCCGGGGTGTCCAATCGGTGAACGTGATCTATAGCACTGAAGGGCTTGCTTACAATTGACATATACTGTCATACAAAATTCCCAATCCTAGCGGTGTCAAGCACTTTACGAAGAGCTTCCAAATCCCCTTTGCGGAGGAGATCAGTGTAACACAATATAACTGGATCATTCGAGCTGACAATGTAGAAGGATCAAATGCCGTTGGATCAAATCCAGATATATTGAATGAAGTATTAAAGTATTACTACCAGAAGACAATCCGGGGAGACCTCTACGCCAATCTTGAGGACACCATCACGGACCTTATTTCTGGTATTGCAGAGGCTATAGAGCAGCGATTAATTCTTCCGTCCTCACATCTTTCGTTGCCAGATAATTTGTCTCGCTCATAATATGTACTAACATTCCCAAGTTCTATGCATGGGCCTAGTATCTTGAGCTTTAGATGTATCCATTCAATAAGCTTATATAGCCAGACATTCATAGTATCAGAAAGGTAATAAGCCCAAGGATTTAACAATTTCAATAAACCACCTGTAAATATTTTAGAATGGACGTGAATTCATACATTGACAGTATAGATATGTTAGTGCCTCAGGTGTCCTGCATAGTTGGTTTGTACACTCAGCCGGACCGCATCAAAAATCTCCCGCGTCGCGTCCCCCAGGAGCTCCATCCACCCTGACAAGGTCACCGCTTTCATCTTCATCGCATTTCACATTCATCGCAATTCGGTTGTATCGCATCCATTACAATTGACCACGTGCTATAAGTACTGTGCAAACCATTGAATCTATTATCTCACAAAAGAGTGTTATCAAGATGGATGACCCGGCGAGCCGTATGCCGGCGCAGCTGGTAGGATACCCCAAATTTCATTCAACATGGCGTAGCAGGAAAGATGTTGAAGAATTGAGCAAACACTGACATGATCGCCATACCTAGCTGCCTCACATGCACTTGGTTTCTCACCACCGCTATCCGAATATGCACATGATGCCCGCCGAAACAGCCGTGGAATACTTAACCAGCGCACCCCGAGTCTGCCAACAGAAACCTATGCACTGGACCCTTCTGGAGGGTCCTGCAGATGGCAATGTCATGCTCACTTGGCAGCCTATGGCGCATTTGGGCAACAACTTTGCCAGCGACGGTTATGTCTGGGCCGATGCTGAGCAGGCCTTCAGCTTTGAATCTCGAGGCTATGTATGTGATGCCACATGATCCTATATCGCATATAAATGAAGAAACTTGGGGGCTAATACTTGAACCAGACTGTGGAGATGTATGTCCATCGCAGTGGATATCTCCCTCCGCATGAGAATGTGGCATCGCACACTCGAAAGCGCTATCGTCTTGTTTCATCCAAAATCCCCAACGGCCCTCAGCCCGACCCATCATTGTGGATCGTCCACTATTCACGCGCCCCTCAAACAGACCACGTCCCCGCTGCCCGTATTCCCGTGACCCCGCAGGTTCAAAGCATGATGAGCCAACGACGTTTCCTACAAACTCAAGGTCAACTGAGTCGCAAAGAATTTATGCTCCATGACCGCAATAGCTGGCCAACCATTCCTTTTCCTCAACAGATTTCTTCGCAAGGCTTCACTCAACCTCAACCCCCTTACGCCAATGCTGCTGCTGCCCAGGCCCGACCGGGCTTCTACCCACCTCAGGGTCACCCAGCCGCCGCTCACCCAGGCAAAATCCAACGTCCACACCGCGCCTCCTCCGCTGCGATTGCTGCTGCGACCGCTGATTTTTCGCTTGAGGATGAGGATGTGTCGAGTGGTGATATGATTGATCAGTTGACCCCGCGAGATATCAGTAAGATGCGCTATACACTACACCACGAGTGGATGGAAGATATTTTTGCATCCCCTTATTCTATGTCTCAAATCACCCCGGTTTCGCTTGGTCTGGGCCGCAAGGGAGAGCTGGAGTCCTTGACGTCGGCCTACTTTGATACTCCCGGTGGTGGAGAAGGTCCAGACAGTGATGTCCCGGAAGCATCCAAGCTAGGAGAAGTCAAAGCAAACGAGTTTGCGAACCAGATCGCTAAGAAGATCGCTGAGACAAACGCCGAGATGGAGAAGATGAAGAGGCAACACGCTCGTCGGCTGGAGCAATTCAACCGCAGCTCGCTTTTCAAAGATGCTGAATTGCGCCTCAGGGAGGCGGCCGCTGATCCTGCTGCAACAGGTTCCGAGGTGTGGAGATTGGAGGGCCGAATTATCATTCCCTCCGAAGAGGATGAGGCCCCGCCGATGGATTATGTTGAAGAAAAGGCCAAATACAAGGTGGATGATGTCGTTCGCGATGTTGAGGGTTCTTGCAAGAGGCAGATCATGCCGGAGCCCAAGGTTTCATGTGTAGAGAAGGGTGGTCTCCTGGAGAAGATCGAACCCGAACACAAGGATGAACCCGAGTCCTTCACCAACGACATGGTTATGGACCACGCCGACAGCCTTCTGAACCAGTTTGGCAGCCCAGGCAACGGAGCTTCTGCACCATCCGGTCCTGGTGATGTAGACATGGACCTGGGAGATCACCTCGGTGGTGCCAATGGTGAAACTGGTGGCTGGGTGATGGTGAACAACGAGAATAAGGATGAAGCCGGTGGAGACACGAGCTTAGAGGGCGCCGCTTTCGATTTTACCAACATTGACAGTGCCGGTGATGCATTGGCCGCCTACACCGAACAGCATGGTGATCTTGACCTGCCTGATATGGAGGACTCAGCATTCGGAGACGCCTTCCACGCTTCGGATAATGAACATTCGCACCACCCAGATGCCGATGATATGTCATAGTCGGATTAGCTGTCTGTTTTATGTATTTCTCGCTCGGAAGGCGCTCCTGGATTTGTTTCGTTCTGCGTTTTAGCACACTACAGACCTCGTGGTCTGCGTCTGGTGTTTTGTGGGGATATCTGGATCTGATACGCTATTCACGTTTTTCCTGTGTCAAATAAAACAAGAATTTTAGTGACGAGGTCGTCAATGATATTACTATGATTAATATGTATTGCCTAGCTATATGGTAAATCCTCCCTGGAGATCCAATTTACCCTAGCCAGACAACTCTACATAAACGGTGGAAACTCGGAACGGACGATCACGATTCAGATCTCTTACGAGGTACAACTCAAATTTTCAACTCTTCCACTCATACCAAGCTAACCTCTCAAGCATTTAGGTCACGCAGAGCTGCAATCGGAGTGTATGAGCTCACCATCCGTATCTCCCGTCATGACGTCAGTCAGCCACCGGGACTGCACTTCCTGCTGCACCGAAACAGCAATGATATGGAAGATTAGGTTGGGCACATCGTCATGGGAAGGAGCTTTCCTGCATATAACTAATACCAGCTCCTCCCATTTCCCTAATCACCTAGTAACCTAGCACCATCCTAGGTTAAAATCCTGCGCAACCACTGAATATTAATTTTTATCGGTATTCATTTCCATACAAGACAAAATGTACTTCCACCTTCCATTTTACCACTCACTTTACTAACACTATAAGGAACCGCACAATTTCCATCCGATCTCGCCGCGATCGCGAACCACCCCGCCACCGCTTCAGCATCGCAACGTTCCGCGGCATCCAACAGCCCGAGCTAAGCAAGCGTCTATCCAGACTAATCAAATCCGAGAATAGCGCAATCGGCGCCCACGAAGCTGCCGGTCGCGAGCGCGGATCCATCGCCGCTCAGCTTTCGGAATGGGGCGAGTCTACCGAGGATGATGCCGTCTCCGATATCTCGGATAAGCTGGGCGTTATCCTTGCAGAGATGGGTGAGCAGGAGGATGTCTTTGCGCAGAATCTTGAGGATTACCGAGGTGTTCTGAAGCATATTCGCAATATGGAGGCTTCTGTGCAGCCAAGTCGGGATCAGAGACAGAAGGTTACCGATGAGATTGCCAAGCTCAAGTACAAGGATCCATCTAGTCCGAAAATCGTGACGCTGGAGCATGAGCTCGTCAGGGCTGAGGCACAGAGCTTGGTTGCTGAAGCGCAGTTGTCGAATACGGTATGTGCTGAGCTACTACCATCTTTCATTTCGGGGATCTATATATCCGGTCAAAGTTGCTCTAGGATAATTGCTGATTCATGTGATAGACTCGAACAAAGCTCAAGGAAGCCTTTGACATCCACACTGCTGCTGTCATCGAGCGTGCCGAGAAACAGATTATTCTCGCTCGTCATGCACGTCGCCTGCTCAACTTCATCGACGACTCCGCCGTTGTTCCGGGTGATTCTCGCCAGGCCTATGACCATGAGTTCGAGGCTCGCGCAGTCCTCGAAGATGCAGAGGCTGATCTTCGTGCGTGGCACTCTACCGTTGAGCCCATTACTTCTTCTGCAACCCAGGTGAATGGAAACGTAACCCACGTGGCTGATGACAATGAGTCGGAATTGACCAACGGCGTTGATATGACTGGACCCCCTGATGATGTCTCGTCTTCCAAGGAGCTGGAGGAGCCTGCTGTGTTGGCCTCTTAAATATTTTGGATATTGAAGCTTGAATTGCTTTGAGGGAATTGGGTCTTTAGCCATGTTCATGTACACTTTATTGATGACTGCGATCAGATTGATGGGTAAATGGGTATTGATTTGAATAAGTAGTGTGAGCCGGTTCCTGGTCTATCCAAATATACGTACGGAATACTTTGAATTGATTGGATACTTGCGTTCTAATACATTGAGGTGCAACACGAGTGTGTTCCAAGAGTATCTTCGAAACGACAGTTCTCCATATATCCATACCTATTTCCCCTATTCAAAAAGAATTGTAGATAAAATCCTCGCATTTAAATATATAAAATATATGAAATTCCCTTCATGATTGAACAAGTCTGATACATTTGATATACGGATGCACGTGACCATAGGCGCCCGAGTGACGCGGAATCCAAGCTCCAGCCCGGAGCTGCCCCATCATCACCTCTTCAGCTCGTCCTCCATTCATCTCCACCCAACCTCTATATCCTCGTCGCTCATTCCCATTCGCACATCATGGACAAGCTCGTCGCCCAGTACTCGCGCCCGCAGCACCAGAATGATTTTTACTCGGAGCAAGAGCAACAGGAACTCACTGAGAGCCTCCCTCCGCTCTCCCTCAAGTTCGCCCTTCCTCCTGTCGACAACGTGAGTCCTTGATCGCATTCATTTCATTGTGTTCAAGTTTGCATGATGCTCCTACACTGGAGATTGTCTGCCTTGTCCGTTCATCCAGGCCCAGGCCCAGGCCCAGCCTGTCAGCCAGGATCACGGCAACTGGAGCTCCCAAAAAGAATCTCATCAACAGAAGAACCCTGGCTAATCACATATTCTGCTTCATTAGCACGCTTCTTGGCTCCGTACCATGACTGATGACCACTCCAACCCAAGCTGTCCCATCAAGCTCGCTCACGGAACAACAACCCTGGCCTTTCGATTCCAGGGCGGTATCGTACGTTCCATCCCGATCGGCTTCGCCATGTGCTTCTGCGGTGTATCGGTACTGATTAATTTTGATGCTTTAGATTGTGTGTACCGACTCGCGAGCGACAGCCGGAAATTGGATTGCTAGCCAGACAGTGAAGAAAGTCATTCCCGTGTCGCGGTTGAGCCGTGGTGAGGACAAGCCAACTAATGAGCCTACACCGGGTTTGTTGGGTACTATGGCCGGTGGTGCGGCGGTAAGTTTGAGGATGCATGCGACTGGCGATATCGTTGGTTTCTGATGAATCTATAGGATTGCCAATATTGGTTGCGGTATTTGAGTCAGCAGTGTACTCTGCATGGTATGTTCATCAGTGGCAGTGGAGAGGATTATTATGCTAATGGGAATAGAAATCCGACACAAGCGTCGTATTACTGTCGCTGCCGCATCGAAGATCCTTGCCAACTTGACTTATGCTTACAAGGGCTATGGCCTGAGTATGGGAACCATGCTTTGTGGTGTGCGTATCAAACAATCCTACTTACCCATCGTGATGAATTGGTTCAGTTGATCTAACCCTTTTTTCCAGGTGACTCCTCAAGAAGGACCTGCTCTGTACTACATCGACTCAGACGGCACCCGGCTGCCAGGCAACCTGTTCTGTGTTGGATCCGGTCAGACATTCGCCTACGGTGTTCTGGATGCCAACTACAACTATGACATGTCCGAGGAGGATGCGCTGGCTCTGGGTCGTCGCGCTATTTTGGCTGCTATGCATCGTGATGCCTACTCTGGTGGTTTCATTAACTGCTACCACGTTAAGGAGGAAGGATGGGTGCACCATGGATTTGATGATATGAACCCTATCTTCTGGAAGACGAAGCTAGACCACGGCGAGTTCTCGAATGTCACATCGGAGTTGTAAGTGATATAGGACTGGTTGAATGTATTATTCTGATGCTAGGATCATGGTTCCTTAATTGATCATTTCATGACTACAAGTATTTCGCTTTTATAGTATACCATTTTTTCGTGGTTTATATCTGTAAGGGTGATCATTAAGTACATTTCAAGGTTATTCTATCTATTTACAAAACCTGATTAGTCCTCTCTCCTCTGTGTTGGAGACAAGAGCCTGACTTTCGGCTCTTGATCCATTACAATCATGTTGCCCGTCATCATTCTCCTCTTCATCACCATCGACATCACTGTCGTCTGACTCCAATGCAAACTTGTCTGACTCCAAAGCAAAGTCTTCAGCTTCCACGCGATTGTAATCTCTCCTTCGATACCACCAGAACACACCAGCAGCAATGATAGCCACGCCAGCAACACTCAGCCCAGATGCAAGTAAAGCGATCGCTGTTTTAGACAATCCTCTACGCGGGTGCTTCAATTTCAGTTTCAAAGCTTTCTCTGCAGCGAGGAAACCAGCAAAGGTCGAGTTAGACTCGTCAAAAGCATCAACGGCAATGGGCAATGATGTACCTTCCAAGTCCACAATCTGACTGGACCGAAGAGTATTTCCATCCGCATCCATAGCCTCGGCCCAGATGTATCGCCAACTCTTCTTTTCCTCCACAATTATCAACTTGGTCTCAAAGCCAGTGCGAACGGACCTCGTCACCACCTGGCCTTTGGTGTTCAACGCCTGTCCCGCTTCAATGCCTTTCACCACCCACTCCGCTACCTCTGTCGCCCCGTTCCAGCTCACATAGACGACTAGCTCACCCTTAGGGCTCATCCGTAGCGCAATGGACGGATCCCACCACGGCTCGGCAACCCAGTCCATCTTGTAGGCACGGTAATTATCCAATGCATCGGGGATCTCCAGGCTATGCCATGGTGAAAACTGTACATCCATCACCGTTTCTCCTGTTGAACTATGCTCTGTGAATGTAGGACATCTCCCCCATCCGATAAACACGTTACCGAGGTCTTTATCCCCGGCTTTGTGCGAGAGAACCTGCACGCTCCCCTGGCTTTGGGCCTGAAGTTGTGACGGATGCTGAAATTCGCGGAGAAGCCGGACATTTGGCGGCGAGGCTGTAGTGTTGACGGCGATGTGCAAACCACGCGAGCATTCCGTATCGCAGATACCATGCGACGTGTCTTCGACATGGTTATCAAAAAGCGTTATCTCCGTCTCGTCCGTGCCGGGTACAAAACGTGCATGATGTTGCCAGGCCATGGAAAGAACGGGCTCAGCATCTTCCATTCCATCGGCAGGTGATAATTCGACAAAGTCATTGCGTCGACCGCCCAGTGTCCAGATAATTTCGCCACTCTGGCCATCGATAAGCATTATTGAATGTGTATGGCGCATTGAGATAAGATAGTTGCCTGCTTTGGTCTGGAAAGGAAGTTAGAGGCGCATTCCCAAGCAACGTCTGCGCTGTCCTTACCTTTTCAATGCTGTTCAGGTGGTAGGCATCCCAGCCCATACCTCGAGGCTCATGTGATTCCATGGGGTTTATATGGTCGAGTGCACGCCAGTCGAAAAGCACTTCATTCGTCTCGAGATCGATCTCCTGGAAGATGGCGTTCAAAATCCCGAAATATGAAGGAGCCTTCCAACTTGGATCCAAAGAACTGCCCCGTGCACGTACTTTGTCCACGCCTGTAACCAGGGCCGTCCCATTCCCTGTAAATGCGAATTCATGCAGATCACTATGCACCTTGATATTCTGTGCAGAAATCTTATACACCAGCCGATAGGTCTCATCAAAGGCAAGACCATACCCATCCCCAATCCCGTTTCCTTTTTGGCCTTCCCAGAAAGTGAGGTATTTCTTCCCCCGATTCTCCTGGACGCGAGTGCCAAACACATTTTCGAAAGAGCGATTCAAATAGACGGCGGATAAATCATTGGCATCAAGAATCAGCGGTGATGAAAGTGGCGATGTTGTATTTCCATCATGCTTAATAAAGATATGTGACCCCGTATCAGAAATCGCACTCTGATTCCACACAGAAGCCTGTAACACGGGAGTAAATTCGTCGCTGGAATGAAATTCCAGATGTGGTCGATGTCCCAGATCTCCATCATTATATCCGTCGTAATCCGTCGATACGAAATCTGCCTTCACCGCGCTCGCCAGTGTAAGGCCCCATGTTAAAGAGGACAATCGAAATCGAAAGCGAACCATGGTCGGTGAATATGTTTCAATTCTCTTTATAATTGATATGGTATCAAGCACAGCCGCCCACAATATGTCCTGACAGCTTGAGGCGGCCTGGGATGTAGAACACCTTTAACAACGACATTATACACGGAAAAGGAAGAAAAGAGAGCACGAGTCAGCATGAAACGTATGCGCAAACCAGTATCCATCTAAGCCAATCATCCTCCTCCTAACCAAGTCCCGTCCATAACTAAACTATATGGAGAAAAAAAATCGTCAGCGGAACATTAAAGCTTGCGTACGCGTCCGCGTTCATTAGCGCTTGGCCCTCGTGTACGGAGAGAGCCGAACCGAACCAAACCAAAGCACCTGGGGCTGGAAAAAGTCAGGTAAAGCAGTTCAAGTGTAGGGTTTGAATGCTATAGTTCCTAAGTATAAAGATAAGCATTCTCGCAGTCCTCATAACGGTTCAAAATTGCACCATTTCAAGGAGCAGAAAAGCCTTCGTCATCGCCAAGTTTAGCGGGTTAAGGGGCGGAGTGGAGACTTTGGTTTTTTCTGTTATCACTTCGTACATCTCGTACGCTAAACTGTTCTTAGCTTAGTATTGGCGGAATTTAAGCAAATGATCGACGGGTCGTCGCGTGTCTTACGATATTTCGACTTGGCAAGACACGGCATTTCCAATCCGAATTTATTTAAAGGATATACGGATGAATGATACATATAATTTTTATTAAATATATGGGGATTACCCGTGGGTGACGAATCTTGTTCTCGGTTACCGAATTACTAGTTGGTGGGGTGCACATGTGGATGATACTTAATCCACGGAAGATGAGCCGAGATAAGGGTCACTAGGAATGATTATTGAAATTGAACCCAGTTCATCCATTGCGTATAGAACATCGAATATTAACATGAAAAAAAAAAGCCAACGCTCCATCTATGACATGATTAAATCACAAATTTTTGAAACAAACACCCGTATACCGAAGTATATAATTGCACGTTTTTAGTTATCCACCTTGAACTTCATCCGGATACCCATGGCCGCTAACTCGACATCCAAGAAGCGGAGCACACCGGGAACTGCGACAACAGTCACATCGTCACCACCAACGTAACGCAGACCATCACCGTCCTCCCAAGCCTCAGCACGAGAATCATCGAACGTAGCCTGGCGAGCGCAGCGACGACAGCGGACAATGCCATTAACACCGCCCAACGCACCGCCCACCGTGGACGCACCACCGGGAGCCTGCTGGTTAGGAGCAGCCTTCGCCGCGGCAGCAATAGCACCAGGGTTAATGGTCGCGCGAGAGCGGGTCGAGCCCGAAACAGCAACCTGGGTCGACAGGAACGAGCCACAGCAGCGACAGATCCAGGTAAGTTGGGAATCGGAGCAGTTCATCAATCGATCCTGGAGGAGGAAGGCTGCTCCGTGCGCAATCAGGGAATCACGCTCCATCTCTCCGACACGGATACCACCTCCCTTGGCACGACCCTTCACGGGCTGGCCGGTCAAGGCATTGACGGGTCCGGTGGTACGCACCTGGAACTTGTCGTTCACCATGTGACGCAGACGCTGGTAGTAGACGACTCCCATGTAGATGTCGGCGGCGAACTCGCGGCCCGTGATACCCGAGTATAGGGGTTCGTTGCCGTAGTAGTTGTATCCGGCCTTCTTAAGCTGGTGACCGAAGTAGTCGGTGGCGGTGTTTTCTTCGGAGAACTGGAAGGGGGTACAGTCTTGCGGGTGGCCGTGCAGGGCACCGGCTTTACCGGCCATGGACTCGATCATCTGGGCAATGGTCATACCTGGCTGAGGTTAGGGGGAATTTCCATCACATTGGTGGTGGGTGAACTTACGAGATGGGAAAGCGTGAGGGTTGATGATCAGGTCGGGCTGCATGCCACTTTCGGAGAATGGCATGTCACCGGCAGGCCACAGCTGCGAACAAACACCCTTCTGTCCGTGACGGGAGGAGAACTTGTCACCGATGATGGGTTTACGGGGAATGCGGTACTTGACACTGATGGACTGCATGGGCTCGGCGCCGTTCTCGGAACCCATGATGCGGATGCTTTCGATGTAACCCGCTTCGGCATCCTTATACTTGAGGAAATGGGTGATACCGTCGACGTTCACGTAGGAGTCGGTTGCGGCATCGTAGCGCACGTCGTGGAACGCCGCAATCTTGTCTCCCTCCTGTACGCGAATACCAACATGGGGCAGACCGTCATCGTCGATGAAGTTGCGCACCTCGGCCCGAACCTCGTCTCCGGGAGCAAAGCCAAAGAGCTTGCTCACCTCGCGCCGAGACTTGCGGCGGTCCTTGTCGGCCAGGCTGTGCACCTTGGTCTTGTAGATGGTACCGTGACCGAAGCCGCGCTCGTGGGAAGATTTGTTGATAATCATGGCGTCGTCCATGTCGTAACCGGTGTAAGAGATAATCGCAACGATGGCGTTCATTCCGTTGGGGAAGTTGTCCAGACCGTAAGCGTTGTACAGGGGTGGTCGGACAACAGGAGTCTGACCAGTCTGCAGACGGTACAGCTTGTTGTCGGTACGGTAGGCGATAGAGGTACCAGGAGTACCCATGGTTTGCTTGCTCATCTGGCACTGGTACATGTTACGAGGAGACTGGTTGTAGTCGGAGAAGGGTGTCATGTTGGCCACAATCGAGAGGATGTTGGTCGGGGTGAACTCGATGTGAGTAGAGAGACCAGCAATCAGGTCAGATTCCAGGCAGGCAATCTCCATGTATGGCTGCTCGAATGGTCCGACATAATCCATCTTGTCCAGAGCAAGGTATTTGACCGGTCGGTAGAATCTTGCGGACTGGGAGAACATGTAGATACCGGGGTACTGTCCACCGTTCGAGTTGGGGATATAACCAATCTCCAGGCCGAGTGGAATATTGTTCAAGCCAGCCACCTTCCAGTAGCGGAGAGTGTCGTGGATCTTGCGAGCCTGCTCGGGCGAGCAGGAACCGATGATTCGGCCGTCCAGCTGAACGACCACGCTCTCTTCAGTCGCAACGGAAGATTCAGCCTTGACACCAAGCTGGACCAGAGTGCGGGGCAAGCTGGAAACATCGAGGTTATCCGTGGCAATCAGACACTTGTGCGCCAAGTGATTCAATAGACCACAAGGAGAACCATCAGGAGTGTGAACAGGACATAAGAAACCCCAACTCTCTGGCAGCAGCTTACGCACGGTAGTGGTCTTCAGTTGCGCGAAGAAACTACCACGGTGAATCATTCGGAAGTGACTGATGAATCGGTAGAAGTTAATCTTCTCAGCCATGACAGTGTAACCAGATGTCTGTTGCAAATCAAGACCAGTAGGACTGACGAGGTTACCAGTCGACAGGAAGTACTCGAGAGCCTGACCGATATTCTCGTTGGAACGCTTCACGATCTTGGACAAGAAATCACGCTCGAATGAAGGATCAGTGAACTTGGCATTGCCGTTGCGGATGGACCAGTCTCGTGTGATCGGTCCAAATGATCGAAGCCACTCCTCAATACGCTCCTTGAGGATCATGCCGTACAAGAAACCACCGAGCAGGACCTCCTGGTTGGAGACCGCATCAGGGTTATCGGGAGCACAGTCACCGGCGACAAGGGCGTACAATTTGCGGATCATGAAAATTACCATCTTGAACTTGTCATAATCTTGGGTCTCAGTAACGTTGACGTTACCCAGATGAGGCAGGACAACGCGGCGCAAGAACTCAGTACCAACCTCCTCGTCAGACACATCCTGAGAAACACCCATCACAGGACGGAAACACTTGCCCAGGTGTGCACGGCAGTCGGATTTGCTGTGCTTGCCGTAGGCCTGGTAGGTTCGCAACAAGAGCTCAACACGATCTGTGACGAAGGTGTTTTTCATTCCCTTGGAGTTGACAGAACCAACAATGCCCTCGAAAATCTCACGGTCATTGGTCTCAACCAGGGCCTTGAGAATCATCATAACGGGAACAAGGAACTCGTTCTTGCGCCATGAGAAACGGAAGGTGACATTACCGTCGGAGAGGTAGTGCAGAACGTTGGTCTGGGATGTCTGATCGGGGCGAACGGATCGGATCTGCACACCAAACTTGGTGTAGGTGTGACCACGCTTGACGAACGAACCACGGATGATAGACATGGGGAAATTCCGCTTGCCAACGATCAACATACGGATGAGCTTCTCATTACCGTTCACAATATAATAACCACCCAGCTCTTCCGACTCTTCCTTGTGTCGGACCAATTCTTCGGGGGTAGCGTTTTCAAGGTGGCAGCGGTTGGTGCGCACCATGATTGGAACCTGACCCAACTCACGCACGGACTCCATCCAGTCGCCATTGTTCACCTGGAACTCCAGACGGGCACGGAGCTTGGCACGATATGTCGCATGGCGCTCACGGCACTCGGAAGGGTAGATTTCGCGGTTCTTGGTGCTGTACTTGTTGGTGGGCGGGAGGACGGGTTTGTCGAGGAAAACCTCCTTCACGCGGACATTCAAACGGTTGCGCTTCGGTGCGCGAAGGCCTTCGGCCATGCGGACCTTCTTTTGCTCGGGAGTTTCGAGTTCTCCATCAAGGAATGTCTTGATGCCAATATCTTTCAATCCTGCGTCCAAGATCTTGCTGTCCTCGAACAGAGCATTGAAGGAATCGATGTGTGGTCGAATTGACTCCGCCAGGGACGGGTAGGCCGTGTGGTCCTGAGGAGGATTCCTAAAGAGGTTCTCCCGGCGGAGGGTGTCATAGTGCACCGACCACTTAGTGCTAGTATTGGTAGGAGCCATGATGAAGCTCACGGGCTTGTCCGGATTTTCGTTTTTTTTTTCTTGGTCGTAACCCAGTCAATGGAGTGGTATTCAACTGGGTGGAGTATACAGTATGGGGCGACCAAAGAAAGGCCCCTGCTAGCTTTAGCCTGCCAGGAATACCAGCAAAGCGATGAGAGCCGGTAATTGGCAGCTTTGAAGAACAATTGGAGATGATTCTGCTTGGGGAAATTTTTCGATGTGGAACCCGTTATCGTCACGTGTGATAAGATGTATGTTCATGCCTGAGGTGTCAATGACGAACACCTGAGCTTCTATATAACAAGAATTACAACATGTGAACGACTACATGAAATCCAGTTGTTAACTGTTCTTTATACATTCATCATTAATTCTAAAAATAATTGACTGTTTATTTCCTAGTAGCAGAGTCACCTCGCTGCGTCAGGCCGCGAATGGAGCCTAAGCGCCCCTCTCCAACGGCAGTCATGTGTGCCCGTAGATCTCGCATTGGCGCCAGTACAAATTCCATTTCGGTATACTTAAAACTGCCGGGAAAGAAGTTGAAGCGCTCAGGGCTTTCTGCTGCTTTTCCCCCTTACTATTTGGTTTTTTTTTATTTTGTTGATCGCTAGTCCGAAAAAACAAGTTAACAAAACTTGGGAATTTCATCACACCGTCTCTCTTTCTCCTCTCTCCAACCCCCTCAACTGTCCAGGTGGAAACCTGCTCTCCACAAATCTAGGCTTGGACTCCTTATCCGGCAGAAAAAGAGAGGCTCTTCACAGGTTTACTTTACAGTATCTTTTCCCTGGTAGTCTCGACCCTTTCTTGAATCCGTGTTTTCCCTTTCCACCCCACCCACACCAAAACCACCCAACATGGCCGGCATCTTTCGCACCATCTATGACTGGCTCTTGAGGATGTTCTGGTAAGTGGAACCGTTGAGGCGTTTGGTTCTCGGGAACACCATCCAGCCCCTTCCCGGCCCGTCCCCGCAGATGAAGCGCTTGCTCTAATCCGGATCTTCTCTGCAGGGCCACCGAGATGGATGTTACCATGATCGGCCTCCAAAACGCAGGCAAATCCTCCCTGCTCCGTGTATTGGCTGTAAGAATTCTAGATTTTTCCTTTCCTATCTTTTTTATTTCCTTCCTTTTCGTGTTTTCGGTGTTGCATCCAGATGCTGATCATGTGGTAGGGCGGGGAATTCACTATCGAGTAAGTCGTGCAAGGATAAGTAGAAGACGTCACCGGCTAACCGGATTCCAGCTCGATTCCGACGATCGGCTTCAATACTAAACGAGTTCAGAAGGGCCATGTGACCTTGAAATGGTACGTATTGCATCAGTGAGTTGTAGGGTCATCGCTAACGGCGGCAAGTTGGGATCTTGGGGGTCAGCCTAGGTTTCGTCCGATGTGGGAGCGATACTGCCGAGGTGTTAACGCGATCGTGTAAGCCAAAACCCCCCTCTTCCCCCAAAAAAGTACAAAACGACAGGCCTTTCTTGATGCTGATCTATTAGATATATCGTGGATGCTGCGGATAAAGCCGCCTTGCCAGTAGCCACGGAGGAGTTGCATGATCTGATGACGAAGCCCACGTTGGACGGGATTCCCCTTCTCGTTCTCGGTAACAAGTCCGACCTGCCGGTTAAATTATCGGTAGATGAGTTGATCGATGCGATGGATCTCAAGTCCATCACTCGTCGGGAGGTGAGCTGCTACGGGATCAGCGCAAAAGAAGAAACCAACCTTGACGCGGTGCTGCACTGGCTGATTGCACGAGCCAGTCGATAAGTGGTCATTTTCCACATGATATTTTCCCCCATTTGTCTGTCTCATTTCGTTCTGAGCTGGATTTCGTTTCCTGAGCGCGTCTTTCTGTTTGATGTCCCGTAGACTAGCGTTTTGGCTCACAGCCTCGCATGTAACGATGTTGATGGTTTTCTTTTCCTGTTTGGTATATGGTCCTGGGTGCATGCAATTGGGGATCACACAGCGGGTGCCAATCGATCAAAATTGTTGATCGCATGTTAATATGTTAATGCCATTTGGGTTTGGATTCAATGTCTCGGTCTCAATGTTTCCAATGTTTTCAAAGGATTTCTGGATCTCCTGGATTTGCAGAGTGGCCCGGAACCTTGTGATATGCAGTAAATTGGGTCCACGGGTCTTCCAGGTAAAAAAGAAAAAGCTGGGGGTCGCTAACGTAAATAAAGCACACGGACCAAGCGATGCGTTGGCCATGCAGACCCCGAAAGTGATCAACCCCGCCAAAGGACACATGCTATTAAGTTTAGATAAATCATTCAGAAAAACACTCTGGGCAATTACAAAACTTTCCAGTAATTTAGAGAATTTTGGAATTACGTCTTTTTCCATTATACCTACTCAAATAACAAGATCACAAGTTCCAATATGGCATTTATCTCTCCAGTTGGCACTCATCAACCGATTTTTGACTAACGGATCCGGCGCTTCCATGTAAGGTGATATCCTATGTACGTATCAGGATATGGTAACTCTGCATTAAGAATATCTTTTTCTCAGGTCCATGATTAGTCATCATATACCTAGAACTGGCGTGGAGCTGATACGTATGGGACTACGTACACCCGTTACAAAAGTGAATTGAATCAATTGGACTTCGTTCATGAAGATGATCAAAGTGGATCATAATTTAGTAGTAAAAGAAATTTGAAGGATAAGTCTGTCAAAATCAATTAAAATCAATATATTGATTTTCAAGATTTTATTGATGAATGATTTCATCATTAAAAACTGGCAGCCTAGAAAGCTATGGATCCACTTATACCCAGCCTCAGCCCCATGATCGCACCTCAGCCACCTTCATTCCCATTTAACTATTTCTTCTCGATTCTTCCTCCACTTTGACATCTACACGCCCATCATGCCTACTTTAACGCTTCGTTACTTTTGGTAAGTCTGACTTTCTTATCCTGATATCCTCTTCTAACTTATATCTAGCGATGACTTTGACGATAACTGCAACAACTCCTCCTGGGATAGTTGGGGTCGTTGGGTTGCATTTGGCGTCATCGTCGCCATCGCTTTCCTGATCTTCTTTGCTTTCGCGTGAGTTTTTCTACATCTAGACTCCCTAGCGATCCACCCAATAAATTAACCGCATCCGAATAGCTGCTTCAACGCTCGTCGTCGCCGTGCTCACGGCCGACAGCCCTACAACGGCACAGCATGGATGGCACCACCTCCTGGTCCACCACCACCCAACCAGCCTACATACCAGCAACCATACTATAATAACGACCCCTACACGCAATCCCAGCCACCACCACAGTATTCCGCCAACCCCCAGAACTATGGTTATTTTGGTGCCCAAGCACCGCCCCCACACCCCCAGCAAAACGGTATCGAGTTGCAAGCGCCCCAGAATTCTTATCACGCGCCGGGAGCCCGGGACTACGCTCCTCCTACAGGTCCGCCCCCGGCTAAATCATGAGTCTGAATTTGTGGCGGTCCTGTAATACGGCCCCCTATACAATCACCATAATCCGGTGAAGGACCGGCAAAGCCAGACAAATCTACGACTCTTGATCGAATGAACTGAAAACGGCGTTATTTTTCTGGGTTGGAAGCAAATTGGGTCTTTATTATCTTTCGCGTTCGAGACCTGTTTCTGCTTGGGAAAGACTCGCATGAAGCTGTTTCTGTAATGTTTCACTCGCATCGATCCGCGAGGATCGCGAGCATGATTTTCTTGAACTGCATTTGATGAGCCGAATGTAGGCGCTTTGTTGTTCGTACATTATTTCAATCTTAATGACATGTCTAAATCAGCCTTAAAGTACCAAGTTCAATGACCAAGATCCACTAATGCGCGGATGCCCCAGGCATATTCGACTCCACTCCATCTCCCGCGTTTTTTCGCGTCACCGCATCCCACTTCCACAAAGAAACCATGGATATCGACGATATTCTTGCATCTGTCGACCGCGGCGCTGGCGCCAGTCCAGAGTCGTCTGCCATAGACCACCAACTCCTCACCCGATTCTGGGTCGCCGAGCGCGCCGTCTCGGAGGTTCTACCATGGCCCGCACCGCTAATGGAGCGTATGATGGATAGAGTGCGAATGCAGGTAAGAACCCAGCAGGCATAACACTGGCCATTACCATTCCCATTGCCATTGCCATTCCCATTTCCATCCCCATATTCATGATCCCTTGTAATACCTAATTCGAGCAACATAAAACTAACATGCCATAGATTGAAACAATCGAAGACCTCGCCGCCTCCTCCGCAGACACAGACCCATCCACAAAACACAACACCCACAACCAAAACCTAAACCTCCGCCTCTCAATTCTCCAAACAGACCTCGCAAGAACCCAATATATCCTCCGCAGTCTCCTCCGCCAACGTCTAGCAAAACTCACAAAACACAGCATGCACTACCTCGTCCAACTAGCCAGCCGAACAAAGAACCCCTCCTTTTCTCAATCTCAGTCTCAATCCCAATCCCAATCTCAAACCTCCCAATCCATCACACCAGAGGACTCAGTTCCAGACATCTCAACAATAACAGACTACACCCCCCTCTCCGAACAAGAATGTACCTTCGTCCATGCGCACCAAACGCTACTAGCAGGCCACTACGGCGGCTCGTTCATGGGCGCATTCCCGCCGCAGCTGAGGCGCTTGGATGATAACGCTGGTGGGACTAGCATGGTTCAAGGACCTGAAATGAAGGAGGTGGTTTTCGTGAGGTGTTTGGGTGTTGAGGTTCCCGTTGTTGTGGAGGGGGTTGAGGGGGGTGAGGATTTGGGGGTTGTTATGCGGATGGGGGATGTTTGGGTTGTGCTTTGGGAGGGGATTAGGGGGGCTTGGATGAAAGGGGAGGTTGAGTTACTTTGATCTTGATCTCATTTTCACCTGCATGTGGGCAATGTTCAATTTTCAATTTTCCACAATACTTGAGTGGGAGTATGGCATTTTTGGCGTTAATCGGTTTTACTTTGGTCATATCCGGGATTTTGAGGGGCATTTATACATTTCATTTCATTCGGATGTCCCATTCGGAATCCTTTTCATTGTGGCAGTGGATTCATGTCAATTATCAATTGCAAGTTGAAGTCTGGTTTACATATGGGTTGCCCAGTTGTGCTTCGTCCTGGCTCTGCTTAATCATGCATACTTACGAGCTATTCAAGCGAGAACCTTGGAACGTATTCTACTCTTCTCATATTCAAGTTGATTGAACCATCCATCCCTCATCAATTCATGAACACGAAACCCTGTCCCTCCCTGCCTCTAGATGAAAGCACTCAACCTCCTATGACGCCACGCTAAGTCCAAGAAGAAAATAAAAGTGAAAAGAAAGCAATAGCAAAGGGAAGAAAATGAGATCCCCAAGGATCAAAAAATGCCCGGATGGTATGCTATGGGACAATGCAGATGCAATTCCTCAGACCAAGACGAAGATGGATTAATTAGAAGGGATATATATCCACCTCTTCGTCCCAACCCTTAAGCGACGTAGTCGTAGGTAGGAGGATCTTCAGAGACACGATCCAGATACTCACGATCAATAAGACTTTCGATGCGTTTCTTGATCATGGTAACCTCTGGGACGAATCGTGAAGAGAGTTGGGAAAGTACTTCGGATATGAGTTGGGTATGAGTCAGGGTTTTCCGTTGCCTGGAAGATTAAAGAAAACCGGTTAGTGGCAAGGAAACAAGAGCGCTGGCTAGGGGTTGATAGGTTACTCACTTCATGATGCGCACAATGGCAGACTCGATGGTGCCATAACGCTCTTCAGCCATCTTCTTTTCGGTCTCCTTCCGCTGATCCGTGTTCTCAACCTTATTGGCCCCGCCACTGACAACGCCAATCCGAACCTTCACAAATGGACTTTGGAAATCATCGTTGAAGAAAAAGCGATCGGTGGGTTGGATGTCTTTGGACATGGGTTTTTTCACCAAGACACGCGTCTTCGTCGCAACAGCCAGGGACTGTAGATTGCGGATGAGGTCGTGGGATGGGATCTGGGTGCGCGATTGGATCTCCTCAAAGGTGAGAGACTCCCCATCCGGGACGTCGTTGAACAGCATCAGGATGACTAGTGCGTATGTGGACACATTAAGCTCGTAGCGCTGGACCTTACCGTTGGCGCGCCGGAATGATGCCCGTACATCGGCTGTGCCCATAGACGCCTGCCAAGAGAGCCTGCGACCGCTATGTTTATCAAGGTAGAACCTCTCAAAGCTTTGCTTGAGCATATCTATCTCTCGAGGGAAAACGCAGACTGATGGCACAATTCCCTCTTTTGAGCTGGCCATGATTTCCATGGGCCACATCGTACTGGTGAGCACGTTGATCTCCAGATCCACAGGCTTATGATCTGGATCGGCACTGCGGGCGACATGATCCTTGTAGCTTGTTGTCAAATCCTCAGATACGGTCATATCCTTGAACATGGCTTCAATGCGTTGGGTGAATTGATTTCCGACTTCTAGCTTCATCTTGGAGATCATCTGACGCTCCGCATCCATGCTGGCTGAGCGTTTCATAAGTAGACGGCGCGAGAGATGCTTTTTATAATAGGTCTCGAAGAGATCCTTATCTTTGATGTATCTTAGCATTGTGATGCCGTTGTCTAACAAGATGTCAACCTCGTTCTCGGTCTTGCTCTTGATGCCTTTCTTGAGGTTCTCATCAAAGAAGAGCGAAAGGTATTCGGAGCTCCGGGAATTCAAGTTGATAAAATCTGAAAAGCTGGCCATGATAGAGCTCTGGAGGCCTTGATCATCCATGAACGCATTGGCCGAGACATTGTCGAACTGCCGCTTGAGTTCCAGGATGCTGTCAACCCACTGAATAGCCAAGACTGTTTGTTGATTGACCGGTCGTTCTTTCTCTTTCCCCTTTTTAGCTTTCTCTGCATCTTTGTTGGGCTGGGCTGTGGCTCCGCCCAGGGGTGCAACAGATGCGCGGTTGATTTCTTTGCCAAGCTCCACGATCCGTTTATTTACGGCGTTGCTTAGCGCCGTCTTCTTCTTATCAACGCGTGCATTCAACGTATAGATGCGTTGTAATGCTTCAATTTGGTTATTATCAAGCATATGTCGGACACCAGTGCCTTCTAGCCTGACAACTTCATCGATGTTCTTCAAAATGAGCTCATTATCAAGCAGAGTAAGAATTTTCGTTTCTGTCAGCATCGAAAGTGTAGTGCGAGCCCGCTCATGTTCCTCCTCAATTCGCTGGGTGGCAATTCGGCAGAAAACTGTAGCATCCCCAATTTCCAGAAGTCGACGTCCCTCGGCACTGTAGAATTCCGTACTCGCTTCCAAGAAAGCAGGCTCGAAGATTGTCAAATAGAGCTTGGAACTCTCTTCTTCTTTGACCGTTTCGTAGAGTCCCTCCAGCATCTGGGTGCAGTGTCGAACCAGCGGTCGTTCAATCATATGTCCAGCTCGCTCCAGCTGAACCATGAACAGAGCGGTCGACTTCAGAATGTCCATAACAGTCAGATCGCTGTCTGGGCGCACAGGTGCGCTCAAGACGTTGTCTCTGAACAGGGCCATCGAGACAACATAGATGGATGGCTTGTCGTGGTCAAGGGCGATGATGCGATCCTGTTATTTTTTAGCAACAGGTTTATACTTCACTGCAATATCGTGCGCTTGAAACTGACCATGTACATCATGACATCGGTTATCATAGCCATGCAAAGCTGGTGGTCTTCCCATGCCTCTTTCAGCACAGCCAAAAACTTCTCCCCCGCAGCCCGCCGTTCGTTCGATTGATCCAGCAACTCGGAGGCATTCTGACTCTGAGCGCGAATGAGAGTTGCCGAGATTGATTGTGTAACGAGTTTCCGAACTGTACCATGTAGCCAGCCCTCCTCGTGTTCCTTTACATTGTTGTAAAGGTCCGCACCCCGCTGCATCAAGACAATCCGATATGCGCTTCGATACAGCTCTTCGAAGGAAAGGGACGAGGCATTCTTTGTGTGTATCTCCGTCAGGGATGCTGAAAGGACCGCCCAGACCGCATCATAGTTGTCAGTTTGGGAAGAGGCGAGTCCCTATGGCGTGATTAGTTACTATGCTCTTGACAGACAGGAATGTGTCTTAGTGAGGGGTCCATCATACCCGACGGGGAGCTCGAATCTTATGTCTCGCCCGCATTGTCGCCATGGTTCAAGACACGGTCAGGACAAAAGGAGTATCAGAGAACTCATAGAAATATGTGTGGTCATCAAACCCGATCTCACTTTGCCATCGTTGCTGCACTCCGCGGAGGAAGCATCGGGTGATAGATAGTCCGCTCCGCTGAGGCTTCACTTCACGGATCTTAACGATAGCAAATTGTTCACTTATCACTCATCCACCAAAAATAAACCAGAGAAAAACAAAGTTATCTTATTGAGTCATTTCAATTTCAGTCTATAACCAAGAATTACCATGCGTCCGTTCCTTCCACAGAGTCTTCGCGCCCTGCGCACTCTCTCAGCCAAAACCACATCCACCACCTCAGCCCGTTTTCTCTCTACACAGCTCCTTCGGCCTCAACCCCTCACTCGAGCTTCAATCATTGGCCAAGCGCGCTTCATTATTCCTTCAGCCGTCCGCCACAATTCCACGGCCTCTCCTCTTACCGCTGATACCGCCCAACCCGAAACCGACGCTGAGCGCGAGCGCAGAAATGAAGAGCGTCGCAGTAAAGAAGAAGCCTACATGATTACCTTCACTTGCAAGCCATGCGGTGATCGGTCTTCGCACCGCATGTCGAAGCAAGGCTACCACCGCGGCACGGTGTTGATCCAGTGTCCGTCTTGCAAGGAGCGGCACATCATGAGTGATCATCTGGGGATTTTCTATGATACGAAAGTGACATTGGAGAGCATCATGCAAGAAAAGGGGGAGAGCATCATGCATGGAAAGTTGAATGGGAATATGGAATTTTGGGATGATGGAACAGTGAAGAAGTCCGCTTCCAGAAAGAAGGCTACAAAGGGCAATGAAGGCGAGGCCAAATCTAATTAGATTTGGAGGTTATTGCACTTCAATTTTGGAGGGAATTTGTCTAAAAATATATATTACGATGCTCTCCACTCTCGGCATGGCGGGTTCCAGGCATAGAGGAAAGGGTATGGATAGATTTATAGAGGTTAGCTGCCTGCGCGATGTTTCAATGTACAAATAGTCATGTATAATAGAATTGATTTTCAATGTTCAGAACAGGTCTCAACTGAATGACCATCTACTTGCTACATAGCCTGAAGTGGTTTATCTGAGGCAAACCTCTGGCTACTGTACCACCACCTGGGGGTGACTACGTGCTGGGCATACACCTGGACATGGATGCACAGGTAGGATGTAAATATCAAGACATATTGAGGTTTTATGTCTACATTTACATATCTGGAATAATCTGCAGATGGCTTGTACAAAATCAAATTCCAGGTATATACAAACATCTAATACATCCCAAACGCCAGCTTTTTTATGCCACATAAAGCAATCGTCAAATATGATGCCACAAGGTCGCCAACTACCAACCACGTCTCTTGCCCCGATGCTCGAGACCCTTCTCCTTCCGCTTCTCCTTCTTGCGGTCATTTCTTCTCCTCTTGTCCTTCTCATACCGTTCTGGCTCCTGAACAGCCTCAATGCGGCGCTTAACTCGTCGTCCTTCACGACGTTGTCTAATGTTCTCTTGAACCTTGGCCATGTGCGCGATGTACTCGGACGAACCTAGCTTCTTCTGAAGAGAATCAAGGACCTCGTGACAATTCGAGACAAGACCCTTGTATGTGTTTTGGAAGGTCTCGTCGCGAGATCGTGGTGCAGGGATGGAGGAATCGGTCATATGCTGCAGCGGTAGAAGGATGACAGAGATAGACGGCTCGATCTGGTCGGCCTCAATATGACGGACCAGAGCGGCGAGGAGAGCGATGGAAGCGGTCTTGGGAATAAGAGCTTCTGGTCGGGTTGAAATGACCTCGCGGCGCAGTAGAGAAGAGATTTGCTTGAAAAGGTATCCAATGGCGGACCGGACAGGTGCCTCTTTGGTTTCTTTCTCGGTCTCCGCCTCGCCATCAACTTCACTGTCGGCATCTTCGTCTTCATCGGCGGACTCGACATCCTCAGATCCAGCCTTCTGCAGTTCCAGACGATTCTGTGCCACGCACCGACCAAGGAAAACGAGGTTGCGGACGCTCTGCATGGCCAGCTCTTCCATGACACCTGGGGTGCGAAGGCAGCGCACACTGGCACGAAGGAGTTTGATCATTGCCTCCTTGTCCAGAGCAAGACCAGAACTTCCTACCAGTGGAATGGCGCTGTATCCTTCGGTGGCGTGCGTCTTGGCCAGGTCAGCCATCCACATACCAACAAGGTTGGTAGCGCAGGTCTTGACCCAGGCGTGAGGGAAGAACAGTGATTCTTGGATGGCCGCCCAGATAGGGGCACATTGGGGACCCAATGCAAGTGAGGGAACAGTCTTGCAGAGCTTGGTGAATAGCTGCAGAGCGAAGTAAAGGGTTTCCCAATTTCCGTTTTCGTGATCCTGGATGATTGGCTGCATCAAACCGGGAAGAATGCCAATGACAAACCGAGCTTCCTTGTCCTTCTCTGTATCCTCGGACTCAAAGAAGATTCGCATAGCTTGCAAGCCAATGCTACCCAGGGCCATATTCTCGGTCTGGTCTAGCCACGAGTGCAAAGGTGTCAGGATGGTCTTCATCTGTTCTCGGTCAGCGCGGCTGTAGAACTGTGCCAGCAACGCGCCAGCCATCTCACGGCACTCGGGTGAATCGTCATTGGCCATGGCGAGGACGATTGGCAGGAAGAAAGTGCTAATAATGTCTTGGGCCATCTCTGGACCAGTTTTAGAAAGTAGAGTGTGGATTGCTTCCAAGACAGACTGACGTCCTTCTTGGTGCTTGTAGTCCAAATTCTTGGCAAGGAAGCCAAGCTGCTTGGTCCACCGGTTCTTGGCTTGCGGGTACTCAATCAGGAAGTGGACATAGACACCCCGGGCGAGATCTCGTGCGGTGCGAGTCTGGTTTGTGACCATCATGCTTGCAATCTGATCCACGAGCTCGTACATCTCTGGCACAACAAACTTGCGGGACATGACGGCACGAATGAAGTTGAACGTAATACCTTGCCGGTCAGGCTCTTCAATATCAGCTGTCAGACGCTTGAGCAAGTAGGCGAGATGACCATCACGAAGTTTGGTGCTCTTTCGCTCACGGATCATGGCAGAAATCAATTTCAGCGACGCTTGCGATCCCTCAGAGTTGGTACTTGGGGACTCCTTGATCAACTTCACAGCCTCCGTGAGATAGACGTGCGAGTTCTCGTCAAGCTCTGGGATCGGAAGCTTGATGATGGTAGACAAGAGTCGAAGGGCGGCGATCTTTACCTCCTCGTGGGATTGAACCAGGGAGTCACCAATGATAGGTAGAAATCCGGTCAAGTTTGCGGCCGTTGAAAGGGAGCTAAACTTGTTGAGAATAGCACGGAGGACATCAAGAGAGAATCTTGTCAGCTTGTGCTTGTGAGAAGAAGTGGTACCACGTTTTTCACCGCGCTTGGCTCCTTGCAATCTAACCAAGAACCGCTCTTCGGCATAGGATTTGGGGGTAGCTTCTTTTCCAGCAGTGACGTTTTCCTGGTAGGATTCCTTGATGACTTCGTAACAGAACATCAACAGATCACGACTCTCAGCACCAGGGTTTCTCAGAAGACCAATGCCAATTCTTCGCATCAATTCGTCAATTTTCCGGACGATGTTGGAATTGAGCTTCTCACGCAGCAGGGCCTGGAGAGGTCGAACGAGGTTCGAAAGATTACGAATGGTTGCATTCTTAGCAAGGAGCTCCATGGAATCGTAACTCTTGCTGCTCTTTACTTCCACCATCTTGCTGACGTAGTCTTCAGCTTCTTTCTCCTGTCCGACGGTACCGAAGATATCGTCCATGACAATTGCGACAAGTTCTGTCAGACAGTAGTCCAAGTCACCTTGTTTAAATTGATCGGTAGTAAACACAAGCATGGAGTGAACGGTGAATGACAGGACGTGAAGTTGGTAGCCACGTAGGAGCGTATTCCGCAATTCTTTCAAGATATAATTGAAGTAGGAAGGACCTAACAACAGCGCGATGTCGTTCAGTGTCTTCCGGGCAGTGTCTCTGGAATCCTGCGCCTTACTCTTCAAGGTGCTGCAAACATCCAGAAGAACAGGCGGGAGACGAATAGCCATGTCCTGCTCGGGAAGAATCTTGAGGAGCTTGATTGTAGTGACGGCAGCGGGCAAACGCAAACTCATTTCCGCCTGGTTCTTGTGATGAAGGAATTCAGTCAAGAATGGAATGAAATTGGCAATCAATTCCTTCGAGACTTGAGCAAGAGAGGGCGTAGTTTTGGCAAGTGTGCACTTTGGTAGCTCCGAAACCTCCATCGCATCAACGTCGACATCAGTATCAGCCACGGCCGCGGCATCGGCATCGCCGCTGGCCTCGACTTCTGGTCCCTTCTTCTGATTCATTGCAGTAGACAGAGCATCCGACATCCGACCCAAAAGTCTGAGAATGTTTTTCTCCATCTCAGGCTTACTCTGCATGTATCCACGGTATCTCCGGAAGTTGGCACGGAATTGATTCCAGTCTAGCCACTCCGCTAGAGAGCCAATGGTAGCGACGGCTTCGGCAATCAAATTGTGGCCATTCTCATCAGAGGCCTCTTCAAAGGCGAAATGTTCGATAAGGGGCAGGAAAATCTTGCTCAGGTTTTCGGACTTGAGGTTTCCTTTGCTGGCTTCACTAGCCAAACGACGGAGGGCACGCAGACGACGGTGCTGCTGGATGTGAAGGATGTTGGTGAAGAAAGATGCCTCCTCATCATCGCCAACCAGGAGAACATTCATATCCTGCACAGAAGCTCGGGTGGGGTTCAGCTTGACAAAGTAACCCAAAACAGAGACAACCTCAGAACGAATCAATTCGGACTTTTGGCGAAGGCCGTACTGCAGTGAGGGAACCAAGACACTATTCACAAGAGCCTCGAAATCTTCCACATCGGTCTCGGCAGCGGCCTTGTCAACGAATCTCTTCAGGCCAAAGGCAGCGCTGGATCTGATGGCTAGCTCTTCCTCATTTCTAAGATAGAAGAGCATGTTGTACAGAATAGGTCGCCATTGCTTGGCGTTCAAGGTTTGGGAGAGGTCGTCACTGATCTTTCTAAAGGCTTGCAGACGCCGTTCATAATCCGGCTCAAGTCTCTTCATTGAGCGGGAATTCAGATCAGCACACAAGGCAGCCACTTCCTGCATATTCTCATCGTGGGCAGCAAGAGCCACGAAAACTCTAGAGAGCACTTCTCGGTTCGTGTCATCCTTGAAGTAATCGAAAAGAGAAGAGGCAGCCTCGAAGACCTGTTGAGAAAGAACCACATCCTCCTTGGGATCGTAGAGGGGCAGGAAGTGCTCCAAAATCTTGAGAAGACCGGACTTGGTCTTGGGGTTGACACGGTCTGGGGGCTGGCGAAGCAGGTATGTCGCGATACTGATCAGGCTCGACGTTTCACCAGAAGACTCAACGCAGGGCGCGATTAGAGACAGGGCAGTTACGCCTGAGAATAGCACAGGCTTTGACGGGCCTCTCTTCAGAAGACGGCCAAGATGAGAAAGAGCATGCTCCAGGTAGGGCGAAAGAACCTCGGAGCGAATTTGCTCAGCCGAGATGTCAGGCATTTCTTCGTCCTCTTCAAGCTTTTTGCCGCTAGCCAAGCGAACCAATGGCACAAGAATCTCGTCCAAAACAAAGATCTTGACCTCATCACGCGCTGATTCAACGCTGAGACAATCAATGACCTTGTTCAGCACTTCTTTGTTGTGCTGCACAAGATACCCGGTGGATCTCGCAGAGGATGCCCAAGTGTGGAACAAACGAAGCAGACCGGACACACCTTGAGCGGTCTCGATGGGGAATTGGTCGAGTCTGTTGTTGATCACTTCATCGAAGATGATTTGGACGTATGGGGTCCAATCACGATCCGAGGTGACAGAAAAGACCAAGTTCAAACAGCGGATAGCTGTCTGGCGAATCGTTTGGAAAACACCCAGAAGGCGTTCGTCAAGACTGCTCTCATCGTTCAGAGCTCTACAAGCTCGTACCAAACAGTGAATGATAACGTTCATGGTTTGCACAGAGTAGGGAGCCATGCGACTCTGAAGGGTGTCAAAGACAGTATCAATCATCTTGAGCAAACCAAGCTGTCTTCTCGGGCTTGTCAACTCTTCCGAAAAGGCCTTGTCATTCGTTTTGCCGTCCTGAACAACTTGCACTTCCGCAAGAGGACCGAACGAGAGGTGCATGAAGAGTCCGAACTCCTCCTCAGAGAGATGCGAAAGGGCACGCAGAATAGCCTTACGTCTGCCAGCCTGACCAGCCTGGTTCGCGCTTGCGCCGGCCTTGGAGATCATTCGACCATACAACAGGCGAAGAAGAACAGGGAGCAGGGCAGGGCGGTGCTCTTGTTCAATCAAGCTGTCTTCACCACCGACACGCACGAAAACTGCCAGCTCATCTTTGAATCTTGTTTCATCCAAGATGTTAAGCAGATTCTCCTTGTATGGTAAGACATGGGAATTTTTCCAGGTGAAAAGTACATTGAGAGCAGCTTTCTGAATCTCCGAGTTACCGTGACACAACAGACTCAAGACAGCCTCGTGGACCTCGGGAGCTCTGAAGAGGACTATAGGGTTCAGGAATTGCCCAAACAGACCGAGCATGGATAGTCGGTCCTTGAAACCCCATTTGACTGGGACACTTTCAGACTTGCTGTCGTGGTCATTACTGGCGGGAAGGTCGTCCTGATCATCACGCAATGCCCAGCTCAAGAACAGGGGCACAATCTGTCTGGAGCGCTTCTCTGCAATGTTCGGAACAGTATTCAAAACAAGCAGTGCGTGGCTGCGGGGCAGAGCAGGAAGAAGATCCGCCTTTTTGTGGTCCTTCTCGAACTGCTGAGACAGGATTGCAGTTGGATCTTCTACGGTCTTCAAGTTGGCTGTGAGAACACTTTCCACCTTTCCAACATTGTAGCACACGAAGTGACCGGCAAGGTGGTTATCATCCGGCTCTTCTTCAGAATCTTCCTCGGTGGTGCCAGAGTCCCGCTCCTGCAGCCACTGAATGGACAAATCTGAAACAATTTTCTCACCTTCGGGGTGTTCACTGATAGCTTTCAAAGCGGCAGCAGAATCTTCCCAGAGAGGAGTCAGCTTTTTGGAAAACAGACCAAAACAGAAGTATGGAATCAGAGTGGCCATCCACTTGCGAGAAACAATCTGGGGATAAAGAATCGCCAACTTGCGCACATGCATTGAAAGAGTTCGGGCACTCTGCAGTGTCAAAGCACTCTCTTCAACCTCGATGGCCAATGAAACCGGCGAAGGATCATCCTTATTAATGCGAGTAACCAGCTCGCGCAGTATTTGTAGAGACACGAGTCTCAATCTGTGCGAGGGACTTGCCAGGTTGAGGATCAAGCTGTTGGCAAATCCGTCCACTGCAGGGGTTTCCAAATCTGATGTGCTTGGGGCAGAAGAAATGAACTCAAGCACACCCTCCAGGAATAGAGATAGTCGTGAGAATTTGGTCGAGACTGTCAGGATAGGTTCCCAGAGAGTAAGATCAAGTTCTCCAGACTGGGTGGCCAATTCGACATAAGTTTTGAAACCTTGACCAAGATAGAATAATGATGCATCGGCTTCATTTTCTGTCTTAGAAGCATCACTGAAAGCAGACCTCAAGTTTCCATGCAGCTTTTTCACAATTTCCGAGCGTGCAGTAGAGTCACCGAACATTGAGATAGCCTTTGAGATTTTCACGAAGGCATTCAACCCAAACTCATCGGTCGAAGGGTACACTAAAGACGCAAATATACGAATCTTCAATGCATCTGGGCATGAAACGTACCCAGGCTTCGAGGCCTCCGGTGTAATGCAACCGGCCTGGTTCAGTCGGAGTAGGGTCAAGCATGTTTCCCACTCTCGCTCCTGCCAGGAAGTGGCGATGAATTTCTGGAAATGAGGAAGCAGTAGACTCTGGAAGCGCTCGGATCCCCATTCTGAGAAGGTGGTGCAGAAGAACAAAAAGTATTTCGAGAGGGGTCCTGTAGATACCAGATCCATATAAGGGCGCACGAATCGAAGCATGTCATCCATGGGAGAGATTTGTAGAGCATAGGCGACAGCTGTCAGAAGCTGAAGGGATGATTTTGAATATTTCTCGGACTTCTTGGACACCTGCTGTAGAAGTGATACCAGAGTCTGATGCACAGACTTCCAGTCTCGAACTCGGACACCCTTGCGGGTTGCGACACAAATAAGCATTAAGTGACAGCACTCTGGGATGTTGGGGTTCTCTGGGCCCTGTGAGCGAGATTCAATAAATTCTCGGACCACGTCAAGAATAGGACCGAATGTCTCGGGTGTGGTGTGGTGAATAAGGTTGGTCACCACTCCGTACGCAACCTGTGCTGGGCAGTTACGGTTCTCATCAGATGGAGGGATCTGGTCCAATACGCAGCGAAGGACGTCCATTCCATTTGAATGAAGACCATTGTTCACACCCTTTATGGCATCAGAGAACATGACCATCAATCCCTCCTTGTAGTTCTCGACATCCTTCCCTTCTTCTGCCGTTGTGGAGATATCGTCGTAGAGGTAGGAAAGAGCATTCTCGAGTGGCGCTTTATTTTTGTAGTAAACGAGACCTGCTTTGCGGATAAGGAAAGACATAGACTCGGCGGCGAATCGAGCCACGAACGGCTTTTGGCGTTCCTTGCCGAGATAAGGTGTCATAATGCTTAGCAGCTGTCGCAAGTCCGGCACCAAAAGGCGGGACAAAAACTTGAAGATCCATGCTAGACAGGTAAAGGCCCACTCGACGACTTCGACGTCGGCATGCTTTGCAGCAACGGATGCCACCAAAGTCACGGATGCTGCGAAATGCTTCTCAAATCGAACTCCCAAGTCTCTGGCAAACTGAGCAAGCAAACTCAATAACGGCTCCATAGAGTGCTCATCATTCTTTTCAATGAACTCCACCAGTAGACCCATAATCTTCTCTTCATGGTAAACGATCTGGGCGAGGCTCTCGGAGAGGGAATTGACGCGGCGGTAGAATGTTGAGAAATTTTCTGAAAGGTTCATGTCCACCCAGTGGTCAAGGGCGGACCGGAAGTAAGATGTGGTCTCGCCTTCATCTTCACCAAAACTGGCACGGCGCACTCGGTGGATCGGGTCGATTTTGAGCTTTGCGATGCGCTGGGAGAAGGGCTCCCATCGGTGGTGTTTTGTGGTTTTTGTACCATTTTGTGTGCGCTTTATATGCTTATCCCGAGAACCTGGTACCACCATCTTGACGGTGTCAAAAAGCAGCAAGGTAAACGAGAAAGATATTCGGGGAACTTTTCTCTGCCCGCATGCTCAATACAAAAAAAGTTGACCGGCCTCGGCGTCACGTTTCTCCGATAATGGGATCCTCCAAACCATATCAGGACTAGCGTTGTCACGAGCTGGTCCAAGCTCCTTCAAGAAATGCGCCGAGTCCCTGTTACATTTTCCCATTCAACCTTATGAAAGTAGTCGCAGTAGCCACTTACACCAAGATCATATCCTTGAGCGACTATTGATTTGGCTGAACTTTCGATTGACTTCTTCTCCTCAGCTTCGCCTGCTCAAAAGGCAATCAGACCGTATCAGAGCATGGCCCACAAAATGTAAGTGAGCTCTACTCTAGTCATTGCATTAATAGCTATTGACAAAGAATCAGTATTGTTCTTGGAGGTGTGAACTGCCAGTTACAAGCCGTGTTCACAAAGCTGGCTAAATTGCAGGTCAAGCAAAACTTTGCCTTTGCAATTATCGTGGGAAATCTTTTTGGCGACTGCTCTGCAGAGAGTGAGCTAGACGAGATCTCTGCTTTGCTACAAGGGACCATCAATGTACCCCTTCCAACATATTTTACGGTTGGTGATTTGCCGCTCCCAACCCGGATAGTGGAAAGGATCGAAGCCAACGATGAGGTGTGCCCGAATTTGTACTTCCTTGGCAAGCGAGGCACCCTGAAGACCTCAGAAGGCATTCGCATTGCAGCTCTTGGTGGCAAGCTCACAAGCGGTGATTCACACAAGCCTGAAAGCAATGCTAGTGGCAGATTCCAATCCACATATGGCGAGTCTGATGCCCGTGCGCTCTTCGGCACACACAGCGCCGATATTCTTATTACCAACCAATGGCCCAAGGGAATCCGGGTTGGGTCAAAAGCATCACTCCCGGAAGACCAGAGCCTTTACCCGGCGGAAGTTCAGTGTGTTGCCGATGTTTGCGCCACTCTAAAGCCTCGCTATCATTTCTCCGCATCCGACGCATTCTTCTATGAACGAGAGCCATTCTTCCACCTGCCGACAGAAGACAGCCCAGATGTCAAGCCATTGACACGCTTTATCTCCATGGCTTCCTACCAGTCGAAGCAGAAGACGATGTACGCCTTCTCTTTAGACCCGCAAGCTGCACCGCCGCTTACAGTTCCGGTTGGTGCAACTGCATCACCCCTTTCCGCGCCTCAATCCAAGCGTAAGGGACTCCCCAGCCAAGAGCAGTCATTCCAGCGATTTGCACCAACAGAGGGCGGTTCCCATCGCCCATACAAACGTCAACGCGAGCGCGCTCCACCCCCAGGCCCAGATCAATGTTTCTTCTGCCTCTCCAACCCCAACATCGCCACACATCTCATCACTTCTATTGGCGACGAAAGCTATCTCACAACAGCCAAAGGTCCTCTTCCACCAAATGATTTCTTTTCTTCTCTCGGGTTCCCAGGCCACATGCTCATTATCCCATTCTCTCACTCCCCAACCCTAAATTCAATTCAAGACCCGGAATCCCGCGCATCTACATACAATGAGATGCAGCGTTACCGCACTGCTCTACACAAAATGGTCACAGACCGCTCAGGTGGCAAGCTCGGTGCTGTAACGTGGGAAGTCAGCCGTACGAATGGAATTCACACGCACTGGCAATTCCTCCCAGTGCCAATTGGTCTGATCCGTGACGGACTAGTTGACGCAGCATTCAAGGTCGAAGCTGAAAACCTCAAATACCCCCGATTTTCTACCATCCCAGTGTCAGAATCAAAGGGTTCCGAGGAACCGGGCGATTTCTTCCGCCTGTGGATTTGGAATGCAGTAGATGCGGATGGGTCTGGAGAAGACACAGTATCAGGAGAAGAGAAAATGCTCATGCTGGAGCTTTCGCAAGATTTCCGTTTCGATCTCCAATTCGGTCGCCGTGTAATGGCAAAGCTTCTCGAATTGGATAAGCGGATGAACTGGAGGGATGCGACTCAGACCGTTGAGGAGGAAGAGGCTGATACGGCGGCGTTCAAGGAGGCGTTCCAGAAATATGACTTCGCTCTGGAATGATATCTACGAGCTTCGACAACACAATGACTGTAGGTTTACATAGATACTCCCATGATTCACATACCAAATTCAGCTATATGAGTATTAAAAAAAAAAAACATAAATTGGAAATGCCATTCCCATACCTAGGTAAAAGAAAAAAGAGATAAAGCCATACCTAGGTAAAAGAAAAAAGAGATAAAGCCGTCTAGAAACCGATGCATAGATGAATCATATACACGAAAGAACAGACAAGATATCCATCTTGCAAACAAAACCCCATTTACACGCATACATAGCTTGTTGAGGTTAAGGGATATGAAAAAAGCGTGAAGATCATGGTATCAAGATAAAACATAGACATCCCCACACACCCGCCTGCCTCTAGCAGAAAGGGGAAGATGAACCGAACAGAAAAGCGAAGATCTTTTTCCGAGAAAAAAAAAGGCAAACAAAAACAAAAGCATCATACACCTTTCGTATGTACTGGTCCAGCCATCCAATCAGAAGTTCGTTGCGGGCTGCCGCCCACTCATCAAGAGGGTTGGCGGGCGATTCCTAGTCTCTTGTGTGGGACTGACGGCCTGGCCGTTGGGCGCGGTAACAGCATGTTCAACGGGGAAGTAAGAGCTGTAATCATGGTTCTGGTAATCATGGCTCTGATAATCATGCGATGAGGGAGCAGGGAAAGAAGGTGGTGGAGATGCGGGCTGAGCGGGCGAAGCACCACGGTATGGAGGCTGGGATGTGTAAGTGGGTGGGTACTGGCTTGAGCCGAACGATGGCTGGCGGGTGAAGCCGGCGTTGTTATGTGCTGAGTCCGAGGCTGAGGAGAAGGCCATTGGGACGGGATTATAGTTTGTGTGTGGCTGGTAAGCTGCTACTGGGGGTGTGTAGGCAGTACCGGTGTGGTTAGCCCCGCCAGGGCTGTAGTCTTCGTATGCCTGGGCGTGGTCATAGGGTTGGTGTTGATCATAGCCATGGTTCTGGTCATACGTTTGGTTGTTATATGGGCTTACGGCACCGACGGGCGGGGTCAGACCAGGAGAGCGAGGGCCGTAGGGATCTTGGGTAGGGGCATAAGCAGCATTGGGTCCTGGGGAACGGCGAGCATATGAATCCTGAGCAGCGGCAAAGGCGGCTGCGGGACCTGGGGATCGACGACCGTATGGATCTATTGCGGCGCCGGGGCCAGGTGAGCGGCGGGCGTACGGGTCAATAGCTGCGGCGGCGGCGGGGGAATTTACACCAGGTGAGCGTCGGCCATACGGATCCTGGGTTGCAGCTAGCGCAGCCGGGGCGGGTGAGCGGCGAGCGTAGGGATCAGTCGGGGTAAACCCTCTGTATGCAGCATTGGCGGGTGTCCCTGCACCCCGATCCGGTGGGTTTCCTGCGAAGGCATTACCGTGCAGAGGCGTACCAGCACCAAGCTTCCGATCCGGGGGATTCAATGGCTCCATTTCTACGTCCTCGTGTGGGCTGGTATCTTCGACATGCTTATCGACGGCAGCAGCCCACGTTGGCATTTCTGGGAGCGCATCTTCGTTGATATGGGCTGCAGGTGACTTAAAGGAGTCAAAAGTAGCTGTCTGCACTGCGCCACGGTACACTGGTGGTGTCGCGGCGATGGGCTGATTGTATGCAGGAGTCTGATTGTATGCAGGATTCGGGCCTGGGAGAACCAATGGAGGTTCATCATAGTATTTAGGCTGTTTGTTCCTGCGGCGCCCAGACGGACAACAGCAACCACAGCAAGCGGTACAGCATCGATAACCACAGCAAATACAATTAACGATGCAACCTACAACCGCGATGAGAATGACTGCCACGATGATAATCGCAACAATCACAGGCCACCTAAAGCGCAAATCTATTAGTAAATTTTTGGTCGACATTCTTAATTTGCGCCCTTCTTGTGTTCCACCTACTTGCAGTATGATTTGGCCATACACTTATCCCAACTTGTGAATGTTGACTCAACCGAAGCAAGGTCACGCGCAAATAGCGCCATATGGGTCGCGCCCATCTTGAGTGACGGCATAATGTATGCGCTAGAAGTGCGAAAACATTCGGACGTTGAAAGATGAGGATAAAAACGCGATGCGACTCGTATAAGCCAGGAATCAAACGAGAATCAGGCCAAGTAGGACAGTTGCGTTCGTGATGCACAGCCCAGCTCAGCAACACGACCAACTCCGAAGAACAATATAGACCCTGAAATCCCTGCCAAGCCAATTGGAAGCGGGGCGCACGCAGCCTGAACCAGTGAATGGAGATGTATTCACAGATTTGTGTTAGGGGGACACGAAGGTAGCGAATGGAAAGGGTTAGGGTCTGGGGGGATGACGACGACTTCCAGAGTTGCAGGCTAAAAAGAGCGAGCCAGGCAACAAAGGTAAGCGATTTTGAATTAAGCCGATAAGCACCAAGAAATGACAGACTTCGATAATCGTACTAATCCCCAGGACTCGAAACGAATGAAACGTCCTGCGAATGTTGAAGTTGGGAAAAAAAAGAGAAGCGATGAAACACGGAGAGGGGAATGGAGTAAGGGTTGACATGGCCCGCAGTTATCTGCCTATCAGAAACTCCGCATACCTGAAACCGCCAATCATCATTAACTATGTACCCGCCTCCTCCACCGTTTGCCGATCGCGCAAATTTGACGAGTTAGATAGAAAATGGGTTGACTTAGGAATTCTACAAGGTAGAAAGACTGATTATTTGAGATTTTTCATTTCTCACAAAGGGGACGACATATCAACAGCCTTCTCAGGCGATTTAGCCACAATTAACCCATTAAATCCCAACAGGATTCAACCTTGAATCAAGGTTCGTTCCTGTAACACTGCCAGGCCTAATCTTATATGTACAGCTGGCTCACAGCCACTCATGAATGCACATGAAGCCCCAAGATTCCCCCACAAAACAATCCCAGATGCACAGGCAAAGGGGGAAGAGGGAACAATATTAGCAGAAGGGGCAAAAGTACAATGCAACACAGAAAAGCGCTCAAAAGTAGGTCGCGTCGCAATGCATATGCAATTCAAGGGAATGAAGGAGTTCTGTTCCAGGATATGGGGTTGAAAAACTGTACAAAGAAGTGTGTAAAGTGATTAAAGGGCAGTATTCGTCAAAAGGAATTAGATGAGAAGAAGGAAATGCCGAAGTATTGGCGAGTTGGATGAAGCGTCTGTGGACGATCATAGAGCGTAAAGAAAGGGTCCGACGGAAAGACATGGCCCTTGGGGCTTCGTAGGCAAATTCAAGTCGGTTCGTTTGGTCGTTAGACAGAACATAGGAAAGGTGTCTCAGCATTCTTGGCCTGAGAGTAGGTCATCATATTGGGTTGCCCAGGCGTCGTCGGTAGTGCTCGTGGGTAGGGGTGGCGTGTCTCAACCACACGGTGAGAAAGATCAGATGTCCGGATATCATATCGGTGACAGAAAGGAAAAAGAAAAAGAAAAGAAAAGGAAATCGCTGAATCGTGCAAGACTCTGAAGTTCAGGAGTGAGCGGGAAGAGGGATAGGACGATATCAAATGGAGGATATCGCGCTTATGCTGAGATGATTCAAAGAGAAAGCTGTCGAAAGCGGATAGAAGGTGAAGTCAAGGTATGCGCTCTGCGCAGCTTCGAAAAGGAAAATCAGTATCGCAGGCCAGGGCTGCCAGAGTCAAGCGTTGCGCTGTGTCGAAGCTGAGAAAGAAGAGTGGTTCAAAAACTTTTTGGGGCCACCAGAGAAGAAAAAACCGAAATGCCACTAAGGAAACACCTGGCTCCTAAAATAATAAGCAATGGTATCCGTTAAGCGCCGTAAAGCAGAATCAGGAAAATTTGTTTAGTAGGACAGCATTCGGCGACCTGGAGTGCGATTTGGGACTGGGCTGTCACACATGGAAAATGGAGAGCTCATCAGGCGATTGCTTCGCTCTTCGTCGAAACGGCAACGACCAGTCGGGCTATCCTCCATTTGAGGAGAGTGCTGGCCAAAAGCGAAAGTCTGAGCGCGGTTCAACTTTGAACGCTGCTTGACCTTGCCGAGGCCACGCTCACAAGCAAACTCATGCTCCTTCGCGTTCATCTCAACGTAGTTTTGAGGGTAGCAGAAGGCGCTATGCTCGGCATAAAAAGCGCTGTATCCACCTTCCAGGATGTACATGTCGGGGTAGGTAAGATGGGGGTAAGTGTCGGCGTTGACAGCACGGTCATGATGACGAATGTACTTGGCCATGATAGGTGCACGGTGAGCAGAGTACTCGCAGTGAAGAATCAGGGCGGTTCGGGACATGGGGGAGTTGAAAAGTTCACCGGCAAGACGTTCCTTGTCGTTGAAGTTGACAGCACCATTGATGTGGCCGCCTTCATACTCATATTCGAAACGGCAGTCAACGATCATGATGTTGTCGAACTGGTCACTGAACTTGCCATCGAGAAGGTCCAGGAGGGTGTTTTTGGCGATGCGAGGCAGACCGTCCGCCCGATCCTCAGGTGTGAAGTGAGGAAGCTGGGGTTGGGGAGCGGTCTCTATGTCACTGATGGACTGGAGGGACTTGAGGGGTGCATTTGTTGATACCTTAGCCTCTTTTTCGGCAATAACATCCGCTGGGTTCTCAAACATGCTCAACGACCGCCGACATTGTTTGCGGGGGCGCATCAAGGGGTGAGAGGTTTTGCGAATCGAGTTTGGTGCGGGCGAGCCACTGCTACGAGCATGGCTGAAGGGTGGGCGAAGACGGGGCAGTGCGAGGTTGCTCGATGAGCTGTTGCGGGAGATAGATCTCTCTTGGGGAGGAGAATCTCCGAACATATCCTCCAGGGAGGTAGAAGTGCTCAATGAGGTCTTGGCTCCTTGTGTGCTGAACCTGAATGCAGGTGCTTTGCTCTCCTGGCCAGACCGGTTCATCCCGAGCTGGAACGATGCAGCTTTGCTCTTGGCCAGGCTGGGTCGAAGGAAGGGAGGACGACGGCGCCTAAGGCAGTCATTAGCACCGCTGACCCGCGAAGTATACTGAAATAACTTACTCAGGCTGAGCATACGTCGGAGCTTCCATAGGCGAAGCCTGCAAAGGGCTAGGAGCAGCCGATGTGATCGGAGAGTCCATTGGGGTGTTCAATGGTGACGGCGAAAGAACCTCAATCTCGGTGGTCACAATGAAAGCCGGCTTGTGCGGCAACGGGCTCATTTCCATAATATCCATACCGGCGGGGGACGAGGGCAAAGGGGGCGTAGTCATCACATCATCTATACATGTCTTAGCATTTCAACTTTATATCTTCGTCCCAACCTGAAGATTCCTTACCACGTCGATTGGCCTTTCCCAAAGCGTTTGATGAGAACAAAGACCGCCTGGGTGTTACCAATTGCGGACTAATTATAGAGTCAGCTTCTTTGATCCTTCTCCTCGCACGTAAACGACCATGTAACCACAAACCTTTGATCAATGTGAAAGTTCTGGGAAAGGTCAGCTGCCAAACTGGCAGCAGGCGAAGAACCCTGTAGAGGTCCCATGTTGAAGTAATCGGGACCAGACTTCTTCATTGACAGGTCTTTGAAGTTGAAAGGATTACCACCAAACCCGGACAATGGGTACGAAGTAGGAGCTTCTGATCTGAAACAGCGACCGAACAGAGCAGGTGAAGGCTGCATAGCGGCCAGAGGAGACGAATGTTCCATTTTGACAACGACCGAGACGTAACTGGACCAGAATCCAACCTGCTACACACGATCTTCAAATCTCCAAAACAATCACGCCAATTTGACTTGTCGTCTTTGTCTTCCTGCCCAATTTTCCGTTTTCTGTTTTCCCACGAAGTATGAATCCAAGGTGAAAAAAATCCCCGAATGTCGTTTTGCCCAGTTAACCAGAGAAAAGCCCAGATCCCAAGCCCAAATACCACCGGCCGAAGATCTGATCGTAAGCTAGCTTGTAGAGCTTAAAGAACCATGGCCGAGAATTGCGGAGATCGGAGAAGGCGGAAGCTGCAATTGGGGAGGGGCCGACAGCTCGTGGGCTGAGGGGGCGATGCAGAGTGAGATGTATCGAACTTTGTGAAGCAAGTATGAACAAGCAACACAACGAAAGGAAATCAGGTACCGGGAGGATTGGAGGATTGGGGGGTGGTTTGTCGTTTTGGAATGTCGTTAAGAAAGAAAGAAAAAGGTGGAATAACGTCGCTTCAAGAAAGAAACTCGTGAAGCTGAAGGGATGGGTCTGTTGCAATGGCAACGCAAGTGGGGAGGATCTCCAGATAGGGTACGGTAAGTGAAGTAATGTATTAATACCACTTTTCCCCCATACGTAATAAATGCGGCAACCCGGTTGTGTGAAATTAAGTGGGGAACTCTCTGTTCTTGCTTCCTTGCCAAATTAACTATATTTTATTTTAACTAATTTTATTACCTTTTGGTATGCAATGTATGTTAAAAGGCTTCCGTCCTGCAGGTCTGGATCCAGTATTGATATGCAAGTTGTTCCCATGCTTTAACTCTCCCCAGGGAGGAAAAACTCACGGTCTTTGGCCCCAGTCTGGTTGCCCGGGCTCCCTTGCCGCCCATCATCCGAACTACTGGCTGCTCAGCAACCCTCAGCACCTATCAGAGACCTTACTGTCTCCGTCCGCCTTCATTCCTTTCTGGGCTGAACTGTGCACGGTTACCAGGGGAAAAGTCCCAAAAAGTCCAAAGTCCTTGGCACCATGTGTCTCGGGCTATTACTCTACCCTATTAGGGTGAATTACTCTTAATATCCTCAGATCCCTCTTTCGCCCCCTGGCCTAACAAGAAACCTGGGGAAATCTTGAATCCTAGAAAATCAATATCTACTAAGGCGAGGGGACAAGCTCGGTTCCATGAAACCATGAAACCGTTTTAGGGTTATTTCCTCTCGGTGCCCACCCTATAGAAAAATTTTCAGGTACCATCGGGGCTTATACCTCACAAATGGTGGTTTCGGTGCGTCTTCCATGGGGCTTCTGTATCCACTATGGGACCAAAAAAAGTTTTTTCTTTCGTCTCATAAAACATCCCGTGTGTGCCGTTGTAAACCACAGCTGAAAATACGGAGCGAGATCGAGCCTAAGGAATCAAAGCTCCACTAAGTGATTTTAGCGGCTTCCACTCGTTCGGAAAATAGAGCTTTAGAAACAGCAAACGCCAAACGAGGGACTTGATGCAAGTGATTCTAGGATCGCCCATGCAAGGATGAAGCATGACTTGGACTTCCCAATAGAATGGATTACATGCAATAAATGATCGAAAAACGGCGCTGATTTACTTGCCTCTGATGTCACTCTACATTACCTAGTCCAGATCTTTTGGAAGGAACTCGTGAAGGGAAGAGCTTGGACTCATTTGGTTATTAAACAGGTAAATCTACCAGATTGTTCGAACCTCATGAATGGTGCGTTGCAACTTAAGCCGGGACGATCATTCCCATAGTGAGTAGCTTTGGGGGCCGATAAGAAATTAAGATGGAAATTAAGCCGAAAAAAAGGAATTAAAATCTTTAAAACATGTGAGGCTATGATCGGAGATGAATAGCCCGAGTGGTGATTGGTCTAAATCATTGGTGTATCATCGTAAAGTTTTCGTCCCTGCATGATCATTTCCCCATTTGGAAGAACTCGATCGGACTGAGCTAACCACTTACCCCACCATAATGCCCCAGTTTCTCTACTTTGGAAGAGCTTTTCAATATACTATTGAGTCAGGAATGAAAGGTTATCTCAAGTCCAAAATATTCAATCAAAAACCCTTTGATAATCTCATAGTTCCCATACCCATGACGCTACCCTTACTTGCATTCCAGGTGATCAAGGAACCGCGAGGGGATCTGGCAATGTCGCGCATCCCTTGAGCCCCTTCGTTGGATGTTTCTGGTTATTAATTCCTATCCCGCCATAACTTTTAGGAACCTTTATCCTGCCCTGCTGATATTCTCGTCGCCCGGTCAAACCCCGAAAAATGCAGTTTCCGAGATAGTGTCAGAAATGTCCACTCCGGCCGATGACGAATACCAAGTGGGCAGCTTGGCGGTATCATCAGTATTGCCGCAGGACATTGGGGCCGACAACGGATTCATAATATCACGTCACCGGCGCTTATTGCTAACTATCACAATGTTCAGCGTCAATAATGACGGCACAGTCGTCAAAGCTCGAGGGCATGGATCACATTCGGCGGTAAACGGAGTCCACTCGGTCGTCCTAAACAGTATCTGGATAACCGATGTGGGACACGGCAAAAGCAAATCACCAGATCCAATCGATCAATAGTTTTGCCACTGCAGCGAAGCGGCTCTGTTTGGACTTGAAACTGCTAGTCGATGGAGTCGGCAACAATCGTCCAATCCAAGTGGGTTTGATGCATTGAGCCAAATCCTGCACCCCACGACTTTCTATTCTGGGCAGTCGCAAACCCCTCTTTCGTGAAACACCGGGTTGCCTCTGATATTCGATACCATTGGGTCGAGTCACAGCCTGCATCCCGGTTAATCCGTCTCCATCTGCAGCTGCTGTTCCGTTATCTGGATGTGTACCCCGTGGCAGCCACTATAACAATGCGGTGTGGCCTCGCACTTCCTCGGCTTCCTCGGCGTAGCGTCGGGGACTTCAGCTCCCTAACGCTACATAGACCCCATAATGGTCCGTGTGTCTACGTCACGCTAACATCATGTCGGGATCATTCTCTACTCGTTTCTCCGTTCTCTGTATCCGGATCTGGACCATTGACTCTGGTTGTTGAGCTTTCTCTATGACGTGAGTTATTGTCGCTTCTGTTTGTTTTGAAAATTTGACTTTGAAGATGCGTCGCGAAAAGGCATCAATTCGCAAAGGTAGCCTCGCCTAATGCCACCGCGCATGAGAGTGCTCCAATCACATGGCCAAAGTGGCTGCACCATGCAAGCTGACTTTTCCATATCTCGTCTTTAGAAACCTTCGACCGGGGTATCCTGTCGGCCAGTCCGGTCTGTATCTTGCAGGGCTGCGCCACGGCTGTAGTGTACCAAGCCAAAGTGGGGTTCGGGGGGGAAGTCCACGATGATGTGACCCGTCATCTGCGTCACAGCGCCATGTGAAATGGGCCAGTCGTGTCAAGCCTCCAATCGATGTGCCTTGTCCCAGCTGCGGGGTTTGTCACATCGTGGTGCATTTCAAGTCTGGACCTTTTGTTTCCCCTCAATTCAACTTTTCATGATGTCAGATGTTGTGGGCATCTCGCGTTCAAAGTAAACAAAACCAACGCGAACTGCATACGGAATCCCGTGACTATCACCGACCAACCACTGACATCAGAACAACAATATTTAGATCCAGATCTTGATTTCGATTATTTTGATCTCTCCAATATCGGGAATAATCCTTTGTATTCTATTTTTGGTATTCATTGATACTCGAAATACCCATACCTGACCAGTCTATCATGTCATCACCTCAGGCTGTCCAGGGCCCCCATCCGTCCCGGCGATTTGTCAATAAATTCTCCCGCGCGGCGTCCCCGATCTGCGGCGCTATTGAATGCCCCAGCTGCCATCACACATGCGACCTAGCCCACCTGGCCTTCGTGCCTGTCACTTTCTCATACTAAATTACCCCTGACCGTGGTGCTATCGCCAGCCTAGTGACCACCCTACACCACATCTAGCAATGGTCTCACTCGACCAGTTAGCGCACAACCCCGATCGTGGCCCGGGAAGTCTAGCCTAGCGACCGGCGGCTCACTCTGAGGTCAGACTTTGGGCAATTAGCATTTTCCAGTTATCTTCCGGGCTTGCAGATAGATTAGACAGACCATCCACTCGCAATATCCACAATTTTCATTAATACGATCACTATTTAACACCGTAAAGCGTCACAACTGACGTGTTGGAATTGATCCATCACCATCTTAGTTTACACATCATGAACTCCATACTCTATCGACTGTAGCCAAAAGCAAGTCTCGATCTTCACTCCCAATTCCCTATTTAGGTCCGTTGCTGCCGAAGCCGCGCCCATAGTGCCATCCACGCGGCTTTCAGCGCAGCAGGTGGGATGTATCATCTCCGGTACCTGTCATCCGCGCGGAAATGCATGGCCCACGAACCGCGGACATTCGTTTCATTTATCACACTCTACGTGTCTTGTGCCACAACTGCGCTTTACGGCTATCTCTTTAATGATTTGCAATTAGTATCCTTTTTTTGCTTGTTTCACACTTTCCCCCTGAGCGAAACAGAGATATATAAACCCGTTGCTGGGGTTTCGTTGGAAGTTGTCCACTTACAAAATATATATCGACTTCACTCTGCATTGTACATCCACTTACTATATGGGTGCCCACTTAACCGGCTTTCAATTCACAATGCATCCGTCGTTGCCTTCCGGTTTGGATTTGACTTGACTTACGCAGCTCCGTTGGTCAATAGGTCATATTTTTGGGGGCCATGCAAATATCTTACCATTTCCCCCTTAATCTCGGGCGTCTGGACCGTTCTTGCTCCACGTCAAAACGATAGCCGACGTAGCTACCCTGACAACGCGGATTTTGGGGTCGAAGGAATCGGCTGCTTGCTGAGAATCTATGGATTTCAGTCGCAAAATTGAAACGACTATTGTATCGAAAAAGTCTATGTTCTTTTTTGGTTTTGTGCTACGTGGATTTTCGAGATCCGTACGGGGTTCACTGTGGAGAACTTAAGAATTTTGTCGCTGACCGGGAAACCGTTCCAGAATTGAAGCATGGTTCAATGGTCGCCGGAGTACTACGGAGTATAGGCCACCGTTACTAACTTGAAAGGTCCATCAACTCTTACCCACCATTAGGCATTTGGTTTATGCGCAGCTACACAGTTTGGATGGTTTTCTTCTTCATCGTAACTTTCTCTTTCGAACTTGGTGGTCATCCATGCTACACTATATCCTGTGGATTTGGGCCAAAGACATCAAAATTATCTACTTGTCTGAAATTTGTAGGTTGCGGGGTTATTGCATTGCCCTTAGTGCTTGTCGACCCTAACATTGAGTGAAATGCAACACGCCAAATATTCTCTATTTCGATAAATATTGTCTAAGAATCATAAATAGTGTTTCAAACTTTGATGAATAATAATACTTTCTGAATTTATTGTGCGGAAAAATGAAGATAGTTTGTGTAATGGTGGGCAACCTCGGAAATGAGGTCCAACTATATATTTCTGTAACTCTAAGTCCCGCATCATTCAATAGTACACGTGCACATGCACACTGAATAGACGAGCAATACCACCAAAAATTTAAGACATCAATCGATTGATTGTCAAGACTGAGGAAATATGACAGAATGATATTACTTAGTCAACACATAGATATCTAGTGAACTTTTGATGCTGAATTTCTTATACAAACGAACAACTGGAATTGTCCACCTTATCAGCTTATCGCATAACGCTAGTCCACAAAGGGCAACCGCCTCCCCGAATTTTCTGCGCCGCGGCGAGCAATGTTCACTCCAACCTCGCAAATAGCTCCACCTCAAGAGCTGCGGCATTGATTACCACAGTGAGACATTAATCGAAATAAATTCAAACCAGAAAAATGCCGCCCCATTTCGGCGGCCCCAGGAAGCGACGTCGCGAAGGCTACAACATCGACGTGAAGCTCGTGGAGATCTATGAAGACTTGGCCAGCGAGAAAGATGAGATCCGGCTCAAGGCTGCCCAAGGCCTTGTATCGCAATTCACACCCGACCAGAACCCCACCGATGAACAGATCAAGAAGGTGCTGCAGAGACTCTTCCGCGGTCTTTGCAGTAGCCGCAAAGCTGCCCGAATTGGTTTCTCTATCGCCTTGACTGAGGTTCTCACCCAAGTCTACTCTGCCCCACGCGAGTCTGCGGAGTTTAAGCTTTCGGATGCTCTTCAGCTTTGGCAAGTTCAGACCCATGCAAGTGGTGGCGAGTCAGGTCAAGTTAGTGAGCCCCAGAATACCGCGCATTGCCATTGGATTGTTACTAATGGAGTTTATCAATGCAGGAACAACGCGATCACCACTTCGGTCGCCTGTTTGGTGCTGAGGCAATTATCAAGTCCGCCATACTTTTCCAATCCGGCGTTCCTTTCGAGTATTGGACCAAGGTCCTCATCCTGATCTTCGACCTCGCCCAGACCAAGCCATGGATCAGAGAGGAATGCGGTTGGATCCTTTACCGCTGTGTATACGATCTCGCCGCTCGCGATATGGATGCGAAGTTTGTGGAGGCTGTCTTGGAAGGATTGTGCACTCATGAGTTGGCTCGTTCACCGGAAGGTGTTGCGGTTTGGCTGGCTGCCAAGGACATGTTCCCCAAGGTCAACTATCCTAGCAAGGTTTGGAAGCACGACGACCCGCTGGATACCAAGGAGCGCAATAATTTATCGAAGATCATGAAGGAGTCCTCTGCCGAGGAAGCCCAGGGTGAGAACAAAGCCAAGTCTTCTGGTGTCTGGAACTCCAAGCTTCACTTTGCCTGGGATGCGGTCATTTCACGAACTGGCGATAGCACCCCGTCGAAGTCAAAATCGTCTCGTCTGTCATTCAGCGATTTCTGGATCGAAGTTGTTGATAGTAAGCTAAACCTTGACAACTTCAATTGACCCGAACTGACAGGTTTTTTATAGATGGATTGTTCGCCTCGTCTTCATCCGATGAACGCAAATACTGGGGATTTCTTCTGTTCACCAAGATTCTCAACGAGGGTTCGCCCGATCAGGCGTCTCAAGTATTCAGCAAGAACCTGGTTCGTTGCTTGACAAACCAACTTGCCGTTGAAGATCGCTACTTGCACCGGATGGCGGTCAAGTCCTCCAAGGCAATTCAAAGCCGTGTGTCCAAGGAGCCCGGGTTCGCATCAGCAGCAGTTCGCGGTCTGATGGGTAGCAACGGCGCCGTAAACTTCGACCAGGCCACTAAGACAAAGACCATTGAGAAGATTGTGGCAGATGCCAACCGTGAGGCCCTGGAGGATATTGTTCCCTTATTCGAAAAACTCATCAACCGCCCTGAAGAAAGTGACGAGAAACTTGCAGCCTCCAACCGCCAGTTTATCGCTGGCCTCCTTCTCTCAGTGGTGCGGGCAAAGGCTTCCACTGGAAACAGTGAAGAATCCGAAGACGACTTCCAGTCAAATCTAGAGCAGATTCTGTTTATTCTTGTGCGCTTCGCATACTTCCCGAACACCGCCAATGCCTCCACCGCCCCACAACCTGCCCTCTCACAGGCGACCCAGGAGATGCTGCGCAATCGGATCAACTCCTCATTGAACAGTCTCCTTGCATCACAGAAGTACACTTCGTCAATTCCTTACGCTGTTGTAAAGCAAATTCGTGATGCTGCCAAGTCAGAAGAATATGGCAGATTTATCATCAACATCGATGATAAGCTGCAAGAGTCGATCAAGACTGCATTCAAGTCACTGAAGAAGCTCTCCAGCAAGGAAAAGAAGGGCGAGACATCTAGTATTTCTGCCTTCAAGCTCCTCTACTCAATGACCGTCTTGCAGGTGTACAATGGTGACCCTGATGCCGTGTCGATGCTTGACGAGCTTGAGTTCTGCTATTCCAAGATCATGGATGATCAGGACTCAGAGGATGCTTCCGACGCATCGGATGCCCTGGTTGAAATCTTACTTAGCTTTGCATCAAAGCAGTCTCAGCTTTTCCGTCGCATGAGCGAGCAGGTCTTCGGTGCGTTTGCTGATCAGGTATCAGAGACCGGTCTGGAGTCTTTCATTTCCATCCTTGAGGCAAAGGAGAGTCTCGCTGGACAACAAGAAATGTTTGAAGACCAAAATGAGGGAGAAGAAGAGGAAGAGGATGACGACGTTGAAGAAATCTCAGGAGACGAAGATGACAAGATGGACGTGGACAGCGACGTCGAAGTCGTTGAAGGAGGCAATGACTCCGACTCCGATGACGATGACGAGGAAGCCTCAGATGAAGATGAGGAAGACGCCGCTGAAGTCGCTGCCTTTGAAGCCAAGCTCGCTGCCGCACTAGGCAACCACGGCTTAGACAAAGATGGAGACGACTCCGACTCCGATATGAACGATGACGATATGGATGCCGTCGACGAACAACTAGCCAACGTCTTCCGCGCCCGTCGTCAAGTAACATCTCAACAAAAGGACAAGAAGGGTGCACGTGAGAACATGGTGAACTTCAAGAACCGTGTCCTCGACCTCATCGAGATCTTCATCAAAAAGTGCCACTCCCGCGTCCTAGCATTGGACCTGATTCTCCCTCTCCTCCGTCTCTCCCGCCGCTCCTCCGTGAAGCAGATCGCCAATAAGGCCAACAGTGTGCTCCGCGAGTACACCAAGCTATGCAAGGGATCCGCCGTCCCGAAGATTGAGGGCGAGACGGATTCTGTCTGGGAACTCCTGCGCTCTATTCACAAGGAGGCAGGGCACAGTGGGCCCCCGACTCATGCGGCTGCAAGTAGCCAGGCTAGTCTGCTTGTTGTCAAGGTGCTCGTTGCGCATGACAAGGCATCTATTGCTGGAGTGGTCGATGTCTATGGTGAGACACGGAAGGATCAGCTTTGCAGCACCAAGTGTCATGTGCAGCCGTCATTTTTCACAGAGTGGAACAACTGGTGTGTTTCGGCGAGTAAGCAGCTTAAGAACTGAGAGTAGATCATTTGATTGAAATATGTGGAACTATGTACGGGGCTAAGCTATAAATTTGGTGCCTAAACTTTGGGCATAGAATATTATGACAATTGAATTATTTCAACATGAAGCTTAGAAATGTCCCTTAGATCTCCAGGTTACTCGCTAACATGGAAAATAGAGTCCCTCTTCTAGGCTTTCTGAGTCTTACCAATTGTTGAGTCGCGGCCGCGACGCTGGTAGGGAGCTTAATACTGCTATAGTGCAAACACGTGGGGGCCGAAATAGAGCAACCAACCGCTAGACCTTCAACTACGCTGCATCACCCCTATCCTTTCTTTACCAGATAAAATACCCGGCCGAAGAAAAGTGAATGGTAGCCCAAACCAAAAGAAACATCATCGTTCTCAAGATTGACTGCGGTGGCCAACCGCACAAGTGCGGGGTCGCAAAATGGGCGGCATTCCTTGGACATCGGCAGCGTGCCAGAACTGCAAAACAAGCAAAGTAAAAGTGAGTAATCACTCCATTTTAGAATATAAATGTATTAATGCCTCGTCAGTGTGATCTGCAAGAGCCTCATTGCGGAAGATGCGTCAGGCGAGGTATACCTGTCCGGGGTATCAAGGGCGAAACTTCATCCAACAGACCTTTTCCCAATCAAATCGCTGAGGTTTTGGAGAGAAACAGACCAGATCAATTCAATTGATTACTCGAGCGGATCCAATGAGATTACCCCCCGGCTATGAACGGTAGTCGCGAGACACGCGCGCAGATATCTTCTTCGTACATCAATTCTATGCTCAGCGTCGATTCCAAAGAGGTAGCCGGCATGGATGCCTGGTATGGAGTTCAGTCCTGGCGTTACTTGCTCACGAACTTTGTTGAACTCTCAGGGAAGTCCCGGATGCTAGAAAAGGCCATTGCTGCTCTCTCATATGTCTCTCTCGGTAAGAGGAATCGTGATGTATCGGCGATGCGGCTTGGGATTCAGCTGTATAACGAGGCTATTCGATTTATGGCAAATATGATACGTCGGAATAACTTGCAGGATGAAATTTTGTATACGACCCTCATATTTCAAATGCTCGAGGTAATCACACTATCACTATGCAAGGAAAAATGTCGCTCAAACCTATTGACCATTGTCATATTCTAGGTTGTAGATTGTCCACAGGGTCTTGGAACATGGATTGCACATATGGAAGCAACAAACGCCTTACTCAAAAAGTGTTATCCTGTTGGATCTGAACATGTGCTCAAACAGATCATATATGATAACCAGCTGAAGCTCACAGTCGTATGTTCACTCATCATTCTCGCTTTCGGAGAGCTCCTTTGACTAAAATCTTTCTATAGATGCTCTCTACAGTATCAGCAACACAAATGGATAAAGCATGCCAGCATTTTCTAAGCTTTACACCAAAGAGTATGCTGGAAGAGATATTCCAATTTTATGTGGGTATTTCATCTCTACGGGATGAAGTAGAGAAATTTCAACAATCCGATTGTGACGAGGGACAAGCAATCCTGACCCTGAAAGTATGTCTTCAAGAGGAGAATACTGGAATGGTACATCCAGAAAAAGGATGTGATTAGAGAGCCACTATCACTTCCAGCCTGTCATACATTCCCATCTACCAAACTACCTCCGGCTAGCCATCTATTCGGTTCACCGTATCATTTCTCAACTCTCGATGATGCCGGTATCCAAGTATACTATTGGACAGGGCTCATCTCCATCGAATGCGTGATTCACGAAATACTCGCCATTACATCCCCATTTAGCCCATCAACCCAGTCCCAAACTGATTACTCCGACTCTGTGTATGTGGAACCCGAGCACTACGCCGATGAAATCTGCCGATCTCTACCATATATTATACAAGAAGGATCTGGCGGATGGGGTGTACAAACAGGCATGGTGGCATGCCTATCTCATGCCATTCAACCTTATATTCACCTGAGACGACAAGAAAAGTTTGATTGGTGTCAATATGTGTTTCAACTGATAGCGGATCGTGGCGTAGAGCTGGCATTGGGGTTTCGGGATTCATTCTCACAAATGTGGTCTGCGAATCCACTCCCGAGTCAAAAGATGCGGTTGCCATTGATTGGTAAGATCAATCCTGGCCATGAGCGGATCACAGATGTCACGGAGATTTAAAATGCTAAAGCCAAATAAATACATACCAACATTGGAAGTGGAAGAGAACTTGAAGATCTTGTGCTAGGGGGGAAACATGGTCTTTATTGTGTACATTTACATGCCCAGGTGGCCATTACAATATATGGCCATGCCATGTTAATTTCCATTCAGTACAATGTAGATCATATTTGTACGAAGTCACAGATTAGAAAATGTACTCTTATACCTCTCTCAGCTTTGACCCCTGGGCCATTGGTGTTTGCGACACTGAGCTTTACGTAAAAATCAAAGCATCGGGATCGGCACCATCTCCGGATGCGAGACCACAAAGAGCAAAGAGGCCCTCCCTCCTGCGACCATTTAAGTCATGTACCTCGTGCCAAGTCAACAGTTGTGGCCCAATCGCAGGGTCTAGAGCCCTGATTCCACGTCTAGAGTGGGTCTCCCGCTAATGGCGTCCAATGAGGATGATAGCTTGTTCAATAGCTTCGGTTTGGCGGCTTTCCATCAACACATGGCCTGAACTTGTTTCTAATCTGGTTTTTTACGCCGATGGTCGCTAACAATTTCTTCTTTCCATTTTTAGCCGGAAAATTGGACCGCTAACTCCGATTGGATCACTTCCTAAGCCTAAGGGTCCAAGGTGAACTGGTATAACTGCCGGCCATGGAGATTTTACTCCTTAGACGCGTTCTTTCTTTTGGTCTCAACCCATACACTCTTTTGGTTCGATTTTGATCGTTCTTGTCACTCGTTTTTGTCACTCATTCATAATCACGATGTGGGGGTTCCAACCACGCCAATGGACCTCTCTAGTCCTCCTCTTACCACTTCTGGTTAAAGGAGAGGAGATCGTTACCTGTACCACTTTGGATACGATCGAGAACGGATCTTTTGAAGATGGATTCAATGACTGGGCATTTGCCTCACTCACCACTGGCGCGGTAGTCAGTGGAGATGGAGCGGATGGCTCACACTACCTCGAGGCGTCCAACACCGAGGCGGAGGGGATATTGATCTACCAGCGTCTCTATAACCTGGTGGCAGGAAACACCTACGACTTTTCCGTTGATTATCGCGTTATTCCTAACTCGGGCGATTATTCGATGACCTGCCGAGTGGAAATGATCTTGAACACATTCGTCTCTCCTTTCGCTGATAGTGGCTATTTCACAGTTTCTAGCCAAACCTATGGCTGGACCACTCTCTCTAAGTCATACACCGTTGCCGCATCCGGAGAAAATACTTTTGAGATCTATGCCTACTGCGTAGATTCTAATAGGAACTATCTTGGCGCAGCCATTGATATCGACAACATTGTCATTTCGGGACAGGCAGCTACTACCTGTACTACTGTGACTGTAACGCCCACACCTACACCGACTTCAACTCCGACTCTGACTCCAACTCCGACTCCGACGCCCTCATCTAGCGTACCGGTTGTGGTGTCATCCTCCGTGGTGGGATTGTCTCCCATAGCATCATCGCCCGCATCTTCATCATCGCCTGTATCACGTTCCTCTTCGGTGGTGCCTCATTCCAGCTCGTCTCAGGCTGCTAGCTCTTCTATTGCTATTTCGTCGCCAGCTGTCCGCCCCACCTCGACTCCTCGAAGACCGAGACCGCACAAATCGTCATGCCGTGCCTCGAAGTCCGCTAGCACCCCTCTTGCTCACTCACGTCGCCCTACCTCTTCACCCAGTGCCCCGAGCTCGACCCCTCTACTTCCTTCCACGACCAGAGGCACCAGCATCCCTAGCTCTGGCCCATCTGGCTCTGGCTCTGGCTCCGGCTCTGGCTCTGGCTCTGGCTCCGGCTCTGGCTCTGGCTCTGGCTCTGGCTCTGGCTCCGGCTCTGGCTCCGGCTCTGGCTCCTCTGGCTCTGGCTCTGGCTCTGGCTCTGGCTCTGGCTCCGGCTCTGGCTCTGGCTCCTCTGGCTCTGGCTCTGGCTCTGGCTCCGGCTCTGGCTCCGGCTCTGGCTCCTCTGGCTCTGGCTCTGGCTCTGGCTCTGGCTCTGGCTCCGGCTCTGGCTCTGGCTCTGGCTCTGGCTCTGGCTCCGGCTCTGGCTCCTCTGGCTCTGGCTCTGGCTCTGGCTCCGGCTCTGGCTCCGGCTCTGGCTCCTCTGGCTCTGGCTCTGGCTCTGGCTCTGGCTCTTCCGGCTCTGGCTCTTCCGGCTCTGGCTCTTCCGGCTCTGGCTCTGGCTCTGGCTCCGGCTCTGGCTCTGGCTCTGGCTCTGGCTCCGGCTCTGGCTCCGGCTCTGGCTCCTCTGGCTCTGGCTCTGGCTCTGGCTCTGGCTCTTCCGGCTCTGGCTCTTCCGGCTCTGGCTCTTCCGGCTCTGGCTCTGGCTCTGGCTCCGGCTCTGGCTCAGGCTCTGGCTCAGGCTCAGGCTCAGGCTCTGGCTCTGGCTCCGGCTCTGGCTCTTCTGGCTCCGGCTCTACTATCACCATCGGTGCAGGATCCGGTCCTGGTGAGTCACAGTACACAACCTCTACGGTCCTGACCACTCGCACTGCAACTATCACTGCCTGTCCATCCAGCGTAACCGATTGCCCTGCTCGCCAGAAGACTACTTATGTCACCACAGAGACAATCATCGACTATACTACTATCTGCCCCGTGACTGCTGCCGAAGCTACTGAGACCCCATCCAGCATTACCAACACTGCTTCTACTGCTACCGCTACTGGTGTTGATGCCGTTGGTGCTGGCGGTGAAGGAGAATACACCACTTCCACTGTTTTCAGCACTCGCACAGCTACCATCACTGCTTGTCCATTGAGTGTGACTGATTGCCCTGCTCGTGAGAAGACTACTTATCTCACCACCGAGACTCTTGTTGTTTCTACCACTATCTGCCCGGTGACCGCAGCTGAAGCAAGCGCTACTGCCACGACTGCTTCTAGCTCTGGCTCTTCTAGCTCTGGCTCTTCTAGCTCTGGCTCCTCCAGCTCTGGCTCCTCCAGCTCCTCTGGATCCTCTGGATCCTCTGGTTCCTTGGGTTCCTCTGCCTCTGGCTCTGGCTCTGGCTCTGGATCAACTGGTACTGGATCGACTGATACTAGCTCCTCTGGCTCTGGATCAACTGACACTAGCTCGACTGGCTCTGGCTCGACTGGTACCTCTGGCTCGACTGGTTCCTCTGGCTCTGGATCTACAGGTTCTGGCTCTACTGGCTCTGTCTCCGGATCGACTGGTTCTGGCTCTACTGGCTCTGTCTCCGGATCGACTGGTTCTGGCTCGACCGGTTCCTCTGGCTCGACCGGTTCCTCTGGCTCGACCGGTTCCTCTGGCTCAACCGGTTCCTCTGGCTCAACCGGTTCCTCTGGCTCAACCGGTTCCTCTGGCTCAACCGGTTTCTCTGGCTCAACCGGTTCCTCTGGCTCCACTGGCGCCTCTGGAACTGGGTCGACTGGCTTCTCTGACACCGGCTCAAACTCCGGCTCCCTTCCTTCCACCAAGATTGTTGGTGTTGGAGCAACCAGCCTGATTCCCACCTCAGTGCCAAAGTTCACTTCTGCCCCGTGGTACAAATCGACCGTCACCAAGGTCGCGAGCTCTTCTGCCCTTCCTGCCGCTTCGGCTATTTACCAAGGCGGATCCGGTTCATCGACTACAAGCTCCAGTGGACCCATTTACACCGGTGGTGCTGTTTCACGAAATGGTATCTTCTCGGCAAGCTTGGCTTCGGCCTTTTCGCTCTTTGTAGCCTTCGTTTTTGTTCTCTAGATTCTTTAGAATTCTTTGTCCGGAACTTCGGTCTTGGATTTCTGTCTATTAGTTTAAGATTATTTATACTTGACATGTCATTTAATACTTATCAATCAGTATATGTTATTATTTCTGAGGAGTAACACATTGCTAGATAAAGCCGATTGGCCTGCCATATGGAAGAGCATGAATAATGACATCCAAATAAGAGACTTTCAAGGTTACGATGCACGATCTCAATGCAAGAAATCCGAGATTATAAGACGTCGTAGAAACCTCCGTATAGGATAAATAGAATCTCTTAATCATTATTCGTGGGTTGTCATGAGTATAAAATGACTATGCAAAACCCGAACCATCAAGAAAGAGAACCAAAAAGCTTTTGAAACAAGACAAAATATCAACGAGCTATGCAGAAATCTCCCCAAGCCCGGAAAGATCAATCCCAGGTTCTCTCGACCGAAAAAGCAGCTCAACTGTCTGATCAGTAATAATCTCGCTGCCCAACTCAATATTTTTCGGTCGCCCACCCTCATCCTTGAGTTTCCAGTCATACTTAAGCAGCAAATGGATGAGCAGAATCTTGGTTTCATTAGCCGCGAAAAAGCGGCCCGGGCAAGAGTGCAGACCATGGCCGAAGCCATAGCTCTCGCGGGTGGTTGTCACGAACTGATGCTTGTGCTCATGGCCTGGCTCCTGGCGCTTCTTGAAGAAGCGGTAGCCGTCATATTTCTCGGGGTCTGGGTAGATGGTTTTGTCTAGGTTGACGTGAGCGGAGACGGCGATTGTGGCGCCTTTGGGGATAACTATGCCGTCTGATAGAGGAATTGCTTCCGTCGCGAGGCGGTTCAGGGATGCTGTTATGTAGTAAGTGAATGGGCTTTCAAGGAAACATCAAGGAAATATAGACAAGTAACTTACTCATACCGACGGGGTGTATGCGCTGAGACTCCTTCATTACACTGTCCATCAACATCAGTCTCAGCAGGCTGGTTTTCTTAAGCTCGCCATCCTCGGCAATGACGGCAGAAATCTCGTCGCGCAGGGGCTGGAAGTATTCTGGGTATGCTGCGAGGTCGTACATGATGTTCGTGAGAAGATTCGAGGTGGTATGGATAGCCGCCAGGGACAGCGCAACTTGTCCGCGCGTCATATCAAAAGGCAGCTTATATGCTTCAGATAGCTCCTCAAACCAGTCGAGAGCATTGGCACGGGTCCGAGGGGGTTCTTCAAATGGCAGTTTGCCATCGCGGGTCATATTACGTTTCTCAACTTCTTGTTTCACAATGGCTCGGGCAGCGCCTAGATGGTAGCGGAGTTTCCGTATGGATGGTAGGAAGTGGTGCACAATCGGTCGTAGGATAGAAGGCCACAACCGTAGCTCACGGGCACCATCGAAGGCATCTATGGTGTAGTTGACAGCAACTTCGATCCATTCCTCATTGCGGCAGGCTTTCTCGCCGAGTAAAGCCAGTGTGGAGATACGGGCCACCATGTAGGGTACTTTGCGGGAGAAGTTGTACGGCTTCCATTCTGGGATGGAAAGCATGATTAGTACTTAGAACCAGGTACTTTCAGATTATGCCATACCATCCGATGGAGGAAAGGTGTCTTTCAATGTCGCAGCAGTCTCCTTGGAGAGCGGGATTGTCAGGCCATCTATATGTGGGTTAGAGCAATCATGACCAGAGCTTCGACTCACATACTAAGGGCTTGGGTTAGCTTGATCCGTACTGAATCCACAAGAACTCTAGATGCTCCATTAGTGTGGAAAGGTTCAAAGCCGGGGATGCGACCCGAGAAGAAGCTCTGATCGTAGTTAGTCGCTAGTTCCAGACTTGTGGTCGCTATCCTTACCTTCTGAGAGGCACCTTCGAAATTCAGGTGGGGATGGCTCTTGATTTCGTCTATGTACTTTGGGTGTAGGATGATCAATGGCCGGGTTGAAGCCATGACCTGAAAGGCATTGTAACCCTGCTCGTCTAAGCACATATGAGGTTTCGGATATGATAATCAATCCTCTTACCTTCGTAAAGCCCTCTGCAATAAACGCACGCGCCGACTTGTTGAATTGGGATTTGGATCTCCTGTTGAAAATGTCCCACCAGCTTTTCCCAACCAAAGGAAATTGAGTATAAGGGATCTCCTCAACAATATCATCCCAAGTACTGGAAATAACCAGCACCAGAAGAGCCACCCAGACACCCTGAACAAAATAAGTGCTCAGCAACTCGATAGGCAACACCATGGCATTGATGGAGATGGGGAAACCAAAAGAAAACCAAAAAAAAACAATGAAGCTCGACAGGTTCTAGACCCTGCAACATCCTAGACTATTAATACAGCGAAACATGGTGAACCTAGTTGGAATTCCGCCCAGTCAAAGTGTATCGTTGAATTATTCAAGTTTCGTCCAAGCATTCCGAAGTGGAGTCCAGCCTCAGTCAATCAGATCTGTACTCAGCCGAGAAGCAAGTGAAAAGTCTATATGTTTGGCGAGATCGGAGACTGATCATTCCGAGTAGTATCAAATGGCAAGGGAATACGAAAACGAAGACTGATCCTTACCCGAAAGGGTATTTGGAGGATGCGGGTCAGACCTGGATCCATGCTTGTTTTTGGAAGACTCGAAAGTAGCCAATCAAGGTGGAAGGAATAGATCGAGGGTTGTATCACATTTGTGGAACATGAGCATTAAGCTGTGACCCTATTCCATAGAGGTAATATCTGCAGTCAAATATGACAGGTAAAATGATGAAGTTAGATCAAGTGTATTACATAAACGACTCCCCGCATTTCAACTTCTCCGCAACTTCAACCTCGAAAATATTTGATTTGAATACAATTTATTTACTATAAGACTTTTCTCTAGAGCCTTCCTGGAACACTCACATCTCATCATGGGTGATTATGGCCCTGCATCTAACCACTCCGTGGACCAACCTTCTGCAACTTCACCTGATGTCTCCGTACTCATAACGGGCTTTGGCGTAAGTGATCTGCGCCCGGATCCAAAGCGTTTCCGAGCCCGACCTAAGACTTCACTGTGTAACTAGCCGTTCAAAACCAACCTTGTCAATGCTTCATCCCTGATCGCCAAATCGCTGCCTGATTCATTTACCTTTCCGATTCCTGGACTAGCTGGTCTCGAGGACCGTCGTGTCGTTCTGCATGTCCACCCGGACCCGATCCCTGTGGCTTATTCATCCGTTCGTGAATCCTTACCCGTGATCTTAAGCGACTTCGCAACAGCCAACCGGGGCCGCCGACCAGATCTGGTCATCCATATTGGTATCGCCTCCCCAAGACTGTACTACTCGGTTGAGCACTTGGCCCACCGGGATGATTACAACATCACCGATATCAACGGCTGCTCGGGCTATGAGGACGGAGAGAAAAGATGGAAGGAGATGGGCCTTCCCCCGATCTTGAGTCCGGGCCGGGCTTTCACGACCAAAGAACAACAGGATCAACGCTGCAAGGCCTCCAAGGGTAGTCCCTACCCACCGAATGCTCACTTCTTAGAGACGTGGAAGGCCAATTCATCGGCGGATCTGGATCTCCGCATCTCTCATGACGCTGGTCATTACCTCTGCGACTTCATCTTCTATACCAGTATGGCCTTGGCCACGCAGCAGGGACAAGACCGCAATGTTTTGTTTTTACATGTCCCCAGTGCATCGGAGGATGCTGATGTCGAGCGTGGACGAGATATCACCCTGGCTCTGATCAAGACCATGGTGAGCTGCTGGATTGATGAGAAGCAATCTGCATGAGATGAAAATCATCAGTTCATAACTTTCCTCAGATTACATATTTTCGGTTCTTTACTCGCATTTCACGCTTGGTGTTGACTTTGGCTTTTGTTATGATTTATTTTGTGAATTTAACATGATATTCATCAAAGTAATTGATTATGTTCCTGACATAGATGACATGTCGAAATGCCAATGGAAATCTGAACCACTGAGCGGTAAACAGTGGCAGAAAGCCTTATCAACCCCAAAAACCAGAACCTTAATCTCCAACTATGACTCGTAAGTGACTCTTCATAGTCTTCACAACAGGTCCAAAGATTGATGCCAATCATGATTGAGACAGTACCTGCAGCATCTGTACTGGTCCTAGGACTGGTGATTCTACTCCCAGTCCTCCTCTTTCTCTTTCCTCAACTAAAAGCATGGATCCATAAATCATCGTTGGCAAGCTTGCTGCCTCACCTGCGTCTCTGGAATCGACGCCCCAAACAATCCAGTGAGATTATATCACTGCGCATGTACCCAATTAAGTCCTGCCGTGGCTTTGAAGTGCAGCAAACCACCCTCAAAGAGCATGGACTTGACCTCGACCGGCGCTGGATGCTCGTCGACGCCTCAACAAACGAATTCCTGACCATCCGCCAAATCCCCAACATGACCCGCATTAGGACCGGGCTCAGCGCAGATGGTGAGGATCTGATCGTGACAATTCCAAGTCCAACTTCAGAATCGACTCATCAATCCGACACTGGCCCTGATTCCACCAAAATAGTTCGCATTCCAGCCCACCCCACTCAAGAATGGCTACAGACCCACACCACCATAGCTCCCGTCAAAATCTGGGACAATGACACAGATGGATACATTTACAGCGATGAAATCAATGCCCCGTTCTCGGCCTTTATGGGCCGCCCCGTCGCACTAGCCTACAAGGGTCCAACGCCTCGTAATCTCAAAGGCAATGGCGCACCCAGCCTACTAGGCCGTATCCAATCAACCGGGTTCCCAGACGTTTTCCCAATCCTCATCGCATCAGAAGCCTCTCTTGCTGAATTGAACACTCGTCTTAGCCTCAAAGGCGAGGAACCCATCACCGTCGAACGATTCCGACCGAATATAGTTGTCCGAGGAGAAACAGCCTGGAGCGAAGATTCCTGGAAATTAGTCCGGATCACAGCTGGAAATGGACAAGCCGACAAGACGGTGACCCAGACACCGCTGGATTTGGATATCGTGGCGCGTTGCGCAAGATGTCAGGTCCCGAATGTGGATCCTGAGTCGGCGAATAAGCATAAGAAGCAGCCGTGGGATACACTCGTTTCGTATCGCAGAGTTGATGCAGGGATCAAGTATAAGCCTTGTTTTGGAATGTTGAGTGCACCGCGGCATGAGGGAATTGTTGAGGTTGGGATGCGGTTAGAGGTCTTGGAGGAGACGACTGAACATCGGTATATTACTGGATTCTAGGTAGAACTATTGCAAATTTGGGTCTGTAGAGTTGGTATAAATTGTATGCAATTCTATTTCATTATTTAAACGTTCAATTCGCATGAGCCATGTCTGTGACCTCATATCAACATTACTACTCCCCACCATCTCAGCAGATGCAAATCCAAATCCAAATGCAGAAATTGCATGAGCTCACTACCCCTCAAAGCTCACTGCAAAGAACCTCATAACTGTGGAATTCCCCATCTCCACCAAGACAAGTATGCAGCGCAATATCCTGTCCATCAGAATTGCAAGTAGCATCATTGAAAAGACGCACTGTATTGAAATTCAAATCAGCACGGCAAACAGCACAGCGCCAAAGGGGCAATACATACCAGAGCAGTTATTAATAGCATACTCAAAACTCACAGAGTTGACCACATTATCACCGAACGATTGGCAACTATTAACGTAGTCCCCGTAAACACCAAGCTCCCCCAGATTCTCCGCCGAGCACCCGGACTCTCCGTAAAGACGAAGTTGAACATATCGTGTATTTGCCGGAGTGGCCGGAGTAGGAGTTGCAGAGACGCCCATCGCGAGGATAGCAGAGGCAAGAGCGATGAAATGCATTTCGAGATTTGACTTGGAAGAGAACAGTTTTAGATGTGTATCTGCCGAGGGGAGTGGTAGGTCGATATGGTAGATGATGTTGACGTTGCGTTGATGAGAACTAGAAGATACCTGGGGAAGGTGATGCCTTAAGTACTTCACTTCACTGGAAGCCTGAAAGCGAAAAGCGCGGTGAAACATAGATAGTCGCCTCCAAAGGATCCACCTTGGCGCTGATGTGGGCTCTACGTGGCCAACATGCCATCATCAAAGCATGTCTCACACTGCGCCCGTTTGCCAGTGCTACAGTGCCTCTCTGATACCCCAATGGCGCATGACACATCTACAGAAAGAACAAATATGAATGACAGTGTCTAGGACTCTCAGTCGTAGTGCGCACAGTGGGGCTCGAAGATTCCGGTAAAACGGAAAAGGGTGTCATGTGTTGTACATGTACATGTACAGGTCCAGCAGATTCGATTCCCCGATAGATTCCTGGCGATCGCCATCGCCGAATAAGCTTTAACTTTTCCTGTACGGAGTAGTAAGAATCATTTGATCTAGCTGTTTCTATTTCCATCCGGGGTTGTAATTCGTCGGGATCCTGCAGGATTACATCAATGCCTGTTGATGAGACCCAGTTAATCAATAGGTTCTACAGGCTACGTGCGGGACTGAGATCGACTTAATTTCGAGACAATGATCTATGTAAGCAGATTCGGAGTCATCATTTATTTTTATGAGAGTAAGACTGAGACTGGGACCAAGACTATGTAAGCCAGTGGAGCTGGGTGTCGATCACCCCGCACATAGGGTATTCCGTGTAGACAGGTGTTACAACCTCGATGCAGATCGTGGAAACTCATTTTTGAGTCTGGTTGGGTCTCAACTTCTATACGGTGTGAGGTATCTACGAGTAATAAATAATTCCTTCTCATTGCATGGGTTTGAATGGCCACATCTTGGTGGTCAGATCGAGACTCTTTGAGACGGCCAAATTGTGAGAATGTGGCGACGAGGCTTTGACGCAGATAGGGTGCCGGTAATCAGGTAACTGTATACAACGTGAGATAGCCAAGGAAGTCCCTGCACTGGGCGTCTGAGAGCATAGTGTTGAGAAAAGGAAAAAGATGGAAAGCAGAACTGCCAAAGCCGGAGCTTGTTGTATCTCCCCGGATTCTGCAACCGAAGAGGCCAAGATCAAGACGATTAGAATCATATTATTGACGAACGTGAGAAATAAACGCTATTCGGTCAGGATCTTGGAAGAAGCTCGTAGCAAACAGGAAGAAATTTCCAAGACCGATTGGAGACTGGAGACAAGAAGCCCTCGAGCGTATGAAAGAGCTTCCGCTTGTAGAAGGATCTCTACTACCCACGAGCTAACAAAGTTAATCTCAATTCATCAATACGAGTCCCATGAGTACCATGGAATGCAGAGCAAAATGATAAAATAATAAGTTGATTTCGATCGATCCTAATAAAGACCGACCGTCAAAGAAAGGTAGGTAAAAAAACCACTCGCGGATGACGCCCAGCGTAATTGCAAAAGCAAAATACGCAAGAAACAAAAGACACCGGTACTGGAGTGTTCAAATCTGTAGTAAATGATCTCGAGATCGAAAGAAAACGCAGCCATAAGCAAATTCGCAAGATTCCTCTTTCCATCTCGAGCATAACATTAACAAGCCTGGGAATCACAAGCGGTACCACAGTCCATCAAAGCGGGTAAAATCGATCAGAGTATGCAAAGCACGGTAAATCGACAGAGCAGAGCATATCCAACTATCGAGAGGAGTGGAATGAAATCAAATCAAATGGAGAGTGAGAAAGTAGAAATATTGGAAAAATCGCGCTGGCAAAGACAGAAGAAGAGAACCAAACACCTCGCTTGCGTCTCGGAATGTCGTTGGCCAACTGCATTTCATGTGCGTCGTTTCATTTCGGTTCGTCTATGTGGGTTGCGTATGTATCGTCGTGCACATTCTTCTTTTGGGGAGGCGTGACAGTGGTTCGGAAAATCATTTTTGGCCCATCGGTGATGGGCAGGGTAGGCCGAAGAGAAAATGGACGAGAATTTCAAGTCGTGTCAGTGGTCTTGTGGCAGGTTGGGAATGGGATACATCCATAAATCAAGACGACGACTGAAAGAGACATGGAAAAAAAAAGAAAAGAAGTATGTAGAGAATGTATCGCGCTTTGGCGGGTCGGTGGTGGAAGTTTTCGAGTTTCTAGGTTAAATTTTTCGCGTGTTTTTGATTTTGTTGTTTTCATTGCGTATCGAAACCACATCGAGTGGATTGGGCAATCAGACAGGGAAAGGAAATAGAATGGTCGCATAGCGACAGTGAGTGAACTTGCTATATGAAATCAAGGCGGTCGGTCTCACGTGAGACCTGCCTAGCTTTCATATAGCAATGAGTGCAAGGGTAATAAAGAATGTAAGTCCGGGTGGGAGTCGAAAGCCTCCTCTGCGTTAAGGGAACCAAAGGGTGTCGAAAATAGACACAGGTACCCAGATACTCTACCGAGATGAATACTCAGTAGGAATACCAGAACGTTGTTGAACATGCCAACGCAGTGGAGATGAATCGACAACCAATCCAGGAGGAAAGGGCCCATCACAATTTTCTCTTCGGTAGGGGTCATGTGTTGCAAATTTCAGGAATTGCTCAAGTCAACCAGGAAGAACTGGAGACTAGAGCCGTCTCAAATATCGTTACAATCATCAAAGGCCGTTGCTGTCATAAGAATAAAAAGGCTGCAAAGAGGGGGCGGCACAGAACCCCCTTTCATCTCGTTCAGGTCATCATGCAAAATAAAAAGATATCGCAAAGAAATCGACATCATAGTGGGAACGGAAATTGCAAAATGGGACAGCGGAATCGCGCATTTAATTGCGCAAGAAAGGCATGCTCAAGATCTGCCTTCGGATTCTTTCGGCATCCGAAAGGCCCTCCTCAAAGGGATTTTGCAGAGAAGGAGGGGGTCCTTGAGGCCTGTCCTGCTCCTGCATGGGAGAAGGATTCATGGAACCTGGGTAGGTTGAAATGCCACCGCTTGAAAATGGATCAGACAGCGAAGGCGCGTGTCGAATGAATCGTCCAGGAGTCGTGCGTCGCTTGAACTGACCTTCGACTTTGAAAGGCGAGCCCAAGCGTTTGATATGCTCACCACCAAGGTTCAACAATGGGTTGAGAGGAGGCTTGGTGATGGGTGTTGTTTCCTCAGGCTCAATCTGAGGAGATTTAAGGGACGACGGGGGTGAGAAGAGCTGACTGACATCCCGAGAACGGTCGGCAGCACTAGTCGTAGCACCGCGGCTACGGAGGCGGACCCGGCCATGGCCAATGTCTTGAACTTTGTTGTCGCGGAGGTAGGTGTTCAAACGGTGGTGAACCTCTTCGTCGGAGGGGTCTCGGTTAATGTGCGCCTTGGGAGAGAATACGTCATCTTGCTCCCGAGGAGTCATGTCAAAGTGAGTGTTGCGGCGAGGCCGAGTCAGAGCGGGCATTGTCTCGCGCCGAGCAGCGATAGGGAGACCCTCAACGAGTGAGTTTGTCTCGCCAGGACCCCAGGTACTGTAGACAAATGGCGATCCCAAGCGCGGGATGTTGGATGGTTCGACATTAAGACGGGGATTAGGGGCCTGGACAACGTGGTTCTCGACATGGCTTTGCACAGGGTTATTGAACCATTCATTCTTCGGTTCAGGAACAGGCTCCTCGGCAAGTTGAGTCAACGGAGTCGGGTCGTACGGGGTGACAAGAGAAGCACCGAGGTCCCGAGTGCCATAGGCGGTAGAGCTGTTGGGATGGTAGGGGGGATTAACCATGTCCGCTGCAGGCTCTGGGCTGCAAGACTGCATCATGCGCTGGTAATGAGGCATGATCGAGAACTTGCGGCGACACAGCATCTTCAGGCGGTGACGGGTCTTTGAATCAGACTTGGGCCAAGCCATCTTGCTGTCATCCATAGCCTTGGGGGTAGAGCTGCCGCTACGATCTGAGGCCTTCATGAACAGCGACTGACCCATGCGGAGCTTCTTGTTCTCCCAAGTCTTCTTAGCTCGGCGAGCCACGCGCGAGGTGACTCCCAAAGGTGGGATGCTACCTGGTGTCATCTTGAAAGGAGTCATGGTAGGGTCTTGCAGATACATCTGATAGGTGTTCCACAGATGATTATCCATCTCACGAGAGAAGACTTTCTCCTTTACCTGAGATCGACGGACATTCTTCTTGGGCAAAGTAGGAGACGACATCTCCGTCTCCTTGGAAAATTCAAGAGGGAAGTAAGCATCGAAAATATCGCTCTCAACACTAGAACAGCTCCCTCCTACAGAAGGACGCGATGCAAGAGTATCGATGGACTCGACAGATGAATCGGAGAGATTCGAACACGCCGAGCCCGGGCGCTCAATATGATGTCCAGGAGTTTGGTCCCAAGAGGGCCACGCTTGTAATTCGTCGCCGGAGTCGAATGAAGCGCCGCGGATCTGAGCGGGAGGGGTCTTGAAAACCATTCGTTGGCGTGGAGGGGCGAGGTAGCGTTGATCGTTGAAGGGTTGCGCTGCGGGAGACAACTCCGGCGCGTTTGACTGACCCACTTCGATCGAGGGCAACGGGACATCGGGGCGACCCTGGAAGCGGAAGAGATCCAGGTCCATACGCGCGCAAACATCAGTGCCAGAGCGAACGCGAACGCGAGGAAGACGGCAACTGGAGAATGAATGACGCGGTGGAGGCGGAACGTCGATGTGGGTCGATGGGCGTTCGGGGGTCTTGGGCTCGTCCGCGCTCAGAGATGGAAAGGTGAAGTTCTTCGGTAGAGTCCGCGAGAGCTGACGTTGAGACATGATTGATGACTCGCGGTGCAGCTCGCGGATACCGTATGGTTTAGTTCAAGAATGTGAGTGGAGGGGATCTTCAACGCGTCCCAGAGGAACGGAGATCGGGTAGAGGTTCGCAGGCTTCAGTATGAGGAAACGCGCGTGGTGTCGCGTTGAAAGATATCGTGAATCGTGAGGAAAAGAGGAAAAAGGAAAAAGGGAAAATTGACGAACGAAAGCAAAGATAGAGAGGCTAAAGGAAATCGAGGATGTCGGGTGTGTGCTGTTGCGGAATGCGCCAACTGGAAATCGGGATCACCAGATCACAACTGCGGCTCCATCCCGTCCACGAGTTTAGGAGGAGTATTTCGTCATCACCTGGAACGCCGAGGGCACAAAAGGGAACAGCGCAGTTGCGATTAAAATCGCAAACAAAGTTGGGGGAAAGAAACAGTGAAGAGAGGGATTGGTAGTGGAGGAGAGAGAGAGAGAGAAGGGGGAGGGAGTTGTGGTTGGGCGCTGGAAGTGAGGCGCCGGGAGGGGACTGAGTACCCTGTACTTGGACTTAGGCGTGGGTCAATACCCCTAAACAAGTACTTTGTACTTAAAAAGAGAACTCGATGCACTTTGGCCCACTGAGAATTTCTACAAACTTGCGCTACTTGTGAGCTAAGAAAAATACCCCAGTATGAATGTGTTGGGATGGGATTTGTTTAGATTTTCTCGAGTCTTTCCCATCTTGAGGCTGCAGGTTGGACCTTACTTGATGCACGCTGCGTACTCCGTACTCGAGTCATTCGAGGAGGTAATTTTTTTGATCAGTATTCAGTACTTCGTATTGTGTATAGAAAAGAAACGGGGGGGGGGGCTGGGGGATAGTAATGATTCAATTGGACTAAAATCATCAAGCTAACCTGTTAAATGGTAAAGGTACAGTCGATCGTGCTTATCCGAGAGTCCACTTTTCCCACAACGTCTACAGTTCGTGAGGCCGAACCCCGTGAACCCTCATCCTGCAAGGGCTACAGGATCTACCGGAGAACGGGCACGATGCGTGATGGTCGGGTGATGTCCGTTGCAGAATCTTCCTATGCCTTAGTTTTTGTCCCAGCCTTCGACAATAGTACAGCTTGTTTATACCCAGGGGTAATGGATATATTATCCATAAATAGCTTTGAAACCAGAAACAAGCCAACAAATCCACAGGTCAAATGAGAATTTTCATTTTTTTTTCTCATCTCATTGTGCGGTGTAGATTAGCCCGTGGGCTCAGAGCGTGGGGCCGGTACATCATCCAATATAACCTTATTGGGAAAAAGACAAGGCACGAGGCACGCGTTTCTCCACTGACGCGTCGCGTCGCGATGTTTTATTACCGATTGTTACAGTTACGGAACAACTTACCATAAAACGCTAAACCTATTTTGGGTAGCTTCATTACAAGATTTAGGTCCAGAGCTAATCGTCATGATCCGCTGGGAACGGGTTGTACGATCCACTGCCATGGCCCGTGGGCCAGATACCTCGACCTAGCCGAGCCGTGGAACCTTGCACGAGATTGAGACAAGAGACGCGATGCTAGAGTACCTAAATGATACTTCACTATAGTACTCCGTATGTGGCTAAGCATCTGTGGAACGTGTTGAATAACTAGATAACTCTTGATTCCGTGAAGAGGTTGTATCAGAGAAAGTTATATCTACACATTAGAGAAAAGAATGATAAGTTACCAAGGATCACTTGGGAGCATATAAAATAATAAGAGCTGGGGTATAATGGTACTATGTAAACAGACAATGGGTAGACAAAATGAAAAAGTCATAAGAAATAAGAAAGTGATCAAGATCGTTCAAGCTTTTTCTTTCGCTCGGCCAATAATGCTTCGATCTTGCGAAGTTGTAGTGCAAGACCCTTCTTTTCAGCATTTACGACGAGCCATTTTTCCATGTTGCGACGCACATGGCGCATAGACTGGAGCACAGGGAGAATGGGCGAAGAAGTGGCATCATTCCCGCCTTCACGTTCGAAATGAGCCCACCGCTCAGCACCAGGGTTCAGAAGTAGATCAAACACCTCCGCCCACAATTCACGGTCCCAGTATCGCTTCAAAGACTCGCGAATACGATAGGTATGAATGCCAGAGGCATCTCCAGCACTGGTGCGGACAGGCATAGACTCGATATGCTTGCCAAAAAGCAGGACGTGAATTGTGCCCGCGATGCCGTAAAGATCAATCTGATGTGTCCAAGGGCGTGCCTCACGGATTTCATTGCACTCGTGCGTGCCCACCTTCCAGTCCGCAATGAACTGTACCGAAGGTTGGAAGGCGTGCATGTCAATGCTTCGGCCAAAGTCAATGAGGTCCAGGCCCTTGCATCGCCAACCGTAATGGCCATTTGGTGAGTAGTAGATACTATCACACACTTCAGAGGGGTTCTCGTTTAGGTCAAGGAGAGACATGGCGGTAGCAGGAGAGGTTTCAGTATCGGATTCTTCAAGACGAACAAGGCAATTGTCGGCTTTGATGTCACCGTGGAGAATCCCGTGCGCGTGGAGTCCTTCGACAGTGCGCAAGAGCTCTACAGAGAAGAACATGGCTAGAGATTCCTCGAGTCCACCCTCGCTGTGGTGGTTCGAAGTAATGGGGTCATTGCGAAGGATGTTGACCAAATCAAGCAGTGTGCCCTGACCTCGATAGTCCTCTACAAGGAAACTTTCACGCTGATGTACGTGCAGTTCATGCGCCCGCACGATGCTCTCTGCAGCCCGGGCATGATCCACGGAGTGCTGCAGGCGGTCATGTGCAGTTCGGATCATATAGAATTCCCAGGCACTGGATGGTCCATTCTCAACCTTGATGGCCTCGAATGAATATCGGGGAGTTTGGTACGGGCTGGCTGTCTTCGAGCGGCTGCCAGAAGTTAAATTCTCATCATCAGAGTCAGATCCGTATGAGTCGAGGCTGTCTACACTCTCTGCTAGGTAAACTGGAGCGTAGGCACCAGCACCAAGCTCGCGTCGAACAATGTAGCTTCGCTCGGCCCCCGGGAACTCGAGGATTGGGATGTCGAATCCCTCGTTATCACCCTTGGATCGTCTAATGTGCGTCTTGACGAACTTTTGGATCATAGAGGAGTAGTTACTGTCTTTGACATGGCCGTGGTATCCAGCGTAGGCCGCAAGAGGCGGTTCCAGAGAGTTCAAAATTGTGTTTCGTATACCCTTATCAGTAGGATTGCACTGAGCGTCTTTGATGACAGCTTCTCTTTGTCGACGGGCCTTGGGGGCAAGTGCCTTGAAAGCAGTCGGGCTAAATGGTACATCAGCTGCAGATGTAAAGGTGTGGTCTCCAAGGTATGGTGTTGCCGCTCCTACTGGGCTAGAAAGAAGAAGATCACCCATCTGCGGCAAGCCGGCTGGTGATCGAGGCTTCGAAGGCGTCTTTGTATTGTACAAAGCCTCCCGAGCAACCGTCTGCGAGGGGATTGAACACTCGGTGCGCTCGACGATGGGCGTCATGAAGGGCAGACGATTCTGCGCCATGATGGCAGGGTCCCTATACGTGCCACATGGCGGAGCATAGTCATCGGGCATTCGAGGAACGAAATGATCTCTTTCTGGGGTCCCTAGGTTGGAATCATCGACTCCGTCACTATAGACTGATTGAGATGTGACATCACCAGGTTCATGTCCAGGAATATCTTTGCTGACACTGAACTCAGTCCAATCACCATCGCCAATGCTCTCAGCTCTCGTGGTATCTGCGTATTCGGTATCATCGTACGACTTGTGGAAAGTTTGCGTCTCCTCGTTGCCAAAGTCACTCGAGGCGGCCGACATGCGTCCGGTGACAGTGCTATCCGCGTTGCTGACAAGATCGTCATCTTCTTCATAATCGCTACCAAACACACTGTCCTCTGGATCCTCCTCTGCCTCCACTTTCAATGGCTGGTTGAATAGGTCGTAAATCTCATCGGTTGCGGCACGAGTGTGCATGGTCATTGTCGGTTCTCTAGTACTTTTCCGTCGGACCTTGGAATTTTTGGGCGAATCGAAGTTCATTTTGACTAGAAACAAGATGAGCAGGGTGACATATAAGTCGCAATGAAGGAAACCTACTGGTCTGGGTCTGAGTCTCACCTTTGACCTTTAAAGGCCGTGCCTTCTCAGGTCTTCCCCCGGAGAATCCATGCTGCTCGTTATCCTGGCCATCAATCCCTTTTTTCAAATTCGAAACTCGGAGATCGTCATTAGGACTGTGTGCTTTGGGATTTGCAACTGGAGAATCAAAACCTCCAACGTTTCCAGAGATCTTTTGAAGGGGTTCCTTCTGGCTCCGCCAATTCTTGTTCATCCACCCCCGTTGGATAGCTCGAAGTTCCTCAAAGCTAATCTCATGCGCAGGGTTCCGACGGTCAGGGTACACTGCCTCCAAGTCGACAAAAACGCGCTCTCGACGGCCCGTTCGTGGGTTTACCGCTTCCCTTACATGGTGTTCTGGAACGTGATTGGGAGCACTTTTTTCTTCAGTTTCTTGATGTTGATTTGAATTTGACTACACAAAATCGAAGCACATAGGTTCAAGCCACCAATTAGTCCTGTGATCGTAAATATATGGAGATCTGAAATGGGATGAGCAACTTGACAATTGCAACTCACCTGGTCCCGGAAGATGGCCATCTTCTGCGTTGGCGCTGCCTTCTTCCCTGCCTTTAATGTCTCCCCAGCCCACGGTTTTGCCTCCACCCGATTTTCCTTCCTGCGCTCGTCCATTGATCCAATACTTCCCCAGCCCTTCGTGTGTTCACTCGCCGCTGGTTGGCTATCACCTGCGCCGGCATCCGAGAAAATAGCCATCTTGGGCTTTCCGGACTTTGTTTTAGGGGCACTGGCGGGAGGGGGGCGTGCAGCCTGGGGGTCTGGAGAACCATCAGCTGACGCGAAGGGGTCCGTTTTCGCGGCCAGCGCAGCTCGGACTTTCGGCAGAGCTGGAGATGATGGCCCGGCATTCTGTGGCTGCAATTCAAATCTTTGTTGGAATTCGCTGTATTTTCGCAACAACCGCTCGACTGGTCGAGCCTCACGGTCCACACCTAGCCTGTAAACTTCATCGGCCTGATTCCAACGCCCCGCGCCTTCCAACCATGCGGCAAATTCTTCATAGAAAAGGGCCAGGCCTTCGCCAATATGGTGCCGGGAGAGGAAAGCAAAGGTCTCTCGTGGAGCGTCAGAGAATAGTCTAATGTAGTGTAGCCACAGGCGCAGGTATCGTGGGTCGTTTTTGTAGTCGGCTGAGGAGAGAAAAGATTTTGTGGCGCGTTCAAGTAGTGGAAGAAGACCGGACTCGGCGGTCGCTTGGGCGGAGGGGTACGCGTTCAGTGTCCATTTAACATAACGATCGTAAACATCGAGCGGGTCGTCTGATTCTCCGATCACTTGCAATTCGCTTTCGTATTCTTCACGAATTGCATCGTTCAAACTCCTTGTGTCGTTTGGTGTCGGGGTTGCGTATTTGTCGCTGGTATTGCTGCCACCTGAGAAAATCCGGGCAAGCTCTCGTGCTGATCTACCACCGGGGAGTGATTGAACATTTTCTTTCTGGGCCTCGATGATATCAAAATCAACCAAGTCATCGGAGTTCACCATCCTGCCGAGATCTTTGCCGAATCTCCCTTTCCAAGTATCGACAAGGGTTTGAACTTTGGCGTGTGCCGTCGAGATGGTCAAGAGGGGCTTTGTTGCTAGCGGATTTGGTTATCGATAAACATCACATGACTGTTGCCGTGGTGACATTCATTCACGTGATGTGATTTCAATATGCGCAGTCTCCTTACTGTCTGACAGACCCAAGCCAAATGGAATATTCATATTATTTCGTAATATCTTTTTTTGATACCCAGCACCATTTCTTGACTGCATAATCCTTTCCTGGGTGCTAAGTTCCGGCACTGTACATCGAATATCATTAGTGGTCAGCAAGGCTTGGCATCACTTTGACATCCTCTGGGTCCGCACATCCAACAGGACCAATCAGTTTTTTGGAACCGTCTCATCCTCCACCATTCAAACACCAATCCAGAATGTGCGAGTTTCATGAAGAGGACGAGCCTCGAGTAGTCTCCGACTCCAAGAGCCACAAGAGAAACCTCAGCAGCGGCACAGTCGATGCCTCCCCAGTGAGACGATCAAAAAGGCAAAGATCGACTACCAATCTTAAGGAACTATCTTCTTCAGAGGAATCAGAGGGAGAAGGCGACGTCAAGGTTATACCAGCAAAGGCGAAACAGACGAAAAAGCCTCGAGCCCCTTCGTCCACAAAGAAGATCAGCAGCCCGGAAGCAAAACCAGTTGCGGATGTTAAAAGCGAACGTAAAGAACCAACTGATATCAAAACCGAAGTCGACACCACAGCCGGCACGCAGAAGGTCAAGGCTACTCCTGCTAAGAGAGTAAAGAAGACCAAAGAGCAGAAGGAATCCGAAGCCATGCCTCTTCTGCCACGTACACAGGGGCTGAAGATGTTTGTTGGTGCCCATGTCAGTGCTGCGAAGGGCGTCTTCAATTCAATTCATAACTGTGAACATATTGGGTATGTATCAAAGAAACCGATGAATTCAAGCATGTATTAAGTGGTCATTCAGAGGCAACGCATTCGCTCTATTTCTCAAGTCTCAGCGCAAATGGGACAATCCAGCTCTTTTGGACAAGGACCGTGATCAATTCCGCAAGCTTTGTGCTGAAAAGGGGTACGACGCAGCGAAGTGAGTAATACATATATCATCCACAAATTGAATACTTATTAACATGCTTAGACACGTTCTCCCACATGGATCCTATCTCGTGAACCTTGCACAGAACGACGAGGCGAAAGCCAAGCAGGCCTACACCTCTTTCCTGGACGATCTTCGACGATGTGAAGCTCTTGGCATCAAGCTTTACAACTTCCAGTAAGTCAAGGTCCGTTGACTAACAAAATAGCAACGTATACTTACACGCCACCAGTCCGGGAAGCACAAACCAAACTCCCCTCCCGGAAGCTCTCGCCCGCTTAGCAAATACATTAACCAAAGCCATCACGGAAACGTCAACTGTAATTCCAGTCCTCGAAACAATGTGCGGCCATGGGAACACGATTGGTGGCGCGCTTTCTGAATTCAAGGATCTCCTCGCCCTAATCCCAAAGGAACATCACCATCGTATCGGAATTTGCATTGATACTTGCCACAGCTTCGCAGCTGGATACGACCTCGCCTCACCAGCGGGCTTCAAGGCGTTTCTCGATGAATTTGAGGAACTAATTGGTATTCAATTCTTGAAAGCGCTGCATCTGAACGACTCAAAGGCACCGTTTGGTAGCAAGCGAGATTTACATGCTAACATTGGGACTGGATTCTTGGGTCTCCGAGCCTTCCACAATGTGATGAACGAGCCACGCTTTGAGGGACTGCCCATGGTTTTGGAAACGCCAATTGACCGTGTGGAAGGAGAGGCCGCTGATGAGGGGAGCGAGAGTGAGTCTGGGACAAAGAAGAAGGGCAAGAAGGCCAAGCGACCGGCTGGGGCCTCGGCGCCTACTGTTCAAGATCCTGGTGTTTGGGCTCGCGAAATTAAGTTGCTAGAGTCCTTGATTGGGATGGATCCGGAAGGGGAGGAGTTCAAAGCTCTTGAAGCTCAGCTTTCTGAGGAGGGGCGAGAAACACGTGAGAAACAGCAGGAGCAATATGATAGGAAAAGTGAGACGGAGCGAAAGAAGGATGCGAAGACGAAAGCGAAGGGGCAGAAGAGTTTGGTTGACATGATGAAGGGTAAGAAATAGTTGCCATGGACATGCTACTTATGTCCGCAGTAGGTACTGCGGATGTTGAGAATATTTCACGTACTACGAGTGCTGAGCTCATTACCTATTATTTCTACGCAAATACTTATTCACATCTCTAGTTCATATTCACTAGAAAGTATTTTGCAAATGGATAAGAGGACCACAGGTCCTCCGAAAAGAAAAAGCTCGATTGTGTGGTATCAGTCAAATGGCCGCTCTGTGATGAACCTAACGACCGCCATGCAGAGATAAAACGAAATTCATCTTCAGGCCAACCTGGAGTACTCATTGCTCCATAAGACCCAAGGGTGCGTTTACATGAAATATTGGTAAACATAAGGCCCAAGAATTGGGCAACCAACTCGTTAGCCCCAAGGGCAACAGACCCACGAGGAACTAAAAAAAGACAAGACTCAGCAAGTCAAAATACAAAAAGCACCCAATTGAAGATGGCGTATAGATAGATCAGGATAAGAAAATAGGTATCAAGAATGAAGGTTGGAGGCTAGTGATTCATAGAAGTTTGTTATCGCACTGGCGAGATGGACGAAGTAGAGTGAACGCCTGGGGATGCTTCCCGGTTAGTCTTTATGACGTGTGCGGGAAATGCCTCGGACATGGAGTTGATGGTTGGAGGGGCGGATTTAATAGGTGATCCGGGACCATCATTCTCGGGGATGGTGGACGTGGAAATCGTGAGCCCTTGCATGGCACCGCTGGCGCGGACCCGGAACGAACGTCGCTGGTCGCCTGCCTGTGAAGGAAGCAAGTTATCGTCGAGATGATCTCCCGGAACGGTGCTGATTACGCCTGACTCGGGATTCGCGATGCGGTGGTAATCACTGGCCTCGCCTCCACTGAGCTCGGTATCCTCTGTGTCGGAATCTGGGCTACCCTCACGGCTCCAGCTTTCCTGTGCTTCTCTGCGCATCCGGGAAATCTTCATATAGTTATAGCAACCGATGCTGCCGATGGTAACAACGAGTCCAGTAACGTTAACGGGGGTGAGTTTGTCATGGAAGATGATACCAGCAGCACTGATGGTGACAACTTCCTTGAAGATACCACAGATACTCAAAGTCACCACCGAAGAACGCTTCAGCAAGGCGAATTCGGATGAAATCATACAGAATGCTAGAACACCAGGAAACACTAACAGACCGGTTCCAAATACCGTGCCATGTTGCTCGGTCAGTTTAAGGAAACCTTGGTGGATCTCGTTCGGACCCTCCACGGTGAGAGCAATAATAATAAGGGAAATAAACATCACGGGCGTGAGGAGAAAGAGAGTGGAGAAGGGGTTCGAGGTTGCCGGATGACGAAGCAGGAGAATTTGTGTCAGACCCCATCGGAAACCGGAGAAGAAGGCTGAAGCAATGACAAGGGTGAAGCCGAGCGCATTGAATGCAGTCTCGCCAGCAACCATCATCACCACGCCGATTGTCATTGCGGCGATGACCACGATCAATTTCACTGAAGGAGACTCGAGACGGAAAAGGAAAGCAAAAAGAAGAACGAAGGCGAGTGCAGATGATTTGCACATTGTGAGAAAGGTGAGGGAGATGAATTTCAGCGACATGTTGCCTAGACCAACGTCAAGGGAGGTCGCTGCCCCGCAGGGAACGAGGCGCGTCACATAGAACAGTTTAGTGAGTACCGGCTCAGGTTTGGCGTCCTCAACGGGCGAATCTAAGGCGGATTCCGGGGAATGTCCCGGGCGCAAGGATGGGAACAAGTACAGTATCAGACTGGCAAGTGTGAATTGAACAGCCATGTGCAGACTGGTGGTGAAAAGGGGATATGGAAAGACGACAGCGCTTTCGGAAAACATCCACTTGTTGTACTAAATCGGACAAAGGGGGTAAGCATTCGTGGAATTGGAGAAAGGACACTGGGATCAACTCACGATAGAAATTGATAATGAGAAGAAATACCACATGAGGATTAGTCCTGCGTTAACCATAAGTTTCTTGACCACATTGCGATCAGCCAGACCGAGCCGGAAGATGTCATTGAAAGATTTGGTGTCTGCGATGCGAGCATCCAGCTTGCGGCGTTGCCTGCGCCGTCGACGTCGCTGACGTCTCTGATGTGCTGTCAGACCGGTCTCTTCATCGTACTGATCATCATCTGAACTAATGTCAAGCTCGCGTGTGTCCATCGCTGGAGCCGAGTGATCCGACGTGTCGGTGTCCTCGGCTGTCAACGGCTCCTGTTCGTCCCATTTGTATCTATCGTCTGGTCGAAGACTGTCATCCCGCCGTTCCGGGGGGCCTGGCTGTCCCGGTCGAGTCGCCCCTGTGAGTACCGAGCTTCGCCGTCGGTGGTGGTTCGCAGAGGATGACAACCCCATATTGGAAATTGGAAGGTTTAAACGCGGGAGGGGATGGGTGAGAGGAAAGCTGTGAGCCCCATGAAGAGTGCGACCGAGGAGAGTTCACAAGACCCTTTATTAACGTGGGGGAAGCCTCGAATCAGGTTTAAGGAAAGGGGGTGGATATCTTCCCAGATTGAATTTAGCGAATGTCGGAGAGTTACGTGAAGGTTTAAAAGGCAAAAAGAACCAAAGGAATGAAGTGTTTCATAAAAGCGGTCACAGAGTCGAAAAAGAGAGTTGCTGAAGAAACAATCAAAGATTGGGCGGATAAGATCACACTAACGAACTCCCTTTTTCTCCGATTGTTTTTCCTTCCTTCTACGGTGAGCCATACATATCATACGGTCAGATCAGCTAGAATCATATGCAAATGGCAAAACCAAAAATACCAAATTTTCGGCAACAGTAATTTACAAATTGACAAATTTAGATGAGATTTGAAGTCCAATTTCACCAAGTGTCCAATACTACTTAGTAAATCAGACATCTTCCCATCTAGGATATACCGCCAATCCGACACCACGAAGTATATCCCAGTGGGTCCATTTATTGAAATATCAAGGTTAGAGAAAGAAAAGGAAGGAAGGCGCTTGTCCTCATCTAGATCCTCTAATTATGATCTCATACTGTTGTCATATGAACAGAAGTCGCAAAACGAAAGCAAATGAGAGTTGCTCTTCTGAAATGAGTACCTACCTGGATAGATATTATATATATTCATTTTCTAATGATTAAGACTGTCTGCTAGTTTACTACTACTAGTATGATTGTGGGTAACCTCGGGTGGATTTCATGGATGATTCAATGTTGGGAATCCAAGTACAATACAAAACAGAATTAGGGAGGGCGGTAGGCCCAGTCATGTGACTTAGCTGATCTGTCCGCATGATACTATGGCCCACCGTACTGCTCCTCTTCCCACTTCATTTCATTCTCGTCCTGTTACTGGACGCCACAGATCCACTTTGGCTACGCTCCACAGTCCGGTCGATCCGGGGTCCAAGGGGAAATGCACACCAAGGAAATGCAGGGCAGACCTGGTCGCGTGTCATTGGCAGGCCATGACTTCCGATTTATCCTAGGGCGATATTACATACTGGGATCAGGTCGATATTCGAATATAAGGCTGAGACGGCACAACGCGAAAGCTGCCTGCATAAGCTCCAAGCTTGAAATTGCCCCCTCCAAAAGCGTGAAACGCGGTCATTCTCCCCAAGTCCGGTAGTTGGGGCTGATCATCTCCCAAGAAGATCATCTAACCCCGCTTGAGGGGGGCTACCAGTTCTTCCATAATGATGATGTCTGCGTCTGTCGACCTAGGGAATCAATTGATCGATTGCCATTGGCAGAGCCGGCAGAGCTACCCCTAATAAATAGACATGACCTCAGCCGGGAAGCCATTATCATCATCATGTCGTTGCTTCCTAGAACTTCCGGACAGTATGTGCAATCATATATCTCCCTCAATGTGGTCGGTCAAAGGCCTTCTGGACTGTCTTCTCCCACTTTTGCAACCATACCTGCATGTCATCGGTATCAGTACTCTTGAGTATTAGAAATTCTCCGAGACATTATTCCAGTGCTATATAATCAACCTCATCATGGCGGAGCACACGTATAATGCCATTGAAGACTATGGCCTGATTGGTGATATGCACACATGTGCTTTGGTGAGCAAAGGTGGTAGCTTGGATTACATGTGCTGGCCGGTGTTCGATTCTCCTTCGGTCTTTTGTCGTCTTCTGGATGACAAGAAAGGAGGATTCTGGTCCATCGAGCCCCACAAGACGATGGTCGACCCCCACAGCAAGCAACGATATCTGCCGTACTCGAATCTATTGGAAACCCGATGGACCAACGAGGACGGTGTTGTGACGATGCTGGACTATTTCCCAGTGACACCTAAGAAAGGTGCTCAATCGAGCCGATTGCTGGGAGGTTACTGTCCATGCAACGACCCTGGTGCCAACCGCTTCAAGTCGGGACTGCAGCATTCGGGCGTGATCAGGAAGCTGGAGTGCAGCCGTGGTTCAATGGAACTGCACGTTAGACTGTTCCCTGCTTTCAACTATGCCCGAGATTCGCACAACACGCGTGCGAAACTGGAGAACGACATGTCCGAGCATCGACTGCAGACAATACATTTTGAAAGTCCGACGGAGCGGCTTCAACTCGAGATCTTCGCAGATTCTCGGGAGCCAGATAAGATCGGATACCCAAAGGCTAAATTGGCGTTGGAAGACCGACCAGGAATGCAGGGCCGTGGGCTAGTAGCCTGGATCCGCCTATCTGAGGGACAGACTCTGCACTTTGTTCTGCATAGCCCCGAGAAGGCGGTGCCCGGTTCCGCCATGATGGCTGCATACCTGGGAAAGATGGAGGAAGAAACTTCTGACTATTGGACGGATTGGACTCGCCAGTGTGCGTTTAGGGGTCACTACCGAGAGACAGTGGAGCGCAGCCTGTTGATTCTGAAGCTGCTCACCTACAAGCCCACTGGTGCAATTGTCGCTGCGCCCACCTTTTCACTTCCAGAAGACGTGGGTGGCTCCCGTAACTGGGATTACCGCTATTCCTGGGTGCGAGACACTGCTTTTACCCTGTACGTCTTTTTGAAGATGGGTTACAGCTGCGAGGCGGAATCCTACGTGAATTTTATTTTCGAACGGATCTTTCCACATGCGGCCCAAGATATTGAACCAGGGAGCAAACGACCTTTCCTTCCGCTTATGTTTACTATCCGAGGCGAGTACGAAATCCCCGAGGTGGAGCTAGATCACCTTGATGGCTACAGGGGGAGCAAGCCAGTCCGCATTGGCAACGCCGCTGTTTTCCACACTCAGTTGGACATCTATGGCGAGCTCTTGGACAGTATCTATCTGTACAACAAGCATGGAAATCCCATCACCTACGACCAGTGGTCTTCCATTCGACGCATGGTGAATTATGTGGTTAGTGTACGGGGTCTGAAGGACATGTCCATTTGGGAGTCTCGTGGCCAGATCCAAAACTTCATCTACTCCAAGGTTATGATGTGGGTGGCACTGGACCGTGGCATTCGTCTGGCAGAAAAACGATCTAGTCTCCCCTGCCCTGATCGATTCAAATGGATTCAGGTTCGCGACGAGCTTTACGATGAGATCATGACTCGAGGTTTCAATACCGAGCGTCAGCACTTCTGCCAGAGCTACGAAAGCCCAGATGTTCTTGATGCTTCTATCTTGATCGCACCCTTAGTCTTCTTTGTGGCACCCAATGACCCACGATTCATTAATACCCTGAAGAGGATTCTGCAGAACCCGTTGAAGGATGGTCTCTCTAGCGCCAAGATGGTGTTCCGATACGACCATGAGAAGGCAAATGATGGTATGTGATATTTCCTGTAGAAATATCGACTAGTTGACCCCCAGTGACTGACGCTCGTGTTTCACAGGTGTGAGTGGAGGCGAAGGTGCGTTCATGATGGTTACGTTCTGGCTTGTTGAGGCCATGGCCCGAGTATGTGTTATCGCCTGTGTTACTGTGTCAAACCACCCTTCATTAACTTAATGCATAGGCTGCCAAATACGATGTTCCGATTCCAAACATTTGGAAGCTGGCGCTCTCCCACTTCGACAATATCCTGTCATACTCCAACCACCTGGGAATGTTCTCAGAGGAAGTGGCCATTTCGGGCGAGCAAATGGGCAATACTCCTCAGGCATTCAGTCACTTGGCATGTATCAGTGCCGCTATCAATCTGGAGAGATTGGGTCGTGATGATTAAGCGGACAGAGCGTAGTTCGTGTGAACATTGGTCACCTTTAAAAAAATTGTATCGTGCGATAGGTACCTACAGTTATCATACGGTTCACTTATTCCATTTAATCCTGAATGCCATGATAGATTTTTTTTAAGTACTCTTTGAATTCACTTCCGTAAAGAAATGTACTCAAATGTACTAGTAGTTGTTGACTAAGTTGCTTTCTGTGTTATTCCCCAATTAGTTAACTAGTAATAACGAATTGTAGTTAAGTTACTGTCGTGGCGCTTACCTAATGGCAATCTGATCGCGGATCGATCCGCAAGCTAACCCGTTAGTTGCCTAGCGCGATTTCTTCCCCAGACCCCTTCCCTCGACATATCCATGCGATAACTGATCTCTCGAGTCGTATCTATGTTTCCTCAGAATCAGGACATGGTTCTCCATCTTGCATCAACCTTAGCACCCCTCATCACAGAATTATCCTCCTGATGGCGGATACCAGCTCGGATGGGGTCGATAGGCCACGTCCCGGTGAGACCTTATCATCAGACGAAGAGGACTTCGTTTCCAGCCACAACACTCCCTCGATGGATTCAGAAGGTCTTGTAAAACGCCATCTTTCCTCATTCAGAGGACTGAACCTGGAAGAGAGCTCAGAAGAAAGCTCCGACCGGTGCGCAACCCGGACAATCACTCCTGCCAATGCGTTCTCGATCTACACCGCGTCAAGCTTCAAGCCAACGACCAAGAAACCGATGCAGCTTCTAGAGTTGCCCCTGGATGTTTTGAAGGATATAATTAAAGAAGTATGACGCGTATCCTTCCAATTTCTGATGGGTGGAAACTAAACGTCGTATCATAGGTCACCCATACGAATGACCTTACCTCTCTCGCGCTAACATGCTCCACACTTCATGGCTTGACCGTCCCGCATATGTACTCCCGATTCGATATCGTCTGGCCCGAATCCTTGAACGCGTCAAGCGATGAATACACCGGGGTGGATGCTTTGTCATATGGGCTTTCGACTTTGGTCATGGGAGAGGACGTATTCCATCATGCACTGTTCCAGCAATCACTGATGGCAAAGTTTGATGGGCGTTCAGGTGACTGCTCTCGCTGTGGATGCAATAATCCAAACCATCATGCATATCAGTCGCGTGATAATGGCGGGACTTTGAGGCGGCGAGGCAATCATTATGCGCAGTACACTCGCACTTTCTCGATCGGAAATGGCCCTCTCAGCTGGGTCCAGGAGTACTCAGTGAATCGGGAGGTGGGGAAAATGCTGGGAACACTGGTCGCCTTGGCTGTATCGAGGATGATCAACCTTGAGGCGTTCATATGGGACATGCCAACAGGCGTGGTTCGAGAAATCTGGCTTGCCCTTGCCTCCTTGGCCGACGCCCACGATCGAGGTCGGTTGGAGCGTATTTGGGTACGCTGGCATGATAACTCCGATAATCTGCAGCGTATTTCAACATTGCCGAGCTCTGCAAGCCGGCGCCTTCAGAAGTACAAGCACGTGGAACACCCGTCGCTGTCTGTGCTACCGCCGCTCAAGAGTGTCACTGTCCTCGACATAGATGAGACAGCCTATGTGGAGGAATTAGCTGTTCTAATCGAACGCTCTCGCCACCGTCTGGTTGAGCTAAGAATCGGAGTTTCGTTGAAGGCCCACCTGTCTCCTTGGCTGGTTTGCACCAAGGACCCCGACCCACCCATCGACTCCAATGTAAGCTGGCCAAGAGCTGGAGGGATCCTAAGCATTCTATCTCAGCATAACTCCGTTCTTGAAGAAGATGCAGTGTCATCCTCGGCAGTGTCACCCTCGACTTCCGACTCGCTGCAATCAGACGCGTCGACTGAGAACGACGACAAGAGTGAAGATCAAATTGCTGGGCAAGGGACTAATTTCCCATCTTCTCATCATGAAAGAACTCCCAAGCGTGCTCACCATCGCGCACCACCATCGCTGCCTAGCTCAAATATCACTACTCCTCAGGCAATTGGTTCTATCCATGGCGTACAGAGCAACGAGGAAAAGTTGAAACTTGAGGTCCTAGAATTAGAACGAGTTCCTCTCTCCGTATCAAATCTTCTACCCCAGCTTGACTGGACCCGCCTCACGACCTTGACCTTGATGCGTTGCGATGAACATGAGAATCTATGGAGGGCTCTTCGCCGGAAATATGCGCCCCCTCCGCTACCACAAAAACGGGCACAGAAAGAGCAATCACGTCGATCAAGCTTCACCAGGGATGATTACCCGCTTAATATCAAGCACCTGCGAACAGATACCGTCACTCAATACATGATGCTTTTCATCAAAGACACTCTCGCCCCGAATACCTTGGAAAGCGTTTATTTCCACGAAGCCCCGAATTTCGACTCGGGCGTCAATACTGAAGCGATCTACAGGCATATTCTTCGGAAGCATCGTTCAAGTCTGCGAAGGATTCTCATTGAAGCCACCGATAGAGATGGAAATGTGGACGGTCTGAACGCCAGCTGGCATAAGTGGATGTTCAACCAGGAAATGATCTCTTTCGTTACTAGTGGACGAATGCCACAACTGAGAGAGTTGGGGATGGCTATGCATTATCGTGATTGGGTAAGAATTTCTGTGAGATTAAGCTTCTCGATATCCAGGCTAAAAATGTTTCTTTCAGCACTACTTCCTGCAGAGACTTCCCAAAATGTCCAAGCTGCACGCATTGTACTTGCCTCACATCAGCCACTCTATTCATCGCGATATGAAAGAAATGGCCTTGCAAGTTCTCGATATCGTCAGCATCCGCCCCGATCTCAAAATCACTTACATTGGGTTGCAATCGAAATGCTACCAGATTCTTGAAACGAATGGCCCGAACAACCACATTCATTCAGACGCATCCCAATCGCCGAATCCCCACTCCGATAGTGACGGCCTCGCTGCGTTTGACGATGAGTCGATTGACGCCAGCAATGATGAAGATGATCTACCTGCAGACAACCGCGATATTATCTCCACAGACATCTCTGATGAGTCTGAAAGCGAGTTTGAAGAGAACAGCAATTCTCACGTTCATTTCAAGCTCCAGGAAATTCTCTTTTACGATGATAAGATATCCATTTTCAAAGCTCGCCGTGGTGTGATTTGATAGTGTGTCAAGTTTCCTGTTAGCATTTATCTGTTTTCTATTTTGCTTGATTTCTCCTTTCAGGCGTTGTATTTGGCGGTGATTCGGTGTTGAGCGTAAGCGTCAAATTTGTTCAAGGTTGCTTCTTTAAGATACCACATGATCATAACTTTGCATGAATGATATTTGCCTACTAACTATAGCTCTCAGTCTTAAAATTAAAGTAGAAATCCCCCGTTGGTTTTCGCAACAATCTCATCATAGTAAGGTTGAAATGCCAGCCATCCTTTCTCCGGTCCCCCAACTTGCTTCGACGTAAACTCCGCCTCATCATCATTGATAATTTTCCTCTTATGACCGCTACCCAGCTCAGCCGCATCAACAAGAAGCTGCGCATGGCAAGTTTTATCCAGACTGATAAACCAGAACGCCGCTTCATCAACGCTACCACCAACCTATCAATGCGCATCAGACAGTATCCCAGAGACCAAGCAAACTCATAAAAAAGATTTCCACTCACAGTAAGCAACCCATGATTCTGCAGAATCACAGCTTTCCCATTCCCAAGCGCCTTTGTAATTCTCCTCCCCTCCTCCCGATCCAGAACCACACCTCCAAACTCCGCATAAACAGCATGACTTTTATAAAATCGCAGCGAATCCTGCGTAATCATATCAAGTTCCCTACCGAAAGCACTGAAAGCCTTCCCATGAACAGAGTGCGCATGACACGCAGCGTTCACCTCAGGTCGAGCCTTATGTATTTCAGAGTGAATAGCAAAGGCAGCTCCATTAATAGGTTCGTCTCCCTCAACAACCTCCCCATCCTCATTTACCAGAATCAAGTCCGAGACTTTGATTAGGGAGAAATGCATAGATAACGGGTTCAGCCCTTGATGCAATTGTCAGTACATTGCTAATAGTTTGGATCTTTTGTGAGTGCGTACAAAAGTGATCTGTTAAGATCGGATCACGGACAGAGATGTGTCCCGCGACACCTTCGTCGAATCCTCGATCGGCAAAGATGCGGAAAGCTGCAGCGAGGTGTTGTTTTCTGTAGACTCTTTCTTCGACGAGAGTGTCGAATTTGGGATATGAGCGGATTTTGAGCTTTCGTCCATCTTTTGCTAGGCCGAGAGCACCGGATGCTGCGTTGGTGCTGTCTTCTTTTAGGAGGACGGTAGCGGTGGGAGCCATGTTGGGGCAATGTATCACGGACTTGGATGATTAATGGCACAGCAGACAACTCTTAGCTTGTTGAGTTCAAGGCTGATTGAGGGTTATGCAGGTAGAACGTGTCAAATATCTTGGTTTGATATTTATTCTTTTGACCAATATTTGACCTCGGAAATGGATAATTATCCGAACATTTGGAATCTTCCTGATGCTGCTTATTTGATCGGATTTCTATTGGCTTCTTTTCATTGCTCAGGTGGGTTATGGTGTGCTATATCGGATGAATTGCGGGGTCCCGATTCTAGATGACCCGAGGTTATCCATATGGCTCACCATTTACACATTTGACCACTTGGATAAACATTGCAAAGTTCCAACTTATCATGCTGAATATTGTGTGCAGGAGTAAAGTAATCACGCTGTCTTCCAGATATCGCCGACTATTTCGTTGTCACGCGTCTGCCATACCCCCTTTTCGCGTATTGTGAAGGGGAACGGCAACCTGGGCCTCCAGGCCTGGTGTGCAACCTTTATGCTACTCCTAGGTATCTAATCTGATCATTGTGTCAATTTCAGGAAACTGACTTCAGACGTCGGGAAACTAGAGAATTTAAGAATTTTGCATCACAAAATTCATCGACAAACATGAAAGGGACTGATATACATTATTTTGAATTTCTTTGTACCTCAATATTTGAAACATCAACCGTTTCGATGTGACAAGGAAACATTCAACCAGCCTTGGAGTAATCTGTGTTGATCTCTGGTCTTTCAAAACCAATACCACTATATACACATGTCGACCCCTACCGACCCCGGAGTGTTTGTTCCAATATTGATGGGAGGATATAAGATATCGCTCAAGGGGGAAGCGATGTGGCTTCCATATGAGTACCGACCAGCTTCTGTAAGAGCACTTGAGATGTTCTGGTATTAGGTCATAGCTTTAGGTGCATAGTGCCTCTTGCGTTAAGGGGTTGATAGTAACTACTTTGCTTGGGACCAGACGTTTGCGAGAACTTGATTCTGGATGCTATGCATTATACAAAAAATAAATACGGAGTCTATTTATCTTTCGTTATTCAGCTTTATTCAATTTACCCAGGGGCTAAGTTTATTCGAATTAGGAAATAATCGGAGGGTTGTTACTGTTCCGTATTTCCCACCAGTTTGCAGCTTGAACTCGCCCTTCTTCCACACGATTATTTACAAACAATTAATACAGACCTGGGATTTTCTGCCTGCCAAGGAAATCCGGTGAAGATGATTGAAGATACCCAAGGACAGTTTGAAATTCGATCAGAGTTTCTGCATGCAGGAAAGCACTTAAGCACATATCACCATGTCAACAGTGCACATCAACGGCGCATCAGCTAAGAGCTTCAAACCCTTTATACACACCTTACTTATATCTAGGCCAGGAGCTCCTTATTTGAAAGAAGTCAACTAACTATTGGAAGTATAGCTCCGCAGCCTCTCAGAGCGGTAGGCGGAAAGTTCACTAGTGAAAAAGCGGAGACCTGCCCCAGAGTCCAGACGAGTGACGGGGCTCCTTGCATGACAGATCATTGCAGTGATGCAGTAATCATGATCATCTCGCCTAGCCCCATAACTTGCCACTCCCCACAGCTACACTGACAAGACTTTACTTTACTTCCCCCATCCCATTCTCGACATGGGGATCGATACAAAGCTCTATACCAATTTTGACCCCAACACCTGAAATTTCGCTGGCGAACCCAACCGAATCTGCTTAAACTGAACTGCATACATTGACGGCAAAATGCCTCACTCACCAACCAATACATCCTCCTCGATCGAGGCACCGTCCGACATCACAACAAATCCGACCTCGGAATCGATGCGATCGAGAATGAGAGCTTCGTTACAAAGAACACAGACCCGGAACGACGAGTGGTCTCATCACGATGACGCAGAATCAACATTCAGTATATTGGGATGGTTTCGATCCCTGCGCTCAAAAAGAAAGGGAAAAATGGATGGATTGGAGCGGAAGAGCGGTGTCGGCTTACGGAGTCAGTCTCCTCCTCGGCTTCCCGAGCTGGGTCTCGATGGGGCGAGGTTGGAGCTAGAGACGGGATTTTCGGGACAAGAGAGACATGGGCAAGAGTGAAGATATTAGGGGGGAAATAGCGGTCAAGATGGTCTAGTGTACTAGTGGGGTTTTGTATCAAATTTTTTGGAATTCAAATGTTGAATAGGCTTCGGAAGAAGTTCGGGATAGTGGAAATTTTCTTGGATAGCTATAGCGATCTTTGTGTTTATTATTGTTTGAACTGCACATGTGACCACAAAGTGTCATATTATATTTCTATATTGGCGGTGACTTGATTAAATCAATTCGAAGGTTCATATTAGTTTATCGATAAACACTTTTATCTGCGGTCGCAAAAAATGTATGAGGACTGGGATCCACATCTTCTCGGCCGTGAATTATGCGAATTTGACCTTTAGATCCTGTAAGTGACAAATGCCCAGGCTGGCCGCTGTTCAGGTATCTTGGACGATCCCAGGGAGATGCATGATCTTAAATATTGCTTCGGCGCAGCCACATTGCTCTGATTTATATGTGCAGATCCATGGACGATCTCAGGGAAAACGGGGCTCTATTGCCAAGTGATGCCGGTCGCGTTCATTGAAAATCATCCCAAGAAGTAAGGAGTGATAAGATATCGTGATTCGAGATCGGTGACCCAGTCATTTAGGGATTTTCTTGGTTTAAAATAGACTTCGACTTCGTCTTCGTCTCCATCCTTGTGAGCTTCCAAACCTTCTCCCGGGAGAACAGTGGCACGGTCCAGCTTGTTGGATAAACCAGATTAACACGATGGCGGCCTAGGATCATCACTATACAAACATGAGCTTGTTGAAAACAATTAATCCACCAGACAGAGATATAGAAACAGTGGAATATCCAAGACTGAGACCAATATTGCCACTTCATTGGAGTTTAGCTGAAGTAAAACTAGAATGGGTCAAGTCACTATGCTGAGATCACTTCGAACAACGCCGAGAAGACAGAAAAAGCCTGTACTAGTTACTTTCAAGTTCATCACTGCAAGATCGGTCATGGAGTACGTGCTGGACTGTTATATCTGAAATCTTACCAGCCTCGGCAATACAGATGCAAAGGTCAAACGAGGAAGATGTACTATAGGTCAAAAATCAATTGGTTCTAAATATTATTGATAATATAAGACCGGCCATCACTTTCATCCACTTTACCATCAGTACCGTAGATACCCAGTGTGGTCTCTTCTTAATATTTCGAAGCCCTAATGCCAATGGTAATTGAAGAAATTGCGATATACATCAGACGACCAGGCTGAATTGGACAGCTGGGCTCACGTTAGCTAGATTCAAAGTCCATTACTTGTTTGACGCGCTAAAACTGCTTGAAAGATTGCAGCAAGAACTCGAGGACAAGGTACGAGATTGTTGACAGCAGGATTGTTCAAATCCTGGACAATAATGAGAATAGCATCAATCAAATAGATATAGAAGAGTCTCCACGTTAGCTAGTTTGGAAAAAGTAACGTATAGCGTCATCGTCGTGGATGATCAAGTAGGAAGTTGATTGGGTCTTTGAAATCATTGGGAATGTCGCATCTTGAAAGCTTACCATAGAATCCGGCTTGTAGAATCCAGCCCACAAGGCAGATTGCACCGAAAAGATAGAGACCAAGAAAGTATACTACCACAATTTTCAACAGGAGCTTCAATCTTCGATATTCGATACCGCCGAGTCTGTCCCGATCTCAGGCAGGAAGATTGTGAAATCGAGAGTTTTGGCCTATTGTAACATGTGAGGAAGTATCTGGCAAATCAAGCTGCTTAGTCCCCATTCTGCGCTGAAGGAAGAAAAAGAAGAAGAAGAAGAAGAAGAAGAAGAAGAAGAAGAAGAAGAAGAAGATAAAAGCAACTCATGTATTCAGCCCAGACTCAGTCGACGTGCTGGCACCGAAGAAATAAACATTGATCAATGGTTCTCACGTTACCCTAAGAGTAGATGATTACCAAGCTTAGAATGTTAAGGGTGATAATCCAGTAATCTAATAGCAAGAACTAGGTCCTGAGTATGATATAGATACCTCATGCACTTACAATGAAAAGTGAGAAATTCAATCGTTGGCGGCCAATTGGCGCACAATTTGCAACATTTGGCGAAGGGCAAAATACTCGAATATACCCGAGTTTATAGCCTGCAGGTTACTGTAATTTGAACGATGGACATATATCAAAACCGGGCTCATACATGAACTTTGAGGCATTTGTCTGGCAAATCAAAGTCTGCTAGGAGTCACTCTTAGCCGGTCTTATCATGTGTCCACTGCTTGCAGGCGTACGACGTTGCCCGTTAGCCTCCAGCCACCCGTCGCCAATGTCCAACCAGCACAGCCTGTGTCAGTCACGCTATGACTATCCATGATTGGCTAGTGTTTTTCTCAAAAGATCTGAAAGCGATGATAAGCCTAGAAAGGACGGATATCTTATTGTCAGAGGGAAATTTCTTCCCTTGGATACTTCTACATATGAAATGGTTCGTCGTTCAGTATTTAGTAGAAGATTATGCGCACTGGTATCCTTAGGCTGTATTTCGCGCATGAGTATGGGCATAGACTCGACTACATGAGACCCGACTTAATCGGTCAAGGGAGAGCTCTATAGTGGTGGAGAAAAATCCCGCATATTGAATCGTGAACATAGAGCGCCAGAGGATTTATTTACTTTTTCTCGCCCCGGTTTACGATCATGTCTTATGTTTTGTTTTTTCTTAAGAACCAAGAGAAATGCCGGATACTTCTACTGGTCCCACTATATCATCTGCGAGTGCAGCAGCCATTTGTGTTATCTTGTTCATAGGTTTAAGGTAAGCACCAAAACGACGAAGTCTCTCAACACTAAACTCATATTTCTATTAAAGTGCCGCAGCTTTTGGACACTGGTTCTGTCGCCATCGAAGAAACTCCTCACGGATTGATCCTGTCGCAGTTTTCCATGGCTTTATCCAACCGCAGACAAGCCTTGTCCGAAAACAGGAGCTCCCGACCCTATATGATCTTGAAGAATACCTACCAGTGATCGACTTCAAAACATGGAAGACTCAACAAATTAAACGAAGGCACTATCACGATATCTTATTTCCCCACGATGCAAGCTTATTCTAATGAGGGACAAAGAAGAAACCAAACTCAATCGCCAACTCTGAATGTTCCCAGCACTGCCTCGAGCCTCGGCCCATCAGATTCCCTTCCTCAATCCCCAGCAGACAGCCCTGTGTATTTATCGCCAATAACACTGGCCAAATTCTCAATGGCATTCCCCGATGGGTGTCTCGACCCATCCCACGCTTCAGGTGATATGAAAAGTTACTTTCTGGCGGAACAAGATACGTTATCTTCACCGGCGTCAATTATTTTTTTCTCAGACTATACATGCGCTATATGCTTAGATATCATGGGAGATGAAACCAAAATTCGTGGCCTTCCCTGTAGCCATGCTTTTCATGTTACTTGCGTGGACAAATGGCTACTCTGGCAACAACCCTGTTGCCCAATATGCAAGGCCTCATACAAGAAAGATCCAGATATGGTTTGAAGCAAAACTAGTTAGATAATGAATCTCCCTAACTTCGCAGCTCAACCACAACAGCTTCAGTCGAAGGTATATCTAGATTTACATATCCGCCTCTCGGATAGACAAGCTGAGTCTGCTGTTCACCAGACTTCTCGAGTCTTCCACCAGTAGTATAGTTCCAGCTATATCCACCCCAGGTTATACCAGTATCGGAACCAGCTCCGGGACCAGACAACCTCATAATCTCACCCGAGAGTACTTCCCGCGGAACACTGAGAGAAACTTGCCGCGTAGGACGCGCATAGCTCGTTGTGACATTCCATTCATCCAGGTTAATAACAACATATCGCGACAAAATGCCCGACTCATAGACAGCGTATGCGGATAGATCCCACAGGCCGAGATCAAGTGATTGCACTTGAACATTTTCATGACGACCAATGACATCGGCGGCCACGAGTTGGCCATATAGTGGTGGTCTAATGCCAGGAGCTTGGCCGTTGTATTCTACGGGAATCCAGCCTGTGTACCCGAAGGTTGTTCCTTGAATAAGATTAAATCGGCTGATATTCTACCCAGCGTTAGTTTGTCTGTTATATTGTAGCCGATAAGAGGGGTCTTACCATGCTCATTCCATAGAGTAAATAATCGAGCAGCCAAAGAGAGCTTCCAAAAACACCTTCCACTTGTGCCATGTTCAGATTCACGTAGTCGCTGTTCGTCTCGCCCAGCAGGAATGTGATTCTAGGGTCGGCAGCGTATGTTGCCTCCATGTCGGGGATATATTGAGTCAAATTCCCGGCGATAGCAGTGTGGTTCATGAATGAATCTGGATAAATCAGATATAATTCTTGGCTTTCGAATATGAACCTACTTTGAAGTCGAACCCATGCCTGATTTCCAGATGCGTATCTGCATTTCAATTCTCTCAGTAAATGCACAAATAAGAGTTGAGATTGGTTGTCTGAGAACATACTGGTGTAGAGAAACAGTCTTAACATGACCAGTTTCATCAATCCCATCATGAAAAGCCTCAGCCCTGCATCACGTTAGCAACCTTCAAATATAAATCAACCAAAATCAACTAAACCTTACGTCGAGAACCCATCCCCTTTATCGGCAAAGGTCAAAGCCTGGAAAATCCTCCAATAATCCAACCCATAAGAATTCCCACGCATAACCTGATTAGAAATGGCATCAGCAAAATAAGTCCACTCCCGAAGATAATCCGCAGTCGAGTAATTCAACGCCCGCACAGCCCCGGGATATAAATCGGGCTCATTCCCGATTTCTAGTGCGACCAGGTTCCCCTTGATATGACTCAACGCGACCCGTGCCTCAGCAAGCGCGTTTTCCAAAGCATTGCTTTTATTATTTGCGAGATTGACCTGAAATGTCCAGGGAACGCCAGGAAAACTTTCGAATCCCTCGAAAAGAGTCGGGCCAACGTAGACTTCTAGTGGAATTCCGTTATCGAATTCTGCTGAGAGGATGATTGACTTCGTTTGTGAGGCATTGTAGATAGCTCGGTCACTGAGCCGTATTAGTGAAACCCCGTGTTGGGTTGGGGATTGCTTACGCTGATGTGCCGCCCACGCGAATATGTGGATACGAGCCCGTCTTGCTATGAAGAAGCTCGATGATATCGCGGGAGAAGAGATTAGGGCTGCTTTTGTTGCCTGGAATAAATTAGTCTGTGGGGATGGGGAGATTGACGGTTGAACATACCGGTATAATCGGCGAAAAAGTGGATTGGAATAGAGATGGAGCAGAAATCGTGCGCTACTGGCCGAGAAGCACCTCCAGGGACAATCCCTAGAGCCTGGATGTCGATGTTTTGGCTTGTAGCGATAGTGACAGCGACTACAGCTGGAGTATATAAGGCGCAAATGGCCCTGGAGAGACGCATGTTTGAAGCACTTGAGAATTACGAAAGTTGAAAAATAAAATATTTTCTCAATAATTTCGTAACCTGGGGAAAGTAAATACCTAAATAGTTCCTCGCTTCTATACCTGGGCTCTGTTCACCCCGGACTAAGTGATTACATCGGCACTAGTATGGTGCAATGGGGTTTAGGTTGTCGCATCGCGATCCGGCTTTTGCACGGAAGTCGGCTCGGATGTCGCGCAGTGGTGCCATAGCAAGCATGGTACATATGTATAATGAATTACTATCTAATTATCTTTAAATGAGTCGTGCATCGAATGGAAATACGATAGGAGACTGAAGGGGAGGGGCCTTGATTCCCCGCGGTACCCGAGTAGTAAAGTGGTGGACAAGAATGACCCGAAGTCAGTCAATGTCTACTCTACGCCGAGACTACTATCCGTAGGTACATGTGAGTTTCATAATCATGATTCATAATTCTCTCCCATGATACCTGATAGCATTTGGGACAAATTTCTCAATACGCCGCAAATTCTAATGCTCATATCATTTGAAAGAGATCAAACAACTCCTCGATGTGGGCTAAACAACTCTCGCTCCAGAAGCTCCGCCTCAATAACAATTCGACGAGATTTCTCATATTCGCTCGAGTTGTCCTTGAAGACATGATCCATCTGCTCAAGTGTCCGACCCTTGGTCTCCGGGACGAAAAAGTAAGTCCAAACACCAGAAAGCACACAGAAGGCGCCGAAGAAGACATATGTGCAATAGCCAGTGTTTGATACCAGCAGGGGTGTTATGAGACCAATGATAAAGTTGTTCAACCAATTAGAGCAGGTGGCTAGGGCTACACCTTTTGCACGATGGGAGGAGGGGAAGATCTCAGATGGGATTGCCCAGGGAATTGGACCCCAGGTGGCACCGAATGCAATCATGTAGAATAGTAAAAAAGCTGCACTGGTCCATCCTTGGGCTTGGTGGGATGGCCAATCAGCACTGTAAAAGCCTACCAGAACTGCAATGATGATCATCGCGACGGCCATGAGAGCGGATCCGATCATCAGAAGCTTGCGACGACCGATGCTGTCCATCGTGAAAATACTGGTCGTCACACCCACCAGCTGTAGGACGTTTAGTACACCAGACATGACAAGTTGCATGCTGCTGTTCAGGCCCATTTTTCCAAAAAGGGTGGGCGAGTAGTAAATCAGTGCGTTGATACCGACAAACTATATGCGTTAGCGGTGATTTCGGATTATACAAAGTAGCCACTCACCTGCTGGAAGAAACAGATCATCACACCGACGTGTGTTCGTCGCCAGCAACCTTTTCTGAAGCAATCGGCCCAGGATGCAAGCTCTAGAAGGAACGAGTCCTTGTTACTTCCACTTTGCAAATCGGGGTGTTTCTCAGCAGTCATCTCCTGGTGGAATTTCACTTCCGTTTGAATATCCATAAACTCCTGACGAATACGTCGGTCTGTACCAGGAAGGTTACGCAATTTGCAGAGACTCTGCAAAGCTTCTTCGTTGCGGCCCTTAGCGGCGAGCCATCGGGGCGAGAATGGGAGGAATATCACACCACCAAAGAGAATGAATCCTGGAAGCATCTGCAACAAGAAGGGGAGACGCCATGACCATTCTCCCGCCATATACCGGGTACCATATGTAATCCAGTACGCAATAACGATCCCGAGCACGATACACCATTCCTCAAGAACAAGCAGTGTTCCACGGCATTCCGGGGGGCCTAGAAAGAAAGAATGTCAGTTTTCGCACTATCTCAAAGCGGGAAGCTAATATAAATGAAATCAGGGCAAAATTTGAACGACCAAACAATACAAGGCTGTATAGTAGGAAGGAGGCAAGAGAATGAGATCTTACTGATTTCAGAGATGTACAATGGCGCAACCATGGACGACATTCCAATGCCCACACCACCAATCAAACGAGCGACGACCAGCATGGGGTAATCCACGGCAGCAGTCTGCAAAACAGATCCAATAGTGAAAATAGCAACGGCAACCAGAATGGAGTAGCGTCGCGAGATCTTATCCGCGATCCAGCCCTGGTTGAAAGCACCCAGCAGTGCACCCAATTCAATCATGGCAGTCAACAGACCCTTCCAGAAAGATTCACCCGAGCCTTCGAGACGTGGAAACTCCTCGAGAAACTGGTCCATCACCAGGATAACAGACACAACACCTTGATCGTAACCGAAAATCAAACCACCGAGCGTTGAGCATACGGCACACATTAACACGAACGGATTGCTCGCCAGTCCCCGCAGACCGGGGGGTCCGTATGGCTCTCGATCAGGTGTAATGTCCTCTGCATGGTGAGAAAATCCTTCAATAGTACCACCATCGGGTGAGAACGTCTTAGAGAGGTCCGATTCGTCTGCCATTTCTGTAGTTTTTGTGAGGCAAAGTTGACAATAGAGGTATGCCACGCATATGCCGAGAAAGGCGAAAACGCAAAAACGCGCGCACACACGCTCCGCTAAAAGTGAATGATAAGAATGAGGGATTGGCCCCTGGATGACCTTTTTGGGACTCCAGAATGATATCGGAATAGGGCTTTCCCCCAATTTTTTATAGTGGCCTGGCCAATGTGAAAGCTGTTCCTATGGTTGGACCCCCTCATTCTCGACACCCAGGGCTATCTCTAAACGACCCTTTCATGATTGGACGATGTGCCAAAGGCCGTCGCTTTACGGGGCCCTAAACCGGGGGTGGATATACAATGACGGCAATGAGCGGTTTAATGGATGGAACCGCAGGTACTTGGAACCGCATAGGGGAAAGATGGAGTTGATCAGCGACTAAGGTTAATCGTGGGGTAGCGCGTGGGGTACGTGTAATGACCATGTCGGGAAACGGCTATTGGCTCCAAGATTTGAAACTTGGTCAGTTGGAGAAGAATCCGGGGATCTTCCTAGCTCATTCATGTCACGTTTTCTAGTAGACCTGTGGCTTGGAAAGTATCCCGGGCTGAACGGGTTAGCTTATTCCGTTAACTTTTTCAATCCTTGTTAATCTGTACGGAGTACATATCTCGGCCTCGCGCCGAAACTCTCTGCTCAAAGCAATACAATCCTGGTTAGGTATAGTCGCTCTTGCGAAAATCCCCTGCAGGTTAGTACATGTTTGAACTTTGAAGTCAGGATATTCAAATATCCGGTCACAGTCACTCGGGCCAGGTTAGAGGCTGATGATATTCGCATATGACCGAGTATTACAAATATGTAAATAATGATCTTCATTAGAACTGATTCCCCATAAGGTAACGCTGACCCATTTCTATTGTTCTTGTTCCCACATGAGTTCAGGAGTCAGGACATCTCCGTCCATTAGCCCCTCCTTTCCGCCTTTCGGGTAGTGGATCACTTCCTGCTTATTCTCAGTCTCGGAACACGAAGCCCGACCTTCTTCAGTTCCCGCTTAGTATTGCGGATTCCAGTTTCCGCAACGACGTCACCAATCTCTCGTACAGACATCATGGCTTCCTTTGTGGAAGATCTGTGGTTGAGCGTCTTCACCCCGGGCCCCACTCCGACACTGTTGATCGCAACCAACGTCACCTTTGCAGCACTTCAACTTCTCTTCCTCGTCCTCCTCCTAGCTACCTATAGCATCCACTTCGTTGTCTTGTCCTTCTTAAGCGGTGGACTGTGGTACTCGATCAACTGGTTTGCACACGAAGTAAGCGCTGTGCAGCGAGCACAGGAAGCCGAGAAGAAAGCACAAGCCGAGACTGAAACAACTGGCTCGGAGAGGAAGAAGGTTTCCCTGGATAGTGCCGACAGTGAGACAGAGACAGAGTCGTTTTCTGGCCAGAAGGCAACCGCCGTCGCAACTGGCAGCGCTGTGCCGGCGAGACTCCAACCGACCGAAGAGGATCCCAAGAAGCGTATCAGCGCTGGAGGTGATAGCTCGGGATACGGCAGCACCGATAGCGAGTGGGAGAAGGTGGAGGAAAACTAGATGGGTGCTGCTTCATCTCGTTGAGACCTTGGAATGATCTACAATGTGATGTCGATATGGTCTTCGAGAGGCATTTTGTTTATGGCCTGTTTATGCTACGGATTTTCACGTCCGAGGTGACACGATACCCCCTGTCATATGTTCAGCGTTGTTCCCGATTTGAGTTGAGTTGTCGCACAGTGTTTGTTGTTTTTTGGCGTTGTTCTTGCTGCATCATGTCATGAGTCAACCTCACGCTCTTTAGCATCCAGAGATTTAGATTAAATACAGCTGATTTGCTTGTATAGTTATGACAAGTATCCACACCTTTACCTTGGTGATTTCCATAGCTAGAGAAGCTTGGGCGAGAAGCGCTTCCAACGTTAAATCACGTGATCACGCGGCCATCATGGCGTCCCAAACACTCATTCAACAACACGGCTTGACAACTCAGGCTGATCTGATTTAACTCCAGATCTTGCACATCACAATGCTAAAACTACCTTAATTACCATGATGTCCACAATTCCTCTCAGTGCGGGACGCCGACGCGTGTTTGGCTCCGTCTTCTCCCCCGCGTCACTCGAAGCTCGGCCACCCTTCGCATCCAGTTCAGACGAGACCCCGCTTGCCTCCTTCCAATCCAGCTCAACTGTTCGAAATGAGTCGTTCGGATCGGTTCATCAGCCCTCGGACAACGCCTCAGACCGACAAACATGGGACCAAGCGTGGTCTGCTGCAACGGCTTTCCTATGTGTCCCCGATCGAGGGTTCGCGCCCATTTACGATTTCAGAGAGACCGATGGAAGTGAACTTTTGAAGGAATGGAACAGGCTCAGTCCTCCATCAAAGGAAACGGGGGAGGCACTGGCATATTTGGTCGCCGCTGCGCAGCATGGGCATTCGTCTCAGAAGAATTTGTTTGATTGGTATGGTGATGAGATACGGAGACATTTTCTCACGAATCTACGGACCGAAATCTTTCAAGTAGGAATCTGCTTTTGTGATATTATGGTCATCCTTAATACTAACTTGAAAATAGGTGCTTGTCAGTTCTGAGAAGGAGGGTCTACTAAGGACGATTGTGGACTGTTTGCAGCTAGCCCGTCGAATCTACCTAGCGCCGATTGTGCACTATGTGATGCCACTCATCACAAAATCCGAGCAGGGGCGCGTTTTAACCCAAACACAACGAGTCCTCCATGCAGTCGTCTCATATTCCTTGCCTTGGGAACACATATCAACGTTATTGGCCGCAGAGCTGTCGCGAGATGCCCTTGTTATCCTGGGTATTGATACACTGGTGGAAGATTCAGCATCGGAGGATATCAGCCAGGATGATATGGAGGTAGATCGACAATACTCGGTCTCTTATGAAGACTGGAAAGAGAGCAACTCAGACACGCAAGCACAAATGATGACCGAGGGAGAACCTGCATCTGTGACTGTGGCCCGCGATCAGCTTTTAGCATTCTTGAATGGCCTGCAACTCGTGGGACTTGGTGGTGACAAGGCCCAGAAAGTGTTTGCCAGCGTAATGAATACAATGATGACCGAATTCGTGCGTGCGGCATACACTGGTACGGCCTATAATGGTCGGTGGGAGAGGCCGACATCAGTTGCCCAGCATTTGAAACACTGGGTGGAGAATATCTTCGCTCGTCTTGCAGTACAAGTGCTGGCTATTATCCACACACCTGCTGGCCAGATGGCGGGTGCCCTGGATGTCAGCTTTGGAGATGTGGAAAAGTGGCAAGACATTGCCATTGCCCGGCTGGGTGCTCTTCGGACTGGTGAACTTTTCGACGTTATTGTGGAATGGCCCGTCAGCTCCGGTGCCATTGAGGATCTGCGACACTTTACGACACACCCCGCTGCAAGAGCACATGTCACGCAGTCTTTCATTGCCATTCTTAATCAGCGCCTTTTACACCCTGGAGCCTCTACCGTTCAGATACTGCAACTTTACATCTCCATCATTCGAGCCTTTCACCTCTTGGATCCCAAGGGAGTACTTCTTGACCGAATTGCTCGACCGATTCGACGGTATTTGAGGGAGCGCGAAGATACAGTGAAGGTGATTGTCAGTGGCCTACTGGCAGAACCATCCGTCATTGCGGCCACTGAGCCGGCGTCACTATATTCAGGAGATACTTTGGCCGAGTTGGCGACAGAGTTGACCAGGGCACACCAGCTCTCCATGAACCAACGCGACAGTGAGCTTGACTGGAATGATATGAACTGGATGCCCGATCCTGTTGATGCGGCGCCTGATTATCGGAAAGCGAAAAGCTCGGATGTCATTGACAGTCTTGTTAGTCTGTTCGACTCGAAAGAGACATTTGTCAAGGAATTACAAACGCTCTTGGGTGATCGCCTCTTACAGAAGCGCGAGGACTATGACCAAGAGATATCAGTCCTCGAACTCCTCAAGGTACGCTTTGGGGACTCAGCTTTGCAAGCGTGCGAGGTCATGCTTCGCGACATTTCCGACTCTCGTCGTGTCGATGCCGTCATACGCAACGACCAAGGATTCAACAAACCACCCTCGCGCATGACTTCCAAGCGAGTCCCAAGACGTGATATCCCAGAGCTTCACACCAAGATTCTATCCCGATTCTTCTGGCCAGAGATTCAAGACCAGGAATTTAAGGTGCCTAAAGAGATTACCTCCCTCCAGACGAAATATTCCGAAGGTTTCGAGGCTCTCAAACAGTCCCGCAAGCTCAGATGGCGAAACGGTCTTGGTCAAGTAACCGTCGAACTAGAGCTGGGCGATCGTTCATTCGCAGACGAAGTCACAACCTGGCAAGCCACAGTCATTCACGCCTTCCAAGACGAGTCCGACGAACCCATCACAAGAACCGCAACCGAGCTCGCCGAGACATTAGAAATGGCCGCACCTCTTGTCCGCAGCGCTTGTCTATTCTGGGTTAGCAAACGTATCCTCACGGAGGTCCACCGTGATACCTTCCGAGTCCTTGAATACCTCCCTACAGAAGACGGGCACGGCGAAGGCGAAACAGACTCGATGGCCGGTGACGACATTCCATCTGGCGATACAGAAAATGCCGCAGCTGCAGCAGAAGCTGCCGCGGCCGCTGCGGCTAAAGAAACCGCCGAGGCGGCTGCAATGGAGAAGATGAATCTTCACTGGCAGTTCATTGTTGGAATGCTGACCAACCAGGGTGCCATGCCTTTGCAGCGCATCGTCATGATGCTGTCCATTGTCGTTCCTGGTGGTTTTCCCTTTAGCCATGAGGAGCTGCGCGAGTTCTTGGCTGGTATGGTGTCTCGAGGGAAGCTGGAGATTGTGAGTGGTGGTAGTTACAAGATTGTGCATTAATATGGTAGCATTTGGTTTGGCGTTGATGGTGGCTTCTATACCCATGAATAATGAGCTATCTTTTCAATATGGTATTCTGATATCTGTAGAGCCATAAGTGCTGACTATTATGTCCACGGATCTAGCGTGGCCATGGTACATTGGCAATTAGCATATTCCCAGGTGTATATGGTGCTATACAATTGAAAATATTGTGCCGTGTAATGTCTTAGCCTCTTTTTGCCAGGCAAACCTTGGGAACCATGGAGGAGAAACGTGTCCATTTACGAGAAATGAAGGCGTGCCAGCGTATTGAGTCTGTTATCTTTCATTAATCCTTTCAGATGATTCTTCACCACCTGGGCCGTAGTCTGGTATGTACGTGATTGAAAATGGCTACTTTACAAAACATTTGAAGCCATGATTTACCGAGAGAGGGTCAATCAGAAGCAAACCGGTATGAATCAGGTCTGGCGAAGTATCATTACGACAGTACTAGTTCAAAGTCTCATGAGACATCCATTGAATTCCGAAGAATTAATTGAACAATAAATATAGTCGCTCCATTTTCGTTCCAGTTTCAGAACGTATTGTATCTGCAAATAATCATCATAACACATTATACCACCATTCTCTTCACTCCGCATCAAGTGGCGCAACAGGTGCCTGATCATCAACCTGAATTCCACCTCTCTTCTTCTCATTGGAATCCCAGAAAGGCAACTTCCACCCACCCTCACTCTCGGGCGTCGCAAGCCACAACCGCATAAGATGTCTTCTCGGCGCAGGAGGAGCATGATCTGTATATTCAGTCCGCGCGTGCAAGATATGCGAATTCGCAAGGAACTGGATATCGCCAATATCTAAGATCATGTGTAGAGAGAGTCGGACACAGGTATCTTCCAGGACCTGGATGGCTTCAAGCTGGGCTTCGCTGAGTGGGGGGATTATGCCAGCATCCGAGAAGCGGGTCAATGAGCGGACGTAGTATGGGTCCCACCTGGAGTGGCATTATTATTTTGTTCACAGGGAGCTCACATAAAGGAGAGCTTAGAGCTAGGGCTAGAATGGAGGATCGGGATCTTACTTGGTGTATACGCGACCATTGTCGCCTCGTTCGAGGTAGACGACGCTGGTACGGATGAACTCTTTCTCGCCCTTGCTTGTTTCGCCCTTTCGGTCGAAATACCAGATTGGTTCAGTAAGGGTTTTCAAGACGTCGGGGCGCTCGGCGGCTAGTGTGTTGTAGACGTTGTGCGAGGAGACGAGGTCTGATTCGCCGCCTTTCAGGGCTTTAGCTATGCACAGGAGGCCGACGATATCGGAGTCATCGGCGTGGAAGAATTGGCTAGTGGATGTTAGTAGTCTCTTTGATAGTGGCAGGTATGCAACTTACCGAGCGTTTGTCCGGTAGATGCGGACCTTGTCAATTTGTGTTGAGTCCTCTCCGAGATCCTTGACGTGGCCGAGTACATGGCCGCGACTGTTCTGGCTGACGAAGTAGCCTAGGTATGTGCCCAGACCCATATATGCGACGGCTGATTTGTGGTTACCCCATAGTTGGACTGGGAAGCCCTTGAACAGGATGAAACCTTTGCCGTTGATGAGGTCGAGACGGAGTTCCTCTAGGTACGGAGCTAGGACTGGGACGCGGAAGTTGCTCTGGGGTTGTGTTTAGCTATATGCATCGAAGTTCATGGTAAATATAGGACGAACCTTGGAAATACCAGTCAGCGGGGTCTTGGACTCCAGGAAAGCATCGGCCGCATTGCTCAGCTCCTCGATCTGGTCCGGGGTAAACTGGTGTGTCCATTTCTCGGGGTTGGAGCGATATTCTTCTGGGTTCCACACAGTAGGACCAGTGATTTGCTTGGGGAACTTCTCAAAGGGTACTAATTGTTCATAGAGAGGATCATGCTGACCGGTCGTCCTTAGTCCGTCAGGGAATATATGAAGCGGGGCTTCCTTGGCGAGATGATGCGGCGCCGTGGGCGCAGATGCGGTGGCAGCGGGAGCCATGATGAATGATGCTTTTCGGGAAAAAAAAGAGACTTGGGTGAAGCGCTTGATGACGGATATTCCAACTGATGCGACAGGGTTGCTCAGGACTATTTATAATTTGAGTCTACCGGCCGAGATCTACATATTCACCAATGGCGTTATGCCTGTCAACCTAGTTGTCCTGTGCTGATGAATCCAGTGGACAGTATGGCGTGCGAGGTATACGAACCACCCATAAGATTGGATAATTATACGAACCACCCATAAGATTGGATAATTATGTGGATCCCACTTTTTAAAGGCTTTGAAATTCTGGAATAAATCCGACAACATTTTTACTACATCTATCAGTGATTCGCGCGGGCTGATTGGGACACTGGGGCGATGGCGCAATTTGCGGAGGTGAATGTTGTGATGGCTAAGGTCGATCGCGTCGGATTTCGGCAGGGACTTTGATTAAGATTGAGATAACTTCTCCAAGTGCATGAAAGTCAACGCTATGATTAAATTGTAATCAGAGTATTAAATATTCTTTGTCTGGTCAGTGTTCAGAGTGGAACAGATTCGACGTTGAAATAAAGATGGTACCCTTGATCAGCATTTGACATCTAAAAACTGGGGAAATGTCTATGCAGAGTCACTCGGCCGACAGATTCATTTCCCCATATCTCCAGGATCTTCGAGATTATCAAATTGTGGTCGCCGACGAGCCGACAATTTGGATCTCGTCATCGGCTGGACTTCAGAGGGGGGAATAGTTAAAAAATCGCTCATTCTCTCGTGCGAGAAGCATATCAGAAGGTCAATTGGTGTTGACAGGGTCAAACTCGATATTTGATATTGATTGCATATGACTAGTTTCTGTTGAGGCTCATCTGTACAAACACATCAACTTAAATTTTCAGTTTGTTCTTATATGATTCATGTGTCACTGGGCCTAGCCCTTGAATCTGGATTCCGAAATCTGTCATGAAGAATCTGAAAATTCTGCTATTGTCAAATTACCTATACGCCTACACATTGCAAGTACCAGTCATAATGGTCGCCATTACTGACAACATTCTTCTAAACCAGTCATTCGACACAGGGACTTGGCTTCCTCTTCGGGATCAAGCTCTCCACACAGATTACTCACAAAAACCCTTATCAGGTATGCCGATCCGACCCCGCCCTATCAGTATCGGATACTCAACAATTCATTCATGACTCAGTAAAATAATACATTTTAGGCTATCACTTAATCAATTCTACATTCTATCAAACATACAGAACACTAGGCTCAGCATCGTGCAATATACAAAGTGAATCTAGCCCATGGCACACCATATCCACATCGCCGTTCTAGACACGGACATCCCCTGTCTGGCAGTATACGCCCAGCGCGGTCTCTACAGTTCACAGTTTCGGGTCCTACTCCAGTCCGCCGCAGAGCGAGTCAACGCAAATCCAGAACTACAGCTTCAAAATGGACCACTAGCTGTACATGTCACGGCCTTTGACGCCGTAGGAGGCATGCTCCCACCTCTGGAATGCCTACGGTCTCTTCCCCGATCTCCAACAGACAAAGCTGGCCCATTCAGCGCTATCGATGCGATCCTTATTACCGGATCTGGAAGCTCGGCATACGATTCAAACCCATGGATCCGGCAACTTGAATCCTTCATTCAGACCGTGCATATCGATTTCCCACTTGTCAAGATATTCGGTTCCTGCTTCGGACATCAGATCATCGCACAAGCCCTTCTATCAGGACTCAATAATCCCGAAGCTGAGGCTTCCCACCCAACATTCCACGTCGAAAAGTCCACACAAGGCTTCGAGTTTGGCATCCAGCCTATCACCCTAAATCAATCCTTCACATCACACTTCCCAATGCTAGCACGCCACTCTTCACCTGCAACCCCATTCCGCATCCAGTTGATTCACGGCGACATCGTCGTCCCGACACCAGCTATAATAACCGCTGCCTCAGCCAGGCATGATGATATCCAGCTCCCACCAGGCTGGATGAATATCGGCCACAGCGCAGCATGCGATATCCAAGGCCTGTACTATCCGGGTCGCATCCTGTCGTACCAGGGACACTTTGAATTCGACGTATTCTCGAACCGTGCACTATGTATTGAGTTCGGGCGACGGGCGAATTGGCCTGCGGACGTGATTCAACAATACGTTGAGTGGATTGAGCGCGCACTTGTTCCTGGTGCTCGGGATGATGATGATGCACAGGCTGCTGCGGAGGCAGTGTTGCTTTTCTTTGCTGGTGAGGATACCTCGGTTGCGCGGAAAGATCTTGTGATGGGTTTAGGGCTGGGAGGCTTTGCGTCTAATGGGATGCTTACGCCTCCACTCGAATGAGTGTGTTATCGAGATTTCAAGTTAGGTCTCTTTTCGTTTTTCCAGGTAGTTTGCGTATGAATCGTGAAACATGTTGTTTCAGTGGACGATGGAATTGAGTTGGTCAGCATGCATGATGAATACGATCAAGTCTGTCCATTCGAGATAATTTGGTTTATCTGGGCAAATGATGTCCACAGCAAGGGTTGGGCTTGCTTTGCATTGAAATATACATACAGTAAGCATCGCCCCTGAACAGTGGCGACAGAAAGAAATGGTTGCCTGGATGGATGACGAGTGAGACGCAGCTGGTATGTTGGTTCTGCAGGGAGGTCTTGGATTGATTTCTATTTCTGGTTACTGAACATGTTGAGATAGAGGTATAATAATAGATAAGGATCAATAGCTTCACGAGTTTACAAGAGATGTACTGTAGAGCTAGAAACGTCCTTCCAATTCTAGCCGAAGCCGAGCTAGAGCTGAGCTAGAGCTTCGTAACGGTAATTTAACATGTTTCTCTAGCTTGACGCGACACACGACACAGCTCCACCACGACCCGCTTCGGGACAAAGTCCACTCCGATACCTATGGGCTAGGTCGGGGAGAGCTCGGGGAGAGCTCTGCACATATAGATAGCCTGGAATAGCTATAGTAGGGACCTAGAATCTAGAACCTGGGACCTAGGCCAAGCCCTGTAGATATCCACAAATACTATACAGTAGAAGCCTCCATGCCGAGTGGAAACGAACATGGCAGAGTTTTCCTGAGAGCTGATCCCCCCTCCTGCACAGCCATCCACATCCGGGAAGGCGCCCTTGCCGCCGAGTCCGGTGACCAATGATGGTGCAGGTAATAGACACTGTGGTTCTCTACTTTGGCCAATCATGTTGCTTTTCCATGCTCTTCATCGGCATGTGCCCCCGGTGGAGAGCGATTATACAGTGTACCGGGCTGTTCGTAATACGGGAGTCTTACGCCGTGACCCATTTAGAGTTGGAGCTGACGGAGAGCTCTAGGTTGAAGTCCGTTTGGTTAGATTCTCTGGTTCGAAGGATTTTCTCTAGAAGATTTCTATTGAACGGGAGCGGAATAAATGTTGACTTACAGCGACATGGTTGAGCCTCGGTATGCAGGTTCAACCCGGCATGAATGGCGTCCTTTGTTCTACATGGATCTATAGATCGATTTCTTCTTCCTTATACTTTGTTTTAGTTAATTTTTTTTTCTTTTCTTTTTTTACTTTTCCTCTCTGTGTTATCTTGGGTTTGTAAATTACGGTAAAGTGGCGTAAAAGTGCGAGTATTCGCCACCCGGAGCTCCCCTCCTTTTTCCAACCCTTCTGGAATGAGCTTGAGCTGGGGAGAGCTTTGGAGGGGCCACTGATAGCCGCCTATCTTATCCCCCCCATGTAGTATGGATACAGAGAGCTCTGTAGTAATTCCACTCGAAATTTTAAGAGTACTTAAGATCTAAAACATCAAATTTTCTTTACTCCGTGAGCTTTCCGAGTTGTATTTAAACAAAATGACCAATACACTTATCTCCCACCACCAAGCTTGAACAATCCATGTCATGCATGCCACCTCCCCCCCCTCTTTTCTTATAACAAAGTAACTCTGAATGCTTGAATATCTAATATCGATTACTGTGTCATATAGAAAATTTGGGAAGAATTCAAGAGGTTTTTCTAAATACGAATGAAATGCAAGCGGGGATAGAATACGTTAATTACGGTAAATACCCACGGCTACAAGGAAGCACCGCACTACGACGACGGCGGATCGAGTCTCTCAATGTAGAAGTACAACTTTCCTTCCTTTTCTTCCTCACCCATAAAGAAGAGAAAGAAGAACAAGCCAATCCTGGCGTTTCTTCAGCCCTTTTTTGAACTGTAACTCTTGTTCCCCTACTTTTTCCCCCTCCACTTCTCTTCCTTCCCTCCCCCCCCCCCGAGAGGCAAAGAGGGTCCCTTTCGCCCCATACATGCACCATGCCTCCCCGAAGCTCGTTGACCAGCTCTTTCTCGGTCACCGATGCCAACAATGAGGTCGTCTGTCCTTTGAAGAATAATGATGGTTCCAATTGTCGCAAGCGATGCTTGGGAGTGAGTCTTCCTTTCCCCTCCTTTCCTCAGCCCCACCTGTTATCGCCATCCGCTTGTCCATGCAGCATCTTAAGGAGAAGGCTTAAAAATTTGCTATGCATGTCCTGGGAATATCTATAAATCGGTCCACTAGACTTGTATTCGTTGAGTCTAATCATTTGGACCCAACAGGAAAAGCGTTATCGCTCCATGCAGGAGCACATCAGACGTGCGCATCCGAATCACTACATCCCGAAGCTCCCGGCTACTGAAGAGAGCTTCCTTTTGATGGTCAACACTCCACCGGAGCAAAGGGTTCATCTATCTCCGCCAGACCCTGCTCCACTGCGACGTCGACATGGTCTGTTGCTATCTGTTTGCCTGCGGATCCCCGACTGACGGCTACCTACAGATGTGGCGGATAGGGACATTTACGTTGCTGACGCCAGCTCCCCGGCCACGCCGAGAGCTCTCGATGAACCACATCCTGCTGCGGCCACTGCTGCTGTTGCTTTGGCACAATTGCATCACCATCGCCTAGCTTCTGACTGGGACACAGACATGGTACGAGCTTGCAGAATTCTCTTTTTTTCTTTGCTGCCCCGCGATCCCGGTCGCTGATCCTTCTCCCCGCAATTTCTAGGACGCTCATTCCGATACCGATATTACTCAGGGTCACATGCGATCGTCTATTGAACTACCGTCGCTTCGCGACCACTTCAAACAAGAATCCCTGCCTCCGTTTTCGGCGCGCCCGCGGGGCCTTCTTCCGTCCATCTTGAATCATTCGCCGCCCGGTCGCTCATCTACCTTACCCCCCATTCAACGCAAAGACAAGCTTTCTCGTCCGCGCAAATCGTCCATCACGCAATCGGCCCGGAAACCCAAGCATGATCGCCAAAAGTCGAAGGAGTTTGGTCGCCGTCCCAGTCTGGGCGACCGTAAGGCATTGTCGGCAGAACCTCAAACGGCGGCCTGGGCGCAAGGCAAGCGCTGGGAAGATTTAATAGAAGCGGCAACGTCGGCTACGGAAGCTGATGATGAACGGCACTCTGAGGTAAGAAGGTCACCTTGACTTGATGTCCTTTCCTGACACTCCCAGGCTGGTCGATCTCCAACGATTGCCCCGCTGCTCGCCAATGTCACATCAGCACCATCTGGTCTCAAAAGTCGGTCCTCACTACCGCCGGCTTTCCAGTCTGGACCCCTTCCACCTCTGGGGTCGCACAGGGCCTTCCCACCTCATTATGCTGCTTCGCCTCTGCACAAGTCACTTACCCCGCCACCATTTGAGGGGCCCCGCAGCCGCGACAGTGACATGGAACCGTTTCCATCGATTGAATCATCGCTTGACTCCATGTCCACGGCATCTGGAAAGAATTACCCCTCGTCAGCATCCAACATGGCTCACTCGGTGAACTCGGATACCAGTCCCGTACTGAATCTTATTCCGCCCATTTCCCAGCGCCAGCACCACCGCTTTTCGAATCCCACCCCGGCCTCTTTCCGTAACAAGGATATCCAGATCTACTGTGCACAATGTAAGCGACCGTGGGCTTTAAATGAATGCTTTGCCTGTACAGAGTGCATCTGTGGCGTTTGTCGCGAATGTGTCGGCATGTTCGTCGCCAGTCCGCCTACTTCCTTCCGCAGTCCAGGCAATGGTCTCATGAACAATCTTCCATCAGGACCGACAAGCTATCCGAGTGTCCGAGGGTGTCCTCGGTGCCGGACAGTCGGGGGAAGGTGGAGAGCTTTCCAGCTAGATTTCAAGTGATCCTTGATGAGCTGATCGCTGATGGCTTTATGCATGTTATGACTAACGCTTATACATGGTCTTTCCGTTCCTTTTCAACATATATTTCATGATCCTTCATGAGGTGACATACTCGTGTCGCTTCTCAACTTCTTTATTCTCGGCAGGTTCCCTGATCATGCAGAAGCTGGTTCTTTGCGCAGATGATCTTTCCTTTCATTTGGTTGGTTTGGTTTGAGTGGCATCTCCGGGGTTTGGTTTATCTTTACGTGTGGTTTTTTCAATTTCATCTGTTTGGATGATTACCCGTTCTGGATTTCTGATTTAACGCCTATATGATGCAATCTTGTACTGCAAATGATCATTATGTGATAGAAAGAGATGAGCAGACAGCACGCCTCCACTTGGATTATGGTTGGATTGTCTCACTCAAATCTCGAATTTACATTTCTGTCCAAAATTTCAACCAAAATCCGCCTAACATGCATTACCATGCTGGGGCAGACTAGTCCTCCCAAATGACACTACTCAATCCAGTCGACGTTCCGACTATTCCAGGCTCACCAACTTGCAGAACGGCGACCTTCTCCCCCAAATCCCCCGTCTTTCGGTTACGCCGAATAATGGCAACAGTCGCTGTGCTCTGATCCCCTATGGCAACCAAATCTCCCTTCCGGTTAATCACCATGGTCCTAGGGACCTTTCCATACGCATTTGTCTTCCCCTGCATAACAACCGTCCCATTTTCATGACGATCAAGGGTGACGATTGAATCATCAGGCTTGAATCCCTGATCAGTCCGAATAGAGACATAAATCTTCTCCCCAATCATACGAATCTCCGCGGGCGTCGCCCCCTTCGGCATCTTCCCACCAGGATACGGCACAAGAGTCTGCGTCTTCTCCAAATTCAAACATCCAGACCGCGCATACGAAACATCGTAACTCATCATCGTTCCTCCAATCTCATTGACAATGTACAACATTGTCTTCCCAACAGCCGCAACCTGGCGCTGGTGAGTCGGTGCCCCGGTCAGGGTGTCTGTATCGTTGCTCGTTCCATCTGTCCAAAACACGCCATGTCGTGGTCCTGAGCCGAATGTTACGTTTACGGGTGGACAGAGGCCCAATTGGCCGGTCATTGTATCGATGCTGTAAATGCGTAGTAGATCTGCGCCTAGGTCGGGGGATATGATGAATGAACCTGTTGGGTCGAGGAAGACTTCGTGTGGATGCGGGGCGTCCTGTTGGGCAACGGCGCCTTTGTGTGTCATTTTGAAGGGGAGGATTTGTTTGGCATGTGAGTTGGGCTTCAATGGTAGTGAGTAGGTTGAGAGTGCGGATCCTTCACTTCAGGGATGTTAGTTCAAATATTTTCTTCTCAAAGCCATGTAGTTGGTCAACTACAAACTCCAAAAAAGAAGGGAACTTACTAATGCGCAATAGCAATATACTTATCTCCCTTCCCCGCCTCAAAAATCACACTATTCACACCACCTCCAACAGTCTTCGTCTTCGCAACTTTCGCCAATCGTCCACCAGGCCCATCAACCCGATACGCAGTTAAAGAACCATGCGTACTCGGATCCGAAGTCCCATTCTCATCGGAGCAGTAAAGAATCTTACTCTCCGAATCAAAAGTCAACCAACTGGGCATCGCACCACAAGTCTTCTGCGTGTGGGTAATAGAAAGATTCGATCCCGAAAGCTTAAGACTATACACATTACCATTGTAATGTGTTGCCCATAGACGCGATCCTTTCACATAAGCATCCAGCGATTGCCACTCTTGTTCCTTGACTTGAGGGATTATTGTAGCACTTGTTGTGAGGAGCAACTGTGCTACCAGGGCCCCGGTTGACACGAGAAAGCGCATGTTGACGGGAATCCGAAAAGAACCGAAGTCTTCCACTCAATTTCTCAATAGACTCGAGTTGGATGGGGATCTTGGAAAACAAGTTGGGAATGGAATGGAGTGGACGGGGTAGTATAAAACAACATTGAACGTGCCTAACCCACGCGCCCCCCGAGATCAACCCATTCCGTTCCACAAGGACATTTTTTCATGCGGAATGACGAATGCCGAGTCCCTGCTTCTGCAAAACGGAATGGATCGACATGGACTTGGACTATGCATTGTGGAGATGTGGAGTCAGGGGGTTGGGAGTCTAGGGGTTTGTTGTGGTGGTACTGGACTCGGTGAACCCTATCCAATTTCCCAAGTTAGTTGTTTGTGAATCTATCTCGGTGGCGTGTTTGATGTGTGGGGTTGGACTGTACTGCGATCTCGGAGGTTGGTATAATATTCCTACTTACCCCTCAGATAATCATATGGAGGAGAACGGGTTGGTCGGGATAGATGTGATCGGCATCCCGTGGGGGTCCAACTTTCAAGTTTACAAGGAAGTGGGGGTTTCATTCAGAGGAGTCGAATTTTAATACATTTTGCAAGGTTCCTTGTGTCAATGGAATGTTAACAATGCTAGCTAATTCCAAGCTTCGAGTTTATGTCTTAGCCATAAATAGCTGGTGCAACGTCTCCCTGCGATTGACCCTGGATTTGAGAAGAGATATATTCAATATACGAAGAGCATTTAAAATAGATATAATGCGCATGAACATGTTTATGAAAATATATCTGAATTTGGGATTCGATAAATGAGCTGTGGAAAGTACACAAAGGCGGTAAAACTAGATCGGACGCGTCTTTCAACAGACGTCAATTTAGACTACTCGTTGCTAATCCAAAAATGATCAAAACTAAGACGCTACGATTACCTGGGCATATAGTGTGATTCCGTTCGCCATGGATGCACTTCGCGAGCTACGAAATTCAAAACAAAGCTTCATGCGCGTCAACCGGCAGCGCGACAGCTCTGCTCAGCGCAAAAGCAGAACAGTCCTCTCTTGTATCCCATGCCGGGAACGCAAAGTGAAATGCGACCGTCTCGAACCCTGCAACCAATGTACCCGTCGTAGCGTGGTCGAAAGATGCGATTATTCACCTAAGACTGCCAGAGTTGGAGTTTCGACTTCCCCTACCACTATCACCGCTGCTTTAACGCGAAGGGATGCGGATAATTCACCGATACCACCAAGCGCTCCGGCGGAAAGTCTGGCTACCTCAGCTGGTGTTCAGCCCACCTCTGCATGCGATCATAATGTTTCGGCATCAAGGATGGGAATGGTTGATTCACTGACCCAATCTTGTTTCCATGGCTCTGGGTCAAGGACCAGGTACTTTGGGCGAAGTCATTGGGCATTGACAATGGACATGGCAAGCTGACATATTCTAAGTCGGTCATATAGCTGTTAACGATTCATAGTTTCCTGATCTCAAGGCCCATTTGCAGAGATATCATCATGTTAAGAATGGACCCGGGCCTGGGTCAGATCATCTGGGTATGAAACGTACCACGCAGAGACGACTGGAAGCGACATATCAGACACAGCTGTCATCAAATCTGGGAGCACCTAGACTTGAAACTTTACTCCCAGATCGCCATGTCACAGACAAGCTAGTGGCCTTGTACTTTTCGACCTTTGAAAGTACATTTCGCATTCTGCACGTTCCTCAATTTTTAGCCGAATATGAGGAATTCTGGAGCTCTGGGGCGAGCGCATCGCCGAATCTTTGGTCAAGGGATGTATTTGCTGCCAAGTTACTTAGCTTGATGGCATGCGCCGCCGATGGAATCACAACTGAGACAGATACCCAAGTATCAAACCAGACAACAAAAGGTTGGATTCAGGCCGTTGGGTCCTGGGTCAAAACAGTGACTACATATGCAAAGCTCGATCTCGACTTTATCCAGGTCATGTGTCTGCTGCTCATTGCAAAACAAGCTATAGCCTACGAAGGAGATCTTGCCTGGCTTGCTGCTGGATCCCTAGTCCGAGAAGCCATGATGATAGGTCTTCACCGGGATCCTGTCAACTTTAAGAGCGTGGCACCATTTCATGCTGAACTCCGACGCCGGCTTTGGGCGACAATTGTTGAGCTGGATCTTCAGGCTGCTCTTGATACCGGTGTTCCTGCGGGGATATCAGAAGATGATTATGACTGTGCTCCTCCGTCAAACTTGGATGATGAAGATTTCACCGTCAGCTCAACTGAGATACCTGCATCCAAGCCGGCCTCTGCATTCACCAGAACATCCCTCCAGGTATCCTTAGCCCAAACCTTGGGCCCTCGAATCAGAATAATCAAGATTGTGAACCAAGTTCGCTTGTCATCGAATTATCAAGAAATATTGGACCTCAGCCACGTTATTACGGCTCATCTTTCACAGTCCCCATTTGCCATCATAAATAACCCAGATGATGAGGCACCCTCGAAATTTCAGCAATCGCTATACCTCTTCCTCATCTACCGATACCTTCTGGCTCTGCATCGACCTTTCGTTCTCAGTCTCGCCGAGACACGCAATGAGATGTACAGATACTCGCGAGAAATATGCGTAAAAGCCTGTCTATCTCTCCTATCTCCCCTAACAATGGCCCCTGGATCAGAAATTCCAGTATATCCTCACATCCTCCGTCTCCGAGGCGGTATGTTCCGAAGCGAGATATTCCATGCAGCCGCAACACTCTGCTTCGAGCTTCGCCTACAAGTCAAAGACAACAAACTACCCCTTCTCCCCGGCTCTGTCGCAGATACAGACCAGAATAACAATAAAAGTGAGCTCCTTCTACGTGTAGTGGAAAGCGCAATAAAGTACTTCGAATTCAAAGTCCGGACGGAAAAACAGGCTTGCAAAGCATTTATGCTTCTAAATATGGTCTATACATCCGCTCAAAGCGAGATTCTATCTGCATCAGACAGGTCCCAAGCGAATTCTGCCATGATAAGCGATCTGACCTTGGAAAATGCATGCCCCCGTGCTGCCCGCCGGTGTCAGGAATTGTTACTTGAGGGCGAAGGCAAGGCGGATTGTCAACATTCTGAAGAAAATTGGCTTGGTTATCCGGGTAATCCTTTTTTGGTACGTGAATTATTGACTGGTGGCAGATGTATTCATACCAGTCTACTAATCTTGACTTATGCAGAATGAAGAGGTTCCTGGGATCCAAGCTGAGCACCAACGCATACACAGCAGTACCTCGTCGGTGGAGCAGAGCGCTAATGTAACTCCCATGCCTACGGAGAGTTCTGATCCAGACTTATTTGTGAGTTTCTCGCAGTTATGAATAGGTATCATGCTTGTGACTCTAACCAATTGCAGGATTTGTCCTTTGATTGGGGAATATATCTTGATCCGACGTATCTGGATGAGGCGGGGAATCTATGGCCGCTGATGGATCCGTTAATATAGATTTCGACGTTCTACAGTCACATGCGTTGTGTTTTCACCGGTCACAATAATTTTAGATTGTGGTGGCTTGGAGCAGTTAAGAATATCCATAATAAGTGACTCGTATCGAGAAGGGATATCTCGGTGACATATTGCCTATTTCGGAAATCCCGATCTCCGGAAGCGAGTGGATCTTGTTCCTTGGTAATTCGGGATTCCAGCCAAGTATACAGCCACAAATGGCCCCAACAATGGAAGAATACCCGAAATCAATCTTTATCCTCTAAAAGAACTCAGCGGCAACATGTAAGCTCAAGACAAAAGCTCCCACAGCCAGATGTGCACTGATTCAAAGCACTTTCAATACTCATCCTCTTCTTCCCATCTTCACCATTTCCGTTCACGTCGACTTCAGTACAACTTCCAGTTGTGACGGGACTTGGACCCTGTCGTGTATACGCCTCCGGCTGCAGCGTAATAGAATGAATTCCATATTCATGAAAACATTCCCGAATAGTCTTAGCCAGGCTCTCAAAATCCGGCATGATATCACTGTCTAGAACGACGTGGGCAGATGCAAGGGACTTTTTCTGATTAAGGCGCCAGATATGGAGTTCGTGAATGGCGAGAATGCCAGGGATCTGTAGTATATATATTTAGTTTAGCTAATGTACCATTTGCCAAAACATTGAAAAACATACCCTTTCGAGGTCGTGTTTCACGTCATCGTAATCAACACCCTGGGGTGCACTTTGAAGAAGGATAAGACTTGATTGTTTAACTTTTCGATGTCAGAATCCTGTAGTATGTGTGCCTAGAGTGCATGCGTACTGAGTGGAATGGAAGAAATGAAAATCATAACCGCAATTCCCATGCTGACGGCGGGATCGGCATAGAATCTTCCACCGTAGCTAGCGAACCAGATCACCGCGGCTGCGATGACAACGCCGAGGTTGTTTGCACAGTCGCCAATCACATGGATCAGAACGCCCATCATGGCTAAGTCTCGATTCTTGCCGTGAGATGAAGGTTTGGTTGTGTTTGTATGGTGTTTGTGATGAACATGCTTGGAAAAGATAAGTTTTCTGAATACATTGGGTTTGTAAAACATACCTTTTCATCTACCATACCAATAGACACGCTATCGTTATTTACACCGTGGCCGTGGCTGTGGTCGTGTCCATGTCCGTGGTCGTGATCATGATCTGCAAGAAACAAGTCAATATAATATCCAAAGATCGAGTATTCGTAAAGACTTACCATGTAGGAACAACACGCTAATAAGATTTAACCCAAACCCAACACATCCCATAATCAGAACCAGTTTTGGTTCTTCAACGCCTGCGTAAAAATGTCAGACTTCACCTTTCCAAGCACAGCCAAATACAATCAGATTAGGAACTCACGCTGTAGTGTAATAAATCGCTCAATGGATTGCAAGAAAACACTGATTCCCAAACCAAATAATAGCACTCCGTTGAAAAATGCACCTAGAAGCTGTATCCGCTGCCAGCCAAATGTAAGGGCTTTCGGTGCGACACTTTTCTCGGCAACCTAGCCTTCACTCAGTATATGTATGCCATAGCTGGATATTGTACTTACTATTGTGGCTGCGAGAGCGATTACGAAACCGACGAGGTCATTTAGCTTCAAATTGTTAGTCTTGTTTGTATCTTGGTAGATAGGCCGAGGCTGCGCAACGTACATAGTGGAAAGCATCGGCGACTAAGGCGAGAGAGTGAGTGTAGAAACCGACTATAGTAAATTTCAGTCAATTTCAGATCAATCCTTCATTGTTTTCAGATGCCCTGCTTTTCTTAGAGAAAGTGAAGTGAACTTACTTGAGATCTCTGCTATGAAGAAGCAGAGTGAAATGCCGATCACGACGCTGAGCCGCTGAACGCGGGATATTTTGAACGGCATGGCTTTGATTTCTGTGTTCCTTATACAAATGAAGCAGGGAACATTGAAAGTTATTTACTTTATATGCCGTGGCAAGGCATGTGACTTGGGGACGGAGCTCGGGGGTTTTTATTTCCCTTTTAGGAAATGAAGATCGCCGAAGCTCCAAACAGGCTGCTGTTTGACTCAACACTGGTGTCGTTGTTTAAGAAAGTTTTACATGTGCACGAGAACACTTCGCAATCAAATGAGTATTTCCTTTCCCCCGCAATCCATGGGCCGAAGAAAACGACAGGGATGTTTCATATAACTGGGTTGATAAACAGAAAGTATTTACGATTGGAGATCAATAACGAGTAACTATATTGATACGGGACGATCTGCAGGATCTGTCTTTTGCCACTGCATAACTCAAATATCACTCGTTACAATCATGCCTGGGCTGGTTTACTTACTAGTCAACATTGATATTACTAACATGATTAATTAGAGGCAGTCGGGCGATTCTTTCCAACCCAAGTCTTCTAGTTCATGTCATAACTATCAACGAAGTCAACCGGGAAATGTAAACTAGAAATGAATACATGAAACCAAAGTATCACGAATGCCTCCACTCAAGTAATTTGACACGCACGCTATGTATCTACAGGTAACGTATACTCATCCAGAATGTGTGGATTAGAGCAAAATGCCGGATCACGCACAACCTCAATAGCAGGTGAGACATCGCGCTCAAGAATAGAACCCTCATGACCAGGCTGTGATCGTGAACCACCATACGTCCGAGCCATAAAGCCCATAATACTCTGAAACGCAACGACTCTTGCACCCGGAGAAGCATCGCGCATAGCACGATTTGTCTCCGCAAATAAAGCAGGGCTATAATAAAGCAGCACCGCCTGGCCATCATCCACCCCGTCAACATTCAGCCCCTTAACAAGTGCATCACGCGTAAACTCCGGTAAGTCTAGAAAAGCTTCTTGGACTTGCTCCGCTATCGATCGATCTGCCACTCGACCCATAGCGAAAAGACGAAGTAACGCCCGTTCCACAGGATCAGCGGTAGACAAGAGTGGGAAGCCCTGCTCAACAACCAACTGTCCACGATTCCGCAAGACATGATCATACGCTTCACGTAGCGAGGTATTATCGGTAATTATACTCTTCAGGATAGGCCAGGCTTGCAAATAAGATTGACAAACGGGTTCGATCATCCTCTTCGCACCACAACTATCGCGATGTCCGCCTGCGCCAGACACGTCGAAGATGATTTCGAGATATTTGAGATGAAACGCCTCGGGATGGCCTCGGAACTTGAGAATAGGCTGTAAGCTTCCGGGGATATTCTCGCCTTGCATCAATTGTGGGATGTTGAGGGTTGCTCCGACATCCACTCCGAGAATCACATCTGCGCGCCGGGCGTCGGATAGTATACTGAGTGGACTATCGAGGATTCCGCATGCGACAGCTTCGGCGAGTAATTCATCGTGGTTTTCGTGGTCGGTTTTATCTGTACCCTTGCGAGCGGAGATCTCGTCGGATAGATATGGATCTTTTCCTATATCGCCGATAACAAGCGCAACGATCAAAGCGAGGAGTTGATCGGTGTCCTCTAGGAAGGAGTCTGCTTGGTGTTTTAAAGACTGGAAGGTCTCCAGGGATAATTTGACAGGAGGGGGTTGGTTCGCGACAAAGGCGTTATAGTCATTCGCAAGTACCCATTTCAAGGCGCGGACGTTGGTGATTGAGCGATTCACTTCATCGAAATCCTCATTGAATAGCAGCCTCGATGGACTTAGTGCATTGTTGGAGAGATTTCCTGAGGTAGTTTCGTCGCCTTCGACTGCAGGTGGGACACGTTTTAAGTGATCGATCTCTGGGCCAAATTGGGTGTAGAGTAGCCGGACAAGATCTTCATCTTCTAGAGAAGCTAGTTCACGACGATGCACGATTTCAACTAGTGAATCCATCTGCTGATAGACAAATTGACGTACTAAGGTTAACTTGCGAGGTGGGCTACTTAAATAATTAGGTGGGGTGGGGACGGGCTGTGTTCTCAGTCTGATCGTCCCAGCAGACGGCTCTGAGCCTATGAAAGATGATAAGGAATCGAGCTACTCCGTAAGTAGTTCACGATTTTCTGGATCTCAGCCTCAGAGTGGAGAGGGGCATCGGCTGAAATGCCTGAAGTTAAGCAGGACACCGCTCCGAACAGGTCTTACTTTGGCCGGGTTTGATTATGTCCGCAAGCTCTGAAGCACGATTAGGTGTGACCACAAAGCCCAAGCACATACATATGTATTCAGGAAGAAAATCAACATAGAAAGTGCTCACATGGCCAAGTGCTGTCTTGGTGCCAGCACATGGGCATAACATTAGCGAGCTCCCCCCACCGTAGATCATTACCCAATCTGATTACTTGTGATAGCGTAACCTAGCAAGTCACTCCGTATAATGAAATATAAATAAGAATATTTATATCTACAAATTTCATTATATGATCTGAACAAACCAATATAATCACTGAGGTATAAAGCCTATAGAGGGTAGCAAGAATGTAATGATCGACCGTAATCTACGTACTAATGCAGGTACCACCGTGGATTAGCCTGCATTGATGAGACACTTATAACATGATCTTGACCCACCCACAGCGCTTAAGATATGCAACTTGTGTGATCCGATCTTTAGCGCCCTCAATGCGGTAAATGTTTCATCTTCTTCGTCTCGCTATGCATTGCATATACCCAGGGGTGATCAACGAGAATTTCATCATCCACATAGCTAGGCGCCAATCTATTTTAGGGCATAGGGTAGCGGGGGATGAATGTCTCCATAAGGACACATAAATATGAGAACAACCATTGCCTTCAAATGTCCAGTCTAGACATCCCAAGTTTCTTGCCTGTTCTCTCATCTCGAATCGATTGTCACTTCACGGTCATTACCAACATCATACCACAGCAAGTCTATCAAAACACAACCACATCTCCGACAGTACTAACATCTACCCAAGCATTAATATTCTGTCAACATGTCCTCCGCGCCCCTCTACATCGCCATAACCCACGGCGACGGTACCTTCAAGCACTGGAGTCTCTTCATTGACGAAGAAACACACAAAACCGTTCTCCAAGTGAAAGGCTCGAATGGTCAATTCCGATACGAGCCCGAAACAAAAGATGCACGACAATATCCAGACCTAATTCAACTGGTGTATATCTGTAACGTGGACATTACGAAAGTGGATTCTATTAAAATGATCGCTGGGGCGAGTTGAGGTCCACAATGATATTTCGGGTTGGAATTGTCAGGATTATGTACTTGATCTTATGGATGTGTTAGTGGAGGAGGGGGTTTTGGATGGTGCAGATGGGGTGTATAGAAGGCAGATGGATTTTGTGAGGGGGATACAGGAGGGCTTGGCTTAGTTGGCTCTAATATGAGTTGAAGCTTGGGATCATGGGTCTGAGATTTTCAAGTTTGTACTGTACGTCGGGTCAATTACTAGGCTGTGCTTGTATGGACCTAGGTATCTGTGGACTGAATATGCTATTTATGGTATACCTTGAGCTACAGTTCTAAGTCAGGACTGTGGAAAGATAGAAAGATGGAATAAAGGAAACGTGAAAGCCTCCCGGCTAATCATTTGTCTCAACGTCAAATGTTCGAATCAATACCTAAGCGAAAGCATAAGTATACGCATAGACCTAAGCAGGAATAACAATAGCTCAAACAATGGCTAGATCCAACATAACGCCATGGCTCATCATAATCACATCCCAAAAGGGCTGAGAAGCAAAAACATAAAAGATCAGAAGGGCAGAAAAACCATGCCCTATCTTCCCGACCAACGCTCGCTTGAACACAAAATATAAGATAAGATAAACATGGACAGAACTGGAAAACAGAAATTGAGGTTAGGGTACTAGGCAAGAAATGAAGCCTTAACCTGCTGCGCTCAGGGTAAGAATCAAAATCAAAAGTCAAAAAAATGCTGAGAAAGAACCGAAACTAAACCAAAACCAAGCGGTTTCGTGTCCAGGGCTGAAGTTGGGTATCATTGAAATTCCAGGTCTCCTGTAAACAGGGCAGCCAGCCTGGATGGATCGCGATATAGCACCAAAATCAAAACACAAAAATGAATACGCTGGAGGTTCTTTTTTCCTTTTTTCAAGTCGCCTGCGATCGTAAATAGTCGTACAGTACGTAAGACGTAACGTTATGACGGGGGAGGGAGAGAGAGAGAGAGAGAAAGAGAGTCGTGAATGAATAATAGTACAGAGAAGAGCATCAACGCTTCACTGGCAGCTATCGGCTGAAAGAAGTCCACACGGTGCTTAGCCATCCGGTGGGAATACCGACTTCCGAGGGTTGAATCAGGGATAGTTGTGCCCAGTCCTCTCCGTCCAGGAAGGCCATGACATCGTCGCCGCCCAAACTAGTTGATAGGAGGCTGGTATCTGGGCCCTCAGTTGAGGTCAAGGGTGGCGATGGGGCTAGTTGGGTGACTGGGCCTGGTGGCGGGAGGACGGGTACATGTGGAGCAGTGGCATTAATGGGTGGCAGCGACTGAGAGTATGGAGGGGGTGCGTTCTGGCGGGAAGGAAGCCAGGAGTTGATAGGTTGCAAGCGGTTGGTTGTTGCAGTTAGATACTGCGAGGGAGATTGGGTAGTTGCTACCAACGAAGGGAGGTTGGGAGGGGATGTGTACATAGGACCATCAGGGTGATGTTGTTGCAAAGATGGCAATGAGTAAGGAGATTGTGATGGCATGGGGCGGTTGGTGTTGGGCAAAGGAAGGCTGGGGCGGCGAGCTCCTTCGTGGCCTGGTAAAGGAAGACCGGGACTGTTGACTGGTACCCAGGACTCACGACGACCACCGGCACCATCTAGCTGCTCACTGGCGTCCCCGAGATCACTCTTGACGGCATTGCTCCCGGCGTCGCTGAGATTTGTCATGCGGTCGGGCATCAACTCTCCACCCATACCCATGGCCATGACAATGCCATCCTCCTCCATTAATTCATGTAGCTGATCTTCAATGGATCCAAAGTCCAGGAACAGCTTCTCCACAAGCTTGAATTCCTCCAAGCCACCGCCAAGGCCACCTTCCCGAACCGACCGCGCGCCGTTCAGACCATGATCAGAAGCATCCGACATACTGTCCAGGCGGTTGCGGGAGTACCGGCGGAAATCCCGCTTGACCTTGGAAAAGTAGCTGTGAAGACGATTTAAAGTACGAAACCACCCACTGGCCATCTTGAGACGTGGTCGCATCTCCCGTAGGATATCCAGGGCATTGCGAAACTGCACTGCACCAGGCAAGTGGCTGTCATGACTGGCGGGCGGAGGTCTGGCGGCCAGAAGACCGTCGGGGTCCATATGCGGGAAATGGGAACTATACACACCAAGGAACGCCGCATTGTAGATCGCAAAGCCAACGAGGGGATTCTCAACGAGGGCGCCGCGGCTTTGACAAGTCGCAACCAGATCAATCATCTGACGAGCCGCCTTGAACAGCTCGCGGGCGCTTTCACGCCAGAAAGCCTCGGGCGGGCCATTGATCTTATCGGAAGGTAACAATGGCTCGTCCAGGGGACCGATGGGCTCATTGCAACGGAGAGGCAAAAATGGAATATAAGCACGGTGTAGCACGATAACAGACAAGAAGTATACCACATGCATAACGGTGTAGGAGGCCAGAGTGGTCTTGTACATGAGATGGGTGTCAGTATTCCGAACCGAGTACTGGAGATTGCGAGAGAGGCTATCTTGAAACTCATTCAACTGCATCCGCAGCGTCGCAAAGCGTGAGTCAGGATGCCATGGGGGATACTGCTCCATTCTTCGGCCACCTGCACAAGACCACTTGGCGATGCTTCCCCAGATGCGAGTGATTCGAATTACTCGGCTCAAGACCGACTCTTCGGCCCCAACCTCCCACCGATCGACGTCGTCCTCACTCGAGTCCTTGCGCCTTGAGATCGGGGACCAGGCCTTGCCATCAGGAGTCCCATTCGTGGGAGGAATCTTCTCATCGCCTAGCCCTAAGCTCTGCCGAATACTCGGGATCTGAACGCCCTGAGCGCCAAAGCTTTGTGGGCGGCGCGCGGTCGGCTCATTCAATCGGGCAGTCCTAACCCGCTCCCCAAAGGCAAATGCATTATCACTCGGTAGTTGGATCCCGAGATCTTGGATGTTGATCATACGCGGGCGATACTTGCCGCTGCTCAGACACCGATCCAGGATAAAACAAGCCCAAAATGTCCGACGCTTCGTTTCTTGTGCAATGATGTCATCGGATGTCTGCTCCTTCGGTTCCATTCGACGGAGCAGACCAAAATGTTCCTCCATTTTGAACCCCGGTGATAAACGGGAGAAATCCCGCGGAGGGAACTCATTCTCTAGCTCAAAGGGCAGGCCCATGCTCTGTGCAAGCCGGATTGCCATTCCAACATATACCCAGGCACTCTTGCCGCGACACATTCCCCATTCATGAAGCGCCAGCATAAGCAGTGCTTGGATTCGGGCCAGGTCGGGCACCGCCAGGCTTGCACCATCGAGGCCGGCCAGCCGGCTTCGTAAAGCTGTCGCATAGAATTCCGAAGCGGCCATGGGGTTCGACGGGTGACCCGGGGACGCGGGAGAATGGAATGAGATGAGGGGAGGGTGAAATCGAGCGGTCAAAGCTAGGACACCGAGCGGAATTAATGACGAGGATGGGTCAACCTTGGAGGCGACATTGCGCACGGCTTCCTGACCCTCCACCTGGACCGGAGTCGGCGGCGCAGGAGTAGACAGTTGGCGGATTTGCCCTAGGAAAGTGGCTGGATGAAGGAAGGGTAGATGTGTAGCAAAATGGGACTGGAATAGATCAAAGACGGCCTCCCAAACCTTTGCGGTAAGGATCGAGGCATCAAGGACATCGAGACCCTTGGAACCCGGGGAAGAACCTGTGATGCCAGGAATTTTGCGCTGGCGTGGTCGCTTCGGTCCATCGCCCCAATCACCATTTCGATCCTCCCCATCGACAAGGGCGGCCAGATCTCGTTTATTTCCATTCACACCGATGGCTGGGGTTGGGTAGACACAGTCTCGACCGGAGGATTCGCAGGCGCGACATGTAGTATCGATACCGGAATTGACGCACTTGATTTTACTGCGCCGGCATCGAGCGCAAGCGATACTGGACCGCATGATGAAAGTTAGGCAGACCCCACGTCTGCGGGCAAAGATTCGGGTGGTAAACGCTCAATCCGGTGTGATATCCCATCTATCAGTTTGTTGATACAATGGGTTTCCCGAGAGATGGGTTCCGGAGGGTAGGTATGGACGACTTCTGTGGGTATATCTGTTTTGACACTTTTAGCATATATTTTGCGCAATTACTCGCGAAACATACACTGGGGTGTACAAGGAAGAGAAGCCGGAGTGTGGGGGAAGAAGAAAGTCCACGGGGCACCGGGACCGAGAGAAAGTAGATCGGAAGGGAACGGGAATTTTGGGATAAATCCAAACGGTCATGGAGCCGAGAGCCGCTGGGTTGAAATTGCGGAGTGTAAGGTATGCAAGGACGCGCTCTGGCTTGATTCGTGGAACCCCCAGGTTTTCATTACAACACAATTACCGGTAATAAATTACCCCATATTTTCCTTCTTTTTACCCCATGAAAATGGGAAAATGGACGGAAGTTGCTTTACCTCCCCAATCCCGAGGCCGAAAAGAAATAAAAAACCTTGTGTAGTATTTTAGGAAAGGTCCGAGCTAATTTGACCTCATGATCTCTTTAACTTCCCGTGGAACATCTGGTAACACAATACTTGGTCTGGGTCCAGATGGAACTGGCTGGAATACCAATCTCTAGTCACTTCTCGTATAACAAGTATAGAGGGTAGACAAAAGGTGGAGAGATCACTTCTCCAGGATCATCCCGTTCATAATTTACACGGACCCTAGTAGATCGGCAATTGTCTGGATGTGCTTTGCCCGAGTCGGGAAGTCCAGTTTGGTAAACGGGAACGAAAAGGACAAAAGTCGGAGAGTAAAGCAACAAGAACGGTTAGACCCAAATGCACTCCACATGAAGATGCTCTAGGGCTTAGGCTCCCACATGGCCTGGGGAAAAGTCAGATTCTACCGAGGAGATAAACCAAGAAAAGAGGGGAAAAATCCCCCTTTCAGTATCATCCTCCTCGGGTAGAAAGTAATTGCACGACTGGGGGCTCCCCGCAAGGACATGATCCATTGATCCTCGTTCCTACGCTCCGAAAGTTACATCAGTCTAGATGCTAGTTCAGGATCGGCATACTCTTTGACCGGAGGCCTCCGTGTATCGTGTCACACCTACGCATATCTTCCCGGGGGCCCGGTCTTTCATTCCTTTGATCCAACCAAAAATATCCTGCGGAAATCTCACCGCAATGGCGATCATATCCTAGAACCTAGACCCCAGGCTTGCAGCAAACAAGAACCCGAGACCGAGCTGGGATGATCCGAGGTTTGGAACCTGTTTTTGTTCACTGTACTCAGTAGGAAAGTATAAGCCCAAAAGCAAATAAAATAAAACCAAACAAACCAAGCCACTCCCCCCTTGCTGTCAGGAATGACGGGAAAGTCACAAACCGAAATTTTTCCTTCTCCTCCCACGGCACGTCAAACATATTCGGCCCCGTCCGACTTAAGTTGATTGGTCCCCAAACTCCGATGGCTTGAATGAACCGACCCCGGGCAACCCCGCATTTCCTATTTTCACATTACGTAAGGTCGGTTATTGGCCCGAACTTGTATCGTTGTATTGCTCTGTTTCCACTGAATCATGTGAGGATATTCCTTTTCCCTGTCAAGCGGGTCCATTTGACTTCCCGGTGGGTATTCTTTTCTTTTCAAGTGATGCGGAGAAGCAAAGGATGAAAGCTTAAAAGGGAAATCTAAGCGCTGCTAAGACACGACCCATTGTCGGATATTCCAAGTTTCCCCCACATAATACCCCGATGACATTGTTCTCTAGTAACATAAATCAACTTTCTCGGGGAACACTCCCCCGTACTCGGCTCCTCATTCCCCTTTTTCATTCTTGCTTTTTTTTTAGTCTTGGCATGTGTACCCAATTAAGGAGGGGGTAACACAATCCCGGGAGACCCAAACGAACGCCCCAATTGATTCAAAGTTCAAATGTTGATATAATGCCCCCAGCTGACCAGCAGAAAAAAAAAAAAAAAAGTGGTCCCCCTCTGGAGTTTTACCCAATTGATGGATCCCTTCCCGACGCTCCCCTACCCTTTACCCGATTCTCTACCGGGGCCGGGCCCTGGGAGACTCGCCAGGGAATATCCCGCGTTCGGATTACCGAATCGGTCTACAGAGCCTTTGGAACGGGGGAACGGGGATCTTTACTTAACATCTCTACAAATATCTGGGCAACTACGTGGGGTTAACGTAATTTCAACATGAAAATCTTTTCCAGTGAATCCAGAAAATGGCATTGAACCGCTCGGGTTCCCTTGCGCCTTGCGGGATCCAATCCTGACGCGGAGCCGACTCCGACCATCAGCCCAGCCCAGCCCAGGCTAGCTATAGCTTGATTTTTCGTGTACATCATACACGACAATCTCAATTATTTTTCGAACAGTCCTACAACTTGGCCAAGATCATTTTAACCCCCACGGAACGTAATCAGAAATCGAAACCCGATCATTTGATTACATTTTCTCAATTCCCCACATCGGGTTCGGGTAAAATGAAAAATTGGAACCTGGGATCCCGATTCCGAGTCCCCCGATTCCTTTGTGCGTGATCGTTTAGCCATTGGATTTCAATTCCGACTTTCGTCATGGTGATGCTATGTTATGCTCATTATACGCCTTTTGTGTTTTATGTCATCGCATTTCTTACCCCATCGGCTAAAGGGCTATTGCTGCCCGGACTCCGTAGAAACCGGGCTAATGGGGTTTTGGCTAAGTTGCGGAACATATTAGCCTACATCTAGAAGCCGTCCCGGACTATTAGCTTTGTCCCCGGTACATGATCACCAAATTAGTATTAGTCCTGTTGATGGGGTACGGGGTATTATGAAAGGTCTTGTGCGCGGTCTCTGCCTGATTTCTCAGATGTCTGCTCATCTCCACGTTCATGGTCACGTCCGCACGTGTAGCTGATGTCGAATCACTTTCTTTCTCCAGTTCATATTAAGCGGGCATACACAACTGGTATGCTGATATTAAAATTCTTGGTTGAATATCAAATGTGTCTCTTAGGATAAATAAGGCTGGGTACGGCCCTTGTGGCGGATTCGCGCAAATACCATTCTGTCTTGAAACTTCGCGGTTAGTGTGCTTTTGCGGCAGCTCTCTTCAGGGCTCTTTTGGCTCTCTCAACTCTGGCGACTGGAAAATAAGTACTTGAAGCTTTCTTTTCGTTATTGGCATTCTCTCTGGCCCAGATCATATGTGCTGGTAGAAGACCCTAGATCTATAATATTTACAGGCCGAAGGTGTATGGCCCAATGTGAAGCCATAGACCAGCCCTCAAGCAAAACATCACCATCGTAAAAGTGCCCCAACCCTCTCTAACTTCATTCTCTCCGATATTCATCCTTCTCTCATTTCTTTCTGCAGCCCGAAAACATCAACCTATCTGTGCTCATCAACAATATGATCTCGTGCCGTTTACACTACAATTACAAACCCCGTTCCAAAGCCCCTTCAGCCTGAACGAGGAAAATAATGAAAACGACAAGAATCAACTAGCTTTCTGCACGCTTTACCGACTCACGCTACCCCCATGTCCAAAAGTGCCATCCTACTTCCTTGATTTGCCGTGCCTGTGCGCCTAAGGCCTGTGATGCATCAGCCTACGTCATGTCGCCATGCCAAGAGTGTTGTGGTTAGTATGGATCGTGGGAGGTGACTTGTTCTTGTTCTGCGCTGATACTGTAAAGGTACTGACGATGTCGACCGTGATGAGGTCGATGATTCATGGGTAGTTGTCCAACGCTAGTGGGACGCCCTGCCTGAATTCTGATGGGATTGGACGGTTGGTACGGGTGACAATCTTGAGGATGAACAAGATTGATTTACTTTGGAAATATGAAATGTTGAGGGTTGGTTTTTAAAAGCCACTAGAAAATTGAATAAACATTACTGAATATCGCATTTTAATCTGGTGCACAGATCAAAGGTCCAAAATATGAAATAATACATAAAGAATGGAATAGTAAACCCGTGAAAAAAAAGCCCCCCAGCCATGCTGCTAACGCTAGTAGAACCAAGCAGCGAGTGCAATAAGCAAATACATGGTCATAAGCAAGACACCCTCAAGCCAGTGAGACTTGCCATCTGCGATAAGGTAATTGACCTGAAAAGAATGAGCTTCTGGATTTCAATTTGGAGATTGGGGGAGACACACCAGGAGAACAGCGACGAAAAGTAAAACGACTTGGAAGTTGTCGAACGCGAGGGTCTATTCAAGTTAGTATTTCAGCCACATTTGGATATGTTCAAGGCTAGAACTCTTACCATGTCGTCAAGGCCCATGCACCATCCGATGATAACAACCAACGGTAACACGAGTAGAGCAATCTGCATACTCGATCCGACGGCCACACCGATAGCGAGATCCATCTTATCCTTACAAGCGACTGTGACTGCTGTGGCGTGTTCCGCTGCATTACCAACGATGGGTAGAAGGACCAGACCGACGAAGGTCTCGCCTATACTACCGGTAGCTGTCAAGGCGCTAATGGAGTCGACCTAGATGGAATAACGTTAGCTAGGCAGCTCATACTGGATCCTAGTGGGACTTTGCGAGCTGTTTTGACTCACCATGAATTCGGCACAGACACCAACTAGGGCAGTGGAAATCACAAGTGTAAGCGCCGCAACCCAAATCATCAACTGGGGCTGCTCGGGCTCATCGTCTGGATCTTGCATCTGCATTTGCTGCGCTTGTTCGCCGCCTAAGGTGCCGGCGGTCATCTTGCCGATCTGTGCAAGGTTGCGGGTAGTATCGCCTTCGGTAATCTTTTGGCGTCGTTTCTCGACCTTCGGGCTGGGACGGTTGTAGATCTCCACGTGGGACTTCAATTGGAAAAAGAGGTAGCAGCCGTAGACGATGAGGAGGAGGATGCTGGTGCCTCGGGAGAGAGGTGCGACTTTGTCTGCGTGGCCTTTGGAATCTTGATGATATTAGCTTCTGTTAGGGTTTCTGTCAACACGGAGCTACTTACCGTCAGACCAGCTGAAAGCAGTAGGAATAATTAAAGCTGCGACGGCGATTGCGAGGATACTGGCGGCTGTCTGGGCCACGGTGACGTTGAAATGTTGTTCCATGCGGTTGATACCGCCGAAGAAGAAACACATGCCCATGACAAGCAGCAGATTCGACAACATACTGCCGATGAGAGAAGTTTGAACAATAACAACTTCCTTCTTCACCAGCGCAATGATGGCAACGATCAACTCGACGGCATTACCGAAGGTAGCGTTCAAAAGGCCACCGATTGTTTCGCCGGTACGCAGAGCAATCTCCTCGGTTGCGAAACTGAGCATAGCAGCCAAAGGAATGATAGCAATGAAGTTGACCACGAAAATAGCAATCGGGTTCATATTGGCAGCATACAAGCCAATACCAACGGGCGCCGCAATGAAGAGGACGTTGATCCAGGAATTGAAGATGGTAGCCCTCAGTTGCGACGCCAGCGTGAATTTAGGCCCAGGCTTGACATCCTCATCGTCCTTGAGTTCATCTTCTGTCGATCCACGATGAAGATGATCGAGAATACCCTTTCTTTGTCTAGCCTTGCCGTTCCCCTCTTCCACCTCTGGGTCAAATCCCCGGTCTGATGTAACGTTGATAGGGTTCTGGCTAGCAATGGACGGCTCGTTGCGCTCAGCGCTAGCCGCCGTGAAGTGATCACTACTGGCCGTTCCTGGTGGGGCTGTGCCTGGCGGGAAAGTCTTTGCGTATGCGGGTGCACTGAACTCCTGCTGCTGGTGTTGATCTATAGGTAGGGAGAGATCGCCCATACTGCGTGTCTGAGACTCCAGTTGGATGGAGCCTCGGCGTTGTGGGCGTCTGCGGAATTTCTTGAATGGGTTGTGCGAGGGTTCTCCATCTTCCTCGTCGTACCATGCCAAGTTGCGCGCCTGGCGCCGGTAGATATCTAATGGAGTATCTTAGTATAGGCATTCAAATTGTTTCAAGTGTGATGGATCGATGCAAGTGGATTGCTTGGGCCCAGCAACGGTGAGTTATAAGACAAAGCGCGAGACTCACGCATTATGAAAGTGCGGTATACTAAGTGGACTTTGATATGATCGTTCTAGGCAATGAGTCAATAAATATGCCACGCTTCGTTGTTTTGGGCCAGATATAGCCCAACCAGTAGGACTTTGGAAGGTGAGCAAGGCTGTCTTTTATCATAGAATAAAGTGACAGCCTAGTCGCACTACCTTCGCCTCACCGACACTAGACGCGCGGGATGGGACTTACGTATGAAAGCCTGTTTCAAAGAGGGAAAGTGTACGAAGCTCAGTGGAGAGAAGCTTGCGAGATACGAGTGGCAACGTGGCTGAGGCTCGAAGCCACAGATATGGATAATGAAAGAACTGAACCCAGGCTCGAGGTTCTCAAAGGATTGAATTCTCCAAACAAACACAGAGTGGAGCTGGGCGAAGCAAGGGAGCGACAAAATCAAACAAAGAGCGGACACCCAAAATTGAGAAAAAGAAAGAATTATCCCAAGCCAAAGGGGGCAGAAAGCCAAGAATTGGGGGATTTGGGAATTTGTTGGTAAACCTTTGGATTTTATCGATTGTGGCTGTGTCCAGGGGCGATCGCAATTCAGTGGAGTTTTGAAGCTTGGCACTCGGCCTATACAACATTAACACTAGTTGATTTGAGATGGGATGGGTTTCAGATTCTTTTGAATTGCAGTGTCAGTCTAGCAAGCACGTTAATATATATCAGGCCGTCTTATCCCGGTTGTGTCAGGTTGCCAAGGGGGTGCGTTGGCCTGTGGGCAGCCACCTTGGAAAAGTCAAAAACCAAGAAATACAAGATGCTTCATGGGATGAAGCTTCCTTTGTCCAAATCTAGGACTCTTGGCAATGCGCCCATCACCTCATTATTTCATGATTTTTTCCAGGCCCAACAAGGAACGACGAGTGAGGTCACACCGCATAAATGGATCTCCGGATGTGATGCACTTCGAGCAATTATCGATGAACATTGACACGGTGTGAATCTTCCTCTGATTGGACATGTAAAGTGGTTTGGAAGTGTTTTGTCCCGCTTTCCGGGTCTTGGCAGTGAATCGATCAATCAGAACTCGATAGTAGCAAGCGCCACTACCCCTTGACCATTTCTGTAGAAACAGCCACACGCGTCCTTCAGTCACGTGCAACGTTTACAATCTCAGTTCTGGGAGGGAACGCGACTGAAAAATGCCAGGTTGGCCACCCTTATATGGTGATAGTATCACCCTGGTTTCTTGGTTTCTTTTGACCTGTAACACGTCAGATCAGTTTGAGGCTGCAAATTGGCATACAAGATACGTCGGTGGCTTTGACATCTGGAGAGATCTGCTCAAAGGACGCACAGACGGTGGCAGTACATGACAGCTTAGCCACATTCTCCAGAGTCCAGATCACGTCAGGCGCCAAAATTCGAGCGGTCGGGTCATTGCTGCAGTTGGCGAATCGAAAACGACGTGAGTTGGCGCCTGTGATGATCTGACCCGTGGAGAGAGGAGGGCCCGAGCCGGCTTATCGTAAGGCCTTAAGATGGGCATGAAAACTGACCAAAGGCCTGGTTGGCATTTCAGAGACAAGCTTGGGAGAGGGCGCTAAATGACAGCCCTGGAGAAGCCGGGGGCATTTATTCATGTCCGTTTTGCGGGTTTTCGGATTATGTTGCTGCCTGCGCTTACTATTTGGTGTGGAGCTTTTGCTGCACATGACGGAGATCATTCTCTTCAAGCCTACAGAAGCCAGATTATCTATAGAATCGAGATCACTGATAAAATTGACATTTTTAATTCAAATTTTTGGACAGTACTGTATACTGAAAACTACATGTATGAGAATACATTGGGGGTGTTGGAGCGACCCATGGGTGTGACTTTTAAGGTTAGGCTTGAGGGTATACATTGGGCATGGGATCATTTGTTATCGGTGACTATCTTCAAACACCCAAGAAAGTATCGATCAGGTTAGACGGCTGATCAAAGAAATCAAACATAACAATGCCAAGGCGTTTGCCCTTTTGCTCCCGCAGGAAAGAGACCAATCGTTGATTCACACCACCCAATGGAGTATAAGTACCATTTCCGACCGCCATGATCTTAGGCCAGTCCGCTGGTACATTATCGGTATTTTCACTGGAGGCCCATGTCCAGAACAGACTAGAGGGGTGCTCGGTGGTAGCCTTCTTAATGTTTCCCACAGTTGCATTGTACTTCCATTGGATGTTCTCGGTAGCATTGGATCCTGTTGGAGTGAGAGGCTGATAGTAGTCCTCGATATAAGCAGTGAGGTTCTTCTCGGTATTGTAAACAAGCGTGATGTCCGGGGAGTTGTCGGTCCAGAGGCTTGGAGAAAAGTGTAGGCCAGGGAGGGCGTCGGTATAAGATGCAGGCAACTGGTCCAGGTTGAATCGACGCATGAGTGTGATTTTTCCACGAGCTTCACCCAGAGTTCCCAATTCGCCCTTTGTCTGAACAAAGTACTGGCGAGCGGCTTGGGAGGTCAAAGAGTTGTACAGACTCAATTGTACAGCCGCGTCGTTCGATGCGTAGAGTGCTGTTGAGCCTTCATACTGGAAGGACAGGAAGAGAGTCTCAGAGGGATGGTCATCCAGCCACTGATAAAATCCATACAGCACATCGTCGACAGTGGCTATCTCAGAAAGAAGGGCCTGGGAGTGGTAAAAAACCAGTGTGGTGTTGGTGGGATCAAAGGCATAGCGGATGTCAAATGCTCGTATGCCAAGGTTAAGCATATCGATGAATGACCGTTCCTGGCAGCGGAACGTCTCTGGTGCTGGTACAGTGACCTGGTTCAGATAAGTAATGCCTAAAAGGCTATCCTGAGTAGCTTGGGTGTAGTTCCATGTGGCGCTGTCGTGGGTGCCCGGGATGTTCATATGGACAAGCAACGTGTTGTCGGCATAGTTCTTCATCCACTCAGCTTGGCTCGTGGTCTCTTTGACATACTGTCCAAAGATTGGTGACGCAGTATCGAGAACTTTGGAGAGGGCCAAATCAGCCAAGGACGCCGCTCCCAGAGAAACCCAAAGGGGGGTTAGGGCGACAAAACTTGTGAGGACCCGCATATTTGAGAGCTCAACCAGGAGTCGGGATCAGAAGGAATAGAGGGGAAATAGCTTGATTATCCCACTTATGTGCAGAAATGTCAACGATATATAGCTCACACTTGGGTATGAAGCTTGAGTGCCTTTGCGCCAATCACGCCTGCGATCGTTCGCCCGTGAAGCTTTTAACGGAAGATTGCGGAAATTTTGCCGGCAATTGGTTAGCCGATAGCTCAAGTGGAGTTCTTATGTACAAATATCCGTGGCAGTCTTCGTTTCGTTTTCAAGGATGTCAAGACGCGGTGGCACGTGGCTCTCGAAGGTGCTGCCACTGGCCAGTGGGAATCGTGTATATGGTGTCGTTCCAAGGTTGGCCTTTAATCTACCTCTCATGCAGATAGTGAAAATTCGTTTAAAATGCGATCTTTCAATCAAAAAAATGAAAACAAACCCCTTTTCTCTCGCATTGCTTAGTCACCATGTTGATGGAGCTTTTGTGACCAGATTGAGATGGCGGTTAGTATGGGCAATATACCCAAAACCTTGCATGAATCCACTCACCTTAAGACTGGATGAGAGGATTCGCGGGGTAAGTAGAATCTGGTAAGTACACAGGAACGAATCTGGAAGTTGTATGTCAATGAATATAGTATCTGTAAAAGATGGGAATGAGCGCCATTGCAGTCAAGGCACCCCCATGAAAACCACATATACAGTTTAATTTGCCGCACGTACGGTAAAGAGAGATCCCGAGTCTATGAAGATTGGTGTCGAGTATCCTCAATGAGATTTTGATCCATGGATCAAATCAAACATCGAAAGAGGGGCTGATTCGCAGCACTGAATAAGCTACTGTCGACAGCTGGATCTGTCAGTCAAGGGAAGAAAGAGCTGCGCTGTGGTAGCCAGGAAACAGACGAAACATTTGAAGGATCAAATCTGTATTCCTAGAGATATGGAAGAGAGACGAAAGAGAGAGAGAGAGAGAGAGAGAGAGAGAGAGATCTAACTAAGACACGCACGCGCTGGAGCAAGCGAATGGGGTCACCTGACCCACACTTCAATAGCTACATATCCCGTGGGGTCAGGACTCAGCGACAAGTATCAATTGATGTGAAAGTAAAGAGGATGCGGAGACTGGTCAATAAGATTGTTGAGAAAGATACAGTAGTGGGGAGGCTGTTGCTTAAACAATGTGCTTATATATATGTACAAATATGTATGTCATTAATGCCACCGGTTATGTTTTGAAAGAAATGACGCAGACCCTTGTCTCGCACTTGAAGATTATTGCTGTGATTTCAATTGCAGTGAAAAGACATCCAGGGCACTTAGAAGATGTTGTAGATGTGTTTATCAATTGCAGAAAACTTAGGAACTATTTTCATTCTACTTAACTGAAACATGAAGAGTTTGCATTAAGTCCCAGCTCCACAGCAAGTGGAACAGGAGCAGGTAAAAGGCCGCTACTCTGACCCAAGAATCAGCCATTCGCCACCAAAAGGTACGGAATTCACGAAAATGATGGAGGAAAATGTGTTTCAGACCGTGAAGCCCCGGAGGGATCATGTCTTTATGAGAGACCTACCCAACCGACGGCACTGATGCAGCCCATTGAGCAAACCAAAACTAGCCGTCCAAGGAGAATACTTGGATCTTTCCTCTGGAGGAGAACCGGAGAAAATACATAGAAAAAAACATGAGTACATACGCTCAAAAGCTGGAATACCAAGGCAGATAAGTTGGCTCCATCTATATAGGTGTGGTAGTATCTGGACATTGAATGTGCATGTCAACGGAGGCATCCGAGAGCCATAAAACCTTGGAATATGGTACATCAAAACGTTGATAGATAGTAAACCAGAAGGGGTGTACGGAGTATGGACATGTAGATTCGCATGCAGAAAAATACTACTTTGATTGAGATGTATCCGCAACACCGACTGGGTTAAACACTTCGCGTTCGTTCATTGCTTTAAGGTTTGCGATTGAGCTGTGAGTTTGTGTAGATCACAAGCTCGCGATAATAAAGAGAAATATCCAAATATACAGTACGGCGAGGATCCTAAGATTCCTACCAAAAATTTTGCCGTTTCATCAGAAAACCGACACGTCGCCATATCTCTAAGATGATATATCTTCAATGGCTGTAGATTAGACGAAAATGAACTACTAGTATGTAAGTTGAACACGGATGTATGTACAATTCAGGCTTGAATAATTGTAGAACCCAAGGAGAAGTACCGCATATCTTAGTTGTCCTTTGCAGACGATGCATGGTTGATCACTCATATTTTTGTGGCGACACTGAACGCGAGGGGATCAACATGATGATGTATTGATGTGCGTGACCCACATTTATGGGCCGCAGTGATAGTCAGGGGGAACTAGGAAAAGGCAAACATTTTCATTGTATAATCGAATCATGGCTTTTCCTCGTGACGCAATTGGGGCCTGAGATCAATCCCTTTACTCGATCAGACACCTGAGCCGTCCCGTCAATAAAGATCAACAACCCACACCCCACTTGACATCCTACATGTACATACGTTACAGTTTTTTTTTTTTTTTTTTTTGGCAATGATTCTGAGGGTTAATGGTGGAATTAAGTTATTAAATTATTAGATTTAGAGACGTCAATCTGAAAGAACGCTTCTGCCTGGTAAGTTACCTCCGGGTCACCGGTTCACATGGGAAAGTTCTGGAATGCAAGACGCCAAACTTCAAACCCGCCTCAATCGTCTCCATGGTCTCCATAGGATCCATACAGTAGGATCCATAAATTTGCAGAAAGGGACTCAGAGCTAACTAGTTGTACAAATTAGTGGGGATAAGCGATGACAGAGATGATGGCACGGACCCTTGTCGCGCTGGGAAATGGAGTGGTATTTAAATATGTACGATCTCGTGGCATGGTGTGGCATGGTGTGGCATGGCTCCAAGTTTGCGACAGGAAATAAGAAAATAATACTCCGAAGTCAGGATCATGGCAATTGACATACCAGTCGACATCATCGCGACATTCTTTATATAAGGGAGATCGCCTTGGCAGTGGATGGACAAGCTTTTTTGTGTTTTTTTTTGTGTTTGCGAGCCAGGTCAAAAGGGGATGGATAGGGGATGATCTAAAGATAGTGTATTTTTGTAATTCTTACAAAATTTGGAACGGTCCTTTGTCGTTATTTATTTATAATTTATAATTTCCCTCAAAGCAGGAATTGTGTATCGGAAAGTGGATACTGAACTCTTCAGCCACTCAGGGTCTTTCAATCTATTCACAGCCCTGGGTCGCCAAGGAAAATGGACCCTCAAAAAGACCCTGAGGCCCAGTCAGGGTCCGATATGACTGATTGGTGGGTCTTGAGCGGCTTACTTGGCGAATACGGTAGGAGGAGGTCTCAGGGGCGCGCTAGAAAGACGGGTAATTGGCGCATTAGGATCCACAGGGGACCGAAACAATCAAAACAACTTCCTAGCGGAGATGGGAAGTGGGATTTGGGGCCAATGACCCTGAAACCCTCGATTATTATCGGTCTCACAGTAGCACATCAATGGAGTTGGCACAGCCCACTGATGATCCGTTGTTAAGTTTTAATACATTTCGTATGATTATGTACCTGAATGGGGAAAAGTGACCTATCGTTGTAGGGGTTTCACCAGCATGTGGGTAAGTACCAAATGAACTCAGAGTACAAACCCCCCCCGGACCATCCGCCCTTTTGCCTTTCCCGAAGCCCAGACCCCATCACCCCTACTCTCTCTCTTTTCTTCCTTTTCAACCTCCTCTCTTCCTCTCTTCCTTCCCAATTCCATTCGCTTTTCATATCCCTTCACATCCACGAACGGCTTCATTGCCCTTCCTGTCATTCTTTTGGGGTTTATTCTATATTTCAATTCACTTTCTCTACGATGAAGTACTCTGTCATCGCTGGTCTATCCCTTTTGGGATCGGCCATGGCGACTGTGCCCTCCATTGAGATCAAAGGCAAGAAGTTCTTCTACTCTAACAACGGCACCGAGTTCTACATCCGTGGTATTGCCTACCAACCCGACTACAACGCCCGTAACGGTGGTAGTTCTGACGTCGACTACACCGACCCGCTGGCCGATGTCGAGAGCTGCAAGCGTGACATTCCCTACCTTGTCCAGCTGCGTACCAACGTCGTTCGTACTTATGCCGTCAACCCCAACTCCTCTCACGACGAGTGTATGAATGCCCTTGCCGACGCTGGAATCTACGTCATTAGCGATCTCTCCTCCCCCTCGGAGTCTATTCAATCCTCAGACCCCATGTGGAACGCCGATATCTTCGAACGTTACTCATCCGTCATTGATGCCTTCGCCCAGTACCCTAACGTCATTGGTTTCTTCGCCGGAAACGAGGTCTCCAACAAGGTCTCCAACAGTGACTCCATGGCTTATGTCAAGGCTGCTGTTCGTGACATGAAGGCCTACATCAAGCAGAAGAACTACCGTTCCTCCCTGGCCATCGGTTACGCTACTGACGACGACGCCAGCGTTCGTGAGAATATTGCCAACTACCTGGTCTGCGATGATGCCACAGACTCGATTGACATGTTCGGTTACAACATCTACGAGTGGTGCGGTAACTCTTCCTACGTAGCTTCCGGATACAAGGACCGTACCGAGGAGTTCGCAGACTACCCCGTCCCTGCCTTCTTCTCCGAGTACGGCTGCAACCAGCCCAGTCCTCGCTATTTCACTGATATTCCCGTTCTTTACGGCCCTGAGATGGAGAACGTCTGGAGCGGTGGTATTGTCTACATGTACTATGAGACTGGTAACGACTTTGGTTTGGTTTCTACCTCTGGCACCAACGTGATTACCTTGACCGACTTCGACAACCTGTCCTCTGAGATTAAGAAGGCTACCCCCACCGGTACTGTCATGAGCGATTACAGCGTCTCTACCACCGTTGGCCGCACCTGCCCTACCGTTTCGGCTGGTGAGTGGCTTGCTGCCAGCAACCTGCCCCCTGCCATTGACTCCGAACTCTGCTCTTGCATGTACGACTCCCTGACCTGTGTTCCCGTTGACGGTATCTCCACCAAGAAAATTTCCAGCACCTTCAGCTACCTCGGTGGTGAGGACGGTGTCATGGATGGTGTTACCGGTAATGGTACCACCGGTGTCTACGGTGCCTACAGCGGATGCAGCACCAACCAGCGTCTCGCCTGGGCCATGGACCAGTACTACAAGAAGAACGGCAAGTCTGCCTCTGCCTGTGGCTTCAGTGGTGCCGCTACCACCAAGTCCGCCACCACCGCCAGCTCCTGCAGCTCTCAGCTCAAGGCCGCCGGTACTGCCGGTACTGGCTCTGTCAGTGGCTCTCTTAACGCTGCTACTGGTACCAGCTCTGGTGCCACCTCCAGCGGTGCCGCCGGTGCTCTCAACGCTCCTCAGGCTGTCATCATTGGTGCATGGCACACCGGTCTCTACGCTTTGGCTGCCTTCGCTACCGGTGCTTTCATGATTGCGCTGTAAAGCTTGAATGAATTGATTTATTTTCTTTATCCTGCCGTGTGATTTGAATATGGCGCCATTGTATCACTACACGCGCACAAAAGGCGCCTTTTCTTGTATCCGTCTTAGCTCGGCACTTTGTTCATACATAATCTTTTTGGTCAAATAGCAAGCTGGTGTTCATTTGTTCTTATCTAGGTTCTAAACATTTCGTTTCCCTTTCAATGCCAATCTCCAAGGTATACCTACTCCCAAGTAAGATCGGAATTTAGATCTCCTCGGGTATTGCCCCAGCCCTAGAGGTAACAAACAACCTACAAGTACATATAGTCCTAATGTTCGTCATCAGACCGAAATTTTGAGACCTTGGAATTGGCATAATTGTTTGCTCGAGGTTCAAAATGACCGAACTTCAACATCGTGACTCCAGTTCATTCCAAGATTGGCTGAAATATTTATTATGTACTAAGTACACAAACTTTTAAACGACCACAGGAGGGGATCATTTCTAGGAATTTATACACATTCATCAGTAAATTACACCTCCGCCCAAGGACATAACAGACGCAATTTCCACCTTGGGTTATCTGTTACATAAACATGTCATAAATCAATCAAATTATTGACTCCTATGGTCCAATTGTGTACATAAGTTATTCAATCTCTGTTATGAGTCAATCAACATCGCTGTCCTCTGTCCGTTGGTGCGCCATCCGCCGTCGGGTCGGAGCCGACCTGCGGGCTGCATCCACTCTCCACATTGCCTTTTCTAGACCTAGAACATCATTTTGTGACTCATTCTGATATGAATTATCAGATTCCTCATTGAAGAAACCGTCTATACATCGTTAGTTGCTACCGGAAAGAGATATGAGGAGTACTCTGAATGGTAATTGGGCCAATCTTGAGACAAGTACAATTCAACGAAGTAGATCCAGCTTCGACTCGAAAAGTGGATACAAGAGTGGGTCCGTTGGATTAGATCCCGCCGGAAACTGACCAATCATATCATTCCATTGCGAAATATTGATAGTACGTTTACTTCGTGCTAGAGTCTTTACAGCCTGAGGTGACGCTTCTCTCATTCCTATACTCCCTAGGTCTTTCGTCCTTCTCGAACGTTGTGACTCATAAATCTCAACTCACTTCCAAACTTCAAGCTTTAAAAGACCGCTACCCATCCTTCTTTCCCACAACACTGATCCAACTTTCACCAACTTCTCGACCCACGTTCAGATTCCCACCATACGTGTCTTCACTTGGACAAACGCCGATATGGAAGCCATCAAAGAAGTCTTTGCGCAGTGTAAAGAGCAGCAACGTGCAGCTTTGATCACCTACATGACCGCTGGATACCCCAGCATCAAAGAGACAGCCTCAATCATGCTTGCCATGCAAACCGGTGGCGCAGGCACGTATCAAGCTCCAAACCTCAAGATCCAAGCCAAGATATTGGGAATCACTGACCAGGCCATACTAACAGCCATGAACTGCAGACATAATCGAACTCGGAATCCCATTCACGGATCCCCTCACAGACGGCACAACAATTCAAAACGCAAACGTGGTTGCTCTCCAAAACGGCGTGCGCATCCCCACAATGCTCACCATGGTCCGCGAGGCACGTAGCCTTGGACTGACAGCCCCTGTTCTCTTCATGGGGTACTACAACCCTGTACGTGCATACGGCGAAGAGAAAATCATCCGTGACTGCCGTGACGCAGGCGTGAATGGATTTATCATTGTGGACCTCCCACCTGAGGAAGCTGTTCGATTCCGTGATTTGTGTAAACGTGATGGGTAGGTCCCCTCCTGCTTGGATTCGGAGATGAAAGCAATGCTAACGGAAATCATGACAGACTATCATACATTCCTCTTGTTGCACCCGCAACCCCAGACTTCCGGATGAAGATGCTCTGCGAGATCGCAGACTCGTTCGTCTATGTTGCGTCCAAAATGGGCGTTACCGGTGCTACCAAGTCTCTGGATCAAGGTCTAGATGGTCTTCTTGAGCGTGTGCATAAATACACTGGGAAGAAGGTCCCTGCTGTGGTTGGCTTTGGAATCAACACCCGAGAGCACTTTGTGAATGTGGCAGGTATCGCGGAAGGCGTTGTCATCGGGAGTAAGATCATCATTGTCCTGAAAGATGCGGAGTCGGGCACCGAAGCCGAGAAGGTGAAGGAGTATTGCATGTATGTGACTGGACGGACCGAAGCGAGGAAGATTGAGGAATTCGCTCCTTATACTTCCATCCCTACTCCCAATCTCGCAGATGAGATGCATACCGATACCCCCACGATCAGCACCGACAACTACATGCGCTTTGGCCAGTTCGGCGGCCAATATGTTCCAGAAGCCCTGATGGAATGCCTGACGGAGCTGGAAGCAGGTTGGAGGAATGCCAAATCGGACCCTGAATTCTGGGCCCAGATCCGTTCTTTCGCCAAATACGCCAACCGCCCCTCGAGTCTGCACATCGCATCGCGTCTCACCGAACACGCTGGCGGTGCCCGAATCTGGCTCAAGCGTGAAGATCTCAACCACACAGGAAGTCATAAGATCAACAATGCACTGGGACAGGTTGTTCTCGCGCGTCGTCTGGGAAAGACCGCTATCATCGCAGAGACTGGCGCAGGACAACACGGTGTCGCAACAGCAACCATGTGCGCGCATTTCGGGATGAAGTGTACTATCTTCATGGGAGCGGAAGACGCACGTCGACAAGCACTGAACGTTTTTCGAATCCGTTTGCTCGGCGCAACTGTCATCCCTGTCTCTGGAGCCCACGAAGGCGAAAAAGGAACACTGCGCGATGCCGTAAATGCGGCGTTCCGAACCTGGGTCACGGAGTTGAAGACGACCCATTTCGTCATCGGGTCTGCATTCGGACCGTATCCATATCCGAGTATCGTGCGGACCTTGCAGTCTGTTATTGGCGAGGAAACTCGTGCGCAATTCATGGAGGAGATGGATGGAAAGTTGCCCGATGCACTTGTAGCATGTGTCGGTGGAGGATCGAATGCTGCGGGAATGTTCTCTCCATTCCTTGCTGATGATGGTGTTGCATTTGTTGGTGTTGAAGCGGGGGGAGATGGGGTAGATGCTGGAAGACATTCTGCAACACTTGGACGGGGTAGTGTTGGTGTTCTTCATGGAGTGCGGACTTACGTGCTTCAGGATGATGATGGACAGATTAGCTCGACTCATTCTGTGTCTGCTGGTTTGGATTATCCTGGTGTTGGGCCTGAGTTGTCTGCTTGGAAGGAATCTGGTCGCGCGAAATTCATTGCGGCTACCGATAAAGATGCGCTGAATGCGTTCCGGTTGCTTAGTGAGCTGGAGGGCATTATTCCTGCTTTGGAGAGTGCGCATGCTGTTGCCGGCGCAATTCGGGTTGCGAATGAGCTTGGAGCTGAGAAGGACGTTGTCATTTGTCTGTCTGGACGAGGTGATAAGGATGTACAGACTGTGGCGACTATGCTACCTTCGTTGATGCCGGAAGTGTAGACCTTTCGTCTTTAATTTGTATTTGTAGCGTGTTCTCTCCGCTCTTTTTGTTCGGTGTTTTCTCCACTAAATTTGTTTGAAATGGTTATCGGGTACTTTCTAGTGTCATTAATCATTTGATATTGATCTGTCAAATCAACATCTCTTTTTTCTTTCTTCTACAATTCATTAGATCGTACCTCATCCTCTAGTCTGTGCAGGAGTCAAGGGCTTCCCATGCATAGATTTGCAGATAATCCACTTAATAGAGTTAGCTTCACTTATACAATGAAGTTTGCTGAATTTGCGGGGGATTTTCAATCTGGGGAAGGTTATGTATAGACTGACTTTCCACAATCACCAGACACACCATAAAACTGTTTTCTTCAACTATCTATACCCCGATTCCTCCGAGACACGATCATAGACTACGGCCGAGCATAGTATGCATCAAGTAAGAAGCTTGGTTCAAAAGTTCATATCACCACCATCTTCATCTAGCGGCATACAGGAAGGATCGAAACCAGTTTCACCACATGCACACAGAGATTCTTTCTCGAACCCTCTTTCGAAACACGCTATGCCTAATACAATTACTCTACCCCTGACCCTTGTTCTTGGCAGCATTTCAGTACAGTGGTAAATAACATCAGAAAAATAACTACTGTGTTAGGCTTATATGGCTTTCTGAGCTTCTAGAATGTTGATCCTGCAAACAAGGCAAACAACAGGGGGTCTTCGTAATCCGGTCACTAGGCCCGATGTTCAGATTCCTATCTTATCAGACAGTTTGTCAGCCATTCAAACCCAGATTGTTTGTGTGAGAGAAGTATATACCGCGTGAGGAGATACATGCGTAGCAGAGCCTAGCGGAAAGGGCTTTGTCGCCGCAAAATAGAAAAGCAAAGACATTGCTGATTCGTGATGGGAGATATAAGACCACAATTCCACTCTTGCTTGGTGTAACTGGTGATTTTCTTATCATCGGTTAATGAGGAACGTGAGAGCGTGGAAATTGCCAGGCAATTAGGCTGAACTTTGAACTAGGAAGTAAGGAAAGTTGCATAAATGCACCATCTATATAGATAGGATAATGTCTGCCGGGTGGGGCTTTCTTATCTGGGCTGCCGCCGCTTTTACGAGGGCGCTCAGGCTCCGGATCACTGAGTAGACGTCAGCACGGGCTCTGACTTGGTGATCGCGCTCGGTGCTGTCACGTGTACAATGACTAATCCATGGCGCGCCGCGGGACCGCTCAGTGAGTGAGAGGCATGCGCAGTGAGCACCCCTGATCCGTCCAATCAACTTAGATCGTCCCAAAAAAGACAGGCCCCACAGGGCCATTAATTCTGGGTAATGCGTTGACGATATTTGGGCTGCACTCGTTTTCGGGAGGATCGCATGTCGCTAAAAGATTGAATCATATCTATCAGACGCAAAAAGGTGGAAAAAGCTATCCAATTGATGACGATCTGGTCAGAATTTCTTGTCTCCTCATGTACGGCGGGCGACTCGAGCTCGAAGTTTCAGCTATATAGAGGCACTAATATAAGATGCGAAAATTCGTGATATTTCCCAAAGATATTAAATATTGATCCTCGGTGTATCTTTTATCGAAATAGTACACCGTCATTAAGAGCTCTTGTCACTGAAGGTTGGTCGCATTGTTGGATGAATTGGGGTCAATGCCGCGTGGGAGAAGAAATTATATATTGGGGAAATGCGTGGAAGCTCTTTTTGTTGTACAATGGTCAGCAGCAGCTAGCAGGCTTCACCAGCCTGTGATTTTGGGAAGGCCGATGGCGCTTCCTACAGATTTTTCACTTCACCGCCATACAAAGTGTGTTGATAGCTTATATCAGCGGCTATCGACAAGTCTTGAAATATAAAACATGGTTCTTCAGATATCAGTTTGAAATTTATCATATCTATTTACGATGGTATATTTAGCTGGCGGCCCGGTGGTTCTGGCGGTTCGGTAGTTGATTAATTACGTTAACCTACATATGTACTTCCTCTGCCTCGTAATTGGGGATATCAATGCTGCTGAATTAGCCCACATAGTTAACTATTTACAAGGGTCCATAGTTACCAGATATCTGAAAACAGTGTTTAATTAGTTCATTGGCCAGTTCTACTATCTTCACTTGCGCTACAGCATCTCTGAGAAATGACTATTCTTAGTCATATTCCGCTATAAATTGTGTACCTAGGGGCAGGTCGCGTCCCGCCGTAATGGTCCCACATTTCATTCGTCACACAATTTCATTTTCATGGCTTGCGCCTGGTCCAGACGCCTTTTCAAGGTTCTCCGCCGATTTATTGGCTTTATTGACTAGGTTCTGGGCTGTGAAAAAACAGGGCCCCTTTGCTCCGTAAATCCGATGCTAATTAACCACGCGCTAGCAGATCAGTTATCACTTCGGTCGGCATCCCATACTTTAAACAAGTTATGAATTAGTTGTTGCATGGCGGTTGACACTACTGTGATCATTCCAATTTTGAACGAGAAAAAATTGTAACTGAAGATTTCTTCCTCAGCTCTATATTCAGTCGAACCTGGTACTGATTAAGTGAATACATCAAGAGGTATGTAAAATGACAGCGTGCCTCGATACTTGCTGTACTATCATGCAAAAAAGCAATTGAAATAATCTTATCGTCATTTTTGATCTAATTTGGTGCAGTTTAATAAGATTCATTATCTTGTTTCGATATGTATGCGGCCCATGCGCCAGTCACGAATCCAAAATGGAGAGTGCCGAAAGCTTGTGAGGCTTGTCGTCTTCGCAAAATTAGGTGTGATGGATATACGCCTTGCAGTCAGTGCACAGAAAGAAATCGTTCTTGCGAATTTCGGGAAAAAGCTCGCCAACGCCTCAAAAAGGCCAAGCAGACACCTGAAATGCATTGGTTGCCTGCTCGATCAGCCAAAGGCGCCCCGCAGACTCTGCCTCCACACCCAGAGCGGGATGCCTGGAAAGAACCCAGCTTACCACATAATAGCGTAGTGGCAACTCACCTGGCATCACCCGGACTTCTGATGCAGTTGTTTTATGGACCAACATCGAATTTCTCCTTGATGCAGAGAATCTATCTTGACCTCATCCCAGGGTATGCGGAGAAAGTTTCTGAGATGTCCAAGAGTGTCACTGAGGAGGGAAGTGCAGGACTAGAGATGTTCGATTTCCGTCACATATTCTTTGGATTTCCTGAGAGCAGTCATGAGGGGAATACTGGCCACGGAAGAGTGTCGGCGTTCCCGATCTTCATCCCATACCCAGTTGCCAAGTCTTTGCTTCTTCATTTTCTGGAAACATTGTATTATCTCATGCCATTTCACCCCAAAGAGGTGTACGAGCAGAGATTGAAAGAAATGTATGACGCGCCAATTGGTTCGGCAAAAGAAACACCGGGGGATCAGGTATTGCTGATGGCTATCGCAATCGCGGCAATCAACTCAGAGCATCATCGCCTCGCAGACACCCTATTTGAGTGTGTCAATAGTCGAATGGCCGCCATGATGGACATAGTGAACCTCGAGATGGTGCAAACTTCATTGATCATGATGAGTTTCCCTGTATCCCAAAGATCTTGAATCAAAGCGATATGCTGACGTCTAGGAGCACGCCCACTTTGAAAATGAGCAAGGCCGCCCAAATTCCGCATACTTGCACTTGGGGATAGCAGCGAGGAAGGCCATTTCCGCTGGCTTTCATAAATCTAAACCGACATCAATTTTTGATCGTCGCTATGACGATATCCAAAAGACAATTTGGGCATTGTACATATACGAAGTGTACGTTGGACATTGATGTTAAGAGTCTTTTTGCTGACGGAATACCCGCCGCAGACTTGTTTCGTTCTTCCTTGGTCGTCCAACTTGCCTCTCTCGGGCAGATATCGAAATTTCGGTTCCAGATGATCCTTTTCTTCTGTGTCTCGTCCGACTCACCGAAATAATATCGAGATCGGTACAAGAGATATACGGCCACTCAAACGATTCATTCATACCTGTCCATCAGGCAGCAACATCAATTCGCCGTGACCTTATGGCATTTCAATCGTTGATGCTGGAAAAGCTAGGATTCTGCGTGGACAGTGAGCCAATTCAGAGGGATAAGGGCGTTTGTCAAACTATTTTAACAACCTGTAAGGCCCCCGTTTCAAAAATTCCACGCCCAAAAATGCTAACATGATCTCAAGTGTATTACTATACGCTGCTTTTGGTTTATCGACCGTTCCTCATCCTGAGAGGTAGATTGCGAAAACAATTCGAGCAATCAAGTAATAAAGAGAACAGCGCTTTTTCAAGGGCACGCAACGATATGCCACTATGGTTGAATGACGCATGTGGGTTCGCAATTATGGCCGCACGTGAGGCAATCCGTCATATTTCCGAAGCATCGAAGACCAATCCGTTGGTTCAAGTAAGCCCTATTCTCTTCTTGTTAGGATCTTGCCTTTTGCCTGTTGAGTTGACACTGATTTGCTATCCTTTGTCTCAAAAGGAACTTCGATTCCATGGGTTTTTCATAGGAAGCTGTGCATTTGCATTGATCTACGACATGCTGCATGACCAGTCAATGATCTCTACTCATCTACCGTGGGTCAACACAGGACTGCGATACCTTTCTCAGATGCGAGAGGGAGAGCCGATCACTAGTACCATCCGCGCTGTCAATCTTGCATTGGACAAGCTGAATCAAGGCCAAATGACGGAAGTAAGTGAGCCTTCAAGTTCTTTTGCTCGACTTTCTCCGGAAATTGCAGAGGCCGAGGCAAGGAGTGAGGTCCAAGAATTTGCCAATATTACTCAGAATTCGACTTGGAATGGTTTATCTCCGTCGTTACCCTCGAACCTGGAAACTTTTGATGGATCTGGCGATCTTGGGATCTGGAGGATCGATCCGTCTATGGTTACTTTAGAAGGATTCTTCTCCTGGCCGCTCCAAGGGCCCTTTCAATGACAGGGTACGACTCTGTTGGCTCTGTAGCTGCGGCTTTGTGCGGGACCGATCTGCGGCGATGTGGCGGGATGGATATGCTAATCTGTACGTTAAAGTTCATTAATTGTTAAACAGTAAACCTAATTATATACATGTAATATTCTGCCGGACAGAAACCTCCATAGTATTGATACGGAGTAGACCACTACACATATGGCTATTTAGACCCACTAATAGGGCGTATACCACCCATATGAGTCAGTAGTTGCCTGACAAATATCAGACATAGTCTCCGAGAGATGCTCGGGGCGTTTCATCTCTATATTTCCACAAGCAATCTGTGCAGTCTCCACTAGAACTCGCCTCGTGTTATTATTGTTTTTTATATTATTATTTTTCATATTAATGAAACCATACGTCGCTCAACGAATAAGCGGTTGTACGGGTCAGCGGGTATACGGGTCGGCGGGTATACGGTTTGAGTGGCTATACGGCTCGACCAGCTATCCGGAATAAGATCTACATTTAATCGGGCCTAAAGATTAGCTTCACGAAAAGGGATGGCAGCATTATAAAGAACAGCCCAGTCCACGAACTGCAACCTTCGCCTTTCTGCCCTCAATAGTCTTACTTCTTACTTGACCTTGTTTGGTGCAGACATGTCCGAAAACACTACCAGTGCAGTCGATGATGATGACTCTAGTCAGACCCAATCAATCACACCTCATTTGGCCGATGAGCCTGTCAAAGAGAAGTGGCATCCCCGGTCCTCACCGGCGGACTGCAAGCAGGTGACAGTGACATGGCAGCAACTGTCGGTGCATGTTCCCGCCTCCGAGGCAGTCCAAGGCGATACCCTCTGGTCGGACGTTGATCCCAGGAATTGGATACAGAGCTTTCGAAAAAGTCGAGAAAGTGTTAGTTGACCTCGGAATGCCGTTGACCTCTACCGATACTGACTGAATACAGACAATTCTTCATGACATGACCGGTCAGGTGCGACCGGGAGAAATGGTATGTTGTATTTTAGTCCACTACAAGGGCAAGGGCTTGCTGCTAACGGGTATTAGCTGCTGGTCCTCGGGCGTCCCGGTGCGGGTTGTACATCGCTGCTTAAAATGCTGGCCAACGACAGGGACGGGTTTGACAAGGTGGATGGATCGGTCCACTTTGGAAGTATGGACCACAAGGAGGCCCTCAAGTTCCGGCAGCAGTTTATGTTCAACAACGAAGGTTTGATAACAAATCATACCTTTGAAATCGGTGAAGGCTAATTAGTCGTATAGATGACGTCCATTTTCCCACTTTGACGGTGGATCAAACCATCAAGTTCGCCCTCCGCAATAAGACGCCCGCACAAAGAGAGGAAGGCACGACCCGGGAGGAATATGTCGAGCGAGTCCGAGACGAGATTTTGGGATCATTGGGTATCCTCCATACCAAGAAGACGCTTGTGGGTAATGAGTTTGTCCGCGGTGTGTCTGGTGGAGAGCGAAAGCGTGTCTCCCTTGCTGAAGTCATGGCGGGTCAAGTAAGTACTCATACACGTGAATTAGCTTCAGTAGAAACCCGAACATTGACAATTATCTCAGAGTCCTGTACAATGCTGGGATCAATCAACCCGTGGTCTTGACGCCAGCTCCGCCCTCGATTTCGCCAAGAATCTTCGCCGCTTTGCCGATGAACAGCGAAAGACAATGATTGCCACTTTCTACCAGGCAGGTAACGCCATTTACGATCAATTTGACCAAGTGCTGGTGCTTGCTAGCGGACATGTCATCTACTATGGTCCACGCCGACAGGCGCGTCAATATTTCGAGGAAATGGGATTTGTCTGTGGTCGTGGAGCCAACATCGCCGACTTTCTCACCTCTGTCACTGTCCCCACGGAGCGCACTATAAAAGCTGGCTTTGAGGAGAAAATTCCCAAGAACGCTGCAGAATTCTCGGCTCAGTACAAAGCCAGTAACATATACAAGGCGATGGTCGAGGGGGTCATACTACCACAGGAACTGGAGGATGAGACTCGATCTTTCAAATCTCACGTCGCTCATGAAATTAAGGGCGGCGACGTAAATGTCAGAAACCCTTATACTGCGTCGCTCTGGAACCAAATCATCGCGTGCACTATTCGACAGAGCCAGATTATCTGGGGTGACCGTATTTCGCTCGGGGTGAAAGTCGCCTCGGCTCTTATTCAAGCACTCGTGTCTGGAAGTCTTTTCTACAATCTTTCTGATACCAGCTCTTCTACCTTCCTTCGACCCGGCGCCCTCTTCTTTCCTCTGATGTATTTCTGTATGCAATCTCTCTCAGAAACCACGTCGTCTTTCATGGGACGGCCTATTCTTGGTCGACAGAAACGATTTGCATTTTATCGGCCTACTGCATACTGTATTGCCAGTGTGATCACGGATATTCCTGTCGTCTTCTTCCAGGTAACCGTGTTTACGATCGTATACTACTGGATGTGTGGCTTTCAGGCAAACGCCGGAAAGTTTTTTACTTTCTGGATTGTTGTCAACGCTTCCACGCTCTGCTTCCTTTCCTTTTTCCGCGCTATTGGAGCCAATTGCACTAAATTCGGCAACGCCTCCAAAGTCTCGGGATTTCTGACAACCATCATGATGATTTACACGGGCTATCTGATCCCTTTCCAGAAGATGCATGTCTGGTTCCGATGGATCTTTTGGATCAACCCGGCATCTTACGCATTCGAGAGTGTAATGGGCAACGAGTTTGGAGGATTGACAATGGACTGCGTCGCTCCTCAATATGTGCCTTACGGATCTGGATATCCTAGCGGTGAGGAGTACCGTGGTTGCACCATTGCCGGTGCCTCTGGAGATACGATCAGTGGAGCAAACTACATTCATGCGGAATACCACTACTCTATCCACCACGTTTGGAGAGGATTCGGTGTGGTTGTTGGAATGTGGATCTTCTTTGCGTTCCTCACAGCTTTTGGCTTTGAACGTCTCCGCAGCCAGGGAACATCTTCGTATCTTGTCTTCAAGCGTGGTTGCCACGGCGCAAATCATGATGAGGAAGACCTTGCTACCACCCCCGCAGCCCAAGGAAAGTCAGAGCCGGACCATGACCTGCCAAAACAGGCCATTTTTACTTGGGATCATCTAGACTACTATGTCAACTACCACGGCTCGAAGCTCCAGTTACTGAACCAAGTCTTTGGCTATGTCAAGCCCGGGAGTCTGGTGGCGCTTATGGGGTGCTCGGGTGCAGGAAAAACGACGTAAGCAACCTTGTTCTCGCAATTCTGTTATTCACCCTGGTTTGTCAAATGCTAACTCACACGCAGCCTTCTAGATGTTCTTGCTCAGCGCAAAGACTCTGGAGAGATCACGGGCTCAATTCTCGTGGATGGAAAGCCTCAAAATATCAGTTTTCAGCGTACTACCGGCTACTGCGAGCAGCTTGATATTCATGAGCCGTCAGCTACCGTGAAAGAAGCCCTTATATTCTCAGCCCTACTGCGTCAAAATGCCGAGACACCTAGGCAAGAGAAAATTGACTATGTGGACAAAATTATTGATCTGCTTGAGCTTGGTGACATTAGTGATGCTCTGATAGGAGGTAAGGAGTCATCCCGCATTCAATATCCACAGCCTTACGTGATCAAAATTCTGACACCTGAATAGTCCCGGGTGCCGGATTGAGCATTGAGCAGCGAAAGAGAGTCACACTTGGTGTTGAATTGGTTGCCAAGCCTTCCTTGCTTCTGTTGGACGAGCCGACATCAGGTCTTGACGGACAATCTGCATTCAATATTGTCCGCTTTATGCGGAAACTTGCTGATGCAGGACAGGCTGTTTTGGTGAGTATTGACTTGAGCTTCCTGATGAGCCTCACGCTTATGAAAATTCGGCAGTGCACTATTCATCAGCCTTCGGCCTCTCTTTTCGATGCTTTTGACTATCTTTTGTTGCTCGCAAAGGGGGGGAAAATGACGTACTTTGGCGAGAGTAAATGGTTCCCTTCTTGCAAAATATGGTATTCCGGCTAACAAATTGACTAGCGGGAACGGGCTCTGATATCATCTTGGACTATTTTGCACGGAACGGAGCACCTTGCCCAGAAAATGCGAACCCGGCAGAGCATATTGTCGATGTCGTGCAAGGCAGACTTGATCCTGCAGTGGATTGGAACCAAATTTGGGAGTCGTCGGACGAATGTCGGACTGCGCTCCAAACTTTGGAAGACCTCAAAGCCAAGGCAGCGGCAGATGCGACGGAAGAAACGGATCTTACTGACTATGCAACATCCAAAACGTATCAGCTCCAGTTGGTCCTTGAAAGACAGATGGTTAAACTTTGGAGAAGCCCGGTATGTCCCCCAGGATCGAAGAACACTTATATGGGTCACTAAGAAGCATAGGATTATATTTGGAACAAAATCGCCCTACATGTTTTCGCCGCCCTTTTCAGTGGTTTTACTTTTTGGAAGATCGGCCTGTCGATACTCGACCTTCAGCTTCGTCTTTTTGCAATCTTCAACTTTGTTTTTGTTGCTCCTGGCGTCATCAATCAACTGCAACCATACTTCCTGCAGAATCGTGATATTTTCGAGACTCGTGAGAAGAAGGCAGGTGGAAACGTATCATGATAGGGGCATGAGGTGCTAACTGTATTACAGTCGAAAACATACCACTGGATCGCATTCATCGGTGCTCAAGCTATCTCGGAAATGCCGTACCTTGTCATCTGCGGCACACTCTATTTCCTCTGCTGGTACTTCACTGTGGGCTTCCCGAGCTTGCCTTCTATCTCTGGACATATGTTCTTCCAGATGATTCGTGAGTTACCAAGTTTCTGTGAAGTGACAGCAGTCTTCTGACCATAATGTGTTTAGTCTACGAATTCCTGTACACTCCAATCGGTCAAGCCATTGCTGCGTATGCGCCAAACGAATATTCCGCCTCACTTGTGAACCCGCTCGTACTTGGAGCAGGACTTATTGGTTTCTGTGGAGTCGTTGTTCCTTACGATTCGATCAATGTTTTCTGGCGTTACTGGATGTACTATCTTGATCCCTTCACCTATCTCATCGGCGGTTTGCTTGGGGAGGTCCTCTGGGATACCCCTGTGAAATGCGCCGAAAATGAGTGGGTAAATATCAGCCTCCCGAGCAATGAGACCTGCCAGTCTTATATGCAAAATTTCATTGACACTGCAGGAGGATATGTGCGCGACGGCGCATCCAAAACCTCGTGCGAATACTGTGAGTACGCGGTCGGGTCGCAGTACGCACCACAATTCAATTTGAAAGCCAAATACTATTCCTGGAGAGATGTGAGTACCCCTCATTCAGCCTTGTCTTTCTTGTTCGAGGCTGGTCAACTAAACAAATCATTTTTCAATAGACCGGAATTACCGCACTCTTTTGCATTACCACCTATATTTGTGTTTTCCTCATGATGAAACTTCGCAGCAAGAAGACCAAAACTGCTCGCTCTGAATAGAAGGTTAACGCAACGTTCATTCGAGCATGGCCACAGCTGTGCGCTGAGCCTATACAAAAATTTCCTTCCCTTGAACCTCTCTTTTTGCTTTTCGCACCTTTCCTCCTTGATTGTCATTTGCTCCGTTTTCCTCTCTCTCACCCTATCTGGTATTTAATATATTACAACTTTCATACATTTGTATTTTAGAACTCTGCTTGTCATTTCTTACCCTAGATTGTCTCTTCAACCAATGTGATCATTTATCCATATATCAAAAAGACCTAGAATATACCTTAAGTGGACGCAAGATTGCTCAATTGATCGTTTTTCCATCCGCTAAACCATTAAGATTGATATCAGACCTATCTAGGTCTGCATTTTAGCGTCTGATTGCGCTGAATGCTGGATCCTTGCAAGTCTCATGTATAACTACCAATAGTGAGTATTTTATTTATTCAATTTCCTGCAAATGACAGCAACAATGTATTGTTTTCATTTCACTGTCCCTACCATGATTTCAGTCCTAGGTAGTCATTCTTCGCTATAAATGGGCATTAATTGGTTCATCTTACAATTACAAGCATAAAGCATAGTACGGAAAATCCCATATATGCTTTTAGCGGTCCGAATCGTATAAGCCTATCAACAAAACGAGTATTTCACAAGTTCCATACATCACCCAGTCTCGATCAACACATCTAGACATTTTCAGAACCCTGCTTAAAATTTTCGCAAACGATGAAGCGCTAGGCCAAATATTTCCTTTCTGGAAACGCCGTTGACGTCCTCTCAAGCTCTTAGATTAATTGCTGGCGGGAAAAGAGCACTTGATAGCCCTCACTAAAGACTGAAATATCGGCAAAGCGGGACATAATCCATGTAAATGTTGAAAAAGCGCTTTGGCCCATTGATCAAACGGAAAATCTTCTGCCGAGATGTCCCGCATACTAGCCGCATGTCGGACAATGCTCTGAAGGCACAGCACAAAAATGGGGGGGATGCCAAAAGAGCTGAAATCATTCCGGTGGGTTCGAACAATAAGTAGTGCACGGTAAAGCAGCTTTTTCGCACTTTCCCACGATGGCTGTGGTACTTGAGCTTGAGTAACCTCATCGGCTGCGACATGCAGATATAACGGTAGCAGTGTGGCGATGTACGCTAGTGTCATAAATGTTTGATGAGGAAGTAAGCTCGAATGCCGCTCAGGATATATACTCTCGGGACCCATAACCTGACATCCCAAGGGTAGAGTGTTGTTCCATTTCCCAAGCTCTGAGATCAATTCTGTCGCACGAGGGATATCTTTCACTTCTAACAAGATTGCCTGCGTGATCTGATTCATCATAGTGCTCAGTTCAAAGAGGTTATTGAAACAGCTTGGGACATGAAGTGGGCCATCCGTGGATATTTGTTTTCCCTGCCTTTCAAGACAAGCTGGAAGAACATCTGACCATAAAACCCACTCTTCAGCTGTGTCCTCACTGAGCATGATCGTCTGATATGCTTTCCTTTTTCCATGAGTGGGTTGGGAGAGACCAAACGCGAGGAAAGAGTCGATTATATGACAGCCCAACAAGACATCCTTGCTCAATTGCCCCTCTTCAAACTTTGTGGTCTTGGCAGTCTTGTCCAAGCCCAAAAAGAAAGCCAAATCTAAGGATTTAACACTAAGCAACTTCGCAGCTGCCCACTGCTGAAAATTTATGTTGATCAAAGCAAGAAGCAGCAAGGCTTGAATGTGGCCTAGCTGACAATTCTTCATCTCCAAAGGTATCAGAGCCCGTGCCATAAGATAAAACTTTTTCGTTTCTGAAGGTGGCGTCCTAGATTTTTCACTGATCAAGGTGCTGTGTTGACATGTAGAATAACTAATCAGAGCACACAGAGCCGCATAGTCAGCACTGCCGGAATTCCACACTGCATCTGGGTATGACATGGCGGTGTAGAGATGACAGGAACGTATCATTGTCTGCTTGTCTAAGATGGGAAACCATGGATGGGTGCGAGCAAAGTACCGATCGAGGATTTGAATCGTCGCAGGAGGTAGACAAGAAGACCGCGATCCTCCTTCTGCTGTAGGTAATGGTATAGGTTCGTCATCAAACGGACGGAAGTCCATGGCAGGCGAAGTGATTCTGACAGTAGAATCTTTGGGTGGCTCAGCAAGACTGGGGGAGTTGCTAACATAGCAGTCGACGTCGGTGGGGAACCCGCTCGGCTCAGTCATGGATGAAACTTCACTGGGACAGCAGAGCATGCTCATATTTGCGAGTTCTGGGTTACGCAAGACACTGTAAAGGCGACTGTATTTCCACGGCTGTTGCGCAGAGGCGCTCATGGAACTTGAACATTCATGCCGCTTTAGTTGTGCTAGCGACTCCTGCTTCACCCCCAGAATTGACAGTATCTGATCTTCGAAGTTGTCCAGCTTGCTTATTGCAATGGCTAGTATGCCCTCGAGTCTCCTTGAATAGCCCTCAGGTAAGCCTCGCTGTTTTTCTGAGCGATAATAGGTGCAGACATGCCCAGACACCTGACATGAGCACTTGGGACGAAATGTATCAGATTTCTGCTGAAAGCTACATGTTAGCTTTCACAAGTCCGAAATAGACAAAAGGAGTTCGGTTAGTTTTGATTAACTGGAAGTTTCATCATATGATCACGCACCTTCTTCCCGCGATACTGGTCACAGGCTTTGTAGATCCTTGTAGCGCCCGAAGATGACATCCCGGAAGCCTTAATGAATTATATCAGCTACGCGCGTGGTGTCGGTATTTATTAATGGCACGTATTCCAGACCGGGGGATGCTACAATCATCCAAATATGCTGAGACTCAAAGGGCTCAAAACGTGTTTAGGATATGGCAGAAGCTTATCATAACGGATGGTACATTGGGGAGATTCTTTTGAAGGGGGCTTCTAATGGAATGGATATTGTCTACTTTGTGAACTTGTAAGATTTCCAACTAAATTGTCGTTAAGTTGAGATAATTCCGAGTTTCCGTAGGACGGCATTTCACGCAAGAGTTTAGTTTTTGGCGAGCCAATAAATCTGCCGGTTTGGCCTGGAGCGGATGTGGGACGGATATTGTGGGACGACCACAAGAGCGGCGGGACCTTTCTTACTAACGTATTTCCGTAGGTACTCAGCTCCCACCGCCGACTGGCTAGCGTTGTGCCGCTGGGTAGTACGGTGTCCGATAGGGTTCACTAGGTCACAACGCTTACATATATGAGGAAAATTGGTAGAAATTCAAAGATCGTTCAGCTCACAGGTGGAGAGGGTTTCTAGTAAACCCTCATGGTTGATACCGCTTTGACAGAGAGTCTCAATATCCTGTCGGTGGGCGGTGAGATCGGTTGTTGGGGGGGGGGGCCATGGTCGATAATAGGTGGGCGGTGGGTGGATAATTTGTCTGTAAAAGCGTAGATGAGAAATAGGGGGCTAGCGTGGTAGTATTTTATTGAGGTGTGCTGCTGACTTAGCTGCTCCCGCGCTTTTTGCTCAGGTCATGCGCCGTGAGTGGGATCAGCGAGTTTGCTGCTTATGTCATACTCACGAGCGTGCTCAATTTTACTCAGTTAGCACAAAGCGGCAAGGAGTGAGCACTAAAACAGAAAGGGAAAGCCAAGATTCGCCAGACATTAATCGGTGTATATGCAGATTACATTGTCTGCCATATTCATCGTCATTGCACTTGACTATTTGATAGCTACTTGAGTTGTGACTTACCCTGGTTCGAAACAAAGCGGCTTAAAAGAATGAATTGATCTTTCTCATTCTGTCTGAATAGGCTGACGCGTAGCATCTTTCTAATCTTCATAATCGTCCAGTCGTGCCACTAATTCTTGGCTCTCTCTCAGTTGTCCTCCTACTGCGGGTGCCCATGCCTCCCACTCCTCGACCATTTTCACCAGTGACTCAGAATTGGCAGATTGAGAGTTATTAGCAGCTATCCATGGTCCACTGTATCTCTTGAACTATGCTCTGTGGTTGTAAAAGCTGCACATTGTGACTGCAATGCAGACGAACAAATCTGCTGAGACGAGAAAGCCTCAAAAGCTCTCTTTGCCAGTCCTCATTCATCTCGCGCCATCTATCGAGACATTTTCGAAACAGAGCTCGTTCTTGTTCTGTTCCATTTCCTGCGGCCACTCCAAAGTCATACATCTTCTGGAAATCTTTAGGTGTATCCGCAATGATGACACTGACCGGATAATCCTTGAGAAGTAGCTTTTCGAGTTGATTCTTGTGGGCCAATGCCCGTCTGTCATTCGGCACCGCCTGCAACTCAGCAGCCTCGGTGGCTTGATGTCGGGGATCAGCCTGCTCGTCTTTGACAGCTTTCCACTCCTCCTCGGATAGGACATGGGACGTTGCAAGACCGGTGGTTTCAAAAAAATCTTGGTCACCGAGGACTGGACTGAAGACGTCCCAACCCCACGCACCACTATCAAAGAAACGTTCAGTATTGCAATCCACGAACACCATGCCCACGACATCATTAGGCCTGAGTTCCAAAAACTCGCGAGAAGTGTAGCCTCCCCATGAGTGAGCGACAATGATGAACGGAGGCTCAATACCGGCGTTCCTTAACAGGGTATCAAGCTCTGCTGCGACTGATGCTGCAGATATGCTTGGTGGTGTCTGGTTGGGACCTTCACTCCTACCCATCCCTGAACGATCGTAATTCAACCAACGAGCAATTGGAACCACAAGCTTTCGCACTACAACCCACTCATCGATCGTGCTGCCAAGGCCTTGCATGAGAACGACGATAGGCTTTCCAGGCTTGCGATCTGGCCCCGAAACGGACAGATAGAGGTTATGGGAACCGACGGAGACAAGTCCATCCTTATCACCTTTGTCCCAGTCAATTTTAGAAATTGGTTGCATTGTGAACTGGATATGGATTCAAGTTGAGCAAGCAATGATTGACGTCGAGTTGTTGAATAACGGTGAAGTGAAAGAAGCCCCAGCCCCCGCTTTCTAAACCCGCCCCTCCGTAGAAAACTCTACGGGATAATAATAATTTCTTACAATGACTCATTAGATGCTAGTTCCCAATAAGTTCTTAACACAATAATAAACTAACGTCATGAGGATTACCGTGGCTTCGGCTACAGCCTGAAGTCTGAGGGGTGATCTCTTAAGGCCACGGGGCGTTCCGGCAAGTATGTTCTGCTAAGTGCCGGAACTGTCATTACGGCTTACTATTCTATCTAAAAGCCAACCACCCCACATCTAAGTCTTATCAAGAGAAAATAAAATAATACCAAAATTCAATCTTACTGCGCTATCTCCACTTCATCTTTCTGCAACAGCTGAAACATTCTTTGAATCATGGAAGAGTCTTCCACCTGAAGTCAATATCCCGTTGACACCTCTCAACACCCTGACAGGCTGTCGGGAGCGACTAGAGCGGATGCTATCACAATCAGACATCTACGAGATTACTGTAGCCATTCAGGCTGAAATCAAAATCTCAACTCGGACTGAAAACGAGTTTCATGAGAATATGGTTCTGGGGTTCCTGGCAATCAACAAAGAAGAAAAGGCACTAAATCAGCTTTTTGTCCATCCTGGGGCACAGGGGCTAGGTCTCGGGGCTGTACTTCTAGCTCTGGCGAAGGAAAGGCTGCCGAAGGACAATGGGGTTTTTTGGCTACGCACTGCTGAGGGTAATTTGTCTGCTTGTAGGTTCTATGAGAGGCAGGGTTTACGATTTGCTAGGAGACAAAAACATCCTGCTTGGGGTCATTGGACTTGCATGTACGTATGGAAATAAATATAACTACCTAGCTACGTATATCTCGTCATGGACATTATTGGAAGCTTGGCAATGCACTCGTGAGATAATATTCGAACCATCAACAGAAAACCATGAGAGACATAAACAACCAACGAACGGGAATTGAACAACTAGGCACCGGAATCCCCCGAACTTCACATGACTGGTCAATTCATCGCATGTAGATTCGAGAGAAAGTGGGTGAATTAATTTCTATTTATTGTGTACAATCTATAACCCTATCGAACAAAAGGATAGTTTTCAATATGCAGTGATGTTCCCGAAGACCTGACCCCCTAGAACTTCCACTGCTGCAGCCAGTTTCGCATCAGAGAAGCAGAGACTGGACCCAATGAGCTCATTGTGGTACTTGCTTCCTTCGCCTTGCTCACATCCATCATAATGGACATCGCACCACCATGTTGAAGAGCGCGATAGAAGTCCAGCAACTTAAGAGCAGGCTTCTCAGCGATTTCCTCTCGGGTTGGATTCGAAATGCTCTCAAGCTCGGCAACCCACTCGCCATATCCAACCACTTCAACCGGATACACTTCTTGGACGGCTGGGATCAGGGATGACCATTCGGCTGCTTCAGGGCTTGTAAGATGGAAGACAGCCGAGGGGTTCTTGGCTTGGGTTCTGTGACGCGTATGCGCGATCTCGACCATAATAGATGCGAGAGTGTCCTGGGAACAATGAGAGTTAGTACTTCGATTTTTATTCGGCTGTCTTTATATACTGGGCCAAAACATACCACTGGGACCCAATCAATAGGCATCGCGCCTAGTCTGTCTGGAATTTTACCCATTGCCTTCGAGGTCGCAATAATCGTTGGAAACCATTCGTGTGGATTCCACTGTCCACTGGCCGAGGTCGGTCCAGCAATCTGGCCCACGCGATACACCGTTGTTGGCACTCCACTTCGGCGGGATGCTTCCCAACAGATGCGCTCTGCAACATGCTTGGACTCGCCATATCCTTGTTCGAGAACAACCGAAAGATCTTCCATAGGGACTTCGGGGATCTTAGGACCCATTTCTGGTGACCATCCTCCCACCGTACTCACAGAGGAGACAAAATGGATGTGGGCGTTGTACCGACTTTTCAAGCTGAATTCCACCAAGTGACGCACGCCTTGAATATGAGGGGCTTCAAAGGAATCGACGGAGTGGTTGAAATTCACCATCCAAGCGTTGTGGATAATAGTGTCGACTGTTTCAAGAAGCTCTTGGTACTTGCTCTCATCTAGACCGAATTGGGGCTCTCCAAACGAAACCTTGAGAAATTCAACCTTTTCCCAGGCCTTTGGGTTCAAATTTAAGCCCTTCTCTTCGAGACCAGATTTCTGGCGGGTTTCTGCCTCCGAACGATTGAGACAGTAGACCTTGGAGACCGAATCAAGGCTGAGGAGAGAGTGGAGGAGATAATTTCCCAAAGAGCCAGTTGACCCAGTCAGAATGATGGTAGTAGGCGAGCTCAGTTCATCCCGGCAGTCATTTCTTTTCTTCGCTGGAAGATCCGCTGTATACTTTTCGAGCAATTCTTGGATCTTCTCCTCTCGGGAAACAGTGCCTTGGGCTTTTCCTTCCAAAGTTGCCATGACGACCTGTGATAGTTGGCTCACTGTCGGGTTGCTGTAGAGAGTTTGAGCAGTGATAGCACCTTCCACATTAGGCTGTCGCGTCTGAATACCCTTGTTTATGATTCGGGCGACCTGGATAGTCATCAAAGAATCCAGACCAGAGCTGTAGAAATCCTCAGCGTCTGAAATATCTGGCTTTTCTAGAGCCTGAATGATGGTATCGCGAATCCATTCGGTAACGCTGTTCTGATCTAAAATCTCCGGTAAAGCCTGGTCCTCATCAGTCAGACCTGCGTTATAGAGGGCATCTATTTCCTCCTCGTAGTCTTGAAGGACAGCTCGGCGCTTGGTTGAGCCTTTGGGAGTCCTCTGGAAAGGCTTTGCTTTCGAGGCAACAGCGATTTTCGTCTTCATGACTCGTCCATGGGCAGCGATGGTTTGATTGGCTGATTGAACGGTTGGCCATATCTCCTCGATGAAAAGCTTGGAATCCATATCTTGGGCGCTCCTGTGTGGTTCTACTAATAGACCAGCTTGGAATCGAGACTGTCCGATAACCAGTGCTCTGCTGACCAATGGATGACATTCGATGATTTCCTCCATTCCGACGGGGTTGAATTTTTCTCCGTTGCTTAGGACGATAACATCATCCTTGCGACCGTAGAACTTCCAAAGGTTTGGATTCGTGGGGTGCCGAGTATAGAGATCATTGGTTCGGTACTCATTGATATCGGGGTAAGTGTGGAAGATTCCTTGAAATTCAAGAGAATTCGGCTGTCGAGGAATGACCATCTCGTGCATCTGACCATCACCAATATCCTGCATGTCGATACCATATGAAGCGTTCCACTCGAAGTAATTCCAATCAGCGCTATCCGCTGGAACGATAGACGGGATGAACCCGATTTCACTTGTTCCGAGCAAAGATTTGACCCGAGTGTGATTTCGGAGCTTCTCTCCAACTTCCAAAGCCAGTGGTGCGCCTCCATAGTAGATAGAGTCAACTTCATCCAAACAAGCGAGAGCTTCGTCGGAAGAACTAAGGTCTTCCAGAACCGACGGTGGACAGATTGCAGCTGTGGGGCGGGCGCGTCGAAGAAGCTCGACCATGTAATCCACCGAAAGTGGCTTATCAGGCCCAACAAGGGCAGAAACGTCAAACCAGACGGCGAAAATAAGAGGGATGATTCCCATTAGGTGGAAGAAAGGCGTCGTCGCCAATATAACGTCTTGCGAGCTCATATGGAAGAATGGCGTTGGCTCACGACCAGCAGGCCAGTCGAGCTGAGAGATGGAATCCATAGTCATGAAGAAGCCGTTGGTGAGATGAACTGGTTTTGGCATTCCTGAAAGTAGGCTCTTAGCATAGATCCACATTGATCCCATGGTTGACTTACCAGTTGTTCCGGAGCTGTGAATTGTGCAAAATGTTTCTGTCTCTGCACCGGCATAAGACTTCTCGTAAGGATAATGGCGCAAACCGTCTTCACTGCTAAAAATAGTTGTCATGGTCGGGATCTCGAGGGTCTCCAAGTCTGAAGCGAGGTTTTTGATTTCCATGATCCGCGCATGTCGCTCTTTGCTGAAGAAAAATCGCTTGCAATTTGTCGCTTTCAACAGATGAAGATGGGCTTCGTCCGAGTTTCGGGTGGAGGGAAGAAATGCCTATTACAAGACAAGGGTTAGTCAAATGCCTCCTCCAGGTTACGGTTACAACGAATTGGGTAGCTTGCCTTATATCCAGTCTTCTGACAGGCAAGCATGAACATGAAATAGCGCATATCATTGCTTCCCATGTATGCCAATGTCTCAGGGGATTTGGCTGGACCAATAGTGGAATCAATCCACCAACTCAAGTAGTTGACTGCCCGTGCGAGGTCCTTGAAGGACAAATCCTGAAATCCATCGGTCAGGTCTGGTCCTCGTGGAATGACCGCGAAGCGATTTTCGGGGTTCTTCACGGCGATTTTGTCGACGGTGGTCGAGAGAATTCTTTTGTTGTGAGCAATCATTTTTGGGGTATAGTGATGTATCAAATGCTATTAAAGAAAAAAACTGTGAGCTGGGAATGTCTTGTTCTAGAGGCGAACATTATGTATTATATACTCATGCTGGAGCAAGTTACGTCGAAGAATGATGCTCCTTCTACTGCCGAGTTCCGTCCCGATCTCGGTATGCCGGCTGATGTATTTGATATTATACTGCAATGAGATAAGGTAGTAGCGATCAACAGTGTCATCCATAACTAATTGTTCATCACTGAAACTTGGCTTTCGGGACCCACCGGTTCCACCCGAGACCCACTTGCCCGACTGGGAAACTTTTGCTTGTTTGTTTGTCTGCACTCGCTGCATCTAGCCCGTGTCTATCAACTTGATAGCCTATGGGATGATGAATACTACTGCAACTAAATTTGTCATTCACGGATACTTTTTTTTTCTTTCCTAGAACGCCACGGTGCTACGGGCCGTACCCGTCATCCGTAAGTGGTCGTCCAACCTGCGTCATCCAAGTGGGTATAGGCATCCACATTGCAATTAGATATATTACATTCTTTCTGAATAATCATGCATATCATTGCAGGCTCTAGCCATTTATGGTAGAATGCCGCGAGAAAATGATGACTTACGGATCGCCGGCTAAATCTGTCCGATCCCCTTCTACTAGGGTCAGATTGCTAGCTGAGTCCGTGCTCTGTGCAACCCCCTAATTAAAGTGCGCTGTAATCAGGGATCGTCATCTAACCTTGCCATATATCCGTGATGTCATATATCCGTGAACAATATTGAAATACATGCATGACTTCCACAGCCTGAGTAATTCAATGTTAACTTTCAGATCTTGACGTTGTACTGATGTGGACTCCACAAAGTTTCCATTTCTACGTTCTTAAAAATCCTTGGATCGACCTTGATATTGCAAGATAACGGAGTTTCGTGGGTACTGCGCGCCACCCGCTGTTTTAACTAAAGGCACGGCAAGCCGAGGCTTGTTTTCTTGAGAATGCCAACAAATTGCTTACTGTGGCCCCCTGTGGCTTGGACCCACCAGTGTATAACTGGATGGTGACCGCCGGAAAGCGGTGGAAATACCAAAATACGATGAAACATTTGAGCAAGTAAAGGGACCCACATAAGGAACGCGACTATGTCCTTTCAAAACCAGACTCAAAAGCGTGCCGGGCCGCGCTGATTCTGTTTGTTTGTGTCGTGGTGATTCGTTCCACAAGTGAATTTCAAGCGAGCGAAAACGCCCACGAGCACAGTAGGCCAGGCGGCTACCAGGGCAACCGAAGCACCTTCAAAGGTGACTTTGTTATGGTCCGAAGGGGAGGAGGTTATGGTGCCATCGGGATTCGAACCCGCGACCCCGGTTTACAACTATCTTCTGTCCCTGCCGAGCGCGTTCTTACCAAAAATTTAACCAAAAAAGCAGCGACCGTAGTTCGAACGTGATCTTAAGATACTTTACAAGAAACTTGTTGCAATCGTACGCGTTATCAATGCGCCACTATTGCTAGTGATAATTATTGTTCTGTTAGGAAATCAAGACTAGGCCAGAATGATATACTTTTTAAGGTGTGTCCATACCTGAACTGCTTCTCACATGCGGCAATCCTCGTCAATTTTGCAGGTCCTCAGATTCTAGTTGTAAATCCTTTGCCAATGGTCCGGATCCACTATTCGCGACTAACCGACGCTAGTGATGGCAGCCTGATGGGAGCCTGGTGAAAAACAAACTTCGACCTTCTGGGCCTTCCTTAAGTTTAGTTTTCCGACCTTCCTGCCAGTCAACCATTCCGTCCTTGGCTATCGTTCTTGATTTTGCTTCGCGCTTGAAACGATTCCAGTCCGGAGCAGTCTGTTCATATCTCTCTCTCTCTCTCTCTCTCTCTCTCTCTTTTTCTTCTTTTCTCTGCACTGCAATTTGGCCCTGAGTTGCTGAAACATGCAACCTTTCAATCAGCATGGTTGTTCTTTATGATGACGTTCTTTTTCTCATACTTGACCATATCTACGACACAAAAGATCGTCTTCGACTTCTATTAGTGTGTCGTCAATGGTACACGGCACTTCTTCACAAGGCTTACGAGCGCATTAGTGTTGAAAACGATCAAGTCTATGACCTTGTGTGTTCAATTCAACGAAACCCCAAAATCGGTCCCTCTATCCAAAATCTAGATCTCGAATGGGGATGGTGCTGTAACGACAGTGTCGAATACAATTTGGGCCCATTCAAGGATATCCTGGACCAAGCAAGCCCTTCTTCAGAGCATCGCACGAGTTGGGAAAAGGACCTACTCAAGGGAGAATCTGACGCGTGGCTCGCATTACTCATGCCATCATTGGAAGCGGTCAGAACCCTAAAGATCCAATACCCAGGCTACTCAGATTATTTCTTTCCTATGCTAGCTCGAGCAGCCGCCCGGGAAGCGCCATTTGATACCAAACCCGTATTGCAGGGTTTGCAGACTGTCCATGCTGAATGTGAAGATAACAAAACTGCTTACTTGGCCAAAGAATGTTTGCCGGTGCTGCATTTTCCATCTATACGATCGTTCTCCGTAAATTCGATGTGTGAAGCTTTGGATGACCATGATGTGAATTATTCCAAGCCTGCACCTGGAACATCTGCGATTACGAAACTGGATTTTCAACATTGCAATGGTAGTAATGGGATGATTGACTACATCAAATCATGTGCCAATTTGGAATTCCTTGAATACCAGCACGATAACAAGGCTATCTGGGGTGAATTGTATTTCAACTTTCGCCCTTCGGAATTTTACACCGCTCTATTTACCCAGAGACATAGTCTTCGGGTACTTAGGTTGAATAATAATGGAGAGATCGAAGGAGACGATGAATGGGACTCAGATGATGGAAAGGACTACACAGGTTTTGGATCTCTAGTTGAATTCCAGCAGCTGCGTGAACTTCGGATGCCATTGCGTACGCTTTTACAATTTGGTCAGAATGATCACCCGACTGTGTCTTTGCTAGAGGTTCTCCCACCTAGTCTAGAACATCTCCAGCTTGCTGGGTATCGTGATGAGGAATTCGACCTGATAATGAAAAATATGCAACTTATGCTACGGCAACGACAGAAGCGATTCCCGAATCTCAAAAGAATCGAAATTCAGCCTGTTGTTATGGAGCGGGACTACTCTGTCCTGACTTATCCCGCCCTCAAAATCCCACAGTTTGTCAAACAGGCATTCGCACCGTTGAAGATGCAATGTGATGACTTGGCAATCCACTTTGACTTCACAAAAGACGGATACCATGAGATATTAAGCCCTGGTCCACTGTACACTTAACTTAGCAAACAACTGATCATGGTACTCTTTGAAGGAAGATAATTGGTATATGGATTGGGGAAAACAGATACGAATACGGAGTTCGATTTCAGAAGTCCTGCGTCGACCCACACCATTAATTTTAATTCTAGATATTGTACATACATACATACGGTACTAGTAGTAGTATTCGGTCGGGTGGGCTACACAGTCGGGTTGGCCATCCACCCACACATATTATTTAACATATTTATAACCACCAAAACGCCAATTTTATCAAAAATGAACCTTTGTATGCCTATTTGAACATCATACCTGTCTATGCACGTTGTTACCACCGTCGGATTACGTGGAGGAAGTCTGGTTTGCTGCTGCAAAGCTGCTGCTTGCGCTTCCAACGAGGACAGAAAGGCTAAATGTGAGACAGTGACGAGACTTGGAAGCTTCTTTCCCAATATTTCCTGAAGAAAGCTATTAGAATACTTCTCAAGCATCAAGGTCGGCAGCACTTTGCTCATCCTGTCACAGGATTCCTCCAATGGACTTTTTCTTGTGTTGCCCCTTCCTTCATTAGGATACAGCCGGAACTGGGATTGATTAATCGCAATACCGCCAAGATTTTTGTTTGTCTCTAGCTCGGTACTGCTTACACAATTAAGCGAAAACTGTTCCTGCTCGTTAATGAAAGTATATTGATTCATTTATGTATTTGTGATCCAGATGTGCGATCGAGGGTGGGTTGAAATACCCCTGAATCTCATACGCTGACCCCCAGTGGTCATAAAACGTACGGCGCAGCTTCGCGCAGGATTGCGTGGAACAAGAGAAGAAACATTATCTATCAGTCGCTAGTGATAAGTTACCGCTAGTTTTTTCTGACAGAGGATGTGTCCTGGCCGTTTCATAGCACATGAAAGACTTGAAGTTCAACCACTCTTGTTGATATCCCTCATGCGAGCAATTATTGGTGGAACTGCCGAGGGATTCAATAAGAACTCAAATATGAATCAATGAACAAGGAGGCAAATTTGTCCGACATCTGCCATGTACTTCTTATATTCATTTAGATTATGTTCTGGGTTTTACCAGGCATATGAACTTTTGCTTCACAAACCAATGTGTTGATGTTTCCCACTCAGCCCCCGGCTCGGCCGAAATGAAGTCAAATCTTCGGTAGAGCTGTGGGATAAGCTTTGAAATTTCCAATAAGCTGATGTTTTTACCTATGCACGACCGAGCACCCCATCCAAACTGTTGCAGACGGTCAATCAGGAACCTCCGAGCTTGCTGAGTTGATGGGTGAATATAACTTACTGAGAGGAAGTTTTGTTCCATCAGCGACAGTTTCTCTTTGTTGTGTAGCCATCTTTCTGGTCGGAACAGCATTGCATCGGGTCCGAATATTTCTTCATTGAAATGAATTACCCATGGATTGGCACCAACCGACGACTAGTTTGATTTGTTAAAAGAACATCCATGTCATCATATTGAGGTGCATGTCTTACTCCACCCGGGAAGAATTGGCCAGCCAAGGTTGCTCCTTCCACAGGAACTTTTCTAACCAACGGTCGGCCTGTTGCTGGGTGGATCCGCAACGCCTCTTTGATGCAAGCCTGCAAGTATGGCATATTTTGTGCTTGCTTAAAGGTCACCGGATCAGATAGTTTGCCTTCAGCTTCGAAAAAGTCAACTTCTTCGCGCAGTTTCTGAGCTGCTGAAGGGTTCTTAATCAAAGCATATATCACAGTGGTTAACGAAATTGCTGTGGTATCGGACCCGGCAGCAATATTGGCACCCATGGTTGTGAAGGTATCCAAAGCATCGATCTTTTGGGCCTCTTGTAAAGAGAGAAGCTTGGTCAGGAAATCTTGTTGCGCTGCCGCATCGAAATTTCCCTGGGTATTGCGACGGCCTATATGATGCCGAATATAGTCTGCAATGGTATCAAAAGGAATTCTTTGGTTTGCTGCCCTCATTATACCCGCAAGTAGGCCGTGAAGCTCTGGGAAAATTCCAATGCGGGAGCCGTAAATCATGCTCTGGTCGATAGCGTCCAGGATTCCATTAAAGTCGTAACCCTGGCGCATAAAACCAAATGGCTCTCCTGTCTTTGTGAGGTTAACTCATGGTGGGAACATGCCAAGTTTAGACAAAAATTATCAAGAATATTCGAATGCAGAACAGCAACTCACCGTGATCTCACCGATGACATCGAATGCGTAGAATTGCATCCATGCCGGAAGCTCAAACGCTCTTCCATCATCGGAGAATTCTTCAAATTTGCTGCACAGCTCCTGATTACAACGGTCGACAAACTTCTCGTAGGAGATTAAAGTGGTCATAGAGTAGAGAGACGCCACTTTTCTTCGTTTCAGAGAATGCCGCTTAGAGTCTCTTTCCGAAAATAAATCCCCTTGCTCGGGATCTGGGCTACCAAACGCGTGATAGAAATCGGATTTAACAAACTTAGTACCAGCGGAGTATATCTCTTTCACAGCGGCTGGGTCGTTAATACTGAATGTACTGGGTGCAATCCGCACAATTCGTCCTGATGGGAGAAACTTTCTCTTAGTCATGCTCAATAATAGATAGGAACGCGCCACAATATGCCATACCGTATTTCCTGTGTAGAGCCAAGTTCTTTTTCTCAAAACTTCCCTTGACAGCTTCATTTAATTCCCAGAGTTTGGTGAATCGAGCTAGGAATGGCCCAGGAATAGAACTCGTGGGTGAAATGTAAGCCTTTTTAAGTATCTTAATCAAATACATAAATGCACCGACGAAGGCAACCTGTGAGAATTTTGCATATGAGTTGCCTGCCACCCATCGGAGGGTTGTTCAAACCCACTTACTGTCGTGAAAAGATCCATTTTGTCTGTAAGCTCAGCAGTGAAGAGTGACAAGGTGATTTGATCAGGGAGTTACATGGATCAGAAAAGACAAGCTTAAATCAAAGAGTGATATCGAGTTAGGAAAGACTGGGGGCAATATGGGTTGGAACAGCAAAAGGTGTATCACTTGTGGTGGGGGGCCGATGAAATACCGATTGAAAGAGTACAATCAGGATAAACGTAGAATAGTCAACTTATACTGCCGAAATGGATCTCGTGCTCAGGAATACTCCACCTCGTCTCATATTGATCTAGGTTGCGAAGAGTCACGTAAAGCCATACCCGAATGGGATTCAAGCCACCAATGGAATATGGGGGCCTATGTGGGGATCCGGCGGGGTATAATAGTGCAGAAAGCGGAGAAAGGGGCCTCCCGACGGGGCGGGCTTCAAGGTGGGTTGTCCAATGTACCCAGTCCTGTTGGGTCATAGACCAAATAATGTTGCAGTCAATCAAAATAAAGAAAGGTCACTTTAGAGCAGCAACTTATGAAATGATCGATACTCGAGATGTAGTAGAGGGATGGATGGATGACTTCAGTCACCCTCACCCCTCGGAAATGAAAGTGGTGTAAAGGCTACAACAATTGCAAATAACGATTTATGTACAGGTAGACTCTATGACTTCGTAGCTGCTACGACGTGAATACGAGGAGATTATCGCAACCGCCGCCGTTCACCCGATGTCTGTGGTTGACTGCACTGCTGTGCAGGGGCAGCAGAAATGTAAATGTAAGGGGGGCTGCCGGGGAAGATGAAAACGTTTGTACGACTGAAACGCTCATAATATCTCTTATCTTGGCTGCTGATCTTTTGTTGCCAGAATCAGCCCTGAAAATGGTTGGATGGGAACTTTGAGTCACTTGTAGTCAGCCATATCCCACGTCCTCTTAACCGGAGACATAGCCACTATGAAATCATCGAAAAAAAGGAGTATTATTTCGATTTTCACAAAAGCGGAACTGAACAATATGGGGACGACTAAGGTTTCAACCAGTGTACTAGGCCACAATATGGGCTGGGGTGTGAAGGGTAACGATGTGCGTCAACGCGTAATAATAATCGATAAATGGCTTTGTGTTGATTAATTGGGAAAAAGTGTCAACTGCCGGATCAAGAAGGGTCTCTGAAACATACGGGCGCTACTTTTACAGTTGACGCAATGAGATGAAGCCCAAGATCCTCTGCGCGCTTTTTCACGATATGGAAACCCTTCTTTTACGCGGCGTTGCCCCCGGCCATCCAAGAAAAACAAGCGAATGGTCTATCCTACATCGTCATCTCCAACACTTCCGCTAGCCAAGAGGAAGCGGCTTTCCTAGAAGCCAGAAGATATGCCAGAGAAAAATTATGAGTCGCAGTAGCCGCTGGGGCTATACTTGTCAATGAACAATCGACGTGAACCATTCAAGGAACGAATGGCGATCCCTACATATTTCTCAAGAATACTGTCAATTGATATTTGACTTTTCGAGCATTTTCTAAGTTCGATTGTTCCAGAAAATACCCAATTCTTCTAATGGGTCAAAAAAACTCTCTGCGTCACGAGAAATTCCAAGCATATCTTAGGAAACATCGTAAATAGACCTCATTACTGCCCGCAAGCCCGCACTTTTGTGAGCTATTCCTCCACCCACGGGTCGGGAGGGTCTTTTGCGTACCCTCAGGGGTACGGCTTCCGGAACATTTTAGGGCCGACGAACATAAAACATTATATACTAATAGAATAAATGAGCAGTATTATACAACCCAATTAGGACATGTCAACTTTTTCTATGTGACACAGGGCGGATGAGGGCGGAGGGCCCGGGAGAAGGCATGAGATACCGGCCTGTAATGTTTTTTATCAGAAAATACTTTCTGTCCTTCCGAAGGAGGGGTCGGAGTCGGAGTGGGGGTGGGGGTGGAGGCGCGTTGTTCTAGGGGACGTAACTGCAATGTTTAACTTTTTTTTAACAGTATCAGCTGCCCAAGAAATTCTATTAGAATCCACTTGGATTGCGCTATATTTACATTGCTAGCTATTACAACTAGAATTGGTTTGGGGTGAAAGGCTATGGGTAAACCGGTCGTATAGATACGGCAATAGAATACGTAGAACGATGACAAACTTATTCTGGGATTCCGTCCTTTGCATATCGTATCAAGATTTCTTGTCATATGCTTGCAGCCAGCTTGATTATTGCTGAAACAACTTTGTCCTTCTTCTTTCATGGATCTTACACAATAATCATACCGCCAATCACTTCGCTGTCACTTCTTCTACCGCTGCAAGTCAAACATTATCATAAATCACAATGCTTGATGTTGAGATTCAATTGCCTGATCTTGAACTACGTCGGACGCAGTCAGGATGGTCCAGCGCACAGCTCCTTTCCCCAAGTCGGGAGATTCTGTTTGTTTTCATGGTCTGCATGACTCAATTCTCGACTCAAATAGGACTCGGTTGCACCTTGTCTGCGTCGAAAATTATCGCAGACAGCTTCAACATCACTGACCCTGGAATCATGAGTTGGTTTATTGCCGGTTATTCGTTAACCGTCGGTACTTTCATCTTGTTTTTCGGAAGATGTGGCGATCTATTTGGCTATCATAACTTTTACATCATCGGCTTCTTCTGGACTGGCATATGGTCTATGGTCGCAGGATTGAGTGTCTATTCCGGCTCCGTGCTATTCATTTTTGCTCGCACCGTGCAGGGACTAGGCCCTGCTATGCTCTTACCAAATGGATTGGCCCTTCTGGGAGCCGCGTACAAACCTGGTAAAAAGAAGGACATGGTCTTCGCAATCTTTGGTGCCACTGCCCCCAATGGAGCTGTCATTGGCGCTGTCTTTGGCGCAATTTTTGGTCAACTCGCTTGGTGGCCTTGGATCTTCTGGTCTAATGCATTGGTCTGTTATGTGATGGCTATCTTGGGTTATTTTTTGATCCCACCTGTGTGTCATGTCACAAAGCCTGGAGTTGGGATGTGGGAATTGGTAGAAGAGCTAGATGTTTTCGGTGCCATCTTGGGAGTACTTGGTTTGGTCCTGGTGAACGTAGCGTGGAATGTGGCCCCAATCGTGGGATGGCAAATAACCTACGTCTATGTTTTATTAATTTTAGGTGCGATATTTTTGGGTATTTTCTTGATGTGGGAATTCCAAATAGCTCGAAAGCCTCTTATCCCAATTCATGCTTTGAGCATGGACGTTTCTTTTGTGCTTGGATGCATCGCATGCGGCTGGGCGAGCTTCGGAATTTGGGTTTACTATTTTTGGAAATTCCTGGAAGATATACGCAGGGACACACCTCTTATCGCGGCCGCGCAGTTTGTCGTCCCTGGGTTAGGTGGAATTGCCGCCTCTTGTACGACGGGCTACCTCATGAGTCGGATTCGACCTGGATGGATCATGCTTTTTGCTATGATTGCTTTTACGCTTGGAAACCTCCTCCTTGCTATAGCCCCTGCGCATCAAACCTATTGGGCGTTAACCTTCGTGTCTCTTTTAGTCACCCCGTGGGGTATGGACATGTCATTCCCTGCATCAACTGTGATGTTATCAAATTCGGTGGCGCGCAAGCACCAAGGCATGGCCGCTTCATTGGTCACGACTATTGTCAACTATAGTATATCCTTGGGTCTTGGCTTTGCAGGAACTGTGGAGGTCCATGTCAATAATGGGGGCGATACCCTACATCATGTACTGATTGGATACCGAGGTGCTTTGTATATGGGTATTGGTCTTGGTGGGTTGGGAATTGCTATTAGTTTGATCTATCTACTAAGAAGTGGTTTCAAAGATAAGATAATTGAGTGAGTTTTCTTGGCCCAAAATTTGAGTCATTAAAATTTGAACAATCTCACCCTTTTTCTCCTCAGGTCATCGGTGATATGCTGACTTCGGATCGGAGATTTCTTATATACCCAACATTTGAAGAACACGTGTAATATATAGATGCCCGTTTTCGCTTTCCTAGTGATATATACATAATGGATTTCTCAACACGACTTGCTCACGAAGATTTCCTCAAATGCCCATTAGACATATGGGAGACGTGAGATGAATATAAAGTAAACCAAGCGGCACTAGTGTGACGAAAGAATATATTATAATCAAGTGCAAGTTGATAGGAATAAACAAAACGGTGAACCGAACATTGTAAAACTTTCTATAAAGACAATCGAATAATACAGACAACAGGCCAAGAGTCAGAAGGGTAAAGACAAGATCTATGGGATGCCATAGGACTTTTGGTGATCGTGAGAAATCTCGTGAACGAATGGGATGGGATAGCTTGGGCCGTATGCCTCTCTGTGAAGGCGAAATATCTCATAAGCCTGAGCTTGAGCCTGAGTAGATATTTGAGAGCTTCTTCTTTCCATTACGGGAGATGTGGATGAATTGCTCCCGGGGCGAATACAGGAAGTATTCTCTGTGTCGTGTCATTGCTCATGCCATTTAGCGGGAAGTGAATGACGGGTGATTGGTTGACTGGGTGGTGGGTTCTTTGAGCCTTCCTCGATAGATTTTGCGTTCAGCGCAACTGCGCAGCGACGATGCGTCGCAACAATCACCACTCCGACGCCAAATATCCACCAAGCGAAAAGGATTGGCAATGCTCGGTAGGCTTGGCTTGCGCAGCCACGGCTCCAAATCTCCACCAGTAGCTGGTAGGTCTCGTGGGCTGGCAAGGCGTAACCCCAACGGTAGAATCCTGGGTTCAACTCGGCGTCAGTGCGCTTGCAACATTTGTCATTGCCCAAGTGAGAACAGAGAACGACAAGAAAGGTACATAAGTCGTTATAACGTCAAGGATGAGAAAGTTGATGTGCATATAAAGCCTGAAAACCATCCAAGTAAGGACGAATTGGTTACCGTCTACCATCCAGCTCTCTCTGTAAGCCCATATGTAACCTGTCGTACATAAGGAGCCAAGTAATGTGTATGCGGCAGACAATGATGCACGAAGCAAGCCATTCCATACAGGCGTCAATTGGATGTATAGTTGGAACTCGGACGAAATACCATTGATAGCCATCAGAAAAAGAACTGTTGGGTAATTGGCATGACCATTGTCACCGTGTTGTAGAGCACACGTGTACCCTGCGTGGTAGGTTGAATGTTGATCACTGTCGCTTCAATTGGGTCAAGAATAACTTGAGCCACAGCTGCGTTGCTGATATTTGCAGATAGGGCGACGGGATTACCGTTGCTTTGGTAGTACGCAGAACGGGCAGCGATGACAAGCTGCTGTAGGCTCGCTAGGATCACCGATTCAGATTCAGCTGAATAACGTGCTTCATTCCAAATATATCCAATTGCATCACTGCTTTTTTATTCCATAGCGGCAGTCTCATTGTCGAGAGCGGCGGAAAGGCGTACAGATGCGTTGGCGGTTGAGTAAATCGCAGCCCAGTAGTGCCCCTTGCACACTGCCTCCCGCACGTCATCAAATGCCAGATACTCGGTAGTAGTACGTTGATCAAGCGTTATGAATGCAGGATCATTTAGTGCTTTGTACGCCCCGATCAGTGACTGACCGACAGCCCCGCCATCATAGTCCACCAGTAGCACATGAAAATTATGCTCCCGACTGGATGCCTGAAACTGCGTGCCATACAGATAGGAAAGAGTTCCAAGAAAAAGAAGTTGCAACAGGATACAGCTACCAGCAACAGAAGTCAGAAACGGTGTTCTTATCTTCCTCCAGTGGAGTCGTGAGGTGGAAATGGTTCGACACTGAGGCCCGAAATAGGAACGGCCCGAGTTCCTACTGCACGCGTAGAAAACCGCAAACCAGGAGGAGCTCACGAGATTATGTTCTCACTGCTTAGGCTCTCAGCTTGTCATTCTTGGTCAGAGTTGCATTCGGAAACCAATTTACCTGGAACCTAGTACCGCGATCGATCGTGAAAGGGGCTTAGTCCAAGAAATGCAGTGAACTTCGCTCATTCGGATTCAAACTGCACGCTAAAGGCTCGGGTTGAGGCGATATGTGAAAGTGCGGAAATAAACGTTCTTTACTCGGGATGGTCAGAACTTAAATATTCACACCTTCAACAATTGGCAATTAATTCTTACCACCCTATTGCGGGTCCCGTTTTTATACGAATAGTCTTTTCAAAGCACATACGAGTCTATGATGGTCTTGGAAAGTAAAACGTAGTTCGCAGCTGTACGGTATTTGTCGGCTCTCCGCAATGATGACTTGCATTGGCCTCAAAAAGCATTGGACACATTCGGTATATATTGTCAGCCCAAACGGGTCAGTATTAACTACTAGTTAGTGAACATGCGAGTGTGTTAGTTTTTAGTAATTATTTTAGCCTTAGTCTCGAAAGTACGGAGGGCGGACAAGCTTGCGAGAACCATTACTAAGAAGGTAAATATCCTTCCGAAAGTGAAAGGCAATACCCGACTCGCTCAATTGTACGGGATCGCTACTATTGAATTACAAAACTGAGTGGGACACGGACTCGTTGTAGGGGCTATACCGCTGACTAAGCGGAAGCGAACGCGACTTTTTCACGGACTATTGTTCTTCCGTCTACAGTCACGGTCAGTCAGTGCACGATTAGATGGTCTTATTATGAAGTTTTAGATATACACTCATTGATCTCACCTTTGACAAGGTCTATCCCGGAACCCCATCAAATTGCACTTTACTCTAATAGGAGTGACGTCATAATATAGGAATCTACTCCTAATGGGATGGCACTGCCCGCGTGGCTCCACTATGACCACCACTAGTGTCTTGACGATGGCAACCCCGCAAAGTCTAACTCCTTTTCCGATCCTAAAGCCGATACCCTGACTCCCGAATGCTCTTCATTTTAGCTCTATATCGATCGATATGAGAATTTAAGGCCAGTGTTGCTTCGGACAGATTCAAGACAGTAGGGATTGATAGTCGAAGCCGACAGTCAGTTCACAGCCTCGGGCCTAAGATCTTTCCGGAGACTCAAGATGTCTCCTCAAACACCGGGCTCAAAGGAATTCGTGTGTAATCATTGCCAGGGATCTTTTCGTCGACGCGAGCATCTTGAGCGCCATGCTCGATGCCATCTTGGTCTGCGGCCGTTCAAATGTCATCGGTGTTTGAAAATATTCTCGCGAGGGTGAGAAATATCCATCTGCTTTACATATTTTATTGATTGAGACTGCGTTTGGCGTTCGGCTTCTTCGTGGCTGACATATTGGGCTCCTAGGGACACTTTGAAACGACATATGGCAACTCATGGCCAAGAATCAGTACAGTCTCGTGATATATCCGTGGCTCCAGGTAGTTCAAGGGTCGCACAGGCATGTACCAACTGCACAAGGTCAAAAAAGCGATGCGATCGAGCTTTGCCCTGTGATCGCTGTCGACGAAAAAACTTGAACTGCCACTTGGCGGAGCCTCCGCGCATTATTGAAAGGCGCGAGATAGAAGGTCCATTTTCCGAAGTTGCGGATACGAGGAAAGAACAATGGGACAATCAGGCATTGCAGCATACAATGATCCCCTCTACTTTATTACCCGTGCCCCAAAGATCAATGCAAGGTTTGTCTAATGGGAACCATGATCCTTTTGGAGAGCAAGCAACCAAATCACCTATGTGCCAAACCATTCAGAGGGATTCGCAAAATCCCATGATGATTACAGGTGATATATCTGAACATACCTTTGCCGGTAATTTGATGAGTTTGGATACTCTGTCCTCGCGAGCGATGAATCAAGCTCCTGAAACAGATGACCTGGCCAATTACAGTTTCTGGCCATTATCTCTCTGGCCGTTCCTTGATATGAGCGATACTGGGTCGTTTTCGGTATCATCAAATCCGCCTTGGATAGCTGAAAGCACATTATTAAATCAGGAAAATGAGCTCAGCACTCATGCATTTTGCCAACACCAGAAACGATTCGCAATACGCCTTCAAGATTGCCGTACTCTCACCTATCTGGCACTCAAGGAGACGCTAGTCGGCAAAATCTTTCGAAGAACTATCATGGAAGTAGAACGACAAGCCCCATTGTATCAGAGGAGAGCCAAGATAGGGAACAAACCTCGAATTGGTCGCACATTGATCGTAGCCAATTTGTTGAACAAAACTCATATTCGCCTTCATCCTTGGATAAACTTCGGTTTCCAGAAGTTTTGCCCGAAGAACGTGATCTGATCATCTCTGAGGATTCATGCCATGTTCCACAAATTCATACAGAAGCATATCAAAAAATTGTGGCATTCTATTCAGAACAGTGGCAGCTCAATGCCCCTCCTCCTTTTCCAAGATCTGAAGTAATAAATGCGTTCATGCAATTGTACTTCGAGAATTTTCACCCTGGAATTCCGTTGATTCATGTCCCTACATTTGAACCTTGTTCAGATCGCTGGGTCCTCCTCTTAGCCACAGCCGCTATTGGTTGCCAATACTCTGCCATCAAAAACAGGGTAGGGTTTGCTGAGGCGCTGCATGAACTTCTCCATCGAGCAATACAATGTCAGGTATGCTGACTCGCGTTGTCGCTTCGTACATACTACATGGGGAAAAATTCTGACATTTATAGCTCACCCCCGATACCTCCCTTCGAAAGAATCTCCCATTTGCTCAGGCCATTCTCCTTGACAATTTTTCTATGATGTTTGGCGGTGCAAGGGAATCATTATTAAATTTACAACATAAAAGAAACACTCTAATCACAATATGCCGCCCATTTCTTGCCGCGCAGAGTTTCATGTTCAGTGACCTTCAGACTCAGTCGATGATTAGGACAGAAGAAAGTTGGATTCACTGGGTCATGGGTGAATCTTGGAGGAGAGTACTGTATTTTGCCTGGTGTGAGTTGAAATATTTTCACGTTGATGCCGTCTGCTAACCCACGTTTTTGTTATTTTCTTTCAATCCAGTCATGGAATGTCTTCAATGGATCCTTTTTGACCTTCCACCTCTTCTTTCGTCATCTGAGCTATATCAAAATCTTCCATCAGATGACCTGTTTTGGCAATGCTCTAACGTTATAGAGTGGGAAAGGCTACGTCAATCGTCTGCAGGTAAATAATTTTTCGACGTGTCAACGAATATTGTACTAAGAGGCAAGAAAGGTTTAGGGAATCCTCCCAGCATTAGGCGCGTCTTCAGTTTTCAGAAACTACCGAAGGATACCTTAAAAAGATGTGGGAATGCTGCACGTCTTATAATCATGGTATCATTGTATGTCGAAGAAAGGAAATCTCTTCAGTCGTTGAATTCCTGGGTATACCAGCAAGCGCTTGATGAAACCGTCGGCCAACAATCACCATTTTCAGGTCAGCCTTCCTTGCAACGCATCCATAGACCAACAGATATGCAAGCGTCATTCGATTTGGAATATGAATATTTGCTTGACACCCGCGAATCAGACATGCATGGTAACTTGAAGAAATTTTATCACTTGCTTATTATTCTCCGGCATGTCCCTCTCAGACTATTGTATGTCTCCTCTGGTTGGTCGACGTTACAGGAAGACCTGAAAATTGCCGAGAAAGAGATGTTGGATTGTCTACATGCCGATGAAGAGAGGACACGCCGAATTCTGATGCATGCCGCAACCCTGTTCCGTAGCATTCGGAGCCAAGACTTCATGTCTGGTCATGACCCACTCTTTTTGCTGATAGCGACCTTATTTCTTTGGTCATACACCAGGCAAATAATTCGAAGTTATCCCCATGATCACTACACGAATGCATATTTGACTGCCCAGCCAATTCGAATCGACCAGGATCCTAAAAACTCTGCACTTGATTCTTGGATAAAATCAGGTGGAGCGATCCAGATACACATTACAGGGATCGGCGTTTTGAACAGGCCTGACAGTTCCAATCGGATTCTAAAGGAGGCAATCAGGGTATTGACTCGCGAGAACTCGTGGATGAAAATGAGTCAGGTTATTGCACGGGCACTCCAGCAAGTACTGGTTGGAAAGTCTCCTTCTTTTGAAGTTTCGTCCTAATATTCAGTCCTTGGCTTATGCATCGGTCTTTGCAAACCCAGTTTCTCGATTCCTGTTGGGACAACTCTACTTCAAAAGAACTCCATAAAAACAAAAATAAGGCGACCAGTCATTTAGCTACCATTTATATATCCCAATCCTATAGGGAGGGCATGTTTATAAACGGGCCTGGGACTTTTTCCGTCCGACGTAATGACTCACTTCCTGCTCTGAATTACCCTGATATCACAACACATACTAGTATTTCAAGCCCATAACGCTGGAGTACCAGTCTCTGCCATTTGAGCCATGGCTATCTCATCGGCATGGCTTCACAGTAGATTGTGTCTGGTATTCGATACTCCCATGAAGCCAAAAAGCTCACTTTTATCGATGGTATAGATCGTCTAAGGTGGAAACAAAAATATTGATTGGTATAACATTCGAGGACCTCACGTCACTCAGTTGTAAGAACCTTTTCTGGTAATCCTATTCAAATTATTTCTCCCCGGGTATGCCTTCGTGCATAAAGAAATTCGAAGCAAAAGGAAAAGGACCCATTTGCACTAGCTGTCCTGCTTCGAACTCGGCGAGTCTGGCAAAAAGCAATGTTGCGGTACGAGGCTGGTGCAGGTCAGGAACAAAGCCGCACCATCGGAATGAATTCCCGGGTGTCTACACGGAGAGTGAATTTGCTTGAAAATCAAATTGTTCTTCCCATTGTATATATAGCCTCGTGTATTCCATCTGAAATAACAATCAATCTTCCTTTGGATAACAACAGACAGAAAAAGGAGCTTTGGGTATACTTTTTCACTAATTATGCTGGCGTGACTCCGACGGCGCTGTTGTGAATATCGGCCATGATATAGCTTACAGTTAGAGCTAGAAAAAGAACAAAATTGACAAAATTTAGTCGACTGGCAGCGCAACTGTTCGATCCTTATACTGTTAGCTACGAAAAGAATCCCTCCATTCATCTTTTTGTCCTCCCAAGCATCCTTCTGGACAGATTCGTTTGGTAGGATTTAAGAAAATTTATGAGTATGTCATGAAGAAGCTGAACAAAGGCAAAGCTTCCTAGAGTAGATACCTGCTTTCTCACTCATTACATCGAGGACGTATCATTTATGCCATAAGCTGCTTAAGATGCTGCCTTGGAGTGACCTTTGTTTGTTTTGACTGATTGTAAAGTTATTTGGTCCATGACCTGACAGAACCGAGTACATCGGACGATCCCCTAGAAGCCCCCGTCGGGAAGGCCGATCCCCCGCTTTCCCCGCCACCACACCGCGCACTTACCCACTTAGTCCCATGAATAAGTAGCCTGTGCCTAGTGAATTTGCGGGCCCGATGTTTCCGAGAATACTACTCCGCCAGTAATTCCGAGTAACCGAGCTTTTGTCGTCGCATTTTGCCTTCACGTATGCCCACTTGAAGATTCCTTCGTCGTAAAACATTCGGCGGGCTCATTTGTTGCCACCCTATGGGTAAGCTCTCGCGTCGTAAGCTTATCTCCGGCGGGGAAGTCAGAAAACGAGAGTGATGGCATTTTCGGGGTAGTGCAACCGTCGCACTGTCACAAGCTGGATGGACCCAGGGAGATATCCCCCGCTTACGAAGACACTTCCTCATAATAAATTAAATATTATATATACGCTTGATTACCATTCAAATTCTCGTCTAACCCTATTTTTCTATAAGTATCAGTCGACCTCGATTTCCAAGCCCCATTCATCAGGATGCCTTCCCCGACAGATAACGTAGCAGTCAATGTTCCAGACGTAATTATTTTCTATCGCTTGCCTTGACGTAAAAAGTGAACTGACAAATTTTGTTGCAGCCAGAGCATCTTCCTGACAAAGTCGGAGGACCTAAAACCACAGGAATGATCGGTCGCACATTCGAGTATCAATACCCAACCGGGCCACAGTACCGCATTAGTTTCAGCAAGGGACTGGTATACTTTACGGTCCCTACCCTCTCGGATGGAACCACGGTGCTCGCGCTTCCCTACCAACAGCGGGAGGTCCGTCCTAATCTGTTTTTGGTGCATTGGATTGGACCTGGAAGACAGGGACATGTAGCCCTGGTATTTGACATGGAGCAAAAGAAGGTTGACTGTGCAGCATTAATGCCTGCCGGGCTATACGAGCTATTCGATCGTGCTGTATTTAAAGAGGTCTATGAGAATGGGGACTCAGCGTTGTACTTACCATACGAGTGAGCAAAGGGATAAAGAGAGCCATATGCAAATTGAGAAGTACCAAAGTAGCTTTCCTAGAAACATGTTTCAAAAAGTTTCTCATCATAGAATATGAAATGGATAGATAGATTATGTTGACTTTAGAAGTCACGTGGAAAGGGCCATTTTGGGCACGAGCTAATCCATGGGAGAGGATGTGATGCATTGCATAACTACATAACCTCGACAACATGCATCCAATTCAAGTTTGACCATGCGTGCCATTCAGATCTGGTTAGCGTAAAGACTCCAGATACCGAGGGGTTTTAGAGTCACCAACGATTTATATAGTTGCTAATTTTTGTATGCTTGCAGGGATTCCAAGGCTAAAGTTGAGGCAGACAAAACCCTCCAGCTTGTTCTTGATGGGGTTCGACCAGTGGGCGCCAAAATATTTAGAAGGCGCAATCAATCCAAACTGACCCGGAAGAGCTCACGTTTCTGATTGTATCCTAGGCTTGGGCGGGAAGTCCAGCAGTAGTATGTGAGAGAGTCAAATCAATGATGCTTAGGATAATCGACAGGTATTGAAGATCGCTACCGTCACTACTATAATAACAGACTTAGCTTGCGTATATACTTGCATAAATGACATCATAACAGGCCCGTTTATGACACTGTATCACGAATAATACGGGAATGTTTATATTCCTGGGCTATCCTGAATGAAGTTCCGTGTGAATTGTTAGTTGGATTAGAGGAAATGAATACGGGTGGCGATGCCGGTTTCTGGAAGTACTGTTGCAATTGAGGTTGAAGTCGGCAATGTGTTGCACACAAGCCATTTAAGCTATGAATAAAGAGTATGAAAGAAAAATATATTATGTGAGTAAAGATTCTTACCTAAGCCTCTCCGAGGTTCAGCCTTAGATAACTACTGTATTCTATACTAATTGATAACACCTTTCAGGACCCGTGGGCTAACTTATAGGGAAGTAAAGTGTATAGTTCGCTAAAAAGTGTGTTGCATTAAGTACATGCAGCATAGTTCAAGTGCAGACGACGGATTATGAATATCATTTCACAATGGCCAACAAAATCAAACACAAGGAATGATAAGACAAGAGCTATTCTCGCCACTATTGAGACAATGAATAACGTGAGTGCCGGTGTTTTTGCCTTCCAGAGGTTGGACACCAGGGATTGGAAAGGGAAGCACAGGTTTCCCGGACACTGAAAATTCCATAATATCACCTTTCTGTGATCCAATTAGCTTCTTTGTAACTAGGCATGATCTGTTTCCTGGACTCCGTTACTTACCTGCCAGTACATGCCGTAGGGACGCAGTGGTATCTCCACTACTCGGACCTCTCCCTTCACCAACGGGACCTTTTCCTTGTGCTCATAAAGTGGCTCGAAAGAGGTAGAGAGTGGACTCTTCTGATGTCCGTGGCTCACTCGCAGCTGGCCCATAGGTCCCCAGTGGAGGAGCATACCAACTCCTTGAAGCAAAATCTGCCAATCATGCAACAATTTCAACAGCCTTAGTACCACCGCGTTGTTAGGCCGGATAGTTAAAACACCCTGCTTAAAAAGAGACTTTCCCCGGAGACAACACACTTGAACGAACAGATCCATATCTGTATCCAACTCACAGGATACTGCAAGACGATGAACAAAATAACCCGTAGTCTCCATATCTTCTGGTATGCGATACCGAAAAATTGCCTTTCCACTCCTAGAGTCGTACGTCACAGAGCAAGGTCCCTGGTCCTGTAGCGACGGGCCCATCTGCTGGTTAGAAGTCAAGTAAAGCTTCTTGTATTTGGTTCGAGCCAGTGGCCACTCCCGTTCTGACCTGTTTACTGTATCTTCCAAGCCTGATAGCCCAAAATTCAAGATACTAAGACGTACTCTCGGTGTCGTCTTCCAGCCATTATCCTTCTTTCCCTTCAGGAAGTAGTCAAAAAAGCGCTTTAGGTCACGACAGCTAGAATCAGCATAATAGTCCGGCCATTCCTGGCAGTTATGCACGCGAAGCCACTTCGGGACTGAATCAGGGATGGCTCGGTAAGCTCGCAATGTTCCCGAAGTACGAATTGGATTTGTCCACGAGGCTACCACGTATGTAGGAATATTGATCTGATCACACTTCGAGTGTTTGTCTTCCCAATACTCATTCCAGAGAGGATATATCTTAACCGCACCAGAAAGGTCTTCAAGCTTGCCGTAGCTACTGAGGGTGTCTATTTTCCCTCAATTATTAAAAGGCTCTGAAAGCAAGAAAATGAAATTGAGGGGACGTTTTTACCTGCGATAGAATCGTGAAAATTGGTAAATGGAATCCCCCCTTGGCAGATATTGTCGCGATATATGTCTTGCATCCCTTTCCTACATCGAAAGATGGTGAGTTATTTTCGGGGGTCATTTTCCGGATACAAAGTCAAAGAAGAGGGGACGGAGGAAAACACTTCAGCATCATGATACGTACCAAGGGGCGAGAGCTTCCAAGCCTTCGGGCCGCAAACTTCCTATTTTCCATTGTGACATGGCCAGCCAGCTGTTTCCAGTGAGTCCAACTCTCCCATTGCACCAGGGTTGCCGAGATAGCCAGGTCACAAACTCTGCCCCGTCTTGGGCTTCTTGGTGACCCATCATCAAAAGGTCACCCTCGGAGGTATAAGCTCCTCGAGTATCAACGTTGAAAATCGCGTATCCTGCAGCGCACCAAAATCCAGGGTCTGGGCCTTCCCATTTCTGAAGACCAGACAGCCAATGCTTCGGGACGCTTGCTCGGAAAGGGAAGTCATCCAGCACAGTGGTTCCCAGCTATTTTCCATACGGACTCCTAACATCAACCAATTTGAGTGAAATCCACTTATTGGCTAGGTTCCTCTTGCTGGACTTCCCAGCCAGAGCGACTTTATGTGAATAAGTAACTTACCAGGCAACTAGGGCAGGAATCTTCTCGTTCTCATTGACGAGTGCTTCTAGGTCCTCAAAGCCACTCGGCAGAAATATGTCATAAAAAGGTGTAGTGCCATCGGATAAAACCATAGACTGGCTCTCGTGCATCACAAGATCAACTGGCAAAGCCTTTGCGCCCTTTTGAATTTGCTGACCGGCCTTAAACGCGTTGACTCGTTGTCGAAAGCCCGGAAAGCGTGCCTTGGGATCCTCCGGGGACAGCGCGGGACGAAATTGAATGAAAGTTTCAGCCTTCGTTTTGGTATCCATGCATTTTTCCCTGAAGTATGTGTGCCGGTGATCATCAGACATGTTTGGCCTTAGCGGTGTGTGTTCGTGGCTAAAGAGATAGGAGATAAGAACGCAATATGCAAACAACGCAGACAATTCAAAGCAGGGAGTATGTTTCCTAGTTGTATACAATGCACACTGTGGTTGCAGCATTTGGTAGCTTACTATGTCTCGAAGTGCGCTTCTCGGTTGCGGAGCATTGGTGGAGCCGACGGGGAATGTCAGTACGAAATCCGGTGGGGCCGCGCGCGGGGCTTTTTCAAGGTTACGGGATAGCGGGGGCCCGACGTCGGGGTACTTCCGAAGGACGAGCTATTGCAACAATTCGAGCGAGCTCGATTTTGGGAGGAGAAGCTTACCATTTGATGGTATACATAAGTTGAATTGAGGGCACCGTTTGACTTGAGCCTCAAGTCCGTTGACCCTTTACTTTTTCTTTCTTTGAGATACCTGCCAAGGTTATATTGCATTGCCCCTTGCGCGAGAAGTCCACAAGACTTCAGGAAGCGGAAAACTTTCGCAGAGGAGGTGACGCTTGTTTCCGCCTGTCATGTCTGATAAGTTCAATGTTGCTGTTCTCGGTCCGAAGGGACAGTGTGGACAATGTGTTGTCGATGAGCTGTTGTCCCGGGGACACAGCGTTGTGGGCGTATCTCGCTCTCCACCCAGCAAATGGCCGAAAGCTGGAAACTACAGTGCTATTACATGTGACTTTAGCGATATAAGAGGTCTCAGTACCATTCTTTCAGAGGGGGGCTTTGACGCAGTTGTATCCGCCTTTGCTCCACCACTGGGCGACATGAAAGCTGTTTACAGGCTGGGGGTAGAGGGCCACGGCAACATCAAAATGGCAATCCTGAGATCTACTTATCGGGGTCCATTCATCATCATTGGTAATATCTTCATTCCGAAATATGACGTTGTTGTTCCAATGATTGGAAATATATACTAAATTCAACCCTTCATTCTGCAGGTGGTGCGGGCTCCCTATACTACAAAAAAGGAGTGCAATTGTGCGACGATGATGGCTTTGCATTTAGCCATTGGTTAGTTCTAGCCAACACTATTACCTTTCAAGCGTGAAAGACTAACAAACTACAGGTACGCATGGCCTGATGTACACCTTGATTACATGTCAACTCGCATGTCTGATCATGGGCAGCGAGGGCTAGGTGTATTCTTACGGCTTTTCAAATGGGCAAGAGGGAATATTGAAACCCCCGGCTGTAAGCAGGCTTGCAGACACTTCACTTCTTGACACGGACTGATATGGTTGCTTGTTTACCAGGGTTTTCGTGGTTATTCAGACCCTGTGCGAATATGTTTATGCGGTCGGCTAAGAAAACACTGACTAGCCCAGACGCTGTTGGATTGATTTTATGTTCTCGTGCTGCTCTGACCATGTGGGAAGGTGTGCAAGATACCCCATGGAGCTTCCTTTCACCTCCATGGCAATTGCGTGACAAGGGTAAGGCAGATCATGGTGTTTATTAGCAAATCAGATCTTGAAGCTGATTATATGGCTATAATAGGGATCCGAACTGGAAAGTATGAGGTGTATGTGGATGATTCTGCTGGCTCTGCCGAGATAGGCATTGATGAAGGCGTGTACAATGAGGATATGGCGGTTGCCATTGTTGATGAAATTGAACACAACAAGCTGAATCACAAGCATTGGACATGCACAGGACCGGTTGGATTGAAGGAATGGTAGATGCAGAAGTGACAGTGATGAGGTTAAAGTTACATCGAAATATGTGTCTAAATAGCGTCTTGTGGGTTGAGTGTGTTTGTTGAGCACACTTTCACTGGTTATTGGAATATATATGAGCTCTTCTATCTAATGAAAAGTCTCTCCGTGAAGTGAAAAGTATATCGTCTGTATTTTTGGCACTCTAGTTTAGCAGCCCGCGCTACGAGGGCTGTTGAAGCGTAGGGTTTGTAAGCGGCGCAAACAACGGAAGATAGGGAGCTCTCTCCTCATGCGAAGTCTGGAACTCAAATACATTTTGAAAAACAGAAATCAACTTAGCCATCTGGGCGATAATTTGGTGCTGAGAATTATGGAATTTACACTGTATGGAACAGGTGATGGTGCCGTATGATTAAACAGTAGGCATTGAGTAGTAACTGTAGCGATCTTTGATACCTGTCGATTAGCCTGATGATCATTGGTTTGAATCTCAAACATACCACTGCTGGAATTGCCGCCCAAGCCTAGGACAAAATCAGAAACGTGAGCTCTCCAGGAACAGTTTACATAAAATGCGCCTACAGAATGCTAGCTCTTGTCGGGTCCCATCCGACCGTTTGGCCCGCCCGACCGTGAAATACTTTACTAGCAGTAATTTAATACAAGGTATTACCCACAACCCCTATTCTATACCTGATATTTTCCTCTCACAATACCGCCATCACCTACGGATATGCCTTACGATATTGCTACAAATGCTTCGGTCCTGATATTACGTGCTGTCTCTAGACAGACATTTGCTGAGATCGCTGCTAGCCCTGGCATATCACAGTCTCAGGTTAACCAGATTTACGCAAAGGCAATTGAACGTGGGTTTCAAGAAAATCAACGCCCAATTCGTATCAAAGATGCTTATGTTTCTGATGCACCACGATCCGAACAACCTAAAAAGGAATCTACTATGAATCAAGATGTTATTATATCTAAGGTTCACGTTAATCGCTATGGCCGAAAGAAGTCAAGTACTGATCTTGCTGGGGAATTTAGTGTGTTTGTGATCGAAATATCGGCAACAATAAGTCGGCGGATCTTAAGAAATCTTGGATTTCGGAAGACGAAGCCAACTCGGAGGCCTGGATCACCGAAGATGAGAGCTGATCCAAATGTAAGCATTTTGGATGGAAAGGATTCTGAAGATAGAAGCATGAGAATCACAGTTTGAAAGACATGGTGCAAACATCTTTAGTTTGATGGGTATTGTACCTACAAAGACGTTTATTACCGTAACACCTGCTCGCTTGTTTGGTTTATTAAAAAGTATTGCTGCCCAGGCGGCACTGAGTCTGTTCAGGTATGCTCACGCGTACTTAGAGAGCAGATGAGTAAGAAGCGAGGCATAACCTACTTCAGCAACTTCTCACCTTCCTCGCTAGAAGCCAGACCCAGACTAGCAAACTGAATATCCCGAATAGCATGCCCTTGCCACATGACCAGCATCACAAAAAAGAACGAAACCAGAGCAAAGAAGCCCATCAATCCATAAACCCACCCCATAGTCACAGCCGCAGCCCAAGCATCAACGTAAAAGCTAATAGTCAGCCCGTAGATAATCCGATAAGAACCAATCACAATGCCAGCCTCAGCGGGATGATTCAAAAAGCACTCAACGGCATAATTAACCGTAACAGGCACGCTAGCCATAGAGCCAAGGGTCACAAAAAACACGCCCAGCGCCAGAACCATATAGTTCAGATGATACTGAAGTGCTGCGCCGAATATACCAAGTCCGATCGGGTTAAGTATCATACTTGGTAGCCATAAGACGTGAAGCCGGTATTCTGTTTTCCAGATGCCGTTGTTGAAGCGCCGAGCTAATGCGAGTGGAATTCTGTCGTTAAAAAAGTGCCCGTGAACCTGCACGAGAATGAGAGCTACCCAATGGCAGAATGTAAAGGCCGCGTTTTGTTCAAGTGTGAAGCCGTAGCCGCCTTCTGAGACGGGCTTTTGGAGCCAGACGGGAGTTAGGGCGTGAACACTGACGTTATAGCCGAATGAGATGAGGGCGAATATACCCATGAGTATTGTTACGGGGCAGATTCCAATTAGGAAGGGGGTGGCAGCAACTTTGGCCTAGCAGGTTGTTAACTTGCATTTCATTTGGGGAATGGAGTCGGGGGGAGACCGTGCCGTTTCTTTCCAGGTGCTTGGCAAGACGACGCTCTGCCCGAAGAAGAAGGTCTTGAAGCGGTTCGCAACGAGATTCTTGGGGATATTGGAATTTCTCTCGGGACTCTCACGATCAAATCCTGTTTCTTCGAGGAGGCAGAAGCAGCAGATAAGATTAAAGCCGAGGAGTCCAACCGTCCACCAGAACTCCACTGGGAAGAAGGAGTTGGCGGAGACAAAGCCAGAGAACGTGGGACCAGAGGTTGTACCGAATAAGAACGAAATGTGTAGCGTGGTGAATGCTCGGCCACGCTAGTGCAAATAGATCAGGTCGGTCAGGATGCGCGGGCCGAGAACTGTAGGTATAGCACCGAATAATCCGGCAAAGGCGCGCGAAGTGATGAATGGGACATAGTCGTCGGAGTGGGTCATGAGGGCTGTCCAGACTTGGCAGATGAGCGTACATGAAATGCACCAGAAGATGGTAGAGCTACAGCCGAGTAGGTGTGATATAGGTGCGAAGAAGAACGGACCACTAGCCATGCGGCCGAACTCTACAAAAGTTAGACATGTTCGTTATTTAGTATAGATATAGATAGACTTGCATAGTATGGACTCAATAGAATTGTAAGATACCGCATATGACTCCTGAATCTTCGTTGTATTATAGAGCTCCTCCTGCTGTGTAAGATTAAGCTGACCCGACATTGACGCAACAGCGCCAGCGAACGCGGACAAGCATAGTACAGCCGCGATGAGATACTTCCGCCTTAGGGACCAGTTCTGTTAGACTGTCATTTAGAGATGTGCAATTCTGCAGCTTCATAATTGTAGTACATACCAGAGGGTCGCGGGGGTCATTACTGGGCTTGGGAATCAAAACAACATGCCCTTCACAATTGGGTTCATTAGGCAGCGATCCGACGGTAGAGGTCTCAATATCCTTTGGTTCCTTGATGGCATCCATTGTGAGCAATTTTCAAACAGATTGATCTCGCCTGGACTGAGAATCAGCAGAATCAGCCCTTTTTAACATGTGAGATCATGAGGAGCTGAGTCTCCTGGCGACCCACGCTGCTGCATGGCGGACCTGAGCACGAACTCCATAGACACGTCACCAAAGTCATCAGCAAGGGGAAAATAGCCATAGCTGTATTTGTGACTTTGTGTATGTGAAAAAACTTTCTCTCGCATGAATCTATACATCGATCAAAAGAAGGGAAGGGGGGGTCTTGGCTATGAAGCTTGGCACAAGATCTAAAGATTGACTGAGTCAGCATTGTTTGGGAGTGCAACCATGATACGGTCAACATCTGCAGGGACTAACAAGGGATCCCTGTCGAAGATCATCTCTCCACTTTACTAAATAGGTAAGTAAGATATCACTAATGCGTATGATGGGTCAGTAATATCATTCAGACAGAGTATCTAGACTGTAAGAACTTAGTCAATAACAGTATTTTACTCAGAAATGATCTCAATAGTAATCGGCAGAATTTAGGTGACATGTTCGTTTCAGGCCCCTCATCGTGTCAACTGGGTCTTGATCCCTGAAGAAAGGTGGAGCCATGGAGCCTACATGAATTTAGAACCGTCAACTGGCATCGGCATCCCAAGCCGATTGCGGTGGACAGCGACTCCACATCGGAGTAAAAATCATCGTTTTCAGGCCCGACGCGATTTCGGCAACAATTCCAGACGCCGAAATGCCCAAAATACAAAATGGCTGCAGTTAATCATTTCGATGGACACTGAAAGAATAAACATGCGACATTTTTAAAAACTCCAATATGAAAGAATCTACCGATCTGGAATCTCAAAAGCCTACTCCGCAGATCAATTCCCCGCATGACTCGGATACGGAAGAAGCCTCCAAGCCACAACCACCCACGGGCTACGCCATTCAATTTTGGCGCAAATGTCTTATCTTATTCGTCGTCAGTTGGATGACCCTCGCCGTCACATTTTCTAGCACGTCCTTGTTACCGGCAGTTCCTGAAATTGCGGAGCAGTTTTCGACGACGTCGGAAATCCTTGATGTTATTAATGCGGGCGTGCTCATTGCAATGGGCTTTTCTTCCTTTATTTGGGGCCCTATCACTAATGTTTTTGGTCGGAGAAATGCTTACAATACCGCGATTTTGGTTCTCTGTGCTTGCTCAGCTGGCACTGCTGCGTCTATTAATTTGCACATGTTTATTGCAATGCGCTTGCTCAGTGGTTTCACGGGGACGTATTTCATGGTCGCGGGACAAACCATCATTGCCGACATTTTTGAACCGGTTTGTTCTATGTTGTTTCTGTACTTTGGTGGAGGCCGATCACTGATCAGTATATATAGGTTGTGCGGGGAACAGCGGTTGGCTTCATGATGGTGGGATCTGTTAGTGGGCCTGCAATTGGTATGTTTTGCCAGCGGATATGAAGAACGTTGATGTTAACAAATATTTAGGTCCTTGCATTGGAGGTATCATTGTCACATTTGCCCACTGGCGTATTATCTACTGGCTTCAATTTGCCATGACTGCACTCGGTTTGATACTTTCTCTTCTTTTCGTACCAAATCTCGAGGCAAAGAAAGAGAAAAAACCACCACGAACCCTATCGTTCGTGTTGAGCATGTTCAACCCGCTCCGTATCTTTGGACCATTTATTTATCCAAACGTCTTTCTCTCTGTAAGTCCACCATACTTTCCACTTGATATGTCCTAACACCCAACAGCACCTTACATGCGGTCTATTGGCAACTTTCCAATATGCACTCCTCACCTCTGCCCGTTCCATTTTCGATCCCCGATTCAACCTCACTTCCCCACTGGTCAGTGGTCTCTTCTATCTTTCACCAGGAATAGGTTTCCTCATTGGAAGTGTAATGGGTGGCAAATTATCCGACCGCGCTGTGAAGAACTGGATCGTCAAGCGAGGCGGAGTTCGTCTCCCTCAAGACCGGCTGAACAGTGGACTGATCACTCTGTTTCTGGTGTTACCCATCGGAACATTGATTTATGCATGGACTCTCGAAGAGGGTGTGGGCGGGATGCCCGTGCCCATCATTGCTGCGTTCTTTGCAGCGGTTGGACTCTTGGGGTCATTCAATGGGTTGAATACATACTCAGCAGGCAAGTTTGACTCTGCAGTATCTAAACTCTTGTCTAACAATTGTCTAGAGGTTATGCCGAGCATCCGATCTGAAGTTATCAGCGGCAAGTATGTTGTGCAGTATATCTTCGCTGCCGGTGCTACTGCGGCCGTTGACCCTCTGATTGATGCGATCGGGGTGGGTTGGACATTCACGATCTGTGAGTTTACTGAAATTTTATAAATTAACTTATCTCTAACAAAATTAGGTGTTTTCTTTGCTATCATTGGTGGTGTTAATGTTTGGATAATCACAAAATGGGGACTCGACATGCAACGATGGGTTGAGGAAAAGTTTGGCCTGGACGCTAAGCCGCTAGCCTGATGATCACGATGCCACACCCCTTGATACATTTTACGAAATGATGCATTGTATAGAGCTTGAGATAGATCTTTTATACCAAATAGATGATTGCCATTCTTACTCCACTGAGTCCCCTCTAACCTGGTAAGTAACAACTACATGACGTGGAGCAAGGTACCCGATTTAAGTACTTCTCTGTAGCCTAGCCCAGTAGTATCCTGTAGATCCAATTAGATACCCGCCCTTCAAATACTGGAGCTGAAACTTGGTGGTTTAGTCCGTTTTCAGGGTATTAAGGCACCAAGGCACCAACAGTCCCCGCTTTCAACTTCGGTGAAACCTCCGAACCCTCGGCAAGATCATCGAGTCGCCGAGGTGCTTTTGAACAATCATTCTCCAGCCAATCCTGAGAGTGATAATGGCCCTGACAGAATGGCACGCGTAGAGCTGAAACGGTCACTTCCAGAGGACGACGATGCACGGCGACAAAGAAGAAAATTCGTCGCGTGAGTCGACCATACTGTATGTAAAAGAGCCTCACTAATAATCGCCGAACAGTTGCCAACGATGCCATGCGCACAAGATAAAATGCTCCGGCGATCAACCATGCAGCAAGTGCTGTGCGGTAGGCGTTGCCGATGAATGTGCTTATGCGTCCCGCGATCGTCAGGTCAAAGTGAGCGAGAAGTATGACTTATCCTCAATTTTACTTGCTAGTGCTGCTGGTTTCTGACGATCTCCCATAGCTACCTTGGCCAACTCGAGTCGGAACTTCGGCGCTTGAAAGAGCAATTGGTAAGCTCGGTTGGTGCGACCGAAGCTCAACCTCCACATGTGGGACGGTCTGTCACAGTCTTGTCCGAGCCTCAAACTCATCAATGCTTATCAGCGTACAGAACGTCATCTCGTCCTGTGGAAGCTCCAGATGCAACCGGTATTCAGAACCCACTGATAGGTGATCGCGCCTGGTTCCATCGCTATGACCCGTCGTCACCGCCGATCTACATTGGTGAAGCGGCGTGTTCGGCTTTTGCGACACGGTTTCGTCGTTTTTTAACTGGCAATAATGCCACGGCTCATATTGCGCGTACACAGTGGACGCGGGAAGAGACTATCGCTGCTGCTGCTGCCAACGAGGCGGAGGTCCAGTGGCCCAGTCTACATCATGCGAGGCTGCTGGTCAGGATCGCTATTCATCAGATTGGATATTTGTATCATCTGATGATGCGCAAGGCAACGCTGGATAAACTGGAAGAGATATATCAGACAGAGGAATTCGACTGCAAGACGAACAAGTGCAAATTCTTCGCCCTATTTGCTTTTGGACAAGCTTATTCCATCCGTGCGGAATCTACGTCTGGATCCCGTGTGCCGGGGACCGCCTACTTTGCGAAGGCCATGAGCTTGGTTCAGATACTCCCTGAGAGAACAAGCATTACTCACCTGGAGACTTTGTTGTTACTAGTAAGGTGTAACATTCTGCTTACTTACTGTTACTAACATGTGCAGTCACTATTCTCATACTATCTGAACCGCCGTCACTCCGCATACATCTTAATCGGCAATGCCATGCGAATGGGTCTTACAATCGGGTTAAATCACAACATCCCCGAATCTCAACTCATCGATCCGGTCGAGCGACAGCACCGAATCGAAATTTGGTGGACGATATACATCTTCGATCGCATGTGGGGCTCCAAAATGGGACTCCCTATGCAAATCCTCGACGAAGATATTCACGTCGACATGCCAACGCCCATCTCTCCACGCTGGAGACACGAGGAAGAACTTTCTGATACAGAATACATGACAGCCAATATAAAGCTGGCTCAGATAGTCGGCGAAACCATAACAAAACTTTACAGCCGGCGGAAATACCAAGAAACATTCTTGCAGCGTGTGCAGAAACTCTTGAAGGCCCTGAAGCACTGGGTGGAGACGTTGCCCGAGAGTCTGCGGCTGAATATGGAAGATCTAGAATCCAGCAAGAAACCCATCGTCTCATTACATATGGCTTTCAACCAATGTGTCATACTTTCCACTCGTCCCACACTCTTGCACCTTCTTATTACTCTCCGCAAAGCTGAATCGACTGGCGCAGGCCGGGAAGCAGTTTCACAACCCGTGTTGACGCTGAGTGAGGCTTGTATTCATGCCGCGCGCCATTCCCATTCTATGATCCTCACACGATGGATTAACGGCACGATGCCCACATTCGGATACTTCCATGCTCACTATCTCTTCTCCTCGGCATTGATCTTGGCTATGTCCAGCTTTGTCCCAATCGGAAACTCGAACGATATGAGTGGATTTGACTCAGCACTAGATCTACTGCGATCTATGACAGAGAATGGAAATTTGGCTGCCGCGGAATTCTACCACAACCTGGAGCAGGTGAAAGTTTGTCTGGATGCGTATCGAGGCAATACTTCTGGTGGACCGCGAAAGCAGGAGGGGTTGCTGGAGAGTAATCCTAGTTCTATCAATCTGGGACCCAGTACAAATTGCATTGCTGCTCCAACCCCAGCCCCGGCCCCTGGGTCCAGCTCTGGACCCAGTTCAGACCTTGGCCTGGCAGCATCCTCGGTAACTTTACCGAGTGTACTTTCTAGCGAGCATGCAGCACCGATCATGTCAAACGGTAATCTTATGTTGACCGGACAGTCGCATGGCGATGCTGATGCCCACGCATTGGCTGCCAGGGATACAACCAGTGGATACACCACCGAAATGGCATTCCTGGAGCCTACGATGCAAGACTTCTTAGCACAGTCCGATATTGATCTTGGGCTGCTCCACCCCGTTGATACGTTTTTGAACGAAGCAGAGAACTTGTATACCTGTCATGAGCTCTAGCCACGAGACAAAATAAACGAATAGATGAGGTATATCAAAAGATCATAATTAAACAACACTCCTTTCACTTATATTCCCTAGATATCTTCTCATTAGCAGGCAACTCAGTCGGAAACCCTTTATCAAACTTCGTGAAAGGCAACCCCCGATTAACCACCGAAGTATCCTGCATCTCCACAGCCCCATAATCCGCCCCATACTGCGGCACAACCGAAGCCCTAGTCCGCCCAGAAGAAGACATAGATCCCCACCTCGAGGGCCAAGTCGGCGAAGCAGGCATCAAAGGCGAAGTCTGACCCTGCATCTGCAAAGTATACTCCGTCCGATCCGCCGGATTAAACGTCCTCAACTTCCCATCCTCAAACGACGCCTGCAAAACACCCTGATCAAGAAGCTCCGCCTTCTTCATCAGCCGATCGACCAAAACCTTCGACGCTGCTTTTAACTGGCCTTTCACAAAGGACATTAGTGTGATATTGCACTTGATCTCCACTTCCTCGAGGAGATATAGTCCTTTCTCGGGAGCGCCTGGGACCCGTTGCTCGAGATCTGCTTGTTCGTGTGCTTCGTATTCTTCATTGGGATGTGTTCCCGCGATTCGGAATTTGCTCAACAAGTCTATTCCCATCGGAGGGTATGTGTGTGTTTTGACACCCCAAGGATGATTCTCGAAACAGCCCTTGAAGCTTATTTTCCCCGAGCCCAGTTTGCCGAGTCCGGGCACGTATTGAACGCGTTGGAATATCTCGTACCATGTTGAGTAGTATTCGTCTGCGGGGGCATCGCGCGGGGCTTTGATGGGGTTGTGTGACAGGACTAGGGGGTTCAGGGTGATTATTTCGCTGTGACTGTGGAGAATGTCTAGGGCTAGTTGGCGGGGGATGTTTGGGGGGGGGGGGTGATGTTGGTGTATCTTTGCATCATTTCATCGAGCGCCGCACCGCGGCACAGAAGTGGTTTCAGTGATTTAGAGTAAGTCTGCGAGGTTAGGAGGAGGCTAAGAAAAAAATGGGGAGAAGAAATTCTTTAGAAGTGGGTTGATGTGCCTCGTATTCATCTGCTTACATCTGTTATCATAGGACGCCTCGGATCCACATGCTGACCCGTTAACTTAACTACCGAGTGGCTTTCTCGAATCAGCGGTTTATCTCAGTGATGAGACGATCTTTTCGCCCTAAGGCTGATAAATTCTACCAAATAAGCATCGACTAATCATATTTACAGACAAAGGTAAAAGAAGAAATGATCATCTACTGACACGGATCGATCGACTATCGATGAATGATGTGTTTTTCAAGGTTTTATTCAAATACTGTATTCTAATTGAGCTCTAAGAGGCATTTGATGTCAGCAAGCACTAGATGCAACGGAAGGATGAGGCTTTACTATTTGTATCCGTCCATTCTTGTAGACGAAAGCGCTGCCCATAAATGAGATCAAATCGAGGATTTGAACCCACTAGTCCATAATTGAGAAAAATGAACAATCCGCCCGATGAGATACAGCTGAGAACCCTTGGATAGTCCGAACATGGTAGCCAAGACCTGCTCCCCTCATATCTCCTCTCTCCTCTCTGTCCTCCGCGGTCCACTCGACCACGTGAAAATCTGGGGCGGGGGCCGCGGGGCTTACCGTGTAGGCCCGAGCCCTAACTGGGAGTGGTCAATTTTCTTTCAAATGCAAACTGGCCTGTGATTCATTTTTAAATTAATGCAATTCAAATGGTAAATTAACCACGATCACATGACCTTCAAGTCAAGTCTTCTTTCAACAATTATAATGAACATTCATTTTTTTTTTCGGCTCGTGAGGAACAAATTGCTCTCCTCTGTTTCCTTGAGACAATTTCACAAGTGTTAGCCCACTTCCTCTTTTTTGGCTTATCTTCTTTTTCTCGCCATTTCTGAATTCCGGCTTCAACATTGGCCTTTGAATCAGTTTGCATTTTGTGTTTTGATACAATTGATTCACAATCTCATGTAGTAATTTTCTCCAAGCCATTTTGCTCCACCTGTGATTTCGGTGGACAGGAGTGCCATGTACGATGATGGCTGGCAAAGCCTAGTGCAATTCATCATCGCAGTCAACGAGGTGGCAAATTTATATCGCTGTGAATTTCATGGTATCCATTTCTTGAAAAGGAAGATGGAACTATTGGATGGCCGACACTATCGGAGAAGGTTCAGACTCATGATAAAATCTTTCAAAACTGCGAGAAGCTGAGCACTTAATGGATGAGCGGAATATAGCAGGTGAGACACCGGCACAGCTACTATTAGTTAAACGAGCAAACATTGAAGTGGGGAAAAGATTGCATACAAAGTTTGATAGTGAAGAATAAAAATTAAAAATAAACATGTTCTCTCCTAGTTAGTATGTATGTGGGGTAAGGTTTTGTACCTGGCCGCCTACCTGATTGTGATCGTCGCCCATGGAACCTATTCAGGAACCATTTTTTCAAGTTATCGTATTTTCGACGTATCCCTATTCAATGTTCCCGTGTATACACTTGTACCGAGGACCTTTACTATTTAAAAATGGGGATTTCCATGTGAAATGAATTGGAATGTGAAGAGTGTGTTCTTAAATAAAAATGCCAGCTTATTTAAACTTCTCCAACACCCCATAACTCATTCCATAATTCACCACATTTCCATCCAGCACTATGATACCCTTTATAATACCCCTACTAGCTGAATTTGCCATATCAGTCACGGCAACGGCAGCAGGAACGGCAGCCTGCACAAACATCACGACCCAATTAGGCTCATCCAAAGTCAACACTAACCAACTGAGCCTGGATTACACCGAAAGCCTCGAATACTGGAACACAATTCAAGACAGCTATAAACCAACTTGCATCGTCTTCCCCAGCTCTGCTCAAGATGTATCCATATGTCTACAAGCAATCCGTGCCGCAGGAAGTCGCTTCGCAATCAAAGCCGGCGGTCATAACCCCAACACATTCTATTCATCCGTCGAGGCAGGCGTTCTCCTAGACCTAAACAGCATGACCGCCAAATCCTACGACACAGAAACCACCCTGGCAACATACGAACCAGGCGGCGTCTTCGGCGACATATACGAATACTTCGCACAGTGGAACCGCACAGTCGTCGGGGCCCGCCTAGCAGGCGTAGGAACAGGTCTCGCCCTAGGCGGCGGAATGAGCTACCTATCACCCCAATACGGACTCGCCTGTGATTCTTTCCGCGAACTAGAAATCGTCCTTCCAGACGGGCAAATCGTCACAGCATCCAACGAGACAAACGCTGATCTATTCTTCGCCTCACGAGGCGGTGGCGGAAATGCGTACGGCGTTGTAACGAAATACACAGTCCAGAGCCGGCCGATCGGCGAGTTCTGGGCTGGTAATCTGATCTACGTATTCGAGCAGCGGGATGCCGTGATTGAGGCCATTGGGAACTTCATCATCTACAATACCGACCCTAAGGCTGCTATTATTGGTACTTATGAGAAACTGCCAACACCGGATTTGAATCTTAATCTTGACGAGGCGATTATCATGTTCCTTGTTTATGATGGGTCGGATCCGGGTGACGCGTTTAAGAATTTCACGGATATTACTGCTTTGCTCGATACGACGGGTATAAAGAGTTATAACGATGTTGTCAATATGCCTATTCCGATGTCGACGGAGATCTCGCGCGGTGCGAATATGTTCCGCGTTGGAGTTCATCGCCCGGGGAACAATTCCTACGAGAACGCGCTTGATACGTGGCGTGAGTGGGCGGAGGAGAATAAGGGGAGCTATGAGCTTCTTTCTTTGGATTTTCAGCCCGTTCCGAAGAGTCTTACGGATGCGAGTAAGGCGCAGGGTGGGAATGCGATGCAGATGCCCGACGGGCCGTATTTCTGGTTGAACTATTTGATTACGACGCCGCCTGGGATGAGTGAGGTTGATTATGATACTGTGCAGGCTAGTTATCGGGATATGGTTAAGGGCACCGGGAATGCGGAGGGGTTGCCTTTGTTTATCAATGATGCGAGTTATGATCAGAATCCATTGCAGACTTTTTCGACATTTGAAAAGTTGCAGGGGATTAAGAAGAAGTATGATCCAGATAACTTTTTTGTGGATTATACTGGAGGGTGGTCATTTGCTTAGTGCAGCATCCATGAATTCATTGTGTGGTTTACATATTAATACCTTTACTCCTATCCCGAGGTCTTACGATCAAATGCTGCTCCGGTTTCTCGCAAAACTTTGCTTCGAGAATTTGTTTCTGTCAATACCACTGGTTCACGAACCTTGGAAGCCACTATCGAATCCGGATTCAAGACTGGAACAAACAGGTCCACCAATTTGTCTAGCGCGTTACCTGTAATCGAGTCATTGTTGGGGCACAAGAACCAAGTATTTTCGCAAGGGCATGCGATGTTTCCTTGTTTAGGTGCTCTTCCTGTTGGGATTTGTAGCCGGGTGGCTGTTCAATTTGGAAAGTTTTAGTTCAAAATAGGTTAAGGGATCTTTCAAGGCGATTCAATTTAATTTAATGTAAGTATGTAGTTAGAATCAAAACTACTAACTTGTTAGTGACCTGTGGTATTATTTATTGGAGATAGCGCAATGCAGGATCAAGCCTAATGCAAAGTATGCAAAGACAGAGGCAGGATTACTGAAAACGGCTTCATCAGATGGTAGCCCGTGAACTGTTTCAATAGATGCGAGTGTGTCTATTGAACGCAGCCACGGGACCTGGTAGTTGATTAGCAGACTAAATGGAGAATGCTCACAACAAAATAGATGATCATATGCACACTGTAAGAGGGCAATCCAGTGACAAAGCATGGCACAATAGATGCAGGGAGAAAGTGTATCAGATCGCAGTTGAAGCACAAATTCCAAGCCTGTGATATAAGGGGACAGAAAATAGGGCAGAGTCTAAATTGGAGGTCAACTGACTTCTCACTGCGGATCAAGGCCGCTTTGTGATAGGATATCCATGCAGATAGACCAACCGCGCTGAGCGGATGGATCCCGGGTAGCCATCTCGTGTAGCCAACATACCGCCTTTTGTATATCCGTTAAGAGCCCGGCGGCTCCAATGATGCCCGACTTGGTACGCATGAGCAGTTCAACCAGGATAATAGTAGTTGACTGCATGACATAATGCAGGACACACCACCATGGGAAAGTCTCATATAGCAAACATGCGTCCAAATTCTCAGGGAGAAGAGATATCATTCCGCGAGCTGCTTCCACGCATGTAGACGCCATTGTATAGCAGAGAGGTCCTGGTGACTCTGACTCGGGAGGTTGGTAGGCGAGACGGCGGAGGCAAAGCTGTGTGATAACGAGTTTCGTGGTGTAGAAGTGGAAGGCGAGACTGACACGTTGGCGGGAAAACGGATGGTTTGAATCGAGTTGTGCGAATTGGAACTGTGTTGGCAAATGAGAGAGCCAGTTGTCAGCACTGTTGTTGAAGATAGAAATTGTATTTTCCATCTCCGGCCAGGATCGCCGCGTCGCTCTGGGAGCATAGAGGGTCTCAATGGCTTCCCTCATGAGAAATGCCAAGTCAACCGCATATAAGAAGTATAGTGAAATATTTGGAGTGACGTTTTCTGCTTTAATTGGGCTCGCTTGGGCGGTTTGTTTGCCTTTTCCAGATGCAAAATTCGACGACGGAAAAGGGTCCACGGGGCTTTCGATTTGTCCAGGTAAATTGCCACAAGAGAGGAGAGACCTCATCAGTTCTTGTCGCATGCCAAAGTCAGTTATGATTTTTCTGACCTCTTCATCCCCAAAGTCTTCTTCACGAAAGGGGACAGGTCGGGGGGTTGTACAGAAACCACCGCCATAGGTGGGGGGGCGGCCGATCATCACACACAGCAATGTATCCAACATGAACAACGCCCACCACACACGATATCGAGTCTCTCTCGAGACATGGGCAACATCAGAACTCTCGCTACGAAGGTTCAGACCCATGGCTATCGCTGATCGAATTGAGATGCCAATCATCCGCCAAGACCTGGATGCAAAAGACACGAGTTAGAAGGCAACGTAAATATGACAAGATGATGGGCGGAAAACATAATACCTGTTAGCTTGCCCATTGGCAAGAAGGTAAAAAGCAGTCAGGCCCTCCACCTGTACCTGTTGGAGATTTGGATGGTCCAGTAAAGCAACGTCACCCAAGCTCAATCGCCATGCTCGAGCAAAATACACCAAATGATCACCAATATCTTCTTGGGACTGACTGTTGGCTAAGGTTGAGTGTTTCGCCGCGATGGCAAACACCAAGTTCAGCACCGCCAGCCACCGCTTGCCGGGACGCGAGGTCGGATTCGAATAGAATGATTTGTATTGGCTCAGAAAAACTGTCTTACCAATAATGGGGAAGGCAGGGTGAACCATCTGGATGTAAGAGTCGACGAGCTTGTCTGCAATGTGTTGGGGTGGTCTTTCCAGCACGTTGACACCCCTGAGACGGAATAGCTCAATGTCTTCTTGAAAGTAGTTGAGGGATGAAACCGAAGTTCTATTGGCGGTTTCTGTGATGGGTGTTGTGATTTTCTGGTCGAGATCGCGCTTGAGTCTATAAAGCCATGTCATTTCTGAGTGCTCTCCCACAAAACCAAGTGCTTGGTTTTCATCGCGATTGAAATCCTCTTCGGTATGATCGGTGACAGCCAGTGGGTGGCTGATACCGACCATAGCTTCGGAGCTCGACGGCTGGTCATGGTTTGGAGCGTAAGTACGGAGTATTGATGGGGGGAAACGGGGGAATTCAGAAAGGATGAGATGAGTAGATAGTGTGGACTCACTCCGACTAATTGTCCCCCCAAGGATTGATCAACATATTGGGCTGACCACGAGTCTAATCTCGAGTACGCCGCACGTAGAAGAGCTTCATATTTTTGAATTTGCGCCTTTAAATCACCCATATCCCTACAGACCTTGAATTAGAGAACAGATCTGATGTCCATGGCGTGTGAACACACTTCTCAAGCTTGTCCTTTTTTCGATCGCTATAAAAACATTTTATCCCAGCATCCTCGCAACGTTTGCAAGTGGGTTGATGGCCACTGCATTTAGCCTTTTGCTCACGGCAATTTTGGCAAGCTCGACTAGTTCGGCCAGAGGTAGTCGGGGTTGCAGCTTGGGCGGAGCGGGGGATTGGAACCTTCGGATTCTGAGGCCATTCTCCCGGGTTGGGGCTCACCAGGCCTTCGCGGCCAGGGATTAGGTTAGTATTGGCTGAAAACTCGACGTGAAGTGGCTGGGTAAGTCCGGGAACCACCCAGTCGTAAGAGAACGATGACAATTCATTGCCTGGGACATCCGAATGCTGATCTTTCTTAGGCAGAGGGGGGGGCCGGTCACTCATGTTTGTGTGTACCGATGTTTCACGACAGCGTAAAACAGTGGATAAAAAGTCCCTTTGAGCTAATTAGCCCTATCAGGGTGCTGATAATCAAACAGAACCCGTTCCTTTTGCGCCTAATTTTCCACCTTAGGGTGCTTTGGATATGCATGGGAGAAATTAACACACAAAAGTAGCCAGAACGGCCTGCAAATCCCGAAGTGAGTTCGAACTGCAAATCCCGAAGTGGGTTCGACCCATGAAATGCTGAGCTGTGGTATGCTGGATCTGAGAGCCGCGTGAATTTGCCACTGAAGCATACCAGCCAGTTACCACCAATGAGAACGGGGCACCATGTGAATTTGGCACCAGGGCCGAGCAGCAACAGACCAACGTTTACTCAGTGTTACAGAGAGAAGTACCATATCAAAGCTGTATTTGGCACTGGAGTGTCAGGTATGTTTGGAGGTATTGGGCAGCGGGCTGCAGGTGAGAGTTAGCGTCTTGTCTTTCCTCTAATGGTGCAAGAATCGTAATAAAACTGCCGTCATCTTGCACGATTTGAATCAAGGAACCTGGCAAGGTACGTCCTCGTTACATGAGTAGGGATGTGGGAATGGCGAAGCGATATACACTTCTGCTTGGCGCCAATGAAAAATTTCGAAGTTGTGTAAAGTGCGTCGTAAATGATTCGATTATTCTCAGTATGAGAAGAGTCTTCTTAACGAGCATATGCTGATGGCATGGGCGTGAGTGTTACCAATCCTTATCAAACAATGAGGCCAGCCGTAGGACCCTTTGGATCGGTAATCAACATCCGAGCCAGTCATTGCAAGCCAAGCCGTGCCTTTCCCTTGCCTTTACAACCCACCCCTCAAAATGCCAAAAATTGTCAATCCTCAGCAGCTTCGGTTTCGAAATTTCTGTTTAAAATTGCTTCTTTCTCTTGAGACGAACTGTCCTCAATCTCCCTTCCACGCCTTCATCTGCAAGACAGGTAGATCCAGTTTCCCTAGGGGATACCTCCACATTGGGACCTATCAACAACAAGCCCCTGAAGACGAGACTGGATCTGGGTTCGGATAAGCGGGTGGCTTCAAGCCCTAATAGGCAGCGAGTATACTCCCAGACTGCACGTTTCTGCTAATACAGGCTGGTAGTCTTGAACTCAGGTCCTGGGCCACACATTCTGCCTCCAGAAACATTGGAAATGGCTTATATCCAGCTGACGTAATATCCAGCTGGGCATTGATGCTAAGCCATGATAACTGTCATCTGGAAGATAGATGAACAAGATTCGATGATGGGCAACGGGTGGTAGTCAACGATGAGAAGGGACCCTTCGGTAAGTGAGTTATCCTGCATCAAGGTGTGCTACAGTCCATCCAAAATCCGGGACATCATTGAAGATGCTCCATTTCAAGTTCTTTAATGAGCCCTGAAATTGAAAAGACTGTGGACCGCACAAAGAAAGGCGAGGCTTCTCGACCCGACATGAAGCTGACACGAAGCCGACCGAAGCCAAGGATATACGACCAATACCTGTGACCCATCCCATCACCAACCCCACGATAAAAGCGAATAAGACAGCAAATTTCTGCAGCATGGTGCTGGTGGCCATGATCGTGAAGCTGGCCCAGTCTATCATAGAAGCCCTCCAACAATCCGTCGAGGCGAGATAAATCGCAACCACGCACCGTCCATCCCTCAGCCATGCGCGCTAGCTTCAAATTGCACCGCCAGAACACGACTTGCAACAAATGATGAAAAGACCACAGACGGGCCAAGTGACCAGCCAAGCTCCTCGGGAGAAAAGTCTGGAGGAAGCCTGCAAGGCAGAGGGGTTGAGCATCGGGCCTTGCATAGTTCGCAAGAGGTCAAAGGATACTGGTCGGATTTCAGTGACCTTTCACGGGCCTTGGAAATTACGGGCGTTCTCGGGAATTGTTCTACAATGTCAGACATGCCCCGGACAACACTAGATCGGTTCCTTAGATCTGGGAGAAGAATTGAGCTTTCAGATCAACACTCCTGACTCCTAGGATTCATTCTTTCCACAATGAGCCAGCATATTTGGGCTGTTGACGCCAGATGATGCTGTGGCATGTATGTGGTGTTCTCAAAATGTCGTCCATATCCCCGGGTTTCAGGCTCTCATGGAGTTCGGTTCATTTCAAGTCCATCAGAACGACCAAGAACAAAGAAGCAAGAACCTTTGGCCGGTACCTTTTCAGAGCTTGATTGTATTGAGGCCGTCAAAGTCATGTAGGGATGGCACATGATCACTTGCCCTATGGTGCTTTGTGTCGACTGCCCAAGATTCTCTCAAAAACAATAAGGTAGGAGCTGTCTGTGTGGCCAGGAGTGAATGAAGGCTAGCCAGGCGCAGGTTTCTGCGTGTCCGATGAAGGACAGTATTACAGACACTTGTTATTCTGGTCGTGCCCATATCAATTCATGAGTCATCAATATTGCGACTCTTTATGGGAGCGTGGCTGGCTGGTCAGACTAAGCACATCAATGGCGCCAGGTTTTCAGGAGGAAAGAAAGTTTGGGCAATCCCCCAAATTTCTAACTCGAAGCTTCTGAAACAAATACATCGCTCTGTGCAATGCTCAGGTAGGTGGCAAAATCGTGCTGAGCATGAAAGGGACCGGGAGGAATGCGCCGGAAAATACTTCCGTACACGCGCCTATGGAAAGGACCTGCACGCCGCCCCCAGTTCACCAGATCGGCGTTGCTCCATTTCTGGCATCAGAAAAGAGCCAAGAGCCAAGAGTAGGTAGAGTTTGTATTCATATTTTTGAGAAGTTAGGAATTGCGACCGTTCAACCGCAAAATGTCTTGAAAATGGATGAGTAGCCTGAATAAACGACTGTTATATGCTTCTGCTCTGGTGATGAAGCGCATTCAAAACCCACGCAGGAAAGAGAAGTAATAAAACAGGGTTAAAACTGACTTATGGGGAGCATAATTAACAATTGACATCCGCGTGGCCGAGTGGTTAACACTCCCACCAGCTGGCACTATACGTGACCAAACAAGTTACCCCATGGGACTTGAATTGTGTTGTCAATTAGTACCGGGAAACATCAGCTCAGAGCAGACCCCTCCAAAGTGACCAACAAAGACAAAAGAGGAGTGCCTCTGGGTTAGATATATATATATATATATATTTTTCTATCATTATTTTTAAATACATTGTCTATTCGCTGAGAATGAATATACAGTCAGTTTTATCTCAAATAAACTGTGGATTGCACTAGAATAACCAGTGATTTTGTGAGTGAACTCATGAGTGATGCAAATAAGGCCATTCACGAGGTCTTCTAAGTACTCGGTGAGATTAGGCACAATCGATACATCCCAACTTAGATCCAGCTTGCGTCACAATTCAAAGCCCAGTCCAAGAACTTTGTTTCTCGATTTTGTGTGTAACTGATGATATCAATGTATTGGCGTCCTGTCGTAGCTCGACAAGATAATTTCGGGCCTTCACTACCCATGAGCCCTGGGTCGATTCCCACTCACTGAATGCATACTTATCCAAACAGATTTCAACGTCTTGGCTTTCTCCTGGGCTCAACATCACTCCACTGAATTTCTTCAAAATGCCATTCACATAAATCTGTACCACCTCTCTTCCAGCGACGGACCCAATATTAGTTACCGTTGTTGTAAGGGTCATTTCAACTGGCGAAGTACCAGATAGTCCCTTAAGAACCAGTTCGGTAAACTTGAACTTGGTATAGGAGAGTCCAAATCCGAAACAAAACAGCGGTGCAGGCTTTTTGCGAGCACGATATCCCATCTCAAGGCCCTCTTCATAACAAATTTTCATCTCATGATCCGTAGGAAAGTTACCAAAGGATGGTGAATCTTCGATGCGCCGGGGAAATGTGACAGGGAGTTTGCCCGAAGGACTCAAATCACCGCTTATGATATCCGCCAGCGCATTTCCCACCTCCTGACCCGCGTACCAGCATTGGAGAATCGCATCTACGTCTTCAATCCACGGCATGGCAATAGGTGACCCAGTCTGGTTAACCAGTACTGATTTTGGTGCTGCGCCGGCAACCACGCGGATCAGTTCATCCTGCAGAGGAGACAGCGACATTGACAAACGGTCAAATGATTCGGACTCAAATTCTTTATTGTTTGCAGTGAAAATGATGGAAATGTCGCTTTCAACCGCAAGTTGCAACATGTCTTCTCCAATGGGACTATCGAGATTCTCGTAGAATCCAACCCGGGTAGCTTGAGGCGTTATCTTGAAAATTGGTGACGGGATCGGAGCTGTGGTTGAGAGGGTATCGACTGTGACGTGATACTCTTGACCAGATACCATTTTGAGATTGGCTCTTACTTCATAATCTCCCGGTTGCATAACATATTCAACTCGGCAATCCTTGAAACCATCGTGCTTCAGAAGAATTTCACCATCCACGCGAAGGATACTCTCTCCACATGCGGTCACGCCAAATGCGTGGATCCCTGTTGTTTTAGGCCGAATAACGAAGCTCATCTGGCTGCAGTGCTTCGAAGTGAGCTCGGAGATACGAGACTCAATCACCAGAGTCTGTGTGGCTTCCAGGACCTCATGGTGTACTTGATTCTCTCCGATTGTCCATCCATTATACCAGTAGCAGTCCACGCCGGGCTTCCCATCACTTTCGGTTGTCATCAATGATAGTGGAGCGGATGGGATCTTCTTGAAGATAGGCACTCCGGCATGGTATTTGATATTATCCTTGCCAAATCTCTCTTGTAGTGCCTGTAAAGGAGTAACCACGTATGAAGGGGTCAGCGATGCGCTGCCACCTCCATGGATGATTGGCATGGTTGCTGGAGACCCAAAAATTGCAATTCTTGGGTTTGTGCATGGAAAGATTGGAAGTGTTTTTGTTTTGTTTTTGAGAAGAACGATTCCCTCATTGGCAATCTGCCGAAGAAGTGCGGCTGTCTCTTCGTCTCTGGGGATATCTTTCTCTGAACCAGCATCAGCCTTGCTGCTCACCTTTGATGCCAGACTGATTACATCCTTTGCCAAAGAGTCAATCTGAGATTCGGAAATTTGACCACTGCTGACAGCTTTCAAGAGATGATTACCTCGGAATCGAGCAGGTCCGGGCAGTTCAAGAGCGACACCTGCCAGCACCGAGGGTACTGTTGAATAGACGCCCTCAAAATCGGATACTATTGCGCCCTTGAAGCCCCACTCTTTTCGGAGCAAATTCTGCAGCAGTGTTTCATTTTCTGACATGAACACCCCATTCACGAGGTTATACCTATCAAAAATTTCAGTACCCTGAAGCGATCGATGTTGAGTCCGGTATACTGACGAGGTCATAATCGCCCAAGGAGTCGAATCCTTCAACAAAACCTGGAAGGCATACGCATAAAGCTCTCGCAGTGTCTTTTCTTCAACAATCGTGTTGGAAATTTTCCGATTGGTTTCGCATTCATTGCCGACGAAATGCTTAGGGCATGCTGAGACACCCTGCGATTGAACTCCATTCACAAAGGCAGCTCCTAACAATCCAGAAAGTGTTGGATCTTCGGAGTATGCTTCGAAATTCCTTCCTCCTTCAAACCGCCATCAGTGTTAATTTCTGTACTCGCCATTGGAGCACGAAGGCCTGCTTACCCAAAGGCGACCGATGCAAATTCACAGTGGGTCCAAGAAGAAGACCAACATTCTTCGCATTACATTCTGTTCCAATCACCTTGCCCATTCTGAGGGCTAGATCGGTGTTAAATGTGGATCCCACGCAAGCCGCGCAAGGAAAACATGTCGCTTTGCTTGACGCGTGAATGGACTCTCCACGAACGCCGTTTGGACCATCACTATACTAAACAATTCATTAGCATCCGGGGTTCGTAACACTCCAAGTATGAAATATGCTCACCTTAATCGGCTTGATGCCGTGGTCTGGCAAGCTAGCGGTGTGCCAATAGGATGCACCCGCCAATAAGGAAACCTTTTCCTCGAGAGAAAGCGACCGGACTAGTGATTCAACAGACATGGTTTCTTTGATCTACAATCAATACGGATTAGTAACGAACGAGGAGAACATTTGCGGCCTTTTAATTGGATGCCTGTCCACGCCACTCGAGGACATACGCATACTAGGGATATTCGGGTAATCCGACTGTCCACTGTCCACTGTCCACTCCGCCCTTTGCCAATGTGGGGACGGCAGTCGTAGACCCCGGAGTTTCCCCAGATTTTTGATATGCGTGCAAGGCGTTCGATCCATTTAAGGTCGCCTGGTGTCCATTCTATCAAGGACCAGGACTATCCACATATTCACCAAAGTTGTTGTTAATCATGACCGATCTTAAGTCATCCTCTGCCCATCTCGAGTTTGAGTGGGAGGAGCCCCGGTTCCTGCAAGCAGATAAGGAATTGAGTATTACTGATACTTTCAAGACGCATTGGAGAGCATTGTTGATATGTAAGATCTGATACATCTATTTTGCTCACGCCATAGCTTACATTGTACTCAGGTAGTCTCTCCTTCAGCGCGGGTACGATGTTCGGCTACGACACGATTGTTAACGGTGCTTCGATTTCTATGCCGGCGTTCATGATGTACTTCGGTGCTGAAGATGCATCCGGATTATACCTTCCATCATTGTGGACTGCATTGTGGACATCCATGTCTTCCCTCGCCCAGGCACTCTCGGCTACCGGCACAGGCTTCCTGGCTGATCGCATTGGTCGCAAATGGACCGGCATCATTGCAGGTGTCATTGCCGTGGCAGGTGCATCGGTACAATATACTGCTCACACACGGAGCTCGCTACTTGGAGGCAAGATTGTTGGAGGACTTGGCATTGGCATGGCTATGTCCACTGGCATGACTTATGCCTCGGAGGTCGTTCCTCCAACGCTTGTCCCTGCTGTTCAGCAAACATTCGTTGTATTTATCCTTATCATGCAAGCTTTGGCGATGGGTATTATCCGAATTTTTGTCACCGACTTGACCGAGAAGGCATTTCGTACGGTGTTCGCCATTCAATGGGGCGTGGCCGGCCTTGTCATCGTTGCGTTTGCGATCGCACCAGAGTACGTATTTCATATCCTATGTTGGTCGGTCATCACTAATTATTCCAAGGTCCCCTGTCTATTGCATTATCAATAAGAACGAAGAGGGTGCAAAGAAGATGTTTCAATGGCTCTACCGCGACGATGCGGATCGTGAGGAGCGCTACAATCACTTGGTGAAGACCATTGAGGAGGAAAACGCACAGCGCGAGGCAAACCAATCAAGCTACATCGAATGTTTCCAGGGAGTTGACTTGAAGAGAACAATCACCATGATGTTCCTCTTCGGTCTTGTCAATTTAGGCGGTGGACCTTTCCTCACTCAGTCGATCTACTTCCTCATCTCCGTCGGTCTTCCCACAGTTCACGTCTTCGATATCTCTATTGGCGGCTTCGGGCTTGCCATCTTCCTCATCATCGGCGGTGGAATTATTCTCAAGAAGGTGCGGCGCAGAAACATTTTGCTCTGGGGATGCGTTATCAACCTGCTCTTCAATTTGATCGTGGGTTGTCTGTATTGGGCCAACGGAACCGGTCCCAAGTGGGCCATTGCAATCTTCATGTAAGCACTACATCGACTAGAGTTTGGATACTCTATGCTAACTTATAAACAGGAATGTCCTCATCTCCTTGCAGGCTTGTCTCATGCAAAGCCCCGGCTGGTCTATTGCAGCTGAGATCTCCAGTTACCGACTGCGCGCTAAGTCCATGTCACTTGGAATCATGTCTCAGACATTCACAACGTGGCTCATCACATTTGTGGTGCCGTACATGTATAACGTTGACTCTGGCAATCTGGGTGCCCGGACTGGTTTAGTCTTTGCTGGTGCCACAGTGTTGCTTATCTGGGGCGTATGGTCCTTGGTTCCAGATACTACTGGACTGTCAACTGAAGATATTGACAACCTTTATGAAGCAAAGGTGCCTGCCAGAAAGTTTGCAACTCATAAGCTGGCTATAACAGGTCCGGATGAAGCTTGATTGATTACCAGCTACTCTGTATTTAATGTTGCACTTCAAATGAAATCCAGCGATTGGATTTTTGTCCTCTACTCAAGTATTCAAACCAAGGGATATTTGTAACATTTGGAAGAATTCAGGGGTAAAAATTACTAGCGGAGTGGATGAAACTAGCTATGAACTTCGTTCTTGCGAGTCGTAGAAGCCTGTCCCCGATGACATAAAAGCAAGGCCAAATTAAGCGACGCGTTCCACGGCGTCATTTTGCTAATCACATCTGCTGCAGCAAACATAATTAAGTTGGGTTGAGAAATATTCTCCTTGTAACTTGATGGTTGATCTGAAGCACAAGTTAAAACCTGCTTTACAACAGCAAAAAATCCATCTGACTCCCCAAACTCTGCAATCTTGTCTCTAAGAAAGCCAGCTTGTGTCGCATCTGCACAGCTAACAAGTGTCCAGACGAAAATCTCGCCAAGAAAGCAGGCGATTAACTCAGGCGGTTCTATCATTCGTGGATTCGATCCGCTAGTGGGCAAGGAAGGCTGTACCCCTAGATCTCGAATAATCCCCAGACAATGTAGGAGTATTGATCCAATATCCTCGGGGTGCTCTTTCAGGATTACATGCATCACATTAATTGCAGGGCAGATCTCGGATGCTCCGGACTTTCCAATTGCATTTTGAAGGTCGAGAATAGGGACATGAAGAGTGAGACGACCGAGGCGAAGATGGGCTTGAGAATTTTTGTGGAAATGCCTTGATGTTGCATATACAGCCACGTCTGGGGCAGGTACTAATGCGTAGGCTTGTTCCCAAGCGTTTAACATTTCTAGAAAACGATTGGTTAGAAGTAGATTGTAAACCAGCGACATGAGAATGACTAACTTGAAAGAATTTCCTTGCGTTTCGCGAGTGCTCTGCACACTTCTTGTTCCGGGGGTGATAATGTAGATCCTCTTTGTCGGCTTGACAGGTATCTTGTCGCCAGATAGTCATAGTGTGGTTTTATTTCAGGCCCCATCGAATATGTGGGGGAGTGTGCTTCTTTTGCACCTGGTATCTGCCATATCCCTGTATCAAGAGTTGCCTCGGATACCATAGAAATCTGCTCAGACAGTTCAAATATATGTACCAGGATATTAGTAAGAACAAGATGTCGAGTCCAAGAATTGAGACCTATCGAAGATGATATAGAGGTCTGCCGAAGGATTTCATCGGAAGAGGTGCTGTAAGAAGTACTTCCAGGACTTATAGGCCCCAGAAAAGGGCTCACGGCAGAAGCGAAGGTTCTTGCAGGTGGAACAGATGCAGAGCCAAGTAAGGATTTCCAACGATTGACAGTTGCAGCATTCCAGAATTCCTCATCACAGGGACACTCCATTGTCATAGATTCTGCCAGGCTTATTGAGGCCGGTAGGTACAGCAAACATGGGAACATACAGTCGAGACTGTAAATAACCCACAGCAGCCTCTTTCTGGACTCTTTCAAAATCCATGTTTGCCACTGGCCTTCAAAGGTCGTGCCGAATCTCTTGACATCTTCTCTTGCAAAGCTGCATTCGCTATTACGGATTTGGCGACAGTAAGTGACCACTGCGGCGCGAATGCTCTCAGAGAGCTCAAACAATCGTTTGTTGCCGCACCAGAGGCCTGCGTAGCAGAGAAGTGCCAGGGCATAGACAAACATAGGGTCTCTCATAAGCTTGTTATTCATCTCGAGGACAATCTGTGAGCCCAGCCTTGCCATGTCGATGAGTACAATTGAGAAACGGCAGGTGTGTCGTTCTCGGCTGTATATAGCTCCAATGGCAATTATTGCGGCTAGAAGGGGATCAGGCAAACTATCACACGACTGCAAAGATGGGCGATGTATGACAGGCATCTGGTGTTCGAAACAAGTGAAAAACAGTCTTATAAAAATATTCGTGGTCTTCAGGTCTGGGAAATGAAGTGAGTGGAAGTTGAATCCCCTTCTTGCTGGTTCCAGAAGGAAGGCGATGACCTTTTGGTACCGCTGGTTTGATATATCAAATTGAGTCTCATGATTACATCTCAATGGATGGTTTTGAGGCAGTTCAATGGGCTTAGCGGCGGTGATCGGTTGAGACCCAGGATCCCATCTGTAGGGCCATTTGTCTTCTTCGGAGGCTTCATTCGGAGGTGATGCTGGTCGACCCATTATTCCACCCCGGCCATCGGAGCCATTGGCGCTTCGATTATTGAGATCTGAGGTTGCTTGATCTGTATCTATATCCATGGCGAGAAGTGGTGCGGCATTGAAGGGCGGCATTGATCCCGATTCCAGTAGTACCGACATGATATCTTCATCAAAGCGCATATCCTCAAATAGACACGGCTCCCGTATCCATCGAAGCAAATCATCGTCGAATGTGGTATCTGGGGATTGGTTCGTCCAATGGAGAATGGGCTCGGTCTGAACCGGAGCTGTGAGCCCTAGGGACTGATCCCTGTCCATGTTTAATGCATGCAAAGACCTCAAGTCATTACCATCCTCATGTTGCACATCGGTTTCCAGAAGGGACCTAACCTTTAGAGGACTCAAAGTAATTGAACCATCGTCATTACATGTTTCGGCCAGTGGAGTCTCATGTAACGAATCCGAAGTTTGTGGAGAGTCCACCACCTCTCTTGGCGATTCAGTCCCCCTCTGGAGCGTCGTGGTTGCGCCAGGTGACCGCGTCTTGTGGATAGCCTCATGGCGCTGGCGTGCATCGCTTCTAGTGAATTCTTTCCCACAAACATGGCAACGATGCAATTTTTGTTGTTTATCTACATTAAACTTTGATAAGCATGTATAGCAGTAATATATGCACTAAGTACTGACGGATTCGAGCATGACGATAAACGTTTTCTCGACGAGAAAACTTCTTGGGGCAAAATTCGCATCGAAACCGAGTCGCCTCTTGGGTGGAGGCAGACATGGGGGAAAACCGTGTGTGGACAGTGGACAGTGTCCACAAGCATTTATAAAGAAAGTTGAAAATGTGGGGTGAATGCTGAGGTCATGTGAGACTTTTGTAGGCGAAATGTACTCCTTACTGTACGTCAAGTGACCCACCATTTGTCGGGGTAAAACGTGCCGGTCGGAATATCCGAGAGCCAGAGCTTCAACCCCGGATTACCTATATGAGCTCCAAAGGGTCACCGGAATCTAAATTCTTCTTTGAACTTAACTCCAAACAAAAATGGCTTCCCCTGCTTGGACACAAACGCCACCATGGATCTGGCTGCCAACACACAGTGAGGACGAGAGCCAACCCGGCCGGTATTTCCTTTTTCGGAAAAGCTTCCAATGGACTCGACCGTACGGACTCCATGAGTTTCCAGTTCATGTTTCTGCCGATAGTCGGTATCGGCTCTTTGTAAATGGCCAGCGTGTCAGCTTTGGCCCTTGCAAGAGCTATCCGCAACGTTGGTACTATGAGACAGTCGACATTCTACCTTATCTCACAGAAGGAGAAAATGTCATTAGTGCGCGCGTTTTGCGGTACTCTTGTGTTAACACTGGTTCTTCGTCGATAATGAGCACTGAATTGCCCGGTTTAATGGTGCATGCTGAAATTGAGGTTAGTACCAAAGGCCCCCAAGGGTCAACGGGTATAAACATAGTAACAGTACACTGACATGTCAGTAGGGACTATCCATTTCTACGGATATTTCATGGAAGTGCTTACAAGAAACTTCCCGCAAGATTATCCCTCACTCAAATTGGAACTATCTTTTGGGTCCACCATTCATGTCAAATAATGAAAGAGTAGCAGAAGCCAAAGCACTTTCTGGTTGGAAGCAAGCGGCGTTCGATGACACCACCTGGCAGGACGCCGTCTTTCAATTCCGCCCCGTGAAAATGCTTCCAATCCAACGTCCTTGGAAATTGGAGCCACGTCCTATTCCAGAGCTCCCAGAGATTCTGGGAAGATTTGATAGAGTAGTTAAATGCGAAGGATCCACCACACACACGCAGTGGAGCAGCTTCATCAAAGGAGAGGAGGAGTTGATTATACCTGCCGGACAGACTGTCACCGTCGACATTGAATGCGCATCTTTGACTACAGCATTTGTCAACTTTCAATGTGGCGAAGGAATGGGATCAATTATCACATTCCTGTATTCCGAGTGCTATGAGAAAGACCTCGGTATTGAGATTGCGCCTTTCCCCATGCCAAGAACGAAATTGCTTAGATCCGATTCTAATGGCCGGCTATATGGAGTGAAAGATATCTATACAGCGGCCGATGGCCAAAAAGAGCAAACATTCGAACCATTCTGGTTCCGAGCATTCCGCTATGTTCAACTGCATATCAAGACATCATCCCAACCCCTCACACTCAAAGGGTTCACTCTCCGCGAGACCTCCTATCCTCTCGATATCTCGACTAAAATTCAGGCTGGGTCAGAACTCAAGAAAATTTGGGATGTCAGCCTACGGACTCTCCAAAATTGTCGACATGAGACATACGAAGATTGCCCTTTCTATGAGCAAAATCAGTTTATATCTGATGCCCGCCTCCAAATGCTTTTCACATATCAATTGTCATCGGATGATCGACTTGCCAGAAAAACTTTGGAAGAATTTCATGCCAGTAAGAATCCTGATGGGTTGCTTAAGGCGCAATTCCCGGCCGGTTTCAACAGTAAACAGATTCCTCAGTTCTCATTATACTGGGTTGCAATGGTCTGGGATCACATGAGATACTTCGCGGACAAAAAGCTTGTGCGCCGGTACTTGAGCACTATCGATGGAATCCTTAACCACTTCGACGAGCGAATTAATGGCCTCGGGCTGGTTGGTCGGTTTGATGACGATACATGGCCCTTCATCGACTGGGTCAGCCAATGGTCGGTCCCAGGGAAGATCTTCCAATCGTGCATGCCGCAATCATACACCACCACAGGCGCAGCAACTCTTAACAGCCTTATGTATATTGTTGCTTTGATGCAGGCAGCGGAGCTATGCAATTTCATGGGAAGGTCAGATACTGCCTTCGAGTATTCCACCCGAGCACAAGCCCTCCGAGACGCTGTGAATACGCATTGCTTTGACGACGACCTGTACCTGGATGGTCCTTCGACAAAAGAATACAGCCAACATAGTCAAGTCTTTGCTGTGCTCTCAGAAACGGTCACTGGTCCAGCAGCTCGAGAATTGATGGTGCGCACAATGCAAGATTCCTCAATGGTGAAATGCTCCAGTGCTCTGCAATTTTACGTGTTCCGGGCTGTGGAGAAAGTTGGTCTCTACAACGCGATGTTCCCCACTTTGCTAGACCCATGGAGACGCATGCTTGCTCATGACTTAACAACATGGGCTGAGTTTGAGGAAAATCCTCGAAGTGACTGTCATGGGTGGAGTGCTTGTCCAGTCAACGAAATCATCACCAAGCTGTATGGTGTCGAGCCAGCTATGCCAGGCTTCAAACTTCTACGTATCGAGCCACGAATGGACCTTCTCACGACAGGAGAGGGTACTTTTGTTACTCCTGCAGGGAAAATCAAGTTAAAGTGGGCTGACGATGGAAACCTGGAGGTCAAGCTTTCTACCAATATTGAGGCAGAGGTCGTGTTTGGGGGCTCAGTTTACATTGTCTCATTTGTGGCTGGAAAGACGGTCAGTTTTCTCAAGGAGACGGAGTCAATGGTCATCATTTGAAACTCATGCATGTGCATTTGAAGACATGCAAGGGCAACCTCAATGGAAAACATATATACTGTGTTGCGTAGACGTCCAAAAAGAATGTATAGAATGCGCAACATGCAATATTGAAATACAGGGACATCTGGACTTTGTACATGTAGCTGAATCTATACAAATATAGTACCATATGTATTGATTTCTCTCGAGGTTTATCTATCGACATGTAAAAATATTTGAAATATTGAGATTCCGTTGCCGTCATACATTGTGATATGTGGCCTGAGGCACCAAACCCCCACGTGAGCTGCCCGGTGATCTTATCGCGCAAGCTGGATCCGCATAATCCCTCAAATGAATTCTAGCCGATGCTAAGCTCTGGAGAAGCTGTCAATTCCTCTGCGATGCAAGGAAGTTGAAATCAGAAACATGTCTTTGCGCGGGCCCATGCGGCGGTCCCACCTTCGGCAGGTGAGTGCCGCCAGCTTGGAGACCCTTTCGACCATCCACACCGAGGCATCCTATCGCGAACATGGCCCCACGCCAGATGAACGAACCGTCAGGCTATCCGCCAGCCTGGCCCGCCATCAATGCACGCTCTGGGTACATGATGAGATGTTTTCAAGGGAGGAGATACTGTTGAATCCGTCGGCATTTGGAGAAAGCGGCGTCCAGGTCGGGGATGTGGTCGAGATTCTACCCGTACGTCCATCTGGGGATACAATTCATTCTACTTTAAAGCCGGACGCGGGTTTGAAGACAGCCCGAGAAAGTCATGCAGACTTGAGCTTGGGCTCACAATCCGAAAACACGTCCAAGTTCAAGACGCCATTGCAAAGCCGATGCTTGTTTGTGGTGAAGCCCTTGCCTCAAGATGTGAAGACGCGCCATCCCAAGTTGGAGATCTCGGTTACCAGCAGCGTGGCCAATATTTTCGGCTACAAGAACAGAACCCAGGTCACGCTATCTATTGTCGAACGCGAACAATGCTCCGCGTCTCATGTCGACATTTCTTTCCGTGACCAGTACATGGTACGGTCCGATATGTGGCGATTGGTCATGTCGGAGCTCGTCAATAAGATTGTTTACAAGGGGCAGAAAATTATGTTCATGGGCAGCATCAAGGCGACTGTAAAAAACATTTTCATACGAGAAAAGAAGGTCCTGTCGGGGTATTTTGCACCTCATACAATTCCTGTCTTCCGCAGCGAGTCGGCGAAGTATGTTTTGTTCATTCAGATGTCTAGGGAAATGTGGGACTTCGACTCTGAAGGATCTGGAGACATTTTATTCAGCCGCGTGATCAACGGGTTTCTGCCAGAGCTCTTCAAGCGATGGGCCAACTCTGATGCAAAACATTTGGTCACCATTGTGCTTTTCACACGAGTTGAATACGACGTCACTGCACACCCAAGTATTTCACAGCTCAATCCTGGTTTAGCAGGTAGCTCGGGTCCGAACAATTTTCCAACTCGAGACTTTTATCGAGTCGTGGTGAATGACATGGCAAGCGGTCATTGGACAACGATCTTGGATGAGCTCAAAAAAAATTTTAGAACTTTTTTGAGAGATGTTTCGATTCTGAAATCGGATGACCTGGATGCTGCCGTTGGGAGCGGCATCAAGATCCCTTCCAGGCCACACACCGCAACAATCGCCGGACGTCCCAGTACAGCTTTGCGAGGCAATATTCTCGAGGCCATTCATCTTGCCTCCGCACATCTGGCCTATACCCATATCGATCGAGATATGGTTCATACAGGGACATCAATCATCGTAATCACCCCGGGAAGTGGTGTGTTCGAGGTGTCTTACGAGTCTCTAGCCTCTACAACAGAAGCGTTGACAAATCGAGGCATAGCCATTGATCTGGTCTGCTTGAGTCCAATGCCTCTTCACTCTGTACCTCTCTTCAAATATCGAGCACCGGTAGAGCGGCCATCTGGTTCTTCAATGAGTCCCGTCGAAACGCCAAAATTATCCCCCGAGGTCCAGCATTCGATATCCAGTCTCGTCAGCAGGTCCTCTTACCTCTCTCCAAGTTCTTATCTCTCCGCCACCCGGATGCGTGAGCGAGGCTTGCCTAGATCTAGAGAATGGAATTACGGCATTCCTCACTGGCTCGATATATCATATTGGAATCCCGAAACCTATCGAGAAGCCCGCCGTATCCTGAAAAACGACCCCAATGCCCCAATCCCACACACCGTCACTCGTCCGCACAAAGCTTTTACCCCACGAGTACGTATGTATGAGATTCAAATGATGGGCGTCATGGAGAGTGAGCAATCCAATATATCCATCCCTTATCTCCTCGAGGGACGTGATATGGCAAAATCCCGGGCTTGGCTGGAACCGACCCCGACAGCTCGTGCTCCCCCAAGAGCGCGATTTGCCAGCCCCTCATCCCTGAAGGTGCAACTGAACAGCCTGCGACCAGAGTCTTTTATTGAAAATGCTACGGATCAGAGCGAAACCCCAACTAAAGAGCCGCGCAAGTCTCGGCAATCTGTCATGGCCTGGATGGATCAATATGATGATAATCTGTTTGCCACAAGTACTAAGAGAAAGGACGCTCCCAAGCCTAAAAACAAGCGTCTGAGCGAGCCGGAGGTTCAAGCCTCGGGAGCGCATGAACGAATATCGGCGCGATCTGTCTTGCATCTACGAGAGCATGAGAATAGCATAGCTGAGGGTGGCCAAGCACCGCGGGCTGGGCCCCGAAGAATCGATGGATCTATCCCTCCTAGCAAGAACACAGTCTCTTCAAAGAGTACTAGTTTGTCACCGAAAAAGTCAGCATTGAAGACTAAGGCAGCACCACCCTCGCGAATTTCTCGAACTATCAGCTTTGCGCTTCGGGGCTTGATTTCCACTCCTCCGAGGGCTCAGGCAAGCACTGGAGTTCATGTAGAGCATGCAAGCGCACTTCCAATGTCCAACCAACGATCATCTGGAGGAACCTTTTCTGACACCAAAAGTATCATTTCCTTGAGTCCATCCGAAACTACGTCAACGGCGACCATCACTGACGGAGCATCCCCACCATCTACCCCTCCGAGGCTTTCAAATAATACCCGGTTGGCTCCATCCAAGCCAATTTCAATCAAGACCCCATCGAAAAAGCCATCAGACAGTTCAGAGCGACTAGAACCAGGAAGAGCGCGGGGCTCATTATCGACGTCTGCAACAGAGACGCCCTTTATAAATCGTGATGAGGGACCAGGTCGACATAACGACCAAAAATTCGAGATCACCCTGAATCACAATTCGCGTGATACTTCAAGGAACTCACCTGGTAAGGCTCTAGCACCCTGGGTGCGATCGGTCAATCCTTGCAACACTCCGAAAGATGTATTACGCAAGACCAGCTGGTTTGGTCGTTGGCAACATGCATATCCTCGTCCCCCTCACGTTGCGGTGGTCAAATGGAAGAGCCTGAAATCCCCTGCAGTGCTGCCTTTGACCACAGAAGAATTTCCAACCTCAGTGGAACTTGCCTCAGATTATTTACAAACACCTTATCGTGTCTTCGCGAATGACGATACGGATGGGATTGAGGCACCAAAAACTCGAGGGTTCCTCCTACGTGAAATGATATCTCTTCGGTTTTCTCATGGCTTTCAGATTGTCGTGGGCAGAAATGTGGCAGAGGTTACGGCGCAACCGGCTCTTGAATCGCTCAATGTTTTTGACACGAGAGGACTCGAGCGAGATGGAGTTATTGTTTTCCTCTCCAAGGGCAATGCCATTCATCGTCTCATAACTGTAGACGGAGGAGAAATCGAGGTGACTCGCTTTACACATCACACAGCAGCGGCACTCTTATCACCCAAACAGTCTAATTTTACGCTGTATCAGCCGGCCATGAGAACAATTCTAAGCGAGGAGTATGAGGTGAAAGACATCAAGCTGGACCCCACTGCCGAAGAGTATAATTGGAATCTTGCCGATAATTATCTGGCTGGCCACCGGGATTACATTCACAACCCGGCACAACAACTGCATTTCTGGCGGATTCGCTATGTGCTAATTCCAATGCAATTGCACCCCCACTCTCGAAGACACCTCCAATCTTTCAATGAGGATAACGAGGAAGAGATTCATCTACTTGGCATCAGCCAACTAACTCACATTTGGCAACGAAACAAATATGTGTCTCCCGAAGAAAAGCGATTTGAGTCTGCCAACAAAAAGAGAGATCAGAATCCACTCAACATCATGTATCAAACTCGAAACCCGTCTGAGGTTGTTGCAGCTGAGCTTGATCGTGTACTGCTTACCGACCCTGGACTTGACAACCCGCCTACTCAGCTATTACCCGAGGCAGAGCTGCTTGAGAGGTCTGGTCTCAATGTCACGGCCCTTGCGCAAATGATTCAAGGTGAGAAGGGGGTGCGGATGATGGATCGACGATGGCATTGGAGGTTACACTACAACTGTTTTATTGGTTTTGAGCTCACTACTTGGTTGATACAAAACTTCCGCGATATTGACAGCCGTGAGGAAGCAGTCGAGTTTGGCAACGAGCTTATGCAACTCGGGATATTCCAGCACGTCGAGAGACGACACAATTTCAGAGACGGTAACTACTTCTATCAGATTTGCGCTGAGCATCGTGTCACGCGTCCTGAATCCCGAGGTAGCTGGTTTCCTCAGCTTCGATCGGACAAGTCTGTGCCTTCAACTCCGGCACTTGGGAAGGACTCACCTTCCAGTCTTCGAGCTCGCTCTGACAGCATTGATGAGCGCACTCCGCCAACGCCAACTACTCCATCCAAGCCCAAGAACAAAGTTGCTATCATGTTGTCTAAAACTTTGAAGTACGATGTGGACAGTCGCAAGCGGTCCAATCGCCCTGAGGTGATCGATCTTCACTACGACCGGCTGCACAATCCCGAGAATTGCTTCCACATCGAGCTTAGCTGGATGAGTACAACACCAAAGTTGATCGAAGACACCATGCACTCTTGGGCGTCCACCGCGGAGAAGTTTGGTCTGAAGCTGGTTCAGGTGCCTATAGCTGAGGCCTGCGCCATTGACAAGACACGGCCGTTTCGAAAGCCTTACCGGGTGACATTGAAGGTTCCACCACCCAAGGGTCCAGTCCATCCAGTGTTCAACAACGCATCTTTTGCACAGCCAGGACCGCCCGACCGCCTTTACTACCAAAAGTGTATCTTACGCAAGTTCGACTTTGTTCTGGATTTCGAAGCTTCCAGCGAATTTCCGGCAGATGTCGAAGTCTCATATTCTTGGGGTAAGCCCGACTACAAGTACTCGCAGTTCATCCACCGCACGGGTAGTCTAGTTGCCCAGATCACAGACGAAGGCGACTTTCTGTTCCTCGCGAACCGACTGGTCAGCACCCGAGGCGTTCCGAGCAGAGACGCAGGTCGGTATGATCGTAGTCGTGCACAAAACCACGATCCTCTCGACCGCCTCTCTCCACGTCTGTCACCATTGACCCGTCCTCTGCACGACATTGGAAGTCCTCTACCTACGCCAGGTGCACCGAGCATCGATTCCGCAAATCTGTACCGTGCGCCAGAGCATTTCCTCAACGGTATAGTTGATTTCTGTAAGGATGCAGCAGCACTCGAGCAGTTCTATAGCGAGTCTCATGTTCGTCGTCCCGCTTCCACGAAGGTCGAGCCTGCCACTGCTCATCTCATGGATACCGCCATTCCGTCCCTTGAGCTTCCAGCTAGTGTTGTCAGCCATCATATCTCGCCTCCGCCTTGCTTACCCTCTAGAGTGTATGGAGAGTCCCGCGAGTCACGAGACGGACTGAAGTCTCCAGAATTGACCCGAGCGAGGGCCCGAGGCGAGAGTGTAAGTTACAAAGGCAGTCCTCGGAGTGGTAGTCTCCGGCCTTTGATTTGAGAATTGGTATATTTGCTATCTCCCCACTGTGTCACGCTTCAAATTAAATACCCTGTACCTAATTTATGTACTGCGATACTGAATAAACAATCATTCTCAGGTTGAATGCTGTACCACCGCATCAATAATGCGTCGAACCATCTGATCAAACGGTAGCCCGGTTCACTTATCCATAACAATTACCCGAACTCCCGAGCCAAAATCAAGAGAAGTTCCACAACCCAATTTAGCCAAATATCATGTAATTCAGCCGGGTCCAATCCACGGTTGTGTGGCTGCACTAATCAAAACTAGGCCTAGCTGGTCTAGCTGGCCTAGCTATACAAAATCGCAGGACGTTGCCCCGCTTGACGTGCTTCCTCCTACCCTTGGAAGCTGTGGATCTGGACTTTTCTTGTCGGACAGTCTTCCGCGTCGAAAATGGGTTGGATTACCGTAGATGCTACTTGAAAATGAGCTACATACCAACCGTTTTTTCTTTTTTATTCTGCAGTAGGAATCGTAATCTATTATTTTGACTTCGTTTCTATTCCTGTTGTCTATACCAACCCCGCATTTTCTCGCAGCAGCGTTCTTTGCACAATGAAGTTCACGGCTGGCATGTGGTGCCTACAGGTAAATTATTCTTGTTTTGCTGAATAATTCAAGGAGGCAAAGAAAATATTAATTGGGATCTGATAGGAGGGCGTTCATATTGACTGGATGAGCAATGTGGAGCGACTGCGGATCGAACAAGATAGTGTCAAGCTACTTCTTAACAAGTTCCAACGACACCGAGGTGATACCTTGAACTCGCGTCAGTACAGTATTCAGGCCACTTGGGACCGTGACTGACATTGACGTCTACAGCAACAATTTCGGTCCAACTGACCTCTCCACAAGAGGGTATCATCGGCGTGAAACTGGTGCATTGGTAAATTCTCCACCAATCAGAAACCTTCGACATACTACCTCCAGCTACATTTCATGATATTAACATTTCGGCGTCTCCCAGGGCAGGACAAGTTGACAATGGACCACATTATGAGATTGCCAAGTCTACCGGACACACCAATATCAACCATAACAAAACCACCAATTTCCTGAACTATGGCACCGGGCCTCTGAAACTCGATATCAACACCGCGACCAACGAACTGGACTTCGTCTTCCGGTCTCCAAAGAACAAGAAACTTACTGGTCACTCGAGCCGCTCAATTGGCTATGTCGGTGATACACGCAGCGAGAAACACCGTACCGAAGACGGGATCTTCGCTGAGAGACAGGGATACATGCTCATGGGCCTAGATCTAGGCGTTGGCGAAAAGGTCTACGGACTAGGTGAGCGGTTCGGACCATTCGTGAAAAACGGACAGACAGTCGATATCTGGAATGAGGATGGTGGTACCTCGTCCGAGCTGGCATATAAGAACATCCCGTTCTATATGTCCTCGAAGGGGTATGGTGTTTTTATCAACCATCCGGGAAAAGTGAGTTTGGAAGTTCAGTCTGAGCGGACAACGAGAGTCAGTATCTCGGTTCCGGGTGAGGAGATTGAATATTTTGTTGTGTATGGTGAGACGCCTAAAGATGTGTTGAGACGATATACGGGGTTGACTGGGCGGCCTGGGCTTGTGCCGTCTTGGAGTTATAATTTGTGGTTGACGACTAGTTTCACGACGAACTATGATGAGCAGACGGTGACTGGGTTCTTGGATGGGTTCCGAGACCGTGATATCCCGCTTGGTGTGTTTCACTTTGACTGTTTCTGGATGAAGTCTTATCAGTGGTGTGATTTTGAATTTGATACGGAAATGTTCCCTGATGCTGGAGGGTATTTGAAGCGGCTAAAAGAGCGTGGTTTGCGGATAAGTGTGTGGATTAATCCGTACGTGGGACAGGCGTCGCCGCTCTTTGAGGAGGGAAAGAAGAATAGTTATTTCATCAAGGTGTGTCGGATTTGATTCTTATAGACTCTCCAAAGCGAGGCTAATATTCACAGCGCACCGATGGATCCGTCTGGCAATGGGATTTGTGGCAGGCTGGAATGTCCGTTGTGGATTTCACCAACCCAGACGCATGTCGCTGGTACACTGGCCATCTCCAGCGACTCATGGATATGGGCGTGGACAGTTTCAAGACCGATTTCGCGGAGCGGATTCCCACAAAGGGAATTAAGTACCACGATAACTCGGACCCTGAGAGGATGCACAACTACTACGCGCTCCTCTACAACCGCATCGTGTACGAGACACTTCAAGCAGGCGTAGGACACAACCAGGGCCTTCTATTCGCCCGCAGTACCGCTCCTGGCGGCCAGAAATTCCCCGTACACTGGGGTGGAGACTGCGAGAGCACGTTTGAAGCCATGGCCGAGTCTCTTCGCGGTGGACTCAGTCTCATGCTGTGTGGATATATCTTCTGGGCATCTGATATTGGTGGGTTCGAAGGAACCCCACCTCCAGCACTATATAAGCGATGGGTACAGTTCGGGCTCTTGTCATCTCATTCCCGGCTCCATGGATCGTCGTCGTTCCGAGTCCCTTGGATTTATGGCGAGGACTGCTCGATTGTCCTGAGAGAATGTGTGAAGCGGAAGATTCTGCTTACTCCTTATATCCTGCAGGAAGCGCTGAGAGGACATCGAGATGGCACGCCGCTGATGCGACCTCTTTTCTTAGAGTTTCCGGAGGATCTGAATACGTATGCTGTTGATACGCAGTATATGTTTGGATCGAATTTGCTGGTTGCGCCTGTTTTCTCAGAGGAGGGTGAAGTCACCTTTTATGTACCAAAGATTGAGGGTGCCGACGGGAAGTGGGTTTCGTGGTTTGATCATTCGAAGTCTTATGAGGCCGGTCAGTGGTATACTGAGACTCATGACTTTAATACGTTGCCTATTCTTGTTCGTCCAGGGTCGGTGACAATGATCAATCCTACACTCAAGGCACCGGAGGATGATGCACTGTCTGGCATTCAATTGTTGGTGAATGGCCGTTTAGCCGGGGAAACAACTGTGGAAGTCGTAAACCCAAGTCAGACGGACGTGGTCTTGAAGAAAATTCATCTCTCGCTCGCTGAAGATGGAAAGACCATTCGGTGTGAGGGACAGATTGAAGTCATAAGTATCGAGACGGAGTGATCTATTTCAAGAAATGGGTTCTTAGATAGTCTTACTATTCAAAGGCAAATTGAAGTGAAAGTATTCTTGAGATATTGAATAGAACGATAGGCCTGAGGAGAATGCAAGGCATCCACAAATAATGGGTATCATGGTCAGAATAAGGGACGAATGAATGCAGATAAAACAAGAATCAGAAGAGATCCATCAGTCCTGCGTTAAGACACCGCAGATGACTTGAAAATTGGGAGGAATGCAATGTATGTGAGGGATTTGCAAAGATAGAAGTGGGTACAATTCAGCCGCAAGCAATTACCAGGCTTCTTCGACGTCAAGGAGCCATTTCCGAATCCCTTCGCGTAGAGTGTTATCGGCACCTGCCATGGCTCTTCTCCGCTCTCGGTCAGCTAGTCCTAACTCACCGTCCACATCTTCTCGACAGTGCTCAGCTGTGACAAGACGGACAACCTCTTCAAGAGCACCAAGGACCATCTTGCGACACTCGGTACGGGGAACTTCCACTGGGGGCTCTTCTCCACGAGGTGTATTTTGGCCTTTATCCTCGGCTTTGCGAGCACGGTTTGGGGAGGGGGCCCGGGAGTGAGCAAGGGACGAATAGCCACTTTGGCCGAGAACCCGCTCGACAGCATCGACAAGAATGCCATCGAGGTCCATAACAGGTTCTTCAATAAATCGCTCCTCGACGTGCTGTGAGTCGTGTCCTTCGAGAATGGGGACTTCGGGGGACTTGGAGTACCCGGAAAAGAAGCCAGAAAATGATGTTGAGGAGGCGGTAGAGGTACGGGTGTGCCCAACAGCTGGAGAAGGGGGAGTATGATTTGGCCCATAATTATGGCCTACGATAATCTTGCGTCTCAGTCGCAAACGCTTGATGGAAGAAGATCGAGTGTCAGCAATCAAGGTTGTCGCAACATCCACCCATCGTTCTGATCCTTCCGCATCAGGAGTTGAGGGAATATATGGCGAAGGCTCAGACTGCATTGCGCGTCTGACATCTGCTTCCAGACTAGAATACGGCCGTACCGCTTGCAGTGAGAAATCTTCGTGGAACAACTTCAACCATCCAGCGACATGTGTACTAGGGCCATCGTTTTCTTTCGCAGCACTGTGGAATCCAGAACCACTACTGTGTGTGGACGCAATGGCATCGAAACTGGTGATGGAAGTCCTTGTCTTCTTGGGGGATGCAATGGTGGAGTCACCCGAAGAAGAGAGTGACAAGAATCCTGGAAGTGGGAGATCAACATCTACAATCCCTTCTTCCGCCCGAACCGACAACTTCAAAGGCGATTCACGAGGTTGGCTCGTAAGTGATGAAGGCTCGGGAGATTCGTCCTCAGCGCTTTTGGTGGCAGCAGCTGGGATCGAAATGTTCCCACTACTAGGCGCTGTTTCAGGTCGATGCTTGGGCATATCCTCCGTGGCCTCCCTGACCATTTGGCTCAGTGTAGGTTGAGCACGCATGGGTGGACCACCAGCTATGGTCGAAACTGATCGCTTGCGTGCATCAGCTGGAGAATAAATATCACTGCCCTTCGTTGACGACTCCTGCCGTGAGTTCCACAATCCGGAGAACAGGCCACCCCAACGGCCTTCAGCGGGTGGAACACTGCCATTCGAAGCCAGGTTTGAGCTGTCACTTCTTCTTAGGTTCTTCAGTAGATTCTCCGATGCCAGACTTTCATTGGTATCTAGGGCACGACCAGATTCTCCTTGACTGGCACGACTTTGTTGTGACGTGAAGTGGGGCACAGGGACTGTGCTTCTTTGGGTCGTCATGGAGGTTGTTGCTCCGCTGGTAGCGGTGGCCCGTGGGTCTTTCGCCTGAATTTGCGCACTTAGCGTTTTGATCGAACGGGCATCAGATCCTCTACGGGCTGATGTGAAGTCGGCTGCAGGAGGTTGGTCGATCCCATCAGATGATCTCTGGGCCATCTCTTGAGATGAAATGCTAACTGAGCGTCGATGATGGCTGGTATCGCCTTGGCATAACCGCTGGGCACGAGCACGACGCTCGATTGCTCTTCTCAGGGATTCCTGTCTGAGCACTGGCACTGTGGGTGGGCTTTGGGAAACAGCGCGCATGGATGCCGATGTGCCAGGTCGAAGTGGAGAGGGAAGTGGCTCTATGCGTTGCTTGGATGGAAAGAAAGCAGAGAGCAAGAAAATGAGGCGCCGAGCTGTCATTTTGTCTGGGCAAACAACCACAGTGCGGTGGGTAAGAATAGGATCAATATCCTGTTGGGCCTTTTGCTGCTGGTTGTGTCGACGGCGGTACCACTCTGGGCCGAGGGCATTGAGCCACTCAGTGTGGTTACCTAGGAATGCTGTGAGTAGCACTAGGAAGAAAAAGTTACTCTCCTTGTCGCCAAGGCCTCGGACAATCGATCGGCCTTCTTCTCGCCACACGCCCCAGCGACTTTGGCCGGTCACAACGTATGGGGTCTGAAGAGCCAGGCTGATGCGACGGCTGCTGCGAATGGCCTCTTCCTTGAGTTTGGAGTTCACAGACAGAATGTTGGCAGGTAAATGGACAATCGTTTGGTTAGTCCGTTGCATATTGGGCGGTTTGTCGGGCTTTGGGTGTGGCCCTGACATAGAGTCAACTTTCCTCAATAGAAAGAGGATTTCGTTCCGCGCGAGCCGCTCCAGGTGAGATAAAGTTCGAGTGATGACATCCCAATGGTCAACCAGCAGGTCCAACCTCTCATCCAAGCTTGCAGGAGGAGACGCAGATGACAAGCTATCATCGAACAGAAAACCCGGCCAGCGGTAGTCTGAATCCAAAGAGCTGGATAGCCCTGGTCGAGGGGAATCAGGACCGAGAGTACTGAATCGAGACACGGGTCGAGGGGCATTTCTTGCCAGCAAAGGAATTTGGATTGTTATCGCGACAGCATACATTGGCGTCTTCTTCTCCTTGATCTTTTTGCGCTTTGAGATATCTGGGAAAGGAAAGCCCATCTCAGGCAGAGACTCCTGATAAAGAGCACTGGCATAATCCTGCCGCTCAGCGGATGCCTCGGCTCCCTCTGGAAGATTGACGCTAAACATCCGAGTCACGAGAACGGTAACTTTGGAAGGTGGCTTGTCTGGTCCTTTAGCGGGTCCGAAGTCTGCTGAGCTTCCGGTGGTGTAGGCCCGAGCAAGTGGGCTGCGTGCTGCGGGAGACATGCCCGCCGCTGTTGGTGGGTCATCGTCGGCAGAGATGATGTGCATTTTTGTAGAGGATCCACGATAGCTGAATGCGCTACTGCCAAAAATGCAATTAAGGAGACCAGTGTCATTGGTATCCGTCGAATGCCGCGAAGAACCGGGATCATGTTGTATTCCCGTTTGTGCAAGTGTAGAGCTGCGTCCTCGGGCTCGTGAGAAAGCACCAGGACCCGCTGGTGTCAGTCTGCGTGCATCTGCGGCCGATGAAAGGGGGCTAGGTTCAACGACGGAGGACTGGGCGGGGAAGTTTCGACGAGGACCGCGAGAGAGGCTGGAGACTGTGCGGGAATGCCTGTTTCCGGACTGATCAGGACCTGGTGAGTCGATCCCAAGACCGGTAGGTGACGGATCAGGTACACGAGTGTCTAGCAAGATACATGCATCACGGTCCCCCAGAGCGTTCTGGGCCACGACGACTCGAAAGTCCTTAACGGCATCCAATTCCATTCCTCCACGGTCATCATAGGCACCGGCTGTTGAAGCGTTCGGGGAGTGGAATGCGGTCTGTAGAGGGTAGGCGTGGGTATTGGAACGGCGGAGTAGGCTGGCATCGGGGAAGAGAAGGCCGGAAGTGTGTTCCTCCTCAGTGACTGATTCGAGAGGAGTTCCATTATTTCGTGGATTAAATGAAGCTGGATTCAGGCTTGAAGCAGCTGTGCTTAAAAGTCGGCCCAACATGGTGAAGTTGTACCACGGGAAAGCCCGGGATAACTGTACTCGAAGGTGCAGAGAAACAAAAACGGTCCGGTCGAGAAACGCTGTGTAACTATGGGTATCAGACAGCTAGACAGAACTAGACTGCATCTACCCATTCCCTAATTCCACTCAACAGGTACCATCATCAATAGATGGTAAGAGGGGTGAGAAAGCGTGGGATTGAGGGGAGAAGAAGTGAAGTGGGATGGGTTGCAGGACAGAGTGGGGCGATTGAAGAGGTAATTGGGACTTGGCTGATAAAGCACCCCGCAAGCGAGCTGGGTGGGTAAAGTCTGACAAAGATCAATTAACCCCAAGGAATTGGGGGGCAAGGAGTAGTTCTTGAGGAAAGAATGTATGTGGGGAGGTGGACTCTAGAAAGGGTGGAGAGAGGCCGCCAGTTGGAAAGAGGCGGTGAAGGAGCGGACAACGGGCATGCCACATGATCTCAGCCTCAAGGTGACACCGCATCGCGCATTTCTGATTTCTGATTACAAGGTTACGCGTGTTCGACTCGGTGAGAGACTCCGATCGTCAGTCCTACGGTAAGCTTAGAGGTCAGGGATCATAAAGTCCCCGTAGATCGACAGTAACTGAAGGTTATAAGTATAACCTAGCTGCCTAACTATGACCACATATTGACAATTGGTTGAGATCTATAGATTTGGCAAATCCAATATATTGGTGATTGCTCCACGTACCCCTTAATCACTCTTGCACATCATAACCCACATGAAGGAACATATGCATGGCTCCTAATGAAGTGGCGCTCTACAATATCAACCTTTCAAACATTCCAGATGTCGTTTCTAGCTACACATTTTTACGTCTAAGGATATATTCGACACACTTTTATAGTATATAGTATACTGTAGCTAAAAACTTAGGTACTGAAGTAGGCAAACACTCGACGTCATAAAGTACTCTTAACCCCTGGGGAGGGTAGATATTTAGGTAGGTATAGGTACTATAGGCTATAGGAAATATGATTTAGGCGGGCACTCGACTCGAAGCCATGGGTTTATTCTAATCGGATTAGATTTCAAGGCGTACAAGAGTACTTTAGGGTGTGACGAGGAGCATTTACAGGGGGTGTACCAATCAAATAAAGGATATCATGGAAAATTTTGTTATTCACATAAACATTGAAGTGATCGATTCTCAATCCAAGTACATAAATATAAGTATCATGCCTTAGATTGCCGTTTGACCTTGTCCACCAGTAGTTTCAGATCAGAATTAGAATCCTTCTTTTGCTTCTTCTTGCGGTCTTGGTTGGAAGAAACTGCCTCGGTTTCACCATCATCACGGGTGTGCCGGCGCTTACGGCTCTCGTCGAGCAGGGCCTTCATGCCGGAAGTAGCCTTGAAGCGGGGGTTGGTCGGATCAATGGCAAACTCATGACTCTCGAACAGACGAGCAAACCGGGGATCCTTGGTATCCACATTGAAGTTGTCTTCAACAACGACTTGCTTGCCTTTGCCCTTGCCCTTGCCCTTGCCCTTCTTCCGTGCCTGCTTCTCTGCCTTTTCGATCTCGGTCATGTCAAAGTGGTTGATGGTCGCCTTCTTATCGTCGACCATCAAGAGTTCAAGCTCAGCCCGCTGAGCAGCAGAGGCAGCCTCTTCAGCAGCACGCTCCTCACGCTTCTTGCGCCTCTCTTCCTTGCGAATAGATGCGGAAGTGGCTTTACCAGCAGGATCATCGAAGAAGGGATCGTTGAAGCCGAGATCTTCCGCATCTTTTAGTGCCTCGGCAGCAGGCTCATCATGATCGCTGGCAGCCTCCTGGGCTTCCTCGGAGGGCTCGTCCTTGTTACCAGACTTGAGTTTCTCCTTTCGGCGTTTCTTGCGCTCGCGCTCCTTGCGCACATATTTATCGATTGTGCTCTCTTCGATTTCCGGCTCGTTTTCGAAAATTGTGTCTTTTCCTTTGCCGCCCGCGAGACCAGATGTGAAAGTGACTTCCATCTCACCGACAGGGCCCTTAGATTTAGAAGAAGGGGCAGGCTGTGCGCTCAGGCCCAGCAAAGCACGCATGCGCTGTCTCTCGGCTTCCCGCTTGGATAGTTTGACGCTTGTACCTTCACCCGCAGTGTTGTCGACAACTTCCACACCGCCATCTTCCTCATCCTCGCTGTCGGAGCTGTCACTTCCCAGGTATGCCTTGAGGTCATTTTCCTCAATATCCTTTCGTGACCCTCCAAATGCGCGTGCTTGAACCTCTTTTCGTGATTTGTCGTCCGCGTCCCATGTCAACTTAACTTTGCTGTGCTGGAGAGCATCCGTCACAAAGTCGTTTGGTCTGTAGCCATCAGGAATCCGAGTGCAGGAGTCTCGGGGCTTGTCGTCATCGAAATCGGTGTCATCGGGAACGAAACGTAGATCAAAGAAGTTGGCACTGGAAAGGTACTCTGCACCATCCACAAGATCGTAAACGTGCTTGGCACTATCCTTGGAGGAGAATGTGAGGACAGCGTAGTAGTAGCGAAGTCGCTCGAGCTGATAGCGTCGCAGTTGTGTTGTGTTAAACTCCTCTCCCTCGTCGCTCTTCAGCAGAGACTTTTTGATTTCCTCCTCCTCCTCGTCGGAGTCAAGCTCCTCTTCATCTTCGCTTGCAACTTCTTGCTTCTTGGCAAAAATCTCCTTCGGGGGACCCTCGACTTCCTCCCTCTCCATGCGCTCCTTTCCAAATTCACTGGGGTAAACATCAACCCTTAGGACACGGCCTCCGGGTGGTAAGAAACTCGAGAAGACAGCCATAAGGTCCTCCGCTCGAATATTATCCCAGTCCAAGTTGACAACAGCTATCCGGTCGCTGACTTCTCCCAGAGGAACATCGACGCGCTGTTTATCGGGGAATTCAAGTTCGTCATCCTCATTCTCGGCCTCCACCTCGTCTTCGTCTTCATCGCTAGAGCTTTCATCTTCAGATGATGAAGAAGAGAAGCCACCATCGCGGGCAGGATCGTAGCCGGGCACATCGACCCGCTTCAGTTCTTTTTCAACCTCGTCGTCGTCGGCGATACTGACGTTGTCGCCTGCGTCTTCGTCCTCTTCTTCGTCCTCGTCATCCTCGTCTAGGCGGTAGAACTTTTTCAATTGCTGCTTGGTGTCGTCGGCGGCCAATTTGCGTCCATATCGATCAACGGCGGCATTGCGAGAGAAATCCTTGTCATCGAGCATGTGCTTGAATCGCTTGTCAAGTTTGACATGGGTCTGGCGCTTGCTGGGGAGACGATAACGAGGATCGGATTGAATGCTAGCGAACCGTGGATCCGCTGTAAAACCAGGCATTGTCAGATATTGAACCTTGTCATTGAGGTACACTATTCGGCGCATAGGATAGTGAACATACTGATGATCTTGGCGGATTCGCCTTTGGCTCCGCCGGCCTTCTTGGATTTTTTCTTGTCTTGACCTGCCATTGTGCTCTCAAACTGCTCGATTGCAGAGAGATCAGCTAGGAATCAGGAAATCAGATGGGGCTCTGAAATATGTATCGCGAAATAGTTGAGAAGTGATCTGATCGGCTACGGACTGCGGCCAATTTTCTTTTTTTCTGCCGGAGTTTCAGGGCGGTCAACAAACACGTGCACTATGTCCAAAAGGGGCAATCGCATCTACGTCGAGAATATTCTTGGAATATTTCATGTATACCTACCTGGCTTTGAGTTGAATTCTTGACTAAGTCATGTACGGAGGGAGAATAATGGAAAGATTCAAATCAAGCCAGCACTGGCACAAACGGGACACCTGACCTCACACTCCAACCGTAGGGCTGGTCAATTGTCTGGAAATCCATGAGCATTGGTGGTCATAGTCGGCTATTATGTTTTCCTGGAAGCCAGAAGGTCTCCTGAGGTTAAACATATCGGCTCTCAAGAGATTTTAAATGGTTTTTTGGAAGAGGTGATGGTTCTTGGAATAGAACATAGTCCCCGGACCCCGACTCCCATGGGAACACGCTGTATGCGGTTATGGGAGCATAATGCTATTCTCTGGTGCCGGTTGGTATTGAAAATCCAGAGCTTCAAGCTACTTCCTACTTATTAAGAATGCTTGCCAACCGATAAATGGGTAATCCGACAAGAAATGAGCGGTTGGAAAGTGACAAAGAAAAAAGATAGAAACCCCATAGCTAACCAAATCGCGGGATTCGACCCAAAACATTGTCGTGATCAATAATTTTGAATAGAACTAGTAAAAGAGCAAACACACAAAAATAACCAATTCTGTCCATCCATATCACCACCCCTTCACAAATAAGATAAAATCATGCAAACTCGTCACTGTCAATCCTCGAACAATCTCGTGAACGCCGTGAATCACAAGACAAGCAAGAAGCTTTTCGGTCCGTTTGAACTGGAATATCACTTCCTGCGAGTTGCAGCAGACGATGTGGCGAGCTCAACCTAGCATCGTGGGTTCCATTGTGGGAACTGTCCTGGCTGCTACCGCATCGCAATACAAGACAATATCTAGATCTCAGCTTCATTCAGAGATCCTCGGCTGGATTTTGTTGTCATTTCTTATCAAAAATATGAGGTGGCCCAGCGAAAGAGTCTGGAGCATGAATTTGTCAGTTCAACGTGAAACGGAGCCCAGAACGGGCTCCTGCTAAATTGTGGACGTGGCTATAGCTGCTGCAACGCTTTGCTCTGCCAAGAATAGTGTCAATGGCCTATTACTGGTGAGGCTGCATGATTTCTGACTGTACCATTTCAACTCATGTTGACAATTGTTAAATAGCCTGCTTTAACACTGGCTTTGCTTTTGATCGAGAGGGAGTTGTATCATCAGCATCCAACATCGGAAATAAGACAATCTGGGCCATGGACAGCCTTGATGACTACCACATGTGGTGCCGTTACCATTTCCTTATTTAGTATTTATACACTGGCTCGTTGGAGCTTGCCAGGCTTAGCATTATCCATCATTGAGGCTTTTGCTTTGCTAGCTGTCTACGGCACTCCACTGCGAATGCCAGCAAAATCCGAGACCTTGCCGTTTGTCGATATAGAGACCGACATTGCGTCGTTTACTTTGCGAGTCACTGTTTCCCTGCTGATAGCACTGGCACTTCAGACGCTATTCCTCGGCTTTGGATCCTTCGAACCTGGTACGACACTGCGTGCCAGCGTTGCAAATGCCTTCTCCTGGTACTTTGATATAAGAATTGTTCGTCATGTTTTCCATTCTGCTTCCGGCCTTGTTCAGATATGTATATCTACACAGGCTTGCCATTTATCCTGGACCGCGGTAGTAGTCATCAAGATTCTCGCCATCTTCGCCTCGCGCAACCCATTCACACAATCCTTTGAGATGTAAGCCCTCTCTTACATCATTGGTTCTGTCCTAATGTTGGGACAACTCATTGCATTAGTTTCTGAGCAATTCGTCAACAGAAAGCTTCTGTAGACATTTATGCTTATTCCAGTTCTTCCATACCTGGAAACGCGATTACCATCCAAACGGCTAACTCAAGAGCGGCAATATTTGTTAATACACACAAGCATTCCGTCGAGACAATCATTCAATAAGCAAATGTCGACTTTGACAACTTGCTACTCCGTCAGTCCAAATCTTACGCAGCCGCTTCTGACGAGTACCGCCGACGGTACGAAATGGAACTTCCGCCTGGCTTTGAAGATTGGTTCAAGTATGCTAAAGCCCATGAATCAAAGATTATCGATGACTTTCGAGCTTGACGGAAACGGCATTAGTGGCCGATGGTACAAACTAGTGTGTAGATTTTGTTGCAATCATGCTGTCATTAATTTGCAGGATATTGTAATTTGATTGCCCTCGGACTATTGCATAGGAAGTTTAAATTCAGGCCGCGCTTCATGACCTCGATAAGTAGCGTTTATAATTAGTGAATATTAGATTCTTATGTGCCTTCTCGAATCTCAAACTGGCCTGCCTATGGGTTGGAGGAGCAATGTGATGTTACTAACTCCAGAGTATGATCATACCCTATATGTACCTCAACTAGTCCCGATAAAGAGGGACCTCCGCAGCAATAGCAGCAAAATTATTTCATACTAGTAGTGGCAGAAAAAGCAATTACATCGCTGGTAACAAAAATTGATACGTGCAGCGATTCCCGTATATAAGTGAACTTCAATATGTGTATGGCCATGTATTTACGTTATTACCTTATTACCGTTGATGGATGATCAACATCCAAAGTAGCGCTTCTCCATCCACCGCGGCTCGCCCTCATCCTCGATCCGACCGACAATGACATTAATCTTAGGGAATACAGCGGCTAGGCGTTTGAGACCCGTTTCTCCAGCTGCACATGTCACGAAAATAATATTTTCCTCTTTGACACCATGGTCAATCAAGACACGCACAGCCATAAGCGCAGCTCCTCCACTAGACATCTGCGGGTCCAACAGTAGGATGCTATTATGCTCCTCTAACTGTGGCGGGAGCTTCAAGTAGTGTAGCTCAGGCTCCTGGCTAGACTCGTTCGTCTGAATCAGCAATCGACCAGTGATGCAGTCGGGGATGGTTCGCTTGAGGGCGGTTTCCAAGCAAGAACCACCACGGAGGATCGCAACAGCGGACACAGTTCCTCGGGGACTGAGACCCAAATATTCATTTCCTTGTGGTGTTTCCACGCCCATCGGGACATATTGTGTCATGTCCAAGGCCCTGTATCCCGACCGTTAGCATAGAGTAATTGAACGTTGGCCGGGGGTTTGAGACGTACCGCTCAATCAGAATCGAGGCAAGTCGATCAAAGTAGAAGACAAAATCAACTTCCTCAGTCTCAGGGCTTTGCAGAATAGTATTCATTCCCACAATCTGGGGTGTTGCAGGCAGTACATGAACATTATGCGGCAATTCCACTTTCGCTGCGATGAGGCCGAGTCTGTGAAGCTCCTCGGTGTGCTTTTCTGTCTTCTCTTGAAGCTTGCGCTGTATGTGTTTGACAACCATATCTGTAGGTAATTAGAATAAAAGGCTTTGAATACGACTTGTGAGTTCTTACCAATGGCCGTTAGGTTCTCTATTCCACGAGGAATGATGATGTCTGATGAAATTAGCCTCTGGCGAGGATTATGCATGCATACTTTGAAAGAAAACGTACCGGAAATTCCCCGCTGTGGCTCTACATATCTGGTGTAGGATGGCTTGACAAAGGCAAACCATTGCTTGACAATGCCTTCAATATCCCGGCCTCTTTCCTTGACATCCCGAAGTACTGATATTTATTGGGTTAGCTCGGGAAATTGGTATTGCGGATACACAAAAAGATGACCTACAGCGGCGGCCCAAGCAGACATCCATATCGGCCTCAACGAATATCTGTATCTGATATCAGCAACTATATCTCTAATTAAGAACGAGAAAGGCTTACCTTCACGTCAAGGAGCTCTGCAATTCTGGGGTCATGAAGTGCCAGAATACCCTCAAGGATCAACACCCGAGGCGAATACAGAGTGGTGGTCTGAGGTTGGCGCTGATGGTCGGCAAACGAATAGACTGGGATTTGGCTCTTCTTTCTGATCATTCCGCCAGTCAGACCAAACCAAGTAGCAGATATACTAATATGACTGGCTTACCCCTGTTTTAGATCCCTGAGGGTTTCCACCAGAAGATCAAAATCAATCGATTCTGGACAATCGAAATCATATTCATTTGAATGAGCTTTGCGATGATCCTCGGGAGATAAGGTCTTGTAGAAAGAGTCCTGTTCCAACCGTGTATCAGACTACAAAGCACTGACAAGATGGTTCAGTTAAGGGCCTACCATCACTAGAATCACGACCCAAGGAAGGTCTAGTGACTTGACGATTTCAACGGCCACAGAGGTCTTGCCAGACCCAGAGCTGCCTGCGATACCGATGATGCTCAAATCCTGCCATGGCGGAGAGTACTTTACCTCAGGCGTGAGTGAAAGAAAAGGTGAACTGGACTCCATGATTTCGAAGTTCCTTCATGTATATCAAGAGATCCGAGGGGTTCTGTCGTTTTCGGTTTATCTCCAACTCTGATCAATTGGGCTTAGCGCCTGACCTTCGCTTCGTTGGATGACATAAGCAGAGCTACCATTATTTCTTTCCGCTTTTTCGCTTCTGCTTCCGTTTTCCTTCTTCTTTTCTCTCTACATGGGCATTGGAAAAAATTCTCCTCCTTCACCCCCCTTCCAGCGTTCTGCCTTTATTCCATGGCCGTCGTCTCTCGGGTCGCCCTTAGGTCTTGACGGATAGCTTCGAAGCTCTTTTGTGGCACAGCTTGCGTCATGTCATCTGCTAATCTCGTATGCACTCTGCTGTCTTGACAGCCCTGGTTGCCGAGTTTTTAACACCGCACAGATGTCTCGCACTCCCTCGACGACCACGCCGACCTGGCATCAGTTCGAGCGGAAGGTCGACGAGGTGAAACCATCCAAGACGTGAGTTTACTACCCTCCCCAGCGTTTCCATTTCCCCCCTTTTGGCCCGCTGTGACATGATGCATCTTGAAAACCAAGTTGGGAATCTCTCTGAAAAATACTGAAGAGAATGTATTGACTTGTAATCTGAATCACAACCACACTTATCTTTTGATCGGATTGGCTATGTTGTGAATGTTGGCTAATGACAAGTCTCAGTGATATCAATTACCTCGTCATGGACTACCTCATCACCAATGGATACCCAGCCGCTGCAAAGAAGTTTGCAGCTGAGGCGAACATCCAGCGGAAGCCAGATCTTGAATACATCCAGGAACGAGTGGAAATTCGGACCGCTATTCACTCGGGGAATATTCAGGTCGCGATTGAAAAGATCAATGAGCTTAATCCTCAGGTAAGAATACACTTGTCTCATGCCTTCACAATCACACCTCCCTTCCCCCGCTGTTATGATTATCATCAGTTTCATGCACCACTCCTAGAACACCCTTCGGGGAGTTGCGGATAGTAAACATCTTCAGTCCTCAGTATGACCAGCAATCATCACATCCAGCTCGTTTCACATATGTCATTTTTTGTGCCATGGCTAACAAGATTGGATAGATCCTTGACAGAGAACCTCCTCTACATTTCGCTCTGCTGCGCCTGCAGTTGGTAGAACTAATCCGAACCTGCACCTCTACTCCGAATGGTGATATCAGTCCCGCCTTGGATTTCGCGACCTCACAGCTGGCGCCCCGTGCGACAACTCGGCCTGACTTTCTAGAGGACCTGGAACGCACTCTGGCGCTCTTGATATTTCCCAGCGACAAATTGTCACCCTCTCTCGTCTCCCTACTAGATCCCAGTCTTCGTAAAGAGATCGCCACACGCGTGAACGAGGCCATTCTTCATGACCAAGGCGCTGAAAAAGAGGCCCGTCTACGCAGATTGGTGAAACTCCGTGCGTTTGCTGAGGCGAAGGCCCGCGCTGCCAAGAAGGATATCCCCGACAATTTGGATATCGGCCTTGTCAGCGATACTCATGATAACAACCGCAGCAGTAACAGTAGCGACCTCGATCGCGCTGCCCAGAATGGTGGCGCTGATACTATAATGGCCAACAATGGCGATGCCTCCATGGTCTCATAACCTGGTCATCTACTAAGCGATATCTCGGGGTCTTTTTTAGTTTTTCTTTGGTTTTAGCGTGGCGCCTTGGTGTACCAATATGGTTATTATTCAATGGTGTTCTGGATAAGCCTTGATGATTGATTTAATCCAATACAATACATGCTCCAGGGCATTTGACCTTGACTACTATTTCTACGTACAATCATTGCCGAACAAAGAGTTTGGAAGCGCAAAGCCTAGATTTGAAATAGACAATTTGTATTAGGTACGTCCCCGCATCCTGTGTGCATAATGTTAAAATTAGCGTTTCGAGTCATGTGCATGCCTAGCCAAATTCATTAGTGCAATGACCAAACACTCAACATGCATGCAAAACTTGCTTTTTCAATAGGCATATCTTCGATGTGAACGTGGACATTTCTACGCACCTTAAATGCATATGCCTACTCTTTAGTACATATATATTTGGCCAGGAACGTACTGTACCTGAATAAACCACACACAGATACTATGTATATATGTACAGGGGTAGGTACTATACGCCACGGAACCATCAAGTCATACATCCGGCTACCTAAAGGGACATGAGAAAAAAAGTCTATATTGTATCGCAATATTCTTGGGACATCGGGATGTATCCGGCTAGGCTATCCAGATAAATCCGGCCTCGTAGATACATGCATTCAATGCTAAATGGACGCATGTTGAATATCAAACAGCAGGGGAAGAATAGTAAAGATCTTAAGTATACTCTGCGACTCTGAAATAGAAGAACGCTCAAGCTTTATCCAAGCTTAAAGACAACTTAGAGACAAGAATATTCTATGAGCATCGTAGAAAACTAGCAAAGTATTGGAGCCTATTGGACCTAGGATATGTGTGCGTTTGAAGTCGTGAGAATCGTGAGGGCTCTTTAGAAGCTCATGAGATCTAAGCAGAGAAAACATTAGTTAGTCCCTCTTGGATGGAAAGGTTTGTTTCGAAATGGAGAAAGAGAAAGAGATACATACCTCTGCCGAAGAGCGCACGCTTAGCCCAGTCCATCGCCAGCATACAACGAGTGCGGAAGCTGACACTCTGAGCAAAGTAGATACTCCGCCACAGATACATAGTGACAACACCACCGCTGAAGCTTAGTCCACCGAAATCGAAGATAGCAGCGTTACTGATATACGCAAGGCTGCCCAGGTGCTGGTACTTAAAACCGCGGTAGATGGCGTCGTCAAGATCACCGTGATGGATCTCATTGGCCTTGAGGCCGGGAAGTGCGGCGGCGATCTTAGTCAACTTGCGACCTAAGTAGACACCCTGCTGGTTAGCGCGCTGGGCGGTTGCGGGAAGGGAGGTGAGTTTCGTGTCGATTTGGTGGAGGAGCTCGGAGAGCTCGCCGTATTCGAGAGTTCCTGAGTGGTCCGCATCGTATTGCTCGAAGAGTTTGTCCAGACGACGGAGATGACTTGTGGCTTGCGGGAAGCGCTTTTTCACTCTGTTGGCGACCTCGCGCCATTCTGAGAAAGTGAGATGAACCTTCTCTGGGTCAAGACCCTTCTCCCAGGCAATGGTGCGGAGGAAGCGAATGATGTTTTCAGCAACGTTGTTCTGGACGGTAGAGCAATCACCAATGGCGTAGACGTCCCCTAAGGGTGAGCCGATTACGCGGAGATGGGCGTCAGTTTCGATTGCGTGCTTGTTGTTTTGGCCATCAAGCCGGTCGCAAATGGTTTCGCAGATTTTGGCGCGGGCTTGAACATGTCAATTTTATGATTCGGAAATGGATACCAGTGGAACCTACCGACTCCAGTAGACCACAAACAAAATGCGGTAGGAATCTCTTTGATAACCTCCTTGCCATCTTCCATCTGACTGAAAAGGACTCGATCATCCCTGACCTCCTTAACGCGGGCACCGGTTAACACCTCGACACCATCACGAGCGAAGCGGCTCTGTAAGATGTCAGCTTTTTCACGCCTTATTCACTCAAGTGGTAGAAATCACCTCGGCATATTTAGAAAGGGCCTCATCGTAAGTATTCAAGATATGAGTTCGGCTCTGGATGATATGCACAGAGATTTCATTCCGCACGATTTTGGGGAATGAGTGCAGCAGGTCCTCATTGAGCAGATCGAACAATTCAGCAGCAAACTCGACTCCGGTCGGGCCACCCCCACACACCACAAATGACAGCAAGCGCCTGCGCTCCTCATCAGAAGTGGTAGGCAGACAGGCCATTTCCATGTTATCCAGGACCTGGTTTTTGATCCGACGAGCATCGTCGATAGTCTTCAAGAAGCTGCAGTGTTCAAGACCCTTCACACCATGGGGATTTGTGATACAGCCTATGAAGATCCAAGGTTAGTCTCTGAAATGGTAGTAGCTTCATCACCAGTGTCCAAATAAAGCATTAGGAAATCGAACGCACCAACACCAATAACAAGCTTGTCGTATGGGAGATAGAAGTTCCTCTTATTCCCATCCCTATCGACCTGTGAGACCTCAACCAGTTTCTCTGAGAAGTCGACATCCGTAGCCTCAGCCTTCAAGAAATGTCCGTTCACACGATCAATAATCCGGCGGACCGGTTCCACAAGCGAGCGAAGACCCAAGGTGCCCACCGTAGCAGAGGGCAACATGGGGGTAAACAGGAAGTAATTGGTGGGAGAAACCACTGTGACATGGTAATCGCCGGGGTTCAGGTTCTTCAGCAACGCAATGCTACCCCAGCCTGTACCCAAAATCACCAAGCGAGGCTTATCCTTTTGTGTGAGCATTGCCTCAGAGTCATAATCACCAACCAGGTAGTCAGCAATGGGCAAGTTCTTAGGGCCTCCGTGACGAGGGTTCAACGCCAACTCCGATACAGGGATATCCTCCGCAGTGGGCGTCTCACGGTATGTGCTGGCATCATAGATGAAGAACCCAACAACCCAGATTGTAGCGCCAGCAAAAAGAACACCGCAGTATGAGAAGGTCTTGCCTATAATTCTGGCAATACGCGATGGTTTGGAAGGAGGCACGGCACTTGCGGCTAGCTTATCGGACTTGAATCGAATCGCGATTGACGCTTTCGAGGCTGGGCCGAAAGCATGTCGTGGCAGGGGCCGGCGAGTAATGGTGTTCAATGAACGTGTGAGAGGAAATCTAGCAGTGAGAGGTCCTCTTGTGTTGTTCAATCGAGCCGATAAGAGCCCAATTGACCGCAGCGCGGGGCCGTCCGCACGACTCCGGAGCAACGCCGCGCTCATGATGGAGGAAGCTCAAGCAGTGCAGATCAACTGTAGCCAAGAAAGGTCAGGCAGATCATCACCTGCCTTTGGGAACAGGCAAAATAATCAAAGGTGCAAGAAGCTCAAGACAAAACGAGAGAATATACCGGAATCTAGTTTCAGGGAGTAAAACGTTCGGTAGCAAGTCAGCCTGGGCTCCAGGCGCATCAGGTCTAGCTTGCGCCCCGACGTCATCCTACCGGTCACGTGGAGTCGGCATTCGGCACGCGCAGTGGTCATCGGCTTCACCGGAGATTTTATAGTAAGAAAATGAAATTAGGGAACAATTATGTGTAGTTATAGGTATGAGATATATGATTTTTATTATTTACTCATGAAGTAGAGGTAAATAGTTAATTTGAGGTCATGAGAAAACCGTCCACTCTTGGATATGCGCCGCCCGGATGCAGAAGGAGATATGGCCTGCATGCACAACCTTCACGGTGTTCAGTTAAAGATTAAAATAAAAGATAACCCCCCTCCCTTCTCTTGAAAACACGGTGTAGCGAAATATAAAAGCAACGCCTTTGTCACCTGAAATGCAAATGAAAAATAGTGGTCTAAATGGTGAAGAATTTGGGCCGAGCCAGTCGAGAATATGACCATTAGTCCCAATCTTCGGAATCAGCGCTGGATCGTTTCTTGCCAACCGAGCCCTTGTGGCTCTTGGGGCGCTTGTTAACGCTTGTACTCGAGACGGAGCTTTTTCGTTTCACCGGACGAGGTCCAGAAGCTACCCCGTCTATGTCATCATCTCCCATGGCATCGAATCCATCTCCTTCGGCATCGTCGCCTCGGTCCACCTTGAACTCCTCGTCAATGGCTAGCAAGGTAGAGAACTCGCGACATTTCCTCAGCATGGCATCTTCGCTACTCAGTGAAGCCATATTCTTCGCGATGGCCTCCCAGAACTTGTCACCGGTCACGCCGTGCACTTTTGTGGCAGTCTTGTTGAGCTCCTTAGTGACGGGTTTGCCGTCTTTGCCATGGGAGGGAACTCCATAAAGGCGACGCAAGAAAGTCCGCGCTTCCCAGAGCATGGAAAGCGATGCTGCAGCTGTGGCTAGCGATCGCAAGGCGGCAGGATTGACTGGCTGTGGTATGGCGGATGGCATTGGTACAGCAGGAGTCATCCCCATGCCACCTGGAGTCTCGATCATAGGAGGACCTATAGGACTGGGAAAAATGTCTGTTTCGATGGCATGGGCAACAACAGTGCCGGTCGACGAGACAATGCGCTCCAGGGCCAGAATAGTGGGTACCAACTCGGCCAACTGGCCATAATCGAAGTGGGCAAGATTTTGAGTGATAAATCTTGTCAACAGGAGATGTTCCGGTGGATCTCCACTGGAGTTGAGTTTCTTCAATTCAAAGTTGACCTTGCCACAAAGATTGGCGAGGAATTTCTTCTGGTATCGACTATTGCTGATCTTGACGATTTCAAACAAGGGAGCAAGCTTTGAGACGTAAGGCCGAGCATGGGCACCTGTAGAATCACCGACGACATCTCGCTGGTATTGGAAGGCCTCTTGCACAGCCCGCATGTATTCCCGCTCGAACATCGATTCATACTGTGAGTGAAGCATCTTATGAGTATCAAATGCAATTTTGGCGATAGCGGGTGTTGTCGACGTTTCTAGAGAAACCAGAACACCAGCGCATTCTTTAGGGTGTACCAAACCTTGTCGGTTGATGCTTGCAATGAGTTCAATGGCAGTGAGGGAATAGGTGTCCTGTCTTGACTGTGCCACCTTGAGCATGTTCTTGAGGAAATGCTGGGCGATCAAGGCAGCGGCACCGTCATTATCGCTAGCCTTAAGCGATCCTCCAAGTCGAGTAGAGTCCTCTTGAGAGCCTGTGTCTGGCGTCGGCATAACTGATTTTTCGGACTTTCCTTCATGGATGGCGAAAAAGTCTGCAAAGGACCGAAGCACAATATTCTGCAAACTTGGGCTGTCTTCCTTGAACACTTGCGCAAAGGTCTTACGCGTAGGCTCACGGCCGAATTGACCCGGCCAGGATTGGCAGATAGAACCTAAGCTCTCAAGGGCCATGACCCTCAGCTCCAAGGGCTGATTATGAGAGGCGAAGGGAAGGATGGAGTCGATCATCAAGCCAGCCACGGCTCCGCCATTCCATGTAGGAAAAGAGTTCTTGAAATGGTTGACATACTTTTCAAGGTCGCAATGGCCTCCAACGCATCCAGCGATTCGTATATAGCTCTTCGCTCGCTGTAAGATAGCAGCATTAGCAGGCGAGCCCACATCAACACTCTTGTATTGCTGTAATGGCTTGAGCACGGACACAGTGAGCTTCACCAGCCTGTCAGTGTTCTGCAGAACGCTATTGATGGTCCACAAACACGCCATGACCTCGTTCAGCTCTGAGCGACCCAACTTGGCTACGCTCTTGAAGAGGTCATTCTGTACCTCCTTCAAGAGAGCATTATGGGATGTCGATATGTTTGGCAAGACGCAGCGATATATAACCACAACAGATCGGAAGATGAAAAGATCATCTGCGTTTGCAAGGTTGCCAATATAGGGATGCAAAGCCTCCACCTGATGTGGACTGAATAGCTTTGCATTGGACTTGGCAAACACGGTAATTGTTTGCAACAGTGCCTGTTGAAAGTCTTTACCAAGTGCGTCCGCATCCTCAACGAGGCGGTGGAACATAATGGACACCATGGCTTTGCATACATGGAAATTCATATCCGCTGATTTGGATTTGTCTGAAAGCACGGCTCTAAGACAAGTACTCAGTGAATCAAGGGCAGTCTCGCTACGCTGGACAAGACTAACGATGAGTCCAACTTGCTCTCCAAGCGCCATTTTGAATTTAGGGGCATCAGAAGTCGAATGAATGGAGTCGTGGAATGGAACCAGCCAGATTTCTTCAAAGGTCTGCCGGGCCAAGGCTGCTACACTTTCCTCGAGGTCACCAGTGCGCTGAAGAAAGCTATCGAGGATGGCCAACTTCAAATCCTGTCGAGAGGTCTTGTGATAAAGTTCTTTCAGCAACCCAATGCACCGCTTGCGAACGCCAGCAGTCTGATCAGCTGCGCACGCAAGGATACAGCGACAGCCTTCTTCTTCGAGCTTCGGTTTGAGCCCAATGCATTTGGCGATAAGAGATAATGCAGAATCCCGAACCATGGGCGAAGCATCGGTGGTGCAACGCATAATCACACGCATGACAGAAGCATCTCTGTCGAGAAGATTGGGGTCTTTCTCAAGCATGTAGATGACACTTTTTAAACTCCGACTGCGGACTTTGGCCTGCTCACTGGCAATGGAGTTCAACAAGACTTTGAGAATGGTGTCGAAAGCCTTCCCAAAGCTTGAGTTTAAGATTGTAAGAATGTAGGCAAAACGTCCGTGAGCATTGGAAATGGGATCGAATCGCCTGTGAGTCTCCAGCCAGCGTGAATCAGAGAACGATCTTGACAGAAGGACCACTAGCTCATCGGTCAAGTCATCGTTTTCCAATTCCTGTTTGTCTTCAGAGTTATAATAGAGCGTGCAGACTGTTTTTGCCCATTGAGCGAGGTAGTAGCCTCGTGCGCTAGTCATTTGCCAATTGTCAGAATTTCGATCCTGCGACAGATACTCAAGGGCCATCCTGTAGGGGCCCCGAGAGGTAATTAAATCTTGCGGATGCAACGCTCGGGCTAATGAGTCCTCAAATTGTTGCTTGAGATAGTCAGTAAGATCGCCGTCCAAGTCCTCCAAGGCAGGGAGCATGTGTTGCGCAGTAGCGATCAAATCGGAAATTGCGGACCCCATCCACCCCAGAAGCTCAAGAGCCATGCTCTTTGCTGTTGCTGAGCTCTTGTCAAGATCTGCAATGCCAACCATATGAGATGCCATGATTCGAAGAAGGAGCTCAGCAGCGGGCCAATCGGCTGACCCGAGGACATTGATCAAGTCTTCCGTGAACAAATCGAGAATATTCCGGAACGGCTGGTCGCCGCTCTTGGTGGAGGTCATTGCTCGCTGAACTATAAACTTCACAATGTACTGCGCACTGCGCATTGCGTTGTCATATAGTCTGTTAACTTTGGTAGCTAGACGTTCCAAAGACTCGTCCGATTCGTCGTTATCATCATCGTCTAATTCAACTTTTTTTGTCTCGTCACCATCACCCATCAATTCATCGTCATCGTCATCGGCCTGGAATCGACGTTTCGCATTAGATCGCGAAGGGGTTTCTAGGGCGGTTGTTTGCACGAGTTGGAGCACTAGCGCAGTGAGAAGTTGAATGTTCTTTCCATCTGCAAGTTTAAATTGTCTGGCACTTTGGCGTGTGGAGGGGAGCTTCTCTAGCGAAACCAAGATTTCATCCAGAATGAACGGTCGCTGATCTGGGTATTTTGAAAAGATTTTCGCAAGCACATCCATGACTGCACGCCTGGCTGGCTCGTATTTTTGGAACCCAACCGCAGAGTCCTTGTCGTTGTGCGCATTTTCGACAAAAATTAGCTTGGTCGCAAAGAATTCGGCCGCAGTGATAGTCCCTTCAGAGACATCAATTCGCGACAAGAAATCCGCGAAAAGAGTCAGAGCTTTCTTGCTCTGGTGTATCAAGCTTGCAATAATACGCTTCTGGCTCGAGAAAAAGGAGAATAATTCACTGTCTTTACCACCGGACCGACATTCCACCGCAGGAATAATGCAATGATCGAAAGCCTGGTTGAGAACAGTCGGAATGGCTTCAATGAGGTCTTCTGGACAAAGATCCCGCTCTGTCCGGCGTCCTGACATTGTCTGCAAGAGAGTTCCAATCGCAAGCAAAGCATTCAAAATGTCCTCTATCTTTGCCACCCACACCTGCACATCTGGTTCACTTGACGGGTCATTGAGTCTCAGATCAGGCGCTTGAGAAGCAATTATGGGCTTTTCACACAGCTTCTGTATCCGTGTAAGATAGTCCGATGGGATGTCCTGTAGTCGATCGAACGCAACCACTTTCTGGATAGCCTTCTGCAGGCGGCTGTGAGCATCGGTAGACAAAATTGCACCATGCACGTCCAAAGACCTTGCGTTCACGAAAATCGGATTCGGTCTGTTAGTAGTAGGAACAATTGTATCTTCTGCTTCGATCTGGTCTTCTGCTTCAAATATGTCCTGGAGAATGTCTTGTAGCTTGAGCAGAGCATCATTGGCCTCCGCCTTTTGGTCTCTGAGGCGAATTGCGCTTGTTGATTCCTCGGGCTCTATAATGACCTGCAGCCTCGGCGCTTTGACTTGTTGGCTTGGCTTAGCAGGTGTGGATTTTAAAGGCGAAGCCTTCACTGGAATGACCACGGACAATCCGCTAGATGAACGTTGAATTGGTTGAGGTGTTTGTGTTGTTGGAAGTGATTGGCTGACGGAGATTGACGCGTTCTCGGCAAATGCCTGCTGATTCCATGCAGCCGCGTTGTTCTTTAAGGCATCTTTGTGCTCAGCCTGTTTGAACTTTTCTGCGGCCTTTGGTCTGGCCTTTGGCGTAAATTTGGAAGTGACTTTGGAAGTCATTTTGGGAGTAACATTGGGGTCAGTCTCAGGATCTGCGATTTTGTCAGCAGACAGTCTAGGAAATCTCCCCGTGCTCATGATTCTCTCACATCGAAAGGCTATATCTGTAGAGTCGAGCATCATTCTTGCGAAGGAACCAAGCTTTTTGCGACCAAATGGAGGGCCGTTGAGCGCAGTCGAATGTGAGGATTGGCTGCGATTGAGGGCGGGAGGGAGCTTGAATTTGCTGTACAAATTTCGTTTAGACAAAGCAGAGATGAGCGAAGACGAAAAGTTTCACTTACAATTCAGTCAGCTGGTCCCCATCCAGCAATTGCTGAAGGTATTCACGGGATGTTTCCAGGCGACTGGACTCATCCTGCCCGGACTGTATCTCCGCATCCAACTCACTTAGTATATTGCGGCCCGCTTGAAGAACGTGGTTGATCGAGGTAGTGTTTGATGGCCGGCCAACATCGGGGCGTATGATGCAATCTATAAGTCACATTGCTTTGGTCAGATATGAAATCTCTGGGCTAATTGCTCCGGGGGTTGGACTCTTAAGGTTGACAAACCAAGACCAAAGACAGGCGCGCTGGACATGGAAGAGTACTGCAACGCCTCATCCACTGACAGCGGTCGGGATCGGTTTGACAGCGACATATTTGGTTTATGGGCCTGCTGCGACTGGGGATGGCCGTTAAGGATGACCTGCGCGGCGGGCCCATTCTGTTCCATGATGGGCGGTTATCGGAGATCTGGAAAGGAAGGCGCTAGTCACGAGAGAAAGGATCTGCTCGGAGCAGAGTCATGGCAGATGAGAGGCACATCTACAACATGTTTCGAAGATTTTCAAGGAAGTTATTGAGACACAAAAGGTACGGGGAGAAGCTCCTGATGATCATGGATTCGTTCATCATTTCATCCAGCATCCAGTACTGCCTTCCGCGACCGCCTTAGCGGATATCGCTATGGTCCGTGCACTCAAGAAAAAAAAGTCCATACCGCACAGCATTTGGATCGGACCTAGGTCCTGCAATATCTAACTTGAAAGAATCACATAGCTGCCCCTTGAGCTACTCTCGGTATCATTTTCGCCATGTCTGTCATTGGGTCTTTGATTTTCTGTACGGATTGCGGCAATCTGCTGCGCGAGTCCACTGGTGATGCCAATGCGATTCTGCACTGCAATGTCTGCGGAACTAGGAACAAGGGTAAGCAGTCCAATTGGGCCTTGGAAGCACCCCTTTAGACACAACATCTAATCTGCTGCTAGACACAATCCCGCAAACCATCATCTCGGAATCCAAGCCCTCCGCGTTCCCCTCCGCGTTAAGAGCTAAGCGCTCTGCCGTCCAAGAGCTTTCCGCCGAAGACCGAAGGACCGAGGCCATTGCTCAGGAACAATGCCCCAAGTGCGGAAGAAAGGAGATGTTCTACACCACTGTTCAGCTTCGCAGTGCTGATGAAGGAAGTACCGTTTTCTATCGGTGTGTGTGCGGTCACAAGTATGTCAACTCAATCTCCGTCGCAATATTGTTACCAGTTACTAATCTTCATTCACAGGGAAACCAAGAACAACTAAGCGAGGGGGAAACAGGCTGTACAAACTTGAAAAGTGTCTATGTTTGGCTGTATAACAGAGCGCGATAAGAGTATCAAAATAACGACGTGACGACTTTTTTATTCTATCCTTCCCAAGTTCCCTTATGCTGCAGAAACGGCAATGGCATTCCCATCGGGCACCAGCGCATATTCAACTTGGCCACTCTTCTCAAACTCTGCCATGTCAAGCGCCACGATCACACTATCCCGCACAACCTGCTCAGGGTCATTCAGGAACTTCTTCAGGGTGGCCTCCACACCTTCCTCGTCACCCAAGCTACCAAGTGCCTCGGCGGCCTCGTGTCGCACCATACCAACCTCTTGCAGGTCACCTAAGCATTCTGTTAGACAAGGAATGGAGGCGGGGTGGCAGAGCTGTCCAAAAACAAAGGCAACTTCATGACGGAACAGAGCAGAAGGGTCCTTGAGACCCTTGGCCAGCGCGTTCACAGCGCCGACTGCTGTGGGGAGGTCTGGGGGCGATGCAAGGTCACGAAGTCCAAACATAGCCCGGTATCTTTGGAAGAGAGGAAGTTCTGTGTCCATCAATGTTTTCTCCAGTTCGGGGATTGAGGGCTCGTTGTTTTGCAGAGGCATTGGGGGAGCAGGGTCGATAGAGGTAAAATCACTGCCAAATGAATAAAATTAGCAAATCCTGTGGGAAATACTATAAGGAACGTGGTTTAAGTCGTAGCAATCGTACCTAGCCTTGAGATTCTCCGCCTTCTTCGCCTCAGAGTTCTCCCACAGAATGCGATCAACTGCGATATCACAGGTCTCGCGGACAATTTCCAATTCATTCGCATCGTCCCGCAGCTTCTTCAGAAGTTCCAGGCTGTCGGAATATCCCAAGGCACCGAGAGCCTCAGCGGCCTCGTGGCGACACATCGCATCCTCCTCGACATCCTTAACAACGTGCTGCAGGTACGAGAGAGAGTCGCGGTTCTTGGTTTGGCCCAGGCAGTATGCAAGCTCGTGCTTGAGGAGAGCCGATTGAGAAGCGAAACCGGCGGCGATCGCTTGGATAGCGGGGAGGGTCTTCTCGGTGGGAGGCTGCAGACAGGCCAGGTGCTTAAGGGAGAACAGCGCGCGGAAGCGCCGAGCGAGGGGCTCGGTTTCGGAGACAAGGACCTTGCGGAGGGTCAGGACGGTCTCGTCGATGCCCTCAGTTTCAGTTGCAGAAGGTGCCATTATGAGTATTGTGTGGGAATAGAGATGAAAAAAATTGTGAACGAAAAGGTTGCGATCTTTGTGATCTTATCGGAGTTAATTTTTAGAGTGGGGTGGCGGGGCTGCGACGATTCGGGTTTGATTGATCCGCGCAAATTCTACTTAGCAGACTGTACTGTTTCCGAGGACTTTATGCCGCTCACATCCTATTAAAATTAGCCTTTTTGTAGTATATCGGAATCATGAAAAGGATCTTGACTGATCTCCAGAACTTTGGAGGGTCTAACTTCCTCTGTATGGCTCAACATATTGTATACCACAAAGATCCATGGATAGCGGATATGTATTCCGTGCCTACGATACATGTATGTAAAGATCGAAGACATCCAGAGCAACATTGAAACTACAATATTGGTAAGATATACCACGGTCTACGAATAGTCAAAATTAGATCAATCCGGGTCAAACTGCTGTTTATAATCGGATATTGTTAATCGTGTGGCGGGTTATAAATCTTCATGATAGGTTGTCTATAGCATTTTGTCCATCCGAATATTGTGTGGATGCCAATCTCTTTCCGAGGTTCTCAAACGAATCTTGGAGATACGAATTCGATTGAAAAGATTGACTGAATACTTGGAAGAAGGAGAAGAAAAACATAAATTATTGGACTTTCTCCAAAGTGCAAAATGGATTGATAAAGTAGTTAAGACCTGAGGGAAAGACTTGTTTTCCTTCCTTTACACGGTCATGATCCTCTTCATCGCCCTCATTTCCCGTATTTCCCACTTCTTTTCCCTCTCTATCATGTCCTTTATCTCCCGCTCCCACACTGTCTCCATCTACTCCATCTCCTCCTTCAACAATTTTATCCTTTGTATTGTCATCGTCATCCTATTCATCTACCCTTTCCTCTCTATCTCCACCATCCGCTTTATCTCCTCTTTTCACTCCATAACCGCCTTCTCCGTCTTCTCCGCAAGCGCCTCAAAATACGAGGATGCTGTATCAAAAAGGGTAGTCGGTAGCCTCGATCGTGACAGTGTCTCAATTGACACATTTTCGCTCACAGAAGACGATAGAGGCCAATGTATCACATCCCAAGTAGAATCTTGATCCTTGACAAGTGATCCTAGCCGGCCCCAGTAAGGTATATATGTAGATAGCGCATATAGAGAGCTTCTAGCACTTGAGCCTGGCCGGTTTAGATTCCGGATTCAATACTGGACGTTCTCCTACTTGGCGTCCTGGCGTCTCAAGAGGGTTACCCGTACTTCCCTTATGGGGAATATAGTTCATGATGATGAAAGGGCCCAGCTCTGATAACGTCCCTTTTGCCTTGCCCCAGCGAAAGACGTAAGGCACCGGGATTATATCTGAAGTGTTGTCCAACATAACTTGCAGATAATTGAAGAAACTCTGCAAGATTTTCTAGTGATTTTTTGGATGAATTGTTGTGGTGATTGGAAAAAAAGTACTACATCACATTACAATAGTGAAGGTATTCTCGAAATAACAATAGCACCAATAGCCCCTGTTGCATATACTTCTCATTAGATATGTCACATAATATCGTCCACGTAGTGTATAAGCTATTAGTGCTGTCAACTAGGTAGGCTACCTGGAAATTGGTTGCCTTGATACTATAGTTCACCGTAGCGGTAACCCGCAAATTCTACATCCCAGTATGGGCAGAGAAAGTTTACCACAGCGAGAATGGTAATTTACATTTTATTTTCAAAGAAAACTTCACATGATAACGGGAACATTTACATCACATCAGATAGTCGTAAATCTCACCCTGAGATTCCAGCTGTCCTTCCTTGTGCATACGGTCTTTGAACTTGTCTTCATCCTTCATGTGATCCTTGTCAGCCTCCTCTTGTGAAGTCTTGGTGGGGTCATTGGCTTCATGCTCATATTCTTCGTCTTTATCTTCACTCTTATGAGGATGAAAAATTCTGTCAAAGAAGCTTTCGTGTTGATGGATAGGGCCGGTATGTTCTACATAATATCAGCCTCCGTAGGGTTAAAATATCTACCGAGTGGTCGGACGTGCTCACTGTCAGCCATAATGTCTGTTGGATCAACACCAATATAATTCATTGAATATAAATTTGAACTTTGAAAAGGGGAAGAGGCGGGGAAAATCCCAACTATATAGGTTGCAGCCGAGAAAATAATGGAACGATGCCGTCATCAACCAAACATCCTAGCCTACCAAGAGGTATGCCTCGTGGCAACTTTCTTATTATAGGTCACCATAACAGTGAGCGCATCATCGACTGGATTCCAATGCCCTGGGTGAGGTAAACGTGGAATTTGAGCGGTTCCTAAGGTAGCTTAATGGACTTCTAACGTTAATAAGAACCATATGTTGGCTTGGCTTTCGTGGTGAAAAGCTTCCTGATCAAGCTATTTCAACGTGATGTCGGATGATTCTCCGTTTGCCAGTTTGCCAATGCAATATTGGCTAAGGGCATGTTCAAGGGGCTCTGAATATGGCTACGAGACGCTTTTAGGCATATAGGAAAGAGCCCTACTGTAGCAAATTGTGATCCGCTGAGCAACCTCGTTTAAACGTAATCCTGCAACATGAAAAAACTTGACTTAAAAGTAAAACCTGCATTTATATGTACATAATACCAAAACAGCACTCATTTGGTCTTGATGTGCTTGAGCTTCTTGGGCTCGAAAACGAAGTTGTTCGCATAAGCCTTGGGGGTGAAGCGGCGCTCATTGGGCTCCTGAACGAAGTATTCATAGCCCTGCTTCTGGGCAAAGGCAATCGCATCCTCCTTCGATTTGAACTTAAGGTTGGTTCCCTGCATGGCATCCGCAGACGACTGCCATCCCATCAGAGGGTTTTCCCAACGGTGGCCCTTCTGAAGGATATCCCAGTCCATGCGCCAGTGGTGTGAGTGCCAGGTACCGGATTGAGTAGCCGGCTTTGCGGCACGGAAGATTCTGTGAAGAAACAGATTTAGCATCAGTCGCTCAAGTATTTTAACTTGAAAGGGTTGATATGGTACCTGACAGTGCGGGCCTGGAGGTCGGTCGGAGCACCGGAGAGAACAGCAGCGGCCAGAGTGTCACCAGGCTCACTGCCATCCATGACACGCTTAGGAACCGGAGAGAATAGTCTATATTGTTGGGAAAAGATTAGCAAGTGGGCGTATGCGAACGGAATCGATTCCAGGGAAGGCGCACGAGGTTGCGTGGTCGATTGTGGCCTCATAGTCAGGCTGGTGACGGGTCATAGCCTCGGAAGGGCTCTCCTTGTTGATCAGAGAGCTTCCGCTGTGAGTCGCGGTGGGAGCCTCAGAGGCGTTGGTCTTGACGGCAGGGCTACCCTGAGCGGAATTGGAGGCGAAACGGGCATTGACTGGGACAAGCACTCGAGTGCTTCGGAGGCCAGCGGCCCCTCCAATTCTGAAGAGCGACATGGTGAATGTGGGAGAGCGGGGACTAGAGAGAGGGTGGACACAATGATTGTGAGGTTAATCGCAGACCGAGTGCAGGTCACGGCTCCACCCAAAACGGTTTAGCGCGCTTGGCTTCATCCGACCACCCGCTTCCCGGCCAAAGGTTCTCTTCCTCCTGCATCATCAGTCGTTCCTTGTTCACTTGCGCTGCGAACTACCGTGAGTTCCCTTACTGGGCTTTTTCAACCCCACCGAAACCAATACAACTCAACGCGACCAATTTCTGACCACATTCAGTCCAGACAAGATGAGCTACATCGCCCGCCGTGGTCTCTCGACCCTGATCCCTCCCAAGGTATGCACACCCGAATTGATAGCTTAGACCCGCCAAATTTATTCCCATCATACTAAATACTTGAGTAGATCGCCTCTCCCAATGTGAGTAACCCAAACTCTCCTGTCGTGTGAGCCAGCGCACCTGGCACCCCTCCCGCCCCCGACCCTTCCCGAAGGCTTTTCTTGTGCGAAATAGCAACGATATACAACGATATTTCTACCCGGGATTAACGCTAATATATTTGTCAAGGCTATCGGTGCCGCCCAGGATGCTGCTCGCATGGAGCGCGTTGTGAACTTCTACGCCGGTTTGCCCCGTGGCCCTGCTCCTCAGGTCAAGGCCACTGGTCTCCTCGGTCGTTACCAGGCCCGCTTCTTCAACAAGAACTCCGGTGCTCGTAAGTATTTTCACTGTGCTTGTGTGACCAGAATATAAAGTACTGACACGAGTAGCCCTCGCCCACGCCATTGCCGGTATCCTGATCATGGGCTACAGCATGGAGTACTACTTCCACCTCCGTATGTGACCCTCGAAAGCCCTCGCCTCGATACCATCCGACAGTTACATTCATACTAATTACTATCTTCACAGGTCACCACAAGAACCACCCTCACTAAACTTGTTTCCCTTTGAATGAAACGGAGGCGGATTGAAGTATATACATCCTCCGTTCCCCCAGAGCAAGAAAGTGTGTAGGAGTTAGAGACTCTATTGAATCTCATTTTGTTTTATTATCAGCATTTCAAATCGTAGTGAATGGGATTGTCTTCGCCGCTAAAGAAAGACCCCGCTGTACGTAGTTTGTGTCGTAGATTTATCCGTATTTCCCATTTCTACCACCCCTGGCCCACTGAATATCCCACTCTTGGCCTTGACAGTACAATAAAAATCAAGCCAGGCTTAATAAATTGTTCAAATTCATCTGAAGTACGTTCATTTCAAAAGAGTCCAAGGCGGACGACTATAATTGCTGAGGTCCTCTCATAAACAATCCCGGGACTGCGCTAACCGAAAGCAGCCAACTCTCAGCTTCAAACCCGAGACCCATCTTCAACAAGCCCGAATACCTTCGTATTCATCATCCACCCTCGGACACATCTCCTTCTCCTCGATTCCCTCCCTCCTATCCTTGGGAAATTCCCTTCCTGGGTTGTGGACTCCTTTCCCACTTGCGCCATCTCTACCCAGCGACGCAACAAACCCACCCCCCGTCACCGAATCTCCAACTGCCCCCGGGACGTGGCCCGCACAACTCCCCTCTTCTGGTTGTGGAATCCCCGATCTTTCAGGGTACAACCAGTCAATCGAGTAGTTAAACAGTGGCGATTCTTGAAACCTGACAATAGGTACGGTCATCATCTTTCCCGATTATATGCAAGCTGAATCCGCGGCTGCCTCTCGTGTCGCATGATTTCATCCCACTAAGATTCGTTTTAACGGACCCATTTCTGACACATGTTTCATTTTGTGATTTCCACAGATTCGAGTATTGTTATGGCAGAGCAGAGCAGCCGCGATGTGGTAGATCAGACCCTGTCGGGCGGCGAGCCTTCGCCTTCCGACGTTCCTGCGAGCACAACCGATAAGACTTCTGCTGAAGGGGACGCGGGGGAGACCAAACATATCGCAAACACTTCGCAAACCCAAGTAACATCTGAGCAACATTCCAACGACGTGACGAGAGATACGCGTGAGTCCCAAGACAAGCGAACTGGAGGTGACAAGGATACCGGGAGCTCTTCGATGGTGGGTTTCGTTGATGGGAAAGAAGAGAATAATCAGCTGAAGTGGTTGCAGGATGCTTCAAAGCAAGGCGTTGGACTGGTTGCCTCCAGAGCTCTCGAGCTGAATGGACAAGCGTCGGTGTCAGATGGTGGAGACGATACGGGTTCCCAGGGTGGTTCAGAGTCAGATACCAGTCGAACAGATGGGAGACATCACACAAGAACAGGATCGGTGAAAAAACCTTCCATCTTTAAGCCGATGTCTTTTGCGAAATTCACTGTCCCAAAGGCGCCGGGGGCCCCTGCCCCTCCCAAAGCGCCGGAGAAAGGTATTTTTGTATTATTTCGCTACTGTGGCCTGTTTTTAACAAAGATTATTAGTTCCATCTGCCTCAACCACTCCCCTTGGAACACCGCAGCCTAGTTCACGACCGCGCTTGGTTGCAAAGACCACCAGCGGCATGCGCGATTCTATTTCCAAGACCGGTGCTGGTGGTGGGAAGCCAGGCGGGTCGGGGCCAGATCCCAACCAAGTCTGGAATAAGAACCGACGTATGTTCATTTTGTCGAAATAAGCGGTTCCCTAAATGCTGACTATAATTTGAATATAGCTGTCCAGCCTCCACCACAAAAGCACTTGACCGATGAGGAATTGAAACAACAATATGGCATTCACATGACTTCCAGGATTCAAGAGGATTCTGGCGGCACTGAATCGAAATGGGCGGATATCGACGATGATGAAGATGACTGGGCACCAGAGACAATCGAATGGACCGATGGAACAAAGGTCACACTTACTCATAATGATCACCCGCCGCCGCCAGAGGAAATTGCTCAACTGCCAAAGGAAGCGCCGCCGCCGGAGCAACCAGTGGCGGCACAGGAAGCCCCTAGAATAGCTGCACCGAAGCCAACCACCTCTGTGGGGCCGAATCCAACGGTACTCCGGCTTGGAGCGAGTGCCGAGCGGCAGGCCAAGGCTGCAAGTATCTCATCTAGAGGAACAAATGACAGAATGCCGTCGGGGTCGACAAGTCCAGCCCCTCCGCCGGCGAAGTCTCCTTGGGCTGCGCTGCCTCCTGTGGAAAGAGTGTCTCCAGTCAACCCACCTTTGCAACCACCCCCAGTATCGCAGCCCCGCGGTCAAGTCGGTTATCCCCACCGAGAAGATGGCCACCATACCGCATTGCCTCCTCAGGAGATTGCGGCCGATGATTTCAATCGCACTTGGAGAGAGACGACTTCGGGGGCGCCTCGAGAACTATACAACTCTCGATCTGGCCGATATGAGCCTGTGGCAGATAATAGAAGACCTTCATGGCGGCAGGATCAGGGTCCTCGGCCCCCTGCCGTGTTACAGCGACCCAACCATGGTGAACACGCTGGTCCTGCGGAACCGTCAGCGGCATTCCAGACATCTCGATCGAGTCACCAAGAAGGAATGGGCTGGAACCGTCGTCGGACATCGTCGAATGTGAGTGGTGGAAGTGGAAGCTATGGTCGTCGTATGTCCTTCGGTCGAGATGCGCCTCCTCCACGATACAATGATGCTCGGCGAGGCTCTCATGCCAATAATATGGTCGATCCAGCCTTGTTGGGTCGTGAGCCGGGGCATGTTCGTGAAACTTCTCCAAACCGCCAACAAGCCGGTTCAGGCTTGCCTGCACGCCCATCAGTGAGTATGGGTAGTGAACCATCGCCAAAGGAGAACCAGCCGGCTCCAGTTGTGGTACCAGAAGTGCCGCAGGAAGATCCACTTGTTCTACAGGAGCGTATCATGAAGGAGAAGCGACTGGAAGCTAGACAGCGCCGACTAGAACAGGAGGAGCAAGAAAAACAAGCGAGGGAAGAGAGAATTCGTCAGAAGCTTGCGGCGTTGGGACCTCCACCAGAGAAGAAACGCAAGGATAGCATCGATAGTCGCAAACCTCAAGCGCCTACGTCAAATGCGCCTCCTGCTGCATTGATATCTTCACCCCCAAAGCCTCCTGTGCCGGAGCCTACAGGTGCACCTAAGCAGTATGGGATGATGAAAGTTCATCATCCGGATTCTGTGAAGAGAATTGTCGCTGCCAATGAAAGGGATCGTGTTGCTGAAAAGCAGACTGAGAAAACTTCCTCGCCTCACTTGCGTCGTGCTCCTTCACCCCACCATGATTCCTCACAACATGAACCTGCCCCTCCTTCCATCAACCCCCCATCCGCTGAATCTCATCCCCATGACCCCAAAGTTGATGAGCAAGACGGCCAGCAGCGAAATTTGAATGTTTCTAATTCCTACGCTCCTTGGTCAACTGCGCCCAATCTTCCTTCGAATCCTCCTTCAGTGAATAATCTGTGGAAGTCCTTGAGCAGTGACCGTACCCTCGGAAACGGTATCTTTGACCCAAGCCTTGGTGGCTTTCCCTCCCGGGATATCCCACTTCGCAGCCAGCTTGGCCTTGACCAACCCACCATGCCTGCTGGTCAGTCCTTTCCTCCTCAGGATGCAGCTCCGATTCCTTCTTTGCCATCGCCTGAGACCAGACATGTCTCTTACGATCCTCTGAGTCCTATTGGCCGCCCTGGTCCAATTGGGCCACCTAGCTCTCAAAATCCTCAGTGGCAAAACGAGCGAGTGAACGCCTGGAATAACTTTGGTCTCGTCGCCAATAAGCATGAACTCGAAGCAGGTGATAAATTCCGCCAGGAATTCAAGGAAACCCAGAAGCTACGAGAAATTCACCAATCCAATCGTGACCAGCCTGGGAAGCAATCCAACATTAAGCATACATGGAGGAAAGTCGTGATTGGTGAGGATGGAGTAAGACGCACGGTGTCTGTCACTACGAACGACTCTTCTGCTCCCAAGGCTCCTGCTCAACCCCCGCTTAAGCCTGCCGCCGAGCCTGTTGTTGAGACTGCTGTTGAGACTCCCGCAGGTCATACGTGGAAACAAGTCCGAGTCGAAGATGGCGTCAGGCGCCAAGTTGCTGTCCACGCTAACCATAACTCGAAGCCCGCTCCTGCGCCACCTTCGAATCCTTTGAACAGCCTCGAGACTCCCACAGACGGTCTGTCCTTTGCGGATAGCCACGCTCGTTCCCTTGCCAACGTGCCTGCACGCAGCTCACGATTCTTCCCCAACGTGACCGAGCAACCCAGGCGCATCGCAGTGGAGCAAGTCGAGGTGCACCGAAGCCCATCTCCGCCTCCCCCAGAGGAATATTCTCATCCAGTCCATGATAACGGCTCCGGTCGGCCAATGGTTCATTTCCCTCCTGCCAGACCTATTGTCAAGCTACCACCCAAGCCTTTGGCCGCTGCGCCTGCACCTCCCCGCACATTTGCGTCCATGGCTGCGGCACCGCCGCGGACTACTCCCGCCCCGGCTTCCACTTCACCTGCGATGTCTTGGCAAGATAAGATCAACGGTCTTTTCGGCAAGAAGACCTCTCCGGAGAAAAAGAGCGTCCTGGCTGTTGCCTCTGCCACGAAAGAACCTCTTGATGTTCAGCTGTCAGCTTCAGCAGTCTCTGTTTCTCTACCTAGCCATGTTGAAGTTGAAGTTAATGTGCAGAATGGTGATGGAGATCTTGCAGCTCGACAGGTGGCTGAAGAAGAAGCAATCTTTGAGGATCGCGAGCCAGGCTCGCAGCCTGGTGTTCGAGTTCCTCTCATGGCTCCTCCCGCAGCTTGGCACTCCCCGGCCCTTGCCCCCATTGCCCGAACACGGTTTAAGCATATGAAGCCGGTAGGAGTTCAAAGCATTGAAGTTTACATGGTTGGATCCGGTGATAAAGATCAATATGGAAATACTCGCATCCCTGTACTATTTCCTGGTCAAGAGACCGGTCAAACTTTGCTCATGCTTCGAAAGAATCGTTCCAATCAGCAGCGTCCACGCCACCCCTCTAACCCAAAGAACACTCGCAAGGGCCCCAAGCCGCGCGATGGATCTGGATCCGGGGGATCGACCTGGAACAAGAAACCCTCTTCGTCCCAGCAGAACAATGCTCCGGCCTCTTCCCCTCGTCACCCATCTCGTAATGCAACCTGGGGTCCCCGCGACCAGAGTGGCTCGCAGTAAGATGTCATCATCTTTTTTTGTCTTTCGGGGTTTCTTCAGCGGAGAGGAGTTGAAGGCGTCTTCTCCCCATTTCGGCTTCTATGACTGTGAACATCATGTCTGGCATCAATACCTACTCGATGCTCTTTCCAGCACTACCCCATTGCTTCAACACACACCCGAACCATGATTTTGTGATTTCTCCATGCCTTTGATATCTCCGTTCGCCGTGGAAAACGTTGAGTGCAGCATTGGAATACAGAGCATTCTCTCCATTCTCTATCCTTCCGACACCCCCCTTTCTACAATATCCCGCTTTCTTCATGTGTGTACTTTTGTGTCTCCAAATTTTCTTTGCATGCCCCGGAATCTGGCTGTGTGAAGTGGAGTGTGATTGATACCGAGGTTCCGAGGGCACCGGTGTTCTTTACCTTTTTCGGTGACGGAAACGGGTATCCATTTCCATGAGCAAACCCCTTTGCGGGAAATGAGCTTCTTGCGACTACGTCTGTCGAGAAAATCGTCTTTTAAATCGGGGTGCGAATGGTGGAACTCCTCTCGTGTATCTTATCTGCTCCCAATCTCTCCCAAGATGTTACTTCGACTCTTACCCACGCACTTGTTTTCCCATACTACCAAGATTACCCATGGGCCGGGTTGTGTTTTGTATCATGCAGCCATAGCAATTGACTTTCTCAAAGTCGAGTTCTACCTCCATTTTGTTTCGCAAAACCACTATTATAGATACATTGCCAGACCCGAGAAAAGTCCAGCTTGTCATAGGAAAGAGATACCCAACCAAAACGCCACCTTAATCACCCAAACACCATTAAAAAATCCCATCTCCTGGTCATGCATATCATTACCACCACCTAACACCGCCTGGAATCCCTGATAGAAGTAGCAAAATCCTCGAGTCGATGTTTGCGCTTCTTACCAGTTCCAGGTCCGACTGGAGGCAGTGAACACCGGAGGCTTCCACTGTAGACGAGCGGGGTCGATCCTTCGAGCACCTTTCACCTTTTCTTTTTCCAGGCGCTTATTGTGTTCTCCAACGGCGTAGTCCGTAAGTACAATGACCCAGTTTCCTTTCTAGAGCGAAGTTAGCATTCAGCCGAGCAAGAAAAGAACCAAGACGGAAGATTGAGGGGAATTTAGATAGAAAACGCACATGGTATCGAAGCATATTGAAGACAACCAAAGTCTCGTGCACATCCTTCTCGGTCATAGCGGTAAGAACGGCCAGTTCATTTTCACTCATAGCCTCGCGACCCGGCTCAATCAAGAGTTCAACAAGTGTCTCACGCCAGTACTGACGATAACCGAGAAGACCTAGATCACTGAGTGGTTTTTCGGGAGATCCGAGCTTGTTTTCACGCTTGCTAAGCTCGTAGCTGAAGGAGATCAACAGCCGACCGAAACCACGGCGCTGGTACTGCGGGAGCGTTAGGATACAGGCCAGATTGTAGCCCTCGGCAGAGTCTTTTTCCTTGGAGAAGTAGCCGACGAGATGGCATCCTGTTTCGTCGCGAGTGCACATGCAGTAGAACATGAAAGGGTCGACGTCGTAGTAGAGAGTCTTGTGATCGAGGAACAACTTGCTGAGAAGACATAGGTTTCGGCACCAGGTGCGTTGTCGACGACCGTCGACCTCGAAGAAAGAGATGTTGTCATCACGGTAGATCTCGTTACCGGGGGGGTGGACGAGGGTGCATTTTGCGCGATGACGCTCAAAAGAACGCTGGTTGTCGAAGTAGCTGAGGCAGAACTCGTCAATGTAGACCAAGTCTACATCTGAGAAGGAATCTGGATACGGTGAAAAGTACCAGGGTTCGATGTCGTACTTGCCCATTTGAAGACGGGTCAGGTTGCGGACTCGGTGGATCTCAGTTGGGTTTTGTGTCATACTACCGCTGGTGCGGAGTCGCTCGATCTCTTCTCCGCGGGAGATGACCTCACCAGAGACTGTCTTAACCTCGTCTTCCTTGAGATCTTGGGCGTCTGTCATATCTACATCCTCTGAATCCACCGCTTTGGGTGTATCAGCGGCGGATGCCGCCTCCGATGGGAATAGAGATGCATCGCCGGGTGTCTGGACATCAATGTTCTCTTTTCCACCAGCCTTTGATGGCCGGTGACTCTTGTCAATATTGAGGTTTTTGCCACCCAGAGCATCTGGTGTCCCGGAGACTTCACGGCTATCAGCACGGGGGCGTTTCTGGACATTCTTGCTGGGGGCAGCCTTGTTTGCGGCGCCAGACTTTTTCTTCTCCGACTTCTCTGGCTGAGGCCACTCAACCTCACAGGAGAGATCAATACGAGAGGCATGAATCCACTCTGTGATATTTCATTAGTATTTCGCATTTTCCATGACAAGTGAGCACCCGTTCGGGACTGGAATTAACATACCGTCAAGACGCTTGTTGAAATCAACATAATGTACACTATCGTTCCCATTAGTCTATTTGACTCAGATGTGTACTTTGGTTTCACATACTAGAATGACGGCCCATCTTTGCGTTGCCTAATAGACAGAATTTCGGCTTTGCGAAGCTCACCATCCTGTAGTCGCGGTCAATATCATATCACGTGACATGGCACCAGAGTCTGCACCGAGGCGACTCACCTTCTGCACCATAGCCTTCACACCGATCCTATCGCACCAGTCAGTATATGCGACCGAGAAAATTTGAGTTTGAAGGCTGGAAAACAATTTATGCTTCCATTTCACCTTGTGGGTAGACTTACCTGATAGTGTTGAGGGTAGCGAACCCCTTCTCGACGGGATCGGGCGTCCCCGTCGCCTCACCGTGGGAGTCCCGGACGCCCATAGTGGTCAGCTGTATGCCGGTGTGGGCTCAGTCTGGCTGGTGAATTTGATGAGTTCAATGCGATACTCGATGGAGTGAGGTTGATGGTCGTGGCGAGGAGGCGGATCGATGATAGAGATTAAGTAAGCGGGAGCCGCATCGGGTCATCCATGGATCAGGAACAAGTATGATCTTGTTACTCTTGCTTCTGTGGAGATAATTTACTTCAAATTTTGCACAAATGTCTCTAGTGAAGCCTCTGCTATAGTGTGAAGTGGAAAGACTTGGACCAGAAAAGGTGAGCTCCAGCCCTACTCTCATACTCCCTCAGGAACATCCAACTAGAAATACTACAACCATGCCATCGTCTGACCCCGCAAGGCTAATGGGGAAAGCCATTCCTATGTACAGGGCTTCTCGAGATATAGTTCATGAATGTAAGGATGAACCTTCAACTTGCTTTCCTTAACTTTTTATCTTTAGCTTGTTTATCAATGGACTCCTATAAAGAGAAAACAAATGCCAACATCTCCAGTACAACCTTCATGTCTCCCAACTTCAATGAGAATCCAACGCCAGACACCTTGCAAACTAGAAGTCCAAGGGTAAAGAAAAAATGCGGGAAGGTTTTGTCTTTTAATCATTATTCTTCGAATTTCCGCTTCATACCACCTCCATTCATGGGTGGCCCTCCACCCATACCCGCTTGTCGCTTTTTCCAGGCAGCTTTAATAGCTGGCGCCAGACGAATAAGATCATCTTCTGTGACGCGGTCCTCAATACTCTCCAAGACCTTCTCGACAGTTGAAATATGATTTGCATCGTTCTTATCATCACGCAGGCGATGGAAGCGCCAACGGGCGTTCTCATCTTTGTAGCATTCCACAATAGCATCATCTAACGGGACACGCATGGCTTTCAAATCCTCCCATTCTGCGGGTGTGACATACATCTCGGCGAAATGGCGGTATTCACCCGCGTTTAGCATAGCGAAGAGGTGGAAGATTGGGATGGCGTCGTAGTCGGGGTAAGGTTCTGAGATACCTTCCGCTTCGTCGTCGGTATCTGGTTCAAGAATTGGAAACTCGAGACGCACGCGGAAATCAATTGTATTTTCGGCCGGGGGCTTCCACTTGAGGATATGCTCGTCTGTGCCAATACGATATGGTGTGCTTCGGCATGTGAAGATGAGGCCGTCATTTCCGTGAATTTGTTTCACCGCTGGGATGATCTCGCGGAACATCATCTCAATGCCGTAGCTGACCTGTGTGGACTTGTCTTCGACAGCGAAAGCGCGGTGCTGTTTTTCCTCGGGGAATTTGCGGTACATCGCATTATATGGTTTTAGGACCTTCTCTTTGAAGTATGCGAGTCGCTTGTCGAGTGTGCGGTGCATCAGACTCTGTCCATCAAGCACAAGGCAATCAAAGACCAGGTATTTGAGTTGTTGGGAGCCGTCCTCGTAGATGTCATTGACCAGCTCGCCGTCTACTAATGTATCAACGTGGTATGATTGGAAGGTATCATCGTTTGGCAACGGGAAGTGTAGGCCTGGTACGAAGCGATAGTCGTTCTTGCGATCGATCAGGTAGTGAATTTCCGGTGACTCGGACTCGGGATCGCCGCGCGCAAAATACATCAGGCACCGGATGCCGTCTGTCTTCTCACAAACATAGTAATCTTCTTTTTGGAGCTCCACCAAATGTTTTGCAGAAAAGCTGACAGGTTGTGCGCCGGGGAAATTGAGGTTGGTACGTCCGAGGAGTTGGGCGACTTCGCGACGGAATTGGTCTGCTAGGTCGTGCTCGGCTTTGATGCCTATTGCATCGAGGTCAGGAACGGAGTGACTCATTGTGAGCTGTCGAGTCAAACGTAAGTATCAGCTGTGGTCGTTTATTTGCGACGGTTCTGTGGCAATCCCGGGGCTGCGAAGGCTGCTGGCATCAAGGTGGGAGCACGAGGAAACTAGGAAGCTCAATGCGACTTGTAGAGGTAGGTGACCGGCACGCGCACCACACAGTTGATGTAAGTGTGGGGTTTATCACACGTGACGATTGGGTAAAGAGCTCAAATGAGCATTAAAGATAGGCTTGCATCGCGGATTGTGTCAAAGACATGATCGACAGAGCTGGATAGATGTCTTTCGACACCTCAGGCTCCAAATATCACATAATCAACGCACCAGTTGATCCTGGCATGTACAACTACACAGATCAGACTATACTTATAAAGTCATAATTAAGCTCAAAATGAGCATCAAATGTTCATTGAGGTTATTATTTGCGAGTTTTTCACGCCAGTAACCGGGGTATCATGTCATCACTGAATCAAAAACAAAAAAAGCAACCTGTTCCTTACCATCCATGGTCAGGGACATCAAAATGAGGGCAAATGACAAACAAACCAGGGTATGCACAGGTTCTTGTGTCTTGTGCCTTGAACGCCAAAATCTGCATCGGGGAATCGCGTAAGGCTGAGGCCTGGAAAACAAACATTGACGGAGATAGTCATTAAATCATCACTTGGTGCTGTTCAAGACGCAACACCAACAGGTGTTTTCCGCACACCTTGGACGGGGGTCTTTCTCGATCCATCCACAGACATGGAACCATCACCAGGGTCAGCATTGGGGATCAGGGGGGAAGATGAATCCATCTCGGGGTCGAATGGTTGGAATAGGCTTCCACCAAACAAAGGCTGGCTGTCATCAGTGGAGAAAAGACCCCCACCTCTCCCACCAATCGCGTGTAGCATTTGTTCTTTGATGCGGACATATCGGTATTTCGTGCTCGAGGTTATGAGGGTATGTTCAGCGAGGGGCTTGGGGTTGGAACGGGCAATGGCGGCCATGACCTGATCTCTCTCTTCGTCCGAATCAACCGGACCGTTCGTATCAACTTCGTCTTGGAGCGGGGCATTGGCATCGATCGCGGCTTCTGTAACAACAAATAAAAAGATCACAGTCAATCATCTGGGTCATACTGTGAGTCCGTAGGGGGAGTGAGGAGCTTCTTGCAAGCCTTCTTGGGTGGCTTCTTCGGGGTTTTCTTGAGGGGTTTCTTTAAAATAGAACGAGATGACATACTCTGCTGGCGAGCCTGATTCTTCTTCTGATATTGCTGAAGTAGCATATCATATGGAAGAGATCGGCCGGGGACGGCGCGCTTGGCGCCCATCGAATGACTCTTGCAAGTGAGAGAACGAGCGCACTGCGCACCGTTGGGCAAGGTCACACCACACTGCTTCTCAACATCAACAGGACCCTTAGGCTTGGCAGTCTTAGCCTTGGGCTCATCCTTCTTTTTCTTTTTCTTGGGCTCCTTGTTATCATCCTCATCTGCCTTTCGCTTCTTGCCCTTCTTGGTCCCGTCCTCGGTGCCCTTGACAGCGCTCTTCTTGGCACTCTTTTGTCCCTTCATTGCGTCTTCACCAAAGTCGACCTTGTCACGGATATCGTCGTCGTCTTTGCCGTCCGTGACCTTGGCCCTATTCGCTGCGTCACGAGCTTCCTTCTTCTTGCGGGCCTTCTCTTGCTTTGCCTTCAGGCAACCACGAATATGCTCTGGGGCGGACGATTTCAAAATGGGCCGTTTGCAATGCTTGCAGATAACAGTTTCGAGCAGATCTTCCTCGCGCGGTCTACCAGTCGGGAAAGACATGGCAAGCTTGTCGTCTAACTTCGGCAGAGGGGATGTAGGTGAAGAGTCAACTGGTCCATCCTTCGTATCTGTAGCAGTACTTGTCAGCTCAAGAAGCTGGGATCATTGTATCCGATCAGATTGTACCGTCTGCCTTCTTTTTGGTCGAGGCCTTGGAGGTCTTTTTCACCTTCATCTTGCCGGGCTTCGTATCCTTCTCCGTGAACTTGTAGCCCGAGGCATCCACCAAGCTTCCAGAAGCTATTCTCACACGGCACAATTAGTACATGTCATTTGTATGCATCTGCGACCGGCTTATTTGCAGTTCGAGGCGCGGGTGCTTGTTTGTCACGCTCGCAAAGCGGGTGCGCTTACCTCGACCGGAGTCGCCGTTCGTCGCCATTGTGAGCGCGGATGTGGAGTGTTCCAGACACGGTAATTCGCGCTATGTTTTTTTCAGTAGTTTCGGGGTCTTCGAGTTGGATACTGTCAGGGGTTTTGTGTTCATATAGGACTCTTGAGATGGAAGGACGGGCTGGGGCTCCGCATTTGGATAAAGTCACGTGAATCCCCATTCACTACTCAGCGACGCAGCATATGGAGTCGCATGCACTGTATTTTGATTGAATTGGGTTCTACTAATGCCTAGCTAATCATCTGACAGTTAATACTGATGGAATATTACATTGGGGAAAAGTCACCTATTGTGTGCTATAGGATCCCCACCTCCGTCATACTTCAAGATTACGATATCGTACATGTCAAGCCCGTTCTGTCCAAAGTTATTTTTCATGCCTTGCAAAGCAAAGACTGCTGTTCGTCCCCCCAAAACCAAAGCTATTTGTCAAAGCCACATTGATCTGTCTTGATTGTGCATGATTCGGGGCATAGTTGCAGTCAAACCCATCAGCAAGACGATCTAAATTGATAGTAGGCGGCATAACATTCTACTCTAGTTAGCATATCAATCCAACAACAACATGAGCTTATACAATACGCACATCCTGAATTGCAAGAGTAGTGAAGACCGCTTCAACAGCGCCGGCGCCGCCAAGAAGGTGACCAATTGCGCCCTTTGTACTGCTAATATTCACATCTTCCGCCTTTTGCTTGCCCTCTGGACCTAAAAGAAGGGACTTTATAGCTGCATTCTCAGCTGCATCTCCCACAACAGTGGAAGTCGCATGGGCATTAACGTAGTCGACTGCTGAGGGGGGTAATTGAGCCTGTTTGAGAGCCTTTTTCATGGCCATGAATGCACCCTCGCCGTTCTCTTTCGGTGCTGTCATGTGGTGTGCATCACTGGAGCAGCCATATCCTCTAAGTTCTGCATAGATATGTGCGCCTCGTGCGCGGGCATGTTCCAGTTCCTAAGCTTGTTTAGCGATGAAAGATAGTCAGAACAGCCATGGGGCATACCTCTAGGATGAGTACACCGGCACCTTCGCCAACAACAAACCCTTTTCGATCAGCATCAAATGGCCGCGACGCCTTCTCCGGATTATCGTTGAAGTCAGTGGCTAGACTTCGAGCCCGGGCAAAGCCACCAACGGCAAGAGGATGAATGCATGATTCGGCTCCACCAGCGACCATTACATCGGCATCTCCGCATGCAATGAATCTTGCTGCGTCGCCGATTGAATGAGCACCGGTAGTACAAGCAGTTGTCGCAGCATGATTTGGTCCCTTGGAATAATTAGCAAAGCACACCGTGTACTTGACTTGTTACATACCATAAATCCATACTTCATTGAAATGTGGCCAGCACCAAGGTTGATCAACAACTTTGGCACAAAGAGCGGGTTTACTTTTTTATAGCCCTGAGATCCGTCAGCGGCAAGTTTGTATGTCTGTTCGCAACATCAAACTTACGCCCTTTTCATATGCGACAACAGTGTTGTAAATCTCATCAAAATTGCCAATTCCAGATCCAAGACAGACTCCCTAACACAAATCAATTTGAATCCCAATCAAAGCCTAATCTGAAGGGCTCCCTTACTGTTGCTTCTCTCTGCTCGAACTCAGTCGGCTTCCAGCCCGCATCTTGAAGAGCCTCTTCCGTGGCAGCCATAGCATACTGGGCAAACATGGCCATTCTGCGCTCATCCTACACACTATCAGTATAAAAGACATCAAATAGAATCACAAGGATAGTCTTGTTTCAAGACTTACACCACGACTCAACCATTCAGAAGCCGTCCACCCGCCATCCTCTCGACTCCCCTCTGGCACAACAGCAGCAATCTGACACGGCTGTTCCGCAAAGCGCTCATCTCGATGATTCACATTCACAATACCACAATGGCCATCCAGCAAGCGCTTCCAGGTCCGCCGAAAACCTACAGTATAAGCAGGTTAGCTCATCCACAAATGAACATCAACTTGCCGATCACTCCAATCACATCTGCACCCCAGATCAAGTAGACTGTTTACTGCAGGCCGAAAATGCGGTCTCAAGTCCGCTGGGCCAAGCATTTGACGTGCCGTCATTGGCTGTCAGGACCTTCCCCTTCCAGCCTGTGGAGTCGCGCCCACCAGATTTTGTCGCGCGCAAGTCCGGGGCAGCAGTAAAGACCCTCTAGCACACCGAAGAGTACCCAATATTCCATTGGACTCAATTAACAATTTATTGCATTTTCCCGGACTCGTAATAAAGCAGAGAAGAAAAGCAAAATACGTACCAACTCCCAAAGGTGTCACGGCACCTAAACCCGTAACGACAACACGACGCATGGCATCCCGCTGCTCAGATCAGATCAAAGGTAGTTACTGCCGAAGAAGTTGGAGAAGAATACCTAGTAAGTCAAGCCAAGAAGGGAAGGTCTGCACGACTCTGGTTCCACCGATTGGCGGGCGGAGAGAGGCGGGGCGCTATCTGCTCGTCTTTCCTTCTTAGATGATTAGATAATTAGATAAAGCTCTCTGATTTAGGAAGTTCCGCGGAGATTCTGGTAGAAATAAAAGCGATTTCTATATCGGTTTTCCTCTTCTTTTTCTTTTTCTTTCTTTAACTACTGGGATCTAGCAATTTTTCACATGCCTGCCTTGAAGTCCTTGTTGAGCGTGCTAGCGCTGGCCGGTACTGCGGTATCTTGTGCCCACCACGGTGATAGCGAAGTTGTGCCCGAACATGAGCGCGCGGAATTACTCAAGAAATGGGATCAGGAGGTATGTCAAATCAAACTACACCGCACAGCATAACCCAATTGCACAGCCAATGTCTAACATTATATAATCCAGTGGTCCTTCTCCGGCATTGCCAGCTTCGCCCATCTCCGCCCCGTTAAGTGCCTAGTCGAGCCCTCGGAGCAGTATGATATCGCAATCATTGGCGCCCCCTTCGACACAGCCGTAAGCTACCGACCAGGTGCTCGGTTTGGTCCCCGCGCTATCCGCGCAGCCAGCGCACGCCAAATGTCCGGTACGAGCTACAACACGCGTGCGGGTATTAACCCGTATCAGTCGTGGGCGAAGATTACCGACTGCGGCGATATCCCGATTACGCCATTCGACAACGGTCTTGCCGAGCGCCAGATGTATGAAGCGTTCCTGGAGCTCGGATCGCGGAAGGTGGTGAACCAGGCTCCGAAGGGTGGTGATAGCATTGGTGCTGGACATCCCAAGCTGGTGACCCTTGGTGGTGACCACAGTGTTGCTTTGCCTGCTCTGCGTGCTCTGCATAAGATCTACCAGAAGCCGATTACGGTTCTGCACTTTGATGCGCATCTTGATACGTGGAATCCTGTGCGGTATAGTGCGTACTGGCAGTCTGAGCAGACGCAGTTTAACCATGGAAGTTTCTTCCACAAGGCTAGTCGGGAGGGATTGATTTGTAACTCGACTTCTGCACATGCTGGTTTGCGGACACGATTGACTGGTGTTGATGATGGGGATTATACCAACCCCGGTCCTGAGCAGGGATTCATTCGTATTCATGCGGATGATATCGATGAGCTTGGTCCTATGGGTATTGTGGAGACTATTATGCAGCGCACTGGTCTTGATCCTGAGCAGCCGGTTTATCTGTCTGTTGATATTGATGTTCTGGATCCGTCGACTGCGCCTGGTACTGGTACCCCCGAGCCTGGTGGTTGGACTACGCGCGAGTTCATTCGTATTCTCCGCGGGTTGGAGAAGTTGAATCTGGTTGGTGCCGATATTGTCGAGGTCTCGCCTGCGTATGATAATAAGGGTGAGACTACCGCTCTGGCTGCGGCGCAAGTCGCATTTGAGATCATTACCAGCATGGTCAAGTCTGGTGTCAAGGAAGAATTGGGTGGCTGGTATGGACGCCAGGACCTTGAGGACACCAAGGATGCCGAGATCGAGGTCGAGGTCGAGGCAGAGTCTGAGGTTGGCAAGGATGAGCTGTAAATTGGCGCAGTATTTAGATACGAGAAATATGCCGTATGTAGACGATGAATGAATGCCCATGTCATGCCAATGTCCAAATGGTAGTAACTATCTTATTTCTAACCGGGAACCAGTCATGTCGATCTATAAGCCCATCTACAACCACCCCTAGCGCAAAGAATCATCAGAGAATTGTCATTGGGCTGTTCACTGTCTGCGACGTTCTAAGGTTCAAGATAATTTTGCGCAATTCAGAAGCATGGGCGCGAAGGATAAGACCAGGCAGATGACAATAAAGAGAGATTCGTATGAGAAAAAAAATCAGAACGGTAGAGGAAACGTAAAAAATGAAACGCGTGCGACTCGATTTCGCGGGAGAAAGTTGCAGCAAGCTCATATTCATATTTCCGAGCAAGGTCGAGGGAAGAATCGAGTAACAGTGACGGAAATCCATCAACCCAAAAGACACGACGCCCTGTCCAACGCCGATAGACGATGAAAAAAAGTTGCAAGTGGAAGGATAGAATGGAAGATCGGAAAAATCGGAGGTACACGAAAAGCGGAAGGGAAGTTCGAAACTCGTGGTCGCTGTAGGTCGTGAAGGAGAGGAAGTAGAAATGGAGGGCGAAGCTATGGTGGGATCAATAGCCGCATAGCCATGAGAAAGGAACTAAAGAGAGGACGATCGCGACCAGAGCATGACCGGGTTGAAGTCGAGCAAACGGAAGTCACAAGCTGGAAATCATGAAGGGTCATTGAAAAAGTAACACTTCACGTAACGCTAGCCCATAACATAGATCCGATTTTGCAGTGGATATCCCAGTGAAAGTCCCAGCCAAATAGCCCTCCCAACATGAAAGAGAAGAAAACAAAGAAAACAAAACAGATTCATTCCATCGTATCTGTGGTTTCTGTCGCAAAACGACGAGCCGTCATGGTAACCCGTCTCGCAGAAACCACCCTGTGAAAACTGTCTATGATTGCTCACAGCAGGAGGCAACCCCGAGATTTCTTCTTAGGGGCAGGCTCCAGGGCAGCAACAATAGCCTAGGTCAAAGTTAGCAGTGAGCGATATATCAAGGCAAGGATGAAATAGGGAGGAATATCCCCCCCTATCCTGCCACAAAAATCGCAAGATTTATCCTACCTCGTCAAAAACATCCTTCAACTTGTACTGTGTCAAAGCAGAGCACTCGACGTATTTCACAGCACCAAGCTCCTTGGCCATCCGGTCGCCATCCTCCTTACGAATGGGTTGCATCTTCTGGCGGGCCAACTTCTCACGCACGTTGGCATCATCGCGCAAATCAGTCTGCGTACCAACGATAAGGCAAGGAACACCGGGACAGTGATGGTGAACTTCAGGGAACCACTTTTCGCGAACGTTCTCGAACGAGGCGGGCGAAGTCACGGAGAAGCAAACGAGGAAAACGTCGGTCTGGGGGTACGACAACGGGCGCAGACGATCGTAATCTTCCTGACCGGCGGTATCGAAGAGACCAAGAGTGTAAGGTTCATCGCCGATCCTATCAAAATATCGCGTAACGTTAGAATTTCAGGAGTTCACTTTTTTTTCCGCAGCTTATTGCCAGCTTATTCCCGTATATCACCATGAGGGGGGAGATCGACAAAAACTTACATCACAGTCACGGCATAGTTGTCAAAGACGGTGGGAACATATTCCGAAGGAAACTTGTTGGTTGTGTACGAGATGAGCAGACATGTCTTTCCGACAGCACCGTCCCCCACCACGACACACCTAGAGGTCGGGGTTAGTCTAAGAAACCGAAAGAGGGGGCGCGGGCGCCTCTCGGCAGGGGGATTTACTTGATTGTAGCGACAACCATTTTTGTGAGCACCGGTGAACCAGGGTGATGGTAATTAAGAAAAACGGAAGAATGGAGAAATGGGGAGAATGAGGGGGGAGGAAAAGGCGGACTGTGGGAGACAAAAAGGGAGGGAGAGAGAGCAGCTGTGGTCTGGATTGAATGGGGCAACCCGCAGAGCAGATGGAGTCTAGACAGGTGCTAGTTCTTATGAGATACGCGGCCTGTACCATTTCTTTCAATGTGGTATCTTTGATGGTAGGTTTGATAATTAATTATAAATAGCATTTCACTACTATTCTTCACTTTTTTAAAAGAATCACTAATGACTACAGACCTCAGTTGAACTGCGATAGCTGGTACGGCAAATACGGGTCGAGGGTCACGCCAAGAAACGGTATCAAAGAAAGTCCTCGATGTCACGGCCACCCGCTGTCGGCTAAGCGCTGTCCACAAAATGGGACTGTACCAATTTGACATGTCCTTCATTTAAAGTTGATTTAATTCTAATTCATGTAAAATAATACGAATGTAACAGATAACACTGACTCACCCTATGGAACAAGCTGGATACAGTACAAAACCAACTTGATTTGGAACTAGCATTAATTACCTCAGCATAACTAGCTCCATTGACCACCCGCAGCTATGCATTACTAGTGAAGCTACCGGAGTATTTCTCCAAATCTGAATTCTATGCAAACCCAAATTATATCACTTAGGAACTTATAAACCATAACCCTTTATTTATCCAATAACAAATAGAGTACTCCATCCAATCCCCAACTTGCATATTTCCCCATGCATACACAAAGCCCACTCAAGCCCCAGGCTCTAAAAAAGCCACCACCCAATTTTTGATTGCTGTACCGCTCCGAAACGGTATGCCCCCTCAAAGAAAATCCCCAGACACGCTAACCTCAATTCTGTTGTCCACACCGCCCCTGTCATTTGAATCGTCTCGGATTTTCGGCAATCACCTGCACACCGATAGATAACGTCAATTTTCGATGGAAAGCTTTGAGTTGGGTAGCTAGTAGATCAGGATCAGGCTCAGGTATAGCCCTATGCTATTTACAGTAGCTAAGGATAAGCCTACATATGCACAACGCACAGTAGTATCGTACTCAAAGCATTGTTCTTATGCAGTACCTCCCCGGTAACCCTTAAATCGAGATTAGCTCCAAGCTTCGTCTTGGCACGGGTCGGCCCTGTTATGCACCTGTATGTCAGGGGTGACTGGACCAAAGTTTCCAATATGGTCATATGAACTGTGGAGGTCAAAAATTTGATTCCTTATCACTTGGGCAAGTGGCAAAAGGGTTGGGAAATACGCAACGGTGCCATGAAGTTTTCGGTAGATTACCATATCCTATGATAATTTTGGGAAAAAACAAAAAGAAATGCGCCGACGGGGACTCGAACCCCGGTCTGCCGCTTGGAAGGCGGCAATGATAACCCCTACACTATCGGCGCTGTTGATGTAATACTATCAGGTTATTAGATATAGATACAAAGCGAAATTCGCTGAAAACAATAGAGTTTAATATATACATGACGTGACGTTTTCCAAAGTTGACGCAAATATTAGCGGGACATTCTCAGATCAAACCTATGTTATTTAGTTCAGTACCTAGGTGGCTCTAGTATCTTGAGATCTAATTTTTCAGCTCATCGTTGTTGGGTAAAAGACTCGGTGACGCTTGAAGATGGACGGTGCACCAAAATATATATCACATATCGTCCCGCTACCTACTACTAGGTAATTGTAGAACTCCCATGTAAACGACTTTGAAACACCATACATTATTTGTTTCAAGGTTAGAATCCTTCACTCGCCTATCATCTCCAGGTTCTGCCTGCCATTGATTTACATGAGAATTAGATTCTTATCAATCCACGACTAGTAGCCGCGCCCAAATTGAGGAAACGAAAATTGCCGTACATATTGAAAGTAATAATTATCGGGCCCCAACGGGCTGACCCTAACATTAAGTTTGATGGCACCCACAAGGCTATCAATTTCCTCAACATGTTGTCCAACACCTGAGCGATCAGTACCACTGATCTCCATATAAAAAAATGGGGAGAGGGTAATGGCTGATCGATGCACCTGCCCATGAATCCTACTTATATACGAGGACATGATGAATGCCAAGGTGGTTGGATTGATAGATGAAGTTCAGAATCATAAATCAAAGATGGAATATGGAACTTCAAATGGTGATTGAGAATGGAGGATGGAGGAATAAGATGAAGAGTGAGGTATTTATAGGCGGGGCGAAGAGTAAGGGGTGTTCCAAATCACTCACCTAGAACCTATCACAAATATCGTCCTTAGACGATACGGCTCAATTTTGACTTGATCAAACTGGCATGATCAATTATTTCATTTGAAAACACCTAAAGTCCAACGAACCAGGTTCATTCTCGAACACTTGTCTATTTCTAATCAACGCCAGATGCAAATGAATCGAAATGATTCACGTCAAGATGATATGGAATTCCAATATGAAAACAAACGCCGGCTTGCTGAGGTTGTTCAATGCAGTGGAACGAGTCCATGAGAATGACGATATATCCAAGGGCAAGAAAATAAATAACAGGTCATACGGTCGTAGCTTTCGTGGACATGGCTAGCCATGCACAGGGACATAATCCTAGATTCGTTTATGATGTGGGTCATCGGTATCAGCTTCAATCTCAGGTGGAGTCTCGGCTCCATCGCTATGGCTACTAGGGCTCATCTTCGACGTGTCAGTCATCTGTTTAGATAATCCACATCATTGGGAGTGCTTACCTTGTCCAGCTTGTAGTCCACCATAACAAGACTCAGTGGGATAAGTGGCAGCGTCACAATGATGGCGAGTGTTAGGAGGCGGTTCATGGTTTCCTGGTAGGCGCGATTGATGGCTATGCGAGTTGGAGATCCCACGGGGTACTCCAGGGCTGTTGTCAGCTTGCCGAATATCTCGCCAGCGTGGGACTTGGTCTCCTCAGGTAAGTACTGCATGAGCTTCTGAGGAATCATATGAGTCCAGACGGCTCCGGATATGGCGGCGCCGACGGCACCGCCCATTTCCATGGAGGTGAGGAACATTGCGGTGGCTGCGGCAACTTCCTGGTGGCTTGCAGACGCCTGGACGCCGAGTTGGACAGGAACGTTGAGCAAACCACCACCGCAGCCTACGAGAACTTGGGTGCCCAGAACTTGTAAGTGGGAGGCACCTTCTTGGCGGCACATCAGCATCAATGCAAGGCCAGTCATATAGATAACGCAGCCAATGGTTACAAAGATCCGGTACCGGCGGGTATATTTGATGAGAAGTGATACGGTGAATGCTGCAATGGTCGAGGTGAATGCGAAGGTCTGCGTGACACGACCAGCGGTGGCCACGTCGTAATTCTGAACGACCTGAAGGTAGGAGTAAAGGTATGGTTGAACGGAAAAATAAAAAGCCACTAAAACTGATGAGCCGTGAAATTGTCCTGCGGTGATGTATCAGACTCACTGAAGTACCAAAATGCCAAGGCACAACCAGCAAGGGCGGTCCGTTGTTTGAGTAGATGAAGAGAAAGCAGAGGTTTGGGCGCTAATTTCTTGGATGATTCATACAATGGGGTAGCAACCAAGCAGAGAACACCAACGACCATCATGACAATGATACTAGGGGACTTCCATCCATTTTTGGAGCTGGCCGCCAGGGTCAGAGGTACCAAAAGTAAGGTGACCGCCGCAGATAACAGTGTCAGTCCACCAACATCCAGGTCGTACCACGTTCGTCGAATAGCGCTAAATATGCCTCTCCGACGTCTCGCCTTTGTCGGCTTAATTAAATTCAATCGCTGAGCCTTGCGTTGATTCAAAAGCAGCGAGAGGGCTAGAGGCAGAAAAGCAGCAGGCAAGATAATTGCCCACATACCGTAGCCCCAGCGCCATGATGAGGACTGAAGCACAGCCCCTGCAATGGTCGGCCCCAGCCAAACAGTTATCAAAAACGGAAACTCCGGGAGGAGAGCCAGAAATGCACGATTCAGAAGGTCACTGCTATCAGCGATGAAAACTTGCTGTAGGATCTGCAGACCCGTTGAGCCAGCAGAATAGAATATCTGTGCCGAGGCATAAGTTTGTACGTTGGTGGACGCGGCCATTTGAATATAGCCCAGAATATATATAATGATACTGAGACAGAAGGCCTCAAAGCGACCGAACACATCGGCAACCTTTGCCATGGGTGGCTTGATCACCGCTAAAGGCAGTTAGCGGCCCGTTCGCAGGTAGTCATATCAACTGATACATACCGTTGACTACATTCTGTATCACAAGAACAGTGGAAATCAATGAATGCTTGCTAAAAGCACTGGTAGCATACGCCGACAATGACATGACCGTCTGGCCCTCCAGGGACGTGCAGAATGCCATGAGGAATATACTTTGTGCCAAGTCAGCAAGGTCACTGGGTTTGGCTGCAAGCCACAACGAACCTGACGTAGGCGATCATTAAAGATCTGGTTGTCCAAGTCATATTTATCGCCTCGATTTTCCGTACACCTTCCTGTGCTTCGCCCATAGTCGAGACATCGCTGGGATCGCCCTCGGTCTCGTAGCCATCCTGCAGCAACTGATCCCGTTCATAGTCCATACTCGGTATTTCCTGTGGTATAGCACCGTAGGAAGGACCGTCGCGCGCGTCGAGAAGTGGCATGACCACCGAATAAAGAAATCAAGATAAACCGACTCGGGCCATACGCTTAATCAAAGCTTTGGATGGAAGAAACCATACACACAGAGGCGGCGATCTCGATAAGAATCAAACAATGAGTAACCGCACAACCATTTAAAGGGGAGTCCAAGCAACATAGGAAGCGAGGGGCGTATCACACAAAAGGGGATGGTAATCCTGCTTTGACTAAACACCGCTTGGGCACCGGCTGAGTTGGGGCCGACCTGAGCCAGTCAGATCCGAGGGGGAAAATGGAAAACACGACAGCAAATCAAGTCGATCAGGGGGGTTAAGCCAGCCCAAAAGAAATGGGGACAAAAAAAGTCACACCAAGTTTCAAAATCAAATCAAATCAAACCAAATATGGAGCACTCGGCGCAAAGGAGCAAGAGCAGGCAAGCGCGGTAATCGATTATATGGCCATAGATGGTTACCAAGCCCGGAATCCACTTGGAGTAAATCAGGAGGGTAGATCCGCCTGTATGACTCTTTTTTTCTTTCTTTTTGAAGGAAAGAGGGGCAAATGTAAGGGACAAGAGGTCAGCAGGGAAGAACAATGTTCATCTCCCATGAGTAGCACGGCGGGATAAGACCGAGTCACGATCGTCGGTCGCACTTATGCACGTTGATGGGGTTTTGGCGCAGCTGAGGAAGATGAGAGGTGCGGTCCAAGTTCAACAGACCCCGGCATTCCGGCAGATTATGCACCTAGACAATTTGAGTCAAGGAGATAATCGAATTAGGCAGTTGAGACGAATAAGAAAAAAAATAACGATTGCTAATGATGCAGAAAGTAGTGGAAACCTGGCGGAAAAGCGGAAAAAAAGAAAGTGGATCATGGCACGTCAGGCACTAACTGGGAGTCAAAGCGGGGGAAATCATCCAGGAATAAGAAGATTGAACATTCAAGGGGATGTGATAAGACCAAAATTGGAGCCTCTCATATCAGATATGATTGATCGATAAGATGTAACTGCTGGGTTCGTCGGAAGGAACCGCTTTTGGCGCTGATGCATCCCTGGTCTGCAGCTGTGGGGCCTTGAATGTGCAGATTATAGGCAAAAGTCCAATTCAATATGGACAACATAAGTATCATCATCGTCAATCTTGGTGATAGCAGAGACAGCATGGTAGAGCGCTGTGTGACATTTGCACATGGTGTTTGCATTCTTTTTGCTTACAAGATCCTCATCTGGTGCACGTCACTTGATCCATAGTTGATCACCCGCTGTGGGGGGTACGCCCCGACCATGATCATCTATGCCCCTGGGGCCCGTGCTGTCACAGATCAGTCCAGTTCTTAATACGATCGGCCTGCATCAGGGGTTGACGAGATCCATGAATATATTGTACCCTTGAGAGCCATATGCGGCAACTCTTGAACATACCCATTGAAAAAGATCCTTATATCTCCTGACCCAGGTGCCCAAATTGGAATTAGATTGCAAAGCCTCATGCAAAAAATAAAATAAGATTAATACTTGATCTTCCTTATTTGCTGTCTATTTCTTGTCAAGAACATCAATAACCAAATGCCCAAAATTGACCATCAAATCCCCACCCTCCGTCGACGGCCGCGCCGCGTAAACGCCAACCCAAGTCTCCTTTACATTCTCCTCCTCAAAGATCCAAGTGACCTCACGGATAGGCTGCTTCAGAACCCCCTCCACAAGGTAGATCCACAAACTATTATCCAACTCCCTAACTAGCTCCAGCGTGGCCGATCTGCCACCAGAGGGAACAGGGAGCAAGCTCCAATCCGCCCAGTGATCCTTCGCAACGACACTCACGTGTGGCTTGTTGTGTGTAAGCTCGATGCCTGTCTTCACCCACTTCTGGGATCCGTCAGCCTTATTCAGGATAATGACAAGGCCACCCTGGTCGTATTTTTGTGTCCACTGTGCGTTGACTGCGACACGTGCACGCTTGAAAGACTGCAGGGGAACAGATTGGTAAAGTATTGGGGCGTTGAAGGCGTTGGTAGAGGGGGGTTTGGACCAGATATCTGTGGCAGGGTGAGCTGTCAAGCTGAATTCTGGGGGTGGGGCTTCAGTGCCTGGAACGGCGTCGTTCGAATTGATGATGTGGAATTCTGGCATGGTGAAGATTTGTTTTGGAGATAGGTGTAGGTAGTTAGGAAGATGAGGGGCGAATCTGACTGCTATGTCTCGGTTTTGGGGTTGCCACTCGCTCCCTCGGACAGGACAATGCAGTGAATAAAACCACACGGACTGAATTAATCTCAAAACAGCAGATTCTCTGCGGGATATTCTTTTGTCATATTACAGAGTATTGCGGGCCGGGATGTACTCGAAGCAGACGTTCTGGTTACGTCAGTGACTATGGACATCTCCCCGCTGAGGGGAAACTAACTTCCCGGTATCTCCGACTTCAATTCGGACCATCTGGCACAGATAGGGAGGCTTACACGGTGGTTTAATCTGTATTTCTTAGCCAAACCACAAGTTCTCAAAATAACACTGATACTGTGGACAAGCCTAAGCTCATGGAAATTTCTTTATCTAATGAAAGCTCCGATTCTTGTTATGGAGCTCTTGTGACTGTGGAGCTCAGCATGGGTTGTAAACTCATCGCCACAGTCGCAATACACGGCAGAGGTCTTTCATTTGCGGGCTGAATCCTCCGACCTCTATGCCATGGGCTGAAATACCTCTCGAGGAGGTCTTGATAATGTATACCGAAAGGACACGGGCAAAAGTTCATTCCTGACTTCCGGAACATCCTCTTTCATCGAAGTCGGTTTCTGGACCATAAGGTTCATTCTCTCCAAACTTCCGCTGGCCTTTGCCCCTTCCAGCTTCCCCTTGGCTTACGAAGGTTAGTTAGCGCCCCCATTGCCAGGCACACTAGTTCCAGACGACGTACCCGACCCGTCATCGGCATGATCATCGTCTTCAGAAGTGTCCTAAAGGACGACCATCTCTCGGATAGCAAGGCCAAGTTTCTCCCTTCATAGTGGATTCCTTTAGCTTGGTGCAAGTCATTTTTAGGGCCTTCACGATATGCTGGGGAAACAGGTTGCTTGTCGAACCTTATCAATCAGCAATCGATTGAGTTCTGTTCCCCAATACGCAGATCGTTACCCATAGTAAATAAATCGCAGATGGTGAAAGACAGTCAAACCATGCAGGTTCATGGGTTGGAACATGCCATAATGTACTTTCGTTGCGCAGTGCGGACGTTCCTAGCCCCTAATTTGATCAATCTGTCGCCATCTAGCATCACCCAATGGTTACCATTTGAGTCACCATAACTATATTCATGTAATTGGTGACGAGGGCCGACGGGGCTTCGTACACCCGCCGTATTGAATTGTGGTTCATTGGGAAGGTTTCTTGAGCTTTCATGCGGCCATATTTTGCTCATGTGTCTCGACACCGGCAACAGTATCACTCAGATCAGATTTTGCGACCGACCATAGTCAATATTGTTGTAGCGAGACAGAATTTCGCGATCAAAAAGAGCTTCAAGCTGTCCGTTCACGTCAGTAAAACATGTCTCGATCACCGAGCGGGTCCAATGAAGGACCAGCGCTCGTCAGAAAACCTATGCTGTAATATGGCAATCGACTATGGTCAAGAGCCAAAGAACCGCACCTCAAACGGCCTGGCCAACGTGAGTCTCATATCATGCAGTCGGTCAAACTCTCGACAAACAACTTGAACCGAAATGGTATTGTTGCCGAGCCAGAGGCTCCTGATCAGCACATAGCGGATCTGTCGTGGATTGAGGTCAAAGAATTAACATGGCTTGTCAAAGTACGCGCGAATATGGATGTGTAAACTCTACCTTCCCCTAGATGTTGTGACGGAACTTGACTCCAATCCCAATAGTTGGGGTTCCCTGTGATTTTCCTTTGATGGAGGTGGTTTGGTTGTTAGCCTGATTCCATCGTGTCCACACTTTCGGCTTGTTTCACTCCTACTGAATCCCTGCTCGCTTCCTGTTCTGCACTGTAGTGAAATACCTGCCTCAAGTGGATCATTTTGCACGTCCACGGAGAATAAATGGAACTTTTGAAGTAGTCTTCCAAAACTTGCTGGTGATGTACATGTCTTCATCGAACGCATAATTCTTCATGTCTGCAATTGGAATCACTGGAAGATTCCATGGAAAACCAATGTATATGTCATGGCTCATTTACGCCATGGAAAAGGTAAAGATTCACGATAACAGACACTTGATCCAGGCTGAACTTGCTCCGGGGGTCCAAGGTGGATGGAGCACGAAGAAATTGGAGAGTTGGCGGTTGAGAATACAAAGAAGGATTATGAGACTGGTCAAGTGAAGCCCGCTAGGTTTTCAAGAGGATTTATCTCATCTGAACACAGGAAAGATAGAAAGAGGTGATTGGTGGGAATATGAGAAAGCCAGGAGTCAGGTGAATGGCAAGCAATCTATATCACGTGATATAGCATCGCTGCGAGCTAAAGCAAGCCTCAATGATTGAATATGTGGGCTTGAATCAGTTTTCACTATCCTCATCACATCCATCGTCAAGAATGCCTCTGATGATTAGGAGAACTCTAGAGGTACCGGCAGAGTGAGCATTTAGGTGAGTTGATAAGTGACCCGTGAGCTGCTCCAACTGGCAATTTGTCAACATGAATTGCCGGAACTTCTGCCGACAAATTCAGTAGGCCCAGAGTTTCTTTCCAAATTTACATCTGTCAGCTCAAAATTATCTACTATGTCCGACCACGTCCAAGTACCAGCATGCCACCGTAACACCCACTCGATCTACCCGACGCACAATTCCAAATAATGCGATCTCAATTCCGTATGGACAAAGCAACGCGCCACAGTTCCCACCAGATCAAAAAAAATTGCCGGCCTTCATCCTAAATGAGCTTGAGGGAGTTCATGGCGATCGTGCTAGTTTACCCGAGACGATGACGGGAGCACAGGTGACATTTCCGGGCGAATCAGGAGCACCCTATACGGTCCCTCTTACCACATTAGGCACTAGTGCTGATAACATTTAGGGGATTTCATTTTTATGCCGTATGGACGTACGATTCGCCATGTATAATTGCCTAGAACAGTCCCGCAGTACGCAAGCACCCTGATCACTCTCGGAAATCTGCCGGATAATTGTGGATTGTGGATATCGATGTGGATGTTCCACAGTAAGCTCAATACGAGAAGCGACAAACGAGGAACGATGATCCACATGTACTGGATACCGAGTATCAATATCCACCTGGTAATGTGCATAAACGTGTAATAATTGGCTAATTAATAAGGGGCCAACAGCCAACAACGAACACCAACATTACTAGCAACCAACAACCACACACAACGCAACACCCTAATATAGCAACAGGCCCGCTGCCCAAGTGGCGTATACAGTGATCAGCTCAATCCTGCAAGAAACGCCAACCGCTAACAGCCACCATGCCAGCAGACACAGGATTCGTAATGCAGTCTCCACAGGTCAAGAAGCCAACATAGTAGCAACTTTATGACGAACGATCACAAACAGCCCCCGAATTTAGCCTAGAAGCACAGGGCAGTCCTTGAACTACGACCATCCCTGACGTTGCTATAGAGTGCATATTAGCTCTTCTCGCTGGATTACACCTTAGTCGCAGTGAGGCTGATACAACCCTTCCCACCTGGGCAAGGCGTTCATGCTACTGTAGTAGTGCAGTGGAAAGGTATGTCGTGGCATGATCATGAGTTTGAGAGCTCGGGGTTAGCGGGGAACACAGAGGGGTCGGGGCCGACAATAATTAATTTAATTAATTTAAATTTCAGGGCGTTTTTGTTAATCAATATTGATATCTTTGCTGAACTGGCCGGATCCTGCATTGTATATTTAGGCCACGGAGAAAATCCTTTCATGCGGGAAACATCCGTGTACTGTACAACATTAAGATGTAAATGTACATCTATTTTGGAAGTAGGTGGTACTGATACCTACCTACATATGTACGTGCCACCTCGTTATGTAAAGACACCCAACGCATGTCGTGTAAGACTAGCACCATTGCATGAAACCCCATATGCCTCGTGGCAAAGAACTTTGGAAGGGGGATGGAATGACTCGAAGGATTTAGCTGAAAATCTTTCACTTTTGGGGCCCGTGATCTACGTGGAGGATATTCGCTTCCTTCACTTCCCCACGGTTACTCCGATTTGGAGATTGTCCTTGCAACTTCTGGAGATTAGTTGATACCAATGGATTCTCTGTTCCAGAGATCTAGCATCTCATAGCCACTGCTGACTTTCCTGTATATTCCAGTCCAGCCTTAATGACTCGTTCATTCCCGACCGCAGCCCATCAGTCCAATGTCCAATGTCCAATGTCCTAGTCAGCCCCAACCAGCCTTGTCGGCCCCGGGGGTAACTGACTAGCACAGCCAGGGGTAATTACTAAACATTAAAAGCGAGAAAATCAGAACCCAAACTTGGTAAAAGAAAAATGAATGGAAAAAAACAAATCTTTCCCAATGGATAAGACCCATCACGAACCAAAAAAAGCAATGGGACTTGGAATTCCGAAGTCCCCGATACTCTCGCCTCGCGTCGCAAGTAGTCCAATCCAATCCGAACCCGAAATAGACTCCAGACCCGTAACGGTCCAGATGGAATCCTGCACGGCAAATCCACGGCCCATTACTTTGACTTTGGGGTGGAAAACAATTATTCACAGGGGTAACTAGCTAACTGGCTAGGCTAGGCCTTCGAGTGGGTTCATTCGGCTCGGTTACGTGGGCGGGATCTGCGTTGTAAGAGGATGTTTTGAGAAGAATTTGTTGTTTTAGTACCTTTATGGAGTATGGAGTACATTGGAAGGAGTTGAAGGTTTACATGACTATCTTTAATTGATTCTCTGCTATGAGTTCCTTGTATTTAATCTTTGTACTGGGTTCCCTATAGATGTGGGCCCTGAATAATGGCTGATTAAGAATTTGCGGTATTGTTCCGCTTTTCTGTTATTGATACACTGTTGGGCCTTGTATTACGGGGTTATTACGTATTTTACCTTACTTCGGTGCAGGACTGGCAAGAGGGGCAAGACTGCAAGGCAGAGATGAGGGCTGGAATTGGATTTGATTGTACTCTGTAGAGTTGTAAGGTTTCCAAGATGTTTGAAATGACTATTTGGAGTGCTAGAGGTGAAGGAGGGGTTGGAGTTCTTATTCTAGGAGCTAGATGACTCGGTAGTTGCAGATGTGATTGATCATTGAGAATGGACTTTTGTCAAGAGAAAGGGGTTGTAGGCTAAGAAAATGCCAGTTCTTGATCATTGCTGAATATGACATTGATGTCGATTTTAGTGTAGATGATAAGACATGGTATAAAGGCTCATTAATGAGCTAGGTAAAAAAGATCGAGATAGCCTCCAATGCCCAAAACTTGAAAAAAAAAAAACAAGAAACAAACGACCCCCCGAAACAAAACTCCCATGAGGTATCTTTGTTGAAACGCAAGACAGTAGCCTCTCCCAATCATTATGTGAACTTGAACAAAAACTCCAACTTTCAAAGCAATAGCAAAAACAAAAACAAGACCAGATCACAAATCATGCCACCGACAAGCGCTGCTGGTTCATTTGCTGTTGCCGACGGGCCATCTCCTCTGTCTCACGCATCCAGGGGTACCAAACATTCGCCCACTCCATGACCCCAAAGCGCGGCGCACCAGACTCAGACAGCGCCGTACCCTCACGCAGGAACTCCCCGTCCCGCATCCTACGCTGCTCTCTCAGCGTTGGACATCTCTTCTCCTTAATGAAGCGATAGAACTTGCATTGGATACCCTGGAACCCGCGACGCTGACGTTCAGGAAACTGGCGGTTGAAACTCTCGCGCACCTCCTTCCACTCCTGACAAAGATCAACCCGGTGATACCAGATGAAGTACATCTCCTCTTCTTCGTACTTGGGTCGAGGAGGTCGTCGGCGATCAGTCCCGTTGTTGCTGGAGCTACTGGAGACGGAGTCGTAGCGCTCGCGTGGATGGTATGGGTCTGGGGAGCTGTGTGTGGATCCTGGACCTCCGGATGGACGGTAGTTTAGGAACATGTGGTTTTGGGTGTTCATGTTCATGTTTGTTGTGGCTGTTGAGGCGGCGGGGCTTGTGTCGTAGTTGGGGTATCGGCCATACCAGTATTGATTTGGGCTTGAAGGATAGCCTGGGGATGTTTTGTATTCAGGGTTGTGTGGTAGTGACGCGTGTTGAGTGTATGGGGAGTCTGAGGTGTCCTCCATCTCGTCACTTGGGGGATTGAGCAACGAGTCGATCTTCATGCGACTTTGACGCTTTGCTGGGAGATGTGTGCAGCTGTCTGCCATTTTGGAAATTGTGTTTGTGTTTGTGTGTGATGTTGAAGAAGTCGAGACAGTAGATGAAGGTAGAGACCGGCGTAATGTTGATTTATAGATGACCTCTTTTTTTCTGGTCCAAAGTGTGGGCAGTTGTGAACCTCCGATCGTCCAGAACTGAGATCAAGATGATATTAGATATCAAGTTATTCCAACCTTGGCCTTGGTATCCCCAATGGATATCCCAAGTGGAAGTGGAAGTGGAAGTGGGAAGGAAAAGATGTGGATCGAAGTATAAGATCTGAAAAAACCTTCAGGACAAGGAGGGAGTTCAAGGTTTATAGATCGAAAGAAATCTAGCAGATCACCTGGAGCACACGGGCTTAAATGAAAAAGAAAATGTTGAAAAATAGTTCCAAGCTAACTGTGCTTTTGGGTGCAGCGGTTTACCAATTACGCGGGTCGGGCTGGTCGTCGCTCCTTTGGCCCCCTGTATAGTTGTACCGCGGATACACACAAGGCTCCTCCAGGGGGGTTGCTGGTTCCACCCCCAGAGTAAAAAAGAGGGTACAACTTCGGTGAACCGGACAGGGTGCTCCGTGTCCGGTGCTTCATCATTGCCACTGTACAAATTGATATCTCAAATTATGCGTGGCGACGGTCATACTCGACGTTTTTCAATTATTAATTGTCATTTCTATGGATTAGGTCTTATCTTCAAGCTGATCGGCTACTCTTTTTTATTTCTTAATTTCCGTTTTTCTTTGTCTCTCGAGATACTTCCGTCTGCCTAGGTGGAACAGCTTTAACGATGACACAATCCAGCACGGACGATCTTTTTTCTCTTTTTTTTTTTTTTTTTTTTTTTTTTTACGATTATTTAATTTCATTTCATTCCAATACGAAGTGGAGGGGGAAGTTACGCGGGGGAATCCACTATGCAAAATGCCAGACAAAAAATACAGTAAAAACATTAGCCTTTTACACTCATCGCCTGCGCAAAAAGAATGACAAATTGTGGGGACGCGCGTGTATTCGGCAGTACCGATATGTCTCCAAGGAGTTGTACCTAGCTATCAAACATAGGCACTTTATACTTTCAATCCATGGATGAAGAATATGAATTACAAATACTAAATTTGTTTATGCAAAAGGAAACAAGGGCGAGAAGCGCAACTACGCAATGAGGGGAAGATCCATCAATTACTACACCAACATTTTACAGGGATCAGATTGGGCAGGGAAACCTGCGAGCCAATCCCCTAGTAAAAAAGATAATCATGCAGAATCAGAAATAGCTGCGGACTCGCGTACGTTTTCTGTTTTGGAATCAATGCCCAACCCACTTTTTTTTCATGTGAAAGAGGTCCTTATGGAGATTCGATTGGAAAGATTCTGCTCTAGTACCTAGTGCGGAGTACAGTAGAAAAGACGCTATGACCTAGAGTTTTGAAGACCAAATTCCAATTAAATTTTGAATTATTTCTGTACATTGAATGACTTGCACGTTATATGGAAGTCAAAAGAAAAAAACCAACAGTAACGCACGGCGTCTATTGGACCACCAAAAGTCACCTGTTGCGACGCTCGCCGTGGCACTGGGTCTTCGGGACGAATCAGAGTGACCAGAGGAATGAGCTAATGCGGACTCAATTTGTGCCTCAGATGCAGAGGGTGGGGTTTTTGCGCCTGCCAACGCATCTGCATCTTTTTTTGCAGCCGTTTTGTAAAGTAATCTTCCTGCGGCTTTTTCTTTCCCTTACATTTAATAAGTATACGTAAAATCTACTGTCACAAAAGAACAAAGAAAAAACAGAAACCAAAAAACCTGCCTTGCGGTAAAGTTACCCTAAAGGAAAAACAAGTTATTAAAACAAATGGATAAATTAGCGATTTAGCGACGCATGTTCTGCACCATTCGTTTCATTCCCCGAGATAAAGCGAGCCGTGGTTGTCATGATTTATGGCCCCCATCGGCAGCTCCCGGGGGGAGAAATTTCCAGTAATTATCCCGGCTTTGCATCCAGTCAAGCTCCCCACATTGAAAGAGTCGAGACTCTCGGAACTCCACTTTACCCCTCGGATCATCAAGGAATCTTGAGAATCTTTATGGAAGACATTGATCACTCAATAACGGCTTGGATCTCGTACAAAAGTTGATATGTACGCAGACCACTAATAGTTGTTATGACAATACCAGGATAACCGCGCAATCTGGTACATAGAATATCAACTGGCGCACGCCAGCTCAATAGCGGCATTTCCGCCCCATTTTTTAACTGCTTTCCATGCTTCTCTCTCATTTCTCATTTCTCATTTCTCATCTATCTCTTTTTTTAATTTCTTTTTCGCCAACAAGATCCCTGCTTGTATTCTTTGTTTCCCCCCTTTTCCTGCAGCCCCGTAACGCCTCGATGAGCGGGCTAGAGCTCCCGGTTCCGTGCAGATCAAGATCAACATGGCTCCTGCCCTGCAACCCCCGCTCACTTTTCTTTGTCTCCAGGTCCACAATACTCCACTTCATCCAATCATATCTATTTCAACGGCGTTAGTCGCGTAGCCGCAGCTACATTTGATCACGTGTGGGTGATACCCGCCCGGAGTTTCCGTATGAAAACTACACTAAATAAATAAAATAAATTAAGACAGATAAGGCAACAGTCTTGGAGTTTGATCTTTTCCGAACCATGGAAGACCGTCGGCGGTACTATGTGGCTCTCCAGAAGGGAGCGTCACATTTCGCACGAGTCATGTTGTGCATATTGAAGTTACTTTGCTTTCCCAACGGCTGATTTGACCAGGGTAGAACGTGGCTGGTCGAATCGAGTAAAAGATAAAAAAAAAATCCAAAGATAAAAGATGACTCGTTCCACCAATCAATTAAATTATTTCACCCTTTTTTCTTGATGGGCTGATTCACTAAGAACGTATCCATGTCGATCCTACGGAGCACGGAGTACTGTACAGGTAAAAGTCGTCCTTACATCTGTACTCCATACAGTTCTTTGATCCAAATCGAATCAGGTTCGATCGCCGAGATGCAGGGTTTGATTTGATTTTGATTTGAGATGATCATGCTCTGCGCCCGATCAGCAAGCCCAAGCCCAGTTTGTACCCCATCCACACGGGCTCCATAGCCCACTAGCGATAGACGCCGTCTGCAACTCGGTACCAGAGAGGCCTGTAATCCACTAGAATCCGCATTCTAGTTCAGCGCTGCGCACGCAATCTGGTCTAAGGAATACTACCTCGGCAAATATGGGAGTGGATGGAGTCCATGTACGTGGATGATCCCGCATGGATTCAAATATGAAGAGAACGATGTGAGTCGTCATTCGAATCCACACCGCAGGACCCCTGCAAAATGAAAATGCGCAGTGACTGCGCAACCGCGTAAATGGAGGCTACAAGTACCCGTAATTAATAAATAGAAAGCGGGAATTATAATTAAATAATTTAAAATACGGAGTGGAACAAAATGAAATAAAATAAAAAACAGGAAATGGAAAATTACAATCCCAATACCAATCGGGGCTCAACCCCCACACGAGTAGCGCAGCACGGACAGTTGAGGAGAGCCGTTGTTTCAGTATCAGATTCACTAGAATGTTCATCTGATTCCTACAATTATCCGATTCAAGATCAAAACCCTCGTACGCGTGGCATGGTACACTCGTCTGTTGGATGTTGACAGGGATCTTATTCGTGGAGACGTGGAGGGGATGACGCCCGGGCTCCTCTCCGGGATTTGAGTCAGTTCGCGATAGGCTTGGCCTGGGGCATCATTTACAAAATACCTCTGGATTGGAGGAGAATACTAAGTCCTAGTCCTAGTTCTAGCAACTAGTTTCATCTATTATCCATCTAATTTCCATCCCAGGATCAGACTACTGTTCAACTTTCAAAAGTCTTGTACGGCCGAGGACGACCCTTCGGCCCCGAACCGGTCATTTTCAGCCTCACCAAGGCGTGCAGAATCCACGACTGTTCGTTCAGTGGTACGTATCGACTCCACTTGGTTTCGCCCCCACTTTGCCCTCTTAACTAAGTCCAGAGAGGAATACACTGCGGCGCCGAAGCGCCATGTGGCCCAGATCCTGCTCGATCCAGAAACTGATGTCGTGTGGATTACAGTTTGCCTGACACTGCTGACAGTTGTAAAAGAAAGTCTAATTGCTGAAGAGTCACTGCAAGTAAGCAAGAAAATTGAACTTTGAGAATGAAGGCATCTTTTATGCATGGATATAAAGAGATCATTTGTTTAAGAAGCTAACAGAAAAGCAGGGAAAGACGGGAAATAGGACAAAAGTACCCAAGTCAGGGCCTAGACAATGGGTCTAACAAGGAAAATCGACAACGTTAGCTCACAGCTAGCACCTGATTAACTTTACTCGATACTCCTTCTAGTCTAGATCTCGGAACGAAGTGACATGGAGCTAGGACTGAACTTCCACCGGATTTCGGAGTCAGCACGAAAAAAACGCAAAGTACAGGTAATTTCCATCAAATTAACTACAGTGCACAGATGGAAGTTCCTCATTTCCCCAGCTAGGTTAGGCGCACGGTTGTATGTCTCAAAGATAAAATTAAAATTAAAATTAAAAACAAAAACCAAAACGGCGTACATCCCGTATTCCCCACGCTGACCAATGATTATAAACGGAGATAGCGCGGCGTAATTATGGGTTATACGGAACCAGGTCATAGCTTCCGCAGGGGAGAACCGTTCAACTGTAGATTCTATAATACAGATGATACCATTGGTTCGCTTTTACTCTTGATCTTCTTCACGGCGAGTGGCTGATGATAATACCCGACCCACTTAGACTTCAGTGGAATCGTATTCAAGGTTTGATGCCAAAATAAAATTTCATGGACGTACGAGGCTTGATAAAAATCTTAACATACTTTCGGCATTTTAAATCCTTGCAGCTCGACCTCTCCGAAATGCTTTGCGCTTCGTTCTACTGTACCAAGGACACGTGGGTCTCGGGTAAGGGATTGCCTGATTGCAGAAGCTTGGATCGCCATGATCGTCGCTTTAAGCAGTACAGTACAAAGGCGGAGTAGACAGGAGAATGGAATGGCGGTGTTGTAATCTATTTCGATTCTCGATTTTTCAGATTGACCGACTCTTTTGTTATGCACCTGCACGAGAATTTCTCTCTTCCACTTTCTTTTCAAGATGAACCATGAATCAGATCTGGAGAAACGCAACCCGAGTCTCACGCCACCAAATTGTTGCCCCGCTAACAGTCGGAGATGCCAGCTCCGCGTCTCAAGTGGGTCAGTCTAGACGTAGACCGGAAATAAGTTTGATTGGCATGGTTGCAATTTCCTTCGTTTAAACGATCGGTAGATGAACAGAACTCCACGGCTGTTGTGGACTTGCAGACGATTAACCCGAACTGGAAGGGGCTCAGTGTTCCGTATGGCTGATCTCTGATTCTGAATACCCCAGAAATGGAGCCATGGAGCCCTGGAGCCCACCAGTCCCCGGTTTATTAGGTTGATCAACTGGTCTGGAATTATTCATTCATTTTTTTCGTTTCTACTTTCTATCGGCTGGTGGATGCCGACCGAACCATGTCAGATTATATGATATCATATCAGTCCAATCAACAAGAATGGTAGATTGCAATCATGAGCGACCAGTACTCCGGGAAAGCCGTGAAATTTTCGGATATCTCGTGGACAATGCCTTTGATTGCAGATCCAATCGAGGTGTGATGGGGAGAGACTAATGCTTCTCGTACAGCGATATCACACCGCGGACATGTCGTCGGGCCATTAGCGCCAAGCTAAGGTGTGTTGAGTGTTATGTGTCAGGGGTCTGTGTGAGAGACAGTGACAACCAAGGGTAACTGTGTCGCTTGGAAGTCGCATTCTCTATGTAATTTCTTCACGGGATGCCCGTGTACCTCCCCGGTTATCTTCTTCTCAGTTACCTTTTTCAGGTAGTAGTCGAGAGTTTTTTTTTTAGTTCAATCAAGTCTGAGTTCAAGTTCAAGGTTTTGGTAAGAAAAATCGGATTCAGTGGTTCACCTCGGTTCCACTCCCTCGCACCTTATACTTAGACGGGCATTCGCCCGGTGATCTCCGTATTCGGCCGTAAACGTTTTTATGCGTTATACGTACCCCTGACCTCATGATCTTCATCAACTTAGACTTTGACTTTAAATGACGGCGATGGAATCCTTCGAAACCGTTGAGGCCCGATTTGACAGGTAAGAGCGAGCACCCTATTAACTTTTTGTACTTCTGTATACACTTGTACAGTCCGCTATGTAAAAAAATCTGGAACATGAACTGCTAATTGAAACTTATTACTAATGTATTTGTGTCCGAATTGGCAGAGCCTCAGATTCAATGTGTATGCCCGTGCTAACCCCCCCACTATTAATTGAATATTGTCCTGGAAAGCCTAAGATTCGACTATTGAAAACCGAAAACCGAAAACCGAAAACCAAACACGAAGGGAAAACCAAAAACACCCGACATTACCGGAAAACATGCACGGAGACGGGATTTTCTTCAGCGGACTCACCCGTAGTTTGTCGGGATCTCCCCGAATGTAGGACACATGTTAGCAACTTGAAGGTACAATAAAGTTACCAACGGTGGTAACAGTAACGGTAATACCACATACCCGATCGTATGCATCGCATAGGGATATCCTGTTCTCCGTATCCGTACTCCGTACATGTAGGTAACTCGAGACAAAGAGACAGATCAGTTGCCGCCAGATCGCGGGCTCGGTTCGCGTCACGGGATCGGCTGCATAATGCATGATGCATGCACAGCAGACTGTTTCAGTGCATGCAGGTTGCCTGATTCGTCATGTTTTATGCCGGTCGACAAGAGACTCCTTCCAAAATCGTTCGTGGAGGCGTTTGTCCTGCAGATCTGCTGATAATTCAAGATACTCTACCACCTTCCGTCTCCCTGCCGTGTTTGGTGCATGTTTCGTTTTAGTTGGTCTATTTCTATCTCACGCGAGGCGTTCCATCAGTCCCTGATATGATCATCTTCCGACCTTCCCGCCATTAATCTCCTCCCGCCATTAATGTCTTGGATCGGTTTCAAATTGCCGGATCCTCCAATGAAATTCCATCTCTTTAATGTTCAAAGCTCTTCAGCGATAACACCCGACTGACTTTGACCCCTACGAAACCCCGCATCATTCCCGTCTCCACGTGGCGGTGGCTGTCTAAACCGGCACATCTCCGACTGACAGGGCTTATCAAGAATATTCCAACATCTTAGGACATCGCCGGCCTGAAGAGAAGGAGCGGGCTAGATAACGAAAGCGGGATGGGTGTCTAATGACCTAAGATTGACAACAGCACCTCCTTACTGGATAGTTCCACATATGGAAATCATTAGGCGTGCAATCCTGCAGTGAGCCCATCGCTGAATAATTCCATAATATAATTACAAATTTAATCCAGGATGGCCTCGGGCTCGCCGCTACTCAGGTACTAGGAGAATATCCAAGCCACGGCGCGAACCTGTTTTTGACTACCAACATCGAACCAACACTTGACGAGGACTCTGCTTGGTTTGACGATCAGCTGGCGTCATGGGGGTGCATCGTCTTGTTGTCACGTTCGCCACATGGGCGGTGGGGTCCAGAACTGGCACTGGCGCTGATGCTGATGGGCTGGCGGCTTTGTGAGTGATGGCGTACTGTAGTGTAGGATCACCGTCGGGGGGGAGGGGGGTTCCGATATGGCAGGGGCTTTGATGATGATGTATGTGGCATGAAAGTGACAAGGGGTGATCACGGGCGGAAGAACTGAGCATCAGTGTTGGCCATTCATGTCTTGTTGGTTTCTGCATTTGGCCAATATTGGACATGTAGATGGTGAGCTTGGTGGGGCGGGGTCTTTCTTGCTTATGCTGATTTAAAATCTTGGTGACGAGTCGGCATTAGTTGTGTGGGTTCATCTATATCGTATGCTGGTATTCGGACTTTGAGAGATTTGGAAGTCCGTGGCATGTCCGGTGTTGGCTATAGCTGTAGATAGGGTTACAGCCTGAGAAGTTTTTCGTTGGCACTGGAGATTGCTCCTGTGACTCTCGGAGCTCTCTGTCTTCTGTGTAAGCGATGTAACCATTATTATTTACCTGAAAACTCACTTTGGATGACTGAGACATTCCCAGAGTCCATGTCAAGTGTAGCCTGTATGTGAGCAGAACATTCATTGGACTCTTCTGGCTATCGACCTGGGTCTGGGCAAAATAAATTGAAGGGTTCAGATACAGTCAGGTGGTTCAATGTTTCTCTAAATAGGGTAAGTCCTTCGGTATGTCGATGTTAGTTGCCGATTTTGGATGTAGTCTGATCAGACAAGTTTAATCTCGTGGCAAACTGACCAGCATATGTAAATTTGGTAACATAGAAGTACTTCATTCTTGTAATTGATGACACCTTAAAATTAGCTGAACGCATGGACCATTCAAGGCTGAAGACTACCTCGTATAAGCACCTACAGGTACATTATCTTCATCGACTCATTGATTTCTCTGGTAACTTCCACTAATTACACATTCACAGCCTACTTGCCAATCCTCGGAGCAGAGCAAGAGACTGGGTATTTTCACTGGATCGACCAATGCAACCTGCCCAACATCAAAAATAATGATAAAACGGGAAAGGCAGAACAAGAACGAAATGCACCTGTAGTGCACCATCTCGTATGTAACCCTGAAACAAATAATTGGCTCACCATTGCCTCCCACAAAATCAGAATCAAGAAAATAGAAAATAAAAAAAACTCATAGTCAGATAGCAATACAAGATGATAAGGAAAAGACATTGAAATTAAAGGGGGATAAAGGTCATTGGCAGGAACAGAAGGATGTGAAGGGTGGAGCCAACAATTTGAAAAGATAATAATAAAAAGGGTGAAAAGAAAAGGTTAAAGAGAAGGAGAAATATTGAAGATGTGAAGATATTAAGACCAATACAAGAATTGAAGCAAAGGGGCAAGATGGCAAGATATTCCAAAGAACTATATGTCAAAAGAACAAGAGGGACGTGCCATGAAGTTCACCAAGGAGATTTGAGTCGAAGTATGCATATGAGGTCGAAAGGCGATTATTTAGCTCCAATTTCCTCTTCCGCCCAGCCAGGCAGAGAATTTTCATTTTGGATGGCTAGCCCGAATCCAGAGTGGTTCAGTCCACCCAGACCGGATGAGAAGCTGGAGAAGCTGTTCTGGGGGTGGTGTGTTGTTCCAGTACGAATGTGACCGGGTTGTCCGGAGACTGGTCCGAAAGGCTCTTGGGAGAATGATGGTAGACTAACAGCCCGAGAGTGTTGTGCCCGCGGAACACTCAGACTGCTGGTGCTGGCGGTAGTATGGTGACCAGGGCCAGAGCCGTTACCTACACTCAGGTAGCCATTGACTGAAGGCTTGTGCTGGTGCTGGTGCTGGTGCAAAGATGTATCAATATTTCCGTTGGAAAGATCACCGTTGCTGGTCCCATTGTATAATGACTGCTGGCCCTGCGAGTGACCTTGCAAGCCAGCTAGAGCCATGGAGTCATTGAGACGATTCTCCTGCTCCTGTGCATGTTGGGCGGACATCTGGCTCAGGTACATAGTGAGCGGGTTGTTTGAGCCAACGTTCAGCACACCAGAGGGGGAAGAAACATTCTGCAGAGGGTGTCGCTGTTGTCCATTCTGGGAACCAGTGGAGCCAGGCGCAGGGGACAGAGCAGGGCGGGTTGGGCTAGACTGAGAGCCTGACTGGCTGAGGTTTTGTTGGAATCCATTCATGACCGGAGGAGACTGAGGTCCTTCCAGACCAGAGCCATTGCGGTTCTGTGAGTTCTGGCCCTGGCCAGCCTGGCGAGGTGGGTTACCACAGCGGTCCTTGCCAAAGTTGATCTTGAACCGTTTATATTCCTCCCGGTTGCGCATGCCTTCAATGGCCTTGATGGCGTTGGCGATGTTGGTGAAGTTAACAAATGCACAGCTCTTCTCACGCAGAGTGTTCACCAACTCAATCTCGCCATACTCCATAAAGTCCTGGCGAAGGCGATCCTCCGGCCAAGTCTCATCCAAGTTGCCAATGTAAACATTTCGGGAAGCGCCGCCGCTCACTGCCAGTGCGATCGCAGGAGGGAGCGGACCGGAGTGCTTACCCCAGCCAATCTTCAGTCGTCGGTTGTGGATCATCAGACCTTGCAGGTTGCTGAGGGCGTAGAAGGAAGCGGCCGACGTGGGATCTATAAAGGTCACGAAACAAATGTGCTTGTCGGGAATATAACGGATATGGTGTAGGAGACCTCCCCGGACCACATTGCAAATCTCTTCAATTGTGGTTTCCGGGTGGATGTTTCCAAGATAAATAGTTCGGTTGCCCAAGTTGCTGACGCCGCCCGCTGTGGTGGCCACTGCAGCCGCCGCGACGGACTGTTGGGCGAGCGCATTCGAAATCAAGTCCCGGTCAGCCGAGTTGAGAACATGAGCGTAGCCTGGTGCAATACCCAGGAACTGTGCTGCATTTTGTTGCTGGGTCTTGGACACATATGCACAGCGGTCCTTTCCATAGAACACGCGCTTGGGCGCTTGCCATTGCGGCTCCTGGGGAAGCTGAGCCACCGCCTTCATAGCATGACTAATGGAGAGGAAATGGACAAAGCCAATTGCCTTTTCCTTGACAATCTTGACGGTATCAATAGAGCCAAATTTGGCCAATTCTTCGCGCAAGTCATCCTCCACTGTCTCCTCTGGCAGATTTCCAAGATAAACGTTGCGGGACGCGCCGGACTGTTGAACGGCCAGCGCTACGGAAGTCGGGACCTGAGAAGGCTTACCCCAGCCTACCTTGATATCATTTCCCTTGATGGCCAGCTTCTTCAAGATGGCATCTGAGTGGAAGTGAGTAGCGGAGCTGCTATCCAAGAACGAAATGAACGCGCAATTCTTATCGGGCAGAAGACGCACCGACTCGATCTGCCCGCTGCGCACGTGATTCAGGATTTCCTCGGCGCTTGTTTCAGCGGGGATGTTTCCCAAATACACGGTACGGCTGGTTCCCGAGATCATTCCCGGCGAGACTGATGACGCAGGGCCCAGGGCCGCATTTCCGAATCCACCCAGGCCATTAATCGGCGACTGGGGGCTCAGCAGCTGGGGTGCGCCTAATTCCGACATCATCCCGCCGTACAGACCGTGGTTCTGCATACCCTGGGTCGGGCTACCCAAGTGCTGGGAATTCTGAACATGTCCGTTGGCATTGGCTTGCGGGAAGCCACCGAAATTCGCAAATTGAGGGGACGCAAAGGCGGAAGGGGTTCCGGGCTGGAAAGGGCTGCCAACGAGCAACTGCGATGGCAGAAGGGGGGTGAAGTTCATATCGAAACCGGAATTCATATCGGCGTGCTGGCCAGCGGCGGTATTTATAGCAGGGATATTGGCGCGACGTGAGCGGTTCGAAAAGCCTTGCGGATTGTGGTTGGAGTGATAGGCGCCGTGGGAGAAACCGGTGTCACCGTTCAAGTTGTATTTGGAAGGCGGGATCAGACGCGAACTGTTTGGGATGCTCGATGCATCCGAGGTTTGCATGGCGAGGCGAAAATCAACCTGATACCCAAAAAATGCTAGGCCCTCAGGGGTTCAGGTGCCAAAAAACCAGGGTCAAAGGTTGTTGAAGGCAATATATCAGATCACCATTCAGGGGGATGTTTGCACCAAAGTGGGCCGGTTTGTTTAGGGAGAGTAGAAAAGGAAAAGAAAATAATTGGAACAAAACGGTTCGCGTAGAAAGAAAGCTTCTCCAGGCAACGTGTCTAGTACAATGTTAATTGGAATGTGTATCCATTTAGGGATTGTAGCCAAGGGGAGACGAACCTGCGGCTAAACTTTTTTTAAAGGGAATGTCACACGGTATATACCCTGCAGATGTGCGGAGCCGGAGAAAAAAAAGAAGAAAAATACTAAGAGATCCAAAGAAGACCAGTCATTAGCTGAGAATGGAATAAAGTGGACAAAACCTGTCCTAAAAAGTACAAGGCTGAAAAGGTAGAAGGTAAAAAAGGGGGAAAAGAGATGAGATGGAGATTAGGAAATAGGAAAAGGAGAAGAGTGGGGAAAAAGGAGTTATATTTACGAGATTGGAATTGAATCGGAACCCAAAAAGTATTAAACCAGAAAAAGAATGAAAAGGTAAGGATTCATGTGAATCCCCAGCAAGGTAAAGGTTTAAAAGGGGGGGGAAAAGAGTTGAAAGAGGGAAGGTAAATTAGTTTAGATTTCTATGGGGAAAAGGGAGGGAAAAAGGAGACGAACGAGACAAGAAAGCAAAGAAAGGGGGGCTATTTGAAGTACCCATTCTTCCCCCACGAGTTTAACACGTTGATCTAGAACTATATACTATATATTTATATACCTAGATATGTACCTATCTTATATTTACGTCTATATCAACAGTATCAATAGGTAAAATGTATCATGATCTCGATATCACTGTTTACCCCCGATCCAAACGTTCCGTGGCTCCTGCAGAACTGGATCAGGCCCCACCAATCACCGTCCACTCGGCGCCCCTGGCATGCGAACTGGAGAAAGACTAGACTACTTTGGATATATTCAGTGTTTCTACATATCTGACTAAAGATGCCTGTGAAGCACCTAGGTAAAGTAAGTAGCTATTATGTCTAGGGACTAGATATGTGAAGGCGTCCGAAATTTAATGTGCAATATGATTTACCTTGATAAGAAAAGTATACTGTACTGCAGCAGAAAAACCAATCAGATAATTTATATCACTTCGCTATATATACACCATATTGCAAAATCACAAGACGGATGAATCTCTGATACAAAACTAACCTAGTATATCATGATTTTGACTTGATCCAGTCGGGTCCGATATAGGCTTATATACTAAAACCCTCAACCAAACATGGAAATGAATCAAACTCTGGATGATGCCTGAGGCACCATGTGGGGAAGGGCTAAAGTTATCGAAATTTACCCCTCCAACATGGAACTTTCTCTTGATTGTTACCCGGCAATTTCCAACATTATTCGGCCTGGTGCCATTGATTCATTCCCTGTTGGCATTGGAACTGTCCAGTCTGGTAAGCCTTTTTTTGTACGCTTTATCGTGTGCATACCCCCCTTATCTCTAATGCGATGACTCACATATGAGACACACTATTAATTCGTCCCGCGCAGACACATCCCTCCCCCTCCTCTACAGACTCAATTGGTTGTGCGCATCTTTGCTGTAAATCTCCGCAATCATGGCCCCCACTATCTACATCGACGAGGACGTCGGCCGCGATGATTCCACCGCCACCGGTACCGAGACCGCTCCCTACAAGACCCTCCTCCACGCCATGATCAACCACGAGCCTACCACCGAGGGTATCCAATACCTGACTCGCAAGTCTCAGACCGATGCTGCTGGGGAGGGTGTTGACCCGGCCGCCAAGTTGGAGTGGAAGCCCGCCACCAAGTCCGCCATGAAGAAGGGCACCAACCTCTTTGAGCAGCGCAAGAAGAAGGCCGCCAAGGAGCACGAGCTGGCCATTCGGGAGAAAGCCGAGGCCGATAAGCGCCTGGCTGTTCTGGAAGAGGCTAAGAAGGTCATAATCAAGGAAGATACCTCACTGCCGAAGCCCGTGCGCATTCGTCTGGACAACACTGACCCGGCCGTTGTGTCCCTGCGCACCCCCGAGTCCGATACTCCGGGAACCCGGGTTCGTGTCCTCGGTCGTGTTCACCGCATGCGCGCGCAGAAGGACTACGTCTTCATCACCCTGGTTGATGGTTATGGCTACCTGCAGTGTATCCTGACCGGCGACATGGTCAAGACTTTCGACATCATGACCTTGACTCTGGAGACTTCCATGGCCATCCACGGTGAGATGCGCGCCGTCCCTCCCAAGCAGCACGCCCCCAACGACCGTGAGCTGCACGCCGACTTCTTCACCATCATTGGCAAGGCTGCTGGTGACAAGGAAGCCATCACCAACCGTGTGGCGCAGGACGCCGACCCCCAGACGCTGCTTGACAACCGCCACCTGGTGCTGCGTGGAGAGACCTCATCCTCCGTGATGAAGGTGCGTGCCGCCTGTATCCGTGCCTTCCGCACAGCCTTCCAGGAGAACCGCATGCTGGAGGTGACTCCCCCAGCTATGGTTCAGACCCAAGTGGAGGGTGGCAGTACCCTGTTCGGCTTCGATTACTACGGCGAGAACGCCTACCTGACCCAGTCCTCCCAACTGTACCTGGAGACCTGCCTGCCCTCCCTGGGTGACGTCTTCTGTGTGTGCCCATCTTTCCGTGCCGAGAAGTCCCTCACCCGTCGCCACCTGTCGGAATACACTCATATTGAGGCCGAGCTGGACTTCATCACCTTCACCGATCTGCTCGACCACCTTGAGGCCATGATCTGCCGTGTCATCGACCTGACCCTGGCCGAGCCCGAGATCGCCGGCTACATCAAGAAGCTCAACCCAGACTTCAAGGCCCCATCCCGCCCCTTCCTCCGCATGAAGTACTCCGACGCCATCGACTGGTTGGTCAAGCACGACATCCCCAACGAGGAGGGCGAACCCCACAAGTTCGGTGATGATATTGCCGAGGCCGCCGAGCGCCGCATGACCGACATTATCAACCAGCCCATCTTCCTCACTCACTTCCCCGCCGAGATCAAGGCCTTCTACATGAAGAAGGATGAATCCGACCGCCGCGTCACCGAGAGCGTTGACGTGCTCATGCCCGGTGTTGGTGAGATTGTCGGTGGAAGTATGAGAATGGACGACTGGAACGAACTGATGGCTGCTTACAAGCACGAGGGCATGGACCCCAAGCCCTACTACTGGTACACTGACCAGCGCAAGTAAGTTATTCAACTTTTTCTTACATTTTATCGTTACTAACATAAATTTCAATAGGTATGGTACTTCTCCCCACGGCGGTTACGGTCTCGGTCTGGAGCGCTTCCTGGCTTGGTTGTGCGCTCGCTACACTGTCCGTGATTGTTCGTTGTACCCTCGCTTCACTGGCCGTTGCACCCCGTAAGCGGGTGAAGTAAGTTTCACGTTTATGAGAATCTATGGATTGCATCAGATGGGATTTTGTTTAGGTTATTAAAAGTGGGCCGGATCAATGAGAAGAATTTCCTTTTAGAACATTAATATTTCTGTTAGACTTACTGTAAAGCTACAAAGCAATCATGTCTATATCGACTTGACTGGGTGAATGAAGCTATATTACATGAGGTACCTCCTTAAGGATCCTTTCTGTCAATGCCTAGAACATTACATCCAATGCCCGCGAACATTCCCAGAAATATTTTCCAACTTCTTTACTCCTTGATATTTCTCTTTCTCACTTGCCTATTCTGCACAGGCAAAAAAATAAACGACATCATGTTTCCAGCTAAACCCACCTAATAGCATAGTGAAGAAGGACTAGGGCTATGTAGCCTGCACAAATGCGTAATGGAAAATGTTCACCGTCACAACTCTATCCACATTGATCGATCTCAGCTATCAATCCCCGACGGGAATGCAGCTGAGACAGAGATAGTCCTGACGGTCATAATATAGATGTGCCACTAATCCCAGGAACCAGGCGCGTGGAATCCATATCCAGGTTTAAATTCAGGCTGGGGCTGCAAAGAAAATATGTAGATAGGGATGTGGATGTAGACGTATTCGAAATTTCACGCTGTGACTGAGTGTGGGGGTGCATCCTGTGTAAGTATTGGATTTTCGGTGTAGTTTGTGGTTTGGGATCTAGAATCTGGGTGAGTTTTGACTCCTGCCTAGGCTAAGATAATTTGTTAGTGCTGTCCATGCCAATTCGGATGTGCTGGTGCTGGTGCTGGTACTGCTTCTGCTGTGTGATTCGGGCGAGGGCTAACAGGGGCTCTTGGCCTTGCTTGTTGACACACTTATTCTGTAGCAGCAAGTTAAGGTGGCGAGTCGTGTATCATCATAGGCATGAGAACGTGGCTGTGACTTTCGATTTGGCTGGGTTCGGTAGTTGTATCGCTCTGCAGTCTTCAAGGAAGGATAGGGGGTTGTAGCTGGAACCGGCGCTGGAAGAGTCAAGCTAGCGGCGACCAGTGTCACAATCCAATCTGCGCGAGATCCACGGCATGAACACCTTCTAGTCCAAGTGAGTAGGCCAAAGACCAAAGACCAAAGACTCCAAAGAACAAGAACAAGAACACGAACAATCTACCAGACTGAGCCGCTGTGGCCTGTGGCCATCGGACTTTGTCTGCAGGGATCAGCTGGCCGTTCTTGATTCGGGCTCCATCGCTCTCTCCTACACGAGCCCAGTCCAGTTCAGTCTAGCTCAATCCAGCCCATTCAAGGGGGAGAAAATCACCAAGCTCAGGGAAGCCGCGTCTTCGCAGAAACGAGAGGGTTTCAAGCCGGCAAATGACTGGCCCACAGAGACAGGAGAATATGATCCACAAGCTGCGATGCCATTGCCCCAAGTGTGCGGATACTTGAATCCGTGCCAGCCCACAAGTGCCATTCCGCTTGCCCGTTTTGAGTTCAAGCTGTCTTAGGGCGATCTTGAATATTTGTACACGTTCATATGGTCCTTTGTCTCTTGATGTGATGTTCTCGTACGGGGGAAGTGTTGCTTTTGTTTCTGTACACGTGTACGAGATGACTGGATAACAGGACAGAATAGGTGTTTGTGTGTGCGTTCTTATTCTTGTTCTTGCTCTTGCTCTTGCTCTTGCTCTTGTTCTTGTTCTTGTTCTTGTTCTTGTTCTTGTTCTTGTTCTTGTTCTTGTTCTCTCTCTTGTTCTGCCGATTTCCTTAATCATACGCAGCTCTCTGATTCGTGCTTTGTTGACGTGGCAGGTGATGTCTCGAGTCTTAACTTGGCCACAGGTTGCGGACAACGCACTCCTTATATGTTATATGTTTGGTCGATGGCAAAAGCGAATTCAGGCTTTCCTTTTGGGGTTGATCAACTCTAGTAACGTCCTAGTGCGCAAGCGGCATCCATGGATGAAGTGATTAACTCGAGATCGATGATATCAGGGGCAAAAGTTCCCCTCACGTCCCGTTATAGACCACACTTGATTCTGTTCTTGTGATCAGTTTCCCCTCCTTCAACCTTGCTCGGATTATGCAGTTTTCATACTGAGTTATTCGCCACAGGCTTCAAGGTTCTGCCGGATGCGACGAAATAACAATAGGAGTTCTCAGTACTGGGCTGCAACGTCCATCTCTGGAGTCAGGGACACGAATTCTGAGCACAGATATATCATTTAAGCAAGCAGTTGAGCATTGCTAAAATAATTAAAACGACAAAAAGGCTACATCAACTGCCACCTGCCGGTCTTTGCCACTGTTAACTCGCTTTCAGCATCCCCATCATATCAACACCGGTCAACAGAATTCTCATTATTCGTCAAATCGAAAATGTCGATCTGTGGCACCATTCCCCCAGCATGGAATTCCACGCGCACCCGACTTGACTACCCAAACAAGTCTCTTTCCAAAGGAACCTGTAAATTCGGGAATTCGGGAGTTTCGAGGATTAACCAGACTCATGAGTGACCGGGGTGGGCACCATTAGTGTTGCTGTTCGCAAGGCCAGAGCCTACGGAGAGTCGATCAATTTCCTCAAGGATCTGGTCGTGCGAGGCGCCGGTACGAATTAAGGAGATGACGCTGGCCATTGCGTCCTCGTCACCGGTAGCTATGAAGTCTAGCAGCTTCTTGACCAGGGAGCGATAATGGCTTAGTTCTTGGGGTTCTTGGCCTAGACTTGCACTGGATGTGCCGCTGGATGTCCCGCTGCCACCCAGGCTGTGATGTTTCAGCCCGAGAATCACATGAATGCGTCGACGTCTGGGTATTTCAGACGGCGTTCTGCTTCCACCAAAGGTGTAGGTACCGACAAGAGCAAATAAACGGGCAAAATCAGATAGCAACTTAAAAAACTTGCTACTTACCTCGGGGTTCCAACAGAAGAGGTAGGCTGCCGGTCGTCCTCTGCTGGGACTCCCTGACTGCCAGGCAGATCGCTCGTTGGGCGTTGGTTTGACATATCGAATCGAGTATCGTCAAAGCGATGCTACGGGGAATGGACTTGGGGGGCTCAAGGACTGTCACGCGATGCGAGGATGTTGGATGAAATACCCCTCTCTATGGGTTGTCCTTGCGAAGATGATAGGCGTCTTCGGAAAGACAGTCAGTATAGGGAGATATAACAGACAAGAAGAGGATGAGTAAAATACAATCAGATAGGTCTGGAGGGAGATATGAAAGGATCGGAGAAAGGTAGAAATGAGGTTCATTCAACGGGCGGGAATTGGTGTAAAGGGCAGAACACGGTCGGCCATACAGTTTGCAAGGTGTACTTCGTCCGTACTTGTTTTAAGTATCCCCACTCGGAGAATTGGGCTGCACCGGTGAAACCCCGACAATCAAATAGAAATAAGTCTTGGGTTTCCAAAGAAAAGGCGGGATGCTGAAGAGAAAAGGTCTCCTTCGATCGATTCTCCCCGCCAGACCAAAGATGGATGCATGGGCCATGGCCCAAGTACGAGGCGTAGTGGCTGAACCCGACAGGACGGTTTTGTACATTCAATGGGAGCGTCAGCATTAGGGGATTTCTCCGGTGTCCCGAGCGCAAACAGAGCACCCCCACAAGTTTGAATGTATGGAGAGCCTGATCTATGTCTTCATCTTTGGCTCCTCGTCGGCACCGGAAAAAAGTACCGACCAATGGACGGTTGTACCTTGCTTCTCCTCGGACCCACGAAGTATCGGCGATTTGCCCCAGAGACGTCACTTCCAATTTTTTTTGAGCACGTTAATGAGTATGGCATTCGATGTACCATTTCTTTCTTTGATGATCCGCTATTAGACATGATGATGATGATTGGTTGGTGGTACCAGTCTCCGAGATCCTTATTGGGCCATCGTGAATGCGTGGATCAGGGTCTTTTCCGGACCAAAACAGATTGAATTGTCTTGCAATCGCACTGGAGTCATGTAATATTGATGGCAAAGCGGCATACTTGTTGATGTATTTGCCAGATAGCAGGTTTGAGCTAATTTATCATGGGACACCAATGTACTGCTGCGTCTGGTAAGTATGACTGGATCTAGGGACAGATCGCGAAGCCCTTCGACCACAGAGACGAATTGGAACCGAGCAAATATCACGGAAACGTCCGAGGAGGATCTCATTGAGACAAGAGACAAAATGTCGATGCGATGACAACGCCTGGTTGGATTGGTCAACGATTACTCTCAGCCATTCGCTAGCAAGGTTCAATGGGAGTCGGTCATCGAAAATTCTTGCCGAGCCTTCATCAATAACTCTTTCCGTCTGGGAATCCCTAAACTCTATTTAGCTCAGCTGAATTGATCGGTGAGCCTTTTCAGAGTGAAGGAGAACAAGATGACGATGCAGTGCTTTGGTCGACTCTAGGGATGCAATCAGTCATGGTCCTTGACAAGCTTGATTCTTAGTTTGATCTCGACATCAATGCTGACTCGTTCCTTCCTTTCATAGAGAAACGTAATTCGTCAAATTCGGCAGGCGCGTCTGCATAGCCTCTTTCGGCTTGTAACTGCGATCTTGGATCTCGAACTCCTTTGCGACATGTATTCAAAGCCCATTTCCCCCCCAATGGCCCGGAATTGACCCCTGGGCCTCACAATCGCGTTGATATTTATTGTTTGTGAGAGTATCACCACGAAATCCGACGCGACGTTTCGCCCTGCCCAGATCCGAGGCTATACCGAAAGATCCTTGTGAGATGACATGGCGTCATCAGTAGTGATACACTGCGAGGCACGACCGCATGACTGAATGACGGGATCCATATATGGTGGACATTCGATGGACATCTGATATGACATGTTCAACTTCGACACTGAGGAAGCTCGGCATATTTGGATGTGGACGTATTGGTGACTGGGACATCGCTTGGTCCAACACGCCAGTCGAATCATTACCAGGATATAGCTTGGGTTCACGAGCGTCTTGTAAACTGCAGTGGCCATGACAACATCAGTGCTAAAAATGAAGTGGCTATGCGGGGAGCTCATCATATCTTGTCCAAGGGCGGCCGTTTGGTGTGTGTGGCCTGAGGAGGGGCAGTTTTTTATGCGTGGCTCGCCGATGCTGATACTCGTCATTTGTGGACCAACCAGAAGGAGAGTGGTCTCTGTTCCGTGGGTTTCTGATGGAGGTTTGTGTATGTGTGCAGGATGGGGAAGACCGTGGGCGACGGTCATCATTCTGCATTTCGCAAGAAGCGACTTGAGCTCGAGGAAGTGCGTTTGTCTAAGACAGTCAACACTGTCGGTTGCTTGTGAATATTTTCGTTGGTCGCCGCCTCAACCACGCAATCCGGTCGGCAGAAATATCTTCAGTCGGGGATTTTCAAATGTCAGTGGCAGGTCTATCCATGACCAGGGGCTGGTGTGGCCATTTTGGCTAGATCACCTGAAATTTTTCGAAGGGAGATCATTGTCAGTGATATATGCCCAGCAAAGAACGCAAACGCCTCAAACCATGCCTGGCTCCTAAATATTCCTAAAAAATCGCAGAGGATCTGTGCCCAGGACAGGATTGCCGTTACCCTGCCAAGGACAAAAAGAGGATAGGAGAGAAAATTCCTTATATGGTCCCTCCTTGAGGCGGCACTGGCCTCCGCTCCGTCGTGGAAAAGGGTTCCTGGCGAGTTTATTGGAGCGGCGGCTCCACCTGGCGTTGCTGAACCAAAACAAGCGTCAGATTGACATACTGCACCGAGCCGTGCGTGACGAAGATGGAGTAGTATGAGTGGGGATCCGTCGTATGCTAGCCGATTCAAGGCTGCTACTTGCCTTATGTCGCGAATGGACTCCTGTTTCTACAGGCGCTGTTCTAACGGCTGTGAAGAGATTGTGTTGGGACCATGTCTGTGAGAATGAGGAAAGCAGCAGAGCGAGGAAAATGTATTCGGCCAGCCGGAGCCACCTAGTCTTCGTGGCTGAATGTGAGCCCCGTTTCTGATTGCTTGGCTTTGCGGTGAATCGTCAGTGTGATTGAATGAGTCCTTGCGGATAATGTCTTGTCTTGTTGGACTGTCCGCCAACTAGGCTTTTGCTTTCTGCAGCCCAGATCCACACTGACAGATCCGGTCCAGTCAACATTGTTCTGCAACTCTGCAAATTTACGAAGGGAAGTCAACATGGTTAATTTGAGCCGATGGCGCTGATTCAATATTATGTCTAGGATGACGTTGAACTTGCTTTTTGACTTTCGAGCTGACCAAGGGCGCTAGCGCTTAAGAGTACATCAGAACAAGTACTTTTAAGTTAGTTCGGATCATCAACACTGATAACAGTGGCGAACTACTCTTGTCCAGCAAAGTATCACATCCGAGCCAGAGTGAAATTGCAAAATCATCAAATACATGTAAGTTCTTTGACTACTAAAGTGAGGGGGCAAGAGGCTGTTACCAACCAAATATCGCAGTCGGACAATATCCATGGACGGTGTTCGACAGGTCTAACGATGACGTACTCTCATTTATGTAGCATTTATGTATTTCACAATTGGCAGAAGTTATCGTAACCATTGTCTTCTTTCTTACTCTTCTACTCCAAGTAAGCTTTTGATCCGTGAAGAAATAGTATGCGCCACACTCGCCGAGGTATTCCCGACACTAAGTTGGATCGTGGCACATGGGGTTCAGCCACGGCTGATCGACAAAATCATTGTTCACGTAAAGAAGTTCCCTCGTGACCAACTTGGAGCCAATATTTCATGTTCTGTGCTTAACTTGATCAATCACAGATGACATCGCGCTCTCTATAGAGCAAGCGAATGACCCACACTGAAAATTATGTCCAAATCCCGCATTTCCTTGACTCGGCAATTGTTTCTCGGAATGTGGGAAGAATTCAACGCGTTTCGTCATGCTAGAATACAGTGTCAATTCCTCCCTTGGACAAATCGATTCCAAAATGCTTTAAACCGAGTATTGGATTAACAAACGCCTTATGCGTTTGAAACATCGATATCAAACATCTGATTAACAAGCCTGATCTTGCGATTCTATCTGTGGATGCCGTAGTTAACAAAAGAGCGCGCAACCTGCATTCCTTAACGCGCCACCCCAAAAATGCCCCTATGCCCAACCAAAAAACCCCTTGAAAATTAACATGAGTATTTGAATATCTACTGGATTGGCCGTCGCGTAGTTTTGCCTCCAACTCGACTTCGACAACACCGACAATCGACCATCAGCATCGACCAGCTGAAGTATCAAACAGCCCGCCAAACCAAACACAACCAAGAAAAGAGAGTAGAAACGATAAGATGCACTACTCTCTCCTCACTTTAGCCACCGTGCTGGTTCACACCCAAGCCAATTCCATTCCTATGCCCTACGGCCTAGGCTCAGTCCCAATCCCAGAGGGCCAGCAAAATGGAAACATCGGCGGAATGAACGGCGAGGCCGCTCAGTACTCAATGGCCAACCCCTCGGCCTCGATGATGGCCCAACGCCCAGCACAAAGTCACTACTACATGACACCCATGCCATCATCTGCAAGCCATCAAATCAACATGCACATGTCGATGCACGCATCCGCATCTGCCTCACAGCCCTACGCTTTCTCCGCTGCAGCCCCAACCCCATCTTCCCGTGTCCACTCTCACGGCCTAAACCACGGTATCCACGCCCCCCACGCGCACGAGGGCTTCGCCAAAGCCCCAGATTTTCTCCCAAAAGCTCCCGACTCTGTGAGCTATAATGGCGCATCTTCAAAGTCGGGTGGCTACCACGGCGGAAACGGGAACGGCTTTACTCAGACCCATGGAGATGATTCTAGCAGCGATGGATCTCCCCCCCTGATGATGAATGGTCCTCAAGCTGGAAGCGATAGCGAGACTCCTATGAACTCTGACATGGACTCGGGCTCTGCTACCCCCACGACACCTGAGGCTGGTGCTGATGAGAATATTGCTCCGTTTCCTGGCTCCGAGCCTGGGAGTAATGTAGCTCCGATTGGGAATCCCATGTTGCCTGGTTCGAACGTTGCGCCTGTTTTGCCGCAGAAGTCGCATGGTGCTGATGAGGGGAATGGGTTTTGCTTGGGGCAGTGCTACGCGAGTCCTGATGATGCGAAGTGTGAGAAGCCATATGTGAGTTTCTTTCCTTTCCGTTTCCGTTTCCTTTTCTTTCCTTCTGTTTTTGGAGATGAATCGATGGTCGATAGTTGGCATGGCTCGTAACTTGTCGAAATGGTTAAACTAACTGAGCTTATTTAGTCTTCACCTATCTACAATGACCAGAACGGTTGCTACACGTGCTGCATCACCTCGCCTGACTTTTAAGTTTGGAGTTTGCTAGCCAAGCTAGGATATTCCGTTTCACTGGATCTGGGATCTTCACTTGGGTTACTGGGAGGTATCTAGGATATATGCGCTTTTTATCTTGATGTCGCCACCATATGGTCGGCTTTGACTCGTGCCTCTTTGATTATCTGTTGCCCTTGGTCTGTAGTATCAGCCCTCCATCCGGAGGTCCGAGGTCAAATTTCTATACCCCAGCTCGGGGCGTTTTTGAATTGGCGGGCAATAGTGTGATTGGTTGTTTTTTGGGTTGTGGCTAAGGGTGTGCTGTTTTATACTTGGTTTCGACTAGATATGGTTTTTACTCCGATGTCTGTTTCCGTTTTAGGTATGTTAATTTCGACTTTAATTCTATGATAACCTTATTCTTATCTTTGATTCATTTCCGGGTAAACACTTTGTACGAAGCTACTACATCCGATGGTTGTTTCCTGTTTTGAAAATTCAGGCATCATCGCTCTGATCCGATGTATGATGTAATATAGATACAAAACTTGGAACTCATTTTCTACTTAATTTATGCTACCAAGATTGTTGGAAGTATTCAAATCTGAAGAATGTGTATAGTTGCAGTCATTATAATCTATTTGCTATCAAGTCAAACATCAAGTCCATCTAGCAATCCGTAAAATCATCCTCACGCTCCGAGGGACATAGTCAAAGAATCCAAAACCAAAGATAAACAAAATCAGAACCAAAGATTTTTCGTAATCCATTATTGAATCAAGCCGATCCAACACGCGCGGACCCGCCGCCACGCACCATAGAAATCGGCGCCGTCTTCTCCACACGCTCATGCTCATGCGCATCCTCCCAGAGATCACCATCAACAACCTTGACAGGAATGCCATCCATACCGAAATGCGGCATAACGAGTTCAACCCCCTTCTTAGCACTAGTCATACTGCCAAAGTAAGGGTTGTGGCGCGGAGGAAGAGGGCGCTGAGCCGGTCCAGACGCAACCTGGTACATGGCGAGGTCGTCAGATGCGTTGCTGCTGAAGGAGCTCGCAACGGTAGACGGAGTGTGCGTCAGAGATGGCACGTTCACTCCGTTCGCTCCGCCTACTAGAGCGGGGAGGCTGGAGGTGCTCCGGGCTGCACGGCGGGCTAGGAGGGACTCGTTTCCACCGTGGAATTTGGAGAGGTAGTTCCAGGCGTCGGAGGATGCGAGGGAAGCCGAACGGGTGGAGAGTAATACTGGCTTCCATTCAGTGGGGTCGAGATCTGATTTGGCATCATGCATGTAGTCGGGTATCCGGATGCCTGGGATTGGGCGGGTGGGCGTCATTGGGGCGACGATGGTGCGTGGGGAAAGAGGAGGAGAGTGAGGAGGTGTTGTGGAGATGGAGGACATGTTGGTCATTGAGGGCATTGAGGCGGAGAGAGGTTTGCAGGAGTCTTTGCGGCGACAGCTAAGTGGGAATTAGCTTGAGTTTCGAGTATATACTAGTAGTATGTATGGGATGTGTAGTGGGAAGGACGGGAGGACCAAGTCCTATAAATCAGATAGGAGTGGAATTTTGCACGTACCTTTCACTGCAGTATAGGATAGAGTTGTTAGGGACGGTTATTTGTTCCTCGCACATGGCACTGTGGACAAGTTAGCCTATTTAAATTTTCTTATACAATCAGGATCACACGATGACGGCAACTGGCATGCAAGGATAGGATGTCCCTGCAGGGGCCACTGATAAGAGCCTTCAAAACCCAAATGTGGAAGAAAACAAACCCAACTTACCAAAAGTTGAGGAAGCTAGCAGCCATGTCGAATTCGTCTTCGTCCTTGACTCCCCGAGCAGTAGAGCCAGAGCCAGAGCCAGCGCCCAATTTAGAGATTGAGACGTTGACAGCTGAAGTGCCTCTCCGATGTAAAGCAGGACGAGACAATTTTGACTTGGTATGAGGAACAGAAGGGGAACGACGATGAGAAGTTGACTGAGTCATATGGATGGCGGTGAAGCCGTGGGCTTCATTCAAATGCCTCACTATCTTATCTTGTGTACCTTGCGCCTTGGACTGGGACAAGTGGAGCTCCGGATTCGAAAGGAGCACGAGCACAATGAGGGATTAAGGACACCGTTTTGACCGCTCAGGAATTCTCGGGATGATGCAGATGATTTTTTATTTCCTTTTAATCTTTTGGGAATTCGGCAAATATGTATGTTCTCCAGGAAACACAGGGAATGACGAATGACTGATAAGCCTTCAGGGTCAGTCTTTGGGTTTTAAATTCTGACGAGAACTGGCCGGGGGGATCATTATCATCCGGTGTGGGGGGGAGGAAAGATAAGGTCGCAGCCAACGGGAAGAGGGAATTAACATACCGATCCAAAGTCTATGAGATGATCGGGACTGATAGGGGCAAACGATATGAAAAACACTTTTCAGATGTTTGTTGTTCAAGATTACAGGAAAAAAAGGAGAAGAAACAAAGTGCCCTGGGGGTGTATAAGTATCTGGGAGAAGAGAAGGAAAACGTGCTCATACGTTCTAGACTTCGGATGATCTTCCCTTGGTTGAGAGGATTCCCTTTTCCCCCCACCTTCTCTTTCTTTTACCCACTCTGTACACGCAACGTAGTGGATGACTCAGTCTCCGCAAACAGTGGTGTCATGGCTATTATTTCTATTTGTTCCTATATTTATCACAGTGGGACAGTCACCACAAAACACCACTCTTTTACTTCATGTTGTTTTAGGTCTTCCAGAGTTGAGATTCTGAAGAACGAAAATCACTCTAGAATCTCCCAAGGTATACGCTCCAGATCCAGTCTAGATCCCTGAGAAGAGCCCGTGCTCTATCGATACGCAGTTCTGCAGCCCGATTTCCCGGTTTGTGTACTTAGCCTGCATAGGGCAGGGAGCCAATCTCCGGAGGGGTCGGATCTGGCGTGATCGAGGGGTTATCACGTAACTACTAGCTACGCCTTAACCCTAACCCCTGGACAAATCAACCTTGAATCTCACATAGACACATTCCCACGCCATATCGTGCCATAAATTACATGCCGAATATTCTCAAATGTTTTATAGACTCAAATCCTATCCAAATGGCGAGGGACGAGTGACAATTGACGACTCCCAGAATCGGAGGCAAACCTGCCCAAATCGATCGGTGTTCTCGAACCCCCGGAAACATTTCCCCACTCCACTGTGACACACCCTTGACACGTCGAGTCTGTGCTTGGTGCTTGGCAGGTTGCGTGTGCTTGGCCATGTCCACTCGATAAGAATTCTAGACTTGAATGCCTGGCAATCAAATTCTGCAGACACCTCGTCATCCTTGTTTGTACCCATAGTCTGGATCATACTAATCGTCGATCGTACGTTGATCTGTTTTGGGTCGCTGGATCGGGTCTGGGGCTGCGGAGTCATTATGGAGACAGTTGCCTAGAATGTAAGACGTCAAAACAAACCAAACAGTCAAAACAGTATAAATAGAGTACTTCGGTGGGCCCATCGGAAGATGGCAAAAGGTATTGCGTAGACGTGTAGTCGTGTGTCACGTCAGAATATTTCAGAGTTTTTTGTGTATTGCTTCACTTTGACTCCCGTCGTCTTCCGTTGCCGTCCAGGGGAAACGTTCCCGTAATTGGATTCCTGGTCAAGGCCCATTGTTTAACAAAGTTTTCAAGTCGATGATTCAATGTGGAGTAGGGATGATGTTGACAATTATTATTTCGGTATCGTGTCCAGATGCTTTATTTGGGTATCTATATACAGGTATGACATATCGTACATTCTCAAACACGGCTTCACCGATCAATATCCATCGGTTCGGCTGTGGCCTTTGCTGGTTCCGCCTTGTCCGTAGACTCGGTCGGGGTTTGCTCATATTCGTCGGCACCCTTCTCCTTACCCAGGAATCGGGCGGGCACACCTCGTGCGGCAGTATCGGTTGGTCCTACGAAACAACCTAACATGCCACTCCAGACGTAGCCTTTCGATATAAGATTTCGAATTTGTCCGTATGCAAAGGAATTGGCATAGGGAAGAGATGTATCAGGGTCACGATAACGAGAGGGTAATGAGGTGATAACACACAATGAGGACGAGATTTCTAGAACAAGTTAGCGTCGTCACACTAGAACATGGAAAGAAACGTACTGGCCAATCGCGCAGGCCGCCTGGCGTTAAAGTAGATGCTATACTTCTTGCTGTGTGCGGTCTTGTCATCAAAGTTCTCGAGGATCGTCAGATTCCGCCCCGTGTGCTCGATGATTGGAGGGGGTAACGGGATCTCGGGTTGGGCTGGTGTTTCATTAATTGCAGGCGGTTGAATTGGGCCTAATTCAGGGACACTTGGGCCTTCGATCGCATTAATCTCGGGTGGCGCGGCCAGGGCTGCTGCATCAGCCGGGACTTGAGGGGTTTGAGGAATTTGAGGGGCCAATGGCGGGGTCACAGATGTGGCCGGGAGAGTAACCTGTTCCGACAAGAGCTCTGACGCACTAGGAAGATTGGCATGGGCGGCAGCTTCTGAAGTTGGTGTATCTGTGCTCGTGGGAGGGTTGGCATTTGTGGTCATTGGCTCGCCCGCCTTGGGCTCAGGCTTATCTATATCCATGGCATCGGCGTCATTCGTAGAAGGCAACTTTGCCGGTTTATCAGATGATGAGGCCACGGGATTTATAGTAGCAGGGTCACGTCGAGTCACGATCTCCACGATAGGTAGGGGGTACCCTTGTGGAGATTTGCGCGGGGGGTCTGAAAGTGTTTTGGCATCCCCCTCTTTCTGCTCTGACTCCGGTTTTTTATCTGCATTCTTCTCTTCTTGATTGACAGCGAGAGATGCTGTTGGAACAGTTGGCTGCTTGGGAGCAATTTGTTCCAGGGATTTGTCGCCTGGTATGGCCTGGTCAACAGATTCTGAGGCTATAGTGGCTCCCGGGACCGTAGTGCCCTCAAGCGCCGTCGGAGGTAACGTGCTGTCAGGCTGAGATAATGTATTTGTTGGTTGAGCAGGAAGGACAGCAGCAGCAGTAGGAGTAATAGAGGGGTCGGTGGGAGGCACAATCACTGGAGCACCTGGGACACTGCTGCCCTGGGGTTGCGATGGTTTCTCCTCCCTTTCTGACTTTTTCTTCTTGGGCGCGTCTTTCTCCTTGATTTTGATCTCTGCTTTACCCACTCGGGTGAGGTTGCCATTCACCCATGTAGCCACACCACTCCAGTAAGATATGACCGGCCCATCCAGTCGACGGTTCTGAAGAGCTTCAATTTTCGCCCGTCGTTCATCCGCCTTCCTTCTTTCTGCTTGTTCCCATCTGTTCAGACTCTTGCTGTTGGTGCGTTCAATCCGTTCAGCCACCGCCAAATGGTCCTCCTGTGTCATCGCCTTCGGCTTCAGGTGGGCCTTCCGTTTCTCTGCCTCCTTCATGGTCGCAATGATACGGACCCGCTTCTCCTGGCTGTCCTTCAGACGAGCATGTGTCATTTCCTTGTTGACCATTGTCTGCCGCCGTGACGATGAACGTGTCGGGCCATCCTCCACGGTTGGGAGCCAGGAGATCCGTTCGGACTTCTTCTTCGGGCGGGGAGGTGCTGGGATCGTGGTGGTAATGGTTGGATCGATCTTGACACGCTTGCGTAGGGTTTGGAATCGGAGATCATTCTGTGTTCGACGCTTTTTGCGTTCTGTCTTTTGTAGTTCCTTCTCGCCTTCGAAGTCGTTAGTTGCATTGGGTCCCTGGTCATCGTCGTCGTCGGATGAGGAGTCCAGCGCCATATCATCATCTTCTGCCCCTTCATCGATTGCAAAGTCATTGTCATCTTCCACCTCTTCGAATAGTAAAGTGAGGTCGTCGTCGGCGGCGGCATCGATTAAAGCGGACATGTGTAGACCAGCGGTGCTTCGCTTTGCGCGTCCTTGAACCAGAGACTCTGGTTGTACTTCTTCCTCCTCGTCCTCCTCCGAGGACTGAAGTCCTGCATATGGGTCTGTTTCCGATACATCAGCCATGATGAATATAGGATTATGTTGAGACCAAGTGGTGTGATCAGCACGGGTTCAATTAAGACGCGACCGGGGAGAATCCTCCGCGGCGCTAGATGAAGATCAAGTGTGGCGTCTAAGTTAGTGTGTGGCTAAATATGTGCCTGAATAAGTAGGCCACAATGTACATCAAACTAGGCACGTGTCTAATTGGAACAAGTTCTTTACTCTGTACATAGCATAGTAAGGATCTGTTGAGAATACCTGGCTAGCTACTCAGCTCCTCGACATGAACTCAACCATTCCTCACTAACTTGCAATTCCTCCGGTTGATCGCCACTATTGGGTTCGGTGCCTGCGTATCCCTCCCGGTTATTCCGCGACTTCAAAGCTTGGCAAGATCTCGCAGCGTTCTACCTCTTCCGGTTGTATGAAGTTCTGCATGCGATGCAGAATTTGTACACTAGTGTTGTGTTGATCACACGATTTTTCAATGGGCCAGTGATAACTAATTTGTAGCTCTTAAGCGCCCAAGATTCAAGACACGTACTCCCGTACCTGAACCATCCCTTGCAGGGCACCACTCAGAACCAGTCTTTGAACTTGTTTCGGACCAACATCATAACCGTCCCCTTGCATAGCCAATTGCATCACTTCGGTCAGATCATCTCATCACAAGTCCCATAGGATCTGTTCCTATTTGAGTCTTCAAAGACATGACGCAGCGGAATGCGGGGCTTCGGTTGGTTCCCACTGGTCTTCAGTCACCGAGCAAGGCATGTCATGGGGGCAAAACAGTCCTAGGGTGTCTGGAGTAATCTGAGTACATAGAATATCTGCTGCAGTAATCATTAAACCTTAGGTATTGACTACTCCATACTCCAAGTGTTTCCTCAAGTTAATGAGTTGTTCCCCAGGCAGACACCTGATTTTTTGGGTCTCCAGAATGACATCGATGGGGCTGTGTTCCTGCCGTATTTCCGTGTAAAGAGTAGAACTGAGTATACAGAAAAACAAAGGAACATCGCATATCATATTTATCATATTTACCTTTCAGAATTTGAAAGTCTTCAATTTCAATTCACTAAAATTAGAAGTACGAAGGTTCAGAGGTAGAACAATTGGATTGTGTGTCAAAAGTGAAGCTGGAGGCCACAACTCTCCACCAACCACAAACTCCTCGAGCATCCGGATCTCCCCCAACATCTTCTTCCTTCTTCCACCCTTTCCTCTTTCTCACCTCCCCCCACACTTTCTTCCTTTCTTTTTTTTCTCTATTACTACTTTTGCATTTTTATGCGATTTGGCTTCGGTAATATCTCTCTTTTGTCCCCCCCAGAGTCGCGCAAACTGACTGACTTCTCCAGCCGCCTCGATCCCTTCCCCCGATCCCGTCTGCTTCTAGTCCTCACTTGACGCTCCTTTGTGTCTGCATTTCTTTTCACCTCAATTTCATGCATCACTTCGAGGCGCGCTGGAGGTGATTGAAATACTGTGAATCTTGATTTCGACCGCTTGATTTCGTCGGTTTTTTTGGGTCATCACCCCACAGTGAATGTTGTGAGTTTGTCACCTGAACTTTTTTCTCCGTCAGTGCTCTCGTTCTGGCATGTCATATTGAAGAACTTCATCCCCTCTTCACATTGCACACCTGAATTCCATAATGAGCTGAAATCGCTTTGTCAACCCCTCCCACTTTTCCGCTACCCGGTCATCCAACTATGTACCTTTGAAACAACCTTGGCTGACTGGCTTTGCTCGGAACAGATAGACTTCATCGATTGTTGTCTAGTCCTACTCTTTAAATACCTTCCTTCGGATCGAGATTCTTCATATGCTGCAGGCGACGCACACGCGAATCTAAGAAACCCATATCCGAGTCTCAACGCTGTCAGTCCCTTTCCATATTGGGACACATAGAGCGATAGGAAATAGAACAATCGCGTGAATCTGGGAAAATCGTTATGTTGCCGGTTTCGCGATCCGAACAAATGAGTTACAATTACGTTCCAACCTCTCAGCCCATGTCCGGGACCTCGACAGGACGCAATTCTCCTAGCGACTTGGCTGGGTCTGGCACGGCGAAGGCACCCTTTGGGCCCCCTGGGTCGATTGGCGCTACGAGGCTGGGGGCTGGATCCCCTTCAGAGTTGGGGGGACGTTTATTCCAGAAGCGGTATGTACACCACGGCAAGGGCAAATGGGATGAGTCGAGCTGACCAGTCTTTGATCCTCTAGAGCCCGCGAAATTCAAGCGCAAGAAGGCGTGTCTCCTAATATCTGGGGCCCTCCCACAAGTGGCCATTCAACTCCACTTCGGGAGAACATCCCCGAATCGCCCAGCCAGGATAGCTTTCCTGACTTTAATCCTACCTCCAATGCCCCTCTTTCTGGCTCTGGCCGCAGGGCCCGCGCTGGGACAGTGCCTTCCCGATTCCCACCGATGGCAACCCTCAGTGAAACGGATCTTCAGCAGCCATTTATCTCGCAAACCTCCCGACCAACACCATCTACCAGTCCATTCCGCCCGGTTGTCTCTGGGATTGACACGGGCTCGCAGGTGACAAGCTCAGGCGCGCCTAATCCAGCTCTGTTGTCCCGTCTTCGAGCTGGCTCGATGCCGCAGAGAAGCGGCTTGCTCGGTTCAGGCAATCCTTTCGGCTCGTCACTGTTCCCTTCGGCTTGGTCGACCGGTCGTGAACGTGCTTCAACCTTGACTAGCATCCGATCTTCTGAAGACCCGAACTCCCCCAGCTATTCTTCGTTCTCGCGAGATGGACTTACAGACTCTGACAGAACTTTGGATTATCTTGGTCTTGCGGAGACTCCTCAGTCTGCACGGGCGTCTCTTTCACGGCCATCGATGGAAGCTCTCTTGCAACAGCAGCAGCAGCAGCAAGCACAGCAGCAACAACAACATGCAGGACTCCCAGGGCTTCTGGCTGACATGGCAATGATGAAAAGCAGCAACCGCTTTCGGTCTTATTCCGTTAATGCCAAGGAGAAATATGCAGATGATGAGGATATGGCATATGAGAGCCACTACTCTCAGCTCCCCTCGGGAAGTCTCACGCCCTCTGCTGCCGCAACTGCAGCTCAACTCGCCGCGACGCAGGCACAGATCCACCAGCACAATCTAGCCGTTCAGGCCTTTGCCTCCCATGCTTCAGTTAACCGGCCGCGGGCACGAACTGCTGGTATTCTAGAGGCCCCTCCCACCCGATCTTCCATTCGTAATTACCTCGCAACTCCTTCTCGCCTTGACAGCTCGTTCAATGCCGAAGATCTCATGGGAGAGAATGACTATGATGACCTGTCTGAAGCAGTTCTTGGGCTACAACTCGGTGTGAACGGTGCTGCTGTGATGGGTATGCGGGCACAGGGTGAGATGGCCGATGAAAACAATCAGGATGGACCGACTCGAGCTCTATGGATCGGCAGCATTCCCGTGTCAACAACTGTGAGCTCCCTGGATGCCATTTTCCGCCTGTACGGAAACATCGATTCCACTCGTGTCCTGACCCACAAGAACTGTGGATTTGTCAATTTTGAGCGTCTCGAAAGTGCAGTGCAGGCGAAGTCAGTTCTGAATGGCAAAGAGATCTTCCCCGGCGCAGGCCCTGTTCGGATTGGCTACGCCAAGGTTCCTGGTGCTTCTGCCACAGGCACCCCTGGTGCAAATGGCATCCAGTCATCCCCAACCCCCGAGGCCGGCTTCAAGTCTAACCTCGCGTCGGGTGATGGTCTGGATCGAGCAGAGATCAGCTCCGTTCCTCAGATTCCAGCCCTCAGTGACCTTCTCCCTGAGATGGTGGAAATTGTCCAAGAATTTGGGGCCAATGAGGATGACAAGAACAACATTACCAACATCATTCAAAATGCCATTGCTTTCCAAAACTTCGAGGACGAAATCTCTCCTATCCTTGAGCCGAGCCAGACTCGGATGTTTGATGCCCCTCGTCTCCGTGACATTCGGAAGCGAATCGAGGCTAATACTTGTTCCATCCAAGAGATTGAAGAGACGGCTGGTGCAATGCTTCCGGAGATTGCAGAGCTGGCTTCTGACTACCTGGGCAATACCGTCGTTCAAAAGCTTTTCCAATTCTGCTCGGAGGCCACCAAAGAGCAGATGCTTTCTCACATTTCTCCTCATCTCGCTGAGATTGGTGTGCACAAGAATGGAACTTGGGCTGCACAGAAGATAATTGAAGAAGCCAAAACACCAACCCAGATGAACATGATCGTTGACGCACTTCGTCCATACACTGTACCTCTCTTCCTGGATCAGTACGGCAACTATGTCCTCCAAGGCTGCTTGCGGTTTGGTGCACCTTACAACAATTTTATCTTTGAGACTATGCTCAGCCGGATGTGGGAGATTGCCCAGGGCCGATTTGGATCCCGAGCCATGCGTGCTTGCTTGGAAAGCCACCGTGCTACAAAGGACCAGCAGCGGACACTTGCTGCAGCCATTGCCCTTCATACCGTGCAGTTGGTGACAAATGCCAATGGAGCTCTTCTGCTCACTTGGTTCCTTGACACTTGTAACTTCCCCCGCCGTCGGACTGTACTCGCTCCTCGACTTGTTCCTCATCTTGTGCACCTTTGCACCCATAAGGTGGCCTACCTTACGGTTCTCAAGGTGATCAACCAGCGCAATGAGCCCGAGGCCAGAGATATCATTCTCAAGGCCTTGTTCTTCAGCCCTGGTGACGAAATTCTGGAGAAGATCCTGAGTGACCAGACTTCGGGCGCCACTCTAATATTCAAGGTCTTGACTACCCCCTTCTTCGACGAGTCTATGCGTGCGGAGGTTATTAAGAACGTTGCAAAGGTCTTGACCAAACTGAAGGCCTCTCCTAGCCAGGGATATAAGCGCCTGATGGACGAAGTTGGCCTCACCTCGCGTGGGAACGGCCGTGAGCATCATCATGGACGCGAACACGGTGCAAGTCACTCTTCCACACCCGAGAAGTCTCAACCGCGTCAATCTTCTCGACACGGTAGTACCAACTACCCCTCGCAGCCTTCTATGGAGAGACAATACAGCGGCCAGTATCCTCTGGGACAGAACCCCGACTCCCGACCAATCTCTGCCGACCACCACAATGCCCCGCCGCTTGATCCATACACCAGCAATGGCATTAACGGCTTTTCGAATCCCTTGAATGGTCTCGGTGGTGTTGGGTTCCAAGATCCTGTGGCCCAGCTTCCTCAACTGCAGTACCAGAACTATCTCGCTGCCCAGGCCCGTGGGGTCTCTCCTGGTGGCATGTACGCTGGTATGCCCGGGGCGATTGGTGGGGCAAACTTCGTGTACCCAGGTGGATCGCCATCAATGGAGACTCTGCGATCCATGCAGAACCAGCAGGGATCACCGCTGTCAGCAGGAACCAACCCCATGATTGGTCAACCAAACTACCCCTCCCAACAATTCAGCCCTGTGATGCCTCCTGCTCAGGTCTACCAATACCCTCCGCAATTCTACCCCCAGGCACAGTCAGTCCAGGGACAGTCCAGCGGAGGCCGACGTGGACGGGTGAGTTCTTTTTACGATGCCTAGGCACTTCGCCCTGACATTGGCTAACTTCATTTCAGCGTTGATACTCGCATATGATTTTTTTAATCAAATCTTCCCTGCCTTCATCTACCTGTATAAATTCATTTCCCCGTTTTCTTACTTTTGGGCCATCTTATCATGGAGATACAGCGGGCTCTCTAGCTTTGTTTTGTGAAGCCATGTCCTTTTGTCTCTGATCGGACGCTGGATCGCCGGCAGGGGAGCGAGGATATGGCAGAGGAATTTTGGGGGCTGGAACAAAAGTGTCTGGTGTCATGTATCTTCATGGAGACGAGCGTTTCTTCTTTTTTTTTTTCAAATGATAATGTATCTTCTGATCTGATGATCCTTCCGGCCTCTGTTCATTTGGGCTGAACCTGGTAAACTTATTTGCACTGATTCAATTTCCAATTGAAATTTTTCAGCCGCATGACTAGATCTAGTAAAATGTAATTTGCTGACTCCGCCCGTGTCGATGCTTAATTCTCCACCCACCTCAATCATCATTCACGCCAAAACATACTAAAAATGGCATATTCTCAGAACCCCGCCATCATCTTTCAAAACACTGATGAGACAGTCTATCTCATTGACACTCCTGAATCGATTGCCCATGCACAAGTATTGCAGACCACGGTATCAAACCAAGAATGTGTACCAACCGGGAAGACCTCTAAGAGGTCTCTTATCTCTACTGTGCCTCTGATGACGCCGTACTCATCTCGAACAGAGCCGAAGAAAGACTCTGCGCGTGCTAAAATTCTATCTAGAATTTCACCGAGCGATCAGCGATTTCACGGTGAATTTATCCAGCCGCTTGTGGCGAGCGCGTTAGATGAGTTAAGGGACCGATTTTTGCCATCTGATGCGAGATGGTGTGTTCCTAGAACTATCCAAAATGAGACAGTGCATGGAAAAGAACTGTCGCATAGCTTTAATCCATCCATCAAGAAGCGGAAACTCGAAAATCCGCAGAATGTGCATTCTCCATTGCATCAGGTGGATAACACAAGCCCTATTTCTTTGACTGGACCTCCCACAATCCTATCCTCGAGTTCTGTCAATATCTTTAGCTTGACATCAGAATTGGAAGGCCTGGTGAAAAATCCATCCTCAGAGGAGGCGATACTATCAATCAGTACCATCGGACATGATGGGAAGCGCTCTTCCTCAGAATACCTTATCCCACCTCAGTCTGCTTTTGTGCTCTGCACCCTCCCCTTGTCACAGCCAGACCCCCTTGAGACACCGATCCCTGGAATACCTGGAAGTCAGCGTTTTAATTTGATCCTTTTCGACCCACCCTGGCCAAATCGCTCTGTTCATCGCAGCAAGGAATATCAAACGCATTCGTATGACGAAATGAATGTTTTGAGCCAACGGCTTCATGATATTTTACGTGTTCACGCTTACGATCCTTCGCCTGATGATTTTCCCAAATCAGCTACGCAGGTCTCGAGTCAAGAAAGTTTTGCAGCTATCTGGATCACCAATTCCGAGAAAGCCCGCAAAGTAGCCTATGAATCCTTACTGGCTTCTGGATTTCGCATCCACGAGGAATGGATCTGGATCAAGATCACCGCTGATGGACAGACGGTGTATCCATTGGACGGGCTCTGGCGAAAGCCATACGAGATTCTTGTTATTGGGCGGAAAGACACGTCTCCAGTGGTATTGGATGCAGGGCGTACGATATCGCAGGAAAATGATCTACTCGGTGTCGATCCAAGCACGATTACGAGAAGAGTGATTGCAGCTGTTCCAGATCTTCATTCGCGAAAACCAAATCTGAAATCGGTATTTGAGCGGGTATTGTTTGGATCTACGTTGTCAACTCGCAAGTCTTATTCGGCGCTCGAAGTATTTGCTCGGAGTTTAACTTCCGAATGGTGGGCATGTGGGAATGAGGTTGTGAAGTTCAATTCCCGGGACTGCTGGTTCGATCACGATTCGACCTGACCGACAATTGTACTTCAAGATTCGCAATAGTCATCATTTGATTTATCAGAGGCAAGCCAAGCCTAGCCCCGGCTCCTGGACCCAATCAATTGCCGGCCCCCAAATGATTAAAAACATGGCGGAAACTCTCCGCATGACAGGGGCATAATTAATTGTTCAGCAACTTGCGGTGAAAATCAATTTTGCTACATTGCAGCTCACATGTGCAAGGCTGTGGAGTATTTATAATGGAAATTGTTCAAAATACATATAAGGTGTGATAGTTGCACCCCACTTGGTGCGGCAAAAACGAAGCTAAAAGCTATATCGCCCCTGGAGAAATCCCCGCCGTCGTAATCTCCATTATCGATTTTAATCTTGACTTTTCTTCGACTTCTAAGTTTACCACGTCCACGAATCCTGCAACAATGGTTTCACAAAACCATGCAGATCAGGAAAAAGGCCCCGAGGTCACATTAACGCCCAAAGAAGACTATGCGCAACGACCAAAGTGCTTCAATTCAACCATCCAGGAATGTCTGTTCGTCCTAACAGCCACCATGGCTATCGGTCAGCAATCCTTTTTCCAAGGTTGCATCGTGGGCGTGACTGCATCCATTGGATCAGATCTGAATATGAACTCCGCTGAAATCACCTGGATCAATGCTGGTGCCTCGTACGTACATTCTCTATAAACCTCTACCCCAAATACAATACCCTCATGTGCTATGCCTACCTACCCAGTCAAGACGTCCATGAATCCAAAAAACAGCCACGAGCTACTGCTTCTCTTCTCTACTCTTCCATTTCTATATACCATATCATTTCACTAACCAAATATACATCCCCAGCCTCAGCAGCGGCGCCTTCCTACTAACATTTGGTAAACTAGCCGACATGTTCGGCCGGAAAGCTCTTTTCATCATTGGCATGGCCGGCTTCACCCTCTCCCTGCTAATAGCTGGCTTCGCCACAAACGCCATCTACATGGACGTTTTCTCCGGTATTCTGGGACTCTTCGCAGCGGCAGTGATCCCGCCTGCTGTCGGGACCCTGGGGGCTGTGTATGAGAAGCCGTCGAAGCGGAAGAATCGTGCATTTGCCTGCTTTAGTGCGGGTAATCCCCTGGGCTTTGTGGGTGGTATGATTATATCTGGTGTTGCGTCAAATGAGTATAACTGGCGGGCTTCGTTTTGGGCTCTTGCGGTTGTTTATGCTATTTTTACGGCTTTGACGGTGTGGACTGTTCCTGTTGATGGGTTTGCGAGGACGCCTCTTAGTGTTGAGGCATTCAGGAAGTTTGATCTTCTTGGGACGGCTTTGGTTATTGTTGGGTTTGCGTTCTTTTCTAGTTCGCTTTCGTATGTTGTCTCCTTTCTGGTTGGGTTGGCTTGGACCAGGCTAATTTTCTACAGACTTGCGGGTGATGCGCCGGATGGCTGGAAAACTGGATATGTTCTTGCTCTATTTATTGTTGGCTTTTTCTTGCTGGTTGTATTTCTGTGGTGGCAGTCTGTTGCGACAAATGCTCTGATGCCATTGGGGATTTGGAAAGATCGGAATTTCTCCCTTGTATGTCATACATCAAGGCTGCAGTATGAATATTGCTAACTCTTTTCAGATCATGGCAATCTTCTGTCTCGGTTTCATGGGTTTCTCCGCCGTCACTTTCTACCTATCCCTCTACCTTCAAGATGTCAAACACCTCACGGCGTTGGAAATTACCGCACGTTTAATGCCAATGGTAGTCAGCGGTGTCACAGTCAACGTCATCTGTGGTTTGATCCTCCACCGAGTCAGCAATAGTGTGTTGACCGGTATCGGTGCACTAGCATATACCGCCTCGTTCCTCATTTTAAGCTTCATGAAAGAAGATTCGCTCTACTGGGAATACATATTCCCAGCCCTGATACTTGTGGTCGTTGGTGCTGATATCCAATTCAACGTTACAAATGTACGTCTTGCACTCCGTTCATCACTTCTCTCTGGTGGCTAACAAATGTGTTTTTATCTCTAGATGTACGTCATGTCATCGCTGCCACCCGGTCAGCAATCAATCGCCGGTGGAATCTTCAACACAGTCAGCAAGCTATGCTCCAATCTGGGCCTTGGCATCGCTACCTCCATCGAGAGTTCCATCGCCAATAAGATGACTGCTTCTACACCGGCTATTAGGCCTTATCTAACTGTCTACTGGTATGCTTCTGCAGCGGCCGGTGCTTCCCTTTTCCTGGTTCCTTTCTTGACCCTAGGGACCCAGGGTGGAGATAAACCTAGTGATGCCGAGGATGAGAGTCTAGACACGAAGCTGGAGGAGACGAAGGTCATCATTGATGCTAATTCTGCGCCTGTCGCTCCTGGAACCGAGATTCTTTCCCAGACGTCGGCCGTGGAGGTTGTGGAAGAGCGTTGATTTGAGAGTCGATCGACGAGTGAAGTTGAGGAGATGCGAACGATATCCGATAGACAATTAATAGATGCGCTTTTTTTGACTGTTCATCGAGTTCCTCCGCCAGCAGCCTAGTTCCAGAGAAACCGATCGGTCTAAAACAAATCACTCAAACTAACGAGACTAAACCTCAATTCCCCCTCCTCCATCCCCCTAGCGATGAACTTCCTGACACCCAAATTCAACGCAGTCTCACTCAACGCATCCTCGTCGTCCTTAAGTGGTCCTCTAGCTAAGGGCCCCTTCCTCCTTCCATCAAGCTCCCAAAGCTGCCCATCCGCCTTAACGAACGCCACAAAGTGCAAATCAACATCATCATCCGCTTGCGGGGCATCCGTACCACCCAAGTTCGCTGCATTCGCATGTGCACTCTCTAACACCTTACTATCATAAAGTAGATCCGCCCGACGAGAAGGCTCCAGATCCTGCGCCTGGCGGAGAAGCTTATCCAGATCGGAGTCTTCCTCAACATGTGTCCGAGCATCGCCGTTTGCAACAGCATGCAGAAGTGCGATTAGACCGCAGGAGTTGCGGATCGTTTGTTTGAACCACATTACTCGTTCGCTCGGGCCGTGGCCGGTGTATTCTTGGAGTGTGGCGTCTTCTTTCTTACGGTGTTCTTCGTAGGCGGGGGTGACGGGGAAGACGAGGAGGAGGGCGTACGATGGACGTGGAACGAACCCTAGGAGGTCTGCGTCGTTGATTGAGTATACATCTGAGAAGCCGCGGTCTTGGCTGAAGCCCAGGTTGTGGACGAGGTCGTTCATTACGTTCGCGTCGTTTTCTGTTTTGTTAGCTGGGTTGGTGCGGGGTTGGTGGGGAGGTTTGTACCGAGAGGCACGAAGGCCTTTTGGGTCTTTGGGACATCGGGGTTGTCGGTCATGGTGGATTGTAAGTTAGATTAAGGGGTATTTCCCAAGTTAGGAAGTATTGAGGAAGTTATGGGAGAGAAGTGGATTGTTTGCGGGGTTTCGACACGTTTTGGGGTGGCCAGCTGGGCTTTATCGGCTTATCGGAGATCTCCACTTTAGCTATATAAAGTGGGAATTTGTAAATTCATATTGAATACTAACTTACTATCTCATATATATTCATAATAGACTAGACCTTAATTTCATTCATCAAACAATCTAGAGTATGGGTCAGGTGACCCCCTACGTTTGCTTCAGCGCTTGCATGTCTTAGACTCTTAGCTAGCTCTCTCTCCCTCTTCCTCCTCCTCCATCCCTCTCATAATACAGAACATGACGCTTTTCCCCCTAAACACAGTGATGGCGTGAGCTGCGCAATCCTCCACTCAAATGCCAGTTGATATATCTCCATATGAAGCTTCACTGCCCACGGAAATATATCGAATGCGATGAGGTTTTTTCTATGCCCATGCTTAGACAATACCCTGCAAATCCTAAGATTTCTGCCCGTTCGCTAACAAATACCACAGAATATCAAGAAGGCCAAGAAGAGAAGTACAGCTGTAGCACTGAAAGTACCAGAAAGCCTTCAAGGCCAACGAGCTCCCCACCGCCAGGGCTGAGCAGGAGAGGGGCATGCCCGTCTCCGGGGTCATGGGCTAGGTGGTGAAGAATCACAAGATTCTGGAGGAAGAGTACAACGAGAGCCAGGGGGTTACACTTGAAGAACACGTTCAACGACGGCCTAGGGCGAAGGTAGACACTCACGGACAGAAGGGGGGGTTGACTACATGTATTTCTGAAAGGATTTGAAGAAACATAAAGCATGGAGCCAATCAAAACTCCGATATTGTTCACTATATCCAACATCTAGATGAGTTCCATGGGTATCACTACCACTTGATATGATCATGTCGCCAATCCTTAACCCAATTCACTCCTTCTATTTCGCAGTATCTATCGGGGTTCCATGCATCTAGAATTCCCAGTTAGCCACCCCAGTGCACAGACACTAAGACATGGAATATACATACCGTCTCCGCAAATCGTATCCACTCCTCTACTCCCTTCACGAACAAATCATCTGCCGCAGGCAGCATCTCGTGTTGCCATACAATCATCTCGTCAAATGTACCCTGTGTCTCCAAAATCTTGACCGGTGCCTCGGGTCCATTCTCGAGGATCTCAACATCCTCACAGCCCTTGTCTGCCTGGGGCAGAACACGATCTGTGGAAACCGCGACAATTCCTGTTGTACGAGAAACTTAGCCCGTGTACACTGTTCGAAGCTAGCGTATGCATACCTTGATACCCCTCGGGAATCGCAACGCGCCGCCCGCGGAGTTTGCGCCCTCGGAAGTATGCATCATGTGTGTTGTCTGGTAGTCATTTCGGATTAGTTGATTGTCCGATGCCACAATTTAGCAGACGGTGTGATGTTGTTCTGCATTCCGTGTATACCTTTTGCGTCTGTGACAGGTGTCCAGAGGCGATCGCAGGATGCAATGGGGCCGTCGTGGTGGATTTGGCAAGGAAGGATATTCGGTGTGAGTTTGGGTGTGGATGACTCGTCTTTTTGGTGTGTTTTGGGCAGAGGGCCTGCTTGGAAGGCGTACATGTCTGGCATTGTTGGCCGGGTCGGAGATCTGTTCTTCGCGCTGTAAATTTGGCAGAAGCTGCTATATTAGATTTGTGTATTATCTCAATGAAAATTGCTGTGTACTGCTTAGTAGAAAGTATATAGACAGCGTGTCTGTGGTAGAAATCAATGTCGATGTTGGAATTTGCGGAGTTGGAAATGAAGCGCGTCGCGTCTCCGCGTTAAGTGGATTTCGGCCATAGTAACTCACCAGTTCACTCATCTTGTCCATTCAGCGTACTTCAGTCACCACAATATCGTCCTTTTAGTTCAATCACATATGCCTATTTCAGTCGAAATCTCTATCAATTCCCTTGATACCAGGGAAGAGGATTCTGAAAGTTTGCCTTTTTGTGGAAGGGACAATTTGAAGAATTGCGAGATGAAAGCTTTAGCCTAGGAATCCAGTTGCCGAAGCACCAATCAACCCTCGACTTCCCCAATAGAGCCTGCCCAAGTGACTGCCCGTTATATAGATATTCTGCATCCCTCGGCTCTTAGTACTTTTGGCTGCCTCGCTGGGATAGGATCATCAATTGCTCCAGTTCTTCTCTACTGACGCTGTCGCAGGGCATTCGTGGATATCAAATACCCTGGACTTTGATCAATCCCAATCTTGAGCCCCCTTTCCATAGCTGACAAAGACATGTTAACGAAGCAATACTCGATTTCCATTCAAATAGAGATCAAACAGCGGGATGGGAAAAAAATAGAATAAACAATGACGGGGAGATAGGCTACATATGGCAGGATTTATATGTAGCCTACAGCGATTTCTGGGCTAGAGTAGGGTGGATCGTATATTTTACTTGAGTATCTGGCAATCGCTCCACGTGCCTCCCAATTTACTCTTATACACCCTAACACATATGCAAGAACATACCCATGCCTCCAAATTCGTTAGCACCCTACAATTTCAACATTTCAAATGTTTGTTTTTTGTTTTGCGTGTCGTCGAGTACTTGACTTGAAACCATGGGTATGTTTCTGATTGGGTTACAGTAGACAAGGTGTACAAGAGTACTTTAGGAGGTACGTGGAGCAATTCCCATCAGTATACATACTTCCCTAGGTGTGGAGGTGGATTCGTGAATAATAATATTCAATTCTTTAACTTGATGCAAATTTGGGGTATACAAAATGTCTCTACAATAAGTACAGTTCCTGCGATGCCTCATGCCAGCCAGTTATCCAGCATCACCGCTTGCGAGTAGTCTTCTTCTTTTTCTTCTTCTTGTCTCCCTTATCCTTGCCATCCACAGGAGCCCGCACAGGCCACTTCTTCAAGTGTTCCCGTTCGAAAGCGTCCTTTTCCCTTCTATACAACGCCATAGTCGCACGCGCATCTTCTACCGAAGAGTGTGCACCATCCTGAATCTTCAATCCAAGGAAATGCTCCGCAAGAATCTTCAGTCGCGGGGAACCACCACCAGCAATCTTCCGGTACTCGGGGTGTTTGCTCGTGTCTCGGATATCGCGCTTGGGGTGACCAAGCAGTAAAGCGTCCAAATCGTTGCTCACGGCGTGACCGACCAGAATTCGGCCATCCATGATATCGGCCACCTCCTTTTGTACTGCTTCGAGAGTTCGTGCCTCTACCATGTGCTTCGGAGCGATGCCGCTGACATGGGTTCGCCAGTCTGTTACCATCTCCTTGGGTCGTACATATGAATCGTAGATTTGGTCGCCGTTGAAGTTGACGATACTGACACGCGCAAGGACAGAGTCATGATCGGGATTTGGGCCTACGCCAACCATCTCACAATCCATGGCGATGTATTTTCCGAGCTCGGCCCTGAAATAGAAAGTGTGAGTGAAACGTATAAGCTTAATTGAAATGTAGTACTCACGTTTTTGAGCGGCCCTCATTCACCTTGGTATTCTGAGCATCAGCGGCAGGCTGTGCTGAGAATCCAGCACTGGACTTTCTTCGTAGAGAAGGAGTTGACTCCCCATTTCCGGCGATTTTAGATGCGTCCCCCATTCTCTGTAGATTATAGGCACTTGGCGCGCGTTTTGTCTGTTTCTTGTCGGTAAATTTGTGTTTCTTGATGGGACCAGAGCCCGAGTCTCGGTCTGAGGCTTTGCGTTTTGTGCTTGATGTAGTGGTTGAGGGGCTATCCTTCTTCAACGTCGCCTGTAGCTTCTTCCAGTTGCTGGAGAGGCCACTCATATCCATTCCGACGGTGGATTATTGTATCAGGACTTGTGCATGGTGAGGGAGATTGGAGATGGACTGATTGCCGTTAACTTTTTTTTCTGGCAGAAAGGCCGATAGGAACACCGCCTTTATATTCCATTCGGGACTAGACCGTAATAGGCAAATATTTTAATTTTACTATTAGATTCAGGTAGGCATTGTTGTTGTCATATGTGACTATGTCGAGTCTGTTTAAAATCCAAGGTTGAAAAAGGCGACCAATGGGGAAATGATGATGCTTTTCGTGGTGGATACAGTCACCAGGCCTACATGTATAATCATGAACGAGACGGAATCGAATTTCAAACCCATTGATTGTGCAGAGAAAATTTTATATGTCCAAACGCCGATGCACGCTTTTACCTAGGTATTAAGTAACAAGAACAACAGTTTAGTCGAAGCCAGGAACCTTGAAGTCTTTGGACATCCACTTCTCGGTAATCTTTCTCTTGGCCTTGCGAGCCTGTGTCACCGGCTTGCGAGATTCGAGCTTTCCTTGAACAATCAGTGTTCGGAATCGGTCATCCAGCAAGTTTCCTTCCGGCTTCAAGAGTCGGAGGGAGTCCTGAAGTTCATCAGGAAGAACCAGCTCCAAAGGCTTCTCCGGGGGTCTGGGATGGTCATTAGCAATAGCTCACATATATATACAATAGAGGAACACATACGCAAGTTTCCCTGCAAACGCCTTGCGTCGAAGCTTAGTATCGTCACCCTCTTCATCATCATCGGCATCGGAATCGTTGGCTGCTTCGAGCGCCCGCTGCCGGGCCTCTTCGGCAAGCAGCTCGACTTGCTCGGCTTGTTTCTCTGTCGCAGCCCTCTTGGCCTCCCATTTTGCCAGACGCTCGGCCTCCTTTCGACGGTTGATTTTGTTGCGCTGGGTCTTGGTCTTTCGCTCGGGTCGCTTCTTGTTTAACCACTCAGGCTTCTCATATTCGCTCTCGAAGCCCTCCCAGGCACTTTCGTCGTCAGACTTTACTTCGCCGTCGTCGCCTTGTGCTGCCTCCTGCAGGAGTCTCTTCTTTTCTTCTTCCTTCTCCTCCTCGAGACGCTTCTTCTCTGCCTCTACAGCAGCCGCACCTTGCTCTTGGAGTAGACGGTCCCACTCATCGAAGACGGGGTTGTAGCTGGTTCCTGCATGCGGCTTGCGAACTGATGGGATGGGCTTTCCATTGGCGGCAAGTGAGATTGGAGCGTGCCTAATGGTCTCCGGCGCGACCTTGGCCTTGGGCTTCACCAGGAAATCAAATCGGGGATCATCCACGACGGCCGATGCAGTTGCTTCGGCGTCCTCCGCCCAAGGATCGTAGAGTTCACTTCCATGAATCTTGGTGCCAGCGGTTCCATCCTTGGCTACCTGCTTCAAGCGCTGAAGTTCCTTGTTGCTGACCCAATCCTTTCTGTGTTTCTTGGTCTTTGGCTCAATAACTCCATCGGTGATGTTGGAGTTTATACGCTTGCGACCGTCCAGAGCGGGAATGACAGACCGCTGGGCGATAATTTCATCCGCCTTGAGTGGCTTGTGCTTTTTGGAAATTTGTTTGCGCACTTCTTCGTTTCCAGTAGTATCGAGAATGAACAATTCGTCAGACGGCTTCTCTGAGATAAGACCACTGTGCAGTATAAGCAAAATGCCTTCGAGTAAAGAAGAAAATGATAAAAACATACCCTTTGATCTCTTCTTCATTCAACTGGCGCAGACCTTCCTGCACCTCAGTAACGTCGACATTCTTGCGCCAAGCCTTCTTACCCTTACGGGACGGCTGTTTGAACTGGCGAGGGGCTTCCACCGATGTAGACATGGTTGATGCTCTTATCTTCCTTTGCAAATTCCGAAACCAAAAAAAAGTGAAAAGCCCCAAAAATCTGGATCTGCTGACTAAGGCGGGGCGGTCACACCGGGCGGTGAAGGACCTAAGCTCTTGGCATAACTCGTCTTTTCTGGCTGCACCTACTGCGCGTCACTTTCAGCCCGGGGACACTCGACTTTTATCTCCCGGGAATCTGAAATTCAAAGAAATAAACGGGAGCTTGCTTGGTTTGACCAGATTCTTGGTCTCAATCGCACATCATGCCGGTCGTCAAAGGAGGTGTTTGGTATGTTCACTCATTATCCTATTCTATGGCCGCTACTAACTAGATCAAAGGACTAATATTGAGGATGAAGTGCTTCGTGCAGCTGTATGTATCTATCGTTTTAATTTTTATTTGATCGCGCGATACTGACGCGACTATAGGTCTCCAAATATGGTCTCAATCAATGGGCTCGAGTCTCCTCTCTCCTCGCTCGGAAGACGCCGAAGCAATGCAAAGCGCGCTGGATAGAGTGGTTAGACCCTGGCATTCGCAAGGTCGAGTGGTCGCGAGAGGAAGATGAGAAGCTTTTGCATCTTGCCAAGCTGATGCCAACACAATGGCGTACCATCGCTCCGATCGTCGGTCGCACCGCAACACAATGTCTTGAACGATACCAAAAACTTTTGGACGAGGCCGAAGCTCGTGAGAATGATGAGCTTGGATTGGGGGGTCCTGAGGGTGGAGAAACAGCTGCTCCTAGTGCGGATGATGTTCGCCGTTTACGGTACGTTGATTATTCTACAAACATACAGGTCTTTGTACTAAAAGTGCTACAGCCCTGGTGAGCTAGATCCCGACCCGGAATCGAAGCCTGCGCGCCCCGACACGATCGATCTGGATGAAGATGAGAAAGAAATGCTTAGCGAGGCGCGTGCACGTCTTGCCAACACACAGGGTAAAAAGGCGAAGCGAAAGGCCCGAGAACGTCAATTAGAAGAGTCCCGTCGACTTGCAGTGCTGCAAAAGCGTCGTGAACTTAAGAATGCCGGTATCAATGTTAAGGTCGTGACTCGGAAGCCGGGCCAGATGGACTACAACGCAGACATTCCATTTGAGAAGCCAGCCGCTCCAGGATTCTACGATACTGCAGAGGAGGAGATGCGGAACGAGCGCCAGCGTGAATTGTTCGACCCCCGAAAGCAGCAGCTGGCCAACAAGCGGAAGGGTGATCAGGATGACGATGCCGAGCGCAAGAAGCGCAAGAACGACAAGAATCCCAACGCTGCTGCATTTGCCGCGGCTGCCCGTGCGGGTCAGATGCAAAAGATTCGAGAGGCAGAGCAAAGCAGCATGCGACGGGGTCTGGTGCTGCCTGTTCCCCAAATCAGCGAAGGTGAGATGGAAGACATTATCAAGATGGGCATGGCCGGAGAAAAGGCCAGCCGAATGAGCTCAGATGAGGAAGGCACTCGGGGACTCATTGGAAAGTATGGATCCATTGTTGGAGGCACTCCCATTCGTACGCCACGTGCTGCTCCTGAAGATGACCGTATCGCGAACGAGATTAAGAATATTCGGGCTTTGACTGAAACACAATCTTCTCTGCTTGGCGGAGAGAACACCCCCCTCCATGAGGGCGGTTCATCCACTGGCTTCGAGGGCATCGCCCCCCGGAGACAAGATATCGTCACACCTAACCCCATGGCGACACCTTTTCGACAGGCCAACGGTATGGGCGCAACTCCTATGCACGGCGGGATCGGACCTGGTGCCACCCCACTGCGTACACCGCGCGATCATTTTGCTTTGAATCAAGATGGTGCAGCTGGACAGCTCATAGGCAGCACACCACGAGACATCAAGCTGCATGAAAACTTCACACGCCAGCAGATCCGCAGCAAGCTATCCTCGCTCCCCAAGCCTAAGGAGTCGGAATGGGAACTTGAAGAGCTCCCATCTGAAACAGCCGAGCCCTCGGAGGTCGCGATCAGCCAGGAAGATGCGGCTGAGCGGGATCGCAGAGAGCAGGAAGCACGGGAATTGGCTGCCCAGGCAGAGTTCAAGCGTCAGTCACAAGTATATCAGCGTGGTCTCCCTCGACCAATCGTCCTTGACATTGATGCTCTCATGGCGCGTGCTTCCCAGGTTAACAACTCAATCGAGGGCCTGATTGCTCGGGAGGCCGCCGTACTAATCGCATACGACTCCCGGAAACACCCGGTCCCCGGTGCCAAGGTTGAGGGAAAAGCACCCAAACTGGGACGCCCGGACGATGTCTATATGGATTCAGCGCGCGCGGCTATTGCAGCGGAGATTGAGCAGCAGCAAGACGAGTGGCACGAAAAGTTTGACGGAGTATGGTCGTCAACTCGCGCCAACGCTCTTCCAGGCCTAGATGGCTATGCCGACGATGAAGAGCAAGATCCATTCCTGGAAGAACAACGAATGATCACCGCCTTCGATAACGTTCAAACAACCCTGCTCGCCACCGCCGAGCAGGGTAACAAACTTGAAGGGAAGCTTGCCAAGGTCCACGGTGGATACCAGAAACGAGCCAAGACACTCCGCTCTAAGATCCTTGAGGCTAGTATAGCTTTACCCAAGGCACAAGATGACTTGGACGCTTTCCGCACACTTCAGATCTCCGAAGAAGCTGCTGTTTCTCGGCGCCTGGAGAAGCTCCGCGAAGATGTATCCTTTGTCATGCGCCGGGAGCGTGAGGCTCAGGAGCTGTACAGGACTCGAAAGGAGGAGTTAGATGAACTGGTTGCTGGTACCGCCACTGTGAATGGGTGGCATTAAAATTATACCATACTAAGGCCCCTGCTTTTTTCTCTCGCAATCATGACCCATTGCAGGCTTCATTTATGTATCATTAGGAAGGTTAATTTGCTAGGATCATGCAAATCCATTCGGAGCTTTACATACTACATTTCCAAGGCTTTCCAAGGTTCATCATCAAAGACTCGGTAAAATGTAATGATTCTACCACCGTTGTCATCTGAGTTCGGTATTTCAAATTCCCAGGTGGTTTTAAACTAGACGGCATTAGATCCACAAAGCGTTGTCAATTGAGTCGAATATGTACATCGTACTTGACTATTTCTCCATTCAAAGGTGAACAAACGAAAACGAGCCTAGGATCGTTTCTGTGGATCTCGTCTACTTGAACACCCAAACCACGTACAGCCGTTCTGGAAATCGGCTTCACCAATACACACTCAATCACTCTTTTCTAACCCTACCGTCAAGACCCTAGCGCGTAATACCCATTGGACTGGCCACACTCAGTTGAGTAGTAACGCTGTAAAATGCAGCTGGTATGATGTAGTATCAAACGGAATTCACTACCGAGCACCGCACCCTATATATAATAGTAAATATGATATTTACTTGCTTTAAGATCTCAAAGTAAAAGTAAATATAAAGGAAATTTAGAAAATGCCCTAATATATCAACAATCACACTCTTGACTCTATTTGAGTACTAACCGATAGGCATATATAACTATTTCTAGGAGCATATATCAATGTTGAATAAATTGAACTGTCATATTATCGCAATACCGATATTACAGTAATAATTCGATAAGGTACAGTATATACATTCCAGTCAGACCCGCACCTACTCAAAGAGTTATTGAGCGTATAGGCGATTCTATAGATCGTATTAGGACTAGTGCCATGTTCAGCTGGACTCAGCGCATGATCGTGGCGACTCTTGTTAAGCGGCTATTAGAAGTTGAATGAATTAGTTCATTGCTAAAGTCAATCTAATCTAACTATATGCCTTCAATGTTCACTTTGATAATCAAGGTAGACTCAAACGAGAATGAGAGCTTCACAACCGAGCTTATTAATACTGGCTTAAAAACATCACGCTAAGGTTTGCTAAAGACTTCTTTAATAGTATTTAGATAAACAAAATAGGAAGTAGTTACAGATCAAAATCTAAAACAATCATATAATCCGTCCGAATACAAAACTTAGATAAAAGGGGTCTTTGCCTTCTTTACTAATATGGTAAGAGCATTACTTTCATACGGATTCTACACGCTTATCACTATACCTGTCTAACTTTTTTGGCTTCTGAAGCTAGCATATTCGATGGCTATAGAATATGAGATTGAAGAGACTGCCATGGAATAACCGCTTTTTCTTATTAACAAAGTATTGATTATCATATATCAGTTATTAGCTGCTTATGGCATAGCCTTTTTAACAATCTGGATTACACTCCGACAGGCCTATGAGCTGGCCCATGTTGAAGTCTAAAATTGGCCATTTTCAAAACGAAAAAAAAGAAACAAAACCGAGAAGAGAAGTAACTTAAGAGACTACGTCTTAGCTGAAAAGCTCGTTCAATACCTCGTTTTCGTTTGCTACTGACCATGCCAACGGCGTTCGATCAAACGTCCTTAAATTCGAGTTGCCCCCCTCTCGAGTAGCCTTACTACTGCTTCTCTTCCCCTCTCCGCTGCCAATGCTAACGGTGTTTGCTGGAAATTGTCCTCAGACTCGAGGTCGGCCCCCTTCTCAATCAGCAGTCTGACCACCGCTTCGTGCCCGTTCCTTACTGCCCATGCCAACGGTGTTTGGCCACGAAAAGTATCCTTAAACTCGAGGTCGGCCCCCCTCTCGAGTAGTAGCCTTACTACTGCTTCTTTTCCCCACTCCGCTGCCACTGCTAACGGTGTTTGACCAACATTGTCCTTAGACTCGAAGTCGGTCCCCTTCTCAAGTAGTAGTCTGACTACTGCTTCTCGTCCCCACTCCGCTGCCCATGCCAACGGTGTTCGATCACAATTGTCCTTAGACTCGAGGTCGACTCCCTTTTCGACTAGGAGCTCGACCACCGCTTCGTGCCCGTCCCATGCGGCCCATAACAACGGTGTTTGACCGTCCAAATTGTCTTTACATTCCAGGTCATCGCTACTTTCATTTTGGCTAGCAGCATTTTTTGTATCTGCTTCGACTGAATTCTGGAAGAGAGCTTCGATTGCCTGCTCAACCCCGAAAAGTGCTGCTAAGTGAAGCCCTCTCATTTCCGTATTGATCATTGTGTCGTACATGCTTCCGAAGGTGTATATTAACGGTTGGCCTGCTGCTGCTACTTTTGCCTTGGACTTGAGAAAGAGGATAGCCTCTGGGCAACGAACTGAAGCTTTAAGAGCGTGGTTTCCCCAGTTCTGTGCAGCGTAGCTGTACAGCTTATTCAACAGCATCCTCTCTTCTAACTCATCAAATGTTCGACAACCCCCACTCTCAAAAATGTCAAATGAGAGGTAAGAAACGCAAGCTTTGGTGATATCGATCTCTGCATCTGGAAACCAATGCTTTTGTGTTCGCTCGAAGTACTCCTGCGCAGTGTAGTGGACCAGCCGGACGATGTCGCTTTCCTCATCGACGGTGACTAAGCCAGCACAAACCGAAACCAAATCTTCAATCTCTGGCAAGTTGTCTTTATCGAGCTCGGGCTCACCAACTTCTACACCAAGAGCGTGTTGGAGCTCTGAGGTGGTAAGTGGCCTCTGTGCATTGGTGATCCATGCGAGAGTTTTATTTGCAAGTTCCCGAAAGCCAGTTTTCTGTTCATTGATTCTGTGAATTGCTTGATCGTATGCTCGGCTCAGCACTTCCACTCTCCGGTCCTCGTCTATCCCGTGGCTTTGGTTCTGGAACTGACTTAGGGCAGTTTTGATAGCTTTTGGTGTTGGCTTGTCGTCAAGTGAGCCAATATAAATTTGTGCTAGAAGGAACCTGTGGAAGTCAGCGATAGTAGAAACCATTAATGTGCAAAACATACATCCCATCAACAGCGCATGAGATTTTGGTTGTAATCTCTTCTTGAAGCTGTTGATTCCTCTCAACAAACGCCGGTAGCTGTCCTATATGTCCCTTAAGATACCTTTTGACATCTTCATTGCTTGCACAAATCTCCAATATCGTTCCTTGGCTGAACCTGGCGGTGATCTCCGGAATAAATCTTGATGTTGCAAAAATGTTCGCTCCGCAGTTGGCCTGGAGGGTGAAGATCTCCGAAATGAATCTAGAGCGGCATTCATCAGACGCTTGACACTCGTCAAGCGCATCGATAAGAATAAATACCCTTGAATAAAACGTCGCCGCTGAGCAGAGAGCCTTCGATAACTCGTCAAAAGATGGCCGCGTCCGCCGGTATATATGCTTATTGTAGAGATCACCCAGGCTATCTGGCAGCGAGGGCTGGTGTTGACTCAGTTGCTTCAAGAGACTTGCGACCAAGTCGTCGAGCCTTTGCTCAGTTTGTCGACGAAAACTGCAGAAAACATACGCAATCCCAACAGATCGGTCGGAGTGAAACCGTGTAGTTAGGTGATCGATGACCGCTGCAGTCTGGATGGTCTTTCCTGCTCCGGGGATTCCGGGACAGAATAACGTTTGTTTGTCCAAACTCAGCCATGTCTGATACTTCTTGGAGTCTAATAGCCACTGACAAGTTCCAGGTTGTCGCCTTTTGAGAAAATCACTTTGTTGGGGGCCATATTCGATAGGAGTGAGCCAATTAAGCACCCTCAGGTCTTCTCTTTTATCCAATCTGGACCTCACTGTTTCAACATCGTCCCCAATTCTATCCATATTATCAAGGACTATTCATGCATTCAGGACCTGCTGCATATATTTGTATATATAGGTTGATAGTTACTAACCTTTGCTTAAAATATCCTTCACTGGGCGCTCTGCATCAACATCACTCGGTTGTACATATTCAAGAAGCTCCTTCGCAAATCCCGCTGCCGCTGCCGCTGCATGCTCTTGCCAATCTTTGTTCTTGTGCGAGTCTGCATAATCGCAGACCCCTCTGATCACAAGACATGGGAAGTTGTTCATCAGGCCTGCCGCTTCCTTTTCGACACAGAGGATATGACCACCAAGATCTCTTTTCAGTTTATCTCGGAATACGGCATCCTTGATCACTTGGTTACCAGATGCGATAAGACCAAAATGCACCCGCATCTCTCTTGGCTTCCTCTTTACAGTCTCGGCTCTATCGCAAAATGAACAGCTTTCTTCTTCCTCGTCGTCTTCCTCATCTTCATGCCCATCAAGAGGAACATCGCGACCCGCGACATGGCTATAAGTTGCTTTGAACAGGACATCCTCAAGCGAATCAGACCTCAAATACTTGTTTGCCAGTCTCGGCCATTTCTCTTTCAGCTGATCTAGATACTCTGGTATCTTTGATCCGGTCAATTCGTGATCCGTCTCCAATTTTGTCAGGGCCGTTAACAGCGAAGTCGGAGGATTGTTCAATGACCCAGTCCGCTCAAATCTCCCCTCTTTTGTTTTACCAAGGTCCCATTGCACCACGCCAGGAAACTGGCCGACTGGCGTACTGACAACCACATCGCCAAGCCTGACTTTAGGCGGAATACCGCCCCCAATGCCGACCATCAATCCGAACTTGATGGATGGAAAAGTGGAGATCATTCGAGAAGCAACAGTTGCCGATTGATTATTTCCAATTTGGCCCTTAGGGAGGCAGGCTATAACAATATTGTGCTTACCAATAGAGCCAAGTGTGTACGTGTTGGGATCGCTTGCAGGCTTGGGGAGATCGGGATGTCTCTCATCCAGCATGGCCGTGGCCGCGGTCTTTTCTTTCGGGAGAGCGCACACCCATCCTACGGTATACTTGCCATGAGCTCTGTTGGATGTTTGCGCAGATATTTTTCTCACGAGGCGGACAGAGGGAGAGCATAAGTTGTTGGAAGGGAGTTGGGCACTTACAAGCAGTCACCTGATTAGGAGTCACGTACATTGTGCGGGGCACTTTGGTGGCTGTTCATATACCATTCAAGGCAGAAGTCCGCGAATGGGATCCCTTCTGCCACTTCTTAGCAATCCTATTCTGTGATAGTGCTCATGCCTTGGCCACTTTTTGAGCAAGCCCGTCTCTCCCAGTTAAATTCCCACAGAAATCCATTCAATTATCGTAGGCTTTTTATAATTTACGTATCAAGAGTGATTCTCGAAATTGGCTTGACCAATATACACAGAGAAACTCTTTCCTAGCCCCACGGCCAAGGCCTTAGCGCAATCATTTATTGAGCGGCTCGCATCGAACTGCGGGGCGCAGTAAAATGCACCGTGTATGTTACAGTAATATGAGACATATGATTATATTATGCGGATGAAAGGAAAGCCCATAGAATTCCAGTCAGTATCAATTGTAGGGAAAACTACCATACCCCGAACAAAGTCATTGACCCGAACCGACCATTAAAGAGTACATATTGTCACAGTACAAGACTAGACATCTTGCAATAGTAAAACAGATCGTGCACCCATAGGCTATTGAGGCGATTACCCTAGCTTTCTAAAAGCCTGAGGTGGACCTTTGTAGTGGTGATTGAATGCTATATATTCAATGTTTCGCTGCAGACCTTCAATCCCAAGTTCAAAATTCTTTGATAAAGTATCAATTGTCCCCTTTTAGATAACTCTCAATTTCCAGTAAACTCCTCCACAGCCATGATTGCCTCCTCAAAGTAATTACGATATTTCTCCTGCGGTGCCAGTCCATGGTCCGCTCCATCGACTTCGATCAAGCGCACCCGAACCTCAACCCGCTGTAGCGCGGCCGCCAGCGCGTGTGAGTCCGTCACCGGCGCCACTGTGTCGGCGGTGCCGTGGACGATAACCGTAGATGGATACGAGGAGCTTATTAAGTCTAAGGGGGCTTCCGTGCCGATGGCTGCTTTCACCGAGTCGCTAATCAGAGGACCAATTCGGCCTGGAGAGTCAACAATTACGTGTATAGGTACCGACAAGGGGAGTCTAAATCAGACAACATACCCTGTTTCAGCAGCCACAAGAAAAGCGATGCCCGGCTACCAGGGTCCTTCATGTCCGCTTCATCGGTGGAGATATGCGGCCGTCCGGGCTGTAGATAGTGAGCAACGTTTTCCTCGTGTAATTGGCTGGCAGGGATGCCTCCCAGCACGGCTGATTCGGCCCGACGACGACGATACCACTCGCCCTCAGTCTGTGCCATACCCCATAGAGATAGAAAGGCGCGCGGTTTGACTGTCTTCCACACCGAGAGAGCCAGGATGGACACTAAGGAGCCTGCACTCGAACCCCCGACAACGACACGATTCATATCAACTCCTACTGCAGACTGCACCATCCACGCTTCTAGTTGGTGCAGGTCGTCGAGAATATCAACGATGCCAGCCTCCGGCAGCAGGCGGTAATCTGGGACCACGACCGCCCATCCACGGTCGAGCAGCAGTTTCACTGGTAGTGGCGGGAAGCGACCACGCCGCGAGCCGCTGACAAGGCCGCCGCCGTGAAAGAAAATGAGGGTTGGCCGAGGGCTTGTGGGCTCAAGAGGGACGGAAGCGACTAGGTCCAGCTGCACAGGTGGCTGAAGTAGGTTATAGATATGTACGGTACGATTCATATTCGTATATATAAGATTTGAAATTTGGGATCTAAGACTCGGGAAGAGAGCGGGCTATAAGGATACCAGCGGCAGCATTGTTGGTATAAATGCAAAACAAGTACTAGGCGAGGGGTTGAAGACACTTTTATTTATATAGCCCAGCTGGCAAGGCGCCCAACGCCGGGCTTAACGGGGATTACGGGGTTAAGCGGTGGTTGTCTACTAAGAATTAACCTCACCATGAGTAAGTAGTGCTAGAGTAATAATACAGCTTTGAGACGTGAACATTTGACAATTGAAGAAAAACCGACATTAAAACTCTGAACTGATCTATCAGACCTCTGAGGGGGTTTGTGTGTCTAGTCTGGCTTCGTCTTCGAAAGTCTCTATTGGTGTCATCTCGTTGAAAATTATTGGGGTTCCATTTTTGAAGAACGTCGTTGGTAAGATGCGCACGAAGCTGAGATTGTGATTTGGTAATCAGCTGGATATGCTTGGCAGAGACTTTAAACTGCGATGACCCAAAATACAAATAGTCGCGATACAGGGTTGTAAGCGCGACAAGAGAATTGTGTACGACAGGCTGGTCTTGACATCTCTGCAGGATGAGGTGCGTCCATAGCGTAGTATTTGAGAATTGAGATAATGACTCTGCTGTTTCGCAACAGTTGAAATGAATAAGTTCACGGTCCACACGACTGCCGGGTACTTTGAATGGGATGTTGTATATTTCGAGTTTAGAGTGGGAGCGTGGAGATTGGGGGTGTCCAGGGCAGCTTTTTCTGGTGGAAATACAGCGGCGACAGCTGGGACGTTGCTCGTTGCATTTTATTCGGCGAATCCTGTTCGGTTAGAAACAACATTATCATGTTGGAACACAGAGAGGCAGTGCTGAACATCAGGCAATATACTCACTTGCAGGTAGCACACCCTGTTCGAAGTTTGGGTGTGCTGCGACGCACTTTGGTCGAAATCATTTCGGAATCAATTGATAGATAGATCTGGAAATACTAAAATATGGCAAATTCGATTTTGATCAACTCTAGGCTGAAGCAAATACATACGTGAGTAGTACTGGTGGGGGGGGGGGGAAACCAGCCTAATCGCGGCCCTTATTCACACTAAATCCTCCACCTACTGCGCGGCAGTGATTGATGCATCCCTTTGCTTATGATTTACTCCAGAAAAAATAATGAAAATCATCATCTTCCAAGGATAGGACGAGAAAGATTCATGCCCCTGCTTTTGATGTTTGGGACCGAACAAATGAGATGTAAGTCTCTCGGTGTGTCTGTAGGACAAGACTCGGTGGCAAGGCATTATGCTGAAGATGAAGAGTTCCAGGGAACCTGGCCGCTTATTGGAGAGGAACCTCTGTAGAGAATCCCCATTCGGTGATACTTGACTAGTCAGGACTTTCGTTGCGTCATGTAAAGTATCGACACTTGCCCTGTTATATTGTGCCGTGCAACTCTCATTATTAATGCGGCGAAAGCGACGTCAAGTTCAGGCAAAATGATATTGGGAAGGATATTCATTTGATCCAAACAGTCCCATTCTGTGATCTCTGGTAGAAGACCACTACCGACTCGGCGGAATTTGGTTTGAATTATTTTCGCAAAATGGACTAGATTGGATAAATTAATAGACCTACTAGTCTCCTTAGTGCATACGATCAGTGACGCATGTATTATCGCGACTTGGCTTAGGACTTTGTCCCGAAGAGGTGATGTAGGGAAGTGGAGATGAGGCTATGATCCAGCAATATGGACTCAATGAGATAGATTGGAGATAGATGATCTCTACATCTTCATCTAGTTCTTATGGGTTCCGATGGCTTATTTATTTTTTAAAATGGGTGATGGTCGCATTAGCAGTCATCAAGAACCTGCGAGATACGCTGGCTTCGCTCCTTTCTTATTGGTGGGAAGAGAGCGTAGATATGGGCTTGCAGGGATTGCATAGCACTAGGACAAAAGAGGTAACTCTTGCTTATTAAGAGGATGCGCGTGTTTAATAAGGCACCTAGATTGTGTCATGTATGTAATTTAGTGTTCGTTTTTTTCTCGAAGATTTTTCTATTTGAAGGGCTGGGTGACCTTGCTCTTTTTCTCACTGGATCCCTTGGACGATTTTTAAACATTATTCACACCGTAAGACAAGTCAGCTTCGCCGCCATGACAGCCGTGATGACAGTGACTACAGCAGCGCCAGCGTTGGTGGAATCGTACGATGCAAAACGCGACAAGGAAGATGTGGAAATGGAAAGAGAGTCGCCAAAGCTAGATGAGAACGTTGTCTCTGAAGGGCCCTTGGAGAAAGATGGCAAGTCAGCCTGGGGGTCTCTCTGGATTATCACCATAATAACTGGTGTCACTTTTATCAGCGTCTCGGGGACTGGAATTCTGACCACCGCACTTCCTCGTATCTCGACGGACATCAACCTCGACCGCGATCTGATCTTCTGGCCGGCATCGGTATATGCTTTATCTGCAGGATGCACCTTGCTAGCATTCGGCTCCGTTGCGGATGTGGTTGGCTCTAAGAGAATGTGGCTGATCGGGAGCGGCTTCTCGTGTCCTTTGATCCTTGCATGTGGACTTGCCCGCACAGGTAATCAATTCATCATTATCTGTGCTCTGCTAGGACTCTTTGTGGCTATGTGTCTTCCGACATCAATGGCGCTAGTGACTGCGTCCTTTCCACCTGGACGCAAGAGGAATATTGCCTTTGCAGCAACAGGGATGGGACAGCCACTAGGCTATGCCTTAGGACTTATTCTTGGTGGTGTTTTCACCAACACCATCGGCTGGCGATGGGGTTTTTACATCACCGCCATTATCGATGCCGTATTGTTTGTCGGGTCCATCTTCATTCTTCCGTCGGACGCGGATTCGATGAAGCTGTGCCGGGCTACATGGCATAAGCTTGCTTATAATATTGATTGGGTTGGCGTAGCGATTCTCGCCTTGGCATTTGGACTCCTATCCTACGTACTTGCGTGAGTCATTCTTGATCCTTGTATGGACTCCTTACCAGATGTTGCTGACATTTCTATAGGATGATCACATATACTTACAGGAACATGTCTGAGCCCCAATATATTGTGCTGCTCATTATCTCCATTTTACTCCTCCCCGTCTTCTCTTTTTGGATGAAATGGCAGGTAAGTCACAACAGGCCAGCCTTGATTCCTAATGCTTTATGGCGAAACCTGCCGTTTCTTTTCATCTGCGTGGCGATGTTCTTTACATGGGCCGGATTCAACTCTTTCCAGTACATATCAACCCTGTTCTTCCAGGACGTCCAGGACATGTCGGCCCTCCAGGCTTCCATCCGCTTCTTGCCCATGGCTGTAGTTGGCGTGGCCACCAACATTCTTACTGCTCACCTGGTGTCAAGGGTGAATGTAAACCTGCTGCTGGGGGTTAGTGCATTGATGACCGCGATTTCACCCCTCTTGATGGCGATCGCCTCCCCGAAGTGGACCTATTGGGCTGCAGCCTTCGTTGCTATGACGTTAAGTCCAATCAACGGCGATGGTGAGTAACTGACTCAACTTGTGTTTTTGTCAAGAGCGATGCAAATACTGACTTATCGTTTGCCTAGTGCTATGGACCGTTTCTAGTTTGATCATTTCTCGGGCATTCCCTGATGACTCAATGGCTCTGGCTGGGAGTGTCTTCAATACCATCTCCCAGCTGGGCAACTCTGTTGGACTGGCTGTCACTGCCGTCATAGCCGCTGCCGTTACCGCCCATGATGATGGCTCGGCAAACGTTACAAGTACATCTTCTCAAACGGGCGGTCAGCTTCTAGAGGGATACCGTGCTGCGTATTGGACCATATTTGCTGGCATGGCAATTGTCTTCCTAGTGAGCTCTCTGGGGCTTCGTCATGTGGGAAAAGTTGGTAACAAGCAAGACTAAAGTGCATTCAATGGTCGAAGGAAATGGCAGCTGGTGCAATTCCATTTTCTTTGCCTTGGAAGCAGGGATTGTCTCCCGTTCACTTAAAGAAATGGTCTGTATATTTTATCGACACTATATATGTAGAGCTTTTGGAACTGGGCAGAATACTAAGCTCGAAGTACTGTACCTAGTTTCGCAAAATCACAATCTGACTTGATTATCAGTCATCCTGTGGGTGATTGAATACTGTACCCCCATGTGCCATGACCAAAGTCATGGAAGTACAGAACGACGTACAGGGCCGCTAGACTGATAAGGCAAAACTGACCAAATGCAATAATTCACAGATCCGTACATAAGTAATCTCTATATCCTCACTGTGCAGGCGATAACATTAATTACACACTTTCAAACTCTCAAATGCTGTAAGTTATGCTCAAAGCTTGAATCCGCCAGGGAGACCTTTCTGAAATAGACCTTTCGAGTCATACTTCTTGCTCACAGCCTTGAGATTGCTTTTACTCTCATATCCGTACCCATCAATCACAGCCTGTCCAACTCCCGCATAGTTATAATATTTATAATAACGGTATACCCCTGCTTTCTTAGCTGCCGCCTCGATATTCGCAATGAGTTTCTTTGCTGCGCGATCGACTAGCTGGTCGGAAGAGATGTCGTTGTAGAATGCTGTTATGAGGGCGAGGCCGAGTCTCTCTTCTCCTGTATCCAGACCAAGGCTATTCACATGATTGAGGGCTGGAGTTGGTTGGAGAGTCAAGTACCAGTTCATCTCGGTAAAATTGCTGATTTCGGCAACAGATTCGTTGTAGATTTTATAGATGGTCGAGTAGATCTCTGGGGTGTGAGCGAAGGTTGTGGTGTACCAGATTTGTCTGTATTGGACTTGTTAGCGTTGCGATAGACTGACAGATCAACTGTAGATTGTTCAGCTTACCGTTTGTTGTATGACTGGTAGCTATCGGTCTCTGCAGCGAATGACCCCATAGTATCGATGCGCAGGGCATTAGACAAAGAAGTAACATTGTTTGCAAGTCCCTCAAAAGTCGTAGGATACGGCACTGGCTTGGTATACGCCAAATCATTGCTAATCGAGCCCCCAATCCCGGATGACCAGCCGTAACTCTGAGTCATCGCTGCATGAGGATCATACGGCCTAGCACCCATGAATGTCGAGAAAGCCGATGTCTGTGCCGCCCACTGATCAGTCGAATAAAAAATGAATCCCCCCAGAACTTCCCGAGCGGATATGTGCTCATTGTGTACCTGGTAACAACACCGAAATTATTCCCGCCGCCTTTCAGTGCCAGAAACAGATCAGAATAGGAGCTTTTATTCACAGTGACAATCTTGCCACTGGCCAGAACAATCTCATATTCAACAATATTGTCACATCCCCACCCCAGAATCGGGCCAAGGTAGCTCAGTCCACCCCCAAGGAGGAACCCGCCAACGCCAACGTCCGAGTCTCTTCCTCCCGTGACAGTCAAATTGTAAGGATCCAGCGTCTCCCAGACTTTTTTCCATCTCCCCCCTGGTCCAAGATCGACTATTTTGTGATCTTCGCTGAGCTTGACCTCGTTCATGAGACTTAAGTCTAGGGTCACGCCTTTCTCGATGTTGGCTGCGCCCGCGTATGGCGTATGTCCCCCACCACGCACGGCAAACTGGACGCCATGATCGAGATACATGCGCATCGTTTTAATCACCGTTGATACTTCGATGGAGCTGGTCGGTTGAATCACACATGATGGCTCGAGTTCTTGCTCTTCTTTGCTGAAATAGGAAGCTAGAGAGTTGGTATAGCCGCTCGACCCGGGGAAGTAGACGGTGCCGGGTAGGTTTGTGTTGAGGGTATCGCAGGCTTCCCATGTCGCATTAACGTTTGATTCTGCCGCCTTTGCGAGGCCTAGCAAGAGTATCGACGATATCCAAGAGACCATGGTGGACAGAAAACAGTGAAAGTCAAGAATAAAAGAATAGTTAATAGACCCGTACACGGGGACGGTTCTTTAAATCGTGGTATGAAAACCATCAAGAATCAGCATTACACGAAGCTAGAATTAATCCCAGCCACTAAAAGTTCATTGAATACCAATCCTTTGGCGAGGAAGTTTTCGCGAATCTTTTTCTTGGCCCCCACGTTGAAGGATTGTAAGAACAGATGTACCCGATACCTGATATACCCACAAATTTCCACTTGAAAGTAAATCTCCGAAGTACCCAGTACATTTAAATTAGCTTCTTTGCCCCTGAACGCCATCAAAGGTGGATTTGTTTCATGTTTATGCGAATCTAGATCCGATTAAATACGCGGTCATTGAGCCAATAACGAAAAGGCCCAAGACCACCATATGGCCGTTCATTTCGGCAATAAGAAACTCGTTTCTATATCACTGCCCCAATAGTTGACATGTCGGGGAATGACAACCAGTTTAATGTTATCGCCTTCTGCATGAGATACTACTATACCGGGGAGGGGTTTGGAATAATCGGGTCAACGGAACGCATTTCTCGGGCTTATTCTATCTTCCGCGCCCAATTCCTTCCATTTCCCCTATACTGATGTCGTATCGGCTCAACAAATGTACGATAACAGCGTAGGCGGCCCATCGGGAGTTAAAGCGACCGGGACAAAGAGTACTTTCACTACCGAACGGAAACTGAGTTTCTTGTTTTTCTTGTTGTAGGAAGCGGTCTGCTTGGATCGCTTCCCAATTGAGACCCCAGTATTCAGGGTGAGTATATAATTGGCGGTAGGAGACCTAGAGAAATTTTGTTATGTTGTCAGTAAATAGTGGTTGTTTACTTACTAAGATCTTGATCCCTTTGCGGAGAATGGTTTCAACGATGCAGATAACCTTCGAGAGTCGAGGACTGGGCAGTCCTTCGTCGAATGATGTTGATCTATCTGATCACTTTGTATCGCTGGCAAAATTTCAGTGCGTACAATCTCGAGATCCTTAAGGCTGTAGAGGTGGGCGATGAGCCAGAACGCCGATCTGTACATACAATTCCCTACTACCCTATTGTCTGTCAGCATTAGAATCCATGGGGTGAAGCTACACCTATGCCCATGTCTGAAGCGTCAGGAATCGAGCGATTTTATCTGCGGTCAAATACGACTCTCTCATATTGTCCTTAACAAGCAACAATCCAAGAAGCTGCACCATATCCGAGGGCGCAAGATGATCCCGATCGACAAAAGAGGCCGGGGATGTTGTTAATTTGACGACGCAGATTTATCGACTGCGAAAAGCCTGTTCACTCCTATTGCACTTATCCCCACCCCACCATGTATACCTTGAATGATAACCTCATTGGAAAGAACACATTCATTCCCGTAGGTCTCAGCCACGTGTTTGGGGTCGGTAATGATGTAGTTTCAATTCTGCCCGCAATTATTGTGAACAGTCGCTTTGAGCTGCCAAATAGCTCACTGTGAGACCATGACATTCATAAACAGAGGGAAGAGAAAAGGGAAAAGGGTTCCAACATTATGCGGGCCACAGACCCGTTGAAGTCAATGTAAGTGAGATTGCATGGCCTGAGGTGCATTAGGTTGCAGTGATGCAACGTCGAAAATGAGGGTAAGGTTTTACCCAAAACTATCGTATTACAGATGTCAGAGATTTTGATTTTATGTGGAAAAAGAAGCTCTGCAGTGAGACTCGGAAAGCCGCAGAGAATCCAATATGGGGCTTCTTTTGGATCATTGGGATATAATCTAAGGATGAGAGAAAATATCCAGTCTTCAGGTTACCAGTTGTTAGAAATAAACGATCAAGATTGTGCTGTCATAGATACTGTGTAGAACTTGCAGTCAGGAGTAGAGGACTCGGCATTGAGAAAGGAGATTTATCCTAGAGAGATTCAGGTATTCTGAGCTCCATATTTTGTACAAAGAAATGAACAGTCAGAGGTTTGATTTAGTACAGTACTTGTTTTGTTGACAACATGGGTTGCGACTCACAGGGGCTGAATTTCTAAGTTCATGCACTGCAACTGCAGATCTGCAGTGAGGTTATTGGTGGATCATACAAGAATGAAAGGGATGAGATTCCTGCGGATAAAGCGCGTGGCCAGTCCAGTCACCTTTGGCCCCCATATTTTCTCTAGCCGAAACCACATTCAAGTACACATGGGTATATAGTAACCATGAGGTATCTTGCCGCGTGGTGATCTCATTTCTTCAGGCTTCCCTGAGTCTTTTCTTGGACTTTGCAGGAAACATGTCTTCTGCGGATTTGGCCATGTCGACAGCGACTCCGCCACCTGGTGTAATGGCGAATTTCGACAATCCTTCATTAAATGCTTACATCCTCATAATTGTTACGACTATTTTCATGGTACTCTTGTATGGGGCTATGACTATAAGTCTATATACAAAGCTCCAAACTCGGAAGAAGATATCGTTGGATGATTGTGAGTCCTTTCCTTATTCATTCCCAGATCATGCTAATGCCTCCCAGGGACTCGATTAATTGCGACATTCGGCACGACAATGTACTATGTGGCTAGTGTCATCGGTACTTTAACATCTACCCTCATTTTATTTGAACTGGAATAACGACTTATTCTAGCTGTGACCAATGGCAAATTTGGAATCCACATTTATGACCTCACAGCAGCCGACGCCATGCAAACATCCCTCGTCGTCTCCGGATTCTTCACAAACTGGCTAACCGCACTTGTATGGCCATTCGCCAAGTCATCATTCTTCCTCATCTACCTCGAAATGTTTCACAAAATACCCTGGCAGCGATATGCCAATTATATTGGGTTATCTATTACCTGGGCATTCTACACAACTGCTTTGGTTGCAACCTTATACTTCACCAGGCCAGCACCTGGTGAAACATGGCAGGAGACTATAACCTCTGCGCGCTACGCTAAGATGAAACCTTGGATTATTCCTATCGCCGCGACCAACCTTGTTCTTGATGTGTACATTCTTGTTCTGCCAATTATCCCAATTCTGGGTCTGAGTTTAACCTCTAAGATGAAGCTTGGAGTACTTTCGATATTTGCGACTGGTTTTTTGTATGAAGCCCCAGCAAGCTTTTCCATCAAATGCTAACTATTTTTCTAGTGCTTGTGTCGCCTCCTCTCTCAGTATCTACTTCAAATTGGTCTTGGATTGGCATTATACAGATTACAGCTACTATACGACCCCCGTATTGATAATGTCTCTGGTAGAAATGTGCGTTGGTGTCACAGCCAGCGCGATGCCATCGATGGCGCTTTTCTTCAGACACACGGGTAGCAAGATGACGAGGGCTTTTCCACGATTCACTCGCTTGTCTCAACCTCGGTCATCTCAAGGTGCAAACGTGACGCGGGTTGAGTCAAAAATTGATTCTGTTGACTCTGATCGTTGGCCTCTGAAAGATATCAATGGATCCAAGAGCTACGAAGGCACGAACGATCCTGAATATCTGAACTCAGTTCGGACCTTTATTCAGGCCGCAACTCCAACCAGTCAAGTGAGCCGGGATGGCGCAATTTGCTTACAATATGCATTCAATCAGGGATATGAAGAACGAGAGAAACCAGACCCAGCGAATCAGGTCTAGTTCTCATGCTTACAAATTATGATCTGTCAATGTACATAAGGAAAATAGGGTGAAAACAGCTTTTCATTCCAACTGAATAATAAGACACGTCTTGGGACCTCCGGATTCTCTATGGGTACTAGTAGATCTGTGTATTGAAACTCCCACTCATGAAATCCTGCTGTGCCTTGCCTTAGGAGCAGGAAATCCTTCAGTTCTAAACCTTCCCTCTCGAACTAGCCCCACGAAGGTTGGTATCACATGAACTCAACCCTTGCAGATCGTCCCGTCTTGTAATTTAGGCTACCGCGTGCTCTCTTAAGTATTCGCCTAGTACGGATTAGGCCTGACATCATCCCACCCCTGATAAGACCACGCTCCTGTTCCTGATGAGCTGATGTAGATCCTGCTGTACACAAGTGCATAAAAGAATATAGATAGGGACTTGATGTGACCTAGAATATCGCTTGCTCTAAGGTTGTGATTACAGTGCTATTGCGACCTTCAATCGTGCAGAAGCAATAAAATGTGCCAAAAAAGCGCACATAGACAAATTCCAGCAAGACCGGGTGAAGAACTAGATCAAAAAATGACATCTGGATCTCGGCCAGAAAGACTTCCCGGTAACGCGGCTATCGGTATTTACCATATGTGATGACCTAACTAACGTGCTTGTGACGCTACTTTCTTACTGCAGAGAGTGGTAAGGATTAGGTTGGGGGGCAAGGCAAATCTAAAAGGTTGATTCTGTTAGTCACTCTTTTCCCTCTTTCCCCCCTCTCCCCACTATGGGGATGAGCCGCTTACATGATATCGCAATGAGTGTCTACTAGTACTACAATGGCAGGCATGAACAGTTCCAATCCCCAGCAGCTGACTTATCATCAAACTCATGGTCGCACCGCCCCCACTGAGCCCCACTATCTCCCGTCAATCCACAAACCCTATTCGGCGGTTACCAGTGGAATTGGGTATGCAGCTTAGATCAGGCGACTGTACAAGAAGCTCCTTGGGTATCCTGAGGCAAGAACGTACATAATCGGCACCTTGTAGGGGTCTGAGAATTCTTTGCATGATCCAGTGCAAGTTCAGTATGAGAACAGCTTCAATGGGATGGCTTTTTGGATCCACAATACGGTGTTTTCAGCAGGCTTGAAGGTAGCATCGGCGAGCGAAATAAGCACGAAAACGCATTCTTTGTCAATATCTAAGGCGTTCTTCCAAATTGTTCATATTTTACGGAAAGTTGGGTAAGAAACTTGATATTGTATTCGGAGCTTCAGTCATTGGACTTGAATATAGAGACAGGGACAAGAGTCAATGAAAAGACAATATGAAAAGCGCATCTTCCAAAGACGCGCATTTACCGCTTTTTAATGCTGGTATCGATGCTTCCAAGGAACCAAATGGCAACAAAGAGGGTAAGCAGACCACCGAAGATGGTGAGGGGCTTGCGAAGGGCATCCAAAAGGGAGTGGTCGTATGTCACCTGAAAATTGTCAGTATGTTACCATTTTTTTACGAGAGAAGAACTCACCACCAGCTGCGCATCGCGCGCCTCATCGGTCAGACTATCAACCTCCAGGGTCAATGTAGTCCGGCCAAGGGTATCCATGTAAGTCTTGAAAGAGGAAAGGCTAGCATTGATCTGGTTGGTGCCAGGAAGACCGTTGCTGGTAGCGCCCTCGACAGTCTCGTAGCGGACGTTGTGGGCACCCTCGGGAAGAACAACACGAACAACGACGTGCTCGTACTGGACACCCTCGCTCATCTTAGGGCCCTGCAGGAAGGGAACCTTGAGAACATAGGAGTCCACACCAGTAGCCTTGCGCAGGAATCGAGACAGATCGTTGTTCCAACCCACCTTGAAGCTGTAATTCCAGCCGCCAAAGATTGGGTAGCGGGGCTTTAGCTCCAGGTTAGCAGCAGTCTTGCCGTTGCCGGGGCGGTAGCGGCTAGTCGAGACGTTACCGATGTCATCGATAAAGTACGGGTCCACAGAGCCGGGCTGGAGAGGGTAGGCAATTTCACGGACGGCAGAGGACGGCGACTTCTGGTAGTTAGCGAAGGTCCACTCAACGCGCGAGAACTGGTTTGTGAGCTGCGAGGCATTGTTGCGCAGCCAGTACCGCTCCTCAGTGGCCAAGTTACCACCCCAGTGGGAAACCTCCAAATCGCGCTCCAGGAGGCTGGCAGTGATCACGGGGTTGGTGAACTGGTAGCGCACAGTAATGGGCTGCTCAGTGCCAGGGGCCACCTTGGCAGTCTCGTATGGTCCGTAGGTGTACGTGGCGCCCTTGCGCTCCGGATCAGCACCGGACTTGAGCCCAGATGTCTCGGTGTAGTCGGGCACATCAGTGCTTGGGAACTTGAGCTTGGTCTTTTGGGTGTCAGTCTGGTAGGCAGACGGCACATAGGCGGAGAAGGAGTAGGTGAGATATTGCTTGTCGCTTTGTCCAATGGTCGCAGGAAGCGGACTCAGCGCGGAAAGGACAGAGTAGGAGATTCCAAGGGTGATCTGGGCTTTCGGGGCGAGGGGCTCAGCGAGATGAACCACGAAGTATTGGGTGCCACTATTGGATCGATGTTGATTAGCATTAAGTCTGAGTGAATTTTCCTCGGAAAGCCATTGGCATCCCCAATTGAGACCTACGTGGACACAACAGGCTCAGTTACTTCCACCTCAAAGCGACCATTCTCAGTTGCCTTCTTATCCCGAACTTCGAAGCCTCCAACGCGGCCAAACACATCTGAAGGGAAGGGAATATAATAGTCGCTCTGCGACTGCTTGTCGACATTCTCTACCACGACATTGATAGTTTCTCGGACGTATCCCTTTTCCAAATTGGTGTTCCGGACCAAGTTCACGTTCTTGAAAACCTGCGGGGGTTTGAAGTCGGCCGGGACAGCGAGTTGAGATGAAGCTGTAAGAGTAGACGCGGCAGCCAGGCTGGGCACAAGCAGCCCAAGCACTGTGGCGGTGAAAAACCTCATCCTGAGTATTTCACGGAGCACACAATGTCTCCGAATTGAAATGGGGTATCAAATTTGACGAGGTTGATGTGGAGAGGTGGTTGGACGAAGCTGATGAGGTGTCCCGATCTGTATACGCAATACGGCGGGCGCAGCGGCCAGGGAACGCACTCCGCTTCTCTTATCACTGATAAGCAGCTTCTCCTCTTTTTACTTCTGGCATTTGGCCTTCTACATCCCCTCTCTGTTGGTCAAAATGTTTACTTCAAGAGCTTCTGTTTTGTCAAGATGCTGCAGAGGGCCGAGGTTACCTCGAACTCGCTATTTTCATGACCTACATAGCTCCCCTCAGAGCAAATTCTTGAAGGTATCAGAAGAGGTCCGTGATGCGGTTGCAACGGGCAAGCCCGTTGTCGCGCTAGAGACGACCATTTACACTCATGGTAGGTGTCAAGTCTTAGTTTAGAGGCTCTCAAGTCCATTCGTTGAATTAACTCAAAATCTATCAGGCTTTCCATATCCTGACAACATTGCTTTGGCATCTCTTTTGGAGTCCGTCGTTCGTGCCAACGGCGGTGTCCCTGCGACTATAGGTGTGCTCGGGGGTGTTGCCCGTGTTGGTATGAGTGCAGAGGAGATCATGGAACTCGCCTCGACAGCTGAGAAGAAGACTGCACTGAAAGTCTCTAGGCGGGACCTGGGCTACATCTGTGGCATGGTTTGTTATCCTACCTACCCTGCAACTCATTAGCAAGCCCTAACTATCTTCAGGGTCTTGCTGGAAAACCTATTCACGGTGGCACTACTATCTCTGGCACTATGATCCTCTCGCAACTTGCTGGTATCAAAATCTTTGGAACAGGCGGACTAGGTAAGTCTTTACAGTCACTCGGGTTGGATTCCGGTCTAATTGAATCCTAGGTGGCGTTCACCGTGGAGGTGAATATTCCATGGACATTTCTGGTATGTTGAATATCCCCCTGCACACCCGGGGGCCGTGCAGCAACTGACTGATTTCTTCCTAAAACAGCCGATCTGACAGAGCTGGGAAGGACCCCAGTGACGGTGATCAGTTCCGGGTGCAAGAGCTTTTTGGATATCCCCCGTACACTCGAGTACCTTGAGACTGAGGGTGTCTGTGTGGGCACCTTTGCCGATGGACGTGAGGGCTCCGTTGATTTCCCGGCTTTCTTCACCCGAGACAGCGGATTCCGCAGTCCACGAGTGATTCAGAATGAAGCCGAAGCTGCTGCGATCGTTTGTAAGTCTCATTTTTCTAGATTCTCTTCTCTGCTAACAACGTTCATAGACGCACAATCCAAGCTTCCTGTCACCTCTGGAATTCACTTCGCTAATCCTGTGCCCCTGGAGGCTTCTGTCCCCAAGGCCGAAATGGATGCAGTAATTGAAGAGGCGGTTCGCCTTGCAGATGTAGAAGGCTACCATGGCAGTGATAACACTCCGTTTGTTCTCGCTAAAATTAAGGAGCTGAGCGGCGGAAAGAGTGTGGTTGCTAACCGTGCTCTTATCGAGTCCAATGTCAAACGTGCGACTCGCGTTGCTGTGGAACTAGCTAAACTCGAGGAACTTGACCGAGGAAGTGCAGCTCAGTGAGTTGAGCTCTAGATACAAATATAACAATTACTAAGTCCAGAGATTCGCTTTTACTTAGACACATGCCTTCATTCCCGAGTATTCCTCGGTCAGATCAAACTGCTCCGACGCAGCCTGAGCCTGAGCCCGTTTCAAACATTCCCCAAGTGGTCGCTTCTGAGACAGAAAATGCAGATGTAGTTGTTGCCGGCTCCCTTGCCATCGATCTGTCCTGCGACTACACTCCATTTGGCAACGAGAGCGTGCAGGTGGCACCTGTACCACACACTTCCAATCCCGCTGTTATCGGGCAGAGCCTCGGAGGCGTCGGCCATAATGTCGCGCTTGCAGCCAGCTATGTCGGTAGCGATGTCCTCTTCTGCAGTGTTGTAGCAGACGACCTAAGTGGACGAGCAGCACTCGCATCACTCGAAACGGAAGGTCTCAGCACCGCGGGCATCCAAGTCCTTCCACCAACATCCGGTACTCGCACAGCTCAGTACATCGCCATCAATGACGCCAAGAAGGATCTCCTCGTCGCAATGGCCGACATGGGAATCGTTGAATTACCGGAGAAACAACTCGATTTCGACGGCTTCTGGGAACCTTTACTCGAAAAAGCCAAACCGAAATGGCTTGTTGTCGACGCCAATTGGCGGCCCGAGGTGCTAGCGAAATGGACCACCCTTGCCAAGAAGCATGGTGCTCGTGTTGCGTTCGAACCTGTGTCCACTGCTAAATCCCGTCGTCTATTCACTCAAAATGGCGACAGCGCGGTTATCGGGCCCACGCAAACCGTCCCCAATCACGCTGTCAGCCTCGCCTGTCCTAACCGTCTCGAACTAGGTGCTATGTACGCAGCTGCCCGTGAAGCTCTGCTTTTCGATTCCCCGGGTTGGTGGGCTGTCATCGACGCCATGGGCATGTCACAGGGCGGCTCACGACAACGTCTGGTCTACCTCACGTCTGCCGCTCTGGTGGATGAAGGTATTCCACAGCAATCCATTCAGCTCCTTCCATTCATTCCCTGCATCGTGACGAAGCTGGGTGAGGCTGGTGCTCTTTTGACACAGCTTTTACCTCCTGGTGATTCCCGTCTAACGGACCCCGCTTACGCACCGTATATCATTGCGCGCGCGTCTCCGTCTCCGGATGTATCATTTGGTGGAGTCTATATGCGTCTATTCCCGCCAGCTGCTAAGTTGTCTCCTGAAGACATTGTTAGCGTTAATGGTGCCGGTGATACCCTGTTAGGTGTTGTAGTGGCTGGTTTGGCAAAGATTGATTCCCCAATGCGTATTGAGGATGTCCTTGCGTTGGCACAGGAGGCTAGTCGGAGAACCCTCGCTAATGCCGGTGGTGTTAGTAAAGAGCTAATGAGCTTGCGAGGCTCACTTGGACTATGAGAGCTTTTGGACCTCTAGATGCTATAAAATTTAAAGGTTCGGATTCGTTGCATCGTCATATCAATGTTTCATAGGTATATAGCGCTTGTCCTTATTAAAATGTCTAATCAATATATGTGAAAACCCCACACTTCCAGAAAGGTTCCATCCAAGCATTTACAAACCTACTGATATCCTCTGCATATGTATGAGCCATTACTCTATCCTCGGCACGAGTCCTGAATCCAAAACCCCAGCTTGTAAAAGCACATCCGCTTGGTCCCAATACAAACTCTGTCGCACGATACGATCCGCACAGAAAGAAGCAACAACAACAATATCTACCGAGATATCACGATCCGTCGGCTCAATACCAGGTAACAACCATGGCATCTCAGAAGAATGACAGAATGAAAATCTTATCTCATCAACGATCTTATCCGAACCTACTGTCCTCGACAGAAGCCGAATATGTTGACTTGCCGGCCCAGTGGGAATAAACGTATGTTCGAAAAAAGACCGAAGAGATGGAGGATCACAACCTAGGATTATCTCAGCAACGCACACAGCATATACATATTGAAACCAGAGTTGGACTGGAGAAGAATTAGAACTTACCTCCTGCCCGTGTCGGGATGCACTCTATAGATAACCCCTCTTCATCTTGATTCTCCCCTCGTCCACTCATGATCTCAATAGCAGATCGAGACATATCTCCACCCCGCACCTCTGACTGGTCCAACTGGACGAGCAGTTTCTGCCAATATTCTTCCCAGATCGTCTCAATCCCAATGACCGGCCAATTACTTCCCACTCCAAACGCGCGCCGTAGACACCCTAGTGTTCTACTCCAGGATAATCCCGAACTTACATCGTCATGGACTGAATCTTTCTCTGACTGTGTTGTAGGGTGCCTGTACTGCGCGAACCCAGGATGAGAATCCGGGTATGTAAAGACATGACACCGATGTCGCTTCTTATACGTAACATCTCCTTCAGATGATAGTGTGATCCATGGCCAAAATGTGGTATCTGCCACTTCGCCTGGGATGTGAATCTGGATCGGGAGGAAGGTTGCTGATGGACCTGGCTGGAAGATTGATTCTGTTTCTGCACAGGCGGGTTTGCAGCATTGGCTTTGAGATGCTGTGTTTACATGGATATCTGCTGCTGAAAGGGGATAATATGCTATCAAAGCACACAGTCGTGGGAATGGATTTGTATTGCTTGTAGTGAGGTGGTGGGATACGAGAAGGTAGTACGCAGGTCGATTGTACGCTGTTCAGATTTGTTAGAAAAATTAGATCAACATCGCATTGAAATTATCCCAGAGTTTCGTTTCCTCTTCTATAACTTGGATAGATTCGATCGGAAAGTTGGGATATAGCTTACCGACAATAGCAAATCTCTCCCTGGTCTCCAAATCATCTTCTCTCATCTGCACTTTATTTTCTAATGCTTTGCGGTCTTTTTCCACATCACCAGTGCACTGAAAGGGCAAATACTCCACTTCGAATGCTTCAGCTCGAAACCGACGGATGATCTCTGGGTCAAAGTCCGGTGTATCTGATATGAGAATTAGATGGCGTGGCACTGGATCTTCTGCTGCATGGTCATGTCGAACGCGCTTTTCTGAGGCGGTGCTGGTCGTTCTGTGTAAATCATGAGGCTTAGTTGAAATACTCGGATCTGGGGCAGAGCCGCATGATCCGGATTCGGGTATTTTCGAACTTGTTGCTCGCCTGGTGAGACGTTGGAAGACGTTCACCATGTTGTGGAATCAATGTCAAATAGATGGTGAGGTTCATTGGAAGTTTTAAAATTAATTCTCGAAGTACAGATAATGTTGCCAATGCTTGGGTTGGAGTGACGTCGACGAGTATTGATAAGATCCCGCCGGATTGAGAAAAAAAGAGTATTTTTAATATTGTTACCTAGTTATCGTCACGAAAATTTGTGGGAGAAGAGCTCTACCGAGACCCTACCTGGATAAATATTATTGTTGGCTATGTAGAGTATGCCTTCCCTACTGTATAAGTATTTCGTCTTTGGCCTAAGTTTCTCCGTCTAGTACTTTGCTGGTTTCTTCTATCTTATCAAATGGTTCGCGCTGAAGTTTGTACAGCCCGGACTATCGGCGACCATATCCTGAAGAAATGTAAGGGAGTCTAGAATGATGAGAAAGGATATAGACAAAGGGTCAGCCTGTTAGGTTAAGCCAAGACAAGAAACTGGCCTAATGGGCTGGCCAATGCCGAGGGCTAACTGGTTTAACTACAAGCACCATTTTGAACAGCTATCATGTCTTTCAACGTCTGCATCAGAAGCTCAAAATTGCGACGGATGAACCAGTGATCGCCATCCACTTCAATAAATTTGAAGTCGTTGGAATGCACGCCCCAGCAGGCAATTTCATCGGGGTACACCAAATCATCTTGGTGAGCTGCAAACGCTGTGATTGGGACATCGAACATATCCGCTGCCTGGAATTGGTACGAAAGAAGCAGTGGAGCATCTTGCTTCATCATTGGTAACAATGACCGAATGAAATTCCCATCATCAACATACCGAGAGAGTCCGAGCAGATACTCAGGGCTGCTGTTATCCGTCAACAGCTGCAGGATGACATCTCGCCTTTGCCAGATAGAGATAAGCTGAGGCGCAATCGACCCAGTCACCATTAGATAAGGCATAGATTTTCCTTCCCTTCGAAGAGCTCGCATCACCTCGAAGGCAATGATTCCTCCAAATGAATGCCCCCAGAAAATTCGTGGTGGGGTTTTCCAGGTGTTCATGTCTGCAAGAATGGCCGAAACAATCTCTTGTACGTTGCCTGCCGCTGCCTCTTCTAATCTATTCTCTCGACCAGGTAGTTGCACAGCAACGGGATCCAGGGCATCGGGAGGGTTTGCGAGGAAGGGAGCATAAAATGATGCACCCGTACCCATGGGGTGGAAACAGACCACGCGGGAACCATAACCTTTTCCTCGAATGAACCATGGAGAAAGGACTGAAAATTCAGTAGTGAGGGATGCATTAACTTCTGCGTCAATTTGGGTGACAAAATTTGTCGTCTCTACCTTTGAAGGGTCACCTTCAAGTGAAGACTGGACTTCCACAGCGACATCTTCAAGACACGGTCCCTGGAACAGCCGCATAAGAGGGTACGCCACCCGGAACTCTCGCAAGATCATCCCTCGCATTTGTGTGAGTGTCAGAGAGTCGAAGGCATATTTGTCGATTCTTTCTGTAAGTGAAATGCGACTTGACTCAATTCCCATGATCTTAGCCAACCCAGAGCGTAGCAATTCACCAATGTAGTCTAATCCACTTGGACTTGAAAGATTTTCTGCAGTTCTTCTTGAATTAATTCCCTTCGGCCTATCTGGAGTCCTTTGGATGTCCGAGAAAAGACCATCACGACTGAGATGGGGGTGCGCTTTCACAAAGAGGGAGAAGTCAGCGCCACTAACCATTCGTTGGGTGGCGTTTTGCAGGATTGTGCGCTCCAAAACCGATAGAACAGTAGGAAGGTTGACGGAAGAAAATCCTTGAGATTGGAGAACATCATAAATTCGATCAGTCTGCTCGGACCGATGTGACATTCCTGCAAACGATCCCAGTACACCAAGGTTGAGGGAAAGTCCTGGCAAGCCCAGGGACTTGCGATGAGACGCCAGTGCATCAAGAAATTTGTTAGCTGTCGCATAGCTAAACTGGCCGGTGAGTCCAACAACGCTGGAGACGGAGGATATCATTACAAAGAAGTCCAAAGCCAGTTTCTCGGTAGCCAGATGAAGATTCCAGGCTCCAATCGCCTTGGGAGCAAATACCTTCCAGAAATCATCCTTAGATGTTTCTTGGGCGTAGGCATCATTCAATACGCCCGCGGAATGAATTATCCCGGCAATTGATGGCCAATCGGTCGAAGTATTACAAAGTTCTGCAATTGCTGCGGCCTTACTGACGTCTGCCTGCCGAATTATAATCACTGCTCCTTGGCGCCGCAGCTCCGAAATGATTGCGAGGTCCTCGGGGCTCTTTGCTCCCGAGCGGCTAACAAGAAGCAGGTACTGGGCTCCTCGATCGAATAAGAATTGGGCTAGATGTAAGCCCAGTCCACTGGCGCCACCTGTGATGAGATAGGTGCGATCGCCACGTAAGGATAGTATCTTGGCTGGCTCAATTGGAATATTCTCGTTGACCGGCATCTCCACTGCCACTTTCCCAATAATAGCAGACCGTGATAGTGACTTGAGGGCAGTTGGCAGCTTTGAGATTGGATACGATGTTACAGGAAGGGGTGATAACTTCCCTTGATCAAACAACTCTCCGATTTCTTCAAACAAACGATTATGAAGATCGGGCTTCTGGACCGCCAATCGGTCAATATCCACAACGAAGAATGAGCAGTTCTCTCCAAACTGCTGAAGACCAATTCTCATGTTGCGGTATATGTCTGTTTTCCCAATCTCCAAAAAGCGACCAAAGGGAGCAAGACACGATAGCGATTGAGTAAACATGTTTCCGGTAAGAGAATTAAGAACCAGGTCTACTCCCCGACCCCCGGTAGCCTCTTTAAGTTGATCGTGGAATGTCAAAGATCTGGAGTCCCAGACGGTCTCGACCCCCATATTAGACACGATTTCACGACGTTGAGGGTTGCCTGCAGTTGCAAAGATGCGAGCCCCAAAAAGCTTGGCCACATAGATGGCAGCAATTCCCACTCCACCAGCAGCGGAATGTATTAGCACGCTGTCTCCAGCATTTAATCGACCCAAATGCACCAATGCATAGTATGCTGTGAGGTATGCCACTGGGATACAAGACGCTTCCGCCACCGTCAAGGATTTCGGGATGCGTAGAACTCGTTTGCGGTCGGCGACAACCAGTCCTGCCAGGCCATGAGCAACCCGAGCCATCACCCAAGTACCAACTGTCATATCTTGCACATCTTTTCCGACTTGCACGACACGGCCTGCAACTTCAAGCCCGAGTTTTCGACCTCCAAGTGCTCTCGAGGTGGATCTTTCAGTCAACAGACCCATACTATTCATTACATCCTTGAAGTTCAGCCCACTGGCATGAACCTCGATTGATATATCAAAGGGGGCAAGTGATTGCTCAGCTATTCTTTGAAAAGAAAGCCTATCAATTGATCCGCTAGCATCAGGCTCACAAAAATAAGCTCCTCCGCGTGCAGGGAGCAGCGTTGTCTTCTGACGCTGTTTCTTGTGGCTGACTGGCGTGATCTGTTTGAAGAAGCGCCCCGCAGAGCGAATAGCAACAAGAGTATCATGCCGACTTAGTCGGTTAGTGCGAAGCTCTTCTTCCAGCAAAGATATATTCATGTCCTCCTGCTCCATGGGAAGATCCACAACGCGAATGCGTGACCGGGGGAGTTCATTGACCATAACTCGCACAGCTGCTTCGATACATGAGGAGACCGGATCGCATCTCAGATCTGTGGGTGTCATACATCCCCCTGTGGTAAATATTATCACGGTAGGTGTCCCACCTTGCTCATGAATCCAACTAGCAACGCGACGTAAAGCAGTGAAAATGATATCCACTTTTTGACAGATATCGAGCGTAGATTTTGCCACCGTGGGAATGATGATCAGTGATCTTCGATCCAGGGGAAATCCCATTCCTGTTTCTGCCCAAGTACTATCAACTGTGGCCATGTCTGCCTGATGTATCGATGCACTTATGAATGTTTTCTTTACAAGAGGCATGAGATCGTCTGTTGACTGAAATTGAAGATCAAGGAAAAGAATATTGGTGAAATCAATTGGAACTCTGTCAGACTTTTCATCTTCAGACTCTGGCATGATAGTGATCTCGTGTTCATCATATTCGACCAAACCAGAATTACCCACTCGCTTCGCTGTGAGTCCAACCACAGATGCCAGGAGTTGGCCATTCTCATTGTATATTGTGGCATCGTAGCAAAACTGATTGTTGTCCCGATGTCTCACTTTAATGTGCGTGAAGGCTGTTGTGGCGCCATCGGTATGAGAGATCTTCGCTTTCTCGATATGATGAGGTAGATAAACCACATTACAGTCTCCGTGATGATGAATATCAACAAATGCAGCATGCAAGCAAGCATCTAACATGGCAGGATGGAATCGGAAGCGTTTTGTCTCTGCATGGAAAATTTGTGGGAGTTCAACTCTTGTGAATACTTCGCCTCCAAGACGCCATATCTCTTTGTTACCACGAAAAGCCTCCCCGTACCGAAGACCAGCTCGTTCAAGCTTTTCGTAGAATTCTTGGACGTCAATCTGGGTTCCCATTTGAACACGCAAGCGCAACTCCTCCAAAACCTCTGGGGTGGAGTTCGATCGTTGATCAAAAGCGTTGATTTTTCCCCTGGAGCACAGCTGCCATGAAGTTTCTGGTGTTGAAGCTGCACCACGGACTCCTATCATGTAGTCCTTTGCGGGTGATATTATCTCCAATAAAACCTGAGGCGCAAAATCCTCTGCTGGGGCCAAAACCACAGGATTCTCAAACTGAAGGTCTTCCAGCCAGACATTCATTCCCGACATATGCTTTGCGGCAGCCATATATGCAGCCTCAATATGCCCTGCCATGGGAAATACGATAGCCCCATCGACAACGTGATCTGCGAGGAAGGGCGAGACACCAGTATTCAACCGAAGTTGAATGGATACACGGCCATCATCCAGCAAAGCAGTCGATTCGCCATAAAACGGATGCCGAGATTTGGCTAGTCGTCGATACTGGCTCGTCGGGGTTTCAAACCAATAGTTTTCACGTTGGAAAGGGTACAATGGAAGGTCAATGAACTGGCCACCATGGCCATTGAAAGACAACAGATCTACTGGAATCCCGAATGCATGTGCGGCCCCGAGAAGACGAGACATTGGCTCAGTATCGCTTTCTCGAATCATGGCTGGCAATATTTGAGCTGAAACCTTCAACGATTCAGCAATCCCTCGGGTACCCGAGACTAGAACTGGATGAGGGCCAACTTCAATAAGAAAGTTGCAGCCATCTTCGAGCATTCGCGTCACAGTCTCAACATACCGTACAGGTTGGCGAATATTCTTAAACCAGTACTCACCCGTTAGGTGTATACCTGGCTCTTGGCGGGTGGTCACAGTAGAGTAAAGGTCGATTTTGGTGGGATTGCCATTGATTGTTGACAATGAATTGAGAACTTCCTCCTCCAGCGAATCCATGGCAGCACTGTGGTAGGGAACGTCTACCTTCACAAACTGCGCAAATGCCCCACTTTCTTTGACTTTGAGACTAATAAGTTCTAGGTCATATGTATTTCCTGTCAAAGTAGTCATCTTGAGACCGTTCAAGGTCGCTATTTCGACCTTTGCTCCCATTTGATGTCGGTCAATCAGCTGCTGGGCTTCCGAAGAAGATAGTCCCACCGCCAACATGGAGCCCATGCCGGCCGCCTTGCTCTGAATACTTGATCGCAGATAGATTGTGGCGACAGTATCTTCAAGACTCAGTGCACCAGAGATATGGGCTGCTGCAACCTCTCCAATGGAATGGCCGACAATTGCATCAGGCTGGATTCCATAGGCGATAATCATTCGTGCCAACGCGATTTCAATGGCTGCGATAGCTGGTTGAACAACTACAGTAGAATCAAGTTCCGAGGAGTCCTTTCCTGATATCTTCTCAAGGATCGAGAACCCCGCCAATGGAAGGAAGATCTTATCGAACGTGTCGATAGACTCCCGGAATATAGGCTCTTCTTCGGCTAGACGCATCCCCATCTTCAGCCATTGTCCACCCTGTCCGGAAAAGAGAAAGGCGACCTTGGGATTAGCTTCCAGTTGCTTCCCAAACACCAGGACATCTTTGGATCTTTCATTCGCTCCCAATTGATCCAGTCGAGCACAAAGCTCCTCCGATTCAGTGGCTGGGATGATAGCGACCTGACGATGACAACTTCGACGTAAATTCATTGTGTAGGCTACGTCTTCCAATGACAAAGCGAACTGACGGATGCAGACTGCAAGGTTTTTTGCTATATCCTGCATTGCTGCTTGAGATCTAGCAGACAGAAGAACCACGCGTGCTCCCCGGGTTTGCATCGGGGATGGGTCGGCCGTGGGTGCCGCTGCGAGGATGGCATGCGCATTGGTACCTCCAGCGCCAAATGAGTTTAGCCCAACGATTATCTCATGATCGGGCGTGGATAGCATAGGAGTTAACTTTAATGGCACAGCAAGGTTGAGAGACTTAAAGTCAATCACAGGGTTCGGCGTCTTGTGGTTGACTTGAGGGGGGATTTGACCATGGAAAACAGCCAGAGTAGCCTTAATGAGACCAGTAATCCCTGAAGCTCCCTCTAGGTGACCTACATTTCCCTTCACTGATCCGATCCACATAGGGCTGCCGTATGCCGAGCGTTTCTGGCCAATCTGAGCTCCCAGTGCTTTGGTTTCAATAGGATCTCCCACCGGGGTTCCTGGACCATGAGCCTCTACATACTGCACCTTGGCTGGGTCAATACCAGCCCGAGAATAGACTGATTGAATCAGCCTTGATTGAGCCTCCAGACTGGGGACTGTATAGCCTTCAGGTGTGTTCCCGTCTTGATTCACAAGAGAACCGCGGATAACGGCGTAGATTCGGTCTCGATCCTGCAGAGCTCGAGAAAATGGCTTTAGAAAAACAACCCCCACTCCTTCACTTCGAACGAAACCATTTGCTGCAGCATCAAAGGGCTTGCAGGCTCCATCTGGAGAGAGGAACCCTCCTTTGGACATGAGAATAGTTGACTCGGGCCGTAATATCACATTGACGCCACCAGCAAGCGCACCATCACTTTCGTGGGCCCAGATGCTTTGGCAAGCTAGATGCACTGCAACCAGACTACTTGAGCAGGCGGTGTCGAGGGTGACACTAGGTCCCTGAAGGTTGAGTCGGTGTGAGATGCGATTTGCTATCGAGCAGTTGGCAACCCCCATAGCAGTATGAGGACTGATATAATCACGTTGATCCGCAGAGGTCTGGATAGCCAGATGATCATAAAAAAATGTTCCCATGAATACACCGGTACACGACCCAGTCACTTGTTCCAAGGTAGTACCTGAATCTTCCAGTGCATGATAACTAGCTTCGAGAGCTAGTCGTTGTTGAGGATCGATCCTCTCTGCCTCGGTCGGAAAGTATCCAAAGAACTCAGCATCAAAAGCTTTAATGTCAGGCACAAAACCACCCTTTGGGCTTCTAATTGTGCCTTGCTTTCGGGCATCCGGATCGTAGAAAGAACCCGAGTCAAATCGATCTTCGGGAACTTCGGTAACCATATTCATACCTCGTTGCAGGACTTCCCAGAAGGTCTTAGTGGAAGTGATACCCCCGGGAAGGCGGCATCCAATGCCCACAATAGCGATTGGCTCAGGAATTGCGGTAGGCATCTTGATTTTTTTGTGATTTTTGTTTGTCTGATGAGAATGTGACTTATACAAATCAATCGCACAATTGAAATTTCGGATTTTCGACTGACTTGTTTTGCAAAATTTTCGACATCATTTGTTCCATTTATACGGAGTAGAGACCCTAGGAAGATCATCTTTTCAAATACGGATTGATACGATGCGGTAAACGCGGTCATTCGATTTTCTTTTTATGCTGTACATCTTCATTTGGTAGAGCATCTTCGAAGATCTCGATTATTTCGATGATAAAGTCAGAAGTGATTCACAACTATCATGGAGACTATTGGGCCAATAATTTGGAATTTGCTGCACAATCGCTTTTATTTCCTAAGTGGGGTCTGAAATCTTGACTCAAGGTGTCACAAATTTGGAACAAATCACATCTATCACATCAACAACCTTCAGAGCAGATATCCTAGCTGAAAATCAGACTTTGCTATCCCTGGTTGATTTTTCCAGTGTCGGACAGTAGCTGCTGCATGAACGTCTTGATCCGGCAACTTGCTTTACCGATCATGTTGTTTAAACTTCCATATTCTTCTGCAGTGGAGAGTATGCTGAATATACACTGTGTCTCTGATAAGTCTTTATTGGATTTAATTGGCTCAATTCAAGGAATTTCAAGAATCAGTGAGGAAAAGGAAAAGGTCAAAACCTGAATAGTAATACAAATTCGGAGTATGTGACGCAGCCTTCATGCTGTGTAACCATTTAGCTGAACCATTGCATGCGATTAGATTCCCCGCACGCAATGACAGTAAAGGCCATATGCTCTATCAAGTCTCAAGAAACCCAATAGGGCAGCCACAGTGGGAATGGGTTCAGAGTAGAATGAATATTACCTAGTATGAAGTTAAAGCGTTATTGTGTGAGCTCATGGCAACAATCTACAGTGTTATAGGTAGTATATTTAACATAGAAGATATCGCCATCAAATATCTCAGAATTTCTATGACCCGATCGTAGTGACACCACGATGCGTATAGAGCCCGCGTTCAGGAAGAGGCAGATTTATTAGCATATTTCGTAGTCTCTTGGGTACCAGCGAAAATTTTTGAACCGCGAAAATTATTGAAGATGCCAATTCAGCATATAACGCACGATATTGCCATCTGGACATCATTTCTGACATATGTACTTGATAGAGTATATCTCCTCCCACATCCTCATTACAGAGGCTATCCCTCTTACACATATCATATCCATATATGCACTCAATCTCCACCTTCATATCGTATCTTTGTACAACATGTGTACTAATACGTACTAGAGGATGTGCAGAGCGTGAGTTCGAGCGTGCGAAGGTAAAAATATCAGGGAAACGCCACATGCAGTGACAAAGTGGAGATAAGCTCCACGGGAGATTGTGGGTTGTGTTACACAAACAAGAGATCCAAAATGGGCCGTGCGATATCACTTGTCATCAGCTGGCGTGATTATAAACCGATTACCAACTCGCGGTGAAGGTGTCAACAAACATCACTTCTCATACTCCTTGTCGCATATTTGGATACTTATTTTCATCTCTTGAACATTCCTTTCTAAAGCTTGATTGATACCATTGTATGATATCAAGTCGTGATGTCCTCCATCTACCCTTTTGAGATATCTCAGATGACTGTTGAACAACAGCGTCTCAACGACAATCACCGGGTGTTCAAACAGATGACAAACGGTAAATTGCTGCCAATGTGTATTGAACGTCATCTCCGGTCCCTGTCAGCCCCCGTTGTTGCCGATATTGCCACAGGCACGGGAAATTGGCTCTTCGACTTGGCGCGAGAGCTGCCGAGCTTAGCCCAGCTAGATGGCTATGATATCGACAGTTCGAAATATCTTGCGACAGAGTTGCAACCTCGTAACGTGGCTCTTCACGTGCATGATGTTCTCAACCCGTTCCACGAGAGTCTTCGTGGCAGGTATGACGCTGTGCATATTCGATTATTGTACCTCGCTTTGAGAGCCGATGACTGGACAACTGTCGCCGCAAATGTCAAATATATCTTGAAACCGGGGGGGTGGATATTTTGGGAAGAGCTAGGTTATCCAGCTTATTCATGTGTGCCCATGAGTGCATCATTCGCAGAGCTCTTCAGAATTGAAGGGAACTATGGGATCCAGGTGGGACGGAATTTACGGTGATCATTCCCCAAACAGACATCAAAGAAAGATAAAGCCTAACAACATCTTAGTGCGCCTGTACAATTGATGTCACAGCTCAAAGGCGAAGGGTATGCTAATTGCGACCAGCAGACGTTCAACTCATTGGCAATAGAAGAATCTAGTTTCACAGACTCTATCGGTAGGGGTGTGACGAAGCTTTTGGAAGTATCTATGAGCCACATTCTAAAGAAAGGCGGAAATATGAGTATACGCTCGGAGGAAGATATCGATGCATTAGTCAAATCGCTCCTGATGGACCTCGAGCAATGATCTGTCATTGGAGTGGATATGCGATGGGTGTGGGGGGCAAATCCTTGTTAGCACTTTTATTAGAGTATAGGGTCAGGTCCCCTCCGTTTGCGAGTATATATATTTCTTAGCTTGTTCTCTCTGTCTCTCTCTCTCTCTCTCAACTCTCCTCTATATGTCTGATAATAAAGGTCTTGTCTCTTTATCTATTTCTATATTACTATATTGTTAAGACCTAACTCTCCCGGGCAGGAGCGTAGCCAACTGAGCCAGAAGACAAATTATATCCGCAAAGCTGGTCTTTATGCCCATAATCCTGGATACTTCTGTCGATTTAAGAGAATGGCCGCCTGCTTCCAACTCGGGGATGACACTTGTGTTCATTGTCAAATCGAATTTTTTGGCGAAAAGCACGTTGGACAGGTTTTGGGTAGCCTCAGTCTAAGTTCAGGCGGTTGGTCTTCCCTTTGTGTTCCCGACTGCCTTCCTGATCGTGTTGTTGTTGTTGCTTGCCTTGCGGAGATGGCCTATCTTCATGATGGTAGGTCTGCAACTCCTTATCTTGTAGCCCTTGCTACAGGTGATTGCTGACCTCCATGGAAATAGACCATGACAGTTTAAATGAAATGGCCATTACTGACAGGTACTCAGAAAACTCAACCTTGAACCTTCCATGACCTTGATCGAGCGGTACTTCCAAATACGCGATGACTATCAAAGCCTAACCTCATCTGAGGTATGATATTCATCTCGTCGCCGTTTTGCCATACATCGCTAATCCCACTTGACAGTTGATGCACCAGAAAGGATTTGTGAAGACCTCGATGAGAGAATGTACTCTTTGTTCCTTATTCATGCGTTCCAGAAACCTAACCCTGAGATTCAAAGCTTAATGCAGAGACGAAGACAGTCGGATACTTTGCCGCTCGACCTCAAGCGTCTGGTGCTTAAGAGGCTTACCGAAAGCGGAAGCCTGGACTATACGCCTGATGTGCTTCGAGAGCTCCAGAACATAATCGCCGATGAGCTAGATCTCGTGGAGTTCAAAACGGGACTGAAGAACTGGGTCCTGAGGAGGCTCCTGTATCAGTTGAAAGTTTGACATTCTCGATCTTTAATCTTCGGGGCTGGGACCTGCGGTATAGTGATCATGATTCACTTGAATATGCTCGTGTTCACTCTGCAACGAAGGAGAAAGAAAATCAATTTTTTCGTACAACTGCTTTCCAACCATCCAGGCTGAGTCATTGGTAGTAGCGTTGTAGTTGGTGCATATGCCGTGGATATGGATTCTCGGCCACTAAGGGAAATGAAAGGTTGTCAGTGGTGCCAAAATTCACAACTTTGCCCTGGGGGAATATAAGTTTCGCTTATCTCCTGATTCTTTAAAAGAATCAGTCTTGATATGATATAATATTAACTGCTATTTTGCAATTTATCTACTCCTCTACTATTATATCTAAAATCCTAATGATACTGGGGTCCCACCTCACACCTTCTAGGCAGAATAGCATTAGTAAGACTTGTATTCTTTGAGTTATTACTTTCAGAGTATCTGAATCGACAATAAAGTAATTTGATAGCTCTTTCGGATTCCATTATGGAGGGAGAAGGTAATTTATGACTTTCTTAGATATATTAAATTAGATCTTCATAATTCAAGACCGATATAGACAGATAGATCCAACATTGAATCAGCTTTTCCAGAAACAAGACATTTAATTCATCAATTCTATCAAGCATCTAATATTCATGTGCAAACTTTTGATTAGAAGCTTGACAACCACTTCCGATCTTCGGCGACCTTCTCCGGGACGCGTCCGTCATCAACGAGATATCGCTTGTACGCGTCCCGCAACAGGCTTTGTCGCGCAACTTCGCAGTCTACACGAATATCCTCAATCAGTGCATCCACAGAGACATAGTCATACTCCGGACGAATATATCCCAGAATGAGGAGGTTGAGGTGCGTATTGTAGAAATCAGGAAGGCGGTTGAATTTCGGCTGCGGGATAGCGGTTGGGGATGGCTGAGTGAGAGGAGGCATAATATGAATTTCCTAGATTCATGTCAGCAGCTTACCGGGGATTGAAATTGCGACATTGCGTCAATTGTTAAGGTGAACGGGTCACATACCACCGACCGCACGGTGTTCTTATAGTAGGGATTATACCCAATGCTCAGAACTGCCGGCTGGATAATTGGCTCGCTGGCTTTCTCGGTATCTCCCGTTAAGCCATTCTCATGCGCAAAGTCCTTGGGGTCGAGTGCTACCACTCCGTAGTAGACGCCTGTTGTCAGATCTGGGTGGTCCTTGGATAAGTCGTCGGCGGGAATGTTGGCTGTCGGGATTCCTAACTACAGGCTGGAGTTTAGTATATGTCTTTCTATAGTAATTCAAATAATCCACGCATTGGAAGAGCTTTAGTTCGGCATACATCTTTGCTCCCTCGGCCAAAGCCCTTAATCACTGGACCAGACAATCGAATGGGGTACGGGGCTTCTGGACCAGCATCGGGGCCAGCAACAGGGTCGCGGGGCTTGTCGGGTCGCATCGTGGATATTTCTTAGTGAAATCAAAGCTTTTGCGGGGTTTCCGGTAATCAAGTGGTGATCGGTTGTGCGAGTTGGAGTTGGCGCGGGGTTCACGTAATACCAGATCACGGCAAAGTTGGGAGTGAGCGTAGGATACTTATATGTCAGTCACGGGGCTATCACGTCAATGTGCACGACGAGATAGGACAGAGAATTGCGAGTTATTGGTGAGACGTAGGGAACGATGATAGAAGGAAGCTGGAAGTCGGATGAGCGGGCTGTTGGTGGGGCTGTCGATAAGAAATTCGACACCCGATATCTGAGGCAGTCATGCAGGATGCACATGCAAATGCAACTTAGAAATCTACGTCTTATGATTCGTTTCAATAATGATCAGCATATAGACGATCCAATCAAGATTACATGGCAACGCCCAATAGCATTGAAACGTTGACAGTTATAGGATGAATGGCATTAATCTCGTAAAAACACAGTCCCAGCCCAAGATATCATTTTAGCCTTTTGAGCGCCAGAAACACAAAAATAAAGGTTCCAACGGTTCACACTGGGCCATGAACCGCTAGGCCTAAAAACACCGGTTGTATGTACGAGTAAGAACAAACAAAGAATCGGGGGAATCATGTAGTCCCACAAGAAACCAAAATATGTACCGGAAACCCAGATCAAAGAGACAAAAGACAAGGGATGGCCTAGTCAAGGGTATGAAGAGAATAACAAGAACAGCGGAAAAGTGTGCAGTACAAGAAAAGACCCAAGATATCACCATAGAAATTGGACAACATCCACAACTGAGGATGGGGTGGCGCAAATCAAATACAGGGCAAGAACTGTTGCATGATTAGTCAAAATTCTTGCTTGGCACAGCTCGGGGATACTCACATTCATCACGATAAGCATTGGAATGTCGAACACATCTCGCTTAACTGTCCAGCAGTACGCGCACTCGACTTTGCCGTCCTTGAACCCAAGCTGGTTCATGCCAGCCTCACCGGCAATGCCACCTTTGCGTAGGTGGTTGTTCCACTTTCCGTTGTCTTCCTGCGCCACCTCCATGTCTTCCTTGGTTTTATACTTGAGGAGCTTGCAGCGAGTCATTACACTGCCCCGAGAATCACCGAATGCTAGGCGCGCAAAATCTTCATAAAACTCTACAACGCTATCATCGTCAAGAAGCTCTGCCAGGAAGACTGGTTGGGGTCGACCGTTGGTGTTCTCTAGCGTCGAGCCACGGGGTGTGTAGCTACCACGTGAGCTTGTGCCGGATTGCGGCTGTCCTGTACCGCCAGTGTTGACATTCAAATTGGCCTCTTTGCCTAACAAGACATCTTTCTTCCATCCTGTCAAAATGCTAAACTCCTTCCCAACGGCGGCAATTTCTCCCGTCCGTCGGCAGACAATTGTGGGCGTGCCACAGGCATTGATGAAGTCCTCGTATTCCCAAAGGGTTCGTTGGAAGCATTTCTCCATAAAAATCAAATCATCTCGATTAAGGGTCTTGGTGGTCGCAATGAAAGAGGGTCGGATAGATGCCAAAGACTTGGCGATACGCACGGTCTTCTGTGGTGAGAAGCGACGCTGGATGAAGGCAGTGAGATTGTGGAAACCACTCGTATAAGCATACGGTTCTTTGACACTTTCGTATATCGACGACGGATTACGATGACGTCGCTTGGGCCCGACATGTAATTGTTGGTGCTTCAAGCTAGGTGTAGTGATCATCGGTCGCTGTCCGTTGGGCGCAAGACTGTTGGACTTGGCACCCGCGTTGAATGTCCCATCGTCAAAAGTAGAGGTAGCCACGTGTGGACTACTCGCTGATCCAGGGCTGGTGAAGTTCGCAGGGCCACTTTCAATAGCGAAAGCATGTGGTCCATCTGCTTTCATGTGTCCCGGAAGCATGCCATTCTGACCATACACGCCGCCGACGTTCACATGCGGCTGGCCCGAGGCCTGTCCCGTTGACCACTCATTCAGCAAGGGATCGCCAAACATGAAAGGCTGATTCCCCGGACTTTCACCATATCCAGGAGCTGGCGTGGAGAACTGCGCCGATCCACTGCGGCCCAGCGACCCTCGCTGTGTGCCTGACTCAGTAGGCGAATCTCCAGCCCCGGTCGCCATGTGTCCCAGCATCCCAAATTCAAGAGCACCGTAGCGATTTTCAAAATTCATGCTGGACAAATCAAAGTTGAAAAGAGCAGGGTCGCTGGGGTCGAAAAATGGCCCCGCGAACGGATTTGCTGGTTGGGAAGTCTCTCCGGAGAGGGCGGTATTGGGGGGTTGTTGGTTCACAGTGGATGATAAGCTTGGGTTGCGACCATTCTGACTGGTCTTGAGGTTGTACGTAGGTGAAACAGGTGATTGAGTGGTAAAAGGACTTTGACCCATGGCCGTTTCTTGGTACATGTTGTAGGAGCCCTGCGACTGGGGTTGTGGCTGTGGCGTGGGGTAGAAATTGTTGTTTGCTTGCTGCGGCTGCTGCTGCGGCTGGGACTGTTGCTGCTGCACAGTGTTCGTGCTGCTGCCATTCCTAGACAAGGGCAAACTACTTCGCATGGGAGTGTTGTTAGGATAGAAGTTCGCGGGCGGTACTCCGGGCATCAATGCTCCGTCCGGGGCATCGTGCAGATACTTGGCCTTTTTACGAACACCATCATGACAAGCCTCTTGTAGACCCCGCTTAATGCAGCGCTGACATGGTCGCTCGTCGCCTGAAAAATGGGGATGTTAGCCAAGAAATTATTTGGTGCCGATCATCATGCTTACCGCACGTCAAATGAGCTCGCTGACAGGCGAAACAAGCTCGGCGGGCCTTTTTCCGCCGCGGTCGCGATGGATCTTTAGCATTCGCAGCTTTGCGATTTTCGGCCTTCACATTGCCATTAGACTTCTCTCTGCCGGAGTCCAGTGGCTCCGAATATTCAGTGATATCGGCGGAATCGCGATCGCCGTCCATGGGGACCGGGGTGCCGTTCTTGGCTTCCATGTTCATTTCGTCATGTATCCCGGGGCGGGGAACTAAGAATGAAAGTAACACTAACACGCTCCCAGAGCTTTAAAAAGTATTCGGTCTGCTATCCGAAGAGCTATACCGGCACTCGTCGTTGTTCGATCGCACGATCTCGAGGCTGTGGCGACGGGACCATCCGCGCACTTGGGATCGTCTCGGCAAATGGAGAGAAGATGGAGATCGGGAGATCCACGTGTCGGCGCAATTATGTACCGAGCAGAATTAAATGGTCGCAACTTGACAGCACTGCGTATCCAGCTCCTAGTATCCACTCCGCTTATCACTGGGAATTTCGGTAGTTCTCGTCTATAGTCGCGCGCTCGTGAGCAATTCTGGCGGGGGAACGGAAGGCAGTCGGGTTGAGTCACGGGTGTAATGAGGCACAATCGACTCGGAGTAAGACGTAAGTGCAAAGATCTGACACATTGAAGGGTCGTGGAATTGCAAGCTTGTTCAGGAGTTCACGCGACAGGTGAGGAGAGGAAAATGCCGCAACGGTTACGGGCGCAGCTGAAATCGGGAGTGGAGAGAAGGCGGCAGGTTCGTTCGGCTGCGGGGAAGCGGGAATGTATTCGGTTCGTACGAGGTAGAGGTCCCAAGATAGACAACTTCAAAAGAGCCGTCGGGAAAGTCCAAGAAAATAACGGAGGCCTGTCAGCTCTGCGCGGAGAAAAAAGATGAAGAAGGTGGAGGGTCTGAGAATTGCAACTAACTTCGGAATGTTCCCGTGACTCTTGAGGTCTAAGCATCAACAGGCAAGACTTCAACCCAACCGATTGCTGCAACAACCAGGGAAAATCATAAGTATATTTTCAAGGTATTGATATATCTAGCTTCATTTTTTTATTTTCTCTCTCTCCTTTAGTCTTTTCTCTTTCTTTCCTTTGAGTATAATCTTTCTATGAGGATTTCATACATATACAACGCGTAAGGCTGGATATAGTTCGAGGTTTCGTAATGTCCGTTTTTTTACCTTTACGTTACATAATTTGAAACTGAAATAAAATGAGACTCAAATTCTCGTATTATAGAAATTGTAAGCGAAAAAAACATGTATTCTATTTGAGAGCTAAACTTGGAGCATTAACTATAAGAATTTTTCAAGTTTTTTCCCCTCTAATTCACATGCTGACGTTTGAGGCGTCAATGACTGGATCGGCATTTGTCTTGTAACACCAAAGCTCCTCTTTAATGTGAAATCCTTACCCGGATTGGCTGCACCGGCAGATCGTACATCCCCCAACGACTGGGGCAGTTGGGCACGTGTGGAAAAACCATTTTGCTATATCAGATATCCTTCAATGGAAAAAAAATCTGCTTAGGAAATTATGGGCAAAAAGCCTCAATCTCTGTATGTCCCCGCTCATAACCTTGTATTGTCCAGGGTTCCGGATTTTTCCTCCACTCAAATCCCGTTTTATCCCGAGGTTATGTGCCTGAGTGAGTGCCTCGGTTAAGTGGGTTAACATTAGGTTCTCATTTATATCCTAGTCTCCAAGCATGTTGCTCAGCTAAATTGGGAGAGACGTAGATAGTAGCATAGAAGTTGAAAACTAAGACCACATGATGCTCGTGATCTTTGCAACTGGCCTAAAGCGGGAAGGGATGTCGGAGAATTGAATTCTGGTCCAAACCCACCCCAGAAACAAAGAAATTGTGGGCCGAATTCTTGGCTTTGATCTAATCGCAACGCCTAAACAATGGAGCTAAATTCTGAGTCAAGACTGGGCCGAAAGTAGACTTTCTCAACTCCTAAACTGATGTGGTCCAAGCGTCTCAAGCAAAAACATCTACGATTTCTATTGTTATTCACATTGTAAATCCAGCCGTGGGTGGGACAGCAGCTGGACTGTTGAGCTTTGGTTTTGAAAGACCGGCCAAATATGAATATAGCTATAGGATGCAATACCATGTCCAAAACTTGTTGACACAGCATCACAAACCAGACATGGGACGTTGGGAAGAGCGTTGACCTGCAACACTACCTAAGGGAATCATGCAGTCGTCCCTCTATAACTGCATAGTTGAGAGCAAAACCGTGTTGGATTAAAATAATGTAGGTACGGTATAGGTGTTTGCTCGGGCCATTTCAGTACAAGCAAGAAACCGTTTGAAATAATCTTCACGTTTGATGGGTGGCAAAGCGACTCTTTTGTCGAATACGACTTCCATATCGGAAGAAGATGTACCTGAATGGATTATTAGTAGAATTCAACAAATGCCATGTGTGGAAGTTGAGTTGGCCAACATCTGCATGCAGCTGGACTATCAAACCGCCCCGCAATAAAATATCGAGGGCTTTCAATGCAAGAGAAAGAAAGTCTGGGGGCCATAGCGCAGGAAATCAAGTTGAAGGAAACCAAAGCAAATCAAAACTTACGGAAAGGGAAGCATGGCAAGGGTGAGAAAGGCTAGCAGCGAAGTCGCCCAGTGATACCCAAGATTGTTGTACACTGGAGCCGTTAGCAAGGGTTCACATGATTTCTGATTTGACAGGGCACAAGAAAGACAGTTGGCCAGTATCACAAGCACGTCAAGAACGGCGCTGGACACGATGAATATATCCTGCATTGCCGTATGTAAAGCACGGAACCTGGACTCTAGACCTGATACCAAGTAACACTGAGACAAACTTACTCTGGATACCAAACAGAGGAAATATCCCTCCAAAGCTTGAACGCATGAAGCTATTCGCTGCTAGAGCGCTAGCGGCAAAGGTGGGATAGGCATCCACCAAAAATGTGAAGATGCCTGCATATACCAGGATGACCCTAGTAGCACAGCCCGTTAGCACACGAACCTAGGTTTCAAGAATTGGAACTGTCTCGAATTATGACAGGTCAACTTACCCTGCTCCAAAAACAGCACTGCCGATGATAGGAGCGATCCAGTGCACGTCAGCATAGACTGTCCATGCAAAAATGAAAAGTCCGATAGTGACCAGAGGCCCGCCGAGGATTGCTATATCAGATTAAAACTTGTCAGGTCTCCAAGAGGGCCGCTCTTACCTGAAGGAAGTCTCCATTCCGGTTGAAAATCATCAGACTGGCCTATCTTGCTCTGAAAGTTTCGTTCCAGTCGCTCATAGTTGCGGCGCCAGATTGGATCTGAAAGAATGGCAAAAACCATACCGACAAAGATACCCAAGAAGCATAGACCCCGTTGCCATAGCGGAAACCCATAGACATGTTCGAAGATCAGTTGAAAGGCACCGAAGAACAGATAAAGAATTCCCAGCAGGATTGCCGAGAATATACAGAGGCTCAAGCACATCGGTTCTAGTGCCAACAGAAGAATGGGCCGATACATAGATCGCAAGACTGTCTGCGCTACAGACCGGTGTAATTTTTCAATCGGAGCGATGTATCGGTCTTCCCCGGTTTCCTTGCGAAGTTTTTGGGCCTTGCGTCTTAAAAGTCTAGAAAAAAGGTCAACACTTGCATCGCTTGGGCGTCGAAAGCAACACATACACCGGATGGTAAGTCTCAGGTACTAGAAAGATTATCGAAACAAGCAGCACCCCCGTCCATATCAACAACACATAGAATGTCCACCGCCTGTGAGTGAAGTTAGATGGTCTGTTCGGCAGCACTTCAATAAGGAAGCATACCAGTTGGTGTATTCGTTGATGAAGCCACCGACCCTACATCTTTCCGTCAGAAGCTGAATCAAGCAGTCAAATGGATATAAAACTCACAGAGGGCCAACTTCGGGTCCGACGAATGGACTGGCAGTATAGAGCATCATGGGAAATGCCAATTCCTGTCGACCGAACATGTCACCTACCGTGCCACCAGCAACACTGAGAAAAGCACTTCCTGCTAGGCCATTGAAAAAGCGGCAGACCAGCATAGTCTCGATATTTTTTGCCACCGCACAGGGAATCAGCCATATCAGAAATAATGAGAAAGAAGTGATGTAGATAACTCTCCGGCCGTAGAACTAGGAACTGTGAGCTTTCCAATGTATCAGCTGTACAAGCCGTGCTTACCTCGGACAGCGGACTGAGAAATAGTGGTCCGATACCTGGGTACAACAATCAGTAATGACTCCAAGCTTATAATAAGGGATCACAAACCTAGTCCCCAAATGAAGAACGACAATCCCAGGGTTGCCACTTCTTGAGAACAGTTGAATTCTTTCATCAACTGGACATACGTCGTGGTGTACATTGAAGACGTGCACGTCCTGCGCAAGTCAGCCTCCGCCAGCCCCTAAACAAGCCCAGGCAATACTCACACACAAAGAGAGCCAGACGAAACAATGACGACTATCATCCACCGCCTCGCTTTACTCATATTTCTCGGGTTCATGGGATCATTCTCGTCCCAGCGCACGGTATATTCCCGATCTTCATCCTCGTCTTGTCCCGCTTCGTTCGCCTCGCCTTCAAGCTCCTCGTCTCCGATACTCACGCCGTCATTCAATGACCAGCTTCGCTCAAGAGACTGTGAGCGGGAGCGGGAACGTCTCGATAGCCGCTTGTCCGCCGCATCATGATGCTCGTCATTGGTCGCCACGTGGGTAATTGGAGAAAATCCTGTACCTTCAGTTTCGGACTTGATGCGATTAAGCTCCTCGCAGCTTTTTTCGCTTTTTTCGCCCGTAGGGACGTGTTCACCATCCATGGTGCTTTGATCATCCAATTCGGCGAGATGGCCGGATGGCGAATATGATCTCCGCACGGGAATTAATATGGGTAACGGCTAATCGGCAGCCACGTGGATGTCAAGACTGACAGGGGAGGAAGATGGAACAGGTGAAATAAGAAAGAATCATTGAGATTAAAATGCAGGGAATTGTTTTTCAACATTCGGTCTAGAGGTAGGCCGAGCTGATTAATGATTTCAGGCCCGCGCGGGCCGCAGATTCACGTTAGTTCAAGTTGGTTTAGTGCGGGTCATAAACCATACTTCGGGTTTGCGCATGTGGTGACTCAAAACAAGGTTGCATCAGGGACAATACTATTGTCTTATTTGAGCATGAATGTGAATCAATATCATCTGTCGAACTTGGACTACATATACATAAATTAAATAGATTGGTATACATTGTTCTTGTTCTCCGTCATTTGAATCTGATTGACTGGTATAGATCAACGATTTACCTGCATGAAACCTTAAGCATCCTGCTATTTGCTTCGGAGCTGTACCGGAGCTGGCGCAAAGTTGTCATACAAGTACGATATACTAGCTAGAGGTCTAAAGTAGAACTGGGATGTCAAGTGCACAGGTATGTTCAATTAACTATGTAGCTAACACTAGGTAAAACATTCAGCAAAACGCTTCAGGAGAAACAGACTCAAATAGAAAGACGCCATTAAACAGCAATCGCCCAAGCACCGTTCTCCAACCAAATCCCTAACTCCAGGTAAGCATCGAAAATGATACGATCAGACAATTATCGGATCTTCCAGCAACCCATAGACCGTAACTCAGCTGTACATGAAAGTAAAAATACGCCAGGGTATCCCAAACTTTTCTTAGGTTTCAGTATGGACGATTTACCCTCTATAGAACCTGGCTCAATTGGCTGGCAGCACCAGCAGCGTTCTCCTCGGCCCATGAGCCCCAGAGCCCTTGCTTGCCTTGAATCTTGAGGGGACCACCAATCGACTTGGAACCCTGGTCAAGCTTGACAGCATCCTTGGTGGCCAGTACTAAGACCTCGAAGAACATCTTTGTCGCATCGGCCTTGCTGGAACGCTGTTCGGGAAGCATGTCCTGGAACAAGATACTCTTTTTCTGAGAAGACACGGGGTCACCCAACTGCTCACGTAGAATGTGAACGGCGTGCTGTGTACCAATGGAGACAGGCTCGTTGTCCACGGGGCGAATGGTGTCGTCCATATCATCCATAGGCGCATCCATGGCGTCGTCATCACTCAGATGCAGATCCTGAGCGTCATCACCAGGGAATTCAATCTCAGGCTGGTTGAGGGTTGTGTCGAGACCGATGCCCTCATCAATGCCAACAATAGCTTCGTCGTCACCAAGTTCCAACTCAGGAACATCGGCGGCCGCAACATCCATATCAGAAATACCGCTGTCACGCTTTCTCTTCAGCTCACCAGCCTTCTTCACTGATTCCAGTGACAACAGGCCGCGCAGCTCAGGAGCCCATCCACGGCCACGATCTTCGCCAAAAATGCTGGAAACGAAGTCACCATTTTGTTGACGGGTCATAAGAGTGAGAAGAACCGGGTCACGGGGCAGGAAGGTTGCAGGCTTGAGGATGGCAGATCGATCCGACTGCTGTTCCTTAACCTGGCTATTAGAGTAGTGCGAATATTTGTCGACGGGGATGAGATCCTCGACCTTCTGGCGCTTCGCACGCTGAGCGTGCTTGGCAGCAGCAGCAAGTTCGGGAGTAGCGGAGACTTCACGGTTATATTCCTCTTCAAGCTGGTGCATTTGGACGGATCCTGCGTCAGACAGGGGGCTTTCGGTATCACGGTTGAATCGGTCGCCATCACCATTGGCGCGAGGGGTTTGACCTCCAAAGTCATCCTCGCCTCCAAAGTCCATTGGTACGTTCATGTGATCGTTATCATCAATATCCATGTTATCCAACAGAGGACCGTCATCACCAATGTCAAGAGCCAGGTCATCGTTGTCAAGAAGCTTTCCAGAGTCACTGTGAAGGTCCTCTTCCATCGGACGAGGAGCGGGAGCATCTCGACCGATTTCCATAGTCGTGTCATTTCCAAAGGGCTCACCAATGTCCAGATCAACCAATGAGGGGTCCTCGAGCCGGAGAGGCTCCTGAGACATAGATCGCCGAAAAGTGCTATCTCCTAAGAGCTGGGTACCAAAGTCCAATGAGCCAGGCTGCTTGCCTGTAGGCTCCAAATCCAAGTTTTGAGGAAACAGAAGAGATGTATCCAAGTTGGTAAACAGATCAGATTCGGTCAGCACATCGGGTAGAGTAATACCACCCGGTGCTACCACTGTTGTTGTCAAGTCATTGTTATTTGTGAGACGGAAGGCCTGTTCCATTTCTGATTAGCAAGGGCATCTGATTGGACGTAAAAAGCTGAGAACATACCATTTTGATCTTCATCAAGGCCTCATTGCAATCGTCCAAAAGATAGCGAGCTTTACGGCTATAGATACGCACAACACCAAGCAATAGCTGTCCACTCAGTCGCAAGGCCATGGGCGCTTGGCCCTGATCAACAATGGCATTGACACTGCTTTCAATATCAGACTGGAGAATGTGCGACTTCGACAACTTGCGCTCGATGTTGGCCGACAGCCACACGCGGGCCAGAGGGCCCGTCTTGGATAGGAGTGTCTCTGAATAGAACATCACGGCAATACACTGTTCAGTGACACTGCACAGGGACAAGTAGAAATTTCAACGATGTGGATAGATGAGACCCGCCCGGCGCGGGGTGAGGCGTGGCAGGAGGTGACGCGCGTGAAGAAGCCGGGCAAAACAAAATACTCGAGCGCGGGCTCAGTAGCTGATCGCGTTCCCACGGGAAGAATAGAATGATGTGCAAAGCGACAATAACATGTACAATTTGAACGAAATTTCGCGTTCTCGTCACGTCGTTTTGACAGAGGGCGAGGGACTAGTTGGCTGAGAAACCAGGGAGAACGAGGGATGCGCGTGGGAATTCGGGCAAGAGCGAGTTATGCTGATGTAATCAGGCAGGAATCGAGGGGGCTGGAGCCTCTTCTGAGTGGCTGAAGGTTATGAGGTTACAGGTTTGACGCTAGACTAGATGCAGATATATCGGATCATTTATTATTCCGATGCAAGTACCAGTCTAGTCCATAATAGGTAAAGCATCATCATGGGACTTGGCTGTTTCCAACCACTTTCGGCGTATGTGTCAGTCTCCAATGCAAATTATAGAAAAGTGAATTTTGGTACTTTTCTTTCCTTTTGTCCAATTTTTGATTTGTTTTTTTATTTTTTTTCTTGGTGTTACCCAGGGTTGATCGGCCTTTGAATCTGTCCACCTTACACGGCCCCCCAGTTCCCACCCGGGTTCCATCGCCAGTCTGGAACACAACCCCCGTTTGAAGCTGCTGCCAGATCGCATCTCCCCCCCCCCAAACAAAATCGCGCTCGCTCCAACAATTTTAATCTAGGCGGGATGAACAGTGGTTTACAATACATATAACGGCTTATCTTTCATTTACATCCGGCTTTCTTTCCCAATCTCTCCAGCAAAAGCATGAGAGATGTCAAGGTCCGCGACACCCGCGTTGCCGCTGCATAATGCACAAACCTACGATACACCGCGATCCTCCTCCACCAACCCATTAGGTGGACGGCCCGATGCTCCAACATCTGTAAGTGAGCAAGAAGGCGAATTTCCTTTCAACACCAACTCTTGGCTCGCTTTTGGTCGGGGCGACACACCGCTAACTTTCGTTTTCTTTATGATAGACATCAACATCCACATACTCATGGCTCGAACCTCATGAAACTGCAGAGCGACTGCATACCTCACTACTACATGGGCTAACTCCTGCCGAAGCGGAAATCCGTCTTGCTCGCGATGGCCCCAACGAGCTTCCCCACGAAGAACCAGAGCCCCTCTGGCTGCGGTTCCTCAAACAATTCAAAGAAACCTTGATTCTCCTCCTCCTCGCGTCTGCAGGCATCTCGTTTGTCATGGGCAACTATGATGATGCTGTAAGCATTACCCTTGCAGTCACCATTGTGGTTACGGTCGGCTTTATCCAGGAATATCGATCAGAAAAGTCGCTGGAGGCATTGAGTCGCCTAGTACCGCACTTCGCCCATCTTATCCGTGACCTCCCAACAGCTAGCAACACTGGCAATAATGCTACTCAATCATCGTCAAGCCCCCGGGAGGAAGCCGAAGAACTCAGGAGCAAGAGCCCGGGCGCCGCATCGGCCGCCATTAAAGCATCCTCTACCGTCCCCGCAAACGAGTTGGTACCCGGAGACTTGGTTCTCTTCTCAACCGGTGACCGCATTCCTGCCGATATTCGAATTACCGCCGCAACGGATCTCACCATTGACGAATCGAACTTGACTGGCGAGAATGAGCCGGTTGTGAAGTTTGCAGCGGCCCTTCGTATTGCGCCTGGTGGTGCTGTGCAGGCTCTTAAGGACATTGATCCTCCTCGGTCGCCATTCTACGACGCCCCTGCTAGCGGTGCTGTCGGTGCAGATGTTCGTTTGAATGAGCAGCATAACATTGCGTTCATGGGCACTCTGGTCCGTTCAGGATACGGTCAAGGAATTGTGATCTCAACCGGTGCGAAGACGGAGTTTGGAAGCATTTCAGCCTCTCTTCAGGAAATTGAAAGTCCCCGGACTCCATTGCAGTTGTCGATGGATCGCCTGGGGCAGGAATTGAGCTATATCTCTTTTGGAGTAATCGGGCTGATTATGGTCATTGGCTTATTGCAAGGTCGCAAAGTATTGGAAATGTTTACCATTGGTGTTTCACTCGCAGTTGCGGCCATTCCAGAAGGCTTGCCGATTATTGTGACCGTTACACTTGCTCTGGGCGTGCTTCGCATGGCCAAGAGAGGCGCTATCATGCGCAGACTCCCCAGTGTGGAAACGCTTGGCTCCGTCAATGTTGTCTGCAGTGATAAGACTGGAACTCTCACCATGAACCATATGACTGTTACTAAGATGTGGCACTTTGATTGCGATGAGGCATTCGAGGTTCAGCGGGACACTGCTTCGACACTTTCCCCTGGTCCTGCTGCACGCACCATTCTTCGGGTCGGAAACATTGCAAACAATGCTCGTCTCTCGCGCACTCACGCAAACTCACCAGCTAGCGCTTCTTCGGCAGCAGTTCTCTCCTCGACCGTCGACAGGGATTCGAGTGCTGTGAAAAGTCGATGGGTTGGTCAGCCTACCGATGTCGCTATTCTAGATCTATTGGACATCTTGGGAGAAGACGATGTCCGTGATCGGATTAGCGCTCGTGTCTCTGAAACCCCCTTTAGCTCTGAGCGAAAGTGGATGGGTGTGATCATCGGTAGTGGCACTCCTGGGGAATCCCATGGAGGGTCTAATGTGGCGTACATCAAGGGCGCTCTTGAGCAAGTTTTGGCCCGGTCAGACACATATCTGACCAAGGATGGCCGTGAGGTCATTTTGGACGAACCTCGACGCAAGATTATCCGCAATGCGGCAGACCAAATGGCATCAGAGGGGCTCCGAGTGCTTGGCTTTGCCAGCGGTGCTGCTCGGGACCAATCCCGGGGTATGAAGGGATTCGGTAGCCGGTCTAGCACTCCCGTCTCTAAGCCGGGCAGCCCAAAGGATGATGACGATCGGTATAATGGACTGGTGTTTGCAGGCTTAGTTGGCATGAACGATCCCCCTCGCAAGGATGTGCACAAGTCCATCCGGCGTCTCATGGCAGGTGGAGTTCGTGTCATTATGATTACAGGTGACGCCGAGACAACGGCCGTGGCCATCGGGAAGAAACTTGGAATGCCCATCAATGAATCTGCTGGGTCTCGATCAGTCATGCGTGGTGATGAAATCGACCACATGACAACTGCACAGCTCGCTCAGGCGATTTCCACCACTTCGATCTTTGCCCGTACCAGTCCCGACCATAAGATGAAGATTGTCCGTGCATTGCAGTCCCGTGGAGACGTGGTTGCCATGACTGGCGACGGTGTCAACGACGCCCCTGCTCTGAAGAAGGCTGACATTGGCATTTCGATGGGCCGACTTGGCACCGATGTTGCCAAGGAGGCAGCCGATATGATTTTGACGGATGATGATTTCTCGACTATCCTTCGAGCCATTGAGCAAGGCAAGGGAATTTTTTATAATATTCAAAACTTCATTACCTTCCAGCTCAGCACCAGCGTGGCTGCGCTGAGTCTGGTGTTACTCAGCACGACCCTCGGATTTAAGAATCCACTGAATGCCATGCAGATCCTGTGGATCAGTGAGTATCCCAATGTCTGCTTCTTTCCATATGTTCCCTCTAACTTTGATTCCAGATATTCTCATGGACGGCCCTCCGGCCCAATCTCTTGGAGTCGAGCCTGTTGACCCCATGATCATGAACCGGCCCCCACGACCAAAGACCGCGCGGGTGTTGACAAAGCCTCTTATCCAACGCGTTCTGACTTCTGCCATGGTTATCATGCTGGGCACGCTTGCCATCTACATCCATGAGATGGGCGATGCGACCGACGGCCAGCCTCTGGGCGCCCGGTCCGGCGTGGTCACCGCCCACGACACCACCATGACCTTCACCTGCTTTGTTCTCTTCGACATGTTCAACGCCCTGACATGTCGTAGCGAAGGCAAGTCCGTGCTCCGGGGCGAAATCGAGCTATTCGGAAACAAAATGTTCAACTACGCAGTGCTCGGCTCGTTGGCCGGCCAAGCCTGTGTCATCTACCTCCCTTTCCTGCAACGCATCTTCCAAACCGAGGCCCTCAGTTTTGGATCCCTGTTTAAGCTTGTTTGTCTCGCGAGCTCTGTATTCTGGGTCGATGAAGGCCGTAAGTACTACCATGCGCTCCGTCGTCGGGGTGGTCTCGGCGCTGGCTATAGCGTCAATGTCTGATATGATTATGGTTTTCTGGGGGGTTGTTGTACTGTTCTTGGGTTTCAATCCCAGGATGGGTGTGTAACCTATTTGATGGGATTGATGAATGTCCCCTATACATAATAGAGTTGGGGAGGGATGCATGTTGGCTCGCGTACGCTAGGCGGGCCTGTAAATCTAAATATATTCATGTTCTTCGGATTTGTTACTTAGCCTTGAAAGGTTTCTTGTAAGATCTCTCCTCTGTGTAGTGTATCTAACATTGCTTCTACGATTCTTGTGATCCTATGACTACTGTCAGATTCGCTCTTCCTCATGTCGGGTTATTGGGCTAACACAACGTCGGCCTTGGTACCACCCCAACTCAACTCCGTTTAATTGATCTAAAAATAAATTGCAAAAAGGTTGAAAATCAATTTTTTCAGATTTGAAAAAGAAAAAAGCCCTCCAAAATCAATTATTCTCAGCCCAGATGACTGACCCCAAAAAAAAATTCACCAAAAAATTGACCGACGCAGGGGTCGAACCTGCAATCTCTTGATTCGTAGTCAAGCGCCTTGCCATTGGGCCAGCCGGCCTTGTTGAAAGGAGTTCCAAAAATGGCTATGAGAATGGAGATTTGAGTAGTTTCATAATCGCGCCACCGCGATCGGGTGGCAATTTCCTTCAAATCAGGTGGCGATCTTCAATCTTGGGCTAGTATTTTAGTTCCATTTATTTATGGATATTTCATTCCGATATAGGAGGTTTCGAATGTTCCGAAATTGGTCTGTTGCTTGTGACCAGTTATAAATGTGTCATACATGTGCCTGAGTAGGGGTTTAGGGTAGTCACGATATATATTTATCCTGTACATGCTCTAATGTAGATGTCTTCGGAGAACGACAATGAGATACTTTATTGACCTATGCAATGACTATCGATAAATATTGAACGATACCTTCGAGCACAAGAAAATACTTAGTTCAAACGAACATAGACATGTCTACGAGATAACTTGGATATTTATGCATTCAATGTATACAAAGGTAGCCTCAAGGCTACGCGTGACCAATCAATTGATTGCTCGTCATATTCCTGTAGGAGACTTTTCCTTATAAGCACGAAATATAGGATACTTAGATACAAGAATATACATAGTATGGAGGTATTTCCTCATTTCCTCATGCATGTGTAGGATTGGAAGACAGGAGATCTCGGTTAAAAAACTGCCCACGTGCATGTTCACCCTCACCTCTACCTATAGAACCAGACATCTGGATTCATAAACCCCAGATCAGCCCCTAAGGCGGTAGTATCCACATCAAACGACTGCAAGTAAGAAAAGCCCATTCCGTTAGTTCGAGGGATTCAGCCTAGTCAACGTTAGAGGGTCTCCTAGCTCCAGGGTGCGTCGACCCACGACGGGCTCTATATTAGTTGAATCAGATGATGCAGTTTGAGATCATAGCGGGGCAATGGACCCTTTTTGTGAGTAGCCAAGGAGCAGGAAAAGCTCAATCGGGTTGCAATCCGACGCCATAGACGGAGTACTCCGTAGTGTTGGCGTCAACGATTATCAGGACGGTTATTAAGAAGTGTACTATGAGGATCTGAATTGGGGTTGCTTTTGATCTAAATGCAAGGACCATATTGTTCACCTACAGTAACTTCCAGTATATGATTATCATTAGATATGTTCAGTATTAGATATGAACGCATAACATTACTAGTTGAATGTAGTCACGGAGATTAGGTACTGATAAGGCCCAGACCCTTTTTTCTCTCTTGGGGCTCCACGCGGGCCGATCGATGACCATTCCATGTCCTACAGGACATGAAGAACAGTGACATAGACTTGAGTAGTTCACTAATGTCAACTGTTCAAAGAATATGATTACATCAAGTTCATATTAGATGCGTCAATTCTAATCAATTCGGGTTGAAATACTGCACAGAACAAAAGAACAAAAAAAGAACATACTTTCCTGGATATCCCGAGAATCGGGTTCTATCGGAACGGCAAAAAGTGAGCTTATCAGGAACCAAAGAGAAATTTCAATCTGGAAGTCAAATTCGAGTGCTTGGCTTACTGCGGACTTGACCCACTTAGCGTCCGGTGGCAAGTCTTTATCTTCATCCAATCAGAGCTCAGATAACCTTGATTCAGTTGTCCAATTATTCGTCACGGATAGTGGATTTAGCTTTGGATGAAGAATGTCAGATAAGAACTCCCTTGAAAGGCGCTGGAGTTCTCCGATTCTACCGTCTACTATGATTATGATAAGCTTATCTTAAAAAGATGAAGATACACGGGGATACTTTATCTTTACTTAGAACCTATATAGAGCTGGAAGAGCCGCCAAAGTAATGCTAGGTTTTGATGCAACTAGCATTTTCCTCAATTGCCTCCTTCCCCCACGACCTTACCTATTTCCCCGGAGATATGACGAACCAATACGATGGTTCCTACCGAGGATCGATTGGGTGAAAGTACGGACTTTGTTTCACTGGAGCCAAGACTTCCTGGAAAGGAAAAAAAAAGGTAAACCAGGGAAAAAAGTTATTTCCGCCACTGATCTCTATGGTCCGGTAGCATACACCGGGAGGATTTCATGATGATGCTAGGATTCTAGGATTTGGGGGATTTTCACTCTTTTTCTCATTAGTGTGTATAATTCCCCTACAATTGACAAAAGAACTGAATTTGCATTTGGAATTGAAAAAGTACTGAGTTATAGTAAAAGGTTTATCTTGGGACCATGGTGGATGATCCCGATTATCCCATTGATATTGTCATAATCTTTTTTTCCCTTCTTTACATCAAATCCACCTTCCTAAATTTCACCAATTATTCCTTAACCGCGCCTCCCCCGGGTTTTTTGATTCAATTAGGTCGGCTAGTTCGGACTAATCAATTATCCACTTTGAAACTGGAATTTTGCTTTTTTTCCCAGTTCTTTTGGCACTCGCAATTGCCTCACAATTTGGTCCGATTATAGGCCTTGGTGGGCCCGTCGATCCGACTTATCGCTCTGAGACTCCGCAACGGTTCCATTCCTTCGTTTATATTCGCGACTCCCCCCGTGGCGACTTTTCTCTCTCTACACGTGTCTGCAGCTTTTCGCGATTCCTGGCTTTGCAGCACTTTTTGCCCCCTTCAAGAAAACTTCTCTACACACTCTCACGAACAGTACACCCCGCCGCCCTTTTTTTTCCCTAGTCGAACGAACTCTTCGGAGTTCGACTCGCCTCTCATCATGTCGACCTTCAATGGGAAAACGTCGTACTCCCCGGATTATGCATCCTACAACTGGACTGGTGCTCCCTCCGACTACTCCGCGCTCACTACCAATGAACTGGGTGGTAACTCTCGTATGTAACCAATCTAATCCCTGGAATTTGGAATCGTGCCTCATATCGGTCTTGTTATATAGGCACCGAGAACTTGAACAAATGGTTCCAATCTGGTGATCAGGCCTACATCATTGTGGCTTCGGCCATGGTGATGGTCATGGTGCCTGGTCTGGGTTTCTTGTACTCTGGTCTGGCTCGTCGAAAGTCCGCTCTCAGTATGATCTGGGCTTGTATGGCATCTATGTCGGTCATCACTTTCCAGTGGTACTTCTGGGGTTACTCCCTTGCATTCTCCCCGACCGCGACCAACGGTTATATCGGTAACTTGCGCAATTTCGGCCTGATGAAGACCCTGGCCGCGCCGAGCCCGGGTTCCCCACTCATCCCCGATCTTCTCTATGCTTTCTACCAGGTATGATTTGCTTCGGAATCCGGCCTTCAGTTTTTTTATTTACCTTTTATTTTTGTTTCTAGTTGCAATTCTGCGCCGTCACTGGGGCAATCGTTATGGGAGCTGTGGCTGAGCGCGGTCGGCTTCTCCCCGCTATGGTATTTATCTTTGTCTGGGCGACCATCGTCTACTGCCCATTGGCCTGCTGGGCGTGGAACGTGAACGGCTGGGCGTACAAGTACGGTGTATTGGACTATGCCGGTGGTGGCCCCGTGGAAATTGGATCCGGTTTTACCGCTCTCGCCTACTCAATGGTTCTCGGCCGTCGACAAGAACGCATGATGCTCAACTTCCGCCCTCACAACGTCTCGCTCATCCTTCTCGGCACCGTCTTTCTCTGGTTCGGCTGGCTTGGATTCAACGGTGGCTCGGCCTTCGGTGCCAACCTTCGTGCCACCATGGCCTCCTGGAACACCAACCTGACTGCCGCCTTCGGAGCCATCACTTGGGTTTTGCTCGATTGGCGTCTTGCTCGTAAGTGGTCGATGGTCGGTTGGTGTTCCGGTACCATCTCGGGACTTGTGGCCGCGACTCCGGCTTCGGGTTTCATTACTCCTTGGGCCAGTGTGATTCTGGGAATCGTGACTGGCATAGTTTGCAATTACTCGACCAAGATCAAGTTCTGGATCCGCATTGATGACTCCATGGATGTGTTGGCTGAACACGGTATCGCCGGTATCGTCGGTCTCGTTTTCAACGCCTTCTTCGCGGATGACGCCATCGTGGGCCTGGACGGTGTAAACACAGGCACCGGGGTCGGTGGCTGGGTCATTCACAACTACAAGCAGCTTTACGTTCAGATCGCCTACATCGTCGCTACCGCCGCTTACTCATTCGTCATGTCCGCCCTTATCGCTCTCGCCATCAACGCCATCCCCGGTCTCAACCTCCGCGCCTCCGAGGAAGCCGAATTGCTCGGCATGGACGACGACCAGCTGGGCGAGTTCGCCTACGACTATGTTGAGGTCCGCCGTGACTACCTGGCTTGGACTCCCCAGCAAAAGGACCAGCTTGAAGACGGCCACCATATTCCCGCCGCGGAGCGCTACGGTATCGGCGAGCACAGTGATATGATGATCGAAGGACAGCCGCCCAACGGTGAGATCAGCCAGAGCAGTCGGGGTGGCAGTGAGGTGGAGGCTATTCAAGAGATTAAGGTGCAGCCTGACCCCGCACCAAATGCCGAGCGCCACCAATCCAACCTCCGGACACCCACCGAAGAGCCTGTCTTGCTGAGGCCTGTCAACGAGAAGACAGAAGATGCCTAAGCACCAACCTACTTCCACGACCTCCGCATCTCTTCCAGCTTTTTGATTTTCGCATTTGTTCGATATCCCTTTGAGCGTGTTTCTGCCTTACTCTATAAAAGCCTGGAGCTTTTTGTTTCTTTCCAACATAATCATCTTGTTCTTATATCCCAACATCCACCTCAATATCCGACCACCTCCACCACATCATCTCGAAACACCCACCCTCAAAAAGAATTACATTCATTGTCCAGATATTCTTGAAAAACCCACCTGGGAAAAGCAATTTCCTGACTAGGCATTTTCTTTTGGCTTGGTGTTGTCATCTACGCCTTTATACTTTTATTCTGGGATTTGAAAGGCTTGTACATTGTGTCTGGTATTGTTTTTTTACTTTTTATTTCTGACACCGCAATAGAGCTGGCTATGCGGTTGATTAAGGATACCTGTTGCACTATAGACTTGGATTTAAAACTACGAACTTCTATTCACTTGTTTTCTCTCATCTCGTAGACAATTCCTTTGACTAATAAAAATTGTATGGATCATGGTTTTGAAATGTCACAGTAACTATCTCTAAAATCAAATAATAAAAAATATTATTATGCTATCAAAAGAAATCCCTATTACTATATCCATATTACCAATCCATGCATAACAATCATAACAATTAAACCACACAAAGAAGCGTCACTACAAGAGTGCTCAAGAAACTCAACCCTATCCTCGGAACAGCCCTCATCGCAGAACTATGCAGACCCCCAGAAGCAGACAATGCAGACGCAGACGCAGTCGAGCTCGTACTTCTAACTGTCCCAATTGTATATGTTCCCGACTCAACAACCGTATTCCCAGGATTTATCGTTGTTGACCCGGAGATGATCTCAGTTGAGCTGGGCAACGTAACCGACGAGCCTGATAAAGCCGTATTCGAACCAGACTCAGACTCTGTGTACGTGGTACCTGGGACAACGACCGTAGAACCCGAAACGAGTAATGTCGAACTGGGAATTGTGACCGTTGACACCTGCTGAGATACTGCTGTATCTGTATATGTGTCTGTTCCAGAGCCTCCTTGGGTTCGGGTATACGTGGTTCCTGAAATGATGACCGTCGAGCCTGAGATGAGTTCCGTGGAACTCGGAAGGGTGATTGTTGAGGCTTGGGAAGATTCGGCGGCGGATGCTATAGTTGTGGCGGGGATTATTACCGTGGTTCCTGAGATTATCAGGGTTGAGCTTGGGAGGGTGATTGTGGTGGATTGGGGGGAGCTTTGCGTAGACTGGGTTACTGTTGTGGCGGAGATGATTGTGGAGCCTGAGACTGTGGCTGTTGAACTGAGGGTTACCACTGAGGCGGATGTGGGGGTTGTGTTTTGTTCGGATTGACTTGACTCCGTCGAGATAGTGGCAGTGGATGTTTGTGTTGACTCCGATTGAGTGCCGACGCTGATGCTGGTGCTTGGAGACTGGGTGCTCGTTATTGTATCCGTTGACTGCTCACTACTGCCAGCCGTGGATGTTGGTGTCGTAGTGCTAGTCGCCGTCGACTGCACACTGGTAGTCGTGGACACGACACTGGTAGTAGTCGGCTCAGTAGTACTAGCAGTAGTAGTCGCAGCCTCGGTGCTTGTCGTTGAAGTCTGATCAGAACAATAGTTCAACCAGTGTGCAAACGAAGGCAACAACTTAGTGGAATATATAGCCGAGCCAGAATTACTCGCCGCACTATTTACACACTCCTCACAATAGCCTAAATCAAGTAGGAATTCAGACCCGGCGTCACACAAGGTAGGTGTACTTCCAGTGTTTTCTCCATCAACGGCAACAGCGTTGCAAAGTCCCCAGCACACAGTGGGTACATCATCCACGTCTACTCGTTTGGTCATTCGACCAAGGAAATAGCCCATGAGCCTGTCAAATCTGCCCTGGGGCGGGGATAGTTCATGCTTGCCGATGGTAATGGTAGACTCTACAGCATAGTCGAAGATATCGTAGCTCAGACCGAAGTCCGTTGGATCCAGGTTATAATAGTTCGTAGAGACATTGTAGCCGGATGCGTCGTTGAACAACGGGACTGGGGCCACGATACAATCGTCCGGAGAACATATGTATGTATCGGCGGGGAGACCGGCTTCAACATTGCAGCCCTCACGGTCGCCTGTGTGAGGGGGGCTACAGAGGTATCCGGGTGCACAACCCCAGGTATAATCGTCTGGTAGCTGGGTTGTGGGTGTGTAGGTGGGATTAGTGATGAGACTGGAGCATACACTGACGGAGACGGTCGTTGTCTGCGTCTGCGTTTGAGTCGTACCTTGTCCGGTAACCGTATTTGTAATTGTTCTGGTGCTGCCGCTCTTTGTGAGTGTTGTTTCTGGTTTAGTAACCAAGACAGTAGTAATGGAGCCTAGGAATTGCATTAGTCTTGTTAAATGTAATAAAAGTGTGGACTATTTACCCGAGGCTGTGGTCGTATCAACGATAGTTAGTGTGCTGGCTGGAAGAGTCGTTATCAGAATCACAGTTGATGCTGGTAGAGTGCTGACAGTTCCTGAAATGGTGACTGTACTAGGAGGCTGGGTGGTAGTTGTGGTGATGGTCGATGCCAGAATGGTAGTTGTGATATAGCTCAAAATGGTATCAGTCTCTAGCACAGTGGTTCCAGGACCTAGTACCATATTAGTCGGTTTGAACACGTCCAAGGTGCGCTGCTTACCTGTGACTGTGGTTGCGTCAATAATAGTTAGTGTGCTGGCTGGAAGAGTCGTTATCAGAATCACAGTTGACGCCGGTAGAGTGCTGACGGTTCCTGAGATAGTGACCGTACTAGGAGGCTCGGTAGTCGTTGTGGTGATGGTTGACGCTGAAATCGTAGTGGTGATGTAACTCGAAATGACATCGGTTTTCACCACAGTATCCGTCTCCAACACAGTAGTTCCAGGACCTAAGATTATGTTAGTCTTTTGGATCATAATCAGGGTAGACTGCTTACCTAAGACTGTGGTTGGATCAGTGATGGTCACTGTATTCGCTGGAAGAGTAGTAACCACGGTTTGAGTCGATGCTGGTAAAGTAGTGACAGTTCCAGAGATAGTCACTGTGCTAGGAGGTATGGTAGTAGTTGTGGTGATGGTTGACGCTGGAATCGTAGTTGTGATATAACTCGAAATGACATCGGTTTCCACCACAGTGTCCGTCTCCAAAACAGTAGTTCCCGAGCCTAAGATTATATTAGTCTATTAGACCAAAATCAGGATCTACTGCCTACCTATGATCGTTGTTGGGTCAGTGATGGTCACTGTACTCGCTGGAAGAGTAGTTGTCACAGTTTGAGTCGATGCTGGTAAAGTAGTGACAGTTCCCGAGATAGTCACTGTGCTAGGAGGTATGGTAGTAGTCGTGATGATGGTTGATGCTGGAATTGTAGTTGTGAAATAACTCGAAATGACATCGGTCTCCACAGCAGTATCGGTCTCTGTCACGATATCCGTTTCTATCATGGTGGTTCCTGGTAGGTTTGAGCCCGTTAGGGTGATTGTGGTTTCCGATCCCGATAAAGTGATAGTTGAACCCTTGACGGTTTCCATATCCGTAGAAACATATGTGACTGTAGCTGGTGTGCAAGTGCCTGAAACAGTGACTGTTGCAGCACTCCAACTAATAGTCTCAGTTTCAGTCTCAATTTCAGTGTTGGCGATGGTGTCTGTCACAGTGTCTGTAATGGTGACCCTTCCCCCTCTTAATGTAGTAGTTGTAGTGCTAGTGTCTGTCACGGTATCCGTAACAGTGGCCCTTGCTCCTCTTGCTGTCACAGTTGTAGTACTCGTGTCTGTAACAGTATCTGTAACAGTGACAACCGTTCCTTTTGCCGTGACAGTGCATGTGTCAGTGACAGTATCCGTTATAGTGACCTTTGCAGCTGAGCCAGTCACCGTAACGGTATCAATGATAGTATTTGAATTGCTGGCAGTGACTGTATCGGTGATGATGTCGGTCGTAGTGCTGGTTGTAGTATCCGTGACTGTACAAGTAGCCACTTCACCTTCACCGATGTAAATAGTAACGTCAATTGTGATCGTTATCCCCACATCAACCTCCAAAGCTTCTCTTGCCCCCATAGTTTTGGTAATTGCCGCCAAAGTTGGGACGGTCGCAGGAACATTACTGGTTGTTACTGTTGACAGAGCAAATGTAGTTGTCGCGAATAGCGACAACCAAGCGACCGAGGGCCTCATCGTCGCGATTTCTCAAGACGGTCTGCAAGCTTAGAATGAGCTTCGAGAATGTACAAAGTGGATTCAAAAGCAGAAAAGAAAAAAAGCTCCAAGGAATAGACGCACGGTCCTCGGATTCATTAGTTCCCGTGTGAGTTCATCGTGCAGTGCAGAGGCTCAAAGGCCAAATCCACCTCTCTGTTTATGTTTACATGATCAGAAAATGCCTCAGACAAAGAGAACTTGACCTAAATAGGCTTGGAATACGGATACTCGGGCACAAAGAGGGGAAGAATCCTGCGCACACGTAAAGGCCTGCATATGTGGATGCAGCTCAACCAATTCAGCCCAAACATGGATTAGCTCATGCAACCCCTCAATAGACCAACAGCCTCGTCCCAGTTGGACTCGTGCTCTTAATCCTGGTAAGTGGTCTTGAGGTGTAAGATGCCGAGAAAAAAAGAAAAAAGAAGAGCAATGACTGGGGTTTAATGCATAAATCCGCTTTGCCAATGGTGGCTTCGGCGCACGGATAGACGTGGGGGCTATTTATGTACTCGTTTGCATCAAAGAAAGTGGGAAAGCAAAGCCGCATGAGATTCCCCCTCTGCTCACTTGCCTCCAGTGATAGCTGTTTTCCCCAGGCCCGCCATGAGTTTGGCAAGAGCTTCTCTCGTCCCACTCTGAAGATGTCGAGTACCGAGTCCGAGCGGCCGTGGAAAAAAATGTTTTTCTTGGGGATTCTGACGCTGCTGACGGTGGTCGATCGAACAGCGGGAGCAACATGTGGTTCGTATCAGACACAGATTGCCTCGTCCATGTGTAACTGGCAATCATTGCGTGGTAAGTGCTTATTTAGGTATCATGTACTGGAGATTTGTACTGACAGAGTTAGCCAATGTTATCCGCGACACAATCTACATAGATGGAGGATATCTCTGGTATGACCCGTATGGAAAGTCCGAGCAATGGATAAAAATATGCCTTTTACTGAAAATCTCAGAATCTACTCGGACAATTGCACCGGTGACCAGTATTATGGTAAGGACCCTGGACAGATCCTAAGACAACACTAACCGCAATGAACAGAAAGTTTCCAAGGCTCTATCTATACTTTCAATCTTTCATCCTCATTCAATACGAGTTCGAATTTCTCAAAAGTTCTCAGCCTCCAGTCTATTACCGGCGGGGCTGGGAGCAACATAGATCCAGTTTTCATTGACGGAGTGATGTTTGCCAACGATGGCGAGTTCTATCTTTATGGGTGAGCACTTTACTATGCGTACAGAAGATTTGGATGCTGATGGACTATTATAGAGGTGCAGCCTTGCCTGCTTCCGATAACACGAACTCATCGGAAGATACAGTGCTTGGATATGAAGCCTACCAGTATGATGGGATCACTATTGACAACTGGGAGCCCATGTGGTGGACGGATGACCTACCAGACGATATGACAACTTATATCACCAATGGAGCTGGGGAATCGGCTCCTAGTGAGAATCTAGGCTTCTACTTCAGTGGAATGCATCGCCCGGGCTGGGGTGCCTTCTCATATCCACCCTATCTAGCCAACACCACAGCAGACACACTCATTACTGTCAACATGTCAGTGATGCGCTCCGAAACATGGCAAAACGATACCCTTCCAAGCTATATTCAAGGCCGTGCGAACGCGGAGATTGTTTGGGTTCCAGTGTCCGAGTCTGGAGTTCTGGTAGCCATCGGGGGTGTGGTTGACCCTGCTGGATCATTTATAAGTCTCAACTCAACACAGAAGGCGCTCAACGAAGACCTTAGCCCAACGTTCATGGAGACGGTTTCTGTCTATGATGTCAATACCAAAATTTGGTATCTCCAGAATACAACGGGCGATACACCACCGCAGCTGACCGAGTTTTGTTCGGTTCTTGCGAGTGCAGAGGACGGATCATCACATAATATCTACATCTACGGAGGATACAATGGTCTTGATGCCAATGCGAATCCCTCGGACGATGTATATATCTTGTCATTGCCCTCTTTCACGTGGGTCAAGGCGTACAACGGAACAAACACACATGGCCGGAACGGACATCGATGTATCAAGGTTTACCCAAACCAAATGCTCGCTATTGGAGGCCTTCGAATCGATGTAACACACTGTCTGGAAGATGGTGTTATCGTCAACTTCAATCTCAACAGTCTCAGCTTCCAGGATACCTATGATCCTGCGGTGTGGAGCACCTACAAAGTGCCGGACATCTTGACAGCTCAAATTGGCGGAGAGTAAGTAGTATAAAGATCACATAGAAGGATTATTCCGACTAACAGTCGATAGTTCTTCGGGTGGCGCGACCGTAACAGCCCCATCATCATGGACCAACTCCTCTCTCAAATCTATCTTCAGCACGGAGTACACCAAAACCATCTCAACCTACTACCCCTACAACACGACTTCCAGCGACACCACCACAACACACCACAAAAAATTCCCAACCTGGGCTGCAGCCGTAATCGGCGTTCTCTGCGGCCTACTAGTTATCGGAATAATCATTGCAGCCCTCTGGTTTTTCCTGAGACGTCGTCAGAAACGCCACCTCGAAAAAGATGAAGTCCACGAAACCGACGGTCGCCAACATCTCACATCCATGTACGGCGGTGGCCCAACCTCACCCATAGCAGGTCCCACATCCACATCAACAGGCCAAGAGACATCCACGGGAATAGTCACCGTACCAGACTCAATCGAGACATCTGCCTCTCCCGGAACAGTGGAATCAGGCGGAGGAGCAGTCCACGAGATGCACGGTATGTCCCATACACCTATACTCATGTGAAATTAACACCCATACCCTACAGACTCTTCCCCGGTCGAACTCCCAACAACATTCAACGTCTCCTCTTCAAACACAAACACAAACGCAAATGTGACTAGGGAATCCTCAATGCTTAGCCTGGCGCGAGGATCCTCTCCTTCGCCTATATTGCCCCAAACCCCCGAGTCGGATTCCGTTCAATCGTTTATCGGAACGAGCCACCACCGCAGTTTGTCAACTCGGTCTATTGATAATGTGGTTACGGGTCGGATGTCGCAGTTTCATGAAACGTTCGATACGGGAAATGGGCAGCATTTTGGGTCGGAGATTTCGGAGGGAAGTTCGAATGAGAGGGCTGTGGTTGGTGTTAATAAGACGATTCACGAGACAGAGTAATAATGAGTAATCTATGTATCTTATGAGTGAATGTGTGGATTTCATGGGAGTTTGGTTTATATTAGCGTCTGAGAGAAATGTGCCGAAAAAAATTGCAAAAACGGATGTGCAAGAACTAGATGTATAAGTTTGAGATCGCGGCTAACCCTAGCCTCGTATTTGGACTTTTGATGGAAGATCAGCTTTTGATTGCCTTTTCCTCTTTCCGAGGCTCATGGCAACTAAAGAAAGAGGGATGTGGATATGTATATGGGAATTCGCTCATTGACTTGAATGAGTTCCATGTATCAATTGATCTATGTATATCCATGGATATTCAGCTGCGAAAATGAATAAAGGCTGTATTCTACCAGATCTATAAGACCATAATGCACGGACAATATCTCTGATACCTTATCTGCGTCTGACCATCGCACGAACACGGACTCTCTCTTCTCGGGTAAGTTTGTCTACTACCTCGGCCGCCTCACCACCCTGTAACACTTCGTCCCACTCGTCTTCATCCATGCTCATAACCAGTGTCATCTGTACACATCGCGAAAGTGCTTCACGGTGACGGTAACGGCCTGCGGTACCGGATCCATAACCCACGTCTACGGCGGCGCTTACAAGGCCGGCAATGTCGCGCTCGAGACGGCCTGCGCCGAGCGGATTGACACGGCCCTGGTAAGACCATAACCGTTTTTCTAACAGACGGGCAAAATAAGCGATAGTCACAGTGAGAAGACGGTCGAAGGCTTGTTGCGTGAGAATACGGGCTATCGGGACAAGTAGTTCTGACCAGCCAGCCGCAAAGCGAGGGCGGACGATCTCCTTGCCGCTGCCGTCGTGTTCATGGAATTCATCGTGAGTGTCAACGGATTGATCGGCATCGCTCGACGGGTGGTATTCGATGTCGCGGAAGGCATCTGCGAGGATGGGTCGGAGGCGGTGCTTGATCACGTTGTTGAAGACGACTTGGATTCCGTCGTTGAGAAGATCATTGACCTTGCTTTCGAATGAGCTCGCAAGAGAGTAAAGCGTGTTCGCAACCTTGAGGGCGGACGCAGGATCTGGGAAGAGTGACAGGAGATGATCGGTGACACCCGGATTTTGCTCTGGGCTGCCGTCTTTGTAGGTGGGAAGAGGCTGCTTCAAGCCCGAGGTGTTTTGAACAATGCGCCGGATATAATCGATTGCGACATCAAGGTTATTGATCTGCACAAGGAATGAAATCACTATCTGCTCTGGAGGTTGGGCTCCCTGCGCAGCAGCGCGCGGATAGCATTCGTCACGCATCTTGCGCTGGGTCATGCCGATGAAGTCAGAACCAAGAACACGTGATAGCGTAGGAACCACATTGGTGACCACGCTTTCCTGAGATGTGGCAAGTGACTGTTGTATAACCTTGTTGACAATATACATTATGTCATCAACAGCAGAGCTGATATGGGGAGGGTCTGCTTGGAGTGCTCGTTGCAAATTCAAATTCAAGCCTGATGGCGATTCATCCAGCTGGAATGCCTTCTCTACAGACCGGCGGAAGAAGAAGGTTGTCATGGTATTAAATGGAGTCACAAGTCGGTCGTTGACCTTGCGTGCCAAAGAAGACTCCTGCAAGAAGGCAGGAAGCTCAAATCTCTTATTATTCTCGTTCTCGTCGACGGGAGGCTGTAGAAGTTAGTTATGGGAAACTGTAATCTCATGTCTTTTAATCACTTACGTTGCAAGTGTCCGCTAGGAAGCGGCAGTATAGTGACCAACGACCGAGCATAATTCCCATCTCATTCAGAATCTCGTCGATCTCTTTCATGTCAACTCCCTCATCTTCAGAAGCTGGAGCAGTGGCTCCCCCTGGCGCCGGCGAGTATGTACGAGGCTGGCCTGGCCGCTGGGCTGGAAGGAAGCTCTGCACCAGGAAGGTAAATGCATAAGACTTAATTTCCATCAGTTTTCGGTCCACGTGTCGCTCATCACCCCAGGTGTCGAGGATAATGCCACCCTGTACATCGGCTTCAACCTGTAGTCGCTCAATGACACGCCCCATCTTCCGAGGACCATAGTGACGTTCGACTAGCCCACCATGGCCGTCAATAATTTGTGCAATATGTTCAAACAGCTTAGTCAAGGCATTGGCGTAGAAGAATCCGTCCTTAGCCTGCGCCCCTGTGCTTGCGTTGAGATTACCACGCGCCCTTGCAGCCACGCCTTGACAGACGTAGCGACCATAGACATCCTGTCCAACCTCGGATCGACCGATAAGTGGGAACAACTTGAAGAACCGTGTGATCTTGGCCCCGTCGTTCTCCGTAACTGCCTTGTCAAATTCCCGCAAGAATAGCCCACATAACGATTCCGCTGCTGTGTCCAAGGTCACACTTGGCGCGTCGGGTACTTCGGCTGTCGGGACCATCTCTGCGGCAAACGCTCCATTGATCACCGCTGGTGGGATCTGTGCCGCACGGTGTAGGTAGCTAGCCGCGGTTTCCCAGTCTTGGGAGGCGCCCATCGAACCCGCAACACCCAGTGCACATGCTTTTAGCTCTGCAACCTGCTCCACCACTCCTAGTGTAGCTTTCACTCGGGCTTGCTCCAAGTCCAGCTGGCGCACAGCACGCGAAATCCCATCGGCAGTGCCTGCCGCCTCGGAAAGCATTTCATGGCTTATTGTCCGGGTGGTGGTTGATTGAGCACCAATATGGGCTCGCATCAGATCCAGCCGGCCCAATTCCCGGGAAAGGTCTTTCTGTGAGGTTACTAACGCATCTAAGCGGGCGGTCACCGAGGCTTCTTGGGTGTGGAGGCGGGAGAGTGCCGCCTTGATCTCGGCCACGGAGCTGGCATTGAAGATATCGGTTCGTGGGGATGGGACGGTTGTCGCAATTTGTTGCTCCGTAGGGGATGAGGATCCATGGCCATTAGCCAGGTGAGAGAGAGCCATGGTTAAACCATATAGGGAAGTTCCAAGATCCAATGTTGATGCCACGCGGTGTCAAGGTGTCTCCGCGGGCGGTGAGCGGGGCAGGACTTTTTTTCAAAGAAACGAAGTCTTGAATGTTTCAGCCTCAAAGAAGGTATTCATTTCCTAAGAAAGTCATATCTGAAAATCAAAAGAGTTGCTGTTTCAGCTGTGGCCTTATCTACAATTTCAACTATTTAATCTGGGACCAAATTATTTGGTGTTTCACAACAAACCCAACGTCATCTTTCCCCCACGATTTACTACTCCCTCACATATCTCTCACACCATCCAACACTTAAAAAAAGATTTTGCAACCTTTCGCATCTTTCTTCTTCACATCTAGACAGAACACTTGATTCCAAGCTGTCGCTGGACGTCACAGACCCCGCAATCAGCGTCAGCCCACATCATGGGTAACGAAGAATCGACCATCGTGGATGAGTCCACTCGTCCTTCAGTGTTGGATGCACGCAATATTGATGCGGTAGCCAAATATGTGAAGGATGAAAATGTCCGAAAAGTCGTGATAATGGTTCGTCTTTAACACTCGAACACATCACATTCTATAGTACTAACAAGAAAATAGGTGGGAGCTGGAATTAGTACCTCAGCTGGAATTCCTGACTTCCGATCCCCAGATACGGGACTTTATGCCAACCTCGCCTTTCTAGACCTAGAAGAACCAGAGGATGTGTTTGATATTGAGTTTTTCCGGGAGAACCCAAAGCCGTTCTATGCACTGGCGCACGAATTGTATCCCGGACGTTATCGCCCAACGATCGCACACTCTTTCGTCAAACTGCTCTATGACAAGGGGATGTTGTTGAAACACTTTACGCAAAATATCGACTGCCTCGAGCGTCAGGCGGGTCTTCCTGATGATATGATTGTCGAAGCTCATGGCAGCTTTGCCACGCAGCGCTGCATTGAATGCAAATTACCTTATCCCGATGATAAAATGAAGGAGGTCATTGAGAAAGCTGAGGTACCACACTGCCTGCATTGCAATAGCCTTGTCAAACCCGACATCGTGTTTTTCGGGGAGGCCCTGCCGGCCGTATTTCATGATAACAGGACGCTGCCGGAAGAGGCGGACTTATGTATCGTCATGGGAACTAGCTTGACGGTACAACCCTTTGCCAGTTTGCCATCAATGTGCAGGGATGGCACACCCCGTGTACTCATCAATTTACAACGTGTGGGTGGATTGGGATCGCGACCGGACGATGTGTTGATACTGGGGGATATCGATGCTGGGGTACGGAAGCTTGCCAAAGCTTTGGGCTGGGAAGAGGAACTAGAGGCCGTTTGGGAGGAGACTAACCCTGATCCTGAATCCAGGGAGAAGGAGAATGCTTCCCCGCAAACTCGGGACGAGCGGCTCCGGGAGGAGATTGATCGGCTTACGGAGGATATTGACCGCACCTTGGGTATGACGGACGCATACCAAAAGAGAGTTCGTGAACGGTTGGGAGACTATAGTGACTCAACTAGTTCGAACAGTTCAATCAGCTCGACCGAGAATGGATTGGCGCATGTATTCCCGCACTTGGCGCGTAAATCTCACTAGATTCGCATCTTGACCGCTTGCAGCCCTGGTCCAGTTGAAGATGCATCGGAGATCAGTCGTCCTTTAGTTAAACAATGATACCAAATACACAAGTGACCAAGAAAGTTACCGAAAATCCCGTAACGAAGTGGATAAGAACGAAAATAGAAATCTTTTGATTCGTGGGTCAAAAGCTGTAAACGTTCCAGAATTGACTTTCCGACCTGTTTCTTACCGCAACCAAATCAAGCAAGGCGATCTTTGCCCCACGTCTGTTTCCATATCGTCATTCTCCCCTCCCTTGTTTTCACTCTCTTCCCACCCCCCTGTTCATTTTTTTGTGAGAAATATCCATATACATTCATCATGGTCGGAATCGGTCCTAAGCGCGCGCCGTCCCGCAAGGGTGAGCTTGATCTATCCCTTATCGCGAGCTTGATCGGGTGATGCTAACCCCCCCTTCACTAGGATCGATGCAAGATGTGCCTCAAAATCTTCTACAGCAGATCAAGGACTTTGAAGACAGGTTCACCGTGGACCAAGCCAAGCTTAAGGAGATCGTGAACCACTTCGTCAAGGAGCTTGAGAAGGGTAAGTCTAGCCCCGCAGATCCGCTGGTCCGCGCAATCAAGCTTACCGCGATGATAACATAGGTCTGACTGTTGAGGGCGGCAATATCGTGAGACCGACCGCAAACACATCCACACCTGAACAATGAGAGCTAACATACCATAGCCAATGAATGTCACTTGGGTCATGGGCTTCCCTGACGGTGAAGAACAGGGCACCTTCCTGGCTCTCGACATGGGTGGTACTAACCTGCGTGTTTGCGAAATCACCTTGACCGAGGCTAAGGGTGCCTTCGATATTACCCAGTCCAAATACAAGATGCCGGAGGAGCTCAGGACTGGTACTGCTGAGGAACTATGGGAGTACATTGCCGATTGCTTGCAGCAGTTCATCGAGACCCACCACGGAAATGAGAACCTCGCTAAGCTCCCGCTGGGTTTCACCTTCTCTTACCCGGCTACCCAGGAGTACATTGACCACGGTATTCTGCAACGTTGGACCAAAGGATTCGATATTGATGGCGTCGAGGGCGAGGACGTTGTTCCGCCCCTGGAGGCCATCCTCAAGAAACGGGTATGTTTTACTATGATCTATTCTCTCTTTTGATCAGCCACCTGACTGTCTTGGTTTAGGGTCTCCCCATCAAAGTCGCTGCCTTGATCAATGACACTACTGGTACTATGATTGCTTCTGCCTACACTGATCCTGAGATGAAGATTGGCTGCATCTTCGGCACTGGCGTGAACGCCGCATACATGGAGAATGTTGGATCCGTTCCCAAGATTGCGCATATGGGTCTTCCTGCCGACATGCCAATCGCCATCAACTGCGAGTATGGTGCTTTTGACAACGAGCGCGTGGTGCTTCCCCTAACTAAATACGACGAAATCATTGACCGTGACTCTCCCCGCCCCGGCCAGCAGGCCTTTGAGAAGATGACCGCAGGCCTCTACTTGGGCGAGATCTTCCGTCTGGCTCTAGTGGACATTCTGGACACCCAGCCTGGTCTCATTTTCAACGGCCAGGATACTTCCAAGCTGCGCAAGCCATACCTTTTGGACGCGTCATTCCTGTCCGCCATTGAGGAAGACCCATATGAGAATTTATCCGAGACTGTAGAGCTCTTTGAGCGCGAGCTTAACATTCGTCCCACACTGCCTGAATCGGAGATGGTCCGTCGTCTCGCCGAATTAATCGGCACCCGTGCTGCTCGTTTGTCTTCTTGCGGCGTTGCTGCTATCTGTACAAAGAAGAAAATCGAATCCTGTCACGTCGGCGCTGACGGCTCCGTCTTCACTAAGTACCCTCACTTCAAGGCCCGCGGTGCCCAAGCTCTGCGTGAGATCCTCGACTGGGCTCCCAATGAGAAGGATAAGATTAGTATCATGGCTGCTGAGGATGGATCTGGTGTGGGTGCTGCCCTGATTGCCGCTCTGACCCTGAAGCGCGTCAAGGCCGGTAACCTGGCTGGTATTCGCAACATGGAGGAGATGAAGACTCTGCTTTAGAGTAAACTTTGAACAAAACAAACGATATAATGACTTCCTCTAGATGTTCTGGAGCTTGAGGGCATAAAAATGAAGTATGCCTAACTGTGTTGATCCTTGCATCGAAGGAATTTTCGACAGGGTCACTTGTAGATTGCCTTTGAGACAATTTGGACGTCATACGGCCGAGCCTCGGCTTGGCATGCCGAACATCCTAGCAGGTGAGATCCAACGTCAAACTCTGCGCGTCTTATTCGATTGTTCAAATACCCGTACAGAGTGATTTTATGTAAATCTAGTATTTTGAAGTACGAAAAACGAAATAGATCCGTACGTTGTCAATGTTAGCCTGGATAAAGTTATTGGCGGGCCTCCCGAGATCTAGGAAAGCAGTTTAAGCTTATTTTCCCTTCATTGTGCAAAGCGAGCCAGAGTTTGAGACGTGCCCACTGACTCTATATCATTCTTAGTACGACTTGGATCATGCCCGACGTAGAACGTTTCGATGGAAGCTTTTCCCAACAATTGGCTGTTAACACGCAATCAACGCGGCGATGTCGTGATTACCTCCACCTATCGCACGCAAACAAACACCACCAAAACCCGCCAAATGAGAAGGAAGATAGCTCCCAGCTCTGCATCATAGGTCGGATTTGTCCGGGCTTTCCTATAAACGGTAGTCATCGCCGTGGTTCCCGCACTATGCAACTTCACGGGAATTTTGGTCAAATCATAGCTCTATGAATTTTGTGAAGACTTACGCCTGTCCCCTTTTTACTAACTGCCATTTCCCTGGCATCTTCGCGTGGGGATATGGCGTGCATCCTGCCGTCTCCACGTGGTAGTTCGGCAGATATTTCTTATAAAACCTAAATGAATTCCCCTAGGTGGGTTTCTAGCCAGCCCTGGGAAAACTTGTACATATTTCAATCCTCTGTACTCTAGTCAGAAAATATGTCGGAACCTGAGCACAAGATCGAGGCCGCTACAGCCTCGGCTGTTTCTCCTGTAGCATCATCTGATGTTGACGACAACTATGAATTCTTCGTGCAGCATAGAGGGCTCGAATATACCCCCGAAGAAGAAAAGAAGGTCTTACGAAAGATCGACCTGCACTTGATCCCGATTTTATTTTTTATCTACTTGCTACAGGTTAGTTTCCCTTCGACTTTGCCTTTACCCTGGTACTGACTATCGCAGTACCTAGACAAAAACAGTATCAACTTTGCTTCTGTGTACGGTCTCAAGGAAGGAACCCACCTTACCGGGTCGGATTATTCATGGCTCAGTAAGATCCTCTCATCATAGAGACGGAGAACATTCTAACATGCCAACAGGCTCAATCTTCTACTTCGGCTACCTAATCGCGCAATACCCAGCTGGACTGGCGATGCAAAAGTTGCCGGTCGGAAAGTTCCTCGCAAGCACAACAATAGGTAAGCAGATACACCCTGATAGCCCATTGTTCAATTTCCTCGATCTAACAAAAACAGTATGGGGAGGCCTTCTCATGACAACACCAGCATGCCACAACTTCGCCGGAATAGCATCCAACCGATTCCTTCTCGGCATGGTCGAAGCAGTCGTGAACCCAGGCTTCGTCCTCTTGATGAGTATGTGGTATAAATCACGAGAGCAACCTCTGCGCCTGGAAGCGTATTACTGCACCAATGGAATAGCAACCATGTTTGGCGGGTAAAGAGCCTAACAGCTTATCCTATCATTCAACACAAAGCTAATCCTTCTTTTTTTGCAACAAGACTACTCGGCTACGCCATCGGACACATCACCACCGGACTACCTCGGTGGATGTATGTTTTCTTGATTTTCGGTGCTATTTCCCTCGTCATCGGTATCCTGGCCTTTTGGCTTCTTCCTGATCTCCCCTCAACAGCTAGATTTCTTAACGAGCGAGAACGGGCTATTGCATTGGATCGGATATCCAAGAACAGGCAAGGAGTGAAGAATCATCAGTTTAAATGGGATCAGGTGTGGCAAGCGGCTCGGGATCCGAAGACGTGGCTATTGTTTATTATGGCTATTGGGGCCCAGGTGCCGAATTCGGCGTTGACGAGTGTATGGTTTGCCTTGTTTCCCTATGTCTGGGTTAGAAATGTTTGCTAATTGGATTGGGAGCAGTTCACTTCAATTATCGTTGGATCTTTCGGTTTTGACACGCTCGGCACGCAATACCTTCAGATCCCTGCTGGTGCTGTCAATTTTCTGACGCTGATTATCGGTGGCTGGATCGCGACCAAATACGATGGGAAGTTCCATTCTCGGAGCGCTTGTATGATCTTTGCGAATCTTGTCTGTATTCTTGGATCTGCACTGCTGGTTGGTCTGCCGGACTCCAATAAATGGGGGCGGTTGGTTGCTCTCTGGCTTTGCTATTTCCAAGGATTGGGATTTAGTATGGCTTTGACGATTATCAGTTCGAATATTGCGGGTTATACGAAGAAGCAAGTTACCGGTGCTTTGCTGTTCACTGGGTATTGTGTTGGGAATATTATTGGGCCGCAGACTTTCAAAACGAGTGAGGCCCCAGGGTATCACAGTGCTTATATTGCGTATGTGGGTTCGTTCTTATTGTTGAGCTTTAGACTGACGTGTTACAGAATGCTTGCTGGGTATTCGGTTAAGCTGGTTGCTATTGTCGCTTTGTACTTGTATATGTACTATGAGAATAAGCGTCGGGATCGCCTGGCGCTTGGGGACGCAGATTCAGATGATGGCGTGGAAGCAGGAATGTTGGTAAGTTTTACTTTCAATCTTACATCTGATGACAAGCTAACTTTAGTTCAAAGGATCAAACGGAAATTGAGAACAAGAGATTTCGATATGTATTATAACCGGTGAACCATTAGTACATGTGGTCCCATGGTCGTATATGCAAGAAAAATAAGCTATTAACGGCAGTATCGCAGAAATGCAAAGACAAAAACAAAGTCCCACTCAATACTCCCTTCTAGCATCTTGGTACTCTAGATTGGCTTGATCAAGTGTCTGGGATCTCACGCATGTGACAGATGCTAGATACCCGAATCAGACTGCACAAGACCTTTGCTCGTCTGATATGATTCCCACGCAGCACAATTTTCTTCACAAGTCTTATAATCAACGAGAGCATGAATCTCATCCGGTCTTTCAACGAACTGCAATGCAAGTCCTTCACTGGTATGCCACCCGATGTGGCAGTGCATCAACCAAACACCGGGATTATTCGTCTCAAAGGCAATCAACAGCCACCCGGAAGGGGGCAACACAGCAGTATCGCGACGAGGAGGGTTCGTTGTTATAATGGTGGAGGCATCAAAATCACCAGTTCCTTGAGCCAGGATAGAGAAATCATGCCCGTGGAGGTGAATTGGATGCGGTACTGGGATAGAAGTGTTGATCATTAAATACACCCATTCGTTCTTCCCCCTGAGCTCGATGACATTACTTGTGTTCGTGAAGTCCAGGTCTTGTCTGTAGACATCCATTATAGTTGGGTCTTGCCAGTTGGTGACCATGGATGTCGTGTTGAATTCCCAGCGGAAAAGGTTATCTGAATTTTTGTAAAGGCCGACTTCTGTGTTATCGTCGTATGTCGGGGAATCCACATTTTTCTCAACCCAAGGGACAAGACTGGCCATCGGTTCGTCGAGACAATCGGATGTGACTGGGTAGCCCGTCGTTGTGGGGGTCTTGGCCTTGTTGCCGTAATGGACTATGCCACGAATGTTGTCGCTTTGGTTGTTGGCTGCACATTCACTTCCTGGGATTGCTCGCATCCAGAAGGAATCGGCAATATGTTGTTGATTTGCTGTGACGATTACATCGTAGCGTTGACCTATGAAATACTTAGCAGTTGGAACAGAGTTGAGAGTGTCGGAATACTAACCCATGCCGATACTGATCACATCCGTTGTATATGGGACGATTGGCACAAAGTCCATTGCAATCACTTCCATTGTGTGATTATCTATGCTAAACTTCCAATGAGTGTCGATGGCTGGATTTACCAGTCGGAGCCGGTATGAAGTACCCTGGTTGACTTTCATGGTAAACCGTTGGCCTGAAAGAACAGTGGGGGAATCGTAGGGCTGATAAACGTTGGTGCCGTTAATAAGTCCATTTGTCAAATTGGTGGGACCATTTATCTGGTCTTCCAAGTACAGTTCGTCCACAGTCCGATGAGTCCAATCACTCAAGAATAAAGATCCCATGTCAACATCATAGTTTGCAGTTGCCGGCCCGTTGATGACGATACCCCCGAAAATACCCTCCCAGGCTAGCAAGCCAATGTGAGCATGATACCACGACGAGCCATATTGAGTAGCCCGCCACGTGTATGTCATTGTCCTTCCAGGTGCAATGGGGCATTGTGTGATGGAGCCGACACCATCATTGGAGTTTGTATAATTCTGACGAACGCCATGCCAGTGAATAGTAGTTCCATTTTCCTGAGGACCCAGGTTATTTGTGACATGGATGGTGACATTGTCACCCCAATTCGCAAAGAGAGTCGGCCCAGGAAATTGACCATTCACAGTCCAAACTGGACGTTCGAAGCCATCTGGAGCAAGTTGTACTTGCCTGATATCAAACCAATACTCCCGCGTCACACCAGTATTAGGGACAACATTCTCGTAGTCCGTGCTGATGCTATAATCACACCAGGATGATCTGGACTTGGGTGAATTGCCTGAGCATGGAGTAGTCTTGGCAGGCTTTACACTGGAGCTTCGTGCAAGCTTAGGACTGATGAATGACGCGTCCAGTAGTGGCTCAGTCGACCGGATATATGCCGCATATGCAATGCCAACGAATAGATAGGCCACAAGGGCAACCAAGTGGAGTTTCATGACGCGTCGAGTACAATCTGGGAACACAGTATAAAGAGTGAAGGTTTGAACTCGAAGAAACGACCGAAGAACAGTTGATGCCTAAGTGAAACTAGAAGCTGCGTGAAAAGAACAAGTATATATAGAGTGGAGTGCATTGACTGGGTAATATCTGAACAGTTGCTCGTTAAGGATTCCCTCCTTCGTTTCCAAGCATAGAAAAGTGTCTCACGTTGGGAGGGGATGCCGGCATCTCCGTGGCCTCTCCGTGCCAGTTCAAAGTAAAGTAATCAGCCGCCAAACAATGCATGATGACTTGGAGAGAATATCGACCCCCGAACACGAGCTTCGGGCGAGGTACCCGCCGTTAAGATTTGCAATGATTCGCTGTTCAATTCACGACGACTCGTCGTATTTGTGCCCGGACCTCGAGGTACCATATGGCACGCCTTGTTGGTTAAAAAAAGATGGATAGCAAGCCGGGGAAAAGGCTTGTGGGGCGGTGTACTAAAGAAAATTAGAAGAAACCGGAGGCGTATCTCGGATGTAGGTTACAGGGTCATGTTCCGGGCATCACTGCATTGCGTTGGCCTTGCATGATGAGAATCAAGGTCCAAGTTCGCATGTGCCCTATGCAGGGTCGGTAATTTCGTATTCAGATTGTCAAATCAACTCGAAAAATGAGGCTAATGAAGCCAGATGGGCCCCGGGAAGTGTATTCGGATCGTTGATCCTTGGTTCGATTTCAAAAATATTGACTTTCAAGGTTGGCGGGAACTTTTACCCGATGATTTGAAAGGCAGTAGAGATAGAGAAACAATTGAAGATACAAAAAAGAAATGACATAGACTATGCCTGGCCATGTGAGCCGCGTCGAATACGTCAGCGGTTCTTGGCTGAGGTCCGTGTCAAGAGACTCAAACCCTAGTGAAAAGATCAGATCATTGCAAGGGTACATCCTGGCGAAGAAACACTGCCACTATTCAGCTAAGATTCTGAACCAAGAATAGTTCAAAATGTTTCAGTTGGAGATGTTTCAAGTGTAATCAATTCAAATCTTGCTTGTTGGCCTTACATATAATGGGCATCAGACTCCATCAGCATCCTGCGTCACAGTTGGGGCCATCTTACTCATACAATCCTACAACATCAATTTGAATGAGACAATATTTGCTATCCGCCTTGAATCCTTTGATCGATATGTCGGGTATTTTTCTCATTTTTCTTGCTTTTTGTGGGGTATGTTATTCACACCCTATACTGGAGACTAGACAGGACCCGTTCAGCTTGTATGCATACGGCACAAACATCAATGGGCTTTCTGTCTTCTATGCAGATGGTATTTTTCTATGATGCAATGATTTCCAGTCTCTGTACTGATTTTCCAAATAGGACAAGCTCAGCTTGGCGATATGTCGTTGTCAAACGCCACCAAAAAGATCTCGATTTCTGGTAGGTCCTGTATCTCCCCTCATGAATCCACTTCTGAGAAGTCAGTGACATTTGGCACCAACAACACCTGGATCGCCCGACCTGCTTCCGCATCCGAAAACCTCTTCGAGAGCAGCACTCTGTTGGGTCTGAGCCAGAGTAGTGCGCTCGCAAATCCTGTCAGCTTTACAGACTCTACAGACAGTCTATCAGGAGATCTCACTGACGTATGGGAACTATATGGAATCCATGTTTTGCTTACGAAGACTGGTGCCAACTTCTACGCCAAGACCACTAGCGAGGATGGTTGGTACATTTTGGTGTGGAGTCTGTCTGTCAAGGCATCACTTGACTATATTCCAATTACCTTGAGTACCAACGCACCTGTAGCTAGGTCATAGTGCTCCCGCACTAACGCATGAATTTGTGGCTTTGTGGATTTGTGGGTTTGTGGATCGGGGAACGGATGGGTTCATAGCTAGGGCGAAAATGGAGCGAGAGCCCAATGTGGGGGAAATCAAAGCCGATCATTACTCTTTTGTGGTTCATTTTGCATTCGGTACTTTTATTCTGGGCCAAGGTTAGCTGATACCTCCGAGGTCAGCTTTCTACGTGGCGCGTTCAAATGTTTAATCCCCGTCAGTTACCGATTGGTGGTGGTGGGCTTACTTGGCTGCAAGAAAACCAGTTATTTAATGTTTTGTTTCATTTCCGGTTGAATTATCTCCCGATTTCTACCCCTAGATGCTTGTTCTTTCACAAAATTATGCTCGACTGTTATTACACCGTGAATAGCCTTTCTGACCTGCAAAGTTGAGTTTGAACAGCTACGCCAGCTACGCCTACTACGCCAACTACGTCAACTGCGCCATGAAGGATCGACAGAAATATAGCCGATGAAATATGGATTATATTCAAATAAATACTGTGCTAAATAATATATGATATTCAACATCCAAAATTCAATATCCAATGCATCGGTAGACAAACTCAATGCTAGTTTTATGGTTCTTTTGTCGAGAACCTTGGATGTAGCTTTCCTCCGAGATCGAGACGATCGATCGCGTCGTAACCTTATCAGCCAAGTGCCGGTCTCGCCTAAGCTGTACATGAAATTCCGAAAATCTAGACCACTGGTTCCTCTATTTATATCATCGGGGATAACGAGCCCCACTTAGATAACAGCTTCCACTCGTTCACCTGGGAAATCCCCCACTTACCCCAACATTGTGATCTCTCATGTCTGACATGCACATGATCCCTGAGAGTCAGCTCCCTTTCAGTCACATGCTTCAGCCTCGTCATGGGTAACACACTTTCATACGATCAGACCCCTCACGAGGTTGACCTAGGTCCCAAGGGAAAGATCCGAGGACTTCAATATGATACAAAATCCCGACGGTACGCAGGCATTCCCTATGCATTACCCCCAATCGGTGCCTATCGCTGGCGAAAACCTCGCCCATTGCCAGCGACACACCGCTATTCACAGCCAAATGAACAACCTTTCGATGGATCCACCTTCCGCCCGATCTGTCCCCAAGAGGCGTTCGCAGGCGGAGAGAAGGACATCGGCCCAGAAAACTACAGCGAAGACTGTCTATTACTGAATATCTGGACCCCTGTCGAAACCCCGGACAACGCCGATAAGAAATGGCCGGTCGTGCTTTGGCTGCATGGTGGCTGGTTCCAGTTGGGCGAACCCCTCCAGGAATTGGGCATGGACCCCACGGAGATGATCTCTACCGGAAAACTGAATGCAATTGTAGTTGGAATTGGCTACCGTCTCAACATCTTCGGCTTCTTAGCGGGAGAAGCTCTTTTGGAAGAGAGCGATGGAGAAAGCGCGGGGAATTTTGGTCTTTGGGACCAGCGTCTCGCTATGGAATGGGTTTACGAGAATATCGCTGCGTTCAATGGTGATGTGAACAATATTACTCTCGGAGGACGCAGTGCTGGCGCATACGGTGTGCATGCGCAAGTGCTTCGTGAATTCCGGGAAGATTCGCAGCGTCAGCTTTTTCACCGGTTCTACATGTACTCGAATGCCATCCCTGCGCAGCCGAAGGCCCTCGCGGATGTCAACCCTCAATTCGAGGAGCTTTGCGACTATTTCAATGTCCCTACGGATCTATCCGGTCCTCAAAAGATCGACAAGCTTCGTGAAGTCGGTCACAAGGACCTTGTCGCAGCCTTGAAGCATCTCAAGAATCATACCTTCCGCCCTGTGACCGACAACCTCTTCATCTTCCCTGGATTCACGAAATACCACAAAAGCGGTGCATTCGCGGAGCAGTTCCAAAAACGACGGCTCCGCGTCCTGATCGGCGAAGTCCTGAATGAGGAAACACTCTATGCTACCTATAATAGCCCCGAGCCTAACATCGATTCTCTACGACTACAGCTATCTAACTACTATGCCCCTGGAACAACCGATCGTATCTTGCAATCATACACCCTACCTTCAACTGCCGATCCAGAGGATTGGAAGAAAGTTTACGGAAACATCATTGCAGATGGCCAGGTTCGAGCACCATCGCGCTGGCTAGTCAATTCTCTTTTTAGCCATGGGGTTCCCCTACAAGACATCTGGCGGTACCGGATTGCATACAGACTATCCTTTATCACGGACAAGGTTGCTCCACGAGCTTTTGGTGTATCTCATGCTATGGATAAGCCATTTTGGAAGTGAGTTTCAATATCCTTATCTGGGATAAATATGCTGCCGTACCACACGCTAATACATCTGTAGCTTTTCCATTCTTCATGGTCCAACGGATGAGGAGAGAGGTCTGATGGAAGGGTGGATTCAATCATTTGTTGCATTTGTCAATGATGATCCGGAGTACGAATTTGGGACACATGGCATCGACGAGATGAAAGTTGCTACTCCCGAAGGAAAGATCGAGATTCAAATAGATCAACGCTGGGATGAGTTGGTTAAGCTGGGGGAGGTTTTTGCCAGTGGTGCTTAACGCTAGACATGTGAATATAATATATCATGTATCACGTCTCAGGAATAGAAGAATCGGATATAACAGTGAATAGATCAGAATGTCTAAACAGAAATCCAGTCAAGCTGAGAGTGATCTAGCTATAAGGAAAGAGGGACTGTGCCCTACAGATTAGAGATCCAGTATATAGTTTGCCTTGCGTCGCGTCCACTTGAGCGTCGGAGGCACGGCGTAGCAGCCCCAGGCGCATCACATCCTTGGATCTAATACTCCGAGAGCCATTAATCAACCACCTGGTATGACGACTGGCACCGGTATCCTGACGAAAACGACGCTATATGTGAAACCGTAAGGATTAACTTGAAGATTTAATTAATATCTAAAGTTTGGAAGATGCCTTGTTAATCAAATGGGCATTTACTGGCGTCACGGCCTTTCCGGTATGATGGAACGAGACAATGTTCTCCATGCCTAGACGCTCAAACCCAATGTGCGCGTCCAAAGAAGTACCAGCATTATGTGACAGGATTTCCACATTCTTCATCTTAGCCAGCTCGGGACTGACATGCGGCTCATTGAAGTGTACATCCAAGCCTGCAGAAGCGAGTTGACCACGCTTCAAAGCATCAACAAGAGCTGCTTCATCAAGGAGCTTTCCTCGAGCGATATTGACAAGCCGGGATCCGCGCTTCATCTTTGCTAGCAGTGATGCGTTCAGGAGGGTCTCTCCACTGAAAGGAGTAGCCACAACCACACAATCTGACTCGGCAAGAAGAGTATCCATAGACTGGTGGAACGTGGCATTGGAAACCTGCTCCAGCTGCTTTGGCATCTGCACAATGTCGTGGTAGAGAATCTTCATATGGAGAGCCTTGTACGCTTTCTCTGCTGTCCGTCGACCAATCTGGCCAAAGCCAATTATACCAAGTGTATGGCCTTTGGGGTTATGAGACACCATCGCAAGATTGCGGTTGGCATCTACAAACTGGTCCGCATTGATAGCACGAGCTGCCATTGCCGACCACGAAAATAGTCGGAATGTGGAAATCACAAGCCAGATTGCAGCGTCAGCCACGGACTCGGTACAAGCAGCGGCGGCATTGCAGTAAATAACACCTGTAAGACCACAAAATTAGTAAACAACTTGCTTGGCTTGGTTGTATTCATTCATATATGTACCCTTCTTGGCCAAAGCAGCCGTATTCACCCAGTCAAAACCAGCACCGGCACTAGCGAAGATCCTGCATGAGTCCGGGAGTAGCGAGATCAATTCCTCATCCCAGTTTCCCATCTCGCCACCAGTGTTCCAGAAAGGTCGGTACATCGCAACGAAGTCGCCAAACTGTCGCTCCTTTAGTGCCCGGATAAATTCCGGTCTTGACATGCTGTATGATCGCTGGATCTCGAATTGGTCTTTGAATTTGGCATATTGGTCGTGGTTCCAGCGGATGTCATCGCCCAGGTGGAGAACGATTGGCTTGCCCATGACGTTTATTTATGGAGGAAAAGTATCTGATAAGCTCAACTTTCCCCGGAAGACCTCCCATAAATAATGTTCATCTCCAGGGCTGTTGTATATCACGGCTATTGCCTTCTACTCCGGTGTTTGTCGGGTATTGATTGAGCTCGGCTATTGAAATCCGAGCCAACGTCGGTTGACTGGGCTTCGGGGACCAGGAGACGTCGGAAGTTAAAAGAAATGGTACTGTCTAGCAAAAAACAAATAGTTTCAGTATACAATATACATTCTAGGGTCCCGGTTGTGCACTTAAAGACCTCGGGAACGGAGCTATGGTGAAGGTCGTCACGGCGGGACTTGACTTCTACTTCATCTACCATTCAAATGTATGATCCATACTCCCTTCCAAGGATTCAAGATTTCGGATGTTCGATTGAACGTAGATGCCTGCTGAATTGACAAATTGTGTAGATTCCACCCCTCTATAGCTTGGGTATACTGCGAACTTTTTGGACATCCGATCGAAACCTCGAATTTTATGTTCCTTTCTCCTTCCATTTCTCTTTTCTGATCCTGTCATTTTTTCTTTTTTTTCATTCAGCTGAATATGAATTTGGAGAGCCCTTTGGCTATCTGACTATCCCCGAGCGTCTCGTATAATGTTTGCGGATGCTAGGGTGAAATTGATTTATCTGCCGCCCTATTCACCTGACTTTAACCTGATTGCGGAATACATTGCCGAGCTTCAAATTTCATCAAGCGTAATTGGAGTTACTGTGAGGTCTAGATATTTTCCTCGAATGGGGTATTAATGTGGTCGGGGCAAAAGAAGAAAGTGCTTGGAGCCATTTTCGCCATGCGGGATTGAAAATAGAAGTGTTGGATGACTGAGTGGTTGAATCTCGACAGACTATATATTCTTAGCTATAAAAGTGCAAGAAAGAGAATTACTCGAGATAAAGCAAGTTCGGACTCTGGTTTCGATAATTAGATCAATTGACTTTTTGCGGGGTCACAATACGTTACTGCTATTCATTTTTTTTGATAGCAGAGACAGGAGAAAGATAATGATCATCCACCACCAACACCAGGTGAACCATTGCCCCCACTTCCTCCACTAGGCTCGGTGCAATCGTTAGAATATTAATTAAAAATTAATCAGATTAGCCTCACTCTTAAAGTAATATTTGCGACTCACTTTCTCAGTATCGCAGCAGAGGGTTTGACCCTTACACGAGCTTCCTACTATAGAATCAGTCAGCGTTGTCTGCATTCAAACACCTTGTGCAAAACCAGGACGATATTACATACAGGTTGCACATCCAACTCCGATATCAATAGTTTCCCTAATATGTTGACAGGAATCAGAAGCTGGCAACATTTTGGGTTTGGTTGCTACTGGAACAAGTAACGGAGCTGTCTCTCTTGGTCAGCGGGGTTGCAATGACGCTGGCCGCAGCTCCTAATATGAGGTATGAGGAAAGCATTTTTTCACATCTTAAGAACGGAATGCTATCATTAATTTTTCAAGGCAGAGAGCCTTTAACCATCACCGGACATGAAGCTTATTTTATATTACGAGAGATTCCAATTATGTTTTCTGGAAGTCTAAATATAAAGCCCAATGCCACCGCGAACACGTTTATAGTGTGTTGGTTCATGGATATGTGAACCAGCGTTCGACTCCTGAATCTTGTGACCACTTGATGAGTATTATGAAGCTAATACGCGCCTGGTCAGTGGTGAGATTTCACATCCAATTATCTTTGTGAAGATGATGGACCGCCTTACCTATTGGCCCATCTGCCACGGCTCAGCCAAATATATTCTAAGGTCTGCGAGATCTATGAGGTCATCAGCTCCGTGTTTCAATCGTCGCCCGACCACATTCGCATGCAGGTCACTTAACCCATGTTTTTTATTCAATCCTAGTCTAGGTTATACGGGATCTAGATCAGGCTATTCAAAGCTCCCTAGCATACTTAGAGCGCGACTGCCACTGTAGCGACTTCTAAAAACAGCGGTTAACGAATTTCGTTGACATCCCAGCCTTCCGTCCCCGGTAGAATGAGACTCTATATATATCTTTTCACTACTGCCACTGCTCTCGCGTCCCCGCTAGCCGAGAGAGAGAGCTCCGTTACCTGTTCAAGTAGCAATCAGACGCCAAAATGCTGCCAGCTTCTGGTTCCTGTCAACATATTAGGGAAAACTATTGATATCGGAGTTGGATGTGCAACCTGTACGTATCCTCGGCCCACTGCTATATAAAGCTCTTTCTTATTGGCAATGCTGACTGGCTCTATACTGTAGTGGGAAGCTCATGCAAGGGTCAAACTCTATGCTGCGACACTGAGAATGTGAGTCGCAAATATAACGTTAAGGGCGAGGCTAATCTGGTTAGTTTTTAATCGATATTCTCAACGTTTGCACCGAGCCTAGTGGAAGTGGAGGTGGTAGTGGCGGTGGTCATGGTGGTGGTGGTGGTGGTGGATGATGATCATCTTTCGCCCATCTTTACTGTTAAAAGACTCGTCACTATAGTACTACCACGTGCTGTTATTTCTTCTGAATTGAAGCCGCCAAAATTCGACAAACTTCAAATTATATGCTTAGCTATGTTTGTCACGTCTTTTTATATCAAAACCACAGCAACAAAGCATCAGACAGAATGCAATTGATGTCTCTTATATTTGCGGAAAAGTAGTAGTGCCAGTCGATCAGAAAATCTGAAGTGGGTAGTCTCGTTGGTATTTTGCGCGAACCGCATTGGATGATTCTCCCGCCAAGAGCTTAGCGCGAATCATTGATTGAGCGGTACACACCAAGTTGAGGGCAGATTTTCGGACTAACTTACATGTATTCCGAGCCGGTATACATGAAGCATACAAAGGATGGTCGGGAGTTGACCTTCGCTTGCGATTGCTTTCTATATAGCCCAGAGGAGATGGGGATGGTTCACTCCGAACATTATCATGTGACGTTGTAAAAGTTTCCCAAATCTTCCTCTAGCATGTAAGAGGAACGGCTAGACCACCCCGTATTCAGTTGTTACATCAGCAAAATTTAGTTAATGTGATGAATACAGTTAACCTGAGCAGTTGATGGAATAGGTCTGGATTATACAATCAACTTCAGGTCGTTGGCCAATCACAAGCCATAAAAAGTGCGACGGCCCGAGCAGTCCATGTGCCCTTGGTTACCCTCCGGATACAAGGTGCATTAGGGAATTGTTTGTGCTAGGGAAATTGTTTCGCGGAGCAAAATGATACATCCATCACATATGGCATATGAATAAGAATTCTGGTTCTATTTCTTCAGGACCAGTTGGCCTCATTGATTGCGATTCCATTTATCATGCTGAAGGATCAGGAGAAAATGAGGAGAGAAAAGCTGAGACCCGGAGTCAGCCCCACAAAAACGGGCAAATGAGTGATAAATCATATTCGGATTCCGATGTTGATGGATATAAATAGAGCCAAGGTCTGACCTATACACGTGCATGACTCATTTAGACCATTCTACTCCGTACACCGCAACTCTCACTCCTTCCCCTCCGTTCTTGAGCCTACGTTCTATCCATCTCCAGAGTACATACGATACCTAGCTGGCTTGACGGAGAGTCGATACTTGCACCATAAATGAAGCCAAATGAAGGCTCTGCCATAGTAATCCACGTATTTAAAAGTTCTCGGGCCTGGGCCACCGTAGTGCGGGGAAGCAAGTCAACACCCGCTAAGGGGCCATTCCCCACGCAATAGGCCAGCCGCCAGCATGGCTTCGGACTCTGCGGCCACAACCCGTCGCGTATGGTCGAAGCTAGAGGATGAAAAGCTCCTCTCTCTCGTACAGAATTTGAATGACCAGCGAGGCAAGGAGGGTGGGAACTGGAGTGAGATCTCGAGACATCTTCCCGGGCGATCGAATAAGGTCAGTCGAGCCGAACACGTATGGATAGTGAGACTTATCATGACTAGGACTGTCGGAAGCGATGGTTTCACTCGCTCGATCCGGCTTTGCGGAAGGGTCGCTGGTCGAAAGAGGAGGATGAGCTGTTGCTTGCGGCTCATAAGCGGCTGGGGCCTGCTTGGAAGGATATCGGTAAGTCAATTCGTTTATTTGGGGCCGATCTTGTGCATTAGGCTGATTTATAGTAGCGCTTTTGATTGAAGGCCGGAAGGATGACCAATGTGCGAAAAGATACAATGATATCTTGAATCCATCGGCGAGAGACAGACTGAAAAATTGGTCGGCTGAAGAAGACCAGTATTTGGCTGCGAAGGTTCAGGAGCTCGGTCATAAATGGGCTGCTATCTCGGCTGGGCTTCCTGGCCGTCCTCCCCTTACCTGTCGAAATCGATGGAGGAGACTTTCGAAGGAGTTGTCGAGATCCGACTCAGCTTCAACCCGCAACGACCCTCATTTGACCGCCACCCCCTCAGCAACACTTTCACCCACGGTTTCAAGGTCCAACTCAATCAGTCATCTTACCAATATGCCATTCTCAATGGCAGCAGATCCGTTGACAAGTACTCCAAACTTTGATCTGTCTGCCGACCTAGCGCTGGTACCAGATCCCACTCTGCAAATGCCCATATACGGCATGGACGACATGAGTATCCACAGCGCATCTGCATATGGAATGGACAGCACGAGCATCCACAGTGCACAAACCTCCAATGGACCAGGGCTAGAATTGTCAGATTACTCTTTTCACAGCGGCTACCAGAACCAATTCTGGGAATCCGCCTCAGAGGGCCCATCCTTTGCATTGCCAGATCGCAACTATGACTCTGAACCAAACATGTTGACGGATAACTATAACCCGAGAACCATGTACCAAAGAAATCCCATGCATGGTCGTCGCTATTATCCATGGATCCCACCTTCTGGCAATACTTTGGATAATATCGCTTCGCTTGATCTAGCGAATACACAGACTCAGCATCCTCCATTTGCGATATCTGGTTCGATTATTCCCGAGCTTGATGAAGAGTCTGGGTCCACACTAGAACAGGCTGCTGTTCGTCAGGTTCTATCTTCTCCTCGAGCAGCTACTGTAGTTGATGATACTTTGGTTGGGACTGGTGGCTCGGGAGTTATGCAGCATCATCACCACTTTCACCATCATCATTATCACCATCATTACCATCATTAGCTCGCACTTTGGGGATTCAACGATATGAAATTTGCTACTTAGATTGGTTGTGTTTATGTGAGTTTTAGCTCTGCGTAGCTTGACTGGTTCTCTCCGTATTTAAAGCTGGGTTTTTCTTGACTTTTGATCACTTTCCAGGCTTTGAGTATTCAATGGAGTTGTATACAGCTACTATTCCAAAAAAAATAGATATATGCCCTGAGGGCCTTTGATTCACGGTCCTCCTTTACTAAGAAAAAGCCCGCCCAAATGGACAAATGAAAGAAGAAGCCTATCAGCAAAGTAGTTGCAGTCCTGTTGAGACAATTCACAAGAAAAGAGATAAGCGGAATCAAAACACGAAAGGAACGTCCGGATATTTGGATCATAAACAAAAGAGACAAGAAAACTTTGGATAAGCAAGGAGTTCCAAGGCCAAACGAGAAACCCTATGCACAATAAAAACTTGACACACAAAACTCCGTGGTCACCCTGGCTCCGAGGGGAAACAATAACAAAGAGAAAACGCCAAAAAAGTAATGAAAAAAAAATGAACGCCGAATCTTCACGCCTGATCACTTGATGGATATCCCGAATAATCCACTGGGGGAAAAAGAAGAACCTGAAAAGAAATAGCAAATATGATCACTCTCCACATGTCAGTCGCGATCACTCAAATGTCTCCTGTGCAAAGCCTTGTTACTTTAGCCCCGCCGTCTTCGCAGCCCAAACTCTTCTTCTTGAAGCTCTCGAATGAGACGAAGGCTCTCAGCATCCGTATCATCCTCGTCGAGAAGATGCTTGGTATGTTTGAATTGATGAGGAGACAATGAAGTGGGCCCGTGGCGATCAAAACGTCTCTCCACCATCGGGGAACTTTTCTTTGCATGAGATGATGAGGGCCGAGATGAAGGTTTTTTGGACGAGCTCGCAAACCCTGGGGTCGTTCGGCGGAAAGTAGACGAGGCTGGAATACTAACCGAATTATTCGGGCGATTGGATACCTCTACCGTGAAGCGTTCCCCATGACGAGACTCGTGCTCTCCATGACGAGGTTGTTCACCGTGTCGAGGCTGGCGTGACGAATTGCGAGAGCTCGAGTTGGGCGTGTGCAGCGCATTGGGAGCCTCACTCTCAACGGATGCTAGTGCCTCACCTTCTTGTACCACATCCATTTCGTCGGCCAGCGACGTAGGTGGGGATACCAGGGAGGCAGTCGGCTTTGATGAAACTGACATCGAGGTAATATCCTTGCCCTCGACCGGATCGGCATGAAAAGCGGGTGGCGATGCATATAAAGCTTGACCAATGTGCGCTTCACCCTCTTTGATAGGCTGAGCTTGAAGCTGATCTATGACACCATAGGCAACGGATTCCTCGTCGTAGCTTGTGACTGGCATCGCGTGCGGCACCATAACGCCGGCATTTTGACCGAAGAATACCGGGTGAGCAATTGGAGATGTGCTCTCCTGCTTGGCTTTCTTGGCTGCGGCAGACACAATGTCATCTTCATTGGGGCGGGGTCGCTTTGTAGAAGCAGTCCCACGAGGCTTGGATCTTTCTTGAGCTTTAATCGGGTCAATGTTGCCACGGTCATCATGAATGCAACGGCGCTATTTAGTGGATTAGTTGCGTATTCCAAAACGAGCATTAGAATGGAGCCACAAACCTTGCTTTTCCGACAGTCATCACACGCCTTACTTCGCCCCTTCTTACTGCCATTGGCACCGTCAGGACTCACGTCATTGAGTCTGTTCGCGGCGGCAGTGGAGGCACCCATGATTGTCGAGTAAAAGGCAGAGCCATCAAAGTGTTCCAGGCCAGCCACGCCATTGCTTTGTGATCCGGCTTGTGAGGCGATTGCAGCTAAGGAGTTCAGAGCCGAGACTGCATCCTGGGCGAGAGAAGATGGGGTGCTCAGACCCGATCCAGGGACAAATCCATTCATTGCCATTTGTCGACCCTGTATCCACTCGGTCGGCTCATCTTTATGACGGCACCTGATGCGTCGTCTGCGACAAGCATCACAAGCGACACGTTTCGGACCAAGCCCCGAGCCACGTGGGGCAGATCGTGGTTTAGGAGTGAGTGGTTCTTGAGTAGCGATTTCAGCGACGGTGCCAACCGGGGCAGGCGTTGCGCTTTCAGATGGCGGAATCGTACCGCTGATCGTGGGAGGCACGGGAGTGGCATCCTCATCCGTTGGCCTTTGAACGGCTTGCCTTTCAGCATAAGTGCGGTGGCTGTCCACATTACGTTCAGAACGTCGACTAGGTCGACCTGCTGGTCGCTTTTCTGTGAGAGACACCTTTGAGTTGCTTTCGATGACACCAGGACGAGTCCACTGAGGGGCTTTCTCGTTACCACGTTTCCAAGCGACCCAAACACCGAATTTGCGAATCACATCCAGGGGATCTCCGACTCCCTTCGGAATGGAGCGTCTGACCGCATTGCGTACTTCAATTGTCACTCCGTCGACGGTATAAGAGCTTGCAATGAGGGCTGTCCGCAGAAGATACTTTGTCAACTCTGGCAAGCCCTCCAATTCTGCTTGGGAGTAGAATCGGGCGTTGTAGTAAGGGGAGCTAGGAGGCTCCTGATTGGAACGTTCCCCAAACTCATAATAGATAGGGTAATGCCGGTGAAGTCGGAAATTTTCATCTTGGGCGAAAGCCTCTAGCACACTTTGTGGGATCGGGTCATCTTCCAGGTACTTCAATGCAGTGTACCATTGAATCTTCTGGAAGAAGGGGTACCTGAACTTCTTAGGAACTTTAGTCTCCTTTTCGATGTTGAGGATCTTGATCTGCATTCCATAGTTCAGTCTGGTGAGAAAATTTCCACCAATGACTAGACTGTTCTCTGGAGTCCAAACGGCATGGATCCAGCCTGAGGGAATGAGCATGGTGTCCCCCTCGGAAAGATCCACACGATAACACTCTTTTGTCTGATTTCCAAGGAACATTGAATCCTGAGCTGGAGAATTACACCACTCCTCGTACAGTTTGAGATGTTTGTCCTTGGGAGGGATGAAGAAAAAAGTCTTCTTGCCCTTCAGAATGTGGTAGTACACCGAAGACCCACCAAAATCGATATGGAAGTCGGTATAGCAGTCGGCGACAGACATGAGGCAATAGAACTGAACCTTGGGGTAGTCGCCAATGGCCTTCAACTCTTCAGGCCATACGGCATCTTGAAGGTCCAGATCACGTACAACCTTAGGCCGCTTGATAAGACGACCTAGCTTGCTTTGTGAAACCTCCAAGCTGATGACATTTCGAACAGGTTTGTTGGGTTCAGCGCTCTCATAATAATCGGCCCATTTCTGCATGTTCCACCTTTTATCTTCGCCCTGTTGTGATTTGACATCGATGACCTCAACTCTCTCCTCGGGGCCATAGAGCTCGGCTACCGCCCGGACGGTGAGACCTTGGGGAATCACCATATCAAGTTGGTCTTGGCCGCACTCGGGGTTGTCTTTGACATCAATTGCCTCCTCAGAAACGTGGTCGAGTAGTTCATCAAACATTTCCTGTGTTGGAGCTTCATGTACCAAAGCCTCCAGATCCGCATGGACTTCAGGAACGGGGTCACGACTGTTCCAGCAGGCAGGAATGACAACAGGTTCGTTCCATCCATTACCTCGCTCGAAATATTCGGCAGTAACTAGCTCCGGCCTCATGCGAGGAAAGCTTTCTGGTTGGAATTTAATCCTCCCTTGACGAATGGGCTCAAGATAATGGTGCTCCGTGGAATCAGAGGCTGCCTTGATCAGTCCCTGGTTGAGACCAGCATAGTCGATTGCCGTACGAGCGCGCGAAGATTTGCGCACAAAGGTTGTTTGGCCATGGGTTGCTCGGCAAGAACGGCAGATAAATTTATCAACCGTGCGAACTTCCCTGTCGTTCTTAAACCCAGCACAAACAATATGGAACCAGCGTTTGCATCCGTCGCAGCCAATCCAAGTGTCTTCATCTTGCTCCTCAGTCTCCATTGGGATCCGCACCAGGTGGCACGCAGTGCAGCTTGCTTGATTTGTATCACCTGCCTCTTCTTCAACTTTGAGGGTGGGGTCAGGTGCTTGATTAGGAAGAGATTCTCCGTCCTCGGTGGTTTGATGGTCACCATATCCAGCATAACGAGACACGTCCGTTAAAGGGCCATCCTCGTTCTCATCTTCCCAGACAATTGGGGGCAATGTCCCTCCTGAGCTAGTTGCCGGGCGTACGCCTCGAACCACGGGACGTGAGAGGAATGCAGAACCATCCGAATGAGATCTCATGCGTGAAGGTGGAATGCCATCCTCGTGATGCAAGGATTTCCTATCCTCCGGGCCAGCAGACTCCCCGACAAACCCAACTCGATTGTGACGTATTGAACCGGCACCGTGATTGTGATAAGATTCGTCAATGCTGACCCGTTTTTTGTCTCTGTCGGGGTGGAAATTGGTGGGTCGGGCGAAGTTGAGCAAAAGCTCCGCATCGGTTTTCATGCTGTCAATGAAGGTGGAGTGGGAGTTGCTCTGTGGAATTCCGCGAGAGTGATGAGGTGACGGGTCTCTTTCTGATCGGGGGCGTTTGACCGGCCGCTCGGAATGATTGTCGGGAGTAAATAAGGGTGCGGTCGAGCGATCGGGGGAGGGCGGACGATATGATAGCGGAGCGAAAGTCGGGCTCGTTGCGAGGGCGATGGTTGCAAGTGTGTCGATGGTGGAATTTGACCGGCCATGACCCGACCGGTGATGGGAGCCGGCATCAACAGCGGCATTGCGATTCTGATTTGATGGAAGCTGGTCACGGTCAAGACTTGTGGCCCGGGTTAAATTACGCTCGGCCCACGTTGCGAGAAATTCGGTTCTAGAGGGAGTGATGGGTTCGACAGCGCGTCGCGGCGGAGGGGACGGTGTGCGGTATTGCGAAGGGCGCTTCCCCAAGGGAGTTAAAAACGACGCAGCGCTCATCATTTTCGCTCACTCGGGGTGTATCTGGGAGAGAGAAAATAGGACAGACTAGGTTGGTGGTGCGAGAGGATGCGCTTGCGGTAGGTGGGTGCAAAGCGGGGATGTTTGACCACACGGACTAGCGAGAGGCCGTCGCAGGAAGAAGGAAAGTCATTCCTGGCAGGAAGGCATTCACACGGAGGGCCGCGAGATGGATAGAGATGCTCGATGAGACGATTGGGAACGGCCGAAGAGCGGATGGGGGAGGCGATTTGCGGATGCGCTCGAGTTGAGGGGGTTCAGTCGAGCGGCGGGAGGACAAAGGCGCCGAGAATCGCGCCGCAGTCCGCGGGCAGGGAGGGAGAGCGAATCGAGCGCAATCCAGTCTGCAGGAGTGAGCTCCTGCGAACTGGATGACAAGCTGAGAATATATGGATGGATGGAACGTTTCCGGGGAGGGTGTGGGTGGTGGTCGGAGGGTGGAAGATGTCAATGCGTGAAGGAGGGAGAGTGGTAGGCCGAGTAAGTTCGCAAGGTATGTACGCGGGACAATCTGCAGACTAGACAATAGGTAATGAGGTCCTCGATCCTCCCCATACCAGTAAATTGAATCTGGTATTATAATTAGGTAGAAGAATGTTGTGCGATTCAATTGTGTCGACGGAGAAGAAATAGAAAAAAAGTCCTAGTCGAATTCACCGGCCTAATTCTACTTGCGACGAGAGCGTCGTTGGCCGAGCTGTCTCAGCTTTACCATACAGTACAGGACATTGGGAGTTCATATGATAAGATATTGCATAGATTGAGTGGTAACTCTGTCAGGTATGGTAAGATGATTAGCTCATCTCATTGAACAGTGATAGCCGCTAGACCGAATTCAGCGATGCCAAGAACTTCTCTCGTGCATTCTGCGTGTTCTTGTTCCTCTTTGCGATCTCTCTCTCCTACCACCACCACGGCTCTCGATACCCTGGGTATCTCACTCCTCATCTACTCTTCAACTTCTTCATTTTCCATAAATCTATCCGAGGATGAGCCGGAAGCTCGCTCCCGAAGCAAATCGGTAGGTGATCTCTTCTGCCCCTCTCCATCTCCGATACTCATCCGCCACAGTGCGGAGGTGTCACGGTCTCATCTGGAATCGCATCTGTTGGATAATATATGCTAACGGGTATAATTCTCGTAGGATTCTCTTCGTCAAGAACCTCAAGTACGTCTCTCTTCCATCCGCCGCAACACGCCGATCCCCCAGATTTAGCAATTCGGTCAGACATCACCTACAACTTAGAATGGACCGCTGACTTCACCTCTTTAGCTACAACGTAACAGCAGAGCAACTCTTTGACCTTTTCGGCAAGTTTGGGCCTATTCGGTATGTTATTAAAGCTTTGGACGATGGCCGGAATCTTGTCGCTGACTTTTTCTCTCTCTGTGTAGGCAAATTCGTCAGGGTATCGCGAACAACTCCAAAGGAACTGCATTTGTAGTCTACGAGGACGTACACGACGCCAAATCGGCATGCGATAAGCTCAATGGCTTCAATTTCCAAAACAGATACTTGGTTGGTATGTCTACACACTCGCTCTAGCTCGGAAGGTCAAGAGGAGATTGAGTAACAGGCATTTTAGTATTGTATCATCAGCCGGAGAAGATGCTCCGTTCGAAAGAGGATCTTGCAGAAAGACAAGAAAATCTGGAACGACTTAAACAGCAGCATGGAATAGAATGATGTGACGATATTCGGCTCTAACGATGCCCTCTGCACGCATTTGGCTGCGCATGGTGTTACAACGACTCCAATTCTATTGAATTTGGCTTGGTTGAGGGGTTACCGGCGTTTGTTTATTCCCTGGGATTTCTTCTTTATTTTCGACTTTCGCTTTTGGAAGGTTGACGGAGGTTTGATGGGTACTATTCCTTGATCCTTGTTCATGATCGGGGGGCTTTTACCGGACCCCTTTCAAACAAGAGATTAATTTCTTTTCTTTGTGCATTCTATTATCATATCCTTACTTTTGGGGATCACAATATGAATCCCCCCACTTTGCTCCGCAAACCACTTATCCAAGAGCCTCTTTACATATCTAAGTGATCTGCGAAATCGCATTGCCGTTACATAAATGGGTCAACTTGGTTCTCCAATATGTAGTAGAAGATAGGGTCCTAGGCGGTAAGGCCAAGGGCGATCCACCTTTCTGCAGGCAACGGAACCCTGAACTTGGTCATCGCAATCCCCCTTGATCAATGATTTCCACGAATACCTAGGAGGAAGCGGCACCTCAAATGAATACGCCGAGCAAATTTGGATTGCTCACTATTCCAGTAATATCGGTTTAGTTCCCAGAATAGGTAGATAGTAATCATTGGGGGCGCCTGATCTAGCCTTGTCGATCCCGTGCGGGGGCGGACACAAGACACCGCCCCCAGGCAGATTGCTGAACCTCATCGCTCCAACTCTCCCTTACTTATCTAGTCATCTTTCTAGAATCGCATTCCACGCTACTTTGTACCGGCGCTCATCTCACTTGGTACATTCAAATCCATGCTTCGGGTATAACGAGTTGCCTCGGTGCCGAATAAGCCCCAGTGGCTCCTCGCATCAACGTCATATCTCGTTCCTTGGATCGATCACATCAAAAACCGGTCCCACACCTTGCATAAACGACCATGGACGCAGATTTCACCATTTCGATGGCCGTCAAGGCATCTACCACCCTTATCGCTGCGACTTCTCCTTCACAGGCGTCGCCAACACAGCAACACATGTTATACTATCATGGAGCCACCGTCACAGGAATGGGAAATGACCAAAATGGAGAAGGTGGTGAATGCAAACTTCTAGGGCCTTTCTCCCTAATTGTTCAGGCCGCCCTTGGGGCACTGGCGCTTTTATCGTTGGTCTATAAGCGATGGAGAGAACGTCCGCAGCGGCCGCTCAAAGTGTGGGTATTTGATGTCTCAAAGCAAGTGTTCGGCTCGTTCATGCTTCATATGGCAAATCTTCTCATGTCAATGTTTTCTGCTGGTCAACTGGAGATTCGCATGGACTACACACCCAATCCTTGCTCCTTCTACCTATTGAATATTGGGATCGATGTAAGTCTGATTCTTTTTCTTCATAGACACGAAGCTAACCCCGGTGCTAGACCACTCTAGGTATCCCCATATTGATCGTTGCGCTTCGAATCTTAACATTTCTTGCTTCCTACACTCCTCTCGCCAACCCTCCAGAATCCATCGAGACCGGCAATTATAGCAATCCGCCCCGGGCATCATGGTGGTTCAAACAATCCATCATCTACTTCCTGGGTCTGCTCAACATGAAAATATGCGTATTCTTCTTGATCCAACTGTTTCCCATCATCATCAGGGTTGGCGACTGGGCTTTGCGGTGGACCGAAGGAAACACTGCCCTTCAAATTATCTTTGTGATGCTCCTTTTCCCTGTCACCATGAACGCCATCCAATACTACATAATCGACACGTTCATCAAGAAAAACATACACAGTGACTTCTTTCCCGATGATGATAGGGGCCACGCTATTGCAGATGAAGATCTTCATCGGGAAAGTCTTCTTGCTGGTATCGACGAAGCCTACTCATCCGATTCTGAGGATGATTCCGCTACAGGGAAAAGGTCACCTCTCCCAGTGTCACAGTCTAAATTAGCTATTCAGGAGTCTGAAGCTATTATGACTGAGGACCATTCGCCGGTCCCTCCTTACCTTCCTCCCAGTTCCAGTTCGAGTGGCAGTCATCGCGAACAGGACAGACAGTCCAAGTCAGCCGCATAAGTATGCGACTTGGTGATTAATTTAGTAGCGTTGGATTTCTCGTCATTGGCTTATTTTCTACGATTTCCATGTGTACACGAATACAGTATCCTCTCTCGCTCTCTCTAAATATGAATACTTTATGTACCTGATATCTATATTTCTGGTCATAAATACATATCCGTAGGTACGAAGGTAGCTACTATACGTACACGTGCATATCATAATGGTACTCCCGGGTTCACACGCCTTTCCTACACTCTTACATGTAGCTGCCACCGCTTTAGGAGGTGATGGTAACTATGAGAACTAGAGGCTTTCCGCTGCCCATTTCGCGCGACGCGTACTTAGGTCGAACAAATAAGATACTGTATACTAGTATATTTTCTACTGTATCTACTTAGTCTCCTACTCAAGTGCCTACCTGACTACTTGTTCAGGGTACCTACTTGAGTAATATGTACATAGGTGCCTGTTTAAGGTATCTAGTCAATGTACCTACCAAGAGGCAGATACCTAGAGCCTTGAAGCCAGAATACTCTAGTAAGTGACAGCTATACAATAGTAGTAGGTACTAGATAGTCAATAGTAAGAACTACAGGTGTAAATGGGTACTTCTGCAAATTTGATCAAGTCTAGGCAGTAAGCCAAATCTAAAATATCCTTTTAGACCGTTATTTTCCGGCGCATTGTCGGTCTTCAAACATCGCCACGATAATAGCTAATCTTCTTAAACTTACAGTGACAGCCAACTCTACATAAAAGTCACATGTTGGTCTCGTACGCAGTCACCGCGGGCTCCGCAATCCTCTCCAGTGGTCCTCTTTCCATCTTGATCTGATAGGATCTCGATTTGAAGATGTCGAAACTACCCCTGTATACACAGAACCCACTCAAAATGATTGCACGAAGCCATCAAGCGATGCTGAACGTCTCGCTTTAGATATCTTTCTCACTGGAAAGCTTGAAAATCTTATTAACATATTGGTAGGCACAGAACGCACTTTGGCACGCTATTGGTAAGAGCTACGGTCTAATAGAACGAGTTACTTTTGGACTATCAGAACCAAAGACCTATAGTGTATGTTGCTGGCTTGGTCACTTCTGAGCTTTGTCGGGCCCCAGCAAATTCGATTCCAGTCGCGCTTTCTCCTAACCCACATATTAGATCGGGCATACATCCTCTACTACGAGGCCGATATCACCACCAAGCTTCCGAATAGGCTAAGGAACCTAAAGCATGTAACAACTCCCATGGAATGGCCTACAATTTGGCGGAAAAACTGCCATACAGCCCTATGATACATTCTCTGACCGACTCGCCGTCGAGCTAGTGGCACTGAGTGCCTTGTATTCTCACAGGGCCTTGAATCTATCATCTGGTACGGACAGTGTCAATAAACACAGTAGCAAACGAACCCATAAACACCAAGACAGCGGACCAGATAAATCAAGCCGAATTGGACAATGCACCTAATTGTGGTCTTGAAGGACGAATTGGTTATCAAATATAATACATTGATGGTCGCCGCTCTTGACTTGCTGAATAGTCGTTAAATACCTATCAATTAGCAATCCATCGTGAAAGCGCATCAACATAAAATGGTGTTGTACAAGTAAAGTCATTCTCGAAATCGGCTTGATCAAGAGTGTCTTGTTTATCCTTTTTGGCCCCACCACCAATGTGTTGTCATTGTTTCGAAATGCATTTCTACAATTCGATTGGCCCATTGAATCTTCTCATAAGTCAAGATTGAGTAGACACTTCATTGGATTCTGATGAATAAATAAGAACCAGCCGTCAAGCGTTGTATGTAGTAGGTTATCTCTTCGGTTGGTAAGTTATCAGATCCGCTGTTGCCTTAGGCATGAAGTTTACTTGACCGTCAAACTCACCGCCCTTTTTTGCCGTCATTGCAAAAATCAAAGCGAAAAATATTCCAATCCCGCTCCGCAAGCTTCAGATCGCCGATCGCAGTTGTGAATTGTGACGGAACGAAGGATCTGTCTTTATTCAACACCAGAATATTGGAAAATTCATAATGCCTCAAACTCGACTGAAGGAAAAGACGAAGCGGGCAGCCGCTCCGTCTGAGAACCCTCTGATGAACCAGCAACCGGTCGACGACATTGAGATGGACGACGAGACTAGCTCCGACGAGGAGGACTTCCCTGAGAAGGATGAGGCCGAGTTGAAGCTGGAGCGCATGCTATTTGGTGACGACGAGGGGTTCATGAGCGCATTGAAGAGCCAACAGGAGCGAGCTGATGCTATGCAGCTTACCCTGCACAGTGATGAGGAGAGTGGAAGCGGTGATGAGGGTGCGGAGGATGACTATGAAGCAAATGTTGAGGATATGGCCGATGCAGATGTATGCAGCCCCACTCGATCTTCTGCCTGAGCTTCAACTTGCGAAACAATGCTAACTCTTAATTGTTGATAGCTCTTTTTCCTCGACTCAGGCGTTGCACCCGAAACTACCAATCTTATTCCCTCACCGGAGACTCCGTCTGATGATGAAAATGAGCAGACTTCTCCTGCAATCTGGCACGACAGCGATGATGAACGCCTTGCGGTCTCGCTCGGAAGCCAGGCCAAATTGCGCAAATTGCGTGTGTCTGAGTCCGAAGATATTGTCAGTGGCAAGGAGTATACTCGCCGACTGCGCAGACAATTTCAACGCATGCACCCCACTCCCGATTGGGCGAACCCAGAGCTGGTCGCTTTGCGCCGCCAGGAAAACTCGGACTCCGATGACGAAATGGATTCAGATGGAGAGGATGAGCAATTATCTATGCAGCCACTGGCTAAGCTGCTTCAAAATGCCACCGATCTCACCCGCATTGAAGACAATGCAGGCTCCGGAGGCAAGCGCAAGCTCCGGCAGGAAGTCTTGGATATCCAACGTCTTAAGGATGTTGGCAAGACACAGCCAGTAAGATCTTTTTTATGCTTAACATGAGTATTTGGCTAACCAGTAGTTTTGCAGTCCTCCGTCGACTCGCTCAACTTCCACCCTCACTACCCTCTCCTGCTTTCATCCGGCCCTGCGTCAACTCTTTTCATGCACCACATTTCTCCTTCAGCACCATCTCCCAACCCCCTTCTGACCTCTTTGCACATCAAGCGCACCCCGATCCACACATCCGCCTTTGCACCGCCGACGGGTAACAAGATCTTCGCCTCTGGTCGGCGACGATACTTCCATATTTGGAACATGGACACCGGCAAAGTGGACAAAGTCAACGGAACCGCAGACCGAAAAGAGGAACAAAAGTCCATGGAGCGCTTCAAGCTCTCCCCATGCGGCCGTTATGTCGGTCTGGTTGGCACAGCGCGCAAGGGCGGTGGTCTGATCAACGTCCTCGACTCCAACACCGCTCAGTGGATCGCACAGGTGCGCGTCGACGGTCGCGGCGGTGTCGCCGACTTCGCCTGGTGGTCAGACGGCGAGGGAATGACAGTCGCCAGCAAGAACGGAGAGATCTCCGAGTGGGATGGCCGACAACGCCGCGTTGTGGCTCGCTGGCTCGACGCCGGTGCTGTCGGTACCACCGTCCTCACTTTGGGTGGCCTCTCAGGCCGCACCCAGCTCGGCGGAGATCGCTGGGTTGCTGTCGGCAGTTCTAGCGGTGTTTCCAACATCTATGACCGCCGTGACTGGGCTGTTGCATATGCTAATGCCTCGCAAGCTGAAAAAGATGGTCCTTCGCAGGGTGGTATTCCGCGGAGCCCGACCCCGACGCGTGTGTTGGACCAGCTTACCACCCCTATTAGCCATCTGGTTTTCGCTCCTGATGGCCAGATGCTGGTTATGGCGAGTCGCTGGAAGCGCGATGCGCTGAGACTTGGTACGATACCCCTGCGTCTATCTGATCCTATCCTCTTCGGACTCCTTGCTAATTATGTTTCTTTAGTCCACCTCCCATCTTGCACAGTGTACCGCAACTGGCCCACCTCCAACACCCCATTGGGCCGTATCTCCTCCGTGGCTATTTCGCCGAACTCAGAGCAATTGGCCATCGGAAACGAACAGGGCCGTATCCGTCTCTGGGAGATTAGAGGGTAGATATACGCTATAGAATTTAAGGTTCCTTGGCGGTTGCTTCTTACTCCAACATCTTGTTATATTTATTGTATATTCTGGCGTCAATGATCAGCATACTCATGTTCCTGGATACCGCGTGAATGCATGTATTTGTGGAGCATACCATACTATCATACATAACTATCAATGTTCGACAATCTGTTGGGTACCCGGTCAAGTCTGGTTGGGAACCAAATAAAAATTATCCTTTACGCATGGCTTCTACTTTAATACCCAGAAATTCATGTTTATAAGTTGAAGTACATACAATTTTAGCTACCAACAGTAAAATAGCGCATATCGGAAGATCGCCATGTTTTAGTTCTTATATTCCACCTGGGCATAGGTATGATAAGGGGGAAGACCTATACATGTCTGGCTCAGGAAAATTAAAGTTAATTATCGGGTTTGTTATACACAATCAATCTGTACATATAACTTCAGGAGTTTGCTTGGCACATCCCATATGCATTATTCCGAAATCTTACGTCCTACATATGCACTATGTTTTGATATTTACATAGTACATGCACAGATTCAAGCATTAAGAATTCGCTGTTGAAACTTGTGATTTGTCTATTGCAAGGTATATATTAGCAACATTTGAAGATTTTCTCATTCCCAGATTCGAGGTTCTAGAAAAAGTGAGATCAAAGACACGCCAGACACTCAATCCAGAAGTGGAGTTCATCACAAGCGAAGAAATCAAATGCGCCAATGATAGGCTAGGTAAATTGGGGTCATGGTATCATGCCGTTCATGTCAGAGATCCCGGCGAAAGCAAAGTAGGGAGCGTGTTTAAAGATGCGACCTTAAGTCTATGTCCTTCAAGGTCTGGTGTCATGTAAATCAATGAAAAATATAAGAAGGGGGGTATATAGTCAGCGCAGAAGAAAATAGTTAGCGAAGAAAGAAGAAATTGATGCCAGTAGGAAGCGGTCGGATGAGTGAGGGGAGAAGTCACTCTCCAGGTCCAGTGGAGGCCCATCGGGGTATTCGTCCAGGTTCACCGATCCAATCTTTGATGACGCAGGTTGACTTGTCCGGACCCTGGCATACCTTGATCCGATTGAGGTGTTTGAACCGGGGACCAAGAGGCCCGTTCACGTAGTGGTATTGTCCAGCGAAACGGTACTGGCGAGTGTCACCAAGTGGGTAGAATTTGTCGCCCCAGTGGCCTCCAAAATAGAACCATTCTGTGGGGGATGTGGGAGTGGTGGTAGATGCACGTAGTGTGTCGTTGGCATAGTCATATGTATATGCATGAGAGTTGAGTAAGGGGTCCCAGAGTGGGCCTCGGTCCGTGACGTCGTGGAGAAGGCCCCATGGAAGAATGTACGGATGCACGTCTGGTGTGGCGTACATTGCATGGCTCCCCTCGGCGGAATAGATGACAGGCTGTAAATGGTTATTATCGGTTCAATTGAATGGTGCATGAGGAAGGTTTACCCGTTTTCCGATCTTCTCCACTGCTTCATATCTATAAGCTTCGCCGGCCGTGTGCGCGCTGAAAAATAAGGCTTTGGGCTGGCCATTGTGGAATCGCACGAGGCAGTGCTCCCAGTCACCGACATGGTTACCGAATCGCACATTGGCGACTGCGTTTCCCAGGTTGAAGCTGTAGAAGAAGAACCAAAAGGCGTCCACGACTCCATGACCCTTATCCATCACCAGTAGAATCGCGGGGGCGTCGCTGCGGCCTCCGGCCTCGTTCGGAAGAGGCGCTTCGACCTTTTTGCCCTCATATCGTCTTCGCAGCTCGTTATGGATGTATTTTTGTGCTGTGGAAGATTCTTGCATCGACTCTTGTGTATCGTGGGTGCGTTCAATTTGACTCAGGTCAAACCATTTGGCCCGATCCTCCTCCGTGTCACCCGGAATTTGGCCATCCACCCGACCATCCCAATCAGCCCATGATTGTTCCGTCCCACCTTTCGACTCGGGAATATTCTTGTCGCCTTCTAACCAAGGCGGGCGGGTCTGCACATTATCGTTGCTGGTCAGGTAGACATGGCGGGGAGTCCACTGATTGAGTTGATTCAAGTCTTTCAGAGTGGGATGATCCCATTGAGCCTGAATAGGAGTGTAATTGAGCATCGGCGTGGTGTGGTACAAATGCTCCGCGATATCACCGGGCCAAAATTGTTCCCCGGAGTAAAGATGAACAAGTGGGGCATAATCAAAAACATAGTCGGGGATCTCCCGCTTAGCCCGCTCGTCAGCATCCCACTTTGATTGATTAGCCCCGCCAAGCCAGAATGACCGCCAGGGTTTGGTATCGTCGACCTCCTCCGACCTTTCAACTGGCTCACGCTCACCGAACGGGCCGTGAGCCGTTTGGAAATGTGCAGCGCCGCAGATGCTAAGCCAACGACAGCTTTTGCGATCGAACCAGGAGCGCGAGCTTGCGATCCAGCTCACCTCCTCCCGATCCTCAGCGTACCATACGAAGGAAGCTGGGCGGAACGCGCGGAATAAACTGTTCAGAGAGACATAAATGATCAAGGTCGACAAGGCCGCAATGGTTACCTGGGCCTTGCGAGTCATCTGCTCAAGGCAATCGGGTAAGATTGCCAGTGTGGACCGGTCAAAAAGCTCATGGAGGGACAGATCCTCAAGAATCCCGGTTTGACACAGGATTGTCAATGCAGGGAACCGACGATAAGGCTGAGGATCATGCCGGGGGGAGGGGAGGAAGGGAAGAAATCTATGGGACGGGAAAGGAAAGCAACACAGCAGGATTGGGGGAAAGAAGTATAAATCTCTAATACATGTTTGACCGGGCTATCCGCCAGCTTAGCTTCCCCTCTTTTAAGAAAAATCTCGGATAAAAAGACTTTTGGGTAAAAATAACGAAAAGAGTCTCGCACAAACTCCAGCGTATCCGGGAACGTGCGGAAACCAAACGACCTGGCCAGACCGGAACGCGATCGACATGCCTTAACATCTAAACGGAAGGCTCGGATACTTACGAAGAAGTTACGAACACATGATGTCCTATTACCGGACGTATTTTTGATTTTCAAATCCGAGTGGTTCTGTTTTGTGCTGGAAAGATAAGTGAGGGGGTCAAGCATAAGGCTGAAACTCCGGGTTTAGGGCCTTAAAGGGTTCAACTGAGGGGCCAATGTAGATCATAGATTTTGCGCCATCTTTGCTAATTATGCCAATTATGCTAATTATGCCATTTTGTGTATGAATGAGCAACCCAATTTTTTGATTCAAACATGATCCAAAGGATAGTGATTTAGATTTCGCTAAAATTTGCCAGAAACCCCCGAAGAAACCAATGTCCAGTCTTTGCCACCGCTAAAACGAAGTGGAGCTTGTGAAGGAACGAAAACAACCAAGCTAAATCGGGTTAATACAAGCGGCAAAAATTACCTTCCTTTCACCTTCCTTCACACCGCCTTTTGGTTCATTATTCACCGCTTTATGGATTCTGCTGACTCAGACCTATCTTATCGCAAAACACTTGCATATTGCAGAAAATCCCTTGAATACAACCATGGATTCCGCAATAGAAGTGGACTCAGATGAGTATGAATATGAGTACCATGAAACTGAGATAGAGGTGAGAAATACCAACTTTTTACTTTTTCTTGTTTTCGTCCTGGCTTCTTGTGATCTCAACTGACACCCCTTAGAGCTTTTATCTAAACCTAGACCTCACATCCGCCAATGGCCCAATCCGCCCTCCCCGCAAGTGGAATGAGGATCCACAAGAGCCATATCCTGTGAATGAACCTCGTGAGGGCCTCAATGACCCTGTCGACGATGATACATATGCAACTCTTGACAACGCCGAGGCGGGAACGTTGCCAGGCGAGCGAATCCAGATCCTCGGCCTCCACACGTGCAACCCGATTATTTCCTACCAAAATCAAATCTTCAGCTGCTCCTGGGCCGATCAGATCGGTACCGAGCTAGTCTTTACCCATCCAGATATCGCTCCTGACACGGACTACCCACCCCTGCGACAGGGTCCTAGCTTCGAGCTGCTCGCCGCCAATAGTGTCAAGATTATGGGCCGCAAAGCGAACATCATCTCCAGCTCTGGGCCAAGATTGGTCCCCGAAAATGCCAATACTTCCAACTCTATTCCAACCAATACGGACCTATCCAATCCATTACCTGCAGATCCAGCGGGTATGACCCTCGGACCGGAAATCTCGACACACCAGTCCAGCTTCATCCAGCGGTTGCAGCGCATTAAGCACGCACATGGTGAGGCAGATGCTGTGCGCACAATCATGAGCACCCGGCGTAATGCGACCCTTGCCGACCGTTTGAACGCGTGGGCTCGCACCGAAGCTCAAGTGGCCGAGATCGCCAGCTTGAATGAGCGGGCTGCGAATGGAGAGGAGGAGGCGCTGGATATCCTGGAGATGATGATTCGCCGACTTGATGAGAATGACTCCCAGAATGCCTATTGAGGGCCATCGGTCCGATTTCCCGGATTAGGTCACTGATTTTCTTATCGCTGATCGGGATCAAAGAAACCCTACGGGGCCCCGGGTATTCGGCCCAAACCTATGATCTCATAGTGATTTTCGTTCGGGTCACGTGAAGTTATTGGGGACCTTCAATCTTCCCATATTTACATCGTGTTGGAGGATGTTGCAGTTCCAGGCAAGCGTTTCTTACCGAGCTTGCTTACAATGGCTCCATCAAGGCCGCCCTCCCCATTCAATATGAAGGCATTGGGGGGCCCAATGCAGGTCCTTTCATCCATGGGACAACGGTGATTCCCCTTTTCGGACCACGCTGCCCCACCGGAGCTCTCATTCAACCCGATAATAACCAGAGAATAGCAATTGCTATGCAATAAGCTAAATGCCTGGTCACGTCATTCCAAATGTCCACACTTCCTGTGACGAAAGAATCAAGATCCAGGTACATACTCCGAACTCATCAAGACCTGTATGGTCGGGATCTCTTCAAGCCAATCCTAGCCAGTCCAACAGATCTAAACACTGCATCCCCCACAATCAGTGTCATAAACTGCCTAGTTTCTCCTAGGTATTTGTGACGTCGTGATCGGCAGTTGGTTCACATGTGCTAACTCCCGTGGTCTGATCGGCCCCCACTCGAAATATAATGGAAGAAAACTTCGTTGCTTGGGTGTACAGAAAGACCGAGGCCTGTCGTACCGTCTACTTCCAATTGGTGTGATCAAAATGTACCTCGCTAGACTAGGAAACGTTCGCAGCCGGGGAGTCCGGTGGATCCACGTATTTTTGTCAAAGGCTCCACTAGCCATGCACCGAAGTGACTAGCACACTACTAGAAGCTCACTATAAGCGAAATTAATGCACTTTCCACCTTTAATTACCCGTGAGATCATAAACATGTAATTCAGAAGAAGTGGATCCCCTCAACAGCGACGAAAATCCTTGATCCCTACGGGGTACCGTATCCACTTGTCCAGACAAAGAAACAACGGAATCCAAAAAATGAAATGTTATCAATTGCAAGCTAAGCCGAGGGAATTTAAAACACCACACCCGCCAAAATTTTCTGTAACCAGACCTAAACCCAAAACAAAGAAAGTAGTAGTTGGAAAAAAGAAAAGAAAAAAAACGCAAAGCAAAGCCCAGGTCCTTTGCCTCCTAGACCGGAATGGAATCCACGCCACGCTAATGCAAAGTAAAAGAGAAAAAGAATAAGAAAACAAAAACCATCGCGATGGATCCCGATAGAAACGCAACGAGGATTAAAAATGTACTCGTTGCCGACGGAGCCCCCTGCTCCTATCCCAGGCCTCGTGTAACATTATCGAGGACCATCGAATTCATATGTCGCAAACGCTCATAGCCTGCTGAGAAAGAGAAGAAAGATGTGGAGAATGAGCAAGCATGATTTGGCGATGCTGCACTTGAGTATTATTTATGTTTACTCAAGGCTGAGATTTGGGATCTTTTCGTGCTTATTTGATGCTTTGCCGTTGCTGTCGACGGCAAAGTAGACGGGTGATGGAGGTGGAGCAGGGGGCATGCCGTCTTCGAGCTTCTTGGAAGATTTGCTGCCCATCATGGACTGGGTAGCTTGCGAGAAGGACGCTAGGGCCTCGGAGGAGATGGGTGGGGCGAAGGAGATAGTGGACGAGGGAGTAGCGATGGAAGTCATCGTGGAGTTTGGTTTGAAAGTGAGGTTGAGTGGAGAGGTAAAGAAGGTGTGGAAATTTTGTAGGAGTAGAGTGGAGCTGGGGGAGCTTGTATTTGTAGGTTTGAATATGGTGTGATACCTCGGTAACGAAAAAAGTGAGGCGAATTGATGATGAAGCTCGTTGAGATTCGGAAGTTGAAACCTGGGGATCTTCAGTCTGAATAAGTGATTGTCGTTAGTTAATGTGGATGGATCTATGGAGTTTGCTTTGTGGTTCTTCCGAAACTGCCCGAGGGTTTTTTTTTTTCGGATCGGAACTGGGGGCAATGTATATGTTGTGACAAGCTTTTGCTTGCCGAAAAGGATTTAACTTACGAAGTTCAAGAGTTTCAGGAAATCACTGGTTATGAGAAAAAGGGGAGATGGTGAGGCTAGAAGTGAGAGGAAATATCTTGGGGGAGAAGATAAGAGATAAATAGTAAGCGGGTTAGAATCCGAGTGAATAAGAGATGTACACGTTTGTTGGCTTGAGTGATAAGGGTCTGAGAGCTGGGGAGAGTGAAAAGGAAGAGTCTGGATGGACACTTGGACTACAATTATACTCTCCCTTTCCTCCCTTTTCTTCCTGTACAAATCATTTTGTGGAGTAAACATGAATCAGAAATTACCCGGTACCAATCTTTTTTAACAAAGATCGTCTTAGCCAAGCCCGATCGCCTCATTCTCCTCCATATAGCAGGGATGGGGACCTTTTCCGGAAGGGCGGAATACCCGCCCTCTACCATCCTCATCCCTCCGGGGAAGTTGTAAAGTCGACGCGTTGCAAGTGTGGGGAAGGGGGACCCATCCAGGATCCATTCAGGACCCATTCAAGACCCAGGGGGCAATACAAAAAAGTCGATGGATCAGCTCTTCTCCGGGGTTATGGGCCACTAGTTTGGCTCCTTGGGGGGGCTCCGGGGAATCGGGACTAGAATGCCGTGCTCAAGGATTGGCCGTCCAATTTTTGTATTATGGAAATGGAAAAATGAAAAAACAGAGCTGAACGGTGGAAAATTGAAATCCTTCTAGCATCCTTCTATAATCTACCGGAGAAAAGTCGGTCTCGGCACGGTGATCCTCCCGACAACCAACCTGTCGGGGTGTACAAACTAATTAGGATTAGTTAAATGAAGTCACGACAATGGAGCACAGAATATATAGTAAATTTACTTAATCATATTGAATCGACTGGTGGTTTCGTGTTATGTTTCACATGGTACAGGGGGACTACGCACATCCCGTTATAACATTTGGACATGAGTGGACAAACGGAATAGCGGTGGAAGTCCGATTTATAGTTTATCCGTCTGAATCGGGATTTTATTGTCTTAGTGCAGGTCTAGGCTATGATCCACAACATTGGAAAGATTTTGCTTTCCCCAGATTCAAGGGGCTTTACATAGTACACGCTACTATTTAAATCTCCTGCAATGTACTCTCCACCATTTTCAAGGGGAATTGGAATTTCATATCCTCATGGGAATTTTGGGGTTAACCCCAGCCCTGGCCCCAGCCCCAACCCCGGCCTCGGATTTCCTGGTTCCTGGGACTCCGTCACATCGGCCACATTCTCCGGGGAATGGAGGATCTGGAAATATGGGAATATAGGATCGGGGACATGATTTGTATTTCCTGTTTCCTGTTTTGTGTTGTTTGTTGTCCTTTATCTACTACCTAGGTATATCCCGGGATTATATCACATTCCTAGATTACAAGTCTTGCACTATCAGTCGGTCTGGAGCTCCTTATACTACACCGCATCAACGCCATGACCAACTGTGCGTTGTTCAACCGGGTCCGGAGTACAAGTCATCAAAATGCATGCACGTCAGCCCGTGTACTGGTACTTAATCTGTTACCTCCTCATGACTGATGACTGAGTAGGGAACGAGTTCCACGTTGGTGTTGTGTAGGTGTTGACGTTGATGCCTTGGGCAGATGTCCAAAGGATATCATGGAGATCTTAGCAACATTCCTTGGGCACTGACAACCTAACATGGGGAAGCTCAGGGCACTTTCAGGGGTAAGCTATCTCGCAAATCTTGGACTTCGCTTCCCTCCCATGTTTTCTTTCGGGTTTCTTTCAAATACCTGGAAGACATCACCCGACCACCCCAGAAGGTTCCCCTTGACGTCCCTTCCCGGGTCGGACATTGGGCATTTGCATGGTTTTACAAGGGCAGATTGATCCCCATGACCGAACCCGAGAAGGACATCCCGTGGGATCCCCCTCTGTCGTGTTCCCCCAAGCTGTGAGTCACCGAAAATGTCGAAGTTGACTCCAAATGGGGAAGACCTCACAATTTCTCGGGACGGAATATCCTTTCCCCTTAGAGGAAAAGGCCGTTACCTCATCTTCCGCCGGTCGGGAGTGCCTTCCAATCGCGACCTCGCCGAGCAGAATCGTTATCACGTAAGGCCCCGCCGGGCTTGGGGGGCTTGGTGAAGATTCTGCAAGGTTCCGTTGGAGCATGACTGCAATGATTCGCTATGGGGAAGAAAACGTGCGAACTGTCCTTGGATCGAAAGTGGGCTTTACCCCGCATGGAAGATTTCAGGTACCGGCTAACTAGTTAGTTTAGAATGTGTAGCCGGGCCGGTCTAGAAATGGAAGAGATGAAGGAAAATTTCTGACTAAATCGCTCAGTGATTTTACCTCATCTTGCGAAAATCCCCCGGACTATGAAACTTCGATCATTATTAAACTTGGTCAGGCTGGGGTAAAATAAGTTCAAGATGTGAATTGCGGCATTTAATACCTTCTTTCGTCTTTTTCATGACACATCGCATTCCATGTTTGACATCAATCACCTCATTTTGCGTAGAATATAGCATTATACCACGTAAAATTAACTACAAAGGCTCCAGGGCTGTAAGTAATGTGACCATCTCAGGTGATCTTTAAATCCAGTAGTTCGTAATTGACTTCCCTCTTTTGGATCTGTTTTCTCTCCGCCACTTGGGCACCTTATCAGTTGAGCCTTTTTTTAGTGTATTCTGTGTTGTTTTTAGTCCGGACTACTCGGAGTAGGAGCGGAGTAAGGCTAAACTAGTTTCATCGTATCAGTAAATCAATTCCACTGAGGCAATTCTTTCTCTATTTTCGGCCCGCATGACGCAGCGGGATTTTCCAGTCGGCTTTACGCTCGGTATGAGGGGCGTTTACTGCCAATCAGCAACGCGCCTATCGCCGGTTCTTAGTCATTAGCATTGACCGGGTGGAGTTGCGGATCAAGGGCCTTTCGAGACCTTTCAGATCATGTTGGATTAGGTCGCCTAGCATCGGCTTTGCTTTTACAGGTTTTTACATTTGGATTTTTATCATTTTTATTATTATTTAATAATTTAATTGATTGGGAAATCCATGGTTTTGATGGAATTATTTAAAGAAGTCAGGATTCCCCGGATTTTCTTTAGCTTCACATACATCCTTCCCCCTTCGATCATTTAGATCTATACAATCCCGTCAGTCCATGGCGACAGTAAGTTCTACACCCCTTGCCTGTTATCTTTCCCCACCTGGTTTATCTCTTCTCTACACCGGTTCCAATCTTAAGGTTCCTTGGTTCCACTTGGAATGAGAAATTCCAGTCCCAAACTAAAGCTTCACTGCAAATCCCCGATAAGCGCGCATTCTTCAGAATCCTTATCTGCCTCCACGTGCCCATCCAACTGACTCTTTAACGTAGCGTTTTGTTCTTTCTTCAATCTAGAGTCTTCAGACAATGTCTTCACCTATTCCCACCACCCCATCGGAGGCCACCAATGGTGCCTCCATACCTTCCCGCCCATTGCCTAAGCTCTTCGCAAGTCAAGATGGCAGCTCTGGCACAGGCACCCCAATCGGTTTCCAGCGATTCCCCCACAATAAGCACCTTGATCATGCCGTCGGGGCTGCTCTGCGGCAACCGTCGCCCCAGCCCACTCATCTAGGTGTGCCGGGTACCCCTCACCGTATACTCTCGGAGGAAGACCCGGGGTATATCGCCGCCACCTTCGAGGGCAAGCAGAAGCAGATGGAGCAAGGTTAGCATAACTCGCAGACTTGAGACGCCTACGACAACTAATCATTGCGCAGTGATGGATCAATTGGAGGAGAAGGGATTCTTCCCCAGTGACTTCGTCATCTCCGAAACCACCTGGTTTTATAACATGCTGGGTATCGATGATACCTACTTCCAGACCGAGAGCGTCGATGCCATCGTGACCCAGATCCTCTCCCTCTATGCCGCCAAGGTTGCCGCCTATGCTCGTGATGATAAGCAGCTTGAGATCCGCTTGGACAAGGAGGCCGAGGACCACGCCGTCTACATTGATACCAGCAGGCCTGGTGTCTCTTCAGTGGATGGTCCCCGTTACGAACAGCGCATCGATGAGAAGTACATCAACACTTCCAAGGGCGCGAACAGCTACCGTGTTGAGACCTTCCGCTCGCCCTCTGCTCTCCCGGGCAACAACGGACAGCAGCTCCGTTGCTACTTCGTGTACAAGTGCCAATTCGCCAACCCCAACCCCGACCCGAATGAGACCGACATTGAAATCATTGGTGAGAAGCGCTTCCTGCAGAAGGCCACCCCCAACACCAAAGCGATCTACCAAGAGATCATCACTACCGCCGTCGGCCGCACTGGCCCAGTGATTGAGATGTTCGAGATCGAGGGCAGCCGGGAGAAGCGCCTGGTCATTGCTTACCGCCAAGGTTCCGCTATGGGCCTGTTCAGCGCCCTGTCAGATCTGTATCACTACTACCGCCTGACTAGCTCGCGCAAGTACCTCGAGCACTTCTCCAACGGGATCACCATCGTTTCCCTGTACCTGCGCCCCTCAGAGGGCTCAGAGATCTCGGCCAAACACCCTCCAATTGAGGCTGCCATCCACCAAATCATGAAGGAAGTCTCCCTTCTGTACTGTATCCCCCAGAACCGGTTCCAAGCACACTTTGCCACTGGTCGTCTCAGCTTGCAGGAGACCATCTACGCTCACTGCGCGTGGGTGTTTGTGCAACAGTTCCTGAACCGTCTCGGCTCAGAATATATCTCTCTGTCCGCTCTCCTAGACACCAACAACAGTGTTCACGCGGAACTGCTCTCCAAGATCAAGAAGCGTCTGCGCACGGAAACATTCACTGCGGACTACATCTTCGAGATCATCAACAACTACCCTGAATTGATTCACAAGCTCTACTTGGACTTCGCCAACACCCACTACGTACAGACCCAGGGCCCCACTGGAGATGACTTCCTGCCCACCCTCAGTTATTTGCGTCTCCAGGTCGACGAGGTGCTGGATGGAGCCAAGCTGAAGCAGCTGATCCGAAGCACCACAATGAACGAGCACGACGAGATGGTGATGACTTCCTTCCGTGTCTTCAACTCGTCCATTCTCAAGACCAACTTCTTTACTCCCACCAAGGTGGCCTTGAGTTTCCGCCTGAAGCCGGACTTCTTGCCGGAGCACGAATACCCCCAGCCCCTCTACGGCATGTTCTTGGTCATTAGCTCAGAGTTCCGCGGTTTCCACTTGCGATTCCGGGATATTGCCCGTGGAGGTATCCGTATTGTGAAGAGTCGCAACAAGGAGGCATACAGCATCAATGCTCGCTCGCTGTTCGACGAAAACTACAATCTGGCCAACACCCAGCAGCGCAAGAACAAGGATATTCCCGAGGGCGGTGCCAAGGGTGTCATTCTCTTGGATGTGGCTCACCAGGACAAGGCGCGGGTCGCCTTCGAGAAGTACATTGACAGTGTCTTGGATCTGTTGTTGCCACCCGTCAGCCCCGGTATCAAGGACCCCATCGTGGATCTGCACGGCAAAGACGAGATTCTCTTCATGGGTCCCGATGAGAACACTGCTGAGCTGGTCGACTGGGCCACCGAGCATGCTCGTGCCCGTGGTGCTCCTTGGTGGAAGTCCTTTTTCACTGGCAAGAGCCCCAAGCTGGGCGGTATCCCCCATGACGCCTACGGCATGACTACTCTCTCCGTGCGCCAGTACGTTCTCGGAATCTATCGCAAGCTTAACATTGATCCTTCCACCATGCTCAAGCTGCAGACCGGTGGTCCCGATGGTGATCTCGGCTCCAACGAGATCCTGCTCTCCAATGAGAAGTATGGTGCGATTGTTGATGGATCTGGTGTGATTGTCGACATGCAGGGTCTTGACCACCAGGAGCTGATCCGTCTCGCCAAGAAGCGTGCAATGATCTCCGAGTTTGACGTGTCGAAGCTCTCCCCCGTTGGTTACCGGGTTCTGGTGGACGAGAAGAACGTCAAGCTCCCCAGCGGCGAGGTTGTGCACAACGGTATGAACTTCCGCAACACCTTCCACCTGCGTCAGGAGGAGAAGTTCGACGTCTTCGTGCCTTGCGGTGGCCGCCCCGAGTCTATCGATTTGTCGACTGTCGGCAACCTTATCCAGGACAACAAGTGCATTATTCCTTACATCGTCGAGGGTGCCAACCTGTTCATCACCCAGGACAGCAAGCTGCGCCTGGAGAAGGCCAACTGTATTCTGTTCAAGGATGCCTCTGCCAACAAGGGTGGTGTGACTTCCTCGTCCCTGGAGGTTCTTGCCTCTCTGTCGTTCAACGACCCCGAGTTCGTCGCCAACATGTGTGTGGGCGAGGACGGTACCGTCCCCGAGTTCTACCAGGCCTACGTCAAGCAGGTGCAGGAGATCATCAAGGACAACGCCAACCTCGAGTTCGAGGCTATATGGCGCGAGCACGAGCAGACCGGTGTGCTGCGCAGCGTCTTGAGTGATCGTCTCAGCTTGGCCATCACCAAGCTTGATGAGGAACTCCAGCAGACCGAACTTTGGGACAACGTTGCCCTTCGTCAATCAGTTCTAGGTGACGCCTTGCCTCGCCTGCTGCTGGACAAGATTGGTCTTGAGACCATCTTAGAACGCGTATGTTTTTACTCCATTTATTTTGACATGATCCATACTAATCTTCTTAGGTTCCCGAAAACTACCTCCGTGCTATTTTCGGTAGCTACCTGGCTAGCCGATTCGTGTACGAGTATGGCAACCACCCGAGCCAGTTCTCCTTCTTTGATTTGTAAGTTCATTCCCTTACTCCCGCTTAACATATACTGACGGCCTACAGCATGACCAAGCGTTTGCAAAAGATCCAGTCGTAGGATATCTACTCATGACTGTTCGATTTTCATTTTCTTTGATTTTCTTGTGCGACTGAACTTCCTATGCCCGTCATGATAGGACCTGATGCAAAAAAGAAATATACTTAATACAAGGCAGTCGACAGACTGTCTCTATGACGAATATATGGTTGAAACAGATTCCAGAATATCCCAATTCAATTGGCATCATGTCCCCAACAGAAGGGGCAAGTGCATTTAAAATCCGCTCTCTCTCATAATGTAATTGTCTCATGGTCATCAAAAATCGTCAACACATATGCTATGCTAGTTTGTCCTCATCCGATATTCATGCTTGACAGACTCCGCCAAAATAAGTACGATACTCGTCGCCTGCATAATATCAGCATCACAATCAACATTGGATTTATCTCAAGTCAACTCACCAGTAACAGATCCACTCCCTCTGCAACCTCAACCTCCCATTTCGGCGTAGGTCCTGACAGATTATAATCCAAGATCTTCTCTCGCCGAACATGAATAATCCTTTTCTCCCCCATCATCACGGCCGCAAAAGTGCTACTCTGCTGCACAAGCTTAAGCTCCACTTTAGTATTTATCGCGCCTTCCGAGCGCGGTCTCGGCGACGACAAAGAAGAAGACGACGCCGGCGCCGGTTCCCCAGGAGGTTCAATAGCATCAAGTAGATCCCGCAACGAATGACTCGAGAACCGACGCATTCGTCGAACAGAATCGTAAGAAGGAAGAGGACAATCTCGCTTCTCATCATCATCCGAGAAAGAATCATCACTCTCAGTCCCACTCCCTCCACTCCCCCCTCCCCCTCCACTTCCACTTCCACTCCCACTACTCTGCTGCGCCTGATCCTCCGCCATAACATGACTATAAGGCGGAGGATGATGATGGTCGGGATGTTCGTAATGCGGCAAATTTAAATTCGCAATCCCTCCCGACACAGGATCGCGCTGCGGTATCCTAGTGCGTAACGACCGAAGCTCCCCCCGTCGACTATAGGGCGAATGACCCAAACTGAGACTGCGATTATGGCGCCGATTCCGAATAGCCGTTCTATTCATTTCGGCCATTTCTTCGCGATCCCATACTCCGCGGAGTAGGGCGTTTTCAAATCGGATTCCCATCTTCATTCCTATTCCCCACCGCATCTCGGCGAGGAGGAGGTCCGGGCCTGTTCCGCTTGCGCTTGGGCGGCGAACGGACCACTGTCCTTTCCACCAGATACGGCGGAGTTCAAGTAAGGGGTGGCCGCTTGCATCGCGTATTTCGCGAAGCTGCGATTTACTCCAGAAGCGGCCGGAGACGGTGAAGAGGAGCGCGTGGCGTCTTGGGCTGGTGAGTTCTTCATGTGTGCGTAGTTGGTGGACGCTGAAGTCGCGGCCTGAGATGGTGTTTTCACGAATTATTCGTAGGGTTGTGGGGGTATTGGTTAGTCTGTCCGGTGCGGGGGCGAGGAGGTGCGAGCGGCGCAGAGCAATGGGATGATCTGGGGCTTGGAGTGATGGGTTTGGCATGATAGCATAGTTGGAATTTGGTGTATGTCTTGGGGTTTGAGAGAGATTATGAAGAGGGCTGGGGGCCGACGAGGGGTAATGTGGTATTATGTGATAGTTATCTCGGTCTTTTTTCCCATACTAGACTAATGTAGCTAAGGCGTGGTGTGATGGGAGCGGAGAGATTAGAATCCTTGCGCGGGGGTGGAAGAGGGGCTGGTTAACCTGCCAAGATCGTATATCAAGGAATATAACTGGAGGAGAATAATAGCGCGTGAGCAGGCAGCCACCATTTGAGGCGGTGCTACAGTACACTCGACTCTTGGCAGGTCCAGATTACCTAAATGATTAAAGGAGTGTGAGGAGTGTAAGTAGCAAGTGTCATAAGTACCATAAGTACAAGATAGTACTCCTAAGTACAAGATAGTACCGTATGTACAAGACAGTACCGCAATCACTAGATAAGTACCAAAGGCACAAAGACAGTACGCTTAGTCATACGGGACTACAACGGCCCGGTGGTTCCGTACTTCCGGGTTTTACTCCATACGCTAACCACATGTGTTCATCGCCTTTGTTCTAGAACTTCTTACCGAAAAGTCCCTGGCAGGCGTAGAGCCGCAAATTGTTATTTTTAACGCCCACAGATTTAGTGGCATAGTGGCTGAAAGTTTAGTCGGTGTTCATAGTACCCTAACTTACCATGTTATACTTCGTAGATCATCTAAAACCCCAAAGATCGACAAACTCGGGAAACTCGGGAGCCCCCATGTTCCCCCAATTTCCACTGGACTTCATACCGCTGTGACGTGTAAGATGGACGAAGCAAATTTCCTATTCTAGGCGATAGCTTCAATATTGCCTGAGTTAACTGGTTCTGAGCCTGGAATGATTGGGTGGGGCGACTTGGTCCCACCACACAATGAAACACCAGAATTAGCCACCGGATGTCCAGTGTATTGGCTAGAATCTTCGGCAGTTGAGCTTGTTTCCCATTATGAACATTCATAACTCTTCATTAGCCGAGGTGCAAAGATACATACGTACATGTAGTGTCTGCCAGCTTTCCTTGTTCGATCAACTCCTTTTTTATGTTCCGATATAACCATGGATTGAACCAGGAACAAAAAAGATGGCAAACCGCCCATGTGCCTGAAAAGTTAACGCCACGAGTTTTGACTGACGCGTTCCCTTATGACTTCAACTTGCGTTAGCGTTGTGTGGGTCTGGAAACTTAAGACAGGCTGGTCCGGCTTCAATTAAATAACTGACTTTCCCCACTTGGCCCCCCTTTTTTATGAAGTTTGTTCTTCCTGTTCTTCCTCCCCAGGATATGAAGTTGACTCGTTTGTGGGTTTTTGGTCCGCGAGGCTGCATTTCTATCTGCAAGTTCGCTCTCTCATTTGAATAGTTACCTCATGGGACCCGAGAAGACTTTGACAAACCTCGGGACTACCCCAACCAATTTTTACAGTGGATATCCGACTCCGTGAAAATTAATTCAACATGTCCGAACTACACGACTCCCAAGAGAAACCCCCTTCACCCCAGCATGAATCTTCAGTGGAATCCTCACAAGGTGATGAGGAAAACCACCACATCCCTCAAATCGCTGTGGGCGACGAAGTCACGGAACAACCGAGCACTTCAACCTTCGGCGAGAGATGGAGATCCGCCAGCCAGCGTATCCGAAATAGAGGAAACACAATAGCCGAGCGACTTGGCCGATCCCATGAACGAAATGAAGATGGCTTAGAAGGCGCCGGCTTCTCTACAGAATACTTCGGCGCAACAGACGACATCCGAAGTTTCGAAGCCCGACGTGCCATTGACGAGGAGCATCGTTTGAATGGTCTTGATCATGATGCTCAGGCTCAGCTCTTGATCAGACATCTCGGTTTACCAGGGAGCCATCGACGAAATGCATCCTCAGAACTCCCATCGGGCACGACAACGCCCGGAGATATCAGTGAAGCGACCCCACTGAATGGAAGTGTGCTATCACACTTACTACGCGTTTATGCCAATAATTTGGAAAATGCGAGCCGCATGAGCGTTGCGACTACTTCGTTCGAAAACGACCCTGATCCCGAGAGTATTCCGATGAAAACTCTGGGCACGGGTACACCCGGCATCGCCACACCCGGGACGGAAACCCCTGGAGGGACGCCGCCGGGAAAGCGAGAAAAAGTGAAGTGGTATAAGGGCGCAGAACCGGAGTCGGAGAGCAAGAATGGGAATAAGTTTAATCTGCCGTTGAAGCCGAAGAAGAAGAGGGAGTCAAGTCATACGTACACCTCGTCACTCATCTCGGCGTCGATGGGGATGGGTCGTGTTGGAGTACCGGGAGCTGAAGGGCCGGCACCTATGAATGCGAAGGAGAGGAAGAAGCAGAAGCGGAAGAGTCAGAAGAATGTGAAGCTGACAGTGCATATTGCGGCTATTTTGGCGCGGCAGCAGTATATTATGCAGCTTTGTCGTGCGTTGATGAAGTATGGGGCGCCGACGCATCGACTGGAGGAGTATATGATGATGACTTCTAATGTGCTGGAAGTTAATGCTCAATTCATGTATATCCCTGGTTGTATGATTATGTCTTTTGATGACCCGCTCACTCGCACTGCTGAAGTGAAGATCATCCGTGTCACCCAGGGACTGGATCTGTCTCGTTTGGCCGAGACGCACAATGTGCTCAAGAGCGTGGTGCACGATATTGTGAGTGTCGATCAAGCCACCAAGGATCTTGACGAGATCATGCAGCGGAAACCACGATACGGAGCATGGACGAAAGTCCTCCTGACCGGTCTGGCCAGTGTTGCTGTTGGCCCCTACTCATTCTCCGCCCGCCCTATCGACCTTCCGATCATTTTCTTCCTAGGATGCCTAGTCGGGATCATGCAGCACATCCTGGCTCCATCGTCTGCCACATACTCCAACGTCCTCGAGGTATCAGCCGCCATCCTAGTCTCATTCATCGCGCGGGCATTCGGAAGTATCAAGCACAACGGTGTACATGTATTCTGTTTCCCTGCGATGGTGGAATCCTCTATCGCCATGCTTCTACCCGGTTTCGCCGTGCTGAGCAGTAGTCTGGAACTCCAGTCTCACCAAATGAACGCCGGTTCAATCCGTCTGGTCTTCACAATCATCTACTCTCTCTTCCTAGGATATGGTGTCACAGTCGGCACCACGATCTACGGATTAATGGATACAAACGCCACAAGGCAGGAGACCTGTTCTGCGACAAGTGAATGGGGAAATGAATACATCCAACATTTTCCTTTCGTTGCAATTTATTGTCTCTTCGCCGCCCTCCTCAACCAAGCCAAAGCGAAACAACTACCTGTCACAATTCTTTTGGGCGTTTGCGGCTACGTGACAAATTACTTCAGCACAAAGAAGCTCGGCTCCAACCAAGTAGCCAACACAGTCGGCGCCTTCACTATTGGCCTACTGGCCAATCTGTACAGTCGTCTGTGGCACGGTCACGCCGCTGCTGCTATTATCCCAGGTATCTTCACCTTGGTGCCATCCGGATTAGCATCGTCCGGATCGATTATTTCCGGCCTCGAATATGCCGAGGAGGTCGCTAATGGAACTGCCGCCACAACTACAAGCAGTTCCACTAATGAAAGCTCGCTTACTTCATTGGGCTATGGAATGATTCAAACCGCTATCGGTATTTCTGTTGGTTTGTTTGTTGCTGCATTGATTGTTTATCCGCATGGAAAGAAGCGAACTGCTATTTTCAGTCTGTAGATGGCTTTTATCTATGTTCACATGAATTTGGAAGGTCCAATCTTCATACCCTGGGATCTTTATGTTGAATTTCATAGCGAGCGTTATATCACTGCATGTGTCGGCATCATTCATCTCCATATATCTCAAGTGCTATTTGTTCATATCATCTCTGCCAATTATATTCCTCCCGACCAACTTCATGTCCGTTGTAAGCCTATCAACCGGAATCCAATCTATCCTTCACTTCAGCAAGCTTCCTTCTCCTTATTAAACCGGCCTCTCAACCCTCGCATGCTGGATCTCCGATATGTTTGAGACGTTTGTTTCTTTTCTTGACGGTATAAATTCCATTCTGGATGAAGATATAGACAAAGGCGAAACCGACGATCGTAGCGAGTACCAATGGCCCCAGAATGGGGAGTACAGTAAAGCCGTAGGATGCTTGTTGGAAGGCATTGTTATCCGCAAGAGCGTGAGTTGCAAGTCCAACCTGCATAGCCGTCAGGACAATCGCAATATAGACAGTTGATCCTGCCAGATAGCTGAAATTGTCCTGAAGAAAAGAGCTATATTGGTCCCAAAAAAGTCCATAGCCACGAAAATTGTTCATGCCAAGAAAGTACATCTTGTTGAGCCGATTCAGACGAAGCTCGCCATAGTAGAATCTTCTATCAATATCGTAGTATATGTCCTCTGCGTTCAGAATTTGTGCGACCAGTTTCCTCCAATCCGACCATTGTACCTCTGGTGGAAGCAGATGATTATCTTGAGCAATCCTAAAGTCACTCTCGTAAGATATAAGCCCGACATAGGAAAAGAGAAAGCCAAGGGCACACTTTCGTGAATCTTTAGAGATGGGACAGGCCCAGAAGCGAGGCACAAGAAGGAAGCGCGGGATGGGTTTCAGGAACATTCGGCCAGTTGTCCACACAAGATGCATATCTATGCGCTCCGTGATACTAATCCCTCGGCCTAGGAATAGCTGAGTATGCAAAGGTCGTGGCGGCACGGGTCGTCCCGCAATCCACAGCCATGTGTGGATTTTGTGTAGTCGTTCAAGATCAAGTTCTTTTTTCATCCAGTCACTGAAAGTATCAGAACTTAGGATTCGCAGATCAAAATTTTTAGTGCATTCAGATGCTGGAAGCAGTTGGAGAAGATCATCTTCGTCGTCCAAGGAGAGGAGATTGATAGTAAACGGCGCCGGCTAACCGATGGGAAAATTGTAAGCAGAGGGAAAAGAAATACTTGACTAGACGCATAGAACTATGACCTGCTCCGTTCCGTTCTCAGGTTTTGGAGAACTGCTGTTCATCTTTAGTATCACTTGAAGTCGGCCAGGCTCCATTGAAAGCCGGGGTAGGCTTAAGAAAGATCAAAAGTGTCTTGAAGATTAATCAGACTGTATTTATGACAAGGGATAGTGAGCGCGCTATATCTATTTTAAAAAGTCGAATTTGAGGATGACCAGGCTGAGTGACGCGTCTTTTGCAGATCGAAGTAGTCAAAAACTATCTCTTCTCCGCGGAAATATCTCTATAATTCTTGTGATAGATCCGTAACTGCGACCTCGCTTTTCTTTGCCTTCGGCCATGCCCTGTGTTACCTGTGATTCATCAATCACAAACCGGGTAATTTTTTCCGATGACACAGGAGCTTTCAGAGTAGTCAATCACCAAGTTTGTTATATTTGCATAAGGTTTGGAGTGCGGAGAAGCGCAACCGAGGGTGATGTGTACCGATGGCTTAGTGGCGTTCTCAATGGTTGGTTTTGAAGTCATGCCTGACTACAATCCGAAATCAAGCCTGTCAGCAGCCTCTCAGCTCTGCATAGATTCGTCTCCTCGAATACGAGGCCATTTACAAATGAAGAGTCAAAGTAAGAGATTGCCCTATGGATATCCTTGTTTGATACAGATAAGAGTAGGTGAGAAAAATACCAAAGAATGAGAAGGGCAGAGGGAAGCGAGCGAACTGCCCGAGCTTTTGGATGGTTCAAGGGCCTAGCAAGGGAAATAGAGGGCTTGCTCCACCCTGATCCGACTCTTCCATCCAAATACTCAGCTTCTCATTGTATCAATGGATCAAGCCATAGATTTTCTCAAAAGAGCGTTTAGTGTGGGAGGAAACAAGAAGGTGATATCCATAAGTGATCTGGAACAAGGGCTCTTAGAAGTGACCGAGGCAGTCGAAGACCCAAATGTGGAGTACGTATATTTCAAAACTTTCGTTCCCATCAATCTCCGCTCATGTTTTTGTAGTATCGTTATCGTTCCAGGACTTGGCGCCCACCCCCTGAACTGTTGGGCGTCTGATTCTGACTCCAAGGAACCAAGTTTCAATTGGGTCGTAGACAAGGATGGGTTACAGAAGAGTTTCCCGAGGGCGCGTATCCTCCGTTACGGTTATGCCTCCTGCTTGGATGGGAAAATTTGCCATCGACAAGTGCATGGACAGCATAGTAGACGGCTTGCTTAGTGCATTGCAAGGAAAAAGAACAGTATGTCCACATACTCCCTCATGCTTGTCCTCTCGCGACATTGGCCCGTAGGAGAATTTTGAGAAAGCTCGTCCGGTAATTTTTATTGGGCACAGTATGGGAGGAATTGTCGTGGCTCAGGTCTGTGCTCACGTATTCTTTCACAATTATGCGACTGACGAAGTAGGCGATCAATGAGTCCTCCCGCCGCCAAGACAAGTATGAAGGAATACTTGAATGCATTACAGGATGTATCTTCTTCGGTACACCCTTTAATGGCACAAGCTTCGCTGCTTGTGGCTTGATTCTCGCCGGGATAGGAGAGCTATGGGGAGCCACAGTGTACGATTCTTTGCTTCGACTTCTGACCCCAGAAAATCCTCTTCTGGTGAGAATAGCACATGAATTCTTTGAGCTCGCCCGGCGGCAAAGTCCCAATATCGAGCTGTTTTGCTTCTATGAAGAACTACCCTTTAATATTGAAGATACCATAAAGTGGCTCTCGCATGAATCGTTCGCAACGCACTTGAGAGAAGGAATCAACCATGTGGCAAAACAATTGGCAAGTGCACCCCCAGAAACTATTGTCAATTCAAATTCCTGACCCAGCATCAGCCAAAAGATGGAATGCTCGTGGACAAAAGTTCTGCCACCTTTGGGGAGTGCATTGACAGGCAGGGCTTACAGTTGACCCACCCGAATTTGGTCAAGTTCAAACACGCCCATGATGGGAAATACGAGGCTTTCACTTGCAGGTTACGGCCTATGATTGAAAAAGCGGAAGGGAACGTTCATAAACGCTTTACTGCATTGGCTAAAATCAGTATGCCACGCCAAGCGCAGATTTCATTGACGAATCTTCTAGATTCTGGTCTTGGGCCCAAACAGTTTACTGATGCACAATCCCTGAAAGGAAGATCTGGAGTTTTAGACAAAGATATCTATCAGAACTGGGAGAAGCCTGCGAGAGAAGATCATAATATCTTTTGGGTCATTGGCCCGGCTGGTGTGGGTAAATCCGACATCGCCAGGTCAGCTATTGCTAGTATGGGGAATCGCATCAAAGAAAATTTCGGCCCTGGAAAGTCTGAGCTTATTCCTATCTTGGCTTACTTTCTCTGCTACCCTTCCCAGAAGGAGTCTTCAGCAGTGGAGTTACTGAAATCGCTCATCCTCCAGCTCATCCGGCAGGATCCACTTTTGGCGACCCATGCCAAACAATTTCTCAGGAAATGCGAATATCGTACAGGTGCTGCTTCTGCTGATGACTCGAAGAATTCGACAGCTACGATGAACATCCAGAACCTGTGGACATGCATGCGAAATATGCTTGCTGATGAGTCACTGGGCGATGTTTACATCATCATCAACAACATCCATTTTCTCGAAAATGATACATCCACACAAAGTCTGATTGATCTACTCGAGAGCGACATTTTCGGTCAGTCCACAGAGAGATACTGTAAAATGGAAGCACGCAAATGGCTTTTCACTTGCAGACCCAGACCCTCCAACGATCGATTTCAAAACCTACAAGACTCCAAACGAACCATTGTCGCAGACCTCACAACAGAGGAACACGCAAAAAATCTTAAGGGCGAAATCAAGAATCATGTTGAGAAACACATTACCAGATTAAGCACTGAAAAGAGCTATACACGAGCTCAGACTTACATGATCCAAGACATCCTGGTTGTCAATGCTGAAAGCAAGCACTGGGTCGATATCCAGTTCGTTAGACTCTCTGGTCTGGATTCTGGCAGCGACACAGAGTCGATATTGAGAACTCTGGGCATTTCAAATTCTTCGAGCTTGAAAGACCTTGTGCGGTGGAGCTGGTTATCAGTGAGTATCCAATAATCTCATAAATAACAGTATTGGCTGAGACTGATGAATGGCTAGATCTTCGAACAACATCCCCACGATAAGCCCTCACTGCAGGAGATCCTGAAGGTCTTGGTTTTTACATTTCAAAATCCGACTATGAATGAACTTTCTATTCTAGCCGGCATCCATAATGAGAATAGACTTGAAAAATGAATCCAACACTGCGCCCCCATGATCAAGCTCGGAGAAAGAGATGGAAACTCACAAGTTCATTTTTTCAATGAATTTGTTGAACTTTGTTCTGACGCCCAGACTCTACTTGGACTCTCGAGCACTTCGCTGCAGAACGTGCACTCAGAGTCGGACGAAGAGCGATTTCAGGGTGTGCTTACTTGGCGATGCTACTCGTACTTAGAGTCGGCTATGACAAATACGCCAGCTTTGGACCCGGCAGAAGATGCTCCCAACATGACTGAGACTACGCCCAGCGGTGATGTATTCCAGGGGAAGACAATTTGCGTCTATCCGCTTGAATACTGGATTAAACATGCTTTGAAAGGCAAGTTGGAGCTCGCGGAAGATCTTACTCGAAGAATCCCTGTATTTTGGGAGAGGGAATCAAATGTCAGAACGGCCTGGCTGTCTTGGTATTTCCGCAAAGATAATCTTCTCGCCCGGCGAATGACCAAGACGACTGCGCTGCACGTGGCTGCATACTTCGGCTATGGCAATCTTGCTGAAAGCCTTCTTCAGGAGAAGCACCAAGATGTGTTGAATGCTATTGATAAGAAGGGTTACACGCCGGTAAGTAGATTGGTCCCTATGTGCAGCCCTGCGACTAAGCGTAACGTAATAGCTTCATATTGCAGCGGAAAGGGACCACAAGAAAACAGTCGAGGTTCTATTGGAGTTCAGTCCGGAACATGCAATCGCCAGAATGAGTACCCGGGTTGGGACAGCACTTCATCTAGCTGCAAAACAAGGCCATTTTGATATCATGAAAATATTGCTCAAAAGTGGTGCCGACCCAAACGCAAGGAGTAGAAAATACGGCCTTGTGATTCATGCTGCTATTTTGTCTGGAAAAAATGAGGCAGTTCAATTGCTACTTAACCAGGACGATATCATATTGGACAACGACAACAACGATAACAACGACAACAACGACAACAACGACAACAACGATAACAACGACAACAACGACAACAACGACAACAACGACAACAACGACAACAACGATAACAACGACAACAACGACAACAACAACAATAATAACGACAACAACGACAACAACGACAAAAATGACAACAATGACAGCGGCCCCCGTGACGACGACCATCACCACAATAACAAAGATGGCAACAACAATCATCATGACAGTGGCGATGACAGCAGTAATGATGAGAATGACAATAACAAAGACTTTGATAAGCCTCCCCTTTCTCTTTCAGCAGCAATGTCTGAAAGGGAGATTTTCCAGAAGATCCTCGAGGATGGGAAGGAAAAGTGGACAGCAAAGGTCTATTCGGATGCATTAGCCGAGGCCTGTTATTCCAATAAGCTAGACAATGTCGCTGCTCTCCTAGGCCTGGAAGACCACATTTATGTCTTTCAAACAAAAGATCTCGATCGGGCTGCACTGGATGCAGCTGAGCAAGACAACTGGAGCGCAGTGTTAAAAGTTTTACATCATCGAAAGAATCTGTCTTCCAACAAGATCTTTTTTCTTGCGGCGATCACACATAAAAGCCGGGAGCAAGCTGATGAGGTCCTTCGCGTCATAAACACTCAAGAATTAAATATTTCAGTTGACGTTCTCAATATGGCACTGTACCAGGCCTGTGATGAACAGAACGAAAGGACAGTTTCTTGGCTTTTGGAGACATGTAAAGCCGATGCAAATGCCACAGACAGAATACCCGATATACTTGGTCTATCCGAGATCAAGGTCAGCTTACCTTTGGAAATGCCTTGACAGCAGCGGCTTGGGATGGAAACATCAGCATAGTTAGGAGACTGCTAGAACACGGTGCCCAGGTGGAAAGTGACAAGGGATGTGCTCTGCAAGTTGCTGCAAAGCATGGCCATGCCAAGGTTCTCGAACTTCTTCTCTTGAAAGGTGCAGATGTCAATAAGAAGGTTGAGAATGCCCTATTCATAAGAGCTACAACTGCCTTGCAAGTCGCTTGCCATTTTGGGAAGACAGAAGCAGTTAAGATACTTCTGAAATACCAAGCAGATCCAAACGTTGAAAACGGGAGTCCTCTACTAGACGTGACTCACAGAAACTGGCCCGAGGTTTTGAATGTCCTCCTCGCGTCAACGAATATCAAAGTTAATGTCAATATTTGTGATAAAAGCGGAGTGTCGGCTCTGATGAAGGCTGTTTTTCATATGCCACCCGACGCGACTTCACAGCTGCTTGAAGCCGGTGCCAATATCAACCACGCGGATCATCACGGAAACACTGCGCTTATGCGTGCAGCTTATAGGACGAACGCAGAATACTTCAAATTGCTCTGCGATAATGGCGCCAACATCTTGCAAGAAAACGCCAGGCATGAACTTGCCATTGCAATAGCCATTAGAGAAGGAAACCCCGAGTATGTGAATCTGTTTGCGGAGAGACTGATCCCACTTCTTCGAGGTCTGAACAGGGCCGTCACCAAAGGAAGCACGTTCGTCAAAGACTTGATTGCTAGGCCAGAAGACGATCACGAAATTGTTGATCAGCACGTCTTGGATCTTTTGAACGAGCGTAATTCGATTCTCAGTCGGGAAGTTCAGGAGCTGGCTTACATGCGGCAAAATTGGAAAGAGATGGAGAACAGAGTACTAGCAGCCGAAACAAATGCTAGATTAGCTGAGAAGGAGATGACACGACTCCGAGAAGAGCGCGAAGAGGAGAGCCAAACAATTCAGAGGGAGAGGGATGAATACAAGGCAGCCAGATACGGATTCAGCCGAGTCAAAGAAGAAAAGGAAAGTCTGGAGAGAAAATTGGCCAACATGCAGCACGCTGAAGAGATTGCTCTCCAAGCCCAGAGAGAGTTACATGCCGCACAACAGGCCCACAAAACTGCGCTCGAGGATGCCCAAAAAAGAGCTACACAATGCCAGCTCGAAGCCGAAGCTGCCCAGAAAGAGTTGACCGACGCACAAAAGTCTCAAGACACTGCGCTAAAGCAACACCAACGCAAAGCTGAGACTGCTCAGAAGCAACTCAAAATCTTGCAAGATGAGACCAAGAGAGAAAAGGAGCAACATTTAGTGACAGTCGCGAGTCTTCCGGCAGAATTGGCCGCCGTTTCTAGCAGACCTCCCATCTTCCCATCTCAACCCAGTATTGGCCACAGGGAAAGTATGGATTGGGGAAGCGTCGACATAAGCCAAAGCCAGATAAGCGACGGTAGCAACTTGGAGAGTCCAGCTGCTGATGAAGAGACGGGTCCCTCAAAATCAAAAGTGCCGGGGCTCCAGAGGTTTCGTAGGAAGCCAGAGGAAGAGAAGGAAAAGTTTTCGTTTCCCAAATTTGGTAGAAAGGGCGGTGACGAATCTTGATTGTGTTTCTAACTTTCAATGCTACAGAGAGAGAGAGAAAGAAGTGTGCGTGTCATGCTAGGTGTTGATTAATGATCGAAAGAGTTGAGTATATAGGTATTTTGATTTCTTAGTCTGACAGGATCAATACTCCAACCTTGAGTTCACGTACTGGCACTGTTTATATTCATGGGGAAGTCCCGTCGGTGCTACAGTATGTAAATATGTTGAAGTAATATATATATGTATCCACATACCTGTCATGAAATCATTTCAAATAAGCATGAAATATCGAACACATTATTCAGTGCTGACTTCAAAGTGATGTTTTCTGGATTACGAATTATGTTGAGTTCGAGGTAGTCTTATGAATGATCTCTTTCACGATATCGGTGGAGTTCTTTCATGAGCTAAAAATACTCAAATGACTCGACTTTGGTCTCAATGAAAGACGATTAACATCCAGATGTCGATTCTGAAAAGGGTTCAGGACTACTGCTTCCCCGAAGACATATTTCACCATCATAATATCTACTCACCAGCCTTTTTTGCAACCGTTCGAAGATAATTTTCCGCATCCACCCTTCACCAACGATGGCTGATCTTGAGGACCGCATGTCTCTGGGTATTCAAGACAACGATGAAAATTTTGAAGCTGAATCTTTTCACGAAGAAAATGATGCCATTATGCGTGATTCGAATTCAACGAATATATCGTCCGAAGAGCTTGCCAATTTCGCCTACAGCCCCTGGGAACGATTCCTCGAGTTTACGGTCGACAGGATCCGTCGTCTCATTTTGGGCGACTATGTCTCGACCGATGCATCGTCAATGCTCTCCGAAGAAGACTTCTCGCAAATTCATGAATGGTTGCTTGAGCCCGACAGGCCAGTTGATAACAAGGAACTTATCCTGTTCGTGAATCAAACACGATTGGAAACTCTACCTATGGACTTCCTGTTTGAGATCCTGGATCGACTCTTCAATTTCCACCAGGATGACGAGGAAAGACTTGAGATTGGCTTCATTCATACACTTCATGGTCTTCGGCTGCTGAGTGACTATACGCGGGTCGTAGTGAATGACTGGATGCTGCGTTCCAGGCCAAAATGGGAGAAGTTTGGAAGTCATGAGCTATGGTGCTATCCAACCCGAGATGCTGTTAAAGAAGCTCCCAGTACTCCGTGGAGTTATCATTATCTCCCGTTCCGAGGAATTGAGGAAGAGAATGTGGCAGTTCAAGCGGCAATAACTTGTGTCGAATGCTTCCGCCTCCTCGTCGAACAGAACTTGATTCCAATTGGAGGATATGACTTGAATGGAGAAAGTTTCCTTAACTGGGTAATCAGAAAGCGCTGTCAGCCCGTCGTGGACTACATGATTGATGTAATGCCCGTCGAAGAATTCTTCTACTCCACAGCTCCCCGCCTTGGATATCGAGATGATAAGCATCCTCTTGTCAGTCTGCTTGAAAGTGGCAACCAGAAGGGATTCGAGAAGCTTCTTGGAAAGCTGGCAGAGAGCAGGGGTCTCGAGAACTGGGACCTTGGCTGGTCACTGAAAGATGACCAACGCAAGCTTCAAATGTGCGCTTTTTTGTCCGCCCAACATGCAGACTTGCTCTTGAAAAAGTTCAATATTAACATTGGCGAAGTTGTGATGAAGAAGGAAATCAATTGGGAATACCCTCTGGGTCGTGTGGGAGCTTACCTCCCCTATCGGCCAACCACAAGTTCATGGCACCAAGCAGCCCGCCACAATCCCGACGGCGAAGCCTTCATGGAATGGCTCTCGGAAAACTCAGGCTCAAAATCGACTACCCTTAACAAACAGGGCTATACATCCATCATGTAGGCTGCTCGCGGCGAGAACATTACCGCAATCAAGTGGTTATCAAAGCATGGCGACGCAGCCGCGCCCTTGAGCTCACGACCTAACAGCCGTTATTCATATGCACTCCGAGCTGCTGCGTTCAACCAGACCTTCCACAGCAATGAGATGTTCAAAATGATCCTCAATGGGATGCCGGATGCGTTCTTCCGCGATTTCGCCTTGGTGTCAGAAGTGTTCGGTTGGATTATCGATGGACTTGTGGTCTTTCCGGTTTAATCCCCGGTTGATGAATCCACTCACGCAGTGGCCGAATGAACGAGTTATGATTATTTTTATGGCCAGGGAGAAATGTCAGCAGTTGTTTAATCGATTGCCTGATAAATGGACGACGTCGGCAATGCAAATTCACGTGGTTGAGCGTGCAAGAATGTATGGTTATAGCTTTCTTCCGTCGTCTATGATTTGGCCCAAGGTGAATAAGCAACGTAAGCCTAAGATTCTCGGGTTCACGATACCTTCGGTTTTTGGTAGATAATATGTTATCTGTGGGGGGTTTCTGTTATATTGTCTGATGGAGATTGGTATATCCAGAAGAGATCTTGGAATGGAACTGCCCAGGTGGCTTCAATCAATTGAATATTCAAACAAATATGCATAAAGTATCAGATAAATCAATGAAACTGTGATTGATGTTTCCTTGCTTATATTATAGTCTTCGCCACGATCTGGCGGCATAGTATACACTGGCATCCTCAACTTTTTATACTAAACCCACACCTCATTCGTGATGCCATCAAACTTGAGCCCTTCCTCGTGCTCAGTTCGGGACGTTTCAGCTAGGTGTGTCCACTGCTCTGGGTATTTCTCGCGCGCCCACTTTTCGACCTCATCCTTCCAGTATTGGTATGGAATTGCATTATAGAACAATCCAAGACTAGTAACAGTTAGCACGATTCACGAAATTTCACTTGAAATACTAACGTAGTACTTGTTGGGGCCACTCCAATTTCAGCTTGCATATTGTCGATGGCTTCAGTCGCCATATCAAATTCGCATTGAGAAGCGACAGCTTCCATGTAAGCTGTGTACAGTCGGCGGTCGATCGTAATCTCTAGCTTTTTCACCTTTGCCATCATTTTGATCGCTTCCTGCACGCCATTGTGGTGCTTCTCGCACATTTTAAAGAATATCGCAATGGTCTTCTGCGATGGTCCTTCCTCTGATTGCAGGATCTGTCGGAAAATCCCCATACTCTTATCGGGCATCTCACACGCTGCGTAGGCTAGCATGAGGCCGTTCAAAATTCGTGTGTTGAGTTCCACCTCCAGATCAAGTTTGAGCATGTTGTGAACCAGCTCCAAGTTGGCCGCGTCGGCCGTGCGGGCCAAGCCTTGGAAGCATCGAGCATACGTGTCAGGTTTAGGACGGCGACTCAGGTCCTCGGCCTGGCGCATGTGTCCAAAGACCAAGAATGCCAGATCACTACGCTTTCGTTCAAAGAAAGAGCTCATGAGCTCAGTGCGTACGCTGACACCTGTCTCGGAGAAGGCGAGTTTGAGGAGTTGATAAACCTCCCACACATTCGCGTCTGTCTGACTCATGTCCATAATGTAATCAGTCAGTGCGGTACGGACCATGCCTTTGCCTTCGCCATCTAAGCTTCCCAACCGGGGGCGAAGGAGTTCAGAGACAGCCTCCCAGTCGTGACGATAAAGCAGCATGCGCGTCAATGCAGCGATGGTCTTTGCACTTAGCGACACATTCTCCTGGAAAAGCGGGTCGAGGAGAGACGAGATCTGTTGGAACAAATCATCTTTCTGCTCAGATAAGCATAGCATAGTGATGAGCCTATTAGCCAGGGGTAAGTGGTCACTGGCTAGAACGCTGGGATCAATCCGGTCCTCCAGAATTGCAAGCGTCTGCTCCACATTACCGGCCTGGACAGACGACTCCAACAGCAGCATATTTGTCTCTTCATCCGGGGTGAGACCCCACTGCTCAGCCAATTTAGCGTACTCGGTAGCCAGCTGCGGGTTTGGCAAAGAGTTTGCATATTGGATAAGGCTGTTCACATTGGCAATAGTAAGGGCTTCCTTCAGTGATTGGTTGGTCCCGGCCCAAGACTTGACCTTCTCCGCAAGTGACGACGCGCTACTGCCCTGCGCTGCGTCCCAAAGAAGAGTGATACCGACGGTCTCCGCGCTGAGATCCTGCGCAAGAGATTCGTAAATAGGCTTGGCCCACGAGACCTCAGAGTGGAGGATCGCATACTGAATGGCAGCAATCTTCGCGGCAACCGAAGGCTCCAAATTTCCAGCGATCGGACACTCATATACTGTTTGAACTGCAGTGGGGAGATCCTGAGCAATCAATAACTTAGTGAGCTCCTCATGCGAAGCTTGATCAAATTTAACACCGAATTTCTCCAATTCTTGGGCGACCTTTCGTAGCTGGCGTCGGTCGTCCTTCAAAGCGAACCCCTTCAGGACACTGAGCCAGGGCGAAGGCTTTGCTCCGCGGAATTGACCCCCAAACTTCATAATGACATGACGAGCCTCTTCAGGGTTTCCATTTGATGCCATCAAATCAATATAGATCAAAAGTGCGGGTCGACTGATGGAGTTGGGACCAAATCCGTGATCGGCACAGAGCTCCAGATAGGCAAAACGTGCTAACTTGAGGATGGTGTCGCGTGCCTCAGGAAGACATTGTGCCTCGGAGAGAACAAATAGCATCCTTTCTAGGTTCTCCACGGAGAATACATCTTGCCATTCGCTCTCCTCCAGCTCGCTTTGCTGGGCCTTCAAATGCTTCCATGTGATGGACAGCAACCGGGCTTGGAACAGGTTGATGACCGCTGGGGTCTCAACGCGTGACGTGAAGAACAGCTGGAAAGCCTTCACCAGTGTATGATTCGGAGGTGCTCTGCTCTTATCACCCAGTGACCGCTTCAAATCGGTCATAGGCTTCAGCCCCTTCTCCGTGGGCAACGTCGCTGGTTGACCTTCGCCGGTATCCGTCGGGTTGGAGCTGAATGCAAAAAGAGTTCGCCGGGGAACATGAGCAAGGCTAGACACACAAGGCCGTACTCGTGCAGGAGAGATGGTATGCAGCAATTGATTTCGGCGACATCGTGAGAAATGTAACGGCTCGTTGTTGATAATGGCCCGGATGACCCGTTTCGAAAGATGAGACTGCATGACTAGGAGGGACAAGTCCTCCGACTTTAATTGGACTGACCTGGTCAAGCTTGAAGGGAAATGGGGATAAAATTGTTGGATGAACTTCGGATCAAAAAGTTCGCGACACGCGGAGAAAGCTGGTCTGAGGCGGGAAGGCGGTCTTGGCGCTACTGCGAAAAAACGAACCGTTGAATCTCTTCCCGACCTGACTTCACGTACCCAATTCCACCTCTTACTGAGATCTGTTCGTCATGTCATTGAATCTGTTCTCATCGCTTCGCAGCGTCACAAATGCTGTGCCCTCAGCTTGTCGCTGGAGCTCGACCGCGGCCATGAGCGCCTTCACTTCCCAACGATCCCCGTCAACATTCAGTATGCCCTTGGCCCTCCGGTTTCTTTAGGCATGCAATTCCTTCGGATTATTTGCTCACAAATTTTTACTAGAATCGTCCGGTCAACGTATGCACCCCAATCACCGCAAGCGCTTCCTTGAAGATCAAAAATCCCAGAGCGAGAGCAAGGCTATGGAGAGATTCCAATCCCGCGAGTGGAAGGCTGGTGATGTCTACGCACCCCATGATCTCAGCCCTGCAGAGATGAAGAAATGGTCTAAGCGCAAGGCTCCTTCATTCGACGCCTTCGACGCCTTGAACCTGAACCCATTGAACCTGCACAAGGTACGAGTGCTCGAAATCTTACAGTGTAGCACTCGTGTGCTTTGCTTGATGTCCTATTTTCTGACGTGCTTTGCTTTCATAGAACTTCGCCATCATGTCCGAATACGTTTCGCCTTTGGGCCGTATCAAGCACCGAAACCAAACTGGCCTGCGCCCTGTCAACCAACGGAAGATTGCTAAGGCCATTCGGAGGGCTATGGGACTTGGTCTCATGCCCTCTGTCCACCGACACCCTGAAATCCTGGCTTCGGAGGCTAGGTCGAAGATGAGCTCCTTCTACTAGGATATGTTCAATTGGAGAAGATCCAGATCCCCAGTGGCATTTTCATACTTTATAAAGCAAGGCCCGAGGGGGCAAATTTCCATGTATTATTAGTTCTAGCGCGATTGAAATCAACTTCTTGGCTATGAAAATTGAGCAGTTTTACAATCAACTTCATATTCTTGTCTGGGGTCACGGTAATGTGGATGTTACTGGATAGAGTTAAGTCCCCGCCTAAGCTGGGCTGAGTACGTCAGTCCATAAACAATCTCCCCTCCAACTTCCCTGAAACGTCTCCCCCCTCCCATACCAGATCTACTTTTCAATGTCAATCACAAACGGTATGGATCCTCAATATTCGGTCGCTCTCTATATGCGATGCTAACACTTCTAAAGAGTCCATCTGGGCTCCTAGCCCCTCCACCACTCGTGGACAGCCCACCCAGCTCTCCTCGGACGCAAAGGGTGAGCGACTAGCATACGCTGTACGACCCCCCAGACATAGAAATCCTTGACATCCATGCATCAATCCTGACCGAAACAATTGCAGTCCAATAAATCTATCTTTCTGCGCTCGATCGACAACCCCGCAGTCGCCCGCCAATACACAGAGCACAAGGCTCAGACCACCGTTGCTCGGTTCTCCCCCTCTGGATTCTACGTTGCAAGTGGTGATGCCTCCGGTACAGTGAGAGTGTGGGATTGCGTTGGAGACGGCATTACCAAGGGCGAGTACAACATCATCAATGGCCGGATTAACGACCTGGCCTGGGATGGTGATTCGCAGCGCATCTCTGCCGTAGGAGACGGCAAGCAACGATACGGTCACTTTGTTACCTGGGACAGTGGAAACACTGTCGGCGAAGTCTTTGGTCACACGCAACAGATCAACTCCGTTTCGATTAGGCAGCAGCGGCCTCTGCGTGCGGCGACTGCGGGTGATGACAAGAAGCTGGTCTTCTATCACGGAGCGCCTTTCAAATTTAACATGGGAGTTGCGGACAAGCACTCTAACTATATTTATGGTGTTGCCTTCAGTCCTGACGGCGCCACCTTGGCCAGTGTTGGTGGAGACCGCAAGATTTGGTTGTACGATGGCAAGACCGGTGAGGCCAAGGGCCAGATTGGCGAGGGGGAGCACAAGGGTAGTATCTTTGGTCTCTCTTGGAGCAAGGATTCCCGGAAGTTCGTTACCGCCAGTGCTGATCGGACGGTTAAGATCTGGGATGTGGAAGCGGGCAAATCCACACAGAGCTGGACTCTTGGAGAGGAGGGCGCAATGGCTGTTCGCGACCAGCAAGTTGGCGTTGTCTGGCCGCCTGGACGCAGTGATAATCTGCTTATCAGTTTGTCTCTTAGTGGAGATCTGAACTACTTGGTGGAGGGAACTCCTGAACCCCGGCAAGTGATCTCAGGCCACCAGAAGAGCATCACCTCTCTGGGCCAGACCACGCTGGACAACAAGGAGACATTATGGACTGGTAGCTTCGATGGACGGGTCTGTAGCTGGGATGTTTCTTCCGGCACCGCAGCAGAGATCGAAGGTGAGGGTCACCCTGGCTACGTTGCTGGTCTCACCTCAACTACAGAGGGTTCTGGCCGAATCTACAGTGTTGGCTGGGATGACACCATTCGCTCCATCGATGTTGCTGCGCAGACATACACTGGTAGCACCTCGAAGTTGACCGGGCAGCCAAAGGGCGTTGCCGCTGGTGATTCCATTATTTTGGTCGGTACCGAGGAGGCCGTTGAAATCTTCCAAGACGGCAAGAAAACCGGTGAATACAAGCCCAAGTTCCCTGTCACTATCGTAGCCGCCCATGGAGCCGTTGCTGCCATTGGAGGCGAGAATGGATCTGTTCAGATCTGCAAGGTTTCTACCTCTAGCCTCTCGGGCCAGACTGATATCAATGCTTCCCGCAACCAGATCTCCACTCTTGCATTCTCCCCTGATGCCTCCCTCCTGGCAGTTGGAGATATGCGAGGCCGCGTTCTGGTCTACAAGGTTGCAGATGGAAGTCTCGTTACGGACCGGTGGACTGCACACACCGCACGTATCACATCCATCTCCTGGCATAAGGATGGATCGCACCTTGTCAGTGGCTCACTAGACACCAACATCTTTGTGTGGAGCTTGGCCAACCAGGGTGACTGGATTGAGCTGAAGAACGCCCACAAGGAGGGTGTCAATGGTGTGACTTGGGTTGAAGGATCGAAGATCGCCTCGGCGGGTACTGATGCGGCAGTGAAGGTTTGGAAGGTTGAGGGAATGAAATGAGTGCAAATGTGGGAGGATGTTGAGTATTTGCATGTGTATAGAACTGAACGGATTTTGCTGCCAAATACATAGCTAAGAGCAAGCATCTACATACATTTCTGGGATCTTGATTGTCTTGTCTATAGATGATGAGTGGATGATGACGTTGTATTACGTACATGATCTAATCGAAGGGAGGCGCAAGGGGCGTTCGACATATGACAAGACAGCATTTGAAATACATTAGCTGCAGTGAGATGAACGACTTCGGACGTGTGTGATATGTAAATATACTATTTCCAAGATCATTTTACCTCGACCAGTGGAAGGGTAACTGGTCAACCAGATACTTGATGCCAGATCTCTATACCTTTTGGAACTTTATATGATTATGACCTTGGAATAGGCTGATATATTTGGATCTGGAAGTAGTTAGGTAGATCTTTAAACTGTTCCAAGTGCGTCGACTGAACAAAAAAAGGACGTGGCCGTAACCCGCATTGATGAACCTAACAAAACCGTGCGTCTGCCAACTCAGCTTTTCCCCCACAAAAAAAACCCGTACGACTTGGTCGAGCTAAAAAAGCGACGGCACTTTTTCTATCGGTTCCATGGGGATCTTCACTGTGAAGTCGCGCCGAGTCCGAGCGTGAGACGAAAACTATGTCACCATCTGGAGCTCCCAGTAGCTCCCGCCGCTTCTTGCGCCCAAAGGTACCTGATTCCCAGAGATCCCACAAATCAGACCCCCAAATCCCAGAATACTGACAGCCCGTGGAGCTGCGCCAGGCAACCTTTGTCCTCCCAAAAACCGGTCAGCGCCTTAAGGGCCTCGTGAGCCTGCGCAATCCCGCCGAGAGACTCGCAGTGCCCAACGAAAACAATCATGAAGAGCTACGCGGATTGCTCTCCGGGCAAATAGAGACACACCATGATGGATTTCTGAAGAAGCTCTCCGCGCGGGCGCGAGAACTGTGGCTGGGAATCTATAAGTTTATCACTTCCGAACAAGGCATCGGAATCTTGAAGTGCAGTTTGGCATATTTACTCGGATCTATGGCGACATTTATTCCGATCATTTCCTCCTTGCTTGGTTATCAAGATGGGAAACATATGGTGGCTACTGTGACGGTGTATTTCCATCCGGCGAGAACGATAGGGAGCATGTACCGAGCCTCGATTTGCGCGCTGCTTGCGTTCTGCTACTCCGCCTTCGTGTCAATCACAAGTATGTTGGTCGAGAACCTCTTCCAGGATACGCTGGATATGCCGATACTTGGCCATGCACTGGTCTTGATCGTATTCTGTGGTGGAGGACTCGGATTCGTCGGGTGGACTAAACAGCGACTCGGCGATCCACTGGTAAATGTAGCCTGCTCACTCACGGCGCTGTCGACGATCACTGTCTTGACCAAAGAAGGCGCGGTGCAGAATGGTGATCTTTCCCTTGAGAAGATTTCACAGGTTTTGAAAATGGTTATTATGGGTGTCGTCGTGGCTATGGCGGTATCATTCTTGATAGTTCCTATCTCAGCACGAAAAAAGCTCCGCGCTAACCTGGTCACAACCACCGATACACTGGCTACTATGCTGGCTATCATGACAGATGCTTTTTTAAGTGGATCCGAAGAAGAATTGACGGTGGAGGAGTATCTTGATGCTGAAACAAGGCACCGCAAGGCCTACTCCCAGCTTGATAAATTGGTCCGAGAAGCCAAGCTCGAGCATTTTATGGTTGGCACCGAGAGAGAATATCGGTTGGAGAAGAAGCTTGTTCGCTGGGTGCAAGATATTACCCATAACATGGGAGGATTGCGCAGTGCTGCAGAACTTCAATTCAGTCTAATCCGAGAAACGATTCATCGAGAATCTGGCTCAAGCGGACTCCCCACTCCATATGCAGACTACGTTGCAACCCTTGAGCGTTCGTGGTCCTTCCCTGACGGTTCGTTCCTGGAACCAATAGATGAACGTCCCGAGGCAGAACTATCGCCAGGTGGAACCTATCCTGCACAGCAAGGAAACTCGGATGCTAATGATCCAACTCTTCTTCCTGCGGACGTGTTTACTATCTTCATTTCTCATCTTGGTCCCTCTATGGTAAGTATCGCTGATATAGCTAGAGAAGAGTATTCTAGTAGCTAATATCCAAAACAGCGGTCATTGACATTTACTATGAAGGAAATCTTTAACGAGATACCATTTGGCCCAGCCCCACACTATAAGGTCTCAGTGAACAGTCGACTCCATACCAGTTTGGATCGTGCCCTTGCTCTCTACCGGGAGTCTCGACGAAAGACACTCAAATCGCTCTACGAACAAACAGAAGCGATGAAGATGAAAAGCCCCGATGCCGAAGCGGACCTAGAAGAAGTATCAGCTAGTTGCGGCCATTTCAGTTTCTCGCTTCTGGAGTTTGGAGAGCAACTCCATGAGCTTCTAGCTATCTTAGACGAGCTGCAGCTTGAAACCGAAGAGAGGCCCAATGGTCGATCTTGGTCATGGATGAAATTTTGGAACGTGGGAGACAAAAATTTTGATGCAGGTGTGTTTTCGATTCATGTATGGTCCCTTCGCGAACCTGTTTACTAATTCATCACCCTTAGAACCATCCAGCGGTGCAGAGAGTTACCGACACCTCGAGATCTCACGCATTAATGGATCAGATAACGGGCTAACGGCCGCAGTGAGGGGTCGTCTACGCCCGAACAGCGAAAGATCCGTCAAGGAGAGAGTGGGTTACCGGCTGTGGAAGTCACTCGAATGCTTCCGACGGGACGACACCAAATATGCGATCAAGGTTGGCGCTGGTGCCGCTCTTTACGCGTTGCCCGCTTTTCTTCCGTCCACTCGACCTTTCTACCAGCACTGGAGAGGTGAGTGGGGCTTGCTGTCATACATGCTGGTTTGCTCTATGACAATCGGTGCTTCCAATACGACCGGATATGCTCGTTTCCTCGGTACCTGTCTTGGGGCTGTATGTGCGATCCTGGCTTGGTATATCACCAGTGGTAATGTCTTCGGCCTTGCGTTTTTCGGCTGGTTGATGGCCACCTGGACAGCGTGGATCACCATTGTTCGAGGAAATGGTCCCATGGGACGGTTTATCATGCTCACCTACAATCTCTCTGTCCTCTATGCATACTCGCTCTCACAAAAAGATGCCGATGGCGACGACGAAGGAGGCCAACACCCAATAATAACCGAGATTGCCCTCCACAGAGTTGTTGCGGTGTTGTCCGGTTGCATCTGGGGTATCTTCATCACCCGATTCATTTGGCCCATCAGTGCTCGCAGCCGATTGAAGGATGGACTTAGCATCCTCTGGCTTCGGCTGGGTCTTGTCTGGAAGCGTGACCCACTGTCTTCCATGGCTATCAATGGCCGATCCATTGTATATATGACTGCGAGGGAGAGACTTGAGCTTGAACGATATCTCACCCGCCTTGAATCTCTTCTGGCTTCTGCACGCTCGGAGTTTGAGCTCAGGTGTGCTTTTGATGACGTCCCCTACGCTGATATCATTCGGCGTACCCGAAGCATGGTAAATGCATTTCATGCTATGAACCTTGAACTGATGAAAAGCGACATGGCCACGGCGGGGGAGATCTGTCTTCTTCAATATACGGCTGTTGAGCGGCAGCAGCTCTCTGCTCGCATAAGCCACCTCCTTACAGGTAAGACTCTTCTCATTATTTTTTCTAGTTTGAAGCAGTGTGTTGTGACAGCAGACCTAATATTCCGAATTACTTTAGTTATGGCATCGTCTATGAAGCTTGAATATCCATTGAGCGATGTCTTACCCAGTATCGATCATGCACGCGACAGGCTGCTTGCTCGCATCTATCGCTACCGCCAAGACCATGAGGTTTCTCAGCTAACGACAGACGAAGACTGTGCCCTGCTGTATGCATACAGTAAGTATATGATCCACGTTGATGCGAATTATTTTCCGTCACTGACCTCTTTCCTTCTAGTCTTGGTAACTGGCCAGTTGTCGAAAGAGATCATGGAAATCATCGCAGATATCGGGCAGTTATTTGGAGTTCTGAGTGAAGATGTAGTACAGCTAGTATAAAATATCAATAGTCTGATACGAATGAAGACAAAACCTCCTAATCATCATTCGTCGTTCAGGTATAAAATCATCACTTGTTTCGGAATTGAAGGTGGTATCCGGTTCTGGCGGGGAGACCAAGGCGGAAACCTACTCCAGCCTCAACCCTTCCATCCCCATCATCCATCACTTCCATCTCAACTCATCCTCAACTTCCTTCTCTTCTCATTCTCAGCCCTAGTCTGATGAATGCGTAGACCTTCTCCCTAATTGCCGCCCTTCGGCCTCGCCTCGTCGCACTCCAGCGAGTCCTCCAGCCATGCAGATCGACCCGGCCGCCCTGAGTCGGTCTGACTCGGCGTCAAATCCGGCTAAGAGTGCGACACCAAATGTTTCAGCAGCAGTGAAATCCTCCAGGGCTCTGAACTCCGTTCCGCGGCTCGACTTGGAGCATGCCTACACGGATCTAAAAGCCGCCATCGGGGACCAGTGGGCCGAGTACAAGGAATCGACGGCCCTTTTCTTACTAGGTATGACAATCCCTGCGCGTGCTATTGTCTAGCATCGGTGCACATCTGCTATCTCGGGGTTAGCTTCCTGACCCTGAATTGAGCTACCTGTGCTGACCTCCTGGCCTCCTACCTTCTAGGCCATTACAATCAAAGTGAATACGCGTCGCGAGTCGATTATATTATATGCGCCGATGCGAAAACCGAACATTTACATAATAATTTCGTCTGCGCGATTCTTGGAAACCTCACGCGAGACCTCCCTGATCATGGCGTCGCGAACTGGGTTTCAGCCAATGATAAGCCTTCGATGGTGTCGAAGCCGATCTCGGGCGATGCTGCGGAACAGAGATTAAAGACGGAGGTTATGCAGCTCCCTCCAAGAGATCGACGACGTATCAAGAGTATTCCAGAGGTATGTTAGGAAGAATCATTACCGTGGAGGGGGAAATACTTGTCTGCCGAGGATTGTGCTAATGGGCCATTTATAGCGCGACCCCAACGAAGTCACACCCAGTGAACTTGAGGAATACTACCTGGCAAAACAAATCAAGCTTCCAAGTCAGGTTCCAGCAAGCGCTGGTGGATTGAACAAGACCAGTAAGAAACCGTCACCCTCGTAGCTTGGAGTTGCGTTGTCGCATTGCGCACGCTATTACAATCAGGAAGATCTAACCGGCACTTTTTGCAGACTGGGAATTGGAAATCCGGAAAAGATATGCGCAACCACTCGCTGCTGAGACTGGCGAATTCCCCGATGCCGAATCTATTTATGCCCGTATGGTCCCCATGTGCTACGAAGAGTCCCTCCCCGGCGGTGCCGGCCTCCCATGTGCAGAGTTCATGGCAATTGCGACGGAAACATTCGTGAAAGAGGTCCTATCTTCAGTTTTCTCTCGCACCCGATCAAATGGTCCGTCCGGTACAAGTAACGGAATGATGATGCGCAAGTACCGACAGCAACTGGAACAGGAAGAGCTGGCGTTTACTCGTGGTGAAATCGTCAAGGACACCGCTACCGGTTTACTTCCAGTTGAAGCTAAAGAAGCCGCCCTTCGCAGACCTCTCGGAGTTAGGGATCTGCGGCTTACACTTGAGCTCAGCAGCGGGGTTCTTGGTCATATGCCGCTGATTATTGACCAGATCAAGGGTGGGTACTTCGAAGACGAGCTTGAGACTGAGAAGCAAGATCGATTAGAGAATGGTGTGGATGAGTCCATCGAGGTCAAGACTGCCGATGAGGATGAAATGGACATTGACGATGTCGACGACTCAATGTCGGACTGGGAAGGAGGCACTGCCGCAGATCGAGGCCAGTTGGGCTCCCTGCTCGACGAGTGCTTGTCTATGGCTGCATGAAGATGATACCCCCGACTCCCCTATATTACATCTGGTTATCCTTCCTGTTTTGATACCACGCTGCCACATTATATGCTTTCTTTTCTTGTTGATTCTCGGTCTTGGGCGGTGGGAGGATCACGGCGTCTGGGACTTACGGCGAGCCACCGCGTGGCTCCCCTTTTATTTGCATCCGGTTCTGGAGTTTATTGAGGATGTGTCGTGACGCCAGCCTCGACTATGTCATCCTTGCGTTTTTTTGTCTTTCGCTCTTCACCCCCCGTGGGCGGTGCGAGCCTGCAATGTACAGTATCAGCCTTTTCTATGGACAAGGTGGACGCAATCGTCAAGGGGATTATTTCTTTCACAAAACTACAAATGCAGAAACGATGGCGATGGCCTCTACTGATTGTAGAGAAGTCAAGCTTGTTCTATACCCATATATGAATTTGATTCACGATTGAAATATGCATTTCTTCATTGTAGTAGTGTCCCAGAACGCCGCATGGTGGTACATCATAAACGCAAAGCTCAATTGATTGTATTAGCAACCATCTTCAATATCTCATCCGTCGATTTGTGGGCATTAACTGGATCCTTGGATATAGACTGCCACACCTCGCCGTGTTTGGGTTCGGTTGAGACACACTTGGACACGACGTCGGATCGTTTTTCCTGAAACAAACATTAGTCGCTGATAGAAAGAGCACAACGTTGCATAACTAACCTCTGTACCGTGCTGCATCAAGAACTTGTAGTACCAAGCCCAACCATCACCATAGTCACTATCGGAGACAATGGCCTTTTCGAACCAGGTCATCGCTTTCTCCAATCGTCGCTCACCCCAGAAAATGCGAGCCACGGTGATAAACAGAATCGGGTCATTGTCCACCTTCTTAATAGCTTCCAAGCTACGAGCCTTGCGCTGAGCACGGGGCTCGAGATGCCAGATACTCTCGCTCCAAAGCAGCCCAGAAGTCGGGACCTCCTGCAATGCCTTGGCCATAAGAACTTTTGCTTGTCCAAGGTTGTTTGCGCGTCGTTCTACACGAACACTCTCTGTCCAGAGCTCGGCGCTCTTGGGAACAGCTAAACGAGCACGGTCAAGAACAGAACGGGCACGGACAACGGCGCCGGCCTTCTCCTCCAGTCGAGAAGCAAGTAGCCACAGCGCCACGGATTTGCTGCAAGCACGGGTACCTGTGCCGTATGCCTCTCGGGCTTGTGGGAATTTGTTTTGCGCCTCGTAGATCTGGCCCTTCATCATCCAAAGCTTGTCAGCCTTGGGGTAGAGCTGCAATCCTTGATTGACGAGATCCAGGGCATCGTCGATGTTGCCCAGTTGTCGCTCGAAAGCAACACTCTTAATCCACACGCGATCTGTGCCGGCTTCCCGGCGAGCAGTGGTCAGTAGCTCTCTTGCTTGGTCGGTTTGTTTGGCATCTGCTTCGAGCTTGACGGCTGCCAGCCAAATGTCTTCGTTGTTAGGGTTCTGGTTGAAGGCACGGCCGAGGACTCGGCGAGCGTCGTCGATTTCTCCAGACTGCCACTTTTCTTTAGCAAGCTGCAACCAGAGTTCCTCGCTCTGAGGACACGCCTCGACGGCTTTCTCCAGGACCTGCCACAGAGATTCTTTATCACCATGATTGCGCTCCAGGTCCGCTGCTGCGATCCAGATTGAGCGGCGGTTGATAAATACACGCAATGCGTAAGCGTAAATGGCTCGCGCGGTTTCGTACTTGCCGCGCGCAATGCTAGACTTGGCATCGTCCATCCAGATGTCCTTGCGGTCATCATCTTCGTCTAGGCCCCATCCAAGAGTCTCGTGCACAATAGCTCCGCAGGTGAGAATGGCACCTTCTTCTTCGCATCGTTCCGCCTCCGCGATCCATTCCTCTCGCTTCAGCATTGCGTTCTCGCGAGCCAGCGACTGGATGGCACGCTTCATGACATTCACCTTTTCGAAGGTACCCATTTGTTCTTGAAGACGAGCTGCAGCAATCCAAATTTCGTGGCTCGTGGGAACGGCCTTACGTGCCGCATTCAGAACCTTCTGCGCATTCTCTGGTGTCTCCAATCGAGCAAGAGCCAGCCATAACTCCACTGACAAGGGAATCATTTCGACGGCCTTGGCTAACAGAAGACGTGCATCCGCCGGGTCCTCCTCCAGGTTGACGGCTTCTTTCCAGATCTGAACAGACTGGGGAATGTGAAGAATAGCTTGTCTCAGCACATTCTTCTTGGCCCGAGTATCTGTTTCAAGCTTCATGGCCTCAGTCCACAACCTAGTAGAGTGGTCATTGTTCTTAATGGCGTTTGCAGCAATGACCTTGGCATTGTGGCCTTCATTAAGTCGAATGTTTTCCAGCCAAGCGTCTTCGCTTTTCGGACAGAGTTCACAGCCCTTCGCGATGATATTCCTGGCTGCAACAATCCGGCCCGCAAGCTCCTCAAGACGCGCTAGCGCAATCCATCCAGGGGCATGTTTCGGGTTAGTCTTGGTGACAGATTCCAGCAGCACACGAACTCGTTTGATATCGCCAACTTCAAGCTCTCCAGCTTTCATTTCCGACTGTGTCAGGCTGGTGAGATAGCCCTTGGGGTCGATACTGGTCGCACTTCCGGAGCTAGAACTTTCGGCACTTGATCCAAGTGCAGCCTGATCCAGTCTCACTTTCAAAACCTTATCACGCGCAGCACCGATGTCCGCGAAATTCGTCATAGTCCCGTCTGCGCCATCCTCGTCGCCGGCTGGAGCTCCATCATCGGCAATAGTCGTATCGAATTGCCCAGCATCTCGAGCGCCCGCGATGACGCTATCCGGAACGGCGTAAAATCGTTGTCGTAGGTTCTGCTTGGCTCGTCGGTTCTTGCCAGTCAGGTCACCAACCTCGGGCAAATTGGACCAATCCTCTTCGGAAACCGCAGCGAGGGATCGCTTTAGATCGGCAAATTGTTGCTGGATTTTAGGGTTCTTTCGTTCGTACTCTTCGCGTTCTTGTTGCTCTCGAGCTTCCCTGTAGGTGGTGAACGATTCAAGTCGGTATTCTATCCAAACAACCGGGGCTTGGCCCGATGAACAAGACGAACTTGCAGGGGGTATGGGGAGTGTGACTAACCTTCGAATCTTCCGACGTCTGTCCATCTTCTCATCTACCTCTTGATAGATGCGATCTGCCTCATCATCTTCCTGGTCAAACTGTCCGTAGGCAAATAGACCGGTGTCGTTTTCGGGATCCTGAAAACGCTCATCTTCCTCCTCTTCCTTTTCATCCTTGCCTCCCTTTTCGCGTGACTGACTTCCATACGCAGTCGGTGCAGCAGCTCCCAGAAGCTGAGCTCGTTTCGTCAGAGCGGCTTGGATCTGTTCGGGTGTTGGGCCTTCGCGCGCAGGTCCCAGGTCAGAGCGCGTGGTGAAGCCGGTCGCACCACGACCCAGACCAGCGACATAATTCTCCGGTGCCTGCTGGCTAAGAAAATCCTTGCGTCCGGACGCCATGATGAACACAGCGAGCTCGAAGTGAATTGGAGACAATAGTTGTAAAGCGGGTTTCGTAGAAAAGTAGATCCGATCCCGACAATCTTATCGCAAAAGAAAAAAAGTTGCCCACCTCGTCTTGTCTCATGAAAACACCAAGTCTCGCACGTTGAGATTCCTTTTTAATACGAAAGAATTCACAGGCAGTATATCTGCCATCGAGGGAAAATGCCTAAGGCTATCAAACCAAAGAAGCGCAACAATGCGCAAAGCGATGCAGCTGCAAAAACCTCGGCGGCCCACAGTATCTTCAAGATGAACACAGATATCGGTCAGCACGTTTTGAAAAACCCTGGTATTGCAGAGCAGTAAGTCAAGTCTATGTACGAAGCTGTGTATATACGCCCACTAAGTATCTATTCCATAGAATTGTCCTCAAGGCGGAACTCAAGCAGAGTGATGTCGTGCTTGAAATCGGTCCCGGTACTGGTAACTTGACAACCAAGATTCTCGACCATGCCAAGAAGGTCATCGCTGTGGAATTGGATCCTCGCATGGCGGCAGAAGTTACCAAGCGTTTCCAGGGCACTCCGGCGCAGAAGCGTCTCGAGGTGATCCTCGGAGACGTGATGAAGACCGAACTCCCATACTTCGATGTCTGCATTAGCAACACACCCTACCAGGTATAAACACATTGGCACACCAACAGAAGATACCGGGTGTAGCTAACCATTCACATAGATTTCATCCCCTCTCACATTCAAGCTTTTGGCTACATTGCCCGCTCCTCGGGTTTGCATTCTCATGTATGTTTACCAACGGTGGCAATCTTGTCGTGAACTAGCGTCCTTTTCAATTTGCTATATACTAATATGCATTTCTGAGCTTAGGTTCCAGCGTGAATTCGCGCTGCGTCTGTTCGCCAAACCCGGAGACAAGCTTTACAGTCGACTTTCCGTCAACGCACAGATGTGGGCAAAGATCGATCACATTATGAAGGTTGGCAAGAACAACTTCAAACCTCCACCCCTGGTCGAGTCCAGCGTAATTCGCATGGTCCCCAAGGTTCCGCGGCCACAGGTCAACTATGAGGAATGGGACGGAATGTTGCGCATTGCATTCGTCCGAAAGAACAAGACATTGCGTGCCAGTTTCCTCGGAACTACTAGCATCGTCAACATGCTGGAAGCGAACTACCGGACCTGGTGTGCTCAGAATGATATCCCGGTGGAAGATGGTCCCGCTGAGGATGCCGACGGCGATGCAATGGATATGGGCCAAGAAGAAGAGATGGAAGACGCCGAAGAGGAGGTCATGGAAATGGACGACGACGATGACGTCCCTGATTTCTTCAAACAGGAGACTAATGCTCGCCTCGAACAAGCGCTCAAGAACAGGACCTCGCGGAAGAAGCGAGGAAAGGTTTCGGAGTTGGTGCGTGAAAAGGTGCGCCAGGTTCTGGAGGATGACACTGGTCTCGCTGATAAGCGCGCAAGAATGTGTGATGAGAACGAATTTTTGAAAATGCTGTGGGCCTTCAACCAGAAGGGAATCCACTTTAACTGATCAGGACCAAGTCCCCCTTGGGACAGTCCCGAATAAAATGATGAATTATGATTACTATCAATAAAAGATACCATTTTCAGGAGGCGCGTCACCAGAAGGCCGAAGATGAGCAGCGGAATCCTGAAAAAGGCTTTGCCAGATGAATGCCTCGCTCAATAAAAGCTCGATATCTTTCTCAGTCCAACCCTTGGTGGGCAATGCTTGCAGAAACATCATAACCTCCTATATGATGATTAGAAAATTTACTTCTTGATGGTGGGACTGTGACATACCTGGAAGTCCATCTTCACCAATTGGTCCGTCCATTTAACTAAAAATGCGGCACACACGTACAGATGAAATCGTGAGAAGCCCTGCTCCTCGGCCTGTATTATTCGTTAGCATCATCAAGAGATCATATAGTCCCAAGAGACATACCATATACGTATCCCACATGCGTATCGTGTTCTTGATGCTCATTTCCCGCATGAGCAAGCAGTTCATCCACCGGAAACTAAACTGCATAAACTCAACACCCTCTTGCTCAAGATGCTTAGCAAGAGCGGAATCAATTCGTTTGGTTAAGTCGCGCAACGCTCGAACTTGTCTGTGAATACCGGGCTGCGCGTAGATATAGTTGTCTTGAATTCCGTCCAAAAGCTTTGTCAGGCACCAGAATGTATCAGCCTCCACGGCATCTAAGACACTTCGAGGTAATTGGCCGGGATCCATGCCCTCTTCCACATTAAGATCTGTAATGTAAACTCCCAGGAAGACTTGCCAAAATGGTGTTACCAGGTCGTTGATGCCCTGGACATAACCACTGGCCGGATGGCGAATGGCCCACACATATAAAATACGCTCCAAAGACCGCTGAGTAGCTTCGTATCCATAAAGTGGAATATGAGGGCTCGTACGCGGGACATCGATACTGATCTGATGCCAAACTGCCTCATCCAGTCCCCTACCCCGTCCGGTGCTTGAAGCAGGGGGGTTTGAGGCAGCGCCGCTGCCTCGTTCAAAGGCCTGCCGAACTCCATCCAAATACTCTTTGCGCTTTCTCTCCAGTGTCGAAATGCGTCGTTCACTATTCGGGGGCAGATAGCCGAGTAAAAGTTGCCAAGTCATCGGCCGAACCTCCTCGGGCACTCCAGACCATGCCAGATCTCGGAGTTCAGTAAGAGACACAGTGCTAGCCTGAAGAATGCGTTTGAACTTATTGATTCGGGAAATGCGACTTGAATGAATCTCCCTTTCTTTGGGGGATGCGCTGGTGGGGGGTGTGGTGTGACTGATGAGATTCAAAGCATTTGCGGGATCTGGCTCTCGCGTTAGTCCTCTGCTGATAATCGATGGCAAGCATTCTAACCTTGCAGAATATCCTTATACTGCGGTCGAAGGATCTTTTCATCACTCTTACGCGCCGTTGGGTACATGGGAGTGCCGCGTTCTTCGGCGATATCTGAGCTGTTTGCCCGTTGTCGATTGTTGGCCGAAAGCCCAAAGCCAAGGGAGCCAGGTTTTCCTCCCATAAGTCCCCCGCTATCATTTTTCTTGGTTTTCATGGAAGGCGTCTTCTTCCGTCTCATACTTGCAAGACTTGGAAGCCCAAATTCATCCTCGTCATCATCATACACCATTTCATCATCGTCATCGTCATCGTCATCTTCTTCGGTTGGATCCCGACTCCATTCATGTACTCCGTCAGCCATGATTGGGTATGGTTCTCTTGGAGGAGAGGCGACGTTTCCAGATCGGTGAGCCAAATGCGAGGGCGCATTGGTGGCGGAGGGTTTCGGGGGCGTCCTGGGGCGAGGGTGGGATGATGTGCCTCTGTCCATGATCTGTCAGCATAACTCCAATGCCGATCCATTGGGACTTTTCCAGAATACAAGGTACTGACTGCATAAGATTTGCATGGGAGTAGGAAGCGCCAACCACCGTGTTCTGACCATAGCTCTTCGGAGACGATTGGTTCAACGATGCGGTCCTATTTGACCAGAAAGGAGAATCTGCACGTCTTCAATGACTGTCAGCCAATGTTCATGTCGGTATATGGAGCAAGGGGGTTATCGACATACTCGGAGTTACCTGTTAACCATCGGGGAAGCTATGTTAGCTATGGACCCTGAAGCTTGCGACGGGAAATACGCACCAACCTGGACCATTTCCTGGAGTGATATAATCAGTATTTTACCCATTGAGATTATCATGTGAGTTCAAGCTTTGGAAGACTTACCTGCTGCCCCTTCTTGTTTGTCATGGTTACTACCGAGGTGATGAATAGTGCGCGCGCTTTTGAGGGGAGGGTTGAATGCGGGGCGCCCCAGCGACGGTGTTGTTATCTCCTCCAACGTCTCTGTACGAACTCAGTAAGGCATTGCGGGTCATTCAAGGGCCCGATAAGGTGAAGTGTTTCTGAAACAACAGAATCAGAGAAGAAAATGTGAACACTGAGGTGTTGAAGGTCAATCTCGTAGTCATAAGTGAAACGTTTAGTTTCAAGGTCAAACGGGCCGTGCGTATGTAAGCCACGTCCTCCGCTTTCCTCCCTTCCAAGGTTCAACTTTGTTCATTATTTCTCTCCCGATCATTTCACCATTTTCTCGTGTATTTTCTTCTTCTTCACACTTTACGATTGTGTTTTTTACTTTCACTTCTCCCATTGCCCCATCTCCTACTTATTTCAGTCCCGCAAACTCTCTGCACCATGGCCGACCCGGAGGGATTGGAAGAGGATCTTTTCGCTGATCTGTAAGCTTACTCGAATATCCCTTTTGAGATGAAACTGACGTGTCATGTCTTTCTCAGCTACGATGCCGACGAATCGACAAACCGCACTACTTCTGCGGTAGAGGCGCCCAAGCCTGCAGAACCCGCTCCAGCAGTTCCTGCACCACCTGCCGCGGAGTCAACCCCGCAAACCTATGATCCTTCGCCAGTAGACACATATGCGACACAGTCTCATTCGCAGCAGAGTTATGGTGGGGATTACCAGAACGGCTCTCAGAGCGCTTACGCTGCCCCCGCAGCACCTGCCCCCGCAGAGAATGAGTCTCACGGAACGGGCATCAAAGAAGATGGGTAAGTCCATATCCCTGCTGGTCCCTTTTTGTTTTGATTATTCCTGGGTTGTGTATCTGGCTATCTTCATTGGCTACCTGGGTGGCACTCGTTACTATTCACGGCGCAAATGCGACTCTGGGGTCTGGGGGATTGGGACGTGATTTGCTCAGATGCCAGCTCAGTGAGAAAAGAGTGGCGATTACAATTACGATCGGGGCGTGATTGACTGGCGCTATATCCACCTTGCAATATTGGGAATACCTCTTGAAGAACTTCACTCTTCGCCGCTCTCGTCTCTACAACCTTTTCTGCGTCATTCTTGGAAACTCGAGACACCAGACAGAAGCAACATCAGAGAAAGAGGGAGAAACAAATCCGGGATCCCTTGAACAGAGGAAATCTGGGCGCACCGGAGAAGCTTTGACAAGAAAGCGGTCTCCAGCAAGCTTCTTTGCGAGCGACTATATATAGTACAGCGGATACTATATAGCTTCTTATCGATATACGTTGATAGAGCAGAGCAAGAAGTAGCAACGCTGTCAGATGGAAGTTCATCAACCCCGAGCTAGCTTGGGACTGTTAGACAGACAGATCTTCTCCCATGGAGAGGAGAGACAGTGACAATTCACTTATTTCGCCCGAATTTCTCGCCTTCGGCCTTTCATCTTGCTCCAGAACGTGAAGCCAAAACAAAAGAGGAGGAACAAGGTTGATCTCGGGATCCAAGCTCGTGTAAACCAGGAAACTTGGGTTTTGCGTGTCTGTGCGGTTTCCGTATATCGACTATCCACTATCTGCCGTGGACCCATGCAGTTTCGCATTTAGCTGTATTCGTGAATAGCAGCTGAGAGCCACCAGCTCCTTAGCCAGAGCCCATATCCACCCATGGATCTTTCGCCCTGATTTTTGCTGGTCATATATGACCTTGATACTTGCGCGATTAAGTACTTTGGTTGATACTAATTCATTATGGTTAGCAAAATGTTCATCGGTGGTTTGAACTGGGAGACTACAGATCGTATGTATCTTGCTTATGGACAGAAATGCATGGAAATTTTCAGTCTAACTTTCCACAGAATCTCTGCGTGATTATTTCTCGCAATTTGGAGATGTTCAGGAGTGCACTGTAATGCGGGATAGCGCCACAGGTCGCTCTCGTGGTTTTGGTTTCCTGACTTTCCGTGACCCTAAGACTGTGAACACCGTTATGGTGAAGGAACACTACCTGGATGGCAAGATTGTAAGAATTCCTTGACAGGAAAAATACTCGAATAAGCCACTTACAATACTTTGCTAGATCGACCCCAAGCGTGCCATTCCCCGTGATGAGCAAGAAAAGACCAGCAAGATCTTCGTCGGCGGTGTCAGTCAAGAAGCGACAGAACAAGACTTCAAGCAATTCTTCATGCAATTTGGACGCGTCGTGGATGCGACCCTTATGATCGACAAGGACACTGGTCGCCCCCGTGGCTTCGGCTTCGTGACATTCGACAGCGAAACCGCGGTGGAGAATGCCCTTTCCCGCCCCCTTGAAATCTTGGGTAAGCCCATCGAAGTGAAGAAAGCCCAGCCCCGCGGTAATCTGCGTGACGAAGATCGAGGAGGTCGCCGAGGTGGCCGAGACGGAGGAGGTTATCGTGACAACATGAGCCATGGAAGCGAAAGTGCCCCCCAGCAAGGTGGTCAGCAAGGCATGGCCGGTGGAATGACACCTCAGATGATGGCACAGTACTGGCAACGCATGCAGCAATACTTTGCCATGATGCAACAGCAGATGGCTATGGCAGGCCAGGGCCAGCCCCAGGGAATGCCCGGTGCCATGGGCATGGGTGGCATGAACCCTGCCATGCTCCAGCAAATGCAACAGATGCAACAAATGCAGCAGATGAAGGCCCAGCAGCCACAGGGCAACATGAGCCCCAACCCTCAAAGCCCAGCCCCCTCCCACTCCCCGATGCCTAACATGATGAACCCCGCCATGATGCAACAGATGCAGAACCAGGGCCAAGCACAAGCGGCTCCAGCTGCTGGTAACGGAGGTGCCAGCCCGGGCCCCAATGCCGCTTACCGCCAGCCTGGCGGACCCGGCTACAACGCCCAGGAGCAGATCGCCTTTGAACAGCAGAAGTACGAGCAACAGCAGGTCCGCCGCACCATGGAGAACCGCGCTTTCTCTCCTTACCAGCAGGGCGGTCCAACTTCGTGGGAAGGCATGTACGACGAAGTGCCCCAGCCCAACAACCCCGGTGGACAAGGTATGTACTGCCGAATACGCAATACCTCTTTTTCATCTCCATGCTAACTTCTTTAGATGGAGGACCGGGTTCCCAGGTCCAAAGTGCTGCTCCCGCCAACGCCCCTACAGGACCGCGAAACGCCGGTAAGCCCGGTGCAAACTACCGTGGCGGTGGCCGAGGAGGACAAGGACACCGCGGCTTCCACCCTTATTCCCGTTAACGTAATCTTTAATGGTTTGGGATGGATGGTCGTTGTGACTCTTTACCATCTTGTAAATCTCCACCAGCTACATGTTCGGAATCAATGGCTCTTTTCTGCGAACGAGTCTAATGGGATGTGGCTCCGGGGAGGTTTCATTCTTTTCTTGTTTGTTTTTCTCTCAAAATGATCAATCCCATTGGGACATGGTGGTGTTCTCAATCTTGTGTATGTTCGCGAGCACTCAAATGCCAAATATTCAATTAAACTTCCATCCTGGTAACTTGGATTCTGTAAATACTAATATTAGGAAGAGAGGTAGGATGTTTTAGGGATTTCTAACTTTGAGTGAGGGAGTGAGATCTGAAGGTGTTGATAGTTGATAGCAATCTATGAACATGTACACATGCAAGAAAGAGCAAATTTTTCACCAGGCTGTAATAAGAACAAGAAGATTGCGAAATACAAGGAAAGACGCTGGATATAAGGAAGGTCAAAGTCCAAGATGGAGTATAAGAGACAAGAGAAGGTCGAGGATATGTAGTGAGGAAGGTGATGTCCACAGGCATCTGAAGGCGAGAATAATCATCCCCTAATCGAACACGCTAAGCGAAAAGGATCAAAGAAACCGTCCGGGTGAAAGAAAGCAAAGAACCCGTCAGGCGTTAGAAAGGTGGAAAGAGGAAGAGAGAAAAGAGGAAAGGGAAAAGCTTCTGAATCATGACTTCGGAGCGCAGGCCTACAATGCCATGCCATACCCAGCAGTAGTCGGATGACGGCCCTCAAGAGATGGGCTTCGGCGACCATGGTGGGATTCTTGGCTGTAACTGCGGTCATGCGCGACACCGTAGTCGGCATACACCAGGCGCTCCTTGCTACCAGCGGAGTCGGGCCGTGGTGGGTTATCACGGTAAGACTCGTAGGGACCATTGAAGTTGAACTTGCTCACTGCGGAGAAATCCCTTCTTGGTGGGTGATCAATCAGGAGTGAATCGCGGGCGTCCAAGGGAGTTAGGTCATCGAGGTCACGGTTTGCCTTCTCTGCCTCCTTTCTGCGCTTTTCGTGAACGTTCTCGCGGAACATGGCGATGACTGCATTGACGACGATCAGGATGGCGAGGAGGCCAGTCAGGAGAGACTGGATGACGATGAGGACGATGCCAGTTACAGTCTTGGTGGTCTGAGAGAGTCCCAGCTCATCGACAAAGACCAACACGCAAACGACTGACAAGACCCGCACGACTTGGATAGTGATTTGGATTCCTGTGGTTGATTTCCGGGCGTAGGGGCGGTTCCATACTACAAGACCCAACAACAGAACCTCACATACCAATTGGCCGGCACTTTGGACCAGTCCATGGCCCTGTGCACCGGCAATGATACAGCCCTTGACCAAAGAGTAAATGATGACGGGCACAAAGAGCCACCAGAAATCTTTCTTGAGATTGTCGTAGAAGAGACTGTACTTGCGCCAAGTATCCTTGTCGTCGTAGAGACTCGCAGTATCTCCTTCCAACTTCTTGTACTTGCGGGCCATTAAGAAAATGCGAACTGCAAAAAAGGCTAGGACGGATGTAAAGACAACCAAAGTCACGGCGGCTAACAATTTGGCAGCCCACGAGTCACCGTTCTTGAGCTGGTAGACACAGTACATCACCCAGATGCTGTACAGAATAAGAATCATGTTGGTGATAGTCCGGGCCATAATTCCCCAATAGTCCTTCCGGAAGTTGGTAAGCTTCTGGGGGAAAGTGCCATAGAGAGCCCACAACTCCAAGATAACCTTGAAGAGCAAGATTCCAACAATGACAACACCGACCACAATCGCAAAGATCAACAGCACCGTCATGAAAACGTTGGCTGACGGAATCATCAATTCCTCGGCAAAGGCCTTCATCCCGCTCACCGTGCTGTCGCTGGTGTCATTAGAGTCAGATCGAGCGACCAGCTTCACCGAGCGGCGCATCATGTCCAAGCTACGCTTCGTGGACGAGGAATTCGTACTGGATATGCTACCCAGATAGGAAACACTGTTGTCGGTAAGGTTGCCGCCGGTAGCTTTTCGGAAATTGTCAATCGATTCCTGCAGGCCATCCCAGGTAACAAGGCCGGTACTCCAGGCAAAGTTCCTGGTGAAACTAGAGTAGACAGTGGGGTAGCTGACACTAAGCATGCCATTGGTGGCCATGCTATGGAACCAACCCATCACGTCTCCAAATCCAGGGCTGGAAGTGGAGGCACCCGGGTGTGCGCCAACCGCACTGACAGCAGAGACACCACTGAAAGCAAGGGCGCCCGCTGCGATACCTGCCGACGCCCATGACACGGCCTTGAGGCTTGTTGATTTCCCATTCGTCAATGAAGACTGAACACACGCAAGTTCTCCACCGGAAGACGATTTCAAGACAAGTTTGGCCTGGCCGTCGAGGTCGGGAATGTTGAAGACAATGGAGGGGATTTGGGACGCGTAGCTTTCGGAGACGGTGTAGGTGCCTTGAGCGGAGAAGTCGCCGGATGGCACTAGCACACAAGTTAGGTTACTGTCGACGGTCATCTATTCAGAAGATCTGCTGCAGACTCACCTGGGCAGAGGGCAGCTACGTGGAACTGATCGCCGCAGGGATTAAAAGATTCGCTGTAGATTTGAGTGCCGTAGGCTGTCACGGTCAGTTCGGCGGTGACTGTTTGTTCTTCCGAGCTGGTACCAGCCAGTTCGTAGACGAGTGCTCTTGTTGAGCGACTATAGGTGATTTCCAAATTGGTGATATCGATGCTTGAGTCGGTCAAGCAGAGGTCAAATCCCTTGGTGCTGAGAGTGTCGGCAGCCAGCACATTAGGCACGATGCCGAGACCCAACAGGGCCCAAAGGAGGGATCGCATTGTGGTCCCAGAACCAGAGTATATAACGAAAGATCGAGTTAAGACGTAAGCATGAAGAAAATCGCCGATGGTGAATTATGAGATCGGTTAAAGAATGGCGATCAATGGGCGCAAGAATATCGCAGGATCAACCTAGCGATAAACGGGGAAAGCGACAGGGGTTAGAGAGAGTGACAATTAAAGATCGAGGTTAAAGAGAGTGGAAGAAGGGAGTCTGGGAAGTGAATCAGAGCCCCTTCATGGTTTACGGAGTAGAAAGTCTCAAGTTTCTCCCTAGAGGAGATGAATTCGAACCCCCTGAACCCACATGATTGGCTCTAGCCCGTTTCAGAGTCTAGACTTTCCCCCCTTTCCCCCCCATTTTCTTCCCTTTTCATTCGTTCTTTTTTGACGCCCAACTTATTCTTTGCATCGAATCATTTCTTCGGGTTTATTCAAGTCCATCATTTTAAGAATTGAGTCAGACCTGTTAACGCCGTAGAGTTGTGGTTTGTTGATAATGTGATTATTTACTCAATAATGAAGTCAAAGTTGAATAGATAAGTGGACTCAACCATGGTTGACTTAAAGAGCTAAAAGAGTATAATGGGCCCAAGCCCGCCGCCACAATAAAACCTCCTACGCAAGGCAAAGCCCACTTTGAAACATTCTCTTCATATTTGTGTGCCCTACAACGTATCCCATCCATACGTCAAATGCAGAAATTGGTCTCGCCACATTCGAGTTCAAGTTACGTGTCGATCTGCGCATCGACTCGGTTCTAGGCTGTGGATCTTTCAAGATCTAGATTTTGACATGATTGCGCGTAAACGAAAATCTTTGTCTACGGAGGACGGAATACACGGAGACACGGAGACTCGGAGACAAGTGGGAAATCCTGCACAGAAAGACCTATCAACCTGAGACATGAGCCAAGCGCCAGCCTCATCCTTAAACTGATGTGGCGCTTATTGTGGAGGCTAACCGTTTGGTCGACTGGAATTTAATATAAATGCCGCTAATTTCCTGAGTCCATTACTCTGTACGGTGGACATAATTTAATGTTACTTGATTCTTCAATATCATTTCTACAGTACGTTCAGCCTTAATTCACTACTTTTGTCGAGATAAACAACTGTGGACATTCGCTTCATAAACTCACCACGTCTTTCCTTCCAAGCTTCCAAGGTTTACATTTGTTCTACCCCGAGAATACCAAGTGCTCGTATTCAAGCTTATTAAATCAATGTTGATCTTCCAAAAATACTCTCAGATGTGGACCTGCATTATATCACTTTCCAAAACAAGGCTCTCTGTCATCCCTAGGGTATCACCGTAGTATTCTTAATATTTCTACATGCTGTCTGGACAATCTATTGTGAGATGTCTCAAACTTTGTATGTGTCATGACAGCTGCCAATAACGGATCATTTCTGCCCTTTGCTTTGCATTTCTCGCATAGCTGCCCTCGCACTGCGACTTCCACCCAACTTAGGTCCCTTGGGTCCTTCAGTCTTCTCGGTCGTGGTCCGGGTTGGCCGAAGCCGTCGTCGGGATTGGATCGCATCCATGAAGTCTAGACGGAACTTCTCGGCAATGCGATCATCCGCGTCTTGATCATCCCCAACCCCTTCGTCCTCTGGTTCATCGTAAATTTCCACTGAGAGAGTTAGCAGAGGCGGTAAACAGAGGGACTTGGTTACTTACGTCTGCTTTCACGCATCACCTGTTCCACAAGGCGGTCGCGTTCGATGTCAGCGCTGGTCCGTTGCTTGCGGTTGCGCCATACTTTATCGGCGCCAGAACGGCCAGGCCGTTCAGGCTCATCAGAGTTTGGAGACTCCTTGTCACCCGCAATCCGTCTCCGGGCAGCTTCGGTACGCGCAATGTTCTGCATTGTAGTCTCCTGACCAAGGTCGATTTCTTGTAACTTGCCCAGCGAGGCAGGCGCGCGCTGCTGATCAGGTATTGACGCTTCGCTCGCATTGTGTGTTTCAGCCGATTGAGAGGCTTCAGAATTGTCTAGTAGTGGGTTGCGTTGGGATCGCTTAGCCATCTCGGAATCTATATAGGCCATCCTTATCTTGTTAGTCGGGTATTGATCGGGCTGCGCCGCGCAAAATAAGGCATCATACATGTGCTTGTCCACGTCCTCCGACTGGCCAGTATATGTCGTGAACCGGTCAGCCATAGCCTGGATTCTGTCCGCCTCTATTTCCTCCGCAGATGCCAAAGCTGTCTGACGATTGCCGTTCTTGGATCGTGATGTGGCTGAGAAGCCTATGCCTCCTTTTCGAGCTTGATGAGGGCGCCGTAGACGAACGACATTTGTAGGCTGTGCGGTCTGATCTTCGTCCCCTGTGGACAGAGCTTCTGGCGTTTGGTTGTCATTTCTGCTTGGAGTGTCGGCCTCAACAGAGTCTGTATCATTTGCGCGTCGTGGGATAAACTTGCGTCGCTTCGAAGGCCGAAAGAGTAATTCAGGTGCGGTGTCCGCTTCATCCATTTTAGTGGTGAATAGAGTTGGTGATGAAAGGAAAAGAATGAAAGCTTGCACTGTAGGTGAGGTCATGTAGTGCCAAGCGGACCCAATCGGTTCTCTCTCCGCCAAAGCTGCTCCCGCACCGAAAAGACCGCTTCTTCCCCTGCCCTCCCTTGTCTTCTGCGCGCGTGGTTTCCAGGCCATCTAACCCCTTGGTCTGAACAATTCCTTTTGGGCTGCTTTGTCTTTTTGCGCTATCGCCATGAACCCCTCCAATCCGCCCCAAGCTGCCGAATATGGTGGAGGTACGTTGCCTTGCGCGATGCGCCCGATCTTCCTAACAGGGCCTGAATATCGACAAATCCCAAACCAGATGCTAACTTATGTCACTCTCAGATGAAGTCTCAGCCATTGTTCTCGACCCGGGCTATTCGACCATCCGCGCTGGCTTCGCTGGTGAAGATGCCCCCAAATCACTAGTTCCAACGTATTACGGCAAGTACAACGCCGATGGCCAAGAGAAGTTCATTTACGGAGATGACATCTTTGTTACCCCGCGCCCTGGTCTTTCCATCCACAACCCGATCGGCAGAGATGGCATTGTTGAGGATTGGGACATGGCAGAGAAGGTATGGGAGTATTCGTTCACTTCGCGACTCACAGGCGCGAAAGCAGGCAATCCATTCCAGAATGGACTGAACGATATCCCCAGTGAGGAGCTGCCCACAGAGATGGAGGTGGAGTCGGAAGAGAAGCCTTTGGCGGACAGCCCATTGTTGATGACGGAGCCTGGATGGAACCCGGTCAAGGCACGCGAGAAGACCATTGAGATTGCCATGGAGAAATGGGGCACCCCAGCTTTCTACTTGGCACGGACTGGTGTGCTTGCATCGTATGTATCTCACAGATGATCATCAATACCCAGCGCGGCTTGCTAATTCCCTACAGTTTTGCTTCTGGTAAAGCCTCTGCTCTCGTGGTGGACATTGGCGCTTCGAATATCTCCATCACCCCGGTTCACGATGGCATGATCCTCAAGCGAGGTGTGCAGCACTCCCCGCTAGGTGGAGATTATATTTCATCCCAGATCCGCGCACTGTTCAAGAGAAACTCTCCGCAACCCATTACTATCACGCCGCACTACCTGATCAGCTCCAAGAGCCCCGTCGAGGCTGGCCAGGAACCCCAGGTCCAATTCAAGACCTTCGCTGCCGACAAGGCACCAGATGCGTCCTACCGCGCCCTTCTGGAAGAGCGCACCCTCGCCGAGTTCAAGGAGTGTGTCGTCCAGACCTGGCCCGGACCTAACAGACTCTCCGCCACCGGTCCCAACGGTGTTTCCAACGAAGACGCCGCTCGCACATCCCCCGGCCGTCCGTTCGAGTTCCCCGACGGATACAACCAGGTCTTTGGCTCCGACCGGTTCCGTGTCGTGGAGTCCTTATTCGATGCTAAAGCTCACATCCCTGATCCCGACTCTCCTTTCCCTCCACCCACCCCCGCCCAGACTCTCCCTGAGCTGATCAAGGCATCCCTGAGCGGTGTGGACGTGGACCTCCGCCCCCACCTGCTAGGCAACGTCGTCGTCACCGGCGCCTCCAGTCTGCTCTACGGCTTCGGCGACCGTCTGAGCCATGAACTAATGGCTCTGTTCCCCGGTCCGCGCGTTCGTCTGACGGCTCCCGGTAACACTGCCGAGCGCCGTTTCGGCTCCTGGATCGGAGGAAGTATCCTGGCCAGTCTGGGTACTTTCCACCAGATGTGGATCTCCAAGAAGGAATACGATGAGCACGGCGCGAACATTGTAGAGAAGCGCTGCAAATAGTTGTCTGTCTTCATTCCTTGATCTTTGTGTTTCCATGGGCTACGTATTATGAACTGTGTCCATGCTGTTGGTCATTTTCTGGGCGTTTACTGCTTAGGCGCGAGTATGCGGATTTAGGCTCGGCCGTGGGTCTAAAAAATGAATTCTAGATATTTTTAGTCCCAGTTCGAATTCAATTATTTTGTACGACTAGTTGATTGTCCTTCAGAATCGAGAGATGATTCGCTTCTGGTTCTGGAAGTATAAGAAATGCATGTCAAGAATTATGGGTATAAACAAAGGCAATCGCCAAGGATTGCAGAAATGGTATAAAGATTAGAATGACGGAACCAGCCGTCACCAAAATCGAAGCTGACATCCACATATACATATCTCAATGTCAACCCCGCGCACACTCCACAGCCCTAGCCCTATACTCCCCCGCCACAGACTCAATCGTAGCAGAAGTAGTAGTCGTAGGAGTAGGCGGCAAAGCCGGAAGCGCCGTAATAATCGACCCAGAATCACAATCTGAAATCTCATCCCCTCCACCCCCACTCATTTGCACATTGACAGTGCCACTCATCTCCTCATCCAGCGCCATCTGGACGGAAAGTACATGAATGCGCGGCGACATCTCAGGTCTTTGCTTGAACGTGTACGTATTCAGTACCTCATCTGGGACCCAGGACATCTGTTTTTCGTCCGGTGCGTCTGATAGATCTGAGCGTGCGCGCCAGGCGTTAGGCGATTTTGCACGGAAGATACTGCAGGGCCAGTCTTTGGCGGATTTTAGGGTCCGGCTGCATGTTGCTGATTTTGTCATGGCGTCCCAGGCTTCGACGACGCGGTCGGTTTTGAGGAATTGGGAAACTTGTTCTTTCATTGTGTCGTAAGTTTCTTTTTCTTTTTGTTTCTCTTTCTCTTTCTCTTTCTCTCTCTCTTTTTCTTCTCGTTCTGTGCGGTCTTGTTTAGGGCTTTGAGATGGTGATAGGGGTGGAGATTGGGGTAATGGGGGTGGAGGGGGATGGTTTATGGATTGCTGGGTTCGGGGACGACCAGTGTTTGTCCATAGCGCTTTAAGCTGTTCCATGGAGACACTGCGGGATTTCAGGGTCCGGTCTGGAGCCGTAGCGGGGCGATTCTGCGTAGTATCAGCCTTTTCGCCTTCACTAAGCGATCTTTTTGGGAGGAAGGGCTTGGATAGTCTTCTGCTCAATCTGCTTGCTGTTCTTGGACGAGGGACTGGTGGTGGGGGAGAAGTGGAAATGGAACTGGAGTCCATGGCCAGGGCACTACACGATTTTGCGCGACTGAGGGCCCTGGGTATGTTACTTTCTCGCTTTGTAGCATTGGTAGTGCGACCCACATTGCCCTTTCTACCTGTTCCCTCCTCGCCCTTTGAGTTCTTTGGTTTCAGTAGGGGGTCGGCGGGGAGCGGTTTTTCGGAGGGCAGGGGGGAGAAGAGCTTTCGAACGGATCGATTGCGAGTGGGTTTAAGGGGCTTTATTGAGCGCACTTCTTTCCTGCTTGCTACGCCGACTCGGTGTTGCATCTCGGTGACTGCTAAAGCGAGTTGGGCGAGGGCCTTTTGGAGGGCCATGCCGCGACGGCGGAGCTTGGAGAAGGCTTCGAGCCAGCCTTCTAGGTTGTCCATCATGGCTTGGTAGAATGCTTTAAGGCTGTGGGATTCGAAGCAGCCTTCTTCTGATAGTTGGAGGAGGTAGTGCCACAGAACACTGATTGCTTCTTTCCCTTTGAGCAAATCCCGGATGGTATCAGTGATGGCAAGTGTAAACCGGTCAATGGCATGCTCAATCTGATCGTGGTAGGCGATCAATGAGAGGCGAAAATTGCGATCCTCGAGCATCTGATCGAACAAATGTAAGTTCCCTAGGGGAAGACTCAGATATTGAATCCTCGTGCGGACATCCATGTGAATGATCAGAAAATCCTCTGTCGTCCTCTGCAGAAAGCCATCCATTTCATCAACATGGGTTTGCAGGATCTTCATAACCTGGGGCTCTGATTTGGCGAGTCGCCTCGCCAGCAGATGGACTCCAAAGACCATCTGCGAGATGAGCTTCCAAAATGGATGATATCTGAGCGTGTCAGCCCTCACACTTGACTCATGTCCCTTATCTGGATGCTCACCGTTCAGAGGAGCGTTGGCGCCATTTGCGACCACAGAGTCGCTCATACTCATCATTCTCCAGTAGATCGCGCCGACGGGATTGTGGATCGATATTGACAATCCATTGACTCGCGGAACGATCATTGGTTTCGCGAATCGACTCCTCAAAGGGACCTTGAAGTTGAGCGATCGGATGTTCCGGTGAGGGTTCTGTGTCGTGGGACCCATCTGTCGAGTCCTCGTCGGAAGTGGGAGTTATGGGACTAACAGGACTGCGCCCATCGGTATCCAAATAGCTGGGGATGAGCATTTTGAAAAGCTGCGAGAATCACAGCGTGATCCCAGTTCGATATATAAGAAGTCCAGACTTTGTATCGAAAATTTGATCCGCAGTTATGCGCCTGATAATTACAGCATAGCCGGGGACAGTTGGGTATAAAATCGTGATCGGAACTAAGTCATTTTGGAGTGGAGAAAAGGCTGGAGGCTGAGAATGAAGGCTGAGGTCGAAGGCTGATGTTGCAAGGCTAGAGTCTATAAGGATCTGATTCACGTCAGAGATGAGACAAAGACAAAAGACAAAGACAGGTACGAATACAAACCTGAAACGGAAAAGCGCCACAAGACCCAGTTGAACCACGGATTCTCACGGTTTCAAGGTTTCAAGGTTTCGGGGAGAAAAGAAGGGAAATATCAAGTATTTAGAGATTGAATAGATATTATTTGCACGTTCGGGTGAGATGGGGCTTAGTTTTCTGTTTTTCTGTTTTTCTCATTTTCTCTTCTCTAATCCTCTAATCTCGGTTGGGAAATCTGTTTTCCTTCGAAATTTCGTCAAATTTCCCCCTTTCAAGTGGATCCCCCTGTCACCCAACCTCGTTCCATGGTCATAACCCAAAACTGACAAATGGCCATCCATCTCGGAAAGGGTTTCAAAATTAGAAGAACCAAGTGACGATCACGGTACAGCCAACTCACCAAGGGGAACACTCACGAGTACGCAGAACACAATTTCGGATTCCCGGATGACGATCCCCATTCGCTCTCCACACGAGGGGCAAAACTAACCCGATTTCGTGTCGTATTCCGCATATCTAGAGTTCTAGCCCCGGGACTGAAAGAGATCAGATATGATCAGCAGTTTAATTTCACAAACTCCTAGACTTAGTAGCTACCTGATGCGATCTCGATAATCTACTTCCACAATCCAATGCTACATGTCTTGTTAGAACAGGAAGGTACATATTCCGATTAAGGACTAAGTACCGAGTACACATCTACGGAACATCTGCTAAGGTCCCCACCCATCAATCCATGAATCATGTTTTCCAATAATAGCAACAAGGCCACCTGTAGGACTTTGGTTGCCACTTCGGAAAGCCTTGCAGCGTCGTATACGGTATACCCATGACTTGTCATATGTCCCCAAGGATGGTACAAGTAGGTATTACATCCTGTGATGCTGTAGCTCTGGGCGTGCAGCTAGGCACCAATGCATATAGTCCGAATAGATGTCGTCAACAGCTGAATCTTGCTATCGCCCAGGGAAAGAAAGGGCTAAATGGTAGGCGGGAAACAGACGAAATGGTCAAGATCTGTTTAGAAGGAGAGAAAGAGAGAGAGAGAGAGAGAGAGAGAGAGAGAGAGGAATCTAGCTGGAGCGAACGGAGGTCACCTGATTCCACACTCCAATAGTGTTTTAAATGGAACGAGATGTGAAGCAATATGAGATCAATCTATAGTACGTCAGTGCTGAAGCTTGATGAACTGTTCATGTGGATGATGCTTCCCCTATTTATCTGAAACGTGGAACCTTACAGCTCAGGCTCACATACAAGCATCGAGTCTAGTCCAACCATAACTAGTTAGTTACTTATGTACCCCTATCTTGTCCATTTCCCAGTCTAGATTAGTTGGTGCAAACGGCGCCCTCTTAATCCCCACTTGATCCACTCTGTACAACGGCTTTTGTTCTACTCAACCTCTTATTCGCTCAATACTTTCTTCTTTTGTTTCTAGCCTCGGGACCGATTCCTTTCTGACACTTGCTAAGACTTTTTAAAGTGGGATCTACTAATGTCGAATGGGTTCAACGGCGCCTGCGCTAGGACTGCTCGTTTTGTTTTGATTTGCTTTTTCTTATCCTCTTCGTCTTCACTCTTTTATTGATCTATTTCCTGACATGTTTTGATCTTATTTTACGTCCCGACGGATTCGGAATAATGTCCCTCATTGATGAATCTCGACAATGGGAGTTTCGGGCCGTGACTATTATCATGACTGCGCTGGCCGCGGTCTTTGTTGCTTTACGATTTCTGTCCCGCAAAGGTAGACTTGGGATTGATGACTATGCAATGCTGGTAGCATTGGTAAGTATTTAGAATTGCTCCTACATACTTTGTATCTAACCCAGTGCAGTTTTTTCTATGTGCGGATGCTGGTCTCAGTTTGACCTGTAGGTTTATTGACTCCCACATGGACTCGGATCTAATAGTGCACAGTGATACAGTATGGTTTGGGACTACATGCGAGCGTTCTTTCAACCCAAAGTTTGGTGCTGATTACCAAAGTGGGTTTGTGATCACCATCTCCCGATCTAGCTAACGTATCATAGTTGTTGATAGCATATGAATGTGTCTACTGTACCACTGTGGGCGTCATCAAGATTTGTGTTCTTTTCATGTATATTCGCATCTTTCCTACCCGGGGGTTTCGCGTTGCCACCATTACTTTGGGAGTAGTGATTGTTGGATGGATCATTGCCATTGTTTGCATGAGTGTTATTCAATGCGCTCCTATCCAAAGGGCGTGGGATACATCGATCTCGGGAGTATGCACCGACACGAAAACCTCATTTCTCGCAGATGCCGTGCCCAATATTGTCATCTATATCGCCATCCTAATGCTACCAATACGAGCTGTGTGGAAAATGCACACTACCGTTACGCGCCGCCTCTCCATTGCTGCCGTTTTCTTTCTGGGCATCTTGTACGTTAGAATCCAGCATCATGAAGATACGAAACTGACTGACCATCTTTAGCGTTGTTTTTACAAGTGCCTATCGTCTCGCCACGCTCTTTACATACAAACCCACAGATATTTCCTGGACGCTCGGCAATGCATCCATGTGGACTGTGATTGAGTGTTCGAGTGGGATAATCGCAGCTTGCGTACCAACCCTTCACCCGTTGCTGGAAATAATCTCAAGTCTTCCCAGAGGCTCCCAGATCCCAACAGATGTGAAGATCTCGGGTAGAAGGGGATCTACAAAGTTGGCTTTTCGGCCTCCAGATGAGCTATTGGGAAAACCGATGGTTCAGCTAGTAGTGACACGGCCCGATGACTTGGGAGATGATGTGCCCTTGAATACTATCATGGTACGCCGGAGCATGACATGGCATGAGTCCAATTGTGGGAGGAATTGCAGATCACCACGTCATTGGAAATAGAACTATTGAAACAACTTTCGATTTCACCATATAGAATTTACATTGGATGGCTTTTTAGACAGAAACCTGATCATATCTAGATAATATTTATTTTATAGCACAGGATGGATCCAAATCAGTTTCACCACTTCGCTCATATAGAATCTATCTCGGACCCCAGTCTGAGACACACTAATCCATTTCCGGCTTAAGCTTAGCTTTGAATCCTGAATTGTTTTGAAAGACACCATCATGTGTGTACTATATCGTCAATTAGATGTAATTCTCTAACCAAAATACTAGAATCTTGCATCTTGAGCTTGCTAACGACGTTTCCATCTACTCATTCTATTATTTTACTAGCGAGGCTTGATAGAGCGGTGAGGTTAATATCCTTCAAAAAGTGCGCATATGGGCAATTCATGATAGGACATACTTTTGGGAAGTACATTAAATGCCAGAAATACCATGTAAACATAAACTCCTAAATACATTTATTATCTACGCATCCATATTCAGCGCGTTCGTTAATATTCACTATCAATTTACCACTCTCTAGCTGTTTCCTATTCCTCATCCACTTTTCACTCCCCTTTAATCTCCCACATCGCTGTTAATTTCCATATCAACAATGTTTCGGAATTAGATAAAGGGGTAGGATTGTTGAGGCAGAATATTTACTTCTGCTTAGTTAAAGTTGTTTTGTAGCGTAGCTGGAATGCCGCCCAGGTATGTGGATATTTATTCGACGAGAGCAAAAAGGAGTTATCGATCTGCAGAGCTCATATTTTGTAGCCCTTGCTTTATTCAGCCGCACTATTCAAGTATGTGGCTATGGTGATTGTCCTATTTCATATAGAAGCCCTCTACTGTCCCATGCAATGCCCTGAATTTGGTCTCAACCCTATTTTCCGAGCCGATTTCGAAAGACAACGCGCGTAAACATGAAGTTCTTTGCAGTTCTCTCTACGGTCGCTTTTGCCGCTTTTGTGGTAGCAGGACCATTGCAAGCCAATAGTCAAGGTGGAAACGAAGTTGAAAAAAGACAAGTAAGTGCTTGACCCCTCTGCTGAAAAGATGACTTGGGAATACAGTATAAAGGCTGACGGAGATGGGATATCGATAGGATGTAAGTGCTCGACCCCTCTGCTGGACAGATGATTTGGTCCTTTGGAGATGTATAGGCTGATATAGATGGTGTCTGGATAGGATGGGCTTGTAAGTGCTTGACCCCTCTGCTGGAGAGATGACTTGAATACATAACCCTGGAGGCTAACAGAGATGGAATATGGACAGGTTGTAAGTGCTTGACCCCTCTGCTGGAGAGATTATTTAGAGATATATAAGCTAATGGAGATGGAATATGGATAGCTTGTAAGTGCTTGACCCCTCTGCTGAAAAGATGACTTGGGAATACAGTATAAAGGCTGACGGAGATGGGATATGGATAGGATGTAAGTGCTCGACCCCTCTGCTGGAGAGATGATTTGGTCCTTTGGAGATATATAGGCTGATGGAGATGGGATGTGGATAGGATGTAAGTGCTTGACCCCTCTGCTGGAGAGATTATTTGGAGATATATAAGCTAATGGAGATGGAATATGGATAGGTTGTAAGTGCTTGACCCCTCTGCTGGAGAGATGACTTGAATATATTACCCTGGAGGCTAACAGAGATGGGATATCGATAGGGTGTAAGTGCTTGACCCCTCTGCTGGAGAGATGACTTGCATACATGTATATATAAGCTGACGGAGATGGGTTATGGATAGCTTGTAAGTGCTTGACCCCTCTGCTGGAGAGATGACTTGAATATATTACCCTGGAGGCTAACAGAGATGGGATATCGATAGGGTGTAAGTGCTTGACCCCTCTGCTGGAGAGATGACTTGCATACATGTATATATAAGCTGACGGAGATGGGATATGGATAGCTTGTAAGTGCTTGGACCCCTCTACTGGAGAGATGACTTTATATATTCATTTTAACAAACTCTAGTAAACGTCTCCTTGTGTGGGATGTACCTAGCGTTGGAATATTTGGAGAAGACTTATTGAGGTTGGACCGATCTGATAGGGGCTTTCATATGTCTTGGTCAAGGTTTTCCCTATTCAATTAGGTTTCCCTCTACTGTTATGCGAATGCAAAGGCTTCTTGATACTACTGGGCTGGATAGCATTTAATATAAATCTCCTAATATTCAATCACAAAAATTATATGTATAATTTGATCCTACCTTCTCTCTATAAGAGAGCTTCATATTATCTTCTTCCTTAGGACTAAGGGCTATTAAGTATATAGAGTTTAAACTACGTCCTCTATATGATATATAAGTAGATTATACACCTTGGCTTTCTATTTTTCATATACCTAATGAAGCCTTTTAGAAGCTTATAATCTGGTCTGCTTTCTTCCTACGCGCAGTACTGAAAGATCTGAATTACTATAGGGGGTAATTAACTCTTAGGCAACCCAAAGAAGACTCTGTGTAGGAGATCTAACCAGAATATGGTGTCACTGATGAGCCTAAGGTATATGTTGATATATGTGCTACGGAAACTCTGGGGGTAGGAACCTTGAACAGCCATCTACTGATTTCTTCAATACGACCTTTATCATCAAGGCTGGTCAGGCGTAGATCTTATAGATAGACTTCATTTGGTAAAACTGCGGCTGGTGTATATAGCCGTCAGTTGCGCTCTTTGCCAATGAGACTAACTTACCTTGCGACTGATGGAAGTGTATACTACCGTCATCTTGTCCCACTTCAATTCCATAATTTGATGGATATTCGGATGACATATTTTATGTTATCATTGTAGTAAGACTAGTCAATTTTAGGACTCACGATGGTCAGTACTAAAGGCTAGTCGCTAATACATTTCATCACAGAAAGCAAGAAGTTAATCCACTTGATCTACATATTATGCTCTCCACTCAAACGAACACTCTAGGGTTCAGTAGCTAACAGACTTAAATCCGAACTCTAGCCTAGTGACCGGTTTAGGGAGATCTCCTTTTGTTTGCCTTATTTGCAGAATCAACATTCTAGAAACTCCGAACGCCATACGAGCCCAGTACAGTAGCTATTTTTGTCAATTATTTACAACTGTACTAAAACACTGTCAGGAAAAGGAGTCAGGGGGAGTAACTTTCTTCGAAAGAGGGTTCGAGAAAGAATATCTATTTGCAAGTGGTGAATCTGATTTCGATCCTCCCTATAACTTTTTACTTTTTTAAGATAACTCAGTGTTTGAAATTGCACCTTTGGATGTATGATATGGAATTTACTCGATAGAATTCTTTGGATTCTAGGGATAGTTCTGATCGTTTCCTTACTTTATAGATATTTCTGCCTGAGCCATAATTTCACACATACTCCTAATCGGAACTAGCACTTTTCAAGGGATTGGTATTTATTAGAAGGGTTTCACACTTCATCAATATATATTTAGAAATTTTGTTTCTATTATACAGCTAGCTTAAATAAAAGCAGCGTATAAATGTTTTCAATCATCCAAGTTATACATCGCCAGATCTTGGTTCATCCCAGGAAGAACATAAACCGCACTTTCCTTCCCTCCAAACACCTTTAACGTCTTTTCTCCTCGATATTCGAAACCGATCTTGTCCAACACCCTCGCGCTGTGGGCGTCATCTCTAGCACAGAACCCAAACGCCGAATTGACCCCGAGTTCTCTCCCCGCATACTCCAGTAATGCAACTCCCGCTTCGGTGGCAAATCCCTTTCCAGTTTCCTCGGGTAGAATTGCATACCCAATATCGGGTGCCAAATAGGAATTTGGTGGCTCGCCTTTCATCAGCGAAACGGTACCGATGGGGGTACTTTCAGACAAAGGCGCATTCTCATAAGGCTTAAGCGAGACCACGAAGATGCCGTATTTGTTTCGGGCATAGTCAGCGTGGACACGGTTGCGAAGGAAATTGGAGGCCTTCTCTGGCGTATCAATGCCAGTCCGGCCGCTTGATTTGATGAACTCTTCAGTATTCCACAGTTTGACGAGGAAGGCACAGTGTTCAGGGGAGTCGGGTAAGAAGTAGGAGATATGGAGGCGTTCACTAGGAATCGAAAACGTGGGAGAAGCCGTAAATGCAGACGAAGACGACATATTTGCTTGAATCACACAATGGTTTATGTGGTAGCCGAGGAATAGTGAACGATAAATGGTTGGTAGTAATAGTGGTGAATTTGAGAAAATCCAGAGCCAGGAGGTATAATAGATTCCTGCAATAAGCAGCGTATTTGAGAGGCTACCAGTTAGCCTAGCCTACGATAAGGCTCAGCCCAAGTCTAGGATATTCATTGTGTAATCATAATTGTTATCCGGCTAAGGGTCGGAAGTCCGACTTCTGATAGCTATAGCCGCAATCTCAAAATAAAGTGGCGATTGGATGATCTCCCGAATTTATACTCCGTACTTCGTGATAACCTTTTTCAGTGCCACGTAATCCCTAGTATACCCCTGTTATAGCCGATCATCGTCTAGATCATCGTCTAATCATGGCGGCTCGGCTCGGACGATTATTACTGGTTTGGTCATTCCCCGCACCCTAGTTATGCAGATGATCTTACCATCCAAAAACCATCTGTAAATACCTTGATCAGCCGCAGCAAAATTCACGCCGGTACTTGTTACCACGTAGCACAAATCACCACTTAATAAGTATACTGAGTTATTGATACTTGAAGTGGAAGGTTTAAGATGGAGAGAAATGTTAGTTTATACGTGGAGAGAAGTGAAAGAAGTATCGGGTTAATGTTCTACCGGATAGGGTATACTTAGTATATAGTGAATCAGCGTTATGGTTTGGAACAAATGTGCATATTACACGTATCAGTATTAAACTAGTACTTACCACGTCCACTCGGTTGGAGCGAAATACCCCTAGATCAAAAACGCACCATACATATGTGAGCGATATTGCTAGTCGGTCATTTTTCTGGTTCGATGTTTTGAAGAAGCAAGAGATTACGGTCCGCCATTTAGGTGATTTATCTAAAATCCCACTTCCTCAGAGTCCATATTTTACATATTGAACTATACTGGAATGGTCTAGTGGTAAGATAAGATATCGAGTCCACTTTTTCGGTCGATATACCCCTCCTCTGAGTCACTCATATTTGATGAGTTGCTCAATGCCGATTGATGCCGGCATATTTGTGAGGCTGTCCGCAACCAATTTGTCTGATGGAATTCATTTAAGTCCGATACATATTATCATAGAGGGGTAGATATAATGAAATATCCAACTGTTTTCCAGTAACACAAATATGAACTAATGTAGTGAATCTTAAGAGTCTTGTCTCTTCTCAGCCTGCCATTTACGTAACGCATCAAAGTCAATACATTCATGTACCCACCCCCCTCCCAACCCGCCAGCTGTCAGCTACGGTGGTGTATCCCGTGGACTGGCAGGTTCCAGAACAGGAAGTCTCCGCATGTGATCGAGAGGCGGAGATATTCAAAGCAATGGTCAACATGCTCTTTTGAGTCCGCCATAATAGTCTCTGATTCGTTGACGGGTTTGCTAAGTCGAGATTCATATTGACGAAAGCGTAGCGGAACAACATTCTTATAAATTGTTACTCAATGTTAGATTTCTGTTTGAAATACCAAGATAGTCATTCTTTATCGAAGAGACCATTCTGCCACTTACCAGTCAATGAAGTTGATGAAGGTTTGGCAAGAGGTAGAATCGCTCATCCGTGTTATCCTCAGGAAAAGGATCGGAAATACCCTTGGCTAGGCCATAGTCCGAGAGATTTAGCAGCCAGATGGAATCGCCCTCTGAAGGTTGAAAGTTACTTTGTCTCTGGTGAACTAGCAAGAAAATAGCTTACCTCTCGTGATTTATATCCAGCCGTGATCGATAGCATCGCCGCTGCCATAGTACCTGTTGTCGAGCACAAATGGTATTTTCGCCCGCTGATCAAAGACCTCGTTGGGTATAATTTTTATAGGGACTCCTAATAAGGGCTGGTAAAGTTTGTGAGGAGGAAGCAGTTTCATACAGCATCAGCTTATTTTTCAGCGATTCATTATATCTACTTATCAGATCCAAGATCTACAGATGGTTCACCAACACTATTGTCGTAGGGTACTTTGCTCTCGTAGACTTTCGGTCCATGTCTATTCTTCCCTATTGAAAACTTCCGTTCCACGGAAAAGGCTATCGAAGAGGGCTAGATCAAGACCCTGTAGATCCCAATTATCAAACAGAGCACCCACTAGTCCGTATACCTGCTCGGGCGGTAAATCGCCGTTAAATTCTGGGGGTTCATTGGAATTTGGGGATGGCAATTGTCGAAATTGCAGTGGTGGGTTATCAATGGCAAGCTGATCCCCACTTTGGTATGTGAACGGGCAAGGTGAACGAGGTAGGGACGCACAGTCTTGCTCAATCTGATTAGAAATGGAGACAATGGAATCTTCGAAAACCACCCGGCGCTCAAAATTGATCCTTCCAAAGTAAGGAATATGGATATGTAGTGCCTTGCCGCCATCAGTCAACTTGCCAACAAATTCGAGGTCCCCCTCGTCACTCTTGGAGGAGCTTGTGCTGTACAGGGTACCACTGTCGGCACTTGCCTCGATTACAAGTAGATGGTGGATTATCCGGGCAAGTTTAAATGTGATTCCATCAAGACCATGGCTGGCAGTTGATTTCATAATTTCGAGCGTGCGCTCCATCATGGCGCGGTCGCTGGGGCGACTGTGCGCAAGAAAATTGAAGACAGTGCTGTAAGTAGATGCTTCCGCAGATTGCTGACACTTTTTGCGAGATTCCATATGCGCGATGCATAATACAATGATAGCTATGAAAGCGAGACACTCGTCACCGCGACAATAGAAGTGGACGGGACTTGAGGTGCGAAAGGCTAGATATCGGGAGATAATCTCCCGGCTGGCTGTGACGGCTGTGATCTTGCTATGGTCATATCTGTGGTCGGCTGAGGCGCGGAGCATATATGGTAGATGCAGTCGGATCAGCAGGTGGTAATGGGCGAATTGGTCCACGAGACGAACTGTATCGCCAAGTAGCTCCGGGTCATCATTACTTGGTGCGAAATTTGGTGTTAACCACCACTGAGCAGGCATATCGGCAGCAATCTTTTGGAGAAGCTTTTCATCCTCATGGGTTGCATTGAGGTTGTTTAGGTCGGCCTCGGTTCGTCTAAGAATATGCTCGGCAACGAGACAGTGAATTCGCTCCAGGCGATCCATGGGAGAACATCCCTCCAGAGCTTTTGGTGTGGCAAATGTTGCCTCCAGGGACGTTGGGGGCAGGCCTAACATAATGGAGAGGTACCGATCCATCTGAACTAGACGAAAGCAGATCTGGTCTGCGTTGAAGACTGCTCGGGTAGCAGACTCCAGAAACTTCAGGGAAGGTGAATCGAGACCACGGCTCACGACCATCATTTGTGCCACTGCGGTAGCTCGGTGCACAGCCATCCACGATCGATGAAGATTCCCGGAATGGTTCTGGTATAAAGCCTCCATCATTATGCACTCTATTCCCTCGACAGAGCAGATGAGCTCGTCGTTGGTAGTCACAAGTCTGATAGCTGTATCGACAACTCGAGACATTATGTCAAGATAGAGAGTACCGAGCCTGCCCAGCTCGTGCATCTTGGACAGTGGAACACCATGGATGAATGCTCCAAGCATGAAAAATTTACGCGCAATTAGGATTGGATGAGAACCTGGTGGGGGTAACTTGAGCGCGTCTTTGAGTGATAACATGTCGCCCAAAACACTGGAGCTTTGTGAAAATATGTCACCGATCAGCCGCATTGTTGGACCACCTGGAAGGGTGCAAATAATGTCGAGATCATCTTGGCTAGGCCACGCTGCGATGAGTTCTCGAGTCACTTTCTCATATTTTCCCATGGGTCCGCCCCAGCCTCGAGGAGTATTTAAGGGAGGCTCTTGGGGTAAATTTGTCATTTCATTATGAGCGTTCTGTGGATATTAGCAATTAGTCAAGACCGGGGTCTGGGAGAGAACGAACTGCTGTGGTTCTTATCGACGGTGCTGCCTTTCGCCTAGACTTTCCTTCATCGTGCGCCAAAGAGTTCATAGAAGCTGCATGGTCAGGGTAACAGCTTTGATGTTGGTTCGGGCCAGTATTCTGAGTTAATATCTCGATGAGTTCCTCCACCCGGCCAAGTCGAGCGTCTACCTGGTTACCAGATGGGACCGGGGTTTCTGGGAGTTCTTGACTGACGCAGGCAGTTCCTCTTCGTCGACAATTATTGCAAATGGTGTTTTCAGACGCAACTGTGCATCGGACCTTCCTTCGCTTACACTCCCAGCAGCTTTGTGTGCCTTTGCGAACCTTTCTCCGCTTGGCTGCGGGGAAATCATTTCGGGGCATTTCGGACATCTTTCATCTGCAATGAACATAGTACATTTTTCAGGCTTGGTCTGTTGGCTTGGGAGATGAAGGACCTGGTTATCGCCGAGCTATCTCGGTCGAAACATATTGATTGGTCAGCTATGTAGGTGGTGTGCTTCGCCCGAGCTCGGCGGTCGAACAATTCCGCATCCTTCAAACCACCAGCACAACTTTGAACAGTTTCCAAGTATTCTCGAAGTTGCTGCTGATTTCTGGTTAAGAATGCGGAGATATGCACATGTGGATTACAAATTATTTTCATGGGTTCGACCGAATCTCGCCTCTGGACCTCAACATACATAAGCCTCGACCAAAGATCAAAAGAATCCAACATTAAACCAGTCTCACCTTCCAAAGTTGCTTAATCTCGTCTTCATTAACCGATTTCAATAATCAGCAACTTTGTGTCATAAACCGACTTCCAAAGTTTCTCCTGCTCAAGTACAATCAGGAAAATTCAAGCAAAATGGTCAAAATTGCAGTTGCTGGAGGCTCTGGAGGTAAGTCTTACATATTACCGAAAATTGGAATCTTTACTTCCAGCACTAATCCCCACCAGGTGTTGGGCAGGAAATTATCGATGTTCTTCTTGCCACTAAAAAGCATGAGATACTGCTGCTATCCAGAAAGGTGGGTAAAGGATTACAGGCTCAACTGTTCGGTTTTACCTAATTGCCCGTTAGAATGCGCCAGCTGAAGGGATCCAAGGCGTGACTTGGATCAAGACAGACTATTTGGATATACAGCAACTGAAACAGGTCCTGCAAGGAGTACACACTGTACTGTCCTTTGTGACTGAGCAAGACGATCCCACAAGTCCGAAGCAGAAAAATCTCATCGATGCAGCGATTCAAGCTGGTGTCAAGCGCTTCGCACCCAGTGAGTGGGCATCAGCTGGCACTGTACATATGAGTTGGTATGCATACAAAGAGACGACTCGTGAATATCTCAAGGAGATAAACAAAGACAGGAAGGCAAGTTTTATGGGGTTCCCACCCTAACAGAAACTAATGATCTTGATCTGATAGGTTCTTGAGTACAGTCTATTCCAGCCCGGATTTATCATCAACTACTTGACTCGCCCCTATTCATCGGCCAAGCACCTTCCACTCATCGATTTGCCATGGGACTACCAAAACCGTCGAGCAATAGTAGTAGATGGAGGCGAGAATGTATGCCTCACCTTGACTACAGTGGAAGATTTAGCCAACGTGGTAGCCCGAGCCATCGAATTTGAAGGCGAATGGCCCGTTGACGGTGGTATCAGCGGGAACGTTATCACAATAGGCGAATTGATCGCCCTTGGAGAGAAAGTCCGGGGTACGTAACATGACCATGGTATATGGTCTGTCGCTGACCATCATGCCCTGCATAGGTGGTACGCCCTTTACCATTGAAAAAGTCCAAGCGCAAGACTTCACGAGCGGGGAATGGAAGACTTCATGGATGCCGATAGCCGACCACCCTTCTATTCCACGAGAGAATCTTGAGGTTATGTCGAGGGTTATCCTCGCCGGGATTTTGTTGGCTGTTCACGCCAATGAGCTCCATGTTTCAGATGCGTGGAATCGGTTGCTGCCGGATTATAAGTTTATGCCGATTGGTTCGTTTTTGATTGAGGCTTGGAGTGGGAAGCCTTGATAGGTGGAGGTTGTACTAGTCTGGCTTTGGTATGTGGCCACGTAGTAACTACTCCATGAGAATAGAAGGTTTTCTAATAAAGTTCTATAACTATGTAATGGTCGAAGTGTATTCTTTCTAGAACACAAAGACAAAGTTCAATACAACTTAAAGAATCACATGAACCTCGGCGCGTGCCGGTATCCAAAGCTTAAAATCGAAATGGCAAGTCGACGCCTACCATGGACCTGTTTTAGTTAACCTCCACATTTGGAACGGAATATCCGACGGAGATGAGGAAAGTCAAAGCCGGCCGATTTCCCCATATATACCTCATCAATTGTGCGGGGTACTTCATTAATACCTAGATGCCGCGAGATCGTCCTACCATGTGGTCAAATCATATGCCGATATAGATTAATTTTGACTAGGTGCTCATCTAGACCCCTCCAAATGTCCTGTTTCTCGGCAGATGGGCAGGAATTGATCGAATGGTTCGAGACAGGTTCACGAACGTAAAGTCTGGTCGAACCAGTATTTCATGCGGGGATAACAAGAACAGTCTGGTACCGAGGACATCAAACCCTGGAACACTACTATACCACCTAGGTAGTATAGTCACATTTTGAGAATTGAATACAAGACTATTCCAACTCCAATTCCATCTCATCCTAATTACCACCAATTACCACCAATAACTCTCCCAATCCCATCCCTCGGCTCGCATCACCACATGGCATAACAATTAATCTACGGAGTATATCATCTAATAAACTCCAACAATGAGCCCCTTCTAGCCTTACCCCCTAACCCCAACCAGCAATCCTGCCGGAGAAAGAATGCCATTCTAGAATCTAATCCTTGCAAAAAAGGAATACGGTAGCAACAATGGCCTCACCCTAGTACAACCGCCGATCAATGAGATGTTCCCCTGCATCGCTTATCAAATGTGGCGGAACTAGTGCGCGTGCGTAATTTACGGTCCCGTTTACGAGGCCGCGAATATGCAGGAACGGGCGATTTAACCTCTTTCGGATGGTCGGCTCGAGACCTCGGGCCTGTTTCATCTGGAGTGGGGTTTGTGATGGTCTAGATTGGTGGGGGTTGGTCTTCATTTTGGTTTTGGTTTTGGTCTTGGTCATCTATACGGATACGGATACTAATTCTAGGCGTTTCTGTGAATGTGTTAGCCTTGACGAAACGTTTTGGATGAGGCTTTAGGATTGGGTTATGATCCACTGCGGGTCTTGATGCCGTGTTCGACGGGACGGGACAGCAGAATTGAACTTAGAACTTGAACTTGAGCTGAGCTGTAATTTTGTTGAATTATATGTAAGGTAAATGGTGATACATCAACGCCATTGGTCATAAAACAAAGTGAAGTAGGGCAAAATACTGTAGACCTTTTTAGTGGGAGTTTTAGTAACATCGCTTGGTCTTTCGCCCCGCCCTTAGTCCCCTTCGGGAATCTCCAAACTCTAGTGCGGATTTGGCCCCCTTCATGCGTTACTCCGTGCAAATGTTGCTGAAGGGTCCCAGTCGCGACTAGTGTGTGCCGAGCCAGGGGCCCGCGGGCCAGAGAAACTCGTAGCAGGGGGCACGTATTGCGCCTCTTGGCCGAAATGGACGTTTTGATCAAACGTTGGGCTGGGGCTAACCATCGGGCTCCGCCGCCCGGCCATGTGGGCGGGGCTGGGGGATCGCATGTTGTATGTGTATGGCTCCGGCGTCTTGGCGGTTGTGGTTAGCATCTCGAATCCCTTCCCAGCGTAGCGATCGTTGGCATCGACCGAGATAAACTCGTGACGGTGGTCGAAGCCGCGGCCGAAGAGGTCGAGCCAGCCAGCGAACATGAGTGGGCGGGCGAATAGGATGAAGTTCCAGAATCCAACTAAAGATAGTAGGTAGACCATTGCGAGTAGGGTAGCTTCGTTGGGTCCCATGCCTGACGCACGGCTCTTGCATTCCTCTCTAGTGCCCCCGGAGGCTAGACAGAGGAGCCAGGGTGCGGCCTTTTTGACATTGGCTGCGGTGGGGTTGATATCTCGGTCCAAATTGATGAAAACGACTGCGAAGAAGATCACGTTGCCGAGGATGATCAGCACCAAGGTGACTCCACGCCATTGCAACTGTATTACGCGTTGTAGGCGACGCCAGGCCTGGCGGGCGGAGACGGTTCGGATACTGGAGCTGTAGGTTGGGAGACCAGAGTTGTTCTCTGAGGACGATGCTGACTTATCGAATAGCGAGCGCAGATAGATGTGCATGCAGTAGGCCATGGTGGATACCTGCAGTACCAGGGAGGCGGCGGCGAATGTCATAATTGGGATCCAGTAGTCTTTCTGTCCGTTTTCGATATTTATGTGACAGATGTCACCAAACCGGTAGGAGACACCCGTCAACTTTAGCATGATGGCGAGGCCGATAGCAGGGATTCCAAATCCACAGAGGAAGGCCCCCCACATGAATTTTGGCCCCAGCACGACCTCCCAACATACTTGCAGATGAAATGCAATCGTTCGGATGAAACCTGTCAGGGTCAGCGGAGCTTTGGCTTGATATATCGGGATACATACTCCAGATAACCACCATCCAGCCCCCAAAGAGTAACAACGAGCCTGAAAAGGCACAGGAAAGATCAGAGTACATGTCATTAGGTGTGATATCGTTGTAGCATTGGTTAGGTTTTGCGCCGAGGGGGATGATAAAGGCAATCTATAATCCGTCAGTATATTTTCACAATACCCTGCCATAAGACTTGCCTCCATGCAGCAGATGCCCAGAGTAAAGCAGATACTCAAGTAATGGCGATTGGTCCATTTGGGTGCAAGGACGGCGTATGAGATCAGGATGAAAACACATAGAGGTAGAATGGCGACACTGATCCAGCTAGCAACTTCGACGCGTTGCGCAATGTCTGAGTTTGGTTAGAATATGACTCAGACCAAGTGTGGGTGTAACTGACTATCGGCATATCGCCAATTGGCGAGAGGGCACGGCAGACAGCATGATATAGTATCATTTCCGAGGGATACGTCTTCGCAATAACGGCCTGCAATGACTGTAGAAGAGTTAGATTTAGATCACGTCCAAAACCCGATTGGGGGGGTGACTTTACATCCACCAGTCGTGGGAAATAGGCTCTCTTGCAAGAAGATGCCTGGACAGTATCCAGTCAAGTCCACCATGTTGTTAAGCCCAGTTCATGAGGCCTAGAAGAAAAGCAAAACGCGCCAGCGCGATAGAATGCGCTTTGCGCTAAGGAGTGTGTGAGAGAAAAGGAAGTGGGAAACCCTCGATATACATGCAAGAAAAACCCGAGTGGATCCCAAGTGGGTCATGCACACGAGCGATGGTCGAGGCGTTGAGGGGGAAAGTTTAATACACGAATACAGGACTAATACCGAACAATACTGTGGAAATACAGTTCATCTCGTACAAGTTTGGAACTCCCAAAAGATCAGCACTTACTAGTACCATGTTTGGGACGTAAGTGAAAGCCATGGATCCAATAGATTTAGTTCATGTCGATCTTAGCATGAACCACGTTTACATACTTCAGTTATCACTCAGGGGCTACAGTCTTGATCTTACCGGGGCTTCACCGGGCCGGTTCACATAATGGCTCTGTTTGGTCTCAAGCCACTAGTACGGAGTAGTCGCGTCAAATCTAGATCCAGGGGGTTGCTGACTGCTTACTAGGATAGGCTAGTGCATACCCCGAGTTGATGTTACTCTCCCTACGGAGAACTCTCCACATAGAATATCCATGTCTTTCGTACGGGTTTTCGTATCTGCTGTACCATCTTACTTCAATCACAGTCTCGTGCTGATTCACACAATCAATTTGTTCTTGGCCGATTCTTCTTCCCGGCCCATCGCGCCAATCCGTCCAATCACCAACGTTAATTCGTCTGCGACCGTGACCGACATCCACATTCGTTGTACATACAACCAATAATGTCTCACACGGATCTTTTTGACTATAACACTCGATCAGTCCAGTCTGCCTTTTACATCTGTCGATCGTTGGACCCCTTTCTCTCCTACCAATCCCCGAATCTCAGCCCGTGCTTATCTAGCGGGGAAGTGGAATACGATTAACATCCAACAGTCACAACATGCAGTACCTTTGCTTATTGACCAATAATCATTCACTAGCTTCAAAACAAGACCGGTCACATGTGCAATCGTCCAATGCCCTGGAGACTACATAGCCCAGTTAGAAAGTCACCTGCTCGATCGGACCCCTCTTTCGACCTGCCAAGTTCGCTAGTTATTCGAGAACTTGCGATTCATGCACCATCAATCCAGCCTCGACTGCCCCAATCCCTGTCCAGCATCCACACAGTCATCCCGCTGCTCTTCTTTTCCCTTGACGGGTAACCGCACTAGACTCCGTCCGAAATTAGTCTCACTCTCGCAATGGTATGAACACGCCACCACCAATGATTGAATTGCCAATACGATTAGAGTATCGTGTTTCGCCTCCCCCACGCGTTGGCAATCCAGCTACTGCGTCCGGTTACGGACGAGTTGACTGTTGACTTTTTGGATTTGGTTTACAGGCAAGCGCCGTGGATGTGACGGTCTCAGCGTTCGGGCTGGGTAGGTAAGTGCTGACCAGATGACTACAGGGAGAGGATTGGATGGAGGACTCGCTACGAGAAATTGATTTCAAATGTCGAGCATGACATGGATGGTTGATGGTGGCTCAGTATGAAGTTCTATGTGCCTGGGCATTCCAAGATGACACCTTCTTCCACTGTAGAAGATCAGAAACCGATACATTGAGTTCCCCGCGTCTTTCAAATTGGGCAATTCGACACCTAAGAGAAATGGCAACACAACTATAATAGTTAGATGAGAAGCCTCATTTCTCTTTTCTGCTTTTGTGCTTCCTTTATCCTCATCCTTCATACATTTTGGATGATAAATAGTCCTCGATGCCCTCCGCGCCTTGAATCTTGCTCGGTACAGAGATATCCCAACGGTCGAAATGAGAACCCTCGATCGTTTCTCATATTTCAAGCCAATATCATCGACAGTAACCCAGACGCCTCTCATTCTGCATTGTAGATCCGACACAAGTTATTCGCAGCTCCAATCTGGTCTCAATTGAAAGGAAAGATCTGGAATATGAGTGTGACGCCATAGGACTAGACAGGTCGGTTGTATGAGTGGCTAAGATTGTGATCTATTCTTACATCGCATCCACATCTGAATGGGTATCCACCTACCACGTGCCTCCGACATCCTCCGCTCTCCTAGGATAGCATATGTAGCGTTCGGGTGCAATTTTCATAAGTGCCTGAATTTTGCGCCAATGATCAGGGTACCAGATTCAAAAATCATGGTGCCACAATTTTCTACAAACAAAAATACTACCAAGTGCTCAAATTTTATCCGCCGAGTCCAGTTTAGTTCCCGTCTGGTTCGGTTCAGATGAAGGACCGAGGTGAAGATCGCCCGGACGGGGTGTCTTATTATGCTATCCCGAGCCTAGAACATAGACTTTATCGCGATACCTACCCCAGCTTCATGATAATTCGGCCTATCCGATATTGGCATCCCGAGGTTTTTCGGACAACTTCTTGGCATTGGTTTGAGCTCAACCAGTTTGGTTCGGTCCACCTTCCACTGTCAGTTAGTGGGGATTTGACTAAGCTACTGCGGGGAACAGAGCTATATTGATGTAAAACGGGCTTAGTGTTATGTATCATAACAGGGAACCTTGGAACTGGGAAGATAAGGAAAGGGGGGGAAAATAAGAATAAAATAAGTAGCTTAGCTGAACAATGACGTTTTATTTTCGGGAGCTGGGTTAAACCTGCCGATATGATGCAACATCGTGTAGAGGGAAACTTGTCCGAGGACTGCTGCAGACTCAAAATCTGGGCAGAAATCGAGGGGGAATTTTCTCAGAGCTATATGTACATTCTTACTCTTATATAATTATGAAGGCGGTTCTGAGAAGAATCCTGCCTGGCTATAATAATGCTATATTATGATTGTGTTTTGCGACCTGCTTGCACAGGGCTTTCTTCCCAGATTCGCGGTGGGTCTTGACCCTTGTAGCGCCTGTAACTAACAGGTCTGTTCGATGGTCTGAGACAATGCTGGATTGTCGCTGTACAGGTGGCGATATTGACGCCCATCTGAAGCGAATTATATGGTTCGCATGCTCATGGACTCAAGTTGCCGGTTCGCTTTGAAGGGAATTCATGCCTCGAGTTGCATGCGATGATGTAAAGATATTGGTTATTCAAAGAATGCACGCCTTTCAGGTCCCCGCCGGCTGGAGGAAGCTCTCGTCCCAGCTCCATTCTTTGAGTAGCTGCTGGACTCGGTACTCGGTAGCCCAGCCCAAGTCCGCCTCGATGGCTCGGAGTAACCGAATATTGACTCGACGTTCGCGCGGGTCCGTCAAACACTGGCCGCTAACGAACAGAGGCTGCAGCGAGTTGATGCGTACACTGCCCTCTGGGCGGGAAAGGCCAATACCCACAATCTCTCGACTGTGAAAGCCGATTTCAGCTTCGATAGATCGATACGACTGGAGTCGCAGAGTGATCGTGCTTCGCCGACTAGTAGATTCATGCGGTTTATTGATCAACAGCAGGATACGCGCCATGTGGTAATGTTGCATGGCCGAGGCGCACATGGGAATACTGTACCACACTTCCTGCAGACTGGCGAGATCCTTAATTTCCTCGGGTGAGTAACAATGCGATAGTTGGGAGGGTCCGACCCTGGCGGACGCTCCAAAGGTATCTGGCAGGCCCCTGTACCAAGCATCCAGTTCGGCTTCAAGCCGGTACCACCGCTCAAGCAGGGCCTGTTGGGAAACCCCTAGAGGTCCACTATCGACAGAGTTGTTGTCGTTCAGTCCGAGATTGTCCCCAGAACTAATGAAATTGACAATCTTTGACAGGATCCATACCAGGGCATTGCAGATAAGATCCTCTTTCATGAAATCGTCCCCGTCGGCATACCCTGTGACTGCCGTATTGCTCGGGCGCACGAATCCCATGTGGTCTAGCCGCAGACCTGCGTCGGTCCAAAGTACAAGGTCTTCGGTATTCAGCCTTGTATGGCACTCGTTGATGACTGCAGTTGTCAGTGAGTTCACGCTATCGATCATCACCAGTCACTCACATGCAGCCAGATAGTCCTGTCGCGCAAAATTCCAAAATGCCGCCTTTCGAGCCTTCGAGAGGGCTGACTTCCTCATTGTCTGATATGGACTGTCTCCATCCGATGAACGTGACTCCAGAGGCATAATCCCCACCTCGGCTACATCAAGCAATGATTTTACGCCGCTCAAGTGTCGATTCCACGCCGGGCCCGTCGCATCCAGGAATTCATATACCGACAAGATGGCCGTCGCTGCCAGCACCTCATCGGAATGAACGCCACGCGACAGCCGACTATTCGACACTCGCCTGCGACGTTTACGAGAATGATGTGTGTCTTCGCACAGTTCGGAAGCCTGCCATTGCCCAAAAGCCTCCGGTGTGCTCAATGGTGGCGGACCCTCCGCATCAGGCTGGAGCTCTTTCATGAGCAGTTGGATGGCCTTTTCATAATATTTGGCTCCGTGCCAGATAAAATCATCATTGTTGCCCGGCCATACCTCCATACCAGCTTGTCGCAAGCAGACCCCGCCCATCTTCGCTTTGGAACCCTTGACACGACCTAGTTGTTTTGCGGCATATGCGCAGGCAGCATATTTGAGAAGCGGGTTCGATATTGCCCGCACTGGGACATAGGATGCGAAGTACGTTCCTAAGTCAAACAAATCCATCCTAGGGAAAGTTAATGGGAGTATTATCCAAGAGTTCAATATATCCATACCAAAGGCCTGGCCCTTCTGAATAATGACGCAAGAGGAAAGCCACCTCGAAATCAGTTTCAAAATTGCTTTCTACTCGGTGTTCGAGTACTCGAGATGCAACAGATCTTGATGGCAGGGGAGCACTTCTCTGATCGGGGTGGAGGGTTGCGGAGTCGATCGACGGAGACATAGAGTGAGAGGGGTTGAGGAGGAAGTTGATGTTGGTATTATTACTGCTGACCGACAAGGACATGGACGGCGACGGAGGGGGCATCGCGCTGCCTCGTGATCGAGATGGGGAAGGGTAGGAGAGGCTGTCGGAGACGGAGGGATGGTCTAGGGGAGAATATACAAAGCGATCATGACTTGCGACCGCGGATAAAGCCTCCAGGCCATGTTGTTCTGCATCACTTGTCCTCGACCCACTACCCCATCGTTGGTTGCGCGACTCGGCCAAGGCCATGGCACTAGATTCGGCTAGCGAGGTTTCGAGGTCATCGGCGTACGGGTCAGAGTTATCGACGAAGACGACTGGAATTATAATCAACAAAGAATCTCTGGATTGGAATTTTCCAAACTTACCGTGCTTCGGAATATCCAGCCAAATACTATCTTTATCGAAGGTATTCTTGTACGAATAGAACCCTTGAAGATTGCCACGGCCTTCGGGCGACCCTCCGGGCTCATTGTTCATAGACGCGTTCTGCTGATGGCGAAAGACGATACCTTCGCTGGGTCGGCAATCTCGACCACCCTTGCGACATTGGGAGCATTTGGGTTTTTGTTCGTCGCCTGCAAGCCAGTTAGCCGGGGGGACGGTCAGGGCGCGCAGGGATGGGGTACATTTGAGCTTTCGAGTCCGGCATGTCAAGCTATGTGGCGTTAGTAGAATGCATTAAATATAGCAGGTGAGACTTACCAGCCAGTTCTAGAGCGCATGGCGTAGCAGGCGCATGTGTGGAGGTTAGGCCATCCGTGATTTAAACCCCGGAAGAAAAAACGAAACCTGGAGTTCACTTGCGGGGAGACCAGGTGACCCAGGGATCACGACCCCCACAATACACACTTGACCCGATTTTGTTCATTTGACAGTTTACATAGACTTGATTTTGAATTTTAATATTAATAACCCCATTCCTCCATTGTATTTGATATTTCATTAATATATCTATTCATTGCAATCGTCCTGTGTCGGCCTTCTTTGCGACCGCACAGACCAGCATAGCCTGGGGCTAAGCCCCTCTACGGATCATTTCATACTTCCATACTTCCAAGGTAATAATAGTAGAAAACATTGTTCCAATTTGAATGGGATCGGTTTGACCCACTAAATTTGTTTCTGAATTCTTGTCTCAGGTACCCACATAACTACCTGTTCGCAGTAGGTAGATCCCAAGTGGGTCGAGATGTCCAAGTCAGATTGATCTAGATTCCAGACATCATATATCAGACCTCACCCTTGACTCGTGCATATGTGGACTCTTCATGTCTTTTCGGTGTCTTAGAAAGGTTATCAGCATGCATGCATATCATGCTTGTTATTCGGATATGAGCGTTAGTTGTTCGCTATGGTGTATTTGGTATCCATGCTTCACAAGTAGCATATGAATCGTTTTAGCTTCAATCTTTGAAAGTATCCGATCCGCCTCTTGAACTGAAAGCCGAGTGTATCGAGACAAATACCGCTATTTTTGAGAAGTATTCCCCCGTATCCTATTCCTGTCCAGCCACAAAACAAAGGTACCTGGGGTATAATCCGCCATGACTTGCCGCCAGGAATCCTTATCAATCAACCTCACTCGCATAGAACATATCTCTTAAAATCCTTTCATAGTTTCCTACAAACAATTGAAGAATCAAATGCCAAATACCTATTCCACTGCTGCGTTGTGGGGCAGTTGCCGCTTTATCTCAGCGTAGAACTCAGTCCGGGTGAACATTTCCTCCATGTTGGCAACTTACTCGTGTTTATCATTTATCATTCTTTCTCCTCTGGCCTAGTTTCGAGAGAGGAATGACGTTGTGGCTATCTAGGTAGATGTAGGTTTATTCCAGATAGTGGCGTTGACTATATGCCTTTCCTGGTATCCAGTTGTTGTATAACTACTCGGCCGTACTTCGATTTGTATCACGATACATTGAATCTTTAATATTACTACTTTCTAATGAATCCGCTAGGTGGAGATGTTTCATCCCTTAAAACCATCGAGACATTGGAAAGTACGGAGTACAACACTTGCTGCGCCCCGTACATAAATTTCGAAGATAATCCGCCCACCTGCCCTTCCTGGAATGACGGCTGAATGCCGAAAGAATCCACCGTAATCGTGCAGGTTCTCGGAGGTTTTCCATGGTCGATCATGGACTGATTTGATTTGTGTTTTTAAAACGGCGCATACGTATGCCCAGCCTGGATCGCGTGTGGACCGGGATCCATCGTGAATGGGGTCAAACACATGGCATGTCAACCTTGTGGTTTGACTAAGCTCTGGACTGACGGCAGTGGCTTGAGGCGGCCTTATTTTGCATGGCCATTGCGCTCTGGTTTGGTCGTACCACGGGGGTATTGGGGCGGGACTCGGGTAAAATGGATAAAGAGGAAAGAGTCTTAAAACATGTGAAAACTCTTACGGAAATGATCCGATGTGGAGGTAAAATTCGGTGGAACTGGCTGGTGGGGCCGGTTGCATTCATGAATAAAAACTGGCTATCTAACAAAAGACAGAGATGATATCTAGAAACGAAATAAATGAAATATCTGACAAAAGTGGCGATTAACCACTCAACATAGCGACATGAACATGGCAAGAATAGGAAATAATAAACAATGAGTATCAATGCACTCTATAGATCATCAAGAGCGGTCGTAACCTCATGCTTTTCGTCTCCAGGATAGAAATGCAGAAGCAAGTGGGCCCGAATGTACATGCCCCGTTCATTTACGCATGGGACAATTACTCGGAGTGAATGTTCTTCTCTTCACTCTCGCTGCTCGTGCCAATGTCGGCCTTCTCGCTGTCACGCTCAACGTGGTGGCCGGGAATGTCCAGACCCAGCTCGCGCTGCATCTCGGCGATCTGCTCCTGGGTGAGCTTGGGCAGCTCCTGGGCAACCTGGAATGGCCATTTGCCCTCGATGTGAGCCTTAGCGAAGATAATGTCAATCTCCTCCAGATCACGGCCAGCGGTCTCGGGGTAGAAGAAGTAGGCGAAGGGCAAGGCGATGAAGTTAATCAGGGCGAAGAAGAGGTAAATTCCCCAACCTGTGGTGGATGAAAACACCGGGGTGAACATGACGACAGCGAAATTGCAAATCCAGTTGGTGCAGGTCGAGGCCGAGGCAGCCATGGTACGGGTGCGGAGAGGGTTGATCTCGGGAGGGTAGATCCAGGGCAGAGGCAGCGTAGTAAAGGCGAAGAAGCAGATAAACAGGAAGATGCCGACAACGGCACCCTTCGCGTTGGAGGTGGTGGGGTCAATCAGACAGGCCATGGTGATGATGAAAGAAAGACCCTGACCAGCGAAACCAATCATGAAGAGATTGCGACGACCAACCCGCTCAACCATGAAGAAGGAGGGGATGGTAGCCAGGGCGTAAACCGTAGCAAAGACACCACCTAGAATCAAGGGAAGCTTGCCAGTCATGTGCAAGTCGTTTTGGAAGAGCAGAGTGGAGTAGTAAATAGCGGCATTGCAACCAGTGAACTGCTGGAAGAACTGTCCAGAGCAACCAATCATCATACGCTGGAATTCCTGAGTCTTGCCAAAGGTGAAGAGAGTCTTCCAGCCGGCCTTAGCACCATTCATGGCCATAAGATCGGCCTTCATAAGGGCGATGTCGGTGACCACATCCTCGCCATCGGGGGTACTATCGTGAAGAGCGGCCAGAACCTCGCAGGCCTCCTTCTCCTTACCCTGGATGATGAACCAACGAGGAGACTCGGGTAGCATCAGAGCACCAACGCTGACCAGGATAGCAAACAGAATCTGGAAGGCAACGGGGAATCGCCAAGCGACGGAGGAGTCGACGTAGGAGAGACCAAAATCGAGCCAGTAGGCAATGAAGGTACCGACGGCGATAATGGCACCCTCGAAGCAGACGAGGAAACCACGGTTGTGAGCGTGTGAGCACTCGGACTGCCAGACAGGAATGGTGGCGGTATCGGCACCGTTTCCAAGACCGGAAATGACACGACCAATAACAAATTGGCCCAGACCCCATTGGGGACCGAACGAGGCAACGGAGATGACAGTGCCGATGATCATGAGGATACCACCGCCAACCAGGATAGGAGTTCGGCCGATGCGCTCACCGTACATGAGGGTGAAGATGGCACCGAAGAAGCAACCAAGTTCGTAACAGGAGGTCACAGCACCACGAAGGACTTGGGTGTGTGCACCATCACCAGCAAGAGGAGGGAACTCATTGTCGAATTCGGTACCCGAGATGATACCGGACATCAAACCCTGATCATATCCGAAGAGAGAGAAACCGACAACGGAAGTAAAGGTAATGGCCCAGTGGAGGTAGCGACCTCGCAGGCCAGATGTTCTTGTCCACATGATGGATGACCTCTTACCTAGAGCGTATATACTGTAGGGAGGATAAGAAAGACAAAAGCGACACAGAGAGGAAAGCTCGGACTATGGGGATGGGGGGGTTTCTGGCGCCTTATGTACTCTGTATATTTCCATTTGAGAGGTCGGACCCATTCCCACGCGGCCCACCGCTGGTACATGGGTACGTTGGTACCGTAGCGCCAAGGGCGAAAAGGTATGGAAAAGGTGACGTCGTAGGGTGGGCTCCCCAGGCAAGTCTCGCGAGCCCATCGGGAAGGATCAGAGGCATAAGCGGCTGAGAGTTCAGTTTCCTTATGCGCAAGATGCGCTATTTGCCAAGAGGGGCCAAGCGGCTAGCGGCTTTGAGTTTTCGGTTTGGGGGCGCCACATACGTGGATGCCGCATTCGGGGGACCAGGGGAATGTGGCGCTACCTTGGGTTTGGATGTACAAATGGAATAGATTCTTGGGATGATCAACCGATGGTTCATACATTTGGGCGCCACCTATATAGGCAGATAGTGGCTGTTATCTTTTGTGTTTTGTGTTTGCCACCAATATGTTTGCCTGAAATATCCAGGCACAAGAGTTCACTAGCCCACAAAGTTGCATTTGTGGGGAGAGGGGACACGGATTGACTTGTGGAGCGGGTGGAGGATCAACTTTAAAAATTGCCACAAAGAGAAGCTGCGCCGGAAGCGGTGAGTGGGTCCAGGGTCTGAGTTTTTCAATTTCTCTCGAAAAACCTCACATAATCAGTTAGGTACAACCGAATATCAACCAATCAATCATCAATTTCGTCCCAGTTGCCTATTTCACTGTTGTCCCCCGATAATGACCGTGTTTCCGAAGCCCGACGGCCGGGGGAAATGATCACGGCCCACCCGGCTTTCCCTTTAAGCCATCTTATAGGTCCCGATGTCCTCTTTTTCCCCAAGTTGACTCCCCGCGGGGATTCCGTTAGGCCTACGGGATTACGTTGGAGGCGTTTTATGCCGTGATCTCATCTCGGTATGCCTCCCCCCACGATACAACGTGGTTTTTTGAGATCTCTCTCCTCGCGAGGGGCTCTACTTACAAAGTACTCCTCTTAGTAGTTAAGAATTATTTCACATGGGTCGTTTCCCACATCTAAATCCACTTCTCCAGTGTTACGTGATGCTTACTGGTCATTGGTCTGCGGAGCGGAACCTTGTTCCCGATACTCTCTTCTTATTAGCCGTTCGCTTAATTAACGTGTCAGCCGTGGGTACCTGGATGTTCCGTTGGGGGAAAATTAAAAAAAATCAAAAAAAAATCAAAAATCAAAAATTGGGAAAAATCTTTGACAAAATTTCGAATAAATCTAACAACAATGTTAAAGGTCCCGAAATTATCGGGAAAGAAAGGGAGGCCGAATGCTTGACCGCGCCGCTTTCACGGGTGGCGTACGTAAAGTTTGACATGAGATGGGAAGTACGGTTGTGGCAGACTATAATCCACGGTTGGTTTGATAGGTACGGGCTACGAGAAATGTGTCGGGCTCAATGCATGAATAATGAAAAACAATACTCCGTACATTAATTTAAAGGATCCATGTCCAAGGATCAATACATCGGCTGGGACCGGGATGGAGATGTTGAAGTTCAATAACGGCCCCATCTAGAGTCTAACCATGTGGACCGCAATAGAAAATACCAGTCTTTGAGTTCTTGGCAACGCGCGACAAGAGGTTTTTTATTTGCTGGCTGGAAAAGCGATTATGACGACGGCATTCATTGTAGATAGTAACCGAGTCTGAGTGCGAGCTCCAAATTGTTGACTACGGAGTGGGGAATACGGAGTATGTAGTTTACTATGCGGTTTCCTAAACAGTTCATCATATCAGGCACACCGCTACTATTTACTCTGTACTCTGTTATCAGGCACAAATGCACAGAAACCAGCGCCCGTTGATATGGAAGGAAATATCTCCGAAACCTATGAAAACAAGGGAAATCTCATCCGCAAAACTCTAAGAACGCGCGGGGTCATCTACCGTCTATACCCATATCAACAGGGATGCCGTCTTGGATAGTCACACGCCATCAGATCTGGTATACCATCATCAGGTAGAGTATGTCGTATGGTCATAGCTTCAAATTCATGTTGATACGGAGCATAGGAACACGCAAACCCCCAGGCCAATAAACCTGACCTCGGCATAAAAAAGTGAAGGCAGAAATTCTTTAATTGGCGGGCTTGCGCATACAGATCTATCAGACAGTCACATGGCAAAGGCTTGGCATCGTCTTTCACTAGCGTATGACGGATGAAAGGTTCAAGCGCTGCATGTGGTTGAGGTTTATTAGGGCAGGTTATGCGCTCGGCCGCTTGCAGTGCTCAGATCTGCTTCGGGTCACTAAAGCGGCGTTGGGTGGGGGCTTAGCGCGGAACATCCTTTCCACCAGTCAAAAACTTATGCGATCTTGGTCTTAGATTATGAACATGGCTTGTTCATGATTCAAATTGAAATTATCTGATCTACACTGTCTGGCCACATCCGAGGAGACACGCTAAGGGTGCATTAGCGCGATGCTCTATACATACGATTATCTAATACCAGCATTATGTTCACTTGTCTTCGTCGAAAACTGAATATCAACCAATAGGAAGATAAGATCAGTAGTATTAAAATCTGGGCTGGTAACATCATTACAGTGAGATAAATTATGATCTGGGCGGTATTGTCTCCTCGGATGTAGCCAGAAAGTGTAGAAGCTGGTTCAGGGGCCGGGCTGGTTCAAGATGCAGGCAAAAGCAATATCAAGTTCAGCTCTAGTAAGGTGGTACACAAATTACTATTCAGTCCGACCGGTTCAAGCTCAAATTCGTATACGCACCAATGACTGCCTTGCATGTGGTTACTCGAACTCTTCCAAGCTAATCTCAAGCAATTGAGAAGTCAGAAGGCAAGGGCAACACTAAAAAATGAACATGTATAGGTAAACCGTTGTATTATCCACGCCCCCAGGACGGACACACTAAGTTACATACAGGTGTGACACATATGCACAGGTAAATCGAGGAGTCGGATGAGGCCAATTTTAACCACAAAAAGCGAAACAAAATATTCGCGGGATCAAACCAGCGCGAAGGAGAAGAGAAGGGGCGCTAGCAAATCAAACATTAAGGAAGGATGGGTATAGCAACGTTACTTCCGAAGAAGCGAGCAAACAAAAACAGACACTAGTCTCACATAATACGGTGAGGGTAGATTTTGTGCAGGGAAGAACATTAAATGGCTGGGGCAGTTGGGTTCGGCTGCCCGAGGGAATTGAAGAGGTATTCGGGTGGGACGCGCTGCATCTCAGACGGCCGGTCGGTGCCAAACGATTGTGGGGCGGCAGAGTAGCCTTGACGGCGACGCTGAATCTTGTTCATGATCACACCGGCAGCGACAATGAGGAAGACGCAGCCTAGTGCACAACAGAACGCCACCAGGACCACAATACCATTCGAGTGATGGCTCGCTAGAGTCTGATCAGCAGGGATCGGATAAAGGGGTTATACGGGTTTACTCACAATTGGTGTCATAGGGGTTCTGGTTCTCGGAGAACAGCTGTGACATGCTTCCAGCTTCGCCATCATATCTCGAAGAAAGGATGAATGGGGTGACTGTAGTTCCGTTGTACAGAGCGGCGGATGCATTGCCGAAGTCGGGGATGATGAGCTGACCCATCACCAGAAGCGTCTGATCATCGTTGAGGAGCGAAACCGATTTGTGGTTCTCCTTGAGAGGAAGGATTTCCATTCCACGAATGACGGTGCCCTCGGAGAACAGGTTACCGGGGGATTGGAACTTGGAGCCGTCATAGTTCATGAAATAGGCAGAGCCGTTGGTCGATGTGCCGGCAATCCAAAATTTCGAAACATCTTCATTGGCAGGTGTAAATGCAGTGAGCTCACCAGGAATTTCGGACTGCGATGCGCCAGACACGGCAGTCCAGGCCTCAGTCTTCACGTCAAAGGTAGCGACGAGAGTCTGGTTCCCCGAAAGTGTAAGGTTACCCGCGGCATACAAGGTCTGGGAACTGGCCCAGCTAAGGGCAAGAGCAGTACCACTGATACTCACGCCGGGCCAACTCCAGGAGTTATCCGATGAATCCAAAGCACAGACAGTCTTGCAAGGCAATGAACCAGCGGTATCAAAATTACCGCCAATATAGACTACGGATGAGTCCGGTCGAACAGCAATAGCGTTGACCGAGACATTGGACCCATGCAACTGCCAGGGTTGAGATGGGAATTTGTTGCCGGTCAAGTCATATGTGAAGAAACCATTCACGGACGAACCATCGATGGTACCAGTGACACGACCACCAGCGAAGAGGGTGTTGTTGTATGTAGTCATAGAGAGGACGGTCGAGTTGCTGTCTAAGCCTTGAGGAAGGCCGTAGATGTTATTGGTTCCGTTTACAATGGCAACGGTCGAAATTGTAGAGCCATTTGTGCCGGTGGCATTGAACTGACCACCAAAAATGGTCTGGTTGCGACTAGAAGCCGTATCATAGACACCAGTCACCAATCCAGTGCTTGATCGAGTCTGGTTGATGTTCATAGTCAAAGGAAGCAGACTGAGATCGTCATTAGAGCTCTGCAGCCACACCGCGTCGGAGGCGGTGTATCCATCGGTGGCCAGGCTGCCAGCAAGAATGGATGTCTCGTTCACCGTGGCAACAGCAGAAAGCCGGCCAGCAAACTCCATCTGGGTGACATTGAGGGTCTGAAGCCAGGTCTGGTTCAACGGAAGCCAAATGGCAAAGCCAGGAACACTAACTGCGGAATCACCATTGGATGCGCGGATCTCATTGAAATCACCGCTGACGGCAAGTGTAGTCTCGTTGACGGAAGAAGACACGTTCAGTTGAATGGGATAAATTGTCGAAACAGGGCCGTTCAGTCCTGCACCTAGAGTAGACCACTTCTTTGTCGAGAAGGAGTAAGCCGCGACATGGTACAGGCCATCGACTCCCCCATCGGAAGTGTCCGTGAAGTTGCCTCCAACGTACAAAACCTTATCAAGGATAGCCATTGTCTGGACCTCTGCGTTCAGGCCACCGCCTGGCATTGCAGTAGCATTGCCATCGGTGATTGACATAATATAGCTGATGCTGCTGTCGGAAAAGTTACCACCGGCGTAAATAATGCCGTCATATTCGGCCAAGCTCAAGACCGAAGCATCCTTCTTAAGCGAGGTTCCAGCCGTGTTGATATCGGACTTGTCGGCATCGCTCGTAGTCGTCGAAGTAGGATCGTAATCATACAGTCCATTTAAATCTCCCGAATCAGAGTCAGAATCCGAGTCAGAGTCCGAGTCTGAGCTTGATCCAGTTTCTGCCTTGGTCGTGTTGAACAGCGGTAGGAATTTGACACGCCATGCTACAAAATTGATATCCCCTTGACCGGAGATCGGTCTGACAGTAACGCTAGGGCGGAAAGAATCGCTGGCTTTGTCGACATGTCCAGAATACAAGACGTCATACTTGTCGTCGTCATTTGTTTGGTAAATGGTGGTGGGGGATGGGTTGGAGGCATCGGTGCCACTAGCCACTGTGACTGTGACGTTGGCCATACCACGGGAAGAGCAGGTGTCGCTGTCAGAACATCCAGGAGTGTAGAGATAAATCTCGTACTTTCCAGATTCCTTTACATCAGGCTGGAAGACAACGGAAGTGTCAGTGTCGTTGGCATCGGTCACTTGAGCAGACAAATAGGTTGAATCGACGTCCCAGGTACCTGTCAGGATTGACTTGGAGGGGTATTTGATGTCGGCACAGGTAGGCTCATTAAACTTGTCATTCGCGTAGGAATAGATGTCCTCTTGGAAAATCTCGATTCCGTTCAATCCAGCACCTTCGCCATACCAATCCAAAATTTCAATCTGGAGGCCCGTCATACCTACGGAGTTGACCAAGGTAAAATCACGATACTTTTCGGTGGCATTGTTGGAAAGCGGACACAATTGGTCACAGTAAGCCTTGTTGCCCGAGGTGTCGGTATAGGTCAAGTTCATGATTCCATCGTCGGGTAGAGCGCGAAACAAGAAGGACTTGGTACCACGTCCATCCAAATGGGTGTTGTAAAGGCGAATCTTGCTTGGGCGGGCAGTAAATCCAAGCTCTGCGCGCCAGTAGCCGGGGGAATAGTCGTAAAGCAACCACGTTTTACCCTTGGCTGCCTTACCGCTGGTGGAGCAGATAATGTTTCGAGGGCTTTCATAGCCGCTGAGAGAGGATTGAGCATCGGAAGTGATTGTCGCATTCTGTAGATTCAGAACCTGGGGGCCGTAATTAGACGAATTTGATGAAGACGAGTTCGAGTTTCCGGTTCCATCAAAAGTTCCTCCGAAAATGATGTGCCCATTTTCTGCCTTTAAAATCGATTTGACGGGGCCATTGAGTCCTTCAAAGGCAAGGTCGGTCCAGCCATTGTCCGGACTCCAGGCGATCGCGTTCGAGCTGTTCTTGTGGTCAAAGGTTCCACCCACGTAGACGCGATTTGTGCTCTGGTCGCACGCTACAGCAGACACCGAGCCGTTCAGTCCTGGCAAGGCTGTAATAGTACTAGAATTCGGGTTGAACAAGGCCGCACCAGGCGATTCCACACCACCCAGTGTTGTGAAGTTTCCACCCACAAAAATCCCGGCGAACGTTCCGTCTTTCTTCGTAAAGGAGCACATGGCCTGAATCTGCGCGTCGGCTGTGGAAAGGTTCGTGAGAATTCCATTAGGCAAGGGCGTGAGGATCGAGGAGGAGCCGTTGGTTAGAGTGACTTCAGACTGGCCCTCATATTCGTACAGGGAGACGCCATCGAAATTACCACTGATAGAGACTCGGCCTAATGAAGACAGGTCCAAATCGGGGAGTGAGATAGCGTCGAATGACAAGGCATTTGCGGTCGGCAAAAGTGTCAATAGAGTCGACAGGCCAGCCGCCGCGGGCCCAAGCAATGAGGATCTCATTGTTTAGGGTGCGACGACGGACGGTTGGTTAGATCTTCCAAAAGGTTGAAGGGAAGGGAGAAGCGAATGTGGGAAGACCGACAAGGTTTAAGGCAGCAATTCAGGATCAACGTAGAAATGAAAGAAAGGAATGTGGCATGAGATCAATCAAAAAAAAGACCAATTTAGAAGCAAAAGAATGTGGGATGCATATTGAGACCGAAGTCTCTTGCAGAAGGAAAGAAAATCAACGAATGACTGAAGGTTGATAGGGGAAGGAACTCGAAGAAAGGGAATCAACAACGAATTGGGGGGAGGAAGAGTTTCCGTGTCAATACCGTTAATACACAAATACATCATACTAAATTTTGATTACACAGGTTTAGTGTCATTCAAGGGGGAAATCGCTAGTAAATAGTGGATCCACTAATTTAAGCTTCTTATCCAATCAACGTCCATATATCCCAGCCTCCCCGTCTTCGCTGTGGGTCACCGCCCGTGGGTGATGTTATCGGTCATGCCGGCAAGTACCAAGGAAGTACTGGAGTATTCGAGAGCATAGCCACGATGGGGCTTGATGTGTTCTACCCCAATCGCAATTACATATTCCGTACTCTCTCAATATTCAGTAATGGGCAGAGAGCCCTACCACTAGTATACTTCCAATCACGTCTAGATGACGGCTGGTTCCTGATTCATATGAGGATCTACACACAATCTGCTATTCTGGTTCGCCCCAGACTGGGATCTGCCCGCTATCCCTACCGTGGACTATTAAACTATAATGAGTTGCGAACATCAAAGCTTACCATCCGTATTTTGTGAAACAAGTAGTACGAACCCCCAGTCGCATCATGATTATTGAATCTCAAACATCCGTACAGCCGTCTAGCTCCGATACAGAGTGGGTCGAAATAAACCGTCGCAGAACAAGATCGAAACACAAGTCGATTTCGTTAAATATAGAAAAAAATGGCCCACCAGTGGAACCAACGGTGTACGAAGGCGTACGCAGGCTTCTGGAAGCACCGCGGGTGCTGAATGGGTTCGGGCTTGCCAGCAATGCTTCCTCAGTCTTGACCTGTACTATTTATGCCTGTATAGCCTGCTGGTGATCCAGGTTTCAGTTTGGATCCACTGGTGATAAATTTTATGCTGTAGCTGAACTATTCTAGCCGGAAAATCGCAAATGATGCATTGGAGCTGGAACACAGATTTGGATAATAACAACCAAAATGCAGTAAAGCATCTACGGCCAAGCCAAATAAGTTTAGATAATTACTGGGCGTACACCGCAAATCGCTATGTATTGTACATCCTGTCTAACCCAATCAGGAACATAAGAATCCGATTTAATAGTGTTTCCATAGCCTACTCATTTAACGTACATTGATTTCACCTAGAGATCTAAAAGTTATTCCGCTCGGTTAGTTGGCCTTCCTACAAAGGGAGGGGATAATACATACTGTAAATGATGGCTATATACATATACAAGTTTACCGGGTCAACAGTGTGTACATAGGATTTTGAGATTTACACCCAACAATTCTTAATTTCATAAAGTCATCATCATACTTCTAGAATTAGTTATGAATATCGTGTCTCTGTACCAGTCTATATGCAATGTACAATCTAATCCTTCCACTTCAAAACTGCCACTACACACCATCTCCTCCGGTTTTCAGGACCCTCATCAATCCGCACAGGCTGCCACTCCCTCCTAATCTCCTTGCCATTCTGATCGCGTTCAATCAAATCCCGTTCAAAGATCCGCTCAATCTCAAATCCATTCTCAACCGCCCTCTCGAAAAACTTAGCAACGCACGCCCGACCCGTGTGAAATCCGCTCGCAATCCATATTTTACCCTCAGGCGCCAGAAACCATCGCATGGTACGGAGGATATTTGGATGCTGCAGGCTCATGAAGAAACAATCTGAGGCAATTATGCGAGTAAATCTGCCCTTGTTTTGCTGAGCGAATGTGTCGTTCAATACGCCCCATTCGTGTGGGTGGATCGAGATGTCTGTTGATGGGGATGGCAGGCGATTGCGTAGATTGCAGTCCATATTATAAGCAATTGTGCCTGTAAGTGCGGGCGACAATGGGTGGTCGGTAGCTACGACCCTGGAAGCATTTGCGAGAGCACAGACGAGTGAGGGAAGGGCGGCAGCTTTATGAAAATTATCAGTTCATCAAACTTCCCAAACGGTACGAGCTGCATTTTCATTTCCACGTGCTGTGACCGGCCAGGACTCTGTTTTTGGGTCTGGGCGTGAAGAAAATCAACTCACCGGCACCAAGCTCCATGACAGTTTCCCCTTTCACGTTCCAGATATCGGTATTGTTATCGGTCATTGCTATACCCTTGGTCTCAAGGCTATCTGCATTCTCCACGGCCTCCGCGATCACTAGCGCCCCGCTCCATAGGAAATGAGCATGTAGCTTAACTCCATCATCGACGCGATCGATATCATCTTGTTCCGTTGTTTGTGCTGTCGCGATTTCTGTGTTCTTATTGGTCTGGTCCGGGTAGGAAGGAATGGTAATTTCGAGGTCGCCATAGCGGGCAGAGGAATAGAGGAAGTGCTGGCCTGGGTCTCCGTGCCAAGTTGCAGCATCGTCGGGAAAGATATGAGCTAAGAAAGACTCGAATATGTTCTCGGAAGATTCATCAAACTCGACTTCTGATTCTTCGGTTTGGAGATCAGGCTTGCGCCGGGGGTGTGGTTGCAGTTTCAAATGGAGCATGCTGATTGTGGGTATGCTTGCCTTGGCGTTCCAAGGTTGTGATAGACTCAGAACTCGGCTTGCTCTGGATGTCCAGGGGTCATCTTGCTTTCGATTGATAAATCGTGACGCACATTTCAGATACAATTTTGTGACTGAAGCGGGGGTTTGCCTTGTGTGGAACTTCCAAGGTTTACGGTGGGCCTTGGGAAGACTCTACGGGTCCATTGGTTCCTGAGGAATAAAGTTGACCAATCACATCGTATCCTAGCACGTGACTTGTCATAACCAGTTGAGCTAACTAAAGTCCAATAGTATTAATGCATGCTATCTCTTGCACTACTGGTTATGCCATCTTGACTTAGGAGAAAGTCATTTTATGAAATTGGCTGTATTTTGAATCCGGACGGCGTAGTTAAATATGTACTGTGAGCCTGCCACTTGTACAATCAAAGGTGCAACAAAAACGCGAACGAATATTGAAGCTAGTATTCAGAGAAGTTAAAAGAAAAACCAAACATTTAAAAGCTGTTGAACTTTTGTTCTAGAAAAGTTCTTTGAGATCTTTCTGGGAGCTTCGAATGTTCAAGGCACGCTTAGCACCTTTGTAGACCTGAACGAAGTGGTAATACTTGTACATATATATTTTCAACCAAGTATTACCTCCGACCTCACCTTGGTAACCATGCACGCATACTACGTTAAATTAGACAAACTTTACTTACTATTCTAACTATTGTCTTGGCCTCTTGAGATTTCTTTACATTTTATTGTCCATTCCACGCCTACATTACTATTTGTATTGAATTTTTCCTCAACAGAATTTGTTGTTCTAACATTTACCGCCTCAGGCACCAACGCTAGTCCACAAATGGGATGAAGTGGTCCTTTCTGCGGCGCGCGACAACGCGAGACTGCGAGAAATTCTGAGAGCTACTATCTAACCTCCTCTCCACACAATTCTCCTTCAGAACCTTCACACCTGTTACCTATCAGATCCCAACTTAATTCTCGCGCTCTAACCCTACGCAAGCTCCTTCACTCCAAAGGCCCCTCCAACATGTACATCCCCCCTGTGACACTCTGGACATTCCAGTGCTGACCATCTTCCAGGGAGAGCTTTGACAACATCTACTTAGATCTCTCCAACAATGCCGGCAAGTGCAAGCTGGCAGAGAGTGGTTTGGGATGGCGCCCTGCTGGCGGAGGCGACACCTTCACCCTGGACAGCAGTAACATTGGTGGCGCTCAGTGGAGTCGCGCAGCGAAAGGGTTCGAATTGAAAATCCTTTCGCGATCGTCCGGTGTAATTCAGCTGGATGGCTTTGACCAAGAGGTATGGGTGCTGACTATATGGCGAAGGGCCCCAGACTGACGCATTGGCTTTATTAGGACTTCGAACGATTGTCCAAGGCTTTCAAGATCTGGTACGGCATTAACGTTGAGAGCCGCGAACACGCCCTACGAGGATGGAACTGGGGCAAGGCAGAGTTTACTAAGGCCGAATTGTCATTTAACGTGCAAAACCGACCCGCCTTCGAGGTCCCATATTCCGAAATCTCCAACACCAACCTAGCCGGAAAGAACGAGGTGGCTGTGGAATTTGCGCTCTCCGCTACGGATGCGAATGGTACCAATGCTCAGCCTGCTGGAAGCACTAAGAACCGCGGTCGTAAGGCCGCCGCAGGCCCAGATGAGTTGGTTGAAATGCGATTCTACATTCCTGGCACTGTCTCGAAGAAGGAGAAGACCGAGGATGCTGAGGGCAATGAAGATAACGAGGAAGAGGAACAGGAACAGGAACAGAATGCAGCAAATCTCTTCTACGAGACGCTCATGGACAAGGCTGAGATTGGTGATGTGGCTGGTGACACATTTGCGACGTTCTTGGATGTCTTGCATCTTACCCCTCGGTCGGTCTCTTCCACTTGTCGTGCAAATTACCTACTAACCATTTCCTAGTGGTCGTTTCGATATTGACATGTACGAATCGTCTTTCCGACTTCGCGGAAAGACCTACGATTACAAAATCCAGTACAGCGCCATCAAAAAGTTCTTCTTGCTTCCTAAGAATGACGACACTCACACACTCATCGTGCTGGGTCTTGACCCCCCACTGCGCCAGGGTCAGACCCGTTACCCCTTCCTGGTGATGCAGCTGAAGCTGGACGAGGAGATTAGCCTTGAGCTCAACATGACCGAGGATCTGTTGAACACCCAATACAAAGACAAGTTGCAACCACACTACGAGGAGCCTATTCACCAGGTGGTGACCAAAATCTTCCGGGGTCTGTCCGGAAAGAAGGTTATCATGCCGTCCAAGGACTTCGTCAGCCACCACGGTCATCATGGAGTTAAGTGTTCCATCAAGGCCAATGAGGGTTTGCTGTACTTCCTGGATAAGAGTCTGATCTTTGTACCAAAACCGGCGACTTACATTCAAATGGAGAATGTGGCGGTGGTGACGATGTCGCGTGTTGGTGGTGCGGTCTCGGCCAGTCGCACCTTTGATATTACCGTTAGCCTGAAGGGCGGTCTTGGCGAGCACCAGTTCAGCAATATCAACCGGTAAGTAGTTCCATTGTGTCATTCTTTTGTCTCACATCTAACATCTTTCTCTTCTAGCGAGGAACAACAACCTTTAGAGGACTTCTTCAAGGCCAAGGGTATTCGCATCAAGAACGAGATGACGGAAGATGCATCCGGTCTCCTTAAGGCGGCTCTTGAAAACGACGTGATGATGGAGTCTAGTGATGAGGAAGGCGCCCGGGCTGACCGTGGTTCGGCCGATGAGGATTCGGATTCTCCCGACGAAGACTTCGCCGCATCCTCAGACTCTGACGTAGCCGAGGAGTTTGACGAGGACCATGAGAGCAGTGGCGACAGCGACGAAGAGATGGGTGATGCCTCCGGTGGTGAGGGGGCTGGATCGGATGACGAATCCCGGCCGAAGAAGAAGACCAAGACCAGCAAATAGACGCGCAATAGTTTTCTTTGTCCTTTACCCTTTTTCCATCTGGGTCTGTGTTCTACACAGTATGGCGTTCCCACGAAAATGAATCAATCTAGTCTATCGGAAAGTCGACTTCTGTATAAAGTATAATTAAAAGTTACTCACTGAATACAATGGGTCTGGGAAACATGCAGTGCACATGGGTTATGTTTAGAGGATGTGGGGGGGGGAATGACAAGGGTAGCGTTGAGGGGAAATAACCCGAGAATACGACCTTTAAACGATTTATTACAACGATAGGACCTAAAACTAGTTTTAACACAGTGAGACCGGAGTATACTGCATATAAGACCGATCTATATCCACTAAATCACTCAAATTCTTCAAATACCTGAATGCTCGAGTGCTTTGAATCAGTAGATCAAGAAATGATCATGAATCTAATAAGTGCTTTATTTGCTCCAATTTAATTCTAGTCAAAAGTATAGAGATGAGCTTATGTGTGTGATCAGTAATTGTACGCTCAAGATAGCTGATGAGCCTATACTCCGTCAAGCATGAAGCTGAACTCTATGGATTAGGCATTCCAACAATATCCACTCTCCAGTGGAGACATCACGTGTTTCCCCGTTTAACCCCTGATCCAGTCATTGCTTACCTTCGTCACTTCTACCCAAATCTGGCTTTGTTTGTGTTTAATGTCCCGTACGACATTATGAAGTATATGATAGGACAGCAAAGCTTGAGAATTCTATTTCTGACAGCCTTATACCTGTTAGATTATGATTGACCGGAGTCGTTGTAGATCATCAAGTATACTCCTGTAGCGACCAGTCCCGCATTCCTAGCAGCAACGCTGTAAATAGTAATCAGGGCTGAGAGTTGGTGAAAGAGCCATGCAGATGCAGTTGAGAAAGTGAATATGCCCAATATTGTATATTTGGATCTATAGAAATGACTAATGATGCATCTATTTTTTTCCCCCTAATTTTTCCAACATATGGTCGCGGGTCGATCCAAACCCACTCCAGAATAGCTGGCCCGAACACCTTCGACACGTCCCCCCCCCCTTTCTTTCCCAGACTGGCAACTTCCCTCTCCAACTCCCTTCCTTTCCCTCAAAAAGCCTTCTTGATTTTAAAGCTTTTCTTTCCACTCGCTTTTTCTCTTTCATATCCTGTCAAAAAGGTTTACAACCCCCCTTTTTTTTTCTTCGTCCAGGTATGACCTCCTGAAACCCTCTGATCATCCAACCCGAGATTTTTTTCCTCCTTTCCCCAGTCTCAATGGACCCCACTAGAAGATCAATGCAGTTGCTGATGATATGACTTACTGTCAGGGGTTCTTATAGTGTTGCCTTCCCTTTAATTCTTCGTCCAATCGTTCGCCATGTGTAAGCGGCCCCCGGAAATCGTCATCTCTTTAGAAAGAGCTCCATCAATCCACGGAAACGAAGACTGATAGATTGCGTTTAGCTTCGCCGCCTCCTGCGAATGGTTCCCCCGTCACGTCCCACGACTCCCCCACGCCCAGCAGCGGCAAGGAGTCGCCGTTCGTTGAGCGCAGCAACCCCATGGGCCAGGGTATCGCCCAAACCGTCAGCTCTCGCGACCCAAAGGCCGCTGCTCAGGCCGCGACCGATATGAAGAACGTTGTCCGTCGCAAGCTTACCGGATATGTTGGATTCGCCAACTTGCCCAACCAGTGGCACCGCAAGAGTGTTCGCAAGGGTTTCAACTTCAATGTTATGGTGGTCGGTACGTGAATGGATCCACCAATTCGGGCCGGAAGATAAACAACTAACACGACCAAGGTGAATCCGGCCTCGGAAAGTCGACCCTTGTCAACACCCTGTTCAACACTTCCCTGTACCCCCCCAAGGAGCGCACCGGCCCCAATGCCGACATCATCCCCAAGACCGTTTCCATCCAGTCGACCAGCGCCGATATCGAGGAGAACGGTGTGCGCCTCCGCCTGACCGTGGTTGACACTCCCGGATTCGGTGACTTTGTTAACAACGACGACTCCTGGCGCCCAATTGTCGAGAACATTGAGCAGCGCTACGACACATACCTCGAGGCCGAGAACAAGGTCAACCGCAGCAACATTGTCGATAACCGCATTCACGCCTGTGTTTACTTCATTCAGCCTACCGGTCACTCTCTGAAGCCTCTCGACATTGAGGTGATGCGCCGTCTGCACACCAAGGTCAACCTGATCCCGGTCATCGCCAAGGCTGATACCCTGACCGACGAGGAGGTTGCCCTGTTCAAGGAGCGCGTACGTTTCCCTGTACCCCCCTTTTTAACTAGTTGCTGACGAATTATAGATCCTGGCCGATATTACCCACCATTCCATTCAGATCTTTGAGGGTCCCCGCTACGAGCTTGATGACGAGGAGACCATTGCTGAGAACAACGAGATTATGTCCAAGGTGCCTTTCGCCGTGGTTGGTGCCAACTCGGAGGTTAGCACCACCGATGGCCGTCGCGTTCGTGGCCGTAGCTACCCCTGGGGTGTCATTGAGGTCGACAATGAGGAGCACTGTGACTTTGTCAAGCTGCGCCAGATGCTGATCCGCACCCACATGGAGGAGCTCAAGGAGCACACCAACAACTTCCTATACGAGAACTACCGCTCTGACAAGCTCACCCAGATGGGTGTCGCCCAAGACCCGAGCGTGTTCAAGGAGGTCAACCCAGCCGTCAAGCAAGAGGAGGAGCGCAACCTGCATGAGCAGAAGCTGTCCAAGATGGAGGCCGAGATGAAGATGGTCTTCCAACAAAAGGTATCCGAGAAGGAAAGCAAGCTCAAACAGAGCGAAGACGAACTCTATGCCCGACACCGCGAGATGAAGGACCAGCTCGACCGGCAGCGCCAGGAGCTAGACGAAAAGAAGGCCCGCCTCGAAAGTGGTCGACCCATCGAAGAAAAGGGAGGCAAGCGCAAGGGATTTTCTCTTCGCTAAGACTCTCACGCCTGCCATTGACGCCCGCTGATTCCCCATCAAACTCCCAACTCACCCGCTCCCTGAAGTTATTTTTTCCATTACTGTCTCACACCACACTCCCTCTGATCTCCTTACTGTGCTGTTCCTTTTTATCTTCCACTGGATGGGCCCACGCATCGCAAAAAAGAATGGTTTTGAATAATACGATCCGCGGGGGTTGCTTAAGACCTTTTCTTTTATTAACTTCTTGTGATGTACTTTTTGCTACGCCATCTCTTGTTCTTGCCAGCTTTCTGTGTGCCCTATTACCCGCTCATTTTCTCGTTAATTTCTTTGGGCATTTGGTTTTTGTCCGCCTGTCCGTGTTAGTCAATTGCAGCGCTTCGGCATTTCCTTACTCAAAAATTTTGGAATTGTATTAGTAGAATTGGCTCCAATGGCTAGCAGATACCCAAGTACCTACTGAAATGATTGAGGGCATAGACTCTTATGACCGCTAAGCATACATACTAGTAATTCCTTGTATTACACTTAAAACTTACCCCGTTTTTGCTCCGTATATATGCCCGTGCTGGACGGGAGTCGGCGGGAGTCGGATTCTGGCAATTACCATAGGCTGTTGGGGCTCCCCCTCATCATAGCGCTATATCACGTCATGCACTGCTAATTTACTATGTAAATATTATATACTTATATAGAGCTTATTGAGTCCTATAGTTTGCGTTATGAATTTCAAATAGAATTCAATCTTCAGTTTACGAGTGTTGGCAACCCCCGTAATTGTTTGAGATATGAAGTTCCTCAACTGTACCATTGCTTTCTTAGCCTTCCTTCAAGGTGTTGTAAGCACGGCTACCTGTGGGAGTAATGGAGCCATTTATAAGGACGCCACTTGTTCACAATCCCAAAGAGCCGAAGACCTCCTCTCACGAATGTCATGGACAGGAAAGGTGAAACAGCTTGGTGGCATCCGTCAGGTTCTCGGGGAAAAGATGTCCTTCAACAAGACTAAGTTTGATATCTTCAACAAAGCACAAGATGGGAACATAGGTAATTCACCCTAATTTCTTCAAGGTCATTTTATTCTAAGCGCAATACAGGATATGGCAATCAATTCAACCCCGCTATCCCAGCTTTACGGCTGATGAACGAGCTGCGTGAGAATCAGACCGCTTCGGGGCTTGGAATTCCATATGTTCTTGTGACGGATTCAGTTAATGGAGTCTACTTGTTCAATGGGACTTTGTTCCCTGCTACACTATCCATGGCATCGTCGTTTAATGTACCGCTTTATGGCGAGGTTATTGCCTCGATCCGAGAAGAGTGCAGAGCAATTGGTATCAATTGGGTTCTATCACCGGAGTTGGATGTTGTGACGGATCCCCGTTATGGCCGAGTGGGTGAAACGTGAGTCTTCAGAATACATGGACACTTGTATCAAGATCGGTACTGACTGAGACCTAGATATGGTGAAGATCCCTATTTGAACGGAGAATTTGGCTTGAAATACGTCCAAACTATGCAAGACAAAGATGAAAATGGGTTCATGAAAGTCGCTGCCACAATTAAGCATTTTGTTTATGGCTGGGAGACTGGCGGTGTCAATACGGCGCATCAGTATGGGGGAATTAATCATATCTTTAATGACATGCTGCCTCCATTCATCAAGGTTATCTCCGAGGGGAAGCCTGCTTCTTTGATGGCTGCTTATGCTAGTCTTGATCGTGTCCCTATGTCCGCGAACAAGTTCATGCTTCAACGGGTTCTCCGGGAAGATCTCAAGTTCGAGGGGATTATCATGTCTGATGCTGGCGCATTGAATGATCTATCACGCGAATTTCGAATCGCTCAGTCTTCTCAAGATGCCGCGATCTTGGCTGTCAAGGCCGGTATGCAGATGGAACTTTCGCCTGGGGAAGAGTCTGCCACACAGACGCTGGTCAATGTGACAGACAGCGAGATTACAGCGCTGGTCTCGAATGCGACTTTGAAAATCCTCGAGCTTAAATTCAGCCTTGGTCTCTTTGATTCGCCACTCCCCTCGGTTGAAAATGCGTCAAAGACCCTACGTGCACCAGCCCACCTTGAAGCAGCTCGGAATATCTCCCGAGAATCTATCGTTCTGCTCCAGAATGACGGTATTCTCCCTTTGCAGAACAAATCCCATACCATCGCTGTACTAGGACCCTACGCCTCAATCATCGACCCAGGCTCCTACGCAGCCCACAGCACTGCCGACAAAACCCATGGCAACTCCCTCCTCCAAAGTCTCCAACACGCCTTTGGCTCCAAAATTATTTGCGAACCAGGCGTAGATTTCCTCGATCAATCAAACCACACCGGTATCTCCCGCGCAGTAACAGCTGCCAAATCCGCCGACCTAGCCATCCTATCCGTCGGCTCATTATCCGTGTACGCCAGCGATCCCCTCGACGACAAGCGCACCGACGGAGAATTCTATACGCACGCCGACCTAGGCTTCCCGGGCCTCCAACAAGACCTCATCGATGCAGTCCTCGACACAGGCGTTCCCACCATCATAATCCTCAGCGGTGGACAGGCATTCGTCCTAAATAACTCCACCCTCCGCGCAAATGCAATCCTACACACCTTCCTCGCAGGTGAATACACCGCCGACTCTGTCGTCGAGATCCTATCCGGAAAGATAAACCCCAGCGGCAAGCTGCCCATCAGTCTACCGCAGGCAAATGGCGCATTTCCCGTCGCGTATAACTGGCTCCCGTCTGATAATCACGGAGGCAGTTCGGGAAGTCCGATCTATGGATCGGCGGCTTGGCAGTTCCCCGCTCTCACGATCGACCCACCGATGGCATTTGGATTTGGGCTAAGTTATACTAGCTTTAGTATGACGGGCGTTGAGATCAAGGAGGCCGATACTTCATTTGAGGTTTCGGTTAATGTGACAAATACGGGTCCTGTGCTTGGACAGGAGGTCGTGCAGCTTTATTTTCGACAGAGTTGGTCGACCATTGAGTTGCCTGTTAAGCGGCTGATCCGCTTTACTAAAGTTTGTCTTGGAGCTGGTCGGTCGGAGCTGGTCACTTTTGTTGTTCCGCGAGAGGAGATGGGGTATTATTTGGATATGGAGTGGGTGGTGGAGAAGGGAAGTTATACTTTCTATGTTGGGTCGAGTTCGAAAGATGAGGATTTGCAGGCGCGGAATGTAACGATTGGGTAAAGTCTCTATAGCCTGTACATGTAACAAGATCAATCTCCTAACAAGATACCCAATTATGTTAAAAGCACACCGCCAGGTAATTTCATACCATCTGTAGGCGCCCGAAACATCAACGTAACTTTTCCCTCCGTGCGCAATATCACAACGACGTCATAAACAAGATTACTCGCCGAATCCAAAAGTCCGTCAACCCGAAACCTCTCGACCTGAGTCCGATCCTTCGACCAGATCTGTTCCATATCTTCAAGAGATCGACCCACGATCTCACGGTACTGCCACCCCTGCTCATCCAGGGCACTCTTGAACTGGTACTGATACGACAACGGATCCAAATGGGGAGGAGTTTTCTTTGACAGGTACTGTTTCGCATATACCCTGGCCGCGTAGAGGAGTAGAATGAATCCTGCGGTCCAATAGAAGCTGTTGATGAGATCTTGGAGGATTTCCTCGCTCGCAGATTTCTTGGGACTATCCGGGTTTCCGCTTCTTTGTAGTTGCAAGTCAAAAGAGAAGATTGATAATAGAAATGTCCACACGGCTCTCGTACTGTATTGTTCTGTTAGTTCAACTCTCCATAGCATTTTCATGGACCTTACGTTTTCGTCGTATATCCCACATAGATAATAAATTTGGTCCAAAATGGCGTTGAATTCTGAGGCGAGAACCCCGAGATACCGTGATAGTGGATATTGCGTTCCTCGGGAACATTGAGCTCGCTAAATAGAGGGTCCATTCGGACTCCGCGACGGGCGGCGAGTAGGAACTTCAGGGGCTGGAGGATGTTGTCTTTTGACATGGCTGGCTCGGGGACCTTTTCCGTAGGGATAGATTGCATTTTGCTGTGGTTGACTTGGTAGATAGGAAATGAGAGAAAATCAATGGGAGCCTGGATAAGTACACATGAGGCATTTCTGTGTCAGCATGGTGGATCTAAAATAGCCATCTACCTAGTAATTACAGCTGGTACTGTACAGGTTCACCTAGTGTAAGGCCCTCAGGCGTTCTAGTCCCTATTAGGAAATTCCTCCACCTTGTGTCTCACTGTTAATGAGTCAGCATAGATTACAGTAAGTTAAGTTAACTAACTAATTACAGGTCTATCATTGAACATTCATTGACCTGTTCATATATGAGCCTGCTCGTTTTCATTAGTCAATTATTATCTTGTTTTCAGAATTGTTTATCGTTCTCGCTCCCGCTTTCTGTTTCCTTCAAAAGGCTTAAGCTTTGGTTCAGGGCCAAAGGATGATTTAAATACGAACATGAAGGATAAGCTGATTTGCTGGAAATCAAGGTCAATAATGCCCAGAAATCAGGTTTGTAATGCCAAGATTCCCGCCAAACCCGCTCAAGACCCGACTGCTCCGCCCCCCTAAAAGCACTTGGCATCTTGGCAGCGCATTGGGGGCTGCCCTCCTTTGCCGTAAATTAGAACGATAAAATGTCCCCACGTGACCAGTAGTAGACCTCGCCATATTGCTTTTTTGGGTACCCGAAGGAATACCCGCGAACCCGCCAAGAACCCATTTACCTGTATATTACAGTATTACTGTTGAAATACAACCAATACCAGATATAGAGTGATGTAATCAGGTATATGTTACGTGTATTTTAATCTCTTGGCGGGTTTTGGGTCAAGGGTCGAAACCCAACCCGCCCATTTGGCGAGGTCTAACCAGTAGTCAGGGCTTGACACAAGTCACTTCACAGGCTCTGGCAGTAGCAATAGTATCTTGAGATCACCCCAGATGAGATATGCCTTGATGAACAAAGCTACATGAGAATAGAGCCAATTGGTCATTTTTATACCCTGGATCAGGGGTTTTTCGTGTTGTTTTCAAGTTTAATTCAAAAGTCAACGAGCATAATTCATAACAAATACATGTTTTTGAGATCAAAAGCAATTTTTTGTTCGCTTCTTCTTTTCACAAACGGAAATCAGCCAGTTAACGTTATTTCAAACACGGCATGGGTTCGATACCCCAGCTAGAAATAGAAAATCGGTTAAATCACTCTCTCATAATAGTCATAAGCAAGCCAAGGAGGAGGGGGGGTTTGTTCACATACGGCACCTTCGGGGCTTATCTACTTCTTTAACCCATCCTTTTGGGGCACTATACCAGACTGCAGAATCTCCGTTTCTATATCTTTCTCAGCAGTGAAGTCAAGGATTCCGCGGATGAAAAGACTCACTGGTACTTGCAATATGAGGTAAAAGTGGCCCCGAGAAGAGAAGTTCCGTTCGAAGGGCTTGAGTTGCAAGGGTACTTATAGTATGTATAGGTTTGCTTGACTTCACAAAGGTTCTTTTAATCGTCTCCATAGTCGTTTTCATAGCCGTTGTGGTAGCCTCTACCTCGCTCCTCGAGGGTATCGGGGTATGGTTCTGCAACCGGCGTTGCTACAGCTAGCTGAGTAGCAAGGGGAAGAAGCGCAAAAAGTATATAAGATGACTTCATAGTAAGATAAGCGGGCCTCCTGTTGAGACTTGTAGTAGCGATCAGTGACAAAGTGTTGTTATCTCTCAGAGGAAACTTAGTATCAAATAAACATTCGCTCTCTTTATACAAGATTCAGTGGCAAGTTCTTTGGGCCTAAAAATACCACAGTGATCTTGAATTGATGAGCCAAAAGGATTACGAGAGTGAAACGGCCTACTGCTTCTCTTTTTTGGGCTAACAAATGATCTAGGCCGACTCAGGTTGTCATTCCATAACGCCACTCGTGATCTTCAACTCGCAATCTACAGGAGACCGGTGTCCAATTCGGAAAGACCTACTGGTGAAATAACAACATTCTCATAGCATCTCAAAATATTGGTTCCGTAAACTGGCCTGAGAACAGATCCTCAAACGTCATTGGCCGTTATAGTAAGACGATCGATGGTTGAATATTTGATATTAAATTTGGCCAAGGTATTATGTCAAGATGTTTTGCCAAGAGATATGTAGTCATACCTTTAAAATAATGGTCTGTTTGAGGGTCTGCTTTAGTTCCATTTTTTACCATATAGTAACAACTGGAAGTCAAAAGTCTTCCTACGTCAGACATCCTGTGTGCTATGGGTAATGATCCTGATAGCTATTCTATAGATCAGTGTGCCGGACTGTTCTAATCAGAAGCCGGACGTGGTTAGGAAGTGGTGGTTTCCGACTTGGGATTGGGCATTATTTTGAAAGCACTTGAGGGCTGACAGATGATGGAACTGCCAGGAGACAAGGATTATCAAGGAAATACTGTAATCTGTACTGAACCATCAAGAGTAAATAACTGACCAACTAACTAATTTGTTAGCTAGACAGAAGCATCTCCTAATACAGAATAGTATGACTGATGTAGAGCCTTGAGAAAGAAAGAGAAAGAGAATGGAGATAAAAGAATTTCGAATATTGCTATAGTGACATCGGGATGTATGGATCTTTGTCATCTCTTTGGAAGCACTGCATGTCATATAGGTCTTAAGTTGATGCTTGAAGCCTGGAACGAATCGTAATGTTATATGATTCTATGTTGTAACACCGCATTCTTCATTCTATTTCCTCACTCGAGCCGCCCACATACACCTGCACCCTGTACATGTATAAATCACAGCTTCGCCCGCTCCCCGTTCTCTCTAAATTCAATCTTCTTTCCAGTAATCAACGACTCCTGCAATGCACACCCAATAGTAACAGCTTTAACAGCTGAATCAAGCCGCAGCGGAGGCGCCGTGTTGTCCAAACAAGAAGCCGTAAATTCATTCGCTTCTGTAATAAAAGCCTCTCGGAACCGTCCATAGTAATCCGCTGGAATCTCGCGCCGGATTCCAGTTGACTCATACAAGTTGACGAGGTTCAGCTGGGGCTGTGTGTTGACTGCTATTTTTCCACTTGTGCCGAACACCTCGGTGCAGTCTTCCTGACCAGCTGCCATCATGCGGGAGCAGTAGAGTTGAGCGATTTTACCTCCCTGTTTTAATTTCTGTGAGTATACTGCATGAACACGGCGGTAGGGAGAACAAACGTACATAGAACTCGATAATTCCCAATGCATTGTCGCGGTCGTTATGCTTACGCAGATCAGGCTGCACAGCCGTGATACCGATCGCTGTGACACTCTTCACCTTGGTATCTTCGCCGAAGAACCATAGTGCGAGATCGATATCATGGATCGAGCAGTCCACGAAGATACCACCTGAGAACTCGGCGTAGGCGACGAAGAATCCACTAGGGTCGAGCTTGTCGCATGTCTGCGAGCGAAAGACGGATGGGGTACCGATGTTACCGGATGCCATGCGCCGGTGTGCATCACGGTACGAGGCGTCGAAGCGTCGGGAGAATCCACAGATGACTTTCTGATTCGGGAACTTCTTGATCGAGGCTTTGTAGGTGTCTACCACTGATTGGGACTAGACGAAGTAAAATACGTTAAAAAGTAGCACAAATGAAAATAAAGGTTTTGCTTGTCCTTACGATCTCTGGGCTGGTGCTGATTGGCTTCTCGCAAAGAACATGTAATCCTCGCTCAATAGCCTTGATGGCTTGTTCAGCGTGTACTGTGGTCGCACTAGCAACGACAACTGCCTGTAGAGATTTCTCCTGGGATAGCATCTGGTCGTAGTCGAGGTATGTGCGCACGCCCTTGAACTCGTTCTTCGCGGCATCAAGCTCGGATTGCACAGGCGAGCATACGGCGATGAGCTCGGCACGGGGTGTTAGAGTGGCAAAGTGACGGGCATGGCGCATGCCTAGAATTACGATCAGAATTTGGACCTCAATTGGACAATTCGGATAAATATTGTCTTACCCATGCGACCAATACCGGCGACGGCAACTTGAAGTTTGTCAGACATTGTAAAGGACTTATGGAGATAGAGAGGGAGGAAGAAGATACTCCAGAGAAAGAGAACAAGTGGAATTTAAGAGTTATATAGCTATGATCTCCAGCTTCTGCTGTGTGGTTATAACTTGATGTAGTAGTTCAACGGCGACGATTTCCTATTCTGGGGACTCCACTTCCCCGCCTACTTCCCCTCAAGTCTATGGTAAATGGTTTCCGTATGTGGAGATGTTATACTCATCTTTGTATTTTGTATCCACTTTATTTCGGTTTATCAACATTGAATCATATTATACACGTTCATCTCGTTACATACTTGCTCCCACGTCCCACCCCCACGCAACTTTCAGCGATTCCCGTGTACTCAAAGTGGGATACGCATACTCATTCTCCAATTTGGCCAAAACCCCAAGTAACGCATTTTGTTCAAATTTCTCAGTAAATCGATCTCCACACATTCCAATTGCAGCGGACGCCGTCACCAGGCCTGGAGGACTATGTTCATTGGAGAGTGCAATCCCACATAGCCGCACAACAATTGCCCGCACTTTCTCGTCTACCGATCGCATTGCCGTGCGTTGCCCAGGACCTAGGCGAGGTAGCTTGGGATTATATACTGTGAGCAGAATTCGTGCGAGTTCGAGAAATTGAAGACCCGCTACATGGCAGTTGTTCAGGTACCACAGTTCTGGAAAGACTTCACCGCATGAGCGATCCGGTTCCCGAAAATAAATGGGTTTAAAACTGGGCGGACCTAGCTCAGCCCAGAGAGTTTCAAATTCGACCAGTTCCTCGTAGCGTGCGATGCGCATGTCGGTACCCGGTTGGTGGAGGATACCCATGCTTGACTGGGGTCGGTCTCGGGGGGCCTCTTCAGACCCATAACAATATTGGAGTACATCGGCGCAGTGAATTACTAGTCTGTCTGCCCAGACATAATCATCGGCTGGTTCGAAGGATCGATATGGCTCGCATGGCCCTAGAGGGAGTCGGAAGGTTCGTTGCTTACTAAATGCGGTAGTGATTTCTTGTCGCAGTGCAATCCAATAAGCTGCATGTCGTAGCCCATACCCAGATACTGCAGGTCCAATCTGAGAATCCAGAAAGATTTGAATACCTCGAAGAGCACTTTCTGTATCTTGGCCCATTGACGGAACTTTGTCAGAGTCAGCGGAAATTCGGGATCTCAAATAGAGAGAACTCACAGTCCACCTCTTCATAGAAACGTAGAATGACTGCCGCGGCAAGGAGATTTTCATCTTGGGCTTCCCGGGAGTGGTCCGAAATCGAGACGAAATGCGCTATACATTCGTTGTGATAGTAGATGGCCGTCTCGGGCGTCAGATTTGGAAGGGTTTTGCCTCCATAGTGCACTTGATTCCCACGCCAATATTTCTTGACCCGACTCAAGTGTCTGGCGGAGGCAGTGTAAATAGCATTGAGTAGAGGGGGACAGGTGCGAGCTCGTAGAGGTACTGTACACGCAAAATGTCTCTCTCCATCACAAATATCGAACTACGACCGATTAGCCGAGTATCACAGAAGCCTTCAGATACGAACCCAGGGTGCAAGCTCAACGGCAAAATATCGCATCAGACAGGCCTCATGCTCATCTAGATTAGGCAGTTCGCTATCAAGAGGATTGACAAAGTGTCCAGACCCGAGAGAGGAATGACTACTGTGTGAAAAGATAGGGGAGGCTGACAAGGAGTGATTATCCGGTGAAAGCTGTAATGCATAGGGTGAGCAATCCAAAGTACTGCCAGGTTCCTGTGACACAAATGGATCGGATAGTGAAGTGGTATCGACTGTTTCACTAAAGATAGACCGCTCGGTAAGAGTCTGATGCTCAGAGGTCATGCTCCGACGCCTCTCCCGTTCCAATGGCGATAGATAATAATACCTAGCGGTGTCGACTGTCTCATCAACATACGTATAGTCCACTAATGCTCAGCTTAGTAACGTAGCCGATCAACAGGCATTCGGGTTCCATACCGTACCCGGTCGGTAACCAGGGCTGATCATCCGCAAACTCATACTGGGAACTCGCGCTAGATCCATGACGAAATCCCGAAGAAATAGCTTTCCGGACGCAAGATGTACCCATCCGCTCGCACCGTTGGCATTTCGGCTTCTGTTCATCGCCTAGTTCTGGTCAGTGCTCAGTACTTGAAGAGCCCCATCTAAACTCACACTTCACATGACGAGCTTAAACATCTGATCAGTCAAGGTACAAATGTCGGACAGTTGCATTTTACTTACCGCGACATTCCTGGCTTTTACCCTTTCAGTCAGTGATCGGACTGTATTGTCTATGTGGGTCACTCACCAAGGAGTGGCCTTGTTCCGCATATTGCTGTAAAAGAGAATTTACAGAATAATAGAGAGTCAATATAGATCGAGAGATTGATTGGAATTAAAGGAAAGTGTCGCCGGGTATGTCCATAACCAATGCGGAGAAAATGCGGGGTTGAAATCTGGGGTCGGAGTGAGTCCGGGCCATTTCCTTTCTAGAGCCCTAGCATCATTGTGGTATCTAATGTCTCTAGAAGTATGTGGACTTTGTGTCTTTCTTATTCTTTAATTAAAGCTGGCTAAAATATTGATTCTTGTATGAGGCTGGAAGAAAGAATGCACAGGGGTTGAGAGGAGTTGAGAATGGGGGCATTGATCAATTACATCGTAAGCTTTTGCGGATGGATCTCTTCACTGTAATATTTCACGGGCTAAGTAACTTACTTTGAATACATATAAATGAGCACAACCGTTAGATATGAAGTCATGCGTGGATTAAGATCGACCGGGTCTGTGCCGCCCTAGACTCGGAATCAGGAAACACTCGGCGGCGCTAAACCCTTGGCGTCGGCGAGAGTTACCATCTTCCACATATCGGTTAAGTACTTGCTACTAGACCATAGGATTGGCGTGAAATGATCTGGTAAATAAATGAAAACAAACGTGTTTCATGGGTGAGCGGCGCACCCCCAAACACTATAGTAAATGTGATATTTACTACTCTAATATCTCAACAATCACTACCAATTGTATTCTGTTCCAGTATTTGCCAATAAATATTGATAAAAATCCTGCACAAGAAGCACATATCAAGTTTGAATAAATAGAGCTCTTTATTATCACGGTCCAGAAAGTTATGTCGTCAAACCGATGAGATATATTGAGCCCAGCCACTACGCCATGGAAATTCTCGAAACTCCCTAAAAAGGTCTAGATATCATATGCTACGCTTCAAGGAGAGTTCACACGGATACGGACCATTGGCGTTGAGATAATGAGTTGACATTTAACGGATTTACTACAATGTATGGGGCTGCGCCACTCACCTGTGAAACACGTTACAAGTGCTTCAATTGAGAGATTAGACCATCAGACAACCCTGAACCTTTCGATTATACAAGCTAATCCTGCTTCTTCTTTTTTCTTTATATTCAAATCATACCCCTCGGTGGATGATTCTGGTTCGCAAACTTGTTCCTCACTATAGTTCACAATAGCCCACCCTAGTTTTGGTGGAGCAAGGAAGTTTATTATTTTCTCGCCAACCTTGCAATTGACCCTGCGAAAGAGCGGGGCTGATGATCAGATAAAGAAAAGGCGATTCGTCTCTACTAAGTAGTCCAGGTTTCCCGGTATGATCATTACTGTCATGAATAGCGGAGTGTTGATCATGAGCCACTCTGATGTATGAGCGAGCGGCTGCAGCGGTTTCTCAACATAGGCTATCTACGACCTGAATTCCATTCATATAAAATTTAATGTTTGATGTTGAGGAAAACCAAGATTTTTTAGGTTTCAAGGATCATTGTGGCTTGAAGTTTTCCGGGTGAACGAAGAGCCGGACGATCTCAATCAGATAAGGCACTTTAGATGAAATTTTGTCATAGGGATCCTGGCCTCTTCAGAAACATCTCCACTTCAGCCACTTGTTTCATAGGACATTGTCCGGTCCGGGACATGGTCGGGAAGCCGATAGTGTTCCGGTGGATCCATTCACGGCCTTCGAGTGGACGAAATGTGCTGATAAAGATCAATGACAAGAACACACTATCCTCAATCTGGTCAGCTTCCAGAGTTTTCCATGTTTAGTGGATTGAAGAATCCACACAAGGATCCATCTATCCATAGCCCCAGCCGCTTTCTCGGCATTTTCAATCAACATCTAAACCATACTGGGAAGGTAGCCACACGATCAGGAGGGAATTATGACGGAAGATGGGTTCGGCCCTGGAGACCTTGTCAACAGACCACTTCCCATGGAAATTTATGGGTCTATTAAATGAACTGCGTTCCCCTGAAAATGAAGCTAAGGTTTCCTCAGTAATCTGTTCTCCGGAATTCGGCAATTATGCGTTTCTCTCGAGGCTGCCAAGCGGCTCTTCTGGCTACTGCCGGAACTTTGACTTCTGCCACCAGCTTCAAGAATGGCTCGTACGACTACATCGTTGTCGGTGGTGGTCCCGCTGGTATCATCACGGCTGAGCGCTTTGTTGAGGCTGGAAAGAGTGTTCTTCTCCTTGAACAGGGCACCGGGCCTACTGTTGCAACCGGCGCAAACAGCACCCTCCCCTGGGACACCAGCTTGACCTCGATCGACCTGCCCGGCCTGTCCGCCGATATTGGCTCACTTCCTGCGTGGGACGAATACCTATGCTCCGATACGTCAGGATATGCTGCCTGTGTGCTTGGCGGTGGAGTCACTATCAACTATATGGTCTTTGTGCACCCACCAGAGCATGACTTTGACGATAATAACAACTGGCCCGAGGGATGGAAGTGGAAGGATCTTAAGCCTGCTGCCGAGAGACTATATAAGCGCAACCCCGGTACCATCTTGCCTTCCGCTGATGGCAAGTACTATGACCAGGGACTTTATACTGTCCTTTCCAAATTCCTTAGCAAGCTTGGCTGGAAGTCCGTCAACATGATCACCCAGCCTAACGAGAAGTACCAGGTCTACAGTCACCCAGCATGGAACGTCCAGGATCAGATGCGCGCTGGCCCCGTGCGCACCTATCTACCCCTAGCCCAGAAGAGCCACAAGTTCACTCTGAGCCTGAACACCAAGGTGATTCGCGTTGTGCGTTCCGGAGGCCAAATCACCGGTGTGGAGCTGCAGACTGCTTCTGGTGAGACTGAGATCGTGTCCGTTGCCCCTAATGGTCGTGTTGTTCTCGCCAGTGGTGCCCTCGGCACTCCTCGCCTCCTCTTCAACTCCGGTATTGGCCCGAAGAAACAGATCGAGACCGCGAAGAAAGCCGGTATTGCTGTGCCCTCAGAGCAGGAATGGATCAACCTGCCCGTGGGTGTCGGTCTCAAGGATCACCCCATCTTCACCATCCTGGCCAAGACCGATGGCGACTTCGGTATTCCAGACTACGAGAGCATCCTGAACGGTTCTGACCACAAGGACATCAGTCTCTACCGCAAGGGTGATGGTATCTTGACCCAGGGCAAGCACCGCTTGACATTCTTCTCCTCCAACGAGATCAACGGCACTACCCGCTACTACCAGGGCTCATGTGCTCCTAAGGCTGACTCCGTCCTCGATATCACCACCTACATGACCCACGGTCTTACCTCTTCGGGTGTCTTGGGCATTGACGAGAACCAGAAGACTATCTTCGAGAAGTCTCCTTATCTGCAGACTGATGGTGACCGCGTGGCCGCTCGTAGCTTCATCCAGTCGCTCGTCAACGATTTCAACGAACCTAATTCTGGTTTTGAGCTGGAGACCTACACCAATGCTTCCGCTATTATCTCCTCTCTGTCCCCTGGTATGCACTACACCACCACTGCCAAGCTTGGCAACGATGATGGCCGTAAGAGCGGTACTTCCGTGGTGGATCTCAACACCAAGGTGTACGGAACCGACAACCTGGTAAGCCTCTCTCTCCAAGACTACATCTTTGATATGGAACTAATGGATTTGCTTGATAGTTCATTGTTGATGGTAGTATCCACCCTGATCTCCCAACTGGTAACATCCAGACCACCATCATGATCATTGCGGAGGCTGCTGCCGCTCGTATTCTCGCTCACCAGTAGTTTGAGAAACGTGTGAGAGTTTTCGAATAGATGAACGGCCACTTTGTACATAATTTTTTCACTGTAAAAAGGCTTTAAGAGATTCTATCAACTTGCAAAATTGTGGATTGTTATGAAAATAAAGTTTCAAGCCTCACATGCATCTAGGCTTTTCAATCGAAAAATACCATTTGGAATCGATACAAGTGAAGCAACGTATTCAGTTCCAGCCTCAGTATGAGAACCTTCAAGCTTGATATATCCAAGTTTTAACCCCTAGGAATATCACTCAGGACTGCATAGGCATCATCAATAAGTTCGCGCGCGTGGCTGAACATCATCTGACTTTGGGAATCAGGAATGGGATCCCTTCCTTCCAGCAGCTCTTCAATAGCCTTAAGAGCTCTTTCGGCCATGAATAACATCGCTTGGGCATTGTCCACGGTGAAGCTAATATCCTTGGTGATTTTGAGAAGGTGGGTTTTCTCCTCTTCAGTCTTGGGGTTCGTAATCATCAGCCTTGTGAATTTTGAGGGAAATAAGAGATGGAACACATACAAGATAGACCTCTGGCCGCTGCTGCAAAGGTGACGGTGGGTCTTCGGAATTGGAATGAGGCATAATAACGGTTTGAAGTTGTTACAGGGACGTTTTTAAGTCGAAAAGTGTGGATTTCGAAATTAGATGTGAGGCAAAGGGTGTAGAAAGAGAGAGAGAGAGAGAGAGATGTGTAGGGTAAAGGGTGAAGATAGAGATAGATGTGATAAGAGAAAAGAAATAAAGATGAGGCTGTTGAGAAGTAAACTTGAATGCTGTTGGGTGAAGTAAATACATGTATATGCTTACTCAATACTGTACCTTAAAATTACTTTCACAGTGATAATTACAGAACCCCTTGATCTACAACTTAATTATCTAGAGCTTTAAAGTAATCTCAGGAATCGCTCCACGTACCCCCTAACTTACTCATATCACACGCTATCTATCCCAGTCGGGAACATATCCACGGTCTTCAGTCAAGTATAAGTACCAGACTAGACCATGTTCCCTATAGCCTACTTGAATATGTAGCTTCCAGTATCTATACCAGGTCTATACCAACATCTACTACAAAACCTATTCTAACACCTAACCTTTGGGCTATAGTATACTATAAAATTATATCGAACATATCCATGGGTATAAGAATGTGTAGCGAGAGTAAATATTTTAAGGGTAATATTGTAGGTAGACACCTAGTTCGGAGCCATCAGTATATTCATGCTTATGAGTTAGGGTATATAAGTGTAATATAGGGGGTTAGTGGAGCAATTGCCCCTTTACTGATAATAAATTCCGTAAGATAATTATACTCGAAGTTGATGGGTTTGGTCTTTTTAGTCTATTAAAAACTTTCGAGACTTTCGACCTAGTGTAGGCCTACTAGTTTCCTACTACTGTCAATGACGAGAAGATTCAATACAATAGAGCTTGAACTATTTGGAATCATAACTTCAAGTTGTCGTGACCAAGTGGTTTGTGTTACCTATCCTGCTATGATACATTGACTCCTTCCGCAGGAAGCAAAACGAAAGACAAAAGAAATGATAAAATCGCTCCTAAATTACCAAGCATCAACATCGAAGTTTTCTTCTCCGAAGTAAGAAACAACAACAGTGCGATCTGAGAATTTACGGCCAGCCAATGCTTTGAGGGCATTGGTTGCCGATTGTTCAGTGTCAAACTTGACAAAGATCTTGCCAACGCCAGACGAACTGCGGCTGCCACCACTGGGACGAGGAATCTTAAGGCTGAGAACTTTTCCGAATTTCCCACACTCCTCGGTAACATCCTCCAAGATCTCTTCATAATCTTCATTATCGAGGAGTTCGTCAACGGTCACCATGTTCAAAAGCTGCAGCACACGTCCAGTCTCCATATCTTGGGAGGTGGTCTTAGCAAACATTGACATGGCATTCACGCCCATATCCAGACCAGCTGCCTGAGTAGTACCGATACTAGCACGGACAACCTTGAGGTGACGGTCACCTAGCTCCATGCCGTTGAGACCTTCCACAGCAATGGGAGTCGCGGCAGGATCAACATACTCGCAGAAAGCAATGCCCTAAATGAGGTTAGTTAAGTTATAGAAAAGCTCGTTCAAGAAGTACTCACTCGTGATTCCTCAGTCGATGCATCCTTGACCAGGATAAATGACTTCAATTCACCAAACGACTTGAGCAGCATGGTAACAGGCTCCTCTGGAATGTAGGAGGGGATGTTGGACACGCAAATCTTGTTCGGTGAGTCCGGAACCTCGCTGAGAAGGACTCCTTCCTGGTATTCCTGATCTGCGTTTCCAGTGGGCACAATGTAATCCTTGGGTCGCCGAACCTCCAGACCCTTGTCACCACTCTCAGCCATAGTGGCACCATCAAAAGCCAAAGCAACGGTTGCGTCACCCGCAGATTTGAATTCCAAGAGAGCAAATTTTTGGTCTTCGGAGACTTGGGCAGAGATACATGGATCGACGCTGTGAATCACGTTCAGGCCGTTCAACTGCAGGTTGAAGAACGAGATGATGGCATCCCCAGTGGTACCAGGAGGAATGTTGTAGACAAAGAGACGCTTAGATTGGCGGGAGTTGGATGGCTTGAGGGCGGTATTTTCTGTGGCACCAGCAGGCTGGTCCATGAACGCCTGCAGACGACTGGGGTCCATTGGTTGTTGCCGAGGAGCTCCAGGCAGAGGGAACATGCCGGAGAGCTTGGCTTGCTCTGCGGTGACATTCTCATAGCCTGGAGGCTTGATATCCCATTGAGTCAGGCGACGCTTGCGTTCCAAAATTGAGGGAACATCGGTCAAATCTGGTGTGGGCTCCTTCCTCCGGGGAGGTGTTGCAGATCTCCTGCGTTCTCTTCTGTCACCACCACGATCTCCACGGTCCCGATCGCCACCACCTACACCACCACCACCACCACCGCGGCGAGGACGCTCCTCAAAGAGGTCCCGTCGGGGTCTTTCTTCAAAATCGGGTCGGTCCGGTCGGCGACGGCGATCGCCACGATCTCCACCACGGTCTCCACGGTCTCCGCGATCCCATTCTCGGTCGTCTCTTCGGTTGCTCGAGTAGCGGTCTTCTCGCTCGCGGGCACGGTAGTCGCGGCTGGATGAGTACGAATTGGCTTCAGGCTCACGGCGCGAGCCTCGTGGGCCGTAGTGAGGTGATCGCGATCGTCTTCGCTCTCCTCTCTCAGGTCTTTCACCCCGGTCACCCCGGTCTCCTCTGTCGCGATCACGTCGCTCGTCGCGCTGAAATGGGTTAGTCGCATTCAAGCCACTTGTACCGTTGGCACTTACGTAGTAGTCGCGAGGACGCCCAGAGTCTGTGATGATTAGCCTAATTATTCATAATTGATCATTTAAGACTCACCTCTAGAGGAATAGGTATCGCCGTTCATGGTGAGCTTGAAAGGTGAGGAAGCTCTTGATGGCTTCAGTGAAGGGGAAAACTGGAAGCTCCTGCACGGGGCGGTAATGTGTTGACCGCCTTCCATTTTAGGGCTTGCGGTAATTTGTGGCAGAATAGCTTATCGTTTTTTATCGCGTCAAGGTTCCAGCAATCAACAAATTTCCGTTAAAGATGGCTTTCTCAGAATGGCGCAAGCTGCCGGTTAGCCTGTCAGAGTTGTGTATTAATACAACTCTTCGTTGTGGTCAATCTTTCAGGTTGGTATGGCCTAATCCGCTCACTTCAATAGTGCTGACCCCATGCACCATGCAGATGGCATAATATTGCGGAAAGTGAAGAATGGCGATGCGTACTTTATGGCCGCTTGATTTCTTTGAAACAAGATTCAAGCTGTCTCTTCTACCGCACCTATCAATCTCAGTCATCTGCTCTTCCCACGCCGCCTACATCGGAGCTACCCTCTCGTGCGCAATCGGACACCGAATTTCACATCAAAGATGACCACACCCTCCGCATTATCAAGCATTATCTCAATCTTTCGTCCAACCTGGGTGATCTATATGCACAGTGGTCTTCGGACGATCCTAACTTCAAGAAAAAAGCACCCCAGTTCACTGGAATTCGGATATTACGCCAGGACCCGTGGGAGGCATTGGTATCGTTCATTTGCAGTAGCAACAACAATATTTCACGGATTTCCCAGATGGTGGAAAAGCTATGTCTTCATTACGGACCTCTCGTTGGTACAATTGAAGGTCGCGCCTATCACGACTTCCCGACACCCGAGGCATTAGCTGGTAAGGATGTGGAAGGCAATCTTCGCACATTGGGATTTGGATACCGAGCTAGGTATATCTATCAGACCGCTGTTATGGTGTCTCAAGAGCGAGAGAAGGGATGGCTGGAAAGCCTTTGTAACCCCGAGTCGCCTGCATTTGGTGTGGAGGCACGGCCGGGTGATGGGATGAAACCCGAAGGCCGACAAGGATACCGAGATGCCCATGAGAGCCTACTAGAGCTGCAGGGCGTTGGGCCTAAGGTTTCCGACTGTGTGTGCTTGATGGGGTTGGGATGGGGTGAATCTGTGCCTGTTGATACTCATGGTAAGTTGCTAGAGAATATGGACCGATAAATTTCTAACAATGCACAGTATGGCAAATTGCGCAGCGGGATTACCGCTTCGGCAAGGGCTCCCAAAAATCTTTGACAAAAGCAACATATGATGCTGTGGCTAACCACTTTCGCAAACTCTGGGGCCAAGAGGCCGGATGGGCGCAGAGTGTGCTTTTCACCGCAAACCTACGTTCTTTTGCAGACCGACTTGCGGCGACAAAGGTGGAAGCAGTTTTGAAAGAAGATGACTCAAAGATTGAGATCAAGACTGAGACCAAGACTGAGACCAAGACTGAGCTCACAGAGTTAATTTTGATAGCCCCCGAGCATGATGCCGACGTGGAATTGGAAGAGCCTGAGAGCAAGCCCATGATCAAAAACAATGAGAAGAAACGCAAGGCAACAACAGACGGAGCCATGCATGTTTCGCAGACGACTGAAACACGACGGACTTCGAAGAGACTTCGACGTTGAAAGCTTGTCAAGCATCATCCACCGTTGACACTACGTCGGAAATATTTTGTACACTAGACCAGCCATACCATATACCATAGCTGATAAGATATCATCGGAAATAAATAATATTGAAAGGTGATCCATTGTTTATATGCTAGAAATGTGCTGCAGCTAAGAATCCTGTCTAGAGAGCAGTCAGTGAAAAAGCTTCTCAATTGATGAGACAATATTGCGAGTATATTGAATAAGATCAGAAGTCCAGTTAGATCATCGAGACGTATCCGAAAACACGCCTCTAAATCAAGAGGTACCAGAAAAAAGTAAAATGTGTTTTTCATCATAAAAGGGGGGATGTTGACGAGAGATAATGGGAAGGCAAAACTGACCTGTTACGTATGAGTTGATGACGATCGGTAGTTTGTCGATGATCATGTAGATGATGACAGTTCAAAGTCTGAAATAAAAACCAAAATAAATGAAGAAGTTTATGGGTTGACAAATGATATTAAATAGAAGTTGCGGAACTGAAGTTCACAGAATTTTGCTATGAAATAAGCGAGCCACGTGATTCACGTGATCCACACATCCGCCCTTTCTCAATTCTAAATTATCTCCGAAGAACTTCGATTTCCTCATCCACCTCGACAACCTCCGACCAGCTCTCCTCGGACACTTCAGCCAGCAAAAATGGGTCGCCTCCACTCCAAGGGAAAGGGCATTTCGTCCTCCGCCATCCCCTACTCTCGCACCGCTCCCGCCTGGTTGAAGACCACCCCCGACCAGGTTGTTGACCACATCTGCAAGCTCGCTAAGAAGGGTGCCACCCCTTCGCAGATCGGTGTTGTCCTCCGTGACAGCCACGGTGTTGCCCAGGTCAAGATTGTCACTGGTATGGAATTTCTCGCTGGGAGAGGGTTTCGCGAAAAGAAACCACGTCTAATTTGGCCGGTCGCTAATTTTTTTTCGTTCAATAGGTAACAAGATCCTCCGTATCTTGAAGTCCAGCGGTACGACTCCCTTCGCGAACCCCCTTTTCCCTACAATTGGATGAATCGGATGAGTGAATTGCACGGAATTTGTTCTCTTTCCGAAGAACCGAAATTTTCTTCGTCTGAGTGTCGTTCCTGCAATGATCTATCCAATCTCCTATAACTCTGGTCGCAGAAATGCACCAGCAGCTAAGCCTCTGCTTGGTCAAGAATATGACTGACAGAGAGATTTTGGAATACAGGCCTCGCTCCCGAACTCCCCGAGGACCTTTACTTCCTGATCAAGAAGGTAAGCTTTTTCTCTCTTCTACCCTGTGAATCAATCTAATCTGTATTCTCTAGGCCGTCGCTGTCCGCAAGCACCTTGAGCGTAACCGCAAGGACAAGGACTCCAAGTTCCGCCTGATTCTGATCGAGTCCCGCATCCACCGTCTGTCCCGTTACTACAAGACCGTTGGTGTCCTGCCCCCCACCTGGCGTTACGAGAGCGCCACCGCCTCCACCCTTGTCGCGTAAGCGTACTGAGTGTGTTGGTTTGTGGTTTTGGAGGATCGGTCGTGGAGGGAAAATGCTGGGTTGTGCCCAGAGTTTTCATTTCATGGGCTAGATACGCCAGATAAAAAGAAGACTATTACGAGCTTATACCCTTTCATGCGTTACGATTCATTTTTCTTGCCAAGGGCGAGGTGTAGATCGTAGTCAAGAATGATAGTGTAAACATTGATTCGTGTATCGTAGGTTATATGTAAACCATATATGCATCGCTGAGATCGAATTGATCCCCATGTATATTGAACGGTATCATAGGCACCTTACCTATTCCCTCCTGACTTCCCTCGCAACTGCATTGCACAGCTCAACCTCAACTCCAGCAGAGCGAAGAATATGTATCCACAGGCGCTGTGTGTCACTCAACCGGTCATTCTCAGACTTCACTTCCGAGAACATAACAGTTTTTGTTTCAGGGTTCCAAAGGAACAGGTCAGGAATACCACCACCACGCTGTTGGTATTCTTGTGCCATAACCTTGCAGATAGTAGCTAGAGCCTCACCTCGAAAGCACCGCCCGATCTCAAGCAGATCTTCAAGCTCGAACGACCAATCAATGCCAATAGCACAGGGTTGTGCGGCTGCTTCGCGAGTATGAACCTTCCGGATGATACACTCGGCCTCACCATTCGTAATTTCGACTAATCGGTGGTTGATCTCTGATGCCCGAGATGGATAGAAGACATCAGTATGCAGATCGAGTGGGCAAGTTTGGAATGGTGTTTGGAAGACGTTGGGGACGTAGGTGAACAAGATATCGTAGAAGAGAAGTCCGAACTGCATTTGATTGGCATTTGCATGTATACATCGGAGATTAGATTGACTTACCAGGGTTCGAACAATACCTCCTTCGGAGTGATAGCCCTTCCAGCCATGATCGCGGTACCAACTTAAGCACATGCTCTCCACTCGACACTCACCCCCTTCTCTCTCGTCGATCCAGACCGTGGGTTTACCCTTCTTCATGGGCTCGTCTCGCTCGATACGGACTCCCTCGACTGTTCGTTCGACTGGTTTGCTCAGCATCACATGGCCGAAATCATGCTGCTCTCGCTTGACGACTTTCAAGGCCCTTTCAAGCTTTGTGACCCTTTTTTGCAGGTCATAGTGGTATATCAAGTGGCAGAGTGGATCTTCCAATCCCTCCTCGCACGTTCGCAGCGCAACTCTTCTCCAGAACTTCCGTTGCTTTTCCTCGCTTCGGTCGTCTGTCGGTGTTAGGGCCCACATGTAGTGCTCTTCTAAGAGTGCTTTACGCTGGTACCAGGCACCACGACGGGCAGCGTGAAACAGACGCTGGCCAAGGAGCTCCGTGAGAACCTCATGCTCGCGTTTATGTTCCTTGAACCGACCAAGAGGTTGTAGGCTCTTGTGGATGATGCGTGTGTAGACCCAAGCGGGGGAAAACCGGCGCAGATAAGCACCCTCGCCGCTATCGTAGATGGAGTCTTCCTTCTGCTGCTCTTCTTTGGCTAGTTCCTGCCATCGGGGATGAACCTTATTGGCGAGATCAATAATATGTTGTAATGAATCCGTAGTTGGAGGGCCATTGAACTCCAGGATGTTGTCAATGTCAAATTGCGTCCGTAAGGAAGCTTCAAATTCTAAGAGGGCTCCCCTGGAGGGGAAAATGGAATTTGAGCGGCATACTATGTATTCTGGGAAGTTTCTCCGTGAGATCTTGGCTAGAATGATAGTAGTTAGTGACTTTTCGGTCCACTCGGTTGATCTATAGAAGACCAAGTGTACCCGCTCGAACAGAGAACGGGGTCCAGGAGACAGCCGAATACAATCGCCTGTGTAATCCAAGATCTTCTGCAAGAAATGGATTTCTCGGTTTCCACATTGTTTGGTGTGTGTCTTATTTTTGAACCCAAGGCCTGTCTGTGCCTGGCTGGTCTCACATAGAGCTGCCAGCAGCTCTTTCTTGTTCTTGCCCTGCACTTTGGCTTCCTTGGCGAATCCTTTAAGCTCTTCAAGTAATAGAAGAGACGAGGCCTCTTCCAAAGTTTTGATTTCTTGTGTTCCGTCGGCGAATCGAAAAGTGTCCACAAGATCCAATTTACACGGATCTTGATCTTCAATTTTGGGTAGTGTACGATCACATTGCAGATCAACAGCTACTGCGGACAGATCGGATATATCTGAATAATATCCCAGTCTATTGACTCGATGCCACGCAGATGTCTTGCGCAAGAAGAGTCGCACGTACCTGATCCCATTAACTTATGAAACCAAAAAAAGAGGTCATGAACATACAAATATTGTGACTCATATGACAGTTCCCTCCACTGCGTAAACACCTCCATCTCAGCCTCACTGAAGAGGTGCGGTTCTTCATCAAGTACTGTCTCCAGTGCCAAGTTGAAAGCATCGACATAGATGGAGCTTTTGCCTTTTTTCCAGACGCCATCCCGCAATCTCACATGCAGCCCTGGTTCCGTTTCATCAGCCTGTGATGCTTCATATTCCTCAATTGCTTGCTCATCCGTCTTGATATCTGGCAATGAGGTCTCCAGTTCTGTTTGGCTACTCATGGGCGGCAAATCGGCTTCGTCAAGTGGAGGTGCATCCACTGCCCCAGTGGATGGACTGGGGCTAGGTGGTTGCTTATCGCTCGCATTTTTATCGAGATCGGTCTTTTCGTCAAATGCCTTTCTGCGTTTGGTAGAGCGCTGTGTCTCATAATAGTGCAACAAAGACATTCTGGAGCGAAGCCATGAGGATCTTGATTCAGTTAGAACGGAGTCTGTAGATCGCGAGCGCGTTAAAGCAAAACCCGACAGCGACACGAAGTCACGTGTGCACTTTGACCTGATCGGGTGTTTGATCTGTTTGCACGTGAGGACTTAAATGAACTTTAGATTGTGAGAATACAGAGGGAAAATTGAAGAGAGAAAGGAGGAAGAATAAAGCCTCATTTTGATCATCAGCAACCACTCAATCATGGCTGAGATACAGGTAAGAAAAGCAACTTGAGACCCTGTGAATCGTGATACCGTGATACTGAACACCCTCGGGAGCTTCCAGAAGCTCCACAGCTCCGCTCCTGCGCAACGTCAAACCAAACTGTTTCCTTGACTTTTTCTTCCTTCCATTCCATTCCTGTATCCTGCCACTTCATCTTGAAGAACCCGTCTCACATCTCCTTTCTTCTTGCGCAGACTCTGCACCCGAATTTGGTAGAACAATCTGGTCCACCGTCAACGAACCAACACGAAAATCCACACACAACTACAACATGGGCGAACCAAACGGCTCCAACACTCCGATGGCAGAACTTTCCAATTCCAATGTTACAAACCCACAAGTTCGACCTGGAGGGGCCCCGGCCCGGGAATATATGAACGAGAAGATTGTACCATACCTGCTGGAAGGGATGAAGGCTGTTACAAAAGACCAGTGAGTGAAGATACTGCTGGAATACTCCGGGGACTTGAGGCTAACTGCGATGTTGTTGTGCCTTAGACCCTCAAATCCATTGCGCGTACTTGGGGAGTTCTTGATCCAGAAGAGCAATGAGGTGGAAGGTAATGTCAAGAAAGAATATTAGACTTCCAGAGGCAGTCGGGTTTGGTTACGGCGTTCTCAGGTGCTTTCGGGAGATTTTTTGGTTATGATGTACATGCAATATGAGAAGAATACTCAAGGTTCCTCTGCTTTAAGCAGGTTAAGACGCTTTAAAGGTTTTAGGTGTGTAGAGCTACAAATGGACTTTGTGAAATGTGCCCAAGAAACGAATACCCACTGGCTAGATAGACATGTGCATCTATTCTATGTCCAAGTTGACTTATTCAGTGCTTTATGGATATTAGACATTAACAGCTGATTTCAGTATCAAAGATCGCAAGTTGAACATTTGAGTTGACGTAAATATGTTGTTTATCGCTAGTCCAGATCTAAATGTCCTAGGGAAGGGGAGAAAGGGGGGAGTAAGCAGCTCACTAGAGTTGGATAATTTTACCAATCCAACCAGTGAATTTCCACGATGTCTCAACCCAAGGGGACAAATGGCACCTGGATTTCCACAAAGGTAAACAAGAGTATCTTACCTTTTTAGGAAGCTTAAGCTTCTTCGATCCTTTATCGACATTAATTCGCCTTGCAGCACTTTTGATCTTGGCGAATACTACAAGCGCGAAGACGTGGCGAAGGCGAATGTTGAAAGGTGAGTGGAAAGGGAAAGAAGGCGAGATTAAGTGGTCGAATACAACCGGGCCGTTACTTGGAGTGGTGTGCATAAGGCGAATTGTTTTGACCGAGTGCTGATCCCATGAGATAACCGAATTACAGCGATAAATGTTTTCCTCCTTGCCGCTAGAGTTTCCCGAAGTTGCGTCGCGAACATAAAAATTGGAGGCACATCATCTAGCGATCCAGAGATGACGATAGAAATAATCGAGAATGTTGCCGAGTCGGTCGTAGTTGGCCGATGGCGCTCCGATTATCGTTCTTTTGAGGAGACGTGACGAGGAAAGAGCAAAGAACAAAGACAAACAAAAAAATCAACGACGCCCGTAGCCCGTCGGTCAAATCCCGCATTAAAACAATTTGTGAAATGGAAAGGAGAAAAGGGGAGGAAGGGGTAACATAGGAAATGTGGACAGTCGAGCATTCAACCATGAAGTGAGACACCTGTTAATATCTCCTGCTTTTTGAGGGGATACATTACCTGCTACCGTAGCGCTCCTCGCCACCGGCACTGCGGCCCTCGTAGGAGCGACTTCCACCGGCGTAGGCATCACGGGCCTCACGAGGAGGAGCAGCCTCGTAGCTAGGAGGGTTGGCATCACGGTCGTAGTAGCCAGCACCACCACTAGGGGGAGCACCACCGGGAGCACCACTTCCTCCACGGGGCTCGTCACCACCACCGGCACGACGGTCATCACCACGGCGATCATCACGGCTGTAGCGATCGTTGTAACGGTCAGGACCACCAGCACCACCACCTCCACGGTAGCCGTAGTCGTCACGAGAGCCACGACGGTAGTCACGGTCACCATAATCGCGAGAACGGTATTCACCACTGCCGCCGCCACCACCGCCACCTCCTCCACGGCCGTAGTCGCGGCCACCGCCGCCACCGCCATATTCGCGACGGTCGTTGTAAGAGTCGTAGCGGCCATAACGGTAGTAGTCATCATCACGACGGCGCCAGTTACCACCACCGCCACCAGGGCCACGGCGGTCATCATAGCGGTCACCACGGCGAGGAGGACCACGTCCATCTAAAGGGAATGATGAGCTAAGACAGCGCAAAACAGACCAGAATGACAACTTACCACGCTTGGGAGGTCCGAAGTACTTGCCAGGAGTAGGGGTACGGGGACGGCCACGACGAGCCTTCTCAATGCTGAGAGTGCGACCCTCAATAACCTCACCCTGGAGACCCTCCTTAGCAGCATCAGCTTGCTCGGCAGTGGCCATGTTGACGAAGCCAAATCCACGGGATTCCTTGGTGTGGGGATCCAGCATGATCGAGCAGTTATCGACATCACCATATTTCTCAAAAAGGCGCGAGATATCCGACTCAGTCAGACGGGGGTGAATGCCAGTGACGAACAAGTTGGAACCAGTGTTGCTAGCTCCTTCCTCCTCGACCATCTCATCCTGGATCAAAGACTTGCGAATGGGCAGAGGGCTAGAAAATTATTAGTTGATGTTTATCTCATCAAGGAAGAAGAAATTATATACCGTTCCTCTGAGCGACCGTTGGGGGAACGGCTGCGAGCGCGGTCGCGGTCAGAGCGAGGCTCATCGCGAGGCGAGGCGCTGCGGTCGCGGTCGTACCGGGGCTCATCTGTAACAGAAAGAACATTGATTAGAAAGGCGAAAAGCAATTAGTAGGAGTAGATACATACCCGGGTAACGGGCCATGTCAGTGTCGTAGTCAGCCATGATGGTTTGGAAAGAAGAAATGGTTGATGGAAGGAAGGGAAGAAAGAGATGAGAAATTGGAGCTGATAAGAGGGAGCGGGCGCTAAGACTCCGGAAGGGAACAACACCCCCGAGTGCAAGTTTGAATCTAGAAGCACAGAAACTTATGAAAGAATCAAGAAGTTTATGTTGAAGGAAAGGAGAAATTAAGAAGAAAATAAGGATCTACAATTACTTAGGTGCATCTGGCAGCAGTGGAAGTTGGGCAATCCAGCAAGGCACTGAAGCATATAATGCGACTAGTACTTATTTCAAGGTATCTTGTATGTAGTCCTAGTACATAATTTATTATTAACATAGGCAAATTACAAAAATTTTGCACATGTGTACTGGTACCCATACCTAGCGATTAACTTGGCTGCGTGAATGTCATGTTAATACTCCTGCCTACGCCCGTCGCTCATGAGGTAATAAAACGAAAATCAAAATCAAATCTCTCAACCCCGCAAACGACGAGTACGACGGACATTCTGAGAGTTGCCCTCCGTAGAAGGGACTTTTGTGGTTGGGTCCAGCTCATCATCCACCAGGTCTTTCAATTCGTCCTCATCCAGTTCACTAAGCTCCTCACTCATCCCCCGCATGACATCTCGGCCTGTCCAGCGTTCTTCATGGACTGTGGTGCCGATGGGATCAAAGGGCTGCATGTACCACTGGATTCCACCTTGTGCCAAAGGCAATTGCTGATCCTCCTCGCTCAAAATCGGTGTTGGGTGCCGGTGATAGGCAAAGTTGATATTGGGTTTAACCTCCTCAATAGGTGCAGGCTCTTCAACAGGATTTTCTGCAGAGTCACTCTCTCTGGTAGGCACAACTTCATCGGCAGTTGGAGGTTCAGCAGGAGAATTTGGGCCTGTTTCCTCCACACCCTCCATGGGCTCAGATTTGGTGTCAGCTTGATCAACCTCCTCATGGTCCCCTTCCGGGTCCAAGGATTCGCCTCGGCGAGACATGACGCTATGGTCAAGGATCGCATCCAGCTCTTTCAGTTCTTTTTCGTAGGGTTTGCGATTCAGCTCGCTCTCTTTTCGAATCGCATCTTCCAGGTGAGGCTGGATAGACTTGATAATTCGTTTGGCCAGCTTTCGCTTCTCCCGTTGTTCCAAACTAAGCTCAGGGGCACGGCCACTGATCTGCGCTTGAAGTTCCGCAGTATCACCAGCAGGGCCCACGCCAATCTCAGAGGTGAATAGGCTAGCCAAATCAGCCGAGAAGGATGCCACTGACGGGTAAAACCGCTCTTCCAGTCGCTTGCGAATCGATAATAGTCCCGCCGCAAAAACTCCCTTCCCATCTAGCCTGTATTTATGTTAGTTTGGTAGAAAAAGAATATTTAACAATGATGAAAGCTTACACTTGAGCTTTCTCGAAAATTGGCCACAGCAAAGGGAAGATGGGAAAGTAGACAATGTCGACGATGCTTCGTAGCATTTCGGCATCTTTCAACTTCTCCCTCTCTCGTTTCTTTACCTCATCGCACAGCATTCTCAGTTGGTCAAGGTCCTTGTAGAGCCGCTCGCCGAACTCCATGCGTCGCTGTAACCGTTTGTGGCCGGTGACACCCATCGCCACGTAGTCTCTTCGTGTCATCTCCATGGAAGAGAAGGTTTCCAGTTGGAGTTGAAGTCTTTTAAGCAGAGCAGCCCCACGACGTGCCTCGCGCTTGAGAGTCCAGTACTTGCACGCCTCTTCTGCGTATTGTTTGCGACCACGAACGGTGAATCGGCCAAGGCATGCCACTACCGAGTTCAAAACAACCTGTGGGATGACTGGGGCCCCAGAAGGCAGCTTCCAGATTGTTCTGGGTGCACGTTTGCGTTTGTTACCGCCGACAGTCAATGTAATGCGGGGGGTATGGGTCATTTCTCCTTCCGCATCTTCGGCAAGCGCAGATCCCATAGAGAGCGCGGCAGCCTGGCTATCTCCCCACCGTTTACCCTGCATGGTATTGCGGTAGTATTCGATCGCATCGGCCGTGGCAGCATCAGTGCCATGCTCCAGTCGCCAGTCTGGTGGCACATGTTTGTCGCAAAAGGCCTTGAGGAGATGTGAATCCATCAGTCCATGGCCAATTTTCATCTTCAGGTACAGCTGCGCTCGGCGTGCACACGACACATGGAATGCAACGAAGCAGTTTTTGTTGCTACACTGAATCGAAGAACCCATTTTCTGCTTGCAAATATAACACATCAACTTCCACCGGCTGCGCGGTACCTTTTCAACGTCTGTGACAGGTTCCATAAGTGACGGATTTCCGATTGAGACCTCGGGGATCCAAATTGAACATAGCAGATGGGCCCATTTGGATGAAGTGGTTTGTTTAAATGCGCCCTCGGTATTAGGGCAGAAAATACAGTTGGTGGAGCCTCGTCCAAGCAACTGGCACTTGCGGCAAAGCCACTGGCCCTCTGGGATGAATGGGACACCATAGCATTCTTGATGAACCGCCAGGTCACAACCATCGCAGAATACAATGGCATTTGAGTTTTCGCAGTCGCCATCATCACAGATAGCACACTTGCTATCCTGCTCTTCTCCAGGACCAGCGGTCTCTCCATTTACCGCAGCAGCAGAGCTGGAGCGAGGGCGGTGTGTCTGTGGGGGTTTGGGGTTTGGTTTGGGGATCCGCTTTTCAAGCGCGTGCCATTCCTTTTCGATCTTGGTCATGGTGATTTCGAATATGGCAGGCTTGATGGGCTCAAGCTGATCATCTCTGCGCTTGGAGTTATGATCATCAAGCCATTTCTCATCTTGTTCGTCCATGTCGTACTCCACTCTTCCACTTGTCGCATTGACATCGCCCTCTGAGGCAGCTGGCTGGATGATATCCATGTCATCTTCCTGCGCACCTTCGGTCATGCGAATAAACCGCCGGTCGTGGCGGAGGAACAAGTCAGTTTCTTGGTATCCGACATTGGCCATGGTTCGATCAACATAGTTCTGGTGGCCAATACCCTTCTTCTCGTAAAAGGTGAACGGATCTTGCAATCGGAATGACGGTTTGGGCAATGTCAACTTTTCCCTAGGGTTGGGTCCCGGGGGTGGGATCACTTTCGGTCCCTGTTGCGCGAGTAAAGCATTAAGGATGGCTTCTGGACGGCGCGGAGGGCGCCCAGGTCTGCGTTTGAATGGACCGGGAGATGCCATGTCAGGTGTAAAGATGGGTAACCCTGAGCCATCAAGGCCAGCCATGCCAGCCAATGTCTCTAAAGTCAGCTGGTTTGCAGCAGGGTCAACCGTGTCCACCTCCTCGGCTGTGAAGACAGCAAGTCTGCTATCAATATCCAAATCAGGATGAAACTCCTCCCACCCTCTCTCCTCTCGTGGTTTGTAGCCATCGCCCTGTTGTAAGGCGAGTGCAGCAGCTGTTGATGAGGTAAAGCGACCGCGATTTTGGCTCTTGTCTCGCCGGGGACGCGTCACAGATGGTGGTGTTGCTGGTTCAAGAGGCGGTGGTGGAGGGGCATCAAGTAGAGGGTCGATGTCGCGTGGAGGGCGACTTCGTGCGCTTATGGAGTTCCGTCTCGGGGTTCCGTTAATCTTCTTTGGGGAGACCATCTCTTCGACTTCGTTGCCATCGACATCGATGAATCGTCCACCTCCTCCGGGACCACCAGGCACATACCTGCGCTTCTTCATGGGAGGCTCGTCGGGGGAACCCAAGGTCTCGCGCGGGGGTTTCATGGATGACTTAGGGGTGGATCGTGATGGCCTGCCTGAAATGGATTGTCTAGACGCAGGCGCCATGGCACCCATGAGGCTGGGGCAGCTTCCGTGTGTTGATCGGCGGATTTGGGGTGATTAACAATCGAAACGTCAAGTCGCGTTCAGGGGCAGTACAGGATGTATTTCAGGGCGGTTATTGAAGCGCGATGCGAGATTAAAAGAAGTAGGTATCGAAAATCGGAAAAGATTGAAGAACGCGGGGTAAATAGCCCCGTAAATGCTCAGACAGTTGGAAGGGAAGGTGTTTTGTTATCTTGGTTCAAGGCGGAGGCGTTTGTTCGGCCTCAGGTGTCGATATCAACTCTGGCCACAGCTCCGTGCACAGCTTTCCCCGCATAGATTCCTCCTAGAACACCAAATCATTGACTTAAGAGAGATCCACATTATATTTCAGTCATGAGCGGCTCTGGTGAAAATAGGTACATTTCCTACCCTTTCGTTTCATGTCTACAGTCTCACTAATTTCACTGAAACTTAGATGGCGCGGACCTAGTCGCCAGTCGTCGCAACGCCACTCTGGCAACGGAAACAATCATCGGACAGGTGGTCAAGCTGGTCAAGCTGGTAGTCAAGGTGGCTCCCAAGGTGGAAATAATGCTTGGGGTGGCTCTAGTCCGGCGCAGGACCTGCATGTCTCCGTTCGGGGCTTCAATGCTACCGAAGCCAAAAATATCCTAAAGAGAGGTAGGACAGGGACAGGTGTTGTCTGTTCGGAATTGAGGCTAACCAGCTTGCTTCAATCCATATTACAGGTCCCGATGGTCAGTCTCTACCGCGCAATCTCACTGTCTCAAATATATCGGTTCTAATGGATATCTCGTCGCAGAAACCAAGCCAACTTTCTACAAGCCAAATGGCAAGGACACGAATAACCAACGATCGGGCGGTCCTTGGGGTGCGAAATGTATGTCTCTACTCCTTTGACTCAATGCGCTACTTGGAGATGATAACTGACTTCTCCAGCGAACACCATGGCAAATGGTAAAGATTTCTACATCGAATTGCGGAAACAAGTCGCGTCCTTGCAAAAGGCCGGTCCTCCTGTCGGGGGCTGATCTACGAACGTTGGGCTGAATTTTCTTTTCTTTCTGTTTTTGATGTCTGTACTGCACAGAGCACCGGTTGTGGACGAATTAGAGCGGCGCATCATCGATACCCTACTGTGGCGGTTTCTGGCATGGGAGGACTCGGATTGAAGGGACGTTTACAGTTAATATGCTGTAGCATTGCATTGGCGTCATTGATTTATTTGAAATAGGTCTGCTACCATGTGTAAAGCAATGCCTTGTATACCATAGCATCGAATTGGGTTGTGAACGTAAACATTAAGTTCACAAGCAGAGGTTTGGGTTTTTACCTATTATATACATCTATTGTACAAGATTTGGAAGGGGGGTATTGCTATACACTTAAAGAGCTGTTCCATCCATAATCCACCCACCCGGCCCTAAAACTCCACCGTCATCGGCTTGTCGATCAAGGGTCCATTTGCGGAGAGCGCGACAACTAAGGTCTGACCGCCAACCAGCCTCGAACATTTCAATGCCTGCCCATCCAATCATAGCTGCATTGTCAGTACACAAATATGGGGGAGGCGCAACAATCTTCATGTGCTCAAATCCGCGCACGTCCAAGAACGAACGTAGAACGGCCATCAGGAACTTATTTGCCGCCACGCCACCACTCACAACGAGTGTCTTGATCTCGTCTTCATCGCGGTGTGTCAGGCGAAGAGCATCCAGCGCAATAATAGTTCGCGACGCGAGGTGTTCAAAGCAAACACGCATTGCCTCTCGTCCAAGGTCGAGACGCTCATCATGAGAGAGTTGACCCTCCCGGTCTTTCACAATTTTGTTTACCATACTCGCGACGGACGAGAAGCTGAGTTGCAGTGCCCGGGTATTTGCAAATGGCGTAGTCACACTCCAGCCCCATGAGCTTTTTCGCTTGATCACCTCCTCGCCCCGATTCATTGGGGGGCGGTAGTTCGCAAAATCTGCCGGGCCATTGGGGAAAACAAACTGTTCCAAAGTTTTGCCGTACATGGTGTTCTTCGCCTCCTTTAGCAAATCCGGAGGAAGGATTTCGCGAGCCGCCTTGTCCAGAGTTTCACCCATCGCAATATCATCACTAGAGGCCATGATCGTGTGGTCTGTTAGAGACTTGGAGTGCACTAGAATCGAGTGACCGCCCGATACAAGAATAGACAGGAATGGAAATTGAGGGTTCACGGCCCCCGGTGTCTCTGTATCATTGTCTTTGTTCAAGCATGATACCAGCCGAGGGGTCAACAAGTGTGCTTGCATATGATGAACCCCGACCATGGGTATTTGCCATGCAACCGAGAGAGCTTTCCCGGTGTCGAGCCCGACTGACAGGTTGGAACGCATTCCGGGTCCTCGGGTTGCCGAAATGAAATCGGGTCGCTGACGACTTGATCCATCGGTAAGGATTATCGATTTATCACCATCGTTTGAGGCAGGCAAGAATCCGAGGGCTTTGTGGACAAGACTCGCGAGGTTCTTCTGGTGTGATTCGAGGGCTAAAATCGGATGGATGCCGCGATGCGCTCGTGAATCGCATGTGATGTTTTCAAGGAAATGAACTCTCGCATTGTTGGCGCCTGATATTTCATTCATTTTTTCCACAATTGCCACTGATGTGTCGTCACTATCGTATGGGTCGAGTTAGTTTGAGGGATCGCGAGGTTGGAGTCGGAGGAAGCTCACCATGATGTTTCAATTGCCAAAGTCAGTAGGCCCCGTCGGTTTGTTAGAACTTTGTGAGATGCGCCTATAGCCGACTTGCGCAAAGTCGCAACTGAAGATATTGAAAAGAACATTGGGCAGTTGGTAAACGGGGATGCGGCGGCGACGGAGAGAAAAGATTGGGACCGCACGGGCCACGAAGCCCTTAAAGTTGGCCCTAACATCTACAGAATTCCTGATCTACAGAGATAGGAGAGAAAGGAGTGTATGGTGGTGTCTGACACCAATGATGCATCTTTCACAGTAATGACAGAATAAGTGAAGTAGGAAACCCATGCTAAAAATCGAAAAGTCATCAATCGGAGGCCCGTTAACGTCATAAAATAATCTTTTCTCCAACATTGATATATGATACATCATCTTCTGGCCGATTCAACACAACATCCAAACAGTATTCAAAAGCCAAGGTCACTGATGCTACCGGCAGCTTTAGGTTTTCCATCGATATGGTTGCTGGACATGGCTCGAGGCTTGACTCAAATAGTCCCGCTACACCATTGACGAGACTCGAGTCCGAATTATTGCAGATTTGTTGTGCCATTGAAAATGGTGTGTATTGAACATGAAATCCCGAGCTCCGAGATCGATGGTCAGTATGATTGCAAGAGACAGCAATGACAATCTGACAGGCTCCTAATCCAGAGCTTCAGCTTGCTGGGATGGTTATGCTTGGCCAGTATCACCATGGTGATTTCAAAGTCCTGAGAACCATCACTCGCGAACAGCCCATCGTCTTTCCTCTCGAGAGATCTTTGTATGTGTGCCGTAGTACTCGTCTGGATTTTCAATAGGTGTCACACAGTAGACTGTCGGTGTACCCTTGAATTGAATGCGCTTTCCGGCAGCACCTGAGTGCGATGACTGCTGTTTCTTGAGAATGCTCTTCGACGAGCATGAGTTGGTGTAGCCATATGTTGGTACCTGAAGAGTTGAGAATCTCTGAGCTGTCAGACTCGCTGTAGGCACTGGAGAGATGGGAGTGCGAGGCATAGGACCAGGTGACTTGAGTGACAGTGTCGGTCGGGGAGCAGTCTGCGCAGCAGAGATGTTCAATCCCAACTTGGGTCGGGCGGCGACACGAGCAGCGTACATGGTACGAGAAGGATATTGAAGCTCAAAAAATTAGATGATATATCGTGTTTTGCTTGCACGGAGGCTTTGATCAACAAAGCAAGGGAATGTGGCAGAGACAGAGAAATGATTATGGGACGTAGAGTCAACGATACAATGTATAAAAAACTAAAGGTTCGTTTGGACCAGCCAAAAACGAAGCGCTTGACAAAAATAGAAGCAGAAAAAATAGAAAATCTCAAACACGGGGATGCACGAAAAAAGGCACCTGGGGGGGAAATGGGCGGCTATATAAGTATAGCTTGGGGGGAATGTTGCGGTGTCCGGGCTGAGGGGCCACTTGGGGCCAATAAAAAATCCTTCTGTAAGCGCCCAGCATCCATGCACTCTCACGCACTATCACTCTTTTCATCACACATTAGTTCCAACCTTGTCGGGTTCCCGTGTGTATCACCCAGCCAGTCAGAGTATTCCTAGCTCGTCTCATGTGGAATTTTAGCACCCAGTGTGATAGGATGTGACGGTCTAGCATTGTTTAATGCAGCCAAGACTATCTATGGGAGGTCTTGTCTGAAGCTTGTAGATGGTGACCAACCATATACCATTCTCTCCTCTCCACATGCTTTGTGACTGAACAATTGGTGTCGTTTCTGCAGCATGGTCACTATCTCCGCAATCACTTCTTCGACCCATCAAGGAAGTTTGAGTGGATGGAAGAGTTAAGTTTCTGCAGCCCTGAAGCTGCTAGTGAGATTAGAATGCATAATATCGTACTATGGCCGACCAACAATCCAATTTTTTTTCGCTTGTTGAAGACAATATGCGACCATCTATCGGTAGGAGGATGTCTCAATATTGAGCATTCTACGGGCTTCTAAGGGAAGCGAATTGGAAATAAAGAAAACTCTCTCAATTAATTATAAGTAAATTAAAGACAGTTTCTTGTTTCTGCAATCACATCATTATTGTCAAATCGAGCTAACATGACTGCAGAAAACAGTTGGATTTATAACATGGGCATTCACTTGATTAGACCTAGAGCTTTTTATTACAAATTGCAAATGAGGGGCTCCTACAAGGCACTGCTAAAGGGCCTAAGCCTCACGGAATTATGAGCGATGGTTTCAACATGTCTTGATGATTGCCAAAGCTTGGAAATCGGGATATTCGCTACATTAAAACACAGGTAGTACATGTACATATACTTGGCAGGTCTAGACGTTTCTATTCTCGGTTCAATAAATGGCAGCCACGGCCATCACGGTATACATATCCGTATACATATCTGCGTGTTCGTGTACTAAGCTAGACTTCCGTTGTCAAACGACCGACGCACGCGTCTCAACCGGTTGTGAAGACTTTCAATTTCAAATCCTTCTAGATTTACATTTACACTACTCAGTCGTCGAGATTTTGCTGTTTTGGACTGCTATATCACTTTGCATTTACAGATGCTTATGGCTCGTCAGTCTATATACATAATATGGGGGCTTTGAAACCATCTGGGAGCCAGGGGTCAGTGAATAAGCAGCGTTTGTGTATATGATTTTGAAGTTACTGAATTGCTTTGCAGCTATAGTTGCTTTTTTTTACCCTCGGAGTCTGTATAAATCGAACGAAAAAAACCAATTGGCGAGTGTGTATGAAGAAACTCATCTACTACGAGTCAATTGAGACTATGTAGTAGCTATATGTATGCTGATATCCGCACTGCCAAAATGCGGCAATATACTTATTCTTTGAGAGATCTGGTATTGGCTGCTTATCTACTGGATAAACGAAGATTCTAGTTGCGGGCCGGTCTTGGTAAACTAAATTGTGGATGATATTATACCAAGAATTCAAAGCCATCTCTGCCCGGCTTATTTCACGGATCTTAGCGATATTCCAGATTGCTGCCCAGGTGAGCGACACGCGATCCAATCTTAACACCCGAAAGCCACCTGTCTATCGATGTCGAGCTATCTATCAACCAGTTTCTCCGAACCGATGCCCATGGTTGACGGATATCTTGGCCGATATTTGTAGGTCATGTTCCTTGTATAATGCTATACATATCTCCCTCGGGATCGCTACCAGGGTATCCTTGGCACTCTGGTCCCGGAGAATATTCTTTCCTTCGCAAATCTGTTGCTCTGGCGATTCAAAACGTCACATCTTCTTCCTGAAGAGTTCGAGGTTGTCGATGTGCTTCTTTGAGATAGCTCCAGTACCGAAAGGACGCAGAATACATAAGCTCCAGCTGATCATTGCCTCGATACCTTCCTTGCATTGTGAACTCTGTTTTCATTGAATTCTGTTTGGTCATGTATAGTCCGCACATACATATATACCCGATGGATAGCGGTCTTGTGGCCTGTGATGATAGGAGTGGCTTTACATAATTTTACAAATTAACTCATGGATCCCAAATTTCCAAGGACTTCTAGCTTGATTTGTGCATGAACAAGTGCACAGTCGACACCTAAGACAATTGATGCTCTCTTCATGACTTATTATTATGCAACCACGAACCAAAGTGATTTGCTCCACTGCACCACAGGGCGAGAAAGTGAAAAACCGTAATAGGCAGGTTTATGCGTGTATATGTACTAGGTTTCCCGTACTCTGTAGCTAACTCGGGAGTTTCTTGCTTTTGTTAACTCTTTAATTTCCTTTATTTCTTTCAATGGAATCGTAGAATCCATACTGATTTAAAGTCAATTGGATAATAGATGTCTTGTGAGGAGAGAAGCGGAGAAGCTTGAGGATCACGGGATCAAGGAGTTAAGCCGAGTGGAGCTGACCAATCATATCATGTTATGTGTTGTCTGTTGTCATGTGTTCTCCAACTTTTGCTCCAGTTTTGACTCCGCACACGGTCGTGGCTTTTTTGTGCTCCGTAGTGCCCCCGGTTTCACCCCTTGTCTTCCCGGGATATCGGGATGGCTGATCCCCGGTGATCACCTGGGGATATATGATTTTTCTTTTCCTTTCACTGGTATCATTCCGTCTTGGTCACCTATTGGCTACATTGAGGGATCTTCTCTCCTGACTCATGGCAAATCCCGTCAAGTTCCGAAAAAAATATCGATGTCCAGAATAAATAAATAAATACAAATATGTACCGATATTCCGGTGACATCAATGTAAAGCGGAGTGCAAGGATTTCGGCTCCAAATCCGATCGCGGGTAAATCGCGTAATTTGCATACATAAAATCAAATGTGGCAATTAACCTTGAATATGTAAATAACCGGGAGTTTGGGGTTTGGCGGTGAAAAATTCAATCGCGTGGCCAAAAATACCTGACAACATAAACAGTGGAAATCCAATCAATGCAAAGATCGGAACAAAATACAAAAAAAAAAATAGTTCAGATTTCCTTCACAGCTGTAGATAGCCAAGTTGAAAAGAAACTGTCATTCTCGGGGAAACATTGCCAATAATTCTCGCCCCCGTCAGTGGCCTAGCTCATTCCTATTTTGACTCAAATCTCTCTCCCTTCTCCACTCTCGATTATCCCCCCCTTCAATCTCCTTCCCCCCCTCAAGTTGTGCGGTGCATTCTCGCATTCGGGATAATTTGAACCTGTCAACACTTGGTTGTTCTACTCTGTACCACAATGAGTAGCGTTAAGGAAGCCGTCAAGGAGACATTGGTGGGCAGCACAGAGGAACCTCAGCTGTCGCACCAAGCCCGATCCAACTTCCTTCGCCATGCACAGAAGGATGAAAATGGGGAGCCATTCATGAACGAGGACGACTTCATTAATGCTGTTGCTCCCAAGCAAGAGGACTATGTAAGTCAATGTCGCTTCGAAGTCCGAGGACAGATGGAAAGCTGATCTGGTCTTCAAAATGATAGCACAAAATCAAGCGCGAACAGTATGGCATTCTATTCCAGGTCGCAGACCGACGTGGACACGGAAAGCTCTCCCTGTCCGACTGGGCAACCTTCGAGAACCTCCTGACCAAGCCCGACGCCGAGTACGAGATTGCCTTCCGCCTGTTCGACCTCGAAGGAACCGGTAGTGTCAAGTTCGACACGGTGCAGGGACTCTACAACTTGAACAAGACCGCCGACAGCATTCCCTTTGACTGGAACTCGGAATGGGCTTCGCTTTACACCGGTCGCACCAAGACGCGCCATGACATGACCTACCCTCAATTCTCCCAGATGCTCCGCGGACTCCAGGGTGAGCGTATTCGCCAAGCCTTCCACATTTTCGATAAGGATGGTGATGGATACATTGAGCCCGAGGACTTCCAGCGCATTATCCTTGAGACCTCAAAGCACAAGCTGTCTGATCATGTCCTTGAACACCTGCCTTCGCTCTGCAACATCTCGGCTGGCAGCAAGATCTCTTACGCTACTGTCCGTGCCTTCCAGAACATTATGCGCGAGATGGATATTATCGATGTGGTCGTCCGGGGAGCCACCAAGAAGAGCACTGACGGCAAAATCACCCGCTCTGACTTCCTCAACGAGGCCGCTCGCGTCACCCGATTCTCCCTATTTACCCCCATGGAGGCCGATATCCTCTTCCACTTCGCCGGCTTAGATGCTCCGTCTGGGCGCCTTGCCCAGAAGGATTTCGCCAAGGTCATTGATGCCTCATGGCGCCTCCCCGCTGCTGTGGCAGGCCAAGCTGTGGCGGAAGCGGCTGAAAAGACTACGACCTTCCTCCACAGCGTCCTGGAATCAGCACACCACTTCGCTCTTGGTAGCATTGCTGGTGCCTTTGGTGCCTTCATGGTGTACCCGATCGACTTGGTCAAGACCCGTCTACAAAACCAGCGATCCACTCGCCCCGGCGAGCGTCTTTATAACAACTCGCTCGATTGTGCGAAGAAGGTTATCCGCAACGAAGGTTTCACCGGCCTGTACTCTGGTGTCATCCCGCAACTGATTGGTGTGGCGCCGGAGAAGGCCATCAAGCTCACTGTTAATGACCTGGTCCGTGGTGCCTTGACGGACAAGGATACCAATAAGCTTTGGACCCCTTATGAGGTTCTGGCCGGTGGTACTGCTGGTGCTTGTCAAGTGGTAAATTGCACCAACGTTCCTTTGAAAGTAATCTGTGCTAATTCTTCTCTTAGGTCTTTACAAACCCTCTGGAAATTGTTAAGATTCGTCTGCAGGTGCAGGGTGAGGTTGCTAAGAATGTTGAGGGAGCTCCTCGCCGTTCAGCTCTCTGGATTGTGAAGAATTTGGGTCTGATGGGCTTGTACAAGGGAGCTAGCGCTTGTCTCCTCCGTGATGGTAAGAACCAGCACAATCTGCTCCCTCATCTAGGGTCATGATCTAACAAGGCATTAGTCCCATTCTCGGCTATTTATTTCCCCACATACTCGCACTTGAAGACCGACATGTTTGGTGAAACCGCTACCAACAAACTTGGTGTTCTTCAGCTCCTGACCGCCGGTGCCATTGCTGGTATGCCTGCTGCTTACCTCACCACACCCTGCGACGTGATCAAAACTCGTTTGCAGGTGGAGGCCCGCAAGGGTGACACCAAGTACAATGGCCTGCGACACTGTGCCACAACGGTGTGGAAGGAGGAAGGCCTGAAGGCCTTCTTCAAGGGTGGCCCCGCCCGTATCATGCGTTCATCCCCACAGTTTGGTTTCACCCTTGCCGCTTATGAGGTTCTGCAGAAGAACTTCCCCCTGCCTGGCTCCCATGAGGATGAGACCCCCACCGGCTATGTGGAGCCGGGTGTTGGCATGGCTGGTGCGACGGCGCCTCTCCCCTACCTCCGCTCAAGGAACGCTCTGAAGCTCATCCTTGACTTGGAGCCGAACCTTGGCCGAGTGCAGGTCCCTCGCCCTGAGAACTGGCCCAAGTTCCTGCAGAACTCAAAGCAGTAATTCCCTTTTGGTTTCATATAGCGACGACTTTCATCTGGCGTTTGCCATTTGGATGGGTTTTTTTTTGTGTTCCATTTAGCATCAGATTTCGACTATTTTTCTCATTTTTTTCTCTTCTCGGGTTCATCTGCCATTGACACTTTCTTTTCCATTTGGTTGCAAAATGTGGGGTTAGGCCGGCTTTTTTAAAGCCTCTGCACGATTTATCTTTCATTTTGTCGCCTGATGTGCATTGTACCACCAGCACATAGATTTTGAAAAGGGTGTGGGGCTATATAGAAGGGGTTTTGTTGTCGCATCGTCCCTAGCGGCTCATCATATGTAGGGTGCGTTTGGCTCTTTCTAAGCCAGCTCGACGGGTATGCTTGACATGCTGTCTGGGTGGCCTGAGTTCTGTATAGTACCTAGATCTAGAACAAAACAATCGTACTTTTCTGTTTTCAGATGAAGATCAACTTTCCAATGCATAGATTCCGTTTATGTAACTGGTGATCGCTAACTTGAACCCACCATTTATACTGTATGTACCGTTGTTGAAAACAAAGAGGCAAAGCCTTCGCCCAACAGAATTGACATGGGTATTAGATTCCTGTACACAGATATGTACTGTGACATGGATTATAGTAGACTTGTTCAGCAGCCTTCACCAAGAAAAGCTTGGAAGAACCGATGTGGATGAGGGTTGTAGGTGGTTGAAATACCATAGACGGTCTAGGAGCAGTCCATATACTCTTCGTCTAGATATCCAATCGCAGGAAGATCCAAAGTTTAGAAGAAGTTCAGCTTCCGCTTGGACTGGGCCTTCACAGTCTCTTCATCTGAACGCAATGCAGCAGACGCTGATTCTTTGGCTTCGGGAGTTTGTGTAGCCCCCATCTTGGTCTCAGTAGGCTTCTTCTCTGACTCCTTCTTGTTTCTCTGCTGCCACAGTGTGTCTTCTTGCTCGATTTCCTTCAGAACTAGAAGAGAGAAATACAAGTCAGATACCAGACGCATTGGTTTGTAACACCCATGACGTACCTTCTTCCCACTCTCGCTCCTGAGCGTCGTCTCCGGTGCCTAATAACTTTTCGACGTCGACTTTCTCACCACTCTTGATTCTTTCAATGACTTCCTTTAACAATTCAATCTTGGCATCCGTAGTGCGGGTATATGTCGCATAGCTGTTCTTCAAGGACAGCATCCGGATGGCTTGTGATCCGATCAAAGTGAACATCACAATGTAGAATGTGGCGGGATTCCATTCGTTGGATTTCTTTTTCTGGTGTGATTTGCGATCTCGAATAAATCTGGGGATCATTGATGTCCATACTGATCTATCTGCGATCTTCGGGAGTCGGTCGGAGGTTGTGTATGATCGTGAATAAGACGCAGATCGGGTCGGGAGTTGTGATGTGATCGGTGTTGAGAGAAGATGCCGACTGAGCCCCGAGGGTTTCATCCTGAATGCCATCGCCATTGTCGTGGGTGGTGAAATCGTAAGATCGCAACAAAACTCGCCCGCACCGGAATCCGCACAGGAAGAAGTTCCTGCCTGAGGCCCACAATATTATCCGAATATGGTATAGTGGGTAATGTTGCTACGACAACACACTCAATTGGGAGTCTTTTGGGCTTTGATGATATCAGTCTTTGAAGCCTCAATTCACCCTATCCGACGACCGCAGGCCGGCTGCTCGTCAAATTCTTCTAATATGGCGGTCACAGTGCTCCCTACTAGCTCCATGCCTGACTCCGTCAAGCTGGCCGTTCGGTCAACAACAACATGCTCGGATACCACCGTGTTGTCCCTCCAAACTCTCCTCCGCGCATCGTCGAACCTACCCGAGAAGCCCGCCAGGCGCACAACAAAATCCCTCAAAGATACGTCGAGGCCAACAAGTCGAGCGAAGACAACTAGGACAAAGACAACGTCCGCGAACGACGCGTTGCACGCAATGGTCGATCAAGATGCGCCCCAATTATCCTCCCAAGAGAAGCTCGTTCTCGCTACGGAGGTCTTCAATACAACACTCAAGACCCTTACGGACGCGTTAAAAAACACCACAAAACGTCAAGTCTCCACCTCCGAAAAGCCCTCCGCCAAGTCGACATCGAGGTCCAGTCCCACCGGAGTGGATGTGGGGGTGATATCCGCTGCGGAGTGCGCTAGAATTGCCTTGTCGACATTGCGAGCACTCAAAAATGAACAGGGTACTAAGGAGTTCCAGAACATGCAACTTGAGCAAGGTGTATGCGTATTGGCAGGGAAATTGATATCTCTTGGACTGAACGACATTGCGGTCAAGGAATTGAGGTCTTTGAAAGGGAGAATCCAGCAACACCTAGACATGCAGAAGATGGGAAAGAAGGCGACCAGCTCTCATGATGCGGTGGATGAAGAAGCAGGGAAAGAACGCATGTCAGACCTTCTGACCTTTTCGAATATTTCGAATGCGCAAGCTCTTTACGGTCTTCTTGTTCCCTTCCAGGCGAATGCGATGCGACTCTTCACCTCGGACCGCAAGCCTTCGACTATCCAGAAGCTGTATCCCCTACTACAACTTTCTGATCCTAGCAGCCCGGCCCAGATCATTCTCGCTGCTTTGAAGACCGGAAGTTTATCGAATGACAAGGCTGCTCTTCAGCTTCAGTTGCTGTCAAATACCGTGCTCTCTTTGTGCTCTGGAAAGTCTTCCTCGGGCGATGAATCGCCAAGAAGCAAAGATTCTCTCAAGCCAATTACAGCCTTGGGTCTTCAACTACTGTCCTTGGAGATCCGATGCTTGTGGTGGAAGATAGCGGGCCACGTATGTGATGAGAGCAAAGAGGTTTATGACCCTCTTATCCGCTACCTTGGAGCATTTTCTCATCGCAGCAAAGGAATCGAGAAAGCCGAGTTTGGTGCAGTCTTCAAAGCGATCACTCAAATTCAATCATCGACGGCAGAGATTAAGAAACACCCCCAGGCAAGCAAGGATATGAACTCATTGGCCAAGATTATGACCCTTCTTGGCCAGCTCGCACTGGATGCCAGTTGCTTTGAAGAATCCCTGAAACTTTTTGGGAAAGCTGTCACCCCACTTTCAAATTCACAAAGCCTTTCCTTGGCTACGGTTGAATGTAAAATTGCTTCTGTCTCTTTCCAGCGCTTGAAGGGATGTGGGAAGTTTTTGGATGCAGCGTTGAAATCCTTATCTGAAGCCACGAACGCTCTGGGCTTGCAACTTCGAGGCAGTGCAACTGACCTGGACGAGCTGCTGGTTGAGGCTGCTCGGCTTAAAAAGCTCGCCCTGTCTTGGTTCGGCGAGGTAATCGCGCAGACATTGGACAGTAATGAGCAGAAGAATGAAATCGCTTTTCAAATTCGGGAATTTCTACAAGCATTTCTTAGGTTTCTCAAGCGTTATGTTGGACGACCACCAGCCGAGGACAGCAACGAAAAAGACCACGATATGTTCCAAACTCGAGTCTCCATGTCTAAAAGCATCGTTCTCGCTGCCATTGACTCGGCTGTTGCGGTCGGGAGATTATCAATCATGTCGCAAAGACCGCCATGGGACGACATGATCCCCATTCTAGCGGATTGTCATCGCCTGCTTACTTGTATCGAAAGCCCTGAAGAAGTCGGTCTGGATACCTCCAGCATCGGTTCAGGGCTTGTGAAACTCTCTAATTTGTTTTGGTCTCGTTACATTAAGGAAAAAGAGGCTGGTCAAGGTTACCGTGAGCTGCTGCCCCTTCTCAAGCAGTCTACTCAAATAATCTCTACTTGCTCGCCATCGCTCCGAACCACCGCTTTTACTGCCCTGAAGTTTGAGAGGATGGCCCATCTTTACTTGGAGGGCAATATGCACATGGAATCAGAAAAATCATTTCGGCAATCCATCGCAGAGTATGTTGATTCGGGCACTCTACAACAAATCACAGACAGCGGCATGAAAACCTACCCTAATTCGGGAAGTCAGGATCCCCAAAGTCCTGCTTTCATGCTCGGTCGGGTTCTCTCTGCGTTCCTGAAGGTGAACTTACGACGAAAAGGGTCCAAGTCTTCCAATATCTATGATGATGTCGAGCTGGCCTCTGAACAAAGAGGCATGCTTCTTGAGTGGCAGACGGGACTTCTTATTGATCTGCATGCATATTGTTCGAGTGAAGAGGAGTTCCGGTCCACTTTTACGTCGATTGTGTCCAATCTTCTCGATATCTACTCCGACTTTCCTGTCCGTCATAGCCGAGTGGTTCTTTCCGCTCTTCGATATTTACTAGAACACCCTGGCTGTTTAGAAACCACCCTTTCCGAAAGACTCATGGAAGAAGGCACAGAAGCTTTGACAAGCGGAATTGAAGTCGGGCAAGACACCGATTTAGCACCCTTTACCCAACATATCACGAACTCTTTACGAATTATCATTGGTTTTCACCGCGGGAAAATAGATGCGAATGATCTCGAAAACACCCTTGCATCTTGGACCTCGATGATTCGACGATGTCCAGATGCAAACTCTTTGCTTCTCTGCGTCCATGATGTCGATTACTGGGCTCTTCAACTGAAGGCATTGGTTGACTACACGGAGATCCACGGTCTTTGGAAATCACAGCTCTCTGCCTTGGAGCTGATACTTAGAGTGGCTGAACTTCAGAAATCAACTGATCTCTCGGATGCAATCACCATTCTCTCGCGCTTGGTGATACAGCATTGCAGACTTGGTCATTGTCAGAAAGCAGGTGACCTTCTCTCGCGCGGCGAACGATATCTTACCCAACAGGAGGTTTCATCCCTAGCGACCATATCATGCAAACTGGCACGAGTAGAATATCTTCTCGAGACAGACGAGATAGACAAAGCTGCCTCCGTGCTTTCTTCCACAAAAATACTGTACGAAAAGAGCCAGAAGTCAGAAGAGATGAGCAATCTATCTGTGTTGTCGAAGATTTCATGGGAGAGACTTATCGCGGATGCTACCTTCATACAATCCCGCCTCTCGACTGCCCAGGGCTCAATGACTGACGCCCTTTTCTTTGCCAAGCTATCTGTGAGGCTCAACTGTCGGATCTGGGCTAAAGTCGAGAAATTAGCTCAACGGAAACAAGACAAGTCTTTGCCAGCCGGGAGAAGCTCTGATGTTGACGCTGTCGCTGACAGTGTGGCCAAGCTTGATCTATCTCAGAACGGACCTTCTTCGGATATCTCAGCAAGCTATACCCAAGGTGCGCCATTTTGGCCACACCTTGGCTCACACCATACTTGCTTATTGAACCTCGCAACTTTGTCCGCCCACCATGGCTTGTTCCAGGATGCCATTTACTACGGACAGCAGGCATTGAAGATTGATAAGACACTTGACGCCAACGTTCGTCTTGTGGCTGCGCAGACTCAGCTTGGTTGTTACTGGACTCTCGGCGGCCATGTCGACGAGGGACAAGAACTTCTTGTCGCGGCATCGGAATCTTCAAAGCAGATCAAGACCAGCATAGAGACCGTCTCCTTGCACATGGCTCTTGCCTCTCTTTACAAAGCGCAGGGGCAACACGACAAGGCATTACGTTTGCTCCAGGAAGCTGACAAGGCCATAACAGCTGTGAATTGCTCAGACGCAAATAGCATCTCACAAGCCCCAGATTTTGCAAATCTCGAAGAGAAGATGGAGAAGTTGAGTATGCGAAGTACTCGTCGAACACCATCAACAATTACTGCCGCTGGTAGTGGTCGGCGCACTCGTGCTACCACTTCTGCCACAATCAACGCCAAGAAAGACTCAACGTCCAAAAATCCGCAAGCAGATGCTCAATCGAGGTCGCTCATGCGGTTGAAGAGCAATATTCTTCGTCAGCAGGCTGACTGCCTGCGTACACTTCGAGATTACGAGCGCTCTGCACTCGCTCTTACTGAAGCCCGCCAATTTGCTACGGCGCGCGAAAGCAAAGTTTCTCTCGAGATTGGTGAAAGTGAGCACTTGTTGGCTGAGGCAATTCGTCAGTTTGCAAGCCACGCGGTGTACTGCGTTCTGCCTGAGTCGACGATTTCGCTGCCATGTCTTATGACACCGAGCAAAGCAGCAGACGGGCCAAGTCTCCAAACGGCGAAGCCTTCCACTGTCAAAAGAGCAAGGGCACCGACTAGAGGAACTCGGGCCAAAGCTCAAAAAGCCAGTGAAGATTTCTCTATTATGCTTTCAAAAGCAACTGACTGCCTTGCCAGTGTCTTTACTGATGTCACTCTACTTGGTTCCACATTGGAGAGCCATGCAGCATCTCGATTGATGAGTCGGATTTCTATGCTTTCGCATGCTACTACCCCGGGAAGCCCAGCAACCTGGGCGCAATCTCCTGCGATCATGAATGGTAAGTTCTTATAATAGTATCTTGCGAAACTAGCGGAATCTAACAATTTGCCATAGAGATCGGACGTGTTGGCGCATTTGCTCGCGAACGTATGGCTATTAACTTTGATCGACAATTGTCCGACTTTGCTGATCCACTTCTGTGGCCTAAATCTTCATCATTGACCACCGAAATGGGTGAAGAAGTGTGTTCAAGCTTTACCGAACTTTACGTTGATATTCTACCTGAAGACTGGAACGTTCTGTCTTTGTCTCTGAGTGCTGATGGGACTGAGTTTGTAGTCTCAAGACTACAGAAGAATCGCTCTCCGTTTCTACTTCGTCTGCCTCTCCGGAGGGGCAACGTTGACGACGACGAAGAAGAGCAGTTCACGTTTGAAGATGGCAAGGAAGAGATGCAAGAGGTTATCAAGTTGGCTAACGAGAGTGCACACGCTGCCAAGGCTCAAATTGACAAGAAGATGAAGAAAGATTGGTGGAAGACTCGAGAATCACTGGATCGTCGATTAGAAAGCCTCCTTGAAAATATCGAAAATATTTGGTTTGGAGGCTTCCGGGGTGTTTTTTCGCCGCTTGCCCGGGATACCGCCGCGCTGTCTCGCTTTGCCAGTGCATTCCAGGGGATTCTGGATAAGCATCTTCCCTCTCGACAAAAGGGCACCAAAGCTTCATTGCCTCGCCTGACTCTTCATCAAACCGTTCTGGAGATGTTCATTGGGCTTCGAGGCCTCGAACAGTCAGAGGACCCTGAGGACACCTTGATGGATCTTCTCTACTTTGTAGTAGATATCTTACAATTCCAGGGCGAGCGGAATGCCTATGATGAGATCGACTTCGACATGATGGTTGTCGATACCCTTGATGCCCTGCTTCGCTACCACGAAGCCGCACAGGACGAGCTTGCCTCGACCCCGCCTAGTCATACAGTGCTGGTGCTAGACAAGACCCTGCATCTCTTTCCATGGGAATCTCTACCGTGCCTTCAAGGATACCCTGTCAGTCGCGTCCCATCACTGCAATGTCTTCGTGAGCGAGTGCTTCAATTCCGTGAAAGTCGATCTGGCGCCGTCGTTGATCGGACGTCGGGTGCTTACCTCCTCAACCCGACAGGCGATCTACGCACAACACAAACCACCTTTGAGGGAGATCTCTCGGGACTTAAAACTTGGACAGGTGTGGTCAATCGTGAACCAACAGAGGATGAGTTCCGCGATTGTCTGGAGAGTAAGGATCTATTCTTGTACTTTGGACATGGCAGCGGTGCTCAGTACATCCGTGGACGCACTATCAAAAGATTATCCAAATGTGGCGTTGCCTTCCTCATGGGTTGCAGCAGTGGTACACTCACAGAGACTGGTGAATATGAGCCGTACGGAACACCCATGAACTACCTTCATGCGGGTAGTCCTGCGCTCGTGGCTACCCTGTGGGATGTAACTGACAAAGACATTGATCGTTTCGCGTCATCCACTTTCGATACCTGGGGATTGTTTGAGAAGGGAAAGTCTGATGTTGGTCTAGACACAGCGATCGCAGGAGCACGAAAATCGTGCGTGTTGAAATACTTGAATGGGGCGGCACCCGTGGTATATGGAGTTCCGGTGTTTTTGGGATAAAATAATGACATAATGTTGGTTAGGTTTATGTATATCACGTTTTCATTTCTTCTTTTTCTTTTATCCTGAGGTTTTGGGATATGCATATCTCCACTGTGGGCAGCGTTCGGATTCGTTTGTTTCTGTTTCATTGCTTATCTGGATATTTTTCCCTAATGAGGTTTCAATCTGTTGCTGCTTTAAGGATTTCAATTGGAGGAACGTTCAGATAAAACATGTAAGGAGTATTCTGTCATGTCATATGTATCATCTGGCGTCAACTATATAAGCTACATAACCTTGGAATTTATATCAGTAATGACGTTGAGAGCAGGCTATAAGAGCTAAGCCCGGCATGATAACCGAGCACAGAACAAGCTGGAGTGGAGCTTCCCCTCATGCGGGACCAGACCCCGCGCAAGCAAAAAAAAACGTATATTTCTTCCCGTTGGAAACTTCCCTCCTATCCATCATCTATCACCATGTCTGTCACCACTAAAGCCACCATCGCCTCCTTTGGCGGAAAGCTGCTTAAGCTTAGCCACAATGCCACTACTACTCGCTGCGAGATGTCCTTCAATCTCTACCTGCCCCCACAGGCTCAGACCCAGAAGGTCCCCGTGCTGATTTATCTATCCGGTCTAACTTGCACCGCGGACAACTGTTCGGAGAAGGGCTTCTTCCAACACGGTGCTAGCAAGAAGGGAATTGCAGTACTGTATCCCGATACCAGCCCTCGTACGTTTCTATCACCTATATATAAATATATTAAAGTGGAGGGGAGGGGAGGGGAAATGTGTTAATTGGTATAATACAGGTGGTCTTGATATCGAAGGCGAGAATGATGCTTATGACTTTGGCTCTGGTGCTGGCTTCTACGTCGATGCTACTAAGGCTCCTTATGATCAGGGCTACAACATGTATAGCTATGTTACTGAAGAGCTGCCCCAGACTGTCTTTGCCGCTTTCCCACAGCTGGACTCTAGCCGTGTGAGCATTACAGGACACAGTATGGGTGGACATGGTGCCCTTACTTTGGTAAGACTTCTTCTCTTCTTCTTCTTGAGCGATTTCGCTGACTTGGATAGTTCCTCCGTAACCCCGGCAAGTACAAGTCCGTTTCGGCCTTCGCTCCCATTACCAACCCGATCAATTGTCCCTGGGGCCAGAAGGCGTTCAATGGCTACTTCGGTGATGACCAGCAGGCGAAGTGGAAGGAGCATGATGCTACTGAGCTGATTAAGAAGTGGACTGGCGGTCCTCTGGATATCTTGATTGATGTGGTATGTCATCATGAGCTCTCCTCTTTTTTGTTTCATCTATCTAACTCTTCAACTATAGGGCACTGGCGACAACTTCTACAAGCAGGGCCAGCTCCTGCCTGAGAACTTCGAGGCCGCCGCTAAGGAAGCTGGGTTGACCGGCTTGCGTATCCGCTACCAGCCGGATTATGACCACTCCTACTATACGATGGCTTCCTTTGCCGATGATCACGTTGAGCATGCGGCAAAGTATCTTCTTGCATAGTGTGTTTTTCCTTCATTATTTCTCGGTATCGATGGAGGTTATGAGAGTAAAACATAACTGGCAAACGGATTCTGATTCGGTGCTTTCTTTGCTCAAGTGAGCGACAGGATGCTGTGAGACCCAGTCTATGATATGATTGAAGAGGAGCATTGGAAGGGTTGCGGTCAAAAAGGATTTCCATGTTGGAATGTTTTGCCTTGCTCTTTCTGGACTTGCTCTACTGGGGTATATTTTGATATAGAAAGTACCAGTATATCCATTGTCTACCTAATTCTTTTAACCAGTATAACAAGACTACCCAATGTCAAAAGACATTAAAGTCTTCTTGCTTGACTTTGAAATATGGATAACAGGTTTTGATGAAAGAACGCCCACGACGCGCTGCGAATGCAGGATGGAAAGGTAACAATCACTATGTACTCGAGCATGAACACTTTTTTTCGCTTCCTGGTTTAACCAATCAATATTTTTGGTTATGATTCGATGCCGTATAATGCGTATAATGGTATCCATGGGGTGAAAGGGGCAAGGCTAGAAAGCACGGGAAATGCACATAAACATGTTCATCCGGGCCACAGAAACCACCTCGTCTCGTCAAAAGGGAAATATGGGTTGGGGGAATCTAAAAAGGACAATCAAAATGAAATGGTCATCGAATATACTCTCACATATATTCTCATGCGCTCAATCGCTGGATGAATGACTATATGCAAAGTCAGTATGGTGATCATTCTAAAGACGTTCGGTTCACATACCGGGAAGAATTGCCGGAATCCCTTCGCATCCGGCTGACTCAATGCCGCCAAAAACTCTTCAATGAGCTCTCCTCCCATGCCCATGCCCGGCAATTCTTGGTTTCGTAGATATTCCAAGTACTCTCCGCCTGTCTTCAAGTAGATCGCGCGTTGGAGTCCGCCTGCCTCGGCAAGGACCTGCTTGGCCTGGGCATCTTTTGAGTTGAAGGAGGGAGTCATCGGGAGGGCCCAGCATAAGGGTGAGAATCTTGAGATCATAAATCCACCAAATCCAGGCAAAGTTGTTTGGTTGGGTGCGGTTCCATTGGTAGCACCGGAGACGACGTCGGGTCCTCCCCAGGAGCTAACCATTTTATGAAGTACGGAAAATGCCATTTTGGCAGTGGTGAAGTCTTCAATGTCCTTAGCAAAGTGCTCGATGGTGGTGATGACAGTTTCGAACATTGGTTGGTTTCCTTCTCAGGTCAGTATATAGAATAATTAAAACCGCTTCGGAAAAACTTACTTTCACTGATGATGACGGCACCAAGATCGTTGTTGAAAACAGCCAGCAGGAAATTCAGATACTCTCGCTTGAGCTCGGCAAGCTGAATTTCGTCGTCGGTTCCTGTTGTCGGATCCGCGATACCAGAGAATACCCGCTGCAAGAAGGGGGTCAAAAGAGTGTCAAGGATGCTAAATATTTCGCCCTTGAATCCAAAGATGACCTGGTCAAGAAGACGCAGGAACAAAGCCATCTCGTCTCTTGAGGAGGTCTGCGTCAATAGCCCATCAATCCACCGGGGCAGTTGGGGGAGGATACGGGCACCCAGGACTCCAATGAGACGCGAAAAAGCGAATCTAGCCGCAGTGCGAATATTGAAAGAATTCTTGAGGGACTCGAGAGAAACCAAAGTCGCTTCTGCCACCTGGCAGAAAGCTTCTGAGACCTCCACTGCTGGCAGGTTAGACGGGGTGCTTGTGCCAGGCATCCAGTCTGAAAATCCACGAGCAAGAGTCCCCAGAGCCATGATATCATGGTGGATCTGCAACAGGGCTCGCTCGTCGTTGGACTTTGCCGCTTCAAGATTTCGCTCCATATCTGCAAAGATCGGATTGAGCACCGACTGGGCATAGAGGACTTGTTGATCGGCGGGTACTCCATGGGTAGAGCAGATGATTCCAACAGCCTCAAAGAGATACAGCTGGCTGTTGAACACAGCATCTGCGGAACCTTCATGGTCCTCAGAAGACATCTCATCACCATCATCACCCTCGGAGGGCAGCTCAGCTTGAATGACCAACAGGTCGCCAAGTGCCTCCACCACGGTTTGAGCCACATTGCCAATATAAGTGCGCAGCTGTTTCACAAGACGCTGGAAAAGATACCACGAACGAGTCTTGACCCTACGGACCGGGTGGTGGACGAGCTGAAGGAAACTCTCCAACACACCAGGAATCAGGTGCGTGTGGTGTTGGAAAAAGGCGCTATAACGCACGCAAATCTCCATGTATTGAAGTTGCGTAGCAGGGTGGGTGAATGATCGAATGTCTGTTACAAGTTAGCCTAAGTTGTCGAAAAATGGGTCGAAAGAAAGAGCCTACCAGATTCCACCATCCGGAGCATCATCTCGATGAGACGAACTGCAGCGGGGCCGGCGGGTTGGTTCTTCTGATAGATACCACCGCGGGTGACGGCCAGATCGCCAAAGAGGAACATCTCGTGCAGAGCCAAATCCAAATCCCGCCAGTCAATCTGGCCTCCAGATACTCGCAGATTCTCGAATGTTGTGCCCACGAGCTCTGAGATAGCGTCGATGAACAGCTGTTCGTCCGCAGAAGCAACAATTTGTTGTAGGACACCAAGTCTCTTGCGTAGTTCCTGGAACTCAGCTTCGTCTGTCTGCTCGTCTTCGTCCCCCCAGTTAGAGGTCTCATCGTAGCGCATCTTCGCAATGATTGCCTTCAGTATAGGAAGAAGGATGGTCTTGTTGCGATCTTCGAAGGTTGGGTTTGTTTTGGAAAGTTTGCGGAAGTAGGTGAGCATGTCGTTGACGCAGGGGATCACGGTCGAGCAGACCTCGTCATATTCATCAGAAAAGTAGCGCAAGACGTGCGGCAGGAAAACCTGCAGGAGATCATCCGCTTGGTCTTTCACTGGGCTGCTATCGGTTTCCAAAACCCGCACAATGTCCATGACTGTGATGTTAACGAGCTTGGCAATTGTTTCGGCCAGATCAGTGTCGTATTTGGAGGTGAAACGACTTTCACGTAGGGGCGGGCTGTTGGAGAGCTGAGTGACAATCGAGTTCAGATTCAGGAAGACGATCATTTCAATTTTATCGGCGGGCTTCATCTTCTTGCCAATAATTTCAGTGAAGACATCCACAGCTGCGTCACGAACTCGCTGCTCGCCCTCCCGCAACTCTTGCTTCTCGGCCCGTCCAAGCTGCTGGAAAAGAAGATCAAGCATCTGCTGGTTAACCACAAGACCAATATCAATCCAGCTGACCCAACTGCCAACAGCCTTCAAGCAAGCCTCAACGACCGTATCGTCCCCATCCCACCATTGTGAAAGAATCTCCTTCCAGGAGTTTGCAATGCTTTGCATATCCCGCTCACGGATCAAATCCTTGAGTGCGTTGGCTTTATCCTGCTCTCCACGAGACCGAGAGACCAGTACATCTCCAATCTCGTCGTGAATCGAGTTCACCACACGCAAATAGAAAATTATTCCGAGCGGGTTGTCTCGGGTCGTGCTAGTCGAGGACTTGTATGTAAGGTTCAGAAGATCTTGAATGCAAGTTTCCCAGCCATTGGCGTATAAAGCGGAGAAAAGATAGGTCACGGTCTGCGCAATTTTGTTCTGAATGTACGGTGCGTCGGGCGTGGCGGTCCCGTCGGGCCCATAAACCTGCCGCAGGTAGGCCAACAAGCTATTCCGCACAACGCCCAGGGAGGCAAAATCAATTAAGCCAGCCTGCGCAGCACTGTTGACAATTTCCAGGCTCACATGTCGTACGACTTCGGGTTGTTGAGGGGTTTCGGTGAAGAGAGCGAGGCAGACCTGCCATCCAGAGGGATCAGAGCGCAGTTGGTTGAGGTAGTCGAAAGCTTGTGCTTTGAGGGCTTGGTCGGATTCCGGGTTCCAGGCGATCTGAATGGCATTCGCTACCTAAAATATTGCAAGTGTCAATGCTTCCATATTGACTTGCTGACCCCTCAGGGCTGGAGGGGTTGACTTGGGGCAGTGGGGGGAGGGGTCATGGTATTTTTTTTTAAGGTCACCCCCCTTGGGCTCAAATGTCCCAAACATGGAGCAGCAGACTAACCTGTTCAGCCATCTTCGACCAGCCAAGCTCCCTTTCAGAGTGGAAAGGGGAGTAACACGGAGGGGGGTTGATGTGTGTTGAGTTCAAAATTGTTTTTCGGTGGAGGAAGCACTTCCATGGGATTCCCGTGCCTGGCTGGCTCCGCCCTCGCTAACTGCTTAAAACTGACCGACTTGTCTGTAAGAAAAGTGATATAATCTTGATAGGGCAAAGGATTTTTATTTTTCTGGGGTTGAAAATCAGCAGCTAAATCTCACACTGTAGCCTGAGCAGGCAATTTAGTCATAACTTTTTGGTGCGAAACCTTGTGACCATTATGTCATCCCCAACCCTATCTGGGTACTAAAGCACGAGGATTGATTCTGACGAAAGAGATGGCTTATACATTTCCAAGATGAGCATCATCAGTTATAATGGCATGTATACATAGAAATTACTACAAATTTGAACTATCTCAGGGATGTTGTCTATTAGGAAAAACGTAGTTGTGGTTAACCTTATATACGCCATACTAATCATTGTTTACTTGCTGAGATGATGTCTATTGGCCTTAAAACCACTGAGTAAATAGTACTAAAAGCACAAGTGTCTATTTAAGAGCCCATTTAGTATAACTTGTAATTACTAATTACCTATTTAAGTGCCTATTCAGAGATGGCTCTAGAGGCTAGAATCACAGGGGCTAGAGTCTAGCCTATAGATTACTCTATTGATGTAGTGACTAGATAGTAGGTACTTATGCAAGTTTTTAGCCTTATGTACTGATATAGCGTCCGGATTGGAATTCAATTTTGTAGCCCAAATCCAGTACTCTAGTGAACTCCCATCTTCATTTCGCTTTACACCCAAGGTGTAGCTCTAGCCACCTGGCTATTCCTTGAATTATATGATCCCTATCAGTTACAACTTAGATATGGCTTCGCAGATCTCAACATCTCCCCGTTTATTCCTCACAGGGACGGAAGTCGAGGACAGAGTGCTTCTCCAACTCACTGCACCGAGCCAGCAGTATACTCCTCAAGAAGGCTCAGGTTATCACGAAGCCTAGCACCAAACCTACCACCAGATCTACTCACTCTTTACGACAATTCGAGGCCAATCTACAGCAACTGGCAAAGTAGACGACTCTGGACTCCGAGAAGGTGAAGAGTGACATGTGGTTTTGCTGCCGAACGATGTTGGGGGACCATGCGATGAAGATTGACCAGATCAATTGACGACCTATTCGCCCTCAAAGCAAACCTGCTTGTCATCCGATTCGACCTCCGCAAGGTGGAAGATGAATTCCAAGCTTGATTGGGCATACAAGGGAGCCCTTCAGATCTACCTACCCATCGAGGGTAGGGTCGGCGAGCTAGCAGATTCCATCAGGCTAAACAAACGACAGCAATTCTGATGTTCTAGCAATTTCACACCTTTGTGCAGGAAGTCCCACCTAGAAACACCTATTTATTATTCATTAGTATGTACTTAACCTAATATGGAGCAGTTCTTAATATTGATTCAATACTTGAGATACCCCCAATTATGTGAGTGATAGAGCTTCTTTTTCACTAGCTAGAGGAACAGCATATTTGTTGTTAATAAAAATGGTAATCCATTCAATGTTACTTGACTCACTACACAGGTGAATTTTTCAAGATTTTAGACATATATCTGTATGTATAAATATGTACAATGAACAATCTTCACACTTACTTCACATTCAAATTTCCTTTCCATTCATCTACACCTCAACAAAGACATCACTTAAGATCTATCTCTTCCAACTTTTGACATCAATAGCACAGAAACATGAAATTAATTGACTTGCGCCGAGAGGTGATTTCTCTGCATTGCAGACCACCTAGAAAGAAAGAACGACATCTGGGCCTTCTCTCGATTTTCCCGAGAGCTTCATGAATGCCTCTTACACTATTACATTACACGTTTTCGCTTTTCTTTACTTGATCTCTCCATCGACAATGGCTGGGATGGCTTGCTTCGAAAGGTTATCCAAACCTCCATCGATATCAACCACCAACGCGAAGATGATTTTGAAACGCCCCTCACTCGTGCAGTACACAAAAATCATGAAAAGAATGTGAAGCTCCTATTGGGAAGGAAGGACATTGATATCCACGTCGAAGGGGGACATCTCCTGCACCAGAACACTGCGCTCCAGTATGCTGCTATACATGACCGAGAGGAGATCGTGAGATTGCTGCTTGCTCACTCTAAGATGGACATTGCGCATTCTTCCGAGGCCCTCTGGACTGTTGCTAGCGAGCGTAATCCCTCACGCACTGCACGCTCCATGAAAATTCTTTTGGAGTACGGGCTTGATCCAAATATGACTAAATATGGAGAGACCTTGTTAGCAACTGCAGTACAACATCGCGTGCACGAGATGCGAGATTTGCTGATTGAGGACGAGCGTGTAGATCTCAACTGTCTACTTCTTTTTGGTCAATTCAATGAACCTGTACCTGTCATATTGCAGATTATGGCGATGCTTGCCAGCGACAAACTCAATAGTCTGTTCAAGCACAGAGCTCGGATTAATTTCGAGGCTTCGGACCACGAAGGCAGAACTGCTCTACTTCTCATGGCTGGTAGGGGACATCTGGAGTGGTGTCAGGATCTATTGGAAAAATATCCCGAAATGCCTTTTGTGCCAGACAAAGATGGTAATACGCCAGTCTCCGAGGCTTTATCGAATGGCAGATCCAAAATTTGCGCGCCTTTCTTGCAGCTATGTGCCATGGCCTTCAAAGCACCGGATAGCCAAGGGCAGATTCCAGCTTTCCAAATTATCCGATGTGGTGACTTGGAATTATTCAAGATGATGCATGCACACCTCGGGACCGCCCTGGTTCACTTGAGAGAACATGGTCGCACCCCTTTTGCCGAAGCAATTGGATTTCGAAGGTTTGAAATGTTCAATGATCTGGTAGGCCTCGGTGCGGATCCTAATGAAGAGGATCATGAAGGTCGTACTCTATTGATGCGGGCAGTAGATCAGATCGATATCGATATGGTCGATAATCTGCTTGTTCTCGATGGAATTGATATCGACAGACAAGATCAGAAGGGTTGGACGGCCTATGTTTGGGCCAAATTCCCTCCTCCAAAGTGCAAGGGACTCCATCGGGGATACAAGTTGATTGAAGAAAGGCTTCTGGCCGAAGACGCAAGCAAAGGGCCGTTGGATGATCTGGAAAGAACGCGGTGGCCTAGGAAGCTGTGGTATTCACGAACTGAGCGTAGAGTTTGATCTAGATTGTTTGTATTTCTTGAATAGTAGTTTTTACTAGGAATGAACCTTTGCTCTTGGTTTATATAATGTTTCATCTCCAATGATCAGGTCTATACACAGTACAGATCTCTACCAAATCCGTTATCTGCGGAGGGTATCAAAAGCCGCGCTAAGTATTTCTTAGAGGCCCTTTCTTGTACCTTTTTTTTTTGATTTACGAGCTTCGCTTAATGCCTCTTGTGAGCGTGGTCCTCGTGAGAGGATCCAGAGGCGTGGGCATGGCTATCATCAAGCTCTGGGTTTGCCCCAGAATCCTGGGAGACAAACTCCTCAGAGAATGTTAGCTCCTGCTCTTCCACGGGAATAAAGCGAACTCTAACACGTTTCACCCCACGAACTCCAGCTCCGATGGTTTGGCGGACAGCCTCTTCCACCACTCGGGAGCGAGTGATAGCCCAAGCTCCGGGGACGGCAAGTTCAATATCCATCAGGTAGTTCTGTCCAGACTTCATACCCTGGACGTCGCGGATGATCACCTGCTCTCCGTCTTCAATATCCTTCAGTGCCTTCGAGGCGGCGGTTTGCACAGATGTCTTAATTTCGTCGTCCACCGTGGTATCAGCCAGTTCCAACAGAGCGGTAATGGTGTTGCCCCAGCCGGCCTTGATCACCATCAAGGAGATTAAAAGACCACCAACCGGATCCAGCCAGGTGGCATCTTGGAAAACATAACTTCCGCCAATCGTGGCCAGGGCGACAATACTGGTGAGAGAATCAATTCGGTGGTGGACGGCGTTGGATGCGAGCACGGACGACTTGCGCTCCTCGGCTACTTTCATGGCTAGTGCGACGTTAGTTCAATATATGTGGCTTATCATCTACTCCCAATGATGTACTCACTTGCGCGGTAGAGCCATTCCTTCACGACAATTGACCCGCCGGCTATCCAGGCTGCATGAATACTAGGTCCCATCACATCAATACCATGGCTGTGTGAATGTCCGTGTCCATGTCCAAATATCCCAATGTGGGCGAGCGTTTCCGCCAAGTCGGGGTAGCAATGGGCGAGCAGGACCTGTCCTGCATTGAGACCCATAAACATACCACCGCATAGTAACAGTCCACTCACGCCCAAGGCACCGATGCTCTCTACCTTTCCGTAACCATGGGGAAATCGCTCACTCGGGGGTTTAAGGGACCATGCGACCGTTCCCAAAGTTAAGAAATCGGAGACCAAGTCGGTAAGGGCGTGGTAGGCGTCGGCGATCAAAGCTTGGGAGTGAAAGACATAGCCTCCAATGAATTTGCTAATGGCCATTGCCAGGTTGGCAACCAGGCCAATCCGAGTAATGCGCACACCGGCGTCGTTTTTGTTCGTGGAAGTCAGGTATACATTGTCGTGATGATGATGGTGGTGGCCGTGGCTATGGCCGTGGCTTCTGGATTGCGTCATGGGGATTGATGTTGCGGAGGCACGAGGTTGAGGTCGTCGAGATTGATAGGGGAAATATTTGAAAGAATTGAAGAGCGCAGGCAAAGAAGTAAGTACCCGGCGTTGGTCCGAGCCACGGATGTTGATTCGAGAGTGGAGGGAAGGACGAAGCCTACACCGCAGGGGCTGTGTGAGCGGCATCGCTTCTTGACTAGTTCGAGGCACGCGAGCACGGGCAATCGGGACAGGGTGTTCTCTTTCGAATCTCAAGGTCCATTGAGATCCTTCTCGTCTGGGAATTTCTATAGGCTTTGAGTTTAAGTTGGTTGTAAAAGAGAAGATCGAAGATCATGTATCCGTAATCCCGACAGATTACGGATTTCCTGGCGCTTCTCATACTATGATTTTACCATCTTTTCTTTCATTCTTGATAAACATCGTCAGACGTTTTTAATACCCAGGAGATCATATGTACGGCCATTTTTTTGATCTGTCGTTTCATTTCTTTGTTTCCTCTTTTTTTCTTGGAAAATATCCATCAGGTTTGGTTTTAGGCTGATATTTTGTATGAATATCATTGGCTACGGCATAAAATCAATTCCCGTAAGCTTGTTTATGCTGTTGAAACGATACGGAAATCAAATTTACGTACCGTGCGTGACCCGCTCGGGGCCAAGACCTTTACGCAATCGGACAACTTTCCTCTCAGTCTGCCAAGAACTAACATCCATGTGAGGATGCGTCCTCAATGACGACGCCTGCTATTCGAATTCCCTTTACGGGTCCACTTCCGCCGGCCATAATAATTCCACCATCTGCCAGGACTATAGCCGGGGCAATCAATGCCGTCACGGCCTTTTTCACTGCCCCGCCGGCATTGAGCTTGCGTGGCATTGATGTTGGAGGTCATTCTCAAACTGTCTTGCTGACAGGTGCTGGGATTTCGGTCGCATCGGGCCTATCAGACTACCGGGGGGATCAAGGTACCTACCGACGAAATCAATCATACCGACCGATCTACTTCCATGAATTTACATCACATCACGAGTCGCGCAAACGGTATTGGGCGCGTAGCTTTGTGGGATGGCCAGGTCTGGTGAAGGCACGACCAAACTCCACCCATAAGGCCATTCACGATCTCGCTGCCAAAGGATATATCAGCTCGGTTGTCACGCAAAATGTTGATTCCTTTCACTCGCTCGCCCATCCGGAGCTGTCTACGTTGGAACTACATGGATACCTAAGATCTGTCGTTTGTACTAGTTGTCGCAATTACTTTCCTCGAGCAGATTTCCAGTCATCCCTTGAAAAGCTGAACCCTGCCTGGGCCGAATTTCTCGCGCGCATGGTTGAGGCGGGTGCGCTTGACACAACCAACCCCGACGAACAACGGCGCAAAGGTCTGAAGCTGAACCCCGATGGTGATGTGGATCTTGCGGAAGCGCCTTATTCTACATTTCGATATCCGTCTTGTCCGACCTGCTTGGAGAACCCTCCTACTCTGAAAGATGGGACGAGGGCCCGTGTTCAGGTTGAGCATGACGGTGCATGGATGCTTCCATCAAATGCGGGGATATTAAAGCCTGCGGTGACTATGTTCGGTGAAAACATTGATCCAATGGTCAAGGAAGCTGCCGAGGAGGCGATTGATGATGCTGGGCGCTTACTGGTTCTTGGAAGCAGTCTGGCAACCTACTCAGCCTGGCGCTTAGTCGAACGGGCCTACAAACGAGGCATGCCCATTGGCATTATCAATGTCGGTGGGGTTCGAAATGAGGCTATGTTGTTTGAAGACCTGGATGTCAGTCCAACTGCTCATGTCCGGTGTAGTCTTCCTACAGAGTCAATTCTACCAACCGTGGCATCCGAACTACCCAATATAGCTAGATACTAGCATGAGATCCTATAAGAATTACCCATGTACCAATAATGCCAATGAACTTAACTTGTCATGTACTTTTTATATTACATTTAATCGCAATAGTAATTGGAACTTGGCAAATTAGAAATCAAAAATTGAAGTAAGAAAACGCGTTGAACCAGCAAAGTGGAAGCGGTCGAGTACATAAGCCGTGGCGGTTTGACTCGCGGCCCACCAACGCGGGGTCCCTTCCCATCACAGCATGGAGCGACTCAGGGATTCTGCAGTCCGCCCTTTCAAGACTACACTTGTCTCCCCTGGCTCCTTTCTCTTCTCCAACCCTGTGAAGCCATCCGTCACATCACAACCCCTCAGAATGGATAAATCCCAACAACCCAGCTCCTTTCAGCAGCTGGAAAAGGTTAGCCGCCCTCCACGTGAAATCCCCCAAACCTGACTGACGTCTTATCCTGGTAGCTCGGTGAAGGCACTTATGCCACTGTACGTTCCGATTCCTCCGTGATCCCCACCTTCACATACCCTAGCCTAGAAAATCTTTAGTCATTTCACCCTTGATTTTTTACTGATGCAGGATGATCGCAGGTTTTCAAAGGGCGCAATCGCCAGACTGGCGAGATGGTTGCGCTGAAGGAAATTCACCTCGACTCAGAAGAAGGAACACCATCCACCGCTATTCGTGAGATCTCATTGATGAAAGAGCTGAAGCATGAGAGTATTGTGTCGCTCTACGATGTCATTCACACTGAGAATAAGCTGATGCTGGTGTTCGAATTCATGGACCGAGATCTGAAGAGATACATGGACACCCGAGGTGATCGGGGTCAATTGGATCCAGTCACCATCAAGTCTTTCATGCACCAGTTGCTGAAGGGTATTGCTTTCTGCCACGAGAACCGGGTCCTCCACCGAGACTTGAAACCACAGAATCTGCTCATTAACAAGAAGGGTCAGTTGAAGCTGGGAGATTTTGGCTTGGCTCGGGCCTTTGGTATTCCGGTCAACACCTTCTCGAATGAGGTTGTCACTCTGTGGTACCGGGCACCCGACGTTCTCTTGGGCAGCCGCACCTACAACACCAGCATTGACATTTGGTCAGCCGGTTGCATCATGGCCGAGATGTACACGGGCCGTCCACTCTTCCCGGGCACCACAAATGAAGACCAATTGTTGAAGATTTTCCGGTTGATGGGAACGCCATCTGAAAGGTCGTGGCCCGGCATCTCCCAGCTGCCGGAGTACAAGCCCACTTTCCACATCTATGCGACACAGGACCTTGGCTTGATCCTGCCTCAAATCGATCAGATGGGTTTGGATCTCTTGATGCGCATGCTTCAGCTGCGTCCGGAGATGCGCATCAGTGCTAGTGATGCTCTGCAGCACCCGTGGTTCCAAGATTTGACCCAGCTCCAGGCGGCTCAACATCAGCAGCAACAGCAGCAACAACAACAACAACAGATAGCTGGTTATGGGGGCATGGTCCCGCCTCAGTCTGCCTACTAAAGGTTGAAAATTGCGCATGACGAGATAACGAGCTCGATTTAGACGATCTGAATGGAAGGGACTAAGGCGTTGCATGCAGGTACTCAGTGATGGGATTTTTGAATGTTTTTTTGTCTCATTTTTGTTTTGCGTGTCCATTCTATGACAGACAGGCAGTGAATAGTCTGGAATCGCATGAACTTTCCTGCATATCTTTTCCTTCCAATAGCAACTTTGGGCATGGTACGAAGCCGAAATATCTGCCTTGAATGAACTTTGGTTACCATACAGCTTCTTACAGATGACTCCATTGGGTGGCTTAGTTCTCTTATCTCACCTTACCTACGAATACGTCATCGCCAGTCTGGGAGTTCAAGGTTTTGAATCGGCCTCCTCTTACAGCGACTATGGATTCCTCACTGTGTACAGAGCCAGCCTCGGAACATCGTTAAACCATCCTGTTCTATATCCCCAAGTGGTACACCTAGGGTTTTTGTTCCTCTTTCTTGTGATCATTTTGCCTGTATCAACGCCAGATTGCTGCTACCCAGAAGGAGTGTTTTTCGAGATATCCTAGCTGTGGTCCTTGATAATGCATTGCCATGACTTTGGAACATCTGAGAGTTATGGATCGAGAAAAGATTCTGTAAATACGTATAAATGGCAAATTGTTTGACTCTGAAGTTCACCCTAATGTCCTAAATAAGTCCGCAGTGTTTCAGGTCACACGCGAGATTGCGTACTCTTTACCTGAAAATCGAGGTATGTTGACTAATGGTGCCAGAGCTATTCGCAGTTTTCCGGTTTCACCTTTCAGTCCATACTCAGTCATAATTGAGGGAGGGTCTTTAGAACCCATCACTTGTCTCCAACCCACGACATCCAGAAACTTGCTAGAGTCCAGCTCACGACATGGATCAAGTCCCCTTCAAAAACAAATATCTTTGAAGGCAATACGATCCGAGAGGGTTTGACTCTAGCTCCCAAAAACGAGTTATCACGGAAAATAATTCTGCAGCCCTGGGCGTAGACCAAGTCAGCAATTCTGTTTTTTCACTGCTTTGCTTGTGACTTGGATATTGAGCCACTTGATTTGTCCATAAATGATGAATGGTTCACACATTTCAGGTCCCTTCCACTGCGAGTAGCGTATACGCTCTTGCTCATCCGAGCGACTTCTGTTTTGGTCTGAATTACGCTTCTAGATTTGTTGTCCTGTTACGGGGGTTTTGAAACAGTCTCATCTATGTCTCTATTTCATGACCTGTATTCAAAACTCTCTGGGCGGATTTTTGATATCGTACACCGACATTGTGCAGAGTTTACAAGTCCTAGGATCTGGATTCATATGGACGAGAGATGAATCGAATCTCTCGTTAGCTCAGTTCGATGTATATCTCGAAATCTTGCAGTAGCTACTTGAATACTTATGGCATTCAATCGGAGAAGAATGGAAAGAAGTCCCCCAAGGGATTTCAAATGTCTTGATATTGTTCCATGATAAATTGAGCCAATAATTGTCAGGTGGGTCACACGTGACCTGTCGCGTCGCGCTGTGGGCAAGTATCCCAAAGCCCAAGGACCCAAATTCCTCGCCAGACAACGCTCCTCTCAAGCCACCTTGAGGGTGTATTTACACAGATCGAATTAATTCAAGCCCACACGCCTGAAATAATCACCATGGCAGAGTCAGGCTCAAACTCGGCTCATCAGCAACCACCTGCAGCATCGGCCTCCGATCCCCCACCTCCCCCGGAGTCGCAAATCCCCGGACCTCGCGCATCACGTCTGATTCAAGTTTTTGACCAGGCTCTGGCGCGCACCCTTCGTGCGAACTCATATTCCAATTTTGCTAGCTGCTTCCCCACGCCTGCCCGACATGTTCCCGCTAGCCTAGAAAGTGTGTGGAGACAGTTGAATGCAAAACTGGAGGAGGGTGCTAAGGCGGAATTTGAAGAGATCATTGCGGAACGGGAGGCAGTGAAGCATATTAATGGATTGGATCGGTTAATCGCAGAGGCGAGGATCAGGAAGGAAAATGAGGGGGAGAGCAGGGAGGGGTCACGATCAGGCAATGCGTATGTTCTCTTGTCAAGTGTTTGGTCGAATTTGACTATAGCTGAATTCTGATGCGATACAGGCCTCACACTCTTGGAGCTGAAGACCTCTACAAGGCGCATCTGACGCCCTATCTCCAGGAAGCGCAGTCTACCCTGAAAGATAAACTCGAGTCCACACATGCTCAAAACGCAGAGCTGTCGCAAATCGTGCAGGCGCAGAGACTGGAAATTGAGAAGCTATTGTCACATCTTGAATCGGTTGTTACGGACGTGGAAGGTGCTGCGTTGGCAACTACGCAGTTCACTCAGGAGCACCATATTCGCCAAGATGCGGTTCAGATGGACGAGGAAATTAACCGTCAACCAAGCATCTAAAAACAAGAAGCCTGACGAAATATTTTTATTATACTTTGAGGTTCATGAGATGAGGGTGCTCAACACAGTCCCCTCAACCAACCCGTCCTCCACCATATCCTGGGCCACGCCTATCAATTTCTCCAGGCCTCCGGCTTTGAGCTGGTCCAGCTTACTATTTTCGCCTCCCAGAGCCGCCGCAATTGCTTCCTTGTACAAACCGTCTCGCTCTTCCTCCGCTGCTCCATCCCGGCGAGCCAGAGCGGCTGCTCCTCGGTAATAGGTCTGGGCATTGCGCACAAGCATAGCCCCGTTCTGCTTGGCAATGGCATGATTCCACGGGTCTGTTCCTAGGCGCCAACGGTGCATTTCAACATCTCCTCTAGCGATGTGGATCTTGGGTAAATTGTCAGCACTGGGCAACTTCGATGCAGCTGTCAGTGCATCCAAGGCGACCGATAGTGATTGCCAGCGAATGTTTAGAGAGTTCTTGAGGTCTTCAGGCTCGTAAGGTGGAACATCCGCAAAGGCTCCGTTCATCGATGTCAGTGCCTCGGCTTTGCTGCAGAGACCTTCCGGGTCCTTCGATACATCTAAATCCGGCCCAAAGGCTTGTCCGACTTCTTGCCGATACGTCTGGACATCAGTATGTCCACCCCGGTAGAGAAGCTCGTGCATCGCACATATGAGTTTACCCCGTGCCAGTCCCGCCTCATACTGCCTATCTGAACCTTCTACATAGACTGGGAGTCGGGTTTGAATGAGGCCCGAGGAATACTCCTGCACCCACCCCACGCCACCGGCATCCGGGTTGAATGTCAGCAGATTGCAGAGAGTGGTTAGAGTATTGATCTGTGCAACAGCTGTATCTACCAGGGTATTCTTGGTGACCGGTTCAACAATTGCAGCCCACTGCTCTTGTGGGTCGTCGTTGGACTCTGCTTGGTTGTGTTGAGGCTGCTCTGGCTGCGGTGCAGGAGCCGCAGTCTCGGGATCGATTGATTGCATTTCCTCAATCTGCTCTTGCATCTCCGTGTACTTCATCTCCTGCAAGACCAGACAGCGCTGGAATAGTTCGATCGCCTCTTGCAAATAGGTGCTAGCCTGCATCAGTTGCTCCTCATCAGGATGCTTGGAGTCTGAAAGGACCTCTGCCAAGCTGTTCAGCACCTGTCCGCTGTTGAAAAGGACATCGGCATTATCCTGATCTAGCTTTAGTGCATCCCTGTGGGATTGCAATGCAACCTGCAGGAGCTCTGCCTGAGGAGCGGGAAGCTGTGCAGCCAGCTTAGGGTGTTGTGTGATTTCATATTGCACTCGAGCTCTATACTAGAATTAGCCAACAAGAATCCACATGAAATCCTAGCCTCGGCTTGTGAATCGATAAACATACTTGTTGTAAGCTAGGTCAAAGGCCACTGGATGTTTCTGCAGACCCTCGTCATAGTTGGTAATGGCGCGCATAAAGAAGCGCATGGATTTAGCGGCATCCCCCGCCCGCCATTTCTCCCCAGCCTCTTCTAATTCAACGCCCGCTAGTATTAATATTAGCGTACGGTTGCATGGAACATCAAATAGTCGATCATAGCCGATCCTCACCAGCAAGAAAGTCATCAGCTGTGACTGGGGCCTATGAATTTTCAAATTTATTTTTAGTTTCTGGATTACCAGATACTATAAGATTAATTGGGGTGATAAAAATACCTGTTGCTTGGCGGCCTTTTTCTTCGGTTTGAAATCCTTTAGCAGAGCCTTGGGTTTGCCCATCTTCAAATGTTCAAATGTTCAAATATTTTAGCCGTCTTTGTGAGGGGTGAAGAGTTTCGGACGAATGACGGAGTGGAGTTGCAAGCTCCTTTGCCAAGACTTCGGGAATCCCTCCTTTACAAATTACATCTGACGGAGTACGCTTTTACATTTTTACAGTACAGAGACATGACGGACTATTGAATATGTGAGAGTCTGTGGAGTCTTAAGACTGAAAATAAGGATATATATTTATATATGTATATATGTATATATGTATGTAGGATAGACTGTAGAATAGTACATACAATGGCAACAACGCAAGGTTGATACTAGTACATATATAATCTAATTCTACGTATTAACAAAGACAAGGAATTCTAAAATTGATACTGGGCTGATCCGCACGTGGCAAAGTTCCACTAGGCATTTTAGTCTTTTAAGGGAAATTGTTACTTTCATACTTAAAACAACCCTGGGAGTAAAGGGGGGTTTTAATACAGAGTTCTTCTGTACGGGGGAATGAATTTCAATCAAATCGTTTTATTTAATATCATGTTCCTCTTTCTCTCTCTCTGTGCATCTCTGCACCAACTAAAAAGGTCAACCGTTTAGCAAGTCGATCTTCTCTATTTTCCCTCTTCTTTCCCCCCCCGCCGGACTGACCCACTTCACGCCGTTTGGCGCCTCCTGAGTCGTCTGAGTCGCAAGCAGAAACTGGGTTGCTCGGCTTGGTTTCAGTCCCGCTCATCTTTAGAACTTTTCCTTCCAGACCCTCTCTCCTTCAACATTCAAAGAGCTTGGCCCCGTCAGTATGTGATAATTCTAATTCCTTGCAAGGGTTGTCCTTGGGGCCGAATGAGACCCCGAACCCGAACAGGATCGCTTATGCTAATCTATTTATTTCCAGTCTTTCCCTCCATTTCATTATCGCAACACCCCTGATAAAACTATCTCAGGTCATCTTTCAAACTTGTGGAAATGGCTCGCCAGACTTCTCTTGACTCCGAGCGGCCTATCATGACAAACTCGGTAGGACATTTGCCCCGAAAATTCCCCCCTTTACAGACCCCCTCTTCATCCGCCACATCCACCACGCGGGCTTGAGAGAAGCGCAACATACCTCTAACACGTATATATAGAATCGTACCTCGAAGCGATTCTCCACCATCAGCGGAAGCCCCTCACTCGCTCCAACCGAACGCACCATTGGAAGTCTCCCCAGTGGAGACCCCAGAGTCGCCGACATCCACCACCTCGGCGATGGCCTGGAACGCCTAGAGAACAAGCCCCTGCAGGCCCAACGCTTTGTGCCCACGACCGAAAAGTCTGACAACTTGAACAAGCTGGCTCTCGGGGCCAAGGTGGAGCGCGCACTCGGACGCCGGATGACCAGTCAGGACGCAGTCATGCGCAAGCCTCTCAGTGAAAAAGCTGCTGAGGAAGCCACCGCTTAAACAACATTACTGAACTTCATGGGATTCGATTCTTTGCGCCGGATTTTGCCGGTATCTGGATGGTTCGGGCTCATTTTCTAATGTCTGTGGTTTCTTGAGCACCCATTTATGCGCTGCTTAGCCGAGACTCTCCGATCGTTTTCACTTGTTACTTTTTTATTACTTTTGGATTGCTTCTCCCTCATGTTCTTTTTTCATACCCCCTTCCTTCTTTTCTTGGTTTCCACGGCGTTGATCTTAATGATTCCAATATAACCCTCTTTCATCTCTAGTATATGTTCCCTGGACTTGAATAATTTCCACTACTCATGTCTGAACTCTTCGCCTATATACATACATGAAAAAGCCCACATCGAACATCTCGGCTCAACTAGGTACCGAATATCTAAGCATTGACGCATACTTGCTGTAGGAATCGTGAGTGAAATCGATTCAGGCTTGCTCCACCAGGATTAATAATAGAAATTGGCCATCTTCATATGATTTTTAGATAGTCATTTCCCATTTGACCTTAGTTACTTGACGAATTCCAGTTGACTATAGAGTTTCGAAGTTTAAAGAAGACCATGTTCTGCCGGGCGGTGAATGTATGCCAAGCCCACCGAAACCCGCACGGAGTCGCAATTGAGTGAAGTCGCTTTTTCTTCGAAGGCGAATTTCCCCCTCAGAACTTCATCTCATTTTCGATTCCTCTTCCACTTCCTCCCCTTCATCCTCCGTGTATACTCGATCATCTCTTCACATCTCTTCTCCTCATTTCTTCCTAGTCATCCCTCCCTCGTGAACCCTTCAGTCGCAGAATCTTTCCCGTGGATTCCCATCAGCTATACTTCCCCGAACACTCCGCATCTCAATCCGAGGATTCACCATTTGCTTCCGTTTTCTTCGGTTCTTTACTTGTCTTCGATCTATTCATTCAATTGATTACTTTTTTGCCTCGTCCTTTTCGCATTTGTGAGTCAGCCGCAAACCGAGGCCAACGCATTGTGGGAGATATAAGTACTGACCAGGCTCCCAGTGAAGCGAGCGGCAAAAAAAGGTTCTTCTAGATCTCACACAGCTTGACTTGTTGTAGAGGTCCATCCAACGTCTTTTTCGGTGATATCACTATATCTTTCGACCACTCGGTTACTTTTATAATTTTCGATCTCTTTTCCAAGATCCAAACCCCTCCAGCATCATGGCCGATATGACCCAGGTTCCTGTCAACGGTAACTACCCTGCTCAGCACGGGTACCCGGAGACTTTTAACCCCGCCCACGCTACCATGAATACCGCGGCCAACTTCCAGCCCGCCCAGTCCTCTACTCCTACGACCGCCACTCCCACCGAACAGCAGAAGAATGAGATCACCAAGGATGAGGTGGGCTGGTTCTTCGTTGAGCAGTACTACACCACCATGAGCCGCAACCCCGAAAAGCTGCCCCTGTTCTACTCTCGGCGATCTCAGCTTGTCTTTGGTACCGAGGCCGAGTCGGTCCCCGTTGCCGTTGGCACCAAGGTGAGCTTTGGGCTTATTACCTTATCCTGAGAGTCAATATCATATTAATCTTGTTTTGTTCTAGGATATCAATGAGAAGATTAAGCAGCTCGATTTCCAGGACTGTAAGGTGCGCGTCCTAAACGTTGACTCCCAGGCCTCTTTCGAGAACATCCTGGTTGCGGTCATTGGTGAGATCTCCAACAAGTCCGAGCCTTCCCGCAAGTTTGCGCAGACCTTTGTGCTTGCCGAGCAGCCCAGCGGCTACTATGTGCTCAATGATATTTTCCGCTACCTGGTTGACGAGGAGGAGTTGGTGGAGGAAGCCGTTGCTCCGGTTCCCGAGACCACCGAGATCCCCGAGCCTGTCTCTACCCCTGAGGCTCAGGTCACCGATGACGTTGCTGCCTCCAAGGTTGACGAGAAGCTTGAGAATGAGACCAACGGTGTCGTTGAGCAGACCGAAGAGGCCGTTCCCCAGACCAATGGCACCCCTGCTAAGGAGGACGTCGAGGAGACTCCTGTTCCCGCCGTTGAGGCTGAGGTTGTCAGCGAAGAGAAGCCTGTCACCCCGGAGCCCTCTCCTGCCCCCGTGCAGAAGGAGGCCCCCGCTGAGAAGGAGTCTGCTCCTATCCCTGCCATCCCTAAGAGCTGGGCTAGCATCGCTTCTTCTTCCAAGCTGGGCGCTGTTCCGGTTGTCCCTGCTATCCCGGCTGCTACTCCCAAGGCTGCTGCCCCTGCCGCCACTCCCCAGCCCGCTGCTGCTCCTGCTGTCACCGCTGCCGCCACCCCCGCCGCTGAGCCCCGCTCCCAGGACGCTCCCTCCGGTGACGCTGCTGGCTGGCAGACCGCCGGCGCTGAGCACAAGAAGACTCAGTCCCGTGCTGATGAGCAGATCGTCTTGGGTTACATGAAGAATGTCACTGAGAAGGTCGACTTTGCTCTGCTTAAGCAGACTTTGTCTCGCTTTGGCAAGCTGAAGTTCTTCGATATCAACCGTCCCAAGGTTTGTTCAGTCCCGTAACATATTTCCCAGAATTCTATGCTAATCCCTTTCTATAGAACTGCGCTTTCGTTGAGTTTGCTGAGCCTTCCGGCTATGCTGCTGCCGTGGCTGCCAACCCTCACCAGGTCAGCGGCGAGCAGATCCTCATTGAGGAGCGCCGTCCTCGAGGCAACGCCTTTGGTGGTAATGGTTTCGCAGGCCGTGGTGGTGCTCGTGGTCGTGGTGGGCGTACTGACAGCCAGGGCCGCGGTGGTTTCCAGCGTGAGGGCCGTGGTGGCTTTGCTCCTCGTGGCCGTGGTGGCAATGTGGCTGCCAACAAGGGCCGCAGCCAGACCCAGGCCGCCTAAATCTTTGCATGCCCTTGATGATCTCAGGATCTGTATTACCCCGATTTTGATTTTCTTTTTTGGTTCTTGGGTATCCCTCTTTTCCTTATGACATGTGTTATGTGACGTCCCCTCCCCTCCCCTTTCTTTCCTGTCACAGTGCATATTAGCGGTTGGGTCCGGGTTGGCTGGAAAAGTTGTCTCTCTTTCCTTCCCTCTCTCTGGGCATTGTGTTTTTTGCCTTTTCCTTTGGTCATTTACTGGTTTTTTTCTACTTCCCTTCTTCTTCTTTATTGGTCTGGTCTGGTTGTTGTGACCATTTGACTTACTCTTATCGCATATTTTTATCTCGCATAGCAAGCTCCCGGGTTTTGAAGTGTTGCGCCATCTGGTCCCATTCTGTTTTTTGTGCCTTATTTCCCAGTTCCGATTTACTGTATCTTTTGCTCTAGGGACCATGATGACTGAGATGTAAATGAAGCAAAAAAGGCGGGATTCTTGCAGGATATAGAGTATAAGATATATGAATTCAAATTAACCTAGTAATTACTGTACTGCCTAGGGAATACCTAGGTACTCTGTATATCTGTACATTGTATATCATGACTGTTGATGTATAAAGAAGGTTCTAGATATGCCAGCCTCAGGCATCAACCTCAAGCTCTCCCCGGGACCAAGACGCCCATAGATTCTTATAGAACTCGTTAGATTTTATGACAACCAAGGGGTTAAAGGGGAGCTTTATGCATATGTAAAAAGAGATAGTAACCAATAATTAAAACTGACCTATAAAAAAACAAAAAGGTCAACTTTTACAGGCCAGAAGAATCTAGAACTACCAGTTGCCTGACCGACCGAGTGGTGGAAGTTCCTGGATCATCGTGGAAACCCACCAGAGATTTCCTGGGTCAAAGACTCAAAAGGCTTCCCAATTCCTTCTTTCTCTCTCTCCATCATCTCTGCTTGGTTTGTGGCAGTTTCACTTCTATTTAATTGGTAGGTTCTTCATCTTCCTCATTCATCGTCCCTTCAATCTCTCCCTGTTACTGCCGATTTCCCCGCCTTATCAGCTTTTCAAGAGAAAAGAAAAGAAAAACCAATACCCCCAAACAACCAGACTTTGTACCTTGGGAGTCTTTCCCAAGTCTTTTCCACCTTTCGCCACTTTACCAATTCTTCTTTTCTTCACCTTCTCTTATTCTCTTCATCTCTTCCGTTTCTTCATCCCTCCGTCTTTCTCTCTAACTCTCTTTCCTTATACAGAATTCTCCCTCCCACACCGCCACCATGCCTGAGACATTCGAGTTCCAGGCTGAGATTTCTCAGCTGCTATCGCTGATTATTAACACTGTCTACTCCAACAAGGAGATCTTCCTGCGTGAGCTTATCTCCAACGCCTCCGATGCTTTGGACAAGATCCGCTATGAGTCCCTCTCCGACCCCTCTAAGCTTGACTCGTGCAAGGACCTGCGCATCGACATCATCCCCGACTTGGTGAACAAGACCCTCACCATCCGTGATACCGGTATCGGTATGACCAAGGCTGTGAGTAACCATCCAACGAAGCAATTGAAAGAAGAAGGAATTCCAATTTGCTAATTCTTGATATAGGATCTTATCAACAACCTTGGTACGATCGCTCGCTCCGGTACCAAGCAGTTCATGGAGGCCCTGTCCGCTGGTGCCGATATCTCCATGATTGGCCAGTTCGGTGTTGGTTTCTACTCCGCCTACCTGGTCGCTGACCGCGTTACCTTCGTCTCCAAGCACAACGATGACGAGCAGTACGTCTGGGAGTCCGCCGCTGGTGGTACTTTCACCCTGACCCAGGACACTGAGGGTGAGCCCCTTGGCCGTGGTTCCAAGATCATCCTCCACCTGAAGGATGAGCAGCTGGACTACCTTAACGAGAGCCGCATCAAGGAGGTTGTCCGCAAGCACTCCGAGTTCATCTCCTACCCCATCTACCTCCACGTCCTGAAGGAGACCGAGACTGAGGTCCCCGATGAGGAGGCTGAGGAGTCCAAGGAGGAGGAGGGTGATGACAAGAAGCCTAAGGTTGAGGAGGTCGATGACGACGAGGAGGAGAAGAAGGAGAAGAAGAAGACCAAGACCGTCAAGGAGTCCAAGATTGAGGAGGAGGAGCTGAACAAGACCAAGCCCATCTGGACCCGCAACCCCGCCGACATCACCACTGAGGAGTACGCCTCCTTCTACAAGTCCCTTTCCAACGACTGGGAGGACCACCTCGGTGTCAAGCACTTCTCCGTTGAGGGTCAGCTTGAGTTCCGTGCCATCCTCTTCGTCCCCAAGCGCGCTCCCTTCGACCTGTTCGAGACCAAGAAGACCAAGAACAACATCAAGCTGTACGTTCGCCGTGTCTTCATCACTGACGATGCCACCGACCTCATTCCCGAGTGGATGGGCTTCATCAAGGGTGTCGTTGACTCCGAGGACCTGCCCCTCAACCTGTCCCGTGAGACCCTCCAGCAGAACAAGATCATGAAGGTCATCAAGAAGAACATCGTCAAGAAGGCTCTTGAGCTCTTCACCGAGATCTCCGAGGACCGTGAGCAGTTCGACAAGTTCTACGCTGCCTTCAGCAAGAACATCAAGCTCGGTGTCCACGAGGATGCCCAGAACCGTGGCACCCTGGCCAAGCTGCTCCGCTACCAGTCCACCAAGACCGGTGACGATGTCACCTCCCTCGCCGACTACGTTACTCGCATGCCCGAGCACCAGAAGAACATGTACTACATCACCGGCGAGTCCATCAAGGCCGTTGCCCAGTCTCCCTTCCTGGACACTCTTAAGCAGAAGAACTTCGAGGTCCTGTTCCTGGTTGACCCCATTGACGAGTACGCCTTCACTCAGCTGAAGGAGTTCGACGGCAAGAAGCTGGTTGACATTACCAAGGACTTCGAGCTCGAGGAGACCGAGGAGGAGAAGGCTGAGCGTGAGAAGGAGGAGAAGGAGTTCGAGGAGCTTGCCAAGGCCCTCAAGAACATCCTCGGCGAGAAGGTCGAGAAGGTTGTTGTCTCCCACAAGCTGATGGGCGCTCCCTGTGCCATCCGTACCGGCCAGTTCGGTTGGTCCGCCAACATGGAGCGTATCATGAAGGCCCAGGCCCTCCGTGACACCTCCATGTCTTCTTACATGTCCTCCAAGAAGACCTTCGAGATCTCTCCCAAGTCTTCCATCATCAAGGAGCTCAAGAACAAGGTTGAGGCCAACGGCGAGAACGACCGTACCGTCAAGTCCATCACCCAGTTGCTCTTCGAGACCTCCCTGCTGGTCTCTGGCTTCACCATTGAGGAGCCTGCCAGCTTCGCTGAGCGTATTCACAAGCTCGTTTCTCTTGGCCTGAACATCGATGAGGATGTTGAGACTGTTGATGAGACTGCCACCGAGGCCGCTGCCCCGGCCGAGGCCACTGGCGAGAGCGCCATGGAGGAGGTTGACTAAATGTCTTCGCCTTCACTTATTTTTGCTTAAATCAAAGTTCTTATGGGAAATGGGAAACGGGATACGACCCTTGATGTTTTTTTTTAAACCTTTTCTTTTACAATTGAAGCTGAATTATTTACTTTTCCATCTTCCTAGTGTATGTATGTACTTGCTATAGAATCGATAACATCCTGGTATATCCCTAACAAAATACACATTTATATATATCGTAATACATCCAAAATCTTCTACTTGAATAGTATCTTACGCTCCACAACATCGGGATCATCTCGGGACCTTCCTCGGTGATTTTGTACTCCACCAAACCCACCTGAACACTCACCGACGCAATTTCTGGGCATGCAGATACAAAGGTAGTTCTGCCCCGCTCGAGGGGTAAATTGAACAATACACACATCTTCCCACAAAATGGTCTACACAATTGTTGTCCGTATGTACAGAAATCTCAACCCGAGTTCTGCTCCTTTTAGAGAAATTTTTTAACGAATCCCTAGACATGCGCGCCAAGGCAGATGAGGAGTCCATCTCCAAGCTGCACGCTAAGCTCCTCGAGGCCTCGGCCGTTTACTCAAAGGATAAGGAGACTCTCTCCTGGTTTGTGATGCAGTCTGTGCATGACAAGCAAGACTTCACTATTGTTGAGCGCTACGTTCAGGAGTCGTCGCAGCAGTATCATCTGAACAACCCCTACTGGAAGACTTTCGACCCTTACGTGATTCCATTGTTGGAGAAGGATATGGATTTGAGACGTTTTGAGGAATTAGTTGAACCTTCTTCTTAGACTGTGCATATTAGTGGAGATACTTTGATAATATGAAGCATGAATTTTGTGTGAATACTGGGTGTCATTAAACCTAGCTAATGATTTCTAGCTCCTCTCATGCTGGGGCATGTCAAGGGCAAGAAATGTAAAAGGAAGAATATAGCGTTGAGATGCCCGACAACGCAAGGGATGGGAAGAGATCACCGGGAAAGGAAACGCCAGCCTGCTAGCAAAATATCTTCTTTTATCCTGATATGCATGAGTCCATGCCAACTTGACTCTTCTTGCTCGTTCATATCCTCATCTTCATAACCCATTTTCGGTCATCATCAGACTCATCGGGTATAATTTCATCGCTCTACGCTCCCAAACCAGTATCCCACTTGTAACTCAGATAGAGTACGTGATGGAAGTCCCCATGCGCGAGCAAGCCAGAAGGCCAGTCCACCAACAACTCCAACACCGCCGATGACTTGCATTATTGCCCAGCCGTGTCGTCCGAGATCATCAATCCAGCCGACCACACCCAGAGGGTCATGAGTATTCAAACTAGCAACGCGGTATGCGGACCCCTTTTCGTGGGTGGGGATTTGAAGTCCGCAGAAACCCGGGGTTTTCGAAAAAGGCACGAGCGTACCATCCACAACGCACTCACTCAGTCTTTCAGTGAGCCAAATAGCACGATCACCCCTGGCCAGTGATGCGTATCGGTCACGTTCATTTTGCAGACTTCGATGTAAGTCTGTTGCCCAGCGTGCTAGCCTAACCTGGGCCATGCTCTCCTCATGTCTCGTGTAGTCAGCAATCCGTGCCATGGTATAACTTGGTTCCGACTCGCCAAGTGAAATCGATGTAGCCATGGATGAGCCTGAAGCCGCACGCCACCCTGTAGTAGTACCGGAGAGAGCATTATGAAGGGGTGTTGTGGTTGGTGGGGTAGGAGGAAAGTCGCTACGTCGTTGCATTAACTTTTTGGCAGCCGAGTGCCGCATCCAGGCGAGGTTATCTCGGTCAAACATCTTTTGCACCAAGGTGTCGAGTTCAGATGAACTAAGCGGCTGGACATAATCAGGACTCATGAGCGTGCTAGCATCCATGATTTCCATGTCGACTGTCTTCTCCGATGACACAGTATAGGGTGGCTGAGGCTCCAATCCATCGAGTCCTCCGGGTGGCAAGTCACCAAACATAAAGGGCTTGATCCCGGCATCCTGTGCCTGCTGGCAGAATTGAGACTTCAGAGATGTGACATCCTCGGGGGATAGGGTATCCGCCTTTGCCACAACCGGTATGATATTGCTCAGCTCGCAGAGCTTGCGGATACACTGCACGTCAGTCGTCAGGGTATCTATTCGGCTTTTAGTGTCGATTTATTCCATATGGTGAGTTGACTAGGTACATACCATTTGATATTAAATATAGGATAGCATCCACCTGGGAGCCCCCGTTGCCTGCAAGCAGATTCTGGAAATCAATTCCAGGAACGGTGAGAGCTGTTGTTGCGCGCTGGAGTTGCTGTCGCATGTATTGTAGAACCGCGTCGGTTTGACCCGCCCGACTCAGCGATGTTGCGGGCGTGTCAACAAAGCATATATTGCGCTCTAGTACAATTTCTCCGATACTCTTTCGCCGCCGCAGCACACGCGAGTCCTCGAGGTCTGACCACCAGGAGGGATAAGGCTTGGTACTAGCGTAGATCTCGGTGATAGCGGCCCCGCGAGTGGGGACTGAACCAAAGTGGGGACGAGAGGTCCGGCGCCTCTCCAAAGAAGAATCCACCGAAGGAAGCGAATCAACGTGTACGATATCTTCACAGGTTTGAACGATAGACTTGATCAGGGATGTTTTACCGGAGCCTATCAACGCCTTGTTAGTACAGAGACATGTATAGTCACAGATGGACGTAGGGTTCTCCGCAATGTACCTGGTGCACCAGCTAGAAGTATTTTGAAGCGGCCCATGGCCTTTCCCCTCTCTGTGAAGGGCCGGCGACTGGGCATCCTGATACTTGGCATAATAAGTTGCGACGCGCCATGAGGCCCCAGGCGGGGTGAGAACCCCGGTCCGTCCTCCTCGTCCGACTCGAGTATCTGACTTCTGATTTCATCTGTGATAGAAATGTCGTCGAGGGGTCGGAGAGACTGGCTGGAGATTGACTTGGGGCTACTGGGCAGTGAAGACGGCTCATCGGGGTGAAGTGGGGTTAACGGACGAGATGATGGATCAGCAAGAGATGGTCGCGTCGACGATTCCCGCGTCGCAGAAACAAAGGGCCTCAAGGTTGAGCGTCGTCGCGTATTCTTTGACTCTTCCATATCATCGGCCTCCTGCTTGCTTGAGGCCTGGTTGTCCGGGTGGCCGCATGCGCTTGCAGCCAGGTCCGACCGGTATAGTGTTTCGCCCAGGCTCTGTACTCCGTACATGCTCTCCTTGGAAGCTGCAGGTCCCTCCGGAGTAGGATCCGACTCTACCCCGGAGTCATGCGGACTATGAGATAGGAAGAAGGTTGCGGGGGTGTTATTGCGGGGATCGAGGGATGGGGAGGGAGGGTCAAAGGAGGATTTGCGAGAGAATGATGGCAAGTCGGGGATAGGTCGCATTGTGGAAACATAGGAGAAGATACTTTCTGAACAAAGGGAAAGTAAATGGGGTGATACGATTCGATTTAGATAAATCGCGGGGGGGCATGTCATGATGCGTATGTAAGCCACATCACGCGGTCAAGGCGGGGATGATAACAATCCCCAAGTAGGTAATCTGCTAGTAAATCATAGAATGATCAGGTTCACTGTATATTCATGTAATAGACTGATTTGTTGAATTGGTAGAATATTATCTAATATATATAATACATGATGAGCTGGTAGAACGAATTAAATAGTCCACGGTTTGGAGGTCACTAATTTATGAAGTCCGTATACTAAAGTGGAGTATAGCGATAACGTGCAGGTAACATGCTATTATGTTCTCGAGTCATAAAGCCAAAATTTGTATCAATTGATATCGACTGGCAAGATGGCCGAGTTGGTCCAAGGCGTACGGTTCAGGTTCACCTGATCCAGATTTCCGTATCTCGTTTTCGGGGCGTGGGTTCAAATCCCACTCTTGTCATATTTTTTGGGTCTTTTTAACATGCTATTTATCCCAACAGTTGAATGAGACTATCCTCAAGTGCTCTTGTTCCCATTATTATTTTTCTAATCCGACTAAGCGATTTTATTATGTCTCTGCCGCATGTAGTACTAGACATGACGAGTTAAAACAAAATATACACCCCTACCTGTACCGATCCAGTCACTGGATCTAGTAGACAAATATATTTCACGTACCTCGTTGGGTATATGTGCATGTTGCAGCCCAAATGTCGAGAGACCCCCCCCCCCCCCGCCCGCAGTGTCCTTGATAATATATGGTGCACGGGGGTAGGCTTATAATCAGTAAATAGTTGTACTTAAATAAAATCCGTATATTACTGGTGGTGTTCAAGTGAGTTGTACAAAAAATGAGACTTGAAAGTTATATTCCCAGCGCACTCATTTTCTTGGACATATAGCCAAAGATGTCGTCTTCCTCTATCAAATGGTAAGATGGCCGAGTTGGTCTAAGGCGCCAGGTTAAGGTCCACCTTGACATCATTTCCTGGTCTACGTTTGTAGGCGTGGGTTCAAATCCCACTCTTATCATTTCTTTTTGCTTTCATCTTTCTGATGTCCAATGACGGACTACCACTCCCTTTTTTTTTTTCTCGTCCAAGTAGTCGAATACAGTTGACATCTACCACCCTTTTCGAAATCCGGGAAATCCTACTAGGCTCTGTTGATAGAAATATTTTCATTCCTATAGCTCAATATACTAAAATACACCTGGCTTTCAGGGCCAATGCTGAATATTTACAATTCCCGACCAGACTATTTAGGCCAATCAGTTTCAACCATGACATCGCGATCAGGAGCCCGACAAGCAATGAAAACTGCAAATTACAGCTTGGCTCGAGGTGCAGACTGCTCCTCAAGCGCCTGAGCATAGAGCTGATCCAAGAGTCCACGATAGACCTTGACGGCAGGAGGACGCTTCAATTTGAGCCTGTTTCCAGTTAGTAAGAATTAACATCAAGCGAATAACAATAGACAGGAAACTTACGTGGGAGTTAGCAGGTTGTTTTCCACAGTGAAGGGCTCCAGCTTCAGAGAAACGTTGCGGACCCGCTCGTAGCCAGCCAACTTGTGCTGCTTAGCCACGCGTTCAAGATCCCGGATCACAGCACGGCGGATCTTGTCGTCTTCCAGGGCAGCCTTGATCGCTTCCTGATCTGTGCCTTCGATTTTTCGGCCGAGGACCTTGCTAGCGAACGGAGCGAACAAGTCAGGTGCAATACCGAAAATTCCAACAAGGAAGGTCTGCATGCTGTCGCCGTGGATGTAGCCCTGAGCGAGGTAACCGAGCTCCGAAAGCACGAGACCCTCCAGCCGCTCAGGAGAGATGTATTCACCCTGAGCTAGCTTGAGCACGTTCTTGCGACGGTCAATGATGACGAAGCGGCCCATCGCATCCAACGTGCACACATCGCCAGTGCGGAACCAGCCATCCTCAGTCACCGCCTTGGAGGTTTCCTCGGGGTTCTTGAAGTATTCCTTGAACATGCTGTGGCCACGCAAAAGCAGCTCTCCGCGAGGGAAGGGCTTATCCTCCACCGAGTACTCCATGTCCGGAAGAGAGAGTAGACATGCCTCAACGCATGGAGCCAGACGACCACAGTTACCAGAGGTCACATCTTCATCCGACTGCGCAGTACTGCAAGCATAAGACTCGGTCAATCCATAGCCTTGAATGACAGGGGTACCGGTCGCGATACGCAGGAAGTCATGCAACGTGGGGTCTAAGGGCGCCGAGCCTGACACCATGTACTTAGTCCGCTCCAGCCCAAGAGCTGCAGCAACCTTCTTAGCCCAAATTCGGTCATACAGCGCGTGTCGGAATGTAGCCTTGGATTTATCTGGATTTTTGAGGTTGGCGGTCTTAACGGCAACGATGTGCCTGGAAAGAGCACCCTTGAAGCCCGGCGCCTCCACGGTAGCAGCCCGAATTGCAGTACCGAAACGATTGTAGAGACGAGGAACGGACATGAAGCCAGTGGGCTTCAACAGCTTCAGGTCATCAACCAGCTCCACGATGTTACCATGGAAGTAACCAATTCGGGCACCACCCCAGAAGGCCGTGTGCTCCGCTAGACGCGCATAGATATGAGCTAGCGGAAGGTAAGAGCACATGGTGTCACCTCGAGCCTGGCCAATGGTGATGAGACCGGCAGAGGTAGCAGCCACAGCGTTTTCGTGGGTCAGAACAACACCCTTGGGTGGTCCAGTGGTGCCAGAGGTGTAATTAATGGTGACAGCGTCCGAGGGGGAAGGGGCGTTGTATCCACGCTTCGAGGCTTCACCCAAAGCCTCAACCTGGTCCATTGTGTAGATGGTAAGATCCTGGTCGGCGGCCATAGACTCTAGCAATGCGCGCTTTGAGTGACCATCCTGCTCACCACCATCAAGAGGATCCAAACTGACAATCATCTTGAGATTAGGCAGAACGGACTTGAGCTTGAGAAGGGTGGGAATGTGCGGAAGAGAGGTGACGACACAGTTCAGCTCAGCGTGGTTAATAATATATTCGGTAGCATCCGCGGCCAAGACATCATAGATGGAGACAGAGAAGAGGCTCTGGGACATGCAAGCCAGGTCTGACAACTGATTAGTCTCTGGCAAGATTTGAAATCGAGTATGAACGTACCGGTGATCTGCCATTCAGGTCGGTTTTGGCACCAAAGACCGATACCATATTGACCGGGGCGGTGACAATCATGTTTGACATGCAACTCCACCAGACCAGCACCGAATGCTGCACGTCGCTTCTGCACAGTCTCGTATGTGAGCCATTGGTATGGATCGAAAGTCTTGGTCGTGGGGTTAAACGGTCGCCAACCGAGGCAGTGATTCTTGGGTTGCCGGTTGGCCGTTGATTCGAACATTTCATGGGCGGTCAAGACCTGGCGACAAATAACGTTAATGATCTGAATTGTATTTTTCCATAGCTGGAACAGTTATGTACCTGAGGATCCAGCGTCTTCAATAACTCCTTCTGCGAGTTCCATGCGCGATATACTGGGCTGCGGCCAGGCTGTTCGGATCCGGGAATGGGTACACAGTAGGGTTTGCCATTGGGAGGCTCTTGTTTGAGCTCCTCGGCCTTGGCGAGGTGAGCGGGTTGGGAGAAGAACATGATGGTCTGTCTGGTAGAGTTGCACTTGACTGTCAGAGCACTATCACCCGGAAGATGCGGCAACCTGGGGAAAGCAAGTACTTACCTTCTGGAGATCAACTTGAGCGATGTTTCGAAGGGAAAGAAGGATAAGAAGATAAAAAATGGAACAAGCTCCCAGATTAAAGTCCCTTGGATCTAAAGGTAGAATAGGGACAAAAGTGTGGGGAGAGAAAAGAAGGGGGGAGAGCGGAGTTCAAAGAGAAAAGTAATCCGGAGAAAGTGACAACTTTGGGTAATTTGGGTTATCTCGTGCTATAAAGTGGACCCCTACTAATCAACCTCGGCTTCCAGGATTGGGGGTGCGGGTACATCCTTCATAGTCATAAACCCCTTATATTCATAAGTACCCACGCTAGTGTTGCCACCCCTGCACAAACCTTATGCAAGGCCGATGTCATTCATATTGCACATGCAGTTCCAGTTTCACATGGGATCAAATCTTGATCTCCGAGACACTCGGATTGTATGTATATATGCATTATGCGATTCTTCAAGAGGAGATATATCACTATCAAACTATATATATAAGGTAACAATGGATGTATGTACCAAAACGCCGCACCCAATGCCAACAAAAGCTCAGAACAAAACCAAACAGTTTCTATAGAACAAGGAGAAAATCACTCCATCAATTATCCACAAATCCAACCCCACACCTTGCCATACCAAGTGGTTGGCTCGTTCGTTTCCCACGTCTCATTCTCAAAGGAGGTTCGGCCAGTGTCCAGATCGGCCTCAATCGGCTTGACGAACGCAGGGCGAACGATGATCTTGTGACCTGCATATAGAACCACGAACAGCATCAAACTGATATAATCGATAAAGAACTCCTTGACTTGGAAGGACCCGAGGAACGAAGTGAAGCCCTGAGTGAGGATGATCAACACGTTGAAGAACAGTCCATACCACGAGTACCATGGCTGCCACATAGCCTTGTATGGCAAAACATCCCGGGAGATGTTACGAGCCTTGAGCGCCCGCTGGAAGGCAAGGTGACAGATGTTCAGAGAGGCCCAGGTGATGAAGCCAGCCACACCGGCGATCTGGAGCAGCCAGTCAAACACAGTTGACCCTGCGTCCGACACATTTAGGAAACCCAAAAGACCGAAGAGAGCGGTGAAGCCGACAGCAAAGTAGGGCACACCACCCTTGGTAGTCTTCTTAAAAAATCGCGGCGCGAAACCCTCCTGCGCAAGACCAACAACGATACGACTACCGCTGTAGACATTCGAGTTGGCCGCCGAGAGCACCACGGTGAGAAGCACGGCGTTGATAATGCTGGGAAGTGTCGAGACCCCAGCAAGGCGAGCTGCGATCACAAGTGGAGAGGCATTGGCGTTGCTGGCACTGGCTCCGCTACCCTCACTGGCAAGAAGACCTTCGTTGTCGGAAGGCACAACAATCCCAATGAAGAAAATGGTAAGAACGAAAAAGAAGACAATCCGGTAGAAGGTCTTGCGGATCGCCGAGGGGACAGTCTTGCGAGGATTCTCGGTCTCACCAGCGGCGATGCCGACTAACTCAGTACCCTGGTATGAGAATCCGGCCTGGATCAGAACGGACCAGAATCCAACGAACTTGGCTAGGTTATCATTGCCAGTGACAGCACTATAAGCGACAAAAGGACCCGGGTGAACCCAGTAACGGAAACCGAGGTATCCCTGGTCGCCAACACCCGCATCCACGCAAATCGCGAAGATCATAAAACCAACGACGGTAATCACCTATCAATCAACCCTCTGTCAGAATTAAGCTCCAGAGCAATCGGGCCAAAGTGGGGTTCTGCGTAAATTGCGAAACCCACAATTCCACAAAGAGTTATGACTCACCTTAATGCTTGCAAACCAGAACTCAAGTTCACCATAACAGCTGACAGGCATCATGTTCAAGATAATGATCACAACCCAGAAGACTGCGATGAATATGGCTATGGGGATGCTGCTATCCCAGAATTCAATGATCAGACCGGTGGCCGTGAGCTCGAGAGCGAAAGTTGAGGCCCAAGAGAACCAATAAATCCAACCCATGGCAAAACCCAAGCTCGGATCAACGAATCGAGTTGCATATGCGGTAAAGGCACCAGGAATAGGAAGATAGGTGGCGATTTCTCCCAGAGCTGTCATGACCGAGTAGACGATGGTTCCGACGAAGATGTATGCGATGAGAGCGCCCACAGGGCCGCCATTTGCGATGGCGGTACCACTACCAATGAAGAGACCGGTTCCAATTGTTCCACCTACAGAACGATGGAAAAGGTTAACGTGACGAGATCTGGTATCAGCAAAGTCGTATCTACTCACCAATGGCAATCATCTGCAAATGCCTGCTCTTCAACTTTCGCTTCAAATCGGGCATTGGGTTGGAATCCCGATTGGCGCCATGCTTCTCATAGTCGTGATCATATTCGGTCTCAGGGACCTGCGACGAGGAGATGGGAGTCTCAGTTGCCATCTTTCCCTTCTCAGACCACGGCGCACTCCAGACCTTGCCTGAGGCCATAATTGACAGGTCGAGATTGGGACACTGGTGTGGGTTAAGTTCAGGAGAAGAGAAGAGAAGGATCTGAAGGTCAAAAAAGTCGCGCGTAACTCAGTCTCCACTCGGGGAACCACGACCTTGTACAGCGGGATGCCTCCGAGGGAAAAGCCGATGTGGAGAAGCACGCGACTACCAAGTACTTCCTAGATCGGCAAGCAAAAGTCTTGGAAATCAACTCAAACGTGAGAAAGATCAAGGTTGAGAATAAATATCCAATGAATTATGAATATCTTCTATAGAGAGGGGGTTTTTTCTTCAAAAGATTCATCGAAGTTTTTGATGTTTTCCGTCCAAGTGGGCCGCGGAACCAAAGCAACAGAGTTTTTTCTTCTTTTTTTTCCCTATTTTCCCTTCTGGTGGCGACAACTTGCACGGATTAGGAGTACTAAAACAAGATCTCTCTATATTACTTTGTAAAAGTACGTTGTCAATACTCATTGATCAAATCAATGACTATATGGATCTGCTTATCAGCTTAGCCCAAAGTTTAAAGTTGCCTCGATGTTACGTTATAACTTCATACCATTCTGGGATATTTCAAGAGATGTAGAATTCAGAATTTCTTGCATGGGCCTGATAACAGAGTTCAATATGAACCAATCAACTCGTTATTATTAACAGTTGCGTGAATGCCACAACCGTTTCCGTTAAATGTGGAACCCGGTGATAAGCGTCCACTAATTCATATGACATACAGCTCGGGTATCGGATGCCGCTAAAACATTAAACCATGGAACAACGTCCAACAATAATAAGGTATAGGAAATCAACACAGGATGCCGGACTAGTTAGACTCCCAGATGGGCATTATGCGTCTTTTGGGCACTCTCACCACTGTTGCGGTGATGCTTTAGGTCGATCATGGCAAAATAAGTGGTCACCATGAAAAGAGCCCTATGTCCGATCAGTTGACGCAATCACGTTGAGAAGGGGTAGGAAATTCACCATTCAAATGATCCAAACACCGTTACTGCCTGGAGGGCGCGACAAGTGCTCCAGGTGCAGCCGACCGCCGGAGGCAGTTGGGCACCCATGGCGATGAAACCCGCGAACCAAAATATCATTGTAATCACCTCCATGGCCGGCATCACATAGTGGTGGGCGAGGTGTGGGGCATAGATCGGGGCCGCTGCCAAGTATGGAGTGGCCAGGAATGTTGTCCAGCAGCCCAGAAATAGGTTGAAGTCCACGGTGCTGGAATATGACCATCCGTTGAAGGTGCTGACAACTGGAGAAAAAAGGTTAGTTGATGATGGAGAGGATGGATGTTCACGTACCATAAGCAGTCAAGGCCAACACGATCAGGCCAAATAGGATCTGAAAGAACCGAACAAGATAGATCCAAGGTAAAGCCATGTTTGGGTTGGAATATTTGTTGATGGAAATGCGCGTTAAGGGTATAATGTTGTGTTTCCCTCCAAATCAGTAGTATATAAAGTCAGGGTCAAGCCACTGGCGTCGCGCAAGCGTCATCGGTGACAGGCTAGTCAGGTGGCTTGCAGCTACCCAATAGGGCTGAGGAAGGATCATAAGGATCACAAGGGAAAAATGACCTACAAAATCTTGACCTTGGAATGCGACAGTACTTTTAATATCAATTTCTATTTGCATTGCTTCCTGAGTATATGTAAATCTTGTATTATTTCTGCTGCCTATAACTGTACATCTACTGTGAACAGATGACACAGCCACTGATCTGTCCTGTTGCCTAGAGCTGGTGTGGCCTATCTAAGTCTGACAATAAGCTCTAAATGTAGTTCCACATTCAACTGCCTCAACGGTTATATATTTTCAATTGCTGAATCTATCCCAAGGTTTCTTTGTTGCCAAGTCTTACTCTACCGTGGACTCGATCGCATATCATACTTAGGTTCAGGTACAAATTACAAATATTCCATTAGACATGTGATGTAATTTTTTACCATTCTCTAATGGGATATAAGAGATTATCTATCTATATTCTATTGTTTCAAAGGTTGAACTTATCCATGTTATACATAATTCGCTACCATGGACTCACTTCCCCCCCCACGAACCCTTGCTTGGCTACTTTTACCCCAAAATATGCCAGATGTAGTACTAAAATCTGCAATTTTCCCTTTTATTTTCTTTCGATCCGAGTTGAAATAATCGAAATAATTGGTTCTTTAGATCACATCTATATGGATGTGACATGTCGCCATCGCGTCTCTATTTTTGCCATTGTGAACTCGCCCGAGAGACAGGAACAACCTTGTTAAATCACGCCATCGAGTTCTTCCCCCGCAATTCCCCCTCTTGATCGTATCTATAATATATTCCACATATGCACTGGCTTGGTCTTCTTTTCCTCATTTAAAAACTTTGAAATTCCCCCGTACTTGTACCATGTCGGACCAGAGTCTCCACTTCGAAACGCTTCAGCTTCATGCGGGGTGAGTATACCTCTACCCTGTGATTCTTTCTCGATGAGCAGTTTCTCAAATAAATAAATAGTCATGAGCCTGACGCAGCGACCAACTCCCGCGCCGTTCCAATTTATGCCACCACCTCTTATACTTTCAATGACTCCGCCCATGGCGCAAGACTCTTCGGCCTCAAGGAGTTTGGAAACATCTACAGCCGAATCATGAACCCCACCGTGGATGTCTTTGAGAAACGCATTGCAGCCCTGGAGGGTGGAATTGCTGCTGTCGCCGCTTCATCGGGCCAGGCCGCCCAGTTCATGGCTATCTCAGCCCTGGCCCATGCCGGCGACAATATTGTCGCCACTAGCAACATATACGGAGGTACCTACAACCAATTCAAGGTGCTCTTCCCGCGTCTGGGGATCACCACCAAGTTTGTCAAGGGCGATGACCCTGTCGATATTGCAGCTGCCATTGATGACCGTACCAAGGCTGTGTTCTTGGAGACTATTGGCAACCCTCGGTATAATGTGCCTGACTTCGAAGCGATTGCCAAGGTTGCCCATGACAAGGGGATCCCATTGGTGGTAAGTTGAATCCTCCTGGATTCCTTGGTTGAAGATACAGTCGAGAAACTCATCGTGGCTCAGGTTGACAACACATTTGGCGCGGGCGGTTACTTCGTTCGTCCCATCGACCATGGCGCCGATATCGTTGTGCACAGTGCCACCAAATGGATCGGTGGCCACGGCACCACAATTGGAGGCGTGGTTATCGACAGCGGCAAATTCGATTGGGGCAAACACGGTGCTCGCTTCCCACAATTTGTCGAGCCTTCGGAAAGCTACCACGGACTGAAGTTCTGGGAGACCTTTGGCGCCGCTGCCTATGCCATCCTGCTTCGAGTCGAGATTCTGCGGGATCTGGGTTCAGCCTTAAACCCCTTTGCGGCACAACAGCTGATATTGGGGATCGAGACTTTGAGTTTGCGCTCAGAGCGTCATGCCACAAATGCTTTGGCCTTGGCTAAATGGTTGCAGAAGAACGAGCATGTTAGCTGGGTATCCTACCCGGGTCTGGAGGATCACCCTTCTCATGCCCTTGCTAAGAAGTACCTCCCGCGCGGCTTCGGTGGTGTTTTGTCGGTGGGCATTAAAGGTGGTGCCGCTGCCGGTAGTCAGGTGGTTGATGGTTTTAAGCTGATCTCTAATCTTGCTAAGTGAGCTTCCCTCGATGATATAGTATGTGGAATTTACTGACCATTTCCAGTGTTGGAGACTCTAAGACCCTAGCCATCCACCCTTGGTCTACCACTCATGAACAGTTGACCGAGCAGGAGCGCCGTGATTCTGGTGTGACCGAAGATGGAATCCGAATCTCCGTCGGCACTGAGCATATTGACGATATCATTGCTGATTTTGAACAGTCATTTCGTGCATCCAAGGCAACACTAACGGATCATACGGGTTAAGAGTCTGAATTCCCATAGCCATGTTTTTACGGTAACACCACAAATTAACGCAATCAAGTAAAGACTCGTTTCAGTAAGGGTAGCTACAATGAAGGGAAATATATGTGGTAAAGAATAAGTCCGTAATGGGGTTGTTTCTTGCCTATGGGCATTAATTCATAACGCAATTCGGTTCGCAGAAGGCATATGCAGATGTTACAGGGAAAGGAAAAAAAGAGAAGAGAAGAAAAGGCATAAGAAATAAAAGAGGAAAGGTAATTGAAGAAAATCCCAAACGCAAAAGATAGAGAACCTCCCTCTTCAGTCATTTTGATACAGATCGTGCCAACCCATCAAAACGCCAGTTGCCCCATGTGGACAATACCGATGCCCATGCAAAAATGGTGGATTAGAAGACAATGGTCAGAAAGGCCAAATCCAGGCCACGAAGAAACAAGAAGAAAAAGAAAAAAAGGCGAGAAAACAAAACGGAAATGATAATATGTAGGAGAGTCCCATTGACTTTACTCACCCTGACCCGGAGGCGGGGGTTGAGAAGTCGGCATGGAGCCAGCCTGACCACCCATCATGAAACCAGGTGGGAGCATGGGCATATTAGGGAAACTGAAACCATATGCAGGAACAGCAGGAGGAACACCAGGGTTGTTCATGCTGTTCACGTCACCGCGATCATGAGAGCCAGAGTTGTGACTCCCACCGAAACCATCACGCTCCGGACGGCGACCAGTGAAGCGATCACCTTGAGTGCGAGTGGAAATTGGGCCCCGTTTGCCACCAGTGTCGGTTGCAATGCGACGGCTGATAGCCTTGGAAGATACACCCGCACCGATCTCAATGTCAGGCTCCTCTACCACCATTCCAGATTCAATCTGACGGCCACCAGTGCCACCGTACTCCGCAGTAAGCATCCACTTGCGGTCTGCCTCGGTCAAACGTTCAATGGGAATGATACTGACACCAGTTTGGTAGTCGCTACAGTCACGGGGTCCGAATCCAACACCCCACCGGGTGCGCAGCTGCATCTCACCCGCGCGGTACGACTCCATCCCATCACGTGCGGCGATAGCATCCTGGCGAGAAATCATCTTGATGAATGCATGACGCTTGTCGACATTGACAATGCAGGTTTGGACGATACCAAATTTGCCGAACAGGGCACGCAGGTTGGCCTCGGAGGAGGTGACACCGCCGACGAAAAGGGTGCGACTCAAGACCTTCATGTTGTTTTGGCCAATAGAATAATCCCATTCAATCAGCTTAGGACCCGGAGGGGGGAGATTAGGGTCATTGCGAGAAGGTGAGGGTGAACGGCGTCTGCGTCCAGGGCTACGCTGGCGGTACTCATTGCCTCGACGTCCACGGGCATCCCGAAGATCACCTCGACGACCAGGGGATTCACCACGGTACTCACCATAGACAGGGCTGTCACGGCGACGAGGGGGAGAAGCAGTACGGCGTCGGTCCCAACCGGGAGAGCGTGAACGGCGGCGATATCCTCCAGGGGAACCGTATTGGCGGTCACGATCACGATCATCTCGATTCTGATTATCTTGTGAGCCCCATCCAGGCATCGCGGGCATTCCAGGCATTCCAGGCATTCCAGGCATTCCAGGCATTCCGGGCATTCCAGGCATACCGGGCATCGGAGGCATCCCCGGCATGGCATTATTGAAGCCAGGCTGGGCCGGGTTTGCGCCCATGTTGCTCATGGTGAAGAGCTGCAGGGCAGTTGCCCATTGTTCTTGGGGGATTCCCTGAGCGGCAAGCATTTGGAGCAGCTGAAGCTGCTGTGCCATTGCACCTCCATCGGGAATAGCTGGAGCTGCGGCCTGAGGAAGCATGGCTGCCATCGGGTTGGGGGTAGGGCTCTGGGTTTGAGGCTGGCCCAAGGCGGGGTTCTGACCGAGAGCGCCCAGAGCAGCGTAGGGGTTCATAGCATTGGGGGCGGCAAATTGGTTGGGAGCCGAGGAGGGAACCGAGGCATCGGCGGATGAGATTGGCAACGGGGCAGAGGGGTTCAAAGCCGCCAGTGGGTTTGGGGCTGGGGCAGGGGCAGCGGGGGCGGTGTTCTGCTTGGCCATGTCGGCCAATGCCTTCAAGATACTCGAGGTATCTGGGGCAGCAGCAGAGGCGTTCCCTCCCATTGGGTTCGAACCTGGAGCTGGAGATCCTTCAGGAGTGGTTGACTCGACGTCTGAACAAACGGTTAGATTGAAGCCCAAAACCAAGCATACACGAAGATAAGAAAGAAACACGATAACCAATTCGATAGGAAAACAATCTGATGATAAGAGTGAAGGATCCAAGCTTACTTTGGGGGGTGTTCGTGTTCAGTTTGTCTCGCATGGAGGCGAGCATAGGAAGGGGGAATGTGCATCCCCTCTCCCAGATATCAATGAGCTTCTTGATCTTGTCCTGTACAATTAAGAAAGAAAGAGATACGTTAATCATACGGTTCCTCTAAAGAATCGAAGTCATGCGGGACGCATACACCAGGGCCATCGGCCCCAACATCGAATTCGGATGCATATCTATTGCGTACCTTTTGATCTTGTGGGGCGGTGTTTATGATATCTCCCATCAAAACAGGCAGAAGTTCGGTGACTCGGTTAACACCAGCGGCGAAAGTTCCATCTGGGGCGGAACTCCCAGGTGGTTGTCCAGCCTTGCGTGCAGCTTCTACCCACTGTCGGGTTACAGAGTCTACGACATAGAGTACGCCCAACTTGTGGGTGCCCGGTGCCTTTTTGAAATGGGTGTAGATCTTTTGAATAAGAACGGATTCATTCTGTGAAGGGTTAGTCATATGGTCGAGACGGTGAATTTGGAGTGAAAAACGTACCTGAACATTTGCTGTGCACAATGTTGTGATGCTGTGGATTTTGGAGCCAGAGACGCCAGGGGCTTTCAAAGCCAGCATGGAGTTGAGATAACTCTCCAGTTCCGCTACAGCTGACGACATGTTGACGGAGAATAAAGCAAAAGGGGAAGTTGTTCAGAAGTGAAAGGTCTATTGCCGTCTTTTGGGGGACCCGAAAAGGAAAACGAAGTTTCGTCGACCCAGGCTACTGAACACAATTGCGAGGAGTAATTGGGGCAAAATGTCTTCTTTTTTGGTTTTGGGGGTTTTTTCTCCCTGAACAAGATTAGGTGTCGGGAAAAAGTTAATCTAGCCGTTTTCTTCACTACAGCATAGGAGTCACTGTTGAACCAGGCCAGAATAGAAAAAGAAGATGTCGCCTACAGCTGGAATACAGCCTAGGGGGGGGGGTTTCGCCTTTTGATGCCTGAAGTACGAGTACGAGGGTACAACCTAAGGCGTACTTGTGAATTCCAGGACCAAGAAAAAAGAAAGTAAGAATCCAGCGACGGATTTACAGAGTACTATCCGTGGAAGAATTCGAGTTGTTGGATCCGAGATAAAAAGATGGTCGACTGGTCGATGAGTTGATGAGTTGAACGTGACGGAAGGAGAAATGTTAAGTGGAACAAATGAAGGAAATGAAAAATATGAAAAAAAGCGGTAAGTAAAGCGGTGGGAAAGGAAGACAGTGTAATAAGAAAATCCACTAGTCTTTATTTGGAATGAATTCACACGTGACTTGACATACCATGTTCTCTGCACATTTAGCTGATCACGTCTTCCGTACCATTCGGGAATCAGTTCCGTTCCCCTGGCTACGTTTTGTTGATGGGGGGACTTTTGACTTCAAGCACTAACAGATAGGAACCCACTCCGCTGAGAGCTAGGATGGGGCCGGGAAGATTTCCGTTGGCGAATGTCGGCTTCTTTTGGTTTGAATCTTTACTGTTTTGGTTCTAGTCTCTCCTCCCAATTTCGGTGAGCTTTTTGAGAAATAATCGGCTACAAACGGAGATGGAATTGTAGAGAGTCGAGCTTCAATATATACATGAATATGAAAATCAAGTCATCTACCAAAATCATATGCACAATGCCATCATGGGTCAGGAATATCGAATCAGATGCTCATCCCAGGTGCCTCCAGAAGGTGGTTAGAACCCATTTTGATGCCGAGGTGCCCCAACCCGCACTTCCGGCAGCCCGAGACTACCTACCGTCTTTGCCGACGTCACTGCCATGATGACCCTATCAGGGATAGTGGGTATTTACACTCCGTATAATAACGGTATATCTAGAACCCCTAATGAGATCAACTTATAGCCTCGGTTAGCCCTAATCAGATTGGGTGGGGAGAAATGTATTACAACGGACACGGATATACTGGTGATTCATTAGAAGCTCCAAAATAGTATACATACTTGGTACTGATACAAAATACAAATATACGAATACCAAAGATACACGGCAGCCCGAGACACTACGGTGTTACATGTACCGTTGGGAGTAAAATTACCTGATCAGCCCGAACCGGGACCGGCAGGATCACGGAGAAATGCAAAAGAATTATAAAAGTTTATCCGAGAAAAGGGAGCTCCCGGTTTCTTCCCTTTTCTTTCCCCCATCCGCTCTATCCTTTCTTTCCCAAACTTCTCTTGTAGAGATTGAAAAAAAGATAAATAATGGCCTCCATTCGAATTGGTTCCTCCGTTCTGCGGTCCTCCGTGGCCAAGCCCGTGCAGACTGCTGCCCTGAACGGCGCTCGCTGCTACTCTTCCGCCAAGGCTAAGGTGTGTCTTCAACCCAGTATTGAAATATAGTCGTGAAGATCATCAATTGGAATACTAATTCCCCCGGATAGTCCCTCAAGGACACCTTCGCCGACAACCTGCCCGCCGAGATCGAGAAGGTTAAGAAGCTCCGCAAGTATGTCATTCCGTGCCAACCAACCAAACTACGTGTCATTTTGCTGATACAATCGCAGGGAGTTCGGTAACAAGGTCATCGGCGAGGTCACCCTTGACCAGGCCTACGGTGGTGCCCGTGGTATCAAGTCTCTCGTCTGGGAGGTGGGTTTTGCATCTTGATAGCGTCATCACGCGCACGGACTGTCAGACTGACTTTTTTTTTTTGGTGATGTAGGGTTCCGTCCTTGACTCCGAGGAGGGTATCCGTTTCCGTGGCCGTACCGTAAGTGATTGGAAATGGGAAGTGGAAGGTCGACATGCATCTAACACCCCGATCTAGATCCCTGAGATCCAGGAACTTCTCCCCAAGGCTCCCGGTGGTGAGGAGCCCCTTCCTGAGGGTCTCTTCTGGCTTCTCTTGACCGGCGAGATCCCCTCCGAGCAGCAAGTCCGTGACCTGTCTGCCGAATGGGCTGCCCGCTCCGATGTTCCCAAGTTCGTTGAGGAGCTCATCGACCGCTGCCCCAGCACCCTCCACCCCATGGCCCAGTTCTCCCTGGCCGTGACCGCTCTTGAGCACGAGTCCTCCTTCTCCAAGGCCTACGCCAAGGGTGTCAACAAGAAGGAGTACTGGAACTACACTTTCGAGGACTCCATGGACCTGATCGCCAAGCTGCCCACCATTGCCGCCAAGATCTACCGCAACGTCTTCCAGGACGGCAAGGTCGCCCCCATCCAGAAGGACAAGGATTACTCCTACAACTTGGCCAACCAGCTCGGCTTCGCCGGCAACAAGGACTTTGTTGAGCTGATGCGTCTTTACCTGACCATCCACTCCGACCACGAGGGTGGTAACGTCAGCGCCCACACCACTCACCTTGTCGGTTCCGCCCTGAGCTCCCCCATGCTCTCCCTGTCCGCCGGTCTCCAGGGTCTGGCCGGTCCTCTGCACGGTCTTGCTAACCAGGAGGTCCTGAACTGGCTCACCAAGATGAAGGCTGCCGTTGGCAACGATCTGACTGATGAGTCCATCAAGAACTACCTGTGGTCCACCCTGAACGCCGGCCAGGTCGTTCCCGGATACGGCCACGCCGTCCTGCGCAAGACTGACCCCCGTTACATGTCTCAGCGCGAGTTTGCCCTGCGCAAGCTTCCCGATGACCCCATGTTCAAGCTGGTCAGCCAGGTCTACAAGATTGCCCCCGGTGTTTTGACCGAGCACGGCAAGACCAAGAACCCCTACCCCAACGTTGATGCTCACTCCGGTGTCCTCCTCCAGTACTACGGTCTGACTGAGGCCAACTTCTACACCGTCCTGTTCGGTGTTTCCCGTGCTCTTGGTGTCCTGCCCCAGCTGATCATCGACCGTGCTCTTGGTATGCCCATTGAGCGCCCCAAGTCCTTCAGCACTGAGGCCTACGCCAAGCTGGTCGGTGCCAAGCTGTGAATTTGACAGCACAAATGGTTTGGGGGATGTTTCTTAAGTTAAGACATGACATGTATTATTCCTTTTTATATCTAGTCCTGTGATTGTTTTTTGTCATGTATGATAGGACTTGACCGGTTCGAGCGGGCCTTGTAACAGCACACTTCCTCGATATCATGATTATGGGGTCACGTAAATTTCGTATTTCATCATTTTCGGACTTTTAAAAAGTAAATCAAAAGTGATGTATGCATCGTATCTTAGTGTACGATAAGGCCAAAATGTTTTGAATTGGGTAAATGGTCTGACGGCTACTGAGGAGAATCAATCACTGAATTGTTGGGGAGGCTCAACCTTCTCAGCTGACCCACTTGGGATGGAAAAATAGTCAAGTAAATAATTCGTTGTTAGGGCGATATGAGAACATGGAGAACTCCGTACGGAATACTCCGTGAAAAATGTCATCAGCTTTTAAACAATTCGATCAAAATTTGGCGAATCTCGGGGGGGGGGGGTTTAATTTGAATGTCCGAAATTAGCAGTTGTTTTAAGACTTTACGTAGTATTACAGGTTGAAAGCAGAAGAGAAGGCGGTATGGGAGATACTCTGTACCCAATAGAATGAGTGGAAACTATTTGGCTTAAGGTACCGACTCCTCCCCCGATTTCCCCCTATAAGATATTTGATACCTTCCTCCCCCCAGCTTTCTTTCTTCTTTTCCATACCAACTTTTCTTCACAACCCCGGACTCCTTCCTCTGAGTCTTTTACTCCCTCTACTCTCTTCTCTATTCCCTTAAGCTACGAAGCCCCTTCATCCCTTGGTCAGGGCCCCTTTCAGCAGCATCCCCATTCCAGAAATGTCGACAACTCCAGAGAAGGCCGTTGCGCCTCAGCTTGAGAAGAAGCCCGTCAAGTTCAGCAACCTGCTACTGGGCGCTGGTTTGAATTTGTTTGAGGTCACAACATTGGGACAGGTTTGTAACTCTTAAGCTCTGCACCCTTCTTAGTGAGGATGCTTAACCATCCCCATCCACTAACATCCCTCTCTTTTCCTTTCTAGCCGTTGGAAGTGATCAAGACAACCATGGCCGCAAACCGGGGCGACAGCTTCGGCACAGCTATGGGTCGGATTTGGGGCCGTGGCGGGATTCTCGGTTGTATGTGGCCCCCTTCGCTTTTCCTCCGATGCACGCACCTTGCGTGTGGGGTTCAACTCCGGCCAGGCGGCCAATCCTGTTGGAATCAAATGAAGCTGACCGAAGATCTTTTCTCTAGACTACCAAGGACTCATTCCGTGGGCCTGGATTGAGGCCTCCACTAAGGGCGCGGTCCTCCTGTTCGTCGCCTCTGAAGCGGAGTGGCAGGCTCGCCGATTCGGTGCCAATGATTTCGTTAGCGGTATCAGCGGTGGTATGGCTGGTGGTATCGCCCAGGCGTATGCCACCATGGGCTTCTGCACTTGCATGAAGACTGTCGAGATCACCAAGCACAAGATGGCTGCCCAGGGCGTCCAGCCCGCGAGCACTTTCGGAACCTTCATGGATATCTACCGCAAGGAGGGTATCCGGGGTATCAACCGTGGCGTCAATGCCGTCGCTATTCGCCAAACTACCAACTGGGGTTCTCGCTTCGGTCTCTCCCGTTTGGCCGAGTCTGCCATCCGCAAGGTCACCGGCAAGGAAGATGGCCAGAAGCTGTCCGCCTGGGAGAAGATCCTCGCCTCCAGTCTCGGTGGTGGTCTTTCCGCCTGGAACCAGCCCATTGAAGTCATCCGTGTCGAGATGCAGAGCAAGACCGTTGACCCCAACCGCCCCAAGAACCTTACTGTCGGCAAGGCCTTCAAGTACATCTACGATTCCAACGGTATCCGTGGTCTCTACCGCGGTGTCGCTCCCCGTATTGGTCTGGGCATCTGGCAGACCGTCTGCATGGTGGCTCTTGGTGACATGTACGTTGTTTCCCCCCCCCCCCCCCCCCCCCCCTCCCTCATGATACCCGAGCTAACATTTGTCTTTGTATAGGGCCAAAGAAGCAGTCGAAAAACTGACTGGCGATACTGTCACCGCTAAGCACTAAAGAGAAGGTTTGAGATACCCTTCTGCTATGCAGCGGTTGTCGGAGAAGAGCGAGACTTTGTTTAAATTCCCATCGTTCATACATCCATAATTTGAAACAGACCCCGATACCCACTGAATGCAATTGTGATTGATACTCAAATAACGCAACCTTTTGTAATTTTCTGAATCGACGATATAAAGATTGGAGAGAAAGCAGAGCGCCATTGATTCTTCCGATAGTAGGACATTGAATTCATATTTCCCTGTGTTCTCGGGGTAAATCTACCCCGTCCAAGCTCTTGTCGAATCATCCGATCTCGGGGGCGTAAATCGGCTCTTGGCAAGGCTCCTGGTATTGTATTGACATCTTCACTGTATTGGCTTCCATTTATCCGTATTGTCTTAATGTCATGTGGCTATACGGCCATGTTGACCTCGGCTATTAAGTCATGTAAGCTATACTTGTTGTCTCATGTGATTTTAATAGAAATTACTTGTTCATATGTCATTTCATATGAAGATCCCTATACTATTTGGAGTTGAAAACAGGAGCAAAATTTTTTTTCTAAAGAAACCACAGATTATCAACTGGTGCTTTGGAAGGGTCATTCGACAGGGCTACCAAGCTCATCATGTACCAGGCTTGGTACACGTGCGTGGTCATGTCATTTTGGCATGTTCTGCTCTTCTATATCCCGAGATTTTGCCTGCTTGTGGATTGGACACGAAGAAGTAGGTTTGGATCCTCAGCCATTGTCGACAGAATAAGGAGTAAGACCGAAGGAAGAAAAAAGTAAAACGGAATCACTACAGGGGAGCCGCATTGAATAAGGTACAATTGTATTACAGTCAACTACACCCTCAAACACAAAGGAGATATCGGGAAAGAATCTAGGCACAAGTGATCACATCAAATCCAAACGAGGAAACACGCTTTTCCCTCGGTCTAGGGGTTGTATGGTATACAAGGGATATTTAAGCAGACAGACCAAGGTCCTCAGCGTATGGGAGCTGGTGGACGTCGCCAACGCTGACGAGAGTGGCCTTTCCGGACAAGAAGGAGTGGGCAACCTGTAGAAATCATAGTCAGCATAAATAGATTCAACAAAGAAATGAGAAAACGGAACCTACCTCCTTGACCTGTTGCTCAGTAACGTTCTCAATAGCCTTGGCGATCTCGCCAATCTGGTAAGCCTTGCTACCGTGAACCAGACCGGAGCCAGTAGCCTCAAGGCCAGTCTCGAGAGTCTGGACAGACTCCAAAGCACTGAACTTGGCCAGAGCGATGGCCTTCTTAATGTCCTCGCTGGCGACCTCACCGGCAGCGGCCTTCTTAAGGGCATCGACAACATTCTTGCTGGCAGCACCAACCTGGTCGGCAGCACCGGTAAGGGTGACAGTGAAGAGACCCGCATCAGAGTAGGCGTGGTTCTTAGTCGAAACGTTGAGGAAAGAGAAGCCCTGGGTGGCCTTAGACAGGAGAGAGAAACCAGGGGTCCACTTGATGGAGGACTCGCCGCCCAGGAGAGCAGCCAAGACGGAAGCCTCGGGCTTGTAGCCAGCGGTACCGAAAGCGCTGGAGCCAGGGAAGGCAATCACGACGGCGTTGCCGGCCTTGGAGGGGAGACGCTGCTCGCCACCGAAGTACTTGGTAGGCTCAGTGGACAGGAGCTTGTACTGGCCGGAGGAGGCACCGGTCGGGAGATCCTGGAAGAATTGGCCCACCCACTTGGTGACATCGGCGGAGTTGGGACCGGTGGCAACCAAAGCGACGTTGGACTTGGAGTAGGCATCCTGAGCAAACTGGGCCAGGGCGTCGGCGGACAGGTACTTCTCATAGGGGGTAGACTGGCTGGGGGTGACGGGAGAACCCAGGCCGCGGTGGAAAGCGACGCCGTGAGCGGCATCAATGGCGACGGTCTCGGCGTTGGAGTAAACGGCGTCCTGCTGGTACTTGAGGAGTTGGCTGACAACCTCGCTCAGTTCATGGTCTAATGTCAAAATAAGAATTCATGTCAGTCGGGTGAGCCTCCCCAAAAAAAGATTTTGATATTCCACCCTTTTCACTTCATTCTCAAGCTCAATTACCCCATCCGTGATAGCAAGTCACTTACCGGTGAACTTGGGCTTGCCAGCAACCTCAGCGAGCAGCTCTGTGAAGTATGGGAGATCATTGGCGAGGAACTTGGCGCGGAGAACGACGTTTTCGCGCGAGTGTGTCGACGAGATCTGACCGCCCAGCAGCTCAACCTCCCGAGTGATGCGCAGTGCGGAACGCTTAAGTGTGGTCTAGGAATAGACAGGTCAGCATTGAGGAAGATGATGGACAATGATTTGTTGCGGACCGACCTTGAAGGCGAACTTGTCAAGGGCATTGGAGAAACCAGGGAAGGGCTCGTAACGAGAACCAGCCTTGGCCACCAGGGCCAGAGTGCCGGTGGCACCGTTGACCTCACGGTTGGCAACCTTTACACCGGCAGCCTCGGTGACATCGTACTGGAAGGTCGGGTTGGCAGCAGAGGCCATGGCCCGACGGCCGGCGGAGAGCGCACGCGGCGCATTTCGGCTGAGGGAAGACCGCGACAGCATGATGCGCCAGGGAGAATTGAAGAAGGGGGAAAAAAAAGGAACCCGAATGGGCTTTAAGTGAAGCAATTGAGGGGAGGGGAGGGGGGGATGCGTCGGGAGATGGAAGCAGACGGGTTACGAAAAGCTTCAAGATGCCGGGGCCAGGTTGATTACTCGGACTCTGATTGGTTGCCGTGACGAGTCGGACGGACTCGGAAGAACTTTTCTACTAAGAAGTTCAAGACTTTTGATATGTAATGTTATATATAAATGAGTATGAATATTGACTTGAATGATATATATTATATATTTTGGAGTTAAATTATTAGAAGACAATTCCTATAATATCAATTCATGACAAGCAAGAAAAGAGAAAGATAGACAGAGGGACGGGAAAGAGGAGGAAAGTTGTATATGCAGAATCAGATGATCATTCACGTGACTGATAAGCAAAAAAGTGCCCGCCGCAATACTCTCTCGCAACTATATCAGTTCCCCTCCATGAACTTGTTGCGGTGACCCTCAATTGCTCCTCATGAGGACTGGAGGCTGGCAAGCCTTATTAATACACGATGATGATGTCCCAGGTTCGCGCTAACCCCCCTCCACTGACCTTGATCTAGTGACTGACACTTCTTTGCACAGCATGCTGTGGAGCTCTGTACGCTCCTCATCGAGGATCACTTTGGAGAGCTGTTCGCAGTAAGTATTCCTGAAATAATAATATGATGCACATACACCTCTGCAAGAATAGCCTTATTTTGGTCGAATTCCAGGTCCAGAGCAACGCTAATCATTAGCTCGATGTTTCATAGCGCATCTTCTCGACTCTCCAACGTTATGAACGGCTTTCTCTTCCTCGACTAAAATTCTATTCTCGCCTGACTGACCGTCAGCTCCGCCATGGCCTGACAGCCATGATACAGCACCATCTCATCTACTATTTCACTTCTCTTGAAGATAACAATACCTACTACGAATCAAATCCCCATGCCGCATACTACCTCGTGCGCTCGGGAAAGATTCTTCACTTGGTCGAAGATCGGTTGGGTGAATATGCGGCCCGGGTCATGGAAGCAATCCTATTCCTTGGTCATGCCTCTGTCAGCCACCTCGAAACCCTTCCCGAGCTTCAATCATTATCGTCCATAGTTCCAAATGGACAAACAAATGGCAACGAAGAACCGGAGGAGGATGATATGGACGTTGAAGAACAATCCGGCAGAACCAACGGAGATCACTCTCCTGAAAAAAAGCCCGCTCCTTTCCATGCTACCCTCAGAGCTCTCGCATCTCATGGATACTTGATGCGTGTTCGTGACGCTCACTTCCAGAGTCCCTCTGATAATCTACTTGAGGCACAACGCACCGTATCTGCCCGTTCAGATATAAAGGCATTAAAGGGGAAGAGGCAGCAAGAGACAGTCGCACTTGAGATCCAGGAACTGGTACATAATCGGACACACGCCGACCTTTCTCAGGGGCTCATGGTTGATGGTCTTCCTCGAGGCGTCAAAAGGAAGTTTGGACGGAATGACCAAATGCCAGAGAACGGAGTAAATGGGCATCAAATGACAGAGGACCACTGGTCAGAAGATGAGGACGAATTCGACAACACCCCCATGGAGGTAAGGGCATTTATAATCAACCGTGGTACTGGAAGCTGACGTTCCTCTTCAGTCCGGATTGGTCGTGCGGGTCAACTATGAAAAGTTGGATGTGGCGTTGCGAAACGCTAGGTTTGTCACTCTTGCTGAGCAGGATGCACCTCCGGCGACTGCACAGGTATATGACGCCCTCCTTCGTCGTATTGAATATGTCACGCTTCGCTGCCGAGATTCCGATGAGATCCCACGTGAGCGCGAAGAGGGAGAGCAGTGGACTGTACCCATCGATGCAGAGAAGATAGTAGGGGATATTGATCCTTATCTGGACCTTTCAGGGGCCTTTGCCCCGCTAGACTCATCTTCGCAGTCGGTAAATCGACGCGGAAAACGGCCTCTGGAAAATGGGGTCAACGGTGACCATGAGGGCTCTGACAACGATGAGTCCAGTGGTCCCAATCGAGCCTGGGAGATCAACCAACACCTTCAACTTCTTTCACAACCCCCTCATAGTCTCACATCGTGCGTGGAGCTGTATGGCGTCCCCAAGTGGCGGGTAGGGTTCCGTGGCTTGGCCCGCAAATTACGGCACCTGGAACTGGAACGAATGATTGAATCTAGGTATGGCGACGTTGCCATCCGTGTGATCCGTGTGCTCCATGCCAAGGGCAAATTAGATGAGAAGCGACTTCAAGAAATCAGTCTTCTTCCATTCAAGGATCTGCGACAAACACTTTCTAGCATGCAGTCTGGTGGATTTGTGGATTTACAGGAAGTGCCCAAGGACGCACAACGCCAGCCTTCCAAGACTATTTTCTTATGGTACTATGATCCGGACCGTGTCTGCAGCAGTATCTTGGAGGACACATACAAGGCCATGTCGAGAACCTTGCAGCGCATCAAAGTCGAGCGAGGCCGACTCAAGGATTTCCTCGAGAAGACCGAGCGTAGCGATGTTAAGGGCCACGAGGAAGAGTACCTTACTGAAGAGGAGTTGGAACTATTACAGCGCTGGAAAGACAAGGAAGCTCTCTTACTTGCCGAAGTGGCTCGCCTGGATGATATGGTGGCTGTGTTCCGCGATTATTGATTCCATATAATCGTCATCGCTTTTAAAGGTGATCAGGGGGGTTCTTTCTTTGCATCTGTATAGCCACACGAGCGACAAAACCTACCCAGGCAGCATTTCAAGGTGTTATATCTTCTTCATCTTCCCACTGCAAAATCACAGAGTGGGTTGACACGCAATCAAGTCTGTATATCAATCCTGGAAGATATCCATAGTCCAAAATTTCAAAGATTGAAAGAGAATTGCTAGATGATTACAACTTGCCCTTGTACAAGTCCAATCTGTGCGCTAATTGGGAATGATTTTGAAACATGCCAAGTATAAGTATTACATTCGTCATCTTCAATCTTCTATAATCAGACTAGACACTCAAAAGTACCGTGAAAGAGTACATACAGCCTAGATATAATTAATGTTACGAGACGTAATTGGAGGTTTATTGAATGATAATTCAAAACACACTGAGGATGAACATAATTCAGGTTTTAGATCTAGCAATTCTCTAAGGTGATATGTCAAAAAAGTCTATCTTGATACACACAGATCATAAGGATATAACAAAGAAGGATAAAAGAGTAATGAAAACACAAAAGCCACCCAATAAGAGCAAAGACACAACACCGACGCTATAACCAGAGCAAAAGCTGCTGATGACAATCCTAGGGTTATCCGATTCCTTTTCCTAATCCAAAAAAAAATACATTGTGAATCGATCCCCGATTCCATTTTAGAATGTAAATTCGGTCATGAACTCTTCTTGTCTTCCGACTCAAGACCGTTTGTATTGCTAGCCACCTGTTCGGTGCTGCCTGCGGTGGGGGTGTTGCTCCCATCTTTGAGTGCGAAGCCCGCGAGTTTGGCCTCAGTCGCGGCCAGTTTCGCAGTGGTGTCATTAAGGCTCTTTTGCAGAGACTTGATATAGTCGATAGCCATTTCCACCGCACTGGCCTTGCTGATAGCCTGGTTGGCCGATTTATCCTTCTCCTTGTCGCCGGATTTGACCCCTGTCAAGGCAGCCTCCTTGGCCAGTCGGGCCTGGACAAAGTCTGGTGGGACCAATGCTTCAATTTCTTTGAGAGCGCTGTTGATGCGGTTTCGCCGGCCCTGTTCGGCCAATTTATGGTTGGTACGCTTGGAGCTGAGATTCTCAGCCAAGGTCTCTGGATATGAAACACCCGAGGGCAAAGTCCCGTCGAGTATATGCTGATAGTTCGACTTGGAAGCCAAGAGCGCATCTTGCGCATAATCTATATTATGTGGTTAGCCAGAACAGAAGGGTCTGAAAACTAGAACACAAGTTGAACTCACTTTCACCACCGGCCCGCATCAGCGGCTGGATACTAGGGCTAATTTTTGGTCGAAGTTGCGGGCTGGCGTGTGTGGAAGACACACTTGGCCGTTTCCGACTGGATATGGAAGACCGGGATGGATCTGACCTCTTCGGGATCGGCCCGCTGGGAGATGGCATTGCGGCCGTGCGAGGGCTGATGGCAACGGTCCCGCTTGGGGGTCCCGACCTGGATTCCAGTGAAGGAGTCAAGTTTGCAGAGATGGCTGGACTGACCATGGTCCGGAGACTGGTGTCAATGCGATTCATCCTAGGACGCGACTGTGGGGCTTCCACCGCTTCAGGCAAAGCAATGTCCTCCATTGTCTCGTCATGATATTCCAGTTGAGCTCGTCCCATAAACTGACCCGATGGATCATGGGTGTGTTGTGATCGCTGGATGCGCATGAGAGTCGCCGGAGTCGCGGCACTGGGAGGCTGTGTCGCTTGGGGAGCAATGGCCGGGGACCTGCGCGACGGAGGTAGCGCCGGGGGTAGCATCAAAGGTTCTGACAAGGGTTCAGGCGAAACTGAGTCCTGACCGGAGCCCTCGGTGCTGCTAGCTTGAAGCGAGCGCACATCATTGTTCTGCGGTTTATTCAATTCCTGGGACAGGCTGTTGTAAAACTCCTCCGAATTAGGAACCTGTCTTCCCCTCCGCTGCGTCTGGGCCCGTATGGAGGGCGACTGTTTGACCTTGCTTCGTCCCGAAAGGTGAGAAGTGGTTGAGGTGCGTCGGCGATTGGTCTTGCGAATGATGCTTGGTGAGCCCGGGGTTGAAGTCCCCGGCAGTTGATTGGCCTCGACGCTGGTGGGCACAAAGCCCACATCTGACATCCGTCTAGATTGGTAAAATCCATGCGTGGAGTGCGATTGGGCCTCCAGAGCGGGTGAGGTGAGGGGAGTGATGCTATATTCCCCGGGAACGGCATAACTGTCCAGTTGGAATTGGGTTTCCAGTGGTGTCATCGCAGGCGATATGAGGGGAGTGTAGAGCGCCTGGCAACCTGGTGAGCAAGAGAGGCCCGAGAGAAAAGGGTTAGATATATCAAATCTGATACATACCTGGTCCTCAACGCGCGAGTATCGAGGATCATACATCTCCGGGTTATCATCAATCCGCTGCGAGTATCGTACTGCATTGCCGTGCATTTCGACACTGTTTGGAGTCGGAGGGATCATCGGCGGGCCTTGCATGTAGTGGCCCGACTGTTGTGACATGGCCTGATGGGAGGAATCCTGGGCGCAGAAGCCTGGGGTCATACTGGGAGTACTTGTGTAGGGCATGGCGGGTTGCGACTGGGCCGAGTGGTGTCCAAAATCCATTGCCAGGCCTTCCATTGAGGTCGCATATATATTTGATCGCGGGTCTGAGGCCATAGTCGAGGGTACCGTGGTGGGAGGATGTCCCATTGATTGTTGCTGTTGCTCCTGCATCTGGGAATGTGCTGGTCCGTGCCCTTCCAAGTCGGAGAAATGCATATCGAACTCAAGGAAGTTGGAAAATTCATCTTCCCCAGGCGCTGCGATGAGCGTATTCTCATGGAGTTGTTCCGACCATGACATGGCCGATTGTGGCTCCATGGTGCCTTTCGTCTTTGGTGGTGGAGGGGTGAGAAGGTTTGAGAAGAGGAAAGGCAAATTAAAGAGGGGAAAGTAATTTGAAGTAAAAGAGATCGAGCCAATCAAAGGCAAGATGTCAAGGATGCGACATGCAGTTACAGGAAGGCAGAAATGGGAAGGGGAAGGGGAAGGGGAAGGGGAAGGGGAAAAGGAACGAAGTTGAAGTGGAACTTTGGAACTTTGGAACAGAATCCCGTTTACCTTTTTTTTTTTCTCGGGTAAGAACGGTTTTCCATTTCAGAATGAAAATGAACCTTTTTCCTTCTATGAGGTCTTTTCTTTCGCGCTAAAGGCGCCTGCTTTTCTATCCTAGGGAGAATATGGTCTAGTGAAGTGAGATTTGACAGAATTCGGTATAGCGGCATCATTTGCCTTGCATACAAACATGGGGTTACTTTTGTCTTATATGCACCAAGTTTTGATACTACATGCATCAAAGTCAATGAAATTCATTAATTCTAAAGACTTGAAACTTCCCCGGGTTTTTCTTTTTCTCCATAAGATTCTTGATTCCCCCAGTTAATCGAGAGTCCACCAAGTGGGGGTGGAGAGTCCACAGGGGAAAACCAAGCTCGGCTCTTACTAATGAATTTCTAACCGAGATTTCTATCAACTTTTAGAGACAATCGGATCTATGGATTTTACAACGTCAATGAAGACAATGGGTCTTCAAAGGGGAAAGTTTGGAAGTTCTAGAAACTCCAATTCTATTCTATTGAAGATTTCGCAAACCCAGTTATAACTCAGTCATTGGTAAAACACGTGATATACCTAAATATATTACACCCCATGGTCCAAGCTTGTCTGAATCGCCAACTTCCAATGAATTTACTCAACTACAGCACTGGACATACCTAAGCCTCACAGCAACTCTAACGCCCCACAATGTTGCTCTTGGCTCTTATACTCTGTCAGCTGGCTGCAGCTTCCCTCACAATCACCATCCCATCCACAAATTTCCTTCCCAATCCGCATGGGCTCCCCGCATCCACCCATGCCACTCTGACCACGCTCCCCTCCACCGGCAACGATCATCTTTTGACCGCCTCCTTATCCCACACCTCTACCTTGATATTCCATAATATTCCGGCCCAACAGGAATCATACCTGTTGGATATTCGTTCCAGCGAGTACATCTTTGCCCCTTACCGAGTCGATGTTGCTGCCGATGGGTCCATTCTAGGGATCTGGGAAACCTTCCGTGGAAACCCGTGGGACAACCGTGGTGCGGAGAAATATATTGTTGATGTGACCGGCAAACAACAATCCGATGTCATTGTAGAGGCCAAACTTCTGGGTCGAAGGGGCTTCTTCGAGGAACGTGCCAAGTGTGAGTGATGCGAATGGCATTCACGAGAATTGCATGCTAAAGAACGTACTAGTCTCGCCGTTAAGTCTCTTTAAGAACCCCATGATTTTACTGGCTATTGTTGCCTTGGGTTTCACTCTCGGCATGCCGAAGCTGATGGAAAGCAGTACGATTCACCCTTTTGTTTTCCCTTGAGCCGAGAATTTCATCTAACTGACTGATACAGTGGACCCGGAAATGCGTGCTGAATTTGAGGAACACTCACGCTCCTCACCCTTGACGGGAGGTGCAAACAATGCTCTTGCTGGAGGTGGATTTGATCTGGCTGGTTGGATGGCAGGTACCTCATCTAGCCCCATGGCCAATGCCGACGCTGCCCCAGCAGGGACCACCGGCCGTGACACAGGTGCAGCCACACGGCGTCGTTAGCTTGAACTGGTTACTCCATATCCCATCTTGTTCTATACTACGGGGTTCAATAAGCTCATAGAATTACAAAGCGATTCAAATGCTCCTCTAAATCATAAATCCATCCCATCCTAAGCCAGTCCATAGTGAAAACAATTAGACCCAACCCTCCATATCACGCCACAAGTTGAAGAAAAAAGAAAAAAGAACAAAGAACCAATAACCCATCATCGGGAGAGCCAAGGATCTGTACCGAACACTGGAAAGTGCACGATTTCACGAAATCGAAACCTCTGAAGCAACGCTAATAAGCACGATTTAAAAGTCCCCTCCCCCGAAATCACCACCACCATCACCGCCAAAGTCACCACCTCCTCCAAAGTCTCCACCGCCAAAGCCACCCCCACCATAGTCTCCACCACCACCATAGCCTCCACCATTATCATAATCATGATGATCTTCCATATTTTCCACGACATCGGCAATCAAAAGTCCACCGAGCAGTCCTCCACCCACACCTAGCGCAGCTGCACCGGCAGTTCCCATACCATGTTTCTGTTGAGGCTGTTGGTAATACCCGCCTTGGGATGGGTATCGTCCATATCCAGCCGCTGGGTACCCATACCCTGGCGCCTGCTGTGGGGGGTATTGCGCGTAGTATCCGGCATTCGGTGGAGCCTGTTGCGGATACGAGGCATATTGAGGCCGCGGTTGAGGTGGCGGGCGAGAGCTGCTAGAGCTCTTACCCATCAATTTACTCAGAAAGCCCCGGCTACGAGATTTCTGCTCTGGTGCCGAACTCTCCGGGATTGGCCCAGAGGCATAGGAACCGGTGGATTGAGGTGCAGGCTGCCCGTTGTAAAAATCGGCGGCAGCTCCCGGTGTCCCGGGACCTCTACTGCTGCTGCTAGCCCGTGCATCCTCCTCAGCCTGGAGCTTAGCGGCGAGACGGGCATCATCATCGATAGTAGGGCTGGCAGTGCCGCGTGAGGAAGTAGTAGGATTGTATGGGTTGTTTGAGGCCAGTGGTCGCTTCTGATCACCAGCGTTGGCGAGCACAGCTGGGTCAGCGGAGCCCGTATTATCGTATGATGGTGGCGGTGGTGGTTCGCTTGAGGGTCCGTCAACAGACGGTGCTGGTGTCTCAGGACGTTCCCACTGGGATTTTCCAGTAATAAGATTCACGTAAAACCTGCAAAGAGTCAGCTGGTCTCTCACTTAAAGGGACAATCATCAGATCTTTGGGGCTGCCGTCGTACCATGACTGATATCGTTCGTCGTACTGCGCCTTCCACCCCTCCGGAACGGAGGGCGGGGGAGGCCCGGAAGGTGGCGTAAAGGAAGCCGACATAAGCAGGGTGAATGCAGTATAAGGATTCGATAATTTCAAAGTAAAGTGATCAAGTCGATGAAAAAGTGAAAGAAAGAGAGATCACAAAAGCAATCAAAGACGGGGGATAAGGGAAAGTGATGAACTAAGTATACATGTATATGTGCTCCACAGTCTCCGCCTGATCTAGAAAAAACGCGATTCCACTGCGCCACAACGTGGCAGTGCGTCATTCCAGGTAAGTTGAAGTTACACACTCCGAACATTACCATACAGTGTTTAGTACATGACTTTCTAGCATGTACACAGTCAACCCCTCTATTACTTGATTACACCGTGGACTTTTTGAATACACGTTCGAAACCTCCACCGTGAATGGTGTAGGAGGTACAGTGGAAACTTTATTGTTCTAGGCACCGCACGACATTTTGCGCGGCAGAAAGTCTCTCGGGTGTTGGCAGTTCAAGGCAACTATGGGTGACTAGTTCTTCTAGTATGTCCATGGTTTCACAAACAACAGTAGCCTGTAGCATAAAACGGCTCACTTCACCTTCAGTCGCTACTACAAATATTGGCGTCGTACCATCCACTGTCTGGCCACCAATGATCATCTTCGAGGCCATCTTCCAGATTTTCAATAAAAGATGAAAAACTCGATGATTCTCGCTTTGACGGAGGCGGATTTGTTGGCTCGCGTTCCGGCGAATCGCCGGTCAGGTCAAAATGGACCACATCGACATTTGTGATCATTGGACCATGCCGCCGTTTCTTCCTCTTTTCTCTATCTTTCTCAACCCTATGTTTCTTTCTCTTCTTTTGATCACCAGCAGTCACGTTAATAGGCCGGTTGACCCCAAGCCCGTTACACATGTCCTTGTTTGGTAGACGGTTGTCCTGACTATTCCGTGCTTCAGCGATGTTTCTTTGCATCTGGAGTTCACGTTCTGCATTCTGATCGAGTTTCTGCTGGGTTTGCACCTGTGGTCCGCAAAGTTGCCTGAGTTGGTACTCGTCTTTGAGAGGGATTCGTTTAAGCTCATCCAGAGGTGTATCCTCTTGGACATCACGGGCCCAGCGAGCATAGGGACCTTTGTAGTTAGGCCCCTGTCCCGGGCCGTAGATTGGATGCCGTTCGATCTCGGCGCTAGAGATGAGCGCTCTGCTAGTCTCACGGCCAGAAATCTCCTGACATGGCGGCTCGGGAGCAGCTTTGGAATCGAATCCAGCCTTTTCAGGGTCCGAGCAAGGCCCGGAAGATAATACTTGAATGCCTCCACCCTGGGACCCGATAAGAAGGTGGGATCGATCTTCCGAAAATGCCCCACTCGTGATGCCCTCGTTGAACTTGGCAATGTTGGCCACTAGCACGTCCTCTGGGGATCGACGAATATCCCACTGTTTCAATAATCCATCAGAACCACCAGTGTAGAACTGATCAATGGCTGTCCCCCACAGAGCGACAGAGACTCCATAATCAGTCAGCTCTCGGGCATGTTCGTGGTTAAGTGGATGAAGCGAATCGCCGTGCGAAAGTCGATGAATGGATTTGTCGGGGTAACGAACATCCCAAACGTATGTACGGCCATCAGTGCAGCTGGCTGTGATGTAGGTAGAATTCATTGGGCAAAAGGTCGTTTCATTGACGTCTGCCGCTGGACATGGAAATCGGTTGGTGACAAGGAAACTATCCGCTGTGCAGTCGTAAACCTGTACAACAGTACGCGTCTTCAATGGAAGACGCATTGCTTGGCTGTAGGTAGATGCAGCCGCGAATTTAGGCAAGAAGGGGTGCCATTTGATATCGAAAATGTTCTGTGAGTCCGGAATGAGCTTGCGTGGGGTCACCGACCCTTGGCCAATTGTCCACAGACCAATATGACCGTAGTGTGGGACTTTGTATTCGTTCAGAATTCGTTGCGCCATGCCACCAACTAAGAAATGCTTCGTTGATGCCGTGTGGCCCCATGCAAGAGTTGTGGGCGCCAGGTCAAGAATTTTCTGCCGAGTATCTCGAACAATGGGCAAATCCACGCAAGTGGGAGCCTGGTCCTCCTGGACATCCCATAGATGGAACTTGTCGGTCCCAGTGGCAACAAGATTTGGCACTGACTTCGAAAGAGCCATGACTATAACTTTGGAGCTATGCTTTAATGTCTGAAGGCAAGAAGGATGTTTGTGAAGGCTAACATCCCAGATCTTGACGGTGTTGTCATAGCTCGCTGTGTAGAGTCGGTCACCGGCCCACTGCATATCAGCCACGCTGGTGTACAACTGGTCTTCAGTAATTGTTGACGAAGAAGGACGAGGAATCCGGTGATCTGGAAGCTCGTAAAGAACACTATCGACAAGGTCGCCTAGAAGCAAATTGCACTTTCGATTGTATTCGTCTGGCTGAGCCGTTGCCCCCGCGGCAAATCTTGTGGAATCAGACGACCAGGCGAGAGCCACTACATCGTTTGAGGCGCCTTTCCATGATTTCCAGGGACGAATATCCGATGTCATATCTGCATGAATCCGGTTGCTGGGACCGCAACCATGCAGTTCTCGATCCCACAAAAGTTTCCGGATGTTAGGAATCATGCGGGGAGGATCTTTGCTGGATACCGGGATAGAATCCGGAGGGGGCGACAATTCATGGGAGACTCGTGAGGCTTGAGACATTGAGTCCCTAGAGCTCTTGGGAGGTTCCTCCAGACCAACCAACACACGCAAATTGTAGGTGGTCGGTGTGTTTTTGGCTCGTCCAGAACGCCTGGGAGCTAGACCGCCAGGGCTCGGTACAGATGAAACAAAGGGAGGTGGGGTTGGGGTTGACCTAGGATCCGAAGATGACATGTGCAGATCGGGCCGGTTGATACTGTGGAGTGTAGCCACTACACTCTGTCCCAATGATTGCGAGGATATGTCTTTCTGAGGAACTAGTGTCGCTGGGGGACGTGGAAATGCGGGCTTCTCTTTCAGGTTGGCATCCGCATTCAATCCAGCAACCCTTTCTTGCAGGGCTGCTTGGCCACTCGGTCCCGAATCGTGTTTGGGGCGGGGTTCGAGATTATGTGTTAGTGTTGACTTTGGAGAGGGGACGTGGGTGGATGGCTCTACCATCTCTGGAGCAATTCGTGGTATCTGCCAGATATCGTTTTCTTTTCCTGGATGAAACACCGTATGGCCATGGGTAACAGACTTTGAGCAGCCCAAGGCTTGTTCATGTGGTGGCTTAGTGGAGGACTGGGTGAATATCGCCAGTAGACGATGAGCCTCACGTGAAACATGTTCCGCAAACTCTGTGCCATCTTCTCGAATTGAGCCACTGATCTGGCTCCTTCTCCTGGTGCGCGTTGAACTGTGGAGCATTTCGTAATAAGGATCTTAGAACTTTTTAACATCGCCGTGAATTAGTTTGAGTCTTTCATCTTGAAATGTGGGTTTATCTCACATTATAATGAGGTAAACAGAACTATTCAGTCAGCACAGTATTGTCAGACAGGAAAGACATCCCACCAAACCACACATATGAGCCTGGCTTTGAATGCGATCCACAACAGAGTGCAGAGCATTGGAGACCCATTCGTTATCCCCCAAGGTTATAGCCTGGTCATAGTATTATGGAGTATCCAATATTATGCCCCTAGACGACCGATGATGGATGATACGGAAATGTGAAACCAATGTGAATGAGGAAAGCAGCCGGGCAGTGGATAATGGAGTAGATAAAATTAGCGGTTTTTGAGACTCCAGAGGTTTTATGAAAGGTGTTTCTAATCAATTGTTAGCAGATCTTAACAATCAAACATCAATCTTAGAAGACACACCTCTTCAGGGGAATATTTGTACCAGCACAAAGCATATGAAGACACGAAATGTTCGGAGAATGGGGAAATCGCGAAAACGCGCTACGTTTGGCGCGGAGACCGCAAGGCGGTGAGAGGCATATTCATTATTCTAGGTATATAAGTATCTATATTTGACTGTATACTGTTATCTATCATTAGGACATAGATGAAGATTCCTGTAACTTCACGGATCATAGTGCTTTTGTGTAGAAAACAAAACAATTTAGTGAAATAGTGACAATGATACCCAAAAGCAATATATATACAGATCTGTAGAAACCCCACCGTCTCCACATTCTCTCTCTCCTTAGAGCTAGAGGAAATTCCCAAAGGAATCAAATAGAAAGGAGTTGAATAGTTAGCGGAGATGTACTCCTTACTTGCGAATTGCGCCCTTCTTGCGCAACGTTATCATTGTATCATACAGCACGTCCTTAAAGGCGAATAGGAAGGCAGCTGTAATCGCACTTTGAGTCACCTTAGGGCCAATGCCTGTAAGATATTCGAAAATTAGTAAGAAAGAAAAGACAGCAGAAAGCGTATTCAGCTTACCCTTATATAGACCTTTCCATCCCTCTTCCTGAATAATTCTCTTAAGGCTTCCATTCAGACTCTCCTTAGGACCATCCTTACTGGCCACATGCATCCGGCTTTTAATCGTGATGTATGGGTAGGTAATGCTAGTGGCCAGAATCTTGCCTAATGCTCCCAGATAAAAAGCATCCTTGGGGGTCATCCGACGGCGACGCTCAACCATATTCTTCAGCTGCTCAAAAATAGTGTATTGCAGAATTGGGTTAATCACCAGAATTAACGCCGGGAGAACACCGGCAAACAGAGCCTTGGGACCTTCCTGTCGCAAAAGATCCATCAAAGTACTGAGTGTTGACGCCTTGGTTTTCGGTGCTCCTGGTAGACTTTGTTCCTCCGACGCCGACTTACGAGCCGTCATGCGGGTGTTGATTACCCAGATAGGATTGGTGATCAGCACGGTGGCACTACCTGCGATTGCTCCTGCAATCATGGACTCCACAGTCGTGAGCTTCTTCGAAGCACGGCCCGCCTTAATGGCGGCCTTCTCAAAAGCCGCCCGGGTCCACTCATACCAGTAGTAGTACACGAAATTAGTGACGCTGATTCCGAAGAGAGCGGACTCCAAGCCCGAGTAGAGTCCCGAGATACCCTCCCGCTGGACGATCCGTCGAATCGCATCGAGATTGGTGGAGTGCGCACGCTTAGACTCGACCTGCGCTCTAGTGGATAGGGTAATGAGGGGATATCTAGTATGTAGATTTTAACAGTCTATCCATATGGGAGGGGGGTGACGTGGAATATCATACGTCAAAATCATCGACAAAACTCCTCCTCCAGCGCCCGCTAGAGCGTGCGCAATGTTATCACTTTGCTGAACGGCCACAGAGGGCGTGGGATTTTGCTGTGGACGTTCGGACATGGTTGCAGGGGTCGAAAGGAAAGGTGGATAACTTGAATACCGGTCACAATTGATAAAGGAAATCAAAGGGGCAGAAGGGTTTTTGAAGAAATGGATTTAGGAGCAAAAAAGGGTGCGTTAATGACTCGGCTTGGGATGGGGAGAAGGAGAGTTTCATGACGTTTTGCCGAATGATGTGCCTCGGCTTGTGCCCAACTCCACTACATTCCGGGGTATGCGACAGATGAATCAGTTCCCTCTAGGAGGATTCCGGAGCTGACCGAATCTTTACTAGAATTACTCGGCGTTTTGATATGTATGCAACACGCGTTTCATAATCTCTTATCGTTCATATCCGAAGAAATTCGGTGGCATGTGATTTCCATAAGCACATGAAAACAAAGAGTATATAAAACCTAGTTATTGCTACGCGTATAGATGATTCACTAAAAAAGAGACATAATTCTCGCCATTAATTCATTCAGAAATGAATCCAACCTACAAGAAAGAGAAAATAGAGGGGATGGGAGGGAGATAGAGAGAAAAAGTAGAACATGTCACAGCGAAGGCCCAAGAATATGTGGCCAGGAAAAGGTAAAAAAGGGGGTTTAAGGGCAGGGGAGGAGAAAAGGAGAAAAAAAGAAAACAATAACACCGATGATCACGAAGCAAACGCAGAACAATCGAACGCAGGGCCATCTAAAAGACAGGAAGAAGAACCCAGGGACCCTCAAGTCTCGTCCAGTCCTCGATCGATGTCGGGCGTTGAATGACCCTGGCCGTCGCAGAACAACTAGCATACCGCTTTGAGAACCCTCAATTCATGTAACATTGCGCCAAATGAAAAGCATCATATCGCATGGATCTAGCAGCAGCCGCCTCCTGACCCAGACTGAACACCCTGACCCTGACCAACCTGCACGGTAGGCTTGTTGTTGACGGTGGCTGTTCCCATACGCTCCTTAATCTGTCGTGCCATTGTCAAGAATGCCTGCTCGACGTTCGATGCGTTCTTGGCGGAGGTCTCCAGGAAGGGGATTCCGAGGCTATCGGCGAACTCCTATACCGATGGAAAATCCAATGGGTCAGCAACGGACAACTTACTCAGAAGAAACAAGGGCTGAAATGTGCTCAGGATAGGTGAAGGGGAGGAAAGGCATACCTTTGCCACGGTGTACTCCACAACCTTCTTGTCCTCCATATCACTCTTGTTGCCCACCAGCAGTTTGTTTACACCCTCGGTGGCGTACCGGTCAATCTCCTGAAGCCACTGCTTGACATTGTTGAAGGAGTCCATGTCGGTCACATCATACACCACACAGATTCCATGGGCGCCACGGTAGTAGGAAGAGGTGATGGTACGGAAACGTTCCTGGCCAGCAGTGTCCCACTAATTTGCACCAGTCAGCCATGTTTCACCCGCATCTTTGAGGATTTTGCCTACAATCTGAAGTTTCACGGTCTTGCCATCCAGTTCGATAGTGCGGATTTTCTGCGACAGGTATTAGCATGTCATTTCGGGAGCCCCACCGGAGTTGAGGTCAACATACAAAGTCCACTCCGATAGTCGAGATGTAACTTTCAGTGTAGGTGTCATCAGCAAAACGAAGCAGCAGACACGACTTGCCGACACCGGAGTCTCCGATGAGCAGTAGCTTGAAAAGGTAATCGTATCTATTGGAATTTGAAGTTAGGATAGGCAGATCGGCGAGAAGACGTTTGGACAGTCGCAACCAAGGGGGGATATCAGCAGATCAGAAGAATACTCTAGAAGGACAAAGAAATATTAATGGAGTCCTTAAAGTTGTGTCTTGTCATAAGAAAGGTTTTGCAACAACAGCAAAGATGGAGGGGGGACACGGGGGAGAGACGTGTGTCCCGACCGAGGAAACACAAAGGCTTACCACTCAGGGTTCATGATGAAGAGATGGAATCTGGTCCAGACACCAAGATGCAGTTGAATATAGCGAAAGGAAAATGAGGAGGAGAGATGGGAGGTGAAGGAGGTTCCAAGTTAGAGGGGAGTTGAATGATGAACGCCTGAAATGAATGATAGGAGGTGCAGGAGAGCACATGCACCTGATGTGCAGCTTTGTTTCACCGTCACCGCTTTGTATCATTAGGAACCCAAATATAACTGATAACTGATCACCCTCTCGCTCTCTGGATTTATTGAATTTAGTGAATTCATTGAATTAATTTAAGTTGTTCCAATATTCTTATTCTCAACTGCCTTAATCTAAATATGATAGGTTTTATTGCTGTCAAACGAACTGTGATCATAGAACTAGATACTCATGTCATTGAAAGTGACTTTCTCACCGCACATGTTCATTCTCTGCCTCGTGCGAACCTCATTTGCCCCTGGCAGGTGATCAGCCATGTCACTTGTTTTTTCAGTGGACCTCACCTCACCTCATTTTCATCATCATTCTTCCTAATCAAGAACTGAAACTGAAAACAAGTATGGAATCCTTCATGCGAAACCATGAGCCCGCAGCCACTCAAGAGCCAGCGCCTGATCCCGTTCCTTGTAAGAGGCGTTGGTACGAATGTTATCAGAGATAATAACAAGGGCACGCTCATAGGAACCAGTGTTTTTACTCTGGAAGAAATTGGCAATATCATCACCAATCTGGTGGTCAGCAAACTTGGACAGACCCATGCGGATGAACCGCTCAAAGACTACATTGTTGGAGGACAGTCGGCCCTCCACCGAGGTCCAGTGCGATTTGATGTACTCCCATAGCAAGTGTCGGACCTTGGAGTTGGCAGCCAGAGATACTGCACCACTGTGCATGTCCTGGATAGCCACCTTGTCGGAGAAAACGAAGTCCAGGTAGTCCTGCACAAGAGCTGGCTCCTTTGTACGTCCCATAGCAGCCAGACAAATCTCCTTACCATCAACAGAATCTGTGCGCAGATATTCCTCCTTGACAGCATCGTATTCCTTCCGGCCGCCCTCTGACACATTAAGGCTGAAAATCACTGACCGAAGATTGGTGTGCACCGCACTCGTATCTTTGCCCGTGGCCCACAGATCGAATCGCCTCTTAGACTCAGCGATGATACTGTGATTCCATCAGCAAAATGAGCACAGGGACTTATTTTAAGAAAGCAAGATGTAGCTTACCCCTCTTCGCCAGCATTACCAGCCATAGCGATAAGCAACTTGCGGAGTTGAATGGTGAGATAGTCCTCATTAGACCGAAATTCCCAGCCAAGTTTCTCGGCAGCCGGAGCGGCCAAAGTCTTGGTGAATTTCTTCAATCCTTCGGCCACAGCTTCGTTCTGGGAGAAAACAGAGCGGAGGTTTGCTAGCGATGAAGATACCTGCGACCAGACACTGTAGAATAAGAAGTTAAAATTAGCTGGGGAGGTTAAAAATTATCGTCAGACAACAGACGGAATACTCACAGGTAGTTTTGCTCTCCCTTGAATCCCTCTAGGAGAGCCAGCAAGGCTGGCGTGTTGCCCTCGCCGGAGATTGCAAGAGCAGCGGCATCTCCCAGCAACCCGATCTTATCTTCGGTGCTCAGAAGCTCAAGGGACTGGCCAAGCTTCTCTAGACGAGCAGGGGGGTAATTTGTCCGGTAGAAACCAGCCAAATCCTTATTAATCTTGTAGAAACCATCCTCTCCGATGCCTGGCACATTGTCGGATTTCTGGGCAAGAGCACGAGTATCCAATGTGGCCATGTTTTCACCGGACTTGATTCCTAGAGGAATCCACCAAGTGGTCTCATCCTCTTCAGGCTTCGCATCTCCGGTGGACAAGAATCGAGTTTGGCGAACGCTAATTTGACCGGGTTCCTCGGCCACAGTAACGACTGGGAAGCCAATCTTGCGAATCCAAGGGTCCTGTATCGTATCGTCAAAACTCGATTTCTCTGTGAAGCCACATAATGAAGCCTTGGAGAGCAGATGAGATTAGACATACCATGAAGCCGTGCACATCTTGACCGGAGGCCTTGCTCAAGGCAGACCACAGGTCATTGGTAGTTGCGTTTCCTTAAATGCCAGAGGTTAGCATCTAAATATAGTTCCTTTCGTTTTTCTTTTCCCCTTACCGTATGCGTGGGACTTAAGGTAATCAGCGACACCCCGGAGGAATGTCTCACGACCAAGGTGAATGCTCAGCATGCGAATGACCGAGCTTCCTTTGAGATAGCTGATGTGGTCAAAGATTTGGTCCACCTCGAGAGCGTTTCGGACAGGCACCTCGATAGGATGGGAGGCTCGTAGCGAATCCAAATGAAATGCTTGTTGCACACCCTCAGCCTGTGAAACATGTCAATGATGATCTAGACGAAGTTTGGCTTTACCTCGGGAATTGCGTACAACAAACTGAGACCAGACATTCCAATCTACAAGAAATGTTAGATTGTGACATGCTTGTAGAGTATGAACAACACCTACCCGGATGGAAGTGATCCACGGCAAGCCAACCAACCCAGGTTGCAAACCCTTCATTCAACCAAAGCTCATTCCACCAGTCCATGGTAACAAGGTTACCGAACCATTGGTGAGCCAGTTCTACATTACGGTGGGTTAGATATATATCCAAAATCATCCAAGGGGAATCGACGATCTAACCGTGCGCGACGACATAGGCAATCCGGTTCTTGTACCGGTTGTCTGATTTTCCTTCATCAAAAAGAACTGCGGTGGTCCGATATGTGACCAAGCCCCAGTTCTCCATAGCTCCCATAGCCTGAGTAGAATCCAGTCAGCTAAATGCCAAGTTCTTGGGCATGATTGAGAAGGCCCAATCACTCACAAACTCATGCACAGCCAAGAGATCAGCCTTGGGAAGCGGGTACTCAATTTCAAAGATCTCAGAGAAGTAATCAACTGTCTGATTGGCACATTCCAGCGCAAATCGAGCCTGTTCTTTGAGACCCCGGGTGGTGTAGACGCGGACAGGAATGCTCTTGCCCTGGTATTTGCGTTCTGTCATGGCCTCAACATATTCAAAATCACCTACTGCCCATGCAAGTAGCTGCAGTCGATTTCATTACGTTAACAATGTCAATCATTGAGGCGCGGACCTTGTACTCACGTAAGTGCTCATCACTGGTGTTTTCTCAAACGCGACGAACTTCAATCCAGAGTGGCTTCCTTCCTTTTCAGATTTAATAGGCATATTGCTGAGCGCGGTCTGGCCTTTGGGAATTTCTATCTCAAAATCAAAGGTAGCCTTGAGGTTCGGCTCATCAAAGCAAGGGAAAGCCCTCCGGGCGTCGCAAGACTCGAACTGAGTGCTCAACATGTAGTAAAAATCACCTTCCTTGGGGGTATCTGCAGCCGGTTCCCCCACGGGCTTGTACTTGGATCGGTAAAAGCCCGACATAGCGTTGTTCATAGTGCCGGTGAAGTTGATGGACAGGACGACATCAGAGGGTGCAATTTCTTGCGATAACTTCAGAAACACCCGTTCAGATACCTTATCGTAGGTGATGTCAGAGGTCTTTGCCAGCTGCGCGCCTGTTCAAGAAAGAGAAAAAGGTAACCCGTCAGTCTTTTTCAGATCCCACTACCAATGCGCGTTTAAGGGTTGATTCATCAAACACGAACCATCTTTCCCCAGTACTTCGGCAGCCTGGACCTCAATATCCTTGGCATTCAACACAATTTCCTTCGTAGTACGAGTAATTTTGGTATCGATCTTCAGTAGACCTTTGTACCCCCACGCACCCTCAAGCTGCAAGTCGAATAGCGAGACATGGTAGTTGGTCGGTTTGGCCCTGCTTTCAGGTTAGCCCAGTGTTTGAAGGTATATAGCAATCCCAAAAGATATGAACACATTATTTTTCATTGATTTCAGGAGAGGGAGAAGATAAAATGAAAGTCGGTCAGACAACATCACTCACAAGTCAGGCAAGGTATCTCTGTCGGTGGAGGCCATCATGCGAGCCTCGGCGGAGCAATAACGAGAAAAGACAAGATTCAGTCTGGGCGCAGGGATTGAGAATAGTCGAGGGTTTAGACGACGAGAGGAGCGAGAAGAAAAAGAGAGGAAGGAGGGGGAGGGGCAGAAAGGCGCTCGCCGCTCTGCAATGGCGACTCCAGCGCGTCTTGTCGCCGCTATGGATCTTCTCCCCCACATCACTTTCAATTGCCAACTCTCCCCAATTCTCGGCTATCGTCGGATGGGAAACTCTCAGGAAGTTCTTAGGTATTCTTTTTCTTTCTCTCTGTGCCGTTTTATGATATCCTATTTCGACGTATCTCCCGCTGAATGCGCGGCAAACGAAGAGAAGAGAAGTTTCTCCAGACGGAGCTCCGTCGGAGCTTGGACCATTATCAAAGGCGGCTAGCATTCCCGCGCAACGAATCCACCTTTCACCACTTTGGGCCGGAACAAACCGATAGTTGCCAACGCCATGGCCGATTCGGACGAGGAATACGTCGGAGATGTTACAGAGGATGAAGATGATCTCCAGGTGACCCGGAAAGATCAGATCGGGACAAGGAAGAGAAAACAGCGTGGAGGTGCAGAGTGGGAGCTGTCCAGGACCTGGGAGACACTCGTCGAAGGCGCAGATGGCACCATCAGTGCGACCGTGGAGGGGCTGCTGGAAGCTGGAAAGCGGAAAAGGTGTGTTCACTTGCTTTCTCAGATATCGAAATGTCCGGCTTGCTGACCTCATTGCGACCAGACTGTTGAAAGATACAACTCCTCTCCAACGCGGTATTATACGACATCTGATCCTTGTCCTCGACCTTTCACAGTCCATGTCCGAAAAAGATCTACGTCCGACACGTTACCTGCTGACTCTGCGATACGCGCAGGAATTCGTGCGAGAATTTTTTGAGCAAAACCCCATCTCCCAGTTGGGCGTCTTGGGTCTGCGGGACGGCCTAGCTGTTCGAATCAGCAATATGAGCGGAAACCCCACGGAGCACATGAAAGCCATCCAATCACTCAAGACCCAAGACCCAAAAGGTCTTCCCAGTCTACAAAATGGACTGGAAATGGCAAGAGGTGCCCTTTTGTACGTCATCTCATCCACCCTTCAATCATGCCAGTGGTGCTTTCCAAGGCTGATTCGTTGAGCTAACTGGCCGCTACAGTCACACCCCCAAACATGGGACTCGAGAAGTGCTGGTTATTTTCGGCTCCCTCCTGTCTTCGGACCCAGGTGATATCCATCAGACCATCAATACCCTGATCAATGACAAGGTACGAGTCCGTATTGTCGGTCTCGCTGCACAGGTCGCGATTTGTCGTGAGCTTTGCACAAAAACGAACGGAGGTGATGAAACGACCTACGGTGTGGCGCTCAATGAGCAACATTTCCGAGAGTTGATGATGGACGTGACCACCCCGCCCGCCACGTATTCCCTGAAACAATCTGCTAGCTCGTTGTTGATGATGGGCTTTCCATCTCGAACAGTAGAGGCAAGGCCCTCTCTCTGCGCTTGCCACTCTAAACCATCTCGGGGTGGGTACTTGTGCTCCCGTTGTGGCAGCAAGGTATGTAGTTTGCCCGCAGAGTGCCCCTCGTGTGGGCTCACCCTGATTCTTTCGACACACCTTGCCCGGTCATACCACCATCTTTTCCCCCTGATTAATTGGATCGAGGTACCATGGCGCCGGGCTTCACGAAGCACTGGGTGTTTTGCCTGTGGCCTACCTTTCTCTACCATTCCACCGGAAGACCAATGGCAAGCGACCGAAAGCCACACAAAGGGAATGAGTGTGAGTGGTCGCTACGAATGCACAGCATGCCAAAATCATTTTTGCATTGATTGTGATCTCTTTGCCCATGAGGTTGTGCATAATTGTCCTGGGTGTCAGAGTAAGAATAACCGGATCATGGACAACGACGCGAAGGTAGACGGAATGGACACGACCATTTAAAATATATTCTTGTTATATATCATTGCATATTTCTTGGCGTCAAATGAGGGTCTATGAAAGAAGAAAGAAGGAACAAGCAAAATGTAGATAACAAGGTTGACATACGGTCTTATGGCTTTTGCACTAGACCGCTTATCGCTTATCGCGTGAACCTCGGCTGTAAATCCATTTCTCTTGCCCCTGCCAACTCCGCATCACTTGTCCTGTTAGACCTGAAGGAGCAATTTGAAAGAAACTATGAAACAATACTCCCAGTTCGAGAAGCTGCGGGACTATGATTTTCATATGGATCCCGAATTTGCTAATGGTCTTGCCACCATCTTGGGCCATCCCGACACGCCTGCTACAGAGTTCGAAATGAGTCGTGAGGATGATCTTGTTTTACAGGCCAAATGTTTCTTCTTCTCACGGTATCATATCATAACCAATCTTTGTCCTGGGGTGGTGCACTGATTACCGATACAGGAAGGAAAATCTCTCACCATCAATTGACTTCACTGCCTATAAGTTATGGCTCACGGCGTCAACCTGCAAGCCTCATGAATCGAACGTTCCAAGTGACTCGTCGAACATCTCTATCCCCGAAAAGCCGGTGGACTCGGAGCCTATATACCCATCTTCCTTTGCGCATATAGTTGAGCTTATTACCACAGGGCAGCCAATTCCGGGGATTGAGCAGATTCCGGATACGGTATTGACGGGTCATGAAATCTCGAGTGAAAAACCTCGGCGACGCAAGCCGTGGGAGAAGGATGAAATGGAGCCTACAAAGAGTGAATATACGGCGGAAGCTTGATCTGTGTAATCACTCTATGAAACTTATGTCTTTAAGCACCATGGGACATTGGAGGGAGCGGATACTCTGTGAAGGAGGATATATGTAACTGGTTTTATAACGATACAATTCATCTGTTCTTTTGAGATAACACTTGACACAACAGTGGCCATCAAATTCCGCATGGCGAAAACATAATAGAGAACAACTCCGTTGAACTTTAAACATGCAATGACAGACAGAGAAGGTCAGCAGTAGATATCGTAGAAGCATGTAATAAGGCCATTCGCGAATCAAACCTCCGACATAATCAACACCGGATTACTTCTTCGTAATTGGAAGTGAAATATAAGCTATCGTCACAAGCAGATTGCAGATTGACGCTTCAGAGGGTTCTTCTTCGGGCCATGCTCGTCACCGGGGAGACACAAAAAGTCTGGGGTTTACCGAACAATGGACGAGTGAGAGACCAAGAAAATAGATCGGCAGGAACAGCGAACGGACGAAATTGAATCCATGGAGGTAAACAAAGCGATTTTGGCAGCAGCTGACTGCCCCCGGAATGAACATAGGGTTGAATAGGAAAGTAAGTGATATGGTCAATAATGCGTTGGTTTGCGGTCAGATTTCTCTTTTCTTTCTCTTTTTGTATTTTTTGGTCTTTGGATTGGTTACTTTCGTTTTCCCCTTCTTTTCGCTGCAGGCGGGTAAGTGGGAATATCAAGTTTTATGCGTCGAGCGGAAAGGATACATGGTGATTTAACGGAATGGCGCATAGTTGGCATTCCATTGGTTTCCTCGATTGAACCGGTTTCCAGTTTGGCCGGTGGATGGAAACCTGTCCTCATTGAACTGATTGAATCGACTCATTTGAATGCCAGTCCCAGGTCCAGGACGCGTGGCATGGGACGGGTTGCAACAGAGCATGGCGACGCGAGAACCAAACTTGGAACCACGAAGGGAGACCATGTGCTTTCTAAAGAAAAGAAATAATGAGTGCGTAGCCCTGCGTGATACTGGGGTGAAAGAGATAAATACCGGATGTGGCTAGCAACGAGTTCACGTTGATGAGGCGCTGCGTTCATTAAAATCCACTGAATCAAGTAGTTCCCATATTGATCCCCGGCAACTGTGACTTATGTGAGCTTTTTTCCATTCAAGAAACAGGGAGGATAGCCTCTACTCACTGTCGATCAAAGGCATCCGAGGTCGGTCTGCACGACCTGTGCAAACCCGAGAGAGATAGCGATCTAGAAACTCCGAGCCTCCAATTTTCAAGCATTTCTCGACTATCTTTGACGCAAATTGATCCATACTATATTCGACCGCATGGTGAAGAACGTGTTCAATCGCACGACTTTTGTCATGGGGGGCACCGTGTTCGCAAACATGTTGAATGCACCAGTTGCCGAATTGGCCATGGGATAGTAAATCCACTTTCCCCAAAACTTCTTCAATTGCTGGTCGCTTTTAGATATTAGCACATGGGAAAACAAACACCTTTTAGTATTGGAGACCTCTTACCTTCTCTTCCTCGACGCAGTTTTCGAAAATATTCTGGACTACCAAGCTTCCCGTCTCTCCCAGAGCTACTTCATGCCACATTCCACGCAGGGCTTCGTTCACCTTGGCCATGACCTGTGGTGGCTCGCCAGTCCATCGAAGTTCAAATAGCTTCTGCCAGACATGGCAAGCATATCGATGAATTACCGTCTCTGGAATTCGGCGAAGAAGTTCACGTACCATGACAGCCTTGTGTTCCTCAGGAACGCAGTCAAACGCCTTTTGAATTACATGACAGCCAAACGGGTCCATACTCAGGCTGAGAGTGTTGCCTCTGATTGCATTGGCAATGGCGACAATCTGCTCGGGAGTTCCATGCTCAAAGCATCGCTGGACCAGGAAGTTCCCGAACCGGTTCACCATCAGAGGGTAGGCTTGACTGACGATCGCTTCGATGATCTCGTACTTTTGTTCCGTTGAGCCGACTTTGAGTTTCTGTTGTAGGAAAATGGATGCTTGTTGATCGTTGTTGCAAACGATTTTGTCCATTATGTATTTCCAGTCGCACGAAACGTTTTTGTCCAGAAGACGGCGATAATTGAGGGGTTCAAGGGGTGAAATGTAGGTTTGTATAGAGTTTCCACTTGGCTATACAAATTTAGCTCATACGAATCAAGTTAAGATTGCTCTACTCACAGGAGAAGTCGTCCACGGGGTTCCTCCATCCGCGTTCACCGCGGTGAACTCGGTAGCAGTCGGAGAAAGAGCAGTCGACATTGATCGGGCGTGGTAAGGCAGAATTGGGTAGGGCCCCATGGACTGGAAGGGGCTGGATAGTCCTGCAATAGGTGACGAGGGTGATTTTGGGGGAGGTTCTATAGTAGATCCTGGAACAATCCCGGCCCAAGAAGTATTCGGAGTTGGCAAAAATGAGTTCGCTCGGCCTGTCTGGGGAATTGGACGACTTTGTCTGGAGTTTGGGGTTTGAACGTATCGAGGCTGCTCACTTGGTGGTCTGAAATAGAAGCCATATGGACCGTGAGAAGGGCCTGACATGACCCTCTGTGACTGCATCGCCCCGTGGGATGTAAATGCAGGAAATGCAGCTAGTCCACCCCAAAAACGATTTGACTCCTGGGCAGCATGGCTGGAGCCCAAGAAGGCCTCGCCGTAGGATCTGTCGAAAGTAGCATCGTTGGTCGCGACTCCAAATGAGATCTGACCATGCGGATTCCATGATCCCCGAGCACGATTGAAGCCCCCCGCAGATAATGCATCAGAAATGTCCGACTGGGAGTCCTCTTGCGAGTTCCATGCGTCCTGTAACTGACCAAATGCCGGATTTGAAGCATTGAAAGCATTTTGTAAGTGACTGATTGTTTGTTCCGTGATCTCACGACCACCAAAATCTGCCTCGGACGGTGGACCAAGAGCCTGGTCTAAGGTATGTTTGATTACCCGTGTCTGGGCAAGTTCTTGCTCCTGAAGAGCGATCTTGGAGTTTGCAGCAAGAAGCTGCTGCTGTAGTCGAGCAAGTTCCACATTCTTGTCACTATGGCCGTATTGATTCACTTCGGAACTCACAGAATGATGCGTCTCATCTGCCATCGAAATCTGTGATGGGCCAGATGATGAGTCTGTCTCTGAGGTTTTTGGCAGTACTTCGGGCGCAAGCTTTGCGAATATTTTCTCTAGCTCCGGGGGATGCTCAGCGATAGAGTCAGGTTTCATGTGCTCCAACTTCGGCTTCTAGGATTGTGAGACCAAAACACAACTGTCTCTGCGACATCAAGAGCACTGACCTTGTAAGATGGAGGCTCGAGATCTTCACTAGATAAACTCTGTAGTTTTCCATTTCTAGGACCGTCAATTGCATCCGATGAGCTATGGCAAGTGTTGGAATGCCGGTGGCTCTAAGTGACAGAAGACCAACAAGATAAGCACTATGTTTTCCTTTCCATGGCCCCGACGAGTTAGAAGACTCACCGATAAGTCCCGCCCAAAACCGAGGTTTCGTGCATCTGGGATGCCGTTGTTCAGTCGTACATCATGGCTGATCCGGGGTGGCCTAGGCGAAGCAACGAGAGAGGCCATGATGCCAGCTCGAGGGGACAGAATGGGGTAGGAATTCAGATGCGTTTTCCCCAATTTCAAGAATTCACACAGAAAGCCAGAGCTGTTGGGTTCTCACTCAATGACGGTTGACTTGGAGCTTGAATTTGAGGTTCTTTAAGAAGGGAGAGAGGAGTGTAGAGTGAGAGAATGGAGAGGACAAGAACTACCGGGGGGGTTTAGCAAATTTAGGATAAAATGGAAGGAAAACACATCTAGATATCTCTCTAGGAAGGCACGAGTAAATAGTAAAGATCACGGGGCTTGACACGGCAAAAGCCAAATATTACTTACTTTCATAATCCAAAATCGCCATTTGAGTTGGCTTTTTTTCAGCAATCATGATTAATGACCGTGGACTGATTCAATTTACACTGAAAGATTTCGCATGTTACCGATCTTCGAAACATACTTGAAGCTCTCGAGGCGCAGAGGCACAGAGGAAGCTGCAATATAATATGCGGAGATAAGATCGCTGCTTCGGGCCAGCTTGGTAGTGAATGCGGAAGATTGTGGTGGACCTGGGATGAACAGCCTTGGAACTACTTATGAGAGCCTTTTGACCAGTGTAGTTAAATGGTATGTGAACCATTCAAATCAAAGCTTGCCCAGGTGGAAATATTTACCAATCTAGTCTTTTTAAGGGTCAAAAAGGATACACATATTGTCACATTCATGTATGTATATTGTCGGCCATCCACGTGACTTTCAATCGATTTTTTCCCAAATAATTTTCTATTTAACAGATGAACGAATTCAAATTTGATATTATACAGTAATCTTGTACCTAGATAGAACCTCATAAAAAAAGGAACACTGGTTATATACAGTATATAGAATCCATGGATTTTATTCCTCATTCGGCGGCCTCCGTGTATGTAATGTAACGGCCGGTGGCGGTAGCAACACGGGTCAGTTCCACCTTCAACCTTCAATTTCCCTTTGCTCTGGCCTCTAGTCCTTCTAGTTACTCCATCTTTTTTTGTCATCTTCTGTTCCTTCTTTTCTTATTATCGAGGATTAGGGTCTGTCTTTCCCTCCCTGCAATCGAGAATTAGACCGTGGGCCCGCCATTCTCAACCTTCATTCGCTCGAGCCGATTCGTCATCGACGAACCAACTAATTACACTCATTGCCCATCGCCAAGGGTAAATATATGATTAGAATACCGATTCCTGGGAAACACACAATAAAGAGAGGAGTGGAACCTACGCCTATTATCCGTTAGGGTAGGTGGATCGGAATGCTTGATGCATTGGGAAGCAATGCTAACATAGGCAGCGGAGAAGAAAGCCGGGGATACTAGAGGCTTTCCGCTATGGCTACAACCACAGTCACTGGTCATGGACGCCGGGCATCCATGCGACAATCTGAACTACAAGCGCCAGCTAATCCCTCCCCCCAACCGACCAGTAGTCCAGTCGATGAATTTCCCCCCTACGAAGAGACCATTGACTCCGCCATGGGGACTGCCCGCTCGAACCCAACCCCCTCCGTGAGATATGCATCCAATGATCTGTGGGAGCCACGCAAGTCAACTTTTTACTCGAGAGATCATCCCAGTGGTTCTATACGAAACCCCAAACATCGGCCCCGGAAGAGCATCAGCGAGGCCATCACCACGATTCGCGCTCGCAATGGCAGTATGAGTGCCAACGCGCATGAGTTAGCCGAGGCCCTTCGCGCTCCAGTCTCATATCGCTTGATTGTATGGTCCGAGGGATGAACAGGTGCTGATGCCGAGCTAATATGTTTGTGTAGGGCCTCTGTATGATTTGGTACCTAACCTCCGCGCTCACCAACACGTCCTCAAAATCTATCTTGAATGCCCTCCCAATGCCCATCACGTTGACTATCATCCAATTTGCATTTGTATCATTCTGGTGTTTCCTGCTTGTGTACCTGTCCACTGTGATACCCTGGCTGCGACAAAGTGTGCCGATTCTCAAGCACGGCATCCGCTACCCCTCCCGCGACGTGATATCCACTGCGTTGCCACTTGCCGTCTTTCAGCTAGCTGGACATATTCTCAGCTCCATGGCAACATCTCAAATACCCGTCTCATTAGTTCATACGATCAAGGGCCTGTCACCTCTGTTCACCGTTCTAGCGTACCGATTTCTGTTTCGCATCCGATACGCCCGGGCTACCTACCTGTCGCTGATTCCTCTGACTCTTGGTGTCATGCTTGCATGCTCCACAGGGTTGTCAACCAATTTCTTTGGCATCTCCTGTGCCTTTCTGGCCGCGTTGGTCTTTGTGTCCCAAAACATCTTTTCGAAGAAACTCTTTAACGAGGCGGACCGAGCTGAGTCCGATGCTCAAAATCCGGCACGGCGAAAGTTGGATAAGCTGAATTTGCTTTGCTATTGCTCTGGCCTGGCATTTTTCCTCACCTTGCCAATCTGGTTTGTCAGTGAGGGCTATCCTTTGGTGTCCGATTTCATTCATGACGGTGTGATTTCTCTGTCCGGTAAACAAGGGTCGCTAGACCATGGGGAGCTGATGCTTGAATTCATCTTCAACGGCGTCTCCCATTTCGCTCAGAATATCCTGGCCTTCGTGCTTTTGTCAATGGTGTCTCCCGTCTCCTATTCAGTCGCCTCCTTAGTCAAACGGGTTTTCGTCATTGTGGTCGCAATCGTGTGGTTTGGAAGCACAACCACTTCCATCCAGGCGGTTGGGATTGGTCTCACCTTTGTGGGCCTTTACTTGTATGATCGCAACAGCCATGATGACGTGGCTGACAAACGCGCGAACGCAGACCACTTTCGCACCCGGGAATCCATTCTTCCCACGAATATCGGACACTCCAGCAAGCCGTGGGACTCAAATGGCTATGCTTTCCCCGGTCCACGATCCTTTGAATCCTTTGCATCTAATAATGGCCATGCCACCAACATCTCCAAAAAGGAGGACGATGGCCCTGGACGAGCTCGACCTCGAGGACCTAGCGTTTCCCGAACTTGGCTGCCGGGAACCAAACAAGAATCAACATGGCAAGTGAATGATTCTCCTGTAGCTACATAGCATTTTTATTTGACTTTCTTCTGTGTGTTCTTTGTTTACTCCGTCTTGCTGCCGGGTTGGACGATCAAGGAGACATCCGGTGTATTATACTATGGCGTGGTGGTGTTTTGAGCGTGAAATTTCGTGTCTTGACATCTGCCGATCCCTTACGCTAGCCTCCATCAAACAGTCGGTTGAGTATATGGATGTATTTTTTGGACTAGGACCCTGTTCATCATAGTAGATCGAAGCAGTGGACAAAAGCGGAGGCTTTTTATCTATCTTAAGATGGAATACAACAATGCTTTAATACCATACCCATCGCAGTTCATACCCAAAGTATATCGCCTTTCCAGTTGTAACAGAGAACATTAGTAGCAACTGGCAAGAACTATGGAACAGGTGACCTCTTTGAGACTTGGGAATTTGATTGATGATATTTGAAATATGTGAATACGGAAATCAATTGAATTGTTGAACGGTTTTGGTTCCGCGGACGTGTGCCTGGGGAAAAATCCCCCCCACCCCCCAAAAATCAACAGACTGAGTGGCTGGCAAGTATGTAGTCACCGTCGGTAAAGAACAAATCATAATGGGGGAAGCCCCTTGACTGCTCCAGTTCGGGACATCGTTCTGGGACAATCTGTAGAGGAAACAGGAAAAGTCGAGCCTGCCTCCTACAATAAATCATGCCCGTGAATGAGATGATTTACAAGAAAAGGTAGTAGGAGAGAAGTCGGTTTTAAAGGGGAAGGGAAAAATCCCGGAATTACAGTTGATCCGGATTAAAGTAACCGAGCCAATCCGAGAAAAGCCATTTGTGAGGAAAGTCTTACTCAAACCCAGGGATGGTCAGCATTTGCATTATGTAATCCAAAGCAGATTCGAAGTCCGTCTGAACGAGCTCCCTTCTTCCCTTCCACCCCCTCGTCCATCAGACCCTCACCCCAACCTTCTCCCCCCTCCCCTTATCGACCATCTTCCAATTATGCGGCCGCAGCTGTTTCGTGCGGCCGCCCGGTCTCTCCGGGTGCCCCGAGCCCGGCCCTTCGCAACGACAGCCCCTCGCGCGGCCGAGGTTGAACTGACCATTGGTATGCCCTGAACATTCTCTATAGACTGCCCATTACATACTAACCCCTCATCTAGATGGCAAGAAGATTTCAGTTGAAGGTAATGCACATCTTAACAATTGCCATTGGTCAAAAACTCACGTCCCCAATAGCCGGTTCGGCTCTCATCCAGGCATGCGAGAAAGCTGGTGCTACTGTCCCAAGGTACGTCACACTCAATGGATCCGACCCGACCATCTTATTTTACATACTGACTCGCCAACAGATATTGCTATCATGAGTACGTGTTTTGATGCCGATGCTTCCGACCCGTCACATTACTAACGACTAGCCATAAAGAAAATTATTGATTGCGGGAAACTGTGCGTTGCGATCATCTACCACCTTGAATGACTTCTTGCCATAATATTAACGTGTGTTTAATCTAGGCCGTATGTGTCTTGTCGAAGTTGAGCGAGCCCCGAAGCCAGTGGCATCATGCGCCTGGCCAGTCCAGGCTGGCATGGTGGTCAAGACGAACTCGCCTCTGGTTCACAAGGCTAGGGAGGGTGTGATGGAGTTCCTTCTCGCCAATCACCCTCTGGATTGCCCTGTCTGTGACCAAGGAGGTGAATGTGATCTCCAAGATCAGTCGATGCGCTACGGTGCGGATCGTGGTCGTTTCCACGAGGTCAGTGGCAAGCGTGCGGTCGAGGACAAGAACATCGGCCCCCTCGTGAAGACCTCAATGAACCGATGCATTCAATGCACTCGCTGTGTTCGATTCATGAACGATGTCGCGGGTGCTCCCGAGCTAGGAACCAGCGGCCGTGGAAACGAAATGCAGATTGGAACCTACCTGGAGCAAAGCCTTGACTCGGAATTGTCAGGCAATATCATCGATCTCTGCCCTGTTGGTGCCTTGACCTCCAAACCTTATGCATTCCGAGCTCGTCCTTGGGAGTTGAAGCACACCGAATCCATTGATGTTCTGGACGCACTTGGCTCCAACATCCGAATTGATAGTCGGGGGTTAGAAGTGATGCGTATTATTCCTAGACTGAACGATGACATCAACGAGGAATGGATTAATGACAAGTCACGCTTTGCGTGCGATGGATTGAAGACTCAGCGGCTCACTACGCCTTTGATTCGTCGTGAGGGCAAATTTGTTCCTTCCACTTGGGAGCAGGCCCTGGTCGAAATCTCATCAGCTCAGCAGAGACTTCAGTTACAGCCAAACGAGTTCAAGGCTGTCGCCGGACACCTCGTCGACACCGAATCACTCGTTGCCATGAAAGATATGGCAAACAAGTTGGGCTCCGACAACCTTGCCCTTGATCAGCCCGGCGGCAGTGCCCCTATTGCTCACGGTATCGATGTTCGCTCGAACTACTTGTTTAATTCTAAGATTTATGGTATTGAGGAGGCCGATGCTATTTTGCTGGTCGCCACTAACCCCCGTCATGAGGCTTCTGTTCTCAACGCTCGCATTCGTAAGCAGTATCTGCGCTCGGATCTGGAGATTGGCCTCGTCGGTGAAGAGTTTGACAGCACCTTCGACTATGATCACTTGGGTGCCGATGTTTCCGCTCTGAAGGCTGCTCTGTCTGGTGAGTTTGGCAAGAAGCTTGCATCTGCTCAACGGCCTATGATTGTCGTTGGCAGTGCGGCTGCTGAGCACCCAGATGCCAAGGCTATCTTCGAGGCCGTGGGCAGTTTTGTCGAGAAGCACACCGGTACCTTCAACACCCCTGAGTGGCAAGGCTATAATGTCCTGCAGCGTGCCGCGTCTCGCGCTGGTGCTTACGAGGTGGGCTTCACTACTCCATCCCTCGAGGTCGCCCAGACTACCCCGAAGATGATCTGGCTCTTGGGCGCCGATGAAATTGCGCAGAGTGAAATCCCGAAGAATGCTTTTGTCATCTACCAGGGTCACCACGGTGACCGGGGTGCTCAGCTGGCAGATGTTGTCTTGCCTGGTGCAGCCTACACCGAAAAATCTGCCACCTATGTCAACACTGAAGGCCGTGTGCAGGTGACCCGTGCAGCTACATCGTTACCTGGCGCCGCTCGTGATGACTGGAAGATTATTCGCGCCACCAGCGAGTTCCTTGGTGTTCCCCTCCCATACGACGACATCGAGGCTCTCCGTGACCGCATGGAGGAGATCAGCCCGATTATGCGCCGCTACGATGTCGTTGAGCCCACTTCTGTCAGCTCATTGAGCAAGGTGCAGCTGGCCGATCAGAACAAGGGCTCACCCGCGACCGGCGCTCCCTTCAAGAAAGTTATTGAGGACTTCTTTTTCACCGACTCTATCTCTCGAAGGTTCGTACCCTGGTTTTTCTTGTGATTTTTTTTTGTTGTATACTGACTTGTATCTTCCAGCTCGCCCACTATGGCCCGTTGTTCGGCTTCTAAAGCCACTGGTAACCCAGAGACCAACTTCATGGCCGCAGGCGAAATGTCTCCTCAAGCCTTGTACGGCTGAAAGGGCCGGCGATTTTTCTCCCTCCGTAGCCGCTGATTGATTCTATGTTTTGACTAATGGTTGCAGGCGTTGTTATTTGTACCACATTAAACCTCCCTTTGATGTACCCATTTCCTTTTCATGTTCTGTTTTCTCCCATCGCCTTCAACGCCAGTTCATCTTGTTTCCGCGGTTGACCTCTTTCGCCAAATCTCCGGTGTTGCCTGGGAATAATTGGTCGGGGTTGACTTGTACATAAAATGATTGAGACCCACAAAATTCTACTACCGTCTCGGAGAATGCGAGCTCGTTTAGGAGAGCGATGACTTTCTTGGCTCACACTGGCTTCAGGTGTGAAAGAGCTGGACAGAGTCTGTTTTATCAATTTGAATTTAGATATTGTATGTTCTACGTACCCTAAATTACTCTTCAACCCGAGAACATAGCCCATGGCTATCTATGGCTCCTAATTAGGTTCCGCTCTATCAACACATGGTTTGTGGCTGCGCATTTTTACTACTGTTGTGGTACGGAGTATACCGTAGATAAAAAGGTATGTACTATAGTGCCTATTATAGTACATACTGGAATAGATACACTTGAAAGAGTAGGTACTTAGGTAGGCAAACTGTGAGATGTCTGGGTAGGTTATAGGAGACATTAATCATAGCTCATCATCATCTGTCTCGCCTGCGGTTTCTCCGGCAACCTCACTTAAAGCGGAGGCTGGTCCTTTCTTCGCCGATGGCTCTCGTCTGCTGAAGGGCAGCTCTCTGCGCGGTGGTGGTGTCGCTTCTTTGGACAACGAACGCTCCAAATCCCTGGTCCGATTTGACTTGGCGGTTGACTGGGCTAGTTCCGGGCTATCGAATTCGTCATCTGTAGTTGTGTTCCCTTCCTCCAGCGGCTGTGGCGTGAATAGACCTTCATCGTCAGTGTCCTGGCCATCCAAAACATTATCGGCTTTCATTTCATCAATTTCCATTTCCTGAAATCCTTTCTCTGTGTCACCATCTCCATCACTCTCATCGGGGACATTTCGTTTTGTGGCCTCCCCAGTTGCGTGGTGCTTAATAGTAGCTGATTGGATCTCTAGGACTGGTTCCCAGTAAGAGTATATGTCAGTATCAGTACCTAGATTCATAGCCTACTCAGGGAGTCAACATTAATGAAGTAGGACACACCTTTCGTCGGGTCGGCTGTTGCTGATGCTAAGAGCCGTTGCTGGTTACGTATCTTGAGCTTTTTCTCGTTTAACAACTGAACGAAATTGGCCACAAGCTGGGTTTCGTGTTGGGTTTTGGCCCGTGTCAGCGTCTCCAGTTGCTTATTCAAGTTCCGGACCGTGTCCTCTGCGATAAGGCATCGCTCCGTCAGGTCAATGACCTGAGTTCCTAACTCGCTAGCTCTGGAAGCAGCAAGACCAGACCATTCAAACAGCTCGATCGCTTTCTCGTCATCCTGCTGGAGAGTGATCGCACCAAGCCTTTGCTAAAAACAAAACTAAAGTTAGGGTTTTGGGTGCAGGTGTGGCTTGATGTATTTGGGGTTCACGAACAGTGATAGACTGCACTCTTTTTCGGACAGTGATGATCATTTCTTTATTCTCTTCCTCTAATCCTGTTATGGCAATGGAAGCCTCCACGCCTGACCATGCTGGCAGCTTCTGAGTAAGGGTAGCTTGTCCTAAGACATGAGCGATAGTCTGGGTCCACTCTTCATCCGATCCCTGGTAGTTTTTGGCGCACAGAGACTTCAGATGGGACTCCTGGACTATTGGGGAATTAGTGAGGATAATATGATTGGGAAGCTTCATCGGGAATTTACCTCTGGCGGTATATGGGCACTCGCCCTCTGTGGCAGTGAGGGTCAGGTCCAATGGGGCCGGACCCGCGTTCACCACATGGAGAAGAACGAATTCATTTGGTCGGTCAGAGCGAGCAAATCGTAGAACGCTAGCCATTTTGATGGAGGTTATTGAGGAAGGTTGAAGTTGGGTATGTAGAAATGGATTTCTTGGTACAGTAGTCATCCAGCTCCAATCTTTCTGCCCAGGCAACAATGCGATTTTTATATGTGACTTGCTGGTACATGTGTAAACATCAACATCAACTAGTGAAATAAGTTGATAATATTATATTACGATCAATTTACTTAGACTAAATTTAACTTCCCAATAACATTTTACTGGTCTTAACTTTGGAACTCTTATAGTGCATACAACTCGTGACTCGTGGGCGGTTTCCCCACCGCTCCACAGCAAAGCACGTTCCTCTCCCGGGAATCTCTCTCCCTCCTCCAGCCTCCCCTGACCAACTGGTCTTTTACCTCAAATCCTCCCTCCTCGACATCTGTTCCTTCCGAAGGCTTTCATAGTGAGGGGTGTATCCGGCAATCCATCGAAGGTCGAAAATTCTTACCCCTGAACCCTGAACTCCGAATACCGTCTGTTGTCCCCTCAGTCGGCCCCTTCCAATTGGGGAACTGGGACAACTTAAAACCGCGCGCACATACATACACACTACAGTAAGAAGGGAAAATAAAAAGCAGAAACCCGAACAAGAAAGGGATTTCTAATACACTCGCTCCGCTCAATTGTCACGGGATGATGCCCTATCTTCGATTTATTGTGTCAGCGCCGCAAAGCTTGGAGTTTACTACTTGATCGTTGAAACCTGCCTAGTGTGACTGCGTTTCCTATCTCTTGCGCGTGTCGCGCACCATGAAGTCAATGATGGCTCAAATACGACTGCAGGAAGACGAGCAAATCGAATGTTGGGATGATGATGATGATCTGCAATTCACCGAGGGCATTCAATCTCGTGCTGCATCCAGCACAGGATCTATGGCTAATTCCTCATTCCGACCATCAGGACATCGCGATTCAATCTCGTCGCGGCGGTCTGCTCGGTCTGATCTGGACTCGAATGTCGGAGACGAAGACTGGCAGGTTCCTTTGCACGACAACGATGAGTTTGCGAAAGAAGAAGCCCTCGCCTCGGCCAAAAATGCGGGGATACCGATTCCTGCCAATATTCCTAGCTCTGCTCTTCTCGGGGGCGCCATCAAACGCCTGTCTACTCGAAAGCCCAAGAGGACTTTTGTGGATGACTGGTCTGAAGATGTAGAGCTTCCTGGCCCAGACGCAATACTGCAGCTCAGGACAGCTCAAGAGGCGATGTTCCCGGAAACAATCCGACATATAAGTTCGGCGGCCACAAGTCCGGTGAAGTCTACAGCTTCCCCATCTTGGAATGAGAACATTTCAACTCGCCTACAATCAGCGCTTGGAAGTCTACATCGGTTTCAGGATGATAATGATGATAGCGCTATCGGATGGGACGTGCCCACCATCAAGGCACCCACACCACGATCCCCACAGAAAACTGCCCTAAAAATGGCCGGTAGCAACCTTACTATGGAGCAGGAAGTTGAAGATTTCGACAAAGACCTTGAATTACCACCAGACTACCAGCCTCTACAACTATCACACCGAAAATATACAAGTGATATCTCCAGCCCCGTTTTAGACGACTTCGATCTAGAATGGTCCGAAGGGAGCATAGGTGTCCGAGTTGGCGGGACGGGCCGAGATGGCCGCTCGGTTCCTAGTTCCTCGATCTCCATTGCCAGCCCCAGTGCGTCAAGTTGCCTGACTGGGGAAAGCGAAGAAGATGGTCTGGATGGCCTAGTGTTCCCAGATGGCCCATTGGATTTTACCGCCTCTCTCAAAAGACGAGAAGAGGAAATCACCGAAGAGAGTACCACCGCAGCCGCAGCCAAGCGAGAACTGCAGGCTTTAAAGTCGTCTGACTCGGATGACTTTTTCTCGGACATTGAAGTTGATAACGGCAGAGCTTTTGCATCAAAGAAATTAACACTTAACCCTCATGTCAAACGTAAGACGGAGTGGCCAGCGAGCCCAACACGGCGGTCTTCAACGACTCTGACCTTCACCACTACTGGTGCCGGTCCAGTCAATACAACAGGCTCCCCTCGCCAGAATACTCGCATTCCACGCCTATCTGGCCATGACCGGGCCCATTCGACCCATCTCGAGACGGTTTCAGAGAGCGGCGCACCACTGTCCAAGTTTCAAAGACCCCACTCCCGCCTTGGGCATTCGTCCCAGTCTTCAATCTCTAGCCTCCAGTCTTCCAGCGTGGTTTCAACTTCCCCCAATCCAAATCCTGTTGGCCGAAGGCTTCTAGGAGCGCGAGTTTCCCAAGCCACAACCCCGGCTAGTGATTCCTGTGCACCCCCCAGACAACTTCGAACGAAAAGATCTCTACCTTCCATTCGGGGTGTGGCACCCACTACTCCAGCGCAGACTCCGCAACGACTTTCATCCAATCCAGATGGTTCTATTCTGCCACCGGCAAACAGACCAAAAACGCCGGTGGAGCGCACGATTGTGGCTGGGAGAACATCCAGCCGAAGAGCACCAGTCCCGTTCATCCCAGCAGATGCATCAGAAAGGCAATCGCACCACGAAAATATGAAAACATACCGCCGCCGCCACCACTCTGATAATTCCGGTGACCTACTCAATCCACAAGGTACCTACTCTCGACTATCACGATCAAATCGCCCGGAAACTTTCCGCCTGAGCCTCGACGACAGCAAAACGGAGAGCATTAGCCCAACGGCTAAACGTACACTAACTCGGCCGACCAGGCGACGCAACTTTGGAGACGGAACCGAGCTGGAATCCTTTGACGATTTGCCTACATCCGTTTCAACAGAGAGTAGGTATACCAAGAATCCGGCCGGCCGAGGTGCCCCCCGATCAGTACGAGCTAGGCTTAGCCAGAGCCGTATAACTCCACCTGGCGAATCCCCGACACAATCCTTCACACCACCCTCGACCTCTAAGCCTCTGGTGTCTACACCACGCTTTGCCCAAGACACCAATGCATCCCGGAATGCGCGAGAGCAGCGCATTGCATCCTTGAGCTCTCGAAACCGGGACACAACACCGCTTGGTTCTTTCAACTCGAATTGGAAGGCCCAGCCCATACCTCGAATATCGCCAATTGCGGCACCGATTCGCAGCCGGAAGGGTGGTCACTCCAATAAACCCCAATCCAAACCTCATTTGATCAAACCCATGGGATCAGGTGTGCAAGAATCTAAGTGTAAGGACATGATGAAACCCCAGCCCTTTTATCTTCCATCGTCACTGGACAAGACTGATTTATCTTGTTGTAGCTGTGAGGGGCATGCACTACAACCCCGATACTTTTTGCTGGGAAGGCAATGAAAATCTCGTGCAGGAGTTCGACATAACGACTGCTCCCAAATCACCCAAACCTGCTCCAGCTCTTATCAGCAATGTGGGTGCTGTGAACAACGCCCAGGCTGTCGGTGGTATGATCTTTGACCCACAGCGTATGTGCTGGCTCCGAGCCACGCCTCTTGCATCTGGACAGCAAGGTGGAATTGCCCCGGAGGATGAGGACGATGTTTTTGCAGGCCTGGATGACTTGGATGATAAGACCACCGGTGTCAAACGAGACTCTGAAACAGTGGTCGGGTCTACTCTCAATACAGCCAGGGATGATCCGAGTGGGGGCGAGTCTTCCGATGAAGGGCCTATCACTGAAGAATTCGATGTGGGCCCAGAATTCATCCGCAGACAGAGAGCCGAGGAAGAGAAATGGAGGCGGAAGGTAGACAAGTGGATTGGCTTTGATCGTGGAGACGGTGATACTCACTGGCGATGGGATATCCGTGACCTGACTGCTGGCATGAAGCATTCCACGGTTTAAGTAGTTACCCGTGGGCTCTTCAGTGGCCTTCTAGAAAGAGAGGATTGGGCATGGATATACGAACTAATGACGCAAAGACCCCTCAGGTCTTTTATTGGCCTTGATGAAACTGGCCAGCACGAATTTACGGTTCTTTGAAAGCTATTTGTAATTATATTCTTTGTTTCTGTGAACTAGTACATACATACTTTGCAACTAATGCGCTGAATGTGAGAAGAGGAAGAAGAAGAAGAAGAAGAAGAAGAAGAAGAAGAAATATTCTATCTTTTGGTCTCTTGCTTGTACACCTCTTCCTAATCCTATGTAGATACTCCCCCCCCCCCTTTTTTTTTCCCCTATCATCGGTATCTATACCATCTTTCTTCATCAATGGGACCAGCTGCATTGTTTGCATTCGATTAACAAGGAATATCCATGCTGCAACGATCTACAACCGCAGCCTCACCCTAGGCAGATCCGAAACCACTCGGATTCGGGGTTTCCAGGGCATGCGGGCTCCTCTGCTTCTCCTGCTTCCTTTCTTTTTCTTCCATTTTCCAACAGCCCTCATAGAGCGAGATCGGGAAGCAGCAGCGTGACACCGGGTACTAGATTGTATAACTCATGCTGGCTTCGAGCCCCTCTTCTGTTTCGCGACTGGCCCAGATGCCGTGCTGCGAGGGTCCGGCGCAAAGTCTATCGAACACGGTGACTTAGCTGTCGCAGTCGGGCCAAACGCATGCAATCCTGTCATCCCGCTTGATGCATTTGATTGCCTATCAGACCCAATCCCGCAGTGCCCTGACATCAACGCCACGTCAAGGTCACGCCCCAGCGCTTTCCTGACAGCTCACGATGTACCAAATAAACCCCCCAAAAACATGCCATGCGGTGGGGATAGAGAGCAGGGGAATTTCATCATTTGACTCTCTACTCCTGCCCATTTTTGTATTGCCAGTGCTTCTTACAGTGAAAAAGCCCTCCCCCAATCCATGTTCCTTACGGACGGCTACGTGCATGTTTGGACTTTTGCCGGAGCAATCTACAGCCCGACTTTTGTTTGACGAAGGCAAACCTGCAGAAACAAAGCCCTAGATTCGCCTCTTGGTCTTTTCCGGGGAGTTTGTTCCGCCGTCATAGTCGGGGACGTCCTACTTGGCCCCCCGGTTGCTGTCGCTATTTGACATGGTAGGAGTCGATCCCCCTCCCCCTACTCCACAGTGCCACTACCCTACTATAGGTGGCCTCGACTGGGCCCAACGTGGCTCTCCATGAGGCAAATGGTGGCGCCGGGCATCGAGGCAGGAATCCGTATCACCATTGCTTGTGTGCGCTGTCGTATCAGCCTGCTTTCGCCCTTCAATCCACTCGGCGGGTCGGAAGGATTTCGACCACGAACCCCAGTCCTGCTGCTTTCTGCCTCTGTCTCTCTCTGTTGTTGTTTCCCCCCCCCCCCCCTCTCTCTCGCCTTTTTTTTTGCTGGATTTCGTTCATTTTGGTTTCTTTTTTATTTATTTATTTTTATTCTTATTTGTTCAAATCTCTTTTACACTAAAAGGGATTCGGAAATATGAAAATCGATTTTTGTTTCCATGATTTCACATACATCTCCTCCAATCCTGGCTATATATTCTTCCTTGCAGGCCTTGGGTAATACCCTTTCCGGCCGTACCTTACAGAGTTTTGCTGGATTTGCCTGACTCTTGTCGTTTCTTTTTTTTTTCTTGTGGAATCTTTGCAGTCCGTCTTCCAGGGATGTCCTCTGTTGCTTCTACCCTACTCCGTTTCGACATGGTCTCGTGCACTCTTTTGGGCATCGGTCATGTCCTGCAAGATTGACCTGGGGGTCTTGCAGGTCCTTTTTAATACAATTGCTACCCCATGATCATCGTCTTCATCCTGGCCCTTTCTTTCGCTTCAAATATCAGTGACCCTTCTGTCTTCACTGTATATTTCTCAAAATATATCCGTCCATCTTTGTTTACACATCCACTCTTTCTCTACCTCGCTCTCATTCTCATTTTCTCCCAATTTCAGTCAACCCAATATCTTCGCGGCTACTCGTGGGAACATTGAACTGCTGGCATTCTGATTCTGGAAGACATCTGTCATTATGGGTAGCTTCGCGAGACGGAATGAAGGAAACGAGAATTATCTCATGAATCAGCAGATGGCAGTCCCTGGGACTTATAGCCATTCAAGTGGTCATGAATTCAACACGACCGGATCTTCCTCGTATCACTTCCCCCAGCATTCTTTCAACCCATATGGATCTCAATTCGGTCCCTCTTATGGGCAACAGGCTGGTTTAGCTGGTGGAATGCATTTGCAGTACCCATCCGACCATACAATCCCTTCAATGTCCACCTCGGATGAATTGAGATTGCATCATTCATCGCAGCAGTATATGCCTGAGCCACGATACCTGCCTACCAGATACCTACCACTCCGCGAGGCTCTCAGCGAGACGGAGATTGAGGACCAAGAATCCCATAACGAGGGTACTTTGCTTTCAGAAGCTGTAGTCCCCGCGCTAGATGGGTTCCCAGATGTCAAAGAATTTGACAAACTGATGGAAAGGTAGGTTTACCTTCACGCAGCCTCCTTCCCCTGGGGCTTGCCTTACTGACCTGGAAACTGATTCTATACTCTTGACCAGCTATGTCAAGGAACTGTCGGTGAAGAAACAGGATAAGGCGTTGATACACGCTAGAAGAGCACGGAACATAAAGAGCGTGCTTATGGAACCGAAAGATACAGCAATTGAATCCGCTCAATTCCGGTAAGCTCCCATGCCTCCAATATCCCGCAATTTCATACTAAACCAGGCAGGTTCTGGGTCAAAAAGATGTTCAAACTGCAAAGTACTGGGATTGGAGCAGCCGATGTAAGTCCTTGCCATGTGCCTGCAAGGCCTTTGCTATCAGATCCTAACAAGACCTGTTCAGTGTCGCAAGATGATCTGTCATGAGGGAAAGCCTGTCGCTATCCGCGAGAAACTATTCAAAATCCTAACCCAGGCGCACAAGCAGTGCCAGCATGGGGGACGCGACAAGACCTCTGCCCAAGTCCGGCGAATTTATTCCTGGTATGCTCTCCCCCACAAGACCAAGAAGTCTTGCGAATGGTCACTGACCCTTGTTACTTCTGTTACTTCTTTCAGGGTCCCAAAGGAGCTTATCTCTCGCTTCGTGAAAATCTGTCCCACTTGTCAAGTGCGTCGTGGGGGGTCTCGCTTCACACCACCCAGTTCTCGGCGAAGCTCCCCTCGCTTGGACAGGTTGTCTCGGTCTCCCAAACCACCTTCTCCCCCCATATCAAGACGGGAATCAACGTATGGGGGACATGTGGCTCTTGACCGCGCCCAGCATGACTATTTTGGCCAGTTGGGTCATCATGGGTGGGTTGATAACCACCAGAACTTACAAGGCCGATCCAACTTGAGTACTGGAGTTCGACCTTCTCATGGATCGATGACAACCGTCAATCACTCAATTGCAGGTACTTTAGATCAGTTCTCCGATCTTTCTGTGCCAGGCCCGCTAAGCTATACAGCCGGATATGTCCCAACGTACGGCCCCTCTCCTCGGGAATACTAATCACTTGAAGGAGTGGCCATTGCCTGAGGTCATTCGACATACGATATACGTTTTGTGTTGTCTCTTTACTTAATGAAATTTGTTGAGGTTGAGGTTGAGGTTGAGGTTGATTTTTGTGTTCTTTTTATGAAATTTTGGGGAGCATACACTCCGTACTTGCCCCTCAAAAAAGTGAAATTTGTTCAGTAAAGAGTCAGGTGGTCTGCTCGAAAATCCGACTTTCTAATTGGCGGTATGGGTTCTGCAGCAAAGAGAGAGCAGACCTGTTTTTCAAAAATAAAAATAAATCAGTTAAGGAAAAGCAGGAAAGGAAGAGGGAATTGGGTTAAGCATCGATATGATGTAGAAAAATTGGAAATGCAATATAATACAAAAAAAATAAAATTGATACATTTGATTATGGCACTCAGGTTGTTTATTTCTTCTAACTAGACAAGACAGGGACCAGAAAGATAGAAAGATATCTCACTGTTCTCTACCAATATCAAGAGTGGGTTGCGTAAGTCAACCTGGTTAATGGGCAGTTGAAGCTGCCCAAAACCGCTACCATCCCAAGCGATATGAATTACGTGCGAATCTCGAGATCCGTGCGGCCGAAGGGACATGAAAGGCGTCATGAAATTCGTGAACTAGATCAGATGATCAGACATTCATAACCAAAGAAAGAAAAGCCGGCAAGGAGGCGGAACATGCTCGTATCCGATGGATTCCCCCCCCTTCCAAAAAAAGAGACCATAGTCATACATTCCCCAAGAACAATTGAGCCACAAAGAGGCAACTCAGAAGCTTGAGTTGACTCGACGGGCCTTCTTCCATTCGTCTCTTGTATTCCTAGACGGGAAGGGAGAACCTCTTTCCTTTCAACACCCTTTGGATGGTTAGCAATCACGGGATGCGCATAGATGGATATCAAGACTTACTTGTTGTAGTAGATGTAGAAGAAATCAGAGTAAAGCAAGGTCTGGATGATGCCGGCGATGATGGGGACGGGTTGGAAAGATCGTTGGAAGTGGGACTCAGTGAAATACCGGTACATCCAGTTCGGGATATAGAGGGCCCGGTACAGGCCCAGGGCAAATAGGTAGTGAGTGGTAATTGTATCGGCTTCTCCTGTCCTTTGCAACATGAACAGCTGCGGCAAGATGGCGACGGACTCTAACCAAATGGAGAAAGTCCAGAGGATCTAGTTGATTATGAGTGGGGAAGTCTTTCGCGCGCAAACGTGTCTTCTGCGTAGTATGGACGAACCTCGGAGAAACGGTAATCATGTGGGAAAAGCACTGCTAGGATCGCACTGATTCCCAGCAGGTATTGAACCTTAAAAGTGTCAATGTTGGGGTCGTGGGTCGGCTTGTAGTCGTTCAGCATGAGGTAGATGATATAGGCCGATGAGCCGATAAAGAGTAGCTTGAAGGTCGTGAGGTATAGCGAATCGAAGAATGTCCAGAACAGATCTGATCAACGGGGCGACTGGACGTTAGCATGGTATTTCCCATTGGATTGCAGAAGGCCTCTGGCGGGGAAACATTGAAACGCACCAAGATAACGAGTGACAAAAACAAGAAGGTAGAGTACTTGTGATTTGAAAGATAAACCAGAGCAACTCTGCGATCCAGTAATTAGCGATGACCGTGAGAAGGTCAGAGGTGACATACACTTGTCGACTTCATCTTCTGCAGAAGAACGAAGATGGACGCCAGGTGGGAAAAATCGGCTATACTGAGATCAGTATATAGGCGCATAATGTAGGACAAGCAGCTCACCTAAAAGCCTGAAGATATTCATGATTGCGGTGCTAATTGGGGAGGTTGTAGGAGAGAAGTTGTTGACACGAAACCAGGAAGGGGCTACATTGCCGATCAGGTACGCGCGGGCCAAGCGGCACCTTTAAGTGGAGTACATATGATGTATGTTATAATCTATCTATGATCTCTGATCTATGATAAGTCAAGATATTGAATGCAATTGGAATTTGGAAATATTGTGAAGAGAACTCCTGATTGCTCCTATCCCCATTTTTTCGCACCTTTGTTCCATGCTTCCAGATTAAACCCACCCAAAGAAATGAAGAAGAGTAAGTATAAAACGCCATATTGATACAAAGTTCAACGGAAAAACATGGCCATTAGAATGGAATTCCTCCTCCGATCGTCTCATCTGCCATACGTTGTAAATGTCCCTCGGCTAGTTCGCTTTTGAGTGCACAAATAGAGCTTTCATGATCCAATCGATCCCAGTCACGAAGTCCAGCTCGTTTCAATTTTTGGGACTCGGCCAGTTGCTCAAGAAGTTTCTCCTGATCTGACTCAAGTTGGGATAGGCGCTTCTCCGTTGCGACTTCCAAGACCGATGTTAGTGTCCTGCCACCTGGCATCAAGGTACAGAGTCCCGCCAAGTGGTTCGGAGGTTTGATCACGGGAGAGGAAACCACGGGGGCAGTGCTATTCTGTCGGGATCCTGAATGACGGAAATTCCCGCCAGGCATCGGAGGCGTGAAGGAAGCCCGAGGACCGGAAGGGGTGTGCGGTGCAGTCGTAGGTGGCCCGCGACGAGTCATGGGAGCACCGGGCCACGGCCCGTCTCGAGCAGCGGGGCCACGACGCGGACGTGTTGGCGCCGATAAAAAGTTCATATTATGAGAGCCTCGGGGATGTGAAGGCATCGCCCTAGGTCCTTGGGAGGGACCTGACGGTGGAGACTGGTGATTGCCTGTATTTCTTGGCTGCGTTGGGACATAGCCTCCAAATCGGGATTGAACGGGCTCCGAGGATTCGCCTTCAGGTTGATTCAGTTTTCCTTGTCCCCTTCCAAAGGGCGTAGCTTCCAGGGTTTGCGTCGAATCGCGATCTCGGTAAGGAGGAGGTCCTGCGAGTCCCGAGGACCGATGCGGAGGCGAAGGGCGCATGGGAGATCGGCTGCGGCTTTTGCGGGACACAAAACCACCGTGCTCTGGACCCGTCGCTGGGGAGGAACGTCGTGATGTAGTGTTGGATGCGGGCCGGGCAGAATTGACAGGTGAGACTGGTCTGGACCGCTCGTTGTGTCGGCCCCTACTCATGTCCATGGACAGCTGTCGCCGGGCATGGGCATGGGAAGGGCTCTGCGAGCGAAACGAAGTGGCTTGGGCTCTCGGTGATAGGGCTCGAACGCTTCTCGCACAGGTCGGGAGTTTTGGAGGGGAATTTCGCATGGTTGTACGTAAATCTTGATTCCCAGGGGATGCATCCCGGATGCGACTTGGGCTGCTGTGGCCACGAGATACATCAAGCGATCGGCCCTCGCTATAAGGGGACTTGGATCGCCATGATGGAAGAGGTGATCGGGGTCGTTCCTCTCTTCGTGGAGAGAACCGTCGAGGGGGTGACCGCCTCCTCCCATACGGACTGGGTCCAAAGCCTCGGCCTTGGAAGGGAGGGGTTCTGGAGCGACGCCGGTAATCGGGAGGTGAGCGACTTCTTGGACGTCCATACCCTCGACTAGACGGCAACCATGTGTCGGCGCGCAGGCGAGAGCGATTTCGAGGAGGCGAGCGTCTGTTTCGAGTGTCGTATCCACGCGAGGGTGACCGACCAGGTCGGTCAGCTGGTCGATAACTCTCCCCCCTCGTCGGTCATCAAATCTATAGAACTAGTCAGGAAATGAACCATTTTTCACTAGATACAGGGTAAAATGCCTTCTTCGATCCCAATCCATCCTCAAGGACTGGGTGGATTGAGATATTTGGGTGATGTCGCGGACGAGAACGAAAAATGATGATCTTGAAAAGGACTCGGAGGCGGAGACGTGGAAGAAAACCAAACCACTTTCGGGAAGTCTATACTAGATCATGTACAAGAGAAGTAAAAACAATGATTATGATTATGATGATGATGATGATGATGATGATTATGATGTTGATGGTAATCGTAGGAAAGTATTTAATTGGTAGAGCTATCTGATAAAAACGTTGACATGGGCTTCAGTTCTTGCCTCGTCGCTCTTCTTCTTTACGCAATCGCTTGCGACTCTCTTGCGCGATCATGTCACTAAGGTCCTCTTGAAATCCCCACTGCGGCTGGTTTTGCTGCTGACGTTGTACTTCGTACAAGTTTTCAAGACTTTCTTTGCTGAGACCATCGCCAGCTTGTATCGCATCCAAGTCCACGGAGACGTCCACATCGCCAGGCTTCTTGCGTTTTCGGGTTTGGTCATCAACTCCAAGGACTGGAGGTTTGCTGGATGACGTACTAAGATCATAGGCTCGATCTCCGCCGAAGAATCCTTGTACATTTGTCTGTTTCTCCGGAATAACCTGATATGCGCTCCGAGGGTGAACAGTCTCTTCGGTTTCCGTTCCCCGGTGATGTTTTCGAACGTCGAATTCCCCAGCAACACTCTCCATTCCCAGGAATTCGGACGGTGCCGCCGATGCCATGCCGCTGGGTGTATCCAAGCCACTGGGGGAGTGGGTTCCAGCTTCGGCATCCTCTTCGTCGGCGTCTCCTTCTTCATCCTCATCCTCGTCTTCTTCACTCTCCTCCTCAGATTCCTCGGATGGCTGTAGCTCTCCCCATAGATCTTTCTCGACCGGCTCCCCCTGCTGAACGCTTTGCTGGGGCTGTAAGACCCCAAAAATATCACCACCGTAAAGTGGTCGGTTGTGCTCATCAACAGGCGGCTTTCCATAACCGCCAGGGTGGTAGCCCCACATCGCGCCTGGTGGAGGTGGTGCGTTTAGCCCAGGTACTTTCAAGGCAGGATAGGACGGAGGGGGACCATAACGTTGCTGATTGATCAGCCATGGAGGAGGAGCTCCCGGTGGCATATTCAGGGCTTCCTTGAGTTCGTCGCTCAACTCGCCTGGGCGAAGGTGTTTGAGATTGGTCTCATATTCCTTGCCCTCGTAATAGATCTCACCATAACGAGTTAGCTCGGGCTTGGTTTGAAAGCGGAAAAACGCCTCATATAGCTTCTGGTAGTCAATGTCTAACCGTCCCATCTTGGGCTGAACTCTTTCTCGTTGTTTTTGCTTCAAGCTCGATTGTTCCTGTTTATCCAAAGCGGCATCCCGCATTTCCGCAATGCCGGTTTCCTGAATAAACTTGGGAAGGGCAAAGGGCGCTTTCTCCACACCACGCTTAGAGGAGAGATATTCCCGCTTGAGTGACCAGTGTATAGGAACCGGGACAACATTGCGATGGGCCTTGATATGTATCAGGAGTCGAGGATCGGCCGCGGATGTATCTGTCCATTCCACAATTTCAGGCTTACGAACCATGGCTTTAAGTTCGGCCACGGATAACTTGTTCAGCTCCTTGCGCTTCTTTTTCGATATTTTGAGCTCTTGATCTTGCTCCTCGTCCGGGATGTCGTCTGCATCATCAAAATACACTTCAGGTTTCTCGGCCTCCGTGGTTGTAGCAGCCTCGCCAGCTGTCTCGTCAAATTTACTGACGATACCCTTATACATCTCCCATAACGGATCGTTGTCTTCCAGGGATGTCTCATCAGTACGGGCGGTTGGTCCATTTGTGATGTCAGAGGTCGAAGGTGACGGGAATGGTCTTTCTTGGGGAGCATGTTCAATGACCCCGGTAGCAGTCTGAGAAGGAACTATGTCAGCTCATGGGTATTCGGGAGCAGGGGCGCGAACTCACCTCCGCCTTTTGACTCTTTTTCCGGGCCCTTCGAAGTTGATTCTTGCTTTGTTTCATGATTGCTGTTGACACCGTAGCTTCAAATCTCCCTGGCGGAAAATCTATCACCAGTAAGGGTGTGGGGGTCGGGAAGCTGGCTGTCGTAGAATTGAGAACTGAATCTCGGCGTTTCTTCCAGGTCAAAGTCGCGATAAAATGCCAATTATGTATTCTGATTGGTTATGTAGCTCTTACCGCCTTTCGGAGCATCAGATTTCCTTTTTTTGTCATTTTATGATTACATTGTCTCTTTCGAATCCTTTATTTCTGTGGATATTTTTTCCTTAAGGTCAATTCTAACTTGATCTAAGATTGAAGCGAGTGTAGTGTGATCTTTCATGCTTTTGCGTAGCTGAACGATTAGTCTGTCCTCAACCAAATTTAGACGTGCTTCTTGGACAAGATCCAACTCTCGACATGTAGATATGATAAACGCTTTAAAATACATGTATATATAGTACAGCCAATCCTTATTCCTGAAAATCGGTAGTAAGCCATCATGGATAGGCGGCGAAAAGAAAAAGTATTGATCTGAAGGAAATCCTGAGATGCACCTTTCCGCCCTTGCAAAGCTCGTTCTATTCGAATACCGAGACAGATAACCCGGCGTGAAAGCATTGTTCCATTCACTATGAGTGATGATGCACCTATTTCTTCTTCTTTGCCGATCGTGACTCTGATTAAGTTAAGAAATGATTGTCAGTGGATTTCTGTGTATTGAGGAAAAAGAAAAGAGAAGGAAAGCCACTTACCCGCAGCGCTCCGCTTCTTCTTCGGTCGTCCTTTTCCTCGAAGTTTTGCACTAGATGAATGGTTTAATATAACAGGGACCGCCAAGACCGAAGAGTACTAACATTTGGATGGCCTCCTCTCGATCATCTTCAGCCTCATCAAATGTAGTCAGGCCAAGAGGCTTGTATGTATTCTGGAGATCTCTAAAAGAGACTTCCTGCTTGGGATACCATGCTGCAAGTGCAGGGCCTCGCAGTCGCTGTCTGAGGATCTTATTTCCTAACCGGAGTCTTTGCGGGTTGAAGTTGAGCGAGAAGATGCGACATTGTGTCTGCGGGTGAACATGACAGGATGATTAGCAGATACCTCACAACACTAAGTACTTATATCCGTACCTTGACCAGCTCTAACAATCGGGGTTGAGACATCTTCACGGTGCCAATGTGGTCGCGGTGGAACGAGGAAGAACGCCGACTTGGTGCCGGACCTGGGAGCGGATAGTTTCTAGTCATGTGACCGTGAGTTTCCATCACAGAAGTTGATCTTAGTGAGCCTCGGAACCCCAACTACCCTTTTCTTTTCGATCAAGTCAGTGTGAATAACCGAAAAAGAGAATCACAAACCCACCCCCAACCCGATATGAGCTCCAAAAGATCCGTGCCTTGTGTGGATGACCGACCATTCCACCCGAGCATAAAACGGTCCAAGGTGATTATGACTATCTTCTCCTCGATTGTTTTGCGTCGGTTTAATCTGTATCACGGCTAACCTTCTGTATGGAGGTTGAGCACTTACCAGAAGGGCTCCAATCTGAAAATCATCTAGAAGGTGATGCTCCAATCCAAGCTTCGAGCTGTAGTTCTCGGTTCTCTCTTCTGAAAACGCTCGTCGAAGAAGCAACAAATGATCATGAAATCACAAAAACCGAGCCTCAAATTGCGCAAGCGCTATTAAGTCTGAAACACGCTTTTCGATTTCCACATGGACCCTCAGCACTTAAACATGGACCTTCCCAAGCTTCTCAAGCTCCAGATCCCAACTATCTGTCCATAGGATCACAAAGCAACCATTCAGAAACTCCTACCTTACCGTTGATTCAGGATAAGAAACTACGGGCTGCTGTCTTTATGCACCCTGCTTGTGCCAAATTGCATGACGCTAGCTATGACCGCTTGGAGGTATTGGGGGATGCATATATCGAACTGATGTCGACAAAATTGGTGTGGAGGAAGTTTCCTGGGATTCCTGCTGGAAGGATATCTCAGATCCGGGAAATATTAGTCAAGAATGAGACGCTTGCAACATTCTCTGAGAAATATGGCTTTGATCGAGAAGCAACGGTACCAGTGAACTACTCTGAACAGCCAAAACGATGGATCAAAACCAAAGGGGACATTTTCGAAGCTTATGTGGCCGCTGTCATACTGTCTGATCCACGAGAAGGCTATGATATTGTGGAGCAGTGGCTGATTGCTTTGTGGTCGCCAATGCTAGACAAGTTAGGGCATCAGAAAGTGGAGTTGCGGTCCAAGGAGGAACTTGCAAAAAAGGTCATGGGCAAAGGGGTCAAGCTAGAATATGTCAACGAGCGTGACCCCATTCAAGAAAGGGGTGGTACCCAGATATTTTTTATTGGTGTATACCTCACAGGCTGGGGATGGGAAAAATTGCACCTTGGCTCAGGGAAGGGATTAAGCAAAGTGGCAGCAGGTGATGAGGCAGCTCGGTGTGCACTACTTAATACGCCAATGATTTCTAGAATCATGACAGCAAAGATGAAAATCATGAAAGGGAAATAGAAATCAATATATTTCACACGAGTAGTAATCATGAAGTATAATTCTAAGAAATATTATAGATTTATTCTAAATGATCTATAATAATGTAATTATATTATATAATATTATATAATTTAATAAGATTTTACTATTGAATAAACCAAAGCATCATTACTTGCCGCTGATTTCCATTAAGCCAAAAAGGCATAGCCGAAACCTTCCATAGGATAGTATAAAGCTAGTAGATACTAATCAACTATAACTAGGGCGATTTTAGCTTGATTATAGATAACTTAGATTATCTAATTAGTCTAATAGACTAACTAAAAGGAATCAACTAAGATCTTATTATTCAATATATTATTAGTAATAATTATAAGAACTTAATCCTTAATTTTATATTATTAAAAGATCTGAAGAAATACTATATTTAGATTTATACTAGAGTTTATTCTATAAAATAAGAAGGATCTTATAATACTATTAGTCCTTATTTATAAAATAGCTACTAATAGCTATAAATATCTATAAGAATAGAGATCTCTAGTAATTAAATATAATTAATATCTTAGATCTAATAGATAGCCTTTAGAGTATAATTTTTTATCTCTCTTTTACTATAGTATATAGTTAGTTTCGAATATTATTTTATAATAGGATCTTAGGATATATTAAGATAGTTTAGGCTATTCTAATAAGACTATAAAATTTAGAGTACTTAACTCGTTAGAATAGAAGCTATATAACTATAAAGAAAGTAAGAAGCTTCTATTCCTATATATCCTCTATAAATTTATAATTATTAGAGAGTTTCTACTTTATTATATTAAAAGTTAAGTATTAAGTATAAATAATAAAAGTTAGAAAAATAGAAGAATAGATAGATAGTTATATTTATAGCTATTTATATAAACTAGATAATCCTAGATATTTATATCTTTATTTTAGTATAATCATAATAGTTAATATCCTTTAAATATTTATTTACTATTAAAGTTCTATAGTATATATTTATTCTAGTATATAGAGATTAAGGATACTTAAGGATTTATCTATAATATTATATATTATCTATAATATTATATATTATCTATAATATTATATATTATCTTTAATATACTATTAGTAGTATTTATTATCTAATTAAACTAGATCTAAACTTTAGAAAAATAGTTTAAGTCCTATTATACCCTATTTTATTTCTTAAAGTTAGTCTAAAGCTACTGATCTATCTAATTACTATATATTATATTTTTATAGAGAATATAGTCTTTTTAATAATCTAGGCTAATATATTTTAAAGAGAAAGAGATTTTAAGAGAGATAGATAGTTAAATAAACTCTTAATTTAAGGAATTAGTTATCTACTAAGTAACTAAGACTTTAAGTATATATAAGGGATATAAGTTCTCTAGTAGAAGATAAAGAAGATTATCTATATTACTATTATAGATAGATGATAAGAAGCTATTAATATTAGAGTATTAGAGTTAAGATATATAGAATATAAAGAGGAGTAGTAGATAGTTTAGAAGAATATAAGAGCTATAGATATAAGGATTTGTTTAATATTATAAATAAAGGAATCTAATAATAAATAGAGGAGTTAATTATACTCTATAGTAAAAAACTATATTAATCTATTATAACTTGACTTATAAAGTCTAATTTCTATTAGATAGAATTTATAGATTATTAGATAATCTATAAGAAATTTATAAGAATCTATAGAAACCTATAAGAAACCTATAGAAACCTATTAAGTTTACAAATTATTAAAGATCTTAAGGGTTGATCATTTCTATAGAAATAGTTAATCTCTTAAATTTTTAGACTATAAAAGTATTACTAATTACTATAGAAATAGCTAATAAAATCTACTATTAAATTATAAAGTCTATTACTAAGTAATAAAATCTACTATTGAATGATAAAGTCTACTACTAGATAATAAAGTCTACTACTAAATAATAAAGTCTAAGATAGAGAGAGTATATAAAAGTACTACTAATTTCTATAGTTACTATAGAAATTAGTAATAGATTTAATAATAAAAAAGTTAAAATTAAGCTAATCTAGATAGGGGAGAGAAGTTTATTTAATCTTCTAAACAATATACTCAAAGTGCTCTATATAAAATATATATATTTCTACCCTAAATAAATATTTCCTATCTAAACTCTTTTAAATAATCATAACCTACTTAAAATATATTAAATCCTAAGGGTAATCTTATTACTAGACTTGAAATTTTAAAATATAACCTAAGATCTTTTGAATTTATAATACTAATGATTGAATAACTAGAAATTCAAAAGCGTAACTAAAATATATATAAATAATAGTAATAACTCTATAAATAATCAAATTTATCTATCCTATTTAGATATAACGTTGGAATTTTATATAAAGACAGCCTAGCGTAGATAACCTATATCTAAACCTATAATCTATATAGGGCGGGTTATAGATTAACTTTACCTACCTATTCATAGGTTATAGTATAGACTACCCTTTAGCCTACTATTACTATAAGTATAGTAAGATAGATATGAAGTATATATTACTAATCTACCCCCGCTTTACTAACTCTACGCCGAAATCCTTAGTATTAATCATCTACCTAGTATATAGATATCCTAGCTTATAAAGCTAGAGTATATACCTAAAGTAGCTACCTTTATTAGCTACTCGCCTACTTAGCTAATTCTACTATCTACTAGAAATATATTATACTATAGTCACTATAGCCGCGTAAGTAATATATATATTCTCTAGAGTATCTATAGGCCTCTAAAAATCACTAATCTAACCCTCCTTAGCGTTTTATAGACCTAGGGGCTACTATATTATTCGAAGATAAAGAGATAACGCGATCGAGTACTATAGGAGATACTTATAAGGATAGCTAAGACCTATACTATAGTTAACTTCTTCTCTATTACTTCTACTAGTATTAGCGGTATATAAATAGGGTGAATAATAAGTATTATAAGCGAAGATAGGTGCGTTAATAGGGTATAAGTGAAAGAAGAGAGATTAAGCGTATATAAAGAAGAGGCGTACTAAGGTTTTAGTATTTATACTATTTATAGTTTTAGTCTTAACAGACCTATTTATCTAATTTATCTTCCCTTCTATTTTCCCCTACTCCCCTATAACTAGGCTTCGGCAGGACCCAATTTTGGACCCAATCTTGGCAATGCCAAGGACCCAAGGACCCAATTAGGACCCAACTTTTTGCATAAATATGTATAAATCATCCAAAATAGGAAATTCTTGGCGTTTTTATGTATTTTTATGTAAAAAGTTGGGTCCTAGATTTAAAATCATTGGGTATTGGGTCCTAACCTTGGACCCAAATTGGGTAATGCCGAAGACTACCTATAACCTTATTTTTACCCCCCCCTGCCCTATCCGCCTACTAAATAGCCTACTTTATATAATTAGCGTTATTACTACTTTATGATATAGTTATTCCGGCTATCTTATATGCCCTACTAGTAAATCGAGTCAAAAGCCTAATAGGACCATAAATGAATGCTAAAAAAAAAGAAAAAAAAAAGTTACTCTAATTAGAGTTTTTTTTTTAATATTTATTTATAGATATATTAGGCTTTTAGCCTGATTTACTAGTAGAGTACTATAGGATAGCCAGTATAACTATATTATAAAGTAGTAATAACGCCAATTAGATATAACTATAGGCTATTTAGTAGATAGATAGGGGAGGGGGTTAAAAGTAAGATTAAAAGGGGGGTAAGAGGAGATAAGTAGTATAAATAGGTCTACTAAGACTAAAATAGCAAAATAGTATAAATACTAAAACCTTACTATACCCCTTCTCTATATATACTTAATCTCTCTCCTTTACTTATACCCCTTATATATCTAAGTCTCTTACTAGAATATATCTTATAGTTTAATCTTACTCTTATTTATATACTACTAACGCTAGTATTAATTAGTATATTCTATATTTAATAAAATAGTATAAAAGTTAGTTATTATTTATAGAATAGCTAAAATAATATATTATAAAAGCTAGAAGTCTCTTAATATTACTTTTATAGATAATAGAATTTTTATAAATTAGTCTAGCTATATACTAATTAAAGATAATTATTCTATATTAATTATATTTAAGATACTTTAGGACTCTATAATATTTCTGATATTTTATTTTTGGTTCTTAAGTTTTCATATCTATAATTTTATTAAAATATTATTAATATTTAGCTATTTAATTATTATCTTAGTATATTTTCTTTATCTTTTCAAAAACTATCTTTAGCTATTATATATTAAAATTATCTTTTAAAATCTTATTAAATAAGATCGATACTATTAAATAAGTAGAACTAATATAATAAAATAAAAAAGAAATTAGAGAAATTAGAGATAGTAAGACTAGTATAAGAAAACTAAAATTTAATATAGTATCTTTAAAGATAGAGAGTAGCTTATTTAATAAAAAGTAAAAAGGATTAATATGATTCATGGTCTCCTAGGCGACACTACTAGTCAGGCGGCCCTATCAAAATCCCTCTTTATAATAAAACATGTTTATTAACCATAATAAAAATGCCTCCCTAACGCTCCGATCAAAAAAAAAAGTTGATAGAGCAGGAGGGCCGTCTTATATTAGCTATAAAAGCTATAAAAGATAGTAAATATCCCTCTGCTGCAGCTGCTGTATAATTATTTGAGTTACCTATCTCAACTTTGAAGTATCGGCTTAATAGGCGTGAATCTTTAGCTAAGAAGAGACCAACTAGCTATATTTTTACTAAAATTAAAGAGTAATCAATAGAAGACTAGCTACTTAATATAGATACTAGAGGTACTACTCTCACGATACCTATATTACGTGATATAGCTAATCTCCTACGAAGTACCTAGAAAAATACCCCCTCGACTATTAGCGTTAATTAGCCTACTTAATTTGTTAAACAACGCCTAAATCTCTCTATTCGACTTTTACGTAAATATGATTATTAAAGAGCTCTTTTAGAAGATCC